TATTCTTTAACTAACTTTAAGAATTATCCCTGTTTTTTCTTTACTTTTAAAACTATATTTCTTTAAAATCTTTATAATACTTTATTATATTCTTTATTATATTCTTAGATTATTAAGAATACTTTAGTTCTTTAACTTTTTAAATAGTATTTATAAGAAATTCATTCTTTTTATTAAGAATTATTAATCTAATATAATCTAAATAGCTTTCTAAGTCTATTTAAGTCTTTAATAAGTATTATTCTTTAAAAATACCATATAAAATAAAGTTTAGGAAAAAACATGGTATTTTAAAGAGGATTTCTATGGTTTTTTTTAAAAATTCCATTGTAGATACAGTTAGGCAAGTCATCGGCGTAATACAGATCGAGGAACTGCGCTGCCATTTACATGCGATGGACAGCTGCGGATTGAACCGTACGTATCTCATAAATCATTGCATCTAACACAGCCTGATCATCTTCTACGATCCGATCGTCTCTCTTTTTCGCTCGGCGCGACAGAGTCGATGTTGAGTCTCGCCTGGCCGTTGCCTTTCGATTGCTCCTTGCGGTGCGCTGCGCATGGCGAGAGATGCTTAACCGCACGACATCCTCCGAGTGCGAGAGCGAGGTGGAATGTGAGGTTTTGTTAATCCACAGCAAACGGCCTGATGCCATGTCTTTCTACTCTTAACAACATGGTAATAGAGACTGATGTACTTGGAACGAAGGGCTAGCAAAGCAAGCTACGTGCCAGAGGAAGTGACTAGACTCACTGTCGTTACGTAAGCTCTGTCGAGGCAGCTTGCGTCTTTGTAAGGGACGCGAGCCACTCAAGAGTTGTCGCACGTAAAGCCGTCTCCCGATGCCATGTCGATGAGCGCCAATTTAAGACGCGTGAGGGACCACTGCTAAAAACGACTAGAGGCACAGTTGCAGCAGCTCCGCAGCCATTGACAATTGCGGGTGGATGAACAATCGTAAAGCTTGGAGATGAGGCCGACGAGATCTCGAGGAGGTCTCGGTATCAGCGAGACTTCGCTATCGGAAGGCGGAGGTTTAGAGGTCGTCAAGTTGATTCAACAGAACGAAGTTGTGGAGAACTCCATAACTGCGCGATGCGAATGCTGTAGTCGTGAGTTTGTTCTGATATCGCTTGCCGTTGTCATCTTGAGGAATTCGGAATGGTCTCGAGCCGTACCGTGAACCAGGAGTCAGCCTTGTGTGCATAAAATCGCACAAAATATCAAGCATCCATGGACTTGAAAGTTGGCATCATCAAGCTTGATCTTGCGTACGACATCGTTACGCTCGATGGCAACATTAATACACTGGGCCAGCCGAACAGTTGGTCCAGGTCAAGCGTGCGGCGCCCAATCACGACACTCCTGATCTGCTAGCTGCCGAGGCGGGCTCATTGCGCTATAATCTGCACCAATCACCGCCGTATAGCTCTACGACCTGCCGAGGCCGATGTAGATCACCGAGGCTTGGAACTGCTGCTGCACGCAATGAAATAGCTTCTTTAATCCACCCAATGTGAGACTGTCCGACCAAACATCTTTACCTCATTACAACTCTCGATCAAGTCTTTATCATGACTCGTCTTGCACTCCTATCCCTCCTGGCCGCAACGACTTTCTCGTCGGCCTTTGCCAGGCCAGCCGTCAGCGTAACCCCCGATGCACAAACCGTCATCGCCGACGTGAACGCCATCAACGCGGGAGTCGTCAATCTGAACCAAAACCTGGAGGCCTACCAGGGAGGTGTTCTCTCCCAGACTCCAATCGTTGGCGACTTCCTCGAAATCGAGGTGGCCAACCGCAAAGGCTATGCGGATGCCAATCTGGCGTCGCCCTTCAGCCCTTCCGACTCGACAGCCCTCGTCAACGATGTCATTGCGACTGTCGGGATAACGATTCCGCAGTCGATCCAGACTCTCAAGTCGAAGAAGCCCCTGTTCGACGCAGCTGGCGAAGATGGCGTGATTGTCTCGACGCTGAAAGTTCTGCTTTACGATCACGACACCTTTTCCGCTGCGGTGGGAGCGAAGCTGACCGCGGATCAAGGCCCTGCTGCAGCAGTCGTCTTAGAGATACACGACGCAATTCAAAGTGGGATTGATTATTTCAGCTCCTAGGCTTCCAGAGCTGCTTAGACAGATGGGCATTGGGTCGGCCGGCGAGAGAGTGGGAGTGCAGGATGCAACAGGCGAACGAGGAAGGGCTGTGATTCTGCAAACTCTTTAACGGTAGCCTCGTGCAATGCTCACGGATCCGTACACAACAGCCGTCTTCCCTTCACTTCTTCTGCCGTGCGCGCCATTCATGTTCCAGCATACTGTACTGCAAGACGTCCCAGAACCGGCCCTTAACAAACACACACTCCCGCTTCGCCCCTTCGCGCACAAAGCCCATCTTCTCGTACAGCCGGGCGGCGTCGGCGTTGTATGCATACACCATGAGCTGGATACGATGCAAGCCGGCAAAGTCGAAGCCCCAGTTAAGCGCCCATTCCATGGCTTCTGGTCCATACCCTTGACCACGGTACTGCCGGAGGATTCTGATGGTGAGGTCGCTCATGCGATGCTGGAGCATGCGCGGAGCAAGGCCTTTGAGACTGATGCAGCCGATGGGAATGGGTTTTGGGGCGGAGCCGGCCCCGTTCGTCACCGGCGGCGGGGGTAGGCAGACGGCACAGGCGAGCATTTGCTTTTCCAGATGCTCGTACCAGTCCGCGACGTCCTTTTTGCCTTGCGGGGAAGGAAGCTCGCTTGAGACGTTCATGAAGCCCTCGGGGTCGGAGTCCAGCTCTGCCAGGAGTGAATCGTGCTCGCCCCGTTCCAGAGCACAATATATCAGACGCGGCGACGCCCACAGATTCGTCATTGTTCTGGTTGGCCGGGGGAATCGAGAATGTCGTGGTCTAGTATATCTTGAGTGATGATGTACAACGAATGAAAGGTGTTGTCAGCCTCACGCGGAAGTGGGCGGCTTGAAAGCTCACCGCCCCACTTCGCCTGATCGGCATACAACAATCAGCGAGCATCGGAATCGGAAGACTACGACAATTCAGACATCTCTCATAGCCCTACCAACCTACTCCGCATTGACAGCGGCCTCGATATAATCCAGACTGCTCTTCACCGTCGTCATATTATCCCACCCATCCTCCTTGACCAAGATGTCATCCTCAATCCTTACACCGCCCACCTCCCAGTACCGCGCCAGCACACTCTGGTCCACAATCCCGTCCCACTTCCCCGCGTCCAATTCCGCCTGGAAGGGATACTTTCTGAAATAGATGCCCGGCTCATTCGTCACCACCGAGTTGGCCGGCAGCCTGCCTCGGATGCGAAGATATCTGAAGAACTCATTCGGATCCTCGTAGTTCGGATTCCCGCCCGTGTCGTGCGTATCCATGCCCAGATAATGACCAAGTCCATGTGGGAAGAAGCGACACGTCACCTTGGACTCCAGAATCTGCGCCGTGCTCAGTTTCTTCTCCAGAATGCCAAGGTCCCGTAAGCCCTCTGCCGCCACGGAATGCGCCTTCATGTGCACATCCTCCCACAGCACGCCCGCTCGGATCATGTCCATGCACTCCGTCTGCATCTTGAGCACGAGCGTGTAGATCTCCCTGCTCTCTTTGGTGAATGTGCCGTTGAGCGGGAAGGTGCGGGTGATGTCTGCGCAGTAAAGCGAGTACTCCGCTCCGGCGTCGAGAAGGAGATTCAGCTTGCCCTTGAGAGGCTCGTCGTTGTGCACGTAATGTAGGGTACTGGCGCCCGTACCGCTAGCGCAGATACACGGATACGCCTGATCTCTGCAGCCGTTGGCGTGGCAGTGCATGACGAAGACGGCATTCAGTTCTCGTTCATTCTGCGCAGCCTTCACCGACGCCAGGATGCGCTCGTGGGCGTAGGAGGAGATGATGTTGGCGTGCCGGAGCATCGCAATCTCGTGCGAGTCTTTGACCACGCGGCAGGTTTCAATGGCACGACGGGTGTAGTCGGTGTTGATTTTCGGAGAACAAGCCTTGATCTCGGGAGAGTTGAAAAGGGCGAGGTCGGCGCGGTCCTTGATCACCATGACAGGCGTGCCCGGCTGCTTCAGCATCTTCGAGAGACTCTTGCCCGATTTGAGATCGTCGGTGGTCAAGACAGTGTCGACATCGAAGCGCTCCAAGGCTTCCTTTGGAAGCAAGGGCATGCCCGACCACATCACCTCTTCGTCCTCCACGGGAGGAATCCAGAGTGTCGAGTGATCCGCGGTAATGTCGTAGGCGAAGAAGCACTCGGGCACCTCACATCCCGTGAGATAGAAGAAGTGCCTCCGCTGGCGGAAGCGCGACGGGGTGTCATCATCTTCGTGAATGTGAAGGGACTGGCCTTGGAGGTAGATGATGCCCGACGTCGGACCTCCATTCTCAGCAATCCATTTCGCTACCCGACGACAGTGAGCTTTGGCAGGATATTTGCCCGATGGAGGAGCGGGCAGATCGGGGTTGGCGATGCGTTTCCTCATGGTGGAGTGGTTACTGTAGAAGTGAGAGTTGGAAAATTACCCCACATGGAGAAGAAAGGGTCGGCTAGAGTCGGCATCTCAATCTATCTATAGTTCTACAACACCCTTGCCCTGGGCGTGCGCGACGTCCGACCACCACGTCCAAGCAAAGGTATACTAACTCCACCCGCCTGCCGTAAACCACCACCACCACCTGACGACTTGGACTGCTGAATGGCATCCAATTCCTCCTTATTATTCGTCCGCACCGCCACCGCTTCAGCCCGCGCGCGATTCACTCGCAGATGCACACGAGAATTGTGATCCATCGTCGCCACTTCGGGATGCACCCACAGACGATTGCCACCATGGGTGTTCTCGTCCAGGGCGTGCGTCGCGCGGTCTTCGGGCTTCATGTTGCCGGTTTCGGGCGAACGACTGGTAGCGCTGTGCGAATCGTCGGTCACAATGCCACCGACACCGAGCTTGGCCATGTATTCCAGTACGGCACCGTTTCGCGTCCGAGGACGTACCACGCGCGCTTCCACTGGTGGCTTGTCTCTCTGTGGACCGTAGATGGGATGATTGTGCATGATTGCGTCGGTGCGGAGATGACTGAGGCCGCCGGAGGGGTGAGTGGTGGGTGGGCCCCGGTCTCCTTCGACCGCACTGATAAGTTGATTGTAGAGACCGTTGGGGTTGAGTCGAGAGGCAGCAGCGGAGTAGACTGCGGGCAGATCGAGGAATGCACTAATGAGGGCTGTGAGGTTGGACGAAAGTCCTTGGTAGGCGTGGTCATCCCGAAGCTGTTTCTCGTATGCCGACAGTTGTTCCTCGGTGGGCTGCAGATTTTCCATCTCGCGGACCTGCTCCTCGGTGAGGGGCTCCTCGGTTTTCCGCGCATCACTCTTTGCCCGCTGAATCTCATTTGCCCTCCACTTCTTGCCCAAGAAGGCGCGCCACTCTTCCTTCTTCTTGCCAATCTTCTCCCCCACATACCGCTCAAAATCGCCATCTTGCATCCCAGCCAGCCAAGGACCTCGATGCTTCCATCTTTGCATCTGCTTTGGACTTTGCTCCACCACCATTCGCCCCGCCACCGGTCTCCTGATGGTCAACGGGGGAGCATCGGGATCGGTGTTGTCCAGCCATGCCTCAAACACGCCTACCGCATTCTCTTCGCTATGACGGGATTGCTTCTCCATCACAAAGGGCACGCCCATCTCGGCCCACTTCCGCTCCGTCTGGACGTGGTCGCCGGCGGAGGCAAAGTCGGTGATGTGCTCGTAAGTGTCATTGGCGCGGACTCGGATGACTGGCGTGGTGACTTTGGTCTTGCGGCCGGGAATGGCTCGTTTCAGACCCCAATCACCTCGATGGAGAGAGGCTGCGGGGGTGGTGATTGCTTGATGAGTGGGGTAGGGAGTGGTGGCCGTGTCGGAGGTGCGATAGACACCGGTGGTGAGTTCGGGTTGGATGGGGAGTCGGCGAGGGAGGGAGAAGAGGCGCGAGGACTGCAGCAGACGCGCGGTGGGCGACGATGCGGATTTCGACATGTCCCGTCGCCTCCGTCGGTCGGTGGAACAGAAGCACCGGATTGCAAAGCAACCTGGAATGATAATTTGTGATCATAAAAGTCCCAGCATTTTCTCGCTTATTGATCCATTACTGATCATTACATCAATCAACTCATCAATCGTAGCCCAGCTGTCGTAACCCATTGCGTGATTACATGCCTTCAAGGTGAAACGAGAGGTATTTATTGATCCATATTCTCCCAATTGCGCAATCATCAACCTCTTCTTCACCCAAATCCTCATCATGTCCTCCAACCAAGCCTCATACCTCGACGCCAAGGGCTCCAAACTGCGGGTCGCCGAGACCGCCATCCCCAAGGCCGCACCCAATGGCATTGTCATCAAGAACAAAGCCATTGCCATCAATCCCGTCGACTGGAAAATTCAAGACTCGGGCTTCTTCATCCAAAAATGGCCGACCGTTCTCGGTTCGGACGTCGCTGGTGAGGTTGTCGAGGTGGGCGAAAAGGTGACGAGGTTCAAGAAGAGTGATCGAGTTGCTGCGTGAGTAGATCTTCATCGGAAAGTCGGTTCATGCAAGACTAACTCTCCCGCTCCAGACACACCATTGGCCTTGCCTCGGGCAACACGGAGAATGGCGGGTTCCAACACTACACAGCCGTTCAAGCCGACAAGGCCGCCATCATCCCCTCCAACATCAGCTTTGCCCAAGGCTCCGTCTTCCCCCTGGCATTGGACACCGCAGCCGTGGGTCTGTACGGAGATCGCGACAGTGGCTTCCTTGGCCTGCCACTCCCGTCCCACAACCCCGAGCCGTCCGGGGATGTCGTATTCGTCTGGGGCGGCTCCTCGTCCGTCGGAGCAATGGTCATCCAGCTCGCCGTGGCCAGCGGGGCTAAGGTAGTCGCGACGGCAAGCCGACACAACCACGAACTCGTCAAATCCTGGGGCGCTTCGGCGGTCGTCGACTACAAATCCCCCTCCGTGGTGGAAGACGTGGTGGCCGCGGTCAAAGAATTGAAAGGCAACTTCGTCGGCACGTACGACGCCATCTCGACCAAAGACTCGTACGCACACGCCGTCCCCATCGCGGAGAAGCTTGGCGGGGGGCCTTTTGCCATCGTTGGCGGTCCACCCGAAAGCAAGCCGGAGAAGCTCAAGTTCGGCGGGGTGTTTGGAATCAACGATCTCACTCATCCCGTATGGAGCGATTTCGTCACCAAGGCATTGGAGAGTGGGCAGTTGAAGGCGGTGCCCGAGCCCTCCACCGTGGGTAGGGACTTGGAGAGCCTGCAGAAGGGGGTGGATGAGTTGAGGAAGGGGGTTAGTGCCAGGAAGCTGGTGGTGGAGTTGTAGGATCCATCTACGTCTATCATAGCCTCATTCAAAACTCGGAGTGACCAACCGCACCTTCAACATATCCCCCTCCACAATCTTCCTCTTCATCTCCTCCGATGTGAGCTCCGGCAAATCCCATGTAATATTGACATACCTCCCACTCAACCATTCTCGCTTCTCCCGACTCAGATACACCAATCCATCCCCACACAACTGCGTCGACTCGGTGAAGAGGGACCCGAATTCCGACTTGAACCCCTCTCCCACCATGTCAGTCAGCACGTTGCCGGGATGAACCGAGAAGGCGACGAGTCCGACCGCGGCGTTTTCTTTGGCAGCGAACTCGGTCAGGCGGACGAGGGCTAATTTGGATATTTGATAGTGGCTCAGGCCGGGACCGATGAGGTGCGCCCCGACGCTGGCGATGTTGATGAGCATTTTGAGCTGGCCTTTGAGGAGCAGCGGGATGCACGCTCTCATGACAAGGTAGGGACCGCGGACATTGACACTCACTGTGACATGTTAATGGGAGACGATGCACGGCGAATAATGACACGGTCTCACTCGTCTGCCACCACTCGTCGGGATCGCTCTCGGTAATGGGTTGCATCGTTCCGATGGTCGCAGCGTTGTTGACAACGACGTCCAGGCGGCCAAACTCCCTCTCGATGCGTGCTGCAGCGTCCTCCACACTATCTGCATCAGCTACGTCGCACCTGAGACGCAACGTTTGCGGCTCTTTCCTTCCGCATCCCGCAGACGCTGCTTTCAGCTCAGCCTCGACGGCACACAGATCGGAGCGCGCACTGATGGCGATGAAAGAAGCGCCGGCTCTGGCAAAGGAGATTGCCGTGGCCTTGCCCAGGCCTCGGGAGGCGCCGCTGATGAAGACGGCTTTGCCGGACAGTTCGGCCTTGATGGGATCGATGGCTGGGTAGGTGTCATTGTGCACTTGTCGTGTGGTGGTGTAGTCTCCCGGACCCTCGAAAATGTTCGGCGTTCCTTTTGGAGGAGGCATGATGAGGAGACGGTCAAGAAGTGGCTGGGTTGAGGCGATTGTGTGGTTTCAATGAGAGGGGCACCGGCTGGCAGTAAGTAGGAAAAGCAGATGTCAGATCACCTACCCGTGTGCCAGCACCGGCCGGGGAATGGACTGCTTCGGAGGGTGGGTGCTCGCATTTTGCGGAGATGCCTCTTTTTCCTCCGGGATGGAGTAGGTGTCGCTACGCTGCCTGACAAATCCAGTCATCGCGGTAGATTGTGACGGCAATGGAGGAGCCCAAAGCGTTGTGGATGTCGTTCCCGGGGGAAGAGGCGACGTTGACGGCATTTGTCGGGCATGTACACCGTTCATGTACTTGCCCATCCCATCCTGCTGCGATCTTCCGTGATTAGGTAATGCTTCTCTCCGCGTGAAATGTGGGGCGCGGGGTTGAGGATGGTCGTCAGGCTTCAATAAACAAAGGGCCCGAGCTTGGGGCTTTCATTCACTTCACTTACTCACCTCTTCCCTCCACCATCTGGCCCCTCAAGTCAACAGGAGACAACAAGGAGGCCGATGGACGGCAAACCGCATCAAACGTGATCCGACGGGACTCGGCAATTCCATCTCTCCTCTCACACTCCCTCGGCGAATCATGGAGCACATCAGCTACGGCACTCGAGGTGCAGCCCTCTTCCAGCCGCCGACATCCCCCCAACTCCCCTCCTCCTCCTCAAACGACTACTTCTCCTCGCGCACCCGCAAAAGATCTCGTCCCGATTCCTCGCACTCCCACCCGCCAGAGCACGATGACACCGCAACCATCGACGACCTCGGCCTCCTCTCTGCCACCTCGGTGAATGAAAAGTACCGTCTGGCGGGCGGCTTCGACAGTCCGGGCTTACTAGCCACGTCTGAAATCGAGCAGTACCACGACGGCGAGTTCCGGCGGTGTGTGCGCGACATGGAGCCGATGCGGAGGCAACCAAGCTATGCATCGAGTCTCTCCGGCCCTTTGTCAAGAGAGCGGAATGGTGTCGCGCGCGTCAACTCCCACAACGATCAAGGTTGGACGCGTTTCGCTTTTGGGCTTGTGGGCAAGGTGTTTTCATTCGGCACGAGTGTGGTGAAGGGTTTCTATGCCGGGCATGGCAAGGGCTACGATTTCGGTCAACGCGACAATGCCTCCACGCCTGACAGCTGGGCTCCGCGACATCGAGCGAAAAGCCCCATCCCTGGCGCGTGGCAAAGCGATGAACATCTCGTCGACTCGGAGCAAGACGAAACACGTCGACCATCCAACAAGCGCCGCCAAACAGACAGAGACAGCTGGGTACTCGTCGGCACGACAGCAAGAGAAGAGCACGCAGCCTCCACCACCAGCCCCAAACGCAAGCCATCCACAGCGACATCGCGCCCGAGTCTAGCAGTACTCACGCGCCCTTCTGCCTCACGAGCAAATAGCCGTCGCAGTCTCGCTCCCATCTCAAGAAGACAGAGCAGCTACATCACCAGTCCCTCCTCTCAACGCGCTGCATCGCCGCACCGTCGCGCTTCCATGGCTCAGACGCGCGTTTCCTCGCGACCCAGCAGTTCGTCGGGAGGAAAGTCACATCTCAAGGCTGGATCAAACGGTCTGCTGACACCAGAAACGGCAAGCCACCTCAAACGCCAGGCGAAGCAGGAGCGCGCGGCGGATAAAGCTATGATGGGCCTGAGTAAGCAGTTGGAAGACTTGATTCAGCAAGGAAAGGAGGCGTTGGGAACAAAAGTGTCGATTGAAGATGGGGATGATGGGGTGGAGGAATTCGACGAGGGGTTTGTTGAGGAGTGGTAGAGTGGATTCACGTTGATACGAGTTCTTCAGCGAAGGCGTTGGGTGATGGGCTTTTCGGGATAGGATGTGGACAGCCCTTCTCGTTTGGATTGAAACGCATGCTTTCAATTAAACATGTTTAAACACTGCACATCACAACTTCCCACTACCATGCATTCATGCATTCAGCTTCGCCTTTTGCTTAAACGCATTGATCAACCCGCTCGTGCTGGCATCATGCCCCTTGACCTCGCCCGGCGTGTCCAGATCCTTCTGAATCGCCTTGGCCAAGCTCTTGCCCAACTCCACACCCCACTGATCAAACGAGTTGATGTTCCAGATCGCGCCCTCGGTGAAAGTGACGTGCTCGTAGTAGGCGATGAGCGCGCCGAGCGTTCCCGGGGTAATCTTTTGCGCGAGAATGGAGGTCGTCGGCCGGTTACCGAGGAAGACCTTGTGCGGCACCAGATCGGGAGGCGCGCCCTCGCTCTTAACCTCGTCGGGCGTCTTGCCAATCATGAGCGCCTCGGCCTGCGCAAAGTAGTTGCTGGCCAGCATTTTCTGGTGCAGGTCGCCGTCGGTGGGGTTGTGGGATTCGGCGGCGAGGATGAAGTCGGCGGGGATGAGCTTGGTGCCTTGGTGCAGCAGCTGGAAGAAGGAGTGCTGCGCGTTGGTGCACGGCTCGCCGAAGAGGATGGCACCGGTGGTGTACTTGACGTAGTCGCCGCTGCGGGTGATGGCCTTGCCGTTGGACTCCATGGAGAGTTGTTGGAGGTAGGCGGGGAAGCGATGCATGTATTGATCGAAGCTGGGGATATACGTTAGCGGGGGGAATTAGATGAGTGAACGACTGACAACTCACGGGGCAACAAGATGAGTCTGGGCGCCGAAAAAGTCCGAGTACCACACACTCAACAACCCTCCAATCACCGGGATATTCTGCTCGAGCGGAGCGGTGCGGAAGTGGTGGTCCATGGCGTTTGCACCGGCCAAGAACTGATGGAAGTTGTCGTAGCCAATGTACAGGCACACCGAGAGGCCAATGGCAGACCAGACAGAGTATCTGCCGCCCACCCAATCGCTGAAGCCAAACATGTTCTTGCTGTCGATGCCAAACTTCTCCACCTCGCTCTTGTTGGTGCTGAGGGCGACAAAGTGCTTGGCAATGTCGGACTCCTTTGCGCTCTGCAGGAACCACTTCTTGGCCGTGTTGGCGTTGGTGACGGTCTCGGCGGTGGTGAAGGTCTTGCTGGCAATGAGGAACAGGGTGGTCTCGGGATTGCTCTCCTTGACGGCCTCCTTGATGTGCGTGCCGTCAATGTTGGAGACAAAGTGCAGCTTCATGCCTTGCTTGCCATACGGCTTGAGCGCCTCGCTGACCATCACCGGGCCCAAGTCCGACCCGCCGATGCCAATGTTGACAATGGTGTCGATCGATTTGCCGGTGTACCCCTTCCACTCTCCGCTGCGCACCTGCTCGGAGAACTCCTTCATGTGCTGTAGCACCTCGTTAACGCCCTCGACCACCGACTCGCCATCGACAGCCATCGGCTCATTCTTGACATTGCGCAGCGCCACGTGGTACACGGCACGGTTCTCAGTAAAGTTGATCTTCTCCCCCTTGAACATGGCGTCGCGCAGCTCCTCGAGCTTCGCCTCCTGCGCCAGCTTCACCAGGTTGGGCAGGGTATCATCGGTGAGGAAGTTTTTGCTGAAATCAAAGAGGATCTCGGAATTGTCGGCAGTGTTGGCAAACGTGCGGCTGTACTTGGCGAAGCGCTGGGGATCTTTTTCAAACTCGCTCTTGAGCACCATGCCGCGCCCGAGTTTTTCGTGGTGCTCTTGCAGCGTCTTCCACGCCGGAAGCTCCATTGCTTGGGAGAAGCCGGGCATTTTGGGCGCGTGTGATGGGATAGGGAGAGTGATGAGTGGTTGAAGGTGGTGAAAAGGTCAAGGGTGAGGAGGAGAGGCGGAATGGGTGTTGTATAAAGGGAGAGGAGGAAGTGGAAGGACACGTTCCGGTGAAAATGTTTCCCGTTGAAATCCGTTGCCATCCGTAGACGTCAACTGCCCCACCATGGGGCCCCAATGACCGCTGACATAAGCTTAGACGCTGCACGCCCTGACAGCCACGCACCGGCTAAACTCACGCGATTACCCGGGAGAAACGTGAAAAGGGACCGTCAGTCATGGTCACTTCTCGTTGTATGTCGTAGAGGCTCGCTTGATCCCAAAGGTGCACCTCATCTCCCTTTATCGTCGGCCGGCTCATCGCTGGTTAAACGCGTTGCCCTGCACAATACTGCCGCCCGCATCCCCAAGTCCCTCAACCGGACGGTTGTACGACCAGCCAGCAAACTGCTGCTGCATCGTCTGACTCAACATCGGTCCTTCCACATAGCTGTCCGTGGGCGCCTCCGACGTAAACTCCTTGTCAAAATTCGCCGTGTCTCGCTCGTCCACCACGCTGGGCTTGAACGTCGGTTCGTACTTCCGATCGAGCAGTTTGCGCCAGTCGATCTGGTGGAAGAAGGGATGTGCCTGGGTCACACGCGTTAGTCATTGTGTACATTCAACGCATCTTCACCACATCCTCACCTTGATTTCACTCGCTCCGTTCGTCCCCAACCTCCTCGAGGCATCTCGGTCTAACAGCTTCGTCAGGAGATCCCTCGCAGCGGGGGGCACAATCTCCGGACCCGGAAAGTGCAACGGCTCGGCGAGAATCTTGCGGTACATCTCGTTGGTGTTCTCGTCGTAAAAGGGCGGCAAGCCCGTCAGCATCTCATACAAGAGCACACCCAGAGTCCACCAATCCACCGCCTTGGTATACCCCTGGCCGTGCAGCAGCTCCGGCGCCAAGTACTCTGGCGTGCCGCAAAAGGTATTGGTCTTGTCTTCGTCCTTCATGTCGAGCTTGCACAGGCCAAAGTCGCAGAGGGCAATGTGGCCGACGTAGTCGACGAGGATGTTCTCCGGCTTCAAGTCGCGGTAAATCACTCCGAAGCCGTGCAAGCACTCCAGTGCGCAAAGCAGCTCCGCGGCGTAGAATCGGCTTCGGTTGATGTCGAAGCGCTGTTCTTTCTGCAAGTGGTGGAACAGCTCGCCACCGTTCACAAAAGCGAGGACCAGGTACAGTTTCTCCGGCGATTGAAAGGAAAACTTCAACGGCACGATAAACGGGTTGTTGATCTGCGCCAGCACCGACCTCTCCGCGAGGGTGTGCGCCACTTCCGACCGAGAGATGATGTGTTGCTTCCGGATGGTCTTGAGGGCGTAGATCCGTGACGTGTCCTTCTTCATCACTTGCATCACCTTGCCGAAACTGCCCTTGCCTACCACCTTGAGCAGGTCAAAATCCTCAATCTTGAGGGATCGATGCCGATTCTCCACAAACTTCACTCCAAGTCGGATAGCTCCCGTCCCGTATTGAACGTCATGCCACGTCACCCCAGTCGCGCTGCTTCCATTGCTGCTGGTTGGAGGTGGCATCGCCTTGTCCTTCTTCACACCCCCCGCAGATGCCGCACTCTGCTGTTCCGCAACGGATTGTGCGTCTTCTCGGAATGTCGGAGTGACCCGGCACGAGCCAATGAAGATGTCCTGCTGCCGTGCGGCACTGGGCGGAGCAGATGGGTTCCGAATGTACAACGAAATGTTGAGCTCCGTGCTCCTGCTGACGTCAAACTTGTACTGCACGCTCTCCCCAGGCCAGACGGGGTTCTCGGGCGAGCCGGACACCGCATTTACAAACACCTGCTGCTTGTCAAAGTCCACCAAGGCGTATGGGAGATACTTGGAGTTATAGCGACCGTGGCTGGACGGCACGTTGTTGATGGCCTTCACTCCTGGAGCCGCCGATGATGATGGGCGGTATGCGGTTTGATTGGAACCCGGTCGAGCGCTATTCCCGCCGATGTAGCTGCTGGCAAAGCTGCCCTGGGAAATGCTGCTACCATGCCCCGGGCGCTGGGTGAAGGCCGCTTCCGCGCCCGGGGGCAGGCTGAAGCTGCGTCCCTCGTGCAGTGTGAGAATCAATATACCCGACCGTGCAGGCGCCACCGGAGGTGAAATCATGCTCTCTGATGCGGCGATGCCCTGTGCATCCGATCCATTGCTCGTTGGTGAGGGCTGAGGGGGGTGGGGAGGTGCGGCAGTCGTCGGGTCGATGCGTGGTTTTTCGACGGTGTCGGGCTGTACGGTGGACTGGGCGGAGGTGCGGGAGAAGGGGCTGGCAAGGTGAGTTTCCTTGAGCTCTGCGGCATGGTCAGCGATGGGGTTTGTGATTGCTAAGCGGAGGGACTGCAGCACGCACTCTTGGTAATGTTCCACGACGACATGTTTGGCGATGCGGCTGTTTAGACGTCGCCGGGAAGATGGAAGATGAGAGAGGGATCCTGAAGGCGTGACAAGTCGGTGTGGCTTGGGTCCGCGTCACTCGTGGTGATGATGAAGTTGAAGGAGGTTTGCCAATGCCAGCATCAGCACGTGCAGCAAAAGGACCGGCCAGAGGATTGGAATGTAACGGGATGAGCAGAAGGGTAGAGGTGGTGTGTAGCTGTCACTTCCAGAAAGTCGCTCAACCTCGTCCTCGTCCTGCTGAGGATGCGGACGCTGATGCGGAGGCGGACGGACAAATGTCTTGGCACGGCTTAGGGCTGGCCCGAAGTGCCGACATGAAACACGACGTAGGGCAGACGCTCATCTTCGTATACCGCTATGGAATATCCAACCTCATCAACTCTTGGCAGCATTGCCCAACCAGCCCATATCCACGAAAAATTCAAAGACCCTCCCGCCCTTGGTCGTGTCGATCCGGCTCATCTCTCGCACCTGCTTCTTCTTCAACTTGCCCTCATTCTTCATGGCCTCGCGGAATACCGCGTCCTTGATGGCGAGATATGCCTTGGGCTGGACGTGAAGCTTGCCGCATAAATCCTTCTCCTCCGGCAACAACAGCTGCAAATCTGGGGATGTGTCTGAGGACATTTGCAAGGGAGTCAGATTCGGGATTGCCTGCAACGGTGCTCGTTTGGGCGACACGTTGTCTCCGGAGGGAGGCGTGGGGAGGCCCGTCGACGCCTTGTCATTCGTCAGGCGCACAGCGAGATCTTTCGTCGTGTATTCCGTCACAGCTGTCGAGGTCTCGGGAGGTGGCGCGGCCTTGCCGACGCGAATCGTGCTCGCCATGCGATCGAATTGGCCCATGACTTGCGACTTCGCGATTCGACTCGCCTTCTCCCCCTCGTACTTCTCTCCCGCTTGCAATGTGCTCAACCGCATCCTCCGCCATTCCTGCAACTGATTGATTGCTTGGCGCAGATTCTGCTCCTTCTCCAGATCCTCGGCGTAGGTGGTGAAATCCGGATGGCTCATGATCCGTGCAAACGGCTTCACCTTCAAGTTGAGGTCTCGCTGCTCCTTTGTCCGCTTCTTGTCCACCGCCAAGTTCTTCCTATAATCCAGTAGCTTGTGGTTGAAGATGACCCTCTTCCGATCCGTCCGCGCAGTGAGTCGGTCGTTGTAGATTCCCATCACGACCATCTTCAACTCCGTCTCGGGGTCGAATTGCCCCGTGGCAGGATTGATGCCCTCCTCCGGCGAAAAGTTCATATGCTGCACCGCCTCTTCCGCCTCGTTGAAGTACTCATTCTCAAACTCCAATCTGCCCGGCATATATCCCGCCACCTCGTGACAGCTGGGCACACTGCTCGTCGTCTTCACAATCACCGGATCCTTCTTCGCCGCCTCTGCAATCTCCGCCTTGCGTCCATCAATTCTCCTCTTCTTCCTCGCCTGGAACTCCTCCCGCGGCACATCGTCACTCAACCGCTTGTCGCCCGGGCTCGCCCTCTCGGGAAGCGGGAAAAGCTCCGACTCCAGGTATGTCTTCACATAATGATCCCGCACCTCATCCTTCTCTCTATACCCCCCAATATGATCCGCAATATCCGCCCAGCTGCCCAGGCCATACTGTTCCGCGCCCTCCAACAGTAACAATTCCTCGTCCGCGCCCCAGCCGTCGTCGAAGATGGGGATACTGTGCGGCTCGATGACGGAGTAGGGATGCGATCGCGGATCGTGGTGCAAATTCGCCTTGCCGCCCGCGAAACACGTGACGCACAGGTCGTAGTCCGGGCATTGCTTGGAGGCGCAGCGGATGCGTACGGTGCTGGTGATGTCGCTGCTGCAGACGTTGCAAATGTACTTCACCCCGCCCCCGGCCGACGAGGGGGCTGCGGCATCGGTCTTTTGCGCCTTGGCCTTGGTTATGAGGCCCATGATGGTCGCATGAGGAGGTCGGGTGCCACTCCGATGGGGAAGATGATGCGACGACCGGGAGAGATGGAATGAGGAGTGTTTTGACTCCGATGTGCAAGCGCAGGGAGGATGTTGAAGTCACGGGTGGAGTCTGGCCGCAGAAATTTAAGGTTCGGGCCGCGGCGACAACGCGCAGATCGTTGTGCCAGCATTCACTTCATGCAAAGAACCATGATGCGTTCGTGGGTGGACGAATTTGTGCGAGATGTCTCTTCTATCCTACTGATGCACTTCCATGCCTCGGATTCTATGCAAGCCCGCGGATCTCCCTTCCTTGCATATCATGTCCAATCCGTGTAGGATGGATGAGAGCGGGCGAGACGTCCAAGCAGCCCACTGTCCCCAAAGACAGTCATCCAGCCAAATCTCCCCTCCTCATTCACATCACCGCCTGCAACTCGGCAATCTTGTCGTAGAGTTCGGTGGCGAACTGCTGCCGTATCTATCATCGCTGTCAGCATAACTCCATGCATTGAAGAACGACCGACACTCACCTTCAACTGCAACAACTCCAACCCCTCCTTCCCATCCACCGCGCCCATGAAAAACACGTTACCACCTTGCGGTTTCCCGCCATCCGGAGCCCCGACTTTGATCTCCTTCTTCACCGGCGTGTTCAAAATGACCCGGTGACTGCCTTCCGCACGCATCAGCAGTCTCGCTTTGAGCCGCGTCTCCTCTTTTCCTGCAGAGCCATGGCTGACATTCAGCCGCACCACCCCCAGCCCCCTCTCCTTCCACTCCTTCTTCCCATCCCCAATGTCGGCAAAGTTGTAGAGTTTGGCGCGACAGGAGTACGCGGTCGTCTCCTCCTCCTCGCCCGTCTCCAGATCCTGCGCATAGAAGCGTTCGTCTTGCTTGTCCGACGTTTGAGAAATAGGGCTTTTGAAGCCGGAGTCATCGGGCCCGGGATCCTCCCCTGCGTCTTCCGCGTCCTCTGCATCGTCTGCCGGCGCGCCCAAAGGCTTCGTTGCTTTCGAGCTGCTCAACAAAGACGCAGACGGCTTGCCGCTCGCAAATGTCGTGAGTCCACCACTTCCAAGGCCACCAAATCCACTTCCCCCACCGAAAGTACTCCCAAACCCGCCTGATCCACCCAGCTTGCCGAACCCGGACGCACCACTGGCGAACGTGCTGAGACCAGTTCCAGTTCCAGTTCCGGCGCTAGAGAAGGCGGACTGCTGTCCCAGCGCTCCACCAAATGCACTGCTCGACGGCGATTTCGTCTTGTCGGCATCTTGCTTTGAACCCTCCGTCAGAGTCGTGCTTTTGCTGGTGGTGGCGAAACTACCCCCGGCTCCAAACCCCCCCGAACTCTTGCCGATTGCCCCAAACCCAGATGTCGAACCTGTAAGTGCACTGAAACCCGATGCGGCAAATGCACTGGTTGAGGTCTGTGAGTCTGAGGCGGGAGACTTGCTGCCGGCGAGAGATGCGAATGGGGAGGAGGTGGAGGTGTTTGCGAAGCCGCTGCCAGCTGGAATCTTGGCATTCGACTTTTCAGCCGGAGGTTCGGACTTCTCTGCATCATCATCTTTGGTAGATTTGGCGGTAGTGTTGGTCAATGCCTCGTCGGATTCAACTTGCAGCCGACTTCTCTTAGTCTTCGGGCTGGCCATTTGTTCGGTCGGGGCGTCTGCACGCTTCTCGCCGGCGTGGTCTGGTGTACGCTGGCGCGCGGTTGACGGTGCACGGAGATGCCCGTTGGCTGGATCCTTCTCGCCAATCTGCGAGCTGTCTCGTGGGCGGTCGCTGGACTTTCGGGAACCGTTGTTTAACTCTTCCTCCTCTGCCGTACTATCTCTCGACCGCTTGCGCGTGTGTTGACGTGTTGAGGAAGTAGCCTTCTCCTCGGCCTCGTCGTCTGCGGCCTCGTCGAAACTCCTTTTCTTCTGCGGACGGCCTCTGTTGCCACCACCATTCTCCACCTCGTCGCTGTGGCCTTCCTGCGATTGCTCTTCTTGCTCTTGACCCTCGCTTGCGGTAGTTGCGTCTGCCAAAGCAGTCTTGGAGATGCTGGCTTTCTTCAGTTGCTCTCGCACTGGCTTCTCTGATGCCTCTGTGTCGGAGGCGACACCATTCTGCGGGTCTGAGGCCATGTCGAATGCGGAGCGGAAAAGGCGAGGGTGTTTGCGACGTGGGTGGTGAGATCACCGGTGGCAGGTTGAATTCAAACGAGCGGCTTCCAAACGCCGCGGCAGCCTGCTCTGCTCAGATGAAGTACCGGAGATGGTGCGGACGGAGGTAGAGGAAGTTGTGATGGCACAGCGATGCAGCGTTGTGGCCGTTTTTGTTCGCCTGCTGGCTTTGTTGCAGGTCCGTATTTCGCCACTGCAGGACGTCGATGACAGACAAAGGGGACTGGGAGAGGAGTGAGCGCGGCGCTTGAATGACTGAAAGACGGGCGTGGTCAGCTATCGGGGTGTTGTGCGAGGGTATCACGAGAACAAAGCCGTCGGAGGTGGAGACCGGGGCTAGAGTTGCCCAAGAAACTCTAATCAATTTGTGGCGCGCGCAGCTTCCCGATTTGATTAAGAGATATGCCCTGGAGGGGGAGCACGAACGCGAACATGGAGTGCACAATCCATTCTCCTCGATGTCATTCATTGATTGCAAGGCCTCACTCCATAATCCTCTCCTCACCTGTACGCTTCATGATGGTGACTTCTCTTCGTGCAATCAACCACCTCCCACTCGCCCCGGGCACCCCCTTCGCCTTTCCCCCTTCACCATCCAATACCAACCCGTCCTGGTACTTGCCCCAGGCAATACTCTGCCGCCCCTCCCATTTCCCCGTACCAAAATGCACGCCAGTAAAGTAGGTCGTCGCCTCTGCCGTCTTACCATCGTCGGCTATGACAATGTGTTGCGTTGTCAATGCATGGTGAGTTGTCACGGGTTCCAGCCTACACACGTAGTCAGTACCACCTACGGACGACGATGTTCCGGGAGTTCAGCAGGTCGAAATCGCGCACCGTTTCTCCAGTCTCTGAATCAGACTTTCCAGGTCTTTTGCGGCGTCGAAGCCCTCAATAGGATACCGGACTTGCACATTGGGCGTAAAGACATCGTCGAGCAAGTGAAAGGTCTTGCTGTCGAGGGCCATGCAATATTTCGCCAGGGTGTTTTGAATGGCAATGTAATCGAATGCGTTGGGTGACATGGCTGTTGGCCACCGGCGAGATATCTGTGGTGTAGGTGTTGAAGAGATGATGAGTTTGCTAGAGGTGAGTTTGGGTTTCAAAGACGGCGCCCACACGCAAACACGTGCCACGTGCAACAATCAATCAGATTGTGAAATAACTGCGTTTGTTATACGCTGTCGCTATCTAACCTACCAATCTTCCGTAAAACCCCGGAACTACAGTGCGTTGCTCTACTCACTCCTCATACTGCAAGCCAGCACCATCCTTCAACCCCTCCACCTTCAGCTCCTCTCCCTCCGCCCGACGGTAAATATCCCGCACATCATCCGTCATGGTCTCGAAATGACTGCTCGCGTCGTAGCTCCTCGAGATGAACACCTGATCATTCACGCCCGACTCCAGCGGCTCGTAGATGGGGATCGGCGGGCCCATGAACTGCTCCTCGATCTTGCCCAAGCGATCCAGGCCGGGCTGCAGTTCGAGATGGTGGTTTGCCCCGCTCTCGGAAATGGTCGACACAATGGCAATGTAGTAGCCCTTGGGACAGACATTGTGGGTGGAGGAGACCATGGCTACGTAGATGTCTGGAGATGTGAGTTAGTACGTGCTACACCATGTTGGGAAACACCCCCCTTACCATGTCGTCGCCCGACTTGACTCTGCGGAATGATGAGTTGTAGCGAGTCGGCATTGTCGGTCTTGTCGATGGGATGATTCAGGATGCAGATCGCCTTGACCAGGTGGCCCACCACTCTCGCCTTGTCGGGGAAGTAGCTCGGATCGGCGAGGATCTTCTTGCACTTTGTCTCAAACTTCATCCCCTCGCCCTCCTCTCCTCGCTCCTTCATCGTTGCCTTGATGCCCGACACCTTTCCACCTTCGTACTTGACTTCATCCACAGTGGCATTGAGCATGTACGTGCCACCGTAGATGGCTGACAGCCGTGCGAAGCCCTGGGGCAGCTCGCCGAGGCCGTAGAGCGGGTAGATGTATGGCGACTTGCCGTACCGCGCCATGCTGTTGACATACAACCGAATGCGGTCAATGCAGTCCTTGGCCATGCCTTTCTGGTTAATGTGTTCATCGGTGGGGTAGAGGGCCATGCTGTGGCCGATAAAGTCGCGCGTGGTCGCCTCGAGCCCATATTTGTCGTAGACCTGCTTCATCGTCGTCTGCGAGAGGTTCATGCCGTTGTGCGTGCTGGGATTGTTTTCGTCAAAGTTGCCCACCCAGGTCAGGAAGTTCCGCGCTCTTCTCTTCTCAAACAAGCCCATCAACGGGCTGCGCAGGGCCTCGCCGGCGTCCGAAGGCACCTTGGCCACGGTGGCGCGCGGCCCGTTGCCTTGCTGGACGTAGGAGCCGGCAATCTGCTTGAATTCGATGTAGCGGGTGACGTCGGTGCTGACGAGGATGTTGGTGAGGTCGCCGTTGGCCATGAGCAGCTTGGGAACGAGGTCGATGTTCCAGTCGTTGGGCCGGCCGTACTTCTTCCACGGCTCCGTGCCGGCCTGGTAGTTGCCGTATTGCTTGAAGAGCGTCTCGAGGTTGACGGACGCTGCTTCGCCGCCGTAGTGGTCGTTGCGGTCCATGTGCAGCACCTTTTTCCCGCGCACCGACATGACGCCGCTGAGGATGCATTCCGTCAGGCCAGTGCCCAACACGACCACGTCGTATTCCGAAGCGATTTCCTCCATGTTGGGCGGATGTGCTCGAGCTGAAGGGTGGTATGCGAGAAGGGTTGCAAGTGGTTACATGTGCTGGTGGGGTGTTTGGCGGCGGTCAAGATATGGCGGGCAGCTTGAAACAGCGGGAGAGAAGAGGTGGCATGTGACGACGCCAACCCGCCCGCAGCTCATCATTCCGAGCCCAAACCCTAAGCAACGGCACTCTATTCGATTCCGACCTTGTGCCTGGCAGCTCCCCTTACACGACTGTAAATCTCAATTGGTTAGGCATAGAGGTACTCGAGGGAGCTGCATTGTGAACCGTCGAGCAGATCGTCGGTGGTGGATGGGCGGTGTAGAAGTCACTGGAGTTGTTCGCTCTTGGAATCGGCCATGAAACTGATGAAAGAAAGCAATACTGGACATCCAACAAGAGCCGCATTGGTGCACCAGAATTTGTACAATCGTGAAAGGATTTGGCATTCGTGAGAAGAGGTATTGAGCGAACCGACGACTCCTGTCGGTTGCATGTAGTCAAGCATCAAATGGATCATGGTGACGATGCAGCGATGGCAATGTGTCTAGGGTTGCTATTTGGCAACTCGCAGCGATTGGTCAAAGCAACTACATCTATGCGATCTCTCCAGGCATTGACATCCATCTGCAAGACGGCTCAGGTAATGGCATCAGTGAAACGGCGGACAATGTCGCCGGCCGATCATGCGTGGTTACGGCGATCATCATCTGCCACCATCCGCCACGAGTTTCGACGGCCGCAAGGCTCGGGTGGGCGAGAAGCTGGAAGATACATGCGATCAAAAGGGGGCCCGTTGGATATGGAGGCGGGTGTTGGAGGACTAAGGTAGCAAGGAAATATCGGGCACACATCTTACACCCCGTAACCGACCAGGCACATGGTCCCGCTGCCTATTTGAGATGGCGTTGCGCCTAACGCGGGTTGATTTGAGAAGATACACGGCCAATGGAGCCGAGTGCAAGGTAGAGTCAGACAAAAAGGATCTTTTCAATGATACATTTGGAATTATTGCCGCGGTATTCCGTCAATACAAATCGAGATTCGAGGTATGGCAATCGACATTGGCCACGGCGGAGACGGACAGCAAGGCCGGCGAGAGGGAACAGGCAATCATTAGCGATAGGATCTGGGTTGGAGTCGGAGATGAGACAAGGGTCGGACACGATGCAGTGCTGTACATGAAGCATTTAGGTTCGAAGCGAAGGCTCGGGCTGGCTGACCAAATCGCCATATCGTCTGTGTGCATCAAGATGCACACGGTCCGTGTCCAAAGCGTGCCGACGGGAGTGTTGGGAACTTGGCCTGGGCTTAGATTTCTTGCTGGTGATGAGGTCAGCCCTGGCGGCCAAGGCGGAAGGGGCTCCGCAAGCTAGACGCCCCGCGGCCTAGTCGTGCAGAGAGGGCGTAGATGAGGGGAGACTGTGGTAGTGGTGTGGCGGCGCATGGAGGATAGCGTGAAGGGTAAGGTATGAACGGGAAGGGACGACGGAAGCAGCACCGCTCCTTCCCCACGAACCACGCACGATTAGGTTGTGGCGGAAGGCGTGGAATGACGCTGCGGCTGCGGCTGCTGCTTCTAAGCGAGCCGCAACCACACAGCACACACACACCCAGCACGAACAACCAGCACACCCGCAAGATGGGCCCAGCGCACGCCCCGGCAGCTTGCATGACGGGGCCGGGCAAGCAGATCTGCCTTACTAGCAGCACCCCAAACCCGGCCAGGATGTACCGATGTACTCACCCATGCGGCGTGCACGGCTTTGCCCCACTGGCATTGGTTGGCGGCCAGCTTGCTGTCCAACGTGAGGTGCTGTTCCTCCCGTCCAACCATCAGGTGGCGTTCAACCACCCTTCCCTCGTTCCCTCCCTCCCTCCCACTCCCCTCCGCACCATGCTCGCCGCCATAAGAGCCTCTGGCCCTGCTCTTCCTTGCTCCCGACATGGCGCCTCCCACCGACCAGGCCGCGCCCCTCAAGACCGACGATGAGTCTCCCAACGCGGGCCAGACGCCCTCGAACCGCAAGCGTCATCTCCGAGCAGCACAGGTAAGCAGCTCTCCCGCATCGCCAACGCCAACACCATCGCCACCACACCCCACCTCATTCCACACCCACCCGCTCACGCTCATCCAGGCTTGCGACCTGTGTCGGGAAAAGAAAAGAGCATGCGACGAAGGGCGGCCATGCGCCAACTGCGACAAGGACAACCTGGTATGTCGCTACTCCGCCAGCAAGTCCACTCGCCACATGTCCGACATCGATGCCGCCTTCCACCATCTCGACGAGCACACCAACAAACTGCACATGCACATGCAGCTGCTCGACAACTACCTCCCCCGCTTGGACGAGCTGGCCACGCGGCTGGATGCCGTCGAGAGGAACAAGCTGCAGGCAAACAACCCCGACTTCTCCCCGCGAGATCCATACCATGCCTCGGGCGTGCACACGCTCGTCAAGCTGTGGCCCTCCATCGACTCCCTCCTCTACTCCGCCCACTTCCCCGTCGATCCCGGCTACGTGCTCGCCTCCGAGGCCAAGGATGTCCACATCAGCCCCCGCCCCTACGCGCCCCATACCATCCTCCCCCGCGACCCCGTCACCAGCCACGCCTATGCCTTGAACGACTTGCCCGCCGCCGATGCCATGCTGGACCGCAAAGCTCGCATCCCCTCCCCGGACGGCAACAACTCCCTCCGCTTGCTATTCCGCAGCTATGTCGACAACATGCACTCCCTCCATCCCTTTGTCGATCTTGATGACGCCCTTCACTCTTTTGAGCACCTGTTTGGCGACAACTTCCATCCGCCGCTCAGCTACCCGGACGACATGAGTGAGCCCACCCACCGGCCCATCAAGAGACCGCGAGTCGACCATATGAGCTTTGGGCATGGCGGAAGCATTGCGCCTCCATCTCGCGCACACAAACCTTCCCCACTGGAAACCGCCCGCCTCTACCTCATCCTCGCTCTCGGAGACATTTGCGCACACAAGAGAGGCTTGGTCTTCAGCCCGAGGAGCAAGGTCCAATCACTTGCAGAACGTACGGGCCGTAGCGGCTCATTTCAATCCGACGCCACACTTGTGGACGACGGGCTCGTCTCTCCACTATCCGCAAACCCGCCCACACCCCAGGGCTTTGCCGATGGCGGTCCAGCAGACGTTCCTGGCGCAAACTTCTATGACCAAGCGACACGGATCGCGGGACCTTTCCAGGGTGGTAATGATCTCATCCATGCTCAAATCGCCCTCCTCGCCGGCCTCTACAAGGCTCAAGTTGGACAAGTACGCGAGAGCTTCAACTGGATCAGCTCGGCCGGCCGATCGGTGCTGCACTTGCTCCGCCGTTTTCATCTCCTTGCGAATAGCTCCGACATGCACGACGATTCCCCCGAAACACGAGGTCGAGCGCCCTACCAAAGTCTGCAGAAACGTGTGAAAAGCGCGGAGCATGACCTGGTGGTGCTGGCTGCGTGGAGCTGCATTCAGTTGGAGGGCGATATCCTCGCCGAGCTGCCTTACCCCGAAAGTGGCATATTGGCTTGCGAGGATCTCCTGCCCTGGCCAACTCGCATCCCCGGCGGCTCGCAATTCTACAAAACGGGCGCGTTGAGCAGTCATGATGTGTTGATGTACTTCTCCTCCCAGCTCTGGCTTCGGAAACGTTTGAACCTGATCCAGAATCAACTCCACGGTGGAGCTGGCAAACTCTTGTCGACCTTTGCCCTTCGACAAGTACTATGCGAGCACCACGTCTCCCTCACGTCGTGGCGTAGCGGTCTACCCATCCATCACGGATGGCTGGACACTGAGCCCCCGCCGGCCGACATTCACACCGCCCGGCTTCGCGCCAAGTACTGGAGCGCGTGCTTTCTCGCGGACCGACCATACCTGGACTGCGTGTTGCATGAAATGGCGTTCGACGCGTACGGGCACAGTCGCACGGACACAGGCAGTCGGCTCTTCGATGCCATCTCCACGCTGCCCGAGGCGCAGAAAATGCAGGGTGCGCAGCGGTGCATTCAGGCCGCTTTCCAGAGTGCGCGAGCCTTCGATGGTATCAACCAGGCCCTTATCGACCCCAACATGCACGGCACTGCACATGCGTATGATCGACCCGACCTTGTGATTACTCCATGCATTGCCAGACTAACACACTTTCCAGGCTCTTCGGCAACGTCCTCGTCCTCGCCGCAGCGTATACAAATACGACTGTCACCGTCAACCCGCCGAGGATGGGAATCCAGCAGTCCGAACTCCTTGGCCTGATCCGCCGCACCCTCGGCTTCCTTGAACGCCAATCATTCCTCTCCGAGACGTGCAAGATTGATCGGCAAATCCTGCAAAAAGTGCTGGTCGCGGTGGCGAACGATCCGTGACGACGCTTGTCCATGTTCAGTGGAGGAGGGAGCAGGCGGCATCAACCTTTCACTGTATTCAGTTGTTCCATTTCGAGGGGCATTCATGTATAAGCGAGGACAGAGCGACATCATGATGGACAAACGACATTTAATAACAAAAGCGACCATGACCCGATGGCATTGGGCGGGCGTCGAGGGTTGTCTGCATCATTACGGCGAGATGACGAGGACATCAATAGTGCATCCATCATACGCGCGGAGATGTGGTTCATCACTATTTTGTATGTACACGGTCCAGCACGTCGCTCCGCGCTTCGTGCCGTCGAACGCCGCTGTTTCATTTGATTCTCGGACTAGTTCCTCAAGTCCAGGAACCGCCAGCGTGCCTACTCTGGTGTATTTCTATGCTTCATGTTGCTGCTTCTCGCTCTCATGCAATTACCACGTGCTTGGCTGGCGTCTTCATTGTCGTTGTCGTCGTCGTCATCGTTATTGATCTCCTTGCATGTTTCGTACCACGTGTTTGTCGTTGCTTTTTGGCTCTCGGGCCGAATGCTCCGTAGCCTTGCTTCCCTTGTATGCTCGTCCATCAAGCACGCTTCATGGCAGCGTGTCGCTAGACGGAGATCCCGCTCCGTCCGCGCGCTGTCCAACCCGTGGGCGGAAGGGCGAGGGCCTGAAGAGTGTCCACCTCGATTGCGCAGTATGTCATTTGCTCGAACTGTCCGCAGCTTCAGCGGCACCAGCGGTCGCAGCGCTCTGGTTCCTCTCCCTGTCCGGCGACCATGACTCCCTCGCGGGATCCCAATACGTCTGTTTCGCTCGGCCGGCAATGCTTCCATCGACGCCCCCTCCGGCTGCATTCTTACTCCTCGCCGCCAGCGCGGCGCTCTCTCCATCCCCATCGGCGCCCGCCAACAACGTCCGCCACAACAACCAGCGAATCACCCAATTCTCCTGCTCACGGTTACTGCCATCGCCGCCGGCGCCGCGACTCGCGCTCCCCTCGTCGCCTCCGAGATCGTAGATGCGTTGGATGTCCGGGTGCGAGGTGCGGTAAATGCGGCGCGCCTCGGCGTGCAGCGCGCCCTCGGTGATCTGGGTGCAGATGAAGGGCGGGCGGATGGAGGCGTCGTTGCGCAAGTAGGGGAGGAGGCAGCTACGGTCGTAGCAGATTCTTTGGCAGCCCTGGAAGATGTCGGCCTGGGGATGTTAGGGGTGCTCGATCAGGAAGGGGAGAGTCTACACACCTTCATGGCGTGGTATCGTCTGCGGTCGTGCTCGAGGTCGAGATTGAGTTGCAGGCGTGAGAGGAATTCGGCCTCGGTGGCATCGGCCATGGTCTCTGGCGGGGAGGGCATGCGTAGGAGAGCCATGGTGAGTGAGGGAGGAGGGAGGGAATGCGTGGGTTGTGGTGCAGAAGTGGGGAGCAGTGCTTTTAAGGCGCAGGAAGAAAACGGGGCAGGATGCGGAGCGATGAATGAACATGGCGCCGGTCTTTCCGCTACATCGCGTGGGTTTTCGGGGCTGCGCGTATCGACGGTGCATTGCTCGTCATTGCGGTTGGGTTGGAGGCGTCAAGGTGCAACGCTATGCCAAGGAGATGGGTCAGTAAGCGAGCGTGTGGTGGGAGTGGAATCGAGGGGCATTATTCAAGGCCCACGATGACGAGTTTCCGCGATTCCGACGCCTCGTCTCGCCCATCGCCCGACTGGACCAGATCTTCAGGCCCTGTTGAATGCCACGCCATCCACGTGGACCCTCATGCCCGATGGCTGGAGATCGGGCGAGGCGGGTGCTGTGGAAATAAAGCAAGAAGGATGGTGGTGGAACGGAGGTAGGTCCGAGGCAGGAGCATTACTGTGCGCATAACGGGATGGGTCCCCGGATCACATGAGCTGCGGAGGTTACATATGTCCACCCTCCATCACTCTGCTTCTCTGCTTGGCAGAACCTCTGAGACGTGCGGTGAAATGTACAACTCGCCCTACCTCACATACCACTCCTGCTGTGCCAACATCCACACCAGACTGCTGCTCGCCACCACCATCGGACTCGCCAGCCCTCGACTCAGCCGCGCCGTGCGGAAGTAGACATACTCGCTGCCAAAGTGCAGGATGGCAATGGCAAACGTCCACATGGCCAGCTCGTAGACGGCGCGGTTGTGGATGTTGAAGGCGGCGTACAGCCGTACCACGCTCGACAGCGCGGTCCATGTGCCAAAGGTGCGTGCGGACAGTGGGGTGATCATGGTGGTGGGCGCTGCGTAGACCTCACGCGCACCGCGCAGCGAGATGTAGGACTGGACCGTGTAGATTGACGAGACTGAGGCTATCTGTACTCGAGAATGATCAGCCATTGGCACTTGGATATATGCCATCATCCCGCAGAGTGAGGGGACATACCAGGAACAGCCATTTTGGGAGCAACCCGTCGTCGAAGGAAAGGAAGTTGGGGATGGATGAGGCCATTGTCGTCTAGGACGAGCTGTGCAGGTCTCGGTCTATTCTTGAAAGTTATTGTGCCTTGGGGAAACAAATAAAATCGCCGACACTCCGCGTCCACGTCGTCGGGCTCCCGCCAACCAGCGGGCCGCTCCTTCCCCACGCGCGCGCGTCTTCCGCAACAGCTTCCTCGTCCATATTTCTCTCCCCCTGTCCATAACTCCATCATCCCTTTACCTTATCGGATTGTCGCCCGCCATGGAAGACAAAATTGCCGCTGCCCTCGGTGACTCCACCGACTACTGGGCCTCTCCCACCACCCAGATCTTCGCCTTCATCGGCCTCTTCTGGCTGTCCATCAAGATCTTCTCCTTCTGGCGTCTCATAGCCAGTCTCTTCATCCTTCCTGGCACTTCGGTGAGTGCAACCATGCCCTGCCCATCACACTCCACCTTGCTAACATTCACGCTTGCTACAGCTCACCAAGTTCGGCAAGAAAAGCACCTGGGCTGTCATCACGGGTGCCAGTGATGGCATTGGCAAGGAATACGCCATCCAACTCGCCGCCAAGGGCTTCAACGTCGTCCTCATCTCTCGCACCCAATCCAAACTCCTCGATCTGGCAAAAGAGCTAAAGGACAAGTACCATGTCGAGGTGCGCAATCTGGCAATGGACTTTGCCGCCAATCGCGACAAGGACTACGCCGCGCTCAAGAAGCTGCTGCAGGAGGAGGTGGGCGAGGTCGGCATCCTCATCAACAACGTCGGCCTCTCCCACTCCATTCCCGTCCCCTTTGCCGAGACGCCCGAGCAGGAGATGAAGGACATTGTCACCATCAATTGTCTCGCCACCCTCCGCGTCACCCAACTCGTGGTGCCGGGCATGGTCGCCCGACGCCGCGGCCTCATCCTCAACATGGCCAGTTTCGGCGGCCTCTTACCCACCCCTCTACTCGCCACCTACTCCGGAAGCAAAGCCTTCTTGCAACAGTGGTCATCCGCCCTCTTCTCCGAGTTGGCGCCGCATGGCATCACGGTGCAAGTCGTGCAGTCCTACCTCGTCACCAGCGCCATGTCCAAGATTCGAAGAGCCAGCTGGCTGGTTCCCACGCCCCGACAGTTTGTCAAAGCGGCATTGGGCAAGATTGGACGCAGTGGGGGTGCGCAGGGCATCTTGGGCACCTGCACGCCGTACTGGGCGCACGGCATCATGCATTGGGCAATCGCGAGTTTTGCGGGTACGATGAATGGGGTGGTGATTGGCATCAACAAGCGCATGCACGAGGATATCCGCCGCAGGGCGTTGAAGAAGGCGGAAAGGGATGGGAAGAAGTCTTCGTAGCCGTGCCAGAAATATCGATCATTGACCATCCTCATCGTATGGTAAAGCCGCCGTCCAGTCTTACATCATTCCCATTGATACTCTTCGCTTTGTCCTCGCAGAGAAAGTGCACAATCCGTGCCACCTCGTCCGGATCCGCAAAGCTGCCCGTCGGCACGCTCTTGAGATACTCCTCTCGGGCAGCCGGGTCACTCCACGCCTTCTTCCCCATCTCCGTCATGATCGGACCCGGGGAGATGGTGTTGGTCGTGATGCCATGCGGGCCCCATTCGCTCGCCATGCATTTGCTGAGTCCGATCAAACCTGCCTTACTCGCGCAGTACGGGCCGTGACTAGAGTGAATATTAGCTCGTTGTCCGTTTCTCGGAGGAAGAGTAGAGACTGCTCACTGCCACAGCGCAACATGCGCCGCCTGACTCGCAATATTCACAATCCTCCCCGGCGCCGCCTTGCCCTCTCCCTCCGCCTTCTTCCGCTCAATATACATCCTTGCAAACGCCTGCCCCGTCAACGTCGGCCCAAACAAATTAATCACATAATGCTTCAACGCATCCTCGGGCGGGAACGTCTCGAGCGCGGTCAAATTCACATACCCCGCCGCATTGACGAGCATGGCGGGGAAGGCGACATTGTCCTGCGCGATGGCGCTGAAGGCCTCGGAGACGGAGTCCGGCGACGTGATGTCGCAGGCGTAGCCTTTGATGCTGTCGCCTGCTTCGCTAGTGTTCTGGTAGCCGTATGTTTCGGCTACGGTGGGTTGTAGGCGCTCTGCTTCTGCTGGGGCGTAGAGGAGGGCGAGTTTGGCGCCGTGGGCGTGCAGGAGTTTGCCTGTTGCGCAGCCTAGGCCTCCTGGACGGTTCTTAGATGGCAGGATGGCAAAGGCTGAGTGGCTTGGACTTACCCAGACCTCCTGCTAATATTGCCAGCCGGTTCGTGAACGCCATTGTGTGGAATGTTGGTGGTGGTGTCGTGCTCCGGGGCTCACCCCACATTACAAGAAGACGTCCTTCGTCATTGCTCAGGGCAAGGTTTGGAAGGATCGTGGTGTAGCCGAGCTTAACAGCCTTGCGCATGAGACCTGTTGAACACGGATACATGTATATTCATACACGACGAAGAGCTGTCTACATGTTGCTAAATCAAAGCTTCGAAGATACCTTGACCACCACCTTGCCCTTGGCCCGGCCGGTATTCAACCTCTCAAACGCCTCATTGGCTTTGTCAAACTCGTGCACGCTGTCAATGTAGATATCGTCCGGTCCCAGTGTGTTCTTCGCATCCTCCAACCACTCTTTCTTCTTGCTCAGGACTGTAACGTCATAGCTCTCGCCCAAGCCATACTGCCCCTTTGCCCATCGGAACCATTGCAGGCCGGCGCGAATGGGATGCCAGTAATCGTAATAGGTGTATGGTCCACCCATCGACTCTCGCCCGACCTTGTCGCCAACGATCGAGATGTATCGCTTGCTGGACGGAAGGCCAATGCACTCGGTCCCGCCGACGCAGTCAATTACCGCATCCGGCTGGAACTTGGCCACACCCTCTCGCACATCTTGTGAGGTGTAGTCGACGTGCTCGTCGGCGCCCAATGTGGATAGGACAAAGTCCTTGTTCTTCCCTGACGAAGTGGCAACCACCTTCCACCCTTTTCGCTTGGCGAGAATGATGGTGTAGAGGCCTGTCGAGCTGCTGCCTCCCAGGACAGCGACCTTCTTGTTCTGACTGGCCTCGACAAACGGTGCGACGGAGTCAATGCTTGCCTTGGCTGTGAGCCAGACCAAACTGATTGCGGACGCCTTCTCATGACTCCACCCTTTGGGCTTCAACGCAGCCAGACTGGTTTCAGTATTCAAGTCTGCTACTTCCGCCAGCGCCCCTCCATTCGGAGCGTAGGGCTTCAATGTGAGCCCAAACACCTCGTCGCCCTCTTTGAACCCCGTCCGGCCGGGGGCAATAACGGTACCGCTGTAGTCGTTGACTGTGCCTTTTTCTTTGCCGTACAGAGCATTCCATGGTTGCTTCCAGGATGGGAGGTTCATGATCTGGACATCGACGGGGTTGAGGGCGCAGGCGTGAATCTTGACCAACATGTGGGGTGGGCCGTCACCTTCATCCTTGAAGGCGGAGGCAGACGGTGGGTGGATGGTGCCGCGTTTGAGAGTGTTGTAGCCTCCGGTGTAGACCCAGGCTTTCGCTTCTTGTGTCGCCATGTTCAAAGAGTGATGTTGTTCATGGAGTCGAGGGGTGATGCGTTCCCCTATGAATTTGTAGAGGCAAGCGGAATGACGTTTCCATGAATCAAAGCGATGTGCAGATGTAGCCGTGTCGCTTTCTACCCTCGCCACATAGCCTTCGTGCTCAAGAACCACCATGCGGCTAAAAGGTGGTACCCAAGCAAAGGTATTTTTTTGGAGATCGACGGGCCTCGTCTTACGTCATCGCGTTGAGCTCCAGCGAAGCCCCGCGGTGGGGCGCGTTGATTGGCATTGGGGCCACCAATTTTCTCCCTCCTTCACCGCATCAACACCCGCCGATCAACAGCCAAACAACACTCGATCAACACTGCAAACATGCCTCGTCTCATCATCCTTCGCCATGGCCAGAGCACCTGGAACGATCAGAACCTCTTCACGGGCTGGGTCGATGTCCCGCTCAACGAACGCGGCACATCCGAAGCCACCAAGGCCGGCAAGCTGATGACCAAACACGAATGCCTGCCCGACACCCTCTACACCTCCCTGCTGCGCCGCGCCATCACCACCGCCAACATCGCCCTCGACAACTGCGACCGCCACTGGATCCCCGTCAAGCGCGCATGGCAGCTGAATGAGCGCCACTACGGCGGCCTGCAGGGCAAGAACAAGGCGGAAGCGGCGGAGAAGTTTGGCAAGGAACAGGTGCATCTCTGGCGCAGATCGTACGACGTCCCGCCGCCGGAGAATGAGCAGGATGGCAATACTGATCCGGACGGCCGGTACGCCAAGGGCGGCATCAAGGTGCCCAAGACAGAGTGCTTGAAGGATGTGCTGGTGCGCGTGCTGCCGTACTGGGAGTCGGACATCGTACCGGATCTGAAGGCGGGCAAGACGGTGTTGGTGGCGGCGCATGGAAATTCGCTGCGTGCGCTCATGAAGCATCTCGAGAACATTAGTGATGAGGACATCCCGGGCGTGGAGATTCCGACAGGGGTGCCCATCCTCTACGAGCTGGATGACAACCTGAAGCCCAAGGGAGGAGCAAAGGGCAAGCATTTGGACTAGATGCTGTCGTGAGAGGGATAGATGAGGCATGACGGCTCTTTCAGTGTCCCACCCCAGCCCTGTCTTATTCGATCCCACAGACGGCATCGACCGGTGCTTTCCGATTAGCCAACCCTGCGAATACTCCGGAATCGTAGTCGTATCAAAATTCTCGAACACCGCTCTTTTCTTTCACAATATTCAGGCCCAGCGTGGACAGTCGACACCTGCTGCGCCACCTCACGGGACAATGGCCAACAATGGGAGGACAAGGCTGCGTGCACGTCCTAGAAGACTGGTACTTGCTGCTATCTATCGTATAACGCCTTCAGAAGGTCACAATTGCTGCCACTCTGTCCACGCCCTGCCTGTTCATCCCTCCGCTCATTCGAAAATGGCCAAGCCCGACACCTACCGACCTCAAGGCAATTTCAACGGATCCCGACAAAACCCCTTGCACCCACCCTTGTTGACAACGACGACATCGATCTTGAGCACGCCATTAGTACGATTGGGATTCCCCAGCTCCGCAATCCCAATGCGCCCGCAATTCTCGCACCCCCGGTCGCGAATCATCGTCACCAGCTTTCGCACCTCGCCGCCCTTGAGCCCGCCGTAGTCGCCGCCCTCGATGAAGCAGCAGTATTGGAAAGCGGAGCAGGCGATGTGCTCGGCGCTGTAGAAGACGTCGGTGTCGTCCATCCCTTCCAAGTAGCCGAGGATTTCTTCGATGGGCTGGCCGGGGTCGTTGTAGAAGATGCCGGACCCGCCGTTGCACATGCTGCTTCCGCCGCAGGTGAATTGGTCCCAGGCGACTTTGGGCTTGTCCTTGTGGCGGTCCAAGTTGGCGATTGTGGTGATGTTGGTGTTGTTTGACAAGATTTTCGGGACGACTAGCTGAGGGTCCCGGACGATGATGGGCGAGGCGATGGTGCAGACGGCCAGAACCGCGGTGATGATCAGAAGAACTGCTTTGGTTTGCATGTTGATGGCGGATGTGTATGATGTCGATATGATTGGTGTTGAATGCGATTAATGTTAAATGCCGATGATTCGAGCACGAGATTGATGTGAGCGATGGAAGAAAAGAGGGATGGAGAGAATGGAGAGGCCTTCTCATATCTGGCACGAGCGAAAGGAACGAGCGAACTTCCCTTCGCTCGAAAGCGGAACTGTCGAGGCAGTGGCGCGTAGAATCTCACAGCCAGTCAGAGCAATGGCGAATGTCAGACGATACCTTACCAGTAGTACGGGCAAAAAGTACCAAATAACATGATACTGTGAGCCTACTATGACAGCTACATGATCCATAGGTCGCTGTCGTGCGTTCTGTTCAGTCTTCGGCGGAGCATCCCGTTTCGAGATGGTACAGTCGGGATACGCTGCGTGCTCCATGTGATATAGCCAGAGCGAGCTGGTCACATCCGATTCGCGAGCGTTGCGAGACAAGCAGGCGATCATCCTCGCATGCGATGACTTCGTGCCGACCGTGAGAGGGTGAGATGAATGTCGGCGTCAAAGTTCTACCCGACTGTGGAGATCTCGTGCGGTCGTCTGGTCGTCTCGTGCTTAATAAGCAGAAAAGGCAACCACGTGCGCGCTGGCATTGGCCTTCAAACTCTGGCCATATCAAAATGTAGATATTTGTACTATTCACTGATCAGTTCATCGACGCCGGCATGGTCTATCCATGCGTGGATACCAACCACTCCGTACAACCTGGGTGATAATGGAGCCGGCCTCTGGACCGCGTTGATCACGAAACACCCGCCAGCATGGAGGACTCACCCTCCGGCCCAGTTGCCGCTCTTCGAGATCAATTTGGAGACGGGAAACCGCCAGAGATTACCCGCAAAATCACAGCATGTGTAGCATGTCGAAAGCAAAAAATCAAATGCTACATGAAAGACTCTCAACCTCCCTGCACGCGCTGCAAGAAGCGAGGCCTACCATGCACTGTCAACAAGAGCCTTCAAATGCTCCTCGAGAGTGACTCGGTATGGAAAGAGGCCATCGAGCGGAAGATTCACGATCTGGAGACTGGGCTCACCCGAGTCTCAGACCATCTATCTCTCCCCACCGTCAACAGTGCCAGCGACGAAGACGAACATGATGATGACCATCGCATTGCAGAGCCTTTACGAATGCCTCCTCCAGCTCAAGTCTCTCCACAAGCAGAGAAACACACTCCGCACAACTTTGAGATTGTCATGGATCCCGATTCTGGCCCAGCTGCAATCCCGGGATCGGTGGTATCGCCCGTCCTCATGGGCGGAGTCGAGCCGGACCGTGCAGAGCACGATGTCATCCGACGAGGCTGTGTAACACTCGAAGAAGCACAACGCTACCTCGACGTCTATCAAAATCGCCTGGATCATTTCCTCTACCGAATCATCGGAGATCGGCGAACGCTTGCTCAAGTCCGGGCGGCATCGCCTCTGCTTCTCGCTGCCATCTGTGCTGTCGGTGCACTCCATCTTGCTTCACCAGCCTTCGAAAAATGCTACGAAGAATTCGTTGCCATTGCTGCAGCTCACACATTTTCTCGACGAAACACCGTCGACGACGTCCGTGGCCTGTGCGTGGCTGCGTTTTGGCTGAGCAGCATTTCGTGGACGTGTATTGCGGCCGCTGTTCGAATCAGTACCGAGATCCAACTGCACCGGAGTATTTTCAAGGCTCTGACGGGCGATCGTACGCATTATCTGCGCACTCGACTATACTACCTGGTCTACGTCTGCGATCATCACTTTTCCATCGTCTTTGGTCGGCCTCCCATGACTCGCGAGGACGATGCCATTCGAGCCGCCGCCCAGTTCTTGGACACCGAAAACGCTGTAGAAGACGACAGTCGACTTGTGAGCCAGGTCCATTTTTGGTCGGTTGGAAGCGAGATCTACGCCACATTTGGCATCGACGTCGAGAGACCTTTGACTCGGCACATGATCGAGCCGCTGCGTCGTTACGGCATCAAACTCGACAACATCCGCGCGGATTGGACGGAACGGTTCTCCTACAACAAATACGTGGGCAATTATCCCCGTAAGGGCGTGGGTCTTCACTATCACTTCGCCAGGCTGTACCTATGCTCCATGGCTTTTCGCGGGATCGGGCAGCCTGGGTTCAAATCGTCCGATGTTGCCCTTGACATTGATGAGATTGCCAATTCCGCCATCCTGTCCGCTACCGCCATCCTCCGAGCTGTGGTTACCGACACCGAGATCCAGTCGTATCTCAATGGACTACCCACCTACTTTGACGTCATGATTGCGTTCGCCGTGGTGTTTGTCCTCAAAGTCTCCACCAAATACTCCTCATCCGTGCGCATCGACAGTGGCGAGACACGACAACTCGTGGCGGAGCTTGTCTCCGTCTTGAAAGGTGTCACCGCATCCATGCACCCTCGACACCTCCTCGCCAGCGTCGCCCATGGCGCGGAAAAGCTCCTGGCCAAATGCTCGCCGCAAGATCTCGGCCCGGTGCCGGCGAATGCGCACATCACCATGAGCCAACCCACGTTTGACGAGGGCCTGTACGACATGTCGTATGCGTGGAATGACAACTCGTTCGACAACTTCTACATGGGGGAATTCGACTTCCTCTCGAATCAAGATACCTTCAGCAACTTCCAACCGGATCTGCGATACCAGTCTCTGCCGCAGCTGTAGTGGGATGGATTCAACACCACGATCGCTGCAACGACTCGATTGTGATCTGCTCAAAGTCACTCAAGGAAGGAGTAACCATGTTTGGATCCTTGGCCAGGTCATCCCATCGACGGACTTGCAGCTTTTCCTGCAGCAAAGGATCCTTTTGTGCTTCTTTGACTTGCTGCTCGTCGAATATGCCTCCCTAGCGCTTCATCAGCACGGCATTGGAGCAAGAATCAAAGACATGGACTCACCTGAAACTTCAGCGTCATCTTACTACTCTTGCTCAGCCCATCATAGTAGCCCGCATCAACAGCAGTCAGATACCGCTTCGCCATGACATGCGCCCCAACGAGCTGGCAGACCTTCTCGCTAAACCCCAAATGCCGCAGATACCGCTCCCCGAGGACCTCATGACTCGCCTTACCAACGTACGTCCCGTCCGGTGCAACCATGGACGCCTCCTTCTCCGCGGCGGGGATGAAGCGGCCGACATCGTGCAGGAGGGCGCCGATGATGGTGTCGTTGTCTGCGCCGGCTTGCTGGGCTAGGGTTGCGCATTGTAGCGAGTGCTGGACTTGGGAGACTGCTTCGCCTAGATAATCGCCTTGACCTTGTGCTTCAATGTAGCCGAATAATTGTTTGACGGTCTGCTGCGCTTTGGCGGCGGTGGACGCTGAGACACCGGCCATTTTGTCTAGTTTGCTGGATGGAATGGACGTGGAGGTGAGGTGGAAGAAGGTCTACAAGTACATCTCAACCCGCTGTCGGCACATCACCGATACCAACGCACCCATCCACTTTCCCTGGTGAACGTCTTACGGTGACAAGGCCGATGCATGTGCGCTCCCCTCCACCAATCACATCCGCGCATTGTTGATGATCGCCACGTGCGTCGGAGGGAAGTCAGTGGCATCGGCCTTCGCACCGATGGTTGTATACACCTCACACTTTATTTGGACGCAACATGCAGGTACAAAACACGACGATTCCTTCTCAATCCGTTGGGAAGAAGCCAGAGCACCCCATCCTCCACCATGGCCTCCATCCAACTCTCCCCGTCACAACTCGACCACTTCAACACACAAGGTTACCTCATCCTCCGCGCCGCCGAACACAATCTCGTCAGTCCCCCCGACCTCCACAAATGGACGAGTGAAGTCAAGACGCTTCCGCGAGACAAAGGCAAATGGATGCCATACGACGAAATCACCGCCACCGGCGAGCGCCAGCTCATGAGGACGGAAAACTTCGCCGACTACCATCCCTCCTTCTCCGCCTTGCTGCACGGCGCCGGCCTGCGAGGCATTCTGGCGCAACTTACCGGCGACGAAATGCTGCTGTTCAAGGACAAGATCAATTACAAACTCGCTGGCGGCAACGGCTTCCAGGCTCATCTTGATGCTCCCGCCTACGACCACATCGGAGACATCGAGCACACCACCGCAAACCTGGCCGTCGACGCTGCAACGATCGCCAACGGCTGTGTAGAAGTTGTCCCTGGCTCGCATCGAATGGATGTCGAGTTGGCGGAGGGTGGACGCATCGCTGACAGATGGGAGGCGGCGCACGACTGGGTTCCCGTGGAGCTGGCGGAGGGCGACTTGTTGATTTTCGGCAGCCATCTTGCGCATCGGAGTGCGGATAACAAGACGGCCAAGGCGAGGAGCTCGGTGTATGCCACGTACCATATGCGCTCGGATGGGGAGGATCTGAGGCGGCGGTATTATATCGATCGCAGGGAGAATTTCCCGCCGGATCATGGTGAGCACCGTTTCTGGTCTTTCTGTCTCTCAACTTCACTTGCTGACAGTGCCTGTAGAAAGGGTTCCGGGGAAGGACTACGGTGCTGGAGTCGCGCGCTACGCTTTTGCAGCACCCTTCACCAGGATCGAAGAGCCAGCGGCTGCCTCGGCCATGGAGGTGGATGTGCAGTCGTGAGATAATATTAGTAGTGTGACAGAGTGGACGGAGCGGTGAAAGCGAGCTGTGTGCCCATCAGGTTGTATCTGTCTACCATCCCTGTCCCTTCATCCTCTGCACCATGGTCACCGTCCGCTTGAATGTCTCCTTGAACCGCCGCCGCCATCGCTCGCTCTTCAGCCTCTTCCTCTTCAACCCTGGCCGCTCGTGGTATCTCTGTTTCTGCGCATCGCGTTTGACGTTGTTCCTGTTGCACTGCGTTTCCAGCACCGTGAATGCACGCGCCACATCGATCCCTCGTGCCGGGTCGACCTTGATGGTGCGGCCGACGGAGCTGTTGAGCTTCATCGGTAGGGGCGGGGGTACTGATGGTGCAGGTATGGGATTTATAGCAGCCGAGGTGGCAGCGGCGCCGGAGCTGGGGCCTGGATTGAGCAGAGCGCTGATGTCGAAACGTGCCGACTTGTTGTTGCTGCCCCATGATCTTTGCGGAGACGAGGTCTGGGGATTCGACATGGCCTCCAAGATCTCGTCGATGGCCCCTGCGTCCTTTCCTGCATGCCCTGTGCCAAAAGAACCCGGATTGCGTGTGGAAGGACTAGATGGTCTGGCGTTTGAGGCTGTGGAAGGCTTCTTGGAGCCACTGATGGCGCTGTCAAGAAGTCGGCTGAATTCGGCATTGAATGATGAATTGCTCCGTGAGGGAGGGGTAGGTTCATTTTCTCGTCCTCCAGACGGTGCAGACTGTTCGTTGTGGTGCGAGTGTGAAGTGGCGAAAGATCTGGACGGTATTTGATGCCGTGAGGAACACGAGGGTGTCTTGTGATATCGTGGGAGACGAGAGCGGTATAATGAGGGCGCAAGGAAGGGTAGGAGGGGCGGAGAGCGGAGAAGACTCTCGCCAACACGGAGAAGATCCATGATGGGCGTTGCCTTTGACCGTCTGCCGTCACTGATCTGCCATTGATGCGGAGAAGATGGGCACGCGCAGAGATGGAGTTGGAGTGCACTTCTCGTGCAGCGCCTGGCGCCAAGCAAAAAGTTTAAGTGAAACTCTAAAAGCTCAAACCGCGACTTTTGCGAAAGCTCGCTTGCTCAAACATAACCCGTTCACTCACCAAACACTGCATCCCCCTCCCCACTGGCGGGGGCGTTTTTCGATGGTTGCAGCATACTAATGACGGCGGAATAGTCATCCATCCTCCCGCATCTCCTTTGCACCCCACCTTCCAGTGACGAGGCCTAGAAATGGCCTACAACAACTATGGCCCGCCCCCCGGGGCATTTGGCCAACGACAACCTCCCTACAATAACCACGGCTCCGGCGCACCACCCGGTATGGGCCCTCCCCCCGGCATGGATGCGCCACCCGGCATGCACGCCGGCTCTCCTCCCGTTATGCACAACGCGCAGTTCCAGGCCCCACCTGCCAACATGCCCAACTTCGACTTCAACGCCCCTGTCATTCGCATGGGCGTCCCGGATCAGCCACAACCCCGGGCACCCTCGGGCGGTGGTGGCGCGTCAGGAAGAGGCAGCAACGCAGAGCCACTGGGGGGCCGGCGAGATCGACGGGGTTTGGGCGCGGGTAATGATGACCCTCGGAGTCTCGACAGGGAAAGAGCAGCAGTGAGGGAGAACATGATGGCGCTTCATCCACCGACGAGGGAGGAAGTCGCGCGAACAATCTTCATTGGCGGCTTGGGCCCGGGCGCTCCTAACGACGACTCCATCGAGACCCTTCTCCGATGTGCGGGCAAGTTGCGCCGATGGACCAGAGCTCGGGATGCGGATGACAACAAATGCAAGTTCGGCTTTGCCGAATACGAAGATGTCGAGAGTCTCGAAGCCGCCAACGAGATCTACGTGGGCATGGAAGTGCCCGTCTTTAACAAGAGCGGCGCAGTGGTGAAGGAAGACGATGGCGACGTTAAGAGGATGGGCTTGCTTGTGGTGGTGGATGAGCAGAGCAAGAACTACATCGACGAGTGGAAGGGCAAGAGGAATGAAGACGACGACGCCAGACAGTTCCGAATCGACGGGTGCAAGGAAGATCTTAGGCAGTCCCTTGCCGCTCTGGCGAATGCGGGCGCGTTTCTGGCGAATAACGAGGCCATGGCCAACGGCGATGGCGATGCTACAATGGGAGATTCGACCGCCGAGACGAATGGTGAGGGTGCAGAAGTGGTGACGATCCCCCTGACGCTGGAAGACGAGCTTGCCGATATTCCGGCGGAGATGCGTGCTACCGTGGCGGCAGAAATCAAAGCCTTCCGCGATAGATCGAATAGGAGAGATCTGGAGCGTTTGAGGCGGGAGGAGGAGATGGAGCAAGCGGAAAAGCGGCCAACTATTCCCGGCAGAGTCAATCGCCTTGCCTCCCCTCCAGTTTCTGCTCCATCCGGACCAGCCAGTGCTGCGAATGGCGTTCCAGTAGGACCGCGAGATCGCGCAGGTGGTGTGCAAGGCGCTCCGTCTGGACCCCGAGGCTACAGAGGCGCGCAACTACCAAGCGACTACGTGAATGGGGTGTCGTTCGTTGGCACAAATGGTATTGCCGTCGATCGGGAGGACGAAGAGGCTGAAGAGAGTGATGAAGAACTCGAGCGACGACGCAAAGCCAAGAAAGACGCCGATGCGGAGAAGCAGTACCTCGATGCGGAGCGTCGTCTGCTCAATCGCGAGCGCACTCGCGCTGCAGCGCAAGAGCGGGAGCAAGTACGTGAGGAAGCTGAGAAGCGGGAGAAGGAGCGGGAGAGGGAAGCGATTGCGAAACGACTCCGTGAATGGGATGATGAGGAGGAAGCTCGTCTCGCTCGTGAAGAGTATTACCTCGACCGTTCATCGTGGCTGCGCAAGCGTGGCGCCTACCGCGATCGCGAGCAGCGTGAGGATGATCGGGACCGTGCTGCTGAAGAGCGAGAGAAGGCAGAGGATCGAAAGCGCGCTGCAGAGGCGCGCGGCTTGGCTGACAACTTCCTCGATCAGACCGGCAATGAACTGGAACGAAAGGCAGCCGAGCAACCTGGTGCAGGCTTCGGAGGCTTCAAAATGTCCTTGGGCCCCGCAGCAGCCCGGAACAAGACTGCTGCCCAGCCTGCAGCGCCGCGCAGAGCGTTGGCAGAAGTGGAGGGTCTATTGGAGGATGAGGAAGACGCCGCTGCTGCTGGGATGAAGCGACCGGAGCTGAAACCCCTGACCGACACATCCACCATCCCGCAATACACAAGCGATTTGAGCGAAGAAGAGCGCAAGGACCTCCGACAGCAGCTCGCCGCCGAGATCCCCACGTCGACTTCCGCCCTCTTCGAATTCCCGGTCAAGTTCAACTTCCTCACTCCCGCCATCATCACCGAGCAGATTCGGCCGTTTGTGGAGAAGAAGGTGGTGGATTACTTGGGCGTGCAGGAGGACTTGCTCGTGGATGCGGTGATGGACGGGCTGTCGGAGAAGAAGCAAGCGCGGGCGATTGTGGCGGAGTTGGAGGATGCGTTGGAGGATGAGGCTGAGGCTTTGGTCAAGAAGGTGTGGAGGATGGTGGTGTTTTGCACAGAGTGCGAGAGTAGGGGCTTGGTTTGAGAGGGTGCTACTCCCAGTACGATGGCTATTCAAGACCGTCGCTACTCCAAGTACCGTCACGTATCAAGTTGACTGCAAGAAGCACAGTTCTTCAATCTGGTCATCAATCAAGCTCAATCAGTGAGGACGGCTGCCCTGTCGCAGACGCTTGCGAGGACGTTGGTGCACTTCTTCGTCCATGTAGTCCTCGTCATTCTCCTCATTCTTGGCCGCCACTTCTGTCGAGCCTTCCTTGACTTTTACCTCAACGAAGTGACTCTCGCACTCGTCTTTGCCGGATCCATCGACAATCCATCCTTCGATTTTCCCTGGCACGGAATTAATTAGCGCAGCACATCACAGCTAGGCTTCAAGGAAACCCTCACCCTTCCTCACCACCTCAATCTTCCCACTCCCGTCCAGAATCTTGCGCACCTGCTTCGACGACAGCGGCGCCCATGCGACGTATTTCTCGCGCTCTCTGAAGTCGATCTTGTGCGCGCGCGAGGATAGATGCTTCAGGAGCGGCTGTAAGCCGTCGAAGTAGGGGTTCGCTCCGACGCCGTTCGTGGGCGTGTTGACGCCGCAGATGCCGCAGTAGACTTCGAAATACGTGGTCTCGTCATCGTCGTCGTCGGTGGTGTGCGCGATACAGCTACATTTGTCAAGAAGGTCTTTGAGAGTCTTGGATTTGTTTGCTGTGGCAGGTTTGTGCTGCGTTGGCAGGGGAGTCGCACGCGGCGTCGGCTTGGTCTTTGTAAGCTTGTCGTTTGTGACGGCGGACGGCTGAGGTTTCGCGATTTGTTCGCGGTCATCCTCGCTCTGAGCCGGGGTGAGCGTCCTGCCGGTCAATGCGGATGTGCTCATGGTGCTGTCTTCAGCCTCGAGCATCGATTCCTGGTGGTGATGTGTTAGCCTCGTTATCTTGAGCGGCAAATAATAGAACAGCGAGCTCACGGCTTTCTCAATGTCCTGCAACATCTTGGTGCGCTTTGCCTTCTTGCCACGTAACAGATCCTCATCGACTTGGATCTCGTCGTCCAGGTCTTGAACGGTGCGTTTCCATTTCTCCACTTCCTCCCTGCGCTGAATGTTTTCCTCCAGAGTGCGGAGCTGCTCCTTCATCTGTGCTATCCTTTCCATGGCTGAGATGGCAATGATGGGAGGCGACCCGGTGCGTTGAGGCGGATGAAGCATCAGTGGTCGAATGGTCGAACGCGTCGAGTGGTGTTGTTGTGTCGCATCTCCCCGTCACGGAATCAACAATCACGTCTAGCTGCAGGGTCAGCGGGCTAGCTGCAGGAGTGAATCAAACAAGGCGACACAAACCCAACTAGTCTCATTCAGAAGGAAGGAATGACAGGATGCAAACGCGTCAAGACACGAGTGAGATGAGGAGGGAGAGTTCTAGGCTGCCTACCTTTTTTGCGCACTCATCGGCCGATATCAGATGTCGGCTACCGACTTCGTACAGCTTGCAGCTATCATAGATGCACGCATTCAGCATGAGACATACGGGTTGTACAAAATGCAACAAATGGGTGGAAAGACACAAAGACGACGAGACACGCTGTGATGGTAGGAGAGGATACACACCTCGCTTCAAACAACGCAGACCACAACTGTCCGACTCCTCAATCCTGTCACTCTCTTCATCTCGCCACGTTCACAGCGTGGAGGATGAGGTATCCAGTCTTACTTCTTCGGCGCGGCGCTTCCTGCAGTGGCCCATCTTATCAATCCATCAGTGCTTCCTCTTGCGAAGCTGCGAGAGCGGCACATCGTCGCTGCTATCATCACCGTCTTCAACGTCATCATCATCATCATCTTTCTCGTCTTCATCATCGTCTTCGTGGTACTCGTCGCCTGCATGATCGCCCAGGCTGGAGTGCGAGTTAGGACTTTCGGTGTACTTTCGACGCTTCGCACGCGGCTTCAGCCTCACGCTCAGGTTCTTCGCATTCTTCTCGATGGCCTTGAATTCGTCGTACACCGAGTCCTTTCTCGCGGTGGAGACTTTGTCGATTTGCGCGAGGCTGAAGGACCTGCAGGAGGGCTGCTTTGGGGATTCCATTTCTTCGTCATCATCGAAGGTGGAGTGTTCGAAGACGTTGCTTGAGCTGCGATTCGGACCAGGAGAGCTCTCGGCCCCATTGGTGATGTTGATTGTGTCGAAAGGGCGCGTGGCTGGCGCAATTGGCTTGGGAAGCGTGAAGCTGGCGATTGGTTTCTTCTTCGAGCTCACGACGATGGTCTTATCATCGGAAGCGTGATCTTGCGATTCGCTGACTGAAGGCTGGGTGGTGATGGGAGTCGCGGGGCTGCCAGCGACGCTCAGGTTTCTTTGTGAAGTGGCGATTGTGGGCGCGAAATTACCGATCGGAGGCAAAGCCGGGAGCTGAGGCGTGGACTGATTGCCGGTGGAATGCTTCGAACAGGTCTTGCAATCCGGCGAGCCCAGGCACATCTCGATTCGCGAGTCTTTGGCAGCCATTGGAGGTGCGCCACTCATCAGAGCAATGTCTCTCATACTGACTGGACGAGCGGTGCAGTGGACAAGTCCTCCGGCATCGGAAACCTTGTGCGTCAAGCGAACATGACGCAGCACGCCATGTAGGCCGATGAAGAAGGTATCGGGGGATCCATATGCATTGGCACTGCAGTATCTGCAGCGGATCTCCATCCACATCCCCTTGATCTTGACCACGGTGGGATAGAAGTCATTCAAGCGCTGAGGAGCGGTGTCGTCGGCATTGGCGGGTTTACTGGCGGGCGGTTTGGCGGGCGTGTGGTTGGATGGCAATGTAGCGTTCGCCTTCTGTGCGACTACCATCTGCGCGAGTGCCATGTCCCTTGCTTGGAGGGGTGGTCTGGGCAGGCTGTTCGTTGGGCGAGGCATGTTGGCTCTCACTGTTGTGCTTGCTTGCTGCACTAACCCTGCTGTGCTTGCTTGGCGTGGAGTGTATGGAGGCGGGGGCAGGACTTGAGCGAAGTTTGCAAGGCTCGTTGGCGCATGAGAGGCATTCGGGAGGCCGGTGGGAGGTTGTGAGGCTTTGATGTGGCCTATCGGAGCTTGAGTGGTGTTCGCATAGCCGAAAGGAGCTTGAGTCGCGTTGGGGATGCCGATCGGGGTTTGAGCGGTCGTGGTAAGGCCGACTGCCGCACGAGGTGGGCCACTGGCGGCAGTGAACTCGTTCGTCAGGTCCTACGCGCATCGTCAGCTTCGTCCACCCAGAAGAGTCAATCAGTCTTACCGTAATCTCCTGCTCAATCGCGTGCATCCTCTGCGCCGCCTGGTTACGCGCTGCGCAGTACTCATAGACCTGTTGCTGCGCCTGAGCAAGCCGCTCCTGCGCCTCGCCAACCCCGGCATCGAGACGCGCAACATCGAATTTCGCCCGGCGAAGCGCGTCGTTCAGCGCCGACATCTGGTGCATGAACTGCTGCAATGCGTGTGACATGCTGCGCTAAAGATGGGGAGGGGAAGTTGGGTGGTGGAAGAAGGTGGATTGAGGAGAATAGGCAACGAATATGCATGATTGCAGACATCTGCGCCAAGAGGATGTGTCGTCACGGAAATGAGTTTTAACATCAACGGACGATGTGCAGGCACCCGATGGGGAAGGTGCGATCGGGGTGGGTTTCGTTTGTAGTCTGTGTACGTCAGCCGTCGGGACACGTGATCAAGAAAGAGTCGTGGAGATGGTGGAAGCCGAGAATTTGAACAGATTGGCTGTGCTATGAGTAGACATGCTGGAAAGCAGGACGAGATGAATGGTGCATCTTATATACACGTTCTGCCATCCATGATAACGCCGTTGTCCCGTCGGAAGTGCGACGATGCAGGTAGCCGCTGAGACCGGCGCACGAAACCAGACACCCATGTCCATACACTTGGCAGTAAATGCAGTCAAACAGAGGACATATGACGACGTAATGGTTAAGGCAATGTCCAGCCAGAACAGATGAAGTCAAAGGTGAGGTGTGCCTGAGGTCACCACGCACCCGGCCTCGGAACTTGCCGAGAGCTTCGTGAGACTTCGGCATACGCTCCTCTACACCAACTTCGCTCTCTGCCATTTACAAACACCATCATCCTCGAGATCCAACAACGTGCAGAATGGCGAACGGGTGTGTACTCACGGCCGACTTGCCATGACTATCCAACACGACTAATGCCTCCCTATCAGGTGGTCGCTGCTCGTCAGCATCCTCTTCATCGCCGTCTTCTGCGGCGTGTCATGGTTCGCCAGTCCAAAGGGAGAGAATCAGACGTACGTTCGCATCTAGCATCGGGAAGCGCACCACGCAGCGCAAAGAAGAACCCTCACTAACATCTCCCTGGGACGGCAGCATTTGGAGATCAACCCTCATCCTTTCCGCCTTCGCCTGTTGGCTGATGTGGAGTATGTTCGCCCTCATTTCCACCACCTTACTACTTCCTCCCCATGCTGACGGAGCGTGTGTACACAGTCATTACCTTCCTCGCCCAGTGGCATCCTCTCATCGTCCCCGAGCGCGATAATCTGCGACCGCAATACCAGAATGGGCCGGTGAAGCCGACGAGGCGGTTTTGAATGAGCATGGTCGGGCGTTACGAGGAGTCTCTGGGGAATGTATACATGGTTCATTGATGCGCTAGGACTTGAAGACGTGGTGGGGAATGGCATAGCTGGGCTTGATTGAGTGGCGACATTTGAAGAAGTTGGCATGGCGGGCTGGAGAAGGAGCCATGTCGATGTGTCAAATAATGCCGCAATGGAGTGCAGCCTGCGTTCAATTCTACCAATGTCCTCCCAAGCCTACGCTTTCCGTCACTCTTCTCCACACCTCAATCAAGTCCTCCGTCTCTACAACACCCGCCGCTGCTACCCCTCCCCCTACTCCCACAGCACGCAGTATACTCTATTAGGTGCATGTTAGCCGGTGAACAGGCCATGTTGGAGAACTTTACTTACCCATCCCACTCCCGCCCTGAAAATCGCTCCAATCGCCGCCAGAATCCCCGCTCGCACGTACCCGCAATCAAGCAGAATCTCCAGCGCGGCGATGTTGTTGATGATGACCGCCCACGACACCGCCGACGCACTGCTGGGGAGGTCGTACTTCCACACCAGTAGCAGTAGGGGAAAGAGTTTGGTAAAGCTGGAGACGAGCAGCGCCGTGCTGATGAGGGCTGGGTGGGGATAGTGCGGGATAAGCGAGGAGATGGGGCGAGGGAATTGAACGGAGAGCAGAGTGCGGATGAGCAAGTGGAAGCTGGCGGTTTCGATGGTGCAGAGGGCGAGGAAGAAGAAGTATTGCAGGATGATGGGCTGCGAGGCGAGAAAGGCGGAGGCGTGCGCGTTGGCGTAGGGGTCGCGCACGTTCCACAGGCTGCTGGTGTCGTTGGCGGTGCTGTTGAAGCCGGACAGGAAGGGCGGGAGGGATGTGTCGGAGGAGGGCGTCGCTTTTTCGATTCTCGCCCAGGTCAAGTAGACGTCGAAGAGGAGGAGGAGTACGCCGAGGCGGATGACTGAGGGCTGTGAACCCGTGAGCGTTGCGAGCTATCATACTGCGTGGATATATAGGCGTACCGCAAAACGTCCATCCTCGCGCCCCAGCAAATTGAATAATAAATGTCTGTAGACCTGCACTTGATCAGCAATGCCTCCCCCCTCCTGGGAAAGGGGATCGTACCTGGGGCTTGATCAAGACGAGATCGATGAAGAGGACCACCAGGTCATGCTCGACATATTTATCGGCGAAGCGCTTGCATCGCGGGCACTGCGTTAGACGCACGCCTTTGCCCAGTGCCTTGTCGTCGGCCTTGCTGTAGGTGGTGTATAACGTCTGCACGGGGAAGCGACATCTGATTTGCGTCAGCGCTGCAGCACCATCGCGTCTTATCTTTGAGTCAGATATGCCACTCACTCAATACATATTGGCATTTTATTACATTGCCGTTAGACTGGGGAGTGGAGTGTGATGATGTGAATGCAGTAGTCAGGGACGGGACGGATGGGCTGTGTTTGGAGGTGGAGGATGGATTAGAGTTTCGCCGTCTGCCTCATCACGCCTAAGGCTGCAATTCACTTGGACAGAGACGGCGACAGTCAATCATGCGACAACTTATCATACTATTTGCTCTCCTCAAACATATTGTCATGCACATCATGTCTCGTGCCAGACTCACAGAGCGCTCCAATCGCTGTGCCAATAATGTATGTCAGATCCCGCCTCAACCTTCAAACCCAGATCAAAACATCATCCCTCCATCAAGTCAGAGTAGCCGCAGCGAGTCGCAGAATCCTCGCCCTATCCCTCTCTAGAGCACACGACAGAAATTAGCCTGGTGATCATGACTGAAAGCGAGGCGGGAGAGCCGCAAGATCACAGCATCAACGGCTCGACCGAACAAAGGCCATCCTACCTTTACGATCCTTCTCCACCCTCGGGACCACCGTGCGCACAGGACTGGTGTCCCGGCCGTAAAGCTCCACCACCTCCCGTGCAGGCCTTGCTCCCTCATACTCCACAAGGTCATACTCGCCTCCCGATCGATGTCTCCGCAGCGCCAGATCCCTTCGGTCTTCGGTCTCTCGTTCCAAGCGTACGGCCCGACGTTCCGCTTCCAGTCGTGCAATCTCGTCGCGGATGTCGCGTTCGGAGCGATGCTCGCGCTCCCGAACGATGAGTGCACCACCGTAGCCATGTGAGCGGGTAGGCGATAGCGTTGTCTCACTCTCTTCAATCACCGTCTTGCGTTCGCTCTCGTACACCGGCACAGCCGGAGCGGGCGGAGGATGGCGATGGCGATGTCCAGCGTGGGAACGCGAGCGGCGATGATTGCCGACGACAAAGGGAGGATTGATCCATTCCGTCCTCACCACCTCCTCGCGCTGGCCTTCGGGCTCGACGATCTTCGGAACCTCTTCTTTGATCGATTCCTCAAACTTGAAACTCGACGACTTTTCTGTAGAAGTATTAGCATGGCAGACTTCACACAATGCCTCGTAGACACATACCGCCGCTCTTGTAGGATTCACTGATACGAATCACCTCGTCAATCTGATCCTTCTCCAGAGCGATGCGTAGCACGAAAAAGGCGTCTTCCTCGTCAAAGGGATAGCCAAGATCCATAATGGCCTCGCGACGCACCAGTCGCTTCGGCATGCGCGTCTTGCCCTTCTTGAACTTCCTCACCGTCTCCGAAATGCTTTCCGACACGCTCTCATGCCCACCGTGCCTACTCTCGTGCTCGTGGAAGCTCTCATGCACACTTGTTCGCCCACCTCGTCGACTCTCGCGTATGCTAGCCTCTTCGCTGATGCTGGAGCTGCTGCTGGAGCTTTGTCTGGTCGTCACCGACTTGGCCTTGCTGCTTCGTCCGCCTCTCGAGCGCGGCCGGACAGTCGACTTCTCCCGCCGAACCTCCACCTCGCGGTATTCTTGTGGCTGGTAGTACTCGCGGCCGCGTGACTCGTCAAAGTCCACCTCGCGCCGATACGTTTCTTCGTAGCCCACCGGTCTGAATACCCGCCGCTCCTCCACTTCGTACCCTCGCGGGATAGCCGGCCGGCTTCGCTCAAAGGAGTCCCCAAAGCTGCTGCGTCGTCGGAGCATCTCCGGCCGAGGTTGTGGAGGAGGTTCGTAAGGCGCAAGGGCCATGTTTGCGAATTCTCTCGGGTCGACATCGCCGAATAGCTCGCGGTCGGTGCGCCGTCGCCGCCCGCCATGCGCGTATCGCTCTTCCTCCACGAATCTATCGCGCTCTTCGTAGGCGCCCCGCGGTCCACGGCTTTCGATGCGGTCCGATACCATCACTTGCTGCCGCCCCGGCCGATCTCGTTCGGTGTAGCGGTAGTCTTCCTCGAATTGGCGTCCACCGCCTCCTCCTCCTCCTCCTCCACCAAATCGCTCAAAGCGGGCTCGATCCCATCGTTCGGGGAAGTCGCCGTACGCCGGGCCGTCTCGGTACTGCCTAGACATGGCGTCGGCTGTTTGTGAGCGATGAACCGTTTGCTAGTGGAGCAGGATGGATGATGGAATGGCGAGCACCGAGAGCTGAAGCCCACACGGCAGTACAGATGAGGCAGTGGTGCTGATGCGTGGTAGATTATCGTAGGGTCATGAACAGCGGGCGCGGTACGAGATTAATGGCATAAGAGGTGATGCCCAATCACAGGTCAGCTGCGTGGGAGCTGCGGCTGGCCTGGACAGCTGGGCGGGGTGCCGTTGCAGGGGAAATGGTTTGGAGTTCGAGATGATGATGGGAGTGAGGTCGCATTGACCGCAAAGACTGCAAGCGTCACAAGGCCATCACTTCGAAATGGCAGGATGTAGGCACAGGGTGACGTAGCGGGGTGTTTGGTGGCACATGAAAAGTCTCCTGCCACATCTGTGGCACACACGTGACTTTGAGTGGCTGGAGAAGACGACTACCACACGTGATCAACTCGTGTTTACTGCGGGAAGACTTCACAGCGAGATAACCCAGGAAGGAAGGTCGTAGCGGGAGAGGGGAGTTGGTTGTGATTCTACTCTCGATTGACTTGCCGTGATGAACCACTAGGAGGACAGAAGAGCACATTTGGGGTGTACATGAATAAATGTATACCCCGATTCGGTGCAGCTCATGACGCGGTATAGGCATAACGATTGAGCAGAGCTAGGGATCATCCACCAATGACCTGCAGACGATGAAGTTCCGTTGGATCAGGGAATGATGTTCTTGACCCCACGGGACACTTCCAGACCACCGATCGAGCTCCAAGATCTGGACAGCCCATACTTCCGGGAGGGCCCGTCGACCCTGAGGACACGGAACGGAAGGGAAAGACTGGACCCTGAGGAAGTGGAGGGCGTCGGCATCGAGGGAACCTGGAAGATGAGCGAGTTGATTGCAACACGTGTAGAGCTCTCGTAGCTGCCTGGGATGATGAGCGAGTATACAGTCATAGTCGTCATCGCACAACGGGTGAGTTGCACGTGAAATGCACCGCGTAGCCAAGTAGATAGACCGTGGTTGGGTGAGTTGGCGTCCAGTTGTACCCGTGGGGTGGACGAGTCGGCGAAACGGTACCTGCACAGCCTGCACCCTGGAGGTGGAGGGCGATAAGGTTACATCATCCTCCCTGAAACGCCCGAGGCAAGAAAATTCCCAACGCGTTCGTTGGGCGCGGCCGGCTCTAGACGCGGGCCATCGGCCAATCAGCGTGTGCCGCGGTAGCCCGATTGCTCCTGCCGTCTCGCGCTCCTTCTCCCGCTGTTCCCTGACGATGCCAGCTGCACGGTTGCGTTGAATTTCCACCCCACTCTAAATGTTTCCTTCCCCTCGCGCCTACCGACGCCATTACTTTGCTATATACACCCGCCACTTGTTCACATCCACCTCTCTCTTCTACATCCACACTCCATCTCGCCTTCCCGACACATCTTCTCATCACCCTTCACTCAATCCACTCTCCTTCATCCGAGAGTGCAACGACCCGCTCACACCTGAGCACCTTCTGAGTTTTTCCTCTCCACACCACCATCACCCTCACCACTACTGGGAGCAAGCACCTTGTTCTCCCTCACGAGATGCCTTCGCATCAACCCACCTCTGGCGATCCCGCCGTCAAGCCGGAGTTCAGCTCCTCGACAGCACCTGCTCAGTCCAAGCCCGCGCCCGAAGAGCCGGTCAGGAACAAGAAATATGACCCCAAGAAGCCTCACATCACCGAGACGCCGATGACTCGCAAGAACTGGTACAAGCACGTCAACTGGCTCAATGTCTTCCTCATTGTCGGTATTCCCATGATCGGCTGCGTTGTCGCCCTCTGGACGCCACTCTGCTGGCAGACTCTTGTCTGGTCCGTCATCTATTACTATTGGACTGGCTTCGGCATTACTGCCGGCTACCATCGACTATGGGCACACACTTCCTACTCTGCCACTCTCCCGCTCAAGATCTTCTTGGCCGCCGTCGGTGGTGGGGCTGTCGAAGGCTCCATCCGCTGGTGGGCTCGGGACCACCGCGCTCATCACCGCTACACCGACACCGACAAGGACCCCTACAGCGTCCGCAAGGGCCTCCTCTACTCTCACTTCGGCTGGATGCTGATGAAGCAAAACCCGAAGCGCATCGGCCGCACCGACATCTCCGACCTCAACGACGACCCGGTTGTCGTTTGGCAACACAAGCACTACCTGTCCGTCGTCTTCTTCATGGGCCTCGTCTTCCCATCCCTCGTGGCCGGCCTCGGCTGGGGTGACTACTTCGGCGGCTTCATCTACGCCGGTATTCTCCGCATCTTCTTCGTCCAGCAGGCCACCTTCTGCGTCAACTCTCTGGCTCACTGGCTCGGCGACCAGCCCTTTGACGACCGCAACAGCCCGCGTGACCATCTGATCACCGCTCTGGTCACCCTGGGCGAGGGCTACCACAACTTCCACCACGAGTTCCCCTCGGACTACCGTAACGCCATCGAATGGTTCCAGTACGATCCCACGAAGTGGGCCATTTGGTCGTGGAAGAAGCTGGGCCTCGCATACGACTTGAAGCAGTTCCGCAACAACGAGATTGAGAAGGGCCGTCTTCAGCAGCAACAGAAGAAGCTTGACCAGAAGCGTGGCAAGCTCGACTGGGGTGTGCCGCTCGACCAGCTCCCTGTCATGGAGTGGGACGATTACGTTGACCAAGCCAACAACGGCCGCGCTCTTGTGGCTGTTGCCGGCATTGTCCACGACGTCACCGACTTTGTTAATGACCATCCCGGTGGCAAGAACATGATCCGATCCGGCATGGGCAAGGATGCCACCGCCATGTTCAATGGTGGTGTCTACAACCACAGCAACGCCGCACACAACCTCCTCTCCACCATGAGAGTTGGTGTGATCCGTGGCGGCATGGAGGTAGAGGTCTGGAAGCGCGCTGCGCAGGAGAACAAGGATACCATGATCATTAAGGATGGTGAGGGCAACAAGATCCTTCGCGCCGGCAATCAGGTCACCAAGATGGTTGATCCGCCGGCCAGCGCGGGTGCAGCATAGGCTCGACTGTCCTGGACAGAGATTGATGTTTGATGGTTCTTGCAGCGTTTCAGCGATGGTATTAGACGCGTGATGAACAAGCGGGCGGTTTTAATCCTCTTCTCATTACTCGCTCGGGGTAGATAGAGCCTAGAGGCAATACGATACTATTTTGGACATCACTACCGTCATTCCTTCGTCTTCATCTCCACGGTGAAGCTTGCACCTGTTGTATAATCGATTGACATCATTTGCATGGCACTTCGATAGTCAGCCGCATATCTCTACATATCACAACCCTGAACACCCTCCCGTACAGATCACATCATCTTTCAATCACCATGGCGTCCCTCACTACCCACCTCCTCAATCTAGACCCCACTGCCCTCACCCAAGCAACCCAACACCCCTTCCTCACCGCCGCCGCCACCTCCACCCTCCCCAAAAGCAAACTGCAAGCCTGGCTAGGCCAAGATCGTCTCTACCAAATCGCCTACCTCCCCTTCATAGGCACGCTGCTAAGCCGGATCGGCATCCCGGACTCGGCGGACCGCGAGGCCACGCTGGAATGGCGCACTGCAGACCTACTACTCGATGCGTTGACGAACATCCGCGACGAAATGCGGTTGTTCGAGAGCACGGCTGAGGGCGAGGGATGGCTGGATGCGATTTGCGGCGTACAGGCTGGACGGCAGACGAGGGCGTATCAGGATTTGTTTGCCGGGGCGACGGCGCAGGGGCGCGGGGTGGTGGTGGGGTTGGTGGTGTTGTGGGCTACGGAGAGTTGTTATTTGCGGGCTTGGAGGTGGGCGAAGGGGCAGGTTACGCGGAAGGAGGGTGATGGGGAGGGGGATGTGATGCAGAGGACTTTTATTCCTGCTTGGAGCTCGGGGGAGTTTGAGGGGTTTGTGGAGAGGATTCGGGGGGTGGTGGATGAGTTTGGAGAGCAGATGGAGAGGGACGGGAGGGAGTGGAGGGAGTGTGAGGCGGCGTGGAGACAGGTGTTGTGGGCGGAGAGGGAGTTTTGGCCGGATGTTTGATTGATAAGGTATCTACATGCCACTCAGGCTCGTCAATCACTGTCGTCGTCAAACCACCTCTCCACCTGACGAGCATCCGCGTGAGCAGACATGTCGTGATGCCGATGCAATTCGTGGGCATCCACTCCAGTAAAGCGACTGTCGATCCGCGGCCGATCATAAGTCGGCTCCCCTTTCGATGTCCTCGCCGCCTGGGCCACCTGCAACGGCTCTCGGGTGTGTGAGCGCCACTGCTCGTTTGCCCAGGCCGTATCAACAGAAGCCCTGCGGTTTCCCAACGCGCTCGACAGAGCGGGAAAGGGGAAGGTGTTGCTGCAGCGACGGGCGACCTTGCGGCAGGCCATTTTGAATTTGCCGGAGAAGCTTCGAGGCCAGATGCCGTGGAGTTCGAGCGTGTCTTTGTGTTGGAGTTTGACGGTGAAGGGCGGGACTTCTTTCTCGTCGTGTATGGCTCTCCAGGATGAAGAGCGGCTTGGTGCCATTTTGTCGGCGTAGAGGAGAATGAGAGGTTGTTTTGGACTGCGAGGACAGGGGTGCTGGCAGCGTTTTGGGGTTGCAATCAGAATGAAGACTTGTCACACGGGTACAGTGCGCATGGCAGAAGTATTGTAGACGGGCGGAAAGAGAAGGAGGGCCATTTTGACAGCAGAACCAGCGAAACTTGATAACGAAGGGGCATTGAGGGACTTTTTTCTGGCCATCCCGTCATATGTGGGAGGGTATGCCAAGGAGCGAAAAGGAGATGTGGTCATGATGCCCAGAGAGGCTGAGATGAAAGTCGTGAGAGGACGTACAATTCTGCTTACCACCACGGCCTGGTTGGGTCCGGAATTCCTTTCCGGAGTTGGCTAAACAGATAACCTACCATGGACACCGTTCGCTCTGTTCGTCATTTCGTTCCTGGTGCAACGAATGAAGACGAGATTCCGTATGAGCGTGAGGTCAGCATAACCTTCAGCCAAGATCAGACCCCGAAGGATACCTGATGTCCGTCCGGACATGTCACGTGCACGGGGTGATGTGGGGAATTGGCAATCAAGCCTTGCTGGCAGCCATCACAGCTGTTCAACTCGGCGACACCGTGGGTGAAGAGGGAAATTGTATTGTCAACAACCTGTCTACCTAAAGCAGCAGTGGCATTGACCACCTCTCGCATCAGAGCGGGCGAGGGTCGCCTATCTCGAGGCGCTCGTGGGGGAAGAAAGAGCGAGAACGACGTGCTTAAGTGCGAGGAGGCCTGTCGCCGAAACGGCGAGGGCGCTCGGCCACCTGTTGTTGCTGCACAGCGACGACGTTGACGGGAATGCTGTCGAACTGTAGTGGGATAAGTCAGTGGTGGTGTTTGAGACGGGGCCTGGAGCAAGAGAGTACTCACGCCCATCGACTTGAGCATGTCCTTGGTCTCCTGGTCCACATCCAACATGCCGCTCTCGTTCTGCGTAAAGTCCAGGGCGGAAATCTCGGGGACGTATTGATCCTTCCTCTCACGCTCCTCTTCTTGAAGCTTGAAGGATATGCCGCGAACCGGGCCACGCTGGATGCGCTTCATCAAGTGGGTGGTGTAGCCGGCGATCTGTCCATTCCGTTAATGTTCATCCTTTGTCTGCCTTCCATCTGCCTGACGCACCTTGTTCCGTAGCCTCTTGCTGGCAATCAGAGCAATCTCATCACATATTCTCTTGTTCGTCTCGAAGTCGAGGGTGAGTTTGGGGTAGTAGCGCTCGACAATGACCTTGGCCGACTTCTTGACGGTCTTCGTTCGGACACGACCCATGTTTGCGGTGTTGTGGAGGGAGTAGTGAGGTGGTGAGGGTTGTTGAGGTGGTTGCTTAAACTTGCGCCGCGAAAGTGAGGATGGAATTTGTGCGGGCCGAAAAAGTGTGTGCCAAGACTTTGACTTTGTATGCCTGAGGCATCACTTCGCGGATTTCCCTTTCAGGACTGGATGCTCTCTCTCTACTACACATCCATCATGATCTGTACAGACAACGCCATCATTATAGCATCTTCTCGTAATAATGCTCGCCCCGTTCTACAACCTTCACCTCGTCTCCGACCCGAAGGATGCCTTGTTGGAACAGCGGAATCATCTGCATGCCCAAGCAGGGATGAGGGTTGGCTCCCTCGTCCACCTGCCGTGTCCTTCTCATCGTTGTCAGCGGTTCATTCGTGTCCTTCACCCCGGACTCTTGATCGACATTGGGCATCTTGCAGCGAGCGGTGCGGCAAGCCACGTGATACTCTCCTTCCGTCTCTACGTATGTCTGGTCGCCGTGTGAAATCGTCTTCCCCTTCGCTGCGCCTCCCTTGACCTTTGCATGTGTTTTGGGCTGAATACCGCGCCCCACGTGGATTTTCTTCCAGTCATCCTCGTCGTATTCCGGCACACCGTCCACATAGATGTTCGCTCGGAAGCGTCGAGCGTCCAGCCTACCTTTCATTGCCGCCTTGGCCGGGAGATTTGCATCTTGTGCATACACACTCGCCATGCTCATCAGATGCAAGGGGAATGCGTCGCCGAAGCCCACAGAGTACGACTCGCCTGGTCGGTCCTTGGGTAGAGATCTGCTGATGTCTCGGCGGTGGAGGGAGTCCACACGAAACAAGCCGAGTGTGTTGCGGACTCCGAGGAATTCCTGTAGCTTGCTGAGAGTATCGGCCGGGATCTCTCCCGTTATGTTGATCGATTGTATACGATCTACCCAGATGGAGATTGGCTCGAGGTGGTAGTTCTTTTCCGCGCCGTGCTCTTGGGACGGGACCAGTGGGATATTCAACGATACAGCGTTCGGGCGGAAGCTGAATGGAATCAAACTTGGCTTCAATGGAAAGCGAATGATGAGGTAGCCGCCATGGCTCGCCACATCTGTCTTCTTGTCCACATCCAGTGCATCGTCCGCGCTGATCTCCTGGCTTAGCGGGCTCCGACGAGAGGCGTTTCGCGCATTCTTCTTCTCGGTCTTCTTGGAAGTCTTCACCGCACGCGGGTCGGGTACCCAGAGTTCTGTTTCGATCAGGGCAAGTCGGGGGTATTCCCGCTGCGTGATGAAGCGCCATTCACGGTCGTCTGTTCCCTCTGCGGAATCGCCTGTCGATTGCGGTCTAAGTTCGGCAAAGGTAAAGGAGCGGTCATACTTCAGCCCCCAAGGTTCGACCTCTGAAGCCGCGAGTTCTATTCCACGGCACGATTTGACCGGATAGGTGAAGAGTGCTTTGATATGAGGCTTCTTGGATGTCGGAGTACTCGTTTGACCACGAGGTTGTTGTGGGAGGTTGCTTCGTTTCGAAAGTCCCAGTCGGAAGCAGCCCGGTATCTTTGTAGCGGGGCGTATAGATGCGAGTCGTTGGTTCTTGAAGATCTCCAGAGAAATGGGTCCAACGATGATGGCAATCGCCAGTAGCACCGCCGGACTGCTGAGATACTCCAGGTAGTGTCGGAGGAGTGACTGCGCCGCCTCGTACATGATGGGTTCGATGATGCTAATGGGCCAGACTTGCTCGTTTCGTGCTTCTCTCGGGTCTACATCTCAGCATACTGGACTTGTTGATGACGATCTAGATGGAGAAGGATGGCAACACCTCTTTGCGAGATTGGACGTCGGCCAACTCTCGGCTGATTCTCGGCATTTGCCCGACACGAACAGCCTCGCGAACGATGAGTGATGAGGAGTATTCCCTTCAATCTCGCAATCTTCCTCGTGATGAGCGCGTAAATCGACGCGTTGCGGCCCCGTGATGGCAGAAGCATCTGTGATTGACCTCACTTCTTCACCTCCCGCCGCCACACCTCCATCATCTTCGCGTACGTCTTCTCACCGACCGCCGTGAGATATCCCACTCACATTTCGTGTAGACCGGCTGCCCACCGTATCTGCAGCACAAGCGCTGCAAGAATTGCACAACTCACGCTCAAAGTGTGTGTCGACCGGTCTGCCTAGTCTTGATGCCATTCTTGGCGGCGGGTTGGAGCGAGGGAGAGTCACGGAGATTTGGGGCCCGAGTGGTGCAGGCAAGACTACGCTCATGTATGCGCCTACATTGCGAGTGCTGAATCCTACTGATCTCCGTCTCTCAGACTCAATGCAGCTGCTAGTGCTCTCGATGGAGACGGTTCGGTCATGTGGATGAGTACGTGGCTCTGAAGCGACACCATGGCCGCAGACTGACCGTCGACCAGACACGAACAAGGCATTGCATCCCTCACGAACAAAGTCCCTGATTCCGGAGTCAAGTTCAAACGGACTGCGTTCCAAACAGTTCCGCTCTCTCGACATCCCGAGTCTCTCTCACCTCCTGGCATTCATCCTCCATCCACTCCCGGACGCCCTCCCACCATCCTGCGCCCTCCTCGTCATCGACGGCCTAGACGGCCTCCTGGAACTGGACTACCCGCGCTACCAATCAATGACACCCAACCAAACCGAGCAAAAGAAGTGGCAAGCCGGCCGACGCTACGCCACGCTGGCAGCCCTCATCACAGCTCTAAACAAACTTGCCGTCCTCAACAACCTCGCCGTCGCAGTCACCACCGGCTGCGCCACGAGATCCCGCTACGATAACGGCCTCGGCGCGGCTCTTGTTCCCGGCGTCGGGGCCTCGGAATGGGATGCGGGCGTCTGGAATCGGCTGGCCGTCTTTCGCGATCACCAGAGTAGGTTTGTGGGGGTGCAGAAATGTCAAGGCAAACATCTCGTCCCGCGAGACGAGGCGGGCGGGGTGGGACGTGTCGTCAGCCTCTGGATCACTGGAGAGGGTGCAGTCCGCAAGCACGATGGCAATGCAGGACTAGGGAGGGAGATTATACTTTCGCCGCAGAAGCAACCGGCCAAGCCTTCTCTCAAACGCTCATTCGATGAGGTCGCAGATTCGGAAGATGAGGATGTGGACGAATACGGATGGGTGGACTCTGACGAACATGCTCTCAATCTCGACACCCTCGTGGAGCCTACACAACCCGTGGAGAATGACACGGTACCAGATTGAGCTGCTCGACTATGCATAACACATACAAACCGGTCCGACATATCCAGCGGCCAGACCCATGGTATACAACAGGATATCTCACGCGCCCAACGCCTCGCAAAAACCCCCAACACATCACCGCATATCAGCAGGAGTCAACGCCTGCACCACACTCGTACCATCCATGAATCTCGTGCGGAAAATGCGATTGGCATTGGCAAACATGCCGTCCTTCAAACTGACGACGATAAACTGGCTCCCCTTGAAGCGCGTGCGAATGAGCCGGCCGATGTTCTGCGTGTGCGAGAGGTCGAGCGCGGCGTCCACTTCGTCGAGGATGTACATGGGCGCCGGGGAGTATTGGAGGAGGGAGAGGATGAGGGAGAGGGCGATGAGGGAGCTGGGTGACGGTCAGCAAGATCGGGTCAAGATGAGTCTGGGGAAATAAAACATACCGTTGGCCACCGGACAACTCCGTCAGCGATTGCTTCCACACCTTGCCCAGACACACCTTCACCTCCAGTCCATCCGAGATCTCTTTACCCTCCGGCGGATCCAGCTTGGCCGTGTTGCCCGGTAGCAAATCATTGAAGATGAGGCCAAAATCCTCATTCACCTTGCTCCACGTCTTGTGCAGCGCCTCCTTCTTATACTCATCCAGAGTCTTGATGGTGTCTTCAATCTTCTTCTTATCCTTGGTCACAGTCCGCATCATCTGCTTGAGACTCGCCTCCTTCTTCTCGACACTATCGATCATGTTCATCACGGCGGGGTTGATCTTCTTCTTCATGCCCTGGAAGCGCTCGGTGACGTTTTTGAGGTTCGCCTTACACTCCGCCATGTGCTGCCCATGGAAGTCGTAAGGGGTGCCTGCTTTGCCAAACGAGGACTGCTCTTCGAGGATCCAGTCGTACTCCTTTTCCATCGTCGTCAGCACTTGTCGTGCTTGCTGCTGCGCTTTGGCGAAGTTGTCAATCGCGTGGCCCAGCTTTTGCACCTCCAGCTTCTCGTCGGACATTTGCTGTGCTTTTCGCTTGGACGCCCGCTCGAGCTCGGCCATCTCCTCATCGAAGCCGGAGAGCTTCTTTCGTTCGTCGTCGAGGGAGGCTTGCGCTTCATCGTGCTGGTCTTGCACTTGCTTCTGCTCGCCCGCGAGTGCCTTCATCTCGTCTTGGTGCGTCTGCAGGGTGGCTTGGCAATCGGACAGCTCCTCCTGCGCAGCGGACAAATCTGCGCCAGTCTGCTCTGCATCGATGTTCGCGTCTCGGACCTCCTGCTGTAGCGGTTTGATGGTAGCTTGCGCGCTGGAGAGTGCCGCCTTTGCCTTGGTCAGATCCTTTTGCAGCTGATCCAGCTTGCCGGTCTTGTTGGAAGAGAAATCCTTCATCTCCTTCGTCACCCGCTTGATCTCCTGCTCCGCATCGCCTTGCCGCTGTTTTGCGTCCTGGATGTTGTCTTTCAGGGCCTTGATGGTCTCCTTCATCTCATTGACCGAGGCGATGATGCTGCTGGAGGAATTGCTCGCGATCTGCCCCTCTGCCAGCTGGATCTCGTGGGCCTTCAAGTCCAATTCTTGCTTGATTTGGCGGACGGACTTGAGCTTCTGCGCATCTTTTGCCATCGCTCGCTCCAGCTTCGCCACTTTGTCTTCTTCCTCTTCGAGTTCGGCAGTGATGGCGTTCAGCTTTTGCAGTGTCAGTAGTACTCCGCTGCCCTGCGCCGCAGAGCCACCCGACAAGGTGCCGCTGGGGTCGTAGACGTCGCCTTCCAGCGTGACACTCTTCAATCGCACCGACGGATCGAAGGTGACCTTCTTCGCAGTCGCTGCATCCGCTGCTATCAGCGTGCTGCCAAACACATACTCCATCGCCTTCTGCACCTCCTGCTCGTAGCCAATCAACGTGACCGCGAGATGGACCTGTCCAGGAGCCAGTTTTTGTGCCGCGGCGACTCGATCGGCCGGCGCTCGCGAGGCGGAGATCTTGTCCAGAGGGATGATGGTCACTCTCCGTCGAAGCTTGCCATGATCGAGCAGCTCCTTACCGGTGGATGAGGAGTCTACCACAACGTTGTAGAGTCTTCCACCAGCACAAATCTCCAAAGCAGTGCCGGCCTCGGCCTTCTCAGCGGGGAGGTTGAAAAGCTGCGCCACGAGCCCCTTGACTCGCCGCCGGTCGAAATTGGGGGATGGGTCGGTGTAGGAAAAGTCCAGTCCGGCCACCTTCCTCCGAAGTGCCTCCGCATCGTTCTGCAACGACCAGACACGCTTCTCGATCTGTGCCTTCTCCGCCTGCTGCGCTTCTTCCCGCCCCGGCTCGAAGCCCAGCTTTTGCAGCTCCTTCTCCAGCTTGCCGGCCTGGGAGCGGAGTAGTTCGAGGTCACTCAACAGTCCGCTGTTCTCCTTCTCGGCCTTCTTCGCGCGCGGCTCATCTTCTTTGACCCGCGCCTCGAGATGGCTGATTTTGAGTTTTGCCTGTTCAATCTCCGTTCCGGCTTTGCTTGCAGCGTCTCGTGCTGCGGAGAGCTGCCCGGCGTAGCCACCATCAGAGGCAGCATTGGAGGAAATGCCGGTCTGGAGGGTTTGGAGGAGCTCCTCCTTCTTCTCCACCTCTGCTTTCTGCTCCTCGAGGTCCTTGCTTGCGCCGTCGAATTTGTGTTGGAGCTTTTGGTGCGCGTCCCCCTTTTGCTTGAGCTGCTTCTCGAGGTCTTTCACGGAGGCTTGGGCTTTCTTCAGCCGGTCCTGCTCTTCTGTCACAGAAGCCTTCTTCAAATCGATCACCGTCGCGAGTCGGACCAGCTCGTGAGAGTGGGTCTTGACAGCTTCCTCCAACTTTCCAAACCTTCCTCCTTTTCGCAGCTCCTGATCGCGTGTAGCGCGCACCCTCTCCAGATCCTCCTCCAAGACACCGATCTCCCGCTTCAGCTTGTCCGCATTACTCTCCAGCATCTCCACCCGCTCTCTTTGCGCGGCAAGATCTTGCGCGCTTTGCTCCAGCTTCTGCTTTGACTTGATGTAGTCGTAGGCGACCACGAGTTTCGTCAGGCGCTCGAGATCGGACTGGGTGCTTTGGAACTCGAGGAAGGCGCGCTTTTCGTTGCGAAGTTTGTCCAGCTTGGGCTCAATCTCGTCCTTGAGCAACCCTTCCAGCTCTTCCACCTTGCCCTGCTTCTTCGCCAGCGTGCGCAGCGCCTTCTCGCGTCGATCCTCAAACATGCGCGTGCCCGCCGCCTCCTCGACCATGCCCAGGATCTCCGTGCTCTTCATGTTGAGGACTTTGGTGATGCGGCCCTGCATGATGAGGAAGTTGGGGTTGTTGATGTTCAGCTGGACGGATTGGAAGAGGTTCTGCACCGTCTGTTGCTGCGCGCGGTGGCCGTTGATGAGGTATTTGCTGGTGCCTCCCAAGACAATCTGTCGCGTGACCGAAATGCTGGCGTAATCCTCGAAGCCGATGGGCGACTTTGCCTTGTCGGAGTTGTCGAAGACGAGGGTGACGGAGGCCTTGGTGATGCCGGCCTGGCCGCGTTTGTAGATGAGATCGCTGGCGCCGCCATTTGCGCGAAGGAGCTCGAAGCGCCCGATGCCCAAGCAGAAACAGATGGCATCAAGGATGTTGGACTTGCCGGAGCCATTGAGGCCGGTGATGGCGTTGAAGGTGGCATCCCAGGGAGAGATGACGGTGCGCACGGCGTACGACTTGAAGCCGTCGATGATGAGTTCGGTGATGCGCATGTTGGCGGTTGGGCGAGGTTTCTCTGGTGCTTCTCCAGTAGATCTAGTCGAGATGCTCGTCCATGGCCTGCATGCGAGGTGTTCCAGGCAGTCGTCGGCGGTGTTGAAGGTTCACAATCATCCAAGTGTGGCCTCGCGACGGATGTAAACACAAACCACAACATTCGGCGTCGCGGCTGACGGGAGCGCCCGCACGCCACAAACCTTATTGGCACCTCCGCGGCATTGAACTCGCCGATACGGTGAGGACCAGAGCAGCTCCGAAGCGTGATTTAGACAGCGCTACAGTCTGTTGTGATGTTTGTCCCGGTCACATTTGTTGACCTTTGACTTCCACGCATCGGCGAGTGTGGGGGAAGGCACGACGCCGTTGTGCACGAAAGTACCAAGCTCGCTGCAGGGTCCCACCCACTCCACCGTTATCTTGGTGTGAATCATTCACGTTGTTTCGTCCTTTTACCCCTCCAACTGCGTGGCCCGCCTTCTTCGGCATCCTGCCACCCTGACACCGACCATCGACTTGCCACTCTCCCGCTCTGGACTATGGAAAATGACTATCTCTACGTTGGCGTTTGGAAAGGCAAACGCAGCCGGGAATCTTAAGCTATACAGTCGTGCAACCCGCTTCTATTCTACGGCGCCTGCGACAAATCCCAGTGCAAAATCAAACAATGGCCCGGCCGCTGCTGCTGCCACTCAACGCGAACTATTCATGCACGTTCTGGATGCGAATGCCACAAAGCGAGATGCTAAGCAGTATCTCTCCCAATTCAAAAATACCGGTCAGAGCCCTCGTGCCGAACAGGAGCGATTGCGTCGGAAAAGTCTCTACGGTCCAGCTCGGGCGATTGCAGAGAGTCCCAAATTCGTTCGCGAGGAGGAGGAAAGAGCCGAAGTCGTTGCTACTCCGCAGACTGTACATGTCGCACTAGTATTGCTGCGCACTCCGGAAAAGCTTGACGATGCTACCTTCGACGGAGTAGCCAAGACTCTCTCAGAATTGGTCAAGCTGGACATGCGAGTGCTGGTGGTGATTGACTCTACGCTATCTGGTGATGACAAGGCATCAGCTCAGCGAATCGCCACTTCGTTCGCCGAGCAAGGCCACCGGCTGATACAGGCGATCGCGAAACACGGCAGCAAAGGAGCTCGCCTTGTGCAGGGGGCTTTTGAGTCGATCGATGGCTCAAGCAAACACCAGGTTGTAGTTGGTGTTCCACAGCTCCTACTTGATCCCTTGCATCGCTCCGTCATTCCCATTGTCCCGACGCTGGCATATACGCCTTCCGGCCAACAGCTACCATCCATTGCTGCCGACATTATGCTAGCTTTGACACGCCTCCTCACTGGGCACTCAGACTTCCAATTGAGTAATGCCGGCACCTCACTGGATCGAATACTTGTGCTCGATGAAGTAGGCGGAATTCCCAGCAGATATCGAGAAGGTGAGGCGCACATCTTCATCAACCTCAGCCAGGAGTATGACGATATTCAGCGAGAGTTGGCGGAGTACAGCAACGAGACCAACGGTCACCACAGGGTACCCGCCCATGAGCGACATGCACAAAATCTGGACATGCTGCAGGACTGTCTGGCATTATTACCATCGGCATCATCGGCACTCATCATCACTCCCCAAGAGGCAGCCAACTCCTCTCAGGCCGCAGGTAGAGCGGCAGACCCGATCGGCACTGGGACACGGCGACAAAAGAACACCATTATCCACAATCTCCTGACCAACAAGCCAGCGCTGTCGCCATCTCTGCCGGCCTCGCGGCTGCCGTCCAAAACTCCTGTCGGTGGCAATACACGTGCCCCTCCTAGGTCGACGTTGGTCAAACGGGGCATGCCACTCGCCATCATTCCGGATGTCGATCGAGGCCAAGGCTGGATGAAGCCCTCATCTGGCCAATCATCCCTGGACATCGGCACCGATGCACAGGTCGACCTCCCCCGACTCGTCCATCTGATTGAAGACTCATTCCGCCGCAAGCTGGATGTGCAGCACTACCTTTCTCGTATCCATGGTCGGACCGCAGGTCTCATCATTGCGGGTGCATACGAAGGCGGTGCCATTCTGACATGGGAGCAGCCCCCGGGCACATCAGACCCGGCACGACTCGTACCCTATCTGGACAAATTCGCGGTGCTTTCGAGCTCTCAGGGCTCGGCAGGCGTAGCGGACATCCTCTTTCAAGCAATGGTGCGCACTGGCTTCCCTCAAGGCGTGTGCTGGCGCAGTCGAAAAGACAACCCCGTGAACAAGTGGTATATTGAGCGCGCAGATGGGCATTGGCAGATTCCCGGGACGAATTGGACCATGTTCTGGACGGGAGAGGGGGTGGTGGAGAATCAGGAGCGGTGGGAAGATTACGTCGGTGTATGCCGCAGTATTCAGGCGAGCTGGGCGGATGTCAAAGCACCTGACTGAAGGGAGATGGTACACTACGTCTATTCTTATTGTCGAGGATCTACGTCCTTCACTTTTGGTTCTCAAACTTTAAGCCTCCCTCCTCCCGTACAACACCATAGATGCCCGCCAAGTCGCCCTTGTCATTCTTCTTGTCAATGACATCCAACAAATGCTGCCCCGCCACATTCAACCCCTTTAACTGCACGCCGTGCGTGTCTGCCAACGACTTGGCATGGTTATAATCCTTCCTCGCCAACTTGGCCGAAAACGCCGGCTCCTCGCGAGTATAGTAATCCCCCGTAATCATCCGATTGCTATAAGCAGAATACGGCGGGCCAAACATAGTCTCAATAAACTTGTGCAAGTTATCCGAACCGAGGCCCGACTTCTCAGCCAGCACGTGGCTTTCGGACAAGATCTCGACCATGTTGAGGATGAAGGTGTTGCCGATGATTTTCAGGCGGGTGGCGGCGCCTTGCGGTTGGTCGCTAAAGTCCACTTCGGCGCGCGCCATGACGTCCTGACAGAAGGGCTTCACTTTGTCGACTTGGGCTTTGGGGCCGGCGAGGACGGTGATGAGCTTGCCCGACTCGGCCATGGGAGGGGCGCCGAAGACGGGGCAGGCGACGAATTCGGCGCCCTTGTCGTTGATCGTTTTGGCGAGTTTGTTGGTCGTGTCGGGGTGGATGGTGGAGCAGTCGATGAACAGCTTGCCCTTCGCCTCGGGCACTTTGAGGGCGGTGTCGATGGTGCTTTCGATGGCGGCATCGTCGCCCACGCAGGTGAAGATGTAGTCGGCTTGCTTGACGCATTCCTCAATCGAGTCGGTGACTTTGACCTTGTCGCCGGCGTTGAGGGAGGAGGCGAACTTCTCTGCTTTGGCTGCTGTGCGGTTGTAGATGAGCACCGGGGCCGTGTAGCTGCCTTTTTCCACAATGTTCTTGACCATGCCGCGGCCCATGTTGCCCAGGCCAATCCAGGCCACACGTGGAGGAGACATTTTGGCTGATTGTGCGGTATTTGGGAATCGGGAGAGATGCAAGACCTACGCCGGTTGCTTTCAGAGGGAAGTGTTTTATCTACCGCGCATTGATACTGTATTTAGTGGAAATTCCGTCGACATGACTTCAATGACGTTGCGGTGATCGGCAAAGACGGAGCCTTTCGCCGCAGCTGCCGCTCACGCTATACAAGAGATGATTGTCTCGAGTTGCATCGCGTTATGTACGCGTCGATCACTTATACCTTTGGCTTCACCCATTCGAGCAGTCTTTTCGTGTTATGCAAGTCATGTCGAGGTGTAGCTACCTTATTATTCATCTCTGGCATTGAAACCGGCTAGAAACGGCTGAAGATTGATAAGATAAGCGGATCAACTTCGGATCTGGGCGCGGATGCAGCGTCTTGAAATACTCGACCAGCCCATCTGTACTCAGCCGCTATTCATGAATATTCTGCATTCCTACACTTTCGAGTGTCTATTTCCTTGATTCCAAGTGTGCGCGCGAGACTACCATCACCATGTCGCACGTCACCTCGGCGTCGCCGCGCAACCCGCCGGCCGTGATGAACACCATCATGGAGAACATTGGCAACACGCCCCTCGTCCGCTTGAACCGCCTGCCGCAATCGCTTGGCCTGAAGTGCCAGGTGTACGTCAAGTGCGAATACTTCAACGCCGGCGGCAGCGTCAAGGACCGCATTGCCCTGCGCATGGTCGAGGCGGCGGAGAAGGAAGGCCGCATCAAGCCTGGACAGAACGTGCTCATCGAGCCGACGAGTGGCAACACGGGAATTGGCTTGGCGCTGGTCGGGGCTGTGAAGGGGTATAAAGTACTCATCACGCTGCCGGAGAAGATGAGCTCGGAGAAGGTGTCGGTGTTGAAGGCGCTGGGCGCGGAGATTATCCGAACCCCCACCAGCGCCGCGTGGGACAGCCCGGAGAGTCATATCGGGGTGGCGCGACGCTTGGAGAAGGAGATTCCCGGCGGCATCATCCTCGATCAATACGGCAACCCCAACAACCCCCTCGCCCACGAGTTTGGCACGGCGGCCGAGATTGTGGAGCAAGTCGGCGCCATCCAAGGTAAGCTCAAGGCGGTCATTGCTGGTGCGGGCACGGGTGGAACCATCACTGGCATTTCGAGGGGAATCCGCAAGGCACACGGGAAAGAGGTGGCCATCGTGGCGGCGGATCCCATCGGGAGCATTCTCGCCTACCCACCCTCGTTGAACAAGGAAGGCGATAACAAGCCGTACAAGGTGGAGGGCATTGGCTACGACTTCATCCCGGACGTCCTGGCTCAGAAAGAGGTGGACAGATGGTACAAAACCAATGATCGCGAGTCCTTTTATTGGGCTCGAAGACTCATCACCGAGGAGGGTCTGCTGGTTGGTGGAAGCTCTGGTTCAGCCATGGCATGCTTGGAACAGACATGCAATGACCTGAACCTCGGAGCTGGCGACGCCGTCGTGGTCATTCTCCCCGACAGCATTCGAAGCTACCTGAGCAAATTCGTCGACGACGACTGGCTGGCTGCGAACGACCTGCTCCCCCCTTCCACCCCCCTCACCTCCAAGCCATCGCAAGATGCTGCCGCTACCAACGGACACCACAAAGCCGAGGCAGAGCACGCCCCTGCATCCCCGACACTGACGCGCGTGGCCAGCGTGACGAGCAAAGACGAATACGGCAACGCCAAGATTCGCGACCTGCGATTGAAGCCCGTGCAAACCATCTCCGATTCCCAGACCGTCGATGAAGCCGTGGAGCTCATGCGAGACAAGGGCTACGACCAGGTGCCCGTCACCTCTTCCACTGGCCGAAGACTCGTCGGCATGGTCACCCTCGGCAACTGTCTATCCTACCTCGCCTCCCAGAGAATCGACATCGACTCCCCCGTCAAAGACGTCATGTTCAACTTTAGCCATCTAGACGAAGTCAAGCCGCTGGAGAAGAACCCTGGCATTTCCGATACCCCAGGTGATGAAAAGAGGGGCCAACGCGAATTTGTCGAAATCACAAAGGACACTCCCCTCTGGGCTCTGAGCCGGTTTTTGGAGTGGAACGCTGCCGCCGTCGTGACGGAGCGCACGCAAGAGGATGGGATGAAGGCACTGGCGGTGGTGACGAAGGTGGATCTATTGGTGTGGCTCGTGGGCCGAGGACGACATCAGCAGTCGAATGGGCGGAAATGAATGGGCATTTGGGTCTTGCAGCGCCGGCGTTGTTGACATTACGGGAGAAGCAGAGGTACAATCTAACGTTTTTTGCAAAAAGGCCATCAACTGGCGATGAGTCGAGCGTACCTCACCACCTTGTGCCCACAACGCCTACCGTCCCCCTCCCTTTCCTGCATTATTCCTCCCGCTATGAACGCGTCCATATCAGATACCAGAGACGGGAGCACTAGCCTCAACTCTTCACCGGCTTCCTCTTGAGCAGCTTCCTCACCTTGCGCTCCGTGTTGGACATGGGCGCGTCGGACGAGGTGAAGGCGCTGGAACTCGCGTCGTAAGTCGAGTCTTGCATGGGATGGTCGTAATTGTTCGCATCGTGATGCTGGGCATCGGTATAGTAATTGTCGTCAGGTTGCAACGCCGTGCCGCTCGGCGGAATGTAGCCGTCGTCCTGTCGCGTCGGCAGGGCGGTGAAGTCGTTGGCGTTGTGCGAGGGTGGAGGATGCGGAGGGGGATTGTACGTTTGCCGGTCTGGGTCTGGAGTCGTGGACGGTCGCAGGCCCTGTCGTTCGCGCAGGCCGGCCATTTCGCGCTCGCCGGCTGTGAGGGTTGCGTGGTTTTTGGCGTCGATGGCGGCTTGCTTTTCGGGGTCGCGGCTGCGCAGGCGGGAGTCGACTTCGTTGTTGATGGTGCCGCGGAGTGTCTCGCCGACGCCCTGTAGAATTGTCAGTGTCATCGTCTCGTGTTGAACAGGTCAAATCGAGGCGTGCTCACATGTATGCCGACGGCAGCCGCTTTCAAATTGCCCAATGCACCCCCCGGCTTCGTCGAGACGGAGCCCTCGTTCTCCGCCCGCACATCACCCCGACTCTTCGGCCGGCTGAAGTTCTGCGTCGGCGTAGCATCGACCGGCGAAACGGGATTTTCAAGCCTGTCCCTCGACCTCCCATACGGGTTGTTGGAATCAGCGGCGCCGCGACCAGGACTCCTGTCGGGCACGTCGGGCGTGTGGGGCGGGAGAGATGGCTGGGTATGTGTCTGCTGTGTCTGTACTGGCGGTGCGATCGTAGAGTCGTATACTTGACTCGTGGGGGGCGAGGTGTTGGCCGCGGTGGGCATTTCTTGGATTTGAGAGGAGGGCGCGCCGGGCGTGGTTGCGACCTCGACGGTCTGGAGCTTGCCGTCGGGCGTTTTCTTGGTCGTGGTCGTCTATGCAGCGTTAGTCCGACACGGAGAGGTATGAGGGGGCGTAGACGCATACCGTTGTGGTAGTAGTGGTCGTCGTCACGGTCGACACCACCTCTCCCGTATCATCATCCATGACATCGCCGGTGGACTTGTTGAGCGTCAGACTGCGATCCGAACTGACGCCCTGGAACTGCCCGGTGTTCTCCATGGGCATGGTGTCGGCGCCGGGGGAGTAGGGCTTCCTCTCGCCCTCGCTGCTCGCGTACGCCGAGTCGGCCATGTTGCTGTTGCTCGACGTGCGGTACTCGCTGGCGCCCGCGGGCTCCTTGTCTTTCTTGCCGAACAGCTTGCCGCTGAGTCGGCCTTTCTTCTTGTCGTCCATTGGAGATGCTGGGATGAGAGTACGATGCGAGAAAAGGTAGGGATACGACAATGAATGCTTGTGGTCGAGAAATGAATGTCCAACTCACATCTTTTGACAATGGAAAGGCGGCCTTGCAGGGTTCCCAGTTTCCCGGCAAGTGATGTCAGATGGCGCCGGCACCCCGCGACCGTCTCGGCCATCCACTCCTTCGCAGAGCCAATCGCAGACAAGCATCGCGGCCCTGAGCGTGGCAACGTGGCAGGGCAGATCTCACAGCCACAGCCCTCCGCCGGAATAGGATGGTGCAGGCAGATCGTGGCGATAATGAGGGCGGAAGGCGGTGCAAACGGCTTGTCCTCTTCCACGTGCAGCACGTCTGGCACTGATGTCGTCGTCGTCGTCGTCGCTGTTTGAACTGCCGTCGGAAATCCTCGTGCTCGTCTTTGAACACCTCGATGATGTGAGGGCGCTCTATCAGCTGGTGCAGACGTGCGCGCGAGCACAGGAGATATACGTCCAGCATGCCGCCGGCATTCTCGATCACGTCCTTCGCAACGCATACCCCGATGGAGCGCAGAGCATCAAAGACACGAGGACCGCAGCTCGCTCGGGCGGCGAGCTGAACTATGCATACCTGGGAGAACACGAGGTGCATTGGATGGGCCCGGCGGACACCCCGGCCGATATGAGCCATCTACAAGACTACTCCACGCTGGCCGACGAGGTGGACAATCTCGCGGCCTGGTGCGCGCCCAAGTGCCAGCAAAGGCCGTCATGGCATCGTCCCGGCGGCACGTCCATGCGACAGTCGGTGGTGGAGAGTCTTTGCCACCTGCAACTGCTGGCGAACCGCATGTTCAACGTCCGCCTGCCCGCCTTCCCCGAGGAGATTAGTCTGCGGGTGTACGAGAAGACGACGGCACGCACCTACATTTCCCGCAAGACTCGAGACCAGGCTCGCGATCTGCAGGAGGATCAACTGCGCCTGCTCCAGCCACACCAGCTGAGGAACTTGTGGTATTTGTTGCAGATACTGCAGGACGAGTATCTGCGGCTACGTCGACATCGTTTGCGACCCGCCGAAGGCAGCCTGCTGGACCTGCTGTTTCAGCATGCCCCCGACGAGAAGGTCTGGAATATCAGTCTTTGGCTGCCGGTGCAGAGCATGCTGAGTAAACTGGGTCTGCACATCGTGCCTCCTCGCCCGGGCACCTCGTTTCGCTTTCGGGGCCACGAGACAATCGACGAGTTGCACCAGGTTGATGCCGAGGAATTCGATCAGTACTTCAAGGCTCTGCGCGAGAATCCCAGGGAAACCACAAAGCAGCGGCGGCAATGTTCGATATGTGTTGCACGTGGCCACTCCCCTTCTCCATGTCCTCACGCCTACCTGGACAAATTCCGCCCGCTGCTTGGTCTGCCGTACGGAGATGCGACTTGCATAGCGGAGCTGGTGAGGTTCAAGGGGTCTCTGCAACCCATCATCGTGACCAAGCCACATTGGGCGTATGGAGGTGGGAGGAATGCAGATCACAGTCGATTGGAAATGATGTTGTGGGAGTGCACGGAGAGGCATCGCCCTACCACCGCGGCGAAGCATCGGAGCCGAGCGCTGTAGTCGCCTTGTCAATGCAGAAGTCTATCATTTCGGGCAACCTCAATCACTAGGAGCGTACTTCCGGTAGTACTCCTGCATAGCAGCCACGTCCTCATGCCGCCCCTTCTGCTCCATCCCCGCAATCAAATCGCGTAGCGTCAGGACAGCCATAACCGGCACGCCCGTCTCCCTCCGCACCTCTCCAATCGTACTCCCTCGCGCACTCCCATCATCCCCCTTGCCCGCCTTCTCCGCCTCACTCGGCATCTTCTCCTGCCGATCCAGCGCCACGACAATCCCCACCAACTTCCCGCCTTGCTGCTGAATGATGGAAATCGCCTCGCGAATCGCCTTGCCGGAAGTCATGACATCGTCGATAATCACCACCCGCTTGCCCTGCAGACTCTCCCCTACAATTAAGCCCCCCTCGCCGTGGTCCTTGACTTCCTTGCGGTTGAACGCGTACCCCACCTCCCCCCATTTCCGCTCATCGACGCCCGCAAGTTTCTCCGCCGTTGTCGCGCATAGCGGGATCCCTTTGTACGCCGGGCCGAAGAGGACATCAAAGTCGAATTCCGGGTGTTCCAGAGTGTAAGCATGCAGTGTGCGAGCGTAGGCGGCGGAGATGGCGCGGATCAATTTGGCGCGACAGAAGAGCCCGCAGTTGACGAAGTAGGGACTGATGCGATGGGATTTGAGGGTGAAAGACCCGAAGGTGAGGATGTTGTTTGAGAGGGCGAAGTCGATGAGTTCGGCTTTCCAGTCGGGCAGGTTGGAGGCCGACATCGTTGCGTGGTTGTGTTTGAATGATTGCTGGTGTTGTTGGGCGAAGATTTTTGATGCGGCGAGAAGGCTGAAACATTAACCCTAACCCTAGTGCGTGCTGTATGTCTGTCGGCAACCTCATCTTGGATCCGAGGTCGGCTCGGCATCAACAGACTGCCTTCACTCCCATATCTCTCCGTAAAGGCGCAGTGACAAAGGCTACAGGATGTCGCAACCAAAATTCGAGCTGCCAATCCCTGCAGTCAAGTACTGCATCCTCTCCTTTCCGCAGCCAAACATCCTCCTCGTCGAACTGAACCGCGCCAAAGAACTAAACTGCGTCAACCTCGAAGGCCACGCCGAGTTGGACGCCATCTGGACCTGGCTGGACGAGGAGCCAAGTCTAGTATGCGGCATCATTACAGGCAAGGGCAGATCTTTTTGCGCCGGGGCTGATTTGAAAGGTTCGTCATGTTCATCAATCGGTATTACAGCTGCGATAGGCTAAGTCATCACAGAATGGAACTCGCACAACCAAGGAGGCAAGAAACGCATCCTCCCCGCTAGTGGTTTTGGTGGACTTTCCCGACGAAACGGCAGGAAACCCGTCATCGCCGCCGTCAACGGCATCTGCTACGGCGGAGGCTTTGAGGCTGCTGTCAACTGCGATTTGCTCGTCGCATCTCCCAAAGCTACATTTTCTCTCCCGGAAGTCAAGATTGGAGTCGTGGCGCTCGCTGGCGCACTCCCCCGATTGATCCGCACGGTGGGCAAGCCGCGCGCGATGGAAATGGCTTTGACTGGTCGTGCCATCACGGCGGCCGAAGGGATGGAATGGGGTTTGGTAAACAAGATTGTAGGGAATGGCGAGGACGAGGTGGTGAAGGTGGCAATTGACTACGCGAAAATGATTGCCGCCAACTCACCTGATGCTGTGATTGTGACTCGGGAAGGGGTGAAGATGGGCTGGGAAGGGGTTGGTGCAGAAGACGCGACGCGCCAAACTGCCGATACCTGGGCCGCGCGGTTGCATGCCGGCGCGAACATGAAGGAAGGCGTGCAGTCTTTTGTGGAGAAGCGAAAGCCACGGTGGACGCCGGCGAGGCTGTGATTGAACGAGTAGTAGCTTGCATAAATTCGTCGGGTATAAATGTATATCAGGCTCGACAATCATCCGCGGAACGAACCAAACACAATCGCCTTTCCACTCCCACTGTGGATGTTCTCCTGGGCTTGCTCGAGTTGTAAAAGAAGATGTGATGTTCGCACCAGAACCTCTTCGTAAACAATCAGCGCGAGATCGACCACGCAATCGACGATACTCACCATCAAATTCAATGCTGTAGCTCACAGCCGACTCGACCTCGTTTGACAACAGGTGCACATTCTGACGTAGCTTCTTCTCCTTGATGTTGAACTTGACGCCGAGGTTCTGGTCGGCCAGCCACAGGGCACAAGGGTCTTGGGTTGCTTTGACACAGGCGGGAGCTACGGCTGGACGAATCGAAGCATCGCGATGCACCGCCACTGGCTCGCCATCCGTCCAAGTCCTGCTCTCGCAGTTCTTCGACAGCCACTCTCGCCACACCCGCAACACTCCACTACTGACGGGGTGCATGCTCACCAGGATGCCGCGCTCTGGCTCCCGCTTGCCCAGCAGGATCTCCGTCGATAACTGGGAGAACAGATCGTGCGCATCGACGGTGATGGTATCGCTCACGCGTTCATCAATAGGGCGTGGCGCAGGGATGCGATTGAAATCAGTGTATACCCGGGAGCCCGTCATTGGGCGGTAAACGACGCGCACGGTAGGCTCCTGCAGCTGCGGGCGGAAGCGCGAGTATAGCCCGAAGATGCTCTTCACCTGGCCCAAGTGGCTTTCGTCATCGTAGATGGCGGTCTGCAGCTCCGCCAGTCCGTCGGTCTTTAGAGCAGCGCAGAACATCTTCGGACTTTGACGATCGAGGGAGGGGTGGTGGCATCGGAAGTAGAGGGCATGCCCGTCCAGGCCGGCGGCGACTTGCAGGCGATTGTGCATGACGCGCAGGATCAATGTGTGGAATTGAGGACATGTTGGCGTGAGCCGTAGCAGTTCCTGGGAGGAGCAGAGGTCGAACACGGTCAGAAGGATCTATGGAGTGAGCGTGGAGTTAGCGGGGGAGGGTGGTACGAGGGGGGAGGGGGAACGGATCACGCACTTCATTGGGGAGCGAGAAGATGCCGTTAGCCATGATGAGTGCGGTTCGCGAGGAATTCGGTGCAGCAGGAGTGGTGAGGGTGGTCGAGCATGCGTAAAGGTATGTCGCGATAGCCGTTGGAGTAGATGTACGTCATGTGACGCCGTTCTCCGTTCGCGCGCCTTCCGCTTTCGGAGCGACGCGGCGCGTACCCCAGGCTTCCACCACATGCCCTGTGCTTCACCATTTCATCTGCTTCCAATGCACATTTTCTCGACCTTTCGGAGAGACACGCCTACCTGTGCTGTTGAGTTGCAGTGAATGCCCTCTGCAGTCATCGAGTGAGGAGGCGAAGAGCAAATGACTTGACGCCGTCAGGATGCCTGGTGTGCAAAGCTATGTCAATCGGAGGGCTTCAGAGCAGCCTGAGCCCGAGGAGACCGCCGCGAATGGCGCTGCCAAACCACCTCACCCCGATCTCGGGGATCTCAAAATGAACACGAAAACCCACCCCGCGGCCAACAAAAGTGAAACTCGAAGCAAATACCGCCAACCTTCTCAACTGGGCCAGCACGCTGCACTCTATGGCGCGGACGTAAGCAGCATCGGCGACACCTCTACGAATCCCAGTCCAGATGCTATCAAGCGTGAGGCGTACGACAAAGTGAATGGCCAAGTGTCAAATAATCACGGTGAGATGCATGCCGATTACAGCGAGGGCGAATTCACCGACGGACGGCAGCTTGACGAGGAGCCTGATGAGGACGAATACGGTACTCTAGCCCATTTCCAAGCTGATATGGACGAGGCCGTCGCTCAACGCCGGCAAGACGGATTACCGATCATAGAAGGTGACTCGTATCCTCCCACCACATCTGGACCACCTTCACCGACCGCATTGGATCAGTTGAACACGCTACCCGAGCCTCGTGGATCGATGTATCAGCCCACCCGTCAGTTCAAAGCCCAAACCGCCAGCTCCTTGAAAAATGGACAGGTTCATCGTCCCGAGGCAGGCCCAGAAGCCGTGACGCCGTTCAAATTTGGAGCCAACCCATCTCTACCGATCCATACAGGGTCGAAGAAGCAGACGACTGCACCGACGTTTAACCAACACTCCAAGACTACTCCATCGACGAACGCCGCACATCGAGACTCTGCCCCGTCGATGAGTTGCCTTGGAGTCCCCATGAACGGACATATGGCACAATCTGATGGCCAAGGTGCAGCAACAACCCAACAGCGCCACAGGGTAGCCGCTCCACAACATACTACTAAGCAGGCGAATCACGTCAATGTTCAACAACCGCAAGCGATCCCCACTCCTGCCCAGCAGTCGTCCGGGAACAACGCCGACGAAGAAGACGAAGACGAGCTCGACTACGATGGCGACACGCTACTCACGATGGACTACGCCGAGCTCAAAGCGCAATCCTTCGACACCGACCCCAACAACCCCCGCCCCAGTCGCAAGCAAGGGCAAACGCTGGCAAGTCGACTACAAGCAGTATCTGAAGCTCCACAACAGAAACAGTATGATTTCTTCCTCGCACTGCCTCTTGACGAGTGGGAGGAGGCTGGGGACTGGCTTCTGGAACGCTTCGGCGAAGTACTCCACAAATTCAAGGCGGTTCGGCAGGAGAAGCGCGAGGCTGCGAGGGGATTTGAAGGGGAGATTGCGAAGAGGTACGATGCCGTGGGCAAGAAGCGCAAGCAGACGGAGGCACAATTGAACGAGATGCGAGAGAATGGAAGGGAGCTGTTGCAGGGAACGCCAAAGAGGCCGAAGACGAAGTAGAGCGGTGCAGGAGGTGAGGTGTACGGTTGTCGTGTTGCTGCGTTCTAGCTGGGCGTTACGGTGCTCGATACCCCCTTTGCTCGGTGGGAAATGGCTGAATGTATGAAAATTTGCTCGGTGGAGAATGAATGGATGAGACACTTGCTCAGAGGCGAGTACGAATAATACCTTACCTGCTCCCAGCCTTAGGCAGAAGTTCTGCAAATGCCGCCCAACGGCCTGTGGTTGCCGCTGGGAAGATGTTGTTTTGTAATCATTCGGCAAGACTCGATGCCGCTATGAAGCCGCAGTCAAGAGCACACGGAAGAAATCGGAGCCTCAACCATGTCAGGCTCTTGGTCACATGAAATCATATGCCTGGCTCCATCTCACAACACCCACCTGGATGGCGAAGGAAGCGGCGGGAGCATCTCCGAAGCCGAATTAGGCCCACGTCCCGGCTCATCAAGATGATGGCTGTGGGGGAAACACCACGTGTTTGGAAAGTCGGGCTGACGCCACCAAGACGCACCCCCGGAAAAAGTGCGATCGCCCGGGAACGAACGTTCTGGAATGTGGGCGGACTCCGCCCGACGAGTTTCGCAATGTCACGATTCCGTGGGGTTTGCGTGGGCCAAGCCGTGGGACAATGATGTCGCTCGAATCTCGGCGATACCGATGTATTGGAAGGCGGCGGTGCGGTGCCAGGGCGAAAAGTGAGCAGGGCAAAAAGGGAGCAATGCCTTCAGCCATGCCACTGTCCATCCTCGGCTTAAAAAGTTTCGACGTTGGGGAGACGAAACAGTGGGAATGATGGGGAGGAGGCGCGGCTTGGCCCGCTAAAAGGGCACACTGGTCGTCTTTGATTAGCAATTCGTCAGAAAATTTGCGCGATGAATCTTCGGGGCAAGGTAGGCAGTGGATTGCGCTGGGTGTGTGGGAAAAGAAGAAAATTGTTGGCCGCCGTCCGACTCCACATGCGTGTCATTCCACCCCCACCCCCCCGATGTGGCATGCTGCCGCCCGGGTGTGTGCTTCGGCAAAGTCCCCGAGAACATCGTCAGCCTTGTGCCAGGCCGTGGACGTCGACATTGGATTTTGCCGAGGATACCCTCGGCTGGGGGGGAGGGAGGGAATGGAGGTGGCAGAGTGGCATTGAGGGCGTGTGGAAGCGAAATCGGGGTGAAGCGAGCAAGGCAGAAAAGGCGAGGCGAGGGCGGACGAGGTTTCACACGTCCCCGGAAAAGCATTGTCCGCGATGTGCAGTGCATGGAGGGAATACTGTACATACATGTAGTAATAATGCAGAATGTTGCTGTGGCGCAAATCTGGGGGAGCGGAAGGCGGGAGGGGATGTGATGAGATGTGACGGGAAAGGGAATGCGCTCCGGCAGAGCTGAGACGCAGGAACGCCCCGTATCGCTCGCTGCTGCTGCTTCGGCAAAAGTAGGATGACGAGATTAAGTCGTCGTCGTTCGGGCGCGCCTGCCCACTCAACCTTTTTGTGGAGCCCCACGTTCCGTCGGCCCTGCCTGCGCCTGCCTGCCCAAGGTTCGTTCCTTCCTTTCTTCCTTTCTTCCTCGCTCTCAATCAAACCCGCCCGGCCACCCTCCTCCTCCTCATTCTTCCAGTCTGCTTCTCCTCTCTCTTCCCCGCAATCCACCCCCTCCTGCGTACCTGACGCCTCCCCCATCAACGACATCGCGGACTGGTGCCACGCGGGCCAAAGGAATCGCGCGTTGCCCTTATCTGACTTATCGCCCTCTGTCACATGCTTTCGCGCCTGCTCAGCCAGGAGGCGGCTTCCTTCCCCACACATCGGCCTTCCAACGCGAACACCAACACCAACACCGACCACCCCTCCCCATCCACATCAACCTCTCCCCACCACTCTCCGGTCCAGCCTGAGGCCTCCTCCGCCCCGTCCATGGCAGCCTCTGCCACCTCCACCGCGCCCATGGTCGTCGACATGATGCAGCATCAAGATGACGCCAACCGCCCCGACCTCCCCCGTCCCTACAAGTGCCCGCTCTGCGACAAGGCCTTTCACCGTCTCGAGCACCAGACGCGCCACATCCGCACCCACACGGGCGAGAAGCCGCATGGCTGTCAATTCCCTGGATGCACCAAGCGCTTCAGCCGCTCCGACGAGCTGACCCGACACTCGCGCATCCACAGCAACCCCAACTCGAGGCGCGGCAACAAACAGCACGTCGCTGCTGCACATGCCGCCGCGGCCGCCATCCAAGGTGGCATGTACGACAGCACTGCCATGCAACACATGAACCACCCCGTCGGCCACATGAACCATCATGCGCCATCCGGCAACGGGCCTCACCAAGCCACGCAGTCGACATCTCCTCCGCACTCCTCCCTCCATGCGATGCCGCCGCCACCCATCTCTCACTCCGCACCCGGCTCGCAGCCGACGTCGCCCAACATCTCGCCGCCCCACTCCTACGCTACCACTTACTCAAGTAACCCCGGATCGTACATTCCACGCAACACGAGTGGCGACATGAGTCCTGCGCAGGGAGCCTACCACCGACCGATGGACATCAATCTGCTCGCGACCGCTGCGTCGCAGGTGGAGCGGGAAAACAACAACATGTCCTACATTCCCAATCACAACCTCTCCCTTCCCACACGGCATCAGTACTACCACAGCTCCCCCTACCATACGGGGCGCATGCCGTCACTCTCCTCCTACCACTACTCATCGAACCCGACATCTCAACCAATGTCACGCTCTCAATCCGACGACGAAGGTTATGCACAGCGGATGGGGAAGAAATCCAAGCCCAACACTCCCCAATCCACCGCGCCTCCATCCCCGGAGTTTCCTCACGAATCCACATCGCCTACGCCAGATCACACGCCGCTCGCCACCCCATCGCATTCCCCGCGACTCCGCCCGCAGTACTTCCACAACGGCGTTCAACTACCCACTCTCAACCACCTGACCCTTCAAAACCAGCCCCCGCCCGCTTTGGCGCCCGTCGAGCCCGCGGCAGATGGTCACCAACCCTACATTCCCCAGCACCACAGCGGGTTGCGCATCAGCGAGATTGTGGAATCTGGCGATGGTGCAAGGAGGAAGCTCCCGATTCCCATGGTGGCATCGAAAGACGGGTCATTCGCCAAAATCAACGATCTCGTCAACCCGGACAGTGGGCAGAACAGCAGAGGCGTCAGCGAGGCCGGCAACGACCTGCACGATCGCATGTGATTGCGTGCTTCTGCGGCGGTCTACACTCAATTCTACTTTACATGCTTCCTTTTGCATTGGCGCGGTGTTTAGCGATATAGATCTGGATGGGAGGGAAGGGAAGGGAGACACGGGGGATTCGGGAGACTGTAATACACCATGGTGTGCGGGATGCTGCTGAGCAGCATGGCTGGTTTGCTCGGTTCTTTGCTCGCGCTCTACGGGCTGCTTGTGCCCGATATATTGCTTTCTTTTGCTAGTCTAGTCGATGTATCAATTGCATCATCCCTATATCCCTCGGTTAGTCGCTGTCTCTCAACATCCAAGGTTCGTGCAGTCACGATGATGATCCCCGGAGTTTGGCTCCCCATGGAGTACCGCACATAGCCTTTCCTTTCCCCGGAATGCATCAATGGGAACGGTGCGGAGAAAGCGCCGTCCATCAGTCGCCCAACAGATCCGTCTCCACCGAACGATAGCGATCTCGTCATCCTCCCCAACGCTTTCAGCCCTCGAGCAGTGCCCTGGCATGAGGTGAGACCGTGTGGGGATCGTCGCGCAGCCGATATCTCCATGCACGGCGGCTAAGCTGATGCGGTGGCCCTTTTTGCTTTTTCGATCGGACCGAAGCAGTAGCAGCGTTGCATTCGCATGAGCGGGGGAGCTGGTGCCGGAACGTGCTGCCAATCATGTCCTACGTAAGGGATACGTGCTGCAAGTGGAGGCCATTCCTTGGCTCCCCGTCCGCATTCCTGGTCGTGAGACTGATTACTATGCGCCAAGGGAGCAGAGATAAGGCCGGCCGGCGGATCCCATATGGCGCTCCCTCGGCTTTGGGAGAGGAGGCTGGGGAAAGGAAGGGCCGACGGGAAGGATGTGTGGGGTTCGCGTGGGTGAGCCGGCGGGCTAGATTGCTCTCGGGCCAGTGTGGAGGAGGCCAAGATACCTGAGTGTGGGGGAGATTTACGCGGGGGGAATCATCGATGAGGTGATGGTTCATTTCGGATGTGTTCGTGCCGCTGTGTTCCGTGGGAATAATCAACCACATTTACATCATGTCGATCAATTTGCTTTTGGCCCCGGCGTTTCGTATCATCGCGAGCTCTTGTGATCGTCTATGAAATGATGCTCGTCTCGCTTCTTCGAGGATGCGATAAGGACTATTGCCGGCAATTGATGGCGACCCAATTGCGTCGGCTAAATGTGTCGGATGAATGAGCAAACAACCAGGCTAGTCCTTTCAATGCCGGCGGAGTAACGTCCGTGTTCCCCGACGAGACATCCTGCGATTGACGGGATGCATGCGTTCCAAGTTTGTGGAGTTGCGGAGATGGCAGCGATTACACGGGCGCGGGGAGGAATTGACCAGATGGGCAGCGTGTGGACTTGGACGACCTATCACAGGGGCGATTGGTCATCAAGGCCTCATAGATTGGACAGCTCTGAGAGGAACGTGACGGTTATGTTGACTTTTCTGCGTCTATATGAGGCTGTAGAATGCCAATGTGGATAACGAACCCTGCGGGTTCCTGTCCACATCCGCGAATCAACTCGTCCGGCACTCGCCACACCCGGAAAGCCTTGATGAATGCATTCAGCCATTGCTCAAACACTTCCGGCTGTCGAAGTTGCTGCGCGATGATGCACGCGGTTGGTTGATGTTGAGTGGCCACAGACTTTCGAGCTCGGCATGTCTCGATGCAGGTGTCGACCAGTGGTTGAATCAAGGCATAATTGAAGACACAGTCGCAGGCGACGACGGCGTCAAACCCATCCTCTCCAACATGCATGCGCACAAAGGAAGGAATGTCGTCCGTCTCCCAATCGAGTGCGCAGACATCGATGTTCTTGCCGCTCCCAGGCCCGGATGGCTGACGTGATTTACGCACATTCGAACTGATGTTCTCTTGCAATAGCTTGAGAGTGTATTGTTGGTCCGTGGCGATAACCTTCTTCACCCGCTCGCCGATCATAATAGGCGCGAGGGCAGAAATGCCGGTGCCCAATTCCAGAACACTGCTGGAGGAATCCAACACGCCTCCGAGGAAAAGTGGATTGGCAGACCAGGCCAACCACTCTGCAAAACGAACAGAAGTCCGCCAGACCGCTGCACCCGTTGTGCCAGCTTCCCGATTCGACCGCAGAAGGCCTGGGGACTGCTTGATGGTGAAATCTCTCCCGGCCACAGTGACTTCCACCTCTGTTGCTTTGCCGTCCACCATGCCCAGGTCTTGAGAGGAATGGAAATGAGAGAAGAGATCGAACGTTTCTGCGCCTACCTGTCACTTCATTGTTGTAGAGAGGATGAAGAGAGCCGTACCTTCATCAGCATCTGCTACCTCATCACCGAGGACTGTGGCGAAGGTATGTGCCATGACACCCAAGCCTGGTGCCTCGTACAGCCAAGCACCGTGGCCCGTCAATGTCTTCCATGGAGTCTCAGAGGAAGAGACGTGGCGGTCTTGACATATTTACCTGTCTGACGGCTGCCAAGCGTGCACGGAGCACCTGCATGTGACGTAGGAATAGAGTTGGTCTTACCTTACGTTTCGACGTCAACGCCACGACCAAGCTATAACCGCGACTCCTCGACTTCCAGCCATCATCTTGGAACACCCACTCATCTCCAAGAAACTCCATCCGTCAAGATGGGCGACATCATGAACCGCAAAGACCTCAAGAGCTTTGTGCCCCAGCCGAAAGTCTACAAACGCGGTCCCTACAGCGTTGAGGCGCCCGGGTACGACAAGGTCAAGGGCGAGACCATCCCCAGACGAAACGTCCGCACCAAGGATGAACTCAAGGTGACGCCGGAAGAGGGCGTCAACACCATCTACGACATCGTCAAGCGCTCCAGCCAGAAGTTCGGCAACGCCAAAGCCTTGGGCAAGAGAAAGCTGCTCGAGACGCACGAAGAGACGAAGAAGATCAAGAAGATTGTCGATGGCAAAGAGCAAGAGGTGGACAAGAAGTGGACCTACTTTGAGTTGTCGGGATACGAATACCTCAGCTTCTCCGAGTATGAAAGCCTGGTGCTCAAGCTGGGCTCGGGCTTCCGCGCGCTCGGCATGAAGGCCTCCGATCGCGTTCACCTCTTCGCCGCCACCCATCCTTACTGGCTTGCCATGGCACATGCCGCTTCCAGCCAAAGCATGCCCATCGTCACCGCCTACGATACGCTGGGAGAAGAAGGCTTGAAGCATTCCCTGGAGCAAACCCACGCCAAAGTCATCTTCCTCGACCCCCATCTCATCACCAAGCTCATCAAGCCCTTAAATGAGGCAAAAGACATTCAGCATGTCGTCTACAACGACGATGATGCTCCCACTAGCAAGCGCGACCCCAAACTCATTGAAGCCGACGTCAAGAAGCTCAAGGACGCACACCCTCATCTCACCATCCACGCCTTCAGCGAATTCTCCAAGCTCGGCGAAGACAACATGGTTGATCCCGTTCCGCCGAAGCCCGAAGATCTCTGCTGTATCATGTATACGTCTGGCTCGACTGGTGCTCCCAAGGGTGTGCTGCTCACGCACAGGAACGTCGTCGCCGCCATTGCTGGTGTCGATGTGATTGTTGGTCCGTACCTGGGCCCGGGGGATGGCTTGTTGACCTACCTCCCCCTCGCGCATATCCTCGAATTTGTCTTCGAGACAGCGTGTCTGTACTGGGGTGGCTCCATGGGCTACGGCAATCCACGAACCCTCACCGACGCCAGTCTGCGAAACTGCAAAGGCGACATTCAGGAATACAAGCCGACGGTTCTGGTGGGCGTGCCTGCTGTGTGGGAGACGGTCAAGAAGGGAATCATGGGCAAGGTGAGCAAAGCCGGTGCAATCTCGAAGAACCTCTTCTGGGGTGCCATGAGCGCCAAGAGCTTCATGATGGCCAACTCCGGTTATCTCCCTCTCGCTGGCATGGGAACGAGCATCCTCGACACGGTGGTGTTCAAGAAGATTCAAGAAGCGACGGGTGGAAAGCTGCGTATCTGCTTGAATGGTGGAGGGCCGGTTGCAAAGGAGACTCAACACTTCATTTCCATGGCAGTCGCGCCAATGATTTCCGGCTACGGCTTGACCGAGACCGCCGCCATGGGGATATTGATGGACCCCGCCGCCTGGACTGACTCTGCACTGGGAGAGCCGACGGGCGCGGTGGAGATTAAGCTTGTGGATTACGCGGATGCCGGCTACCACGCTGCCAACAATCCGCCACAGGGTGAAATCTGGATCCGAGGTGCTTGCGTCACGAGCGGATATCTCGACCTTGAAAAGGAGACCAAAGAGTCGTTCACCGACGACGGATGGTTCAAGACGGGCGATATCGGCGAATTCAACAGCGCAGGCGAGCTACGCATCATCGACCGCAAGAAGAATCTCGTCAAGACGCTCAACGGCGAGTACATTGCACTGGAGAAGCTGGAGTCGGTCTATCGCTCTTGCCCGGTGGTGGGCAACATCTGCGCCTTTGCCGCCCCAGACAAGAACAAGCCGATTGCCATTGTCGTGCCGAACGAGGCGAATCTGAAGACGCTGGCGAGTGAGAATGGTGTCAAGGGGAATGGCCTCGAGGATTTGTGTCATGACGAGAAGGTCAATGCTGCTGTTCTGAGAGAGATGCAGAGCACGGGAAAGAAGGGAGGCTTGGCGGGGATTGAGATTATCGAGGGTGTGGTGTTGAGCGATGAGGAGTGGACGCCACAGAATGTGAGTTTGAGGCTGTTCTTTGTGTTTTCATTGGCTGACCATCATTCCAGAACCTCGTCACATCTGCGCAGAAGCTGAACCGCAAGGCATTGACCGACAAGTACAAGAAGGAGATTGAGAAGGCGTACGGGAATTAAGTTGGTGAGACGTGCGCACTCTTCACTCGATGTGTTACACGAGCTGCGATCGATTGGCCTCTGGTGATTGAGGAGTTCCATAGCGTTGTAATGATGATACCACCCTTTTCCCTTCAATCCCATCTCTCACATTTTGTTGATGGCTTATTCTGAGTACAGACTGTGAATGCGAGCTACAGTATTTACGGGGACTTGCGCCACGCTGCACCGGACGCTGTACGAGATATATAAAGTGCAACAAACCGGTGAATCCAGTCCTCCAGACACTCAATTCACACTCCCTTCAGCCCGAGCGCCTTCTAAATTCTGATATCGAAAGCGGGCATAATCATCCACTGCTTGACGTAATGACGATGTAATTGGACCCCCGCCAATACGGTGATTTGGATGTATAGACAATTCGTGTAGAGTACGTCGGATGAAATTGACCACTTGCTAACAAGTCAACGCAAGACTCTACAGCGAGTATGTCCACACCGTGTCAGTCTCGGAATTCCATCGAGGATATCTACGGCCCAAGAACACCGTACAAGCAGGAGTGGCCGAGTCGCGTCGATGAAAGCTGCATCGAGGAACCCGACACATGGGTGCAGAGTGCGTGTGTGCTCTGCAGCAATGGATGTGGCATGGACATTGGAGTGAAGCAAGGCAAAGTCGTGGGGGTGAGGGGACGAGTTACGGACCGGGTCAACAAGGGTCGACTGGGCCCCAAGGGCATGCATGGATCCCTCACCATCCATCATAAAGACCGGCTTACACACCCCTTGATCCGGAGGAACGGGAAGCTGGAACGCGCCAGTTGGGAGGAAGCTATGAGCCTCATCGTACAGAAGACCAAGGAAACCATCGACCGCCTGACGGCGCACGGCATTGCCTTTTACACTTCGGGCCAACTTTTCCTCGAGGAGTATTATGCTCTCGCCATGGTCGGCAAAGCTGGCCTGAGCACTCTGCACATGGATGGCAATACCAGACTATGCACGGCGACCGCAGCAGCGGCAATGCGTGAATCATGGGGCTCCGACGGCCAGGCTGGCTCGTACACTGACATCGACTATACTCACTGTATCTTCATGGTGGGCCACAATATGGCCAGCACTCAGACTGTGCTTTGGTCTCGTGTTCTTGATCGCCTTCATGGACCCGACCCTCCTAAGCTGATCGTCGTGGACCCTCGCGTGTCAGCTTCCGCGAAGGAGGCCACCATCCACCTCGCTCCGAAAATTGGGACCAATCTTGCGCTGTTGAACGGAATACAGCATCTCCTATTCAAGAATGAATGGATTGACCAGGATTTCGTAACGCAACATTGTGTCGGACTCGAACAACTGCGAGAGAAGGTCCAAAGCTACACTCCGGCACTGGTAGAAGAAATCACTGGCGTCCCTGCCGCGGACTTGCAACGTGCGGCCGAGACAATCGGTACATCGGAGTCGTTGCTGTCGACCTGTCTCCAGGGGGTATATCAATCCAATCAGGCCACCGCGAGTGCATGTCAAATCAACAACATCAATTTGTTGACTGGGTGCATTGGAAAGCCGGGATCAGGAGTCTTGCAGATGAATGGCCAGCCGACCGCGCAGAACAACCGCGAAGCTGGCTGTGATGGAGGTGTGGCTATTCTGCAATCCTCCTGCCTTGTTTACGCTGACTCAACCCCATAGAGTTCCCCGGGTTCCGTAACAACTTGAATCCGGATCATATGCATGAGCTGGCGGACATCTGGAATATCGACTACAACAAACTGCCTCACTGGGTAGGTTGTACCATGGTGTATGGATGGAATGGAAAGCTGACCTTGCAAAGGGATTGCCGACCCATGTCCAGGACATACTAAGTTATATCGAGGCCGGGACGATACAGATGCTGTGGGTGTCTGGAACGAATCCACTGGTAAGCTTGCCCAACTTACACCGCATCCGAGAGATCTTTTCGAAGCAAGACCTCTTTCTGGTGGTACAAGACATCTTTCCCACAGAGACCACCGAAATGGCGGACGTCGTCCTTCCCGCCGCCCAATGGGGCGAGAAGAAAGGCTGCTTTACGAACGTGGACCGCACGGTGCATCTCTCGTACAAAGCAGTGGAGCCTCCGGGCGAAGCCAAGTCCGATTTTGACATCTTCGTCGACTTTGCGCGGCGCATGGATTTTCGTGACAAGGAAGGGAAGCCGTTGATGCCGTGGAACGACCCACAAGACGCCTTTGAAGCGTGGAAACGGGTATCAAAAGGTCGCCCATGCGACTACAGCGGGATGACCTACGAGAAACTGACGGGCGGAAGCGGCATCCAGTGGCCTTGCAACGAAAAGTACCCTCATGGCAAGGAGCGGCTGTACGAGGACGGAGTCTTCTTTACGGACATCGATTACTGCGAGAGTTTCGGCCACGATCTCGAGACCGGGACACCTCTCAATCGGGTCGAGTATCAAGCATTGGATCCTGCCGGAAGGGCAGTTTTGAAGGCGTGCCATTACATCCCGGCACCGGAACAGACAAGCAAGGAGTATCCGCTTCAACTCAGCACCGGTCGCAACGTCTATCAGTTTCATACCCGAACCAAGACAGGGCGCTCGAAGCCACTGCAGGATGCCTTCTCCGAGCCCATCGTCCACCTGAACGCGGAAGATGCTGCGGCAGCTGGTGTTTGCCACAACGATCAAGTCATTGTGAGTTCCTGTAGAGGAAAGGTGCAGATGAAGGCTTCGGTTGGCGATATTGCGCGCTCCCAGTGCTTCATTCCCTTCCATTTTGGATACTGGGATGCAACAGACAGCAGAGCTCGAGCTGCGAACGAGCTCACAATGGGTAGGGACCGTCTTGAGGCAGCCTTGCCTGACTAGCGCTAACTTCGATCAGAGCAGTGGGATGCGGTATCCAAGCAGCCGCGGTTCAAAGCCGGCGCCGTGCGTGTTGAAAAGACACTCAACGCTGCGGTTGAAGTTCAGCAAGAGCAAAGCGCTTTCGCCGAGAAAGCATCCGTCCAAAAGCCAGATGCACGGGCTACAACTGTCGAAGAGGGACCTCGACAACGGCACCTTGAACTGTGGTTAGGCGTGGTATATGAGTCCATCAGGTCGCTCGCAGACTTTTACCCATCCATGACACGATACATGGGATACGACAAGGAGGTACAGTTCGGGTTGGGGTTGATGCAACGCATTACTCGGGCTGCCGGCGATGCCCTCGAGCCCATGGTGCAAAAGTACGGCACTGACCTGAAATATGGCCGGGAAACATCGGAGGCTCTCCGGCAAGCCCTGTTTCCTGGAGCAGACACAGCGTCGACGCCGTACGGCGTGATACTGACGCTCACAGGGTTTGTGACCTATACATCCCACATCGAGGCGCAACTGAGCGCCCTGGTGCCCGTCAGTCAGGCGCTTTGGGATGGAGCGTTCCTCACCGCCGTGAATGATGCAAAGTCGCGCATTGAGCGGGTGCAGAAATGGGCAAAGCACCAGCTTGCGGTTCGAAGTGCTCAGACGCTCATTGTACCTAGTAGCGACGTCATCAGGTCCGACATGCAGTGGCCCGGCTGAACGCTGCATCCGCCCGCTGACGAACTATGACGAGGGTTTTCGTAAACCAATGGAGATTGATGGACAGTTTTAATATGCTTGCATGACAGTAGCGGTAGGCGGTGGATGATACAAATTCATACTCATTCCCTTCCACCATCATGCACATTGCATACACAGAAGCCCGCAGACGTATCGCAGCTGTAGCAGCGGAACGTCGAGATAGCTTCTTGCGTGATGGGGAGACTGTGCCTCTGCACCAGGCCGTCGGTCGTACGGTCAAAACCAGCCTCTTCAGTCCCGCTTCCACGCCGACATGTGACACTTCGGCGATGGACGGGTTCGCGGTGTGCTCCGCACTAACAGCGTCAGCCTCGCCTCAAACTCCCTTGATGCTTCGCGTCGTCGGATCCATCGTAGCCGGCGACGAGGCAAGCACTTTCTTCGACACCGACGTTGTTGACGGCGTGGTGCCTTGCGTCGAAATCATGACGGGCGCGCCGTTCCCACTCACTCGTTCGGAGCACTGTCAGTACGATGCTTGCGTTCCGCGCGAGCATACTCGCAAATCGTTGCACGATGAGTGGCTGATCCAAATCGAACAGCCCGTCGAGTGGAATCAGCATAGACGCGTCGCCGGCGGTGATTATTCGATAGGCGATCCTATTGCCGAGGAAGGTGTGGTCCTGGATCCGCGACACATCATGGCCGCCGCTTCGGTCGGCGTCGACAGTTTCCACTGCTTCCGACGAGTCCGCGTCGGCGTGCTCTCCACGGGTGCAGAATTGCTCCAAGAATCCGATTCCCGGCGCACAAATGATCGGAGCAAAATACCAGACGCAAACGCTCCATACCTACTTGCTGCAATGCGGGAGCTCGGCGCGGAGAGCCACTTTCTTGGAACGGCTCCGGACGGGTTGATAGAAACGTCGGAACATATCCGCAGCGTGATGACATCTGCATCCTTCGACATTATCGTCAGCTCTGGGGCAGTATCCGCAGGCACAATGGACCACATACCAGAAGCGCTGAAGACTCTGCAAGCCGCCATACACTTTCACCATGTGGCGATCAGACCGGGCCACCCAGCTCTGTTGGCGACTGTCCCTCTTCCCAATCAAGTAGATGAGAAGGTCACGTATTTCGGCTTACCTGGCAACCCCATTGCAGCGGCTGCATGTTTTCGCTTCTTGTTCATGCCCTACTACCACGGTCTACTCGGGAATTCCCAAGTACCATGCACCACGGCAACGCTGAGACGGAATCCCCAGGAGCCAGACGCGAGGATCCGAGGTCTCGTATTCTCCAATGCCAAACAGGTTGACCACTTCCGACACGGTCGCGCCGAGATGGTGGAAGGGGAGCTCGTTGCGCAATTCAGCGCTCAACAGAGTCCCGCAAAGATAAGTCCCTTCATCGCGGCGAACTGCTGGATCCACGTGCCACCGGCAACGGGTGAAGTGCTGGCCGGAGATCGCCTGCATGTATACTTTCTGCATGATTCGAGCATTCCGGTGTTAGGATGAGGAAGCATTCATGTCTGCTGCAAACGCCGCTGCTTGACTCCATTCGCCGGGCGTATTGGTATTCAGGAGCGAGCGGTCATCGAGTGCTCGGATCGTCTTCCCCTTGAGTTGCTGCACTACAACCTTCGGTCCTGTACAGCCATGCATGACATTTGAATGGAGACGCGCCAGGGCTTCAGGACCCCAGAGGCCGAGGAGTGGCTCGGCCCAGCCCTGCATGTTTTCGAAACATGTCAAGCGTCCGTCGAAGCTTGCGAACAGTCTCCGTAGCTCTGCGACACTGATCAAGGGATAGTCGCAAGCCACAACTAGCCATGTGCAATGTGAATCGGTACGTAGCGCTGCCAGCAGTCCTGCGGCCGGGCCTATATCGCCATCCTCATCAAATAGCAGATGGATTGTTCGGCCCATGACAGGAGTCTGATCCAAATGAGTCGCGCTTCCGGGGTCGTGCAGGGACAGGTACACGCTCTGGATGCCCGGGTACGCAACCATAGCTCGCGCTAGCAGTTGTCGATACATTGGCTCGGCATCGTTGGGGAAGAGCAGACGGTGTTTGGCGCTGCCCATACGAGTGGATCGACCGCCACAAAGGATAACCGCGTTGGTCACGTGTTCCTCCATCCAGACGCTGGATAACTGCAGGCGATACAGTGATATCGAATCGAAATAGCTTTTGCTTTCCTCCAGTAGCTATGTACGTGATGGTGGCTGAGTGATGTCATTTGATTGCCGCGTCTCCGTCGCGTAGTAACGTTGTACTGACAGCAATGTTTCTTCGTGGAGCTCGCGTCATGGTTACAACGATGATGCTTGTAAGCATCATCGGACAAGCGGTAGGTGTTTTGAATTTATACACAATGGCAACGGTCTCTTTCATTCTTTCCAACTGTACCGGTCAACAAACAAAATGCCAGAAACAATCTCCGAGGCCATTGGCGCCGACCATAAATCTATTGATGCCTACGCCGAAAACTTGAAATCCGCCAAAGACGATGCGGAAAAGGTGCGATGGCGCAACCTGTTGACGTGGACACTTGCCCGCCACGCCATCTCGGAAGAGTTGACCCTCTACCCAGCCATGGAGCAGTGGCTAGGCGAGGAGGGTGTGAATTTGGTCAAGACGGACACGGAACAACATCAGGGTGTAAGCAGTCGATTTGCCATCACTGGCCCCGGATGGTTGCTGATGAGTCGCCGATTCTAGATGAAAGTGTACCTCGCACAAGTTCAGGACATGACCCCGACCGACCCCAAGTTTGAGCCACTTCTGGATACGTTGATGGACGTCGTCCACCATCACGTCGAGCACGAGTCGGAAGTCGACATGCCGCGGCTCGAAGGCCTCATTCCCCGCGAGGAGAGTGAGCGGATAGCGCGACAGTTCCAATGGACCAAGAATATCGTCCCGTCCAGAAGCCATCCTGCGGCTCCGACAGAGTACTATGTGGAGAACCTAGCTGCTCTCTTTCTCACGCCAATGGACAAACTGAGAGATTGGTTGAAAGATTACCCAACTCAGGGGGATTACGATCGAGCGTCCAACGACGCCAAGTAGAGGTAGACAAAGACGAATGCAAATGTTCGATCGTAAAGCTCGGGGTTAGGAGGCAATATGATATAGCGTCTCGAATTACTGTAACGTCACGAACCCGTCATTGTATCTCAAAAGTTTGCCGCAGCATTTAGCTAAGTTCCGCGCTGATGAGTCACAGGCCATGCCGCCATGCAATCTGAACAGACGAACCATGGGCAAGCCTGGGCTTCTGTGAATGCTGTCATTGCGACACCAGTGCACTCTGGTAATGAGGCATACACAACGAATTCATGGATTCAAAGCGCAGAAGTCCCCGGCTGGTTCCAGCTGGGTGATGTTGCACAGCAATGGAGTACAGAGCTGATGGTCTCCGATTCACCATGGGCTGTCGGTTGACAGCAAACAACGCTGTATATATGAGGTAGCCTCGAAGCACGACAACGCTCACTTCCCAGCCAGAGCACCTTACCATTCTCCAAAATGTGTTACCAGCTCTACAACACCTGCAACCGCGGCATCTACTGTCAAGCGTACGGCTCTGATGGCCCATTACTCCCCAAACGAGAAGCCTACCGGGGCGAAGGAGGAGTCTGGCCATGCGTAATGTTCTACCTCGGCGGCGATCCAGCCCGTCGTTGTCCCAATACGAAGAGCATGTACCGCAAAGCAGAAGACAACGATGCATGTTCGGTCTGCCATCCAGACCGAGACGGACCGTTGAGACGTGGGACGACGGAGCTCAGCACGACGCAGCTGGCCATGATGCGGAGGATTGGAGAGATGACCAATGCTCAAGATACTGTGCTGTGGGCATTGACGGAGTTTGTACACCCAGCCGACTTGCCGCTGCGTAGACAGACGGCGGCGGTGGAAGAGAATGGTGATGATGTGGATGAAGGCGGACGCGATTTCGATGCCGGACAGATTGTGGAAGTGTTGGACCGGTACCAGACGACCTTGTCCTCGCTCATCCCGTGCATCGGTAGAGAGCTGGCGGAGATTCGAGCCATCAGTGAGGTCTCGCCTCCACTGGGCGAGGCTTACCGTGGAGTCGTCCAGGAATTGGGCATGAATGAAGCGAATATCCGGCGAGGGATACGGCGGAGGAGCGGGGGACTGACGGATCTGCTTCTCGCGGGTAGGGTCAGACCTTCTCTTCGAGGATCAAATATCTAGTTGGGTAGCTCGTCTTAACTTTTGACGTCTCTGAACGCCGAGTGATGACTCCTGCCTCAGGCATCAACCTGAACGCACACTTGACCTCATCCACTCCACCACCGGCTCCATTGAAGCCATCACAATCACTCTTGTGATTGAACCCCCTCCACCCTTCATCAAAGTGGCTCCTAAAGGAAGAAACACATCGTTCTTTCGCCGTCCCTTCATCCTCTGGCTCTTCTGCCTCCTCGTCGTCGTGGCGCTCTACCATTCCCTCCCCCGCTTCGGCCACTACTTGTCCCAGCTCGTGGTGCCCAAGGCTCCCTTCAGCAGCATCGTCAAATTCACTCCCTATCAAAGACCAATCACCACCACAGCCATGGCGCCGCAGAAGCTGAAGAAGCCGCCTCAGTCGCCTCCCCTCTTCACCCACACTCCTCAGGGGTTGATGGAGTCGACGCAGCGACTATTGGATCGGAACCAAGCGCTGCAGGATCGTGTGGTGAAGGATGTCTCGCTTTCCAACGCCGACTTCAAAAACGTCCTCCTGCCGTTTGCGCAAGACACGAACGAGATGAGCTTGGAGAGTCACATTGTCGGCTTCTACCAGGCCGTCAGTACCGATCCCGCTCTTCGCGATGCGAGCACGGAAGCGGAGAAAAAGATGGACGATTTCTTCATCGAGAGTAGCATGCGCGACGACATTTTCCAGCTGGTTGATGCGGCTTTCAAAAAGCAAAAGGATGACCAGAGTTTGGATGCGGAAAGTCGGCGATTGCTGGAGAAAGAGCATAAAGACTACATCAAGATGGGCCTGGGGATTCCACAAGGACCCGATCGTGACCGCTTCAAAGCCATCAAGAAGCGGCTATCCGACTTGAGCATCACATTTCAGAAGAACTTGAATGAAGAGCAGGGCGGGTTGTGGCTCGCTCCGGAAGAGCTCGAGGGTGTTCCGCAAGATGTCATCGAAGGCCTCAAGAAAGGCGAGAACGAGAATGCGGGCAAGCTGTGGCTGACCTTCAAATACCCCGACTACCTCCCCCTCCAAAAGTACTGCAAGAACGCCGAAACGCGCCACAAAGTCTTCATCGCGAACGAGAACAAGTGCAATCAGAACGTCGAATTGTTCAAGGAAGCGCTGATCTTGCGAGACGAGGCTGCCAGACTACTCGGCTACCCCAATCATGCAACCTTCCGCGTTGAAGATAAGATGGCCAAGACCCCCAAGACTGTGGACGACTTCCTCGGTGATCTCCGTGTTCGACTGGCACCCGCTGGACTAAAGGAGATTGAGGCGTTGAAGAAGCTCAAACAGGACGAGACGGGCAGCGCCGACAACTACTTCCTGTGGGACTACCGCTTCTACGACACGCTCATGCTGGAACGATACTATCAACTCGATCAGAATCGCATTGCCGAGTACTTCCCTCTTTCCACATCCATCGAGGGCATGCTCAACATCTTCGAACAGCTGTTCGGGCTCGTGTTTGTGCGAGTCGAAGGGAAAGATCGCGCAGATCTCAGCGAGACGGGACGTGGTGAGGACATTGTCTGGCATCCCGATGTCCACCTCTTCTCCGTCTGGGATGATGAAGAGCAGGGGAGCGAATTTGTGGGATATCTGTATCTGGACCTGCACCCCCGGGATGGCAAGTACGGCCATGCCGCCAACTTCAACATTCAACCCGGCTTCATCAATGCCAATGGTACACGACGATATCCAGCCACCGCCCTCGTCTGCAATTTCAGCAAGGCTACGCCCAAGAAACCGTCGCTGCTCAAGCACGATGAAGTCGTCACCCTCTTCCACGAGTTGGGACACGGCATCCACGATCTCGTGTCCAAGACGACATATTCTCGCTTCCATGGCACATCCGTCGTCCGCGACTTTGTCGAAGCTCCCAGCCAAATGCTGGAGAATTGGTGCTGGACACCTTCGCAGCTGAGGTCCCTGTCGAAGCACTGGTCGTATCTAACACCGGAATACCGCGAGGCATGGAAGGCCAGCGCAGCAGAAGGCGAGCAACAGCCACCGGAACAGATGCCCGACGATCTCATCCAGAGCGTCGTCCGCACGCAACACGTCAACGACGCCATCTTCAACCTCCGCCAGCTCCATTTCGGCATCTTCGACATGACCGTCCACGAGCCCAGCTCGCACGCCGCCATCACCAAGCTCGACGCCTCGGCGACCTTCAATCGTTTGCGCAAGGACATTAGCAAGATGGATGGACCGGAGGTGTTGGGCGCGAATGATGACTGGGGCCATGGAGAAGCGACGTTTGGACATTTGATCGGCGGGTATGATGCGGGATACTATGGCTATCTCTCGAGCCAGGTATATTCCGCTGATATGTTCTATTCGGTATTCAAGAAGGATCCAATGAATGGGAAGGAAGGGCGACGGTACCGGCATACTGTGTTGGAGAAGGGCGGCAGCCAGGATGAAATGCAGACGCTGGAGGAATTTCTGGGGAGGAAGCCGAGTCCCGAGGCATTCTACAAGGAGTTGGGCATTGCGTAGTTACCAGTCGGTGATCCATTCGCTTGCTCCGCCGTCCCAGAATCTGATCATGTTAGATGGTAGCGGGGTAGCAAGGGAGATAAGATACACACTCTTCGCAAGCCGCCTTTAGTCCATAATTACTTCTCAGTTCATCAATCGTGAGTGGCTCTCTCGTGAGTGGATCCGTGGGTGTGCGCTTCAAATGCTCAATAATGGTTGATCGCTCATAGGAATGGCCGTTCTTCGTAATGACGGGATCGTGCATCGGTTCAAAAGTAATCATGTCGACAACGTGGTCGGGAATTTCCCGTGGCTTGTTTGACGTGTTCACGGCGAACAAGGCTCGCAGGTCGGCAAACTTCTTCTCGTACGCTGCCTCGACGTCTTGCCGCCGCTCGGTCGCTTCTATCTGTCCGAGATGCGAGCTGTGCAGTCGACGAGAGATGTCTTCTAGATCTCTTTGCTTGCTGGCTTCCAGACCGTCCTCCAGCTCCGCACGAAGCTCGCCTTGTCGTCGCAGCCGATCTCGATCGAGCACGGCAAACTTGGCTTTCTTGCAGCGAAGCACGAATGCGGAGAAAGTCTCGAGATCCTTGGGGGAAATTTTGGCCGCCGGTTGAGGGTGAAGCACCTGTTCGTATGCCGTCAATGCAGACGCCAGTGCTTCATGCGGGTGATTGAGAGCCAGCTGCGCCTGGGCGAGAAAGTAGAAAGCCTTGTGATTTTGGGCGTTGGGGCCGAGGATTTCGATGCTTTTGAGACAGTCGTTCACCGCATCTTCCCAGCGCTGAAGTTTAAGGCGGACGTTGGCGCGGTTCGTGAAGATGAGGGGGTTGCGGGAGTACTTTTGCACGGCTTCGGTGTAGAGATCGTTGGCTGCGGTGTAGTCGCCTCGCCGGAAGGCATCGTTGCCTTGTTCCTTGAGCTGGTCCGCGAGGTAAGACATGGAGGGTCGTTTATTACAGGCGCATTCTACTTATTGAGTCTTGCCGTCTCTCCGCGGACGTCTCGGACATCTTGATGGATGGAGTGAAGTTGAAGCGCAGATGCCCGACCGTTGCCAAGACTTTGGCTCTCCCAAACTCTTTTGCGCTTCAACTTTCATCCCTTTCACCTCCAATGCACATCGCCATGCATTGTACGTCTCGCTCCCTCCTCGCCGGCGCCTTTAGGCTTGCCGTGCAACCTCATCCATCCACTCTTCCGCCGCCTTTTCTCCTCCCAGCCTTCACCACCATCCAACGTGCGACCTTCTCCTCTTCTCCATCTCCTCAAGCCCGCAAAGATGGCAACCCGAACCGTGGCATCTCGCCCCTCCGTCGAAAAGTGACCACGCGCTTCGCCAAACGCGTCAAGAAAGATATTGCGAATATCCCCCAGCCGGTACTAGACCCTCGCCTGCGCAGCGCCGTGGAAGTCGATGAGGACCACGGACTGTGGGAGTTTTTCGGCCAGGAGAAGAACAGCTTGGCAACGCCCGTGGAGATCTCGGCGCATGGGCGCGGATGGACGGTGGCGGAGTTGCGGCGCAAGGATTGGGATGATTTGTGGAGGCTGTGGTGGGTTTGTTTGAAGGATCGGAATCGCTTGGCCACTTTCGAGGCGGAGAAGGAGAGGATTGGGAATTTGTATGGCGAGGAGGAGAGTAAGAAGCGGAGGAGAGAGGTGAGGATGCGCGAGTGCATTTGACTGTGGAATTGCGTCTGACCCTTCGCTACAGCTCAACGTCACCCTTGGCGGTATCAAGCATGTTCTGACCGAACGATGGTACGCGTGGGAAAATGCGCGATATGCTGCAATGGAGGACCCTGAGGTCAACCTGTACGCCGATCCGGACAAGGGCGAGCAGGCGTTGATACGACCGCAAGAAGAGAAGAAGGTACGAGACATTCTGGTCTGTGAATATGACCACCGTAAAGCTAACGTCGTCAGGTCGAGTCCATCCAGGACACCCTCCCACCGCCACCTGCTGATGAGAAACTGGGATCGGAAGTGAGAGCATAATCAAAGACTAGATGCCAATCATTTAGCGTCCTTCAATAACATCCTCCGATGCACTACTAATACACGCTATCGACTACTGTCTGCTCACAAGCTTCTCCTCGGTACTATCGCTCTTGAGAGGTCTCATCACAGCAGGACTCCAGATCTCGCTGGCTTCCCTCAGATTTGCGCGAGGATTAAGCTCAAGTCCAAAACCCGGCTTGTCTAAGGCCGACACATCCAAGAAGCCGTTGTGCGGGACGGGCTCATTGAGGAAGAGGTCCCCAAAGACTGGGACAACCGATTTTCCGTCCGGAGAGTTTGCGAGATACTCCTGGAAGGGGCTGTTGGGTTGTGACACCACGAAGTGGTAACTATACGGTCCGCTAGCGTGTGGGACGATGGGAATGTCGTATGCGGAAGCCATGGCGGAGATCTTTAGGAGTTCGGTCATGCCGCCTACCCACATGACATCTGGTTGGAGAATGTCAATGTTTCGCCCTTCGACGAGCTTCCGGAAGCCGTATTTGGAAAATTCGTGTTCGCCGGTGGTGAATTTGACGGTTGGGTGTGCGCGTTTCAACAGTGCGTGGCCATCAAAATCATCTGGCGACAAACACTCCTCCCACCAGTCAATGTCCAGATGTTTGCATTTCTCGACCAACTCGATGGTGTAGGGAACATTGAGACTCATGTAGCAGTCTACTCGAAGTGGGAAATCGGGGCCGACCGACTCTCGATGCTTGGTGAGGAACTCAACATTCTTCCGCATGCCTTGAACTCCCTCCCCGAGTCCATATGGGAGCGGGACCTTGGCACCAATGAATCCCATCGACTTGGCCGCCGCGGGTTCCGGGCCGGTGCAGTAAAAGTCGAGTCTCGACCGGGTGGCACCCCCAATCATCTTGTAGACTGGTTCGTTGCGGATCTTGCCCAGCAGGTCCCAGATTGCCAGGTCGATGACGGAGATGACAGCGACGGCGAGTCCTTTTCGGCCGTAGAACATGGACGCCCGATACATTTGTTCAAAGAGGTTGTTCGTGTCTCTGGGATCTGTTAGACTCCAGTTAGTGGCTGCGTCGGCAGGTCTTCATTAGGAGGAGTATTACCTTTTCCAATAAGGAAGCGTTCAAAATGCTCCGCAACCAACCAACAAGCAGGCGGCCCTCCAAAGCCAGTCGCAAACCCCTTCGTCCCATCCGTCGCCTCAATCTCAACGCAGAAGGATCGTAAGACGTTGATGCCCCAGGTCGTGCGGGAGGAGCGATAGTCCTCGTACTGCGACATGGGCGTGGAGATTTTCGAGTCGATCAGCCAATGCCCCGTGGCGACATTGTGGTAGTCGCCGCCGGAGCCGACACCCTCGACTACGAAGGTTTTGATCTTTTTGATGCGGGGGAATGCAGGCATGGTCGGAGATCGCGAGGTGGAGTGTGTTAGTGGTGAAGACGATTGAGGAGAGGCGGCAAGGTTGAATTAAAGAAGAGCATCGAGGCGGAGTGCGATGCGCCGACAGCCTCGCCGACTTCCGCCCCCTCGGTGCATCAATACCCCGAGGCGAAGTGGGACTTTTATTGGCAGGGCTTGTCGGCATTTGAACGAATACGCCGCCTTTTGGACGTATTTGATGATTTTCACCGACACAGATTCGGGCAACGGAAAGGCCTTGCACAGTCGACGTGACACCGTGCTGTCGAATGGCGAAGCTCCTGGAGGGAAAGGTGGCAATCATCACCGGCGGCGTGACGGGAATCGGTCGAGCGATCGCGATTGAATACCTTCGGCACGGCGCTCGAGTGGCAGTCAATCACTTTCCGGATGGAAAGTCGGCCCAGCTTTACGAAAGCCTCGTTCAAGAGGTTGGGGATGCTGCGGATGCCTTGGTCGCAGTTCCGGGAGATATCTCACAGCCGGACACGGGCGAGGATCTAGTCACGCAAACGGCGGGGAGATTCGGAGACAGGCTGGACGTGTTTGTGAGCAATGCGGGTATATGCGAGTTCGCTGATTTCTTAACGTGAGTCCGATTGTCTCTGCTGGGTTGGGGAAAGAGGCTGATCGTATCCCAGCATTGCACCCGACTTGGTCAACAAAACAATATCCACCAACTTGAATGGCGCCTTCTTTGCCATCCAGGCCGCTGCGAGACGAATGGCGACACAAAAACCTCCCGGCGGCAGCATCATCGGAATGTCCTCCATATCGGCACTTGTGGGCGGCGCAAGACAGACACATTACACTCCTACCAAAGCCGCAATCCTGTCGCTCATGCAAAGCACGGCGTGTGCATTAGGTAAATACAACATCCGTTGCAACGCCTTGCTACCCGGAACCATCCGGACGCAATTGAATGAAGGGGATCTTGCGGATGATGAGAAGCGGCGGTATATGGAAGGCCGCATTCCCCTTGGACGTCTTGGGCAGCCGGCAGACCTGGCTGGTCCGGCAATCTTTCTTGCGAGCGATATGAGTGCATACGTGACCGGTGCCCAGCTGTTGGTTGACGGAGGGCTGTTTGTTAATCTGCAATAGCCACTTCGTACTTGTTGCATTCGTCATCTTAACAATTACCGCCTTTTTGTGTGGTAGACTTATCTGTGAGCCTTGCCAACCTCGGCTGCACTTGGCGCTGTCGGGCCACGATTAAGACAATCGCCGTGCCCAGTCTCTACTTCGCCGCCCACCTCGCATCATTCCATGGAGTCAGCAGCCAGCGACGGTGGATCTTGGCCGGAGGACGAAGGTATTGCCAATGACGACGACGATGCGAGACAGCCCATCTCGGCGGGGAGAAGAGCGCCGGCACGACCTACCAGCTGCGAAACGTGCAAGTCTCGGAAAGTTCGCTGCGATCGAAAACGCCCGGCATGTGGCTGGTGCACGAGGAATGGGCAGACCTGCCTGTACACGGCGCGGAGGAAGCCAGGTGTGCTCTGTCGGGAGTTCAGGTCTGGGTGAAGACACTGCTGATCGGGTTATCAGGTCTGCGAGCCGGCTTCGGGAGGGAACTTGAGGGGCGCGTAGACCGGCTGGAAAGCGTCCTGCAAGCACAGCAACGCACGATTGCGCAGCTCGTCGATCGACTGGGTGGTGAGCTCTTGGTCCGGGCGCCGATCAATTCCGACGGCCTCCCGCTCCAGAGCGCACTCGATGGGTCGTCACACCACGAGGGCAATCCGCATGCCCTGCATCATGCTTCTGCTGCAGCTCCCGCCATGACCACCTCCTCGACGGCGACAGTCAATGGGCACGACATGGTTGACACTACCGCTTTTGACGAGCAAAACCTCCCACCTTATGATCTTCTTTGCACTCTTACCCGACTCTTCTTCGAGCACGTGTATCCTTGGTTCCCGCTACTGCATGAAACTGCAACAATGCAATTACTGACGGATCCGACTGCACTACGAACGGACGAGTTTATTCTACTTCATGCTATCGTTGTCATCACGTTGCGCTACTGCAAGGATTACAGACTGGACGAAGGCCGACGAGATCGATACTATCGCGTATCGAAGGAAAAGGTGCTCTTACATGGAGTCGAAACGAGCACCGTCAAAGGTCTGCAAGCAATGGTACGCGGGACAGATTTCATGCTTTCCATCGAACGCTGACAATGCGCACCTAGGTCATCTTAGCGCTTGATGTGATCGGCACCTCGAACGGTCCACCAGCACTCAATCTTCTGGCCATGGCGGCGAGAAGTGTCGTTCAGCTCGGCCTTGCAACGGAAGCAGTAGGCCCATCTGCCACTCCCGCGAGCGTGTCCATCTCGACTCTTCAAGTCAACATCTTGTCATCCCCGGAATCGTTCACCGAGGAGGAAAGTCGACGGCGCTTGTTCTGGACGGTCTACCTGTTAGATCGGCTTGCGACTGCGGCGACGGCATTCGACTTTGCGTTGAATGAGGAGGAAATACGCCGCAGATTGGTGAGTATGCTCGCGCTCCGTACAATCTGCATTGGTTGATGGTTGACAGCCTTGCCACCATGATTTCTTCATCTGTAACCACGCCGTCGTCACGGACTGGATGGATCAGCCTTCTGAGAACTATGAACACCTGGGCTCGTTTGCATTTTACGTCAGGGTTGTAGGAATCCTGTCGAAAATCCACCTGTTCCTGCGCAGACCCGTCAACATTGCCGCCAGCTCCGACGTTGCACAATGGCAGCATGATTACCGGGAGCTCAACAGTAAGCTGCGGTCGTGGGAGGCCAATTTGCCAGCGAGATATCAAAGTGTCCTTCATTCGAATTATTCCGACGGTCATCAGCATGTTGACGCCGGGGTTGTCTTGTTGCATCTGACGTTTCACATGTAAGTTTGCAGTGTGAACATTATGTTACGCTGCTGACTTGTCATCTGTCAAGGACAACAATCCGTCTACACTCGGTATGCTGCAAATCCGTCCCACGACTCGCTGATTCACCAGCCTGATAACCGTTCTCGCAGTCCGCAGCGTATCCCACGCATTCATCACAGCACTTCCAACCCTCTCCTTCAGCCAGCCAGCGATGCCTCGATGCCGTCGACGGGATTGTCGCGCTCTGTGACGTGGTCAGGACCCACGACATCCTGGACAAGCTCGGTCCTCCTGCCGCATTCTGCATCTGGGTGGCAGCACGACTACTGCTCGTACATGGTTCTACGGTCGAGGGCCAAGTGAAACCCTGCATCACATCACTTGTGGAAACATTGGAGCTGCTGGGCCGGTACTGGAGCATCGCAGGGCGCTACGCCAACTTGCTGAGAAGGGTTCTCGATGAATACCACGACCATGTCAATTCTCCTGCTGAAGATCGCCACGCTCGAGAAGCGCCTCCCAGCGTCCGAATCTTGGCGGACATGAGGAGATGCGCCTATGATCTCGACCTGCTCATCTCCCGACAGCCCAAATCCACTCCCATTCGGGCCACCACGACAGAACTACCCTTGGAATACTTGGACGTTTTCGACTTCTTCAATGTCCCTCGATTGCCGATCTCTGATGAATCGCTTCTTGCGACTGGCAGCCAGATTAACCCAGCATTCCCGTTTCAAGGCGGCCAGGAACTGACGAATACCAACTTTCTCTTCGATGCCAACGTCGACTGGCTTAACGATTCTTCCGTTATGTGACGTACGAGGCAGTCTGGCAGTTTTGATAATATGCGCCTGGACAAGAGGACGTTGCTCAACTTACGTTCGAGAAAAGCTGAAACGTAACATCTGCAGAAGAGCAGCTCGGAGGAATGATGCAGATTGCGGAAGCGATACTCGTGGCGATATCTGATCAGTATCCACCGCTTGTCTTGCCACTGCCGGAGCTTACGCCGTCTCGTGCGGTGATGAGCTCCTTGCTCATTGCGCTCCCCAGAACTCCAACATCGGTATTGACCGAGACCATGTCGAAGCCTTGGACTACCCGCGTTCTCGCATCACTTCCATCGGTACCTGCGAAACGATGAGTGAGAGCCCGTGATGGATGAATGTGACGAGGAGGGCAGCGTACAAAATATTGCGCATTTCTTGCCGGCGGCGTGGGCAGCGTTCAAGATGCGCTGGATGGCTGCTTCGTGTTCCTGACCAGCTCGCTGCAGCCCGGTCTGCAAGGCTAGATCAAATGGGCCTGATCGCGGGTCAATACGCTCCACATTCCACAACGACATGGTTCAATTGGCTCACCAATGAGAAGAGCGTCGATGCCATCCACTCTGGCGATTTCCTCCACGCTTTCGAGACCTGGCCGAGATTCAATCTGGACGATGACCATCAACTCATTCTGCGCCCCTGCAACGTAGTCGCTGTTGGGGTCAGCGGCCGGGAAGGAGTGTGGGGAGAACATCGGGCCGTAGCCTCGACTGCCCAAAGGCGGGTATTTGCAGTATTGGACGATTTTGGCGGCGTCCGCCTGGGATAAATGTTAGAATTGGTCACATTGGCGAGGTTGAGGAAGTTGATACAGGAGAATGGCACATTGGTGTTACGATGCCATGAGCACCAGCGTCGAGGGCGCGCTTGATGAGCCATTCCTCGCCCCAGGGCACGCGAACAATGGGGCTGGCACCTTCCGAGGCGGCGGCTGTCGTGAGCTAGATTGTCGTCAGCAGAAAACTGGTATTACGGGTGGTTTGACCTACCTCGTAGTAATCTTTGTCGACTATCAAGCCGTGCTCGGCATCTACCACTACCCACGTGAAAGCTCCGCCGGACACGGCTGCGCTTGATCGGAGCACGGTTCTTGTCAGTGCGGAAGAAGGCAGGCTAGGGTGATGGTCATCAGTGGAGAAGGGGTTAGAAACGGGTAGAGGCCAACATACGTTTGCCAGAAGCCGAATGACGTCGCCGAGTCACGAAGAGAGCGTCGAATCGCGGTGTTCAAAGACATTTCGTGGGGTGTAGGCTGGAGAGTCTGCTGGCGGTTCCTACTTTCCCGGAGACCGTGAGGAGAAACGAATAGACAGAGATGTGCGGGACTTGAATCATCTCTCCAGTGAAGATGGCAGAAATCTGCCACCTCGCACTCAGCCTTCTCGGGGTGACATCAGTCCGTTCGCATCGGAGAATGCTCGGTCCAGCTTTGCCCCGAGTGTGAGGTGAGGCGGTCTCGCGGAGTGTCGATATTCGTCGGAAACTACTTGCACAATCAAGCCATTGGGCGAAGGAACGATGAGATGGAATCCGACAGGTATACTCAGCATAGCTCCGTGCATACATTTAAGGCGTGTATTGGAGGAGTAAGTTTGATCAAACGCAAGGAAAAAGCCAATCCGGCTGTTGCCTGCCAGGCTGCGACACAACTGTCTCTCTATATGTGCTTCGCAGAGTTGACTCGGCCATCCCGATCCTTTGACTCGTGGGCGGCACAATGGCTACCTACCTCCTTTTCTGTACGGCTGACATCGCCCCAGAGGTACTTGATACGCTGCTGTCGACGCCTAAACACGACTCCTTCTCGCTCGTCCGCAATCCGGAGCAAAGCGCCTTCGACCTGCAACCTACAAAAACGCCAGTAGCTCCCTTCAACACGGGCTTCGCCAATTGGACCTCGGAGCAGATCCGCAAGTTCGTCACCAAGCACCTACCAGACACCCCCAACGGATCCAATCTGGTACCTGGGGTGTATGCGTTGCTCGACGCCCGAGGCGGACGGGACGGCACGATCGTTATAGGTCACTCGTACTCTCCCCTCTTGGAAAGGGATGTCGACACGATGACGGAGGAGGAGCGGGAGGAGTGGGAGGAAGCCGTCGAGTCGCACGATTACGACAATGACGAAGACCTGGAGTGGTGGGAATGGAGGGTCACGTTTGACGACTCTTGGCACCTGACTACACTCCTTGACTTCGAATCGGATTCCACGCGGCTGCTGTACGACCGGGACTTTGTTGCTTCCCACACCGACGCGAATGGAGTCTTTCAGATGACGCGTGCATGGAAAGAGTTTACCCGGGGCGAAGGGGATTAATTTGACGAGTCGTCTGACCACTTTCGCTGCTTCCCATATCCGCTCGTTACGTGCCTTCGCTTGCGCCGGCACTTCCCATGTCGATATTGCTACAGGCCGCGGTTCCGTTGGAGTCGACAAGCCAAATGGCACGGATACTGTATGCATCGTCTCGGAGGTCAGCCCCTCCGGCGCGCGGCATATACTGCAAAAGGCTACCCCACACGCTCAAACTCTTCCCCGGAGGGGCTTTGTGGGGCTGGGAGAGATCGACACGCGGGGGAATTGCCTGAAGTCGCCCTCTGCATTCTTCCAACAAATCACGTCTTGCCGCATTGCAATATTGATCACTCGACAACACCGCTTTTGGTCGAGTGTCATTTCATAGGCCGTACTATGCGTCGTTAAATCGAATTGCCGGCATCGTCCGTCCGAAACTCCACTGATCGTCGTCGACGACTGCTCGCGATGCCATGCTCTCCATGTTATAAAAGAGCAATGTTCGCCCTCGAGAGTGGCAAAGTCAGTCACTCATCCATTCGTTTTCGTCATGGTTTCCAAACACGCGTCCGCGGTCGCCGCGACCCTCGCGGCCTTTGGCCTTCCATTGGCCACCGCTCAAGACAGCTCAAACACTGCTACGGTCAATCTTGCAGCCACCCGCGGTACATCGCCGGGGTATGCGGCGGGTTTCATCTACGGGGAGCCCTCTTCCATATTTGATCAAAGCCCCAATCAGATCCCTGAAAGCTTCTACACCGGTATGGGCTTCATCTACGGCCGAGCAGGTGGCGGGCAGGATCCCACCGGAGGCTACATCACCTCCCTTGCCGGCTACGAATCGCGATTCCAAGGTACCCTGCAGAATTACCAGACTTCCCGCCAGGCTGGCGGCAAATTTCAAGTCCTGCCTCACGACCTTTGGGGCACCGACCATGCTACCAAGGACAGCTACTGGCCTGGCGATGACGGTAACTGGACAATCTATGATAATTTCCTCGATCGCGCGCTCAGCGATATCGTTGCGAACGACATGACGGATGGTTTGGACTGGGACTTGTGGAACGAGTATGCCAAGCCGAGAAACTCCATATCGTTTGGCGTTGAGACTGACGAATGAATCAATTACAGGCCGGACGGCGGTTACTTCTGGTTGCGCAGCCAGGCGCAATATCTGGCCATGTGGAACCGAACGTATCTTCGCATTCGAGAAGGTATGTTTGCGATTGACGCCCACTAGCCGGCTTTTCTGACTTCTTCCAGACAGCGCATTTAACAACGTTCTTATTGTTGGCCCTTCCAGTGCTAGTCAGCCTAGCACGTCGAACAGCTGGTGGACCACCTACATCCAATACGTCGTCTCGAACAACGTCATCCCGGAGCAGTACACTTGGCATGATGAGCCGGGTGACCCAGGCACCGACATTCCCAATCTGAACACGTTGCTTGCCAAATACAATGCCCCGAGTCGCCAAATCAACATCAACGAGTATGCGACGCAAAGCCAACAAAATTCTGCGGGTTCTGCGTGGTTCATCTCTCGTTTGGAGCGTTATAACGCCTATGGCTTGCGCGGCAATTGGTTGAGTGCATGCCAGCTCTACGACTTCATGGCAGGCATAGTTGGCAAGACAAACACGTCAGATTGCACCTCTGCGCAGTACTATCCCAACGGGCAATACCAGGTGTACGAATGGTACACCAAGATGATGACAGGAACCCGCGCCACCACGACCGGAACCGGCGACGGCGTGATGGACGTCTACACCACGATCGGGAACGCAGGCGGCACCGTTCAGACCCTGACGGGTGTGCTCAATCAGCAAGGAACGTGGTACATTACCATCGACAACCTTTCTGCCGTCGGCCTCCCCGAATCCGGTTCGCTGCCCATCCAGACGTACGGCCTGGTCGACGACGGCCCGTATGGCGAGGTAAATGCACCCACAAATCGCGGCATTTACTCGCATCAGTATAGCGGGAATAGCGTGGTAAGTAGACGCTTCCCATTGTTAAGCCTTGGGGACAAGCAGTGCTGACTTACGCTTTGTAGACGTTCCCCGTGTACCAGACGTCGGTGGATGAGTACACCGCGTGGGTGTTTGAGTTCAACACCACCTCCTCCAGCTAAAAGGATCTGCGACCAAGACGAGGGGAATTCGAGTATAGTCTACGTAGGCATGCAGGCCAATCAGTTCTTCTGAATGTATTCCATGCGTCACTTTCATTGAAATATCCCCGCGTGTGGGGTGCATGCCGGAGTGTGGGGATGATGGCGGTCGGCTTATCCGCATCTCACCTCAGCCCCGAGATCATGACGGACGATGCATGCGGCTGAAGGCATCGGCATCTCACGCATCCTGTACCTTAGATATACATAGAGTGCTGCATTGCAAATGAATCCACTCGACTTGCCTATCGCTGCTCTCTCACTCTCATCGTCGTTGTCTCGTCATGCACTGGACCGCTTCCGCCCTCCTCTTACTAAGCGCAGCCTTGCTGGGCGGCGGTGTCGAGGCATCATCTTCTCCAGCATCTAGCATCGTCTGGACAAATACCCAACGCTTTCTCTTCGACGTCGATGGCAACCAGATTGATGCCTACGGCTCCAAAATCAATCTCTTCCAGGGCAGCTACTATCTCTATGGCAATAGCTTCAGCACCACCGGATCGGCTTTTGGCATCAAATCGTACTCGTCTCCCGACCTGAAGCATTGGAAGTACGAGGGCTTTCTCTACGACCCTACCACCCCGAGTCCCTGTGATGCAATCGGTGGCTGCGGTCGGCCACATATTGTTTTCAACTCGGAGAGCAAGACCTATGTCTTGTGGGCCAATGCTGGCTCCGCGGGATACATCGTGGGGACATCGACTTCCCCTTCTGGACCGTTCACCTTTCTGAATCAAACTGCCGCTATCGACCCGCAATTCGACGGCCTTCAACCCGCCGACTTTGCAGTGGAGACCTTTAACGGAAAAGGGTATATTGTCTTCTCGGTGTTGAACTTCCGCTCTCCCAACGCCGGCAGCATCTGGCCGCCCATCTTTCAGACTCTTCACATCAGCGAGTTGACGCCAGATTACACCAATACCACCCTCACGAGTTACCGCGTCACTTCTCCCGCAATGGACCTCATCGATCAGGAGACCGAATCACCTGATTTTTTCGTAACCGAGAATGGCACGTTCTACGTCTTCGCCAGCAACACGTGCGGGTATTGCAACGGGTCGATTGCCTTGATGTACCGTGCCAACAGCCTCAATGCCACCTGGGATAGACAGATTCTTTCGGGCTATTCTTGCAATGGGCAACTGGAGGGCATCCTCCCCCTGCAATCTCCGCAGAACAAAGCGATTGACTATATCTGGCATTCGACGTCTGTGCCTGGAGGGCCGAGGACTGGTTTCAGCGGTCACATTTTCCAGCCGTTGCAGTTTGCATCCGATGGCTCCGTTCATGATCTCAATTGTGCATCTTCTGCTGCGTTCAACGTGAGCTTTGTCTCCGGATCCGACTCGTTGCCGTCAGGTGTGGCTTCGTCAGCGGTCGACGGCTCGCCCATGTTTGCAGACGTAAGCATTTCTGGCCTGAAAATGAAGAAAAAGGCTGACCCGCAACAGTATGAAGCAGTGTGCGACTCGGATCAATTCACTCTCTATCAAACATGGCAAGCGAGTCAAAGCGGAAGCATCAAAAGCGTATCGGTCAACGTGGCCAGCAGCGTGCAGACCGTCCCGTTGACGATGACGCTCTTCAAATTCAACTCCTATCAGCACTTGACTGCTCCGGAGTAAGACGTTCGTCTGAATACGATATTGCATCCAGCTGATCCTTCATCACAGATACAAGTGGACGACATATGGAAGCGCGAGCTACAATGCCTCGGCACTCACCTTCGTCTTCGACACGGTGGTTGCATCTAATAGCTCGAATGTGACGGTGAGCAAGGGAGATCTGCTCGGATATTCTTTTGCCGGCGCAGACTTTGCACCGTATTGCCATTTGGAGTACGCTGTGTCGAGCAACAGCTCGAACAGGCTGTTCCAGCAAGGACTGGGGCAGAACTCGCTGCGTGGCCTGAGTGGGATGATCTCGCCAGTCTATCAGAGAAGCGGGAAGAGCATGAAGTTCTTTGTCAATTATCAATAGGCAGATATCTAACTACGCTGAAGCGAGCGAAAACTTGAATGAAGACTCGTGCTCGCGCAGCCTTGACTCCTCCCAAGACGTGGGGTTTGCAGGCGGGATGCTTTCCTGAAAGGGAGTGCCAGCTTTCCGCAGTAACCCGGGCAGACCCTCTCCGTTGGTGAAGACGTACGCTTTCGCGAAGCGGCTGGCAAAAGTGATGGCGAAGGAATGTGCTTGAGGGACAAAGATTGACTGGCCTGATGTCAGGGTCACTTGCTCGTTTCCAAGCTTGAAGGTCACACTTCCGTCGACGACGTAGAAGGCGTGGTGAACTTCATCGAACGTCAACCCCTTGGACAGCGGGCTTGGTTCGTGTGCAGAGCAGCCCTCGATGCTGGCGATGGAGAAACGGCCGTTGGACTCCGCCATGCCAGCAAGAGTGGTGCACACAACCCCTCCAATCAAATGCCGTGGTCCAGTCCCAGCTCGGAGAAAGTACGGCTCCAGAGCGCCAGGAAGGTTGTCGTCTTTGCCTGCAATCCATGCTTGCGGTTCGACACTCGGATGATCCCGGACGGGAACCATATCAAACTGCTCCGCCGCCGCCTTCAACTTGGGAATCAGCACCTGGAAAACATTCCGGTCGTCGGTGAGAGGGAACAAAGGCCCGTTATACGGCTCGCCGATGAAACGAAAGAACTCCTCCCACCCGCCGGGAACAATCAAGCCCAAGAACTCGGTGTAATCTCCCACAATTTGATATTGGTGGATGACGCCCGGAGGCACGCTGGCGAAGTCACCCGGCCCGAGAGTTCGGCACTGGTCATTGGCCCAGACATTAATGTTGCCTTTGATGCAGAGGAAGACATCGTGCGCTTGGCGATGGTAGTGGAAGCCGATGGGATCGCTTTGCGCGCCCCCCGTGCCGACTACGCAGAAGGAATCGTTGGTTTCTTTGCCCGTTACCGCGAGGCGCATGATGGATTTGGAGCAGGGGATGTAGATCAGCTCGCCGCAGAGGGATTGCAGGACGTATGCTTCGTCCGGCCGGCCTGGCGGGGTTTCGAGAGGTGCGAGCTTGCTGTTGCCATTGGTAGAATGCATGATGGGCGAGTTACCCGTGTTATGTGAGATGGGCGATTGGTCTTCCTGGGGGGCAGTGTGAAGGCATCGCCGGAGAGCTGGTGCTCTACTTTACATATAAGGCTTCAGAGCGGGTGGAGGGGCATGCATCTCGGGATCGGCAGCCAGACCACCCGGCTCAAGAGCGCGTGGACATCGGCTGCTCCGAGGCCGACCCACCAGAGCTCGGCAATTGAAGGTGGGTTGCGGAAGCGGATTCGTCGGTCCTACATTCAATTACACGAGATCCATTACAAGAAGGCCTTGACTGGCATCCGGACATCATCTTAGCACCGTAAACAACATTCCAGCCCACAATGGACCGCCTACCACAGCTCGGAACGGCCATCAGCGACGTAGTAATGCCAACATACCAGACCTACGCGCCCCTGCTGCTCCGTCAAGAAGAAGCGATCAGATCAACCAAATGCACCACCTTTGCCTACGGTCCCCACCCGCGGCAACAACTCGACATCTACAGCCCGCCTGCGAACAGCACGCCCGTTACAGGCAATCGCCACTCCCTCCTTGTCTTCCTCTACGGCGGGGGCTTCGTCCGGGGCGACAAGAGCAACAAAGACTTTTGCGGTGGCCTGGTGTACGCTAACTTGGGACATTACTTTTCTCAGAATCTGGGGTTCCATGTGGCGATTGTGGATTATCGCCTTATCTCTCACGATGCAAAGTTCCCCTCTGGTGGTGAGGATCTGGCGCTTGCACTGGAGTGGCTTGTCCCACATTTCTCAGGAAGTTCAAACGAGCCACTTGACCTGTTCCTCATGGGCAACTCCGCCGGTGCAGTCCACACAAGCACCTATCTCCTAGCAGAGCAGTTTGCCGCAAGACGACAGAAGTTGCTTGGTGCTGCAAACCTCCACGGTGTCATCTTGGTCGGCGCACCCTACCATTTCGAACAGGCGGTGGCGAGCCGGAAGGAGATTCTCCAGGCGTACTACGGAGACAGGCTGTCGCAAGATTGTCCGTTCGGTCTGTTGAAGCAGGCCAAACAGACGGGCTCCATTGAGGATCTCGGTAAGGTGGAGGTGTTGGTTATGACGGCGACTCTCGATCCCGAGGATGAGATTGTCAAACCTGGACGGGACTTTGTGAAGGAATGGAGGAGCACAACTTCTGTGCAATCGAAGCTGCACGTCAACACTATAGAAGGTCACAACCATATCAGCCCGGTGCTTGGGTTGGGCACAGGGCTGCCGGCCGAGGAAGCTTGGGGCCGAGATGTGGTCGAGTTCATCGCGCAGACTCAGAAGAAGTAGTGTTCGGAATCCGCTTCGTTCATCGTAAATAGCTGTGCCAGAAAATCAAAGTTTTCATCAATCAGCGGCTCCAGCAGCAGGTCACCGGAGACCAGAGGAGTCGCGGCATCATATGGCCCCGACTGAGAATTTGGAGTGCCGATTGGAGCCCGTGATCTCGTCCTCTCATCCACAGTATCGTTGCGCTCCAACACCTGGTCAGACGCAGCTTGTAGCAGGTCGGCAGCTTTCTTGGCCACGATGTTCTCGTCCATTGCACGGAGAATCTTGACACTCATTCGAATCAGCTGCAGCAGCTCCGCCCTTGCATCCCTAGGTGCCAGTCGCGTGCGATAGGCGAGGATGATGGAGGCTGCGTAGAGTAGGTATGTCACGTTGTAGAACCAGGTTTTGAAGTACGAAGCAGTGGAGTACATGTGATGCATCAGCCGTATTGTGCTTCGAGCGGCGGCTACACATTTCGACAGCGCTTGTTCCAGACTCTCGCTTGATCCTGAATAGTGCGTGGTGTATTGGAGAAAGGGACGGTACAGCACCATGGTAATGTTGTAGTATCGAAATCTTAGGGTATGCCGCTGCTTTTTTGCCCACATTGGATCCTTCTGAACACCTAGATCTTCGGTGGGTTCATCGAGACGAGGCTTGATTGCCTCCGGCAGGCCGGTGATCCAGGAGTCCAGCTCTGCTGCGAGTTGCGAAGCAAGATCCATCCGCTGATCAATAGTGATTTCTTTCTGGTAAACGCAACCTGCAACTTTCCGGATGATCCTCGCCAGGTCGACCATGGGAGTGATCACAGCCGTTTCGTTATGCTCAATAGGCGGTAGAGCGCAGTTGTGGTAGAAGTCTGCGCCCAACGAGTCCGGACGGCCAAGGGAAAAGCTCATTTCAATCTCAACCGAGTACAACGCCCACCAAGTCTTGCGGATGGCCATGTTCGAGTCGGAATTGCGATTGTAGCCGGCGGAGAGAGAGGTTCGCACGGCTTGGCCGAGGTACGCATATGCAAAGGACGGATTGAGCTCATTCTGACACACCTTCGCCATGATGATGCTTGCCTGCACCGTCTCCAAGTCGATCTGGAGCGGCAAGGTTCCGAGGGCGAGGGATGCAAGGCGGAAGAGTTTGCGCGACCAGTCCCATCGCGTCAGGCCATCAATGCGGTCCTCGCTCCATTCCCGTGTCAATGCCCCAAGGGACATGACGGCGAAGTAGAGGGCGAGGAAGCCGCGGGTCTGCTGCTCGTTGCCGAACCATAGCGATTCGCAGCGCGCGTAAAAGGCGGATTGGTCGATGAAGGGGTGGATGAAGTGGATGTTCTGGAAGAAGCCTTCGAGGAAGCGCTGACTCTGCCGGAAGAAGAATTTGGTGTCTTGTAAGGTCAGGTCTCCGTCGTCTAAGCCAGCCTGGGGTGAGAAGCTGTCGTTGTGGAGGGTAGAGACTAGTGCTTGTGGCCGGAGGTCTTTCGATCCCGATGCGCCAGAGGGGAGGAGAAGGGAGGAGAGAAAGGCGAGACTACTCGTTTTGCCATGGAATTCCGCACTCTGGGTATGAGGATTGATTTCGACAACCTCGCCAGTTTGATCGTCGACGCTGCGGTGTAAGCCGACAATATCGGGTTGTGTGGCCGTGGTGGTGACAGGCTGAGGGACGGGCTCAGCAGGCAAGTCGAGTGGACGAGCCGGAGCTTCCGATGTCAGTCGTTGTCGAAAAGAATCGGCATCTTTGTAGACACAAGCCAGTCCGGCTCCTATTGGAATTGTTAGGCTAATCGAGGGCCAGTAGTGTTACGACTCACGAATGCATCGGGAGCACGGGTCGAGCTCGTTGCACCTGCACTATTATTAGAGGAGGGCTTCAAGGACTGAGACGGGCTGTCGCACCTGTACTTCTTTGCACGGCACCACTCGCACGCTCGGGCGGCACGTGGTCGTTTACGCGGAGGTTCCATTCTGATCCGAGCAGGTGGAATGTAATTGCGGAGGTGCCGCGTGATGTCGGGGGGATACTGCGGAGGTGTGCTGCTGTCCTCCCCGCAGCCGGTTGCGGGGCCTCGGAAGCAGGATGGAAAAGCCGAGTGGCTGGAACGGCCTTATTGAGTGAGGCTTACTGGGGCGAGCCGGGCCATGTCCATTTCAACAGGGTCCCTCAATCTCTTTCCTTCCTCTTTCCTTCCATAATCATGTCTGACAACGCCCTCGACGTGGTGATTGTGGGAGGAGGTCTCGGTGGACTGGCGGCCGCAATCTCCTGCGCAATCGCTGGCCATCGAATATGCGTGTTGGAGGCTTCGCGAGAGTTGGCGGAGATTGGAGCCGGCCTGCAAATCACACCAAATGCAGCACGACTGCTCGAGGCATGGGGACTGGGGCCCGACATTGAGGCTATGGGTGCTGAGCCCACAAAGTTGACGGTGCACCGATACCGCGATGGTCGAATTCTGGCGCAGGAGTCGGATTTCGACAAGAATATGCGCCGAAAGTATGGCGCTCCATTCGTCGACATGCATCGCGCCGACTTGCAACAACTTCTCTACAAGAAAGCGCGGTCGTTGGGGATCAAAGTTCGGCTTGGATCACGAGTTTCACAGATCGAGCGCAACACGTTCCGACCCCAAGTCCTGCTTGAGAGCGGCGAGAGAGTATCTGCGCACCTGGTCGTCGGAGCGGACGGGCTATGGTCAAGATGTCGGGAGAGCATGTTGGGCAGAGCGGACAAGCCAATGCCGACCGGTGATCTTGCATACCGAATCATACTGGAGATTGGCCAGATCGGCGATCCCGAATTGCGCGAGTGGATCGCTAATCCCGAAGTCCACTTCTGGATCGGCCCTCGCGCCCATGCTGTTGGGTACTCGATGCGAGGCGGAACAATGTATAACATCGTCTTGCTATGCCCGGACAATCTCCCAAGCAACATCTCGCGATCCAAGGGCTCGGTGGACGAGATGATGGAACTCTTTTCCGGCTGGGATCCGATCCTCACCCGCTTCCTCAAGCACGTCGATTCGGTGGAGAAATGGAAGCTCATGCACCGCGAAGAAGTCGAATCTTGGACGAACCCTCAGAAGAACTTTGTGCTGATTGGGGATTCATGTCATGCGATGCTTCCATATCTCGCGCAGGGGGCTAATAGCAGCTTGGAAGATGGAGCGGTGCTGGGGAGACTGCTATCGCACGTGCAGTCCAGAGCACAGCTCCCATGGGCCATTACACTGTACGAGAGCTTACGAAAGTCGCGAAGCGAGAGCATCGTGCGAGAGACGTTTCGACAGCGTCACGACTTCCATCTCGAGGACGGCGAGTTGCAGCAACAAAGGGACGACTTGTTTCTCTCCCAGCTTGGGAAGCCTGTGGACTGTGCTTTTCCCAGCAGGTGGTAAGTGGTGAAAGTCCAGTGAAGCTCTTCAAATATTTATCTAACGAAACTCAAAGGACGTGTCCGAAGGTGCAGCCATGGCTGTACGGATATGACAGCAATATAGTGGCAGACGAGGCTGTTCACGCGCATCCATACCGTGATGAACAAGAGGAGTTGGTGATGAAGGAGTTTCGGCCGGAGGAACAGGTGCCGAGCTTGCTGCAGGTCTCTGCGAATTAGATACACATGGAGCGGGCGTTTCTTCCTTCTCACAAAATCAAGTTCACTCGTACACTTCCTTTCTTTGTCTCCGGAGCGTCGTACATCCGGTAGGGCTTGACGGCAAATGGCGGATTGCACCAATGATCGAAACTGCCGAGCATGACCGACGACAGCATATGCCGCCTGTGTCGCCGACGACGGTTCTAGATCGAGATGCGGGGAAAGAACTTAAGCGCCAGGCTCGGAAACTCCGACGGGATCCACTTGCCGACACGTTTTGCGGAGATGTATATCTGGGGTAAATGGCCCACCCGACGACCTCAAGCATCGTTGCTAGACCCAGTCTCCTCTACCCCTTCACCATGGAGAAGATCAACGTGACCACCTCTGAACAATGCGAGCGCACGCAGACGGAGCAGAGCGAGGATGCCTCGTTTGGCTCTCCCGCGATGCTGCAAGAAACCGTGCAGGATGCGGACTATCGGCTCGGCGTGCGGACGATGCTCGCCATCACGGCACTGGCTCTGGGCAATTGCTGTGCTGCTTTTACCAATTCCTCCAACACCAGTATCCGCTTTCAAGTTGAAAGCGTAGGAGGTGCCAATCTGGCCAGCTGGATTGGCAACGCCAGCTTCCTTCTCACGCTGACCTTTGGTCCCATCTTTGTAAGCAACATCTCCGTCTTCCCCAAACACGATTTCTAACCTCTCTACAGGGCTTTCTCGGCGACCGTGTTGGCAAGAAATGGTTCATGGTCGGAGGCGCTGCCATCGGCGTCATTGGTGCCTGCTTGGCTGGCTCCGCGCACAGCGTACAGCGCATCATTGCAGGCCAGGTCCTGTCCGGAATCGGAAACGCCGGCTGCATTGTCTCCATCGCCGCAAGTCAAGAGATTACACCCAACAGACTACGACCATGGGTCATGGGCTACACTCAAGCCTTGGCCAGCTCGGCAGCCTTGCTCGGAACCTACTGCGCCGGGGCGTTCGTCAAATACGAGAGTTGGCGATGGAGCTACTACATGAACGCTTTCGTCTACGCCGTTGCCGGAACGAGCATCGCGTTGACCTACTTCCCGCCTCCACCGGCCATTCGACGACGCGAGACACTCTCGGCCATCTTCAGCGGCCTGGATTACATTGGCATCTTCATCCTCAGCGGATCTCTGGCATCCTTGATCCTCGGCCTCACATGGGGTGGCACGACTTATCCGTGGGGAAGCGCACCAGTCATCGCAACTCTGGTCGTTGGATGTGTTGGCTTGCTCGGCCTGGGGCTGTACGAGGGGTACTGCAAGAAGGACGGCATTTTCGACCACCGATTCTTCGCCAACCGCAATTTTGCAATCCTGCTCTTCGTCTGCACCATCGATGGCATGCTGTTGCTCGGTGTCAACGTCCTATTCTCTCAGGAGATTGCTACCCTCTTCACTACCGACTCGGTGCGCATCGCAGTTATACTTTCGCCCTACTTGATCACCTCGCTCTTTGGCTGTCTCCCTGCTGGATACTTCATGTACAGGACCAAGTCTTATCGCACCATACTCGTCATTGCCTTGGCTTGGTGCAGCCTGTTTACAGGCCTCATGGCTCTCCTGACTCCAAGCCGGCTGACCTGGTCATACGCCTTCTCCGCTTTATTTGGAATTGGCACTGCCGTTACGACGGTCATACCTGGTAACGTATCCCGCCTCTTTCCACCATTCTCCTTTACTAATCCTCTACAGTCGTCGCACTCGCCCTCTCCGTCCCGTCATTCCTCCTCGGCGCCGCCGGCACTTTGAGCATCTCATGTCGCGCTCTCGGTGGCATCATCGGAATCACAATCTTCACCGCCATCCACAACAACAGACTCGCAACACTGCTACCCAAGTACGTCGCTGGCGCTCTTCACGCCACCACGCAAGGCTCCGCAGCGAGCGAGGGACAGCTTTTGGGCGAGGTGCTCGGGGCTCTGGCGAATTCTCCTCTACCACCTCCGGTCGCTCTCGAACATATCCAGCCTCCTTTGTCCAAGCAGGCCATTGGAGCGGTGTTGGGGGCTTTATCTAATGCAGAGACCGGGGCGTGGAAGTATGTTTGGGTGGCCATCTCGGCGATCGTGGCTGCCAATGCGATCGTGGCTTGCTTTGCCAGGCCGGTTGGGCAGAATATGAACCAGCACGTCGAGAGTGCGTTGGAGCATACTGAGGTTCGGGCGAGGCAGATGGAAATCAAGCACGCATCATGAACGACGGATGATGTGGGATTGTATCTTATGGACGTATTCTTTGCGAAGCGTAAGATTTGAGTACTATCAAGGAGCTCCAGCTGGCCTGCGCAAACGGCCAAAATCACCCTCCATGTAAATTGGCGATGGTTTGATGAGAGCAATCCGCCAACGAGTCACGGTTCCTTGCCCGGGCACCTCCAGCGTCAGCTTGCGAAATACATGCGTCATGTACGCCCGATGATCAGAAGTCTCGTCGATGACAGCCGACGTCTTCTCCTCGCCCGCCTGACGATCCGGGCTGCGCGCGTGACTCGCGAGAATCTGCCACTTGACTTGGATTTCCTCCACGGCACCACTCTGAGTTGGGACGACCCCCTCGCTCGTTTCGGAGCGCACCGGACCGGCATACTCAATATACGGCATTCCGAGAAGATGTTGAGTATTCATGGCGGGATTTCCCAGGTGCTCTTCGCTCAGCCACAGCTGGACGAAGGCTTCATGGTCGTAAGTTTTGCGTCCCCAGGCGGGGTTTACGTCGGTGTAATCGATTATCACTTGGGGGGCCAGCGTTCCGATGAGGTGGGAATAGGACTACTTTCGTCAGCTGGAGTCACTGTGTGGATTGCGGAAGAGCTGTGTACCTTGAGATCATAGCCGTCCGCCCACGCTCGTGCGGTCTGGATGATGGCAAAGTAGTCTTGGAAGGAGACATTCGTCGGTATGAACAATTCAAAATCGGACGCCATAATCAAGTGCATGCAGTGTGAATCGGAGATGGTCCAGGCATGCGGTATAAGAAACGCCGCCTTGCCCGGGAGCCAACTGCCGGCCGCGATCGCCGTTCGGGAATCCCGAAGGGGTTGGAAACTCACAACGTCGTTCTTTAATCAAGCCCGTCCTCGCCGATTCGTATCCCATCGCCAATCTAATACACGCTCCCATGTCGCCGTCAATAGCTACGTTAAGGACTGACGTCTATGGGTTGGTGAGCCCCGATGCGCTTCGTGGTTCTCTCGCTGGCAAAGTCGCTCTTGTTACGGGATCCAGCCGCGGCATCGGGAAGCACATTGCTCGCGCACTCGCTGAAGCCGGGGCTTCGGTGGCCGTGACTGGACGCGATGAGGCGTCAGTGAAGAGTGCTTGTGCGGACATTTCCCAGCACCAGACGCCATGTGCTCCGTTCGTGGCCGATGTGCTCAATGAGCGTGATCTGGAGCGTTTGGTAAAAGAGGTGAGAGGGAGCGAATGACGGCGGGAAGTCGAACCCAGGCTAATTGTTCCGCAGGTCGAGACGCAGCTTGGACCAATCGACATTCTCATCTTGAATGCCGGCACCAACATGTTCATGCCGTTTCATCTCCACGAAGCGGATTCCTGGTGGCACATGATGGAGCTCAACGTCCGCGCTCCCGTGGCGCTCACCCGACTCGTCTTGCCTGGGATGAAGCAGAGGAACTCAGGCACCATACTCTACATCAGCAGCCGCGCTGCCTTAGCTGACCTTCCCTGGACGACGGCGTATAACTGCTCGAAAGCGGCTCTTTTGCGATTTGCCGGCTCGCTCTCAGCGGAACTCGACTTTCTCCAGAAAAGGGACGGATTCGAGAAGAATGGAATTCAAATCTTCTCCATCCACCCTGGCGAGATCAACACGGACTTGCACAAGACTTCGAAACCGGAGAATCTCCGCTCCGATGCGCCGTATGTTCTCGAGCTCTTGGAGAAGCTGTCAGCAAACAGACCCACGTTCTCGCCGCAGCTGCCGGCTTGGTCGGTGGTGTATCTCGCAGCGGGGAAAGCGCCGGAGTTGCGTGGTCAGTACGTCGATTGCACTCGAGATCTCGAAGAGACTGCAAGAAATGCTCGAGCGAGCAAGTGTTAGAGCGTGCTCCTTTCTATAGTACAAAAGAGTCGCTGAGATGTGATCAACGCCGGACTATTCCCATCGTGTCAACACTATCGTAGATTTTGAGTCAGTGAGGCAGGTGTCCGTCGGTCTGAGACAACATAGCCTCCATCTCCCAGCTCGCTGCTCCCGCGTGCTCCCTCGGTTCTTGGACAGCGTTACACTGCTCTTCTTTCCCTTGCAGGAACATGCCTCGGTGCCTTGTTAGTACTCAGAGTACGGAAGATACGCTTGCCGATTGTTCTTCAACGAGTGCGAAGAAAGTGTGCATACACTGCCCTGGACGACGAGAAGAGGGAATGGTCAGAAGAGACCGGTCTTCTTCGTCAGACCGAAGGCAACGTGGATAGAACAAGACGATAGAGCGCATGTATGTTGAATAGATATTTGGCAACCAACACCTGTCCTTGCACTCTTCTACCATAATAAAGACGGCAACATTCGTAAGCCGCAAAGATCTATGCGCATCTTTTCGGATTGAAGTCAAGAAGTTCCTGCATTGTGGCATAGAAGAAGGCTACACCGCTGAAATTCGTAACATTATTTACTTCTTCTGCTTCGCTGCCCATCGCCCAGATCCCTCTTTCCAATTCACATGCATCTTGCCAAGTCGGAATCGTCCCCAGATGGTCGCAACGGCGAGGCCAGCGATGAAAGCGACGACTGTGCGCGTGGCAAAGTCCCGTCTGTGTCGCCGTTCGAGGTCAAAGTACGTGGGACTGTCCGCGCTGTGAAAGCCCGGCGGGATCTCAGTAATCTCGAGGGACGAGTTGGCCAGGCTGGCGCCAGAGGAATCGAGGGCTTCGGCGAAGATGATGGGATGATACTCCATTGCTATGAACCTCGTCTCGAAGCCAGTTTTGGCTACTCGGCCGAGCTCGCGTTTGCCACGTTTGTTGGTAGAATGGGCGTGAAATCTCCAAGTCGCAACCTCCGTCGCCCCGTTCCAGCTTACGTAGATGGTCGTCCTTAACTGCCCACGGGCGTTCGTCGTCACGAAAGCTTTCGTGGTTGGTTTGGTAAGAGGCTGGGCGACGAACTCCATCTTGTACGCTCGGTAGTTCGTAAAGCGCTTCGATGCAAACGACGCTTCGTAGAGCTTCTGGCCCCCGCGGTTGACATACTCGGTCATGTATGCGTTTTCGCCCCAGCCGGCAAACACGCCACCGTTGGGAAGGAACTGCACATTGCCATGGGTTTTGGTGAGTCCGCCATCTGGCCGTTCGTGCGTATGGTAGAGAGTCGCTACCATGTTTTCCAGATCCAGCCCAACAACCTTCAAGCTCGACGATTCGGAAGTGGGAGCCCAGCTGCCGGTGTCGTCTGCTGCGTTGTCGAAGAAGGAGACGATCATATTGACGTCGTTCTGATCTCGAATCCGAGCATGGTGTTGCCGAGAAAAATTGAAATCCTGTTGGAAAGACGAATTGAAACCACCCAGACGCCAGAGGATGGATCCGTCGGGGGAGACGTAATAGATGGTATTCGTAGCTCTTGCCGATACCAGGTAGCTCCCGGATTTATCTTTATCTATTGAGTTCAACTGGCTGTGGTACAGCTTAGCAAGTGATCGTCGATACGCAATCGATAGAAGTATGATGGCATTGTGCCTCCACTTACAACCAATCCCAAGATGCAGCTGGCAATCCAGCGCTCGGAGACGGATTCGAGGACTCCGTAAATGGGACATGATCGCTGGCAGTCCATTCAAAAGACGGCTTTCGCGTTCGCAAATCGATTTCCGTGAAGCTACAATCCAGTATTGGGCCTCTCCAGTGTACTTCGTCTGACTCGCGACGGTCGCGATGGCTTGTCATTCCAAGAAGCGCTGTCTGCCCGTCGTCAAGAACATGAAATTCGTGCAGATTGATTGCCTGGCCAAGGTCCTCTGTAGTCAGCGAGAACGTGGGTTGGTAAGATGCGTTCAGCACCATTGCAAACCCGTCCGGGAAGGGTTGCCATTCGGCATCGGTAGGAGCGACCAAGGAGAGATGATGTTCTCCGTTGATCATCACAGGCTTGAAGTCGAACACTTTTGTGCCTTGAAACAGCTCGGTTCCGCTCCACACGAGCTCCTTCACATCTTGTCAGTTATGCCTCTTCAAGTATGCCCATGAGTCTTGCGGCTTACTCCTTCCTGAGTGTAGATATGTGGTCCGATCTGATGCGTCGTGTAGGAAGTGGTAGGTACATGGCTGCACTCGAGACAGTCGTAGGGGGCGACAAAAAGATATCCCGGTGCAGTCCACTCTTTCTTGTTGAGGGCAACGTTGAGTTTGGGGGGCTTCAGGTCAGGGCGCTGCGAAAGGAGCTCAGTATGAGGGTGTGAGGCGATCGTGAATGCACATACCGTAACGAATGTGAACAGATCACTGTCGTCGCTTCGATGCTGCCATTGCGCGAATTCGTAGTCGCTCAGATCGGCCGAAGTGACTGCGGCGGATGCCAACAAGACGGTAGCTATCGGTGGGAGCAGCGTCGCAAGCATACCGCCGAAAGATGTGGGTTTACGACGCCAGAAGAAGGGATAGCGTGCTTAGCGAGCTTCTCATGAGGTGGAGACGAAGCGTGGAGTTTTCAAAAAAACACATCACGAGTAGACGGGCACTCTCACGAACCCGTAGAGGTTTGAGACCAACCACCCGCCATGAACCCTGATCGTCCATTGCGTCTGATTCTAGAATCGCTCTTTTGATCGACTCAGCTGGGGGCGATCAGCCATCAGAACCCCTTCTGCGGCGGTTTCACTCAAAAGGTACAAGGCTGCCAGGATGAGGAATGTTTTTGGTGCTCCCGGCGTCACGGAAACGCCGAGATGAGTACTGTTGAAGTGATAGCCGCTGATATAGCCCCTGAAATCAGGGATGTGGTGTGCATAAGGTTTATTGAATCGGTCCCACGAGTTTAATTGGCAGGACGCCGTGCGCGCGTGTCGCCGCGCTAGCGCAGCCTTGTGGCGCACTGGCACGTGCTATTGCTCAGGCTGAAGCTTCCTTTTCTGGTGATCTGCCATTGCACGTGGCACCTCTAAAGACGTTCACGATATAATAACGAACAGCCTGGCGGCAAGCCAGGCAATCTACACCACTTCGGCGCACTGATCTCACAGGCGAGGCTGCAGCGGGCCAGACGCGCCGTGGCGTTCATGTATTGATGATACGGCAACGTGATGAGAGAAGCCACGTTCTGGCCTCATTTGTCCCTTGTTGATAGAACATTCTTCTGTGGCGGTATTTCATTGCTCAACTCTCCTTCCTGCTCCTTTATTCTTCACTCTCGTTCATACTATTAACTTTCGTTTCAAAGACAGCTTTGTTCAACCAAGTCAACTCAAGTACACTCCCTCAGCCCCGCTCATCCTTTCGATATGCTATGCTTCACTGTCCTCATGGCCTCAATGGCCTCCGTGGCCCTGGGCGGCGTGGCAAACTTCTGTGCCCAAGAACCTTTCCGCCAGATGCAGGACTTTCGAGGTTTTGATCTGGCCATGGAACGCTGCGCTCTTCACTATGCAGCCCAAACGACCGTCAAGACACTGCCCAACGAATGTCTGACGACAACAAAAACGGTCATCCTTTCGACAAACACTGTACACGTGACGAGTCGCCTGGCTTGCCCCACCAACGAGCCGCATGTCGAGATCCGTGACTCTGTTGCGCTGGAGCGAAGGGCGGCTGAGCCGGCGGCGCGAACGCAAAAGCATACGAGCACTCATGGTCATACGCATACGCAAGCTGCTCAAAAGAAGACTGGAACGAAGAAAGCCAACAACACGAAGACGAAGAGTGGTCAGCATACCGCTCAGACGAAGAGCGGCCATCACACTACTCAGACGAAGAGTGGCCATCATACTACTGAGACGAAGAGTGATCATCATACGACTCAGACGAAGAGCGGCCATCATACTACTGACACAAAGAGTGGTCATCATACTACTGAAACGAAGAGTGGCCATCATACCACCCAGACTCACACCGGCACACATACTGGTACAACGACTCACACCCACGGTCCCTCCAAAGCGCCACGGGACCTGATGGACGACCAACGCCGCGCCGGACCCACTCCCGTCGCCTTCTTCAAGCGTGATGCCGCGGCGACCAAGACGGCAGAGTGGTCGAGTTACTACGGCGCGCTGGCCGAGTGTGGATACAATTGCATTCAAACGGCGTGCTCGTGCGTAGGCACTCTTCAAGTCGTGCTGGTATGTCCATCTTCTGACGCCCGTTCTCGAAGACATATGCCTAACTCGTTCAATAGCAAACCCCTGCGCCAACATGCACCTCGACGTTGACCAAGGAGACTGTGGTCCATGAAACCAAGACCGTGCAGCTGTAAGTACCCACAACGCGGAGACTGATTCCGCAACGAATGAGCTGACCACTACACAGCGCTGCGGACTCCTGTTGAAACCATTTCCTTTTGCTCTTTCGATTTCAGCGTTATCCATCTCGTATTTGCCATTCTTCGAAAACATCTTTATTGTAATTTAATCTTGTGGACTATTTGTAGACAGTCAATGGTACAAGTGTCTGGAAAAGAAAACGATCCATCTATTGCACTCGTTGTAGTACATAAACATGTCCAATGCTTGATATAGCAAGTAAGAAAAGGCAGAAAGCGTGGAAGCTGTGCCATGTTCGTAGATTGCATCCTTCGATACAGCCTTCGATCTACGCCAACAACGAGCCAGCGCCTTACAACTCGAGGTCAATATCACCATAACGGAGAAACGACTCTCGAACGCAAGGGCGCTGACTGTTCCTCCACTTCTCAATCCGATCAAAAAGCCATTCAGAATACACGCCGCTGCCCAACTTGGCCTCTCCGTAGAAGGGCACAAAAGCGATCTTGCACTGCAACGACACGGAGTCGAATTGGAACTGCTTGCATTCACGATCATCCAGGCAAGCTTGCTTGCATGCCTCCGCCGTCGTGGCGAGTGGCCGGGCGATGTCGCAGTAGTTGTCCCAGTCCTCGCGTGGGAAACGCATGCGTGGCAACATGAGGTTGTTGAAAACGTCTCCCTGGCTCAGGAATTTGAAGGGATTGGAATTCTAGTTTGTCGCAGTTAGCCATCCGTCGGAGATACCTTTTGTCGTGTATCAGCGGCAAGGAGACACCACTCACATCACTTTCCTCTTCGATCCACCGCTGTTCCATGCTCCAAACGTCTGCAATCGTCTCTGGTGTCATGTGATGATAGGTAGCTGCAGGATAGCACCAGAACCGCCTGTTCTCAAATTCCATGCCAAAGTATGTCACGCCGAAGAAGGCAGGCTGGAATATCGGCCAGGCATAAGTCATGGGGACTTGAGCATCGTTCAAGACCGCGCCCAGAGAAATGTCTCCGGCCCACTCGCCTTCCATCCATAGGTCCAGACTCCTCCGGTGGGTTTGGATGTATCGAGCCACACGCTGTAGAGCTTCGTGGGAAAGAACATAACCGGAGCCCCCTTGCATGAACTGGTGGTCGCTCAGGCGGGTAGTCCGGTGTCCGAGGCAATGTGGCTTCGTATGATCCAGAGTCGAAACATACTTGAGTACCGTCGACCAGAACAGATATGTATCAGATTCGATAAAGACGTACCATTTCTTATCTGGGAAACGATGGAAGCTGCGACACGTCAGCGATGATTCCGGAACGTCGAGGGCTTGGGCCTTACGTCTCGTTCATCATGGGAAGGAACTTCCATTTGTCCAGTACCCAGCCAGGCACGAGCACCTTTTCCGCGTCCGTGGTGTTGTCGGTCGTCCGAACTCCAGTCAAGTCGTCTGGCTCGAGCCCGAGTCGTCCAACTTCCTTCACACGGCGGTAGAGCGTAAAATCCGGATTCTGCTCGAGAATATCCGGGCTGATGTTGGCCAGCACATCCTGAACTTCATGGCCATGGAACGTTTCTTCATGATCGCTAAAGATTAACACATTCGGAGGGCACTTGAGCGTATACTCGAGTTGCGCCGGAAGTCTGTCTTCGATTTCGGTGACGCCAGTCTTCATTATGACGACTGTGTCGCTCGCTCCTGGAAGATGTCGACAGGCCAAGTAGCCCGGGCGGGAGTATTGTGCGGGGGTCAGCCACCAGAGCGCAAGTAGCGCGAGACCGAGAAGTACTCCGCGTGTGAGTCGCATCCCGCCCATCCTGCGAGTGCTCGAGCGTGGTGTCAGGCTTCGAAGCGGCCTCAATCCCACGGGCTTTTCGGAGTTTCTCTTCATCGCTGCTTGAGGAATTTCAGAGTAGTGCAGTCGGTCATGAAGAGGCTCGGAGAAGTACCCAAGACCCCTCGATTAGGATCTGCAAGAAAGTCCTGGCTGGACCGTGTCATTGGGTTCAGCAGGTATTGAGCAGCGTTCTGGAAGAGTCGGTAAACGGGCACTGACTTCCAGATGAGTTACGTAGATGCAAGCCGCTGAGACTTCCCTCGATCTGTTGAAGCACTCCTGACCCCTGGACTCTCGGCCGCACCGACAGGGTTACACCTTACGATTCATGCCCGACCATGCTTTGCACCCATTGACAAGAAAGTTCCACAGATAATTGAAGGCCGTTGAGCTTCGCGAAGCTGGCCAGACGCACTACGCCACACGTCCCGAAAGATTTTGTCATCACATATTGCAATTTCATCGAGCTGATAGCCACGCCTTACTAGATTGGCCCGTGGGCCCAGATATGCGCTGTGGCGAACACGCACAGACAGCAGCAGCAGCCGACAGAGCTGCTCTGCAACATAAGCTGCAAGTGACTCTCCCGGTGGCGTCGAGAGATTGTGCGCCGGCACCAGAACGCGCGTCGACTTGCCTGTGGTGGTACTTCACGTGGCATAAGCCGTCATCACATTAGGGGCAGGGTCGAAATAGTCTGGCGCGTTTGGGACGGCCTGATCGAGACCTGCATGCTTTCGAGGGTGCGGTGAGGCGTCGACGCCACATTGGCCCGGCGAAGGCTCCGTCCAACCAGGTGGACGCCGTTACTCGCGCCACTTGATAGTGGAGATGGCTCCTGGCTCACCGGCCGTGGCGGAGCTGAAGTGGCGGTCGAGAACCGGAGCCCGGTCCGGTGCAACGAGCGTGACAAACCAAGTGTTTGGTTAGTATTTACCGGGCGGGTTGGCTTGTGCAATTGCCATATGCGGGCGTCCGCGGCGGTGGGGGGAATATAGGGGGCAGCCTTGCCAAGTCTCGGCCTCGTCAGCTGGCGCTAGGCAAATATGGCGTTTTGAAACATGGCGTTTCCTGCAGCTCTTGTGGCTACCTGAGAACCCTGACTCTCGACCCCGTGTTATGGTCGGCCATTTCCGGCTACGTATTTTGGCCAGATCGCTCGGTGAGCCTCTAGCCATCGGCCAGTAGATCACAGAGCTCGGCAGTCGCGCCACGTTGTGCGAAGAGAGACGACAAACTCATAGCCCTAGCTGCTCGAGTGTGGAGCAGACGAGACACCATATCAATTCTCATCAGAGATGTATCCATAAGAGCTCGTTATTGGAGGCACCAGGCTTCGTTGATGTCCATCCAGGGCGAAGTGAGCTTTGGTACCAGAGAGACTGCAAGGTGCGTAGGACACAAATAAGGCTTAGCCGGCTTAGTCAGTCGCACGTTTGCAGACAACGTTGTCTTCGCCAGTCATACGCGATCTGATACTTACCAATCGCAGCGAGCGCTGCGCCTATAATGAGCTCTATGAAGGATGTCTGTCGTGCAAGGCAAACAACGTTGATCGTGCGCGGCGGTAACTGCCCAATCGATGTGTCGGGATTGAAGCCTTGCGGTCGGATCTCGGGCAATCCTCGGCTCCACGGCGGCGGTCGTGGCAGCTGTCGAAGCTCCTCCACCGGCGAAACATTGCATTTACAAACCTCCGACGGCAACTTCAAGTCAAACACCGTCAGCACACTACATCACTTCGCACCATGGCGGTCTCACTGACAAGGCCCATCGCCCAAACATCCCTCTCGCCCCTCCACAACTCCCTCTTCGTCTTTCGTGCGGGGTTGCGACCAGCAGCACTTACCACTCCACTACCTCCCCACTCCATCAGACCGGCAGCCACTGATGCCGCTTCCGCAGCTCGCCGCCGCGCCGTCACCGTCGTCAACGACACCGGCCGCGTGCCATGGCAGGAGCTCAGCACGGGAGAGAAGGCGGCTCGAACAACGCAGCAGACCTTCAACCTTGGAATCCTGCTGGTAGGCATCCTTGGTACCGGGGGCGTGGCGACGGTGCTGTGGCTCGAAGTCTTCTCTTCCGACAGCAAGACCGCCGTCTTCAATCGTGCTGCCGATCGAGTACGTGGTGATCCGAAGTGCAGGGAGTTGCTGGCTGGTGAGGGGCTGCATAGTAAGCGGGACATCAAGGCCTACGGGGAGCCGTCGTGGAGTCGATGGGCGAGGAACCGGACGATAGCGTCAAGAGTAGAGACGGACAAGATGGGGACGGAGCATTTGCACATGCACTTTTACGTGGAAGGTGAACAGGCAAAGGGCACGGTGACACTGCACATGATTCGGCCTTCGGGCGAGAAAGAGTTTGAATACTGGATGCTGGCGCTCGATGTGCCGGGCAAGCAGCGGTACTACCTGGAAGACAGGTCGTCCAAGGGGGATCAGAGGAAGCACGGGAGGATGTTTGGGGTGCGGTGGAATTGAGGGTCGTCATTTCATTCACGTCATGCTGGCTATGCTAGGACCTGCGCAAACTCCTTCCGCATCGCCTCCTTGACTATCCCGCCACACAGCTTGGCGTGAGGGTTGGTGTGCACGGCAAGAGCTTTTGCGACTTCATTCCCGTACAATCCGCCGAGGTAGAAGCTACGGGATGCTTCCTCTTCGAATCGCTCATGCGTCCAGCTCGCCAGCTCTGCATCTTCGATGGCGAAATCTGACTTGGCAAGATCCTTGGATGCGGCGAGGTAGAGGGCGCCCAGCTGGGTATACGCTTGCGCCAGCAGCTTGCCTTGAGCGGGTGACACGGCGTCCTGTGGTCTGGCGGGGGAAGCCAAAGATACGGCTTGCTGCAGATCACGCACAGCGGAGGAAGCGGCTTCGGCGCGTTCGAGGTCGCGAGAAGTCCGGCGCTGGCAGAGCGTGTTGCGATCTCCGAATCGCCATCGGCGTAGCTGCGCTCTGTTGTTGCGCGCGGAGGCATAGTCGGGGTATTGCTGCACAATCTCGTCCAAAAGGCTCAACGCCTGCCGGTATGCCTGATCCTTGGCGGCGGGAGTGTGCTCTTTGGAAGTTTCATGTGCTTCGATCATTATGATCGCGGCCTTTTCCCTCCCTCGCAGCTCCGCCAACAGCTCTGGTGTTGTGACATGGCGGTCTTGAGGGAGCGAGGGGTCCACGAGGACTTCTGCCTTTGCCGGACCGCTTTCCGGATCGAAGACCTGGGTGAGGATTTTGGCGTCGGCGGCGGAAAGCTGAGATGGCTTCATTTTGCTGGCTGAGGAATGTATCTGGTCGAGCGCGTGGAAATGTCAATACGACACGCGAGGGCATCCAAGTACATTTATTCCACGCGGCTCACATTTTCCCTTTGCGCAGCATGCCATCATTCGGCCTATTGCCACTTCGGCTGACGTTGGATTTCGCGGCGGCAGTCCACGGCTGAGACGCAAAGCCGAGCGTTGCACGTCATCACGTGACGTCTTAAGCCGAGAAAAGTGCATTTCAGAGCTAAGCCGCGCCGACAACATCTCGGCTCTGCCTCAAAACCGCACATTGTCTGACGGCAGATGACCAGCCGCTGCGCACGCAACGGGGATTGCGGGCTCATCAGATTGTGCTGAGTAGATGATGGATCCATATAAGGACTCCACTGCAGTTGAGTGTCTCCCTTTTCCTCCCACCATCTCTCCATCTCTCTCTCCTACTCTGTACACCGTCTCCATCTCATTCCCACCATGGCACCCGCTGTTCTCCTCCCCTCCGTCCTGACGGAGAATGGCCATTCTCTTCCCCTCTACTCCGACGGCGTCCAAAAAGCAGCCCAACAAGTGGACTACCGCGGCTACGACCACGTCACCTGGTGGGTGGGCAACGCAAAGCAAGTCGCCCAATACTACGTGACGCGCATGGGGTTCCACCCCGTCGCCTACCGCGGCCTGGAAACCGGCTCGCGCCACATCGCCAGCCATGTTGTAAAAAACGGCAACGTCTGCTTCGTCTTCACCTCCCCCGTGCGCTCTTCCACCCGTCAGACAGCCGTCCGCGCTGCCCCGAAGGAGCAGAAACTGCTCGATGAAATCTACGACCACCTCGACAAGCACGGCGACGGCGTGAAAGACGTCGCCTTCGAAGTGGACGACGTGCGCTCGCTGTACGAAAGCGCGGTGCAAAACGGCGCGCAATCCGTCATGCTTCCCCAAGAGGAATCCAGCGACGAAGGCAGCATCATCAAAGCCTCCATCCGCACGTACGGCGACACAACCCACACCTTCATCCAGCGCACCTCCTACCGCGGCGCTTTCCTCCCCGGCTACCGGGCCTGGAGCACGCCCAACGACCCCATCAACGCCTTCCTCCCCGCCGTCGACCTCGAGGCCATTGACCACTGCGTCGGCAACCAGGATTGGGAGCAGATGGAGGCGGCGTGCGATTTTTACGAGCAGTGCTTGGGTTTCCATCGTTTCTGGTCTGTCGACGATAATGATATCTGCACCGAGTTTTCCGCGCTCAAGTCGATCGTCATGGCGTCGCCGAATGAAGTCGTCAAGATGCCCATCAACGAGCCGGCGCACGGCAAGAAGAAGAGCCAGATTGAGGAGTACGTCGAGTTTTACAACGGCGCCGGCGTGCAGCATGTAAGTCATATCCCCTTCCCCCACTCCTAATTATCCACTAACATCACCCCCCCAGATCGCCCTCCGCACCCCCGACATCATCTCCGCCGTCACCAACCTCCGCGCCCGCGGCGTCGAATTCATCTCCGTCCCCGACACATACTACACCTCCATGTCGGCGCGCCTAGCGGAAGCCGGGCTCCAACTCAACGAGTCCTTCACCACCATCCGCGACCTCAACATCCTCATCGACTTCGACGAGGGCGGGTACTTGCTGCAGCTCTTCACGAAGCCGCTGATGGATCGGCCGACGGTGTTTATTGAGATTATCCAGCGGAATAATTTCGATGGGTTTGGCGCGGGGAATTTCAAGAGTTTGTTTGAGGCGATTGAGAGGGAGCAGGAGGCGAGGGGGAATTTGTAGGTCGTGAGGTGGGTTTCTCTAGACTAATGATTTGGGATGAGATATTGGTTGGGTTTGCATAAGGAGGCGAAGCTTGCATTTGGGTAAAAAGCCTTTTTGTTTCATGTCAGATACGATCATGAGGTCTATTCATCATATCAACATGTCGTCTTCATGATATCCATACAATCCTCCAAGCGCAGCCCTCGCGCCCAATTTATTCATCTTCGTCCTCACACCCCTACACCGTTTTTAACCACACCCACTTCCCACTTGACAGAACGTGCAACCACGCCAATCAACAAGCGAACGGCCAAGGCAGGCAATCACCCATAAACCCCCTCCAAACCACTCAAATTCATCGACGCCAAATCGCCATTCCCAATCCCGAAAAACTCAAACCAGTCCCCGATGTTCAGCGTCGTGGGCACGACAGGCCCACCAGCACTGCTGCTCGTGCTCCACTGGTCGTCGGGTTGCTGACCGCCCGCCGCACCAGCCATGGTGGTGGGCAGCTGGTTCCAGCCGTTCGGATCTTGGGTCTGTTGCTGTTGCTGTTGCTGTTGCTGCTGCTGTTGCTGAGAGTACATTTGGAGCTGTTGGCGGAAGGTGGAGGGGTCGGTGTTGGCGGGCGCTTGAGAAGAGAGGCCGGAAGGCGTGTATTGACGCTGACCGCCGTCGGCAGAAGCCGAATTATCGACCAGCGCCGGGTCGACGACCATGCCTTGTCCGGGAAACATTTCGTTCGCTTCCGGGGGAAAGAGCTGGCCGGGCTGGTAGTTTTGCCAGAGGTCTTCGGAGATTTTGGGCGAGTTGCGGGTGTGGAGGAACAAGTCGGGAGGCGTGCCGGGGTAGGAGAAGATGTTGGTATTGAAGGGGGTCATGGCTCGGCTGCCTGCTCGAGATGTGCCGAGCAGTGTATCGCCTTGTTTGGGGGATGGACTGAGCCCCGACGACCGTGGCATTTCCGGAGCGGCGGGGCTTTGCGGTCGCGATCTCTCATACGACATTTGCGGCGCGGGCGGACCGTTGGAATATCCGAATTCCATGTCTTCAAACTTCCGTTTCTTCTGGGCGTCCGCGGTTCCATTGCTGGGCGGCGGCGAGTCCTTGGCTTTGGCGCCGTTGACACCCTTTTTCTTGGTATGGCGTCGTCCCGCCGCTCTCTGAAGCCGCTCTTCAAACGCCTTGTTCCCCAGGATCGATTCGAAGAGTGTGTGGACCATTTTGGCGACCAGCCAGACTTTCGACACGTCGCGCAACGCCGTCATGCACGTGTTTAATCGCGTCTGGGTAGCGGCGACAATGGACTGGTTTGAGGAGCGCATCTGGTAAACGTGCATGATCAAGGCGGAAAACAAGCTGTACACACTGTATGGGGCGTCAGCATCTCAGTCCATCAAGTTGGCAATACCCGTACTCACATAAACGCGGGAGTGAAGCGCAACTGATCGTGATGTTGCAGAGCTTCGATGATTGACGTTATCATCCCTGCGGCCTGATAGGCGATGGTCCGCGAAGGATATGCCGTCTCTTCAGCGAATCCGTTACGCGACTCGGCTGTCCCAGCTGGTGGCATGTGCGCTCGGTGAAGAAGACACAGGGTGGTGCTGCAGGCCTGTTAGCGCCCTGTATAACAATAAGTTGGGAAAGGACGCACTAGTAGTTGGCATGCAACAGAGCAGACCAGAAGTGATGGCGATGTGGCTCCCACATCACCTCGGGCGGACAGTTCTTCAGCCAGTCGGCCAATGCCATATCGCTCGACATCAGGTCTAGAGCGTTATTGCCTCGGGCCTTGGAGTTGGCCGAGTAGTTTTGCGCGAGCACTAGCCCCATAATCTCGCACAGCTTGACGTAGTTGAGGTAGAATTGTACGTGAATCGGGTCCGGGTGGTATTCAGCCGGCCGATCGCCCTCATCATCGATAAAGTCGTCGGCGGTGATCATCTCCACGTCCGAATCCTCGATGTTGATGCAGCATGGTCGGCCGAGTGCGACAGCAACAGAGCGGTCGCGGGTGAAGAGCGTCCACCATATTCGCTTCCACAGGCGTTTGTCTGCTCTGCTAAGTTGAGATCCTTCCACGCTTCGTGGGGTTAGTACGTGCGTCGAACGGAAGAATATCGACCAGCTCACCTTCGATGCATGCCAGAGCCTTGTGCGACAATAACGGCCACTCTACTCCAGTAAAAGACGTTTTTGGTGACGTCTATGTCCACGTTAGCGTGGAACAACGTGCAGAATCAGCTTCAACCCTACCTTCAGGACCTTCCCAATACCAGCCCATCAAAATCAATGCCTGAACAATAGTCACCCGGTCATCCTCGTAATTCGCATCGAACAAAGCCTTTGCTCGCTTGTAGAAAGTCATGGCCGCAGGGGTGGTCGAGCCGTTTGCATCCATGAGTTGTGGGTTGGAACAGACACGCGAGCCCGCCAGGAGGATTGCCTGCAGGAGAAGCAGGGAAGGCGGATTCTTGGTATCGCGATACCGACGCATGAACTTGGAACGATTAATCACCGGTACGATGGGCGCAATCCACTGAAAGTAAGCTTCGACCAGCTCATCGCAAAGCGCACGGGGTGGGAGCAAGAAGGCGCCGCGTTGGTGCAGGATATCAATCTCGACCTGGTCCAGCTCATCCACGCGTGCTCGTGCGCCTCGCACATTCTCGGGGAGCGGATAGTGGACGACGTCGGTAGTCCCGTGGCGATCCTGGACGAGGAGAGATAGGTTTGAAGACTCGCCGAGGTAGGCCACGCGACCGGCTTCCTTGATGGGGGCGCGCGCGAACTTGGGTTTCATGTATTGCACCCACGTGCCGTTGTGCAGCTTCTGTTGCGCGGCATACGCCTCGGACACTTCGGTCTCGGGCATACCAGACGGGACATTGATTCCGATTGATTTCGGATCATAGCTAGGGTTGGTGGACTCGCGGCGGGGGAGGGTATCGCTCTGGACGCTGGGAGACAACTCCGGGTCGATGGCCGATCTATCCGCCGACTCGCTGTTAGAAGCAGTCAGCAGTGTCCCCAGCGAGTGATTGTCATGTTCTGCCTCTACCTGGCCTCTTTCTTCGCCGCCGTGCTCTTTTTCCGTTTGGCGGGGATCTTGCATTCGATTTGGAAGGCGACACAATTCGTGCAGGGAACACCGAGACTAGCGGCGTCGCAGCGGACCTGTAGTGTGGGAGTGGTGAGTAGGTGTGTCGGTAGACGAAACGAACGATTCAGAGGGTGAAGTACCTTGCGCGCATGGCATGTCTGTAGTTGTGTCTGTCAGTAAGAGCAGCATCGTCTGCATATAGGTATACGTACCTCGCAAGCTCGGGAAGCGCGCTGTCTGTGGTAGGGTTAGCATCGATTGCGTTTCCATCGCCATTCTCCCGAGCCATACCTTCTGAAGCTCGCATGGCCAGGCGTCTGCTCTTGAGGCGCGGGCGCAGTCGTTACGCCGGCCGGCAGAGTGTCCGCCATCTTCGTCACCACTGCTGTCCAGCAGGGAGATTCGTATGTATGCGAGGTCGTGGTATGGGACAGACGCAGACTAGTACATCAACAACACGGCTTGTCGAAGGGGTATGGCGGGGGGATGAGGACGTGGTGGGTGGAGTGAACAGATGGAGTCTCATGAACTCGCGCTTCGGCGCCTGGTCTGGATTCGGATTCGCCTCGGCGCAAATGGAGCAAAGCTACGCTCGGACCATCTCACCACACCCCACGCAACCCGCATCTCGCCGCTGACACCGGCCCTTGACGTAGAAATATGGAGAATGGGAGCGTGGGCAAATCACACAATACAAGAAGGCACGGTGGTATTTCGTGTAGCTGTCTCTCCAACAGTTCATTATGCTTCGTTGTCCGCGTTTTCACAGCGAGCTGTGGTCGATCCGCGAACGTGGCCTTCGAGGCATACTCGCTCCAATGTATCTGAAACCAAAGACGAGACTCTCGTTCGTCGGAGTAACTCAATCTGGTCCTCAGCTCCGGTCTCGATGTGATGTCGTAGTCTGTCGTCTCGGGCGTTGCGTCCATAACCCATAACCGCCATGAACCCAAAGATTCCAACGCTCAATCCCCAACTCCATCATTCTCGCCCAACTTCTTTCCAGCCGTCATATCCTCCGTACTCACCAACCCACCAGCCATCAAATACAACACGTCCGACCGCACCCCAGCCTCATCCTCCCCAAATTGACTCCGATCAAGCCGATACCCCACCCTCAAATCGCAGCGCCCGCACCGCACAAAGAAGCGCTTCTCGAAACCGTCGTCCAGCTTCAGCACGACTGCTTCCTCAGCATCGAGGGTAGAGCCGGAGAGCACGACGCCCGCGGGGACGGGCAGGTCGGATTTGGCGATTTTGCAGATGCGCGCGCCGTCGCTTTTCCGCTTCGGCAGGTTTTCCAGAGGCGTGAAGAGGGCCAGGACGAGTTCGGTGCAGATGCAGTGGTAGGTGTGGATGTGCGGGTCGGCCATGGCTGCTTCTTCCTCCCCGTCTCACGATTTTTGAGCGAGTGGAAGAAAGGGTGGTTGATGTCGATGGATGAAGTTGCCAAGGTTGACAGAGCTTGTGGCCTCAGGCATCTGTAGTGGTATCACGTGATATGTCCTGTGAATGCAGCGAGAATCAAGGCCTTGTGGTGAGGTCGAAGCGTCTGAACTACGTATAGATGGAGCGTCTTCCCCTCAATATCGATACAGCTTGAAGGCCATAACACATTGGCATTCCATGTCCTACCGAAGCAACAATGAAGTGACCAAGCTTCGTCTTGCTCTGCTCATCCCGCAGGAAAGCCACCATCTTCCACTCAACGCCCTCCATATGCCAGCTCTTGGTCATACGACACAAACATCCATCCTCTAACCCTCGAATCCATGCTTCTCCTTGAGCTTCTCCACCAGCTCGACATATCTCTTCTGCGCATCTTCGGCCGAGACGCCCTCATCATGAATCTTCTTCCACGCACCCTTCTTGGCTTTGCCCTGGATGAAAAACGCGAGCAGTCAGCACAGCTCAGCTACCGTCTCTGTACGGGCGGCTCGACAGCATAGCGCCGCCTGCTTTCGAGTCATGTATAACGACGTACCTTCAGATCAAACATGCCCGGGTTGGGGGAGTCCTCGAACGGCGGATCCTGCGAGCCCTGCTTGAACAGACCGTACAACTGTACAGACCAAGCAAACAAATTAGTCACACAATGCCAGCCGCGTGGAGTCCGAGAACAAGACGAACCTGCAGCAACTCATCATCCGATGGCTTCGCCTTCAACTTCCTGCTCTCCTCCACCGCCTTCTTAAACTCGGCTGATTGTTGGGCGGGCATGTTTGCTTCGAGTGGGAACTGCTGCTATGAATGGTGATTGGGAGTCTGGATTTTGACGTGGATTGGATTGTGGTGGGTGAGATTGTCTTGTTGCAAGCGTGCAGGGACACGACACGTAGTGCGAAGTCGCAAGTGTGATGAGTGATGTCAGTGTTAGTCATTCACATGCCCCCAGCCTTCAGCAACGAGTGCTGCTACGAATGAGATATCCTACTGTGCCGCTCCTTTTGCAGCAATAGATGCGTTTCGCCTCTGTTACGCAGGACGTACACGCAATATTTACAGGACGGCTGCTCATACGCATCAATCACCCCTTGTCGACTTTGATATGATCTCACGCTGCACGTGACTCTGACAACCATTTCTTCCACGAACTAGAATCCATTCAGATCTATTGCGACTCTCTATATTGGGGACGAGTGAACCCCCATGTATTCACATGCGTTCCCCTCCGAAACTGCTTGTACTTACAACTTATGCCCCGTCGTCTGCACCGCCTTTTTATAGCTCTCCGTCGCCTCACACTCCTGCAACCACTTCTCCACCGTCGGCAGCTGCCCCTTCTTCACCCCCAGCTCTCTCGCAATCACAAACGTGGCGGAGAAGTGCATCATGATGTCCGCAGCGGTGACTTCATCCCCCAGCAAAAACCGGCCCTTGCTCTGCTTCAGCGCCGCCTCGAGGAAGTCCATGTCCTTGCGGATGTTGCCGCTCATGCCCTCCTCCGTCTTGGCCACGTCGCCGTCCTTCTGGTGCCAGCGGGCGTAGAGGATGGTGATGCCGTGCAGCGCCCACGTGGCTTCTGCGGCGTGGATCCATTGCAGCACCTCGTAGCGCTTGGGGTTGCCGACGAGGGGCAGCAGGCGGCCTTGCTTGTCGTAGTTGTCGCAGAGATATCTATGTCAGCAGAGTCAGTCTAACCTATTCTCGCCCTATCGGCATTCATCCAGAATCGAGGCAGGGGATCCCCGGCAAGGCTGCGTGCATGCCGCTTATTCAGACTTACTCAGTGATATTGCCACTCTCAAATACCGTCGTCTCGCCGTCCTGCAGCGTGGGAAACTTGCCCAGCCCACCGGCAGCAGTCTTGAATGCAGGAGGCGCCACCCCGTTCTCCCGCTCGGAGAACTTGACGGCGTACCTCAGCCCCAGCTCCTCGAGAAGCCATGCAGAGCGGATGCAGCGCGAAGCCTGCAAGAACCACAGCGTGATGGGCGGCATGACTGCTTGTCTTTCTTTCTAATGGGGGCGGGGGCGACGGCGAGCTCTGCTCTCTGGAATCTTTGCTTTCTTTTTGGGATCCTTGATCGCTGTCGATCTCCTTCTCTGTACAATGACTCGTTATTCGAGCAAATATCGAACCGCGTGATGTCTTTGCTCGTATTGATGTTTGCTTTTTTCCCTCGCCTTTTCCAGACGATGCCTATACTACATTCGGAAAAGAAAAATGCCACACCAATTGCGTCACAGCATGGTGAAGATCCCCGGAGGTGGACACCAGCGTTTGATCGTCGGGCCGCTCGAGTCAGGCACACCTTCCCGCCCGCGCCAACAGACTTTCCAACTTATTATGCACACAGTCTTCCAAATCACCCCTCATAGCTCCCGGCCTCTTGGCGCAGCAAGAGATCGACAAGGGGTGGGGGGGGGGGCAAAAGGATGTGGGGAGCTCTAACGAACCTCCGAAAGCTCTCCCCCGCCCGCGCGATGCGCGGTTCATGGATGGAGATGGTCGGTGGGGTCTATCCGACATCCTTCCCCCTTGCCTCGGCGGGCGCAGGGAGCGGGTCAGCGGACTTCCGGAGTTATGCATTCCTCACCCCCCTATACACGGGTGATGAATGGGGCGACGGAATGGAGATTTTGGTAAGGACCAAACAGTAAGTATCGCATGGAACCTAGGTACGCACAGAGAACCGGTTGGACACAATGATTGGAACCAATGAAGGAGGCAAGGGAAAAGTCAACGCAGGGCAAGCCAGACATAGATGTACATAGATGGGTATAGGATATTAATATGGGGGGCGTTGCCATTCCAAAGGGAGAACAACAACAGCTACATTAAAAAAAGGAGCTTTCACATATCGACATCCAACCAGCGAACGCGCGAGTAGAGGGCCTCCTCCTTCCGTGCTTCCGTGCGAAGGCATCGCCAAAAGTGTGAAGTCGCGACCGCGCAATTCTCACTCGACTCGGGGGGTATTTCAAAAGAGACTGCACGCGCAAACACAAGGCAAACAGAACAGACGCCACGCCTCTGCTTTCCGCGTTCTGATGCTTTGCGCGATTTAAGCCTCGGACCGTTCGCGGGCGCGGTCGCTGGCACCCTTGATGAGGTGGGACAAGTCGACGACTGGTGGAGGGTTAGTAATGAGATGGGGGTCAAAAAGTGGCGGCTGTGCACCTACCGGGAAGGGAGAAGGGGAAGTCGACGGCGGCGAGCAAGATGGCGATAACCAGGTACCAGCCGAGAACGTCAATGACAAACGTAAGGGCACCGGCGGTCACGAGCAACTCCGGCTTCATGATGCCCTTGGCGGCGTTCCAGTAGTAGCCGCAGAGACAGCCAAAGGATGGGACGAGGAGCAGGAAGATGAGGACGAAGACCAAGTTGGTGCGGAGGGCGATGAGCAGGTAGACGAAGCAGAGCACACCCATGAAGACCAGGATGAAGGCTGGAGGGTAAATTAGCTACGGTGATCCAAGGACACTTTTCAAAACTCACCCAAGCTGGAGGCGAATTCGGCGCTCTTGAGGCCACCGGCAAGAGTGCCATTGGTGGAGTAGTTCGAGATGGCACCAGTGTAGGGGGTCAGAGTCAAGGCAAAGGCGGTCCAGAAGCCACCGAAGGAGATGAAGACAGTAGCGGGGAAGGTGTTTCCGAGAACCCACTCGCCGACACCGCCCAGGTACATGCAGACGGCGCCGAAGCCGATGTAGAAGCCAATGCCGGCGGAGCCGGTGCTGGGACCAGAGCCTCTCAAGCCCATGAGATCAAAGGACAATGGGGAGAGGGAGAGCAAGAAGCCGACGAGCGCGCTTCAGACGGGGTTAGATTGGGAACATGGTTAAGCAGCCAGAGGGGGGTAAACATACACTGGGGTCGGGTTACCGACAGTCTTGCGAAGCTCACCGGCGACCTTGTTCTGCGGGGAGAGATAGATCTTCTCGAAGAGCTCGGGCGAGATGGACAAGCTGCCCGTGGTGCGGATCTTCCTCAACGCATCTTCGGGGTCATGGTTGCTGTCGAGGTGGTAGCCTGTCCGACATGTTAGCCACATCAACAAACACAGCCCGATGCCGCACGAGTGCAGCACGTACCCCCGTTGTTGTTGGCGTGGTCTTGGCCGTCCGACATGATGATGGATCAACGACGTGGAAGGAGTTGAGATGTTGTTGCGCTGGGGTGATGGAAGAATAGAAGTGACCGGCAGAAACGACTCGGGATCAAGAGACACGAGAGCAGAGGAAGAGAAGATGCGAGCGCGGGCAAGCGAGGGATATTATTGTGCTTCGGAGTTCCGGCGCGAAAGCAGCACGGCTCCGCACGCTTCCTGTGCTCCCTAGGCCCGTTCGCACATCATCAAACAAGCGATCGGTGATGGACGTGCACACGCTCGCGCCATCGCCTCTCCCCCATCCCCCCAGAGCTTGCCCGCGCTGCTCTGGCGCCTTGTGCATCTCAAGCTCTCCGGAAGCGGAAAGCGAAGCAGATGGGCCAAGCGGGTGTGCGGTTGGTCGGGGCCCCACTCCTGGCCTGGGGACGGGCAGGGCCTCCTACGTAAACAAAGCAACATCGGGTTGTGCGGCTCGCGATTTGCTCGAAGCTCGTTGGCCGATCTCCATATTCGATACGCGCTAGCGGCTGCCGCTAACGCCTCAGTGGGTACCAACCGAGCAGCACGGACGGAAGGAGGGCCGGGAAGTGACTGACCGATGCTGCGCGATGACGGCCGAGTTGCGGGGTGAAGCTGGGGTAGGGCCAATCCTGCGCCCGGCCCCGGTCGTCTCCAGCACCGCGGTCCTTCCTCTTTGGGCGCATGCCATTCATGTGATCCGCTGATGTATGATGCTGAGTTCCACCGCGCGCGCGTCGGATCATCGCTGGGGCGCCGCCGCCTGTGTCACTCGGCGCTCTCCTTGCACACTGCATCGGGTAACTTGGTCCATCTCGTCCCCAAAACGGCTGGGCGCCGAGTATGGGGTGCACTGACCTACCACGAACGGCGATCCAATCAGTGTGAGTGGCTGGGTAGTAAATGAATGGTATTAACTTCCAACGGTTTCAATGGTCGACTACACTGCTGTATGGCTCGAATCGCATCGAGCTGGGCGAATGGAAATTTGACAGTTGGAGGACAAAGTACGTACCGTGTGTACTTGGTACAATATTGTGTACCCAGTATACCGACGGGCTGTTGCTGCATATAAACCCAATCCAGTGTTTCGCAGTTGCGCGGTGTTTCATGGTGAGCAGGGTCTATCAAGGCGCGTGCGAGTAAGCACTGCATCTGCCCGAACGGATCTGTGGCACGCGAGTGTGTTCTTTCTGTCGCACGCGACCAGTGTCACGGCGTCCATCAATCAGTAACTCCAGTATCGTGGTTAACTCGCACCGAGCGCCACCACATTCCGGGGAACCGCGTGGAAATTGCTGTCTCAACCGGCGAGTAGGCGGTGACAAAGGTACATTGTCCTCAGCGGCGCTGATCGCAAGCTGTCGCGCTGCAAGTCGAGACCTTTGGCGCAGTTGAAACGCGTAGCCCCGTATCGCTGGGCCTTGTTGTAGTCATCACGTGTTTGTCTGTTGATGCCTCACAACGCAAGGCCAACCTCCGCCGATCGCTGCCGCCTGATGAGGCAATCAAAGCTCAACTCGTAGTCCTTCACACACAAGCCTCATGAAGAAGACGACTCACCGAAGCCTCATGATGAAATCAACTCGCTCCACTCTCCCAAACAAACAATAAGCCAAAAACAAAATGCATTCCGACGGAGGCGGAGCCGGCGCCGACGCAGGAGCAAGCCACTCGCACATCGACTCATCAGTTCACTCTCATCCAGGCCAGCACCACCACATCCACCACCAAGACCCACCCATCTACACACACGTCGACGACACAAGCGCAAACCACGCGTACGGCAGTATTCCGTATCAATTGCACGCTGTGAGGCGCGAGGAGGAACGGCCGTGGCCCGAGGACGATTTGAGGTTCTGTGGGGCTGTCGCGCTCCGGATCTTAATTTTTCTGGCGATTGCCGTGGGCATGTATCTCCTTTCGCGGCAGTGGGATGGTTGGGGTAGGCTGGGGCCAGGATGAGAGGGGCAGTCGGACTTGGAGGTGCCGTTTCGGACGCGATGACTTGATGTTTGATGAGGATGAGAGCCCGCTACCTCTGCAGCCGTGTCATGAATGACGATCTCCTGATGCTGCCTAATGCAATGCAATGCGATACTCGCTTGGCCAAACCATGGATGCAAATGCCGTCGTCTCTCCATAATATCATCGCTCGCTTCAACCAAGTCCCAAGCTCCTAGCAGAGCCCTCACTCGCACTCTCCACGCTCACCTCGTGCGGATTGGGGTAATAGAAAGCGGTAATAGCAATCAAAATGTACACAAACACGCACAGCGCGCCCTCGAGGTAATCCGACTTTTCGTCCCTAAGGAAGTTGCCGACGACGATGATGGCGAGGATGAGGACGACGGAGTCGAAGAGCTGGAAGTTCAGGTCCATGTTAGTGCCGAGGCCCCAGCCGACGAAGACGACGAGCGGCGTGTTGAGCAGGGCGGTCTGGATGCTGGCGCCGAGGACGTGCGCGAGGGCAAAGTTCATTTGGTTGTCGTAGGCTTCGTCCATGGCGGTCAGGTGCTCGCTGGCTTTCTCGACAATGGGCACGAGGATGAGGCCCATGAAGTGGTCGCTGACGCCGCGCTCTTTGACCACGTATTCGATTTCGGAGACGAGGATGACGGCCATGAAGGCGACGAACATGATGGCAATGGCCACGGCCGCCAGCGACTCGGTCAAGGTGAGCTTAGGCCTTGCTAGGTCGCGGTGCCGGTCGTGATCCCGCTCCTCGTCGGCTTCCAGAATGTCTTCGTACAAGCCGTGGTGAGATCTACTCTGAAACCAGACGTACATCAGAAAGGCTACAATGAGGATCACGGCGGCGGCGTAGGAGATTTGTCGCGTGTTGTGGATGAGTTGGGTGAGGGAGATTCGGTAGTCGATGTCGGCGATCTCGATGGGGTCGCGAGCATTGTTGGACAGAGCGTTGAAGTAGACGGACGGGATGATCAGGCCCATGCCAGCGACGAGCATAAGATTACTACCCACTTCGCTGATTGCTTCGTGGAAGACCTGTTGAGGGTGAAAGATGCCGCCAACAAAGAAGCAGACTCCTGAGAAGGTTTAGCGCATTGGACTCGTTGGGGATGTGGGAGAAAACACGCACCGAGGCAGAGCAGCATGTTGCCCAGAATCGATCCCAAAATCGCCGCCTGGATGACAGGTATATTCTTGTCCCCATGGCTGATGAGCACCATGAACAGGATAATCTCGACCAGACTGCCCAGCGTCGTTTCCAGAATCACTCCAATGACCTTTGGAATCTTTCTCGCCAACTGCTGACCAGCGAATCCAAGCAGATTCGCCGGCGGCACCATGCCAATGTAGGCCGTGACAAAGATCCAGGTAGGATGGTTCTTGTAGTTGAAGTAGAGCACGAGCGCGGCGATGGTAAAGGGCCAGAGCAGGTTGGTCCATTGCGACACATGGCTCGAGCTGGTCCAGCAGATGCGGAAGAAGTGAAGGGGGTGGAACCACTTGCGTCCGCTCTCGCCGTCGTGAGCGATGCTGTAGCGGGAGGAGGATGTGCGGACGGGCTCGAGTTGGGGCGGTGCGTCGCCTCCCTCTCCGCGTTCGACGTTCTCTTGCTCTTGCTCGGGGTTGCTGGCCTTTTCATCTTTGGGCGGGTAGGTCTTGCGTTTGAAGACGCTGATGCCCGTGCTTCTCTGCCATGGTGTCGGGTGGGCGGTGTTGTCTTGGCTGCTGCTCATTTCTCGTGACAGGAGGGTGGGAGGCGCTGCTGTTTAAGCCAAACGCACAGGATGTGAAGAGTTGGCGGTAAGGGAGTGAGGTTAGGTGGCCGGTCATCCAGAACTTGCGGAGCGGAAGAGGAGGCGGTGATAGACGACGATGCGTAGGAGTGAGGGACGATGAGAAAGATGAAAGGCCGGGATGAGCATGACCTGCCCCCAACTTACCCGTGCAGCGCAATTCCTGCTTTGGCGTCTACTACTGCATGCATGTGCCCCGTTGGCATCGCCAAGTTGCGCCAAGACTTGGGTGTAAGGGAGCAGGAGCATTGGAGAGGTTGATGCGGCGGCAAGCTTTGAAAAGTCGCCGCGCGGCTGTACCCGCTGAGAAGCATTCGCCTTCACTCTCCTTTCATTCCGCGGATTCTGATTGACAATGTTGCGTGTTTGTAGCATACAAGCATACACAGCAGATCAACAATTCCACACATCTACACACACTCCCGCTCAAGAGACGCCTGCCAGACCAGTCCCTCCTTTCCAGCTCAAACGCCTGCCGAAATGCGTGAAACATGAATACATGATGAATCGGGATTACCGATCGTCCCCTTGTACAGGCCTGTAAGTCCACCTCTAGTCTTTCCACCTCGCCAAAAACTTCGCCATGTCGTCACTCGGATTGGGCGCGGCGGCAATCTGTAGCAAACCCACGTCAGTCTCAGTCTGCCATCACGTCAATCATACAAAACATACCGTATTCTGAATGCTCTGCACGCTGAACGTCTGCGCCTGCGTGTATGTCGTCAAGATGCTCGCGGGCGGCAGTTTGGTCTGCGCAATGTTGAAAGCACTCGTGGGGAACAGAGGCGTGGGGTTGTTCGCAGTGATCTGAGTGGGCGGGACAGGCTGCATCGGAGCATACCTCGCCAGGCCCGTCTGCAGGTTGTAGGGAATGGAGAACTCTGCTGCATCTTCAGCGGGAGTTGCTGCTCCTGCCGGTGCCGCTGCCGCTGGGGTGGTGGTGTGTTTTCCCTTGCCTCCTGCTGGTGTATCGGCGTTGGGCGTGACATCGTCAATTGTAGCTGGCCCAGCTGTGCTCCCACCCAACGCATTCACTTGCTTGACGTATACGGCGGCGGTGGTGCCCGTCATGCCGGTAATGGTGAAGCGGCCGGAGTAATTTGTCACTGTACCGCCATCTTTGGCCGTGGAGATCATCTGGAGGTAACTGCAGAGGGGAGACAGTATTAGCCCGGTATATCTTCCTTTACTGTTGTGTAGCACCTCACTTACAATCCATTTGTGAGACTACTCGCGAGAGCAGGTGAGATTGTGCCCGTGGCCTCATTCCCGGCCGTAAACGACCCTTGCGCGGCCCCAATGTTTATCAGAGGTTGCTATACAATCACATCTCCTGTCAGCTCATTTGCAAGCACCGTGCACCGCCCTCACAGAGGTGCGCAAGAGGCAGAACCACGTACAGCATCAGCCACAACATTTCCCCCAACAATCAACTGCAGCGTGTAGCTCTCCAATGTACTGATCAGCGGCGCCGTCCCTGACTCCTGCCATTGGACAGTGATGGCGCCGGCGGGTATTGATGCGCCAGCGGCGGGAGATACGAATTCGACGTCGGCGAGGGCGAAGGGGGAGAGGGCGAGGAGGGTGGAAAGGAGGCCGCACCTCATGGTGGGCAGACGCGGCAGGAGGTTCGAATGGATTCGTGCAGGGCGAGAGATCGGGATTGACAGTGCGAGCCGATGGCTGCTTTCGTTGGGACGGGCGCGAAGGAGAGGGAAGATTGGCGACTGATGTTGAGGTTCGAGACTGGGATCGTAAGTGCCAAGACTAGACGATGCAGGAACAACAGGAGCGGCAGTGGCGCTTCCCGAATGAGGTTAGCTGTCCAAACTCAATTGCACGTGACAGAAAGTCTTCAGTCTGCTTTATCGAAGTTTGATGTCTCTCGGATCCACACTCTGCATTATATATACTACTCGACTACTAGATCTATACTCAGTGCCCATACTAGATTGTCATCCGACAACACTCAGTCGAACTTCGTAAAGGCCAACTCATAAGCCAGGCCGAGAGTCAGTCGGGCATGCTGCAGCATGTGGTCAAAGTCCAAGTATTCCACCTTGTCCTCCGTGGTGTGAATCTTCTTGTCCGAATACTTAAAGTCACTTTCAATGACAAACGCACTCGGATAGCCGGCCTTGCTCGCGCTCGCATGGTCGCTGCAGGCGTAGCCGCACTTCGTCTCGATGTATGGGATGGTGCAGTAGTTGGTCACGACCTTCTTGATGAATTCGGTAAGGCCGGGATCGACGTAGTCCATGATGACGCCGACAGACTCCGGCTCGCCAGCCTCGAGGGTGCCGTGAGTGTATCCCGTCATGTCTTGCTGCAGCATGGCTTTCACATCCCTGCCCTCCTTCTCATAGGCGGAGAAAATGGCCTGAGAGCCGAGCAGACCGCCCTCTTCCGCGCTGTACCAGTGGAACTCAAGAGTGTTTTCCGCCTTGCCGTGCAAGATGTCCTTGTCGTGCAGGAGAGCCGTCAGCGCTTCCAGGATCGTCACTGTGCCGCTTCCGTCATCATCCGCGCCGGGTGCTGCGAGAATGGATGGGAGGAAGAGATTAATGGAGTCCTGATGAGCACCAATGACGATAGTCTTGTCGCTCTTGCCGGGCAGTGTGGCGATGATGCTGCTCTGCGCCCAGTCGTGCTTGAAAGCCACCGCAACACCGGCTCCAGCGTTGGTCAGAGTTTGATTGACCTGCTCCAATAACCACTCCGAGGACTGCCTCCCCCAATCGGACTTGTAGTATCTCGTGTGGAAGTCGGAGAAGGTGACCAGATTCGAACGCATGTGGTCCTTGTCCAGATGCTTCAACAGCTTCGACACAGTCTTGTTGTGCTCGATGTGCTTCGGGTACTTGACCTTCTTCGCAGCACTGACCCGGTTCAGGCCCAGTTCCGGCGTCTGGGTGATGTCGAAGAAGTTCTTGCCCTCTCTTCTTAGCGCCCATTTCTCATCCTCCGTCACCCATCTCACATCGCCCGGCGCGAGCTCGATGGCGTACCGTTCCGCCTCGAAGAGGGGCGTCTGTGCCTGGAAGCGGGCGAGAACGTCCTGGATGCCGGATGGAATGGACAGAGCTTGAGACAGCGACGCGCCGGCGAGGGCCGTGAGAATGACGGACGACTTCATAATGGCGAGGGAAGGAAGGATCCAAGACAATGCAGGTGTGTGTAGGTGTGCGGAGGAATGTGTCGTTGCCTGAACGTCAAGGTCGCATGTCATGCGCATGATCGACGTAATCCGGCTTAAAACGGTGGCGGGGCCTGACGAATCACAAGCTGGCGAGTAAGGAAGGCGCAAGATTTAGGAAAGTGCTCTCCACACCGCCGATATCGCAGCAAGAAACACATTTCAGGTGTCTTGTCCGCCGTTTGTGTTGTTCAACTCCCCATCCCCCTCCTCCCTACGTTACGAACCCTGATTATCAGTGTCAATCAAGATGCCTGGAGCTGTAAAAGGGCCTCAGACGCTGTAAGACGCCATTCCCATCGCGAGCCCACTTATGAGTGTCGGTACTGACCCATTACATCACCGCAGCTACGACAAAGTCTTCGAAAGCCATATCGTCAACGAGCAAGACGATGGCACCATCCTCTTGTACATCGACCGTCACCTCGTGCACGAAGTGACCTCTCCCCAAGCCTTCGAAGGCCTGACCAACGCCGGTCGCAAAGTGAGGAGGCCCGACTGCACCCTCGTCACCACCGACCACAATGTGCCCACCAGCCCACGCAAGAACTTCAAGGGCGTGAGCGACTTTGTCAAAGAAGAGGACTCGCGCATTCAATGCGAGACGTTGGAGCAGAATGTCAAGGACTTCAAGCTCACCTACTTTGGCCTGGGAGACAAGAGGCAAGGCATTGTCCACATCATTGGTCCCGAGCAGGGCTTCACCCTTCCCGGCACCACGGTGGTGTGTGGTGACAGCCATACCAGTACCCATGGAGCCTTTGGAGCATTGGCTTTTGGCATTGGCACCAGCGAGGTGGAGCACGTCCTCGCAACGCAGACCCTCCTTACGAACCGCAGCAAGAACATGCGCGTGCAGGTCGATGGCCAGCTCGCGCCTGGTGTGAGCAGCAAGGACATCATCCTCCATGTCATTGGCAAGATCGGCACAGCCGGTGGCACTGGGCACGTAATCGAGTACTGTGGAAGTGCCATTCGCGACCTCAGCATGGAAGCACGCATGTCCATCTGCAACATGAGCATCGAGGGTGGTGCACGTGCCGGCTTGGTGGCTCCGGATGAGACGACGTTTGAATATCTCAAAGGCCGCCCGCTCGCACCCAAGCCCGACAGCGCAGAGTGGAGGAAAGCCGTCAAGTACTGGGAAAGCCTGCGCACCGACGACGACGCCAAATTTGACGTGGAGATCTTCATCGATGCGAAGGACATCGAGCCGACCGTCTCCTGGGGCACCAGCCCTCAAGATGTTGTTCCCATCACCGGCGTTGTACCCTCTCCGGACGACTTCAAGGACAAGAACGGGAAAGAGGCTTGCGAGCGTGCTTTGAAGTACATGGGATTGACGGCTGGAATGAAGATGACCGACATCGAACTCGACAAGATCTTTATTGGATCGTGCACGAACTCCCGGATAGAGGATCTTCGCATCGCGGCGCACATTGTCAAGGGCAAGAAGATTGCTCCCAACCTCAAAGAAGCCATGATCGTCCCTGGCTCGGGTTTGATCAAGAAACAAGCCGAGGCTGAGGGCTTGGACAAGATCTTTACTGACGCCGGATTCCAATGGAGAGAAGCGGGGTGCTCGATGTGTCTTGGAATGAACCCCGACATGCTCTCCCCCAAGGAGCGATGCGCGAGTACGAGCAATCGTAATTTCGAAGGTCGTCAAGGTGCTGGCGGCCGCACGCACTTGGTGTCGCCTGCCATGGCTGCCGCGGCCGCTTTGGCTGGTAAGCTGGCTGATGTTCGGAAATTGGACGACTACGAGCAAGCTTTGCCAAAGTCCAAGTCGGCGCCATCCCACATCAAGCCCGAAGTCGATGAGTCGGATTCGGATGTCGACCTCGACAAGATTCTCGACCAACCGGAAGATGGCACGGGCAATACGGTCAAGACGGGAGCGCCGTCCACCGGTGGCATTGCACCATTCACCCAGCTCAAAGGAATTGCGGTTCCATTTGACCGAAACAACATTGACACCGATGCAATCATTCCCAAGCAATTCCTCAAGACCATCAAGAAGGCGGGTCTGGAAAAGGGTCTTTTCTATGCGTGGCGTTGGAATGAGGACGGAAGCAAGAATGACAGCTTCATCCTCAACAAAGAACCCTACACCAAGGCCAAGATTGTGGTGTCTTACGGCGAGAACTTTGGCTGTGGAAGCTCTCGTGAACACGCACCCTGGGCCCTGCTGGATTTTGGCATCAAGTGCCTCATCGGCAAGTCGTTTGGCGACATCTTCCGCAACAACACCTTCAAGAACGGCATGCTGCCCATTGTCATTGAGGACGACAAAGCGCTGAGACAAATCTATGATGACGCCGTCGCCGGCAAAGAAATCGAAGTGGATTTGGAGCAAAACTCGATCAAAGACGCGGACGGCAAGGAAATCACCAAGTTCGAAATCGACAGCTTCCGACGCCACTGCTTGATCAATGGCCTGGACGACATTGGCTTGACGATGGAGAATGGGGACAAGATTGCCAAGTTTGAGAAGAAGCGGTCGGAGGAGACGCCGTGGTTGGATGGCAGTGGGTATTTGAGTCGGCATCGTACTGGGGCTGTCAAGGTGGAGGCGGCGCCGGTACCGAAGACGAATCGCGGGGAGGTGAAGGAGGAGCCTTTGCAGTGGTAGACGGGGGTGAAGACTATGTGACGCTGGGCAAAATATAGTGATGAGTGTGTCAGGTTTGAACAAGTATTGTCTCATTCACGTCCATCAGTCAGTTGATTGCATCGAGTTTGCGTGTTCAGAGTGAATGAACTGGGGGGACGAGCAGGTGAAGTCGACGGCAAATCATTTAGCCGAGCCGGGCGACGCCGCCTTCGTTGGACTTCCATCGTCCACATCATCACACTACCTGCAACTCACGCCCAGACGTTGCCATCCCTGCCAACCATCAATCCAACGGCGCCAAAATCCGCACACTAAAGTCACCTAAAGCCCTTGTCCTCTCAGTAATCGACACCCGCCTGGGACCTCGCGAGCAACAGATCTCCCCGGAGATCAGAGACAAACCTGGCCACACGATCCCCGCTCACACGAGCACTGCCCAGCACCCCAAGAGACCCACGCAGCCTCATCCGGCACATCGCGCGCCTCCTCAAAATGGCAGAGGGCACATCCACCTCGATCAACATCCCGCAGCTCATCGCGGTCGCGCTCGTCGGCTTCCTCGCCATCCGCTGGTTCCTCAACAAACCCTCCACCACCACCACCTCCTCCTCCTCCTCCTCCACATCGCGCGGCCGCAGTATAGACGTCAGCAAAGTGGAGCAGGTGTCTGCTATGTTCCCGCAGCTGGACCGGAGGACGATTGCGTGGGATTTGCATCGCAATGGGGGGAATGTGGCGGCTACGACGGAGAGGGTGTTGGCCGGGCGTGGCCTGGAGAGTCCGCCGCCTTCGTTTCAGCCGAATTTGCCTTTGCCGGCGGGCAGCTCGTCTACGACCGGCGCGGGGGCAGCGGGTGGTAATGGCGGTGGTGCGGTCAAGAGACATAATGCCTTCGGCCAGCCGGATCTGATCACGAGGTACAATTTACAGTCGCGGATTAGTGGGAAGGGCAAGGAGGCTGTGCCGAGCGAGGAGCAGCAGCGGAATGCATGGAGTGCGGATAAGAGTGCGCGGGCGGAGGGGCTGAGGAAGAGGAGGGAGGAGATGATTCTGGCGGCGAGGCGGAAGATGGAGGCGAGGGATGGGGAGGAGACGTGATTGGGGTGTTGCTGTTGTGTCTACTGCGTTTGGTTTGAATGTTCTTTGGGTCAAGCGTTCACCGATTCATGAGAGTTCAGAGGAGGAGGGCTCTGCTCTGCTCTTTGAGTGTGGCCTTGATTGAGGCTGTTCTTCTCACGATGAAGGACGACGTATGCACTCCTTCACTAGACTACGCACTCGCACATCCACTCTTCTCTCTTGATTGACCATCTGTGTCTCATCTAGCCGTGAACATGACGTGTCTCCAACCGTTCAGCCTTCTGAGTTTCGCCGCAACTTAGCGCTAGCGAGCTGCAGGTCGCGACGCCAAGCCATCCATGCTGGCGCGAGAGGCCGACTTCTGCTCACCCCACATGGCAAAGTGAACACCACACCTGCATCCTCGACATCTCGTCTTCCCATATCAATACCTCTCCCGACACCTTCACCCTCTCGAATTCGGTATTGTCCCACCGAGGAACCTTGTGCGACTTGACGCGATCCACCGGCGCGGTGAATGGCAGATGAGTGTTGACGCAATTCGGTGACTGGGAGGGAAGGAGCGATGAACAATCGCACAGGTATGTTTCGCCCTCGCCTCTCTTCACATCCTTCATCCCTCCGCGCAAGCCCACCAGCACTGCACCTCGCTTCTCTCACTCCTGCCATGGCCGCCGCACACACTTTCCCGAGGAAGCGCAGGCGCAGACCAGAGTGGAAGTCGGCCAACGACCTGCTAGCCCACGACGCATACCACGCCACCTCCGACGCAGAAGCTGACATTAGCGGCAATGAAGCAGGAACGGCCGCCACACAGCAACAACAGCAACAACAACAGCAACACCAACCCATCCGATCCGTCAATTCCCCCGCCATGAACTCCTACGCCGCTTCACAAGCCACCTCTCGTCCCACGCCGCGATTACAGAACTCGCAGAAGCCGCCGCTGGGGAACGGTACGGGAGGCTGGGGTGGTTTCGGTTTGCAGGCATCACCAGCCGGAGGAGGAGGAGCGGCGACAACACCAGGAGGAGGAGCTGCTGCTGCAGGAGCGTTTGCGGGACTTGGTGGTGCGGCGCCTGGATTGGGTGCGCAACCGCGTCCTGGAGCGCTGTCTGGCTTTGCGCAGGTCATGGGTGGTGGGAACAGTCAGGGCCCGATTGACATGAGGTGAGTTGTTCCCGGACATGCGAGACGGAGCCGGCGGGTATCTGCATGTTTTGGCTCTGCGCGCGTTTGCCATGCTCTTCCTCTTCTGCACAAACCCCTCCACTTGCAACATGCTATTCATCTGCACTGAAGTGAGATGACGAAAATGGCTCGCTCGCGGAGGGGAAAACGCTCTGTCGTCTTTCGCGCGGCGTCGCGAGTACCCTCTCCGATTCCTCACACGAGCCCCTCGCTTCTTGATCAAACGCGGTCGCTGAACGCTGACGTCTCTTCTTTCAGCGATTTCCCCAGCCTCTCTGGAGGCCCGAGACCGCAACAAAGTAATCCAAGCTCCGCGGCAGGCTGGAATAGCACGGCCATTCGACATCCCTCTGCGCCGCAGCAACAACAGCAGCAGCAGCAACATCCCTCTCAGCAAAGAGTCCCCTCGACAGCACCCTCTCAACAATCTTCCGATCATTACGATCCTCATCGCCCGCAGCATGCATCGGGAGATCGACCTGAAGACTTCCCACCGCTTGGTGGGCAGTCGAATGGCGATGGCTTTGCCCAGTCCAACGGATTCACCAGCGACTATGGCTCTCCCGTTGTCCAGCAGTCCCGCACGAGCAGCCAACCCGGTCAACTACCCATCAGAGAAGGGAGCGGAGTCTACCAATCCAGTCAAGCGCCTCCCATGCCTCACCTTCAATCACCACACAGTACCCAGGCACACCAAGCAACTCCCGGCGCGAAGAAATTTGGCGATCTGACTGCCAGCGAGAAATGGAGCTTACCGGGCCTAATGGCTGCCTTTGAGTCGAGGAAGAACGTTGAAAATGGTGGCCAAGGGGACGACACGCTTCCCCTCGCCATGCGCAGCGCCGTCATCATGGGCCATGATTTGACCTCTCTAGGACTTGATCTCGACTCTCCTGAACCCCTCTACCCTACATTCACTCCCTTTCAAGCGGTAGGCAGCTCAGGATCCTCCCTCGACTTTCACGACCGCCACATCATCCCCGACTTTACCCTCCCCAGCGCCTACACCGTCACCAACGTCCCGCCACTCACCAGTCGAATGGGTACATTCAACGACGGTAAGCCATCCACACCCACCCCTCCATCTCAATCTCACTAACCCCTCCTAAAGAAACGCTCTTCACCATCTTCTACCAACACCCCCGCGACGTCCTGCAAGAACTGGCCGCGCACGAGCTCATCAACCGCGACTGGCGCTGGCACAAAGTCCTGCACCAATGGCTGCAAAAAGACACGCGCGACTCCCCCACCACCGCCTCCCCGCTCATGCTCGTCGACCTGACCAACGGCGCCCCGCTCGGCGTCCCGCCCACCCGCCTCCCCGGCGACCGCGGCGAGCGCGGCGTCTACATTTTCTTCGACGCGATGAACTGGCGGCGCGAGAGGCGCTTGCTCGAGCTCGATTATGAGAGTTTGGATCCGCCTAGGGTTGTGGGGGGTGCCGGGGGTGCGGGGCCGTCGGCGCTGGGGTTGGGCAGTGCGCAGCAGTTGCAGATTGGTGGTGGAGGGCAGCAGAGCGGAGGTGGGGTAAGTGGCGGCGGCTCGAGTCAGATTCTCCCGTCGTAGAATGGGCGGAGGAGGGCGAGTGTCGTGCCGGAGGAGAGGAGGCGCGTCCTGCCCGTGTGGGATGTGGATCGGGAGGAGTGCGAGGCGCTTCGGGAGGAGTACCGCGCGGCGTTCAGGGCGAGGGGAGAGCCGGTGCCGACGTTTGGGGAGGAGTTTAGGTGAGGTGGGTGGATTGTCTCTATCGACTGTTTATTCGTCGATCCATCCATCCACTGTCAAATGCCAAACGTGTTGGAGCTATGTCTTTCTTCCATCTCCCAAACGAGCGCTGTGCGAAGATACACAAGTCTTTCTCCTCCCTTCTTACAAAATCACGGCAGATGCAGCGCAAGGGACGAAGGGCCAGTGGGACTGAGAATTGATCGAAGAGGGAATCTGTAATTTTTTATCAATTATAAAGGATAAGAAGAGCTGAGATGTCGAGTCGAGTCGAGTCGAGTCGAGTCGAAGAGGCTGCGGCAGTGGTTGAGAAAGTCACGGCCGCTCTGCTCTTCGTGATGAGCGCTTCTCCTTGGGTACATAGATATGTCCGTAGATGGAAGTGTTGAGTGAAATGTCATCGCATTGTCGTATCAACTCGGCCGTTACATGCGAGCCTCGCCTCAGCACTAAGTCTCGGAGTCCGTGGATAGCGACTCCTCTTGACCGCTGATATTGCATGAGAGCGTGAGAGCGGACAGCATTTCCTTCTCTGCCGACAATTGTCCTCACGTTTCAGTGCGGCGACTTGGATGATTTGTGGACTGTGCTTCGAGCGAGCTCCGTTCCTTCTGTTCAGACAGTGTTCATCCTGTGCGCTGGTGACTCTCCCAGAGCCGCAAAGATGACCGCAGCCATTGCTGGCTGATCCTGGACATCAATCAAATCGCTTGCGCCTATTCCCCAACACCATGCTTTTGAAGAATCCCGGGTATCTCGTTCCCGATGGCTCCAACGTTTCAATCATTCACCAAAATTGACTCCAAATATGCAAAACCCAATGCCCTCTGAAGATTTGAATCACCCCGCAGCCTGCGCCATGGCCAACTTCCGCCTCAACGGCAACTTCAGCTTAAACGAATCGTTCAGCTTGCTCCTCGCGCCCATCCCCTGCCGCCCAGCCTGCTGCAGCAAGAACATCCTCCGCGCCAGCATGCCCGCGTCGACGCCCAGGTCAAAGTCGAGCAAGAAGCACAGCGCGACCTCGAGATTCATCAACTGCGGCTTGCTCACGCCGCCCACCTTGGCCATGCGGTCTTGTGCCCACTTGTTGTCTTCGAGGGCTTTGGCGGAGACGCGGATCGCGGCGAGCGCAAGGCGGTGCACCGTGCGGCTTGTGGCGGGGACCATGAGATCCGACACGCACAGGCGGTGGCAGTAGGCTGCGGCGGCGAGGTACACGCCGGGCGAGTGCGGGCAGTACTTGTGGATGCGGAGCAGGTATTCGGTCAGGGAGAAGGCGGGGGCGACTTTGGAGAAGAAGCGGCGGGCGACGGCGGCGTGTTGGACGGTGGCGTCGGGGGCGTTGGGGCTGAGGATGGGAATGGCTTCGTAGGGGGGTGCTTCGGGGGAGCCGATTGTGATTGGGGGCGCGCCGCTTGCGTCGGGCGAGGAGAGGCGGCGGAGGAGGGGATCGGAGGGTTCTTTGCGGGGGGTTACGGGGCGGGAAACGGGGGGTGTTGGGGGGATGTTGCCTGTTGCTTCGGCGAGCGGTTCGAGGGCTTGAATGAGCATTCGCACCGCCGCGAGGGCGGAGATGGAGGTGATGTCCCAGTTCTCGCTTTCCAGACGGAGGGGTTCGTCGTTGGCGGGCTCGTCCTTGCCGTTTGACGTGAGGAGTGGTGCATCTTTGCTGGGATCTGGAGGTGGAGGAGGGGTCGAGTGGGAGCGTGGGGGTGGTGGTGAAGCTACATCGCCCGCGCCAGTCACCGCGGCACTACCATTTTCCATCCCTTGTTATGAGCGAGGGATAGCGAGAGCGAGCGATATGGATGCGCGCGTGCGCAAGCTGGAGGGAGTGATGCCTTGTCGCAGAGGTGGAAGCTGGCCATGAAGCTTAGCTGTGACGCGTGCTCAGAGCGACGATCCTAGCCCGACGAGCATGGCAGGGGGTGAGGCGAGCAGGGTGAGAGGTGTGTGCCATCCATGGGCACGAGCGGTGCAGGTTGTTTGTGTACCCACGCTTGGCCGGTGGGTGGGTGGACGCGGCATTTATTAGGTAAAGTCGGGTGGTGGGTGTTTAGCTGGCCAGGCCGGGCGCTTGAGGTCGAAAGTGGGCCTTTCCTAACCTGCTCTTCGCTAAGGCCTGTCTCGTGACATTGCAAGGCCTGGCGAACGATGATCACCCAACGTTACACCCGTCGAGAGAGCCAGGGATATTCTGAGCTGTGCCGATAGTACAGATACATCATGACCGTGGCTACGAAATAAAGCACAGGCAGGCCAGGCCAATATAAAACACAAACAGCGGGTACACGGCCAATGCCACCCGGTTCTTGATCACCCCGCTGCCTCCCAGAATGCTGACGCCCGCCGCCAAAGACCATAACCCCAGCACCGAGTACACCGGTATCCGCACAATCATCGGCACATGTAGCGCCGACAGCAGCGAGGCGATGACGAGGGGAAAGAGGGTGTAGCCGATGATGCAGATGGATTGGAAGAAGGAACTGTCCAAGTGTCAGTAGCGTGTAGGATGATGGGCACTCCAGTGATGCTGCGTACATGTTGCCTCCCAACAGCTTGATCTGAAGAGTCACAATCGCTTCGGCGATCCAGATTGTTGCAAAGACCCCGCTGAAGACGAGCGAGCGTTGGTCGGAGCGCGCGTTCAGGCTGAGTAGGAAAGAGAGGAGTAGACAGAACAGTAGTGGGCCCCTGTGCATCCTGATGTCAGTATTCCTCCACCAACTTCGTGACAGCATCACATACCAGAGATCCCAATCTCTCAACCCTTCACTCATCCCCCCTTGTAAAACGAGATCAGCATCCGGCAAGCGGCCCACCAGTCCTCGCACATGTCCTAATGCGCCCGCCACTCCTTCCGCCTCCCCTTCCCCTTGGGCATCCCTCCTCATCAATCCCCCAAGCAGGTACTTGGGATACAGCACCTGGCGCATCTTCTCCCACACGGCCAGCAGGTCGCGCCGCAAGGTCTCCCACACCGACTCATCAATGGTGTTCATCGGTGCTCGCCGGTCCTCGCCTGAAATGGCAGAGGTGAGGTAGCCTTGTGCGCTGCCTGCCGAGCGCGCATTGGCTTGGGCTTGTTGGTTGGTGATGCGGCCGGTCAAGGGGGCGCGGTCGGAGGGGTGGGCGGGGTCGTCGAGCTCGTCGAGGGTGGCTTGGATGCGTGTTAGCTGGGTGTGAAGGTAATCTTGGAGGATGTGCAGGGGTTGTACCATCATCTGGGTCTATTAGATCGTCTTCCACCGGGGCATCATACTGCTCGTAAGGATTTGCGGTTTGGTTGACGCCGGTGCCCGAGGCCATCAAAGCAGCCATGGTGGGCAATGGTGTAGGGGAGGAGTGAGGTAGAGTTGCCTCCTTGTCGTTCACGGGAGAGGGTGTGTGGATGGGCAGCGCATATGAAGAATGTCAACGGGAGGGACAACTATCGCCAACTCGCAGCTGCCTACCATTGCAGCCTCAGGCGTCAAGACGCGCTTCGGCCGGCTCGTCCCGCTGCATCTCCTCGTGGCCCGCCCCCACTCCTCCAATGCCGTGCGATGCGGCCCTCCACATCACGACCGCCAACCTCCACTTGCCGATTCAACAATCGTCAGTCCACATGGCCCATCTCCAACTCACCACCGCAGATGCCACCGTGTTGCCGCCCGTGCCAGTGAGATAAGCCCCCACTGGCCCCTCCACTCCTCTTTCATCCGACTCCCGCCAGTAGGCGCGCCATCCACCATCGATATACATACCGTTCCCGCCGCCGCCTCGTCTCCCCGACTCTCACCCCTCCTCTTGCTCGCCCCCAACGTGCACGCTTTCTATGTTTCTGCCTTCGCCGAGACACCCCTTGTACGTCCCCGCTGCCGCGAGCATGCACTACGCGCACTCGCCTTCGGGGGACTCGTTTCCTAACGGCTACCACCCAGCTCCCTCCTCTACCTTCAACCCCCCACCCAAGTCAGACATGCCCGACGCGGTGCTCGATGACATTTCCCACCGCCGCTTCAACCCATTGAGAGGGTCTTGGGTCCTCGTCTCCCCGCATCGAACCAAGCGGCCCTGGCAGGGCCAGAAGGAAGAGCCGAGCAAGAATGTGCTGCCTGCATATGATGAGAAGGTGGGTGGCCGGTATTCGATTGATGGGATAACGTTGATGTTGACTCTTCCACAGTGCTATCTGTGTCCTGGCAATAAGCGGGCCCAGGGCGATGCGAACCCCGACTACGACCGCACCTTTGTCTTTGTGAATGACTATTCCGCGGTCAGAGAACAGCAGGCGGATTATGAGCCCCCCGAACAGAATGGCAGTAAGTCAGACACGCTCCATGATACTCTGGAGATGCTAATGGCCTCTAGCCCTCGCATCCCGATTGCTTCGAGCAGAGAGCACCACGGGCAAGTGCTATGTCATCACCTTCTCCCCCAAACACAACCTCACCCTCGCCGACATGCCCGCCTCCGACATCCTCCCCGTCATCGAAACCTGGACCAAACTCTACACCACCCATATAGACCCGCACTCGCCTCTCGTCCATGTCTGCAAGCCCACCCACCTACCCCCTTCTGCCCACCAAAACGGCGACCTCGTCGACCATGCCCAGCAGCAATACCGATATATGCAGATCTTTGAAAACAAGGGCAGCGCCATGGGCTGCTCCAACCCGCATCCCCACGGTCAAATTTGGACTACCACTTCCCTCCCCGAAGAGCCGGAGATTGAACTGCGCCATCTCTCCCAATACCGACGCGAACAAGGCGGCGCACACATGCTAGAAGACTACGCAAAGCTAGAAAGCGACAAAGGCGAGCGCACAGTCTACGAGAACGACAGTTTCTGGGCCGGCTGTCCGTGGTGGGGAACATGGCCGTTTGAGATCATGGTCGTGCCGCGAGCGCACAAGCGCGCACTCGTCGATTTGTCCCGGAAGGAGAGGGAGGACTTGGCGGAGATGATTGCGGAGATTACGCGGCGATACGACAACCTGTTTGAGACGAGTTTCCCTTATAGTAAGTTCTTGATGACTCTGTACACTGCATTTTACTCACATTGTCCCGCAGGCATGGGCATCCACCAAGCCCCGCTCTCCGGCACCGACGACGAAATCGAATCCTCCCACTTGCACCTGCACTTCTACCCGCCCCTCCTCCGCAGCGCGACGGTGCGCAAGTTCCTCGTTGGCTACGAAATGATGGCCGAGCCGCAGAGGGACATCACGCCCGAGCAGGCGGCGAAGCGGTTGCGGGCGTGCGGGGGCCCGCTGTACAGGAAGAAGTTGAGCTGTCCGTGAACGGCTGGATGTTTGTTGATCGAAGCTGCATCGGGCTGGTGTTTGATGGCTTTTTGGCGCCAGCTAGACTTTAGAGGGCCCCTTCACTCGGCGGCCATGTCAATTTTGCGAGCAAGCGGTCAGGTACTACACAGGTGGTTGCATGTAGCGTGCCACGTGGAGATCTTCCCGTGTGCCGGTATACACATGCAGGAACGATTCGGTAGCGAAATGTCACGGAAATCCACTTGATCGCACTACATACAGTACCTTTTGATCCTCGGTCCGCGCCGAAAGGCACTCCAATTCGACGTCTCGTCCGGGTCCATACCCGAGCCTCGGGCAATTGCCGACGCTGCTTGGAAGTACAACGAACTATATCTCACAATAACCAGCCCTGTTCCTACCATCACCACCTTGCCCACACACTCCTCTGAATCCAGGTTCAACATGTCCGTCCCCGAATACCAAGACACAGGCCCCATCACCATCCCCGAGTCCATCGCGCCCACCAACTTGGCCGGGAAATCGGTCATCATTACCGGAGGTATGTCCTTCGCTCATTGTGCAATGTCGTGTTTGTTTCTGAGGGAAAATCAGGCGCCAGCGGGCTTGGGAGAGCGTATGCGCAGGCTTTTGTCGATCATGGGTATGTTTGTGTTTCTTCTGGTGAACGCACGAGGTGTTGAGCTGATTGGTTTCCAGGGCTTTCGTTACTATCGCCGATTTGAACCCGGGCTTTGGAGCAAAGGCTGTTGAGGAATTGGGAGCGTAAGATACGATCCCGAGTGTTGTCGACTTGCGTTCAATATCCGCTAATGTTCGCTACGGAAATCAGGAAGAATGCCCAGTTCCTCCAAACCGACGTCCTCAACTGGGACCAGCTCGTGCAAGCCTTCGAAGCAGCGATCAAGAACTCGCCGCGTCAGAGTCTCGACGTCGTGATCGCCAATGCAGGCATCGTAGGACACGACGACATTTTCACACTCGAGGGTGCGTCCAAGTCTCTATGGCTCGTCAGTCAAACGTCTGACCGTCCATCTACAAGATCCCCAAGCTCCCCCCCGCAAACCCAACACCAAAATCGTCGAACTCAACCTCACCGGCCTCCTCTACACCGTCAAACTCGCCTTCCACTACTTCCGGCGCCAGCCCGCCGCCGCCCCCTACGACCGCTGCCTCATCTTGAAGTCCAGTCTGGCGGGCTATGTTGACTTGCCCGGCTCGATTCAGTACAATGCTTCCAAGTTTGGGGTCAGGGGCGTTATGCGGAGTTTGCGCAGGACGGCGTGGAGGGAGGGGTGGAGGGTTAATCTTGTTGCGCCTTGGTTTGTTGTCTTCTTCTTCTAGGTGTTGCGAGAGGGGAGTGGCTGATTTTTGTGGCAGGTATATTCGAACGGCAGCGCTGTCGCAAGCCGTGCAGGATTATCTCGACGGCAAGGGGATTGGTTTTGCTCTTGCGGAGGATAGCGCGCGGGCGATGTTGCTCATTGCATCTGATGAGAAGATCAACGGTATGTCCTGCCTTTTGCTCTGCTTCGCGGTGCCATTCTAATCAGGTTCCGCCAGGTCGTGCGTTGGGGGTCGTCTCCCGGCAACAGAATAAGCTTGGAGTCATTGATCTTGACTTGGACGACTATCCGGCTGGAAACATGTACAATGACTGGCAGAAGATTGTGTTGGATACCGCGGGCATTCTGGTGGTGAGTTATTGTGCTTCTATGTTGGGAGAGTAAGCGGCTAACACTATCCATAGGAATAGCGTGGGTGCTGAACATATGCAAATATTCCTGTATGGAACGCTCCCCACGGAAAGAACTTGCACGTTTCAGATAGTCAGTAGTACTTCCCCAGTATTGAGGTTATTGTCGCACGGAGCGGACGTCCTGAGTATCTTTCTCGGCGGAGCACGGGGAATACGAGAGCCTGCGCAGTTAGACTGACAGGTGGGAAACGACCAATTGGCGTGCTCATATGGGGCCCGATCATCACATGGATCAGACGACAGCATGGTCGGATCTCATGAGCGCGGCGCCGAGACGGAATGGGGGCGTAAGAGGCCAGGCACCTTGAAAGGCTCAAGGACAATTGGGAGACTCGACTCGACGACTGGAGTGGGAGGCGATTCTAGCGGTGGCTACGGGTTTTCTGCTGGGAGAGGATAGCGGAGTTTCAGTCGAGCGTTCAGTCGAGCTGGCCGTGTTTCTACGAATAGATCAACCGTGTAGCCGGCTACAGGCGGAATCAAAATTCCCTTCCAAATCTATTTGACTGCGGAGATCATGACGTCGGGCAAGCGTATCGCGTTTATATCTATAGAAAGAGTCTAGAAACTAACACCTCGGCTGCCTCATCAAGCCTTCACATGGCCGTTACTTTGCGCCGATCCAAGCTTCATGCTCGACCAGTTCGTCTTGGTCTCATGCTCAAGCCATGAGTTCCAGGTAGGCACGCCTCCGAAGTAGAACAGCACTCGCCGGGGTTTACCAGGAACGTTGGCGCCGACTAGGGAACATTAGCACATGCGTCAACATACAAGGGAGAAAAAAGGACTCACCAAACCACGCATGCACCTGTCCCGCCGACTCAGCGAATAATGTCGCTTCAAACGCCTCGGTGACATGAGTGGACCACGCATCTGCAGCCTTGCTGGGCACATCGATCGACGTGAAGCCCTCGCGCTCCATATGCTCGATCGTTTTGCCGATCCAGTTGACCTCGACTTCCTCGACGACGGGCATGTTGCCAAAAGGTGCGTGGGGACCGCACACCATGAACATGTTGGGGAAGTTGGGGACGAGGATTCCCGCGAAGGTGTCGAGCTTCTCCTCCCAGTGGTCACGCAGGGAGAGACCTTGGCGGCCTGTGACGTCCATTTCGCACAGAGCGCCGGTGGCGGCGTCGAAACCGAGGGCGAAGATGATGACGTCGAATTCGTAGTCGCTGCCGGATTGGGTGCGGATGCCGTCTTCGTACATGTCGATGTCGTCCTTGCTGATATCGACCAGCTTCACGTTCGGTCGATTGAAGGTCTCGTAGTACTGATGTCCGCATGGAGGACGTTTGGAAAGGAAGGGGTAGTTGGGACAGAGTAGCTCCGCCGTCTTCTGATCCTTGACGACGGCCCGGATTTTGTTGCGAAGATAGTCCGAAGCGATGAGATTCGACTTCGCATCCGTGAAAAGGTCGCTGAAAGTCTCAAATTGGAAGTGGAAACCGCCAGACTCCCAGCCACTGTCGAGAACCTGGCGTAAGGTATCGGCTTCGGTAACGTTGCCGGCTGCCAGATTTGGGTCTTCCATGGCAAGTCCAAAGGGATGGTTCGTTGCGGCGGTCCAGGCTTTCTGAAAGTTTTGCTTGATCTCCGCCGCCTGATGCTCATCGATGGTGTAGTTGCGGCCCGGAAGGACATAGTTGGGAGTTCGTTGGAAGACTGTGAGTTCCTTGACGTGAGGGGCGATTTTGGGGATGATTTGCACGCCGGTAGCGCCGGTGCCTACAAGGGCGACACGTTTGCCACGCAAGTCGACATGCTGCTTCGGCCATTTGGATGCCTGGTAGTGCTCGCCTTTGAATCGTTTGAGGCCGGCAAATGGCAGCTCACGGCCGACAGACAGTGGTCCAGTGGCGGGAATAAAGTACCGGCAGGTGACTGTGGTGCCCTCTGATGTGGTGATGGTCCAAGTAGCGCTGTGCTCGTTGTACTTGGCGGTCGAGACGCGAGTGTTGAAAGTGATGTACTTTCGCAAATCAAAACGGTCTGGAAGGGGTTAGCAATTCTCATTCCTCAAATTGACGTACTTGTAGAAGAAGTAAGCTTACCAACGACTTGGCTCAAGTTACGCTGAACGGATTCCTGGCCCGGATAGCGTTCTTCAAAGTTCCACTCGTCCTTCAGCTCCGGGGCGAAGTTCATCGCGTATACCCAAGCCTCTGAGTCCGTTCTGGCACCAGGATAGCGGTTCCAGTACCAGGTGCCTCCAACATCAGTCCCCAGCTCGAAGCATTTGGCCGTCAGCCCCAACTTGCGGAGCTCGTAGAGTGTCCGGATGCCGCCGAAGCCGGCGCCGACGACGACGGTGTCATAATGATCGATAGCCATGGGGATGTAAAGGGAAAATGGGAAGTGCTGAGAGGCAAATAGATAAGATGCAAGTGGTTGGAGGAAGAAGACTCCAAACCGTCATATACCAGCCCCTCTGATCTTCAAGGCTGTACATCCGTGGGACTCACATGCCAATGCTTGCTATCCTCATTCCCGAGGCCACACAGGCGAAACAGAGAGTGGGACCGGAGTGGCAACTCATCATCTCATCTTCGGAAATCCGGCCGAAGAGACGACGTTCGGCGGTTGCCGACCGGAGATGTCGAATTAAGGTTTGGGTGGCGGCAGCCGGGGAAGTCTGGGGTGCAAGGCTGGAGAAGTTCGGGTACTGTATCAACCGAACACATTGCATACAAGGGTTGGCATAAAGTCGTCTACGAGTCATGCTAACTGCTCTCCACCCAGTCCATCAGCGGTGAAGTCGGAACATCGGAGAACAGACGGTCTAGACCGGTCCAAAACTCCGACATCTCGTCTGCCCAGACCATGTTGCCCGCCTGATCGCTGTTGTACGCGAACATATTCGCGGGGTCGAAGGGATCGGTTAGCACGGCTCCCTCACCATCAGCATTCTCCACAGCAGGTGCTGCGCTAGCGAACTCCATTCCACCACTCCTGTGTGCATGTGGATGTGCTTCGGCATGCTCTTGCCGAGTGGTGTTAGGTCTCGTGGACCCTGTGCTGGCGTTAATCGCATCTTTAATCACGGCATTGCTAAGCCGGTCAAAGATGTCACACGATCTCCGTGCGATGCTCCAGCGCTCGCAAATTGCAACCAGCATGTTGGAGCAAGTGCGCGTGTCGTCGATAATCTGCACATACTCCGGGAGAGCAACCTGATGCGCCGGATTCTCCAACGCTAGCCGGATGCCGTACACGTACGTCAGGCCGGCGAGGAAGATGCCGTGCAGCGTGATCCAAGAGTAGTTTAGGTTTCGTCGTCGGTGGAGGTCGGAATACGAGGTGATTGCCGTCTTTGCCGCAAATACTAAGCGCTGCAGGTCTCCCGGCTTGCCGTCGGGGGTTGTTGGTACCACTGGACCCGGGAGGTAAGGAGATGGCCGGTATAGAAGTAGGAGGGCGTTGTTGGCCACCGCTTCCCACCAGGTTGGAGTCAGGAAGCAGGACGTAAACTTGTCGCCTCTTGATTGTGGACTTGGCAAATGCAGTGACTGACTGCCGGTCCTCCACGCCATGATTCGGTCGTAGTAGTGCTCACGCGTCTGTAGTTTCTGGTCTAGGGGAATATCCCCTGTACGCCTGGCTGAATAGAAGGTACTGAGAATCTGGCCAGACAGCCGTCTGATTTCGATCAGTTGAAGGAAAGGAGACGTTTCGCGGCCATCGCGCAACATCTGAGTGGTGATTGGATTATCCGGACCAAACGTGTCGTCGTCAAGAGGTGTAGGAAATGAAGTATCAATGTTCTCATCTGCCAGCGCCGTTGGTCGGCCGAGCGTGAAGCTAACAACTCTGCTCTTCTTAGTCGATAGTACCATGAGATGATTGACGGAACATACCTGTCGAGGTTGTAGAAGCACCAAAAGGTACGCCTTTGCATCTCCATTTCAAAAGATATTGACCCATTCTGATTTGCACCCGGACGATGAGTAGGATCCAGATGTAAGCCGAGCTCAACACACATCCTCGCGGCAATGCCAATGAGATGCCAGATGCTCGCAGTGGTGTTGAGCATATTGCTGAATATTAGATGCTGGCCGAGTAATAGAATTCCACGAAGAGGTATCAACCCTCGCATGTCCAGAATGGCTTGCATTCTGGCCAATGCCCGCGCGCAGTGTTTGGCTGCACTGCCAGCGGAGTAGGGAAATCGATTGAAGCTGCCTTCTGCGATGGCCAGGACCATCTCAAAAGCAAACTCGTCGAAAGATCGTCCAGGGTAGTTCACAGGGTCGCTGTAGATTCGTTCCACAGCAGCGAGAAACGTCGGTCGATGAAGCAAGGGGAAGGAGATGTGAGTGTGTTGAAAGTAGGCCTCGATGGATTGCATGGCGAGATCTCGAGCAGGGAGCTGCGACTCAATAGGTGAGGCATTCGTTCGGGACTCTTGCCCGTCTTGTGAGCTGCCATCCTCCTTTGAAAGGTTGAACGACGCTCGTTGAGCCCCAAAGAGGCCGCTGATGATACTGGCAAGTCCAATGCCACTGCTAGATCCCAGAAAGCGTGTCTCGCCAGTCATCGTCAACGTGAGATGTCCCACCTCACTTGCGACCGCATCGTCGGCCGGTGTCTCGCTGGAGCCCATCGCTGCGGTAGCCATAGCATCCTCGTCCGTGCGCCCGACGTTGACTGATGGACTGATTGATGCACCGCCATCGCCGGGGTGATCGAGTTGATTGAAGTCATTGACTTCAGCAGTGGTTGAAGAATTCAGCCCTCCTGTCTGCGCGAGCTGTGCGCGAAGTTGGTGTATCTCCCCTTGCGCAGCCCTTAGACGGCCCTCGATATCGTCAACGTAGGCGCGAGGCAGGTTGCGGGACCGGAGCTTGTCCACATGAAGACAGGGGACGCCAGCCTTCTCGCATCCGCCGCAACGTGGGATCCGCCGGTCGCATCGCGTTTTGCGCGCGTGGCATCTGTCGCAAGCCTGCATGAAGAATCCCAGCGGTCTGGATCCAGCACGTCCGTCGGGCTAGACTTGCACAGTGCTTGCTACGGAGAAGAAGGGGACGGCCAACTTCCGTCGGCGGCGAACACCGAGAGGATTCATCGCAGAAGATGAAACGATGCGGAGTGGAGCGCCGCACATTCGGGGCTTGACGTTGCCAACAGCGTCTCGGCGGCGGTCGTGTAGCCGAGGAAAGGAGCGGCGTGGCGAATTCCACGGACGCATCTCCAGCGAATCGCGATAGCCGAGGAAGCCCAATCCGGTAAGGCTTGTGGGGCAGCCTTGTCCCCCCGCAAGTACCCCGGGCTTCCCAACGTCACCCCGCTCCCTCCGCACCCGATCGAAGGGTCGTGGGATTCGGTGAACGCCGTGGTCCCTTCCAGACCACGTGGAAAGTGGACCAGAGTAAGCGATGGCCACGAGTGAATGTACATATTTCTCCTCTCCGTTGTCGATCTCTTCCGTCTCCTTCTCCACGGCCTCCATCAGCCATTCATCCAGGGCCGTACGCTTCCCTTGACATCTTCTACCCCTCGAGGATTGTACTCTTCTCTTAACAGCCCTTACACCGGGGTAACCAAGTCTCTCTACCACCACCTCCCTTTCCCTCTCCTTCTCGAAAGTCGCGGAGCGACAAACTTCCGACCCACCGCCATCATGGTCCACGCAGTCGCGCAAGACACCACTGCCGAGCATGGCCAACGCCACTTCACGAGCAAACTGGTACGAGTTTGAGAGAGAATTTGTTCTGCTTGCTCGAGATTGGTCGCAGCGACGGGTTCGCTGGTGGCGCTTGTAGATGCCACCGGCAGCAACTTCGCGTAATTGATCTCTGAGCACTGGACCTGTTCTACGCAACACCCTTTGAGAGTGAGACCAGACCCTTGCTAACTCTACTCAAGGTTTTCAACATCATAGTCATTTGTTTTGGCACGACCAGCTTCGGATTCTGCAATGCGGTCATCGGCACAAGTCTGGGGCAGCGTAAGTTGGGCACATACTTGTGACATTCTTCTTCCAACAATGCTAACCCTGAACATCAAGCTTCTTTCATTAAGCACATGAAATTAGATGTTCTGCCCAACGCGACCTCGCTTGAATCCGCCGTTCTCGCCATCTACTTCCTCGGCGGGCTCTTCGGGACGGCTTGCCACACGCTGACGGCCGACCGATATGGTCGCAAGGTGTCGACATCGATCGCTTGCGCGGTCATGATCTTCGGAGCGGCGTTGTGCACGGCGGCGGTAAACATGGGCATGTATATTGCCTTTCGGGTTCGTTTCGACTACAAATACTCTGCTCGTCCCTCGCTGACCCAGACTCCAGTTTTTCTGTGGATGGGCGTAAGTCAACTGTCGTCTGACAATACTCTCTCAACCTCTAGCTAACTCTAATCCTCCAGTTCGTATCAATTTTTGTCGACGGTACCCACGTGGGTGGCTGAAATTACGCCCCCGTCCCACCGCGGCGTCCTTGGTAACATTATCGCCGTCAACATCGGAGTCGGATACGTGTTATCAGCATACATAGGAATTGGATTTTACTTCCTTGTACGTTTCGCGTTGAGAATCCAGCGTGGTGGATTTGGCGTAGACGGACGCTTCCGAATTCCACCACACGCACAACGTGTGCATGCTGACCTTAAGCGTTTTAGACCGGAAACGACGATCAATGGCGCGGCAGCACAGCCTTGCAGATGCTCTTCCCTATCCTCTTGCTTTCAGCCATGTATTGGCTCCCCGAGTCGCCTCGATACCTGATCGCCAAAGACCGTCACGAAGAAGCTTTGGCTTTGCTAAAGAGCCTCCACGCCGGCGCGAACCACTCCACCAACTTTGCGGAAGTCGAGTTTTATCAGATCAAACAACAGGTGCAGAGCGATGTGGAACACAAAATGTCGTTCGTTGACATCTTCCGTAAACCGACGATGCGGAAGCGTGCGCTCATCTCCTGGTGTCTCCCTTGGTGCATGCTGGGCTCGGGTGTCTTGGTGATCAACAGTGGGTCTTTATACCGTGGACCACAGGGAGAGAACAGCCTATGCTAACAACCACCCCAGACTACGGAAGCGCCATTTACTCGAAACTAGGCTACGACTCTTTCCAGGTCCTTCTCTTTCTGGCGGGATGGGACTGCGTCGTTATGATCGCCCCCTTTATTTGCATGACTTTCGTGGACCGCGTAAGCCGGACTTACCTTTTAGCAACCGGCTTTTTCCTCTGCATGTGCACACTTATCGTGCTCGCCGCATTGCAGAAGACGTATCTGGGCACCGAAAACCACGCTGCTCTCGCCGCATGCGTCGCTATGACGTTCTTATACGTTTTGGCATACGTAATGGTGAATTTTCTCATATCCACCTCCTGGAGCAAGACAAAACGCATTTACTGACTCTATAACGATAGTTTTTAGACGGACCAATGTTCTTTTACTTGGGGTGATAGATTCCTCCTCAAACAGGGCTGTCGACGCTGTCCCGAGACATGTTTTGCGCATTTCAGTCCGCTGTGGTGGATTTAGTGCAGACATGAGCTCGTGGATTGCTAAAGACCCGCTCTGTTCGTTCAATGTATTCAGGCTAACCATAAAAACAGGGAAATATGGCCGAGTCACGTACGCGTACAAGGCTTCTCTATCGGCACGACGGCGAACTGCGTATCGAACCTGGTGTGGACTTCCGCGGCTCCGGCAGCCTTCGCCAGCATTGGGTGGGGCTACTACCTCTTCTTCGTCGTCCAGGCTTTCCTCGGAGGCGTCGCTGCGCTGCTCTTCTTCCCCGACACCGCGCGTAAGCCGCTCGAGGAGATCGCGGCACTTTTCGGCGACCAGGATGTGGTCGTGTTCCAACAGGACCTGGACAGGAAGGGACTGGGCCCCGAGAGTGAGAAGGACAATGTCGATTACCAGGAGCGAGTGCAGCCTGCAGAGAAGGCTTGAGGGGATTGTTACATGAGTGATTATTGATTTTGCGAAATTGGTCACGTGATATACTACTGCTTGGAGAGAAGTGCGATATGACGAATCAGATTGCTGCGTGCGTGCCGAAATGCCCCATCTCTATATGTCAGAGCACTTGAAACCCCCGTTGTCACGCTGCAGCATACCCTCGACGCTGCCTCTAAACGTGAGATCCGCCGTCCTGTCACTTTCAGCTAGTCCTCGGGCTGCTCGTTTTAGTCCGCACATCTAACACAGCCCGCGCACGAATTACTCGTCCACCACGTTATCAATACGCCGTAGAGCGTTGAAAAACGCTGCAGTTCGTACAGCCGCCATGTCGAATCGTCCGACTCGCCCCCGGGCCTCCTGAAATCCCCTGGCCTCCACGGCTCTCCCTTTCTCTCTCGCCCGCGCCAATGAGATCCAACCATATCGCCGGCGGATCTACAGTCTACGTGATAACCCTAGATTCCCACATTGGCACGCCATTCGGTCGTTTCCCGCCTGCCGGTTCAACTGCGCAGGCTCGCACGTCAATGTGTACTCTCAATTGGGCTGGTTTGGAGGCGCGAGATGGCGCTTCGAGACCGACCAATCACCGCGTGGAATCCGAATTTAGAGTTTCAGGCTCCTGTGAGGCTGTCACGCGTGCGTGCTCGTCTCCTCAGCCTTCTGGCTTCCGCGATCCTCTCCTCTATTACCTTTCTTTGTCCTTGCATCTAGAACCTTCCGAGAAGCGGCAATATCATTTACGATCGATTTTTGTAGTTCATCGTATGCGTCTGAGTCCGCCATGGCGGCAGAGAGCAACTCTCCAGCTTTCTCCTAGCGGAGGGGGAGGCTTTTAATGCGGCCAGATCATCGACTACGAGCTGCGTACGACTGGGAAGACACGGTAATGTTATCAGTGTCATTTTACAATAGTTCACTCTATTCATGGCGGCTAGGGTGGGGTGACGCCTCTCAGGCACTTACCCTGTCGCTAGTGGGCTGCGCAAAGCGTCCGAGATGCTAGGCAGTCGCTGCTATCAAGGAGAGGAGGCTCGAGGTAGGGATACAAATGGCGGATGAAATGGCACTTTCTCTTACGGCGGAGCAGCTTATCGCATAGTTGATAAGAGGAATGATCGTGTTCATGGTTCAGGAAAGGCAGCGTCGCCGCAGCGAAGTTTGCCTATTCTAAGATATCTAAAATTCACATCCAACTGAGACGGGCGAGATTAAGCGCCGTCCAGTGGATGTCAGGCCAACGGTCTAGCCGCAGGAAAGGTGATGGAAGAAAATCAGCGGTCCAGCCGCAGGAGAAGAAAGCCACCGAAACCAATCACTGGAAATGGAGGAAAGAAAGCCAGCGAAACTAATCACTGGAAGGGAAGGAAGAAAGCCAGCGAAACCAATCACTGGAAATGAAGGCAGAATAACGGCCAGCGAAGCCAACCGCTGGAGATTGGTCGTGAGGTTGGGGACCGGATCAACGTCGAATTGGCGGCGGTGGCGCGGAATGATCTCGGGTCGCCAAAGACCCTGAGGTAGTCTCCGTCAAGTTCCCATACGCCGCTTCCGTGGCTGTTGCGGCTGCGAGAGACGACAGGCAGAGTCAGGGCGCAGTAGATGGCGGGCCCGAGACGGTGTAGCCGCCTCCATACGTCAACGTCCATTGCTTCGTTGCGAATGAATAAGACAATGTTTGAGGCTCGCCGGCCACGGGATCGGCTGCTGATGGAGGTGGCGCCGGCGGGAACGTCGGCATTGTTGCACTCATAATACCCGGTGTCGATGCTAGATTTGGTGTGCCAGCATCGTCCGTCCGTCTACGCTTCTCGCCAGTCTGCGTGTAGTCGCCACGATTGAAGTAGGCGTCATTCTTCTTTTCCCTTGACGATAAGCCACCAGGAGGACGCAGATAAGCTCTTGGGAGCTTCCGCACGTAGTCTGGCAGCATGCTGTCGGGCTTCGCGAGCAGCTGCTCCTTCGTCTCTCCAGTCCAACCGCGCATGATACGGCTGTCCGGCATTGGTTTTGCAATGATGCTCATTTTGTTTGCTGTGTCTCTGCCCTGGGCCGCGGCCAAGCTGTAGCCATTCTTCCGTGAAGCGAGCATCTGGTACCATAGCGTGTCGTTCAGACTAGCATTGGCGATCACACATTGGCAATTGTCGCCTCCAAACCAGCGGCATTCCGAGCAAGGGTCGTCAGTTCCACCTCGCCCTTTCTTATCGCACTGTGGCGGGTGTTAGCAAGTGCAGGTCTTGGGGATGGCTATCAACGTACAGGTCTCGCAGCTTGCAAGCATCTGCTGCAACCGTCGCTTGCAACGTTTGACACCTCGTAATCCGGTGTCTCTTTCGTCTCCGGCAGGCTGGGATCCAGCTTCTCGTGGTGGTTGCGACGACATCTTGCTCCATATTTGCACTCGCCCTTTGCAAAATCCATGCAGTCCTCGACCGTCCCTTTGGTGCTGTCCGCGTAGCTCATTGTGGTTGAAACGTGAGTTGATTGCGGATGAAGAGGTGATGGTGCTGAGATTGAGGATGGCAGAATGGCTGTTTTGTTTGCAGTGATATTGATTGAGTGCGGGCGTGGTCGGGCGTGCATGCACAGGACGGTAGCGATTACATAAGCATGTTCCACAAGGCTGCTTGCGCGGCGACCTGGCTTTTCACGACAAACAACACACCCATTTTCAAACACCGTTCTCTCTCTACCACCCGTGCAACCTCATCCACGCTTGACCCTCATCACCACTGATCTACTGTTCATCATCATGGCCGCTCCAAGCTCGACACAGTTGAATCCTTTCAACAACAAGCCATACAGTGCCACCTATTTCAAGCTGCGCGAGACCGCAGAGACTCTCCCGGTGTTTCGGGAGCTTGACGACCTGCTGTCTCTTGTTCAGCAAAACAAAGTTGTCATCGTGGTCGGGGCGACGGGATCGGGCAAAACGACGCAGTTGCCCAAGGCGATCTTGCAAGCAGACGCGGACATGATGAAGATCAAGGGCCAAAAGCTTGCCCTCACACAGAACCGCCGCCTCGTGGCCCAGCTCGTAAGTGATCTACCGTTCATTCGACGGTGACGTGGAATTCAAGGATGATGCTAACGTTTGGTATTGCTAGGTCGCCGAACGCATTGCCGATGAGCTAGACGTCCAGATAGGCACCGCCGTCGGTGTCAAGTATCGAGGCATAGACTGGACGGGAAGCACAACCCGCCTCGAGGTTGTTACAGATGGTAAGTCTCACAACTGTTGAACCTGCTCAATCCCTCACTCACTATACCTTAGGAACGTTGGTGGCGACGGCGAAAGGAGATCCCAAATTGAGCGCGTACGGCGCCATTGTCGTTGATGAAGTGCATCAGCACACTGTCCCCACCGATATGCTGCTCGGCCTTCTCAAAGGACTGGTCACGAAGCGAGATGATCTCAAAGTCATCATCATGTCCGCTACAATCGACGCCGCCCTGTACAACAGCTTTTTCCCAGGATCAGTCGTCAAAGAAGTGGTTGGCAGGGCGTACCCGGTTCGAGTGTCGTATCTACCTGAACCACCGTCCGATAGTGTCACGGCCGTCGTCAACACCATTCTGCTGTTCCACTTGAGGCATATGCCTGGCGACATCCTGGTCTTTACGTCCGGCACGCAAGAGATCTTCGAGATCATCCGCCTCGTCAAGCAGGCGGTGGATGAACCTGGACCCCGTCGCCGATTTTCTGAGCACCAGGTTGGCCAGTTGGACTACTACCCGCTGCACGCTCAGGCCTCCTCCAAAGATCAAGACGACGCCGTCGAAAACCCCCCGCCTCTGCCTCGGAACGGTCACGATGGCCGGAAGCTCATCGTTGCTACTAATATCGCGGAAACCTCGATTACGATGATCGGTATTGCGCACGTTATCGACTCGTGCCGCGTGAAGAGCAAGATCTGGAACCCGCGGGAAGAGTCGTGGTCGCTACGAAAGCTCTGGGTCTCCAAAGCCGTAGCTCGGCAGCGTGCAGGCAGAACTGGTCGTACGTGTGAAGGTATGGTCTGGCGCATGTGTACTGAGACTGGCTTCATGGAACAACTCACGGAACATTCCGTCCCAGCCATCCAAGAGAGCGACATGCTGAGCGAATGTCTGGATATCTTGCAGATGGGCATGAATCCACTCAGCTTCCCGTTCATGGGACCTCCGGCGACTGAGACCGTCGCCAAAGCGCTTGGCCTCCTGCAGGTATTCGGCGCAGTGGATTCAAAATGCGCCTTGGTCCAACCCTACGGCGCAGCACTTGCCAAGTTGCCCATAGACATTTACTCTGCCACCATGCTTCTGGCAAGCCCCAGATTCGGATGCTCGGACGAAATCCTTTCCGTGGTATCGATGATCGAGGCTTCCGAAGGTGGCAGTCACCTCTTCATCAAGGCCAATACCAAGGAAGAGCAGAAACTCATCGATGCCGCGCGGCGTCGGTGGCAGCATCCTACCGGCGATCACCTCACTCTCTTCAACATCTACAAGAAGTACAGAGAGACCTGCGAAGATGATATGAGCGATCGATTTGCGCGGAACAACTGGCTTCATCTCAGTGTATTGCAAGCTGCGGATCGCATACGTCTGCAACTGCTCGGGAGGCTGATTGACCAGCCAGGTTGGGTGTTGCGATGTCTGGATTCGGATGACATGGACTACTACGTTTGCATGCTAAAGGCTTTGGCCGCCGGCAACTTTCTACGAGTCGCCAAGCGCATGCCTGGGTCCGGGCCGCGCAAATACCAGACAGTCCGGCACAACATCGAGGTCGAACTGTTGAAATCGACCGATCTTGGCCCTCCGAGTCACCTCAACGAGTGGGTCATCTACAACGAACACCACAAGGGCGAGAAGGGACGGACGATCCGGCTTGTGTCGGCCATCACACCGCAGGCAATGGTTTCCGCCGCGGCCCAGTATTGGCACGACGTGGAATTCATGCCAGAGGGCCACATCAAAGATGAACTTGTGAATGTGATCGCCAGCATGACGGGCATGTCTGAGGATTTCATCCGGGGGGGTATGCCGGATCCTACCGTCGCAGCCTCGACTCAGTGAAGTCGTACTTTGCAATGATTCGTTTCGCTCGCTTCGCCATCACGACGTTCCAGTGATTAGTTTCGCTGGTTGTACGATCACCTTTCAGCGATCAGATTCGCTGTACTGTTTCTTTCCATTCAGATAGATCAACGTACTGTCTCTCTCCTCTCATCAACTGATGACTGTGTCATTTGGAGCAAAAAGGATTATTGCCAGTGGCATAAATTCTTTCTTTCTCCTTCATTTCATTGTAGAGATCATGAAGTCAAGGAAGCAGATCATACTTGGAGTGGGAGAAGAATGTTTGCTAACCGGCCGAAGCTCTGCGTCTCATGCCTACTTGCGCCGCCCACAGCCTCGCGAATCTATCCAACGACATTAGAAAGTACGATTAGACGAAGAGAAGAGCGAATCAGTCTAGAGGGTTGATTGGAGACGGGCTATTGGAGCATAAAGGTCGAGTCCGCGCGGAGTAGTGGCCATATCAAGAACCCGTCTGATAGTCCGGCGATGCTGCTTACAGCCATCTTGCCGCCCGTCGGGCAAACCTCATCTCGCCATTCATAAGAGCAGCCGCGCAGATCTCACCTCGCCGCTTATGAAACCAACAGCTCAACAGCTGGGAGAGCACACTCACATGCCTCCCCTTCCACCAGACACCTTTGCAACATTAGCATCGTTCGTTGGAGGCAATGGAGTTTGAACGTACCATAATCGTCTGCCCGGTAACATACGAGAACAAAGGCGATGCAGTGGCGAGAATGGCCTTTGCAGCGTCTTGAGGTGTTCCGATTCGTCGCAGAGGGATATCTCCAATCCTGGGATGACGTTAGTCGAAACAAATCGAGCAAAGGTGGTCCGGGAACTCACCACTTTTCTGGCTCGTCATATCCATGATGGAATCCCACGGCATGCTTAGTCCCATCTGGTCGAACTACAAATTCTCCCTCCGGAGCAGTCGTCAGGCGAGTCTTGATCGGACCGAAAGCGACAGCTGTAATGGAATAAGGTCAGAGAGTATTCTTCGAATATTGGACTTCGAACGTACTGTTCGCTCGAACGCCAAACCGTGGTCCCCATTCAAGAGCAATCGTCTTTGTCAAGCCGATAACACCAGCTTTGGCCAGAGCATAACTGGCCTGTCCAGCGTTCCCATAAACGCCAGACGTCGAAGAGATGTTGATGATACATCTATCCTTACCATCCTCGACCATAAAGTACGGTGCTGCAGCTCTTACGAGCTTGAAGGGAGCGGTGTTGTGTAGTGATATGATGGTGTCTGTTACATCTTAATCAGCATGCTGTGTGAAGTAGAAAAGACACCTGCTTACCCCATTGTTTGTCTTGAATCTTCTCAATAGGGTCATCCCAAGCGTAGCCCGCATTATTCACGATGATATGAATCTGGCCGTTGCCAAACTCGGCCGTCTTCTGGACGAGGAGATCGATATAGTCGTTCTTCGTGACGTCTCCTGCGACGGCGATTGCATCTCCACCTTCGGCTTTGATGGCTTCGACTACTGCGCTGGCCTTTGCTGTTCGTTGCTGTCAGCTCAATTTTACACTGTACTTGATTGAGAGCATGCAGGTACCCTGGTCTAGATCCGCTACAGCTACCTTGCAGCCCTCTCGCGAAAAGACCCGGGCAGTCTCAGCGCCGATGCCTTGAGCTGCGCCAGTGATAATGGCAACCTGGCCTGTTTTATGATCAGCAGCCTTGTCACTAACGACTGTAACATGCTACTTGCCCGCCAATAGGCCTTGCGGAAAATTGAGTCGTGAAGTCGTCATGGTCACGTGCTCTCGAAGGTATACCGCGCTATGAGCCTTTGTTCTCCGTGTAGAGACGTCTTATACGGATCGACGGCGACGCCCAATCGTCAGCATGCTGCCCAAGAGTCATGATGAGGTGCGGTTGGTGAAGTAGACTCGGCGATCGCCGAAGGGTGAGGGCAATAGCCTAGGCTACTCGGCAAAGCGGATGCTGTAGCCCGCACGCCTGCCAGGTGCAGCCTCTTGGTGCCTCACGGCCAAAGCCGAGCGGACATTGTGCCAATTGACTATACATATTGCATGCCAGCGTGCAAGGCGCGGTGGGCAAGGAGTTGTGGCCTTGCGCATTCAGTTCACAAGTTGGAAACGACAAGATGCCTTCTGCCCAACCATTAACCAACGGCCACAGCCACACGAATACATACGATGTGTTGATCATCGGCGCAGGCTTCGGCGGGTGCTACAGTCTCTACAAACTCCGCGAGCTCGGATTGAACGCCCACGTCTTCGAGGCTGGGTCCTACCTCGGAGGCGTATGGCATTGGTCTACCTACCCGGGAGCTCGAGTCGACTCGGAGATTCCATACTATCAATTTTCCATGCCGGAAGTGTGGCGCAAGTGGAACTGGTCTGAACGCTTTCCCGGACGAGAGGAGATCAAGGTCTACTTCAAGCATGTCGACCATACGCTGCGACTGTCAAAAGATGTCACTTTTGACGCAACTGTAAACCGAGTCGAGCGCGATGAAGCGAGGAATCGCTGGAAAGTGTGGACAGAGAACGGCATCGAGGCGGAATGCACGTATCTCATCTGCGCAACTGGAAGTTCGTACAAACCCAACTTCCCCAACTTCAAGGATATGCACAAATTCAAAGGCCAGCTGGTTCACTCGTGCCGCTACCCCGCCAACCCCAACACCAAAGGCACTCGCGTGGCCGTCATCGGGGCGGGAGCGACAGGGGTGCAGTGCACACAGGAGATTGCCAAAGAGGCATCGCAGTTGACCGTCTACATCCGCACCGCCAGCATCTCGCTCCCCATGTTCCAGCGACCATTGACGGAGTTTGAGCAACGCACCAACAAATCCATGTACGCTGGCTTGTTTGCTCGTTGCAAGCAGACAAAGTCTGGGCTTGGATATGATCAGCCAGCCGGCTCTGTGTTCGATCTGAATGACGAAGAACGCGAGGAGCTCTGGGAGCACCTGTGGGAGCGTGGGGGGTTCAACTTCAACCAGGCCAACTATCGCGATTTCTTGGTGGACCCCAAGGCCAATGAAATGATGTATCGCTTCTGGGCGAAGAAGACCGGCCCACGACTGAAGAATCTCGAGAAGAGGGCGTTCCTTGTTCCGGACAAGGCGCCGTTTGCGTTTGGCACCAAGCGAAGCAGTCTTGAGCAGGATTACTACGAGTGCCTCGACCAAGATAATGTCGATATCGTGGATCTCAAAGCAAACCCGATTGAGCGATTCACCGAAACGGGAATCGTTGGTCGAGACGGCGTAGAGCGACACTTCGACACAATCGTACTAGCCACCGGCTTCGACGCAATGACTGGCAGCTTGACGAGCATGAACCTCCGCGGCAAAGACGGCCTCACGATCCAGGAGCGATGGAAAGACGGCGTCTTCACGCATCTCGGGATGTGCATCGACGGCTGCCCGAACCTGTTCATGGTGTACGGCCCTCAGGCCCCGACGGCCTTCACCAACGGCCCTACCTTTATTGAAGCGCAGGTGGAAGTTGTCGTGGACTTTATCAAGAAGCTTCGAAGCGAGGGGATTAGATCGATTGAGGCGCAGCGCGAGGCGGAAGTTCAGTGGAAGCAGGCCATTCAAGATGCTAATAACAAGACCTTGCTGCCGCTGACGGATTCGTGGTACATGGGCGCGAACATTCCCGGGAAGCCGCGGGAGCAATTAAACTATCTGGGAGGCATCCAGCAGTATATCATTGATTGTCGTGAGGCGCTGGAGGATCTGAGGGGATTTACGGTCGTCTATAATTGAGAGGCAGTCCATCAAGGTTGAGGGGTCGATGGAGATCGATGTCTTGGAGATTCGTTGAGCAGTAGAGAGCGTTCTCAAGTTCGTGACTTGTCCTTTCACCTCCGACTACACTGTGCATTCTCTCTACACACTCCCACTTCTCCTTTCCTGGCCACATGACGGCAGTCTTGTCCGAAGCCCAGCCTTGCATCAACCTCGGGCAGTGGCAAATGTGGCGTTCGGCGCTCGCCGACCTCGGGTCACTCCCCATCGCCGCCGAGGGTCGACACGGCACGAGATGCTGTTGCTAATGAACAGGGCATATCTTCGTCTCGTGCCCTCTAGAGGTAACTCGAAGCAATTATTCAGCAGTCGTGAGCCTGAAGTCCAACATCTGGAGATCTGATCACTCAGCAACCTGAGATCTGGTCTACGACACTTCCTCTCCGTAAAAGCATTCAAAGCGTGGACTCATACACGACAACCACAATCTAGCCTCGTCACAATGGCCACCGAAATGGACGTCTGGGCCTTGACGGAATGGAACACTCCCCTGCAAAAGATCCGCCAACCCGTACCCGTCCCCAAGGGCACCGAGGTCCTGATCAAAACCACGCACGCCGGCGTCTGCCATTCCGACCTGCATTTCGCAGAGGGCTTCTACGACATGGGCGGCGGCAAGCGCTTCTACGTCAAAGATCGAGGCGTGAAGCTGCCCGTCGGCCTGGGGCATGAAATCCTGGGCGAAGTCGTAAGTACCGGACCCGATGCCAGCGGCGTGCAGAAGGGATCGCGGCAAATCGTCTATCCTTGGCTAGGCTGCGGGTCCTGTACGCGCTGCGCACAGCAAGAAGACAACTTGTGCGCCGCGCAGAGAGGTCTCGGCACGCAGCAGCACGGCGGGTTCGCGGAGTACGTGCTTGTGCCGCATCCCAAGTATCTCTTCGACGTCGGCAATCTCGACCCCTTGGTGGCGTGCACTTTTGGCTGCTCGGGAATCACTACACTCAGCGCGGTTAGCAAAGTCCTGCCGCTGCCACCGGACGAGCCTGTGCTTCTGATCGGTGCGGGCGGACTTGGACTCGCGGCCATCTCGGTGCTCAAGTCTTTTGGACACAAGAATATTGTATCCGCAGACATTAGCGAGGACAAACTCGCCACGGCGATCAAGGCGGGAGCGACAAAGGCAGTCAACACGTCGGGCCCAGATGCAGCCAAGAAGCTTTTGGAAGCAACTGGAGGGCCGGTGATTGCGGTGATTGATTTCGTGAATAGCGCCGGCACAGCAGGCATGATCAACGGCGGACTCATCGCAAAGGGCGCCAAATGGGTTCAGGTCGGGGTGATTGGTGGCTCTCTCGAGGTCTCACTCGTCGCCAACATCTTCCGCGGTTTGACCATGTTCTCCAACATCACGGGAAATCTGGAGCATATGCAGACGGTCACGGATTTGGCGAAGGAGGGGAAATTGAACCCCATTCCGGTGCAGAAGATGGCTTGGGATGAGGTCAATGAAGCGATGGATATCTTACGGCAGGGCAAGGCTACTGGACGGATTATTCTTGTGAAGTAGGATCTCTGTAAATATAAACACAGTGAACGCTCTCCGCCCAATGCAATTGTGCTCTCGCCGCTCGGCAGTTTTATTCCCACATTTTTAACGCCATTGGCCGATCGGGGATCCCTGTCGTGCCTAATAATTCAATGCAGGCGTCCCCGCCTTAGCGATAGGGGATCATCCATTTAGGGGTTTCGTATCAATTCGCACAAGACTTTCGGGCTGAAGACGGGCGGTGATTCGATGGACCTCTTCCCCATCCGCCCTTAGATCTGCAGTGCAGCACGAGACCCTGGTTCGCCCGAGATCTTCAACGGATTGCTGCACACGCGCATCATCGTCGTACGGCATGTAATATCTCTCAAACACCTCCAAATCACACAAAACCCCAAGTTCGCCACTCGGGAAAAGAAACACACCGTACCAACTTCATACCCCAACGCCCGACCATCAGCTCCATCTCAGCAAGGACAAAGGACAATGGCGCAATACACCCTCAACCTCCTCCACTTGCCCCCCGAACTCCGCAACAAAATCTACGAGCTCGTGCTTAACGACACCACCGACACCACCGACGCCATCGTCTGCCCCTTCATCCTGCAATGCAGTCCTGGCAAGCGCAAATACGGCTACAGCCTAACGCAGACATGCCACCTGCTGCGCGACGAGACGCTGCACATGTGGCATGCATCGTCGAAGCTGCTCTTCGCCATGCGCGCCGATAACATGAAGTACTACGTCAACTGGCTACGGCGGCGACCTGCGGAGGTGTTTGCGAGTATTCGCCGGATTCAGCTGGAGGATTACCAGCATTGCCGAATTAGGAGTCCTGAAAGGCATCCGAGTTTCTGTCGGAATGCCATTGTCATCAACTTGACGAAGCGCATGCCCGTGAGCGTGAGGAAGGATCGGAAGTGCAGGGATTGTCCGCGCCACGACTCGGCGGCGGATTGGGTGCATGCTGTGGTGAGGAGTCTGGAGTGGAAGAATGGTAGATGGGCCTTGACGCGCGAGAAGCTGGAGCAGATTTTTGAGGCGGCGGCATGGTGATTGATGTGCCGCTTCCTTGAAAAGACGGAAGACGGAATCCTCTTTCTCAACGAAAGGCCGCTCGGCTGCTTGTTGTGCCATTGTCCAGTCTATTTCGCATGCGGATTTAGGCGCTAAGCCGACGTCTATCCCCGTCTGACCACAGCAAGCAAATCGATTGTACAGGCCTATATAATGCAACCGAGAAGCACAGCATTATCGAACTCTCGAATGTAAAACTCGTCCTCACCGCCGCCTACAACTGCATCGCTGCGGAAGACGCAATGGCATTTACGATTGCCGGAAAACCAGTTGGTCGGATCGGCGTCGGGATGGTGCGTCCTCTTCATCACATCGTCGCCGCACGGACTCTTGGCTGACATGCAGGCTCCAGATGAGTTTGACGTATCCGGGGAAGTGTCCGTCTACCGAAGATGCCATCGCCATTCTCAAAGCAGCACTCGAAAAGGGAGCCAATTTCTGGAACGCGGGCGAGCATTACGGGACCGTAGATTACAACTCGCTCCATCTGTTGCGCGCATACTTCGAGAAGCATCCCGAAGACCGGGAGAAAGTGGTCGTGTGTGTCAAATCATGCTTCCACGTCGGGACGCGCCGTCCAGCAGTCGATGCGAAGAGCGTCAGAGAATCTATCGAGCGCTGCCTCCAGGTTCTCAACGGCAGCTGTCGCATCGACGTGTTCCAGCCAGGACGTTTGGATCCTAACATCCCCATCGAGGAGACCGTCAAGGCCGTTGCGGATTACGTTCAAGCCGGCAGCATTGGATCCCTCGGCCTAGGCGAGTGCAGTGCAGCATCAATTCGCCGCGCTTCCGAAATCACTCCGGTTGCACTCGCAGAAATCGAGATCAGTCTCTTCGAGAGGAGCAGCTTCCGCAACGGCGTGGCAGAGGCTTGCAAAGAGCTCAACGTGCCAATCGTGGCTTTCAGCCCGCTGAGCAAAGGCCTCTTGACCGGTACGTATAGGCATCACGACGACATTCCGGAAGGGGATATCAGGAAGAAGTTCTTCCCTCGCTTTGGGAGAGAAGCTTTCGAGCAGAATTCAAAAGTTGTCGATGAGGTTGAGAAGGTGGCGAGGCGCAAGGGCTGCACAATCAGCCAGGTCGGGCTTGCGTGGGTCGCGGCGCAGGGCGAGAGGATCAGCACGCCGGTCATGCCCATCCCGAGTGTGTCTTCGATAGCACGAGTGGACGAGAACATGGCGGACATCCGCCTGACCCGGGCTGAACTGCAGGAGATAGAGGAGGTGCTCGGCGCCATCGAAATCAAGGGTGGCCGGGCACCGGCGGGGATGGAGCAATACACGGAAGTCTGAGCATTGACAAGCTACCGCGTTTATTTGACAGACTTAGGGCTCGCGGGCGGCCAAACACCTCACTACCGCCCCTTGGGGGCTCTAGACCACCTCGAACCGCACGGGAACTCTTGTGCAGTGTGCTTACTATAGCATGACAAACATTCGTCATTGCTAAGCACTCCAAATGCAGGGCGTACATACGCTATCATCGATCCGCCACTCGTATCTCGATCTAGATAACGACACTCTCACCTTTCCGCCGACGGTCAGCATCGTCTAGCCGGTCCATCACCTCTCAACGCTGCTCAATATCGTTCACCACCTTCTCCGGCCGTTCTATCTACAATCATGATCGCAAGTGACCGACCACGGCCAACCACGACCGTCCACAGCCGAGCGGAGACTCATCAAGCAACCTAGCAGCATTAACAGCAACATCCCTCGATAGCCAACCCCAACCAACATTCCCCATGCGCCGTGTGGAATGTTCAAAAGACCATGTCTTACCTCACAAATACCGCGACTCTGGACCTTATCACCGAGGAAGGTAGTGAGCAGGCAGAATCTGATGGCCTCGGGGAGTCAACAACCGGTCACCGGGCATTGGTTATACCAAATCGATCTCTTCATGCCACCTCCTCGACGTCGGTGCAGTCTGAGCCAGTCATCACCGTACACGGTGGCGAGAAAACGGAACCCGAAGGGTTCAAGGTGTCGGCCATCGTCGAGAGGTCTTCTAGCACTGAAACTCAGCAGCCGTGGCACTCCTCGTGGATTCGCCTTGGCCCGCTCTCCGGCCTTTTCAGCCTGCTACTGGCCGCTGCGTCGTTGATTGCCTCCCTAGGAATCTTGGTGGGGTCTGACGGGGAAAATGTGAGCAGCTGGAAAGCACCTCCATCAACGTACCTGGCAATTTTCACCGCGATTGCCAATATATCCATACGTTACGCTGTGACGCAAGGGGTCATTATCACGTGGTGGCGGAGAGCTAGTACGTCAACATTCCCTGCCTCCAACAGTGCTGTCGATGCTATCCTGAGACAAGTCCTGCTCACGCTAACAAATTGTAGGCAAGGGCAGTACCATAGCCAGACTCCAATCCGACTGGCGTGCCGGGACAATGCTTCGAGGTAAGGAGTAGCGATAGGTCAGGGAATACGTTTGTTGACGGGCATGTAGGCGCACTTACTGCTGGCCGCCAAACAGGCCTTCTAGGGCTCGCGTGCATCTTCGCTACTATCGTCATGATCGATGGGCCCCTATTACAGCGCGCATCAACCGTCGCCACCATACCTAACCCTGCTACTGCCCTTCTCAATATCTCGATGGCGCCTGAACTTCCTCGAGGGTATTCCGGGGCTTGGATTTCCTCCGAAGAATTATCTGGGTTCCGCTCTCGACAGGTGCAAAGTTTCAACGCAACGATTCCGACTGCCACTGGGAACGCGTCTAACTACATCGTCTTCGACGCCTGGTCCAACAAAACCGATATATTCTCGCAATGGATCAACACTGCATCACTGTCTGGACTAGTACGCGGCTGTCCCGGAGAGTGCAGAGCTAAGATTCGGGCTCCTGCACTTTTCCCCGTGGCTTGCAAGACCCGCCGCACGTTCTCAGATGTGCGAGTCAACTTCAATACATCCCTAGTGCCCGATACTGCTGCTCCTCCTTTAGAGGTCGTGGGTGCGTTGATGCAGACTAGTGTGGTACTATCGCAGCACGAGGCTATCGATCTCATGACTGGATTTGCGACGTTCAATGAGGACTGCACGGGGACCTTCCAATTACAAGCTTGCACGTTCCACTCTGGCATCGGCGAATATGATGTTCTCATCCAGGATGGCGATATCGTCATGACGGACTTAGGCAGCCCTGAGCTCGTGGCCTACGCAAACAACACCGCGACTGATTTCACATGGTCAAAGGAGAGACTCGCGTACCCTTCTACGCTAGCAGGCGTGTCTGAGTGGATGCAGGCAGGTTTAGCAGCTATTATGTTTTACCACGTGTCGGACCGCGACGAAGGCAGCCTTTTCACGGTCGGGAACCAGGAAGCACTCCAGTACCGTATAAAAGGTGTGGGAGATACCAAAGTCGGATGCAGCTTGTTTCGGGATCCCTTCGACCCTATGGTCCGCGCTCTTAACACGCTCGCGGTATACTTCGGCGCTGCAGCGGCTCTAGAAACCCCGGAGTACCTGGAGGGACGACTTGATCCAGGTATTTCGACAGAGAATGCGGTGATTGGATCAGTGCTAGGGAACGTCAGCGTCTATCATACCGATTACTGGTTCTTCCTGGGCGCTGCGGTGCTCGAGGTGATCTGCATTATACTGATCCTACCTACCTATTGGGGATGGTGGCAATTGGGGAGGACGGTGTCATTCTCACCATTCGAAATCGCTAAGGCATTCGAATCACCGCTGCTAGAGGAATACAACTCCAACTCGGGTGGGGACGACATAGCTACTGCTGCCGGTCAGCGGGCTATCCGATATGGTGTGTCTACAGAATCGAGAGGGGAGGAGTCACGGTTGCACTTCAAGGATGCTGCTACTATTGCTTCGCCTACGGAAGGTATGAAGTTTGACATGTAGCGCACAACACGGAAAACTCGGCGGTCGAGGCTGAGGTGGAGTGGTGTGACTGGGCGTGAATTCGACCGTTTATTTCTTGTTTAGTTTTTTATCAAGCCATTTGATGCTTTGCTTTGCAGACTCGCTGCAACAGAATCAACAGGGAAGTGCGAAATTGCAGAAATATGAGGTGCTCGGCGGCATCGAAAGCATGGAGTCCTCTCGACGATCTTTGTCGACAGTGGCTCATCTTGCGGGCTGTGCCCACGCGCCAGGGGGAGCGGTAATTGCCGTGGGATCGACAGACCGATCCGACTACACCGTACAAACGGTGTTTTTGCGATGCTATTCTTCGACGGATCAACTCGAGTCAAGACCTCGGCGGAATGAGAGCGGTACTCAAATGAAAACGATATTTAGCCACCTATTTGAATCGCCTGCGCTCAGAACAAAAGCTTCCTAATTGCTCTTCTCTGCGACAAGAAAGATACGATTACAGCAAAGATAATCATCCAAATCGAAAACCACCGAAGTAGCTTCTGAGACCTTCGAATCTTGACAATCGCCCAGTATGGATCGACGGTGCTTTGGAAGGAGCCCGAGTCGTTCACTTTCGGGTATGGAGTGCTTGGCACGGGCTTGCCGAGGAAGTTGCACAGTGGTTCCCAGCCTTGCTTCGCATTGAACTCCAGAAGATTGTCCGGGGGAACGATCTGCCGCATCATCTCATTGTGATCCAAATACCATTGCTTCCCTTGGGTCGGAAAGTTTGGGAACGGGGTATAGCCAATGATATATCGGTAGATGCTATCGTGAGGGCCGGGGCCAAATTGATATGCCCAGAAGCGCTCTCGGATCCCTTTTGGCCAGTGTTTTTGCCTCTGATAATACCAGATTGTATCGTTGAACGAGTTGTACCATTTGTCGGGGCTGTCGCGCACCGTCAAAATGACTTTGGCTTCAGGATATGCTTCGACAAGCTCTTTGGACAGTAACGACGCTGGCCAGTCGGCCACGCTCGAGCAACCAGCGAGGACTCGATCGAAATCGGCGCGACTCGGGGTCTCTTTACGGCGGAATTTCTGGTCTAGGAGATCCGTCCATATGGCGCTATGGTCTGTCTTGGCGTGACACATGCACTCCTAATGAGATGGAATTCGCAGATTAGTCACCTATGCATTCCGAAGTACGCGCGGAGACAAACCCAGAAGTATTGGTTTGGTAGACCAAGTTCTCCCAACGCGGCTCGCATTGCTTTGAACACGAAGCGTTAGCCATTGTAATCGCATCAATGTAAGCGCTTACTTACACGCAGTGCTTGTTCTCGGCATACCAAGCACGAGAACTTGCATATCCGATTTGCTCTCTGATGCCTCCATTGTAGTTATGTGACGGAGATGAGACTGAGCAGCTGTCCAGATACGAGCTTACAGCTTTTTATTTTCGAGGTATGGATCGAGCAGAACTTGTCCAAGGGAAGCTGAGCTGCCGACGTCATGGCAACATGAATAGATGGGGTAAGATGAAGGGAGTCTCTGCAACGTTACAATCACAAGGTTACATCGCTAGTAGGGTCGAATGGATCGACCGTCGTTTGATTATTTGTCATTGTACAACGAGCAGTTTACACTGTATTGGCGCACCGACTGCACTGCATGTAGGTGAGGTGAGGTTGATGGCATCAGGCTAGAGCACCCACGCTACCCCAGACTTGGCAAGGCTCTGCCTACCCCAGACTTGGCACGGGCCAATTGCGTTGAGACGACGTTGCACGTGAAGCACGTTGCTGCTATCCTAAACGGAATGATTCTCGCGCGGGACGATGGTATCGAGTAGAAGAAAGCCATCCATGTCATTGTACCAACCCAAGGTGTCCGGGTGTACACTTCCGATCCAACTGACTCTCGATCACCATTCGCGATATCCTAGATAGGTGATGTTCTTGCGACGAATTCACGTCACAGAGCTGTTCACATGCTTCCAGCTATAGCAAGACCAGAGATCTGTCACCGCTAACATCTCTTTGGACGGGAGCTTATGAGATCGTCGCGACGAATCCGCGTACAGGGGGCATTCACATGCTTCCAGCTATAGCAAGATCGAGACCTCGTAGATGCTAGTATCATTCTTCAACGGGAAGCTTGTGAGGTTCTTGCAACGAATCCGCGCAACGGAGTCGCTCACATGTTTGCAGACATCGCAAGATTAAGACCCTGTCGACGCTGATAGCTCCTTTCGAGGTCAAGCGGATCACCCAATCGCTGTTGAAACGTGCTGCCGGTCCTGAAGAACAGGGAAGATCGACAGTTCAGGACTCCACTGTTACGTCGTCGGTCGAATGACTCTACAACCCTGACCGCTGCCGTGGGATCGACTGCACTCAGAAACATGCCTAACTTCTGGAAGAAACATAAATAAGGATAATAGCCTCCAAGAGACGATGTAGAAGAACGAACATTTGAAGCATACATCCTACCCAGAACCCTTGAATCAAATATCGTTGCACTCTGAACTATCAATCATGTATACTCTGCTCGTATCGGTCGCTGTCGTACTCGCGTCGCTCTCGGAGGGTGCTCGCGCCTACGTTGGATCTAAAGAGATGCTCCGCGAAGCAGGTGTGAGCGAGGCGTTGATCTCCAAGAACATTGGCTCTATCAAGGTCCAAAACGACAACGTCAAAGTCATTCCAACGGAAGGTAAAAGAATCGATCCAAGTATGCGCGCGGTCTGCTGATACAACGATCAGGCGAGGTCGTGGAGATCCGCAACGCGACTCTGGCATCGCGCTTGAGCGAAGCCCTCGGGTACAGGCAGGCCGGTGGAAGCTGCAAGCACGTCGGCGGAGGGAGTGCCCTCGAGCGTCGAACCGACGGCTGCACTGGACAGGAGTGTTTTAGCGGTGCGGCGAAGGGCAAGAACTGCTTCACTGCTTCTTCGTGCACTTGTCTTAAGCAGTGAGTACAAGCGAACATCTTCGAGGGAAGGGCTCACATGTGTTGACTTGGATGCAGGTGTGGCCCCCACGGCATTGGGTGCAGCTACTCATGCTACCCCATCGGGAGTTAAGTGCATCGAGCAGTGCGGTCAGCCGTGGCTGGGAGTCAACTATCGTTGAAGAGTGAACGCGTTAAGATTGCCCTGTTTTACACTCTCCTTGAATGCACTTGTTTCGATATTGCTCAGCAGAATGATTTGGTAGCGCCAACTGTCTCCATGGTGTAAAAAAAAGAATGAGACCGTCATGATCTTTCTCTGTCTAGTCGTCTTTGCTCCGCTGAACGTCCGCGTGTCTGGTCAAAGTGCTCACTTCATAGTAATAGAAGGCTTTGAATGCTATATGTCAGAGTAAAGCACTCCAAGAACGAACAGAAATCCGACCGCAACAATGAGGAGTCGCGAGCCGACTCCGATAAGAGTCTTGCGTCTCAGCTCCGCCCAATTCGCATCAAGTGACTCTCGAAAAGCCTTTGTGCCGTTGCTTCGTGGATACTGGCTGTTCGGAGTTCGTCTTCGTAGGAATTGGCAGAGCGGTTCCCATCCATCTTTGGCATTGAATACGAGCAGCCTGTCGGATGGGACGAGCTGCTGTACAAGCGTATTGTGATCGATATACCACTGTTTCCCGTCCTGGGGAAAGCGACGCAGCGTATGCTGCATGAACACGGATGCAAAAGGACCTTGCACCTCCAGGGTATCTCTTCCGAAGCCGTTGTAGGCGATGGCGAGGTACCACAACACGGCCGAAAATCCACGCGGGCAGTACTTACGGCTTTGATACTGCCATATCGTGTCTTTGAACGATTGAAACCAGGCCTCGGGAGTATCTCGAACGGCAAGAACGATTTTTAGATCGGGATTGGCCTTCCACAGTTGCTGGGTGAGGAGCGTTCTCGGCCAGTCGGTCACGTTGGCAAAGGAATTCAGCTCTGATACGAACTTATCCATGGACACGGCATCGTCAGTGTTGCCCTTGTGCTGAAGTAGCTGCGCCCAGACTTCTTGATGATTTTTCCAATTGCACATAGCATCCCATAGGAAAATATCGCAATTCCCGAGTTCTTCTAGTGCCAGTCGAAGAGCTAAGAGAATTGCATGTCAACTGTGATGCTCGTGAAGCTCAATTTTACGACTTGATACCTCTCGTGCTTGTTCGAGGCAGAGCAACAATCAGAACCTGTGCTCTAGATTGGCTTTTTGTGTCTTCCATCTTGTAGAATGTCTAGTGTATGTTACAGGGTGGACTTTTTGCAGCCACGTTCTTTGGCCACGAGCGTGAGGCCGATGAAATAGTCTTGCACTCCTCGCGAGGAAACGTATTGGTACGCTAGTACCGAGACCTATAACAGCTGCGAATCAGTGACACGTGTCGATCGGCGTCAATCAACAACTGCGGAGGTGGAGGTTGTAGCTATGGCTAGGCTGCGCTTGACAAGGGCGCGGCAGATAGGGTTCAACTGCAGCGGCAGCATCTTCCGGCACGGCGGCCAGAGCAGACCCGCCAGTACTCTGCTTGTCTTGCTCAACGCGAGGGGCCATGGTGAGCTACTCCAATGCTCTGCAATCTGGACTGGCAATGCTCCCAGCTTCCCGCGTCCAGGACCTCGACAATGAATGTTCGAAGCAACGCAGCGCATCTGTCTCCGACTTCGGACCAAATTTGTCCAGAGTCCCGAGTGCTTCGGCCTTGCGATGCCTGCTTATCCCCGTCTCACCAACATCGTGCTGACATTTAAATGGAACTATAAATCAAACGGCTTCTCTTGGCTGTGCGTATCTTTCGTGTCGTCGCCAACATGACATCCACGCTCAAAGGTTTTGACGTAACTGACTTCGAATACGAAAGCAAGGAAGCAGGCATTCTCATCCCGGCCTCCTTATTAGCTCCCAAACAATTGCAACCAGGCAAACACGCCGTGATCATCCGTTGGCATGGCGGATGTTTCATCACAGGGCATCGACTATTCCCGCGATGGTACGGAAGCTGGACACTCGAGCTGGCTCTGACAAAGTCTGCCATCGTCCTGGCACCAGACTACCGCCTTCTTCCGGAAGCCTGTGGCCCAGACATACTCCAAGACGTAAAAGGCTTCTACTCATGGCTAGCGACAAAAGGAGGCAGACATCTCGCCACGCTTCTGCCAGCAGGCATCCAGCTCGACTTGCAGCATCTTTTGGTATTTGGAGAGTCTGCTGGGGGATGGATGGCGGTGCAGTCCGCCTTTTTACCTGAATCACGAGCGAGCGTGGCGGCAGTTGTCGCGCGCTATCCCATGCTGGACTTGCGGGATACGCACTATTGCGAAGCCTACGAAAAAACCATCTTTCACCCCCCGGCACTACCGCTGTCTCGTGATATAGCTGACAAGCATGTCGCGGAGATTGAAGGCCGTCCAGTCGTCACCTCCGCCTTTCCTCCCGAACGAACGCCACTCGTTGTATCTGCCATGCAACACGGTCTGTTGGGACAATGGCTGGGTGAAGACAGCTCGCTGTATCCCATAGATCTGCTCGACACTGAAAAAATCGACACGCCGATTTGGATCTTGCACGGACTGGAAGACAATGTCGTGCCAATCGAGGGCACGTACAGGTTTGTTCACAAGCTCCGGACGACCTCGCCGGCCAACAAGATTCACCTCACGTACGAGCCGGGCATGCATGGTTTTGATAATGAGGCGAACGCCACGCTCGATACTGAATGGGTCAGGTCAGGCTTGACTTTTATTGGAGATTTCTGGCCACGTGTTTGAGGTAGAATGATGAGCCATACGTATATGCTGTAGCTGGGTAAAGGAAAGGCTAGCCAACCATAACGTTTACGCTACGTCGAGTCGACGATCCCTTCGACCCACATCTCACTGTCAGAGCAGCAACCGAGGCTGGGCTGCTTACATTCTACGATCCTGCTTTTCTCCAACCCTTCTCTTTCTCCTTACCACACGCATCAGATAAGGCGTGATATTCCGAGAAGAATACCCCCGCCAATGGCCACAGCGGACGCCGACAAAAGCCTTGTCCCTTTTCTCGAAGCCGCACGTGTACTCCAATCGTCGAGTCATCAATATGCCGCAAACATCCATCCCGGGTGGTGCTTTGGGCCGGTCGCGCACGGAGGGTACCTAGTCAGCGTGGTCTGGGAGGCCGTGCGATTACATTTCGCGACGACGTTGAAGCAGTCCCAGCAATCGAACGCGATTGCGCTGCACACCGAGTTCTTACGTCGCGCGGCGCCGGGAGAAGCGGTGGTGCATGTTGAAGATGTGCAGCTAGGCAGGAGAGTGAGTACCGTCGGCTTCAGTTTGATGCAGGGCGGGAAGAAGATTTGCACGGGCTTCGCAACGTGAGTATTCCACCCGTATTCCGTAAGATGTCCTTGTTCATCCTCGCAAAGACACTGTGGCAGTACTTCAAAGACGACACCAGTCAGTCTCAATCTGGGTTATAGCCAACCATCCGCTCCTCCACCCGTGGATTTCGAAGCCGTGCTCTCGGGTCAAGATAAGAATTGGATTCGTTACGACGTGGTCCAGCCCGCCAACGCGGGCAATCTGACGTTCAAAAACTTCATCTTCGCATACCCACGTCAGACAGCCCAGACACCAGCGGAAAAACGTGTGGCCCAACAGTGGATGTGTCCCCGACTGCCACACCAGAGATGGACGACATCTATGCTTGGCATTCTTCTGGACTCTGCCACTCCACCGCCCGAGAACTTCTACCCGTCGATGACGTTCGCTCAGCGCGCAGAGGAGGACACACGGCTCGGCAAGAAGCAAAGCAGAATCCATCCGCCGTGGAGAGATGAAAGGTTGTACACGACAGCAGATACGACGATTGATGTGAAGCGGCAATTGCCCGAGGAGGGAGAGAAGTGGCTGATGCTGATCTCGCGCACAAAAGAGGTTGTCGACGGGCGCTTCGATGTCGGCGCTGAAGTGTGGGATGCGCAGGGGCGCTTGATAGCGACCGCGTACAGCCTGTGGGAAATGATCGAGCTTCCCAACGCACCTGGTGGCGGATCATCGGGGAAGAGGAAGGGACAGGGCGCGAAGCTGGCCAGACTGTAGCAGCTGTGCGGAGCATTACTCTCTTGATAGGTAGTGGCTGTGAATTCGTAGCTGCCTTCCTGCTGCCTAAGGAAGCCTAGTAGCACGGACAACATTCATTGACCACGTCTTCCTTACGAGCAGGTTATCTGTTCCCATTCATTTAGCAAATCCGTGAGTCATACATAAGCCCGCTTCGTCGCTTCCGTCTTCAATGTAACTTCCCCCGCCAACAACGCCCGCGCTAAATTCGCCCTCCTCCTCCACATATACGAAAGCGCCAGGCCAGGCCTCTCAGACTCGCCATTCTGCGCAAGGAATCCGCCACCATGGTGCAGGTGCAATGGCAACGCAACGATCAACTACTGTTTCGCGCCCAAGTCGATGGCACAAGGCGAGCGCAGCAGCGACGGGCGGAGCTGCAGGGCCGGGAACCTCCCTTACCGCCGGGCCACGGGGTCATGGCTCCCGCTGCACAATACTTCGATATTCCCCTAGTCGAGGATGACGATTTCTACTTTCTCGGTCATCCTGGCGATGTCGCCCCCTTCTGGGCCACCCCGAGGCCGGCGTATTTCGATGGTTTTGAGGCTGCATGTCGGGAAGGACAGGTAGCAAGGCTGCAGCATCTCACCTCTCAATACTATCTGACCCCTGCCGTGCTTCACCACGGCCTGACCCTAGCTCTCGCGGCCGGTAGCGTCGATGCTGCGGGCAAATTGCTCTCCTGCGGTGCGCCGATCGCTAAATTTACACCTGAGAATATCCTGTCTGCGCCGCAAGACAAACAGATCGCCCTGTTCGACCTACTCGCCACGCAAGGCTGGACCCCGTCGTTCCATCTCTTCATGCGGACATTCCCCAACACCGATCTACTACGATGGTTCCTGGCGCATGGCATCGATCCCAACTATGGCATTAAACGAGACCGCCCCGGCCGCGCAGGAGGACCGAGCTATGAGTGCGCAGACGCCCTAGAGGCTGCGGCATCAAAGGGCAGTGCTGACGGCGTCGAGATCTTAATTGCGGCTGGGGCAAAGATTGCTTACGGGGTGCCATTGCATCGCGCGGCGGGCGCCACTCCTCCTGAATTCGACTTTAATAGAATGCACGCATCCCAACCCAAGGACTTCGACGCCAGCCGCATTGCCGCCATGGAGGCACTCGTGAAACATGGCGCGGACGTGAATCAGAAAGAAGACACGCCTTATGTGAGTCCGCTATACCCAATCCAATACGCCGTCTCGGTCGGGGCGATCCAGCGAGCACGTTGGCTGCTCGATCACGGCGCAGATCCAGAACTGAAAGGGCCATACGGCAGTGCGGTGGACTATGCGTTGAAGATGGGAACAGATGCGATGAAGGATCTGTTCCAGCCGTGGGCTCGCCCTCCAAGCCCTACAGTTCTAGCGTTACAGACTTGATGTGTCGACAGTGTTCAATTTGCAACTCGACGGCTCTGTGCCTGGCCGCAGGGACTGATGATTCGCCATTCTGTGATGTGAGCGTCCGCTTATGACCTTGACTGGAGAAATGTATGATTTTCAATCCACTAATAATCCCGAGATTTCATTTCAAACCTCCCTCTACTAAGAAAGCCCGAGAACTTGTAAAGACTTAAGTCGAGTCGGCTCAACTCAATGCAATCCAGCAGTGCGTTCTCTTCGCACATGTTTTCCCGTCCCCCAACGCGCGGTCTCACCCGTCGCATCGGGCGGCAGGCAAAGAAGAAGGGAGAGAGACACCTCCGGCATTAGGCATCACCCCGAACCGTCTCACTTCTTTGGATGAGGCAATTTCGGCATTAGGCATCACCCCGAAGCGTATCACTTCTTTTTGATCGTCGCCTTTCGTTCCGTCCTCTCCACGCCTCTTCAGACCGGGTTCCTCTTCCTGTTCCTCGTACCTTTTCCCTTCCCTTCACGGTCAGTGACGTTACAACATGGCCACCGACATTACCAATTGCAGGGTACTCGTTGTCGGCGGGTGTGGCTACTTGGGCTACCGCATTATTCGATGGCTGGTCCACGAATGCCAAATGCCTCCATCGGAAATCACCAGCGTTGATATTATAGATCCACCGGCAGGCCGGGAGGAGAAGCTCGTTGAATATCTTCTGGCCGACATGACCGACAAAAAGGCCATCAGCGACGCGATTGACAAAATCCAACCCGAAGTCATCATCCACACCGCCTCTCCGGCAGCAAACTTGGCAAACCTAAACATTTTCATGCGCAATAATGTGGAGGGGACACGCAATCTGCTGGATGCTGCCGTCGCACAGCCGTCGGTGAAAGTGGTTGTTTTTACATCGAGCTCATCGGTGAGCCACGACTCCATCAGCGACCTCAGCGAGGGAACCGAGGATGATCCGTATGTCTTCCTTCCTCGGCAGCGCCAGACGTACTCTCACAGTAAGGCCGTCGCAGAGCAGCTCTCACGTTCGTACAACCGGAAACGCAAAGACTTCGTCACCGGTGTGATCCGACCTTCAGCCTTATTCGGACCCGCAGAACCGATTACAACCGTTGTCTTGGTGGCGCTGGCGAAGAAAGGCAACCTGCGCTACCAGATCGGCGACGGCAAGAATGCCACGGACTTCACGTATGTCGACAATGCCGTCATTGGCCACATTCTGCTCGTCAATGGGCTTCTAAAAGCAGTGGCGCACCCAGAGCTCGTACACGAGGACATGCGGCTCGAAGGAGAAGCATTCATCATCACCGACGATGAGCACTGGGGTTTCTGGACCTTTTTCCGAGACTTCGGCGCGGCAGCCGGGTACCCAACCGATCCAAGTAAGATTATCTCCATTCCGAAAGGCCTTGCGCTCGGTGTTGCCGGCCTCATCGAAAGAACGTACTTGGCTTTCACTTTCGGAAACAAAGCCTCGCCTGTAAGGCAAGTCGACCTTGCATACAGTGCCATCGAGAGAACTTTCAATATCGCCAAGGCGAAGAAGAGGCTGGGATATACACCGCGTTTCTCCGTCAACGAAGGCATACGGCTTTCAGTGGCGCCGATTCTGGAGGCAAAATCGCATGTGTGAGGTACAGATACCCGGTAGAATGACCGGACCGCTCAAAGATGCACTTCTCGATGGTAGCAGGGCCGAAGCAGGGATCTTTATGGTCTTTAGGTCATCATAACAAACCACCAAAGTCGTCTGAATGCCGGCTGTTCGAGTTCAGGACGGGACAGGCTCGCTGACTCCCCAGCTGGAGATGGGGATGACTCGATGACTTCACCAGCATAGCTGTGTACTCTTCAGCTCGAGGAACGAGAGGCTCCACATATGCATCACAGGTCAACGAGGTATTCTTAGTGGAGGACGCGTATCGAAGCCTTGTTGAATGCTTCATTTCAGGCATACACTTCAAATGTGACAAAAAATGAAACATAAAGTCGCTGTACTTGGCGACAGGTTTCAACTTATTCCACTGATCCTGTTAGTCATTTGATGTCCGTGGACGTGGAAGCCTTGTCAAACGCGTCCTGTATCTTCATTCCATGAGACCTCATCTCTTCCAGCGTTTCCTTCCAGATCCGGTCGATAATTTGCGGACCTTCACTGCCATAGTAGATGCCAGCAAGACTGTACGCGAACAAAACATCAGCAACTGGGATCACATTCCTACCACTGATGGACTTACGGTGCAATTTTGTTGTTCATGAGGAAGCAGCCGTGCGATTCTGCACCCATCCGCAGCAACGCATCCACGTACGTCGCAGCACCTCGATCCACTGGCCGCCCTGCAATGGAAAAGAAGATCTTGGCCCCAGCGCGAACAACGCCAGTTGCATCTCGACTCAGCTGCGTTCCTTTGGTCAACCCCGGATCGACCATATTCACAACGACATTCTCCGATGGAAGCATGTCTGTGAGCTTGGCGAGGAAGAGTTGGTTGATCAGCTTCGACACCCCGTATCGTTCTTGTGCGTCAAATGGAACAATTTCCGTATCGTCAAATGACGCAAGGAGGGGTTGTTCGTTGCGATTGGGAAACTTGCAGAGATGTGCCGTGAGAGAGTTGACGACGGTCAATCTTGCGGGTTCGCCAGTATGCCGCAAAGTAGATTTGAGGATCGGGAGGAGAAGCAGAGTCAACAGCGCCGTTCCGAAATGATTGACTTGCATCGTCATCTCGTGTCCCGTCGACTCGGCCCGCTCAAATTTCGTGCGCGAGAGACCGGCTTTCAATACGACGAGATCGACATGTGGGAGCTCGGCACGGCAGCGCTGGGCAAACGCTTGAATCGATGTGTATGATGCCATGTCCAGACGCCAGACATCAATGCGTGCTGCAGAGCTCGCTTTTCGTAGTGCCAGAATTGCCGCCTTGCCCTTCTGTTCGGAGCGTACCGCTACGATCAGATGTGATAGGCCGAGCGCGAGGAGTTGTTTGGATGCTTCGAAGCCCAGCCCGGTGTTCGAGCCTGTGACAATTGCTACCTTGCCGTGTAGGTTGGGCAGTTTGCTTGGGTCGGGTAGGTCAATTGTCGTTCGAAATTGGTTTTGCCAAAAGATTTTACCAAAATTGGTCAACGGTTGCATGGATTTAGAAGTGGCCATTGTTCCAAGGTACGAGAAGAGATACAATCGAATGGGCGGGAATAAACGATCTGAGGATTGGAATCATGGTTCGAGGGAGGCGACAGGCGGAACATGCACCTTTATATAGTATCAACACTCGACAAGAACACACAACAGCTTACACCAAGGGCATGACCCAGATGTCACGGCGAAGGACTAGCCATGCCCAAAAGGGAAGTTGAAATGTCTTGGCAAGGCTTGCGCTAACGTCGGAGATAACGGGGAGAGGGGATCGGACTCTTTCCAACTCCTTCCCGCTGCGCATGTGCGCCTCTCACCCCCATCATCGAATTGAAGATCGCAAGCCCTGCGTTCAAACTTGATCATGCAATGGAGCAGCCGCCCTGTAGGTTCTGGCATCGTCTCACGCGTATGGCAGCTTGAGCCACGAAGCTAAATCGTGGTGCAGATGGCAGCGGGCTGCACTTTGTACTCAGTACACCTTCCCACCCGCTGGACAAGAAAGACCATCGCTTCGTACGGAGTCATGCTAAGAGAGCGAGTAAGCGACGATGTGCACCGCTCACAATCAAGTCCACCCTTTGGCCGGACCATCAGCTCAAGATATTTCACCCACCGACCGAGGGCACACAAGTTCCATCCCCATTGGGAAGCTATCTCTCCGGGCTCAGAGTACCTGCAGGGTTTGAAATATCCTCGATTCAAGATATATTGAAGTGTTGTCTTGCCTGTTGATCACGACTATTCAGAAACGCTCACTGATGCGAACGATAGTGGTCGAAGCCGACATAGACGGAATGTATCTCCACGAAGTTGTATTCCACACGCACCCCGTCGAGCGAGGATGGTTCCCGTACATGATGAGCGATGAATGTTGTTTACACTCCCTGCTGTTTTCTTGCGGGGTGTTGGAGGCTACAAGCTCGCAAGCTGGTCTCAGTCAGCGTGCTTGCTTCCACTACGGCCAGACGCTTCGTCTCCTCCAGGCTCGTCTGGATGATCCGAGAGAAGTCCATGCCATATCTGATGCCACGATCATGGTTGTGCTTTTCTTGGCTTCGATAGCGCATGCGACGAATGAGCACGCCACGGCCGAAAATCACATCAGAGGGATGGAGAAGATGCTGCAGCTCCGGGGCGGGCTACAGTCTCTTAGTCCTCATCTCAACATGCAAGTCAAAGTGTGCCGGTAAGTGAGAACGATCCGCTTTTGGAAAGCAAGAGCCGCCATTCTACGCACCACGCAGACTAACCACAGCTCAGAGCCGACCTCTCACACGCCATATTCTCGGGTACCCGACCACTTCTGTCGCCAAGTCAACTATCCAGAGACTGCCTCGGAGCCGACCTACAAGCAGTCAAGTGTCAGCATCACAAGTGCCATTTGGAATACTGGAGTTTTCTCCGAACATCAATACCCCCATATCTCCGCTCAGCCATGAACGATCTCCACGCCTTCTCCTGCATGATCAACATTGCATCTCAAGCTTCGCGCAAGATACGGCCAGAGACGTACAACGACATCATGATCTCTATTCTCTATCGGCTAATGAGCATCAATTACGATTGCAACGACATGCAAGAAGCTATTCGCCTCGGTATGGTTTGCTACTGCACGACGATTTTCATGCAGTATCGGCGGGTGAAACACCAGTACAGACAGCTCTACCACACTTTCAACGAGAGTGTGCAGAAGCTCTGGAGAGATGGCAGACAGTTGCCGACTCCACTAGCCCTCTGGCTCGCAGTACTGCCTGATGTGGCGGTGCGTGATGAGATTGTCATGCCGGAATGGCGCTGTAAATGGCTTGTGGAAGTGCTTTTAGTGAGTGGAGTCGGCACGTGGATGGAAGCCAGGGAAATGCTAGGCACAGTCGCATGGGTTGGTTTTATGCACGATAAAGCTGGCGGGAGGGTGTTCGATTCGATACATACTGTCGTCAAAAGATGATCGTCCTACGATACGATGCGATTCTGGACTAGATCAGGCTCCGTCAATGGCCTATCAAAGCATTTCCAATTACGCTCCCTCGACATTACCAAGTGGCGACGCACTCCTACTTGTTCCTCTACTGTACCCTCATCGCCCCCGCATCCAACTCCTAATTCACTCTCCGTCGATGGGATTGGAGGCGTCGAGATCAGAACTTCGCAGCAGAGCGTCAACGGCCGTACATCCGGCCAGACCTGCGACGTCTCGTCCGCGTGTGCGTTTCCTAGAACGACATGGGGCAGGTGATTCTATACCTGCTCTAGCATAGCGAAGTCCCAGATCGCAGAAAGGTCAAACCATCGCGCCTCACGTTCGCCTCCGCGCCTGAATTTGCGCCGCCCTTCAGCTCCTAACGAGGTTGCCCACCAGTTTCACTCTGCAACAAACTCCCACAACTTCTCCAACTTGTCATCCAAAACTTCGGCTGCATCTCTCAACTCTCGGCTCGCGCTCTCTGTGCCTGCAATCAGTGTACTCGGCGTCACTATTTCAACAAATAATCAGCGTACATCACGACATCAAGCTTGCAGCACGTCCTCACATTGCACCACATCCGTCCCTTTCCCATCCTCTCGCTCAACAATTAGGACTTCAACCGGCACGAACAGACCCGCGCTAACATCGTGCCGCAACATCGTGACGGCAATCTGAGGATTCCCAAAAATGATGCGGGTCACTTTTCGACCTCCGTTCACGCCGTACAAGGCCATCCACGGACCATGGTCGAATTGCTGGAATTGCATGAATCCGTGGGGTCCTAGAGCCGCATTCGTTGCTTTCTCAAAGGCTTCCTTCGATTGTAAGTGGTCGAGGATGCCGAGCCCGGCGCTGCTGGGCTGTTTGATGCTGGAGTGGAGGCGTTCCAGGACGTGATCGAAGGGTTTTTCGATGGTGCGAGTGACTCGCGTGACTTGGTACGTGGTCTCTGTTCTGGTGGCCATGGCTCCTGACTTTGATGATGAAAGAAGATGCAGCTGGTCGAGCTTAAAGACGTGGTTTTGCCCTGTACGGGGATGATTACTGAACACGATTACGCCGCGGCTTCCCAAGTTGATAAAACTACAGGCATGTCTGGAACGCCGTACTGCGAGGCCTTTGTCTGTTGTGTCACCACTTCATCATTATCGAAGTGGAAGCCGGGATTTAACCCCTCCATCATCGAAATGAGCCAAAACTCCCGCATCGATGGCGATGGCGCTCGCACAAAGGACTCATCTTCGTCAATACCGTCGCACGCAAAGAAGATTCTCCTAACCGCTTTGATTGGCAATGAACGGTTAGACATGCCAGCGGCGGTGACAGATCTCGCATCAACGGTTGTCTTCACTCCAGATGTCGAAACATTCTTGCCAACGCCTCTGAAAATGACAGAGTCTGCCTCTGCGTTGTGGGCCTGTATTGGACTCTTCGCCAGTGCAATCTGCCGGGAGCGGCACAATACCGAAGCACCGAAGAAGATAGCAGTGGACGTATACTCGGCGACATTGATGCTCTGCTCAGTCTTCCTCTTCACGATTGATGGCAAACAATTGGCGAAGAGCCCAGCTGGCCCCCGAGCAGTCCATCTCGACAAAGGACACATTCGGGAGACATACAGAGGGCTGGTCTCGAATATGTATGAGACGTTGTTGAATGAAAGAGACCTGCTTGCTGAACGTCTACAGCTACAAAACGGCCGATGGTCGATATTTCCACACCCATGGAAGTCTCAATGCTACGCCGACGCTCACTATGCTGGGTTTGCCGCATCACCGTCCCGATTTGGAGGGCAACATTGAAGGGTGCAAAGACATCTACCGAGCCGCTGTAGCTGAGAGGGATAGTGTGTCACTGGAGGCGGAAGCTAACGAGCGATGGCTGCAGCCAGGTGTAATTTGCCGTGCAGTCGAAGAGTACGCAGCAACGCCGCACGGCAAGCTGAACATTGAAGAGTCTCTCTATGCGATCTACAAAACTCATGAGCAACAGTCGCGCACCCCCTGGCCGCCAAGCCGGACTCCTGGTGCTCCACTGGCAGGCATCAAAGTGCTCGACCTGACCAAAGTCATTGCCGGTCCAACGATAACACGAGTCTTGGCTTTGATGGGTGCAGACGTCCTGCGTGTATCGACAAACACGCAGCCTGAGGCTGTGCCCTTCATTGCGGATGGCCAAATAGGCAAGCGAGATACTGATATCAATCTCAAGACCCCGCAAGGAAAAGCACAGTTCGAGAGTCTTCTCCAACAAGCCGACGTCGTTGTTAGCAGCTATAGGCCCGGTGTTTTTGAAAGAATGGGACTTGGGAGAAACTGGGTCCACGAGCTAGCCAGGAGACGTGGCAAAGGCGTTGTGTATTGCAGGGAGAACTGCTATGGATGGAGTGGTGAGTGGAGTGGTCGAGCAGGGTATCAACAGATTAGTGACTGCGTGCGTTTTCGAGGTCCACTTGTCGACGTAAACGTATGAAGCTAATCCAAACCCAGGTTACTGGAGCAGCTTGGGAACAAGGGCGCTTCCTTGGCCTTGACGAGCCAGTCATGCCGCTGCTACCCAATTCCGACTCGCAGTAAGTTACAAAGCCGACTTTCCAGGGGCGACAAGCTGATCATACGACTTCTAGGACCGGCTTGACGGGAGGAATCGCTATAATGCAGGCTCTTCTTCGGAGATCACAAGAAGGCGGCTCCTACAACGTTGACGTTTCGCTGAACCAGCTCAACAATTGGCTTATCCGGAAAGTTGGACTGCACGACCAGCAGGCGCAAGCATCGCTCCGCGCCCTGCACCCCGACTTCCTCCCCAGACACGACACTGGATTCTTCGAATTATGTCCAATGGTCATGGAGGCTACGAAGAAATCAAACGGCACAGGATCGGGCCAGCTCTGGGACCGAGCGAGATTCACAAAGGCCGACATCCGGTGGGGTAAAGAGGGCGAGGTGGCCGAATACCTGGACTGGAGGCGCATAGTCTCCGCGGAGAGTGAAAGTGGCAATGAGATGGTGTTCGACTTCTCGAGTGCTTCATGCATGCCGGGATCTGATGAGGCGAAATGGCTTACTAGTTAAGAAAAGAACATCGTTCCGGAATCTAGGAAGCTGAAGCGGTAGTACGCCCTTACCGTAAAGGAGCCACATATAAGAACACATCTCAATAAGAATATAACAACCGCGAAGAGCGGGACTATCGCACTCGAGACGCTGGCATGAAGCCCCAAAAAAGGAACCCTCCGCCGACGTCGGCGCTTTGGGAGGCGAAAAAAGGACGACCAACATGGGACTCGAACCCACAACCTTCCGCTAACATCGCTGGATCATTCAATCGTGAGAAGACACGAGAGGGAACTACCATAGGAGGCGGACGCTCTACCATTGAGCCAATCGGCCGAGATATCTTGACAGAGCAAGAACGACCCGGGGATGGGCAAACTCTAATTGGTTGAGGGCAAAATTTGAATATGATGCCCATCAAAACGCACCCCGAGGTTATCCCGCGTCTCGCCCGTCCAGCCTTGCGTTTAATTCGAGGAGGCTTGGTGCAAGGCTTCTCTGACAGTTGACGAATGCAATGAACAGAAGGCGCACATGTATTCATACATCTATGTAATCCAATCACTACTCAGCCTCCCGCAGGGTATCAAGTGTATAATGCAATCCTCTCTCTCAACTCCCTCCACCATCCATGATGGCCTTGATGTTCTTAATGCTAATGGGCTTCGTGAGGTACTCATCCACCCCCGCCGCGAGCGCATCCTGCCGCGCCTTCCCATTCGTAACGCCGGTGACGGCCACAATGCGTGTCCGGCGCGCAGAAGTCCGTTTCTCTATATCTCGTATGAGCGCGGTGGCCGCGAAGCCGTCGAGCAGCGGCATGCTCATGTCCATCAGGATGACGGAGAAGGCGGACAAATTCGCGGCGAAGACGCTCACTGCTTCCAGGCCGTTGTGCGCGACTTCGTAATCGTAGTTGAGGCGCTGCATAAGGGCCACGAGCAGCTTCATGTTGACCATGTTGTCTTCCACCAGTAGAGCCTTGGGATTGCCTTGGGTAGATCCAGAGTCGGAGACGGAAATCGACGCTTTTCGACCTGCTGCGCCGCCGGGGCTGGTGAGTGGGGACAGGCCTGAGTACGATTTCCGTAACTCCGAGTCCGTTCGCATGACGCTTGGTCGAGTGCTGCGGAAGGGCATGCCGCCATTCGCCACCGGGCTGACGGGAGACAAGGTGTCTGCCCCGGGTAATGCATGCCCGTTTTCCTTCGGTGTGGTCGGTGTTCTCTGTAACGCATTAAACGCTCGGAGGAGCTTCAGCGGTCCAATACTGCACGCGCGTCAGTTCAAGTCTGGGGTAACGGCCGGTAATGCTGGACTTACGGGTGATGAACGACTGCCGTAGCAACGGAGCTCTCTACGATTTGCTCAACAGGAGGTGCCTCGAACGATGATTTGAGAACCAGCAACCCGCTCGAATGCGGCGAGAGCGTGGAGATTGTATTGGCCCAGGACTCGGCTTGCTCGATCTTCCACCTCAACAAATCGGCCTCGAAGATTGCGTAGACCACCGGATCAGATGTCGTCGGGGCTGTGGAGCCTTGGGACACCTCCCATTCCAGCCAAGTAGAGACGGTATCTTTCAGCGCTTCCACAACTTGATGCGCATCGGGCTGTGTGATGACGCTCTGCTCTCCGGGTAAGGTGAGCAGATGAAGACGCCTGGCGGGAATGCTCGTGAGGCTATCCAGTCCGGTAGAGGTGGATTTCGTCGTGCGGGAGAAGGCCAAGGGACACTCAAACACCACGACTGTGCCTTCCCCCAATTCACTCGTAATCTTGACTTTGGCCCCCATATCACTGGCAATCTGCTTGACGATACTCAAACCAAGCCCACTGCCAGCAGTATGCGAATCCTCCTGCGTGAAAGGTTTGTAGGCGTCCTGTTGCAGGAAGCGTGCAGACATGCCGACACCGGTATCTTGCACAATCAGTCGCACGCGTGAGCCTTTGGGTGCGGTTGGATTGCGATCGGCATCGAGAGCGGCAAGCGTCACCGACACGCTTCCACTCTTGGTGTATTTGAGGGCGTTGCCAACAAGATTGGTAATGACTCTGGTCCACGACCCGGGCTATGGCTTCGTTAGCAGAGCTGCCCCGTTTACTTGACCGCTCCATCCAACTCACTGATATTCGCGCAGTCCAATCGGACCGCTTGTCCACGGAGAGAGTCACTGCTACAGGCTTTGAAGCTCCCACACCGAGCTGAAAGGCCGAATCGTCTTGCAGAGCCTCAGAAGACACTGCTATTCTAGCCACTCCCTGAAATCTAAAAGCCGAAACAAGCGATTCAATGACCTCTTCAGTCAAGCGGGCCACGTCGACGTTCGAGGAAACGCCCATTTCCTCCACGTCTCCGGCCGCAGAAGCTTCCTGGTGGCGTGCGTTGTCGGCTTTGATCCGTTCGGCCTTCTGCGTGCGCGAAAGATTGCTGATTTTGGAGTAGTCCAAGATGTTATTCACACTACGACAGGATTAGCCGAGCCTCAATGCCGCGAAAGTACAAGCAGACATACGTGTCCAGTAATGTCCTGGCCGCCATCGACACGGTGTGTGTCATTTCGAGCTGGAATGGGGTCAGCTCGCTGTCTTGCAACAGCTCAGTGCCCGCGAGCACGCCGTGGAGGGGTGAGCGGAGCTCGTGCGAAATGGTCGATATGAAAGATCCTTTCGCATGGCTTTCGGCTGCAGCCTCCAGCTGGGCAATTCGAGACTGCAAGCTATGACCGAAAGCCGCGAGGTAGGCGAGGTCGTCTATTTGATCGAAGAAACGGTCCCGGTCATTGCTCCAGACAATAATGCCCGATTGCCAGCGTTCATTCTGTGAGATTGAGTCAGCTAATAACCCATCGAGTGTCCTTTCGATCGACGTACACTTCGGAGGGGGTAAAATGCAATGCTGCGTGCCCCGACAAAGACACCACCAAGGTATTTGCCGTCACGTTGCTGCTTTGTTACGGGCTTCACCGGCGTTGTGGCCAGATCGCTGCCGGCGGTGGATGATTGCTCTTCCCCCGAGCTCGAGTAGACCATCCCATCTTCGCTTAGATTGAAGACGCGCCCGTGAGGATGGCTATGAATCAGACGCAACAGTCGATCGCGTCGCAAGCTGTACCGGCGCCATGACGATGACTTGGCGAGGCCTGAAAGTAGACGACTGGAAAAGCCAAGCACCTTGCAGGTGCCATCGGAGCTGTCGGAATCAGAGGACCCTGACTCGCTGGGGGTTGCGCTCTTGTCGCTTGGGCTCTGACTGTGACTGTCCGATGTCAATGCGTTAGCATCGCCCGCCTTTGCGACAATGGACGCAGCATCGACCACAAGAACGCCCTCGGCGCCAAGAGCCTCTCGCATGAGATTGCTCGCGTGAGCATATGCTGTGCGCAATGCCGCTGGCAAGTCTTTTGCCACCTCTCCGCTCGATCTTCGCTGTGTGGCAGTCCTCTGCGCCGCCGTGTCGTCTGTCATCTCTCGCCGGGCGCCATCTGTCGAGCTTTGTCCGAAGTCTTCCGTTGCTGTGTCAGGCGCACTTTCGTTGATGCCGCCAGCAGACTCATCCGATGCAATCTTGGTCTGGAACTCCTTCTCCGCCGCAGCGGGTCCCTTTCTTGACGTGGCGTGAGTACTGTCATACCCCACGCCCCCAAACTCGTCGTCTGCACGCTCTCGATCTCCGGCGTTGGTGGCAGTGAAATCTCCCAAATGCCGGCCGCCTCGTCGCGCGCCCTCTTTCTCTTGCTGAATCCACCATTCGCGTAGACTCCATTTCCCCTGATTGAACAGACTGAGGCCTTGAATCTGCTGCGCCGCTCGCCGCCGGGCAACCCGGACGACCGTATTCTCCAAATGCTTGACGCACGTGTCTGCCATCTCCTCTGCAAGACTCATCTCGGCGGCGCTGATACCGTAGCGGGGCTTGTCGTCGAGCACAGTCAGAGCGCCGATGACGCCGCCGCGAGGGTCACGGAGAGGGACGGAGAAGAAGAAGCGATGGGATGGGCCGCGTCGCAAAAACCCCATATCCTTTGATGCTTCGTTGTTCGTCAGATCGGAGTAGATGGCGTAGTGGGCGGTGGTGCCTTCGCGGTAGTAGAACTCATCGCTCGGTGGAGGCTCTCGCAAGTGTCGTGCTCTTTGCCATTGGACCAAAGCAGGCCCGTTCAGTCCCTCCTCCCGCAAGCAGCTTGACGTGCCGATCCACAGCTCGTCGTGGGCATTTTCGGTCGTGTCGTATTGGAGGCTCAGCGAGCGTGTGGACTCTACGAGCATGTACTCCACCGTGCTGCCCATGAGCGTGACGAAGCAGCGACGGCATTGAAGCCTGAGCGCCGTCAGCTGGGCAAAAGCAGCCAGGGCCGTGTCTTTGCAACTCTCCGGCTTCTCGCCATCGGCGCGGCCATCGCGGGGAAAGGCAGGACGGTCGAGGTGTTCAGGGCGGAAGGTGGTGCGCCAGGCGTGCAGATATCTCAGCGCCGTCCGCTCCCGCGCCGCCTCGGTGCTGCGAAACAGCAGGGAGCGCTCGACGGGCTCCGCTTCGCCCATCGATGCCGTTGTGCTATCGCAAAGGGATGATGTTCACGCTGGGCCATGCTGGTAGCGGCAAAACAGGTAAAGCCTGGGGAGGTGCTCGATCTCGGAGGCCGGAGCTGCATCCCGGGATCGATGGCTGAGTCAGCCAATCGCACGTGTAGACCGCGTTCCAGACCGCGTTGGACCACCACCAATTTCGATGTCTTAAGAAAGTACCTTATGCGCCGAACCTCACATTCTCCATGATCTTGTCGTACGGAAGGCATCCTGTAGGCTACGCGTACTTTCATCTTGAGCTCAACATCCACGTGCAGATCATTCGGCGACCGAGAACCGGAGTCGGTGCGGGCCAGAGCTGTCCGTAGTCATGCTCGCTGGGTCGTGCCACCTCGGAGACTGGCTCAGGTATGTTCGGCCGTGATGGCGGCTGTGATGGCGGCCGAGAGGGATTGTAAGAAGCGCGATGGAGAGAGTGGACTCGTTGCAACGCCTTGCAGCAACTCTCCTTCGCTGTGCTAATCATCCAAAGCCCGACGGACTTCCGGCAAAAACTGCCCCCGAGTGTCTCGGGCTTGAGAGGGTCCATCCACGTCGGACAGAGAGCTGCGACGGACTCGCGAGCTGAACGGTCTCTTGCTCACCCGATTAACCCGTGTAGAGTTGCACATGTGAACTCAGCCGCGACGGTTTCGCGAGCTGAACGGTCTATTGCTCGCCCGATTAACCCGTGTAGAGTTGCACAGGTGTATTCAACCATGGCGAAGAGATTACCATCCTACGACACGACTATCTATAAAAGCCTGCTCCAACTGTTGGAATCCGGCGTGACCATGTCTACCAAACCAGCCTCGACTCCAACATGCCACCAACCAAAGTACTCATCATCGGCGGTGGCCTCTCCGGCCTCGCCCTTGGCCAATGTCTCCGTGCCGCCAACATCGACTTTGAGGTCTTCGAGCGCGATCGTGACGAGAAGTCACGCCCGCAAGGCTGGGCCTTAACTCTACGGGAGTAAGCATGAAAGGGCTAGAATCCGCCCCTTGGCATATGCACGTCTCGGCTGACGACGACGACAGATCCCTTGCGGGGATATATGAGTTGTTTCCCAAAGACATGCCTCCACTCGAGGAGAGCACGAGTCTCTTCAAGGATCTCTCAGCATCCGATCACGACTTGGCCGGTCTCCTGTCGAAGAAGGACAAAGTATCCTTTGGCGGCGTCTTGTACAACACCGGCGAGCTTCTCGCAGAGATCAATGCGTCGGAGCGGAACGACATTGAACATCATTGGTTTCGGGTCGACCGGACGGCCTTTCGCCAATGGCTCTCGCACGGACTGCAAATCACCTGGGCCAAGGAATTCGTCAAATACGAAGAGACTGACTGCGGTGTCCGCGCATTCTTCGCCGACGGAAGCTCAACACGAGGCACCCTTCTCATCGCCGCCGATGGAGCACACAGTCGTTGCCGCAATCAGCTGATGGGACCCGGAAATGTGGTGTTGGAGCATGCTGCCGGAGGCACCATCAGGGGCGATTTCAACGTCACCCGTGAAGAATACCGTGAGCTTTTGCAAAAGGGCGCGGCCGTCCTCACCGCCACAAGTCCCGAATACCATTTCTTCATGGGGCCGCGCTTCTTCTCGAATAAAGATCGCACCGGCACCTACTACTGGGCTGTGACGTGGGATAACAGGGACGATCCTCGGATCAAGGCTTGGACACCTGACACGCATGGAGACGAGGCGCGGCAAATGGCACTGGAACTCTGCTACGATCTGCACCCGAGTCTTCGTCGATTCATCGAACAGACGTCCGGCGATGAGCTCCTAGACTCCAAGGTCCAGCTCCTGCAATGGGCTCCGGATGTTGACCGCCTGCCTGGCCGAAGGGTGACATTAATGGGAGATTCTCTGCATACCATGACGCCTTTCAAAGGTGCCGGGGCCAACACAGCACTACTAGATGCTTTCGATCTGGCGCAGCTCATTGTGCACGCCGGGGAGAAAGGCGTCGACGTCAGCAAGGTCATCCCGGTGTACGAAGCTACGGCCGTGCCACGTGGTCGAGAGACGAAGGAATTCAGCAAATCTGCCTCACTTCAGCCTGATCCCACGCATTGGTCCAGGACGATGGAGAAGGTATTTGCGGCAGGATATAAGTGGGAGAAGCTGGATCTCGAGAAGGTGGCGATTTGAACTCGGACGCAATCTCGAAAGCATCCTGTAATGCATAATCCATAATTTCGAAGAAACATTGCAAACTTGTACATATGCCTCTCAGCTGCACCTCGATGGCCATAACTTAAGGCCGGCGTCGATTTGTCAGCCCGACCTCACTCGCTGACTTCGTATCAACAACCTTGGCATTACACTGCGGATATAAAAGGATTCACTTGCGCTATTTAAAGTCCAAGGTATCCAAGTAGTCGTTCGACAGACATATCTCACGTTGATTTGAAACGGTGAGATTGATTCAATCATAGAACCCAAGCATTCGTCGAGCAACTGCTTCCAGTCAACAATGTCTCGCTACGCCGAAGCGCACAAAACCCCGAGAGGACCAGGCGACGCCCGTCCAACTGCGCTTCAGGTGGTTGAAGATGAAGGCTTCATCGGCAAGCTTACCGACAAGGTGTTCCTCGTTACGGGCGTGTCGAGTGGTATTGGAGTCGAGACAATGCGAGCTTTGTACGCAACGGGTGGTCACGTGTTTGGCACCGTGCGAAATATGGAAAAAGGTCGGGGGAATCTCTAAAGCGATGAAAGCTGACGGCAGCTGATGACCAAACAGGTCAAAAGGCCGTCGAAGAAGTCAAGGCCAAGACTACTGGAGGCCAGATAACGCTCCTCGAAATGGACAACGAGAGTCTGGCGTCCGTGAAGCAGGCAGCTGAAGCCTTTCTCCGGCAGAGCAAGAAGCTCAACATACTCATCAACAACGCTGGGTATGTCTGCTTCTCCAGTCTGTTTCCAGAACACATCGCTGACTGTGAAATACCATCAGCGTCATGGCCACGCCAGAAGGCCGGACCAAGGACGGATTCGAGCTGCAATTCGGCACAAACCACGTGGCCCACTTTTACCTGTTCCAGCTGCTGAAAGACACTTTACTCTCCTCGAGCACACCCGCCTTCCCCTCCCGCGTTGTCAGTGTAAGCTCCTTCGGCCACCGCCAAGGCAGCGTACGCTTCGACGACAACTTTGAATTCACCCGCGACCCGTACAATCCAGGCGCCTCGTACGGCCAAAGCAAGACCGCGAATATATGGCTTGCGAACGAGATTGAGCGACGGTACGGCACACGCGGCCTGCATGCCACATCTCTGCATCCCGGCGGCATCCTGACCGGCTTGCAAATCCACGCGTGGGATCCCAACAACCCGCCCGCAATGCTGAAAGAGCCAACAGTGGCGAATTATCTCAAGAACACTGAACAAGGCGCGGCGACGAGCGTGTATGCTGCACTGTCTGCGGAGTGGAAGGACAAGGGCGGGCGCTATCTCTCTGATTGTGTGGAGCAAGGCCCGTTTGCGCATCCCGAGGACCCGATGTTTGTAGGCGATGATGGATACGAGAAGTGGGCGTACGACGAGGAGGGGGAGGCAAGGCTGTGGAAGGAGAGCTTGAGGCTGGTAGGGTTGACCGATGATCGGTAGAGACTCGTAACTTGCGTAAATCATTGCAATATCGACAATAAATGCGGGATAATCGCTCGTGATAGCATGCAGCTGTCCGATGAAGATGACTCTTTCCCCTGACTAAAACGATACGTCCGCGTTCGAAATCTTATCCACCGACGGCGCCTTCTTCATCTCATCCTTCTCGCGATCATGCGTTTCCTTCTCCTTGATCGAATCGCCCAGCTCCGAATCCCCAAGCTGCTGCTGGTAAACAACCACCAAGTCTTGGTCTCCAAACAATGCAGCCACCTCTTCCAGCGGCTTGTGCAGCGTGTCGGGGAAGTAGAAAAAGGCCATAAGCGAGCCGAAGACGGAGCACACGATGAAGATGATGTAGTAGTAGTAGCCGATGGTCGCGAAGGCGGTAGGGGCTGCTTGCAGCCACACGATGTTGATTCCAGAGTAGACGCAAGTCGCCAGGGCGTAGCCTTTGGCGCGCAGGTGGCTTGGCCAGATTTCGGCTTGGTAGAAGAATTCCGGACCATCGAGTCCGAGTTCGAATGAGACGTTGTAGAGGAAGATCATGGCGACACATGCCCCAAGCTGTCAAGATGTCAGTCACGTGACAGGATTTTCAGGCTCCAGGGCAACCACTTACGCCAGCTCTGTTGGTCGTCTTTTCGTAGACGCTCAGGAGGATCGTCAACATGGTCAAGAAGAAGGCGCACATCCCATAGCCCGTGCCTAGTAGGCGAGTACGGGAAACGCGATCGACAAAGGTCATGGCGACCAAGCTCCACAACAGACAATTGGCGGTATATCCAGTTTGGAAGAGGAGTTGCTGAACGTTGTCGAAGCCCAGCTTTCCAAAGATGATGACGCCGTAGTCTGTGCGAATGGATCAGTAAACCGCGATACAAGGCTTGGTTTTGTTCAACGAATACTCACTCTGAATGACCAGGATTCCAGAACTCATCACGCAAAACAGGAGGGTGATTGTGATGATTGCTCGCTTGCGGTACGATGGCCGGGTGAAGATCTCCCTGTACGTAGCCGGTAGGGTGCGGTCAAGTTCGATCTGCTTGCGACTGCAGTGACGTTAGCAATAGTATCGACCGCGGTACTGGATGCCATACATTTGGTAAAACTCGCGTCGGGCAAATTCATTGTTCGCGTCTGTCGGGTCACGGTGTAGACGGCTGAGCACCTCCCACGCCTCCTCTTCTCTGCCCTTCGATAGCAGCCAACGCGGGCTCTCAGGAATCCAGTAGATTCCCAGACAGACGACGAGTGGTGGAATCATGGTCAAAGCCAACGGGCCGCGCCAGGCATCGGAGGATTCGAAGAAGAAGAAGCCCAGGCCAATGTACCCTGTCACAACGTATGCAACGTTGATGCCTACGGCGTGGATGTCGGTCAACATTCCGCGGTCCCTATCAAAAAGCCGTGTCAGCTGGGAAAGTCAAAACGAGTTTGGTAGTGCTCTCTCGCTTCTCACCGTGGTGGGACAATCTCGGTGATGTAGTTCGGAGCTGCGGCTACGCAGTGGTAGGCTCTGGGAGCGGACAATCAGCGGCTGTCAACCCATTTGCGGCCAGCGTCCAAACAGGAGCCATACCCCCATCCAGCAAAGAATCGGAAGCAAATGAACATTCCAATATTCACCGCGCCAGTGATCAAAGCCTGTGAGACGAGGACTGTTGCACACGCGACGAACATCGACCATTTTCGGCCGTACGCGTCCGCCACCCTGGAAAATGGTCAGTCAGAGCGCTTTGTCGCTGGCTCGATGCCTTACCAGCCATGGACGAAGGGTCCGAAAAATCCGCCGGCGTAGAATAGGCTGCTCGTCGCGCCGAGGAGGGCGTTTCGTTGATGATAGTGCTTCTGTCCTTCGTCCAATTCCATCGCGCGGTACCAGCTCGGCTGTCCGATTGTAGTGGAGATGATGGCATTCGAGGCGCCATAACTCATCGAGACAAAGGCCGCAAAGAAGACGACCCAGAGGAGACTCCATCGAATGACATGTTTCCGCTCGACCAAAGTTTCTTGAGCCATGTTTGCGGATCAATGATGAATAAGCAGGCTTGTCTGGCATAAAGGAGAGTGAAGCAGACCGTGTGCGGATTAATAGCGTCTAAGGATTGATTGCACGGAGGATCATCACCGTGGAAGACGGCGGGCACATGGCGGTGGCGTTTCAACCCTCATTTGGGGCGTCATCTACGGCGATCACCGCTTGGGGTCCCCGAGGTCTACGGTATGGGGTAAAGTTGGGGTCGAGCGCACGTGCAGAGCTTACGCAGGGATCGCGGGGGGCTGTATACGAGCGATGCTTGCGCTGCCTTCTTGCGGTTGTGGTAGGGAGGAAGGAAATGACGTCCCCTTCCCCACGGGGTTTCAATTCCGGCGGCCGAAAAGTGGGGCGGCGTGCCGCGATGCCCGTTGATGGCCAGCCTTGCGAGGGCCAGGAGACCATACCGTCGGAAATGTGAAAGGTCATTTGACTCAGCCATCGATGGGTGACAGTACGCGTGTTGGCAGTCCGGGGCATGACCGATTGGACTCGGAACGCGCCTAGTTCTGAACGATCCAGTGCGCTGGTAAGAGTCGCTGCTGTCGTCGTTGTCAGCCGCCGGCAAAATCGGCATCCGCTTCGATTGCCGAGGCTACTCTCCCCGTGTATGGCACATTCACAATCCTTGCGTACGGCATTCAATTCAACGCGCTGGCCTTGTGCATGGAAAAGGGAAGCTTTTGTGAGTACTGCACAGATCGTGATAGGTAGCCTGGCTGGGCAATCTCTTATGCCTAGCCCACTGGATTGGCCTCATATCTTTCTTGTACATGTCCTCGTAGTCGATGCTCGGAAGGATACCAGTAGAGTTGTCTCGATGTGTAGGATATACAGACGCTTCCAATACCCGACCACAGTTTGATTAAAGATTTATGAAAGAACGAGAAATGCCATAACTACGGTCTGTTGCATGTCGTTGATGCCGAGAGGGCTTTATGCGGGGGCCAAGGATCTGGGGATGACCCACGCGTGAGAGCGGCCTAGTCACCACTTCACTTCCTGGCATTCGCCCAATCGTCCTTCGTCATCCGTCCCTGCATGATATTCCTACAAGGTCGAATGTAGCCGCCAGGCCTGCAGGCGTGCTCTCGCGCATAGGCTGGCATCTCGAGGCGTGCCGAACATCCCCACACACCCACAAGCAATCATGGCCAGTAAGCCCAGCGGAGTGCGCAAATACTCGGCGGCGGCCTGCTTGTCTTGCAAGAAGCGCAAAGTGAGGTGCGACAATGGCAAACCGCGGTGCAGCAATTGCGTGTTGTACGATGTCGAGTGCGTCTTTGGCGACGATGGACGGCGAACATCTTCCACCACAAAGGCCATCTCTGCCCTCAAAGCTCGCGTGCAAGAACTCGAGGGGGAATTACGTCGATCTCAGGTGAACGATCAGCCCGACTCGGATTCCCAACGAGGCGAACAGAGCAAACACAACGTCGCAGGCTCTAGAGAACAACAGCAGCCATTGCCATCACAATCAATCTCTCATACCGAAAATGACGACAATGAAGGCCTTCTGTGGAACGACTCCTCTATGATTTCGCCAAACTCAGCCATGGATGCATCTGTAATGTGGAACATGGAAGATCCCCAAACCAACTGGACAGGCCCTGTGGATTTTCACGGGCACGACTCCAATCTTTTCATGGTCGAAAGACCCTTTTTCGGCGTCCCACTGCTACATCAGGCGATCGAGCTACCGCAACTCTCTCCGCTCACCTCTCATCCCGACTCGGAGATCGGGAACGCATCGCAAGGGGGAAATACTCCGTCGAAAACTGAAACCGACGAGCACGTTGACTTGAGTGAAGACGAACTGGCAAGTCAGCTATCTACCACGACCGGCTTCTACAAGACAGGCGAGGACGGTCACATGCGTTATTACGGAGCGACTTCGACACTGAGAATGACCAAAGAGAGCCCGTTGTCGCTGTACTCACCAGCAATCCGCCCCGTGCGCAGTGACGGTGCACGAAACATCGAGCAAGCTGGATTGTCGTGGGATAAAGATGCAGATTTCGAAGAACACCTCACGAAGCTATATTTCACCTGGCATAATCCCTTCATTCACGAAGTGGACGAAACCATGTATCGACGTGATAGGGAGGTGTGGCGCGCCGGCGAAGACACTCCTTTCTTCTCACCAGGCCTGGAAAACTCGATCCTTACGACCGGCGCACTCTACTCCTCTCGCACTCATCCGGGCATTTCAGGTCCCGTGTCAGAATTCTTCAATGCCCGTGCGAGGATATATCTAGACCTGGAAATGGACAGTCCTTCCTTGGCCACCGCACAGGCGTTTCTAGTCCTTGCGGCCCACGAGGCAGCCAACTGCCGAGATTCGAGAGCATGGCTGTACAACGGAATGGCCGTACAACTCATTACCGATCTCGGCCTGCACGTTGATGCACAGCGAGAGCGACAACGGTCCGACGGATCCACGGACGACCACAGCATCACCAATTTTCGACACCGGCTTTTCTGGGCAGTGTACATGGATGATTCGTTCTACAGCAGCTACCATGGTCGGCCGTCTCTCATGTTCAACATGAAAGTTCACGTACCCGGTCCCGTGCCATCGACTTGTGCTGAGTGGAAGCCATACTGGGATTTTGAAGAGCGGAGCGATGCTGTCGGACAATTCGACGAGCAACAACTGCGTCAAATACCGGTCTATGTTGCACAACTCGCCATGAAGCTGGGACGCATACAGGGACAGCTGTATCATGCCACACCGGACAAATCGGACAAGACTCTAGCTTCGGTCCTCGCCATGACAAACGACCTCGCATCATGGCACGCATCTCTGCCCTCGACAATATCCCCGGAAATGGCTGCACTCCCTTTCGTAGTGATCCTCCACCTCCTCTTCCACGAAGGCATAATCTTCTTGCACCGCCCCTTCCTCGCTGATGCACGGCCCATTTTTGCAGGCAACATGACAGCAAGCCAGCTATGCAGCAATGCAGCCGTGGAGATATGTCGGTTGCTCGAGACGTCCAAAGCGAAGTATCCGCTCAAGTACCTCAACGGCTCAGCTGTTCGCATCGTCATTGCCGCCGGCACAATTCATGCCTACGATAGCGTGGTATACTCCGGGCCCCGGGGGAAGCAAGCGCAGGGCCACTTTCTGAGCGCCGTCCGCTTGCTTGGAGAGCTGGGCACGACTTTTAACAGCGCTACGAGAGGACTGGAGATTATCACCTCGCTTCGCAGCGAGTGGCAGGCACGACGATTTCAGCAGTCGAAAGGGAAGCGGAAACGGTTGGGCTCTATTAAACAGAGTAATGGTTGAGGTTCTTTCTGAACTCAGACGCGCTCATCTCCGTTTCCCTTTCGACTTTGTGCCTTTCCACACCATCTCGCCATGTGTTGCAAAGGATCGAGGCCGCTTGATCCTTCCCCAAGCTTTGGGAAAGATCTTTGGGACGAGAGCGCACAAGATACAAGCCAGAGCTAGCAGCCAAACTCCGCCAACAACTTTTGACTCCATTGGTGACAGCGCTTCTAAGAGCCGAGTCGAACTCGCACGCATGGAACGATGCCCCGTACAAGCATTGGTGGGAGCCGCCGTCATGAGGGTTTTAGATCTGCCGAGCGAGTTGCCAGCAACATCAAAAGCCTCAGCAAAGACACGAGCCGCATGCCCGCGATGGATGAACGACGTTTCGAAGCCTGTCCTTTCTTTCACCCCGATCCGTCTTGCACCAAAATCCCCACCGTCAACGGCGTTGAAACTCCACTCATGCACTTCCGTCGCTCCATTCCAGCTCACGTGGAGAATCGTCAGCAATTGGCCGGCATTGTCGCAGACAGCTTCCGCATGCAGGTCCGGAGGATCTATCGGTCGGCCGATCCACGGGAATTTGAAGCCGCGATAAGAATGAGCTTCCACGCCCAGCACTGCCTGCATGGCTAATCGGCCGTCGGGCGTGTGTTCGGAGATCCGGCTCGAATACGCCCAGCAGATGAAGGCGTTGCCGTTGGGAAGAGTCTGGAAGTTGCCTGCAGTACAATGAGTCGAGCTCGCTGTGAAATAACCCGATTATATACCTCGTGCATTGATCAAATGCGCATTTGGATGTGCATACTCCTGCGCCACTTCTGCAGTCATGCTTTGGAGGTCGAGGGAGAGCACGAGACCTCTCGAGTAGTCATGAGTGCTCTTCGCGGACTTGTCATCGCCCATGGCATTGTCAAAAGCGTCATCACGATGTGAGTTTTGTTTTGTGAAGCAATCTGCGCATCATGCTGTCGGGAGAATCTCCCGGCTTTGAGGAACGGGATTCCAAAACGTTGCAGTTACGTTTCGCATGGAGTGCCGAGGGTCACATCGATGTCAATGAAAGCTTCGTCAAGCCGGTCTGCAATGGCGTTTGGGACTTTTTGTGAGCGAGACCCTCGACAAATGCATCAACCAGTACTGACCGTCCACGATTAGACACGCGAATTCCGTCGACAAGTTCCCTGGTGGCGACTACTTGCTCTGCGGCAGACACACCGACACTCTGTACAAGATCTCCGGCCAGGACGGCACAATCCTTTGGAGGTTTGGAGGGAAACAAAGCGACTTTGCATTTCAGGGCCATTTCTCCGGCCAACACGACGCTCGGATCATCGCTCACAACGAAACCTATACCGTCATCTCCATCTTGGACAACGCCATCCGGCCCGGGCTGCAACCTACGACTAACAACTACTCACGAGGAATGTTGATTGGCCTCCACACTGATACGATGGTTGCCAGTGTCCTCCAGACCTACCCTCACCCACACGGTGGATACGCTGTTGGGAGGGGAAACTTCCAATTGCTAGGCAACGGAAATGCCTTTCTGGGCTGGTGGATGCAAGGTCTGATTAGTGAGTATACGTCTGATGGCCGACTCCTGATGGACGCGAGTTGGCTTCCTCGACTCAAATCGTACCGCAGCTACAAATTCGACTGGGTCGGGCATCCCGCGGAACCGCCTGATGTTTTTGTGAGAAGCGCTTGGACTGAAGGACGAATGCAAACGATGATCTATGTGAGCTGGAATGGAGCGACGGAAGTCGATCATTGGGTGGTGTACAAAGCATCCGGGGACGACGGTTCGAGGAAACGACTGGCTGCTTTCAAGCGGACTGGATTCGAAACAGCTTTCAAGTACGACGGATTCGAAGGAGATATGACGATCGAAGCCATCGATCGAAGTGGCAGTCCGTTGGGGGAGTCCTTGATTGTGACAATCGAGCAGCCAAAAAGAACACGATGGACGTACGGCCTCGAGCGAGCTCGACGGACCCGCATTAGTGCCTTCGCGCTTTGCAGTCTTGTTGTCGTTTGCGTGCTGGTAGGCGTTTCTTTGGGGCTCCTCAGGAAGAGCAGATTCTTGATGAGCGGATGGGATCTACGCGGCCAGAAGTTGTACGAGCGAGATATCTTGAGACGATCAAAATGGTTATAGAGGGCATCCTGCATAATGAGGATTTTTTTCGTACTGTAAAGAGCACAAGGGACGGGGGAACAGTATATCAGGGTTTCAAATGCTTCACACCCCTTTTACATGCACGAGCCGCGCTCATCGTGGAGATTTCACATCCCATTCGGATGCGTCCAAATGTTCAGTCCCGCTTTGACACCATGGGAGAGCGGAAGACCAGCATGGAGAGTACGCCAGTCCCCCGATCCATCCAGCCTCGTGTTACGCCAGAATAGAGCGCTCCCAGGCACCGGTTTTGTGGTGAGCGTGCTGTTTTGACACTCGAACCATTTGCACCACTCCTCGTCCTGCGATGACCAGTCAACCTCTACGTAGGGAAAGCGAGTCCCGCAGTCGCTGCAGTCGGCATCAAGAATGGCGAACACGGTCGACTCGCGATTGGTGACTTTTCCGTCCTTTTCTTCCAGCCAGTCGTGATGGGGTTTGTATTGTTGACCATCGACATAGTAGGTCATTTGAGGCGTTTCAACTAGGTCCAGAGGTACGTATCCTTGCAACTCGGCCGCTCTTTTCATCAGGCATCGAACTATCGGATCGACTCGGGGAAGAAAGGCTGTGGAACTGTTGCGAGCATTGGGCATGATGATGTTGCTGTTCGTTCTAACAACCGATTGCGTGAGTCGGGATTTCCTGCAGAGCGTCAGATCGAGCGGCGTCTTTGTTTCGATTCATCCATGCTCTCACGTACCCCAAGTCTAACAAGTGCTCTCGCTCCGACATCGTGACGAAGTTTTGGATGTGCATTATGAAAGGATCGTAGGCAACGAGGTGGAATTTCCAGTCCGGTTGGTCGCACTCAACGCCATCTCGAGTGCCGACCACTGCGTCGTTCTCGCTCGGAAACCAGGCAAGTGCGATCGATATGGCGACAAAGCACAACAAGCCATCGCGCACATACGAGCAGCATGAGTAACCACGCATGATCAATTGGTGTTTGTGGAGAAGAGTTGACTCAATGTAAGTGTGTGAAAACTCCATCGCTGTAGGACATTAAATGGTCGGTTTTAGCGGCGTTCTATGCATGCTGACACTGGGGAGGCTGATCCGCACAATTTTGGTCACGCAGGCAAGGTAGGGCCGGGGCTGAATGTTGCAGGGAGGCCGCGTCATGCGCTGCACACGGACGTGGAGGTGTACTGCATCGCGAGCTGAAGCTGTGGGGGTGTCACGCATATCCTGTAGCTTTCTCAGGCGTCGGTCGGGGCTGAACAAGTGTCGTGCCAGAGGAAGGGAGACAGACCTTGAGTGGCTCGCCTAGATTACAAACAAATAAGCTGACCTCGGGAGAGCTTACGTAGCAACAGCAATTCACTTTTTCTGCACCATAGCCTGGTGGGATTTGATGAGTTGCAAGTGGGTTTGTGGGGGCCGCGCTAGAGAAACGGGTACCGCGCGGCACGGCCGGCAAGGCAGGATCCACCAAAGCTTGTCGCAAGGCTGAGCCCAGCTGAACGACTCCAACGGTACCTCATTTACGTTGCCACTCGGGCAGCAATCTACTTGAAGGTCCGCAAGAACATTGTGGAGAGATTGAAATTAAGACTTGTGTCGTCTGCGCAGTAAATTCATGAATTCAAAAAAAACTATACTAAACGAGTGTGGTATTTAGACAAATGGAGGTCGCGGCGTGAAGCACAGCAATCCGCGCTCAGGTACCACATCCGTTCTCGCCCGAGGGGATGGAAGCATCGCAAACAACGACCTCGCCATAGCAGCATGGATTGCCGTTCGTGGAGCACTAACATTACTCGTCAGTCTTGCGACATGAGCCCGAAGACATGAGGGACAAACAGGTCTTTCGGAGTTGCACTTCACCGAGCCGTTGTCTTGAGTGTGGCAGTAACCTGCGCCATCGTTGCCGCCACCAGTAGAGCAGGTCTAGTTGGAATCGTTAGCGAGGGACGGTACACTTGCTTCAGAACGGCGACTCTTACGCCAGGATCCATTGGTCCTGGGCCGACATAGGACTCCACGGCGCGAGGAGCAGCCATCACGGGATCGGGGGAGCGTTGCTTGAGGATCCCTCCAGCATGGACTGCGGTGGAGCCCATAATCGCAACAAGAGAGATGAGCTGGGAGAGTTTCATTGTGATGATGAAAATCGAAAAGTCTTTCTGCAAAGCGTAGGAAGGTATTGCACTCTGCCTTCATTTGACGGGGATTTTGAGGCACTTTATATCTTTGAGCGAGAGGTTTTCATCAGCGAAAGGACGATGCAATGATGACGAACGTCTCTCCAATGCTCTCTCAGCTCGTCAGCTGGTGAGGGATTTTCTCGCCAATCGTTTTGAACAACATGGCGCTGGAGAGTATACAAGCCGTCAGAGCTGAAAAGAAGTACGAGTGGGCTACGTTCACTCGCTCCTCACCGACTACCACAATGAGACTAGGTTGCTTTATAGGACTTGTAGAGATGCAACACGGCAGCAGCGGAAGCAGAAAATCGTCATCAGAGTGGGATTTATGTAACACACTAGTCGGCAACGCGCGCTACATGGTGATACCTGCGTGGGGTTCACGTGTCAGTTCCGTCTCGATCGCCAAATCCATTCAGTGAAAGTGTTGGCGCTCGGTTCAGTACGTAATTACCATGGATGATCAATCTTGGGATGCTTCATATCCGCCACGTCTATCTATCCACCCGTCAATGTTAGCCCTAGTAGGAGGCTGCGGACTTCTCCGATGTACACTTGATGCGGGACGCGATCAGAGATCGAATCACAGATTGAGGAGAGTAAAAACGGTACTTCAATCTGTTCGACTCAAAAGCAAACGAAACAGCAAATCTGTCGTAAGACCAGCGAAAGTAGTCGCAAGAAAGTGGGTTTAAAAGACAGCGAAAGTAGTCGCAGTAAAGTGGATGAATAACCAGCAAATCAATCGCTAGAAAGAGTTTGTAAAGCCAATCTGTCGTTTCGATTGAACTGATTTTATTTCGTGTTGGCATACGTCTCGTCGGCGTGTGCATCTGAATCTGAACCTGAATGAGGGCGTGGTATGAGTAACTTCTTCAATCTCACCTTTGATCTCCGTAATGCTTAGCGTGACTGCAGCGCTCGCGATGAGGGGTAGTCTTCACAGAGTACACGATTTGCTCTGATGAAAACGAGAGGGAGTTTTGATGATGTTGTGTCGAAGTTGTGAATTTCCAACCTAACCTATAAAGCTCAATGTCGGGTAGCTAGCCAATCAGACGCCAGTATTACCGTCCGCTTCCGAGGGGCTAAGCTGCTACGATCTCGTTTGCAAACGGTGATTCCGTTTCGAGCGTGTACTATGCCCTCGATCATGCCTATCGTGCCCGTGAATTCTAAGCATGTGCCGCTGGAAAACTTATCACTGAGATTGAACAGCGATGCGCCGGTTTCCCGCGCCGTCCGACCGCAAGGCTTGAAATAAGCGCGCTAGGCCGAATGCGGCCCATCTCGCGATTCGATGGCGTTCATTGGATGCCCGGAGTATCGTCGTATAAGCAGACCGCAAATGTAAGATGGGTAATCATTAAACGAATAAATCCAGCATTGCATAAAGATGTCATCCATGGCCCAAAACGGAGCGTCTCGCGTTGCTGCCGATATGAGTGGCACGGGCAAAGCGATAGAGCGCACGAAAGACGATGAGGAAACCGCGGCTGAGTAATTCTCCATTCGCGTTACATTTCGTGTATAAAGGTGCCCTCGACACGATGCTTTCGCTCTTCTCCCGAATGCAACGACATCCCCTTTCCAATCCTCATTCTTCCGCTATCCAGCCTCCCCGCACCTCGCAATGGCCCAAACCTCAATCAACCATCGATACATAGCCGAACATAAAGATCCCCAAGGACCCGGAGATGCTCGACCTACTGGCATCCAGATCCTCAAAGACAATGATCTGATCAACAACATGGTTGAGAAAACCTTCCTTGTGACGGGCGGAACGGCTGGTCTTGGATTGGAAACCGTACGAGCACTGGCCAAGACGGGAGCAAACGTGTTCTTTACAGCGCGGAACGTCGAGAAAGCGAACAAGGCCGTCCAAGACATCGTCGAAGAAGTGAAAGGCGCGAAAGTCGACTTTGTCGAGATGGATAACACGAGCTTAGAGAGCGTCAAGACAGGCGCAGAGGCTTTCCGGCGGAAAACCGAGCAATTGAATGTTCTCATTTGCAATGCCGGTGAGTCAGCATGACGAATGTATCATTTCGGCTACTTCGCTAACCTTTGCTGCTGTAAGGCATCGGCTCCGCACCGTATGGCCGGACAGAAGATGGGCACGAAATGAACTTTGGCGTCAACTATCTCGCCCACTTCTACCTCTTCCAGCTGCTGGAACCACTGCTCTTGGCCTCTTCGACTCCATCGTTCCACAGCCGCGTGGTGACGCTATCCAGCAGTGCGCACTGGTTCTCCACCGTCCAGATCGGCAACTACAACCAAGAGAGGAAGCTCGAGGGGAAGATTGAGCCGCTTTTTGACCTGGGCGATGGGTACAATCCCCTCATTGCATACGGCCAGAGTAAGACGGCCTTCATCTGGTTGACCAACGAGATTGAGCGCCGGTATGGAGGGAAAGGGCTGCATGGGTTGAGTGCAGACCCGGGCACCATCGTCACGGCCATTTGGGGAGGCATGGACCCTCGCGCAGCGGAGGCTCTTCAACCCTACGTAGAGAGTGAGCAGATGCAAAAGGGCTTCAAGTCGGTGGAGCAAGGGATTGCAACGCACGTCCTGGCGGCTGCTGGGAAGGAGTACGAAGGCAGAGGCGGCCTTTATCTGTGCGATTGTACTACGCCGAGGGCGTTGGCGGACGACGAAGCAATTCCCGCGGACGGCTATCGATCGTGGGCGTTTGACCCAGATGGAGAGAAGCGGCTTTGGGCGGATTCATTGGAGATGGTGGGTATGAAGGAGGAGCCTTAGCGTTTGACGGCCCTGTAGCTCGGTCAATTGCACAGTGCACTGTCAGACCTCGAGTCGATCGGGTGTGTTCCGTCGAGTCAAAGATCTCCAGTCCGCCTCCGATAACTCGTGATCGACGATATCCAGCAAAGTAGCTGCTTCTTTGTGGCCGTAAAGATTTCGATCGGCGGGCGGAATCATGGTGCTGAGCATGGTACTCAAAGCAGCAGAGAGGGAGCACGAAAGCTCCGCGTCGATGAGGGTGAGATGTTGAAAGCGAGGCAGGATGGAGCGGAGTGTTTGTGCCCGCTCGCTCCGCACCGTTTGTTCGGTCAGGTCGTCCAATACGGAGAAGGCTCGAAGTCTGCTGGCCAGTGCTCGCACTTGCTCTTGCATGATTAGGATGAATGAGTCGGTGACTATGAGGAAGAACTCGGTGGCGATGTGGGTGGCAATAGTCAGAGTGTTGGCCTTCTTCTCAGAGCAGGCTGGCTCGAGGAAAGCAAACATCCGACTGAGGAGGTTCTGGCGCATGAGCAACATTTCTTTCGTCGCAACGTCCATCACACGGTACCGCTGGTGGCTGCCGGCATCTTTGATGAACGCACAGCTTCCCAACAGTTCCGAATAGAAGACATCCGTGTCTGGAGCCCGAGGCCCCTCGACAATCACTCGAGTGAATAGATCTGAGTCGGGTTTGGAGTCGACGTGGGCTCGCCGCGGCATCTGGGACCAGGCGTCTCTCGACAGAAAAGAATGCGGTTGAGAGATGAGGCCAGACAAGAAGACGGAACCCACTTCGAGCCCCAGGACTGCCTTTTCCAAAGCAGAGGAGGTGTCGGTGATGTTGCGAGTTTGGAGCATTCTGACCACACCTCGAGCGTGGTATATCCACTTTTGCGCGGAATAGTCTTTGTTGGCTTCGTACATTTGGAGCACCAAGGCCGCCGCGAGCGTTTCTGCGGCGTGAATCTCGCATGGATCTCGCAATGCTTTCTGCAGGCTGCCGAGGGCGTTCACGTAGGCAGTGTCGTAGATAAGGCAATGCAGCTGGCCGGAAGATCTTGTGTTCTGAGTGATGCAACGGACCGCATCATCCAACGCCGGGCTACGGCCGATGCATACGGGGAGGTGCATTAGGACATGGCCAGGCGGCATCATATCGAGGGTGGCAGAAAGAACACCGGCCTCCATCTTGTGGGCATAGTCGAGGCGAAGCAGCTCCGAAGATGACAGTGGCATGGGTAGCAAGCCATTCCGCGAGCCCGCGCCGTTCGCGTGGTTATGGATGAAGCGGGCATCGTATCCCGGACACTTCCATCCCGCCTGGATGCACTTTTGGCAGGCGGGGCGGGCAAGATCGCACTTGATTCTGCGCTGGCGACATGTAGCACAGCCGCGGCTGGTTCGTCTGCCTACCATGAAGATGAGGGTGTTTTGCTGGTGACATGTCAGATTGTTTGGGAAGGGAGGAGGTGCTCGTAGGCAGCTCTGCCAAGGAAACGTGATTGAATGTCAGCCGCGTGGGATTGCCCCGCTTCCACGCTCTCCGCCCCGCATTTGAAGGAGCCGACGCCCAACTTCAACATATAACAACTTGGAAGTTAGTCTGGTCCGTTTTCTAGCACGGAGGAGGCCGCTTGACGAGCGCCATGGGGAAACACATTCCGTTTGCGCAATACTTGTTCCGACGATTGACCCAGCTACACTGCCACAGCCTCCATGGCGTGCCCGGCGACTTCTTCCTTCGAGCCTTGGATCACATCCCTCAGTCAGGATTACGATGGATCGGAAATGCCAGTGAGCTCTGTGCCGGATACGCGGCGGATGGCTACGCCCGAGTCGGCAGTCAGCTTCTACGACACAAGCCTGGGTTAAGAAGCGGTAGTTCCCCAATTGTTGGTGCGTTGATGACCACGTATGGCGTCGGGGAGCTTAGCGCGACCAATGCCGTCGCCGGCGCTTACGCTGAAAGTGTGCCGGTTGTACATTTTGTCGGCACGCCTAGTCGGAAGGCGATGTGGGGAGACAACAAACTGCCCGTTCACCACACTCTCGGCGACGGGAGAATGAATGTATATGCGGAGATGGCCAAGAGTATCAGCTGCTCCCGAGCGCTGCTCTACAAATACGACGACATCACGACGGCGGCGGAGTTATACGACGAAGCTCTACAGATGGCCGTCATTCAGTCCAAGCCGGTCTATGTCGGTGTGGCGAGCGATATGTTCGAGCAGCCAGTGCTGGAGGACATGCTCGAGAAGCCACTTGACACCAAACCACCACTGAGCAATTGGCGGAGTGAAGATACAGTCTTGGATGTATTGCTCGACAAGCTGCGTACCTCCCGACGCCCGCTCATCATCGCGGACGGGCTGAGTTATCATTTCGACTTTCAGTCCGAGATCAACGCCCTCGTATCTCTCACCGGTATCCCTTCCATGTGTTTTACATTTGGAAAAGGCGTGATCGATGAGTCTCTGCCAACCTGGGACCCCGCCCTCCCGAACACGACAGAGTACAGCCAGAATGCAGATCTCGTGTTGATTTTCGGGCCTGTGTTGGGAGACACGAATACTGCCGGATGGTCTGCCATTCCAGACGTTCAAAATACCTTTCTCTTCAACCTGGACTCCGTGGCAGTATCAGGACATGTCGTACCGAACGTCCGGAGTAGGACCCTGTTGCAGCGGCTATTGATGAGGCTCAAAGAAGAGAATGTCGTCCGCAAGCCAAAATTTGAACGGACACAAAGAGATGCGCCAAGAAAGGCGCCTTCTGCGAACAGCACAATCCTGCAAGATGATCTATGGCCTGCACTATCGGACTTTGTAAAGCCAGAAGACACTCTACTGCTAGCAAATGGCACCCCGCTCGTCGGTGGCCGAGCCATCCAGCTCAAATCCGGTTGTCAAGTCATCGCAAGTCCCATCTGGAATGCCATAGGATCCATGCTGCCCGCCGCGCAAGGGGTAGCGCTGGCGAAGAGAGACCACCAACTCCCCGGCCGGACCATCCTCCTCGAAGGCGATGGCAGTTTTCAAGTGACTGCTCAGTCGATCTCGGACATTATCCGCTACAAACTCGATGTGACGATCTTTATTGCAAACAATGCCGGGTACACGTATGAGAGATGGCTTAATGGAATGCATGCGGAGTACAACGACGTTCCGGCGTGGCGGTACACTGATGCCCCTCGATTCTTCGGCGTCAAAGAGGATGACCCTACTTATCCGACTCTTGGCAGGAGAGTACAGACATGGGGTGAACTTCAAGAGGTGCTTCACGATGACAGGGTCGGCGACGGAAAGGGCTTGAAGATCATCGACATTGTCTTGGACCCCGAAGATGTACCCGAGAAGGCGAAGCCGGGGCTGGCGCGCGCCAGTAACGCTTTGCGCACGACTTGAAGATCGACAGGCGACGATATTGAGCTTTCAATGCCGGCATTGTCCGTCGAGATCAGTCCATCTTTCATCAGCGCCGCATTCGGTCAGATTTCTTTGTGACAAAGGAAGCGTCGCGGATGTCGAGACGGTCCAGGCCCAGTCTTTGTCCTCGCACCTTTGACTCGACTATATTTCCTCTCCAATGCCTGTGGGAGCTTCCCGGTCTGCAACGTTTCTGGCATTCCCTCTCCCTCTCCCAGACACTCTTTTACTTGACACCATTCACGAAGCAAACATCAACATGCTCCGCACCAACGCACCCACGGCCATGCTGGCCATCCTGGCTCTATCCACCATCGTCCAAGCCGGCCCAACCCTCGAACCCCCCAAGACCTTCACCCCAAGAAACAACATCCTCACCTGCCCCGCAGCGCACGCAAGCGAGTACACCGAAGCCGATGGCTGCACATGGGGCATCCTCTGCGGCTGGGACACGCACGCCACCACGCACAAGTGGGCGCCTTACGAGGGCTACACTTTTGAGAAGTGTATTGCCGAATGCGATTCCAAGGCTGATTGCGGTCTTGTGACTTTTACCGGTCCTGAGGATAAGGGGACTTGCTATTTGAAAGAAAGCACGAGACATGGCGGCCTGATTCGCACGGGCAACATGGGCGATCGCACGGCCATCAACCTCCATCGCAGGAACTACTTGGGTGAGCGGAAGTCGGGGGCGGGTGAGGCGAAGTCGAAGACGAAGAAGCCGGCTTCCAAGTCCTCCGTGGTGGACCCATCGTACGGACATGCTCACCACAGCGGCGAGAAGCACCATTCGTCCACTTTGGTGAATCCTACGTACGGACATGCTCACCACAGCAGCGAGAAGCACCATTCGTCAACCTTGGTAAATCCTACGTACGGACATAGGCACCACAGCGGCGAGAAACACCACTCGTCCACCTTGGTGAATCCTACGTATGGAAATACGCACAGCAGCGCGAAGAAACACCACTCGTCCACCTTGGTAAATCCTACGTACGGACACAGCAGCGCAACGAAACACCACCACAGCTCCGAAAAGCACCACTCGTCTACGGCCCTTGTGAACCCTTCGTACGCTCATCCCCACCACAGTTCCGACAAGCACCACACCGAGAAGCACCACTCGTCTACGGCCAAGGTGAATCCTTCGTACGCTCATACCCACCGCAGTAGCGACAAACACCATTCGTCCAGCTCGAGAGTGAACCCTTCGTACGCACACAGCAGCGCAAAGAAACACCACCACAGCTCTGAGAAGCACCACAGCTCTGAGAAGCACCACTCGTCTACGACCTTGGTCAATCCTTCGTACGTGCATACTCACCACAGCGGTGAGAAGCGCCACTCTTCCACGGCCTTGGTGAATCCTTCTTACGGACACGTCCACCACAGTGGCCACAAGCATCACGGCTCTGAGGGGCACCACGGCCATGAGAAGCACCACGGTCAAGAGAAACACCACAGAACCGACAAGCATCACGAGACCGACAAGCATCACGAGACCGACAAGCATCACGAGACCGACAAGCACCACTCGTCTACGGCCTTAGTGAATCCTTCCTACGTACACACCCATCACGGCACCGACAAGCACCACAGCGGCCACAAGCACCATAGTACCGACAGGCACCACGCCACTGACAAGCATCATGACAAGCATCATGACAAGCATCATGGCACTGATAAGCATCACGGCACTAAGAAGCACCACTCGTCCACGGCCTTGGTTAATCCTTCGTACGTGCACCCTCACCATGGCGACCATAGGCACCACAGCGGCCATAAGCACCATAGCGAGCACAAGCACCTCAGCGACCATAAGCACCACAATGACCACAAGCATTACAGCGGCCATGAGCACCACGGCACGGCCAAGGTGAATCCTTCGTACGTAAAACCCCACCGCAGCACCGAGACGCACCACTTGTCCAGCTCGAAATCGATCCCGTCAATCGCACTCAGCAACACGCAAAAGTACCACAACACCGCGGAGCACCACTCAACTAGCTTGAAGGAGACTCCTTCGTTCGCATCCAGCACGAAGCCTCACCGCACCGAGATGACCCCCTCGACTAGCTCGAGATTGACGCGTTCGATTGGATACAACGACCCCGCAAAGTACCACTCGCCTACGGCTAGAGTGAACCCTTCGTACGTGCACACCCATCACAGCGCCGAGAAGCATCACTCCGAGAAGCACCACACCGAGAAGCACCACTCTGAGAGGCACCACTCGTCTGCGACCAAAGTGAACCCATCGTACGTGCACACGCACCACAGCGCCGACAAGCACCATAAGCACCATAAGCACCACTCGTCTGCGACCAAAGTGAACCCCTCGTACGCCCACAGCAGCGAAAAGAAACACCACCACGGCGCCGACAAGCATCGTTCGCCCGACGGGTACAGGACGGCAACTACGACTGTGCCGACGCACATTGGTACGGACGGGCATCGTCATCATTCTGCTTCCCGCCAGCATGCTCATTCCCATGCCAAGCCGGCTGCTTCCCACCGCCATCACTCTAGCGATGGACCTGCGCCTTACTACGAGAGCTATGTCTGATCTAGTTTCGACACCTTCGTTGAGCTCGACGGTAGCTAGATTGATAAACCCAGATTGAGAGTAGATATTGCCTTTCCTTCACATTCACTGTACAAGAGTATTTAGTCGTGCAAATCCCTCTCCAGTGTCACCTCCGGTTTATCTATGCGATAGATCACTTTGGCAGTATTCAAATAAGCCTCGTACTCCACTTCCTCTCCTTCCAGATCGTAATGGTAATGTCCGCCACGATTGCTCCCGTCGGTGGTGAAGCAGTGCGTGTGCTCCATTCTCAAGCCCATTTTCTTGTCCGGGTCGGCGGAGTGGAAGACTGTGAGGCAGACTATCGGAGCGGAGCCAGTCGAGTCGAAGTTGTGGTATGTCAGCCAGTCGTTGAGTTGTTTGGCGTCTGTCGTTGTAGGAGTCAGCGGGATAATTCTTGAGGGTGGAAGAGTGGTACTCACCGGTAAATGTATACTGCTGGCCCTCCGGCTTCTTAGGAAAATCAGGCATCACGTGGTAATTCGTCTTTCCAGCCTTGATCACGAAGACGCCCCCCAAACTCACCGGCCTCTCGCCATACTCCTCCGTCAAAGCCCTTCGAATGCTTTCCGTAAAGCTCTTTCCCTTGCCCTTACGTCCCTTCACAGTGATTTTCAGAACATCGCCAGGTAGTCCCGCAGATCCATACAAATTCATCATAAGCGCACAATCCGTGCTCGGACTCCGCTCACACACCGCGGCCCCACTACTGCCATCAACTTTCGTGTAGTGAGTCAGGTTCGTTACATCGTCGTACGTTCCCTCCCACCCAAAATTCGGCGCCAGTTCCGAGTTGACACCAATTTGATACCACGGGCCAGCACCAGCTCCAATCAGCATACCCTGTTTGGCCGACATGCCCATGTGGCGCGCGCATGTGAGCATGGAGTACTTGGTCTCGGCGAGGCGCGGTTCGGGGAAGAGGTTGGGTTGGCCCCCGATATCGGCAATGCATTCTCTCCCGCTGATGCCTTGGGCGGCGAGATGGAAGGGCGCGGCGCGGAGGTCGGGACATTGGACGACGCTGATGGCGGAATGGGTGTAGTTTGCTTCAAGAGCGGGCGTAAGGACTTTGATGAGCTCGGCGAGCGGGGGTGGTGAGAGGGGGTGTTCGGTGGTTTTCATGATGGTGGATGTTGGAGTGGGCGATGATTGGGTTGATTGCGGACGTTGAGTGTTTTTGATGATTGCAGATATACTACCTTTGCGTGTCCTCGGGCGATGCACTGCGAGGTGTGGCTAATGTATCGAATCCCAGGAAGTGAGTCGTGGTGAAGTCGGCCAGGCCGAGAGCAAGGTCCGAAACGGTCCCTTAGAAGTTCAAGAGAAGATACGTAGACGTCTGTGAGGAGATATCCGTCGTTTGTCGAAGCTAAGAATGTCACGATTGGACGTTCGGATGAAGTGAAGTCATTCCCGAGGCTTTGCTTTGCGGAGTCGCACATGCCGTTCTCGGAACCGGTGAGAGCAACTACACCATCACACAAAACAATGTGGCGATAGAACATCAACCGATACAATGTCAACAATCGTCAAACCCGCCAAAAATGAGACTCCCAAAACATTCCCCACCTACCCTGATCTGAAAGGCAAGGTGGTGTTGATCACCGGCATTGGTGAGGATAAACCTCCTCGCATCCATTCATCAACTACTAACACCTCCTCTTAGGCCAAGTCGGCATCCCAGATTCCGCAACATGGGGTAATGGCGCCGCGACCGCCCGTCTCTTCGCCATGAACGGCGCCTCCATCTTCGGCTGCGATCTGAAACTCTCCGCCGCCGAATCGACCCGCTCACGTCTGCTGAACGACAACCCGGCTACCGAATGCACCGTAATGGCATGCGATGTGACTAAACCCTCCGACGTCGAAGCCTTGATCAAAGCAGTCATGGCCAAGCACGGACGGATCGATATCCTCGTCAACAATGTCGGAGCGACAGTGTCTGGCTCCCCCAGCACAATGCCGGAAGAAACATGGCTGCAGCAGATAGATTTGAACCTGCACTCCGTCTACCGCTGCTGCCACGCCGTGATACCCATAATGGAAGCGCAAGGCGGCGGCAGTATCGTGAACAACGGCTCCATCACGGCTTTGCGGTACATAGGCAAGCCGCAAATCGGGTACGCGACGGCGAAGGCGGCAGTGATTCGTTACACCAAGACGGCGGGCGTGATGTACGCGGCGAAGAACATTCGGTTTAACGCGGTGATTCCCGGGCTGATGTACACGCCTCTGGTGGAGAATTTCGGGATGAGTGACAAGCCGGAGGAGCAGGAGACTTTTATCCGCATTACGCAGCATAATGTGCCTATGGGCAGGTTGGGGGATAGCTTTGATACGGCTAATGCGGTGGTTTGGTTGGCGAGTGATGCGGCGAGGTATGTGACTGCGCATGCTTTGGTGGTGGATGGGGGGATTACGGAGAGTACGGGGACGGGGGAGTAGGTGATAGATTTAGTCTCTTAGTCCCGCAGACGCTGCAGTAGGGCTTGCTGTCTTTCGCGCACTGTCGCAGCGACCGCATCGACATTCAAGCCTCGCATGTGATTGCCAATCTCCCGCGTACTCTCCTCAAGCTGGTCAATGCCCGCCTGTGTCTCGGCGGTCAACACTCTAGGCTGTCCAAAGCGTGTCGGCGAGTAGACTGCTCCAAGAAGCGCAGCCGAATCCGAGTTTGCCAGAGCAAGAGACCGCGACACCTGCTCCGCTACACTTTCTTCTGATTTGGTAGACAGGGCGTCGAGCTTCTTTTGCTGCTCCTTCACCGCCTTTTCCAGACTCTCCGCCAACTTCGCTGGATCAGAAGGATTCGGCACGCGCACGTCCAGCATTCGCAGTAGTTGCACCACCGGATCTTGGTTCTCCGAAAGATTTGCCTGCACCAAGCGCAATGGTTTGAGGCCTTTGGCGGAAGACTTTACGGGCGAGTGTTGTGAAGTCTGTTGTGCTTCAACACCACTGGCGAGCACGGCTTCCAATGCTGACGATATGGTGGTCAGCGCGGCGCGATGGTGATGCGAGTGTTGGAAGTGGTCATGTGCGACTTCCAGGCGAGCGGTGAGGTATTGAAACACTGCGGCTAGGTAGCCGGACCATAATGCCTTTGCATGGTCTTCGTCGGACTGAGCAGATTGCAGCGCTCGTAATGTAGGCTGCTTGAATTGGGTGTCGACGGCCATGGCAGACAGAGAGTCGATTTCTCGGCACAGCTCGTCAAGTTCGGATTGTAGGGATTGCTTTTGCTGGACATTGTCGGACAATTCTTCACTCTGGTTGCTGCTCGCTGACCGCCGTTGATACTTGGCCGCTGCAGTGTGGTAGACTTGGTCGAGCTGCAGATGAATGTCCGCGCTCATTTGTGTCGTCAGAGCTTGACATAGGCGCTGGACCTCTTCGGCACTGTCTCGCTGTGCAGGAGATGCAAGTTGACCGAGGACTTTCTCCAGTCCATCCAGAAGCCGATCATCCTTTTCAAGGAGTCTGTCTACATCGGTGGGGAGAGTTTGGCTCGCAGCATCGGATTGCCTCATGGAAGTCTGGAGACGACCCCGCAGCGAGGCCAGGGATTCTGCGTGCTCAAAGTCCAGACTCGCTTTGGCATGCGTGCTTCCGATGGTTCGGGGTTGGGGTGCTGCGACATTCCGGCTGATAATATCTTGAATGGCTCGCTTCTGAGACTCCAAGCGGCGACATTGCTTCTCGATTGCCTCCGCGCCGGCTTCCAGAGCGGTGATGGCGCATTCGAAGCTCTCATCGGAGATATGGTAATTGGCGGTGCCTGGAGCGGGCTTGCCGGCATGACCGCTCTCGTGGCTACGTGCATATTAGCGACAAGGATCCCGCATGAAAGACAAAGGAGCGTACAAAATTAGTTCTTCGCGTGTCAGCAGCGTGTCCGGCGAGAGGTACGTCTCCGCCCATTCCGCCATCCGCTCCTTTGTCTGCGGGGAGTCAGAGGGCGCGGCATCCTCGCGATTGGGTGATATTCCACGCTCGTTCAAGGCCGCGAGGAGCTGCGGCAGGCCAGCGGTCGACATGTCACTGCGATGGGGGTAGTAATCAATACATTTGAACTCTTGATGGTGGTGTTGACACACTCCTGCGCTCAAATGTCGCGTTGTTGAAAGTGGTCTGTGCGCCGCAACTTGACTTCATCGTGTCCAACGACATTCCCTCCCTTCTTACTACTGCGCACAATCAAAAGGCTACATCTCTCGAGCCAGTGCCATCACCGCAATTTCCCTCACTTTAATGGACAACTCGTAGATCAGGCCAGGTAAGGCGAATTCCAAATCTGCTTAACGACGCGCCCATTGCCCCGTTTGCTCTGCAAGATGCCGTTTGCATGGCCCTGTGCAACCACCGTGCATGCGTATCCCACAATTTGTGTCATTGGCGGTTTTTATTCCCCTTTCCTCCACAACATGTTACCTGTCTTTCCCATCTCCTCTTCTTGACTTTTCACCCATCATCACCACCCCCTCAACATGGCAACGAACGGGCAAGAGCTCGACGAGTGCAGCAACTGCCGCGCCACGCAGTCCACCGATGGCACGCCTCTCTCCACCTGCGCCAAATGCCACTCCAGAAAGTACTGCAGCTGCACCTGTCAAGCCGAGCGCTGGCCCTTCCACAAGACCTTCTGTGGCAAAACGCCCATCCAGGCGGTAGACGACCGCTCACCCCCCACCGAGCAAATGCGCGGCTATGGCATCGTCACCACACCCCTGCCATCCCTGTCCCCAGAGTATCGCAACGTCTGCGGTCACCACATGTGCACCTCCGCCCCCTCATCGTGGGTGCACAATGCCCCAGTCTGGATTGATGTCCCCATCAGCACCGCTGTCGGCATGCCCATGCGTATGCTGGCGGCGCCAGTGACCAGCGCTCTGCGCGCCTTCACCAACGGGACGGTCAACGCTCTGGGCATCGACATCGATCCGACTTCGGCCACCTTCGGCGAGATCCACTGGGCTTCCAATCAACCGCCCATGGGCGAGTGTCTCCTGGTTCGCGTCGATGGGCGAACATTTCACATGACGCACGTTATGGCGCTGTATCGCTATGCCCGCGAAAAGGCCTCGGGGCGATCAAAGCGGCTACCAGGCAGGAGGCGGCGGGGAAGACGGTGGACAGGCAGGCTCTTGTGGCAAAGTACCTGAGTCCCAAGGGGTTCAAGATCTTCTTCGAAGAGATGAAGGCGGCGGAGATTGGGAGCGATCCGACGGCGTGGGAGGGCGTGGAGTGTCCGGTGGAGGTGGTTTGAGGGGTGAGGCAACAATGGCATGGCGGAGGTGCGCCGAATACCGGAGCGAGACCTTGAGAGAGCATGCAGCATGTGACAGTGGCCAATGCGCCTTCCAGTTTGTGAATGTGGCAAATTCGCGTTCCTTCCCTTTTCAGCACTTCTCGCACATTCTCTTCCTCCCACGAACCTTCTCTTCTCACCTCCACCCACGCTCATTCATCTTATCTCGTAAGCTCGGCATCAACATGGCTCCCCCGATGAGCTTCAAGAAACGCCTGTCGCTTCGCGAGAAGTTTGATCAAATTCTCGACATGGACGAAGAAACCGCAGCTCGATATCGCGCCGACACCATGAAGGAGCTTGAGGCGTTGCATGAAGAAGCGCAAACGACCTGGACCGAACAATTCAAGACTTGCTCGAAGTGCGAAGACGACGATGACGTGGATGTCGCGCAGGAGGTACGATGGCAACGCGAGGCTGACCGCTTGCAAGTATATCCTACTGATCTTTGGGTGCAGGAGAAGGAGTACGCTTCGGCCGCCGAATTCAATGCGCATTTGCAAGGTCCCTTCCACAAGCCGGCATCCAAATGGATGCGCTATGCGGAGAAGCACTGTGTCGATGACGATGGCGATCTTCGATGCCCTTACTGCTCGCAGGCTGGGATCCTCAACGCTGCCACGTATGAATCAGTCGAGCTCCTGGTCAAGCATGTCAACGACAGCAACCCTGCGAATACGAACCAGTCGCACGATGAGTTGAAGACCGCCGCGGGCTGGTACACGGAGGAGTTCCAGCAGTCGCTCGCCCCATCGATGCAAGACAACACCGCGCAGAGCCCCGACAACACCGATTACCGCCGCCTTCTTGGCTCCGGAATTCTCCTCACGCCCGGTAAAGTGATGCACGAATCCATCCCGCATCCGACGCTCCCTGGTGTCTCGATCGGGCCTCCGCCCACTTCGCAAGATCCCGCCGACTTGTTTCCCGACCTGGTCTCTCGTGGACTTCCAACGCGCAACCTGGATGTCATCCCTCCTCACCTCGAGGGCATCATCGGGAAGGGGTATCAAAAGCATTCGCAGAGGACCCTAGCATTGTGAGCACCTCCAAGAAGGCGCAGAGTACGGATTGGGAGATGATGACCACCGAGAAGGGTGAAGAGGAGAAGCGTGGGAAGAAGAGGCAGAAGAAGAACTAGGCTACTGTTGTTGGGTGTCTTCACCGACGGTCTGGCGTAGATGATTCGGCATGTTTGAGAGTACCGTACTCCAACGTGGTGCTCTGGAGATGCGCAGGATGTAGTTTGTGCAATGCGACTCGTTTCATTCACATCATTAACACCTCGCGACCTCCTTCGCCTGCGGCAACAGCTGCGGTGTGGTTACCGTTTGTTTCCCTTCGGAAGGCATCTGCTAGGACTACTACAGGCTTGAGTAAGGTGGCTGTACCGATTGCAGCACTGACAAGTCCAAAGCTGCAGCGTCCAGTGCCTTCGATGTACGATACCCTTGTAGGATCGCCCGAGCGCGCAAAGTTCTTCTCCTGAGACTCATGTAATGGCGAGTCGAAGAGGGTGCGGAGAAGATGTGGCGACTGGCGAGGCAGGTGCGGCGAAGAATGTGGTCGTTGAGGCAGGCGCGACCGAGATGGAGTCGCTTCTAAGGCAGGTGCGACCGACTTTTTGTAGTTACTGAGGCAAGAGCGACCGAGATCCAGCGATTCTTGAGGCAGGTACGGCGGACATGCTGCAATTCTCAAGACAGCAAAATCCGAATTCTGTGCAAAACCCGAATTCTGTGGTTAATGTACAGTGTAACGGAGATGGACTGGCTAAGGTGGTATAAGGCAAAGAATAGTGATATGAGCGGCTAATCTTCGGGGGAATAAATCAAGAGGTTATATTTTAACCGCTCCGCGTGCTCCACAATTCCTACCTGTCACTACGTGGTTTGCTCGTTCAAATTTGAGCTGCAACTTTAGGCGTGGACATGCCCCAACTTCGGAGGTGATTTGCCGACATGGCGACCGCCTCTAGGAGTTAAATAGGGCTGCTGGCGCAACGGTAGCGCGTTCGACTCCAGAATAAAAGCTTTAGTTAAGCCTTAACTAAGCTATTACTGAGTAAATCGAAAGGTTATCCGTTCAAATCGGGTGCGGCTCAGGTGATCCTGGCTCTAAGCCATCATTTTTAGTGATTCTGCACTATATTAGCCTTAAATTCCCTATTTTTTCCCTTTAAAACCCCTGTTTCTACGAAGAATTATAGTGAATTATAGTAAATTATAGCCATTCAGCCCTTTAGAAGCATAAAATCACTCTAGCGAGGGCCGCAATACTCGAAAACCGCTATGCCATAGTCAATATGTCCTAAATACTATATCTCTAATACCTATGGCTAGAGGTGTGGTTCACGACGCTGCACGAATTCTTTCGTTTGAAACTGGAGTCGAACGCTTCCAAAATTTAGCCAAGACCAACACCCGCTAGCTCCCGCGTTCGTCGGCCAATCAAAGCTCGGAGGCTCCACGGCGCCCAATATCATGCACACGCGACAATGTGAACTGTCAAAGATGAATAAGACTGATATGATCCGCTACTGCATCGTCGCTCGACGATGCGCAAGAAGTAGTGATACGCCTTGCGCTGTGGGAGGACTACATGAGTGTGGCTCTGACAGATGAGCTCATCGATACTCGCCCAGTCTACGTGAGTAACGGCAATATCTTCGCACACATCAGCCATGCACCAAATAAGGCCGCTAATACGTTGGAATGCAGCGTCTTTACGATGTGAATTGAGCGTATTCCGATCAACCGCGGGAATGTCGTCTCAGCCTTGTCGCGCAAGTCTCGCGTGAATCTCCGCGTTTTGCATGATGTCATCGTGCCAGGCACCAAGTCGCGAAAAAGTGTCGAGCTTCACGCGCTTGCCTTGCACAAACCACACCCACCATGTAAACTTCCGCACACACACACGGGACTTCGAGGACCACCTGCAAAGATGCCGCCTTTCGGGTTCCGAAAGCGTGAGCGCTCCTCCTCCCCGCCCGTTCCTCAGAAGAAGGCGAAAGCCACGCCCTCGCGAGCAAAGCCGACGCTGTTCGAAACCGTCGATTCCCCGAGCACGAACGAGAGAAGTCTAGAGGAGAACAAGAAGTTTCTCCAGAAGCTGGACGATGACGATGATGCCTCCTCCCTCAGCGAAGCCGACAGTGACGAGTTTGAAGATGTGCCTCCGGCGAAGCGACGCAGAGTCGATCCTGCAGAAGACGAGGATGGGGAGCAAGAGGACGAAGAGGATGAAGTTGAATGGGAGGATGCTATTCAACCAGAGGACACCTCTGAGCTGTATACCTCGACATCTGCTCTCCAGCATGAGCCCGAAATCACCGATGTGTCCATTTCAGTCAACGATGATGGCACGTACATCGAGCCGCTGGTCTCCGCTGCCACTGGCAAGAAGGGACCCTCCAAACGCGAGCGCCAGGTTCGCGTGCAGACGCATTGCTTGCATGTGCAGAGTTTGATGTGGCATAACACTGTGCGGAACTCATGGCTCAACGATAAAGAGGTGCAGAAGACGCTGATGAATGGGTTGACGGAGGGTGTCAAGAGAGAGGTGGAAACGTGGAAGAAGGCCATGGGTATGTCGAGCCAACCCGAGGTTGAAGGAAAGGCGAAGAGCAAGAACAAAAGAGGCAACAAAGGCAAGCAAAAGGCTGGTGGCAGAGACTGGAATGCAGGAGCAACACATCTCGATCCAGGCCCGCGTGCCGGCGATCCGTTATTACGACTGCTTAAGGTGCTGGCGGCTTACTGGCGTAAACGTTTCCTAGTCACCGCTCCGGGCCTACGCAAGCAAGGATACAAACCGCTGAGACGCCTTCGAGATGACATCCGCGCCTGGGAGAAGGACCACAATCGTGACGTGGAGGAGTACGGCGAGCGTGTCGAGAGCTTGTCAGACTTTCGCAAGCTGGCGAAGAAGTGTGAAGGCTCTCGGGATGTCGGCGGGCAACTGTTCGTTGCTCTGCTCAGGGGCCTTGGACTGGAGACGAGAATGGTGGCGAATCTACAGCCGATTGGATTCGGATGGAGCAAGCTGGAAGAAGCCGATCCCAAAAAGACGAAGAAGGAGGCTGAGAAGTCTGCCAAGGTGGAATCAGAGTCTGACGATGATGCTCCGGTGATTGTGTCGTCTACGTCCAAATCAAAGAAGGCGTCCAAGAAGAAGACTCTGGCTGCCGAAAACGCCTCACGCAAATCATCCAGAGGCAACAAAGCCGATCCGATCAATCTCGACGATTCCGACAGTCCACTCAGCAGCGTACCCTCGGAACCCGAGGTGGACGAAGAAGAGGAAGCCGATGATATCTCGGTCATTGACATCACGCCTTCTACACCAAAGAGAAAGGTGACGAAGAAATACGACCGCGGCATGGCTTTCCCCAACTACTGGACCGAAGTCTGCTCCCCTGTTTCCCACAAATACTACCCCGTCGATCCCATCGTCCTGTCGACCATTGCATCAAACGACGAATTGCTGCAGACCTTTGAGCCGCGCGGAAAAGGGGCGGAGAGAATGAAGCAAGTCATGTGTTACACCATTGCATTTTCTGCCGATGGCACCGCCAAGGACGTCACCGTACGCTACCTGAAGCGCCATCAACTGCCAGGCAAGACCAAGGGCATGCGTATGCCGGTGGAGAAAATACCCATCATGAATATCCGGGGCAAAATCAAGAGATACGAGAATTACGATTGGTTCCGCACCCTCATGTCCGTCTACGACCGGCCGGAAGGCAAACGCACCGCGGCGGATGACCTGGAGGAGCAGACCGATTTGAAGGCCTTCAAGCCCACTGAGGAGAAGAAAGTCGTTGCCAAAGAGAGCTTGCAAGGCTACAAGCAGTCCGCTGATTTCGTGCTGGAGCAACACCTTCGCCGCGAAGAAGCCATCCTCCCCGGCTCCGAGCCTGTCAAGTACTTCATGTCTGGCAAGGGCGACAAAGAGCAGGAGTTGCCTGTATACAACCGCGGAGACGTCGTCAGTTGCAAGACCGTCGAATCCTGGCACAAAGAAGGCCGTGAGATCCGCACGGGCGAACAGCCGCTCAAGTACGTGCCTGTGCGGGCCGTGACGCTCATCCGCAAACGCGAAATGGAAGATGTGCAGCGCGAGACGGGCGAGAAGATGAAGCAAGGCCTTTACTCTGCAGCGCAGACGGACTGGATTATCCCACCGGCTATCCGCAACGGCGTCATCCCCAAGAATGCTTTCGGGAATATGGACGTTTACGTCCCCACTATGGTTCCGCGCGGCGCAGTCCACTTGCCTCTCAAAGGAAGCGCAAAGCTCTGCCGTAAGCTCGAGATCGACTATGCCGAGGCTTGCACGGGATTTGAATTCGGAAAGCAGCGCGCTGTGCCGATCTTAACGGGTGTGGTGGTGGCGAAGGAGAACGAGGGCATGGTGAAGGATGCGTGGAGGGCGGCGCAAAAGGAGCAGAAGAGGAAGGAGGATACGAAGCGCACGGCGACGGCGTTGCATTGGTGGCGCAAGATGGTGCTGGGGCTGAGGGTGTTGGAGCGGATGAGGGTGGAGTATGCGGAGAGTGGGCTTGGGGGTGGCGAGGATGTGAACCCTTTTGTGAGGAGGGAGAAGAAAGAGGTCGCAGGGAAGAAGGTGCAAATCGATGATGATACGGGAGGAGGCTTCTTCCCTCCTGGGTATGACGAGGAGGAGGTGCCGAACCGTGGTGCTACGAGTGGCGCGTCTCCCGATGATGAAGAAGGTGGAGGATTTCTGGTGGAGGACGGCGACGAGCAGGAGTCTGGCGGCGGAGGGTTTCTGGTGGAAGACGATTCCGAGGAAGCTGGACGAGCGACGACGAAGAAACATGCCCCGATCACGCCAGTGTCGCTCCAATCGATGCACAAAGCGGTCAATGGGTTCGCCGACTCGGATGCCGAAGAATCTACTACTGCGCCCGCGAAAAGCAAGAACAACGGTACCAAGGCAAAACCGCGCCAGTCGAGCGCAAAGAAAGGCAGCAACAAGTCGGACAAGAGCCGCACAGCTCCCACGCCTGACGAAAGCGATGCCGAGTCCGAATTATCAGACATGAAATCCGAGGACGACGGAGAGAGCGACCACGCAGCCACTCCTCCACCCAGCAAACGGCGTAAGACCGCTTCCATTCAAGGCACTCGCCAGAATGGCATCGGCTCACGTTCCCGCGCTGCAACGAAGAAATCCACGCCGCTGAAGAGTCAGTACTTTGTACACGGTGAGGCTGACGAGGCTGAAACCGAGGACGAATCGGAGCTGGACGCGAACAGTGAAGTGGAGGTCGTGAAGCCGAGGATGACTACTGCGCGCACGAGAACGAGAGCGAAAGCGAAAGCGAAAGCCGAGAAATGAGATGTTGCTGCTGTGAAGGGGCCTCGTAGAGTGGTCTGATGTCTGTGATGAACAATGGCGCGACTTCTGGGCTGAAGATCCACCTGAGATTCGGCTGAGCATTACCGACTGTCAGCTCGCCCTCATACATACTTAATCAAATACAATCCCCATTGACCAACGTAACAATCGTCAGTGCAAAACTTCAATCATCATTGTAAGATAAACATGTCCAACACAAACTCCCCTCCACCACTCAACATCCCCGCATCCACCGCAACAGTCACCATCTCCGCCATCGACACAACGACCCTGCTGGACTCAAATACCGCCTCGCTAACGTGGAACCCACCCATCAAGGGTTTCGACCGAGCTGTCGCCGGATCCTGGAGTTTCCTTATCGAGCACCACGCTTCGGGGCGAAAGTTGCTATATGACCTCGGTCTGCGAACGGATTGGGAGAAGCTGCCGCCCGCGTTGGGGTTGCAGGCGCTAATGGACCAGGGGGTGGTGAATGAGTTGAAGGCTACGAAGGGCGTGGCGGAGATTTTAACTGAAGGGGGTGTGAGGTTGGAGGAGGTTGAGGCGGTTATTTGGTCGCATTGGTAGGATGGAGCATGTGAAAGGTTGAAGACTACAAGAACTAACGTTAGATACAGGCACTTCGACCACACAGGCGACATGTCGACCTTCCCCTCCACCACCCGGCTCATCGTCGGCCCGCATTTCAAACAACAACTCCTCCCCGGCTACCCATCCGACCTCAACGGCGTGGTAATGGAATCCGACTTCCACGGCCGCGAAATCGACGAGTTGGACTTCACCCACCCCACCGCCATCCGAGTCGGCCGCTTCAAAGCCCTCGATTACTTCGGCGACGGCAGCTTCTACATCCTCGACGCCCCCGGCCACGCCATCGGACACGTACATGCCCTCGCCCGCACACACGCCTCGCCCGACGCTGCTTTCGTTCACCTGGCTGCCGATTCGATTCATCATGTCGGCGAGATCCGACCTTCGGAGTACTTGCCTCTGCCGGATCCTATTGTGCCTTCTCCCGTGCCTACAGTGCATCCGTTCAGTTGTCCAGGGCATTTCTTCTCTGCTATTCTGAGAGAAGGATCTCGGAAGAAGCCGATTTTAGAGGGCCAGGATCCGTTCAAGGAGTTGGGTGGTGATTCGAGGTTGAGTTTGATTTACGATGAGCCGGCTTTACGGGATACGATTGAGAAGGATGAAGAGTTTGATGCGCACGAGGCTGTTTTCACTGTTATTGCGCATGATTGGAGTTTGAAGGGGGTGATTGATGAGTGGCCCAAGCCTTTGAATGCGTGGAGAGAGCAGGGGTGGAAGGAGAAGGGGACCTGGAAGTTTTTAGAGGATTTTGAGGCGGCGGGTGTGCATGAGAGTTAATAGAGCAAGGAGATATGAAGAATGACTGCCGTGTTACTGTTAGATGAGGAGCTGTTAGACCATGAAAGACGGTTGCGATCAGGTACGAAATAGAAATGTACACCGTACCTTCCCTGCTTTATGTTCGCCATTCATTGGTACCGAGTCGGCTAACGATGGAGCTTGTGTGACGGGCCCCAAGGCGTATATCAACCGCACCTCCTTGCCATCTCTCATCCTATGCTTTTGTGTGGAATAGAGAGGCCTTCTATCGTCCTGCTGTCTACCTAGGCTACCACAGACCCCGCCCGCACCATGACCGGACCACGGCGTCTGCTTCGCACGGAAGTGCTGATCAGCAAAGATGAGATCTTGAGAGGCACCACTTCCGCACACCGTCCCGCGGATGAAGACACAGGGTAGAGAGGGCATCTCGGGATGGTCGGTCAGCGCTGCTCACCGCCTTGAAGGACTGCACTGAACTTGAGATCAACCGGCACCGGAACGAGGCTGGCCCCCACTGTTTCCGGCTCAGAGGTGCGAATGAACGCCATTCAGATTCGTATAGGTCATTTTTGCCACCATTCTGTCGAGAGTCTAGACCCTGTTTCAGCTGCAATCAAGCACGAGACACTTGTTGGTCAGCGCAGCCTCGCCCTGTCAGCGAGACGACGTCGGGTGAATGGAGCAGACACACATCGACCTCGCAAAGTGCTCTCCCTCATGCAGGCGAGCTATACTACTGCACTGACAAATGCATCAGGCGCAGGCCATGGCTGATCGCACCACAGCTGCATTGCCCGCAATGGATCTAGAGCGGCTCTCCGCCTTTCCTGTCTTCTGCTCTTTTATAGCCCCTCGTACCCTCGACGGTGCCATTGACAGTTCCATTCTCTTCTTTCACGGCTGTCTCTACTCTTATCACCCACTATGGAGAGGCAGACGTTTTTTGCCGCGCATGCGGCTTTGATACCATTCCACGTCACGGGACCTGGTGGTTGGTTTTGGGGCCGCCCGCGAGCTACTCCCACACCGCCGTCCTTCCCACCCCATCTTCCTCTCGCATCACTTATGCGCACCCACACTGTCTCCTGTCTCGCCTTCCAGCTCTCTCATCTTTGTTGATTGGCTTCATATCGCCTCGATCTCCTGAAACGCAGCTTGGAAGAGACGAAAACTTACCGGAAGCGGATGTGGGGAGAAGTCGGGTCATCACGCGGGTGGAAACACACGCCTTAGCATCCCGACACAGCTTCTGGGCGCAGGGCTCAGGATCGTTCGATTGCAGTGATGCTGTAGTCGAAGTGCGTCCACGACTGAAACGTCGTCACTGATCAACACAGCCGGTCTTGCTGCACCCGACGCCGACCCGCCCTCCTACCGAGGTCTTCTCGGATTGGGAGAGGTTATGGAGCCTGACGAACACATGGAAGAGGACGATGGTTGGTTAGAGGACAACAGTCGGCCGGAGCACGACGAAAGTGAGCTGTTCGCCGGTGTAGGAGCCAATTTCGATACCGAGTATGGGATACAAGACATCCCTGAACTCGGTTACGACGACATCGACCAGGTACGTAGGAATAGTCAACAGCTTGTGTACCAGCCAGCTGATTCGTGTCCGTCACTCTTAGAACACGAGTTTCTTGCCAGACCCCAGTGCAGCCTCGCGACACCGGCTCTGGCAATTGGCAGAAGGAGAGCCGAGCTTTGACGACATCCTTGGCCGAGCTGTGTACGACCTCGATGGCGTTTTCGACCAGGCACCACGGCAATACAACCTCGGCGCATCCGACTCCGACTATGTAAACTCCGTCTGCAACAGTTTCCAAGACGTTTGGCAGCCACCAGGCCCGTCGCAGACAGGCAGTACAGATCCCACTCGACAGTCATCAAACGGCGACGACATATGGTCATCGACAACGCCTTTGACGGAAACGACTGCCGACAATGCACGCCCGTTCGCTTGCGCGGTGGATGGGTGTTCCGGCAGGTTCACAACAGCGACTGGCCTTGCAAGGCATGTGCAGCGCTGCCATCAGCGGCCCAAGGTTGAGTGTCCTGTCTGCGGAACTTTACTCTCACCCTCAGGGCACATGGCGAAACATTTGCGCACCCATCAAGCACGCGAGGAGTGGAAGTTCAATTGCGACCTCTGCGGGAGGAAGTGGCAGAGGAAAGATCAGTTGAAGCGACACCGAAACAATAGGGAGTGCGTTAAGGCTCGTCAGCGCATCGCATCGCTACCCTCCCCAATCCCGGAGTCCTCTGAAATGGCCGCTCGTCGACTTCAGCAGAGGACACGCGCGACACTGCTCCCCGCTGATCGCACGACACCGGCGTCACAAGGCTCTGCAAGTTCCACAAATTCGCAAGTCGAGGCATCCAAATCGGCAAGCGTTTCAGGGACTGGTCAGCCGCGAAGCGCTGCAGCGACTCATCATCCGACTCCGCGCTCTCCCGTACCTCCTCCAGGTATGGGGCCTTTTGTCCCCCCTGCAGATCTGCAACCATTCCTTCTCCCTTCAAGCTGCGTGCCTTACGTTCTCCCCTCCGGCCTGGAACTTTTATTTCCGTTTTCGAGCCCGATTGAGCCCGGAATTGCGCCGAACCCTTCGAACGAACACGCCTGGGTCGCATTTCTTCCCTCCGTGGCATCGTCGCCGCCGCCCGTACTAGAAGACTTACAGCTCCATGCGCTCCATGGTACATTGACGAACAGTTATCATCATCTAGGACCCGAAGCACAACCTTTCGCTCCTGATCAGGAGGACGAATGGCTCGATCCGAGGCTACGTCGGCCTCCCCAAACTAACGAAGGAAGCTGTATTCCGAACGCAAGGCCAACATCGGCACGCATGCGATCAGAGCAACAACCTCCGGAACACTCGAATGCCGCAGCTCCTCACGAAAGAGACGCTGCATTATGTCATGTCACCGAAAACTCGTCGAACAATCAGACGGGCTCTAGTGGACGGCCACGTTGGAAGGGAAAGGGCAGACAATTTTGATGACGACGGCAGGCATCACGAATTATGATTTTATGGCTTTCCACACAAGAAGAAAGCCTTGCGTTGAACCATCGGGACCATGTCAGGCAGTCGGAATTTGGCATTCATGTTTGGTGGGTTGTGCAGAGTCTGACGGAGCTTCGATGTTGGTGGGTGTATGTGCTACTCGCATTTCTTTCGGCGTGGGATTCTGGCATTCGACGATACCCACGTTTTCTTCGTTGAACAACCCTTTGTATAGCTCAATGAACAGTACAAACCCCTTCATTTGCTTAAGATCTTTGACGAACACCTGAGTTTTTGAGCCAAACCTGTGCACGCGTGCAAAGCCCCGCCCGCCACTTTCGCGTAAAGTGGTCGCGTCAAACTCGCGTTCTTGGGGAAACTCTAACTCGACATCTTTCCAACGTCCATTGACTTTCAAAGCCGCAACCCCATCGTTTGCCAATGTACACTCTCACCACCCACCAAATTGCTGCATGATTGTTGAATCGGGAATGATGAGGGCAACTTGAATGGCTGAGTATCCATAATACGCAGACGAAGTAGTTCCACGCACCATGGAACCAGAGAGATCAGCGAAACGCCGGCGAGTCGATACACCTCAAGACACTTCGCCGACAGACAGCATCGCCGTTGCGCCTAAACCACGGCCTTTCGTCTTTCCTCAACGGAAACCACCAGCCGAGCAGTCGCTACCTTCATCCTCCCCCGCCCCCACGAACGGCGCAACGCCAAAATCAGCTCACGAGTTATGGGCGGAAGCAAAAGCCGCGAGTCTTGCGCGGAGAGGGAGGAAGCTCGGGGGTGTGGTCTCTTCACCGACCAAGGCGGGCGTGCTTGGTAATGAGGGTGGTCATCGATCGTCGCCCGCGAAGAAGACTCTCGCATCTCCCTCTCCTGCGAAGAAAACTTTGGATCCGTTAAGGAACCAGAAGGTTGCTACGCCGAATACCACGCCTTCGAAGAGTGGAGCGAGCTTGAACTTTTTCAAGCAGTTTCATCAGCCAAAGGTTGAGGGCAAGAGTGTGGGACAAAAGGATGGGACTTCGAAGAAGCTTGCAAATGGCCACAGCGCGGAAGAGCAAGCAATTGGGGATGCTACAAGAGACGAACCCATGTCGGAAAGCGATGAAGACGAGGACTTGGATGGCAGTCCAGTGCCTGACGGTGTAAAACGGAAAGGCTGGACCTACGAGAAGCCGAAAAAGACTTTCGAGGATGAGATCAGGGAGCTAGAAGATGTTGCGCGGCGACAAGCGGACGAGGATGAGAGTGCTGGAGGAGGAGCGGCTTCCTCACACAAGAAACGCCAGAGAGTAGCAACTGCAAAGGCCCTGAGTTATGAGGCTGTCAGAGGAGAGAAGAAACAGCCGAAAGACACGGTGCGCAGGCGACTGGATTTATCTGACAAGAAGAAGGTTGAGCCTGCGAGAGAATTACCCTCCAAGCAACACGAGGCTACAGATCCCATGGACGTCGATGAACAAGAGGGTGCCGACCTAATGGAAATCGATGACGAAGAAATAGTAGCCACCCCTCGGCGTCCTGCTCAACGAGAACCAGTCCGCAGTGTACCTTCCACGAAAGCCAAGGCTCGGATTGATGTCGTCTCAATGCCGGCATTGCAAGATGTTGCCTTCTCTGACGAACATCTCCGTCTCATCCAACACATTGTCGCAGACAAGCTCACCTGGAACCGCCCAACACGACTCTGCAATCTCGCGGACGAACATGCCAAAGTCTCCAGTCTCATTACGCAAACCGTGACTGCCGGCGAAAGCAACAGCATGCTCGTGATCGGTGCTCGAGGGAGCGGCAAGACGACCCTCCTGAATGATATCCTTCGGCAACAGCTTGTCGATCACGCAGATGAGTTCCACGTCGTTCGACTCAACGGCTTCATTCACACCGACGACAAGATTGCGCTACGCGAGATCTGGCGACAACTCGGACGAGAAATGGATCTGGATGAAGAAGAGGGCGCTTCGAAGAACTACGCCGATACCATGACGAGACTGCTGGCTTTACTCTCGCATCCCGCCGAGCACGGTACAGACCAGCCCGGCCAAGTGACAAAGAGCGTCATCTTCATACTTGATGAATTCGAACTATTCGCCAATCATCCGCGCCAGACTCTACTATACAATTTGTTCGACATTGCGCAGAGCCGTAAAGCGCCCATCGCTGTACTGGGTTTGACGACGAGGATCGATGTTGCGGAAAGTCTCGAGAAGCGAGTCAAGAGTCGCTTTAGCCATCGATATGTGCATCTCGGAATGGCGAAAAGCTTTGCTGCATTTCAGGAGAGCTGTCAGGCTGCTGTTGTCATCGATTATGGCGACTTGAGTGTGGAGGAAAAACAGACTCTTGGCTTGAAATCGGAGATCAAGGAGAAGCTCTCCAAAGCCTTGACAAAAGACGAAGAGAATCCCGTGACGAACTGGAACGCAGTCATCGAAGCCCTCTTCGCCAACGACGATTTCACCAACCACCTAAAACGCCTCTACTACACCACCAAATCCGTGCCAGAATTCCAAACCTCACTGCTCCTTCCCCTCGCCACACTCCCAATCAATCCATCACCAAACTCTCACACCCTCCTCGCTCACCTCCTCAAGTCCTATCAAGGAAACCCGCTCCTCGCCCCAGACTCCAAACTCACCCTCCTCCCAACGCTCAGCACCCTCCAACTCGCCCTACTCATCAGCGCCGCCCGCCTAACCGCCATCCACGCTCTGAACCTCGTCCCCTTCCCGCAGGTCTACGAGGAATACAAAGTGCTCGCTTCCAAGGCGAAATTGCAGGCTTCGGCTGCTGGGGTTCTGGGGCCGGGGGCGAGCGCGAGGGTTTGGGGAAAAGAGGTTGCGAGGGGCGCTTGGGAGGGGTTGGTGGAGGTTGGATTGGTTTTGGAGGAGGGTGGTGGTGGTGAGGGTGGTGCGCGGGTTGATGTTGGGTTGGAGGAGATTGGGGCTTGTGAGGGGGTGGAGTTGGGGGGTTGGGGGAGGTGGTGTAAGGAGATTTGAGGGGTGGTTTTGCATATGTTGAATAGAGATTTGGATGTAGCACCGTTATGCGCGAAGTCGAGCATTGCTCATATGGATGAAGACGAGCCATGCAACAATGTGGTGTGCGTCCACGTGAAGGACGCGTCACGCGTCGCGTGCCTTCCTATTCCGTCAAATTCTCGTTCGTTCTTGCCTTCACTACTATGTGGCTTGCAAACTTTGCTGCCTAGAAGGCTCAAACTCTCCACTCCAACATCACCACTTTGTCAACCCTCCATCTTCCTGCCACGCACCCACATTCAGGCAAGATGGCACCACACCCCACGGATGAGCAGGAGGCTGCGAGATTCAGTCAGAACTGGGCGCTGCTCGACAAGGACAACATACATGTCCCCAAAGACGTGCGTGAGCGCGCCCGTGTGGACGCCTTGGCCTACCTCGAGAGTATGCATGAGAGCTCCAATGTCCTGGCGACTTACAACGTGCTGTGGCGTAATAATGAGCGCACCTGTCCGCGCTGCGAAGAGGAGGAAGGCGTCAGTTTGGAGGACAAGGCATGTTGAACAGTTCCGTCTTCCGGGCATCGGTGTGCTAACGTCGTTGGGTCCTAGATTAAGGAGTACGCAACGCCCGCCGAGCTCATGACGCACCTAGCGACAACCTGCCCGAGCCCCGTGACGAAGTGGTTGCGCGAGCACGGCAGGGACGAAGAAAGGGACATGGTGTGTCCGTACTGCGAGGCAATCGGCGTTCGCAATCCCCGCAAGTATACCTTTCTTGTGCAGCTCGTCCGCCACATACATGCTAGCGATGGTGCAACGAGTGGGGAGAAGCACGACGAGTTGAAGGCCGCAGATGGGTGGTATCGAGAGGAGTTTGTCAAGTCGTTCCTGCCGATCATCAACGACCACAGCAAGGACTGGTTGCTTCGGGACTGTCCTCGCTATCGCTTTTGATGCAGCAGTGGAACATCGAAGTAGCGTGCGGAAGGCAAGGTGCCGGGTGAGCGAAACGCCTTGATTCGGGGTCAGTGAATAAGGCGATGCGAGACGAGAGACAGCGAAGCGTCAAAGTAGCAAATAGCGAAACGACACAAACATGACATGCACCCTACTCACAGCTAATCCCGCTTGCCCGTTTGAAATGCATACCCGTTCCCATACCCATTCGGAATGCCATAACCGCCCAGTCCACCCCTTTCCATGCCCCCCAGCCGATCCTTCCCATGACTCTTCAGCCGTCGCGGTAATTCAAACCCCCTGAAATACGTCATACAAATCGCCGCCGACGCCAGCGCCGACAGCAAACAATACACCAGCGTGCTCAACGTCAGATGGCCACCCACGCCCGTCCAGCCCGAAGGGAGGAAAGTGTTGGGATACCACCGCACGCTGAATTGCAGCGGCAGAGGATCGCCGATAATAATCCGCGCCGGCGGCCCTCGACTAATCGAATACGCCGTCGCAGCAGCAATGGTACCCGGCGCGTCGCTCCTCGGCATAGCGTGCAGCAGCACATTCAAATTCGAGCTGATGTGTATATGGCTCAACTGAATCGTCCCCGACAGCGCCACAACCATAGGCGTGTAAATCTCACTCAGCGTGCCCTCGCCCTCCGTCTCATCTTTCGTGCCCGCCTCAAACTGCTTCTGCAGCACCGACGGCGGGAGGGGTTTGGTGGGAATGCGGCATGTCAGCGGCGCGTCGTTGTGCACGTAGAACTCGAGCAGGTGGAAGAAGTTGTCGTCGATGAAGTCGATGGTGCAGTTGATTTCCCGCTCCACGCCGAAGAGGAGTTCGAGCGGGCGGCCGGTTTCGTTGCACACGGGGAAGGGGATGTACTCGAGTTGGCCGGTGGGGGTTTTGATGTGCTCGCTCGTCTCGCTGGGGGTATTGTCAGTGTCGAAGACTGCTAGCAGCCTGCTCTTGCAACGTACATTGTTCGATTCAGGCAGCTCACGGGGATCCGATCGCCGACTTTGTAGCCCGGGAGAAGGAGCGGTTCTTGGGCTTGTGCGGTGGCCAGGGAGGTGAAGAAGAGAAGCGAAAGGCGACAAAGCAACGCTAATCGTCCAAACATCGTGTGTTTCCAAAGGTCGTAAGGAGAAGTGAAGTTGGGGGAGGGGGGAAGTCACAGGCACAGGGTTGGATGTGCGCTTGCTGGCCAGAAAATTAAAGTTCAGGGTTGCCGCAGCCGTGTCTTAGCGCCGTCGCTTCCAGGGGCTTACCTAACCACGTCGACGACCGCCGACGCTGGTTGCAGTCGTATTGATCCATATAGTGAGATGTGAGGAGGAGAGTACGAATAGTGACAAGACCATGCTTAACATGCCTACAACCCCTAAACAAACGCCATCTCAAATGCCCATACATACAACACACCCCCAAGTCACTCACATCATCCTCACTTCCAAGCACTCAACCCCGCCCAAGGATCCCCATTCTGCCCTTGCGAAGAGGGCTGCTGCTGCTGCTGCTGCACCCCACTCCTCCTCACATCACCCCCATAAGCAGAAGAAGCAAACTGCTGCTGCTGCTGCTGCTGCTGCTGCCCTCCATACTCCCCATACTGCCCATGACCAGGCGGCGGACCCGGAGGCGGAGGCGGCGGCTGCCAACCAGGCGGGGGAACGCTGCCTGAGCCCGCACCTGCGTACTGCTGCTGTTGGCCGTACGTCGTTGTGGAAGGCTGCTGCGGCTGGTTCTGCGCATTGGGCGGCGGGGAGAAGTACTGCTGGTGCGCGGCGGGGGAGATGGGAGGCGGGTAGGCGGTGGGGTTGTAGGCGTTTTGCGGCGAGGCGTAGCCGTCTGAGCGGAATTGCGGGTGGTTTGTGGAGGACATGGGGCGTTGGAAAGATTGGAAGCCCGGGGAGGGTTGCATGCCGCCGTTGGGGGCGTATTGTGGTGAGATGGGCGGGCTGCGGACGGGTTGGTAGGAATTCTGGAGAGGAGGCGGTCGATGGCCGGTGTTTGGTCCTCTCGGCTCGTTGGGCACGGGCGAAGACGGGTTCACGCTCATGCGCTCCATCAGCTCTTTAAGCCGGTTTTGCTCGCGCTCTGCTCCGCTGCCTTTTGCCGCTTCAATAGCAGCCAACAGCGCACCGCCTTCACTCCGCCTATTCTCGACAAACGACTCGACGTTCTTCTTCAAACTGTCGACCGTCTGCCTCATCTCGTCGTAAAAGCGTTTCGCGTGCTCCAGGCCAGCCTGCAGATCAACGAACGCTTGATGCACTTTGCGGTACTTGTTCAGCACGGTGTTGCGTTGGCGCGAGAAGGCTTCGTAGCGGTTTTGCTCGCCGCGCACGCGCTTGTCTTGTAGGAGTTCGCCGTAGGTTTTGGTGAGTTCGCGCATGAGGGAGGATTGCTTGTGGTTGGCTTGGAGGATGCGGTTCTGGTGTGGGCGGAATTTCTCCAGCTCGGATTTGAAGAGCGCGGCGTCTTGGTTGGTCGTCGCTTTCTTGTTCAGGATGAGGATGCTGCTGATGTCGTCGGTGTGGATCTGGTGGGGGTCATTAGCTGTGGAGGTATAATGAATGATCAGTAATGCTCACCTTCTCCTTCAGATCCTTCAACACTTGCGCCCTCTCCTTCTTCACCAGCTGCAGCTTCTTAATCAGCTCCTCCACCCGCTCAATCTGGTCAGCAACGCTCGTTTGGCTGTGATCAGCAAAGTCGTCGTCCAACAAATTGCCCTCATCGGCCAAACCACCCGGACTCTGCACTCCCTTCCTGCCCGTCCCTGCTTTAATCATGGCCCGCTGATACAGCACATCCGCCTCATCCGTCTCCCCCGCCGACCGCATCTCGTCAAAATCGCTCTCGTACTGCCGGAATGTCCCATACAGCTGTGCATCATTCGCCGCCGCTTGATCGACCGTCGATCGGTAGCTTCGCGCATCCGTGCGTAGGGTGCTAGTCAGGCGACTCGAAGGCTGCTGCGTCCATTCGCCGCCGTACTTGCTCCTCATCTTCTCGCACACCGACTCCTCCATATCCAACTGATTCATACTAGCGTCGAGCGCGGCGAGAACGCCCTGCTTGTTCTCCTTCAGCTGGTCAAAGACGGGGCCGAAAGGAGTGTGTCCGGCGAGTTCACTGCACCAGCGTCGGAACTCCTCGTCGACGCCCATATTGCCTTGATCCAGGCCGCCTTTGAGGATGTTCAGACTTCCCGGTAGTTTCAAATAGTCCAGCGAGGTGGAGAGTTCGTCGTCGGCAGTTTGACATCGTTCCGCCTCCGCTCGCACCATCTTTGCCTTTTCCTCGTCGTACAAACTGGCACTCTCCGTCACGCTCATGGGCACGATGGCCTGGAAGATGTCGCCTCCGATGATTTTCTGAATGTCCTGGCCTTGATATAGTTCACTAACGGGAATCGCTTTCGCAGCCGGGAGCTTGGGGATGGGAGAGAGGCTCGTCTCGGAGGGTACTGTCTGGTGGTAGATGAGGTCGTTGTCTCGGTTGTATTCCGCGAGCTTCTCCTGCACCGCCACGGACTGCTTCTTGACCATTTCGATGAGGATGCCTGCAGTCTCGGAACCCAGATTGCTTGATGGCGACATGGTCGCTGGCAGAGTATTTCCAACCCGAGTCGCTTCCTTGGCGGCGGTTTGCGAAGCGATAATGCGACCAATGGCTTGCCCGTAGTTGTTGGCTTCATAGTCCGCGATGCCCTGATAGTACTGCGCCAGACTGGCCATATGGTGCTGCTTCAGCTGCGTCACCAACAACCACACCCGCTCGAAGGTCCCCTTGTTCACATTCTCCTGCACGCCCTCGACCGCCTGTGCGTACAAATATGCCGCCTGCGCAGTCAGCTTGGCAAGCATGCCCGGCTTCTTCTCCGCCATCAACTGCTTCTCAATAAACACCTCCTGTGCCTGCGCAAGCATGATGCTGATCAGAGTCTTGACCGTCTCCCGACTCAGGTCCGTGGAGGGAGCATGCAAGAAGTTCTCGTTGATGTACGTGAACATGCCCGCGCTCGCTTGAAACGAATGATACGCCATCTTCAACCCGGTATCCTCATGCCGATTCTGCGCGGCAGCATGGCACGACAGGACAGCAGAGATGTTGAAGATGATGCTCGCCTTCTCATACGCCAGGCTGTACTGGCTGGTAGGTTTGTGAGTGAAAGCATCGAACCAGGTAAAGCTGATCTTGATGTGGTTCTCGTCGACCGGGAAGCGGAGATCCAGCAATTCGAGCTGGCCGTAGTAGCGGTACAGCACGTCTCTGCCGGTGGTGCTATCGCTGCCCACGCCTCGCACGTCTTGCCGCAGCCGGTTGAGCTCGTTGCATTGCGCCGAGTAACGCTCGGGGTCGTCGCCGTAGGCGGCGCGGATGTGGTGTTTGAGCGGGTGCACCCAGTCGATTTCGTTGGTCTGCTTGAGCGGGCAGGAGAGCATGGGGACCTGCATGGTGGTCGTGGGCGCGGGTCGGGTGTTTGCCGGGTGTCTACGCCGACTGCCACCCTCTCATTGTATGGCGTGGTGTGGAACAGAAGAGCCCAGGTGTAGCACAGTCCTCGACGCTTCGTCTCTTCCGGTGTATGTGTCTTGCTGCCTAGCTCTTGTACCCGCACGTCTCGGCTCTTCCAACCCGTACGTCCAACTTTTCCTCAGAGGTCTACGCAATCGCCGAGCAGAGGATGTCGAAGGGATATGTACAGTACAAGCAGCTTGGTGGGGTGGCCGGGGAAGCTGGCTGTTGGGTCAGGAAAACGGCGGCCTAAAGCTTGATTGTTGGTGATCGACAGGTTACACGACGCAATCTCGCAACGACTTTGTGGTATTCTCGACAAAACGCAAGATCAGCAGGACGTTTGCATCCGCTTCCTTCTTGAATGTAGCCGCCGGCAAGAAGCGCGTAGGACCACGTGAAGGACGAGGCGGCGGATACTCGCGGCGGCAATTGGCTGATCAAGCGCTTCCCGCGCCAACTCGTCAAATGGGGATGCGCAGCACATGCGAGGCCGTGAAGACTCGTGTGTCGAAGGTGATATGGACGAGGTGGTTCGCAAGTGGTGAGCCGAGATGCGCATTGCTCGCTATCAAGTCCAGCCGCTCCCTCTCTCTCTACTGTACAGTGTCTACATTCGCCACCCCGTCACGCCAATGATGCAAACAAGAACGCTAAGCAATATGACCACTCCCTGTAGTGCTGTCATCCCGATCCACTGCCAGATGCCTTCTTCGGCGGCTCTTCGTCCTGACTCTGGTTGCTGTTACTGCCGCTCTCACTCCCCTTCTTCTGCTCATCGTGCTGCCCGGTAATGTTATGCCACATGTTCTTCAAAAAGCCCTCGTTCTTGTGGTCTTCCGCAGTCGCTCCAGGTCGCTGATACGGTTTCGAGCCAGACCCTTCCGTCTTGCTGTCCGCCGGCGGCGCATCTCGGAACTGATTGAGGTTCATCACCCTCTTCGCTTGCCGATCGCCCATCTCGTCCGCGAGCATCTCGATGATCGTGCGCTGGTTGACGGACAGATACTTCGGCATCTGCACCTTGAATTCCACCCTCATGTCGCCGTTGTTGCCCCGTCGCGAACTGAGCTTCTTCATGCCCAATCCGCTCAAGGTAATCTTATCGCCAGTCCCGGTACCCGTGGCCACCTTGACCTTGACCTCGCCTTCCAGCGTCGGGATGTGGATCTCGCCGCCGAGCAGGGCGGTCGTCAAAGGAATGGCGGCGGTGTAAAGAATGTCGGATCCAGAGCGCGAAAACTTCGAGTCCGGCGCAATTCGGATGAACACGTAGAGGTCGCCCTTCTCTGTCCGGGCCTTGGGATTCGATGCCTGGCCTGTAGGCGGGTAATCTCCCTCTCCCATCACTCTTAACCTCATCCCGTCTTCCACACCTCCAGGGATGTCCACCGTCACCGTCTTCTTCTCCCTCACCGCACCATTACCCTTGCACGTGCCACACTCCCCTCCCCTTGGAATTGTGACGCCGGTGCCGCCACACGAGTTGCAAGTACTCGCCATCTGGAAGCCGCCCTGCATGAAATGCACTCTCGTTCCCGTCCCATCGCAAGTCTTACACTGACTCCTGCTCATCCCCTTCTTCAGCCCGTTGCCAGTGCACGTTTTGCATTGCACCAGCGGCGTGATAGTGATATCCTTCTGCACGCCCTTCGCAGCATCCACGAAGCTGATATTCGTCTGCACCTCGATATTCTCGCCAACCATAATCTCTTCTTGGAATGGCCCACCGCCTCTTCGGCCCCTCCTCGCCCCAGTCCCCCCAAAAGCAGAAAACAAATCCTCAAAATTGAAGTCCGCCCCAAAGCCGCCAGCCGCTCCTCCAAACCCACCAAAGCCTTGTGCGCCAGCGAATGGATTACCGCCGGGGCCCGCACCCGGACCTCCAGGATTGAAGCCAGCCCCTTGATCGAACGCCGCAGCACCATATTGATCCCAGGCCTCTTTCTTCTTAGGGTCGGAGAGGAGTTCGTATGCAGATTGCGCGTCGGCGAATAACTCCTTCGCTTTGGGTTCTTTGTTGGTGTCGGGGTGGTATTTCTTCGCTAGACCATAGTACGCCTTTTTGATCTCGCCGCTGGACGCATTCGTGCCCACGCCGAGCGCTTTGTAGGGATCCTTGGTGGCTTGGAGCGAGGAGGAGGCGTGAAAGTCTCGTCGCGGGCGTGCTATCCGCTCATGGTCGGTGCGAATGTGGGAGGAGAGCCGGGGTCGGCGGTGTGAGGACTGAGCCGACACATTGTGGAATTGGCGATGAGAAGGGGATTGATTTTGTCGGTCTTGATATCTTTGACATGAGGGTCGAGTTGCGGCGAGGAGGCGCAGCGGCGCGGCCGCTTTCGGGAGCAACGCCGGCGATGCCAGACTCATGGCGCTCCTCTAGGAACTGATAAAGAGGATCTATTCGAGCGACAGACGTGACAGATGTCGTTGCGGTTGGCTATGCGGAAAAGTTGAACCTGAGGGCTGCATCTCCCGAAAGGTCATCTCAAAAACTTTAAACTTTCGGGAACCTTCTCGAACGAGCCAATCAAGTGGAGCCTCGTTGTGAGCCTCGAGGAATAGGACGAGATGGCCTGCTGCCTTTCCCCAGGCAGAATTGGGAGTTCGCTGGTCGACTGTTGCAAATCAATCTTTGGCGTATACTACTGTCTCGCCGTAGCCGTGTGTACATCGGCTCATTCCGACGGTCGAGTGGAGAGGCGTAACGCCGAGAACACCAGGGAGAATGGTCACGCGAGCGCTCCCGTGTTCTCTAGAAGATTTGAACAGCGATGAACACACCAGAAGCAATATGCAAGACTGAACTATGCACTCAACGTCGACGAGTTGTCGCAAGAGCCTCGAAACGCCGCTGCGAAACCGAAAGCCACCTCATGATCCAGCGCCGAGAATATGGACACCCCACCCTCATTATGCATTCAGGCCCATCAAGCCTTCTTGACGCCCCCAGGAACAGATCTCATGCGGAACGATTTGCCTGAGTCACAGTCAGCATCAGTCCCTTACAGCGCGTCGGGCAACAACCCACCTGAATTTCGCGCTTTGTACAGCACAGCAACAACCACGTCCGTCTCGCTGACCGCCGCTCCGTTGAAATGCTTCCTCACCGTCGTCGCAAGCTGGTCTTTTGCTATTCTTCTCTGCTCTTTCTTCCGCGCCATGCTCGGACTCTGTCGGCCGATGCCGTGATTTGTGAGGAGTGCCTGGTTCAGAGGCGATTTGAAGGAGGCTGAAGTGGGCAGGTTGTGCGCGACTCGATAGGTTTCGAGGAATTGGCGGGGCATGGTGTTCCATTGCATCTGTTTTTGTATCCTCCGTAAGTGGATGTTCTTCCATGTACTGGCTAGTAATTTGCACTCACGCCTCCTTCTGGTGCGACGACACTTAGGTCACCAGGGTGTATGCTCGCAAGTGCCAAATCCTTCAGACCCGTCCCATTACGCTGTGCAGCCGCGGCATTCTTGCTCCTCCTCGCGTGCGCGGCGGCCGCGATTTGTCTCTCTCTTACAGTCGAGCTCTCAGATCGCGAGTCTTCGTGTACGAGGCGGGATTTCGCTGGCGGCATATTTGCGGTCCGCGTGTGTTATCTGATGTTGGCGGTGTATAGCGATGTTGACACGGTATCCAGAAGCATCGCGTCGTCGCTTGAGGGGCCCAAAATGGTAGCGGATTTGGAGAGGAGGTGGTGCGAGGAAGGACGTGGTCAGGTGTCGCACACTTCTTCAGCTCGCGCACGCGCGAAGAGCGGTGACGCCAGTCTGCAGGTCCCGAATTTCAGGGCCTCCGGGGTCGGCCGCTAGCGGCCCGCCTCCGTCCTCGGCACATCGAAAGCCGGCGGTGGCCGGAGCCTCGTCTCACTTCACTTCACCAGCTCTCCTTTCCTCAGTTTGCAGCATCAGATTGACGCAAGCTTTGTTGCTGAGCGGCAGTCATGTGATGGCTTCGGAGGTTGTGCGAAGCATGTGAGCAAGTAGATGTGCATTTGCGATGCAGTACTTTCACAGATCATCCCCCGTTGTCTCTCTGTGTCAATTGCTTTCACGTGTGACATGCTCAGTTATCGCTCCTTACATTTCCTTTTCTCTCACTTCCTCTTCAATCCATAACCAGACTACATGTGAAACGAAACACAAGCTGCGATGCTTTTCGTTCCACACGCTACGTTTAGCATTGTTCTCCTATCACAATCACCATCACAATCACACGAAGCATCATCATATGCTTGCTGATTGCCTTTTCTTATATTCTGCTCTTTCATTTACCCTCCACTTCTCTTGACATCCTTCTCTTCCCTCAACCTCAAGCTCGTTATACCTCTTCTCTGAACGCTATAACTCCCAACTACTCACAACACTGGTCTCCCACCTTCACCCACATCTTCCTTTCATCCATCACATCGTCTCCGCTTCCAATCATTTTTGGCTACTCACTACTTACCGACCTGTCACCTCTATCAGCCTCTCGATCTTTCCCACCATTCGCATTTCTCAAATACTCAGCCTCAGCCAACCTCACCTTGAGAGCCTTTCAGGATGTCGCTCATCGACACGAACCACTGGTCCCCCAAGGGCATCAACGGCTACTCATCCACCCGCAACAATACTCTCAACCCCTCTACACAGCCCTTCATGCCCAATGGCACAGAGATGCAGCGGTACCAGCCCGCCATGCAAAACAACAACCTGGCGCCACCCGCGGATGCGCTACAGCTCCGTAACATCATGCTGGACCACCATTTCTCCCACACCCGCGACATTACGGGGCTTGAGAGAAGGACGAGGCAAAACACGGACCAGATCCAATCCTTCGCGAAGTCCGCCCATCAAGACATGCGTGCCGTTCAAGCTCAGATTGAGGAGCTCAAGCAGCAAATGGCAATGCAGACACAGCATAGCACCAGCATGATCACTCACCACTCTCTGGCCGATCAAGACGTTACGCCACCGGCAGAGCTCCTGCGCAACTTCAGCAAGGAGAGGATCGCGGAGGCTTATCTTGAAGAGGCTGAGGACTATGAGGCGGCGGCTGCCAAGTTGAGAGAGCAAGCCGAGACCCTCTGCAGTGGCAGAGTTGCTGCAAAGAATATACTCAAGCTGCCCAGCACAGCTCAAGAGGATGAGAGGGCATCGCAGGCGAAGGAGGAATTCGTATGCTGCGGAATTGCGTACGACTCGGGCGAGCAATTGCTTAAGCACGCAAAGGCCGCACACAGCTCTGATGGTGAGCTACATTCCCCTGCAGTGGATATCCAGCACCCGAACCCAAAACAGGCAGATAGGGTGAAAGTGCAGGCGATCCTCCGCACACCGGCTCCCAGCGAGCCATTCGAGAAGGAGGTCAAAGAGGAGTTTGCCAACTCCGAGTGGAAGCCCCTTGCGATTCGCCAAATGCCGAGCACGAAAGCAGTAATCAAGCCAAACACCGAGTCCTTTACGTTCGACTTCCTGCAAAACAATCTCGGCGGCAGCGAGTGGTCACCCGGGTTCTACTTCATCCGCAAGAACTCGATCCTCCCAAGCCAGTCCTACTGGATTCTCGAAGGGGACTTTGAGCCGTTTCTTCCATCTATCCCTGGCCAGCATGGAGCGAAACTCACTGCTTTGTTCAACTCGACCATTCCCAAGCCAGGCGAAGGACCAGACGAGGAGAACTTCGAGGACGTTCCGATCTTCATCCGATCCAAGGGCGACGATAACGGAGAGTACACCTACTACGGTCATTATAGTCAACGTCGGTTCAGCGACAAGCTGGACTACGACCGCGTGATGGAGAGTATTCCAAAGGAGATCCTCAAGCACCATGCCAAAGAGCTTGCAGCGATGGGTCGGCCACAATGGGTCACCGAAGAATTGCGGAACCACTTCTGGCCCAGGCCCGAGTACACCGGCCCAATTCCAACGGACAGTCAAGTTGCCACTCCAAAAACAGAAGCCACGGCGAACACCGACGCAGATGGCGGCATGCCCGAGAGGCACGTCTTGACAGAACTCACGGCCTACGCTGAAATGCTAAAGAAGTGGAACCGAGAGAGCACTATGCGCGTTTCTCATCTCAGCGAGGAGAACATCATGCAGGCTTTTGGAAAGGCGGATGCGGCAGAGGAGCCAGGGTTGAGGCTGTGGCTGGAGTATCTCCAGTTCGAAACGTACGACCACAAGTTCTGCGAGTTCTTGGTTGAGTTGAAGCGGAACCCGTCGTTGCAGGTTGACGCGCTGGGGCTTTCGATGAAGAAGGGGCCTCGATTCGGAGGAGGCAAGATGGTGAAGCCCACGAACGGTATTGAAACCGTACACCCAGGATCCTCTTCGACGGTGAAAGCACCTACAGCCTACTCCACGCCCTTCGAAGATTGGAAGAAGGGTGCAACGGAAGTGAAAACTCTGGACCAGCCGCCCAAGTCTACCAGATCACGGAAGGGGACAAACGCGACTCGAGAGCAAGCCAAGAAGAAAACAGCACCTTCGCCTGTACCTGCCCCTTCTACAGGCTGGGTCGCCTCGTCAAGCGTGCCAGAAACAGTGCCAGCGGCGAATGGTCTTTCAGGTGCTGCTTCGATGCCGCAGGGTGAGATTGAAATGGCGAAACAGCTGCAGGAGGAGTACAAGCAGCGGATGAAGGGGCAGGGGGCTGGTGGGAGACGCGGTGGGGGAGAGGGCAAGAAAGTGCCTCCGCACTTGCGAGGGAGGCGAGGAGATGTGCAGTAGGCGGAGAGATGACTATGAGGTGGAGTGGTGGAGGGAGAGGGGGGGGAGTTCCAGGCTTGAAGCTGTTGCATGCTCTAAAAGACATTGGGATATCAGAGACAAACGGTTGACTTGAATAAATGACTCTGTTCCTATATTTTAATGGTTGTCGGAGCCGGACGTAGGGCACGGGCGGTCAGCTTAGGTTATGGCGATCATGACTTCAAGCTCTCGGCAAAACCAAAAGCTTCTTTTTTGATGGAGTCAGCGGCGGCGGCTGGCATCAACCTCACCACTTTCCATTCTTCCTTCTCTCTTTTCCTCCAATTCCATCCTCTCGTCCACCAAACATGAACTCGTTCACAGCGATTTGCTAACACCGCGCCGCGATGGCATTGTACAATGGCCAAGAACTGACGGATTACACAAAGTACCACCACATCTACTAGACACCATCAGCATACCGAGTTGCTGAGAGGCGACGAAAAAGCCTCACCACGAGAGAACGAGACCTACTATTGAACACTTCACTCATCTGCTCCCGTTGACTGCAACGAGGTATGTGTCCAATGAAAACCTGCTGTCCTCAACACCTGGACCTGAACCTGGCCATGCTTGACCTCTGCTGACATGCTTACTCTTACAGAAACCCTCTCATTACTCACCTCATCCCTCCCGAATCCAACCCTCCACTACCACCTACACCCTCATCATGCACATCACCAAAAAGCTCGCCGCCGCACACGCGGAAGGCAGAGCAACATACTCCTTCGAATACTTCCCACCCAAAACCGCCCAGGGCGTGCAAAACCTCTACGACCGCATGGACCGCATGCACGCCTTCGGTCCCGCCTTCATCGACGTCACCTGGGGCGCCGGAGGCCGTCTGTCCAACCTGACATGCGAAATGATTAAGGTCGCCCAGACCACCTACGGCCTCGAAACATGCATGCACCTGACCTGCACCGATATGGAACAAAGCAAGCTCGACGACGCCTTGACTGAGGCCTACAATGCCGGCTGCACCAACATCCTCGCCCTTCGTGGAGACCCGCCGCGAGAGAAGGAGAAGTGGGAGCAGGCGGAGGGCGGATTCCGCTATGCCAGAGACTTGGTCAAATACATCAAGCAAAAGTACGGCGATCACTTTGATGTCGGCGTGGCTGGATATCCAGAGGGCCCGGACGAAGACACGAATGCCGATGAACACATTGCATACTTGAAAGAGAAGGTCGATGCCGGCGGCACCTACATCATCACTCAGATGTGCTACGATGCAGACATCTTCATCGAGTGGGCGAAGAAGGTCCGTGCAGCTGGCATTCCAGACTCTGTTCCTATCATCCCGGGTATCATGCCCATCCAGACACATGCCTCTTTCTTACGCCGCGCCAACTGGACCCAATGTCGCGTGCCACCCGAATGGCACGAAAAGCTGGAGCCCGTCAAGAATGACGATGTGGCCGTGCGAGAAGTCGGGAAAGACTTGATTGCCGACTTTTGCCGGAAGCTGCTCGATTCTGGAATTACGATGCATCTCCATTTCTACACCATGAACCTCGCCGTGTCTACACGCATGGTGCTCGAGGAGCTCGCAGTCACGCCGTCTAGTGACAGCACCGACCCTACCATCAAGCCACTTCCGTGGCGGCAGTCCTTGGGCCGCAATCGACGAGAAGAGAATGTGCGGCCGATTTTCTGGAGCGGACGCAAGAGTTCCTACGTCGCTCGCACGCAAGACTGGGATGAGTTTCCGAACGGAAGATGGGGCGACAGTCGATCTCCTGCGTTTGGCGGGCTGGATAGCTACGGGATAGGCTTGAAGGGGACTAACGAGCACAATCGCAAACTATGGGGCGAGCCAAAGACTCTCAGAGACATCTCCGACCTCATTGAGAATTACATGAGCGGCAAGGTAGAGAGCCTCCCGTGGTCCGAAGCGCCGGTCAGCTCCGAGACATCAGAACTCAAAGACGACTTGATCGAGCTGAACCGAAGGGGCTTCTTAACCATCAACTCCCAACCCGCAGTTGACGGCGCCAAATCCTCCGACCCCGTCTTCGGCTGGGGTCCACGGAACGGCTACGTATACCAAAAGGCATACCTGGAGCTTCTCATTACACCCAAAATCATCGAAACCGTCATTGAAAGAATGGACGCCGACCCCGACATCACCTACTACGCCGTCAACAACTCCGGCGTGCTCCGCACCAATACCTCCGAGGACTGCGGCCCCAACGCCGTGACGTGGGGCGTGTTCCCCGGCAAGGAAATCGTGCAGCCGACGATTGTCGAGACCGTCTCGTTCCTCGCGTGGCGAGACGAATTCTACCATCTCGGCTCCGAGTGGAGCAAGTGCTACGATGAAAACAGCGAGGCGCGCCACTTGATCAAAGACGTGACGGAGAACTGGTACCTCGTCAATATCGTGGACAACGACTTCCGGCGGGAACGCGGCGTTTTCCCCCTCTTCGATGGCCTGCTTGTGCCTGAACTTCGCGCCGATTGGGTGCAGCCGAAGTGGACGGCGCCGACGACGAATGGTGATGTCGCCAGCACCAACGGTGTTCAGGCGGAGACACCGCACGTCAATGGTGTTTCGTCCCACGACACCGGGAAGCCTTTGACGAACGGCGACTTGAAGAACTAGACCTTCTGCCCTCCCGCATTTGTCATGGAGGGCAAGGCATACATCTAGCAGATACTGCTTCTCTATTTCAACAAGAAGCACTCTGCTCGGCGAAGGGATTGAAAAGTCCACGGCGTTGTGTCACAAAAAGCGAAAAGCATTTGACTTTCTCCCTCTCTTTTTGTTGCGAGCGGGAAGAAAAGAGATACCCCCCATTCAACCGGGATGGAAACAGGCCTGATTTTGGTGTTTGTTGCGATAGATCATTTTTCATGATATGACTGGGCTCAGGCATCTGGCAAGGGTGATGATTGCTACCCCTCTTGCCTTTTGACTGACTGCCCCGATGATGGAGGCGCGGATTAATTAGCTCTTCAACGAGCGCGCTGCTGAATATTAATATTTACTTACGATCCGGTCGAGAGTCGGTGTTCACGCTCACTTTATCAGATCCGACCTAGCCGTCTGCACTCTTTTATGCAAGCGGACAGCCTTTTCCGACCTCGGGCTGCGCCTCGTAGGATACACTAATAAACAACGACCTTCTTCTTTGAGACACCTACATTCCAAAGTTCGCCCAAAGTGGATTTACGACTGGAGCTTATACTGTCTCACGACCCCACCGAACCATCCCGTCGTCATCTTGCCGAGAGTGCGGCAATGGAATCATTCATCGGGATCGCATGGTCTCCGTCATCATGATGAATGTCGTCGCGTTCCGTTCACGCGCGTCTGCGAACCTCCACCAACACGGTGAAGAATGTACTGAGGTGGGCAAGCTCGGCCGAGAGGTCGATGGTACCTGGATGCACCCATTCTCAGAATAACTCTGCAGAAGCGATGTTTAGACCAACCCGGCGAATGGCAGTCGGGGAGGCGGAGTGACATCCTCCACTCTGGACATGTCATCAATTGGAACTGCCGATCCCAGGCCCGAACAAGGCTGCGCTAGTGAAGGGCGGCCCAATTGCTCGCAAGTCTTGTCGTCATGTCCCCGTCACGGCCGAACCTTTTTGACGCGAACACACGTCTTTGATTCTGGACGGGTGGGTGGCGAGAGAGTTTGAGGTGGTAAAGGTACTTGAACCATTCGCCTGCCTCGAATGTCTTTGTTCCCTCTGCAACCCATCCTTTCGCTCATCTTTTCTCAATCATGGCCAACATGCGTGTGTTTGCCGGAGCCTTGCTCGCCGGGCTGGCTGCAGCCGCACCCGTCACATCCGACAGCATGACCGTCGCCGCCAGCTCAACAGGCACGGCGTTCGTTGCCGTCGACGAATATGGCACCATCCCGGGCTATTCCAACGCGAATGCTCCCTTCGCCGACTACACGCCGACGCCCATCACCGTCACGGTGTCGACGTTTGGTCTTGATTCGGCGATCTCTGCCATCAAGACCACGGCGCCGTCCGCAGGCCAACCCGGCGCGGCTGATACTCTTCGCACCCTGAACCCTACTGGTCCTACTTCTCATGGACCGTACAGTGGCATGCCCACTACCACGGGCGCGGTGATGAACAGCCCGCTTGCGAGCACTATTGCTCCGGGACCGCCTAACCCGACCGCTACCTACTACAACACCGACGGCCTACTGCAGAACCAACAGCCAATCGTATGTCCTCAACTATCCTACCCTTCCAATTGTAATTCACACTAACCATCCCAACAGCCCTACGAACCAGCAGGCGGCCTCGGCACCAACGGCTCGCAGCCCCGCTACATGGTGGAAAGCGACTTCGACTACGAGTCCATCATGCTCGGCCTCTACCAAGAGTGGATCGAGCTGGACTGCTTCAACCAAGGCCTCGCCCTCTTCGACGAAGCCGACTTCGCCGCCGCCGGCCTCGGGCCCGAAGACATGTCGCTCATCCAATTCATGGCGCAGCAAGAAGCCGGGCACGCCACTCTGTTGTCCAACATGTTGGGCGAGACGGCCGCGCCACAATGCACGTACGACTACCCCTTCACCAACGTGCGGGAGTTTGTCGACTTCAACCAGATCCTGACGCGCTTCGGCGAGTCCGGCGTCTGGGGTTTCATCAACCACCTCGACTCCCGCGAGGTTGGGCAACTCCTCGCACAGTCGATCGCAACCGAGGCGCGTCAGCAGATGATCTTCCGCCAAATGTCTGGTCTGCACCCCATGCCCGTCTGGTTCGAGACCGGCATCCCGCAGTCCTGGGCCTGGACGTACCTCGCGCCATACATCAGCTCCTGCCCAGAGAACACCACGCGCCTCGCATGGCAGAACTTCCCGGCCCTGCACGTCGAGAACCAAGCGAACATCAACCGCCTCTCGCCCAACGACACCGCGAACTGGGAGCGCACGGGCAACCGCACGGCCGACCCGGCCATCACCAACATCCCGCAGAACGCGAGCTGTCTCAGCACCAACGTCACCGGCTACGGCTGCTACCCTAATATCGGCAAGAACCGCTCGGAGCCCCTTTCTTTCCCTGGAAAGGAGGTGTACTTCCTCTGGGATGACCCGGGCACTCCTGTTGGGCCTAACATGAGCTACGTCACGTCTACTGCCGCTGGCGCGCCCGAGTGGGTTGCGTGGGTGTCGCAGCTTAACCTCACGTACACGCCTTTGATGAAGACGGGCCCCAACTCGGGTTACACTTACCAGCCTGCTTCGGAGGTGTACGAGACGAAGGGCGCGGCCAACGGGACGATGTTTGTTGCTCTGACGGATTCGGACTTGTTCTTGACGCCGTTTAATTTGAGCATGATCAAGTATGTTTCCCCTCACTGCCTTAAAGCTCGTTGATGGTTTACTGACAATTCGACAGCCCTCACGTCGTCGCTCTTGGTATCTACCAGGCCGGTTAAGGGATTGCATCAGGCATTGAAGGACGGCTATTAGGCATAATGAGTCCAAATAATTCGAAGCACACTTGCATTTGATGGTGCCCACCCACAAAAGCTACGACACACTAGCACTGTATGATACATAAGCATAAGCACACGGCAGGATGCGTAGCTCTTCGCAGCGGCATAATGGAACGAAAAATCAGGCATAACATGTTGAGTCCATTCGCCCGATCACAATCCTCGCAATTCTCTCTCCCTTGCATGCATTCATCACGTAATACCGCAATACTACGCAATCCCATTCAGCGAGCCATCAACGGTAAGTCCTCCATTTGGCTCGTCTCTTGGTGGTGTGGCGGCCGTCTTCGCCGCCTTGCGCGAGTCCAACTCCGCTTCGTCCTTTTCCAGGCTTCGCTTGGGAGGAAGGCTTGGAGCAGACTTGCGGGCTCCGAGGTACACTTTCTCGCTGGGTGTGGAGGCTTGGGTAGAGTGCGTGAGGGGCTGGCGCATGTAGCGCGGTTTGATAACAACAACATCGTCGTCGTCGTCGTCGTCGTCGTATCGGGCGGAGTGCGCAAGGCGGAGCGGGAGATCATCATCGAGGTCGCTGTTGTTCTCATCATCGTCGTGGAAATCGTCGTCGTCGTCGTCGTCGTCGTCGCCATCGTCGTCGTGCCCCTCCAACGTCGCAATCGCTGTCTGCTCCGTTCCTGAAGGCTTCACCGCCGGGACAAGATACGCACCCGGCGTCCTGTCGAGAATCCCCTGAGCTTCCTCTGCAGAGAGCCGATGATAACAACACGTCTTCTGAACATGCGATTGATGCCATTTCTCCGCGCCCGCAGGATGGAATTCCGGGTGCTTCGCCTTGAGGTGGAGGACGAAACCGTGTCCGCCGCGGAGGGGCTCGCCCGACTTCTTCGTGTTTGTGCCGCAGATGTAGCAGCGCAGTTCGATCCAGGCGTCGTTGTCGGCAGAGCGGACGATGGTTGGAAAGGCGTCGCTGATCGCGGAGAAGGGTTTGACCTGATCTGTGGGAAGCTGAGATGCTGGAATCGGCTTTGTCTTGGGTGTAGGTAGGCTGGGGCGTTTCGCGCTCGGCGCTTTCGCTGGTTTGCGGCGTTCGCCGCTGGAATGGCGAGCTGACTTTGCAACGCGGTTCTTGGGTTTGCTGGCGGTGGGTTTGACGGCCTTTTCCGGCTTCTGAAGTGCAGTCTTGTTCGCTGACTTTGTGGCAGCGACGTCTTTCTTGGGCTTGATATCTGCTTCGTCCTCTTGTTTCGAAGTCACGGTCGTCTGGTCTCCAACCACAGTCTCCCCCTGGCTTTGCAGAAACATGCGTGTCTCGTCCTGTCACGGTGTATCAGCGCACGGCTCGCGTAGAGGGACATGGCAAGCATGACTGACCTTCTTCTGCTGTTGCAAGAGCGCGATTTGCTTCCGGATGTTGTCCAGCTTGACCGCGTTCGCCTTCTCGATGTCTGCTTTGGCTTTGGCAACTTTAGCTTCGGTGTCGTTGAGCACTTCTTGCTCTTGACGCGCCCATCTCTGCAGACTGGTGCTGATGCCGTCCATGATGGAGCGGAACTGCTGGTATTGTTCGTCCATGTTGAGCAGTATCGGCATGAGAGGATGTTGCGTGGAGAAGTTTCCTGGGTGAGGTGTCAGGATATAAGCGTGATACTTTGTCTTTGAATGACACCGGTGTGAATGTGCGTGCAGGTAGCAAGCAGGTGTGGGTCTACAGTCGCGGCGTCCAATCTCCAAACAAGGAAGGAACAAACGTCATCCCCAGCCTTACCGCCGCGCGGGCCCGTCGCACAAACTGCACGCAAGATGAGAGACAAAAAGTTAGACAACAAACGACGATGAACGTCCACAGGCCAAATTTCAGTTTCAGTTCGCCACTTGTTTTCACAACATTGATCCAACCTCTTTCTTCATCCATCCTCTGACAGGACAAAGTCATCGTTGCTTGTTGCTGCATCTCACTCAATCACACACTCACTGTCGACATTGTCTATTCAGCTCACTCACTGAAGCACTCGAGTAAGTCATCGATCGGCGTGCAGTCACCTCACTCACTCACTGGCAGACCAACATCAACCACATCAGCATCATCCCGCAAACATGCAGTACCCCAGCCAAGGCAAGAAACCCGGCAAATGCGTGTTCGATCTGTTCGAGGACGACTGGGTGTCGGAAGAATCGGGCTCGTTGTACGACGACGACACAGACTACGGCTCTGCGATCGCCTGGAGCACGTCGGGAGGCAGCTACAGCTCGTCCAAGACCGGCCAGCACAAGCGCTCTCCCTCCAAGTACCGCCGGCAGATGAACGAAGTGATGAATTTACTGGAGCGGAAGAAGCCGACGGGGTGGATGCTGAGCAACGAAGACTCGGACATGACGCTGTACGAGTCGATGTATGTGGGTAAGTCGAAAGTGGTTGGTTGTCTGTTTCCCAGAGCGAAGGCGGAGCCGTTGGTGATTGACGGCGCGGTGGATATGGGTGTTGTTGGCGGCGGAGCGGATGGGAGTGCGATTGGGGTGTTGAGCTGGCTTCTCGGTGGTTTGAATATCCTCGCCCCGCCCGTTGGGCCGGGGTGGGTGAAGATTGGGAAGATGGGGCAAGGAGATGTCAACAGGGCGTGGGCCAAGGTGCGTGGGCCGAGGAAGATGGGACTGTTCGCGAAGTTGCCGGGCGAGCTGCGCAACCGCATCTACCGCCTGGCGCTTGTGGCGGAGGGAGGTGTCTACCACGTGGGCCCGGAGGAGGATGATGGAGAGTGCGGGTGAGTGCAGTGGAGTCCATTTGCCGAACGAGATGGCCTTACTAATGTGACTATCAGTCGCGGACCGTGCATTCACGGCAAGCTCAGCACTGGGGTGCCGGGCATTCTGAGCACCTGTCGACAGATCCGCGCCGAAGCGATGCCGATCTTCTGCTCGGACAACACCTTCCAGTTCACCGAGGGGACGGCTCCGAAGCGCTGCCCGGCCAACTGGTTCCACTCCCTCGGCTTCTACGGCAGACTGGTCAGAGAGATCACGGTGGATGTGACAGTGGCACTGCCGACGGGAGATGAATGGCGCCCGTTCACTCTGCGCGCCCCGACGGAGCGAGTCCGGCGGTTCATCACTATCACGGCGCCCCCGGTCAACGAGAGATGGGACGAGTACAACAGGTTCATGCAGCATCAGGAGGATATGAACCTGCGCGTCGGCAGGGTCAGGACGGAGCGGATGTTCTGGGAGTTGCTGTCGTCTGACATCTTCGCCGACCTCATCTACGCGTGTGGGCAGCAGTTGTGAGGGGGGAAGACTCTACGCGATGTCCTTGCAGGATCACGTTTATCATGCTTGGACGGACGAGCTGGAATGGATTGATGACTGTCGGCAAGATGAAGAAGAGTGAATGGAGGGATGCGAGAGGTGAAGTCGGGGATTTGGGTGGAGATTCCCAGCCATTCACGGAGCTTTTGGTGCGGCTCCACCCTCCCGCCGGAGGATTGATTGTACGCTAGACGGAGTTGGGGGTTTGAGCTCCTTCACCCTCCACCGCATGAGCTCGAAATGCCGTCTGTAATGCTCCGTTCCTGCGTATGCACGCGAGTACATTGAAGTAGAGCGATTGCCGTCGCGTGCTCTTCCTCCCATCTCCTCTGTTTTTTCCCGGGCGCAAACTTCGGCTTGTGTGACCTTCAAACCCTCCATCCACCCCCGCCACCACCGGCTTCTCGCAGCACCATCACCACCACGACCCACGCACGCACCTCCTTCTCCCAGCCTCCCTCTCACCACTTCCCATCCTCCATAGCTCCACCCTCCCACCTCCTCTCATCCACTCAGCTCACTCTCCATCGTCGTCCTCCATACTCCCTCGCTAGCCACCCATTCGCGACGCCCACATCTCCACCCACTACTCCTCTATCCTGCTTCCCTCCAGCTCCTCCAAACACCTTAACATGCTCTTCAAGCGCTTCAGTCGATCCCGCAGCAACAGCCGATCCTACGTCGACGACTACAACCACTCCCCCGTCGACAGCAAGACAAACTCCGCCTCCTACGACGACCCTGCTTCAGCGGGCGGAGGCGCCCCGTTGAACACCACGAGCTCCGACTACCACCGCTCCTCCTACGACGATCGCAAAGATCTGCCATCCAGCAGACACAGCAACACCGCGTCGCAGCAGTTCGTCGCGCCGACCGGGCAGGAAACAAGCGTGGACAACATGTATCCTCGCACCTCGCAAGATGGAGGCACTGGGTATCGCTCGAATGGACATGGGTATGGAGGTGGAGCGGTGAGCGATGGCTACGACCCCGCTTCGCAGCCGCCGCCGCAGTCGAAGGGACAGTCTGTCGCTGCGCCGGATCTGATTATGCAAGCCTTCAATCAAGCCCTCCGACCGCACCTCGATCGCGTTGACCAGCTGGAAGCCGAGATTGCCGATCTGCGAGCCTATGTCGACCAATTGGAGCAGCAGAGAGGCGATGTGCACGCATGGATTGACAAGAGAGGTTTGCGACCAGGTACACCCCCCTTTCCCCCCACCTCCTTCTTGACTCTCACCCAGCTAACACATCTCAGACGTCCCCCCCAGCATCGCCGCGCAAATGGACGCCGCCTCGCACGCCAACTCCCCCACCCACGCCGCAGCAACACTCAACGCGCAACTCGACCGCAAAATCACCATCGTCAACTTCGACCTGCATAGGCTGCAAGACGACCTGAACGACTCCCTCCCCACCCCCTCCTTCTCAGCCTGCATGCTGAAATTCCTGCCCGACATCCACCGCCTCGCCGCCCTGCCGTCCGGCCCGCGCTACGCCTTCGACCTGCTCCTCAAACTCGGCGGGAACCTGAATTCCCACGGCGGCCTGGAGAATGGGGACGAAGAGGACTTGGCGGAGCGGAGGTCGTTTTATGCGAAACTTGATGAGGCGATGGTGGAGGTTGTGAGGGGAAGGTTTAGGGAGGAGGGCGATGGGTGGGGTGTGCAGAGGGAGATGAAGCGGATTGAGAAGACGGGCGCGTATCTCAGGAACTGGGGCGTGGAGCCTTACTTTCCGCTGACGCTTGACGTGATGAGGCAGGAGAGTGGTGGGGCGCCGCAGTCGGGTGCCGGAGGGGCGCAGGTGGTGGGTGGCGCGCAGGGACCGGTGGAGGTGTACTAGGCAAGATGCAGTGGTGGCTGCTTGGATGCGTGGCTTGCAGGTAGGTAGTAATACGTGGAGTGTGGGGAGAGCATCTTATGATTCACGAGACGACGGGGACGAGGCGTTAATGGCACTCGGCCTCTTTCCTTGTCCACGATAGCGCAAAGTATACCTCTTGGACCGATTGGACAACTAGATGCTCGGAACAACTGTACATTGTAATGAACACGCCGCGCAAGTCTATCCATCCCTCAAACCCGCGCCTCCTCATCGCTCGCCTCACCCTCCACCTTCTCATTGACCTCCCGCTGCTCCTCCTCTCTGGGAAAGCACCAGCCCGGATGCCACACATTCAGCACGACAGCCGCAATCCCAACCGGCACGCTATCCAACCCAATAAACAACCCCTCCTCCTTCAAAATCCGATTGCTCCCCGTCCAGCCGCCCGCGAGCTCGGCAACACGATAGCAGCACCGCACCAGAATGCCCAAATACGCAATCCACAGCGCAGCCAGAAAAAGTCGAAAGCGCAGCGAGGTGCGCAGCGCAGCAGTCGCAGGGTTAAGATGCGCGCGATTGCGGTACACGCGAAGGGCGTAGTCGGCTGCGAGGATGCCAAAGGCCACGAGCGTCACGACTTGCGTTACGAGGCCGGCGATCATGATGTCTGAGCCGATGGAGAGGACGGCGAGATTGGGGGAGGCGGAGGAGACGGCGCCGCCGACGGCTTGTAAGAGGATGCTAAAGATGTCGCTGGAGATGAAGATCCAGGTGTACCACTTTGGGCGCAGGCGGGAGAAGGAGGCGCCGAAGGTGAGGCAGATGTGTTTGAGGGTGTAGTAGATGCCGGCAGCGTAAAAGGCGGGCGCGAAGGTAAGGAGGACGATTGTCGCCTTGAATCCGGTGTTGCTGAAGGGGTTCTGCCAGAGCAGCATTTTCGCGACGTAGCCTAGGACTTCGGAGATGGCGCCGAGGACCATGACGATGGTGAAGAAGCGAGTTGTTGGGCGCAGGTAGCCTTGGACTGCGTACGCGATCCCGGAGACGGCGAAGAGGATGAGAAAGATGAGTGTCGCGGCGAGATTAGGGCGGTAGCCGTAGATGGAGTCGGAGACGGGGCAGGTGGCTTGGGTGCAGTCGCCGTTCTCGTTTAGGCGGCGGAAGAGGTGGTGGGCGTCCATTGTGATGTGAGGAGAGGGAGGGGTGATCTCAGAGGAGTAATTGATAGAGACGGAGTAGTGATGATAGGAAAAAGAGACAACGAAAGCGGTCGAGTGCGACATCTTTATACACCTTCACCTACCATACTATCCATATCGCAGAGGATGAATCGAAGCGTCACCATGAACACTTCGCCATTGCATCCAAAACAGGCAGGGTGTTTGCGAGAGCAGCATGCGGGCCCAAAGATAGAAATGCACGTGCTGACGGGGGAAGGACGAAGGAGGCCAAGACAGAGACACGGCCGTATGTCGTTGGCCCTAGGCTGAGAGAGGCGTGCGATTGGTCCGTTCGCTCAAAGCGGAGTAGTCACGACACTCGCATTGCTGGGAGGGATAAGGTGAGGTGGGGAGAAGAGACACCTCCATTTTTGGGTGTGTATGCGAGGGCAGAGAAAGGGTGGAGAGGGCGCAGCGATGGACAGCGAAAGTCGACGCGAGGTCTTGCGATTCCTCTGGCAGCTGGGGATCGCGAGGTGAAGCTCTGTCTCGATGATGTAACACGCTACGCCCGTTTCGGACACTAACCGCGAGCCCTTCACCCTGCAAGTCGCAGTGTCTGCACGTGACTCGCACCACCGACCACTGCCAGCAAGGCTGACACTCTTGCTCGGAGATCTAGTCGTCCATTGGCGCGGCGTTGGCAGGGCATTGGATCATACTACGCCTCATATATCTTGCATTCATCACAGGTATTCTGTTCACGATACTCTTCTGTACTGTACACTACTTACGAAGAAGCAGCGCTCGAAGACCTGCCCCCTTCCCGCTTCAAGCCCTCCCTCATCTCCCGCTTCATCCTCGTCACGGTCCCCACCCCTCCGTACATCATCGCAGTGTAGATCTGGCAGACACTGGCGCCGGCGTTGAGGATCTGAAGACACTGCTCGCCGTTTGTGATGCCTCCCGTGGCGAAGATGACTTTGGCCAGTTCCTGGTCGTTGTTGTCGTTCCGCTTCGACTCCGGAGCTGACGAGGTGACTTTTTGCGCGTCGCGCTGGGCACTTGCGTCGGCCGGGTCGGAGGAGAGATCGCTCGCTGCAGTTGTCGGTGGCGGGTGTGGTGCTTTGCTGTTGTTCTGAGACCCTGAGGACGCATCATCCCGTGGACCCTGATCCAACTTCGTCCGATACCGCTTCACCAACGCCAAAGTTCGCTCAAACATCTGCGGCCCAGAGTAGCCGCCCATTTCAGCTAGCAGCTTCTCCTCTTTTGCCGGCATCACGTAGCCTTTAGGAACGGGATCTGGCCGCTTCTTGGTCGTGTTGCCCACGATCACTCCGTCCACACCACTCGCCCATACTGCGGAGCAAATGCCCTCCACTTGTGAATCGCTGTCCTCGTCTGGGGATACTTTGACCATGACGGCCGGCTTTGTCTTGCGATTGCACGTCTTGGCGGCGTCCACGACTGCGCTGAGGATCGCGGTCAACGGCGCTGTGGCTTGCAGGTCTCTCAATCCTGGGGTGTTGGGCGATGATACATTCACCACCAGGATGTCAGCGTACTTTGCAAGATGATCCACGCAAGTCACGTAGTCGTTCGCCACAGCTCGGATGTCGTGGTCGGGTGTGGTTTTGTTCTTGGCGACTTGGACGGCGAGCAATCGACCAGGTACTAGACTGCCCGGCGGCACGCCTGCCTCTCCATCCAGCACTTGTCGCTCCGACTCCGCCTCCAATCCCAGTCCATTATCATACGCATATTGCCGAACTCGTTCACGGAGCTGCATGGCGACATACTCCGCGCCTTCAGAGTTGAGTCCATACCGATTGATCAAGGCGTTCTGGGAGGGTATGCGAAACACTCTCGGCTTCGGATTGCCCTCTTGCGGGTGCGGCGTGGTGCCACCAACCTCGACAATCGCCGGCCCCAGAGCAAATAGTGCAGACGGGATCTGACCATCTTTGTCTATTCCAGCCGACGTGCCGACTGGATTGCCCAGCACATGCCCGAAAACCTCGATTTTCAAGTCTCCCAGCTCCTCATCTGTAGGCCCTCGCTCCCGCGGGTGTAGATTGAAGTCGTACAGCCCCTTGATGTATCGTATGCCCGCATGGTGCGCTTCCTCGGGGTCGGTGTGCAGGAGTCTGAGCACGGGCACGGAGAACCATTGGTGCACGCTGGCGCGCGTGTCGGTGATGTAGTAATAGCCAAACGCGACGAGGAAGACCAAGCCGGTGCCGTAGATGGCGTTGCGGAGTTTGTTGGTGGGAGAAGCGGCGGCGCTCGAGGCGGATCGGCGAGGGATGAAGGGGGTGAGTTTAGCAGGTGAGGTAGGTCGGCGGAGGGTCCGGGCGGGTTGGGAGAAAGGGCGCTGCCATTGACGGTCGATTTGTCGCCATTGGGATTTGTTGAAGGCCGGTCTGCAATCTTGCAGCGCTGCTGAGAGGCCGGATAGCCTCTTTAAGCGTGTCATTGGTTTGTAGGTGTTGAATTGGTGGAGATGTTGCAGCGAAGTTGCACATTTGAGGTGAGCTTCCAGCAGCTCCGGCAAAACCTTTCTCCGTTCGCGGAAGCACTCCATACACGCACTCGCTCTTCGTCTTCTCACACTTCACCATCAGCCTTTGCAATATGAACTTGACTCAACCTTCTGATGGAAGCCGGAAGCAGGCGGTGTTGGACTATCGATCGGAAACCACGGGATCGAAGGCCGCTTGCCATGAGTAGGACGATCTCTGCCACTGAAACGTATACGACGAACTACATTGATCACCATGAACGGCCAAAGGTTCAAGCATAAACGCGTACAACGTGCAATCTGACTGTATTGCTCCAAGTTAGCTGCTTGCGCCCATTCGTCCCGTCAACATCAAGACCTCTTCTTCGCAGATGTTGCAGTATTCCTACTCAGCGCCTTATCAAGCCTCGAATACATATCCACCCCCATCCAGACAGCTTGAATTACGTTAGCCTATCTGTATTGCGGTGATCGTGTCGATTTGAAATATGCGACCAAGACTTACACAGCGCCAGATACGGGACGTACAGTTTCCCCAGCTCAATTTTCTGCGCATTGCTGAAACCCGTCCAACTCAGGTAATCCGCAATGCAAGTCAGCGTGGTGACGGCTGTCTGAACCGCATACACAAGGAGATGAATGGGCAGCTTGGGGTCATCTTTCGCCGATGGCGTCAGTAAGTAGTCTCTGAGCAGAACATCCATGAATAAGCAGGCGCGCACCTCGGAGTAAGGCACCAATCGCCCAGAAGCTCAAGGGAACATGATACAGCGCTTCCATCCACATGTAGGCTGAGAACCAGGCGGGCGGGGTGGTGAAGAAGCGGTCGTTGTAGGTGGTGATGTACCACGTGCGGAGGTTTGTCATGAACTGCGGCCTTATTGATTCGGGGTATAACGGGTAGAGATCCACGCCTGCAGTTAATGATGGTCAGAATGTCTTGAGAACGTGTTTAGGGGGTTAAGATGCTTTGCTGATCGTGTAGGAGTGGCTGAAAGACTCACAAAACATGACCGGAATATGGATCAGGAAGAAGGCCAAGTACACAAGATCGCGTTTGCGCGAGGTGATTGACATGGTGGGTGGACTCTGGGTATCACAGAAACCGAATAGTTGTGCGTCAGAACTCTCTGTAGAGTATGTTGTTCGCGGTGTGGTTGAAGTCGTGAAGTGGAGTTGTTGATGCAAGGCGAAGCCAGCCTGAGGAGCCAATCATGTTGCACGGACGTATATTCAAGAAACCATGGAGATTACAGGTCATCACAAAGACTGGCCGTCTCGTATAGAGCGGAGATTGGTACCAGCTGCGTTCTGCATAATTACAGAAGGCTCCGTATGCATCCACATTGCCGGGCAAACCTGGCCCAGACCCAGGCTTCTCCCCAACTTTGGCAGCCTTCTCAGTCGATATCCACCGGCGCGTCGCAGACATTCAGTCACTGTCTGGGAGGGTTTCTCCTCCGTGACAAAGTGATAATGCTCAAGGCGTCCACGATTGCTCAATGAGCCACGGCAAATCAATAGTCGGGAGGCAGTTGTCGCAGTCGCAAGTATCCCAAAAGGCTGCAATTTCCACACTCGCTCACGACATGGTCAAGACTTCTTTGACGATTCTTGACACCTCTTTGCGATCCACCGGCTTGCCATCCAAGCTCCCTCCCGCCCCAAGCAACTTCTTTAGCACCTCTCCGATATTGGCCTGGCCATCAGGTCGCTGCTCTTTGGAATCATTGACCACTCGAATAACGACCTCTCGAATGTCATCTGCAGAGATTGTCTCCACACTCCCTGCATACTCCTCCAGCACACCGACCTGGCCCTGCTCTTTCTCCACCAGATCTTGCCGTCCAGCCGCTTTGAACTCCTCGCTCGCCTGCTTCGCCGCCGCCTGTCGTTTCCGTAGCAAAGACAGGATCTGCATGTCGGTTTTGATGGGACTGCTGGTTTTTGCTGCATTCGTGACATCGGCTATGAGGGACCGCAGGACATTGAGGCGATTCGTATCCTTGTTCTGCATGGCGGTCTTGAGGTCCTTGCGTAGCTTGATGAGCAGTGGAGGTGGAGCGGAGACGTCGGCATAGCCCCTGCATTGCGGACATATATATCGCAGTCTGGAGAGATTGCGGCTTGCAAGGCCCGTTGCCCTAATTGAAAATGCCATGGTGAATGGGACTGATCGTTGTCGAGCACTTGTCGACTTGAGAGGGAAGAGCTCTGGGAACATTTCTGTACCTGGAATATTAGCTTTACTAGCGCCGAACCTTAAACGCGCAGAGCTCAGGCGCGTTGTCAAAAAAGGTGAATGGAACCTCACGCTGTACAACAATAGAGAATAAACACTCCCAACCCACCAACATCGACGGAACCTCACCTTGCCTGCTGTGAATTTTGGACTGCTTAGCAACGCCATCCGCTGATGCGCCGCCACACCGCACCCTCGATCCGGTAGCCTGGCGCCCGTTCAGCGTTTCCAACCCTCCTCTTCCTTCCTTGCATAGCGCCGACACGACATCTGCTCGCTCCCTCACATCAACATGGCGGCGGTCGCTGGACCAGCCACGCCTCAGCGACCGCTCCCAGGAGCCTACACTGCCACGCCTGCCCCTCCTCCGACCATCTTCGCAGCGAACGCGGCGTCTCTCCGACAGAACACTCAGCCGCAACAGACAGACACCAGCACCACTACGACCAGCAACAACACTCAAACCATCACCTCTGTGGAGCGCGCAGCACGCACCATCAACGATGCATTGGCGCAAGAAGCACGCTTCCCCGAACTGGAGAGCTACATCACGCAGGGCATCAGCGGGGAATATGACATGCCATCGACACCCGCGTGGATGCCATTTCAAAAGTTGAAGCAATATGATATACCGCCAAAGCTGCTCGAACAAGTCAATCACACCGGCGTTGGCGTGCTCATGGGCATCTTCGCACCCCTTGGTCACGCATGGATCGCGCTGGACAACTGCCTATATCTCTGGGACTACACCCTCCCAAATCCAGACATTGTCGGGTGGGAAGAGAATGTCCATCCCATCACGGCCATCAAGCTGGTCAAGCCGAAACCTGGAGTCTTTGTCAAAGAGATCGAGCATCTAATTGTGGTGGTCACCAGCGCTGACATGACACTGCTTGGTGTCGCGACGGATACAACGGAAACAGGAGCGAGGACGGTCGCGCTGTACAGCACTCGCATGTCCATCAATGTGAGGGGCCTGGGTGTGGATTTCGTGGAAGCCTCGAACAAGTCTGGCCGCATCTTCTTCGTGGGCAGTCAATCCGACGACATCTACGAGTTCCAATATCAACAGGACGAAGGCTGGTTTCGCGGTCGAACGTCCAGGATCTGTCATACCAAAACTCAGTTCGCTTTTGTACAAGGCAACATTTCAGCTGTCGGGCAATATTTTGGCCCCCAACGCACCCGAAGGCTCGTCCGGCAGCTGGTCATTGATGATTCAAGGGGTCTAATGTTCTCTCTCAGCAACAACAGCGAGATTACGGTGTACATCATCAAAGCACATGACCTCCAGGAATGCTTCATGAGGCCGAAAAGCTCATTGCTCCAAAACACTGGACACTTCAGCCCAAGAACAGACCTGCTCGATGAGAAGAAGATCAAGTTCGTGTCAATCAGCGGGCTGCCAAGTTCAGAAACCAGCAGAGTAAGCCTCATGGCAACGACAGACAATGGGTGCAGACTCTACCTCTCAGTCACACACCGCTATGGCTACCCGGCGGACGAGCGCAACGCACCCACCAGCATGCAAATCTTGCACGTCCGCTTTCCTCCACGAGATCCGAGCAGCATTCCGCAAACACAAACTCCTCAGCAGCAGCCCCAGACGGCATTTGGTACGCCGGCGAGCAACGTAGATACCACGTCTCGTCTGCTCACAGTCACCGAAACCGCCTACCGCTTCCCCCCGGGCTATTTCTTGTCCTTCATCCAAGATGCAACCCGACCCGATCGACATCGCGTCTTCTGCTCTGCGCCGGATTCTGCACGGCTGAAGAATCCTCAAGACAACACACAGCTCAACCAACGCTTTGCCGAGTTTGCAATGCTGATGGATCTGCCCGGACTTCTGCAACAAGTTGCGCCCATCACAGCCACATCGGGAGCAACGACTACACCGCTGGGATTTGGGAACGAATTGGCAGAGCAATTTGGGAAGGACAGCACCGAGATCGCGATTGTCACATCGACGGCGATCCAAACTATTCGTCGGCGAAGACTCGTCGATATATTCGCTGCCATTATGCGGTACGGATCTGCTGATGACGAAGGCCGTGAGGGTGACGTTAAACGCTTCATTCGTTTGTATGGTCGGACTGAGACCGCGGCGTCTGCCCTTGCCGTCGCATGTGGCCAGGGCAAAGATGTGACGTCCGACTCCCGCCTGAACGGCGTCAGCGACCCGCAAATCATCGAAGGAGCGAGGAGAGTGTTCATCGAGCATGGAGGCAAACCAGAAACCAATGCCAACGCGCTCACCGAGAACAGTGGCTCGCAGCTTGACAATGTTCGTCCCAGCCCCCGTCATGAGGGCATGGTGCTTTATGTCTCGCGCTTGGTGAGGGACATCTGGAGAGCGACTGTCGTTCGGGAAGAGGCGCTGCCAGGTGAGGGCCCTAAATTGCAGCCAAACGTTCAACCGAACACCTTGAAGAGCGTGCAAGAGGCCCTAAACGCCCTATCCGACTTCCTCCAACGCAACAAAACTTTCATCGAAGGGTTGGCAGGCCCACAAGCTGCGAGTCGAATCACGAATCGTCAAGACGAAATCGCCATGCAGGGCGAACATCGAGCCATGCATAGTCTGGTAGAGCTCGTCTCCAGCATCATCGAAGGCATCTCCTTCGTCCTTGTCTTGTTTGACGAATCCGTGCACGACATCATCAACACCCTCGGGGAGGAGAGCCGTGGGCGAGCGAAAACCCTCACCTTCGAAGCGCTCTTTGTGACCGCTGCCGGCCGCAACCTGGCAAAGGAGCTGGTCAAGGCCATCGTCAATCGCAACATTGCAAATGGCAGCAATGTCGACACTGTCGCCGATGCGTTGAGAAGGAGATGCGGTAGCTTCTGTAGTGCAGATGATGTCGTAATCTTCAAGGCGCAGGAGCAGGTGAAGCGTGCATCAGAGGCTGGTAGCCAAAGTGAGACGGGCCGGGTGCTTTTGAACGAGAGTCAGCGCCTGTTTCAGAAAGTCGCGGCGAGCTTGAGCATGGAGCATCTGCACTGGGCGATCGAGCAGTACGTTCAAATGGCTTTCTACGCTGGCGCCATCCAGCTGTGTTTGATTGTTGCCGGCGAGCGAGATCGCGGGCGGAGGGCGTTGGCATGGCTGAAGGATGGCAAGCCGGAGGGTGATGCTCGGAAAGAGGCCTTTGATGCGAGGAAGCAGTGCTATGAATTGGTGTTCGCCACGATCCAGGAACTCGACAAGGAAACGGCGGCTTCCCCGGAGACGATGGACGGCAAAAATACGATTGCCGCGAAAAGGCGGAATGAAGCATACGACGTTGTCAACAGCTCTGAAGACACTGTCTTCCAGACGTGCCTCTACGATTGGTATGTGAGCATCGACCAAGCGGATCGCTTGCTGGACGTCGACTCTCAGAATGTGGTGGAGTACCTCAAACGCCGCTCACAGGAAGATCGAAATCATGCGGACCTGCTTTGGAGATACTACGCCCACCACAATGACTTCCTACAGGCCGCGTCTGTGCAGCTTGACCTTGCACGCGGATTTTTTGATCTCACCCTGGAAGAGCGAATTGAGTATCTGAGTCGCGCGCGCACCAACGCCAGCACGAGACAGACGGCGCTGATGGACTCGCGACAAAGCAAACAACAACTCCTGCGCGAGATCTCCGATCTCTTGGACGTCGCCAACATTCAGGACGACATCCTCCAGCGCATGAAATCCGACCCTCGCCTGTCCGGCGACCGGCGCTCGCAAGTCCTCCGCAGCCTCAACGGACCCGTGCTTCCCGTCGACGAGCTCTTCAACCAATACGCAGACCAAGCCAGCTACTGGGACATCTGCCTCGTCATCTACCAAGTCGCGGACCACCGCAACCCCGCGGACATCAAAGCCTCCTGGCAAAGCCTGATCGACCAAATCGACGACCAAGCGCGCGCCCAGTTCGGCAAGCAGGCGCTCGCATGGGAAAGCGTAGGCGAGAAAGTGCGCGAGCTCGGGCGCCGGCTGAACGTCAACGACGCCACCTTCCCCATTCAGACGCTCGTCCCCATGCTCGAGCGCTACTTCATCGAGCCGCGCGAGAACAAGCCCCCGCTCACCTGGGTGCCGGATCTCTTCCTCGACCTCGACATTCCCCACGAGACGCTCCTGCCCGTCATGGAGCAGATGTACTACGGCAACGAGCACCCGTTTACGGGCGCGAAGCGCAAACTCCTGGCGGCGCAGATGGTGTATTTGCTGCAGCGGTGGGTGAAGGATAGCGAGCGCAAGGGCGAGCGGGTGCCGTGTGGCAGCGCGGAGAATGCGAGTGTCGTGGCGGATGCGGCGGCGAGTCTGATGCGCAGTGGGGATTTGGATGCGGAGACGAAGAAGACGGCGGAGAGTTTGACTTCGATTGTGCAGCGGGCTTTGCGGTGAGGTGGGAGATTTGGGGAATGCGTGTGATGTGGGTTTGTTGGAAACAGGTTCACGCGAAGACTGGTCGTGGAGCTATGGAGGTTCTGTCTATCGGATAGGAAAAGGAAGCGTGCAAATTTCGAGCATGGCGTGGGCGTTACATTTGACCTGGGAATAGCGATTCAAACATGCTCACGCTCCCAGCCTCGCTTGCTCGTATCTCCCTGTAGACCCCATCACTAAGCCGCATCGGGCTGGCATTTGCCAATCGGTGAAACTCTATTGGGGGGCCTACACGTGGGTGCCGGCACATTGCGGTGACGTTTTGCACCCGAGTCGGTTGGGGCCCGAGAGGGGTTGACATGCGTATGTGCCTCGGCGATGTTCGTGGCTGAGTATGTACCGTTGAATATGTGCTTATCGAATGGCCGATCATGCCTGCTATAGAGCAAGTAAGCTCGGGGCGAGAGGGGTGTCGAAGAGTCGGTGAAGCAGGATTGTCAACGATATGCGGGGCGTTACTCCTCCTAACTTGCTACTCTAGGCCTAGGCTTGGATTGTGTGAGCGGCCGGCCTTTGAGAGGAGGATTGGCCAATTGCCTTTGGCCAAAGCCGCTCTTATTCACTGATACGCGGGCGGCGGTTGTGAGCTCCACGGCGCCTCTCAGTGCGTGGATGCTTCCTTTTCCATGGAGAATGAATCCGCCGACGATGCTCGGTGGAAAGGACTTGCGGTGGAGGAGGCCAGGATCCGTTGCCCTGAGGCAATGGTGGCCTGGGGTCTGGCCGCGATGATCAGCGTCGACAAGGTACTGCGGAGCTAGTTGAGCAGAGCAGCCGCGGTAGAGATGTCCTCCGGTTACGTTGCAGCCCTGCATCGAGTTCACGTTGCGTGGGAACCCCAGTGGCACCGTTGCGTCTAGCCGGCCTAGCGGATCCACGGTGGTCACCCGAGCACGCGCCTGGACCTACCTGATGCTGGCATACATACTAATCACGAAATCCCGCCGCTACAGCTGTTCGATGTCGTCTTTGCGGAAAACGAGTCAGCGCGTGCTGCCGTCCACATCTTGCCGCGCGGGCCATGAGCTCATCGTGGTCTGGTGGCTGGCGGACCCGATGCCATGGCGTCGGGTCACCACGTTTCGTGGCGCGCTAGGGAACGGCCAGTCCCGACCGTCGGCTTCGGGTTTGGCGTCTTGAAAGGTAACGACCATGCAGATGCCGGGTCCCTGACTGGTGATCTTTGCATCACCGGAGTTCCCTGCGTTGTTCATCTCTGCCCCGTTGGCCGAGCTCCACCCGCTGACCCCTCCCGCCGTGCCATTCGCGTCGGCCGGGCGTGAGGTTGATGTTCGGCAGCCTCCAATCATATGCTGCGTGGTGTGGTGGATGTCGCGCGTGTTCTTCTCGGCGCGCAAAACCAGGCCGCTTACAGGCTGCCTACAGGGGTCGAGAAGCAAGCAACTGCAAGTAGCCGCGGCGCTGTTCCAAGGTGGATCCTGTGCACGACTAGAGGCGGTTGAAAGCGCATTCCAAGACGGCCCGGCGATGCGTGACAAGGCGGAGCAGATTGCTGAGGAGCTGCCGGGCAGGAGGATGGCGACAGCCCCAGTTCACGTCCCACAGTGCTGTACGCTTGTCATCGCCGGCATCTTGAGTTCCGGAGTACACACCGAAAGCAGACCCTGCGACACCCGCGGCCGGAAGCGCTCCATCCTCACCGCTCATCGAAACCCTGACTCTCTCGCGTGTCTTTGGCTAGGTTCAACAGCAGCTTACCCTGTTCGCTGTGCGTTGGCATTCCGTATCCCACGCTGCTAGCCGTGCGCTTAGCGTTAGCCGCGCAAACTTTACCCGCCTGTCAGCAAGGATGCCAGTCAAGCGCGTCCCAACTCTCCCAGCGCTCGGCCGGTCTTGGGACATTTGTTGTTCCCTGATACGCAAGCGCATGGCAGTAACCATGCAAGTAGGGGCAAGTGCCGATCGGACTAGTGCACCAGGGTAACGTGACTTCTCTCTGGCCCCCAATACTTCCAGCGTTGTACCTTCCTCATGTATCCAAGTCACGACGAACCTCGTGCGTCCCCGTCACGCCCATTCATCGCGCAGGCTTCTGAAATAACGACGACACCAAGACAATGTGAGTGTAGCCTCGCCCCTGTTGCCCGACAGACGGATTACAGATCATTACCCATTGTAATGGTCCGGCTTTACCCCGGTGATTGGACGGGCGGTGCCTCGTTTCCAGCCCGTTGGTACAGCGCATGATTGGAAGAGTCAATTTCTGATGGGTTATAAAAACCACCTTCAGGGCCGCTGCCATTCCGCAGCCTGTGGACGACGAGACGGTCATCTACGCCAACCGTAGATACTCTCGCTTCGCCCTCGACCATCGCGTCTACTGCGTCCCTATCGACAACGTGAGTCGCGAGGCGCAAAGCCAAGGCCGGCGCTGATAGGGCCGGCCCCCTGTCTGCGGCGCTGACACTCGTCTCGTTCAGGATGAACAAAATCGCATCGAGGAGCTCGATGACCTCCTCCGTCTCTACTTCGATGTGGGAAACGTGCTCGTGCCCTTTCCTCCCCGCCGAACGCGTAGAAGCGCGTCGTTACCCGCCATTCTCGACTGTGGATTCGGCCGAGGCGCGTGGATAGAACGGGTGCTGGTTGAGTATGAAGACACCGTCGACGTTCGTCTTCCCCCTTATTCCCTCTCCACGCAGACACCATCACAATAAGAACGCCAAAGGCCGTGTTCCATCACCCGTCCGATCGTCCACTAACGCGCAGCAACCCTCACAGATAACAGGCGTCGACCTCATCCTCGGCTCGCGAGACAGCGACGACAGCGGCAGCAGCGAAAGCAGCAACGGCAACACCAGCAGCCGCCTCTCGCCCGTGCAAGAATACGAAACAAAGAGATGGAACCTCAACGCCCCCTTCCGCTCCGACCCCAGCGCCGACCGCCTCCGCCCCGAAACCTTCGACCTCATCAACAGCCGCTTCCTTGCCGCGGGGCTCGACGCCCCGCGCTGGGCGTCGTACATTCGCGAGCTCAGGACGATGCTCAAGCCCGGGGGCTGGCTGCAGATGGTCGAGCTTGCGTTTCCTTTTGTCTCGTCTAGCGGGCTGCTGACCGATGAGTCTGCGCTGAGTCGCTGGTGGCGATGGTACGAGACTGCCGGGCGCCGACCGAGTCGGAACTTTCGCATTGGTCGCGAAGTCGGGCCGCGATTGACGGAGGAGGGCTTCGCGCGCGTGAGCAGTCAGACTCACATTCTTCCCGTCGGCGACTGGGATCCCGGTGCGTGTTCGGAACTATCTTGCTAAAGACCTGCCGACGGGTTCGCTAACGACCGCTAGACCGCGCCGAACTAGGCCGACGAAACCTCGCCATTGCCGAGAAGATGCTCGACTCCCTTTCCCTCTACCCCTTTCAAGCCGTCGAACGGATGAACGCAACCGATTACGGCAACCTGATCGCAGCGGCAAAGAACGAGCTGCGCGACCCGCAGTATCAACTCTACTATCAAGTGTAAGCCATTACACTCTTTGCACAAGCGTTGATTCGATCTCAGCTAATCGTTGAAAAGGTTCGTCACGTACGGTCAGCGAGCTGAAGTTCAGCGGTGAATGGATCCACCACTTTAGATGCGTTTCGCAAAGGCTCAGGGGAAGAGGAGGCGACATTTGGGCCTTTTAGTCCTTTCGCCTGTTACCTATTGTCAGTAGAGAGGGCTACGGCCGGCTTGGAGGACCGCGTATTGGCGCACAGCACGAGGTGAGCAGCATATGGCACGCGCAGTCGAGCGGTCGATGTGGACTGACACTCTCAACAGGACATTTCCACAACCTTGTAGACGACGTTTGTACCGTGCATAGGCTCGAGATGCATCCAAAGTCAAGGGGAAGACCCTTGTCTTTTCCCCTGTTCCTACGCGCCTTCCTTCCTCGCCTTCTGCCTACGTCCCGTGCGCGGCTATTCTACAATAACCCTACTCAAGAGAAGGAGGCATACAAGTTGTCCCAGGCGAGTGTTCAAGCCCATGCCATCGCCTCGATTCCGTCGTAGTAACGCGACCGCAAGCCCTGTGCAGCCTCAAGGTGGAACAACAGACTTCTCCAGCGACCGCGTGCAGTCTTCGCGCCACGTGGTTGAGAAGAAAGAAGTCTAGTCGAAAAGGTCATTCACTACAGTATCGCGCCGCCGCTGCCTCCGCTATGCCCGCCTGGCCAATCTAGAAACCGCATGCAGCAAAAGTCCTATCCTTGTCTTTCACTCCTCCGCCCACCTAGCTAGCACCGCACCTGCCCTCCTCCTCCACGCGTCAATCCCATCACCTACCAACCTTCTCCACCACCGCTCAATGCCCCAGTAGAGAGAGACCTACCCCGCAAACCTGAACCTCGTAGCCTCCAACCTGCCCAACCCCTCGCGAGGCGCCACATTCCGCCTACGATAGCTATTGGTGAAATCCTGCAACAGCGTGCGCACACGCCTCACCTCCCCACTCTCAATGCGCTGCTGAATATTGCGCAAAAGGCGCTCCTGCTCCTGCGGCGCGACACTGCCTTCAGGCAGCATGCTAACCGTCTTGGCCGTCCAAGCGGCCACCTCGCGCGGGAGGAGTTGGAAGAGCGCGAGCAGCACGCCCGACGCGTCGGGGAAGCAGTCAGCGGGGAAGGTGTACATCATGCCCGTCATGCAGCGCTGGGTGACGGGCTCGCCCTGCGCGAGCACGAGCTTGTGCACGTTTTCGCGCACGGGGGCCGGGTTGGCGCGGTTGCGGTATTGGCCGTCGGGGTCGAAGGTGGAGGAGGGAGCGGCGTCGGAGCCGTAGGCGAGGAAGTCGCGGAGGAAGTGCAGAGTGGCGATGAGGGGCTCTTCCTTGAGGAGGGTGAGGGAGGTGGAGGCGGCGGAGAGGATGGGGGGCATGAGGTTGGACAGGAGGAGTTTGTCGGGGTGGTAGAGGAGGACGTCGGCGCTGAGGCGGAAGAAGTCTTCGATTACGTCGGGGAGTTCTTCGGGGGGGAGGTCGTTGAGGGCGCGCAGGAAGGTGGTCGCTTGCTGCTCGTAGAAGGTGTAGATGGCTGTTGTCGTGTCTTGCGAGACGTGGTCGGAGACGTCGGAGAACTCGCGCACGATGCTGTCGGTGGCCCAGAGGAAACAGCCTTGTCTGCTGGCCGTGAAGCCGGCCGCTAGCTTTTCCGCCAGCTGGGGCAGGAGGGGTGCTGTGTGGATGCGGTACGAGAGCACCATGTATCTCCAGCATCGGCACACGCGCTCCACAATGGGGACAAAGTCGACGAATCCTTCGCAGATGGCGGCGAGGATGGGAAAGATCTCCTGGCAGTATTGGACGACCGGGTGGGGTCGCGATGGCTCGACTTGCGGTGCGACGGTCTGGATGAAGATGGTGACGAGGTTCAGTCGGTCTGCAATGGCCAATTTCTGCTCCTTCTCGGCAGCCGCTTGCGCCATGGCCATTAACCGCTTCACAACCGGCTCGCAGCACGACTTGAAAGAGGCGTACAACGTGTCGAGCGGCTGCATATTGAGAACGCTCGCCACGCCTTCGCTCACCTCTTCTTGGCTACTCGACGGAAGAGTATCCAGGTTGGATTCGTAGAACTGCTGCAATTGCGGCATGTAATCCTTCAGCAGCGCAGCACAGTCGTTGCAAAAGAACTTGAAGCTGAGCGCCGCGGCGCGAATGACCTCCTTATCCGCGTGGGAGAAGCAGGCCATGATGAAATTGAGCTGCTCTTGGAGCGTGTCGGGATGCTTGGCCGTCCATTCGGTATATCGGCCCAATGCCATGACAGCTTGGAAGCGGACTTTGTGGTGGTCGGGAATTTGGACAATCAGCGGGATGAGGCGAGGTAGCATGATGCTCTCGTCCGGCGGGACCATGCGGCCCATGGCACGCATACTGAAGAGCGGCGCCTCCAACTTCTGCCACTTGGGGACGTTGTTGTTCGCTTGCGGGCCGTACGTGTTCACCCATGCCTCGATGAGCACGTAGCTCTTCTGCAAGCACTCGGTCGTGCCGATGACCTCGCAACAGTCCTTCAGCACATCCCCGATCAGATGGCGGAACTCGCGGAACTTCTCCTCGGCTTCCCGGTCGCCGTCGAAGTAGTCGTTGGTTCGGGACTCGGGGTACTCCAGATGGCCGATCATGATGTCCACGAGCTTGGAGTAGAGGTCGACGAACTGTAGACGCGCTTCCATATACCGGTCGAGGGTGATGTACTGCTTCAGCTCGAACCAGAAGTTGAAAGTTTGTGACAGAGCGTCGCGCTCGCGATCTCGCAAGCAGCACTCCAGTATGCACTCCACCAATGCTCGATACTGTGCGGGCTCTCGTACGATCAACATCACCCAGGCCTCGCCGGCTTCCGCGAATACTCTGGTCACTCCCTTCAGCGTATCCCAGTCCTCTTCTTCCGCACAGGCCTGTATCCGCGGCTGCAATGTCGCCAACCGAGGATATAGGGATTTGATGATGCTCATGTTTTCGTCCACCTCGCGCGTTTCCTTGAAAACGGCACACAGCGTCTCGACCGCAGCATCGAATGACGTATCCCCTCGGACGGCATCCATAATGACATCCATAAGGGGAGAGTTGACGATATCGTTGAGCGGGATTTCGCGCGTCCAGGAGGTGATGCAGTCCATGAGCTGGGGATTGTTGCGCGCCTCCGCCGAGGATTCTGCGTACTGGGTCAACAGACGTAGCACTTGCGGCGCATTGTCCTCCAGCAGCTCCGTTGTCCGATCTCGCAGCTCATCCTCTGTCAAATTAATCTTGCGTCCCTCCGTGACCTCTTCCGGCAGCACGTGCAGGAACTCCAGAACGCACGGGAGACTCTCTCGATTGCTTCCCAACGTCGACACCACCATCTGCAGCACATCTTTCCACTCGAGCATCTGAATGGCGAGGTTGGCGAGGCAGACGCAGAGTTGTGTTCGTATGGGCTTCGGTCCTTTGGCGTAGGAGGCGAGGCATTGTAGGAGGGTATCTCGTAATTGCTCGTGGCTTTCTTTGGGCAGCTGGTGAAAGTCAAAGACAATCTGCGGAGGAGAATGTCAGTACACAAGGCCGGCCTGCCAACCCCCGGATTGCTTACCATACCTTCCCTTTCAACGTCGTTGCGGCGAAGAGCTTCGCCTCGTCGCTGGTTTGCTGCGTGGCTTGCAGCATGGCGAATGTCGAAGTCCATGCCTCGGAGGATTTCTGGAATTGCTCGAGGAAGGAGTGGGCCTGGCCCTTTTGCGCATTGCCCACATTGCTCTGCATGGTCGCCAGAGCGCTCAGGACAGGCGCAAAGGGCTGCTGATTCGCACTCATCGTGGCTGCGGTGGCCATGTTGATGTGCTATTGATGCGGAGGCGAGGTGAGGGGGATGTGGCGTGAGCGTAGATGCGACACCGAGAGTGGATCAGCGGGATGCTCCATTCACAGCGATCCCTCCCATGTGATCTGATTTCACGGCGAGGAGGGTGAGGAGGGGAAGATGGGGGAGAAGTGGGTGTAGAGAGGGAGTCGTTCCTCTCAACCCCACAGCTGCGAGTGAACGAATGTTTGCGGCGAGAAAAAGCTTGGCAAGGCTGAATTTGACTTCAGGCAGGCAAAGGAAAAAAAGCGGCGCCAGCTCCAACCACATCTTGACATCTACCCTCACCTCATCCACGCATTCACGCATTCACGCCTCGAAACCGAAGCTCAACCCTTCATCCACATCCTCTCTGCTATACCGATCGCCAAACCCCCACGCGACCCGGCGCAAACCGAGCAAACGCGCGACTCATCCTCCCGCGCGCGTTCTGTTCCCTCCACCACCCTCACCCACTACCCTCATCACACACCACACCCCACGATGTCCGGCCGACAAGGCGGAGGTGGCGGACGCAAAGTGCTCCTCCCTCCAATCAACTTCATCTTCAAGCTCCTACAACAACACAGCACCGTGCAAATCTGGCTGTACGAGCAGCTCGGCATTCGCATCGAGGGCAAGATCCGGGGCTTCGACGAGTTCATGAATCTGGTGATTGACGAGGCGGTCGAAGTGAAGCAGAAGTTGGAAGAGGGAGATGGGGATGGCAGGAGAGAGCTAGGTGAGTTAAGACTGCGCTCTGAGGCTGCAAGGTGTGGAGAGAATAGTGGTGCTAATGCATTTTACAGGCCAGATTTTGCTCAAGGGGGATAATGTATGCTTGATTCAGAGCTTGAATTAGCGGGTATGCTTGGGAAATGCTATTTCGGCGTGTAGATCGGGGCTCAAGTATGGGCATATGGCGGTTATGAACAGAGGAGCAAGAAGGCACGCGGCACCGGCTCACCACTGAGAGGGCAAAAGCTGAGACATCTCAAGAGCGCGGGAGAGAAGGGGACATCAGCCACGAGGCTCGAGAGGCAGAGAGAAGGAGCTGCTATCCATGCATGCCACGCCGACGTAAGTAGCTCAAATGCACCGACGTGGATTCACCGCGGCTTATGCTTCAATCGTCCAAAGTCAGCAACCTGCCGTCTCCCACCGCGAGGGCATCGACGATCCAGTCCGAGTTGGTAGTCGGCACTTCCTGTCCCATTGCGAGCAGCTGCTCCGCCAGACATAGTCCAACTACGAGTATGTCAGTAACAGCATCACAGCCACCGTAGACAGCATCAACAAAACGTACCCAAAAACGGCTTCCTCGTCCCATCGCCCGAGAAGCGCGTCAAAAAGCCATCATAGTAACCCCCTCCATGCCCCAGCCTACTCAAGCCGTAATCAAAGCACACGCCCGGCATGACAATCAAATCCAACGTGCCCTCGCCATCCTTCCTGCCCGGATCCGTAGCGTATCCCGCCTGCTGTGCCTCGGGGCCATACCGTGCTTCAATCTCCTCAATCTCCACCAGCCCCTTGCCACCCGCTGCGTTCTCCCGCTCCCCGATGGTGGCAGATGGGAGAGTGGGGATGCCCCAGTCGTCTCGAGGCAATGAGTGGAATTCCTCTAGCGACTGCAGGCGCAGCATGTCCATTGTACTTGACCGACCGGAGCCCGAGAGGTAGGGGACGAAGACTTGTTTGCCGGAGGTGAGAGCGTGTTGGACCAGGCCATCGGTTTGGAGTTCTCCTTTGGGCATTGAGAGATAGATGGAGAGGCGGGAGGCGTTCTGATATTGCGGAAGGTTGATGAGTATGTCCCGGACTTTCTGAGATTGGGTGGAGGTTTCGGTTTCCGGGAGGCTGGAGGTTAGGGATTTGATGTGCTTTCGGAGGTCTTTCTTCTTGTCTTTGGTTGTGGCCATGGTTCGGATGAGATTGGCCCGCGGGCGAGGGGGAGAGTTAGGGGCAGTCCGGAAGATTGTTGATATTGGCGGGATAGATGGATGGAATCGCAGACATGGTAGCATCAGTACATTTATCTCATCATTATTGCGTGATCCACGGATTGAGAAGCGTGCTCTGGTGATGTTTGGAAAGCCGGCAGGCGTCGACGCTCGCTCAGCCCTGCAGACGGAATGCATGTTCCCGCGCACGGACCACTCCAGGGATACGACACCCTTCAACCTTCAATCCTTCATCAACAACTCGCCCTCTTCACGTCTCTCCCTCCTTCACCCCCTCCCTCAAGAACCCTCACAACGTCGACCCCACCAGCATCATCCCACCATGCTCCTCTATCACAGTCTCGCCATCGCGCTCTCCTCCCTCACCCTCTCCACCGCACAGGACAGCCTCTTCGTCGCGCAAGCAGAAGCAGCGCAATCCCTCCCCGCCACAATCAAATGGCCCACCAACCTCGTAGGCACCTGGTCGACTAAATCCCTCAGCACGCTCACAGGCCCAGTACGTCAAATACCACCCCCTCCCAGCCCATCACCCCTCCTCCATACTGACCCCCCGCAGGGCTTCTTCGACCCCATAAGCGACGAGCTGATCGAGCCCGAGCACACCGGCATCTCCTACTCCTTCACCGACAACGGCTACTACGAAGAAGCCTACTTCCGCGCCATCTCCGCCCCCTCCACCCCCAACTGCCCCCAGGGCCTGCTGCAATGGCAGCACGGCAGCTACTTTGTCAACTCCACCGGCAGCCTCTACCTCGTGCCCATCAAAGTCGACGGCCGGCAATTGATCAGCAATCCATGCGCGGGCAGCAGCGCGGACTATCTGCGGTACAACCAGAGCGAGATGTTCAGCGTAAGCCACATGCCCTCTCCCTCGAATTCCGCCAACTAAACCTAATGTTCCCTCCTCGACAGATGTACTCCCAATTCACCGACCCCTACCACAACGTCCCCCGCCTCGACCTCTACGAATGGGACGGCACGCCCATGAACCCCATGTACCTCGTCTACTCGCCCCCGCAAATGCTCCCCACCACCACCCTCCTCCCCGTCACCTCCGCCACGGCACACAGCAAGATGAAGAAGCGCGCGCTCGCCCCTGAAGTCCCGCTCAGCTGGAAGAATGGGCTGATGGAGCACAAGGAGCTGGTGCGGAGTATCAACGCTGATCGTTTGTGGTGGGTCGGGCTCGGGCTGACGGGTGTGGGCGGGTTGTTGTATTTGGGGCCGAGGAGGATGGGGTGGGTGTGATTCATTTTGCTTTTTCGCCTCGTGTACGAAGGGGAGAAGGACGGCGTGTGTGGGTCTGGGATGTATGATTTAGTCGGGCTCGCTGGGAAGATGGCGGCGTGGCATGCATTAGATTGGCGTTTGGCAGGGCGTTTGCCGTTCAGAAAGAGGATGGGAGAAATGTGTCAATATCGCATCAAGATAGGATCGATCGAGCAGAAACAGTAGTAGTACTATGCGCATACATTCTCGGATGTTTGAGCAATTATAGGTCCCACTCACACACACCAGACAGCCCAGAGAGTCGTACGCCATGTTAACAAGAAAGAGGAAGCAAGAAGAAACGCCTCGCAAAATGCCCGCGGAAACCCACACTAATCCTTCTTCCCCGCCTGCTGCCCACCACCACTCCCCACCCCAAGCAACCCATCCATCGGCCCTCCACCAGCCCCCTTCTCTCCAACCCGGAAATACCCATACCCCCGCTCAACAGCCCGCAAACTCACCACGCGCCGACTCCACCACACGAAAGCCGCGAGCGAAAGCAACCCCAGCCCCGCGCTGAGGAACGGGTGCTCGAGAATCTGCCCCTTGATCACCCACCACGCATGCCCGAAAACAGACATGGTGCGCTTGGGCGAGATTTTCGGCGGGCTGCTGACGATCCGGCGCAGCGTCTCGAGGATGCTGGAGCGCGAGGGCAGGATCGGGTTCCCCGTCATGGTGACGTCCCAGTAGCGCTTGTTGTCCTCGTCGTTGACGACAATCTTCTCGCCCTGCGCGACGGAGATGCCGAACGTCGTCTTGATCCAGCGCTCCCAGAAGACGCCGTCGACCCACGCGAAGCCGACGTGCGGCCGCTGGATGTCGTCCGGGTTGATGCGGATGGCCTTTGCGTTGCGCAGCGCGCGCTCGTTGTTGCGGTCTTCGGCCTCTTTGATGCGCGATTGCTTGGCGTCGCGCAGGTCTTGCAGTTCGACGCGGAAGGCGTTTTCTTGCTTGTCGATCCATTCGAAGGCGGCGTTTTTGATTTCGCGCTTCGCGCTGTAGAATTCCTCTGCGCGGTCGCGGTTGAGGATGCCGAGCACGACGAGCTTGCCGTCCATGATTTCGCGGGCGTTGCTGGCGGTGAGCTCGGGCACAATGGGCAGCCAGACGGTGCGCATCCAGTCGAGGACGCGGCGGGTGTCGCGCATATCGCGCGGCATGAGGGGGCTGTATGTTGTTTGCTTCCCTTCGCGGGAGACTACCAGACGAGGCCAGGTCGAGATTTTGAAGCGCGTGGCCATGGCTGGATCGTTAGTCTTGACCAGTTTCGCGTGGCCGATAAGGTTCATGGGGAGTCGCTCCAGAGCGGCAAAGTCCTCGGCGGTGGTGGCGTGGTCGAAGAAGTAGATGAAGATGACCTCTTCCGTCTTCTCCATCTCCTCGAACTGCGCGGCGGTGACGTTTTGTACCCCATCGCAGACAGACACTGCTTCGTCGGCGTAGTTGATGAGATCGCCCAGTCCGCGGAGGCCGTCGTACTGGATCCTCTCGCCCGCGCGGAAGAAGAGGATGGTCGGGTAGCCTCGGACTTTGACGTCTTTGCACAGTCTCTTCTCCACGTCGCAGTTCACCTCGCCCACGTTCAAGCGCCCTTTCATCTGTCGTGCCATGCCTTGCCAGTTGGGCGCCATGGCCTTGCAGTGTGGACACCAGGGAGCGTAGAATTTGATGAACCAGGGGTCAGGAGTCATGGTGACGAGGCTCTGGAAGTTCTCGGCCGTTAATGGAATGCTCTTGCCCTCGGGATTCGGGGTAAGGTTCAACCCAGCGGGGATCCTGGTGGCAACCGTCAAGCCATCCTTTGTCATTGCAGCGCCATACGTTGTCGTCGTAGCAGCGGTGGGTGCATTCGCACCAACGGGATCCGCAGCCGCGGCGCCGACTTTGGGCAGAATCGGACCGCCCTGCGGTCGTGAACCCGGGCGAATGCTCTCCAACACCGTCTCGACCGCATTTGACATGAACTTCAGATCCTTCTGCCCCGTCATCTCTTTTGTAACCTCGCCGTCTTTGTAGAAGCGAATGGTCGGGTAGGCGTTGACGGACTTGGTACTGCACAAATCCCCGCTGGCCACGCAGTCCACCTTGGCGAAGCGGAAGTCGTAGAAGCGCGTGAAAGAGTTCATGTCGTTCTCATCGCTGATTGCAGCGCCCGCCGTCTGCGGCACGGGCTCCTGGGTGTAATAGAATTCATAGAGTGTTTTCCACGTCGGCGCAAAGCTTTGGCAGTGGCCGCAATACGGGCTGAAGAATTCGACCAGCCAATTTCCGCTCCGGAGGGCGTCGTCGAAGGTGGTGGAGTTGAGGACGGTCGGGGGAGGCACGGTCTTGCCGTTGAAGACGCTGGGGTTGGTGTCGTCGGGCCATTCGCCGCCGCCGAGACCCCAGGCTGAGCTGAGGAGGGGGAGAGCGGCGAGGGAGAAGAGATTGGGTATTCGCATGATGTACGGTGGTGGCGGGGCTCAAGGCCCGAGGGTTGGGGGTTGTGCTCAATACGGGGGGGTCGAAGCTGGTTGGGGGGAAAATCGAGATGGAGTTGTCCCTTCCGGATCGCGAAGAGATGGCCGAGCGCGGTGGTGTTTGGGGGAAGAAAAGAAAAGGAGGGTGAAGGGAAAACTGCGCCGGACAGGAAGGGCGAGCGAATGCAGGGTGCGGGCGGGATGCGATGGTCTTTTGGCGATTCAAATTTGGCTTTGGGCGTAACTTGTCCTCGCGTCGATGGCGCTATTCAGCGCTTCAGGAAGTTGGGGGGCGACCCTGGCGCTTTGTCAGCACGACCACGCGTATCTTTCAGCACGCCAGCTCCATCTCTCCAATGCCAATCCCGCTCGACCTCATCACCACTTTCATCCTCTCTCCACTCCCTCTCTTCGCCCTCTCCCCCTCTCTTGCCCCGTCCCTGCCGCCACAATGAGGCCTGCCATCCGCCTCTTCGCCTCCCTCTCCAGAACCACCTACCTCGAAGCCGGCGCGCCCACCGGCCTCACAGGCCTCCTCACCCACGGCACCCCACGCAGTACTCTCCTCTACCTCTACAGCTCGACCCTCGACGCCCTCAAACAATTCCCCGAGCACAGCGTGTACCGCAAGTCCACCGAAGCCCTGACCAAGCACCGTCTGAGCATCGTCGAGAGCGTCAAACCCGAGGGCCTGAGCGCCTGGCATGACCGCGTGAACAAGCTGGTCGACGACCACCCTGAGGCCTTCCGGCGGGTGAAGGAACTGAATGGCGACGGGTTTAATATTGTTTACCGCGAGCCGCCGCCGGAGTCGCACTACAAGAGTGATGAGGCGCGGGTGAATGCTCCGTACAAGGCGCGGCCGCAGCTTGAAGGCCCACGCTTTCCCGACGAGGTGGCCGGGCGGGGAGATGCGTTGGCGAGAGATGTGATTGGGGAGGAGCTGAGCAAGCTGACCATTGAAGCCGAGCCGCCGTTAACCCTGGACCAAGTCGGCGAGATTGAGACCAAGATTGGTGCGGGGCTGATTGAGGAGATTATCGCTGTTGCCGAAGGCGAGAAGGGACTTGTGGAGACATTGAGGGAAGCTAAGGTGTAAGTTCTTGTCGTCCTCTATTGCAAACCTGGCGTCATGCTAACGGGTGATGTGTAGATGGGATGACCTGGAAGAGAAAGTGCCGACCGATCAATGGCAGTACAACGAGAGGAAGAACATGTAGACAGGCCCCGTCAAACGTCCACCTATGACGGTAATTGTACAGTGTACGAGCCAAAGAATCAACATAAATCTCACAATCAATCGTATGCTCAATTCGTGGCCGCTTCTACTCGTCATGCGTATATACGTTCAATCACGATGCAGCTACGGTAAGTATCAGGGGTATCAACGCATCCAAATCCATCGTCCCAGAACACTCCCCCACCACGCCTGCGCCATGCACCGTGCTCAACCCTCAGAACGCCGAAGAGACATCCTCCTCCATTCCCAGAACCCCAATAGCCCACTGCAACCTCGCCTCCGCCTGCGTCCTCACAAGCCCCCGATCATCCTCCGCCTTCACCGGCCTCGCCTTCTCCCACGCCCCATTCAACCGCGGATCCTCGCTGACATCCGACCTCGCAATCCGGGTATACGGCGGGCCGCGCCCGGCCTCGTACGCCTTGACCCACGCCGTCTCGCACCCGTTCGCAATCACCTCCGCACTACCCCAGCCCGTCCGCTGCGCAATGTACTTGATCCGCGACACCGTGGCGTGCCGCTGCTGCGCATTCTTGTACTGCACGGCCGCAAAGAACGAGGGGACACACGTCTCGCACAGCGCGGCGGCGAGCATGGGATTCAGCGCCGTGTCCGGCGGCCCGGGGACGAGCGCAGCAGTGATGCGGCCTATCTCCGTCGCTTGGTAAGCGGTTTGGTGCGAGGCGATGGCGGCGGCTGCGTGCGCGGCGGGGTGCATGTGCGGGTGGGAGCGGATGGCGATGATCTCGGCCATGTGGAAGATGGCCCAGAGGCAGGAGATGTCGTAGGAGCGGTAGAAGAGGGCGGTGCCGAAGGGGGTGTCGAGCGGGGGTTGGAATTCGGAGGTCAGGGGGTCGAAGGCCGGGCCTAGGCTGCGGGAGAATTGGAGGAGGGCGGCGCGCAGGCGGCCGTATTCTTCCATTGCTTGCTCTGTTGCTGTTTTGAGGTCGGGCTCGTCGAAGGATGGGGAGGAGGTGGCGGGTGGTTGTTGGGGGTAGGCTGGTGGCGCGTTGTACGCTGCTGGCATTTGCACGCCTTGACGCGGTGGGGGCGCCATGCCGAAGAACTGGGGAGTCTCTTGAGCTATTGTTGCAGATGGTTGTGGAGGAGGGAAATAGGAGCTCGCCGGCGCCGGTTGTCCGTTTGGCGTTACCCATGTAGGAGTATTCGGATTCGAGTGGCGCGGAGTGCCGGGCAGAGACATGCCAGGCGCAGGCCTCCACTGCCCTCCATTCGCCTCCATTTGCCGCAGTTTGCGTTTCCGATCGCGTGCGGAAAAGTCTGCAATCCTCCCAAGCAAGAGGATGAGATGGTCAAAGGATCCATATACAGCGTCAAACCGGCCGAGAGGCGCGCGTGGCGGACAATCGGCCCATTGGCTGTAATCGAGTCTGCGCAGCAGTCCATCAGCTAAAGAAACGCGTTTCACACAGTCAAAAATCGGATACTCACAGAAGAGGATTGCCGCTGATGATACTCTGATAAGCATCCTGCTTCAAATACCACCAATACAGATCCTTCAAAATCTCGAAATTGCTCAGATCCAGGGGCTGCGGCACGCCCTCCTCCTTCGGCACCGGTCCATCATAGCTAACCTCGCTCCCGAACAGGCTGCTAACCATAGCATCGTCGACATCTGTGATCTGAGACAGGATCTCGTCCTGAGTCGAACCTGTTGGTGAAGACATTGTATCATGTTGTCCCTCAGCCTGTACCCGATGGCCCTCCTTTTCCCGCTTCATGCGGCGGAACTTGCGCGCAAGCGATACGAAGTCTGTCTCGAGGAAGAGCTGCTTCGAGCCCTTTAGATGCATATTCCACGCTCGATGATCGGCCGTGAGGATTTCGTAGAAGCCGAGCAGCATTGATGCGGCGATGGTCGTGGTCTGGTGACGTTTCTTGGAATTTCGCCCGAGCAGGTGGTTGATGCGCTTGCATGCCCATGCATAGTGTTGTCGCGAAGGCGTGTCGGACGCGTTCTGCAGGCGCGCAATGTGAAGACTCGCCAGCGCGAGCATGGAGTGCAGCAGGCCTTGGTGGTGTAATGCCGCCACCGGCATGGTGTACGTCCACAGCCCTTGTTGAGCAAAGGGGACTTTCCCATCGGCGAAAAGCACCGACGTATTGCGCGGCCGCCTTTCGAACACCGATAGACACGGTCCCGTGACGGCAATGAAATGGGCGAAAACGCGTGCTGTGGCCGGATTCCGTAGCGGATTCGCCGCGTCCTCCACTCGATAGTGATCGAGAATGCCTTCGTAAAGAAATCCATCATGTTGTCGCGTCTCTAAATCATGAACGCGGATATTGTTGACTTGGAGGATCCGGTGTAGCTTTTGTAGTTGCTCGTGCGCAAGGCCTGTGACGGCCGAGGAGTCAATGTCCATCTCTTCGTCTGATGCGATATCGTAATAGTTGTCGTCTTGAGTCTCCACGGCTGCCTGGCCGAGGAGGGTGTTTGTAGTATCTGCCGAGAATGGCTCTCGCGTCTCTTGGTAAAGCTCAGGGGAGGGGACGTTTTGAGAGGGAAGAGTGCGTGGCGCTGTCGCAGGTCCCGCGTGAAAGGCAGACGCGGGTAGCGGAAGTGGCTCATCCGGATGGATGGAATCGGATCGCGGCGGATACTGAGATGGCCATGCGCGATTCTGCGGATCGAAGGTGGGAGATGGTCCATAGGGGGATGAGTGGAACGGCGCCGTCGCAGCAGGAGAGTGTAGGTCAGTGTTGACGGGCCTGGGTGGTATCATGTATGGCGGCAGAGAGGGAGGATGCGCGGCAGATCGAGGGAGATACATGGGATGATGGAGAGTCGATGCATGCTCAAGCGTAGGCGCAGAAGACGACGGGATCGGATAGCCAATGTACGGGACGAGTGGTGGAGCAGACGTGAGCAACATGGCGTTTACGTCCCGCCCTTCGCCGAGGTGAATGATCGGAACGCCATGGACAGGTTCGCCAGTTGAATGCGGCTGTAACGCAGGAGGTGGATGAGGTGGAAATGCATTTGGCGCGGCGTAGTGCAGGATGGGCTGTCCGTGCTCGCCTACAGGATAAGGGTGTTGCCCAGGAGCGGCAGCAAAAGCTCCCCCATAGCCAGCATCGTGCGGCACGAATTGGCCAGGGTAGGGCAGCGATTGGAAAGCAATTTGCGCTCCGCCGTTGGGAAAGGCGGAGTAGTCGTAAGTGGGCTGGTGGAGGAGGACGCGCTGGCTATTATAGCCTTCGCACGATCGTTTGCTCTTGATGCAATTTTTGCACACCGGCTGCTCTTCACCGCATTTGATGCGGCGTTTTCGACAAGTCAAGCAACCCGTCTTGGTGCGCTTGCGCGACAATCTGGCCTTGGAAGACGCGTCGGTGGGCGGCGAGTCGTGGTCGGGTGGTGCTTGCTCCGGGTCATTGGGACCACCTTGCCGAGACTGGGATCCGTCTTCCGCGCCATCGGGGTCCATTCGAATGGAGCAAAGCGTATGGGTGCAGGCGGATGTTCAATTCAGTTGTGGACAGTGTCGATTGCTCCAACCCATGTTCATTGATAGGGCACGCGGGAAAGCGACCAGATCGAACGCTCTGCCCGCGCTTGCGATGCACGCATGTACGTAGAAGAAGAGGTGAGAGAGGCGGCGGCGGCGGCGGACAGCGAACAGGTGATGAGGGCAGGCCAAGCAGATCGTAAAGACTGGGCACAAGTCGAGAGGTGAAGGTTCAGTGTCACGCCAGCATGAGCGATCGAGCGAATGGAGCGAGGAGGGGTGGACGGCAAGTGCCTACGACTCAGCGGGTCTGGACTGCTGAATGAGGAGAGAAAGGGACCGACTTGGGACAAGAGATGCCGAGATCAATCAGACAAACGCGATGAGGGGGGAGGTGGAATGATGTGTGAGCGATGCGGAAGGGAAGAAGCGGTTACCGTGTTGAGCCCCTCCTCGGTGCGAACGAACGAGATTCGCCCGAGCAGAGCAGGTGGAAGCCAGTCAGTGGGTTGCTTAATTAAGCCAGGGCCATCAATATTCGCGGGCGAGCGATGCCCAGTTGGTGATGGCGGAGGGAGAGCCAAGCGTTGACAGCTTAGAAGTGCCTGCATGGGCCGGGGCAAAGCGCGGTGCTTGGGGGTTGGCGATCAGGCGATGATCGTCATCCCCAGACAACATGCCGGAGGGATACAGCATGCCGAGCCGCGCCAGTGCCCTCTCAGGCCATGTTTGTGGCTGGCAGTCGCATCCACGACAGGTGCACGCGAGGGGGCCACTGGATTTGGAGCGCCACCAGGCAGGAGAGCAAGTGAATCGGGCACTCCGAGACGACGAGGCCGGGTGGAGAGGTGCTCTTTGACAGCTGCGTGACGTAGTGGGCCGCCGTTGGGCCTGCACTCGTGAGCAAATCAAACGCCTCTCACCCCGGCTCGGCGACCCATTGAGCATTCCCTAGCGCGGGGGGCTCTCCAGCTACCCACTCGCCCTAGTCGTGTGCTGTAAATCGTCCAGCCTTCCCAATCGAGCCGATGGAAATTGCTCGACCGGCAGCGCGACAGGGGCGAGGGCGATTGTGGCTTGCGTTTCTGGCGTCATGTCTCCATATCCAGCCGGCGTGATGGGGAGAGCACGGCGAATCCTACCCGGAGGAGTCTCTAGCCCCGGCCCAATGTAGGGTTCAGGATCGAGAGAGATAAGACACCAATAATCATCGCAGAGCCGCTGGCCAAGAAGAACCACGGAGAAGCATCACGCCCTCTCTCCTAGCGCAACAACTACCGTGCTGAAGGAAGGCAGTGGCTTCGGTCTCGCCGAACAAGGCACGCATGACTCTGGGGTGTAGATATTGCGGTGCTAGGCATGAGTGCTCGATGTCGCCTGGTGGTTGTACAGCTTTCGTCCCCCAGTCACGATGGCGGACATGGGTCCTTATTGGGAAATTGATGTCCGTTGAAGCTCTCCCTCTTTTTCTCTCAATGAACAACAGCGCGGGGAAATGATCCATCCACGAACCACGCGTTTGGAAATCCCCGCATCCAAGCCTTTTGCTTCTCCCACGTGTCTCACGCCAGGAGGTGGAGCGATGCCAATGCACACCCGCACCACTCGATGATGATTGAAGCCACCGTCAGCCACTTGTTGCGCTCTTGCTTGGCTGTTCTAGCGCAACGGCAAATTCTCTCATGACTCCCACATAGAGGATCGGTCTAGCTGAGTCCAGTCAGATCCACTTCGTGCGCCACGACAACTAACTTCGTAACGTCAGCTGATGAAGATGATGAAGAGAACGAATGATCGTCGCTCAGGCGGACCATCCACCATGAAGCCTGATGATGTCCAGATCAACCTAGATTCGACCACGTCTTGAACAGACCGCAACCGGACACCTAGATTGCATCGTGATTGCACAAACGAAGCCGTGTGAAGAGGACGTGTGTGTAGCTGTACATGAGCGGAGTCTATATTATATCGTGTCCAACTTTGGCCATGCGTCTTCCTCTCCACACGGCCACATCGGCGTTTGTAAGTGCGCGAACACCCTCCAACGAGCCCTGCGTCCATCAAGAGATCCATCGAGGTGACGCACGCCAATCCGCAAATGACGTCTAGACGCCAGCGGGCGCAGCGATACGAGTGGCCTGGTTTGGTATGCTCATCCTTCACGGTCGTAAGGGCGCCTTTCGCAGGGTATGGATCAGTTCAGCAGGTCTCCATCGCCATCCTCACTCTCCCTCTCCTCCTTCGCCGGCTTCGCGAGCTCCTTCTTCCACAGCCTGTTCACTTCGGCCGCTTGCACGTCCGGGAAGACCAGATCAAACACGTCCGAATACCAATCGACCGGCTTGCCCTCGATGCCCTCCTTGATATTCTGCACACACACGTCCGAGTCAGCTTCAACATTCATCGACAAAAGGGGATGGGCTGTCCACAACTCACCTCAGGCAACTCCAGCCAATCGGAAGTATTGTCTCGCGGGAACACAACCATTCTCGCTCCGGCTCTACGCGCTGCGACCGTCTTCTCCCGCAGACCTCCAATCCGCAACACTCGCCCAGTCACCGTCAGCTCGCCCGTCATGGCAATCGTGGGGTCCAGACTCCGGTTCAACGCCAGCGACAGCAGACTCGTGGCCATCGTGATGCCGGCGCTCGGCCCGTCCTTTTGCACCGCCCCCTCGGGACAATGCAGATGTATCCGCGCCTTCTCGAAGAACTTGTTGCCTGGGTATTGCTGGGCGAGTAGGCCTTTGGCGAAGGAGTAGGCGATGAGAGTGCTCTCTTTCATTACCGGCTTCAAATTACCGGTCCGCTCCAGGCCTGGTCGGGACGAGTGGGTGAGGGCGCTCTCGAGAATGCTCTCTACGTACAGCGCGGCGCCGCCCATCTGCGTCCAGGCGAGACCCATGGCGACGCCCGGCGGAGTCTTGTCGTATAGTCTGTCGCTTGTGAAGACGGGAGGGCCGACGTAGTCTTTGAGGTTGTCCTTGCCGATGCTGACGTGGACGTCATCCGGGACCTTGAGAGCGACGCGCGGCTGCTCCGTGGTCTCCTTTTCCATCTTCTCTTCTGTCGGCGTTTCCGTGACATCCGATTCGTCTTTGGCGGATTCCTCTTGCGCCTTCTTGCCTTCCTCCGTCATCGCCTTGTCCTCAGACAGAACATCTTCGCCGACATCTTGTATGATCTTGAGCGCGGACTTGCGATAGACCTTGTCGATTTGCTTCTTCAGGTTTCGCACGCCAGACTCGCGGCAGTACTTGTTGATGAGTTCCATAATGGCGTCTTGTTCAATCTTGATGTCGACATCTTTCAACCCATTCGCTTCCTTGGCTTGAGGCGAGAGATATCGCTCCGCGATCGCCATCTTCTCGTCGCTCACGTATCCGCTGAGTTCGAGCAGTTCCATACGATCGAGCAGCGGGCGGGGGATGGTGTCGGTCATATTCGCCGTGCAGACGAATAGCACCTTGCTGAGATCCACAGGAACGTCCATGTAGTGGTCGAGGAAGGAAGAGTTCTGCTCGGGGTCCAGCAATTCCAACAGCGCACTAGATGGATCACCTTGATGACCACGTCCGATCTTGTCGACTTCGTCAATCAGCACCAACGGGTTCTCCGTCTGACACTTCTTGAGTGCTTGGATGATCCGGCCGGGAAGAGCGCCAACGTAGGTTCTGCGATGGCCCTTGATCTCTGCAACATCGGTCAAGCCGCCGACGCTGAAGCGGTAGTACTGTCGGTTGAGCGCACGCGCAATCGACTTTCCAATACTGGTTTTCCCGACACCGGGCGGCCCAACCATGCACAAGATCTTGCCTTCGACGGTGCCGCGTAGTTTGCCAACGGCGATAAACTCCAGAATCCGGTCTTTGACGTCCTTCAACCCGTAGTGATCTTCATCGAGGACCTCCTGTGCGTGGCGAATCCCGAAGTTCTCCGCACTCCGTTGGCCCCAAGGAATCTGCGTTAGCCAGTCCAGGTAGTTTCTCGTGACGTTGAACTCGCTGGCAGCGGGTTCCAGATGAGCGAGCTTGTTGATTTCTTCGTCAAACACTTTCTTCACCGCTTCCGGCATGGCGAGCTTCGAAGCCTTCTCCCTGAACTTCTCCACCAGCTTGTCCTTGCCGTCGCTCTCAAGTCCAAGTTCGCGGCGGATGCCCTTCATTTGCTCCATGAGCCAGTACTCGCGCTGTCGCTTCTGAATTTTGCTCTCCACGTCTTTGCTAATCTTGGAGGACAGCTGGGCGTTCATATGCTCCTTCTTGATCACCTCCAGCGCCTTGCTTAATCGTTGTTCGATGTTCAGGCTCGCCAACACTCCTTGCGCCTCCTCCATCTCGCCGCCAGATATCGCCGCGGCGAAATCTGCCAGTTTTGCGGGCTCATCGGCAATGTTTGCTGCCGATTGAGACATGGCGAATGCGCTCACGTGATCTCTGAACAGAGTGTTGACGTTCCCGATCTCCTTGCACGTGTTCACAATCTCTGAAATCAACGCTCGGATGGTCGGGGCTTTCTTATCGAATGGCTCATCGGCGAGGTTCTCAACCTTCACAAGCGAGACAGGCCAGGTGCGTAGGAAGGCGGTTGGATCGTATTTGGCTTCGTACTCGGACCCGGGCTTGGACTGTTCCGCAGCCGTGCCAGGCTCTTCAAAGGAAGCCACGATGTCGCCCTTCTTTTCTTCTGCCTCGGGTTGCTTCGCCTGGTCTTCTGCTGGCGCGGGCTCGATTGTAACTTGCGCCGCTTGTGAGGGCTGAGGAGCGCCTGGTGGTGTGGTATGTGGTGGAATCAATTCGCTCAATCGTATCCTTCGATGCGGATACAGCACAGCTTGCAGGGCTTTCTCCTCGCCTTGGCCGGCCGGGAAGGCTCCCGTGATCTGGCAGAAAGTGCCAACATCGTACACCTCACTCGGATCGTTGATGACATCCTGGCTGCTATCATGGTCCTTCAACAGAAATGCGCCAACATAGCTCTGCCCTCGCTTCAACAGCTCTTGCACCGCGGCAATGACCGTCTGGTCCCGGATCGTGATCGCCTTGTAGAAGCCGGGGAAGAGGGGTCGCTGAGCGATGGGTATTGCGAGAACTTGTGGGTAGACCTCCGGGGGCGCATTCTTCGTCAAGCTACGCTCTTGACCTTTCCGTTTCCGACTCCCGCCATCATTATTGCCGGAGCCTGATTCACCACCTCCACTGGCTGCACTCGAGGCTTTGCCATCGACTGCGCCAGGGATTGGGGTTGGCTCGGAGGGCTTGCTTTTTGCATCGATAACGTCGTCTACTGGCCGTGGCTTATCCGTCACCTCCTCTTTCCGCTCTTCCTGCGGCTGGACGTCATCTTCCTCCGGTGAAGACGGCTTCTCTTTCCTCCTTGCTGGAGAAGATGAAAAATTCCGCGAGAGAGAGAGGGATGATGGTTGTAGATAGGGTGAGTGCGTTGCGCCTGGTAATGAGAGCAGATGGGATCTTGACGGAGCGCACAGCTGCGCCTGGCAAGTCCTACATCCTAGCTGTTCAGCGAGGTGGGTTCGTGGCCGGGCATGTCGAAGCGCTGTTCGCCATGGAAGATGTTGCGCGTAGACCATGCTCTCGTGACGGGTGGCGTGCAGTGCTGGAGCCGCAGACAGGCGACGAAATGAGACGCCGATGATGTTGATGGGTGCGAAGAAGAGGGGAGAGGTCTGCGACAAAGGCAAAAAGCAAGACCACGGCGACTCAAGGCGATGGCGACGGAGTTACGAGTGTTCGCAAGCGTCACTGATGAAATGCTCGTGATGATTAATGTATGCCCGATTCGGTCTTTCAAGGAAGCACAGGCCACCCTATTGTATCTGATCTTCTCCGCCTCCGCCATCATGTCCTTGACTTCCATCTTACCACTTGCACGGTAGCCAGTTCGTTGACCGTGTCGAAATGGTCGAGCTCCCACTTAGCAGTTTGTACAGATATTCTCGATGGTCTACGTCCGTGGATGTGTGAAAGACAACGACAACTCTGCGGACTGGCCTTGCACTCAATATCAACCAATTCGTCCAGACCGGAGCCACCATTTTATCGTCTTTCGTATTCGAATGTTACCTTTAGACGGGGGATCGGAGCGTGGTGTATTGAGGGGCATGGCGTAGCAACGACATGTAATACAGTGAGGAAGCCACGCGCATTCCATGCCCGAGGAATGGTTTCATTCCACGAGCCCTGAGAATGTGTTCATGAGGGTGGCTGCGCCAACAGAACAACACAACGCTGCAGATTGAAAGCGGCCGAAACCTTTCTATGCCCATCCTGCTTATCGTAAACGCTTAATGTGCAAGTGCAAGCCCGCGGGCATGCGTCTAAGTGGTACTCTTCTTCGCAAATTCCACCCGGAGAATCAGATGCCCGAAACCATAGCCATCCATCTTCTCACATGCTCTCGCCGCGTCAGAGCGGTCAGCATACGAGACAAAAGCAAATCCTTTCGCCCGCCCGGTGTCTCTGTCTTTGGCGAGGAAGACGCGGGTCACGCGACCATAGCGCTCAAACATTTGTCGGAGGTCCTCTTCTTCGGCGAATTCGGATACCTGCAAAGGCAAGTCAGTATGGCATGGCAAAGATGCTTGAGAGATGAAGGACGTACATTAGTGACGCGAAGAGTGGCCAGATCATCACGCTCTCTGCCTCCCATCCGCTCGCCAGTCCCGGATCCAGTCTTGCCACGTAGATGCGGCGGAACATAACTGGAAGATCCCACACCCAGCCCACCAGCATCCTCTCCGCCTCCACCCATTCCCCCATCCATGTCGACCGCTGCACTGCCAGCCTCGCCTTCCGGCGCCATGGTGTCTTTGAAGGGACATTTGGTGGTAAAATGGTCGCCGCTGCAAATACGACACTTGATCTGCATCTTCTTCAGTGCGTCCGCCTTTTTATCCTCCTCCGGCGCCTTCTCTTGTTGCTGCCCACTCTTGAAGCCCATGACCGGGCGGAATATGATGTTTTCGCCGAGCGTGGTTGTATCACTTCGAGGCCCAGCTGGCTTGCCTGCCTCCGGGCCCATCTTGGGCCATGCTCGTCGCTCTGCGACCCGCGGGTTCTCCTTCTTCTTCACGATGGTCCTCCGTATCCTCTGTGTCCGCTTTGCCTTCTTGCCATCTTCGTTGATGAAGAAGGTGACGATCGTCTCGGTGCCATCCTTGTTCTTCGTGACTTGGGGTGGCGGCAGAACAGTGGCCAAATCAGGCTCACTGTCTTCGGCCCAGTCGGTGCGGGCGGGGGGAGTCTGTACGCTCGCAGCTGCCATGATTCGGTTCTTGTTCTGCGAGATTGTGGAGTCGAGCTGGATGCTTGCGTCTGCAACGAGCTCTAGATCTTGCCGGCGGCCGATTTCGACGCTCCACGCGGTCAGCGGTGTGGATTGAAGTTTTGCGTGCCAAGAGAGCGGGGTGGCGCCGGGCTTCCCGCAGGGCCCGTCGGAAGAGGAAACCTAAAAATTGACTTCTGCGGACTCGCGAGTTAATCTGTACAGTACATGCACTACATGCACCACATCTGCACGCCGGGGACGCGGAACTGTATCTCGCCCTGCGGGTTTCACTCGGCATGCTTTTTCGCGCCTACTAACGGCGCATCTCTTACCCCACACGCACACCCTATCCACGCATGTGGCATGCATGTTGACGAATGCCTGGGCAATGCGAGTCAGTCAGTGGGCCTTTGGCCACGCTCCCCCTCCTACCAGGCCGTCATCCCGGCTTCTCATGGCGGAGCACGAGGCCATCGTCATCGAGTCCGGCCAGCTTCATAGGCCTCCGTTGGCCAGTGCATTTGCTCGAAGTGGGCTAGGTCACCCAGTCTCAGTGCCTGCACGCAGCCCGGAGGAGAGCAGTGCCCTCCGTCATTAGGTCTCGTATCATCCTCCTGTGGCCCGGCCAGTCTGCAACGCAGGTTCACGAATAGCCATCGAGCTTAGCCCGACACGCTGGAAAGTTTCGATCGATTGCGTGACTCGGCGTATTCCCGCGGCTTTCAACCGCCATTGATTGGTCTTCAATCTGTGCACTTCCAATTCCCATCGCTGTGCACGTGTGCACTCTGGTCCGCGCCCCTTCCTGACCTGTTACAAGCTAAGACTTCAGGTGTCGTTCGCTTGGGTCTGGCCGCATGCCTCCAGCAGTCATGGCTGTCAGCAACCATCACACTTGGACATAAAGGAAAAACACATTGTGAAGTACTTCGACTCTCACGCTGGGGATTGTTCTCGGCTGCGTAAGCTGCGGAACATCTCATCACCGATCTTACTGCGATCTCCTGTGATGACAGATCAACCAGCTGAGGCTTAACCCACGAAATTCCGGCCATCTCCCCCCGATGTCTTGGCAAAACCCAGACCCTCATGCTTGGCGCGTAAGATGTGCATGATGCGTCCCACCATAACGCGACCCAGGTTTGCATTGCTTTTATGCAACAACGCCATCGACGCACTAACGTGCCGTTGCGCGCGTGCATTGCGCCGGGTGGAAGCAGGCTTGATGAGCCTCCCGCAGTCCTTATGCTCGGGGGCTACCCTCCGACTACTCCATTGGGGGCATGCGGGGAAGAGTACAGCTCACAAAGGTATTGTCTCTTCAGCGACATCGGTCTGATATCGGCGCTACCGTTGTACTTCTCCACAGGATACTGTATTGCCCACGCTAATCGACGAGCTGCGCTGCACCGTTCAGCAAAACGGCTCCCACATCGTCACCACTACTCTGGAGTTGCATTGCGCAGCGCTGGCTGAGCTGTCAGTTCATATGATCGCATGACAGGGTCAAAGTGTGGGTGAAAGAGAAGGGCCGATGCAAGTCATTGGGTCAAATGCTGTACGCATCCACGGTTGGACTCGCCCTGAATTCGCCGAATGTGAGGTACGACCATGATGGACGGGCCGCCTTCCTCTTCTGGGCGCAGGGCGTAGGGCGTTCCGGAAACGGTGATCGACTCGCGGGCCAGATGACGCCGATACTACCGCCACGCCCTGATCGGGGATCTACGACCACTGACGCGCACAGGCGTGGCTACAACGTACATTACTCCTGCATTAACACGCTGCAGGATTCGACTCGCGGGAGGACTGGTCTGTCGTTCACATGCGTTCATACTTACGGCAGAGGACTCGGCAAGTGACTCGGAATGTACAGGTTTTTGCACATGAGCGAGTTTGCATTCGTGTTCACCACGACTCAATTCCACTCACAAAACGGAAGGAAGCACGAGTCACGACTCTGTGACCTGAGCACTTGTGGAGGCCAACCCTTGACCGGCCCGCGCGGGTTGGTGATCCGCGGCTGGACTTGGCTGCAACACAGTGTTAACCTAGTTTGGTTCATGAGTCTCTAAGCGACGTGGAAATAGTGGTTCTCAGCCTCTTTGGGGAAGGACCGGGGCGAAACGGGCATCGCCAATCCCCCACGCCGAGTGCCGAGTGCGCCCAGCGATTCACCACACTCCCACACGATCAGGGCACAGCTCAACCAATGCAGGGGAAGAGGGCATCTCTGCGCAGCCTGCTGTCAGGCCCGACAGCCCCGACGACTGGCGTTCATTATGCCTTGGCCATGGCGAAAGCAACGGTGGGGAGCCCCGCCCCCCCGGCCCCACGAGTCTGCGACTCTTCGCTTGCACTGAGAATTGCAAAATGCCTCTCGAGATGCAGTCAACGATCGTAATTAATCCCGCGCTGCACATTCGTTAGGTGATCGATCTTATCGACGTCAGTTAAGCTTACCTTTTGGGCGACTGGGGTTGTGAAGATCGTCCCCCGGCCTTGAGCGGGATTGCCTTCCGTGTATTCGTCGATGGGGATTCTTGGCAGGTCTCGCGGCTGTAACTCCCCGGTCCTCTGCGAATCAAAAGGTCACCCATCCCCCATGTGCATCGGAGACTTCGAGCTGCTATGTGTGACACGCGTGCAGGGCCATGGAAACAGCAAGTGGCAAACAGCAGCCGTGGGTGTCAACGTGTCGTGTACCTGCAGTACCAGTGCAATCCAACTCCACCAACGTGAACTCCGAACCATTTTGAAGGCAGGTTGAAGGGGCCCAGCCTCCCCAACGCGCATCGAGACGGCGGCGTCGGAGAAGTCCGCGCAGTGTGGTGTGTATCGATGGAAGGCCTCGCCCCTGCACCGTGCCACGCCTTCTGAGTCGACAGAAAGGGCAGGTGATTTTTGATGAATGTTTTACCGAAGGAACAGGACATATTGAGAGCATCCTCAAACCGCATTGGTGTGGCGAGTCCCTTCGCGTAGACTTTCTGAGACACTGCGGATACCATGGATTCTGCAAATCTTACCAAAGTCTGGCTCCTCGAATCCTGCATTGCCTATCTGAGCAGCGAATAGTGAATGCACGTGACTGGCCTAGCGGATGATCTTCCAGAAGACTTTTCCTGGTACGGTGGATCTCTGCGAGGAACGGACCTGGTTATCAAGCAGCAGCTATGAGATGACCTGCATGAGCGGGAACCCCACAACGGCCACGGGGCGCGCATTGCGGTCTTGCGCAAGCTCGTGGATCCTTGCATAGATCGAGTAAACTAGAACCTTTGAGGATGCAGCCATGCCCACAGCTGCGAGTGGGCTGCTTTTCCGCAGGCTTTCCGGGCCAGGGAGTGGCAGCGCAGTGCACAGCTGGTGTGGTGGCCGATACAGATTAACTCGATCGATGCACATTGCTTGCTGTACCCTGGCCCGATGTGCGATTAGATTCGCGAGCTCCGCTGGCCCGCGGCTGTATTCCCGCGCTGCGACCGTCGACGAGCTGAGCACATTGCTCGTGCATTGCACGCAATGAACGAGGCATTTTCCGCCAGCCCACAGTGCTAGAGTGCTTTTGTTGAAAAGTAACCCATCCCCGCAGCCCAGGGTCTTCTCCACGAGGACGGGGAGGAGAAGGTGTTTAGGCTAGGTACAATGCGGAGGCCGTTCTGTGCATTAGCGTCTTGTGCTTTCGGCGGCCACACCCAGCCCTTCCGTGGCATCCAGAACTGTCGCTCCAGCCAATGGATTTTATGACGGCACCATCGCGGCCCCCGATGGCTCGACATGGGCTCAGAGAAGATCGATCATTTCCCGTGTGAGAGCGTCCATTCTCTGGATATGTCTTTCAGCAAGCCTGGTGGTCGGAGGCGGGCACTTGGCACCGCTTTGCTGTCACTGGAGCATCATCATTCCCAGCCCAGATGCAATCTAGATTGTTTGGGTGGCTGCATCCTGAGGGTCCCACCCCTCTGCAAGCTAGTACGGCGAGGGCGGCCGGCATGGCGTTTTTGGCTGCAGAGACGTACTCGCACTGCTGCAACCCGGGCGCCGTGGATGTCCTAGTCCAAACACACATCAGTGTCATGCATGTGTGGGCGGGCCTCCGAGGCACGCCGGATTTGAGATTAGGAGAATGAGTGGAAACAGGAGACTGCTGCGCTCATATGCACGTCGTCTCGCGAAGAGAGGGCTTTGCCCGGAAGGGGAATGGGCATTCGAGGCAAACCCAGAACGCATACCGTAGGCACTACAACGTGTGCGGACCATGGCCCCGGGGCCTTCACAAGGGCCCTGCCAGTTTTGCACTTATATCCGAATCCTGCACCGCGCGATCCAGACGCCGACCCTGGAACCATCTTGTCTACTTATCTCTGTCCCCTCCGTCAACGATCCTCCCGACTGCCTCTTTCCTCTCGTTGCCACAGCCAAACCGTCACTCGACCCAAAAAGCCCAACCCACCTGCCTTTTTCGACACTCTCACGACCGCCATTGCGCCACCGCCGCCTCCGCTTGCTTGCTCCCTTCCCTCCCACCCGCGGATCGTGCCCTTCCGGATCGACAACGCTCACTAGGTCAAGTGGGCCGAAAGCCTCGTCCACCCAAGGAACCTGACAGGCTAAGATCCTACGACGACTCGAGGCATTTATTATTACCATTGCACTCGCCCGTTGCCAGCAGGATTCACCCCGCGAGTCACTCTTGTTGTTCGACCGAGCGTAAACATCAACAGGCCTCTCAAAAACTGCCCGGCACGTCAAAACCATCAAGATGAACGGTGGCGAGGCGTTTCACCCATACTTGCTCAGCACTCCAACCTCCGGAGCCATGTATCCTCCCAAGACCTTCTACCCGGAGCCCCATTCCATCCCCTCAATGCCACAGCAGGACCTCTATCCCATGCGGCCGTACCTGGTGCGCCCGTACGCAATGAACGGGTTTGGGGGTTACATGGATATGGAGCAGCCGACACCCATGATCACGTTACACGACAAAACTCCACGCTCCCGGAGACGCTATCCTCCCGGCAGTCAACCTACCAAGCATCGACGAACGAGGAGTGGCTGCTATACCTGCCGTCAACGACGAATCAAGGTAGGTCCAATGGTCACTGCCACATTGCGACGACCTCATACTGACTGATCCGCTTTCAAGTGCGACGAGGCTCGACCTATCTGTGACAGTGAGTTGCACCTTATCGTCTGTCGTTAGTAAGAGTACAGTTGCTGATCCTCTCACAGGGTGTCGCAAGGGCAAACGCGACTGCACCTACCCAGGTGCCGCATCGTCATCCGCCGCGGCTCGCTCCAAGCGCAAGGCATCGACTGCTGACGATGCATCGGACAATGCCGACGACGAGCCCGAGGAAACCGAGCACGACCACGACCACAGCAATGAGGGGAAGACTGACGACTGCTGCACTCAGCTCATCACCCCAATGCAAAGCTTCGACGACTCTGCATACTCGACACAAGACGAGATCGCGACCAGCCGCCCGGGGGTGATGGCCGACCCTCGTGCCCCGTTGATGAAGACCCCGACTGCCATCCGTCGCGACTCGCACCATCCCATCACACCCACGAGCATGCAGAATGCGCGATGGAATCAGTTGCCCGACGACATCAAGATGCTCCTCACCTACTACCGAGACAACCTCACCGATCACCACTACCTCCTACGAGACGGGCATGGTGGGATAATCAAAAAGGTCTTGCTCGAGAGGGCCGTCAACGACGAAAGCCAAGCGCTGCTGTACGCCGTCGTCGCCTTCGCTACCTACTACTACACACGCGAGCATGGCGACGCATCGGTCGTCAACAGCCAACCTGGCGTTCCCCCATTCTTGGTGCCGCAAGGCAAGTCGATAGCACTGCTGCAAAAGTCGTTGCGCCATGGCAACCCCGATGTAACGACGCTGTTGACCATCTTGCAACTCGCGACGATGGAGGTGAGTGTCGCCGACGATCCCGTCTCTTACAGGGCCCCCGCTGACATTACTATAGGAGTGCCTAGGTGACTGGAACAACATGGACCGCCATCGCAAAGCCGCTCTTGGTGTCATCTCTCGCCTTTACACTCCCCAGACCCTCGCGTTGGACGAGGTTGGTCGTGCCATCGCCGCCTGGTACATGCAGTTCGACCTATTCAACGCCATGATCTCCTCATCCGAGGTCTGCCTTGGCCGCGAGTACTTCCTGGCGTGCCAAAACTTCTGCAAACGCCAGACGCAGAAGAAGCCACGCGATCCCAAAGTGCGCTTCGCAGACTACTACACCACCATGCGACTCATCAAGTCGGACCTCGCGCACTACCTCGCCGTCCGCGGCCGAGGGGCTGCCACTGGTGTCGATCTCCAAATCATGGCTGAGCGTCTCGTGTACCGCCTGGAAGAGTTTGGCCGAGAGCTCGAACTCGCCTTCCCTGACTGCCCGATCATCACGGACAAGGCCAACTACATGCCTCACTTCAACCCGCATGGCATCCTCGACTTTATCGAGCCCGAGCCCTACTACACTGGCGACTTGGCCACGATGAACTACGTGCTCGTCGACTTCTGGGCCCTCGACCTCGAGGTCAAGTCGTACGTGGAGGCACGACCGGCGACGGAACTCGCCCGCACCACCCTCAAGATTGCCGGCATGATCGAGCGGATGCAGCAGAGCGTCCACGAGCCTGCCTCGGCCATCCTCAGCACGCGCAGCGCTCTGAGTGCCGCGGGTTTCATCATGCCCAAGCAGCCTCAATACTTCGGCTGGCTCCGACAGCAGTTCGCCGCCATTGAGCGACTAGGGTAAGCCATCTCCTCACTCACGACTCGTCCCAAGCCACACCACTAACCGCCGACTCATTAGCTACGTCTACCCGTCCACCTTCCGCCGCCACATCTTCGACGTCTGGGGCGTGGTCGACACGGACGACGCGTGGCTCCCAACGGTCACTGCCGAGCACGTTTCGCCCAGCGAGGTCGACGTGCAAAACTTCTTGGCGTACCGTGCGAGCGCCGCAGCCGCCGGACCCCAGCCTGGGAGCGCAACCTCCAGCTTCGCCGACGTGGGCGGGGTGCTCTCCACTCTCCCGTTCGACGACGAGGTCTTTGATCTAGACTTTGTCTCGGCCTGAGAAAGCCACTCCAAGCACCTTCCTCTTTGGGGATGGTGCGGATCCTTCACTCCGCCACGCCCCGAATGATCGCCGGTACCCGCCCCCGGCCCGGGCAATCGGATAAGCATTCCCGCGCGCGGACCGCAGCGGCTTCATCGGAGACTGCCGTGCATGCAGCAGCAACGCAAGCTATTCATGTCGTGCATGGTTTCACCACGACCCGTTCCTCGACCGCAGCCACGCCGTCTGTTCTTGCCCTCGTGCGGATCTCAACGCCGGGTACTCCACGCCTTGGACGCCGCCGCCGCCGCCACCTCCGCCACCCCGATCATCTCCTCCACACCCCTCCTCCATCCACCTTCCTCTTCGGGCCTTGTACCGGATAGGATTGATCTACCGTCCATCACCGCCGGCCGCCGTCGCCCTCTCCTCCTGGTCACTTGGATCAATCGATGTGTCCATCCAACACCTTACCTTGGTTGTACATCACCTTCACCTTTGGTGCCCTAGCACCCTTTAGTTAATGAGAGTGAGGAGAATGGGAGCACTTGGAATCGCCACCCAAATGGTCGGCCTCGCTAACGAGAAAGAAAGAGTTTACGAAGAACGAAAAATGTGCTGTATCGCGCAGGTGGGAGGGAACTATTTTGTGCTTTCGATCGATGTATGATCTTCGTCTTACTGTATCAATAGTCATACTAGTCATGTTGCCTACCGTTCGAACTCGTCACATCCCAATGCTTCCATTTCTGTCCCGCTCTGTGCCTCAATCTATTACGTGTGGAACACACAAGGCGTAGAGACGCGCTGGAAATCTTTGCACGCGGATGAAGTCTCAAGCTCGAGCTGCAAAGATTCTCCGATTAGCTGCCATCTTGGGAAAATGGAGATGCAGAAAGTTGCATGAATAAGCATTATCTTACGGCCTTTGAGAACGTTGGCTATCGAAACTCTATGCCTCAATACGCCAGGTGATAAGGGATTGGTATATCAAATGGCAAGGATGGACGTTGAGTACAGTACTAGCTCTGCTGCGTTTGCCTGGTCTGCAAGTTTCTGCAACGACGACTAGCATCTTGTCATCTGCTCCCCACCGACAAAGCACAAATACCGGTTCATCTTGATCCGTTAAGAGCACTTTTGGTGCACGATACCAGCCCCACGCTCATCGTACTCCGCCCGAGTAATCCATTGCTGTCTAAAGTCACTCTGCGAAGCCAGCCTCGATCCACCCACCCACGCCAAATCCTGAGGATCCTCCGGCGTTGCCACCTTGATGGTTTGATTGGGAGGAGCCAGCTCGGGCAACTCGGTCTTGAGGGAGTCGGCGATGCTCGACAAGTCGGCAGCACCTCCCGCCTAGAGATATGTAAGGTAAAAGGGTTGGTAGAACGTGAGGGGATGGCTCTGAGCACTAACCAGCACGATGTTTTTGTAGAGCTCGCGTCTGACCTTGAGGTCGCACGAGCTGATGCTGTCCTGCACGGCCTCACTTACATTGTCCGTTGCAGAGACATTTCGAACGGCCGCCTTGACTGCATAGCCTTCCACGACGGGGATGATGGACGTAGACTCGCCCTCAGCCATGACCGCAAGCCCAGTCAAGCGGTTAGTGGCGTACACCGAGAGCACCCCGGGATTCGCGAGATAGAAAGCAGGCACGTCGAGTTTCTCGAAGAAGATTTTGATCGTCTGCTCGCGCCCGTCCTTATCTTGTCCCGGCTCGGCTGTAAGCATGACTGGCTGGGTGGTGGTGCCGGCGTGCAGGTTTTGCTGGATCGTGTCGCGCCATAGTTGTTCGCTGGCGTCCCAGTCTGTTCTCTCCGCGTTCGAGAATGTATATGCGGGCTTTGCATCACCGGCGAAACCTGCTACCGAGATGCCCGACCTGTTGACAATGCGTCAGAGGTGTAGGATGAAAATTAGGATTATGGTTGCAGTACGTGATGTGGAGGATGACTGCTGGGGTTTCTGGAGAACGCGTTGTTCAATGCAAACGCACTTCACCCATCAACGTGGAATGGGAATCGACTGACCGTAGTCCATTGTAAAGTATTCAAGGCGATTGCTGGCAATGCTGGGAGAATGATTGAAAGCCGGCAAGCATCTTTATATAAGAAACGAAGTAAACAGAAAATTCCACACTTATCCGCTTGTCGTCACTTTGCATTGGGTGCCCACCGCGTTGCAGTGTCCTATAACGAATCGGATCTACTGCGATCAGCGAGAATGACCTTTGCAATGCCCGTGGAGTCTCCACTCCACTTGGGCTGATGTTCCCAGCTCATCATCGGACCATCGACTCTGTATCCGATGGATCGCGGACTACTTGTACCCGCATCTGTGGACGATGAGGATTTCGAACCACGAATTGGAGCGTGTCAGGCTCTCGTCTTTATCGTCAAATTGCGTCTCCAACTGTTCCCGTGGAAGAGAGGTCAAGGCAGTTGGACTTAGGCGCGGTAGGATGTCAGCCTGAGGCATCAGCGACGAAAGCGAGACTCGCCGAGATTGTGCCGACGTCACTGCAGAAGGTACAGCCCGCATATGCACGCATCCTCCGGGAGTGAACAGTGTCTCTGCGTGCTCAGAGACAACCGACCATGGCATTACCTCAGTCGGCGTACAAAGACCGGCAGTTCCTGGCCGTGATTGGGGATGAGGTGAGCGAATGCGCGCGCCGGACCCAACAGCGACATGCAGCTAACATGTTCTTCGTCTCAGGATTCCGTCACCGGTATCTTACTGGCAGGCGTAGGCGTATGTTCTCCCACCATCGGCTTACCACCTCGAAAGACCTGCGACTAATGAAGAGATGAATACCCACAGCACGTCACCGACCCCCCAGACTCGCAGAAGAACTTCCTCGTCGTCGATTCAAAGACAGAGAACAGCACGATTGAAGGGGCATTTGACAGCTTCACGCAAGAGCGGAAGGATATTGCGATTGTGTTGATTAATCAGCATGTACGTTCACCTGCATTACAAGCAGGATGTGCTTCGCGAAGGCGGCGCTGACTTGTTGTGCGTGCGGTAGATTGCGGATCGGATACGAAGCAAGGTCGACCAGTATAACGAGGCTTTTCCCAGCTTGCTGGAGATTCCGAGTAAGGATCATCCGTATGATCCCGAGAAGGATAGTGTGTTGAAGCGGGTGAGGAAGCTATTTGGGGACGAGTGAGGTATGAGGGGTAGGGATTGTGTTATTGAAACAATATAAGCGGAATCGTCCCATGCATGACTGCACAATCCGAACCCGCTCGGGGGTCGCTGGTGTTTGAGACAGACACGATTGCGGCGGACGATATGAAAGAGACGAGGACGCTTAGAAATAGGAATGCGTAGACCATACAGAACAGCATCGCGTATTTACAGCGGATTATCCTCGTTCATGTCGCACTATTAAAGATATTACTCTCGGCCACCAATGAACATGCGTCGTCCTTGCGCCGTCCGCAATGCACACAACTCCGCCGCCATTGCCTGGGAACTTCGTACTCCAAGTCTCGCCCACCATTACTCTCGCTTCTACATATCCTGCTTGAACTTCAACGCATCTCCACCACCACCCCTCTTGAATTCAACATCGGCCGTCAAACAGGTCACCTTCTCGTCGTCCTTGGTCTGCACATCGGCAATGACATGGTACTTGCCCGGCGGGATGACCTTGGGCAGGTCCACCTCCTTCTCAATCGTCAACTCGCCCACCTCGAGCGGGCACTTGAGGTCGACGTTCTTGACCGTCTCGCACAGATCGGCGGTCTGCTTGATGATGGTGATGAGCCCGTACTTGACTTGCAGTGCGATGGTGGCGCCCTCTTCCACCTTTTGCGTCAGGTTGCCCGTTGCGACGATTTTGAGTGGGGTGCCGCTGAGTTGTATTGTGAGTAATGGGTCGTTGGAGTGGAGTGGAGTGGAGGGTGAACTTACGGAAGAGGAGGATTGGGGGAAATGTCTACGCTCTCGAGATCGAGGATGTCGTCCTTGGGGTCTGCACAGTGTTTGAGCGGGTTCTCGCCGGGTACGTCGGTGTCGTTGGAGAGGGCAAGCTCGGAGGAGGCGCCTAGCCAGCCGGCTTGCACGGCGACGAGGGAGGGCAGGAAGTAGAGGAGGAGCTTCATGGTTGCTGGTTGGTGTGGGAGAGGTGGTAGGGATGGGAGGCGCGAGGGTATGGTGTGAGGGTGAAGGAGGGAAGTGGGAAGATACGGTAGACAACGCCATCGGATTCCATGCAAAACGTCACCAGACCAAGCCGGCGCCACGTGAGGCGCTAGTGTGGCTGGCGTGCCTCAGGCATCAAAGAAGGACCCGACCATTTTCGAACGACAACGTGTGCATTGAAGCGAGTGAGCACGACTACGCTCTCTCTATTGTGCTTGCCTTCGCTCATTCATCCATCCCTTCTCATTCTCCCTGGGTCGATGCTCTCGAACCCAGCCTGGCCACAAACAATCTCCCCCCGTGCGTGAAGACAGTCCCTCCCGAATCTCTGGAATTCCCATCCCTGCGCAGCGGGCGAGATCAGTGCGCCTCCCTGGCGTGGGAACACAACAGGCTCGGCGGGCAAGATGAAGTTGGACGTCAAGGTGCGCCTCCTCTCTCCCTCCAACCTGTGCAAGAAACAGGATGGGTGCTAAAGTGACTCTCGACCTGCAGAGACAACTCTTCGCGCGCAGCGAACGAGTCAAAGGCATTGACTTTCATCCCACTGAGCCATGGATCCTCACCACTCTCTACAGCGGCCACGTATACATCTGGTCCTACGAAACGCAGTCCGTCATCAAGACCTTTGAGCTCACCGATGTCCCCGTGCGCGCCGGCCGCTTCGTCGCCCGCAAGAACTGGATCGTCTGCGGCAGCGATGACTTCCAACTGCGAGTGTACAACTACAATACCTCCGAGAAGATCACATCCTTCGAAGCGCACCCTGACTACATCCGAGCCATTGCCGTCCACCCTGTCCAGCCGTTCGTCCTCACCGCCAGCGATGACATGACCATCAAGCTTTGGGATTGGGAAAAGGGATGGAAATGCGTGCAGGTCTTCGAAGGGCACAGCCACTATGTGATGGGGCTGGCCATCAACCCGAAAGACACAAACACCTTTGCTTCCGCGTGTCTCGATCGCACCGTCAAGATATGGTCCATCGGCTCCCATTCCTCCACCCCAAACTACACCCTCGAAGCCCACGAGACGAAAGGCGTGAACCACGTCGACTACTACCCCCATGCCGACAAGCCCTACCTCCTCACAACCTCTGACGACCGCACCGTCAAGATCTGGGACTACACCACCCGAGCTCTCATCACCACGCTCGAAGGCCACACTAGCAATGTCTCCTTCGCCTGCTACCACCCCGAACTGCCCGTCATCATCTCCGGCAGTGAAGATGGCACCGTCAAGATCTGGCACGCCAACACCTATCGTCTCGAGCAATCCCTTTCTTACGGCCTCGAGCGGGTATGGTGTGTGTCGTACCAGCGCGGGAAACAAGGTATCGCCATGGGCTTCGATGATGGCGCTGTCGTGGTCAAAATGGGCCGCGAAGAGCCCGCCGTATCCATGGACGGCTCCGGCAAGATCATTTGGGCTCGGCATACCGACATCCTCACCTCCGTCATCAAACCCGGCGACAAGTCGCTGCAAGACGGTCAGCCTATCTCAGTTCCATCGAAAGACCTCGGCAGCACGGAAATCTACCCGCAGACCTTGCTGCACAGTCCCAATGGCAGATTCGTGGCCGTGTGTGGCGATGGCGAGTACATCATCTACACTGCACTCGCGCTGCGGAATCAAGCGTTTGGGTCTGCGTTGGACTTTGCGTGGGCAAGCAAGGAGAACGATAAGGACTATGCTATTCGTGAATCGGCATACTCGGTCAAGGTGTACCGGAATTTCAAACCAAAGGGTGGTGATGGCACGGTCAATGTCGGATTCACCGCGGAGGGCTTGAGCGGAGGTGTCTTGCTTGGAGTCAAGGGACAAGGAGGCATTGGATTCTTCGACTGGGATTCCGGCAAACTCGTCCGGAGAATTGAAGTCGAGCCGAAGAATGTCTTTTGGTCGGAGAGCGGAGAGCTGGTGTGTCTTGGATGTGAGGACACGTTTTACGTTTTGCGGTTCTCGCGAGAGCAATACGTTGCTGCCTTGCAGAGCGGCGACGTGGACGAGGACGGTGTGGAGAGTGCTTTTGAGGTGGTTTGCGATATCAACGAAAGGTATGTTGCGTTACTGCACTCGTGAAGATGCTGTAAAAGTATACTGACTCTCATCCCCACAGCATTCGGACTGCACAATGGGTGGGCGACTGTCTCGTCTACACCACCTCCACAAACCGCCTCAACTACCTGGTCGGTGACCAGACATACACCATCTCGCACTTCGACTCTCCCCACTACGTCCTCGGCTACCTGGCGCGCGACGCGCGAGTCTACATCTGCGACCGCGACGTCCAACTCACCTCCTTCGCCCTCTCCGTCTCCGTCATCGAATACCAAACTCTCGTCCTGCGAGGCGACATGGAAGCCGCGCAGTCCATGCTCGACTCGGGCGACATTCCCGACGCCGAAATGAGCAAAATCGCGCGCTTCCTCGAAGGCCAAGGCTACAAGGAAGAAGCACTCCAAGTGGCGACCGACAAAGAGCACCGCTTCGAGCTCGCCCTCGCCCTCGGCAACCTCGACATCTGCCTCGAGCTCGCGCGCGAAGCGGACGTGGAGCACAAGTGGAAGACGGTCGGCGACGCCGCGCTCACCGCGTGGAACATGAAGCTAGCAGAGGAGTGCTTCGACCGCGCGCGCGACTGGGGCAGTCTGATGCTGCTGTACTCCAGCTCCGCCGACTCGGCCGGCCTGCGCAGCCTCGCGGGCAAAGCGCAAGAAGCGGGGCAGATGAACGTCGCCTTCTCCTGCTTGTGGCAAACGGGTGACCCGGACGCATGTCTGGACCTCCTTGTCGCGACGAACCGCACGGCGGAGGCGGTGCTGTTCGCGCAGACTTATCGCCCCTCTCGCTGCAAAGCGATTGTTGAAGCGTGGAAGGCGGGCTTGGAGAAAGCGGGCAAGACGAAGGTGAGTCGCGCGCTGGGCGTGCCGCCTGGTGTTTCTGCCGTTGATGGCACGGTTGAGGGCGACGACGATATGTTCCCCGAGTGGGATGAATATTTGCGATTGGAGAAGGAAGGCGGCGGGAAGGAGGGGTTGCTGATTGATGTCAATGGCGCAAACGAGAGCGACGATGTGGATGCTGCTAAGGCCAAGGCGAATCCTGTTCCGGTCGAGGAGGCGGAGGAAGAGGATGGGGAGGCTAGTGAGCAGACGGAAACGGAGGTGTAAAAAGGGGTATTTAGGATGAATGCATGCTGTAGAACGAAACGATTGTTCGAACGACGCTTCCTCTTGTGACAGGCTAGGGTATTCAACCCTCTATTTATACAGCAGCCCGCTGAAAGAGACTATCAGACAGCCTTCTTCCCGCTCTTCGCATGCCCATTCAAACCGCCATTGACCTCCCTCCCCTTCCCCTTCCTCCCAGACATAGCAACAGGCACATCCTCAAACGCAACCCCACGAATCAACACCTCACTCAGCGCCTCGAGCGCAGCAACAAAAATGCAAAGCGCACTCGCAATGACAAACATACTAATGCTCTCGCCAATATCCAGCCAAGAGCCATAATCCCTCACCTCCCAGAAGAACCTCAGCGTCAAGTAATCCCCAATCCCCATGACGACAGCAAACAGCGATCCGCCTCGGAGTTTCAAGCGGCGAGTGAGAATACCCAAATTGGCGGAGACGAGGGCGAAAGGAGCGAGGATTTTGAGCAGCAGGAGGGAGCCTTGGCTGAAGGGGTCGAAGACGGGGAGGAGGCGGTTCACGGCGTCGAGGGAGAAGGAGGAGACGGAGGCGATGTTGCCTGTGCTGAAGAAGGCGGATTGCAGGAGGTAGAGGAAGAAGAGGGAGATGCGGGCGTCGGAGAGGGTGAGGGTGCGGTAGGCGGTGGTGGGGGTCGCGAGGGCGGAGTCGCGTTGTGCGGCTGCGTTTGCGGCCGGGGCGAGTGGGGTGGTGAGGTCGGAGGGTGGTGTTGATGAGGATGATCGTGGGGAGAAGGCTTGGTGGATGCGGTGCTCCAATCGGACCCAGGAGACTAGGGTGACGGCTATGGCGAAGTAGAAGAGGCCTTCGTATGAGATGGTGAGGATGATGAAGAGCGGGCCGAAGGCCAGGAAGATGATGACGAGGCGGTGGAGGTAGTGATCTCGAGGGCTGAGGGCGTGGAGGAAGGGGACGACTAGGGAGGCGACTGGTTCTTGTCAGCTTTCATCCTGCGCTTCTGGTGTGAATGTCAAGGTAAGGAAAAGCAGGAAAAGTAGAGCTAAGCACATTGCAAGTGAGGGCCAGCCAGACCAGAGATCAGATGAGATGCTGAATAGGCTCGCCATCGAGATGCGGCGAGAGTGTTGAATGGTGGGCACGCGGCGAAGCAGGCCCCAGTGAAGTTCCTGGCGAGACATCCTGCTCCTCGGACTCGACCACGGTCGACGGACGGTGCGATGCGCGTTCCATTTCCGCCTCCCGCTTGTGCTTGTGTTTGCGGGCGGCTTCTAGATCGCCCGCCTTCGGTCCGGAATCCCGACTGAGCAGCGACGCCCTAGAGAGACTGTTTGCATACTCTCGATAGCCGATGTCGAAGCTCGAGGCAAGGGATGGTGTACGACTGCTGCCGGGTCTGCGCTCCACTTGCGGCATGCCATGCACGTTGGTGCCGGTGATGACTAGCGTATATGGGCGTTCTCCTTGAGGGACCACCGACGTGTTGCTCGCTGACCGAGGCGGGTATGTTGGAGAGTGTAAGCCTCGATCCATTGCCGACCTTCGACGACACGCTCTCATCGGAAGTTCCCAGAAGAGCAACCAGAAGAGGTAGATGATGAGTATCGGCAGCAGACAGACGATCATGAGCAGGACCGCCATGATCTTTGGAAAGAGCGGCAGTTGTCGCCATTGCGACCTGAAGTTCTTCCAATCCGTCTTTCCTTTAAAGGCATTGCTGAGATCGAAGTGGATGACCATGTCGGTGGCAGCGGGTGAAGAGGTGGCACAAGTCACCGCCTGAAGCCAGACGGGCCTGGCAGCCTGCCCAGGAGCAGTCGATAGAGGATAGTTTGAATGCGTACGGCCAACGAGCGTGGGATAGCAATGATAAAGATTGGAAGAACACGAGGGGAAACATCAGAAAGTCGACTTACCAAGTGTGATCCAGCCGACAGCTTGGGTGCCCAACGGCAGGCCCTGCTTTGTTTGTAGAGAAGCAACGCTCGACCGAGTCACCAGCATGGCAAGCGCGATGAGTCCAACCTGTTGAAGTCCGGTCGTCAGCAACGTTTCGGAAGCAACAACACCACTACATGTACTCACTTGAACCCCCAGGATGGACCGCGAAAGAGTATCCGCTTTCGCAGAGCCCAACCCTTCCTTCGCCTGTGCAGCTGGCACAAGCAAGCTTTTCTCAAAAGCAATGTACAGCGCTCCAATGATGAGGATCAGGAAGCCACCGAGCATGCTGTGATACAAAAGTCAGCGACAATCAAGTTTCCTTCCCGTATGTTGAACTCACATCAAGCTAGCATCCTCAGTCTTCAGCGCCGGAATGACAGTGAAAACGCTCATGGCTAGACATCCCAGTGTCCATGTAAGACAAAGCGTCCAGTTATCCTGCCAGAATCGCCATCCATACAGTGCAGGCCACACGCTCAGCCCCAAGTAGCAGTACGTGTAGACTTCGCGATGGTAGTAGCTCTGCACCATGACTTCGAGCAGAGCAATGTATGCGACCACCTTGAGCGCCAGCTTCGCGGCGTCGGAGTTGGAAGAGTGCGACATGAGTTTGTTCGTAGCTTGCACCAGCGCCTGTCGTCTGACAAAGACTTCTTCCCAGAACATGACGGGGAAGATGGCGTAGGCGTAGTATGTGATGGGCGAAGACTGAATGAAAAGGAAGCTGAAGAGACCGACGAGAATCGCTCCGAAGACGGACATTGACGCGGTCGATCGCGAGGCTTCAACTTTGCCGTCGAGGACGTGCATGTCGATTGCGGTTGTGAAGGCGAACGCCACCCAGCCAATGTAGCCCAGCGTCACCAGCGCCCGCAAGAACAACCAGTCGTATGTTTGCAGATAGCGCAAGCCCTCGAGTCCGACGTCGATCAACTCGTTGGATAGCTGGATGCTACGGGCATACTGGCCAGCTTGAAGCGCCTTCTCAATAGTCTCCAAACGATGTTCGACAGAGTGCTCGGCATCGGCGAAGCCCGGATATGGTCGGTATTGAAGGACTGTCGCGCTCTTCTGCTCTTCTTTCACATGGTACATCTCCAGGATTTGTTGTGCGTTGACGTACATTGCCTTGGCTTTTTCCTGGTCGTCACTAGCAAGATATGTCAGAGGAAGCTTGCCGACGGAGTTGACGGGAAATTCCAGTCCAGCCAGGTACGCCATGAGCGTCGCCACATCGGCCTGTCCGACATCATGGCGCTGCACATGGTCCAAATGCCAGTCGCTCGACAGCTCGTCATGTCCGGGCGCCGTGGCACCTTGAAAAGTCACTGGTTTGGCGACTCCCGCACCCCAGGTAATCAACGGCGTGCGTGTATTGTTCGGGTGGCCGTCTCCGTGGCTGCCCCAATCGCTCATCCCGTGGTCTGCAGTGAAGACATACGCAGTTTCGTCATCGCCGTAGAATCTGTCCATGATTTCGGTGATCTCCTGGACCCCCTGATCGACGACTTGGATGTTATGCAGATACTCTCGCGAGTACGGCCGCTTGCCGTGGCCAGTGGTGTCCAGCCCTAGCAGGTGAAGGAAGAAGACAATCTTCTCTTCTCGTAATCTCGCATTGAGCACCGGGTCTGTCTCCGCATCTTTGAACATCTGCTTTACCCGATCAAACACCCAGATGTCCAGCAATGTAGCGTCCATACTGAAGTCCTCCATATCAGGTGGGTAGGTGTAATCCTCGACTCTTCCAGGGACAGCACCTTCAGCGAACATGGGCAGAATGTCGTAACTGCCCCAGCACCAAGTGTGACTGCTCCTGTTGAAAACACTGTCGAAGTTGACGGGGTTCAACTTCCAACCTGTTGTAACAGCAGATACATCCTCGTACAATCCCGCGATCAGCGCAACATGTCCCGGTCGGGATTCGGTAGGGACTCTGGTGTGGGAGACTCCGAATGTGCCGTGCTCGAGAACTCGCGATCGCAGGAACGGGGCCAGTGGGCGTGGAACTTGCGCCGCCGGATCATCGATTGGAGCGGAGGGAGAGGGATCGGGGAAGAATTGGAAGGCTTTGTCCGCTCGCAGTCCGTCGCCTGGACGAATGGACGGTCAATTGTGTTGTTCGATGGGATATGCATAGCTTGTCAAGGACAGCTCACCAACATATAGCACCAAACGTTTCGCAGGTGCCTTGACAGCATCCACCTTGAACGCCTTCATCCCACTCACGATCGGGCTGACGAAGTAGACATCAAAGATGGAATAAATATAAACCACGTGAAACAAAACGGCGATGGCCAGGAAGGCCAGGCGCCCGATCCGCGCCATGGCGAAGAAGAGAAAGTGAGAGGAATTGGCTGCCTTTGAGCGACAGGAGGTCGGGAGGGAAGATGGATTGCAAGGCGTGTCAGGGTGAACGTGTCGCGGCCGACTTGCCTGCGGCCCAAAAATTTAGAGTTCGGCCTAGATTCCATCAGGGTTACGCCTGGCCTAACCCGATGGAGGTTTTCCGCGCTCGGGACTTTGACGGGCGATGGCGTCAATAGCCTTGGACGACATCAACCTCGACTTCACCCTTCGCGACATCAACTGTGAGCAACACGACAACAATGGCACTCCGAACAATCGGGCCCAAAGCGGCCGCGGCACTGGACGAAGAATTAATGTCCGCCGGCGCCTTTTCAATCGACCAACTCATGGAACTCGCCGGCCTTTCCGTCTCGCAAGCCATGTATCGCCTCTCGCCTCCAACACAATCTCCCAACGTCCTCGTCGCCTGCGGTCCAGGGAACAATGGCGGAGACGGCCTCGTCGCGGCTCGACACCTGCACTACTTCGGCTACAAACCCATCATGTACTTCCCCAAGCAAGGCAAGAATGAAATCTACGGCCGCTTGCGCACGCAGCTCGAGCAGCTGCGCGTACCATTTACAGACGACTTCAAAGCGGCGATCGCGAAGAGCGACTGGGTTATTGATGCCATTTTCGGATTCTCTTTCTCGGGCGAAGTTAGAGAGCCATTCCCTGCAGTCATCAAGGCGCTCGCGGAGAGCAAGATCCCCGTTTTCGCGGTAGATGCGCCGTCGAGCTGGAATATTGAGGGGGGGCCGCCGAGCGATGGGCCGGGTAAGGACTACAATCCTGACGCACTAATTTCATTGACGGCGCCCAAGCCGCTGGTCAAGTGGTTCAAGGGCAGGCATTTTGTGGGTGCGAGGTTCCTCGGCCAGGAAATCGCGGACAAATACGATATCGACGTTCCGCAGTACAAGGGCAGCGATCAGGTTGTTGAGGTACCGGTCTCCTCTGTGAAGCTTTGAGGACCTGCTTGAGCTGGACAGAGTGGGTTGAGCAATATGGTAGCCCACTTATAACGATTGATGAAATGCAAAGCTTGCGATTTGTACAACGTTGGTATCGATGTACTCCAAACACCATGCTAAATTCGAATTCGAAGCCATCATTCTTCCATCGCGTCTGCAGTAGCCTTCTCTTTCTTCCTCTTCTTCTTCTCGCCTCCTTCACTGCCGTCACTGTTCGACTTCTTCTTCTTTTTCTTCTTCTTCGCCTCCCCATCCTCCCTCGGCGCCTGGAAAGCCTCCTCCCTCTTCCTCTTCTTCTCTTCAATCTTTCCCCGAACAGCCTCCTCCTTCTTCTCCTTACTCGCCCTCTCCTTCGCCATCTGCGTCAAAAAGTACTCCCCACTCTCCATCTGCATATCAACCTTGCTCTTCTCCTGCGCCGGCGGGAATGGCGTGTACACCTTCTTCGCCTTGTCCGTCACCTTGAACGGCTTCCTCCTCTTGGTCAGATTCCTCTTCTTGAAATGCGGCAAGAAGCGGTCCCAGTTCTCATTTGCCAACTCCGGGTCCTTGGCCAGCTCGCGCTTGATCATGAGCTCTTTGATGTGGTAGATGGGGTGAATATTCGCCATGCAGTCCTCCACCACCCGCCGCACCTCTTTCAGCGGTTTGAACCCGCCCATGACGGAGACGGTGTTGCCCTGCACGAGGATGTAGGTTTGCGTGAGGAGTTCGAGGGCCTTGAGCGTGCTGCCATTGGGGCCGAGAATGCGCTGCCGCCGCTTGACGAAGCGGTCCTTGTTCCTGACCAGCCCGCGAATCTTGATGACATCGCACGCCACCCCGTCGTCCAAAATCTTGATCGCCTGTGGCGCCGGCACGCTCCTCGCAAGCAGCTTGATCAAGTCGCGCGCGTTGAGGATACTCGCGGGGTCAAACGTCTTGCGCGTCGTCTTGACCGTCATGCTGCCCTCGACGAGATCCAGCTGGCACGCGATGCCGCGCTTCTCCAGCGCTCGGGTGATCATGGGCCAGGAGGCTTTGAGGTAGGTCTCGCGGTACTTGGGGAAGAGGGTCGCAAAGCTCGACTCCTCGCTGAAGGTGCCGCCGACGTTCTGGTCGGGGGTGAAGGCGTCTTCTTTCCATTTGTCGATGTCGTCCGTGTCCCACGGCTTGTCCACATTGTACGTGGACGGCATGGTTGCGATGCGCGGTGTCGAGCGGGGCGTGATTCTTCCTCTTGAAAGCGAAATGTCAAAAATTTGAAGCCGGATAAGCTTAAAATTAGCGACCTGCGACGGGTTTAGTGGGAAAGCTTAAACGACTTCAAGCAATTTGCGCCGACCTTTGGCTGCCTGCCCTGCCCTGCAAAGCGCGACGGGTTGCGCGGGTGCCGTGAAACCAGGTTTGGTTGGACCTTGGCAGACATCGGCCGAGTGATAAACAGCGCCGCCATTGCGGGCGCCGCCTTCCCGATGGCATCCAGCGCAACATCAACAACTCCACTACTCCCTCGTCTGGAGGAGGATCCAGCATTACTAGCAGTCATGCGCCAACGCAGCGACACCTTCTCCAACATCGTCCGCAAGCAGCTGGGTCGCGAGCATCCACATGCGCACCTCCGCGCAGACGAAGTGAAAGGCCCGCTGTCCTTCTTCAACCCCACGGCCGCGACCTTTGACCTCGTCCCGGCGTCCAAACTATCTACTGGCCCCGCAAGCGGCATTGCACCGCAAGGCCCACTCCCCACCGGCGCCCGACTCGCATGGCGCGCACGAGACAACCGTAAAGGGCGCCATGTGCTTGTGATTCCTTCGAACGACGGCGCCACTGATGCCCCGGCCTTCTCCACCTCCTGGTCGCACATCCGGCGCATCCTGTGGCGCATGTGCACCGTGTACGCATGGTGGGACGTGAGCTGGTGGATCGCCGTGCTCTTCAGCTGGGGCAGCGCACTCTTCCTGATCTGCGGTTTCTTCTACTGGCTTCCCCTCGCGGCCCCGAGCACGGAGTTCCCAAATGAATCCAGCATCGGAGGCGGCTTGACCGCATTCATCGGCGCGACGATGTTCACCGTGGGCGGCGTGCTGCTCGTCGTAGAAGCAAGCAACGAGCACCAAACAGGCTGCTTCGGCTGGGCGGTAGAGAACCTCTTCACGCACTCCGACTCCGACACGGAACCCGGCTCCCGACCACCACCAGACGGCAAATTCACAATCCGCCAAGAAGCCTGCACCCACCACCACGCGACCGGCGCCCACTCGAGCGCAGCCCTGCACCTCCAGCACCCAGAAGCAGGGCGCAGGTGGGAATGGTGTCCGACGTGGCAGGAGTTCCGGCGGCACTACATTTTCGAAATCGGGTTCATGGCCTCCTTCGTGCTCGCCATCGGCGCCGTCATCTTCTACGTCTCGGGCATCATGGCTCTGCCGTGGATTTACGACAAGATTTCGCAACCTGTGCTGTACGGCACGTACTGGCTTGCGTACCTCGGCGGTGGCATTCTGTTCGTCGTCAGCTCGGCGCTGTACATGCTTGAGACGCAGCCGAAGTGGTATCTGCCTGCTCCACGTGTGCTAGGCTGGTGGATCGGCACGTTCAATATGATTGGCAGTGTCGGATGGACGCTTAGTGCGGCGTTTGGGTATTGCACTGCAAGCTGGTGCGAGTATCAGAGTGATTTGTCGTTGCTTTGGGCGAGTTTGGCGTTTTTGATGGGCAGTCTGTTGTTATGGTACGAGGCGATGGATAAGTATCCTGTGATTAGGGCTTCGGGATGATGTCTGGCGGTGGTCTCTGTTGAGACATGATGTTCGCTCAATCGCTTGTGTTATCTGTGTTATGGCGCGCAAATCAACGCTACCCTTTCCATCACCACTGTCTGTCAGGCTCACGATACTTCATCACGCCCCTGCCTTTGAACTTGACGGGCGGCTCATGTTCGTCGTGTCCACCACCTCCCAGCCGGCCGTCATCACCGCGTGGATACCTGTCCTTGGACGGACGGTATCGATCATCGGCTCGGGCACGCTCGTAATCCTGTCTCGTCCCTCCATCACGATGCTCATCATGTCTAGCACTTGGCCTTAGCCTTCCGCCATCCCCATCTTCCTTCGCATGTCGTGTCGCACTGTACTGATTGGGCAAACTCCGTCGTCTCCTCTCATGGCTTGGATGGTCGTTATGCCTACTCGGAGACGAGCTGCGCTTCCGCTTGTGCTTCTTAGCCGGCGAACTCACATCGCTACTCTCGCTCTCTTTTCTTTCGTGTGAGCGCGAGCGAGAGGTGGACCGCGCACCCGAGCGTTGCCGCGGTCGGCCTCGAAGGCCTTCATCTACAGTGTTGTCGCTCTGCCGCCGATGATGGTGCTTCGTTGGCCTGCGTGGTTCCGGGCTATTCTCCATCTCCACATCAGAACCGTCGTCTCCTCTTCTGCGACCTCTGTCTCTGCTGGCAGCGGGAGGGAGCTTCTCTGGAGCAGGAGCGGCTTTCTTTGTGGGCCTCTCCAGCTCGCCGCAGCGCGAAATCAGCACTGGCTGGAGGGGGCGATCATCACTGTCCACGTCGACCTTTGCGATTTGCTGCAGAACGGACTGGCCGGATTTCAGATGTCCGAATATGGTGTGTTTGCCATTCAGGTGCTCGCATGGTTCAAGAGTGATGAAGAACCTGGGCAAGGTGCGTTAGCGTGCGCGAATTCTTCTGGCGGGTGTTGTCGAGATGTCCATACTGACTACCATTTGTATCCTTCCCTCTATTCGCCGAACATACCAAGCCCTCGGCATCCATCTTTCTCCAGTGGAGGTTCTCATCTTCAAATTCTTCCCCGTAGATGCTGACGATGCCGGTGCCATCTCCCTTTGTAATGTCGCCGCCTTGGATCATAAACTCGTCGATGACTCGGTGGAAGGAGGATTTCTCGTAGGAGAGGGTGCCGTGTTCGCGGGTGCAGATTTGACGGAAGCTGTTGGTTGTAGTCAGCATCGGAGCCTTGCGGGAGTGAAGGGAGGAGATGGGCGGGTGTACTTTTCGCAGGTCCGGGGAGTCTTGTCGGTGAAGAGCTCGATGGTCAGTCTGCCCGCCGGCTGTTCGCCGATGTTGACATCCAAGAATACCCTTGGGCGGTGGGTGGAAGTCATGTTGTGGAGGGGAAATAGATGGGGAAGGCGTCGGTGCAGATCCGTCGAAGTTTCTCCCTCCAAAAGTTGGAGGGCCAAGTGGGGCTCTTGGGTTGGTGGGGTAAGGCCAGGCCGTTACACAATACAATCGCGTGCGTGGACTCGACTCGCAACGAGCAGTCTGGCTATGCGCGACAACTATCAGAAGCACGCAGACGTGTCGAATGGATCTTGCGATGTATGACCTGGCCAAAGAATTGTTGGAAGACGGCGGCCGCTCAAGTCCAATCGTTCCCCCTCAAAGCGTGAAGCAGTCGTGGGAGTAGCACGTGATCATCTAGATACCATCGCCATTCTCTCCGGCCTTCTCCAGTCATGGCTGATAAGCTAATTGATCGCTCAACCATGCATGACTGTCATCCCATGAACTTCAGAAAATGCATATATTCAGGTGCATGTCTCTCCGTCCAAGTCCGTCCCGATCAGGCTGGACGTGGCAGAGACGCTAATGCAGGAACAGGCATAGCGTCACAGTCCGAGCACCTGCCGGCCACCAGCTCTCTTTCCACCCTCTCCGACTCCATTCTACTCCGTCTCAAGCTCCTTTTCTCTCTCGCCGCATAGACCGTCGCAGCGCAGAGGCCGCCAACATCGCATTCCACCATTCGTCACCTGCGGCCACTCAACATGTCTGATTCCGAGGTCGTCATCCCGGAAGATGAGCAAGACGAGGCTGAGGAAATGGTCGAGGTGGAAATCGTAGACAACGATGATGCGAACCCCGAAGATGCCCCCGAGGAGATTGCGCCAGGCCTCCCCGAGCGTACCACCTTCCTCGAGTACTTGGTATATTAAACAGCGTCGTTGTGCGCACCACTGACGACCATCCTACAGCTATCTCCTCTCCCCCATTGTCCGCCTGCAAATCGGTAGCGGCGCCGAAGCGACCACCCTCCACGCCCATCAGGCACTGCTCACCAGATCCCCATACCTTGCCTCAGCCTGCGACCAATTCAGCGAGACGACGGCCATCCGCCAAATCGACCTGCCCAACGATGACCTCGAGGCCACCTCTTCCGTCCTCGAATACCTCTACCGAAACGACTACTTCCCCGCCCTCTCCTCCAATTCCGCAATGGAATACGATTCCACCATCCCCTCCCCCGACAACGAAGGCATTGCGCTCCTCCGCCACGCCCGCGTCTACACCCTCGCAGAGCGCCTCGGCCTCCCACAACTGGCCCAGCTGGCCCGCAAGAAGATTCACCTCACGCAGTCAACCGCCAAGTGCGAGATCGCATATGCGCGCTTCGTGTACAAGGAGACGAGTCCCGACGACAACGAAATGCGGAAACCCGTTGCTTCCTTCTGGGCGACGAGAAGCCATGCGCTGCGCCACGAGGCCGAGCAGGAGTTCCGCCGCATGTGTCTGGAGTTCCCGCAGTTTGCATTTGATGTGCTGAGCTTGGTGCTCGATGCGCAGGAGCGGAGGAGCCAGACCAGTACTTCTGGAGGCCCTGGAACGGTGAGGAAGCGGCAGCGAATGAGTCAGATCTAAAACCGTTCACATACTCCGAACATGTAGAAAAAGTTGTGGCGACTAATCTTGCCGATAATGTCTTTGCTGGTGTGTTAAGATATGCAGATAATGGGGCATGGTGCTTCTGTCGATATAGAAGACGGTCAACTTGCAGACAGACGTGTCTGGTCCAGTTGGAGTCAAGAAGAAATTGGAATTAACCCTGTCCACCCTGGTATCAATTCATCCCAACAAGCCTAGCCATTGTCCTTCCTTGGTCATGATGCAGTGTCAAGGTATCTCTCAAGGTAGTGCGTCACCATAGGCACGCCCTTCAGCCGAGTCAGTTCCTTCCGTATGACAGCCGCATCAGGCTGCGCATCGCTCATCCCATTCAACGCAGAAGCACAACTGCCAAACCGCACGTCCTCAATCCCACTCAAAGCCAGCAAGCAAGACATCCCATCCACAACCCAAATCGGCGCTCGAGAGAACAACAACATCGGCCGCGGAAGCCGAATGCAGATGGACCGCAAGCTCTCACAGCACGCCAGCAGCGCAAACGCAATCGCGTCCTCCCTCCCGCCGCAATGCACGTCGACAGCTTTGACGAGGTCGCGGCCGGGCTTACCGATACTGCGGAGGAAGAGGTACAGCACTTTTGTCGAGGCGAAGGTGAATGTCGTGTGGGCGTAGAGGAGGTCCATCGCTTCGTCATTGACGGCGCGGCAGGTGCGCAGGACGTTGAGCGCCGAAGTGTTGCGCGCGGCGGCTTTGTGGTAGCCTGCGCTTGTGATGACGCGCGCGGAGTCGCGGTGCAGTTGCAGGATTTCCGTCTCGGGGTCGAGGGTGGGCAAGATGCTGCGGTAGATTTCGAGGCGCAGTTCGGTGGGGAGGGTGAATAGGGAGCTCTTTTGAGACGCTCGTTGGCTCCGCGTGACCCCGGCATCAGAGCGTCGATTGTCGCCTTCGAATCTTCGTCGTAATTCATTGAAGCGGCCGCCATGAAGTCCAGGAAAGACGGCCTGCGGATCCAGCGGAATGCGCACCTGCAATCGGATGCAAGACGGATGGTGGAAGTTGAAGCTCTCGAACCCCTTCTCGTACGCGGAGGAATGCCGACAGCTGCTTTCGAGCGCCTTGACGCTCGATTCCTTCTTCACAAAGGCGCTGCAGGAAATGCATCGCGAGCCGTGCTCCAATTCTTCTAGCGGCGGGCGGTCGTAGATGTGGCCGATTGCCGCCAACTGGTGTGCTGCGGCTTGGTTGTCGGTCCAGTATTCTCGGAAGGTGGCGAGTCTTTCGGCGTAGGTGTAGCGCGCTACGTATGCCATCGGACGCTGTTGTGGTTTCCTGAAGATACACGAGAGTTCTATTCCATTAGAATATTGGTGAAGGTTGAAACTGGCAAGTTGCGATGAGAGAAGGTGCTTGTAAACGCTGGGGGAAGCGCGTGCCTCAGGCATTCCGTCGTTGCATAGGGTAGACAGAAGATTGCTTCAGGTTGAGGACAGTCCACGATGTGATGACTTGATAAGCTCGTGCATGGTCTTGATATATTCGATATGCTCAGGAAAGATCGCTAAATACCAGGAAAGGACTCTCAACGGTGCCTCACTACAAGTCCCGCACATTTCACCTCAACCTCTAATCCACACTCAAGCTTCCAACATGCCCTTCAACAATATATAAAAGCCGTACGCCCCCGGATCAAGCACGCGCTGCGTCGCACTATCACTCAGATGCGAACTCCTCCCAAGCGTCGCCAGCATTGTCTTCGTATTCTCCACACCTTCTTTCGCCTTTAGCACCGCCTTCTCCGTAGCCCCATCGCTCTGCACCAACGTCTCGACGAACGGAATCAGCATATCCATCAGCGTGCGATCACCCATTCGAGCAGAAGTATAGTTGAACACCTCGTTCAACGCGGCTTGTACGGCCTTAGTAAGACTGCTTTGAGTAGCGAGTGCCGAAGCCAGCGCGGTGAGGTGAATGCAGAACAGCGCCGCTCATGCCCGGCGGATACTCACTTTGAGCTCGTCCACGAGTGCTGCTACGATTTTCGGCAGGCGCGAGAGGTCTGTGTCTTTGATGAATGATAGCACCTGCTGGGCGCGCCTTCGCCGTATACCTGGTACCTACATGTACCTGAACAGCTCATGGAGATACGCACACACGACTCGAGATCGCGACAGAGGCGTGCTTTGTTAAAACGCATTGGCGAATAGCCAACACCATGATACATTTCCCACGAGGCAACGCCCTAGTCAGAGGTCTGGACACTTGATGATCACGCCGCAAAGCACAGAGCCTCCACCACATGCGGTCGGGGACATGGAGGAGGGGTAAATGTGGGGGAAAGAGACTTCCATTGCCTTCTAGAGCCTGGGGTAGCCCCTCGCCAGCCAGGTCATTCATGAACCACCACAACGACGGGGCCACAGCACAAGCGAGATATATATATTGAGTCTCCTCGCCATCTGCCCAGCTTTCTGATTCACCTTTGTTGATTCCGTCGCGTTCAGGGTAAGCGGCAAAGCAAGTCAAACGGAGCGAACAAAGAGCTAAAGACCCATGTAAAGGAAACTCCAACCTACATCGCCCAACAGCTCTCCAAGACTCCATCGCAATGGCGTCCGCAGCACTCCGCGAAAAGCAGGCGCCCATCAAGGAGCAGTACAAGTCCGACCCGTCGAGCGCCATCGTGACGCTCTCCTCCAAAGGCACGCTCGACAGCAGCAGCATCACGTGCAAGCTCGAGACGGGCAAAGCGATCAACGAAGCGAAGCAGAAAGTCGCCGGCCTGCACCAGAAAGCGGGCGGCGACGATCCCGAGATTTCCGGTGAGCTGTGCAGCGGCGACATGCTGCTGGAAGCGCTGGTTGCGTGCGCCGGCGTGACGCTCAAAGCCGTGGCGACCGCGCTGGACATTCCTATTGCCAAGGGAACGGTGACGGCGGAGGGGGATTTGGATTTCAAGGGGACGATGGGCGTTGATCGCGAGGCGCCGGTGGGGTTTACGGAGATTCGGTTGATGTTTGATTTGCAGCTTGAGCAGGGGCAGAAGGTGGAGGAGGAGAAGATTGAGAAGCTGGGCAAGCTGACGGAGCGGTACTGCGTGGTGTTGCAGACGATTACGAAGAAGCCGCAGGTGAAGGTGCATTTGCTGGGCAGGCAGGAGAGGGAGCGAGGCGTGGACGAGTACCTTCAATGGTCTCACCGGGCGTAGGTGAGTGTGGGCAGCACGGAAGCCGTTTGAGCAGTGATGAGCCAGTCATTCAGGCGTGGTCCCTTTGCCAGCCATGAGCGTGCACTGTTCAGGTATGATGAGACAGCCAGTACCTGCACAAGTCTTGTGTCGTTTCATCAGCCATTTGTGAAAGGCACGTGTCACGCCGGGCCCGTCTCGGCGTTGTTGAGGGACTGGTGGCTCATTTATGACCCGCCGAGTCGGGCGGGTAGAAACTCTGTCTCAAGGACGGCGAGACGGTGTTCCATACGAGTCAAGAACGAGTCACGGGTATTGCATTTGCATTAGTCGTGACACGCCAAACGCAGCTGCACCGACCGTACATATGCAGGCCGAGTCGCGGGAGTATACTTGCAACGTCTGACGTGCAGCGCATCTCAACGGAGTCAAAATCGGGGCAATCTAGATCGAGTTCTTCTGCCGGCCCCTTCTTCGTCTGCAAAGTTTGGGTCCGTTGGGCACCTGCGTCTGTACGTTCAGCTGGCTGGTCAGACAGACGCGTCGAGCTGCCGGCAGCGTAACGGCAGCGTACCAAATCGGCAGTTGGACGAAATGGGCCGCGAGGCCGAGTGCTAGCGTCGGAAAGTGCAGATCCGGCTTAGGGTTTCTCGGGTTCTGCGGGATCGATAGCCGGAGGAAGAGTGAGATGTGAGAAGGCATTGGATATTCTGTTGCACAGATGGGCAAGGAACAGAGAGAGATGATGGGGAGCAGACGCAGAATGTGATAAAAGCAGGATTAGCTGGTCTTCGCTTATTGATGATACGCGTGCCTACCTAAGTTTCAGAACGAGAGATTCAGGACACGTGAGGAAGGCGTATGAGGGAATTGTGAGATTACCTTACCTACAAGTAAAGGACGGCGATCGCTCTGCTGGCCCCTGGGAACTGAGAGGTGACGAGAAATTTGGAGGAAGATTGATGATTACTGATGATTGCGGTGCAATGGGTTAAGTTCACGTCGCCGCCGTTCCATGCTGTGCGGTTTCGTCATTTCGTCATCAGCCAACACGGGTAATGGGGCGGCAAATCGCCTGCGGCTGGGCGTGAGCAATTTTCGAGAGCCAGCCCATCGATGATAGACAGCAAAGGCACATACTGTAGGATGGACAGGAGTGAATGGATATACGTACCTCGACTGCTGCAGTACCTGGCAGCGCGGCCTCCTCGGGTACTGTGCGTGGACGTCCCAGGAGGGCAGGTGAAGGCGGGCGGCGACAGGCCATGACGAAAATTAGAGTTTGGCAAGCAGAAGCGTGCCCGGCCCTGGGCCTGGACGATGATGAGAGGGAGCAAAGGCTTGGCCCAGAGCAGTCCGTCGCGGACGATTTTTTTCTCTCAATCCCATCCTGCCAGCTTCCAGTTCCCACCCTCCGTCGCCAATAGTTCACTACTACCCATCCCCCCTTCCCTGCTCTTCTCCCTTCACGCTCCGCTTTTCTCCCTGCTGCCACTCCACTTCGTCCCGCCAGCAGCACCACTGCTCCGCCAGATCGCCGGAAATAAAGGTGTGGGGCTCACGTTACTGTATTGCGCAAGACAAGCTCCGAGGGGTTGCGCATTTGCCAGACCGGGTGCGGTTCACAGGTGGAGTCGAGGATCTCGCTCGCAGGAACGCCCGCGCCCGCCCACCCACCACCGCCCAGTGGGTCTCCTTCAATTCGTCGATCATACACACCGCGCCTGCTATACGCCTTCATCAGCAACATCCTCCACCGCCCTCACCCCGCCGCACCGCCGTGCACGTGAGAGCCGCCAGCGGACAGCTTGCCGGCCTCGCCCTTCGCTCCTTCCGCCGCCCGCCAGCCCGTCGTCATCAGCGCCGCCGGAATTTCGGCGTCAGAATTTTCTGCCCCCGGCGAAGCTTTTTCGCTGCGCACTAATCTGTTCCACTTTCTCCTGCAAGCTCCACGCTTGCCCACCTCTGACAACAACAACAATCACAACAACGCCCATCTCCATCAACCCCACCGCGTCACATCACCCACCCATCGCCATTGCCATCTCCCTCGGCATCCACAGCTACAGCACCTCCCCTCGCATCGCTCCGCCCGCGACTTCCATTCTTCCCTCGCTTCCTTCCCCGCTATTTTCCAGCGCTCCGGCACGCCTCCAAATTCGGCTCGGCCACTTGCTGCTTCATCCACTCTCTGCCCCATACCAGGACCCTCCGCGGCCTTGGGGATCCATGCGCGCTCAGGTCGGCAAGCTTCAGTTCGAGTGTGCTACTTCATCGTCCCCACTTTCCACCATCACCACCACCGCCAACGTCTATTCTTCTCCGGCCCACCACGTCCACCCATTGCTATAATATGGACAGCCATTTCAACCCCGGGTACATGCCTCCCTACCCCTCCGCCGCCACGCAACACCAGCCGGGCCTGGGCTCCTTTGGCGGCATGTCGCACCCTCAGGATCCCCCGTCCCACACCACCCTGCCGCCCTTGCAAGGCCAGAGTGGCTTTCAGTTCGGCAATCTCTCCTACGGCCACCCGGGCAGCCAAACGGGCACGCCCACCACCCCACACCCGCCCGCAACCTCATCCATGCAGACCAACAGCTCCACCGCCTACTCTCACATGAGCCCCTCCAACCCCCAGCCGGGCTCCATGCTTCCGCCATCCTCCTACAATCACCCCTACCCCATGACGCAGTCCATGCCCTATCCCAATTCCACGGCCACCTCCTTGCCGCCCGCCACCTCCATTGCCCCCGGCTTGCCCTCTCTCCGCCCAATGCCCCCCACTGGCCTCCCGAGCCTGTCGAGCAACAATCACTACGGCCAGCAACCGGCATTCATGCAGAACGAGGAAACTCCCACGCACGTTGTCGGGTCTCAAGGGCGCCGCGGCATCCTGCCAAGTGCTCCAGGCCGACCCAATGCCCCGGCCCAGGGCAGCGCACAGGGTGGAAAGAGCATGATTCCGCAAAAGGACGCCGACGGGAAATACCCTTGCCCGCACTGCAACAAGACATATCTGCACGCGAAGCATCTCAAGCGCCATCTTCTGCGGCACACCGGCGACCGTCCGTACATGTGCTTCTTGTGCAAAGACACCTTCTCGCGCAGCGACATCTTGAAACGTCACTTCCAGAAGTGCTCCATCCGCCGCGGCAACCCCACCGGCGCCAATCATCTGGCCCACCAGCCCCGGAACTCCAACAACTCCAACAGACTTTCGATGACCCAACAAGACGGCCCCATCGGCTTGGCTGGCCTCCAAGAGGTTGCCGGCACGTCGTACAACGGCGGCGTCAATCAAAACCCCGCAGTCAACGGCGACATGTCGGCAAGAACGTCGCGTGCCAATAGCATCATCTCGCCGAACCACATGGGCCACCGCAACAGCATGGCAGGCATGGGCTTACTGGGTTCGACTGTTGCGAACAACGAGCAAATGGGTTCCTCGGGCGGTCTTCAACCAGGCATGCCAGCCTATTCTATGCCCACGAGCTCCTCAACTTCTGGCCCCGTACAGTCCAACTACGCCTTCCAGAACCCACAGATGAATGGAAGTGTCTACAACGGCCAACAGCAACAGCCGCAGATGCCATATCTACCTCAACAGAGTTCACGCTACGACGGCAACCACACCAGCAGCCCGCACCCGCAAGCGCCCAACGGCGACGGTAGCGGCAGCAACGTAGACTGGTCCCGCGTCTTCAGCCAAGGCGGTCAAGACGGCTTCATGGGCGGCCAGCCTGCGAGTGAGCAATGAAGAACACCACATTAGCGCTGTGTCAAGTGCTAACGTGGTGTCTTCAGCCGCCACCTCGCATGCGCTTGTCAACCGTGCTGGCCAGGACGAAGACCACGTGGACCCTCTTCTGACGCGCGACGACTCTCTCTTTGGTTCTCTGTATACGCATGCGAGCGCAACGGTGTGCAAACCGCGATGGGACGGTGGTGGTATTTTCGGGTCTTCCGACTGGTATCTCGAAGATCCTGTGCAAGTCAAAGTCGACAGTTTGGCGGAGTACTGCTTTCCGGACGGTGTGGAGCCAGCACCGAGCGAGTCTGCCGCAAGACTGGTCAAGAGCTTTTTGACCGTCTCGGGAATCAAGCACATGGCAAAGCACTACTGGTCCTTTCACGAACATTGGCCGATGCTGCACATGCCAACGTTCAAGCTCGCGGAAGCCAGCAACCCCCTGCTTCTGGCCGTGCTCGGCATTGGCGCAATCTATAGCACGAGTTTCGACATCCACCAGACTAGGGAGATTATGCAATTCGTCAAGGCCGTAGTCCACAGAAACTGTCACATCTACCGTCGCTACGTGAACGAAGACACCGAAGGCCTAGGCTCCCGTCCGCGGGACATCGAGGAACTCCAGGCGCTCCATATTATCCAGACAACGTTCATATGGCATGGAGAGCCGCAACACCGCCAAGCCGCGCGAGACGAGTTCCCCGTTGTCATGGCTATTGCCAAGGCAGCTGGACTTGCATATCCTGCACCGCCAGGCCATTATGCGTACAGTGTGCTTCACAATGGACAGGGCGACATCGATGCGTCGGTAGAGTTGAAGAGCTGGGACTGGCAACGATGGCTGGAACAGGAGAAGCGCAATCGCCTGTTCTACCTGCTTCTGCTGACTGACGCCGCGTCGGGCATCTACTTCAACTCCGGCTTTCACCACGATCCTCTCGAGACCCGGTTGGCGTTACCATCAGATGACGCAGCTTGGGACGCAAAGAACGCCGAGGAGTGTGCGAGCGCGCTTGGCCTGCTTGGTCCGGAATATCAGACGAACAATGAGACCGGTACGAGGCGACCGCGCCAGCCCGCGATGCGTGACGCTCTACGGACCCTCCTAGAACCGGACGCCAAGTTCCAAGTCAATACGACGAATGTGTACTCAAAGTTCATCTTGGTACATGCGCTACTCACGCAAATCGTCTTGTGTCGACGCACTCTCGCCAATGTGGATGGCTACGTGTTGGACTATTACCTCGGTCCCGGCACCCCGGTCACACCAATGGGGCAGAACAATTGGGTGCAACAGGGCGTTGATGCTGGAACAGGCAGTAACTCGAGCAGTCGTACTGCGACTCCCGTTAATGGCGGACCTCTCATCGCCGCAGCCCACCGCCGGAAGGTGCACCTCGGTCAAGCTCTGGACAAGTGGAAGATGAGCTGGGACGAGGACATGGGCCTGCAGCACCCCCCGAGCCGCTCCCAGAACCGGCGCTTCGGCTTCACCAAGGATGGTGTTAGCTTTTTCTACCTCGGCCGCAGTTTTCTGCGTTCTCAAGACGTTGTCCAATGGTCTTCTCCCGCGGACCTCCGCTTCCAGCAGGTCATGATGCTGTTGAAGCAGATCAAGGCGTTTGTCGCGGGTGAACAGGGGACGAAAGGGGTTGATCTTGGAGCTGTCGGTGATATCCACGAGCAGTACGGGCTGGACAGTCTGACGCTCGACAGTGAGTCCATGTTATTGGCATCAGCATATCCGTCGTGTACTAATACTTCCTCTCAGTGACACTCCTCTTCAGACCAAGTCAGGACCCCATTAGCCCGACCGAAGGCCCGCCCGCATATCCCCTTTGATGGCCGCCGTCAGGCAGCGAGCCAGGCAAATTCACTTCCCACACTACATCGCGACCAACATGCAGACAAATCGACCAAACGACTCCCGGAAATCCCACCAAGACCACCATCATCTCTCGGCTTCACACCAATTTCTTTTCCCCCGGCGTTCGGACGGCGCGACTCTCTTCGTTTTTCATTATCTCCCACGAAAGGACAGCAAACATCACGAAATATAGACTATAGACCAATGGGGCCCGGGCCTGCCCACGGATCACAAATGCGCACACGCTTTCCTCTTTCTCTCTTTTCTTTGCTTTGATCGCCTTTAGACTGGACGGATGAGCGGCTGCCAGCCGAGTCGCCAGACTTCTCTTCAACACGGATGCACATCGCCAATGACGGCCACCTTGTCCGCAGCCGCTTGTATCCCGCCTTACGTACTCGCCTGTTTTCGGACACATGAACCGAGTGGATTTTGCCAACACCACCTCGAAAAGCACAGCATACGTCGGGGACAGGACAGGCGTGGGCTGGGGCGTTATTGACTTCTTTGGAGTCTTACTCTTTTTCTCCTCCTGCCGAGTTGCTGGGCTGGGTGTTGCTATAAAGGATGGGGAATGAACGAAAAGGAAAGGGAAAAATGAGGGTACAAGGGCGGGAGGGACAGGCTGGCGTATGGTGGTTATTTGCTGCTGTGTTGTTTTCTGGTGATCGTACCTACTTTACTCTTATGTAGCTGTCGTATTGAAGCGACTGACTACATGCTTTTGCTCTTCCTTTCCACGTCGGTCATGATGTGCTTCTTTCATGCTTCAGAATGCCTGACTTCGCCACGCTCGCTTACCGAGAAGGAGACATCCAGACGAAACTCTACATACGCCCAGTGTCCCTCCTGCGCGCGAATGCTCCTCCCCCACCCACATCCCCAGGCGTGCTAACGCGCTTCAACGGACTGCCCGGCCGGTGGTGCGAGCTGCTGCTGCTGCCGCCGCCCTCCAGGCGTCCCGTGAGGTGATTCGCACTCGCGGCTTTGCGCAGCGGACTCGCGGCGTGGCTGTAGACGCCCATGGAGCCGCCGTCGCCGCCGGCGCTTCTATGGCGAGCGGGTTCTGCTGGGCGGTGGGAGTGGTGGGCTTTCAGCGGGGAGGAGAAGTCTGCTGCGGTTGAGGCACCGCCTGTGCTTTGGCGGGAGTAGGGTGTTGTTGCTGCGGAGCGGTACGTGGAGGTTGTCGTCCCGGGGTTTGTTTGGGAGTATGCGTTGGCAGGCGTGGTGAGAGACGGCGTGGTGAAGCTTATGTCTGAGGTGCGGCGCGAGGGCGTCGGGCGGGAGGAGGCGAGGTCATCCGGGTCGTACTGGCTGGCGTAGTTGGGGTTGGGGTTTGTGCGGAAGCCGCGGTTGATGATGGTTGTGGGCGTGTAGATGTCGACTTCGCGGGTGCGGGTGCCGCGGGGCGAGAGGGTGGATTCGCGGGTTTGGATGCCGACGTCGCGTACTGGGCGGTTGAGGGAGGGGCGCACGAATTTCGTGTCGTATTCGTGCATTACTTCGCCGTGCACGAGGGTGGAGTCCTTTGCTTGTTGGCTGAAGGAGGATTTTAGATAGGCGAGTTGGAGGGAGAGCAGGGCGCCGAAGAGGACGGCTGTGAAGACGGCGACGGAGGGCCTGGGGTTTTGTGGTGTTGGTGGGAGGAGAGCGTAGTAGAGGAGGACGTGGCCGGGGGAGAAGAGGGTGAAGAGGGTGAGCTGGAAGGGTTTGGGGTCCCAGACGCTGAGTTGCCAGACTTCTCGTTCCGGGTCGGGGTATGCGCGGGTAGTGGCGGTGGCAGAGGATACCACGTTCTTCAGGTATTGAAGAGGGGATGATGCAGGGGAGCTGTCGACGCGCACTCGCTGTGCTGAGGGGGTGGCCGGGGGTTCGTCGACTGGCTGCTCGAAGAGCCGGTAATGTCTCTTTCGCATGAATGTGGCCAGAGCATTCCAGCAGCAGAACAAGGTCAAGAGATGGACAAGAAACGCGGCCTTGAATAGGGACGGGTTAGCAAGAGAACAATATTCCAGAGGAGGGCTGAAATGCTACGCACCAACCAAGACAGCCATCCACCTCGCCCATCCAAATCACTGCTCCCGAACACATCATCGTAGCCGCTTGAGCTTCCCGGTTTGCTTGCCGCTCTAGCGATGATGAAGACGATGTTCATGCCAACCCCGATCGGCGTCGCCCATCCTTTCAGCCATTCCTCAAAAGTGTCGTCGTTCAGCAGTTCCGACAGCCAGAGGAGAAGGTCATAGGGGTCGAGATGGGCCTGAATGCGCTCGCTCAGCGGTGCTTTGCGCACCCGTGCTGGCATGTTGATGCGTGTCCAAGGATTGCCGAGTTACAGAGAAATCGCGAGTGGCGTTCGCTCGCCTCACATTCTTTAGTTTTCTGCCGTGGGCGTCTGCTTTCCGGTGAATTACATGACTGACAGGAAGTGAAGAAGCTCGATTGTTGATACGTCGAAAGCCTGTTTCTCAATTGGGAAAGTCCTTTGCGGCCCGCTCCGACACCAACCGCAGCTTGGACCGCATATGTTTGCTGTGCTCCCACCCCACACCGTCTTCTAACGACCTCCTATTCCTCGAACAGGGCATCCTCGAGTGGGCGATGTACCGACAGGATCATTCACTGCATGCACATCCAAGATTTAACACGTCACCATGTCTCTCAAAGCTTCATTTCAAGATCTCCCGCTCGAACTGGTCAACCACATCTTTATATATCTCGCAGCAAACCCGCAGGATGTGTGCGCCGCCCGCCTGACTTGCTCTTCTTGGGCCGCCATCGGCGTCGACCACCTCCTACACGTTGTTCCGCTGGTTTTCAAATACGATCGCCTCGCACGGTTGTCCGAGATCGCCAAGCATCCCCGCATCCCGAGGACTGTCCGCTCGCTGTTCTATCAGGCTGACCAGTACTACCCTCGCCTCCCATTGGAAAGCTGCACGGCGTGTGAGCGTGGCTATGTCTGTCTGCCCCGTCAGCGACTATACGATTACGAGGAGCAGCGCGAGGACTTCGCCGATTCACCCGACCCGGTCAGAAACCCCCAGTTGTGCAAAACAGACCTCAAACGAATACAGCGAAAGGATCCCGCGAGGCGCATTCTTCGATCGAACGATAGGAGCGAGCAAACTTACCACCGCTACTTCTTCCTCGCAGCGGATGATATGCACTTGATCGCCTCCGACATCGATGTTTACCACCTCACTCACCTTTTTAGCGCATGCCCGAATCTAGACGACGTCACCATCAAAGTCGGCCGGTCCGAAGATCACCAAAGATATCCTCGCATGCTAGATCTAGCGTTCGAAGGAATCGTACAGCCGCCTTCGCAGATCAGCATATCTCCGCGTGGAGTCCAGCCCGTCGAGGCGCTGGCAAGAGTTACGGAGAAAACTGGCCGGCTCTTGAAGCGTCTCACGTTGGTGGGGCTGACCCACGAACTCCTCGAAGGGAATTACGTGGTCCTCGACAAGGTCCGCAATCTAGTGCGCTCTTTGCACGAGCTGGAGATCCGCTTCGAATCCTCGGAAGACGAGCTCACGTCATCGCTATCAAACATGTATTCGGTCTTGATGCGTGGGGAGCTACGCAAGCTTCTAGCCGCCGCAACCGAGCTTCGCGTCCTGAAGCTCGACTTCAAGGTCATCGACACAGGGTTCCATCCGGAATTGCTTGCAATCGCCGACCTGTCCCAACTTACTCCCGCCTCTGCCTGGGCGCATCTTCGCGAACTCCATCTGGGCAGCTTCGCGGTCGAAGAAGACGATTTGTGTCGTCTGATCAATCGACAGCATCCCACGCTGGAACGCGTGTCCCTTGCCAACGTAGACCTGCACTACGGCAGTTGGCCCTCCGTCTTCACCCGCTTCGCCCAGCTCACCCCGAGGCTGCAGCACGTCCGGTTGCGCGGGAAATTCGTGACGTTCGACGACGGCGTGCCGCCGGACTTTGATTTCGATTGCGAGGACGGCGACCTCAGGCCCTCCAACTTCCTTCGCGACGCTGTCGAAACGTACATCGTGCACGGCGGCGATTATCCCGACGTGGATGCGCTTCTGGCGCGCGACGTCACGGCTGCGTCCGCGCTTTTGCATTCCGGGGAGAACCTTGGCAAAGGCACAGCGACGCAGATTCTGGATTGGTGGCTGATGCACGATCGATCTGAGGACTACGAGTCCGCGGTGCGGTTCTGGAAAGCGGTGGCAAGCGATAACGATATGACTAGCCATACAGTGTAGATGTGCAAGCGAAAGGGGTATCCTCAAAGTTCAGATGGCTACCACCCGCAGAACGAGATGAATCAAACCACCACTCATCACCACCCCTTTTCCCCATTCACCACAATCACGACACCGACACGACAGAACCATGGCGCAGCACGGCCGCAACCACCTCTTCATCCACCGTCGGGCCCTTGTACAGCTTCTTCGCGCGCACCATATACCAGATGAAGCTGAGAAGCATGACCCCACCCGTCACCGCCACACTGTAATTCATCGTCGCGGCCGTCACCTTGTAGTCCGGCGGCCAGACACTCCAGAAGATGACGAAAATCATGTAAACGCACGCGTACGCATTGTTGATGATGCCGAAGATGCCCTTGAGATGCCACGGGCCCCAGATGAGGGGCGCCTCGTTCAGCACGGAGCCGTGGCCGATGTCGGCATGCGCTGCGGCGGAGGGCGAGTCGGCGCCTTTCCCTTCGCGTTCGATCTTGACCTTGTCCGCTTCTTCGGAGCGCGAGGGCGAGTCGGCTCCAGTGGCGGGCTTTTCGAAGTTGAAGGTGCTCATGCCGCGCGTGTGCGCGGGCTCGGGCGTGGTGCCGTAGGGCAGGATCTGGCCTTTGATGCGGCGGTAGAGCAAGAGGGAGGCGGGGATGAAGTAGGAGCCGTAGAAGCCGGTGATGGTGAGGGAGATGACGTCGTTGAAGGCCGCGTCGGAGCCGATGTAGATCAGGGTGAGCAAGGCGGAGATGACGGCGACGGTGAGGACGGCAGTGACGGGGATTTTGGTGCGCGAATTGACTCGGGAGAGCTGGCGGGAGGCGGGCAGGCCGTTGTCGCGGGCAAAGGACCAGACCATGCGAGAAGCCGTTGTCAGGATGCCTGTTGCGCAGGCCCAGGTGAGGATCAGCACTACGGCAGACATGACGGTGGCGCCTGCAGTGCTGGACACGCTGTCCTTGAAGATTTGAATAAAAGGATAGCCGGTGGCCGTGTCTTCGACGGTGGTGATGTCTCCGAGGCAATACAGGACAGTCACCATCATGATGAAGCCCACGGCACCGTTGATCGTCATGGCGGCCAGGATGGCTCGGGGGATGTTCAGAGCGGCATTGGACACCTCTTCAGCCAGGTGCACACTCGCATCTGCGCCCACGAACGTGGCCACGTTACCGAGGAAGCCGACGCAGTAGGACAGGCCTTGCGTAGGCCATCCGCCATTGTTCAACGCCAAGGCCCATACGTCGGAGCTGGTGGAATAATGCGGTGTCAAGGCCCACAGAGTGGCGACAATGGCGATGAAGCCGATAATGTGGAAGACGACCATGCCGATTTCAAAGCGCGGGAGCCAGTTGGGAATGATGACGTTGATGAAGATGCAGACGCAGATGACCAGCCAGGTCAACAACGTTCCTTGATATGGCTTGGGGGAGTACTCCGGGGAGTAGTCGAGGATGAGGATGCCTTGGATAATGGTGCCTGCGAAGAGCGTCTCGGTGGCCACGGTGGCAATCCAGGCGAGCGAGGTCAGCCATCCCACGACGTAGCTCAGGGCGGTCTTGTAATTGGCGGGAGCCAGCATGTATCTACGCATCACGCGTCAGAAGACGAATGCATGGAATGTATATGTGCCACTTACACCCAGTAATATTGCCCTCCCGCAATGGGCGCAAGAGAGGCCAGCTCAGAAATGACGGTATACACCGACAGCGTGGAGCTCCAGGCGATGATGAAGCCGTAGACGGCGCCGGCAGGCCCGCCGTTGTTGAAGGCCTGCGAGAAGATGGCCAAGACGGTCTCCCACGTGATCAACTCGCACACGGCGAAGCCGAACAAGGACGCGAAGCCGAAGCGGCGCTTGAGCACTTGCTTCTTGCCGAGCAGGGCGAGCGCGCCCTCATCGTCGTGCGCGACGGACTCGGCGCGAGTGCGTTCGGCCATGGTTGGAGGGGTAGAGGGTGGTGTAAGGTGTGGGTCAAAAGGGCCGAGGTCGCTTCAGCGTATGGCTCTCAACAAGAGGCAGAAAAAGGCTTGCACAAAGGCCATATACGGCTGAAATGCGAGAGATGCAGAGACAAGACGACACGCCGTGAGGGATGGAAGCTTATAAGGAAACAAGCAGTGCGGCGAAAAAGAGGCGGAGAGGCATGAGAGAGGGGAAAAGTCAATTTGCCTGCGGATGGGGATGCGGGCAAGGCCACTCGAAGGCGACGGGTTCCAATCGCCGGCCGCCTAGTCTCAAACCTTCTTTGACATGGGAAACGTGGAGTGGAGTGGTCTAGCGAGTGCCCGTGGAGATTGATCTGGCAGCATTGTTTCCGAGCCGATATGTCAACACACGGTCCTGAGGAGCAGATGATGGACTGTAGATGACGAGTGACGTGCGGGCTGATGCTGATGATAATGGCACGCTGGGCGATGATGATGCTGCGGCGTGTGGTGTGTTTCCAAAGCCCGGCGAGGCAACAAAAGGCGAACACGATTCAGGCTTCCGCGCAGGTGCCGCTGGTTGCCCCCACGCCAGTCGCGTGACCGGGCGTTGCTGCCATGCAGGGCGCAGAGTCTGGACCCGCCCGTTCGTTCGGCCTTCCGGCTTTTCGCCGACCTCGCCGTTCACTTTCATCTTGCATGTGCTCGTTCGTGTTCGCATGTACTGTGTTAGTACCTCGTCGTGTGCTGCGAGTCCTTGGCTGGCCGAGTCCTGTGAGGTGCCATGTGCTTTAGGCAGCAACGTTGTGGTTTCACGTGATGCCGTCTACGACATATCACATCCACCAAAACACCTGGGCAGCCACGGGCCCTGGCCACCAGCGAAGCTCAAGTTTGCTGGAACCCCAACTCGACCATGTCAAACATGACTTCAGAAGTTTTGAACAAGCTGCTCGCTCGGCTCATGTGCTCGCATGAAATAGGGATAGCCATCGCGGCATCTCCTACGCCAGTCATTGGCTCTAGTCGATGGCAATCCGCGAGTTTGCTGCATATGTTACTCGATACCAGTCCCTTTGCGCGGTGGTGCAACGGTTCACAGGCTCGTAAGTACTTGCGTCTGATCTTGTAATATTCACTACGGCCTCGCGAACCATGGCTCCATTCACTGGCCACTTCCTTATACTCATTCAATATATTCCCTTGATCATCAGCTATACATATGGGTTCCTTCTGTTCATATCCGACAGACCGTCCTTGCTGTCGCATATTTGATACACGCATACACTTGGTACACACAGCAAACATGTGTCAAGAACTATGGTGGAGATGCCCTCAGTGCTCTTAGAAAACCCCTGCACTTCCGCCACACATCATCGCCTGCCCCGAGAACTGTGGCCAGACACAAGACGATCCGGTATGCCTTGATCAGCTCTGTGAGAGGTGTCGTCCTGAACACGTCGACCCATCATCGGTGTGCATACCAGTGCCATCAGCAAGCTTCCAGCAGCCGCTGCCAGAAAGTCTACCTACCTCAACGATCCCCTGGAACCTGGCGCTGGCAGCGAGTGGCCCCTTATCAATTCCGTCTGCGGCAGAGCAGCTGCTTGGTCAACACAAGCAGCTAGGCCCTGGTTTATTTATCTCACAGCCGCTTCTATCGACTACAATCGCACATGACCAGCGGTCGGCGGGACACCATGACTCAGCGTGGACATGAGCGAGACAACCTTGCAGCGCCTCTCCCCCCCAATAGCTTGCTTCAGCGCGCACGATCGCTTTGGAGCTCGATTCCGGACTGGACGAACGCCTCACAGAGGAATTGAAGCTGCGCCTTCAGCAGCCATTGCGCCCTGCTCATCTAGCATACTCGCCAGCCTTGATTGAGGATGCAGGGCAAATCGAAGATGAGCCAGACACTGTGAAGCTCCTCAAGGCACAGCTAATCAAAGCAGAGTTAGCCCGGGAAGCGCCAGGCAAGCAAGAGCCGGATCAGACAGAGCTGACGAAGGGGGAGTCGACAAAGTGCATCAAGCGGGAGACTCGAGAACATGACGAGTTGACAAAAGCAGCAGCGCAAATGGCGCCGCGAGAGCTGGATAACCTGCTGAGACAGATATGCCTAAGCACCACCCACTTGGATCGACTACCATGTAGCCTACCGAATGACCAGGAATGTCTCCGGGCCAAGTTACGACACCTTTACGCCGCAGTCCTCGCGAAGCACAGCCTGTACGAGCCCGAGTTATGGGAGCACTGGCGCACCGATCCGAATTCGAGAGGAAAACCTGAACGGACGGCCCTCGCTGCTAGCCACGTGTCTAGAGGAGACTGGCCGTTGCCGTTGCCGTATGAGCACTTAGATGACTACTTGGCCCGGCGGGAAGTTCCACTGGAGATGGTCAGCAAGGAGGTAGTCACCTATGCATTCCAGTGGCGAGAAGCCCATGATCCTGCACTGAAGGCCCCTTGGAGGAAGAGACAGATCGTAGGGAAGCAGATTGGACCGGCCAGAGAACACCCTGATTCAGGCATGGGCGAAGATACGGCCGCCCGAAGCCAAGTGGGACATTTTGGATGCTTCCAGCTTGAGAACTATGGCGGAGGAATAAAGAAAGGTGTGCTTTGAGCAGAAGGGCTTGCATACACTAAAGCTATACACACCTCTGCATGACCTGACCAACAAAAGACACTTCTCAATGGGACAAACAAACAGGACTCTCGTATTTGTCAGAGCACACACGTAATGGTCTCATCGCTTGTTTCGTGTCCGAGATGTCTCAATGTAAAACAAATGCCAGAAGATAATGCCGCCTTCACACACCACTCACAACGACAAACACAGCAACAAACCGCAACATTAAATCCGCTCAGTCCCAACTCGTCATGCCTTCATCAACAACAGCTTCCATCCTTCCCAGCTCCAACAGCCACACGACACCCGACCATCTACGCCCGCAAATCCCACGCCTCCAAATCATGTGCATCGAATTCTACGTATGCACGCGCCGAGGCTGTGAGCAAATCACCCAATATCCTACATCCTGTTCATGCACAATCCTCTACGCTAGAGGTTCAATGTACTGCGCTCAGCACAGGCCGCCGCTCTTCACGGAAGAACAGCAGCAGCAACCGCAGTCTCCGTCCACGACTTCGACGCCACGGGCTTCGACCGTTCAATCTCAGGCCAGCGAAGCTGCGCAGCACTCGACACAGTACCTACTTGCTCCATTTCAGTCTAGTGGATCAGCGCACGTATCGATCGAGAGGAGCGGAGGTGATGCGGGACAGGACAGATTGAGTGTACTGGCATCTGCGGCGGCGAGCCAACAGCCTTTGCCGATTCATCACTCGAGAGGCGGGAAGATTGGGCCAACGCAGCAAGAGGACAGCGGTGCTCATGCGGTCGGCGTAGTCGGTCATGAGGAGGAAGAAACACAAGGAGAAGAAAAGGGATGGGAGGAGCAAGTCGATGTTGAACAAACAGGAGAGCTGGAGAGTGAGGAAGAAGGTCATTCGTATGTAGACGACACGGCGGACGATGCCGACGATGAGAGAGAGGTCGAGGGGGAGGAGGAAGACTCCAGCAGCTGAGTCGTCAGCTTGGGGCTGGCGTCAGTGTGAGGACATTCGGTGGCGCTGCTTAACATCTTCAACAGCACACATGATGGCTTTCGAAAGTGTGTTCTGCGCTTCGCAACCAGCGCATCACGCAACGTGCTCGACGCGCAGGACACGCTTATCAAGGTGGGCAATGTGGCCATCACATATGTCGAGCCAGTGAAGATGGAAAGACGGTTAGGACGGAGACTCATTAGTTTTCAGGATGTGTAGTGACCTGGACGGCTTTGATTGGTCAGTGAAGACGGGAGCTAGCGGGAGTCGCAAATGGCTAGGATTTCAATCGATTGTCAATCGATTGACAATTCACTCACCACCACATCTTCTTTCCCCCAAATTCATGCGCAAATTGTTCACAGAAACTGTATGCATGGTATCATTGGTTGATAAGACGGGGAGCTAGCGGGAGTCGTGTCTGCCGGATTGACATTCGATTGCCAATCGATTGATTATTCCATTTCACAACAGCATCTCACGCGGGCGGGTGGTAACTCGGTATAATCAATTGTGATTGGCCGGGAAGAGCGGGAGCTAGCGGGAGTTCCTCGCGAGTCGGCCCCCTACTCTTGAGCGATTCGCGAAACCACCTGGAATTCGACATTCGATTCAAATCAACTCGGCTTTCGTATTCCAAGGCGGGAGTGAGCCTTCTGTAAGGCGCCGACATGGCAAGGCTATATGCTGATTGGTCGGCGATTACGGGCGCCAGTGGAAGTCGCCATATCGCTATAGCGAGGTCCTCGGTCCACGGAATGCTGTTACAGCGAGGGTCTCAGAACATTGACACTCTAATAACAATCAACTGTCTTCATCGTCCTACAAATGCGTCCTCTTCACTCCGCTGTACTGATATGTGATCTTAGAGGGTATCAACGACCGCAGACTCCGAGACTCCGGCAGACAGTCCGTCCATGTCCTTCTCATTCTTCTACCACCAGCCGAACTGCGCGTTGACCATTCCATTCTTCACCAGAAAGGGAGCCATCATAGCTTTGTGGTCTCTGGTGGCGGTCCACTCGGAGATGCAAATGTCCCTGGGGCCACGTCCTGCCGAAAGCCCGGGACTTGCGTTGTCCAAGCCGTGCCTCGAATTGGCTGTCGACCACTGCGGCGGCGACTACGAGCCGTCATGCAACTGTAATACGCAGGACTCGGTCAGCTAAAGTTTGATTGCTTGCTTGCCTGCCACGGGCATTTAGCGTGCGGAAGCAAGCGGGTAGACGTACGCGAAGAGTAGGAAGATCAAGAAGAGGACGAAGAGTCCAACAAAGACGCCGAGGACGGCCCAGCGGCCGGAGTGGTAGAAGGAGTCGTAGTAGTAGTACCGTTTGGCGAGCATGGAGGGGGAAGCAGGGGAGGATGTGACCGCTAGAGGCGCCATTTGGATGTATCGGCTGCGAAACGTTGAAGGGAGTTGTCGACGGGTAGGTACTGAGATAGTGTAGGTGAATAGAGGATAGAAAGGAAACGACTCCAAGATGCTTACAGCTGGGAGCGATCTATATAAGGGGTCTGGCACATACTCGCCTACACAGTATGATTGCATGGCCGGGTTCAACGGCGTGGCAGGCTGCGGAACAATTGGAATCGCGCATATTACAGCGGCGGCGTTGATTTGGTGAGTCTTAGTAAGGCTGAATACCCTTTTCGTGCAGGCGGAATACCCTTTTGGTGCGGACAGCCTGCTTTGTCAAGGCGGAAGATTTGTAAGGGGCGGAAGCTTATTGCTGCACCACAGTATTTCTACTAGTGGAACGTGTGGAATTGGGGATGCTGGACTGGAGTAGCTGAGATACTGTGATAGGTATGATGTCAGGGCGGAAAGGGATAGCTGGGAGGACTGTACCATTTTTAGACATGGGTCAATGCATGGGACAAGGCGACTTGCTGTGGCGGGCTGAGTGCTACACTCCAAGTGTATGTAAGTTGCACGTCATTCGGGAAACGGGACGTGAGATGAGCCCGAGTGGCATGTGCCTACGAGCAATGGCGCGCGAAAGTGTGCTCCCCGTTGACCTCCTGGATATGCTGGCCTTTGCCCGAAGCACCGGCTTAGATGATAAGAGAAGTAGTACGGGTGCTGGCCTTGGAATCAACGTTGATCTCGGGTGTGCTGGGCCCCGGAACAGCGCTGGATGCTTCGCAAGATGTAGGTATGGCTGAGGTAGATTTCGATGGATGGAAGATGGCGGGATGAATGGGGTGGATGCCTCAGGTGTCTCGTCTCGCGAGGCAAGAACAATCCGCGGCTGACGCTGCGCCTTTCCTCTTCGAGACTGTCACAGCCACGACCGCGCCTCGTATTCCCACGCAAGCAGGCACACCACTTTCCGTCGCAAGCGTGCTGGACATCCGCCATGACACACAAACGATGACGCTCCTCTCTTAACCGCCGGCGCACACACCCATCCATCCTCCCCTCCCACCGCCATGCCCTCGCGCCCTCCCTCCACCACCTCCGACCGCAAGCGCAGCTCCTCCGCCACCAGTAGCAAAGATGGGCTGGACAAAGTCGAACTTAGCGATCTCGACTCGAGCCCGCCGCCCCCGCTGGCAGTCGAGCAGGATTTGATGCAACTGGCGAGGCTTGGGGAGTTGCGCGGCGTCCAAAAACTATTCGATAGTGGGAAGTTCACCGCGCGATCGAAGGATGAGCAGGGGATCACCGCGCTACACTGGGCCGCTATCAACGGACACTATGCTCTGTGCCACTTCCTCATCCAGTCTGGCGCGGATGTGAATGCAAAGGGAGGCGACGCTGATGCCACTCCCGTGCTGTGGGCGAGCAAGAGGTGCAACCTCAAGATCGTTTCATTGTTACTCGCCCACGGCGCAGACCCGCTCTTGCGGGATGATCAAGGATACAATCTGCTGCATTCGGCGACGCTCGATGGGAACGTGTTCCAGCTGGTGATGCTACTACATCACCCCGACATTCCCATCGATGTGCCGGATGCACAAGGACATACCGCGTTGATGTGGGCGGCGTACAAGGGGTTCGGGGCGTGTGTGGATATTCTGTTGCGGTGGGGCGCGAGCGTGCATGCGGTCGATGACATGGGCTTTACGGCGCTCCACTGGGCGCTTGTCAAGGGCAATTACATGTGCATTCAGAAAATGGTGGAGTTCGACAGTGACCGATTTGCACGGAGTAAGCCGCCGGAAGGACAGACCGAGGGCGACACACCCGCCATGACAGCGTCGAAGATGAAGTCAGAACGGCAGTGGCATCGAGCGCTGATAGATTCGGGCTACGATGAGGCTGGCAATCCGCTGAGCTTCCCCATTCCCTTCGTCAAGAACCGCCGATGGTTCTACAACCGCTTTTTCTTCCTCTGGCCTTTCGCCCTCGGTGGCCTGCAGCTGTACATGCTGGCACACATGCTGGTCTGGATCGCTGTACCGGGCGTACTACTGGTGGGCTACGGACTCCAATATCTCGTGCAGAAACTCCTCCGCTGGGCGCCGCCGGATATGAAGCACATGCACCGCACCCCCTTCCTCGCCGGCATCTTCGCCGCCTCCTTGTTCTGGGTCGGCGTGCGCTACTTTCTCGACATTCTTCCCTGGACCTTTCGGTCCCATACAATCCTCAACCTTGCATTCCTCACCTCCTTCAGCCTGTGCACATACTTTTACGCCCTCACAATGACTGCCGATCCGGGTTACATCCCAAAGGGCCTCAGCCGTGGGGCCACGAAAAAGACAATCGACGAGCTGGTGGAGCACGATGCTTTTAATGAGACGCATTTCTGCACGGCGTGCATGATACGGAAGCCGCTGCGCAGTAAGCACTGCAAACGGTGTGGCCGGTGTGTAGCGAAAGAAGATCAGTGAGTTGTCACCGGTGTGGTATTGTTTGAACCGATGGCTAACGCTCGGCACAGCCACTGCCCGTGGGTCGACAACTGCATTGCAGTCAACAACCACAAGCACTTCCTGCTCTACGTGATCTTCCTAATTGCCGGGCTGGGCTTGCTGATCCGACTTACTTATGTTTGTAAGTCATATCCCTCCACTCTGCACGCGAGAGTATTTCATTAACGAAAAGTAGACATTGAAATCCTCCCCAATCCTTCAGAAACCCACTGCTCCATTCTTAAAGACAAGATCTGCGAAGCCTTCTCGCGAGATCCCCTCACGATCATCACCACAGGATGGGGCGCCTTGCAGCTCACCTGGACCTTTATGCTGATCTTCGTCCACCTGACGCAAGTCGCGCGAGCCATCACCACGCTAGAAACGATGAAAGGCCAGCACAGAGCCGGACCACTGGTAACAGCCATCACAACCGGCGCCGTCTCCGCCGAAGGCGGGCAAGTCAACGCCTCCGGCTCCGGGCCCGACGCCATCGACCACGACAGCGGCGACGGCAAACACTCGCACGCCCACAAGAAGAAAGAAGGCTGTCTCTCGCAATGGTACAAGATTTTGGGGATCGACACTTTCCTCACCGTCGCTTTTCAGGGCTACAAAGGCGCGAAGAACAAGGATGCATCCGCCTCGAGAAGAAAAGAGGGAAATCCCTTTTCGCGCGGCATTTTCCGCAATTGTCAGGACTTCTGGATGGATGGGCCGATATTTGGTCGCAAGGAGAGCGGAAAGGCGTTGTTGGGTGGTGAGCTTATTGATTATACTGCTGTGTATGATGTCCCGAGGGGTGGAGGCATGCGGTATCGGGGGGCTTACGAGGCTGTGCCTCAGGCTGAAGAAGGGGAGGCTTGATAGGTTGATAGCTTCGCTCAACCTCGTTTCAAGACTTCCACGAGGTCCTGTCGAGCAATTCATGTGTCACCCACGTTGTGAACTTCCAAGTGTAGACGCCATAAGACGATGTGCGTGCATGGGACAGAGTGCAGATGTGGTGCAGCCTGAGGAACACACGCACGGGCCGCCCGCAGTAGCTCCAGCTCCCGCCCACCTTGCCGTCACTTCCTTATGAACGCATTCCTTGCCGACCCTGCAGCTCCCTTATTCACGATCTGTCAGATCACTTCTTCTTCCTCAGGTTGATCTCGATGAGCAGTGCAAAGATTCAAGTTGCCATCCAGTGACAGCCATGCCTGGCGTGCTGGGCAGGATGGTGGCCCGGCTCAAACGCCGCCAGGCTGCCCGCTGTCGCTCTCACTCAGTACAAGACGGCCTAAGAGCACTCTCAGACGACAGCAACAGCCAAACAGATAATGGAATCACCGCGAATCTGCGAACCTTCTCCCTCCAAGACTTCCACAAAGACCCGATGCAAGCGGAAAGCAGCCAACCCCCTCCGCACGTCTTTGGACAGCCGGGCTTCACGTATGAGTTCACGTTTTCACCACACGCCAAGGCCTGGCCCGGCCCTTCATACGACGAGACCTCTCTATACGCCCCGGGCTGCTTCGACAACCCACGCACGTCCAAGCGTCGATCGAAACCCAAGTCTTCCAAACGAAGACTCTCCCAGGACCATCGGCAAGCAACTCACATACCGCCACTGCCACCGTCACCCCCACCCTTCGAAACTACATCTCTCCAATTCGCAAAGATGGCCGCTCGCCAAAAGAAAGCCGCTCAGCCCAAGCCCCAATACTTCGGTTCTGCTCCTCCTCGTGATCCGCCGCTTCACCTCCTCAGCCTGCCAGGAGAAATCCGCAATCACATCTACCGCCTACTGTGCGTGAGCGACGAGCCGCTCTATCCATGCTTCCGCGTCATCATCAAACCCAAGCAAGGGCGCAAGAAGCAATCGGACACTTACCGCCGCTTTCCCCGAGAGCCCGTGCTTGCACTCGTGTGTCGCCAGCTCGAGCGTGAGGCGCTCTCACTCTTCTACAGCGAGAATACCTTCACATTCTGCAGAAAGGACCCCCGCAAAGTCCCCGCTATCGAGCTGGCGCCGAACATGACCCGCGAGCCGTTCCTGTTGAGGTGGAGGCCGCAACGTGGTCTCGCCGGCAATCTCACCCACTTGGAGCTGCAGTTGTTCACGATGGCGTCGGAGTCAGGCCATCACCTCATCACCTACACCTTTCGCAAATCCAGCGACGGCAAGCTGCACATCGAGTATGACGCATCGCTCCCGGAGTACTGCTTGTGCGCCGAGGACAAAGTGGTGGAGGAAGTCCGGCAAAATCAGTTACGTGAAGGCCAGGCCCCGCGGGATCTGATTGCTCACGTGAGTGACACGCTCACCGTGAGAAGGAGGCTGTTGATGGACCAGTGGCCGTGTGTGGTCTTGAGCGGTACCTCCTCCTTTCGTGTCTTGCATTGCCAGGCTTGTGGGCTGAAGCGTTTTCGGGATGCGGCGATGCGGCAGTGAGACCAGGGAGTGGCGGTGCAGAGGGCCTGTATTGGATGCTCGGTACGTGGCTGCGGAGGAGAGTAGCATTCCGTTACTTATCCTACATTGAGGGTCTGGCGGAGATGTGTGACGCTTCAACCTACCGAAGCAGAAGTTACGTTGCTGAAGAGCAAGAATTGATAGAGCAGCGTCTGCACAGTCAAGTCCCCGTCTCATACCCAAAGACCGCCGCCCTCTGATCCTACAACCCCACAGTCTGCTCCCTCTCCAGCACCTCCTCTCCTCTCGCAGTAGGTAATCGCCATGCCATACTCTCAACCCCACTCATCTTCAACTTTAGAGCGGAGTGAGTGAGGTCGAGCTTGGGAGTAGGTGTGGGCACACCTGCGCACTACCCAGCATGGCTGATTCATGGCTGCAGCCTGCTTACCGAGCCTTATCGGACGAATCTCCAGCGGGGGGACGAACACAAGACGCCGGCGTAGAGGAGATTGTTCACGCGACACAACAACCCCCATCAACATGCCTTGCCCCCTCGAGGCCGACAACGCCTTTGGACCGGCCGTGGGCGGAGGCTGTCGCGATGACTTCGACTTCACCCTCTTGTTTGAGCAGTCCTTCTTCCAGTTGGCCCCGTGTGCCCTCCTGCTCCTCCTCGTCCCCATTCGCGCCTCTCAGCTCCGCAAGCAGGGCGTGAAAGTGCTTCGGAATGGCCTGCAAAGCGTCAAGCAGCTGGCCATCTTGCTCCTCGCCTGCACCCAGCTGGCGCTGCTCGTCTTATGGGCTCTAACGCCCATGTATCGCACTAAAGCCTCCATCCCTGCTGCTGTGCTCTCCTTCTTGGCCTCTCTGGCTTTACTGTACCTGTCAGCTTTAGAGCACACTCGCACCGTCCGCCCGAGCTCTCTCATCAACTTCTACGTCCTCTTCTCGCTGCTGTTCGACATTCCTCAGACGAGAACACTATGGCTCCGTCGTGGCCCTCGAGCATTGCCTGCATTGTTCACTGCCGGCGTCGCCGCAAAGGCTGTGGTCCTGTGTCTGGAGGCAAAGACCAAGAGGCGGGCTCTATTCCCCGCATACAAGCTGTACCCACCGGAAGCGCTCGTGAGCCTTTATGACCGCACTTCCATGTGGTGGCTGAACCCCATGTTCTGGTCGGGATACAAGGGAATCCTTTCCATCGATAAGCTCTATCCCATCGATACGGATCTGCACTCTGAGAATGTTGAGTCGTCTTTCCAGCAAAGGCGCGCTAAACGTAAGCTTTCGGTAATTTAGGTGCTATAGTGGGCTGACAGAAGACAGAAACGAAAACCCGCAAGTGGTCCGTATCCTGGGCCGTGTTCCATAGCATCAGGATGACATTCCTCGCCATGGTCGCCCCGAGACTTTGTCTCAGCGCCTTCAAGCTCTGCCAACCTTTGCTCATCAACCGCCTAACCTCGCTCCTGAGCGAGGGCGTACACGGTCAGAATGTCAACTATGGTCGCGGCTTGATCGGAGCTGCAGCCTTGGTCTACATTGGACTTGCCATCACCACCGCTCTTTATCAACGTGCAATGGATCGAATGGTTACGAAGATCAGGGGCATCATCGTATCGACAGTCCACAGCAAGTCGCTGACATTGAGTTCTGCTCAATTAGCAGACAACACTGCCCTGACTCTCATCAGCGCGGACGTCAACAGAATCTGCATGTCCTTGAAGCAGATTGATGTGCTCATTGCCACGCCAATAGAGATTACGGTCGCCATGTACTTGCTCGAGCGCCAGATTGGCGTTGCCTGCGTAGCACCTGTGGCTATCACCGTTGCCACCGCAATCCTCAACTTCTTCAACGTCAACAATGCCATACCCATGCAGAAAGGGTGGCTCAAGGCTGTTTCTGACCGGGTTGCATTTACCTCTTCCGTTCTAGGGTTCCCCAAAAGCTTCAAGATGCTTGGGCTGACGGCCTACTTCACCGATCGCATCCAGAGCATGCGCGTTACCGAGCTTGCGAAGTATGCCCAGTATCGAAAATACATTACTTTTCGCAATCTGTTGGGCGAATTGCCGGACGTCTTCGCTCCGCCATTGACACTCATGATGTTCACTTTGCTGAAGGGCGGACGAGCCTTGAACCCAACGATCGCCTTCACCACACTTGCACTTGTGTCGCTTCTTGCGACACCGATTGAACAGCTCATTCATGGAGTTCCACAGCTGCTGACCGCCCTCGCAAGTCTTGAAAGAGTGGAAAGTTTCCTTCTTCTCGACGAAAGCAGCTGCAGTCGTCTTCTGGAGCCTACCATTCGCCATGAACCGACAGCTTTTGGCAGCGATACTGGAGGCGAAGCTATTGAGCTCAGCGTCCTTGCCCCGACCAAAGCCCCGTCGCACGATTCCCAATATGTGGTACGAATTGAACGTGGCGCAGCCATACTGGGCGCAGAAGGCAAGCACGTGCTCAAGGACATAGATTTGCGACTCATACCCGGCGAATGTCACATGGTCATCGGCCCTGTCGGCAGTGGCAAGTCTACCCTCCTGGCAACCATTATCGGAGACATTGCCCTGTCCAGTGGCCGTCGTGAGGTCCTCGCGGGGATCCAGAGCTTTGCTTTCTGCTCTCAAGATCCGTGGCTGCCCAATGACACTGTCCAAAACTTGATCGTCGGACAATCAGATCTCGACCAAGACTGGTACAACACCGTCACCTCAGCCTGCGCCTTGCGGACAGACATCCGTGCGTTCCCCAACGGAGACAACACGCTCGTCGGCACCAAAGGCGTTTCCCTCAGTGGCGGACAACGCCAGCGCATCGCTATTGCCAGGGCATTGTACGCTCGAAAGCAGGTCCTGGTTGCGGATGACGTACTCTCCGGCTTGGACGCAGGTACTTCGCGGCAAGTTTTTACCCAGGTTTTCGGGGCCCGTGGGCTGTGCAAATCGCAAGGGATGACTGTCGTGCTGGCAACGCATGCTCAGAAGTACCTACCAGAGGCCGATTACATTGTTGCCCTTGGCGAAGAAGGCAACATCGTCGAACAGGGAACGTGGAGGAGCTTGAATGCCACTCGCGGTTATGTCCACAAACTCAGTGTCAAGGGAACTCTATCCGAAAGTGACGAGGAGTCCGATGAGCCTCCTACTACAATGACGACTCTTCCGACAGCGCCGGCGAAAGTGCCAATCACACAAGCAGACCTTGCCCGGAAGACCGGCGACGTGAGTGTGTACAGATACTACTTACGATCTATTGGCCCCACACTGGGATCGACGGTAGGAATCTGCGCCGTGCTGTTTGCCTTTGCAACCCGATTTCCTGGCATTTGGGTCAAATTCTGGAGCGAAGCGGAAGTCTCGAGTCGTCATCCACAGCCTCTTGGTTTCTGGCTTGGGGTTGCTTTCTCGCTCGCCGGCCTCGCGATGGCTTCCAGCGGCCTGCAGATGTGGGCAATGCTAGTGTGGTCTGTTCCCAGGAGTAGCGCACGGCTCCACAAGCAGCTCCTTGACGCGGTCATGCACGCCAAGTATTCCTTCTTCGTCAACACGGACGCCGGCGTCACCTTGAACCGATTCTCCAACGACATGGCTCTTATTGAAGGGGAGCTTGTCGGGGCGGTGTTGATGTTCGTGCCTGCCTTTTGCATGCTTCTTGCAAGCGGAGCAATCATTGTATCTGGCGCTCAGTACGCTGCGGCAACAATGCCGTTCATTCTCCTCGCGCTATACGGCATCCAACGAGTGTATCTTCGTACTTCTCGGCAATTACGATTCCTTGAGCTGGAAGCACAGGCACCACTACTCACACATTGCTCCGAGACGCTCGCCGGAGTCGTGACGATCCGAGCATTTGGCTGGCAACATCAATCGCATCAGCGATGCCTGAGTCTGCTGGACAAGTCGCAACGCGCCTACTACTTGATGCTCTGCATTCAGCGATGGCTGACCCTGATATTGAATTTCATCACGGCTGCCGTCGCGATCATTGTGGTCTCCATGGCCATGACGCTACCATCAACATCCAGCGCCGGGTCCATTGGTGTCGCATTGTTGTCTGTTCTGAGCTTTACCTTCTACATGAGCTTCACTGTCAAAGCCTGGACGGCCCTGGAGACGTCGTTGGGCGCGGTGGCGAGATGCAAGAATTTTGAAGCTACTACCGAGTCGGAAGACCGGGCGGAAGAATGCCACGTCCCTGACTCGACATGGCCTGCCAATGGCGATGTTGTCATCAAGAATCTCAACGCATCTTACAACGAGGATAACCAGCAGGTGCTGAAAGACATCTCATTGTCGATCAAAGCGGGCGAGAAAGTCGGCATCTGCGGTCGCTCGGGAAGCGGCAAGAGTAGTCTGCTCCTGACCCTCTTCCGCCTGCTGGATTACTCCTCCGGCAGCATTGCGGTCGATGGTCTGGACCTATCCACCGTCCCTCGCCAAACAATCCGACAATCATTCGCAGCTCTGCCACAAGAAGCGCTAGTATTCCCCGGCACGCTCCACGCCAACCTCGATCCCTTGGGAAAGACAGACATCGCAGAAGCCGAGCTCGCACTGCAGAAAGTCGGCCTCTTCGACCTCGTCAGCCAACGCGGCGGGCTAGACGTCGAAATGGCGTCTCTCGGATTGTCACAAGGGCAGCTGCAGCTCTTCGCCGTGGCGCGGGCACTGGTGCGGAAGTCGAAGCTGCTCGTCGTGGATGAAATGACGAGCTCGGTGGACGCGGTGACGGAGGAGAAGATGACGCGGCTGATTCGCGAGGAGTTTCGTGAGAGCACTGTTATTGCTGTTGCGCATCGACTGACGACAATTGTGGAGTTTGATAAGATTGTAGTTATGGATGCTGGGAGGGTGGTGGAGAGTGGATCGCCGCGGGAGCTTTTGGGTAGGCAGGGTGGTGCTTTCAAGGCGATGTGGGAGAAGGGTGAACAGCAGTGAATTTGGAGGCAATGTTTTCATGTGTCTTGGGGGAGGTTATGTAGCCTTGATTGGCTTCGTTAGGAGCTCCGTATATCCTCGCCATTCGAGCTGCTTACTCCAACACTTAGCTTCTACTGTCACGTCGACCTGTCTGCATCGACTCCCTCGCGAACGCCACATCTTTGAGAGTCCTTTTGGTGCCCAGTGCAATTCATTTCGTCAACATGAACGCAGACCATATCCAGGCAAACTACGCCCAAAACGCCTCCACCTACGACCAATTCGCCTCCCTACCGCTAGGCAAACTCGAACAGCAGCTGTTCGACCTGTCAATCAAGGATTGCGCCGGCCTCAAAGTTCTGGATCTAGGTGGCGGCACCGGTGCGCGCGCTCGCGACGCTTTGAAAGCCGGCGCTGAAGCGGTCGATGTTGTGGACATTTCGCCTGAAATGATGCAGCTTGGGCAAGCGCAAGAAGCTTCCCTCGGGAGGGAGAGGATTAGATGGTTTCACGGCGATGCTTCTCAGTCTCTCGATCATCTTGGTTTAGCTCCGTATGATCTGGTCATTGCCAACGGCGTCTTCGACCACGCACATAATGTCGAGGAACTGGACATGATGTGGCGCAACGCAGCGGCGTATCTCAAGCCTGGCGGACGGGTGCTTGCGAATAGAAACAACCCCTACTCGCGAGCGGCGTCGAGTGGGAAGTATGGTGTGCAGCTCGGCGGGTTTCAACCGTTTGCTGGCGGGTTTGCGTATCGATATCGCATGTTGACCGAGCCGGTGTTGGAGTTTGAGTCGCTGGCGTTAGACGCGTATTACGATGGGTCGATGGAGGTTGCTGGAAAGTACTTTGAGGCGTTTACGAATGTGCGCTGGGAGGAGACGCCGGTTGTTAGAGGAGATCGGGAGTTCTGGGAGGAGTATTTGCAGGATCCGATACTGTATATCTTCACGGCTACGAAGCGGCATGAGACCACGGCTTGAACGATAGCTCAGCCCAGCCTGTCCTTCTCCTCCTGCACAATCTTCGGCACCTCCTCTTCAATACTCACCCGATGAGGCTTCCATCCGAGCAACTTGCTGGCACGCTCCGCCTTCCCTCGGGAGTTCAGACCCCACGAAAGGGCCTGGAAATCGGCAATGTCAAAGGCCTCTTTCTGGTCCATTTGATACTCCTTCCAGTCCTTCCCAATATACCCCTTCTCCGCTGCCGTCTTTGCAATCAACTTCGACAGATCGGCCCAGACGTGCTCGCCATGCTCGGCGAGATAGTAGCCCTTGGCACCCCAGAGTTCTGCGTCGAGTTTCTTCGCCACAGCCGCTTCAACGAGAAGGACGAAGAGATCCGAAAGGTCGTGGACGTGCACATTGTTCCAACGTGCCTTGCCGTTCCCAGTAATCGGTGCATACCCCTTCTGAAGCACGACCTTGGTAAGCTCGTAAGCCTGCCGACTGCGTCCGGAGATTGGGCCTCGCCCTTTGCCGTAAATGGTAGGAGGACAGACGATAGCCGTCTTGACCGAGTCCGCATACTTAACGCCAGCCTCAAGGACAATCTTGTCGACATTACGATGAAAAGCCTCGTCCGGCAAATTCGTCAATTCCTCCACGCCACTCCAATCATCAAACTCCTTCTCATCCCACTCGCCAAACCGCTCATCCCGGGAATCAAAATAGGTCAAAATCCCAGTCCCGCCCGTATGCAACCAAAAGCCAGGATTCTCCTTCGAATGCCCCTCCGCGAGGCCCTTGGCAATGGCCTTCGCCGCGCCCTCATGGTCCGATGCGTCGGCGGCGTGCAGTACGATGTCCGCTTTGCGCGCCTCGGCTTCTAGGATTTCGCTGTTGTCTAGGTCGCCTAGGACGATGCGGACGTTGGGGTACGCGGCTTTGACTTTGTCGCCTTTCTCCTGCGTGCGGGCGAGCGCGGCGTACGAGTAGTCCGGGTGGGCCTGGTGGAGGACGTGCAGGGCGTCGCCCGCGATGTAGCCTGTCACGCCGGTGCTGCTTTCGTTAGGCTGGGTGTGCTTTAGGGCCTGGTTACTTGACTTACATGAAGATTTTGGGAGGCATATTGGAAAGTAGAGTGCGCGATATTGATGAGTGAAATATGCAACTTAATCGTTGAGGGATGGTGGTTCTGTATGGAAGTCGGACGAATTGCAAGATGGAGACGTCATGTCTCCATCCGCTCTTCTTGCCCAATTCCGCCCGTCTGGTCTCTGTTGAACTTCTCGGTTTATACGATTTATTCTCGATCCTGGGATCAGCGGGCATGAGGATAGCAACACTGTGCACATCTACATAAACAAAATCATATAAGTCATCAATTGCCATCAAAAGCTTTCCATCACACTCTTTCCGGCAAAACCAAAGACCAACACCTCTCCCATCCTCCTAAGCCTCCTTCACCGCCTTCTCCCCCTCCCCCTCTTGCTGAACTGTGTGCTTCTCAATCCGATCCCACTCCTCCCGGTCGCCCGGGGCATCAATTTCATTCCCCGTATACTCAGGAATGGCTTCGTCTTCAATCTCCTCGGCGAGGAAGAGGTTCAGCAGCAAAGAGAGAATGCCCGTGACGGCGAAGCCCGTTTCCATAACGAGCACGATGGCGTTGAAGAAGCCTTGCAGAGCGTGGTTGTTGCCGTTGTAGGTGAAGACGAAGGAGAACCAGTTGGGGACGAGAGTGGCCTGTAGACCCCATCTGTTAGTATGTATCCGTAACGAGAACATAGAAGTGTTGTGTCGAGAGGCACGGAAGGACTCACGCCGAAACCTGGAGCCAGTGCGGCTGTCAGGATGAACCTCGTTCTGCGCGTGAATGGGACGGTGCCGATGATGCGGATACCCGACACTGCCACTGCGGCGAACAGGAAGGTTGTCATGCCACCGAGGACTGGGCTGGGAATTGCTATTGCGACCAATCAGTAGGAGCTTTGTGTGGGTGAGGAAGAGGTATGCCATACCGACGAGCGCGGCGGCAAACTTGGCCACGATTCCCATCAACAGGAGCCAAAGACAGCAGCAGTAGCCAGCCTTGCGATTCGCGCAGCGAGTGAGGGCAATGACACCGTTGTTTTGGGCGAAGGTGCTCATGGGCGTGATGGTGGCCAGGCTGTGAGTGGGGTTGTCAGTGTCACCTCTCCCATTGTCGTGGAAACGCGGTAGCAGGCAAGGCTTACCCAGCCAAGATACCATTCAGTCCATCAGCGAGCACGCCACCTTGAATTCGGCTGTCGAATAGAGGTCCATCAACCTCGAGTCTCGAAACATCGCAGGTGGCCGTGATGTCGCCGATTGCTGTTCATCATGTCAGCTAGCACATTCGAGCATGCGATGTAAAACAGCGAGACTCACCCTCCATAGGAAGTACAGTATACACGGCAAGCAAAGGCAACACTATGGGACCATAGACACTCAAAGGAAACGTATGCACCCAAATGAAGCTGCCACCCGGCGCAGAGTCGATTCCAGACTTGTCAAAGTAGCCGCAAGCAGCGGCAACGATGCAGCCCATAAGAAGTCCTGCAAGATAAATCAGCGAAATGCTTGCAATTGCGTGGAATTTGATGCATACCTAGAGCAACGGCACAGCTCTTCATGATGGGAGCCCCGAAGCGCTCGACCAAGATGATGGTGAAGAAGACGAGAAAGCCAAGGCCGAGGAATTGTGCGCTTCCCCATGGCGCGGCGCGTGGAGCACCGACGAACGGACATCTAGAGGGCATTAGTTGAAGGGCAGAATCGAGAAGTGATATGAGAGGGGAACTCACAGACGGTATGGTCCGGTGGTCAAAAGCTCCGAGCAAGTGCCCGAGCCTCCAGCCCAATCTTTGAGACCAGATGAGATGAGGGAGACGCCGATGAGGAGCACTGTAGGGCCGGTCACAATGGGTGGGAAGATCTGTTGGACCTTGTGAGTATCATATGAATGTCGAGGATGTAAGGTAGCCAGCGTACCTTTTTCAGAACCTTTGTCGGAGCAAAAGACAACGCAACTTCGAATAGAGCACAGCAACAGGACGTCCCAATGATAGCACCATAGCCTTGCGGGCAGGGCAATTTGGTGCCGTCTGCGGCCGACGGACAATATCCCGTCGAGTACATCTGAGCCAGCGCGCCGGTAGCAACGGGGATGATGGCAAAAGACGTTCCGACGACGGAAATCAGCCCTGTTCCGACGTAGTATGGGGTGCCGATGATGTGGAAGCGGGTGATTTGGATGGCGGAGAGGACGCCGCAGACGATGAGAGAGGTGCTGACGAGATACGTCTGCAGGTCGCCGGTCAAGTTGGCGGCGCCGGCGAGGATGATGGGAGGGGTGACGATGCCCGCGACTAGGAGTGTTCACGTCAGTCGGGGACCCAGCTTCGGATCAATCTCTCACTCACGCATAGCCAATGCATGCTGAAACCCAAGCAACAACGCCAAAAGCACGGGCATGGAATCGTTCAAGCCAAAAAAGGGCGCGGCCCTGCGCTCATGCTTCATAAAGGGGATGTTAGGGGTGAACAAGAAGGCATAATCGTAATTGCCCACGAGTCCATCCTTGGTGGTGAATGCTCGCGCGATGCGTCTGCCCTTGTCCTTCCAGGTTTTCTTTGGACTATGGTCGGGGCCAATACGATCGGGCGAGTCGTCTTTGACGTCCGTAGAGGTCGACATGGTAGTGGTTTCCTTCGTGAGGTTGTTTCCTCAGGGCGAGGGTTGCGAGAAACGCCAGTCGTGGGCTCGGTTGTAAATATACCGCATGTGTTGCAGTTGGAGCGGCTTGGAAAGGGGTGGCCGTAGCGTGTCAGGAAGCTGCGTTGACGCCTAGACAGAGCGGAGTGTGGCGATATATGAATCACAAAAGGCCAGAGATAAGGCGATGGGGAAGGGAGATGTACTTTGAAGATCGATATGCACGAAAGGGCCGCGAGAGGTGTTGTACGGCTCGAACTGCTCGCGTGATGTTACCCCCTCCGTGCCGGCATCGAGGGCGCGATCGAGACCGTTGCCACTCATGCACCACTTATCTCCATTCATGCACGGCAACGCTGCTTTTCAGCCTCCGCCGAGTGGACGGCGCCGCGTTGCTTATCAGGAGTGCGCGGGAGATGGCCGCTCTGGAGCTCCGTCCTCACGCCGCCGGCCAGCTCCGACTTCCGCCTTCCTTATCGACCACGGCTTGGCGGACACGACCAGCATGCATCCTTTTCGATCATCTGCCATGCAACAGAAAACTTGCCTGTTGGAACAATGAACGTGATCAATTACACAGTAAAGGCCTGCTATTGGGCTCAACTACAAACCGTCCGCTGAAAGCATTGAACAGTCAGACCAAACAACCATCCTTCAATACATTCCCGCCATTGCCGATTCCAATGCTCACATCAATCCAAGCCATCCACACCCCGTTATCCTACAACAAGTCCATCAACTTGTAACCCGCAAACTTGACCAGATGAGCACCGCTATGTTGACGACCCGCCAACAGGCCCATGATCTCGATACGACCTCTGCGGCTGCTGTGAACGCTGTGCTTCCGACGGCCAGCCTTGATATTGTGGCGTCTGCTGCTGCTGCTCGCGATATTGCGGAACAGCTTGCTGGACCGACGTAGCAGCTGATGGGGCTTGCTGGCGCTGCTGCTGTAGCACCGGTCCTTGAGGTGGGTATTGCTGCTGCGCCGGTTGCGATTGTGCCTGCGCTTGCTGTCGTTGAACCTGCTGCTGCTGCTGCTGCTGCTGCTGTTGCTGCTGCGGAGGCCAAGCACCCGGAGCCTGTTGCCCCGGTCTCGAAGCAGGAGCACCAAGTTGTTCAAACAGCGGTAATGCTCTCTCCGCCGCATCCTCCCTCGCCTGCCCAAGCCGAAGCCCGTCGTACCAGAAGCGAGCATCAACACGTGTATTGAGGACGTCGACGGCGGCGCTCCATGCTGTTCGACCCCCTGGGAAACGTAAGTCAGAAGGCTGGGAAACCCCCTGGGGTCGATACGGAGTCGGGTTTGATCATCCCGTCTATCTCACCTCGTCGGTCCGAAAATACTTCGTATTGAGGTAGGCGAACACCGTGTGTGCGACAGAGGTCTGTACAACGAGTGAGTGGCGCTGTTTGTAAGCACTCTTGCTCGGAACGGAGTCACCTACTGTTGAGTTGGACTTCGTACGGGCCCGCTGCTTTCGGCTGAGAACTGGACCCCGGCGTCGACGACATTCCTGCAGCCTCGTCGACTTGGCGTCAAAGGAATGCGCGTGATCCCACACAAGCGAGTAGCAGAACTCCGAGACGGCAATATAGTCCAAAAGGCGAATGCTTGCAAAAGTAATCAACAAGAAAAAGCCGAAATGCTAACCTCCTTCAGCAGCAGCAGGCGCAGCAGAGAGAAAAGAGCGTGCAAGCATCGATCAAAAAGCAGTAAAAGAGATGGGCCTCCCTTATATAATACTCACCGCAAATGGCACGCTCCGCTTGTCCACTCGCCGCCTCACTTGCAAGCCGGCAGCCGATGCCATTCGCTGGCATCAGGAGAGGTGCATGTCACCGTTGACCATGTGCAGCGCTATGAGTGAGACAAAAAGACATTCCCGACGCTGAGGCAAAGAGGCAAAAATGAGACTCTGACGACGACGACGACAACAACCAGCACCAGCAAATACGTGGGAAGCCCGATGAATACGGCTACGACAAAGTCCGAGGGAGCCAGAGCGGGAGGACGTCAATTTTTCGGCATTTTAACGCAGGTCGTCCACAAAGGAAGATCCCTGCATGACAGCACCCCAACAGCACGAGCAAAAGAAAAGAGACGAGGGAAAAAGGTGCGCAGCATGTGCAGCAGCCCAACGCTAAGCATAAATTTCTTAACGCAGGCAGCAATGAATGCCGGCCAGCAGCGACGGGCACGAGGTATCTTGGGCCGCAAAGACAATCGCGTTGACGAATCGCTCTACGCCAGCGTGAGCATCGCCGGTTGTCAGCGTGAAGCATGAAGAGAGATCGACGAGAGTGTCCAGTCCGCCTTACTGTTAGCTCTGCATTGATTTGCAGCGACGGGGTCTGGTTGCGTTGCAGCAAGTACCAGGTCCAAGCTGCAGTTGACACGTAGGCGTGCGTAGATGGGGTGATCCAATGACGTGCGGATGCATTGGGTGCTGGCTCCACTCGCTCGCGCTGCGCGTTTACTAGTATGGTGATTGTGTGATGGTTGAAGGAGTGATAAGAATAGCAGACAGCAGAGGCTTGCTATCGTGATAATAAGGGGGCGTTGTCGCGTCATGACATGAACTTCGTAGGTCAACGTAGCAATACCAAAGCCGAAAGGACGTCGCTCGGCCCATGTCTCCAAGCACGAGCACCCACAGCACGGTGCGTGCGACAGCCCAAGCGCTGTCATCTGTCTCCGCTGCAGCCGTTATGAAACATTGCAAACGCATTGCTCCGCTGGAATCACAAAGCGCGAAGCGCAGAATGCAGAGATGAGACACGCAGTGTGACGGTCATGCGTCATGTCACGAATGCCCATCGATCAAAAGATTAAATCAATAGTGCCACGAAGTGCAGTCACATGCAACAACAGTCGTCAAGTCGTCCTCTTCGCGTGTCTCGTCAGACCAGCGTGCCCGCCCCGTCCGCCATCCCAATCCGAAGTCGGTGGCCTGCTTCGATCAATCGAGTGGTTTTCCTTCCGGTTGAACATGTCGCCAATCAGCTTCTTTGGGCTGATGTAGTCCAGCTCCATCGAGCCCTTTGGAAGGGGCACGAGCAGCTGCCTCTCGGTCCTGGAATGGAAGCGTGACCGAATCGCATCGTCAACGAGAGCCATCAGCCCAGTTGCGACGACAACATCCGAGACATCTTTCATGGAGCGGAGGATGTTGTCGTCTTCGATGCGCAAGGAACAAGGTGGAATCCAGCCGCCTTTGTCTTGCTCTTCTTCGGTTTGTCGCGGAGTGAGGGCAGTGGGTACAATCTTGGCGAGCACGCTCTCGCATCCGTCTCTTTTCAGTTGGAAGGAGGTTTCTTTGGCGTGACTGAGCTTCTTCACCACCCGCTTCCACGTGTAGTGGACGCCCCAGTACTCGAACTCGTACTTGACAGTGGAAGTGCCTGCGCGCTTGATCTCTACATGAGCGTAGTTCGAAAATTCCAGCTTGACGATGTGGCTGGATGAAAGCTCTTGGTTGTTGGAATCCTGTCCTGCGGATACTGGCCGAGCTTCTTCATTCAGATCCATGGAGTGCATAGAGCCATAGCCAGAATCATGCCGCGCGAGACCGGCGAGATTGGGACTTGTGGAACTCTTGCTGTCGGGTTTGGGCCGCATACTATTCAGCGCATTGCTGAGTGATCGCTGAAACCCGGGCCGTTTGTGGGTTGCTGGTTTTCGGGAAGAGTGGCACACTTCGCGGCCGGAATCCCTACAATATCGTCGCAGGGAGAACTGGCGGTTCTTGAGGTCATGCATGCGCAAGTGGAACAGGGTCATCTCGAGTCGCTTTGCTCCAACATGCAGTCCCGTATCAATTCTTAAATTCATGTTGCCATCGAGGGTCGTGTCGTCATGATGGATGATTAAGCGTCTGCTTGAGGGGAAGAGTTCCGAGAAGTCTGCCGGAGTAGCCTCGAGCACGTTTGATGCGCCCACACGAGGTTGCGCTGCAAAGTCGGGGACATCGTATTCGGTTGTCTGTTTCACCGGCTCTGCCTCGCTTTCGACCGTCGATGCATATGTTTCTTGTGAAGATCGGGGGCTTTCTTGCATGTCTCGGTCGTCAAAGTATCGCCCCTTGCTGGCGTGATTGTTTTGGCGACTGTGAGGGGGCAGTGGTGGTGGTTGAGGGAGATGGCTCGACTGACTGAGCACATGGCGCTGTATTCGGTGTGCTTGAGGCTCGGAGTAATGATGGATTTGAGGTCTAGGAGGCTGATGGGAATACGCGGAGTGCATGTCGACCATTTCCCGCCGGTGATGGAGCTGCATGTCGTAGGTAGGCGGGAAGCGGAAGGCTTCGCTAGAGATATACCGGCTTCGACGACGTTCTGGAAACAGGTTTGGGTGTTGTACGACGTGAGGCTCGCAGCACAGAACGTCGATCTCTTGCCTTCCAACACAGCCGATCGGAGCCGTTGTCCTCTCTTATGTATAGTGATCCCAAGGTCCGAGGCATTCACCATTCGCCTCATAAGCCCGGAAGCACAGCCATGTTGAGAAATGATTGCCTCCGCAGCGTTGCACCCTCACGTCGTAAGTCGCACGCAGGGGGAAGCGTGGGAGAGAGGGCAGTGCGTAAGCGGCAGCAACCAGGAGTGGATGTACATGAGTACAAGAAGGAGGAGTACTGTACTGTACGCGGTATACGCCGGAAACGGGAGGTGATCAGGCGGTGTGGAGGCGCGAGCAGCAACGCGATTGGAAGTGGGCCCGGCACGCTCGGCCCTTGCGGCCAACCGTTGTTGGTCAAGGCGGGACGAACCTTCAAGTTGTTCCCCGATTGGTTGGAAATTCTCCGACTGCATGTCCTCACGGACGGAAGCATCGCTCTCGGATTCCGCATAACCGTTTGAAGCCGAACCTATCGCTCTCGCCATAGCACTCGGTATTCTTCGCCTGCGCGGCTTGTAGTTTTCAACTCAACACCTGTCGCCGAAACGCCGAACTACTCATGTCTCAAACAGGTATCTGCTGCCGTGGTTGTTGAGTAATGGTCGGCGAAGTAGGTAGCCTTTACAACTCTTCGTTCATCCTGGTCTGATGACGACCTGTGATTATCTCCGTCATCGAATAGGGATCGGAGCAGGCCTACTCTGAACAATCGAAAGGCCGACGTATCCAGGCGCAAGCTGAGACCAAAGTCCAAGGCAGCGTATCACGACGAAAGCAACTCGCTGCATGGAGGTTCGCGATAAGATCTACACGAATGCCATTTGCGGCTTTTTGTCTTTTTATGTCTCTCCTCGAAGGGCTCTAAGTATCTGGATATCTCCCAACCCTCATCTGCATCCAGCGAGGAAGGACGGAATGGTCCCCGTATGGCTGCCCGAAGCGGCCTGCGACTGGAGTATGACGGCAGCACTGAAGATCGTCGACCAGTCTGCAGACTCTGCCCACCTATAGCATCCTCTCACGGCAACACCAACATTCGTCTTCAATCAAGCGTCGTCTTCGAGGATCGCCCACTTGGTTGCGCGCATGGTGGTTGCACGAAGCATCCCTCCACGGAGTGAAGGGCGCTCAATCCCCGACCGTTTGGCTGGCCTCTTCGCCATCGGTAGGAGACTGCTCCTCAGTCGCCTTTGGCTCCATGGTAGCCTGATGGACAGCCTCCACTGGCGTATTATCGTCCGTAAGCGGACTGTCTCCCTCCTCGGCCGCATGTGGGGCGTTTGGCTTGAGCGTATCGGTTCGCAGCATGCTAGGCCGATTTCTTTCTTCTGCACTCTGCACATCCGTTTCATTTTCACCTTCGTCTTTGAGAGCGGTCACTTGCCTGCCCAGCGGTGGCGGCGCTGGTTCCGACGACGGCCCCTGCTCCTCCTCCTCTGCTTCCTCTTGGATGATATTCTCTTTTGATGCGGAGAGGTCACTCCTCGTATGTCTATGCCTCTTTGTTGTATCGCCAATCCCAATCGTGTCATTGCCACCCGCCGCTGCCTCCGTCTTCTCCTCTTCACCCCTCTGCAGCACCCGCGTAATCGGATCCGACACCACTTCCCGCGCATGCGGCGTCTCCGGCTCGTACCCCTCCGCCTCCGCAGGAATCGTGTAATTCTCCGGCTCAATAATGCCATACCCATCGCACACCGTCTTGAAGAACACGTACAAGCCCGTCTTATTCTCCACGCGCCAGAACATCTCGCGATGCTGGAACCACGCGTGCGCGTAGATTCTGTACACCCGGCGGAAAATATTCTTGATCTCTTTCATCTGGTTGAGCAGGTGCTTGTCGTTGCCCATCAGATTGCCGCCCGTGCCTGAGCCCAGTCCCAGACGCGACGGGAAGAGCTTGGAGGATGCGAGGCTGTTGGATGCCCAGTCGAGGGTGTGGCAGCAGTAATCCACCGCCGCGCAGGATTTCGGGGGGTCGTGGACGGCGCAGAGGTACTGCCATTCGCTGGCGCGCATTTCAGGGCACGAGGTTGAGGAGCAAGGCGGGTCGTCGGCGAAGAGGGCGACGATGATGGCGTTTGTTTTCTGGATGAGGAAGCGGCCGAGTTCGTAGAGCCAGATGTCGCGGGAGGTGTTGGGCGGTGGGGTGGTGAGTTTCTGCGCAATATCGGCGTCGATGGGTTGGACGGTGTCGCTGTCGGGGGGATGGGTGTAGTGCCAGTGGAGGGCTTTGAGGTGTTCGGTCAGTTGAAAGGCGGAGTCGATCTGGTGGGCATTAGCCATTGACATTCTGGTTGTGAGAGCTTCGCCGTACATCATGCAGTTCTACCAAAGGAGGCCCTTCTGCCATATCCTCCGCTTTTGTCCCCGGTCGTATCCTCCTCGCCGCGCCGGTGTCGAGGCTGTGGACTCCTGGAAACTTTCCATGTTCCTCGTAAAGGGACACGCCAGGGGATGTCGGGCCTATCTGGTCTTCTGCGATGGGCGGTGGGGATGGAAGTCGAGGAGAAGAGGAAGGCGACTGAGTCGCTGCCATCGCGAAGCCGCCAGACTGCTCTGGTGTACTAGATTTGGTCAACGCACACGAGAACGCAAGTCTGGGAATGTTTCGTTGTATGCAAGCGCCGCGGAGACGCAGGGACCGTGCATCGCGGCGGAATTGGCCGAAAGCTTGAGGATATCTCTTGACCTGACGACATCAGACACTTATTGAACACTCGTCAAGGTCGGAAAACATTATTCATCATGGAAGGAGATGAAGATGACGGGCCACCGATGCTGGTCGAGGCGAATGGAAGCCTTGATCCTGCAGGAGAGAGGCTGAATGGTAGCATCGAAGATGTCAAGCCCATCAAAGTCCCCATTACAATCATCACAGGTGGGTTACAACACTCGTTACAACTAGCACGCACTCGACTCGATGTCTGAAGACTTGATCGAAGAATTTTGATTACTTCCAGTCCGACGATCATGCAAAGAAATTCAACTGATCCCCAACCTACAGGCTACCTAGGAGCCGGCAAAACCACCCTGCTCAACTACATCCTAACAGCCCGGCACGGCAAGAAAATCGCCGTCATCCTCAACGAATTCGGCAACACCGCCAACATCCCCGAGGTGAAGAAATCGCTCACGGTAAACGAAGGCGCCGACGCCGCGACCGAATGGCTCGACCTCGCCAACGGCTGCATCTGCTGCTCCGTCAAGGACTCCGGCGTGAACGCTATCGAAGCCCTCATGGAGCGCCGCGGGGCCTTTGATTACATTCTACTGGAGACGACGGGGCTGGCGGATCCGGGGAATTTGGCGCCGCTGTTTTGGGTGGATGAGGGTTTGGGGAGTACGATTTATTTGGATGGGATTGTGACGCTCGTTGATGCGAAGAATGTGGTGAGGTGTTTGGATGAGCCGGTGGGGGAGGAGGTTGCTGAGGAGCACGCGCATGGGGAGCAGGCGTTGCTGTCGATTGCGCATTTGCAGATCAGTCATGCGGATGTGGTGGTGATGAATAAGGCGGATTTGGTGGATGAAGAGGAATTGAGGGCGGCGGAGCAAAGGGTCAGATCGATCAATGCGCTTGCAAAGGTGGTGATTACAGATCACAGCAAGGTCCCGCAACTGGAGGGCGTGGTGTTGGACCTGCACGCGTATGACAATGTCACGGCCGAGGATCTCGATTTCGCGAGCAAGGGTCACAGCCATTTGGATCCGGCCATTGGAAGCGTCAGCTTGTCATTTGGGCGGTTGCGGGATGTCGATAGACTGGATAAATGGCTGCGCTCCGTGCTTTGGGAGGGACAGATACCTGGGGCGGGGAAGCAGCTTGATGGGGAGATCTATCGAATCAAAGGCCGCATACCGCTAATCACCGGAGAGTTGAAGATGCTGCAAGGTGTTCGTGAGATTTTCGAATTGATCGACGCCGTCGACTCGGGCGAGGGAGAGGTCGAGGAGGGCAAGATTGTCATTATTGGCCGGAACATCGCCGACGCAGCAACGACCGCCGCCTTTCAAAGCAGTCTCGACAAATCTCTCGCTGCATGAAAGACATATCAGTCCTTCAATGCAAAGCTCTCAACCGCTTTCGGAACGCCATTGACGACACTTGCATCTCGGTGGAAGATGCACATCATGCCGAAATCCCCCACGCCAACCAGCCACGTTCCATCAGGGCTCCACGCCATTTGTGAAGTGGCGAAGTGCTGCCTCGATGAGAGATTCGTCTTGGGAGTGATGGTGTGATGTGGTTTGAGCGGCAAGAAAGGATCGCTTAGCGCGTACTTTCGCTCCGGGGCACCAGAGTTGGAAGTCGAGGAAGGCATGGCTGAAACGCACATTAGCATCGCACTTGGGATGGAAGAGGACATCGCCCACTCACGCGTAGCACCCCCGGCCCCATCACTGCTTGCAAAGCTCTCCACCTTTACACCACCTCTCAAGTCATCCAACCGACTCAAATTCTCCGAGCTCACTCCGCTCTTCGGCTTGCGGCGGCGCTTCTTCGGCTTCTCCTCTCCAATATCCCACCCCTCCTCCAATTTCTGCAAATCCCAGAAGAAGTACTTAGATTCCTGATTGCCCATGCAGAGGATGGGGCGCATCGCGGGCGTATGCAGCAGGCCAAAGCGGAAGTAGAAGCGATCCGAATGTGGCATTGAGAAGGTTAGGAGACGCTGGAAGCCTGTGGATCGCGAGGAGTGGGGAAAGGAGGAGCGAGTGTGGACGTCTGGGGAGGGGATGGGAGGTGCGGAGGGAGGGGGTTCATTCGGATCGAAGCCGTCGATTTTCCAGAGGAGGATCTCGTTGCTTTGCTTGTCGTTTTGGACGCGCGAGGCCTTGGAGATAATCAGGTCGCCGTAGAATTGCACGCAGTCGACGTAGTTGTGGTGGACTTCGGTAGAGTGGAAGTGCGGGTAGTAGATGATTTTGGGCTCCTTGCGTTCGTTGGAGTCGTCATTGGACCTCTCGAGTTCTTCTAACGAGGGAACTGCCCAGAGACACACGGCCGTGTCCAGACCACCCGATAGCATCCATCGTCCGTTTGGGTGAAGACGCAAGGCGAGGATGGGTTGCCTGTGGCCCTCGCCACAGAACATGGCCACACATGGTTGGTCTTGATACTTTGGATGCAGGTTCCATAACCGGATGGTGTAGTCTTCCGAGCATGAAGCCAGCAGGTCAGTGGAGAGGGGAGAAATGGCAAGGTCGTTGATGCCTTTTCCATGGCCTGGAATGGAACGGACTGCTTCGCCGGATTCAATGTCTAATATGCGGATCTGCTTCGGCTTTTCTCCAGCGATGCATAGCAGTGGCTTGTGCGTGATCGAGTCTTTTGTCCAGACGACGCTGTTGACGGAGGAGTCGACCTGGAGTAGTTTTAGCAAATGCTCTGAAATAGTAAGTTGAAGATACTGACATCTTCGTCTTTGAACCACCTCAATAATTCGTAAGGCTGGTCGCCGCTCAATGTTGGGCGGCAAACGAAAACCTGATCACGGTGAGCAGCTGTTTGATCTCTCGGACTCCATGCACAGACTTACGTCTCTTCCGCCTACGACGGCAAAGATCTGATCGTTGTCCGTCGTGGCATATGGGTAGAATTTGACATCATGAAGACACTGGTCTGCGTGGACGGTCAGCACGTGCTTGATGATCACGTGGGCGACATACTCTTCGCAAGCTTTGCGCAGCAGTGCAGTGTCGGAAAGACATCGGTGGGCGGCATGCTGCGGTGACAACCAGGGAAGATCACGCAGAACGAATGAAGAGGGGAGGCCGGTCGCTTGTCATCGACGATTGCATCGTGAGGAGGGGTTTAGGCTTGCGGGAGTCGCCTTTCTGTGCTGCACAAGCAGGGATGCAGCAGCTGCGTGAGTTTGCGTTGTTGAGGAATGCTTTGATGTTGCGAGGGGCTGACCAGGCTGTCGTTGGGTGGATGTTGATGGATGGGCGTCGCGTGGATGACGCGATCCTGTGTCGTTTCTGCTTTGGCCCCGTCTCGCGGCTCTCACACGGGCGTGGTGGCTGGCAACACGCGCCAGAGATGGAAGCTGTCGCAACGCCGAGTGGAGACGTGCATGCATATGGCGTCGTCGGGGCGGGTGTGGTCGCTCGCCCTCCGCGCCTTCCTGCCAATTAGACTTTCCTTGACACGGCCGAGGTGGCCCAAGCGTGACGTCTTTGCCTGCAAACTCGCTGCTCCCTCGCTCACTCTTCACGGACATTACTCCGGCGTGTCAATGTATCGCCTTCTCATGTCCACGCAAGCGCTTCATCTCTCCATCAACGGCCTGCTCATCGCATCACGCTCTGCCCAGCACCCGGCATCGTGCTGACGGCCGTCTCGCCCATTCGCCCCGACGCAGTCAGCGCATAGTACACCGCTCTTCGCCATTTCAACCACCCGCCATCATCGTGACCATCCTTCCTCTGCTTGATTCCATCACTGAGGGTCAATCTCGAGACACCGGCTTCGAGTATCCTCTCATCATCCAACACATCGCAACCGCAGCGCCGGAAATCTAGAGCGACGCTGGCCATTGATTGATCCATCGCTCTTCGCTACACCCCACGCGGCCTGGAATGCGGTCTTAGACGCCTCATACCGTACCGGGCCGCCCGACTGTCGTGTGGTGCCTTTGCGCCACTCCACAATGGACACCACCTTCATCTCCATCCACAGTACGCCCATGTTCATCTCCGCAACCATAGATCTCTACTGATCATTCCATAGGCCTCGAGCACGATGCGCGCATTCTCTACACCTCCGACTCCATCATCGACATCCTCGGCTACACCCCCGATGATGTCGTCAATCGTTCGGCATGGGAGTTCTTCCACGAAGAGGAGCTCCCTTACGTCCGCGAATTCCACCGAAAGAGAGTGTCTCAAGACAAGGCGGCCGTGTTGGCGTACTGCAGCGTGAAGAATGCCGAGGGACAGTGGATTGGCTGCGAGTGCTGCTTCACCATCGTTTACGACGTGATGGTGGTGTGCACAAGTGTCTACAAGCGGAGCGTAAACAGCCAGAGTGAGTCGCCACTGGAATCCCATACCCGTCTCAATCGCTAATGATCGTGCAGAACGAGCGCTGGAGGCACCTATTGTGCGGCAAATATTCACATCGTCGCCGGCAGACCCGCGCTACCACATGTTGTCGCATATGTCGGCCAAATTCGCGCAACCTGCCAAGTTTCAGCTCCACGAACCCCGTGCCGCGTTGTTTCTCAACCGCTTCACGAGAACGCTCACCATCATGTATGCGACCAGTGGCATTCAAGAAATCCTTGGCATCCCCTCCGCCAATCTTCGCGGCCGGAGCTTCTATTACTGCATCGCGGAGAATTGCCTTGCCGATGCCATCAAATGTCTGGAGAGTGCGAAGAGCAACGATTCCATCGCATACCTACGCTTCTGGTTTCGAGACCCTCGGCAAGATGATTCCTCTGCGCCCTCTAATAACGACAGCGACGAGGATATGACCGAGATTGAAGAGCTCACTGCCACCGATACGAGCGTTGACGACGAGTCAACAGCGCGGGGCAGCGAAGGCTCGCCTCCAAGCGAGAGTCCGGCCGTCGGCCGAGCCCCAACCGCAATGGAGGTGGATGACGAGATGTTGAAGCCCGAGTCGAGCAACTCCCCCGACGAAAGCAACAGAGACACCCACGAAGCAATCTTTGGCGACACTCTACTCGCCGAATCCTCATCATCCTCCATGGCGGCATCGCCAGAGATCAACCCGCGCGGTTCAAGCGAGCCCGTCGAATTAGAAGCCGTCATCTCCTGCACCTCGGACGGCCTGGTGGTATGTCTGCGCAAAGCAAGACCCATGATCCCCCATCCGACCTCACATCGTCCATCTAAACCCGTCTACGCCGACGGCCTCTTCGCCGCCCCGTGGGCCAGCGATCCCATCATCCCACCCATCGAGTCCCGACCAGGCCATGGCTTCGGCACTACCTTCGCCCCGTCTCTCAGCCCACAAGGCGCGCAGCACAACAACCTCTCCCCGACCCGAAGTCCGTTCGATCACAGCGACTTCATGGGCGCCATTCGCGATCAAGCCATCTTTGCCTGGGGTGTTACGGGCATTAATGGTGCCCTGGCGGATGTTGGGGCGCGGGCAGCCCGTCGGCGCCGCTACGCCGGAGCAGGGCTATCCGGTCTGGGCCAGCGATCCGCAGCGCTTGGGCAAGGGTCTGCATAGCGGTAAGGGATGAAGCTTGCTGTGCGAGCGAGACTCGACTGGCCCACACAACTCGGCACAATCAAGGACCCCGCTTCACTGCAGCTTCGAAGGCGAGTCGTGCAGAATATAGCCGTTGCAATGGTTGTAGGGGAATGCCTCAGCTGAGATGTTGAAAGCCCGCGCTGAGCAGTCCGCCAAAGATCGGGTACGGGATGGACAGGCATCCGCATGCCTGGGAGGAAAAATGGAGAATGGTATTGGCTATGTTGAGGAGACTCTTCTGGCCGAGTTACGTCCCGTTGAAAAGCGGTGGGAATAGACATTGGGTATAGCAAGGCCCTTTTCTTCGGAGGAATGAGAATGTCCGGACGAAACTGGCTTCATGTCATGAGATAATGGATAATGTAATTCCATTCTGAAAGAGAACATTTATGAGAACGTCTTTTGCTTGACTCGATGAATATTCATGCTCTCATGCTTGTGATTTTTTATGTTCACTGTTCGGCGAGGCATGTGCCATGTCGTAGTCTAGTCGGTGTCGTGTCCACCTTATTCGACGCCAATTGCCATGCATTAAATGATTCTGCTCAATCTGACGTACGACAACACCGCCTCCCACCTTGTGTGCCATTTTTTTACCGTCTTTACGCCAACAGAGAGCGATATCTGCCATGGGGCGTCCCCGGTCGCGTTAGAATAGCGGATATAATGCATCTATGCTGGGCGGTATTAAAGTTTCGGCCGGATGGTCTAGTCGTATGATTGTCGCTTCGGGCTCTTCAGTTCTCCGCCGTAAATGGCGGAACGAATGTGACAGGTCCCGGGGTAAGTTCTCATAACCCCTTTAAGTTAGAGAGTCAAACTTGAACCCGCCGCTAACCCTAATCCAGTTCAAATCCCGGTTCGGCCCGATTAGGTTTAGCGCTCAACCCTAATCTTGGTTCAGCTTTTTTGGGCTAAATTTGGTGTCTTTAAGGCTCGCTTTTGCCGCTTTGGGTAATTTGCGGAGACAACCTTCCCTTTTTGATCGGGAGCCTACGCATTATCCTGCCTTTGTTCTACGATACATAACGTACATCAGTATCTGGACCGAGTGGCGCGGAAGCATTGGGAATGGCAGAGGCATTGAAGGATCGGGACATAATTCGCTACGTTGCGCACATAGACAACAGTTGGAAGCCGGGTCGATGATTCAAGATCAAGACCATGAGGGAAGATTGTGAATACTGTTTTCATTGCTTTTGCCTCGATTATCGCTCAAGACGGTGACCAAGAGAAGCCCCTCTGCCCAATATCCTTCTCGTCTTACGAACCGTCAACAAGAAGACGTCTGTTCGACGGGATGAGTACACTCGGAATACCTGCCCCAATCGTTCCAGCGCGTTCCACCTCATCCGTCCAACTCCATTCCTCCTCGATCCACATCATCACATCAAGCATCCAACGCAGCCTCATCCTCATCGCTCGAGCTGCTTTTGCTGACGCTGATGATGGTGCCTGGAAGATACGTCTTGACCACGATCTGGTACAGCGTACGGTAGGTCGCCGTGTTCATGCTGTCCAGGATGCGCTCGACACTTTTCACACTTGGCTGAGTCTGCCCCTCCACCGTCTCGTCAACTGGAGCTGCTTTGACGAGGGCTTTCTTGTACACCACTGCTTGAAGGTACATCTTCTCGCCGGGGTTTTCGATGAGCGTGTCACCATCTTCGGCGTCGACCTTCGCGGCGTAGTCCAACACCACACGCTTCATCAACGCGGCGTGCTTCTTGAGCATAGTCTCGATCAGTTGCTGTCCCTCCCCATCCACCATTCCGGGTTTGCGAACTTTGCGAGCTTTGGGACCAATGGTAGTGTTACGATTGGCCGCGGCGAGAGCCTCGATCGCACGGGACTGGGCGTTGATGGCGGACGTCAGGAGACCAAGGCGGTTGTAGATGACTGCTTGGCCGGCTGATATTTCGTTCAGATCGATGGACGGCCAGTTTTTGTCGAGTGTGAGGTTGCCAGCGTGGAAGATGTCGTTGTTGCCCTCATCGGCGCCTGGGCTCGACGATTCGGAAGCGGTGCTGCCTTCGATACTTCCTGGGGCGCGCAAGGGGGGGCTGTCTCTCCCGGCGGATGCACGAGGAGTCTCTGGTGCGATCTGGGCACGAGGAGACGACATGGTTGGTTGTGTTGAGGCACTCTCAGAGGGAGGGTCGGAGATGGACGGACTCCTGAGAGGGGAGTTGTGTTGATGGTTGGACAGTGTCTGGGCGAGTGGAAGGAGAAGTTCAGGAGAAAGGTGGGAAGAGAGGCGAAGGGTATGGATTCGAAGAGAGGTGAAGGAAGCATGGAAGTGAATTGCGGGAGCTTGTGGAAGATTCGCGCTGTGCATGGAAAGCAAACGCTGCAACCGCGATTTCTGGCCAGATCATTCACACAAACCGCCACCAGGACACGAACAACCACACATCTTTCCAGGATTAACGCCACATCTCCGTTTGCCTCAAGCGTGACGTTGGCTCGCGTTACACAGACATCTGGCCGGTGCCTGTCGATCTTCACGACGACACTTTCTCGACCCTTCTTCCTACACTTCGTCTAATCCCAACCACACACCATCTCCAGAGTCATCGTTCTGGTGATCAGTGTAAACACGGTTGCGAGCCTCAGGATGGCACCACCACCGCCCCCTCTGCCGACCGACTTCAGCAAGCGAACCACTTTCAAAGATGAGTTGGCCAGACTTCGTCAACTCCCGAAAGATAAGCAGGCGGAGGTGATCGCTGGTATCGAGAGAGATTCTGCGGAGTTCCTCGGGTCTCGTCCTCATCCGTCGGTAACACAGCAAGGAGGACATCTCGACTTCAAGATATACGAGGACGATGAAACTGCCGCGGAACATGCGGGAGTGAGTCTGCCCTACCATTGTTGTGATTCTGCTTTTTATTGCTAATCCTACCAGTCGCTGGAGGCAACGAAGATGGAAGCAGAGCACGAAGGTCGCCGAAACCTGCGCAAGATGGGCTTCAAAGTCGTGGTCAACAAGACGGCCAACCCGCAGTCCGTCCCCGGCAGACCTGGAGTCATCACTGGAGCCGGCGCCGACGCTCCTCTGACCAGCGATCCTCGCTTCAAGAAACGGGCGGACTACGGGATCATCAAGTTCGGTGCTGGTCCGGACCCTCCTCTTACGTCTGGCCCGCGCTTCAAAAACATGGCTCTGCTGGGTGAACTGACTTTCGGCTCCGTGAAGCCGGATGTTCTCTGAAGCAGTCAAACACGCCTTGACCTGCGGCCTAAGTGTCTCCACCAAGCTCGGTGCAATTGTGTGGTGTCGGGACCTAGCAGAGAACGCTGCAGTATGGGCTGAAAAGTGGCGCTGGATGGAGGAGCATAAACCAAAGCATGGAGAGAGCGTTCGCGTACCTTCCAATACGAAGTCCGATGACATGGTGATGTGAGGTGGGTATGCTTTCACTATAGTGAAATCCGAAAGACGTTAGGCAGTCTCATGGTCTACATGACATTCAGTCCCGCGGATATGTCTCTTCTATAGTCACGTGACGTTGGCGAAACAATGCCTAATTCGACCCCACTCTCGAAAGCGTAAGGTAGCTCCCACCTTCTGTTCTTGCGGTATTAATTGATGTGCAAACGAAAGATGCGAGGGTCAGGGCTTCATACAAGTATTTGAGATTCAACCGTGGCGAATTCTGGCGAGATCTCCGCCTCTGCACCTCACATTGCTGATGCGAAATACCTTGAACTCATCCACAAACCATCTCTTCATCCGATTACTGTCCGCACATCCATCTGGACTCATCCATCAACGGACTAGCACCTTCACAATCCCACGGTACAGCATCATAATCATCCATCGCCTCCGCAGAACCATGTCAACCTTCACCTTCAGCGACCTCTCCTGGATAACGCGCGACCAGCTCGCGACCCTCATTAAAGAGCAAAAACCCGGCCTAACCGTCATCGACGTGCGCGACAACGACTTCATCGGCGGCCACATCCAGCAGTGCCTCAACGTGCCCGTGCACACCCACGACTTCCGCATGCCGGAGCTGGTGCGCACGCTGCGCGACCAGGACACGGTGGTGTTCCACTGCGCGCTGTCGCAGCAGCGGGGGCCGGGCAGTGCGTTGCGGTATCTGCGGGAGCGAGAGCGGATGAGCGAGAAGGGGGAGGTGGGGATTCGGAAGGATGGGGCGGATTTGGCGGGCGTGCAGAAGGTGTATGTGCTGGATGGGGGGTTTGTGAAGTGGCAGGAGAAGTGAGTGGGGAGTCTTTCATTTCTCGATCCTGGATGCTGATGGTTTATTTCAATTCTAGGTACGGAGAGGATCCGGGTCTTACGGAGGGCTATGTGAAGGACTTGTGGGCTTCGGGGTATTGATGAAACGGGCTACAGAACACGGCGATGGCGCATGTGCGTGATGCACTCGTTCCATGCAGCTTGCTGGCCATTCTGCGAGTGGCTCTTGGTCTATTGCTCACGAAAGCTCTACTCTCCCAACGATCAGCCTCCGACTCCGATGAATATCTACTTTACCTGCCGCTACGAGCATGGCGGAACTTGTAGGCTACCATCCTTTGAACCTGGTTTCGTCTGACATCAGAAAGTCGTCTCATTGCAGAATGAGGAGACCATTGCGCCGGGCCTTCCCTGACGAAAGTCGATTCGTAGACATACCAAGTTTGATCCTTCGGTCCAGCATCATCCCTGCTGCGAGCTCTTTGCAGGATACTGTAATTGAAGGATCCGTGCGGCTGTAAGTAACTTTCCGCAGCCTTGTGCAGCCTGAACCTTCCCACTGCACCTGCTCGACGACAACTTCGGACAATACATCCCGGCGAGCCTCCAGGATACATTCAGTCTCGAATCCAGCATTTATTTCCATGCTGCGAGCGGAACTCGGCACATGCCCTTCAAGTATTGCGAAATAGCGCCTACTTCCACCTACTACAGGCTTGGCGGGGATTGCGACATCGCGGCTTGTGCCTATTTGGCCACGCGATCGACATGCATTGCAAAAGGCTGCGGAATAGCAAAAGAGAGGGCGCCGATTACCACGGAGCGGATTTGCGAGTGAACAAGCACACAGTAAGACCACGCTGGCTCGAAAAAGTCTACAGGCGCAGCTGCCTTGCTTACCTTTGGTGCAATCGCCACTACTGCTTACCGTTCAAAGGCAAGCGACTGATCACCATGTCTCGAATGAAGTCGGCCGCCGGTCCCTTGTATGCTCCGAACACATGACGCAATAAGAGAACCCGCCTATAAATTCCACGGTGCGTGGCCATCTCCAGACATCACAATCATCTTTCTTCCGCAGCAAGTATCGACTCTTTGCAGCATCAAAATGCGGTTACTACTCGCATTCGCAGGCTGCGCGCTGGCCGCAAGGCTTGCTCACACGCCGAAGGCAAATTCTTCAGCCGCAACAATCCCCAGTCATGCCTACGTCCAGGTCGAGACAGACCCCAAGGGAGCCATCTGGCCGTGGAGAGTGTTCAAAAGCTCGCCCTACACTCCTCCCAACATGACCATCACCGTCAACCAAGGCGAGCTTGCAGACGGCTTCATCTTCATGACACCGGCGAACATCAATCTCTCCGCGCCGGCGGCAGAAATGGACGGCGGGTTCATCATGACCTCCGACAACGAGGCCGTGTTCGCGCTCAACACCTCCGGCATCACGGACTTCCGTGTCCAACACTACAAGGGCCAACCGTACCTCACCTATTGGAGCGGGTACAATACCGAGGGCGCGAACGTCGGCCACGGCTACGGACAAGTGAATTTCGTGGACTCTTCGTACAGCAACTTCAGCGTGAATCCCGATCTCGGTTTGAACAAGCTTGTGACTACGCCCGTCGCCAACTGGTCGATTGACATTCATGAGCATCTGGTCACTCCCTGGAATACGCTGCTAGTATCTGCATACAACAATACTCCTTGGGACCTCTCCCCATATGGCGGACCGGTTGATGGGTGGATCGCCGATTCCCTAGCCGTCGAACTGGACATCGAGACCTGGGAAGTCCTTTTCAAGTGGGTCGCGAGTGAGCATGTGCCGCTGAGCGAATCGCAACTGCATATCAACGCTTCCGCCGGAATTGGCACGATTGCCTCCCCCTGGGACTGGTTCCATATCAACGCCGGCGAAATGGTAGGTAGCGACTACCTGATCAACTCCCGCCACTGTTGGTCAACCTATTACGTATCGGGGACAAATGGTAGCGTTCAATGGCGCATCCAAGGCGTGACGGGCGGAGACTTCGGCCCCCTGCCAGCAGACAGCACCTTCTCATGGCAGCACTACGCCCGCGCGCACAACGTCACACCAACAGGCATGGACCTCAGCGTCTTCGACAACCACAACACAATAGCCGTCAACGGCACGCCCTCCAACGGCCTCGTCTTCCACCTCGAACTCCCCCCCAGCACATCCTACACTCCTCAACTCCTACGCAAAATCGAAACGCCGTCCGAACCCATCTACGCCGATAGTCAAGGCGACTACATCGTCGAGCTCAGCAACGGCAACCAACTCCTCGGCTACGGCCAGATCGCCATCACGCGCGAATACGGCCCAGCGACGGACGGCAGCGACTTGCGGTGGCAGGCGCAATTCGGCGGCCTGAATACCGTGCAGAGCTATCGGGCTTTCAAGCACGTTTGGCATGCCACTCCCGCCGCGTGGGACCCGAGTTTGGTCGTGGAGAGCGGGTATGCGTATGTGAGTTGGAACGGGGCGACGGAGGTTGAGGCGTGGAATGTGTATGTTGCGAATTCGACGAGTGCGAATGGTACGCTTGTGGGCCAGGCGGCGAAGGAGGGCTTTGAGACGGTGTTTGAGGTGCCGGCTGGGGCGGCGACGTTGCAGGTTGCTGCGGTCCAAAAGGGCGATGAGGTGCGGAGGTCGAATACCGTGCACATTGGGTCAGTCTGGTAGAGACATGATCACGAGCATCTGAATGGTAAAGTGGATTCAATCCTATGCAATAACTCGTCCTCCCTTCTAAAGCTCATGAGGTGGGCATCGTTGTCGCAACTCTTCTCTGCCCGAACCTCGCTCGTATCATCATTCGTCTTGCAAGGGATTCGCAGTGAAGTACCATTGTCGCCTGCAGACTTTTCCTGAGGTCAGGCCATAGATCGGGCATTCTTACTCACTCTAAAACACGGCAGGTACCGGCGGCCCCCAGACGGACAAGGCTTGCGGACCTGCTTGCGCTTTGCCCACGGGCGTATCACAGTTGACAACATCGCCATCGGCGTAATGCTCCTGGTATCTTTGTCAGTATCGTGAGGGACAATTGTAAACAATCCAACACTTACAACCATGAAGCCGCTCGTGTCAAACCAGTAATCAAACACTTGGCTCCCTAGGACGTGCTGGATGGAGGATGAATGTCAGTGGAAGAGTTTCAGCTGCACAAGCTGTACATCAGCACTTACCCTTCCCACGCCCCAGCACAGCTCGTAACCCTTCGACTCCAGATGCTGGTGGCCCAATTGCTGTACATCAAAATCGTGCACCTCAAAAGCCGCATGCGCGACATCCGGCTCCCCATCCGGCTTCACCGCCTTAAAGAAGAAGCAGTGATGATCGGTGTACTCGGTTCCCCGATCGATGTGAAAGAAGCAAGTGACCGGCACGCCGTCTCGGTAGACGACATCACTGGGCGCGAGCGTCAATGTCTTCGTGTACCAGTCGTACATGGTCTGATAGGCGCCGGTGGGATAGGTGACGCCATAATGGCCCCAGCGAAAGACGGGCGCCGGGCCTGGAGCGAAGCGCTGGAATCTGCCTTTGCGCGGCTTCTCGTCTTCAAAGTTGACGGTGAGTTTCTCCAGATGCGGTGCAGTGGTTGCCGGCTGCGTGGTCCAATCGTGGATGAGGTGTACTTGGTGGCCGGCGGGATCGGTTAACGTGATTGCCCGGCCGCCTCCTGGACCATCCAATTGCCGAATCTGCCCATCTCCGTGTGGAGACGTTCGAGCCTTGTCTAGGTCTGCGAACGAGGCTACGACATAGGCTGCGCCGCCAAAGTAGCTCCGCCCGGTCTGCGATTGATGGCAGACGTAGACGTATGGCTCCGAGCCGTAGCCGCGGAAATAGATTGTCTCTCCTGGCAGCTCACTAGCGATTGTCAGGCCAAAGTCCAGCATGAATGTCCGGGCTTTGTCGAGATCACGGTGGTAGTACACCACAAAGGCGGTTCGGAGCAACTGGATCCTATCGTCGGACATCGTTGCTTTGAATTGTGGTCACCGCGTCCACCGGCTTGCTTCCTTCGCACGGTACATGTATCTTCCCGCAGCGAGCGGAGTGATGCAGTCAAGCTCAGTAAGCAGATCACGGCGATGTTTCCGTTGTTGAGCAAGCTGGTTACACGTCAGTCCAGATCGCAGTGGCTGATCTTCATGGTGGTGCGTTTCCTCGCGGCCGGGTAATGTGGCATTGCCGAGCATGCGGCTGTTCAACCCTCCCACCAGCGAACGATGTTCCTAATGCCACGCACATTCTCCACACGGCTGTCAAGTCACGGCAGGTCTCTATCCGTGATGTAGAGACTGAAGAGATAGCAGGCCTACAATGGGCCTCCGTGAAGAACGTCGTCGAGGTGTTGCAATTTCTCACCGACTCCAACCAGCATGGAAAACCCGAAGATAGACGACACCGTCCCGGTGCTCATCATCGGAGCTGGTCCAGCGGGCGCTACACTCGCTCTTCACCTCGCACGGCTCAATATCAAGAGCCTAATGATCTCGAGGCACTCCGGCACGGCGAATACCCCCCGAGCACACATCTTCAATCAACGCGCGATGGAGGTTCTCAGGGACGCAGGACTCGAACCACGGCTAGAGGAAGTGGCGAGCCCCGCGCACCACATGCAACACACGTCCTGGTCTAATACGCTCAACGGCGACGAGTACGGACGAATGTGGTCGTGGGGCAGCAAGCCGTCGGAGAAGCATCGTTACGAGATGGCGAGTCCATGTGTCATGTCGGACCTGCCGCAGAGCCTTCTCGAGCCGATTCTCGTCGACGAGGGAATCAAACATGGAGTTACCGTCAGATTCAGCACCGAGTTCGAGCGACTCGAGGATCACGGCGACTACGTCCTGACGCTCTTGCGGGATCGGAAAACAGAACGACGATACTGGGTGCGGTCACAATATCTCGTCGGCGCAGACGGCGCGAGAAGTAGTGTACTCAATGCTTTGGAGATCCCTGTGGATGGAAAGCAGCTCAACAACGCTTTCAATGTTCACATCAAAGCCGACCTCACCAAGTACATGGTCAATCGCCCTGGCAGTCTCAATTGGATCCTCAACACGGATGCCCCGGAGTGGTCTGCTGCTGGGAATTTCCGCATGGTCCGGCCGTGGAACGAATGGGTGGTGTCGATGCATCCGGCGAGCGACCAAACATTCGAACCAACCATGAAGCAAATCGATAGTAGGTTGAGGCAGATGATTGGCGACGACAGTGTGAATATCGAGATCCTGTCGAGCTTCCGCTGGACAATCAACGACCAAGTCGCCCGCTCGTGGCAGAAGGGGAGAGTCTTGTGTATAGGCGATGCAGTGCATCGACACCCTCCTATCAACGGCCTGGGTAGCAATACTTGCATTTCGGATGCTTTCAACCTTGCCTGGAAGCTGGCATACGTCTTGAAGGGTCTTGCGGGGTCGGAGCTCCTCCAAACACTGACAACCGAGCGGAAGCCGGTTGGCGATGCTGTGGTACGCCGAGCGAATGATGGCATGCTAGCCCACCGTAGGTTGTGGGCGCTGCTGGGCTTGACGCCGCACGACCGGGATCAAGCCGTTAACCTGCTCAAAGCAACGACTCACGAGGGAAGAGAGATGAGGGCCCGGCTGCGGAAAGCCCTTGAAGCCACGGATGCTGAGCTGCAGGCGCTCGGGATCCAGATGAACCAAATCTACTCAAACTCCGCCGCCGTATACGCCGAACAAGACGACAGGGCTCCCGATCTCAATGGTTTTGACTTGCTCAAAGAAGTCGCCATTTCGACGTATCCTGGCTATCACTTACCTCACTTTTGGGTGGCTGCCAACGGACAATCTCCACGCACGTCTGTGCTAGACTTGTGCGGACACGGGCACTTCACCGTCCTCACAGGCGTGGGGGGCGAATGTTGGAAACACGCTGCCAGCGAACTGAGTCAGGAAGTCGCAGATCTCGACATGAAAGCCGTGTCCATTGGGTATGACTGCGACTACATGGATTGCTACCACGACTGGGGTAGGCTCAGCGGGGTCGAGGAGGATGGTGTGGTTCTCGTAAGGCCAGATCACTTCGTTGCTTGGCGATTTCCCACATCGTCTGCCGACGCGACCAGTCTGCTCCGTAGTGCTATGCTTAGAGTACTCTGCCGTGCGGAGAAGTGATGGTCATGTTCGCGTAGTGATAGGCTGGTACATTGAAAGATAGAGATCGATGCCACTCGCGGGGTAGAGAACCCCGCGCGGAGATGAATGCAATACCACATTACCCATACTGGCATCGAGACTGTCAGTCACGCGGTCGATCAACGGAACGAAGCCATGTAGAGGACATATGTAAAATGATCACCTCACGGCCGGTAGATTTCGACCTCGCACTCTCCCCACAGCCCTGTTCGTGACCGTTGCTCCTACCCCAATCATGGCCAAGACCGCATTCATCACCGGCGGGAATGGAATCACCGGGTCCGCGATATTGGAGTATCTGGTACAGAATACAACAGATCGGGAATGGAAGAAGTTCGTCGTGACGTCCAGGTCGCCTTTCAAGACCACCGTATCGGATCCGCGCATCGAGTTCATCGCCCTTGACTTCACCAAGGACGCCACGGAGCTCTCTTCCGCCATGCGAGGCGTGTGTGCGGATGTGACGCACGCATACTTCTCCTCCTATGTCCACAAGGACGACTTCGCGGAGCTGAACAAGGCGAATGAAGCGCTCTTCCAAAACTTCATCGACGCCCTTCTCCCCGTCGCTCCCAAGCTGGAGAACTGCACGCTGCAGACGGGCGGCAAGTATTACAACGTCCATCTGCATCCAGTCCCCTCGCCGGCTCGTGAGGAGGATCCGAGACTGGGCCGCCATGAGGACAACTTCTACTTTCCGCAAGAGAACATCCTCGCGGAGCGCCAGCGCGGACAAGCATGGGGCTGGAACGTGATACGGCCTGAAGCGATCATCGGATATACGTCGAAACCCAATGGCATGAACTCCGCCCTGACGTACGCATTGTACTTTCTCATCTGTAAGGAGCTGGGGCATGATGCACCCATGCCGACGAACCAGCGGTACTGGAGTGGAACGGACGATTGTAGCGATGCTGAATTGATCGCCGAGTTTACTATCTGGGCATCGACGAATCCCAAATGCGCCAACCAAGCGTTCAACATCGTCAACGGGGATCATTTGACCTGGCGGTATCTCTGGCCACGATTGGCTGAAAGGCTCGGTGCCAAAGCCTCGGTGAACCACGAATTCAAGAAGCCGGTTCCTGACGAAGGCGTGCCTCAACAAGAGTTCTCGCTCGCCGAATGGTCCAAAGATAAGCGCCCCGTGTGGGACAAGATGTGCGAGGCCGCAGGTGTGCCAGAAGCGAAGGCAACCTTTGACGCGGGTACTTGGGCGTACCAGGACTGGGTCTTTCAGCGATCATGGAGCGCAACGCTGAGCATGAGTAAAGCACGCAAGTTCGGGTGGCAAGGGTACAAGGATTCGTATGACTCCATCACCGACGCTTTTGCAAAGTTCAAAGAACTCAAACAGATTCCGTAACGTGTTGGGCAGTTGCAAATATGAGGTGTAGCTGTATCAAGTTCTGCCTGAGTGGCTCACGATTGACCGCTGGTTCCTTCGTGTTGATCCGAGTTTAATGTCTCCAAGTGTTGTGAGAAACATGTCTTTGACCGTATCGAATCGCGCCGTCTTTCGTGGTGGCGGCTTCAATATTCTGTCTTCCGGAAGTCTCCTGGTCCAGTCCTGCCGATGCACAAGCCTGAAAAAAAAGCTCTTCGTAGTCGTGCAACGCTACGCTACAAACTCAGGGGACTCTCGCAGTCAAACCACTCGCCACGTTCGAGCACACGGGGAACGGACGACGTGCAAGTTTGCGAGCAGCGGCTCCGAACGAAGCGCCTCCAAGCGGACTCAAAGCGTCGAACATGGCTGCACATTCCGATAACCATTGCCGGACGTCGAGATGATCTGCCAGGTTTTCGTGAGAAGGATCGCCGTTGCGACCTGCGTGCATCGTCCAAATGACGACAGCGGCATGATGGAGGCCACAAAACGCCAGGAAATTGAAACGTGAGCGCTGATGGATCTCACGGCGATGCTCGTCTCGAACGATCGACCAAATACTCCAAGCGTGCGAGCGCGCAAGTGAAGCCTGCTTACTGACCACCCACCTCTGAACTTTGGTCAAGATGGTGTGGTCCGCCGGGCGCTCCTCCATACAAGCGTAAGAGATGTGGTGGAGGTCCTGGAGAGATGTGAATAGTTGTAGGTGGCTGATGTGGTAGAGGAGCATGCCGCTCATTCGAGAGTCTCGTCGCGCGTCTGGACGAGCACGCCGCATGTCTCGATGCCATCGATGCAAAGCATCTACTAGCCTAGCATACCCAGATTGGAGATTGCTCATCCGTCGCGGCGTGACAGCCAGTGCATCTGGCCCATTGTCGCTGTATGAAGAAGTCATTAAGGAGCGAGAGTTGGAGATCGTATTCGAAGGGGGTGAATATTCGCCTGCAGTCTTAGGGTGGGCTACGGCGTCCCGCGTAGCAGAAGCAGAACACTCGTCGAATTCGCCGCTTGATGCCATGTGTTCCTTCATCTGGTGTAGAACATCGGTGTCTTGTGAGAATGACCATACAAGTCCTTGAAGCCCGAACAGGCATAACTCATAGCCAGCGGCCGTAAGCTGGGGTAGATCTTCGTCCCTTTCCAACGCAATATGCACCAAATCTGCGAAGTTCAGGGGGTGTTGCTCATCTTCGAACTGCTGTGCAACCAGCAATTGCTCCACTGTGAGGCATTTATCGTTGTGCCAGAGGCTGTCTGATCGAGGAAGAGTGATTCTGAATTCTTCGTAAGTCAGGTATGGCCGCGTGTTCAATAGTGTACTGGTGAAAACATCGGCCCTGAGAATGCCGAAAGCGAGCCTACGTTGCTGTTCCGCCGAGCTCCACGAAGATCTCTCCGCCGCAGCGGCCGGGGCGTGTGGCCTGCTTGTGGCAGCAGGATGCTTGGTCCGAGCAAACAGATTCATACGCCGTGCCTGTGCTACCAAGATAGCACCAAGGTGCTGCGCGTAGGAGAAAGCTTGCTTTTGGCCGAAGTAAAGGGCGGCTACTTGCGTCAATAATCTTGCGTGGCTGAGCCAGACGAGGTCGTCTTGGCCACTTTCCAGATCAAAGAGGGCAGCGCATAGTAGGCGACGTAGCCTCTCGTGCATGAGCGTGCCGTATCTCCGATCTTCCAAGCTACCGTACATGGCCCCGATCGAAGTTAGTGTCAAGTAACAGACAGGATGTAGATTGTCTGCATTAAACCCGTCCTGAGAGAACAATGGCCATAAAGGATTGAACTGTGCCATGTGGATGCTGACGAAGCCATTGAGCAGATGATGCGTAGCTGGTCGTGTCGGGTCGGTCGAAGCGGTGTAATCCGACCGTAGCTTCTCGAGGCGATGGGCTGCAGTGGTCCATGCATTACACCGATCCTCCGGGGAGGTCGAGACCGAAGAGACCGATGCAGCGTATGCCACAAGATCTTCCACAATGGAAGTCAAGGTGTCTTTTGGCCTCTGAGGAATATCCGCTTCCTCTACGGTAAAGGGCAGAACAGAACTGTGGTTGTAAACAGGGCCGCTGTCCGCGGGCGGGCCAGTTGACATTCGAATCGGAGCTACGTTGTTCAAGATTTGGTCAAACAAGGGTTCATCTTGGAGGTAGAGGTTCTCGTGAAGCCACGGCCAGGCAGTGGTCTCAAAACCGGCAATCTCACCGCTTGGCAGAGGGAGATAGCTCGACCCAGGCATCGTCGATTCAAGGGCGCAGTTTTCAACGTGCTGATGGTTAGGAGGTTCAGCAAAGTCCAGATTAGCAGCGGCGAAGACGTTGTTGGGTGATGCCTCGCTTGACCAGGGAGTGTCATCCGCACCGGCGTCCCCGGGTGGAGAAGTGTCTGCACCAAGTCTTTGATCTTGAGGAACAGCTTGGCTCACCCTGCCGCGGGCGGAGGCACTGCGACATTGCCTACCATGGATGGAGCAATCATGGCAGGGCACATTGCCATCACACTTGATGCGTGCGGCTCGACACGCCTCGCAGGCCGTATGGCATCGCTTCCTCGCGGTCTCGCCGACGGCATGGCTGGTGCGCAAGTGTCGTCGGAGCACGTCACGTCGGGCAAAGGCTACCTGACAGATGTTGCAGGTGTGAGGAAGGCGGCCATGGGTGTGGTTGTGCGCGTGACGCGTGAGCGACGTGCGTGTCTTGAACGCTTTGTGGCATTGCTCGCAGGTGAACATGACGTTCACGGAGGCGAATAGAGTTCATCCACTCATCTCCATATTGAGTCTATGCAGAACGGTCGTTGACTGACCGAAGCACGAGGTGTGTCAAGGTGTGAAGGGCCCGCCAAGGATGGAGATGCGGAGATGAGTTGCGGCTGTGCATTTCCACACCTGCGCAACCACTACAACGTACGGCACATTCGACGTCTACACCATGAACGAGCATCCTGCATCTTACAACATACACCAGAAGCACTACAATTGTGTGAAGACCACGTAGAGCTCCGAGTTCTGCGATGGGCATACTCCTACCAGATCAACTAAAGTCTATCGAATTCCGCAACGTACCAATGCCACCAATCCGGACTTCAACTACATCGTCATGCTTGAGGAAAGACGGCGGCTTCATGAAGAGACCGACACCGCCAGGGGTGCCCGTCATGATCAGTGAGCCGCGTTGCAGAGTCTGACCCTGGCTACAGAACGCAACCAGCTTCCGCACCCCAAAACACAGATCGGCGGTGCTGCCTTGCTGTCTCGTTTCGCCATTGACGACCGTTGTAAGCTCCTGCTGCCCAGCGTCTCCTAGGATCTCCGTAGATACCAAACACGGCCCGAGCGGTGCGTATTTGTCGAAGGACTTGCTGAAAGACCATTGCGGGACTGCGCCAGCCTTGCCCGGCTCCCTCTGCCAGTCGCGCGCCGAAACATCGTTACCGCAGGTGTACGCGGCAATGCAGCCCAGCGCGTCTGCTTCGCTGACGTCCTTGCAGTCTCTTCCGATCAACACCACCAGCTCGCCTTCGTAATCGCACTGGGATTGCGCTACCTTGGGGATCGGGATCGCTTCGCCATGGTTCGCAACGGCCGGGGCCGGTTTAGTGAAGACCGTGGGACATTCGGGAAGCGGACGACCAGTCTCTCGGATGTGCGTCTTATAGTTCAAGCCGATGCAGCGAATGATCGGAACCTCTTCGGGGCGCAGCGGCCCAAGTAGCCGCTGGACTCGATCCTCGCGGTCAGTTGGCCGAGCACTGAGGGCATCAATGCCTTCGCAGACCTGTACGGTCAAAGAACCTGCTTTGGCAAGCGCCGCGATGTCGTCGTCGGGTGATGATACGACGGGTCGACCGTATCGTTCCTGACCATCGTCTTGCGACACATACCTGACAAGGCGGTCCCAAGCAATCTTTCTTGATGCCATCTAGTTGCTTTGAGATGAGGAGTGAGCAAGGCTGCTTTCTGGGCGTACAAACAATGAGGTAGACAACAAGCTCATGTAGGGTATGATTCGAAGAATTCGTGAGAGCAACTCGGGACGGTCTCGCCATCCAGTGCGCGTCGATAGCGATTGAACAAGCAGTAACCAGTCTCGACATGATCGCACGGCTCTGATCAATTGCCGGAATGTGCCCCCCAATGCGATGCCACATTATCCGGGTGGCGCGGGGGACCGACAACCACGCGTTCCTCGTCTTCCAAGCAATACCACAAAACCCGACTGACGGCCTGGACCAACCACGCGGAAGACGTCCGGATCGATGAGGCCGCGGGTCCGCACCTCATCGTGAGCTGAGCAAGTGATGCTGTTTAAGTTATAGCGACAGCTATGTTGGCTTGCCCAATGCCTCACACGCTCGCGACCCCCAACGAACCATGGAATCGCTAAAGACATTCATTCACCAGTCGATGCGTTCGCCATTGCAACTGGCTATCACCGTAGTGCTGCTCTACTGCATAAATGCCGTCCGTAGCATTATTGTTCTGCCGCAAAGGCAACGATCGCTGACCGCTTCCAGGTCGGATATGCCTTCTTCTTCTCGCCGGTTCGACATGTGCCAGGTCCCTGGTGGGCGCGGCTGTCGAAGCTCCCATTGCTCCGGGCGACATTGCAACGTCGACGTTCGCAGTATGCGTCGGACTTGCTGGCCAAGTACGGCACAGTGGTTGTCATTGCCCCGGATCAAATCCATACGACCGACGAGGAGGCCATGAAGATCATTTACAACCGCCACTCGCGCAAGACGAGTTTCTACAGCAACATGGGAAGTTGGAAAGGCGTGACGTCCACGCTTGGCTTCATCGACTATCCAAGCGCTGCACCTACGCGGAACAACCTGATTCAGTGCTTCCAGAACAAGAACCTCGCCACTCTCGTTGAAAACATGTCTTCTCACATTGGCGAATTCTGTGATGTGTTGAGGGCGAAGGCCGGCCAGGATATCGATGGCGTTGTGCTGTTTCGATTGCTTGCGTTAGACATCGTCACAGACGTCCTGTGGGGCGAGAGGAAGACGCTGCTCTCCGAGATGTCGGACCAGACGCCTGTATTCCTACGCCGCTTCCATGCCTTCAGCTCTTACAACGCGATGAAAAGCTTCATCCCTGGTTTCGACACATTCGTCAGAATCGTGGGCTCTGCAAGGTGGCGACAGCTTCGACAAGACTGCAGCGACATGGACGTTACAGCGAAAGAGGCGCTGGAGCGGTGGGAGAGCGAGCCGAAGCATCGCGACCGGGATGTACTCAGTATGCTACGATCGATGGATGCGGCCGAGGATGAGCGCAAGCGGGTGCCAAGCGAACATATTCCGGCTTATATGGTGGAGATGCTGGCCGCCGGGAGTTCCACCACCTCACATACCGCAGCGTTCACGTGCTGGGCGCTGACAAAGAACCCTGAGGCTGGCAAAAAGCTTGAACAGGAACTGAAGGACGCCTTCCCGGGGGAAATTGAGGAGCCACGGCTCATGGACCTGCCATATCTCGATGCGGTCATTCGCGAGACGATGCGTTTGATGCCCATGATCCCAGGACCGTTGGAGCGGTACCTTGGGGAGAGCGTGGAGATTGACGGGATTAAGGTAAACTTGATTGCCCAGCCAGGTTGTACTGTAAATGCTGACAGCGTGATGTACAGATCCCTGCCGGTGTTGTGGCTTCAACTGCAGCCCGGGACCAGGGCCAGATGGCAAGCGTCTTTCCACAGCCCGAGAAGTGGATGCCGGAACGGTGGCTTGATGCTTCCGATCGAATGCATCTGAACTGGACACCCTTTGGCTTCGGTAGTCGGTCTTGCCCCGGCTCTAACCTCGCCATGACAGAGCTCAAATACATGATCGGCATCATCTTCCGGCAATTTCGCGTTGTTGAGCCAGGTGAGGCCGGACACAAACAGGAAAGGCTTGACCTTGCAGATGTGTTCGTAGCTGGTGAGAGGAGCGGGCATTGCTGGCTGAGGTTTGAGCTTTTGTAGCCTCGTAGCCTTCGTATGCCAGTTAAGGGCCAGAAAGCCGCTGCATTTCTCCTCTCTGGAAATGTCGGGCAGGGTGTGGAATACAAGACATCACTCCAGAAGCGAAGCTGGCAGTTCAAACTGCTTGTGGATATGTCCCTTCATCGTATCGCCTTCTTCCGGCCGTTGCGGAAGACCAGAAGGATTCTTCATTTCTGGCGGATTCGTCTCAATCTCAATCGTAACCTATCGGGTTGAATGTCAGCGCTACCCTCACAGCATGAGACCGATGGAAGAGCACTGGTTGATAAGGACGAACCGCTTCATCCAAACAGCGGTAGTCTACACCTACCGGCCCATCGTTCACCAGTCCGACATCCATCATGGCTTGGAAAACGCCGTCTTTGACCCGGTCCTCGTGGTAGAGAGAGCGGACCTTGCCGATGAAAATGTCGTACAACTCCTTTCCTTTAGCAGCCGGTGCAGCTTTGTGGAAGTCGGGTTTGTTGCCTTTCTTCATCGTCGCTAGCAGGGTGAATTGAGAGACTGGATGCAGCATCATAGTGAGTTTGCGAACGGGCGTTGTATGCTGAACGACAGCAGTACGCACCACAAAGCACCTCGCCATCAATCTCCTGCACGTTCTTCTTCCATTTGCCGCCGTTCTCATCATCCCAAAACTTTGCCTTCAACACTTTGCTGGCCATCGACTCCACTTCCTTGGGTGTGTCATCCTTGCCAACAGCAGCGAAAATAAGCAGGCCTTTGGAGATGGTGGAAATGAGTTGGCCGTCGACCGTTACCGAGGCGGATTTGACACGTTGTATGACAGCTGAAGAGAGTTAGCAGATAGTCGGCGGATGCGGGTAGAAGACATACTCTTCATATTCTGGTCTATTTTAGGGATGCATTGAGGCGTGCAATACGATGCCGACCATGCGAACAAGGCGTATTGCCCTTGTATGGATTAGCTTGGCAACGATTGTACAAACAACCAATGACTAGGCACACCTGTAGATAGACTTCCAAGAGATACGGTACAGTACGAATGAGGCCGGCGCGGGTCACGGGGACAGTGGAGGAAGCGAGCGGGAGAGTCAAGTGAGGTTCTTATCGACGCCGACGCTCGTCATTGGTCGCCCGGACTGCAGCTCTTGGCGTTTCCCGCAAGCGCCTCGCCTGCAGGGTCCGCGACAAGAAGCTCAAATGGGCCGCAACGCGACGATCGCATCAAGCCTCGCGACGTATTAATCTTCCCTTTGCTCTCTCAAACCCCCTTTCGCGATTCTTGTGCAACCCTGTCCACCCCGCGCGACTGATCCGGCCCGGACGTCGCAAACGAGAAAGCTCCAGGTGGCACCCGCTGCCGGTCCTACACACCACCCCCAACCCCAACACGAGCGCCGACACCCGGTCGCGCGCGCACACCTTCCATCATGGCGGCACGGAAACTGCAACAGGAGATTGACCGAGAGTTCAAGCGGACGGACGAGGGAATAGAACTCTTCAACTCCATCCACGACAAGCTGCTCGGCTCGCAGAACCCGTCGCAAAAGGACAAGCAGGAGGACTTGCTTAAGAAGGAGATCAAGAAGCTGCAGCGGTCGCGGGACAAGATAAAGTCATGGGCGGCGTCGAGCGAGATCAAGGACAAGAAGCCGCTGCTGGAGAAGCGGCGGGCGATTGAGACGTGCATGGAGAAGTTCAAGGCGGTCGAGAAGGAGATGAAGACCAAACAGTACTCCAAAGAAGGCCTGTCCGCCGCGGCCAAACTGGATCCGAAGGAGAAGGAGAAGATGGAGGTGGGAGATTTCCTGACGGACATGGTGGACAAGCTCGGTCAGCAGATTGAGGCGCTGGAAGCCGAGTCGGAGGTGCTGCAAGCGGGCATGAAGAAGAAGAAGTCGGATGGTGGCAAGGCGGACCGGGTGGGCGAGTTGGAAAAGGCCATGGAGCGGCATAAATGGAACATCAGCAAGCTCGAGATTCTCGCACGCGCTCTTGAGAATGGAGGCGTCGAGGTAGAGCAGGTGAAGGACATTGAAGAATCCATCCGGTACTACGTCGAGCAGAACCAGGAGGTCGACTTTGTGGAAGACGAGGCCCTCTACGATGATCTGAATCTGGAGGAGGAAGAGGATTACTATGGACTGAACAAAGACGATGACAGAGATGGCAGCCAGGACGCCCTGAGCACGCAGGATGAGCCGCCGGAGAACGACGGTCCGCACCGTACGAGCAGTAACAGCGCAAAGGCGAAATCGACATCTGTCTCGGAAGGTTCTGGCCCGGCGCGAAGATCAAGTGTCCAGATGAAATCACCGCTTCCGGCCCTGTCAACATTACATTCCAGTCTACCCAGCGGGAGCCTCAGCGGCAAGCCCGTGGAGTCAATGAAGCCAGCACCTCTCCCCACCATTCCTACTGGCCAAACGTTGAAGTATGCTTCGGCGGCCGCGGCGGCAGCAGCGAGCGATAAGAGTGGTATAGGTATTGCGCCGTTACCACCACCTCCGGGAGCGTCAAAGACGAGCGAAACCAGCTCGCCCGCAGTATCCGCAGCGCAGCCGGTAAGCGTGGCTCCCTCACCCTCGCAAGCACCACCTCCTCAACCAGCAAAGGCGGTCGAAGCCGCAAAGCAGCCTTCTCCCGCACCAGCAATAGCGAAAGAGGTGCCAAAAGCGCCCGAACCCGCCGTTTCGCAACCTTCAAGAACGTCTTCAATCAAGCCGTCTCCACAGATCGCGCAAGCACAGCCAGCCGCAGTACCAGAGTCGAGCAGCACTTCCAGCTCAACACGCGCACCGGAAGGCAGCACCGCAGCATCGTCGCTCGCCAACGGCGAAGCACCCCAACAACAGCTTCCCGCGCCATCAGAAGAAGAGGAGGAATCCATCTATCACCTCCCCTCCTCGCTCGCAGACCTCCTCGACTCCTTCGAAGAAACCGCCGCGCGCTCCACCACCAGCAACCCCTTCACCGACGCCGTGCCCCTCCTCAACACCTCGCGCCTCACAGCGCCCACCCCCCTCGACGCCGAGAAACCCGCGCACTACCAACCCACCACCCGCTATCCCTACACGCTGCCCTCCTACCCGCAGGAACCGCTCGGCATCTTCGACGACCCGCGCCTGTACGGCCGCATCGACACCGACTCCCTCTTCTACGCCTTCTACTACCAGCAAGGCACGTACAAGCAGTTCCTCGCGGCGAAGGCGCTCAAGAGCCAGAGCTGGCGCTTCCACAAGCAGTACCAGACATGGTTCCAGCGGCACGAGGAGCCGAAGAATATTACGGAGGAGTTTGAGCAGGGGACGTATCGCTTCTTTGACTATGAGAGCACATGGTGAGTTCTTTTTCCGTCTTTGTTGACTGTTGGGTTTCGGAGAGATCATGCGTGCTAATTGTTGGATCGCAGGATGAACCGACGGAAAGGCGACTTCAAGTTTGCGTACAAGTTTCTGGAAGATGACTTGTAGCTTGCTGCTGCTGTTACCTTCTTGAGAGGAAGGAGGAATGTAGCTGTATCAAGGAAGAGAGCCTTGCGCTGACACCATGGTGGACGAGCTGCAGGACATTTCTTCATGATACCAAATTCACACGCTTTTTGGCCGCTTTTGGGCAACCATGCAAACGCATTATCGCACGCCATCTTTCGTTTCGATCTGTAGATGTGCATGGGCAGCTGATAAGAATACGCTCGTGAGAGTAGACGCCTGGTCTGAGGTTGATATGGTGATGATGCATGCATGCGAGGTGGGTATCTAACAACCGCAAGCCATGGCCGTAATGGCGACACAACGGCGCCTGTATGCGATCTTCGGTCCTGAGCTGTATATCTACCCTGAACGATATCACCTTCTCGCCGATCTTCGTGGATGACCCTCCCATGCGGAGCACACCCGCCTATCTTTTGGACTTGGGAAACATCTTGTCGAGAAGGTCATCGTCAAAGATCTTCTTCTTGCCCGTTGGCTTGACTGCCACGTTCAACTCGGTCCTCGCGTCGAGCGAAGTACCAGGAGTGTCTTTGCGTTCGACAAACCCAGCGTCCTGTTCGCTTTCAGAGTCCTGGGCGACGTCTTGCGTTCGCGACTTTCTGCTCTTGCGTTTGGGCGCAGCATTGCCATTGTCGGAACTCTTGCTCTGGTTAGAAGGGGCCTCTGCAGTTTGGCCTTCTTCAGATTGCGAGTGCGTAGTTCCAGACTGAGAAGACGGCTCCGCTTGGAATCGCTCAGGATGCAGATACCTCTCCAGCGCCTCGCCAAGAACTGCCTCCGCACGCTCTCCTCGCTCCCTCTCTCGTCGTAATTCCTCCAGTTGCTCATCGTCATACTCGCTCTGCGGCCAGCCTGCACGTGCAGAGATCTCAAGTTGACGGCGCAGCGCGTCTCGATACGCTGCTCTGCGCGCCTCGTCGGCTTCCATGTCGTGGGCTTCGTCTTTGTCGCCGTACTTTTCGAAAATCTCTTTGAGCACTGCTTCGGCACTGTCTACGACTCTTTGGCAGGCCGAAGAGCCTGACAATCCTCGGATGTATTGCAGTAAGGCTTCGTTGTGCTCAGCGGGGAGTTTGTCGATGTCGAACAGGTTCTTGAGAAGATCGTTTTGCTTCTTCTTGTTGAATTTCCAGGATGGTCTGTCGTTGTGGAAGAGTTCGAGGTAAGTCACGAAAGCGGGTCCACTGCCGGATATCCCTGAGCGAGGCTCGATGCTGGTCTTCGACGCCGGTGATTGAGTTTTGACTTTGCCAGCTTTCGGCTTACGTTCTTTGTCGTCAATCTGCTTCGAAGATGGTGGTTGCTGGGATTGCTGGGCTTTGAGTTCAGAAGACCACTTGTTGAACAGAGTCGACGCGCTGAATCCGTCTTCTTGTTTGGTCTCTGGTGTGAAAGTGACTGATTTCCTTCTCGACTTTGACTTTTCGTGTGTCGATTGAGTGGTGGAATCAGAGCTGCCGTCTCTCGATAATGAGCTGCAAGGATTGTCAGCGGGATTCACGTCGATACCAACCGCACACAAGATGCAATGAATTACAACAGCTTACAAAAGCGGCGGTACCGCGATTGTGCAAAGTGTATTCAACGTTGCAATTTCGATGCGATGCGATCATGCGAATCGTCATGTGATGGGGACGGGAAGAGAAGTTTGCCAACTCACGATTCAGTGCCTTTGTCATACACTTCCTCTGATTCAACGGGCGGTCTTTCCTCGGTGATGGGGATTTCGACGCTCAGTTTCGCAGCTTTCCTGGCAGTGGGCGGCGGAGTTGAAGCGACATCACCACTCAATGGCGACTGAGAGTCATTCGAAAGGTCTTCTGACAACTTTCGCTTCCTAGATGACGTGGCTTGTTCCACAGCGTGCTTGTGGTCATCTCCATTGGTCGAGGCGGGCAAGACGGGCGGCTGCTGGGGATTGTGATCGAGCACAGGGCTTGGAACATCCTCCCTCGCGTACTTCAACTTCAGACCAAGCCGTTTCCATGCTGGTACATGTTTCACCGCCAGTGGTGAGCCAATCAAGCTTGCCATCACACGCCGTTCCCTAGTTGTTCGTCAAGAGTTGCATGCTGCAGACATGGATGTCATGAGTGAAGTGTCTCGGATTGATATTTTTGGCACGTCAGCCACGCTTGGCATCAGCCACAGCGTGGCGCTAAGCGTAGGCAAACAGCAGCTTGCGCGGTTTCACCTTTCCATCACCGCCTACCGCGTCAAGCTTCCACGCCCTCCACTCACTCTCCTCCATCATCTCCCCCTGCCACCCCACCATCCATCAAGATCTCACGCTACCCTCCCACGCACAGCCTCGACAGCCACATTCCCCGACTGCTGACGAAACAACGCAAAGATGTCGGGTGCGTCCATGATGGAGTCCAAACGCTGCTGAGCTTCCGCTAACGCCAGCCATGATGCTGCAGGCAGTGCAGGCTTCGACAGACACATCACCATCTTCTCCGACCAGGGGCGCCTCTACCAAGTCGGTGCGTGTGCATGCATGCGTCTGCCCTCCCACCACTCACGTGCTAATGCGGGCCCGTTCTATTTCAGAGTATGCCTTCAAAGCCATCACCGCTGCGAACATCACCTCCATAGGCGTTCGAGGAAAGAGCTGTGCCGTCGTCATATCACAAAAGAAGGTTCCTGTACGTCACAATCCTTCCCCACCAAGACGAGACCGGATGCTGACGAGTGGTTGTGCTGCAGGACAAGCTGATCGATCCCGCCTCCGTCTCCTATGTCTACCGGCTGTCGCCCTCGGTGGGCTGCGTCATGACCGGCTCCATCGCCGATGCAAGAGCATCAGTCAATCGAGCACGAGGGGAGGCGGCAGAGTTCAAGTACAAGTTCGGATACGAAATGCCGTGTGATGTGCTCGCGAAGCGTCTGGCCAACATCTCGCAAGTGTACACGCAAAGAGTAAGATTACCCGGGCAGTGCAAGACGGCATCACGGCAGGCTAATTGCTTCCAAAGGCATACATGCGCCCACTCGGAGTTGCGACGACGTTGATTTCCGTGGACTCGGAGTATGGTCCACAACTGTACAAGTGCGATCCGGCGGGCTACTACGTGGGATACAAGGCCACAGCATCCGGCCCGAAAGCGCAAGAAGCCCTAAACTTCTTCGAGAAGAAGCTTAAGAACAAGGACAACGCGGAGGGCACATGGGAGGATGTGGTGGAGCTCGGCATCACCGCGCTCAGTACCGTCTTGAGCGTGGACTTCAAAAAGGGCGAATTGGAGATTGGCATCGTCGGCGGGCCTCGATCGGGCGGCGCAGACGGCACGGATCCCGGCTTTCGATCGCTTACGGAGGAGGAGATTGACGAGCGATTACAGGCCATAGCTGAGAAGGACTAAGCATTCGAGGGACCGCCATAGCACGCTTGTGGCTTTTCTTCGTGGCATGCGCATGATGAAACCAGCAGCGGGAAGCGGTGGAGAGAGCAGACCACACTTTAGTCGTGGCTTAAGGCGCAGCATACGCCTCAAATGCGGCGCGGACGAATCTGATTGGTCGATGAACGCCCAATCACCTGACCGTCAAGTCCCAAAGAGTACAAGCGGCTCAGCCTCTAAACGCGATATCTACCACAATCCTCCACCTCACCGGCCTCTCCGTAACTCTCCAGTGCTTGATTGGATTCCTCTTTCACATGGAAGCACTCGTAATCGTCGCGCCATGGTCTCCACCGTCGCTGCATTGGTAGTCGCAAGCCACACGCAAGCAGCACAGCGTCCATTACGGAGCAACATTGAATCTGGGCATGGCTTCCTCCCCAGTCGAGCATGACCGGGGACGGCTAAAATGAAGGGATGCATAGGGAGAGCAAATCACAGCGCGCAAGGCGCCAGCCAGGTCGACGTCGCTTAGCCTTGCCCGTCCACCTCGGCGAGGCTCCACGCTGTATGACCTGACTCTCCTGCGATGGCTTTTCGCGAGCCGCCTGAACGCCATACCCCCTTGTCCTATGAGTCCTTCCAGAAGCCTGGCGCATCGAAGGAGTCTAAAGGCTGTCGGCCTGCTAAGCAATCGTGGCTTTTCTCCACCTCCCCATCACATGGCTGCGACACGGGCCGAGTCCTCTTCCCTCATGTCGCTTTCGATGTTGATGGCGGTGGGATCACATATGATTCGAGGCTTGCACCTGCTCGACTCCCGAATCATTGGTATGTCCACCGCCAGCCACCGTCCTCCTCAGGATTTCTCGTCGCTGCTTGAAACACTGCGAATGTGTGGGACAGTACTCCTCGTGCATTCAAATAGGACGAGCATCTGCTGCTCAGGTGAGAGCGAGCCCAACCTAACCCATCTCCATTCCTTTCGTCTTGTTGCTCCGTCTAATGCAGCGCTCAGTCCATCGAAAGCGTCTCTCGATTCGACAAGTGACCATGGCAGACGGCCGTACGTCCCACTCCCACCCATCCCCCAGCCTTGTCAACCCTCCTAACGATCCCTCTTGCCGCACACACAGTCAACAGTACACGAGCGATGCGCATCGTCGAGATCATGTCCGACTTTCGCGAAATCCAAAGCTTCCTCTCCAACATTCGCGCCAGCCCTTCCGCGGAAGACTACAACGCTCCCGGCTACGTCGTGCTGCGTCGATGTGTTGCGCAAGCAGAGGCATTACTTGCCCAGCCGTTCAGCGCCGACACTTCGCCGTATGGAGAGGATGACGAGGATAGAGCGCAATTGCAACGGTGCGAGTTGTTCAGCGTTAGGGTGTGGTCGATATACTGACATCTATCATGAACACACAGCATCATTACCGACGCCGCAGTACGCCGCTTCAAAGCGAAGAAGATCGCACTGTACAGCACCGCTGCGCTGCGATGGATTCAGTCGAGACAGATACTGCAAAGTCAACTACCAGAACCTCAACTTACGGCCGCGCTGCAGCAGCTTGATAACCGGTTAGGTGCGGTACGTGGAGAGTTGCGACCAGCCGCGGTGCTTCCTGTCCTGCGCTCGCCCACTGATACATCGGAGTAGGAATTGTCGGCCATTACCGACGCGCGAGTGGAGCGGATGATGCGCGATGCGGATGTCGAGGAGGGCAAATGGCTGAATGAGGACCCGAGTTTGGCGGCTATCCAGCATTTGGTGGGCAACGTTAACGGCCATAATTGATGGAATGCATGATGGGATGGATCAGCGCAGGCGCGATTCGTCAGGGCAAAGGGAAAAGCAAGGCATTGGGATTGATATCGAGCGTTTCTGCATTGTCGCTGCATGGTAATTATAATTTTGAAGCCGATGTCCGCTCCTTTGCATTGGTCATTCTTGTCCGCCCTCTGCTTTGACATTGTCGCCTCTTGCATATGTGCCATCGACATTGAAGCGTCCTTGGAAGTTTTTGAACTTGCCGCGCGCGAGGTCAAATAAATAGAAGACGAGTAGAAAGAGACATGTATTGCTGACTTGCCTCTCGCCATCGATGGCTCACGCCCCTGGCAAGGCAACATCTCATCGTGGATGGCAAGATGAGGTTTCCGGCCACGCTCTCGACTTATGCCACGCCGTGTCGGCAGTGCAAGTTCGCGTGCAGTTGACTTGTGGATTGCGGATACGGACTGCTCTCCGGTCATTTCGGCCACGAAAACACGTGCCGTCGGATGCCCGATCTGTCGAGCAGATCCCGATCCTGGAGAGCTGCGTCATCCCCGGCAGTGAATGCGCCTGCTGATTGGCCCGTCGCGTTTCCCAGACCCACATTCAGGTAGGAAACCGACATCTCGTCTGGGATAGCCGAACACTACACAGCATCGATTGTCCAGTCAGAACGGGTGCAGAGGCAAGCTAGGGTGCTTCTATCATGGGTGTCCCCAGAGGCGCGGACGGCGATGGGGCGGAAGATGCGGAGGAAAGGGAAGGAAGCAGGCAATGCAGGCATCGGCGATGCATGGGATGCGCGCCAAGGCGGCTGTTGCGCCGCTTAGAAATGCACGCCCCCTCCAGGGCATCGAGTCTTTTCTTTATATTTGAACCTCTGATGACCGCATCGTCTACGTCACCCGTGTCTCGTTTGCATCCATCTCACCACCGCACTCACCAGGCTTGGAAGAGAGCAGCCACAGCATTGAGCGGCAGGTCACATTGTACTGCGCCTCTGATACTCGACTGCCGCCCGCACCCCAGCACTTCTTGCCCGTCGCCGCCGGAGCGAGCGCGCCTGGAAACAGCAGAGGTTGCGTCACACAGCCCTTTTGCAGCCTTGTCAATTGCCTTGTCTCATTACAGAGGGGGCCATTGGTTCACACAGCACGGTACGTTCCTACCAGCGATGAATTTTTGATGGAAACCGATGGCCACGATGCTCGGTCGAGCGCCTTCGCGGTCGCGCGCGTGGTCGCCTTCTCGCAACGCGGGTGGCGTTGCGACGAGGATACACTTCACTCATCCCCGCCCGCCATCCACCATCCCCGCCTCCATCAAACATTCATCGAGATATCGCGCGGCAAGCAAAGTGCTAACGGTCTACGCCCCAGAAGCCCAAAGAAAACAAAGAGCGAAAAGAAATCCAGAACAAAGACACGCGCCGTCGCTAAAGGGAAAAGCAAGCCGAGCGCAAAGCAGGATCGCCCTCTGTCACCACATCCCGGGAAACGCCAATTCAGCCCGCATCTCTCCTACGTCATCGCATACCATGGCCGCCGTTGCGACTCGACACTCCAACAACAACTCACCGCACCTTGGCGGCAAGAGCATGACATCGTCGCCACGCTCAACTCGCAATTCCCATCAACCCTCAGGTACGTCGCCGTCGCTCGCGCCACGTGATCCCCTCGCACCTGTCATCCACCATCCTCCTTCACTTCACTCCATCCCCTCCTCCCCACCAATGCGCCTCGTGGTGGCGATTGCGTTGCGACACTCCATCTCCCATCTCACTGCCCCGTCGGCGCGTCGCTCTGCACCGCTCATAAGCATGCGCGCCGTCCAGTCGCTTTGCTGAGCCTTGATTGATGACTGCGCTGCATTCGCAAGCCCTTCGCGCCGCCCGACCTCACGCTAACCATCTCTGCGCATCGCCAGACTCCACCGTACCTGCCGTCAAGCAGCCCGAAGCCGAGACTGAGACCGCCGGGAACAAGGACGGTGCTGCGACAACCACCGCGCCTCTCGCGCCGCCGCCAAAACCGACTCAAACCGGTGAATCCGAGTATTTCGGCCACCCCAGTCACCTCTCCAAAGAGCCCAATCCCTTCGAGAACGCATTCGGCAACCCTGCCGACACGCCCGGCAAGACGGCCCTCCCCGGCGTGACGAGTCTGACCTCACCCGCATCACTACTACCCGGCAACACGCCTGGCTGGCCCGGATCTCTACGTTCGGGACCTCTCAGCCCGGCCATGTTGACCGGCCCGACAGGAAATAACGATTACTTCAACAGCGACCATCACTTTGCCGGCAGCTTTCCCACTCCGAACGAGTCGTCGCTACGCAGTGGACTGACGCCTGGTGGAGGCGGGTCCATGTTCCCGCAGCCCTCACCCAACTCCCAAGCGCTCTACAATCAACTTCAGAGTGGCGGTGCCACACCCGGGACTCTCGATTTCCACCGCACGGCGATGACCGCGAGGGCCCAGACGCAATCGAAGAACTATAACATACCCCAGAACAACGTCACATCACAACCCCAGCAAGGCTCCAACATCCAGCCCGATCTCGACAGCAAGCCCTACCCAACCCAGGATAACCAAGATCCCTTCAGCTCGCACCAGACCAACGACGCTGCGAACGGATTGTTCATGCTTGCTCAAGCCGGTGGCCAGCGGAATAACTCGCAGTACCAGATGCAGCCACAACAACAACAGCAGCAGCAACAGCAGCAGCAACAACAACAACAACAACCGAACTATTCCGACAAGCGTGGCAGCAAGGCCGTCAGCACTATGTCCGGCAGCACTGACGGTGCCGATGAACAGTACACCGACGAAGACAGCAAGCCGCAGACCAAATCGAAAGGAAAGAAGGGGTCCACCGGCAAGTCTGCACAGAATGGCAAGAGAAAGACGGACGAGACGCCGAGCAAGGCTCAAGGCAATAAGCGACAGCGCGCAAACACCATGCCGAGCGACGACGAGAATATGGACATGCAGGATGATGAGGAGGAAGAGGGCCCGGACGGTAGAAAGATGACGGACGAGGAGAAGCGCAAGAACTTCCTCGAGCGCAATAGGTAAGATCGCCGATGCGACGCCATGATGACCGATGGCTAACAATTGTACAGGGTCGCTGCACTCAAGTGTCGTCAACGGAAGAAGCAATGGCTTGCCAACTTGCAGCAAAAGGTGGAGATCTTCAGTTCGGAGAACGACGCGCTGGCTGCCACCGTCACCCAGCTCCGCGAGGAGATTGTCGGACTCAAGACTCTCTTGCTCGCACACAAGGACTGTCCGGTGTCGCAAGCTCAAGGCATCTCTGGAATGGCGATGCAGCAAATCGCCGGCGACACCCAGCATTATGCGAACCCGTACGGCATGGCCATGGGACAGCAGAGCCAGATGGGTCAGGCGAATATGCAGAGGAGGTGAGCCACCCGCTCACCTCTTCACATCGACTTCGACACTGACGCCGGTCCAGCTAGGGGCTCTCTGCAGCATCGCCACTGAGCACTGACACTACTGTTCCGTCCAAGTCTGCCCACGACATGGAAGGACTGGACCCGGCACTGTTGCTGCAAATTCTGCCATTATCGCACGGATCCTACTTGTCCGTGTGAAGGCGTATTCACTTCTATAATGTACAAAACGCGGCCTGTTTTCGTTGGGACAGACGGAGTTTCGAGAGGATTGCACAAAGGAGGATGGGCTTGACCAATGCGAAGGACAGCCCGTTGTGGGCGGCGTTGGGTGGTATACATGATTGGGGTGGGAAAAGTGTGACGATTAGCCCGTGGACATGCCTCGTAGTTACTTGATCGAACAAGACGTATGTTGAAGTTGAAATTAATCATTGTGAAGAAACAATCTGTCTGTCACTTGCCGCTCGTGGTGGGAGAGTCGTGCTGCAGTCGAAAAAGAGTTGCCCCACCATGACTTGCTCCCAAACAACCCGGCGGCCCGCTGCGCGTCACTTCAACCTCACCCGCGCGCGTCGCAACACACCCCAACACCCCCCACGCAATCGCAATGACCTCGACCCACATAGCATGACCACCAGCACGCGAGAAGAACGCGTGGAAAACGCGCTGAACCAACTGCTCGAGCGCCTCGTGCCCCCGCACCCCGACGAAGACGAAGCGCTCGCCGACCAACGCTGGGACGAGGCGAACGAGCTCGCGCGCGCCTGCCTGCACCACGCCGACGCCGATGCGGGCGTGGTCGAGGATGTCAATCATGCGGCCGACTTGATTAAGAGGAGGTTAGTGCGGGACGGAGGGGACGCGACGGCTTTTGGCAATTTGTACTCGCGTTTGCTCGCCCAGCCGGTGTTGGCGAAGAAGTGGGGGATTCTGTACTTTTTGTTGAAGGTTGCGGAGGGTGGGGGGAGGGAGGATGATGGGCTGGTGGGGCAAGAGATGGAGGACGAGGATGCGTCCGTGTATACGGAGGCTTTTGCTCGCAATGGGTTGCCGAGAGGAGGTGCGGCGCAGGCGCGAGACAGTCCGCGGCTGTTTGCTGTGAGCGATGCGCCTGTTCCTGCGCGCCCGAAGGCGCACGCGGTGCAGATGCCTGCGGCACCGGTGGAACTGGATGGCGCTTTGCTGCCGACGGAGTCTGCTTTGCTGCGCGACTTGCCTTTTACACTTCAGGGTTTGTCTTCGACGAATCTGGCTTTCTCCGACAAGAATTCGCTCAAGTTGCCGCCGACACTCCCCGTGCCGATCTTGTCGCTGTTGCATACGCTTGCTGAGCCGTCGCTGCTATACCGGTCTCTCTCGGAGTTTGTGGAGTCCTCGGAAGGGGGACTGGTGGGTCAGAGTTTGCGGGCGGCCATTGGACTGGAACTGCGCTCGTACCTGGGGCTTGTCGCTACGCTTGAAGGACACATTCGAAGAGCACTGTCGCAGCTGGACGAAAATGCGCCGAATGGTGGTCTAGGAAAAGCTGGAGTGACTTTGAAGCGCTGCGTGATTTGGACGCGGGAAGCGACGCTGGGCCTTCGTCTGATGAGCCTCATTGTCGACTCTTCCCGAGGCAAGAAAGGAGGCGAGCTCATCAGCCTCATACACAACTTCTCCTCATCACACGGCGACCCCTTTGTGCATACTTTTGCCGAAAGGCTACTCACTCACATCACCCGGCCCTTCTACAGCATGCTACGAGCTTGGATCTACGACGGCGAATTGGAGGATCCGTATCTCGAGTTCTTCGTGCAAGAGAATCAAGAGCACGAAGACAGTGGCGCGACCAGCGTGTGGGAGCACAAGTACCGCCTCAGCCACGCTATGATCCCCTCCATTGTGACGGAGGAGTTTGCCAACAAAGTCTTCCTCATCGGCAAGAGCTTGAACTTCATTCGCTACGGGTGCGCTGATAGTGCGTGGGTGGAGAGTTACAGCAAGGACGCTTCTCGCGAACTCACATACGGCGACACCGCTCTGCTCTCTTCCAGCATCGACGAGGCGTACAATACGGTGATGCAGCGCCTCATCAGCCTGATGGAAAACAAGTTTGCCCTCTTCTCGCATCTGCAGGCTTTGAAGAAGTACTTGCTCCTGGGGCAAGGCGACTTTATCGCCCTACTCATGGAATCCTTGGCTTCGAACCTGGACCGGCCCGCGAATTCACAATACCGACATACCCTGACCGCACAACTAGAGCATGCAATCCGCAACTCGAATGCGCAATACGACAATGCAGACGTCCTGCGCCGGCTGGACGCTCGCATGCTCGAGCTCTCCCACGGCGAAATCGGATGGGACGTCTTCACGCTCGAGTACCGCGTCGACTCCCCGCTAGACGTCATCGTAACCCCCTGGGCAAGCAAGCAATACCTCAAAGTCTTCAATTTCCTGTGGCGCGTGAAGCGCGTCGAATTCGCACTATCAACGACCTGGCGACGACTGCAGACCGGCGCGCGCGGAGTCCTGGCCGCCGTGAGCGACAAGCTAGGCGGCGATTGGAAGGCGGCGCGAGGCGGCATGGCGGAAATGATCCACTTTGTCGACCAGCTGCAATACTACATTCTCTTCGAAGTCATCGAGGCCGGCTGGGAGGGGCTGCAGAAGGCCATTCGCAAACCGGACGCCACGCTCGATACGCTCATCTCTGCGCACGCCGCTTACTTGCGTAGTATCACTCGCAAAGGTCTGCTCGGCGGCGGCGCCATCGATTTCACCGCGCAGCTGCACGAGTTACTGAAAATCATGCTCGCGTACAAAGACGCCGTCGACGGGCTGTACAGCTATAGTGTAGCAGAGTTCACCCGGCGACAAGACGTCGCAGCCAAAATCGACACGCGCACCAAAGCAGGCAAATGGGGCCTCACAGAAGCCGACGAAGACGAGAACGTCACCGCCACACTCGCATCGCCACTCTTCCCCCCGGGAGCGGGTAGAAGGCATCTAGATTCCCCTGCTCCGCCCCTCCTCCCCATTCCCGGCGGCGTCGAAGGCGAGAAGAATATGCTGGAGCAGCTGCGACTGCGCATGGCGGCGCTGGGGGTGGAGTTTAAGAGTAAGGTTGCGGTTTTGCTGGGCGATTTGGCGTACCAGCCGGATGTCGATATGCGGTTTTTGGGCGTTGTGATGAATTTCAATGAGGTTTATGCGCCTGTTAAGAGGCGGAGGGGCGGTGCTGCTGCGGCGGCCGCGGCGGGGACGGCGAGGAAGGGGGATGAGAGGGGGAAAGAGGGGTGAGGCCAGGCTGAGCTTATGTGTGTATGAATGATGTCTGCTTGCCTACACTGTGGCGACCTGAAGCTATTACGAGATTTCGCTTCCCAGGATCTTCGAGCTCTCCAACGCGATCGCATGACGAAGTCCAACAAACAGTTCATGCAGTCGACAGCTCGGGCCGCAGCGGCAACATCCTGTCGTGCCACGTCGTCGACCTCACTCCGATCCTTTCACCCCACCCCCAACTCCCATTGGCCGCGGGCGAACTCACTTTAACACCCTCCGCACATCCGGGGGGAACTGTCGAGCATTGCACTCTCCACTTGAGACGTTCTGACTTTGCCTACTGCAGCTCTGCCCGACTTTTCGTTCCCTCGTGCCGCGCTTGATGCGTTCCTATATGTGGCTTGCTTGCGCATGATTGAGCAACGTGGAACCGCATGTGGCATGCGGCTGATCATCTGCTTGCCTGCGATACCTCGTGGGCGCCGCGACTTGACACATGGTTACTGTGCCCAAGCTACAAGGCGGCGAGTCGGGGAGCAAACCACTTCAAGGTTGGTCCGCGACGACTTGTACCTCTCGTTCACCATTCACTACGCACTATTCCATGTCGTGTCATCGCCGCACGCCTGTCGTTCCCTCATTCCCTACCCAATTGTTTGTCCACATCCTTCATGCAAAAGCTGTGTGCACATATACCTTTTCCATCCCTGCATGCCATCAACAGCTCACAGCTCCCGCCCCGTCAGCATTGACCTTCCCTAGGCGCAGAGTGCAAGCTCTCCCGGCGAACCATGTCTGCGACTAGCTTCGACGCTGTCAAGAGGAGGTACAACTTTAAAGACATCTCGTTCGCCTCGTGGCGGGATCCGGCTTTAAGTGTTTGTGCCGCTCCTCGAGCAGCGTCGGACGTTTTCCCTGTTGCTACGTACAGGGTCAAGTACGATCTTCTACCTTCGCCTACTGACGACGAGGAATTTGGCGATGACGGAGAGAGGGTGGAAGGATCCGAGATAGAAGGTATGGGACGGATGCTCGTACTCTAGGATGCGATGTGTGCTGACTGGCTTCAAGCGGACGTAACACGAATCGAAGACGGCGATGCGCACGACATCCTCTCAAAGGAGGACGAGAGTCAGACTATCTCGGACTCCTCGCCGCCTGTAGACGGATCATCGGTCGAACTACAAGATCAGGAAGACGACAAACCTAGACTGGCCTCGAAAGACACTCCTGCCGCCGGACCACAGGCCGATATGGCTGCAGAAGAGCAGCTCGCTCCACCGGAAGCCCCCTCTGCAGAAGTCGAAGTGACCGCTAAGCCCGTCGGCGAAGACGAGCAACTCGTTCGCGAGGACTCCGCTGAACCTGATTCAGTAGACGACGTTACGGAAGATCGAAAAGTGAGCTTTACGCCGGGCACGCCAGATCCCAAGCCAACGCCTCGAAAGAAGAAAGGTGCGAAGGGGAAGAAGAAGAAGATTGTGATGCCGCCGGAGACTGTCCAGTCCAACGTTGTGGGAGCAGACAGGGAGCCTATCGAAGGAAATCCAGCCGTCGAAGCACCTGGTGGTGTGGTCGTAGGAGGGCAGGTGATGGAAGTAGCGTCCAGCGAGCTACAAACATCTGTTGAACATCCAGGAATCGAAACTGCCACACTACATCAAGCACCGGTTGAGGAATTGCCGCCAGAAGAAGCCGGAACGCCGGCGGAGGAGATTCATGCAGCCGGGGCCATGGATGTCCAGGTATCTTCTGCCCTCAATCAAGAACCACCAGTGGAACCTAAAGCAGAAGGAAACGAAGCCGACAACGCTGCGACGCTCGCTGAGGCCAACGAGCAAAAGTCCAAGGACCCTGCGGCGGTGAATCACGGCGACACGGATGTCGCAGCCAACGCACCAATCGAATGCAGAGTCGAAGGCTGCGATGATCCTGTCACTCCCGGAGTCGAAGGCCTACATGCTTCGAACAAGGGAGGCCTTCACACCGAGTCACCACCTCCAAACGATACGTCGAACGACATGCAAAGTCCAGCAGATAGCGGCGTTGAGATCGGCGGTACGAGCGAGGACCTCGAGACCGCAAACAAAGCAGACGGAAAGGAAGCAGATGAAGATCCGGGCAAAGACGACGCTGCCAACCCGGAAGTTACTGGACCAGTCGATCGCACGGCGGAGATTGCCGAAGAAATCGTGGATGCTGTCATTATCATGGAGGAGGTGGGAGATAATATGATCACAGTAGAAGCAGCCGCAGACTCGAGTGGCAATCTGGAGCCGACTGAAGGCGAAGCCTCCCAGAAGCAGGAGTCCGTTGAGGTCCCATCTGTCGATGCCAAAGACGAAAGGACTATTGATACGCCAGACGCCATCCAGAAGGCAGTCTCTTCGCCTGATGAAGAACCTGTGGCAGAGAATTTGGAACAAGCATTTATCCTAGAGCAAGAAGAAACAGCAGCACAATCTCAAGACACCCCGCCTTCTCCAAGTCATAGCAAAAGCAGCTCCAGTAGATCCCACAAGCACAGAGCCGACCACTGGCAGCGCAAGCGCAAGACCGAGGATACAAAGGTTCTCGCAAGACGTCACGATCGCCACCGCAGAACGAATGGGGTGAGAGTCGAAGATCGAGCGCTGCCGAGATTCAATCGATCTTCTTCTTCCGATGAGGAGCGTCCGAAGCGGCGAGAGGAGTCGAAGGTGAAGCAAAAGCGTGAGCTTGTAGTGGAGAAGCGGAAAGCTGATGGCGTGGAGACACATCGGACTTCCAAGACCACGGAGAGAGGAGAGAAGGGCGGGACTGCATCGAGCCGAACTCACGCAAAGCGCAGAGACGACGACATCAGAACAGACCCCCTTCCGCGCAAGAAGACGCTACCTTCATTCAACCTCTCCTCCCTTCCCAAAGCTCTGAGCTTAAGCAGCGGTTCCTCCGTCCACGGGTCGACGACGATGAGACGGCACAGTGCAACGTGGTCTTATTCAGAGAGGGTGCTCGAGAGGCCCAAATCGTCGCGCGGGAGAGGAGAAGAAGGATTCAGGACGAAGTCAGCGAATGATGCCCGGCCGGAGTCTCCCAGGTCCAGATCGCCTCGTCGGTCGAGTGGAGGTGAAAAGTCGCGTCCTGTACGGCGGCATCGTCATCACCATCACCGTCGTGAATCTGAGTTCGAGGACTATCGACCCAATCGCAACGCGCAGGAGGCAGAGCAGCAGCATCGCCGCCGCCGCTCTGACGTGGAGGCGAACTCGAATGGTCGGCAGCGGAAGCGCTCGCTCCTCGCTTCTTTGCTGAATCTTTAGCATGTGGTCTCGGTCCGAACGGCGAGCTCAGCAAATCTCAAAACAATGAAGGGTGTCTAGAAGTCCAGCAGTAATGACAGAATTGCTAAAGCGACAGTATCTAGCGAATCCTCAGTCCAGGCGCGCGAGTACATCCATTCTGGGTATATTGCAACGAGCGACGGATAAAACAACCACTCCTCCTTCCTTTCTCCTCTGTTGTTCTCCGATGTTTGAGACACACATGTGCCCACTCTACTCCTTGAGCCCGGCGTTGGATTCCAAGTGCTTCTTGATGACAGCCGGCTCGTACGTCGTGACGTTGGAGAAGTGGTACAATCTGCGAAGCATGCGTTAGCAACAAACGTCGATGACAAGCTCCTGATTGGAAACACAGCAAGACGTACTTTGGCTCGGGCTCGCCCTTCTTGCGCAAAACGTAGTGCCGAGTCCACCAGGGGATTTGCTCTTTGAGCACGAAACCCGCGTGGCGCCGAGTCGTGACGCCGAAGACGTAGTCGAGTTCCTCCAGCGTCCTTTGCTTCGTTTCGGGTAGGAAGAAGAGGATCATGAAGAAGGCGACCACATTCAAACTGTAAAGATAGAAGGTTAGTGCGAGTGATCTGGGAGAGTGGCGGGGAGAGGAGTTGTCTTACCCAGCGTAGAAGCCAAAGGTACCGGCGGAAGTGAAGGCTCTCAGGATAGCGGGCAGGGAAATGGACAAGACGGATGCCCAGAAGTCTGTGATCTGGTGTTAGTACTAGTTCGAGGCACGGGAGGCTGCTATCGTACTGTTTGTTGCCACGGCCCAGGACATGCCGACTTCTCGGTGACTGAGAGGGAAGACTTCTGCCGAGTACGTGAAGGGCACTGGCCCCTCACCAGGAGAGTAGAAGCTGTTAGGACAGAGGTTAGCGATATGGTCCAGCTACAATTCTTCCCAAATCCAATGGAGGATGTGGGACGGTATCCGAGGAAACTTACGCAGCGAAGACGAAGACGAAGGCGGCTACTGCGCCAATGTGGGCTTGGGAGGTATCAGGCTTAATCAGGAAACATAGACCGGCGGTCAACAGCGACCACGCCCTGCTCGTTGTTAGACTGCGTTCAAAGACATGGGATAGAAGGGTACTGTACATGTTGGGGAATGTGAAGATCAGTAGACTGCGTCGGCCGAAGGTGTCAATGGTCCACTAGAATTGCATATGTTAGCTTGGGGTCATTTGGTACTCGCGTCAAGGGAAGGGAAGGGAACGTACCACCGCGGGGAAAGCGAACAAGAAGTTGGTCAGACCGAAGCCGAAGGAGACGAAGAGAGCGGCCTCCTCGGTGAAGCCGGCTTGGACGAAGATGAGGGCGGAATAGCTGGCGGCGCGTTAGTGACGGGTACATTCGCGGCCGAATTGGACAAGTAACGTACAATGCAATGATGTTGATGCCGCCTAAAGGTGGTGAAAAGGTCAGTAAGTGTTGGGGGTGGAATCGATGTAGGGATGACGGAACGTACACATTTGCTGGGCGATCTGAAAAGCGAAGCGTTAGCACTGTGTGCGTCAAACGTAAATTCCCGGTAATGCCAACATACCATAACAATACCAGAGGCCTGAGTTGCACGTCGAATACGGGGAATGGTGAACAATTCGTAGAAGCGGATGAAGAAGTTGTCGTGAGTTCCTGTTGACAAGTCAGCAAGCAATGAAAAAGATGCTATACGGCGTGCAGCCTTACCGAGTCCCTTGGCGAGCTTCAATGCCTCTTCAAAGTCGAGTTGAGCCTTGATGTAGTACACATCGCGAGCGGCTTGCAGTCTGGAATTTCGGAGGCGAACGAGAGAGTTGAAGGCCTTCTTCACCTTGTTCTTCTTTAGGTACCAACGTGGGCTCTCGGGACAGAACCAGATCTACATCTGAGTCAGCATCGGGGGTTGTCAATGAATCGTCGAATTTACTTACACCCAGAAGGACGGGAACGGCCGGGATAAAGGCGGAACCAATCTGCAGGCGCCATGCGATTGGGCCGACCGAGTAGACGGCCAAGTTGGCTGCAGTACCCAAGAAGATGCCTAAACGACGCAGTATCGTCAGTGCCGTCGAATGGAGGACGGTCTCAGAATAGACGTACCAAACGCAGTCCACATCTGCCACGACATGACCAAGCCACCGCGAATGACTGCCGGCGCATTCTCAGCGGAGTAGATGGGTACCGTCACCTCCTTCAAGCCCATGCCGACACCGAGCAGGACACGGCAGATGGCGAATTCCCACCAGGTCTGCGTGGTAGCGCTGCCGATGGGAGCGAGGAAGGAGAAGATGGCGCCGATGAAGATGGTTCCGCGTCTGCCGCAGAGATTGTTGATGGGGTCCGAGATCCAGGCGGTGCTAAGGAGCATTAGTGGAATGCGAGATCGTGGGTTAGATGGGCACTGGCTTACAAGACTGCAATGGCAATGTATGGGCAGGAGTTGACAAAGCCGATCTGAGATAAGCCGTATTAGCATGCCTGTTGCAGTGTAGCACAAGCGGCGTTTCCATTTGCTAGATCACTTACGAGCCAGCTTCGTCCCGCACAGCTGATTTGTCCGGGGGGAGTGGGAATGGTGCAATGCCCTTTGCCTGTAGTCATGTCGGAGATACCAAAGTCATTGGGCCAGGAAAGCGTGGCGCCGTTGGCACCCTCCTGATCCCAACCCTGAATTGCAGCGGCGATGGAGTTAAGGATGATGGTGATGTATAGAGCCTATGCACTGGGTTAGTCTATGTCCCGTTTAAAGAAGTCCCATACGAGTCCAGCAGCGCGTGAATAGCTCCATCGTGTCCAGGGCCGCATACCTTTGGGTGGCGCCACCGATTTGTAATCTCGATTCTCAAATGCGCGCGGTCCTCTTCATCCAGCTCGGCCAAGTTTTCAAAGTCGCCGGGGTTCTGCGCAACGAGCGCGCCCTTCTTCAAGAGCTCGACTTCGTCCATCAGATCGTTGACCTCGGCGAAGCGCTCGACGTCGGCCATGAGCTCGGCCTTGGAGATGCCGGAAAGAGGGTTCTTGATTTCGCCGGTGACGTTGTCGGTCATGGCGACGACGCTGGACTTGCGCATGGCATCGTGGTCGGCGCGGTCGAACTGCTGCTGGTTGTCCGTCTTGATGTCGCTGTACTCGTGCTTTTCGTGGGAGGCCTCGATGGGGCTTTCGCTGTGGGGTGTGAGCGCGTGCCTTTGTAATACATAGCGAGTAGCTAGGTACGTACGCATTGCCGTTGGAGCCGTTGGAGTCCGACATGGCGGCGGTGGTGTACGCTCTGCAGACGCAGTAGACAGAGACGAAGATACGAGGGGAAGAGAGGAAGGGGTCTCAGCTCTGCTCGACCCTGTGGACGCCTCCCCCGACACCTTATGTACGTCCCGCCCGCCACGCGGGGGGGCCAAACTGTGCTGATCGCAGCTCCACGATCGCGCCGTCCGTGCGCCATACCTTGCGACAAACAGCAGCGTGCATGCTCGTGTTGGGTCGATGGAGTCGGATTTCCCGATCGGGCCTAGTGGATGAACTCCAGCCTAGCTCCGCACTGTACGAAGCTTGAATGCACGCGCCCCGCACGCTTGGCATCATGGGGGCTTGGGGCTTCGGACGGACCCGCGATGATCTGTGTCAATCCTCCCCGCAACAACCGCTCCCTTTGAAGGTGTGTGTCCCGTCGTGCTGTGCTTCGGTGGCTTCGACGGGCATGTAGAACGTCCGGAATGCGATGCGCAAGATATGCGACACTCCATCCCTCTGGTCAGCCGCTCACAGGTTGACGTCACAGGATCCTGCGGGACCTTGCCACGGAGTCGCCGTAACTCTGGCGCACCCGGCCCACACGGGCGGCAAGACGCTTACCGCGGTGGCGTTTGTCTCCCCCTGCGATTGGACGGCCGGTTCACGAGGTTCATTCGCGCACGAGACCACGCGTTTTGGACGGCACACGCAAGGAAGCATAGGGCGCCGATATGGAAGCCTTGCTCCGCTACCTTCCGACTTCGGTGGAGCGAGCGCTACAATGCGGTGTAACGCGGTTCCCCATGGGAGGAAGTCGAAGCGAGAATAAGTCCGAGTGTAGCGTTTGCTTTGCAGCTGGATGGTGTTTCCGTGTTGTTTCCAAAAGCCATCGGCAATTCCAAAGTCAATCGGGGAACGTGGACCTCACGTTGACGACTAATCTTTTGTCACAGTCATCAAATCAATTTCACGCCTCGGTGACGAACGAATGTTGATCACAGTGCATTGCTTCATCGGCTGTGATGGATTAGAGGAACTGCTCACGAGGCAGACGGTATGTGTTAATCTCAAACCACCCCCGATGCGGGGCACACAGGACTGGAGTTTCCCGCATCTTGCCACGAGTATGGGGACGGACGACGCTTCGACCAACGACTGAAAATTTTCACGAGTCTGTGCATTCAAAATCTTGTACACAGACGCGGCCTGTAAATCTTTTTGGTAGTGGTTGTATGCGGCTCCGGCTTCAAGTTACCTAAAACGCGACCAGATGGCCCACAATGGCTTCCTTTCGGGTCGTGAGGATCCACCAGGTCAATGCTGGAGTTGCATGTGATGGCTCATTGAGGAGGTTGTAAGCGGTCGCAACTCTTGGGTCTCGGAGTGGCTTTGCGGATCATGTTCGGTAGTTGGGCCGGGTCCGCACATTCCAGACCTTCTGAGCGTTGCATGGAAGCCTCCTCGAAGGGTCGGGTGGCGGCGACGGGGTCACCATATGGCAGCACGACGATGCATGCGCATCGACTTCAATCAATGCTCCTCTTCGCATCCGTCTCAATACGCTTCAACAGCCCCTTCCCAAACCTCTCGACCTGCTCAAAGGCCACCTCAAACCCATCCCTCCCATCATCATACCACGGATCCTCCACAACCTCATCGACCGCCCTGCCCCCAAAACTCCCATACAGCCGCACCTTCTTCAACAGCGCCTCGCTCAACACCCCCTTCCTCACAGCCCTGCGGCCCATCTCCAACAAATCCACGTAATTGCTCTCGTCCATGGCAAGGATGTAATCGAACTCCTCGAAATCCGTCGGCACTTTGATCCTACGCGCCTTGTGCCGGTAATCGGTTATGCCCCCTTTGTCGGCGAGCACTAGGATGGTGCGCGGGTCGGGCTGGCTGCCGGCGTGGTAGGCGCCAGTGCCGCAGGAGTCGATGCGCGCGATGGCGGGGTGTTGGTGCGGGGTGTTGAAGCGGGTGAGGTGGCGGAAGACGCCTTCGGCCATGGGGGAGCGGCAGATGTTGCCTAGGCAGACGAAGAGGACGGAGGCGCCTTCGCCGTGGTGGGTTGGGGAGGTGGAAGTGTCCGTGGTCTGGGATCTTGTGCCTGAGGCCATGGTTTCGATGTAGGTACGTACCTACCTATCGAGGGCACGCCTGGTTTTCAATGCGCTGACTACTCTGCTGCACTTCTCCGGCGTGCTATGTCCCTCGAGGTGTTTAGAGGGGCGACGCGTGGAGCTGCCCACAGTTTGTCAGGCTTGGGGGATGATGGCGTGGATGAAGGTGGGATTTCTGCGATGTCGTTTCTATTTCGGGAACCTCGGTCCTCGCTCCTCGCCGGTACAGCCTTTGGAGAATTGATTAATGCATTGTGGTGCTGGGTTTGACAGGGGGAAAGCAGAGAAAAAGGATGAATAGCTTGGTGAAGGAAGTTAGACGTGAAGAGGGTTGTGAGAGCGTTGGCCGCTTCTCAAGCAGACAATGGAGAGGGAAAGGTGGTGAAAGAGAGTTCACAAGGCGAGAGAGGCAGATCTCAAAGGCAGACGTGATTGGCTGCAGGCGAACGTGTGAAACGCGAGCAGGTGTGGCTGTGGAGGTTACGAGGCCGCGGAGGCTTCATCAGACGACCGATGATGGCGTGAGCTGTGCCTCGTTGCAGCCCTTTCCAACACCGCCTGCCTATGCCATCCAAGCATTCAACACGATAAAGCGCAATATTCTACAACTACCCTCCCCCTCCTCCTCCCCCTCGCGTCGCACAAAGGCAGCCTTGTGAAACGGCCAAGCAACCGCGTAAACAAATCCTTCCATCCCTCCAACTCCCCCGGAAACCTTATCCTCACTCCTCTGCTTGCGACATCCAACGTTCGCTTGCCCGGAGACTTATTACTTCCAGCCTGCATTCGTCACCGTGCGCACCGCATTGCGTCCGGGAAACTGGGGTTGATAACGGGCGCAAGGTGGATTTGAAGGGCGAACAGTGAAGAGCACGCAGGCACGAAGAGATGGCACACAATTATGGTGAGTTGCATGCATTGTCCGCACGCACATGAGACATGCGATGGAGGGCCAGAGGGCGTAGTGGGTCTGGCGCTGTCATGTTTGGCCGACACAACACCTGCTGCGCCCGCATTCCTCCCGCCGCCTTCATCTTCCCTGCACCCTCCACTACCGTGCCTCTTCCCCAAAATGCACAATACATCCCACTGACACTCCCCCACAGGCGACTATCGCCATCCAGATCAAGACGAAGACAACCCCACCAATCCCTTCATGGATCCCCGGCGACAACAACAACACCTCGCCCCCGCCCGCTACCAATCCCCCGCATACCAACTCGACGACCGACCCTACCATGAAGACCAATATGAGCAGGGACATGCGCTGGAGATCCCAGTGGGGCCTGGCCCGCGAGTGCACACGCCAGGAGATCGGCTACAGGCACAGCCAACCTACTCCGTCACGAACATGCCCAACACTTACGGTCACCCCGAGGCCTATGAAGACGCGCATATCCACCAGTACACCCCCAACCCCTACCAGCAAAGCATACATCAAGGCACAGGAGACTATAGCCTTACCCCCGTACACGACCAGGGCCAGGGCGAATACTTCTCGCATGCGTACAATGCTGAAGTGCACGACGGGGAGTTTGATGCACCGCAACATCCATATTATCAAGACGAGTCAGATCGCCGGCCAATTCTCCAGCCTGCCGGCAATTCCTTCGGCCCAAATCCGGAGGCTGATATTGGCACCCCTGGTATAGACCCTGGCCGCTTGGAAGGAGGATATGATGCGCCTCAGCAAAGACCAGCGGCGGCTCCCATTCGTAGATGGAAGACGGTCAAGGAAGTCCAACTCTTCAATGGCAACTTGGTCTTGGATTGTCCCGTTCCGCCGCGACTCTTGAATCAGGTACAGCACGCTCAGCCACCGGAGAGAGATGAATTCACGCACATGAGGTACAGTGCTGCGACCTGCGATCCCAGCCAGTTCTACGACAAGCGCTTCACTCTACGACAGCGTCTCTTCGCCAAACCCAGGCATACCGAGCTCTTCATCGTCATCACAATGTACAATGAAGAAGACGAGCTGTTCGCGCGTACCATGATCGGTGTCATCAAGAACATCGAATACATGAACTCGCGAACCTCCTCCAAGACGTGGGGCAAGGATGCATGGAAGAAGATTGTCGTCTGTGTCGTGTCCGACGGCCGTGCCAAGATCAACCCTCGCACTCGGTCAGTGTTGGCAGCCATGGGTGTGTACCAGGATGGGATTGCGAAGCAGCAGGTCAACGGCGAGGATGTCACTGCGCATATTTATGAATACACCACCCAGATGGGACTCGATCTCAAGAACCACGTTGTCCAAGTCAAGAAGGGCAACACCCCCGTGCAGATGCTGTTCTGCCTCAAGGAGAAGAATCAGAAGAAGATCAATTCGCATCGATGGTTCTTCCAGGCTTTCGGCGAGGTCTTGGATCCCACGTACTGCGTGCTCATCGACTGCGGCACCAAGCCGGGTAGAAGCAGCATTTACGACCTCTGGAAGGCGTTTGAGCGCGAGCCAATGTGCGCTGGAGCATGCGGAGAGATCAAGGCCATGCTGGGCAAGAATCTCCTCAATCCCTTGGTCGCGGCGCAGAATTTCGAATACAAGATGAGCAACATCCTCGACAAGCCTCTCGAGAGCGCCTTTGGCTTCATCACCGTCCTTCCCGGCGCCTTCTCCGCATACCGGTATGTGGCGTTGCAAAACGACAAGACCGGCAACGGACCGCTCCAGCGTTACTTCCTTGGAGAGAAGATGCACGGTGCCAACGCGGGCATCTTCACAGCGAACATGTACCTCGCCGAAGATCGTATCCTCTGTTTCGAACTTGTCAGCAAGCGGAATTGCTCCTGGATCCTGCAGTACGTCAAATCGGCGACTGGCGAGACGGACGTCCCGACCGAGATGGCAGATTTCATCCTCCAACGACGCCGCTGGCTCAATGGCGCCTTCTTCGCCGCCGTCTACGCCCTCTCCCACTTTGGCAACATCTGGCGCAGCCATCACAGCGCAGGGAGGAAGTTTGCATTCATGATTGAGTTTGTCTATCAGAGCTTGCAGATGGTTTTTGCCTGGTTCGCTGTGGGCAATTTCTTCTTGGTCTTCCGCATCTTGACCACGAGCCTGGGCGATCCTGATTTGCTGGGACTTGCGGGCAGGATCATGAGTGTGATTTTTGAGTGGCTTTATCTCGCTACCCTCGTCACCTGTTTCGTGCTCGCATTGGGCAATCGGCCGCAGGGGAGCAACAAGTTCTACATGACGCAAGTCTACTTCTGGGCCGTCCTCATGTGGTGAGTAATGACCCCATCCCCAATCCTCTCCCCCTTCTAACAACACCACAGCTACCTCCTCTTCGCCGCCATCTTCATCGCCGTCAAATCCATCCAAACCCAACTCGCGCTGCACACCCACTTCACCGTTACCCTCCTCTTCACCGACAAAATCTTCCTTACCCTCATCGTCTCCATGGCCTCCACCTGGCTCCTCTACCTCGTCTCCTCTATCCTCTTCTTCGACCCCTGGCACATGTTCACCTCCTTCCTCCAATACCTCCTCCTCACCCCCACCTACATCAACATCCTCAATGTGTACGCCTTTTGCAACACCCACGACATCACCTGGGGCACCAAGGGCGACGACACCCCGGAGAAACTCCCCGCCGCGAATCTGAAACCCGGCGGCAAGGTGGACGTCGCCATCCCCACCGACGACGCGGACCTCAACTCCCAGTACGAAGCGGAGATCCGCGCCTTCAGCACCAAATGGATCGCCCCCAAAAAAGTCGTCGACGACCAAACCAAGCACGAAGATTACTACAAAGGCTTCCGCAGCGCGGTGGTGCTCGCGTGGATTTTCTGCAATTTGGCGCTCGCGTCGGTCGTGCTGAATGTCGGCGGCATCGAGCAGTTTAGTCAGAATGCGACGACGGGGCAGGACAATGAGTTGGTGGTGGAGAATCAGCGCAGCACGATTTATATGGCTGTTGTGCTGTATTCTGTTGCTGGGTTGGCGGCTGTGCGCTTTATTGGGAGTTGTTGGTTTTTGGTTGCGAGGATGTTTAGGGGGATATGAGCTTGTAGCTTATGTATGGATGGAATGGAATGCACTTTGTGCTTTCAATACCCTTATTTCATCCGTCGATCCTCTTCTCTGCTAATACTTCTTGAGAGGGAATTTGGTCGCTGCTGCTCGTGATTACCCTTGTGCAGACAGAATTGTGCAGACCAGTTGGGCGCGAAAGTTAGAGAGCGATGTTGTGTTCAGTACATCAATGGCACGGTATAGATACGCGTTACTGTGGCGTTCTACACTATAGTCGCGTCGCAAGGTGCCGTTGTTGGTAATGTGATGCCGAAGCCCAGCCTCGTCACGTGCCAGTATCGACTCACAACGTCCGCCATCACACGTTTCGATCGCATCGATGACCCAACTGGTATTTCTCAGATCTCACCACTCGCAACAGATAGCTCACCTTCACTTCAGCTCAAGGGGGCGAATGGACTTCACACGGCAGAGAAGTAACACTCACTTCATCTCAGCCATCTCCCCTCCACGCGTGAAACACGTGAAGTCAGCGCGTGCATCGCTCCTTCCTCACGTAGCGACCGACGTACCTTCCGGCGGGACGCGCCGTGTTGTCATTTCGACCGCACGCACACAGCTGGACAAATTTTCTCCTCTTTCTTTCGGTTTCTTTCAGAAACCTGAAGTTTGGAGGCGCGCATTCGGCACCTCTTCGACTTCCTCCCCCTTCTCTTTCTCTAGCAGTGGACGCCGTGGCAGCTCGCCTCTTCTTCTTTCTCCTCCTTTTCCTCTAGCAGTGGACGACGTGGCACCTTGCCTCTATTCCTTCTTCCTGCTTGAGCCCCTTGAACAACCTTCCATCCGACCAACTAGCAAGATCAATCATCATGGGAATTGACACCTGGGCCGCGGCCGAGAGCGGTAAGTGCCTCTCCTCCCTGTTTAGCAGTACCGCCCACTGATACGCATCCCAGGACCCGACGCCGAGCCGTGGAAGGCTGATGATGCTGCTGCCTCCGTTGGAGAGTGGCACGATGGCGGAGATGAGCCGGCTTTCTCTGGGGAGTTCGCGCAAGAGAATGTGTCGAAGCATGCGGGAGAGCGGCTGTGTTTCAATTGTGGGCAGCCCGGCCATGCGAAGATTGATTGCACCAATCCTGCGGTGGAGCGGCCGTTTGACGGTTCTTGCCGCCATTGTGAGCTTCCAGGCCATAGAGCGAAGGAGTGCCCGCTCAAGCCCTGCTCAAAATGCCATGGAGAAGGCCACACGTCGGCTACCTGCAGCGTAAATCGCGTCTTCCTCGACCTCGCGAGCCTTGGAATCAAGGACCTCCCCATCGAGGAAGCGTGGGAGATGCTTGAGAAGGCCGACAAAGAGCGCGACGTCGACGAGATCAAACAGTACATTCTCAGCTACGCAAAGGCCTACCCGGACGTCACGCTCCAAGACCTGGAGAAAACCTTCCGAGACAACAAGATGAACACGTACCTGATCGCCACGGAGAAGGCTGTATCGAAGACGCACAGCATCGTCAACCTACAGGGCAAGGCTGAGCAGAAGTATGTGGTGAGCGTTCAGTTCTCCGCGCAGCCGCGTCGCGCGAAAATGGCGGAGAGCTGGCCCGAATCTCCTGCTCAAAATATGGAGAGGCTGACGGAGGCTGGATTCCCTCTTGACGGAAAGGTTGTGGTTTGCGACTCTTGCAAAGAGGTGGGCCACATTCGCAAGTCTTGCCCGAATGGCGGCGACTCCGCGGAGTCAACGGCGAAGGTGATGTGTGTGCACTGCAACGAAGCCGGTCATCGCGCGCGTGATTGTAACAACCGGCCCAAGCGTGGAGGTGGTATTGTTTGTCACAATTGCTCTGAGGTATGTTTCTTTCGCCTTACCCGGCCTACAGGCAAGCTGATTTGTCCAGAACCACAAAGCGAGCGATTGCACCAAGTGCTCCAACTGTCTCGCCGAGGACCACCAGAGGGCTCAATGTCCTCTTCCTATCGACTGGTCGCGAGTCAAGTGCAAGAACTGCGTAAGTGCGGCAATGAGGAGGGTATTGAACCAACAGCTAACAATCAACAGGGCGAGAAAGGTCACGGCGCGAAGCGTTGCCCGCAGCCCCCTGCTGAGGCGGACGAGAACACGGCTCCCGCTGGCGACAACGGAGGAAACTGGGGTGAGGGTGCAGCAGAAGGCCAGGGAGACAGCTGGGGCTCTGGTGGTCAGGCAGACAATTGGGAGTCTGGTGCTGCCGACGCTTCAGCCAACTCCGGTTGGTAGATGTCGTGTCTTGCTGACACACATCATCTTTGAGACGATTCGATTGAGGTGAAGGACAGGACAGGACAGGACGGGACAGGACAGGCTGGTGATGCCCCAAGATGGGTGATGCCTTGCCGCAGAGCCAGATAGCTCACGTAGCAAATGATGCATTGAAATTGGTCAAGCTTCCCATATCTCACTGGTCCAGCTCAGCTCCGCCGTCACACTGAAGTGTATTTCTGCATCATCCACCCACCAAGGTTCGACCTTCCTACCACCTCACAAATACCATCAACAGCGAGCCATGTGATCACGATATCGTACAGTCCCTCAATGGCGATTCATTGCTACGTGCTACGGCAATGCTGCCGACACACCCACCTCAGCATGCCGACATTGGCTCATCTCACCGCCTGCGGCGTGGATGAAACCGCCGCTCCGCACTGACCAATGAGAAGGGCGGGGCAAAAAGCGGAACGAGGGTCGCGGCCATGCCATGTGCTGCTTTCGCGCAGCTCTCTGCTCGACCGTCACTCTTCGCTCCCATTCCACTCGACTCTGCACTTTTTCTCTCGATCAAAATGCTGCTCTGGCACGCTCTCATTCTGCCCACTGACATTTGTGCTTTTGCTGGTGGCAGCGTGCCGCTTTCATCTCATTTCCTCTAGACTCTCGAGACCGCCCACGCTCTGCGCTCGACTAGGCGCGCCCACACCCTCCACTTCCTCCCAGCACGAGCGAACACAAACACTACACGCCTCGCGAATCCAGATACCTAATCCATTCCTCCTACACCCTAGACGCCTACCCCAACACGCCCCTCCACCATGCCCACCCGCGCAACCAAACCCCCGCCCCCCGCCTCCACCGCATCCTCCTCCTCCCTCTCCTCTGGCCGACCAGACCGCAGCGCCACCCTCCCCCGACCCCAAGCCTCCGCGACACCGCATTCGCGCTCCAGCGAGGAGATGAGCGAACCTCCCCGCCGCTCGCAGCGCTCCCAGCCCAGCAAGAAAGATGAGGCGGCGAAGGAGGAGCATGAGCTGGATGAGGACGCGATCGAGGAGGATGAGGAGGTTACGCGATGCGTGTGTGGCTTGTCGGAGTATCCTGGTCCTGCTTTGAGCGAGGCTTTTGACGGCGTGGACGCGCAGGCGGAGGACGCGGGGGGGTTGTTCATCTCCTGTGACGCCTGTAAGAAATATCTAGGGGGAACATGTTCAACTGCCTTGAGATCAATCGCGGTGATGGTTTCCTGGAACCTAGCGCAATTGATCGGAGCACTGCACTTGTTCTACTCAATACCTTTGGAGTGAAGCGAAAGCACTTGCTAACACTGAAACTTCAGGCAGCGTCTGGCAACATGGAGGATGTGTTGGCATATTCGAAGAGGCACAGGTGCCCGATAAATACTACTGCGAGGAGTGCAGACCAAAGCTGCACGACTTACACGTCGATTCCAGAGGGTACGTGAACACCTTTCTTTCTTCGCCTTGCTACGTCATCAGGGCTTCTTTGTTCGCGCAGAGCAATGGCATAATGCGGATGTGAATGGCTACAGGAGACCTCACTTCTGTCAGCCGACCTTCATCACGCATGTGACATTGCTCATCGTCACAAACAACCCCTTCTTGACTTCTTTTCTCCACCGCAATGGCGCGCTACCACGATACACCCACACGCGCAGCTGCTAAGAAGGCCGAAACCAGGCAAAACTACTCCCTCTACCAACCCGTCTACTCGAAAACCGGCCGCAAGCCCTCGATCAGCAAGCATGGCGACAAGGCGAAGCACGAGCGAGAAGCGGCATCGCTACGTGCGAGCGCAGATCCGGCCACTGGAAGGAGGAGGGCGACAATGCGGAGTAAAGAGCATGACGAAGAGGAAGAACAAATTCGAAGAGCAATCGAAGAGAGTAAGCGGGAGACAGGAACCGCTGGTGGCAACGGCAGTGGGCGGAGGAATGGGAAAAGAGCGAGACCTGACAGCGAAGAGTATGTGAAGTCCAATGCGGTGCTCTCGGGAAATGAAAGGCTGACCGCTTGCAACAGTCAAAGATCAGACTTGAAGCGCCAACGGCGAACTTCGGAGGCTGCGAATCAAAAGCCCACTCCGGCAGACGAAGAGTCAGAAGACGACCTTGCGAGCGGCAACGGTGGCAAAGGCAAGAAAGGCCGAACAGAAGCAGTGCAGTCCGCGCGTCAGACCGAGCAGCGGGAGAAAGAGAAGGAACGGGATAGAGCGCGGGCAGAAGCCGCGGGGCGGCGACAAGAGCGAGCAGGGCGGAGGAGAGTGGAAGATGAGGCATCGGAAGAGACACCAAAGCCCACTGCAAGCGCAAAGGCCTCTCCACCTCCCCCTTCGAAGCTGGGCAACATTCTCAACGCCAAAACCCGCGGCGGCTCCTCTCCTCCTAACGTGAAGAAGACCATCCCGTCAGCAACCAATGGCGCCAGCAGCGGCGACGAACCTCTGACAAACGGCGACTCTCAACACAAAATGGGCAGCAACGGCAACGGCACCACCAAGAACAGCCCGGAACGAGGCGCGCCAATGAGAGGCAAGTTCGGCCGCGGCAGGCACAAAGGCGTGGTGGGCAATGGACTCAAACATCATCACGGCCCGGAGGACCCGTCGGAGCTCAGTATCGCGACGATGAAACGCCGCATGGACGGCATGGCTGCTTTCATCGCCAAGGCGCAGGCGGAGCTGGCGGGCGACAGGAGAGTGCTGCAGCATGGCGCTGGGGTTCTTCCGCCTCCGCCTAGGAGTGGGGTGGAGGATGGCGGCGGGGAGCAGAAGTTTGAGAAGATGAATGCGTTGGACATGGCGGGGGTGGTTTCGCGGGAGATTCTGGAGTGGCAGAGTCGGTTTGCGAGTGGGGCGTGAGACGTCTGATGCATTTGGGGAATGCAGAGAGCGAGCGTGTGTGGCATAGGTAGCGCTTCAGCCTTGCTCTATCGTAGGACCCTTCGATCGATCCGAGCGGAATTCCGTGCTCCTTTCGGAGACGCGTTCCTACCCTTCCGCAGCGACCCCCCGCCTTCCCAAAGCGGCAGTAAGAGAGCGAGAGAGCCAGCCTGCATGTGGCTTGGAACATTTTAAAGCTAAAATAATAAAAGTCCCCTCCCCGGCATTCACCTTTCTCTTGATCTTCGAAGACACACTCACTCTGCTAAGACTCGGAGAGCATACACCGCCAACATGTCCGGCCCGCTCGCACCGCAATACGTCAACTTCGTCTACATCCCCTCCGCCATCCTCTTCGCCGGAGCGGCGCTGCTGAAGCCCGCATTGCTCCCCGTGGCCTTCACTCTTGCACTTGCTCTGGGCAGTTACCAATTCCTGCAGAACGGTACGCGCGCGCCCTCGCTCATCCCACCAGCCCCAGCTAACACGCACCAGGCTCCAAAACCGTCGCCGTCCTCAACCCCAATGCCTTTCAAGAATTCCCCATCGAGAAGAAGACCGTCACCTCGCACAACACCGCCATCTACCGCTTCAAACTGCCCAGCGAGAACAGCATCCTCGGCCTGCCCATCGGCCAGCACATCTCCCTCGCCGCCGACCTCGACGTCAAAGATGAGAAGAGCGGCGAGACGAAGCGGCAGCAGGTCGTGCGCTCCTACACGCCCATCAGCAGCGATGTCCACCCGGGCTACTTTGACCTGATGATCAAGGCGTACCCCACAGGCAACATCAGTCGGCACCTCACCACGCTCAAGGTCGGGGATACGATGAAGGTGCGGGGGCCGAAGGGGGCGATGGTGTACACGCCGAATATGGTGCGCAAGTTTGGGATGATTGCTGGCGGCACGGGGATTACGCCCATGTTGCAGATCATTCGCGCCATTCAGCGGGGCAGGAGTAGTGGGGACAAGACGGAAGTGACGCTGATTTTCGCCAATGTGGACGAGAAGGATATCCTGCTGCGCGAAGAGATTGAAGATGTGGCGAGGGAGGACAAGTTGTTCAAGGTGTACTATGTGCTCAACAATCCGCCGGAGAAGTGGAATGGGGGTGTTGGGTTTGTGACGCAGGAGATGATCAAGGTGAGTGTCTTCTTGCTCTTTGCTGTGGGTGATGCTAATGCAACCGATAGGAGCATCTCCCCGCGCCCGCCTCGGATATCAAGATCCTCATCTGCGGCCCTCCGCCGATGGTGAGCGCGGTCAAGAAGGCTACGGAAGCGCTGGGTTACGACAAGGCGAGGCCCGTGAGCAAGCTTGACGATCAGGTCTTTGCCTTCTAGTGCATATGTTGAGCGGGCTGGGTTCGAAGCGTGAGGGATTGGTCAATGCTGTTCTGGTCATGCTCACAAGACTGCATCCTTTGTGACCGACAGCGCAGGCGTTACCCGATCGATGTGAATAGCACTTCAATGAATTCCTCCTTATGACCAAGCCCTCATCGCAGCAGGTGGGGCGCGGCGGCTGAACCTCCCGTCAGCGATCCGCCAAGGCTTGGTCAGAAACGCCGGGCTATTTAATAATTATGCTGACGTCTCGTGTTGCAAGTTTTGCATTCCGTTTCAAACCTCTTGGATGTTTCTGTAAAACATGTTACGGCTCGTCGCTGTCTTCGCAGCCTTGGGTGCGCCGGCGTTGGCGAGCGAATACACGCCCTTCGAATTCGACTGGCAGCAGCGTCTGTCCTCGCTCGGATTGGCAGAGAACAACGCAACCTTTACAGCCTCGGGTTGCGTGCAAGCCGTAAGACGCAGAAATTCCTCTCCCCCCCGACTTTGCACTCCATGATTAAAACTGACCAAGCAACATATCGACAGTGCGAATTACTCGGGCAGCTCCTCCCGCAGCGCGAAATCCTCCCCAGCGACTCGCAGTACTTCAAGGTCAAGGATTTCTACTGGTCCGCGCAGCAGGCCGCCGTGTCGCCGCAATGCTTCGTGCAACCTGGCAGCGCCGAGGACGTCTCGACGATCATCAAAGTCGCCGAGCGAGCGGAGTGTCCCTTTGCCGTGAAATCCGGCGGGCACGCGGCGTTTGCTGGCGCGTCGAATATCCAGGACGGCATTACGATTGATTTGCAGCTACTGAATGAGATTACTGTTAGCGAGGATCGGACGACGACGAGAATCGGGCCGGGGAATCGATGGGTGGATGTGTATTCGCGACTGGATGCGAAGAATCTGATGGTTGTTGGCGGGAGGGTGGCGGAGATTGGTGTTGGTGGGCTGATGTTGGGAGGGGGGATTTCGTTCTTCTCTGCGCGGAGAGGATGGGCGCTGGACGGCGTGCGGAACTATGAAGTCGTTGTTGCCAGTGGGGAGATCTTGGACGTTAATCTGGAGTCTTATCCGGATCTTTACTGGGCTTTGCGCGGTGGGGGGAACAACTTTGGCGTCGTCACTCGCTTCGATCTGGAGACGTTCCCGCAGCCGGGCATGTGGGGTGGCATGGCCTACCATTCGATGGACCACAATGTTACGCTCAACGACGCCTTCTTCAACTTTGCAGACGCCGCGCACGAGGATCCGGACGCGCAGGCGTACTTGGCGTTTTGCTGGCTGAAGGACTACGAATCGTACGTGATCATGTCCGAGGTGACGTATGCGCGGGCAGTGGAGTATCCGGAGGTGTTGAAGCCGTTCACCGACGTCCCGGCCATGTCAACGACGGTGCGACTGAGGAACATGACCGATCTGGCGCTGGAGATGAACGCCACGAACCCCAATGGCATGCGGCAGGTGTGGATGACGGGAACCTTCCGAATGGATCGCGAGATGCTTCAGGCTTGCGTGGATATATTCGTAGAAGAGCTGCAGCCGGTGAAGTACCTCAATGGCATCGTCCCGGCGGCCATTGTGCAGCTCATCGGGAAGGATACCATTGCCAACTTTGGACGGAACGGGGGAAACTGTCTCGGCATCGAGCCCGGCGAGGGCCCGCTGGTCAACCTCAACCTGGCTTTCCTGTGGGTCGATGCCGCGGATGATGAGGTGGTGGAGCGCGTGATACGGCGCGTGCTGGAGAGGTGTGAGGCCAAGGGGAGGGAGTTGGGCGTGTGGCATCGATACATCTACCAGAACTACGCGGGCAAGCACCAGGATGTGTTTGCGGGTTATGGCGAGGAGAATCTGAGGCGGTTGAGGGAGATTTCAAAAAAGTACGATCCCGAGCAGGTGTTCCAGAGACTGCAGCCGGGATATTACAAGCTGTAGAGGAGGGATGGTATGACAGGTCTCGTTTGCGTGCGATGTGTTCGGCGGTGAGGTGAGCCAGTAATTTGGCATCGGTAAGCGTAGTCATGCATAGCGTTCCGTAGAGAAGATACCATGTTCCCAACCACCTCATCTCAAGCGCATCACTTTGTTCTCGCCAACGCCGATCTACACTGCAGCGTGCGTGGAAAGAGTGGAAGCAAGTCTTGACGAGTGGATCAGCGCAACCCCTGAAGTATCTCGGGAGGGACCGCGCGGGCACTAGCCGGTTCGAGGGTCCGCGTTTGGCGCGCAAGACAGGGTTGGAGGCTGGCGGCGCATCCCAAACGCCCTCCCACAATCCTCCTCCTTCTCATTCATCCTCCCCGCCCACTTCTCTCCATCTGTTTCATCCCGCCCACTCGCTCGTCGCTGCACTCGACACCCTCTTTTCGCTGCCCTTTGCTGCATCCTCGTCCAGTCGCGGCGGCACGACGTACTGCTTTCCGCCCTCTCTTCCCACCCTCCTTTCCCCTTGCCCCGAGTAGCGTGACAGCCCGGCGCTGTTCCCCAGGCGCTTGCGATCCCCGAGTCTGACTTCTCTGCAAGACTCGTCTCCCCCTTGACTTCGCGTGAGCGAGCACGATCTTTACTGAGCGCCGGCGCCCTTCACTTTGCTCTCGACAAACTCGGACGCGCGTACCTTTCCCATCCCTCTCCCACCCATCCTGCCCGCAATGCCTTGGTTCAAAGGCGGCGAGTCGAGTTCGCTGCGCAAGATGGAATTGGTCGGCGGAAGAAACTATGGCGGAGGGAGCAAGTTCAGCATGGACAACATAATCGGCGATCCCTTCTCCCTCGCGACGATAGGCATAGCGATTGTGAGTGCTTGCACATGAACATACCCTGAGGAGGAGAACTGACAGGCTAACGCTGTACAGTGTGGCTGGTTAATAGCATTCATCAGCTCCATCATCGCCGACGTCGAGACCAACTACCCCAACTTCGCCTGGTGGACGCTCGTCTACATGCTCGGGTGCATCATCGGCGTCTTTGTCGTCGTGGCCACCGATTCCATTCAGACATATCACGTTGCTCTGGTGGGCTTCATGGGTGCTGGCCTGGTCTTCACCACCTCCTCCGTAAATTCCCTCATCTACTTCTCCCAGGGCTCGAAGGAAGCTGGTGCAGCGGGCTTCATCCTGTTGTCCATGGTCGCCGTAAGTGAGCATGCTCTACCTCAGACGAGCACGCACTAATCCATCTCCAGATCGTCTGGATCTTCTACTTCGGCTCTCAACCACAAGCCGCCGGCCGCCAGGCCATTGACTCCTTCGCCCTCCACAAAGACCGCGGCCCCAGCAGGCGCCAGAGCCGCCACATGACCCAGTCCTACGCCGGCCCCGAAACACGCAATTCCGCGCCGCAAGTCGTCAACTCCTCCGCCCTCGTAGGCTTCGAAAACACCTCGCCGGTAGCAGGCTACCCAGGCGGCCGTCCCGGCGAGCTCAAACCAGACAACATGAACAACAACAGCCAGCCCTCCGCCTTCGCCCCGCTCCACCAACAACAAACCCAATCCCTACCCCTACCGCCCTCCCAGCTCGCCCCATCCAGCACCACCTTCCTCGGCCCCACCGGCCCCGTCCAGCCTGACAACCCCGCCACCCAGCCCACCGAATACCCCTACCGCGCCAAAGCCATCTACAGCTACGAAGCGAACCCCGACGACGCGAACGAAATCTCCTTCACCAAGCACGAAATCCTCGAGGTCAGCGATGTGTCGGGGCGATGGTGGCAGGCGAAGAAGGAGACCGGCGAGACGGGTATCGCGCCGTCGAATTATTTGATTTTGCTGTGATGGCGGCGCTCGCGGGCTTTGTGAATGACTGTTACGAAGGATGGGATATGGGTGCCTCTGTCTTACCCGCTTTTTGGGTGTCGAGGCGGTGCGAAGGAACGGCGGCGCGGGAGTGTCGTCCATGGTGCGTTTGGTTTTGCGGTTCTTTGTTTCCTTTCCCACCACTCTGGCGTGGCGCTTGATACGGGCAAATGATACCAGCGGTCCCTTCTTATGTGTACGTTGTTTCGTCGTCTCGTTTTTCCGGAATTCTACTCCTAGACGGTAGTCTACGTAAGAGCATAACGTACACGTCGTTGCCACTATTCTTCATCGTCAAGAATGAACTCTCACATCACTCATTTCCTTTCCCTGCGCTAATCCCCACCTCCTGGGTCGCTCCTTCCTCATACCACGACGTACTTCCTAATTGGGAGTACATTCACTTTTCCTTGCAAAATACACCACGGCATCACCGTACGACGAAAAAAAGATACGAGCTGTGTTCTAGGATGCCCCGGCGCGGGGCAAAAGGCCCGCAAGGTTATATACAATTCGTCCGGCCCGGTCTGAAGTTTACGCCCGCATTCTTGGTCTAATGGTTAGGATTGCTGCCTTCCACTTCGTTCCTAACTCGAACCCAGTGAGCAGCAGGTTCGGGTTCGATTCCCGAAGAATGCAGTCGCTCTACGCTTTCTTTTGCACCTACGGGTGTATTTTTGCCGTCTATATTGATCGAGAACGGCGTGGGTGAAGTTTTGGGGGGTTTGGAGGGGTTTGGGCGGCAGGAGGGTCGCGTGGCGGCGCTGGGGGCTTGTGGGCTTCGAGTTTGGTGGGGAACGATGCGGGCTGACTGGGAGAACGTTCGTTCGAGTCCGGGGGAGTGGTTTGGGGCCTTGGGAATGGTCTTTGCATTTATTTCGCTGATCTGGCCGAGGACCATTACCTGTTCCCCTTGGCGACTGGATGGCTGCTCTCCCGTCTACCATTGATGGAGTGTATCGTGCTCGACCTTTTTGAGTCCTCCGTGGAGCATGGGAATGAGGAGAACGGGACAAAAGGCACTCGCATTTCAACTGAACGAAGTCCCAACCTGGGCGACCTAGATGCCTGAACCTGTCCGCTTCTCATACGACTGTCGTACTCGACATCGACTGCACTCGACTCGGCAGAAGCTGCTGTAGTTGTCCCTGTGCTGTGCCAGTATCAGTAAGTGCGATAGGCACCGACATTGTCGAGCTGGCGGGCGAAGAGAAGGGCGCGATAGGGTCCGGGGCTGATTCCGCCGCCTTCAAATCTACGCAAAAATATCAGTGTTAGTGCGCTCGCATTCACCCCTGCCAGGGAACCACGCACCGAATGAGGACATCTCAATGTTCGCCATACGAATACTGTGCTCAAGCTGTTGCCTGAGGGCAGTATATTCGTGAGATTCCAAGTTGTGTATTGGCAAAATCGGATCGCTGGTTCTCTCTTGCGCCGGTGATGCTCGCCGCGAACGGCATAGCGGTGTAGCCGTGACTTCGACAGAGACTCTCAGCTCATTCGTGCTAGGCCTGTGGAGAAGCAAGGCTGTCTTGAAAGTGCGGTTGGTAGCGTTGAAGTCATCGTCCCAGCCTCGCGTCCAGGTGAATTCCACGTCGGTCATCCTCGTCCCGATGCACGACGGCGGACCCGCTGTGAACATCCATTTCTTCTCTGGCGTAGACTCGACATTTCGGCCGCGAGAGAGTCCACTAAAGCCGCCGCCGGCAAGTCCAGCATTGAGCGAAATCGCCGGGTCGACACGGCGATCGACTCGGACGGTATGAGACAATGCCGGCCCTTCGATTCCGTACTTGGGCGCATACGTGTCCACTTGAGGGATTGGATCGTTCTGCAGCGACTTCCGCCCTAGGCTGACAACAACCGTAGCACTTCCCAGCGGCGTGGTGGGGGGTTGCTGGAATTGAAGCTCGAAGTAGAGAACGCCGGCGACCTCGGAATTGACCGAGTCAATGCACCACCTCGGAGCCCATGTGGATCGCTTGCCCTCCAGTGTCACCCGAATATCATATTTTCCGACTCGATTGCCCAGAATCTGGGTTTCCGCGTTCGGGCTGGTCACAGGCGTTGGAGCTGCTGCTGCTGTCGCCGCCGCTACGAGGCGCTTGCGCGACCAGAGCGAGAACGTGCGCAGATGCTGGGAGCTGCTCATCTGGATGCCCTGTAGACCCGTCTTTTCCGTTCGATCGCCACTCTGTCAGCTTTGGTGGACGCAAGCAAGGCGCCGGCCGCCGTACTACTGCTCTTGTGTGCTACAGATAGTGCGTGCGCGAGCGATGGCGTCCTCGAGTCTTTATGGCCCCCAAAGCTGCAGCAGGTGTACGCCACATCACCCTGCATGAGCTCCCAGTGGTCTATCAGCTATGCCCCGCGCGACGTGATGAGACGCCACCTGGCGCTATTTGTGATCTCAGGAAGATGAGCACTTCGACGCTTCCTTTGTGCTTGGAACAACAACATCATGGCTGATCAGGCTCTAATGTGACCTGTGAGAACTGCTCCCGACCCCACGAAGTCGAGGACGAAAACATGACAGAAACGGCACGCGAGGCCACAGAAGCGTTATCGGGCGATGATGGCTTCAGCATGGACTTCTCCTTCGACGTCTTCGACATACCTGAGGAGATTGCCGCCTCTGTGGAGGAAATGATGCGCCTGAGCGCTCACGGGCACTTTGGGAAGGCTCGTGCCATTTCCGATAACTTGCTGGCGCATCATATGGACGTATTCCCCGTTGCAGCAGAACGAATGAGGCTTCTCTACGACCAGGGCGATTTTGAAGAGCTATCCCGGGTTAGTGGCGACTGGCTGGAGAGTGCTAATGAGCGTCCATGCTCTACGGAAAAGGAAGAACTACAACGTATCGTTCAAGTCATCAATCGTGTCGCAGCGGCCGAAAGAAGTTGGCCCTCAAAGTCTTGCAATCTGACTCATGTGCTGAGCAAGTATCCTCGAGGGGAGATCGATGAAGCAAGCCCTGAAGAGGTTGGCACTCAACACACACATTTGACTCTCAAAGTGTCTAATCAGACGCAGGTTCTAGAATTCGTTTGGACCGTTCATGAAGGACTTCTCCAACCCTACTTGACGATTGATTCGACGTCGCTCTTGAACTTCATGGGAGGCTTGCTGGACTCGCCACCAACCTGGGCTTGTGCCAGACTCGTAGAGCTCTGCACTCTGCAACTGAAGAGCGATTTGGCGCGCACTCTTTGGAGGAGTCCGCGAGCCCTCAACGCTGGCCCCTCGCGGGTGACGGGTGACGTTATCGGAACCGCGATATACCTCGATTTCGCGTTGGCTTCATACGAAGCTTACTTCGCGTATTCCCACAAGGACCCGGTATACTTTGGCGAGTCGGATGAAGCCGCAATATCTTCTGATCACAGAATTCCAAATCCTCGGTTCTACATTAAACAGATCATGCAAGGAGAGGATGCCATCTCGCTGGCAGGTATCAACAGTTTTGTAAAAACGTTGGAAGCTTCCGAACCGAAGAATGATTCACGGAACTGGCGGCGGGAACTGCGAAGCATCTTAATCAGGATAGACTACATGCTTTCCGAGAGCCACAAGAGAAACGCCCTGCTGATCAAGCCGTTGCTGACGGTACTAGAACGTTTGCGCGATCTGGCTGCCGGGAATGATGATAAGTACATGATGAGAGTCATCGCTTGGAGATCGCACAGGTTGGCATGGCTAGTCGATACGGAGGCCCAGGCGACATTACTACCAACGTCTTCTGCCGCGGTGGTTACGAAGTCCTTACGGGATAGACGCCGGGGTTTGCTACGTTCCGACCGTGTTCCTTCCGGTGTGTATAATGACTTTTTGGCGCGCGAGTGGCTCCACGCCCACCCCTCGGTCATGGACAGGCGGGGTATCTTCACCGACCCAATGCGGTGGAATAACATTCCCTCGCGCTCCTTACCGGCTTCATCGGAGCTGGCTCTCCTCAGCGAGGACTCCGATTGGAGCCAGGACTATCCCCTCGAATATGGGGCAGCTCGGAACCAAAGAGATATCTTCAGCAATGAGTCCGCCTGGGCTGAGAGCTCTCTCGTCAGCGACGAATCACTGAATAGTCAGGATGTCCTCTCCAGCGACGAGCGAGAGTACAACGTGATGCAGCCGCCAGTTGATGCCAGCAAGACTCAACCTGTGCGAGCAAACGCACGATCTGAAGGAGTGAAATAGACTTTCCCGCAAGCAGGCACTGGGAGTACGAGGAGGCGAGAATGTACGCCATTGCCTGCTGCAACATCCGTAGTAATGGAGCAAAGGATGTTGTACATGTCGTTGGAAATGGAGCCAATGCTTCTCTCGTATCGAGTACCTATATACATGCAGGACCCACTGGCCTATGCTGCTACTGCTTTCGCACTCGCGGAACCAGATCTCGCGGTTCCATCATCGCAAACCATCTGGATGTCCTTGTTCAATCATCATAGCCGTCGGGTATCTTTCGTGCTCCTTTCGGTACTGTAACACCAGATCAGCCGTACGCACTCACTCGTATCACTCGCATCACCACTGAGAGCAAGGTGCACGTACTCGGGTATGTGAGGGGAATCTGTTGTCGCGGTCCGTCACCCAGTCTGTGTCTAATTGGGGGCACCACCGCCTACACTTATGCGTCAGTATACGACTGCGTCACCTCGATGTCCGCTCTTGCATGTATCATACCACCATCACCGGCCCGATCCCACCGATTACCAAGCTCCAGAAGATTGCGGGTTTCGCGCGGGCGGCCCAGTGCATGTACTGGAACGGCGTGCTCCAGAAGCCGACGGGCGCCATTGTGGGCCGGATTGAGTGGAGTGAGGGCGAGGAGGATGACTGTAGTGAGGTCGAGGATGCCTGAAAGGCCAATTGCTGCGCGCTTGTGCGATGTCCGCGGTGATGTAGTGGGAAGAGGGAGGAGGAGAGGATGAGGTGCAATGGCAGAGCCGGCCCGTGCTCAGCACCTCCGAAGCTCCGCAAATTTAGAGTTTGGGGGGAGCGCGGACGGCATTGCTTGGCAGGGCTGTGAGACGAAACGTTTCCAGTTGGCCCAAATACAGCTTTCCCTCAGCACAGCAGTCCACGCCATTGCTGGCTTCTCACACACCCAAACCATGCGATCACTACTCTTAGGCCTGTTATTAGGCCTCTGCAGCCTCGTCTCGGCTTTGTCGGCTGTGGGGAACAAGTTGTTGGTGATTCAAGAGGATGAAAGCGAGAAGGACAATTACTCGCAATTCTTTAAGGATTTGGAGGGTGAGCATTGGAAGCGTCAATCGTCGTCGAGAGACTCAGCTAATATGGAATACAGCACGAGGCTTCCAAATCAGCCACCGAACACCCAAAGACTCTTCCCTCTCCCTCTTCCTCCACGGCGTACCAGCATACTCCCACCTCCTCCTCTTCCCCCCGAAATCCAAAGGCCTAGGACCAGAACTTACGGCCAACGTCCTCGTCGATTTCATCAACCAAGGCTCCAATGTCCTCCTCGCTCTTTCCTCCGACAAGTCCATCCCGAGCGCCGTCAGCAGTCTCCTCCTCGAACTAGACATTTCTCTTTCGCCAGACAGGGGCAGCCTCGTGGTGGATCACTTCAACTACGATACCAAGAGTGCGAGTGATAAACACGAGGTCCTCCTCCTACCCTCTCCCGATTCCAGCAGACAAGATGTGAAGAGCTACTTTGGAGTTCAGGGCTTGATCGCCTTCCCACACAGCGTGGGACAAGTTCTCGGCAATGCCTCCCCCTTCCTTGCCTCCGTCTTGAAAGCACCGGCCACATCATACATTTACAACCCCAAAGATGACAGCGGAGATGCGCTTGAAGATCCCTTTGCGACTGGCACGCAGATCAACCTCGTCTCGGCCTTCCAAGCACGCAACAGCGCTCGCTTCACGGTCTTCGGCAGCGCAGAAGCACTGCAAGACACCTGGTTCACAGCGTCTGTGCAACTCCCGAATGGTAAGAGCGAGAAGACGAGCAACCAAGAGTTCGCCAAGAAGGTTACGGGATGGACATTCAAAGAGCAGGGTGTTTTGAAAGCAGGCGCGATCCGACACTGGCTGGACGAAGGCGCGCAAAAGAGCACCACAGATTTGACCGTCCTGGATGTCAACCCAAGCATCTACCGCATCAAAAACGACGTGCACTACAGCGTCGAGCTCTCCGAATGGCAAGCTGATCACTGGGCCCCCTTCACCCCACCCGCAGCGGACAACGTGCAACTCGAAGTCTCCATGCTCTCCCCCTTCCACCGCCTCAACCTCGTCCCCAAGCAGCACACCGCCAACGCCACCCTCTACACCTCCGACTTCAAGCTGCCCGACCAGCATGGCATCTTCAACTTCTACGTCGAGTACCGCCGGCCGTTCCTGACGAATGTGGAGGAGAAGGTGACGGTGACTGTGCGCCACTTTGCGCACGACGAGTGGCCGAGGAGTTTTGCGATTAGCGGTGCGTGGCCGTGGATTGGCGGGATTTGGGTCACGATTGCGGGGTGGGTGGCTTTTGTGGCCTTGTGGTTGTGGTGTAAGCCTGTGGAGGAGAAGAAGGTGGCGGGCAAGAGGTGATGGGGGACAATGTAGCATTATGTTCTGAGTACTTGATGGAAAGGGAAGTAGATGGTATGGAATCGCATGATTGATCGCTATCTCTCTTCTCCCTTCTTCCTTTCGTACAAAACGCAGCAGAAAGACAAGCATTGACACACAGGAACACAGCCCTTCCACTCTCAACCCTCCGATCCCCTCAACTTCCCACTCCTCCCCATCTTCCCCTTCAAATCCCAAGCACCTCCCCCGTCCTGCGCCGCACCCACTCAAACTCCTCCCAATACAACCACCGATTCGCCGCATTCAGCAGCCCCAACACACACCCCACCACAATCAAAGCCAGGACACACCGCACCTTGATCGAGGCAAAATACTCCCTGCGCCGCTCCGCTCGCAGCGCTTGCAACTCCTCGCGCGTCGCTGCTGCATTTTCGCGCGCCCGGTCGCGCTCTTGCAGGGCGAAGGTTTCGCGCGTGCGGAGGCGGTTGATCAGCGCTGTTGCGGCTTGGAGGTTGGTTGTTAGGGTTTTGCGGGTTGCGTGGAGGGTTGCGAGGTCTGTGGTTGCGGAGATGGGAGGTGGTGCTGTTGGTGCTAGTGCTGGTGTGTTTACTTGTGGATGCATCGTTGCCATCTCTGGAAGGATGTCGGGCTGCGTTGTACTCTCCTCCTGCCCTTGTTGGATGATGTCGTGCTCGAAGTTTTGAAACCCGTCAATTTCGGGCGCGATGGCGTTGCGGCGCTCAGATGTTGGAAAGTATGCTTCGTGGTTTGGAGATTGAGAAGTCTGGCGGAAGAGGTTGGCGAAGAAGTTGCCGGTGTGTGAAAGTGAAGGGCCGGGTGAAGGTGAATCGTCCCGAACGGTGAAGGATGGCGTGGGGCTCACGGCGGGTTGGAAGGCGCCGAAGAGTGACTTCGTGTGTGACGGCTGGGGGGTTGGGTATGCGTTGGCCGTAGCACTCGATGTTGGGAGCGGAGTGCGTGGTGACAGTGGAGGTGAATCAAGCAATGCACTGAAGGTAGAGTCTGAGGTCGTGGCCCCAGAGGGTGAAGGAGAGGGCCAGGAGTCAGGGATGATGGGGGCTTGGTCGTCGATATTCGTGGTGGAATTTGTCGCCGACATGTGACGGATGGCAGCAGGCTTTCGTTGTCTTGTGACTGTTGGTAGGGCGTTATGGCATGCAGGACAGGAGGCTGCTTCGGCTTCTGATCGATGGACTTTGTTCGCCTCACACCTCTTCCATCGCCCGGTTCCTGCGATGGTGGCCATTGCGTTTGCGTGTGCGGTTGGGATGGAATGGGGACATGATGATCTTTGGGAAACAGCATCGGATTATATAGACGGTCGGCCTGGTTTGTGACTTGTCTGCCGTGAATGTCTCTGGATTCCAAGGTTGTGAATGAACTGCTGGCTCAGTTACGATGTTGAATGCGGATCGTGCTGGAATCCTTTGTTCGTAGTCGAAGGTCTTCACACGGGTTGAGAAGTCTGAGATGGTCAGCAAGGTGAATACTATCTCACAACCAGTGACGTCCGTATGATGTTTCCAGTGCATGTGTCTGTCTCGTCCCGGGACAGACTTTCTTTGTTGATGCGAGTCCTCCTCAGACCCTCCGAGACATGTGTAGTCTAGCTTACTGACCTCATGCTGACACCAGCGTGAAGCTCGAAAGGTGAATTGGAGTCGCGAATAAATGCTCATAGCGTTCGTAGAAGAGGCTGACGCTCGTAACTGGCGTTCCTCCATAATCCGTCGCCGTACCATAGCAAACGACTGATCATCAACACCCCCTACTCCAACCGCTTCTCCCACTCCAACACCTCCGGCATATCAATCTCCCCCACCCTCAACTTGCTCCGATCCTTCTCAATCCCCTTTTCAATATGCGGCCAAGGGCCAACCGGCGTGATAGCCTTGGGGTTAATATCAAAGTGACTCTTGGTGTAGTTCTCCTTGATATGCTTGAAATCGGTAGTCTCCCGAAAAGCGGGACACTCCCAGTGCATGGTGCGCAGCCAGTTTTCCAGATGCGGGTAGGAGTAGCGGATGGTGCCGAGATTGCATTTGAAGTGCTGGACGTAGACGACGTCGAAGCGGATGAGCGTTGCGTAGGCGCGGACGTCGAGTTCGGTGAGGTGCGTGCCGAGGATGTAGGGGCCGGGGTTGGAATGGAGGATTTTCTCGAGTTTGTTGAGGGCTGCGAAGACGGGGGGCAGGTTTTTGATGTACGTTTCTTCGTCGGGGGCGAAGCCGGCTATTGCATGTTAGGGAATGATCGTTCACTCGCTCGCCGTGATCTCACCTTTATATACACCGGTGTTGAGATCGCGCTGCATCCATGCGCCGATGCGGTCGATGTCTTCTCTCAACTCCTCGGGATACAAGTTGATCTCTGCAAGCTTGGAGGGTAGTAAAGTATTAAAAGCCGTCTGCATATCCCGCAACAACTCCAAAGACTCGTTGTTGACAATAGTATTGAGCTTCTTGTCCCACAGCGCAGGAACAGAGTACTTGCCCTTGTAATCCGGATCGGCTTTGAAGTAAACCTCATGCATAAACTTGAACCCGAACAGCTTATCATCCGTAGACCCTTCGTACTCATTCTCCCGGTCATCGGGATGATTGAATCGCCAGCCCGGCCAGCCATCCGTGCCCTTGGGATAAGCGCGGACAATGCTCGTATCGATGCCGGCGTACTTGTCGAGCTGTTTGAGGTGCATCATGACATTTGGGCGATGGGCGAAGGGGCAAAAGAGGCCGATGTAGAGATGATAGCGGCCTCTCTCGGCCTTGAAGGGGCCATCTGCAGTGATTTTGCCGTGGAAAGCATCGTCTGGACCGGAATGCCAGGAGGATGGCAGGCCATTTGATGATGCCATGGTGCGGGCTAGGTTGGGAGATGAGCCGATGACGCTTGTGAGTTGCTGTAGACGTTGTAGCATATAGAAGCAAGAGAGCCGTCGCTTTTTCGACTTGTACAGAGATATGCAGATGGACAGTAAATGATGAAGTATTGATTAGCTGCACATGGTTGATTGAAAATCAATGTTGCCATGCGGAGAGGTGAAGTCGAGTACAGCGGAACCACTTCCGCCTCCAATCAGCATGCGCATACTTCGCTCATTATTGCACAACCACTGCCTTACCTATCCCATTTCCTCTAAGACATCATACCCGCCAAGATTGCAGTACGACATAAGTACACAAATGGGTAGATTCTGCAGTACGCATCAGCCATGCATGTTCTACCCGCGCCCGCACTCTCACTGAGGCTTGGCAGAGACCACACGATGGCGAAGCACATGAGCGATGGCATAGCCGCCTTCTTGGAAAACGCACAAAGACCGCGAGACTCAACAGTGTAGTCTTAACACCGTCTTGGTGCCGTCTATCAATCACACTTGGCTGCCGTAGATGCCTTGGTATTCCGAGCCGGCGAGTCTTGGCAGGAGGGGCCGATGGGGCTGGGGGGCCTTGGGCCGATGTCATCCACTCGTTCTCTTGCGAACCTTGTGCCTGCTCAGCTGCTCAGCCTTGCGGGGCGAAAGAGTCACCTACACCCGCCACCTGACCCGCATCCTCTCATGTCTTCTTCTTCTTCTTCCACACCAACAACATCACCCCCGACCCCCCGCCAGCTATGCCTGCGTACGACAGCGACGCCTCAACGCTCGTGGGCGGACAGCACACTCACAGACCACGCCACCGGCCCGAAACCCGCTCGCGCTCTCCCACCCGCAACGACTCCGCCCAACCCGACGCAAACCGCGCACATCCCAGCTACTTCTCCCCCGGTTTCGATGAGCACACGGCAAAGTACGTCAAGATAGGCGGGGTGGTCCTCGTGGCCGGGATCGTCGGAGTTCTGCTGCACAAATGGCAGAAGGATCGGGAAGAGCGGCGGGAGCGAGAATATCGGCATCAGAGAGGAAGAGAGTTTGAGAAGGCGAAACGGGCGAGGAGGACGGAGGAGGAGAGGCGGGAGAGGGAAGAGGAGGAGTTGGCGGGCGGCACGTCGGCGCCTGCTGCTGTACGGAGGATTGAATACCGCGCTGTCGATCGCACACAGTCGAACTCGAACTCTAGCTCGTCCGGATCACGGCGACGAGCTGAACCAGCGTCAGGGAGAGGGGAGAGAAGAGGGAGGAGCTCAGGATACGATGCACGATATGATGACGGGCGACGGTCAAGATCAAGGGCTTATTGAGAAACGAAGTCTCTTGAACGAATCACGCAGCGTTTGGCACTGGAGTACGGGCCTATCACGAATGACGATGTCACGTCGGAATGAATGCAACGTATTATAGCCGGACAGTAACTAAATAGATTCTCCACGCCGCACGGCTAGATAAAGGTGATGCTACGGGCGGTGACGGAGAATAGGCATCTTTAAGCTTCGACTTAGGCCACACGGTGTGGGTCTTCCGTCCGACCCATCAATCGTATTGCGACTTCACCTTTCTCTCACCATCTTTCACCCGTTCTGTAAAGGCATCCAGTTCCTGCAACACCTTCAGGCAAAATGACTCAATTTAATTGCGCTGTGGAGCGCTGCTACTCTAAGAGGGTATTCAGACGCTAGAAACGAAGCCTTTTCACCACACCGACCCTTGACCATCTCCAACCACAACAGCTGTCTGAACACCGACCGTTCGTCTCACTCTGATCGATCGTTCCGCTCAGCAATCGAATGCCGCTTGGACTGGTCGCGTCCAACACACCCGTCGAACTTCACTCGTCCCACTGCACCAAGTCCTCAGGATTGTTCTCAGCCGTCCACAAGACAACATTTTCGTAGCTGCATCGTTCCTTCGGCAGCTCTTGACCTCCTTCAATGGCTGCAGCTGACGCCACATCGTCACCCAGGAACGGCAGTGGAGAACAGCACCGATGATCCGACAGACTGCGGAATCGAAACGGCGCCGGATCGATCTCCTGAGCGAGGCAAGCTTGCCGCCACGCCTCGGCCTTTTTCTCGGCCATTTGAAGTGTTCTGCAGAGCTCTTGCCGTCTTAGCGAGTACGTATCTCCCGCTTCATGCCCTGCAGATAGGGTTTCGTGCAGAGCGGTCGCAGTGTCTTCGCGCTCAAGTATGTCTTGCAGATGATCGGCGTCCAGTTCTTGGAGTCGCTGTCGCGCAATGTAGACTTTGCGCTCTTTGCTGTAGTAGCTTTGCACAACCTCTGGCAAGCCCGACGAGGATTCCGTGACGATTGAGCTCGCGTCGTCGTCGTCGTCGTCTTCGTGCGCTTCGGAAGCGGTGGCGTCTCCGCACGTCGGGCATTCACGGCCTAACTTCTCGTGCTTCGGGTCGCGTATCTCCAACGCGTCGAGAGCTCGCTGTGCCGCTGCGACAGCTTGGAAAGCTCCCTCTAGCGCCTGGAGAGATTCAGACAGAGTCGCTCGCGCTTGCTGTAGTTCCAGGCCAGCCCCTCCATTGGACGACTTAGCCCCAAATACCATCTCCTCCTCCATTGGACTCTCGCGCTGACCGGTGTACTGATCGGCCTGCGGAACCTTGATCCACCCGTCATCTTCCGAGGTCTCAACGAGACCTGATTCGTCTGTTACGGCGCCGACTTCCTTGCTCTTGGTAACCGACATGATAGAACTCCGGACTCGATACGCCGCAAAAGAACGAAAATCCAAACAGTAAAGCAGAACAAACGAGAGGAAAGTGCAGCGCAAACCGTCAGATTTATGCCGGATCCGGGCGGCCTTGAAGGAATGCAATCAGTCCCGTGGGCCACCTGTGCTCAAATTAAATCGACAACGTTCGATGCCGTGCGCACCCGCCACTTTTGGCCACCTGTCACATCTCCGCCATCTTTCCATCGACTGATGACAGATGGCTGGGGTTATAGGTCGTACGACGCAAAGGTGTATACCCTGCATATTCCACACAGGCTACATACCCCGCCCCGCGTGCCGGTCTAGTACAAGCAGCGGCATGCGTTGTTAAAACTGGGGTTGTGCTACGATCGTCGGAAACAAGGATGCACGCTTGCATGTGAAACCTCGGAGCGCCGTTTACCTTCTTGCTTTTTGACTGGCGCTTCGTATTAAACCGAGAGCATATCCCAACGGCAGCTTGCAAGCTGCCGTTTTGTCTCACGGCTTCCGATGCGATAGTCGTTGCGCACCGCTTTGCGGCCTTTCCCTCCCTGCCTTCGCCACATGAGCAAGTCATGTGGCACGGCGGCGGATACATGCTCCGATCATGGCCTCTCGCCCCTTCGCCACTCCCGCCGCGTCTGTGCGCCGGTTCTACGATAGCGACACTGGGCGATACGTGACTTGGTCTGAAAGGAACCGAGTATATGTGGACGACCGGGGGCAGGTAGTACCGTCGGGGCGGGTCCGCGAAGTCGCGCCACAAACCACCCAGAATGTCGGCGGTCGCGACGAAGCTTCGCGATCCGCTCCGCGCCGCGCTGGAGACGATCAACCACGCCAAGGCACCTCGAATGACAAGGGAAAACAGCCTGCGCGACAGGATGAACGACACAGCGATCCACGCCAGCCGCCTGCAAACAGTGAATCGCGGCGGGAGAGAAATACTAACCAGTCCTCTCAGAATGTTGTAAAGAGCAAAAGCGCCGGGAGGAATGAGAAAGAGTCGTCAGGCCGTGAACGCAGTGGTCCTGAACAAGCAAATCGACGTCCTTCTGATGACAGAGTCGCCCGGCAGGCAGCTCAGTCGACCGGTCAGCAGCGGTCGGATCAAGACTCCAGGATAGGCAACGTCGTTTCCAGCAACACAGTTGCATCGAATAATCCACAGCAACCAGTGGTTCGATTTCAATCTCCAAACACCGCCGCCGACTCTACTCGCACCCCTCTCTCAAGCATCCTGTCCGGTGACAGTAGGCCGAGAGTGTTCACGGCAACGGATCCGGTGACTGGTGCGATCACTTACTGGGAAGTGACCGCCTATCAACTCTCCGACAACACAACCGGCTCTCAACGCTCTTTCAAACGTATTCGCGCATCCAATGGCAATACTCCGCCAAACAGAACTAGAGGCCAACGGGATGCTCGAACACTCGAGGCCAATTTTGCTCCTGGCACGGTCGTCGAGGCCAAGGTAGTCACGCCGCCCCATCCCGCTTTGTCCACTGTAACGCGCTTCACCCCTATTCCCAACCCGAGTCAGAGCCTTTTGCGGTCGCGATACTTTGTCATCGTCGAGCAACGCCGAGACAGTTTCCTAGCCGTCGCCATAAAAACATACAGCTTCCAAGGGGTAGCCGCCGAAGGCGTCACCAAAGCTCATCACGCGATCATCTACACGCAGAGCGGCAAACACAAGCAAAGAGGTCCCCACCCCGGTGGCCCTCCAGAACCGACCCCCGCAGAGATGCCTAGGCAATTGCCTGGAGGCCATCTTGAGAGCGGCATGCAAAACCCGCCCATTCGGGTGAAACAAGTGGATCTCACCAAAAAACTCGACCCAATGTCTCGCGTTGATTACACCGATCGATGGGAATTCGACTACGGTGTTTCCCACATCAGAGTATGGGGACAAGTGCACAGGGATTCTCGCGCCGAGTTTCGCCTGCAGTATGAGGGCGTCTGGGCCGCAATCTACCGCTCGGCGACAGGGCCTATGCCTCCACTTCCAGGGAGCATAACACTTCCGCTGAGGCAGTATCCTGGCGGAGGCGCTGGAATACACGATCAACGAGGACCAGGCACAGGAAAGTCTGCACGAAGCAATGCAGTCGCTGCGCCCTCGAGGGACCCTCGCACTTCAGCTCCTCGCACTCCAGCTGCTGCAGTCAGCGGTACTCCAGCCTTCCAAGTCCCGATCCACGCGCGACCAAACTCAGGACCAATCACGGAAAAGCAGTGCACCGCTCTCCTGCAGCAATATAGAGACCATGCGGTGATGGTGGGTTTTACGCCGCCTTCCGCAGCCAGTGCGACCATTCAGCAACTCGCGAGCGATTCGCGAGCCCGCGCGAACTTCCTTACGCAGGTCATGGACTGGTGGCATCAAGAAGCGGTACAACGGCAAGCAAGGCAACAGCCCGCACTGAATACAGAAGCAGTACAGCGACAAATAAGACCGCAGCCGCTGCCTGCTCGCCAAGGCCGTGGGATCAGCAGTTCAGAGTCGAGCGAGTACACCGATGATGAGGACGAAGAGTACTACCACGATCGCCCTTCGAAGAAGTGAGATTGATTATGCTCTTCACACCCTCGACTAGGTATACCAGTCTGGCGTGGAGACTCCTCCACATTTTTCGACCTTCCAACCAAAATACGCAACAGTCCGGTCGATAAAGGGAGCACAAGTGCTCCTGCTCGGCTTGACAATTACCTCTCCGCCCTCCTCCTTCATGTAGGTTGACGACCGAGTCGAACGCCAGACGTTTCGCGTCGAGCACCTGCCGCTTGTGGTGCTCAAGACAGGACCGGATGCATTGGGGCACTCGGGCATTGTACCGGGTTGGGCATGCTCCGAGGGGATTTTTGTTTTCCTCCTCCTCCCTTCAGATTGTACAAACACTTCATATGGACGGTTTTGTTTGCAGATTGGCAGAGAGCATGTGTCGAAGCGACGGCTGGAGTTGCATACTTTAGGTAATGGTTTGACGGCCGTATTATGACACTTACGATCAACAAATGCCCAATTGTCTTCTTTCCTTTTACATCACGTGCCGACCGAGCTGGAGCCTTCCATTCATCCTAGATGTCAGATATGGAGAGGCAAACTTTCTCATATTAAGTATATTATCCAATAATAATGTTCATCGTTCAGGCGGTCGTTATCGTCGTTAGTAGAGTGGAAATAATGAATATCTCGTCAAAAAGGCCGATAGATATAGCGCTGGCCGGAATTTGCCTCCTTGCAGGCCATATCGGTGGGGGGTGAGGGCGTCAGTCAGGGTCCTGCTTCGTCTTCTCCTTGAATATGTATGCATAGCCGTTCTCTGTCAGCTTCTGGAACAGCTGGCCCCATGTCGCATCGGGCACGCCTTTCGGTCCAGGCTCCGCCGCGGCTTCTGGTGCAGCGTCCGGTGCAGCGTCCGGTGCAGCTTTGGAAAGGTCGTCCAGTGCAGAATCTAACGGCGCAGCTTCAGGTACATCCTCCGGGCCAGCCTGATCGACTTGACTCATCCAGCCTGTGATACGTGCGGCAGCGGTGAGCCCTCCGGAACCCTGCTGCGTCATCTGCACTCCGACCGGTCGCGCCTGCGCAATGGGCTCCGACTCTTCCGACTCATCAGCACGTGACGGGCGCGTGCTGACGAACACATCGACCTGCTGGCGGCGATGAGCATTAGGATCCAATCCCGCCTGTTTACACAAAGCTGCCAAGATCTCGACTTCGCGCTCCGCCCGCTCGAGTTCGAGTTCGATATCACGGCGCAGCAGGCGGTAGTTCTCTTCAAACTGCTCGTCGGAGACTTCGAGTTCGATTTCGTTGTCTTGGTCGCGGAGGAAGTCTCGCACTTCCAGCCCTTCCAAGTGCGCGATGTCGAGCTCGCGAATGCGTCCCTTGAAGATGCCGACGTCACCGCTTTTGTCGAAGAAGTCGAGCACGAGGGCAGGCGTGTCGCTCTCGGAGGAAGCGACGGAGCTGGGGTCCGAAATGCTGAGTTCCATGTCCAGCAAGTCTCCCTGGAGGTGCTCGGCGAAGCCGGGCATGCGCATGGTGGCGAGCAGCTGGGTTTGCATTTCTTTGACGCGGAACTCCAACGAGTTCAATTTGCTGGTGTGTTCATGGACGACGAGCTCCTGCTGCTGAAGAGCTCGATAGCTTACGGTGTACTGCTCGTACAAGTCGGGAATGTTGGCGGCAGGCGCCTCAGAAGTCCCGAGAGCGCTATCTTTGTTGGCAGAGACCTGGTCAGAGGAGCCCAATCCGCTGTCAGGGTTGGTAGAGGGGCCAAGGCCGCCATCTCTGAGGGTGCTGACGTCCATTCGTGGGATATTGCTGTCGCCAACGCCAAATGTGGAGGAGAGTGACGAGCCGGTGTTTGGTGCCGAGGTTGGGTCGGTGTGACTGACGGAGGTCTGATCGACCGAGCTCTTCGTAGTCCTCCTTTTCTTCTTTTTCTTCCTTGACTTTGGACTTTCCAGAGAGTCCGTAGTGATGCCTTTGCCCAGCACCGCAGACATCAAAGCGTCCGTGGCGCTGTGTTGGTACTTTCTATAACCCTCTAACTTCTGGCATTCCTGTCTCCACTGGACACGCACGTCCAGCACGGTCTCGAGGTCTTTTCGAAGGCGGCGTAGGTGAAGCGCGAATGTTTCTCTCTCCTCCGCCCAATATTTGCCCATATCTACGTAGACCTCATCTTTCCCGCTCTCTGCGTAGACGTCGTCGTCGCTCGTCTTTGCATAGACATTGTCATGACTCTCCTCTGCGTAGACATCATCTTCTTGCATCGCGGTCGATTCGATAGCTACCTCAATTGCGAAGGGATCGTCGTCAGCCGCAGGCATCACGAAAGGTCGACCCCGGTGCGCGAGACGGTCGTCACGGTCGATCGCTTCGATCGACCGCTCTCCCGAGGGTGAGCGTGGCAGAGGAGGCTTCTGGCGATTGTGCAATTCATCGCTTCGGGCGTCATGGGGCCCAATTCCGGTCCTTGATCTTCGAGGAATGGAGGTTGCGCGCAGGGAAACGGCTTGCTCGCGCTCTGCAGTCATATCATGTGCTTGTTGGTAGCAGCACCGATGTCCTTCAGTCGTTCATGCGCCCACATCGGTATATGATCAGGTACTCAGGCTCAGCGATGAAGCTTGAGCACATTCAGTGAGGATGAGGCTGTATGAGACACGAGATGTACGGGGTGTCGTGTGTGAACGTTGGCCAAAGGTGATGTACGGGCGGTCGCGTGCAGCCTGATACCCAGGGCGACGCGTTGACGTGTCACTGTCGTGTCGAGGCACGTCTCTCGTCACATGTGGCGCATGTCAAGCCACCTTCGATTGCCGCTGGTGTGGCCGGGAGTTGAGGCGAGCGATTAAAAAGAATTAGGCAAATTTGCGACGAGGGCGAGAGATGGGAGGGCTGAGCTGCATCTCCGACGGGAGCTCTACATCTCACTGTACCTTCCCCGCAAATGATCATGTGGAAGACACCTGCATGGAGGCCACCAGCAGGGGGCGTTCAACAAGAAGGGTTCAAGCGGTTAAGCCGCGCCAGTCCGGTGAGCTCTCCCAGTTTATGACTCAGCATGCAAAGTCCAGCCAGAATCACTCCACTTCACCCTTCCATTTCTTTCTCGCAAAATAGGCGGTGGACCCGGCGCTACCTCTAGACATTCAGCTTCTAACGTCAATGAGACACACTCCGGTACACGCCCTGGGCTCGAATAATTTTGGTGATCATCACCTACACCTTGCCGCCTACGATTGATGACTCGCTCATCTAAGCCCTGTTCATAGCATCAAGGCAGCACTGAGTCTGGCAGTGAACGCTTGCTGTGAAACAAATGCAGTGCAACTTGCGTTGCCTCTCCGGCGGAGCACGAATGTTGACAAATCTACAACTGTGAAGCTACTCCCTCATAACAGTTCCAAACGCCTTCACCATTCTGCACCGGAAGACGTCACAACTCTTGCATCATTTGTCGAGCTCAACTTCCAGCGCTGTGGTGCTCGTCTCCATTTGCCATCGCATGACCTTCTTCGGTGGCCGGACCATCCCCCCTGGCAGCGACGTCGGCATTTCCACTTGCAGTGGAGGCACGATGTCGACGCCCTCTCGTCTTGCTAATGGCAGCGTTTCGGGTCGGCTCGAGGAACTTGATAACGTCGTCGTGGATCCATCCCATCTTCACCAAATCGTTGTACGCCCGGTGGTACTGCGAGGATGAACTCGAAGACGTCGTTCCACCCGGACGACGCTCCGCCACTTTCACCGGCGACGCGTGTCGCGTGTCCTCCAAATTCACATTCCTCCACTGGCTCACGAGGTTCGCCACCGAGTCACTGTTCACCATCCCGAAGCTCTTGACCTTGGCGTAATGCTGGATGGTTTGTGGTCGGCCGAAGTCCACTCGTGACAGCGGATCGAGTTTCTCCTCGTTCCTATCAGCATCAACGCGGATAGCAAACGGCTGCATCAATCCCTCTTCGGGTAGCGGCTCTGCTGCTACCCTGCCCGAGTAGATTATGGCGTGGTCGCTAGCCTTGATTCCCCACTTGCCCGTCGCTCTGTGGCCGTAGGAATTCACGGGGACCGCCTGGCAAGATAGAGGGCCCTCCCGCACCACCACCCATGGGCGGGTTTTTGCAAACACCCACTCGCCGGGCGAGATCTGCGTCAGGGACCCGGAGCGGGTGGAAGTGCTCCTGCTGTCGTCGTATTTCGGGTCGAGTGGCTTGCCCTTGTGGTCGAATAAGTCCGGGAGTCGGGCATAAAAGACCTTCGAAACGCATGTTAGCTCTGGGCTGCAGGGCAGTGGGAAAGAGCGTCACCCACCTTGCCAACTTTGAAAAAGTTCTTGGGTTCTTTCGCCTTTTTGAGTTCTGTCTCAATATTTAGTTGGAATCGGAGGTCTGGCACGGAGTGAGGAGCATCTTACCGTCTTTGTGAGGCTCCGATACCGCGTGATGAGAGTCCCGACGCTTGCCTTTCACTGTCGGGGCCGCGGACAAGCTGACGTCCGCCGCGGCTGGACTGTTTGAGATTCTGTCGCCACTCGCAGCCGACTTCTCCTCTTTCAATGATCGAGGTGGACTCTCTGACTGAGACGCCTGATCAAGTTCGATGTCCATCGAGTCAGTGGGAGACGAATCGGGTGCGGGCCTTTGGTCGACATCGTACTCCATCGGACCAGCAGTACGATATTCCGGCAGAGGCGGCATGGCGAGGCCGCGAGGACGCTGCTCGAAATGTCTCGGAGTCGCATTGTCCACGGTCGTTTGTACAACAGCTGCCTGGGGATCGCGGTGAGCGTAACTGCTTGTCTGAACAGCGGAAAACGCTGGCGGAGACATTTGACCTGGGCTGTACTGAACGAATGCACCGTTTCGGAGGGTCAGTGAATACGACGAAGGTGGATGATCGTGCTGAGGCGAAGCAGCGAGCGCTTGACGTCGGTGCGTGTCGAGAACAGCCTCGCCGGGAGGAAATCTCGGCGTCGAAGCATTCAACGATGCCCTTGTGTGGCTATCGTGGAGATAGTTGCTGTCCTGACCAGCCGATCCGGCGAATGTATTCGTCGCCTCCGGACTATGCTGATGGTATCGATCGTTTCGGTACGTCGAAGGGGTTGACGAAGTCCCGACCGCCTCAGCCTCGTGACCTGAAGCTCTTGCGAACGGAGGATGAGAAGATTGACTATATGATCCATCCTCGTAGCGCACCCGGTTCGTCGCCGGCTCCAAAAAGTACCATCGCCGCGCAACCGCATCCCAGATCCAGTTGTCTCTGGGCGGCAGCCACTGCGGCCAGGTAAAGTTCATCATTGTGCTGCCGAGGAGCCGCTGGATAGACTAAGCGCACATTCACTTGTGATCCATGGCGTGATGATTAAAAGGACGGGGTTGGGAAAGGCGAGGGCATTTCCACCAAGGCATTTCGCGGAATGAAGGTGCATGCATGAATGGTGAGGCGTCCAATTCCGCCGGAACTGAGCTGTCCCCCTCATCCTCGTGCATGTATCCTGTACATGATACTCCGAGGCTGATTGGGCGGGTTTTGCAGTGCTATTTTCATTACATGGCTTCATGCTGTGCTGGATCGGATCTAATCGTAGAGCAATTGTCATTTCTTGCGATGCTTTTGATTCATCTATACATCATATATCAACTTCCTCAATATCTTTGACAGGCAAGGGTAGAGGCGCACGAAATCGCGAAAGTCTCGTTGCCAAAAGCCCCGCTGCTTCCGTGGTGCGAACCGTCAGCCTCGTGCGGACCGGCTGCGGCCAATGCGAACCGTGGCATTGCCACTCCACTGCGTTGTTCACAAATCTGTTAAGCATTTCTGCATGCCGGCATTTCTGTCGCCGCCCATCATGGTGGCTCACTGGTTTGACCTGCCGCCGTCTTGTTGAACGGCGCCGTTCCTGGCTATCGATGGCCATGTCCTGCGCCGTTGGCATTACCGGAAGTGTCGAAATCACGATCCTGGTATATCGCAGCGTGCTCGTGGCGGCCGCCGAACAGCCCAGCCGTGCTGTAAAGATGACCGGAGCGCACGCCAGCCTCGAATCCAAAACCGGCTCACGGCCGCTGTTGCATATTCAACGCGCTCGCATTCGCCGACTCCTCAAGCATGTGCCCAATCATCTGTATCAGTCAGGCATTCCTCCCCCTCTCCACCCACAGCTCGCCGGAGCACGGCTCCTGATTCTTCACAAACTGCTCCACGCGATCGAGGAACCAACCCGACTGCACCGCGGGGTTCGCCTCGCCCCACTGCGGCGAGCCGCTCTTCTTGCACTGCCCGTCCTTGTAGGCGAACTGGGCGCAGTAGTCGTCGTCGTCGCACAATGTGCGGCATGCGCTGTAGGAGTCGCAGTCGAGGGCGTTTTCAAAGTTGCCGCTCATGTTGTCCCAGCCCATTTTGGCGCCTTTGGTGGCCATGATGCGGGGCATGATGTAGGAGATGAAGACGTCGGAATGGCGGACAATTTCGCCTTTGCCCTGGGTGGATGTCAATCAGGTGGGAAGAGGGGTGCAGGGGATGCTGCAGACTCAACGTACTTTTTCCAGCCAGTCTTGTTCAAAATTCCAGATATCCTCCACCTCGCTCGGCGAGAGATGATGGTAGGAGATGGTGGGATAGCACCATAAGCGCTTCCGGTATTCAAAGCGATCGTACTCGATTGAACCCGGCTTGACGCCCTGGATGGTTGGCCAAGCCCAGGTGAGGTCCACCTCGGCGTCTGTAAAAGCTTTGCCGAGAACGCAGTCGCCGGCCCAATGCATGGCGGTGAATTTCTCCCATTCGTCTTGGTTGGCGACGAACAGATCCACCACCATCCGTAAGGCTGCTTGCGAAGCGAAGATGCCCGAGCCGCCGTGGGCGAAGACCACGCTTCCAATCTGCATCTGCGAGCCCATGTACCACGGCTCCTTGTGATCCAACGAATTCAAATAGGCAAGGGTGGTACTCCAGAACATGTATGTGTCGGTCTCCACGAATATGTACCACTTCATGTCCGGGTACATGTTTAGGGTCCTGTTCACCATGGGCAGGAACTTCCACTTGTCGAGCTTCCATCCCGGATTCGAGCCCTTGCCCGTCATGGGGGAGACCTTGCTGTCCGGCCCACTCAGCTCGTCGGGTTTCAGGGCCGCCCGGCCGCCCGTCTGTAGTCTGCGCCATAATTCGAAATCCTTGTTTGCGCCGCGATAGTCCTGGTTGACGAACTCCAAGGCGTCGATGATGTGGTGGCCTTCGTATTCCTCCTCGACATCGGAAAAGATGATGTAATTTGGATAGCAGGAGAATGTCGTGTGGAAATGGACGGGCAGCTTGTCCTGCAATTCCGTCGCTCCGGTCTTGAGGATTACCAGAGCGTCCTTGGCGCCGGGTAATCGGGCGCAAGGAGGAGAAGTCGAGGTGACTTGGCCGAGCTTGTGAGTTGCCGGAGCTGCAGACCGGGACGTAGAGGTAGATGGAGTAGGAGTCTTTCCGTATAGAAGACGTAAGGTTAATAAGAACAGGCCAAGCGCCAGGATAGATGTGAGTAGCGATGCTCTTCGCAAACGCCGATAGGTTGCCATGTTGCGGTCGGCCGTTCGGCCCGTCCAAGGAGACGACGCCTCCGCCTCAGAAGGCCAGCGGGGTTACAATGCTGATAATCGGTCGGCTCGCAATGGCATTATATTCCGCCAAAAAGGAGAATGTAGAGGCCGCGGAAGAGACCGTGGATAAGTAGACCATGCAACCAAAGCAAAGGATGGTTCTGGGTATATCCAAGAGGCAGCGCGCTGGGATGGGGTGAGGTGGAAGAGCAGACGTCGAGCGAAAGAGTAGAGAAAGACAGGTGCGGGTGGCTTTCGCTCCGCAGGTGGAGCTGCTGAATGGAGCGATGCTGGGTCGTACTGGGGGGCGAAGGGGGGATAGAATGGAGAGATAGTGAATAGGGAGGTGCGCGCCAAGGCACGTGGCGAGTAATGGAGTGGAGTAGGGTGGGATGAGGTCGCTCTTGCCTCGAAATTACCAGCTTGCCATGTGGTGTTGGAGAGGAGGTTCTTAGATTACTACTGTAGTATAGAGGCAACGGCCGAAGCGCTGCGGTTAGCCGAATGGCGTTAAGCTGGCAGCTGAATAGGGGATCCAATAGGTCGGCAATCAAATCGGGCGCGCCACCCAAGAGCCTACCGCGCCGTTGTACCCGAAGCCCACGTGCCGCGGGGTGGGCAGAAGCAGAGTCTCGCGTTCGCATACCGTAGCAACGTGAAGTCGGGGAGACGGACGTTATAGTAGAAAGCGATGGAGAATAGGGACATGGTTCACTACTAGCACAAGCTTTAAAACATCCGCACCAACCATGTATTATTACTCATGCCGTATGAAGCACATCGTCTTGCGCAATCGGCGCTGTTCGTGAACAGCCTGTTCCGCCATTTGGCATCATCTCTGTGATTCGCGGGCCGGGTTATTCGATCTACTACTTCTTATCTCTCCACTTTAAGAAGTACGGGAGAGGTTCATGGCGTGTACTGTATGCCGAACTGGGCATGAATGCGGCGCGCAGCTCGGTCTTCGGGTTGAGATCAAAGGACCCTGCCCTCCTCCAGAATCCTTCCCCACGATTGGCCCTCTGACTAAGGATAGAGAACTCGGCCGACGAGTCTTCGCGGTCATCTCCCATGTATCGTTAGTCTGTCGCGGCTCTCTCCGTCTGCCGGAACGTCTGGCAGGGAATGCGTGTCTCCCCACACCCATCATCCAAGGACAGGACGGTGCTCCACTCCAATCCTCTGCATATCACACTCAGCCCTAACATGGCCGGCGAGAATTGGCCCAACCCGCCTTGTGTGGCTATGTGACTGGCTTACCTCCGAAGGTTTGCCTCGGGGCTAGAGCTGGTCGATCAACGCCTATTGCGATTCCACTAGCGCCAACCTCAGTTCCCTTCCTTCTCCCGCCCACCCTTCTCTTTCGCACAGCGCGCGCAGGGCGTGGAGTCCTTCACATCCACCCGAACAACCTCGCAAGATGGCCGCCAGCACTCGCGGCGCACATTGGAGAGCGCGAGTCTGGACCGCGCTCTGCCTGCTGTCCTGGATCACCTGCGGCCTCGGGCAGAATACCGCAACATACTCCGCCCTCGCTCCCTCCGCACCCGCCTTCTCCTCCGGCGCTTTCCTCTCCCCGCTAGGCACCACCGACGTCTTCCAAGAGGGCGCGTACCTCAACATCACGTGGAATGCCACCAAGTTCGATTCCTACAACCTCTACCTGATCCGCGGCAAGGCGTACAACGAGCCCATCGATCTTGAATGTGGGTAGCAGCAGCAGCAGCAGCAGCGAGTGCGCGTCGCTAGAGCATGACCCAGCTGACCGATGACCAGTGAATTACTACAAGCCGTGGTATTATTGGCAAATCAACGGCGCCGGCGACCTGAGCAAGCCATTTAGCTTCCGCATCGTCAATGCCGCAGGCACCACGGAAGACAAGCAGGTCGGCGGATTTGAGAGCGAACCCTTCTGGATCACACCCGCGCCTGGCACCACCGGTACTCAGACCTCGTCGACATCCGTCCTCCATACCACCACCATCGCGAACGCCGTCGCTCCCTCTTCCAAAACAACAGGCAAGAGATATACCCACGCCGCAACGGCATTGAATACAAGCCAAAATACATCCGGCCTTTCGACAGGTGCCGAAGTGGGCATCGGGGTCGGCGTTGGAGTGGCGGGAACCGCCCTGATCCTGCTCGGCGCCTTCTTCCTGTGGCGACGGAGTCGGCAAAAGAAGAAGAGGAAGCAAGCGGTGCCGCCAGGTACTCCCATGGCATCATATCAACATCCCAATGGGTACACAGACGATCCAGCGCGGCCCTGGCCAGCGGCTGCGGCGCAGTCACCACCAACTTCCGTGCACGAAGTGTCTGGCACGAGAGACCCGGTGGAGATGCCCATAACGGAGCGGCACGAGCTGCCAGGAGACCCGCGGCACTCGCGCCACTCGAACGCGTCACTACCGCTGTCGGCATCTGCGGCGTCGATGTGGTCATGGGATGAAAGGCGTTCTTTGGATTCTCAATGATGCGATTAGCGATTTTGATTTAATCTAATGAATACATAGCGTTCTGTAGATGTCTGCGGATCGCTGGAATGAGATGCTTGCGATATACCTGACGACGAGACTCTCAATCAACCTGATGGAATTTATGTACATGAAGGCTATCCTGCAACTTTCTCCGTGAGATCTTTACTGCAAGTGCTGTCGCAATGGAGTGATATCCTGTTCATAGCCGACCTGATAGGCACACGCACGTGCAAACAATCCGGCTTACCTAAGTCCGAGTGGTCGGCCCGCTCACCGCCCGCTGTCCCCGGGGCGGCAGAATCATTTTTTCCTGGACTTCGCAGAGACCGCTTTCAAAGTCGGCCATTTCCACCGACCGCTTCGCATAAACCAAACAAAATGAAGCGCAAGCTGAACGAAGACGACATCCCCGAGCCCGTCGCCGGCGACGAAGTTGTGACCACGCAGACTCCCTCCAAACCGTCGTTTGGAAGTTTCGGCCTCGATGCTCGACTTTTGCAAGCTGTGACGCGCGAGAAGTTCTCTGCGCCTACGCCGGTGCAGTCGAAGACTATCCCGCTGGCATTGAATGGACAGGACGTTCTGGGTGAGTTTCGACTAGTCCTCTTGTCACTTGCATCTCGATTCTAATTCCGACCAGCGCGTGCGAAAACTGGGTCGGGCAAGACTCTTGCCTACCTCCTTCCAGTGCTACACTCCATTCTGCTGAGGAAAGAGTCGAAGAAAAGCGCAAAACATACATCGGCCCTGATCCTTGTGCCGACGAAAGAGCTTGCCACACAAGTCACCGCGACTCTACAGGCCTTCACATCGTTCTGCTCGCAAGCCATTCGCAGCGAGAACATCACGCGCGCCGAAGACGATGCCGTGACGAAGTCTCGATTGGCAGAGGTGCCTGACGTGGTTGTGGCGACGCCCAGCCGAGCACACCTCTGGGTGAACAATCAGATTCTGAAGTTGCAAGAGTTGAAACACCTGGTCATCGACGAGGCAGATCTAGTCCTGAGCTATGGCTACGAAGAAGACCTGCAAAGCCTGGCCTCCATCCTCCCCTCTGGTGTCCAAACGATCATGATGTCCGCCACACTTCGCACCGAGACCTCCACCCTCACCTCTCTCTTCTGCAAATCCGGCGAGCCCACCATTCTCGACCTTTCCGCCGAAGAAGCCGCAGAGAAGCCCACGCTTTCCCAATACATCGTTCGCACCGCCGAGGAAGACAAGTTCCTCCTCATCTACGCCATCTTCAAATTGCAGCTCATCAAGGGCAAGGTCATCGTCTTTGTTGCGGACGTCGATCGCTGCTACCGCGTGAAATTGTTCCTTGAACAGTTTGGTATTAGAGCATGTGTGTTGAATGCAGAATTGCCGGTCAATAGCAGGTTACACACTGTGGATCAGTTCAACAAGGGCTTGTACGATCTCATTATTGCTGCGGATGAGGCGGAGGTTGTCGGCGAGGATACTCCGCGGCGGAAGAAGAGGAAGGCCATACCGGAGGAGGAAGAAGCGGGAGAGGATAATGATGCCAGGCATGTGGAAGGCGGTGAAGAAAAGGACGAAGACCAGCCCGAATCAACACCGGTCCGTGCTGCTCGCGGAAACAACAAGGAATTCGGGGTCTCACGCGGAATCGACTTCCGTCGTGTTTCCTGCGTGCTGAACTTCGACCTCCCAACCACTGCGAAATCATACACTCATCGCGTGGGACGTACCGCTCGTGGCGGCCAAATGGGTATGGCGCTCTCCTTCTACGTGCCAAAGGAACTCTACCGCAAGCACAAGCCGACCACGATCCTGCAATGCGCCAACGACGAAGCGGTGCTAAGCAAAATCAAAACGCGACAGGAAGAACGGGGGGCCAAAATCGAAGAATGGACGTTCGACATGGCCAAACTTGAAGCTTTTCGCTACCGCTTCACTGACGCCCTGCGCTCCGTCACCCGCATCGCTGTGCGCGAAGCCCGTACGCGCGAACTCAAGCACGAACTTATCAATTCGGAAAAGTTGAAGCGGCATTTTGAGGAGAACCCCGAGGACTTGAGACATCTGAGGCATGATCGCGAGTCGCACGCCGTCCGACAGCAGGCGCATTTGAGGCATGTACCCGACTATCTGCTGCCGGAGGGAGGTAAACGGGCGATGAAAAAGGATGTGGGCTTCGTTGGGATAAGAAAGGACGAAGTGCACGGCAAAGGGAAGAAAGGCGGCCGTATGGGGAAGGGGAGAACGGCGATGCGGAAAGGAAAAGGAATGGATCCCTTGAAATCGCTCAACATGAGAGGAAGAGGGAAGAAATAAAAAGCGAGACTTGATCACCTATCAAACGCGTCACGCGAAAACACCACCCGCACAGGCTCCATGTCCTCCTCCCCATCCTCCCCCACCAAATGCGGCGCAATAACCTCCTCCACGTACCCGTCCGGCAGTCCAAAGGGCTTCGCATCGCGCACCGCCTTCCGGATCCACACGCGATACTCAGGCGCAATAGCCGCCTCCTCCGTCCGGATCGTATCAACATACACCAGCGCCGTGACCTTCTGATCCGTAGCCGAGCCGTCCGCGTTGATCCTCGTGACTTCCAGGTGCTGCTTCTGGTAATGCGTCGGCGCGCCTTCCATGTCGTCCAGTCCGCTCTCATCCAGCGCGGTGATGAAGTAGAGGGCGCCGTAGACTTTGTCTTGCGGTGCGGTCGAGGGGACGATGTTGGCGAAGTGCTCGGTGTTGATTGTCCAGCGCCAGTTGGGGAGGAGGGCGAGGCCTGCGAAGAGGGAATGGGGGTGGCGGCCTTTCACTGGGGGTGGATTACGATTAGAATGTGAACTGCCTGTGTGAGTGAAGTGGAGTGGAGTTAAGTGAGGGATTACTGGTTTGCGGTGACAAATTGGAACTGTAGCTGAAGTAGACTTCGGTGTAGTCCGGTGTGCTCGTGGGGTTGGTGGACGTGCTGTTCCAAGCACGAGGACCGGAGCCGGGAGTGTGGGAATACATGTTTTTTTTTTTGAGATAGTGTTTGCCTAGGTACGAGGGCGTGATGTCCAGCGTCTCCGCCAGGGCAGAAGGCTAGATGGCTCTACCATACCTAGGTAAGCTTTGGCACAAGTCGTGGTTGCCTTCCAGGCGGCAGTGCCAGAAGAAGTGATGCAGGCTCTGCTGACATCAGCTTACTCTGGCACGTAGCCTGACTTCATGTTGTAACCGGGCCACAGCACCGTCGTACACTTTACTATGATCCATATATATGAATTGTCTACGCGGCTTAGTACCTCTAGTCTAGTGTCTATCTACCGCAATCATGTCTTCGAGCAAGCCGCCGTCCCAATTCCTTCTTCTATCCCAGCCTCGAACCGGATGCCATCTTCTAGGTGAGAAAGCTGTCGAAAATGGCGCAAGGATGGATTCTAAACACTGGCTAGAGCGCATGCTCTCCCGGCAGTCCAGCATCAACACCTACCTCCATCATCCCTTTGGATCGATACCCCGGTATCCGCGAAACTGGCTACTAATCGAGCCTCTTGGCCCGATACCGGCAGCTCTTAACGACAAACACAAGTTTCGGATGGAAAGAGGGTCGAAAGAATGGGGAGCAAAGCTAGAGACGGCGCAAAGAGAGGTGTGTTCGCTCCAATTTACTCCATCGATGTGACTGACGGCAAATGTGAAATCCCTCGGGTAGGGAAAAGCCCTCTACGTGCATTTCCATCCGCTCTTTACCATGCAAACCGACGAGGTCTTTCGATACGTCACTACTGCCTCTGACCCCACCGTGCCAACATCAAGAAACAACCCGACTCTGATTCCAGATCACCTCCTTCTCCATCCTAGAACAGTTCCCGTGTTCACCATTCGAAACCCGATCTTACAGGTCTCTTCAGCTTATCGCATTGCCCTCAGTGTCTTTGGGGGAGCCACTTACGCAAATTGTCTCGCCGGGACAGCAGGCCGCTGGACACGCCTTTTCTACGATTGGTACCTTGCCCACGGCGTACGCCCTATCGTGGTTGATGCGGACGATTACATGTCCAACGAAGCATTTGTTCGGTATTTGTGTGAGATAACGGGTTTGGATCCACAGGAGGTACTTACACGGTGGGAGAATGAGGAGGAAAGAGGGCGTGAGCTAGAGAGGACGTACAGTGCTGTACAGGTCAGTCCTCCAACTTTACAAAGTATACTACGTGCATGCTGACGAGAGCGCTGGCGTGCAGAAAACGCTGCTAGCCTCACGGGGCCCAGAAGCTCGGCGGGCAGCGAAGAATGTGAACCTCAAGGAATTGGAGAGTAGATGGGGCGAGGAGTTTGGTAGCGAAGGTGCAGAGATGCTACGAGGAATCGTGAGGGCGGTCATGTCCGATTACGAATACTTGAGACAGCGACGATTGGTCTTGCCTGGTGCCAGAATGTAAACGCCGTGATCTTTGACGGGCCGTTGCAATCAAAGCTGCTTACAAGGCTGCGCTCAAACCTTCCCCGGTCTGGCTGTGAATTTGCTTCTTCCTCGTGGCCCAGCTCTTCGCATGCTTCTTAGTACGACTACAACTCGAGTCTTCAGCCGCCATATAGCGAATGTAGTGTCCTTATGCCTCCCAAAGCCGTAGACAACGAACCACATCAATCACGCAAAACACAATAAGGCAGGGTGAGACGGAAGATGCCGAAACAACATGTTTCACGTTGACAGCTTCGCGGTCCTCCGCTGATTCCTTCCCTGCCGCAAAACACCCTTACGTACGCGCGGCTGTCCGTCTTCACTTCACTCTAGCATGATTCATGACTTGCTGGTGTCAGTCTCGCGTGGTGAATGCTTGACATCGAGGCGATCCACGTGTCGCACTGCTGTGCTATGATTCAGTCCGCAAAACCCGGCACCAGTAGCTCGAACTAGCTTGTTACTGCCCACGTGAACCTGCCGACGCATTCGCAGGAAACACCATGTCATATCACGACAGCCCCGGCCTGACATCGATGGAGGGACGAATCCGGCGCTGGGCGATCTCCAAAGGCTAGACATTGCCGTCTGGGTGTGTTTAAACTCCAGCTTCTGTAACATCTCGCGAGGCTCGAACTTCTTGACGTTGGGAGTGGGATGTACTTTTGCTCCTGCCCCGGGATTTCCACCTCAACTCCCGCGCGGCGCAACATGAAAACGGACACTCGAGATAGTCGTTTGCTCGACAAGGGTAGAGCTTACCATCTCGGTAGGCTCGATGACTTCATCAGTGGTATCTCGCAAGGCTCTAGCTTGGCCAAGTTTCGGGAGTTGGAAGCAAAGCTTCCCCGACTTTCATGCTGAAACCGTTTCAGAATGCCACTACACGCCAGCTCTACACAACCATTGGTCAGCACGACATCAGCGCTCATGTACCGTGGTACTCGCAGCCTTATCGAAGCTCCCAGTCTTCTCGATCCAAGTGAGATGCGAGCACCGGTGTGACGCGGCCGGATTGCGAATCAATGGCGGTCGACGATGCCCTTTCAACGATGACCTGATCTCGCGTTATAAAAGTGTGCCCGTCGAAGCTCTGTCTGTCACTAGTTGTCATCCTATCTACTCACAGTCTTCGTGAAACATGTCATTCTCAAAGCAGCTTACACACCTTGCTCTCCTCTATACGTGCTCGACAGCAGTGCAGGCTTGGAACGGTCCAGGCCCGACCGCATGCATGACTGAGGCGCAAGCAACACAAGTCGCCAACTTCTGGCCCGCGCTGATTGGGAACTACACCAAGACGCTCGCCCAGGAAATTCTGGCTGAGAACTATACCGATTACTCGGAATCGGCGCTCTCTCTCAACCAAGTCTGCCCCCAGGTCTCGGGGGCTGCGCCACCACTTACCGCCCCCGTCTTCACCAGTCGTCAGCAGTTCGAAGAAGGCCAGGGTTCCCAGCCTGCAATCGACTCCCAAGTCTTGAACATCTGGCCGGCTTGTACGACCGTGACTCTACGTTACAACATGACCAACCTTGGGACTCGGCCCGTCATTACCGTGGTCGTGATTGAAGCCATCGAGGTATGTTGCATCAACTGCTTTTGTTGAAGCCTGTTCGTGCAGGCTCACAGCCATCTTTACTTAGGCCCCGAGTTCCAACAAATACCCATGGATCATTAGTGATACGTTTTCCGAGTTCGACAGCGAGGCCTGGATCCAGAACTTGAAAGACGCCAACAAGTGCTAGTTTTGGCTGGCATTCATTGAACTAGACATCCGAACGCGTCTAAACTTTGCAAGTGTATCGCTAGCACTGATTGTAGGCTGATTGTGGGCGTACATTCAACATTGTGCGAAGTCTTCCATCCGTAGAAACAATGCCTTGTCATTCGCGTATTTATGCCGGCCTCACTTTTCGCTTTCTTCGTTTTCGCCGGTTCAAGTCGGGCATTGTCGAATTCGATGCGCCTTTTTCGTTCAGTTCCGAACGTCATTGTAAAGTAGCGTTAGCTGGCCCTCGGGATTGTGAAGATGGTCTGGTCCGATTACGAATGCTTGAAACAGCGACGGCTGACGGAAAAGGCGGAATTTACCACGTGTAATTCGTCCTCCTCAAAGGGTCTCGTTGCTTTACCTCTTCGATCATTGTATCGCGCTGCGTTCGCTTCACAGCACTCCACAATGAGTCGGCCCAACTATGACGAAGAGCCATATTTATCCATCCGCAAAGCATGCGAGACAGATGATGTGGATCTCCTCTCTCGCGTCATCACACCGGAAATGGTTGCTATGAAGCCCATGCCAGACCGCACCTTCACTTTGCTGGACTTTGCTTGCGACACCAGCATTCGCCACAATGCCACCTCAGTACTCTCCTACGTTGTATCTGATTGCAAGTTCAATGTACAGAGCCTCGACACTGGTAACATTGCTGGCATTAGTAATGTCTCGACCGGAATTCTCGATATCTTGCTCGCTCACGGCTGGGATATCAACGGCTACGACTTGTCCTCTCCACGCAAGCAATTGCCGTTCCTCTGGCGCGTTCTGTCTAAAGACTACCTGGTCTCATACTGCCTCTCGCATGGCGCGGACGTGTATCCCAGAGGCCAGCCCCCGATCGACCCCAACTTCATCACCGTCGAGCTGCGCAATTGTCCGCCTCTGTTAGAGAGAGCGGCGGCCTACTCGACTGTCGCCACGTTCGACCTCCTGCGGTCCCATGGGGCTCCGATGGGGTGGAGAGCGCTCCATCTCGCCGTTCAGGAAGCGACTCATCCATGGTTGACCGGCCGGCCCGACTCGACGCGCGAGCTGATGAGCGACAGAGAGCACGACAAAGCGTACACATATGCCGAACGCATGGCCATGGTGCGCCACCTCGTCGAAGACGTCGGCCTCGACGTCAACGCTCTCGACCAGCCCGTGACTCAAAAGCACGTTCCTACTTTCCACCGCGGTACGCCGCTTTGCTACGTCTCCGACTCGGAAGTCATCGAAGGCCTCTATCGAGGACATACTGTCATCGCGGACACGCGCGAGCTGACGTGGTACTTGCTCGATCAGGGCGCGGATCCGACGCAAGCCCTCGAGGTGATCAAGCACAGCCAGCACCCGACTTTTGCTGCAGACGTGGAGATGTGGCGAGCTCAAAGGAAACTTGCGGCATCCAAGCACTCAAGGTGCATGATCCAATGATTACACTGCGTGTTTCAATAATGAGGAGCGGAGTGATTTTCTTCTTCTACGTACTCCGTATGTGCGCATCGATTATACGTATCACAGGTCAAACGTCCTGAGCTCGGGAAGGGAGAAGCAGTGAGTTGACCCGTCCACAGGAGGCGCTCTCATTCCGAATGAGAGTGCCCTATCCACCGGGGATAACGACACCTGTCCCATGAGGACCCACCATCTCCGGCTCGGGCGAAATGAGGATTCCAATGGGCGGCCCAGCCTCGACAGAACTGGACCACGTTTATGACAACGGCCATCGGCATCGGCCTCGAAATCGAACATCCTAGATTAGCTCTTCTCTCGTGTGAGTCAACCCGGCACGGGATTCTGTTATACTACGCTTCATGATGACTGAATACACAAGTCTGATGAAAGGACAGGGATGAGAAGCAATGGCGAGATACTATCAACCAAACCGCGGTGCGTTTTCATTCCAAGCGTTTCGACCGTAGATCGCCATCTACATGTCAAATTCCGCCCGCATTCGCTCGAGATAGTTCTTCAGATTCTGCTTGCTCTCCACATACCCCGTACCCAACCACTTCTGCGGCTGGTCGACAAAGTGTCTCAACATGGCATACACCATAGCATCGACCGTACGCACCTTGTCCCCGCTGAAATATTTCTTATCTGCGAGATAGAAGGAAATGGCATCGATGTCCTCTTGATACAACGCCAGAACGGTCTTCGCGGGTCGACGACCCATGCCTGTTCCGACGAATTGAGATAGAATGCGTTCGCGAAAGGCGTCGAGGGCTTCGCGAAGGGGAGGGGTGACTTCGGCGCCCTGGACAATGTATGGGATATACGTTTCCCATCCCGCGTCTTCTCGCCAACGCGGCTGGACTGTGTGATGTGTAAGCTGCTAGTTCGCAAGACTCGTGGGGCACTGACTTTGCGCCAGTAGGATGTAAGGAGCACTTACTGACGCCTGTCCAGTAGGTGAACTCGGCGAGCATGCGCTCGAAACTGAGATTGACGGCCAGCTCGGCATTTGACAAGCCCTCGTCCAGGTTGATGTTGCGCGTCTTCTCGAGATACCGAATGATTTCATTCGAGTCGCCAACCTTGGTTCCGTCGTCGTCGACAATGTATGGCAGCTTGCCATACGGGGAGTTCGTGTCGAGTTCAGCGAGGTTCTCAGGTTGGTATTTGAATTCGATTCCGGCGATCTTCATGAAGAATACAGCCTTTGTCACGTAAGGGCTGATGTCAGGGAGACCCCAGGCGGGTACGTAGCCGTAGATTGTAAGAACCATGTTGATTTACAGGAGTAGTTTGAACGAGGATGGAGGGGGATGATCTGGAACTCACTTCGCCACGTCCGCGAGAGGAGTACAGCTTTATACACAGGCGATGTTGGGCACCACGATCACCGTGGACATTGCGGGGTGCATCCCATCGCCCTTTTGCGCCGAAATCTGTCCACACGCGCCGTGGGGACGAGAGGCGCGACTCGGTCGTGTCCAGCCAGGTCGCTGGAAGAAGCCCGAAGCGGTGTTTTCGTCGCGATCGCGGTCATGCGAAGGTTTGAGCCGATTCTCAGAGTATCATGCTGTCTCGCGCATTCCGAAATGGGATGCAGGCCCCCTGCCCTCATGTCGGAATTCGAAGAAGGTGGAACCGAGGACGACACTTATTGAGTTCGATGGCGGGAGTCTAGAGCGTGGTTGAATTCGCGCGTCCCGCTTGGCCAAGAATCGTGGAGGCAAAGCTTAAAGCCCACTGCGGGGTGTGGGGTACGGGCGTCGCAAGGCTAGGCTGTGAAAGACGAATTTCCAGCGAGGTACATTGTGGCTTGTCATGATGTCCTCTGGCGATCCGTATTCTTCCGCGAGCCACTGTGCCAATCGAAAGCAAATACCGAACCTCGGTATGGGCCGGTGTCGACATTTCATGACTCGGAGGAGCTACAAGTAGTTATATTCGTTGACACCCTTGCAATTGATCAGACATAAAGCAGCGCTCACCAATCCATTCTGCGGCGTAAGAGTTGGCGCTTTCACACGATTGCGTCCTCTATTGTTGCAAACAAGATGCCTACCGCAGGTTTGTTCCCCAACGTTCGTTCATTCTTGAACAATACTAATCTGCATAGTCCTTACCGGTTGCAACAGTGGAATCGGGAATCGCTGGGCCAAGATCCTGATCAAAGAGGTAGCATCGGAAAGACCAGCCCCTACGACGCGTTACTCATCGTTGGCATAGGGGTACAAAGTCTACGCCCTAGACATGACCGAAGGCGATGCTCTAAAAGCGTTGGCGGGCGATAAATGCAAAATCGCACAAGTCGATGTGACCAAGCCCGACTCGATTGCCAAGTTCAAACAGTTGATTGGCGATGAGCCAGTGGACGTCCTAGTTAACATTGCCGGTTCGTCTTTTCCGTCCTCGCCTTACAACAGACGCTTACGATTCCTTTCTGGTCTAGGTATCATGATCGACCCGAAATTGGACACCCGCGAGACCGTGAACTTGGAAGTGATGCAAAAGTCATTTGCGGTTAACGCCTACGGCCCTGTCCTGCTTACGCAAGCCTTGCTCCCGAACGTTCTCAAAGCGCCAGCTCCACGACGCATTGGCGTCATATCCTCACGCGTGGGATCGATAGCCGACAACAGTTCTGGCACCATGTATGCGTACCGCGCATCTAAGGGTGCCGTGAATAATTTCTTCAAGACATTCGCCGTCGAGCTCAAGGAAGATGATGTGATTGTTACGATGCTGCATCCGGGCTTTACGAACACCAATCTCAATCCCGATATTGCGAAGATTCCAGAAGTGGTCGAGCCAGAGGTTGCCGCGGCGGGGTTGTGGAAAGTGGTGCGGGAGACTACGATGGAGAACACTGGCAAATTCTGGCATCGGGAGGGACATGAATTGTTATTTTGAACAATGTAGGACCGTTGGCGGAGGAGAGGCTCCTTCAAATGTCGCCGCATGTTGTGTAAACTCATAGAGCATGATTCATTTATACCTTTGATCTCTCCTGCAAAGCAAACATCCTCGGCCATGACTGGGGTGTCCACGGTTTCATAGCTGCTGTAAACGCTGGATTGTTGGTGCAACGGTAAGATCAGCACTCCGACGAACAAGTCCGGAATGAATGCACTGAGGACGTTGAGGAAGTCATGAGCCTGGGCAAGAGACGCATGATTCTACGAGGCAGTGAGGAGCGACTTTCTCCAGCATTCGACACAAGTGCAGCACGAGGACCAAGGCGATGGGAATTTGCAAAGGAAAGATGTGAATTCAAAAATTATCAGACAACAGAACACAGAGGCTACTGTTCACAGTCTCGCGTCACGCATCATCCTGGCCCAACCACCCAACTCACACGCCTCTCAGATCTCAACCCACAGTCGCGCCGTTTGCCCTTGGCGTATGAGGCACAGCGGCAAGCACCTTCTCCTTTAAATCTTTGTCCGTCCCGCTCAGCACGTCAGCAGGAGTCTCCACATCGCCCAGGTTCGAGTAGACACCACCACGCCGTTCGTACTCGCGGCTGAAGCGAAGCGGACTCGCAGGCGTCGTGGGTGTATCAGGTGGGAAAGTATTCATCTCACTTCCATAGGCCGGTCCGTCGACAGGAGGGAGTAGGCGGTTCGCTTGGAACCCGACAGCGGGACGGAATCCGAATGGCGCATCCTCCAGTATCGCGGCATTCTCGCGAACCTTTTTCTCAATCGCCGCCTGCGCCCTCGGATAGGGATGTGGAGCGCCCATGGACTCGAAAGGCACACCCTCGCTTTGATATTCGCTGCTGGGACGTGGCAGGCCGAGCAATCGACCAAAGAGCGCGCGTGGGCCCCAGAGGTTCCAGAAAGTACGTTCTTGCCACCAGGGCATGGTGTCGTAGGGGGTGTGGCCAAAGGTCATGCGACCATCAGGACCGGATTCTTGGGGCGAGCGTTGGTAAGGGCTGAGACGAGGGAGGCCGAATTCGCGGATCAGGAAGGCGCAAAGGCGGAAGAAGTCGTACGCAATAGATCGAATCACAGGCGAGGGACGGAGTTTTTCGAGTTCTGTAAGAGCACGCTCAGTTAGTGGGCTGACGCGCAGTCAGAGAGGTCAGAGTGGACTCACGACAGTAGTATACGATGTCCCATTCCACAATGGAGGCAAAGACTTGTGCAACAAAGCCCTTCAGCGGGCCGGGGACGGGATACAAGACTTGGTTCAGCATGGCCATGGCCATGACTTCGTTGGCATCTTCCCGCCAGCGGAAAGTCGTTTCGAAGTTCTAAGCTTGTCAGTGCTAGATTCACAACGACGCAAAGGAGGATAGACGCACCTTTCGCCATTCCATCGCTTGCTCGAGCGTCTTGGGGATATACTTGACACCCATGCGACAAGCATTCTCCCTCCACAAGGTCCAAATAGCGTGAACTTCGAAATCTTCCATCTTGCGATACCCGAACCGATTGATCCATGGCACGGGTGCGAGACCGAAATGAATCATGAGGTAGAGGACGTCGTCGCTGTTGATCTTGATGCCGTAACGATGATGGTGCTCGTTGATGCGTGCCACCACAAGACTGTGGTTGCGGGATTTGACTTTGTAGGCGACGAATCCCGTCATGAGGTGGATGGTGGCTTGCATACGTTGGTGTTCGATCTTCTTGTCCTCGTTGATGAAGTGGCCCGAGGCGCCAATGACACGGGAAACGGCGGGATCCGTGGAAGTCTGGGAGCCATGTTAACGAAGCTGCCACCGATATGCTCTGTACGTTGGACTCACCCGGAAGAAGTCAGAGATCCAGCCGAATTGCCAGAGTCGGGGGAACTCCCACTAGACGAACAACACAAGTCAGAAAAACTGATCCCAACTCCAGTCAGACAAGGTCTCACCTCAGCCATATTTGACTCAATTTCCTGCGCCTGCTCGACTGTCATGTCCTGCCAAGTCGTCGGGTCGTTGGTGTATCCAAACTTCATCTTGATGGCATTGAGTCTGGCATATCTGAGCTTCTGCTGGATATACTTGAGCGGCGCAGCAATGGCGACAAGAGTGAGCGTGGTCTTGATGGGATGTTGGCTAGCATAGAGCTTGATGGATGCAGTCGTCGCCTGGAAAGCAAGCGGTTGTAGGGTGTACAGGAAAAACACCGTCAGATAGAAAGCTGTCCATGCTTTCGTCGATTTCGATGACGGAGAAAGTCTGCAAAAAGCCAGGACGAAGAGCATTGAGGCGATGCCGACCGCCCTTGTGAGGTTTACGGGATAGGAATCCATAACTTGCGCTGCCTTCGAAAGGACGTGGTAGTCGGAAGAGGCAGAAGAGGCGTTCATGTTGCTTGCCCGACAAGAAGAAGGGCGAGTGTAACCTGCCGAAAGACGCAGATCTATCGTTGGCGCATCGTATCTTTATACGCAACAATGCAAGCGGGGATGCCAGAGCCCAGACCAGCGGTACAAAAGTACGAGGACGTGGCAGATCACCTCTCCCCGCGAGATAGGGGGTACGGACGCGAATTCTCCCGAAGCACAAAACGCCATCTATTGGCTCCAAACACGGATAGTGGCGTTGTATGGACTCTCCGGGCGAGCGCGGGAACGCGGTGTGCATCGAAATCACAACACTCTCCGTCACGATCGCCGCGCCCTTTGAGAATCGGAGACCAGGGTCGTGTACAAGATTCTTTAGGAAGGAGAGAGCGAGGGCAATGCGTGCCGACGGAGACAGCCACCCCCCGGTCCAAGCAGAAAATGGCAAGAGGTACCGTGCAGGAAGAAAGCACTGACCGACGAAAACAGCCACGCTCGCTTCAAGCCTTGTTGGACTAGCCGTCCGTGTGTCAATTAAACTTCTCGACAGCTGCGGGGATCTTACCCGAAGCTGTCAAAAGGCGGGGTCCCCGCACTGCCCGCTGTGGGGTCTGGCCAACTTCACCCTACCCCTTCCAGCGGGCTGCGACGCCACAATCATGCACTTCGCTGTGCACTGCCTATTGGAGGAGAAGCGTGCAGGTGCGGCTGATGATGGAGGGCAGCTCTAGCCGCTGGCGCAAAGTTCCGTGTTTCACTCGAGGTGCATTGCCCGTTGCCAAGAAACTCTGTCGATCGGTTGAGGCTCTCCCAAACACGGACTACACGTAACGTTTGCACAAGAGGATGCCCAGGCTGTAAGGTCTCCCACCCGATGGTGATGCCTCCGCATACTGCCGTTTAAATGCCCCCAGAATCGCTGCAATCAATGCCTCTGCTTCCAGCAAGCTTCATTCAACTTTCACAGTCGTCTTCGCTCCTCGCTGCCCAATACCCCTTTGAAGTCGGTCCAGCTTGCAGAGCCAATCGCAATGCTAGAGTCCCAGGGCATTGTGCCCGGCCAGTTGTGGCAATTTGGTCGCGAGCTCTTCCGATCCACTCTTCGACTTCTTGCGAGTCTGGGCCATCTACCGTATGCCCCAATCTTGGAGACAGTTCGGCTAGGGACGCGTCTGCCATCGGCATCTACTAGTACAGTGCTTCTGATTGTCCGCAGCCCATTGCTCAAAAATGCTCTGTAGATGTGATGAGCCACCGCCTCTCACGTAAGCCGAACATTCATATCGTGGGGTTGGAGTGTTTGACGATGTGCCCTTGACATCACGGCAGCGGCTTTCCACATCTGGTCCATCGAGCAATACACGATTCAATAGCGGAGGTCGCAGTACTCAATAGTGACTATCTGCTCTTACTGACTGGCGATCTTACACCCGACAGAAGCCAGATCAATCTTGCTTTACGCCAATCTTACCTACCCGGCGCAACCCCAACGCACCTGTGAGCCCTACCAAAACCATCATCGCAAACAAGGCCCAAAAGACGGCGCGATACCCGTCCATCAGGGCTTTGGGGGACGACTTGTTGACTTCATCCGAGCTGGCCGTGACTGATTCGGTGATGACTTGAGTTACCGTTAATCCAATGGAGGTGCCAAGTTGCGCGCAGGTATTGAACACTGCGCCGCCCAAAGCCTGGGTCCGTGAGGGAAACACAGCGGAGATGATGAGCAGACCGACGGTGAACAAGGTGTTGGTACAGACTTGTAGGAAGACCTGTGTAGAAATATGTGTTAACGGCACATTACCACATATTCAACATCAGATGGCGGGCCATCGGACTCCCTTACCTGTGCGGTGAACGCCATGTACCAGTACGGCCATTGGGGCTTGATGACGGCCATGAGAAGTGGTGATAGAGCGGCGATCGCGGAGGCAGCCAATACGACCAACATAACCGGCAGTCGATTCACAAAGTAGCCAAGCGAAATGTTGATTAGCACCGCTGTGACAAGGGCGGGGAGGATGCGGATTGATGCTTCAAGTGCTGAGTGGCCTTGGACTTGCTGGAAGCTGGGAAGCGTCAGTACTGATCCCTTGTATAGCACGAAGCATGGGCAGAGGACTCACAACAGACTACAGAACGGCTCCATATTATTGCTGACTGCATTGGAAAGCAGTACCATGATACAAATGCTCGTAAAGCTGGCGTTGCGCCAGAGCGAATTTGGCATCACTGCTGGACGATTGTGCTCTACTTGGTGGTTCATCCACCAGATGAACACTGGAATCGTGGCAACACTGATGACCAGCAGCGAAATATTGGAAGCGCGGCGGATGTTCATGATATCGGACGAGAGCATTCTGTCATTGTCAGTAAACTCGTGTAACAGCTGTACTGAAAGTTGCGGAAACTTACGCCAGGACGTATGCTAGAACCGTTATTCCAGCACTAAGAACCATCGTTCCCACCCAATCAATATTCAAAGCTAGCTGCTTCCATATCGTGCGAACAGGTCTTGGCCGAGGATCGTGTGGCAAAGCCCAAAAGCCGAATAGACACAATGCAGTAGTAGTAGCCCCGGCAAGGTAGAATGCCGGGCGCCATCCGACACTGTCAACCAAAACACCTCCAAGAACGAGACCGAGCAAGAACCCGAGTGGACTGGAGAACCCTAGACACGAAAACCCAAGGTTCCGCGGCCGCCCATATGCAATGTTGGTTGAGATGATGGAAACCGATGCTGGGACAGCGATGGCGAAGGAGACACCTTGCAGGCCGCGGAATGCAATGAGTTCGCCTCCGGTTCGTGCTGCGCCGCAGGCAAAAGCACTTGCAATGAGCAGCATGTTGGCCGTTAGGATCATAGGCCTCGTGCCCACGACGTCTGTAATAGATCCAGCCAGCATCAGACACGATCCGGCTGTGAGGTAGAAGACGGACGTCGGCCACAGAAGAAGGCCGGTCTCCAGCTTGACCGTGTCGATGATAGCAGGCAGACCAACCACAGCGACACCATTGCAAAAACTCGAGAATAGCTGCAGACCGATCAATTGAGCAGTCACAATTACTGCTCGGCTCGTGGATAGGACTGTCGTTGCTTCGTCACTTGGTGATACGTCAGGCGATTCGTCCGCTGGCAACGCAAAGCTTTCGCGAGGTGGAGTGGAGGCGGGAAGGTGGGGGTCGATTGTGACATGCTCCGACTTGGACTCGAGCCTCTGCAGCTCGAGGGTCGTTGTTGTTGCCATGTCCAGAACCGATGGGAAAGGCCCAGGCACAGAATTCGGGTGAGTGAGCTTGTATTTATCAAAGGACCTCCAGCTCCGAGCTCGGCTTATTAGTGGATAAGTTCTCTTGTCAGATTCCGGGTGAAGCCGAAATTTGGGGCGCGAAAATCGCCATCGACATGGACCAAGCACCCGTATGAGTCGAATGTCTTGGTACAGGATGCCTTCCTTCGAGCCGATATAGGACGTCAACTCGAGGACTTCGCCAGTCCGCAGGCCGAGGAACATAATCGGCAGGACGACGAATGATATCTGCAGTCGTAGCCTTGAGTGCATTGCCTCCTTTCTACCTCTCTGCGCTCTCGGACTTCCGCAATACTTCGAGAGAGTTGACATACAAATTCTTGTCCACGCGTCGAGTGCGCCACCAGTAATACCGCAGCGTAAACGTCTGGTCTGCTGCTCGTCGATCCCCAACGTCTGCTTTCCGGCGACCGCGTTGTCGGGATTAGAGTCTGGGGCTGGAAATGGCTCGGAAACTAGACCGTGCTCGAAGACCTTCACCAACCTTTCTTGTGCGACTTCTACGTTGCCGCGCTGCATTAAATCGTAAAAGTTCGCCGGCACCAATGGTCGCTTGGAGCCGAAGCGGCCCGTGGGTTGCAATTTTCGACGCAAGACCGGATCAGAGACGCTACGATCGAGGTAGCGCTGGCAATGCTCCTCCTCCGACCAAGCCAGCCACGTGCCCGGGCGAAACACAAACCAGGTCCACAAGCCGAAGCCACAAGAGACGACTGCGGCGTACGGCCAGAGCAACCCCGGAATCCAGGAAAAGGCCCAAAGCAGCAGCGGAGGATATCGGATGTGGGGGAATGGATGGCAGTATGTCATGGATCGCATCAAAATGGTCAGATGCTTGGTATGAGATTGCACGACCGGAAGCGCTTGCAGTGCCGTCGAGCCTGTTCCAATGTAGGCCACTCTTTTGTCGGTGAAGTCGTAGTGCGCGGGCGAATCGACGGTGTGCCATACGTCGCCTTGGAACTTCTCGATGCCTTCCATGGCCGGGAGCTTCTTGTGGTTGTGAGTCCCTGCGCTCTGTACCAGTACATCGCATTGCCAAACACAGCGTTCGTCGGTGTCTGCGTCCTCGCATACGACGTTCCATAGGGACTCCTCATCGGACCAGAAGGCTTCGATGACGGTCTGCTCGAACACGGTGCTCTGGTGCAAGCCATAGAAGTCGGCAAAGGCGTTATAGTACTGCACCAACTCCTGACTCGTTGGAAAAAGGCCCGACCAATCTGCAAGGCGTCAATTGCGAATCCGTCGGTGGCGTGGTAAGGGAAGCTCACGGGGATTTTTGAACCAGCTGACCTGGTAAAGGATGCTGAACACATCGCATGCGGCTCCCGGCTTCGAAAATCAGTATTTCTACGTCGATTTTCGTTACTCGAACGCTCTCCATACTCACATATTCCGCCGCTGTCCATAACCCTCCGTAGTTGTCTGCGCGCTCCAAGATCAGGATGTCTTCATGGCGCAGAACACGCTTGCGCACGAGTTCGGCTGCCTGGACCAATCCCGAAACTCCAACGCCAACGATGATGCAGGTCTACCGTTCGTGAGGGACGTCCATGGTTTGTACAGGTGTTCGAGTCATGCTAAACTGTCCGGTTCGTGGTGATGCAATCGCTGTTGCAGTCGTTTGAGAACCTACCCGTCGATGCCCTTCACTATATACAATAGGTGCTCTCGAGATTTCATATCTTCCTTGGCACAACTAAGGGCGCAGCTCGCTCCTAGATACGTACCACGCGCATCATCCCCTCTTAGTCATGACAGCGAGGTTGGTCCTGTCCTAACCTTTTCGAAGCATGAGTGGAACATGCTTCTGCTACTCCCCACGACTGCGGCAAGCCTAGCTGTAGTCATGCTTAGCAGCACGCAAGGCAAAAGCAGAAGCTACTTGGTACGCGATCGGGAATAGGACCAGTTATTACTTGAAGCCAAGTGCCCATCAAGGACATTGGACAGATCGGAGCGAGATCGCTGGGTTGGGGCCTGGCTAGGGTCCATCTGGTCAGGAATCGAAGAGTGTGTAAGGCCTCGATGCGTTGATAGATTCCTGAGAACCGCCATCTCCCTCGCAGCTGGTCCTCCTGGCATCTGGCAATCGACGTGTGAGGAAGATTTGGAAACTGGCATCCAAGGACGTCACCGCTGTTCGAAGCCGCCCGCCGAACCCTGGCCTCCAACAGCGAACCCCTCGTAATACCTCACCACCCTCTGTGCGAGAGAGTCAGATGGAAGAATCCGTCCCTTCGAGGTTCGACGGTAGGCGGACAAAAAGAACAGTCGTTCCTACTCGTAGTCGGAACAGAGGCACGCGGGAAGGCTGTAGTTAGGTAAAAAGTGGGGGCGGACGGGTCAGGGAGTGGGGTCCCACGTTCCGCTTTGCTACCGAAGCCGGACCTCACTTGACGCCGAATTTCAGCAATCGGCCTATTCCCGACGCTACCGATCCCCGGTTACTGCGCTGTGATTCATATACACGGGCTTGACCGTCTCTCCGTCGATGGACGTGACGGCGCGACAGCCATACGGGAGATCAGATACGCGGTCTTAACCGGCTTTCCCTCGACCTACGCAACGCTACGACCATCATGAACGCAGATGCACAGCCGCGACCCTCTCTGCCGAAGCTCGGACTGCCTAAATTCGAGTCCCTCATACTTCCTAGAATCGAAACAGGTGCGGCACGGCCCAGCGCCAGGCAAAAGTGGTTCGTGGTCGACCCCTGGTCCCCTGGTGCCAATGAACAGATTTTGGATCAGTACTAGCATGTCACGGCCTAGAGGCAGCGAAAAAAAAGACTCGATAGTCCCTGCGAGGGTCGAACTCGCGACTTCGACATTCCATACCATTCTCTTGAGAATCATATAAGAGTCGCACTGGTACGTTTAGTGAGATGTTCTACTCATCAGGTATGAATTGTAGACACTCACCGCTACCACTGCGTCAAGGGACTTGCAGAGAGCCCCAAGGGACATGCAACACCCGCTGAAGGGTTTGCAGAGATCTGACGTCACTGCTGGAACTGATTTACCCATATTTCGCACCGACGAGTAGCCCCGAAATTTTACCGCATGCGGCGAGGGAGTGAGGGTCGAACTCGCGACTTCACCATCCGCGCAACAGGAATGGCGAAGAGCTGCTCTATCATAACAGTCACTGCCACTATGCTTGCTGGGTGCAACTGGTATTTGCAGCGGCGATGACCAGAATGCGGTGCGGTTGTACGATTTTAATGCTGATTCCTGCACTTGTTGACCCAGTATTCTCTTCATAATATCTTCTCCGTCAGCTGGCTCAGACACTTTTGACCGGCACGCCATGAACGGGGATTATTATGGAATGTTTCACTCTCGGCGAAGCATTTCAGTGCGTATTTTGGAAGTGCTTGTGGCCGATAGACCAGTGGTGCGCTGCTGGTTGGTCCCCATAAACGGAAGATCGTTACGGAGATTATTCAATCGACAGACAGATACCTTGCTCGCTCGACCACGCATCTACGAATTGAAATCCACGCCATCAGCGGTTTATGTGGGATCACACCACCTCCCGTACTTCCTGAGGATATTCTAACCCTTACTAAAACCCTTCTTTGCGTACGGACTCGACTTGAAATCGTAGTAGTCGGCCATCATCTTGCCATTCAAGATACTCGCCTTCGTCTCGGCGGCCCCGCGCTCAATGACCTCTTCCGCGTAGGCGTCCAGCGCCTCGTCAGCCACGGCACCCGTAGCACGCTCCTCTGTCAGACGCTTTATGGTCTGCACCAGGTTGTACGAGTCCTGGATGGCGTGGTTGAGCCCTTGGCCACGGAACGGGGGCATGGCATGGGCAGCGTCTCCAGCCAACAAGACCCGCGGGCTGAGCAATCGATCTTTGAGAGGCCGTGAAATCCAGACGTTAAGGTCCGAAGCCTGCATGACTGTGTCGTCTGGAATCCAACGAATGGCGGAGCGGAAGGGCTCGCATAGCTTGTCTGCCTTCTTCTTGGCCATTTTGAGCGCCTCCACACCATCGTTGGCGCTTTCAGAGCCGCTCGCCCAGTGCAAGTCTACGACAAAAGTCCACTCTGCGGGGTTCGCCGAGTCATGCGCGTCCTGGGGACCAAGGAAGAAGAGCAGATCTGGATGGATGGATATCGCCACGACAGGATGCGCCGATCGGACGTGTTTGGCCTTCTCTGCGTCGTGGTAGCATACCAGGCTGCGCCAACGCATGCCACTAGTGCCATCAAGCGGTTTTGCCGAGCCCTCTTGGCCGTACAAGAAGGCTCGAACGGTTGACTGAGGGCCATCGCATCCAATGACGATGTCGTAAGTTCTTATATCGTTGTCGGTGGAGAAAGCAAGCTTGACTTCATCCGTTGTGGTGTGCACGGAGCGTAGTGTATGCTCAAACTGGATCGCCATGTTAGAGCTGTGCAGCTACCCAGTGTTTTTGGGAATTGTGGTACCTGGACGTCGACATCGACCGCAAGCAGAGCTCTCAATCTTCTGCGCGACACTCGAAGCGAGGTTCCCTGCACATTGAGGTTCTTGAGGACGTCTCCGCTAACGCCATCGTAGACCAATGCGCCATTTGCCGGAGCGGTGCTGTAGTCCAGGTTGCAATCGACCGTGGCTTTCTCGACGAGCTGAGCACTCTTTTCCGCACCGATCAGTTCTTTCAAGAGGTCCAGCGACCAGTGGACCCCCATTGACCACTCCCGCCGTCGCTTCGATTCAGGGACCTCTCGTTCAAAAATGTCATACTTGATGCCCAGCAGGTCAAGGCCATTGGCAATCAGCAGGCCAGTCAGCCCGGCGCCAACAATGGCTATCCGTTGATGCTCTCGCCGCGCCATTTTCGAAGAGTATGATTTTTCCGTCGACATGGACGGTTGCCAGACGTGAAGGGGTCTCTATTGACTTTCGACCGTCCACTTCCTTCCACATTTCCCCGAAGGCCCGATGCACGCAACGGGGTTTCGGCCTTTTGCCATCGTTGTGTGAGGGCGAAGCCCCGCGAGCAGAAAGATTGTGTCCATGATAAGACGCCTAGGACCATGCCCGTTTCTATAGAAGGCGTTCCAGCGTCATCAAGGAAACCGTAAGACAAGTGAGCGCGGAGTGCAAAGTTTGTACTGTTGTTGAAATCAATGTCTTCAGAAGTGAGTACAGTAGTGGGGAATTGGTGCCGACTCGAGACAGCTACGTAGCATCCCGAAACTCAATTTGGGAAAGTTGCTAGCTTTCCACCACGTTGTTCAGGGTGTCTTTCAATCCAGCAGCCAGACATCTTGCTCACTCGAGAGCACATCTCAACTCGACAATGACGGACATCACGCCGGACTTCAATGTCTGCTTGAAAGGCCTCGATGTTCCGCCAGTGCTGCGCGTCGAGCACGACATCACCAAAATCAACAGCTTCCTGCAAGAAGCATACAGCATCGTACGTCCTCCACCCTATCCGGCTGGCATCTCTTGCCACACCTGACTAACGCATGTCAAAAGAACGCGCGCATCTCCGACCTCACCCGAGAACTCCGCTCCATCCGCACAGCCTACGTCTCCACCGCCCCTCCAGCGCGAAGAAGACAAGCTCCAAACGCCAGCAACACCGCGCGCCCCCTCACGAACCCCGAGCGCGAAGCCATCGACGCCCAATCGAAGCAACTCCTCCGCCAGTTGAACGCGGCAATCACAAACCTCAAACAAGTGGAAGATGTGCGAAAGCAGACGGCCGACTCTGTCGCGCTGTCCAAGCGCGCAAAAGGGGGCTTGGGGGCGTTGGGGAGATGGGCGGCGGGAGGTGCAGTGACCGCCAAATCGCCTGATGAGGAGCTGGATGAGGCCGGGAGGAAGACGGTGGCGGCTGTGCGGGAAAGCATTATTCTGTTTCTGCAGCAGAAGCTGGAGGAGGCGGGCAGGGTGCAGAGTGAGATGATGGAGGTCCGGCTGAATCGCGAGGTGGAGAAGAGCAAGTCTACGCTGTATAAAGCCGGGGGCACACTACCAGGGGGCATACCGTACGCCAACGACGACGGAGCCGTAAACGGCATCCCATCCTCATCACCAACATCGCGCAACCGAAAATCCGCACACGGCCTTCCACCCAACGACCACGCAGCCACAAACCCCCAAGACCCCCAACTCACTCCCGACCAACTCCAACTCTTCGAAAGCGAAAACGCGGACCTGCTGCGCCAGTACGAAGACCAGCTGGACCAGGTGCGGCAGGCGGAGAAGAGCATCCTCGACATCTCCGAGCTGCACTCCACCCTGCACGCCAACCTACAGCAGCAGAGCGAGCACATTGAGCAGCTGGTCATGGACTCGTACCTCACGACGGAGAATCTGGGCAAGGGGAACCGCGAGCTGAAGACGGCGAGTGAGCGCAAGAGCACGGCGCAGGCGGTCTTTTGGGGCACCGTGGGCTTTTGTGGGTTTCTTGTGGTGTGGGATATGATTTTTTGAGTAGTAGATGCAGATGGAATGGTAGAGTGGTTGCACAAGGCTGTGATATAGGAATACCCAGCAGCATTGGCGGATGCAGTGTCATGCTGGCAGTTGACCACATCTTGATCCCGTAACTACCGAACTACGAAGCTCACAGTCCTCAATTCGAAAGAGCAAATGTCGAGTATCTATCGGCGCTGGCTGATTGGGCGAGGTCAACGTAGTCAACGGCGAATGACGAAGGACTCGCAACGACACCTGGCCACATTCTACGCCTGCGATTCATCCAAATTCGCCCGATGCCGTCGGATCCTCTTAGAAGCAATGCTTTTTGCCAATCCGATCTCCATCAGTCCGGAAAGCGTTCCGACTCGCCTATTTGTCACGGATGTGGGTGCAGGCGAGTGTGACGCTATGCGCGCAAGCCGTCCCTTTCGACCCCGCCTCGCGCGTCAGTGACGTTGTTGGTGGGGGTGATAAGAGCCGGGAATGATTTTCGCGGAAGAGGGGGAGGGCAAAGGGTATATATATTTTTCGTCCCCTCCACCCTAGTCAATCTTGTCCATCAAGGTCGCATCCACATTCAAGTGAATACCAGAACCAACCAATCACATATCAAAGTCGAAGAAAGAAGAACTCGCCCAACATGCCTGGAACCGGAAGCTGCTTTTGCGGACATGTCAAGTACAGGTACACTGGCGACGTCCAGGCCAAGGTGTGTAGAGTCATGGTCGTTGTGACGAGATCAATGATACAGTGCTGACACTGCCGTACCAGGCTCTCTGCCATTGCCTAGACTGCCGCAAGATCTCCGGCTCCACCTACTCCACCAACCTCATCGTGCCCGGCGAGGGCTTCGAAGTGGTGCAGGGCACGCCCAAGGAAATCTCGAAGACCGCCGACGACTCCAAGAATGCCATCACCTCCTACTTCTGCCCGGACTGCGGCAGCACGCTGTTCCGCAAGGGCGCCACGTTCGGTGACGCGGTCATCGTGAAGGCGGGCACGCTCGACGATCACTCCTCGCTGGAGTCGCACAAGCCTGAGCTCGAGCTTTACGCTGGCCACCGTCCGTCCTGGGTGGGTAAGGTTGGCAGCTCGGCGCAGAAGAAGGGCATGCCGGATTCGGAGGACCACGAGGTCAGCACCACGGACAAGATCAAGGCCAAGCTGGGGGCTTAGATGTCGGCATCAAGCGTCGAGGGTATCCACGGGATTTAGCCAGGGAAATTGCGAGATGTAGTTACTGAGATAGCCGGGTTTATGAAGTGAGGTTCCCTTGATGATCCAGCTCGCGTCAGGGTAGTTGTCATTACGCAGTATGAGTAATAAGCTGTGGCTTCCAGGTCCGAGCCGCATTTTGGTTCGGCAGAAGGATTGAACAGCCGGTGAGCTGGAATCAGTCCGATTCTGAGGAATCCTCGTTTTCCCTGACGCTGTCTTTCAAGGCCTGCCGGCGCAAAAGTCAGCGGATGCCGCCAGGGAATGGCGATAAGAACAAGAAGAACAACGTACATCCTTCAGCAACAGCTTCAACTCGTCGAGCTTGCTGCTCTTGATCAATACATGCTCGTCATCGATGTCTTCGATGATGAAGTCGTGGTCGTGCTGGTCGTTGATGCGGTTGATGATGGCCTTGATGGATGCGTCGCACTCCACTAGCACGCCTGGGACCTCACATGAGCGGGCAGGTACGAGCGATGTATACCGCGCATGAACGCACCTGGGATGGCTCGCGGCATCTTGCTAGAGTTCCGAGAGAGTGACGGGCGATGCAGAAATGGTGGACGCCGGAGGCAATCTTGGGAAGACCGAATCCAACCCAACCCGAAGCTAGCCTTAACCGGAGTGGCGCCACCAACACGTGAACAATTGAGTGACGTTAATCAATTTGAAAATCCCGCCCCCATGCATGCGCCGCCACCCGATCAGGCTGCACTCCGTCACCCGGAACATCAGCTCAGGCTGCGCCCAAACCTTCGCTTGTCATCCGCAATGCCCCTCTCAGCCTACCTTACGTATTAAGCCCTCTCCGATCCTCCGCCTCCGCCTGAGTAATCCACAGAGGTATTGAAAGAAGGCCATCATGCTCGCCCTCTCCTCATAACACCTCCGAGCAAAGGCAAGGCAATCCGCTCATCCTCACCCGCACCTCGACAGCCTCTCGCTCAATCAACCACACACACCACCAAGATGCGAACACCACCGCCCTCACCAACCATCCCCCTCCTCCTCCCAGCCGCCCTCGTCCAAAACCCAATGAGCCTCACCACCCTCTCGACAATCCTCCGCCCGCGATCCCCCCAAATCGCCCCCTCCTCCGTCCCAGTCCCATCATCCACCGGTTCCGCCCCATCAAGCAACAACGGCAACGGCAACAGCTCCTCCTCCAACGGCACCAGCGTCTACGGCTACTACTTCCTCTTCCTCATCATCCTCCTATGCCTCCTCGGCCTCCTCTGCTACTTCTGCTACCGCCGCCGGCAGCGCCGCACCCTGCAGACCCGCCACTCCGCTCTACAACAGCACTTACGGCAGGGCCCGTTCGCTGAATCTGCCGCGGCGCGAGGTGCTGGGATGCCTGCGCCGGTGATGCCGCGGGCACGGCAGAGGGGTGGAGCGGCGGGGTGGTGGAGGGGTCCGCCGAGGGAGAGGGAGGAGGGGCTGAATGAGCAGGGTGAGGCGCCGCCGGCGTATGTGCCGAAGCCGAGGGAGGAGGGGCAAGAAGCGGGTATTCCGTTGGAGACGATGGCGAGGGGGGACGATGTTGGGTCTAAACCACCTGATTACTACGGTGAGGTACGCGAGGTGAGTGGGGAGGAGAGGCGGGAGGTTGGCTCGGCGGCGAGTTCTTCGCGGGGTCCTGGGGGTCGAGCGACGACTACGTGATGTTCCAGGCAGGCTGTGGGCGATTGGCATTTTAGCGATGACTTGACGATTTCATTAGACGGGCTCAACGGCACAAAGCATTTGGCAGTGGTGACATTTGAATGTTGCATAATCCTATCGAACCTAGCTCCACGCTCTTGGGGAATTTATCGAACCCATTTCAAAACCACCACGCTATGCCTGCGCAACCAGCGGCACAAACTCCCCAAACGCCCGCTCACCTGCCGCCTCCTCCCTGCCCAACCCCGCCTTCAACGCCACCAACCTCTCCCGCCTCCCCTTCGCCTCCTTCTTCACAGCCTCATGCAAACCCGCACCCTCCATCCACCCACTCGGCCTTCCCTCAACGCCCAAAGGCCGGAAGACCTTCATAGCCCCCGTGCCCAGCCCCACGCTCTGACCCATGATAATGCACTCCGACACCCCACGGATTTCATCGCGAGTATTCTGAATCGCCGCATCGAACAAGTGATCCGTCGTCTTCTCGAAACTCGCGAGGTGCAGCACGCTGTCGCGCATCTTCGACAACCCGAAGCGCGTGATGCCGAGCACTTCCCCTTTGTACGTCATCACGTCGGCGAGGAGTTGCATGTGGCGCGGATCGATGGAGAGGCCCTTCATCACCTCGCGGATTTCGTTGATGATGGTGGCGCGCGCCGCTTCGATGCCCAGCACCTCCTTCATCTCCATGACAGAGTTGGTGACGGTTTTCAATCCGTTGATGCCCGGCGTGGTCATGCATGCTTTGAGCCCGTAGCCCTCGACGAACACGCTGATGGCTTCTTTGCCCGACGCGTCGGCCTGATCTGCCTTTTTGAGTACGGTGCGAGCTGCGTCCGGGTAGCCTTGGATGACGACTTGTGGTAGTTTGCGCTTGAGGAGTTGCATCGTTTCAAAGGTGGCGTCGGGGGGTCGGTCCAGGATTTGCTTGGTGTTCTTTGCCCGGCGGGCTTTGGAGAGCTTGGCAGAGACTTCTGGGTCGACAACCACGCGAATATGACTGTTGCCAAAGGGCTTGACGCTCACACCCAGCGACTTCATCCCTTTCGTTTTCTCGATGGCGTTCGTCACATCGTACAAGTTGATGTCGAGTCCCAGGGCATCCACACGCTGCCAGTCCACTCGCATGTTGAGGTAAGATCCAGTGAGATACCATACATCCTCGATGTACGCCACGATATCCTTCAAGTAGGTCTTCTCGATGACCGCCTTGCAGTGACGGGCGGCGATCTCATCATGTTCTGCATTCAGAGCGCAAGTGATGATCGGCGTGGAGATGGTCTTGCTCGCGTTGATGATTTCCTTGATTCGGGGAACTCCCTGCGTCAGGTTCATGCCTGCCACACCGGCGAAATGGAAAGTCTTGAGCGTCATCTGAGTGCCCGGCTCGCCGATAGACTGAGCGCCTACTGCACCCACCGCATGTCCGGCTTCGACTTTGCTCTTCTCAAACTTTTTCAGACAGAGATGCAGGAATTCTTCGAGTGCGGAGCGGGAAATTTTGAAGATGGCATCCGTTCCAGGGAGTCGCATTCGACTGGCAACCAGCTTCTCCGCTCGATCGTCGACGAAATTCTCGATGTCCTCCAGGAACTCTCTCGCGCTCTCCAATTGATCAATCCCGGTGTCGCTAGTGTCGTCGTACGGCCGGATACTGCCATCGCTACTGTCCTTGCGGACAAGCTTCGCTCTCTCCACATCCAGCCTCTTCTTGACTACGCTTGCAATCTGCTTAGCCGTCAAGCCAGCTTCTTCATTGTCCCAGGTTCTGTGGACGGCGTGCAAGAAAGTGCGGTCGAAATCGACAGGCTTCGCGTTGCCCTCCATATCCACCGGATCCAGTCCATCGTCGCCAAACTTCATCTGCACGACACCGCCCATCGAGTTCCGCACTGTCAAGTCGTACTGCGCGCTCAAGTCTTCCAAGCTCTTCATAAGCCGGCGAGACATGTAGCCAGTCTCCGCCGTCTTGACAGCGGTATCGACTAGACCTTCACGGCCACTCATAGCGTGGAAGATGAACTCGGTGGGATTCAACCCGCTGAAGAAGCTGTTGACCACAAACCCTTTCGCAGGCGGGTCTCTGCTGGCCTTTGCGAAGTGTGGCAGAGTTCTATTCTCAAACCCATTGATCACTCGCTTTCCGCTGATAATTTGCTGTCCGACCGCCGCCACCATCTGACTGACGTTAATGTTTGACCCTTTGGAGCCACATTTTGCCATGGTGAGGGGGGCATTGAATCGACTGAGCTCGGCGAAACAGACGTTACCGCAGGCTTCTCGCACTCGAGAAAGCAGACCGGAGATTTTGTTCTCCAGTGTGGCGTCTGCATCGCATCCTGGATCCCGCTGCAGCTTTCCAGCGTTGAAGTCGTTGATGAGCCGAATGCATTCGTCGTACGCCTCTTTGACGAGCTTGTCTTTCTTCTCGCGCAGAAGCTGGCTGGGGTAGACATCGCCGATACCAATGGAGAAGCCTTGCTCGCCGAGCCATCGGGCACAAAGCTTCGCGAGGCGGTTCATTGCCACCACAGCATAGTCGGGTCCAAAGTCGCGCATGATGATGTAGAATACTGAATCCTTCTTTCCGTCGCCAATGGTGGCTTTATCGAGCACTCCACACATGACTTCACTGTTTCTGATGACGAGGAATGAGTCGGTCTCGCTCATATCCGGGGCGATGTCGCCCTTTGGTTTTCGGCCGGAGATGACTTCTCCATTCTCGTCTTCAGTCCAGTCGAAAAGTCTGGTGGCATCAGGAGGAGTGAATTGCTTGGCCTTCGCTTCCAGATTGACATTCACTGGATACTCCGGATGCGGCTTCATGAGCACATTCCAGATTTGTTTGCCGGTCCATAGGGTCTGCGGCTTGAGGATCGCAGGCTCGGGTATCTTGACCGGCCATTTTTGTCCGGTAGAAGGATCTCGGACTTCGATACCATCGTACATGAAACTGACAATCTGCATGAACTCTCTTCGGGTGAAGAAGCGGTCTTTCTGACTGAGGAGGTAAGCACCAGTGATGAAGTCTTGAATGGCGGCGATGATAGGCGTGCCGTTTTTGGGAGTTGCGAGATTGTGCTTCACGCCCATCAGCTCCAGTGCTTCTGTCCTGGCCTCCTCAGTCTGCGGGACGTGCAGGTTCATCTCATCTCCGTCAAAGTCCGCGTTGTATGGGTTGCATACACACTCGTTCAATCGGAAAGTTCTCCACGGGCGAACTTTGACTCTGTGCGACATGATGGACAACTTGTGCAGCGATGGCTGACGATTGAAGAGGACAATGTCACCATCTTCCAGGTGTCGCTCCACGGTGTCACCGATGTCGAGGGCGTCAGCGATTGTGCTCAGGTTGCCCTTTTGTCCGGCCGTGGACAGGACAATTCGCCGGCCACTGGCTTTGACAATGAAGTTGGCACCGGGGTGTTTCCGGCTGCCTCGGATGACACATTGCTTGAGCTTCGCGAGGTTGTGCTGGGTGACCTTTTCCGGATACGTCATGACCACGGCCACGCGAGATGGCACGGCAACCTCATCGATGCTGAGATTTGGGTCAGGAGAGATGACTGTTCGCCCAGAAAAGTCCACCCGTTTTCCGCTCAAGTTTCCTCGAAAGCGTCCTTGCTTGCCCTTAAGTCTCTGACAAAAGCCTCGCATCGTCCTCCCCAGCATGCCATCCCTCCCCAAGCCTGGCAGAGTGCCATCGATGTACATGGCGATCTGGAATTGGAGAAACTCCCAGATTTCCATGACCTTGACCAGCGGCTGGCCTTTGGTCAGCATGACCTGGAGGAAGTTGTTGATGTGTATAATGTCACCAAGCTTATTGGTGATGTCGTCTTCGGTGCTCGCTTGTTCTTGCGCAACGGACGGACGGATGGTGACGGGAGGAGCGGGGACGTGGGTCCAGAGCATGTACTCTGGTCGCCCGCCGTGATGAGGATCCATGCCCAGGAGTTCGACATCCACGGAGGGGATCTTGCGGAAGATGTTGAGGACACGCAGAGGGTGCATGTCGTCCATGGCACGTCGCATATGCCGGTCAACGTCGGCACTGTGCTTGCTGGCCTCTTTGAACGACTTTTCGAATGCCAGCATGGGGATGGGCTTGACCTTGGACTTGGCATTGGACATGGTGTAGATGGCGAACTTGTTGTGGAACATTTTGAGCGGGTGGTTGGGCACTTTCCTCACCGGACCATTCAAGCTGGAGCAGCGGGGACAGATTTTGACCTTGCGACATTCGGCGACGAACTTTTTGCAGATGGCGTTTCTTCGAAGAGTGTCCAGTCCTGGTTTCCGAACGGCTTTGAGAGCGGCGCGGCGCTCCTTTTCCGGCATGAGGATGCGGCTGCAGTCTTTGCAGATGCAGTTGAGCACTTCCATGATCTTCTTCATGTAGCCATAGTGGAAGGCGGGGAGGACGAGTCTGACGTGGCCGAAGTGGCCATTGCATTGCATCAAACCCCGGCCGCAAGTCTCGCACAAGGCGGTCTTGGAGGAGGTGCCGAGGCGGGGATCATTCGGTCCATTCTGCGTCAGGCCTCGCTTCTGGCCGGCGGAGTGACTGGTGTCGAAGTCGAAGATGTTGCGGTCGGAGATGGAGAGCACCGACTGGGAGATGATGTCCTGTGGGCTGAGCAGGCCGAATTGCAGGGCCTTGATGCGTTTGGGTGCTTGGTCGAGCACCTGCTCTTTGCTTCCCTCGTCGTCAGACATGATGGATGGTGAAGCGGGTAGAGGTCATCGGAAGATGTGCATGACGTGTGCAGCAGTTTATCGGAACCGCTTTCCTGTCCTTCTTGGCGAGCGGTCCGGTGATGAGGTGGTTGCTGACCTGTATGGATGGATGTGAGGTGAGGCTTGAAATTTTGATGCTTGACTCGTGTGGCGGTGGTGGGGCAGGCTGGCTTCGGAGTCCGGGTTGGAGTGGTCCGTGCGCTGGTGCCTGCCAGGGCCCAAGCTGCCCCTCCTTGGTGGGTGAGAGATATGTGACTGACCAACGACACCTCCCCTTCCTCCACCTTCCCACTCTCCTTTCACCTCTTCATCCTCCTTTCGCTTCTTTCCGACTACCTCGAGATCATACCGTGACTCACGCAGCTTCACCTCTTCCACGCACCCAACATCTAGGCCGTCATTCACCACAGCCTCGCCAGTGAAGGCACGATACGCCGGTGATAGCAGCTTGTGTCCAGCTTCACACCGACGACCTTCACCCATTACAAAAGCCGTTTCTCTCTCTCCTTGTCTATGCTCTAGTGGGCTTTCAACATGTTCTCAACCCGCTACTGTAAGCCCCTTTTCCCCACCCCCGTTTCGCCCCCATCCCAGCATGGCTTGGTGCTCACTGAACTCTTCACTCCAGCCATCCCGGTCACCCTGACATCAGCGACCGACCCGCAAGATAGACGCCATCTCAGCGTCATCCCCGGCAAATCATTCATTATCGGTCGGGCTTCACGGACACAGCATACGGACTTGCGTCCGGCGTGGGACAACGCCCTCTTCGACTCGCAAACGGTCTCCCGCACCCACGCGGAGTTGAAGGCCGATCTATCCGCTGCCTCATCCGATCAAGTCACCATCATGGACAGAGACAGCTTGCACGGCACTCAGGTGAATGGCAGGCGTCTGGAGCGATTCAAGCCCATGACACTCCGGTCGGGAGATCTACTGCACTTCGGCACGAGCGTTACTAGGGGTCACGGTACATGCACTCCACGTGACCCTCTGCAGCCCTCGCGCTTCCCCACTGACACATCCGCTGTAGCCACTCATGACGGAGTCACTGTCATCTTCGATCGTGCCCCTTCCTCTCCCGCCGAGCCCTCCCAGACTCTCGCAGCGAATTCCACTCAACTCAGCAAAGGCTTCCACGTCAAAGTGCCCTCTGACTCCGAAGGCGGCTCCGATGAGGAAGACTACGCACAGTCCATCTACGACGAAGACCTCGAGCACCTCTCTTCTGCACATACCACTCCAGAACAAGTCAAGACCAAGCCCGGCTCTCAGCAACACCCGATCGATGTCGACAGATCTGTTCCGATGTTTCCCACCCCCCTCTACACTGGCTCTAACCACGTACTTCCTCGCACCACCGTCCAAGATTCGATTGACCAGCGTGCCAAAGTTCTGGTGCCAGAATCTTATCCATATCTCCCCGGCTCTTACTCACTAATTCGGGAGAAGTTGGAGCAGACTTCAACGTCACGCAACGATGAGACTGAAGCAGCCGGAAATGCATGGGATGAGGACGTTGAGGACGATTACTCGGAGGTCGACAACGTGCATGGGCGTGACGAAGACCGTGTCTCGGAGGCGCACGGATTCTCGCAAGCGGACGGTGTGCAAGATCGCGATGAAGAAAATCACTCAGACGCAGATGCGCAGCATCGAGACTGGGACGTGCGCTCCACCAGAAGCTTCTTCGTGGACGATACTGCTGGTGTCGACAAGAATTCGAATAGAGGATACAGTGACGAGTCGGAGGATGAGGCCCAATTGGGTGAAGCGGCATTCCAGGACGAAGAACCCAACTCCTACTCTGCCAAAAAGCAACAATCTCCCGAGCTAGAGTCTTCTGTGAGAATCGGCACGGACTCGCACAACCATCGTCTCGACGCCGCCGCATCGACTGGCTTGACGGACCTATCCTTCACCCCCGAGCAGCCCTCATCTTACAACCCTCCGGGACTCGCATATAATCAATCGTGGCCCTTTGCTCCAGCCTCGGTGCTGCCGCCTGCCAATTCGCGAGGTGCCGATGAGTTGGAGTATGACAATGTGGATCCGGCTTTGGCAATCGCGCGATCAAGCAAAGCATCGTCCAGCTCTCGAGCAAGCGGCCGCCGCAAAGACAACCTAGAGGCGTTCACCGGGGCCATCTCGCAGTTGGTGAACGACGTCTTGGAGGATGTCGAAGCGGAGTCTGACGATGAGGACGATGACCTCGCGTGGCAAATGGTCGAAGACGCCCTAAAAAACCAAGTCGCGGCATCATCTTCTCCCTCACAAGATCTATCTGCCAGACAGAAGGGCCAAAGGGACGCGATCATGGAAGACGATTTCCCTTTCGCCGAGCACATGGATGAGGACGACCTAGCCCTGTGTAGGAACTTGGCGGCGATCTTCTCAGACACGCCTGCACGACCAGGGGCTCACACTGGAAGGAAACGCAAGGCGGAGGAGATGATTCAGGAGGAGGCTGTGACGGGTTCTCAAGCAGTGCAAAGACCACCGGCTCGTCGCAGACGTATCGACACACCCGCTGGCCACAGCGTTGTCGGCAATGTGGCCAAGTACGCTGCTGCTGCCGCGGTGGGAGGGTTGGGCGCGTTCGCTTTCCTCCTCAGCCCGCTATCACTGAAGTTCATCGATTGGCTTCAGCCGGCTTGAACATCAATCACCGCGAGCGAAAAGGGGAAGGGAGGAAGAGGAGAGCCAGCCATCACAGTGATATTTGGCGTTGAAGGAAGGGTATGAATTGGAGCAGCCACGGTGTTTGAGACGGTATTCCGGGACGATGCGATGGAGACTTTCAACTCAATAGGCTACTTTCACACGTCGGCGCTCGAGTTGGAAGGAAGGCTTTACGGGGAATAGGCAAATCGTGTAGGCGTATCTTCGCGAAATCGGCCCATACGTATCTTGAAATCATTGAAGAATATGCCTGCTCCTTTAAGGCTTTCGTTGTGATTTGCTTCGATTGGATTGTGAAGACGTTGTCTTAAACTTCGTTCTGGTGAGGTGATGCTGACAGCACTTGCGGAGTGCTCGGGGAATTTCTGCCCGCGTCTCAGCCTTGCGAATACTTCATCTCGTTTCCTACGTCTTGACGCGAAATGAACAGGTAGACGATATTGCGAACTAGGGATCTTGGTTGCCTTTCTCCATGCGATACATACTTTCAAGAGTTGCTGTTCGACTGGGTCGGGCCGGAGAAAACAGTAGGAACGGGAGAGGGCGACGACAAGGCTGTGATGCAACCTTGGCCATCGACCTCGTTGCACTCTCCCGATCGTCCCAACAATCTGCACTGATGTAGTGACGTTGACAAGAAGTGCAAACACCTCCGCCCTCCCGCAATCTCGCTTGTTGACGTCAAGCTGCGTTGAGAAAGTGGTGTCGCCGTTTGCACAGTGAAGCGTGCGGTTTTCGCCACCCGCAAACACACCCTCACACAGCGCACACCAATTTCGTACCTCTCTTCTTCTTTGCTCTTCTTGATACCACCGACCTCACCACCTCACCGCGCGCCCTGCTCTCGTTGTTCAAGTTCACGTGTCGATCTGTGAACTCACTGACAATTGGAAAGGCTGCAGACGCTTCTTCTTCCTCTTCACCACCGACACAAGCAAAGCCAGGCACCGACATCCAACAAGCAAGTCAACAGTAGTGAGTCCAACACATTCCCCCTCCTCACCCTCACCATCTCTTCACAACTAACAACCCCTCTCAACCCCAGTGTCCAACTACACCTGGGGCCCGCCCTCAGACTCCGACTCCGCCAACGACACCTACATGTCTACCCCCAAGCAAAGCTTCGTCGGCGGAGGCGGCGGTGGAGGCGGAGGCGGAGGCAACGACAACGATCCCAATCCCAACAAGAACAACTCCAACGGCAACAACGGAGGCGGAAGCGGAAACGATGGCCCAAACGACAGCCCGATCGACACCACCTATGGCTTCAACCACTGGTGCATCGGCGGCAAAGAATTCCACTCATGTCCTCAGTGCAAGGGCTCGATTCGCGGGATGCAGTGAGTTGCCGCACCTTACGCAGGCCGAGAGGGGGTGTGATTGCTGACAGATGCGATGTGATGTAGGCGCTGCACTCTCTGCAACCGCACGGGAATGGTGTGGACGCGCTGCAAGATCTGCTACCCTGCTCCTGGCGTCGTGGACACGGATCCGCGTGGTCCTTCTCGTGCTGCGTCGAATTGACTGCTTCTCTGTGTTTGAGCACTGTCTGGCTGTCTGCATCTTGGCGCGACTGCACTGGCGCGTGTGCTTTTCCCTTGGTGGACTTGACGATGTGACGGAGTTGATGCGAACGTGTATTGGTCTTTGCGACGATATGGCGACAGCTGGAGATACCCCGAACACTGCATGGAGGTTCGACTGCTGAATGAATTCGGAAGATGGCTGGACTGTCGACGTGTCCTTCTGGGCGGAAGGAAGCAAAGGAACTTGGAGGGAGGGACCTGGTGAGAGAATCAACCTTCTTTGTACTTTACTTGCTGCTGCTATGATGACGACTGTCCACTGTTACTCTCTCACTCCCACTTCCCGTATATCCAACATCTCACAGTACATCTCCAGCCCGGATGGTCTCGTACCCACATTTTGCCCGTACAGCCCAACTTTTCAGAACCAAACACTCACTTGAACTGATCCTCCGTCACCCCCTTGCCCATAGCAGAAGTACTGCTCACCCCACCCTGCACCAACATCAACAAGTTATCAATGTAGTTGGCCCCGCTCCACTTCTGATGCGTGACGACCTCAACGCCCTGCTCCATCTCCGGCTCCTGCACCGTCTCGCCGTACGCGCGCATGCCGCGCTTCGCGTAGTCGCGCGCAAACGAGTTGGAGATGAGCGCGGTGCTGTGCAGGCCGGCGAGCGTGATGAACTGCCAGCAGTACCCGAGGGTGGCGAGGCGCTTGATGAAGGTCTCTTGCTCTTTGGGCTCCATGGCGGCTTTCCAGTTGAAGCTGGGGGAGAGGTTGTAGGAGAGTCTGCATTCGTTAGTCATCCATCGACACTTGCGGAGCGGAGGCTTCAACTCACTTCTGCTCCGGCCAAACGGCATGCACGCCATCGGCAAACTCCTTTGCCTGCGCGAAATCGGGCTTCTTGCTCTCCATCCAGATGAGGTCGGCGTACGGGGCGAAAGCGATGGCCCGCACCACACTCGGCTGGCAACCGCCGTGGAAGCGGTAGTAGCCCTCCCTCGTCCTCGCCGCATCCCAATCGAAGTGGACATCGACGCCCACGAGGCCCTTGGCGATCGATCGGCATTCGGCATTGCTCTTGCCCTTGGCTTGCTTGGTGTACTCCTCAATCAGACCCTGTTTGTCGACATGCACGCCGGCGCGGATGGTGTCTGCTACGGCCTGGTCGAAGGGTTTGAGATCCGCTTGCGCCGTCCAGGCATCCTCGATGGCTTGGAGGTCTGGGCCGGATTTGCCTGCTTGCTCGGCGGCGATCATGAGATCGTTAAGGGGCTGGAGAGCGGGATTGGTGGCGCCAAGGACGAAGGCGTGGTCTCGGGGGTCAATGGTGCTGGTGATAAGAGTGGCGGCTTCAGCGTCTGTCCTTGCGATGGCCAGAAGATCAGATCCTGGACGATAGAAGTCAGCGCTGAGCTTGCCAAATGGACTCACTGCCTCACTCACCCATGATATCGGCCTGGGCTCGAATGGCCACCAAGCGGTTGATATGCTCGCTAACGGGCACCAAAACCTTGCCAGCCATATGCCCACACTTCTTCGTTCCCGGCATCTGGTCCTCAATGTGGACTCCGGCCGCGCCCTTCTCAATGAACAAGCGGGTGAGCTTCATAATGGCACTGATACCACCATGTCCGGTATCGGCATCGGCAACAATGGGGTTGAGGAAGTCGGTGTTGGCGACCTTTGATCGCTCCGACGCGGGCGTCGTCAAGCGCTCTTCACGCTGCTTTCGGTCGTGGAAGAGCTGCGCTTTGAAGAGATGTTCCACCTTCTCGGGGACGGTGGTGTAGGGGTAATCAGCGAGATCGGGGCCGGGTTCGTTGCTGGTCGACGCAGTGCTGGACGACTGCCATCCGGAGACGTAGACGGTATCGAGGTACTTGGCCATTTGCGTGACCATGACGGGGTCGAGACATCCGTAGGTGTAGCTACAATCGCGGTCCTACATTTCCCTTGTTAATCAAACACATCCAACCAAACCAACAGAATCAATCAAAAAAACGTACGGAAAACCTCTTCTCCACAATCTTCCACATCTTCTTCGACATGGCATTGCTGGGATACTCAATCTTCAAATTGCCGCGCTTGTTGGCAATCTGCTCGGCGGTGTAGGGGCGCCGGGTGTACCGCCATCGCGACTCCTTCCACCACTGCTCAATCTCCTTGACCTCGGCCTCGAAGGCCGCTTGCTCGGTCTCGGCGCTGGCGGCGGGCATGATGGTGTGCGGGTTGCTCGTCTCGACGCTGTGCGGGAGGATGGAGGAGATGGCGGCCGAGGCAATGGATTTGAGTCTTTCTGCCAGCGTGACGGTGCTGGAGTTGGATGTGCTGCGTGGTGGTGATGGGCGGGTAGCGAGAGGACGGGGTAGGGATGGAAGAAGGAATGGATGATGTGTGAGTAATAGGCGCAAAAGCAGTGCGAGCTCTCTCGTGTGCCCGTGCCGTGCCTCGTCTGGGCGGCCGATGACGTCCGGATGAATGGCTGGACCGCGAAGATCTGGGGAACCGTCCGGTTTGCCGAGGCACCGAGCATCGCGCAAGCACGTGAATTCGCTCCATCCCGACATTGCCCGAAGTTATGTATGGCAAGGCTTGGTATAATCGGCGAGTCGTAGTCTCATGATTGCATTCAGGCTGGTTCTAATGCTAAGACGCCTTACAGTCATACCCGTCTACCATCCGTGATGATAGCCCAATCGATCAGCCCAATGCAACACTCTATCCAACGCCATCGCTAAATTCAACTTCACTCCCCAATCAAACCCCATTACTTCTTGCCTCCCTTCTCCAAGTCCGTCTCAATAACCACACTCTCCACCACCGCCGCCCCAGTCGCCATCCCAGCAGCCTCAGCTGCGTCCGCCTCCGCCCGCTTCCTAACCTTCTCATCCGCCTTTCTCTTCTTCCTCTCCGCCTTCTCCTTATTCTCTCGCATGGCGCGAATCAACTTCGACCTTCCTCGAATCTTCGCCCCGTAGCGGTAGAAGATGAACGGAATCGGAATGCACACCACCTCCAACATGCCGAGCAGTGTGCCGCCCCAATTCGGACCTAGCGCGGCGAACAACGGCGGAGCAGCGAGTGGTAATGTCGCGCCCATGATGGACCGCAGCACTGCGTTTCCGGCCAGTGCGCTGGCGGCGAAGATGTCGTAGGAATGCACGAGGTAAGCGGATGCATAGATGAAGACTAGATTGTTGCCGCAGCCGAACGGGATGCCGGCGACGATAGGCCAGATCCAGTGGACGTTCGGCGTGCAAGTCCATGAAAACCAGATTTGCCCGGCAGGAATCAGAATCGCTCCCAAGCAGACTACGGATACCATTGCTTCGGGCGGTGGGGGCGTGTCTGCGTCGGGTTTGGAACGGTCGATCCATTTGCGGATGAGGGGTTCGCAGACGATGGCAATCATGCCGCCGACACCGATTCCCACGAAGGAAAGACCGACAAAGCCGGAAGACCAGCCGCGGAGCCCGCCAAAGACGATCGGGTAGGCAACAAAGCAGAGGTACAGGATGCCGTACACCAATGCAATGTAAATATCCCAGAACATGCATATGGGCTCGGTGGCGGCCATGATGAAGGGCCGGGAGAGGTTGACTTTCAGCAGGGCGCCAAACTTGAGCTTGTTGTCGTATGCCGAATGGTATCGTTCATCTCCGGTCTCTTTCCGCAGCTTCGCCGCCCTCTTTCGTAGGATGGCTGGGGTGTAGGTTTCCTTGATGGCCGACACCATCAACCAAGCGCTTCCTGCCGCAGCAACGACCACCCAAAACGTCCATCGCCACCCAAGGTACTGGTAGACGAAGCCCCCGATTACGGGGCCGAGGACTGGACCGTTTGCCGGGCCTATAGACCATATGCTGAAAGCTAGAGCACGATACTTCTCCGTCACGATGTCGTTCACGGACCCGGGAGCGTTGCTAATCATGGCCGAAGCACAGAAAGCGCTGAAGAAGCGGATAGTGAGGATAGTGGCCATATTCTGTGCCTCCGCGCAGACTGCAACAAAGACGAGGAAGAGTGCCAATGAGACGACGTAGCACGGTTTTCGTCCGTACATTTCCGAAAGCGGAGCGAGGAAGAGAGCACCAACAGCTATGCCGAGGAGATAGGTCGTCACTCCCAAGATACCCTCCGCGTCCGAGATGCCGAATGACTTTTCAAGGCCAGGGATGGCTGAGGTGAAGGAGGTCGAAGTGAGGACAACGCAGGTGGTGGAGTAGCTCATGACGAAGATAATGAGGGTTTTGTACCACGTAGGCCAGTTCAAGGGGTTGTCTTCTTCCCACTCGAAGTCTACTTCATACTGTGCGTCGGAGGTCATGATCGAGCTCTTGCCGGTAGTTGTGCGGTCGAGACCGGGGATGATGCCGCCAATGGCATTGGTGGAGGAGGCGTGGGAGATGGTGGGGCGGAGGCTGTTGGCGCGGTAGGTGGACTCTGTGTCTTCGTGATCGTCATCGTGGTCGGAACTGGTGCCTGCGCTGGAGTTGGAGTCGGATCGGGGAGGAAGAGGCTCCTCGACAGACATGTACGAGGATGTCCGCTCCAGAGTGGAGAGAAAGCTCTCCTTGGTGTCTGGTATTTTCGAGTCCATGTTGGCGGCGAGCGGGGGTCACGCCTAGGTGTTGATTCCTGCACGGAGTGATTGTGCGTGATTTACCTCATCTGCAGGGACCGCGGCCGAGGTTCGGAATGCGTTTGTTGCGATGCCTCGGAGCGAGAGGAGGAGGCAGACACGAGAGACGACAAAGCTCCAAAAACTTCAGTAAGAGAGACCAATAATGCTGTAGGAGTCAGGAAGAAGGAGAGCAACAAGAGAAACGAAACAAGGATAGAAAGTCAAGAGTCACAAATGACGAGTACGAAGCCATCTCGCTCGCGAGCATCTTCTGCCGACAACGTTGGGCACTGGGGCAGAGGCGCGCTAAAAGGATCAAGCCTTTTCGGTGCAAGGCCTTCTAGCGGCATTGAAGGACGGGTGTCAAGATGAAGGGTGGATGTCGCGTTTGCTCGAGAGCAACCCGGTCAGCACTGCGGAAATTGGCCGCTAGGGTGTTGCGTGTAGGCGGGAGGCCGTGTCAAGCTGATTCGCGACGTATTTTGGGGCCTGCACACCGCCAAATATCCGCTCTGGACAGCGCAGGAAAAGTGGAAGTGCGGTCTGAAAGCCGTTACAGCGGTGCCGGTTTGCCGATCACCTCTGCGCCACTTTTGATCCCTGGCGCGCGCCGACCTCGGCTCAAAGGCCACGCGTGAATCTGGCGCGTCGGGAAACGTCGGCGTAGCGGCGGGTGAATGTTCGACGACACGTGCTTTGTAAATGCCTCTGTGAGTGACGAAGCCAAGTTCGAGATGGCCCTCACGAGCGTCCTGGTGAGCCTTGAGCCAGGATGAGTCAGACCCTGTATTGGCTATTCATCCTGGCAGATCTACTGCGGACTTACGGCGATGGAAGAAGAGATCTGTGCGAAGAGACCGCCTAGAGGCCGTGCAGGCTGCGAGAGTAACCGCTTTGACGACCAACTCGACCGATACATCCCCGCATGTTCACGCAGGCTGCCCGGATTGATAGTACCGTCTACAACAATGCTGATGCGTTTGAGACGAGTCGCTCAGGTGATTGCATATGTGCATGTTGACTCGGCCTGGTGTGGCATAGGTAGGCAGTCAAGTTTGCAAACAGCGCTTCCCTCGCGCAGAAGTCGCGATGCACGTACCTTCCTTCCTTCCCTGCAAACATCACTCTTGGCGCACATACACACACCAGCCGCAGGCTGCTACTTCGTCCAGTCCTCATCTCTCCACATCACATCAACACTCACTGCCCTTCCCTTCACTTGAACAACTCTCATCCCAACGTCGCCAACGCCGACCGCGCCATGGAGGAAGGCGACAAGTTCCCATGGTTCAACGACGGCGACGTCCTCATCGTCCTGACCGCCGCTCGTCAATTCAAGCTGCATCGCAACGTCCTGCGCAACGCCAGCCCGACGCTGAACCGTCTGCTCCACGATACCTTTGTCACGAGGACCGGGAAAACGCTGCCTAAGAGACTGCGGCAACCGGGGAAGATCATCCGTCACCGTCTCAGCGGCGAGCCGAACGATGGAGATGACTTTCTGCCCAATGTCACCCTCCAGCCCGTCCATCTTGACGAATACGGTCAGCCGCTGGTTCCTGACATCCTGCCTCCCCTGCCCCTGACGTTTGAAAACGGTCGTGCTGTCAATCCCGTCTATCCGGTATGATTCAGTGCTAGCTTGCCGTGCTATCGACGCTCATGCCTGACTAACCGATGCGTTCCAGGCATACGAAATGGTGCTCGGCGCCATGTACAACCGCGACCTCGACTTTGGTGACTTTGACGTCACCTCCCTCGACGACATTCTCGAAAAGGCGCAGCATGTGCTGCTTGTCGCCGAATACCTCCAAGTCGTGAGTTCTTCACACCACTCAAAGCCACTTGTGTCTCGGCCATTGACTCCTTTCCAGGTCCATCTCATCACCAAATCCATCGAAGCGTCATTGCTAGCAACAGGCCAAGCAGTTTATCGCGCCATCGCTGACATGCCCGCGGCATGGCTGTTGCTAGCCTATCGCATGCAATGTAAATCCATCTTCAAAGAGGCCCTGATCCACGTCACCGGACAGTACAATACGCCAGAAGTGCGCGCGACGATTAACAACTTCCCTAATTCAGTCCGCAAGATCGTAGAGGACAAGGTCAATACAGTCAGAGGGGGTCTCGAGGTGGCTCAACAGAGCATCATGGCTCACTACCCATCCAACATAACGCGCGATGCCTTTGGCGACAAGGCGAAATTGACCAAGGACTCCTACGCGAGCGATGTCGTGACCTGGATGGCCGTGGCGGCGTACCGGCAATGGATGGGGATGAATCTCGTGCGAGACAAAACACACCAAGCCAACGACATGGGATTCGCCTTCTTCAGCCAGCTGCACAAAGGCGGAGAGGCGTATCTCGGTCGCGAGGCGCTGGAGCAATTCGCCAAGCTCTTTCCCATGAGCCCGAAGTTGACGAGCGTGCTGAGGGAGAGGCTCCTGGGCATCAAGGATACTGTGAAGGAGAGCTTTGCCGCGGTCAGTTTGACGTTTTTCACTCGCTTTTGAATTGTCACTGACGATCATCAGCCATTCATGGAGAACAAATCTCAGCTCGACACCAGCACGTATTCTCATGGCTTCTTCACTTGCACTTACGTGGATTCTGCCGACTTCCCGTGGCTTATGGAAGAGCAGGAGGAAGATGAGAGCAGCGAGGACGAGCACTGAGCGCGGCCTGGCCGCTCTCATGCCCTGTTTTGCTTCTGCGACCGCTTGGATACCCTCATGATGGCCGTGGATAGGTTGAGAGCCAGAGAGAGCAGGCCAGGATAGGCAGGTGTAGCAATCACATTGGGTGGGTTTGATTTCATCCAGTCCGTGACTCTTCGGCGCTTCTCAACGGGCGAACTGCGGACAAATGCGCTCCGTAGCCTTTCACAGCGCTGTGACTGCGGGAGAAGCGACATATGGCCCAGGCGCTTGCAATGTCGCCAAACTGTCCTAAACTCGCAGAGATGGCCAACGTGCCACTTCCCGACACCGCGGCGACTCACGACCCCCCAGGCATCCAACTTCATCGCGGTCAAGATTGAGCAATGCTCTACGAGAGCAGCCTGTCGGCTAGGCAACATCGCAAAACTTTCCCTACCTAACGAGTGAACCTCGCGCTTGTCTTGTGCCAGCAGGTCTTTACGTCTCCAGGCCCGGAAACTCGGCCTGATCAACTACGGACTGAAAAACAATGCCGCTTCCGCATGTCGTTTCGCTATGCGGAGAGGGAGTGGTAGATGTCACGAGTGCGTGCAATTGCGCTGGCCTTGGCATTTCTCTTCCATTTTCGTGACTGCAAATTGTGCTTGACCACTTTCGAACGGAAAGCACCTTAGAAGAGGATCAATGGCGCAGACTTGCTTTGAAGCCAGTCTTGCAACTACCATGCAGGTGAGAGGAGTATGAGGTTCAGATTGCGAGATCACCAAAGTTTTCTCCGGCTCCGTTCCTTCGCCTCGTGTTCGTCTACGTCGTTATCGTGTATACGCAAGGATTGGACTGGGAGCGGAGTGAGGTAGGAAGAAGATGGCAAGAATTCGCGAAGCTCGGCCGATTCCCAAGCGCAGTGGAGAAGGCTACCTTGGGCCCGGGGAAGGCATCACCCTGGGCTCCTGCCGCGTCTCCTGCGGACCACCATTGTCTTGTTCGACGCCCAGGGCGTGGCATTGGTTGAACGAGCATGTGTTGGCTGTACACAGTAGGCCAATGGCTGAAGCCTGAAGAGAGTAACATGCTCGACAGAAGCAGGGCTTTGCTCACGCGATCTCTTTCATCAGAGCAATTTTCTCCCCACTCAGCGCGACAGCTTAGATGGCTGTACAAAGGCCCCAATGAGCATCATTACCATCCTTGAATCAATCATGATGCTAATGATAATCTCCTAGGTGCTCTGTATATGCCCTCCACTCGACTTCATCAACACACCCGAGTGGTCTAGACTCGGCCGGCGTAAATCGTGAATCGACCCCGACGCCCACCTCTGATTGGCTGTTTGCTCGGGCGGTCGGATGGGAAAGGCTGTCGCCGCCCGATGCGCAGCAGAGCAGAGGCGGTCTCGCCACAAGACGCCGGCCGACGGGGGAAACAGCATCTATAATAATGACTCCTGCACTGCTCTCGCATTTAAACCCTGGTCTGCCTCTGTGGTTTTCCTGGCATGACTTTACGAGCAACTTCTCCACATCTGGTCCACTCGTTCCCCTGAACTTCAATCGTACTTGTCGCTCTCTCCTGCCAGGCATTTCCATTCGACACCACAACAGCCATGGCGGGCGAGATGGAATCCCCGCCTACAGCCGCTTCGCACACCTCCAGCACCACCTCGCCGACCCCGGAAAAGACGCACGACAAGGCAATGGAGGCAGTCGAGCAAGCGCGAAGCAGCATCTCCCACGACTCCGACGCGGGCCCGAGCGAGAAGCAAGAAGATGTTTCGGAGACACCTCTTGAGCGTACCCAAACCACCGACTCCGCCTACCCTTCCAACAAAGAGGTCATTCCCGTCATTGCCGCGTTGATGCTGGCCATCTTCCTTATGGCTTTGGTAAGGCTGATGAAATCAAGTTCAATCAACCTACCAGCTAACGTCCACGCAGGATCGAACAATCATTGCTACTGCCATCCCGCGAATCACTGACGAATTCCACTCCCTCGATGATATAGGGTAAGCCATTCCCAACCATCCCATCTTGATCATCGTCGACTAACAGCCTGTTCAGATGGTACGGCTCAGCCTTCCTCTTGACCAGCGCCGCCTTTCAACTCCTCCTCGGCCGCGTCTACACCTTCTACACTCCCAAATACATCTTCCTCATCATCATCGGCATCTTCGAGATCGGGAGTGCAATCTGCGGCGCCGCTCCCAACTCCATCGCCTTCATCTTTGGCCGTGCGATTGCCGGGATAGGTGCAGCGGGCATGATGACTGGTGCGGTGGTCCTCCTCGTCAGTGTAACTCCACTCAAATCTCGTCCGAAGTGGATCGGTCTCTTTGGTGCTGTGTTTGGGATAGCGTCTGTTGTTGGTCCTCTACTTGGTAAGTTGAAGTCCCAATACATCTTCGTCACACCGCCTAACATTTCACAGGCGGCGTGTTCACCACCGATGTATCCTGGCGCTGGTGCTTCTACATCAACCTCCCCATCGGCGCCGTTGTAATCGTCATCGTCGCCTTCCTTCTCAAACCCACCGTCCCCAGCAACAAAGGCCTCACCATCAAACAGCAACTCGCCAAACTCGACCTCCTCGGCGAACTCTTCCTCTTCCCCTGCATCACCTGCCTCCTCCTCGCCCTGCAATGGGGCGGCAGCACCTACGCCTGGAGCAACGGGCGCATCATCGCCCTCTTCACCCTCTTCGCCGCCCTGCTCGTCGCCTTCGTGCTCGTGCAAATCTTCATGCAAAAGACCGCCACCGTGCCCGCGCGCATCATCCGCTCCCGCTCCATCCTAGGCGCCATGTGGGTCACCTTCTGCATCGCCTCCAACATGCTGCTCGTCATCTACTACCTGCCCATCTGGTTCCAAGCCATCCAAGGCGTGTCTGCAGTGCAATCCGGCATCCGCACGCTGCCCCTCGTCCTCGCCGTCGTCGTCGGCTCCATCGCCGCAGGCCAGACCGTCGCGCGAGTAGGCTACTACGTGCCACTGATGTACCTCTCCGCCCTGCTGATGCCCATCGGCACGGGCCTCCTCCTCACCTTCGAAGTGCACTCCTCCGAAGGCGTCTGGATCGGCTACCAGATCCTACTAGGTCTCGGCATCGGCGTCGGCATGCAGCAGGGCAACATGGCCGCGCAGACGGTGCTGAGCAAGCAAGACGTGCCCAGCGGCGTGGCGCTCATCATGTTCTGCCAGATGCTCGGGGGCGCCATCTTCATCTCCGTCGGGCAGAATATCCTCGATTCGCAGCTCGTGCAGCGCCTCCGGACGGTGGCGCCGGGCTTGACGGCGAAGCAGATTGTGAACACGGGCGCGACGGAGTTGCGCAAGGCGGTGCCGGCGTCGCAGCTTGACGCGGTGCTTGTACAGTACAATTTGGCGCTGCGGCAAGTGTTTCTCGTTGGGGTGGTCGTGAGCTGTTTGACGATTGTGGGTGTTGTAGTGGTGGAGTGGAGGAGTGTAAAGGGCAAGCAAGGCCCGACGCAGAAACCGGAGCAAAAGAAGGACATCGAGGCAGCGGCGGCGGTGGAGGAGAAGGTGTAGGATGGTGCTGCCGTGCGCTTGTATGATTAGAAATGATACCCAACTCACGTTGTATTTTTAAAAGCTAGAGGCACGAAAGGGATCAGCCCGGATGCCATGAACAATCCTATCACCGAACACGACTGACAGCATCTCACGAATGAAACAAGCACATCAGAAAAGTAATCATATCAACCTCAGTAAATCTACATATCCCTAACCCTCTCCCTCAACCACACAACACCTTTCATCCCTCACCGCCTCCCATTCACCGCCGCCCCGGGCGCACCCGCAGCCCCCCGATTCGCAAACAACAGCTTAAACCCATTCTTCAGCGCCCGCATATCCGGGTACTTGTGTCCCTGCAACTCAAAAGCATTCGGAATGACCTTGACCGGCCAGCTGCTGAGCGGCGCGTTCTGCCCGGCCTTGAAGCACAGGTAGAAGTAGCCGGGGTGCTTAGGATTGAGGCAGAAGGCGTACATGGAGCGTTTGGGGTTGGCTTCGGTGTAGGTGGTGAGCCATTGCTCTGTTGCGAAGACCATTAGCATTTTGTAAAATGTGGGTCGTGTTAAAGGAGGAGGGGATGTAAGTCCTTACCTGTCTGCTGCTTGCTTCCGCTCTGGTAGCGCTCGTCGCCCATCATTTCATCGACCTTCTTCGCCATGGCTTTGACGTGCAGCGCAATCAACTCGTCGAGATCGCTGTACGTGTACTTGCCCCCAATCTTGAGGATTCTGCCGACGGAGAACTCGTTCTCCTTCGACAGCTCCAGCACATCGATATGCTGGTACATGTCGTCGTGGATCTTCCACGTGACGGCGAGATGGTCGGGCCCGTTGGACGAGGGGCGAATAACGCAGTCGCCACGGCCGTGCGGCTGAAGGAACTGCTCGGCCTGGCTGGAGTTGAAGGGGCGGAACACGGGGTGCTTGATGACTCGCTGGGCGCGCCAGGTGCCGGCGTCGATGACTTTCTTGAGTTCCTTCTTGTCCCGCGCTTCCTGCTCGTAGTCCCATTCGTCGATATCATGGTCCACGGCACGTCGGTAGGGGACGCTCAGCTCGCTCTCTCGCAGCGTCAACTTTGCGGCCAGCTTCTTGCGATCGATGAACATCAACTTGGCCTGGATGGTTTGATGTGGCGCCCAAACTTGTCGGGGCTCGAGGCCGCTATTCTTCATCTCGTCGGGGTACTCAATATCGGGAATGTCGCCGTCGATGCCGCAGTCGAGTTTCACTTCGAGATGGTCGAGGAAGGTGCGTTTGACCGAGCACGGTACAATCATGCCATCGGCAAGCGTGTCTCGCGTCTCGCCGGTGAGCATAGTGAAGATCTCTTCCGTGGTCAAACTCTCAAAAGCACGTCTCAACTCCTCATACGGGTTCTGCAGTTCCGCACGAATCGTCTCCAGCGTCGCACGCTTCCGCTGCGAAAACTTCGTCTCGAGTTGCTCCGCGTACTGCTCGAGCAAGAGGTCGTTGACTTTGTCTTGCTCGGCGTCTTTGATCAGCTTACGCACAACGGCGTTGTTGCCATTCTCGTCGACTTCGGCTTTGATGTCTTCCTCGTCCATCTCCAGCGCATCCGCGGCCATCTTGCGCGCGATGTCATAATCTTCAGGATGAATGCGAGTATTGTCGAGGTAGTCCGCGCCGATTTCGTTGTCATCGTACGAGATGTACAAAAAGCTGGAGCAGTTGGTCCACACCTTGGGCCCGACCGCTTGCCGCTTGCCCTGGTCCACGTCACCCACCAGTTCCTCGCGCGTGATGATTTCTCCGCCATTCTGATTGATGATCTTGAGCATGTACGCCGCCTTTCGCGGTCCGAGGCCACAGATGTAAGGGAGCAGGTTGGCGGTGTATGGATCATTGACGGCATCGTTAATCTCGACGCCGACCAGGTTCACCATATCCACCATGGCAGTCTCGAGGTACTTGAGCAGCTTGTCTTCCGGTACAAGCTGTTGATTCGGATCGAAAGAGATCGAGACAATATCTCTGCCGAGCGCAGCATATTCCTTCAAAGGGCTCTGCAGATACTTCGCGAGGCCAATGGCGTATCTCGTAAGCGGTGGCAGGCCTGGGTGTTCTGCATTCGCACGGTTCGAGGTGTGATAGAGGCGAGCAACCTCGTCGTTCGCAATCACAACTTCCAGCGGATCGAGACGCTCCTGGTCGTTGTCATCAGTCCAAGGGGCGCCATGAAGGGTATGTTTCTCGATGATGTCCTGCAGGTCTTTGTAAAGACGCCTCGTCTCAACTGACCAGCCAGACACAGCCACAACATCCGGCTTTCTGCGCTCCACGAGCTCGACGAAAGCCTCGACGTCTTTGCTCTCTGCTAGACCAGGTGCAGGAAGGCGGAGATCGCTGAACTTGCCGTTCTCCAGCACCCTTCCGTTCTCCTCGAGGTACGCCCAGCAAATGGCATCGCTTCGGTTTCCTCCGCCATTGGAGAGCGCAAGCACGCGAGGAAGCGTTCCAGCTTCCATTCCCCGAGGCTTCCAAGGCGCCTGATCGAGTTTCTGGGTATATGCGTCTCGACAGTATCCCGCGAGTTTGTTCTCACACTCACTTCTGACATTATCCTTGACGCCTTTGGAGATGATTTTGTGCAGATGGGCCAGCGCGGTATCGAGCACCTCCCGTCTGAGCTCGTTCCAGGCATCCGCGACTTCGGAAAAGCTGTCGGATTCAATGGCTTTCTGCAAGTCCTCTTTGACCTTGCGCTCGCCCTGCAATCGCACGCGCACCTCGACGAGACCCTCCGACTCCGCCTTGAGCATTCGCAAGAACATCTCCGGCGTATCGAGCATCATGGTGCGCACCTTTTGGCCGCGCAGATACTTGAATTCGTAGTACGGATGGCCCTCGTCGATCTGCTTGTGTCCTTTCTCCGTTCGCTGCACGTCAAAGACGAGCTTTTCGTAGTAGATCTGGCGCATGTATCGTCTCAAGCGAGGGCTCATAACGATCTCTTCGACGACCATGGCCTTGGCGGCGGCAAGGATTGACTGTCCAGTGGGGTAGTCAGGATCACGGACAAGCGTATCTGCCAGGTCATCCGGACGCAAGTCGGTATCGTCGGTGTACGTCCTGCGACCAGACTTGTCCACATTGACAGCAAGTTGATCGGCGGTGATGCCGAAAGCTCGAACGAGATGGTATGCGGGTCCTTGTCGGACTTTGTCCCAAGGACTTCGCTTACCACCGGCACGCTTTTGCAGTCCATTGGCTTCGGCGCGCTCGGCGGCAACATCCTTCAATCGCCCAGAGTACTGGAAGTTGAGGTAGTCTTGGAGATCCTGCAAGTCGTCGATTTGCGCGGCAAGAGGAAGGAGATCATCAAAGACTGTATCGCTGAAGTCCGAGATCTGCTCCTTCAGTGCCGCCACGGAAGTGCGAATGGCCCGTCGCCTCTCCGAGAATGCACGAAACTTGAGGTCCTGCTCCAAGACATCCCACAGATCCGTTTGACTCAGCAGTTTCTCAGCTTTAATGTCATAGGCCGGCGCGCCAGGGTTGTTGGGGTTCGGGCTGATGGGAACCTGCTCGGAGTGGATCAAGTAGTCCTTGCGGTTCTGGAAAATGAATGGCGGCTCATAGTCTTCCACATTCATGAACCGCAAGACCGTCTTGACGGCCTGCTCGAAGGGTCCTCGAAGGCTCGGCGAGATGTTCTTCTTCTTGGGGAAGAGCATGCCAGCGACCCATTTGGCTTCTTCCGCTTCCCACTCCGCGAGCTCCTCCTCTGGTAGCTCGGCTTGATCTTGGTAAGGTTTCCGAGCGAGCTGGAAGCGTTCTGGGACGTCGTTCATACGGATGTTGTTGTCGTCATCCGTCAACATCTTCTCGATGAGTTGCGATGGCTCAAAGACGTCCTTGAGCTCCAGCGGCTTCTCGGGATCGGCCAACTCTTCGTTGTTTTCAGCCTCGGCCTCCAGCGCCCAGCCAAACTCATCCCCATTGCCGAATGCACCTCGCATGTCCTCAAGGTCCGCCTCGTCGAGTCCCGATTCGCGAAGATTCTGCAAGTCTGCAAAGCCAGGGCGTCTTGGGGCTCGGACTCCAAGGTCGTCATCAAGTTGTCCGCCTTCTTCATCCGGAAACTCATCTTGCTCGATGAAATCGTCCATCTCATCACCATATTGCCCAAACGCGCCGCGTCCCCGCGCAGGCGCAACAGCCTCGCCCCCTTCTTCCTCGTCGGAGAAGATGTCTTCCACACCTCGCACCTCGTTTGCCGATCTGTCGTCGCGATGGCCACGTTTCAGACGCTTGAACTTGTTCTTCTCCGCTTGCCGATGGTCGAAGTCGGGATGCAATTCTCCAATGAGATCCAAATCTTCCTCGTCCAGAACTTCGTCCTCCTCTCGCTCTTCCCTTCTGCGCTTCTTCCTCTCCCGCCGGCGCTCCCTCGCAGCCTCGTCGTCTTCCTCGGGATCATCGACGATGAATCCTTCCCGAATGCGACGCGCTTCTTCCTCCTAGAGTGATGAAAAGCCAACAATCAGCACAAACCACTCGCATCAACGTGAACGAGGCAAAAGGAACAGGTATACTCACATCATCATCGTCGTCCTCCTCCTCACTCGAATCATCCACATCGCCATTCGTCGCCTTTGATTTGCGCGACCGATCAACTGGCTCGCCCGTCTCCTCATCAAACTCCTCCTCTTCTTCATCCCCGCTGTCCACCGTGGCGGTGCGGTCGAAGAAGTTGTCCATGACTGTGGGTAGACGAGGTCAAGAAAGGAGGTCGTGTTGTATTGGGGGCGAGGATGTAGCGACACAGCCGTGAGTGAAAGCAGAGACGGGATGCGGTGAAGATGCGTACTAGACGACTGCTTCAAACACACCAAAAGAGAGGGCGGAGGGATGGAGGTGGTGCAATGCGCGCGCGGAGATGTTTGCGAGTTGGGCGTTCATTCAAAAGTTCAAAGAATGTCGCCGGCTTTACTTCGGACAAGTGTCGCGCTAAAATTACGAAGTCACGTGCGCCGCCTTTCATTTACGCGATTGACGAGGCAGACAGGCATCAGATCGAAAGCGAATCGCTTGCATCTACTATCTCATCACTTGAGTCCAGATATGCAGAGCTCCAAGTCACCATCCCGCGATGCGTACAGTCTCCCACAAACGAAACAAAACACGCTGCGTCGCCTCAACGCCTTGCAAGGAAATGCGACCATCAAAAGAGGACTCAAACATAGATAGCACTTCACCAATTCCAACACTCGACTTGTATCGGTGTGTACAGTGCTGCCAGGCACATTATCACTGCACATACCCTGCATAACCCGGCTTCTGTACTGGACGCCGGTAGGACTCGGCTCGCTCGCTCCTCGCTGTCTCTGGCCGCGCAGTCACGGGAGGAGCAGCGGAGGATGGCGGAGGCTGCCTGAAAGGCAGGTTAATGTTCTGCCCCTGTGCATAACCTGCACTGCCATTTCCACTGATGTTTTGTGCGCTACTCGTGCGGGTCGGGAATGAAGGTCTTGTCGCCGCAGAGTGGTTGAACGGAGCAGACGAGATGGGAATTTCGCCGGAGACGGGTGTGGTTCCGTCGAACGGTGTAGACGATTGTGATGTTTGAGATGCAGGTGTCTCCGCGCCTCGGAGAAGTGCTCTTGTGGCTGGTGAGAGTTGAGGAGCGAGGTGGGATTTTCGGTGCTGCCGCTCCATCATGCTCACGGCCCATTGTTCAAGATCGACAGGCGTTCGCTTGGCGGCTTGTAGGAAGGGATCAACATCGTAGAGTTCCTGAGGCGTTGGTCGCTCTTCCGGATTCTTCATCAGACACTTGGCGATGACATCCTCCAGGATCAGCGGGAAGGCATCACTCTTGGGGAGTTTCGGCGCGGGTTCCAGAACGATTTGCTGCAGCAAGTCCAGAATCCCCTGCGGGCCGGCGGCATCTTCCTCATCGTTCTCCACGCTGAACGGGAATTTGCCAATTGCAAGCTCCATTAGCGTAAGTCCAACACTCCAGACATCGCTTTTGACGGTGTACGGACTGCCTTGTATCCTCTCCGGCGCCATGTACGTTCCTGTGCCGACAAAGGTATCCGCTACGCTATTCTCCAACTCCGAAGAGACGCCGAAATCGCACAGCTTGATTTGTCCCCGACTGTTGACGAGGATATTAGATGGCTTGATGTCGCGGTGCATGATCCGGTGCGCGAGATAGAGATACTTCAGCCCGCCCAACACGGCCTCCGCAATCTTGCCGAGCACATCGACTCGCACCGGGCCGAAGGTTTTGGATATGCTGTCGAGCGATCTGCGCCAGCCTCATCAGTGATATTCCCAGGGCATGAACACACTCCAACTCACCCCACATCCATATACTCCATACACATCGTCACATCCCCCGACTCATTCATAAACGCGCCATAAAACGACACAATATACGGCGAGTTGCACTCATGCATAATCTGCAACTCCCGCACAATGCGCCGCCGCACCTCCTTCTTTGCCTCAACATGGATAATCTTCCTCGCCATCACCACATTCCACGCCGCATGCCGCACCTTGCTCACCGTCCCGCCATTCCCGGCGCCCAGCTCTTTCATCATCTCCAAATCCTCGCTGCGCAGGTCGAAGCGGAACTCCACGCCGATCTCGAGGGTGTCGGCGCGGCTGCCGTCGTTGCCTATTGCGCCGGGCAGCTGGGCGTCTTGGTCGGAGGGCCCGGCGGCGGCGGGTTTGGGCGGGGCGGAGAGGGCGAGGCCTTTGACGTTTTTGCGCTTCATGGTGCGCGTTTTGAATTGGTCTTCCATTTTGGGCGGGGGAGGGGCTGCATCAGCTTGCAGCTGGCGGAGGGGAGGGAGATCGGGGGTGGTAGGTGGTGTTTCTCGTGGGTTGGTAGTCGGCCGGGGAGTTTGCGGCGTTGTGAAGTGGGCAGGCAAGCTCAATAGCCCGGTGCTGCCGACAATAGGTTGTCCCTCCTTCAAGCGAGAACCATGGGAATGTCCCGCTCGATAGAATGTGAAGACACCGTCGGGCGCCGCTGTTAGGCGGTAGAGTAAGAGCAGCGAACAACGCGCATCGAAAGGGTGCCGTAGGCAGGCGGCTCTTGTCCACGTCAGCCACGAACACCTAGACGATGGAGTTCCCTTGTGAACCCGGACTGCTTGGGATTGAACGGAGTGGCGAAAGTGAAGGTGAGGATGGAGTGAAGCGGGAATTTGACAGGTTGCATGCAGGGTTGGCCAGCAGAGTGCAGGCATGGGTGGACGTGCAGTGCTGCAGGCCGCAGTCTGGGCGGGAAAGCCAGCGCTAACGACCAACCTTGCTGCATGTGGGGGGTGAGGCGGAATCAATATATCGAAACGGCTGTTAGCCTGGACACCGGCTCTCCTTCATCCATCCCCCGTGGCCGACTGATTCATTGCAAGGGAATTAGATAAGCCTGCGTTCATGTCATCATCGCCACCGGAAGAGACAACGAGGTCGATATGTAAGAATTTGACAACAACTCAAAGGGCAGAGATGATCTGAAGACATTAACCAGCATGTAGTATTTCATGAGCCGCTACGACCAGCACCCTCCCTCCATCGCCCCCTCCATCGCTCATCAATTGCATCTTTCCTAAACGCCTAGCCCCAAGTCCTCCCGCAGTCGCTCGCGACTGTCATATAGTAGTAGCCACAACATACCCCATGCATTATACCCCATGGGTGCAACACCACACTGTACAACTCTCATCTTGCCCCGTGCTCGGCCTACTCTGGCCACGAAGGCAACGGGTCACGATAATACATCGTAGCCACCTTATCCAGCACCGCGTCGTCCGACTCGCGTCTGCTGCTCCCCCAGCCCTCCTCTCGCGGATCTACTCCATCCGAGGGCCGTTTGGGTCGGGGCCGACTTCGACTATCGCTCCTCAGTCTCTAGTCGTAGCCCGCGCCTCGCTGCCACGGACTGGGACTCGCGGTCTGGTTGCGATAGCCGCCCCTCGTCATCGACGCCGCGCGGCTACCGTCGGCGCTGCCGGGCTGTCTTGCCGGGGACTGGTAGTACGGCGAGGGCGGGTTGTGCCGGCCGCCCTGGTCTTCAGCCGGGTAATAGGTGCCGGCGCCGGTGTAGGAGGTGGTGGTGGTCATGTGGTTCTTGGCGGTGTCGCTTCCCGACAGGCTGCTGTCGTCTTCTTCGATACGTGCTCCCTTGTTGCCGTAGAAGCCGTGCTTGGGCTCGCCGCGGGCGGTGGCGCCCAGGGCGTCGAGTTCGGTGGTGAGCTCCGATTGGGACTTGATGAAGCTGCCTCGGTCATCACGCATGGGTTGGTAGCGAGTGTCCGGGTTCTTGGAGAAGAGGGCGTAGAAGGACGCAATCAGCACCAAGATGAGCAAGACGGTGGAGAAGGCGGCATTGTAGACGAAGAAGACCACGCCCATGACACCATTGACGATTTGCTGGGAATTATCAGTACATGATCGTGCACAAGTCAACTGGGGTGAAGCTTACCGGCTGGCCAAATACGTTCGAGAAGAAAAGCATAAAGATGGCACTGATGAAGTTGATGACCGAAATGGAAATGTTGAAGGCGTTGGTCTTCTTGTCCATGTAGGGCGTCAGGATGGACACGCCGATGAGAAAGACGGCCTCGATGACAACGAAGCCGATCGCCTGCGCGACTCCACTACCCTGCGCAAAGGCAACGAAAATGCCCTTGAACAAGACGTAGATCAAGACGGGGACGATGAAGTAGTACGCCGTGGCCTTGAAGTGGACGTAGAGGAAGCCCCACTTATTAAGTGCGACGGGGTCCGAGTAGAGGATGTAGGCCGGGTTCTTGTGCATGGCGATGCTGCGGCGTGCCAGTCGGATGACCTTGCTAGAAGCCCAGCCGAGAATGCCAATCATGGTGAAGACGGTGAAGACGGCCAGCACAATTTCCGCTCCGGAATCTCGTTGGATGAACTCCCAGAAGCAGAGCACGACCATTTGAGGGAAGCCAATGAGGACGATGCGGTACATGATCCCCTTGAGCACGGTTGTCCAGCCGTTGCGGAAGTCTTGGAACTTGTTGTTCTTGAGACGACCAGCCTTGACAAGACCTTCGCAGATGAGTTTGAAGAGGATGACGCCCAGGACAACGGCGACCACAAAGATCAAGAAGAAGATGTAGCCCGTGAGGAAGATGTTGGTCGGCTCGATTCCGGCGATGAATCCAACACGCTTGATGCCGGAGACGATGATCGGGTTGTTGGAGGAACCCGCTGGGTTATCCGAGGATGCTCGTTTCATCACCGGCCCACCGATGCGCTGAAGTGCCCGCTTGCCTAAGGTGTACGCCGATGCTGGGCCCAAGTCACGCTTCTGGACTGACACCGAGTAATCGTCGAGGTTGGAAAGGATTTCTGACGGTGTGCCGCCGGTTGAGCGCTGGTACCAGGTGGCAATGTTCTGGATGAAGCCGATACGGATGATGCCCATGCTCCATTGGAAGTTCTGGGTCCAAGCCTCGACGATCGGGGGCAGGGCGATGTCCGTCATACCGATGAAAGCCTGGGCCTGGAAGTAGCCGAAAAGACCCAGGGCGTTGGCAGCGACATGTGCGGCGGTGTTGGAGTGACCGAGACCAGAGGTGATGGCGGAGGCCACAAGAGCCAGACCGGAAGTGACGGCTAGGACCCAAGCGACTGCCTTCTGGTCCACAGTCTTTCCGTTCGACAAGCTCGCCTCGACACAGGCCACATTTTGGCCGGTAGCGGTATCATTGAACTTGATCTGGAAGCTGGCATCGAGATTGGGGACGGTGTAGGCGATGCCTGTACAGCAGTTAGCGCTGGCTCATACCCTTGTGTCACACGTCTGTCACTTACCCGGAACTCCGCTGAGCGCGCCAGATGGAATGGTAACGACCGAAGGCGGAAGTTGAATCGGACCCTCTTGCATGGGACACAAGCCCTTCAGCGCCGCATCCTCGCAGGGATCGATCTGGCCGTTGTACACGCTCAAGCCGTAGGCCCTGACCTGGATGTTGAGCAGCACGTAACCAGTGATGGTACTAACACCATTGATCGCGAAGGTGAGCGAGCCGTTGCCGGGGGTGAGGGCGATGTCGAAGAGACTGGCGCTGAACTGGCTGTTCTCTTGGCACGTTGCCAGGGAGGTGGATGTGAGTTCGCGCGAGGCGGAGGCGAAGGGGGCGAGGGCGAAGAGGGAGGCGGTCAGCAGTGACCGGATGGACGGCGCCATGTCGGCGTCTGCGTGGTGGAGGGAGAGGAGTGATGGTGGTGATGATGTGGCAGTCGGAGGTGGGCAGGGCAGGGATTGCGCGGCTTCAAAGCCGGGGGAGCGAAGGTGGACGGGCGCAAGTGTCGAGAGCGAGCGAAGGGAAGGCGCGGATCAGGCGTCAGTGTCGTCTCCCTGGTGCTATGACTGTCGCGCTCCGGATAATAGCGACAGACTGTGGCGGGCGTGAAGGGGGTGAAGGGGTGGGCGGCGGAGGTGAGATGGTGAAGGAGGGAGTGGCGCGGATGGGTACGCAACGCTCTGGGTAAGAACCGGGGCGAGGCCAAGAAGAGTAAATCGACTGGCTGGTGTCAAACTCTAAATTCCCGCCTGCCGGATTACGCGGAGCTTCTCCACACGCATCGATGATGCACTCGATGCAGTCTGTGTGTTGCAGGAGCGGCGATGGATATTACAGATTGATGCCTTCCAAATAGACTGAATGATCTCCGGCGCAAAGATGTCGTGTCCAGTCCATTGTTTGTTTGCTGCGATGCAAAGTGCACTGCCCAGTCCCGTCTCAGCGCAATTTCCACGCTGTGGCAGTGCAAATGGATTAGGGGCGAATACTCAACGTTCACCTTGCACGTGATCTCGCAATACTGCTCATTGTGATGGGCCGTTGTTCCGAACGCATTCACTCCCCACTCTCTCTGCATGTTTTGATCCCAGATGCCGTGAAGTAGTTCATCAAATTTCGCTCGCTGGAATTCGCACCGCTTGCTACATTCCATGCTACCGGGTCAGCCGGTACATGCAAGATCACGTGATCACAAGGAAGAGCTGCACAATACACACATCTCTACTCAATTCTAGCAAACACAAACAGTCATCGTCCCATAATTCACGTTCCCATGACCTTGCTCAGATTCTTATCCATCGTAATGCGCCAATGCTTCGAATATCGCTTCATAGCCCACAAACACCCAAACCCGGCGACGAAAGAAAACAGTCCGAACATGGTGAACAGCCACCCGTTTCCGATGGCCTGGATCAGCGGCTCCGTCACCGCCGCTCCCACGCAGCTGAAAATGTTTCGTACAAAGTTGTTCACGGCCACGCCGTTGCTGGGTTTGCGCGGCATGAATTCGGTGAGCATCGTTGTTACCTGGGAGTGAGTGAGTTAGTGTGACTGTTTTGCATTTGGGATCAGAGTAGAGCGAGGTGGAAGACTCACCATTGCAAATATCAGCATACTTCCGATGCCGAAGAAGAAGTTTGCTACGAGTGGTGCTGCCAGGTTGACTCCGAATTCTGCGGTCCAGCCATAGGCAATGAGCGCCGCGGGAAACTGTTCCACAATGACTAGTTAGCATAGATCCGTGGCCATCTCCCACCACATCTTGAGAGTGACATACCATAATAGCCCCGAGCCACGCATTCTCCTTCATCCGATCCTCTGGCTGGTACTTCAGGTTGCCTTTCGAATCATACCGGCCGGCTTTTTGCGCCTCACGGGCCATGATCCGGTCCACCCATCTGCCGCCGAAAATCGAAGTGATGAAGTAACCAAGAGAATTGGGAAGATAGCACAAGCCGACGATGATGTTACTGTAGTTGTAAGGCGGGGCCGAAAAGGTGGCCTGGATGGAGATGTTGAGGGAATAGAGAGCGCAAAAGCAGACCGTGGCGTAGAAGACGCAGATGGCCACGGCGGGGAACTGGAGGTACAGGATGATGCGGAGGGGATCGACGAACCAGAGGCGTAAAATGGCGAGGTACTTTTTCGATTTGAGGTGGAGTGTTGACTGCTTTGTCGAGACTCGAGATAGCGTTGGGCGTGCAGTGGAGTCGAGTTTCTCGCCTTTCTCTCCGCTGGTGTCGGCGACGACTTCTCGCTCGACTTCCGCCTCGGCTCTGGCGGCCACGCTCCTTTGCTCTCGCAGTGTCTCCGGTAAGCAAAGGGTGAGGAAGAGCAAGATGACCACGCCAAGGATGGTAAGAAACCATTGAATCGACCTCCACCCCAGATTTTCCGCAAGTAGGCCGCCGATGATCGGACTGAGAAGTGGTCCGCAAAGGGGTCCTAAGTAGAACAGACCTATTGCGCGGCCTCGCTCATGTACCTCCCAGATGTCCGCAATCGATCCGGCACCTACGGCCTGCACACTGGCTGAAGCACCGCCAGAAAGCATACGCATGGCGAGGAACATGCCGATGTTGGTGGAAACGGCACCGACGATGCTGAAGATGATGTACAGCGTGAAGCTAGTCAGGTAGATGGTGCGACGGCCGAACGTTTCGGAGAAGCTACTCCACCAAAGAGGGAAGATGGCCATGCTCAGCATGAACAAGGCTATGCTCAAGTTCACAATGGTAGGGGTGGAGTGGAGGTCTCGAGTGATATCGACCAAGGCTGGGAGGACAATACTCGAAGCCATGGGACCTGCTGCTCCGGCGACGGCAACGATGAAGGTGAGCATCCATTTGGTTCGTCTCGGGTAGTCGTATTGGTTGGTGATCTCTGGGATGAGGGTGAAGCGGCCGAGAAGACCTCTTCGCTGGGACCGCGGCACATTCACCGGCTCGCGCCGCACAGATCTGGCGGAAGATTGGGCTCTGCTGCGATCGCGGGAAGGAGTGGCGGTTTGGTGATCGTGAGCGGTATGAATGGATTCGTTGGAGGAGTCGGAGGAGCGACGTGCGCGGCGGCCGCGACCCTGGGGACTGATTTCATCGTCTTCAGCGAGCTCCCCGGACTCGTTGGGGTGGGAGGAGGCAATGCGCTCTTTACGAGAGGTGCTGTGTTTGTCGGAGAGGTCCTTGGAGTCGTCCGTGTCGACTTTCTCGAGGTGCGGCTGCAAATCGCCCTTTTCTAAATCATGGTCTGCGCTCATCGTGGCGGGGAAAGAAGGCGTTGGAAGCCGAGGACGATCATCCTCGACGAAGTCCAGGACCGTGTTGTGCAGACAGAAAGTTCCAAGAAAGCCGTGACGAAGAAGGAGATGCGCATCAAACCAGAAAACTTGCTCAATGGAAGGAACAAACAACGCAGGAGCGGGAGAAGTCGACGAGTAATGTCGAAATCACTCACGCCCTCAGGCGCATTAGCGTTAGTCAAACCATACGTAACGTGAGGGTAGCCGTGGATATGGAAGCCGGAAGTCGGCACGCGTCCTTCCCAAGCAGGCACGCGCCGACAATCGGAAGCTAGCGACGACCAGAAACCAAAAACCGCGCAGCGTGGAAACGCCAATCTGTGCCAGCCACGAAATGGAGTCCGCCGAAGCCGGCGACGAGGCCAAGTTTTACATCCCGCTGGTACATTCTTGAGCACGTGGTGGACGGAGTCGCGTTCCTTCTCCGGCATCTGGCCATCGCCCACACAGCCTCATGCCCACGTATACCATCGGCTTACGGAGACAAAGCTTGACCCGCTATCTACCTGCCTACCTAGGCAGGTAAGGTAGTTGTGCCAGCCGGGGACTGCTGGAAATGGGCATTCGCCTGGACTCTCAATCATCAGCTTGGCCTGTGGTTGGGCAGGCCGCAGTGGAGGTTGAAGTCCCGTGGCCGCTGCGGTGCGGGGCTTCAGCTGTGAGCATGACTGATGAAAGGTACATCTATGTAAGTGGTGATGTTACTATATGGATCCAGATATCAAGGCACGCAGCCTGCTGTTTTCTCCTTTTTTTTGGTGTTCATTTTCCACCCTTTCCCACATCGCCTGCCATTTGGGTGTAGGCTGCGACTGCAATGGCCCTGCCCGTAGGCGTCAAGGTCCACGAAGAATGGGACGAGGCGCAATCAGAACGAAGGAAAGAGTGGCGCCGGCAGTTCTACGAGCATTTCAAGACTCTCTCAGTCGATAAACAGGTGCACGGCTGGGTTAGTCATTTCATCCCTACGCGAGTGCGACAACAACACTCTAACCACTCCCCTTCACCATCAGGACCACTTCTGGCGCCTCAAAATCACCCCCTGGGACCGCCATCAACCCCATCCAGCCCTGGTGCTCGCCCTGCGCGACCGCCACGACATCTTCGCCGACGTCTTCAAACGCGTGCCCGGCAAGCGTCACCCGCGGCGCAAAACAGCGCTCATCCCAGGCTGCGGCCGCGGCTACGACGTCCTCCTCTTCGCCTCCTATGGCCTCAACGCCGTAGGCCTCGGCGCCGCGCCCGCCGCGCGCGAAGCAGCGCTCAGACTGCTCGCGGACCCCATCAACACCCACCACTACCCGCTAATGAACACGCACGCCGGCCAGGGCGAGGCGCGCATCATCACGGGCGACTTCTTCTCCACCAACTTCCTGTCGGAAACGCACGGCGCCACGGTGCCGGACGGCGAGCGCACCTTCGACTTCATCTACGACTACAACTTCCTCAGCATCATCCCGCCCGTCTTCCGCTCGAAATGGGCCGCTCGCATGAGCCAGCTGTTGGCTCCCTCTGGCTACCTGATTTGCATCGAGTTCCCGCTCGGCAAGGACCCGGCGGCCGACAGTCCGCCGCACAGCCTTTCGAGCGCCTTGTATGAGCAGCTGCTTGCTCGGCCCGGGGAGGAGGTGACGTACGATGACACCGGGCGTGTGTATACGGATGCCTCGCTGGAGTCGGCGGAGAATGCGCTGGTGAAGGTGGAGACGTGGGTGCCGGCGTCGACCTTTGATGATCAGCTCCAAGTCGGCCAGATCAAGGTGTCCTTGTGGAAGCATTTGAAGGCGGTCTACCCTTGAGCCCGAGGGATCTCGTGACTATTCCACTCCGTCTCGAGTTCTGGGTCCACCATACTCCCTCTCGTGTGCATTCTATCCAATCTCGAGCCTACTACTGGCAGATGCAGCCCTTCGAGATAATCGTGATCTCGACCGGCCTTCATGACAGCAGGCCCGCGACCGCAGACCACCAGGCAAGAAATGGCCTTGAGACAAATTTGCCATGACTTCTGTCGCCGCAGCAGCACACAAGGGAGAAGAAGCTCGAATGCATCCTCAGCCGGAAGTCAGTCGGGCACACAGCCCTGCAATCCCATCTCGAGACACCTGCAGCAATGGAAATGTATATCGTGTCATAGAGTAGAGCAGACCATCGAAATACCACAAATCCACCTATCTACAAAAAAAAAAAGCCTTCATCGAACCGCTGGAAAGAGAGCAAACCAAAACTCACGCCCTTTATTTCTCCCAATCCGTACCCCGCCGAATGAACGGCGTGCGCGCATTCGAATCCTCCCGACTACTATCATACCCATCATCGTCATCGTCATCATGCGAGCCAGCATCCTCCTTCATATCGTCAAATTCCTCCGCACCACCAGCACCCAACAACGTCGACCTCCTTCCCCTTTGACTCGAAGCCTCGGCGCCAGAAACCTTCACCTCCTCGAACACGCCCTCGTCCTCCGCGCCGACCATAGGCGACAGTTTGTACTTCGTTGCAGGAGGGGTGAAAGCGCGCAAACTCAAGCCGGAGGGGACGCGCGCATGCGAGAACAGGGAAGATGCGCGCGAGTGCGACGAGAACCAGGAGGGGCCGCGCGCGTGCGAAAAGCGAGGGAGAGTGGCGTCGGCGGCTTTTGCCATGAGGCTGCCGGAGGAAGAGGGAAAGCGCTTGCGCCGACAGCAAGATTTGTAGACGCAGAAGGCGGCGAGCATGACCGCGAGGACGAGGCCGGCTTGGAAGAGAGAGGGGTAGGTAATGTCCAGGCCTGAGTGGAGGGGATCGAAGGGGATATGTGCTTTGGATGGTGGTGCAGGGGCGTCGGTTCGGCAGGCGACATTGGATCCGCGGATGATTATGCCGTCGCGCACGGCGCCAAGTTGCACGCATTGAATGTCGACTCCCGTATCTGCGGGGGGTTGGAAGCCCGTTTCGAAGCCCTTCTTCTCCACGACACCGATGGGGACGAGGTCTTCGCGATTCGCGCCGGCGAAAATCGCCCAGTGCGATATGTCCGTTGCCCCATTCCAGCTGACGTAGATATTGGCTTGGTCGGGGTAGCGGCTGAGGGGCTCGAAGAGGGCGATGGGATCCCAGTTCTTGGGTGTGCCGCTCCACTGGTCTTTGAAGGCGCGATAGCTCATGACCGTCGTTGCTTCGCCGAACCACGCCTGCCATAGCAGATAGCCCTGACTGTCGTACTCCCGCATGAGCGGGGTTTTGCCGTACCCAACGAAGTCGTTCCCGTTGCCGATCGCCATCTGGTAGGAGCCTTGCGTACCTGCCCAGGCATAGTTGTTCTCGGTGCCCTTGAGGTGCTGAACCACGCGAGGCGGGTGGTCAGGGTTGGGCGGGAGGGACAGGTAGTACGAGAGCGCGGTGCTTTGAGAGGCCTCCGTCTCTCCGCCTCCGTTATTGTTGTTGAACAGACTGACCACCATTCCGTTGGCAGTGACGTTTTGCGCAGTTGCGTGGTGCTGCCAACGGAAGCGTTGAGGCATCTCGCCAAAGTCGCCCCCGGTGATGCCGTGGAGCTTCCAAATCACGTGGCCATCCTCGCCGCTGATCATGAAGATGGTGGACTGATGCCGGGCGCTGATCATGTAGTCCTTGCCAACTTTCTGCACGGAGTTGATGTGGAACCAGTCCCAGGGGACCCTTTGCGAGCCACGGCTGGGGTTCAACGGGTAGTTCGTCTCGTTCATCAGTTCAAAGACGGTTTCCGTGGAGCTCCATTTGAACAGCGTCTCGCCCGTGTCGACGTCGAACTCGAAGAACATGCTGTCCGATACCCACGTATCAATGGCACCGCCCATATAGCGAAGGTCAAGCTGCGTAGAATTGTAGGATGTCACCACGAGGGTATCGTCGTCCGTCACCCGCTGGTCGTGCATGTCAATGTGGCCCTGGGTCGAGTCGTCTAGCGTGTCGACATGGAAGTCCGGGCTGACGGTGACGTGGTTGTACTCCTCGTCGAGAAAAGTCAGGCTACCCCATCGGTGGCCCCAGTGGGCATGGGGGTCGTTGCAGCCATCCCAGTAGGTAATGTGCGGACGGCCGAGGTAGTGCTGCATGCGAAAGTTGGTCATGCCGCTCGGAACCTTGGTGCAGGAACTATAGTCGTTCCCCTCAGCGGCGAAGATGAGCTCGCCGTCGCTCGTCATCACAAGGCCCGTGCCGGACGCCTCGTGTGTGGCGTACTTTCCGTGATGGTCGGCGGGCGAGAAGAAGATGTACCCGGGAGCGAGATCGCCGCCATAGTGGGTGACGTTCAACACGGGCGGCGTGTGGTAGGAGGTCTTGTAGGAGCGCCATGGCCAGACGAGTCCGTCGTGGGGCGTGACGACTTGGTAGTGGTTGGAGCTGGGGAAGGAGACATTATTGATGCTCGCGAGCTCGGACAGAGCGACGAGCGGGAGAGTGAACCGCGGCATATTGAATCATGGCCGATCTGCTTGGTAAGCGCCAGTGTCGAATGGAAATGCTGAACGGGCGCTGGGCGCATGTGAGGCACGTATGTCTACAGGCACCTCCTTTGGGGTGGGAGGAACCGCGCAGCGACCATCGGCGCCTTTGTTCTTATTAATAATGAATAAAAGGAGGATGAATGTCCGGATTCGGCGACATGTGCGAGACACGCCCGCCCCTGAATGGTGGTGTCGCGAGACACAGGGGTCTTGATGAACCGGCCGCGGGATGATGATCGCCAAGAGGGAGGCCGTTTGGCGTGGAGATGTGCTTAATTTAAACGAAGGTTGGAGGCCTCGTGGAAGCTTATAGGCAGCTTAGTAATCACGTGACCTGACAACCACCACGCTTGGCTGGAACACCTCCTGATCTCCAAGCCTGCTGAGATGCATGTAAGGTACTCTTCCAAAGCACTCAAAGACTTTGCAAGCACAGAGCAGAGAAGCAGTGATCAATTGATTGAGAGTAGACTTGCTATGCACCGCGCCCGTCACATCCGCCGCCATCACCTACCCTCCATATTCCCCAATCCGTCCATTCCTTACTGCACAATCCATTCCTTTCCCATATCTGATCATATGTCCATATCACTCACAATACACCTGACCTTTCCTCTCATCTACACTTTCTCCTTCCCCAACCTCTCCTTCTCCTCCGCCTCCGCCTCCTCCTTCGCAATCTCCCGATCCCTCTCCTCCAACTTCAGCTTCCTCCTCTCCTCCTCCGTCAACTCCGGGTTGACATCCTTCTCCGGCCGCGTCAAAGGCGTCGCCCCACTCATCTGCCACTCCATCAGCTTCGCAAACGCCCCGTCCTTGTCCTCCGCCAGCCGCTTGTACGGGCCGGTCTGCGCAATCGTTCCGTCCGCACCAATGACGACAATCACGTCGCTGCGCTGGATCGTGCTCAGGCGGTGGGCAATGGAGATGGTCGTGTTGCTGCCGCGCAGCATATTTTGTAGTGCCTGGTTGACTTGCGTTTCGGATTCGGCGTCTAGGGCGGACGTTGCTTCGTCGAGGATCAGAATGTCGGGGTTCTTGAGCAAGGCGCGAGCAATGGCGATGCGTCTGTAGCGAGAAGAGTCAGCGTCGCATGCAGGTAAGCATTTGAACGGGCAACATACTGTTTTTGCCCACCAGAGAGTTGAGTTCCTCGCGCTCCGGCAAACGTTTCCAAACCGTCAGGCTGTTGTTTTGTCAGCGTCAGAAATACATGTCTATTGAAAGCAGACGACCCACAAAGTCCGAGATGAACTGGCAATTCGCCTGCCTCGCAGCAGCCACAATCTCCCCTCTCGTGGCCCAAGGCTTGCCATAGGCAATATTCTCCGCAATCGTGCCACTGAAAAGCACCGGCTCCTGGCCCACGTATCCGATCTTGCGCCGAAGCTGCTTCGCATTCATCTCCGCAATGTCCCTACCCGCAATCGTGATCTTGCCCGCAGTCGGGTTGTAGAATCGCATGAGCAGACTCGCAACAGTACTCTTGCCTGCTCCCGAGGGCGCCACGATCGCTACATTCGATCCTTGTTCGATGCGGAAGGAAAGGTCTTCGAAAATCCGCACCGCGGGGCGGGTGGGATAGCTGAATGCGATGTTGTGGAACTCAATCGGACCTCGAGCGGATGGGACGGGCAAGCCTTTCGTAGGACTGATCGTCGGCTCGCGATCCTGCAGCTCGAACAGCCGCGTGGCAGCGCCGACGCCCTTCATAAGCTCGCTGTAAAAGGCGCTCAGGCCGAAGAGACTGCTCCCCGCGTAGCCGGCGTACATCAAGAAGCTCGTCAGGTCGCCAATTGAAATAGCTCCGTTCTTCACCATGGATCCGCCAGCGTATAGTAATGCAATGAACGTCATGTTGCCCATGAAACCCGACGCTGAGAAGAATGTCGCACTGATAAATGCTTCTCGCCGTCCAAGGCCAAAGATCTTGCGTACTTGCGTGTTGTACCTGTTCACTTCCTGCAGCTCTCCGGCGAAAGCCTGGCTCGTCCGAACGTTGCCCAGTCGTTCCTCCGCGATCTTCGTCAGCGTACCCAAGTTCTTCTGGATGCGTCGACTCAGATTGCGAATCGCGCGGCCGTAGAAGAAGGCGGCGATGGCAATGGGTGGCAGGAAGATGGCCAGGACTCCCGTGAGCTTGATGCTGACATATCCCATCATGGTCAGACCAGCTGTTGCGGAGACCAGTGAACGTAGCCCATCAGACACATTCTGCGTAATGCTCTTGCCCACGATAATGGTGTCGCTCCCCAGTCGACTGATCAAGTCTCCCACGCGATTGGCGTCAAAGAACTCGGCATTCTGCACAAAAGTCTTCCTGAAGAGCGAACTCCGCAGCTTCGTGACGACTCTCTCGCCCACAATCCGCAAGATCACAATGCGTCCATAGTTGGCACATGCGCCAAAGGCCAACAGCGTTCCCAGCGCGAGATAGAACTGCTCCATGCTGAATCCATACATTGTTCCTTGGTCATTCGTAGCAGCGTCCATGATTCGCCCGATGGAGAAGGGCACACTCATGGTGACGCTGCTGCTGATGAGCAGGAAGACGAATGCCAGGCTCAACGGCCTCACTTCTGGCCGCGCAATTTGGAGCAGTCGCCAGACCTCTCGCCAGCTGCCTCCTGTCTTACCCTCTCCATCTGGACCTTCAGTAGACAACTTCGCGCTCAAGTTTATTTGCGAGGCTTGGGCGGCTTTCTCGGTGCGTTTGTCAAATCCATCGATATCGTCTGGCTCGTCGTGCGGATCGGACTGGGTCTTCACTGATTTACGATAGGCTTCCTCTTCATCTTCCGTTCTGCGGACCGCAGTCTGTGTGGGTGCTTGCTTCGGGGCAGCTTCTTGTTGCGGGCGCGGGCTCGTCTGGAGAACGCGACGCGACTGTTTCGATGGATGCGGAAATCGAGTTTGGAGGACAATGGATGGTCGAGGAGAGGAAGAGGCGGTGCGAAGAGTAGACAGGCAGCTGGAGTGTGCCAATCTCGAGTTCTGCACGGTACATGTCGGCGAGTTGAGGCGTAGGGTCGTCGATTCAAAGCCCACCACCGGCCGCCATATTCTCGTTGTGAACAGCGCTCCGTTTCCCAGGCTGTCCCATGCCCTGCGCGCGAGTCGAGGGCCACACACAGCCATCTCTCACTGCTGCGAGACGCGGCTCGCGGGGGGAATAGTGATGCTACCGATTTCCTGCCTCTTTGCTTGTCGCTGCCATTATGTTACGCGGAGCGCACAATCACTGTCGCGGGAAGGAGGCCTTTTGATAGGCAAGTGGGAGGGGGGATGGAAGATTGCGCGCGCGGTGGTGTCTGGTGGTTGGCGATCTCGTGTGATTGAGTATAATTGAACGAGACACAATGAAAGGTAAGGTGTGAGGCTAGAGTGCTTGTGCTGACCTCACCATCCCTACCAGCTGTTCGGACGCCGAGCTCGGATCGGAGGAACAAAGTCTTGATCACGTGACCAGCCATTGTTTCGGGCGACTATTCCACCGCAGTAACTTGTGAAGAGGCATGGAGATAGGTGAGCAGTGAACATATGGTAATCTATCGACTGGTCATTGACGAATAAAGATGGATGTCGCCAGAAGCGTAAACCAGCTGTCTACTCATTCACCCAACTCCATACTGCAATGCATTGCATCCTCCCTCCAAGTCAGGGGAACGAAGCCTTTTCTTTTGTCTGAAAGGAGACTGCGGAATCCTATCTCCGCGCGGAAGGCCAGTCTTAGAGATTACCGCGTTCCCGTCTAATATCCACTCGCACCAGGGGCGTTCTCGTCCTTCCTCAAGCTGACCAACACCTCCCGCATCCTGCCCTTCACGGTTCCCTGTGCACCACCACTGGCTCCCTTACCACTCAGATCGACCAGCTTGGCGATTCTCTCCCAGCTCGTCCCGCCACTCGTCGTATCTTCTCTCTGCGTCAGGAACTCTTCCGCCTCCTTCCTCGTCTGCGCAATCTGCTTGTCCTTCCGGTTGTTGTAATTCTCGTAGAACTCGTCGATTGCCTCCTGCGCCGCTTTCACCGTCTCCGCTTTCTTCGACGCCGAGACTTCGTCACGGTGTTGCACTTGTTGGTCGCGGTTGGCGCGCCATGTGCGCAGCACTTCCGGTTCTTCTTCGTCCGCATAGACGGCAGAGTCGGGAGCGCGGTAGGGGATGGTGGAGCCGGTGATTGTGCCTCCGCCTGGTGCGACCGCTTCGTTGGCTGTGTCTACTTCCGGGAAGCTGGTCTCAAAGTCGCCCATCATGTCACCATTGGTGTCGGCCGCGACGGGTTGTGAGGATCCACCGGCGCCGCCGCCGAGCAGGTCGTCATCGTCATCTGATTCGGCGTCTGCTACTGTTGCGGCGTTGTTGTCGGCGGAAGAGGTGAACTGAGCCGCGTCATCTCCCAGCAATGCACGCTCGCGAGCGAGAAAGTCGGAGGGTTCTTCGGCTGCGCTCGATGCGCCTTGGCCTTGTACTGTAGTTTGGCCTGCACGTGTTTAGCATGAGTAGCTTGTTGACTGTAGCAGTCCGAGATTGGCATTGCTCACCGGCATCAAAGTCGTCAAGAGAAGGGAAGCGGTCGGCCATGATGGTGAGTGCCTAGTGGCCCTTTCCTGCTCCTTTTCGCGGCTCAATTGGGCTTTGGCTCACGCTGGCTGTGGTGCAGAGTCGGGTATGCTGGTATTACGAGACCTCCAAGGCAGTATCGGCTCGAGCGGTCGTGTGATATCGGTTGGATTGAGGGACGGATGTGTGAGGTGTACATGAGATGCTGGCGCTCCTTCCCCAAAAGTTGTCGAAACCTTGCGGGTGCTCCCGAAATTAGCGCGACGTCGCGCATGGACGCTTTGGGAGCTCCAGCAAATGGCTGCCGCTTCACGTTGTTTGACACACTCTTTTCCAGCGAACCCGGTGCGCGCTGACCTGCGCTTCTCTCTCCTACTCGTATGCGACTGTACTGCATCCCGTCAACAAACCCCACTGAACAAACAACAACAGACCGTGAGAAACCGCAAGCAAAATGTCCTACTCCGACGAGGCAGTCAAAGCCAAGCTGTCGTCCCTGAGCGAGACTCAAGACAGCATCGTGACCGTCGCGCAATGGATCATGTTCCATCGCCGCCACGCCGACCGCACCGCATCCCTCTGGCTCGAGCGCCTGCAAGAATCCAACACCAGCAAGAAGCTGAACCTCGTCTACCTCGCAAACGAAGTCGTCCAGCAGTCTCGTGCGCGCAACAAGACCGATTTCCTGCTTGCCTTTGAGCCTCTGATTGGCGATGCCACTTCTTTGGCGTACAAGAATGCGAGTCAAGAGGTGCAGGGGAAGTTGAGGAGGGTGGTGGAGGTGTGGAGGCAGAGGAACATCTTCGACCCGCGCATTCAGACCCAGACGGAGCAGATGTTGGATGAGATTGATAAGCAGCGCGGTGGTGGACAGGCGAATGGGACGGGCTCCGGGTCTGGGAGGAGGCTGGGGGGCAGTCTGTTCGGCGGCAGTGGTGGCAGTGTGCCCTCCGAGCTGGAAGCCGCGGCCAAACTCCATGCCAGCCTGAGCAAGGCGGAGGTCAACGTCAAGCCCTCGGTGGACACGGCCAATAAGGAATACGCCAAGATGACCGATCCCGATACTCCCGTCCCTACCGCTCCGGTGCACGCGGCGAGGCTAAGCCAACTTATGAAGAGCTTAGCTGCAGCTCAGGGTGCCGTGGAAGCAAGCGTGCAGGCGAGACGGGCTCTTCTTGCAGAGCTGGACAGGCTGGTCGAAAGCCACAAGGCCAAGTTGGCGGTGGACGAGACGACGGCAGCGGATATCGTGACACGCAAAGACGACATTGAAAACAAGAAGAAGGAAGTTGAGGATAACATCATGCGCGGCCTGTCGACTCCAACATCTCCAACCAACCCCACCACCGATCCATTCGATCTTCTCCGCGCAAACGGAAGCCGCTCCGCCAGCAAAGAAATCGAGAGACCCGAAGCAGAAGGCTTCACGCCTCCACCGCCTGATGTAGAAGCCTTCACTCCCCCAGCCCTCGAAACAGACCCCGAAGTCACAGGCGCAGGTGATCCCGCCGCAGGCTTCGACAACAACGCCACGGACGCCGAGCTCGCAGCGCTGAAAAGCTACGTCAGCACCACCGGCGCCGACGCCACCCAAGAGCAACCCCCAACTTTCAACGAACCCCCGCCAGCCTTTGAGCCCCCGTTAGCAACCGCCTCCGCCTTGCCCCAAGACACCGCAGTCGCCGCCGCTAACGAATTCCTCAACAATCTAAATGTGCTGGGCCAGGTGCGACATGCTTCGAGCGAAAGTCCGGGCGCCGGTGGGGATCCGAGGTTGAAGCGGAGGAAGTTGAGTCACAAGAGCGCGGACATGGACGAGGAGATTTTTGGGATGGGAGGGGTGGATGAGGAGGGGGTGAGTGCTATGCTGGGTCAATAGGTGGGCATGACAAGAAGTGAACGAGTGAGATGACGGGTGGATGGTGTGGAGCAGTTGAGAGCAGCTCTCTATTGGATCGGCTGGCCTACATATGGTGCCTAACCCGAGGAATGTCTCGCATGAAGGTTATGCGATCCTTCCACACGCCATACAGCAGACCGATGAATATAATTCCAAACTCCGTCCGTTCGCTTCCAAACCTGCGCTAAACATGAAACTTTCTCTTGCTCGCTCCTCCCTCATATCACCGCCATCACCAGCGCCGCAAACGTGACAAGCGAAAGCGAAAGCACCGAGGGAGTAGGGATTCGCAGTTCCGCGCCGCTTGTCAGCGCAGCAGAGGTGAAGACCAGCTCGAACCCAATATCCGAGCTATTGAAGCAATTCTGCGGCGTGACGGGGATGGCCTGCTCGGGTTCGACGAGCGTGACATCGACGCACTAGACATCCATCAGCCTTTGCAATCCCTAATCCTGAAAACGAGAAAAAAAACACTCACATTATACAGCGAAGCCCCAAACTGCGTCAGCTCAATCACCTGCAACGTCACATTATCCCCCGGGGCGAGCGTAACATTGACCGGCGTAGGCACCTGCGGCAAGCAAAACTGCCCGCCGTACGTGCTGTCCGACGGCCCAAGGATCTGGAAGGGCGGGACGAGGATGTGCGACATGTTCGGCGGCGCCAGCTCGCCGGGCGCGTTGATGCCCATGTTGATGTAGAAGAAGGCGGTCTTGTGGCCGGCGAACCAGCCGGGTTGGATGGAGATGGCGCCGCCTAGGTAGGGCCAGACGGTGCGGTTGCGGGATTGGGGCATGCCGCCGCCTGGGGGATGGGGGTTAGTGAGGTGTTGAAGAGGGGGGTGAGGAAGGATGTACATGGGTAGATGAATTGTTGGCCGTAGGGGAATTCCCAGCTGCCATCCGGGCTGATGTCGACGCCGATTGTGTTGGGGTTGTTTTGGGGGAGGGTGCCGTTTGTGTGGAGGTTGTCTCCTCGTTCGCCGGGGTAGACGATTTGGGTGTGGGCTGCTGATAGCGCCAGCCAGCTCAGTATTGCTAACAGTCGCGTGAAGCAATGCATGGTGGAGGTGGGTGTGGGTGTTTCGCGGCCAGCCGCTGCTCTTTGCTGAAGGTACACGATGCGGGGGATTCTGGACTTTGAAGGAGAGGGCGTATGCTCGCAGACGAGAAGATCACGGGAGTATGACTTTGAACGAGGAGAAAGAGCAGACAAATACGGAATCATACGCCGACGATTCTCGCGCAACCAGGTGGACGTGAGGAGAAGTGAAGATGCTTGGCACGACATGCCATTCTTGTATACCTACCGCTTAGCGCCGTGACCTGGACGCACAGCAAGGTCGTCCCATTGGTCTCACGCCCGACTGCCACGTCCCTGCAGAGCAGCGTGATGTGGGAGGAGGAGGGTTGGGTGTGGTGAGGTGCGGATTGGCTAGCTACGCGCCCGGCTGTCGGTGGGTTTTAGAGTTTGGAGGCGCGGGCAGGGGAAGGCGGAGGGTGAGGGGCGTGGCCAATGAGACGCCGATCGACGTGACTGCCTTGCTGATCTGCCTGATCATTGCAACGGACAGGACGTGACCATATGAGTGACCGTGGCGACATTCGGCATCGAGAGATACACAGTTCTGGCCTGGGCTGGATGTGGACAGCACGTGCAGAGCCAAGGCGCCATGGGTCATGCTGCGATCCTGTACTGCACAAGGTAGGCAGGACTGACTTGGAGATGGAGGCCAGCAGTCCATTGTGGTGCGAGACAAGCGACTTCTGTTGAGCGGACATCCTCCATTCCGCATCTGAAGAAGTCCGTCGAAACGCGTCGAGCATCGTCGTGATTTCCATGTACAAGAGACCAAGAGAATGTGCGTCGCGTCGAAGCAGCCAAGGTCTTATCTCCATTTGCAGAGTTGTCAAGTAATCGCCAACGCAAGTCGTCATGCCTCCATACTCACGATCGACACGGCCTCATCCGCCACCTGACTCGAACAAGTCACGAGAACTGAGCGTCATCCAAGCCGGTCTATCCCTCTGAAACAGCAGCCCGCGCCGAGCTCCACCGCCGCAAAGCTCGTCGCGTTTCAAGTCGCGGCTTCTAGCGCATCGCTACCACGGATTTCATCATCGCTGCACAGCTGCACCGCACTCCACGACCACACGCTACTGTACTACATACCGTTGATCCGCGCGCCGGCTAATCTCCTGCTCCCCTTTCGTCATCACGTACATTAGTATATAAAGCGATGCGTGCTGGCTTCTAGTTTTCGATGTAGGCCGCGCAGCTCCTCTTCCCAGCCTCCCCATTTCCTTGCGACCGTTCGGCACTCCTGCACCATCACCATGAAGGCCACTATCCTTGCTGCGACCACTCTGGTCTCTCTCGTCGCCGCCAATCCCTTGACCGCAGCACCAGCAAAGAGAACGTCAAACCCGCCCGCCTGTATCCCCGCCCACTCATACCCCAATGGCCTAGTCTGCACCGACGTCTCCGGCTCGCTCTTCCTGACTCTCCCCACCGCCGAGACTGCAGTAACAGATCAACCCTACGCCACGACAACAATAGGCCCCCCAGCAACCACGCTGAGTCTGGACACGCAACCCGCCTACGCCACCTCCACTACTTACACCTCTGCACCCTCGAGCACCGTCTCGCTGAAAACCAGCCCGGCGGAGAAGACTTCGACAAACTCGGCGACAGACTCCCCGTCCTCAGCATCATCGGCAAAGTCGTCGTCGTCCTCCTCGGGCTCGCTCAGTTTCAAAACTACCCCGGCTTTCGCGACTTCAACGACGTACAGCTCGGCATCGAGTACCACTACCGCTCCTAGCGCTGCTACTTCCACTGCTGCAGCTGCGACTTCTTCAACTGGCAGTTCGTCGACGGGTGGTGCATCGAGGGTTTCTTTTGGTGGTGCTGCAGTGCTTGCGGGATTGGCCGGCTTCTTTTTCCTATTATGAGACACGGATGTCATCTTTCTTTTGTGTAGAGACCCAAAGTATGAACAATCACGACTCTCGCAACCGCCTCAATCGCTTCCTCCTCATCCCCCATCCAACGCACGAGAAAGGTGAAGTGGATTCCATCACCCTTGTAAGATGTGGCGAGGCTGCAAGCCGAGCCCTAATCCATCCCCACGCCCACGGGCTAAATAGCCACTTCCTGCCTACACGGGCACGATACTCGCGTCTGACCAATCACCAAAAACAGATAGCGTCTGTCCAGACCTCCATTGCACCTCTCTGATTCGCCGGCGTTCATCTTCTGCGCAAAAGTCTATGAGGACGAAATGCGAGTGCTGAGCGGTCGGAAGCATCGCCGGCAACCCGGTTGGCATGTGTATGCCTGTAAGCTTTAGTCCAAGGAAGGAGATCGACAGCCTGCAATGGTGTGTTTGCGCTAACAGGATGCGTGCGAGACACGCGGTCGATGATCTCGGCCTACTCTCAGGAATCATTTGGCCTAGCTTGCATGGCACAATCGTGGCATGTGTATCCTAATCCCCGCTAGGTTGGTTGCATGATCCTTCACTGCTTACAAAAGGCTGTGAAGCACTGGCTCGACTGCTTTGTATATCTGGGGGTCGACGGCCTTAATGTGCGGCCCCTCTCCTTTCACTGCACTTATCATCCCTGCTGAGGCTGACACTCCCTCCGTCGTGCTGCTTGCTGCAGACGGTCCGGGGTTCCGCCTTATCAAGCAAGCACGAGGCGCCGGCGAAGCAGCAGGGATAGCATGCACTCTCATGTGCGCCCTCCGATCGATACTACACGAACACTCCAAACTTCTCGAACGACTTCCCAACATCAACATGTCGTTGCAATCCCGATCCCAGGCTAGAGAAGATCGCTTCCCAGGCCCGTGGAAGCTTCAATGCCTCGACAAGTCAATCCCTGGATCCGACCCGTCAAGCTACGATCCATACGACCGGAGATCTCCTGCGCGTGCAGGCAGCCAAACAACACTACCACGCTCCATCCAACCGACACGAGCATACTCCGAAAGCACCGCGAGCATTCCTCGACCGCCTAAAGCATCTCCAGGCCTACCCACAACGCCCAAAGACACACTACCATCCACACACCCAGCGTCGAGAACATCAAGCACCGCGACGACGACCACGAGATCGAATTCCTCTGCCAACTCGCCGGCGATTGCGACGTTTCCGGGAGCGTACGTAGCTCCGAGTCAGTGGGCTTCGGGCCCGGAGCCGACGGAAAGGAACGATGGGGCAAAAGGGAGGAAGTTATCTTTTGCTCAGCGGTGGAAGTTGATGCTGAAAGAGTTGTTCTCCTCCCATTCGATTGACGAGTCGGAGTTTGAGCGGATGGGTGATTATCATTGGACGGATGATTCTTGAGGACACGCTGTGATCATTCGGGCTGCGTCTTGGCGTTGGATATGGCGCTGTTTCACGGAGTTGGGACGGTAGCGTGAACTCGCGCCTCAAGTATATGTCATTTTCGCTACGCTAATGGGGGTCGTTCTGAATCGGTTTTATCCACCCACGCCGTTAACACCCAAGCCCTGCTCTGTAACGCCGCAATTCCGACTCCGGCACCAACCCCGTACACAGAAGGGTATCAGAACAAGCCCGCCCGAATTAGATCCTTCTCAACTGTCTATTTCACTCTCGCCAGCCAGCTCCGTCCAATGACAATGACGAATCCGCTCCACCGGCACGCGGGGCGGTGGTGTGTTCTGCTCCACCGCATGGAACGTCTGGCCCCGTTCCCTTTGCTGTTGCCCAGCCTCGCTTTGCCCGTCCAGCTCCGACCAGTGTCGTTGCGAGATGTGCTCCAGCTGTGTGTCATCGATGCCGCGAGACGCGAAGACGTCTTTGAGGGCTGATTTGACGCGCCTTGCGACGGATGACTTTCTCAGTGGTTGGGGGTCTTGTGGTGACTCTGGTTGTGCTTGGCAGTGGCTTCGACTTCCGCCGCTTGCCATTGTGCCTGGAAAGGCTGTGACGTGTTGCTGGTCGAAAGAGGGAACTGGAGACGATGCTGGCGCTGACGAGATCGAGTGGATGGTACCAGTCGAGGATGACCTGCCTTTGACGAAGGCTGCTTGGTGTAACTGAGGCGAAAGCTGTTCAGGCTTGTAGTACGCGTATGTTGAAGAGGTGCTTCCAGAGCGCGATGCCATCGCCCGTGGCGACAGTATGTTGTCAAAAACAAAGAAGAGGTGTAGTGCTGAAAGTGCCTTGGCGTTGAAAGGTGTTGAGGCCAACAGATAGCCGCCCGATATACAAAGGAGATGTAAGCAACGCTTGTGAGTTGTCCGAGTCCACAAACATGAAACGCGGATGGATGACAAGAAAAAGAGGGGAGCCACAATGCTTCAAATAAGTCTTTGAATGCGGACGAACGGTTGATCAAAGTGTTTTGATCGACATAGGTCGAGTCGTCGCCAAGTCCAGAAACACGGCAAGATGGCGCCTTCAAGCTTTACAGAATGCTTTTTGCGGCACGAAAGGCGGCACAGCAGGCAGGGAGGACGCCTCATCTGACCAACTGCCGGGCTAAGATTAGCCATAGGCAGAGGTGGGAGCCCGGACGGGCAGGAGATGGATGATCGCGTCAACCAAGTGCCGTTGGCAACGCAGCCGACCCGCTGCGGACGCCTCGCAGGCCAGCAAGCCAAGAGAGACGCCTGTCCGGCATGCACCCGGTAGATCTACCCGGGCGCTTGCGAGAGGATCCTGCGATACATGCCCAATAGCGTTGTGCGAAGGGACGAGGTTGGCGTGAGGTGCGGCGTGCAGTTCTGGGACCTGGTTGGTGTGTGGAGTAGGTAGTGGAGCTCGCCCGTTGCCCTTAGCGCGTTTCCTCGAAGCGCCCATCCAGAAATACTTCTGCAGTTAAACCTTGCGAACGGCAACCAACACCTGGTTGTGAGCTTCAGGGTGCAGGGTTCACGCGCCGCTGCTGATCCCAACATCCTGCCTGAAGCTACAGGATTGCGGGTGTCGCTCGACGCGCGCGCAGGTGTCGACTGATCAGCTGGCGGGATGTTCGTGCAGGGAATCTGTCCTTGCGGACATGCAGCTGTGCCGCAGGCATGCAGAACTCACTAAAACCGGAAGGTGAAAGACTGAACCTGAGAGGACTCATTGGCTGCATTTCACCACGGACTATGGATACTCGATCTTTGCTACCTTCAATCCGTCTCACGGGATCTCAAACTCAGCTATGTACCGCGCCCCAGTGACTCTCGGGGGTCCCAGATTGGACTATGCCCCGAGCCGTGCTGCAAGATCTCATTCATGTGAAGCTGTAAAGAGCCGCCAGCCATTGCTGAGAACGCCTGGCCATAACTGGCCGCAGTCTCCCCCAATCTGAAGACCGGAGAAAGGCCGAAAATGCCAATCGGTCGCTGATCATCTAAACTCACGTCTTGTTGTGTCCAGCTCGAGTCCAATGGAAACTCAGAGACAGCTGACCCCTGATCCGGCGCGATCGAGTCTGGAGTGGAGGGATTTGTTGGGGCCCGACAGAGTCGCATAAGTGCTTGTATCAATGAGGAGGCCAACGTGATGTGTGATGGCGATCTGTCCTCGTTTGGATGTTGTTCGCGCGGTGGTGTGCTTGTCGCAGGCTTGCACGGCTCTTTCGGCGACAGTGGCCATGGAGATTCTGGTTGGAATTCAAGTCCGCCATGACAAACCAAGGACGACGCGACTGATCGTGGAGAATCTGTCCCGGAGGCACTATAAGTACCGTCCTGCGATACGACGATTGCTGGAGTAATTGGGCTTGTGCCTGCGCTCTGGATCTGGTCACTGCTGCCCGGATATTGCGAGCCTGTATAGGCTTCCAGCTCCTGGTCTTCGAGGTCGCCGGTCTCGTCGAATGCGTTGAATTCGACGTCGTAGTATGGATGCTCGTCATTGCAGCAATACATGCTCATGTTGTCCAGAGAATCGCCGGGGTCCAGATAAACAGCTTCCCAGAACTCGTTGGACAAGAACATTGACTCGGGTCGGGGCGCATCGCAGAATGTCGTAATCAATCGTGGAAGGTTCTTCGTGTACGTGTGTGCCATCGGCACCGAGTTGTTAGAGGGCCTCAGCCTTCTTTGCTCTCATGCTCTTCGACCTCCTCTCCGAGATTGCTTGCGATGCCACGAAAAGACGGCACGAGACAGCTCTGATCCGCATCTTATGGGCACTGGCTCTGTGTGCTGTGCCGTGTCTAACACATGACTGCGTTTCATCTGCGAGACCTGCAGGATCGCAGGTTCATCGTGCTGCCAATGAGTGCAGCTCTTGGCACCGCTGTGGGCGCTTAGGCTGTGACCAAGGACTCGAGTTGCAGATAGCCGCAGAAACTGATCCTACGGAGTCATTTGACGCTGTTGAAAAACGGCTCCATATTACTGGCCAGATCATTGGGGGCTGTTTGATGCATCCGGGATTGAGGTTGTTATTTCCAGTTGGTACCACTTGTGAGGGCAACTCCGGCTTCGCAAATCCATCGGCAGAGATGACGTTGCAAGAAGCCGAACTCGGTCTCTTCACGTCTATACCTCACAACACCTCCAATATATATATCCTCCCTCAGTGAACACAAGGGAGCCGAAGTCGGTCTACTTTTGACATCCACTCGTACAGCACATCCAAGATACATCCTCCATCAACGGCACAATGGCATCAGCGAACGGCAGCTTACCACCACTACCGCTTCCTGCGGGTATTAAAGATGACTACGTAGATTGCACCTCGACCTGCGGCCTTAAATTCCATGTGTTGACGGCTGGCAAACCGGGTCAACCACTGATCCTCTTCTGTCATGGCTACCCAGAGCTGGCCTTCTCGTGGCGAAAGGTTCTTCCCTCGATCGCGCAGGCGGGATACTACTGCGTGGCCATGGACCAGCGAGGCTACGGCCGCACGACCGGCTGGGACAATCGATCTTTCCACGAGGTTGATATGTACCAATACACCGTCACCAACCTGGTGCGCGACCTCGTGTGCTTGACGTACAAGCTCGGGTACAAAGAAGTCGCGTGCATCATCGGGCACGATTTCGGCGGCGTGTCGTCCGCGTCTGCTGCGTTGTGTCGACCGGATGTCTTCAAGTCTACCGTCCAGATGAGCCATCCGTTGCACCTGCCGCCGCAGCCGACGTTCGGCGACGAGGTTCCCAAGCCAAAGGGAGACATTCAGGCTGATCTGGCCAAACTGGATCCTCCGCGCAAGCATTACAAATGGTACAATTGTACTCCCGAGGCGGCGAACGATTGGTACAACCCGCCTCAAGGCCTCGAAACGTACATGAGGGGCTACTGGCATCTCAAGTCGGCCGATTGGGACAAGAACAAGCCGCATCCGCTCAAGGAGTGGAGTGCAGAGCAGCTGGCCATCCTGCCGGAGTACTACGTGATGCAGAAGGACGACACCTTCCCCGAAAGCATCGCGAAGAACATGAAAGGCGAGGACATCACCAAGACCCATTCCTGGCTGTCGCCCGAGGACTTGACCGTCTACGCCAACGAATGGCGGCGCACTGGATTCCAAGGGGCTTTGAATTGGTATCGAGCGCAGACCGCGTCAACCCCTCAGACGCAAAAGGACATGTACTTGTTCGCTGGCAAGCGGATGGAAGTGCCGTGCGCCTTCATCAGCGGCAAGCAGGACTGGGGCAACCATCAACAGCCCGGCGCCTTCCAGTCGTACGACGATCCGAACTCGGTGAAGCCTGGGTGCTTCCGAGGGATTAAGATGATTGATCACGCGGGCCACTGGGTGCAACAAGAGCAGCCGGCAGCAGTCATCAAGGAGCTGTTGGGCTTCTTGAAAACTTTGTAAATCCATAGACGAGAGCAGTGCAACCGCAAGTTATTTCAAAGGAGTTCATTCATCAAGATATTTGCCCAATAGTGTACACCCATTCCGCAATGCCCGATCATACCCACATGCCACCGCTCAGTGCACCACTATTAGCGGGAGATCGATAGTAGGCACTTCCCATCGACTCATCGGAAGGGTGTCAGTTAATTGAGCCCATCGGGAGTACTCGTGAATCAGCTCCAGGAAGTCGCCCTCCCTATCTTTGAATTGCTTTACGAAAGGAGTGGAGTCATGCACCACAAGCTCAGGCCATGGGGATGGTTCACGAATCAGTGGTGGCTCGATGAACGGCGTTTGTCTTCGCATCACTGGTCCGCTGGGGCGGGCGATCGGCTCTTCCAGCGACGCCCAGAACTCGGCGTCGGGATCGCCGTCACCCATGATCTCGATGGAAACATCGGACTCGACGACGCGAATGTCGTCGTAGAATAGCATTGCGGTTTGCGGAGTGCCCGTCTGCTCACGGCCGATGTGTTGGAAGATGTTCTCGGCGAAGGCTGAGGGCCAGCCGAGAGTCGAAATCTTGGGGCTGAGGGGTCGGGGGATATCGTGATGATGCAGGGAGGTCGTAGGCGTCGCAGGGGGCGGAGCAGCCTTTGGGCTTAAAGGTAGAGCTTTGGATGATGTGGTTGTGACTGGTGACAGCAAGGTTGGTTTTCCTCCCAGATTGGAACAGTCGATGTCGGATAGCCATGAGAAGTGCCGGCTCGGAGAGCGAACGGGGGAGGGACACAATATCCGGTCTTTTGTATGGGGATCGGCGGTCGGGCACGAATCGGACTGACCGTCGGTCTTGAAGTGTGCATTGATGATGCTGGGACTGTCCATCCTTTCGGATGGCAGAGGGTCGGAAGGGCTTTCAAGTAGAGACTGGTCGTCTTTGCGGTGGATGGCCCTGCCATCAAGGCCGACCTCCGTACCCAAGCGGGCTGGTTGCATGGATGTATCTCCTCGGAGAGCAGGGGCATTATCGAAGAAAGAATCCATTGTGAAATCAAAGAAGGAATGAAGCATCGCAATGTATGAAAAGAAGTGATGCGACCAGCGCTGATAGGAAAGGGTCAGTGATATGAAGCAGAGCAGAAGGTGGCAGTCTGAGAACGGGGGGGTTATGTACACAAGTACAACGTGAAAGAGCCCAGCATGGCTGCCCTGGCGCCCACATGCCTGTGGTTGTCTTCCCCACGGCTGGAAATAGAAACAGCATTGGTGGCCGGCCAATCACGAGAGCGAGTGGAATGACTAGCGGGGCAAAGCCAATAGAATCGCAGCCTTGCGTGCTCGCGTGCGGACCACGGCGCTTCGAGCCGCCTTTTCTGCAGAGGATATGGGTGCAGCACACCGCAATCCTACCGACCACTCATGAACGGCGCTTGCTGCTTTCCGAATGAAGCCGTGAAACTTGGGATCTAATTTCGGTGATGCCCGCTCGCGTTGGGATGCAAGCAAGCGCCGTCCATGCGTCTACTTCCTTCATGAAACGTAGAGAGAGCGTTAAACACCGGGGTACAGCAAGATGGCATCCACGTGATGTGGGCGTGCAGGTCGGGAATGCGTGTTGGCAGCTGCATGCTGTTGCGATGCAAGCCTGTGATCGGGATGAACATCTTCGTGTTGTCCTATCTCTCTCTCCATGGAGATACGATTTGGTATCTAGCCTTGTCTACTGTAGCTCATCTCTGATCTCCTGGATCACTTCCTTGATATTGGCCAGCTGCGCCGCCTGCTTGGTCGCGACATAATGCAAAGTCCCGCTGACGCCAGCCTTCACATTCGCCCTGAAGTCGTTGCCGAGGGTCAAAAGCGTGCCAAGGGCACACAGAGCCTTGAACAGTGCGTCGCTATCGCCACTCGATGCGCTCTCAGATTCAAGAAGAAGGGCGATGTCCGTCAACAATACATCAGCACGGAATACCCGGCCAGCAGGCTCAGTGGGTGGAGCACCGGAGGTCAGGAGCACGGCGAAATTGAGGTAAAGTGTTGCCAGCGCTTTGAACTGTGCTGGCGATTCGGGATTCTCTCCGAATGGACGGACGACGTTGAGTATAGTGTCGAAGCTACCGTCCACGATGAGGAGCCCAGCGTCGGAAGCGAAGAGATTGACGAGAAGACGGATGGCGTGCACTGCGTTGTTCGCCGTAGGTTGCTGTGGTAGAAACAAACCAATCCCCGCGCAAGTGTTGACGATGTTGTCCGTTCCTCCGCTCGTTTCTTGTATGAACGAAGGCGACACAGCCAGGCGCGCCAGGACCGCGACACCCGGTACTCGCGACAGTGTTGGCCAGCCCGAGCAGACTTTCAATAAAGCCGTAATTTGCTCCTTCACGGGATGTGGATCGCGCGGGGAGTTGTGCATCTGGTCGACGAGCTTCTGCAAGAGTTCCAGCTCCTCCGTTGTGGGCTCCGACTCTTTGCTGATCTTGCCACTGTCGCGCAGCTCTTTGGAAGCATCTTTGATCCTGGTAATGGCATTTTGAGCGTTGCCTTCGAGGATCTCTAGATATCGCCGATGGGGTAGTTTGCGAAAGCCCGCGGGCGATGAGGAATCTGCTGTCCCAGGTCTGTACCTGCGCTCAGTGCCGAGCGGATCTCTCGCCTGTGCTGGCGGATCTCCATTTGCGCCACCAGTGCTCTGCCCGAGTCTTGCCCCTCGCGTGTTCTCAGTGATCCAGTTCGCTACTTGTTCGTAGTACGACATTTCGAGCTTGTTGGTTTCCAGAAATTTTCGAGCAGCATCCCAGGGGTTTTCGGTCAAATTGTATGGGAGCTTCAACGGTGGCTTGCCTTCTTCAATATCGATGTCGAAGACAAAGTCGTATTCTTTGCCGTCGTATGTCTTCTTCCCCGAGCCACTGCCTTGTCCTGACACGACGGTGCCAATCAGATCCCAGCGACTGCTGGACATCGACCACAAATGTGCAGTGACGCTGCCGTCGTTCTCTCGAATAAACAACTGCTGGCCGTCCTTGTGGCCGACTTGCGACTGTAAGGCTTCTGGTCCAGGGAGATTCTCTTTCTGGAAGGGCTCCCCTTGACTTGCTGTTTCGGCAGGTATGGCGTACATACGATTGGTCTCATCGAATGCAGCGATAGTCCCCGCATCTGCCTGACGACTGGGATCTCGGGAGAAGATTCTGATGACCTTATCGCTTGCGCCAGTTGCGATATCGCCAGTCTCCCGGCAAGCCGTTACGGTCCAGATGCTGACGGCCGGGTGTACGATTGTCTGTACGCAAGCTCCGTTCCGCCACACTCGTACCGTCCGATCTTCGGAGGAGCTGACGATGTCGCCGTTTGGTAGAGTTGCGAGGCTGTAGATGTACGCGGTATGCCCCTCCAGCTCGCCGACCGGAGTTCCATCAAGCGTCCACAATCGGATGACTTCATCGTTGCCAGCGGAGGCGAAAGCGGCCCCGGACCACTGAGCGGAAGGCAGCTTGCAGAAGCAGCGCACAACATCTGTATGCCCTTGTATCGTCTTCAAGCTCTTGCCGTTGATGTCGAATATGCGTATCATCTTGTCCGCGCAAGCCGTGATGATCAGCTTCGCATCGTACACCATAACGCCCCAGACTGGTCCTTGATGGCCTTGGAGCTCGGCAACAACACTGCCTTGTTCCACGTCCCACACAAACACCTGGCTGTCCCAGCCGCCACTGACGATCTTATTGCCATCTTCGCTGAATGCAAGACACGTGATGTTTCCAGCGTGGCCGATGAGCAGGCGATATGAATCTTCCTCTGGCGGTCTTCCCACCTGCTTCACGAACACAAACGTCTCTCTTCCTCCCGCAGCAACGAGGCCGCTGGGATGTTCTTTTGACGGCGGCGCATAGTCGAGTGCGTTGAACCAGTGCGAGCCTTGGAGTGCGATGGTGTCATCGTAGGTGAGAGGGGTCGCTGATATCAGACTCCATTGTCGAATGGTGCTATCTCGCGATACGGAGAAGAGGGTTCGAGCATCGGGGAAAGCGAGGGATCGTACCTGTCACACGCAAATGTCAGCAATGGCCTAACCCGCAGCGGTGATGAAGATGATGCAATCTCAGGAGAGAAGCACTTGCGGCCTGAATACTTACGTCTTCCTCGTGCCCCTTCAGAGTTGCCGAGAGCTTGAAGTCGCCCGACATGGCGCACAACGCTCAGCGGAGCTCGACAAGAAATGGCGGAGCTCGTGTGTGCAGCATTCAAGCGTAGAATGAGGTAGCTGTGGGAGGATGAAGTTTGTACAGAGCAGTCGTGAATGATGCAGGTGGCGGTGACGGCACCTTATTAGCTAAGCAGCAGCTTCCCCATCTGGAATGCGCGGGGAGCAGCTGTGGCGTTTCCTCAGGCTCTTCGAAACATCCACGTGTTTCACTCACCCATCATTCTCCTCCGCTGAATGGAGCTGGCTGTCTCACAGCAGCACTCCCGCCGAACGAATTTCACGCCCGGGCGCGTTCCTTTCCTACTGGCTTTCTTCTCGCGTGCATCATGGCTGGACAGATGCTGAAGCGCAGTGAATTAGAGAGCCGCGTGGGGCGTTGTGCTCGGCGTTCATGCGGGGACATCACGTATTCTAACCGCTGGGAAGTGTGCTAATAATCGTTCCAGATAGCCGCTTGCAGTCCGGCATAGCCAATCCGGAATGCTACCCCGAGATCTAGGGCTGCTCCTCCATTGCAACGTCTTTGAGACACACGTGGCGTATACGTGTGAGCGAAATGCGCTGCAGATCTCTCGACCCTGTCAGATCGTAAGCACGGTAGGCGAGCCCTGGCATCCTTCATGCTCTCGAAGGATTCCAGATTTTTGAAAGCTTTCAATTTCACAAGAACATCTCTGACTGATTCAAGTATGGATCATGCTGTTGCTCACCCATACGATTATTCCCACCGAGACCTCCCTCGTTCTAGCCCACGGCGTCCGCAGTCTGGAATCTGCGGCTGTGTCGCCCATCTTGACGTGCAATCGGACGCCTGAGAGGGTGTCGGCACGTTATGGTGGTGTACCAAGCGAGCTCATTCGCGGCTGAAAACCTACGCTGATTCGCCTGGTGCAAGATCGTGCAGCGTGGCTGAACCCTCTTGAAGGCCATCGGGGTTAACGGCAACCACATGGCGCGCGAGGATTTTTAATCCGCAACCCTACACCAGGATGAACACAGCGCGGTTGATACGGTCTGACCCACGGGTTCGCTTCTCGTAAACTCTGCGGCGCACCACGGATATAACCACGTCGGTCCAGTTTCTCAGCCTGCCCGATTTCTCCGCCTCTCCCGCGTGGAGCGTGACATGGTTAGGGTGGCAACGCCAGACCTCGAACCATCCGCCAAGCACCCCCGGACCGCGTTTGCCGCGCCGACATGCAGTTGCCAGAGTACGTACTCCGGCGTGGGGATTCGCGAAGCATGCCACGCGTAGAATAATAAAGTAGCTCGGGGGCTGAAGGGAGGTAAAGGCGCGCTGATCTTCGTGGAGAGGCTCGCGGCTCGCCTGATCCCTGTCACCCACAAAGCATCGTGCTGCCCGGGAGGCGACGGCGTTTGCTCCTACTGTGTTATAAGATGCTGCCACTTCGCCATTGCTTGATATCCTGCCCTGGCTCCCTCACAACACCCTGACTCCTTTGGGCCCTCATCTACCAGCCCAAACAAGATTTTCTAGGCTTCCTTCGTGCGATTTGGCACATTTCTAGTATCACACTTCGGCAATGGAGAACTCAAGACCTTCAACTCCGCCAGTCGACGATGCAAGCCCAATGACTGATTTGTTAACCTCTTTGTCGGCGTGCGTCCCCGTTGCAATCTGGTAGTGTCATGAATACGATTCTGACCGAATGCAGGCTTTTCATCACTGGGCGATATTCCGACCTGACGATAATATGCAACTACAGACGATGTAAGAACATCCGACTCCATCTGCTCGGAATCGTCTGACACCCTTCAGGGGCTGTGCACAAAGCAATCCTGTGCTCTCGCAGCGCCTTCTTCGACGGTGCTTGTAGCGGCTCGTTCTCAGAAGCGAATTCTGGAGTCATCGACCTGAGCGAGGAAGACGAGGACGCCGTCGAACAGATGATCAACTGTACGCATGACTCTTACTCGAAAGCTCCGCAGCATCGCTAATTCCTTGCAGATTTCTACCATCTCGACTATTTACTTCAGCCACAACATTCGCTGGCAACAAGCTTCAGACATCGCACGACCATGCACCATCGGCGACATTCGTCGAAACGAATCGACTTTTCGTCATTCCCCGACCCGCTACTATCGCAAGCCGGCGCCTACACAGACACCCCTTCACCTGACAGTCCCGAGTCAAGTCGTGGGAGCTTCGAACTCCCCGAAGGCAAAGACTACTCGCGCCCAGCGACGCCCGAATCCATGACCGATGCCCCTCGAATACTCGACGAATCGCTCATCTCAGAAGAAGACAACGAAAGCAGCGATGCATTCACCGACGCCCACCTCCTTCTCCACACCCGCGTCTACGCCCTAGCGGAGAAATACGACATCCCACCCCTCAAGCAACTCGCCAGGGCGAAGTTCGAAACCGCACTAGCATGCTACTACGATTCGCCGGAACTCGCTGCCGCAATCGAGGAAGTCTACCATTCAACCATCGACTCCGACCGTGGACTGCGCGACATTGTCCTGGAGGCTTTCAAAGTGCATCCGCAGCTGGCGCAGACCCCTGATGTTTACGGCGTCATTAAAGACACGCCGAGCCTTGCGCTGGAACTGTTCAAAGTCGAGCGCGGAATTCCTGTGTGAGACGGACGCTCGGATGGAGAATGCGGCCGAGCTGCTGGACGGCAGAGCCTACGGAACCACGAAATGCCGGACGTGCCTGCAGTGGCGCTTGCCACCGCTATCAAGATTACAATCTGCATGCATGCTGTCTCAAAAAGGTGTGCCAACCCTTGCTGGAGCAGATGCAGCCATTTCAAGCGATTGGGGAAGTGACTGCCAGCATGACGATATCGGCGCCGATATTCCTACGGCACGCTTCCCCGCGATCAGCAGGGTCGTATATGACATCGTCAGACGACATCTCGCGTCCGACCCTAACACGCGATACGCACGAGCGCAGGATCGCATTGGATCCATCGGTAAGGCAAACGCGCTAAGCAAGGAAAGTGTTGCGCCACGAGCATTATAGGAAACAACCAGCATAAGCTGAACGCAAAGTTATCGAGGAGATGCGGGCATCACGTATGAGGTAGAAACAGCATAGCAGCGCTGTGGCAGAATCTGACAGGGTCTGGTGTGGCGATCACCGTCTTTATCATCCTCGTCAAACACTTTGTCAGCCCCACGTGAGAGCTTTGATTCCACTCAATCCAGAACATCTCTCCTGCCATCGCCTTTCTTCACCAGCGGCAACAGACCCCAGCTCCACCGCCTAACACGGTACGCATGCATCTCCGGCATCGTAGGCAAGTAACCGGCCAAGCGCTCAGCGGCGATCTTTGAGCCACGTTCATATGCAGGGCGACACAACTCAGAAGCCACCCACGCAATACGGGGAGCAGGAATCAATCCAGCAAACTCGCCTCCGATGACCAAGCCTTGTTATCGCCGCTCCCCTCCGGCTCCATGTGACTCCCACCCACCATAAACTTCTCTTTGCGTTTGTGACGCTTCCCTTTCGGGCTGTTGGTTTCTTTAACAAGCACTGCGGTTCGCTGCGCTGGTGGAGGCGGGGAGGGCTCCGGCTCGTCGAGGTCGAGAAGTTGCATGCTTTTCGTCACGGGCTTGGTTGCTGCGTTGCTTGGGCCTGGGGTTGGCCTTTCCGGCATTGGGACGGGCATAAATGCCGCTGCAGCAATGTAGCGACGCTCCTCTTGGTGGGCAAATTGGTGCCAGCCGATGCCAGCGCGGGTTTCCGAAGATGGGACATCAGCCTCGAAGTCATCGGTGTCAGCAGGCCGACACTTCGAACACTTGCATTCCTCGCCACACGTCAAGTTGCATTTGTGGCCGCATGACAGCAGTCTCTCGCATGCCACCTTACACGGGACCATCTTGTGCACGAAGGGATGACACACCAGCTCACAAGGATGCCCACAGTCCAACTGCCCACCGCACTTAACCATGCAGCCTCCGAGGATGTTATCGAAGTCGTGGACGTCCTTGATCGTGGTCCAGTTGCCGTGGTTGGTGCACTGAAGCGTGAGGATATCGCCCACGCGGTTCTTTGGCTCTTCCGTGAGAAGATCGGCCTCGGGACCTTTCTTGTTCTTGTTCCTCATGATCTTGATGACCTTCTCCCACGTCTTGTTCCCGGACTTCTGCAAATTCGTGGCGTTGCCGAAGATGTAGAATCCGCATTGGGCACGAGAAAGGGCAACACAGACGCGGTTGATGACGTCGAGGAAACCAGTCCGTCCTCCATCGTTGCTGCGCACCAGGGAGAGAAGGACCACTTTGTTCTCTTCGCCTTGATACGAGTCCACGGTGACGACGTTGAACCTCTGGTTGAGGAGACTGGCTCGCCCATGGAGCTCTTTAAGGATCTTCTTACGCTGACCGTTATAGAATGTAAGGACGGTGATGCATTCCGTGGGAATGCCGTTGTAGGCGAGATACTCGAACATGCCGACAACCATCTCCGCCTCTGCGGGGTTGTACGAAGACATCTGCTCATCGCGGCGCTCCGACCATTCGTGGGTGAAGAAGAAGGAGTTGATCCCTCCCATACCTGGTACGTCCGGTCGATTGGCGGGATCCATAACGTAGTCATGATCGGTGATGAGATCTTTGTATATGGCGAACAAGATGCGACGGATCTCTGGTCTCATCCGCCGCTGCTTCGTCAGTGTCGTCCATTCGACTTTGTTGTTGATGAGCCGCTCGAACAGGGAGATGTTGAGGTAACATTCCTCTTCCAACTGCTTGACATTGCAGTGTGGACGGAGTTGCTTGTGGTCGCCAACCAAGACGAGATGCTGTAGTGATGGCATACAAGCCACGATCACTGGAGCTTCGAGGGTTTCGGCCGCTTCTTCAATGAGGACAACTTTTGGCTGCAGAGCAGCGATGATTCCGCGGTACTTGCTCAATCCCGTCGTTGTCATTCCAATGATCGCCTGCTCTTTGAGAATTGGCTCGTCTCTCTCCCAGCCTCCGATGCGGCGTTTGCTTGCTTGGTAATTGAATACTCTGACCTTCTCACGAAAGGCAGCCAGAATCTTCTTCTTCAGCTCAGTCTGCAGATGTCGATAGACAGCTGGTCGTGTTGTTTCTGGCACTGCCCACATATCCTGCTGCGTGAGAGCATCTCTCGCTTTGGCCTCTGTCATGCCGGGTGTCTTGCGGCAGGTGAAGTTGTCGGCAATGTCAAAGACAGTGCCCTTGAGTGTCTCGATGTCCTCGTCGTCATTCGCGATGTTCTCCGCCTCTAGTTCGCGAAGCTGCTCGAACTCCAAGTCCGCTTCTTCAAACTCGAAGAATGATTCCTCTGGCAGTTGCTTTGGCGGCACCTTGACCAGCGATCTTCCGAGCCAGGTCACGAACGGCGACTGGGTGTCACTTCCGAGCTGATCATGCACCCATTCCGATGCACCACTCTCCAATGTGTCAATCTGATGCTGAGTGAGCAGGCCAAACGACTTCAAGATCTGCAAATCCAGAGGGTTGCTGGAGGGCTGCAATGGAGACAGAAGTAGTGCAATATCCTTCTCCACCGCAGTCATTGTCTTTCTCGCGCCGCCGTGTAGAGTGCCGGACACTGGTGGGATTCTGGAATGTTGCCGGACTTCGTAAAGCGTGCGAGACTTGATGACGCCTCTGTCTTTGGATCGTCCACCGAGGCGGATAAATTCTGGCTCGAACTCGGCGATGTGCCTCAAGATCTGGTCGATTGCATGGTTCGTTTGGCAGGCGATGATGATGGGCGGGTCGCCCGATCGACGATTGGCGAGCATGATCTTGATTGCCTGGACCGATACGAACGTCTTTCCGGTACCTGGTGGGCCTTGCACGATTGCCAGTTGCTTGGTGAGGATACGCTGCAGTGCGGCCAGCTGAGAAGCGTCGAGATTGCTTTCGGGCTCAGCAGGCCATTCATTGAGGACGTGCACATCTTCGTATGCGCGAGGGTTGTCGTGTTTGAGCACGGGAGTCAGGTCGAACTTGGGCTGATCTCTCACATACTTCGGAGCTGGGACAGAAGATTCCGCGTCGACCAGATGCTCTGAGAGAGGGAAACTACAATGTTGTGTCAGCATTGCACTGGGTTGAGGGCACAGCTCTCACACCTACGGCTCTCGCATCATTTTCTGCAGCGCCAACAATGTATGCCTGCTTGCCTCATACATTCCACCCCGATCTTCCACCATGATGAATTCCATGGCGGGATCCAGCTCTTGGTCTTCAGGACGAGAAATGAAGAGGTCGACTTCGGGAGGGTTTTGCTGAAGCCCAGCAAGTGGACGTGCGGCGACAGTGGCGACGATGGCATTGCTCTGGAACATGTCGCTGATCGGGGTGAGGACTACGAGTCCACCGGTGATGAGGCGTTTGGACTGTTCCCAGAGAATCTGCTTGCCGGTTCGATGGAGGGAGAAGGTGACACGGAGGGCGATGCCTCGAGGGGAGCATGTAACTCCACAAATGTGGACCTGGAAAAGAGGTCAGCCAACATCGATCTGGGGAAGGAGGTCGGATGAAGTGCAGCGCACCTTTTCGTAGATACCGACAGCGCCATTGAAAAGATCCTCGCTGGCCGTGGGGTTTTCTTTAACTCCTTGGACCGCCTCGATGAGATTGCGAAGAGCATCTTCGCGAAGGAGTTCGTAGTTGGCACTCAAGCAAGCGTCTGTAGATGGGAGTCAGCTTTGGCAGCTATGGGTAGTAGATTTGGGACGTGCTCACCATTTGACTCCCACGGGCCCTTCGGTTTGTTGGGCACCAGACCTACCACTTCAGTATCGAGGATCTCTTCTGCGCTTGGGAACTCCGGCCGGTCGAGCCACGGACCACCGTCACCCTTGACTTTGGAATCGTCAAAGTAGGCGCGGATGTTAAGGTTGAGCGTCGGAGGGGGTTTGCGGGCATCTTCGAGGTCTTCTTCTGGCCGGTAGGCATTTCGCCCGCGGCCGAAGCGCTCTTGGAGGCCTTCGTTCATGACTGCTGTGATGGCAGGGGCGAGGATGAGGCGGGTGTGTCGAATGAAGAAAAAAAAAGGTCAAGGAAGGAGGAGCAAACAGTGCTGCAATGTGTGATAGGCTGGAGGCTTGTGATATGTTGGAATGCACGTTCTCGCTGGACTGCCTCGCCAAAGATAGCGGCTGGCGAGAGTCTGATTTTCTGCGGGTGTATATAAAGGCACATGAATGGAGAACACGAGAGAAATGGATCAAGACCGGAGAATAATCAAAGGGCAAGCAAAGGTACTGGTCGCACCTTCCTTACCACTTTGGATGCGGCTTCCCGACATCCCTGACGATGAAGTCATGCATCAGGCCAGCCCGACACGAGTTCATGATTGCGAAGGCGTGAGAATTCAGATGCATGCAGACTTCTGCTCGTACTTCGAGTGCTGTCATGATGGACTCCTTGGTCGTGGTGGAACAGGAACCCGGCAGGTGGTAAAGCTGCTTCCGCTCCTTGTTTTCAAGATGCATGGCGCGCAACCACATGTCATAGCAATTGCAAGTTTGCAGACCATGGTCACTCGTCTAGCAACATAGCTGTAATCAGACTGCGGAACATGGATGAAGATGAGGTTTCATGAGCTTGCATCTGTCGTCAAAGAGATCGATGGGCGTAGATCATGCTCGGAACGAAGCCGATTGGCTGCATCTTTCCAGGTACCGCACCTCACGAACCTCCACTCTCTTTGTCACTCCACTCCTTCGCAGCATTGAGCCAGGAGACGGACATTTGTATCTGCGAGACAATGAGCGCGCACAAGCGGCGCATCCAACATCGCTTCCTATAAAGACGTCCATGTGGCAGCCATGCCCTGCAGCGGCTGTTGGCACCTCTCTTGAATCCGCCTGACAATCCCTCCTCTCCGCGGCGCATTCCTCCCCTCTCCGCAGCGCATGACCACAATTTCTGGACAGCCTTCGCGAGATCTCTGACGCGCTCCGATTCGAATCATGGCCTCCTTTGACGACGACGCAGATGGCGCTGGTGGGTCTGGCGATGAGTTCGACAATGAAGACGAAGAGATGGAAGATGTGGACCAGGATCAGGATCAAGACCAAGGCCAAGATGATGATGGCGCAGACGAGGATGACGAAGATGATAACGATGATGGAGATGGAGACGGCGATAACGACGAGGATGACGATGAGGAGCACGACCCCGACTCGCCTTCGCGAAGAGCAAGCCAACACGCTTCTGGCCAACGCTTCGACGGGGATACTCAAGATGATGCTGGGCCTGCTCGTTCCCCGCGTCCATCTGCTGTCAGGTCTCCAAGTAGTGCTGCACCTGCCGTGTTCATCCCATCTGTGCGCACCGAGGCGCTGACTGCCCAAGCGTACGATATCGTCCCCACCATGGCCGCTCCGCACAGCACCTCCATCAATGCCCTCACCGCCACTCCCGACATGCACTGGGTCTTCAGCGGAGGCTCGGACGGTTATGTACGAATGTACAACTGGGTGGAAACCGCCAACGGCAAGACCCCGCTCACCGTCGCGCAAAAGCACCCTTTCGTGGACAGTGTCATGAAAGCTGGGAGTTTATTGACCTACTGGGAGAATGAAGAGCCCGTCATTCGAACACCCCCGGCGCAGGGAGACGAGGGAAAGGAGCTCAGTCCTGTGTACTCTCTTGCCGTTCAAAACCAAGCTATCTGGCTACTCTCTGGACTGGAGAGCGGTGGCATCAACCTCCAAACCTGTCGACACCAGGCCGGCACAAGAATCATGACATTGAGAGAGCACACCAGTGCTGTGTCTGTCCTGAACTTGGCGAGGGATGAGACCAGTGTGCTTTCCGGGAGCTGGGACAAGACAGTCCTCGACTGGGACCTGCAATCCGGCAAGGTCAAGCGCTCCTTCCTCGGCATTGGCGGTCAGGTCAGTACCATTCAAATTCGGCCAACTAGCGATGTCCATATACCAGAAGTCACGGAGACAATACACGAGTCGCTGGGCACCTTCTCCAGCAACAACGCGGATAGGCCTTCGGTTAACGGTGGGTTCGGCAATAGACGAGAGTCCAGGGGCCAAGATGAAGATGCCATGGGCTCCCCGAGCAGCTTGTTTGGTGAAGACCACGGCTCGTTGTTTGGCGAAGACGCGGGTACCGCTGGTGGAGGTAGCAACGCCTTTGGGGACGACGATGAGAGCCTGGAAAGGACACTCACTGGTGGGACGCAAGAAGGCGAGCAAGACGCACCCGGCGAGCAAGACACGGAAATGGATAGTGTGGGCAACGGCGGGCCAGTGCAGCCTCCAGAGCCCGCGGTTGAAGCCTCGGAGCCCGAGGCCATCGTCACAGACGATATCAACACCGACGAGCAGGAGGTGAATGGGGACAAGCAGGTCGACGGCTCAGACCACGTTATTGACGGCATCGCCGACTCGCAACCTGTCACCAATGGTCTTCCGCATTCAGATGAACCACTGACTGCACCGCCGACCGACGACTCGTCCACGAAAGGCGTGTCGGCCGCCGATCTTCCTCCCCAGTCGGAGTCAACCTTCCTCGACGCGTCTTACAACGGCTCCATCCGCATCTGGGATCGCCGTATGCCCTCACCCATCGCGACTCTCTCGCCATTTCCCTACTCTTCTCCGTGGTGTATGGGAGCGTGCTGGAGTCCAGACGGCAACTTCATCTACGCCGGTCGACGCAACGATCGCGTAGACGAGTACTCCATTCACAAAATGGGTACGAACAGGAACAAGCCGGAGCGAACATTCAAGTTTCAGCACCAGAGTGGACCCGTGTCTGCCGTGAGGGCGATGCCGAATGGCCGACATCTTGTATGGTGAGTTCTACCCTTCACGTTCTGTCTCAAATGATGAAGTCCATTGTATTCTAACACACCTTCACAGCGCATCCAACGATATCCTCCGCATCTATGACCTCGCGCAACCGGAAACGCTACGTCACCGCAGCGTACCATTCACCATCATCCCCGGGCACCGCGGAGGCACCATCAGCTCGGTATACATTGATCACGCGTGTAAATATATGCTTTCTGCGGCGGGGAATCGGGGGTGGGATGGAGGTGTCGGCACCGAGGCGCTTCTGGGGTATGAAATCTCGATACAGGACCCGGCTGGCGTCTGGCATAAATGAAGGATGATGTAAATGACTGCATGGGAACTGCGCTGGGAAGCGTTGAAAGGGAAAGAGTCTGGAGTGACGGTGTTGCTGCAATGGATTGAATTTCTGTCTCGGGAAGGGGGTGTCAGTCTGCGTTTGCTGTGACGGGGAGGCTGGTGTCACGCTGCAGATTCGTTGCACGGATCACTCCGGTGACTTGGTCATTTCCGTGAATGGAAGGAGCGTCAATTCCACCCACGCACAACACACCTTGCTGAAAAACCCTTTTGCTCCTCCGACACACTCTTCGATCTCACATCACTCGCAGACAACACCTCTTTTCAGCACGCTTCTTGCCTGCCCTACAGCTCTCTTGCCTTCCTTTGAGCTGCACATCTCACGACAGCAAGACACACGACGCCTTGCAACCCAACGCCACGCGCGAGAACATCACACTCCAGCGCTCGAAGACACCTCAGCAGTCACTACACCTCTTGCCATCCCCTCAGCTGTCTTGCCTTCTCTCAAGCGGCTCCCTCTCCACCGTAAGCTCCCTAGCCCCAAGAACCCAGCAGCTCCGACCATCGGGCTCATCTCCTACGCGTTGCGTACTGACCTCTCCTATAGCTCACATCAACATCGAGCCCTCGCTCTCCAGCTCTATAGCAAAGAAGCAACCACGATGCCGACCTATAAAAACGTCACGGTGCAAGTCACCAACGCCACCGAAGTCCCTCTGGCAGAATGGGGCATACGCAAGCTCGATCGCGTCAACCTCACCACTTGCTACATCCAGAGCGAGACCGACCTGGCTTTCCGCATCCGCATCAACCCCAGCATCCCCTGGCGCGCAGATGAGTGGCACTTCCTCGCGACCCTCCGCATCGACGGCCGCCAGACCCCCGAGAGACGCCGGATCGTGCGCCTCGACAACTACGACCGGCCCTCTCGCCGCTACCGCGACGAGGACTTCGACGGCGAGGTCATCATCAAGTCGCGCACCGTCAAGGATGCCGACGGGACTGTCCGCGTGTGCGGCTGGCAGTTCAAGGACGTGGGCATCGAGGCCGTGTTCGACCGGCTGCTCGTGTCCTCCGAGCAGGAGGATGAAGAGGAGCTGATTGCCGCGATGGGCGGCACTGCCCTCGACGACTCAGAGGAGAAGAGCAAAGTCGGGCAGATTGAAGTCGCGCTGGAGCGCGTGACGCTGGGCGCCACGCGCTACGAAGCCGTGGACGCAGGGGCACGCGATCAGCCCAATCTCGCCGGCGACACGCGCCAAGTCACCCACACCGTCGCCCTGGACGCCGGGCACGTGGCCGCGGGCGGCGCGCGCTCGGTGATCGACTACCGCCCCTTCGATGCGCCTGAAGCGCCGTACGCGACCTTCAGGTTCTACTACCGCAGCGAGGACGTGCTTCGGAAGTTCGGCTTTGCCCACTTCCCGGCGGCTAAGCCGTCGATTAAGCGCGAGCGGAAGGACGCGTCTGGGCTGACGCCTCTCCGTGGGAAGACGGGGGGCAATGCTCCGAAAGACGCGTTCGAGCCGCGGAAGCCCGTCGCTGTGGAGGAGGAGGACGAGGCGGATGAGCAGGAGGGTGCTGGGGACGGTGAGGGGAGCACTGCGGGTGCTGAGGAGGAGGAGGGAGACAATTTCCCGCAGAGCGATGCGGACGAGAGCGTGAGGACGCCTCTCAGCCATTTGCGACTCGGGAGCAAACGGGAGATGGAGCCGGTCGGCAGCGAGGCCAAGAAGGCTCGAGTCGAGGAGGACGAGGAGGAGGAAGAGGAGGAGCTGTGAGCAAATTACGGCTCGTACATACCCAGAAATGCAACTTCTCGAATTCGGCAATAGCAGCCTCGGTGCTGCAACGTGTAACCCGACTTTCCCCAACTTCGCCTCTCACCAACGCCCTGCTCTCCCAAAGCAGCCATGGGCATGAAACACCCCTCTTTCAGATCAGCTACATCTGCCGAAAAGGGGGGATCTCCAGCCGTGGCGCTAGCAAGGATGCGACACGGATAGGTGCACATGCCTTTGAAGGGTATTGGATACCGCGGAGACGTAACGCCCCGTCCGCTTTCGAACGTGTGGTGAACCCGGAGGCGGAGTTGTTCGGCTGTGGCTCTCTCTTTGATCTTCGCTCGATTGACGCCTTTCCAAGCCATGGGGAGGACGTTACGCTTCGGCTGCTGATTGTGAGAGGTGTCAGAACCGTCGGTGCAGGGCGGCTGTCTGCCAACTACCGAAAGGCTGGCTGAGCCGCCAATACTTCGAGGTTTCATGGAGGCGTCAAAGTGCGCTTTGTTTCATTTTCGTTGCTCTTCTTTCTTCCGCAGTGACTGGTCGGTTTTTTCTCCTTCACGTTGATTCGGTGTGACGCTCACCACCATATCCAGACCGCATGGCTGCATACGGTTCGAGTGTTTGCGTATGAGGCGGCATGCTGCTGGTGATCCAAAAGAGACATGTCTTGTTATTGTGGCTTGACTGGCTCATGCTTAAAAGGAATGTATAAAAGGTAAGGACAAGTCTCATGTGTTCCAGGTTTTCATCTTCATCGTATGTTCTTTTGATCTTCTATTCAGACCTCATCACGTCAACAGATTCGCAATTCGCAAGAAAGACAACACCAAATACCATGGCAGAACGTAGCTCGAAAACCCACGCTCGACAAGATTCCGGACCACAACCAGTCGGAGAAGAAAGCGAGCGTCAACACCCTCGTACCAACAAGCGACAACGTCGAAGCAGCTTCAATTTCTACCGACACTCCTCGCGACGCTTTCCAAAGAGACCCAGCAGGCCCGACAGCACCCCAAGGCGGAAGGCTCCAGCTGTTCCCCAAAGCACACCAATCGATCGTCCCCTGGAGCAGCCACGCTTCGCCCTCGACATCGTCTCTACACCAGCACACCCCATCGTCCTAGGATCACCAATCGACATCTCCGCCGTGGTCAGCTTCATCTCGTCAAACTCCGACGCAGAAACAGTCGACCCCTCACCTCTCCTCGCCGTAGCATCCCTCATCTCCGAAAGCGCAAAAGGCGAGCGCACCCAACTCGATCCGCAATCCCTCTCCGGCCCGAAAATGATCGACAACATCCACCCGCTATCCGCGAGCGATGTGCAAGCGATGATGAGAAGCGAAGTACTTGCCAATCGAACGCTTCTTGGCTACGTTTCGTTTCCGAGTCTGGTGGTTCGGCAAGTGGGAAGTTATCGAGTCAGGGTGACGCTGCTGAGAATGGGGGATGAGGTGGGGAATTTGGCAGCCAGGAGTCTGGTTGGGGTTGATAGTGAGGTTGTGAGGGTTGAGAGGGGGAAGATGGGGAGTTTCTGTCGGCAGGGGTGTTGAGGGACTTTTCTTGTGTTGGCGAGAGGTTAGATCTTCGAGGGATTCACGAGGGGCATGGTATGGTAGGCAGACATTTTGTTATGGGTCATATCGTTATGGCGCTGGCATAACTCAAGAAGAGCATCACTCTTCATCGTCCCCGTCCTCCTCTTCATACTCCTGATCCTGGCTTTCTGTTATGCCAACCGTCCTTCCCATGATCTTTGCACCGTGACGCCCGACTTTGACAAGGCTCTTTCAGACCTCATCCCCACTCTTCCTATACATGTGGACCAAAATCTCCTGAACCGCATCCAGATCTAATCTTCCCCAGCCAGCTAGATCCTCGACACTCGGCGGACTCGGCACGAGAATAATGGTGCCGGCGAACTGATACCATTCCGGCAAATCAGGGGAACGCAGTAAGGTGTGGTACATCGCGAGCATTCTTCCCGCCAACCCTCGCTGCCGAAAGCCATCGAATATCTCCACCAATTCGACAAACATCAGCTTGTTCTCCCACAGCCTCTGCTCGAAGCCTTTGAATTCCTTCCGAAGCGTGCCGTCTAGTTTGTAAATGGCCTGCATGCACACCGCGTTCTCCTTGACTCGACCATCGATGTCGAGATCGTTGATTCCGGGGGTGAAGTCTGCTTCCATGTAGTCTTTTTGGAAAGCAGGCTTTATGCGTTCGTTGGACTTTGGCTTGTCGATGCGCCAGGAATGGATGTCGCCTACGTGCTCGAAGACTCTGCTGTCGGTGGAGAGGAAGAAGTTGAGGCGGTAGCCTAAGCGACTGCTGAGTTCACCCGAGACCACTTCGAGGTGGGCTAGGTATGTTTCTTTGCGCGCTCCCCTTAGGATTAGCTCGGCTTTGGCTAGGGTTGTGACTGCTTCGCCGTCGTCTGAACTAGGGTCGTCCAAGTCAGTAGGCAGTTTGGTCTTTTTGTTGTCTGCTGATGACTTGTCGGTTTCAGTCAACGTCTCGTCTTCTCCGCCTTCTGTTTGGCGTGGAGGTTTCTTGAGGGCACGAGCTGGAGTTGGAGGCTTCCTGGCTGCTTTGGGCCTGGCAGATGCAGCTTGCTGAGGCGGAGGGGCAGGCGGAGGCTGATTGGCAGTATTTTCAGGCTCACGAGCTTGGTCATCCTCGCCTGACCCCTGCTGCCTCTCCTCTTCCTTTTCACTCCCCTGAGTCAGCGCAAAAGCCTCAGTCGGGGCAGCGGGGGCGGCAGCAGCAGCAGCAGCAGCAGCCAGGGTCTGAGATCTAGTCACCCTAGTCGTTGCCGCATGGACGGCCGGAGCTCTTGGAGGCTGCGAAGTGCCAGGCCCTCTCGCATGACGTGGTCTTTTGGCGCCTGTAGGCCCGTCGTCTTGTCTTGCTGACTTTCTTTTGGGAGGCATAATGCGAGATAGGCCTATGGGATAGAACCGATGTTTCGAAGTGGACAAGAACAAGATGAGAGACAGCTCACGACGATTTACGCAGCGGACTTGACTGGGCAAAAACGCTGATGCAGCAAACTGGCATAGCGACACACAAGATGATAATGAATGATTGCAGGTGGAATTGGAAATATGAGATTTGACGATGATGATGGTCGACGAGAACAAAGGGGTTCGCGACAAAGAGCATTTCAGCTGCGCACTTCTCTTGGTAATGACTTACGATGTCACGTCGGTCTTTGTTCGACTCGAGTTGAAGACTGGCGACTGGAGCAGTAGAGTGAAGCTATCGCCAGTCGATACTATGTGAAGACTGTCAGGTTCAAGTGAGGATGCCATGGCTCGCAGGTGCGTCGTTGATGCCTTGTTTACGGCACACATCGTGAATGGGGGATCCATGCGTGCAGTCCTTTGGTATGAGTCGGGACCGCTGTAGGCTTTGAACGGGCTTGGTTTGTCTGATGAAGAGGCGGAGGAGGTCGAGTCGCATGTGCAGAAGTGAGCCTTGCGATTGGCTTTCCGCCAACGCGCCGGCGCGAGCCGAAGCAGGGGAACTGCGGCGAGCGGGAGGCGTTGGGAATGACATGTGCGCGACAATCTCCGATTTGCCTGCGCCACGGATTGGCGCGGAAATGATCTCACTCATTTAATTTTCCTCCCCGTTTTATATCACCGCCATGTCCCGCCCCCCAACCTTCCAGTCGCAAGACTGCGCCGATACTGGTAGGGCGGGTGTACCGCGACGACGACCACGACTACCACCATGCTCCTCCACGACGGTTGGCCGCAGTATTTGCTTCTGCGCTGCATCATCTTAATCTTACAATTTCTTGGCCCGGCGTGCGTCGCATACACCGCGTACAGCATCAGCGAAGCATGGCCTGAATGGCGCGTCCCGAGCGTGTTCCAGGCCTGGTGCGCCCTCGAATCCGCCTTTTTCCTCTTCTTCTTCCTCTTCTACCGCCGATACCTGCAGCGCGAAGCGACGCATCCCCCTCCGCGCACCAAGAAGCAGCGCAGAGCCCTCTTCGCCAAAGTGCGGCTCGAAGTGCACGACCCCGACAAGTTCTTTTCTGGCTGGTTTCGCGGGGCCAAAGCGGAAGACATCGGGCGCGAGGATGTGCGCGTCTTCCTCAACTGGGCTTTCTGGGATGGGCAGGCGGACATGTACGGCGCGGATCAGAAGGAGCTGGACGAGTATATTGGCAAGGTCGAGGAGATGCTGCGCACGCCGTTCAAGCCTGGACGAGGCTCGGCGAAGAGTCTGCGCTTGACACTGGACCCGATTGAAATGGAGTGCCGCACTTTGGCATGGTATGGGCTCATCATGCTGGCCGATACCGTCACGCATTTTGTCATGAAGAAGAACGGCTTCCAATATTTCAAGACGCGCGCGAGCAGTACCGCCGTCTATCCCCTCCGACCGGCGGCGATGGTAGAACACGCGAATTCGCCGGCAAAGGGCATGTCCTACTGGGTGCGACCGCATACTTCCAAGATACAGCTTCCCATTCTGTATGTTCACGGCATCGGAATCGGCCTCATTTCGTCCACGCGACTCCTCCACGAGTTAGATCAAGCATTGAATGCGCATGGCAACGAAAAGTCCGACGGGGAAGTCGGCATTCTCGCCATCGAGATTCTGCAAGTCTCCTCACGCCTGACAACGCCCATGCTCCGACGAGAGGAATTCCTTCAGCAACTGACCCAGATCCTGGACGTGAACGGCTACAAGCGCTTTGTCCTTGCCTCTCACTCCTACGGCTCCGTGCCGAGCACGCACATCCTTACAAACGACAAACTAGCGAAGCGCGTGGCGAGCACGCTCTTCATCGATCCCGTCACCGTGCTCCTGCACATGCCAGACGTGGCGTACAACTTCACCGTGCGCCAACCAAAGACCACGGCGGAATGGCAACTGTGGTACTTTGCTTCCAAAGACCCCGGCATCGCGCACACCCTCGGCCGCCACTTCTTCTGGAGCGAAAACGTGCTATGGCGCGATCGCATTATGGAACTGGTGGGGAAGGGGATGAAGATGACGGCAAGTCTCGCGAGCAAGGACTTGATTGTCGATACGCAGGCGGTAGGCATGTACTTGACGGAGAACATCGTGCCGGACCCTGTCTTGAAGGAGGATGAAGATGGCCGCAAGCAGATGGAATTGCAGGTCGGCAAAGAAGCGTATGGTACTGCGCATCAATGGAAACATCGACCTTGGAGGGGTAATGGACTGGAGGTGATATGGTGGGAGGGTCTGGACCATGCGCAGGTCTATGATCAAGCATCGACGCGAGCGAGACTTATTGAAGTGCTGGTGGAGTACAGTAGAGACCGATAGAGATAGACCACAAATAATAATAATATTAACTGACTGATGATTGACAATCGCGTGCATCTAGTGTGGCCAGCCTTGGCGGATGAGGCTGAGACGGTGCGGTTGCCGGGGTGTGGCTCGGTGCGTCATGGCGGTAAACAATGCGCCGCCTGCCACTCCAGCCTTCCCTTTTTCCACCAACCACCACAACCCACCACCACCACACTTGCGGAGAATTCTTTCAATCGCCGTCACTCCTGCGGAGATTTCCCTCAAAGTCTCCGACAATTCATTCCGAAGGGGATGAACAACACCCACTGACTGCCTTGCGACCACCATCCCTCGTCCACAACGACCTCCTCTTCTTACAATACGACTCGCTTCGCACAAGCTGATTGGAATCCCTCTCTGACCTGCTGAGGCTTCGGCCTGCAGCTAACAATCATTTCCATCATGGCTCCCAGACCGGCATCCGTTAATGCATCCCCTCTACTCACCGACATCCTCCCCGTCCTCGACTCTTCCGCTCCAGAGTCCTCCATCCTCATGCTCCCACCTCCCGAAGTCCTTCCTCCTTCCCATACAACGTCACAAATTCCCCACGATGTCCTCAAACGCGCCCCAGCAACAACATCCAAAGCGACGAAAATAGCAACAACCAACAAACCCACCTTCGTCGGCGGCGCCGGCGCCGCCTCCCCCGACGCCTTCAACAACAACGCCATCCTCGCCCTCTTCGCCCTCCTCGGCGCAGCAATGGTCATCGTCGCCATCTGGTTCTTCTTCTGGGCCAAGAACGGCGGCTTCCACTTCCGCGAGGGCGACTGGGAAGATTACAAATCCACCGTGCTGCGCCGTAAGGGTCCTGATGGCCGCACTCTCAGCAATGCCACCAAGAGCACCAAGCTAGGCGGCAGCACGATTGCAGGCACGCAGCAGTTCAAGTGGGCGAAGCAGCAGGCCAAGTCGGTTGTTAGCTACGATGAGAAGGGACGGAAGGGGATTCTAGGCAAGCGCGGATGGGGCAAGACGCACAGCGTCACGTACGCCGACGACTTTACGGACTACGGCGGTGGCGGGCGCGGGCGTGGTCCCAAAACAATCTCCGACGAAATGTCCGAACTCAACGTCCAGTCGCCTAGCCCTCCGCGTCGTCCAGCAGGCTACCGCGACCGCGACGTGCAGCAATACAAGAAGGAAAAAGTCGCGCGCGTCGGCGGACTCAACCGCGTACACGACGGCAGCCACGTCGACACGACCGACTACTCCGACTCGGACGCCACGCCCGCCCGCAAGCGAGAGCGCCGCGAACCGCACAGCAGCAACGACAAGGACCGCGCCGAGCGTCGCGCACGCGCCGAAGCGGCGAAAATGGAGCGCAGGTGGAAGCAAGAAGCAGAAGAAGCAGCAGCCGCAATCGCACGCGAGCAACACATCTCGGCTCCCACCCCGCCCCGAAAATCCGCCGCGCCATCCAAACCCTCCCCCGCTGCCAACAGACAGCGCCGCGAGGCCTCGCGCTCCGCCTCCCCGAAGAAACGCGATTTCAGCTACCAAGCGGATCCCCGGCCGGAAAGCGAGGTGTTTAGCTCGACGTACACGGTAACGAATACGTCGAACCGCAACTCGAGTTACTACGATGCGTACAGGCCACGCGCGAGCGAGAATGTGAGGTATAGTGCTGGTGGAGAGTATGCGGCGGCGAGGCAGAGCTCGCCGACCAAGAAGGGGCCTACGCGCGGGTATAGACGGGGTGGGGACAGTGACCTTGATTGAGGACAGGTGGGATGAGATTGGAATGAGCGCACACTACTGGCGTGTTCGAAGGATGGGATGGTGCTACGATCACTGGTGATGGACTACAGACGGGATCGAGAAGTGTAGATAGGAAGGAAACGGACATGAGAGCAGACGTGCTTCGTACATATCCATTGAACGCACTAACTGTCCACTCCTCCAAGTCGTGTTGCTCGTTAAACCATCTCATGCCACTCGTGCCGTCCCAGAGCAAACCCGCTGAACGAAAATATCCACGAGGTAGCTCAATGATAGGGTGTCGCATTCGCATCCGCTCATAGTGAGCTTCTTCCCAGGATGATATGCAGCAAGCAAAGTGGGTATTGAAGGGGAAAAGCCATCGCCGTCGTAAACGTTCGTCAAAGTCGTCAAATGCGGACCGGGGTATCGATGCATATTTTCGTCGTCGTCGTGCAAAAACAGATGGCGCCAGCTGTGAAGCGTACCGTAGAGAGCCGCATCCCAATCAAACCACGCCATCCCCTCAACATCTCACTTCCTTCCTCCCAAGTCCTGCTCTTCGCCGCGTAGCGTCTCGCTTTCCCGGAACGACGTCCCCAAAGACGCAGCGTCATGACTCCCACCACTCCTGCGCACCTCTCCCCGCCGACTCCCACCCGCACCAGAATTCCTCCTCCCCGCCCTCGACCCCTCCTCGCCGCTCCCAAGAACCCACGTCTGTTGCCCGTCGTCTCCAGCCCGCATGCCCACAGTAATCACCCCGCCCGGGATGAGATTCAGCATGGAACCCGTGATTTCGATTCGGGTGCCTTCGCCTGCTTGCCCGTTGGTGCGGGAGGAAGTGTGGGAATGGGTAGTCGTGTGGCTTCTGGTGCTTCGGTGGCGTTGGTGTTGGGAGGGTTGGGAGCGCGAGTGCTGTTGTTGGGGTTGGTCTCTGATGTTCAAAGCCGTTAGGCCCTCGGGCTGGGGTCCGCGTCGGGCGTCCTGGTAGGCTTCTGCTTCTTCTAGAAGCTGTTGGTGACGATCGTCTTGTGCTCTTCTCGATCGTCCGGTCGATTCGAGATACTGCTGCTTTTCTCGGGACAGGTAGGTGGAGGGCCTGCCGTTGCGCTCTACAATCACGTGTACGGCGCCAGACCCGCCGGAGACGGTGGTGGCTTTTGTTTTCCCCGATGAGGCATTCGTAGAGACGGAGGGACGGCGACTGCTAAGTGTGGAGTCGGTAAAGAGGGTACGTGAGCGAGTGCTGGTAGCGCGGACAGTTCTGTCCGACTCTGTCAGGGGCGGGTAGTTATCTTTGGGGTCGGGGCGGTGATTGCGCCGCGTGCCGGAGTCGTGGGAGTCTCTCCTCTCTCGGGTCGGTGCTGCAGGCGCGGAGGCGTACTGGCGTCTGAGCGATGGTCGTCCCCTGGAGGAGCGCATGTGTTTGCCTTCTTGTGCATCGCGATGCCGGTGCTTTCTTTCGCGTGCTTCTTCCTCGTAATCGTATTCCGAAGAGTCCGAGAAGGCTTCCGAATCTTCTGATTCGTCTCTGGGGTATGCGCCGGGGATTGTGGGATGTCGGAGCGTTTGCTGCCGACCGGAGTACCTGCGCCGTGGAGCCGGCGCCGGCTGCATAATCACGACCGGGGCTGGCTGAGTTGGTGCTGAGGGCCAACCGCTCGGGTACGCTGAGTGGCCTCCGAACGTTGCAGACGTGGGAGAGGGCGTGGTTGGAGAAGGTTGAGGGTACTGATAGTGAGTCGGGTATGAAGGCATGGTCGGAGAAGGCGAATGATACGCGACACGGGGGGCGTACGGCGGCGCGGTCGTGTACTGGAAATCCTGCTGATATTGACGTGGTTGTTGATGCTGATAAAAGGGGACTGTGTTGGCATATTGGATATTTTGATACGCCGACGCAGCGGGCGGAGGCTGTTGCATCCCGTTGACGCTCGCATATGGATGCCCATGAAAACTGGTCGGTCGCGACCTTGCGACAGGGACTTGCCTTGGATACATGTGAGGTCCAGCCATGGGGGTCGGTGGACGCTGCATCGGCGGAGTGAACGAAGACAACACGCGAGCCCACTGCGCCATATCAGGCGGGTATTGCGGGTAGCTGTGTTGAGGAGGAGGGGGAGGCATCATAGGCTGCTGATGCTGCTGCTGCTGTTGGCCGGAGAAGGCGTATGGTTGTGACATGCTGTGACGACGCTGCGACGACCGCACCCTGTGACACTCGTCATGTTGGCACACCAAGTCTGCACATGGCATCCTGAGTTCAGGCCGCGAGCTAGACCTGGCAGCATCCTTCTCCTTGCTCCGTTGACTGTCGCTGCGATGTAACACCGGTTTGGACCTCGCAGTGCGCTCCGTGACCGTCGGCTTCGAGGCGGGTGTCTGAACCGTGAGCGCCGGTTTTGCCGTATGCGTGCCGCTGATATGCGATGAGTATCCGGAATCGCTTGCAACATCACGAGGGATGAAGTGATACCTGACTCGTGTCTTTGGCCGTGTCGTGCTCGTTGACTTCCTTCGCGCTTCCTTTTTCGTACCGGGCTTCTCGGTGCTTACCTCGCTGTCGTAGTCCTCACACCGCGCGACCTGAGGCGCGCCGCCCGACATGATGTTGGACGATCGCTGAAGGAGTGTTGGACTTTAGCTTGGCGCGTCGGCGCAAACCAGGCTGTCCCGCCTGGAGGGCGGCACCGGCCCTTCTAATAACTAACAATGTCGTTGCGGAGTCCAGTACAAGTCCAAGAGACCAGAAGTAAAATGTTGACGCACTTCACAGTGCACCAGAAACATCGTCAAGGAAAGAGAAAAGATCTGCAAATGACTGTTTGCTCATGCAAACGGGAAAGAGGGCCTCTTCTGGTCATGCGAGAGAGTGGGGGCCAGTGGAAATCTCGAATCAGCTCGTCCGGTGAAAGGCTGCAGCGCGCGCCACAGGAGGAAAGGTACAGGCGTTTGATGTATGCTGCAGGAAAGAGGACCTAGGAGAGGGGGGTTGGCGGAGAGGTGCAGAATGAGGAAAGAGAGTCACAAGGGTAAGAGATGCGACGATACCGTTTGTGCTGCGATGGAGGCCCAACGGGCGGGGGATTGTGAAGGGGCGGATTATTATACTCGCCTCGACTGGGCTGCGATGAGCGCGACGCAGGCGCGGGCGAGTCCAGCGATACATGCCAGAGGTACAACGAAGCTGCATATGGCAGGCCAATAGCGTGGATGCGCGCGCTGTTTGCCGTGAGCTTTGCGGCCTGCAGCCTTGGTGTGGTGGCACAAGCGTCATAGGTCGGGAGGCCGTCCTATTCGCCTACGCTGTCGTCCACTGGGCAGGCAGTTGGTGATGGAGGAGTGGAGGTGAAGTTTGGGTGACGGCTGTAGGCAGCCAGAGACAGCGCACGGGCCAGTGTCTGGGCACGTTGCCTTCATTTGGAACATTGCTCGCGCCTATTGTTCCATCATTGTTGAATGCACAATAGCTTTCAGTTCAGTACCGTCAGTACCTAGGTACCTAAACGACGCAAGGGGTAACACCTTCCAAATCAACGCCGCACCCAAGCAGCGTCCATAGGATCACCATCCATGACCCCAGCATCCACCGAAAGGCGGTGAAGGAGCCTTTTCGCACCGTCCTATCATTACGTTCCGTTCATACGAGAGCGCTGCAGGGAGCCAGACGTCGTTGTCCGCATTGCATCCATCGTCCCGGATAGATCGATCCCGCCGGGGTGGGAAACGCATGCTGTGTCACCAGTCCCGGGAATTCGCATAAGAGGACTGGAGCGAACGCACAATATGTGTCCAAAGGTGCGCCAATCGACCCGAGCCGCGGTGTCGTACAGTACACGTCATGGCGAGGAACGGTTTGTGAGTGTTGTACGGTGGCGGCAGGGCTGCGTGCTTCACCTTCCACCTGATCTGAGTGACGGACGTATGCTTGGCCTTGTTTGATGATGAACATGAAGCTACCTCGTGAAGAGTGTTGGTGAAAGGCGTGGGTCCAGAGAGTGAACTCTAGAGTAGAAAATACATAAGGTGGCTCTACAGATGTAAGCAGCAGCACCTTGTAGGTGTATCATATATAGTTGAGATGAGTCTTCCCCCTCTAGCAGCACTCGCGAGCGCTATCCTAACTGACCGGCACAGCATTAGGGTCCCGATTAAGCAGATCCAAGAACCCCCACCAGTCCGCGGGATTCTGGTTGACGTCGCCAGTCATACCATTCACGCCCGGCGCCATGTCATTGACAAACCACGCAGCATCAATCATATTGAACGAGCCCATGTCCGAAAGCGAATCCTGTCCTCCTTGGAACGGGTTGTAATTCTGCTGTGGCACGACGACACTGCTCGACCGGCTACTGCCCGGCTTGGTGACGAAAGATCGCAGGACCTGGATGAACGCCGGCTCCATCTGCAGCGACTTTCCGAGCGAAAGCTGGGTCGTGCGATACGCATCCCAAGACCTCAGCGTCAGCTCCCCCAAGGCCATGTGGAGGGCGCGGCGTTGCGTTGTCATGTGCGGATGATTGACAAACACCTTTTCGATCTTGTCCCAGATCTCGTCGTCTTGATGTCCCGCCGGATCGCGCCAGATCTCGTTCAGAATCCAGATCAGTGCATCCCATTGAAAGAAGGCCTGGAGGTGCCAGAAGAAGCGCTTCAGATTGTAATTCTGCTGCGCGGCGATGTCGTAATCGATGATCTTCTCTGCCAGTATCCACAAATCTTTCCGCTCCTCGTCGGGCAAGTTAGGTGTCTTTTTCGCCTGAGACAATCGGATGCGCAGACGACCAGAGTTGGCGGCAGTGCGCGCCATCAGACCCACGAGATTATGGAGAGGATCTGCAAAGTCGCAAAAGCGTAGGTACTTCGTTTCCATCTCCGTCTCGAGCTCATCGAGCTGGCGTTCCCAGTCCGCGACCAGCTCGTCTTCCACGCGTTCGGAGAGGCCGGTGAGGAACGGTACGGGAGGGTTGTTGCGCCGCTGCAGAAACCTGCCAAATTCCGTACGTGCCAAGCAAAAGATTAGCTCGGTCGCTCCGATTCGAGCCTGCGGAGGCTCGGTCATGTCTGGCCACATGTCGGAATCGTTGATATTGGTCGGCTGCTTGGTGTTGAACGAGTCAGGCGCGACTGACATGCCAGTGCCGCAAAGTTGACCCTATGTGCAGACTGTCAGCGGTGCATAGCGTGAGGGGCAGGGTGGCGTACAGCTAAGCCATCGAGAGGCAGGATTTGCCAGAATACGCGCCTCCTCATCTGGACGACGAAAGGTTTTAGTCCTTGATCCTCACCGTCTCCTGTTTGCAGATGGTCAGCACGCTTCTCAACTCCCGAAGACACCGGCGACGAAAAGTCCAGCACGTACGGTGAAGGCCCATTCTCTGCGCAAGGCGCACCGCAATTCCCGTACATATCCAAAAGGTATGCGGATCGCACGTGTTTCGTACCGACAACAGAAACAAAAGATAGGCCTGCAGCACCATAATGTCTGTTGTCCGCAGGAAGTTTGCGTTGACCAGAGCTTGGCGCAGGGCATCATAGTATGTTGCCGTCAGCTTCGACTTAGGCATGCCCAGGCGTTTCTGGCATTCTTCGGGGTCCATCACTGTGACGCTGAAATGATAGAGAGCGAAGAGGAGAGCCTCGGTGGCTTTGGAGACGGTACTGGGGTTGGCTGCTCCGCGCCGCAACGTTGTCACCGCGGAAGGCACGTGAATCAACTTGACCAAAGGGTCGATTTGCTGAAGGGTCGAGTTAGCGACAGGAGAAAAGATGAAAGTTCTTTGGGGCAAAAGATGTACCTCGACATAGACCTTCCAAAGCTCCATAGCGACTTCGTACGAAGGATGCAAGGACAGCAGATTCGTAGCGCTAGAGCCAAAAGCAAGAAAGGCTGCGGAGAAGGGATCAGCGGCGGGCGTGGGTTGGAGCGTCGCAGACTCATGTGACTCCTGGGGGTCGTCGTCTTCCTCATCAGAAGAGGGGTGAAAGTTGTGCTCGCCGAGGTTCTGCCAGAGATTACTGTAAATGTAGCGGGTTTTGCCACGCTCTTCGACCAGCTTGCCTGGGTTCGGGGGATCCAGAAAGCTTTTGGATGTGTAGAACGGAGTTGAGAGAGATGCAGACACAGAAGGCGGTCCGGAAGACTTGGACGCGCCCTCGGTTTCGGGCAGTAGATTGTTCTCGCGCAGCAGCGCCTCTGCTCGCTCCAGGCGCTCGTACACATCCGCATCTGGACCAGCGACCGGCTTGCGTTTGCGCTTTCTCGGCGCCGGGCCCTCGTTGTATTCGCAGGTCAATTTGCCCCTGCGACACGTCGAGCAGACGGGAAGCAGCTTGTCGCATTTCACCTTTCGCTTCGTGCAGGTGACGCACGCATAGGACATGTGCTCCTCCGGAGAGTCCATTGAAGCCTTAGAAGCTGGCGCCGGGGCGATTGGCACTGGCTGCGACGGCCCCGTCCCTGGCGTTGTCTCGGACATTGTCTGTGAGCGATGTTGAGCGTGATGCGCAGAGCTGAAAGATGAGTCGTGGTCGGCTAGGCTGCAAGCTGTCCGCCTTCATCTAAGTTGCATCGGCTAAAGTCCAGTGCAGCACACGTGCAGCCAATGCCAAGCTGAGCTGGGCACGCGGATTTCAGTACGACACGCGAACTATTCGTACCGGCTTCTCGTGCAGCCTTACCGTGTTCACGATCACATGATTTTCTACTGTCATTCTCCACGGCTATGCCGCGTACACATTCTCAGCAAGTACACTGATTGGTCTGGATTACTCGAGTGCATAGAGTACTTGTTAAATTCCTCTATTGAAAATTTTTCGGCTCTTTCCCAGGATTCTGCTCGGCATTGTTCCAATCATGGTCCGGCGGGACTGGTATCGTAGCATACTGCAACATCGCCCTGCTCGCGATTCCCGGCGTGATCTTCCCATCCGATGCCACCTTCTTCATCATCTCAGCCATCAGTCGGAAATAATTGATATAGAAAGCCGGAGTGAAGGTGTTGAGCATAACAACATCCCCGTCGCTCTCATTGCCGAAGGTATGCGGTGATAGCGGCGGGACGACAACAAGATCGCCCTCGCCGGCCTCGAACTTCGAGTCTCGTGAGTAGAAGGTTGCGGTGCCTTTGATCACCAGGAAGGTCTCGTCGTGCATTTGATGCCAGTGTTGCACCGGTCCGGGTAGGCGTGGAGGCAGGTAGATTTTGACGATGCTGACGCGGTTGTCGGTTGATCGGCCGTCTTCTAGCACCTCCAACTTGATCGGCCCGAGCATGATGATTTCGTGCTCTTTCGAAGCGTTCTTCTTGAGGATAACGTTCTCCGATGGCTGGTCTGAGAACGTTGGGCCGTTCATCAAGGGTGCCATTGTGGATGGCTCGGAGCTGGCGCAACGATGAGATTGTTCTGGTGAGAAGAGAAGGGACGAGCTTCGGTGGACAGTGGCCTTTCTCTTCGGTGATATCACACTAAGCTGCGACGAGGATGAAATGACCAAGGAGGGGTTATGTAAACGAAGGCTGTCTTGACAATGAGAGAGTGGCGGCCGTACCTAGGCTTTGGTAAATCCGGTGCTGACTGTAAAGCATGTAACTTATCCGGTCCGAGCGGCGTTGGTAAACCCGGCGCCTACACATCACGTACCGCTTTGCACTTTGTAGCGGTAGCTGATGTGTGAGGGTCGTGTATGAGCTCTCTCTGATTAATCAGTAGTATGGTGAAGATGAAGAGGACGTTTTACAAGATTAGAGGGCGAGTTCAAATGCCATGGAAAGCAATCAGGGAATGGTCTTTGCATTCATCACGTCTGTTCACAGAGCGAACCATTATGCCTCCACGACGAGTACTCGACGGAGTAAGCAGGCCCCCGTTCATCTCACTAGTAGGGATTCGAACTGTAGTTCCCCGGTCCAGTGTATACTCCGCTCTGGGTGCTATAGTCGCTTACTTCGGTGAGTGACGATATCCTTCCCAAAAGAAACTCGAGCATGCGGAACGCCGCGCCGGGAATATACTAGAACGGAGAGGTCAGTCAGGCGTTACGACAACTCGATTGAGGCAGAGAGTCTCGCATACCTCTGGGATTTCGTGGCCGGAATGATACTATCGTGTTAAGTCTCGTGTCAGCGTGGGTTCTTCGCATGAAGTGAGCGGGGAAAAGACCGTACCACTTCAGCAAAGGTCAGGCCTCTTTCGGAGTGCGTGATGCCAAGGTAACCTGCGCCAGCAAAGTCTGTCACGACTGGGCCGGGGATGGGTTGATTTTGCTGTTTGACGTCAGCATACAACGGTCGACGGAGGAGTGAAAGGGCACCATACGATATCGTTAATAATCTGCTGCAAGCCAGGGTGGTACGGCACGTAGAAATTATCCGAAGGCTTAGTCTGGAAGCCCTGCGCCCCATTCCATGTCATGTTCTGAATGGTGACGAGCGTGCCGTTCGTGAGGAGGAGGAAGTCGTACTGCCCGGCACCGATCAAGACATTGTTGGTCATTTCGATGACGTGGGGAAGGGGGCCCAGCGCGGAAGGAATGGAGTCACCGTCAAAGTCGATGCCGAGATTGTTGTCTCCGCAGCTCACGTAGTTGGTGGGCGGGGCGTGGATCGCTTTCTGGACGTCGGTTCTGTTGAAGTAGTTGCTGCGCAGTAGCTCGATTGCTCGAGCGACCTGTTTGTGTCTGGGAGGAGTCATACCGAGGACCCCATCCGAGGGATGGGAAACCGAAGACGTCCCAGAGATACGGACAGAAGTCGGTGATGTGGTAAACATTGAAGCACGGGTTGATTCTGATGGCGGCATCGACAGCCCAGGCCCACGTATTGCAGTTCTCGTCGTTGAGCGGAGGGGCGTTGGGCAATTTGCCGGTCGGTGGGTAGACCAAGGATTTCTCCATGAACTCGGTGTAGCCACATCTGTCGTTCGCTTCGTTGAGCCAGTCAATGGTGGATTGATTGAGTCCAAAGATCGGCGCGAGATTGTTAACAAAGCCGACTGCTGGGGCAGTGGTCATCACCTGGTCCTCGTTGATGGAGGGATCGTTAATTTGGATGCCTTTGACGTTGTAGTAATCCGTGTTGTTGGCCATGAGCATTTCATAGGCCATATACGGGACTGTCCCGACGGTCAGCCGAACTCAGCACTGGTGGCAGTCGTCCGTCACCTACTGTATTGACCGGCGTAGCTTTCACCAGTGAAGTACACTTTCCTGCCCACGAGGTCAAAGGTCTCCATGAAGTTCTGCGTCATGGACATCAGCACTGCACAGTCCGATCGCCTCAATCTGAGGTATAATCGTGATGGGTATTGCTCACCTTCCAGAAACCCATAAAGTCTAGTGCGATGTCGACCTCGTTCTTCAGCTTTTTAGGAGCGCCTTTGGCGTATGGGCTAAAACCCGTTCCGATGGGTTGATCGACTATTATCACTCTTTAGTCGCTGGCAATCGTGGGTTACTTCTTGTTCTAATTGCTTACCCCAGACCTGTTGAGCGCGTTCAGTCAGTCATAGTCCCGCGGTCCATAGTCAATATGCGGAACTCACCATATTCGTCAGATTGACCCATGAGTACGGATTCCTGCGTATATCATTCAGCCAACACTCCCGACATACCACTAGCGTCCCACGCACGCATATGGCCTGTAAGTGCCAGGCTGCCATAAAAATGGCCCGTTCTCTTGCAGCAGCCCCAGCATGGAGCTGCAGCCGGGTCCGCCATTCAACCAGATGACAATCTCGTCGCTCGCGTTCACATTGGAGGAGGGGAAGAACCAGAAGAAGAGCTGGTTCTCGTCGGTCGAGTTATCGGAGATGGAGAGAGTGCCGGCGTAGGACTCGCCGATGTCGAAGTTAACGTCGGGAATGCCGGTGCCGTCGACTTCGAATTCTGTGGGAAGGAAACGCGTTGATTAGAAGAAGGTCTAAGCACTTATCGTATTGGAGCAAACGTACGGGCGGTCTTGTTGTTTGAGTGGAGCTTCGTGCCGTGGTTGCTGCTGGCACGCTTGAAGATCTCTGGGTTGGCCGCGCTCTTCTTTTGCGAGTTGAAACGTTTGGCGAGGTTGTGGGGGCTCTGGAGCGCAGTGCTCACACCGAGCAACGCGGCAATCCAAAACAACGTCTTCTGCATCGTGAAGAAATGCACCAGCTGTGGTCAAGCGACTGGAGAAAGCAGACAAGAGGGGGAGGAGACAAGAACACGAGCACCTACATTACGACGGGCAGGCTGCCACTTTTCTACTTTTCCACGAGCTAGCTCGAGTGTAGTGGCCTGCCTAATTCAGGTACGAGAGGGTGGAATGGTTGCATCGCACAATCGCGTGTAAACCCAATCAGTCCGTTGCCGTGATAAACTAGCCCGCCCGCCTGCCCCCACGGCGGAGAAGCTTTCTAGAAGGGCTTTAGCACGACTGCGTGACGTCGAGCAGGGCTCTTAGAGCCTGTTAGCGCAGATGCAAGGACCCCTTGAGCCGCCGACAGCTCGACGAGTGGTAGGGGAGGGTTTCCATGGAAATGAGAAGCTCTGCGCGGTTTGCCATTGCGGGTGGCGTCTTTCGGACTGCGGTAAGGAGGCAATTGATCCCCGGGTAATAACAGTTGATGGCTGTCATTTGTCTCAGGGCCAATGGCAGAATTCCCCGATGAGTTATCGCCCAGAAACATCATCGCGTTTGAGCCGAGGCCGCCGGTGTCGTAACCAGTGGAGTGGCGGCGATCTACCCGCGGGACCCGACCGCGTTGCAACATCGAGGCAGGTAGTGGCGTGAACAATGTGGGGTTGCAAGTGCTCGTGTGCGCCTGCTCTGATTACTTTGCCTCGCGATACGGGCGATGCATGCCCGTAGGATCAACGTAAGACGCTCTTGATGCACGTTCTTAACGCTTGGACAAGTCGCATTGTCGTATCTCCGATAGCTGGACGACGTCAAGCGTGAAGAAGTCCTGTGTAGATCATTTTGCATGGCCATTGTGCTCGGTCCACGGATGAGCGATTTTGAACCAGAGGTCTCCACATCGCCGTACTCGAGAATTCTAGGCACAGCATAGTGCCAGAACATCGCGGGGCCCATAGTCGGAGACCTTGCTGGCATCGGCACAGCACGGAGTTTGCGGGATGGTTGCATTTCCGTCAAGTGGCTGTTCGAAATCGCAGGCCTCGCGTAGACTGTGTAAGCACCTTTTGTGATCAGTAAGCCGCGTCCTCGAGATCATTGATCTTGGGTGATGGTTGCATCGAGGAGTACATGCCTGGAGAGCAGGGAGCGAGTTGAGGTATTTGGATTTCTGGTCAAGTATGGGATGAAGTGCAATTAAGAATGAATAGGCTGTAGCGGTAGAGCTCAAGTTGATCGTCTTACTCATAATTACTACACAGGGAACAGAGCGAAATAAGTCGACGCGGTATGCTTAAACCAACCACAACCCGCCACATACAGGACGCCTTACGAGGCTGAATGCGGATCCTGAAGAATGTGCCGGAATGTATTCAGATACTTTTCACAGTCCCTACACAATGAGGTTCCCCACCTACGGGCTGGAATACTTGTACTCATACTGCTCCTTCGCTTTATGCATCAAGCCCTGCAAGTGCTCATGCTTCTCCTTGAACTCTTGATCACTCTTCAGCTTCTCCTGGAAGGGCTCATTGGTGATGCCCGGCTCCGACGGAACCGCCAGGCCCTTCTTGACCGCCGGCCGCGCGGCAATCTTCTTCCACCACTTGTGCAAGTGCGGGAAAGAGTCGAGGTCCACGCCGGCGAAGTAGGCGACGTTGACCCACGAGAAGCTGGCGATGTCGGCGATGCTGTACTTGCCGCCGACAAGGTACTCGTTGTCTTTGAGGCGCGCATCAAGGATGCCGTAGAGGCGCTCCGTCTCGCCCACGTAGCGTTGCGTGGGGTAGGGGATTCGTTCTTTCGCAAGGCGGTAGAAGTGGTTGGCTTGGCCTTGCCTGTGCATTGTTAGCCTCGAACATCAGTGTTGAGCAGAGGAGAAAGACTGACATAGGTCCGAGACCTCCATGTTGCCAAGCGACCCATTGCTCGCACAGCGAGAGCTCCGGGTCCTTGGTGAATGAGAGCTTGTGCTCCGGGTCGAAATGCCTGGTCAAGTACGACATGATCGCCGATCCCTCCATGATTCCTTTGCAACGTCAACATTGAGCTCGTAGTTCAATACTGTCCTTGATGCTACGTACCCAAATCGCCTCTGTCATGGTCGATGAGCACGGGAATCCGGCCATTCGGTCCGTACTTGGTAAACCACGGCTCCTTCTGAATATTCTCGCCAATGTTGATGCTCTGGAAGACGTAATCCGGCTTGCCGTAGGCCTCTTTCAGCTCCTCCAAGATAATGGAGGCCTTGTGACCTAGACGAAGATATCAACAACCACGCTCGACTCCACTGCAAGAAAGCTCATGACCCACCATTGGGCGTGCCAAACGTCAAAAGCTCCAGCCCACTGGTGGCAATGGTTCCGTTGGGTCTCGACATGTCGCTTTGGCTTCTTCTTGCGCCGCTGACGGAGTTGAGGATACTGTTGAGGGGGAAAGAGGGGGTGGATGGGAGGAAGTGTCTGGTGGTTTGTTGGAGACGCAGGAGAGGGCGATACATGAAGGAAGCCAGGATGAGCACGAAGACGAGCCTAAATAACGGGCGCATGGAGAGGTACCGGGGGACTTGGTTGCATCAGCCGAGTCGGGGTCTTCCGCCTATGATGGTGGGAGGAGGTGGTGATGTGGCTGTCGCCGTGACGTCACAATCAAATAAATGACATGCAGGTGTGGAATAAATGACATGCAACACATGGGGTGAGCTCCAGTCGGCCGGCTCCAATAGAAGATCGCAGGATGGAGAATGGAGGCGAGTCCATACAGACGCGATGCCATTGAGATCCATCCATACAGTCACGGCTAACAATCAACTACTTCCCCTCCTCCCCCTCAAACTCCACCAGCGCAACGCCACTCTTACACAAATCGCCCGCCTTGTGCACCACCCGGCTAATCTTGCCATCCTGCGGACTGCGAATCACCGTCTCCATCTTCATGCTCTCGATCACCACCAGCGCCTGGTTCTTCTTGACCTCCTGCCCCTCCTCGACCTCCACCCTCAGCACCTTGCACGGCATCGGGGCCAGCACGGAATGCGTGAGATCCTTCATGCCCAGCGCCTTCTCCGCCCATTTCGGCGTTTGCAGGTGCAGGCGGATCTGCCGGCCTTGCTGGAAGAGGCTGAGGTAGTTGGTCTCCGGGTCTTTGATGAGTGTTGTTTCTAGGCGAGTGTGCGGGAAGAAGGATTGGAGGGTGTGTGTCTTGGGGTCGTAGTGGGATGTGATGGTGTATGTCTGGTCCTGGACGGTAACGTCGAAAGTAGTCGGGGTCGTCTTCAGCACGCGCACCAGTGTCGGCGCATTCTTCACCTGCGGATCTGACGAGGTCTCCACGATGGGAAATTCTCGAGGTTGTGGCGACTTGGTGAAGCCGATGGTCTGCAGCGGTACGGATGGTGCTGTCGCCTGGGTGCTGGCCAACTCAGCCTCGTAGAGTCCCACGGCGGCTTGTGCGAATGTCTCTGGCGTGACAGGCACCTGCTTGAAAAGCTCATCGTGATGCTTGGGAATGTAGCCCGTTTCGACATCTCCGTTGATGAAGTCCTGGCTTGTGCAGACTCGCTTCAAGAAGTCAATGTTGGTGAGCGGTCCGGCAATCTCGTACTGCTCGAGGGCAGCATTGAGCTTCTGCAGAGCAGCCTTGCGGTCATGTGCGTGGACGATGAGTTTGGCAATCATCGGGTCGTAATGGGAAGACACCTCATCTCCCTCCACAAATCCAGCGTCAATGCGAACCGTTTCCGTAGGCGTAGGAGTCTTCAGGTGCAGGAGCTTGCCGGTCGAGGGGATAAAGTTCATACTCGGGTCTTCCGCATAGATTCTCGCTTCGATGGCGTGACCTCTGCTTTTGATGCGCTCGTGCACCTCTTCTTGTGTGAGGGGGAGTTTGCCGCCTTCCGCAACAATAATCTGCCACCGGACGAGATCTTCGCCCGTCACCATCTCGGTAGCGGGATGCTCGACTTGTAGACGGGTGTTCATCTCCATGAAGAAGAACTCATCGCTGTCGTTGTCGAAGATGAACTCGACCGTGCCGGCACCTTCGTAACCCACCGCAAGCGCAGCCTGCCTCGCCTTCTCCCACAGATCTTGTCTGACATCTTCGGCAAGATTGGGCGCAGGAGACTCTTCAAGAATCTTCTGATGCCGACGTTGCACACTGCAGTCTCGCTCCCCAAGCGCCACGCAGTTACCGTGCTGATCCGCAAAAACCTGCACCTCGATGTGCCGGGGCGTGGTGATGTACTTCTCCACCAACATCACATCATCCCCAAAGCTCGATCGGGCTTCCGACTTGGCGTTGTCGAGCTGCTGATGGAATTCCTCGGGTTTCATCACGATTCGCATTCCCTTTCCACCACCGCCCTTGACGGCTTTCAAGAGCACAGGATAGCCCATCTTCTCCGCCTCGCTCTCGAGATGCTTCGGGTCCTGGTTCTTGCCATGGTAGCCAGGAATGCAGGGAACACCAGCGTCGATCATGATCTCCTTGGACCGGCTTTTGTCGCCCATGGCGTCGATGGCTTTCCAAGGCGGACCGATGAATTTGACACCCGCATCCGTGCAGGCTTTGGCAAAGGCCGCATTTTCACTCAAGAAGCCGTAGCCGGGATGGATAGCCTGACATCCATTCTCGCGCGCAACCTGGATGATGCGCTCGCCGTTGAGATACTGGTCCGTGCTGCCCAGGTTGACAGCGAAGGGAGAGCTCAAGGCATGCTGACTGTTGCGGTCCGGGTCGGTGTAGAGCGTGGTGGTTCGGATGCCGTACTGCGAGGCAGTCTTGCCGACTCTCAGCGCAATCTCACCACGATTGGCGATGAGGATGGATTTCAATGGCTCGATTGGCTCCGGGCCAGCAGACGTGGCTGATGTTGTGCTGTTCCACCGCCGGCTCCGCTGCCGCAGAACGGAGGCTTTGGAGCCTCTCAGTGCTCGAACGCGTGCGACGGACGACATGGAGCTCTCAGACGCCGCAGCATTCACAATCTGCCTAGATTCAGAAAAATTCGTGATATGTCTGAGAAAAATAAATACGAGCAGTATACGGCATGTTTGCTCTTTAAGCCGCGGCTAGGCGTTTGCAGCTGGACTTGATCTCGTCTCGTCCCGGCCCGGACCTTCCCTCCTCCCGCCCGCCCGCCCCCACTGCTCCTTCCTCCGCGCGAATCGAACGCGTGCTGCTCGCCTGGAGCCAACCAACACATGGCCAAGGCATCCTCCCCAGCAAACACACCTCTTACGCATGCATGCAACATCCCTCGGAGGACGGTGATTTCCGAACGCGAAGTACGTTCGAGTCTGTCCAAGCTCGAGCGTGCAATCACCTTCAGCTCCGAATCTTCTCTACACTAGACGACACTCGTATGACGATTCACGGAAACGATTGCATCTCAATGCTGAGAGTCGTCTTGGGAGGCTTAGGCAGCACTGGAGACTGAGAGCTACGCGTCTCCAGTCTCTCCTGCCAGAATCCCGCCTTCCAATTGCTATCTTGGCGTTGCGTACCACGGTCATTCACGCTCGTGATATCAGCTCTTCACCCATCACCCTGGCAGTGAGCATTTGCAAGCATGGGAGACGATGACTACGGAGACTTCGAAGACGTCCTCGACTGGATCTACGTGGAAGATGATTACACTTTAGCGGACGAACTCGCCGAATCCCAGATTCCGGACCCCGGCTATACCGGTACTGCGGGAGAGGTGGATGTCTTCGACCCGGACGAATACGATGTCTACGATTATTGGGAGGATCTGAAGTACGATGATGATTCGTATTGGGAGTATGCAGGCGCTGTGGGACACAAGAGGAAGCGTAAAGTCGAACAGTCGGGAGAGAGTGGTGGGAAGAAGAGACGGAAGTTGACTTTGGAAGAGACGGGCGGGGACAATGTGCGCTTCGTGGGGATGTCAGTCAGATGCAGTCTTAGCAAGGGCAAGACGCCGCGCATACGGAAAGAGAGGGCTGTCGCGTTACTACCGAATTGGCGGGAGAGGTTCTCAAATGATGGCGAGGTCTTTACTGCGAAGGAGATGCCACCGGAGATGAAGAATGCGGCAGAAGCTGAGGAACATGAGGGTTCGCCGGCTGCTTCTGGTTTGGAAGAATGGGCGGAAGACGGAGACGAGGCGGGCGACGAGGAAGATCTACAATCCCAGCTAGCCTCCCTCGATCCCGAAATGCTGAAAGCCATTCTACGAGAGAAGCTCGGCGACGGCCTGGATGAGAGCGCCTTCATGCAGACAATCAGCAAGATGCTCTCTGGCGAGGCTGGCGCGGAGGACGCCGCTGGAGCACTAGCCGACAGTCTGCTCAATCAGGCCACTGGAGGCAACAACGCTGCTCTATCCGGCTGGCTCTCGCAGCAGGGTGTCTCACTGGAAGCCGAGGAGGACGACAACGATGACGATGTAAATGACGACAACCCACCTCCTCAACCACCCACGCACGCCGATCAACTCACTAAGGTGCATGGAGTCCAGCAATCTCCCTCAGACAGCGTGATCGATACGATCAAAACCACTGGAGCATCACAAATTGACCTCGCCGCACACTCACCCTCTTCGACTACCAAGACGAAGAAACGAGCGGCGCCGTCGTCCGAAAACCTGAACCACGCAACGAACAAGAAACACAGACGAGAAATGACCATCAACACGGCCACGCCAGCTCATGAACCGAACGGCGATGCGGTAGAGACCAAACAGATCCCCGCCGACGACCCAAGTCCACCCACCCAGCCAGGCGCAGAATATGGCGACAGCACTCAGCGGAAAGCTTCCGGACGGAATCCCCGCAAGCGAAAAGGCCACTCGGAGCCGGACGAAGCGGAAAGCGGCGTGGTCAAGAAGCAAGCTCGCAAGATCGCGGCTCCCGCTGATGCTGTCGCCAGACGGACGAGGAGCGCCAGAGCCGCGGCCAAGGGCGGGAAGTAGGACTTCGTTGGCAGTAGGCAGGCCGCTCGAACAGCGAGTGCTGACTGCGTAGATGCTTCTCGAGTAGATAGTCACGCCTCAATGAAAATTTTCTGAATGCAATGCTCAATACTGGAATGAATCAGTGTTGTCACTCCCAGTGAACTCCTCCGCCCTATTCAACTGCCGCCCGCTAGATGAAACTTCCCATCCCCAACCCAACACCAAACCCACCCATCAACTACCGCTCAAACATTGTAGTCTTCTCAACATCACTCGTCCCCCCAGGCGTACTCGGCACCGCCGCCGCCGACCCACCCGCCTCACCCCCAACAGGCTCATCCAACAAACTAGGCTCGGTCTTAAGACTCGCAGCCCCAGCATCAGCCTCAGCGCCCTCAAGCAAATCCCTCCCATGATCGTCGCCATCCTCGTCGTCATCCTCCTCCGTCCCGCGCGTCGTGCCGCCCCGATCAATCTCCTTTTGCGCCTCGTCCATGCGCCTCCGCACCTCGACTGCAACGCGCATCCCGTCCGTGACGATGTTATCGAGCATGCCGCGCAGGCCCTTGCCAGGTGGGACGACGCCTGCGCTCGCGCCTCCGGGGCTGAGAGCAGGGATGGCGGGGCCGCCGGGCGTGGCGAGCTTGCCGCTGTGGGTGAGGAAGGAGGGGGATGTCACTGTTGAGCTGGGCAGCGGGGCGTCGGCCAGGTGGAAGGAGTTGGCGAAGCCGGAGTCGAAGAAGGATTCCAGCGTTTCGTCGGCGAGCACGAGCATGCGGAAAGTGGGGAGGGTAATGTGGACTGGGGAGGAGGGGTCGAGGGCGGCGTTGGCGGCAACGGCTTGGGGTTTTGGGGTGCTTTGGCCGAAGGCGTTTGGGGAGGGGCGGGAGAGGGGGGAGTTTGCCGCTGCGTCTGTGGGAGTTTGTGGAGCGTCTTCTAGGTCGAGGAGGTTGGCGGGGGTGTCTTGGACTGTGGGTTTGTCCATTGCGGATGTGACGCCGTCTTCGGCTTGGCGAGATGGGTGGTCTGGATCGGCGTATTCGAAGCAGCGGCGGATAAAGGCCGAGACGGCGGAGAGGAATTGCTCGTCTTTGTTCTCCCTCCGCTTGCCTTCCGGACCCAGCTCGCCATCGTTCATGCTGGTCATGCTCGGGCTGGATGACAGTCCGTCGTTGACCCCTCGTCTCGACAGGAACAGCAGCGCCTCTGACATCCGTAAGATGCCCTCGCGGTCGACTTTGCCATCTGCATCGTCGTCGTACAGTTCGAAGAAGTAGGCGATGCTGCTCATGATATCGCGGTTCCCTTTGATGGGAGCCAGGCCGGAAACAACGTTCTGCAGTGTGAGAGCAGAGCCTCCCTCGAGGTCCCACTTCTTGAACAATCGCTGCATGAAGTCGTGATCTGCGGGCTCCGGTCCCGATCCCCACGGGGACGTGTTCAGTGGCTTGGCTTTCAAGGTGTGGAAATAGCCATTCTGCGACTTGTGCGCGCTGTCGTCTTTCGTTGGCGAGCTGGGTGAGTCCGTCACGGCCCATCTCGCGACGCCTGCTAGGAACTCTCTGAACGCATCGTAGTCCATTTGACTGGGACTAGGTCCAAGCGCCACGCGACCAATCTCTGGAGCATTGCCGGACGCGCCATGAACAATATCGGACGCCTTTTGCTTTGCGGCTTTCTTCTTCCGGTCGCTTTCCTCCTGAAGAAGCTTCGCTCGCTGCTCTCGCTCGTAGAGCACGGTGAAAAAGCGGTCATACAGAAAGCCGAGATCGTTCGTGCTCAGCTTCTTGCTCTCGGGACCGAGATTCCTGATAGACGTACGTTTGGCGAAAGACTCAATGTTCTCGAGGATGGCAGCTTTGTGCTTCGACCGCTGCTCCAAGATGGCGCTCTGTGTGATGCCCTCGAACTCCTTGAAAGCCGTGACCATCAACGCCTGGAAATTGGTGATTGCTCTATGCTTGGGATTCTCCGATTTGGGATGCGCCGAGTCGCCCAAATGCGCAAAGTACGTTTTGAGCACCGAGATGAATGCGCCATCGTCTGCAGCTTCGAGAAGCTCTTCTCCGTTGATGCGTAGAATTGCAAGGCCGATCTGGAATAGAACCCTAGGTCCCTCAAGGAAGAAAACGTCCAGAACTCGGAAGGCGAAGATCAAGGGCATGCTGTTGATGTACAAAGAGAGAAACCAAGGCAGAGAGACGACCGATAATTGCACGTCGTTGCTTGATAGGTGTTCCCACAGAATCGGCATTGTCTTCTCGACCAGGCTCTCGAATACTTTCTGATCCAGGAGAGTTCCGTACATGGTCGTCGAATAGTATCCCGGAAGCAGTCTATCGCACAGCACTGACAGGATGTAGAAGGCCTGAGGCTCGGAGAGATAGATCAACAAGGCCGCGACAACGATGTTCATCGCTTGACAGTAGCCAACTTCGGGATTCTCCCAGCTGTAGGCGGTCAGGACTCGTCGTAGCCTGCCAATGCCTTCCTCACTCTGATACCCAGCATACTCCGGCAAGCTTCGATTCAGATCCTTCTCAATCTCATCGATGGCCAGCGATTCTTGCCCTTCATACTTGGCCAGCGTCTCTTTGTAGAGGTTGGGTTTTTGTAGTCGAAGGAAATATGCGCCGGAAGCCAGCTCCCAGATTTCTCCGCGCAGCAAGTTCGGGAGTCCGACACGGATGAGGCGATGGAAGTCCGGCTGTCTGACAAGTGTAGCATTCCTGCCGTTCTCCTTCAGATATTCGTGCCACAGCCGCATCTTGCTCCGGTCTCGTAATTTTCGTGGATTGCCAGGGTATTTGAATATACTGCCCAGGCCAGTATCCGGGGGCGTCCTTGAAGTCCCGTTCGGCAGCGTCGGACTGGGTTTCATATCGAATTCATCGTATAGAAAGTATTCCGAATAGCAGTCCCGGCCAACGGTCCGCATCTTTTCAACCTCCTTGATACCCTGCCGCAAGCCTCTCTTTAAGCCATCACAGAATCGTTCGCATTGCTGCCGACTGCCTTCGAGTTGGATGGTCAGCTTTGGGGGAGCTGGCGCGCCGGGTTTGGCGTCTGTGCCTGCATCGGAACCATTCCAGGTCGTGATTGACAAGGCAAACATGTAGCTTTGGGTATGTAACCTTTCCACTCTTCGCACGGCACAGAGGGGTAGCGTGAAGCCATTTCCGGAAGGGCCAGTGCCGTTTGTTCGCCCGTTGAAGGCGGTGGAAGCGGAGGTGCTTGCAGTGCTGACGAAGGAGGTGTTGACGGTGGAGAAGCAGAGGAATTGTTCGCTCAAGTGTCTGTTGGTTGTTAGCAACCCTTGTTATCTTTATCGCACTCCTGATCTCTTACAGTTGGCCCAGATAATGTGTTCCCTTCTCGCGATCTTGATCCCAATTGCTCTTGTCCCAACTCTTCGGCTGGCCAGACTTGGGGGTGCTAGGGCTTTGTTTCTTGCTCTTTGGAAGTCTGCTCGGATTAGCAAGGATAAGGAGCGACTGAACAAGCACACATTACGTACGTGACTTCGGCCGTGATCTCGAATAGAGGCGATTGAGAATCGGGTAGGCGAAACTAAGCCAGACGTCAGTGCAACTCAACCATGTCCACCTGTTATCCTCAACAAACCTGGTGTCTGAACAGTTGCGCTTTCGATGGGCGATCTGCGTTCGAGCTGGCCAAGGGATTAGGGATATCAATGAACTGCTGCGCCTTTCCAATCAATGCCTGGAACATGTTGGGCGGTGGTCAAGTCGGCTCGGCCTGCAACACCATCTCTACCGCGATCTCGTGGAACGCGCTCGGGATGGCCGCACCCTTGGGGGATCGATTGAATTGAGATCAGGAGAGGTGTTGATTGTGCTCCAGCATTGCTCATTGACGCGCGAGAAATGGACGTCGCTTGCACGTGAACCTTCAACGTCTGTCATCCGGTCTTGGCGTGGCATGCTCTCAAAGCGGAACTGCGGATCGGACGCAGGAACCGGCGAGTCTGTCAGTAATCTTTCACCGGTCCCCAATACTTTTATTTACATCATTCTATTCACGCTCTGTCGTTTCAGTGTGGAGGACTGAAGATTGGAGAGACTCTGGAGTACCATCTAAATTATGCGCCTACTGAAAGCACAACAAACCACCCGCCCCAACGCCAAGAGTGCTCGTAGGGAATCTCCATGCGGCAGCACAGCGCCTGGACAGCTAACCCCTTCTCAGACACCCTGATCATCACTCCTGCCCTGCTTGATCGGAATACCACTCCCCTAAACCTTGGAACTCATCGACCTGCTCAGCCTGCCGCGATGCCAGATGACAGTCGAATAGATAGCCGTGATGAACCACAGAATCATGCTCGCCAAATCCACCCACACGGCGTGCTTCATGCGAATGATACCCGCTTGCTTCGGCGTCGGATGTGCGGTGATGTAGATGCGGCCAAAGACGCCGAACAGCGCGGTCCACAGGATGAACAACACCCAGTCCCAGGCAAAGGCCCAGTAACTCTTAAAGAAGGGCAGCCCGTAGACGATACAGGCGACGGCGCTGAGTCCCGCGACGACCTCAGCGTACACCCACTTAGGGTCAGCGCCGACTTGCTGACTGGGCGGGTGTTGTTGATCCCATTCGTGGGCGTGATGCAGATCGATGCCATACAATCCGGCCACTGTAAGGGCGAGGACGAATTGGAACAGGCGAAGGACCAGTCGAAGCAGAGCGCCGGTGATGCCGCCGGAAGAAGAGCGGTGTCCGATGCTTTCGAAGACGCCCATGTTTGTCGTCGACTCTGATCGTGAGGTGTGTGTGTGTGGTAAGTTGTTGAGTTTAAGGTGAAATGTTGTTCGTAGCCTTGTGCTCGCCAGGAGGACTGGACTTTTGGTGATGATGCTGAGCTGCAATGCCGATTAGGGGTTGTTCTTCGAAGCCAGATGTTGTCGGTGGATGCAAGTGTGTACCAGACACAAAGGAGAAAAGGAATGAGCAAGAGGAGAAAGTGGGAAATGGGTATTGGAAAGAACAAAGGGAATGAGCAGAGTGAATCACGGCGAGACACAAGGAATGAGACGCACCTTTATGCTTCCCGAAGCTCGCTCTTCAACTCGCACAGACACGGCCAGCCGTGGTCTCGGTCAATGCGACACATGCTCCGAGCAAAGGTGAGGTTGAGGTGAATGTTTCTCCTGCCCCTCAAAAGTTGGCCGCGACTGGACATCATGTCATCAATGGGAACCCCTCGCGCCTGCCCGCCTAAGCGCCTGTGACGCCCTAGCGCGATGCTTGTTTCTAACGGCCCGCTAACTTAGCGTCCGGACGTGACAGCGATTGGTCCACTACACCTGCACTCGCGCTGCAAAATTTAGAAGGCGGTTGAGAATTGCAGACCTCAGCTCGTCCTTTGAAACACGATCCAAACGTGGAACGGGACAACTCCTTCAGTCGATCCGAGCGCGCGACAATGAAGCGCAAAGCCGACAATATCGAGCCAGCCGCTCCCAATGGATCCAAGAAGAAGCAGGCAACTGAAGAAGCCGGCGTTGCAAGTCACTTTAGCCCCGGCCTTTTCGACTCCGAGACTGTCAAACGATACACGGATGAATATGCAGCTTCCGAGCCCTACAGGCATGCTGTCGTCTCCAGATTGATCGATGAAACCTTACTTCGCTCCGTCCGTTCCGAGATCCTAGACAACATCCATTTCACGCCAAAGGAAACGGACATCTACAAGATCCACCAGTCCGGCGACTTGGCCAATCTCGATGGACTGCCGGAGTCCGCGTTGGGGAAATTGCCGTCTCTGCTGCGGTTGCGGAATGCCTTGTACAGCCATGACTTCCGGACTTGGCTCTCGACGGTCACCGGAGCGGGAGCCCTGTCGGGAACGAAGACCGATATGGCCGTCAATGTCTATGTGCCTGGCTGTCATTTGCTGTGCCACGACGATGTGATTGGAAGTCGCAGGGTCAGCTATATTCTGTATTTGAACGATCCAGATGTTCCTTGGGAGGCTGGATGGGGTGGCGCACTTCGACTCTATCCTACAGAGCAGCTTCAAGACGACTCTGGCAAGACGGTCAAGCTCCCTACATCGGACTGGAGTCGATCGATTCCACCAGCATGGAACCAACTGTCTTTCTTCGCTGTACAACCAGGCGAGAGCTTTCACGACGTTGAGGAAGTTTACAAACGACGCGACGGCGAAAATGGCAAGGATGGCGGTAGGGTTCGAATGGCCATCAGTGGTTGGTTTCACATTCCACAGGAAGGCGAAGAGGGATTCGAGCCCGGTCTGGAAGAAAAGATGGCGGAAAGAAGCTCTCTCCAGCAATTGCAAGGAAAGGCAGATGAGTTTGACGAGCCGCAGCTGCAATGGCATCAACCCGGAAAAGACAAGGTCAACGATGAAGACGAAACGCCAGAGCTTTCTGAACAAGATCTGGAGTTTCTGCTTCAGTACGTGACGGCCAATTATCTGACCCCAGACACTGTCGAGGAACTCAACGACCTGTTTACCGAGGAGTCGATGGCACAACTGAGCGATTTTCTCAACGCCAAATTCGCCGAACGCTTGAGGAAATGGCTGACCGATGATGAAGCACGCAAACTGCAGGAGGCAGCATTCACAACCTCACGACCACCGCACAAGCATCGATACCGGTTCCTACACAGTCAGCCGTGGTCTTCAACAAGCAGTGAAAACGCCAACCCCTTTGTGCTCCTCCTCAACGACCTCCTACCGAGCACTGCCTTCCGAAAATGGTTGTCTCTCGTGACAGGCCTCACGCTAAAGCAATGCTCTGTGATTGCACGCAGATTTAGACGAGGGCTGGACTATGAGCTTGCTCAAGCGTATGAAGGCGAGGATCCGCAGCTGGAGTACTGTCTAAGCATCACCCCGACCTCTGGATGGGTCGATGGCGACGACCCGGATGAGGAAGCCAACGGGCAAGCAAAGTCGCAGGACCCGGAAACAGAGTCGGACAACGTCGGTGGCTACGAGCTCTACATGGCCAGTGATGAGCCAGAGGACGACGACGCTTCCGACGGTGGTGTGGAAATTCCCGCTAAGCTGCAATCGCAGACTGGCGCCGGTGACCGACGAACTGCATCGCAGAAGAAAGTCGACCCGGCCATCTACAAGGCTGCGGCGGATGATGAGGACGATGGAATCATCATTAGCAATCCGGCGAGCTGGAACACTCTTAACCTCGTTCTTCGCGATCAAGGGACGCTGCGGTTTGTGAAGTATGTTTCGCAGAGCGCCCCAGGCGATCGGTGGGACTTTACTGGTTGTGTACAAGTTGAGCCTGAAGATGATGATGATGATTGATTGTAGCGATGAGATACTTGACGTTTCATCGTCGTATATAAAGATCGTCAAGAATCCTCCGATTCTGCAACTGTCCCTGTGCTGTAGATAGCTGCTCAACGTAGTCCTCAGCCTTGACCTTCTCCATCAAGCCACCCGAAAGCGGAAGGCACCTTGAAACTCTAATCACAGCTTGCTCCGACGTCACCAGCCCATTCGACCTCTCAAACCCCCAATCAACATCAAAAATCCCCGTCCTACTCAAGCACCAAAATGGCCGAACTCAACTGCTACCTCATGACCTTCAACTGCGGCCGCACCCTCGTCGACACCAACTTCTTCGCCGCCCACTTCTTCCACGGCCTGCAAACCAACCTCCCACCCGACTTCATAGTCCTCTGCCTCGAGGAGATCGCACCCATAGCCCAAAGCTTCCTCGGTGGCTCCTTCTTGACGCCTTACTTCACGAGACTCACGACGACGATTCATGTCGCGGCGGCGCAGCGATTCGAGCTTGAGGACGAGTATGTGCGCGTGCTGGTGCGCAATGTGGGCATGACTGCTTTGATGGTGTTTGCGAGGAAGAGTGTGGTGGAGAAGATTCAGTGGATGGAGACTGCGGGTGTTGGAGTCGGAGTTTGGGATATGGGAAATAAGGGGGCTGTGGGAGCGCGATTGGGACTGCAGATGACGGATGGTGGGGAGCAGACGGTGGTGACGTTTGTCGCGGCGCATCTGGCTCCTATGGAAGATGCGTGGCCGCAGCGGAACGAAGATTGGAAGAAGATCTGCGAGGCGCTTGTGTTTGGGAAGGATGAGATTGAGAACCCGACCCGAAGCCACGACGGAGCGGAGACGGAGCCACTGCTGCAAGCATCTTCCGACTCGACGTCCTGCCTGTTCTCTCCCATCTCGCACATCTACTTCTCTGGCGATCTAAACTACAGGACGTCTGATACTCCACCACCCAAAGTCGCGGACACCGACAACTGGCCACAGCCTGTTGACTCGGTCGATGACATCCACCACTACGGCCATTTCCTCGAGAACGATCAACTCACGCGCGAACGGCGCAAAGGCAATACTCTTCACCACCTCGCCGAAAGCGAAATCGCATTCCCACCGACGTACAAATACTCAGGCACGGCGCAAAAGAATGCCACTCGAGCCGGCCTGAAGCAAGAAGTAAACGAAGATTCCGCGTGGTTGTGGGCGACACATCGATTTCCCTCCTGGTGCGATCGCATCCTCTACCTCGAAGCAGCCCCACCCACCGTACGCTCATACACGGCTCTACCTGTACAGCCGACAAGCGATCATCGGCCCGTAGTGCTCTCTTTTGCGATTCCATTGCAGCCTTTACCAAAAACAGCGCAAAACATCGAGGCGCCGTTTCCAATCAAGAAGGACTGGAAAGAAGCACGGGCTGCCGCAAGACGGTATGAGCTGATTGTCGGGTTTGCCGCTTATCTCAGTCTGACATGGGAGGGAGAAGCACTTCTCGCCGGCACTTTCATCGGACTCCTGGGAGGCTATGTCGCTCTGCGCGCTCTAATAGGATCATGATATACGCAAGAATGATGAACTCCGCATTGATTACGAGATATACAATGCTTTCGCTGCCTGAACAAATATATTCTACGAGTCAAATCGATGCCTCGCTCGAGTGTCGAGACGAATACGAAACCCGTTTGATCCCAGCAACTCCGATTCCCCGTCCGGCCTACAAGAAGCCCTTAGTCAAGCTGCTCGTCCTCGCCGGCACCTCAATCTTCACATCTCCCTGCCGCGACTCCGGCCTCAGCGCATAACTCCCTCTCCTGCTCCCAAGCCCGCCATCACTCAGCGCAACCAGCGTGCCCGACCTACGCAGCACATCCCGCTCATTGCGACTAATGCCAAGCTCGCGCTCGAGCCTCAGCGTCTTCTCCCGCTCCTCTCGCAGTTCCCGCTCAGCGCGTTTCGTCCCCAACTGCGCCGCCGAATCGGAGGCCTGCAGCTCGTCGATATTCTGCAGCAGGCGCTCCATCTTGTCGCGCGACTTGTCGAGGTCGTCTTGCAGGTTCTGCAGGGACTTGTCGCGGCGCTCGAGCTGCGATTGCAGGTCTTTGACCGTGCGGTCGACGTTGCGCACGCTGCGCGCTTCGGTCGTTCGGGTGTGCTCGAGTGTTTCTACTTGGCTTTCGAGCTGCGCGTTGCGTTAGCACTTTCTGCGACGGAAGTGGGATGTTGAGTACTAACCTCTTGTACGCGTCGGTGCAGGAACCGGACATCATGGCTGCCGGTGGAATAGCCCTTGGTCTCCAAATCGATGTACTTGAGCTGCAGATCCTTGAGCGTCTTCTCGAGATTCGCCTTCTCCTTTTGCAGCTGCACGCTCGACTCTCGCGCATTCGAAATGTCCTTCTGCACTTCCTGCACAAGTGTTTCGGCGCGCCGCATCTTGCCCACCGCCGCGGACGCCACGTCTTCTTGGTGGGCGAGTTGTGATTTGAGATCGAGCACCTCGCGGTCGAGCGAGGCTGTTGCGCGTTTGGAAGGCGACTCGCTTCGTGATAGATCTTCAAGGCGCGATGCAGCCTCTGCCAAGCGGGTCTCCAGGCCCTTCTTCTCTTTGGCAAGCATGTCTCGCTCGGCCGCAACGTCATCAACATCAGTGCGTAGGCCGCGAACTTGACCGAGGAGATCCACAATCTTGCTTTGAGCATCGTTGTGGGCGTTGACGGCCTCGTCACGGGAGTCTGATAGGCTTTGAAGAGCCACGTCGAGGCGAGACTTTTCCTTTGCCCACGTTGAGCTGTTCAGCACCTCATCGTCCCACTTGCCTCGCAACTCTTCCAGCTCATCACGGAGGCGGTCGTTCTCGCTTCGCGCGTGAATGACGCTCTCGCGCTCCATCTCCAGCTCGGAATTGAGAATCGACAGCTCAGACTGATACTTCTTGCGTGTCTGCTCCGCCGAAGTCTCGCTGTCTTCGAGGTCCACTGCGCGCTGAGAGCGATAGTCTTCGAGCTCATGCTGCAACCGCTTCTTCGCCGAGAGAGCACTGTTGAGATCCGTCGAGAGATCCTCAATCTTCTCCTCGTACTGCTGGGTCTGGCGTTGGAGATCCTCAACCAGCGTGTCCATCTGCTTCCTCTCCGCCATGATGCTCGCTGCCGTGTCCTCAGCTTCACGCGCCTGCGACTTCGCGAACTGCTCGGCCCGAGACGCCTTGAGAACTGCAATCTCAGCTTGCTCCAGCTTCTCAAAGTACTCGTCCGCGCGCGCCTTGTACAAGTCGAGGCTGGAAGTAACGTCCACCAGCTTCGATGATTCATGGTCCAGGCGAACTTGCATATCGGAGAACTCTTGCAGCAGCTGCGAATGATTGGCAGACTCCTGCTCTCGCTCGTAAGCGACGTCCGCAAGCTCGGATTTGGCATCTCGCAGCTCCACCTCCGTAGCCGCCTTGGTTTGCTTGATGTCGTCAAAGGCGGTCTTTGCATCAGCGAGTTCGGAGATGGCGGCGTTGTGAGACGTCAGCAGCGACCTGCGCGACTGTTCTTGGGAGTTGATCAGGTCGTAAAGCTCTTCGTGGCTCTTCGTCTGAACTTCCTTCAACGATAGCTGTCCCGTGCGGATGCTGTGCTCCAGAGCGGAGACCTTCTTCGCCGAATCGTCAAGCATGTCATGCAGTCTGAAGTTCTCACGCTCCAGCAGTTGCACACGACGAAGTGACGGGCTGTCATCATGCTGGTTGTTCCTTGACGGCGTGCGATCGATCTGAGCCTGCAGATGCTTATTGCGCATCTCGGACATCTGCAGCTGATTCTGCGCCTGCTCCAACTCGGATGCCAGGTCCATGCGGTTGTTGAAAGTGACGGTATCGACAGTCCTGTCGGACCGAGTCGAGTCGTTGCTCGCCTTGCTAAGGTGGCGTAGAGTGGTTGGTGTACCCTGCGCGCTCGGCGTGTACGACCGCCGCTGATCCCAGTCCTTGCGGAGTTGTGAAGGCGAAGAACGGGCGTTAACCTGACTGGCGTTCATCTCCTCCAGCAAAGCACGCTTGGAATTCTGATGCCGCTGCTCGTTCTCCTGCATGTCGTCGGAGTGCTGGGCACGCATGTTGTCCAATTGAGCCTCTGCGGATGCGAAACGATCAGTTGCCAACCTGAGAGCTTGCTCGGAAGCCTCCAGCTTCTGCGCCAAATCGATGGTCTTCCTCATATCCGGTGCTGCGCCATCCAGTTTCATTGGTAGGCCGGCGCTCTCTGGGTCGAAGACCTTCTGCAGAAGTCTCAGCTGGCCGTGTGCGTCTCTCAGCTCCTCGTCACGTTGGTCGAGTGTCGTCTGCACTGTTCGAGTGTTTTGTTGAGCTTGGCTGCGCAGCTGTCTCTCAGTCTCCAGCTTCCGGTTCGTCTCTGCAAGCTGCAAGCCAACAGTAGAAGACTGTTGCTCGGCGTTGCGGGTGGTCTTGTGCTCTCGGTCGACTTCGTGGTTCAGGTCTTCAAGGCTCAGGCTGAGCTTCTCCTTCTGCTTCTCCAGCGAAGTGATGGCGAGCTGGGAATCGTTCAGCTGTCTCTGCAGCCTCCGAACCTCTTCTTCGGCCTTTGCTTTTTCCTGGGTCAATTGGGTGACTCGCGATCGCTGGTTATCATTCGCTCGGGAGCTGGAACGGGCAATGTCCAAGTTCTTCTGTTGGACCTTATTCAACAACGCCTTGTTATCGTTCTCAGAAGCTGTCAAGCGACCTTTGATGGTGACAAGTTCGCGCTCCAGACGGACTTTGTCTTGATCGTGATGCAGCTTGAAGCTGTCCGAGTCGGCAATCAGCTGTTTCAGCCGTTGAATCTCTCCGGAAAGCCGGTTGCGCTCTGTCTCGAGGTCGTCGACTTGCTGTGACTTGGTGTCGAGATCTCGTCGAAGCAGGGCGTGGCGTTCGTTGGCCTTTCGCGTGACGCTCCTCTCCACCGTTGCGGCGGTCTCAATCTTCGCTTCCTGCACCTCAATGAACTTTTGACGCAAGGTCTGCAGCTCGACCTGGTACTCTCTTCGCTCCTGCTCGGCCATCTCTCGCGCAGATGCGGCTCGCCGGGTGAGATCCGATTGCGTGTACATCTCCTTTTCGATCGTGACCTTGGACTCGTTCAGTGCCTCGAACTCCCGCTTCAGCACCTCAAGCTCCGCATCGGCAATCTTCTTGATATCGTCTCGGGATTGGCGCTCTCGGCTCAGATCGGCCTGAGCTTGGAAAAGCTCACCCTTGACGTCGCGGAGCTGAGATTCGAGCATTTCGATTTGCGAATTGGCAGATGCGTGCTCTTCCAATGCTTGTCGCGCATCAGCCGCTTCACGCTCGAGTTGTGCCTGTTGCGTCTTCATGGCGACCATTTCTGCCTGCACTTGCCGAAGCTTGTTCTGTACGCTGTCGTGCTGGGTCGTAAGCAAGGTGCGCTCTTGTTCGAAGCGTTTCCTATCCTCTTGGAACTTCTTTAAGTCGGTCCTTAGAATCGCAAGCTCGCTATCTTTGGCTCGGACGACGTCGTCGAAGCGTGCAGAGGTATTGGAGAGATCTGACATCTGCTGGCGAATAGACTTGTTCTCCTCCACCAAGTCAACAATTCGCTTCTTCGAGCCCTGGAGATCCTTGGTGGCCTCTGCAAGCTTGACATCCAGGTCTTGGTCGTTCTTCAAGAGCTTCGCCTCGAGATCTTGCAGTTTGCGGTCTTTGAGACTGACTTGGCTTTGCAGCATGCGCACGTCTTGCTGCAGTGCTTCCTCATGCTCGCTGCGTATTGACCTGGTGTTTTCGACATCTCGCATGCGGGAGTCAAGTTCCGCAATTCGATCTTTGAGCTCTCCTTTCTCTTCTTCAAGCCGAGCAATGATCTGGCCAGCTTGCTCCAACTGCTCGCGACGCTCGGCAGCCTGCTGCTCAGCGGCCTTGCGTGCCGCCATCAACTCGTCGATATGGTCTTCAAGCCCATCTTGATCGTCCAGGGCGCCCTGAAGCTTCTCCGTGAGCTCGGCTTCCCGGTCCTGCAGACGCCTGAATATCTCTTCTTTGTCGAGAGCCAGTGCCCGCTCACTTTCGAGTTTCTGCTGAATTCGTTGGACTTCGGCCTCTGCTCGCCGCCGCTCATCATCCACCTTGGCGCGGTTCTGCTCTTCCAACTGCATCTTCTCCTGCAGCGACTTAATCTCTTCCTCCCGCTTCTTGACTTCGTTTGATTGCCGGGTAGCGCCGAGCAGTGGCCGCATTCGCACGAATAGCCTCCACCATGGGTTCGCTTGCATTTGAAGATAGGCGTGGAAGTTCTGCTGGATAATCCTGGCCGCTTCGGCACGGTACTGCTGTTTGTTGGCAGCTCTGCGAACGACGAAGCCTCTCGCCAAACATTGGAATCTCCCGACGATATCGCGGATGAGGGCATCGCGCTGCTCTTCCAGTTCGGCAAGAACACCAGCTCGGAAGAAGACTTTGGTCAGCCCAACACGATACCAGGCTCGGTCCATGTTCAGCTTCTCCAGCATGATTTTGCACGCTGCTTGGCCTTCGAGATATCCTTTCGGCATGTTTTGGCACAAGATTTCGTATCGAGCGCGGAACTCCGCAAATGGCAAGCGGTTGGGAAAGCCAGTCCGGGCGATGCGAATGCCTTCCAGGACACCGTTGCATCGAAGTTGATCCAGGACGAGCGGCGCGGAGAACTGCTTCGGCTTCTTCTTGTGATTTGGCAGGATACAACGCACGAAGTGAGGGTGCGTGGAGTGCAGTTGATTCATGAGCGTCGATAATTGCTCTTTGTGACGTTGTGCGACTGTTCGGAAAAGACCTTTCTTCACACGACTGCGAGTTGCACCTTCTGTGCTTTCGTCTGCCTCTGCGCAGTCTGCAAAGAGTTGGGCGATGTGTCGGTCAGTGGAGGCCGCGAGAAGCTTGGTGATGTTGTCATTCAGCGGATCCTTGTTCTTCTCCAGCCAGCCCTCGGTCGAGTACTCCACTTCAGCGGCGTAGTGCGTGAGCATAAAGCCTTGATTCAGCAATGAACGCTTATATTTCGGTGTCTTGCGATCCCATAGCGAATTCAACTTGTCGGTGAAGGATTTGTCTGTCGCTTTGGGCATCACAGAGTCTTCGTCCAGGCAGGAAAAGATACCAATGGGATTGGTGAGCTCGATGAGATCAATCGTAGGCTGAAGATCGCGACCAAAGTCGATGAACTTCCACTCGATCTGCTCTCGTGCATACTCTTCTTGTTCCAGGACGAACATGTGGTGGTTGAAGAACTGCTGCAGCTTCTCGTTGGTGTAGTTGATGCACAGCTGCTCGAAGCTGTTCTGCTCGAAGATTTCAAAGCCAGCGATATCCAGTACACCGATGAAAGAGGTGTCATCGGCGTATGTGCCTGACGACGTGCGGTCCAGTGAGCGATTGATCCGGTCAACGAGGCTTCCAAAGCCGCGCTCGTATATCCCCTTTGCGATGGCGTCAATCGCTAGCCGGGCCTGGTCCGGCGTCTGCGCCTTCTCAACCCATTCGTGACCTGCTCGAACGCGAGGATGAAGAAGTGCCTTGACAAAGGCTTCTGGCGCGATACCGAGAAGACGACAAGCTTTGATTACAGCATCCGTCGACTGGGGCGCGAGTTTGGCCTGCTCTGCACGAAGACTCTCCTTCTCCACCACAACATTGCCCAGGTGAAGTACGGCGGCAACGGTCTGCAAGACTGATTTTTGCTCGTCGTCGGTGAACTTCATGACGTGGAAGGCTTCGAGGAGGGAGTTCCATTCCGCGTGGTCGTCAACGCCGGAGATGACATCGTTGCCGTGTTTCGTGTACTCGAAATCCTCCATCTCCATGCCTTCAAGCAGGAAGGCTCTGCGCATGCCGGCATCTGCACCTCGCAAGAGCTGGTAGAACACATGGTAATTGCGCTCGCGCGAATTCACGTGGACCACTCTGCTCTTCTCCAGCAGATACCAGTCGATGTATGCGCCAGCAATCTGGCCAGATCTGGTGAATTCGATGCGAATGAACTTGCCGAAACGTGACGAGTTGTTATTTCGTACCGTCTGCGCATTGCCAAAGGCTTCCAAGATGGGATTGGCCCGCAGAATCTGCTCTGACAAGTTCGAATGCTGTCGACTTGCGGCTTTCGCACGAGGCGTGTCGGAAGTTGCAATGGCTGCAAGATACTGGATGACCTTTTTGGTATTTTCGGTCTTTCCTGCGCCAGATTCTCCAGTAACCAGGATGGATTGATTACGGCCTTCGTCGACCAGACTCCGAAAGGCCTCATCTGCCATTGCGAAAATGTGAGGCTTGCTGTCCTCCTTGCTCCGGCCTTTGTACATGTTAATGTAGTCGCGTCCGTAGATGGGCAGCGGAGTGTAGGGGTTGACGGTGACCAAGAACAGGCCCGAGTAGGTGTAGATGAGGTCTGCTTGATATCGCTGTTGCAGGTTGTGCACCACACTTGCTTCGTTCAGGTGCGTGAGCTCGGCCATATCATCGGCCTTGTCGAATTTGCCGGGGTTTACTTTGTCGACGTTGTCGGCCTGCTCTTCGCGTATGCTGCCGTCATCGCACTGGACTTTGAGCATGCGATTGGGCAGCTCTTCCACCACCCAGCCTTTGACAAAGGCCTTCTCAGTATCTTTGAGCCAGACATATCTCTTTCCCGACAGGTCATTCTCGCCTTCTATGCCTCGAACCCTGTCTTCCGCTCCGTCCAGCACTTCCGCTTTGATGAATTTGGGCGCAAAGGTTCCCGCAGATGTATTGCTTCGATTGGAGGAGCGTAGACGCTGTGAGTCACTTCTCATAAGTCCATGGGACAGGAGGTCTGTTGAGGAGTGATTGCGCGAATGTCCCGAGGACGTCGACATCAGCGTGGAGGGCATCACGCTCGATTTGGAACGCGCGTGTCCCGGCGGCGGTCCTGGTGATGGCGTGTCTTGGTCTCTTGTCGCAGAGTTGTTGCGCCAGATGGGCCCGACCTGCGCCAACGAGCTCATCTTCAATACCGTCCAGCTCGTGGCTGCAACCAACGCGTTCTCGCACGCGCTCTTACCTGCTTGAGTGGAAGGAGTCCATGGGTTAATTCTTTCGTGAATTTGAAGCAACAAGTAGCGAGCGGAGTGTATGTACAGTAATTCTCCGATCAAACACGAGCCCCACGTGCGAGATTGGTGTTGTCGTGTGTGCTTCTTGGGTGCGGCGCCGCAACAGTTTGGTTGTTTACTCGGCTGTTGTCAGCGTAAACGAGCACTAGCGCGAGGTTCGGCCCGTCCCTTGACACCTCCGGCGCTAGCGAACTTCCGCATCTCGAAATGTCGCATCCACACGTTTGATCATCACGGTTGGACGCGACGTTTGTCTCTACACCATTCCAGTCGTTGCTCATTGACACTTGGTAATAGGCGGTGTGCCGTGTCAAGCCGCCATGCCAATCTGAGATCAGGAGTCTTCTTTCAAGGCTTGAGACACTCCTTCACTCACCGACTTGGTTTGTTCGTGACGGAGACACGACGAAGGCGCTTTCACAACCTGTCTCCCAATCTTACGCATCTGCAGAGATGAGCACCGTGACAAAGAAAAAGAGAGGACGCTGCTGATATTTCTCAATCCGTCTCCGTCAACATGGCTGGATTGCCCTCTCAGCTCCACGCGGCACAGCAGGATACGCAGCAAGTGAATATGCAATCGCAGGACCACACTCCGGCGCCTTCAGGCCAGCCAGCAGAGTCTTCTCACTTGGGCCAACTCGCTCAGGCTGCACAGCTCTCTGGGTTGGACATGTCGGCCTTGGAGGGTATCTCGCCTCAGCAGCTTGCCATGATCGCTCGGCTCTTCCAGTCCGGCGCCCTACAGATGCCCCCTCCCCCTCCTGCAGTATCCGCCACTCCTTCCACCCCCGCACAAGCTCTACTCAATGCAACTCGCAGTCAGAGTCAACCCACGCCAATCGATAGTCAAGAGGCCGCAGATATGGAGATGGAAGAGGGTGAAGTTGATGACAGCGGCGAAGATTACACCCCTCCACAACCACGCGACTTCTTACGTCCCCCGCCTACCGGTCCGAAAGATCGCAACACGAGCTCTCGAGAATCTATTCGAAACCAAAAACAACGCAAGCCTTCACTGCCAGCATCAGTCGAGCATCAGCGGGGCGCAGTCATGCAATCTCCGCTGCAACAGTCCAACGGAAGCGTGGACTCAACAACACCGAGCGACTCAAAGAAGGCCCAGAAAGAGGTTGTGCGAACGTTTCTCATGGAGCTGGTGGCTGCCGGATACTCTTACCAAGACATAGCCCAAGAAGTTGACGCGCCGGCATCGTTGACGAAACTGTTCAAGGAGTTGAGCCTGCCGCTCAGCCCTGTGCACCCCAATCAGCAACCTGCCAAACCGGCCACTGCCCCGCGAGTAGCCCCTCCCAAGGCTCCCCCTCAGAGCAGAGCGGAGTATCTCGCAAAGCTTCAGGCGATGAAGAACAAAAAGACTGAGACACCAACAGCATCGACAGCACCGACAGCACCGACAGTACCCACAGAAGCAAGTGTAGGAACAAAGCCAGTCCTTGCAACCCAGACTCCCACCAAAGCACCGTCGCTCAGCTCTGCTGCTACACCTGATAGCGTTGGTGGTGGTGCAAGTCTACCAAACCATCCAGCTTCCACCAGCAAGGTCACAGTAAAGACAGAGCTTGTTCGGCAGAGGCTAGCAGCTCTCAAAGCCAGTCAAGCGGCGGCGCTGCAGAAGCGTTCCGGCACTAATGCGGTTGACACCTTGGACGCTCGCTTCGCTGCCATCCGCCAAACCAACCCAAGCCCATCGCAAAATGGACTTGGAGCAGGTATTGCTGACATCGCCTCAGCACCAGCCACGCAATTCTCCCCGACGCCCGCTGCAGGTCTTTCGCGTCCAGCGCTAGAGACACAGTCGCACCCCTTTGCTGGCCTGCCGGGCCTGTTCATAAGCGAGGGCGTCGCCAAAGACCAGAGCTCACCGCCTCATTCGCGACCGGCCATTCCCAGTGCTCTAACTTCCAGCCCGTTCACCAAGCCCGAAGTCCACATTACGTCGTCTCCAGCCGCGATTGGGACTCCCACTGCACTGTCTGGCGGGGTGAGGATTTCACGCAAGAGACCGGTGGCTTCTGATTTTGATGAAGTCCCGAATCAAGCAAAGAAAAGGCCATTCGGTCAAAGCAGGCCTGGCAGTGAAGACGAGTCCTTTGTAATCCAAACCAGCGACGATGAGGACGATGAAGATGACATGGATGTCGACGACGCCCAGCCATCAGCATCTAAGCCAGCCATCCAGACGAAGTCATTCCGAGACGTTGGCCCGCTTCGTGACTTTCCGCCCAGGCCGACCTTTCAAACGCCGCCCTCAGGTGTCAGCACGCCAGGTGGTGTGACGTACGAGCAGATGATGAAGAATATCGAAGACGCCAAGCGCAAGATTGCAGCCAAGGAGAAGAAGCGGAAGGCTAGCACTCCCAAAGGAACCGTCGCAGTGGCACTGGATCCTGCCGGTTCTGATTCAACGCCACCTGACATTCCGGCCACTACAAATCCTGCGAACGGAGGCGTGAATTCTCAAGCTTCGGCAGTAGATCTCCCTGCGGGATCTGTTCTCGAAGGTAGCGACGCTGTGCCGGTGCCCGAAGCTTCTGTCGGAACGCCGGTACAGATGCACGTCATTGAAGGTGTGGACTCAGACTCAGGACGCGAGGCTGACACTCTCATGTCTGGTGCCCTACCACATGAGCCGGCCCAGTCCGTCGGTGCCTCTCAGTCCGCAGAACCCCAGCGTATCAACGAGAGGGCGGTCTCAGAAGAAGGCGAGCTGAGTGACGATTCCATATCAAACTTCTACGACTTTGACGAGAAAGACCGAGCAGAAGGCCAGTCAAACGCACCCGTTGACCCCGCTTTTCGTGCAACGCTCGATTCTGATATCGGCTTTGTGAGTCCTGTTAGCGAGTCGCATTCCAATGAGCCAGGGCAAGACGAAGACGCGGCCAGTCCATTGGAGGGGGACCTTCACTCCAGTCAGCCTCAGGCTATTGAGACTCCTGAAGATGCGCTTTCTGACGTGTCAATGGACGAGAGCGATAGTGATGAGGACTCCGAAGCGTCAGACGACGAGGACGATGATGTCGGGGATGATATCGAAGAGGGCGAGGTGGACGAAGATGTTGAGGAAGGAGAGGTGGATGAGGATGCCGACGTTGATGTCGAAGAAGAGGACGAGGGCGAGGACGAGGAGTATGATCCGATGGTGTACGAGGTCGAATCACCAGCTCCATCATCGACTCGTTCTGCCGGGACGCCAATCGCATCCGGTGGAGAGCTTGCGGATGAGAGCCTGGCGGTTCATGCCGACGCGGAGGATGAAGCAACATCCACCCAGGCAGACGAGCTCGCTCCGAATGAGCCGGCCGTGCATCTTGACCAGGTGCGTGGACTCTTGAACTAGATGAGGGGTGACTAACACCAGGAGTTCAGGCCCCAGCGAAGTCGAGCAGGTACTTCACCTCCTACGAGAGCCCTCTGCAAGGCTTCAGGGACTTTCGCTACCACCCTGACTACCTCCAGCAAGTCCCGGGAGGGTATGAATCGCTGACGTATAGCCACAACATCGACCCGGAGACGCGGCTATGTCCCTACGAGACCGCTGGTGGCAAATGCAACGACGACGCATGTCAGTTCCAGCATTTCCAATCCATGATGCTGTCTGGTGCGTTTCCGTGATGTGATGCCATCGTTGCCCGGCCGAGCCGCTCCAGTCCCGTCCCTCCACACCTCTCGCTTCGCGCACGCTCTTGTTTTCCTTGCATCTCGGCCGCTGACTTGTCGCGCTAACATGCAGGCAACGAGCTTCTCACCACCATGAGTATGAGAGATAGTCCCGCGCGCAACGCCGAAGAGCAGCAACGCTGGCAAGACGGCTTGGCCGCGCTCATCCAGCAGCTTCGGGACTCCGACGGCGGAGACGAGGCAGCCGTCATTGCTGCCAAAATCGCGGACTACCGAAGAGAATTTCTGGCCGACCCGACGAAGATCCTGCGACTTGAATGAATCCTGGATGCCCCCTCCCTTCCCCCGTGCTCCAATTCCTCTGTTTGATCATGCGCATTGGCATGGCGTTACCCTCATGGCCAACTCGCGTGGCTTGCGCGTGCGGTGCCCACATGTGCAATGCTTGCTCGCTCTGGCTCGGCACTTTCCTTATCTTCATGCATCATCTGTAAGAAGCCCACAGACTTAACGACGGCGAATGAAACAGATTTTTCGTGAGCAAGAAGGGATGATGGTATTTGAAGAGAGGGAGTACTTGGGACTCGTTAAACAATGCCTACGATGGAGCACTCAAGCGCAAAGGCTGCGGCAAAAACATGGCTCATCGGCATGCACTGAGCAGGCGAGGGCTGCACCGACTTGCTGTTGCGTCGCCTGATTCAGCTTCCTCGGGGTTCATCGGAACACGCATGAGCGAGGCATCGCGTGTGCTTTCGAGGAGACCTTGTGTACGAGCTGGGCTTCGACACCAGCCATCCAGCATCTTAAACAGAAGTGCCTGCAGAGCACAGCGGTGGAATGGACCAGGCGCCTACTGCTGAAGCAGGCATTCTGCTTGTACGACGCCGCGGTAATCTCGTGTAACACTGTACGACATCAATCGATTCCCTCTACACTTCCTTTCCTTTGACAATGCATAGCATAATCACCAGTATCCCGTCATCGATTCTGTGGACTGTGTGACTGTTTTGCTTCTGTTTTCACATACCTATAGTCAAATGCCATGCACGAATGTCGTGTCGCACAATCGTCAGCCTTCCCGCGATGATTCACAGCCTTAAGCCCCACACCTCCCGCCGCTCGCCAGCTTCTTTCCATGACTCGACTGCACCTCTCTCCCTTCACCTCGCCATTCCTTTCCAATGCTGCCTCTCTTTCTACCACCCCTGCTCACTTTGCCTTGTGCTGTTTGCGGCTAGTGCCTCGACTGGAAATCCCTTCGCATGTGCCATTCGCTTGTGAATGCCATGTGACAGCCTGGCTGCGGTGCTGATCGGCCTCACGGGACTCTCAGCCTCATGTCTTCTGCTATGGTAAACCCAACACTTATTACCAACTGTCCTTCTTGCCACATCACTTACCGATACCAGGCTTCTGCTCCATCGCAATCACCACCACTAGACGCCGAGATGGAGTTCATTCATCCTGAGCTCGGCATTCGTGGGTCGCTTCGTACGGCGATGAAACGATCGGCCGCTCTCCACGAGAAGATTGCAGAAGCCAGCACGACCAAAGATCAAACTGCCATGGAATTGGATGAGGCGCCTACCAACTCATCGAAGCTACCAACAAAGGCTCAGAAGGCTTCGCAAGCTCGTGCAGCGACGACTTCGAACGTGAAGAAACGGAAATTGGCTTCGAGTAGCAAGGCGACGAGACCTTCGAAGCGAGTCGGTACCGTACCGCCTTCACCTGCAATTGATGCATCGGAGTCTGCATCTGCAAACGAAAGCAAGACCACCCTGCCGCAAACGCCTGATCAGTCTTTGACCGATACCTTACTCGATGATCGCGAGTCCAGCCCTCTATCTGACGTCCCCCCTTCACCGATACTTGAGGCGGGAAAACGAGCCCAGGGGATAGTGAGCAAAGATGGGGTAGGGAAATATGGTCATATACTGGGCAAGAAGACCTTGACAACGAAATCGGCCGCACTGGATCTGAGCACGCCTCCCGACGACATGATATCCAAGACCATCATTGTGACGCCCGTGGTCAACAAAAACGCTCAATTGTTGACCCCGCCCGAATCGGCTCGTCGAAGCGAAAGTGAGGAGTTGCTGTCTGCGAAGTCCGCCAGTGATGGGAAACGCAGTAGACGGCCGACGACCTTCTTTGGCGCCCCTGTTGCTACTGCGACTGCCGTTGAACTCGAGCTGGAGCCTGCCGATGCTACAACCATTACCAAGGTCTCGACTGAAACGAAAAAGGTGGTCCTACGTGTGCCAAAAGCCGTGTCGCTCCCTCAGCCCTTATCCTCACACGCGCCGCTCCCACCTCCGCCGACGATACCCATTGTCCTTCCTGAACCGGATGCCATCAAGCTCGCACTTTCGCAAAGACTCACGCACAGGCAACCCCTCGAATCCAAGCCTCTACCACAAGGCCGTCCGGACGTATGGGCCGAGTCTCGTCAAGCCCTCTGCGAGACGTTGCCCTACTTCAAAAAGCCTCAAGGCGGATGCTATCAAAACGATGGTCACGTCTACGGCTTCCTATTCGACAGCGTCGGTCATTGTCGCGAGTACATGGACGAAGACATCATCATCGCTCGCGCCGGAGGAAGTATGGAATCCGATGGAGTGGGCATGGTGCAGCGCAAAGACCAGCTCATTCAAGACTGCCAAGTGCAATCTGTGTTGAACGATATGGCGCACCACAATCCTGTGGTGGTGATCTGTGGCAATCGAAATGAGAAGGCGCCGTGTAGGATGCCACATCAGTACTGTGTGCTGGATTGGTACAAGCCGGTCATGGTGTGGTCGGAGAAAACTGCTGGCAAAGGCAAGAAGGTATGGACGACGGTGAAGTATCGTCTCGAGCGACAGAATCATCGCCTCAACTCTCCTTGGCATGCTCCTCAAGATGCTGCTGAACCATCTCTTGAACACCATGAAATCGCTGGAGAGCTTGTGAAACGGCCATGCGAGCATTGTGGAATCGAATGGCCACAAGTCTATCTCAGAGCGTGGATGTGTCTCAACCAGGATTGCGCTGCCTTCTGGAAAGTCAACCATGCGGATGCACCGTACGGCACTGATGGGCTGGAATACAATCCTGCGTTTCTTCTACACCGGGCCGCATCCTGGGCATCAGGTGGACAAGAGATCGAGCCTGCTCCATTACGACCTGCGTTGCCAGACTTTGGCAACACCATCGGGGACACATTGACGCACATCAACACCAGAGGTATCTGCTGCCCCGAGTGTGGGAGATGCAACTCACGCCGCCTGTTCTCTGGTTGGAAATGTGAAAACCGCACGTGCAACTTTGCTCTACCTGCCAATCATCAGCCAGTGCAACCGTTGATGCTTCACACTCCATGGGATGTTGCGCCAACCTTGGTCCGTAACTCGCGTGGCGCTGGAGTTGAGATACTGGTCGAACACAAGCACGGCTACAAGGTTACCACCTACACTTTTCCGGAGATTGAGGGTCGATTCATCCACGCTGCCGCTTCCAAGCCTGTCATATTGGAGAATGGAGGCCCGAATGAGATGTTTGCTTCCATGCAAAGTCAGGATCTTGGACTTGAGCGTCGCACTTTTGCGATAAAGAAGATGGGCGCCGCCAGCTACAAGGCTGAGAAGGAGGTCCAAGTTGAGGGTCTGGCCCCGTCGGCTGTGCAAGAAGCCGCACCACCCAATGTGTCCCAAGATGACATGGAGCAAGAGGCAGAGACCGAGAAGAAACCCGAATTCGTCGACGGAGACCTGATGACCGCCTTCTCAATGAACTACGGCATGCCCTATAAATTCGTCGCCAGCGGCGCAAGTCGTTCCTTCGAAGACGGGCCCGAAGCAGTGAGAGAGGCTCGCCGACGACTGAATTGGGCCACCCGCACATTTCTGAATCGACCAGAGGAGGACCAAGACCTGAACGAAGCGTTGATCTTCGCTTACCTGCAAGGCCAAAAGATCGAATACCACGACGACGGCGAGGAGGGTCTCGGTCCCCGCATCGCCACCTTGTCCCTAGGCGGCCGAGCAAAAATGCACCTGCGTATGAAAATGAAGCATCACAACGGGTGTTCGAAAAGCGGCATCTTGACAGAAGAGCGGCCTAGGCCCGGCGGCATCGAGTACGAGAAGCGGCTAGAAGCATGGAACGCGCTGCAACCTCTCAAACAAACCGATCCAGCGGCATACAACGCTCGTCGAAAAACGATCCCCCGCGAGATCGGCATCTACGAGAAGCGCGGCAAACGCCCGGAAGACTTGGTCACCGTCACGCTGAGCCATGGCGACGTGGTGGTCATGGATGGATATGAGATCCAGAAGTTCTTGGAGCACAAGGTCGTGCCCGAGGGGCATTTGCGCTTTGCGATTACGTGTCGGACCGTGCTGGCGGGGCATTTGAAGCCGGAGGAGATGCCGGGGTATGTGGTTGAGGAGGATGCGGTGAGGTATGAGGGGCCGGGGATATGAGGTCGCCGGGGTGGAGAGAGGTATTGGAATGGGGCGGGCGGCTACGTACAGTAATTCGCGGTAACGCTGGTGTTCTTTCGTCGACTGGAGGAATCGACGTTCTTGGAACGAGAGCTTGGAGATTGTTCATGCATTGATCGACGGCGCTCCGGAACGTTCCCCGTGGGGTGAGGGTGGGGAGAAGCAGCACACCCTCCCAGCCCAGCCCTGTCTCACCGCAACTCGCCACATTGCATCCAAGAGCTCATGCACATGCAATTCGCAATTCAGCCTAAGGAACCTCATGCACCCTCCCGGCGCGGCGGCTAAACGCCCGCATGATACTCTCTCTCCTTCGGCAGAAGCGAGACGTAGCATCGCGCATGAATCGCCACCAGCTCTTATCTGCCTTACCCTCCTTGGCTTGGAGTAGTCCAGCCCACACCCACCACCCTTCGCGGGGAATGGCGTTTCTTCACCGCTGCCTTTCATGCGATGTGCATGATTCAGGCAGATAGATGCAGGTGTCGCTTTGACTCAATGATATGCATCCGTCCCCGCTATCTAAGTTACTAGTCATGGGGCTGAAGGCATCCGTCTAGGCAGCATATGGCTGGGTGTGCATGACTACCACTCGAGTGATCTGCGTCTGTTTTAATTGTTGCTTGTAGATCTTCCATTCTCTATTGTACGTGACTACAATCAGCAGTGAAGAAGTGATCAGAAAGAATTTACATTTCACGACGGGAATGCCAGAGGAATACAGAGTGACACGCCGCAAGAGTCACCGCAGCCTTGCCACTGCTTGCATGCAGTCCTGCCCCGTGAGAGCCAGCGGTACCACAGTGGCAACAGGCAATTCGAACACGCACACCATGCCATCTCGCACATCACCCGCACATTCGCGCGAGCGAAGTCTCTCCTGGCCCTCGCCGTCGAACCGCAAGGCAAACCCTCCCCAACCGGTAGACACCGACTACACCACCTCAGCCATCACCAACGACCCCTTCCTCGACGATCTCGAAGACAACCCAGACCAGCACTTCCTCGCGCCCATCCAGATGTACGAGTACGAAGCGTGGCCGGGCGACAGCGACGATGAAGACACAGATGACGGCTGCGTCGAATGGGCTGCTGGCATCACTGACTTTGCTCTCTTCGATGACGATCGTCGACGTGCGCGTCAGCAAAGTGAGCCGCTGCCGAGGAAGTGGAGTGCCATGTTGCAGCAGCAGACGTCCGCTTTGCAGCGGTCGTTGAATCGTGGTCGGGTGAGGTCGAGTAAGGAGGCGGATTCGGGCGAGCGAGTATTGGACGTTGAAGAGATGCCGAGTCTTACGCCAGACACGTCGCCCCGCCTGAGGGATGATTTGGAGACTGCGGCCAGGGATGAGGGGGCGAAGATACCGGAATACCTGATGTCTGGCGCGAATCGATTGCGTGAAGAGCAAGGAATGGACGGCATGTCCACGAACGGCCGTGATAGGCAACAGACCGAACGTATACGCAGACAGCAACGACCCGGTCTTGGACACAGTCGGACAATGTCGGGCCGAGCGCATGCTTGGACGCGGCCGAGCAGCGAGATATACACGGTTGGAGAAGAGCCGGAGAATGAGAGCGAAAGGAGCTCGCGGAGATCGAGAAGCTCGGGAAGAGGTGATAGCAATGGGGATGATGACGAGATGATACGTGGCCGGGCGCGCAGCCAGAGGTGACGACACGTCCTCGCATGCATGGTGCGACGAGTCAGATTCGAGTTCAATAGTTGTACATGGGGTATCAGTCGGCAGTCCACATCCAGATCCATAGAAGCACTAGAAGCCAGGAGGGTTCAATCGCTGCGATATCCTCGTCCATTTCGGGACCTTGTGAATGCCCTTTCGATAGCCCTTGCTGTATCGATTGAAGACCTGAAATCACACAACAGCCCATCAGCATTGCAAGACTCGATTGTGCACGCATTTCAACATACCGTATACTTGTCCCGCGGCAACATCTCCTGCTCCGTCGGCATCTCCGCCTTCCATCGCTCGATGAGCTTGATGGTCCCATTCAACCGCGCCTCATCGCTCAGTAATCGCCCACTCGGCACCTGGACACCATGTGCTGTGACTTCCGGAACCCAGTCGCCACGCTTCGGGCCCTTTCCATTGCGCCGTGCCTCCAAGTCCGCATTTCTTTCCGCTTCGAGCAGTCGCCGTCCTTCAGCCGTGGTTGCCAGCTCATCGGGCGTGGCTTGACCTTTTGATGCGCTGAGGTGATTTGGTGCTTGGGTGGGAGGTGGAGAGGATTGAGAAGTGGGCGCGAAAGGCTGTGTTGATATTGCTGCTTGCCGCTGCAGGGCGGTGTCCAGGACGGCAACTACATTGTCTACTCGACGTAGTCGTCTTCGATGTCGGAGTTTTTGAGGGCCGGAGAGTCGCCAGGGGATTTTCCTGTAGACCGTTCAATTAACTGACTCGGAACTCTCATTTGGCAATGCGGAATAGTGTGTACCATAAGAGGCCGCCGAATAACGGCGCTGATGGTTTGAAAGGACCGAACATTGTGGTGTCGCGTGCGGTAGAGAGGACTGGATTTGTCTTCTACATTGACGTGGTTGGAATTATTCGAGATTTGTGCCACGGGTTTTGGGCTTAGTCAAGCTCTCGCACTTCACGTCCGGTCGCTACCTGCGCGAAGCCAAGAGGAGATCTTGGTATCCAGACAACTCTGGATCGAGTCTTATGCTGCGAGGGAGTCATGTCGTACTACTTCACCATTGTCGGCACGCGCGACAATCCGTTGTTTGAACTGGAGTTCGGCACCTCTAAAGGCGGCGGAGACGGAGTCGCGCGGTTTCGAGACGAAGCACGGCATTACAATCAATTCATCGTGCACGCCGCTCTGGACATGGTGGAAGAGGTGCAGTGGACTAATAAAGACCTGTATGTACTCCTCATTGGAAACTCTTACGGCCAATGAGCAGGAACTGATGTCTTTTGCAGCTATCTGAAGAGAGTAGACACCTACCAGAACAACTACATCCACTGCCTGCTCACTGGCGGCAACGTCAAATTCATGCTCCTCATGAATCCGGACCCAGCGACGACACCCTACTCGACATATCAGACCTCGCCGCCATCACGTGCGGCATCGGCTCGACAGAGCTTACTCTTAGCTAGCAATCCTAACAGTCAGCAGACTGAGGAGGCTGTGAGGCAATTCATGATGGAAGTAAGTGGTTGCCGAGAACCCGAACCGCAGAGAGATAGTCTCGCTAATCTCTCGGCACAGGTCTATGAGAACTGGATCAAATGTTCGATGAGCCCGTTCTACCAAGTCAATCAGCCGGTCACGAGCCCCATCTTTCGCGCGAGAGTTGCCACTGCGGCGAAGAAATATCTGTGATGACTTCGAGGCTTTGAACATTCCGCCATCCTCGGCCGGGTGATCGACGAGATGACGCTCAACTCACGATCTTATGAACATGATGTGAGTGTGTCAAAGAGATAATGTGCTTCGAAATGCTGATGAAATTATGAAGACACGAAGACTTCACGGCAATACCTCGCGCACAGGCATTGTATGGCATGTACTCGCAGCTATATCACACGCCCTCAAAGTCCCATCTCAGTCCGGGTTTATTTGAGATCCGCTCTCATCCTGGTATTGCGGGACACCACACCAGGCTGGCCATACGACGACCAGTCGAACTCTTCGACCTTGACTACTTTGAAGCCGTGCTTTTTGTATAGCCCTACAGCCTTCTCACCCGCCTCGAGAAAGGCCGGCACACCGTCCTTTGCCGCCTGCTCCAGCCCCCATTGCAGAATCAGCCCCGCGGCACCATTTCCACGAAAAGGTGCGCGAGTTTGAATGGTGGTTAGCACTAGTGTACAGTCAGTGGCAGCACATACAGGCAGTTTAATAACACTACGCCACCACTCACCCCAACATAGCCCTCTATCCATCCAGTCCGGTCGATCTGCGAGGACCTTGTCGAGGAAATCACAATACAATGCCTTCCCAAACTCCGGCGGAAACGCAGCAGGATCATCCCGATCTTTCAACCCGGCATATTCCAAGTTGAGGTGTGTCATCCCCGGGCCATCGGGGTAGCGGTGCCATCGGCCGAAAGCAATCATCTCGTCATCAGCATCCCGGTCGACGACTTTGATGAAGCGGCATGTCGGGTCGTTCTCCAGGTACTCTTTTTGCTGCTGGCATGACCACTCGGCACGTGCCTGCGCGTTGGCTTCTGTCTCGGGCCAGGCGGCTCGCAGCAAAGGGGCGCAGAGGTCGCCCTTGTCTGCGCCGTAGATTGTTTTGGCCTTTTCGAGATCTGCTGGCGAGGCTAGCTGCGCTTCGAGCTTCATTTTGCTGCGGGCGGAGTTCGGCTGGGAGTAGGTATGTGTGGAGATCAGATGCGATAGGGCCAACTGAAGCCCTTGAATAGAAGCGAGAATGGTGGAAGGGGCAGACAAAAAGCAATAGATATTGTAGCAATCTGGCACGACTTCGATTTGTGGAAAAGGAAACGTTACATACGTATACCTGGCCCGGAATGAAAGGAAAGTCTCGGTATTCCGCTCTCAGGCTGCCGCATACTAACAATTTGTATGGCGGAGTAGCGCGTCGGAGTCAGCGTCCTCGATAGGCCCCCATCGTACAGCAAGTGTCGGGGTACCCTCGATTCGGCGTAGCACAGCAGAAGCATCAATATGATAGCGGTAAGTGAAGTGACTGGTTGCTGTCGTTCGCTCATGCCTGAGGCGTCGAAGTCGAGGTCCGTCTTTGGCGTGGTCCAAGCGCGTGGGGGCCACATTCCTTCTCGAAGCTTCACCAAACCTCAGTTGCTACAAATAATGCTTCTCAAGTCTTGTCGAAAGCCATCTAAACGCCTCAGCAATTCGACAAGCGGCATTTGAAGATCAAGGTCCAATCACACTCCTCCTCGCCTTACGATCAGCCGGCAGCCATCCACAATGCCCGTCGACTACAGCAAATGGGACGCCCTCGAGCTCAGCGACGACTCGGACATCGAAGTGCACCCCAACGTCGACAAGCGTTCCTTCATTCGGGCCAAGCAGAACCAAATCCACCAGCAGCGTCAGGAGCGGAAGCACCGCATCACCACGCTCAAATACGAACAGGTTGTCAATGACGGTTTACTGGCACGCATTGATGCGCTGTTGAAGAGCCTCGATGAGCACCAGAAGGATGTAGAGGGCAAGCAGGAGGCGGGCGATATTGATGAAGTGGTCTTTGACGCTTTGACGGATGTCAATAGCGATGGCAGTTTGGGGTCCGACCACCCGCCTATGCCGCCTGAAGGGGTGCATACTCAAGAAGAGAGGCCGAGTTATAGTAAGATGATGGGAGCGCTGATTGATCAGGTGAAGACGGAGGTGGATAAAGACATATCAGCTGCTGGGCCCACTCGATATGCAGCATATGTCAAAGAAGTAGGAGGACATAAGACCAAAGTGCAGGGCTTGCAGAGGGATCTAAAAGTGGAACTCGCCAAGTTGGAGAAGGAGGAGGGCAGCAAGATCACGTCGGAGTCAATACAAACGGGCTTCAACAGCTCGCACGTCGCCAAGGCTGTCCCAGTCACTGCTTCTTCGACCGCAAAGAAATCGCAGCCGGAGCTACTCAATCCCTCCCGTCCGGGTCAGATGCAAGGTGCGGAAACAACCGGCTCAGAAGCGGACATTGAAGACGCGGCTCTCGACCCTGCTCCTGGCGAGGACTTTGATCCCGACATGGAAGCCTCGCCTCTGGCCAAGAAGTTTGGCAAGATCAAATTCGGTGACTACCGGGCCTCTCTTGACTTCCTCGGCTCCAACCCCCAGGTCCTCGCTGAGAAAGAGACTGATGGTCTACTGGTCGAAGCTTTCAACGCTCAGTCAAGCGCGAAGAACAGGAAAGATGAGGAGTATGCTCGGCAATGTGTGCATCAAGCGTTGTTGTTGCAGTACTGTCGTCAGCTCGGCCGGGATGGAGTTGGACTGTTCTTCAAGCGGATCCAGACGCAGAACCATCAAGCACGGAAACTCTTCCTGGATGATGTGAACACCACATATGCTCGGATCAAAGAGCGAACTGCGGAGCTGGCCAAGATCAAGGACGATGAGGGCGAGAAAGAGCAGATCCAACTACATGCCGTCGATCCGGGGACTAGCATCAACATTGTCACCCCACCGCCACTCGATCAGTGCCAGACAGACGATGAGAGGGCGTCGAGACAGATCTTTGACACCTTCCCGCCGGGCCTGCAGCGTGCGTTGCAATCTGGCTCGCTGGACAAGGTGAATGAAGTATTGGGGAAGATGTCGGTGGACGAAGCGGAGCAAGTGGTGGAGCAGCTCGGGAATGGAGGCATGCTGAGCTTAGAGCAAGGGGTCATTGATGCTACTACCGACGAGGGAAAGAAGCAAATGGAGGAGATTGAGCGGACGCGCAAGATGCCTGGGCAGTCGAATGTGGAGACTGTGCAAGAGGTCGAGGAGATGGATTAAAGTGTCTGTGGAAAGACTGATCGTAGCGAGCGTGGTGAAGGCCAAGAAGCATATACCGCCACACTACTTGATGTCGTTGCTCTGTACGACAGTCGCAAACGCATCTCCAAGCTCGTGCATCACCATCTTCGACACCTCTGCGCCGGAAGCGCCGGGAATATCTCTATCCCCAACACAGTCCTCTGCAATCAACACGTCATACCCCAGACGAGCACCATCGCGGGCAGTAGTGGAAACACAAACATGCGCCTAGCAAAACCAATCAGTCAATTTCAGAGGCTCGAGATCAAGGAAAAAATGAGACTCACCATATACCCCGTCAAAACAATCTTCCCCCCCGCACCCCCCTTCTTCAAATGCGAATCCAAATCCGTCTCGGCGAAACTGCTCGGATGCTGCTTCTCCACCACATGCTCGCCGCCCTTGGGCTTCAGCTCGTCAAACTCCTCGGCGAGGTTCGTCGAAGGCGTGAAGACGGGCGCGCCGTCGGGCACGACGTGCTTGACGTGCACCACCTTGCCGTCCGCGTCGCGGTACTTTTGCAGCAGGGCGGCGATGGCTTTCCGCGAGGCGCCGGCGTTGGAGACTTTGAGTTTGCCTTCGGCGTACTCGTTTTGCGCGTCGATGATGACGAGCGTGCTGTCTTTTGGACTGGCGGTTGAGGGGGGCACGCCGAGGAGTTGGCGGAAGGACGAGGCGGACATTGTTGGTTGTGTTGGTGGGGTTGAATGGGTTGGGTTTTGATTTGAAGTGAGTTGGGGTTATTCGAGATTTGAGTAAAAGATAACAGAGAACTACAGAAAAAATGGTTGGAACTGCGACAGATGCAGTAGTTTTTTGATGTGATCATCAATGGCGTAGCTTGCGTCTGCCCCGCCATCCGGGCGACTGGGTAGAAGGGAGTAGTGGGGCAGCTCCAGACTCCAGCCATCCACCGCTTTCCATCCCGGCAGTTGAGAGCAAGACGTTCACCTGCAACCACTCTAGCGCCCTTTGCACGTGTTTCTACAGTACTTCACTCGTCCAAAAGCGTAAATTACAGAGCAGCCGGCATTCGAAAGACCCCCAGCCATGGCATACCACTCGCATCCACACTCCCACGACGACATCCCGCCTCCGCCCACAGAAGGCTGGAAGAACGAGGGCGTGCGCGTGATCCCCGCCAACTCGCTCGACACCAACACGCCGCAAACGCCAGGCATGAACCGCGCGGCGGCCATCAACTTCGCGCGCGTCGGCGCCCAGAAGATCTGGGCGGGGACGGTGCACATCCACGCCAATGCGAAGACGGGCGCGCATCATCATGGGCATTTGGAGGTTTGTCGTTCCTGCTTTGCCTGGTTGGACAGGAGCTTGCTGACGGTGTGAGGGTAGAGCGTGATTTATATTGTCAAGGGCAAGGCGCGCATGCGTTGGGGAGAGAAGCTGGAGTTTACTGCTGAGGCTGGGCCGGGGGATTTCATCTATGTGCCGCCTTATGTGCCGGTATGTCTTGACGACCTTACTGAAGTAATGGAAGACTAACCGTACTCGCAGCATCAAGAGATCAACGCCTCGCCCGACGAGAAGCTAGAGTGCGTGCTGATGCGCAGCGATCAGGAGGCCGTGGCAATTAATCTGCCAGACGTCGTGCCGGTGGAGATGCCGGAGGATGTCAAGTGGATAGATCCTACCCATCCGCATTGATTAATTCTACGAAGTGAGTATATAGCATAACTGCAATGCGGTGACATTCAATTAGACTAGCCTCGCTTCCCGTCATTCCCCCTCTTCATCATCGTCAACAGGGTTCTTGAAGTGAATTGCCATGCGGTGAAAGACGGTATTGTCCTCTTCAAACTCGGGGAACCACTTCATCGAATACTCGCGCTTAAACTTGCTCGCGCGCTGGGCATCTTCTTTTTCATCACAAAAGTGCTTGGCGGCCATGGTTTGTGCGGTTTCCTCGCCAACAACAGCGCTCTGGGAACGATCGAGGCTGGAGCGAATTAAGTTAGCCACTAGCCCAGTGCATAGTGCAAGCAGTGTGAATCTTACGAGGGGACTGTCAGTTGACGCGAGGGGTCGAGGAAACCCTGGAACGACGTGCACGCGAACAGGGCGGCGCGCGAGGTGATGAACTGGCGCACGGCCTTCCGCGACGTGTCCATGCAGAACTCGAATATCATCGTTTCCGGATCGAAGTGGTTAATTGCGGGTTCCAGGCCATTGCCGATTTCAATTTCAGCCTCGAGGACGTGGATGTCGAGGGAGCGGAGGAAGGCTTTGTCCACGTCGGTGTACAGGGGATCTTGGGCGAACAGTGCAAGCGGGCCGCCGTCGCGCAGCTGAGCGACGTGACGGGAGGTGTCAACGAAGACGGCGAATTGGAGTAGACTTCGCTTCCTGTTGGTCAAGTTGATTCTGCTGAAGCTGCCCGTTGCGAAGCAGATGGCTTTGGTGATGAGCCAGGCGTGCCCATCAGGCTGATATTCCTTCAGCATGCGGTGGTATTTCTTGCGACATGAGCTTTGCTTCCAGGTGGCGAGATTGCTTTCGAACTGCTTCGTGATGCTGGCGACGGTGGCGTCGTTGTCCTCGGCGTTTTGGGTATACATGGTACATGTAGCTTCAGAGGCTGCACCACGATTGCGGTGGCCACGGCCACTTCGCTTCACTTTAAACCAGCCATCATCTTCCAGGCCAGTAGGAGGTTTCAAGCTGTCCATGATTGACTATACTGTGTTGGAAACACCTTTTCCGAGCTTGCTGTCAGGGCGGTGAGGGCATCAGCCTTGGGGTGGGAGGATGAGGGAATGAAAGAAGTAGGGAAGGCATATTGGGGCAGGAGCTGGATAGAATGGTGGCAAGCAGTGTACACGTATGTGCTTGACTTGTAGCACGTTGGACTCCGTTGATGTATGCCCGACCGGACACACTGTGAGCCGTTGCGAGGGATTAAATGTCGTGTGAGGTTGGGCCATCGAATATTGATGCATGATATCGAAAGTGCTCCAGTCTACCGTGTCGTGCTGAATTGTGCAGAGAGATGTCTAACATTACCGCATTAGGAAGGCGCGTCCATCTTGCCACCATCATCGCCGACCAGCCGAGGAGCATCGCGCCATGCCTTTGCGTGTGCCCTCTGAGACTCCCTTGACTCCTTCATTCCTGTCTGTTGACGACTCTTCGCCATCTCATGGCTGGAATCACTTCATCATAGACCGTCTCTTCCATCCTCTACACCCTCGACCACCTCCTAAGCACTCGAGAACGTGCCGCTTCCTGACCTCCCCACGCCGAGGGCCCAGCTTTATCATTCTCCACAAAATCTAATCTGATCCAATTTTCCTGTGGTGGGGACCTCTGGCTGAAGGTAATTCCGTCTCTGCCGAACTCGCTCGCTTTTGCAGCCCGCTCGTCACCATCCCGCCGCCCCAGCATAGCCCCGGCAAACCTCCATCCGTGGAAGGGTCTTGAATGATGCTTTAATCATCGCCCACTTCCTCTACTGACCTCTATCATGGATTAGACACTACTTCTTCACTATCAACACCCCCCTCTCCCCTCTTCGTCCCCCCCGCCCTTCATTTTGCCACGCCCGGCGAAATGTCCGCACACCAGACCGACCAGCCGTTCATACAGCGCACTTCCTTTTCCACCACATTGGCCCACCGACACAAAAGCATACCCAACAGCTCTTCGAGTGACCCCAACAACCCCGTCCCCTGCGAGCCCAAGAGCACTCTTCGACCCGTCGCCACCATGCCGGGCCAAGACAGCGTCGAGTCGAGCCCTCGGAGTAGTGGCGACACTAGAGACATCCTCAACGACGACTCGAGCGATCTCGACACCGACGCGTCCACTCCGCCGCAAGTGTTCCTTGATGGCGAAGCAGAAGAGAAGTCAGACAAAATGGCCCCTCTCCCACGACGCATGTCCGAATCGCAAAGTCAGCCACGCATCAGGAGAGCAAGCGTCACCTATGGCGCCAACTCCGAGGAGATTAAGCGTCTGCTCGGCGATGGAAAAGGCACAACCTTCTTGGAGAGATACTGCTGCGGAAAGGGCTGCTGCAAGCTGCAAGCACTACGCCCGACGGAACAGGTCTCCATGCCCGCCCTCGACAACGACGCTTTTCGCTTTCTCGGCGTCAGCATCGAAGGCCTCAACCTCGACACCAACCTGACCCAGCTCCCGGACATGCCCGAGCAAAACATCACTTTCTCATCAGTCCGAAGAGACTCCATTCCTGACAAGTTCCCGGCCGAAGCGCGTCACCGTCACGACGCAGAAACCGTACGAACGTACCCACCCGAATACATGAAACCTCATCCACCTTACAGCATCTTCAACGCACCCGTTTACGGCGCTCGCGAGCTCACCAAGCCCGGTGCGGAAAAGCGCACCTTCCATTTCGACATTGATGTCACCGACTACCCCGAGGAAGGCGGTGTAGATTTCAAGGTCGGCGGTGCTGTTGGCGTCTGTCCACCTAACGATCCCGCCGTCGTCGAGGAGCTCCTAGACCACCTCGGCATTCCGCGATTTCAACGAGACAAGCCCATCCGACTCCACACCAAGGGCGGAAGATGGCCTACGATCTGGGGAGACGAGGACAGCAGAGAGCTTCTCACCACTCGAAGAGAAGTGCTAACGTGGACTATCGACATCTCTTCCACGCCTCCCACCAAACCGCTTCTCCGAACACTGGCAGAGCACGCCACAGACATTAACGAGAAGAAGATCCTCAACTACCTTTGCTCCGCCCAAGGCCAAGCAGCCTTCTGCGACCTCCGCACCGGCGCACACATCACCCTTCAGCAACTTCTCTACGCCTTTCCCTCGTCCAAGCCCTCCCTCGAGGAACTCTGCAATGTCTCCACCCAGCTCATGCCCCGCTTCTACTCCCTCTCCAACGACCCTCACGTCTCCTCCGCTCGTGACGGCCTAGCAGGCCGCCGCCTCATCGAAACCGCCGTCACCATCCACGAAACCCCCGCCCAAGCCGGCACATTACGCACAGGCGTCGGCTCCGGCTTCCTCGAACGCATCGCCAAAAAGTTCATCCAAGCCGAAGTAGACGCCGAGGCATCAGGAGACCCGTCCAGCACTCCCGGCGCCGCCGGCCGCGCCCTCAACCTCCAGATCCCCATGTTCCGCGGCCTCATGGCCAACCCGCTGTCCAAGGACTACATCACCGACGGACCAATGGTGCTCATCGGCGCGGGTGTGGGCATGGCGCCTTTCCGTGGCTTCATCCTCAATCGTCTGAAGAACGCCAACTGCGCCAACAAAATCTGGCTCATCCAGGGCATCCGCGACAGCATGCTTGACGAAATCTACCAGGGCGAACTCGGCGACCACGAGCGCGAGATCAAGAAAGTAGTGCAGAGTCGTGCGCAAACCGAAGCGCCGCCCGTATCGGCCGACGAGGCGAAGGACGGCGCGAACAAAGACGACAACACCGCGCTGCTGAAGAAGGAGAGCAAGCAACAGCGCAAAGTGGCCAAGTACGTGCAGGATGAGGTGCGCCTGCAGGCCGACGTGGTGTGGTTCGTCATCAACTCGCTCGACGGCCGTGTTTTCGTTTGCGGGTCTACGAAGGGTATGGGCGAGGGCGTGGAGCGCGCGCTCATCGATGTGGCGATGGATAAGGGGAATCTGGACCTCGAGACTGCGCGGCAGTTTTGGAAGGATAAGCAGGATGGCGGGCAGTATATTGCCGAGACGTGGTGATTTCTCGTATTACGGTTTTTTTTAATCTCATGAGCGATGGCGTGTCATGGAGGGATGAGGGAAATGAATCATCTAGGGGCGTTTGCTTGGGGATTCACGATGGCAGGGACGGGCGGCGTCTGTGATGAGGCCGATCAAGGATCACGATGGAGTTCGATATTACAGAAACATTGTATCATGCCTTGATCTATGAAACTTCCAATGGACGTGCGAAGTGGGATCGTAAAGCGAACCGGGTGGACTGGGCTGTCGAGCCTCCTTGATGGTAGCGTAGCGTGCCCTCTGGCGCCCCTTGATCTAGTGTGCAACGATTGCTTCAAAGACGGGTCGACATCGTAGTAGCAACCGCTCCCTGAAAATCGCGCTGGAATCAAGGCATGCTCGAACGATCCGTTCGTGGCCGTCAAGCAGTCCAACCACTCGTGCAGAAAACAGTCTATAGTAGAAATGGGATCAGGCGCCGACTGCGTGCGGTTTGGAAAGGTCCTCCGCAGGCTGGGGTGGGAACGAATGACAAAAAGAAGAACGGATCCAGCTGGTGGAGGTGCGAGACAAGGATATAAGATATGGACGGAACGATATCAGAATTCCACTCCCGCGCAGTAAAGCAATTAGAAAGATCCATGAGCAGGCTGGCATACAAGCGCACATCTTCCTTCCGAGTCGGGCTGGATAGACGAACAAGCACAACCTCTCGGTCGGCGGTGGGATTCCACGCGGTGGCAGGTAGTGAGCCGCATCTCCTAGTGTCTCCTACCGCCATGGCGGCGTTGCCGTTCTCGTTCTCGTTCGCGGTCACGCTCACGTTCGCGATCGGAATCACGCTGTTGAGGCGGCGGAGGTGGTGGTTGTTGCATTCCGTAATCGGGTTCGCGGCCCTGCGGAGGGTATCCTTGATCCGGCTGTTGTCGGTATTGCTGCTGCTGCTGTTGGGGATTCGGGATGGCTGAGCCATCGGCCAGTCAGTGCCTTTGAAGGGTGCGGAACTTGGGCAAGCGGAGCACTTACGCCGACCGAATTGGTCACGCTCGTATTGAGGCTGCTGTTGCTGCTGCTGCTGTTGTTGCGGCGGGTAGCTACTATGCTAGTCAGTCGCCAAGCAACGACCACGATACGATCGATCATCGCAGATGCGAACCTTGGAGGCGGTCCATGGGTCATTGAAACCGGGCTGGGATAGCCATTATTATACTCCGCCTGCTGCTGGCCACCATATCCAGGCTGAGTGCCGGGTCTTTGATTCGGATCCTGGCCACGCTGAGGCTGGGGCTGCTGCCGGCCATAGTATCCCGGATCAGGTCCGCTCGTCGCCATCATCCCGGGCTGTCCATATCCGGACGTGATGGCAACGTAGTGCTGCCCGTCTTGCCTATATCCCGGCGGTGGCCCTGGGGGATGAGGGCCACGCTGACCCGCTCTGTCCTGGGGGTGCGCATTCACATCATAGCGACCCTGGCTATCGGGCTGGCCATACATGTTTGAATCCGGCATATAGAATGGCTGGTTCATGCCTTGCGGAGGGTAACCGCCATGGCCTTGGTCGGGAGAGAACTGGCCGCGATTGTCCTGCGGGTTGTAATTCTGGCCGGGATGGTTTTGCGCGCGTGGGTCCATTTGCATGGGCTCTCCGGGGTGTCTCATCTGGCCGCCGTGCCTTTGCGGTTGCATGGGATAGTCATCTGCCTGGTCTGTATTCCGGGCGAAAGTGGACGAATCGACGTATTGGCCTGCCGTTCGGTCAGCCGCCGTGCACTTTGTTTCCCGCTCGTTTGGGGCTCTTACCTCCCGCACCGTTGTGACGCTGCTCTTGATTCCATCGCACTGTGTTTGCCTTGAGGTCTTCAATCATTGTCTATCATAGAAGGTCAGCATTTAGGCCGTGAGACGCTGAGATATTAGGCAGCCTTACAGATGTGAGGTTGCGAAAAGCCTTGATCCAGTAGCCCGGGACACCCTGTCGCAGGACGAGTTAGGTATGTAGGCAAACTTCACAGCAGAAGACTGACGTTGAACTCCCCGGTTCCAACTCCGGGACGGACAGTTGCATCGTTTCCAAGGTACCTTTGGATGTCCGCAGAGATCACGTATCTGTCAATGCCCTCTCCCGGAGTGAACCAATTGTGGAGGACTTGTCCACGGCGAGAAGACATGCTTGCGGGAGAGGAAAGCAAGACTCTGCAGAAAGAAAGAGAACCACGGGTCGGAGCGGTGAGTGGTAAGATGCCCGGAACACGAGAATTGCAGCCTGGTATAGTAAGTCCGCAAAGCAGTTCTCCTTTTCTTCCGTGGCTTGAGCGGATCTCCGAGGGTTGAGACGACCCGATATGGGAGCAGAGGCGAAATCAAGAGACTATACTGCGCGAGTGCACGAAGGATACTCACACTTCAGAGCCAGTGCCGGGAATGGAGGTAGAATTCACGCAGCCGTATCAGTGGATGTCTTCGCTCTTTGCGTTCCCTGATGGTCTGGACGGACAGGCACACGCGGTGAATGACCTGGGTGGGATGAAGAGAACGAAATGAAGGAACAAAAGATCCCGAAGGGCCAGGTGGGAGCGAGGTATGCCTGATAACCGGGAACGGACGCCTTCCTCGGGCTAGAGCAGTTCACACGGCGATCCGACGGGAAGCAGAGGGATGATTGGTGCAGGTTGCGTTGGCAGTGCGGCCCAACCGCCGAATGACCGTTTGAAACCGGTGAAGAACCTCAGATTGGAAGAATCAGGAAGTCGATACCTGGCTCACGTTCGCTCAGATGTCGTTGGAAGCTTCAGAGGGAGGCAAGCAGGCACAGTGAGGGGATACATCTGGTGTATGTGTTCATTCTGCGCGTCTTTCCAAAAGGCATGCGTCCATGATCAGGTGGAAGGAATCGCGCGATGACACGCATCTGCGTACGATGCCGCGCTGAGATTGGTGGAGGAGAAGGTGGCAACGTGGATGCATTGATGCCCAACACTACCTTACCTTGCTTACCTTGCCCTGACCACCCGGTTGGGCATGAATATCAGGCACGGGACTTCTTGCTACTGTTTGGCCTACTTAGGGTTGGAACCGCTTGGGAGGCAGCAATGGCTGGCAGTGTTGCGTTCAAGAGATGTTTGTTGTGGATGTAGATGTGGAGGTACTTCGCTTCATCTCCCTCTGCCCCAGATTCGGCTGTTTCGCTCACGTGACCGTTCACGTGCAGCCTTGTGCCACGACTCACGTTCCTAGTACAGCTACATGCGTTCCTCCTACAGCTACATGTACCCTACAGCCTCGACTCACTCACAGCCTGCACCTTGAATCCCCACCGCGGCGCATGCAAACGAACCTCCGTTCCATCACCTTCAGCCTTGACAGAAATCCCCACCTCGTCCTTCGTCAACTTAACCAGCCGTCCAACATCCTGGTGCGTGAACCCGCCACCATCAATAGGGAAGAGTTCCACAGCCGCGCCGTTAGTGAGGCCCGTCGGATCGTTACCATCGATATTCAAGTCTTTGTCCGTAAACGCCGCGCCCAGAATCGCCGGCACAGCCACTGCGCTCTCCAACGTGACGGGCTGCGGTGCAGCTGCCTTTGCCTCTTCTAATGCTTGTGAAAAGCGCTGGTGCCAGCTGTACACTTTAGGGAAAATCTCCTCGGAGATGATGTCGCGCGGCGGCGTGAGACTTGTGATGATCCATTCAATAGCCCAGAAACCTGTGATCGCCAGTCAGCCCGACGATACACTGGACTCCCCTTCCGGGCGTCTCTCACCTTCCAGATCTGCCAGCGAAGGCTTCTCAGTGGCACCAATCCACTTCCTCGAATCGTGCAAAAGCGATTCCAGAATGCCAAAACACTCCCTGACGTGCACCAACCCCTCAGGTCGCGACTTCATCGCGTCCTCCAGCGTCCAGTTCGGGCCGTAGAAGCCCGCGCGGTCCTTGTGGAAAGCTTCGCTCCGGATATTCGGGTTGTCGGGCAGGATGGTAACAGCGTGATTGAAGAGGCTGGCGTCTATCACTAGTTTGTTCAATAGCGAGGCGAGGCCCGCCGTTTCTGGGGTTGAGAATGCTGGGTGTTGGTCTGAGGCCGGGAAGAGCTGTTCGAGTCGGTGGATTCTATCCAACCATATCAGCGAAAGGTATTTCAATGACTGCTAGTGCTTTGAGAGGGTGCATCGAACATCATCCGCGTATCAAGGTATACATCCCGCCCAACGGCCATACTAGGCGTTCGACGATACTTGATCCCGAGAGCCTTGAGATCCGGCCGGGGCATGATAGACGGTTGAATCTGGTCGGAAGTCAATGTCTACTCCCGTACGGTCGATTGACCGTTGCAGTAATCAAAACAGAAACGTACGCATTCTGCATATGCGATGCGGCGAAAGGCGAGGTACCATCGCACTCTTCTGGCGTATGGCGAGCGCTCGTAGTGGAAGAGGACGATGCCGTTGGGCGGTTGTGCGGTGCTGGCCATTGTCAATTGATGTAAGAGTAGACGAGCTATAGGTCAAGATGTTGTGGCCAATATGGAAAGGATATAAGTAGAGTGTTGCGTGATACTCGTTAACCGCGGAAGACGGTCGCCGTGGGCAGCCCCACCGATTCCTCGCACCGCCACGTCGGTCAAGGCTTAACATCACCTCACCTGTGGATCTTGTAGCTTCAGTGTCAAGACGGAAGACGTCCAAGAGCGTACGAAGGAACAAGAGCGGGACATGTGTACAATCACCAATTCTGTTTCTACTCCACTGCCACAGCTATGTACACCGTCCCCTCGCAACTCCATCTCCCAACTTCCACCCACAATCTTCATGCCGCCTCCTCTGTTCAATTCCCCAAGTATGATTTTCAATCTTATTCTTCTATGCAAGAGCGGAGCGAAAAATCCAAGAACAGAAACCCAGAAATCCGAGCAAAACACCGCGCCAAATGCAATCTGTACGAACAAAACGAAAGCAATCGCAAGACCGCAGATTTCCAAGAGAGGAGGAAAAAGGCCTTGGGAGAATCGGATCACACAAAGGTCATCCGCCCTGCCGATCCCGCGATGTCGTCCCAACGCCCACCGGGGGCGGCGAGTAGTAATCGGCGGGATACTGGTCGTCCGGGCCCATCGGCTCGTACTCATCCCCGTACTCCTCGTCGTCGTAATACTCATCGCCGTCTGGCGGGAGCAAATTCGGATCGTATGGCTGCTGTTGCCCAGCGCCACCCGCAGCGTTCAGGTTCGCCGCAGCAGCGGAATTGGCGTTGTTGGTATTCCCGCCACCCTTCTTGCCGCCCTTCTTCCCCTTTCGATTCTTCGCCTTCGCCTTCTCCAGCAGCCTCCGCTTCTCCTCTTGCCGCTTCCGTTCGCGGCGATCTTTGATTTCGTATTGCCGGATCAAGGCCAGCGGCTGCACGCCAAAGATGGATTCGTATTCGCAGAATTCACAGATCCACATGTTGTCTTTGGTGGGGCGGTGGTGGTAGTTGCTGTACTCTTGTTGCAGTCGTCGTTGACGAGCAGCGTGCGCATACTCTCGAGAAGGCCGACGGCGGAGTTTCGGGGCGGCCGGGAGGGGTGGTGGTTGAGCTGCTTGCTGCGGTGGTAGGCTGTTGGGCGGTTGGCGTCCGGCAGGCATCTGGGCCGCTCCGTTTGTTTGGCGCAGCGACGGCGTGCTATGCGCGCTAGACGCTCCAGATCCTTTTGGACCAGGAATCTGACCGTTCATGTTGCCCCGAGCGTTGCCCGACTGTCCAGCGTAGGGATTTTGAAATGCAGCGATAGCGGCTGCATGTTGGTCCACCATTTTGGTGGCACTCTCCGATTCTACGCTAAAGGTGAACTGTGTCTTGGAATTTGTGGGCGCTGCGTCGTTTGATGTGGCCGTTTGCAATAGTGAAACCAGCTCTTGTCCCTTTTGGGGTGTCATGGATCCCTGTTCCGCGGCACTCTTGATGGCTTGGGAGATGATCCCGCCAGTGTTTTCGATCTCGGCATCTAATCGTGAGGGGTCTCGTTAGTCTTGTTCGTTCATGAAAAAGCGTGTTGTAGGGAACGCGTTTACCAGAAGCGCGCTTCATCTCTCCACTACTTCTGGCTGGCATGCGGGGGTGGTAGCCGTTGACAGAGTTCATGCTGGAAGATGCCAAGGGCCTTCGAATGCCATGATCACTCCGCCCATTCTGCCTCCCATACCGGCCTCGTCCAGCACCACTGATGCCCGTGCCGGCCCCAGCACTGGAAGACGCAGGCATTGGAGGATAATATTCACCCTTCGCCGCTGTTGCACCATCCCTAATCGCATCCATTGTGCCATCCAAAGGCCCATTCAACCCCAGACTTGCCATCTCCGCGCTCAAGTGTGTCTGATGCATACTTGAAGCCGCCGAGAGCGGAATTTTGCGCTTCTTCTTATTGCTCGTGTTCTCAAAGCTTTCGTAGCCATCTGCACTCGATGCCGCCGAAGCTGAAGGAGCCGCCTTCGCGGCCATCAGTCGGCGCTGCACGCTGTCGAGCACGGTATCGGCGACGGTGCCGTTCGGGGTGGGCGAGGCGTAGCGGAAGTCGGGATGGTCGAATTCTATTTCTTCATCACCGCTGTCCACCTCCTCCCCACACGTGCAGTGACTGTGCATCGCCGTCTCGTGGTGTGGGTGGTGTGCATGGTGCAAGTACTGCTCGTGCACGGCGAGCCCGTTGCTCATCCTGCCGTGCAGGTTGCCACCCGGAGCTGCATTCTCTTTGCCTCCAAAACTCAACACCGGGCTCGCGGGGACAGGATCGGGAGGGTAGGTGATGGAGGAAGCTTGCTCGGGCGAGAGCTTGGCCTTCAGTCGACTCCTGGGCAACGGCCTGATGGCTCGCTCGGGGAAGAGGGGCGATGCGGTGTCGGGGGATCGAGCGATGGATAGGGATGGGGACGTCGAGAACGGCGGTGGGCTAGTTGCGGTAGCCATGTTCCAAATCCTCCCCTCTCCAGACGCAGTACTCTTGCTGACTGCCTCCAAAACCACCGTCCCAGGATGAATCTGCTGCTTGCACTGTCCAGCAAAGGCACACGACAGTTGAAATCGAGGAGATTACAAAGCACACTGTGCGAGGATTAGCATCGCTGCGCCGGCCCAATCCATCGGGCTTGCTGCTCCTCCGCCTCGTGCAGCTTGGGTCGACTCACAATCTATCCGCGGGACCAGAGGCGATGCGGTGCCGAGTGATTCGCAGGGGTGATGTCTTCCCTTTCTCATTGACAGCTGTTGGACTCGATATCGTCCGGATTAGACTTTCGGCGGTCTGTGCTTTCGGTAAATTGGACCGCGCACACGTCCACCAACAACTGTGGTTGACTTTCTATCCGCCGACATCACGTTGTTGAATCTATAACTGCCTCCTCAGCACACACTGGCACCGCTCAGTCTCACAAGGCATTCCTCTATTGTCATCTTAATCGCAAACGCGACTGGTGGTGCTTCGTCAACCCCCTGATCGATGACGCCACGAAACGCCAGGTTGTTTGCTCGTATTCCCTGCCTCAGGCTGTTGTACGGACCTTCAGGCAAGGTATGCTCATCTCACACATGGTCTCTCAATTTCCAGCCTTACTTCCCTCCTTCGTCCCTTCCACATCCCAAATCTCCTCCTTCTCAGAAAGCATTTCCCAGCAAATCGATGGGAGGGCATCAGACCAAGCTTCCTTCGCTACGCTTTTCTTCCGCGGCTTCTCCTGCTCTTCTCTGCTCAGACCGTGCGCGAAAATTCGAGCGGCTCTCACGCCCACATACTCAGCCATGATCTGGTGCAACAGCAAAAGCTCCGCATTCACTTCTTGCAACCACATGGCCACCATCAGCAGCCTGCGCTCCACCCACGAGAAGTCGTCCGGCTTTGAAGCGGCACGAAAAGCCACAGAGACCTGTCGAAGCGTGTGGTCAATCACGCCGATGCTTTGAATCATCCACGGCAGCTCCCGGTAGTCGATGATGGTGAATTCCAATCGTGCGCAACTCCGGGCGAGAGCTGGAATGTAGTTGTCGAAGATGACTTGTGACGGAAGGCTGTGGTAGAGGATGCCTAGATTGCGGTAGGTGCTTGCGGCGTTGATGGCGTGGACGCGGAGTGTCGCGTACTCTTTCAATCTGTTCTCTTGAGACTCTTGCGGTGACGGTTCGCGAGTGGTGATTGCGGTCGTGGCTTGTGAAGGGGAGGGATCTGCATTGCTGGAGGCTGCCCGGTAACTCATGCTGGTCGATGGATGGAGTAGCGAGTGTTGTGGGAAACAATAGGCGCGCTGTGTCGTCTCTGAAGGCTGTTGATTGTCGATGGAATTCTTGCTTTCCGAAGAACCGATGGCGACAGGTTCGACGGTACACTCATGCTCTCGCCTGGTCGGACGGAAAGTACGACGCCAGCAGATTATGACAGGCAAGAACGAACAGTATGTAGAAGGGAACGATCGAGAGAGGGTTGACATGGCGTCTCTGTTCGACAAGTGAGACACACGCGCCTCCTTCAACCAGAGGGCTTGCTTGAAACAACAAGGAAGACGCCAGAAGGAGTTCTTTGTCACTCCAGAGGCCATTCCTGATCGAATCGCCAGCCAGAATGTGTCTGAACTTCGTGAGACTTTAAAACGCATACTCGACCGCGATGATCGCGATTACCCTCATGCTAAATGCATAGTCCCCTGCTTCCAGTGCCCAGAAGCTTTTCAAGAGTATGGATGGTAGCCTACCTAATCCGGCAGACTCCATACCCCTGTGATATCTCTTGCCATCGCCCAGCTTCATCACTTTCCTCAGTGCAGTCTTCCCCATCTCATTGCCAGAGGTTACTCCGAGATATTCCAACGCCGACGCATCGAATTGAGAAGCCTATCGGAGGACCTCATCTCATCAACCTGAGGGTTATCCTGTTCACCCGCCGCGAAGGGTTGAATATGCTGTGCCCATGGAATGCCATCATATTCATCATCGCCATCCCACGCTCTCAATGGTTCCGGATCAACGTACGCGTCGAGTGCGCGAGCCGGATCAATTGTTGGAGCTGGACGCTGCAGCTGTCCGCGCTCTGCTGCCCGACTCGCTCGCGCCAGCGCTTGGCCATACTCTGACGCGGGATCGACGTTATCATGAACGGGATCAGGCCCATCTTCTGTCACCTCCGACCCCTCCCAATCAAGCCTCATGCGATCCGCTTCCATCTCGACGGTCATCTTGTACGCTTCGTCTGCCGTCGCAGATCCGATTGCGAGAGCACGCTTGACCTCCGGCAGCCCCATCACCCACGCTCGCACTTCTCGATATTTGTCGGGCATGCGGGCGGGCGAGTCTGGGATTCCCATCTGCTCTTCATCCATGCCATCGTCAGACTGTGCCGACATGTTTTCGATGAACTGGTCCACATTGATGACAAGGTCTCTCAGCTGATGATAGAGGGCACTGCATTCCGCGTAGTGGCTCTGCGCGCCGCTCATGTCTCTTTCCTCGCGCAGCGCTCCCTTTCCCGCGCACAGCTCGTCCCACCACAGACCCTTGAGCTCTCGAATCTGCTCCATAGCGCGCAGCGCCTGAGGTTGATCGTTTTCGCCGTCTGCAACGAAGACTCGCTGGAGCCCTGGCATTTCGGGGTGGCGTTGTACGATGTCCTCACGGCTTGTACGGGGGAAGTGAAACCAGCCTAGGCCGACGTCTCGCAGGAGGGCCTCGCACAGGGCGATGTTTTTGCTGATGATTTTGAACTTCTTCGACAGGCGGATGAGGGCTCGCTCCTGGATGTCGGGCTCGCGGAACCTTCGCACCAGCTCGGCGATGAATTCGTCCATTTGAGCCTCGGATGGCTGGCTGGTGGGGAGATTGGCCATGTTGGCGACTGCGGTACCCAGGCTGCTGATGCTGTAGTCTCGTGTGTAGGCATCTTGGGGGAAGAAGACGCGGGTATGAGTATTCTTTTGAGAGTGCTGGTGAATGAAGACGCTGGCGAATGACGACGGGTGAATGAAGAACGAAACATTATGGCATATGTGCACTCGCTTTCGAGCACAATGGCAGGGTGTAATGGAGGCGGCACGACAGTGAATAGGAAGTGACTTACGCGTCATTAGTTGCACGGCGAACACATCCATGGTGAATGCGTTCACCATGAACTCGTCGGAGGGCATAAAGCTGCAGACCTCTGGCCCCGAAACTTGAATGCACCATCCTTTTCTCAAACTTAACTTTCTGGATCCCACTTCATTGACTCTTCACCACCGCAAATATGACGAGTCCAGCAAAGACATGCACCTTCGAACACTGCTTGAGGCGTGCCACGCACGTCAGTGGCATCAGCAACAAGGCGTTATGCATCAGACACCTGGGCACGGAGGCGAGAAAGAAACACCATGACGAGCACTTGTGGAAGCTGGATGACGAGCAGTTGTGTGAGCCGGGCAAAGAGGGGAAGAAAGAAGACAATTGGGAGTCGAATAGAAAGAAGGTCATGGAGATGAAGAAACACCATGAGGAGCAATTGTTGAAGAAGCTCTCGAAGCTGAAGATTGGGGAGGCCAACCGCCGTCCCCACGCTCGTCGCTCGAAACTGTAGTGCCATAGTGGCGCAGACAGGGTGTCGCGGGAGATGCTGCAACGCAAGAGAGACTTCATGCGAAGGACAGAGTGTGGTGGGAAAGGATACTGTTTGTTAATCGATATGGGCATCTCCGTTGCGATAGCCGTTAGATGCTATTTAAATTAGTGGAGACGAGGAGGTTAGGGTTTCTTATACGTCGGCAATTCTGCAGCAAAGCAAATGTATGAGTACGAAGCGTCCACTCAGAGCCGGGACGTCCGCGCCTCCACGGCCCGGGGGGTCGGGTGGGAAGGGGATGTAGTGGAGGTATGCATGACGTGAATATCAGGCTGACGTGGAGCGCCGGCCACTCGGATGCCAAGGACGCGAATCATGGCGAAAGGGGGAGGGCTACAACGTGGAGTGACATCGCGGGATGAATGCGAGGAGCGAGAGACGATGATTGCCGGCGTCGTAAAGGCATACGGGATGAATTTAGAGCCAGCAGTTTAGAAAGGGGCCGTTTGGTCTAACCCCTTTGGGCGTGTGCAACAAGCTTCCTGGGTGGGTCCGGGGGTGAGACGCAACGATTCTTTCGTGTCCGCCATCGCGCAACTTCATCTCACCCCCCCTCGCGTGCTTCCACCTGCTTCTGCTCATCGTAATGGCCCGATAGCCTCTCGCTGGCCTCTTACATCTCGAACGAAGAGGCCAGCATATTCTTGCGGCTCCTCGTCCATCCAAAATGGGCTTCAAAACGCCACTTTCCAACCGTTTCGCGCAGCTGCTGATTCTTGCTGCCTGCCTGATCCTCGCCATCTGGCTGCTCGCGCCAACAACGCGTTTGACGCCGCACATCGACCTTCCCACTGGCATCTCTTGGTCAAGACCAAAGCCTGTCGACGCCGAGGCTGCGAGCGGGCCTCCGGACGTGTCACCTACCGTGCACCACCCTATCGACACCCTCATCCAGAGCGCCACCCTCGAGTTCAACAGTCTTCTCTCGAAAGAGACCCTCACCCTCCATGAAGCCGCAGAGGCCTACCGCAAGCGCCGTGGCCGCCAGCCACCACCCCTCTTCGACAAATGGTTCGAGTTTGCCCAGAACAGCTCGGCGGTCATCGTGGAGGACTTCTTCGATCGCATCTATCATGACCTCAACCCCTTCTGGGGCATGCCGGCGAAAGAGATACGAGAGATTGCGCACACTTTCAAGGGCCGCATATCAATAAGAGACGGCGCCGTCAACTGGTGGACGGCCAATCAGCAGCCGGAATGGCTGAGGCAATGGTCGAAAATGATCACTCCTTTCGCGTCGAATCTGCCGGATGTCGACATGCCCATCAACGAGATGGACGAGTCGCGGATGGTCGTCGAGTGGGCAACCATCAATGAGCACATGAAACGGGCGGAGAAAACGAAGCGCATGGTCTCCCAGGCGGAGCTGAAGAATAAATATCAAAGCCTGTCGTACCTCGACGCCAATCCCCCCGCTCCATACGATCCCAAATTCGCCCGCACCGGCTTGTACTGGGAGAAGGCGGTGGTTGGATGCGCGCCAGGCAGCCCGGCGAGGAAGATGAAACTCGACACTGATTTCGCATCTCCGCCTCATTTCGCGGGCAAATACCCCCCCGCCTCCTACGAGGGCTATGTGCGAAACTGGACCCTCACAATGTCCCCTTGTGACAATCCGCATCTCCAAGCACTGCACGGGACCTTTATCGAGCCGCTTTCCATGCAGCACACGAGGCAGTTCTGGCCACTGTTTGGCGGAAGCAAGCTCCCCATGAACAACGAGATTCTGCTGCCGGCTGCGATGTATTGGACCGACGATCCCTTCTACTCCGGTGGCCAAGACCACGGGGAAGCGTGGAGATTGAAAAAGGACAAGCTCGTCTGGCGAGGAGCTGCGTCTGGCGGCCGCAATAAGGCGGACAACTGGCGGCGTTTCCAACGCCACCGATTCGTGAGCATGGTCAACGGCACAACTGTCCGGGAAGCAGAGCTCAACGCGGACGAGCCGCCGCAGAACTTCGTGTTGCCAGCCAAGAACTCCTACCGCCTTGCTGCCATGGCGTCCGATTCCAAGCCGGGCGATTTGGGCGAATGGATCGGCTCGTGGTCGGACGCGGCCTTTGTGCACCTTCTCTGCTTCCCGAAGCCGCCGCCGGAGCATAAGCGCATGTGCGAATACACCGACCCCTACTTCCACGTGGTCGACCGGCTCGCCATGGCCGACCAGTACGACTTCAAGTACCTCCCCGACATCGACGGCAACTCGTTTTCCGGCCGCTACCGCGGCTTCGTCGGCAGCACATCCCTCCCCATCAAAGCCACCATCTACCAAGAGTGGCACGACAGCCGACTCGTGCCGTGGAAGCATTTCGTGCCCATGGACAACACGTTCATCGACATCTACGGTATCATGGAGTATTTTATTGGAAACCACGGCGCGGGCGTTGCCGGGCACGACAACGAGGCCAGGGAGATTGCGCTGGGGGGCAAGAAGTGGGCGGAGCGGGTGTTGAGACATGAGGACATGCAAATCTACGTCTTCCGCCTGCTGCTAGAGTATGCGCGGTTGTGCGATGATGACCGCGAGGTGATGGGATGGAAGGAGTAGCGATACCCATGGGCGTGGATTTGATCGTCGGCGTATCTTGGAGTTTAGGTAGGGTTTAATCGAATTGTTCTGTAACTTCTAGCGTGTGATCGGCCATATCAATGCAAAGAGATACCGTTGGAAAGTCGCTGTGCAATGCTGGTCTGTATCGAACGGTGCTGAGTGTGGCGTCCGGCGTGGCTGGTGCACGGCAAAGACAGGGTCCATCCAGCGCTTGCCTTCATCAAATTATCATCTCAAGTTTTTTGAACAACCCAACACCATCCACGCCAACACGACAATATCCCGACCACAATTCAATCCTTTGTATGCGGCCTGTGCGTCGCGCATTCACGTCTAGTGCTCGACCGCTTCACGCCCTCCGCCCGTGGCTGTGCAGAAACTTCACCAAACGGCGAGTTCTGAGTCACGAGACAGTCACGCCCAGCGCAACACGAAACTATATAAGTCGACTGCGCATCTCTCCTTTCCAATCCTCACAGTACGCAACAATGGCGCTCGCAAACGGTGCAGCGTCCGACATGGAGCAAATCACCTCACACCTACAGACACTCGGCATCTCCAGCATACCCACCTTCCCCGGCGTCCAGCTCTACCCCCAGCATAACCCCGTCGATGTATACCGCGCCGTCATCATCCAACAGCTCCAGACCATCACCGGCGCCGAACCCGAAATCATCAACAACGCCGTGCAATGGACGCAAGATCTCAAGCACGGTGATCTGGTCTTGCCCGTTCCCGCCTTGCGCCTGAAGGGCAAGAAACCCGACGAACTGGCCAAGGAGATCTCGGAGAAGTTCAGCAGTCCTCTCATCCAGAAGCCCACTGCCGAGAAGACATATGTCCGATTCTTCTTCGAGCCGAAGTCGTATGCCAAGCTCGTGCTGCCCACCATTCTCAAGCAGAAGGGCGATTACGGCTTCAATCCCAACCTGGGCCTGGAAGATCCGAAGGATCCGTCAAGTCGGAAGAAGAAGGTGATTGTGGAGTACTCAAGTCCGAACATCGCAAAGGAGTTCCACACTGGCCATTTGAGGAGTACCATCATCGGCGGCTTCCTGATCAAGCTGTACTCGCGCGCAGGTTGGGACACGCTCTCGATGAACTACCTCGGCGACTGGGGCAAGCAGTACGGCGTGCTGGCGCAGGGCTTCGAGAAGTACGGGAGTGAGGAGGAGCTGCAGAAGGAGCCCGTCAAGCATCTCAACGAAGTCTACGTCAAAATCAACCAGGACAACTCCGCCGAGCTCAAGCCGCTGAACGCGCTCAAAGACAGGCAAAAGGAATTGGAGAAGCTGAAGATGCCGAAGAAACCGGTGAAGCCGGCCAAGGGAAAGCCTGCGGAGCCTGTGGAGCCAGTCGTGCAGGAGGAGTTCACCGAGGCGCACGAGAAGGAACTGGCCGAGCTTCCGGCAAAGATGGAGAAGGTCGAGCAGGAGCTGGCTGCGATACCCAGTATCGATGAGAAGGCCCGTCAGTTCTTCGCCCGGATGTACAACGGCGACAAGGAGGCGCTGCAGAACTGGCAGAGGTTCAGGGACTTGTCGATCGATGCCTACATCAAAATGTACGCTCGTCTGAACATCGAGTTTGACGAGTATGGTGGAGAGTCGACAGTCAAGGAAGCGAATATGGAGCAAGCGGTGGTGGTGTTGGAGAAGAAGGGCATCAGCGAGGATAGCAAGGGCGCCATCATCGTGGACCTCTCCAAGCACGGCGCGCCAACACTCGGCAAGACACTGGTCAAGAAGAGGGACGGCACCTCACTCTACCTCACCCGAGACATCGCCGGCAACTTTGAGCGCTACGAGAAGCACAAATTCGACAAGATGATCTACGTCGTCGCCTCGCAACAAGACGTGCACATGGCGCAGTTCTTCAAAATCCTCGAGCTCATGGGCGAACCGTACGCCGAAATCGTCGCCAGATGCGAGCACATCACCTTCGGCATGGTGAAGGATCCCAAGGGCCAGACGATGAGCACGCGAAAGGGCACCGTCGTCTCGCTCGCCGACTCCCTCGACCACGCCAAGGAATTCATGCACGACGTGATGCGCAAAAACGACGACAAGTACAAGCAAGTCGCCGACCCGGAGTCCACGGCCGACATCCTCGCCATCAGCGCCATCATGGTGCAGGACTACAGCGGGAAGCGCATCAACAACTACAACTTCGACCTGGAGAAGATGACGTCCTTTGAAGGCGACACCGGCCCCTACCTGCAATACTCGCACGCGCGCGTCTGCTCCATGGAGCGCAAAAACCCCGTCCCCTTCGAGCAACTCCTCGCCGCAGACCTCAGCCTCATCATGTCGAAAGAAGGCATCGAGCTCGTTCGCACGCTCGCCCAGTGGCCCGACGTCTTCCTTAACACGTACAAGACCCGCGAGCCCGTCACCGTGCTCTCGTACCTGTTCAAGATGACGCACGTGCTGTCGACGTGCTACGAGGCGAAAGACGCGAGCAATCACAACGCGAAGACGATGAGCGTCATGTTTGCCGAGACGCCGGAGAAGAAGGCGGCGCTCATGGCGTTGTATGATTGCTCGAGGCAGGTGTTGGGGAATGGGATGCGGCTGCTCGGGTTGACGCCTGTGGAGAGGATGTAGATCCCGGTGGATGGGAGAGTCGCTTTTGCATGATCCAGGGCGTTTCGATTGGGTGATCGCCTGATCTGTATCTTAGATGCTGCCAGTTAGCTAGAGAAGTGCTGAATGATTCACACCGCAAACGCTCGTCGCGCATACATTAGTCTGCATGTCGTAGTCAGCCAGATTCACCTGCTGAGGAGAGGAGAGGGCAAAAGGCGTAGAGGATAATGATGTAATTACAACTGCCATGCTACATACATACTTCGAACAACAAACGCATAAGCGCCGGGTATATCTTCTGAAGAACAAGACAAGCCAGACTAACTCAATCTCACCCGCCGCCGCATGCAATGTACAAAATCAATCATCCCAATCCCTCTCTTCTGCTCACACCCCTACAACTCATCCCTCACGCTCTCCGTAACCACACTCGCAACACTGCTAACACTGCTCGCCGCCGCTTCCACAGCCTCCGAAGCCACCGAAACAGCCTCACCAGCCGACTTGCCCGCCTCCGCGCCAAAAGCTACAATCCTGCTCTGCGCACTAGCCACAGCAGCCGAAATCTGCGCCTGCACGCTCTCGACGTAGCCCGCCTCTTCGCCGTAAAAGGCACTGCTGAGCGCGGCCGAAGCGGCGCTAGCCTGCTCCGCCGCAGCAGAGGTGATGGAAGAGTACACGCTCGCGGCGCTGTGCTGGGCAGCTTGCAGAGTGGCTGTGGGGGCGCCGTAGATGGCTGAGGACAGGGCTGCGGAGGCGGAGGACGCGATGGCTGCCATGCTGCTTTGCGCTGCTTCGGCGTACGCTGTTTGCGAGCCGTAGATGGCGCTGCTGACGTGCGAGGCGGCGCCGCTGTAGGCGCTTGCGGCTGCTTCGGTTGCTTGGGCGACGGGGCCTTTGCTTGTGCCGTACACTTGGGCGCTGGCGGCTTCGACGGCGGAGTTGAGTTGGGAGTTCACCTGGTCGAGGAGGTTGTCGAGAGTTGCTGGGGGGGTGAAGACGGCGGAGACGACGGAGGATGCGGAGGCGTAGGCTTCGCTGGCTAGGCTGGAGGCAGAGGATACCATTGCTGGAGCTCCGGTGGAGTATGCGGAGGATAGGCGGGACATGACGCTGGCGGTGAAGTCGGGCTCTTTGCCGACGACCAGTTCAGAGAAGAGAGCTTGGACTGCGGCGTACTGGTCCGCAGCGGCTTTGGTCGCTGATGCCGCGTATTCGCTGGCTTGACTCACCACAACGTCGGTGAAGGGCGGCGGGGCTCCGTAGACGTTCTGACTTGCGCGCGAGATCAGAGCCTCCCAGTTCTCCGACGCTCGGGATGCCATCGCCTCGTATGCTGGCGTTTCGCTGCCGTAGATGGCAGAGCTAGCCGCGGAGCCTATCGACTCGGCGACACCAGTCGTGCCATACATGGCCGCGCTTGCTTGAGAAGAGGCTGCAACTAGGCGGGACGAGGCGGCATCGACTGCCGCAGAGTACTGTGAAGAGACTTCATCAAGCACGCTCTGAGCCTGTGACTTCTTCGTAGCACCGACGGCAGAGCTGGCCGAGTCGAGAAGCTCATTCATGCTAGACGATGCCGCGGCAACTGCAGCGCTGTAGGTACTCTGTGCAGCAGCCATGTAGCCAGCAAAACCAGCCGTAGGCGTTGCGCCAACTGCGCTTGAAGCCGCATCCGTAAAGGATGAGTACCGATCGTATGCGACACCAATTCCTTCGTAGTAAGCCCGCTGCGCGGACGCCAGATAGGCCTGGTGCGCAGGCGTCGGCTCCACGCCCACGGCGACCTTCGCATTCGAGTATTGCGACGAAGCAGAAGCAAGAGCTTCGGACAACCGCACCGATGCGATCGACGAGATACTCTCGTATGCGCCTTGAGTCTTGAACAAGCCTGTAGGGGTGGGCACAGCCGCTAGAATATCCTGCAGTCTCGAATCTGCACCGGCAATAGCGTCCGAGTAGGCCGACTCGACAGACGAGAACATCTGCTTGTGAATCGGTTTGGGCGTGCCGGAGATCTGAATTGAGATACTGGACTTGGCGGCATCGAATTGGACGGATGCTTGACTCAGCGCTGCGCTGTAGTGAGAGCTGGCAGCGGCCTGCAGGTATTGAGCGCCATCCTTTGCCGCAGATGTGGCGCTTGTGATGACGGAGCTCGCATATTGAACGGCGATAGTGGCGGTGGGAACAGGCCGGCCGTAGATGGCGTACGATGCACTGCAAATCGTTAGCACGGGTGGTGTAGGACAGGTCTGAGCAGGTTAGACGTACGCAGTGACAGCACTCAAGTATTGCTCTCTTGCAGCGTCTGCTCCTTTCTCCACCGCGCCTTTCTCCGGTCCGAAGAGGACAGAGCTTGCAGCCGCGATAGCACTCTCGTATTGTTCGCTCGCCACACTCGTGAGACTTTCCACCGTTCCCTGCGTAGCCGTAGCCGCACTCAAAGCATCCTCGACCGCCTGCGTGATCGCAGCAGCTTTATCACCGAGAATGGATTGAATCCGGGAGCTATAGCTGGCCGTGTCATCCACGACGTCGTCCAAGATGGGCTCTCGCGCTTCAACGAGGACCTGGGCATAGGCGCCGGCGAACACTTTGCTGGAAGCCTTTGCGGCGGCAGAAGAAGCAGAGCTGGCGATTGATGTGGCCGTATCAGACGCATCTGAGCTGGCGGAAGAGAAGCTAGAGGAAAGCTCGTCTGCCGGGCTGGAGGCGCTGCTAGAAGCTTGAGAAGCCACAGATTCCACACTCTTAGTCACGCTATCCTCTCCAAGGGCAGCGGACGACAACGAGGACGCCAGACTTTCCACGGTTCCGGTTTCGGATCCGACGACGGCTTCAGACGCTTTTGAAGCAGCATCGGTAAAGGTATCGGACAGGCCGGATTCAGAGCCATGGACCGCTTCTGAGGCAGCAGAAACGACGCTTGCGGCTGATGACTTGACCTCACTCGCAGCGCTTTCGACGACCGGAGTCTCATGGCCTGCCACCGCCTCAGAAGCTTGGCTGGCAACGCTTTTAGCGGACTTCTTGCCCTGGCTTGCAGCACTTCCAACTGCAGGAGTATCAGAGCCCACCACAGCCGCAGAAGCTTGACTCGCGACACTTTGAGCAGACTTCTTGACCTGACTGGCAGCGCTCTCGGCTGCAGGAGTGTCACGGCCGACCACTGTCTCAGAAGCCTGGCTGGCCACGCTTTGAGCAGACTTCTTGATCTGGCTGGCGGCGCTTTCAACTGCAGGAGTGTCACGCCCGATCACTGCCTCCGAAGCTTGGCTGGCTACGTTTTGAGCTGATTGTTTGACCTGGCTCGCGGCACTCTCGACAGAGGGAGTTTCACGGCCAATGACCGCCTCGGATGCTTGGCTGGCGACGCTTTGGGCGGATTGTTTGATCTGGCTGGCGGCGCTCTCGACAGACGGAGTCTCGCGGCCCATGACTGCCTCAGACGCTTGACTCGCAACGCTTTGAGCGGACTCTTTGAATTGGCTCGCGGCACTCCCAGCAGAGGGAGTCTCGTGACCGACCACAGCCTCCGAGATCCTGCTCGTCATATCGCCTGCGACCGAAGAGGCCTTGCTAGCCAAACTTTCCACGCTCTCCGACGCAACAGACGTAGCGGACTCCACGGTGCCTTGGTCCTTTCCGACTATGGCTTCTTTGACTTCCTCCGCCTTTTGCACGACCTGCTGCCGCGCTCGCTCCGCAACAGGCGGCACATGCTTCGTCTCAAAGTCGGCCGAAGCATCACCAGCGGCGATCTTCCACCTCGCCGCTCCCTTCAGTCGGGCCAGCTCGAGCGCCGCTTCTTCGGCGACAGCCATGCCCTTGTTCTCGACATCCTCGCCGGCCTTCTTGGCGGATTTGATGCCTTCGTGATTGGCGACTACCTTCTCGACGTCGTCCCTCCAGCCCTTGGTGGCCTTCTTAAGGTCAGTGTATTTCGACCATTCTTTGTGGGGGAGGTCTTTGTCGGCGTAGCGTCGGCCAATCTCCGAGAGGCGCAGGTCGCGAATGCTGTCGATGGTCTCCAGGGTGGACTGCAACGCCTTGTCTACCAACCCGTCAATCTCGGCGTTGTAAGACTGGTGCCAAGTGCGGATCGCCTGCGCGCGAACTTTGATGGTCTTGCCGGCGGCTTGGATAGCGGTGGTCATGGCGCCGGTGGCCTTTTCCCGGTGTTCGTTCTTGACGTTTTCGGGAAAGTCGTAGACAAGAGATTGAATCTTGGATTTGAAGGTGTCAAAGGCGTTGGAGACGGTCTCCTCGAGTTGGATGACCAAGGCGTTGCCGACGTTTTCTGCCTGGCTGGAGACCTGATGGGCGGAGATGTCGGTGATGCGTTCTTTGAGGTCTTCGGCGCCCTCATGCGTAGCTCTGGCACATATGCTTTCCCAGCTCTTCAAATCTTCGCGAAATTGCTCAACGGGAGTGAGGGTAGGCTCGGGCTCGGGCTCGGGCGTGGCGAAAGAGGTGGCGGTCTCAACGGAAGACAGGATCGAGGTGGCGGAAGAGACGACGGACTCCAGGCTGGAAGTCGCTTCGGTGGCATGAGCTTCCATTTCCATGCTCTTGATTTCCGCCTCGAGTCTCTTGCCATCTTTGTACCGTCCCAAACGCTCAGTGATGCGATGTAGCTGTGGCTCCACATTCTCCCCATACAACACGCGAATCTTGGGCCACACCTGCCTCACCCACAATGTCCAGACGGTGCTGCCTGCGTATTGTGCCTGAGGGATGACGGTATTGATGGTGAAGTGTTGACCTTGCTTGTACACCTTGTGTGCGTACGGCGCGGTCTTATGGTAGATCGGGCGCAACTCCAGTTCCCAGATGTCATTGGCCGACGTGGTGACCTGGGTATAGTAGGGCTGAACCACGTTTTGCACCTTCTGCACGTGTGGGCCGAGAGTGGCGTCGTATTGCTTGCCGACTTGCCTCTTGGCCACGTCGAGTTGAGGCCGAATGGTCTTGTCCCATTGTTTCTTGCCATACCTTTGCGCGTGTGCCACTCTGGGGGCGGCATGGCGGTTATACGCGTCGAGCGCAGGGTGGTAGAGCTGCTCGTTGACTCGATCGACGTACGGCTGGGCTCGATCGACGTACGGGCCCAGGTATTGTTCGTAGTAAGGATGAATGTAAGGCTGCACAAACTCCTTCGCGTAGATGGCGGGTCGGCAGACCTGCGGACTCGTGTCGTCCAACTTGTCGGAGGTGCGAGGGCAGCGAAAGGCGAGGGTGATGATGGTATACCACACCGCCGCTTTCAAGAGCTTGTGGAACAGCCATCCGGTCGGGGTGCGCTTGCTCCGCCGCCGCGCGCGAGAGCTTCTGCTGGAGGGGGAGGTAGAGGCGGGGGCAGCGAGTTGGCCGTTCATGGTGGAGGTGGTGCTGCCGCTCTTTGGCTTGCCATTCGACTGCGCGCCCATGGCGAAGAGGAAGCGAGCAGGACGTTGGCGATGCTGGCTTGGCAGTTAATGTCGTAGCTCTCTCGCCGGAGCTTTGTCTCCACTAAAATTTCACATGAACGTTGCTGGCGAGACTCGAGAGCGTGCGGGAGAGTGTGGAGATGGTTGCACCTTCTCCAAGAAGAAAGTAGACGTAAGCTGGATATGGAAAGAGCGAGGGATACAAGGCAAGGCAGGCGCGAAGAGTACAGCAATCATCATTCAACCACCTGCATTCGTTCAACCATTCACCCATCACCCACCGCTAAACTTCAAGCTTGTTTCGCGCCGCCGCCTTTCCTCTTCCAGCATTTCACGCCCGGCGTCATGCTAAGTAAGCAGCGCCCGAACCTCTAAGAATTGCACTGTACGTGGTTCACAACCACCAAACACACCCATTTCCTTTGTCTTTCGGTGAAGCAGCATCGTGGCTGACCGGTGTTCCTACGCTCTCAAAGCAACTCGCAGCAAGCGCAAGCAGCCGCTTCCCTCCTGTGTCTTTCCAACACCTACAACTTCTCATCTCGCTCCTCTGTGGTAGCTAGCGACTCTTCGACCCCATACTACACCTGTCCCTCCCGTTCACCTACCTCCGCCAGGCCGGAACGACTCCAGCTCATCTACAGGCCTGCTCGACCCGAGTTCGCCTCCGATTCAGCCATCAATCCGTCAAATGGTCGCTCCCACCTAATCCCGGCGCCTAATCGGCGCTTAAACCGTCTCTCACCTACCTCCCCACTTCCGCGAGAATGAACGACACCGACCCAACAACGGACGGGTTTTTCAACCACTCCTCTCTCCAACGCCGCGATACTTTCTCCTCCAAAGCCGAAAGCGAAGGTGGTGGCCTTGAAAGAATGGACACGGGCTCGGAGCGAATGGACACCTGCCGCATTTGTCGCAGCGAGGGTAGTCTCGATGAGCCTCTCTTCTACCCATGCAAATGCTCTGGCAGCATCAAGTTTGTGCACCAAGACTGCCTGATGGAATGGCTCAGTCACTCCAACAAAAAGCACTGCGAGCTGTGCAAGACGCCCTTCCGCTTCACCAAACTTTACGATGCCAACATGCCCCAGCGACTGCCCTGGATGGTTTTTGTGAAGAGGGCATGCTGGCATGTCCTTCAGCTGCTGACTAAAGCGGGAAGAGGTCTGTTGGTCGCCCTGGTGTGGTTGGGAGTCATTCCATGGGTCATACGCTGGGTGTGGAGGTGGTTCTTTTGGGTCGCTGATGCTGCCTGGGCCCGGGAGGCCTTTATGAGCGTGATGCAAGCGGCGTCGATGGAAGGAGAAGGGCAGCAGCTGAGGAAGTCGGACACAACTCTCGTGACGCGGTTTGCGGATGCTGTCCAACAACTCTTCCGTCCAGAGACGCTCGCACACCACACCCAAGAAGCATTCACGTCCATCGTGTCTTCTGCGTCTGGAGACACGGGCCCGGGGAGTGTCAATCTAACAACATCCACCGCATTCGCCTGGCCACAAGCCGATCCGTCCATCCTGTCCTCCTGGACTTATCTCTCTTCCCTCACCAACAACTCACGCCTGAATCGCATCATCCTTGATGTCTTTGAAGGACAAATCATTACCTGTGTCGTCATTGCGGGCTTCATTCTCGTCTTTCTCATTCGAGAGTGGGTGGTACAGCAGCAACCTCTGCTGATCATCGACAACGTGCCCCTGAACCGGGCTCAGCTTGCAGAGCGGGTACGGGATGGCGCAGAGCGGGTGCAAGATGGTAGAGAGCGATTTCGTCGTCAACAACTTGAGCTAGAACGGGCACAGAGGATCATGTTCGAATGGGAGCGTCAACACGGCGGGTTATTTCTCGTTCCGCCAACGGAGATTGGGCCATACGCAGGGTTCCAGTCACTTCAATGGCACATGGATCACGCCACGGAGCGACTCAGATCAACAAATGACTATGACGTCTTCCAGATCGCCGCCAGAGACATAGCAAGGGATGTGGAGGCGGGTGTTGCAGCGGCTGTGGATCTCGAAGAGTTCACCGAGCGGCTGATCGCCCAACTCAATACGTACACCGAGCAAGAGAGGAGATCATGGCACACCATGCTGAGCTCCGTCATCTCCAGCGATGTCGAGCATTGGCGAGCAGACGCAAACGCGCAGCCTGAAATTGGCACCGCGCAAGCAAGCGTTTCCAATGGATTGCCCGCACAACCGCGTATACCTATGCACGACCCGTCATCTTCACCAACCGATATCAAAAGGCTGTTGCAAGATGCAGCTGCGGCCCTTAGAATTTCTGGCGTGAAAATCACGCCCCCTGACAATGCAACCAACGGCTTTCAAAGCGCAGATGCTCCAACCCATCGACCTCGGCTCGATCCTATACCGATCACAAATGCTGGGCCAGACGCCAAGATCAACATCATGCGAAACGTCAACGGGGAGATGAAGGCGCTGCCAGACTTCCGAATTGAGGAAAATATGCTTGCCAAGGATGAGGCCAAGAGGGATTTGGAGAATGAAGTCGCACGTGAGGACGCCATGAACAGAACAACGACAGCCGCTGCTATCGATGCACCCCTCCATGATCATGAGGCACTCCATGGCAACCACGACAATCCATTTCATCCTGAGGGGCCAGAGCCCGAGCAGCACCACGGCGAGAGCTTCGCTGACACGGTAGCAAGCGTCTTCCGTGAGGAATTTGGTCTTGACGAGGGCAATGAGTGGGAGAACCTGCGACCAGCGGGAGCACAACCCAATCCGGAAGTGGATCACACTGCTCCTGATCCAGAAGCACCGCAGCCGGAGCAAGCAGATCAAGCACAGCGTGGCAACTTGCACAGGCTGGCAGACTGGTTTTGGGGCGACATCCAGCTTCGTGATGTGCCAGAGCCCGTCCCGGCGCCAAACGAAGAACGTCAGCAGAATGGCGGCGAGGACGATGGCCAAGAAGCCCCGTTTGTTCCCATACTCGATCGGCGTCCCGTTGCCGCCGCCCCGCCAGCTCAGCCCGTCCACCATCATCACGATCCGGAGGTATTGGCAGCCGCACAGCAGGCAGGGCTCGATCCAGAGGCTCTGGAAGACCCGGAAGATCTTGAGGGTATTCTCGAGCTGATTGGTCTTCAAGGCCCACTCGTTGGTCTGTTCCAGACATCGGCCTTTTGTACGCTTCTGGTGGTTTGCACCATCGTGTGCGCAGTCATCCTGCCATACGTGGGCGGCAAGCTTGTCCTCAACCTCCTCGCTAGCCCGGTCTATCTCCTCGTCAAGCTGCCTCTTCGAATTGCTAGCCACGCCGCAGACTTCATCGTTGACGTTGCGCTCGTATTCGGGGGTTGGGCAGTCATGCTCCTCGCTCTCGCCACCGACTTTTTACTCTCTGCGGTGGAAGCATGGCTTCCTTTGCTTGCAGATCAGTCATTTACCCAGAAGACCATCGACTTTGCTACCAACACTGCAACACAAGCGGGCTCAAGGCTTGCCTCTCTGTTCGCTGAAAGCCCCGTTCTAGCGGAAGAACCAGCAATGGAAGTTTTGGCCACGAGCTGGGCGCTGCTCGCCAGTTCGGTTCATGCTCATGCTTCGCTCAATACCATCAAGGACGAAGTCAACGGTGTGCTTGCTGGAATGAGTATGGCAGTGACGTGGACAGTTGAGACCATTTCAACAGGATCCGTGCTCGCCGCGCTCCAACAGGCTCTTCTGACAGCCTTCAACATGCCTGCGCTTCGAACTGCTCTGGTTGCCTTGATCGATCTTATGAGAGAAGTCTCACAGCCACTTATCGAGAACGTCCGCAGTTTGCTCGGTGGTGAAGTAACGGTGACAACTCGCAAGATCATGCTGGAGCCAACGCTGGTATACTGGAATTCTACCGACCGAGCGTACGCAATACTCGCAGGATACGCCGCACTTGCTGCCCTGGCCACCATCTATGTTGCAGTCGACACACCCATCACGAGATCCGAGTCTGGCAAGAGGACAGAAAAGATGATTCGTGATAGCCTGCGTCAAGCAGGCGGAGTGTTCAAGGTCATCCTGATCATCAGCATCGAGATGCTAGTCTTCCCACTCTACTGCGGCTTGCTGCTCGATATCGCTTTTCTGCCACTGTTCCAGAAGGCCACAGTCGCCAGTCGCTGGGCCTTTGCCGGACGGAGCCCCTACACCTTCTGCTTCGTGCATTGGTTCGTTGGCACATGCTACATGTTCCACTTTGCCCTGTTCGTGGGCATGTGTCGGAAGATCCTCCGCAAAGGTGTGCTTTGGTTTATTCGCGACCCCGATGATCCGACCTTCCATCCCGTTCGAGACGTGCTGGAGAGGAACGTGGCGACGCAGCTGCGCAAAATAGCCTTTAGCGCGCTGGTGTACGGTGGCCTGGTCATCCTGTGTCTCGGCGGTGTCATTTGGACCATTGGCAAAGCCTGCCGTGACATCTTCCCCATCTACTGGATTTCGACCGAGCCGATTCTGGAGTTCCCGTTGGATTTGTTCCTTTACAACTTCATCACACCTCTCATCATCCGGCTATTCAAGCCTTCCGACGCTGTCAATACAATGTATGCGTGGTGGCTAAGGCGATGCGCACGTGTGCTTCGACTGTCCCATTTCTTGTTCGATGATCGAAGGAAGGACGAAGAAGGCCATCTCGCTCAAGGCTCATGGACCCGCGTCCTTCCCATGCAGAGCGGGTCCAGCACGATCGACGGCTCAGGGGATGACTACCTCTCCGACTCTTTCCAGCGTGACGGCAAATACGTGCTGACGCCCTGCAACGATCAGTACCGTCCGCCGAAATACGGCGAGGCCTTCTTACACGTGGACGAGGACGATGCCTACATTTGCGATAAGGATGGCAAGAAGAATGAGCATTTTGCCAAGGTCTACATCCCGCCGTGGTTCCGCGTGAGGATTACGCTCTTCATGGTCTGCTTGTGGCTATTCTCCGCCGTGATTGGGCTCTGCGTCACCCTCGTCCCACTCGTATTTGGCCGACATGTCTTTACAACTATTATGCCGGATGGAGTCAAGGTCAACGACATCTACGCCTACTCGCTCGGAGCGTATGTCCTGGGTGGTGGCTTGTTTGCGCTCTTGAAGGGACGACAGGTACTGTTGAGCCACATGCGGCAGGCGAAAGTCGACCTGTACGCGTGCATCGGGCCTCTGCAGCGCTTCACCATCCGCGTGCTAAAGTGTTGCTACGTCTACGGCTTCATCGGCGTCGTCCTTCCGTGCATCTTCGCGCTCGTGCTGCAGTTCTACTTCATCCTCCCCTTACACACCGCCTTCGTCTCCACCAGCACAACCGCACAAGAGCCCGCAACCCAAACATCAACAAACAGCACCTCCACCCTCACCGACCAAACGACCAACTCAACAGCCAACGCAGCCTGGGCCCCAACCAACCTCCCCCTCCCCTCTCTCGCCGAACACTCCATCCACATTCTCCAAGACTACGCCCTTGGCCTCCTCTACGTCCGCATCGCCAGCAGACTCGTGATCGCCTCCCCGGCCTCCAAAGCAGCAGAAGCTTTCCGCCGCATCACTGCAGCAGGCTACACGAACCCCAACTTCCGCCTCGCGACGCGCTTCTTCGTCCTCCCCGTTTGCCTCTTATCCGCGCTTCTCCTCCTCCTCCCGCCTCTCATAACCAGCATAGGCCTCACAGCCACCCGCACCCTCGCGCCGAAAATACAACTAAGCGCAGAGCTCGTGACAAAGGCGTACCGCTACTCCTACCCGCTTGCGTCTACGTGCGGCGTGCTGGCTCTCACGGCCGCGGAGCTGGGCAGGGCGACGAGCCGCTGGCGGGCGCGCATTCGCGACGAGGTGTACCTTGTTGGCGAGCGGTTGCATAACTTTGGGGAGAAGAAGCCGCCGGCGGGGAGTCGGAGTGTGGTGCGAAAGGAGAGGGTGAGTTTTTAGCGTTGTGATGGGTGGTGGTGCTTGCTTTTGGTTGGGTTGTTTGTATGTTTAGCGGTTATTGGAGAGAAGGCTAGATGTATCACAACTTCACTTTGTGTAAGACTTGGCCTGCCAGATTACGCGTTGCTTGTTGCATTCTGTCGGATACAGGAAGTGCAGCATTTCAATTCGCGATATTGTGTCGTATGACAGCTCATTGAGCGGGCCCTGCTATGACCAACATTTTGCAGCAGAATGAGAATAGGTGTGAAACCTACATGTACGACTCAGTATTTGTAAGAGGCCAACACTATAGTCGCGAATCGAGTGAACATCGAAAACCATCAGTCTTCCTAGGAGGCTAACAGTACGGCCGCGAATCGTGTCCGAGTAGGTCGTCACCGAACAATCTGTTGCTGGTGTAGCATACCATATGAACCTAGGTAATCATCCATCCCATTCAAGTCTACTTGCCTCCCTTGCTTGAAGGTGTGGTGGTCTTTGCTGCAGAACCCCCAATAGCCCCTGCTGGAGCTGTCGCTACTGGTTGGGAAGCAGGGGCAGACGAAGCCGGGGCAGTCGAAGTCGTATTGGAAGGCGTCGAACCCGGCATTGACGATGCGGGCTTCACTGCGGCTGGCTTTGTCAGAGCCGTGCTCGCTGGCGCCTGACTCGATGGTGGCGTTGGCTGCTTCGCGGTAGTAGCGATATTGGCAGCCCCTGAACCCGCTGAGGGCGGAGCTGGCGTTGAGCTCTTCGTCGCCACTGGTGTCGGCGTTACCGACTTGGATGCCGCGGACCCTTGAACCGCTGGCTGTTTTATTGTCGTCGGTTGAGTGCCCGTTCTCGCCGTTGAAGTTGCGCTCGAAGCTGGTGTGGCGTCCTTTGACGCTCTTAAATCGCCGAGAAGCTCATCCAATTCTGCTGCCGCTTTCTCACGCGCGACTCGCTGGCGCTTGGCTGCTTGTTTGAGCGACTGGCGATCGAATTCTAGATCCTTGGCTTCCATCTCGGCGACCGTCGTAGGGCCATCCGTGATCCTCCCTTCAGCAGATTCTTCGTAGTAGTAAGGAATCGGCTTGCCCTCGACGTCAAAGGCGTAGCCGGTGTACGGCTCAACGCCGTTGTAAAGCTTCCACTTCGTGTGCTGCGCGTAGAAAGAGCCGTTGGGTGTAAGAGGACGTATCTTTCGCTCTTTTTTCACTTCCAAGAGCGGTCCTTTCACGGGCTGGGGATCTGGTATATCTGGGGTGGGCGGAACGGCCTGTGGTCCGAACCATGGCTCATCCTCGGTCTCTACACCTTGTAGGTCGCAGGAAAAAACCACTTTCCCCTAAGCATTGCACCTTGTCAGCATGTTTCTTGCTGTATCGATCAAGGGGTACCGCGCAGTACATTCGAGTTCTTGTCAACACCCAGATCTTGAGACTCGAAATTGAGCTTCTTCTTCACTTCAACGGACTCTGCGACGTTCTTGTCACGGAAAGTAACAAGCATTCTTGCATCCTCAAGACAAGCCTTTCCTTGATACCCTGGGGCCAGCTGCAGCCGAACGATCATTAGTTCCCAAGTGGCGATTCCGGCATTTGCTAGAGTGTTCAGATCTATATCGCCTACCAACACTCCGTCAGCATCGGCGGTCAGTCCACGGGCTCGGAACGGCGAAAGTTGCACAGTATTGTTGAACACCCGAGTCCAGCGGAACTTGGCCCGATATGCGTAATCCTGACCAGATTCTGCAATCTCTTGATCCTTCTGGAGAGTAACGTCGCCAACTCCCCAATGCAGGTAAGGGCTGTGTTGTTTCTTTAGCACCGGAACCACGAGCACAGGCTTGATGATTTCGAGACCGCACAGCTTCAGTGTCATTTCCATTCGGAGCGTAATCGCGCGATCCGCACTTTCTGTATACCAGGCTTGTGTGTCCAAGACAAGCGGGTTAATAAAGTCTGCTCGATTGAAGGTCTGCCAAGTTTCCCAGACAGGACTGTACTCGCTGTAGCGGCGCAGGTAGACTTGTCGCCGTGTCTCGTCAAACGTCAGATTTTTGTAGGACGTGATGAATTGCGCGTCCAGCATCCTCGAGGGTGCCTTTGCATTAGGGACTGCCTTTGCATCGGGAACTGCCTTTGAATCGGGGACTGCCTTTGCATCCGGCACGGGTTTTGCATCCGACATCGTTCCATCTGCAATGCGGGCCCTCACCTTTTTCGCGATCCACGCTCGTGCCTGTGTCAGCAGCGGCTGTCCTGAAGTGTCGGATCCTTCGGCGCTCAGCCCCCAATTATCCCTACGACCAGAGCGAACGACTCCAATGACCTTAGAAACGACATCGACTTTAGTCTTCGCCGCACCCTCGACCTTATAACTCCTCTCAAAGACCGGGCCTCCGGAATTAGCTTCCACGCACAAGTTAGTGTACAGCTTGCAGCGTCACGTGGAGTGTCCTGAGGTGACTCACCAGCAAGAGTGTCTAGATCGCAGGTGAACGTTGCATTGAAGCCATCGACCGGTCTCAAGATTCGCGGAGATGACAGCGCTTTGCCGTGAGCCGAGATCTTTAGAGGGAGGCCGTGCGGATGGCCAAGGAGAAAGTACTCTGGGGACGGGAGCGCATCTTTACTCGCCGGTAGCGGCGTTGTCGTGGGACGCGATGCCGGCGCGGGCTGCGCTGTCGTCCCTGATGAGGGCGCGTCTTTGTCCACATCTTGCAACCCGAGCCGCTGCACTGCTTTTGAGCGCGCTTCTTCGTCCATTGGTTGCCATCCGGGCCGCTCGATCGTCCTGGATGGCGCATCATTGCTCACAAGCAGCGGCAGCGGAAGACTCGCCCAGTCCGGAGCAGGTGTGGTGTTTGCTAAGGATGTCTGTTCACTCTGCCCTGCGGGATTCCCCTGGCGGAACGCGAAATGAGGACCAAGGCGTAAGAGGCTTAAATCGTAAAGCCTTGGAGGCTTCAGCTTTACCCAAGGATTGTTCTTCTCTGCAAACCAACCCCCCTCAGTTTTCTCCTCGTCGTCAGAGGCTGCCACGCCGCGATGAAGTAGAATACTACTACATGTCAGCCACTGCTTAGTCTGGGGATCTGGCCATGCATACCGGTCAATGGTAAAGACCTTATCAAACTTGTATTTCCATCCAGTGCCTTGATCATTCCGCTCCGCCCTGAGGTTGAACACGGCGACAAGCTCATCCAAATCAAAGTCGGCATCAAACATGTGAATAGCATGGCCAGCAGTCGCAACGATGCCTGGCGCAACCATGAAACCCGTTGCGGTGCCAAAGGAAGGTTGACTCGAGAATTTGGTTTCGAAGCGGTGCTGACCCGGATTGGGCCAAGGCATTTGCAAGAGTTCCTTCTCGTCGTCTGCCCGCTCGTTACTCGAAGAGAATTCTGCGAGGAGCTTATCAATCTTTTTGCGGGTCTCCTGTTTGATAGTATCCCAAATATATGTGTTATAGTCAAGCCTCGCGGGAAAGAGATCAATACCATCTGGCCCTTCGGCAGAGATCGGTCCACCAACGTATTTACGCTGTCTTGAATTGCGTAGCTGGCTTAAGGAAGTCAAGGTGCAGACACTCTCGCACAGTGGCCTAGAACGAGTCAGCTGAACGTGATCCACATTGAGATTTGAGGCCGTCTTACTGAAGATCCAAAGTAGGATCCCAGTACTCCTTGACGTCAAATCGATTTTGATCCGCGTCAAGCGGCACTTCGCTCAACCCTGTCATGTACGCGTGGCGTGTCACAAGAGCCATGTCGAAAGGAGGTTACTGCTCGTCTGGTGAAGTGAGATGAATGTGCTAGGGTCGTAAGCGTCACGATATCTCGGTCGCCTGCTGAAATGATTCGGTCTTCGACGGCAGATCACGACGGAGTATATGTGCAAGAACCTAGGTGAGGAGATGGGCTGAGAGACTGCGAACGCCAGGCGAGCAACTGAGAGGGCTGCATTGGTGCAGCCATAGCAACGTGCATGCTGCAGCATCGCCTGACACGGGGCACCTTTCGATGCAGCTCTCTCAACCTTACGAGCTAAAGGCAATGAATGTCAGCCACCGAGTATGCACTCGGACCAAAGAAGAGTATGCCGATTGGATAGTACCGTCCTAGAACTCGCCAGGTTGTCGAGATCGATGCACCCGTGACCACTTCGAACTACCTCACGAATGCTTTACGCCACGAGTGAGGGGTACGAACTACACTCACTCTGCAGGACGTGCTAAGAGTTACATATGTAGCATGCACCCTCTTATCACGCGACATGGATTGTAGGGTGCTCTACGCCACGAAGTGAGGGGTTGCATCACGCCACCCTATCGCAGTAGGAACAATGCAATTGTGGAGGCGCGAAGATGTAGCAAGACAAACTGCCCTGGGGACATGAGCTTGCGTATGCAATGCAATGCAAAGAGGCATCACACCGTTCCCGCCGGCGCCGGTTCAGAAACGAGGTGGTGTCAAAGAAGGTTGGCATTGAACATCGAACATGGAGGTGAAGTTAGGCCTGCCCTCGCCAGCTTATGTAATAACAAGCAAGAACATGAATGCATGTAAAGGATGGCAGCAACCAGGACTTGGGATGGAGGGAAGGAACGCATTGCAATCAGGAAATCAGCTTCATGATGCAGCGTTGTTCCGCGGAGGTAATGGAGAGCTCGTATTCGACGTTCCAGCGCAGCACCGCGCAGTAAGTATCTGCTACCCCAATGATCGGCACGAAGAGCTCATCATCCAGTTCGCACTCAAGCCAAAGCGCGCGCATCTAGCCCTACGCGCCACCCTGCAATCTCTTCAACCGCTCCATCACACCCTCCACCAAAGCCGTCTCCGTCTCCAACAAAGCCATGACCTGCGCCAGTTTCTGCTTCCTATATCCGCCGCCAACAGCCACGGGCCCTTGAGTAGTAGAAGCAACAGCGCCAGCAGAAGCGTCTTCGTCTCCCTTGCCCTCCGTCGTTTCTTCCACTTGCTGAACAAGCCTGTGCTGCAAAGATTGTACGGCGGCGAAGCGGGACGCCAAAGCAGTACCGCCGCTCTTCGTCGACTGCTGAGTAGCATCATTCCCGTCATCGTCGGTGTGCGTAGCCCGTTCCGCAGAAGGTAAAACGCTCGCCTGCAGCCTGTCCACCTCTTCCACGAAAGCGCGCTCTTTGGCGCTCAACTGCGCACCACCTAGCAACGCCATCTTCTTCCTCAACGTCTCGACACGGCGATTAAGCTCCACAGTCTTGCGATCGCTCCTCTCCATCCGCTCATCAATCTTCTCCCTTCCAGAATGCTCCTGCTCGCCTTCCTCTCCACCATCCTCGCCAGTAACAGCGTCGACCTGCTGCGCGATTTCCGCCACTTTTCGCACCTGCTCCACTAGCTCGGCGCGCATCCTCTCACACCGCCGGAAGAGGTCCGCGGCTGCCATACCCAGCCGATGCGTCTCGGCGCTCATAACGCGGTGGGCTTCGGTGAGTAGTTGCAGCGCGGCGGGGCTGAAGCGGATGGGGCCGTTGATGGGCGTGTGGCCGAGGAGGCGCTTTTCGTGCGCAGTTTTGAGCAGTTTCGGGAGGGCGGAGGGTTGGGTGAATTCTGGGGCGGGGCGGTAGGGGGCGCGGGGTGGCGGAGATGGGAGAAGGCCTGCGGGCAGGACAGGGGTGTCTGGGGCGTAGGGGTCGGCGGTCTGGGGGTTGAGGTCGAGGATTGTGGCGTAGGGAGTGTCGTTTGTCGATGTTAGGAGGAGGCAACCGAAGCCTGGCTCTTCGATTGCTATTGCGGCGTTGATGTCTTTGTGATCGGTGTCTTCAACTGCAGGCGCTTCGACAATTTGTTCTACTGCTGTGTGGGCGGAGTCGAGGACGATGTTTAGCCTGAAGCCGGCTCCGCTGTCTGAGGGATTGGCGAGTTCGTCTTCGAGCATCGTGATCCAGGGCTGGAGTGATATGCTACAGACGCCCGTGGAGTGGGTGACGAAAAACTCGTAGCGGCTGGTAGGGGACGCGGTGAAGATCGGCCAGCCGTCGTCCTCGTCTTCAGTCTGCGCGAGGTCGACGCTCTCGAAGAGCAGCAATTCCTTCCAGTCATCCGTGTCGTCGAAGGTGATGGCCCGCGAGCGCTTACTCGGCAGCCACTCCGCTTCCACACCGTTGACGTCCAAACAGACATGCACTTCGTTGGTGGTGGTAGCTAAACAGATGATGCTGACACTGAGGCCATCATCGTCGTCGAGATTCTCGTTGTCTTCGTCATATAAAGCCTCGTCATCGATCTTGGGTGCGATAACGTGGATATCCGTGATCTCGCCGAAATCAGGCTCCGGCGAAATTTGAAACGGGCCTTGCAGCTTGGGCACAGCACTGAGCTGCTTTGGTCGGGAGTATACCTCGATGGTATCAAACTCATCCGCGCCGGGTAGGAGACGGGGGTCTTGCGAGTCCACCTCCGCAAGCCATTTGGACTGTTGGTCGACATTTCTTCGCTCAGCCTCCGTGGCTTCGGCATCGCGACGGATAGCCTTTGCCTTCTCAATGACGCTCGTGCTCAACGTGGGCAACATAGTCGCCGGCGCTCTCCAAGTCGAAGGCAGCAGCGGACACAGCGCGTAGACATCTCCTTCCGTCATAGCGACCCAGAGCGTCATACTAGCCCAGCCATGTTCATCTTCACCGCCCCGGCCACCGAAGCAAGCCGCCGCGACTTGCATCTCCACATCGTCAGGGGAGAAGCCTTTGTTCGTGCCGTACTTGCTCGTGCTCAAATCCGCTTGGGTAGACGTGGCATTGGCCAGTTTCTTCAGGTCCACGGCCAAGGAAGGCTCATTGAAAGATGATCGGTTATCGCCGTCCAGTTCCCACAGGCGCACACACGCGTCGTGCGTTATCGTGACAAGACAATCTCCCGATGGAGAAAGCGGATGCCACAGCGCAGATACCAGTGGCGCTTGTTCCAACACGTGCGCCGTCGGTCCAATTTGGAAAGTCTTCAGACGCAGAGGGGAGGTCTCGTGAGGGCGAAGGAGCGAGGTTGCTGGTAGAATGGCGACGTGGCACGTGTGGGAGGTGAGGATTGCCAGATAGGTGCCGCTCGGAGAAACAGTCAAGTGCGTGATGGGCCGGGAGATGTTTGTCTTGAGCACTCTGTACGCCTTCTGCGCCGACGAACCCTCCGCCGGTTCAAATGTCCCCTTATGCCCTCTCTCCGCTTCCTCTCCCGCATCTCTTAACAACCCCAATTCACTCCAACGCACCTCGCTGCCCACCGCCACGAACACCTCCGTCCCCCGATGTGCAAGTTTGCGGGAAGAAGCGCCATCAGACTTACCGGCAGAAGAGTGCTGCCCTTTCACTGAGCCATCGGGTTGAAAGAGGTTGAAGCCAGGCGCGGGCCGGGACAGGAAGGCAGGGTCGCGGGAGAGGATGTTGGGCATCTTCGCAGCCAACGAGGCGTCATCGGCGCATAGCAATAGGACTGGGAGGTGGTGTTGTTGGGCGAGAGGTCCAAGCAGTTTTCCACAAACGAATTACTTTCCACAGCCGCGTGAAGTTTGGCGCGTCAAGCTCGCTGTTGGTCCGTGCGTTGGTCTCACGACATAACTTCCTCCTTCACTTCTCGACTGCTCTTCACACTAACTTAAAAGACCGATCCCCGCCCAACATGCCTCCCTTTCGCTTGCAAAATACCGTCGACAGGCTAGACAAGCCTTCCTCGTACGCAATGAGCAAAGTATGCCGTCCCACGCCTGACTCCCGAAAGGGAACCCGAGCTAATAGATCCCCAGTACAAAAAACAAGCACGCCGCCGACACGACGACCCCAGAGACCAACAGCCCGACCGCCAACCCTCCCCGGACCTCGAAGATAAGCTGGCCGACGCGACAACGCTCTACGTCGGCAACCTCTCCTTCTACACCACGGAAGAGCAAATCCACGAGCTCTTCTCCAAATGCGGCGAGATCAAGCGGCTCGTCATGGGGCTGGACCGCTTCAACAAGACCCCCTGCGGCTTCTGCTTCGTCGAGTACTACTCGCACTCTGACGCGCTGGACTGCTTGAAGTACATTGGGGGCACGAAGTTGGATGAGCGCATTATTCGGACGGATTTGGACGAGGGGTTCGCGGAGGGGAGGCAGTATGGTCGGGGCAAGAGTGGAGGGCAGGTGAGGGATGAGTATCGTGAGGAGTTTGATCCTGGTCGTGGAGGGTTTGGGAAGAGGTATCAAGAGGAAGTGGGGTATGCGGGAGAATATGGGCAGGGGAATTGACGCGTGGGAGTGGATCGTGTGGTTTAGCGTGGAGTTGGGGAGTGCAATGGTTATCTTTGATTCCCCGCGGGGGGAGCTCTAGTTGTTGTAGGGTCTAAGTCTATCAAGTCTTTTAATGACTCTATGCAGAAGCTTCATTCCTTCATATGACTGTGGAGTTGACAACCTGCTGCAGCCACCATGCGTGGATGCGAGCATCGTCTGTGAGTTCGGGGTGGAACGCCGTACCGAAGACGTTGCCCTGCCGGACCGCAACGATATCTCCGTCCTCGCCAAGATCCTCCGCAGTGGTGCTTCTATCCCTCAGCGCCCTCGCCCGGCCGGGCAGTCTCGCCAAAATCTCCACAGGAGCCGCAGTCGCCTTTCTCGCGGGAGCAGTGACCATGTCCTCCGTATGGTCAACGGGCAAAGAGGCAGACAACACCTTCTCCACCACCGGCGCACGAATAAAGACCGAGTGAAAAGTACCCGCGTCTTCTCCCAGAAAGGGCAGATCCAAATCAGCCTCGAAAGACTCCACCTGCCTGCCGAAGTAGTTGCGATGCACGCGCACATCCAGCCCGCCGATGAGATCCTGTCCGGTGGCTTTGGTCTTGTTGGCACTCTCGGCCAGCAGAATCAGGCCCGCGCAAGTTCCCCATACTGGCTTCCGTTGCACTTTGACAAAGTCTCGCAGGGGCTCGAGGAGGCCGGTTCGCTCGGCGATGAGGGCTATGCTGGTACTCTCGCCGCCGGGAATAATGAGTGCCGCACATCTCGCGAGCTCGCCTGGCGTGCGCACCTCGACGAATTCGAATCCGATGGACTCAGCTGTGCTTCCCTGCAGTGGCGCAGAGACGGACGCTTCAGCTACGGCACGCCGCAGCAGCTGAATGTGCTCGGCGAATGCACCCTGGAGGGCAAGCACTCCGATCGCGAGGGTCATCTTCGCCACGATGCCATGCCCAGCTGGTTGCAGATCGATATATCGGACTGCTGGCGGGATCGAAGATTTCCTTTTTTTGCAGCCTTCGGTGTGGAGATCCGTTTAGCGAGTGCTATAGGTGATTTAGGAAAGAGGATTCCCGAAGCAGAAGCGCCATGAACTCATAGCGCAGGCCAAGGCAGAAGAAAAAGAGGCAAGTCCGGACGACGATCCGGGATGGCTGAGTCATCGATTTCGGGGAGCCGGGCACCAGTTCAGACATTTCATGCGAGCGACATCGAGGCTTGTGGAGGAGATGACATTGGTCAAAGGGACAAGTAGGTTTCAACTTCTCATCTTGCTATCCGCCTCTGCAGCACCCTACTCCGTGTCCTTCGTTATTGACAACTCGTCAAGCTTAGATCCTTTTACTCAACTCCGCGCCGGCCATCCTCCCGCCATGAGCCCTTCTCCAAACATACACGCCTCTCGTAGCCTTGTCAACATCAGTAACGCTTTCCTTGCTTGAGTAAAACTTACGCGCTTCCGCTTCGCCGTGATGTGTATATATATCTATGTGCCCATGAGTGTTGCTCTCACTCGTGCTGTTGTGTAAATCCCGCCCGCCAGCACAAACTTCAAACACCTGGCAGCCTGATCGGGAGAACTTGATCATCGAACATGCCGTGGAACCGGTGGTACTACCCAGCAGGGAGCCTGAGCCAGAGCGACAAAGACACCATCGCCAAAGGCATCACGGACATCTATGCGGAGCGCTACCCGCGCCATTCAACGGTGTGTATACCACACGCCCACTCCATGCCTGGACAAAGTGTACTAATACTGTGCTCTTTCACGAGCAGTTGGTCGTCTTCATCGAAATCCCCGCCGACTCCTTCTACCGCGGCGGCGAACGGACGAAAGGCTTCCACCGCATCACATTGCAGCACATGTCGGGGTCGTACAACGTCAAGGAGCTGGAGAACGACGCTCGCATGCGTTTCCGCGGCGTATGGAAGCCATTTGTACGTTCTCTCTTCCGTCGTTCTGCGCACACATCCCTAATCACCAACAACAACGCAGGTGGAAGATCGTGGGCATGCATATGAGTTGCAGATTGAGGAGATTCCGTCGCCGCAGATCTCATTCGACAACTACATCAGCCACCACATTCTGGCGGAGCCGTTGTACGAGGAGATGTGTAAGAAGGACGAGATCTTCAAGGTAAAGCTCGTCCCGGAGTGAGCAGACGCAGATGTCAAACGGCTCCGATACGTCGGAATATCGATGAACAGTCATCCGGAAGCATTCGGAGCCAGGCGGAGTTGTAAGGCGGAGTTGTACCTCTCGTATGTAGCTGCCTGCGGTGGAGTGGCTTGTTACATCAGCCGAGACTGCCGAGCCTCCTGATGCAATTTCCTGGCATCCATCGTTCATGATCGTTTCAGCTCGATTCATCACAGCCCCCGCCACTCTGTATGTCCAGCAAACATGCATGTGTGCAGTCACGAGCACGAAATGTCCCGGACGGACAGTAGGAGAAACGTCAAGCATGCAGGAACTCCTCACCCGCAGCGGCAGTGGCTTGATGGGAGAGGTTGGGCCGGAACCATGGCTCCGCTGAGTCAGGTCTAGACTGACTCCCAAATCGGAGAGGCGGGGGTGCTCATCATGCTTGTTGGCATCATTCCCGGGGGTGGATCAACCTGGCGGTGAATCATCGGGTTGCTAGGGATCAGAAGTGTAGGAGTCACAGTGATGTCGACGATACAGTACAGTACAGTACATGGCTACCTACGCGACAGGAGGAAAAACACAGCGACCAGAGCGATGATGATGATGCAAGGTGGAGCATTTGGATCGTCAGTGCGGCTCCGCTGGTGACGCCAGAGTCTCGCCGTAAAAATCAATAAAGTGTGCTGCTGGCAAATCCCCGATTCTGCATCGCGCCCGCGGCGCTCGAAGATGATTGTACGGTTACGCTCAGGCGATGACTGGTCACGAGATAATGCGCAGGAGAAGCGTTTTGTCTTGCCAGACAGGTTCGGGAGAAGCTGCGAGCTCATGCAGGCATCCTGCCAGGCTGCGCACCCTGCAGGATCCCGAGAATTGGCAGGATTGTGGGCCTGGCAGTCTCCATCATGACACCATGCGATCGGGCGGAGGAGATGACCAGTACATCGGAGAGTTGGGGCGTTTCCTGGTCGATGGACAGGTTAGTGGTTGGATCGGATGGTGAAGTTGCCGTTGTGGATCCGCAACATGTGTCCCGCACGCTGGGCTGGGAGGCCAAGCGTGCTACGTGAGAGGACGCCGAGGAAGAAGGGGTCACCGATACGATGAACAGGCAGCGCAATCTGCGGTGGCAGGAAATCGGGAGGGAAAGGCTCCAGGGGGGAAGTTTGCGGCCAATCATCAGCGGGTTGGCTCGGATTCCATTGTCGCGCTAAGCCCGTCTAGGCTACCGGCGATCCGAATTTAGCAGCAAAGGGCAATTTCAATAGAACCTACTGTACCTTGGATGCACGGTTACGAGGGGAGTCCGGACGCCCTCGGTCGGTATACATCCCAATCATGCCTACGCGAAAAGGCCCCGTGAAACCAATCCACCCGCTTCGCTGACACACAACCGCCCTGACCTCTGTCACGCTCTTCATTCCTCCGTGGCTCCTGTCCTCCTTCCCTCCTGCTTTCCCAGAACTCCCCCATCCGGCCTGGCATGCGCCTCCCGCCTTCATCATGGCGCATCGACCGCTGTTGTCGATGATCACCAATGTCACCGACCTACAACATGGATACCCCACGCCCGCCCACTCCCCCAACGAGGGCGAGGTGACGTGCTGGCTGCTCGACACCCGCGACCTATGGCCCGGCGACAACATCTCCACCGCCAAAGGGGCGGCCGAAGCCCTCTCCCTCGTCTCCGTGCAGGAGCGGAATGCGATTAGGGGTAAGATGTTTGTGCAGGATGCCCGGATGAGCCTGGCCTCGGCGCTGTTGAAGCGACTGTTCATCAGTCGCACGCTGGGCATCAAATGGGACGAGGTCCGCATGGCACGCAAGGGAAACGAGAAGCATGGCAAGCCGTGCGCGGTGGACAACGTCGGCCGCCCCATTGCCGGCATCGACTTCAACGTGTCGCATCAGGGCGGTCTGGTGGCGCTGATTGGCTTCAACGGCCGCTCGAGCCACGAGTACACCCCGTCCGGCATGGTGTACGGCATGATCTCCCCCACCACCCAGCCAGAGGAAGTCATGTGCGGCGTGGACATTGTCTGCGTGAATGAGCGGGACGACTACCGCACCATTGACGCCGAGGGCTTCGACGGCTGGGTCGACATCTACGACGCCGTCTTCTCCGGCGAAGAGCGGTGGAGCATGAAGTATGATGTTGACTACGTGACGCTCTACGACGGCACCATTCTCAACCGCGACGCCATTGGCCGCCACGACCGGTGTATTGCGCGCGATAAGCCACTCACCATCACCACCCTGTCCGGCCAGGACTACTCCTTCTCCTCCGAGCTCATCTTGGAGGCCAAGCTTCGTCGCTTCTACACCTACTTCTGCTACAAAGAATCCTACATCAAGCTCGCCGGTGAGGCTCTCCTAGCCCCATGGCTCAAGCAGCTAGAGTTCTTCAACGTCCGCTCTCCCAAGCCCGGCATGGAAGCTCGCTGCTCCACGCACGGCAGGTGGGGTGAGGAGGTCGAGGACGTGGAAGTGCACATGCACGGCCGACCCGTTTCCGACGTACGGATGAAAATCCAGGCCTTTGAAGAGAACTTTATGATCTCCACCGCCATCCAAGGCGACATCCAGGGCCTCAAGGTGCCCGCGTTCAAGAGTCTGAACCTCCAATCCGACGTCCTCGCCTTCGCCCGCCCTCCCGCTCCTCCGAAGAGGGAAGAGCGAGTGTCAACCACACCCATCCACAGCCACAAGCGCATGGCATCCGACCCGATCATGCTGACCTCCCCACGAAGACCGACCATCACCGACCCCCTCCTACACACCCTCTACACCCTCAAAGACATGCCGACTATGAACGACAATCCTTATCTCTACGCCCGCGAGGTGCCGCTGTGTCTGATGTGATTCTCCGGTGGGAGCCGGCAGGCACAGTATAATACAATCCTATCTCGACTCTCTGGAGCCAAAGATGACATAAGACTCTTCAGCCTCTCACGTGAGACTGCACGCGTCACGGCGCAGGATGCCGTCCGAGACGCCGAGCGCGCCCAGTGGCCATCGCCTCGCCCTTGGACAATATCGCAAGGCAGAGAGCGGATGACAGTCGCACCGCCTCGAGCAATGGAATGCTAGATGCATCCAATCGACGCTTCTCACCAGCGTCAGCAGCAACAGCGGAACAGAGAGGCAAGCTAGATGGCTACCTCAGATCCAGCCCTGACGCAAAAACGGCGAATTGGGGTACGAGGAGAAGGTGCATGAGCATGATCATGCCACAGCCTGCAAGACCAGACGAGAAGACGAATGGGCCATGTTCGACATCGATCATGCAGCCAGTTTCTATCTTGGATAGTCTGCAACCATGTAATTCTTTACTTGTAATCATATTATACCCAACCGCGACATCGCGGCAAATCAGAAGACTTTCTAGACATCTACATCTCCGCGTCTCATCCATCGTCTTCAAGAGTCTGCTCCCAGTAGTCATGCAGCCTGTCGTCCAACGGCTTCTGGACGGCAAAACTGCTTTCGGGCTCAGCAACGCGAGTGAACTGCCCGCCTTGAAAGTGTCGGAGGGTCACTTAAAGGGCAATACCGCGTGGACTACGAATGGGGACTCCCCGTCTGGCTGCATTTATCCGCCCAGCTTTACCCGGCGGCATCCGGGGAGAGGACATCGGGCGTGGAGGAGGCTTGAGGGGCTTCGCTTGCGTTGGCATGTAGCCTGCTGAGCAGAGCAGGTCGAGGTTGGATGACCGGTGGCTTACAAGAAAACAGGGCGCATGCAGGCCGGAGTTCGGGATGCCTGACCAAGCGTCGCGTAAGGCAGTCCGAAGAGTGTAAGGTACAAAGAGACTTCAATGTGAGGCCAGAGGTGCGAAGGGCCAGGGTCCACATCCGCGCCCCGCCATACGCCGCGCTATACATCATCCCGCCAAAACACCTTTTTTCCTCCCAAATAGCCTCAACCAAATCTTTGCCCTCTTCTCTTCCCTCACACCACGATTCCACTGAAACCCCCATTGACCCTCCCACCACGCAATCATGTCGTCCTCTCTTGAACAGCTCAAAGCAACCGGCACGGTAAGCATCGTCCCTCCATCCGCTCACTTCCACCCGCCCCAAGCCGCCGCATCCAGTCCGCCGCCAAAACCACACACCTTCTAACATTGCCACACCACAGACCGTCGTCTGCGACTCGGGCGACTTCGCCACCATTGGCAAATACAAGCCGCAAGACGCCACCACCAACCCCTCGCTCATCCTCGCCGCCTCGCAGAAGCCCGAATACGCGCAGCTCATCGACCAGGCCTGCGCGTACGGCAAGGAGCACGCCAAGGGCATCGATGCGCAGGTCGACGCCGCGCTCGACAACCTGCTCGTGCAGTTTGGCAGCGAGATCTTGAAGATTGTGCCGGGCAAGGTGTCGACGGAGGTGGATGCGCGCTTTTCCTTTGACGTCGAGGGGAGCGTGGAGAAGGCGCTGCATATCATTGAGGTGGGTTCGAAGCATCTTCTCTAGGACGAGGACGTCCGCTAACAACACCACCACAGCTCTACAAGGAAAAGGGCATTGACAAGTCGCGCGTGCTCATCAAGCTCGCCTCCACCTGGGAGGGCATCAAGGCGGCCGACATCCTGCAAAAGAAGCACGGCATCAACTGCAACCTGACGCTCATGTTCTCGCTGGTGCAAGCCATCGGCGCCGCCGAGGCGGGCGCCTTCCTCATCAGCCCCTTCGTCGGCCGCATCCTCGACTGGTACAAGGCGAGCACCAAGAAGGAGTACAGCAAGGAGGAGGACCCGGGCGTCAAGTCGGTGGTGCAGATCTTCAACTACTACAAGAAGCACGGCTACGACACGATTGTCATGGGCGCCTCCTTCCGCAGCCTCGGCGAGATCACCGAGCTGGCCGGCTGCGACTACCTCACCATTGCGCCCAACCTTCTCGAGCAGCTGTACAACTCGCAGGAGGCGGTGCCGCAGAAGCTCAAGTCGGCGGATGCCAAGTCGCTGGACATTGAGAAGAGGAGCTACATCAACGACGAGGCCAAGTTCCGCTTTGACTTCAACGAGGACCCCATGGCGGTGCACAAGCTGTCGGAGGGCATCAGCAAGTTTGCCGCCGATGCGGTTACGCTGAAGAAGACGCTCAAGGAGAAGATTGAGAAGTTGTAGATCAGTGGGATTGATTGATTTGGGAGACGTTCAGATTGATCGTTCGCTGTGTGGATAGACTATCGCAAAAAACAAGGACGGTGTTGTCTTCACTCCTGATAATGATAATCACCTGCCCAGGCAAGACACAGTTAATCATTGCTCATCCTTTGACTTTTCGCGGAGAGCGATGCCGCTTCTCATTTGTCCGGAGGGGCTGACGGCAGGGCCATGTCACGTCATGGTGGGGGCGGTTGCCCCAAGTGCCCCTCCACTCCAGTTGTCGAGGGGAAAAGGGAAAAAGGATTTGCTCGACCTCGACCTTCCGACCACCAACTCCATCAAAGCACAGAAGAGAAACTCATCAAGACACACATATCCAAACACAACGCAAGACACAACTACCGCCAAAATGGTCAAAGCAGGTGAGTGTGACCAATCCCATCCCTTCCGGCTCGCTGTGGAACCGTGAGGACTACCTTGGTGGACTGGAATGGACAGAGCTCAATTGAGCATGTTTTCCATCGAATGTCCATCAATGGGGATCTGCCAATGGGTCATGGTTGGTGTGGCACAGGTGGCCCAGCGGTGATTGTCTGGCCGCCGCCGCCGCCACGTGCGAGACCTTGATGGCATCGCCCAATGCATCCTCTGCTCCATCATCATCCCGAGTCCACAGCACTGGAGCAGCCAGCGGCTCATCCCCTGCTGCTGAGCTCAATGTGTGATCTACAGAGCACGAGCTAACCGCCATGCCTCCCTCACAGTCGCCGTCCTTCGTGGAGATGCCAGCGTCAAGGGCACCGTGACCTTCGAGCAAGCCTCCGAGGATGCCGAGACGCACATCACCTACGACATCAGCGGCAACGACGCCAACGCCAAGCGCGGCATGCACGTCCACGCCTTTGGCGACAACACCAACGGCTGCACCTCCGCCGGGCCTCACTGTAAGCACTCCCTGCTCCCCTCCCTCCCTGTTAACCTCAGCCTACTAACCACAGGACGTGCATCTAGTCAACCCGCACAGCAAAGAGCACGGCGCGCCCGAGGACTCGAACCGCCACGTTGGCGACTTGGGCAACTTCGAGACGGACGGACAGGGCAACGGCAAGGGCAAGCTGACGGACAAGCACATCAAGTTGATTGGGCCGCACAGCGTCATTGGCCGCACCGTCGTCGTGCACGCCGGCACCGACGACCTGGGCAAGGGCGGCAACGAGGAGAGCAAGAAGACGGGCAATGCCGGTGGTCGTCCGGCTTGTGGGGTTATTGGTATTACGCAGTAGATACCTGTGATCCTCTGGACTAGGCCTCGGCTGCCTATTGATATGCGAGAGGTGGGGTGAAAAGCAAATACGGCTGTAGGCGAGTGTTGATTGATTGACGAACATGAGAATCGTACCTTTCGTCTTCGACTCTGTTCAACGCGTAGACACCCGTCCGTTCCAGTACTATTCCACTCTACGATGAGCTCAACCGTAAGAGCACACACACCCTACATGCATTACATGTACATTGCGGAGCACATGCAGCTCGTGCGGACAAAGTGTCGTTTTACGGACGAGGAAGTCGGCCGGCTTGTGGGTTATGCCATCGAGATCAGCTGGGCGACGCCGGCACGGAAACGCGAGCTGGACGCTATGCGAAGGGCAACTAGGCAGTAGGACAGCTAGGACGTCGCAACCGATGAAATCGATGGAGAGCATTTGATCGCAGACGTGATGTGGTTCAGTGGAGGTACAGTCGAAGTAGCTCGCGGGACGGGCAGATTCATGACGTCTGGCGCTGGGGCCAAGTGTATGCACACTCAACGCGACTTCCTCCTCGACGCGCCCTCGTCTTCACTCAAGCCTGTGATCTTGGATAAGTATGAATGGGGAACACTTCGGCTGCACATCATGACATCCCCACATCCCAAGCATGTCTTCCTCTCAGGCCTTCGCCTCTTCGCCCGTCACACCCAACACCCGGCGCCGCCGTCGAAGCAAATTCACGTATAAGCATCTGTCTACGCTCTCGCAGTATGCGACCAACTGTCCGCTTCGCGTTATCGCGCACCTCGACCTCGATGCCTTCTATGCGCAATGTGAGACCGTCCGCCTGGGCATCGATCCCTCTCTGCCGCTCGCAGTGCAGCAGTGGCAAGGATTAATTGCAATCAACTATCCAGCCCGAGCCTTCGACCTGACACGTCACGTGACCATCACTGAGGCGAAGGAGAAGTGTCCCAGCATCATCTGCCAGCACGTGGCAACCTGGAAGGAAGGCGACACGACATGGAGCTACAGCCAGGATGCAGCGCAGACATCGCGCGAGATTCAGACCCGCAAGGTCAGCCTGGATCCCTACCGCATCCAAAGCCGGAAGATCTTGGCCTTGATCAAAGACTGCCTGCCCAAGGATTTGCAGCGCGTGGAGAAGGCGAGTATCGATGAAGTCTTCCTCGATCTGAGTGCGCATGTGCACAGCCTACTCTTGGAGCGGTATCCTGAACTCCGCGGACCCCCGCCTTACGATGATCCAACGGAACCTCTACCTCGACCGCCTACCACCGCCTTGGACTGGGCGGCAGACGCCCTCGTCGATCTAGACAGCAGTCAAAGCGAAGAAGACGATCCAGACTGGGACGATATCGTAATGCTCCTCGCCTCCGAGATCGTGCGCGATGTGCGCGCCCAAATCCACGCCCAGCTGCAATACACCAGCAGCGGCGGCATCTCGCGCAACAAAATGCTTGCCAAACTCGGCTCCGCACATAAGAAGCCCGCCAGCCAAACGGTCATCCGCAATCGTGCCGTTCAGCATTTCCTGTCCACCTTCAAATTCACCAAAATTCGCAACCTCGGCGGCAAGCTGGGTGATGAAGTAGTCGCCGCTTTCAACACAGACCGCGTTGCCGACCTCCTGCCCATCCCCATTGAGCAGCTCAAACGCCAGCTAGGCGACGACACGGGCTCCTGGCTCTACCATGTGCTCCGCGGCGAGGAGAACGCAGAAGTCAATCCCCGCACGGCCATCAAATCCATGCTAAGCGCCAAGTCCTTCCGCCCCAGCGTCAACAGCTTCGAAGTGGCCTGCAAGTGGCTGCGCATCTTCGTCGCCGACATTTTCGGGCGTTGTGTGGAAGAAGGCGTGCTGGAGAACAAGCGGCGGCCTAAGACGATCAACGTGCACCATCGGCAAGGCGCGCAGACGCGAAGTAAGCAGGGGCCTATTCCGCTCGGCAAGGCCTTGACAGAAGAGGTGCTGTTTGAGCTTGCGAAGGGATTGTTGGCGCAGGTGGTAGTCGACGGGCGCGCGTGGCCTTGTGCGAATTTGAGCCTGTCTGTAGGCGGGTTTGAAGATGGAGTGGTGAATAATCAGGGGATTGGAGGTTTCTTGGTCCGAGGCGATGAAGCCAAGGCTCTGAACGCCGCTGCTTCTTCCTCGTCTCGGACACCTGATCTTCCCGACGAGCACCAGAGACAAGATGCGCGTTCTACCAAGCGGCGAAAGCTAGACACCGGCGCCAACATCAGCAAATTCTTCTTCGCCTCTGCCGCGCACCGCGAGAACACCAACAGCGACGAAACGGACGGCAGCGACTCCCACTTCCACAACGCAGAGCCGGAAGAGGCATCTGACCTCGAAGACGCAAACGAGCCCAAACACCCTGAAGACGACAACAACTCCTCCCACCACTCCACAGCAGCCCAACACCCTCCCCAGCCGCATCAGACAAGCATAGAAACCTACCTCTGCCCCCGCTGCAACCTGCCCATCCCCCAGGCCGAAAAAGCCGAACACGAAGACTTCCACTTCGCCATGGATTTGCAGGAGGAGCAGGATGGCGCTGCCGCTGCACCGCCTGTGCTGCGTGTCCCTGCACCTCCTCCGCCAACATTGCCGCCGCCGTCTAAGGGTGGTGGTAAGAGTGGTGAGAAAGGAGGGAAGGCGAGGGGGAGGGGGAGGCCGGGTGGGGCTGGGTTGGGGGGTGCGGAGAAGGGGCAGCGGAGGCTTGCGTTTGGATAGGTGGTTTGCTGGGTTTGGAATGATAGGTGGACTGGGTAGTTGTATGAAGTTATGAAGTTCACGAAGAGGATCACATAACATTCGTATCACGTTTCGATTGGCGCGGCACAGCGACCACGAACCAAGGCAAACTACAGCGATAAAGGAACAGAGACGAGGAGGTTGAGTGAGTAGAGTAAGTTAAACATGCTGTCTGTTACGATGCTTCTGCTTAGTGCCGCTGGCCATAATTCTGTTCGTCTCCGTGTCTCCATCTCAGTCTTCCCTCCGTCTCAGTCTGTCGGCATACAGAAAGCAAAAGAAGCAGCAACACGCAGTTTGAAAGCAGGCCAACTGCAACGGAAATCCTCTCCCCCCAGAAGCGATCCACTCGCGGGCGAGAAGAAAGATTAGCAGCAACCGCGAGGAAGCGCCGGTACAATCCATCAAGCCCCAATGAATGTGCATCGCCAAGGTTCCATCCTGCACTTCCATCGCAGTGGCCAGAAAATTGGCAGCCAAAAAGGCGCCGATGCAACTGGCCAAAGGACTTCCGATCCGGAGAACCTGGTCAGCAGGGAAACAAGGTGAGAGAGCGCGCTGGAGTTGCGAGAAATCCGAAGCCAGAAGGCGGTAAAAAGCAAAAGAGCACAAAGCAACGCCCGAATTGTTCCGTCTCGCTGTCACGGGGTATCTTGGAAGCAAAAGAAAGACCCCGAAACGCCCTGCCATTGAAAGAAGAAGGAGGAGTGTCCCTGAGAGGGGGAGTGCCGTGAGGCTACATTCCCGCTCTCACGCCAGCACAATGTGCTCGTACCCGATCAGCCACTCGATGTTCTGGCAGAGGGCGAGCATGACGCGGGAGTCGGCGGCCCAGGAAGGAGAGGGGTCCATCCAGGAGACGTCGTTGGCGTAGGACCACGCGAGGTGGGAGGAGATGGTGATGTAGGCGAACCATCCCACGATGATCGCCAGCAGCAGGAGGAGGAGTTGCTGCCAGGAGGGGAGGCGCAGGCGGCGGAGAGACCCAGCTCCCGAACGGACCGGGATCATCCCCACCACCTTGCTCCGCTCCGAGGTCTGCACGCCGACGGCGCGCGTCTCCGCCGGCGAGGTCTGCACGGCGCAGTCCGTGGTGGTAATCCACGGCAGCATCGGCAGGCGCTTGGTCTCCGGGAAGCGGAGAGCGGGCAGGGCGGGGCGGGGGGCGCGAGGACGACGGGACACCCACGCAAGAGGATCCGGCTCCGGGGCGGCGAGGCGACGGCCCGTGAACGGGACCATCTCCAGGCCGGAGACGGCGGTGGAGCTCACCGGCTCGGCGGCCGGCGGAGCGGAGGCAACCTCCTCGGTGGCGGAGGCCCCACCAACCGGGCCGACCGGAGACTTCGGGGCGGACCCCTCAGCCTCGGCGGCGACGACGGCGGTGGGTGCACTCCCCACGGCGGGAAGGGCGGCGGAGGGGGTGGCGGTGGCGGCGCCGGTGGTGGATGGCGCAGCGGACGGCATGAGGCGGAAACCGGCAATCCGGCCAGGGCGGGGACGGGGCCGGGGGGTGAGGATGGGGCGGGGCGGCGGGGTGGCACCCTCCTTCAGCTCCCTGATGTGAGGGAGGAAGGCAGGGAGGTCCAGGCCCTTGCCCAGCTCCGAGAAGATCTCCTCGAGACCCGCCTGGGCGGCGTTGATCTTCTCCTCCATGGCCATGCAGTCGAGTGCCATCTTCTCACTCTCCTCTTCCACTCCCTTGAATTCGTCGACGAGCTCGTTCAGGCCGATGATGGTGGCATCGCGCGCCGCGACGGTCTCTTGCAGCTTTGTGATGAGGGCGTCCTTGTCGGCCACATCCTTCTCGTGCTGCCGGATGATGTTGCCCCTGGCACTGTGCTGTTGCTGGAGGAGCTTGAGTTCGGCTTGCGAACCGGCGTACTCGTCTTTGAGCTCATCGTACTTGGGTTTGATGTACTCGAACTGGTTCTTGATCTGGGTCAAGGGGTGCAGCTCATGCAGCTTCTTCCCCAACTCGATGGTCTTCTCGAGGTGTTGCCTCTTGATCAATTCAAAGTGCTTCGACTGCTCGCTGTGCTCCTTCTCGAGCTCGGCGAACTTCTGTTCGGAGGCGGCGATCGTTTCGTAGTCTCTGGCGACGGTCGCCTCGAGCTCGGCGATGCGCTGCGTGGAGATGCGGAGTTTCGACTCGGGATCCGCTGCCATGGACTGTTAGCATCATTGTGCGGGCTCAAGTAGGATGTGACGTACCCTGGTTCTTCAGATACGAAGCGAACGCATCGTTGGCGACCTGCATGGCCAGCTGCAAGGGTGTGGGGGCGGGAGGAGCGGGTGTGGGGAGGCCGGCCCTTTTGGCTGCGAGCTCGGCTTTCTGTGCCTCGGTGGGGCCTGGGATGGTGGGCGGCGTGTACTTGTAGCCCTGCTGCGTCTTCTTCGCGTTCATGTTTTTGAGCACGCTTGGTGCCTTGACGACAGGCGGCTTTGCCTGGCCGGCGGTGTTGTTTCCACCCCCAAAGACAGGAGGCCTGGCCGAATCGGCGAAGTTGAAACCGCGCGCGGCGGCGGAGGAAGCGGCGGGATTGTCGCCTCCGGCGGTGGAGGGAGCGGCGGCGGTGGCCTGCTCGAAGATCGGGTCGCTGCCCGTTTGTGGCTTCTCGCCGGTGGGTGATTGAGCTAATGGGGGCGGATGGTATTAGCAGTGCTTCTTGGGGTGAAGGAGTGAGTGATGGGAAGTGTCTTACCGCCAGACATCTTTGATGCTGGCTTTGTTCGTGCGAGATGCGAAGCACAAAGAAAGGGAGCTTTGGAATCGCCTCGAAGCGGCGAAAAAGAACGATCTCTTTGTGAGAGAGGGCGAGCGAGGGGAGAAGATGGTGGGGGAAGAGGGTGGTGATGGTGGATGGTGGGTGGTGAGAGGGAGAGGATGGCGGAAGAAAGAGGTTGTGAAAAGGAAGAGAAGCAGGTGGAAATCTGGCGAAGGTTTGGATATTCGCCAACAAGGTTTGTGTGTGCGCGGCCAAGCAGGTTTTTTCCTATTGTTGCCGTCAGTATTGTCGTCGTGGGTGACGAATTAGGAAGGAAGGCACCACGTGAGGAAGGAGCGATGCAGGTGAGGTGGGGCACCTTCACTGTGCAAACGCCGCACAAGCCAGCTCACTCGTTGCAGGTGACGCCTCCGAGCATTCGCATAGCAGGTGATATCATCTTTGACTATACTGTGTGACTGTGAATCCACGGGGATGTGTTGCAGCAAACAAGGCTGAGCGTGAACCAGCACAGGGAATGTTGACGAGAGTCTGACCAGGCAGCGATGGGGAAGGCATGTTTTATCTCAATCACTGAAACAATCACTGTACAGACAAGTTGCTCGATCGTTCAGATAATGCTCAATGTATCCGCATATGAAGATATTCCACTTCAACGCGGCGGTAGGTGAGGTGAAGTCAAAGCCTTGCGCTGAAAACGCGGTATCTTAGTAATCCGAAGCCTCCGACTCGCTGCGCCGTCATGGCAAGATCACAATACATCTCTACGTGACAGCAAATTCAAGAAGGACGAAAGCGGAAACATTGTGCATCAAATCTACGCTTTATTCTTTGACCAGCGTCGTGGGAGTTCGTTGTTGGCGAGCAGACAAAGAAATGCGGTGTTGTGCATAAGCGACAGCCCGAGATCTTCGGCTGATCGCCAAATGCCCGCTTGGCTGACATGCTGAACACTCCCAGCGTTCACGTCAACTCACAAGGATGTGCTGCTTAGTAGCTCGTCTTCTCGCAGAAGCAAAGCGGACTTGAGAGCGCGGGATCGGCCGAGAAGTCAGATTCGTGGGATACAAAGACACGACTCCTCCAGCGTAGCTGAGAACATCTCGAAGCTGATATGCCGTGATCGACTACAGCGTCCAGGCCCAGTTTTTTGCCTCAACCACTGTTATGTCTACCCTTGTTTACCGTCTTTCACTCGTCTTTCTCCATTTCGTGTTATATTCTCGTCCGATGTACTAGTCCTAATGGCGCCAACAGCAATCGCAGATGTCGAGATCGACAAGCCTGCCCTCAATGGAGCTTCCAAAGCCCAGAACGGCCATGCCAAAGCCACTCATGTCAAGTTTCCTCTCCAGTCTAATGGCTCATTGGACGGCTACAACTTCAAGGACCTAACGCCGTGTATCGGACGTGAATTTCCTACCGCCGATCTCGCCGAGATGATCAACGCCCACAACGCTGATGAACTTCTCGCCGAGCTGGCCCTGACAAGTAGGCCATGCTTCCAGCCAAGTGCGAGCCCCAACTAACAAGCAATTGCAGTCTGCCAACGTGGCGTCGTCTGGTTCCGCAAACAAGACAACCTCACCAACGACCTGCAAAAGAAGCTCATCCTCCGCCTCGGCGAGCTCTCCGGCCGCCCCGAAACGTCCGGCCTGCACATCCACCCGGTGTTGAACAGCGAGGGCGATGTGGGCGAGAACCGCGATCCCGATCAACAAATCAGCACCATCAGTTCCAAATTGTTTACCAAAATCTACGGCACTCACCCGGATGCTGCTCTCTGCCAGAAAAAGCAATCCGCCGATCAGTGGCACAGTGATATCGCTTTCGAGCCTGTTCCCGCAGATTTCTCGAGTCTGAGATTGACCGAGTTGCCTAAGACTGGTGGTGGTGAGTACTCGTACTCCTTCCTCAATCGCCTTGACGTTGCTTACCGTTCGTTCCTCAGACACCCTATGGGCGAGCGGATACGAACTCTACGACCGCATCTCGCCCCCCGTGCAAAAGTTCCTCCAAGGCCTCACCTGCTCCTTCGGCCGGCCGGACTTCATTGAAGCCGCCAGACGCGGAGGCTTCCAACTCTACGAGAAGCCCCGCGGCGCAGCGGAGAACATCGGAGGCGAGCTACGCGCCGTCCACCCGGTCATCCGCACGCATGCCGTCACCGGCTGGCGCAGCCTGTACCCCGTCGGCCAGCACACGCAATTCATCAACGACGTGACGGAGGAGGAGAGCGAGATGCTGCTCGGGTGGTTTAAGAAGCTGTTGAAGGAGAATCACGATTTGCAAGTGCGCTTTCACTGGGAGAATGCCAACGATATTGCGATTTGGGATAATCGCTGCACGTTCCATTGCGCTACGTATGATTTCATGGGGTTGGGGGATCGCAGTGGGAACCGGGCTGTGGGGTGTGGTGAGAGGCCGTATTTTGATCCGGAGAGCATGGGTAGGAGGGAGGCGTTGGAGGCGAGCGGGAAGGAGTTTGGGAAGTGGTTTATGCTTCGATGAGATGGACTTTTTGAAAACAGGTACACAGAGTACAGAGCAACGCATCCCTCACTTCTTAACCGCGCCCCAGCCAGGCTCCTTCAGCCACTCAAACACCTCATCCGACAGCATCTTCGCATTCGCAATCCCGCTCCCCGGCCCCTCAGGAGCCTTGACATCCTTCCAATCCACCACGCGGTACTTCCCCTGCAACACCTCCCAGATCACGCCCGCTCCAATTGCCTCGTCCTCGAGACACCGCACCATCTGCGCCGCCACCTCCTCCGGCGTCGTCCACGAATCGAGCTCCTCGTCGATAGTCTTGATCTTCTCCGGGTGATCCGTCCACAGCGGCGTCTTGATCAACCCCGGCGCAACACCATTAACCTTAATACCGTACGCAGCCTCCAGCGGCGCCATACTGCGCACGAAGCCAGAGATGGCATGCTTCGATGCAATGTACAGCGGGAAAGGGAAGCCCGGCCTCTGCCCTGCAATGGAGGAGATGGCGACGACGCGCTTGGGGTTGGTGGGAGCTGCTTTGCCTGTTTTGCTGGTTGGCGCGGGGTTCAGCCAGCGCGAGACGGCGAGCTGCGTCGTGCGGATGGGGTGCGTGATGTTGATGTCTAGGGTGGCATAGCTGCCTACGCCGCTCGGGGATCTGCCGTGCGGGTCGTCTTTGGACTTCTCGTGGCCCGGGGGAAGCCAGTAGTTGGACCAGTGGGGTTCGAAGACGCCGGCGCCAGGACAGACCTGTCTCCGTTACTTAGTTGGGGCTCTTGCAGGCGAGAGTGATGAACGAAGGGGGAAAAGGGAGAAGAGCGGTAAAGAGAGCAGACGTACGATATCAGCGCCGCCAAACTCCTTGTCAGCCACATCGAACATGTTGCTCAGATCATCCCACAGACGCACGTCGGTCTTGACGAACGCCACGCGGGGCTTAGATTGGTTGTCGTCGACGAGCTTCTGCGCCTCTGGGCGAAGTGACAAGTCGGCGATGAGGACGTTGCATCCTCGATCGACGAGCGCTTTGGCGAAGCAGTAGTTGATGCCTGGGACGATTGTTACTAACGTGGTTGCTTCTAGCTTGAGTAAGGACGGTATACCTGAGCCTGCGCCGGTGATCAAGGCGGTCTTGCCTTTGATTATGAAGGGAATGGGTTGAGCGACGGTGGCCATGATTGTGCAGTTGAAATCGTTTGCGTTGAATTGCTTCGTTGTGTTGCTGATGAGTATCTAAAGATGTTACGTTTGATTGTGTAGTTGAGGAGGTCCTTTTCGGATATGGAAGCCTTGATGTCCAAACGCCCCGGTGTCGGTGGTTGGAAACACCTCGGCGGTCGTGCTCACGTTAGCCGGGGCAATTGCTGGGGTTTGTGGAGAAAGCTCTTGGTGTTCATACGCAGGGGAGTGAACCATCAGGGCTGTACAAACTCTCTGTCTGTTCCAAGATTTATTCTGAGGAGCACTTCTAGTGTAGAATGCAGCGAGTCTGGGTGGAATCGCTTCCGCATGTCTCCATCCTCTGCCTCAAGGCTGCCCCACATTTCTCTTGATGTTGTTCGCAGCTCATGGGCTTGGATCAATTCGTGACTGTTTTGGGGAAGTGGCACAGATGCCATTCATATATCTCTGGCTCGCTGTACATGCGCAAGCTGGGAATACACCGTTCTATAGTCATGACGTGTCTTCACGCAGCTCCGCCGTATCGAGCGGACGCCAGATATGCTCCAAATGATACGGAGCTGTGGCAGCTCCTACCAGCACATCGCGCTCACCCATGCCGCCTCTCGGCGTCCTTCTTCTCGGCGGCGGAAACTCACCCACCACCCTCACCCCCTCCCTCCTCGACGAAAACGGCGAGAGCGTCAACCGCCCCTGCTTAACATCCAACAACGCCATATCAGCATCACCCGCCCCCGACGCCCGCAACTTCAACGTCTTCCTCCCTCTTCTCTCGAGAATATTACCCGGCTGGCGCTCGACGTGTAGAGTGGGCAGGTGTTCAATGTCGAAGGTCCATTGGTGAGGCGTGGCGGACTTGAGGATGGTTTCGTAGGATATGCGGCCTTGGCCGTCGGCGTCTTCGTATTCGATGTCGAAGCCTTCGTCGCCGATTTCGATGGAGATTTCGGATTCGAGGATGAGGTATTCTGTTGAGTCGGCGCTTTGTGCGCGTGTGCGGCGACGGAGGTCGAGGAGGGTGCAGGATGCTGCTAGGAGGAGGAGTGCGAGGATGGGGATGATAGTTTGAAGGCTTGACGATGTGGAAAAGGAAAGGTCGCGCGTCTTGAGTAGTGCTGACGGTGTAACAGGCACATGTGCCCTCACCGCCACGGGGAGCATTGCTGTTGCTATTGGGTAACACGAAGCCAATGGCGGCGGCGAGACAACGGCGAATGGTATGCAAGGGGGGCCCCCTCGCCGCCAATGCGCTGAACGAACACAGCAAGTAGAAAGAAAGGGAAACGTGAGCTGACAGCTTACCATATGCAGGGGCAGGATTGACAGTAGATATACGCCCAGGCCTATTGGGAACCCGTTGGAGTGCACTGCTCCCGTGCAACGTGAATGGCTGCGCGAGACATCAATCTCTAAGCGCCGAGAATTAAGGTTTCTTACCCCGGATTGATAATGGCGGGTTAGCGTCGGGGCCTCCCCCGCCCCCAGACATCGCCTCCTCTCTCGGCGGTGTGGCATGTCTTGCGGATCTTCTTCGTCGTCTTCTGGCGTGAAAGTAATCATAGGGAAGTGGATGTGTATTAATCACCAAATCGAGCACCTGTTAACCAAGCCATACTACAAGCTCTACAACTTGCTCTTCCCCCCATCCACCAGCTCCGCACCAGCGCCAGAAATACTCAACTTGCCCGTCTCCTTCACCTTCTGCTGGAAGACAACGGTATTCCCCTCCTTCCACATCTCCGTGACCACCGTCTCGCCCGGAATCACCACGCCCGCAAAGCGCACCTTGATATTCTTGAACGCGCCAAAGTTGTTGAGGATGTGCTTGCCCGCGATGCCGAAGAAGCACAAGCCGTGCAAAATGGGGACTTTGTAGCCGCCGACTTTGCTGAACTCGGGGTCGATGTGCAGCGGGTTGCGGTCGCCCGAGAGCCGGTAGATGGCTGCTTGCTCTTCCGTGGTCTTCTCTTCGATGACAACGTCGGGCTTGCGCTTCGGGGGTTGGTAGATTTTGGTGGCGTTGCCCCGGTCTGCGCCTTGGGAGTTGCCGCCAAAGCCGCCGGAGCCGCGGATGAAGGCGGTGGATTCGCTGTAGAAGACGTCTTTGCCCGTCTTCTTGTCCTGCGTGGTGGTGCCGACCACGGCAACGGCAGCCTTCTTCTTGTCCACAATCTCCACTAGCTTGGGATAGGCGACCAGATTTGCTTCGGTTGGAATGGGGAATTGTCGGATTTCCAGGTACTGCTCGCCGTGCAGCAACATCATGGGTGAGAAATTGGGCATGAGCTCGGCGAGACTGAATGGCGCCACGGCATTGCTACATCGATACGGTCAGCCTGGGTACATTGGGAAGGCAGGGGAGTGTGACGGACAATGGTGGAATGATTCCGAACGTAGGAACAACCTGGAAATCGTCGTTGTTCTCGTAGACAAGATGCAGGTCTGATCGCTTCGCGCCGATGCCGAGGTCTGAATTTTCCACTCGTTAGCAAACTGGCTTTCAAAAAGTGAGAGAGGGAACGAGGCCAACTCACTGTACAGAATGATATCCTTCTCATCATAGCTGTAGTCGGTCCCGTCGGCCTTCGCCTTAAGAGCCTCCTGGATCTTTTGCACGTAATCGCCCTCGCCACCAGACGACTTGCCCTTGTTGACCTTATTGTTGGCATTGGCCATGATCTTCTCCGTCGACTCTTGCGCACTCTTGGGATACTCGGCGCGGCCGTCGTCGAAATCGCGCACCTTGTCCCACTTCGCGAGCAGATCTTCAGGCGTGAACTCCTTGTCGACAGGGAAGCCCCAACCGCCGGTACGCTGCCATCTCGTCTCGGCGGCCCAGCCGGAGCCGGACTCGAACAGACGGCCGGTGCCGGGTGCGGGGAGCTTGTCGGAGCAGAGAAGCATCACGATCGGCGCGACGTAGTCCGGCTTGAAGGCTTGAACCAATTCCTCGGGGAGGACGGTCTTTGTCATCGCTGTACCGGCGTTGGGGGCGATGGTGTTGACGTGAATGTTGTACTTTGCGCCCTCGAGAGCCAGGGCTCTGGCGAAGCCGAGAATGCCGGCCTTTGCTGCGGCGTAGTTTGCCTGTCCGAAGTTGCCGTAGATACCTAGGCTAAGTTAGCATGCCGCACGCACACAAAAGCAAAAGCAAAAGCAATCGCATACCAGTGGAAGAAGTGGTGTTCACAACTCGGCCATACTTCTGCTTCTGGAAATACGGCCAGGCGGCCTTGGTGGTCTTGTAGGTACCGCGCAGATGCACGTTCAGAACCTGGTCGAATTGCTCGTGCGTCATGTTGTTGAAAGACTTGTCGCGCAGGATACCGGCATTATTGATGAGGATGTCAATGCGGCCGTATTTGTCAATCACGGCCTTGACAATCTTGTCACCGTCTTCGGCACTGGCCTTTACGCCAAAAGCCTCACCTCCCATGTCTTTGATCTCTTTCACAACAGGCTCGGGATCAGCGAGGTCGTTGACAACAACTTTAGCACCATATTTGGCCAATGACAAACAGTAGATTCTGCCTAGACCTGCGCCACCGCCGGTGACGACGGCGACTTTGCCCTTGAAGTCGAGTTCCTCGGCCTTCGGGTTATTGGGAAGCTTCTGAGCATCCTCGAGAAGACCGGCAAAATCTGCCGGCCCACTGGCGTGCTGATTCTCGCGCGAAAAGTCGGCAACATCCTTCCACTTCTGGAGCAACGCGCCTGGAGTGAAGGACTCGTCGGCACGAAGCAGAGCACCTTGGGTCCGCTCCCAACGGATCTTGGCAACGTAACCACCGCCGACCTCGAAGATGGAACCAGTCTCGTCTTCGTTGGAGGAGTGGCACAAGACGGCGACCAAGGGAACCACAAACTCGGGTCTGAGCAGCTCGAGGACTTCTTGGGGCATGACAGTGGCCGTCAGGCGAGAGCCGGCGATTGGCGCGATGGTGTTGCACAGGATGTTGTACTTGACGCCCTCCTTCGCAAGAGATTCTGTGAAGCCCACTAGGGCAAGCTTGGCCGCAGAGTAGTTGGTTTGTCCGAATGAGCCGTACAGGCCAGCAGCAGAAGCAGTGCTGATCAATCGGCCGTACTTTTGTTTCCGGAAGTGCGGCCACGCAGCTCTTGCACACCGGTACGCGCCCTGCACGTGCACCTTCATAATGAGATCCCAATCTTGATCCTTCATGTTCTTGAAGCTGATGTCGCGCAGGATGCCGGCGTTGTTGATCAGCACATCGATGCGTCCGAAGTTGTCAATGGCCGTCTTGATAATGGCTTCGCCGTTCATCACATCGTCGTAGTTGGCCACGGCCTTGCCGCCTGCGTCGCGGATCTGCTTGACCACTTCGTCGGCCATGTTCTTGCCGCTGCCCTCGCCTTTAGCACTGCCGCCGAGGTCGTTGACGACGACATTGGCGCCTCGAGAGCCGAAGAAGACGGCATACGCCTTTCCCAGCCCGCCGCCGGCACCCGTCACCACGACGGTCTGGCCATCGTATCGCAGCTTCTCGGGAGCCATGGTGATGCTCGGAAGGGACAAAAGACTGTGATTTGCAGTCTTCGAGATGGGTATAGGGGTGAGAGAAGGAGTGTGGGGGAAATGTCGAAAGCCGCAGACGTGTTCCCTGGGGGATGATGAGAGATGGGAGCTTAGCACATGATGATCCCACGAGCCGAGGCTCCGAGTCGGCTGAATCGACGTCACCTTCACGAAAGCTCGGCGACTTGCATGTGCGCCAAAAAGAACCATTGCGCAGACATAGCCTACCTGACTTCGCTCCAACGAGCGCGCGCGATCATCATGTCCAACGAGATCGTGGACGACAAGTCAGAGCACTGCGTCCCGTTCATTCTCGAGCGTATCAAGCTTCACGGAGACTCCTACAAGGGCAGAGGCGAGGCTCCGCCTCCTTTCTTCATAGGCCTCAATGGTGTCCAGGGCGCGGGGAAAACAACCTTGGTAGGTCTTCTCCATTCCAATGCGCGAGGTACGGTGTTTCGTTTTCTTCTTATGGCCCTCTTTGTAATCTCATCTGGGCTCACCATCGTGAATTCTAGGTTGAAACGCTAAAGGAGACGCTCTCGACAGGTCACGGCCTCCCGACACTTGTATTCTCAATAGACGATTTATATCTACCTCATGAGAAGCAGGAAGAACTAGCCAAAGCACATCCGAACAATCCACTTATTCAGCATCGCGGTCAGCCATCAACGCACGATGTCGAGCTCGGACGCAAACTATTCCAATCACTGGCAGACCGGAAGCCCAACATCAAAGTCCCGAGCTACGACAAGAGCGCTTACAGCGGAGCCGGCGATCAGGTACCAGAGCAGAAGTGGCCAACGGTGAATTCAGACCCAGCGAAGCCGATCGAAGTTGTCCTATTCGAAGGCTGGTGCGTTGGCTTCCGTGCCTTGGACGACGCCGCGGTCGAAAAGAAATGGCGGACTGCGAAGGCCCAGGCAGACAGCGATGCTGGTGACTACAAGGGTCGACTGGGAAAGCAGAAACTGGAAAGCGTGCTGTTTGTGAACAGTCGTCTTCGAGACTATGATGTTTTGACCGATCGCTTTGATGCCTTCATGCTCGTGTGAGTAAAGACAGTCTTAGGGGTCTCACTCATACTAACGCTACTCTCAGAGACGCTGAAGACACGCTGTACGTTTACGACTGGAGATTAGACGCCGAGAGGAAGATGAAGAAAGCAAAGGGCAGTGGAATGTCGGACGAGCAAGTCGTCAACTTTGTCAACGGCTGTTCGTACCCTCAACCAAGCCTCTGAACACGACTCGAGCTAATGTTCTTGCGCAGATTATCCTGCGTATGAACTCTACACTGACGTTCTGCGCAACGGCATCTTCCAGGACGAAAAAGGCAAGCAGTTGCGGTTAGTAGTGGGCAAGGATCGAAAGGTCAAGGAGGTATATCATTTGTGAAGACCACTATGATAGCGATGGAAGAATAGTCCTGTTTCCCCTCGTTAGTAGATTCGACCCCAACTCGGAAGTTCAATCCAGTCGCATTGCGGATGACTAAGCGGCGCGGAGACCCCAGGCCGGGTCGAAACTGCCGAAATCGGCTTAGCACGTCATTTGCCGTGTCTGACTCTCCCTTGCACCTCAGAGTTTGCTTCCCTTCATCCACTCTACAACCTCGACCTCAACTGTAACCAGCCTCAATACCGACCCTCCACCTTCCTCCCAGTACAGCTCCAGCACGTACCTACGCCCGCCATTCCCGAAAGATAGCCCCAGCGCACAGGTCACAAGGTTAGCCCTGTATAAAAACTACCATTCACCACAATGGCCGCGAATGGAATCCCCAATGGCATTGGCAAGGCCATGAAACACCTCGACCTCGACGGACACGATCTCCCGCCCTCCCCCGCGCCATCCAGCCCCTCTAATGGTCGGAAGTACGCCCTCGCCACGGAGCTGGTCTACCTGGAGAGTAACGACCAGCACAATGCGAGCTCCACCCCGATATACCAGTCGGCGACATTCAAGGGAGGGCCGGGGCAGGAATATGACTACACACGCAGTGGCAACCCCACGCGCACGCAGCTGGAGCGGCATCTGGCGAAGATCATGAATGCCAACAGAGCACTGGCCGTCTCTTCTGGCATGGGCGCATGCGACGTCATCACGAGAATCTTGAAGCCTGGAGATGAAGTCGTGACCGGAGACGATCTCTACGGCGGGACGAATCGCCTCTTGACCTACCTCAAAGAGAACAGCTCGATCATCGTACGCCACGTGGACACCACGAAGCTGGAGACCGTCAAGGCTGCTTTGACCGACAAGACTGCCATGGTTCTGCTGGAAACACCCACAAACCCGCTGATCAAGATTGTGGACATTGCGGGAATTTCTGCCGCTGCTCACGAAGCCAACCCGCAGGCCTTAGTCGCAGTCGACAACACGATGTTGTCGCCCTACCTGCAAAACCCGCTTGACCTTGGTGCAGATATCGTGTACGAAAGTGGCACAAAATATCTCTCCGGACACCATGATCTCATGGCAGGTGTGATCGCAGTCAACAACGCGGCGCTTGCAGAACGATTCTATTTCGTCATCAATTCCACGGGCTGTGGTCTCGCTCCTTTCGACAGCTGGCTGTTGCTGCGCGGCGTCAAAACCCTCGCCGTGCGCATGGAAAAGCAGCAAACCAACGCCATGACAATCGCACAGTTTTTGGAGGCGCGCGGTTTCAAGGTCCGCTTCCCCGGGCTCAAGTCTCATCCTCAATACGACCTGCATTGGTCACAAGCTCGAGGTGCGGGCGCCGTGCTGAGCTTCGAAACGGGATCCGTTGCATTGTCCGAGCGAATCGTTGAGTCGACACGTCTCTGGGGCATCTCGGTCTCCTTTGGCTGTGTGAACAGTCTGATCTCTATGCCTTGTGTCATGAGCCATGCTTCCATTGACCCCGCGACTCGTAAAGAGCGCGCCCTACCGGAAGACATCATCAGGCTGTGTGTTGGCATCGAGGACATTGCGGACCTGGTGGATGATTTGTCGCAGGCGTTGGTCAGGGCTGGAGCGGTTAGACTCACAGATGATGGCTTCGTGGCGTTGGATGTGAATGAGTCGGGGAGGACGACGCAAGTCGTGGACCAGCCGTAGATATGGGCAACATAGAGAGTAGACTCTCGTGTGTAACATGTAGCTCGACTGCCAACCATTCGAGTATCTCTAAGCGATGAAGGATACGATTCATCAATATCGCTTGTATGTTCATGCTGTTGTGTCGATTCTGCCGGGAACGCAAGCAGATGCAGCAAGCCTCGCACAGCAATCCGGGGGCCCCATCGCACCCACGTGCCACCGCCACCTCCACAAAACAAGAAGCTTAAACGCCGCACCTGACTCACCACACTTCATCAGGCTGGGTGAACACCATCCCGCTCTAGCATCTCCATCGCCCGCCGGGGCTAGAAGTCCAGCCGTGCCATCCAGCATGGACTTCCTTCCCCTCCCGAGACCGCGACTATGGAAAAGCAAAACCGACTTCTTCCGCCCGTTCAGAGCCGGCGCGGAAGCTGGAGAGAATATCATGCCGCTCTACGATCCCGCCGTGCACCTGACGACCGACATCGAGGACCTCGACCTCAAGGATTTGAATACTGCTCTTGCTGTCCTGGTGGAGATTTTCCCGCAGGTGCAGCCGGAGGTGTTTCGGGAGATGCTGGTCAGCGTGAGCGAGGAGAGCCGGCTTCAGCTTGTTACCGAACAGCTTTTGGCGAAGAAAGTCAAGGGTGTGCGCACGAGGCCTTTGGCATTCCCTGCTCGTATCGGACAGAATTCTCGGAAGGAGGGAGGCTCTTCCGCGCCTCAGATGCTGAGCGGTGGTCGACTTAACGAGGAGCAAACTTTCCGGAGCAACGATTACAAGAAAGCTGTGAAGCAGGTTTTGTACCAGGAGTTCAAATCACTCAGCCATTCTTCTATTCGGGCGGTGCTGGCGGAGCAAAATTTCTCTTACACCTTGACAAGACCCGTGCTGCAGCAGCTCTCGACCAAGTCCTGGCGCTTTTCGTTCGCTTCACTCTGGAAGCGGAAACCGCCTGTCACAGCTGCGGGTGAGCATCCTTCTATTGTCTGGCAACCGGATGCTGCAGGAAGAGGCCAAGCGTCACCGGCTTTACGCATGACTGGTAGCCTGCAATTGGACCAGGAGTTATATGACCTCTTTGTTGTCCCTGCCGTCGAGAATCAGCGGAAAGCATTGCTTGCTAGTGACCTCGCTGTGGCCACGAAGCTCAATGAGAAGGAAGCAGAGGAAGCGGATGCCCTATTCGACTGCGAATGCTGCTTCAACTCCGTTGTCTTCGAGCAACTCACAACATGCGATGAAGACTGCCATCAACTTTGCTTCGATTGTGTACGGCGTACCGCCCGCGAGGCTCTGTATGGCCAAGGCTGGGCTCGAACGGTTGACCTTCAGAGGACTACTGTCTGCTGCTTTGCACCCACAACACAGGCATGTGAGGGAGTCATTCCCGCAGCGGTACTCCGGCGCGTGCTATCTTCAGGAACAGAGAATGAAGACCTTTGGAGCGAATTACAGGAGCGAGCAGCCAGCGAGGCCATTCTGAAAACTCGCCTCCCCATCCAGCGCTGTCCATTTTGTGCGTACATCGAGATCGACGAAACACCTCCGCCTCAACGCCGCGATGTTATCACAATCGCCCACCGCCTTGCAATCCGCACACCCATCACTTCTCAAATCCTATTCTTCGTCATCATCGGCACCATGGCTCTCTTTACAATCCCGATTCTCGTGTTCGCCAGCTATGCCTGGCTAGCCCTCAAAACGTCCAGCCCCGCAATCGCAGCTTTCAACGCCTCGTGGAAACGCGTCTACAAGCAACGCAGCGGCCTCAAATTCCAATGCCGAAGCCCACGCTGCAGCAAACTCTCCTGCGTTCGCTGTCTCGCGCAGTGGACTGATCCACACACCTGCTTCGAAAACGAGAAAACCTCCCTCCGCACCGCAGTCGAAGCCTCCGCCACTGCCGCGGTGAAGCGCACGTGTCCCAAGTGTCTGCTGAGCTTCGTCAAGTCGACCGGGTGCAACAAACTCGTGTGCAACTGCGGGTACACAATGTGCTATATCTGTCGCCAGGAGATTACGAGTAAGGAGGGGTACTCGCACTTCTGCCAACACTTCCGTCCGCACGGTGGTCGGTGCAGGGAGTGCGAGCGGTGCGATTTGTATGGGGACGAGGATGAGGAGGCGGCGATCAGAGTCGCTGCAGAGGCTGCTGAGAAAGCTTGGAAGGAGAAGGAGGGCGGCCGCGCAGAGGGCGATGGGAGGGCTGCTCAGGCGATGGTAGAGGCTGTGGTTGGAAGTGGGAAGACATTGAAGACGTGGGAGATGCTTTTGGATGTGATTGTCGATGCCGTTATTGCGTGATCTGTCCGATGATGACTGCGACGTCTAGTCTTGGTTATGCCTGCCTGCCGCGGCATCACGCTGTCCGCTCTCATATCTAGGTCTAGCAGTACTATCCGCTCAATGCAACTCTCCAAAAACGATTAATGCCCTGCGTCAATCTCCCCTCACAGATCTAACCTCCACTCATCAACAAACCCCACTCTCATCCTCAAACCTCGCCGCCTGCCTCCTAGCCAACACCTCAATCTCCCCTTCCCCCTCCGCACCCCCCTCAGGAATAAACCCCCTCAAAACCCCCCTCACATACCCCTCCGGCACGCCCTGCTCAACAGCATCACAAATCCCCTTATTCATCCGCACAACATACTCCTTCCTCGGCTCCGCAGGCTCCGTTCGCAACCGATCAATATACACCAGCATACTGACCTGCTTCGGTTGCCGGAGGAGTACACTCCGCGAACCTTCCTGATGCTGAACGGCCTGCGGCTGCTGGGAGGAGGGAAGCGGCTGCGCCCAGAAATCGACGGGGATATACTCCTTCGTGTACGCTTCTGGGACTCCCTCATTCACGTCTAATTTGGCTTCATCGTTCGGGAGGAGGGAGTAGACTAGGCCCCAGACTTCGTTGGTGTAGTCGTGAAATTCCGCGCTCTCGGCTGCTGCTGATGGTTGGGTGCCTGTTTGCACGACATTCGCGTAGCCTCGCTCGTTGATGATCCATTTGTAGCCTCGTAGGCGCGCGGTTCCGAGGTAGGTGGAGGTTGCGCAGCGGAGGGTCATTTGGGCGAGCCAGAGGTTGGAGCCGTAGCCGAAGTAGATTGTTGGTGGGGGGTCTTTTGATTCTCCCATTTTTTGGCCTTTTTGGGTTTGGGGGTGCGGTTGGTAATGATGTTGTGTTGGTGGGGTTGTGGTGAAGTGGAGATTGGGTTTGTGAGTTCACGGATTGGCTTCCAGTGCTGTGGGAAGCGTGAATGATGAAGATTCAATACACAAATGATGTAGACAAAGGAGATTTAGGATTTGCATTGCAGGGTTGATATTGAGTATGGTGCTGCAACTACCCGGCTCAACGGTATAACTGACGAACCACTCGTTACGCAGGAGGCCGATCTGCTGTCGTAGCTGAGCGGATCGACGTGTGTTGTAGTGTAGAGATGGGACGTCCATGCCCTCAATATTTGCGAGACAGAGCTACATAGAAGTACCTGCCGGCATTCGTTCCATAAACCATCATGTCCATCTCACATCAATCGAACGGTGAGTCGAGAGTAACGACCTTCTTCTGAAGATCACCAATCCACTTCCCCAACATGTCTCGTAAGCAACGTAGCTCCGCGTGCGAATCATATGGCGGGCTTAAGCAAAGCTCATGAATGCGATTCTCAATCGCCCTTGCCTGGTCTAGTTCCTTTGCCCGGATTCTGCGTAAGCGAGCTCGTTGATCCACATCAGCGCCTTCGTCGTTTGCTGAAGCATCGTGCTCGGCGCCTGGGTCCGCAAAGTCTGAGATCTCACTCCGAGCACGCTTGGACTCGTCCTGCACTTGGTAGATCCACACGGTGAAGAGGGCTGGGTAGATTGCAGTAGCGTTGAGTGTATGCATCGAGCCGCGAGTATAAGGGTACTGGATGACCAGGCGTTCGTAGTACTCTCGAGCGAGCTCAAAGCCTTCATCGGAAAAGAGCTTCGCTGGCTCGTTGTGGAGTGGCGCATCCGCGTCTTCCAATGTCTCGAGCGAGGCTTGAAGCTTACGCGGCTCGTCCGCTTTCCGCCGCATCAACAACTCAGCACCAATGCCCCAACGACCATTCCGCCTGACATCGATGCCACGACCTCCGATTTCTGTGCGAATCAGGAGACTCCACGCGCGGCGTGCTCGCGGCCAGTCCTCTTTGAGCATGCATGTATGGAGAATGGTAGTCAAGTTGTCGAGGTGCCGGCGCCTGGAGGAGGTGGCTTGTTCCTGAGGCGCAATGGCCGAGGGATAATACAAGGGTGGGTTGAGTCCGGCGAGCTCCTTGTCGATGGATTTGGTAGGCGGCTTCGCACTCTGCACAGGCGCGTGTGGAAAGGGCGGCGGGGGCAAAGCATACTCGCGTGCGTGTCCGGCGATGTGAAATGGGTCGGTCTTGTTTACGGGATGAATGAAGCTGTCTGGTGGAGGGAGCGCGGGATCGAGTTCCTCCTCCGCGGAGCCGTCGTCGTCACGTTTTCGTTTCTTGCCATCCCGCCGGTGCTGTTGCTTGCTCCATATCTTGTGACGGGGAAGCTGGGGAGGCCTGTAGACCGGGGCGAACGTCGACATTGGACAATGTGACCATGTGCAGTCGGTGATTCGAGGTGGATCTGGATCACGAAACCAAGGTTTCAGATTGATCGTCGGCGTGTCCGCCGCGTGCCCGCACTCCGATTTCTAATTTGGGTCAGGTGAGCCGATGTTTCACCCGCGGCGAATGTTGTCAGCCTTCACTTTGCGTGCAGTGAATGAACGGAGCATGATTTGAGTGGTCTGAGGAGAATTCTGAGCGGTGACATTTGACACAAATGCATCTTCCATTAAAGTCGAAGTCGCACATCTATCTTCTGGTTGCCAACACGACTGGAGTTGATTGAGTCCGTCATTAATCAGCAGCGATCGGCAAAGCGAGGAAGGCGCGGCCGGGGCTAATCCCGATCCAACCTGCCCCAGGCGCGCTAACTGGCCTCACGTTGCCTGCCCTGACCGATTAACCCGCATCATCGTCGCTTGGGGCCAAGCAGCAGCACCAGCACCAGCACCACCGCCCGTCCTACGACTGATCACCCACTCCTCCTCCACCGCACCGCCCACCGCCACACAACCCACCGCCCTTATTCTTCCACCTCCCACCCTGTGTCAGTCACTTACACATCACCCCGACCCCATTCACTCCCGCGCCCCCCTCACACCGAAGCGGCGGATGGAGGAGGCTCAGCTGGCGCTCTAGCCTTCGCCCTTCGTTGCCTCCACACCCCCCAGCATGGGCCAGGGCTCTTCACTGCCCGAGAGGCGCGCAGATGGCCCTGCACGACCCGGCAGAAGAGCGGCGGGTGTCTTTCGCCGTTCCACATATGGCCCCTCCGCCGATGAGAGTCAGCAGGACGGGCTGTTGAGTGGGCCGCAGCATGCACGACACACCACCTCTCGCTCCTCAAGCATCCACCGCCTATCACAGCTCTTTCACGCAGATGCCGCATCACTGCTCCAAGATCGAGGCGACACCTCCCACACCGCCCAACACTCTCGGAGCTCGGCGATGCTTCACCGCACCCGTTCCACTATGCGCGACTTCCTCTCGCGAAGAGAGCGCGGACACCTGCGCTCCGGCGACTCCACGTCAGCTCCCACCACCTTTCTGCAGCATCGGACATCCTACCTTCGAGCTGGCATGGACAGCCATCACGACGCCGACTACCCCCCTCCCCGACTCCCCTCCATCGATCTGACCTCGACCTTCGACAACGACGCCTTCACTCCTCTCGAAGAACAGGCTCCCACCGTCCCTCGCTCTTCCTCCTCTCATCGCCGCCCTAACCTCCGTCTGAACGCTCTCCGCCCCGAACGACCCTTTCGACATTTCCCCACCTTGCGCAGGAGAAGACATTCGCCGGATATTCGCAGGATTAGTGGTGCGGAGGATCAAGCTGCTATGCTGAGTCGTTTGCTATCAGTCGCTGCTGCTGCCACAGCCGCAACCCTCATGGGTGATGACCACCATGCGCTACAAGAAGCTCGATCACTTACCGGCTCCACGGGAGTTGGAGATATTGGGGCAAGTGGAGAGGATGGAAGCTTTGATGGCTTTCTCAGAGCCTTGCAGAACGGTCGAATAGCTTCTGCTCTACGAGGAGGCGGCGACTCGGACACAGACGCATCGGGGGGCTCACAAGGTCCTTTGAACTTCTTCCGCATGTTCCGATTTGCGTCCAGTCCTGCACAGAGCGGTTCGACAAGCAACGAGCCGAGCGTGGAAGCAGCGGAGGATGGTAATGGTGGAGATGGCCGAATGATTCCCATCATCATCGTCGGCATCCGCTCCATCACCCCAGATGCCAACGGCTCGGGGTCAAGCTCCGGGCAAGACTTACCCCCATTCATTGATGCGCTGGGTAGTTTTCCCTCGCCTTTGCCAGCCCATGCGCTTGGTGCACATGGCCATGACAGCATCGATTCAATCCTCCGACCGCCTCAAAATGGGACGAGCTTCCGCCATCGACGAAGAGCGAGCCTGGGCGGCTTCGGAATGAGTCGCAATCAGTGGAACGACCGAATGGACGAACAGCGAGATCACAGATCGCCAGACCGGCGGCGTGAGCGACCGTGGAGTGTGGCAAGCTCATCGTCGGCTTTGGAACCGCGTCCACCGCCTGCAACTCCCGCCAGCCCAAGCCCGGAGCTGAGCCGGATATCCAGCCGCAACCCCACGCCAGGCAACTCGCGGCCCGCATCGTTTGTCGGAACGCGGTCCAGCGATCTTGGGGACTCGAGGCGAAATAGCATTTTGCACCGCGCACCCGCCGGCAGTCCGCTTTCCAGCCACACGGAAGAGACGGGCTCTTTGCACTCCACTCACTCCAGCACCAACCTTCTCCCCACCCACCCTGATGCTTTCTCCTTCAACTCACGTCGCAGATCCGACACCGCGCCGAACATCCACTACCCGCGCTTCGCCTCTGGGCACTCTCGTCGCCATGGTGTGGTGGAGCCGTTGGGCGATCTGCCCTCACTCTCTCGCTCGAGTACCTCGAATTCTACCGACCAGTCAGGCAACGGACGGAGAAACAGCAGCAACGACAGCCGCAGCTGGATCATCTACGTTCTTGGTGGCTCCTACCCCGAAAATCATCCCATCCTCACAACACCCAGCCTGTTCACCGACAACCCGACCTACGAAGATATGATGCTCCTTTCCGCCTTGTTGGGCCCAGCGAAAGCCCCTGTGGCGACAGAGGAAGAAGTGGAAAGCGCTGGCGGCCTCTACAACATTGAGGTGACGCACGTGCAGGGCGGTGACGCGGCGAAGACTGCTGCGCTGGTTGCCGTTGCGGTCGAGACTGACGAGAAAGAAGACGCGGACAGAGAGCGCGTTGAGCTCGAAGCTGCGCAGAGATGTCTGGTGTGTCTCGGGGATTTCGAGACTAAAGACGTCGTGCGGAAGCTGGTGAAGTGCAACCATCTCTTCCATCAGGAGTGCATTGACCAGGTACGTTGCACAGCTCCAAGATCCACTTGATTCGATTAACTAACAGGGATTTTCACAGTGGCTAACGCAAGAGCGCAACTCATGTCCCTTGTGTCGAGGCCAGGGCGTTCATGAGAAGGAGAAGGCGGACGATACCCCCTCGCAAACCGCTGGCGAGGCGGACGCAAACGCCGCGACCCCCGCCACGAGCAACGAGGCTATAGCCACCGCTGCTACCGAAGTCGAACAGGCGTCATAGCACGGAGCTGCTTGTTCATCCTTTCATACTTGATCACGCTACGGAGTTTTCCACAATTCATGTCTCATGCGGGCGACACGGCACGGTTATGCATAGGATGAATGGGACTGGGCCGGACTTGGAGGCCGGCAAAACGAGCGAGCGAGTGTGGTTCACGAGGTTTACGACTCTCATTATCTTTAGCTATTGCTTGCCCCTCCCTTCTCACACTTCTTTTCATCTTCTCGCAGAACGGAGGAGGGTTTCGGGTTGCACTGTAAATTCGCCGAGACTACCTTCATCCGGGCTGCAATGGCTATGAAGTAGTAAGGGAGGGGGGTGGCAAGCATGTGGTCTTGTCATGCATTACTTCACTGGTATTTCGGACTGGAAGCAAGCGCGGGTTCGCATAGCGTCGAGTCGTTTGCTTTTGGTATGTATATGTTGGTGGCCATTGGAGTTGGTGTTTTTTCTTTGTCACTACACGCTTGCATGGACACACCCACCCAGCACGTGCAGTCTCGTGCCATCGCGGCCGCTTTCGGGGATACCGAGGTAGCGCCTCAGGCCTGACGTCGCAACCTCACTTCAACCCCCAGCTTCGAGCTCCGCGTCTCCCATTCCACGCTCCTTACCACCATTCACTCCACGCGACACACGGCCCTACGATATCCATACAAACTAGAGATATATTCATACACTCCTGACCATGCGATAGCACCCGCTCCACGCGTCTCCTGCGCTCCTCACTCCGCCTGCCCCGCATCCAACGTGCACAAGCATGGCCTCGCCCGAGGCCGTTCGAGCTCTCCGCAATATCCTGCAGATTGCTTCTCGCTCCGCGCGATCGCAGCAGCAGCGACGCGCCTTGTGCACAGCGTGTCTTTCCCAGCGAGCCCTTCCCACCACGAGTCGAGCGCCGCGAAATGCGCGCCCCGCCTTCAGACCGCCAGTCGCGGCGCGAAGGGAAGGGGTGGTAAGAAGGGGAATGGCGACGCTGGCGGACTTTCGGAAAGAAGAGTATGACCAAAAAGGCCCGATCGCCGAGTACGATGCTCGCGTGCAGTCCGGCAAGTTGAGGAACGACGAGCACCAGCGCAATCTCGTGCAGGCGCTTCAGGATTTGCATAACATGCTGGAGTCGTACAACCCGCCGCGAGTGGAGTATCCGACCATTGAATCACTGCAGCCGAAGAAGAAGAAGAGTTTCTTTGGCTCCATCTTCGGCGGGGGCGGCCAGATCTACGCGAAAATGAACATCTCCCCGGACCTGCCGAAAGGGCTGTACATGTATGGCGATGTGGGCAGCGGCAAGACGATGCTCATGGACTTGTTCTACGACACCTTGCCCACCAACATCAAGCACGCGACGCGCATCCATTTCCACAACTTCATGCAGGACGTGCACAAGTCCCTGCACCAAATGAAGGCCAAGCACGGCAGCGACATCGACGCCATCCCCTTCGTCGCAGCGGACATAGCCGAGCAAGCATCCGTCCTCTGCTTCGACGAGTTCCAATGCACCGACGTCGCCGACGCCATGATCCTCCGCCGCCTGATCGAAAGCCTCATGTCGCACGGCACGGTGCTCGTGACGACCAGCAACCGCCACCCGAAAGACCTCTACAAAAACGGCATCCAGCGCGAGTCCTTCGTCCCCTGCATCAACCTGCTGCAGGAAAAGCTGCGCATCCTCAACCTCGACTCCACCACCGACTACCGCAAAATCCCCCGCCCGCCGTCAGGCGTCTACCACCACCCGCTCGACTCCGGCGCGAACCGGCACGCAGAGCACTGGTTCCGCTTCCTCGGCGACCCAGAGCACGACCCACCGCACCGCACCAGCCTCCGCGTCTGGGGCCGCGACGTCGACGTCCCCAAAGCAAGCGGCAAAGCGGCTTGGTTCTCGTTCGACGAGCTGATGGGCCGCGCCACCGGAGCGGCAGACTACATCGAGCTGGCGCGCAGCTTCGAGGCTTTCGTCATCACCGGCGTGCCGGGCATGAACTACCGCTCGCGCGACCTGGCGCGCCGCTTCATCACCTTTATCGACGCCGTGTACGAGGCGCGCGGCAAGCTCGTCCTCACGACCGCCGTGCCGCTGTCGCAGCTCTTCATGTCGCGCGAAGAGCTCGACAAGACGCTCGATTTCGCGGCCAAGGCGGGGAATAAAGCTGCGAGCGAGGCGAAGGACTCCGGCGCCGATGTCAGCGATGCCATGCGCAATATGATGGACGATCTGGGCATGAATATGGATGTGATGAAGAACAGCAGCATTTTCAGCGGGGACGAGGAGGCGTTTGCTTTTGCGCGCGCGTTGAGTCGCTTGAGTGAGATGGGGAGTCAGGAGTGGGTGGAGCGTGAGTTTTTTCCCCTTATTCTTTCCTTTCGTGATGATGAATGTTATGCTGATGATTGTGTATACAGGCGGGATGGGCCTCGAGAAGTCAGGCGGCAAGAAGGAAGCCGAAGACTGGCAGAAAGTGCGGTCGAATTATCACCAGGACAGCTACGGCTAGTCCGGAGGATCCATTTGGTTTGTGAATGCTGCATTGAGCTTTGAGCAGACCTCCACCTCACCCCATTGCATAGCGTGAATATTTGGAAAAGAAGATTAGAGACGAGACAATCGATCGGAATCGATTGATGCATGTATCCTGCCGACCGACAAAGAGGAGACTAAAGAACTGAGAGGCGTCATGTCAGATATCCATCCGTCCCATCACTCGTGAAACCCATCCAGTTCAGAATACCCAGACTCCTTCAAAAATGCAGATTCAAAAAGCCCTCACATCCCCTCCATCATTCAGTTCCCCTTCCGTCTCTCCATCTCCGCAGCGCGTCGCACCCACTCATCCCGATCCGCACTCTCCCTCGCCTTCTCCGCCGCCGCACCAACAACATACATCACCGTCGCCGCGCCGGCCCCGACGCCCAAAATCCACCTCACCGAGCTCCTCTCCCCGCGCTTCCTGCCTGCCCGCTCGCCCTTAGCCCGTTCTTCAGCGCGCTGCTGCAGCTGCTGGAGCCGCTTCTGGTACGGGTTTCCGGTGTTCCAGCGCCGGCGGGCGCCGGTGAAGTGTTGTTCGATCCGGCGGACGCGGGGATAGTGGCGCCATTCGAGGTCCGGGTCTTCGAAGATGCCGTCGTCTACGGCTGGGTTAGGCGTGACTTGCGAAGTTGCGGAGGTGGGTGTTGGTTGATCGGTGCTGTTGAATAGCCCGTGATCTTCCATTCCAATGCTGCTCGCCTCCGGGGCAACAGCTCCAGCAGCAGCAGCTTCAGCTTCAGCCTGCACCTTCCTGAAAACCAACAAGTCCTTCGTGCCGAAAATCACCTGATACCCGCTCTTCTGCAAATCGGCAAAGTACGGCACGAACCTGGCCGGCTGGTAGAGTTGCGACAGCGCCTGCGGGATGCTGATCGGGGACTCGGAAGTGGTGAAGGTGGAAGTGGTATCGGCTGTCGTCATGATGTCGTTGCCGGAGTCGTAGGCGAGCACTTTGTAAAGTGGGGGTTGTTGCCATTGGATTGTTCTTGTGTTTGTCGATGATGTGGGGGTGGTGGGTTCTTCGGGAATTGGCGCGGTTCCTGAGTTAGATAGCTCCGTTGGGATGAGTTTCGGCAGCGAGTCGTTGACGATCTTTGCGTTGCTGGACTCTTTGATGCCCATGTCGAAGGGAGTTCGCTGCGCTTCGTAGAACTCTTTCTCTTTGAGAGCAATTTCGTTCTCCACGCTCGACTTCGGGCCGTTGTAGGGCGCCTCCTTTTCGTACCTTGCCAGAGCCTCGCCAAGATCCACGTCTGACTCCACCTCCACTACCTGCCTTTGCTTCTTCTCAGGAGCAGGAGCACACAGAGCAGGCTTCTTTTGCTCGATCAGTGGCTGCCGATGCTTGTCGTCAATTCTTCCATAAGCCTTCTCATAGATCTCCTTCACCTCTTTGACCAATCTCTGATCTTTAGCCTTCTGCTCTGCCCTCTCCAGCTCCTTCTGCTTCCTCTTCTGCTTAGCCTCATCCATCAACTTCGCCACTTTGCTCTCCGACGCTACCGATGGCGTATCTCCAACAGCCTTCTGCGCCTTCCCAAGCTCCTGTTCTAGGAAGCGCACGCGCTCCAGGTGCTTTTCAGCGTGCACAGTGCTCTGTTTGTACGCAATATCCAGTTCCTCTTTCAAAGTGCGCAGCTTGTGCGAGTAGCGCGTCTCGTATTGTTGCATCTTCAATTTCTGCTCGGCAACTTCTGCCTCAAGGATCTTGTTGGCTTTCTCCAGCTTGGCTCTTCGGTCGGCAGCTGCGGATACTTCTTCGGACTCTTGCTCTACTAGCGCTTCCTGGGCTTCGTACGCTGTCTTGCGGGCTTGCATGTCCTCCGCCCATCTCATGGGAGGTGTGGAAGGATATGGTCGTTTCGAGGCAGTTCTACGCACGCGATCGGCTTGCAACAGCTCCGCCTGCTGTTCCCAGCCTCTCGGAACGCCCTTGAAAGCACCAAAGGACTCGGTGGATTCGTGCGCGGCCGAGTCATCCAAGTCCAGAGCCTGAGGCAAGTCCTTCGACTGCATGCGATCGAGTGAGGACTGGAGTCCGACCGCCTTGACCGTCGAAGCAGCAGCAGGCTTAGTTTGCTCCGCATCAATCTCAACGCCCAGCTTCTCAACCCGAGCCGTGACCTCTTTAATCCTCTCGTCCAATTTCATCAGCTCCTTCTTCTGCCGCTCAATGTGAAAGAGGCCCTTCTCGTCTCTGGCCAGTTTCTCTTTCTTCTTCTTCAGAGTCTCGAGCTCCTTGTCGAGCATCACACCCATCTCGGCTTGATCCCATTGTGAGGGCGGATTCTTTTCCACGTGCATGCCGCTGAGCTTGGACTTGAGGCCATTGCTGATGGTTTCGAGGTCGGCAGCCCGGCCCTCCAATCCCGTTGCTGGAGAAGGCTGCTGCTTTGTCTTCCGCATGGAGGCACGGACATCATCGGCAGTGAGGTTGTCCACGTCTTTGTCTTTGGATGGTTCCTTCTCCGGCAGCTTGGCCAAAGCGGATGGCTTGGCCACACCTGGAGCAAGTGCCGTGCTCTTGAGTGGACCGAGAGAGGTGACGGTGGATCTGCCGAATGCAACGGGGCTGCCAGGATATGGATGAAACTGCGGAGGTGGAATGGGAATGGATTTACGCACTTCAGAGGATTGCTGGACGGGAATCTTGGTGGGTTCGGACTTGGTAGTCTTGACATTGCCTTCATCCTTTTGAACGGGAACAGCGTTGCTGTGGGATGTCGGTAGTTCGACTGATTTCAGTGCTTCCGATTTGGGCGCCTCGACTTGCACCATCCGATTGGAAATGGGATCGTACTCGTAGCGCCTCGTCTGTCTGGAGACAGAGTCCCACTCTACCCGCTTAGTCTTGTTCGTCCACGAGTCCCAAGAAGTGGAAGAAGCGTATGAGTAAGAGTTGGCCGGTGTCTTCTCCGTCGGAGCAGGAGGGGCGGAAGTTGTCGGACCTGCTGCTGTCTTGGGCTCCTTCGGCTTAGCCTTGTCCGCTGTCTCGTTTTTGACGATTTTGACGGCCTCTGCTTGGTCGGCGGTGGCTTTGGGCACTTCCTTCTTCGGCCAGCCCTGCAAACCCATCTCTTCTCTCATCCAACTCGGGACGAGCGGGCCCCAGAAGGGCTCGAAACGCTTCCCAAAGATGGCCTCATAAGGATCCTTGTCAAGTCGTTTCCTCATCGCCGCCAGCTTATCCCGCCACTCCTTCTCACGCTGACTCAACTCAAATCCCTTCTCTTCCACGCTTATGTCCTTAGTCTTCCTCTTCTCCTCTTCGCCATCGAGAGACCAGGTCCGTCTCTTGCCGCTTCCATCCCAATGACTAGCGCAGCGGACGAGGCGCGGGGTGAAGAAGGGCTGGTAGTCGACGTCCCAGTCGAACTTGCCGCGGCGGCGGAGGCTCTTGAGCAGTTTGGCGCGAGTCTTGATGGTGCGGACGCGGTTGTAGCGGTGGTAGGCGGGGTCGAGGTGGGATGACCAATCGTGCCGACGCCAGGACCAGAAGCCTCGAGTGTGGAGGAGGGATGGAGTGGATACTTTCAGTGCGAGGGTGATGGTTGGGATGGCTCGAGAGACAACAGCACCCTGCCGGAGTTGCGGTGGAAGCATGTTGACGGCTTGCTAGGAGGGGCAGGCTATGCAAGAGTCATGGGGGGAGGGGTACAAGGTCCAAGGCCTCGTCAACCGCAGCCGCCCGCAGTTCGATGGGATGGAATGGTAGATGATGATGATTGATGGAGGGGATGTAAGGGAGATGAAGCGAGCTCACTGCAGAGCCGAACCTCCGTCCAGCTGCTGCGGAGTCTCGGTGTGCGAGCTGCTCTCCATCCCCGCTCCAGTCCCTCTCGGAGATATAACGCGTACAGTCAGCAATCGCCTCACCGCGCTAAGCCCCGCGTCCGATAAGGCAAGCTCGACGCGCCAGCAGTCACATGTCGGGCTCAGGGTCCACTGGGCTAAACCCCTTTCAACCTCTTTCTGGCATCTTCCTTTGATCATTCATCAGGCTGCGCAGTGCCTACGCAATCCCTTCACCACCCTCCCGCCTTTCGTATAAAACAGAGAGGCAAATGCCGTTCCCAGCATGGCAACCCCCAACCCTCCCAAACCCGGCGACAGCAGCGCAAGCTACAGCAAAATGTCGGTCGGCGATGTCGAAGCCATAGGCGCGCACTGCCAAATGCCCTTCTGTCACCAGCTCGACTTCCTCCCCTTCCGTTGCGAAAGTTGTAAAGGGTGTGTAAGTATCGAAATGCCTTGCTGATCAAGCCTCACCTAGCTGACATCCCTTTCCTCCCAATAGTAAATTCTGCCTCGACCACCGAACAGAAACCGCGCACCAATGCTCCAACGCCGGCGCATGGGCAGCGCGCCAACGCGCCCAACTCCCTTCCTCCTCCCTCCCCACCAAACCTAGACGCACCATCCTCACCCACGAACAACAATGCTCCGAGCCCAGCTGCAAAACCCTCATCAACACCCCGCTCGTCACCGGCATCACCTGCGAAAAATGCCGCCGCTCCTACTGCCTCAAACACCGCTTCGGATACGAGCACGACTGCGACAAGCTCACGCCGCCCGGGCCGCGAGCAGCCGCGACAGAAAAGGCGACGGCGGCGTTTGAGAAGTTCAAAGCGTGGGGCGTGGCGAAGAAGGCTGCTATCCCCGCGCCACCGAGTATGCCGCAGAGCAAGGCGAAGCAAACTTCTGCCGCGCAACTGCAGTCGCTGTCCACTCTCAAGCGCACGGCGAAAGGAGACGACAAGGTGCCGGTGGAGAAGAGAGTGTACGTGTTTGTCGAAACGGCTTCAGATTCGGTGACTTCCAAGATCCCCAAGGGCAATTTCTTCTACAGCGCGGAATGGAGTGTAGGCCGCGTGCTAGACTTGGCGGCCAAGAGCCTGCACGTGGAGAATGTGAATAATCGGAGTGAGAGCGAGGAGGAGAAGCTGCGCGTGTTCCACGTCGAGGGCGGGAGGCTTCTGGAGTTTGGCGAGAAGCTAGGCCAGAGGGTGAAGAATGGGCAGACGATTGTGCTGCTGAGAGGGGTAGGGCCTAGTATGGCGAGCACTCCTGAGAAGACGGTGGGAAGTGGATGAGTCGACCGACGGGCAGCGAACGGTCCACGGGCCGACGACTGATGAATGGTCATGAGGGAAAGAGTGAAGATGCATGTAGAATCACTATGATACAACCGTTCTCTAATCATACACTGTGCGCAAGTTCCTAACGCCCCCAATTGCACTGAGCCTCCATCTATATGCGAGTATCCGCTAGCACTCATACCTCATGAAGTACACGATATGCATCTTTCCCCTTTGGCCCCGTACTCTCCAATACGCCACGATCAAAGACGACCGCCCACTCACTTCTCCAAAGGCTCCATCAACTTCCTCCTCAAATTGTTATTCACCACCCCACCAATTCCAAACGCAGGCACAATCCTCGCCATCCGCGCAAGCGTGCTCTTCCCCCAGTCCGCTCCCACCTTGCTCAACCGCTCCCTCAACGTCGTGCCCCCATTGCGATTATACAAATCCAGTCCCATCAAATGCAGCGGCGTGCTCACCGTCTGCATAGCCGCCGGAATCAAAAACTGCGCCGCCGACGCCCTCGTCATGTACTTTTCCGCAAAATCATCAGAAATGGGCAACCGCGGCGCCACGACGGAGGGCAAATTGAAACTCGCAAAAATGGTAAGGGCATCGCGCGTCATGAACAGCGCGTAGGAGGCCGGCGGGATCGGGCGCGCGGACACGGTGCCGAACATTTTGGTAAACTGGCTGTCCTTCACCAGGCTGAGGGAGAGGTTTGTCGCGGAGGTGGCGGTGAATTTGGAGATGCCGGAGGTGGTGGCGCTCGCGGCGCGGTTCTTGGTCGTCGATTTGAAGGTGTCGACGGTGTTGGCGCTGGTGTAGGTGCCGCCGTAGACGCAGAGGATGATGAGGAAGGCGCGCGAGGAGAGGAAGCGGTGCGGGCGGAAGAGGAGCTGCGTTACGCTTGCTTTGATGGATTCGGCCATGGGCCGCTTGCCGGAGGCGTTTTCTATGATGCATCTGTATGGTGAGATGGGTTAGCTGGGATTGCGGAGTGCTGCCATAGGGGAGAGCGCGTACTTGTCTACGACGGTGATTAGGGGAGCCACGAGGCCGCCCGCTGCTGCTGCACACGCCACATCGACGCCCAGTCTTTTGGAGAGGTTGTGTGTATTCCATTTCTTCTGTTGGCCTTTGCCTCCCAGATCTGCGGCCATTGTGGCGTGCTCATGCGCCTCCTCCTCTTTTCTTCCGCGGACTTCGGTGATAAGCTCAACGAGTGCTCTGCATTGGCTTTGTTCGAGAGAGGAGCCGGGGACGCGATAGATAGATCTACCGTGTACAATCAGACATGGTGAAGACGGCGTATATATCCAATGAGTAGAATACGAGTCAGAGTGGGCGCGTCAATGAGTCGCCGATGTTGCATGAGCGGGTGAGATCTGGTAAAGGCGGCATGACGAGATGTGCAGCTTCGAAGGAGGTGACGTCGGGATGCAGCCCGCAAGCTGCAAGCCAGCCACTCGCACAGCCTTCTTCGGCTACTTCAACCACTTCATCTCATGGCATCGCATCTCTCGTACTCAATGATGTGTATTGCATGTCCTATTGGAGAGATGAGTGTCAAACAATCCAACACTCATCCGTCTTCTTCAACACCACGCAATTCCCATGCTTCCTCGGCACAAGCCTCGACAGCGTCGGGTGCAGAAAGACATAAGTAAGCACGAGATTGTTCCTCAACCACCACGTCTCGCGCACCATACTAGTCACAAAACTCCGCCATTCATCCGAGTACTCCCCTTCCTTCTTGAGCCCCCTTCTCTCCCACTCGCGCCGCAGCGGATCAAAGCAGTCCTCGTGATGGCCCTCATTGCATCGAATGACTAATTCATCCAACTCCCAAAAGAACTCCTCGTACTCTCGTTGCAGCGCATCTTCGCCCTGTTCGAAGAAGTTGGGTCCGTCGATGAGGATGACGATGCGCGTTGGTGTGGCGGCAGTCGGGACGCCACGCCGTTTGGCCACGGCAGTGAGGAGGGACATGAAGCACCACAGCAGTGAGTAGGCGTTGTCCAGGTCGACGTTGACAAAGTACTCGCTCCTCAGGTCCAGCTTGCAGAGGGAGAAGTGTCGCAGCAATTGCACGCTGAGACTGCGAAGCATGTCGCACACGGATCCTACAAGCACCGTCGAAGCGTCCATGCTAGCATGTCGGCCGGCGATGTAGCTCAATATGTACACATCCTTGTGATCCTTCTTCGCAGCCCGCTGGATCCCTCGATGCAGCCATGCAAGCACGCCAGTAATCATGGAAACCGGCTCACCAACATACAACGAATCGTTCCCATTGATCACCACCCCGCGAGACTTCTTCGGATCTTTGAAGGCCTGGTGGAAATCGGCGTCATTCCAAAGGAGCTCGAAAGTGCCCTTTCCCGCCGGGAAGCGCTCACACAGTTCCAGATCATCGTACGCAATGTCGACGTAGTCCTTGTCGGACTCCAGGTATTTTCTCAACTTGTTCTGATCTACCGGGTGCATCTTTTCGTCCGGCGTCCATGCCAGCGGCATTCTGATTGCCGTCAGCCCTCTTTTGGGGTACTCCATGCCTGGCGGGAGGATGAACGCGGGAGGCGGGTGGGAAATCAAAGGATAGTCAAGTTTGGTTCTTGTGACGCCTGGAGGAGGAGGAGGCCTCAATTCTCGATTAGCTTCCTCGTATATAGCGTTCAGAACTCGATGCTCGCTTGGCTCGGATGGCTGGCTGTCCGCAGCGGGCTGTGCTACAGGTTTCTTAGACAGCGCGGAAGCGTTGTGCGCCCCTCGAAGTACTAGAGTATTCGATGGTGCGGTCGAGACTGGCGTCTTTGCTTTCGATGGCGTTGCTTGTGGTCGAAGTACAAGAGTATTCGATGGGGCTGATGCGTTTGGTGCATTGGATTTCGATGCTGCTGTCTGGGAGGATGACTGAACAGATGACGGTGCTTTCGACGTAGACTTCCTAGTTGGCGATCCCGTGGATGGCTTTGCTTTCGGAAGCGATCCCTCAGACGAAGACGGCCTGGACGAAGAGGGCCTGACCAGACTTCCCTGAGATGAAGTCGCTCGAGGTGGAGTTCCTTTGTATGAAAGCTGCCTTCTTGAAGATGGCCGAGGTTGTGCTACCTTGGACGATGACGGCTTGGGTGAAGTCAGCTTGGATGAAGCAGACTTGGATGTAGGCACCGTCGGTGCAGACAACGCCGGCATAGACGAAGTCGCTTCCGGCGAATCTGCACGATACAGCTCAATAATGCGCGAGATCTCTGACCCGGCGGACGAAGAGGGCCGCGCATGTACATTCTTCGCATCCTCGACTCTGTCGATCGCATCCGGCGGCAACGGCTCGAGATAAGTCAACTGATCCTTCTCGAACCTCGAACTCTTCTTCCTCTGCTTCATCTGCGCCTTGGTCTCGGGCAGTGGTGTGTTTGACGAAAAGATATCCTCCACGACCACCTGGCTGTGCACAGTCGGCAAATCAGGCTCACTCGCCAGCGGTCCAGCTTCCACTCGCCAATGGTAACCAGTTCGAGTCCACGTCCGACGTCTAGGCAGAGCTGGCTTCGGCTCCTTTGGCTTGGATCGTAGTTCTGAACTACTCTTCGACGGTCGTAGTCTGAGCAAGCTGCCCCCTATTCGCGACATTGGAACTCCCACATTCCGAGCGTATGTGGTCTCGAAATCAGGGGACTTCCAGAAGACAGCAGCTGGGGTGGGATCATCTGACAATGCTGGACGGCCTGGTTTCGAGGGTGGACTTTTCGCGTGTTTCAGTGGTGGCTTGGGTGGTGTGGTTGGATCTGGTACTGGTATTCTGGGGCTGCCTGTGCCGAGAGACGTTGATTCCAACACTGGGGAGCTGATTTGAATCTCGCTCTGAGGCTGTGTAGGCTTCTTGTCTGACTTGTTGGGTTTGGGTTTCTTCCAGAAGGACATGTTGACGTTGGTACCGTTGAGGAAGGCTGAGAGGTGAGGTATCGGAGTACTCGATGCCTTCGACCAATGATGAACGGTGTGATCGAAAAGTAGCCAGGATGGCTGATAACCGTTCAATGCGGGAGAAATGCTGTTTATACACCACTTTATAGGAGAAGTTCGATGTATATATGAGGCAGTGACTGAACCCAATATCCGTGCTTGGTGTTACCCCTGACACGCAGTCAATGATTGCATGTGGAAAGTCGCCGCTCAGTCGCACCTGACGAGCCATCAGTATGGAGTGTCCCGCGTGAAGTGCAGCTGAACCAGGGTGAGATTCCGCGGTCCTCTGCTGAAGTCGTTTCGCAAGGGCAGCAAGGATGTGAAACACTCCATGCGGTGCACCGCCGCCTCCGCAGGATTCTTCCTGGCCATGTGAGCGTCTAATGATGTGTTTGTCGGAGAGCGGTCCGATTCTGGACACATCAAGCTGTATCAGATGAGTCGTCGAGGGTAGATGAAGAACCTGAAGGCGATTCTGGGTCTGTGAAGTAAGTAACAATACATCGATCGGGAAGCGGCGCGGCCTTGGATATGCCGGGATGCATCAAGATATACTTGAAGACGATCCCGGCACGGAGCATTGCCGACCTCTGGTCTGTCCCACGATTGATGCTGGTGACAATGCCGTGCAAGATACCGACGAAACGATTCCACTTTTGTATATTTTCGTTTCGTTCCAAGAAGTGAATTCCATCCACGACGACGGTGACATGATGAGGGGAGCTGTTCTCGCTGCCGATTTTCATCGCTATAGACTCCACGAGTTGTTGAAAAAGCCAGAGCAGGATTTCAAAGCCTTCACTCCACAGTTCCCTGATATGGTTGTCGTTGTTGAAGTCAAGGTCGAGTTGGAGGTTATTTTCCCGCAAAAGCTGGACGCACAGAGATCGCAGAATAATCCTTGCGTCGCCCACCACAGCTGGATCTGCGTCGGTGGCAGCGTAAGTGCCAACGGTCACGACTGCGATGGTGCAATCCTTGAACTCGTCAAAGATTTTGTGTAGCGCGCCTGTTGTTGCAAACGTCATGCGGAAATGGTCAACGCCACTGGCGTCCTCGATGTCCGCATTTAGGACGAGTCCGCCAGAGACAGATGTTCGCGTGCAGAGTTTGGTATGCGCTGCAAGCTTGACTAATTCGTTAACGACCGACTTGATAGACTCGCAGTCCCTGTAGACGGCCCATGAATCGCTCAGGGTATTCGTTGCGACTAGATCGAGGTCAGGACCATTTTGTTCGAGTGCTCTGATCACTTCGACGTGTCGTGCCGCGCGGAGAGACGCCAAGTCCCGATCTGCCCACTCATCATCGCGGCATTCGTGGTCCGCCATCATCTCGCAGAGAACAGTGGTAGATGGAGCACGAGCTGCCATGAGATTTGCTGGGTTTCAGCCTGCGAAAGCCGGCAACGTTCCGCGTGCGGAATGGCGTGATGTCCTCAGTGAAGGCGTCTCCCAGTCTCTGGCGATTGTGATCGTGGGCAGAATTTAATGAGCGCAAGAAGTCTTCCACGCAGTTTGCTGTTTTGTTCACACACGCAGGTCGTCATCTGTGTCTCCTGTGCTTGCACCCCCGCATGGTGCGACATGAAATCAGGAATCCTTGGTTGCATCAATTTCCGCAGCATCCAGCCATTTGCCGTCCACGGCTCTTTTCCACAGTTGCACGGTACCGTTGTCTCCAGAGGTGAAGACGATATCGGTGACTTGTGACCACCCGACTCGCCATGGGACCCCTTCATGCGCTTCCAGGGTAGCAATTAGCTTCGATTCCTGCTTGACTGTCCCGGCTGCTACCAAGTTGTCATCTCTTCGTCCTCGATTGCTGTTGGCCAGTCCTGCGCCTATGCCAGACCTGACTGGTCGGGTGGAATGGCCATTGACTTGGCTGGAGTCTCCGTTGCTGATCTGAGATTGGATGGACGTAGATAAAGAACTAGCGCCCGGAGTGTGCAACTCGTACACGCGGATGTAACCATCTTTACTGGCTGTGGCGATAAGGTCGAATCCTCGCATACTGCCATCCGCCCAAGCGACATCCCGGACGAGGCCCGTAGCACCTTCGAGTGTGGCAGCAGTGTACAACCGGCGCTCCCTGTCAGTGCGGAAGACTCTCACCTCGTCGCCAATGGCGACTGCTAGACTGAGAGATTTTCGGTCCAATCCAGCGAGCACGGCAGGCCAAGCTGGGAGTCGCTCCTTGTGCCAGCTCAGTCTGAAAGCCGTCTCCTCAGTCCGAGGTGGCGTCTTGCATAACTGTTCAGCCCAGAAGATGCGCCACACCGACAAATCGTCGTAGTCCTCCGGTTCAAGGATGGTGAGATAGCCATCACGAGTGGCGAGCGCCAAGAACGTTTCAGTGCCGATGTTCTTGAAATCCAGGCTCATATACGGCACACCGGTATCTGACGGCCGCTCGAAGATCTTTTTGAATCGTCGGCCGGAGCCGATTGCTTCATTCACATCTTCCTGCCAGACACGCACGAAGCCATCTTCGCCAATGGTACCGAGATGCTCGCCGACGAACGGGCCGTTCCACTTTACATCGATGACCTCTGCATCATGCGCTGTCCAGGTATCCGTTACGGTCCACGCGCCAGATTCATCATTGCGAGTCCAGACTCTAAGTCGATGGTCGGATGAAGCTGTCACGACTCGATTGCCGTAGAGGTTGTAGTCGAATGCGAGAATGAGATCCTGGTGGCCGTGGGACAGCCTGTGAAACCCAGGCAGAGCCATGTCGAAGGCATGTAGCAGAGTGGGTGTTATATCGTAGAAGTCATTTTCCGCGAGCAACAGTTCGTGGCCGTCGCGATGTTTCTGATCAAAGCGCATTCGTTGGAGGTGTAACGTCGACATTGGCTGCGGCTCTGCGGGAGGCTGGAAATTAAGCTCGGCGCCATTGGAGTCTAAAACCTTCGGCCAGTTGTTCTCCTTCAACTTCACTCTTACATTGCTACATTCCCGGCGCAGTGATTTGCTGCAATTCCGCTCGAAATGCAGGATCTGACGACCTCGGAGGTCTATTCGCTGGGGATTGTCTCTGCTGTCTGTTTAGCGATCTTGTTCAACGCATTTCAGAGCAATGGAGAGCCGCTATATGCATCCCTGGCCATCGGTGGACTGGCGTTTTCGTTTTCCTACGCTCTGATACAATGGACTGGCGATGTATTTGTGAGGAGAGGCTACAAAGGCCGCGATTTGTCCAAGAAGACTCGGCCGGAAATGTGAGATGACTTTTTCTCGCTTATACATACGTTGGACTAACAATGTGATAGACCTGAGGCTATGGGTCTTGTATCTGCTCTTGTCTACCTCCTAGCCATCGTCAGCTTCCTACCTTTTGCGTTCAAGAGGGACATTGTCGCAGTCACATCTGGAGGTGGTAATAAGGATCTGAGACTTGACATTGAAGACATTGAGAATGGTCGATTCCTGCATCGCTTCCCCTTGGAGAAGGTCGGGCATCTTCACGCAGCCCTTCATAACGTTCGCTGATTTTTAAAGCTCGCCTCCTATGGTTTTGCATACGGAACACTGGCCTCCATCACCATTCTCGGCATTCTGGACGATTCGTTCGATATGCGATGGAGGCACAAGTTCTTCATTCCCGCTTTTGCAGCCTTGCCCATGCTCGCCCTCTACTTTGTCGATTTCGGCGTCACGCATGTGGTAGTACCGCTCCCCCTACGGCCGTACTTCGGTGAACTCGTCGACCTCGGCATCCTCTACTACCTCTACATGGCGGCAATCTCGATCTTCTGTCCCAACAGCATCAACATCCTCGCTGGAATCAACGGCCTCGAAGTCGGGCAGTCTTTGGTGATCGCATGTCTAATCATCCTGAATGATTCGCTGTACCTCCTCCCAACGGTTCAGCAACCCCATCCAGCAGCGGACTCGCATCTTTTCAGCATCTATTTGCTCCTGCCATTCGTTGGTGTTTCGTTGGCCCTTTTCCGACACAACTGGTACCCTTCAAAAGTTTTTGTCGGCGACACATACTGCTACTTTGCCGGCATGCTCTTTGCAGTCGTCGGTATCCTTGGCCACTTCAGCAAGACGCTGCTGCTACTCTTCATCCCGCAGATTTTCAACTTCGTCTATTCCGCGCCGCAGCTGTTTGGTCTCGTCCCGTGCCCGCGACATCGCCTGCCACGATTCAATGCGAGAACAGGCTTGATGGAACCCTCGGTCGCAACCTTCTCGGAAGAGAAACCTTTGATTCCCATCGTTGGCCAAGTCTTGAAGCTACTCCACGCCTTCAAGCTACTCCGCATCGTTCAAGACGAACAAGGCCGGGTCGTCGAAAGCACCAATTTCACCATCATCAATCTCTGGCTGGTGTGGAGAGGGCGTCTGAGAGAGGACAGACTTGCAACGGAGCTTTTGGTCATGCAGACGGTCGTTGGACTGGTGGGGCTCTGGATCCGGCATAAGCTTGCTCTTCTCATGTTTACCGTAGACAATAGATTCTGAGGTGGAGCCAACATCTCTTGATGGCAATGGCTTCGGCTCAGGAGCAGATCGCTTGGCTTGATAATAGAATTCAATCGTTCTGCGGGATCGTTATGAGCTCGCCGATAACATGGCCTTCAGTGCGTGTAAGCACAATAACGTTCACGTTGCCCACGACTGATCCGACACCACCATACAGTGGCTTTGCGGGCTCGAAGGGTACGAAGTCCGTTTCGATCGACCAGCTCGAGTCGGAAACTCCAACCTCAACTCCCTTCCCATCGACGTAAGCTTCGACCTGTACTGATGATGCTCTGGCATTCTCCAGTCCGCCGTCAATCCGAATCCGCGATACACCAATCTTTTTCGCAGAATGTACAATAATCCGAGGGAGGTCGGAGGAGGCCGGTTGGCGATCGACAGGGTTGCTGGGGGCAAGTGTATCTGAAGGGAGCGGAGGCACGACAGGAGGCTCAATTCGATGCTGTGTCTGCTTCTCGAAGGCGTAGGCGTACTTAAGGAGGTCGACATCTTGGCCATGCTTCGCGGCGAAAGTGAGGTTCAGTGGCATTTTGGATTCCTTCAGAATGCCCATGCAGACTGATACCGTGGGAACGCCCATGTGCTGCACAATAAGTGATCAGCATGTGATCCAATCACGCCTAGACATAGGGGGGTTAGATACTCACCCGAAGCGCACGATTCCCGTTACTGTACTTGACACCATTTTGCAACGCAAGCTTGGCGCTCTCATCATTGTGCTCAAGATCTGCTTTGCCAACATCACCGTTCGCCGGAAAGGCGACAACACTAATGCCCAATTCGTCCATCCAGTCCTCAAAATCGCGTTTCCGCTGGGCCTCCAAAGCAGGAAGGGCTGCCTCAATGCCATCGATCTCCCAGATCGACTTGCCATTCCGCTTACGTGCGATCTCGACCAGTCCGGGATAGTTCATGAAGTTCTTGTGTTCCATGTATCGATCGGGAACGTACTCTGTCGGCCTGGGAAACATCTGGTAGCCGTCTAAGCTGGCCAGATCGGGATAGTTTGGGTCGCCGTTTGATTTCAAAAAGTCGTCCCACAGGTATGCTACGAGTTCACCACGCTCTTTGCCATTCCACCCGGGTTGGAAGCCTTGGACGTTGTTCGTTTCGCCGGTGATTGAGTCGTCTTCGTAGTTTGTCACGAGCGGGAAGTCTGTCTCGATGACTGTCGCGCCCAAGGCCTCGAGATCTTTCTTCGCTTGACGATATAGCTCGATGACATCTGGCGATACTGTTGTTGGTTTTGCTTTGGAGTCGTGGCCGCCGATGTACATCTTGGGCACGGCGACACGCAGACCCGAGAAAACAGCGTCGCTTCCCTCAATGGCTTTGAGAAAGTTGTCGGGCCGCGCTACATCGGTGAGTCTGACATGTGTCTGTTCACGCCAAAAGTCACCGTCACCTCTGGAGTCTTTGCGCGTGAGCACGTCCAGTATTGCGGCCATGTCGGAGACAGTGCGAGTGTGAGGCACTACAACATCGCATGTGGGATACAACGGCCTGTAAAAGCGAGGATCAGCCTCAACAGACACGTACTTTCCGTTGATGCAGGCTTACCAGATCCCTCGAGGTGAGATCATGTTTCGGGAAGGCGTGTAAGCCACCAGAGCGTTGTTGGACGCCGGTGAGCGCCCCGAGCTGACCGTCTCTGAGCCCAGACCAAAGGCAGCGAAACTGGCTGCTGTTGAAGTTCCAGACCTAAGAGGTTTATGTCAGAACGTGGAGGCACGACGCTATATGATCGATCTCACCCGTTGGAAGAACCAGATGAGAAGGCTATACAGTGTTAGCCAAGTAAGCCTGGAACATCAGACTCATGAACCTACCTGCAGTCAGATAATCCAAATTATACGGACTCTCCGCCCGCCCATGCAAACCCCTATGCATCCCCGAAGCCATGAAGGGAGGCGTATTCGTCCTCCCAATACACACCGCGCCCGCCTTGCGCAGCTGCTCAGTGACAAACGAGTCCTCATTAGCCACCAGGTCCTTGACAGCAGGCGATCCAGTAGCACAAGTCATGCCAGCATACTTCATGCTATCCTTGATCGTGTACGGAATGCCATCGAGCGGGCCCAGAGCCTTCCCGGCTCGACGTCGGGCATCGCTGGCGGCTGCTTCCTCGAAGATGTCGGGGTTGAGGATTGGAATTGAGTTTAGGCATGGGCCTCGACAGTCGTAGGTGAAGATTCGTAGGAGATATTTCGTTACTAGTTCCACGGAAGTGGTTGAGCCGGTGGATAGAGCGGTTTGGAGCTCGTCGATGCTGGCTCCGACGATGTTCTGTTGTCAGGTGTCAGATGTCAGACATCTGGCAGGATCTGCAAAGACAGCACCGTTCCTTACCAAAGCCATGCTTGCGTCGTCCAGTGACCGCTCTAGATTGTTGCATTCGCGCACGATCGACGATTTGATAGGACAAATGCGGGATACAGTATGCGCGTGGTCCTACAGTAGGGAAGCGACGTCGGAGGCCCACCTTCCGCAGTGGGAAGTGACAGGGCGCGGCAACGTCGACCGAAACCCCGACTCGCAACACGCGCGGGGAATCCAACCCATTCCATTCAACCTCCCAGCATTGCGCATATTCACCAGAACACCATCGCAACCATGGCTCCCTCAGCAGTCCCAATTACGAGCATCGACAGCGCCCCTCTTCCAGTCAAAGCAGCCAACACAAATGGCCAGGAAGTCAGCAAGAAACAAAAGAGCCCCCTCGAGATGATCTCGCAAGGCGTCAGCCTCCCCGGCATCCCGACCTTTCCCAGCTACGCCGAGCACCGACAATGGATGCTCGAAAAGATGGCTCTCGCCTTCCGAGGTGAGTTGTCCAGCTGAAACAGCCTCTTAACTCAATCATCTGACATTACGGCGTCTTAGTCTTCGCCCGCAAAGGATACACAGAAGGCATGTCAGGCCACATCTCCGTCCGCGACCCCGAAAATCCACACACATTCTGGACGAATCCGCTGGGCGTGCACTTCGGCTTGCTGAAAGCGAGCGACATGATCCTCGTCGACTACGACGGCAACGCCATAGGCGGGAATCGAAGTCGACCTGCCAATGCAGCGGGCTTCCTGATCCATAGCGGTACGTCTTCTCCACGTTAGTTACGATATACACGATCGAGAGAGCTAACGCTTCCTGTAATCCAGCGGTGCACAAAGCCCGTCCAGACGCCATAGCCGCCTGCCACACCCACAGCCCCTACGGCAAAGCCTGGAGCACCTTCTGCCGGCCCCTAGAAATGCTAAACCAAGACGTAACCTACTTCCACGGCGACGCACAAGCAGTGTACAAAGACTTCGGCGGCGTAGTCTTCACTGCCGAAGAAGGCGAGCGCCTAGCCGCCGCGCTCGGGCCCAAAGGCAAGGGCATGATCCTGCGAAACCACGGCTTGTTGACCGTGGGCGGCACGGTCGACGAAGCGTGCTACTTGTACACGCTGATGGAGCGGAGTTGCCAGGTGCAGTTGCTGGCTGAGGCGGCGGCGGCGAATGGTGTTCCGAAGGTGTTTGTGCCGGAGGAGAGTGCTAGGTATACGTTTGAGATGTCAAGTGACCCAGAAACTCTTTACTGGGAAGCGCAACCTGACATGCAGTGGGAAGAGCATATGTGCAATGGTGCACATAGAGGGTGATGTTGTTGAACCACGGGATAGATGATGTGTTTTCATGTCGAAGGCACTGTGGTGGGAGTAGAGTAGAGTCATTGAAAGTGGAGTGAGCAAAGAATATGACAAGAGTGGAAGATAATCCAAGAATGAACTAATGAAAGACAGCGAAGACCATAAGAGTAGAGAAGGGTGTATTGTGCGCTACACATCCAAACAAGAACAAACACATCACAATAAAAGTACAGTTTTGCGCTTTAGACACTTGAGACACCATCATACACCGCCCCTGTTCCCCCAATGCAATAGCTCAGCATCCGCGCGCGCGCTCATTCCCCCTACCCGGCGAGAACCATGCGTGTGCAAACTGCCGGGCGAAGCAAAAGATTCTTTTTCTCGCTGGATGTAGTAAAACACAAAAGGTGCAATCAGCCTCTCAGCCACGCCGACTCAGATTGCAGGAGAGGAGCGGAGAGGCGAGGAGGTCGAGGGTATAAATGTAGCGGTACACGAAGTGCTGCAAGGTGCAGCTGGCCCCGGGGACCAATGCGAGTCGGGAGTGTAGAACGAAGGGAGAGGGAAGGAAGTCCGTTTACGGCTTCTTCTCGCCCTCGCCGCCGGGCGGTGTCTGGTCACCAGACTGCTGCTCGCCGGACTGCTGTCCACCCTCTTGGCTCTGCTCGCTGCGTGCACGGTGCATCTTGTCGAAGAGAGTGAGTGATGCGTTCTGCAGCTCGTCGGTCTTCTGCTTGATCTCCTCGGACGTCGCGGTGCCCTCGCCAGTCTGGTTCTTGGCGATGAACTCGCGCAGGCCGTTGATCTTCTCCTTGATCTGCTCCGCCTCGGCCTTGTCGAGCTTATCTTCGAACTCCTTGAGCGCCTTCTCGGTGTCGTTGACCACGCTGTCGGCGCGGTTGGCCATCTCGATGGCGCCTCGGCGCTCCTTGTCGGCCTCGGCGTACTTCTCGGAGTCGTTCACCATGGCCTCGATTTCGGAGTCGCTGAGACCGGAGCCAGATGCGATGGTGATGGACTGGTCCTTGTTGGTGGACTTGTCCTTGGCGTGCACGTGCACAATGGAATCGGCGTCAATGTCGAAGGTGACCTCAATCTGAGGGACACCACGGTGGGCCGGGGGGATACCGACGAGCTGGAAGTTGCCGAGCATCTTGTTGTCCCGGACAAGCTCACGCTCACCCTGGTAGACCTTGATCTCCACAGCAGACTGGAAGTCGGCGGCAGTGGAGAAAGTCTGAGACTTCTTGGTGGGGATGGTGGTGTTGCGGTTGATCAGACGGGTGAAGACACCGCCCAAGGTCTCGATACCGAGGGAGAGAGGAGTGACGTCAAGGAGGAGCAAGTCGGTAACCTCACCGGACAGCACACCACCCTGGATGGCGGCACCGATGGCGACAGCCTCGTCGGGGTTGACAGACTTGGCAGGGTCGCGGCCGAAGATGTTCTTGACGGACTCGGTGACCTTGGGCATGCGGGTCATGCCACCGACGAGAATGACATCTTGGATATCCTTGGCCTGGAGGTTGGCATCTTTCAGAGCCTTGCGCACAGGATCGATGGTCCGGCTGATCAGCGGGTCAACCAGGCCTTCGAGCTGTGATCGCGAGAGCTTGGAGTTGATGTGCTTGGGTCCCGAGGAATCAGCGGTGATGAAGGGAAGGTTGATGTCGGTTTGGAGGGAAGAGGACAGTTCGATCTTGGCCTTCTCCGCGGCCTCACGGATTCTCTGGATGGCCATGCGGTCGTTGGAGAGATCGATTCCTTGCTCTTTCTTGAACTGCTGGACGAGGTGGCGGACAAGGGTGATGTCAAAGTCCTCGCCACCAAGATGCGTGTCACCATTGGTCGACTTGACCTCGAAGACGCCGTTGGAGATTTCGAGGATGGAGATATCAAAGGTACCGCCACCCAAATCGTAGACGGCGACCACACGGTCGTCCTTCTCCAAGCCGTAAGCGAGCGCAGCAGCGGTAGGCTCGTTGACCACGCGGAGCACGTTAAGCCCGGCGATCTGGCCAGCGTCCTTGGTTGCCTGTCTCTGCGAATCGTTGAAGTAGGCTGGGCAAGTGACGACGGCGTTCTTGATGTTCTTGCCCATGAAAGCCTCGGCAGTCTCCTTCATCTTGCCCAAGACGAAACCTCCGATTTGAGAGGGAGAGTACTTCTGTCCCTGCGCCTCCAGCCACGCATCACCGTTGGAGTGTTGGACAATCTTGTAGGGGACTTGCTGGATATCGCGCTGGACTTCGGCGTCGGTGAACTTGCGGCCGATGAGACGCTTGGTGGCGAAAAGGGTGTTTTCGGGGTTGACGACGGCCTGACGCTTCGCCGCGATACCCACTAATCGCTCGCCTTCCTTGGTGAAGCCGACGACAGAGGGGGTTGTTCGTGCACCTGGTGACACACGTCAGCGCTGTACCTCCATCATTATCGCGCAGCCAGCGGACGCAGACATACCCTCAGAGTTTTCTATTATTCTCGGCGACTTGCCCTCCATGACCGCTACGGCCGAGTTGGTAGTGCCCAAGTCAATTCCGATAACTTGCCCCTGCACCTTCTCGCCTTCGTTGAAAGCCTCGGCATAGCCTCTTCGGAACTGCGAAGTTATCGGTGCTCGGATGGCGGAGGATCTGAAAGTGGAGGTTGCGCGCGGAACAGCCTGGAGATGAAGCGTCAGTCATTGCTCGTGTGATGTGGTGAGTAGAGGCCTGCAAATCGAGGGCGGCACGTACATTCCGCATCAGCCTTGCTGAAAGCATCTTGGCTGATCAAAGTCGACTTTTGGGAGAAGAAAGGATGCGCGCTTGATGGGAGGGAGATAAAGACAGGTTGGTGGAGGCGAGGAGGCGTGAGGGGAGGTGTGGATGAAGATGTTTCTATGATGGCAAGTCGGGAGCTCTTGGGAAAGTTTTTTCGGCAGACGGCCGCTCCCGAAAACTCTATTTCGCTTTCTCTCGACTTCCATCCGCTTTGCCACTAGCGAGGGCGAGGCTGGACAACTCCAGTCGTCTGTGCCAGTTACATCAGCTAGATAAGGTAGTCAAGGAAAGGAACGTAGCACATTGAGTATAACAAGGCTTCGTAGCATGATACAACAAGTGGATGCAAACATTCGTGCGATGACTCCCACTCCCTCTTATCCAACGAGAAAGATGGCTGTGTAGCCAACGACTTCTCTGAATAGCCCCCGAAAAGCACCCATTCCATCCTCCAGCCCTCGCATAGCGAATCTCCATGACGATCCAAAATCATGACAGCCGTCCCCATCGCGTTGAAAGCCGTAAGCAGATCCAATCCAAAAAGAAACAAACTCCGAGTACCGAATGCAGGAAGGCCGCGCCATGTAGCTCCAGAGCATCATGCGCGCCGCCCGAATCCCAATCTCCAAATCAAGATGGAAGAACGACTCGTCCGGAAGGACGTAGACAGACCGAGAAGAAGGAGAATAGTGTTACACCATGGGCCCGAAAAAGATCCAGTAACTGGAAGTCATACCCTCGCTCACTTGCCGGTGGCGCGAACCGCCAGCGTCAGCTTCTCATTCCTCTCCACGGCGATGTCGAGGTCCTCATCGCCTTCAAGACGATAGTACTCGCCGTCCTTCTCGTCGCGATACTCTATATCCAGACTTTCATCGTCCTGGTCCTGTCCCTTGTACTCCAGTCGCCGTCGCTCTACGATTCGCTGGTAGAGTTGTTCGAAGTTGAATTGGCCCCGGGGCGGCATGCGGATGACGACGCAGGTGTCACGGTCGAACCAAGCTTTCACCTTCACGGGGGCGGTGGATGGTGGAATCGGAGCTGGCGCGCCGTTGCTTTGCTGCGGTTGATTCTGAGGCTGTTGGCTGGAGGAGGAAGGGTTTCGGTCGTGGCCAAGTTGAGCAAAGGTTGGGCCCGCGAGCGACGATTGCTGTCTCTGGTGGCTCTGCCCATTTGCGCCTTGTGGTTGCTGTTGCTGCTGCACGCCGTTCGGAACCTGGCCTTGCGGTACTCCAGAGTGTCGTGCAATTCCAGGTTCGGGCCGTGCGTGTTCGTTCAAGTCCACAACAGACGGATCCACCTCGCGATCTCCAGGGCGCGGAGCAAAGAAGCTCCGCACGATGGGAGAGGCCGCGAATTTGGGATCGAGGGCGAGCAACTCGCGCAGATATTCGTTCAGACTGGATCGTCGGCCTTCGCTGATGGTGTCTGTTACGAACTGTACCGGGCCAGGCATGAAGGGCAAGGTCCTCTCAATCGGGGGACACTTGCCTGCCTCCTCGGGGAAGGCACTGATGAGGTGGATCTGCAGCTGGTAGAAGTCTTCGTAAATGCGCGAGAGGTCCCAGTGCGCACCATTTGACAGCTTGCATTCCACGATGAAATGGAACTTGTCTTCGGCGTATTCGTATCGGGGCACTGCTGCTCGAACGGGCGAGTAAAGGGCCTGCTGCTGCTGTGGATATCCGTATGGTCTGTCGTGTCCGTAGCCGTTGGACTGCCCATTGCCCATGCTCATCCGCTCCATTCCTTGTTGCATATTCTGAATCTGCTGGCTGCTCGAGACGGTGCCAAGAGGGATACTGGTGTTCTTATACTCCGCAGCCATCTTCTTCCACTCCTCTACGCGAGGTATGCCTGCCTTCTGCACCGCTTCGAGCGGGTCGGCAACAATCTGGCCGGTGGTCATGTCCCGTATCTCGATGAACGACACCGGTATCAGGCCTGGCCCTCCCAGTCGTGTGATTGGCTTGGCAACAAACCATTCTGGATTTGACTGCGCAATGACAATGATCGCCTCGCCTTCCTTCGCATCCAGCTCGTCCGGCCGCTCGGCATGGAAGTCGTACGAAACAATGCCATAGACACCCGCGGCATTCCTCCCCATCGATTTGCTCGCCCTGTGCCCTGGCTCGTAGGCACCGACCCCCGCAGCCCGGGCATGCCCTGGTGTGCCTTCCGCATATCCACTGTCGTGTGTGGCATTCCCGGACCTTCTGGAGCCTGCACTGTCCCGCACCGTCTTGCCCACTTCATCGAAATATTTGACCGGAACCAATCCACGCTCGTTCTTCAGCGGATTGCACGCCTCATACCACTCTTCATCGTTCTCGCGGCTGACCACATGGAGAAAATCGCCGGCGGAAAAAGACATGTACATGTCGGTGTCGGCGGGCGCATTGTAGTCGTAGAGCGCTTTGATCACCTGGGACGCATCAGCACCTATGTTGCTCGAGCGCAGCCTGACGTGGCTTGTATTCTCCTACCTTTTTCGGCGGCTCGATGGCAATGGCGTCTTTCTGGGGAATGGAGATTTGCACGGGCTTGTTTGTATCGTGTTTGTCGCTCTTCATGGAGCGCCGGAACTGGAATAGATGTCAGCGACCGCGACACATGCGCCTCTTTACCGCTTTGGGGGTGTCTCTGACCTTCATCATGGCCGCGAGTGGGCGCCCCGCAGGCCTTTTGCGAGCCTGCAAAGGTCAGCAGCAGGAAAGGGAATGGCGCTGGCTATGCCCAGGTGGAGAAGGCGAAGGGGTCGCGCGAGAGGCTTCGAAGAACAATGCGACCGAGGGTGGCAGTGGTGAATGTCAGGGACCACCTTTCGCGCCAACAAGCTTTTGCGTTGCAGCTGAAGAGAGCCGCTGTGGGTGGATAACGTGGGTAGACAGGGTGTGGTGCTAAATCGCCCGATCTGACCGGCGGGCGTAATTTCCCGTGGCGGGGCGCCTGGGATTCTTCACCGCGGCTCAGGGTCGGGTACCGGGCAAGGGAGGAAGGCTATCGCTGGAAGGGGGAGACGGGTCGTTCGTACGCGCCCGCCTGTGGTTAATCTCGCCTTGCTGGAAGCGAGCGAACGCAGCGCGTGACGGGCTGGTGGAATATGCGAGGAGGAGGAGTGACGTTGGCAGCGTTTGTGATCTTCACGCGACGCATCGACGAAATTGGATGCGCCCAACGCTGCATTCGGCAGGCGGGGCTGCAGGGAACAGAGAAGATGCCTGAGGCTCCAACACGGCACGGGACGGGACGAGATTATTCATCCGTCGTTGATTGCATTTGGTGAGAGCCAACAATTGAACTTCACCAGACCTGCAACCTGCTTCGCTTCCACCGTGATCGGGAGATGCAAATGTGCCGTAACGCCATTCAACGCGCTCCTTCTTGTTATGGAAAGGCTACTACCACGCACGGCGATCGGCATACGGCTTGGTCTTGTTCCTGAAAGCACGCCCTCCACTCCCTAATCCGTGTTGCTAAAGGCCGCCGAAAGTTCTTATTAATAACCGCGGGGTAATCATACATTGCGCTGCATGCTGCCCTTACATAAGGTGACAAGGCTCCTCCTCCACATACATGCATACATATCATAAGTGGCGTCTCTCGTGCAAAAGCCCCCCATTACGGCCGGAGCGACGAGGCGAGGATGCCGTCGGAGAAACGACCGCGGGTCATCAACGGCAAGCCGACCTACGAATATTGCAAAACGTGTCGGTCGGTGCGATACCACGCCACCAACGAATGTGCAGCCTTGCTAACCCGCCAAAAACAGCCGCAGGAGAGTGAAATGTGACACCGCTCGGCCTGCTTGCCAGCGATGTCTCCGTGCCGGTTTCGTGTGCGAAGGCTACACTGTCTTGGAGTTGGCCATTCGACCACTACACGACAATGCAGCCCAAGGTACAGACATCGCCCACTTCCACCCGCCTGCAACGGCCAACAGCCCAGAACTTGCTGCTGCAATAGCCCCAGCAGCGGCTTGTCGCGCACACTTGCTCTCGCTCTATCTCCACGATCTCTTCCCAACCACCCCTCGCTTCGCTCCTCATATTGCGCACACGACCGCGCTGTCATTACCGCATCTTTACGCGCAGAGTGATCTCCCTAGCCCATTGCTGCGGCGCGCTATCGACACGCTCTGTTTAGCGCACCTGGCAAACAAGACGCAGGACGTCTGGCGTACCAACCTTGCCGCGGACTTTCTTGGCCGCCTTCTGGCCCAGCTACGAGGCGCCCTCCATTTACATGGCAGCACGCAGACTGCCAGTCCCCGCCTCGATGGCACGCGCCATGCGAAGACGGCGTCGACCAGTGCACAGAGCATCATGATGACAATCATCCTCCTCAGCATCATGCCTAAGTTAGCTGGCGATCTGGACATTCCGGCTCCTCATGACCCCTCGGCCATTCATGCCCAAGCTGCGGTGCAGTTTGTCGCCAGCTACGGACCGACATTCCTGACCGGTTCGCCACGTACAGACGTCGTGCTGACCCGGCACCTCCAGTTACAAGGCATGGGTGTCGCTTACGCTCGTCGCAAGAATTTCGGAGCCGCGCATCCAGGTTGGCAGGGAGTACCTGGGATGTTGCACGAGGAAGATGCCATGTATCGAGGATCGGGCTTCGTCGTCCAGGATACTCCATCTGAATGGCTGCGGCCCGCCTCTCCTCGACCATCCTCCGCCGCACGCGCTCGCACATTGTACGAAGATCTCTTCGATCCTGTCGCGCAACTCTTGGAAATGGTGGACAACTTCTCAGCCGGCTCTGGGCCCCACTCCCAGCAGCGCCTCGACAACATGGCGGCGGCCATCCGACATGCCGATGACCTTCAACTACACAACATCACCCCCTCGCTCCAAGAGTCCACAGCAAAAGCTTTCGGCCCAATGATCACCGCCAGCAGCGACCCCAACGACTTTGATCCCGGCATCGAAGAGCACGTCTACCTCGTAACGCCCGCCGCCGCCAAAATCATCCCGGAGCACTACCGACCGACCGCCGATCCCTTAACCGCCAACTCAGGCCTCCGCCTCCGCCTCCGCTGCCTCCTAGTGGACTGTGCAATCCTGCAGATGATCGACTCTGGCACGTCACGCAACGACCTCCCACCAGACTGGTCCGGCTTGCACCAAGAGGACATCGAGCGCAGGGCCTACACGACCGCCCGCGAAATCCTCCAGTTCGTACATTACGCCAGTCGGCGATCACTCACGGTAGCCCGCTTCCTCCGCCTTTGGATCAGCGCTCCGCGTCATTTTTTTGTCAGCTATGGTCGCGCGCCGGACGAGGTGCAATGGTGCGATGGCTGTGTGGCTGCAATCTCCGCGCGGATTGCACGTCTCGTAGCAGCAGGTCAGGGCGAGACGACCTGTCCCATGCTGGGTACCGTAGCGAGGTCGATTGAGAGTTACCGGTATAGGTGATTGTCTTGATGGGCCATGTTACTTACCCGGAGAAAAGGAGTTGTGTCGCGAATCTACACCGGTCTTACCGGAAATGAAGCTCGCACACTTTGCAATCGGTAACAGCATGAATCATGATATCCAAAGGCTATGCATTCGTTGAATATGGTTCGCATCGCATCAAACTATCCATACGGTGCCACTCAGGGCTTGAAAGCACACACAACCTCCTCTCTCCCTTCCATGTCATCACCCTTCGCTCCGATGTGTACGTTTGCCTGCGCACCGCCATCCACATCACCCCGCCGATCCTCCATGATTAGTTCTGGGAAGGTGGAAGCCGTCATAACTGTACCGTTGGGGATTGCCGAACTCTTCCAGTGCAAAAATAACAAAGGGAGCCTGAGCTTCTTCTTTCATGGCCCTCTCGCGCAGTTGTCGGACGTTGCACTTGGCCGGGTCGGATATTGACGCTAAAGGACGGAAAAGGGGGAGTGGCAATCATATTTGACCCTTGATGTCGACGCCACGGAATGCGGCAGCTCTCGCGTTCTCGAAGAGGGCGCCAGCTTTCCCACAAAGGAAGCGCACGTCAGTCTCTTTGCGCTCCACGAGATGCTCGCCTCCGTGCTGGCAGAGGAAGTCCAGGCACTGCCGAGCGCCGGCGTCTGCGTCCGATGTGCCGTCTTGATCTTCTTCGCCGTAGAAGGAAAGCTCTTTGGCCAAGAAGTGCACGCTGATGTCTGGCTTGTATCTGTATCGCAGTTAGCATCATTTACCATGCTTTGCGAGTCGACGAGAAACTTACGCCTTGCAGATGGCAGCCATGGCCGCGAGCCGCTCTCGATTGATGAACATGTCCAACAGGTAGGGTCCCATGAAGGGCGCTTCGTCGTATAACCTAAAGAATTTGTGGTAGTTCCCAGCAGCCAGGGCAGAGCGCACCCGCAGTGCGTGTTGCACCCCAGGCTTCTGCTTGTCTGCTGGGGTTAGGTCGGCCAACACGTCGTTCAGATCCGTGCGGTTGCGCGTATAGATATAATACAAGATACGATACGCCACAAACTCCTCCGGCTTGCCCCCCAGATGCGATTTGTAGAGTGCGCGTAGCTGTGTCTGGCATTGATTGTACTCACCAAGGTCTCCCATCTCCAACGCGATGCGTGCGTGCGCCTCGTACACCTTGACGGTGAACTCGGTCTTGATGCGTTGCACTGTCAAGTCCTGGCGCATAGACTTGAGCTGGTCGCACGCGTAGGTGTAGTTATGGTCGTTCTTCCACTTCTTCCGCACCAGGTCCAGTGCTTGCTCGAGGATGCGTAGGGGTCGAACGGTATGAGGGGCAGGGGGAGCAGTCAACCGGAAGTAGTTCTTTTCGAGGGTCTCACAGGTACCAACAACAGGTCCAGTGGGGGCGGGAGAATCCTCATGAGATGAAAGGTAAGGAGAGGGCTCGGGGGTATGGCCAAAGCGCTGCCGGCGTCTTTGCAACGCGTCTGCATTGCTCAGCTCGGCGTTGAGCCGCATGTTTTCGATCTTTTTCTGTTTCTTGCTCTGAGCTTTCGATTTACCGGAGATGCGATCCTCGAGACCATGCGTGATCTGGTTCTTCTTCCACGGCGGGGTGGTATCGAGTTCCTCGGCCAGAGTCATCTGCGTGTCGGGTGACTTCCGTTTTCGTTGGTTTTGCGGTGGCGGCGAATACGCTCCATCGTAGGTGGGAGGCAAGGCGGCATTCATGTTAGTCACAACGGCGTTCTGCGCTCCATACAACGCCGCCTGTTCACGTTCTTGCTTAATCATATGCTGAGGAAGAGGATAGGTGCGCCAGTCGATCATTTCTAACCGGCCCGACTCTGCGGCCTCGGTGATGATGACCTTCAACTTGTCTTGCATGGCTTTCTGGTCTATCCCGGGAATCGCATTGTCTTGCTCAAAGGCGCGCTGGACGTATAGTCGTACGGCGGGCGACCAGGTGACTTTGGGGGGTTGGGCTGCGGAAGGAGGGGGAGGAGGCTGCTGCAGCGTATGTCGTGCTGGCACGGCGGTGTATGCTGGTGCGGCTCCCATCATGGCGGTCGCGGTGGGGACACCTGCTGTCTCAAGCAGGCGGCCTCGAGCGTTACAGGCGTGAAGTTCACTGAGTCAAGGAAATGTGGACGTCGAAGAGGGCAACAGACGTGAAGTTTGATTTGTTTCAACCGGGGTTGAATGTGGTTGCGTCGGTGGTGGAAGGAGGAGAGGGCAAAGTTGGGGCGGTGGACAAAGGGAAAAAGAGGCGGGGAGCGAATGTCAAAAGTCGTGGCCGACACGTGACCATTAGATATGATATCTGGCACGCGACTCGTCGACGCTACCGCACATATGCACCTGCTTCATCATTTCCTACCCCTTCCGTGATCAACCTGTATTCTTTGGTCATTAATGGACGGCATCTCGAACGCTGGTACCGGAGGAACACGCTATTACAAAGAAACCATCTGTGACTCCCCAAATTCTGGATCGTCAACAGGCCGACCTCTTCACTGATGACTCGACATCTGGATGTTCCTTCGCCAGCTTGACCTGACGACAGCGCTTCGGCCAAGTCTGTACGATGGAGAGAGCTTACTGTTCGTCGCGGAGCGCGTAGGTCTCTATGAAGGCAAATTCAAAATCGAAAAGTATCAAAATGGGAGTGCCTATTTGACCACTCACCGCATCTGCTATGTCGACAACGAGGATCCGAGGACCTACTCGGTCGCCGTCGATCTCAAGGAAATCGAGCGCACCGAATACTATGCTGGGTTTCTCAAATCCTCGCCGAAGGTCACTCTATTTCCGAAGCCGGGCAGGAAGTACACGCAGAATATTAGGAGCCCCGTCCCGCGATATGGCTCACCCACTGGCGTATCCTTCAACAATAGTGGGGGCTCTATGCGGCCGCTCAACCAGTCTCCGGCTCCAACGAGAGACGTCAACGCAACCTGGATATGTCAGATCTGCGGCCTGCCAAATTCCATCCCAAGTAGTTTCGACCCCTCAACGGCCAATCAATATACACCGTTACCTCCTTGTCAAGCATGTGGTATCAAACCCGAGCTGGTACACGTGAGCAAAGCTGCTATTGCTGCTATGGCAAAGCGAGCACCGGGAGTGCCATCAAGCCCACAGCCTTCTCGAACGAGTTTCGGCCAGTCTGAAACGGCGCCGAACCCTCCTCCGCCTGTTGTCACGCCTGGAGGCACTCCATCAAATCAGTGTCCTAGATGTACCTTCCAGAATCATCCTTCGCTGATGAGCTGCGAGGTCTGCGGCGCATCACTTTCACCTCACGAAAACGGTCTGTCAAAGCAATCTGCCAATCCCATCCAGCGACCCGAGTCTCCCGGTCCATCTCTGAATGGGTCCATCATCGGGGATGACACGATCGAGACCGTCAAGTTCTCTTTTCGAGGAGGAGGCGAAAAGTTGTTCCAAGAACGGCTAAGAGAAGCTCTGGTGCAACGCAAATGGCTTCTGCTCAGCGCGCCTCCCGTGCCAAAACCAATCACCCCAGCCACGTCCACCAACAGCCCCTTCCAAACCCCTGACGTGGATTCCAGAACCGGCACACCCCATCAGCGAGTCGTCGGCATCGCCGGTCTAGAGCAAAGGGAAGCAACACTCCGCGAGAGCAACAAGACCATGATCTCGACCGCGTTCGAAGACCTCGAAGCCCTCATGACCTCTGCCAAAGAAGTCATCGCCATGGCCGAGCAGTTCGCCAAACAAATGGATAACGGAAGCAATGGAGAAGCGGCGCATGCAAGAGCCGTGCTTTCCGATTCCGCCGCTGCTCTTGGCCTCGTTACGACGAAGGATATGCTCGGCTCGGGCTCGTCTTCCGAGACGCTGTATATCACCGAGCTCGCACGCAACCTGGCGGAATTCCTCACAGACGACAGAAGAGGCGTACTCCGCCGAGAAGGCGGGATCATCTCGCTCGTCGATCTGTGGGCTGTGTTCAACCGCACGCGCAACGGCATCGAGCTCATCTCGCCCCTCGACTTCGAAAAAGCAGCCACGATGTGGGAATCATTGCATTTGCCCATTCGCCTGCGAAGATTCAGAAGCGGTTTGCTGGTGGTACAAGAAAAGAGCCGAACAGACGAGAAAACGATTGCAAGTTTGCTGAGCTGGCTACGGGAGCCATTGACGACTTCCTCGCTGTCCGAAACGGAATCGGCAGACGTGGCTTACGGCAAAGGGGTGACGGCGCAAGAAACAGCGGAGCGTTTTGGCTGGAGTGTGGGCGTCGCCACGGAAGAATTAGAAATGGCCGAAGAGACGGGCGCGCTGTGCCGCGATCCATGTTTGCACGGCATCACGTTCTGGGAGAATCATTTCGCGCATACATGGGTTGAGCAGGCGACTTCGATGATGCAAGACCTGGCAATACACGGTTGAAACTTGAAGTAGACATGCAAGTCTTGATTCAAAGTCGCTCGTGCAATACATATCCGAGCTCTATCCCCCCTCCCACACGAACGCCGAATGAGAAATACCGTAGCAGCATGCCTCATTTCCCACGACTGCTACCAGCACTGCTCGGCGCAAGACTACTCATCTTACTACTCAACCAATCACTCCCGCCACTCATCCAATCCGGCAAGCCAAACGTCTTCTCACTCAAGCCGCCCACACTGCTCTTGCTCCCCAGACTGCTCGCCTTACTACCATGCGCCGCGCTCATCCACTTCGTCTCCGCGTTCGCAATCGAGTGCACGACATTGAGGAACAAGTACGTGCTCGAGCCAATAGCGCGGAACAGCGCGAGGCCCGCGACGAGCCAGAGGATGCAGGAGAGGTACAGATTGTCCGCGACGTGCGTATTGCTGTACGCCTCGCTGACAATCATGGCGAGCACGGCGTTGCAGCACAGCCAGACGATGACGACGTACGTGCGCACAGCGCGATAGTAGTCCTCCTGCTGCTGCGTCTCGCTCACCACGTCCTTGGGCGCCTCCTTGCGGTCGCGCAGGTTGCGCAGCGCCTCGTCGTACCCGGAGTCGATGTCGAGCTGCTCCGACGGCATTTCCACCTCCACTGCGCCGTTCTTGGTAACTTTCGCCACGCCCAGGTCCTGCTTGAGCACGTTGTCGCCTTTCGTGCCCCAGGTGACGTCGTGGGTGTTGCAGAAGGCGTAGACTTGCAGCGAGCAGACGTAGCTGGGGAGCAGGGCGAAGTACTGCGCCGAGCTGGTGAACATGTGCCACGGGTCGAGGTAGAGGAAGGACATGATGAAGTACAGGCCGACGGTGGAGAGGATGCTGACGACGATGTTGGTGAAGACGTTGTTACCCATTTGGATGGTGTTGTGCTTGTGCCCCGCGTTGTCGCCCAGTTTCGTCGTCAGTTCGACGACGACAATGTAGATTGCTGCGAAGGTGTTATACGCCATGATGATGCTGAAGGTGATGAAGGAGCCGAGGAACATCTTCTTCGCGCCCTGCGGCCTGTTGCCCAGCGAGAGGATGAATTGCATCAGGATGAGCAGCACGCAGACGTAGCGGAGGAGCACGAAAATGTACAGGCCGAGGTTGTGCGGGAAGGGGTCGATGGTGGGATCCGAGAGCGAGCCGGCGATGAAGTAGAAGATGAGGTAGAAGTTGCCGAGCGAGAAGAAGGTGAAGAGCAGCTGCACAAACTGGTAGACGAACTCGACGTGCAGCATGATCTTGCGAGCGATGGTGTGGTCCGTACTCCAGACCTGCTTGAAGTGCAAGAGCGAGTAGACGGCGGCGAAGAAGGCACCATTCAACCATCTGCGACGCTGCGAGATGAATTCGGGAATGGCATCGGGCACGTCGGTCTCTCCTGTGGCGCTCTTGACGTATTTGAGCAGCCATTGCTCGTTACGTTTGGCTACCAGCTCCCAGCATAAGATGCGGTCCTCGGCGAGATACATGTTGGCGGTAAACACATCTGCATCCTGACCATGGAGCGTTTCGCCCTTGAAGTATTGACTGAGTGGGCCATGGCCGGTCGCATCATTTTGCAAAGCGTGGAATCGATAGGCACTCAGCGCACCCGGCAGCACCGTGATGTATCCAAACACCGACTCGAGCGGCTTGTCCAGGATATTGGACATCTTGTATTCGAAGTTCTGCGAGGCCACAAGCGGATTGAGCAGCTGCAACCAGCCTTTGCCCTTTGCAGCACGGATTTCGCCCGCAGCGCCTGCAACTCTCGAATCCATATCGAATGCCTTCCACAAATGATACAGCGAGTCGTTACCAGGCCGCGTTCCGACGTCGAGAAGGATGCACACGTTCGGGTTCAGCGCTTTGCCAAACGCATTGAAGAACCAGCGATGGCTGTTCAGCTTCTTCGCATTCTTCTCCTTGAGACAGAAGATCATCTGGCACGGCACGATGCCCTTTTCCGCGCCCTTGAACTTCAGATCCGCGTCGAGGGAGACCTGCGTGGTGTACTCGTACACATGGGCGGTCACGTCACGCTGGTTGACTTGATTCTTGGCGATGCCGGATTGGTAGCAACCCATTGCTGCAATCGCGTCAAGAGTCCGCGGATGCACCTTTGCACGGCCGTCGGAGATGACGCAGACGACGATCTTCTGCCATCCGTCCTTGCCCCAGGTCCGCGACTTGGCTCGACTGCAGAAGTGCGAGATGTTGCGCATGATGCCGTGCATGGTCCGCGTGAAATGGATCTCGGACTCGTTGTACATGGTCACGCAGATGAGGAGTTCCGTCTCTCTCGCCGAGAAGCCGATGTTCTGGCGAAGCTTGTAGCCGCGGTCGACGAAGTCATCCGGGTCACATGTGACGGCGGTGTATCGCATATGAGTAAACTCCACGTCGTCACGCCTGGGCAGGAACGAGTACAGAATGGTGGGGATCTTGCACTCTAGGATGAGCTCGCCGTTGATCAAGCGCACCTCCTTCTTCGCCATCTGTGCCTGTCTTGCTCCTCGGCGCTCCTGCTTGCCTGTCGGTGCTGGGCCGTACAGATCTTCTGCTTTGTCGTTGTAGAGGTCGTCAGTGAACGTGGAAGCAGAAGCGAAGCTGTCGTGTGATTTGAGATCCGGTCTCTTGGTTGACACAGTGTCATCGCTTGGGGGGCCAAACACATCATCGGCATCCTCATCCATGTCTATGGCAGTCATTTGAGGCGCATCGAGTGGCACGTCCGAGGCCAGGGGTCGACCTCCTGCGAATAGTGGTGCCGGAGGCAATGGCCGCTTTGGTGAACCACCATACTGTGAAGACGGCGTACCTGGTCTGGGACTGCCGTTGATGTCCGAGGGCTCGTAGGAGACATTGGAAGGTGGAGGTCTTGTATAGTCCAAGGAGCCTTTGCCAGACGACCACGGGCGTGTGGGCGATTGTGACGAGCGCGAAGAGGGTCGGAATGGAGCGTATTGAGGAGAGTCGATTGTCAATGGAGGGATTTCGGGGGCGTTGTCGAGAATGGAGGGGTCACGCGAGAGAGTGCGTGTGCTTGCAGGCGGCTGATATGATCTTGCCGGCGAAGTCGGTCTACTGGATGTGCTGCCGTCGTCCTTAAGATCTTCTCTGCTCTTGAATCGCACCCGGGTCACCTTGGCCTTCGGCCTGCCCTTGGAAAGCGAGCTTTCGACGTCTTGTAAGAGGCTGTTGACGTCGCTGTGCACTGTTGAGTTTTCGGTCGAACCTCTTCCTACATTGCTACCGGAGAGCTCCTCTCGCGCGCGCGAGAAGACGTTGTATGCCGAGGTGGCCTGCTGGTCACGCTCGCGATCGGGCGTCAACAGACGCATGGTCGAGCCATTGGGCGTAGGAGGTGCGTTGTGACCGTTGTCTGAGCTCTGGTAGCTTGGCGGACGATCGTAGTCGTCTGGTGAATTGGGGTAGACCATTGTGTCGTGTCGTCCAGACAATGCGCGAGGTAGCGATTGGAATGCGGATGTTTGGAGACGGCTTGTTGGACAGTGTGTCTCTTATGCAAACATGCTGGTGGTAACAGTGTAGAATATCGCAGGGATTGCTATAGCGATCGCAATGCCATTGTGAATGATGCCAATGGATGCGACTGTGATTTTTGGGAGGATGACAGAAGACACAGAGACATCGGAGGGTTTGGGACAGGTCAACAGCGGTCAAGCTAAGGTTTCGTAACGTTTTGGTGCTGCGTTGCTGAGCAACCAGCGCCTCGACCCACAATTTCTCCGAATCCGGCGTGCGCCACATCTCCATCTCGACGGAGGAAGATGGACGTGGGTGAAACATGCAGTGATGATAATTGGCATGGCCAGCTAGTTTCGCGACGGAGTGTGCTTCTTGGAAATTTCTCGGCTGGCACGATGTCGCGCAGGGTAGAAACGATATGAAGCAGCCGGCGACCAGTCAGGTGACGCCAGGCGGCCCAATGCGTGGCCATGTCTTCTTGATGGACAAGCCAGTTTACCGCCAGCTGCGGATGAGCACTCAACCAATACGCAAGAGGTTCATGCTGTGGACGGCCAGTTCTTAGAATGGAGTCGTCCAGTCTAGACCCTAACCGAGACATGTGAGGAAGTGCTTCGGTAGGATTTATCGGCCTTGGAGACGGCAAAGCTGGGAATCGCTCGAGTCTGACCATCCATGCTCGAGGCTCCATTGCATGAGGCGCACTCTGTGTGGCTGATGTAGACCACACAGCACGCAAGATGGACGGGGCGGCCAGTGTTACAGAGTGTCTGCGGCAAGTTCGAACGGTGCTGGCTTGAGACGCCCAGACGAAGACGTTCTATCTCCACACTTGCTTACCTTAGGCCGCACTAGATAACGGCCCTTATATTGAAGCAGAGGCTCCAGCGGGGTGAAGCAGCTCCTGGAAAACGTGTGGGGAACAAGGCATCGTGTGGTAGTCGGCTGAGACGAGCTTGCTCAGTCCCGCGAGCAATTGAGGGTTTTGCCCATCAACAACGTGCTTCAGGAATGAAAGGTGTGTTCGAAGGATGGCATAGCATTCAATGTATCCCTCCCCTCTACATGTTGTAATGCGTGGTATGTAGTTATGACAGCCCCCTCTTTCCGTGCTCAGTGCTTAGCACCCGCCTTCTGTCCTTCTTGCTCGGCGCTCTTGAGGAATTCTCTGAAAGTAGACATCAGCATCGAGCTCCCTCTCTTGTACAGGCTGCCTCATCGACTTACTGTATGAATTTCTCCTCATCTTGGTCCTTGGCGTTGAAGGCCGGCGTCTTTTGCGCCTCGCCCTTCTTGCCGCCCGTAGACAGGTAGGCACCGACGAACATGGTGCTGAGGGTAGCGATCGAGAGCTAGGAGCTGCATGTCAGCGCTGATCTGGAGCGGTCTTCGAGCATGCTGAGAGCAAGCCATTGGCGCTGACTGCGGCCCGCGCAAAGGGAGGAGGGGTCGAGCGGGAAGGGCACATACCCAGTGCGAGCCGACTTTTGCGCCGGCAATGTTGTAGTAGGCGACCATCTTTGACGGTGTGGTCGGGGGTGGAGGGGATGAAGGGGGTTGGTGATGGGGGATGAATGGGTTTGAAGGTTCCAGTTTGAAGGCGAGTTGCTGTCGGAAAGCTTTCGGAAGAGCGCCACACTGCTGTGGCTGAAGCATCGACTGCGCCTCACATTGGCGGAAGCTTGGAACGTCAGGTCTATCTGTCACTCTGCTGTCACCTCCGACGCACCCCACGTGCACTCTTCTTGTACTACTATTCTTGCTCCATCTATTCCTGATCTATCTTCCATATTAGCATATTTATTCATACATATCCATAAACCCCCCAAACCATGGCAAAAGACGACCCCAAAGCCGACCCAGACCAACTCAACTCCATCGAACGCCTCCGCAAAGAACCCCGCCCCGACTTCTCCTCCACCCCGGTGCAACGCAAACCCCTCCCGAAAGAAATCCAACAAACCCTCGACAATGAAGAGCGCTTCTGGGACGTCCTCAGCTCCGGCAAGGCTGAAGACTCCACCGACTCCGGACTCCGATACGCCGCCTACGCCAACCGGATACGCACCATCATGCTCAGCGCCCACCGATACGTAGCCTACACCAGCGACATCGGCGAGTCCTTCCGTCCTGTCGCGCATCCGTGGCTCGTGCGGAGTGCGTATGGCATCAGCTGGGCCTATATCTTGGGCGATGTGTCGTACGAGGGCTACAAGGCGTATCTGCGCAATGAGAAGGTGCGCCACCCGGAGAAAGATGCCGATGCAAACACCTCCACAGCCCTCGTGGTTCCCGGGCATGTTGCGCCGATCGACGACTACCGGACCATCATGGTGCAGCGCGGTATCTTCCAATCCATCGCCTCGATGGGGCTGCCTGCTTTCACCATCCACTCGGTGGTGCGATACAGCGGGCAAGCGTTGAAGAATGTGAAGAACACAAAGATACGGACGTGGGGTCCGATAGGGCTGGGTCTTGCTGCGGTGCCTGCCTTGCCGTATATGTTTGACAAACCCATCGAGCACGCGACGGAGTGGCTGTTCCATTCGGCTTTCGAGGCTGTAGGTGGCCCACAAGCTGTTGGTAAAGATCCGGCGACAGGTCTGGCGGGTCGGCCGGAGAAGGAGAAGGAGCTGTAACACGATTTCCCGCTCACATATACGATGACAATCTACTCAATCTATTGGTGAACCTCATGCTCCAGTGATGCGTTGCGTCTGCTAAAGTTTTCATCCGCGCCGACCCTTTGTCATTCTGCTGCTTCCATCGTCTGCACCCTTTCCACCTTCAAGCAAGCGAGATTCGTCAGTGGCAAGACTCAGCGGCATCATTCTGTTTTGCGCTGAGGCACCAGATTCGTAGCTTTTGCTTGCCGACCTTCTTTCGCCTGTGGCCATGATTCGAAACGTCCATCACTCTTGCGAACGGGCTTTTGCGCCGTCTGCACGGTTGACCGACCTTCATTCCCCCGCTTTTTCGCCACCAAGCCAACACCCGTGTCATCGGCGACAAACGCCTCGTATTTCCCCCTGGATGTACTCCAGATGCCTTTAGCCTGCTCCTTCGTGATCTTAAGTCGTCCAGCTTCGTCCCTCCAGTTCAGCATCGGCCTGATCACGTTGCTGTAGAGCACGCCTCTGCAGCTGAAGAAGTACGGCGCGAGTCTGTTTCTTTCTTTGCGCGGCTGCTTGCATGCTTCGAGCGCGGCTTCCCAGTCTCCCTCTTCGTCTGGCCGGGGGATGTCGGTCCATCCGCGTGCTACTAGGGCGACTTTGGTGCCCTTGTTCCCCTGTGATTGTGCGGTGGGCGTGTTTGTCTTTTTGGCCTTCGTGACCTTTGTCTTCGTGATCTTCGTGACCTTCGATTTGCTGCGTGCCATCTTTGTGGATTTGTTTGTTGTCTTCTTCCTCTTCGAACGCGCGACCACGATGTCTTCCTCGTCGTCTGCATCACCATCATCCACCCCGCTATCGTTGGCGCCACTTGCGACGCGTTGAGGGTAGTAGAGCTTCCACTCCACCGGACAGTCCGCAGCATTGTGCTTCTCAATGAACCGCGCCAGCGCCATCACCATTTGCACCTTGCGCTGCAAAGATGCCTCTCGCGGGATCCTCAGCATCGTTTGAAGGAAGCTCGCTCGCTCCTGCGGCTCGACCTCTTCCGCCCAACGGTCGACTCCACGAAGGTCCAGCGCTCTCAGCACGGCAAATTCATTCTGCAGCCAGCGGCCTGCTGCTTCTTGCTCTGCCTCCCATTTCAGCATCAAGTGGGGGTCATCTTCTTCGTCTTCGACGTCCATGGGACCTGAATCTTCTCCGAACAATTCCAGTTCCAGTGGCGTTGGCTTTGGCTTTGATGCGCCGTTTTTGGAATCGCGTAGTTTCGCCATGGTGTGCTGGGTGTGTTGTCTTACAATTTACGCGTGTTGCAAGTTGTCAAGTTCCAGTCAAAGTCACCGTTTGGCTGTCCCGGAAATGAAAGTCGCACAAAGCCATGCAAGCAGCCTTCCCGCAGCAGGCGCTCGGGCCCACAAATCATGTGATCGCTTCATCTCCCCCCTCGTCATACCGCGCCGGCTAAACCTCGCCACCTCTTTCAACGAGGATATAGACTAATTTCGCGCGCTGGCATCTCATACTAATATAACCAGGTCCTCCCGAACGCCCTCCCGACGCCCTCCCTCCTTCGAAAAAAGCCAAAACCGAGGCCCCATGAAAACCCCGAAAGGGGCGAATGTGCGCGGCTAGTTTCGCTTCATCCCCGAGGGGTGTTTCGTTTCCGACGCCCTCCCTCCGTCCTCCCTCGTTCGAAAAAAGTTCAAAACCAGGCCCCATGAAAGTCCCGAAAGGGGCGAAGGTGCGCGGCTGAGTTTGGCTTCACTCACGAGGAGTGTTTCGTTTTTGTTGTTTTTTGACCGTACATGTTGACAGGGCGTGCGTTCGAGAGTTGGTTTCGTTTTTGTTGTTTTTTGACCTTTACATGTTGGCAGGGCGCGCGTTCGAGAGTTGGAAAGCGGGAAATATGATTTGTTCTCTAGTGCTTTCTTTTTCGTATGTGTGAGGGCCAGAGTTCGAGTGCTCAGATAGAATGTACGGGCTAGAATCCTCCACGACAGACCATACATGTAGGAATTAACTTAGATGAAGATGTCGAGATCCTTCCGCCTTCCTCCTAGGGGGAGATCATGAGACCCACATTTCACGTGATCGTTCCTTCCGCTTCCAGCAGATTCGTCATGCCCTCCGGCTAAACCTCGCCACCTCTTTGATGAGTATATAGACTGTAGTTTTGCCCCCGCATCTTATCCAACCACTTCAGCGCGTGACCAAAGGCTGAAGTGGTTGGTGCCCCCTCTCCCCCCTGGAGTGCTAACCCAATAGGTCGGCGCGAGGAGGAGGAGGAGCGGAGGAGTGGAGGATTTCCTTATTTCCTTTCTCTCTCTTTCCTTTACTGCTAACTCTAGGCACCCCGCCTCCAAAAAGACAAAACCAGGCTCCATGAAAGTCCCGAAAGGGGTGAATGTGCGCAGCTGAGTTTGGCTTCACCTCAAAGGTGTTTCGTTTTTGATGTTTGTTCGCCCTGAGGCAGGCCCCGAGTTCGAGTATCGCTGGAGGACGTTGACTTGTTTTTGGTGCTCCTTTTCTCTACTTCTCGGAATCGTGCATTCGAGTGCCAGGGCTCGAGCGCTGAGTTGGAACGATTCACGTGTTCCGTGAGGTGAACCAGGGGTGTAATGATGGCCATACTGCTATATATTTCCGCCTCCATGTTGTGAGATATTGTTCAACAAGACCCGCTATACATGTGACCATCACAGCTCGCCGCTGAGATCGCGGATTGATGCAAACTGACCGACGAGGCCAAAAAAGAAAGCCACGGCATGAATTCGAACTCGAACTTGCACTCGAACTCAAACTCAGGCCCTCTAAAACGTCAAAAAAGGAAACTTCTTTTTTACAGGGAGAAGCAAGGCGAGACTCGTAGGACCCCAACAGGTTGTGACTTTTGATGCCCATTTCTGACCTCAAACAGATCAATTTGATGCTGCGAGTCATTGGTTGGAGGGCCCTGCGCAAAAAAATCAATATATAGAACTTTCAAGCGGTGACGAGGCTTAAACGGACTGCCATGTCGTCTGCACTACTGACGCGCACCGGAGCTGAGAGGTTACCGTAATCGTTTCGATGATTGTCTATCGTAAAGCTTTCGCCTCCAGATCCAATCGAGCAATCCAGCTAAAACAGCTCGCGAGCAGCAGCCTCACCTCCGACATCCCCAGGCACAGGCTCCTCAGCCGCCAGACAAACAGCCGTAGCGTAATCCCCGTCATGACTGATGCTGATCCGCGCAACCTGGCCGGTGAGTTCCTCGTGCCCTACCTCCGCCTCTCGCACCATGTGCTCCTCGACGAGAGGGCGAAAGTCGATCTCCGGAATGATGGTCGTTGGTTCTGCATCATCACTGGACAGCGGTGGGGGCGCCGGTGCTGATGCTGACGCTGCGTCGTCTAATATGACGGCCATGAGACCTTGTCGATGCGGAGAGGGCTGAATGACGATTTGGTGGAAGCGCAGACGGCGCCAGGAGACGGCTTTTATCGTCGCTTCTTTGGCTGCCCATCTATACAATACACACATCAGCAATGCAACAAGACAGTGATAAGAACCAGCATCCTGGAATCGGTTCATTGAGAGAAAGGAACTCCTCACCTCCCAGCCAAATGCTTACTAACAGCATCCAACTGCCCCCCATCGACCAATCGTCCATTCGTTAAGTACTGGCTCGAAAAGACATGCTGTTCGCGAGGCGTGAGGAAGCGCCGGAGGAAACGATCGAGGTACTGCGGTTGGGATTCGTCTTGCTGCGCTTTGACGAGCAGCGCGCGGATGCGATTGACGTGCACGATGTCGGTGCCGATGCTGAAGCCCAAGGGGAAGGGACGCAACGGCATTGGGTGAAAGCGAGATGTTGGCGCGACGGATGCGCGTTGTCGAGGTGGTGATGGAGGTGGGAGTTGAGGTGGGAATAAACATTGAACACGACTTTTGACCTTTCCGCGGTGAGTTTTATTCCCCGAGCTGCAATGAGAATGGGGTATCTTCATGACTACAACCAAACTAATCGGAACGCTACAATCCCAACAAGTCTCCGTCGCCATGCGAAGCATGCATCATAGGCGGCGCTTGGCCTAAGCCCTGCCCTTGATTCACCACGTACGTCTGCTCCATCCCGCCCGCAGTGGTGAGACTGCTCTCGAAATCTCCATTCGAAGACATTTGAAGCGGCTGCGTTCCAATAGAAGCAAAGTACGCGTCCGCCTCATCCAGCACATCGCCGTTGGCACCGGCAGCTGGTGCATGGCCGTTGGCTTGCACAGCGCCGCCGTTGGTGTCCGTAAGAAGCTTGGCCTGCTGCGCGGCTAGGTACGAAGGCAGCTTAGTCTTTTGCAGCGCTGGTGAGTCTTGGAGTCGTCGGACTCGTGTCGATCGGAAGACCATGTGAACCGGTTTCAGGTACACGGTGGCCAGTGTTCCCACAACGAGACACATCTCTTCGAGCGTGATGGGGTCCAGCTTTTCGCTCTCGGCCGTAATCGGCGGCTTCTCGCCCATCACAATAGATCTCGCAGCGGCGGGGTTCGAAGAGAGCAGCCGCCAGTACATATACCCTCTGTCGCGCAAATCGGGGTTGTCGGTCTCCTCCGTAGCCCATTTAAGCACTTTCGGAACCAAGTCCTGAGCCTTTGTCGGGCGTTGAATGAACAGCTTCACCGTAGCGGTCAGCAGTGCAAGTTGGACCTCATGCGGCTCATCCGTCCAGCTGTCCAAGAAGTCCTCGAGCAGGACCTCTGAATTGTCTATCCGATCGGCATATTGCCCAATAACCCAGATCATCGCTGCCTTCGCTTCTGGTTCGTCCAGCGAGTCCAGATTCTCGCACAGCGTCGAAATGATGGATTCGTACTGGTTGGGGTACTTGCGGAAGATGTTCTTGATTACCACCGTCGCCTCCTGCACGATATAGCTGACTTTCGTCGCTACCAGCTCCAGAAGTGTGGTAATGCAGAGCCTGGCGGCCGGCTCGATCTTGATGGCCAGCTTGCCAATGGCGCGGACCGATTTTCGCACAAAGTGCACATCGATCTCGGTCGCGTACTCTCTCAGTTCTGTCAGAACCTCCTTGATGTTCTTTTCGGTGGCCAGCATGAAGATGAGCTCCAGCTTCGTCACCTTCACGTAAATGGGATCGTTGTACTTGCAGAAGAAGACGCGGATGTCGTTCCTAAGGACTTCCGGCCTTCGCTGCAGGATCAGTAGAGCATTTCGGAGGGCGAGGTACTGAATTTCCGGGCCTTTGCTGAGGAGCGTGACCAGGGGAGGGCTGAGTTTGGCGCACAGGGCGGAGATGGTCCTTTCGGATTCGATGTAGTTCATTAGGTAGAGAATGACTCGAATGCAGGTCAAGACAACGGCCGAGTTGGTGTGTGACAGTCGAGGTGTAATCCGTTCAGCGAGAAGAGCAGCTTCACTGGTGTCCTGAGGGACGTATGATGTGAGAGCTTCAAGGATGTACGTTTGTCCCCATCTGATAATGGATTAGTCGCGAGAATCTCGAATGTTGGGCATAGCCGAGGGCACTCACTCGGAGCAGTCTGGAAGAATCTGGACAATCTTGCTCGCATTGCCATAATCGATGGAGAATTTGATTGTCTCACTCCGCTCCCAGATGTCCATGAGAGCTGCCAATGAAGAGGTGACGACGGTAGGGTTCTCGTCGCGGAGCATCATATTCAAGCGATCAATCAAGTCGCTCCCCTCCACCAGCGCGCGGTCATGATCATAGAGTTTGGCGACACAGAATGCCGCAGTCTTGCGAACATAGGGATCGTTGTCTTTTAACAAGCCTTTGAGTGGTTGCAGAGTCGACTCGACGAATTGGCGAACGTGAATGTAGGAGATGGTTCGAAGGGCTAGGGCGCGCATGAGAGGATTGGAGTCTTCGAGGTCCTGTTCGCAGTGTCAGTCTGAGGGAAGCCATGGTATGTCAAATTGGGCTGCATACCGCCAAGAGAATTGGGAGAGCCTTGAGAGCAATCTCAGGTTTCATGCGGGCATAGTTGACGAGGAATAGATAGCACCTGTCCCGCAGATCAGCAGCGTGTTCTCGACTGGCACCTGTGTATCCTACATCTTCTTGATCTCCAGGCTGGGCAACTGCATTACGCCCACGACATCGGGGAACAAAGCCAGCATATCGTTGTTGCTCATCGTCATATTGGCCACGATCTTCTTGAGGGCAATCTTCTTGTTCAAGAATCCCTTGTCTTTCTTGCCGCCCGCGGCATTGAGTTCCTGGCGCAGCTCCGCCACTTTGCCCTGTGCATCGCGAGGGTAGAGTAAGCTTCTGTACAGAGGAGGGGGTGGTAGGCCTTGTTGCGCGTAGGCGAGATAAGGTAGGAACATCACGATGTATGTTGGTCATGGGGGGGGTGGTTGATTGAAGGTGGATTCGGTATTCGTTGGCGTATTCGCGACTCTCATGGAGGGTGTGAAGGGCAGTGGAATGGAGATAATAGCAGACATACCCTAGCAAAGAGCTTCGCATCCTCATTGCTTCCCTTTGCGAAGCTCATGTTGTCCGACCTTCACCCGCGCATGCAGGCTGCGGCGCCGCTCTCCCGTGCTACGCTCCGCTGCCCGCCAATGCAATGTGAGGAGGGAGCGACGCTTCCAGTCTCAGGTATCGATGCGGGGTCGCCTGGATCCGGGAGGCCGATGGTGCTTGACGACAGGGAGGAGGCAGATTGCGCGGACAAGCAAATAGGAGGAGGTGTAAGAGTGTCGGAGCCCGAGCGGCTAAGTTCTGGAGCTTGTGAGCGTCTCACTCGCTGCGGAGGTGGAACAATTAAAGTGGACTTGCTGGGGGCGGACGGTCACGGAGACGGAGATTTGGTGGAAGGCCTCAGGCAGCACCGGGGCTTGGCGGGAACTTCCATTCAATCATGTTCAGCAACATTTCCTCATCTTCATCAGCCCGATCAAACACCAGCTTCCACAAGAATTGCCCTATCAATATGTCGGTCGAAGCATCTTCAACCCTCCAGCCTCGGTGGCTGCTGGATCTGAACGCCGCAACCCAATCGAAGCCCAAACATGGCGCCCTTCCCGATCCGCCGGGCTACAGCCCCCCAAACGCCCTCCAGTCCAACAGATCGAAGAACGCCAAGTCCGTCACAACCCGCAAGGCCCCTTCGTCAGAAGAGATGGACACCCTGAAGCTCAAGAAGGCGTGGGAGATGGCGATCGCGCCGGCAAAGCAGCTGCCCATGAACGCCTTTGGCATGTACATGACGGGCAACTCGCTGCAGATTTTCTCCATCATGATGGTGTTTATGCTGTTCAAAGGCCCCATCCAGGCCATGTTCAACATCCAGTCCACATTTCAGCGATTGGAGAGCGAGGGGAACAAGCAGCAGATGATCCTGGTTAAGGCGGCGTACGTGGGCTGTAACTTGCTGGCACTTGCGCTGGGCATATGGAAGGTGAATGGCATGGGGCTGCTACCGTCAGTGTCTGTTTTTCCTGAGATTTTGATTATTATGCTAACAGGAAGCAGGACTACACGGTCCGACTGGTTGGCGTGGGAGAGCGCGAGAGAACCCCTACAAAGAGCGTTTTATGTCCCTTGAGCAGCTTTGAATGTCAACACTTTGCATTATCTCAAGTCGAGCCGACCTTCCACTCTGTGATGACTTCTAGTGAACCTATCAGACACGCTTGAGATCCAGTGGCGCCGCTTGAGGCTACCAGTTATCGAAAACTCGGGACGACCCTCCTATGCTTTGTGCTCGGGTGAAGCCTCGAACGGTATTATTAGCCGTCTCGTATCTCACCAGATGCCATCTACTTTGATCGCTGCGGACGCCTGCCGATAGCTACATGGGCCGCTTGCCGTTACTACTCAGCCTCTCCGAGTCGCAACCAAAGTACATGTAGTTTCTAGGACACAACTAAAGTAGTTCCTACTGCGCAACTAAAGTAGTTCCCACTTCGAAACTAAAGTAGTTTCCCAAACCGGCACCCGCTAGCGCCCGCGCTGAATGTCCAATCAAAACGTGCAGAACGAAGGAGGAGATCCGGCTACGAGCAGTCAACTCCGCGTTCAGGACGACCCGATCGTTCATTGTGATCCAGAAAGAAACGCTGATTATCCGTATGACAACATTTCGCGCCTTTGCTACCGAGACCTATAGACCAAAGCGCTGAAGATGTCGGAAATCAACATCAACGGGCTGTTCTCGCTGGACGGGAAAGTCGCATTAGTTACTGGCGGTATGCTCGTGGTGCTGCGAAGTATACAAGGAAAGGCAGGTCTGACATGACTTAGGCTCTCGTGGCCTCGGCCTGCACGCCGCAACCGCATTCCTGCTGGCTGGCGCCAAAACAGTCTTCATCACCGCCCGCAAAGCCGGAGGCCCCCAAGGCATTGATCAGGCCGTCGAGCGCCTCAACAAACTCCCCGGAATCAAGGGGCGTGCCATCGGCATTCCGGCGAACGTTGCCAACACCGAAGAAATCGAAAAGCTGCGTGATGCCGTTGCGAAGCACGAATCCAAGCTGGACATACTTGTGGCGAATGCCGGTGCTACTTGGGGAGGGCCGTTTGAGCCCACGCCGGACTGGAGCAGTCAGAAGATCCTCGATTTGAATGTCCGCGGGGTGTTCAATTTGGCTCGCATCTTTGCGCCTGTTCTCTCTGCTTCGGGAACGCACCAGGATCCCAGTCGCATTATCGTTGTCTCGTCCGTTGCGGGCACCACCGTCCCCCACGTCGGAGAACATGGGACGATCATGTACACCGTCTCCAAAGCGGCGGCACATCATCTCGCTAGGAATTTGGCTGTGGAGCTGGGGCCGCGGCATATCACTACCAACACGGTGGCTCCTGGCTTCTTCCCCAGCAAGCTAGCCAATGGCCTGATTGAGAACTTGGGTGGCCAAGAGCAATTAGAGATGGAGAACCCGCTGGGAAGACTCGGTTTGCCCAACGATATTGCAGGCGTCATGATCTACCTGTGTAGTCCAGCTGCAAGCTTCGTCAACGGAGAGTATATTTCGCTGGATGGTGGAGTGAGGTTTGCGGCGGGCAGGCAGTCGAAAATATGACTATGTATGCTTCGATATACGCATACATTTCTTGCTACTCATCGCTCATTACGGGATAATCTTGGCCGCCCTAAATCTATCGAAAGCCGTCCACCACGCCCTCTTCGGGTCCCACTCTTCCACCGGTCCAGCCTGCTTCAACACCTGATTCTGTCTCGTCAGATCCAAATGCCTGTCGAAATCAAACATCGACATGATGAAATAGAGGTAGCCCGCTAACGACCTGTCATTCCCAACTCTCCCCGTAGCAAGTGATTGCTTCCGTTCCAACTCCTTCCACTGTTCGATATGCGCATTGAGATAATCACCTGGGCTTTGAATCGAGGAGCCCGAAGGCGGCGGTGGGGTGCCTTTCAGCCCGAAATATTCGCATATCGCCGGCCACTTCTCCGACCAAGAAGCCGGCTTCGCCCTCCCCGCCGTGTTGAATGCCTTACCGGCCCCGCAAACATCAGCATGCAGCGAAGCATATATCGCGAACTCGGCCACAAGGTCTTGTGGCGAATCACTGCTCAGAATCTCCCAGCTGCGCTCGTTGCCGGGGAACGCGCATTCCGCGCCTTTGCCCTCCAATTCCCGAAACAGCGAAAGATACAGCGCCAGCGTCTGCGCGAGACAGTAGACGTTATTGTTCGGCACGAAGCCCACGACAACGTCCGGCCGCAGTTCACACCATGTCCAGGCCTTGTTGGCCGCTTGCGATTCGAGCCAGTCGCAGAGGTGGTAGTAGAAGTTCTGGCTTCGGTCCGGCTCGGGCGTGCGCGGGAGGTCCTCGCGGAGGGGCAGTTTGTCGGCGAAGGGGAAGTCGGAGCAGAGATGGACGCCATAGACTTTTGTTCCGGTGGGTAGGACGATGAATTCCAGCGACTTGGATAGGTTTTCTACGGCTAGGACTGCTCGCTGCAGCAGTTTGACGTTGATCTTCGTCTCTTCTGTTGGATCGGCATTGAAGATGTAGGCTGGAAATTCGTCAGATCTCGAAATCAGCCTGATGCAGCGCATTTGGGAGCCTACCAAAGAAGAAAACCTGCGTGACAGTATGCACATCCTGAATCTTCTCCCTCATCTGCTGCTCCAGTGCCTCCTGCCCTCTCTCATTGAGCAAATCGATCCCGCTCACCACTTGCAACTTCTCGCTCTGCGGCCATAGCAAGTTCTCGGTGGGCGGGCGGTTCGTCAACGCCGTCACCTTCTCAAAAGTATCTGACGATGGGTAGCCGTGGAGCAGCTGGTTGACTACGGCCCATCCTTGAATACCCGTCGCACCAAAGACGAGAGCGTGCTTGCCCATTGAGTTGATAAAGACTCAATCCTTATGCAACGGATTGCGTCCAGGCCTTGAGAGGTGATGTTCCCCGCAATTGTGAGGGAGATGGGTCCGGCGAGGATGGCCGCGGCTGTTTCACGCCAGGCTGTGGATTTCCCACGGTTAAGCTTTGCACCTTTCCTTGGGGATTGAAGATGGCATCGAAGACAATTCGTGGTGTTCGATGATCAGGAGAACAACCCTGCGGATTTCGCTTCGTGCCTTCGCTAGACCACCATGTCAGCAACGCAGCTCAAGGACAAGATCATCGCCCTGACCGGAGCGGCGCAGGGCATCGGCTTTGCAACAGCCCTCCTCCTAGCATCAAGAGGTGCAAGTCTGTCCCTCGCAGACGTGCAAGCCGAAGCTCTCTTGACAGCAAAAGCCGACATTCTCGCCAAAGTCCCCACGGCCAATATCCTCACGCTCGCGGTCGATGTGCAGTCCTCGCAACAAGTCGAGGCATGGATCCAGGAGACAGTCTCGCGCTTTGGTCGCTTAGATGGAGCGGTCAATCTGGCGGCTATCGTGCCGAAGAGTATCTTCAGCGATGCTGGAATGGTGGAGAACATGGATGGTGATGAGTGGGATCAGTGTCTCGGCGTTAATCTGAAAGGCGTAATGAACTGTATGAAGTATCAATTGAGAGCGATGAAGGAGGGCGCGAGTTTGGTCAACATGAGTTCGATCGCGGGTTTGACGGGCAGGGCGAAGAACGGGATCTATGCGACTGCGAAGCACGGAGTCATTGGGTTGACGCGAACGGCTGCGAAGGAAGTTGGACCGCGGGGAGTGCGTGTCAATGCGGTTTGCCCGTAAGTTTCTTGGACAGTGATAAAGGTGATTACGAGGGTCGATATTGACACTTGAACAGTGGACGCATCGAAACACCAATGACCAAAGCCGTAGCAGCTTTCGCGACCGCCGGTGGGAGCGAAGACTCGTATGTTGCGGACACCTTATCGACTATACCTCTCCGCCGGGCAGGAGAGCCGGAAGAAGTGGCGAAATTGATTGCTTTCTTGTTGAGCGAGGAGTCGTCGTACATCACGGGCAACGCCATCAGTATCGATGGTGGGTGGAATTGCTGATGAGATGTCTTGTCGATGGCCAGGATCAAAGAGTGCCCAATCCAAACGGAAAATTTTGTACATAACTGGAAACGTTATAAATCGTTCGCAGTCTAGAGAAAGCGATGCTCTCTTTTCTTTCTTGATCGTGCAGATACATCTCAAGACCAGAGATGTTCTGGCCGGCTGGTGTTCCACCAGAAGTCCGTGCGTCGGGAGAATCAAGGCACAGAAGGTGTCACAATCGTCAGATCGCAAATATTCGTCGCGCACCTTTCACATCGGATCTACGCGACATGTCCAGCATCGTTCACCTCAGCTAGAGTTCAGAATCGAAGATGTCCGCCGGCAACGCAAGACACGCGCGCCCCGCGACCCACGACGACATCCCTGCGATTTGGGAAATCGACTCTTCAGCCACCAGCAAGTTCGGCAGCATCCCAACTCTGGCAGATCTGGCCGACCCCGCGGAAAGTGATCAGAAATTCCAGGAGTACCTTGGAAATGGCCGGGTCTACGTCGTTGAAGAAGCCGGGCAGTTGATGGGCTACGTTGCGGTGTGCTCTGCGGACGACGCGGTATTCATAGAGGAAATTGCCGTCCATGCGGATCACCAAAGGAAAGGCGTTGGAGAGATGCTTTTGGGTGCGGTTCTGAGGGATGCAGAACGTGCTGCTAAGAGTGGAGGGCGCAAGGTCGCGCGCATTTCTTTGACGACTTATGCTGATGTACCTTGGAATGGCCCGTGGTGAGTGAGACACAAGAGCAGCAATTTTGATCTCTAACGCGGTGATATTGATTGCTAACTTATATGACTAGGTACAAGAAGCATGGTTTCAGTGAGGTTGAGGCCAAAACTATTGGGCCGTGGCATGCAGAGAAATCAACATCCGAAGAAGAACGATCGCTAGACCGTGCTGGCTACCGCCGCATCTGCATGCTCTTGGAAAAGACACTGGAATGAAGACGTCGTCTCGTTGCAATGCTCGTCATCTGACTACAATTGGCACTCGATGAACATGATTGCGCCCTTCCCCCATGGGTTGCGATCGACCGCTTGGCGACCTGGCTCTCGCCAGCACGACATGAGACCCTGGCGACAGCTGCAGTCTTGCACGGAACCGTTGCCAGCTGAAATCTTCGCGATTACCGATCTCCGCCATCACCCATTGCTGTCCCTCGTCTACGCTTACCCCGACACCCCCGATACCTTTACTGTCGCAACACCATGCCCAGCCTTCCACGAGCACTTCCGGGCCGTGAATATTGGTCTCTGGCGTTGGCGCCACGATGATCGAGTTTGGCTGCACCTTCCACACGGGACGGGACTCGCACTCTGGATCATCTGCGGGGTGACGCTCGTTGTAGAGAGTCGTGGTGAAAGGACCGGGAGCTCGACGGTCCTGCACGGAAAGCCTCGAAAGCCATTTGGTGGAGTTCGTCCCGAACCTAGCCCTCGACAGTCAGATGTATCATCTTGCACCGAGTTTGGATATACGGCTCACCAGCCTGGTACAACGAGCCGAACAGGCCCTCCGCGATTTCTACCCAATGGCTGTGAATTCATCTGATAAGCTACCAGCACTTCCGCAGACAAAGCCTTGTCCATTGGAAGATCCTTCTGATACCGATCAGCTTCAACCGGCCCAAACTTCCCCCTATCCAGACCCTCGGACCAAACGAAAGAGGCTTGCGGGTGTGGCTTCGCTGCTGCTATGAGGCTATGCAACGGCACGCCAGTCCAGCGGACATTGCCGATCCTACTCAGCGCTTTCTTGGGTGGGAGAAGAGGACTGCCGTAGCACTCGTGGAATGAAGTTAGCGTCTTTGACGGGAGCTGTCGAAGCTGTTGCAGCGTGATTGCATATGGCCTTTCTACAATGCCATCAACCACGAGCATCCATTTGTCCTCGTCGACTTCTGCCGCTCCCATGTGTAAAGTCTGGAACAAAGCATCTTCCGACGTGAGAAAGCCATTAAGCTCGTGCGGTGGTGGAGGCTCGCGGATTTGAGTCCGATTGGGATTCATCTGGACGAATGCCTGCCTTTCCTCTCCATTTCCCGGGGCGGGTTCGAAATCACTGCGATGAAGATCGCCAATTGCAGAAGCCATAGCCTGCCTCAGAGCTCAGCCGCAAATCGTCCTGGTATGGGGTTCAGTCTCGGCATGTGCTGATGTCGGTGCAGCTATTCTAGACCTTCCTCCGGTCCCGGGCGCAGTAGGCTAGAGGTTGAACGGAGGTGTTGTTCGCAGATGATTCGTGGGCCACTCCGACGTGTCTTCGCAGCCAGCGCACGCCTCCGCCCCACAGTGGGGGCCCGCCCCCGCGCGGCCAACCACGGTCCGCACGGCATTTCCCTCGCGCCCGTCGGCCCGAAAAACCTACAGTACTTAGTGACAACACTTGAAGACAATGACTACACGAACACTCCGTTTGCAACAGCATATGGCTGCGATACCCATTCGCATCGACTATCATGAGGCACACAAAGAGCCTCTCTGGTACTTTGCTGGATTTCGTCCCAAACCACGCTAGCAATGCGCATGCAATCACATCGTCAGTCATCGGTGAACATGAAGCATACGAAGAGCCTACCTGGTACTTTGCTGGGCTCCGTCTCCAACCACGCTAGCAACGTACATGCAACCACCTCGTATTCCGCTTGCGTTTACTGACATGAGGCACATAAAGAGCCTACCTAGTACTTTGTCGAGCTCCGTCTGCAACCACGCTAGCAACGCCCATGCCATCACCCCGTATCCTGTTCGCACAACTCACATGAGGTACACACACGAAGAGCCCGCTTGGTACTTTGCCGCGCCCCGCCTCCAATCACCCTGGCAATGCGCATGCAGTCATCTCGTATATGCAATAGCATCTATTGAGACCCTGCAGTCGATGACTGTCAGCGGTGCCCGAGACTTCGACGCGATTGGTCTCTACATGCTTCACGGTGGTATGATGCGTGTTGGACGCAAGCTGAAAGCTCGTATTAGCGGAGTGGTGTTGCTGAATGCCAGCTAGAAGCTCGTATTCTGCCTGATGAGGATGTTGCAGGTCGGCGCGCCTTACGAGGCCACCTGGATTATCGGGCAGTAGCGAGGGAAGAAGATGTTATATATGGCGCGCACCATCTCCATGAAGAAATAAGTCTCAGGAATTCCCCATCTTCTTACGACAACGCTCATCAATTGTCCAAACCCCTCCAAGTATCTCCTATCCATTGAAAATGTCCAACATCATCCCAATAACTCCGGTCATCCAACAGCCTCCGACTACACCAGTCATCGTTTCGGCGACATACGGTGGTGCTGATGTCACTTACCAACTCCGGCAGAAATTGAACAACACTGGTGTCTTTGAGGACTTCACCTTCACCGTGGGCAATGGGTTCTTTGGTTTCGATCCGAATCCCGGAATCGTCAAAGCCTGTGTCGTGGTTTATCAGCTGGCCATAATGAATCCGGAAGCACCCGGGTTGGGCCCGGGAAACTTCAAGACTGCGACAGGCAAGGAAGGCCAATCGATCACCCTCAATTTCTTTGCGTACTTGTCGGCAGAAACGCCTGAACTGAAGGAGCCGGCCCCTACCATGCCCAGCAAACAATACATCGTTTCGGCGGTATGGTACAACGCCGATGTCACGGCGAATGTGCAAGCGGCTTTCACATCTGCATTTACCCCCGACTACAACACTCCCATCACGGTCTCCTCCGAAGCCCTCGGCATTCCCGACCCAGCTTGGGGTACGAACAAGCAGTTTTCGGTTACATACGGTAGCTACGTGTCGGGTAGATGGGTTTACCAAGCCAAAGTCTCTCTCCAACAGCCCATGTCGTGGCAACTTACTGTAAGCACTCCGAGATGATGGGACCTTCTGATACCGGTGAGACACTCACATTGTTATGCAGATACCATCCGTAGTCTGGTCCGATGTCGGCATCAGCGTCATCTTCGCAACGTGGGGCGGCAAGGATGTGACTGCGGAGTTCTCTTCAGCCTACCAGAACTGGTTGGCTTCCGACATTGGGGCGTTGACTGTTCCGGGAAACTATCGACCTTGGACCTTCACGGCCTCCAACGCTACCCTCGGCGGAGATCCGAACTATGGAATTCCCAAAGCCTTCGTCGTGATCTGCCGGGTGGTAGCCTGGCCGCAGAGCCCCTCAGGAAAAGTCAACATCTCCGGCTATCGAGCTCTGTCGTGCCGTGAAGGGGGTACAATCGACGCGGACGTGAACAAAATGGACTGGTCCCCGGATCCATACGCTTGGCCACCCAGCACAATCATGAATGGGTACCCATGGGTATTCAGGGCGGTCTATTCGACGACCGACGTCACCAACGCTCTGAATCAATCGCTCATGGCGATGGCTCACCCGCCATCGGGAGTGCCGCCGCCTCTTACGACAGGGTCAATCTGTACGATCAATATGCCTCAAATGGCGGGAGGCGGTAAGTGAATCGACGCAAGGATTTCCAGCATCTCGGGGATACTGACTCTCTTGTGCGCTGTCTTTAGATCCTTGGCCCGGCGTACAGAAACAATTGACGATGGTGCAGGGCTTCCCAATCAACGATGGCACTGGAAGTTGGCAGCTTGGAGCATACTGTGCTCTGCAGGAATCGGACACATGGGCCCTTCCACTCGCCCCGCCGGGCATTACGTACAGAAAAGTCACCTTCGCCAACAAAGGCCCGGTGATTGCCTATCCTCAGGTCAGCAGCCTCGACACATCATGGCAGTGGTCCCCTCAACCAGAGCCCAGCTGGGCAATTGACGATGGTGAGTTTTGCGTCGATCCTCTCCAAGATACAGCAATGAGGTCCGGTGTTAACCTGGGACCGCTTTCCGAGCAGGTCAATCAAGGACGGTCGACCTCATCAATGATGCTAAGTGTCAGTCACTGTACACCTACAACGTCAACTTCTACATTGCCGGTGCACCGAGCACTGCGCCCACCACCATCACCGTCAGTGACAGTCCCACGAATTCCCTTACTTTGGACAACTATGGAGCCACTATAACCGCAGAAGAAGGCGAGGACATTGCATTCCACGTTATCGAAATCCTCCTGGACATTGCCGAGATTTTTATGGAGTAGGCAAAGCGATGCCGTTGGATCGGAGAATGCGTTCTTGTCCCGCGCAGAAAATCCTGTCGTTTGTGCGAGCGTGATGCGCTACAAATCTGCACTTTTAGTTGAGCGAGACGAAGCAACGAAATCTATGACCCTTGGCATGCGATCACACACCAGTTGTATTTGACATTCTGCACCGGGTCTGTCTGTCGCGAACGTGTGCAACGCCGCGATTCCGCAATGACGTTCTGGGCTGATGATAAGGCTGCGGTGAGGCTAAGGTAACTTCCGAGGTACATATTAATTGGGACCCTCCAGCTTCGGCCTTGCCCCGATCTTCTTCAATCATCTTGGGATGCATACGATGCCTATTCGGGGTCGCACGCTGTACACTGCCAATGCAAATAGCGAGACCAGCTCTTTACCTCCATCTCCACCAGCATGCTTCTGAACAGTTCGTCCCCACCCCTACTCTCCTCCTCCGCTTCATCGAGCTGCTTCAACATCTCGGTAATGCGACTCGCCACGAATTCAGTTGTAACAAAGGTCCGCGTCGCATACGCCGTAACCTCCCACGACTTTAACGTCGCTCCTTCCTCCCCGAGCTCAGCCGCCAACAGCCTCAGTCTGCGCAGTACAAGATCTACATGCCAATCATGATTAAGAGTCAGGATGATCTCGAGATGCTGAATGCTCCGCAGCAACTTGTTCGTGCGGTCGAGATGCCCGGCATAGATGACTCGTTTACGATGGTCGCGCTCGCTAACGCTGATCGAAATCGAGAAGGTCTGTTGGGCGTAGAGGAATGGGCGGGCATCGTGGTAGAGGGCGCGGCATGTCTGGAGCAGCGCAAGGCCTAGACACGGCGCGGGGTCCTCTCCGAGGCTCAGCAAGTCAATGAGGTGGGTGTCGGTGTGGATGCCGAGGTGGGGTCGCACGCTCGAGGTGTAGACGTAGGAGTAGATTTGGTGCCGGATTTCCAGCGGGAGGGTGAAGAGGATCGATGTTTGGTTGGAAGTGGACATTGTTGGTGAAGGCGTCTCCGTAGATGTGTGGGTTGGTGAGGACAGCGGCATGCAGTTACGTGAAGGTCATTTCCAGGCCGCAAGGTCAGTGCAGGCGACAGGTCACAGGCAGGGTTTCCCTGGGCCTGGGAGCCTCAGGCAGCCTGGTGAAAGCTCCCGAGATGGTCTCCATCCAAGCAGCGCCCTCCTTCTCTCATGGTCTGCACAGCCTTACTGATTGACACTGCATCGCCCCTTCATCACCTCCCACCCCGGTTCACTGCCCCCGTCGATGCGTTTCTGGGCGAAGACATTTACGCATATAAGTGACTGCCTTGCAGCCTCGTTGAGCAGCGGCAAGACATCACAATCGATCTTTGATTCTCGTAGCCTTCTTATACCAACAATGGCAAACAACACTCAATCCGACGACGACTGGTCGCTCTACCCTTACGATCCATCCAAGGCGGCACCGATTGCTTTTGCCATCTTGTTGACGGTCATCGCTTGTTATCAATTCTACCAATGTTTCGTGCGCTATCACTGGAAGAAGTTTGGAGGTCGGTACGGCGATCGATCAGACGCGACGTATGGAACATCACTCACAAGCACGTAGCCACGATGACTTGGGCCTCCAGCGTCTGGATCAGCGGCTTCATCATCCGTACCATCTCTGCCTACAACGTCCAAAACGTCGGCATCTTCGTCGCCCAATACGTCCTGATCATCATGGGCCCGCCCCTCTACGCCGCCGCCGAGTACTTCATCCTCGGTCGTCTGCTCGCATACCTGCCCTACTTCGCCCCCATCCACCCGGGCCGCGTCTTCAGCACGTTCATCTTCTTGAGCGCGGTCGTCGAAGCACTCACAGCAAACGGAGCGAGCACTGTTGCGACCGCCGACTATGGAACAGCAAGACGTGCACGCGGGCTAGACATCCTCAAAGCCGCGCTCATCCTGCAGGCATGCATTGAAGCCTTCTTCTTCTCCCTCGTCGCCACGCTGGAATACCGCTGTCGTCGCGCAGGGAAGTTCCCCAGGAGAATCCGACCAGTCTTCTACATCCTGTACATTACCAGCTCGATGATGCTCGTGCGCTGCATCATCCGCACCATCGAAGGTTTCGAAGCGACGTCGTGCCCCTCGACGCAAGTCTACTGCGGCTACATCGAGACGCACGAGGCGTTCCTGTGGATCTTTGAGATTGCAAACATCACGCTGTTCGTCATTCTTCTTGCCCTTTTCCATCCCGGTCGCTACTTGCCGAGGGATAGCAAGATCTTCCTTGATCCCGTGGATTTGGAGACGGAGAGACTCGGGCCGGGTTTTGGGAAGGCTGATAAGCGGCCTTTTCTCGTTACTGTGCTCGATCCGTTCAATTTCTATGGTATCATCACTGGCAAGGGTATGGCTCGTGATCCGTTTTGGGAGCAAGAGCAGCCCGTTTATGAGGGGGGAGACGTTAAGAAGGCTATGGAGGCGAGGAGGCTGCAGCAGGAGAGCGGTGCAGCCGCGAAAGAGGAGGTGGATGGCGACAAGGTTTGAAGATTGTTTCGGGGTTGTGTCCATTGGACCAATATAGAAAGGTTGTATACTAGGACTGATGAGACCATGAATCAGCGATGTTTAGGAGTCATGAGAAGGAATAGTGAATCGAATGCTCGTCTCGAACGGCACCTATGTGGGAGATACAATATGTTATAGATGTAATATATTGATGATTCGACAATACATGTTATCGAAGAAAGATCGTGACCAACAAGGGTCAAAAAACTTTTACGGTCATTTCACTCCTTTGGAACAGAGAGGAGACCCCATACATCTAGCCCTGATGGGTCTTCTGAATGTGATCAATCGCTTCCAAAACTAGTATAAACCGTTAGCCAACTCGACTCGACTCGATTCAATGGAAAGTCACTCACCATAATCCACAAATACCTTGGGGTTCTCGGTAGCAGGGAAGTGGCCCAGGCCCTTCATGGCCACGCACTTGCCGCCAGGGATCTTGTCCGCGGTCTTCTGGCTCATCGCAGGCGTGTTGGACCAGTCGTACTCGCCTGTCAGCATGTACACAGGGCACGACTTGGTGTCGATGGTGTGCATCCTATCACGGCCATCCCAACCGCCAAAGTAGAAGTCGAGGTCTCCATGGAAAATCCCGTACGCCTGCGCAGAGTACAAATGCCAGATGAGCTGCCTGTTCACCAGCGGGGCCGTCGGGCTCATCATCCCGTAGATCCACTCGGGGTTGTAGAGCGACTGGTTGACGTAAGGCGATCGGTCGTTCCACTGCCGGTCCATGGTCAGGTAGTCGCTTCCCTGCAGCGGGATGGTGCCCATGGAGCCGACCTCGGCGTTGCGTGCGGCGACGGCGAGGCACACTTGGCCGGCCATGGAGGCGCCGCAGACGATGGCTTTCTTGAGGCCGAGCTTCTTGAGGAAGGCGGCGATGAAGCCGACGTAGGAGTCTTCGGTATTGGTGTGCTTGCCTGTGGTGGAGGGGGTTAGATGGGGTTTGTTGACGTGGGTTGTGGAAGGGTGACATACCTGGCCAGTAGCCCTCGTAAGGGAAGCTGCGGCCGTGAGCGGGCAAGTCGACGGCGGTCATCTGGCATTTCTGCAGCATGCGCTCGTCGTTCATCACGCCGTGGTATTGGCGGCTGTCGCTGCCGGCGGTATGGAGGAAGAGAATCTCCTGCGGACCGGTGCCGGACTGCTCGTAGAAGACCTTGCATCGGCCCCAGACGGGCGCGGTCACGTAGGTGTAGCGGCCGACGATGGCGTCGTCGTCGCGGAGGGGCTCTTCGTCCGCTGGAGTGGGGCCGACGAGGGCGTCGTGGAGAATTTCGAGCGTGCGTCTCCAGATGTGAGTCCTGTGGGATAGCAATCAGTGGGTGCGTGGACGCTTAAGGGATTAAAAGATTCCATACCAGATGGCGAAGGCCTGCTGGTCGCCTTCGACGCTAATGCCCTCTTGTTTGATATTCTGCAACGGTTTTAGTACTCGGAACCATGCCAATGAAAACGTGGAAGGAATCTACCATTCCAAACATGCCCCAAAAGCTCTGATAGGGCATCTTGGGAGTCTGCTTGAAGAACTCCTCCCATTGCTCCGGGAGCGCCACGAGCGAGAAGACGGCCTCACTCGAGTTACCCGTGCGGATCTCCACCTTGCCATTGGACACGGTGGTCAAGATAGCACTATCACTTCCAGCAGCCTTGATGCCAAAAGTGGTGGAGTCCGTGACGGCCTCGGTGGTAGCGAAGTACTTCATGTTCTCGTCTTGAGCAGCATCCTTGTTGGCTTTGGGGATGGCCGACTCCAATTGAGCCGCCAGGTCAGTCCATGCGTGTGCCATGTTGTTGTTGTTCTCGACTTTTTGCTTCTTGGTTGATCGGGGAGGCATTGGAAAGATATAAGAGGGGAAGGTCAAGGGTAAAAAGCAATCCTATAGAAAAGTACAATGTGGAGGTACAATGATGGACATGGATCGAATAGATGAAAGTTGAGAAGAAGAGGGTACGTACACCTGCTTATAAGGCGGAAGGATGGGGGCTCATCGATCTGCACGATTGCGTGTCATCTTGGGTTTCGATTCAAGGGCTTGGAGTAATCTTGCCGTCGAACCAACCCCGAGAGAGAGAGTTGTGGGGAGCTGGTGTGGAGAAGGGTCATTGTGATCGCGGGGGTTCTGCATACGGCACGACGTAGCCACGGCAAGTCATCAAGGGGACAAGGCTGTGACGTATCCGAGCGTCCGGAGGGCCCAGGTTGTGGAAGGTTGAGCGAAGAAAAGGATGTCGGCTATGTGAGATGATGTCGAATCACGTGACTCTACCGATTTCTGGGCCGTACGCGTTCTGGATGCCGAAAACGCCGTTCTCGCCCAGCCGATGGCGAGCGGGGTCGGCCAGTGATTACCATTGTGATGTGGGGGCGGTCGCAGGTGTTTTCGTCCTTGGAGCTCACCTGATGTCATTCGCCCGGCTGCATCATTTGGAATGAAAAGAATTTGCTTCTTGCCGTACACCACTCGGCTCTTCTTTGTACGTGAACGAACGTGGCAACCCATCAATCTGGCGAGACAATCCAAACGACAGAAAACAAGTGACAGCAGATCGATTACAATGGCACCCAATCTTCCCTTCAAGGTAAGCCGAGGCCGCCAGATTCGATCGTTCCTTGATGTGGACTCTGAAAGCTGACCATGACCAGCTGAACAACCCCGAGGTCTGGCGAGACCAGGCTTCCGTTGGAGGCGAATGGGTTGAGGCGAAGAGCGGCAAACGCTTCGACGTCTACGACCCCGGCAATGGCAAGGTGTGGGCCACCGCTCCCGACTGCGGGCCAGAAGACACGGACGCCGCCTGCAAGGCCTCGCACGAAGCCTTCCAGTCCTTCCGCAAGACGACCCCGAAACAAAGGGCTCAGTGGCTGCTGAAGTGGGATCAGCTCATCCGGGACAACAGGGATGATTTGGCGAACATTGTGACACACGAGTGCGGCAAGCCGCTGTTCGAGTCTCAGGGCGAGCTCGACTACGCTCTGGGCTTCACCTGGTGGTTTGCTGGCGAGGCTGAGCGAGTCTTTGGCACTGTGCAGCAGCCTTCTGCCCCGGGCAGGAGAGTGTTCACCATCAAGCAGCCGATCGGTGTTGCCGTCGCCCTTGTGCCGTGGAACTGTGAGTCGTCTCCGATACCGGTGGGCACAACGCCGTGTCGTAGCTAATTTTGAGCAGTCCCCATTGCCATGATCCTCCGAAAGGCCGGAGCCGCGCTGGCTGCAGGCTGCACCATGATCGTGAAGCCATCTCCCGAAACGCCCTTCTCGGTGCTTTCGCTTGCATACCTGGCTGAGAAGGCCGGCTTCCCCAAGGGCGTCTTCTCCGTCCTGCCGACCAGCCTCGACAACACCCCGCCCTTGAGCGAGTCCCTCTGCCGCCACCCTCTCGTGAAGAAGGTGACTTTCACCGGCAGCACTCGCGTTGGCAAGCTCGTTGCCAAGCACTGCTCCGACGGGTTGAAGAAGGTAACTTTGGAGTTGGGCGGTAACTGCCCCTTCCTGGTCTTTGATGATGCGGATCTCGACCAAGCCGCTACCCGTAAGGATATACCACCCTCGAATTTGACATTGGACGTGTACTGACAATTGAACAGAGCTGATGGCCCTCAAGTGGCGCCACGCCGGTCAGGCCTGCATCACTGCCAACCGCGTGTACGTGCAAAAGGGCGTTTACGACAAATTCGCCCAGATCCTGCTAGAGAAGACAAGGGCGCTTAAGATTGGCCACGGCGCCACCGAGGGCACCACGCTCGGCCCCGTCACCACTCCCCGCAGCTTGGACAAGGCCGACGCACAGGTCGAGGACGCGAAGAAGCTGGGTGGCAAGATTATCTTGGGCGGCAAGAAGCTGCACGGCACCTCGGGCTACGACGGATACTTCTACGAGCCGACTCTCATCACCGGCGCGAAGAAGGAGATGTTGATTGCGCGCGAGGAGACGTTCGCGCCCGTCATGGCGCTGTTCGAGTTCGATACTGAGGAAGAGGTTGTGCAGAGAGCCAATGACACTTCCATGGGATTGGCCAGCTGTAAGTGTTTTCCCAGCTGTCACTGAGGACGTGGACGAAGACTAACGATTTACTTCAGACTTCTTCACCAAGAACATTGACCGCACATGGCGACTTTTGGAGAACCTCGAGGCGGGCATGATCGGCATGAACACCGGCAACTCCTCCGCCGCCGAGACGCCGTTTGGTGGAATCAAAGAGTCCGGCTACGGCAAGGAGTCTGGCAAGGAAGTTGGTGAGTACCTTCTCTTCAGCTCTAAATTGATTCACGCGCCTGTGCTGACAGCATACCAGCCATCAACGAGTACTGCATTACCAAGACCGGTACTCTCACCCTGGCCGACCACTACTAGATTGCAGATGTGCGCGGATGAGTGGTATAGATTAAGGGTTTCTAGCTTCAATGTACATGTCGCTCGCAGAACAGGCTTCTTCATGCACATGTCTTCCTTCGTGCAGTGTCATGTTCGGTGATGATTACTAGGCGACACGTGCACGCGCATACCAGCGGCGCAGATTGTGCCGAGGCAAAAACTCGCCTTCCTTCTCCACGCCCCACCGACGCCGCTAGGGACAACCATTCTGGGGACATTCTCCGGGGCTCCCATTTTCACTGCCATCTCTCCTCCGCTCCCTCATTCGCTTTCTCTCCTGCTTCTCCTACCAATTCGCTCAATCCCTAAATTATCTTCTATACTTCTCGTCAATTCAGAAATCAGCAAGCATGGCGGACGCATCACCCCGTAAGTTCTCTTGCGCCGCAAAACACTTGCCAGCCAGCCATCCTAACGAACCGCGGCAGAGGTCATCCGGACCACCACCACCGACCTGTTGAACATCAAACACCCCATCATGCTCGCCGGCATGAACGTCGCCGCTGGCCCCAAGTTGGCCGCCGCCGTGACCAACGCCGGTGGCATCGGTGTCATCGGAGGTGTCGGGTACACCCCGGACATGCTCCGCGAGCAGATTGCGGAGCTCAAGAGCCATTTGAAGGACAAGAAGGCGCCGTTCGGTGTGGATCTTTTGCTGCCGCAGGTTGGTGGAAGCGCGCGCAAGACCAAGTGAGTCGCATACATCTGCAGGAAGCAGCCTCCCCCGCTTACATTGAACAAGCTACGATTACACCAAGGGCAAGCTGAACGAGCTGGTCGACATCATCATCGAGTCGGGCACCAAGCTTTTCGTCTCGGCCGTCGGTGTCCCGCCGCAAGCCGTCGTCGACAAGCTCCACAAGAATGGCATCCTCTACATGAACATGATCGGTCACCCCAAGCATGTCGCCAAGTGCCTTGCTCTCGGCGTTGACATGATCTGCGCTCAGGGAGGAGAGGGAGGCGGCCACACTGGCGATGTGCCGACATCTGTCCTCATCCCCACTGTCAAGGCCTTGTGCGAGGGCAAGAAGAGCCCAATGACCGGCAAGCCCGTGCAGGTGATTGCTGCTGGAGGCATCTTCAATGGCCAGAGTCTGGCATCTGCTATGGCTTTGGGCGCCTCTGCCGTCTGGGTTGGTACCCGCTTTGTGCTGTCCGAGGTACGTTTCCCAATCACATCTGCACTCTACTATCATCGGGACTAACAAGACTGCGCTTCCAGGAAGCCGGAGCACCCAAGGCGCACAAGGAAGCCGTGCAAACGTCTGGCTTCGACGACAACGTCCGTACCATCATCTTCACCGGCCGACCGCTGCGAGTGAGGAGGAACCCGTACATCGACAACTGGGAGGAGAACCGACAGAACGAGATCAAGGAGCTCACCAACAAGGGTGTCATCCCGGTGGAGCACGACATTGAGCGCATGGGCGACGACATTGACGATGACACCATGGACAACGCCCGTCCCTTCCTCATGGGCAAGGTCGCGGCGGTGTGCAACGAGAAGAAGCCGGCGAAGGTGATTATCGACGAGATGGTGACCGAGGCGGCGAGTGTCATTGCTGCGAACATGTCGAGCGTTGTTGGCAAGTCGAAGCTTTGAGGCGGGATTGTTGAATGGTGACTACATATGCGGGCGCTATGGAGGGCACTGCAATTCATTTGCTTTGTGATCTAGCGGTACATTTGTCTTGCCATCAAAAGCAGTGTACATTTGTGTCTTGTATGTTTCCACGTAGGTATATTCGCTTCTACCTACGCGTCCCTGAGTTGAAAGTTGATTGGCCGCCAAGCTGGCCGTCTTCGGCGAACCACGTCTTCGCCTGACCTCATATACCCCGAAATTTCTAGACAATGGGGAGTCACATCTACTCACGCCCTTTGATCCATTTTGCGTGCTTGGCTATAATTGTCGCGGATCCGCAATGGTTATATGCAGCCGCGCCATCACTAAAGGTCGCACAAGAGCGGTAGGACGGCAAAGATGAAGAAGCACCTCACCATCGTCATCAAACTCGGTACATTCAACCACCCAGAATCATAGAGTGCACCGGTACTGACCCACCACAGGCACCTCCTCAATCGTCGACGAGCAAACCCACGAACCCCTCCTCTCCACCCTCTCCACCATCGTCGAAACAGCCGTCAGCCTCCGCCACGATGGCCATCGTGTCGTCATCTGCTCCTCCGGCGCCATCGGCATGGCCCTCCGCCAACTCAATTTGCCCCGGCGCCCCAAACACCTCCCGCAAGTGCAGGCACTCGCGGCAGTCGGGCAGTGCAAACTGATGAGCATGTGGGACCAACTGTTCGGGCACATGCGGCAGCCCGTGGCGCAGATCTTGCTGGGCCGCAACGACATTGCCGATCGCACACAGTACCTCAATGCGCAGAACACCTTCACCGAGCTGCTGCACATGGGCGTCATCCCGATTGTGAACGAGAACGACACGCTGAGCGTGCAGGAGATCAAGTTTGGGGACAACGATACGCTGTCCGCCATTACGGCGGGCATGGTGCAGGCTGATTACCTGTTCCTCATGACGGATGTGGATTGCTTGTACGATACGAATCCGCGGCAGAATGCGGACGCCAAAGCTATTGAGGTCGTGGAGGATATTGGCGCTCTGGAGGCGGATACGTCGAGCGCGGGCAGCTCGTTGGGCACCGGCGGGATGGGCACCAAGATTGTCGCGGCGCGACTTGCGACTGCCGCGGGCGTGACGACGGTGATTACGAAGAGCAGCAAGCCGGGGAATATCTCGAGGATCGTACAATACGTGGAGGCGCAGAAAGTGGCGAGCGCGAGTGGTGGTAGCGGTGGAAGCGGAGACTCGACTCCGCCCTACGAGCGCATGCCGAAAGACCAACCACATCTGCAGAAGACGGCAGTAGTGAATGGGACGTCGACGCCGCGGTTGGCTGAGCCTTCACTGCCGCCGCTGCATACTCGCTTCCTGCCGAATCCGCATCCGATCCGGGATCGGTATTTCTGGCTCCTGCACGGCCTAGCGCCGCATGGGACAGTGTACATCGACCAAGGCGCGCACATGGCATTGACGAATAAAGCTGGCCTACTACCCGTAGGCATCATCGACGTCGAAGGCCAGTTCAGCCAGCAGGAGTGCGTCAAGCTTGTTGCTCTGCCGGCGAGAGATTCGCCATTCAGTGACGGGGAGGAAGTGGGGAGGGCGCTGGTGAATTACTCCGCTGTTGAACTTAAGAGGATCCGAGGCGTGAGGAGTAGTCAGATTGCTGAGATTATCGGGTATGCGGACAGTGAGTATGTTGCGCTACGAGAGAGCGTGGCGCTGTTTAAGCGGGAGATTAGTCGGCCTGTGACGCCTATGGGCGACAAGAGATTTAGTATGGGAAGATTGAGTAGTTACGTTGACGGATAGATGAAGCTGCCAATCAAAGTCAAAAAAACAAACCACGCCATCATGCTCGCTATATAAAATTCCCCATCTCTCCACAGAACAACCCCCTCACACAACCGACTGCACCCCCTTCTCCCCCTCAAACTCCTCCACCTCCTTCTTCCTCTTCTTCGCCTCGCGCTCCTCCTCCTTGTCAATAATCGCCATCACCCGCTCATGCGGCGTGCTCCCCTCCTTCCCATGGCCACTCACATTCCCACTCCAACTAGTCGCCACCCGAGGCTTGGGTGCTTTGGGCGCAGGCATCGGCTGAAAGCCACCAATCATGGGGAAGGGGTTCTCGCCCGACCAGCCCAAGATCATAGGCCGGAAGCCCTCGTCTGTAAGCGAGTCGAACATTTCCTTCACCGCGATGGCTTTGTAGAGCGGGAAGTCGCGGCTGCCTTGGTTGCCGACGTGCTACTTTCATTCAGCTGCGCGGGACTTATGTGGTATTGAGGGGAACAAGCGCTTACCGTGTACCAGATTAGGCGAATGTAGCCTGGGTCGAGGTCTTGTTTGTAGAGCGAGGGCCAGCCCATGCGGTAGAGGCCGGAGGTCCAGTAGCTCTGGATGTAGGAGAAGGCGTCGTCTTTCGTCGTCCACATGCGGTTGTCGAACCAGATGACAATCTTGCCCGCTTCGTACTTTTCTTTCGCGTCGTGGCGCGCCAGCAGCTCGTCGATGGTCGCCATGGTGCGCTGGATTGATGAAGATGCGGGATATACGGCTTGTAGGGATGAGTGTCGCTTTGTTGTGCTCTGGAAGTTTCGTATCGTCCCGCAGCCTCCCGGCCTATCGTGCAAAGGCGTGCATGCAGTGCAGAGTGGCTGGGTTACAGTCTATCACGGTGCACTTGGCTTCCGGGAGTCGTCGGAGGGCGATGCGCTTATTTTGGAGGGAGATGTCGTCGCGTGGAGCGAATTTGTCGCTGCCAGCCGCTTTGCATGTGACACCGCGCGACGTTGGCGCGGCGCTTGGACCTCGAGCCCTTCGCTTTCCCGTTTTGTGGAGAAGCGCAGGTGGCGTCACAGATCTTGCATCGTGTTTCGACCAGGACGAACGTCAATCCAACATGAACAGGATGACTGATGACTTGTCAGATTGAGTCGCCAATGTCTGAGTGTACCTATCCAGAACTACCCAGAATGAGATAACCAGCGAGGAAACATGGTCAAACTCCAGGCCTCTACCGTCTCGAATCAAATCGTCACGAAACGGAAAAGGAAGCGACCTGCAACAGACCCCGAGCCCCATGGCGAGATAGACCTCACCGCATCACCAAGCAATGAAGCCTCCAACACCGTCACCGTCCCCACCAAAACGCAGGATGGCGGGAAGAAGCCTCGTCGAACAGCGAAAGGCGATCAACCCCCCCTTGTTCGGCGGGACTCGTCTACCGTCATCGAGTCTGCCATCCCTTGGCCTGAGGAGTTCACCAAGTTATCGCAGACTCATAAAGCGCTGAACCTGGTTTACACGCTCTGCTGCACCCGCAAGCATTTCGCGACGACTTTCGAAAACATGCGAAGCGCCGTGGAGGCCAACATCAAGCGCGAGTTCAAAGTCGAAGACGTGGCCAAGATGAAATTGCTCATTCCGAGAGCAATCACTTTCGATTATGTCAATGAACAGTTGCTACAAGTTGCCCTCATGGCTGAGGAAGATCTGCGAGGGAACAAAAGTGTGCACGACATCTTCCCTTCCAATCCAGCCGAAGAGCGGAACTTGAAGGAGGGCTCGGGCAAGGATGCCGAGAATGAAGTCCTCCTCTTCGAATTCATCGACGGGGACCTCAAGCGACAAGTCATACACCCCAAGACTGGCGAAGCTGTCAACCCCAAGCAGAAGCTGAGAGAGGAGAAACTCAAGATGCCCGTCTTCAGCCAGAAGCAGATGATGAAGTGGATCGAGAAGCGAAATGCAAAGTTCACATCCGCTATCAATGCATGGCTCAACGAATGCGCCGAAAAAGACGTGGATCCCGTACAACGATTAGAAGAAGAGCATCTGGCGCATGTTCCTATACCGACTGCTAGTCGAGGTGCCACGCCTGCGCCGGATCCTTCCAAAAACTCGTTGCCAAAGAGCATACCCACTGACAGGCAAAGTATACCCGACATCATCACCGATCTGAAAGGCCTGGAGTGGTACACGGGTCAGATCGTACCCGACGGTCACCGAGTTTTTGATCCGCAAGAAGCTGTATATGGCGACCTGAATTTTTCCCTCAGCCAGAATCTTGTCAATGCGCTGTTCAACACGAGAGGCATCGAACGACTGTACAGCCATCAAGCAGAGGCTATCAATGCCCTCCACGAAGGTCAAAACGTCATCGTTGCCACTTCTACAAGCTCGGGGAAGAGTCTGATCTATCAGATACCAGTGTTGACTGAACTCGAGAGCGATCCTCAAACGAGAGCGATGTACATCTTCCCCACCAAGGCTCTTGCTCAGGATCAGCGACGAAGTCTGAAAGAACTCCTCACGTTTATACCGGGCCTTGAAGACCTGGTATGCGACACGTTCGACGGTGATACGCCGATGGCTGATCGTAACTTCCTCCGAGATGAGGCGAGGATCATCTTCACCAATCCAGACATGCTACATATCACGATTCTGCCGCAGGAAGAAAGCTGGCGCACTTTCCTACAGAATCTCAAGTATGTCGTGGTCGATGAGTTGCACGTCTACAACGGCCTGTTCGGCGCTCATGTGTCGTTCATCATGAGACGGTTGAGAAGGATATGTGCTGCGGTGGGGAACAGGAGAGTAAAGTTCATATCATGCTCGGCAACGGTGGCGAACCCGCAGGAGCACATGCGCACCATCTTCGGTCTGGAGGATGTTAAACTCGTCGACTTCGATGGGAGCCCGAGCGGCAGGAAGGAGTTCTTATGCTGGAACACTCCATTCAAAGATCCCAACGATCCTACATCTGGACGGGGCGACACCTATGCAGAGACCGCCAGATTGTTCTGTCAGCTGATTCTGAGAGGAGTGAGAGTCATTGCGTTCTGCAGGATTCGGAAGCAGTGCGAGGTCATGACCACTGCTGTCAAGGCTGAGCTTGTGGCTCTCGAGCGTCCGGAAGTCATGAACCGAGTCATGGCTTACCGTGCAGGCTACACGCCGCAAGATCGCAGGAGAATTGAAAAAGAGATGTTTGAGGGCAAACTGGTTGGGATTATTGGAACGAATGCTCTCGAGCTTGGAGTCGACATTGGCTCCCTTGACGCCGTCGTCACTGTTGGCTTTCCTTTCACGATCGCAAATTTGAGACAGCAAAGTGGACGAGCCGGACGACGGAACAAGGACAGCTTGAGTGTGTTGGTCGGCGACTGCTTCCCCACCGATCAATATTTCATGAACAACCCCGATGAGATTTTCACTCGACCGAACTGCGAGCTGCAAGTCGATCTCACGAACATGCTGGTACTGGAAGGACATATCCAATGCGCTGCGCACGAAATGCCCATTCGCCCTGACGAGGACAAGCAGTACTTCACCAAGCAGCTTGAATCTGTATGTGAGGAACGATTGCGCAAGGATGAGCTTGGCTTTTACCACACCGATGCTCGCTTCCTGCCGCATCCAAGTCGTACCGTGGCCATCAGAGATACGGAAGACGCCCACTTCGCCATCATCGATACCACGGGCGGAAAAAATGTCGTTCTCGAAGACTTGGAAGCCAGCCGCGCATTCTTCACCATCTACGAAGGTGGCATCTTCCTGCATCAAGGACGCACCTATCTCATCAAAGAGATGAGCACGGAGCGCATGATTGCCAAGGTCGAGTATGTGAATGTGGAATGGACGACGCAACAGCGCGACTACACCGACATCGACCCCGTCGAGACCGAGGCCATTCGCCGCATTCCAGGGAGTCTGTCGCGAGCCTTCTTCGGCGGCATCAAGATCAAGCAAGTGGTGTTTGGTTTCTTCAAGCTGGATAAGAGGAGACGGATTCTAGATGCCGTGCAAGTCGACAACCCGCCGATCATCATTCATTCTAAGGGTATGTGGCTTGATGTACCACGCTCCGCCATCGATATTCTAAACTCCAGGCGTCTCAATCTCGCCGGCGCTATCCACGCGGCTGAACACGCTATCCTTTCGCTGATGCCAAACTTCGTCATCTCAATGCCCGGAGATGTGAAAACGGAATGCAAAGTCGCTATCAAAGAGTTCGCAAAGAAAGAAACGAGTCGCAAGCGCCCCGCCCGCCTGACATTCTACGATGATAAAGGCGGCCAACACGGCTCAGGCATCGCAGGCAAGGCATTCGAATTCGTCGACCTGCTGCTCAATCAGGCATGTGAGCGCGTGGAAGCCTGCCATTGCACCGAGGGCTGCTTGGAGTGCTGTTGCAGCGAGCGATGCAAAGAGGCGAACGTGGTGATGAGCAAAGCGGGCGCGGAGGTGATTTTGAAGTCGCTTTTAAACCGTGAGATCGATGTGGATAATTTGCCTTGGGGTCCTGATGATGAGAGGGTCAAGGCGGGGATCGAGACTGTCGTTGTTGCTGACGAGGTGAGGCCGCGGCCGGGGACTGTTGTGGAGATTGTGGAGGTGAAGAGGGAAGGTGGGGGGTCACGGAGGGTGGTCGTTGGTACGGAAGGACATGTCGTGGGCGATGTTTCTGACGGCGATGATGATGTGGTTGTCGTGAAGGAGGAGCCTGCGGATTGATCTGGTCTTCAACGCACGCTATCCTGGATGTGACACTCGCCACCCCTTCCACCCATACCAGTGATGCCTCATCAGCTGCTCGGAATTGCCATCTTCCTTGCTGCCGGAGTGGTCCTGGCCCGTTCCAAAGGCGTTGATGGGAAGCACGAGCACGTCCGCTATGAGCTTGGGCTCTGTCAGGTTGCTTATGTCGAAATATGAGACCTGGGTGCCGGTTTTGATGCTCAGGTATTCCAGGATGGAATTTGTGAACATCTGGAATTCGGCGCCATTATCAGCAAACATCTGATGCAGCAGGAAAACGAAGAGGCTGAACTTACATGCGGACCAGTGACATCTATCACCTGCTCTCCGGTGAACGTTGGCATGGTTTGATTGACCTCGTACAGGCGCAGCACCGCCTCAATCACCTTATCAATCACCAATGCCAACGCAGGGCTCCCAGGCCTTGCCATGAACGTCCACTGACCAAGCGAAGCGGCAATAGTAAAGTCGCCGCGGATCTCGCCGCCTTGAGCATCATACTCCAGCCCAACGACCAGATTCGCGGACGGCAGGTACTCCCCCGGGATCCAGTCATCGATCGGCCGCGTGCAATCCGTATCCATATCGGCATACACCCCGCCATCTGCGAAGAGAGCCAAGTAGCGCAAGAGGTCGGCGCGCAGGATGGCGTCGTTGTGCAGGGCCTCAAACACCTCCACAATGTCCGGACGCTGCCGCTCGTACTTTTCGCGCACGTACGTCGACGCCGAGTTGCTGGTCAGCAGCTCGTAGCGGTAGTTTGGATTCACGTCTATCCAGCTTACGGACCATGATTGGAAAGTGCCGCCTAGTTCTTGCGCGGGAATGGACCAGGTTTGCCAGATTTTGCGCGGGAAGGCCGCGTCGGCGGGCTCGTCGATTGTCGTGGTTCCAGCGTTGTCCACAGGGTAGAGCTGTGCCCACAGGAACCAGAGCACGGCTGTAAGAGCTGCGATGGCGACCAGGCGCCGTGTTCCCGTCGCCATCGTCCCGCTGATGGAGTCGATGAGCCCGGGGCGGGAGAGTCTGCGAGCATCGAGCATGGTGGTGGTGGGCTGACGACGCACATCGGACGTCAGGAGAAGCGCAATGTCGGCCTCTTCCGCCCTCCTCATGCATGCCAACGCCAGGTGGGAGCTAAATTGCGCCTCCTTGCAGCCTCGGCGGGCACATCATCATTCACGTGACGACAGCCTTGTGATTGGCGCCTGAACCACCCGTCACCGGAACTCAAAAGATAAGCTTCCGAGTTAACAGGGCGGAGAAAGCTTGACGCCCGACTAGTTGGTTGCATCCCTGCCCTACTCCTGAAAGAGCTCGACCGTGCTCGATGCAGCGCTGAGATTGCACAGGATATCGGGAGACCTTCAAAACGCAGACATGAGATACGCCTTGGCTGATGCCTGAGGCCGGATTGGGCTCAACGCTCCTCGAAACTACTTCGCCTGATGTAGACAGACACCGTCTGCCGTTACGAGGCTGGCATCCTTCGCCTCCTCACACTCTTATCACCCTAAATGCACGGCCTGGAAGGATCATCAGGCTGCTAAGTTAAGCATTTCCCCAGACATGGGTCGGTCAAGGAGGGGCTGTGCCGCCCTTGGTCGTATGTATTGCGCCGGTCGCGCTGGGTCTCATCATCCGCCTGAATACCTTTCCCTGAGAATAACGAGCACGCTTATCACGGCATGTCGCCGTCGTTGTGGACTGCTTTGGCAGCGGTGAGTACTGCCTACGCCGCGAGCGACAATTCTCAAGTCTTTGCTCTGCCGGTCAAAGATGTCTCGCTTTCCAATGGCAAGCTCATGCGAGGCGTGCCAATCTCCGCTGGCACGCCTTCACAATCGTTCGCTGTAGTCCCTCAGGCGTAAGAATCATCCAATGCCCTGGCAGAACCCACGCGCTGATGCTCCGCAGACACTTTGACGATACCATCCTGTACACCAAGAGCAGTGGCGCATGTGCTAGCAACGCCACTTCTGCGACCTGTGTGACCCTCTGCGGGGGCTTGTACGATCAACAGACCTCCTCCTCGAGCTCGACAATCGACCAAGACCCTGGCAATGACTCGATCGTCGGAGACGATCTACTAATAGGCAACTCGTCCCTCTCTGATTACCCAATCGTTCTGCCCATCACGGAGTGGGGGCCTACCGGCAACACCCTGGGCAGTCTCGGTGTCTCACCGAATTCGACCCTGCTCAACGCCCTGCTCACAGCCGGCAAGATTGCATCTCGCTCCTACTCGTGGTGGTGGGGCGTGCAGACCTCCACCAATCTAGCTGCGACAGACGGCCAACTTGTCCTGGGAGGATTCGACGCGGCCAAGATGCAAGGATCGCAGTACAGTTTCCCTCTCGTCGCCCCCACCAGGACTGCGCTTCTGGCATGGTGATGAGCATGACCGACATGACGCTGAATTTCCCCAACGGCACTTCGGCCAGCATGCTCTCGCCCTTCAGCTTGCAGGCGTGCATTATGCCCGATGCGCCGCTCATAGCGTATATTCCGCAGACCCCGTACTTCAAGACCTTCCAAGCGCTCACTGGGACGTCGAACGTGGGTACCGAGTTGCAGCCTGCGACGTTGAACTACCAAGGCATGCTATTTCCACAGAGCAATGTGTGAGTACCCAGCAAGCCCGACCTTCCACCCGTCAATCAACGTACATCCTTGCTAACACTCCGCACAGATACAAGGGCAACCTGACCATCAGCATCAACAACGAAATCGCCTTCGAATTCCCAAACGACCAGCTCGTCCTCCCCAACGCCAACGTTCAACCAGACGGCTCCATCCTCGCAGACCAAGCGGCACCCGAATTGCTCCTGGGCTCAGTCCTGGGTCCAAGCTCGGGCTGGGCAGTCCTGGGTCGCTCGTTCTTCCAAGCCGCGTACCTCGCCGTGAACTATGACGCGGGCAACTTTACTATTTCCCTGGTAGACCCATCATCCGCCGATACGAATCTGGTGGCAGTGGGCCAGGGAGGAGCGCCTTGCTTGACTGCTTCCAGCAGCCAGGGCATCGGGGATTCCGGTACCAGTGGCGCCGACTACACCTCAGGTTATTCGTCCGGAGGGGACGGGCAGGACGGATTTAATGACGCGGTAATCGGCACCGCCGTCGGAGGCTTCCTCTTCATCCTGATCGTCGTCGGGGGCTTGTGGTTCTGCATCCGGCGCAGACGGCGCAGACGAAGGGCTGCGCGCGCCGGAGCTACGTTGGAGGCTAGGAAGTGTAGTGGAGATGTGCAGCTCGACAGCATGACTGATTTGACGCGCAATTGTGTGGAGGAGGCGAAAGAGGCTGACTCCGTTGGCGTCGTGGAGTTGCACTCCGAGTGGACTCGAGGGGAGTTGGGAGGGGAGCCTGGGGCATACGAATTGCACTCCCCGGAGACTCCAGGGGAGTTGGCTGCGGAGTCGAACCCCTTGGAGCTTCCGGTGGAGTCGCATCCGCGAACGAAGTCACGAGACTTTTTACATGGGCAGTGGCCGTTGGTAGAGTTGGAATGAGTACGACCGGAAGGAAAGTCATGACATGATCATTGCATTCAGCAGCCCGTAACTCCACGCTCGTAACCTCCCAGATCCATGTAAGAGTAATCTACCTGCTCCTCGTGCTACCGTTGCCACGCTTTCCAGCCAGCAGCCATTTGGGCAGCGCGGCAGTCTCGTGCCTGTCCGCCTCACCTTGCCTAGCATTGCGGTTCATCTTCTTCTGTCCCAGCTTCGCCAGCTTGTCTGCCTTGCTTCTCGCCGTCACGCTCGTCACGCCGTCTTCTCTCCTGTTCACTGCGGACTGACTGCGCTGTCTCGCCACGGAGATGGAGCGCGCCAGACGTTGGCGGGGAGTTTGATCCACATCCATACTGTCGTCATCGCCAGCAGCAGGTGTGCCGTGGCCCGTCGACGAGGTTCGTCCACGCGGCCGAGACAAGGAGCGTGCACGCTCCGTGATGGCGGCTGTGTCGTAGCCGGCGTTCTGAAGACCCTTCTCCATCTTCTCGAGCTGCACGGCCTTCTTGCTGCGTGGGATGAGGGCGCGGTTCTTGAGGCTCTTCCTCATTTTGTTCTCGTTGCGGATCAACTGTCGCTTTTCCCGGATCAACTCGGCTTTATACTTGATATCTGCGGTCTCTGCATCGTCCAATTCCTCGTCGGATTCGTTGTCATAGTAACCTTCGTCTTGCAATCTGGCTTCCTCTTCCTCGAGCTCGGCGAGCTTGGCCTCAATGTCGGGGTCGATGTAATCTGCCACGTTGCGACCAAGGTAGACTTCCGGTGGCTTGTCGTACTTCCACTCGTCGTTCTCGAGGAGGTATTGGTCTTTGAGGTTGACGTTGTATACGCCAGCACCTCCGTTCTCTTCTTCGATGTCGCGAGCCAGTTTCCGGCGATCGGGGTCGTTCTTGTCGTATTTGACCTTCTCCTTGACCGCGTCTGGAATGTATGCCTCCCGCACAATCCCGCCAATGGGCTGTGCCACGTGAATACGCTTCATCACCTCGCCAAGTCTTCCTGTAATTTCACCAGATGCGTTGGTTCCTGCTTGAAGCTTTTGCGCATTTCTCTCTGCTAACAACCGATCACAAGCTGCGTTCCGCACGTTCATCAGCCCTTCTGTGGTTGCGCAAGAAAGCTGCAGCATTTCGACATTTCCGCCACTGTTCACAAGCTCTTGCAACTCTTTCTGTGTCTCCTCATCCAGGTTTTCCGGTCGGGTGATATCGATCTTGTTGATGACAATGAAGACCAGCTTGTTCGCGAAAAGGGGGCGAATACTCTTGAAGAGCGAGATTTGTGCCGACACGCTATATCCGCACTGTTCGCTCAGGTCCATGAAGTAGAGGATCGCGCTTCTGAGATGGGCGATTGCGGTGATGGATTGCATTTCAATTGTATTCATCTCCTCCAGTGGGTGGTCCAGGATTCCGGGGGTATCAATTGCCTGAAAACGCAGCATCTTGTAATCGAAATGCCCGACGAACAGGGACTTGGTGGTGAAGGCGTAGGGCTGCACGTCCACATCTGCTCTCGAGATGTTCTTCAAGAACGAGCTCTTGCCCACATTTGGGTAGCCGCAGATGAGCAGTGTGCGTGTGTTAGGGTCGATGGCAGGCAATCTGCCCAGATGTTGTCTGACCTGTTCCAGATAAACGAGAGGATCTTTCAAGCGCTTGCAAATGGTAGCCATCCGACCCAAGGCAGCACGCTTGAGCTGCTTGCACTGGAACAGACTCTGGCCATACTTGATTAGCCTCAAGTAGTCCCGGCACACCGTCTCGATCAGGCCCTTTGCTGTGTTCAGCTGCCCAAGGGCGATTCTGAAGTGGTCGGCATCGTAGAGGGTGTTGAGCAGATCTTTGTGGAACGGGTGGATGTCTGCGAGACGGGGGAAGTTGTCGAGGATGGAGGAGAGCTTTTCGGCGAAGGTCTCGGAGGTGAACTTGACCTTTCGAAGGTAGAAGGCGCGAATGCGGGTGATTTTGAAACCTGCTCGGATCTGGGTAGGTAGTCGTCGCTGGGTGCGGCTCAGGACGATGTCGAGGAACTCCTGCGACGTCGGCACCGGAGGAATCTCCTTCCACGTCGTCTTCATCTTGCCGGGAGTGTGGTGGTGGAGGATGTGGGTGGATGAAGAGGGAGGAGGGACTCACATGCAGGCGGTGGAGAAGGCGATGCTGGCGGAGGACTTTTTTTATCCATTTCGGCCAAGACTTTTCAAAGTTCGAAAGTTTAATTCTTAGCTCCGGCCGCCGATGAGGCTGAACTCTATTTGGGCGACGTGCCAAGCCTGTCTTGTTTACCCGGCCTCCAGCTCCCAAAACACTGCACTCTTCACGCGTCATTGCGCTGCCATCCGTTCCACATAGCACATTTTATGCGCGCACTGTTGATCGCATAGTATATCCTGCCCGCAGCGAGCGACTTCCCAGCGTTCTATCCCTTCCATGGCTCCTTACACCAACTTGCGCCATTCCTTCGCAGAGGCAGGCGCGTTGGACTCGGAAGACGATCTTTTGGCCACCGCAACAACTGCTTCCGACACCAGACGACTCAATTCAAAGATGGCGCGAGGAACCAAGGCGAAGGCGGCTACCACTCGACGTGTGAGCGCTACAAAGCGCAAGGCTCCCGCCAAACCTCGAGCTCGACAACCATTGAAAGACACAACCAACATTCAGGCTGGCAGCGACACGGAAGAGGTGGAGCAATTCGACGGCGACGATGTCGCGAAGCCCAAGGCGAAGCGTGCGAAGACAACTACGACTACTGCAATTTCTGAATCCCGTGCGCCAGCAAAACCGCGAACCACCAAGCGAGCCCCGGTCGCCGATACACTCAGAGTCATTCCCGAAACACAGCCAGATCCCGAACAGGAAGCCGGCGATGTCTCCCAATCCATCGAAATTGACGAGATGGATATCGCCGCCATTCCCACGCCGCCACCCCCAGCACGATTCGCTCAGCGACCTCGGTCCACCTCCGTCCAGCCCCAGATCCAAGCTCTACTACCACGCCCAAGCGCCCGCTCAGCATCTGTACAGGCTGGCTACCCACCTCCTCGCGAACGAAGCGGAAGCGCTAGTGGCGCCGAGCGCGAACGAAGAGGTGGCGACCCTGAGCTCAGACGAAAGCTGAACGACGTGACGCAAAAGTACGAGAAGCTCAACCTCAAATACCAAAATCTTCAAGAAGTCAAAGAGACGGGAGCGCAGAGTAGCTTTGAGAAATTGAAGCGCGCGAGTGAGCAGAAGGCGAAAGACGCGGACGCGCTTGTTGCGGGCTTGAAGAAGGAATTGGCCGAGCTGAAGAAGGCGAGCGCTGCTAGTGCGAAGAATGTCGCCGAGGCGAAGGAGAACGAAGCCTTGCAGAAGCAGCTATCCAGCGCAACGGCGACGAACAGCGGCCTGGCAACTGAGAACGCGAATCTGAAGTCTTCATTGCAGGTGGCGCAGAACGAGGTCAAAGCACTCGAGGCTAAGCTGGTAGCCGCACGCCAACAGAGCTCTGCGCAGGAAGAGAACAAGAAGGGCGCCATGGACGGAAAGAACAATCTCAGCCGCAGTGTCGGACCGAATGCCACCGACGCTCAGAAGGAAGCCAAGATGAAGGAGAACCTCTACTCCGATCTGACCGGCCTCATCATCCGCGGCGTCAAGAGGAAAGAGGGAGAAGATGAATACGACTGTATCCAAACTGGCCGGAACGGAAGTAAGTTCACTACGCTGCTTTGCTACATTGAAATTCCCAGCACTGACTCAGTTATGCACAGCACTCCACTTCCACCTATCCGTCGCCAACGACTCGAGCATCCCCAATCCACGCACGCCCTCCGGCTTGTCGTACGGAGAGGCCGAATTCGCCTACGAACCTTTACTCGACGAGAGCCGCGATCGCGACTTGATGGACATCCTACCAGACTACCTCACCGAAGAGATCTGTTTCCCCCGAAACCACGCCGTCAAATTCTACACGCGCGTGCTGGACAGTATGACGAAGAAGGTGGACGTAGTAGAGTAATGTTGCATGAGATGAAGCGATGCGTTGCCGAGGGGTTTAGTACGGTGTTTGAGTGTATTACTCTCTATGACTTGGGTACCAGAGCCTTTTCAATATCCCTTTTTCTCGCAGCTCCAAGTAGAACCGGCGCGCCCTTTTCCATGTCGAGAGCAGCCAGTTACAAACCGTCATCCATTCGACCTCCATCGCCCTCAATGGCTCGACACCAAGTGTCTCCGGCATCCGACGGAGAAATCCCAGCGCCGAGTCCACGCGTGGCGACGCGCGAATAAGCCTTGCATCAGTAGGATAGGCGGCGGCGTGGGGATAAGGTGTAGGCCCGCGCAAAAGAAGCGGCATGCCGGCGGTCATCTGGATCGCAGACGGTGGTGCGAGCTCGATATTAACGGCCGTGAGCCCGGGCTGAGTACTGGGCTTGGATGCGAAGACTGCCTGGATGCAGCGGCAAAAGCGTGTGAATGGGTTCGTGAGCATTTTCCGTCCTTCTGAGGCTTTGGATGCAGGTCTGCGCTTTTGCTCCTCGCCATCGTTATCGGGCTCTTCGTCCTGAGTACTGGATAGTGTCCTCACAGCCTCCTCGACCGTAGGCGCAATTCCCCCGTCCAAAACGCGCGACGCTAGTTCACCACCGAGTCTCACATCCTCATCCGCCTGCTCCAGCAACAACCTCTCGACGAGAACTTCCCACGCGAAGCGAAGATCGTCCTCGTCGGCCGTGCCGGAGAACCAAGCGGCGCGGATGGCGGCGAAGAGGTCGTCGAATTGCTCCTAGGCGCCGACGGACCAGGTGATGCTGCTTGCGCGTTCGGTGAAGGTTGGGAAGGAGGAGTGGCTGAAGATGGATTCGGAAGGACTGGTGCTGGAGGTGGATTCGGGTGGAGTGGTGGAGAGGGGTGCTGGCGGGAATGAAAAGCGGCGGTACATAGCGACTGCAGTTATCGATTGAGTGTCTTTGAACGGATGGTAAAGCGAGAGAATGGAGTAGCAAGTTTGCGATATGAACGATGCTGTGAGAGCGAACAGGCTGAATTGTGTAGAAGTTCGAAGCGGATGTCCGCGCTGATGAAGATGCTCTGGTCGGGGATGATAGTACCTGCCGACTGGATGACACTTGCGTGACGTTCTGTCAGCGATTGATTGGGGAAAGAATAACGTACAATGCTCCCGGTAGGAACAATGACCATGATAATGCAGTCGTTCAAACACACTGCTCACCGGTTACAACATCTCCTTTCGATGAAAAGGGATGGAACGACGCCACGCTGGAGCTCTCAAACATTCAACCACGGGTCGACTACTCGAGCACGTCGATCTCCACTTCCTCCTCCTCCATCTCCTCTTCGTTTCTCAATTCCCTCACCATCTCAAACCACCCACCACCGCCAAACTGCGCTTTGCTCTTCCCCTTGTTCTGAAAGCCAAAGCCCTCATAGTAAGGAATGAGCGCCTCATGCGCAATCAAAGCAAGACGATCAGCGACCCCATGGCTCTCCATCCGCTGAATGTAAGCCTTCATCAGCGTCTTCCCCAGCCCCCGCTTCTGATACTCGGGCAGCACAGCGAGAGAGTGAATGCAGATCGTCCGGCCCTCTTCCCTGTGCCCAGCATCCGGGGATTCAGAGGTAGGGATTTCCATGTCGGCATCCGTCACGGCTGGATTTGTCGATCTGGTGGCCACAATGTGTCCCAGTAGCACGGCTTTGCGCTCTGGTGCACCGCTGTAGACAGGGAGGGAGGTCTCAGCTGTTGCTATCTTGCCCTCCGCGTGAGATGTGAAGACGCCCAGGGATAGTTCGGAACATTTCGACAAGCGGTATTGAAACTGTGGGCAGTCAGTGGGTGTAAGATTTCATGCATGCCGGAATGTGGTGCAAAGCAGTGAAGGCGCATAGGTAAGAACAGTAGGGGTGTTTGGGGTTTGATTCCAAGGACCTGGTCATCCCAAGTCCGGCGCGAGACAGCTCACAATGTGTCACGTGTGCAAGCCTGGATGGTGGCTTTGATGCCGCACAACGCCAACAAGTTTGGTAGAGGCAAGGACAACGCATGTCGCAGGGGACTACGCAGCTCTCTGGGAAGGCATAATTCAGAAACACAGACTGACCTTTTCTCGCGTGCAACGTTCGTTGGGTGGAAACGCCTGTTCCTCGAGTAGTACGCAGGAGTCGATGTCGGAGAGGGAGAGGGTCTGCGTGTACGGGTGGATCTCGTCTCTCTTCTCGTTGCGCTGCGACAGGATACTCTCTAGCGTGGCTTCCTCTTCGTCGTCGTCGTAGAGTCCTGGGTCCAGCGCTTCGGGGCTCTTGGTGAGATGAGGGGGCTCGTGTGACGCGTTCTTCCCTGCCAGGGCTTCTAGGTTGCGCGGCATTCCGGACTGCGGGCGGAGGATGTGTGATGCAGCTGGAACGGTTGAGTGTTTGGGTATAGATCCACAGAGGGTGCTGCTTTTGTTGACAGTAAATGCGGTGTTGATAACAAGGACGAAACGAGATGGTACAGGTCATGCAACGACGACTTAGCCCCACCTTGGACTGGAGCAAGCCTCCTGCAGAGGCGCATAAGCGTCACGTAGAGTCGCGCAAACGTAGACGCTACCCTTTACAGGCCTACTTGACACAAGGGGCATGCTTGTGATCTTCTTCACCTTTCGGTTGCCAGATTTATGCTGGTCGTTTCGAGCAAGATCGCCTTCGTCCACTTCACACACGTGACACCGCGGCGGGGCTCGGAAACACGTCGTGCCGTCCCGCACGGCATCGTCCATCGAGCTAGTCCGGATTGAGGCAAAGGAAGGTCGTGGTAATCACGAAACCGCCAGCAAACACTTGATCGTTGACGTCTGTTGGCTACTGGCAGAGTAACGTGCATTCTCGCAGACAACGCCTTTCAAGGTTGACAGCATACGCCGTCACTCCGAGTACCACCTGCGTGGACCTTGCCGCGCAAACAACGCCAACAAGACGGAGAGCGGTGCTCAAGCTCGCTCTCTCTCCAACACCACCTCACTTCGTCCTCCGCCTTCCATCACTTTCGATCAAAGCCGCCGCTTGCATTAGTCATGGGAAGCAACGTGTCCCAGTGACCCATCATACAAGCGATGTCCTACTGAAGCTACTCTTCTGTGACATCCAGCCCTCCCCACATCATCGCCTGGTGGTGCAAGCCAGCTGCGGAGCCAACCATTTCGCCCCTCCTCTCTCTGCTTTCAGCGACCTACGTCCAAAGCTCCATTCCGCCAGGCACGAACATTCAATCATCCAAGATGTAAGTACGACCATATCGCCGACGTTTTGACAGTCGACGATGCACCAAACCCTTCAGAACAATCTCAAACACGGCCGGTCACACGAGAGCCTCACTGACTCTTTGTCCGCCACCTAGGCCTCGTATCACCATCCAAGTCATCGATCCCAATACGGATCTCGACCAGAAAACCTTGTCCTTCGATCTGTCCCTCGACCTCACCCTCGCCGACCTTAAAGGCTTCGTCAACGCCGAGACAGCCGTCCCTCCCGAATCCCAGCAATTCTTCCTCAACAACCAGCCGGTGCACGGAGATGACACGCGAAGTCTCACTGTACTTGGCGTCAAGGCGGAGGACATGCTAGCGATGTTGATTCGCAAGCCGGGCCAACAAAGCAATATGGGTGCCCCACCGAATCCCCAGCCGAACTCAGGCGCACTGCGCGATCAAGGAGAGCAAGATATCGAAATGATGAGACAACGTTTGTTGAACGATCCGAGATCTCTGCAAGCTATGCGGGAACAGCGGCCTGCGCTCGCAGATGCGATTCAAGATCGCGTTCGCTTCCGAGATGCTTTAATGCAGATGGAGAGGGAGGCTGCACAAGTTCGCGAGGATAGGCTGGAACAGATGAGGCAGTTGAACGAGAACGCATTCGACGAGGAGAGTCAGAGGCGAATCGAGGAGATGATCCGCCAGGAGTCGGTGCAGGAGAACCTCCAATTCGCCTACGAGCACAGTCCAGAGGGTAAGCAAGACGGGCAGCATTGCGGAGATTCCATCGCTGACATCCCCTTCCAGTCTTCGGCCGTGTGACCATGTTGTACATCCCCGTCCAAGTCAACAAGCACCCTATCAAGGCGTTTGTGGATTCTGGCGCGCAGACGACAATCATGTCCCCATCGTGCGCAGAGGCCTGTGGCATCATGCGCCTGATTGACCGACGGTACTCTGGCGTGGCGAAGGGTGTGGGTACTGCCCAGATCCTCGGACGCGTTCATGCGGCACCCATCCAGATCGGCAGAGACACCATGACCTGCTCCTTCACCGTCATGGAAGGCAAAGACGTCGACCTGCTGCTCGGCCTGGACATGTTGAGACGATTCCAAGCCGTCCTCGATCTGAAACGCAACAAGCTGGTCTTTGGCGACGGCAACGAGGTCGAGTTTCTAGGCGAAGCCGACATTCCCAAGTACCTCGAGGATGCTATGGAGAGTGAGCCCACAGTTGCCGGCCCCGGCGGAACCGAGGTGGGAACGCAGTCCGGCTCGGTCAAACCCGCGGGCACTTCAGCAGCCGCGACCGCGTCGTCTAGCACTGCTGGGCCCTTCCGTGGTCAGGGACATACCCTCAGTGCACCATCCAACACCAACTCCAAAGCGCCTGTGGTAAGCCCGCCGGCGAACACATCGTCTTCAGTTCCCTTGCGCAGTGCGGCGGCAGCGCCTCCGCCTCAGAACACTTCTTACCCCCAAGAGTCCATCGATCAGTTGGTCAGCCTGGGATTCTCCAACAGCGAAGCTATTGCGGCATTGAATGCTTGCGACGGCAATGTCGAGTATGCTGCATCTTTGCTCTTCCCCGGGTGAAGAAGAAGCCAGAAGAAGCCAGCATGACCTTATCGCCTGCCAACTGGTGCGTTGCATCAGGCATGCATCGGGACGGGAGTGATGTCGAGGAATGCAGTGGGCATCATTAAGCCTTACATTACGTAGCACTCTTCCTCCACGATGAATTGAAATGATTGATGCGCTTGGTTGGATCCTCTTGCATCCCGCTCTCCCTTTACCAATCGTTCAAGTCAAGTGAAGTGTGATATCTCACGGTTGAAGCAAGCTCGTTGGCCGAGTTGGCCAGTGCTGCAAGGTCGCGCCCTTAGCGCGTGTCTGCCCACCTTCCCAATTTGTTTGTCGTGTTTGCCCCCACGTCACTTTGCAGATCAAATAACTTTGGACCTTTTGGAAACGACTACGACAAACCGCACAAGGAAATGTGAGATTCGCCAGCACAAACACTCCTGTCGCAGATGGAGACGCACCTGGGTCACGGCGGGCCGCCGTCGCTGACTCTCGAACCCATACAACCACCAGCAACAAGCGAAACGAATGGAGCAGCGAACACCGTGTCAACAAACGCTACGAGCAGTCCTCTCGCCTCTGTGCCGCCCACTCCCAATCCCCATGGGAGTACATCACACCGCACCGCTCAACCTTCCACGTCACCGCTACCACAAAGATCACCAAAAGCCGTTCGAAGAGCGTCCAGCGGCATGAGTCTCGACGACCGCCCTTCCTCGTCCCCCGCAGCCCTACGACACAAAAGCTCAAGAACATCACTAGGCGCACACACTGAAGATGGCGAGCGAAGACCAACACCCAAGCGATCGATCTCGAATCTAATATCTGGCCTTCGCGAGGCGCAGGCGAGGATGGAGTCGATTGAAGAGCCGCTGGCGCTGACGGCGCCTCAGATTGCCGCGGACCATTTTACGAGGGAATTGCTGGGGCACAGTCAAGATGGAGCAGCGGAGTCGGAGACGATGGTCATCATACATGACGCTTGCTATGGACATCGCTTCTCAAGGCTGAAAACGACCAAGTCGCATCTCTCGATGATTGTCGAAAGGCCGGAACGCATTCATGCGAGTGTGCTTGGAGCTTCGGCTGCTTATGTACGGCTTGGTGGGCATCATATTGGAGGAACGAATGCGCCTCACCCTAATATCAGGACTCCTGGTGCGCCGGCGTTCAAGATTCGGCGTACCACTCGCGCCCTGGATGTTACGTCTTCGTATGTCACGAATGTGCATGGAACGGCATGGATGACGGAGCTCCGAGATCTTTGTAATCTTGCTGGGGAGAGGCTGGCGGCCGGTGTGAAGGAGCTCACTCGAACTCCCTCGCCCACTCAACCCGAAAAGCCTGAGTTTCACGCGGGTGATTTGTACTTGTCGGCGGAATCGCTGAACGCTTTCCAAGGTGCCCTGGGCGGAGTTGCGGATGCTGTTGATGCAGTCTTCGTGCCGGGAGCGCAGACCAAACGAGCCTTTGTCGCCGTCAGACCGCCTGGACATCACTGCTCCGCAAACTACCCTAGCGGCTTCTGCTGGCTCAACAATGTCCACGTGGGTATCGAATACGCCGCACAACTACACGGCTTGACGCATGCGGCAATTTTGGACTTCGACTTACACCACGGCGACGGCAGCCAGGCGATCACCTGGGAGCGGAACAGCAAGAACAACGCAAAGCGCCTAAACGCCAAACCGAATAGCAAGCTCAAGCTCGGGCCGGATATTGGCTACTACAGCCTGCACGACATCAACAGCTACCCCTGCGAAATGGGAGACGATGAGAAGGTGCAGGCCGCCAGTCTTTGCATCGACAACGCCCACGGTCAGAGTATTTGGAATGTACATCTGCAGCCGTGGAAGACGGAGAAGGAGTTCTGGGAGTTGTACGAGACGAAGTATCGCGTCCTGCTGCAGAAAGCCCGGAGCTTCTTGCAACATCATACTTCTCGCTTGAAGGAAGATGGCAGGGTAATGCCCAAAGCAGCACTGTTCATTTCGGCTGGATTCGACGCAAGTGAATGGGAAGGCGCGGGCATGCAGCGGCACAAAGTCAATGTCCCCACCGAGTTCTACGCTCGATTCACCAGAGATGTGGTCGATCTTGCTCAAGAAGCGGACCTCGCCTGCGATGGACGTGTCATCAGTGTACTGGAAGGCGGATACAGTGATCGGGCGCTGTGCAGTGGAGTGCTCAGCCATCTATCCGGCCTATGCGCGACACCCGTCGATTCGTTGAAGACGGAATCCTCCACCGCGGACAGTCTGGATCAGATGATGAATGGCCTCGGTCTCAACGGGAGAGCTGGGCCAGTCACCCCCTTTCGCTACAACAAAGCCTGGTGGTCTCCAGCAAATCTCACCGCGCTGGAGATGAGAATCAACCCGCCGCCGCCTCCGCAAATGAAGAAGACGCGTGTTGGACAACAACCGACATACGCTACACCAACAGAGTCTTTCGCTTACAAGGTCGTGGACGCAGATAAGTTCGCGCGTTCAATTTCCGGGACCATGCGAGAAGTGCCGCAGCCCGCTCGACTACCTACTCCCCCTCTTCCTGAAGTGGACTGGATCATTGCCACGCAGGAGCTGTCGAAATTCCTTATCCCCACAGATCGACAAACGAAGAGCTGCACAGCAGAAGAACTCGCCGGTCCCAAAATCAAACGAGACCCGGGGAATGCAATCCCACCAGCAGCCGTCGCCGACGCAATGCAACCTAGGCAACTGCGACATCGCAAGAGCAAGCTCCCTCTCTATCCGGAGAGCACGCACAGCGACGAAACGGAGAGCGTGAGAAGTGTGAGTCAAAGCAGCAGCAGGCGGCAGACGATCAGCGAGCTGCCCTCGTCTTCTGCCATTCCGGAACCCACGACTGGACGACGCGCAAGCAGACGTCTTAGCGCAGGGAGCGCGCTTAGTGCTCTCACGAGCCTGGACACCGCGGATGCACCGCCCGTTCCGCCTTTGCCTCCGCAAGCCCCCGAACCTTTAGCATTTCGCCCCCTACCGCTCGAACGTCACGCAAGCCAAATATACGTCCCAGGCGAGGGAATGAGAGCAGCCGGAGGGGCGACGCTCCCTGTCAAGAAAACCCGCGCACCAACCAAGAAGGAACCCGCTTCCAGCGCGCCAGGCACACCAAGACGCGCTACCAAAGCCGCACCTGCGACTCCTGCGCCTGCTCATGCTCCTCCCCCCGTCCCAGCCGCAGCCGCCAGCGGCGAGCTCGACGCTTTGACAGCCGGCATGAAGAAGGTCACGCTCAAAGTCGGCACGCGCGAGGAGCACGATCGCAAGCAGAAGGAGCGAGTCGATGCGGAGAGGAGGGCGCGCGCGCTCAAGGCTGCGGAGACGCGGAGGGTGAATGCTGCTGCTAAGAAGGCGGCGAAGGAAAGTGCTGTTTCGAGTCCTGTGGTTGGAAGTCAGCAGGCTCCGATACGCTCGGTTGGCATGGCTGATGGGAGTGCGATACCATCGTTTGTCTCAACGGTTCCGGCGCATGATGCTGCTATCCTGCCCGCGCCGGCGTGGTCGGGATTAGCATCACTCGCTAACACCTCCGAGCCTGCGGGCAGTAACGTCGACACTTCCACCCCTGTGAACGGCATCACGAGCAACAACTGGGGAACCTCGAACCGCACCCTACCACCCACAGCTGCCATCTCAACCTCCCAACAACCGCCCATCAACCCCCCCTCAAACGACCAAACTCCCACGCAAGAAATCCCAACCCCACTCTTCCACACTCCCGCCCCTCCTTCCCTCGCACAAGAGACCCAAGTGCGAACTCCGGCCCCCGCAACACAACCAACCCTCCACCCCAGCACCTCCCGACCACCCCCTCGCTCACCAGAAGGTACTCCGCTGCCGGTGTGGAGTAGCACAGGCATGATTCCCTTCGCTGCTGCGCCGTCTAATGTAACATCGGCCGCGGATTCTGGTCCGGCGACCGCGAATACGCTGCATGATGCTGCACAGGCTAAATCAAATGCGATGGCCCTACCTCGGGCTGCTTCGAGTTCAGAGGGGAGAAGTATTTGGGATGTGCCTGAGACGCCTCGGCGGTTGTGAGGCGGTATTCTAAATCCGATGGTGACGGCTGTGATTCTAGGAAGCATGCAAGGGGTATCGGTGTGATGTGGGAGGTGCGAAGGAGGGCATTGGATAGAGATACTCTGATACAGATCACACGTACGCGACGGCCTTCCTTTCCATCGTTACTTGCTTCGCCTAACGCCTACTCATGCTCCTAACGCCTGCGGAAAACACTTATCTCAGGTGCCTTGACCTGAACCCCACGCTCAAGTCACTCCTGAAACTCCATCTAACTCCCCTTCCACCCGCCATCCACCTGCTGTACCCCACTATCAAACACAATCCTCGGCCCCATCTTCCCCTTCCCATTCCCCACCCCACTCCCCAACCTCTCCCCCATCCCCACAACACCACCACCAGCAACAACCGGCCCCACCGTCCTCCTCCTCCCATGCAAAGGACAAATCGCCACCCCACCACCCCTGTGCTTCGGACTCAGCGGACAAAGCGGACTATTGGGCAAATGATCCGGGACGTCGAGTTCGAAAGTCCCGAGCATGAGCGCCTCGTCGTCGGTGGAGGAGTATTCCCCCCGACCGCCAGTGGAGGAGGTGTCGCGGATGTATTGGCGGACGCGGTTGAGCTTATTCCGCCGCGTGTCGCCTAGGCGTTGGGAGAAGGGGGTTTGGGAGAAGTTTGTGACTGTGAGGGGGTCGTTCGTCTTTGGATGTTGCTGGGCGGTTTCTTTGTCGTTGGATTGTTTGCGCTTTAGTGAAGGAACCGAGAGTCTGGGGAGGAGGTGCTGGACGGATTTTACTTGAAGGAGTTTTCTGAGTCGATGTGCCTGGGGGTGGTGAGTTGTTTCGTCTGAGGTCGCGACGCCGGGTTCAGGAGGGATGCTTCGCATGTCGAAAAAGAAGCCTTTGAAGCCGCCTGCATTGGCGCTTGAGAGTTCTGGGGCTTGAGGAGGAGTATTCACTCGTTTCATCTCGGTTGGTAGAAAGCTGGGCGCACTCGGGACACTGATCTGGATGGTTGATAGCCTTCTTTTCGCTTGCAAGCTGCGGCTAGGAGGGCCGATCATGTCCTGTTCAACAGGGGCAAAGTTAACCACCTTCGAATTGCCGGGGCGTGCGACCTTGTCAACATCCATAAAGTTCACTTCGCGTGTCAGCTTTGGCCGAATCGAATCTTGAGGTGCCGTCAAGGGAGATAGTGGAGTTTGCTCTCGAACGTGGCCTGACGGCTGTTTGCTCTCCCCGACCAGGAATTCCCAATGAGTCGACAGTGGGGTCGACGTCAGAGGCCACTTGAATGTAGGAGGTCCGAGGTGATCGAGAGGAGTAGCGTTTGAGCGAGACGATGTTGACGATCTTCGTTTGGGTCCGCGAGTCGGCAGATATTGAGTGACTGCGGAAGCAGTGGGTGTCATTGACAACACTGATCTTTTGTTCAAAGTCAATTTGCCACCCTCGCCATCTGACTCTTCCTGGATGCTGTCGATGTGAGGCGATCTGAAGACGTTGAAGAGGCTACTCCGTTTGTGAACCATCTTCAAACGCGTCGTTCGGTCTTCTATCGCATTCGATGCCGGTGGGAAGTACCCGGGAATCTCAGGCATCTGGGTTTGGCCCGGAGGGTGCTCAGTTTGTTGCGGCTTCTGTCTTTCATCGTGCGGCTTTGTGGGGATCATATCAGGGCCAAAGGTTTGGAAGTGATGATGTCCATGGCTCAAAGGGCGATCCATGGGCGAGATCGGCTCTTTCTCAGGTGCTGCGCGAAGCTCCTCACTGCTCACGTGTTCGAAGTCTCTCACAGTCCTATGACGGGATGGAAGCCTCAGTCTCATCACGGTCGGTGGCAAAGAAGAGTCTCGGCCTGCGGTTTTGAGGTCAGGACTAGAGACAGTAGGGACTGCCTGCGAGCCCGGAGTGCGCGGGTGGGAGTCCGTATCAGGTCCACCGGGCCGGGCTTTGCTGGAACTAGATCTCAGCCTCAGGCTTGATATAGATTCAGATTGGCGTAATTGGGTCCGTCCTCGTGTGGTAGCATCTGGGGCTTTGGGGCGGGGACCAGGCAAGCGAGCTGACAGCGGCGGCGGGGTCTGAGGGAGTACTTTGATAGTCGCACTTTCTTCGACGATTTTGGGTATGTAATAGGAGGGTGAGTGAAGGGGTAGAGGCGCTTGCCCCACTGGCGGTGCTTTCGTTCGGTGCTGCAATGGTCGATTCTTCTTCTTGAGCAACGTACGGTCGCCTCTGCGGTCGCGTACAAAGTATGCAAAACTGCTTGCATTTGAGTCGGATGACGATGAGAGGGATGGCGAAGGGCTCGGGGTGCGTGGAGGTGGGCCAAAGGAACGAGGAAAGGGGAAGCAACCGATCGAGGCAGGAGAACGTGAGAAAGAAGGACGGCCAGTCGACCCAGGGGAACGGGAGATGGATAATCGTCCGGCTGAGTCTGTTGAACGAGGCGAGGAGTGGTTGGTACTCGGGGTGAAACGGGAAAAGGATATGCGACCGATTGAGCCTGGGGTGCGAGGGAAAGAAGGGCGATTGATTGAGCCAGGAGTCCGAGGAAAAGGGGCGTAGTGGGACAAGCCGGGGGAAGTCGGGGTGTCGGAATTGAAACTGAGAGAAGCGGTCAGTGGAAGATGGTCAAAGTGCATTCGATCATACTTACGCTGAAAAATAGTCTTGGGCTGCGTTCTTAGGGATTGACAGGCTTTCGCTCATGCTCTCAGCGGTAGTCGCACCATCAGTCTCCCGATTGGGCTCTAAAAGGTGGGCATCGGTTTCAACACGTCCTCCTACGAACTGTGATGATACCGGCGCGGGGGAGCGTGGCGACGTTGCCGATCGCGGTCGAGCAGCTGATCGTAGCGGTAGCGGGAGCGGTGCTTGTGCGACTCCGCGGGCATCGGAATATCTTCCAGATCGTCTTCGCGGAATCGGCGGCCGCGAGTATCGTGGGTGTCGCGAGGCATGTGGGCCGAGTGGCGACGGCGATGGGGAGGGTGGGAGGTCTGGGGAGGGGAGTGGGAGCGACGTCTCGCCGGTCTCGCCATGGCGTCCATCTCTTCGATGCGGCTCGCTCGGCGGTCCAGCGCCTCGATCTCGCGCTTCTTCCTCGCCCGCTCTTTGCTGCTGTAGTTCTTGAAGCACATCATCGGGAACATGCTGCACACTCCCACCGTCAGGAGCGAGACTATTAGGAAGGCGCCCCGATAGTGACTGGAGTCCTTGTTGAGGTCGTGATAGAAACCCATGGCTCATTCCTCTTGCTCAGGTCGGTTGTCTCGTAGCTCGCATAGGATGATAGGAGGTTTCCGACCACGGATGAATGATGGGCGGGGGGGATTTGTGTAGAAGTCTGGCAGCTGGATGTGAAGAAAGCGTCAGCGTACGATCCTGCTTCAAGTGAGCGTTGAGCGTCGGCGAGTCCGAGAGGGGAACGTGGATCTCAGGGTGGTGCGGATGTGGACAAGAGGTGGCTCAGTCGTGTTGGAAGGGAAGGGTTCATGGTGAAGGGCGGGAAAGATCTATCTTGCGTCCAAATTTGGTTGCCGGGAGGAAAAGTCAGTGTTGTGCCAAGTCATGCGCATGAAACGGCAGTCACGTTGCACAGGAAGTCGCGTTCCGAATAAGGAAGGCACGATGGACCTCAAGCCTGGCTTGCACGTGACTGACAGCCGAAAGGCTTCGAAGGCCTGAAAAGCGGGTCGCTGTGCGCCCTGCACCTGCCGAAATCATCAGCTTGCCCTCAAGTGAATGTCTAGCCGCACATTTAAATACCTCCATCTCTCCACACGAGGCCACGTCGTCCCCCACCTGATTTTGTAGATTGACCATGAGGTGAACATGTCCAACCACACTACATCGACCCAAAACGCTGGTGGCCCGGAATTTCTCCTCCACACTTACTACCGCTCCTCCTGCTCCGGCCGGCTGCGAATCGCCCTAGAATTCAAACAGCTTTCTGTCGAATTGGCTTACATTCACCTGTTCAAAGGCGAACAGCACTCAGAGGAACACAAGACGCTCAATCCTTCTGGCTCGGTTCCAGTGTTGACACATCTGGTGGGCGAGAATCCAAGCTTCCCAATCACCCAGTCTGTCGCCGCTCTGGAGTATCTCGAAGAAATATATCCAACGCAGCACCCACTCTTACCACCCTCAACCCAGCCGCTGGAACGAGCAAAAGTCCGAACGCTAGTCAACATCATCACAAACGACGTGCAGCCCATCACCAACCGCCGCATCACGACAGCCGTCAAAGAACTAGGCGTAGATCCGGTGCAATGGAGCAAGCAGTACATGACGCGCGGCCTTGAAGCGTACGAGAGGATAGCGGAGAAGACGGCGGGACGGTACAGTGTAGGAGACAGCGTGACGATGGCGGACGTGTGTCTCATCCCGGCGGTGTGGACGGCGGACAAGCACGAGGTCGAGCTGAAGAAGCTGCCAACGGTCATGCGGGTGTATCGTGCGCTTAGCGAGTTGGAGGCTGTGAAGAGGGCGCATTGGAGTGTGCAAAAGGATGCGCCTGCTGATTTGGAATGGCTGTGAGGGTCTAATTAGCTTGAGCATGCGGGACTAGGAACGATTCATTGCATCGGCACCACTGGAATGGACGTTTCCGGCTCAACACCTCCCTAATTGCCGCTGAAATAATTCTTGTAAGCCGAGCAAAGCTTCCCCGTCGTCCAAACACCTCTTAAGTTCAAGGTGTGATCGATGTCTTCCAACGGGTTGCCCTCCACCAACGTCAAATCCGCCCGCAAGCCCTCTTGGATTCGTCCACGATCCGGAAAATTGAATCTTCTCGCCGTGACGGATGTAGCAGACCGAAGGGCTTCCGCGGGCGTGAAGCCACACTCGTTCACGAAAAGCGATAGCTCTTGGTGAAGTGAGAGTCCCCAGGCCGTGCCTATGGCGGGACCTGCGGCATCCGTACCGCTGGATGATATGTCAGCTCGATGGCGGAGGAAGTGCGGAATCAGAGCAACTCACCAGACAATATCAATTCCAGCATTCTTCAATTGCCTCACGGTCTCGAAAGAATGCTCGACCCGGAACTTGGAGGCAAAGCTCATGCACTGGCACAATCGGTGCCTCTCTTCCTCACCAATAAGATGCTGCACCCTGGGATCGTGAGCAAACTTCTCCTGAAGCTCCTTCCCCTCGGTCGTAGCACTAGCCAACGTTGCCAAGGTAGGATTACAATGTGCGTTGTACCGCTTGTACGCAGCGAGAAGCTCCTCAGTCGGCGGCTGATCGACAAAAGTGTGCGCCATGCCATCAACGCCCGCCCCGAGAATCTCGAGAGTATCGGAGAGGGCGAGGGAGTGCGCGACGACGCGGAGGCCGGCTTTGTGGGCTTCGTCGATGATGGCTTTCTGCAGCTCGAGCGAGGGCTTGTTGAACTCGGTGCCCATGATGGCTCCGGATTCGTGCATGAGCTTGATGTAGTCGACGTTTTCCTTGAGGCGGTCTTGGACGTAGCGTCTGCCATCTTCGGGCGTGACGAGTTTGGGCCATGTTGCTACTTCGGTGAGGGTCTGGAGCGGCAATCAATCCGAATGCTCTCTTGAAGGGAAGGGGTAATATACTTCTTCACTCTTGTCATGCATCATAACAATCGGCACTGGCTGTTTCATCATGAGGTCTCATTAGCGCTTGACCACCCGTCGGCTGAGGGGCGCACACTGACCCAGCCCATATCACTGCCGCCATCATTAGTATTCGCATAAGAATATACAATCAGTCTAGCTCACATGGTCGCCGCAAAACTCGTAGTCTTCAAATCCGCGCAATCTCCCCCTTCAACTTGCCGGCGCAGCTTCTCAACATTATGATACTCATTGTGCATATCGCAGACGGTCGTGACCCCGAATCTCAACGACTGCGGTAGGGCCACTGGACTGCCGCCGTTGGCATGAATATGGGCATCGATGAGGCCGGGCAGAAGGGTGTGGCCGGGTCTTGAGAAAGTTGGGCCCTCGAATGCGATCGGGGATGATGAGACTTGGGCAATTTTGCCGTCCTTTACCAGGACACTGCCATGTTCGATGGTATTGTCCCCGTCGAAGATCCGGACGTCTTTGATGAGGAAAGCAGACATGGCTCAGGCTGAGAGTCGGCGGTGAGATACAAAAGTTGGTCCAGAGGAATACAATGCCACGCGAGTAGACCAAGGTGTGCTCAAGTCAGATTGTCGTCCACCCAACGGCATCTTTATAGACTTTGGAGTCGTAGAGTATGTGAAGTTGAGCTGCTTGAGCTGCGTAAGCCGATCGCAGACCCTCGAGCGTTGGCCGTTTTCGGGTCAAGGACCAACGCCCGACTCCGGTACTTGGTAAGCATACTACATTGCCCACCTTGCGCGTGAAAGCGGTCTCGATGACGGCGCGGTGATATCTCGAAACTCCGGATGAGCAAGGTGCATGTGGTTGTAAGGAGTCAGCGCGTGTCGACGCTATCAACTGATTACAATGAAAGCCGATTGATTGGACAACCTCACGTTCGTCACGGTCGACTCATTCCGGACCTCACCTCAATCAAACTCCAGCATCATGGCATCTAAATTGCCCTACAAAATCGACACGCACGTCCACATGCTCCCTCCAGCATACCGACAAGCATGCATCGACAATGGCCACGGTCAGACATCTCATGCCCTCATCCGTATCAACCCTTGACCATTGCATTAACCAGCAGTCTCCACAGCCAACCCCGATGGCATGCCTTACCTCCCCGAATGGGACCCGGAAACGCATCTGGCACTAATGGACGACCTTAACATCCAAAAAGCCATCCTCTCCGTCTCATCCCCCGGCACGCATCTCGTCGCCGGCAACGACGCCCTCGCAGCAAAAGTTACCCGCGAAGCAAACAGCTACGCCGCCGCCCTGAAAAAGCGCCTGCCCGAACGCTTCGGCTACTTCGCCTCTCTCCCCATCCCAGCAGTAGACGTCTGTCTCCGCGAAATCGAGCAAGCATCGCAAGAAGGCTGCGACGGCTTCGTGATGCTAACAAACGGGCACGGCATCTACGTCGGCGATCCCAGCCTGGACGCCATCTTCGACGAACTGAATCGTCGGCACGCAACGGTGTTTTTCCACCCTAGCACGCCGAGGTGTCCCTGCTCGCCAGCCGATGCAGCAGCGGGGCAGACACCGGTTAACGCCACGCCGTTCGCGGGCTATTATCCGAATCCGATGATGGAGTTTCTGTTCGATACGGCGAGGGCGATGACGAATTTATTCTTGAGCGGGACGGTCAGGCGGTGTCCCGATATTCAGTTCATCTTCTCGCATTGTGGGGGTGCATTTCCGGGTTTGTTGTCGCGGGTGACGATCTATGCGAGTCTGGTACCTGTGCCGTGGACGGGGGTGTCGGAGGAGGAGGCGCGGGAGGCGATGAAGAAGCAGGTTTGGTTTGATCTTGCGTGAGTCGGGGATTGTTGTCTTCGGAGCTTAGCATCTGGGAGCTGATGATGCTGCAGTGGTTTGCCTTTTCCCGGCCAAATACAGGGTTTGTTGGCTGCGGGTGGGCAGCGAGATAAGCTGCTATTTGGGAGGTGAGCAGATTATCTAACACACCATCTTCGCTGCATGTTAAGCTGACATGTACAGTGACTATCCCTTCACCCGGGAGGAACCAGCGCGATTGGCTGCCAGACTAGTGGACAACGGCGTGCAGGAGGTCTTCATAGCGGATGAGATCGAGGACATTTACAACCGCAATGCTCAGCGGCTACTCAGCTACCCAAAGATACGGTAGTATTTATCACTCCCTCCACCCTCAATACAGTCCTTCAACGAGCGCCTTGACCTGGTCATACAAATCCCCACTCTCACTGCCCGACGCCAACTTCGTAATCTGATGCACCTGGTCCTTCCCGACCTTCTGCTCAGTCAAAGTAGTCTTCAAATCCAATCGCTTCACCAAATCCAAAATCGCATCCCCCACGGCCTTTGCATCCTTAACATCGTCGCCACTAGCCGTGACGCCAACCTGCGGTGCCATGCGCGCAATCTGCGCCGCGTCGTCCTTCGACCTGTCGGCCTTGAGCTTCACCACGTGCCCGAGCGTCAAGCAGGACGTGATGCCGTGCGGGATGCCGTAAGGGGAGCCGAGAGCGTAACCAAGGGCGTGAGAGAGGCCGAGGCCGCCTTTGACGTTGAGGGCGATGAAGCCGAGGGAGGCAAAGGCGGCGAGTTGGAGGCGCGTGATGAGTTGCTCGTCTTTAGGGTTGGCCTTGTATTTGGGAAGGGTGTTGTACAGTTGGCCGGCGGCGTACAGAGCCAGTGCCTTGCAGGGCATTTCGGTGGAGGTGGGGTGGTCTGCGTGATGATTAGTCGACTGCAGCTTCATGCGTAGATGGCGAGGTTGGACTTACACATCAGCTCCATTGCATGATCCATTGATCTCATAGCGGTGCTCATCATGAGCCATGGCGGCGTTTCCAGCATGAACTTGGAGTCGTAGAGGACGACATGCGTCACCAACTCCGGATGGGCAACGCCAGTCTTGAGTCCACTCTCATCCGTGTATCCGGCAATCATGGTGCACTCGGCGGCGGAGAGGGTAGTCGGGATGGTGATGTGGAACAAATACTTGCCCGACTTCTCATTCAAACGATGCGAGATCGCCTTGGCTGAGTCGATCGGACTGCCTCCACCAATGGAGATGATGGTGTCGATATTCTGATCCTTCTTCACCAACTCCGTCGCCTCATCCAACTGCTTGATGGGCGCATGCTGGCCAATCTTGGAGTAGGTGGCGGCATGCCTCGAGCCCAGCAGCTCTTCCACCTGCTTGATCAGGGATGTCTTGTTCGCGAGAGAGGAGCCGGTGATGATGAAGGCCTTGGACTTGTCGCCGGGGAGACATTCGAGGAGGTGCTTTTGCACGCTGCCAGAGCCGTAGTGGAGGCGATTAATGTGCGTCGGCTTCCAGAGGCCGGCCAGCGGGTTTTGTGTGGACTCTACTTTTTTGCTCGATTGCCAGCGCTTTTGGGAGGGAAGTTGGAGCGCGGCTACTGACCTATGGATGCCGTGCTCATGATGGCGGTTGGAGAGGGTGTTCGATGGGGGAAGGGAGGTGGTGATGGCTCTCGATTGGTGCGGTGTCCGAGTGGATGGTGTAAGCGTACAATGCTTGGAAATCAAAGCAACAGAACCTGACCGGGAGAGGCGTAGGGACATCTTATGGGGAGATAAGAGTGAAGTTCGCATTGACACATCCCGAGTCATTATTCCGCAGGTATGTCGTCACTCCATCAACAACCCCACCGAGGTCGGGGTGCTGAAGTAAGCATTTGAGAGGGTCCACGTCCGGCACTTTCAATTGGCTCACATCGACAGCAACCTCATGTGGGGCAGCTGAGGTGAATATTGCTGGAGATGCGTCGCTACATGGCAAGAAACGGGAGGTGCAAGCGAAGAAGGTCTGGAAGCATTGCGGAGTGGACCTGCATCTACGCTTCACGTCCCTCGGAAGCATCACGGACGCCCTGCCCTACTTTCCTGTCCGTCGACTCCACACCTTTGGACGAATCAAGGACAGCCTTGCCTACCTTTGCTTTGTCAGAGACATCACGGGACTCTCCTTTGCACTTCACGCCCTACCAGGTCTGTCTACACCAAGGCACGTATGCCAAAACTGAGAGCAGGTATAAACAGGCGAGCGTTGCCCGACTGTCCCTGTTGAAGTGTAGTAGTTGAGACAATCAACAATCCATCAATCAAATCAACAGTCATGGCCAAGGCAGTCCTCCACTCCGACGATGACCTTTTACTGTGCAACGAATGCGGGACACAGTACGACGTGAAGAGTGGCAAAGAAGAGTGCAAAGTCTGCGATGTGAGTGATGGCGACGAATGATCATTATATTTCTCTCACAAACTAATGCCCATCTCTTAGGACCCTCGCCAGTACGTGATATCAAACACCCCTTCAAGCACATGCTAAGCACGTGTAATTACTCCAGATACGTCCCCCCAACAGGACAAGTCTTCACCACCCTAGGCAAATTGAAAGCACAAGGCTTCAAGAACGTCTGGTGGCAAGTCGAGAATCACCCAGACATCTGGTGCATCAAGACGGAACCCAAGTTTGCCATTGGCAATCGAGCAGAGCTCATCCGTACCGAGCGTATGAAACAACTTCTTCTCCTTCTTCATCCAAAGAGATCCGACTAACAGCAACTCATCAGACGGCAACATCCTCTGGGATCTCATCCCTTTCCTCGACCAAGATACCGTCGACAAGGTTTGTCTCAAGACCAACATCAGCTTTCCCATACGATCGCTAACACGGCACCCCAGATTAACTCCTTCGGCGGCCTCAAAGCAATCGTAATCTCCCATCCCCACTACTACTCCACCTGGGCCGAATGGTCCCGCACCTTCTCCTGCCCAATCTACATCGGCGCCCCGGACAAACCCTGGCTCGAACGCACCCAAACCCCCAACACCTCTCTCCTCCTGGTACACGACCCCTACACCCCCATCCTCCCCGGCGTAACCGCCATCCTCGCAGGCGGCCACTTCCCCGGCTCCATGCTCCTGCACTGGCGCTCGGTGCTCTTCATCGCCGACACAATCTTCGTCGCGCCGAGCGCGCTCGAACCCATCCCGGGCCGGCCGGGGAAGATAAGTTTCAACTTCTGGTGGAGCATCCCGAACCACATCCCGCTGCATCCGGATGCGATTCTGCGGATTTGGAGGTTGGTGAAGGGGCTGGAGTTTGGGACTTGTTTGGGGGCGTTTGAGGGGCAGGATGTGTTTACTAGGGGGAATGAGGCGGCGCGGAAGACGGGGGGTGTGAAGGGGCGGTTGTTGGAGAGTTGTAAGATTTATGTAAGGGCGGAGGGGTGGAGGGATGGGGAGCATGAGATTTTGGCGGAGAGTTTGTAACACACGATACATATGATTACACGGGATCAGTCCTTCTTCTCAGCATTCACTCCCACCACAACATCCCGCTTCTCCGCCTGCTCAATCGTCTCCTGAATCCCCTGATCCACCAGGCCCTTCAAATCCTCCTCGCCCATCATCCCCTCCCATCCGTTCGCAACGAGATACTGCCGGAACTTCTCATCGCCCTCCGCAAGGTCGGCACCAGTGATGTTGGGGATGAAGAAGTATGTCACGAGAATGCCCAACACGCCGCAAATCGCGGCGACGATGAAGGTCCAGCGCTGTCCGAAGCGATTCGCGATGGGAGCGAATGCTTGTGTTCCTACCGCGCCGCCTGTCTTGCCTAACGCGGCGGAGATGCCGTAGCAGGTGCCACGCACAGCTGTAGCGTAGGATTCGGATGAGAGTAGACCCAACATGTCGCCTGGCCCCAGATTTCCAGAACTAGTCATAAGACCGTAAAAAATGACGAACAGCGGCGTAATCTTGACAAGCTGATCGTACGCGCAACCAACAATAAGCCCGAAAACAAGATATCCCGAGAATCCCAGCATCATAGTATACTTGCGGCCAATGCGATTGCAAAGCCAAGCGCCAATGAAGACGCCCGGTAGCGCAAGGCTGGAGAGCAGCAACTGCCACTCGGCGGTCGACTTGATGGTTGCGTGGGGGATGACGGTGTCGAGGATGGTGCCGCTGAAGATGCCGTTGGGGAAGGTGACGAAGTCGTAGAGGAACCAGGCGCCGCAGGTGCCGATGAGCGTTTTCCAGTAGTAGCGCAGGACGAGGAGGTAGGGGACGCGGCGCTTGATGGCGCCGCGGCGGTAGAGCTTGCTGTTGAGCATTTTGATGCGGAAGTAGAAGACCTGTTGAGAGGGGTTGTTAGGGTGTCGATGTGGCGTGATGGCGGAGCGGAAGGCGACTTACGGTGAGTGGGAAGATGACACCGATTCCGAAGCATGTCCTCCATATCGTCGACAAGTGGTTCGCGCCCGCAGCGGACAAGACGATCAGGAAGATGGAGACCGAGAGAGGATTGCCAAAAGCAAGCGGCAGATTGGTGACGAGAATGAAAATGGGGCCTCGCTGCTTCAGCCTATACTCATTTGCAGCCTCGCTCGCCGAAGTACTCGAAGCAGGATATTCACCACCGGTGCCGAAACCTGTGATGCCACGAGCGACCGTGAGCATCCAGAACATGCCGATGATGGTGTAGCCGTTGCTGGCGGTGCCGAGAATGCCCCCAACGACGATCATGAGGGTGGTGATGATAATGGCAGCCTTGCGGCCGAGGTAGTCGCATGTGAGGCCGATTGTGATTTGACCTGCGTGAAAAGGTTAGCAGATCTCCTGAAGCGTGTCTATGGAAAAGGAACGTACCCAAGATCTCGCCGACCAACAAGGCATTGGAGACTTGGGTGCTCCAGTAGCTAGTATATTGTGCCTTGTACTCGGTCCTGAGCACGACGTTGGTCATAGTCCTGGACAACGAGTCAGCTGCAATTCTGCTCGATCGGGAATTGATCAAGGCATACATGAGCGAGTTCTGATAGCCGTCGCTGATGAGGGCAAAGCCCGCGCAAAAGATGGTGAAGATGTCGGACAGACTCTGCTTCTTCGACGACACTTCCCTCGAAGGCGCGGCCGGGTCGTTTGGATTCGGGACATGCTCTTGGGCAACTGAGGCCTCCTTCTCAGGCAGGACTTCATCGTGGGCATAATCCGCCTTGTCAATGTCGTATTTGTCGTCCATGTCGGGCCGATCGGTGTTTTCGACGTATCAAGGACCGAGTGTAGCAGCACGAAGACAGAGAGGAGAAGCGCGCCATATTTGAATGATTGCCTCGTTCTTCACGTTATTTTCTCTAGCCCTGCTGGCGGCGACGATCACTCCCGTTAGGAGAATTAAGCAAGGCCGGCAAGGCCACGCCGTTGGACCCTGCTGCCGTCCTGCGTCACATCGTGCAGTCGCAGCGCGCCACCGGAGGGGATGGCGTAAAGCCAATCTCCAATCACCTTCGGCACGTGTGGCTTCTTCAGGCGGATGATCGGCACGTAGTGGCAATGGGATATTTGTACAGCGACAGCAAAGAATGTTTGGAAAGTTCCATACGGTCACGTCGGCTTGTGCCGTGAGTCGCAGTCATTGCCGTTCTCCTGCGATGTTGTGTGAGCGAGTGCAAGCCGGATTTCGGAATGCATCCGGCAGAGTAGAGTCGAGTGCTGGTGCGGGAAGCTGAAACATGACTTCAACAAGGCCTTGCACAATTGAACGATGAGCAAGGCGTGTATAAAGCAGCTAATGCATTGATGTACTTTGTTCCTTCCGTCTGAGTTGATTGTACAGCTGTAAGGGATACAATCACGTGGTTAGATGGAGGAGGGACCGCACGAACAAAGAGGATCCACCTTCTTATGCAATCGAAGACGTGACGTGCTGATTGGCGCATGCAGCTCTCGAGATAGCCGATTCCAGACAGCAGCGTTCCGTTGTCCTCGACGCGCGAACCACCAACTGGAGTCTTTTCGCTCCGTCGATGTACACATATTCCTAATTCTTTTGATCAATCGGTTCTGCTGTAGCTCGACCCTCGGTCATCACCCCCGCAGAGTCGCAACGACCGAGTCGCCACCATGTCGTCCCGAGTCACTCCAACATCTCACCTCGCATCAGCAACATCTCCCATGGACCGCACGGAAGCATGGACAGCATCGCAGGCCGCCGATCTGCTAGCCGCGACATCCCTCACTCCACGTCCAATGACCAATCCCTTCCCCCTCGCCCGCGAAACCCAAGTCAAACTCGCCATCCCGCTCGATGATGCCGAAGATAAGCAGCAGTCAGCCGCGCGGCGGAAAGCAACGAACGACACGCACAAAGTCTACGGCGTGCGTACGCTCATGCGCCGCGATAGTCAGCGGCGGCGCGACGCGCTACTCCAAGGCAAAGAAGGCAGTCGCCGACGACGGAAATGGGAGAACGACAACCTGCTGAACAACCCGCACGCGTCGCGGCCGGAAGACGTGGGCCCGGAGGACTGGCTCGTGAAGCCGACGTATCCTGTCAATCACGTGCCGTACTGCCTCGCGCCGCTGTGGGACGCGCAGTATGCGCGCTTGAGCGAGAAGCGGAAGTCGAAGGTGGAGGAGGCGAAGAAGCCGGGGGATGAGGAGGTGGCGAGGGCGGCGAAGGTGGAGCAGGAGTTGAGGGCGACGCTGAAGCGGGCGCGAGGGGCGAAGGGCTTGCTGCAGGATTTGGAGAGGGAGGTGAGGGGCTTTGTTGCGCAGTGGGACGCAAAGCAGCGCGAGTTGGAGCAAGAGGGTTTGATTGATGCGGATAGTGAGGATGAGGAGATCGTGTTTGTTGGAAGGAATGGGGCCATGAGTGATGAGACGAGGAAGAACAAGCAAGACGAGATGTTGGTGAAAGACAAGTTGATCTTTCAGAGCCTGGTTGACGACCATGGTGCTGCCTTTGGGTTCGTGTTGTCCAGGCCACTGAATGGTTCCCAGCTGACATTGTCTCGCAGTCGCTACCTCGTGCATTCCATCGCCCAGTACTACGGCCTGAAGACATGGTCTGTCACCGTCCCCGGTGATCCAGCGAGGCGAGAAGCATACGTCGGACTGAAAACAGATCCGATCACCAGACGACCGAGTTTGCCCATGGTGCAGATGCCCCGGCCGTTGTGGACGGTGGTATGACGCTTGATCGACGCGATACAACGTGGTACAGTCGGCGTAATAGACAGGCCCCGAATACACGAATTCAATCCACCTCTCGCTTCATCCTCGTGCTCTCGCACCATTTGTTTGCTCACCTCCTCGCCAGCGCAGAGCGTAGCACAAGCAACTTGTGCGAACTTGAGCAACATCATAGGACCCTCCATGCGTCTTCATTCCGCTTGGTTCCTCTTCACTGACGCCTCAGCAGCATACACCATTCCATCAAGCAATATACCTAGTCAATAAAAACAGGCACAAACGCAAAATGATCTATATACACCGCCTCGGTCTCCCCACAACATCCAGAACACCATCGAAGACCAAGTGGCAACTCTCAGTACAACATACTCCAAGTTCCCTGGGTTCCACTGCAAACCATCCTTGATATCAAAGCACAACGCTAGCCCAGCCCGAGTCTGCAATCATGGCACCGCGATCCGAAAAGCCCAAGCACACCGACCAGTGCGATGCTTCCGATGGCTCAGCAGACACCAGCACAAAGCCGACCCGCGACCGGGAGCGAAGGCCAAAAGCAGGACCTTCTACACCAAAGCAGCCACGTACGCCTCGAGAGAGGACACCGACGAGTAAGCAGCATTCGCCGCGCTCCCACCGGCAACCGCCTCCGCCCCCTCCGCCGCAATACCACCCCCACTCCCCGTACCAAGGCTACCAATACCCAGCGCCGCAGCCTGGCTTCTCTCCAAACCCCCAACTTCAAGCCTACCCAGCATACAACCCATACGCATACGCCTACGCCCAACCACAGCCAAACCCCTACACATACGCATACGCCTACACCCAAGCGCAGCCAAATCCCTACTACCAAGTTCCCCAACCCCAATATTACGCCCAGCAGTATCCGCAAATGCAATACCCGCAACCGCCTCCCGCCTCCCGCCGCCCTCCAGTGCAAGGCTGGGTCGAAGGCGAAGTCGACTCGACAGGCGAGAGCGTGGAGCCTCGTGCCGTGTATGGCGGACAGCCGGGAGAGAGTCCGGCGATGCAGGAGGCGCAGGCGAGGGAGTGGTCGCGGTTAGATCGGGATTTGGCGAGGGATGCGAGGAGGCAGAAGAGGCAGAGTGCGGAGTTGGAAGCTGGGGCTGGGGCGCAGAGACGTGCGGAGGGGGAGGAGTTGGAGGGGGAGGAGGAGGGGAAGAAAGAGGGACAGGGGAGTAAGGGACGACGTCGGGGTCGGGGGAGTAAGTGATGTTTTTGAACCAGTTGCATTGGACTGAATGGACAGGTAGCGAGATAGCCGTAGCAGTATTCCTCTAAGCACTGCCTAGTAATGCATCATTAGTCTAACACGTAATCTCACCCACCCCACTCGCCAAACCATCAACATACCATCTACCTCCTCCCAACACCGTCTACGAATTCAAATAATTCCAAATCGCAGACTGCAACTTCGTCGCCCCCTCGCCCACCAAATTCGACAAATTCTCAATATCGTCCCCCGCGGTAATGCCAAACTTGCGCACAAAGTCCCGCGCCGCGCTCTCCAAATCGCCGTAGTCCTCGAGGTTCACCTCCTCGTCCTCCGGCCGGCCGAAGTAGGCGTTGGACGAGATGGACGTGGCGCCCTCAAAGCCCTGCAGGCGCGTGCGCGCTTCCGCTTGTGCACTGGGGTTGTAGCTGTCGCGCCCGAAGAACTCGTCGGACGAGATGCCCTTTTGCTGGCCGAATTTGTCGCGCGCGAAGCGTTCGGAGTCGTCTAGATGGTGAGGTTAGTTGGAATATAATGCAGTGTGTGATGGTGCGAAGGGTTGTACCTTGCACGGGAGCTTTGCTTGTAGCACCAAAGCCCATTCGTTGAGGGGCGGCAGCTTTCGCTGCACTGGCGCCTACTTGGCCGAACCCCAGCTTCCGCACGCCCATGCCGAGTCGCTCTACTTCACTGTCATCGCGTTGCCGCGACTGGGCCGTGGCGCCGAAACCACCTGCTCTTCCGGGATTGACGGGCGTAGGTTGATGGAGGGTCGTGATGCCAGTCTCGGGTTGCGCGGCAGTAAATTGAGATTCTGAGGGCGTCACCTCGTCTGGGTCGTAGCCTAATTTCTCTTTCCGCTCCGCCTCCTCTCGCGCCTTCTTCTCGGCCTCGTCAAAGTCAAGCACGGCAGCATCCACCTTCTTCGCCCCAAGCTTGGTCTTCTTTGCGCCGAGTATGTTCGCTTTGGGCTTGTTGGATATCGCAGTCTTCTTCATGGCAGTGGCAGAGATGGCGCGTGGGGCAGCTGTCGTTGTGCTCTCTGCAGTCTCGCTCCCTATCAAGGGGGACTTTGGTCTTGACGCAGCACCGTTCTGGTTCGCGTTGAGGAAGGGAGAGGCGGTGCGGTTGATGCCAGGGGTGCCAGTTCGCGAGGGAGGATTGCTAGGCCGTTTGATGGTAGGCTTGTCCCATGACGAGAAGAACTCATCGCCGGCATCAGCAGCAGGTGTGTTGGCCGATGTACCATCGCTTTCATCCCCTACATCGTCGACATTCACTTCATCGGGGTTCCTACAATCATGAATTAGCATCACCGCTCCTGATCCTCCCACACACCACCGTACACTCACTTCTTGATATCCGCCTCCACCCTCCTCGCTAGCTCGTCCTTGTACTTCGTCGCCGCATTACTAGTATACTTCGTCTTGGGATCTTTACTCGCCAACGCCGCCGTACCCCCATGCGTCTGAAAGTACTTCGTCGCACTCTCATTCCCACCAACCTTCATCCGTCGAAGCTGATCCCACTGCCATTCTACACCCCAACAACAATCAAATCATCAGCCCCAAGAGCCAGCAAAGGAAGGGGGACAATCAAAAACTCACGATCCAAATTCGTACTCCGCACAAAGCTAATGTGCACGCCGAGATTGCGGTGGTTGGCGGAGCAGTCGAGGCACAGGTAGATGCCGAAGGGCACGCTGGACCACGTGGGGTTTTTGGCGCCGCAGTCGAAGCAGCTTTTGTTGGCCTCTTTGCGCTTCAGCTTCTCGAAGAGCGTGTGCGAGACGGTCTTTGGCGCGAGGGCCATGGTGGAGGGGTAGGCGGGGGGAGGCAGGCGGGGTGGAGACGGGATGCGAGGGTGTAGGGTGGAGTTGATGGGCGCGTTGGTTGTGAAAAGCTGGAGGCAAAGAAAGGGTTGTGTACACTTTGACCCTGAGATGAGAGGTGGAGTTGGGAATGGAAGCAGAAGTTCGGCCGACCAACGCGAGGCGACGGCTTGGCGTGAAAGGGGAGTTGATGCCTGAGGTGGCAACTCGAATAACAGAAAGCCACGAAGCCTCGTCCAGCCCATGAATCCATTGCGAACAGAGCGACTTGGAACATTCCAGCAGTAGTTAGAGAAGGGTTCCATACAAAGCTACGTAGAAGCATCCAAGCCACGTATTTCGATGCGTGCATGCAATCAGTGGTATCACGTATCCAGCTATCCCAGAAACACCCAACCGCACCACGCCATGCCATAAGATTCCAAACCCCCTACCTAGGCACAACACTAGGCCAAAACATCCTCCCTTTAACCCTCAACCGCACCTCGAAGATCCCCTCCTCGCACGCAGCCCACAATGTGCGCCCATCAGCACTCATCGCCAACCCCGCCGTACGCACCCCCACACTCCTGCCAGCATAATGGGCCAAACGCATCTGATTCCGGCGGAGCATGAGATCCGCCGCGCCCGCGTGCTGCGCGACTAGAGCGGGGAGACGCGGGGCGCTGCGGTCGCCGCGTTCGCCGTTGTTGAGGAGCGCGGCTCCTGTGCCGTTGAGGAAGCGCCAGTACTCGGGTCTGCGGGCGAGGGTACGGGCTACGGCGCGTTCGGCGAGGAGTTCGGATTGTAGGTCGTCGGTGGCGGAGGGGCGGGTCGTGGTTGTGGTGGCTGCGGGGAGGGGAGAGGCGGCTTGGGCTCGCTGAGCGGATTCGAAGAGAGGGCCTCGGGCTAGCGTCATGTGCTCTTCGATTGTGCGCCAGGGGTTGTCGTCTTCTGTTTCTTCTCTTGCGCTTGCTGCTGTTGCTGTGGCGCCATTCTGGCCTGCGCGAGTGTTGCTGTTGGAGAAGGTGGAGGTAGTGGGTGAGTTGGAATCGGGCGGAGTGGGAATGGCAGCTGTGCGGCGACGGGGCAGGCGAGAGCCGTCACTCAGACGGATGAGACTTGACGACGACCGCTGACCGGCACTGGCCCCAGCCCAAGCGCCGTCGTTGAATTGGGAGAACGAGGGAAGGGCCCCAGGGCTGTCGCGCCCATGAGACGAACCGGGCCGGGGACTACTCGTGGCGTTCGTCCTGGCGAGTTCAGGGAGCGAGTCCTGCATCGAGTTGAGGATTTCGTATATGGGGCGTGTCATCGAGTCGCCTCCACTGCGAGTGCCCGATGCGGCCGTCGTGGCGTTGGAGCGGTGACTTCCTCCATCCCGGAACATGTCCGAAGAAGTGTAATTGACCGAGGCGGGCGGCACTCCACCGCTCGATCTCGCCTCCTCTCTCTGCCGTGTGATGCGCAAACTCTCCAGAATCGACTGTTCGCGAGCCGTGAGGCCAGGCGGCGTGTCCTGTGCCTCGTCTTCAAGCGCCGCACGCTGAGCTCTCAGCCGTGCGGACATGGCCTCGTATCCTCGTGCCGTAAGTGGAGTAGTTCGCGCTTCATGTGGCTCGTCCTCGAGCTCTGCGCGCTGTGCCCTTAGGCTTGCAGACATGGCCTCGTACCCCCGGACGCGATGTCTTCGTCTCGCTTCAATATACTCGCTCGCGAAGCTGACGGCAGTGGGATTGTCCGGCGCCTGCCTATACCGCCGAATGAAATCTGCCTCCACCTCATCCAGGTCTCTGGTGGGATTGCTAGCGAGTGGCCGTGCAGGCTCGTCTCCGAGAATGTCGTCTACAGTGATACTGCGTAGTCCCTCCATCTTCGGATCGATTTTGACGATTTGTCGAGTCTTGAGGCCTGTCCGAAGATCTCCGATGCATACTCGATCCTGATCTTCCGCCCAGATGAGCAAGTCCCAAGGATCCGGGGAAAATACGATGGACCGCACAGCGCCGGGGAAGGGATTCTGACGATCAGGTCTCGAGCCCTGCACAACCGCCACGATCGCGCCATGTCCATTCTCCAAAGCGCACGACGCCATCAAATCCATGTCGAAGACAGTGATATAGCCTCCTTCTGATCCGACCGCCACCAGCCTGCCATTAGGCGACCAAGCGGTGGTGAAGTAGCCCGTCGTCGACCCTGGCTTCGAAGCATGCAGCGTAGCCACATTCGTAATCTTCCACTCGACACTCGCACTCGTGAGGCGATTATGCGGCTTCGGAATCTGCGGCGGCGTCTCCTGAATAGCCCGCTGAAAGAAGTACGCCGCGTTGACATCGCCTACAGCGACCAGCGTCCGGCCGTCGGGACTGACAGTCGAATGGTTCATAGGAAAGGGCAAGTCGACCACCCAGGTCTCGAGATTTTGCGGTAGGCTGTACATGCGCACCGTCTTGTCGTTGTTCGTCAGCACGGCGACGATGTCGTCCAGATGCGCCTCTTCGTCCTGGATGCGGTGGATCGAAATGGAGTTCACAATGTCCTCGCCCATCCTGTCGACCTTGACACTCGCCGCGCGCCGCACGCCATCCCGCACCCCACTCTCGTTATTCTGCAGCGTTGTGGCATCCACGCTCGTTCGCGTGGGAGAGGCACCATCGAGTTTAATAGCGGCGAAATGGCCCATCTCTTCGCCACCGCCCACACACAGCCATCCGTAGCCGCTGGCGGTACATCGCGCTTCGAAGGGGAGGGTAGCGATGTGCTTGCGCTTTTTGGTGGCAGTGTTGAGGCAGAAGACGTCGTGGCCGGAGGCGTAGTAGAGGAGGTCGGGTTCCGGGGCGGAGATGTAGTGGCGGAGTTGCCAGTGTCTGTCGGGGCACTGTGCGTTAGCATCCTTCCGGCTCGTGCAGGAAGTGTGGGACCGCAGCACTCACGAAATGTCGATTTCAAAGGGATAGAAACTGGTTTCGGCGTAGGCTAGGTCGTCGGTCTCGCGGTAACTGTGGAAGGACAGTGTCAGTGAGTGGTGACCTTTCGAGTACCGGGGTGCACGGCTCAGCGATGAGGTACACGTACAGCAAGTTATCGATCGCCATGCTGCGTCGCTGTGACGGCCACACTGATGGAGGGCCGAGTAGAGGATGCAAGCCAAGAGAGGTGTTCAGGCGCGAGAGGGCGCGGGTGGTGTGGGTGGGGTTGGTGTGTTGGTTACACTTGCCGATCGAGGCAGCGCGGGGCGGTCGAAATGTAGCGCTCGCAACGTCACTGGAGCCCAACCAGAGGGACGGAATGCCGAGTCCTGCCGGTCTTTCGCTCGCCTACCCAACTAACAACACGGCACGGAGAGGCGATGACTATATAGAAAAGTTGTTAGGAGTTTTGTTCAGAGGTGTGGAAGTGAATAATGACAATTCGGCATAAAAACCGTGGCGGCTGCGAAGCGCCATCACATCCACCATCGCCACCCATCAAAAACTGGAATATCGGAATGGACATTCATCTTATTCATACTCGTCGATTTTTGGCGGCTCGTCTAAGAACTGTCTACCGCATTCCCATCATCCCGATCGTTCCATGGCTCGTGTGGAAAAGTAACACCCTGGTATCCATGCCAAATAATGTCCATGCACATCATGTAAGATACTCGAGGCATCGATCACCGCCGCATCAGCCGCAGCATCTCCATCACTTCATGTACCCGTCGTAAGGGCAGCCATTGGGCTCATAATTCTACTTGGTGTCTTTTTGAACCTTGGCCACAACCTCCTCGACCTTGCTGAAGAGTGGGTGGTCCTCCTCCAGACCGGTGATGTCCTTGGTGGCTGCTTTGGCATCCTGCGACTTGAGCTTCTTCGCCAGCTCCGCCGACTCTTCGTCACCCTCGACGTTCTGGAAGCGCAGGGCCATCTCGATGCCGCCGAGCAGGTGGTCGATCTTGTCACCCTTCTCCGCAAGGTGGGCGGCGGGGGCGATGAAGCGCTCCTTACGCGAGAGCTTGCGGAGAGGAGCACGGCCGACACGCTCGACGTTGTCTTTGAGAACGGGGTTGGAGATACGCTTGACGATGGCCTGCACATACTCCTCCTGCTCCTTCTTGCTGATGTGGGAGTGCTTCTTGGTGATGAGGTGGGCCGTCTCCTTGAGCGTCTCCTGCACGATGTCGTGGAGCTCCTTGTCTTCGAGCACCTCGTGGATGAACTTCTTGCCGCGGTTGTAGCCGTAGTAGGCAGCAGTGGCGTGGCCGGTGTTGACGGTGAAGAGCTTGCGCTCGATGTATGGCTGCAGGTCGCCGACGAAGTGCACGCCCTTGATGTGAGGGGGGTCGTGCTCGAAGGGCTTCTCCTCGACGCACCACTCGTAGAACTTCTCGATCTTGACATTCATGCCCTGGCCCTCGTCTTGGATGGGCACAATACGGTCGATAGCCGAGTTGGCGAAGCGGGCCTTGGACTTGATGTTCTTCTTTGTCTCCTCCGACAGCTTCTCCTCGATGAAGCCACGCAGGGTGTCGGTGGCACCGATGGCGTTCTCGCAGGCAATGACGGCAATCGGCTTCTCCTCCTTGCGAGCCTCGATGCCCTTGGCGATGGGCTCGGCGATGAACTTGAGGATGTTGGGGCCGACGGCACAGGTAACGACGTCTGCAGTGGCAATCTCCTCGACGACCTTGGGCATCTCATGTTTGCTGTTGATGGCACGGAAGTTGTCGATGGTGAACTTGGTCTCGCCTTCCGGGCCAATCTCGGTGACCTCGTAGGAGGGGGTGTTCTGGAGGGTCTCGATGAGCTTGTCGACGACGTCAACGAAGACGACCTCGAAGCCGGAGTTGTGCAAGAATTCGGCAACGAAGCCACGACCGATGTTGCCACCGCCGAAGTGAATGGCCTTCTTTCCGGATTTGGGTGCCATTGTGGGTGTGAGTGAAGAGTATAGAGTTGGGTATTGGTCTATACGTGAGGGGGTTGATCAGTCTTGTGTTGAGTGGAAGGGAGACAAGAGGGTGAAGTGTGGGAGAGTGATTGCTGTGAAGTGAAAGAGTGAAAGAAAGTGAGAAGTGAGAGGACACTGACCTTGTTTGTGGAGTACCCTGAAAGGTAAAGTGACGTCGAAGCAAATGGGGCTCTGCTGGTCTGTTCTGTTGGGAAGAAGCTCGTTAGCCTCAACCTTGTCAGTGGCAATGGATGCCGTGGTGCAGCGTCTTACCTCTGTCGAGAAGGTGGAAGCAGTCTTGAACTGGGAGTGTAGGAAGGTGAGTGAAAGAAGAGAAGTGGTTGTCAAGAGTGGTTTGTTGAATGTGTGGAGGAGTGTGTGGAGAAAATTTGTAGAGGATCGCCACGAGCAAACACCGCAAGAAAGTGATGGAAAGCAGGAAGGTTTGAGAAGCAGCTCAGGGACGCTGGTGGGGTGGAGGGGCTCGATTGGGGTGGCCCGTGCGCTCGTGCCTCACACGTCACTCCAAAGCTTCAACGGCCCGAATGGCCGTCTGCCTCAGGCACCAACATGCACAGAGGAAGGAATACTCTATCTGTGGAAACATAGACATACCTCGCACTGCCAATGGTATATAAGCTCGATGTTGTCCATCCATGAGCCTCACTTTAGTCCAGTGAGCCAGCCTTGTGTGCTGGCTTCCTCAAACGTTGCACTCGCAGGCACAATCGACCAAGCACCAAAGACACAAAGGACGTAAGATAGATGAAACGTAGCGACAGTGAGTAACAACAAGTAGAACGATGACAATCTTGGTAAGGTTAAGTAGGACGATGACGGTCTTGGTCAGATTACGCGTGTGCACAACGTGTGTCAGAAACGCGCAAGCCGTACACGAAAAGGCTCTTCTCCAATCCACTATCAATGGAGAGGAAGCAGAGTGTTCCAGGACGAGACGTCCACACATCCGTGAGACCCCGGAGATGATCCATAAAGGCACACCCATCTACGATACAATATTTGTCCCAAACCCAACGCCTTTCTATACCATTGCCGCCCTGCAATCAAGCGCAAAGGTCTCGACAATCCCTGGTACCTCTTACGCGTGAATAGCTTGCTGTACGTGGGGGTAGACTGCCGTCATACGCTGTGCAACGAAATTGCAAGATTAGCCAATGTCTTTCGCCCACGACGCCGTTATTCACTTACCTGGTACAGTTCACGGTGCTCGTTCATCAAGACCTCAGGATCCCACGCCATGGCGACGAATAAGGTATCAATTCCAGCGGAGAGCGGCACGGTGAAGCAGTTCGCAACCTGCAAGCCTATGAGGAAGGCGTATGCTACCACGACTGGAGTGAAGTCGCCGTTGCGGTTGTAGGCCGGGTCGGTGAAGACGATGTAAACGTAGGCCATGAGGGCGCAGGCGTAGGCGACGAACATGGCGCCCATGGTGAAGACGGGGCCGATCAGGCATTCGTTGATGAGCGCGTCGATTCCGCGGTCTTTGATCATTTTCTGTACATGATGTCAACATCGTCGTAGCAAGCAGAGGAGACTCGTTTCTTACCCAGGTATCTTTGGCGGACTGGATGTATGACTTTCCGTACAGGGCGATCTGCGAGGTATTAGCCGCGGCTTCGCTTCGAAAAAGTGGATAGGGAAACCTGCCAAAGAGAAAGCGTATCTGTTGATGAACTGCACAGCCCAGTCCAGGATGCCAATGAAGCATTGAAGAATGCAAAAGCAGCAAGCCATGGCCATATTCCCCGAGTTGGCCTCAGACTGCTGCGCAATCGAGCAGATCTGTCGAAGCATGTTGATGATGGCAACAATGAGACTGCCGAAACTGATTGAGCCGAAGCTGTACGTCAAGGCGCGACGAGTGGCACCCCGAGTTGCTCCAGAAGGAGGGTTTCTGGGCGCGAAGAACCACGAGGCGTACACTCCGCTGCAGATCGTGTGGATGGTGTTCTTGAGCCATTCGGAGATCCAGTATGCCGCGAAGGTGAGGTAGACGATGAGCCCGATGACAATGCCCGAGCTGCAATTGCCGCCGGCGCTGCATGCGGGATTTGCGCCGGGTTCGTACTTTGCGTAGACGGCCACCAGCTGTTGATGAGTTAGCGACTGATGTATTATCCAACGCCTCCAGGCTCTTCCGGATAAACGAAGCACTTACGGTAACACTGAAATATGCCCCGAAAGCAACAGCAATGATGCCCCCAATGAACGAGACGAGATACGTATGTCCATACGTTTTCGACACATCAATTGCAGTCTGTAGCATCAGAACACTGAAAGGAATCCGGGGAATCCAGGTGTAGAAACAGAACGCAGCGAACACACCGAAGAGAAGGAAGACGATTCCTCCGCTATAGTATTTCCGGTAGAGCATGTAGATAGCGGTCGCCAGCATGAACACGATATGCAAGATGCCGGTAATCCAGATGAACTGCTTCGTGAACATGCGCGCGACCCAGACGTAGCCATAGCCGAGCACGAGCGCTACAGCGAGACAGAAGATGAAGAGGACAATGGTGTTGGTGTCGAGGCCGAAATTGTTGCTCCCTCCATATATCCCGCCGCCCTGGAAGCCATATGTCGCTGCGTAGCCCTGTAGAGCGATACCCGAGACGGCGACGAAGCCTGCGCAAACGGCGAGGAAGAGCAGGCCGGCCCAGATGTCGTTGTACTTGGGTTTCTCGACTTTGAAGGCTTGATTGTAGGTTGGCTTGGTTTCCGACTGGCTGTAGTTCTGGTTGTAGGTGGGCGGGGGAGGCATGTGCTGTGGTCCGTTGTATTGGCGATTTCCGTACGCTTGACCGTTGCCGTTGCCATTGTTGTTGTAGTATGGTTGCTGCATTTGATAGTCGTCCTTGCGCGAATTGGGATCATTGTAGTAATCCGCCGCCTCTCCTTGACCCGCCATTGCCGATTGTAAAGGCTGCGAAATCGCAGCGATGGAATAGGACTCGAGTGAATACAGGAGACGTTTAGCGCAGGTAGGTGGATGAAATTAAGAAGAAGGGAAGAGACAATGTTGATCCCAAGGCGAGATAAAGTTTGGAGGGCGCATCATTGGTAGACAATGGCGGCGCCCAGACCCAATTTCCTTAGCCTCGCTAGCGCCCAAGGCAGACTAGCTCGATCTGGGCTCCAGCGAAGGTTGGACTGGCGGCGCGGAAAGTTGGAGCTCCAGATCCGCAGCTGCATGCGTTCGCGAGCTGAACACAGCCGAGCCACACACCGACAACGCCAAGAGCTGTCTAATCTCGCGTTCCCCGAGTGCGATCGAACCCATCCAGGACACGACCACCTGCACCCTTGTCTGTATATCTAGGCTGACCGGCATTGCAGCAACTGACACCTGCGTCTGCTCGGAAATCTCGTCTGCTAGCTCCATGCAGGACGCGCCGCTTAAACCTTCGTCACGGCGATTTCAACCACGGACATGATTCAGGTCTCCGATACTCAAACCCCCCTCTAAATGGGATGGTGATCCAACACCGCCCGTAGCACAAACTTCACGAGCAGCAAGAACTCGGACCAGGACATGTTCGTACTCCCGAACACGTCGCAAGCAAAAAGCAAAGGCTGCGGTGCCGTGATCTGCCCACTTGCAAATAAGGCGGTGCACAGTCGAACAGAACGGGCCAAGTGCTCCTCATCTCTAGGTATCCCCAGGCCGTTGTAGATTGCTGCGATCATTATATCATTGCTCCGGATCCCTCATTTAGACCACTCTCGCATCGGCATCTTCGTCTCTCCCACCAAAATATTGCCGACCGCAAAAGCACAAGCACCAGACAACGAGGACGATGAAGACGTCGAGGACAAGCCCAAAGGCCGCGACCGTCGGCAGAAAAATCCCAGGAAATCCCAGGAGGATTTGGATGTTACGAAGGGCGCACAGCTACGGGCGGTGACCCCGAAGCAGGACCAACAGCCCAAAGCCCAGCGGGCGGTGTCGCCGCAACCAATCGTGGGTGAAAAGACCTTACCGAAAGTTTCTGAAGCAAAAGAAGACACAGCACCGTCGGCGGGATCTCCGCAGTAGGAGGCACTGGATGATGGCGTACGGGCGGCGGCGAAATCGCAGCAAGTTGACGACGAGGCCGAGGATGTCATGTCAATCGATGAGTCAGACAACGACGAGCCTGCGATTCTTCAGGCGCTCGACTGCCTAGACCAATACGCGGAGTTGGTAATGGCCACAATTCGCACCGAGCCAGGGAAGTCAGTCGACTCTGATGAAAGGTTACTGCATGAGCGTCATCGAGTTATCGGTGCAGAAGACGAAGCACTCACGGAATTGGAGAACTGGATCGGCAGCGCATGGCTCCGCGGTCGCAGCATGTACAGATTGGTGACGAGGGATTACGCAGAGGATGACAACACTATGTACTGGTAAGCGGCCACGAAGCTCGCTAACGACGTCGAGGGTGCTTTTCCAATGTCTTGCCCTTACTCGTTTGGTCAGTGAAAATGATTGCATCGTAGATGGGCGTGCCTCCCTGGATCATCTCCACGATATCGTGGATGGTAGTGCGTGCATCGCCCCCGAGGCCCTCCTCTCGAAGTCAACGATAGATCGGAGAGCAACCTTTTCGTGGAGTACTTGAGTTATTGACGTCGAAAATATATATGCATGAAGCCTAACAAATCTTCTTGTTCCCTCCTGTCCATGTTGCGAGGATGCCGCGTTGATCTCATCGATGCTCGTTCAACAGTAACCATGCCCGTTTCAATGCGCGCAAAAAGTGGTGGGACGTTCGCGTGACATCAAAATTTCGAAAGTCCGACCTCACACCACAGACGGCATGTCTACACGCGACGATGAGGACATGGTCTTACGACCTCCAGCCTCGGCGCTGAAGTTTGACCTCGTCACAAAATGCGCCGTGAGTGATTCCAAGAGTTACTGCGGGATAAACAACCAACTAAGCGCATTTCCCGCTCCAGACAACCAAAGCTCGCGCGGCCACGCTGCATCTCCCACATGGCCCCGTGCAGCTTCCCATGTTCATGCCTGTGGCCACCCAGGCGTCTCTCAAGGGCTTGACTCCTAAGCAGCTGGAGGATACGAGTTGTCGATTGTGCCTTAACAACACTTATCACTTGTGAGCCGTCGCCTGGCAAGTACTGTTTGAGGCCGATGCTGAGTTTCGACAGGGGGCTCAAGCCTGGGCAACAAACGCTTGATGCGATTGGCGGTGCTCATAAGCTGCAATCATGGCCTCATAATATCCTAACAGGTATGCAGACCAAAGCATCGATTGTCAACAACTAGCGCTAACTCCCTTGACATCAGACAGCGGAGGGTACGTCTCCCGCTCACAATCTACCTTACCCTTCCAAACTAACATCGCGTTCCCAGCTTTCAAATGGTCTCCCTCCTCAAACTCGCCCAAGTCACGGAAGAAGGCGTACGCTTCCTAAGCCCGCACGACGGCACGCCCATGCTCCTCACCCCAGAGCACTCCATCTCCCTCCAAAACTCCATCGGCTCCGACATCATCATGCAACTCGACGACGTAATAGCCACCACATCTCCCGACCACGCACGCATCAAAGAAGCAATGCACCGCTCCATCCGCTGGCTGGACCGGTGCATCGCCGCCCACCGTAACCCCAGCACCCAGAACCTCTTCTGCATCATCCAAGGCGGCCTAGACCTCGATCTCCGCGCCGAGTGCACGCAGCAAATGGTCGCGCGCGACACGCCCGGCATTGCCATCGGCGGTCTCAGCGGTGGCGAGGCGAAAGACCTGTACTGCAAGGTCGTGCACACTTGTACCAGTCTCTTACCCGATCTCAAACCCCGCTACGTCATGGGCGTCGGCTATCCCGAGGATATCCTCGTCTCTGTTGCGCTGGGGGCGGATATGTTCGACTGCGTGTGGCCTACTCGCACCGCACGGTTCGGCAATGCCATCACAGGCACAGGCACATTCAACTTACGGCACGCAGCCTACGCCAATGACTTTCGACCGGTGGAAGAAGGGTGCAACTGCACATGTTGTCGGCCAGAAAGCGAGGGCGGACTAGGCATCACGCGAGCGTACATTCACCACGTTGCGGCGAAGGAAACGGCCGGGGCCCATCTACTGAGTATGCACAATGTGCATCACTTGCTGGATCTGATGCGTGGAGCCCGAGAGGCGATTGTTGAGCAACGGTACCCGGCGTTTTTGGTGGACTATTTTCATGGCATGTACGCCGGAGACAAGGAGAGATACCCTGGGTGGGCGGTGGATGCACTGCGAGGCGTGGGCGTCGATCTTTTGGCCGATTGAGGCGTTAAGGCCGCTATAGCAGTGGAGTAATTGGCCATTTAGTTCACTGCACGTCGCACATGAAGTTGCCAAACCGGCATTTGCCCAAGGCGGAACGAAGTCGCATACCAATCCACCTTCACCTCCTTCGTCAAGAAAACCACAACTCGCAATCCAATTGGCCACAAAAAAAAGGACGCTAGCTGAAGTACGATTTCTTTCCAAACATACTGGCCGAAGATCGCACGCACACTGGCGAGTGCTAGACGGAGTTCTGGGGAATTGTTGGCCGGCGAGAAGTGCCATTGCGGCCTAAGGCTGCACTCCGCTGGAAGAGCCTGCCGCTTACATTCTCTCCACGTAGATCGCAAGATGCAACGGGTTCTGGAACGAGTCGAACATTTACTGCGAATGAGGTCATTCCTGATGGCTTTCGGGCTGTACCTGAGTACAAGATCACATTCAAGTTCGACGGCCTGGCTTTGCGCTGCCCTTTACGGTGCGACGAGGGAGAGGTGCGACCGACGCCCTGCGACCGACGCCCGAGCAATGCGCCAATCAATGCGGACCAGCTGGGCGTCATCAGCCTTGCCCGGAATTCCCGTACTTCCGCTGTGACATCGTCCTTCACGGACAATGACGAGGCTCCATGCCGATGTGCTGTTACCACGTGCCGATAGCATCCATGTCCCCGATATATAAAGCCCAAGAACCAGGCGTCATCTCAGAGAGAAAGAAAGTCCTTACGCATTATTTGCTCTCCGACTCACGAGACACAACACTTCCAGCACCAATCAACATCCACCTCCATCCACGCACACATCAATCAATCAACCAACCATGACCGCCCCAAACATCCTCATAATAGGCGGCGGCATAGGCGGCCTCTGCCTCGCCCACGGCCTCAAAAAACACCACATCCCCTTCCACGTCTACGAGCGCGACGGAACGCAAGACTACCGCGCCCAAGGCTACCGCATCCGCGTCGCGCGCGAAGCCGTCACCGCGCTCCGCTACCTCTTCTCCCCCGAGACTTGGCGCCTCTTCGAACTCACGTGCGCGGAGTCGGTGTTTTCCGACATTCCCGAGGTGGATGCTGGGACTGCAAAGGTGGATTTGCCTCGCGTTGCGAATGGGGAGAGTCCCGCTGCTGCTGGGGGGCGCAATGGTCCGTCGAGCGAGTTGAAGGGGTATACGGTTGATAGGACGATGTTTCGCCAGGTTCTGCTCAGGGGACTCGAGGAGCACATGACGTGGGGAAAGGCGTTGAAGGAGTACGCAATCACGGATGACGGCGTCGTTGCTCGATTCAGGGATGGGAGCTCTGCGGAAGGGTCTTTGCTGGTTGGCGCCGATGGTTCGCATTCTGCCGTTCGAAAGCAATTTTTGCCCGCGCATCCCATCTTGGACACAGGCGCTCGGTGCGTATACGGCAAGACGCTGTTGACGCCCGAGCTCTTGAAGACGCTGGAGCCGGCGATCACCAAAGGCGGAATGATGGTTGTCAAAGACCGCAGCCGCGATCCCGTGACTGCGATGATCCTGGAACCCGTCATCTTCACGCACAGAGAGGAGATGTTGGCCGAGGGAATCGAGGCTCCTCATGATTACTTGTACTGGGTCATGGGCGCGAAGCCGGAGGCGCTCGGCCTTCCTCACGAAGGAATGCCGACTTTGACTCCCGAGCAGTGCGAGAAGATCGCGCGAGGTGTCGCACAGAGCTGGCATCCACGCGTCCGTCCGGTCGTGGCTTGTCAGCAGCCGGGGCAAACAGCAGTACTCCAGATCAATTCTGTCCCCTCCGATTTTGGCACGTGGGAACCGAACGAGCGGGTAACATTGATCGGTGATTCGATTCACCTCATGGGGCCCACAGCTGGAAGTGGAGCAATCACCGCGATACGAGATGCAGAGTTGCTTTGCAGGCTGTTGGTGGAAGGAGGCCAAGGCAAAGCGATGATCGCCAAGTATGAGAGCGGCATGCGGGAGTACGCGAGCGAGGTTGTGCATCGCAGCTGGGCGGCGGCCGAGGTCATCTTCAATCAGAGGCAGGGCGAAGACAAGCACATCGGCGAGGTGATGATAGCCACTCGGAATGGCAAGATGAAGTGAAGGTGTCGGGCCGAAGTCAATAGACAATCATCTTGATAGATTCCCACCAATCCAGTCCCACCACTCTTTCACCTGTCCCGCCTCATCGCCCTCGCCTTTTAATCTCCCACCAACAACGGCGACATCGATTCCGTACTCCTCCATCTGCGCGAACGCAAACTCCTTGGCTCCAAACTCCCCAAGCCAGTTTCCCTCCTCTTCATCCCCATCGTCCTCTCCAGCACCACCCTGCATCCCAATCCCACTATCCAACAACCCCTTACTCTTCGTCAGCCTAACCTTCCCAACCTCCTCCTCCAGCCTACTCTTCACCAACCCAGCGGGCAAAGAAGTAAAGACATCTTGCTTATTCGCCGCAACCAACACCGGCACGGCGACCGTCCTCTTGCCCCGCACATACCTCTTCTGCAACACGAGCAGCACATCGTGCAGGAACTCCGCTGCTTCTGTCAGACCCTGTGCAGAACTGACGGCCGCGCTGTCGACGACGAATATAAGCCCTTTGAGAGCGGAGGGAGAAGTGAGCGAGGTGAGTGCATGGTGCCGCAGTTTGCCATGCCCGGGGGTGTCGAGGAGGACGAATTCCGAATTGCGTGGGGAAACTTCGCTTTCAAAATCGGAAGAATCGCTGGTGCTGGAGGGAAGGCGGCAGGTGGCCGTGTGCGGGAGTTGACTGGTGTGGGTGGTGGAGAGGGTGCCGTTGGTGAACTGCAGAAGTCGCGAGTCAGTAGATATAAGAGTAGGCGATGCATGAGTGGCTTCTTACAAGAGTGAAGAGACTCGTCTTGCCGCCTCCGCTTGGGCCGATGAGCAGGAAGGTAGGGACATCTGTCGAGTCGGACTGCCGGTGGAGGAGGTAGTGGAGGATGAGAGGGACAAGGAGGGTGATGAGCACGGTGACGACGATGACGGAGAGCGAGGGCGAGAAGGCCCATGTTGCCCAGTCCCGCAGGACGCTTTGCTGTTCCATGATTGCGTGGATTTGGATTCAAAGCATTGTCATGCGAGGGAGGATGCTGAGGTTTGAATTTACGTCAAGGCTCGCGAGTCGAGCTGGCGGAAGGGCCGCTTAGTCATGGCCGTCCGTCACTCAACTCCAGTCCCTGCTCACCGCCATCCCCATCGTCACTCTCAATGCCCAGCACGAAATCGAATGCAAGAAAAGGAAGAGGCTTCATTTGAAGAGGGTCAGATATCAAATTGACAAAGAAACGACTCTACACTATGAAACGAGCATCATCGCCCTCCACCTCCTCATCATTAACATCACCCCATCTGACCCTTCTTCTTTTCGATTCCCTCACTCCCGCCTATCGTACAGAGTCGTGTCGTCGTATCCTCATCATCGTAAGTCATGCTTCCCATAAGTCATACTTCCCATAAGTTCATATTCGTGATCGTCGTTAGAAGATGCTGTTGTTGCACTGAGATCCCAGATTGAAACCCCGTGAGGGCCCGCCTATGAGAAGAGATCCAACAAAAGAAGAACAAAAGAAAGAAGAGAAAACTCCGCGCTCTGCTCGCTCGCCGCGCTGTGATGTTCGGACCCGGGAAGGAGAAGATGCGAAAGACCAGGCCCGAAAGAAGAAGAAGAAGGAAACCCGAATGCAAACTCCATTCCAGTGCCATGGTGGATGCAAGGATGATGCTGCCGTGTATGATGTCCTTCTTTTGGTGTCCAGCCTGTCCGACACAGGAAAGCCAAGCCGACGAATGCAAACTCCGATGCCAGTGCCATGGTCGATGAGAGGGTCATGCAGCTGTGCACGACATCCTTCTTCGTTGTCCACCCTTCGGACAAAATCGCCATTCTGATGTCCAACCCCGATGCCGCAAAACTCCCGTGCCACACCCATACCCAAGCAAAATCGATGCCAATAGTCCCGAGGCTCAAAGGAACCCCGGATGAGGACCCGCAGAACCAGGCGGAAACCAACCACTGCTAGTGGTGAAGCCATCGAATTTGGAGGGCGGCCCGCTCGCCCCGGACTCCCACAACGGGGTGCCGATGACCGAGTCGGCGTGGTGGTCGAACTTGGCGGTGTTCTGGTAGTAGCGCGGCTCCGTCGCGTACCTCAACCCAGCCTCCACTTTGGGAATGGGGAGGAGGTGCGGGCCGCCGTACGCGCCGCTACTGGTAGTGCTGCTGCTGCGCTCGACGGCTTCGTTGGGGTAGTAGTGGTATTGCTGGTGGTCGGCACGTTCGATGTTGGCCATCGCGCGGTCGTCCATGGGGTGACCGTCGTCCAGCATGCCGCCCTCCACGCTCTCGGCTCGCTCGCTGCTGTCGTCCGACGGCGACATCTTGTACGCACGGCCGGTGTTGTGGTCAGCGGTGTGGCTGAGGCCGTAGCCTTGCTTGTAACCGCCCGCCATCGGGTACGTGGGGGGTCCAGCGGACTGGTACGACGCGCCGGGATGGTGGGTGTAGTGGGAGCCACCACGGCCTCCACCGCCGCCACCGCCACGCGGAGCAGCATTGCTCTGCCCGCCTTCGCATTGGTAGTGGCTGGGCGAACGGCCACGCACAACAACCTTGTCGCTCACGCGCTGTGCCACCTTGACCCACTCTGCCTCGTCGTCGCCCTCGGCGCGCACATCGGCAAAGACCTCGATCATGAGGTGGAAGTACTGCTGCGAAGCGCGACGCTTGCCGTTGTTCGCCGTCGCCTGCTTGAACTGCACCCGCTCAAAGGTGTGCGAGGTGTTGTAGCCGGCCGGGGTGGCGTGGGAGCCGCTGTGGTAGTTGTACGTGGTGGAAGTCGGGGCCGGTGCAACACCTCCCTCGGGAGTCGGGTCGGGCAGGTGTTGCAGCGCCATGAACGGGCCGTGAGGTCCACCTGGTCCAGCCGCGCTGTTGTGCTGAAAGGCGGTGGCGTACATGGCGCCCGAGCCGATGCCGTGATCCGAGCGAGCAGAAGGCTGAGCCGGGTACAACTTGACAATGTCGATCTTGGTCTTGGGTCCGTTGTCGCGTTTCGGCGTGTGTTGAACCAACTCGATGGCCTTACCACCCGAGCCGTCCACAGCCGCGGACATGCGCACCCCCATGGCCAGGATATTGTCCGACTTGCCGTTGCGGTTCAGCTGCAGCGGCACCCCGGCGATGTACGGCGCCATTTCGTACGAGCAGGTGACGGAGAAGTAGTTGCGGCGGTAGCACGTCCACTTGTTGTCCGACAGCGCGACGAAGAACCCCTTCTCCACCTTTGCTTTGACCTCCGGGGTCACGAGTTGCCCCTGGCATCTGATGTCGCCCAGGACCTCGAGGTTGGGCCATGGAAATTGCGACGCCGGAGTGTCATGTGCTGCGCCTCTGTGCGTGGTCGAAGGGGCGTGAGGCATGGCGGGGTAGTGCTGTGCGGGACTGGGTTGCGGAGCGAAGTGGACAGCGCGAGGCGTCGTGTCGAGGACGTGGCCGCACTGGTTTTGCTGGAGCTGAGACCGTAAGGTGTGCGTGGTGTACTGGGCACCCTGCTGGTCGCGATACCCGCCAGGCACGCCGTCTAACAGATGTGTTGGACGGAAGTTGGGATGAGGCTGCAGCGGCATGCCCGACGCAACACTGTCGGACCTGTTTGAGGAACGTGTCAGTGATCGGTCACTCGAAGCACATAGTCCGTCGTCTCACTGCGCCTTGAGACACCCGAGGGGGAAGTGCGACTTACTCTGAAGGGTGTCGAGAGGTAGCATATGAGCCCGTGTTGTGGATGTATGGCAGTGTTTCTGGAACGTTGAACGCCCCGAAACTGGAAAAGCGATTTTGCGAGGAATAGTTGCCGATGGAGGCCGTTGAAATACCTGGATTCGGGCCGGCAGAAGCGGAGAGATGCTCGGGATCGTCGAGGTGCTGGTGGGATCCATTCCTATGTGTTGGCAGTCATCAGCGCTTGTGCTTCCGGTGAGATGCAGCAAAGCTGCCCACTGGCTGGAGCGCATGAATGCCCAGACGTGCTACGTGGAACGAACGAAAATGAAGCTGCAGGAGCCGCAGAATCTCACGATGGTCTCACAGCGACAATGTGACGATAATGGCTGCGGTGTAACATGTGGTTGTCGGCGCACCAACCCGACGACAAGGAACAGCTTGCATGGGAGATGCACGCCACCGGGGGTCGACGAATGGAAAGAGACGAGAAATGAGTACGTACCTGGAACTGTGGTGGGATACACCGGGGTCCGCGAGGAAGCGCCCGGCTCCTGCCCCGGGAAAGGTGAAGGTCGGATCGCCAGGCTGATGCAACGAATTATCGCGCTGCAGCTCGAGTGGTGGAAAGACTGTGCGCGGCGTGTGACTGCCGCTGAAATGGTCGAGGCAGTCTTGTTCGGAGATGGTGTACTCGTGGGGGAGGGGAAGAGGTGGGAGAAGCGGTCCTGCATCGGCAAGTCAGCTCCGCTCGGCTTGTTCTTTGATCGACAATCTTGTTGGCGATGGGCGTTGTGCATGGAGGATGCAAGGAAACGTGATTCGCCCGGTGTTGCTCACGGCGCTCGTGTGACCGCGACAAGCTTTGGAGATTGCCGGGGCCAGGGACTGGGCGCGGGATCACAAGAGCACCAAGATTGGGCTGCTATGCGTGTCGGATGACAAGAGTTGCGGGAATTGGTCGGCAGATGGGAAGGGGGAGGGATGCAATTCGCGAGTGTGGCAAAGCAGGATGCAAGTCGTCGGGTTGGGAGGGCGATGCAGAAAGCTAGTAGCTTACCTTGGTCCATTGTGCTGTCGGAGCTGGCTGGGGTATTGTGCTGGGTACCTGATGTTTAAAACCGGTCAGCCTTGTCGACTCCCGATGCATCCTGCACTCGCGGTTCGCACTTACTTTTGCGGTTGTTGCCGGACGACTCTGACGAAGCGGTTGGAACGGAAGATTGGCTGATTCCAACAACACTGTCCAGCAAGGCTGCAATGAGATGTGTCAGGCGGCGTCGTTTGCTGTGACGGCTTGGCACCAACCAGGTGGGCTTAAGCTTTCAACTAAAGCCGGGCGGATCGACGGGTAAGGCGGGGAAGAGAAAGCGTGCCGCAAGAGTGGACGACGACGTGAATCTTTCGCTTTCTTCCTTCTGGCCGCCGGCACCGTTCGAAAGAGGTTTGACGTGCCGACGAGAACCGTCGCAAGGAAGAATGAAGGCTGTATGTCTTGTCAGCCATGCGTTTTGCGGCAAGGGATGTTTGACGTTTGCCGGGAGCTTGGACAATGCGACACGTTGGAAGACGACGATGGCATCCCGGCCCGCCCTCGCGTCGATTGCGATGTGATGCATCACAAGAGGGAATGGGAGGCATCGTCGTCGTCCAGAGCGTGTCAGCCGTGAAGCTGCAGAAGCCTCTTGCACCCTTTTTGCAGATGCAAGAGGTGTCCCGCTTCTTGTGCGACGATGATATTGTGAAAGCCTTTCGACTTACCGGCGGAATATGTCAAACAATGTGTGTCGACAGGCAAAGGATGGCACAGTGTCCTGCAAAGTGGATTAGCTGATGAAGGGAGCGGTGGCTGTCATGTTGTATTCACGGTGGACATTCACCGGTAGGTACAACAGTGATGGCCGCCGAGGAGTACAACGAAAACTGACCAAGGTACGAGTGACAGGCAGTGAGCAATGGTTGACAGCTGCAGAGAACCTCTCTACCACTGTCGCAGAGTGGTGTGTGGAAGCAAGAAGAAAGACGCGAGAGAGGATGGACTCTTATAACCTTTGCAGAGGTTGGTCCCCGTCAACGCTGCCGCTGCGAGCTGCCAGGTGTGGGTATGGGGTCAGGTCCACCCTCGATGGCAATCGTTTCATTTCCCTCTGGGGCTCGAGGTTTGAGCGGGATCCTCGCCGCTGCCCAACTCCCAAACACGACCCGAAGTGCCGGACCACGCCAGCCTTCGACGGGGAATATCGATGCTGATGAAGCTTGGGCCCTGGCACCCGGCTGCCTGCATGCTCATTTCCAGGCAGGCCAGGGAGTGGCGAGAATTGGTTCTGGACTATGCATGCCTTGCAGCGGCAGGCATTACCGCCTGCCACAACCCATCCGTCAATACTTGACAGCCCCAGGTCTTTGTTCACGCTCGCCAGCAACTACCAGTCTCTCTTTCTGCTTTGCCTCCTTCCAGCCGGCCAGCTCTGACGACAGGGAATAGGACTCGCTCCGGGCAAGCTAGAGCCTTCGCTCGCAGCCTGATTGCGGGATGTAGAGCACTGATACCTGCGCCAAGGTCGGTAGCTTGGGCGGACAGCGGCAGCACCCTGTCCGTTTGCGCCATACGACCGTTGCCGTGTGCGTTCGAATACATGATGGTTATTAGAGTTTGGCCCATCTTAATTCGGGGCGAAAGCGATCTTCGACGCATCACAAAGACTCGGTAGTCCCATCTGGCCACTCGTATCATTGACGAGAGCAGATACGTCCCGCGCTTGATTGGTTTCGAGACGTGTGGATCTTACGCAATCGTAATCGACTTGCATACATGGCGTGGATCGCACGACGGGTTCACGCGAGATACCTCAGGAAAGTCTCTTTCGACGACTCGGGGGCCATCTTTCAGAGGCTAGTTCGGCGTGGAGAGGCCAGTCGATTCTGTCGACTCTGGTCAGCATCGGGCGAGTTCTCGTGCTCCCTTGCTTAGCTCGCTTTCCAAGCCTTCAAACGCTCAGGAGATGCATCCGAATTCCCGTGGGGAGTGGAGCAGGCTGGCGGGGGAGAACCAAGCAGGTGACGGCGCCTCTTGCAACGCCTTCCCCCATTGCAGTAGGCCGTCGGTATGTTGAGCCAAGCATTTGCCTTTCCCCTCCCCCATGGGCAAGGCATTCCAACGCAGCCGGGCGAGTGTGGGGACCTGCAGATCATCCACCAGCACCTCAACCAGAATCTGCGGCAGCTTGCGCACGCTCTTGACTCGCGGTCTACGTCAGTCTCCATCTTTCTATCCAAGCAGGACCAGTCGTGGGCAGATGAAGTGGCTCCGTTCTCGCGGCCACCTCCATCAAATCAGCCGGGGGGAGCACAAACAAAGAAACGATCATGATACTCGAGACCGACCCCGGACGCGCCATTGTTAGCGCGCAGACGCCACGCGCATCTGGCGTGCCCCACCGACTCCACCCCTCCAAACTTGGCCGACATGTCTCAGGTCCATTTTCTGGAAGACGGCGGCCGGCATTCGGGTGGCTGCTTGCAAAGTACCCCCTACAAGGTAGCGGTGTTGACGTTGCCAGCGACTACACCGCCTCTTCGCCCTGCGCCTCTCCCCATTCAGTGTCGAGACTCGATCATTCTGACGATGCTTTCCCTCGACACGAGAATGTGCACCCGGGCTTCCTCGAGCAAGTCTGCTGCGTGGAGACGAATGCAATCTCGTGGACGATGCTGGTAGGCTGCTTCTCCGCCTTGTGACCGACTCTATCGAGTATTCTTGCCGCTTTTTCGCGATGCAACGCGGTGCTCTTTCCCCTTCATGGCATCGCTTCAAACTCCACCCCCGAAGTCATCACGATAGTATTGACAGCCTTGCAGGGATGCCGCTTGTCACCATCCTCCGTGACCACACCCGCCGATCCTGTGCGTCCTGCCAAATTGCGAGAACGAATCTCGACCGGCTCTAGCCTCGCCCAACGATCATTGTACCCCCCGACGTGTCCCCGCCCCCAGCAGTAAGCACCACCAAGAACAGGCGCGGCTGCAGTGCATGAGCTGCGAGCGACGCCCTAAATCTCCGAAGAGCTGCAGGAGGTAGTCAGTTTCAACGCCGCAGGGTCGAAGGCGAGCGGGCCCGATACACGACATTGAGGAGGGCGGGCATGTCACCGCATCTCACCGCGCCTCGTCTGCTGTCATGTTCGTAGGACGAGAAAGGGGGGAGCATCGACTGGGCGAGAATGAACCGGCTTGAACCATCAACGCTCGAGGACTCCACCACGACATGCACCTCCGACCCTCCCCGAAACTACACCTTCACGACCCCCGACGGACCCATCCCGCGCTCGAGCACGCCGCAAATTGCGCTTTGTGAACCCAACAAGCCGCCGACCCCCCTTAGCGCCGCGAAGCTCTCACGCCCAACCTATCAACGCACCCTCTTCCGCGCTCGTCCTATCAAAGCCATCTGCATCGCAGAGCTGGAATCTTTCAACTACCACAAGTTCACGTGACGAGACGTCGTCTGTGAGCGTCCGCTCTCGCCTTTCACGAGATCTGCTCGCCATGCAACTCTCAAGCGACCAGCGCGAGATGGCGGTAACACGATAGTGCGACACGGCACACGAGGACAAATTTCATCTGCAGCTAGCCTCGAGCTCCGGAGCGGAGCGGGCGCCGGGCGGAATCCGTCTCTGCAGGCCTGCAGACCAGCAAGCAGGTTATCGGCAGCAACCGCGACGACATCGCTAAACGGCAGCCCTCCTGCCGTGCTCGATCTGCAAATAATCGGCGCATCAACCACAGCAGGAGGAGTTGCTGCTGTGTCTCTCAGCCTTGGCAAGGCTGCCGTGCAGCGGGGGCAAGGAGGGAGCTCAACGATCGCGGAAAGCGGCGCATCGGCCTCGAAGCCGCGAGGCTGCGCTGTCCGCCTCACCGACCAATCACCGCGCTAATCCCAAGCAAGCGCCTTGCGGCCAGAACTTGATGAGGGCGAGCACTACAGCCCACTGCCCATTGGCTCGAACCGCGCCGCCCCTCTGCTTGCTCTTTGGCCGAGCACCCGCATGATCGGCCACCAGCGTGCCGCTTTCACCGGGATTGCCTTAGCTCTGACGACTCTCCTCCCTGGCCGACCCATACTTTGCTCACGATAATCTCCGTCTCAACCAACACGACGGTGCATACGACGGCGCCGCGGCGAACGATGCTCATGCGTTGACGCCCGACGCTCGAGGCGAGCACAAAGAAGCCCCCTGAAAGCCAAAAGTCAACAAGTCACGTAGGTTTCGGAAGGTTCGCATGAAAAGCACTATGTACCTAGCGGGCAGCGGAGTCCCTGTCAAAGCAAACAAACAAGCAAGCAAGCAAAACTCACGATGCAATTTCGACCCAGAACGAGCAAAAAGTTCCCTGCCTGCCCTCTTCACTCACGACTCCCACCCGACCCAGTCCCTCCCAATCACCCGCCAAACCCTCACCTCGCCACTCCTCAGATCCCCCAGCCGGAACTTCTCGCTCCTCACGCCCCCCTTTCGCTCTCTCCCTTGCTCCCAAGCCCTCACTGACCGCCTCGTGCCATCCCACTCCTCCACAACCGCGACGTGGTTGAGTCCGTAATCGCTGCGGTACTTCGTCTTCAGACTCCCCGAGTGCCCCTCAAATTTCGCGTTGCGGAGGGTGATGATGTCTCCGCGCCGGATCTCGTCGTACTGCATCGTCGACGCGTTGGCCAGGTTGGCGTACACCAGGGCGCCGTAGGCGCGCGTGCCCACGGGCAAAAGAGCATTGGGTTGGGCTTTGATGAGTTCCAGCGGGAGGCTCCAGGGTGACGTCGGGTCGCCGATCGTCGCGTCTTTCTTGCTGTGCCCGAGGGCGCCCGCGGCTTCTGCAATCTTGGTGCCGAAGCGCTGCCATGCTGCTTCCAGCTGGTCCTGTCGGAGGCGCGCAGGCGGGGGCTCATGGCGCTGCTCGAATTGCACGTCTGACGGGTCGGAGGAGTCGTAGCGCGCCGACACGATGGTTTGGCTGTAGTCCATATAGAGGATGTAGATGTCCTTGCTGATTTCCTTCTTGCCGCCGCGCTTCGATTTGGACGTTTCTTCGCATTCCGACAGGATGTCCACGCCGTTGCGGTCTTGTAGGGAGGTTGGGAGCGGCTGTGCTGCCGTCCACCACGGTGTGTCGGTGCTGAGGTTGATGTCGCTGGCCATCTGGCCGTGCTCGCCGCTTGGTCGCGCCTGCTCAGTGGATCGTCTGATAGTAGTCGCGCCTCTCTGAAGATCGCTCGATGCACGTGCAGGCGCTTGTGGTGATGCGAGGGCTTGTGCCATCGCGCCGCCCGGCGCACGTTCGGTAGATCTGCGAGATGGAGGTGACGGTGCAAACGCCTCTGGTGGAGAGCTCTCTGTTGGCTCTGGTGGAAGTGCACGCTGGGGAGGCAAAGGTGGCGCTGCACCAGGAGCGGGACTTCGCGGCGGCGGAGGCACAGCGCGAGTGCTGTCCTCATGTCGATAGGGATCGTACTCATCGTCTGGCTCCTCATCCCTGGGCGGAGGGACCGGCGGCGGCGGACGATCCATTGACGGTCTCGGTTTTGGAACGGCTTGTGATGGGGGAGGAGGTGGAGGTACAGCTCTGGGAGCCGACGTAGGGGGAAGCTGCGGCGGAGCAGAGCCGAGCGGCGACTCGGTCCCGAATGTGTTGTCCGTCAGACTCGCCTCGCGGACATGCGGAGCTTTCAGCGCATCTCGATGTTTGGCGCTCGATGCAATGTCGGTATCGTAATCACCGTCGTAGTCAGACCCCACCGGCTCATCCTGATCGAGCTCATGGGTTGTCGGCTGGCGGCTTGGAGGTGCCTGTGTCGGGGGCGGTGGTGGAGGGGGTCGCAGAGATCCGGCTCCTTCGCCGCCCGGAACCGGTGGCGCAGCTCGACTCGACCTCTTCTCTGCTGCTACTATGGAACCTAGATCGTCGCTTGGGACCTCTCTCGTACCCGGGACTGGAGGAGCTCCGGGACGAGCTGGAGGCGGTGGTGGTGCAAAGGAAGACGACTCAGCGGATGGGCTCTTAGGATATGCCGACATCTCGTCATCCGACTCTGAGCCGGGACCTGGGGACGTCACAGGCTGCGGTGGAGGTGGCGGCAGGGGACGTGATTCGGGAGCAGATGGACGCGTGTTGCTGGGCACTGGAGGTGGAGCACCACGCTCTTGTGAGGGAGGTGCTGGCGGTCGAGAATCTGTCTGATGATCAGCGCTTGAAGAGACGGGCGTTTGAGCATCAACGACTCTACCTTTTGGTACCGGCGGAGGTGCATTTCTGCCTGAAGTAGGCACACGCTTGGGCGGAGGTGGTGCTTGTGCGGGTGGTGTCTCATCTTCCTCTGATTCTTCAGCTGGAGCCGCTCGTTCAGCTTGCTCAGGAGCAGGAGGCTTTGGTGCAGATGACATGCCTGGTACCGCGACCATTTGCGGTATCACTTGGGCGTCCGCGCCTTCTTCAGGCTCTCTCTCACGCGCCGGCTGCTTCTTCCGCAGTGGTGCAGGTGGCGGAGCGCCGAAGGGATTGAAAGGCGCACCCATACCAGGCATACCGCCTCCAAGCCTGGCCATGCGAGCTCGGAGCTCTTCCTTCCTCCTCGTCTCCTCGTCCACTTCATCCTCTTCCTCATCTTCTTCTTCATCCTCCTCTGCACCCTCCTCATGGCCGCCTTCGAGTGGTGCATCTCGCTCGACCGGCCGCGGGGTTTCTGCAGGCCGTTCGTCACTGTCTGGTCCCAGAGTGCCCGTGTCGTCTTCCTCGGTCAGTTCTCCGGCACCGCTCTGATCCGCCTCATGTCCATCGCTAACCAATTCGTGCTCCGGCATGGTCGGGCCGGGCGACATAGGCTCGGGAGGACGACGCTGTGAGGATGGCACGCGAGGCATCTCTCGGGATAGATCAGAGGACTCCCTCTCAGTGTCACCATTGCGCGCACGCTCCAGATCCTCCACTTCTCCCTCAGCTGGGGCAGCCACATCGGAAGATTCCGATGCTTTCTTCTGAGGCGGTTTCTTCTTGCTCGCAACGTCTGCTCTTCTCGCCGCCTGCTCCTGCTGCTGCTTCTGCAACATCGCCATTCTTTCCTTCAGTGTCAACGGTTTCGGCGCATCTTCATCTTCCTCGCCTTGAGCCGCAGTCGCAGGCTCGTGAGTCAACCCTGCTGCCTCCGCGGCAGCACGATCCTCTTCCTCTCTTTCTTTGATCTCGGGATCCTCCTCCCGTACGTATGGTCTATGTACGGGCTCCACTTTCGTTGCGGGCGGGACGTATGCGTTCTTGCTCGGCGGGGGAGCAACGAAAGGCTTCTTGATGAAGTTGCTGGGCTGCTGCCTGCCGGGTTGGACGGGAGCGATGGGCGCGGCGGCGGGCTGGTTGAAAGCTGCAATTCGGTCTTTGAAGGCGTTGGATTTGACTGCAACTGGCGGAGGCGCTTTTTTGCTAGAAGTGGGAGTGGGAGTGGGCTCGGCTGGTTCGGCTGGCGTGGGTTTCGGAGCTGGTGGGGGGGATTGCTTCACCTCCTCTTCCTTCGCGCTCACAGGGGGTGGGGCGGATTGAGTTGGTTGGGACGTGATCGCAGCAGGGATCTCACGTGTCTCTTCCTCTTTCTCCGGCTCTCTCGTGCTGGTGGGAGAGGCGGGCTGAACCTCCTGCTTCGCCCGGCCACCAGGCCGAGAGGGGCGCACCGGCACCTCAGGCTCGTACTTCTCGACGAAATTGGAGGGGAACAGCCCATCATGCTTGTCGCCCGTTACGTCTGTATACTCTCCGACGTACCAATCGTCGCCTTCGAGCTCGGTGACAGTGATGACCTGGCCGACGGGAAAGGTGAGATCGTCGCCATGCTCGCTGGTGTATTCGTAGACCGCCTTGACTTTGAACGGAGGGGCAGCCATGTCTGCGGGCGCCTGATTGTGCAGCACACAGGGCACGGGAGAGGTTGCGTGCTTGCGTGGCTTGAGGTCGCTGACGGCCGGCGGTGGTGGAGGGAAGGCAGAAGCCGGGATGTAGCCGGAGGGGACGGCCGGCGCGCTTCAGCTGCTGCCTGCTCCAAGATACGATGCGTCTTGCTATAGCCAAACACGAGTGCGTGGAAAGCGACGATCCATTCAGCGAACAAGGTGGGGGTGGGGTGGTGGGAGGAGGTGATGCGGTGGAAGTCGTCAGCCATCGGGCCCAGCTGGCTCCAAATCTCCGCCACACATGACGTTCACGTGCGGCGCCATTGGCCGAAGTTTATTTGAACCTCCAGCCCTGCAGCTTCCATCCACCGACGGCCATTTCGACACCGTCTTCTTCCCACAACATGGCCGGCACAATATCAGCAAAGGGGATCCTGAAACAACCATCAACACAGAGCACTCCATCCATCTCGGACGAGCAAAAAGCAAAAGCCGACCGAGACAGACGAAACCTAGGCATCGCCCTCTTCCACGCCAACAAGATCCGGGCCCAAAAGGATGTAGAAGCGACAATTCTAACCAATATCGAGACACTACTCGAATACCCGCCGCAGACACCTTTCACATCAGCCCAGGCGTCCACTTTCGTCCAGCTACTCGCTCCCTTCCAACCCTCCGACTTCGACAGCTTGGTTGAGGAACGGACGCTCGATGGCAAATGCGGCTATGCTCTGTGCTCCAACGCCCCGCGCTCCAAAAGCATGGGCAGCAATGCGGCGTGGAGATTGAAAGGCCATGGAGCACAAGATTACTGCAGTAACGAGTGCCTTCGCAAAGCGCTGCATGTGAAGATGCAGCTGAGTGAAGTGCCTGCTTGGGATCGGGAGCTCGGACGGGATCCTGACATTGTGTTACCAGAAACCGATAGACCGCCGACGACTCATGCTACTTCTGAAAGCCGGCAGCGGTGGCATCAGTCATCGGTGAACGATGATGAGCTGGCGTCGGAACGAGGCGAGAAGGCGAGAGGCTTCAGACCCACTCAGGTCATGGCTGACACTATTGTGGAGAAGAAGACGACTTCACCAAAGCCTTCGGAGCCTATCTCGCCCGCGCTTGCAACACCGCATGACTCTATCGAAGGCTACATACCCGTCCAAGCCACTAAGAAGGTGCAACCGACTGAGCGTCGCACCACCTTTGCCAGCGATGTGGTCGTGCCGAGACCCAATATCCCAGAGACTGACGAAGAGGCATCATGGAAGGCGCTCTTCGAGAACATGTCTATACGTTGAGACAGCACTACCCTTTGAGGACAGATATTCCACAGTTACAACCAGTCATTCCAGCTCGTGATGAGCATGGCGATCTACCGGGAGATACCTGCTGCCTAATAAGCCAGCGGGTGAATACTATCTCAAAAACTGAAAGAGCCGACCAATGCGGCTAATTTCATGACCACCAATATCCATCAGCGCTCTGTATGACCGAAACGCCTCGCCATGATGAAACCCAAGCCCACTCTATCACGCGCGATAAATGGCATCGGCCATCTTCACCACCGCACTCATTTCCCCCGCATCATGAACCCGAACAATATGCGCGCCGCCTTGAATCGCCGCAGTGACCGTAGCCGCGGTGCCCAGCGCTCTATCCTTCGGATCCTCCACCCCAGTCACCTTCCCGATAAAACTCTTGCGACTACTGCCGGCCAACCAGGCGTATGCTTTCGATGACCCGCCGGAAGTCAACGTGCGAAACTTCCTCAAAAGCTCCACATTTTGCTCGACGGTCTTGGAGAAGCCAATGCCGGGATCAAGGATGATGCGCCATCGTCGAATGCCCGCGAGCATCGCCTCCTCGATCCTTTCCTGCAGCTCTCCCTTGACTGTCTCGATAAGTCCTTGAGGATAGGAGCAGTTCTCCTCGCTCATCATCGTCGCCGGCGTACCGCGCATGTGCATCAGGACGTACGTACATCCGAGACGTGCAACGGTGGCGAACATGTCTGGATCGAGGGTACCGCCGGAGATGTCGTTGACAATGTGCGCGCCCGCTTTCACCGCGGCCTCGGCGACCGCAGCGCGATATGTGTCCACCGAGATGGAGACTTTAGCAGCCTCGGGTAAAGCCTTGATGGCCTCGATTGCAGGCAGCACTCTCGCAATCTCCTCTTCAGCGGTAACGTCCGGGGCGTTCGGTCGAGAAGACTGTCCGCCAACGTCGATTATGCTTGCTCCCGCCGCAATCTGCGCCTTCACCAACGTCCGGAATGTCTCCAAATTATTTGGTTTGTAATGTCCTCCATCAGAGAAGGAATCTGGTGTGACGTTCACGATGGACATGATGCGCGTCGGGAAGCGGGGGTCACGACTGCGGATGTCATCGCCCTCATGCCCGAGATTTGTGAGCGCAAACATTGCCTGAGGAGGATTCTTTGCAACAAGGTTGTGGAGTGCCCGAAGTGTGGACACCCTCACTCCCGGCACTCCTCGCATCTTGGCTGTTACGATGCTATGTGATGGTCAGTGATACTGCGTCCTGTAGAGTAATGGAAGTACTTACTCGCACAATGGACGGAGCACGAACTCCCTTTCGAGCATCAAGGCATGCGGAATCGTCAGCCGTTCCGTCTTCATCTGCTCGTTCCTGAACATCAATATGTCCAGGTCGATATTCCGCGGACCCTTGTCGATCATCTTCTCTCTCCCCAAGGTCTTCTCAATCCCTTGCAGTCTGTCCAGCAGCGACATCGGGTCCAGAGTAGTCGTGATCTGCCCATGTCAGTTGACCAACAGGGTTGAACAGCGTGGGCGGCACAATGCATACCTCGCAGGCTCCATTCAAGAAACGACCCTGGTCTTCCACGTACATCGGCGCGGTCTCGTACAATGGGCTCGTTCGAAGGATGCGCATGTCCGCATCCGCATCGATAAGGCGGCAGGCATTCTCGATGTTCTGAAGCCGATCACCGACGTTGCTGCCGAGGGCGATATATACCCTACCAAACGTTGTTGAGTCCTCGTCCTCTGGGTTTGGCTGTGAAGCGTCGTGTGTTGACATCTCAGCGACATCATCTGCCTCTGGCCCGTCCTGCGATGATTTGTTTGGGAATCTGATTCCAGATGACAATATGTCTACGCCCGCAGTGCTAGCCATGCCGGAGCCCTCTTCGAGCTCGGCATTGTTAGTAGCGTCCAGACGTTCCGCGGTCTTTTTCGGTAGGTTTGGCTCTGGGTCTGCCACCCAACTTTCCGTCTTTCTGGTCTCCCTGACCGCAAGGATATCGAATGAATCATCGCTCTCCCCCGTCTTAAAGAACGTCTGCACACTCACTCGCTGGAGAACAAGATCCGGATCTGGGAAGCGCAAGGTCTGCAACAGACCTTCCGCAAGAGTCTGAGGTACCTCTTGCGGAGCCGAAAATCGGATCTTGTCGCATATCCTGTGCAGCACCGAGTGTGTGATATCGGTCAAGATCCTCGTTTGCTCTGGAGCTGACAGATAGTGCGGATCCACATTGCTGTGGACTGAACTTGCATTCGGCTGACAAACGGCTCCGAGATTAACCAAGCATCTTGTCATCGTATATGAGCCGAGAGACGATTCCTTGAGCAAGATTTTGATGTCTCTGAAAGCAGGTAGGATAAGACTCAGTTCATGTTTGCCAGGGCCGAAATTAATTCGCATTGTCGTTGCTGAGACAGTGTTTAGAGATGGTGCGGATGAGGGCGGGAGGTAGAAAAGGTCAGAATACAGAATGCCCTCCGCATGCGGGTACGCTTGAGGAAGCATGCTCGCTGCAGCTGCGTAGCGCGCCAATCCATTCGCTGTTTGAGTTTTGCAGAATCTGGAGAACTCCGGGATTATGTTTGCCAGCTTAGTGTCTGCAGTCCGATAAAACATGGTGGCTCGGAATCTCGCAGGTTCGCTTTTCATACGTACGAGGCAGTCGCTGCTAGATTAGTACGTGTGTTCGGGGACAGCGGCTCCGGAAACGTACACAGGACGGAACTGATGTTGTCCCACGCTCCAAGCCGATTTCTCACGGCAGCTTGAGGTTTCGCCATTTACTCGTGCTTGTGGATGTGACCGCCCAGTATTCGTTGGAAGTGATACTTCTGAAGGTCTGCCCCTGGGTAATTTTGTCCGCCGAAGAGTAGATGTCCTACGCCGATGAGAATCATGCCACAGATAATCAAGGAAAGGCACTCACAAAATAGGGCGGCGGCTCATTGGTTTGTGTTGCCGAATCGACGCAATGAAGGTTCGCCGAAATGGCAATTGCAGCGGTGTGGCACATTGTAGGATCGACCGTCTTCCCGAAGAACGAGCGCCATGGAAGCCCCAGCCCCAGCCCAAGCTGCTGCTCGGGGAAGCAGTTGTAGAGGGCAAGCTGAGGCGCATAGGCGCATTTCTTAGTCTCATGATAGCCTTAGGTAACAAACCGCAGACAGTCTCCCGAGAGATTCGCGCACGCACGCTGATAGAGCCCCCTCAGAGCGCTCTTTGCTCCTCCAAAACATAGTAAGATTGAGGGTAGTAAGGTCGAACAGGGCTGTGGACGAAACCACCCAACGAACTCCGGAAAATGGGGCGAAATCACACAAGCGTGTGAAAATCGAGTCGGTTAACAATTCCCCGCACCGGTATCGCTCCAGGCCGTCACCAGTCGTGTAGGGGTGTCAATATCTTGAAGGAGGCATTAGGCATTGAAGACGAGTACAGTCAGGTTGAAGTCTGACAACCATTAGCGTCGGCCAGGCCCGTCCGGTCCGCTAGCGTGGCGCCTCCACATCACATCAATCTGTGCCGTTTCAAACTAACCTCATTCCAATCTCCAAAGTTCCCATCCTCTTCAAAGAGTGGCAATGTCTCTCTGGCAGTACGTCTCACAATTCCCATTGACATGATCAGTACTGAGCGTCGCAGATCTTACCGGAACCTTTCGCCGCGCACACGCCTAATGCTTGGCGGAGGCGTGATGGCGTACGCGGTGTTTGGCCTTTTCATCTCCGACAAAGCCGAAGAAGCGTTTGGCTTGACCCCAACGGAGGAAGACAAGAAAAGGCTTCGAGAGGCTGTGCCGAAGATTCACATCATTGAGAAGGAGAGCAAGTGACTTATGGCATTTCGACTACGACTGTAACGGCGGGGAATCTGGGTTCTTACCGATGCGACCCTGCTACGGCTCCGGCACCTGGTCGACCAAGCCAAATGCACCTAGTTCACGGGCCACTGGAACTATAAAGCACTAAGGCAGACACGAAACTCAATTGCGTCGATCGAGAACGGCATGAGACGAATCGAACGCCGTTCGTTCCCTTTCTGACGAGCTGTGTGCTATCGATGCCACCTAAGACGACTGCACAGTCGGAACGAGAATTCCAAAGGCGACTTTGTCCAGACGATACTCGGCGTACATTGGCGACCAACTTTGCGCGAGACGGCGAAGGCTAGACTATGCAGCCGGTGATACGTTGACTGATCGTCTGGTTCCCCCGCAGCAGCGCAAAATCTTGTCAAAGGTGCGGTGCCTTGCCGAGCTGGCGGGGGCTGAGTGTTGCGCACGGTCGGAGAGGTAGCGTTGAGTTCTTGTCCAAATCAAACCCCCCCAGGGCCTCTCAATGCACCTCGAACATATCCGTCCGATCCTCTACTGTCTTGAGCAGAGGGGCAAGCTTATTTGCATCGCGAAACGCTTCCGTGACGTTCTCGCCCATGCCCGTCAGCTTCTCTCGCACCGCATCATACGTCTCCTCCTTGGCCGTATACTGTCGGATGACCTTGTTCGACCCATGTTCGATGTAGACTCGCGTGTCTCGGATTCGGATGACGACTCCGTCGAGTCGCAAGAAGAATCGGCTCAGCAAAAGCAGCCGCTCCGGCATGACGCGGATCTTGATGGCGAACAGAGTAATCCCATTGTCCGCCATCTCGTCTTCGTACAAGTCGACGTTATCGAAGAAGAGGATGGGATCCGGCCTGCTCAACAAATCCGTCCGAACCGGGTTCTTCCCTTGATCCGTCTCCGCCCACTCGCCTTCCGCACCACCTTTTGTCGTCGTTCCCACATAATCGGTGCTGTAGCTCCAATCGAACGGCTTCACAACCTGCTTGACCTCCTCCTGATGACTCCGCTCCCGCTTCCACTCCTCGGCAACAGCAACTTGCAACATCCCCTCCTCCGTCTTTCCCACGCGGTCCAGCGCATCGCGCGCATTGAAGTCCAGCGTCCATCCAGTAGGAATATGCGTGATGGCGATGTAATTATCCCCGAAAATCATCTCTGGAATCGGGATCCCGATTTCCTTGCCCAGCTCTTCAATCGGCTCGGCTTTGAGGATGGGAAGCTTGCGCGTCGTCACTTTCCACACGCCATTTCTGGATGTGCAGCTTTGCATGCCGCTGCCGGGGTGGTCTGAGATGTTTGTGCCCATCTCGTTGGCGAGCGGTGCCGGATGGCGTTCATGCGACGGAGTGAAGTGGTGCAGAGCTGGCGGCAGATGCTAGGCTTGGCGTAAGTCGGAAGTGGAAAGTGTGAACGCCGGTCGCGTCGCCATGGCAACGCGTATTTATCTGGCGAGCTTCGTCGAAGCTGCGATGCACACCTCATCGACGACACTCGTCTTTCCAAGATTCCGTTGTCGTGCGCAGGAAACGGCATTCGTCTAAATCGTATCCACTCTCATTCCTACGATAGCGCAGACGTTGACAATGGCCGACATCCAAGCCCTTGAGCAGCGGCTCGAAGGCATTTCCGTTCAGGATGAGAATCAGGATGCGAATGCCCATGGGGCGGCGCACAAATCAAAGGTGAGGAAAAGCGACGACAAACCAGACGATCATGGCAATTGCTAATGTCGCGAAGGGCTCGCTCTCACACGCCATCTCCTTATCCAACCTGGGCTCTCAAGCAGCTCAGAACCGAATGAAACTGCCTCTCCAGAAGATCCCCACGAACGCGCAAAGCAAGACGCTCCAAGCGACATCTCAAACGACCTCTACGACCACGACCATCACGAAAATCACTCTACCCTCGCAAGCAGCCCAACATCAACAACGCCACAGCGCCGAAAGCCGCGACTCGGAAGCCGAGCCCATCACCCTCCTCCTCCCCGCCGACACCAAACTCCTCAAACCCAAAAACTTCCACCTAGGCATGTTTGAGATCGGCAAGCCGCTCGGCAAAGGCAAGTTCGGGCGTGTGTACCTCGCGCGCGACCGCTCGACAGGCTTCGTGTGCGCCCTCAAAGTGCTGCACAAATCCGAACTGCAGCAAAACAAAGTGGAAAAGCAGGTGCGGCGCGAAATCGAAATCCAATCCAACCTCGCGCACCCCAACGTGCTGCGCCTGTACGGCCACTTCCACGACACCAAGCGCATCTTCCTCATCCTCGAATTCGCGGGCAAAGGCGAGCTGTACAAACACCTCCGCAAAGCGCAGAAATTCCCCGAACCGCTGGCCGCACAGTACATCGCGCAAATGGCCAGCGCGCTCAAATACCTGCACAAAAAGCACGTCATGCACCGCGACATCAAACCCGAAAACATCCTGCTGGGCCTGCATGGGGAGCTGAAAATCAGCGATTTCGGGTGGTCGGTGCACGCGCCCAACAACCGGCGCAACACCATGTGCGGCACGCTCGACTACCTGCCGCCGGAGATGTTCAAGCAGGGCCCGGAGAACTGGTACACCGAGGCGATTGACCTGTGGTCGCTGGGCGTGCTGACGTACGAGTTTCTGGTGGGCGAGGCGCCGTTTGAGGATACGATGGCCATGACGCAGCGCCGGATTGTCAGGGGGGATATGACTGTTCCGGCGTTTGTGAGTGCTGATGCGAAGGATTTGATTACGAAGTTGTTGGTGTTGGATCCGGCGAAGCGGTTGAGTTTGGAGGAGGTGGAGAGTCATCCGTGGATTCTGAAGCACTGTGTCAAAGGGGAGCGGGGGACTCATCAGAAGTCTCTTGGGGACAAGCGATAGACGGGCAGTGAGAGGAGTGTGGGTGGTTTCATCAGTTCATTTTCTTTCAGTCTCTCGAAGCAAATGGCATCGGCGGCGGCGATGGAGTTCATAGAGTCCATCAGTCGCACAAGTTTTTCAGTGCAGTTGCAATAGGTGTGGGAACGACGGTCATGACGAATTTGAGACGGCTCCTTGGTGATCTCGCAATACGGCATCTCCCCCCAAAAGCCTAGACAAATGGCCGCAACATGACACAAGTCCATCAATCCCTTTTCCTCGCCTTTCCTCCCCCTCCATATGCAGCCGACGAACTCGTCCCCCGGCCGGCAGTCTCCACCGACGCATCGCCAAAGTAATCAGCTCCACTCCCACTCAATTGTCCAAACTCACCACGAGCACCACCTCCATTTAGCGGATTGCGAGATGAGCCAGCAGCAACAGCAGAAATCTGCCTGCCCCTCTCCGGCTCGTGTTGCAGCGCCTCATCCTCTTCATCATCTCCGCCAATCTCAAACTCGTCCGTCATCTCGATTAAATCCCCAATCCCGCCTGCACCCTTCCCCGCATTCCCGACACTCGCTCTCGCCGCTTTGTGCTTCGCCTGCGCCTCCGTTGGCGTCATGGCCTTGGTCACCATTCTGCGGGCCCAGCTCTCAATCGCCCCACCCACGTTCTCCAAGTTGAGCTGCATGTTTGCGTTCCTGCCGGTCGGAGTGGCAACGCCCGAACTGATGGGTGTCTCGTCGGTGTAGAGGGGCACTTCGGGTTGGTAGAGGTCGGTTTGATTGCGAGGCGGGGCCACATCCGGAAGGTGTTTGGCGAACATCTTGTTCAGGCCGTCTTGGGCTGGCCCCGGGCAGCGGACGTTCTTGTTCATTGTGCCTACGCCGCCTGGCCCTGCTAGGTAGGATGGAAAGTAGCCGTTGTTCACATTGCTGTGTCTCCTACCCCTCCGCGGACGTTGTGGTGATTGGCTGTCGTGACGCGCGTCTGAGGTGGAGACACGTTGGAGATCGAGGGAAGTGCTCGGTGTGTTACGGTCGATACTCTTTCGTCGAGCGGGGGGAAAATAGCCGAGTGTTCGGCGCGAGAGGCGTGCTATCTCGGTGGGCTGAGGAAAGTTGGGAAGCTGGACCCAGGAGTCGTGATCCCACGGGGGCGCATTGTCGGTAGCCCCCGTAGCGGAAGAGGTTTGCGAATTGGACCGGGTATGGACTGCGGTATGGCCATTCGGAAGAGCGTCCTTGCCCTGCTGCGGGCGGGGGATGGATTCGGCTTCGGTGAAGCCGAGTATATCGACACTACCACTCTCGATCGGTCGGCCTTTGACTCCACACTGCCCTACCGGTATAACCAACGTCTGTCTTGCCTGTGGAGTGTCATTGGTCCATAATCTATTCGCCTTTCGCAGGACATTCGCAGAACAATTGTACTTGATGCTGATGCCGGCCATGGTGTCGTCTTTCTGGACGTGATGCAAGTAAACCAATGCACCTCCCCTCTCATCATCCTCTCCCGGCGGAGCAGACCGCGACTCCATATCATCCGATAGCCGTCGCTTAAACTTGCCCAAGGTGTCGGCGTATGTGCTGTGTTCGCGCTGAAGCATATCTTTCCGCTTTTGTGCCCGTACAGCAGATTCACGATCTGCATTTGTGCCCGTGCCAATCGAGGCAGAAGCTGCCGAAGAGACAGAGGAAGGACCCCATGCCGAGGTGGTATTGCCGCCCTCCTTGGGTGCAAGAGTCATTTGACGGTACCACTTTGGCAAGGGAAGCTTCTTGTTATCCTTGACGGCAGCACCGCCATCTGATGGAACATCGTTGCCAAGAATATCAGATGCAAACCCTTGCAATGTTGTCCACGATGAACCAAAGACACCGGAGAATGTGGTCGCGGTAGGAGATGAGACTGACCCATTCTTCGGTGCGGCTATCTGTGCTCGCCGGCCCCAGCTCGTGCTGTTGAACTTCTGGCTCGCATACGCGGGGTTGGAGCGCTGGGGGTGCGCAGCTGGAAGGGGCGAGGCTGATCTGCTGCCGCCGGGAGAGGGCACGAGGGCGGGGCCCGAGGACCACTCGGTATCGTCGGCATCGCTCAGGCCGGAGATCAGACGATTGGCTCGAGGGCGAACGGAAAGGGTGGACTGCGCGGCGGAGGCCAAAGAAGTGGTCTGGACATGTTGGTGGTTGTTGGTGCTCATTGCCGGCCTCTGCTCGGCGGGGGAGATGTGAGGTTCATATGAGGCTGTGTGATCGTCCTGCTCGACACATCACTGCGCCGCGAGTTCGGCGTGTAGTGGGAGCCTTGTTTGGCGTCTGCTTCCTCGTCAATGCTATGCTGCTGATGTCGCGGAACGGGAGGGAGGGGAGAGTGGAGTGCGTGAATGCGTGGCTTGGTTGATGTGACGATCAGCAGGAGGCAGCGGCGCGGACGGAAAGCAAGCGAGCGATAGCTAGCTTAAACTTTCGCCTATCGCTTGGCGCCATCCTTCCTCCACGTGGGACCTTGCCTGAATAGACTCGCTGAAAGTCATTGGCAACAGGCGGACAGTCCTGTCGAAAAGACTCCCGACAATGGCGGAGACGAGCGCAAAAGAAGGGACGTCAACGACCACCTCCCCCCAAATCGACCGCACCTTCTACACCTGGTCCACGTTCTTCTCCATCCTCACCGGCAGCGCAGACTCCTCCACCCGCGACAAGTACCTCAACACCCGCGATCTTCTCAACGAAGAGGAAGACTGTCGGCGCTGCGACGAGAACAAGAAATGGCTCTTCAAACACTCGCCCATCATCCGCTTCATGCAGACCGAAATCGCGCTCCTCGACGGCAGTAAAGACGGGCAAAGCGCCAACATAACCGCCGACAACGTGCGCTGCCGGCGCTGTGAGCCATGGCAGGCGCAGAGCGGCGGCTTCGACACCGAGTACGGCATTCTCGTCTGCGCAAACAAGCTGCGCAATCGCGGGCATCTGGAGGACACGCTGGCGCACGAAATGGTGCATGCCTACGATCACATGCGCTTCAAACTCGACCCTTACGATCTCCGGCATGCCGCTTGTATGGAGATCCGCGCGAGTACGCTGAGCGGGGAGTGCAGATGGATGCGCGAGTTTTTCACGCGAGGCCAATGGAATCTCACGCAGCAGTTGCAGGAGTGTGTGCGGAGACGAGCGGCGCTGAGCGTTGCGGGACGTCCGGGCTGCAAGGATGATGTGCAGGCGGCCAAGGTGGTGAATGAGGTTTTTGACAGCTGTTTCAACGATACCCGGCCCTTTGATGAGATTTATCGGTGATGGGAGGCATGCTTATTTGCATAACAAGGAGCCACTTAAGAGGGCGTTGACGATGGAAAGGAAGTTGGGCCCTTCATCACCCCAATGAGAGGCCAGGAATGAGGACCACGAGACAGGATCAGCTCTCCTCGAACCTCCAGCTACCCGCCGACTTTCAGATGTGTAGGCTCTGCGACGATCATGGCGCGGTGCAGCTGATCAATCCGGCACAGAAGCATTCTCTGGGAAAGATTAGAGAGAGCAACTATGCAAAGGCTATGCCTACTGGTTGCGGCTACTACGGGAACTACTCCTCTCACACCCATCCACAGTCTACCACCTAGAGGCTTATCAGAATATCTACCTACCGCCTTGTGCTATTTCTTTATTTCATTTCATATCCATCACCAGCCGGTAATAACACCATTTCTCCATACTCCAATGACTGATTATTTCCGTGCGGGGATAACTACACCTCGAGCTCCCCCTCGGCCCAGTCGAAGACGGCTACATCACTTTGTCTCTTTTGTTTAACACACAATCAAGCGTCGCCACATCGTCTTTCATATTCCATCCAAAGGCGCTATGAATATTGTTATTTCTTTCTCACGCGTCTGTACATTGTTCCTAGACCGTTAAATACCTCTTGCGAGCCCGTCCAAATCCACCAGACGCAATGGCCCGCCCATTGAGCAGAACGTGCCTCGATCTCAATCCCCTCCTCCATCCTACGCGCTCCTCGCCCTCCTTCCTCTCCCGCAGCTCACCCGCATGGAAAGGAAGAAGACCAGCGCAATTATGTCTGGCACAACAACGAAGAGGATTACTGGGACAAGCACAGCGGAGAAGAGCAACCACCTCGTCAATAGCAGCCAGCTTCCCACATTCCGTGATTGACCATCATTACGAGTGGGTCACCACACACACAATCATAGTCGCCGGCCGGCAGAGTACTGACAACCGCGCAGTGCCATTGTCGTTGGAGCAGGAGGAGCAGGTCTTCGAGCCGCGGTCGGTCTTGCTGAGTCCGGCCTTGAAACAGCATGTATAACCAAACTCGTGCGTCTCCTGCCCCGTCCTGGTCCAAGATTGCTCTTCTAAACCCATCCACGCAGTTCCCCACCCGCTCCCACACCGTCGCAGCGCAAGGCGGCATCAATGCTGCTCTCGGCAATATGACGAAGGACGACTGGCGCTGGCACATGTACGACACTGTGAAAGGGTCGGACTGGCTAGGCGACCAAGACGCGATCCATTACATGACGCGGGAAGCGCCCAAGAGTATCTATGAGCTGGAGAACTACGGGATGCCGTTCAGTCGCACGGATGACGGGAAGATTTACCAGCGCGCACTCGGAGGCCAGAGTCTGGAGTTTGGGCAAGGTGGACAGGCGTATCGTGCTTGTGCGGCGGCGGATCGCACGGGGCATGCGTTACTGCATACGCTTTATGGACAGAGTGTGAAGGTGGGTTTCCCATGACCTATGGCTTGGTTATCGGGGTGGTTGGCTGACATTGCTTATTGCTACAGCACAACTGTAACTTCTTCATCGAGTACTTTTGTACCGATTTGATGATGGTCGATGGAGTTTGCGTGGGCGTCACCTGCATTTCGATGGAAGACGGCACATTACATCGAGTCTTCGCGAGGAATACGATTTTGGCGACTGGTGGATACGGCAGAGCGTACTTCTCCTGCACGTCCGCGCATACGTCGACCGGAGACGGGAACGTGAGTATACACCACACTCCCTCACACGTGCGCTTGTTAACGATGTCTCTTCTCAGGCCATGATTGCGCGCGCAGGCCTACCCAACCAAGACTTCGAATTCGTCCAATTCCACCCCTCCGGAATCTACGGCGCCGGCGTGCTCATCACCGAAGGCGCCCGAGGTGAAGGCGGCTACCTGCTCAACGGCGAAGGCGAGCGCTTCATGGAACGCTACGCCCCTACAGCTAAAGACCTCGCCTCGCGCGACGTCGTGTCGCGAAGCATGAACATCGAAATCCGCGAGGGGCGAGGCTGCGGAGAAGGAAAGGACCACATCTTCCTGCAACTCAGCCATCTGCCGCCGGAGACGATCCACGAGCGCCTGCCGGGGATAGCGGAGACGGCGAGCGTCTTCGCGGGCATCGACATCACCAAGCAGCCTATCCCTGTACTGCCAACGGTGCATTACTGCATGGGCGGCGTGCCGACGAACTACAAAGGCCAGGTCATAACCATCGACCCATCAACAATGGAAGAAAAGACCGTCGATGGCCTCTACGCCGCCGGCGAAGTAGCCTCCGTAAGCGTGCACGGCTCTAACCGCCTAGGCGCCAACAGCCTGCTCGACATCGTCGTCTTCGGCCGCGCCTGCGCACTGGACATCGCAGAGAAGAACGAGCGCGGAATGGCGCACACGCGGGGGCCAGAGAACATCGGCATGGACCACTTCGAAGAAATGGAGCGCATCCGGCAATCCGACGGGGAGATGCTGGGCGCGCAGATCCGCGCCGACATGCAGCGCACAATGCAGAACGACATTGCCGTTTTCCGCACCAAGGACGCGCTCGAGGCGGGCAACAAGCGCATGGCGGAGATTCAGCAGGACTTCAAGACGCGGCTGGCGGTGAAGGATAAGAGCATGATTTGGAACTCGGATCTCATTGAGACGCTCGAGGTGCGCAATTTGCTGACGTGCGCGGCGCAGACGGCTAAGAGTGCGGTGGCGAGGGAGGAGAGTAGGGGGAGTCATGCGCGCGAGGACTTCCCGGAGCGCGATGATGAGAAGTGGAGGTTGCATACGCTTAGTTGGCAGGGGAGGGAGGGGGATGAGGTCAAGTTGGCGTATCGGCGGGTGATTGATTCGACGTTGGACGAGGCGGAATGTAAGAGTGTGCCCCCTGTGAAGAGAACTTACTAGACGGAAGAGGATTGTGGAATGTAGAAATAAGTAGCATTCATCGTCTAGAGCTTACGAACCCCAACGGACTCGAGCCTCCTCCATCCACATCCAATGACCTCGTCTCTAACTCTCCATCTTCATCATCACGTGGACTCAGAATGGGACTGAGTGCGATCCTAGGCCGTGATCGGAACACGCTCTCGTACTCGGCTTCAGGCGACATGAGCTGCTCCATAGGCGTGAAATCTCTATTTCCACTCTTGTGCGGCGTGTCGAACTGCTTGGCCGGGTATTGCGATGAGCGGGATGCGATGTGGGAGGCTTTCTTTGGAAGGTCCAGAGGAGTGGGCGCGGCGGAGATGGACTCGCGCGTTCGGTCCAGAAGCGTGTTCTGAGTCTGCGCAAAATTGGCGGGCTCGCGTTGTGTAGTCCCATGGTCGTTGGCTGGCTGTCCTCGAGGCAGGGTACTGGCAAAGTCTTCGCTGTTGTATGCAATAGATCTTCTTGTCCTCTCTGCCAGTGAAGGTCGAAGAGCGTCTATCGCGGGGTTTCGGTATATAGCGTCGGCAGGGGGTACACTGACTGCATCGTTGTCAAGAGACACCGAGCTCCTGCTGCTATTGGCGTCGTTGTCATCGGTCACGACATCGTCACGCGAGGATTGTAAATCGACTCCACTATCCGCATCATCTTTGAGTTGAGCTCTGCTCGCCTTTCCAATTACAGCTGCGCCGCGCTCCGCATCGCCATCGTCCGTGCCCTCAGCAGCCGATGGAAGAACGGGAGAAAAAGACATGGTAGAGCTGACACTCCGTCGATTCTCCTTCAAGGGTGAAAAGAGCTCGGACTTGAGCGGGATTGGCTCTCTTTGGCTGTCGACTTTGGGCTTCTCGTATGCTTTGGATTGCGACGACACTCGTCGTCCCATGCGTGGGCGCATAGGCACGGCGGTCATCGATGGAGAGCGCGAGTGGGAATTTTGAGCACCCGCCGCGGCATCCAACAGCAAACTCGAAGGTCGCACAGGCATTGGGTGTGGGTGTGCTCGCTTGGGTGGCGAGATGGTTGACTGATCGGAGCTGCGGTTGCCGGAGCTCTTCCTCAGATCTTCACGCATCGCTGTGAGGATTTCATCGTACCGGAAAGCGGTAGCGTGCCGCGTTTGCTGCGGTCGTGGTGTCGGCTTGCATTTCGTCTCTCTTCTTCCCTCGTCATCTTCCGATACAACTTCGTGGCGAGTGATGCCTCGATGCTTGTCGAATCGAAGGGCAGGCCCCGCCGATTCCGAGTTTCCGGTGGGCGGTCTGGGTTCCGGTCGGGCAGCAACGACGCGATTGAGATAGTTCTGCCACATTCGCAGCCGGACACTCTGCTGTGTAGCTCGACTATTCAAATCCTGAAGAAGGCCGACGTCGGCACCGCTCGACACGGTTAGTCCCTGCTCTCCAGCCTGCTGCCAGAGATGGTCGAAGGATTCAACGAGAATTCCATCGCCTCGGCCACAAGTGTCTCCCTCGATCAGCGCGCCTTTCAGCTCTGTACTGCCCACCCAGCCCTTTCCTATCGCCGATTCGAGACTTCTCAACTTGTCTGCCGATAGCGTCTTCACTTTCCGCGCATTGTCTCCTGATTGACTACCCCTCTGCTTCATCTCTGCCGACTTTTGCACGAAAAGGTCGTGCAGTTTGATATACGTCTCCTTCTTTCGTCTTCTCTCATCCAAGACCTTCTTCAGAGCAGCGGTATGCGCGAAAGCCAATGGAAGCATGGACTCCCTAGCTCGTTTGCCGGCATTCGGAGCGGTACCAATCTGCTCCGCCACAGGTCTTCCATGCCGAGTTTTCCGCTCCAGCGTCACCTTGCGAAGCACCAAGGCGGAGAAGGCCAGACAAACTTCCCAGAACTTGTCGCCTTGACACTCATCAAGCATGGACTTCCTGAGCACCGCATCTTTGGGCAGCACGCCATTCTTCTTCAAATCGTTCAGGCATCGATACAACGCGGCGCGCAGGTTGACGCTTTGTAGGGGTTCGAGCGGCGGGAAAAAGGGCTGCAGTTTCTCGGTTGTCGTGTGCGGGTCGTAGATTCGGAAGAGCTGGTAGAGAGCGTACTCGGCGCATTTGATCTTGGTTCGAGCATCGTGGATGCCGAAGGAGGCGGCGGTGATATTGGGCCAACCCGGCAGCCGATCACAATTCAGAAAACGGAGGTTGGTGACGAAGAGATCAAGGACGCTGGGCCCGGACGGCTTAGAAGTTGTCTTGACCGACGCATTCCGTTTGTGTGTTGAGGCGGAGGGAGCGACACCTGAACTTGCGGCGGAGAGTGGCCGGTCCATGTTACGATGTGTCGGAGATGCAGTGGGCGGACAGCGAGACACACGACCAAATAGCCATCGCGGGCTGTGGAAGTGGTGATGACAGGTGTCAAAGGGAGGGGAGAATGCGGTATGCGGGATGCAGTATGCAGGAGACGTGGTTGTAAACACGCCAACTCCACCTCCTGAATGGAAGCCAATGCGCGCGCCGAGTGGGTCCCGCGCCGCACCTGCCTAATTCGCTTGAATATAACACAGACATCATCACTCCATCGTCAGCGATCGTAGAATCTAGACATGATACGGCAAAGTAAGGCAGAGAGACCATTCATTTCACATTTCTTTTAGCACCCTGCTCTGAAGCATGTCTCGACTTGCACCCCTGCCCGTCTCCTTACCATCCGTCCCCATCTCCGAAGACACGGAAGCGGCTGAGGTAGCGGCTGCATATGGCAACATCTTTGCGAATATTCAAGAACAAAGCTTCCTCGATGATGCTGTCTGGCGCGACACCTACGCCCTGACGGGTACCATACGCACTTTCTACGGCGCGAAAGGGGTGTCTGCTGCATGGCGAGAATGCATCGCCCAAGCACGGCCCCATTCTTTCCATGCTGCAGTCGAGCAGTCCCAGCTTAGAAGGCTTCCGGGTGGTCACTCTTGGGTGGATGTTCCGTTCACATTCGAGACGGCGAGTGAGCCGCCATTGCTTTGTACGGCTAGCTTATGGCTAGCCAAAGACGACTCGGATCGCGATGGGTGGAAGATATGGGTGATGACCACTGTCCTCGACCGGATCAAAGGCCTGCCCAGTGTGGATGATTACTGTGCTGCCACACCAGGCCACCAGATCAATGGTTCCATCAACGGTACAACTCACAACGTCAATGGCACACACTCAGAAGACTCTCACTTCGACTGTGTAATTGTAGGCGGAGGCCAAGCCGGACTTAACGTCGCCGCACGTTGCATGGCCCTCGGCATATCCTACGTGATTCTCGAGAAGAACGAAGCCATTGGCGACAACTGGAAGAACAGATACGATTCCGCACGACTGCACACCATCAAGGACTACACGCATTTCCCTTTTGAGCGCACGTGGACCGAGGAGTATGGGCAATGGCTCAGCAAAGACGATCTTGCGAAGGGCTACGACATTTGGGCGCGCAACTTTGGTGTCAATGTTTGGTGCTCCACTGAATTGCTGGGTGGCTCTTGGGATAAAGCAACAAGATCGTGGACACTCAAGATTCGCCGTCAGGAGAACGATGTTGAAGAAGAGATTACTTCATCTTTTGTCATCATGGCAGTCGGAGCAGGTGGCCAGATACCTCACATGCCGGCACTACCAGGGCGGGTATGTGATATTCGTGTGCCTTCGAGCTAGATCTGTGACTGACTCCGACCCAGGACCGATTCAAAGGCATCGTCCAGCATTCCGAAAAGTACAAATCCGCCTCAGAATGGGCAGGGATGAAAGCCGTCGTCATCGGCACCGCAAACACCGCGCACGATATCGCAGAAGACATGCTCGATGCCGGCTGCTCATCTGTCACCATGGTCCAGCGATCAGACACCTTCGTCCTTCCCACAGAATGGTACGAAAAGGTCCAGGAACGAACATACAACGCGAAAGTTCCGATCCATGTTGCCGATCGACTGGGACAGTCCAATCCGAATGCAATCCAGCGGCTGGTGGTTATGACGCCAATCCACGCCATGATACGACAGAACATCGGGCGCTTCGAGGCATTGCAGAAGGCCGGCTTCCGAGTGGATGTATTTGGCGATCCGATTTGGCATCTCTTTGAGAGACTGGGAGGGCATTACATGGATGTCGGGGCGAGTAAGAAGATCGCCGATGGTCTGGTAGGAACCTCACCGTCGATAGTGTCAATTTGAAGTCGAATCGCTAACCAAAGTCGTTCCCAGATCAAAATCAAATCCGACGCTGCATTGACGCACTACACGCCCAACGGCCTAGGCTTCGCAGACGGCTCTGAACTCCCCGCGGATTGCGTCGTCTTCGCCACAGGCTTCGAAACAAACCTTCGTCATCGTGTCCACCAGCTCTTCGGCAAGGCCGTGGCGGATCAAGTCGGAGACTTCTCGCGAATGGACGACGAAGGCGAGCAGTCTGGCGCTTTCAGGTTTCGGCGTAAGTGCGGTCGAATAATAATGTCACGGCTGTGGCTCTCGACTTATGATTGATGCTGACACTCGTGAATAGATCCCGGCCTCGCGTGCACCGGAGGCGCGATAGGGCCATGTCGATGGTTCTCGAGGTTCCTTGCCATGCACATGAAGGCGGAACTCACGGGCACTCCGATGCAGGTGTATTCTCGCACTCCTGTGCCGCCGACACGGACTGATACATGAGACTCTGCTCGAATTTCTGCATACACGCCTGCTACCATCAAATGCCCGCCACGTAACTAGCGATTCAATCTAGATTCATAGAGAGAGAGCAGATCCACGGATGAGTTGATGGCATTGTACAGCATGCCACAGCCTGATGGACCTCCTCAAATCACACCATCTGCGCTAGTCTTGGGTGATAGCATCGGACAGGCGGGGATATTGTACACCACCACATACATGACAATTGCTCGATGAGCGGCCGTAACATGCATCTTCATCAATTGACAGAACCAGACAGATCAAAAAGTAAAGAAAACCATGGCGTCCATCAACAACCTCCTCCGCCCAGCATATCACTCAGCGCGAAGCCTCGCACCCGGAACTCGGACCTTCGCAACCACCACTCACCGCAGGCAAACGATCCCCTTCGAAGTCACAGGCAAAGGCAAAGGGGTCGCGCAAATCGTGCAAGTGAAAAACTCCCACCACGAAATCAAAGCAGACGCCTACCCAGCTTTCGGCGGGCAAGACGCCGCCCCCTCGCCCCTGCACTACAACCTCACCTCCCTCTCGACCTGCACGCAAGTGACAGGGTCGCTGGTGGCGAAGGGTCTCGGGATTGACTTGAAAGGGTGGAATGTGAGTGTTGATGGGCGGCTGGATCCGGGGGTGTTGGTGGAGGGGGTGGAGGGGAATGCGAATTGGAGGTCGATTGAGTTGAGGGTGGAGGTTGTTGCTGATGTGGAGGAGGGGGTGTTTAGGAAATTTGCGAGTGAGACGGAGAGGAGGTGTCCGGTTACGCAGTTGTTTAAGCGGAGTGGGGTGGAGTGGAAGAGTGAGTGGACGAAGAAGTAGTTGTAGCTAGTTTTCATTGTCACGTGTGATGATGATAAGGCAGTCTAATAAGCAGTACCCATTGCTGGGGATTTCAGGTGTCATTCCAGTCTCAAATTCCGAACCACTCATCAACATCGACTACACTACTTCATCCGTAGCTCAACCTCGAAAGTCGGATCCGGCATCCCGGCCGAGCCGAACTGTATCGTCTCCGGCCTCTTCTTGAAAGGCTTGATGTCGTAATGCGTGACAATGTGTGCCAGCATCAGCTTCAGTTCCTGCGAGGCAAAGAAGCGTCCCGGGCAAGCGTGACGACCATGTCCGAAGCTGAGGAAGGTATCCTGCGTGTTGATGAGGCTCTGGTTCTTCAATGGCTGAGAGTCCGCTTGCTCGGTGTCTTTGGCCGCGGCGCGAAGAGCTTTCTGCTTCAGTTCTTGTTCGCGGGGTGCGGAGAAGCGGAAAGCCTCGTATTTGTCGGGCTCCGGGTAAAAGGCAGAATCACGGTGGATGGCAGCGGAAGCAGCGGCAATGTGAACGCCGGGTGGGACATGGATGCCGTTCGGGAGGTCGATACCATCTTTTGCGACCACCTGTCCACACGAGGTTAGATGGGGGTTACACAACACCCGATGGCATGACTGACCGTTCTGTTGACGCTGATCGAGCCTAGACTGGAGACTCGCATGGACTCTTTAATGGCGGAGTCGACTCGGAGCAAGTCGTTGACGGCAACCTTGGTGAATTCTCCACCGTTCCTGGCGAGCACTCGTTCGACCTCTTCTTGCAGTCCTTCGACAAATTCCTCAGTGTGGGGCGAAGAGTAGAGGTCCAGAATCGAGTTGGTGATGGTGATGGAGGTAGTGTGGATGGCAACCATGTTGAGAATGACGACGCGCAATGCGAGGAGATCCATGTCTTGTTGTTCCGGACCGTACTTGAAGCTTTCCTCGAGGATCCATTGAATACCGTCGTTCTTGAATCACAGTCAGTTTCATGACAGATAGGCCTGAGACCATTCAAAGAAGACGAGATAGTGAGCCACGTACCGTCTGTCCGTGTGGAGCACCATTCCGCAGCTCCTCCAACCGCTGCTTGATCACTGGGAAAAGATGTCGCTTCGCGATCTTGAGCTGCTTATCCTTCTTCACAACAAGGAATGGCGCCACAACTGATCGCAAGAACGCGGGGACCATGTTGAGCAGAGCACCAGCCTTGAAGAGCTCCTGGGTGAACTCTCTACAGGCTTCCAGGAACTCAGCATTCCGACAGAGATCTGGTCCGCAGAAGATGCGGTTGGCCGCACGACTGGTGATTTTCATGATTGTCCCGTACACCGGGACCTTCTTCCACTCCGCCCGGTCCGTCCCCCATTGATCCTCAAAGGCCATGATCAGCTCCTCGTACACGGCCGCGGTCAAAAGGGGCAGTTTTCTTGTCAGTTGGTGGCGAATCACGTCGAAATGGAAGTCGTTCTCCATGGTGGCGAGGAAGCCGGTGTGGTAAGATTGCAGCGCCTGCTTGAGGAAAAGCTTGATGTCGACTTCGTCATCCGGCTTCTGAAGCATGGCATGGACGGTATCGGGGGGCAGGACCAGGATGGGGCTGCCGATCAGACGAGACATCAAGAATGGCTTGTGGCTCTTGTTCCACTGTGACAGCAGGTCAGTATCACTTCAATCGCGGGGCATCTCTAGAGACGACCGGGGATAGATCGTACTCGAGCATAGCCATCGTTCACCATCGCTCGAGTGTTTTTGACCGAAGCGATGCGCGCCCGAAGATCCGGGAACCAGCCCTCCCTTTTTCCTCCCCATCCCGTGGACTGCAAGAAGCGGTTCAGCGTGGACTGGGGCACGGCGAAGAACGAATAAAGCAGGTAGGCGACGAACGGGAGGATAGCATATTGAAGAATTTTAACCTTGCCCGTTGGTTCGTCCACCGCGTAGGTGGTGGTCGTGTAGGTCACGTTGCTGCTGTCCATCTTGAAGCCAGTAGAGAGGTTGATCTGTGAAAGTCGATACAAGTTGGTGGGCGGAACTTATGAAATATGGGAGAGTGTGATCTTCAATATGGGTCCGGCATCATAGACACCCTGCTGGGCGGTGAATTGCGTTATGCAAATGAGCACACATATGTTTGGTCCAGTGCATCGGCATCTCCATGCTCCGACGTGGATCGCACTCGTCTGTGTTACGACGTGAGGTCTCCACCTCTGTGCCGGCTGCAGTAACAGTCGACAAATGATCGTCCTCCGGCGATCCGTCCTGCAGTGATCGTCATTTGGGCCAAGAAGTTGAAGGCGACTTGACGTTCCTCAGTACAAATGACGCGGGAGGTGACGCACGCAAGCATCCGACAAACAGTCGTCAGTCCCTGCGAATAGATATGCAGCTGGTGCAGAGCTTAGAATGAATCTCTGGTGATAGATGGACTGTGCTAAGTAGTGAAACGCCGGCCCTTTGTCCACATTTGGGACGAGCACCGTGACTATGCGCGGGGATCGAGGAGCGGGAAGTCGGAGTGAGGTGAAGATTTTATGAATTTTTATGCACACGAGTGGCACAAGCAGAGCGTCCCGGGCCGTCCGGGCCGTACCAAATTTTGCTGTCACCATCTCGTCCCCAGACTCGCTGCTCCTACGGCCGGGTTCGGTCGCACACAGGCCGGCATAGCCTGTATCCCGACCGCATATCTTCGGTAGTTATTAGGGCTGAGCGTACCCTGCGGGTAGGTCGGGGTAGCTTGAGTTAGGGGCACTTTTGAAACTCAAACCCTTCGGTGATGCTTGGTCCTTCGTTATTTGGCTCAGGACAGTGCGATTTTGGCGTGACCAGTCGCCTCCTGTCTACGATGTTCGAAAGTCGGCTAGGAGATGTGTTACTGATATGCGAGATGAAGGGGATCACCATCTTGACGTTGGATCCAGAGGATCCGGTCGCCACGCTGTTACCAGATTCGCTAACCAGACTCCTGAGAGCAGATGCAAGAAGACACGAGTGCACCACTGGAAGACTGTTTCCGCCTGGAAAACCAATGGGCTTCTCGACGATGATGATGCAATCTCCACACGAAGTGAATCACGCCGCCGCGTGGACTGCGGTCGAAACAGTAACTATATTTCTGAGTGTGACGTCAGCCAGACCATCGGCACGGCGGATTAGGACTCCTCTACCCTTTTTAGCATCGTCGCAATAGGTAAAATGAAAGATGCGGAGGCGTCTGTCTTTGAACATGCAAGATGAGATGGGCGGCGCTCGATGGAGCTTGCTGCTGATTACCGCCACTATCATTGGCCTGAAAAGAAAATGTTCGGCCGAAACTCCTCAACCTGGAAGCGTGGACGGGAGAAGTTCATCGATTCGCGTACAGCATCCCGCATGATCGGCGGCCGCGGGGATGCTAAATTCAAATAAGCGCACGCCTTATTTCACGGCAGTGACACAGGGTCTGAAATCACAGAAGATACAGTCTGGCATATTCCTCAAACACTCGCTAGTTGAGCTCGCCTTGGGAGATCGTTTCCATGGGCAGCGCCATTTCAGCCCCGCGATTTACGAACACGGACTGCTCTCATTACCCTCGTGGACGAGGCGTAAATGTATGACGATATCCGCTGGAATTAGAGTATCCCACTAACAGCGGGCCGTTCCTCTGGTCGATCGTCCGGTCTATGATGCACAAGATCTCCTTCCGCATTGGGAACATGCTCGATGATTAAACTCCACCTCGTATAAATACTAAAAAGCAGTGGCAATCCTCAGGTGTCTTTTGGTCAGTTCTTCTGTATTCAGCATTGAGGCCTTGCAGTGCCGGCCGCCGGCACGATGGAGGAGAGCAAGGTTCAAAGCGCGCGAGAATGGCCAATGTGGCGCAAAGTAGCGACAGTCTTTGTCGTCGCGAGTTTCTCCTTCTTCGCGTAAGTGTTGAGCCAATTCACATGATTTGATGTCAATGATTGCTGATAGACGAGTCAATGTACAGAACTTTCGCCGCATCTATCATCGCTCCGGGACGACCGCAGATCGAATCAGAATTGCGCGTCTCAAGGACGGTGTCCATCATACCCTTCTCATTGTTCAACCTCGGTCTCGGGTGGGGCACTGTGGTGAGCTCACCCGTGAGCGAAAGTTACGGACGCCGTCGAGTATATACAGTCGCAATGCTGGGACTGCTGGTCTTTGTCATGGCCACCGGATTCTCTCATGGTCTGGCCAGTCTCTTGGTCACGCGTCTGCTGGGCGGCTTTTTCGGTAGCCCGGGTGCTACGTTGGCCTCTGCGACAATATCAGACATGTTTGAGCCCGGGCGGGCTCGCGGAATGGCGCTGTTCTGTTACTACTCTATGCCGTGGCTGGGATCAGTCCTCGGGTGAGTCCGTCACGCTGACGACGAGCAAGGCCGGGATCGCTAACTCTTGTCCTAGGCCGCTCATTGGTGCTGTCGTGGTCGCATATTATGATTGGGAGTGGACGCAATGGGTCTACCTTTTCATTGCGGTTCCTGTCGTCCTACCCGGCCTGCTATTCATCCGCGAATCCAAACAGAGCGTGTTGGAGGCCAAGGCTGCAGACGACACCTCTTTCAAGGACCGTCTGAAGCCACAACTTCTCGCCAGAGGCTGTGTATCCTTCGTCAAAGAACTCCCCGAGTTCATGTCCACGTCTCTGCTGCGTCCGTTGGAGATGCTTTTCACGGAGCTGATTGTGGGGCTTGTCTGCGCCTTTGCTGGATTCAATTTCGGCCTCATTTACGCCCTGGTCATCGTGTTGCCCGATGTCTTCAAATCCACATACGGTTTCGACACCATCGATCAAGGGCTGGCCTTTCTTGGTCTCATTGTCGGCTGCATTTTGGGACCGGCATGCCTGCTGGTGGACAACGAGATTGTCGTGAGACAAGCGGCTCGCGTGGAGGAAGCCGGAGAGACGCCATCGCCCGAGACCAGGCTTCACGGTGCCATGTTCGGATCGATTCTTCTGCCAATTGGGCTGTTCTGGTTTGCTTGGACTGCACGGCCTTCCATCTCGTACCTGTCGCCAATCTTCGCGACAGTGCTCATCACGCTGGGTGCATTGACAATCTACGTGTCAAGCTCGGCATACCTCATCGATGTGTACGGCCCAAAGTATGGAGCATCGGCGAATGGAGCAACGTCGATTGCGAGGTATACAATGGCAGCCATCGTGCCACTGTTCATACTGCAGATGTACGACGGGCTGGGCACGGGGTGGGCAACAAGCTTGCTGGGGTTCTGCGCGCTCGCTTTGATGCCGATTCCTTTCTGTTTCTATTGGTGGGGCCCTGCTCTACGAAGCCGCTGCAAATTTCAGACAGAGCAGTGATCAACCGTCGAATAGAAAATCCTCTTCATTGTCACCGAGTACTTGATTGCTTGCTACGTCCAGAGGAGTGGCTTATTGGGAGTGAAGCCTGCCGGACACGATAGATTCCAGGGCTGAGAACGGCGTCGCGGAGATCAGTGAACACTGACAATGGTAATTTCGGGGCCGCTGTTTGGCCACGTGTAAGAGTCAGAGCATTGCATTCGTTGCGACTCTTGGAGGAAGACTGCGACGGATACAAGATCTGGCGAGTGTAGTCGCGCACAGACCCCACGCTGAGGCCGTTTCCCAATGCGGATGCTTCCATCGGCCACCGCGGAAGTCCCGTCACTTTTGTTTACACGGCTTCGTCACGCACTTTGCGCCTCATCCGTACACTACCTGCGCGCAATCGTCTCCGTCAAGATCTCGAGTGTGTTTCACAGCTTCGAGCGCGGAGTAGCAGGTCGTCGAAATGGCACCCGGCGTAACAGAAGACGCACCACAGACAAGCGGACAACCAAGTATGCACCGCCGACCCATCTCTCGCAATGCAAACGTTGACCGGCGCATGTACAGGTCCCATGTCCGGCGTCCTCACCTCTTCCCAAGCGACGGAGAAATGGACACCCCAAACCGGTACGTGTCCTGGCGGCTAAAAGGAGCAGTGCTTCGTGAGCCCTACCTCGCGCGGACGACAAGCGAAGTGGGAGGCAAAGTCCTCTGACAACAGTGCAGTCCTCTCAACACTACCCGTCCGACCGCAAACGCACACCGCCTCACCCATTCCCTTCTTTCACATGATCGAGCGACTGAAGACGAACAAGCGAGAAGGCTGGCGAAGATTCGGACTGGACCATGGAGAATCGATTTCAGACCACATGTACCGCATGTCCATCATCACTCTCCTCTGCCCGCCGTCTCTATCGGCAAGACTTGATATCGCGCGATGCACGCAAATGGCTCTTATCCACGACATGGCAGAGAGTTTGGTGGGCGACATCACACCCGTGGACGGCGTAGCGAAGAGCGAAAAGAGTAGAAGAGAAGCCGAGACGATGGACTATCTTTGTCAGGAATTGTTAGGGAAGGTATACGGGGGCATCAACGGGCAGAACATCCGCGCCATCTGGCAAGAGTATGAGGACGGACAGACGGCCGAGAGTCAATTCGTGCACGACGTGGATAAAGTGGAGTTGCTGCTGCAGATGATGGAATATGAACGGTCGGGTGAGGGAAGGCGAGATCTGGGCGAGTTCAGTCATGTCGCGGGCCGGATTGTCCTGCCTGAGGTGCAGGCTTGGGCGGCGGAGTTGTTGGTGGAGCGTGAGCGATTTTGGAGCGAGCATGGGAAGGTGCCGACTGGAGCGTTGGAGATGAGCGAGGAGCGGAAGAGACAGCAGAACGAGTACTACAATGGTGCTCATGCTGTTAATGGAGCGGTCAATGGGGTGAAGAAAGCATGACATGCACGTCAGGAGTTGTACATCTAATCGTGACGAAACAGAAGGTCCTCAGCCCAACAAATATCCATAGACAATCGCTGCAAAGCACCGCACCTCAACAAAGCCGGGGAGAAGTAATCCCCAACCCCCTCACGATCCCCCTCTGCTGCCTCTGATCCCCATCCAACCACTTCGCCCCCTTCCGCCGACTCCAAAGCGTCCACCGCAACAACTCCGTCGGCTCGACCACCAGCTTCGCCGCAATGCGCCGCCCATTCAACTCCATCTTCTCCAGCAGCCGCACTGCGCGCGCCGCCGCTTCCGCGGACGGATACCGGATCCAGACCCACAGGTCTTCGCCCGCGGCTTCGGGGCCGTAGTCGATGCCGTAGCGGTGGTCGAGTTCTTGCACGTATTTGCGGAGGACCTCGAGGAGGGTGCCGATGGAGATGTCTCTGTCTAGTTCGGTGACGTAGACGCCTGCGACGTGTGGAGGGGAGAAATGCTCGTGGCCTTCGCGCTGGTTTGGTGGGGCTCCTGCGATTGACGGCCGGCCTATTTGCAGTGATAGAGCGCGGAGCCTATCTCGGCGCGCTGGCGATCTTGGGGGAATAGATGGAGCTATGTCGTCTTGCTCTGTATCCCGTGCTTGGGCTGGCATGTGGGAAGTGTATCCCCGTGCAGTATACCATACTTCCCGGCCTTCGCTGTCTTCCAGCTCCAGCGCATGAGAACTCTCGTGCGTCGCGGGGATTCGGTCGAACTGAGCGATGAGACAATCCATCGTGAAATCGTCGGGAGATTGGGGCTCAGATTCCGGCTCATGTCCAGCGTTTCCTGCTGCCACGGGAAGAAGAGCTGCCTCATCTTGAACGAGCAGCATGGACTCTCGATTTCTCCAATTCTGGAACTGCCGCGCATCTCTCGCGATTTGAGCATCGACGTATTCTTGCAGCAGGGTGGCTGTATCCGGGGATTGATGTCTTTGCTCGGGCGGGGCCGGTGATGGCTGGCGCGATGGAGGCGCCTCAGATTCATGCTCGTCTTCAGAGTTGTCGGATATGAAACCCACGAGCTGCGCTACGTTGTCTTCGAGAGAGGGCGTAGCCATGGCCTTGAGTGCAAAGCAAGTTGCATATTGGTCTTCTAGATCTCTGCCCGTCGACTGGACTTCCGGCGCTTCTGAACCGAAAGAATTGCAAGGGATCAAGCAGCAGAGCGAAGAGGATCTCTACGACAGACAAAAACGAAAGGACTCGTGAAGAGAGGAAAGCAGAGTATATCCTCTCATGGCTTTTAAGAGCCCCCTGTGAACGCAATCACTCACGGACAGTATAGTATATGGACGAAAAGCACCCTCGGAATGAGAGCGTTCCCATGTCGCACTCCCATGGCATGCATCAATGGAAGCGATATGTTGTAGAACGATGGCGTTGGTCGTGCCGGGGCGTACAGCAGTCGCATGACGGGCGTGGTGAAAGCAGCTCTGCACAACACCTCAGGTACTCAACGTGTCCATGCATGCTGTGCAAGGGTAAAGTATTCACTGTACGCAACATGTGAATGAGTAGAGATGAAGGTTGATGAGATGGAGATGAAGTGTAGTGCACGCAGCCTCGGAGCGCGCCGACATCGCAAGAATCCTCCCGCATCCGACTGCATTTGCCACGGCTTTTGGTGGATTTGATGTCATTGAACGGGCAGCTATAGAGACTCACACACCACAACAAGACTCTTTACACAATACTCACCTCTACAACGACCAACTCAAGTGAATCAAATACCCAAGCACCTGTCACATACGACCATGCCAATCCACGACCTCAGCAACAAAGTCGTCCTCCTCACCGGCATTGGAGCGGTCGGCGAAGGCTGGGGTAACGGCACATCGATAGCCACACTCTTTGCCCGCCAAGGCGCCGTCATATTCGGATGCGACATCAACCCGGAAGCGGCGCAGAAAGCGGCAAAGACAATTAGAAATGACGACGAAGTCAAGGCGCACGCGACGAGGAAAAAGGCGAAGGAGCCGGTGCATGTGATGGAGGAGTCGATTGTATGTCTCTTTCTACGTACACACAAAGTGATACCGGCAGCGCTAACCCATTGATTGTAGGACGTGACCAAGGCAGCGGCTTGCAAGAAATTCTTCGATGCTTGTATGTCCAAACACGGCCGGGTAGACATCCTCGTCAACAACGTGGGTCGATCAGAACCCGGCGGCCCCGCGGAGCTCTCCGAACAAGCATGGGATGCGCAAATGGACGTCAATCTCAAATCCGTCTACCTCATGTGCCACCTCGTACTACCGGTGATGGAAAAGCAAAGCACCGGCGGCTGCGTGCTGAATGTGTCGAGCATAGCGGGGATGCGATACGTCGGGAAGCCGCAGGTGGGATACGCGGCGACCAAGGCGGCCATCATCCATTTCACCAAAACGACGGCCGTCATATATGCGCAACGGACGAAGGGCAAGGTACGCCTGAACACCGTGGTGCCCGGTTTGGTGGGGACGCCGCTTGTCAGTATGCTGGCGAAGAAGTATGGTGGGTCGGGCAGCGACGAGGCGAAGTACAGGCGGATGCGTGATTTGCAGGTCCCGACGGGCAAGATGGGTAGTGGATGGGATGTCGCGCATGCCGCGTTGTACCTCTGTTCGGATGAGGCCGGGTATGTGACTGGACAGGAAGTCGTGGTGGATGGGGGCATCACTGCCAGTACAGGGTACACGATCGACGATCTAGCGAAGCTGTAGAAAACGAGCGGACCGCTCACGTGTCTCTCGTCGATTCCAGCAGTCCAGTAACGGTCACAATCTCGTAGCCCCTGCGCTTGATCTCCGGCACCACCCTCTTCAACATCGGCAGTGTCCACGGGCGTCTATCGTGACAGATGATGATGGCTCCGGGCCGGAGGCTACCCAAGATATGCCAGGCATTCAATCTCCAGAGCGAGACAAAGGGGTCGTGCGGATAGATGCCACCGAGGATGGTGCGGTAGCCCATGTCTTTGGCCAAGTCGACCAAGCGAGAGCTGAAGATGCCAGAGCCTGGGCGGAAGTAGTGGGCCTGTCGAGGCCGGCCTGCTGCCCGATATGCAGCATCGATGTACTCGTTCACCTGCGTGATTTCCTCCTTGAGCGTTTGCGAGGGGAGGTTGATGCTGGGCTCGTCGTGCATGGCGTGGTTTCCCAACTCGCTTCCAGATCGGAGAATGCTTTGCAACACATCCTCTCGTCCAGCGACCTGGCCACCAATGGAGAAGAAAGTCGCTGCAGCCCCATTATCCTTCAGAATCTCGAGAATCTGCTCCGTGTACTGCGTCGGGGCATCGTCGATCGTGAGCGCCACCACTTTCTGCGTCGTGGAGACCTGGAATAACACTTCGGGGAATTGTCGCTGGAGCCAGCTAATGACCAGTCCGGGCGGCTTGTAGATGCAATATAAGGGCAAGATGACGAGGGCCAGCACGGCGATGGCGGTCAGCCTGGCGCTCATCCGGTTGCGACGGGCGCGACGCCTCCAACGTCCCGGAAGGCGGAAGAAGGGAGAGATGAGCGACATTCGAGCATCATGTGGCCATTACCGGGTTTTGATTGAGCTGCACTCCATATTGCGATGGCATCGGGATGGAGTGGTGTAGTGGCTGTTGCCCCTTGCAAAGCCACCGGCCGCTGCTGTGCCACATCACTCCACTCCACCACGCCCCACGTCGAGAGCTGCAGGGTTTCGCAGGGTTACATGCGGCTCAGGTGGTTTGGGAGAAAACGCATATTCTTCGGCCACCTTGCTGTCCACCTACTGTCCCATGTTGAAAGGCGTCACCTGTCGTCAATCCTACAGCTACTCATCCACCGCATCTCGACACCTCCAGCGTGCTTTCCCTACATCATCGACATACTCGCTCCGCCCTACATCCCGACCTCTCCTCCACGCAACCCACAAGCACTACTCCACCACAGCCGAGTGGCCGTACATCTACCGAAGAGAACCCTCGCCCACCATGGCCCCGCAACTAGACTCCTACTTCAAGACCGTCGACGACCTCTCCGACCACTTCATCGGTCGCCTGCGAGACGCCGTCGCCATTCCCTCCATCAGCGCCGAGACCGAGAGACGAGGCGATGTCGTCAAAATGGGCATGTTCCTCAAGAGCCAATTGGAGGCGCTAGGAGCATACATGGAGGCGCGTCCGTTGGGGCGTCAACCGGGGAAAGACATTGACCTCCCACCCGCCATCATTGGGAGATACCCGGCCAAGAAGGATGACACCAAACGCACGGTGCTAGTCTATGGACACTACGATGTGCAGCCCGCGGATGTGACGGACGGGTGGAACACCGAGCCTTTCAAGCTCACCATTGACAAGAACGACCGCATGTGGGGACGTGGGTCAACTGACGACAAAGGCCCTGTCCTCGGATGGGTCAATGTGATTGAAGCGCACAAGAAAGCCGGCGTGCCCTTCCCCGTCAACCTTCTGATGTGCTTCGAGGGCATGGAGGAGAGTGGCTCGGAGGGTCTGGACGATTTCATCACCGCCGAGTGCAAGCCGGGCAAGTTCTTTGCCGACACCGAGGCTGTGTGCATTAGCGACAACTACTGGCTCGGCACGAAACAGCCCTGCCTCACTTACGGTCTGCGAGGCGTCAGTGCATTCGGCATTGAGATCAGCGGGCCCAAGTCGGATCTGCATTCCGGTGTCTATGGCGGGACGGTGCAGGAACCCATGACTGACTTGATCCGCGTCATGGCCACTCTGGTCGACGGCGATGGCAAAATCCTCATCCCCGGGATCAACGAGCTTGTCGCCCCCATGACCGAGGACGAGAAGAGCCTCTACAAAGACATTGCCTTCTCCGTCGACGAATACCAAGAGGGCATCGGCGCCAAGACGACCATTTTCCCCGACAAGGAGAACACGCTGCAGCACCGCTGGCGCTACCCCTCCCTCAGCCTGCACGGCATCGAAGGCGCCTTCTCCGGCGAGGGCGTCAAGACCGTCATCCCGCGCAAAGTCGTCGGCAAATTCTCCATCCGCACCGTCCCCGACATGGACCTGCAAAAAGTCACCGATCTGACCGTCGCGCACTGCAACTCCGTCTTCAAGAAGCTCGGCTCGAAGAACACCGCGAAGACCGAGTGCCTCCACGACGGCCGATGGTGGCTCGCGTCGCCCCGCCACTGGAACTTCACCGCTGCCGCCAAGGCGACAGAGAAGGTGTACGGCGTGAAGCCGGATATGACGCGCGAGGGCGGCTCCATCCCCGTCACGCTGACGTTTGAGGAGGGCACGAAGAAGAATGTGCTGCTGCTTCCCATGGGCACGGGCACGGACGGCGCGCATTCGGCGAACGAGAAGCTGGACAAGAGGAACTATATCGAGGGAGTGAAGTTGTTGGGCGCGTATCTGCACTATGTCAGCGAGGAGCCGATGAACTAGAGCTGTAGCTTGTAGACGCCGTCGCTTGAAGACTCCAGCTCGTAGGGAGATATGTTCTACGCAACGTTCGCCGAGCCATTGCACCCAGTCAAGTATCCACAATTTACGTCGCAAGGCTAAGACAATCCACGTGGTGCATTGAACACGAAGGCAGCCATGACGACATCGACTTCTGTCCTCGCGATTTCCCATTCCACCAACATCACCTCAACTACTCGTTTCTTGAAACAAACGAAATGGCACCTTAATCCTACAACTTGATCCTTGAATTAGACAAGATTCCATCGCTCAATGGCGGCAGACAACAGCAGCGACCGCTCCGCGCTGAAAGACTTCCTCACCGTGCGTGCATGGTTCCATTTCGTACCCAGAATGTCAGCCTGACTTCTCTCTCGCCTCTCTAGTCAATCGCAACGATCAAAGGCGACCTAAGGTGCGTCGCCTTATCCCTCCAGGCCCGGAACTCCCCAACTAACGTGCTTGCGACCAGCAACATCACCGCCCCGCCCTTCGTTCTAGCAGACAAATCCACAACCGAACTCCCGCGCTACTGGATCGAACACCCCGACCTCTTCTGCGCGCCCGCGTACGAAGAAAGCGCAGACAAGCGCCTCCTCGCCGTGCTCAAATGGTTCCTCGCGAGTCTCAAAGGCCAACAATACGCCGGGCGCGAACCACACGAAGGCGTCAAAAAGCCCCTCAACGCCTTCCTAGGCGAAATCTTCACGGGAAGCTGCGGAGCTGAGGGCGAAGAGAGTCGGCTTGTGAGCGAGCAGGTTAGCCACCATCCGCCCGTTACCGCGTGCTATTTGTGGAATGACACAGCGGGTGTGCGCGCGGAGGGCTACACGCGGCAGGAGATTACGTTTTCCGGGTCGGTGAATATTCAGCAGCGCGGACACGCGGTCTTGCATGTGGACAAGTTCGACGAGGACTACCTGATTCCGCTGCCGAATGTGAAGGTCAAGGGCATTTTGACCGGAGGCACTTATCCCGAGCTTACGGAGCATTGCTCCCTCGTCTCCTCCGCGGGTTATGTGGCGGACGTCGATTTCTCTGGAAAGGGCTTCCTGGGCGTAGGCGGGCACAAGAACCATGTGCAAGCGTCGATTTTCAAGTCGGATGGCGCGAAACATAAGGATCCTGTCTTCACGGTCGAAGGCAATTGGAGTGAAAGTCTGACATTCAAAGACGCCAGTGGGACCGTCATCGATACGTACGATGTCACTACGGCCAAGTCGACGCCATTCAACACCTCCTCTCTAGACCAGCAGGACGCCTGGGAATCCCGCAAAGCCTGGGGAGACGTCATCTCCTCCATCCACCAGGGGAACATGCAGGGTGTAGCGGACAGCAAGAACAGCCTGGAGAATGCGCAGCGCGAGTTGCGCAAGCAGCCGCAGACGAGCGAGGAGAAGTGGGAGGCGCTCTTCTTTTGCAGGGTCGATAGTGATCCGGCGGCACAGAGGTTGCTGAAAATTGCTGGGGAGCCGTTGGATGCGAAGGACACGGGCGGCATTTGGAAATTTGATGCTGAGAGGTGGGCGAAGATTGAGAAGCCTTGGAGGGGCGCGTTGACGCCGCATGGGTGATTTAGAGATAGACGAGAGTAATGTTTATTCCTCCTCTTCCTCCTCCTCCTCCTCCTCCTCCTCCTCCTCCTCCTCCTCCTCCTCCTCCTCCTCCTTCTCCTCCTCCTGCTCCTCCTCCAAGAGCCTAGCTGCAGCTACTCCCGACCTCCACAAGACAGTCTCCTCATCGTTTGCCAGTCCAAGCTGCCGCACGCCATTCTCGAGTGTCGAATCTGGATCACCAGCATCCGCTCCCATGCGCAGCAGCTGTTTTTCTAACCTGGTAGTCTTCATTCTCCGGCCGCGCGGTGGCTGCCACCCCTCCTTCTGACGCTCATCCCACAATCCATTCCGACGGCAAAAAGCCATAAACACCCGCCAATCGTCGTCCTGGCAGAGCACATGCGGATTCCCAATCACGATGAGCCCATGCTTCGCTCGCGTGAGGGCGACATTGAATCTCCTCGGCTCGTGAATGACCCCTAGGCCTTTCGAGATGTCTTGGTCGATGAATCTATCTCGAGTCCGAGTTGTGCAGATGATTACGAGACGGGACTCCAGGCCTTGGAAAGCTTCGAGCGGGCCGATGTTGACTGCTCGCATGGAGAAAGGCGGACCCCTGGCGACTTTTCGGAGTAGTCTCACTTGGGCGGAGAAAGGGCTCATGATGCAGATCTCGTCTGGCTGGAGAAGTCCCGAGTCGAGGAACGACTTCGCATAGCGGCACGCAATCTGCGCTTCTTGCACATTGTACCACCCCCCGCCGTCTTGTTCGATTTCGTCGGTGTTGGCGTGGCTGACGAATAGCACAGGCCAGCCTTTACCTTGCCAGCATGTCGAAGTGGTCAAAGCGTCAACATCTGTTGCTTCTGGTTCGAGTGTATCGTTGTAGAACAGTGACGAAGGTATGGCCAGGATAGCGGGATGTGAGCGGTAATTGCGGATGAGGCTGGTGAAAGCCGGTCGTAGGATAGGGAGCATGTCTTGAGTGAGAGGACGCATAACGCCGCCATTTTGCTTGGAACGTGCGAGGGGGTGCTCGGAGTAAAACGGCCGCGCAGATATTCGCTCGAAGAGCGAGGTCTGTAAAGCAGTCGCTTTAGAAGCCGTGCGGGGACCAAGTTGATGTTGGTCTCCAGCCATGACGAAAGTAGGCAGTTGATCAGCGGCAAAGTCGAAGTCTTCGGGAGGAGCGACGACAAGCAGGGGTAACAAGGCTTCGAGTTCCGTAGCCTGAGCCGCCTCGTCCATCAGCAACGCCGTCCAGTGTAATGAGGGCGCTGAAGGCTTGGAATGTGGATGTATAGCGTTGTGCATCGAACACTCCAAGTGGTGTAGATCTCTGTTGCTCACACGGGCTTGCAGCAGTAACTCGGCGTCTCGGCAAGTGGTGACGGTGATGCGAAGTCGCATGAGTTCGTCAAAGAATGGAAGTGAGAACATCCCATCAGCAATGCAGCAGTACGAGAGTATATTGTCCGGAACTTCCGGGAAAGATCTGGCAGGCGAGTTCAGGCGTAGGAGCTGCCCTGGCCGCAGCTGTGCGCTTAGCCTCTGGACCAATGTATCGGCTGCGGGATCTGAAGGTGCGCACACGAGCAAGTGCGATGCTTCATCCCGTAACAAGAGCTGCAAAGCCAGTTCCACCAGCGTTTTGGTTTTGCCCGTGCCCGGAGGACCACTGATGATGTAAGGCACGTGGCCGTACGGCTCACTCGCCACGGTGTTGACTGCCCGCGATTGCTCGTAGTTGAGCAGGTCGTCGTAGAATTCCATTGACGGTCGGGCTTTGTTCAGCGTCGTCTGCTGTTGGCCATCCGACAAATCCGGAAACAGCATCGATTTGAGCCATCCATTGGACGAAGCGATCAAAGACCTCTGCGTTGCCTTCGTGGCTTCCAACACGGCCTCGATTCGCCTTGACTGTACCGTGAAAGAAGCATTGAACAACATGCTCTGTGGAACCAACGAGTCGATACGCAGCGATAGAGTCTCTCTCCGCCTATCAATACCCCAGACGACGCTGTCGTGCTGAGTGTCTTCATGACGCGGTAAGACAATTGGTCGACCGTACATGTCCGTGATAGAGGAGCCGCATACAACTTGGCCGCTCCAATCAAAGCGTAGTTGCCGGAGCCGAACGATGTCTCCGATCTCGATTCGAAGGGTCACCTCACGCAGGCCTGGCACTATCAGGCCTAGATTGTGATAAGCGGATGCAGACTTGTGGGAAGCGGCAACACTGAAACTCACTGTCGAACAAATTAGCACGTCTGGATGCACAAATAGACCAGGGGGTAACCCGACCTGTACATATTTGGACGCGGATCCAACTGAGGCGCAGTCTTCACCGATGGGTGTTTGTAGAGGGCGTGCTCATCGCACTCTGCACATAGGGCGGAATATTCTTGGTCTATGGCGGCCTGGAAGAAGGCCTCGTAGGTCCTGGGCTTTAGCACTTGCGGTGCAATTGGGTAACGCGCCAGTTCATCTGATGTGTGGTCACTGCCAGCGCTCGCAGGACCATCTTTACTTTCGTTGAGCGATGGCTTCGAAGTCTGCTGTGCTTGTCGCCGAGCATGCCACTCTCCGGTAAGGAAACGCCTGCCGGTAAAGGCACGAGCGTATGCGTCGAAATCGATCCAAGGTGCCGGCATGCACGGCACAATGTTGGCTGGAGCGTTGTTGACCGCTCGGATGTACTGAGGGATGAAGGGCCGCGCATACACGTCCAGCTTTCGCGGCTCACGGGAATCATGAAGCAGAGACATGAGGGCTACATCATGTCCCTATTAGCATACCAGTAAGAGATCTGGTGGTTGGTGAAGATAGTAAAGAAAGAAAGAAAAGAGGTGTGGAAGTAAGGTTGGAAGATCCGCAAACGAGGTGAAGTCGGGCAGCTACGAATGAGACAGGCTTGCAAGTTCGGTTTCAGCCTTATAGCACTACCTTGCCTTGCTGGTACCGTTCGTTGAGCCGCAATAGGTCCTGAGCAAGGATAGTTACGGGGTAGCATGGTGTTATGGACACGATTGAGTGCCTGGAGCTGCATGTCGATGTGGTTGTTGATGATCGTCGAGGATCGCCTTATGTAATCATCAGCACCGCCGAGACCGGCTGCAAGGCCAAAGCTTAATGAGCTCGGGTCGCATGAAATTTCGTTGAAGTCGAATGCTTGGGAGGAGGGAGTCATTCCGACCAGATCGCCAGAGAGCATTGCACTTCCAACCCATTGAACCCCCACTACTCCCTACATCCCAGCTCTCGACCATGGCCTCGACTTCTAGAAACGCAACCCGTGCCCTGCGCACCGCCCTGCGGCAGCTCAGCCAGCCTCGCGTGCAGCAACGCACCTTCGCCGTTGCCGCCAATGCCTCCCGCCCGAGCGTGCAAAAGCTGGCCACGTCTGCCTTTGTGCAGCAGACGCGAGGCAAGAAGACCGTCGACTTTGCCGGCGACAAGGAGGTCGTCTATGGTGAGTTGCCTGGCGTCTGCAGTGCAAGCTGGACTTCAATGCTGACATGCTCGCAGAGCGCGACGACTGGCCGCGTGACAAGATCCTGGTATGCTCTACTCCCTCACCTGGCCTAGAGCTCCAATGGCAAGCCCCCCATACTGATTTTCCACTCAGGACTACTTCAAGAACGACACCCTCGCCCTCATCGGCTACGGTTCCCAAGGCCACGGCCAAGGCCTCAACCTCCGTGACAACGGCCTGAACGTCATCATTGGCGTGCGAAAAGACGGAGCGAGCTGGAAGGAGGCACAACAAGATGGCTGGGTACCCGGCAAGAACCTCTTTGAGGTCGAGGAGGCCATCAAGAAGGGCAGCATCGTCATGAACCTGCTCTCCGATTCCGCCCAGAGCAGCACCTGGGACAAGATCAAGCCCCTGCTCACCAAGGACAAGGTATGATGTTGCCCAGACACAACCTACCCCTCTACTATCGCTGACATTGCCTACTCTCTAGACTCTCTACTTCTCCCACGGCTTCTCCGCCGTCTTCAAGGACATCACCAAGGTCGAGCCCCCCACCGACATCGATGTCATCCTCGTCGCCCCCAAGGGTTCCGGCCGCACCGTGCGCACCCTCTTCCGCGAGGGCCGCGGCATCAACAGCAGTTTCGCCGTCTTCCAGGACGTGACCGGCAAGGCAGAGGAGAAGGCCGTGGCATTGGGCGTGGCCATCGGCTCCGGCTACCTGTACAAGACGACCTTCCAGAAGGAAGTCTACTCCGACCTGTACGGCGAGCGCGGCTGCCTGATGGGCGGCATCCACGGCATGTTCCTGGCTCAGTACGAGGTGCTGCGCGAGAACGGGCACTCGCCGAGCGAAGCCTTCAACGAGACCGTCGAGGAGGCCACGCAATCCCTCTACCCGCTCATTGGCCAGAACGGCATGGACTACATGTACGCCGCGTGCTCCACCACCGCCCGCCGCGGGGCCATCGATTGGAGCTCGCGCTTCAAGGAGACCCTGAAGCCCTTGTTCGCCGACCTGTACAAGAGCGTGAAGGACGGCAAGGAGACGGAGCGCGCGATGGAGTACGGCGGTCGCCCCGACTACCGCGAGGCTTTTGAAAAGGAGATGGAGGAGATTCGCGGCATGGAGATCTGGCGGGCTGGAAAGGCTGTGCGAAGCTTGCGTCCCGAGAACCAGTAGGTTGGGGACGCTGTGCGTGTCGCGGCCGGATATTGCGGATTGGGAGGAGTGCTATTCGCGGGGGTGCGGCGATTGTAGTTTTTGTATCGTTGGGCAGGTTAGACAGAGCGCAACCATCACATATGTGCCATCCACAAGTCTTCTATCACGCACGAATGACGACTATGAGTCCTGTTGCTACGCTAAACCCCAAGAACCTCAGAGAGAGTATCTAGATGCATCCCTCCAGCCCACTCATCCCTTCTCAACCCATTCCATTCATTGCGAACTCAACGGCTTCCTCCGAATCGTCCCCGTCGTCTCCACAAGCCGCGGCTGCTCACTACTCGCCGCCCTCCCACCCCCAACCATAGGCCTCGGCCCCGTAATCTTGCGCGCAGGCGAGCGCATATGGACAGCCTGTGCGGACGCGATTTCCGGCTCGGGGGACAACTACTCGGCGCGTCAGCAGACTCTCCTATCTAGAGATGAAAGGGGTGGGAGGGGAGAGTCTTACGTGTCCGCTATCCCGATCCGTCTCGAGACTATACCGCACCTCCTCAATCGGCTCGAGAAGATGTCCAGATCCCCAAGGGGAACTGTAGTAGCCTCCGGGGCCTACGGCGCCAGCTGAGCCGGAGGGAGGCACGCTGCGGCTGAAACCGCTGTTGCTGTACTGCGGCTCCCATTCCATTTCGTCTTCTGGCTCGGGGGCGGCGCGCGATTGGACTGTAGAGGGGATGAGGGGGCCTTGGTCTTTGCTGCTTACGCGACTTCCGTAGCCTGCGCCTGCGGGAGGGCTGGGAATGTCGCTTGCGGCTGTTGGGCTTAGGGGGCCTTCGACCTGGCTGAGACGGTGTTTGGCTAGTCCTGCTGTGCCTGAAGACCCCCAAGTCGCGGGGTCGAAATCGCTCCCCGTCGTGCGAGTGGACAAGTCGCTTCCAGTGCGGGACGTATTATCAAACGTGCGCGCCTGCGACTCGAGCGCATTCTGATGCCGAGGCGTAGCGCCCTGCCGAGGCTGCGGGTGTTGAAGGAGGAGCGAATTGCGCACAGCCTGGTACTTAGGATCGTCGAGTTCGTATTCGAGATGGGACTCGAGGATGGGAGAGTGGATGGGGGATTTGCCGCGGGCGTACTCGTAGTCGAATTCGCGGATGGAGGTCTCGGAGGGGATGAGGGGGGAGGGTGGGCGGTCGAGTTTGCTGGCTTTGCTTGTCAGGCTGCGTCGCTCGGGGCTCGCTTCTTGCTCGCGGACGAGGCTTTGGGTTGAGCGCAGGCGGTCGTCGTCTTGGACCTCGTAGTCTTCGTCGTTGTAACGTGCTAGCGTGGAGCCTGAGCGTGAGGCTTCCGACGCTGCTTTGAGGCCGCGATAGGGCGGTGTGTTGGGGCTGTCTAGGTACGAGGCATCAGGGGGTGCGGAGGAAGCTGTAGTCTTCGACCAACGGGAGATTTTGGCCCCGGCCCCGCCAAAGACAGACGAGCTATTGCTTTGATGCTTGCGACGTCGATCGGCAGATGTTGGAGTGTGGTCCTCCTGGTGATAAGCGGTCGGCACAGCTCTCTGCGGCGGAGTGTTGACGGGAGCCAGGTCACGCTGCTGATACGCCTCTTGCGTAGGCGTAAGCAGGCGTTCCGTGTTTTCGTATTCCTGCCTCGGCGGTCTCTCATCCGGTCCATACTCATCCTCGTCACCCTCGAGCACAGTGCTCACGCGGTGCTCCGATCCTCGACGGCCGTCGTAACCGGAGTGGAACACGCGTGGCGTGTAAGCAGGCTGCGAAACCGGTCGTTGTGGCGTACTCGGATCGCTCATCGCAGGTTCCGGATCGTAGCTCGAGTCCGGCGCATTTCGCATTCGTTCGTACAAATTGACGTGATCATCTGTATACGATCCCGCAGGCGCTCGAGGGCCGGTCTGCTGTTTCAAGTCCGCTACATTGTCACGAATCTGCATGAGCATGCCCTCCACTCTAACAAGATCATTTGCGCTCTTTCCACCGGTCAGGCCGCGAAGAGCGCGTCGAAGGACGCCCTTTCGCTTCGTCTGAATCTCCTCTTGCGACAGCGCGCCCACTGTGCCCGTAGATCCAGTGGGTAGAGTCCGTGGCCCGCTCAGGACCTTGTGAGCAGTGGTGTCGGCACTGCGATCTGTGTTCTGCATGATCATCCGGTCCTGCTCAAGAATGAACGACTTCATCTCATCGAAAGACTGTCGCATCTCCGCAGCACTGTGGATGAGCGTGGTCAAGATTTCAGTATCGCGAGCATTCCGCTGGGCGTCCCGGACAGTGAGGAGGTCCATTAGCGCGACAATGTCTTTCGATTGAATGCGGTCCTTGCCCTTGCCGATGGCGCTGTCGTAAAGGGGCGAAGACATGCCGTGAGAGTTGCCGCTGGTGTGTCGATCGCGCTTGACATCAGCACCAAAGGCATCGATCCGCTCATCGAGGCTTTGGGCGTCCATGGCTCGGTTGAAGTCCTCCACATCCGCTTTGCTGTATTGCTTCTGTTCGGCTTCCGGCGTGAGGCTGCCAACAGAGCGAGAGAGAGTGTTGCGCGGGTACCTTTGGTCGGCAAAGGAATCAGGGCTCAGGGAAGTCATCTGCTTTCCGCTGAGTGACCCTCTTCTTCCTACATCAGGTGTTGTCTTGCCCTGCTCAATTTCATCCTCAACAGTTGCTCGGCGCATTGCAGAACCCGCAACGATAGCTGCAGATCCTACGGCGGCAGCAGCTAGCATCCCCTCCTCTTTGCTGCGTCCTTTCTTCAATGATTGGCTGTCTTGGCTGCTACCATCTCTGTACGCCGGCGAGGCAGGATCAGGAGTGTACGGCCAAGTGCTTTTACCAGTCACATCACCGCCAAGAGGTCCTTCAACAACGGATGGGTTGGTCGGCACATCCGACTTGGTATCACTATACCGCGCGTTCTGAAGATCGCGAGCTCCAGCTCCAGCCCCGGCATTCCGTTCGTAAGAGCGCTCCGGACTTCTCGCAGGCGACTGCTGCGGCGATTCAATGAGTCCGACATCCACCTTACTATTCGAGCCAGATCTGACTTGGGCATGCTCCTTGAGCTTCACCCACCGATCTTGACTAGGCATGGTCTGGCTGACAGTAGAGCCATGATACATCGGAGGAGTATCCTTGCTCATCTCGCGCAGATGTCCCGCGAACTTGTCGCTGTGTGTAGCCTTCGTCGGACTGCCGGAAGAGAGGGTGGACGGATCCATGAGCGACGCCACTGCCGATTCGGCTCCGTGAGGAGAGTGCACGTATTCTGGGTTCGCTCCGAGGTTCTGTAGATCTCTCTCGCCCGAGAAGGCCGAGGGCTCCGCTGGGCTGTCATCGGTGAACATTGTCCATCGCTTTTCGTCCTGCGGATAGGGGTTGGTCTGGTAAGAGTCGCGGTTTGTTGCTCTGAACGAATCTCGAACTGGGCTTCCAGAGAGGTAAGATTGGCGGGTTGGATCGTGCAAGCGGTCCTGTCCCTTTTGGAACTCATTCATAATTTCGCTCCGAGTGGGAGCGCTGGGGGATCGAGGAGATGCTTGGGCACCCGCAACGATGTTGGGTGGCTGGGCCAGTGGTGATGATCGGGTGGAATGCAGACTCGCCTGCGACGTTCGCTTCTCATAAGATCGTCCAGCTGAGGATCGTGAGGCTGCGCTTCGTGGTCGCGAGTCTCGCGAGGCTATTTCATCGCCCTCGAAATTCTTTCGCAGGCTTGAGATGCTTTGCACGGGGCTCGAGATCTTGCGTTGAGATGGCGAATCATTCCCATACCCGTCGGCATCCACATGGCTTTTGTAGACGTCATCCAGGCCTTTCGCCGCGGCAACACCAGCTATACCACCAGCAGCGAGGGCGGCCATACGTTCTGCTGAGTCCATGCGCCCACCTGTATCTCCTGAGCGTTCGATGGAAGCAGTGTCGTGCCTCCCGCCCAGGCCATCCGAACGTGACGTTCGAGTAGGCGTTCGGGACGACAGTGGTGGCGATCTCGTATCGCTCAAAGATCTCTCGGCGGCACCACGCACTGGTGTTCTTCGGTCAACCGACTCCCAAGACGAAGCGTTCTTGGTGCGGTCAGAAGAAACCAGGCTTTCGCGTGTACGCTCACCGGAAGAAGGGATGCCACCTGCCAATGGAAGCGGCGGGATTTCCTCTCGAGGGGAAGACGTATGCCGGCCTGATTCGGTAGCACCATCAGATCGGCTTCGACTGCCGCCAGACTTGCTTCTTCTTTTGCGCCGTCGCTCGGAAGAATCGCCTTTGTCGTGCATCTCGAGAGCGGCGGCTGTAAGAATTCCTGCGCCAATGCTAGCTGCACCAGCATTGCGAAGGAACGAGCTACTCCTTCTAGATGTTGGCCGGTCTTCCGAGTAGCTGCCTCCACTTGACTTGCGCGTCCTCCGCTCAGAATCACCCCGAGAGAGCACAGCCCCGGGCTCATCACCGTCTCTGTTGAGGTAGATTTTGGGCTTGCTCGAGATGTTGGGCGAACTAGAAGACTTGCTGACGCGGCGTGCATGACCATCGTCCTGGTACGAGCTCCTCCTACTGCTCCCTGCAGATCGGGGGCTTCCACTGTATCTCTGATCGTGTTTTGCAGCTTGCACTTCTGGGAGGATGATGTTCCTGATGGTGTCTTGAACCAGGCCAAGAAGCTTGGGGTTGTTCGAGACGTCAGATCGCGGCGGGTAGGCTTCACTTTCGTAGGACTTGCCCAAGCTGCGCTCGCTGCGTGACTTGCCGGATCGTAAGGGAGCCTGTGGTGGGCGGTTGAGTTTCTCCATTACTTTCTGCGCGATGCGCTCGGTGCTCCGTGTTCGAGTGCGGTCCCTTTCAGGCTCTTGCAGATAGCCCGTACTCTTCGATTTGACATAGTCGTCCCGATCGAACGAGCGAGTACGCCCAGAGTCACGGCCTTCAATCATGCTGTCGGCTGGCATGGACGATACGTTGGACTCAACCGGATTGAACAGCAGGCCCCGGGAGACGGTCGAGACGTCGCTGGCGTTGTGTCCAAGGACTTCAATTTCAATCGGGGGTTTGTTGGACAAGGTGCTTTCTGACGAGTCGTGTTCACCGCCCTGCGGAATGTGTTGACCGATTTCGACGTTTTTGTGATTTCCCAGGGAAATGCGACGGGTGTAGGAGGGCTTGCGATCGCTTCCAATACCCGTTATCTGCACCGCATCATGCGCACCACTGCCACTTCGCTTCTTGGAGCCCTGAGAGACCTTGACCCGCACAGTGGGACGGGATTTAGTCTTGTCGCCCGTCGCCGAACCCTCAAAGTATTCAATCAACAACGAAGCAGACGTCTGCCCGTTGTCCTTGGAAATCCTGCCTTCCTTCTTGCTGGCGATCTTGTGGGTGGGGATGGTAATGGGACTGCCGTCGGCGGGGATCTCGAAGCTGGACTTGTCGGTTCGCGTGGTGACGTTGGTGGCTACATCGGTTTCGAGGGCGGATGCGCCGTCGTCGTCGGTTTCGGTGGGGGCGGGCAGCGGTGGGGGAATGTCGCGGCGGCGAGAGTTGATACCCATGACCTGGACGATCGTCGAGCTAGAAAGGGGGGCGCCGATGCATTGCGGACAGGTTGTCGCGAGTTGGACGGAGGTGTGGGCAAACGGGGTGGGTTGTACGACGGGGGAGTCGCGGGCGGCACACTGCGCAGCGGCGGCGGCAGTGAAGGCGGGCGGTGCTGCTCAAACGAGTGATGGATGAGTGCAGGGGTGGGCGGAAGTCCTGATCGGAGAATTGATGGAGGATGCGGAGGATTCGCCGGTGGGATGTGAGGTTGTCGGAGAATATCCTTCTGCTTCACAGCACTTGTTCGGGGCGGGCGGGTGCTGCTTTGCCAACGCACGAGCGAATGAGGTTGGGCGAAGCTCCGCTTTGCGGTGGTTGGTTGTTGTTGATTCGATGAATAGAATCACTTGCACTCCACAGCGAGATACAAGACGGGGAGACTTAAAGATGAGCAAGAAAACTTCCGAGCGTCGTAGAATCTACAAGAAGCGATCGATCGCAAAGTGCACAAGGAAGGGAGACAGACGTGTGATGTTTCAGAAACCCGCGTGTCACAAAAAGCAGGCTGGGCTGTGTCGTCAACCCTGGCCACCCGCCTTTTTAAACTTCCTCCCCGTTCGGGCCGTTGTTGCCATGGCAAGAGCTACCCAGATTTCGACCTCTTCTTCTCCACCTCATCCTGGTGAGATCATTCGGATCCACGTGAATGGCTGACCATGCAAATACAATGCTGGCGCGTACTGTGATAATGTGTACGTAAGGTGATGAGAGTGTGTATAAGAGTTCAGTCGCAGTTTATCGCTCTGTTCTAAAAGTAAGGTGAGGTATGTACGGAAGTACTCCACTTTATCCTGCCTCGCACCCCATGATCTTCGCCGTTGAGCGTATGGACAGCATCTAAGCGCGCACCGCACTGTCCGCAAAAGGATGCGGGACAAGCGTAACACCCAAGCCAAAGAAACTGCACACGCCGAGCTCGTACGTGAAGGAGGAGCAGAGGAAAGCATGGTCGCAGAGATCGAAGCACTGATCAAAGCTGCTGGCCGGGAGAGCTCCGGTGGGAATTCCCAAAATCTGCTGACCACAGTCCAAGCGGTACGTGACGGCGTCCGAGTCGGTGTAGCTGGGGTAGTAGAACTCGTGGTACTCGCACGAGCCGGGGGTGTAGGGGTTGGTCGGGGTGGGCTTGGCCGTGCTGGTGCTGGAGGTCTTGGTGCTGGTGCTGGTGCTGCTGGTGCTGGTGCTAGTCGTGCTAGAGCTGGTGCTAGAGCTGGAGCTGGAGCTGGAGCTGGAGCTGCTTGTGCTCGTGCTAGAGCTGCTTGTGCTCGTGCTAGAGCTGGAGCTGGTAGTCTTGGTGCTAGTGGGTTTGGTAGTGGTGCTCAGTGTGGTCTTCGTGCCGGTCTCGGTCTTCTTCGTCGCCGAGGAGGTGCTGCTCGTCGTCTTGGAGGAAGTAGGAGACACCGTGGCGTGGGTAGTGCTCGTGCTCGTGCTCGTGCTCTTCTTGGTGCCCGTCTTCTTGGTCGATGAGGAGGTAGCGCTCGTCGTCTTAGAAGTAGGAGAAGCCGTGGTGTGGGTAGAGGAAGTGTGAGTCTTGCTCTTAGTCTTGGTACGCGTCGTCGGAGTGTGCGTGGGAGACGCGGGGGTGTGGGTAGAAGTAGTGTGGGTGGGAGTGTGGGTAGAGGACGTGCGAGTCTTGCTCTTGCTCTTAGTCTTAGTGCGGGTCGACGGAGTGTGCGTCTTGGAGAACGTCTGCGACTTGGTCTGGGTGTGCGTGTGCGTGTATGTGTGTCCATTCACGCCAGTCCTCGTCTTTTCCAGCGTCAAGCGGTTCGTGCTAATGGTAGCAGCATCGACGACCTGGCTCAAGGCGTACAGTGCCACGCTGGCGTAGGTAAGGAGTTTGACCATTTTGATGGGTGGAGAGGAGTATGTCTCGGGAAGAGAGTAAGATGAAGAAGATTGAGAGCGGTGTTACGCTGAAGGCTTTGCGAGAGGATTGATGAGAGAGCTGATGATGATGATGGAAACAACCTACATCTTGCCGTCGAGGGAGCGTCCTTATATACCATCCGCAAGCTCGTTGTCCTTCCTCTTGATCGAAACAGCCAAGAATTGTCATTGACGTCCAGACCGTCGGGCCCGAATTCATCATCATCATTGCCTCCGGACCTCAACTCTAGATGTCAGCTTCAGGGGCTTGGCCCTGCTTCGCCCGCAGCGGTACACTATCGTCGACCTTTTAGATGAAAATGGGCGCCAAACACCCGCAACTTACCACCCCAGCGGCAGTGTCGTTCACCAAAACCTCCGGAACTCTCCCAATTCTCCGCCATGATTGGAAGAGCGAGCCTCCCGTTCCCACCGCGACCCACGGTACGAAAGAGGCTTTGCAAATAACTCTACTCTGCTCCCGCCGGAATGTTCACCTAGCACTCGTGCCTGGTGCCGTCTTGGCCAATCTGGATGCCTCGGAGGAATAGGTGCGTGGTGTCCATCCTGGCGCAGCCTTTCAGTCCCACGTGGGATATAGTCCGAAGAGTGGGAGGAGGCTGAAGGTTACCTGAATTCCTCCCACAGTCAGCGGTCCAGAAGGGGACGCGAAAAAGTTTTCCCCTCTGTCTCACCACGCCCACTGTTCCGCCGACTCGGAAAGCGTGACTTCACTGCATCGCCCTTCCAATTCCGTCAATTGGAGCAAGGCTGCCGACGCTCGGCATACCGCGGAGGCTGATATATACACGAGTTACCATTGACTGCTCGCCTGGGGGTTGGTAGAGTGGTGGAGGTGATTAGTCGATCTCGTCTCATATACAATGGTGTGCTTCACTCCGCCCCATCCACGCCAAGCTCCAACCCCACCACGTAGGGAATCTAGGCAATGCTGAGACGTGATGGGCCTCGATGAAGCCCCGAGCGATGGAGTTGTAGATTTTGCTAGTCTTCGGGGTGGGCAAGCACGGGAGGACTAGGACGGACGGGGCGGGCGATCTGGCGCACGGCAGTTTCCTCGTGGTGTCCCGACGAGAGGATTAAGACACGCGGGCCGGCCCTGCCTGCTAGCGCGAACCATCGCTGGGTGGGTCCGGGTTGTCGGTGGCCTTGCAGTCTGGAACTGCCGCGCATCCATGGTTCCCATCTTCTGCCACCAATCCTTCACCACGTGGAATAATCAGCCACGGAAAAAACCGTGTTGCAGCGAGATCACTAAACAGCGGGCACCTGTGGTTCGCAGGGCAGTGCAGCGCTGCTCCGATTAGGCATGGCCTGCCGTGTTTTCCGGCCTCATTCGGCAAATCCGCGGACATATCACGGGAACGGCCATTGCCCAGCAACATAGACCGCTCTAGGGCGCCTTGGTCGCTCTTGCTTGGCGTGAGCACTTCCTTTTAGGGTGCCAGTGGTTGGTGAGATCGACGAAAAGGAAACACACGGCGTCCTATTTCGCTTTCTCAGCCTCCCTGGTGGCGTGAAGATTAAGGGGTGGATGGGGTGGTGGCTTCCTTGGTGGGTGTTCTGGGTTGCTCGTCGCTGCTGGTACTGGTGGGACTCATTGCGGATGTTAGATGCGGCGAGATGATTTGCATTGGTGTTCCGGTCTTTGTGCCTTACGGCCGGAGAGGATCGTTGGGGATCTGGAATCTCCGTCTTGGTAATCGATGTCGTGATGGTGAGACTGCGGCGTGTTTTGCACCTCATCGTTGACGGTGGCTTCGGATATGAGGGTTTCCGGCCGCAGAAGAGGCGTTCGTGGAGTTGGTCTTCAATCTTGGCGTCTCCGGTCTCTTCTGGCCTTGAGCCTCATGGGCGTATTCGGAGCCGAATCTTTATCTTCGCCTTCTTCTGCCTTCTTCTGCTTTCCGTTCGACAGAGACGTGGACGATGGCCTTCGGCACTCCGGTTGAATAGCTTTACGGTTTGGATGTAATGGGGTAAACATCTAGATCGACAATGTGGGAGCAGTTCTCGGTTTACTCTTCAGACTGCACGCCTTCCTTACGACCAGCGAAGTTCGAGATCACTGTCTGCACGGCACGGCATGTCCATACTACGTGTTTATTGGCAAATGACTGTGTTGAAATTCCTTCTCATTCCGCAAAGAGACAGATACCTACAGTAATCTATCCTAGCCCCGTGACAATAATGTTGCTTATTATTCAATCCCTGTGGCCAGCGCAGCATTGACTCGCGCACCCCTCCAACCCCTTACCCACATCCCCACCAATCAGTGCCTCATAGCGTCCAAGCCGCCCTGCAACTCCCTCTCCAAATCCTGTCCCTGCTGCCGCTGCTGCATCTCCTGCGGCCGCGGCTCCCCGTACTGGCTCGAATCATAGCTATCGGGGATAGGCACCTGCTGCGCAGGCGTCTGCGCCTGGTTGGAGTACTGCAGTTGATTGGGGTTGCGCACGCTCGCGCGGAACTGCTTGACCTCGTCGATGATCATGCGCCGCATCTCGGGGACCTCGTCCACGCGCTCAAACTCAAAGTCAAAGGGCACGGGGCACGCGGGCTCGTCGGAGGCGTCGTGCCAGATGGACAGGTAGCGGTGCTCCAGCGCCTCCTCCACGCCGATGCGCAGGCTCGGGTCGAAGGCGAGCATGCGGTCGAGGAGGTCGAGCGCGTCGGGGTTGGCGCGCGGGAAGAGCTGGTGGAAGGGAACTTTGGCCATGTATGGCAGGTTGCGCACGTACTCCTGGGCGCGGGGAGAGCCGATGCGGGAGAGTGTCGATTCGGATGGGGTGCCGAGGTAGTGGAGGATCTGATTGAGTTGATCCACGTAGTCACGGCCCTTGAAGAAGGGCTTGCTGCCTAGGAGCTCCGCAAGGATACATCCCACCGACCAGACATCAACTACATGGGAAAGTTGGTAAGCAAGGTGGACGTGCAGAACAAATGGCACAGCACTCACTGGCTTTGGTGTAGCTCTGGAAACTCAGCATAATCTCCGGCGCTCGGTACCATCTCGTGGCCACGTATTCGGTCATGTAGCCGGCGTTCTCGTCCGGGTCAGTGCTGAAGCCTCGCGCTAGACCAAAGTCGCAAATCTTCAGCTCACAGTCCGCATTGACCAGCAGATTGCCCGGCTTCAGGTCACGATGCAGGACATTGGCGCTGTGGATGTACTTCAGGCCGCACAGGATCTGATAGATGAAGGACTGGAAGTGGGCGTCGGTGAGGGGCTGGCCGGAGCGAATGATGGCCGCAAGATCGCACTCCATCAGTTCTGCGCGAAAGGTCAGTGATGTAGTAATAGGAAGAGGGAGAAGCGTTGTCTATCTCACCCTCATACAAGTACGTCTCGTTGAAGGTTTCAGCAGGGCGGGGAATGTCCATGTCGTACAGGCAGGTGATGTTCCTATGCCCGCGGAAGTGTGTAAGCAGCTTCAGCTCACGCAGCGCACGCTTGGCGAGGATCTTCTTGCTGAAGACATTGGTGAGCTTCTTGATGGCCACGCCTTCTCCCGTCTGGTTGTTGGTCGCGGCGCAGACAATGCCATACGCGCCCTGGCCCACCTCTTTCGTGACCGTGTAGCGTTCGTCGACGATGAAGTCTTGGTTGAAGACCTTGAAGACCTTGCGGCCGTGCAGCGTCGCGTCGCCCATTTTGTGTTGTGTCTGCTCCGTTTGCGGCCGCGGGTGGGGCGGTAGGGTGCGGCGGAGATATCAGCTGATGAGAGGTGGAACTCGTGCCGGCTCAGCTCTGGCGGCGATTGCGACGAGATGCAAGTATTTGCGAGGCGGCGCAGAGAGCAGAAGGAGGATCGAAAGGTTTCCCAGTCGCTGCAGAGGAAGGAAGACGATGCGGTGGGCTGAAAGAGAGCGAAAGGAGCAGAGTTCGAAAAGCGGGTACCGCCTCGTATTCGAAAGGACGACGCTGTAGCGATCAATGGGCAGGCAGCTTTGGACACGGCGAGACGGGCGAAGCAGATGGAACGAGCGATGCCGGCAGTCGCCTCCAGGGAGGGAGGAAGGAAGGTGCAGGGAGCTACCTTAAGTAGGCAGGCACGGTGGGCTGGTCGGGTTGGATGACACGAAGGGCAGTCAGTCGGGATGGACGAAGCTGGGTGCAAGGTGGAGTCGGTGGTGGGGGTGGGCTGAGAGATGAGCTTTCGCCGCGGCCGCCCACTCATCCTTCGCCTTTCCCGCACCCCAAGCTTTTCGGCGGAAGCGAGCAGATGATGTGTCTCACTCTTCTGCTGCGCTGCACACGGAGTACCCGACCGGTCGCCAGTGCCGAAAGCTTGTCCTGTCATCAAGGCCCATCATCATCACCACCTCAATCAGCTTCCGTACTACTCGACATATATCGGCCTCGCCGTAAGTGCGCATACCGCGCCATCCGACTGTCCGATACCGATGCCTGGATGCCATGCTCTAGCAGATAGACGGCGATGCAGGGCAGGCATTGATACCTGACTGATGTTGTGGTCGTACTCCGGGTTATGCTGCTGACGTGAGTACATTTCTTGATGCTTACATTTCTCACTATCTCATATCTTCATCCTTTTCATCAACTTCCATTTCGCAAAATGTCGGTCGATGTGTCTGGCGTGTCCCCCGGCACCGTCCTGGTGATTGGCGGCAGCGGATTCGTCGGCAGGCACTGCATCCAGCACCTCCTCCGCGAAGGCGTCTCCTCCATGCACACGCTCAACTCGCGCATGCCCCCCGAAGATCGCAGAATCGCTGGCGTCGAGTATCATGCCGTAGATCTTGGCAACGCTGCGGGTGTCGAAGGTGTTATGCGGCTCGCCAAACCAAATGTCGTGATCCACTTGGCTTCCCCACGCCCTTTCATCGAGCAAGCACCGGTATACGAGCGCGTCAACATTCAGGGCATTCGAAATATACTAGCAGCATGCGACGCCGTGGCCGTCACCAAGGCCTTCGTCTACTGTTCAAGCGTTCCGGTCATCTTTCGCAGTTGGACCGATATCGTGGGCGGCGACGAGTCATGGCCGGTGCTTTACGCCCCGGAACAGAAGGAATTCTACTTCCACAGCAAGGCGATGGGCGAAAAGCTCGTACTACAGCACAATCGACAGAATAAGCAAAACATGCTAACGACCGCGCTCCGAGTGACGTCCATTTTCGGAGAGGACGACTGGCAGATTATTGGCGGTTTGATTTCGCGAGCAAAAACGGGGCAACTCAACACGCAGATCGGCGACGGCAAGAATCTTAACGACTGGACTTACGTTGGAAACGTCACCGCAGCCCACGTCCTCGCTGCGAAACGACTTCTACGTGCTGGCGCCCACTCCGACCCTCCCGAACAGCGGGTGGAAGGGGAAGCCTTCTTTATCACGAACGACGACCCACGCCCGTTCTGGGACTTCGGCAGACAGGTGGCCGCCGAGGCAGGATTTCCAGTCCGTCCCGAGGACATCAAGATTCTTCCAGCGATTATGGCCTATCTGATCGGTGTCGTGGCCGAGTGGTATGTGTTCCTTACGAGCTTCGGGCGACGGAAATCGCAGGTGTCCAGAGCGGTGCTGCAATTTGCCGTCATCAACCAGGTCTTCTGCATCGACAAGGCGAAGAGACAGCTTGGCTATCGGCCGCTGGTTAGTATTGACGAGGCTATCAAGCGCTCGGTAGCCTCGTTCCAAGAGCGCGATGATGGCGAGTATCTGGCAAAAACGAAGTAGCATCGCCGACACCCAAGACTAAGTGGATCAAGATTGCATAAATAAATCAAGACTGCTTCTGTAAACAAATATATCCATACCTTATCTATTGATGAGCGGATGTGGTGTTGGCTATCTACTGAATGGATCTCCCAGGAGTAACTTTAGCCGAGGTCCTCCTGCACGACGCACCGCTCGCGGTGTAGAAATTGCCCTTTCGGTCCGCCCGCCAGTCAGGCTGAGTGACTTTACGGCAGTAAAGGGGCCACATATCATTCCTCCCCGGCGTCTTCTAGTACTGTCCATTGCAATATGGCTGCTACGAGATAGCCGAGTGTTGACACACGCCTCTTCCGTCCGGCTGATGCCCCTTGAACCCGCACTGCTGCCACATTATTCAACATCGCCATGCCTCTCGAAGGGATTGACGGGCTGGAGCTGCCTGCGGCGGCGGACATGCACGTCCACCTTCGCGATGGAGAGATGACGGAGCTTGTTGTGTACATTGGCCCTCCTCTGCTTCCGTTCGTGCCCTCCAGCTGACACCCTTCCAGGCCAACGATTAGGCAAGGAGGAGTAAATACGGTCTTCGTCATGGTATATCCGCCTCTACACGACAACAGCCAATTCGTACTAATCCCAAACCCCAGCCGAACCTCGTGCCGCCGGTGACTTCAGTGCGCCATGCCCTGGACTACCAATCCCGCCTCCAGGAACTGGAGCCCAACGTCACCTTTCTCATGTCCCTCTACCTCCACAAGAACATCACGCCCGACACAGTGAAAGAAGCCAAAGCCCACGGGATAGCAGGCATCAAGTCCTACCCGCACGGCGTCACCACCAACTCCCACCAAGGCGTCGTCTCGTACGAAGAATTCTACCCCGTCTTCGAGGAAATGGAGCGGCAAGACATGGTCCTCAACATCCACGGCGAGGTTCCCTCCACCGCACACGAGGACATCACGGTTCTCAACGCCGAAGAAGCCTTCTTGCCCACCCTCCTCGACCTGCACCGCCGATTTCCCAAGCTGCGCATCATCCTCGAACACTGCACGAGCGCCGCGGCCATCAAAGCGGTGAATCAATGCGGGCCCAACGTCGCGGGCACCATCACCGCCCACCACATTTTCATGACGGTCGACAGTTGGGCTGGAGATCCGCACTGCTTTTGTAAGCCCGTGGCCAAATTGCCATCGGATCGACGCGCCTTGCTACGGACGGTTGTAAGCGGTGATCCCAAGTTCTTCCTCGGTACGGATTCTGCACCACACGCGGCCAAGTCGAAACGGGCGGACAAGGTTGCTGCGGGGGTGTTTACGCAGCCGTTTGCAGTTGGGCTCGTTATTGATGCGCTAGAGGAGGGGCTGGAGATGGGCGTTCTGCAGGCAAAGGACGTGACCAAGGAGAAGCTCGAGGGCTTTTTGAGTGGATATGGGCGCGCATTCTACAAGTTGCCCGAGGAGGCAAAGGAAAGAATTGTGGTCAAGAAAGGGACGGCGACCATTCCCGAGATTCTGGTTAGCGAAGACGGTGGCATAGAGGTTGTGCCGTTCCGGCGGGGCAAGATTACTTGGGGCGTGGAATGGAAGCAGTAGAGGAGATGTGTGTGTACGAATCTCAGCAGAACCTCAACGTTAGGCAGAGTCTGAACCCGCAAGGCTGTTCTATCTATGGTAGCACGGCGTAATTGGACCGATGTAAAGCTGGTCCAAGATCATATTGACGTGAGTTGCATCTGGTGAGCATTGGACGCTAACAATAAACGTTTCCTTAAGATTATGCGTCGTTTGAAGTGAAGTCATGCTCGTAAGGTCGTCAAACGGAACCCTCGCTGACGCCGACATCGGTCGTACAGACTTTCCGACTACCTCGCTGCTTACCTTACCATTGCTCACCACAACAACAACACCACCCCCCATTCGATCGATGTGTAATTCGTGAGGGTGACGAGGGAAGAGCACTCGCTAATCAACATGCCTAAACAGCAGTTCCACCAAGAATCGTTCATTCACGCAGCAGGCGAGATCGGATACCTCGAAGGACTCACCATCTCCCACCAAACCAATGGCGCCAGAAACAAACCGCTACTGCAGTACTTCGGCGGCATTCCATACGCCCTACCGCCAGTAGGACCCCATCGATTCCGCAAGCCAAGACCATTGCCAGATCACTATCGCTATGGCACGCGCGTCAGTCCCGGCCGCTTCACGCACTATTCAGCAACATGTCCTCAGCCTGACGGCCTGGGGCCGTCCGATCGATCGAAGTGGGATGAAGACTGTCTGCAACTCAACATCTACCTCCCGGCGAACCGACAGCGTCCCGCGAAAGGATGGCCCGTCTTCTTCTACATTCACGGCGGCTTCCTTCAATGGGGTGGTCCCAATATGACGCCTGAGGCGATGACGCCGCTTCTCAGTGAGACGGCGCTGAACGCTATCGTTGTGATGCCTGGATACCGCCTGAACTTGTTTGGATTCCTCTCCGGCAAAGAATTGCATGCTGAGGCCCAAGCGGACGGTGAAGCGAGTGGGAACATGGGCTTCTGGGATCAACGCTGTGCTTTGGAATGGACGGCGAAGAATATTGGGTTCTTTGGAGGTGATGCGGACAACATCACCGTTGGAGGGTATTCGGCCGGCTCGCATAGTGCGTTCCATCAGTTGGCTCATGAACTGTACTTTGTGTCGGATGAGAAGGCCGTCATCAAGCGCACCATCATGTGGTACGTACAACGCATGCCTTGTTCGATGATTGGTTGGACTAATGCACGACACAGGTCCAACTCTCCCGGCGTGCAACCAAGGACGCCTGCGGATCACCAAGCTCAGTTTGAGGAGTTGCTCACAGCGTTGCGCATTCCTCTGTCGCTCACGGCGGAAGAGAAGCTCGCGAAGCTCCGCTCGGTATCTGCGCAAGAACTGGTAGACGTGCAGAACAAGTTGAAGATCTCCGAGTTCCGAGCGACCACAGACAATGCCTTCGTTTCCGCAGACTTGTTGGCCAACATCAACCGAGGAGACTTCGGCAAGCGCATGAAGAAGCGAGGGATGAAGCTGATGAATGGCGAGTGCAGAGACGAGCATAACCTCTACGAAGCATGGAGGACGCCGGCGGCAACCTTTGACGCCGTCCGCACACGCCTCATCGGCGACTACCCCGAAGCCGTCGTGGACAAACTAATGCTGCACTACTGCGGGGAGGGCAAGTCTTTACCCCCGGGCGTCAAGGGCTGGCAAGATCTGTTTGGCCGCATCTACGCGGACATGCAAGTGCACCACCTGGAACGCGGCTTCCATCGCGCCCTCCAGCTCGGAGGCCTCGAGTTCGGCAAAGACGTGCTCCGCTATCGCTTCAATTGGCGCGCAGAGTGTGTAGACGGCATCTTCCCGCGCGAATGGGGTGTGACGCACGCCACCGACATGGCCATCTGGTTCTGGGGGCTGGACTACGGCGAGGGTTTGCTGGAAGCGGAGAAGCAGTTTCTGGCCCCGTGGAACAAGGTCTTTGCCGCCTTTGTACATGGTGACGACGGCGAGTGGCAAACGAAGGGTGTCAAAGAGGTGATGCGCCTCACGGCTGATGGTGAGACGGATGTGTGGGTTGACAATCGGTGGGAAGAGGGGTTGAGACTGTGGGATTTCCTCCATGCGTCTGGCAGCGCGCCCATCAAGGCCAAGCTGTAGCATGCCGGGCGGGTATGTGCGTATGAGACAGCTGCGGCTTTCCGGGCGTGGGAAGCGATCTGGACGGAGAGGCGCAGCGCAGCGCATGGTATAATGACGAGAAACTCTTTCAGCCACTGCGACCATCGCACAATTCCATGCAAATCAAACCCCGCCGGCCGTGAGACATGCTTGCATGTCAGTCGTGGCAGCCTTGCGTGAATGTTTGTCTCGCACAAACTGACAAGCTGTGCCACGCATTCACCAAACATCCCTCCATTCACCAAACATCTTGCCATCGCTGATATATTTAACAGGCGCCGCACATGGCACTCATTCAGCATCTCTCTCCAACATCCTCCCAACACTCCTCTGACGATCGGATCACCGCTCACCAGCCTCTGCCACCACCTCATCGCACAACTCCATCATGAGCAAGCCAGCCTTGTGCCAGCCTCCTCCACCAACCGTCAGCATGCAAGGCCCAACTACTCCGCGTCTCTACTTCTATATCACCAGAACCAACGGGGCGCTCGTGCCGCTGATCCCCGCCGACGAACTGCCCCTCGATGTCAAGCTGCAAGGCGTCCCTCGTGCCCTCAACTCCGACCAGGTCTTTGCTCTTACATCCGTCGGCGAGCTGCCTTCTACCGGCTTGACGTTCAAACTGGTGGCTTCGACTCAACCTCTCAGCACGCCGGCACTTCGAAGCCCGACCACGCTGGCGTCGATGACTGCACCATCTGCCGCCCCTGATGAAACCACCCGCCGAGCGATCACAACCACTCACTCCTGCCACTCGTCGTACGACAGCCCCCGCCCAACTCCCGCCGCCCACGAAACAGCAACAACCTGGCGCTCCACCCCGAAACCAACCCCAACCCCAACCGCGCAATCAATCATAAACGCCATCCTCGACACAGACGCAGGCGCCAGCACCGCCGCCAAAATCGGCTACATCCCGGACTCCCGCAAACCCATCCCGCCCTCTGGCGCGCTGCCCGACCCCGAGAAGAAGACGTACTGCAGCCACTGGATCCGGCACGGGGAGTGCGATTATACGCAGCAGGGCTGTCGGTATAGACACGAGATGCCGGACCGCGCGACGCTGTTGAAGATTGGGTTTCGCGGGGTGCCGAAGTGGTGGGCGGAGAGGAATGTGGTTGTTAGACTTCCTGCGGAGGGGGAGAGGGGTGGGGGTGCTGCTGGTGAGAGGCCTTTTGGTTGGGCGAGGACGGGGGGGAGAGTGCTTGATGGGGTGGATGGGGTTTCTTCTGCTTCGTCGTCGAGGGGGAGCAGTGTGTCTGAGGCTGCGAGTGTGAAGCTCACTGCTGTTCCTGTGGTCCCGCGCGCGGTGAGCAAGGTCACCGCGAGCGTGACGAAGCCCGTCCGCCCGGTTGAGGTCAAAGAGGTGCCGACAAGCGTGCGCGTGGTCCCTTCGGGCAGCATCGAAGTCGACCTCATAGACTTTGAGCCGCTCATCCCAGCACCAGCCCCTGCTTCAGCATCAGCTCCAGTCGCCTCGTCGTCAATCGACAAAGCCGACACCGACAACGCTACCCCTTCCCCAGCTTCCAACAGCCACAGTGTCACCACGAGCACTCCCAAGACCATCCTGAGCCCGAAGAACGCCTTCATCGCCGCCGGCGAGCACCCCCTCGCTCAAATCGCCAACGCAGCACAAGCCAAGGCCACGCCTCCCGCTACTTCCTCGCCTCCTCGCCCTACACACCCCGAGGCGAAGACCACCCAGTTGGTTCCCAGGGCTAGGTACAACGGCGGCCTCATGGCGTCCAGGTTCGCTGTTCCGCAAGGCCCAGCTGGGGGCGCCACGGGGCCTTCGCCGAGGGGCTACAAGGCTTCGCCGAGGTCTGTCACGGCTGCGCAGCGTAAGCATGCGGCTACGCTTGGGTGTCGGGATAGGCGGTCGGCGACTGCTTCGGGGTGAAGTCTCTCGAAGATAGGGTAGGGCACGGGGCTTGATGAGGAGAACAAAGGCAGAGTGGTTTGAGGGTCGGGATGAACAGCTCGAGAGGACAGGACTTTGGGCAGACTCTGGCGGACGCGGTTTCTTCGCTCATATAGCGCGCTTGTTTGGAGTATTACATACATACACAGATCACAGGTCATTACACCACCACACCTTCCAATCATGCTCATGAAATCGTAAACTCCGCACTCGTCCCCTCAAACGGCGTAATCGTCCCTCCAAGAGACTTGGCATCGCCATAGTACTTGATCCTATACCGCCCCTGCAGCGAAGCAGTCTTCTCCTCAGTAAGATCTCGCTCCTTCTCCTGCGCCTTTAGCAGACCATCACCACTCTCCGGCCTCCAGGCGCCAGTCTCCCACTCCGTCTCCCAACTAATCGTCGCCTCGCTAGTCCCCAGCACCGTCGACGTTCGCTTCCACTGAAAAACGAGACTCCAATCACTATCGTCTCGAATCTGCACCCAAGTCGACGTATCGGAATCGAACTTCTCGACAGCAGCGAACGTGCCGCCCAAATGGAAATTATTCCGCGGGTTCGCGGCGACGAAAGAGGCGGAGATGTTCGCGCCGGGAGTGTACGCTGTACTCGGAGCGGTGACTTGGTCGCCGAAAGACCTGAGGAAGCCGGCGTTGTCGACTATGACGGGGTTGATGAAGGTGAGGGCTTTTTCGATTAGCCAGGGTGGTGAAGGGCCGGGGGCGAGGGGCGGGAGGTGGGAGGTGTTGGTGCTGAGGTGTGGGAGTGCGGTGAGAGTTAGGTTGAGGTAGGCATTGAGTGTGTGTGGGCCGTAGAGGGTGGAGGCGCCTTCGTAGCGTTGCACCGAGTACTCTTCTGGCGTGGTGATGTAGTGGGTGTAGGAGTTTGCGGGGCCGCCGAGGACTACGACGGGGTCCACGCCGGCGTCGGTGATGTCGGTGAAGTTGGAGGCGGCGTGCTGGTGGACTGCGTTTCGCCAGCGTCTGCCGGACATGGTCGTTGCTTCGCCCGGCGAGACGATGATGAACAACTGGCCCACGCGGAACAGCTGGATGTCGACGATGTTGGGTGACCAGGGGTATGGCGTGTTCGTTTCGCCAACATCTAGTAGGATCGGCTTCACGCCGTGACAGGCGATTTGAGTCTCGTTGGGGCTATGCAGCGCGCCACCGACTACCGACCACAATGGATTGGCATGAGGATCGTTAGGTTGGCCTTGCTTGAAGTCGAAGGCTCCAGGCCCATCTGTCGTTCCGGCTGCGAATGAATAGCCGAGTGCAGCAGGACAGGTCTTCACCATTGTTCCGTTTGGTAAGGGAAAGCGGTAGTTGCTCAACTCGACGAAATGATGCAAGCTTTTGACAACGTTCCCAGTGATGGGTGTGAATGCCGAGGGAGTGTCGAACAGTCGTTTTGCAGCGTCGAATTGACGCCTCCCGATTTCGTAATTTGACGCTGCGCCGCCGTCGTGGAGGCCAAAATATGGTCCTCGACCGTGGCACGGTTGAGAAGCATTCTTGCCTCCTGAAGTCTTACAAAGGCTCGTCTCGAAGTCACATGACTCGCCGGCTTGTGGACCATACTCGCAATATGCACCGAGAGTATTCGGAGAGGTGTCACCCACATTTGCTTGGCTAAACCCGGCGACGAAGGTAGGATCATTCATCGATTGCTCAAACATCCACGCGGCGACGCCTTTGTTGTCTCCTGTCACCATCGAGTTGTTGCCTAGCATACTCGTGCCGTGGACAGCGAACCAATTGAGCATCCCAATGTTGCGCTCCCCGGAATCCGTGCTGTGGGTGAAGCGCAGAAGGGTGAGGTTCTTGTCCACATTACTGGTATATAGCGCCCGCTCCTCGGCAGGGTTCTGGAGATATGCGTATGGACTCCTGTTGATATTCGCATCCTCAAGTTGGATTACGCCTACGCTGAGGTGGCCAGGTGCGAGGTTGGCATGTGCTAGCTTGATCGAAGCCACTGTTCCATCAACAATGGCTTGATAAGAAGGCTTGTAGAATCCTTTGCTGGTGATCTGTGGCAGCAGATAATTCAACCAAGCTCCAGGTCCGCTGTGGGAATGCGTGCCCACCACGGCGACATTGTGCTGGCCGTATACGGAGTACTCCGCGCCGAGTTTAGAGAGGACATCAAGGACGCCATAGCGGACGGCGGTATCTCCTGCCTGAGTGTCGAGGTTGAGGTAGATGAAACGCTGAGTTGGATCGTCCGTGTGGCCAATGATGAATGCTCGCGAGTACAATCTCTGCCGCAGCCCGCTCCCAACCTGGCTGGTGTTGGCGTAGCCCATGAAGTTGATCTCCACCACTGGCCCGGTGATGTCTGCCTTGCCGACTCCCAGAAGATATTGTGTGCCTTTATTTTGAGGAGCATAGGTTGTGCCAGTGCCAAGTAACGGACCCTTCCAGCTCCAGAGCCAAGTAGTAGATCCGGAGCCGCCGAATGAGAACAGAAGGGCGAATGACGATAAAGTGATCAAGAGCCCAGCCAGCAAAGCGGAATGCAAATTTGATCGAGCCATATCCGCCAGATGGAGTCGCAGAGACTCTAGCAATTACGAAATGAGTCTTGTCCAGATCCAAGGCAGTCAAAGACGAGCGCAGCCGTGGCCCTTCCGGGCTGGCCGTAGAATTGGACGTGCAAGATTCCAGATGAGTCCAAGCAGGCAAGACGACGTCGGTGTTAGATGCTCAAAGTCCTGGATGATCTAGAGGTGGTTGATTAGCTAGTGAGAGAATCATGCGACGGCCAACGTTGATGAGACGAGATGTGATGCGTCGTCACGGCTCCTGCCAATAAAGGCAAGTAAATAACGCCGTGCGTACACCTGGGATTGACACTGTAACTTTGAGCACGGAGACTTGCAGTGCTGATCTTTGAAGATTCTCAAACAACGACTTCACAACAAAAATTCCTCAAGCAAAGCCACGGGTGCCAAGATGCCGTTGATTCAAAGCACAGCAGACGCGCTGCCATACATAGACGCGGCGCCGTCCCCGGAAGCAATGGAATCGGCCAACGCTTTGATCCAAGCAGAAGTGTCGGCGGAAAATCAGACGTCTCTGCATCCTTCTCTTCCAGCTTTTGATGCGCCCGCCTTCTCCGAATTGATCACTGCAGAGCATGCCCGCTTGGCAACGGGAGGGGCGAAGGCAGGTGGCATTGATCTCACTCGCTACGAGGCCCTCGACGCTCCGGAAAAGGGCAATCTGGAAGCGTGGAAGGCGACACTCGCCCAAGCGTATGCGAGCGTGGAGTACCTTCGCGGACGGGAGATCAATCTAGGCTTGCTGGAGACGTACGGCAAGAATGCATGGCTCATTGCAAACAGCCAATTAGAGGACATTCTGAGGAGTCTGGAGAGGGAGGTGGAGGCGTCGAAGCTGGAGTTGGAGCAAGTGGCGCAGGCTCGGCGGGTCGCGCAGGAGAATGTGGCGGGCGAGATGCAGAGTCTGGAGGAGACGTGGAGGAAGGGGGTGGGGAGGATGATTGAGACTCAGGCTGCTGTGGCGGGGCTTAAGCAGGAGATGTTGGAGAGGAAGCGTGCGGCTGCCGCTGTGGCATCATGAGGAGTGCCATTCAATCGACCAAGCTCAGCCTCGAGAGTGTGTGCACGCGCATACCGACTCTCTTTCGAGATGGCCCAGGGCGCCATGTGCACCACGTGGAGCTCCTGCCATGCACACGTCCGGAAAGAACACGCTTCGACGAGGTGGGATACACACGCAGTCACGCGGGGCAACCCGGGCAGGGCAAGAACGACCACCGAATCCCCACCCTGCACGTAGGATGAAACACACCACCCACCTCCATCGTGCTCTTGGGCATCACCATCGCTAGCCACGCGGCCACCCCACTCCACCCCATCAGCATCAACATCACCGTCTCCAACGCGGCGGAAACATGCCCCTCACCCGCTTCTCCTCCTTCAACGCCTCCCTCCGCTCCCGCACCGCCTCCCCGCCCGACATGCGTCCATATCAACACGCCTGTCTGGGCCTGGGCCAAAGCAACGCCCGCCGTCTCCTCAAGCGCTCGCAACTCAGCAAGAAAGCCCGACGCGAGCCCCTCGAGCCCGACGAACGCAACTTCACCCTGCACGAGGCAGCGGCATTCGAAGCAGCGGCCGCCGCAGCAGCCATTGCCGCCTACGCCGCCGCCCAACCTGTGCACCGCCCGCCAGCAGCAACAGGCTACAGCGTGAAATGCTACGCCACGCACGCCGAAGACGAAGCAAAGCGAAAAGACACGGCGCTCATTGAGAAGGAGAAAACAGCGCTCTTCACTTCCATCAACTCCTCCCGTCACGCTGAAGGCAAACACCCCCTCCGCCTGTGTCCCCTCCTAACCCGCCACGCGCAAGACCACGCCGACACGCTCTTCAAAGAAGACACCCTGCACACCGCCTCTTTCTACCCGCCCTCAAGCACCGACAGCAACCCCCCACCAACAAGCACAGACAACACCTCCCACCCCACCCCCAACCAAGTGGTAGTAGTCATGACCCCCAGCGGCGCCCGCTCCGCCCGCCTCGTGAGCCCGCCCCGAATGGGCGCCCTAGCCTGCGGCGAGCTCTGGTACGGCGGCAAGTACAAGCGGCACTTGTTCGCGATGGAAGCGCGGGGCGGCGTCGGGGCGCCGCATGCGTACGCGCACACGCCGGAGCACCACGCTGCTGACGATTGTCCGTGTCATCTGCGAATAGTGTTCGAGACGATGGTGGATGAGGGGTGGGGCGCGGTGGGGATTGGGCGGGGGGAGGATGGGAGGTGGGTGGTGGAGTTGGGGCAGTGAGGAGGCCATGGTTGTTGGACGTTGATGGGATTATGGGTGGTCTGCGAGGAAGAGGAGAAGGATAATGTGTAACTCGGTAGATGGAGAGAGATATGGGGTGAATGTCTAATGATGGAGAACGTAATCGTCTCTTCCCAGCAATCAAAGAGCACATCCATCATGAGCAAGTGAAACAGACACCAAGACGGCACCAATCGATAAAAAGACACTTTCCATTACACACTACCCAATCCTATCCTACCCTGTCCAACCCCTTCAGCACACATCATGCTTTCGATATGAACAACACACACCGTCGCGCAGAAGTGGTATAATCGAAACGGAAACCCGCACACACTAAATCCAACCCCTCATCCCCGTCAACCTCGAGCAAACACGACAAGAGCCAAACCCGAATGAACGCAAGATTTATATACAATTGGACACAAACGACTCTCTTGTTCTTTTGCAGCATCCGCAAGGGATGCCTGCTCCTCTAGTCCTTGTGATGAAGCTTGTCCTTGATCTTCTGCATGAAGCTCCGTCGCTTGTTCGTCTTGCTCGTGGGCGTGGACGGCGAGCTGCCGCCGGCGGAACTCTTGGTCGGCGTACCCTGGTGCGTCGGCAGGACGGCCGGGGTGGGAGTCGTCGTCGTCGAGTCCTTGTGAGGCGTGCTGGCCACGTTGCTGGTGTGGGCGGCGGTGGTGGCGGACGGATGGCTGGGAGTGCTCGTTGCGGGAGCGGCGCCCGAGGCCACGCCGGTGGTGACTTGGGGCGTGTCGCTCAGGGTTGTGGGGGCCAAACCTCCTGCTACGGCCGTGGGAGCTGCGGTCGAGGCCGCGCCGGTGGAACCTTGGGGCTTGTCGCTCAGGGTTGTGGGGGCCAAACCTCCTGCTACGGCCGTGGGGGCTGCGGTCGAGGCCGCGCCGGTGGAACCTTGGGGCTTGTCGCTCAGCGTGGTTGGGGCCAAACCTCCTGCCACGGCCGTCGGGGCGGCCTTGTAGTCTAGGGTGGTCGGCGCCGAACCGGCAGTCGCATCGGGCTTGTAGTTCAGCGTGGTCGGCGCCAATCCTCCTGCCACTGCGGTCGGGGCGGCTTTGTCGTTCAAGTTGATCGGTGCCAATCCGCCTGCAACGGGATCGCCGAGCTGCGGCGCTCCAGTCGATGAGGTGGTGGTCGGGGCGTTGGCTGCAGTGGTGGCGCTCTGCGTGGGTGCTGGGGCGCCTTGAGCATTCGTCTCGGGAACCTTGGACAACAGCTCCTTCTCCACCGTGCTCTTCTCCTGCACTGCGGTGGCATTCGACGCGGCTTCTGGTGCCTGGCCCGCCTCCTTCAAGGAGTCCTTGACTTCCGAGGGCACAGTCGTAGCGGTGTCGCGCTCGGCGCCCACCTTCTCCGGAAGGTTGGAGGATTCGGCGTTCTGGTGAATTGCGTCCTGAGCGCTTTGCGGGAGCGAGCTGACGGGATCCTTGCCGGTCTTGTCTTTGACTAGCTTGTTGGCAGCCACGGCCGCGCCTGCTACAGCTACACCGGCAGCTCCGACGCCTGCTGCGGCGTAGCCTGCAATTCCCTGGCCCTTGTTGGCGTCCGCATCTTTGCTAATCACTTGCGGCTCGCCGCGGGGCTGGATGGGTTGCTGTCCTGCGAGAGCGGCGGTGGTGCTGCCTGGACCGGCAGAGGAGATGGTCGGGTCGGTGACATCCTTTTGACCGCTGTTGCCCATGGGCAAGCTTGATTCGGGGATGATGGTGCCGCCCGCTGCTGGTCGGCCGAAGTGTGCAGCAGAGTCATCCACTTTGTCTGGCGAGGACCGCGTCACACCGCCTGCACCTCTTTCGTAGGAAGCCTTGTCGGTAGTCACGGTGCTCGCAATGGTGTTGCTGGTAAAGGTGCTAGGGTCGGGCACTTTCTCACCCGGCTGCAGACTGATGGGGTTACCAGCGCCCGCGGTGGCCGGGAGGGGGTTGACACCAACGGTGCGATCTTGTAGCGTGGGGACCGGGCCTGATTCCATGGGGGTGCTGGGGAATGCACCGGGCATGTCCTTGGTGGCGTTGGTGAGAGGCTGTGCGCCAGCGAGAGCAGCGGTGCTGGACGAGTGGATTAGCGGGAGGGGAGATGGAGTAATCGGTGTGGATGCAAGACTTACGTTGCGCCTGGTGCGACGGTGGTGATCATGCCACCGGCGGCAGCGGGAAGAATGTCTTCAGGATCGAGGACGTTGTTCTCGTTGCCTTCATGGTCCCTCTTGATGGCGTGCGACGGATCCGTTCTCCACTGGCCGTTGACGACGAACTGTGCCATGAGAGTGAGCAGGACGCAAGGGGGAGATATGCAGGGGTAGAATGCGCACGCACTTTATACAGAATCTCGTCTTTGGTGTGGGGGATCTCCACGGTCTTCTCGTGCACCCAGTTCTTCTTGTCCAACTTGATGCTCTTGGCCCAGTTGTCAAAGGTGCCGGTGACGATGACCTCTTCGGCGGCATGAGGCCTGCACAGAGAACCGCGTCAGCACATACGCGGCGCGAGACACAGGTGAAGAGATGATGTCGCTGCCTGGGCGAACTCCGATGGACTGATCGGGCGAAGGGCGAGTGGACTGCCGCGCGGACTTACCATTTGAAACGGTAGGTACCTAAGCTCCCCATGGCGACAAGGAGGAGGGCGGATAGGAATTAGGACGGTGCGTGGCAGCGGAGTTGCGAGAGGCGGCGGTGGTGTGGAGGGCGGAGGAGAGGAGGATGCGATGCGACGCGCAGCTGCTGGTGGGAGGCGGGCGGCTGAGAAGTCAAAATGAAAAGCACTGACGGTGTCGCGGGATGAATACGACGCGCACGGCGACAGAGAAGGGAGCGGACAAGGGTAGGATGGGGTGGAGCGGAAGAGATGTTCCCTACACAGCAGCGTATAGGATGGAGGGAGGCAAGGATGACGAAAGAGTGTGTGCGACGGACACCTGGAGCTCGGGAGCTTTTGAAGGGGGGCCGGCGCAGCACAGACGGCGTGCGAGAGATGGCGGGATGCTTTCTGGCCCAGCTCCGCTCGGCTCACATGACGTCCGAGAATCTCTCTCATCGCAACGGCGGTTGCTGTCTCATCTCCCCACCGAGGAGGACGGCGGTTCGGCAAGATACGCTCGAGGACCATGTCTCTGCCTTGGGTTGAAGGTCGAGTGTAGTAAATGGTCGTCTTCTGCTCTTTCTCGGTCTGTGGAAGGCGGGAGTATGGGCACAGCAAAGATGGAAGCTGCCTGCCACTTTCAGCCGCGAAAGATCAGTGCGCCGCCCCAGCAATGCCTGCCTCGTCGTCTGTAATGAGAGATCTGTGACTGTCAGGTTCATGTAGTAATAAGATGCGAGGAGTTGTGAAGTAGACAAGCTACAGACTCGCACCTTCCTCATGCGAATGCACCACCACCACCTGTCCCTCGCTCCTTCCTCGTGCCGTGCCGCATGAATCGGGCAATCTTCCAGAAGTGCGTCAAGCTTCCCTGCATCGTCCATCCCAAGTAAACCAACCCCCCTTCTCTCCTCCGCACGCACCCCTCACGAGTACAAGCTCAGCCCTGTTGTCACCGCTTGCTTGGCTTGGCTGGACTCGACTCGACCCCTCCTCGCTCTATCCGCTGCCTACACCTCGCCCTGCCCGACCCAAAACCCCCTCGAAGCGCTCTGCCCGTGCGACGCTCGAGCTGTCATCCTCAGCCAGCCAGCCAGCCAGCCAAAGCCAGCCCGCGAAAGGTGGAAGCTCCACCCCTCTCCACCCCACAGCATCCAAGAAACCCTGCAGCCGCACCCGCCAGGACTCCACCCTGCCCACCCACACCTCCCACCTGACACCGCATCTCCCTCAAACCTACCCATCTCTCACTGCTCTCTTCCCCCCTCTCCCCTCTCCCATCTCCGCCAATGTCGCTGCCCAGTGACTATCGCAACGAAATCTCCGCCCTCGATCGCGAAGTGAAGAAGCAGCAGCCCGACGACATCCTCCAGTTCTGTGCCACCTTCTTCCAGCGCCGCCTCGAGAGCCAGCGCGCCGAGTTCCGCCTGTCGCAGCGCCACGCCAACACCCCGGGCATGCCCGCCAGCAACTTCCCTGGCAGCAATCCCTTTGGTAACACTGCTGCCGCCGCTGGCATGGCCTCGGTGGCAGAAGAGGAGGAACACGACATCACTTCCCCCACCTCTGCCTCCGGCCCCTTCTCCCCCACCGCCAACAACGCCAACCCCGCCAGGAACATGGACAACAACTCGAGCGGCGGCGGCGGCGCCTTTGGCAATTTTGGCAACTTCGGCTTCGGTGCGCCCGCGTCCTCGCGAGGCCAGGACCCTCCGGCATCCGTCTCCGCCGGTGCCATGGATCATCCCCAATCTTTCCCCAGCAACTACAACATGAACCGCCGCACTTCCGTCTCCGCCGAATCCCTCGCCCCCGCCTCCGCCGACGACGCCAATTGGAAGGCACCCTACTACGCCAAAACCCCCGACCAGGTCGCCCGCCTGCGCACCGCCGTCAGCCACAACTTCCTCTTCTCCCACTTGGATGACGAGCAATCTGCCCAAGTGCTCGGAGCATTGCAAGAGCGCAAGGTGCCCGCCAAAGACGTGCGAGTGATTGAACAGGGTGACGCGGGCGACTACTTCTACGTTGTCGAGCAGGGCACCTTTGACATCTACGTCTCCTCCACTGGCAAGGCCGAGGCCGGCCCGGCTGGCTTGGGCAACAAAGTGGCCACGAATGGACCCGGCACCTCCTTCGGCGAGCTGGCGCTCATGTACAACGCGCCCCGCGCCGCCACCGTCGTCTCCACCGAGCCCAGCGTGCTGTGGCAGCTCGACCGCGTCACCTTCCGCCGCATCGTCATGGACAGCGCCTTCCAGCGCCGCCGTATGTACGAGTCCTTCCTGGAAGAGGTGCCGCTGCTCAAGGACCTCACCTCCTACGAGCGCAGCAAGATTGCCGACGCCCTCGAGACCAGCAAGTACCCGGCCGGCAGCACCATCATCACCGAGGGCGACGTGGGCGACAAGTTCTACATGCTCGAGAGCGGCGAGGCCGACGCGTACAAGCGTGGTGTCGACCAGCCCGTCAAGCACTACAAGAAGGGCGACTACTTTGGCGAGTTGGCCTTGTTGGAAGACCAGCCTCGCGCGGCGAGTGTGATGAGCACTTCGGAGGTCAAGGTCGCGACGCTGGGCAAGGACGGCTTCCAGAGGTTGTTGGGGCCCGTGGAGAACATCATGCGCCGGGACGATCCGAGGAAGCTGGAGGACAGCGTAGACCCGCTGAGATGAGCGTCTCGAGTGTCTGTACTCTGCGAATTACGCTATCGAGAGGATGCTGTGTGTGAGGTGACGGAGGCCATGCGTTCGCCGGCAAGGGAAGGAAGAAGTAGAGCAACACTCAGGAAGCTGCTCTACACATGTCACGGGTTATATTCTCTTTCTTGGAAGCATGGAGGCAATAAATGTGCGAGAGCGAGGGGTGCAGTGTGTATGTGCGAGAGTGATGGCAAGGGAGCAGAGTTAGCTTGGTGAATGGCTAGATACCTTTTGACCTACCTGGTACTCGTTTTGCTACTGGTCTTGCATCTTCCTTCACACATCTCCCAGTCGTCTTACGTGAAGTAACAGCGTTGTGAGAGGAGGGAAGTACGCAAAAGCAAAAGACACCTTTGACTTCTTTGGTAACGGGGTAAAGTAATCATGTGTAAGCGATTCAACTTTTCGGTGAGCTAGCTATTCCCGTCTCCCTAGCCCTCTCTCTCTCTCTCTGGGTTATATATATCTGATTAATCAAATGCGCCACCAGCACGCCCCATGCTCTCCCGGAGTGGTCATAGACGTCGTAGATATCGTGGATCATCGTGACAAACTTTTGTAGTCTCCCCGCCATCCATCCCGTCAACCTCTATCCGATTCCCTCCGTGCACCCGAGGTGTAATGTAAGGCACGGTGCTTGCCCGATGAAGTAACAACTGGCCTGCAGGCCAACCGTAGGAGGGGGAATGAAAGAGCAAGCTCAATTCCGCGACGAGCCGCCTCAATTCCAATAAACCCCTGACCAGCCCAGTCCACAAGGCTGAGCGATCCGGCGGCTTCCGGGGGGCCCAGCCGAGACATCACGGCTTCGGCGTCTGCAGGTGTGGATTGCTGCCGCTGCTCCGCTTCTTCTGCTGGAAGTAGCGGCTCGTAGGCGGTGCTGGGGCGCGAGCTTGTCGTTCCTGCTGCCCGCGCAGAGTCGTTGATGACCGTCGGCTTCGTCGGCTTCGCGGGGGGGCGGATGATGAGTGGTGCTGCGCGGTGGGGAGAGCTTTGCGCTGCTCCTCCACCTCGTCGTCGTCTCCCTCATCTAGCTCCATGATATCCGCATCCCAATGCACGCGGCGCGGCTGGGCATACCGTGGGCGAGGAGACGAAGGCTGCGAAGACCCAGGCGACGACGAAGCCGAAGACGAAGTCGACGACAGAGACAAAGAGGACAAAGCGGCGGCCAGAGCGCCGGCCTCGCACTTACTTTCGAGGATGACTGGTAGGCTGGCTCTTAGCGTGGCGAGCGCCCGACTGCTTTCCCGCGGCGAGGAGGAGGTCGGAGTGGGAAAGGTGTCGTCCGTGAGGATGGCCATGGCTTTTGGTGTGAGGGGAGTCGAAGTTGCTTGCTGAAGGGCTGGGGGAGCGGGAGCTGGCGTCGATGTATTTGTCGAGGAAGTTGCGTTCCCAGGATGCTGACATGGTAGAGTTGGAGATTGGTGGTAGTGGGATGGTGGGGAGGGGTTATTGGGCCTTAATATACTTTGTCGAACCGGCGGGTTGTGATGGGTCGGTTGTTGGCCGGGTGGAAAGATAGATGACGTGGAATCATCGATCGGTGCTGAGGCGGTCATTCATATCTCTTTTGCCTCCTCCCATCCAGCATGCTCCGAAGCTCCTCCACCCTCCTCGAAGCAAGCAAGCATGCACGCCCTGGCCCTCGCAGCCTGCATGGCGCGGGAAATCATGAATAGCAACAAACACAGACGCTCAGTCATGTAACGAGGAACCTTATCCTCTGGGAACCAAAGCAGCCCTCAAAGCGGAGAGCCGATCGCGATCTCCCTCCACACCGCATGCATGGAAGGCGAGTAGAAGGCGTGTGGAAGGCGGCAACCCAGGGCTGGGTGAGTGAAATGTGGTAGCTCGCAGCGTTGCAGCGCAGCGTCGCCCCTTGACTCATCAGGCTGCCAGCCTTACTAAACCGCCTCGTCACGCAAGTCAGCTCGAAACGGGGGGCAGCAGGCCACATCCCTACCTCCGAGCAACAACCCAGGCACTCCGGCAGGCTCCGCGTTAGGAAGGCGGACGGCGCTTTGTCCCGGTCTGGTAGGGCACGCAGTAAGCCTGACCGATTGCGATCGCGGCAGATCGCAGCGTGTGTACTTCCTGGCTCCTGCCTGCACGCAACGCGATCGTCGAACACATCGTCGATCATCCCAGCGTCCAGAACATCGTCGATCATCCCAGCATTCCAAGATTTCAATGTTCGGTCACCGCAGCAAGAGACAACCACCCAACCCGCTTCCTTTGCTCCGTCTCTCTCGATCTGCGCAGACAAGGACTGGAGAACGAAAATAAACTCCCGCATGCCGCCTCGCATCGATGACCCCAGCAACAAACAAAACAGAATAGCCACCAAGATCCGCCGCGAGCTTGCTCGAGCTTGCTGATGAGCTGCCCCCGTGTGTGTCCTCCTCCACTTCCCGCCCGTATGTTCCCGTCTGCTCTCGATAAGGTCGAGCTGTTGGTAGCTCGTCGCCTGCATTGCAGAACAGCCCTGCCTGAATAGGAAGTATGCTACCGCCAATCTCGTGCACACCGCCGAGCTCCCTTGGCCACCCCGTGACGAACGCGGTCCGCGCCGGGCCTATCTACAAGGCTGAAAGCGGCTCTCACTACGCCTGTCCACTTCGCAGGGCGAGGACTACGCAGGCGGGGCCGAACTCCATAAAAAGACCGTCGAATGGCCGCAGCCGGTCGATCGCGCGGCGGCGGGTGTGTGCGGTGTTGTAAGGCATGCATAGCGCACGCAGGCAGGTGACAAAGGCATATCTATTCTTGATTCGAAGCCAGCTATCTATCATACACGTCAAAAAATCGAGCGACACTTCCAAATGCAAGATGCGCAAAAGTACCTGGCCGCCTCCGTGACTTCCGTGTCTCTCGCTCGTCGCTTGTGACAACCACCGCCCTCATCACAAGCTGCACCATAATCATACCAAAACCGTTAATTCGTAGCCGCATGCTCCGCCGGGGGACCAGTGGCCGCCGCCGCCGCCACTCCACCACCCACCCTCCCATTCTCCTTCAAACTATTGTTGTGGTTCTTCTTCCTCAAAGCAGACACAATCGGCGAGCGTCCCTTCTTCTTGCCCGTCCCTGCACTCCCACTACTTCCCCCGCCACCACCACCCTCCCTCTCCGCCTCCCGCGAGCGCGAAGCAGCGGCAACATGCTGCTGAATCAGCTGCTTCGCCGCCTCCCTGCGCTCCCGATGCCGCAGCTCGCGCTCATAGCTAGGTAAGGCCGTAGGCGTGCCATCAGCCAAGTGCTCCGTATCGCTGCTCGGCGCACTCGACGCATTGCCCGCACTATTGCCCACGCTCGCCGAGTCGGAGCCGCCGGCGCTCTGAGGATGCGCGCGACGCAGGCTCTCGTGCAGACTGCCGAGGACGCCGGAGGAGTGCGGGCGCTCGCGGTCCCACCCGGGGCTGCCGCGCAGGGGCGCGTGTTGGTTTTGCAGGCGGGTGGTGCCGTTGTTGACCATGTCCCATTCGCGCATGCGGACGAAGGCTGATATGGGGGCGCCGGGGGGAATAGAGGGCCCGTCGACGTGGCGGTCTGTTGGCGCGGCGTCATCGGATAGGTCGTCGGGGTTGTTGTCCGGATCAGGTTTGAGTTGGTCGATGAGCTCGTCCCAGGGGAAGCTGGAGGCGCTGTCTGGCCGCTCGGCTCTTTCGGCGCGGTTCAAGCAGTCTTGTGTGCGCGCGTGCAGAGCGGTGCAGATGTCGTGGAAGGCGGCCAGGTGCGGTCCAGCTGCTTGGATTGCAGCTTGCACTTCGCCTTGGGTACTCGACGCCGCTCCCGTGGTTTCTGCTGATTCGGGATCGACGGTGGTCGCTTCCAGCCACAGTTGCACAAGTTCGGCGTATGCTCTTGGTTGGTCGATAAGGAAGGGTAGACTGGGGAAGCCTTCACGACTCGTAGGTGGCAACCGCGCCATGATGGTGATGGGCGTCGTGTAGCTGAGATTCGATTCTGCACTGATTGTTTCGGGGGAAGAGCCTCCCTCACGAGATGAGCCCCGTGCCGAGGGGGCACTGGGAACAGTACACACATCCTCGATTAGCGCCTTGAAACTCGTCCGATTCTGCAGCAGGAATGCATTCATCGGCTCCATCCACGTCTCCTTTGCTCCAAACGAAGCAAGGTTGGAGAGCGTCTGGAGTGACTTTGCGATCAAAACACAGGCTCGGCGTGCATGGGGTTTGACGTCTTCTACTGAAGTGTTAGCATTAGTATTTTCATTCCACATCCGGATGATATGACATACCATTCATCAGCCCAAACAACTTCGGGTTCAGAATCGCCGGACAAAAGAAGCGCAGAAAGAGAAAGCCCGACACGCTGCTATAAGCAATGTTCCGCATAAAGTCCCCATAACGATCCTCGGCGCAGGCTCGAATGTGCCGAAAGATGACGCGCAGCTCGAGGGGGCAGCGGTGCTTCGCCGCAACAATCGATTTCCACACTTCTTGCGTGCACAGGAGGAGTCGGCGCCAATTGCCGGTCATGTCGTGCGGATTGTCAACCTTGCTTGGATCCACTTCACACTGAGGATCCTTGGCATTGATCTCCCGGATGATGCCGCCCAAGGACGCTTCTAGATAGTCTTTGGCAAAGCGGCGCATGTGACTGTCCAGGCTTTTGGTGAGGAGCGTATTCCCGCGGAAGAGCAGATTCGCCTCGAGGGCGGCATGCTTGTTCATGTCGCGCACAATGGCTTCTCGATCAGGATGGCTGGCACTAAGGCTGGAGACATCCTGCCCAGTCTCCGATCCCATCCGCCGACCGAAGCGAGGCTTGGTCGCCGGTTTATTGTTGTGTTGCATCCCGTCGATTTCCTCCTCGATCAGCGCCATGAGCCACTCGCTCGCTTTGCCAGAGACTTGAAAGATATCGAGTAGGGTGTCGCTAATGCTCTTCAATTCCGCGGGAATCATTTGCGCAATTTGTAGAGTCACATTGTTCTCAAATGACCGCAGGATTTCGCCGAGAGGCTCGTAGTCGCGGGCCATGAGAATCACGCCTTCCTCCGCACGAGCCCGGATGAGAACGTCTCCGACGTGTTGATGGGACGCGTTCATAATGGGCCACCACTTCTCAATATCTTTTTCGCCGTCCAGCTCCTGCAGGTAGATTTCCACCTTGCCGCAGACCACATCGAAGCCGAAGCCAGTCGAGACGCCCTGGACTTCACCAGTGGAGGAGTAGAAATCCGGCTGAACGCGCTGTTCCAGCTGCTCCCGCGCGTGAGTATCCGTGGTACGCCGTTTGACGACCACACTCGCACTGTTAAGCACAGGAGGTAGATCGAAAAAGTCAAACGTCTCGGCCCACAAGGGTGCTAAGCCATCGAATTTGGTGGTCGTCTTTGCTCTCGTCTCGTTGTCCAGCAAGACCTCCGCGTAGTAACCGTATTGCTCGGACCGTGAGTTGCCGGCGGTTCGAGTTTGTGCACCGACGAAGCCTTGGCTTGGGAGGGCGGCATTACTCGCAATTGGGAACATCCTTGCCTCGACGATCCTCACGCTCAGAGATCGCTCCATACGGAACATGTCTGTCGTCTTTGTGGCGAACGCGCTCTCCGGCTCTTGGCTAATGTCGTCTTTCCCCTCGCCATTATCGTCAAACGCACTCGGACCATACAGTTGAGGGATGGTAAAGGCTCTCAGTAAAACAAACCAGACTTCGTACAGCACACGATTCTCGAGGCTCAAGAAGATGGGCCGCGCGAAAGCCAGCTGGTTATCTGGAGAAGTCGCAGTGTACTGCGGATACACTGCGATGCAGTACCCATCATTCATCACGCTTGGGTCCAGCCTCTGAATGGCGCATCTGCTCAGCTGGCTCAATTGTACCACCGAGATGAGACTATTGTCAGGGTCGGAGCTGAGTGTCAGCTCTCCGTTTTCTCGCAACTGCCCGTTGATGCGTCGCCACTGCCGGACCGTGTTGCTTTGGGTCCGCTGCGTGGGCGGCCTGGTAGACTTCGAGCGGACCCCATCCGGGGGAGGATGCGGAACTGCGTTGGTGTACACGGCTGTGGTATCCCAGTATATCATCTTCCCAATCTTGATCACCGGCGCATCCTTGGGCTTGAAAGTGGATCTCCTCCGCTCGCTCTTTTCGCTGTTTGTGTGGCGATGGCGTGATTTCTTCGCTGACGAAGTACGCGGAGGAGGCTGTGGAGGGGTGACTGCGCTATCGGCAGACAGTGGGGGGGTTTCGGTGTCGGACGCGCTGGGAGCTCTGGAAGCCAGAGAGGTCCAATGGAGGAATGCAGCATACCAGGAATCAAAGTCCACCTGAGTCAGGAGCTTGATGTCAAGCCCAAGCTCTTCGTGTGGGAGGGCAAGTTGCAGGATTGGTGTGGCCCCGTCCATCCCAGGCTTCACCCGGCACCCCTTCAAACTCGGCATGATCGTCCGAGGCGATTCGTTGTTGGTCTCAGGTGTACAAATAAGTGCGCCGCCCTCTCCAACCACATAGCAGTAGCCTTTCTTCCACGTGCGGTTTGAACCGAGGCGGAAGAGCATGGTGCCTTGGTAGCGCCCATTCAGCGTCTTCATCAGATGTAGTATTCGCTTCGCACTTGATTTGCCCTGGCCTGGGTTGTAGGAGCCCGAGGCGTTGGAGCCAGTGGGTGAGATCGATCTTCGTCCAGCGTAGTCGATGGGGTAGTGGTCTCCAATACCCATGGGGTACATGGACGGTGCGGAGGGAGGGGAGACTTCCGCGGGCACCGAGGCCAAGTAGTCGGCGCCAGGATTGGGGACATGGTTTAGACTGCCCATCCTCCTGCTGTGTCGAGCAGCGGTGACTGAAGGCGCCTCTGGCCGCGTTTCCTCGAGCGTTCTCGCACGAAGTCGAGAGGTCGGTGAAGTTGCTGCATTGTCTATGGCGGCCGCTTCCGCCTCGTCTCGGTTCTTGCTCTTGCTCGTGTTGCGTCCCAACATTCCAGTCAAGCTCGCACCGCTGCGACTGCCAGACGATCCATGCGTGCTCAAACGAGCCACGCGATCTTTGACCAACTTCCTGGGAGGCCTGGAAGGGGAGGAAGAGTTGGAGGAGGCCGGGAGGATGGCGGTGGTGTGGGTGGGGGTGGTGGTTTGTGAAGGGATGCTCTCCGCTCGGGACGAGGCTCGGGCAGCATTACCGCGCATCTCTTCATCGTGGTGCTCGGGGGTCAAGGCCCGGATGGTGCTACGAGAAGCAGCAGCAGTAGGGGGTGCGGTTTCAAATGCTGTGGAACGTCGGATGGATGAGCTCCTGCTCCGCCGCTCCGCCTCCTCCATCTTCCACTCATCGGCCAGCGAGGCCGCCTTTGGCTCTTTCCGCTCCGTCCATCTCTTCCGCCCATTGCTGCCGCTGCTGGCACTGGCCATGGTCGCACCTGCACCTTCTTTGGCGCCCCGCCTATCTCACGTGCGAGCCGCAAACCCAGCACTCCGGAAGTCGAATGAATGCGTACAATGACGCCCCACGATGCTCAAGATGTGGGGAAGCGAAGGGGGTTTCGTGGCGTTTGTCGAGCATTATCGTCGCATGTCGTGAGGTCTCGTGCACTCGTCGTTGGTGCTGGGTTCTGAGCGTGTAATGGCGTCATGCGCTGGTCGATACGCACACGCACACGCACACGGGAGAGACGGGGAAGAAATTGGAGGCCACACTCCCTCCGTTGCACGTCGTGTTCAACCCCGCAGTGCCAACCCACGCCCGCCAAGCAATGTCTTTGAAGGGAAAGCGTGACGGGGAAAGGAGGAGGGGAGGGGAGGGTGATTGGATGTCATCAAAGAACTCTCCGAAACATGAGGCGTTCGTCAGGTACAGACGTCGAATTGGGCGGGACGTCAAGAAAACCTACCACTCTTTGTCCCACTTCCCCACGCCGGGCCAGCCTCAACCGAGAGTACATTGATTAATAAGAAGCTACTCGATGAGGGTCTGGCCTGGGCATGGGCATTGTGCGGGCATCGCTCTGCTATTTGAGCTTGATTCAACACCAATTTGCTTGACTGTCTCATCATCATCACCACCACCGTCATCGTCCCATCTCCATCTCCTAGACACGCCCGACGGTCTAGATACTACTCATCGATACTTGTAGACTTTGATGAGTGAGAGCTGATTAATCCGCTTCGGGTAATCCACCTCTCGCAGGCGACCACTTGGAGGGGTACCCCAGCGAGCTCAGGTAAGGTACCTGGCTGTAGCGGATAGGCGAAGACGACCATGGCCGCATCGAGCTTGCATCTCTCCCGAGCCGCTGCTCCATAACTTGGTCGAGATGCTTGTCCTGTCCATCCATCCTCACTCACTGTCCATGAAAGCCCCTTTGATGCAGCATTCCCCTCGCCATCCATTCGGGCGTCGCTGCGGGTGAAGACGGAGCGGAGCCATCCCCTGTTTTCGGGCGCATCCGACCCCGCCGAAGCGAACGCTTGGACAAAAAGTTTCGTCCGGGGCGCAAGCTGGCCGTGCTGGAGACAATGTCTTCCTTGAAAGCCTCGCAACAACCACACAACCCTCTGAACAAGCGTCTTGACCAACTGAACGCACACATGGCTACCAACGGCACCGCCATCGCTTCGGCCTTTGGCCCCGAGGTCGTGCCCCAAGGCCCCGAAGATGTCATGTTTGGCCTGATTGCCGCATATCGCAGAGATCAAGATCCAAACAAGGTCGATCTGGGCATTGGTGCATACCGTGACAACAATGCTAAGCCCTGGGTGTTGCCCGTCGTGAAGCAGGTGGGTGACGGATCTGCTCATCCTCCTCCTCATATCCCCTTCCACTAACGCATGACTTCCCCAGGCCGACGAGCTCCTCCGCAAAGACCCCAACCTCAACCACGAGTACCTCCCCATTGCCGGCCTCCCCGAGTTCACTTCCGCCTCGCAGCAGCTCATCTGCGGCGCCAACTCCCCCGCCATCAAAGACAAGCGAGTCCTCTCCGTCCAGACCATCTCCGGCACCGGTGCCGTGCATCTCGGCGCCCTCTTCCTCTCCAAGTTCTACAGCCCGGCCAACAAAGAGGCCAAGGTGGTCTACGCCAGCGCGCCGACATGGGCCAACCACAACCAAATCTTCACCAACGTCGGCCTCGAGATGAAGTCCTACCCCTACTTCAACAAAAAGACCTGCGCCCTCGACCTCGACGCCATGCTCGCCTCCCTCAACTCCGCCCCCTCCGGCAGCATCATCCTCCTCCACGCCTGCGCCCATAACCCCACCGGCGTCGACCCCACCCAAGAGCAATGGAAGAAGATTGCCCAGGTCATCAAAGACAAGCAGCACTTCCCCTTCTTCGACTGCGCATACCAGGGCTTCGCCTCCGGCTCCCTCGCCAAAGACGGCTGGGCCATCAACTACTTCATCGAGCAGGGCTTCGAGCTCCTCATCGCCCAGTCCTTCGCCAAGAACTTCGGCCTCTACGGCGAGCGCGCCGGCTGCTTCCACTTCGTCACCGGCCCCGCGTCCAGCGCGCAGGACACCATCGCCCGCGTCGGCAGCCAGCTCGCCATCCTGCAGCGCTCCGAAATCTCCAACCCCCCGGCCTACGGCGCGCGCATCGCCTCGCTCGTCCTCAACGACAAGGCCCTCTTCGCGCAGTGGGAGGAGGATCTGCGCACCATGAGCGGCCGCATCATCGAGATGCGCAAGGCGCTGCGCGGCAAGCTCGAGCAGCTCGGCACGCCGGGCGAGTGGAACCACATCACCGAGCAGATTGGCATGTTCAGCTTCACCGGCTTGTCGGAGGAGCAGGTGGGCAAGCTGCGCGACCAGTGGCATGTCTACATGACCAAGAATGGTCGCATCAGCATGGCCGGGTTGAACACGAAGAATGTAGAGTACTTCGCCAAGGCGGTGGACAGTGTGGTCAGGGAGACGAGTTCGTAGGGGTAGATAGAGAGGCTAGGAATGGCGACTGATAGAAGGGCAAAGCTCTCATGGACTCGAGATGAGAGCATGCGTGTCAAATAAAGTGATCCGTTTACACTCGTCAGTGCCAAAGAGAATCATCCAATGTACATTAAACCCCGAGCCAAAAGTTCGGGATATCACGATTTCCTTTCTGCCTTCATCACCCACCCCCCACCACTCAAGTTCAAACTGCCCGCTCTCTGTCGCGTTCGTGTGGCGAGATGAGTTGGGGAGACATCCCCTGGCCGTCGCAGCCAAGCCTCAAATGTCCGGGACTGTCCTCACCCAACCAGACGGGAGGCATATCTCACACTGGCTTTCCTCGACCCGCTGACATGTATGTTTCCACGGTAGGGGTGCTGAGTTTCCATTCACTCGGCCAGGTGGGTGCATCGCGCACGTCGCGAGCGAAGCCGTTTCGCTCCTCAGGGAGATCCGCTCGAGGGTGGGCGAGCGAATTCGACGTCGAGATGTGCGCGAGCGAATTCGATCGTCCTGGGGATATAGAAATGGCTGTTCCTCCCTTTTCCTCTGCCAGGTCGTATCTCAAACTAGATCAATCACAAGCCTCCGTCAATCAATCATCCAACCAACCATCAATCACAAGTCCACCCAACCAACCAACCAATCACCATGACCCGCAAAGCAAGCGTCGCCTCCCTCACCCGCAACGCCTCCACCAAACACAAGACGACGCACAACCGCTTCGCCAGCCTGAAAGACGAGTAGGACGTCTACGAGCGGCGCGCCCACTTCGCCGAGCTGCCCATGGCCAACGTCTTCGCCGGCCTGCGCGGCCTGCAGTACAACGCGTGCCGGCGCAAGACGGGCGCGGCGTTCATGGCGGAGATGATCGAGCTGTGGGGGCGGCTGATTGTGGATTTTCAGGAGGCGTTTGATGCGCTGTCTTGAGGGTGAGTCTTCGCGCCTGCTGATGGTTGTTTGTTGTGCTGATGGTTGTGAATTGTAGGCTTTTGACCGGATGCAGGGTGGATGGATGGTTCGGTAGATCTCGAAGGGATTATCGGGCGTGATGCTAGGCTGGATGCGGTCGGGATGTTTTCAAGGAGTTCTGGTGGCTCGGGGATGGTGCTTGTAGTCCGCCTCAGGGTCTTTCTTGTAGATAGAGTTGAGTTTTCAAATGTACACTTCCATCACCTCACTGCCACCTGCTCGCTGGGCGTATCCACAAAATCATCCACCTCTTCCGTGCTACCACTGCCTTGACTCTTGACTTCATCATCCACACCGTCGTCATCTGGAGACCTGAAACTTCGTGCATTCTGCTTTCTCCGTCCAAAGAAGTCGTCTGTCTGTAGGCCGCGTACAGCCTCGGCTCGAATACCGCGCATATTCCTGCCGCCTCGCTCCTTTTGTATGCGGATGTACTCCCTCACAGGCACCATCGCCGCGTCTCTGCATGCCTCTTTGATGTCAGACCCGGACATGCCAGCGCTTAGTCGTACGAGAGTAGACAAGTCAAAGACAGAACTGCCATCCTCGCTCTTACTTCGATCGATCTTCGTTTCGCGGAGTGTGAGTTGAAAGATTTGCCTTCGTTGCGAAGCGGTGGGAAGGGGGACGGGGAACTTCTTCGGCATTCTTCGCAGGATTGCCTCGTCAATGTCCTGGATCCTGTTGGTGGCACCGAGGATACAGATTCGCTGCCCTCCCTCCCGTACAGTGGCGGAGGTTAGACCATCCCAGTGCGTCATGAACTCGGCCTTCACCATGGCGCTCGCTTCGTGCTCTCCGGTCCTCCGTGTGCCGAGCACGGCATCAATCTCATCGATAAAGACGATGCTCGGCTGGAGTTTGCGTGCCAGAGAAAAGACGGCTGCAACCAGCTTGTTGCTATCTCCGTACCATTTCTCGGTCAAAGTAGAGATGTGCAGATTGATGAAGCAGGCGCCGCTTTCGCGAGCCAGAGCTTTGGCAAGCATCGTCTTTCCACATCCGGGAGGGCCATAGAGGAGGACACCGGAAGGAGCGGTCAGAAGGCTGGAGTGATTGGAGTAGAGGTGCGGCATGGTGAGGGGGTATATGACGGCCTCTCGGAGTTCCTCGATGATCGAGTCCAGACCGCCAATGTCGGCAAAGGTAACGGGAATTTCGGTGGGCGAGACGACCTCCATTGCGATGGCTTGTTCGTAGGTGTTCAGGGTGATGTTCTTCCGTCGATCCCGCTCTTCATTTCGTCTTCTCCGCCCAGACCCTCTCTCTTCATCCTCGGAGTCCTCGGAATCGGAGTGATCGTGTTCCTCGGCATCGGTGGATCTGTCGTGGTTGGAGAAGATGGATTGCAGCCTGCTGCTTGCTGCGAGGGCTTTTTGTTGCGCTTCAGCCTTTGCGCCGACCTCGGGGTCGAGACGGGACATGACTTGACGGGTGAGGTAGTAGGCGAGGATCGGCTGTAATATGTCAGTGTGTGCTATCACCACAATCTGCCTAGAAGGCCACTGTTGGGTGGTGGCGATGGGATGCTTACCGCCGCCGTGACGAAGATCAGGTCGGGGATCCATTGCCAGAATCTGCGTTCACTGACTCCCATCTTGGCGGTGCTGTGCTGGCGTGAGACGGGTAAATGATGCTTGATCTGGTCGATGATTGCTCGAACACAGAGTTGTGACAGAACCATGAGGTTCGGGCGGTGGCTGGTGGCTGAACTGCGACGTCAAGCCACATCGCATCTTCCCTCGGCCCGATCCGAAGCAGTCGATCATTAACGCGTCCTCTTTACGCGACTTTCCTTGACGTGCGACTCGTAAACGACTCATCCCCATAACTCGCACTTACTGACTCATTCACAATGGCCCCAGAAGCGATAGCGATTGATCCAGCGAGCGGCCCCAAGGTTGAAATGGAGCCTCAGAAATCCTCGACAACAGATGGCCACGCCGACCAGGAAGTTGTCGCGAAGGCAAATGGCCATGCCGACAAACCTCATGAAGAATACCAGTACCTCAACCTCATCCGCGACATCCTCAACAACGGAGAGCACCGTCCCGACCGCACAGGCACCGGAACGCTCGCCATCCCCTTCCCGCCCCAACACAAATACTCTCTATCCAAGCCCGACGGAACGCTGATTCTCCCCTTGCTAACGACCAAACGTGTCTTCCTCCGCGCCGTCATCGCCGAGCTCCTCTGGTTCGTCGCGGCCGACACAAACGCCAAAACGCTGCAAGACCAGAACGTCAAAATCTGGGACGGCAATGCGTCGCGCGCATACCTCGACTCCATCGGCTTGACAGAGCGCGAGGAAGGCGACCTCGGGCCTGTGTATGGCTTTCAGTGGCGCCACTTTGGCGCGCCGTACGAGACTTGCCATTCGGACTACGCTGGTCAGGGCGTCGACCAGTTGGCAGAAGTCGTTCGCAAGCTCAAGGAGCAGCCCTATGACCGCCGAATCATCTTGTCCGCGTGGAACCCGGCGGATCTGAAGAAGATGGCTTTGCCGCCATGCCACATGTTCGCGCAGTTCTACGTCTCATTTCCCGCGTCTGCGCCGTTGCGAGCTGACGGCAGCAAGCGTGGCACGCTGCATGCTTTGCTGTATCAGCGGAGCTGTGATATGGGACTAGGCGTGCCTTTCAACATCGCTTCCTACGCCTTGCTGACGCACATGTTGGCACGGACTTGCGATCTCATTCCCGGCAGCTTGACGCATACGATGGGCGATTCCCACGTTTATCTGGACCATCGCGAGGCGCTCGAGGTGCAGGCACAACGTACACCCCGCGATTTCCCGACGCTGGAAATTGAGAGAGATGTTGGATGCAGCATCGATGGGTGGAAAGTGGAGGATTTCAAGGTGGTGGGCTACGATCCGCACAAAGGGATTGCCATGAAGATGAGCGTGTAGGGAGCGGATGGTCGAATGTGACTCGCACTTCGCCATCAATTCGAAAACGATGCTGATGGCTCAAGAGACTCCGAGAGGGCTGGTCTGAGGCCATCTGCACCGAGGACACGGCTTCCAAGCTGTCCGCGACGCTTCAGGCTTTTCAACAAGCATGGCATCCAGTGCCCATCTCTGCCTCCCTGCGGCTTCGGAGAGGAGTGCAACGTGTCTCGACGCGGGAAGAATGGCGCGGAGGAAGAGGACGAGCGCACGCACTTCAAGAGGTCTCGCATTCTTCTCGAGAAGAGAGACGGAGTCTATAGATCAGCTTCGACTGTACCCTCTACTGCGGCACCGCCGCCCCATCACCCCTCTGATCACTCCCAGCACTCCACACCCCCGCCTTCTCAATAGAATCCACATGCCATCGAATAACCTGCCCCCTACCAAACAACGCCCGTCCCATCCCCCCCACAACCTCAACCTGATGCCCCAATTTGCGCAACCCCTTCACCGTCTCCTCGCTCATGCCTTCTTCCAAATACACCGTTTTGTCCATCACATCGCCCTCATCCGGCATGCCGGCGCCAATGCACACGCGCGGCGCATCGAGGGCGGCTTGCGGCGTCTGCCCGAAAACGAGCTGGTTGAGCAGCACCTGCACGTGGCCCTGCGGCTGCATGAAGCCGCCCATGACGCCGTAGACGGAGTGCAGGCTCTGGTCGCTGGCATTCGTCACGAGAGCGGGGATGATGGTGTGGTACGGGCGTTTGCCCGGCGCGAGAATATTGGGGTGGTTGGCCGGCTGCAGCATGAAGTTCGCGCCGCGGTTCTGCAGCGTGAAGCCACAGCCTTTGGGCACAATTGCCGTCCCGAAGCCGGCGAAGTTGCTGTTGATGAAGCTGATGCCGTTGCCCTCGGCGTCCGAGGCGGCGAAGTACACCGTGTCGCTGCTGTTTTGCGCCGGGCTGCCGTGCTCCGGCGGATCGGAGGCTTGGGCGGGGTTGAAGAGTTTGGCGCGCTCGGCGAGGTACGCGGGGCTGAGCAGTTCTTTCACGGGCACTTTGACGACGTTCGGGTCGGCGATCCACCAGTTGCCGTCGGCGAAGGCGATGCGCAGCGCTTCGATGACGACATGCAGGTAGGCGGCGGAGTTGTGGTCTTTGTGCGCGAATTTGGGGATTGTGCCGCTCTTCTCGAGCTGCTCGATGATGCCTAGGGCGAGGAGGGCGACGAGGCCTTGTCCGTTGGGCGGGTGTTCCCAGAGCTCAATGCCTTCTTCCGACTTGGGATCGTGCATGTGCTTGCCGTGGCTTTTCCCAACGTCCTGCGCGCGGAATCGGAGACTGATAGGCTCGGTCGTCTCCGTGCCCAAGTCCATATGGTTCTTCAGATCCTCCAAAGTGAGATGACCGCCGAGATCCTTGGTGACCTTGACGAGCTCCTCCGCAATACGACCGGTGTAGAAGCCAGCCTTGCCCTCTTTCGCGAGGGTGCGGAAAGTCCGAGCAAGCGTCGGGTTCTTCATAATCTCGCCCGCCCGCGGCGCCCTGCAACCATCTTTCGCATTGGGATCCTTCTTCAACATCTCCGCGCCATTGGGAGACGCCCGCCGCAAGAGATTCTCAGAGGATTTCCACTTGGAGCTGTTCAGCGTCAGTTCAAAAAGCCGGCAGGACAAAAGACTGGCTGACCTGATACCCCATCAATTCGCTGACCGGAAACCCAGCCTCCCCAAGCTCAATCGCCGGCGCCAGCACTTCCTCCATACTCAGCTTCCCACTCCCAAACCTCTCGACCGTATCCACCCAACCTGCTGGAGCACCGGGCACAGTAACAGCATGCACACTATGCAACGGAATCGAGCCCTTCTCGCCCTTCTTCAACCCCAAATCACCCCGAATCGTCTCCAACTCGCAATTCTTTCCCGCGCGCCCACTCCCATTCAAAGCATGCACCTTCTTCGTCTTCGCCTCGTAAAACAAGCAGAACATGTCGCCGCCGATGCCCGTGCTGCCCGGCTCAGTCATGTTCAGCCCGGCCGCGACGGCGACGGCCGCATCGGCGCAATTGCCGCCTTTACGTAGGACTTCGAGGCCGCATTGGGTGGCGAGGGGTTGGGTGGAGGCGACGATGCCTTTGGTGCTGTGCACGACGGAGCGGCGCGAGGGGAAGGCGGCGAAGGTTTGGTGTTCGTGGGGGTGGAAGGCGGAGGTGTTGAGAGGCATTGAGGCGGGGAGGTGGTCTCGGAGGGAGACGAGGCGGGAGAGGAGGGAGGTTTGCGAACGAATGGTGGAGATGGAGTTGGGTGGCGGCGGAAGCTAGGAAGAGGTGGATGAGGTCGGTAGGGAGAGGACGATTATGTCCTTGTACTGAATGATACCTAGGAGTAGAGAATGAGGGGGGAAGAAGAATACCTTACCTCTTGCTCATAATGGTGGAGTCGCATCATTTTTCAATGCCACCTACCTAATTCGTAAGGAGCATCACTTGCTCACGGCCGAAGTCGGCGCATGACGTCCGAGTCGTTTGGTTCAAAAGACACTCCGGGGACTGCAGCAGATGTAGACACTTCACAGGATACCACCCACTTCGGCTGCTAGAAAGCAGTGCATTTTATACAGACCACTGCGCCGACGCTGAGAACAAGTTCAATCGGAGAAACGATAGACAGGAGGCAATTTGACAGCGATCAGCAAGGCAATCCTGCCCTGAAGTTGCATGTGGCGGAGCTCGCCCAACCGCCAAGGTCGATGACTTCACCGTCCGCCCGTCTCAGCCGCCACGCTCCGCGTGCATAAAAGTAGGAAGACAGTGATAGAAGGCGATGGAGGCTGACGGGCGGCGCAAGGCAAACTCTACATATGCAGCTTGACGCGCTCGCGTGTTTCTCCGACCGCATCTCACCTTTCTTCGTCCCATCTTCACTAAACCAACAATGTCCGACGCCCCAACCGCCCAACCCTCCAAAACGGAGCGCTTCCTTCGAGGCGCGGGACAAGTGCGCGAAGATCCCAATCAGCGATTATGGGCGCCCGCTAGATGGGTGGTGCAATTGGTTCAATACCTGATTGCTATCATCATGTACATTTCCTCCCTTGGCTAGTGTGCGTTGGACCAGACTGACGCGCTCGCAGGGTCACGATTGGTGAGAGCTTACGAGCGATTATCAAGGGCGAAGCTCCGAGGAAGAGGAGAGCGGAGTGATCAGACGATCGATGTTTGCTCTATTGCATGGAGAGGATGGGATCTCGGAATGACTGCTGCGCGAGGAATAAAGGGCATCGATTTTCCCATGCCGAAGATCATTTGGTCGGCTTCTGGTCTCATACGTCGGTCCAATGACTGGAGTGTCCGGCGGACTCCGAGCGGAGAGAAGTGGGATGGGCGTGATGCTGAGGCCGCAGCCATTACATCCTAGCAATCGTGTCGATGGTGAACGACTTCTCGAAAGAAGCACCACCCCAACGATGCTAGACATGATGTTCCCAGCGTAGTCAGCAATGAAGAGTCATCTCCTCATCTTCATCTCACACAGCCGTCTCATCCCTGACCCAGAAGCGCCCTCAATCTCTCTGAGCTAGTATCCACCCCGTCCTGAAATCCAATCGCTCGACTCAAGCTGATCGCCTCTCGATATCGCTTCTCCGCCGTCGCCGTATCCCTCACCATCTCCGCAAACTCGCCCAAGTTATGCGTCGCGACTGCACACCCGAGATCACACTCCTCGTCCCGCTCCGGCGGCTTCACGTGCGCGGCAACGTCCAACGCTCTCTCCGCCCACGTCCTCGCACTCTCCACCATCATCTCCTTCGTCGCGACCGGGCCAGAAGGTGCATCTGACGAGGCGACGGCACTCTTCTCTGCGAACGCCTGCGCCGCGCGTGCCGCCTGCGGCGATTGCTGCGCCAGGCTGGACGCGATGTTATTCATGAGCACCACAGAATGGCAATCCGTCTTCCCCTTCAATCCCAGAGCCTGTAGAAACAGCGGCGTGGCCAGGTAATGCAGATTCCTTTCTTCATACCCATGCGCCAACGCCTCCAACGACGCCCCCTGCTCTTCATCCGTCATCCACGGCCCATCAGACTCCTCCGTCGCCCCCGCCGCCTGTCTTCGGATCTTCTCTGCTAAACTCGTCTCCACAGCCCACACGAGCCGCTCGAGCGCCATGTCGCGATCCCACACCGCGCCGTCGGCGTAGTGCTCGCCCAGCTTGACGCTGATGGCGATCGTCTTGGCCAGTATGCGCGTCTTCTTCTTCCGCATGTCCACATTGGCATGCAGCTCTTTCTGCTCGTCGTACAGCTCCAACCACCGCAAGTTGTCTCCGCGCACCTGCTCCAGCACCAGTATCGCCTTCTCCACTTGATGCACCTGCTGCAGCAAGCCCGCAATCTGAATCTTAATCCCCATCACTTCATCGCTGAACGGATCCATGCCCACCTCATTCGCGACCGCGAGGGCCTGCTTGTAGTACTTCAACGCCTCCTTCGGCTGAAAATCGGTCTTGGTGTAGAAGATGGCGCGCCGCAGCTTCTTGGCGACTTCTTCGGGGTAGTTGTGGTAGGCGCCGATGATGTACTTGTAGTAGATGTAGTTGGCGTAGAAGACGCTCGAGCCGCCGATGACGATGCACAGGAAGGCGAGCGTCATGCTGACCGGGTAGTTTTTGAAGAGCACCTTTGCGTTGCCCGTGAAGGAGCGCGTACTGTCTTTGGCGAAGGCGCGCCGTGCTTGGGGTGATGGGTAGATGAGTCGGTTGATGGGGAGGGTGTTGCGCTTGGGCGGGTTGTGGATGCATCTTGTCGCTATTCGAGGGGCAATCGGCGGTCTGAAGACTTGCCGTAAAGGCGAAAGAAAACCGGGACGGACAGGCATGGCGAATTGAGGCCGTTTGAAGTGGATGCAGTGAATTAGTGAGACGGGAAAACGGAGAAGGTTAGATGTCAGTGAATTTCAAAACACCTCACCCCGGATTTTGACGCGAACCATGACGCAACCAGTAATTGAATCATCCACCTGAACATCCGCGACCAATCTGCATCTCCTCACCTACCACACGACAAACGGCTCAAGGCCGTACCGAGAGGCAATGTGCGGCCGCTACGTCCTCGCCATGCGCCCGTCGCAGGTGCGCCAACACTTAGAGGAGCATAACATGCCAACGGATGAAGCACCCAGCGACGAGGATGGCCAGCTGCGCCAAAGCTACAACTTCGCCCCAGGCTACCACGGGCTAATCTACCGCGCCGCCACCAATGACCGCGGCACAAACGCCACCCCACGGGAGGACAGCACTCAAACCGAGCAGCAGTCCTCGCCCAGAGCCGCTCCCTCCTCTCAAGCGACAACCACGTCCGTAGACGGCCTGGCGACACGCGAGACAAAGTACAAACTGCAAGCGGCCAAATGGGGCCTCATCCCCTTCTGGACCAAGCGCTCGCCCGACTACGGCAGCATGCTGCGCACCATCAACTGCCGCGACGACAGCCTGATCGAGAACCGCGGCATGTGGAACACGATGAAGCAGCGCAAGCGGTGCATCGTCGTCGCCGAGGGCTTCTACGAGTGGCTGAAGAAGAACGGGGGCAAGGAGAAGATTCCGCATTTCGTGAAGCGGAAGGATGGGCGCTTAATGTGCCTGGCGGGACTGTGGGATTGCGTGCAGTACGAGGACACCGAGGAGAAGCTGTATACGTACACCATCATTACCACGGATTCGAATCGGCAGCTGAGGTTCTTGCATGATCGGATGCCGGTCCTTTTGGAGGCGGGTTCGGAGCAGATGGCCAAGTGGTTGGATCCTGGCAATGTGGGGTGGAATAAGGAATTGCAGGATATGTTGAAACCGTTCAGTGGCGAGCTGGAGTGCTACCCGGTGGACCAGGCGGTGGGCAAGGTCGGGAACAACAGCCCGAGCTTCGTCATCCCGGTCGACAGCAAGGCGAACAAGAAGAACATTGCCAACTTCTTCGACAATCAAAAGGCGTCGCCCAAGAAGGGTAGTCCAATCAAGGTGGATAAGCAGGAGGATCGCGCGACGGCGGTAAAAGTCGAGGATATCGAATCGAATGCTCCCTTGCCAAAGCCAAGGGGCCAAACGGATGAGCAGCTTTCCCAGGCCATCAAAGAAGAAGGCGAGGAGCTTGATGACTCGGCTTTGCTGAAGGCGGAGGATGAAGAGAATGAAAAGGGCATCAAACGGAAGATGTCCGAGATCAAAGACGAGGATCTATTGGAGGCGGAGAGCAGTCCAGCGAAGAAGGCTGCAAAGCCTAGTTCATCGCCTATCAAGCCCGCTCGCAGTTCGACGAGAAGCGCAACATCGAACGCTACAGTCCCCAAGACACCGACGAAAGCGGGTGGGAACGCGAAGATTACCAGCTTCTTCGGAAAGTGAAAGGATCGTTTGATCCGTCACCGACGATTAACAATGAAGCTACAATGCCAGCAGACCACACAAAGTACACACGAGGGAGAAGGCAAGTCGGCAAATCATCCGCCTTGTGTGGTGAAGATAGACGGGACAGCAGAGCTTCTTCGGCGAATTCCTGCTCCTCTTCCGCCGGCCCCATTCCCCGATACGTTCAGAGTGGGGAACGAGGGATAGCAAAATGTGAGAAAGGTGTCAAGATCGTCAAGTGTGCTGCAGGTGGTGGAGAGATGGCCCACGGCCAGACGTGTGACCGGCTTTCACCGGCGGTTGACGTGATGCGCGATTCAGCTTCGTGCAGCCCGATGGAGTCCGTACCAGATGCAAGGTCTCCGGCATAACTACAGCGGGAGCAAAACCGCCGTGCCGTACACATTGTTCCTACGTGTCTCTGGTCTCGTTCGACGTTCCTCGTTTGCCAAATTGTATGCTTCCGCGATGGTGTTCGCGCCGCGGCGAGCGCCATCGTGCCTTGCCAGGATCAAATCAACCTGGTTGAAAAACGACGAGCAACGAATTGCATTCCCGAGGTTAAGTTACCTGCAAAGCACACCATTCTCCCCGGTCGATCTTTAGACGGGGAGGCGGAGGACGGTTACCCGAAAGATTGCCTTTAGACCCGCACGCCTCGTTGCAGATCTCTTTTCGTCTCTTCCGGACATCATTGCTCTGATTCGGGGGCGGCAAGGGCGGCTGTTCGGGGTTGCAGCCTGTGCAGATTCCATCAATCACCTGCGACTCTCGCATGAGTATCCTGACACGCACACGCAGCAGATCGGCAAAGATTGCCTCGTCGAGCTCCCGAGTCGCCCGTCCGCCCACCTGGTCGTATCGACTTCCAACCCTCCCAATGCCCTCGTTGGAACGATGGTAGCCTTGGAACTTTAAGATAGGGCACGTCTGATTCGTGACTCGTGGCCACCGCCCGAGGCGCCCCTACCGGCATTAGTTACGCCTCTTGCTTCCTTCGCTTTGCCGCGCGCACTCCTCAATGGCCGGTCAGGTCAACGAGAGTTTACACATTTTACGCCGCTGCTGACCGCATCTTGTTGACATTAGTCCGGCGGGATGTGCACCGGCGACGGAAACTATGTTCTTGATTTACGCATGCCTGCTTCCACATCGCCAGTCTGTCTCTCCTGATTGACTACTGCACAATAGAACACACCTCCGGGAACCGCTTGCTGGAAACGGACGAAGGAATACGGTGTGTTACGCATCGGGCCACATATTGTCCATCAAACACCTGCCGCAGCCAACATTGCATGACCGACCTCTGATCGATCCAAGGCGCTGGGACCGGACTCGGGGGTGAATGCGTGTGCGGACCGACCACCATGTGACGCAGCGTGGAAACACAAATACATCTAATGTTCCGGCCTTTCTTGTCTTTTGCTACTCTGTCTGTTCAATCACCTGGTTCACAACTCGTCAAAGTGGTTGATCGAAACTGCACAATCTGCAGCACTTTCCATTTGGACACCGATGACGTCCGGCGTCGCGCAATACACCTCCAGACAACATGGCCGCATCCCTGCTAGCCTTGCTCACGCAACAGGCACCAAATTTACAGACTCGGAAAGGGCTGGTAATCCTCGGACTCCAAAACGACTTCGTTCAACCCGGCGGCAAATTCCCCGTGCCCGTGCCGGCCGACTTCTGGTCCCGATTAAGCACTCTCGTAACAGGCTTTCGAGAACACGGCGATGTCCTTTGGGTACGAGCGGAATCTTCGCCTTTCACTGTGATCGATGAGCCAGATCACCTGGTCTTCAACCCTCGACAAAGGGGAAAGGAGTCAAAGCGTCGTCGCGTTTCACATGACGGCAGCGAGACGTTGTCTCCTCCTGGTAGCAGGAAAGGCTCGACTACTTCGGAGGGGCATGGAAAGAGCAGAAAAGGCTCAGCTACTTCTGAGAGTGCGTCTAAGAGCAGGCAAGGCTCCACCGCTTCGCAAGGATCTACGAAAGCGAAGACTGTCGACGACGAGCTCTTCCTGTCAGCAAATTCACACAGAGAAGCATGCTGCCTCCCGAACTCCGGAGGCGCAGACTTGTGTCCCCAAGCTAAGGCCCTGATCGACCGGAGAGCAGACGGCGAAATGATTACCTCACACTACTCCGCCTTCGATGACGGATCATTGGCGCTGGCCCTGCGCTCCAAACTCATTACCGAAGTGTTCATCTGCGGCTGCCCTACGAATTCGCTGGTATACGCAACTGCAATGGACGCCGGTCGATATGGTGTACACGTCAACCTGATCGATGATTGTCTCCTTGCTCGACGCCCAGAATTACACAGCCCGGCCATTGAGGAATTACGGGAGCTCGTGATGGCCGATGTCAGGAGCAGCACCGAGGCGTTGGACAGATTGGCTCACCCGTCGCGTTACGCTTCTGAGGATGAAGCCACTGGAGGAGAAGAGAGCGACATCGAGCACGATCACGCAGGCACGCCCAGGGACGGTTTCAAGGTAGATCGGGACCAAACTAGAAGGCATGATCTCCCCAACCGAGAGCAACGGGAGCGTGCACTGGAAGCGGATAGCGAGGACTCCGACTCCCCCAGCATGGCACTTCCTCCTCGTCGGCTTTCTGCACAGGTGCAGGAGGGACTGCGCGATTTCAGCTTCGAACCTTCGCCGGCGCATCGCTCGCTGAAGGCTACAACGGATTTGCTACAGCAGGCCATTGCCGCGAGCAAATTGGGGACAAGTCACTCTGCCTCGAGAAGTGCGAGAGGCGAACGGGGCCCTGAAGAAAGAAGACGAGCGATGCCAACCCAGCGCCATCGAGACGGTGTACATGAGCATGCTAAGAGCCACAAGACGTCCAGAGACCAAGCACGAGACGCTCCTCCGACTCACAATAGAATCAGACAGCGCGACAGAAAGGCTGCCACAGGGCATCATCGATCCCTTCCTCAACCGCTATTCGGCGAAGGCAAGGCCTCCGAAAGCGCCGGCTCGACCATGCTCCACGACTTCCTTTCCCCCGAGCTGTCCGAAACAGTCTTCGATACGCTTTACAAAGAAGTCAACTGGCAAAGCATGCACCACCAAACCGGCGAAGTGCCCCGCCTCGTCAGCTGCCAAGGCAGCATTTACCAAGACGGCAGCAAACCCATCTACCGCCATCCATCCGACGAATCCATCCCCCTCGAGCCCTGGACGCCAACAGTCGAAGCCATCCGCCAAGCGGCAAAAGACCAAGTCGGCCACCCGCTGAACCACGTCCTCATCCAGCTCTACCGCGGAGGAACAGATTACATCTCCGAACACTCAGATAAGACGCTCGACATCGCGCAAAACTCGTACATCGTGAACGTCTCATTTGGCGCGCAGCGCACCATGCGCCTCCGCTCGAAACGGAGCAGTAGCGCGGGCAACAACGACAAACCCGCTCCCCGCACTACCCACCGCGTCCCCATGCCGCACAACTCCCTGCTCAAAATGAGCCTGGCGACGAACGCGGAGTACCTGCACGGCATCAACGCCGACAAGCGGCCCGGCGTGGAGCTGCAGGAGGCAGAGAAGGCGTACGGCGGCGCGCGCATCAGTCTTACGTTTCGACACATCGCGACGTACTTGAACCGCGACTCGACGCTGATATGGGGCCAGGGGGCGACGGCGAAGACGAAGGAAGAGGCTTGTCCTGTTGTTAAAGGGGATGTCTGGGAGAGCGAGAAGTTGGTGCGTGCGTTTGGGGCGGAGAATCAGGCTTCTGCTATGCGGTGGGAGGAGGTCTATGGCGAGGGATCGAATGTTTTGCATTTGAAGTGAGGGGGTAGAGGCAGAGTGTTCGCTACTATTCATCTATTGAAGGTGTGAATACGCATATCGTCTACTGCGGCACCCCGTTGTGTCCTGGCTGCCATCCCCCCTCAGCTGCAAAGACGGGCCCCAGCGTGCGCGCAACGTGCAAGAGCTGCCGGTCTTTGAATCTGGGACACACAGCCGTCAGACCGATAGGCATGCCGTGCTCTCCCGCGAAGCCCGGGATGTTGAGTGCGGGCACATGCATGATGGTCCACGTTGAGCAGAAATTCTGATTGAAGCGGATGGTTAGCCATGTGGAAGCAGCAATGACATCAATTGGAACAACTCGGAGGTGACGAACCATGTCGCCTGTATTTCCCACATCAGCCGGTGCTTCATCGACGACGCTCGGGGTGATGATGGCGTCGTATTTACTCGCTATGGCGTCGAGGATGGGACGTAGTCTCGCGCACTCGTCATAAGCTTCTAGTTGATCCTTTCGCGATACGTTGCCTCGATTCTCCCCGTAGCCGATGATGTTGTCATGCAAGTGTGTGCGATCTGTCATGAGTTGTCCAAGGAATGAAGCTTGGCCTTCTCTCGCGGATACGGCAGCATGCCAGCCAAGAACTTTGTCGAAGTCGTTTGGTAGCTCTACGTCTTCTACGATCGCGCCGTGCTTCTCCAAGATGGACTTGGCGGTCTGCATGGCTTTACGAGTCCCGGCCCCGGCACTCGGCCAGTAGGTTGACTTGCAGAAGCCGAATGTAGCTCCTTTCAATGTGAAGGGTTTGCTCGGGGGTGCTCCATCGTCGCGGATGTTGAAGAAGTCTGATAGCAGCTCTAAGTCTTCGACAGATCTGGTGAAGAAGCCGCACGTGTCGAGGGTGACACTCCATTGCGCCAGGCCTTCCCTTGATATTGCGCCCCAGGTTGGTCTGGAGTGAAGTAGAGGTGTTAGTAGAGTAGCGTTAACAAGACTGGGCCAACGCTTACTTGAAGCCATAACACCCGTTGAACGATGCGGGTCGAATTATGCTCCCGCCAGTCTGTACCAACGTATCAATAAGAGTACAATCAAGATCAAAAGATTGCTGCTAACCTGAGTACCGAGGGAAATAGGGATTTGGAAATCTCCGACCGCAGCTCCGGATCCCGAAGAGCTTCCACCTGGCGTGCGCGTCTTATCATGAGGATTGGTAGTGAGATTCTGATGCCAGTTGCCCTGTTTGGTGGTGGCGAATTCCGTGGTCGATGTCTTGCCGAAGATGATTGCGCCTGGAAGAGCTCCGTCAGTGGACAATTTGTGCAAAACTAAGCTCAGGTACCTACCTGCAGCACGTAGCGACATAACACAATTGGCATCTGCAGCAATCGGCGTCTCCGACTCGAAGAGTTTGGAGTTGTATTGCGTCGGCATGTCTTTGGTCAAAATGACATCCTTGACGGCGACTGGAAGGCCGTGGAGAGGCCCTCGTGCCTTGGCCGAGACCTCATCTAGATGCCGAGCCTGTTGGATTACTTGATTGGGGTTTAAGTACACCCATGCTTTGACGGCTTCGTCTCGTTGTTGGATCCGATGCAGAAGCGAGTTGACATAGTCTTCTGCTTTGAGGTCGCCGCTTTGTAAGAGAGGAAGAGCCTCTGCGGCAGTGAGGTGCCATGGCTGCTTTTGCTGTTCTGAAGCCATTTGTGACGGTACGGATGGCAAGCAATGTGATGCTGACAGATCTCTGTCGCACCGAGCAATGCTGCACGGCGTTGACGATGACAGTCGTATAAGGCGGGTGATGGTCGCTTTGCAGATCACAGTCGATGTGCCGGCGAGGAACAACTTGCCCTTTTCAATCTTCAATTCGTCGTCTCTGGTAAGACGTTTGATGAACTTGCAATGTAGTCCGAGGTCGCATCATCGGACGCAGGGCGGTCGTTGTGTCAAAAGTCGTGATCATTGTTGTCTCGCACGCCTTCGACTTCACCTGTTTAACAACTACCTAACATATAATCTTTCTCTGGATTGGGCACGGTATTTTGGCCAGCCATGGCTCGAACGATCTTTTCGATTGCATGGGGGCTCCTCTGTCTTTTCGTTGCCATCCTTGTAAAGCCATTGGTGGCGCAACAAGAGCAACAACCTCTCCAGGCGGCCAAGGCGAGGCCAAACATTCTCTTCATCTTGACCGATGATCAGGACCTCCACATGGACTCTTTGTCCTACATGCCCAACCTGAAAAGGCATCTCATCGAGCGGGGGTCCACTTTCACCAATCATTATTGTACGGTAGCGCTATGCTGTCCTTCCAGAGTGTCGTTATGGACGGGGAAAGCCGCACGTAAGTATCTTGTCCACTCACTTCGATTGAACACCTATGCTCACAACGAGGCTTTTCAAAGACAACACAAATGTCACCGATCTACATCCTCCTTGGGGTAAGTCCTCTGGTATTTAGCAATCGTCCAGCACCTGCTGAGACGTTCAGGTGGCTATCCGAAATTCGTATCTCAAGGCTTCAACGAGGACTATCTCCCCGTATGGCTCCAAGCTGCAGGCTACAACACCTACTACGTCGGAAAGCTGTTCAACGCGCACACCGTCGACAACTATCATTCGCCACATGCTGCCGGCTGGACCGGGAGTGACTTTCTGCTAGACCCTTTCACCTATCGATACCTCAATGCCACCTTTCAACGGAATCACGACAAGCCTGTCAATTATGAAGGATCGTACTCCACGGATGTGGTCGTGGAGAAGGCCCACGGTTTTCTTGATGACGCTATACACGCGTTGGACGAAAAGGACGAACCTTTCTTTCTTACGGTCGCACCAATAGCGCCTCATAGCGATGTGATCATCCGAAGGAAGATCATCAGCGGACAGGTCTCAAACCAATCAGCTACTCAGGCCCCTCCGATCCCGGCAGATCGACATAAACATCTTTTCGAGGATGTCGTAGTTCCCAGAAACCCCAACTTCAATCCGGATACGCCTGGTGGAGCCTCCTGGATAGCCAAACTGCCTCAACAAGATGAAGAGAACGTTGAATACAACGACGATTGGTATCGCAACCGACTACGAACACTCCAAGTCGTCGACGAGATGGTGGAGTCCTTGATATCACGGCTCTCCGAAGCCGGCATCCTGGAAAATACGTACATCTTCTACAGTACCGATAACGGGTACTCGATTGGACAGCATCGGCGGCAGCCTGGAAAGCAGTGCGCATTCGAGGAGGACATCAATGTGCCTCTCATTGTCCGCGGCCCCGGCATTCCCCAAGGACTGCAAAGGGATCTGGTCACTACTCACACAGATCTGGCGCCCACTTTCCTGTCTCTGGCCAACGCTGCTCCACCGAGTAAGTTTGAATTGGATGGGCAAGCCATACCGTTGTCACCGTTTCAGCCCGCTTCGAATGGCAATGTAGACGCCGTCCCTGCTTCCGTGTTGGACTGGCCACAAGAACATGTCAATGTTGAGATGTGGGGCATCATCATGTCCGAGGGCAAGTACGGTATGGTACAGTATCCAAACCATACTTACAAGGCTCTACGAATCGTCGGGCGAACCTATAATTTGCTGTATACGATATGGTGCAGCAACGAACACGAACTGTACGATATGACGGTGAGCGAACATTGGAAGCCTCCCCATCCACGGCCTATACTTACTCGTTGTACAGAGCGACCCTTATCAGCTCGTCAACCTATACAACACCAACGAAGCACCCGAAGAGAGCGTGTCAATAGTGCACGCAAACATCTCAGAAGCCTCCTGCACTCTCATTCAGTCTCTGCCGCTGGGCAACACAACTTCGGAATCTCCGAACTGCAACGCAGCAGGTTTCGAGAAGGCCTCAGCTCGCTCACCGCTCGTCCATCGCCTCGATGCCCTGCTCATGGTCCTCAAAACTTGCGTCGGAAGACAATGCACACACCCATGGGAGAGTTTGTTCCCGTCAGGCAAAGTGCGCAGCCTGACTGACGCCCTTGACTCGAAGTACGATGATTTCTTCGCGAACGGCGTTGATCGTGTCCAGTTCACGCAGTGCGAGAGGGGGTACATTGCGGAGAGCGAAGGGCCGATGTGGGATGGCACGCAGGCGTTTCCCATGTACGAGGAGATGGCTTATCGGTGATTGAATGAGTGGCTCGGGATTGCTATTGGCTTCCAATTGTGTTCCGGCGAGATCGTCGACTGGTTCATTAACGAACGGTTCCCTGCGGGGTCTCTTTCTCAGCTGCAGGCAGCAGTGCCCTCAGCTGGCCTTGGCGAAAAGTAAATCATCCAGTGATAGACACCGAGATACACACTTTGTAGTGCAATCTCGAAGAAAAGAAAGAAGCAATTTGCACGAAGCCAACCTCTCAATCATTGTGGTCACCCAAAATGTCGTCGATGTTGGACCATTTCCTATTCGCCGTGCCTCCAGAGAAGTGCGCTGCCCCAAGCCATCCTGTTCAGCCTTACACATGCCATTGGGGCGAAAGAGCTGATCGTACCTGCACAGATTCCAGGAGGTCGTCGCGTGGTATCTCGCCGCCTTGGCTCCTCTGAAGTACGAGAAGCTCGCGGATTATGGCGTTGTCGTTGGCCTAGGCGTCAACGGAAAGGCCGATGTATGTCTATCCAGGCACGACTAAAGACAAGGGAGCCCACCCCTGCTAACCAGGACGTCGTACGGCGTCGGCATAGCTTTGGATCCACTCTGTTTCCGAAGACTCTCCAAAGACGGGCTACTTCCACTTGGGTTTCAAAGCGACAGGTACGTGTGGAAACCTCGCAGCTCTGACCTCGGGGCATGGCGTTTCGCACGATCTGTGGTCGGCGATAGGCGCTGACGCTGCTTTTCAGATTATGAGACCGTCCACGCCTTTTACGAAGCTGCGGTGAAGGCAGGAGGCAAACCGAACGGCGAGCCTGGTCCCCGACCTCAGTATGGGCCCAATTATTACGGCGCGTTCGTGCTGGATCCGGTTGGGTTGGTGTTGTCCGGGTGCCGGAGAGAGCCTCACTCTTTGCTAATACTTTGCAGAAACAACATTGAAGCGGTCGACAAGACGGTACATTAATGAGTCTGCAGGTCAACAACCGTGATGGTTCGGCATAGGCTGTGAAATATAGCACTTTCCTACCCACAAAGCCATTGATTAGAATTCATGGGTTGCTTATCGATTTCTTATCCGATTCCACCTCGCTTCGACTGTCCAAATTTAGAGAGCTCTAAAATGCACCTTCTTGCATGCGCTCCAAGCCTTTCTCTCCCATGTCTGCATCACCCTGGATCTGCGCTCGTTGTTTGCGCTCTGCCACCCGCATCCGTCGCACGTTTAACGTGCGAAGATGGCAAAGCACAACTGCCACGAGCGACAAAATATCCCCCGCGCTACTTGTCCGAGCGCAAGCCATAGCGAAAGAACATGCCAACCTCACCGAAAAACTTGCGAATGATTTCGACACAAGAGATGCAAAGCGACTGGGCGAGTTGAACTCTACGGCGGCAGCGTTGAGAGAATACGAACAGGCGCACGCATCTTTGCGAGAACTGAGCTCTTTGCTTGAGTCATCGGATCAAGAGCTGAGGGAGTTGGCGGAAGAGGATGTCGAACCCACGCAAGCGCGCATACAGCTCGCATCGAATGGATTGAAGTCCAGCCTGGTCCCCGTGCATCCCTTCGCACACCTGCCATGTCTGCTTGAGATACGGCCGGGCGCGGGTGGCGACGAGGCGGGCATTTTCGCTGGCGATCTGCTGCGAATGTACGAGGGCTTCTGCGCTCGCAATGGACTGCGCACTAGTGTTCTCAAACTCGACACGGCAGATTTCACGGGCGCCAGTGGGGGAGCGGGCTCTCGGTTGCATGTGCAGGAAGCTGTGCTGGAGGTCGAAACGCCGGGGTCGTATGGCATTCTTCGCTGTGAGGCGGGCGTGCATCGAGTGCAGCGCGTGCCAGCGACGGAGAGTAAGGGCCGCACGCACACCTCTGCTGCGAGCGTGCTAGTGTTGCCGTCGCTACCTACAGATGGAGCGCAGAATATGGACGAAAACAGCTTCAACGATCCGAACAGCGATTACTTTGTCGACACGAAAGATGTCCGGACAGATGTTATGCGAGCGGGCGGGGCCGGCGGGCAGCACGTCAACAAGACGGAGTCTGCAGTGCGATTGACGCATGCGCCTACGGGAATTGTCGTCACCATTCAAGAAAGCAGATCCCAGCTGCGGAACCGCGAAACGGCATGGCAGTTGCTGCGCTCACGGATTGCACAGTTGCGCCGCGAGGAGCGAGAAGAAGAGCAAGCACGCTTACGACGGGGTGCTGGCGCCGGCAAGGCTGGACGGGAGAACAAAGTGCGGACCTACAATTATGGGCAGTCACGCGTGAGCGATCACAGAAGTGGGCTGGATGTGAGGAATCTCGGGGAGGTCATGGACGGAGGCATGGCGCTAGATCAGGTGATGCAGAGCGTGAGGGCGTGGATGGCGGAGCAGGAAGTGCTGGATCTGGTGGCTGAAGAAGAGGGCAAAACTGGTGGAAAGGGTTGAAAAGACCAATCATCGTGCCATGCCGGCCAGGAGACATTACTTGGTGAACTGCTGGACAGTAATTGGAGAAGGCGCGGCCTCCGACACGTGCGATGCTTTCTTGAGAATCTTTCGCAAATCTATGTACGTCTATAACTTGGCAAAGACCGGCTTCTTCTTCTTGATGCCTGCCAGCAGAGCATCCTCGGTGTCTTTTGTTTGAACCATGCTGGCGTTCCAAACTTTGATGTACTCCAGCCCTAGAATCACTGTGTTAGTGCGAGGCTCGTCATCGTATGCACACAGCGACTTACCGTCAACGATCTGGTGATCCCTTGAGTAGTTGATCACCTGCTTCGTTCCCTGCACAGCCACCGGACTTTTGGTTGCAATTAGCTTGGCGAGATGCAAAGCCCTGTCCAAAGCCTCCTTCTTCGAATCATACACGGCAGAGACGAAGCCCACCCGGAGCGCCTCCTCCGCACTCCAGTCCCGCGCGGTCAAAGCAACGTCTTTGATAAACGACATGGACACGCCGGAATACGGCAAGCGACTCAGCGTGCCGACATCAGCCGCAATGCCAATCTCGACCTCGCGCACCGAAAACGTCGTGTCCTTGGCGCAGATCCGGACGTCGCAGCAGGTCGTCATGTCGATGGCCAAGCCGTACGCATATCCATGCATCACCGCAATCACCGGCTTCTCGCACTTCTCCACCGCCGTCACGGTGTCCTGGATCTCCTGGATATGGCGCTGGATCTTTACGCCGCGCCGGGCGACGTCCTCGCCTTTGCCCAGCGTCATGAAGCCGCTGTCGCTGGCGGCTTGCACGTCCAGTCCGGCGGTGAAGGCGCGATCACCGTTGCCGGTGAGAATGATGGCGCGGACATTCTCATCGTGAGAGAGTTTGTTGAAGATCGCGCCTAGGCTAGTGAACATGGCCGGGGTGAAGGCGTTGAGTTTCTTCGGCCGGTCGATCTGCACTTGCGCGACATATTCGGCAGGAAAGGTGACATTGAAGTGTTCGAACTTGTAGTCGGAGGCGCCCATCTTTGCTAAGTGGAGATTGAAGGTCGGGAGATGGTCGAGAGGCGATGCAAGATTAATATCTCACGGAGTTGTCTTGATAATCATCAGCCGGTTGAGCCGAGGTTTCGGTCAGCAGCAATTGCTGCCCCAGGTTTCGGGAATGCCCGCCGTTAGCCAGACCTTGTAAAGCCAAAGCTTAAACTAAGCCTGCTGCAGGCATGTGCACGTCCATCGTAGCGGACTTCCCGGATTTCCACCCACTCGCTGCAAGTCTTGTTTGCATCACTGTCGTGTTCTGGGGGAAGAGTTGGAACGGCGGGATAAGCACTTGACAAACATGAGCGAACAAGATGTGGCATCACAGTCGTGGAAGAGGAGCACCGCGCCCACCTACTGAACCCGAGATTCGCCGTACTCTGTTCACCACCCTATCCTAGGACCATCCCTCGTCATCGCGGTACCTCAGCGAAGACGCGACTGAGATGGCTACTGCGACATTGGAAAGGCAAGACGGCGCTCCGTCACTGGTGCAGGCTCACGATGGCCTTGCCCCTCTCGATCCGCCGGGTCCAGCCGTCAACGGACATGTCCCCTCCCCCCTTCGATCCTCACAGACTGTCCGAAGCTTAGAGGAGCACGATCTACCCGATGTCCCTGAGGAAGACCCGAAGCCCAATGGAATTCACTTCGATGACAGCAGCTTCATGTTCGCAACGCGCTCGGGTCAGAGCGCACTGTCAACTGCAAACACGGATGCCAGGACTGGTGGTGCACTGGCGGATGCGATGAGGCACAATCGTAACTCACAAGGCGCCGATTCGCCTCTGCGCAGCCGAAGTGTAGCTGCAGGAGATGAAACTCCCGCTGCACCAAAGACAGTGTCTTGGGAGGTGGATGAAGGGAATAAAGACATCGAAGGCAACAAAGACTCCACAACGCCCAAAGAGAGGCAGGGCAGCTTTCTCGGCAAGCTGAAGGCTCTGACAAGCCCCTCTTCGCAGCAAAGCCGTGCTCCACCAGCTGCCACAACATCCTCCGCCCTGTCCGAGCAGGATGAACCTTCACACCCGCTCGAGCCGAGCGAGGATGTCGCAGCATTCGCGGACGAAGACTCCGACGAATTGGCCGACGAACTACCCCCACCATCGAGAAAGCAGAGAAACCAAAGACCGCGACCCAATACCGCCGAGTCAGCGCCGTCTACTCCGCGCATGGCACGGCTGGAGCAGCGCTTCGCATCCTTCATGCGTGATCAATCCGGCACCAATGACAATAAGGCGAGTCCTTCCCGACCGACTGGACGACTGAGCAGGCGAAGCACTGCATCCGACTCCAACGACAACGCCCAAGCCGGCGTTTCCGAGGACGAAGGTCGCGATCGCATAAGGAATGCATGGCGGAGGGGCATCGAAGGCGCACGCGGGCTCAGTTATTATTCGCGCGGCAGGGCGGATAATGAGAGCCCAGACGCGAGGCGCCCAGGTCACCTGCGCCGAATCACCGGCCTAGGCGGAGCCGTGGATGGCGCTGCTAGTGGATCGGCATTCGGAACGCGCGACAAGCCAGAGCGGTCAACCACTACGAGCGCACAGAAATGGCGCCAGGTGAAGGCGGGACTGAAGCTGCTGGGTCAGCGGAGACGAGACGAACGCACGCGTGTCGATCATCAGAAGAGCGCTCAATTGATGGCCGAGCTGTTGGCCGGCTCGCCCGCTGCGTTGTTCCTGGCAAGCATGTTCCAACGCGACGAAAACAACCACAAAAAGATCCCAGTCCTCTTGGAACAAATCAAGATCCGCATATCTGATTCCCAGATACGAAAGGAGAGCAACGGTGATCGGCATCTCGTGTTCCATATCGACTTGGAGTACGGCAATGGACCGGCGCGCATGAAATGGAGCATCTCGCGGTCATTGAAAGACTTTGTCAACCTGCATGCTCGCTATCAGGCATCTGCGACCGCCGATAAAGTGCGACATTTACGCAGCGAGCACAGGACCAAGGCTAGGCAGCCGCGCTTTCCTAGGAGCGCCTTTCCGTATGCAAGAGGGATCAGAGGGTTGTTTGAAAACTTGCAAGAAGAAGAGGAGGATGACGAGGCGCTCACAAACACAGCTGCGGCCGCGCTCGACATGCCGCTCGCCAGTCCGATGACGCCAGGCCAGGGCTCGACACCATTAGTCCCCGGTGGCGCATTCCAACCGACAACGCCTGGTTTCCATGATTCCACCGACGAAGCTTCGCCGAGACATCGACGTAGGAGGTCTGGTGTCCTCTCGCCGAGGCCCATTCGAAGATCGAGCACTGCAGATTTCGGACCACTTCCCACCGACCCTGAGCAACTGACTGACCGCCAGAGAGAGTTGTATTCACGACGGCAGCGGCGGAAACTCGAGACCTACTTGCAGCAAATGATCCGATGGCTGATCTTTCGACCGGATAGCACTCGATTGTGCCAGTTCTTGGAAATCAGCGCCCTGGCCATCCGGCTCAGCGTCGAGGGGGGCTATCAAGGCAAGCAAGGCCTGTTACAGATTGCGAGTCGCCGGAACAAAGAACTTAGGAGGGTCGAGCCGTTTGCGACTTTCGAGAGACATCATCCGAGGTGGTTCTTGGTACGGCACAGCTATGTTGTCTGCGTGGACGGTCCCGAGAGCTTGAATCCATACGATGTGTTCCTGGTGGACTCAGACTTTACCACCGAAAAGAGGCAGAAGCGTATAGCCGATCGGTCGACGACGAACGGCGACAGTTCCAAGGCCGTCGATATGCCCAAAAGCCATGGCAAACATTTGCTAATCCGACTCTACAATGCCGAAAGGAAGCTGAAGCTATTCGCAAGGAACGAGCGGCTGTTCTTGCAGTTTCAAGAGAGCATCAAGCACATGGCTGAGGAGACTATCTGGAGTAAAAAGCAGCGCTTTGGCTCCTTCGCCCCGGTGAGGAACAACGTGTGGTGCAGATGGCTTGTGGACGGACGAGACCACACCTGGCAGATCTCACGCGCGATCGAGAATGCAAAGGACTTTGTGTATATCCACGGCTGGTGGGTGAGCCCCGAGTTGTACATGCGTCGGCCAGCCGCGATCAGCCAGAAGTGGAGACTTGATCGCCTGTTGCAGCGAAAGGCAGCCGAGGGCGTCAAGATCTTTGTCATCGTGTATCGCAACATCGAGTCGGCCATGCCCATCGACAGTGAGTACACGAAATGGGCCTTGCTTGACCTCCACCCCAACATATGCATCCAGCGCTCGCCGAACCAATTTCGACAGAACCAATTCTTCTGGGCGCATCACGAAAAGATGGTCATTGTGGACAACATGATGGCCTTCATCGGGGGTATCGACTTGTGTTTTGGACGCTGGGATGAACCGAACCATACGCTCACCGACGACAAGCTGACCGGATTCGAGCTGGATCACGTTGGACCCAGGGATAGCGAGCATTGCCAGGTGTGGCCCGGAAAAGACTACTCGAATCCTCGAGTGCAAGACTTCATCGCCCTCGATCGTCCGTACGAAGAGATGTACGATCGGACGAAGGTGCCTCGGATGCCGTGGCACGATATCTCCATGCAAGTTGTTGGCCAACCTGCTAGAGACGCAGCGCGCCATTTCGTGCAGCGCTGGAACTACATTCTCCGCTCCAGAATACCGAGCAGGCCTACGCCTGTGTTATTGCCACCACCTGAATTCGACCACGAGGAGCTCGCGAACCTGGGCATGACAGGCACGTGCCAGGTGCAGGTCCTGCGCTCCTGCGGATCCTGGAGCATAGGCACACCTAACAAGACCGAGCACAGCATCATGAATGCGTACGTCCACCTCATTGAGAACAGCGATCACTTTGTGTACATCGAGAACCAGTTCTTCATCACGTCTTGCACCGTGGAAGGCACGCCAATCCTCAACAAGATCGGCGATGCCCTGGTCAACCGCATCATCCGTGCGTACGACAACGACGAGCAATGGCAGGCTTGCATCCTCATCCCCTTGATGCCGGGCTTCCAGAACAGCGTGGATTCGCAGGACGGCACATCGATCAGGCTGATCATGCAGTGTCAGTTCCGATCCATCTGTCGTGGCGAGGCATCGATCTTCGGACGTTTGCGAGCTAGAGGTATCGATCCAGAAGACTACATTCGATTCTACGCGCTCCGCCAATGGGGCAAGATCGGGCCTCGGAAATGCCTCACTACTGAGATGCTATACATCCATGCGAAATGCATGATCGTTGACGATCGTACCGTCATCATTGGCTCTGCGAACATCAACGAGAGATCCATGCTTGGCAACAGAGACTCGGAGGTGGCCACCATTGTTACAGACACCCGCATGATCCCATCCTACATGGCAGGCGAGCCATATGAGGTCGGTGAGTATGCCCATACGCTGAGGAAGCGTCTGATGAGAGAGCATCTCGGCATCGATGTCGATGCTTGCTATCGCGCCGAACAGTCTGCCCGAGACCAAGAGGAGCAGGAGGCGGAGGTGGACAGACTACACCGACAGGAGGGCCTTGAACAAGAGGATTACTTCTCGCCTCTCAAGACGGCGACGCTCCAGCACCCTGCCGTGTCGCGGCTGACTGACAATCTAAATCCAACGAGCAGCGTCAACAGTGGAGTATCCAGCGTGACGAGAAATAGATCAACCTCGAGTGTTGATCAAACTGGACCACTCGACAAGAAGGATCGTAAAGGCACTTTGGTGGAGTTTCAGCACGACCTTGACGTTGACGGGTATGGGCAGGACAACATGAAGGCCATCTACGAAACCACTGATCCCCAACTGCTCGACTCTTATGTGAATGCACGGGGGCAAGAAGTGATGCTGAAGAAGGAGTCGCCGGAACTGCATCGTGGAGAGAGCGCCACGGGTTCTGAAACGATCACAACTCACGGTAACGACGGCGCAGAAGATGATCCTGCCGTGCAGCCACCGTATCCAACCGAACGCCTGGACACAGACAAACTGGGCCTGTCGCCTCGCTCGCAGCTGCCGCAATTACCGCCCTTGGACGACACGGACATAGGCGGCCCGGGGCTTTCGCGTGGAAACTCCATGCCAGATCACGTCCTATCACCCCTTGCACACACGCTGAAGCGCCCCAAAGTCACCGAAGACTGCATGACCGACCCGGTCGTCGACAGCTTCTACCGCGACATCTGGCACCAAGTGGCGGAGAACAACACGCGCCTCTACCGCCAGGTCTTCCGCTGCATGCCCGACTCGGACGTGATCGACTGGAAAATGTACGAAAAGTACAACGAGTACAACGAGCGCTTCATGCAGGCGCAAGGGCTTGGCACGAGCAAGCCGCGGCCTTCGAAGGACGCGCCCGATAAGTCCGGTCCGCCCGGCTCGAATGGCGCCGAGATCGTCCCCGTTACAAGCATGGCGGAAGCGGCTGCCGTGGGACGTGTGCGATCGAAGAGCGTCTTGACCGGATTCGTGGACAAGCTTCGGCCGGGCAGCAAGGCGAGCGCGGACGACGCTCGACAGCAAGCCGCGAATGAAAAGGACGAGGCGGCCAAAGCGCTTCGCAACGCTGCCGCTCCTACGCCTGACTCCCCCAACTCGGAAATCTCCAGCGGGCCGACCGCCGTGCCGTCTCCGATGAACGAGCAGCCGCCGCTAGACGAGGAGAAGGAAGCGCAAAAGCAGACGGACGACCACCAGGCGCAACAGGTGCAGTCGAAAGACCACTCACCGCAGCAGCAAGCGCGCGTGGACGAAGAAAAGGAAGCGATGAAAGAGGAGGATGCCGCTGGCGCGCGAAAAAAGAGTAAGGTCAATCGTGCACCGGAAACCACGGCGACGCAGTCGATGCCCACTAGCACGACGCCTGTCCCTGGCGTGCAGAAGTCGAACAGCCAGAAGCAACGGAAACGTCGGGGCACGACTGCGAAGAGTAGTGCGCGCTCCGTGCCGGAGGAGGTGCTCGACAAGGACGAAGCGGAGGGGCTGTTGAAGCTGGTGCAGGGGCATTTGGTTACCTGGCCTTACAACTGGTGCGTATCCTTCTTTGACGTTTGCTTCTTGGCTCTCCGAATTACTGACGCTGCGAGTAGGCTTGAGAAGGAGGAGCGCAACGGGAACTGGCTGTATAACATTGATCAGCTGGCGCCGTTGGAAATCTACGACTAATCGGGTTGCCTTAGCCAATGGATTGGTTGTTGCTCCGGGTTGGTCTATTCGGGGGAGGTGGGAGGTGGCGTTTTATAAGCACGTTTTTGCTCTCACTCGCACTTAGGCGTTCATCTTATTGCATAGCGCGCGCTCAGGCAGGATAGAAAAGAAGGCTGCGAGTTCGCTTATGGAATGCCATCGGCCAGTGCAGCATCGCTCGACATCCTTTCAACACCGTCCTCCCAAGCTCACCCTCACGTCTTTTCAATACTCTGACTCATCCTCCGATGCACCGCGACAATGCCAATCACTAACTCCCCTTCCTGTGCCTCGCCTTCGCCGCCATCCCCGCATTCGGCTCCCTCTCCTTCGCAAGCAACTTCTGCGCTCGCGTTCTGCCCTGCGAAGGAGCAAAGCCATTACCACCATCCCCATCGTCGATTTGCGGTGGTTCCACGTGCGGCCAGCCGGATAGTAGGGTCTGCAGCTCTTTGCGGCCGAGGGAGTTGCGAGGGGCTTTTCTTTGCTTTGCTTCGTCTGGGATTGTCGCTGTCGTTGTTGGGTCGGTGGGTTCTGTTGTGCTCTTCTTTGGCTGCTTTTTCGCTTTCTTTGTCTTGCTGGTTTGCGTTGAAGTTTGGGGTGCGGGTTGCTGCTCGGTTGGTGATTGAGGAGATGGCGAGCGTTTTCTCTTTTTGCCTTGGGGTTTGATTGCGGCGTAGGTCATTTCCTCTTTGTGAGGTTGCTGGTCTTTCGATGCGGCATTCAATTCAGCGTGCTTGGCCGCGTCGATAGTAGCAGGGGTTGATGAGACATCACTCTTCTCCTCTGCTACTTTCCTGAGACGAGCAGACAGATTTACAGGACTGCTCGATCCGTCGTCGCCTTCAGAGTCGGAGTTCCGGTCAACCTGGTGGCGCTCGAGGGTGCTCTCGTCCTTTTCGATCGTAGTGTCTGTTGGGGAGACAGTCTGTTGAGCACGTCCAGAGTGGGAAGGCGCGGCCACGTCACCGCTTGGCAAGTAGCGCAGCTCTTCGGCTCGCATTTCGTGCATAAGAGAGTGTTTGCTGCCGGCGCCGCTGCTGGGTCCTTCGAGCATCTCGGTCGTGTTTGGTTCAGCTTGCGTTGGTGCCGGGTGTGGTGTGTGGAAGGCGTGAGTGGGTTGAGTCGTTGGAGGTGAGGTTTTCTCCGGCTCTTGGGCGATTGGAGCTGCACCTGGTAGATCTGGAGAGGTTTCGCCGTGGTTGTGGGATGGTGAGTGGCCGGATGCAAACAGTGATGGACACGAAGGGGCGATGTTGACTGGGCTCGGCGGGACTGGGTTCGGAGATTTGGTGGGCTGAGGTGCCGCAAGGCTGGGTGGGGAGGACGCAGGCGGATCTACTGCCGCTGAGTGCTGAGCAATTTGATCGTTGGTGTCGAGATCGGCGACCAATTCCCTCTGGTGGAGATGAATCAGGTCAACAGGTGTGGACAAGTGGTTAGCACTGGCAGAGGGGGCCTCCAAGGAAAGCTCCGGACCAGGCGTTGCGGAGTGCAATGCGGCGACGACCTCTCCACCCTCAGCTCCCGGAGGAGATGACGCGTTGTCTTGCATATCGAGGTCTAGCGAGAGGTCGAGATGATCGTAGAAACTCTCAATCTCCTCCACGCCAGCTTCGAAGGACAGGTCGTCCATCGTCGTTGTGACATGCTCTGGCGAAGATGCACGGGGGCGAGGAGAGTATCTTCAGGTTCCGAAATATGTTGAGCAATGTAATTATTGTTGCCTAACATACTGCAAACGATGTTGGTTGTGCATATGTTTGATTGCGGTGACGTCGGCAGCATGTTTGATGGACGTCATACGCAAACGCTGCAAGCGTGCCTTTTCCGTGGACGAGAAGCGTGCTTTTGAAAGGAGACTTGGTCGAGATGCAGAAGCTACAAGTGTCACTTACACGCGTGTGGAAGAACACTCACCTTGTGGTGTTGAGTGGTGAAGACACAAATTCACCATAGGGGGGATACGCTCTCAGGGTTCCAAATTCCAAACACCAACGCCGGAACAACACTCATAGCCTTTGCTGCATTCGAACGATGCGGCGACCGTATCTATTCACAAGTCGAGATGTCGTACTGCACAGCAAGCGCTACTCGTCATCTCGTTCGTCCATCAGAAGGGTATCTTCCGGTTCACTGCTTGCGATGCATCCATGGGTTGGCCGAGAAGACTGTTGACCGCATCAATCACATGTGACGAGTGGAGTCGCCACTTGTCACTCACATCTTGCCGGTCTCAGTCGCACAACATCCGCATAAGAGTGATGCTGGCCAGCAGAGGATGGCCACGCCGAGCAAAACCACTATTCCCAGCGTTGGACCAACGACTCTGATGTGGCAGGGATTTCGATCTGTTTTGCTGTTTAGCCGGCGAAGGCGAGATAAGAGGGAGGATGCTATGAACCTGTGCCGCATTCGATGCACGGGCCGGGAATGCAGAAGAAAGGCATTTGCGATGATGTCTAGAATGGTGTTGAGCAATGCTGTGTAGTCGAGCGTTGGGGTTGGCCTGGGTTGACTCGTGACACGACTCAGAGCAGCGAAAGGAGGGAGGTGATGAATATGGATGTAATATATGAAAGGCGTAGAGAGTGGGAGGAATGTGTGAGATACCAACATGGACGTGAATGCAGGATTTGACGCTGGCAAGAGCTGTCAACAACAAAGCACACCCCCAAGCGAGCACAATGCGGGTGCGATTGGGGGAAGCAGCGGTTACATGGATCCGTGAAGGTGCACGCATTCTCCAAGTAGGAAGGTAATGTCAAGGAAGGAGGCCGAAGAAAATGCTGGTGGAGGATGAAGTGTCGTTCACCCTATCCGAGAAGGCGCCGAGGACGTGGACACGTGCTGCTGACTAAACGAGGACATCACCTCCAGTCATGCATGATGCGATACCGAACATGTAGGTTGGAAATGCTGGCATTAGAAATGCACGCTCCAAGGGCCGAGGGCAGTTTGAATGTTTCCTCAAAGCAGCGTGACGTCCACGAGGCATACTCATGTGGATGTCAGCGGACGTATACTAATCAATGAGTAAACTGCCGACGCTTGACCCACTCCCTCCACCCGAGGCGTGGCTTGGGTATGTCCGCCAATCGGCTGCTCGCATATTCTGCAAGGCTCTAGGCTAATGTTGAGTAATCGCAATACTCCTGACAACAAATGTGTCGGCGTGACAGGTGCGGACGAGAGCACGCCAGCCCAGGCCGTACAACGCCGCCTCCAGTGCGCACATATATCTATCCCTGCTCTGCACCGTGGGCGACGGCCGCTCTTTCATCTGCTGGAGCCCTATCCTACCTGGATCACATCCCAGTGGACGACATGGCTCACCAAACTCCCCCCATAGAGCACCCCTCAGATTCCCGGCAGCCATCAGTCGAGCACTCAACAGATGATGCCCCTCACCCCGGCAAAACCCACTCCGAGCTGGGTCGAGAGGAAACCGAATCCCTCGAACTGGCGTTAGGAGGTGGAGGCCTCATTACCGACCTGTCCGACAACGAGCTGCCCGCCGACCTGGAAAAGGCGCGCACGACCGACTCGCAGAAGATCCGAAACGCTGCCGACTGGGACGGCCCTGACGACCCCGGCAACTCGCAGAACTGGCCGCTGCGCAAGAGGGCCTACCATCAGTTGGCCGCCGGCTCTCTCGCCTTCGCCGTCACCGCCTCCGCATCCTTAATCACCCCCGCCACCCAAGAGATTGCCGCCCATTTCCATGTCTCCCTCACTGCCGCCATCCTTCCTTTGACCCTCTACACCATCGGTCTAGCCTGCGGCCCCATCATCGCCGCCCCCATCTCCGAAACCTTTGGCCGCACTATCGTCTATCGCGTCAGTGCCCCGGTCTTCATGCTCTTCTTGCTCGGCGCCGGCCTGTCCAAGTCTTTTGGCAGTCTGCTGGTCTGCAGGCTGCTTGCGGGCATCGCTGGATCCCCTGTCCTGGCCGTTGGAGCGGGCACCAGCGCCGATATGTATCCTATTCACACTCGCGCCACCGCGTCGACGTTTTTCATCATGATGGTCAGTACCTCCGCGAACCCCCCCCTCTAGCGGTCTGTGTCGCATACTGACCTTTTCCCAGCCTTTCCTAGGACCCGGCATGTAAGTATCATTACTTCCAGACGCGAGGCCGGAAGGTCTGTCCATCCAACGCGAAAACTAACACCCACATTTCAGGGGGCCGATCATCGGCGGCTTTGTCGCTCAATACAAGGGCTGGAGATGGACGCAATACGTCTCCATCATGATCGGCGTCGTCGCCTTCATCCTTGTCCTGCCCATGCAGGAGACGTACAAGAAGATTATCCTCACGCGACGCGCGAAGAAACTCGGGATCCCCGGCCCTCCCAAACCCAACCTGACCCCATTGCAAACCGTCAAGTTCCTCCTGACCGTCACCCTCGCCCGTCCGGTGCGTATGATCGCCACCGAGCCCATCGTCCTCTTCTTCAGCTTCTACAACAGCTTCACCTTCGCCATCCTCTTCGCCTTCTTCGCCGCTTACCCATACGTCTTCACCAATGTCTACCATTTCAACACCTTCCAAAATGGCCTGGCCTTTGTCGGCATCCTCGTCGGTGTCCTTCTAGGCGTCGCCCTGTCCATTACCATCGACCGCCTCGTCTACCACAGAGTCCACTGGAAGCGTGCCCAGGCAGAGGGCCGAACGGCCGTGGCGCCCGAGCACCGGCTCTACGTTGCTATGGTCAGCGCTTTCCTTCTGCCCATAGGTCTTTTCTGGTTCGCGTGGACCGCACGCCCCTCCATCCATTGGATCTCGCCTATTCTGGCGGGTGTACCGTTCGCCGCGGGTAATTTGGGCCTGTTCATCGCCGTCGCACTGTAAGTCGCTTCGACCCCGGGATTCCCCAACGCCACCCATGCCCTGCTGACTTTCTCGACAAAGCTACCTCATCGACGTCTACGGCCCACTGAACGGCGCCTCGGCGCTTGCAGCAAACGGTTTGATGCGCTATACTCTAGGGTGCGTTGGACGACAACTCTCACCCCACCTATGCCTTGCCCAACGACTCCAACTGACTTGCCCATCTAGCGCCGTCTTCCCCCTCTTCACCATCCAAATGTACGAGACGCTGCATATCGGCTGGGCGACGAGTCTGCTCGGCTTCATCTCCATCCTTCTGCTGCCCATCCCGTTTGTCTTCTACAAGTACGGGGCGAAGATCCGGGAGAAGAGCGCGTATGATACCTTGAAGGTTTGAGAGAGTGGCACACGAGGCAGGGGAGGTTTGTGTTTCTGTCAGAAATTTGCATTCACAATGGGTGACGGCGGGAAGCTATGGTTTTGTAGCTTCTGCATTTGGCGGCATGGGCAAGGGCGTTCGAGGACATGGGATACAGGCATGTGGGTGGAGATGATACAGGGATTTTGGCTGGATGAAATGATTCCCGGCCGTGTGCTGCGCATTGAGACTTTTGTATACCAACAATAATATCTATCCCTCGCCTTTTTATCAGTGAAGCACTCATAATCATGGTAATCATGCCCAGCCGCCTCTCTATGTATATGCCCATCTTTCAAGAGCCCCATTCACTCATCCCTTCACCCAACTCCAAACATGCACCGCACTCGCCAACCCCCCAAGCACCCCCATCCTCCACCCCTCCTCCTCCCAACTCCACTCCCTCAGCCGCGCAACCTCTCTAGGCCGCAGAAGGTCCACTTCCCGCCACTTATCGGTATAGTACAGCGCAAGGATAATCAGCGCGCTGCGAACCAGCCAGTCGAGCGCGGTGACGAGAGCCGGGATCCCGAAAGCGAAGCGCTGCGCGAGGAAGAGTTTGGTGGCGATGCGGCGGTACGTGCCTGCTTCTGGGGCTGGTTGATGCTGCTGGATGTAGGTGTCTAGCGGGGACTGGGGGAGAGTGCGGATGTCTGAGATTGTGGTGGTTGTGGTGGGGTTGGGGTAGCTGGGGCTAGAAGGGGGGCAGCGGAGGGCTTTGAGGATGGACCATCGGGGTCGGTCGATGAGGGTGGTGGGGGTTGGAAGTTTGGCGTTTTGTTGTTCAGTCGTTTGGATGGCTTTCAGGAGAGTGGGGAGTAAGGCTTGGTTTTCGATGATAAGGGTCCGGTTCTTTTCGTCTGTCGACAGGCTCTCGCGATCAAAGGCTTCTTGCACGTGGGCGTAGTGCACGAAGCGGCTGTAGAAGGCGGGAGAGGAGACTCGCAGGGTGAGCTTGCGCTTGTGGTCGTCTTCGTATATGAAGCCGGGGGAGTACATGGCGACCTCCTCCTGTCCGTCGGAATGGGCGGGATGGTAGATGACTTGGAGAGCATCGGTCGAACTCTCGACGGCATGCCGGAGGAAAGCCTGGAAGAAGCCCTCCAGCTGTCTCTCGTCGTCCGTGTACGTGCGGCCAATGCTGCTGTCCGCAACCTCCGGCCTGAACCAGACATTCAACTTGCGACGGAAGAATAGTTTCTGCGCTTCCCAGACAATGCGCGGGAATGTTGCAAGACCTACCCACCACCAAGAAGCGATGAATCTTGCCAACTCGAGAGTCCCTATACTCGCAGCTTCTTTCGGCTCGCCTTCTGACCAGACGTGAGCAACAATCTTCGGACTTTCCTTCGACGACCGCAGCACGATTTTGTTGTCGATTCGCACATGCCCTGTCTCTTCATAGGCTGCAAGCGGGTCTAGAGCTCGAAGAGAATACGATCCCTGCCGACTGTTGAACGGAGAGACATGGAAGTCCTTCTCCCACGTGTCCGTGAACGTCCTCCCGTTCGATTTCTTGCCGCCGGACGACCCATTCGCTCCCTCCGCTGAGCCATCGGCGCCAAGTAGATACATTCGTCGCTCGTCGAAAGTGTTGTTGACTTCCAAGATCATATACTTGAGCACCGTGTCCGCATCATACAAATACCAAAACGACACCGGGTTGAAGCTGTAGCCCAGAAAGCGCGGGGCGGTGACCAGATATGCGAAAGCGTAGTCTCGATCCGTCACGCCTTGCGTATGCAAGTAGCTCTTCAGCTTGTCCGCGAGGTCCAATTTCCGGCCGCTGCGAAATAGGTAGTCGGAGGCGCTGACGTGGAACCAGCTGCGGTTTCGACCATCGATGGACAAGGCCTTTCCAACGGGGCCTTTGACGCCCACGGGCACTCCGACGAAGAGGTATGTGTAGGTGAAAGCATGCCGTTGCGGGAAGGTTCGAGAGTGGGCGGTGCGGCTGGGAATCAACAAGGGCGGGAGCAATTGTTCGTCGATGCGTTGTTCAGCCAGCTGCTCCCTGCGCTCCGCGACTTTCTTCAGGTGGTGCCCGCGATACACGATGCCTCCGGCAAAAGCACCGCATCCCCCAAGCAGGCCGAACGTCTTGATGTAGAGATGGATGACGGGATCGCGCAGGTCCAGCCAGCGGAAGTCCCGGGGGGAGAGAAATCGCCACGAGCCGTTGCAGTACGTAAAGATGGAATGCAGACATAAGAAAAGGAAGAGATCCTGTAGCCAAGTCGAGTCTTGTTGATAGATGCGCAACGCCCAAGCGGGTTGGAAGATGAAGGTTCGTGCGGGGAAGGTTTTGTGAGGCTGAGTGAAGATGCTCCAGATCAACGTGAAGAATGCCCAGATGAGGATGAGGAGCGTATTTCTGAGCGATGTGTCGTCTTCGAACCCGCCAGCAGCAACGGCCATGATGATAGTGATGATACTCCAGAGGAGTGTGTGTTGGAAAAGGCGTCTTACATCTCACCCGTCGTATTGGTGATGCAAGTCCGATGGATGGCGGGCCCAGCCAAGACACCAATTTCACCGGCGTCGGCTGGGACCTGCAGCTGGCGGGCCAATTGAATTGCAGCAATCAGCACGTCATTCGCTTGGTAAATAGAGGTGAGCCTTCGAATCGGTTTGACGATGTAGGAGGATATTCGGATTATAAAGGGGTGATCTAGAGCGGAGAGACGTCGCGGGTATGGAGACGCTCGATGTCACGCAGGAAGAGATCCCTGCGAACAATGAGAGCCATCATCAACACATGAAGATCTCACAAATGGAGATGATAGGAAAGATATCGAAGTGATTGTAGTGTTTATGCAGGGCTCGATAGATGGCTAATACTCTGCGCGAAGCAAGGCGCGCTGAAAGGTGTTTCATGCAGTAGATGTGCGCGAGCCTTCGCGAACGCATAGCCAGCCAACATGATGAAGTAGTGGCTTGCGCTGTTAAAAGCACCAGCAGCCATGGCGCAGTAAACGTGCTTGCGTCTATATGCGATGCGATGCGCATCAAGATATCCTCCAAAAGGGGCAATTTGAGAGGCATGGGATGTAGCATAGTCAGTGCCATGTCGCAGTGGTAAGAGTCGCGAAAAAGACGGGAAGAAATTGACTGAAATAGTGATGAGGATCTGGTGCAAACTGAAACAAAAGAAACGGTCAGAGCTGAGTCGAACCCACGTACCATCGGCAGTAGGTAAAGGAAAAAAATTAACTTGCTGATAACCCGGCCCTACTCTGAAGAGCATGCACTCCCCTAATCCCCCCGCCTAGGCGTCCCCAGGCGGCATATCAGCGCTATTTGTAGCCCCCAGGTTCCCCTCTCTGTTTCTGCCCCCAGGTCCCCACGATAAAGCCCCCAGATCACCCCTGGACTGCGGAAGCACTGGAAAATCAGGACCAGCACTGGGAAGTGCGTCACCACCGGGTGCTAGTTTTTCACCGAGCGCAGCCCTACTGGCACTCGGTGACCCGCAAAGTCAACTGGCGGGAGCTGGAAGTCAAAGACTCTGACCACCAGCACTTCCGAATCCGAGGGGCAAGCGCGCGGCATAACTTATGAAGCCATGGAAGAATCTAGCGAGGTTTCGCCGGTTGGCTGGGCTTGTTGCCTGTGCTACGCTGGCGGTGACGTCGGGATGGCGGTGCGAGGAAGTTGCGGTGTTTGCTGTGAGTGCGGCGTTTGCTCGTTGATGTCATGTAACACATGTAACACATCCATCATATCAGCAGAGGACATCAGGCCTGGGGACGATGAGGTAAACATGCTCGACATGCGATGCTTGCTTACACGGATGTTTGCCCAACATCTTTGGCCGGTTTGAAGCTTCGCGGCGACAATGCTGCCATTCCAAAGCATATGAAGGCACACTAATTTTCACGTGAACGGAAATTCCGCTACCTATCGTATGCTTTGCGTTTGGCAGCCACCTTCACACACAATTTTGGTCCACACCGGTGCTCGTCTCATGGACTGTGATGGTCATTGTCTCGCGGAAAATCGATTGCTTTCGTCTTCTCGCCGTCGTTGTTCAGGGGGAAGTTCACTCGTCGTGCGTGAGATATTTCAGTGGACACATGGTGGCGGTGAATTATGATTTTCTCGGACATTGTTGTCTCCCCATCGTGAAACCATGTGAGAGAGCGATTTTTTGCCAGTCCGACTTTGGACTCATCCTCGAATTAGAAAGGGAAGAAGGATTGGGAAAAGGGCAAAGTGAAGAGTGAAGTCGAAAAGGGAAGCCATCAGCAGCGGGACTTCCCGCCCCGCAGTTTCGCCGAGCTTGCTCTCGTTCTTCCTCCCTCGCCCAAGCCCATCACCTCAACTCTCCGCCAGCATCGGGACCCCCCAAAACCGCAGAGAAAAACACCAGTCAAGATGCCGATCAAACCCATCACCGGCGTATGTATCCTACTCCAGCCATTGACCCGCCCAAGCACTAACGACAGCGTGCCACAGATGCTCCGGAGGAACCTCGTGCTCGACCTCGCGACAGCTTTCGGTAGGCTTTGATCACCACCCCTCTCCTGACTACGCCTGCCTACCCCTTCCGTCCCTTGTCGTGGGCATATAACTGTGAGGGAGAGCGAGTTCTTACACGGCAAGCAGGTCTCGGCACAGCCGCCGGCTACTTCTGGTGGTACGGCTTCCACATCCCACACATCCGCACACGAGACCAGTTCTACGAGAAGTTGGAGAACCAGAGGGCGAATGCGATGAATCAGAAGTCGTAGCATACGCGAGATGGATGAGATGGCTGCAAGGGCCTGGAGCGAGCGGCGGTGGGAGTTCAGTGAGCGTGGATGCATGAGTCTGGGCATAAACGGGTGGTGTGGGAGACAAATGTACATATGTTACCCGAAGCCAAGTGCAGTTCTGCTGCTGTGAAACCCCCCTTCTTTTCCACGGATGTTCATGCCTCGTAGTACGGTGTTTAGATATTGATTGTCTATTGTGGACTGCCTAGCACCTCATCTCAATTCCCTTCCGGCTGACCGTCAAATACTTCACGCCCTTGTACGGCTTGATATCCGCTCCCAATCCACGACTCCGCTTGTTGTCCACAGCCAGACTTTCCACTCTCAGTCCGCTAGGGAGCGAGCCTTTCAAACTAAAACTGAGTGTCGCAGAGGTGGGCATCAACTCTCGATTTCGCTCCAGTCGCTGACGCTGCGAATCGGCGGAACTGCCATTGATCTCAGCGGAAGAAGCCTGGTTGCCTAGTCGCGACGTGTCGCCGGTCTGCACATCATCGTCGTAGTCGTACGTGGTAGCTGTGACGCCGTTCATCACTCCACCCGCCGTGAACTCCTCGTCTTCTTCAGCCGGCTTGCCTTGCACGGTGCATCTCAGTGCTACGCCACTCGGTCCGACATCCTTCTCGAGCACATGCCACTCGACCATGCTAGTCGCCGGGTTCCAGTGCGCTTCACCTTTGCTGGGCCGGAGATCCGACACGTTCCGCACATTTGGCGGAATAGGCACGTGGATGGTAATGTCCTCCACCGGCTGCTGCGGCCTGCCGGACTGGCCGGGCTTCGAACGGCCCTGAGGGCCGAGATTTGACTGCAGACTAGCCGTCGCCAACGAACGCACAGGCTGCGTTATGCGCACTTCGAAGTCCGCGCCATTCGTCCCCAGCCCGGTAGAGACGTCAATCGAGACTGGTAGATCCAGTCCACTTGTACTCTTCGCTCGTGGGTTGGAGACGGTGAGCGGCGCATCTGGACCGAGTAAGTCGACCTCATATCCACACAACGCGAACTTCCCATCAGGCGGGACGAAGCTCAAGGAACCGTCACTCTTCCACCGATTCAGGCGAACGCAAGGATGGAAGACGACTCGCTCCATTACCCTCTGCAGCTGCTCTCCTTTCGTGCCCATTCCAGCCCCCTTGCCATCGGTCATCAGGTTGAGCACGAGGTCAGGTACTCCGCTGACCTTGCAGTTGAACATGATACTGCCGTGCGCGAAAGCGGAGAGTGCTCGCCCGGAAGGCGCAAGCGTGACAAACAGCGACTCGACAAAGTCGACGTAGAGTTCATTGCTCGTGTGACGGACATTGCTGCGACGCCAGGGTACCGCGGAGCCTTGACTGCTTTGCGCGGGCTGTAGCTGGGATCGAAGAGCAGCTGGGATGGAGGAGGAACCAGCACCACCGGAGATTGACAGGGCAGGGCTCGAGGCCGAGGCGCCGATGCTGTCTAGGAGATTCTTCAGCACGCCGGAGCCGGTTTCAACGACGTCTCGGAGGGCATTGGCTTCGCTTTGGCAGACGATGCCGGCGTCTGCGATCTCCGCTGCGATTTGCGCGATGATGTCGTAGGAGGATGTGATTTTTGTGGCCATCAGAGGGCTACCGAGAAACTCTTGTAGGGCATCGGCTACGCGGTGCAGGAACTCTAGCACCAGCAGAGGCTCGGCTGAGGAGGAACATGGCGAGAGGAAGAGGATGTTGTCTTGGATGATGGAATAGCATAGTATTGGCGGGGTGAAAGAGGGGAGGTAGATCAGGCTCGGCCGTGGACTGGGTTGCTGCAGGTATAGAGGTAGGAGAACGGAAGGTGAGGGCGGGCGGTTGGTGTAGGTGTGATCGAAGAGCAGGGCGCTGAGAGGGAAGTGTTAGCAGTGCGATCTGGAGCACCTCACCGTCTGGCGGATGACTTACTTACTTGTGCTCGTCGAAGATGTAGAGGGCGTCAATCGCGCTCATGTTGCTGTGACTGCTGTCGTCACCTCATTCTCCCATTCACCCCAAAAATGTGACACTCTGAGTGAATGCGAGTTGTCGCAGCGTCGTGTGCTTTCGTGGTTGTATGTTCATTTGGTGGGGCACAAATGTCCGGATGAGGCAGGTGGGCCGACTGCATCATCTGCCTCCCCGTTACTTCCCAGCTACATCACTTCATTCTATCCTCCCTTTCACCAATTTACTCAAACTGCACATGGCCGACACATAGCGCTTCTAGAAGGCGGTATCGCGCCATTTGTCCTCGCCTCTCGCAGTGTCCCGCGCCATCATGGCCGAAACAGCGGGCACAAAGAGGCCTCATTCCAACGCGACCTCCGATGCGCACGCGAACAAGAAGCGCAAGGTGCAACGAACACTCCAGCATGTCGCATGCAGACCGCAGCATGTCGAGCCTGCTCCTCAAGAGCCAGTCTTCGTGCAGAGTCAGCTACTTAAGAGCATCACCGCCGCTCTGACGATGGCGGGCTTCGACAGCGTGAAGCCGACTGCGCTCGAGATGTTTCGCGGGGCGGCAGAGGAGTGTATGTTCTTCGAGGGAGCTGCTTGATAGGGTTGCGCTGATGTGAATGCAGACATGCTAAACTTCCTCCATCACGTGCGCACGAGCATGCAGAGTAACCGGCGCACATCTCCAACCGCTCTCGACTTCGCATCTGCTCTGGCGCTCGTACCGAACACATCCTCCGCATCCCTGCTCAAGCCGCTCTTGGGTGAAAAGATCCCAGAGTCAATCTCGAGTCCTTCCATTCCCGATCCAGATCCTGCGCCACCTGCGGCGCCCGACTTCAGCTCGCTCCTACAACCCCTCGTCACTGCTCAGCCACCATCCTACATCCCGAAACACTTCCCATCACTACCACCTAAACACGCGTGGAGACACACATCCGTGTATGCGGATCGAGAACACGATGCGCGCAAGATGCGAGAGCGCGCGACAGAGGAGGGCATGCTAGCGGAGCAAGCATTGAGGAAGCTGGCTGCTGCGGCCAAGAGCGGGGCAGTCAAGGCTGAGCGTATGAAGGAGAACGCGATTAGTGAGGTGGGACGAAAGGCTGGCGTGAAAGGTGGGAGGAGGCAGGCGAGGAGAGGCCAGGGAGCTGAGCAGCTGTATGGACAGATGTTGAAGGACATCGCAGGCACTGCTGCAGGGGATGAAGACGAGGGGATGGATCTGGGGCTGGACGGCATCAACGAGCTGAGGGAAGAGGGCATCGATCCGGGGATGCCGGAGGGAGTGGTGGTCAACTGGGATATCGCGGGTTGGAGGCGAGGTGCTCGAAAGCATCATCACTACATCTGATTCCGCCCGTCATTTAGCGAGGTGTCTTTGGTGTTATTTGATATTGGCATTGGTATGGTTATCTGATCTGCTGGAGGGTGTGACCTCGTTAGAAAGAGGCTCTCCACATTCGACGCTCTTTGAGGTCGTTTTGCCCTCGCTTCGTAAACGTTTCTCAACTTCAACTGCCTTCTCGTTCAGAGTCACGTGCAGCACCCCCAACCTCACTCCACGAGCCATCGTGCACACCTTCCCATCGCGTCGTCTCCACCGTCAACCCATTCGCGCACCTATCCACAAACATCACATCAGCGAACCTGCTCTGCGTCGATACAATAGTCCCGACCCAGAAACATCGCGACAGCGGGGAGCAACCCAGCACCTACTTCCTGAACATCCGCAAATACGGCGCACACACCACCTTACTCCCCGGGTGCTCCCTCGGCCCATCCAAATCGCAAAAGTACTGGATCATCTCCTTCAACTCGCAGGCCTTGAGGTCCACCGGCGGCTTCTGCACCTTGCCGTTCGTCTTGTACTGCACCCTCTTCGCGAGCTGCGCGGGCGGGAAGGATTCGATGTGTGGTGGCATTTGACGGGTTCGCGTGCGAGGAAGCCGGTAGTTTGTGTGTTTACCGCGTCATGACATGACGGTGCGGTTGCGGATGAGCGTGAGAGTGAGAGTGACAGAAGCAGGGAATTGAAGATGGCAAGTGCTGAAGATCTGGGGAAGAAGTTGTTGGCGGAGGTGCAGGTGGTGGGTCTTGACGAGGTGTGTTGCTTCCGCACTCGTAACATCTCTGAACTTATGTCGTTTAATGACGATTCTACAGGTCCTGCATACATTACGGGTTGGGGAAGGCGTGCTAGAAGCGCAATACTTCCATTGCAAGCCGCTGGATGAAATACTTCAACGCGCTCTCGAAGGCAGACGGCCAACAGCAAAAGACATCCCAAGGACACCGATCGTGGAGATTTGCTCCCTACATCCCGGTGGTGGAGCAACACAATTACTCTATTACATGTGTGCTCAAGCCGTACTACCTGTGCAATATGGTGGCAAGCAAGCATGCACAGTCATTGTCGATGCCGACGGTGCCTTTTCGGTCGCAAGACTTGCATCACAGCTCGCAAGCCTCGTCCGCCAAACGCTTGAAGTCGATGAGGCTACACTGCAAACCACGGTGTCGACGGCACTGAAGCATGTGCATGTCTTCCATCCACAAACGCTGGCGGCTACTATCGCAACAATCGACTCCCTCCCGGCTTACCTCTTCGACCAGCAGCGCCACTGGTCTTCCGATCGACAAGTGGGCTTCGTAGCGCTGGACTCTGCGTCGGCATTCTACTGGCAAGACCGCGCAGAGGTAGAGGACGCTGCTTTCCAAAGCACTACTATGGCGGGGGAGACGGCGGTGTCAACACCCGGGCCATCAGGATACAACACGCTGGCATCGTGTCTCAAGGCTGCCAGCAGGACCTTCAACTGTCCAATTATCGTGACTTCCTGGCACCTGGGGACAACACCAGTGACACATCAACAGCAGCAGTATGCGTCGGGCATCCGTTCATTTCGGTCGACGTTTTCGGGGGCGTTTGCACAATTGCCCGCACTGCGCTTTGTCATCCGCAGAGCGCCGGTGTCCAAGTTTCCAGTGGGAATCACGGTCATGAATGCGCTGCGGGAAGCTGGTGACAGGCAAAAGGTAGTGGATGAAGGCAGGTTCGAGTGCTTTGTGAATGAGTGGGGGATGGAAGAGCGGGGCCTGAGCGGCGTCGGGCGTTCCGGCTTCGCGTTCAGCATCGGCGCCGATGGCGTTATGCTTGAGGAGATTTGACAGCTCCATACGCACTCGAGCGGACACACCTGATCCAGGGTCCCACCCCACCTGTGGTACGCATGTGGACTCCGACTGCCATCGAAACTAGTCACGTCAATTAGGCGTAATCCAGCAGCGATCGCCGCCTGTTTGCGCAAGCATTCGGCGGGAATGCCGGGGTGCCAGGGGTTGGGGAACACCTTATCGTTACGCGGCTGACTGGAAAGTACCTCGATCGATCTAACATTGCTGATGCCCCGCGATGGACAGCCTTCCTACCGCGAGCATTTCTTTTCCGCTCCAAGGAGCAACGCGGCCGACTTGAGCGTCACGATCCAACGCGACTGCATAAGGACCAAGAATATAAGCAGGTGCCTTGCATTATTCTTCGCCCAGTGCTCCGAGGAATGGACTCCGTCGGGCACGGAATTTCTCTGGCAAGCGCTGAGGGATGGAAGCTTCGTATCCCAGCACCCAATAGGAAACCAGGTCCCGGGGATGCTGCATTTTCCTAAACGACAACAGCTCCAAATGACGTGAAACCCTCCCGCCGCCGCATGGGTCCCAAGGCGTCCGGCTCCGCGAAAAGCTCCTCTCATGAGCTCGGGCGTGTTGAGTAATTTGGTGCTGGCCCGATGTGACCGTTGCGTGTGCTCGGGTCGATTTATTACCGGCAGCACCTGCCCGTCATCATCCCCTCCTCAATACCATGGCAAGAGAGGAGATACCGACCCCTCACGTCCGCATCCGGCGTGCCGATTCCCCCTGCAGCCGTAATTGGAATCTCCGAGACGTCGCTGGAGCATGAGCGCCCCCGCGTCGACAGCTCGGATCCCAGAAGCAATCTGTCAATGGACAAAAAACGCGGGCAGTTACTATTCATCAGCGTCAAGGCACCAGATGGGAGGTCTGATTCGGATTTGAGGAAGAGTGTGCGGTCGTGGGTGACGACGGCGCAGCACCAGCACAGACGGCAGCGCGACTCCCAAGAACACTCCGGCGTCACCGAAGGGCAAGACTGTTGCCCTCCTTCCACGTCATCCTCGACCTCGGTGGTAGACTCGGTCACCGAAGACATCGACTCTCCCGCAGAACTACTCAGTCCACGGGTAGACTCGCCACACGCGTCTTCGAAACAACGACGGCCCGGCGTTAGGCGGCAGACCCAGTCTCACGATGGACGCAGCCCGCGAAAAGCCAACCGCGACATCACCAAGCGGCGCAGACCTTCCCGAAGGGTGACGACGCCGCTACTTGATAATGCGTCGCCCTTTGCGAGCCCTTCGCCTCAGCCGACCTCCGTGTCACCATGGCTGCCGCCTGCGTTGGAAGACCCCGCCGACCCGCTCGCCGTCTACGCTCGCCAGTTTGAAGTCAGCAGGTCGACGCTGTGGGATCATTACCTCTGGCAGGAAAAAGAGCACGGACGCTTGTTCCGGTCGAACTCGAATCGCTTCGAAGGCTGGGCACCACTGTGCCTGCATCCGCTGATTCTGTCGAACCCCGCCATGCTCACCACCTCCGTCCTCTTCACTGGCTGTCACCTACGCTACCTTCGACACCAGCAAGTCATGGACCCCATTGCGCATCATGTTCGCTCCCTGGCATATACCCACGTGCAAGCGGCGATTGACCATCCCGTGGAGCAGCGGAGCAATGCAACGCTGCTCGCCGTCGTCAAGCTGGCCTTTTTCGAAAGACTGTTTGGATACCATGCAGCGTATCGTATACACATGCAGGGCATGGCGCAGATGCTGCGTCTGCGCAACGAACTGAGGGAACAAGGGAGAGACGAGGGCATGGATAGCTACACCACACATCTGGTGCGGTGGTTCGACGCCAATCTGAGCGCGCTCGACGATACTCCTCCATGGCTGGCCGACGACCCATCGATATCGGATGGGGAGAGTGTGCCGACGCACGAACAGATATTCAGATTAGGCGTCCGAGATGCACAGCCGCAGCTGGACGATAGATAGTCATTGCCTTGATACCCACCCGCTCTTGTTAATGTGTCATCTCCTGTTTAACGGAACCTGACACCATTCTTTCACGTCTTTGTGCCTCATCATTCTCCAGATAGCGATGGGCCCGAAGGACGGAAAATGTCTGAGCAGCACGTAGCCTGGCCGACGCCTCTTGATGACTAAGCCACCCATCCGCGGCTGCCTCCTGGACTGAGGCAGCCAAAGTCAAATCTTTTTGAGCTCCAGAAACTCCATCCATTCATCCCTCACACGACCGCAACAATCAACCACAATGGCCGCACCCATGCTCTCCCGCGCCCTGCGGCCTACAATCGCCCCCTACGACCCCTCCGCCTTCATCTGCCTCGCCTGCCGCCGCCAACAATCCTCCTTCCGGCGCCAACGCAAAGCCCTGCGAGTCAAGCCCGATGCCTCCTTCGCGCCCTCCAAAACCGAAACCCAAGACCACATCATCTTCAACCCGCCGTCCAGCGCGCCCAACATCTACCACACGCCGGCGAAATTCCTGCCCAAGACGGATCCGCGGCGGACACTGCACTCGCTCGCGACGCTGCAATCCTCTCCATCCTCTTTATTTGCAAGCACGACTTCATCCAACCCCTCTACTCGCACCCCCATACCACCAAACCCGCAGTTCTCCGGCCCGCAAAATCTCAAACCAATCCGCGCACCCTATACGAAGAAATACCACCTCACGCAGCCGGAAATCGACGAAATGCGCGCCCTGCGCGCCGCCGACCCGCGCACGTGGACCCGCACCAAACTCGCGGAGAAGTTCGAGTGCTCGCCCTTCTTTGTGAGTTTATGCTGTGGCTCGCAAGAGGCGAAGGAGAGGCATGAGCGGGAGCTGGATGCGATTAAGAGGAGGTGGGGCCGGACGAAGACGGAGGCGAGGGAGGAGAGGGTTGTGCGGAAGGCGCTGTGGGGAAGGGATGCGTGAGGGTGGAGAGGGAGTATGTCTTGATGTGTTGAGGGGGCTGGGCCTTGTGCTGAGAGAGTGGGCTTTACAAGCTGGGTTTACTGTTGGTGCAAAGCAGGAACTGCGAACCCTGTTGCTGCACAAGCCAACAGTACTATGTCCACGTTGCCAGAAGCGACACTAGAGACATCACATGCGCTCGCAGATAAGGCTTGAAAGGGCCTCCAAGCATTTTCCAGTCTTTTGTACCATTATGTAAAAGATGGTCACGTGATGAGGTGGTGGGTGTCACCAGCCGTATGAGCAATCATTACATCAGCACTCTTAAATCCACCTCACTCTTTCATATTCGACATCACTCCTCACAATCGCGGTCTGTAAACTCGCGCGGTGCTGTTCGTGCTGTTCATGCTCGTTGGCCCGTTCCCGAAATTGCCAGTCTGACCCTACATTGAAACCACGAGTCAGTACCCACGCCAATGGATCGTGAGGAGACGATCGGAAAGAAGACATACCGAGAAGTCCGACACAACGCTCAAGTTCGCAATCCTGCCGAGCAAGTATTCAATCTGTCGGTACGCCACGCTGGGCTGGTATTGCGGGATCATGTGCCCGCTGAGATCAACGGTGGAGAGCGTGAAGCCGCGCTCCTCCCACCAACTGCCCATGATGCCCGCCCCCGCGGACGAGCCCTTCCCAACGGGCTCGTGGTAAGGAACGTAGAGATCGTTCCAGTTCTGCGGGGCGACGGAGAAGCCCTGCGCGCCGTTCCACGTCATGCCTTGCGTCGACATGATGGTGCCGTTGAGGAGGAGGACGAAGTCTGCCCGCCCTTGGCCCACCATTGTCACGCCTTTGTTCTTCTCAATGACGCGCGGGAGGACCGTCCAGCTGGAAGGCTCGCTGGTGTCGGTTGTCAGGACGCCGTTGGAGCATTCAGACCAATCGACGTCGGGGGCGTTGATTGCTTTCTTGACGTCGCTGCCTGTGGGTCGATGATGTTCTGGTTAGCTGGTTGCTTGTGAAGGCCGCATACGGCGTTTTCGTGGATCTTCTCTGGCCGACTTTGGGGACAGACTTACGGTTGAAGTAGATCCAAGGGGCCGGCTCATAGTCGAAAGAGCCGGGAAAGCCCAGAACATCCCAAAGATTCGGGCAGGTGGTCGTCACCTGGTCCCTCATTAGCATAAAGCCTTTCTCGAGGTATGGTTCGAGAGTAAGCCGCTTACGTCGTAAATATCAAAACAAGGATTCACTTCCGAGACAGCGTTCACAATCTCCCTCCAGTTGGCACAATGATCGGAGGAGGGTGGCTTGGGCAACGGCCCCTTGGGTGGGAACGTCATTGCCTCTTCCATGTACTTTGCGAACCCACACGCCTCATGCCGCTCCCACATGCGCTGCATGAAAGTGTCGTTGAGGCTGAACATCGGGCCCCAGTAAGCGGCCATGGGCACGGACGGGATGGCGTTTTGGACGTCGGGATAGGTCAGGTCGGGATCGTTGACTTGCATGCCTGTGATGCCGTAGTACTCGGTATTCGTTTCGTTGTGCATCGCGTCGGAGATGTACGGGACGTAGAAGCCAGCATACGACTCGCCGGTGATGTAGATCTTGCGGCCGTGCAGGCCGAAGGTGTCGACAAAGTTCTTCCAGAACCCGAGGAACTGCGACGCGACTTCGATCTGGTTCGTGGGCCTCTTGCTGCTCTTCACTGGGCTGAAACCGGTGCCGATGGGCTGCTCGACCCACACAACATTTGTCAAATTGACCCAGGTCCAAGGATTTTGCACTGGTCGATAGGTCTGTACGGTTGCCCGGTTAGCTCTCATTGCTCGTTGTAGCGGTTGCGGGGTACGTACTCCATACTGCCACTGCACCGGGCCGTTTTCTTGCAAGAAACCCTCCAAACTGGAGCAGCCAGGGCCACCATTGAGCCAGATGAGAATCTCATCATCAGCCAGCTTGTTATCCGACGGGAAGAACCAAAAATACATCTCGCCAGAATCCGTTTCGTTGGAAATGGGCAACAATCCAGCATAGCTCTCGCCGACATCAAAGTCGACAAAGGGCAAAGCGCTGCCGTTGACCTCAAACTTCTGCGTCATGGAGCTTCTCTTGATCTTCTGTCTCGCGGGCCCACCGTACTCGGCTCGCTTCTGGGACCGCGGAGCGGGTTGCATGGCGGCATTTCGGACGTGATTGAGGGCTTCAGGCTCTTGCATGCCGACATGGGCCCAGCTTCGGCGGTGTGCACTGTTGGCGAGCACACCGCTCGCGAGCAGTGTGGACGCGAGGAGGGAGTGGAAATGCATCTTGCCTTCGTATCCAATGCTTACAATGAGACAGGATCGGGGACGGAAAAGTCGAGAGGAGAGGGAAAAAGAGAGAACACCGACGGTCCCGCCTTTTCTTATCAAGGTAGCACCATTCCACTCCCCCCAAAACATACCTTTTCACCGTTATCCAGGCCCTGCGTCATTTTCTGGAAGCTCAGGCAAAAGGCGGAGAATCGTAGACAGGCCCACGCTATGCCATGCCCTATGCGGCATGGTCAGGCGATAAAGACGGAGGAGCCGTGGTTCCGAAGTGCAGGTACGACAGAAAACCGGCGCGGGGGCTATTACCTGCCAAAAAATGTCCTTGAGCCATTGAGGTGTAGTTCAACCTGGTACGCGCGCGTGGGCGCCGCAGGGTCGGCTTCTGATAGGCTGGGCGGCGTATACCAACCAACTTGTCCTGGCCCAAGTGGGCAGATACCGCGGGCGTTGCGAGGACGATTGCGCTAGTGGAGGTGGGATGTAACGCTGCCCGCACATCTTGGCTTGGAGCAGGCGGTAGGCTGCGTGCCAGAAGAAGTGAGACCACTCGTGAGCGGGCTCGCCTAGGTTACAAAGAAAGAGGGTGCCCTCGGGAGAGCTTACGTAGCGGCAGTGAATCACTTCTTCTGCATGGCGAGACCTCATCGCACAGCGGCTTCTTTCCGTCCCGTTCCCTCCTCTTGGTGATAGACGATGACTGCAGTAGTGCGAGCAGTTGGTGGTGCTCTGGTCGCGATACAGTCGTACTCTGAGCCGTGCCACGGACTGGCTTCCATTGTCGAAGAAGCTGAATATGTAGTTCGGGGCGGTCGGGGCGAAACGCCTGTCGTCCAGCCAAGCAATGCCCACGCGAGCTAGGCTTGATGGGCAGCTGCATATTGCGTATGCCTGTTCCGGTTGTACCTCAAACCCTGACTAATCTCCGCCAGATTGGTCACTGTGCACACATGCAATGCGTAATGCGAACACAATATGCCATATGCCAGTCGAACTATCAGCACTCAAACTTCAAAGACCTCCTGCACTCCACTCCAATCCTTTTTCAGCCTGCGCTCCCAATACCCATGGTGCTCCTTCAACCGCCACCGCTCCTCCCCACTCCCACTCCCCTCCGCCACCTTCTCGAAGAACAGCGGCTCATAAGGCCGCCCATGCGCCTCCAGCACCTTCCTCCTCGCCCGCTGCCGCTCCTCCAACCGCGCCTTCAGCGCCTCCGCAGCGTCGACCTCGCCACGCTCCAAAGCCTGCTGATCCGGGCGCAGACGGGAGTCGGTGGGCGGCAGGTGTCCCTTCTCCGCCTCCGTAATCTCATTCAGCGTCGCCGCGAACGCCGTGAAGCCGTACGCTTTCGACGCGTCGGGTACCAGAGATCCGACTTTCCAGATCGTGTCGCCTGTGTCCGTACGCTTTAGCCCTTCCGTCCACTTGCCTGATAACCCGACTTGTAGTGGCGTATCGCCTACGGCAGCGTCGAAGAGCTGAATGGTGACCTCCTCGCTGCGGCCGGAGAACATGCCGCCCGCTTTAAAAGTGGCCACGGCGCGCATGCGATTCGTCTCGTTGACGATCGTCATGCTCTGCACCGGCTCCACGTACTTTTCACCCGCAATGACATTGCGCAAGAAGCACGTCGCCTGGCTCCATGAGTATTGCTCGTGAGGCGCATGCAGCACGACGTACGCCCGTCCTTCGGTGTTCAGCTCTACCGACTTCCCCCAGAACTTCTGTACGGGTTGCGGCGACTGCGCGAAGGACCAGCCTCCATTATTAAGGCTTTCCGCTTGACATGCCATGCGAACAGGATGGTGCGACACCTTCTCCGCCACGAAGCGGAAACCCAAATCTTCGCGGACAAGTTCGAAGCTTTCGCCCAGCATGGGGTTGAAAGGCTTCCGGAGGGCGCGCTCTTTGACGCGGTTGTACGCGAAGTACGAGACTGCGAACGCAGCAACATACATGAGTCGTTCCTCGGGTTGCAAAGTCGTAGATGCGGCGGCATCGAGCAACGGTGAGTACTCCATGCTCTCCGCTAGACGTTGCAGAAGTGAGGTGGGCTCGTTGGCCGTCACTGGCATGGAGACGGTCGACAGGTCTTTGCCCGCGTTTTTGCGCAAGAAGCCGATGATGCTAGGTGGGGAATGTTTGGGCGGTGTGATGGTAGAGCGGCGTTTGACCGGGGAAAGAGGTAGGGGCGGCAGAGAGTCGGGGAGAGCCGAGAAAAGCGTCTTCGACGCCGACAAGTCGGTGCCTTGTCTAGCCAGCTCCCCAACATCATCCGTGCTGGAATCAGATTCCGCGTCCGAGTCGTGGCCAAACAAAGGCTCGTCGTGCGTTTCATCCGCTTCTCCAGCTTTGCTGATATTGAGCAGGGACGTTGCGTGATGCATATCCTCCGCGTCGAAGAACTCCTGGTCGTCGAAAGAGTCAATGGACATGCGCGACTCAGTAGTCGTCGGTGCGGGGATTCTGCGCGCACGACTCTCTGCAATCAGCGTGGCAAAATCAGACACCACACTGTTCAAGTCTTGCAACACCGCCATACACCGCTCATGCACGTCCACGTCCGCAGGCATTGGGAGCGCATTAAAGCTAGGTCGCCGGTGCGTGAGTTCCAGCGGAAGCGGCGAGATTGGGACCGCTCTATCGAAGGAAGGCGGGACAGTCAATTGCGCGGATGCACTTCGTTTGAATAGCGTCGAGGCCGGTCTTCGTTCCGCGCTGGCTTGTCGTTCACTTGGCCTGCGTCTCCAGAATGGTCGCTTGTCGTTGTGCAAGTCCTCTGATTCGGGAAAGTAGTCTCTCTGCTCGTAGGAGGTCGGGCTCGGAGCATTGCTGCTGCTACGAGAAGTCACGGTACCCAGTGGAGTGCCGTTGGACCCAGGGAGATATTTCGGATCGGTATCTTTGGCCAACGCTCGTACCGCATCCCTGGTGCCTGCGACCTTGCTGACAAGCTGCTCGAGCCGAGCCCATTCGTGGTCTTCCGCTGGATTAGGAGGACTGATGCGAAGAGAACCGCGCAGAGGTTTGACGGGTGAGGGAGAGAAAGAGGTAGCGCCGACGGCTGCAGACGCTCGCTCTAGCGCATCGCGCCAGCCCTCAAAATCCTTCTTGTTCAGCGCCTTCAGATGCCAGACTTCAGCACCCGAGTCAACGGAGAACTCTCGTGTCTTCTCGTTCGCGCCTACAGCCGCCAGGGAGAGTGGCACTGCGCCCCGAAGCGCAGAGGAATGGCGATTTTGGTAGTAGGAGAGGGTTGAGGACGTAAAGTCCAGGGAAAAGAAGCGCTTGGCGTACCCGCGGCCCTTCTTTCTCCGGCGTTTGTTGAGCACTCCAGTGTAGAAGGTGGTCCCTTCAATCCCTCGCGTCTCCACAGGTCCACTCTTCGATCGTGGTCGCGGGTCTTCCAGGATGCCCCTCTGCACTCCAGTCTGTGGAAGCGACTCATTCGAGTCGCCCAGCGGCCGCAACATGGGGCTGGCTCTCTTGCCAACACTGCTCGAGCTCTCGGAGAAGGCCTGAGCATAATGCAAGTGGTGTCCGGATTTTGGCGGCACGTTGACCGGGTGGGTGATGAGCACGAAGTTGACCGTCTTCGAGGTCTGCTTCGAGAATGTGTTGTCAAACACGAGCCCGTACATGCCACTCTCTCCAGTCGGCACATCGTATTTTCCTATCGATACTTTGTCCGGTCCACATCTGCCTGCCCATGTTATCAATCTCAGCCCGATGCCTTCCAGCTTTTCCACCACGTCGAGAGACTGGCTAGACCCGCGGCGCGTCAGTTTCTCGGGCGAGCCGTCAGGGGTTGGAGTTATGGGGGGTTCGAGGACGTCGGAGGTAGGTAAGTTGGGTGTGAGGCCATTCTTCGTGCCCGGGTGTTTGAATAGGCCAAAGTTGATGCTCTTTTTCTGAGGCTGTAGCGACCACGAGATGGTGTGATATTCTGCGACTTGAACCCATCGAACAATGTAGCTCTACAGTCAGGTGTTAGATTGTTGTCTGCAGGCTGTATCGCGCGCAATGCGTGCCATGGCGCACCTTAGAATGGACGACAATCTGCTCAATCCCCGCCATACCGCAAGCCCTCTGAGCGCGATGCAACGATTGTGTTATGTATACAACTCCGCGATGCGCGCAGGGTGGTACGATACGTGTCTTAAATTGGCAACAGGCAGACGTGTCGCATGCAGGGGGATCCAAGCTCTTCACCTCGGTCGCAAGACATGTCGCACTCTCGCCGTATTCGCGTAGGTGCGGAGGCTGTGTTGTCCAGATGCGAGGCCTTGCGAGCGCCGTCAATAGGAGGGAGGAGTGCGGATGTCTAGCGGACGCGATTCAATCCGAGCGGACAAGACTTGGCCCGCTTCCGAGCCTCGTATGCGTATACGCGGCGGGTTTAACGGGCAGTTGGCGTTGCGCACTGGCGGCTTCCATCAAGCAAGTAAGCACATTCGCAAGTATCCAAGATCGCCTACACTATGATATCAGGTGGAAGGTAAGCAGTACTGCTGAATAAGGCAAAGATAATGGATTACCTCACCCTCATGCGAGATCCCGCCGGCAACAGATGACCTGTAGGGAATAGAGTTGAGGCCCCGGATTCGGGCCCAACCTTAAAAGCTGTCACTCTCTATTGATTTCGCCCACTTCCAGGTACACACGCCAACCGCGTAGCTCGAGGCCAGACACCACTCCACAACCATTCCACACCCGCCCGGCATTGGACATGTCAGCTCAGCTGCGACCGCTCATGCTTTAGGGAAGCGTGCGTCGACGCTCGCACGAGCCAGACTCCATGGCCGACCTCCACAACACCCCAATTGTCATCGACAACGGCAGCGGCACCATCAGAGCAGGCTACGCCGGCGAGGACTTGCCGAAATGCTTCTTTCCCTCCTTTGTCGGCAAGCCGAAGCATCTGAAGGTGCTAGCTGGGGGGTTGGAAGGGGAGACGTTCATTGGCAATCGCGCACAAGAGCATCGGGGTTTGTTGAAGATTCGATATCCCCTGGAACATGGCATTGTCACCAACTGGGATGATATGGAGAAGATTTGGCAGTACATCTACACGGACGAGCTCAAGACATTGAGCGAAGAGGTGCGTCCACACACAGCAAGGGCTGAAGATTGATCTTGACTGACGACCATACCCCAGCATCCCGTACTTCTCACCGAAGCACCACTCAATCCTCGCGCAAATCGAGACACAGCTGCACAGATCCTCTTCGAAACCTTCAATGTCCCCGCGCTCTACACATCCATCCAGGCCGTCTTGTCGCTCTATGCCTCGGGAAGAACCACGGGCGTGGTGCTGGACTCTGGAGATGGTGTGTCGCATGCCGTACCCGTATACGAAGGCTTCGCCATCCCCAGCAGTATCAGAAGGATTGATGTTGCGGGAAGAGATGTCACGGAACACCTGCAGACCCTTCTCCGGAAAGGCGGTTCCGTGTTTCACACAAGCGCAGAAAAGGAAATCGTGAAACAGATCAAGGAAAAGACTTCATACGTCGCTCTAGATCCCAAGAAAGAAGAGAAGGACTGGACGGGGGCAAGTGCGCGGGGTATGGAAAACAAAGTCACCACCTACGACCTTCCCGACGGCCAAAAGCTGAGGATTGGCGCCGAGCGCTTCCGAGCTCCCGAGATTCTCTTCGATCCCGAGCTCATTGGTTTGGAATGGCCTGGACTGCACCAGATCGTGGTCGACTCAATCAGTCGCACCGACATGGACCTGCGCAAGTCGCTGTTTGGCAACATTGTGCTGTCCGGCGGCTCCACCATGATCAAGGGCTTTGGAGATCGACTGTTGTACGAGGTGCAGCGACTCGCGGTTAAGGACATGCGAATCAAGATTTTTGCCCCGCCAGAGCGACTGTACAGCACTTGGATTGGGGGGAGCATCTTGGCGGGACTGAGCACGTTCCGCAAGATGTACGTGACGATTGACGATTGGCACGAGAGTAAGTTTGGGCAGTCAAGGATTTGGCAAGTGTTTGTGTGGAGATTCGGCATCAGCTGACGTCCGTTCCAGATCCTGATATCATCCATCAGAAATTTGCGTGATGCATCGGTTCGATTGCAGACGTAGACACGTCGCAAAACAAGTTGCAGGTTGTGTCCACGGGGAACGTGCAGGTTCGCGTCACGATGATGAGCGCAAGGTGCGATTATGAGGAGCCCGAAATGGGTTGCGGGTAGCAGCGGGCCAAGAATCGCCGCAAGCACGTCCCAGCGATCGGCGGGATAGAGATGAAACGAACCACAGCGATGAATAACCCACCACGTTGGTGTCGTAATGGATGACAACCAATGCAGTACGTCGAGAAAAGCACGCAAGCAAAGCAGGGAGCCAACATTCAAGCAGTCTCTGCAGGGGCTAGCAATCTCACGATCGAAGCCTCCCATCACAACATCATGGATTCCCCGCGCGTGCTGCGCTTACCTAAATTTTACGTTTTTTGGCGCCCGACGAGCGACGCTGTTAGCGTGCGGTCCCACGTGTCTCGCCTGTTCGCTGGCGGTTCATACAGCACACCACTGCGGGACGAGGACTGCGGCGATGAGATCGACTTGCCCATGTCGCTTCTTCATGGGTAAAAATTTTCTCAGAGCACAGATGAGGCACATCAGTAAATCTCTCGCGACATTAATAAACCGCTCAGTGGAGCGTGGTCACATTGAGGCATTGAGATGACAGCAGACGGGCGATCCATCACGCAACGGGGTCCTCCAAGGGGCATGCAGGTACAGCAAGTACCGTGTACATTTTACACATCGAAACGCGACTTCTCGGCCCTGGGGTCACGCTCTCGCTGAGCAAGCGGGTGGCGTTGGCGAAAGGCGGAGGCGCCCAGGGAACACGCAGGCAAAGGAGCAGGCGAGATTGCGGAGAAGGGGGCGCCAGGGCGGTCTGGGACATGGGGCCGCCGGGCAACGTGGTGCCGTCAGCTGGGCAAACAACCTCCAGCCCCGGCCGAGGCGCGGCGCGCCATGCCGTTAGCGACGTTTCTGTGACTAACCCGCCGCCCAATCCGTCCCGCGCTTTCCAGTTAACTGCTAAGCGTCGAAAATTTTAGTCCTTGGGAGCAGGCCTCGTGATGCGCCCTCGCTGCCTCCTGCCGGTCGGCGTGACCTGGATGGAACGGTCGGTCGGATCGTGTTAATTGCGATATATCTATGCGGGAAGCGTAGGTCTGAGCGTTTTTCTCTTTGATCATTTTCTTCATTATCGCGCAAAACTCCATCCATCGACTTATAAGAATCTCGACAGCCTGCTCCTCGCTGCCCTGCTTTGATATCGCAGTGCAAACAACCACACCTTACCCTTTGTTCCCAAATACGCAGATTACAACACTACCCCTCATCCTGGAGGGCTGCTTTTCCTAAACACACAACACACTTCCATCACAACACAACACATCAACACAACTCCATCATGGCACCACGAAACGTCGCCGTCACAGAACCCCACCCCTCCGTCCCCAAAACCAGCAACGCCTACATCCATTCCGGCCGCGGCGGTGCAGGCAACTACAAACGCTACCAAACCTCCGAACTCAGCCTCGGGCCTTCAGCCACCGGCCCGGCATCACGCATCAACCTCTCCCTGGCGAATCTCAAGCGGCCCTCATTCGTCGCCAACGGCCGCGGCGGCACCGGCAACATGATGCACAAGACGCCCGGCACCGACACCGAGGAGCGCATGTTCCAGTTCGACGAGGAGATGGCGCGTCGCAGCGATGCTCAGGCCCCCGTGTACCACATTGGCCGCGGCGGGGCGGCCAACTTCGTTGACGAGAGGAGTTCGTCGGCGTCGCAGCGGAGTCGGCAGGATTCTTCGTCGTCGTCGGCGTCGATGAGGAGTCATTCTGAGGAGGTGCGGGGCGCTTTGTCCAAGTTGACGAGGCGGTGGTCGTGAGGGAGAGGCTGTTCTATTAACGATTATCATGTGTGCGAGCATTTGGTTTCCTAGCAAAGCATGGGGTTGGTAATGGGTCAAAAAAAGTTCGATTGTTTTCATAGTCCCCATGTGGACTCGGCGTCACGAAACGATGCCTGCCGTGGGGGCAGGCAGGGGCAAGCATCATTGGAAGGCCGGATGCCTTGTGGTGCATATCATAAGTTTTGCCTAGTTCTTCTGCGGCTTTAATAGCGTCGCAAATCTATTCGAGACCACGTCTCGTGGCAGATCAAACGCCGTTTCTCTTTGTTCCTGTTCATAGTCCGTCACCAACGCCAACACCTCCTGGCCGTATATGTTCGTCAAAGCAACGAGCCGGGATCATACCAACTGTCTCATGATCCGGCCGACCTGCGCAGGATCCGAGGCAGGAATTCCCAGACTCGGATCACGACGGCGGTAGACGGCACGAAAGAAGCCTCGCACACCATTACTAAACCACACCACCTCTCCATCCTCAAGGCTGTCCGTCGCCACCACGCCCTCCACACAGAGCCCCTTCTCCAACGCCCATCTCCTCGTCACTCCCTGTAAGCCTCCAGATGATGAAACAGGCGTCACCCACTTCCCTTGTCTATGGAAGTACGGTGTTGAGTTCGAACCGTCTAATACCTCCGCCTCAGCATTGTACATTAGGACTTCCTTCGTGGCACCCAAGGTCAGGATGCCGGCGTCCGCTCGCGCTCGGCTCTGCGGCGAGCGATCCCAGATTTTGTACATGGTCGCGTCGGTGACTTCTGTCGACCGCACGTCCAGCACCGCCGTCCACTCCGTCTCAGCAGCAGGATTGTTACCCGGGATGACTCCGTTCAATGCGCCCTTCCCTCCGCCGGCATCAAGGGACTGGGGAAACAAAACGTGCAGCGGCTGCCGCGGAATCTGGTAGATTTCCGTCGTCACGCGCCCGCTCTGGTACACTCGTCTGCGCACCCGCAGCGCCTCCGCCCACTCCGCTTCCTTGGGATGGCTGCGCTGCCACTGGCGCACGGCGAAGAGCAAGCTGTGCAAGAAATCCGCGGGTCGGGAATGCGCTTTGGGCGGGATTCCACTGTCCGTCCAGAACTGGGCGCTCCATTCTGCTACGCGCAGCCGGGTCCAGTGGTGTTCGAGCAGGTAGAAGGGACAGGAGATGTTGAAGGAGGCGGCGGTGTTTTCGGGGGAGGCGCGGAGCGAGGCGTCGTAGCGCACGGAGGTGTAGATGAAGGGTTCGTGGTCGTCGTCTAGTCCGGAGTGATGCGGTGATCGCTCGTTTTCGATGGTTGAGGTTAGGGATATGCCGCCGGCTGGGGTTTCGGGGGCGGCCATGGTTGGAGGACTCGGAAGGGGGCGGTCATTATTTCATTATAGGGGCATGCAACGAGTGTTGGATTCACGCGCGTAGCATCCGAGTTCCTGTTCGGACAGTCCGAGTTCAGAGTGAGGATGTCGTTGTAATATGGACAGCCAGATCACGTGGATGCATGAATCATCGCATTTGGTGAAGTCTTCGGGTTGGCCTCAGGCACTAATCGCCTTAGCCATGGCTTGAAGCGCGAGACATTTGACGGAAGAAGTGTGCTATGGTTGCAGACTATATCATCTAAAGATCTACCATCTCCATTGCAACAAGTGTTAACGAGCGTCTCGGACTCAGACTAGGACTTGCTTGCTATACTGTCCATTTGATGTTTGCGAGAGGCTGATCCACTTCTTCTGTCCACGGAGGCGCCACACTTTCTTGGCCAATCCGGGATGGTGTGGCGGTGAATGACAGAAGGCGGAACGCGAATGAAGCTCGGACGGAGGTCAAAAGTTCTGAACCACATGCATCTCCGAACTTCCATCCCGCCCTGCACTGCACGCCATCCTCCCTCCCTCCGCCATCCCGCCATCCATCCCCATCATCTCCCCACAGCGCCACTTGGCGCGCACATTCTTTTGTCATCCATCCCCCGCATCGTTGCTTCTCATCCACCGCCACAATGGCCGAGGGTGCGGCATCTGCGGCCAGCGTGTCGATGTGGGACCGCGTGACAACGTGGTACGCCGACAACAAGGTCGTCGCATGGACTATTGCGGGTGTGACGGTCGTGGCAGCCGGCGGCACAGTCTATTTCCTCTCCCGGCCCCCTCCAAGCGCTGCAGACTCGACGGCCAAGGGGAAGAAAGATCGGCGAAAGGGCAAGAAGAATGAGGAGAAGGCCGCGGCGGAAGAGGTCAAGCCGGAGTCCAAGCCAGCCGCCGCCACCGCCCCCGCCCCGAAAGCTGCAGCAGTGGAAGAGCAGGCCGATGAGCTGCCCGAGGTGACAGAGGAGACAGTGGGCCAGCTGTCCGAGCAAGAGCGAAAGGACTTTGCCGCGAAGTTGAAGGCCGCCGGCAACAAAGCGTATGGATCCAAGGCGTACAATCGCGCCATTGATCTCTACACCCAAGCAATCCTGTGCAAAGCCGACCCCGTCTTCTACTCAAACCGCGCCGCGTGCTGGAATGCCATGAGCAACTGGCCCAAGGTCATCGAGGATACCACCGCCGCCATCAATCTCGACAACGAATACGTCAAGGCGCTCAACCGCAGGGCAAACGCCTACGAACAAGAGGAACGGTACAGTGAGGCGTTGCTCGACTACACGGCTAGCTGCATCATCGACCAATTCCGCAACGAGTCATCCGCGCAGTCTGTCGAGCGCTTGCTGAAGAAGGTCGCCGAGACTAAAGCAAAGGCCATCCTCGACGGCAAGGACAAGAGACTGCCCTCACCCACCTTCGTCTCCAATTACCTGCAGTCTTTCCGCACGCGAAGCCTGCCTGAAGGTCTGGGCGAGATGGTCGATCTCGAGGAAGGAAGTGGGAAATGGTACATGCGCAAGGGCCTGCAAGCTATCCAGAATCGGACGGCGGAAGGCTACGCCGAGGCTGCACAGAGCTTCGACAAGGCCATCGAAGTCGGCCAGCTGGAGCAACATGAAGCCCTGGCCTACAACATGCGCGGCACCTTCCGATACCTCAAAGGCGACAACGACTCCGCTCTCGCCGATCTCAACAAGTCTCTCGAATTGGATCCCTCCCTTGTGCAGAGCTACGTCAAACGCGCGAGCATGCATCTCGAGCAAAGTACGTACCACGTGAAGCTGCATTGAACGTTGACCGACTAATTCTTCCCAGGCAAACGCGAAGAAGCAGCCAACGATTTTGAACTCGCAACACAGCACAACCCCAACGATCCCGACATCTTCTACCACCGCGCCCAGCTGCACTTCATCCTCTCCGAGTTCAGCTCGGCGGCGACCGACTACCAGAAATCCATCGATCTCGACCCCAAATTCATCTTTTCCCACATCCAGCTCGGCGTTACACAGTACAAAATGGGCTCCATCGCCTCCTCCATGGCGACATTCCGGCGGTGCATTAAGAATTTCGGCGACAAGAGCGACGTGTACAACTACTACGGCGAGCTGCTTCTCGACCAGCAGAAATACCAAGAGGCGGTGGAGAAGTTTGAGACGGCGGTGGAGATGGAGCGCAAGACCGTGGGCGAGCGAGGTGGCGGCATGAATGTGTTGCCCTTGATCAACAAGGCGCTGGCCTTGTTCCAATGGAAGCAAGACTTTTCCGCCGCCGAGGAGCTGTGCCAGAAAGCGCTGATCAGTGAGTTCCAAATCCCCGGTACCCTTCGCATCATTCTGACTAACATACCCATCCAGTCGACCCCGAGTGCGACATAGCAGTCGCAACCATGGCGCAACTCCTCCTCCAACAAGGCAAAGTGACCGAGGCGCTCAAGTATTTTGAGCGCGCGGCCGAGCTGTCGCGCACCGAGGGCGAAATCGTCAACGCGCTGTCGTACGCCGAGGCCACGCGCACGCAGCTCGAGGTGCAGGAGAAGTACCCGCAGCTGGCGAGCCGGTTGCAGGGCATGGGAGGCGGTGCGGGCGCGGGGATGGCTGCGCCTGGGGTGAGATAGCGTGACTCCTGGGCTGGCGGCGAGGTTGTGGTGGAGGAGGAGATTGCGAGTGAGGAGCGTGTAAGCGAGGGAGCGTAAGGATGGGTGTGGTATAGTTGGGTGAAGGGCGGTGCCTTGGCACGACGCCCTGAGCTGGGGTCTTCTCCTGCACTGACCTGTGCATCGCTTTTTGTCTCCTTCACTCTTGGCGGCGCTGGGATTGCGCGGACCTTCGGATGGGCGAAGGAAAGGTTCGACGGACAACGATGGCGATTCTTCCAGCCGAGGGGAAAGATAACCTGTGTAACTCTACTTATTGTCACAACTCCTGATACTCATATATGCATTGCCCAACCCACGCCTGTCGTGCAGCATTGGAGACGTCATTTAAATCGTAGGCAGGGTCGTAACACCCAAGTCCTCGTTTGAAAGGAACCAGCTCCAATCAATCGTATCATCGAAATCTGGCACTGTCGATATGCCTAGCTCGATATTGTACCGGGGCGCACGGTCGCTCGGATATGGGAAACACCAGCCTTCGAGCGACGCGTCATATCTCTTATTCGCCGTTTCCCCTAGCTCGGAGGTCTGCTGGGGGGATTGCGTGTTCGAATCGCCTCTACAGAAGGAGTTCGACATGGACAGTTGCCGGATGCAAATCCGGCCAAAGTAGGGGATGTCGAGGGTGATGCGGGTGTTGGAAAGGCCCCATTGATGGCGTGCTGCGCTCAGCTCTAGAAGCACCTTTGCCGCCTTCGCTGCCACCGCGCAGCTGACGTGCTCCGAGACGCGATGAAGATCGTGAGCGACGTTGACGACGGATTGCCAGCTTCTCCGAGCTTCGTCGCTCGGCCGCGCGCGGCAGAGCAGGTCTATCGTGATGGTCAACGCCGCGCAGAAGACTTCGAAATCGGCCATATCGCACATTTTCAGCGCGGACAAGTCCTCCTCGCGAAGCCGGCGGTAGTACGATATAAGCGCTGCAGACGCTTCGAGGGTGGCGAGTCTGCTCGGCTCGAATTGGGGGTTGTTGTAGCCCTTCAACATGAAGGGGAGATGCAGGAGTCTGCGCGTGGTGTGGAAGCGGATCTTCTTGGAATTCTCCGCAAAGATCTCTTGTGGGGACGATGTGTCGAATTGGTTGGACTGCCACCACGACGATGGCATGCAGGCTCGACAACTCTCGAGTACCTTGTCGATCTCGAGGGTCACCGCGTAGTCCACTTCGGGGCTTTGATTTCGTTCGGAGATGCGGCCCATCACTAGTCCTAGTTGGTACAGATACAGTTCCTCGTGCATGTCTGGTGGGATTTGCGGGTACACGTGCATTCATCGCCAGGGCTGACGTAAGCGGTCATCCCACCAAATACTCACATGCATTTCGCACGCACAGAGAATTCATGTTTCACCCACCTACATCCCGCACAGCTACACCCTCCACGATGGCGGCACCAGACCTTACGAGCTCCGATGCGAATCATTCGGTTGTCGAGTAGACTTCGGCACCCAAAAATGACCGCAAAACCAAGAGTCAGCTCTTCGATGAATACCTTCAGGCTGTTCTCACCAGAAATGTATGTGAAACTCTTATACAGTGCATTCATCCTACTAATACATCAGTCTTAGCCCGCTGAAAAGAGCCAGCTTTCCCTCTACCAACTGCCCAGAGGATCTGAAGAGCTGAACGAAGATGTTCTGCACGTTTTGAAATGTGCAGTCACCGACCACGAAAATGCACCCAAAAATGCACCGCCGAAGCCGGTACAATTCGATATAAAGCCCTGGACCATCAAGATGCTGTTCTCCCTGTGGCCCAAAGCCGAAACTCAGCACGCCATTCATGACTTGCATCCAAAGAAGAAAAAGCATTGGAAGATCAAGAAGGGTAAGAAGGTGTATCTGAACTGTGGACAACTCATGAAGGAGGATGGGACATTCGATCTATCCGAAGCACAAATGAAAGCCTACGTGGAAATGCATACCGCCAGGCACATCATCATCTACGGCGAGGAGTCGATCAGGTCAGCGGTCAAGACTTGGGGACAGACGCTGAAGTATGCATGGGGCACTTACGAAAATGTCGAGATAGGCGGAATTTTGGTGAGTCTTGCACTGTGGGCAAGATATATTGCATTGCTAACTGTGGTAGCGCACTGTCACCTTCCTGCCGCATCCAGTTTTCACGACGTTCTTTGCCGACAAAGCAAGCCGTCAGCAAGTGGTGGACATTCTGGAGGAGCTGTTCGTGTGGCACGGCATCGATATCAACATCCTGGCATTGCAGAAGACTGTCCAGCGTTGGGCTTCGTTGCCAGATGCAGCGCAGCCAGAGCTGAAGAATGTGCAGATCAAATGCTTGTCACCAGAGGCGCTGGAAGCGAAACGCCTGAAGGACAATGCAAAGGCCAGGGCCGTTTACCATGCAAAATGGGAAAAGATGACCGAGGCTGAGAAAGAAGAGAGTCGCAAGAAGCAGAATGCGCGCAAAAAGAAGGCGAAGGACAGTGCGCATGAACGCAATGAGAAGCTGACCGAGGCTGAGAAGGAAAAGAAGGAAGAGAAGCGCAAGATTGAGAATGCAAAGTCGTCGGCAAGGTACTTTGCAAAGAAGGAGAAATTGGCCAATATTGCGAAGCTGGCTGCAATGCCGCACGCGACGGCGGAACAAAAGGCCGAACACGAGCGCCAGGAGGCAATACGTGAAGAGAAGCTCAAGAAGAATCGTGCTTCGGCGAATGCCACTTACCATGCGAAGAACACCCCCGAGAGGCGCGCGGAGCGCAATGCACGTCAAAGGGCCACTTACCCTCTGCGCAAGGTCGAGGTGCAGGAGAAGGCGAGGGCCAATTACCATGCAAAGAAGGAGCAGGCTGCGCTGGACCAAGCGACGGAGGACGAAGGGGTTGAAGCAGAGGCTGCGAGGCTGGACCAAGCGATGGAAGACGAAGGGGATGTATCAGTGTCTCGCTTGGAGAAGCGGGCCGCTCAGACAGGCTGATGAAAGCTGCGGAGTCAGGAGGAGAAAGGCGGACGAGTCGCCGTTGGTGAGACGGCTTTGCGAGGGCCGTGTCATGCGCGGTTGCTGGGAAGGGAAACCAGAAGAGTGGGATCAAGCTGCTATGTTATCAAACACCGAGTCATGCCCCGAAGGGTGCTTGTGTTGCGAGGTACATTCATCGCCTCTGTCCAGACATGCGATGCATTTGGTCGTCGTAGAGACATCGGGTTCAAAACGGCAGCGGACTTTGCGCCGCCTGCACTGTACACAGCTGTGCGTCCCTTTCCGCAGTCGTCTGCTGCTAGTCGCTGAAGTGCTAGGCATCGCTGCTAGGCTTCCACGCTGGAGATTGTTTTGGCGTTCATAACGGATCTGGACTTCAGACGTTAGTATTCGGTTCGAGTTCGGTCGAAGTCGGTCCAAGCCAGCCAAGGTCAGCCAAAGTCAGCCCAAGTCGGTCCAAATCGGCCGGCTCTGCGAGATATAATAGGCAATTAGTAACGCTGCCTTGTTCGCGTCAGCCTGATGCTTGTCCCTCTCAAATTATCATCGAATTCTCTAGCATCAACTCCCGCAAGGCGTCTCCTGGTCCTTCGATTCGAAATGAAGCCAAATCCACTTCCCTTCCTACACGAGAGGTGGCATGGTGTCCCGAAACCAACCCCGGATTTCATCGGCAAGGCTGTCATTGTCACCGTCAAACACTGGGATTGGCTTCCATGCAGCCTCTACCTTCGCGGAGCTTGGGGCAGAGCTCGTCATTCTACCCGTCCAGGACGCGTCCAGAGTTGCAACGGCGCAAGAGAAAATCAAGGCCAAATTCCCAGGCTCGGATGTGCAGGTATGGGAAGTCAACATGGCGGATTATGAGAGCGTCGAGAAATTTACCGCCAAAGCGAACGACCTGCCGCATCTGGACATACTCGTCCCCAACGCTGGCGTGGTGCCTGGACACTTCACCTTGGGCAAAGAAGGCTGGGAGACTTGTTTATAGATCAACGTTCTATCAACAGCATTGCTCCGGCTTCTATTGGTGCCCAAACCGAGGACCGGGCGAGGCACGCATCTTTTGGTTGTTACGTCGGAAGCTCATCGGTGGCTGGAGGCTTGTGACTTTCCTGACGACGCCTCACCTCTGCTCGCTGTCAGCGAAAACCGCGGAGACTGTAACCCACTCCTGCAGAACGCGAAGTCCAAATTGTTTGCCATGTATGTGGCCAGTGAACTAAGCTCCATGGCTCACGGCAGCGTTGTGGTCACATCTCTATCCCGGGTGCTCGCAAATCCGATCTCATGAGATACCAGCTATATAACGGCTTCGGACAGTCGATCGGGCCGCGAGTTTTTGACTTCTTGTTCAACAAACCGACTGAAATGGGATGGTGGTCGTGCGTGTGGGCGTCTACCTTGGACCCGAGCGCGAATGGCAAGTGGTACAAGACAGATGCGGTGACGGAGTAAGTTGATCACCCGGCAAGAGTGTTGTATACGCTGACCTCCTAATACCAGGTGTACTCGTCACGAGCGAGAAAGGGAAGACGGTGCAACAGCCGGTTTGGACTGACATCTGTCGATCCTTACGAGCGAGAGGATCAGACGTCAGCAGCATCATCGACAATATCGCGCCATAAATGAATCCAAAAATGCATGCGGACGAGCAGACTGCTTTTCTTACGGTCATTTGATCAGTCTACGATTACCTCTGCTGCTATAGCTCGTGGGCGAAATGGCAAAACTGCACGACACGCTGACTCAGCAACGGTAGCCCGGGGTGTGTGCAAGGCTGCGAGAGCCGTCACCGCCCGACTAAACGTCAAAGCAAAGAGATGGCTAAGACTGCGGTGACATATCTCTGTGAATCATTCCAATCGTTAGGATCGAATCGTCGAAGCTTCGTGAGACTACTCCGATCCATTCTTTGCCTCCTTGTCCATCTCATTGCGTCCACGGTGCATTTCAGGTGAGATGGCAGCTGCACCCCGGTGACCTCCTTCCACTTCGTGGCCATCGTGCATAGAAAAGATGTGTCGAGCAAGGTCATTCTCTGGCTCTCGATCCTTCACACCCATGCGATAGCCAATCTCCTCCTCTTCGCTCGTAACCGAGTGCAATCGAGTCCACAACGCACTCCAGCGCACCGAAGACGCAACGCAGAAGGCACATGTTGCGCGTCACGAGCCACCGCACGCGCGGCGTTCGATCTCAGCTCGACATCTGCCAACGAGCCTTGGACCAGGCCTGCCGCCCGCAGGGCCATCTTGGCCTGGAGAGGGACGGAATCGTCCGCCCGACCCACGAAGGCAAAGCGCTGCATGGGCGACATTGACGGCGGCGGTGTGGGTTCGTGACCTGCCTGGGGTAGAAGATTCATGGGCGATCAAGGGGCCACTGGATGAGCCGCGCTGACGATGTTGCAGCATTGCAGTCTCTTGACGGATGAGATTCTCGCGTGAAAAGGGGCCTACACCGTGACCTAGACATCGATTGGTCAAGACTACATTTTCTAGCCACACCTCTTGATGCATGAAGCAAGTCTATTCTACACCACACCTGCGCGCTTCCCAAGCGCCGGGTTTGAACAGTCAACCTCAAGTGTGGGAATGATGAGTAGCAGCGAGCCTTTCTATCCCAACCCGCTGCACTCCATGCGCAAGTAACGAGTTGTGTCTCTGCCTGTCACATCGGCTCAGCACTTAAAGCTTGGAGCTCAGCACCTGTCGCATGCGCTTCTCCACCGCATCCAGGTACTCATCCGTCGTCACAAAATCGTCCTTCTTGCCGCAGCTGATGGCGAGGTCCTTCGTCATGATGCCCTGCTTGTCCACAACATGGATGCAAGCCTCCTCTAGAGACTCGGCGAACTTGACGAGCTCGGGCGTCTCATCAAGTTCACCACGGCGCGCAAGACCACGCGTCCACGCGAAGATGGAGGCGATGGGGTTGGTGGAGGTGGGGTTGCCCTTTTGGTGCTCGCGGTAGTGGCGCGTCACGGTGCCGTGGGCGGCTTCCGACTCGAAGGTGTTGCCGTCGGGGGTGATGAGGACGGAGGTCATGAGGCCGAGGGAGCCGAAGCCTTGGGCGATGATGTCGGATTGCACATCACCATCGTAGTCTGTTGGGAACGTTAGCGTGTGAAGAAGCCAAGTCAAGGGTAATGTCAGGCTCACTTTTCATGGCAATCAACATGCCGCCCTCCTGCTTGAGCATCTGCGCTACCATGTCATCGATGAGTCTGTGCTCATACCAAATCTTCTTCGCCTCAAACTCTTTGCGGTAGGTGTTCTCGTAAATGTCCTGGAAAATCTCCTGGAAGCGGCCATCGTATTGCTTGAGGATGGTGGACTTGGTCGACATATACATCGGAATCTCGAGGTCGAGGGCGCGCTTGAAAGACGCGTGGGCAAAGCCGGAGATGCTCTCCGAGGTGTTGTACATGGTCATGGCGACGCCTCCCGTGGGCTTAGTTTTTTCGTCGAACTTGAACACCTCGATCCTCTGTGGCTCGCCGTTCTTGGGCGTATAGACCATCTCGAGGGTGCCGGGCTCGTTGATCTTGAGGTCCTTGGCGCGGTACTGATCACCGAACGCGTGTCTGCCAATGACAATCGGCTTCTTCCAACCGGGGACGAGGCGAGGTATGCGGTCGATGACGATGGGCTCTCTGAACACGGTGCCACCGAGGATGTTCCTGATGGTGCCGTTGGGACTCAGCCACATCTTCTTGAGCTTGAATTCCTTTACACGCGCCTCATCGGGGGTGATGGTGGCACACTTGACGCCGACGCTATACTTCTTGATGGCCTCGGCTGCGTCGATGGTGACCTGGTCATCCGTGGAATCGCGATATGGGAGACCTAAGTCGTAGTATTTGAGGTCGATGTCGAGGTAGGGAAAGATGAACTTTTCCTTGATGTTCTTCCATATTATGCGCGTCATCTCGTCGCCATCGAGCTCGACGACGGGGTTCTTGACCTTGATCTTGGGGATCTGCGAGGAGGCCATGGTGCGTCGTTGCAGGCTGTACGCCGTGGCAATCTGGGGAAAGGAGGGGGCGGCAGCGGTGATGGGGGAGGCGAAGTGGCGCGGCGTGTGGGAGAGGAATGGGCGAGAGAGCAAAGTGGCCGAGCGCAGGGTCGACATACTACTATCGGGTGAATGAGCGTGCGGCGGCGAATGGAGAAAAAAAGAAAGCTTGGATGATGCCGGGTGTGGTTACTGTGGTACCTGCTGGGCCGCCTCGATTGGAAAGATGCACGAGGGAAATTCTAGCGTCGGGTGGGGGAGCCGCATTGCCGCGTTGCACATAGCCGAGCGGCGGATATAAGCATTCCATCCATTCCATTGCCTCCCGTTTGCCACCGCGGCGCTGGCTCGTTCTTGCCGCGGGTACGTACCTCCGCGGTGGAACACACCACCTCACCTCTCTTCCCTGCATTATTATTAAGCTCCGATTGCACCTCAGCCTTGCGTCGAGACTCGGTCCGAACGCCTGCTTCTTCTTCATCTACTCGGCACTATTCCCTCCCCGTACTGCAGCCGGTCCTCGGGAGGTGCACTGATGCTATTCCCACACGTGGGCCCTGGGGCGCGCCGGTCTCTCCCGATGCTCCACGGATCCACTCCGGGGATGTCTTGTGCCGCCGGGTTTAACAATTCATCTTCTACCGCAATTCTTGTCAGGACTGTCTCATACGCTGTTGAGAAGCAGTCGCGAGGCTCAAGTACATCTCTTTCCTCCTATCCCGCCACATCACGAATCTCTCCCACCACTGTCTCCCCGAGAAAGCGAGAAAGACCGATCCGCCCGCAACACCAGCCGTAACACACAAAGCCACGGGCCAGAACAGCCACTGCGTCTGGTCCGTATCACGTATATCCCTGAAGTTCATCCCGAAATACGAGGAAAGGAAATTAAGCGGTAGGAAGATGAGGGTCACTACTGTGAAGACGAGGATCGCCTTGCCATGGTCTTCGAGTCGGATGTTGACGAGCTGGATGGTGCGCGTCACCAGCCGGTCGGTGTTGTCCCGCAAGTCTCGAAGATCGATCAGCTCTCGTTGAAGCTTGTCGAGGACTTCCATTGTTGGAGCCAAGACGCTCGATAGCCTTGGAACATCGTGCTCAGCTGTAGCTGTGAGGTCCGCCTCGATATGATCTTCTTCATACTTGCGGATCTTCGCCAAAAGCTCGTTGATCGTCTCAATCTGCTGCTCGGTGATTGAGATGACGATCCCGAGTTCTTCTAGGCAAGCAACCAAGTCCAGCACCAATCTAGTACTTGGTGCTCGATGCAGACGATACTGGAGGTGGCTCAGGTAGCCAGCGTACCGATCGGTAAGGGGAAGAAGAAAGTCAGGCCAGAAGCTACGATGCATCATCCCCACCGCACCATTGAGACTCGCAATCGCTTGTGTCATGGCTGTGAAGTCTCCACCATCCTCGGAGGCGAAGAAGGCATTTCTGATCCCACGGAACGAAATGTCGGATATCCTTGAGGGGAGCTGGTGTGATGGCGACTGAGATTTCCATGTCTGGTTGCTCGAGAAGGTGACGATGTGCTGTGAGTCGACGACGAGCATCCACATCTCGTCTACGTTGAGAGCGGTCGGGTAGTGGCCGTACCATTGGCGGAGTTTCAGGTCGAGCCCCCGATCTGTGCCTGAAGGGAGTGGGTTAGCCATTGGCAAGTGGGACGTCTTTTGACACGACTCATACCCCATGGCTTGTGTTTGTTGAAGACTTGGTCTCTTTCGCGATCATGCGTGTCTTCCAGACGATAGAAGTGCTGTAGTACAGATCGAAGTAAGTGCGCGGATGACTTCGCACTCTGGAAACCCTCCCTTTTATCAATCTGGAATCGTAAAGGCGGTGTTGGGCCTTGAACAGACCAATCGAGAAAAGGCACGCTCATAAGCAGTGGGTAGGAGGCATCACCAGAAGGCCCTAGGAAAGCCGAGAATGGCGTGAAGCACTTCCCATGCTTGGAATACCGGGCGTGCTGCTCGATTGTGCTTTTCAAACTCGGCATCAACTCCGCTCGGGTGGTGTAGTCTTCCGAAAGCGCCCACAGGAAACCCTCCAAATAGTCCTCGAATTTCGAGGAGCAATGGATCCAGCGGCACTTGGTCGACAGAGGCTGGCCGTCTTCTGCGGAGTCGGTGTGGTTGAGTCGGAGTCTTCTCATCCAGCCATATTCCGCTTCGAACGTCAAGAACTGCTGTCTCTGAATCGGGTTCTTCGCCGCGTCTGACGCCTTTCTGCGCCACGAAGCGGAGTCTTCAGCCTCATCGTCGGGTACGAGACTCCACGGTGCCTGCGGCGTGACTTCGAGACGCGGCCCGCCCGATCTCCTCAACGTCTGGATTCGAATGTCGTTGATGAGGAGCTGGGCGGGCGTCAGGGGCTTGTGAGTCCATGCCGACCCGGCTCCCGGTTTTACCGTACTTTCATCCGGTTCTGTCGTCACTGCGAGTCCATCGAAAGCCATTTGGCAAAACTGCCGAGGCGCAAGAAGACGCATGTAAGCTGCCAGGGACATGCATGTGAAGGTACCTTACGTGCAACTCTCCGGCCGAGGCTGCGCGCACAGACCGCCGAGTAACGCGCCGCGCGCCTCCCACAGCCTCGAAGTTTGCCGATCAATGACGACCTTCAAAATACCGGGATTCGCTTCGAGTGCAACGCGCGAAGGATCGACTGCGTCTTGAAATACTACATGACAACATGGAGACATAGCACCTGGCAAAATACCACCATAGCCCTCAACCCCATCCGCAGCCATGGACGCGCTCCCACCATTCACCGCGACATCCGTACACGAAATCCCCACCATTCATCGCCGAGTCACGACCAACTTCCTCGACCATACGACGCGCACGATCGCATACCGCCAGAAACAGCTGCGCGCGCTATACTGGGGCCTGAAAGATGCCGAGCCGGCGCTGCTGGAAGCATGCAAGCTTGATCTGGGCAAGAGCGCGTACGAGACGTACATGACGGAAGTGGGCTGGGTACTGAACGACATTGTCTTCATGGACAAGAATCTCGCGCGCTTCATGAAGGACGAAAAGGCGGAGGACATTGACCTGACGAACTCGTTCATGAAGCCGCATATTCGCAAGGAGCCCTTGGGCGCGGTCCTTATCATCGGCGCGTACAACTTTCCCATCCAACTGAGTTTGGGCCCGCTTGTGGGCGCCATCGCTGCTGGGTGTACTGCTGTGTTGAAAGTACGGGCAATGTGTGCCACATATCTTGATGTAGACCCTGGCTAATTGATGCTCTGCATAGCCCAGTGAGAATGCGCCGAACGCGGCAAGAGCGATGCAGCATGTCATCAGGAATTGCCTCGACGCCGACTCCTACCAGATTGTGCAAGGAGCCATTCCGGAGACGACGGCGTTGCTCGATTGCAAATGGGACAAGATATTCTACACTGGTAATGCGAATGTCGGAACCATCATCGCCAAGAAAGCAGCCGAGACGCTCACGCCCATCACGCTTGAACTCGGCGGCCGCAACCCCGCCATCATCAGCAAAAACGCCGATGCCCGACTCGCGGCCCGGCGACTGCTATGGGCCAAGTTGATGAACGCGGGCCAAGTGTGCGTCAGCCAGAACCACATCCTTGTCGAGAAAGAGATCCTACCCGCCTTGATTGAGCAAATGAAACTTGCCCTGGCCGAGTTCCACCCCAAAGGTGCCGAGAACAATTCCGACTACGGCCGCATCGTGAACGAGCGACAATGGCAGCGCCTCAAAGACATGCTGGACTCTACCGAGGGGAAGGTGGTAATCGGCGGCAAGACAGACCGGGCGACCCTCTTCTTCGAACCCACGGTAGTGGAAGTGCATGATCCGGGCGATCCTTTGCTCAAAGACGAGTCTTTCGGCCCTCTAATCCCCATCTTGCCCGTCGACAGTCTCAACGAGGCCATCCGCACCGCCAACTCGCTCCACGCGACGCCTCTTGGTCTCTACGCTTTTGGATCCAAGGCCGAAACGGAGAAGATCCTTTCCGAGACTCGATCCGGGGGCGCAAGCGTCAACGACGGATTCTACCATGCTTCTATCCCTACCCTCGCGTTCGGCGGCGTCGGGGACAGCGGTAGTGGGTGTAAGCAGCTCTTCCCATGTTTCTCATGAGTCCAACTACAAGCTAACGAGTGTCTCCCCCACAGCATATCGCGGCAAAGCTTCCTTCGACTGCTTCACGCACCGCAGATCCGTCGTCACGACTCCATGGTGGATGGAGAGGCTGCTCGCCATTCGGTACCCGCCCTACACGGACGCCAAGTTGAAGCAACTGAAGATGTTGACCGCGGCGAAACCGCATTTCGGTCGGCAGGGAGGAAGCACGGGCGGGTTGGCGTGGTGGGTGCTTGGGCTCGGTGGGAGCGACAAGACCGGAGCTGCGACTAGGTGGGTGTTGGTTGCTCTCGTTGCTGTTGCCATTCGGGCGTGGAGAGCGCGGAGTTGAGGTGTTGTATCTTTGTTCTTGGTTCTGACGTGCTCGTATAGATCTACATAGAGGGAGAATAGACTGCCTATCTCAGGGCCTCGTTCAGCTTGGTGAAGCCGGTGTCTGGCGGCAGCAGCCAGTTCCGCTCGTCGTACCGATTACCCCCCTCTATGCAGTGGAAGGTGTAAATCATCCGGCCTTTTTTGCTGAGATTCTTCTCGCTCTTATGCAAGACATTGCCGTGGATGAGCACCAAAGTCCCCGCCTTGACCTCGCCAAGTTCATACTTCTCATCTCCCTCAGCACCGCTCTCCTCCACCGCGTGCTCCGCAGGCCACACAGTTCCCGCATTCGGCTCAAACGTCGTACTCCGCCCATCCGCAGTGCGGACAAAGCGACTCCCCACAGGCGCCCGGCGATGCGACCCCGGCGCAAAAGACAAACACCCGTTCTCCAGCGTGCAGTCCTCCAACGCATACCAGAACCCAACGGCGGACGGGGGATCGGTGTACAGGAAAGTGGAATCCTGATGCGGCGGAACGGCGCCGCCGATCTCGGGCTGCTTGCAGATGACCATGGACTGCAGGACTCTCGGGTCGCGGAAGCCGAGATCACGGGCGATGCGCGCATTGCGCTCATTAACGGAGACGGCGCGAAAGGCGGGGGAGAGGTGATGCAAATAGTGGCCGATTTTATTTATAGCGCGCTGCTTGGGTTTCGTGAGGGAGCCTTGGGCATCGAACGCGTCCTCTTCGAAGAAGAAGCGGATTTTGTCGCCGGAGGTGAGGAAGTAGTCGTCGCTGCCGTGGTTGGTGGTGTCGCCTGTGGAGAACTTGGTCATGGGGTGGCCTTCGAGGGAGAAGCCATCGAGCATTGCGTGCGTTTCGGTCAGGAGAGATTGCACTTCGGACTCGGAGAGGGCGTTGGGGATGATGAGGTAGCCGTTTTTGTCCCACGCTTCGCGTTGCGCGGCTGTCAGGCCTTGGGCCTGGGCTGGTGAGGATGGAGGGGAGATTCTGGCGGGTGCCATGTTTGCGATGGTTCCTGGGTGGACTTGCGATGTGAAGTGCCAGAACGTAAGAGAGGACCGTGGACGAAAATTTTTGCAGCTGGCTTGTTCAAATCTTGACGCTGGAAATCGGGCAATGTTCACGATCGTCAGGCCAAGCTGAAGAGGTGAAGTGTTTTGCCTCCAGTCAGATTCCCACCACTTTTGCTCGTGGACTTCAGCCCGCGTGCTTCCTGTCTCACCCTGCATCTTGCAAATGCAACAACGATGAAGGCAGAATCCCAAGATGATTGAGATCGGTCAATCATCGGAGCCGCCAATATGGCGCTGGGCGGTGGGATTCGTGCTAGTGGGAATGGCATGGGGATTTACCACGCCGTTCGTGAGGGTATGTCACGTCACCTTTGCATTCGCTCTACAAGGAGTCCACCGAGCTGAACAGCGCCATCTTCAATACAACTAGAAAGCAGCCGTTGCACGAGAACGTCGACCGAAGCCTCAACGGCCCATATTGGCGGATGGCAAAACATCAAGGCTGCAGCGCAAGATCTGGACAACCTTCTACGCTGTGTACGATTTGCTGGGAGACCCGGCGTACGCTGTTCCATTGGTATTCAATGTGACGGGGAGTGTTTGGTTCTTTTTGTTGATTGGACAGGCTGGTAAGAAGCGAAAAGGTCTGCAGAGAGAAGGGAGCGTAACTGATTGACTCGATCTAGAACTCAGCCTGACGGTGCCCATTACGAATTCCCTCGCTTTTCTCTTCACCGTGCTGGGAGAGTGGTGGGCAGAAGGCAAGGTGATATCACGAGGTCTGTTCTGTACTCACTCTGATTCACAGACCGCATTGCTAACGTGCGTGAAGATACATGGTTGGGAATGGTGCTGGTATTGAGTGGGATAGGGCTGTGTGTGTACTCCAAAAGCTAGCTAGCCGGGATTGATAGTCTGGCTCCGTTGAATTGCCCTAGTTTCTGCTATGTTGTGAGTCAGGTTGTGATGGCATTCAACACCGAGTCATCCTTAGCCTGACCGAGGGCAGACGGAAGAGAGGCCAATTGCAGAGGGCATGATTGGCGAGATTTGACATGTGAAAGGCGCTTAGGCTCGGCCCGGGCATGCGGGGAGTGCGGGAAGGGACTGAAGACGGCGGTGGATGACCATTTCACACAATCTCTCACCGCATGCCCGCAGCACCTACACTCTCCCAACTTCACCGTCAAGACAATAGACGCCCCGCCTATTGTCCTCCCTCCCGCGCTATTGCCACCCTACCCTGCCGCTCTCTCCTCATGGACTTGCGACTCCTCGGCTGTATATATTCGACGTCCTCCCGTCACCCCCATCCACCCATACAATAGCACCCACCCACCTCACGCTCACTCGAGTGAAGCAACCCACCCTATTCCACACAACACATTCTCCATACTAAGACATCATCATGCACGACCTCCGCAAGCAAGCTCTCTTAGAGAGCGGCAAGACCGTCTCCCGCAAAGCGCGCTCCAAGACCGGCTCTGCCTCGAGTAGCAAGCCCGGCAGTCGCGCCAACTCCCGCCCCTCCACGCGTGGCGGCAGCCGCAACGTCTCCGACGATGAAGGGGAAATGAGCGACACCACGCAGTGGAGCACCAACAGCATCGACGAACTCGTCGCCGACGCCGCCGACAACGACCTCCCCTCCGAACACTGGATTGCCGACCTCGAGGATCGCATCAATGAGATTTGCGATCGGAAGAGAAGCTCGGCGCAGGGCAGGGAAGAATGTCTGCAGACCTTCAACCTCGACCTGACTCGACACTATGCCATCGAGGAACTCAAGCCGAAAACCGACGCCCTGCTGCCGGCCGTGCTGAAGAGCGTCAAATCGGGCGCCACGGAGCGTGAGACAGTCCTGGCGCTAAAAGCTCTCGCTCTCATGCTCATCACTGTGCCGTCTGAGACCATTTACGACACCGTCGCCGGCCCGATCAAAACCACCGCCACCGATGCGACCCACCCAATCGCAAAGATCGCCGCAATCCGCGCCTTGAGCATCGCCACCTTCTACGGCGGCGCAACGATCGAGGAGACCGAGAACGTCATGGAGTTCTTCCTCGACATCGCCTCATCAGACGGCGGCGCAGTGGGCGAAGTAGACAACGCCGAGATCGTGGTGGCCGCTATCGAAGAATGGGGCTTCCTAGCCACCCAGCTCGAAGACATGGAAGAAACGACCGAAGTCGCGATGGAGACGTTCGTAGACCAGCTCGACAGCGTCGACGCGCACGTCAAAATCGCCGCAGGCGACAATATCGCCCTCCTCTTCGAGAAGAGCTACACCGAAGCCGAGTCCGACGAGGAGCCCGAAGACGACGACGCCGCGAATACCAGCGAGTCCGAAATCGCCCCCGACACCGGCGAACGCATGATCAAGCGGTACACCGTCTACCGCCAACGGCACCAACTCGAGCAGACACTTGAAGGCCTCGCCAAGGCCTCCACTAAGCGCGTGTCGAAGAAGGACCGCAAGGCACTGCACCTCACCTTCACCGACATTTTGAACACGGTGGAGCGACCGACGCGGGGTCCTCGCTACTCCACTGCTCTGGATGAGGAGGGGCGCGAATTGGGCTCCCGGTTGAAGATCAGCGTGCATGGTGGGGGCAAGATGACGATTGACAAGTGGTGGAAGCTGCATCGCTTGAATGCGCTGAAGCGTTTGCTTCAAGGGGGTTTTGGGGTGCATTATGAGTTGAATCCGGTGGTTTTTGATAGCCTGCCCATTAACGTGGAGGATGATTGAGTCATGGTGGAGGGAATAAGAGGCAGTTCGTTACATCGTACTCAGGCTGGCATAATACTAGGTAGTAGTGGTAATCAGGTCACACACAGGAAGCAGAAACGTCCTCTCTCATCGCCGTGTCCATCCTTCGCCTCCTGACCAAGCTTGAACCTAGTCCTTCCTGTCGCAAGACTGGCATGAGTTCCCATGCGACCCGCACTTGTCGTTCCCAGCATTCGGAGCAGTCGAAGAATCAAGGCGCTGGATGCAGCCGAATTGCATCTTGCCCTACACGGTACATCAGCATCACCCCTACTCACAAAAAAAACGAAAACGAGGGGCAGACTCACCACATCAAAGATGGCGTAGATGTTCCTCAACACCACATCGCCGTAGATGGCAAACGGCAGATCCCCCGCCGACTGGATCCCGCCGTAGCTGTACCCGTTGCCTGCAGGCGCGAAAGCCAGGTCCTCGCGGCTGATGGTGAAGGTCGCGTTGCCGATGGCGAAACCCACGAGGGGGAGAGAGGCGGTCGGAGTGGAAGTGGGGAAGATGTAGCCCTGCGGCGGTTCTTAGTCTGGTGGTCAGCGTTGGAGGCAAGGGGAGGAACCACTCACGCCCACCGAATTATCCAGCTTCGTGCCCGGGATGGCAGCGTAGATATTCTTGCATGTCTGGTCGTCGACTAGCGCCAGCGTAGTGCCCGTGTCCATGACCGCCGTGTGGCCAGCTGTACTGTGCTGTGTGCCGTTGATGGTGTACGTGCTGGACGCCACCTGCCAGAAGCCGTTGGAGTTGTCGACGGGCGTGTAGTGAATGTCGTTCACGGTGGCTTTGTTGGATGCGAGCACTTGGGCGTCAATAACTCCGAATGTGTAAAAGGAACTCCCGTTGTCCGGGTCGCTGGTATCGTTCACGCTGCCTAGGTGGGCGGTGAAGAGCTCTGAGCCGGCTGGGATGGCAGCTTGCTGGATCATGTTTTGCACTGGGGTGTGCACTTGGTTGGGCTGCACGGTGTTGATTGTATCCTGTTGTCAATGAGATATGGCGTCTCGGGCGGAGCGGGTAGAATTCACTCACAAAAGCAAGACCGAGCAAACCATCGCCTTGATTCGAGCGAAAGCTGGAGGACATTCGGCTCGCGAGCTCCACGGCCTGGTTCTTGATCTGGATGCCGCCAAGTTCGACCACGTCGGTGCCGACGTTGCCGCCCGCGGAGGAGCCATCGCCGTAGGTGATGGTCCACGTTTCTCCGCTCAGCGGCTTCCACGTGTGGCTGAGGGCGTGGTTGAAGATGTTGTGTTTGGACTTCTTGCCTTCCGATTGAACATGGGAAGGCAGCTCGGTGGACCACGTCTAGCTATGAAACCGATGGGTAGCGCGTCAGCCACAGCTTTGATCGGGATAACCTGAAGGAGAGCAAACATACAGATCCGCAGAGCCAGTATCAAAGTCCAAACTCATCTGCTGCTGCGGCGAACCAATGCCAACCTGGCAAAGGTACTCGGCATCCCCCTGCACATCCTCGGCCGAGACCTCACCAACCTCGCCGTTCTCATCTTTGGTGACGAGCTGCCGATGGCTGACATGCGTGGGCCGGCCGCGGAGCCGATCCTGCAGCCTCCTGAGGACGTGCTGGGTCTCGGCGTGCTGGATGATGTCGATCATGTCAAAGGGCCCCGGCACGGTGGGCTTGATGTTGTACTTTCGCAAGGCATGGCCGTAGGATTTCTTGCCGTCGCGGACGTAGTGCTGGTTCTTGACGCGCTTGATGCGGTGGAGCTGGCCGGGTGCTGGGACGACTTGCTGCAGGCCTGACATTTTGACAGTGTGTTGGATTTGTGGTTGATGCTGAAATGAATGGGTGGATATTGGCAGGCTAGAAAGTGTGCTGTGAATGAAATGGAGTAATGCTGGTAAGACGAGAATGGTGAAAGGAAGAATTGATAAGAGATGGAATAAACACCAATCAACAGCAAAGCTCATGGGCGTGCTTGCCAGCGACTGATTGCATGCAATAGTTGCCATGGCATGCCTCCGAGTTCGGAAGGAAGTAACGCGATCGTGTGGTGCTTCCTCGATGGCCCTGCGCAGGAGCGACGGAATTGAGAAGAAAGAACTCAAGGAGGTGCGGCTCATCTACATCATGTCAATTGCTTCAAGAGCATATGGCTGAACGGTTTCAAGCGCTCTCCTTCCCGAGCTTCGCAAGCTCTTGCAAGAAGGTCTCGGCATTGACCAGCTCGGTGCTGCCGTACACCACCCTCTTCTTGCCGACAGTGCTCGCTGCTCCGCTGCCTCCACTCGTCCGTTTCGCCCACTCCTGTAGATTGCCGTACTCATCCATGCTTCCACCGCCCACAGTGAAGACAATGGCTTCGCTGAAACCTTGCCTTCGCTGTCCGAAAGAAGCCTCGATTCCTCGAGTCTGCGTCGTCCCAGATCGACCATCCTTTGCGCTCGGCGGCATGATGCCGCGCGCGTTCGGAGAGCGGGGATCGAAGTACAAGAAGCCCTCCGTCTTCTGCAACGCACTGGTCGACGCATTCGAGGGGTCCATGAGGCTTTCGGTAATCTTGGTAAGCGTCAAGTCTTTGTTGACAGGCAAGAAGTTCTTCACACCCGATATGAGGTTGTCGAAGTTGGCACCGAGGCCGGCTTCCTTGAATCGATCTGTGAGGCGGGATGAAATCGAGCTGAAGCCACGGAAGATCTCATTTGATGCGGAGGTTTGTTGTGGTTGTGTTGGAGCGGAGGATATCATCGTCATTCGAGTAATCTCCCGCACCCGTCGGATGTAGGTCAGGGGAAGAGTGTCGACGCCGGACTGTTTCAGGGCTTCTTCAAACCTCTCCATCTCGGCTCGAGAAACGTCCTGCTCGGTACTCAAGAACCAAATGATGAAGATTCGGAGCTTATCAAGTGGCTCCTGGCCTTTGTCGGAATCGTTCAGCAGCTCCAGCATCGACTGCTTGGTCTGTTTCTTGATGTCTTCCTCGAGCTGGAAGTAGTTGTCCAGTTGTCGGTCTTTGATGCCTTTGAGTAGCGCCGTGGCAATGTTCATGTGCATATCCAGTAGTGCTTTTCGTTCCCGCAGCTCTGGTAGAAGGGTGATGGCTGCCTTGAGATGCTGCGCTGACGAGCTGGTGTCGTTTTGGAGGTCTTCAATCGAGTTGGCACCAGTCTTCTTCGTAACCTCGGCCGCGTCGTCTTTATACCGTGTGAGCTCGGTATCAATGTCCTCGGCCACTTGCGGAAAGGGGGCGCCCGCGTTCTTGTTCCAGAAGAAGTCGTTCGAGGTCAAGTCATACGAGCGTTTGGTACTTCCCTTGCCGGGACCGCTGTCGTCCGAGGGCGTCTCCACCGTGATGCGATTGAGTTGCATGGAGAGGACGTCGTGGATGAGAGATTGATATGTCCACGAATGCGACAGCATTGGGACTAAATCGACGTTGCGGTCAACGATGATGAGCACAGGTCTTGAGGAGGTCGCGCTGGCACTGCTCGTTGATCTTGCGCCAGAGAAAAGGTTGTCTCTAGCCTGGAGGATATGATCGCGCAGTTTGCGATCGAGTTTTGCTGCAATCATCTCGGCTGCGCCGCCTTTCGGACAACGAATTATGGGGATGGTGCCTGGTATCGTCAGTATGAACAGGGAGAGTGAAGCAAGATAACGAACCCATAGTCACTGCCACACTGAATAAGCCACTGACGATCCGGTCGACATTTGCATCGATTTCATCGTCCGTGGTTTGCGCGCTGTTCATCGCCCAATACGTCTCCTTACCCATGCCTAGACTGAACAGGTTGGGCTCGCTCACGATGAAGTTGAGGTATTGGTCGTACACCTGGCCAATGCTTTCCGCGGTCCCGGCCTGGGCTGTTTGAGCAGCAAAGTCCTCCAACAGCGGTCTCGAAATGGAAGAAAGGAAGTTGATGTATGCGGGAGAGTAGAGGCCGTTTTGGAGGTCTTTCGTAATAAGTTCCAAATTGGTCGCCGTGGGTTCAACCAAGTAGACGACGGGAACATCGGGGATGGCATGTCTTTGGCCGTTGATATTTCTGCCACGCAGCTGTCAGCGCTTGCTACTCGGGCCTCAGCATCTACCGCAACTTGTGCAGGTAGCCTGATCCACTCATTCATCCACGTACAGATGTATTGTAATACCCCATCCTCGCAGATCGTTGACTCTTAGCACGCTGCTTATTACGTCTCGTCCAAGATTGTCAAATACGAGTACTTTCCATATCGGCTCTCCATCCGAGTTGAGGATGGGAGCAGCTTTGGGGATGAGGCCGTTTGCGGAACTTGGATCATGGTGGGGTTCGGACGATTCTTGTGGGGTGTGATTGAGGTTGAGGATGCGCTCGATGGACGCTACGACGATCAGCACGACGGCAGAAGAGGGAAGCTCCGCGAGTGTGCTCACCTATTTGTTTGTCCCGTAGACTCGGTGAAGAGGTCGACATGGCGTTGTGTTCTGCAGGCTGTTGCCCAGCCTCTGGCTTCTTCACCACATGCGCATGGAATGGAGAAAGGTCTGTTAAGTCTGTAGCGTCTTGCAAGCGTACGGTGAGGGTGGCATTCACGGTTGGCAACAAGTGGCATACAATGTACCTTTAAAGACCAAGTGTATCCGTGGAGGTTGCGCTGCGGAATTTAGAGTTTCCACGCGGCAGTGCCCGCCGCGGTCACTCGATTCGGACCCACTTTTCCCGCCGTCACCTGGAGCTTTCGCTTCTTCTTCACGCTTCCCACCAGCTTTCTCCTTCTTGTTTCCTCCCCTCTTCATCAACCCGCCCGCCACCCACCTTCATTCATCACCACCCCTTCCGCACTCATCAACCCCATCTCCTCCCCTTTTCCCTCCTCCAGTGCGCTGCCTGAATAATGCATGGGAGCTCAGGGTGTTTTCTGAGGTGTGAATTGTGCCAGTAGCGAGAGGTACTCCGTTCCGCGTCCAAATTGCGCCCGTCACTGTTTAGAAGGGCGGCCACGATCACTGTCTACTGAGCCTTCTACCTACCGTTGGCAGAGTGCCGCGCTGGCACGCACTGCTGCTCGCTCACTGCCTCTCAATTACGCATTCTAGCTCGTAGCAGCCCTCCAAACGCCCACAGTCTACCGCGTCGGAGTGACGGGGGTGTGCAGGAGGCTGCTCTCGCTGGACGCTTCGCAGGGGGGGCCGTATGTTGAAGTGACCAACCACTCGACAGCTCATCCCTCAGTTTCTACAGATCCCGCGGGTCTCGGCCATCCGCACACGACACTCATTCCGGCACACCGTCCTCGAGACATACGGCAAGGATCCCACTGCTGTGTAGGCGCGAGATTGAAACATTCATCAATTCAATCATCAAGCTCCCGCGCCCGCGTAATTTACTGCTGCAGCTGGCCTCTGCATCGAATTCGGCTTAGCGCGCTCATGAATTGCCGTGTCGGCGTCCGCAGCCGACTTTAGCCTTTCACCGCGCCCGAGACTGTCGCCAACATGGATCAGTTGCCTCGCAGTAAAGAAGGCTACGCCAACAACAATTTGTTTGCGGATAGTCAGCAGCAGTTCAATGCATATGACAATCTCTTCCAATCTGGGCCCGGCCAGAGTCCTTACGATGCTAGCTGGGGCTTAAACGCCGGCAACTACCCGTCTCAGTCACGTGTTCAGCACTCCTCTACTCCGAGCTGGCCGCAGAATACCAATCACCTCTCGCTGCCACCTGCGCAGGGCAATTTGCATGCACATGCAGCTCCATACCATCGCCCCCTGGCACCCAGTCCCGCGCCGTACGGCGGCCAAAACGCCGTCGACACATATCAAACACCCCACACCTATCAATATGCGCCGCAATATGATCCCAGCCTGCTTCCCCAACATGCATTCAATCAGAACTTCAACTACTCCACCGCGGATCGCCACACTCCGAATGCCGCGACTGTCGCGCCACACGCGTTACAACAGGAAAAGTCATCGTCGGCATTCGCTCACAACCCGTACGGAGCGCCTTCGTACCAAGTCAACAGCGTCGCGCAATCACGACCCCTCAACCCTTCCACACCTGATGTCGCCGATCAAAGACAGCTTATGGCTTCCATACCACAAGGAACCAATGCTGGACAGTTCTCTATCATCAGATTCGACGATCTTGCGAACGCCACCCGCTCTCAGCGCATGGGCAATTTTGTCAACGTTGGCGTCGATGCCCTCAACTGGGATCTTAATCGCGCCGCACTCCCGCCTTATGTCCCCCGCAAGTCTCGAAACGAGCTTCGCAGGCTGGCTGCAAACGATCCGAAACTCCTTGCGAAACTCAGCAAGACTGGGGTGAAGAAACAGCGTCTCCTTGCTGCAGCAGCAAAACCATCGCTGGCCGTCGGCAAAACTTCTTCGCCAACGGGGGAGAAGATCAAGTACGAAGGCGATTCGCCAAGCGAAGACGAGGATTCGTCTTCAGACGACGATGACGAGTCTTCATACACCTCAGATGAAGCAGCTGAAACATCACCTCTGCCTGCCAAGAGGCCTGACACTCCTAAGGGGGCCACCGAATACGACACCATCAAGGCTTTGTGGCGTGGCAAACGCAGGTCTCTGGCTTCTGACAGTATTCGGAAAGGATTGGGTGAATTCTGGGAGATCGTGAAGACGATTAGAGACCGATGGAAAGCGGACGTTGCTGCCCTCCAGGATGCGGAGTCGAAGAACCGCACTAACGAGCTTCCGCTCCTTCAGAGCAGAGTCAAAGACCAACGTGACATGCTGGAAACGGCATTCAAAGCGGCGTTGAAGCACGGCCACCGCGACATCATTCTATTGTAAGTCATCCCCTCGGTCCTGCACGACTCTTTCGCGCGTACCCTGCATGCTGTAGCCCGTGCAACACGGATTGAATACGTCAAGGCCGCTTTTGTGGCTCAAGTTCATACATGCCATGCCTCCATTGTGGCGCGCTATCATGCTCCTGACACCATTCCTGCGACTGCCTTTCCAACTCGAATCAAGAGTGGATACGTGCATTGACATCATGGATTGCAAATGAAACGCTTCATCACGTGTCAAACGTCTTCTCCATTTGTACTTAACTGACTTAATTTCTCTCCAGAATGAGCGAGAACGTGTCACTGCTGTTCCTGTGCTATCAGTTCTTGCTGGACCGCGCAAAAGTCGAAGATTACAACAGCGCCTTGCCTCGTACCATCCTCGAGACGGTCGCTTTGTTCACCACCATCACGCAAACGAAGCTCGAGAACACGCACATGGTCAAGGTCCTTCCGCGCTACGCCAAGCGAGGTGATGCCAAAACCCAGTTTTACGCCAAACGCATCATTGCGAGCGCGGCTGAGGCTTCGGCGGAGAAGAGTGCTGAGCCGGGGTCAGCAAAAGACAAGGTCGCTGGATCCCCACCGAGCAAGAAGTCAGAACCAGAGCCAGTTGCTGGTGTCAAACGTCCTTCTAGTGCTGCGAACGATGGAGGCGCCCAGAAGAAGGTCGCAATTGCAAGCTCGAAATCCAATGGCTTGTCTACTGCTACGAAGCTGGGCACTACCGCGAAGAAGTCGACTTTGGCGAATGACAATACCAAAGCAGCCACCACGGCTGCTGCTGTTCCCGCAGTGAAGCCGAAACAAGTTGTTGCAAAACCGTCCGGTCTGTTCGCCAGCCTACAGTCGGCCGGGAAGAAACCGGGCACATCTACCGCTAATAGAGCTGCCCAAGCATCTACAACTGGAGTGGCTGGACGAACGATTGACAAGACGTCAAATGCGTCCTCGACAACAGGCCCAAGTGCAGCACCAGCGCCTTCCTTCTCGTTTGCTGAAACGATGGCGAATCTCTCGAAACCCAAAGAAGAGAAGCCGGCACCGAAAGTTGAAAGGCAAGTTCCAGACGAGACCCCCGAGGAGAAGCGAAAGCGGCTTAGAAAAGAATCGCGTCGCCATCTACATGTCACGTTCAAGACTGGAGAAGACCTGGTCCAGATTCGCGAATTCCACCATGATCCTGATGAAGAGCTCGGCCATGATGCCAATCAAGTCAGAGATGTAAGCGACGTTGGCGGAGAAGGTCGCATGTTCAAGCAACAACATTCAATGATGGACATTGATGAAGAGGATGAAGCCGCAGACGACGGAGCTGGTCTCGTGGACTTTACCCCTCCGAAGGATATCGACTTTACTGTTGTCGATGCCGAAGAGCGTAAGAGGAACAGCATCAAGTTTGGCGGTGAGGTCGAGCCGGAATCTGCTGAGCGGGCTGCCCGAGATGCGCATGAGGCCAACACTCTCATCGTCTTCTACACCGATCCAAAGGACATTCCTCCCAACCCGCGTGAACCATCGGACCCGTACAGTGGGGAGCAGTCCGACAAGATCAAGCAATTCGGTCTGCCCGACGCCAAGTGGGATGCTCGCGCAAAAGGCAAGAGCGTCGCCATGCAACAGATGCCTACGGCACAACAGCAGCAGACCGCCAATGTCGCGCCTCAATTCGATTTTGCGAACATTGGGAATCTAATGATCACCCCGCAAAGTGGCTATCAGCCTTCAATGCCGACGGTATCGCAGCCATCGTTGCCAGGTGGCGATGCAATCTCCAATATTCTCGCCAGTCTCAAGCAAGCCCAGGCAAATCAAGGCACTCCACCGGCATCTGCAATGGGCGCATTCAACCTCCCCTCCTCTGCTCCGCCGCCCACGTTTGCCCCCGCCCCACAACCCTCGACGATACCAGCGGGCCAACCCGATCTCGCTGCCATCCTGGCTCAAATCCAACAGAATCAGGGCGGTGCAGCACAACCTCCTGCCATGTCTGGCTTCGGGCTTAACACCCCCGGACCCATGCCTGGCATGACGTCTTATCAGCCCCAGGCGCAGCAGCAGCAGCAGCAGCAGCAGCAGCAGACGTCTGTGTACGAGAACCAAGAGCGCAAGCAGTGGCGCGAGGGCAGTGCTAACGACAATGCCACGAAAGCCAAGAGGCAGACCACCGCTCAGAGCCCGTGGTTCCGGACGAAGGTGTGCAAGTACTGGCAAGAGGGGAGGTGTCAGAAGGGCGATCAGTGTACTTATAAGCATGAGGAGGAGTAGAGAGACGCTATGCGATGGCTGTCGTCTTCGATCTGGGACTATGGCTCACTACTACAGCGTCGCTGTCAACCCTGCGTGATCGATGTTGAATGATCGGTGGGAGTTCGACTGCGGGCGAGCTCAAGAAGTTGAAGCAGAGCTACAGATACCCACCCGTACAGTGTATGTACTATATTCAACTCCGTCTCGGTGAAACACGTATGCCCTTTCTCTACTATGTCTGCTGCATGTATTACCCACGGTGGCTGCTTACTGTGTAACTGGCCCATGTGACTCGCAAGGATCATTGCCCTAGGTACCTTACATTAGCCGAATTCATGGAACACGATGCTTGCTCTTCCCAACATTCTGCAAGCGTCCTTGTGTATTTCTCTTTAGATACCATAAGAATCAATTGAATAAGACGACAGTTCGCAGCCATGTCCGTTGTAAGTCTCGCCTCCGGCGACCCAACCTGCACAACCGAAGAAGTCCACGCCCTCGCCCAAGCAAACAACTTCGCCATCGAGCCCGGCAGTGAAAATGAAGCAGGCTTCCTGCTCTTCGCCAACAGTTTCAGCGCGGTATGCAAGACCATCGACGAGTTGCCCGATTACGAAGACCCGCGGACGGAACCGGTGGAAGTCGAGGGCGGCGAGCGCAAGTACTACCGGCCTGACGAGAAGGAGAATCCGCTCAATGCTTGGATGTTTCGGACGGAGTTGAGGGCTAAGGACGCTGCGGCGCGAAGGGGCCCGCTGGCGGGGAAGACGGTGGCGGTGAAGGATAATATGTGTGTTGGTGGGTTGCCGATTAGTTTGGGCGCTTCGGCGGAGTTGTTTAGTTCAGGTAGGTGAGTCCTTGGGGTGTTGATTTGATAGGTACAGACGAGACTAATTGCTTGTTTGAACTACCAGGACAGCATCCGATCAGTCCGATTGATGCTACGGTTGTTCGCCGCGTCCTTGAAGCCGGAGGGACGATCAAGGGAACAGGCGTGTGCGAGAACCTGTCGCTTTTTCCCGTCAGCTACAGCTCGCACGCCGGGGCGGTGCACAATGCGTGGCTACCAGGTTACGCCACCGGGGGCAGCAGCTCTGGATGCGGAGCTCTTATCAGCATCTCGGATGTGGAGGACGCGAGGAAGGCCGGCCACGACAGCAGGCAGTATCCGCTCGGCGAGGGCGTTGACATTGCGTTAGGCGGCGATCAGGGCGGCTCGATTCGTCTTCCGGCAGCATATTCGGGCTACTATGGTCTTAAGGCTACGCATGGCCTTATACCGTACACGGGGATAGGCTCTTTGCATCCTCTCATCGATCACGTTGGGCCAATGGCTCGGACTGTGGAGGATACTGCTACATTTCTGGGGGTCCTTGCGGGCTATGATGGTATGGATCCTCGAATGGGACCCGAGTCACCGCTGAGATCCCAAGTACCGGACTATCTTGGAGAACTGGAATCGTGGGCTAAGGAGAAAAAAGGACTTGGTGAATGGACCTCTTCCGCAGCTGCTAGAGGCCTAAGAATCGGAGTCGTGCAAGAGTCTTTCGAGATTGCACCACTGGAGCCGTCCGTCGCCAAAGCCACCCAAAACGCAATCGACCGCTTCAAGAGTCTCGGCGCAGATGTGAGAGAAGTGTCCATCCCTTCGCACAAATACGGAGGGGCGCTTTGGTCGGTGACTACACGGCCATTGATCCCTCACTTTCTCGCAGCCAAGCCCCCGGACCTGCTGGCACACACCATGCCACATATCGATATCGTTGCCCCAGGGCAGCCTTTCTTCGATGCATTGGCCAACAAGAACCCAGCACCGCTCAACGTGATCATGAACGCGACGTACATGGAGCAGAAATACGGCAATGGCTTGAGCCGTAAGGCGTATATGCACGTCTTCCAGCTGCGCGCCGCTTACGATGCAGCGTTGGAAGATGTCGACATCCTCCTCACGCCCATGACGTCTACCGTCGGGCCCAAGATCCCGGCGTCGGCCTTGAAGACGGAAGCGAATCCGAACGGCCAGAGCAAGAGGTTTATGGATCTGTACGACCCGATCATAGGAAACACGATCAATACTTGCCCGTTTAACTTGTCGGGACACCCGGCGATGAGTATGCCTGTGGGATGGGGAGATGCGAAGAATGAGAAGGGTGAAGTGGAAGGCCGTCTGCCTGTGGGTCTGCAAATTGTGTCGAAGAGATGGGATGAGGTAGCCTTGTTGAAGGCTGCAAAGGCGTGGGAAGTTGGAGGGAGATGGAGCGATGAATAGATGAGATCATGCCATCGTCAAATGTAAAATAGCTGCATGCTATTCCATTTTTGCCGCGGAAGGCTGTCAAAAGGAAGTTACAACGTGGTGATTAAACATGCCCCGACACGTGAAAGAGACGGGAGTGAGTTGAAACGAAGAGGAGGACTAGACGAGCAATTAAACTTTGCGCTAGAGACAAAGACGCGGCGAGCGGCGGCAGCCAATCGTTTCGCCCGAGCCAGGGTGCGGCGCAATCTCGTGAGACGACGCTTCCACCCTCTCCTTCACCACCTCCACTCCCCTCCCAACACCACACCGGACTCGACCCTCACCATCTTCCCCTCTCCAGCCGCTCGTTAAACAGTCACTCATTCTTTCGCTTCGCGGACACGCCGGATCTACGCCTTCGAGGGAGCAAGGGCAGGGAGTGCGCAATTGGAGCCAGCGGAGCGCTGAAACAAGGAGGAAGACACCACACAGAAGGGCCAGGACGACAGGCTGCATTCCATATCCTGCTCGAAGGAACGCGCACGGCGCGAATAGCAGTCCTCAGCACTTAACAAACACTCGTTGGGCCCGCGTGGGCTCAAAGGCCACTGCCATGGACACCTCTCCAGGTATGTCGCGCAGGCAAACCACACACAGCAAAGAGCAGCAGGAGACTAACGCGACAATAGTTCCCGACTACGGGCTGAGCAGATTATTCCGGCGATGCGTGCAATGCCCTCCCACCTCCACTCAGCTCAAATGTCCGGCATGTCCTGCTGGCAAAGTCTGTACCCTCATCCCGCCAAGCTGCAATCAATGTGCGCACATGGAATGCGTCACCGACCCCAATCCCGCCGGCATCTCTCAAGGACCAAACGTTGGTGCCATTGCTGGTGGAGTGGTGGGAGGTGCGGCCCTCATCGTTCTGCTCGTCTTTCTGGTGTGGTTGTTCTGGATCAAGAAGCGGCGGGAACAGCAAGATCAAGAGTTACAAGAGGAATGGGCACAAGACAAGCGATCCACGCGACTCAACTCCCTCCGCGATTCCTCCTCCGCGCGCACACGAGGCTCGCTGGCCAACAGCATGCTCAGCCGGGCGAGCAATTTCATCCAAATCGCTTACATCCCTGGGGTCACCAACCGCAATGGATCTGGACGCAACAGTGTGCATAGTCCCGTTCCCCCGATACCGGCGGCACACCGACAGCGCCATAACCAGCCCAACAAGAGTCCGCTCAGTGGGAATGGCGATGCGCTGTTCTTTGGCATCGACGATCTGAGAGGCAGCACATACTCGGCCGGATCCTCGGTGAGAGACACGCGCCATGCCAACAATCGCGACACAAGGTACACCATGCAGTCCATCACTCCTTCCCTCGCTCGAGACTCTGTCGCATCGGATGTGTTTTGGGACGATGCAACCGCGGCGCCAATGCCCGCCACCACCGTCGCGCGGGTGGCCCCTCGGATGGTGTCGGTAAAGGGCTCTTCCAACAGCTCGGCCAACACGACACCAGGTTCCGACAGCGCACCTGGCACTCCACCCGAGCACCTGCCGCACGGTGCTTCAGCAGAGTCCAGCCCAGCGGCAGGCGATGCCACCAAACGCACATCCAAGGGCCGTTTCCCCGTCCGCGCACCCAACGACAACCTCTCCACCCGCCTCCATATCCCACTTATCCCCTCACCTCTCGCCGACAACACAACTGCAACCGCGGCCTCCAACACCCCCAGCGAAGCGGCCCACTCTCGCGACCTTGATTCCCTCATGCAACACATCGACTTCTCCACGCCCCCGGCCGATGCACAACCCATCGAGTCCCCCTTCTTCGACGCCTCCGACCTTCCCCACGCCGCCACTGCGGCCTCCAGCATGCGGGCCAACCCGTACGCCTCGATGGCCAGTACCGTTGGCGTAGGCACGCGCCGTCTAGAGCGGAGTCTCTCGCCGCATCGCAGGAGAGGCGGAAGCAAGGGGAATATTGGGGGTCTGAGCGCGGTTATCGAAGAGGCTACGAAGAGAGCGAGCACTGGCGGCGTCGTTGGTGCGGAGGATAGTCCGTTTGGAGATGAACATGCTACGCATGAGTAGTTTGAATGGAGGAATTATTTGATCTCGATCTTGTTTTACCTTGTGGCTTGGGAGGTTCTCGGAGCTATGGAATGTGAACGTCCGGCTCTCGATTGATGGAGTTTGGGAAATGAGATACGATCAAATGCTATGCAACTTCCTTGTCTGTCTTTCTGGGTTTCATTTGCTTGGTTCGAGTGGTAAGACCGAGACACGTTCGGCTCTTTCTTCTTTCATAAAGTTCGTGATCCAGGCGCAGTGTCTGAGACCACCTTCACCAGCGGTTTTCGTGTCATGGCTTGAGTGTATATTTTTATATCTTTGCCCTCCCGGCACCACAGTCGTCTTCGTAGCTACATCGATCGCCTACCATACGCACCTCCAACCACAACCAGCTTACAACCGATCGACACAATGGCAAGCAAAACCGCCCACCTCGCCCTCCTTCTCAGCCTGCTCGCTCTTCCGCAAGCTCTCCTCCTTCTGCTGGCCCTCTGCCTTGCCCTGGCCTACCGCTACATCAAAACATCCCCTCCCGCCTACCAAGCATCGCTGATCAAATTCCACGCCCTCGCAACCGAAAGCATTCAACTCACTCTCGCTCTCGTGGGATGGGCGAATTTCCTTACCGTTGCCGTTCTGCTGCTCTCGTCGACCCACGATCATCACGACAATCACAGGAGCATGGGTGTTCTTTATCTCATCGGCGGCAGCTTGATCCTCTTCATCGCGGGCGTGAGCGCAGTGCTAGGCGTGTACGCCGTGGATCTTATCGAGGCGCGCGTGGTGCTGGGCGTGTGGCGGCATCCGTATGCGTGGCGGTGTTTTGCTTTGACGAGAGTGCTACTGCGGGCTGTGTGGCGGGGGAGGAGAGGTCAACATGCCACAGCTGGTTTCAAAGTGAAGGCTGATCCTGTGGAGGGGCGAGATTGGGAGGATACTTTGCGGTCCTTGGAGTATTTGGATCTTGCTTTGGGGAGAGAGGAGAGGGAGAGAGGGAGGGAGAGGTCACGGTCGTTGGAGTATTTGGATCTTGATCATGAGAGAAAGGAGAGGGAAATGGGAGCACGGGCGAGGATGAGTCGGTGAAGGAGTAGAGAACTGGGCCTGCCTTGGTCGTATTGAGCGGTGAAGAGAATGCCCGGACAGGACAGCGCAAGGCCGTCCCACTGCAGCTTGACATGCATCTGTCGTCGGTACATCAGACCACTTCCAGTTCTCCATCGTCCTTGATTTCCGCCGATTGGAAACAAAGTTCGGACGTCGTGATATGCAGCCTCAACCGCATTTGGTAAGAGAGTAACTAGTTGCAGCTGCTTGGCCGATAGGTCATATCCAGAGCAATCCTAGGTCTGGAGTTGAGTGTGCCGGACGCGTCAAAGAAGCAGAAAACGGCTCACCCAGGAGACCGGGTCGCATTGAATACTTGCCGTCATGGATGCAGACCCCATTGGCAATCTCTCCTCCCAGTCAGCCACGGGTCAGGTACCGCTGTCAGGCGGTGGCTCCCGCACACGGCAGCGTGCATGAACTGTATCGTGCATGGGGTGTCTGCAGTGTCTGCATCCTCTGCCCTGCCGCAGCAAGGTCGGCGAATTGCGTGCGAGCGTGAGAAATTGCAAGGCCGGCGTTACCGACTTTGCGGTTCTCTTGCTCAGCATTGAATGGGTGCGTGCATGTCGCTGCTCTCCTCTCCGCCAGATTCCCGGCGATGCCTGGGATGTGGCACCCGCGGAGCGATGCCGAGCCGCCCCACTCTCGTCGATCGAAAGTCAATTGGCGGAGCTGGTGCAGGACTGACGACACTTCGTGAGCTGCCTTCCATGTATCCGTAAATACATCGTGGTGCGATTCCCACGCCGGCCGTCCAGGGCACCAGGGCTTGGCCTAGCCCATGATCTTAGCTCCTTCCATCGGAAGCGTGGATGGGTGCCGCGCACGGTAGGGCAATCACGCTGAATACTACATGTGCGCACGGAGACGAACGTCGTTCGCGTCATGACGAGTTAGGCAAGAACGATGAAGCAGCCTCCTCCTCCGTCGTCGCCCTCGCTCCTTCCCCCAGACCACCTCGCCGAACACCTTAAGCAGGTGCGATCCATCACTATTTGACCCCCGGAAGCCTCCGGTTGGTCTGTCTGTCTCTCACTCGCTTGTCCAGGTGGTGGCCACTCTTTGTCTTACCACTTCTCCCCCTCTGATCTGATCAGCTGCCCTCTGCCTCTCACATTCTTTGTTGCCTGTCTCTCTCGTCTTGCACACTGCACCTCATTAACACACGCAGCCGCAGCATCACGCGACATCCCTGAGTCACCACCGAATCTCTCCTGCCTCTACAAAAGGGAGAGCTGACTGACCTCACCCGCCCACCGGACAACACCTCCACCTCCTCCACGACTGCTACCATCAGCGGAAACACCATTCGTACTGCCTCCAATCACATTGCTGGCCTGCGATGACTTCGCAGAAGTCTGCCCTTCCCACCCAGATCAAGCAGACCTCACCCCGCAAGGTCTCGCTCGACCTCGACCCCTTTGCCTCCCCCGCAGAGTACTATGGCAAAAGCCACGGCCCTAGAAAGGTGGCCAAAAGTCGCACATATTCTGCCGTAAGTCTGCCATCATCCACGAGACCTCCGTCTCCCCGTTCAGAATGCCTACTGACGCGACGCCCCCAGAATGGTCCCCGTCTTGAGGGTGTAGAAGGCGTCACCACGCTTAGGCGGCGACAAAGTCACGGTCCGTCCAAGCCATCTTCTTTCTTACACCACACCACCTAACCTCCACTTCAGATGTCCAAGGAGATACCCCTCGCCGATTCCTTCTTAACGTGGAGGAAACTCGCAAGACTCTTCTCGCACGCGAAGACACCGACCACAACATTCAGATCACCATTGAGGATCATGGCCCCAAGACCCTCGCTCTCGGCACCGCCGCATCTGGGGGCTACAAGCGCTTTGACATTCGCGGCAATTACATGGTCAGCAATCTGCTCCAAGAACTGACGCTGGCCAAGAAGTATGGCCGTAAGCAGATCGTGCTTGATGAGGCGCGTCTCAACGAAAACCCCGTGAATCGCATGGCCCGGCTCATCAAAGACCAATTTTGGCCGAATCTCACGCGTCAAATCGACGGGCGCAACGTCTTCCAGGTCGCCAGAGATCCCAAGGATTGGACCAAAGAACCACGCCCACGCATTTACATCCCCGTTGGAGCGCCAGAACAATACGAATACTACACACGGATCGCCACCAAGCATCCCAAGATGAACTTGGACGTTCAGTGGCTGTCGGCAGATCCGAGCAACGCGGACTACGTGCGAGATCTCAACGAAGCCCCCGGCCTCCTGGCCATTGCAATGGAGCGCGTCGAGGACACGCCCGAAGGCGAGCCGGACTTTCGTGGCTTGCCCTTCGTCGTTCCCGGTGGCCGCTTCAACGAACTCTACGGCTGGGACAGCTACATGGAGACCCTTGGCCTGCTCATCAACGACCGCGTCGACCTGTGCGAATCCATGGTGCGGCACTTCTGTTTTTCCATCCAGCACTACGGCAAGATCTTGAACGCCAACCGAACATACTACCTCTGCCGCACCCAACCGTGCTTCCTGACTGACATGGCCCTGCGGACATACGAGCGGATGGATCATTCGCAGAAGAGCCATGATTTTCTTCGCTTTGCAATGCTGGCGGCGATCAAGGACTACTACAATACATGGATGGCTTCTCCCCGTTACGATGCCGAATCCGGTCTTTCATGCTACCATGCCGATGGCGTGGGAGTGCCACCCGAGACCGAGCCCACCCATTTTGTGCATGTCATCCAGCCATTCGCCGACAAACACAACATGACGTTTGAAGAATTCGTCAAGGCCTACAACTACGGCCACGTGTTCGAGCACGAACTCGACGAGTATTTCAAACACGACCGCGCGGTACGTGAATCGGGCCACGACACGACTTATCGGCTGGAGAAGGTGGCTGCCGATACCGCCACGGTGGACTTGAACTCGTTGCTGTACAAGTATGAGACGGACATTGCTCGTACGATCCGCGAACGCTTCGGTGATCACCTTGAGATTCTGGCCGAGTGGCACGCGGAGGCCAAGCCACATGTCGAGACGTCTGCAGTGTGGGAGCGGCGAGCACGTAAACGACGCAAGATCATGGAGAGCCTGATGTGGGATGAGAAGGAGGGGATGTTCTTCGACTACAACATCAAGACGAAGGAGCAGACTGGATACGAATCCGCGACCACCTTCTGGGCAATGTGGGCGGGCGTTGCGACTCCGCAGCAAGCTGCCGCGATGGTGGAGAAGGCACTCCCACGATTTGAAGTTGCCGGCGGCCTGGTCTCGGGAACGGAAAGATCGCGGCGGCGAGTGGCCCTTCACAAACCCAATCGACAATGGGATTATCCATACGGCTGGGCACCGCAGCAGATCTTGGCGTGGACGGGCTTTCAACGGTACGGGTACGTTGAAGAAGCGAAGCGCCTCGCATACCGCTGGCTCTACATGGTCACCAAGGCGTTCGTGGACTTCAACGGCGTGGTGGTGGAGAAGTACGACGTGACGAAGAAGACCGATCCGCACCGCGTGACGGCGGAGTACGGGAACCAGGGCTCACAATTCGAGGGCGTGGCGACTGAGGGGTTCGGCTGGGTCAATGCTTCGTACGTGTATGGTCTTAACATCATCGATGCGCGCATGAGGCGTGCGCTGGGAGCCATTACGGACTGGGAGACGTTCAGTCGGATGACGGAAGCTTCTGCTGCCCTGGGAGAGCAAAGAGGCCGGCTGCTGGACCGAATGCAGGAACATGGTCAGGAAGAGGAGCATGGAATTGCCGCCGCCGCTGTTGCCGTGCATCATACGCATCACGAAGGCGTGCCGCACAGCCATGAGGATGCATTGGCTCACAAGGCTGTGCATGGCCAGGAGGAGAGGGTGGAGCATCATGGGCCGGATGGGTGGGCGCATGCTCCGAAGAATGCGGTGTCTGTTTGAGGGCGGTTTGTGTTCCTGGTGAAGGATGAAGCTTGTCCTACTGATGCAACTTGACCTACAATATTGAAGCTTATCAAGTCATTCCCATGTGCTTTGCCGATCATTCCTGCAGGGTCAGCCTGACATGGGCGGCGCTGTGAAACCCCACAGTGGGGCCAAAGGGTCAGGCTGCAGTGTTTGCACTTTCGAAGCTTCCCGAATTTCTTCGCTGAGTGAAAGTGAACTACCTCAACTCCAACTGCTTGTGAACCTTTCATCGTCCAAGCCCTCACTCGGAGCCCTTTCCACCCACTTCCACCATCCCTCTCCATCCACTACCACACCCCTCATCACCGCAACAATGGCCACGACCAACGGCAGCCCCGCCAAACGCAGCCGCGTCTGGTTCGACATCGCCATTGGCGGCGCTCCCGCCCGCAAAGTGGTCTTTGAGCTCTACAACGACATCGTGCCCAAGACAGCCGAGAACTTCCGCGCATTGTGCACCGGGGAGAAAGGGACGGGCACGCAAGGCGTTCCGCTGAGCTTCAAAGGCTCCGCCTTCCACCGTGTCATCAAGAACTTCATGATCCAGGGCGGCGACTTCACCGCTGGCAACGGCACGGGCGGCGAGAGCATCTACGGCGAGAAGTTTGAGGACGAGAACTTCGAGCTGAAGCATGAGAAGCCTTTCCTCCTGTCTATGGCCAATGCCGGCCCCGCGACCAACGGCTCGCAGTTCTTCGTCACCACCGTGCCCACCCCGCATCTCGATGGCAAGCATGTGGTTTTCGGCGAAGTGTTGGCGGGCAAGAGCGTGGTGAGGCAGGTGGAGAATACGCCTGTCGGGGCAAACGACAAGCCGGAGAAAGAGTGCGTGATTGCGGACTGCGGCGAATTGCCCGCGGACGCAGACATCGATGCCTTCACGCAAAAGACACCGGACAGCACGGGCGATACGTTCGAGGACTACCCGGAAGACCAAATCGAGCGCGGGCAAGAGTGGGAGGGCAAGCAGATTGCAGACATTGCGGCACAGCTGAAGGATATGGGCGCGCAGGCGTTCAAGGGCGGGGAGTTGGCGCTGGCGTTGAGCAAGTACGAAAAGGCACTGCGATATCTGCACGAATACCCTGCGCCGAAAGACGACGATCCGCCTGAGCTTGGCCCGAAGCTCAACAAGCTCAAGATTGCACTCTACAACAACTCCAGCTTGCTGCTGTACAAGCTGCAGCGGTACGCGGCCTCGCTGCACGAGGCGGACAAGACGCTGGGCGTGGCAGGCCTTACCGACGCGGAGAAGGGCAAGGCATTGTATCGCAAGGGCGTGGCGGCGAGTCAGTTGAAGAACGAAGACGATGCGCTCGAGTTTCTGGAGCAGGCGCGGAAGCTGGTGCCGGGCGATGCGGCCGTGGGGAATGAGCTGGCGGCGGTGAAGAAGGCGGCGGCGGAGCGCAAGACGAAGGAGCGCAAGGCGTATTCGAAGATGTTCCTGGACTGATGGGCTGCATCGGAGGGCGGGGCTTTGCTGTGCGTTTGAGCGATGATCTGAGGAGGCGTTTGCACTATAGCTATAGAGGAAGTGAAAGAGAGGAGAGCAATGGGAGAGTAGTGTATATCGTCGTGTGTGTAACTGCCCAATGAGGCAACTTCCGCGGCGCCAGATGACCTCATCCCCCCAAGCCCTCCGGCAGCTGCTCGCCTTACCACGAACCATGACCCCACAACATCATCATCGCCTCCTCCTGCCAGCCCCTTAACGCCTTCGCACCACCGCGCTCGCTCATTCTCCCCGCGGCCCCGTCGGTACAAGAGCTGGACTCGAGCACCGCGACCAGGCCATCTATTCGCCGGCACTAGCTTCCTCTCATTCCAACACGTTGCACAGCTACCACCCGACATGCACTCCGTCTGGTGACCGTCGTGAACCTATCCACCCTCCAACACCATCCCGCACCACCCAGCCATGTCGTCGCAGCTCTCTACGGATCCATTGATCCCTGCGACGCACGCGGACGCCACGTCGGCGCCGCAAAAGGAGGGAGCGGCGGCGGAAGACAAGGGCGGCAAGGGGGCAGGAGGGAAACGGAGATTCTTTGGCTTGGGCAAGAAGAAGGACGGCGACAAGGCGGGTGATATGGCGACGACAACTACTCCTCCTCCTCCCACTGCTGCTGCGCCATCGTCTGCTGCCCAAACAACCCCAAGTCCAGCGCCTCGCACCACCACCACCTCCACGCTCCAGCCCCTCCCCTCCCCCTCTCGCACCAACCCCTACCCCGCCGGTATCGCCGTCTCCCCCTCGCGCCTCCGCTCCGCCTCGCCCGCCAGAAGACACAGTCCCGCATCGAGCGAGATCTTCGAGCGCAACGTGCAGGACCCCGCCGAAATCGCGCAGCTGCACGGCGAGCTCGACCCGGCGCACATCCCCTCGCACGTCATCACGGAAGACCGCATTCCGCCGGCGCTCGAAGCGTCGGCGCAAGCCATCACGCAGGAACTGAACCCCGACGAGGTCGAGATTGTCACTTCCGCCTCCCACCAGCCTGCCGCTGCCGCCGTGCTCGACCCCTCTGCCAGCCAAGCGGATCTCGCTTCGCATTTTGGTGCTGCAGGCGGCGGGCCCCTCTCGGCCGTGACATCGCACGACTCGGGCGACATGCCCGGCCAATCCTCCATCCACCACTCCGGCATCCTGCCCGCCGCCCCGCTCCTCTCGCATGAAGAAGACGGCGCAAGCACCTACGGCCAACTCGACCCCACCGACGTGCGTCGCCTCTCCTTCATCTCTTTCGCCGACGTCGTGCAGAGCGAGCACCAACATCAAGCCGGCGATCCCGCAACAGCAGCAGGCGGGAGTACCTTCCCGCACCTCGCCGCTGCAACCAGCCACGGCAGTCGACCGCGCGCCGGCTCCCCGCTAGCCTCGTCTCCGCCTCTCAACGCCTCCGTGCCCGCGAGCGCAGTCAGCGGCCTCGCCACTCCGCCAGCGCTAGGCAGTCCGTCAGCCGGCGGGGGAGCAGGAGGAGGCTACCACGAGCACTCTCCCTCGCCGCCCACGCACGGCGAACTCACGATCGAGACGCTACGGCAGGCGGTGCGCAAGACTGCGAGCGGCGATTTGAGCGGGCACGCGGGCGCCGGCACGCGCTCGGCGGGCATGAGCAGTCCTGTTTCCGAGGAGCCGTTGTCTGGTGCCGGGGTGGGGAGTGCGCCGCGGAGTCGGACGAATTCTTGAGCGCGTTCGTCGCTCTCGTCACGGGTGGTTCGTGAGGAAGCTTCTTCTCCAGTATGCATGCTTTTCGGTTGTAGTCTGCTTAATCGGCAGGCTGATAGGGTTTGTCATTTTTTCTGTCTTATGGAGGAGATTGGACGATAGGCTGGCGAGGGAAGAGAGATTGGATACAACATTGCAAGCCGTAGCCCGTTGCGACAGAGCAGGAGGCACAGAGACAGACTTGCGTCGAAACTTGATTGCTACGAACACTTTCTCACTTTGATTGTAAGGCAAGTTCACTCTGCTTCTCATTTCCTTCCATTTCTACTTGGGGTACTTTTCCAGCGAGCCACGAACAAGTACAGAAAACCTCTCACTTCAACTCTTTCATTTCATCTCAAGAAAAGAAATCAGGCAAGAGTCCATCCGCCTTCCAGTTCCGAGGACTCCAGCGCGCCATCGCTTGGGCAGGAAAAGGCATGCATTGAACTCTCGTTTCTCCCCACTTCATCTCTGTATTCACTCCGCCGTTACCGTAGCAGGAGGATCCTCAACTGCAGCAGGCGCATCAATGACAGCAGCATCGGCAGTAGAAGCAGCAGCAGCAGCACCCGCATCCTCCATCTTCACATCCGGGTCTTGCTCCGCCTCGCCCTCCTCGCCGCCATCCTCAACAGCGTTCTCATCAGCCTTCTCCATCTCCGAGGCAGTAGGAAGCAAGACGGGCGGCTCGACGGTCGTCGCAGAGGACGGGGCGGTTCCAGGAGCCTCGACGACGGACGAAGCGGGCGAGCTCTCCCGCTCGCTCTTGACCTCGCCGAGCCCGCCGGCACCGCCGTCTTTGCCGCCGTCTTTCGTGGCTTTGGTGCGGCGTGTGTAGTCGCTTAGACTCAGCTTCTTTTTCGCGGGACTGGGATTGACGGCGGCGGTGACGGAGGGGGAGAACAGGGGGAAGATGGGCGCAGTGGCGCCTGGAGTCATGACGAGGGGGGACTGAAGGATGGTGGCGTTGTTGTTTGCGTTGGTGAAGGGTGTGGTAGCGGTAGTGGAGATGGCGGATGAAGGGGCCGAGGTGGAGAAGGGGTTTGTGGGCGGAGGCGGCATTTGGAGGTGCATATCTGGGGGTCGCTGGTGATGGAGTGCGGACGGAGCGAGAGGTTCGGATGCGGGAGGTGGAGCGGAGAGGGTCGAAGGTGCAGAGGCCGTCTCGGTGTCGGTAGGTTGAGAGTCTTTCACATTGACATCCTTCATTTCGACGTCTTGAGCTTCGGCCTGTTCAGTCGTAGGTTCCAACTCGTCACGCGCGGGAGACGCCGATTTCACAGGCTGTTGGCTCGCGACCGAATCCAGCTCCATCTTTTCGTCCTCCTTGATCTGACGTTCGGCCTCCGCCAGAGCCTGAGGGCCATTCGCTCGCGCGTTGTTGAGTGCGCAGCGCTGTAACAGGCGTTGCGTGGTGGAAATGTATGGCCTCCGCGGCTCTGATGAAGGCAGACGCAGCATATCTGGTTCCTCCTCTCGATCGCACTGCACGCTAGCATCGACGTAGTTTGGCTTGGGCCTCCTCGGCGCTTTGGCGGCCGCTCTAGCGGGGGAGCTTCGTGCCGTGGAGCCCTTGGGCTTCCTGCCAGGCTTAGACGGCAGGTTCAGTTGCTTGGCTGTGCCTACGTCCGCATACTTCGAGGATGCTGCCGGCTGTTTGGAGGAGGTCGGGTTGGGCGTCTGGGCGTTGGAGCCGCCACCACTATGGCGCTTCTTCTTCCCATGCTTGCCGGTCATCTCCTCCTCTTGCTTCTTGAACATCGCCTCTTCTTTGGCCAGCTTCTTCCGCTCCCGCTCCGACATCTCGGACATCTTGGGCAGCGCGGCGGAGGGAAGGTAGTGGGAGTTTGGCGTGATGTCGCGACTTGCGGAGTCGCGACCTGCTGAGCCAGACGCAGACCGAGACTCCGAGGGCTCATCTTCACCATCGACTCGGCGGGCCTCACTGCCAGAGCGGCTGTTGAGGTTTGTGTTCAACGGTGACATGTAGTGTGAACTTTTCGCCCTCTTTTTCGACTTCACTCCCACCTTTACCGGCTGTACTTCCATGCTACTTCTATTCTGCATGCCTCGGCGGTCGAGTCTTGCCATGAAACAGTTCTCCACGGGTCGGTGACAGCCACAGGGTCCGCAGTTGGTCAGCACATTCGACACCCACGCATTCATTTGTTCCAGCTGCGCTTCGGACATGGGGTTCTGCTCATCGTGTGTGTACCCGGGGATACTGTCGCCAGCTTCCCAGGCCACCGATATCTCCGTGCCTGGATCGATTTGCGTGGTCGCGATGAAACAGAAGCGGTAGTCCCTCGAGTCCGTGACTAGCACCTGCAACTTCGCGTTGGGCTGACAGCTTCGCCGAACATATCGCATTTGAGTGCCTTCGTTCCGCGCGTCAACATAGATGGGTAGCTGTGAGTGGAAGAAGACGAACGGCTCCGGGTGTCGAAGCGAGGCCCAGCGGTTCAAGGGGTCTTGGATGTAGTCCTCCCGAAACCCGACGTAGCCTTTGAGCTCGCCGATGAAAGCGTTAGTCGCAATCGGCTCTCGCACAGTCAGCCACTTCCAGGTGGGGTGGTTGCCATCGGCATCCTTGACGCGCTCGTCGTGCTCTTCCCGCTGCTCGACAACGGCTTTGGGGGACATGTCCTCGAGGTCGCCGTCGTACCGCCATAGAATTTCGCCTTTGGCGCGGCCATGCGTTTCCTTGAAGTCGTCGTCCGGCGCGAGGAGCCAGTCCGAGAGGGCATTGCTCACGTCGGTGGAGGCATGGCAATTCGAGTCGGGTTCGATCCAGTCGTTCATATAACAGCGAATGAAGTGTTCGGAGTAGAGGTCGGAGGGAAACTCGGGGGAGTTGGAGACGCTGCGGCGATGATTTGCAGTCGAGGCGTTGCGTTTGCGTGAGTGGCCTTTTGTGGAGGTGACGGTGGCGGTGGAATCCGAGGGACGGTGGCTCGTTTTCGGTCGTTTTGCAGGAGGGGGCTGATCGCGGGGGCTTGCGCTGTTGCGATCGTGTCGCGCCTTGTCGAGCGGCCATCCGTTGGTGTACGCTGGCTCTTTGACCTTCTTCTTGTGGCTCTTCGGAGCCGCGCGCTTCATACCATTGACCTCCGATGCCTGCTCTTCCCTCTTGATCTTTTGTCGCACCCGCGCACTCTCGTGGTCGAAAGCGCGCGGGCGGCAGTCGAGGCAGTAATGTTGGAGGTCGTCGGGAAGAGAGCGGTCTTCGTATTCGGGGTAGTAGCACACTTGATGCTGCCATCGATTGCAGTCATCGCACTGTACGGTCCAGCCATCGTCATCGGGATAGCCGCAGATGCAGCTTATCTGTCCATCGTCTTCCGGGCTGTCGTCCAAGAGCGGAGCGACGGGGGCGGCGCGATCGACGCCAAGGCCGTTGGGCTGGAGAGGGTGAGAGGTGTGATCGTGACCGAGTAGAATCGGAACAGGATGGGATGTGTCTGTCATGCTATCACGTCGAATAGAGCGTGCTTCGAGGGTGGGGTTTAGGTGACAGACTGCTTCCTTTCTCGGTGTCGCATGACTGTGGTTTCGCCGGCAACGAGGATTTGGAGTCCGCTGACGTCGTGAGCACGACTGTCTCGAGTTTTGGGATGGAATCGAGGGTGCTGCTCTCGTAGGGTGATGTGCTCTCTCCTCGTAGAGTCTTAGGGTGGACGAGGCGAGGGCGAGAAGGGTTTGCCGACGTCCAACGCTCGAGAAGTGGTTCGAGGGGGCTTTCGACAGAGGTGTATGTTCGTTAGAAGTGATCGTGAGAGACGCGCGGGTCTCTGAGGGTGTGAGGGGGGCGCGGAGGCGAAGGGCGGAAGATGGAGGGGGGCGCGAAGATGGGTGTCAGGCGGGCGCGAGGTCGGAAGAACAAAGGGAGAGGGCGTGGAGGGGACGTAGAAAGGATCCGACGGGGCGGCAGGAGGGAAGAGATGGAGGATGAGGGAGTGGTGAGAGGGGGACTGGTGGGATGGGAGGGAGGAGCAACGAGAAAGATTGCAGCAGGGCCACTCTCACTCACGCACTGGCTGGCCTGGCTGCCAAGCGGACCAAAGTCAGAGGGCAGCAGCGCGCGAACCACGACCTTTGGCAACGCCTCGCGAGCTTCAGGGTGAGCGCGCCATAAAGTCAAAAGCTTGTGCCGTAAGCGCTGCAAGCCTGAGGCACGCCGTCTGGCCTGCGCCGGCCGCGGGTTGACGGCTTGCCTGATTCAAGCATCTCGTCTTTCCTGTCGTTTCCCGGCGATGCCACCGCGCATCTTTGGTTCACCCAGCCTCCCCGACCGAGTCACGTGGAAGGGCGAAGAGCGGTACTGTATCTGTGTCGGGTGGGTCCAGCAGAGAGAGACGACGGGACGGGCATGGGTTTTTGGTTGCGGCTCGCTCGAAACAGTCTGGCGTCGAATTCCGTCTTCAGCCCGCGTTGGCGAATCAGAGACGGCGTATGCTGGCGGCGTGAGTGCACCTGTGGCCGGGGGTCGCAATACTTCGTTACTGTTACCCTTATGCCCTCTGTGGTTTGATTCCCGGAAGAGGGCGTCGAAATCCGGCAACTGAGGTCAGGGGAAGAGGATACCAGGTCAGGGAAAGAGGCGAACACGTCAGGGAAAGAGGCGAGCAGCAGGAAACACAGCTTGAACATAGATCTGCCGTCCTCGTGCCATACGAGGGATGCCACCAAGGCGAGACCGATGACGCGGGCGAGACGTGCGCGAACGAACGGACGGGTGAACATCGTCCTTTGGAGTATCTCGAGTATCAACGCCTGAACCCACGCATCTCCGCCTCAGCCCCTCTCCGCAACGTTCTCCTCCCTCGAACTGCCTATCTGCCCCATCGTACGCGACACGTCACCACCCCAAAGCTCCGCCGGCTCCTCCTGAATCTCCGTTCTGCCCGTCATATTCCCAGGACTGTACTGAGGTGGCGTGGCCGTTGCTGGTGAAGATAATGTTGGGCTAAAGTACGCATCGGAGCCATACAACTCGCTCTCTCTGCCTCCGCGTTTGGCTTCCTTCGAGGCGATCGGATAGCCCGCGAGTTCCGGCGCGTGAGTGCCCGTGGGAATGTTCTGGTAGTTGGCTTGCAGGGGCGGAGATGGAGGTATCGTTGAGTGGTTCTTGCGGGATGCGCCGTGGCGGCGGAATAGGAGGTAGAGAGTGAGGGCAGTCAGGATGCAGACGACTGGGATGCCGACTGCTAGGCCGATGATGATGGGGTCGTCGGGGTGGGATGAACTGTTCTGATGGTCATGCGGATGGCGAGGTTAGATGCTACTTCTCAACTATCGTGGCGTCTTGAACCAGTGGACTTACCGATGACTTTGCGGCCGCCTTGGTAGCTGCCGATCCAGCGACAGAAGCGATCACCGATGTGACTGTGGTGGCAACTCCATTCGCCCCTGTTGTAACACTGCTGACCGTTTGCGTGATAGATGAGGATGCCGAATCGGTTGTCGCGGTCGCTGCTGCTGCCGCACGCGAGCCCGGCACAAGATCAGATGGACCATTCCCTATGCCTGCGAGAGCGAGTTCAGTCATAGCACCGCCCGCAATCCAGCGGCCTCATCTCACCTCTCGTCGCACTTTGCACGGTCGACGGATTCACCGATGGCGTGACGGAGATGAAGGCATACTGCTTGGGGTCGGCAAGACTGAAGAATTCCGTGCCGGCGGTGGTACAGCAGTCCCATGAGCCTTGTGACGAACGCTCAGCAAGTTGGAGCGTGGCAGAGAGATGGACGAGGACTCACGATTGCCATCACAACACCACTCCCCACTCGGACACCAGAGCAGGGCTTGGTTGCCACTAGATGAGAGTCGTCAGTGGTGGACTCGCATGCAGCCAGAACGCACACGATCAAACGAACCCCTCGCTCATGCCGGCTGTGCAGATGCGCGGGCAAGAAAGCGACGGCCACGACGCATCAACACAGCTGTGCCGCTCGTAATAATCCTCGTTGGCGAGATAGCAGAGCCCGTCGGTCATGCATTCCCAGTTCAGTGGGCAGCAGATACCCGCACCGCTGTCCCCACATGGCACGTCTTCTAAGGAGATGTCGCCGTTCGGGTAGTAGCATGCTTGCGTTGCGGCCGCGAAGAAGTTGCCGCAGAGCAGAGAGGCTATAAGAAGGCAGTGTGCGAGTAGGGTGGCCATTGTTACAGCGACAGGAAGACGTCTGGTGGGAGCATCGATGTTGGTTCATCGGCTGAGGGCCAAGTGTTGGAGGAAGTGGTGGCACTGAATGTGAGTGGGCGAGTGAGAGAGGGACGTGAATGAAGAAAGATGACATCAAACGCAGGCCGAGTCAAGTTCGTGCATCTGATTCCGTCCATCAAGAGCCTGGTCGATGCGCATAAACTGCACAGCCTTTCTCGTACAACCACCCTGTCATAACCAATGTAGCACAACGCACTGACGATCTACACTCGATGAACTAAGACTTCCTTATAGACACCATGTCATAACAAGTCTACATGACCATGGCAAAACAATCAGGCTCGCCAACGCTTACTGTACTCTCACTCGGACTGCAAAGGATATCCCGGGGCTGCAGCGAGTCGAGGGAACATGGGAATCCAGCCGCCCTCAGCGTGCCGCCGGGTGGCGACATCTCTCGGATGTTTGCACGGTCTCAACATTCAGGAACGACGACGACCTACCAAACACCAACTGTACTACGTTTTGACACACCACCGAGATGCGGTGCGGTTCAACACGACCCCTTCCAAATCCTACAGCCTAGTCACGTGACTTTGGCCACCTTACAGCTCCGTCATTTACGATCATTACAACATGGACAAAAAGCAGCCGAGAGGACAGGAAAGAGAGTCAGGATTAGCATTAGCGATTGCTTGGTATACGAGATATAGGCCTTGGAAGAAGAACTCTAGCCGAAGGCTTATGTACAGGGGGGGAAAAGCAACTCTCCAAGAAAGGGAACCGGCAGACCATAGAAAAACAAGACACGACTGTTGCCCTCCAACGCGCACGCAGACGGTTTCGATCGAACCGTCTCGGTTGGGTATTTCCATTCCCGTTTTTCTCCGTCTCTTTCACAGTTCCTCCTCTTCCAATTCCGCCCCGACTGTAGCGATTAAAACACAATACGAGAATAGTGGTCGATGCATGCGCGATAAGCTGCACCGCTTGGATGGATGCGACAAGACAGAGCGTCTAGTCGTCCTCCTCCTCCTCCGCCGCCTTCTGGCTGATGACCCATCTCGGCTCGCCGTGCTCGTCCTTCTCGTGCTTGAGCGCGAGCTTGCTGAGGTGGCCGATGATGTTCTCCATCTGGGTGTCGTGGACGCTGCGGTTCTTGCGGCCGAGGTCGCTGAGCCATGGGATCTTGTTGAGCAACCAGTAGGTGATGGCGAGGATGATGATGACACCGATCGAGTAGGCCCAGATGACCACAGCGGTGACCACGTCGGTGCGACCGGATTGATGCTGCTTGTACCAGTACTGCGAGAGCGGGTCGGGAAGAGGCTCCTGGTGGATACCTCCCGAGAGCCAGCCGAAGATACAGAAGAGCGTGGCCACGGCGTCGACACCGCCAATGGCGCCAACCAGCTGGAAGGACGGGAAGGTCCTGGCACCACGGGTGACGAAGATGAGCCAGTTCTCGGTGAGGGCGACTTCAAGGAAGAGGACTTCTTGGATGTTGCCGAAGTTCTGGATGATACCGCCGTTGGGAATGTACATGGAGCCGAGGACGACCCATGTGAAGAGGGCGAGTTCGACACCGAGGATGACGGAGATGATCCAGATCTTGGGAAGCTGCCACTCCACCGGGCGCTGTTCGGAGTGAGCGTTGTCGTAGGCAACCGCGACGGTGGCCAAATCGGCGAACAAGGCGATGAACACAATCAGATCCGAACGGATGGTGAGGTTCAGGATGATCATGGAGGTGGTCAAGAAGATTTCGAGATGGAGACAGAGGGCAATGCGGTACTGGATGTAGGCCTGGGAGGGAGGGAGGGTCAGTAAATACCGTCAGAAGCGAGCACGCAATGTTTAAAACACACCTTCATGCGCTGGAAAATTTGACGAGCGGTCTTGATGGCCAAGACGATGGTGGAGAGACCGGGGGCGAGGAAGACGATATCGGCAGCGGCCTGGGCGGCTTCGGAAGCACCCTCGACAGCGATACCACAGTCAGCCTTCTTGAGCGAGGGAGCGTCGTTGACACCTGTAGCGCGGTCAGCGGAGGTCGCAGAATTAGTGTGGGGACAGGATGTAGCATACCATCACCAGTCATGGCAGTCAAGTGACCACGCTGTTGCAGCATCTCGACGACCTGGTACTTGTGCTCGGGGAACACCTCGGCGAAACCATCGGCACGCTCGACAAGATCGTGCTGAGTGGAGCCGGAGAGACCACCGTGAATGAGTTTCTGCGAGTTGTAGACCTTGGTTCCGAGAGCCAACATCTTGCAAGTCTCCTTGGCGATGGCAATGGCATCTCCCGTAAGCATCTTCACGGGCACACCGAGTTGCTGGGCCTCGACGATGGTCTGCGCGGTATCCTCACGAGGAGGATCGAACATGGAAAGCATACCGAGGAGAACCCAGTTCTCATCGTTCTTCTGGTAGGCGACACCGAGCGAGCGGAAACCGCGGCGAGCAAACTCCGAAGCCTTCTCCTTGAACAGATCGGCCGTCTCCTTGGAGCAGTTGGTCAAGTTGAGGATGGCCTTGGGCGCACCCTTGGCGCAAGTGAAGCGGTCGCCACGCAGCGTGCAAATGGTCGTGATACGCTTGGAGACGGGGTCAAAGGGGATGAATTTCTCCGTCTTCCAGTCGTCCTTGAGGATATCACGGGCCTTGGGGTAGCGCTTCAGCGTGAGGATGGTGACCTTGTCGATGGGGTCCAGAGACTTGATGTTGTGAGAAGAGGCGAGAGCGGCACAAGCCATCATCCAGTTGACATCTTCGCCTTCCGCAACGTATGGCTCGCGGATGGAGAGCTGGTTGGCAGTGAGCGTTCCGGTCTTGTCCGAGCACAGAATGTCGACACCAGCGAGGGACTCGATGGCGGTCAGCTTCTGGACGATGGCCTGTTGCTTGGCGAGGTACGCGGCACCGACAGCCAGGGTGGTGGTGGTGACGACAGGAAGACCGACGGGGACACCGATGATGAAGAGGATCAGGACGTAGCGGAGCAGGGTGTTGTCCGCAAAGGTCGGGGTGGCGATGTGCAAGTGACGGAAGAAGCCTCCGATCCAGGCGAGCAGGATCCAGAACATGACGAGCACGAGGAGAGAGGTACCGATGTTGTTCATGATGGCCTTGAAATGTCCCTGATCCTTGGCGCCCTGCACGAGAGAGGCGGTGCGACCGACGAACGAGTGTTTGGCAGAGTGGGTGACGACGGCGTAGGCCTTGCCACGCTTGCAGCCGGTGGTGTAGTAGACGGTATCGCCCATGAACTTGTCGACGGCGAGAGACTCACCCGTGATGGCGGACTGATCGGCGGCGACAATGGAGTGACCCTGGTGCTGGATACCCTCACCCTCACCATCCTCACCCTCCTGGTCTTCCGACCCGGCGGGATCCTCTTCGGGGTTGAGGGCATGTTGCTCGCGAAGCTCCTTGTACTTCTCGAAGTCTTCGGGGTGGTCGTAGTCACAGATCAGACGGGCGTCAGCCGGGATGGAAGCACCTTCTTCGACGACGACGATATCGCCGGGAACCAACTCGCGGGCCTTGATGTCTTGTTCTTGTCCTTGACGGATAACGACGGCCTTCATGGCGATGTCACCCTTGAGGGCGGCGACGACGTCGGCGGCCTGTTTTTCCTGATACCAACCGACGGCGGCATTGAGGAGCAGAATGGCGATGATGACACCCAAATCGATGAAATCTTGAAGACCAGCGGCGATGATGACCGCAAGTTCCATGACTGCGAAAAAGGCATGATTGTCAGCTCGTTGTTCTGCATTGTGTTTTGCCCCACGCGTGGCAGCTCCGGCTGCAGGTCGTGGTGGAGCTCAAGCTGCAGGATCGGCGCCAAGCCTTTTTGCGCCCGCACATAGCTCCGGCTTTCGCCCAAAGCGGCGGCAGGTGAAAAGCAATAACAATGGCTTCGTAAAGCCATTGCTGCCGCAATACCGCGCAGGGAAGCATCGGATGCACGCGGGAAGCTGTAGGGGAACTCACCGTAGAGGATAGGACCGGTGAAAAACATCAAGAACTTGATGAACAAGTTCTCCTTCTCGGTGGTGATCTCGTTGTAGCCAAAGCGGGTTCGGCGGGATTCGACATCCTGGTTGCTGATGCCCTGCTTGATGTCTGCCTCTAGCCACTCCTCGGGCACGACGGCCTCGTCGGCATCGGCGGACTTGTCCTTCTTGACCCAGAACTGCAGATGTCATGTCAGTGAGGGTGGCGACGCGTGATGCGTGCGGCGGGCGGGCGACATACCTTCCATGCCGGCACCTTCTTGTTCTTCTTCTTCTCGGCTTCATCGGCGAAGCCCTCGGCCTTGATGGCGTTGGGGTCCCGGTATGTAGAAATGTACTTCTGCAATGCAGTGTACTCATCTGTCATTTTCCGCGTCAATAACGTCTAACTGCATGCATGTGGGATGTTGTGGGTGGCGGGCATACCGAGATCCTCGATGTTGCCCGGGGCCTGGGACCACTTGCGCGACTTCGATCTGTCCTGCCGTCAGTATCGGGGTGTGCCTGCCCGCGGGAGGGCGAAGGGCGACGGTCGGTCGGCAGCACTCACCTCTCCGCATTGTCACCATTCTCTTCGGTCTTCTCGCCGAAGCTCACGCGCGGCGCCTGCGACATGGTGGCGGCGATACTCTGACAGTCGAGTAAATCGCGTGGACAGATGTCGGAGGGGAGGGGGGAGGGGAGAGTTGACACGACGGTGCTACGAGAGGAGAGAGAAGAGGTTTTGGTGGAGGGCGCGCGGAAGAGCTGGCTAAAAAGGAAGCCCGAGCGCTGAACGGGCCAAACCGTGCGAGCGAGCGAAAGAGAGGAGTGGGCGAGCGAGCGAGCTAGCTTCGTCAGCGGCGACGGTGGGTCGGCGGTTTACCCTTTCCTTTCCGGCGGCAGTCGTGGCCCGTCACGCAAACTGCGGTTATCAAAGCAGCCTCACCCAGCACCACGCAGCTTTTCGGGCGGGCCAGTCGCCTTCTGCTCCCGCAAACTCTTGGTGAGCGATTTTCAGAGCCCTCCGAGCGCGCCGAAATCCAATGCCCGCGCAGAAGCTACCTTCACATGTGGAGCTCGACGGACCGAATGCAGGCGAATGGCAGCGTCACTTTTTGCCGACGACTCCGCCGCGCATCGCGCTACGCTCGCTTTGGAAAGTCTAACGGGCTTATCTCGTGACCCGGGCCAATGGGAAGCGCGCGAATCCCGCACAGCACGAAGCTTAATAGAGCTGTAGCCGGCGCAGGGGCCACTCTACATACACGGTCGGGGGAGCTCAGCAGAATGGATGACGGAGGTGGAGCAGGCGGCGTGGCCGCCGTGGCCGGCCATCCAACCTGTGCGCTCGCCATAGCCTGGGCGACGTCTTGCCACGAGCATGGCAAAGATGGAGCGACAAGCCCGCGGATTCGCAGCGGAAGGTTGGCGGCTCTCGCGCACAATCTGGGCAATTCAGGCGGAATTGGGCCTGGGCTGTCAGTTGTTATTGTTGTGATGATGACAGGCGCGCACGCTCCATTTCGTTTGACAACCGTTCGGCGCCACCTTTGGGTCTGAGCGGAAATTGTAATCCCACCTAACCAATCCAACATCTGACGTGCCCATTCGATGCCGCGATCTCACGGCGCAGGATAATATGACCGCTCGAAACAACAAACCCAGCCCACTCCTATCCTTGCCGACAACGTCACGCGTCCGCCGGTGAAAGGATCGATTCATCGAAAGTGTAAACGCAGTGCAATAGACAGTACATACCGTGTAATGTCTATGCTGCTTCAACCCCACGTACACAAGCTGTCCCGCTCCTTTGCCACAACCTTTCGAGGTGGCTCGCCTCACCATCACTCAAGAACACACACCATCTGACTAAATGCCGCTGAGTCGGGCGCGTCGTATTACGCATCCGAGCCTCCCGTGCGCTGATGGCGGGCATCCGATCGGACTTGACCGGCTGCGTCCAAAAAATCACCGAGCCGCTACCTCCCGCCAGATCCGCGTTGGCCGTGAAAATTCAATCTCGCGCGGCTCGCGTGCGCATGTCGGTGTCGTGGCATACGTGGAGCCTGACCCGCGGAACCTAGCCTCAAAAGGCTGCGGGATCGGATGGGATCTATAATAAAATTTGGTGTTGTTGCGCTTGACAAAGGCAAATCCGACATGCCCGTGAGGATCAATAAAGATCGGCCTGGCGTGCCTGGATGCCTGAGGGAAGAAATGCTGCCTCAGTGGAGAGCCTCACCTATCCCCACCACCTCACTTCATCCGATGGCAGGTGTGGTTTTGAGCATAACGTGTCGCTGTGCCATTTCATCAGCAAGATGAATGTCATGTATACCTGCAGCATCGCACCTTCTCTCCGAAAGGGAGGACTCCATGACAACTTCAATTACATTCCACCAATGTCAGGTAGGTCCAGCACTCTTCCTGCCCATGTACATTCCAGCATCTTCTCCCGAGCATTCCCCTCGCGCAGTCGTATCCATGGATGGGGATGTCGTCGACCACTGAACCCAACCTTGACCATCCATACACTTCACCTCCCTCATCTTCATCTTCTTCTGCATCACGCTCCGCCGCATCTTCCCCAACATCCGCAGAGCTCCGGTCAGCCCATTGGCGGCTAGTCCCCAGCCGAAGCCTATGCGAAACCCTCAAAGACATTCTCTTGAAAGATTGGCAGGGCACGCACCGACATGTGCAACTGAATTATCCCCGGCAACTCCGCCCCCCTCGGCCGTCCGCCATGCGGATGAAAGACTCCGAAGACTACATCACTGCCCGAGCCGCAAATCCAAGGACGGGTTTGATTTCTCCCAGCGTCGGCCCACCTAGTCCTCCGCCGTGGCATACGCCGGACAAACCAGGTGAGGCATTGAGCATCGTGGAAGGCAAAGGCCCGTTATCCCCAACGCCACGCGACAGAACCCGCCCGGTTCTACGGAGGGCGAATGATGGTCGCAAAGTCTGTCCCAGGAAGACCCGCGACTGGCGGGCAAATGAGGACGGGTGGATCATCGAGAACGGGGTCACCGTTGCGTCTCCAAGGCTGACGCGAATTCGAGCCGATGCTGTCACCGCGAGAGGCCCGTCTATGGTGAGCGAAGATCAATTCGTGGTTCACATGCCGTCTGCACAGGAGCCGCAGCCTTATGCTTATCCGGGCTACTCTTCGCGCCAGATTGAGGCATTCGAACACTACAGGCGCAAGACTCGGAGCGTGTCGGGCGAAGGGTACAATAAGAGACTACCGCATGCCGCACCAGTTCAGGCTACAGCTGGAGCGCAATATCGCTGTGCTGGCGGTGAGCTAGACACTGCCTCCAACGGAGATGCACTCAACGCGACTGGTCTCGATAACTACCACCTGACTCGACGAGTCGCGACGAACCCTAGCTCGCATCCGCAGTCGCTCCACGCAGACAGCAGCGCCGCCTATTTCGCACCCTTCTCGTCCCCTCGCACACCCGCAATTACCGCAACAAAGGTTCAGAAGCACATGATCGCCATGAAGCCTACATCTCCAAAAGGCATTCCCAACGTCCGGCGAAAGCCAACTCCCACCGACAGCTTGCTCGACCACAGCCTCCCCTACGCTCATGCTCCGGACCCCGAACATTCCCACCGAAGTGGACGCGTTGCTCGTCTTCCTCATACAGCACGCACCAGTATGCCACATGACGAACACCAGGAAGTCATGCCATCAGTCGGCAGAATTCGAACGTGCTCTCTCAACTGCCACACAGACGGAGGCAGATGTCTAGACCGCAGGACAGCCTCGAACAGCTCTACACTCTTTGGACCCCATCAAACACCTCCCGGAATCAAGGCTGTCCCCACTCCCCATATCGCCAATAAGCAACAACAAGAAGACAGTCAGCTCCTGTCGCACTTGTTCGAAATCCTCATCACCGCTGTCCTCGCGGCCGCTACAGCGTGCAAGCACATTCGCCTCCCAACCCTGCCACGACCAGGAGCTCTGGAAGCGTTGTATTCAGATGAGACGTCACCTCAGCAAAAAGCACGCGCACTGAAGGCGCTCTTGTCGCTTTCTGGACAGGTGGTGATGTTACTAAGCGTCGCCGCTGCTTTGTGGCAAATTGGCAATGTGGTGCTGCGGCTAATCGAGGTGGTGTTTTGGCCATTTCTGTTGCCGCTCAGGTTGATGAGATGGTGTGTTGGTACATGACGAGGCTTTGGCGGGTTCTTTCAAGATACGTTCCTAAGCATCAAGATGTGGTTCGAAGAGCGTGTTCCCGCAAACTCGATTCAATTTCTATCTCGTTATATCATACCCAGAGAGCAAGGTCCTTGACTGGCCCTCTCACAAACGCCAACGCTGAAACGCTCTCGGTCACGATGACACCCGTAGCACTCATAAATCAACGCCCGCCTCTTCCCCACCCGATAGCTTTCATCCTCCCCTCAATGGCGCTCCACACATCCTCGACCACCTCCCTATCCCTCCACCTCTGTGAGCCCTTGTCAATCTGCACAGTCAGCACGCCACGGCCCCACCCTTTCACAGTGTCCGGCACCACTTCTCCTCTCCACCCAACGTATACGCCTAGAGCATTCGCAAAGAGCTCCGCGGGGTTCTGCCACTTGTAATTCTTGAATTGCCACGTCTGCCCGGTTGTGAAAACCGCTACAACACGCGACCAGTAGTCCGGGCGAAAGTTGTCCGGGCTGTCGACGAGGATGAAGCGCAGCGAATGCGAGGAGATGGAAGGGATGTTGCGGGAGATGTGGAGGATGTTGGAGGCCGAGCCGGATTCCGGGGGGGTGTAGACACCGTCGACGAGGAAGGATTTGATGTTCGACATGGTGAGCAGGGAGGAGGCCGAGGGAGAGAGCAGGATGATGGGTTCGAGACGCCGGCCAGGCTGTGCTGCTTTGACCGGGGGACGCAACGCGGGATTGTTGCTGAGGGCGGGTGCGGGCTGAGGCTGCTGCTGGGCCGCCCTTGATTTGCCCAGGAAGAGTGGAGTGTACTTTCTCACGCCGCTGAAGTCTTGCACGCGCACGCCGCGCAGGAGGGTGTTGCGGTCGCCCATCTTGCGCTCGGCCGCGTAGATCTCTCGCAGTCTCTCCTCTTCCCTCTTCCGCGCCGCGGCGTCGGTGAGGCCAGCATCTCGCATCTCAACATCCTCGCCTCCTCGTGCCGCATCAGCAGCATCATTCGCCTCCTTGCGCACTTGCTTGTTATCGTCCAGGCTGCGGATGTACTCGCTCCCTTCCTCTGCAACATCGCCTTGAAGCCATGATATGAGATCGAACTTCTCGGTGAAGACCAGATTGGTAACGGTCTCTTCCTTGCCCGCCGCTTTTAAATCTTCGTTCAGCGTGGTGACGGCATTGATGTATTCCCCAACGCCCGTGTCCTTGTGTAGCCACCCAAAGTATACGGAGCGCAGATCGATGGCTTTCTGCTGTGCCTCGGAGACAAACCGCGTTGGTTGGCTGAAAGGAATTGCGATGTGTTCCGCGCCATCCTCGGCCGTCTGAGTGTTGAAGATAAGGTATGCGGCCTCGGCGAGGGGGACATCGGTGTCTGCAGGGCTGGTTGCGTCTTGGGATTTGGACGGGATGGGGGAGGTCGAGGAGGCAATGTGTTTGCGCAGTAAGGTGAGCGAGTCGGGCGGAAGACCTTCGACGGTCGCCATGATTTAAAGACGCCGGTGTAGAGGCTATTCTTTGTGAACAGACGTGCTTGAACAGCGATTTGACACGGCTGTGAAGCCAGACAAATTCATTGCTAGGTCGTGAAGTTCACACGTGTCAGAAGTCGAGATATCGCTGAGACTTTTGGCACAGCCAGCATCGTCAGGTTGACCGGCGAGGACGAGAACTCATGTGCTGAGCCCGCCTGCGATTGCAGCGTGGACGAGGACAATTTGCCGTCTTGAAAACTCGATGGTGTTCCCTCACTGCTCTTTTCAGGACTATAGTCCTCGTCATGCATGGTAGCCACCGCAGTGTCGAGCTCTTCCGATGCTCTCTAGTCTGACTTTGAAAACACATTCTTTTTGTTCATGCTACAGCTGGAAGCCTGGACTGACTCTAGGACTGTAGTGCGAACAGAACTGCAACGCCGATGCTGATACTTATGCTCGATGGTCGGCCAGTGCTAGGCGCTTGCGCGGCAACCGGTGATGGCAATGGCCGGCAGCCTCAATGTGAGTACGGCTGAACGGAAAAGAGGCTCTTTCATACCACCAATGTCTACTTGAACCGGCAGACGAGGGGCGTAGTGCTTGAGATCGCTGCACTTCCAAAACACGGCAGTTATTGTTGAGCTCCTTGATTGGCCGCCTTGAGACTTGGTCTCACGCAGCCCCGCGTTCTCCCCACGCCTCCGAGCTCAGTAACGAGTCCAGATATATCTCAGGCTAACAAGTAGGCCACGCACTCGAGACGTATCTTACCGTTGTTTGCGTCGTTACTCTTGCTCCAGACTCGGTACCTACTGCTCGTATCCAGTCATCTTTCGCGCGACTCGAGAGAACATGAAGCAACCCGATGGTCTGCAAGGTGAGAATGGCATTGGCCCAAGTTCGGAGGCCTTCCGCGCTCCGGAGGGAGGAGGCATCAACGCACGCCCATTGACTCTTCCACCAAACACGACGTTGGCAAAGTTCGGAGAGTACATCGCAAGGGTTGCGGACATTGTCGGTCAAGAAAATGTAACGGTAATCAGCAGCGATGCCGAACTCCAGCATGACGATTATCTCGATCCGAGCAAGGCTCACGATGTGCGTTATTAGAGCAGTGCTGAGCTTGGGTTGAACTCGTTCGTCGTATTGACAACCTTCAGATGTTCCACATCACGCCCAAGGAGTACTTCGTCAGCTCGGCTGTGGTGGCTCCGCGCAATGTTCCAGATGTACAAGGCATCATCCGCCTGTGCAATGAATTCGAAATCCCCATTTGGCCATTTAGCATTGGCCGCAACGTTGGATATGGCGGCAGTGCGCCTCGCGTGCCGGGTAGCATCGGTCTGGACATGGGCAGAAACATGGGGAAAGTATTGGAGGTGAACACTGAAGGCGCGTTCGCCGTTGTCGAGCCCGGCGTGACTTTCATGTATGCCACAGCGCGCGTCGCTGGCGGGCATTGGCGACTGACATCGAGACAGGGATCTTCACAACTATCTCGTGGAGCGAAATCTTAGGGATCAGCTGTGGATAGACACTCCGGATCTCGGAGGTGGATCCATCATTGGAAACACTATCGAGCGAGGCGTTGGTTGGTGATCATCGGGAGGTATCTGCGGTCATTGTTGACATCTTCCTTCTAGGATACACACCGTACGGAGATCATTGGATGATGCAGTCAGTATCACACGTCGCCACAATCTGGCAGGGACTTACTGCAATACAGCTGCGGCATGGAGGTCGTACTCCCAGATGGAACTCTCTGGCGCAGCGGCATGGGTGGTCTTCCCAACCCCAAGGCCAATCCGAAAGATCCACCTCACGAACAGCCGTGGAATGAGACGTTTGGGCTCTTCAACTACGGCTTCGGCCCATACAACGACGGCATCTTCACCCAGGCTTCTCTGGGTATTGTAGTGAAGATGGGCCTCTGGCTAATGGTGAACCCCGGCGGCTATCAGAGTGTATGCCGTCCATACGACTTGCGATCGTTTCATCCACTTGACACTGACTGGCACTAGTACATGATCACGTTTTCCAAAGACAAAGATCTGCATCAGATCCTTGAGATCATCAGACCATTGCGCGTGAGCATGGTTTTGCAGAACGTTCCAACACTACGACATATTCTTCTCGATGCTGCTGTCATGGTGATCTCGATCCTCTCATCGTGTTGCATCTTGTGTCGAAAAGCTGACAGGCATGCCAGGGGAACAAAAAAGATTACTCCAGCTCCGATAAGCCGCTGACCGACGAAGAATTGGACGCCATCGCGGCAAAACTGAACATTGGCCGCTGGAACTTCTACGGAGCCGTTTACGGACCTAAGCCAGTGCGTGATGTTCTGCTGAGCGTCATCAAACAATCATTCCTGCAAGTGCCGGGATCGAAGTATTACGAACCGAATGACATGCCCGACAACCTGGTCCTGCAAGTCCGCGACGGTACGCTGCAGGGAATCCCGACGACGACGGAGCTCAACTGGGTTTCCTGGCTGCCGAATGGGGCACATCTCTTCTTCAGCCCAATCTCGAAAGTGTCTGGAGATGATGGCGTTGCTCAGTATGAGCTCTCCCGAAAGCGATGCGAAGAAGCCGGCCTTGACTTTATTGGCACCTTTGTTGTCGGAATGCGCGAAATGCACCATATCGTAGGGACTCTGCCAATCGACGCCTGGCGTGCGCACTGCTAACGTCTCCATGCGATAGGTTTGCATTGTCTTCAATCGCAAAGATCCCGAGAGTCGACGGAAAGCTCACTGGGTCATCACAACCTTGATCGCCGACGCGGCCGAACGAGGCTGGGGCGAGTACCGCACGCACCTGGCTGTGATGGATCAAATTGCAAATACGTACAGTTTCAACGATAACGCGCAGATGCGACTGAACGAGAAGATCAAGAATGCCTTGGATCCAAAGGGCATCATCAGCCCTGGCAAGAATGGGGTCTGGCCTAAGCAGTACAATGCTGAGGACTATAAGGTGCCGATGCACTGAGGCGGCAAGGCTATTGAGTTAGAGGATGTGACCGTAGCACGAATGTACGGCGTCGCTTGTGATTGATACGCCTTTGGCATTGCACGATTGTCCGTTCCATACACTCTTTTACTCTCGAGACGTATGAAATATAGCCGTTAGTGGGTGTGGTTGTCCTCAACACATGATCGGCGAATGACGCCACTCCAGCCTCCGAATCCCAGCCCAAAGGCGTATGAAATGACTTCAATTCATATCTGATCCACCTTCACGCCAATCTGACACGCCACCCGCATATTCGGTCGAAGAACAATGCCCGAGTCGACCGACATGAAATCCGCCGCCGCACTCTTCTTCAGCAGCTCGCGCTTCGCCGTGGCCGGCGCCTCCTCCCAACGCCACAAGTTCGGGCACAAGATTTTCGCCTGGTATCTCAACCACGACCTCCCCGCTGAGCCGCTGAATCCCACCTGTTCGACCGTCACGGTGCGCGGGAAGGAATACGCGACAGTCAAGTCGCCGTCACAGCTGTCCGATCCCAAGAATACTGGACTATCGGTTATCACGCCGCCGCCGGTGACGGAGAAGATTTTGAAGGAGGCAAAGGAGGCTGGCGTCAAGGCTGTGTGGCTTCAGCCGGGCAGTTTTACGGAGGAATTGCTGGAAGCGGCTATGAAGGATTTCCCGGGTGCGGCGGTAGGGGGTTTTGCAGATGGCACTGTGGGTGGAGAGGGTTGGTGTGTGCTTGTTGATGGGGAGAATGCTATGCGGGCTGCTGGGAGGCAGGAGCGGCTTTGAGAGCGGACGGATTAAACGAGGAGAATGTTCAGAAAGAGAGGGCTTACATGTAGACTCGGTCGGGTTTCATGGTGACATTCTTCTGGACACTGGAGGAGGACTGTTACGGGCGACTTGAGGGGATGACATGGCTTTCGATACAAGACTGGATGCACGACCATGAATTTCCCCGTGGACGATAACGCCGATATGGGCCATTGTGCTCTACGACAAGATCGTTATGCTCCAAGACGGTTCGCATGATACACCTCCGCCGCACGCTGCATGATCCGCTTGACTTGCTCGGCCGGCAACTTCTCCTTCCGATCAAACGTGAACAGGCCGTTTTGCTCCTGCTCGATATCCGTGCTAGACAGCAAGTCAGAGGTTTACCGCGTCAATCAAATCGAGAGACAGCTTTCGAACTTACAACTGCGTCCACACCACTCCACAGATATGCCCCTTCTCCACCGTTGCCATTACAATTCGCTCTACCCGCGCTAGAAGATCTTGCGAGTCCTTCGCTGTGGTGTAGCCCCAGTTCTTCTTTTGTGAAGAATCTGCGTTGCCCGCGATATTGACGCCCCCAAATTCGGTGCAGAGTATAGGGGCTCCGCGAAGATGGCGCGAACCGGCATCGTACGCTCCGCCCGGCCCGTGGATGTCGTTGAGAAACATCGCTCTGCCTGTGTTATGGACGATAGACTGCACGGAAGCACATCTCTTGGCCATTCCCGGAGCATCTGCGTAGTCGTGGAATGTGGAAAGATCCGTGATAACATGTTCCCAACCACAGTTGTCATTAATGGGTCTCGTAGGATCCAGCGTTCTCGTCATGTAGTAGAGGGATCGAAGGTGGTCTCGCTGTCGAGTGTCCTTTTGCAAATCGGGGTATCCCCAACTCTCGTTGGCTGGCGTCCAAGCCACCACACACGGATGGTTGATGTCGCGACGCACCATTTCCACCCACTCTTGGTCGAAGCGATCTGTGTACTCAAGGCTGAAATCAAACGCCGATGCCATCTCTCCCCACACCAGAAAGCCCAGCCGGTCTGCCCAGTACAAGAAGGCTGGGTCTTCGACTTTCTGGTGCTTTCGGCAGCCATTGAAGCCTAGACTCTTGCTCAGTTCGATGTCACGTTTGAGTGCGTGCTCATTCGGCGGGGTCATGATGGTGTCTGGCCAGTAGCCTTGATCGAGGAGTAGCGCTTGGAAGTACGGTTGACCGTTGAGTCTGAATGTCCCGTCTCCAGTCGTCCAATTGATCGATCGCATGCCTGTAATAGTCCACACCTCATCGATGACGGTGCCGGACGAATCATACAGACGAACGGTCAAGTTGTAGAGTAGAGGGTATTCCGGGGACCATAAGCCCAGTCCGTCTCGCCAGCAGCTCTGGTCGTGCAACGGAGCTTGCTGCAACAATGCTGCGGGAAGGGTGTGTAACTGTTGTTGAGATAGTCGCATGTTCAAGCTGACATCGATAGAATCCTTATCCTTCGGAACGCGTTGTAGTCCAGACTTGCTAACGTGGACTCCAGCAAGACTAGCCTCGACTTCAATATAATAGTCATGCCGAGCCTTGCGTCCGACGAGAGCAATGTGAGAATTGACACGACCGGCTTCGATATCATCTGAGCGAATGACTGTTCCATGAGAGCTATCCGCGATCCTTGCAGGCGGCCCTAGCTCCATCCACACGTTTTGCCAGATGCCGCTCGATGGTGTGTAGTAGATGGATTTGGACTCCGCTTCCCAGAATTGCTTGCCTCGTGGCTGCGTCAGATCCGTGGCCGAGTCGAACACCCGGATTGTCACGCGGGAGGTCTGTTCTGTTGATGCTCCATGGGCCAAGAAGTCGGTGATGTCGAATTGAAAGGGAACATGGCCGCCACGATGCTCGCCGACATGCTTGCCGTCAACCCAGACGGTGGCGTGATAGTCTACTGCTCCGAAGCGTAACAGCACTCGCTGATCTCTGCTCCTTTCCTCGTTCGTCCGAAAGTCGTGGAGAGAGCGTTCGTACCAAAGCACTTCGTGATCGCTTCGTTCATGGATGCCAGATGCTTTGGACTGAAAGACGAAGGGGACTTGGATCGTGCGAAGAGAAATATTGGCTGGCGCACAGTCTGCTAGCTTGTGTCCTTGCCAGCGTCGCGCCAGTCCGACGTCGTCGTCGTCAAACAAGAAGTCCCATGGCCCGTTAAGGCTTTGCCAACGGAGGGACGCTCTCACGAAGTCAGGTCTCGGATACTCGGCTTCAGACATGACGAGTCGTCGGTCCACCTCATCGTCTTTCCAGTAATCGTCCGAAGTGGGCCGAGTAAGAAGGACAAGGATGTCAGGCCGTGTAATGTTACTAGCGTGAGGAGGTGAGGTTGCACCAAGAGGCCCACTCGGGTGGTTGGCGATCGCGAGGTGTTGGCTGTCGATTCACGCTGCGACTTCGGCGTCGACTTCTCAAACCTTGTCGTCTTCTCCTGCAGCAACTCATCGGCTCCGCTCGACTCTAACTAAACATGGCAAGCACGAACAGCACGACACCGGCGTGGAAGAAGAAGGCGGCGAGCAAACGGGTCGCTCAATTTGATTCCATCCCGAAAGAATGGCGACTCTCCGATCCCAAGCCGCAACCCAAGAACACCTACGACTTCCTCCAAACCTCGGGCCTACTCACTTCCAGCGAGCTGCGCATCACCGAAATTATCGATGCCAAAGCACTCCTCGCGCAGATTGCCAATGGAGAACTATCCGCTGTGGCCGTCACCACGGCCTTCTCGAAGCGCGCGGCCATTGCTCAACAGCTGATCGGCTGTTGCACCGAGATGTTCTTCGCCGAGGCCATTGAGACTGCTGCCAGACTGGACGAGTATCTCAAGAAGAATGGCAAGACCGTCGGGCCTTTGCATGGTCTGCCGGTGTCCGTCAAGGACGTCTTCAGCGTCACTGGCCAGGATACTACTGTTGGTATGTTGTATGCCCGACGGAGTAAACCATTCGAGTGTTCACTGACCGGTACCTGGAAGGATGGACTTGCGGCATAGGCCAGCCGGCAAAAGCAGACGATGTCCTTGTCTCTACGCTCCGAAAACAGGGCGCCGTGCTATACGTAAAAACCAACATCCCGCAATCTCTCATGGTACATGCTCTAGCCACGCCCGCTCTATCCTCTGCTAACGGCGACTCAAGATGTCCGACTCGTACAACCATGTCTTCAAGCAATCTGTCAACGCCTTCCACCGAGAATTGATCTCGGGCGGTAGCTCGGGTGGTGAAGGCGCCTTGGTCGGCGCGCTGGGCAGCATAGTCGGTATCGGCACGGACATCGGTGGTTCAATACGTATCCCAGCCAATCTGCAGGGACTGTATGGACTGCAGCCGTCAACTCGTCGCATACCGTACGAAAAGTCAGGGTGCGTACTGGACTGTGACTATGAATCTGTGACTTTGACTGCTGATCCTCCCGCAGGTCGAGAGAGTACATCGTACCTGGCGTAGCAGGTCCCATGACGACCACACTGTCTTCTCTAGAGGTCTTCATGGACGGCTTCCTCGCTGGACAGCCGTGGCTCTTCGATCCTGTTCTCACCCCATTGCCGTGGCGAAGCGAGCTGGCGGCACTACCCAAGCGTCCATTGAAGATTGGCTACTATCTAGACGATGGCCATGTGCGGGTACAACCGCCGTGCGAAGCTGCCGTGAACAAGGCACTTTCAGCGCTCCGAGAGGCAGGGCATTATGGTATGCGATATCCGGCAGTACCGCTATGTCACGGCTAACAACACCGCAGTCTTCCATTGGGAGCCCAGCGAACACGAATACGCCTGCAAACTGTGGGAGAAGGCGGTGATGGCCGACGGCGGGAAGCGATGTCAGCTTCTGTGTGAGAAGGAAGGCGAACCACTGATACAGGGCATGGTGGTGGGCACCGAGAAAGACAGACTGGATGTTGACGAGGGCAACGCAGTATGTGAAACCTCGTCAATCATGAGGAGCGATCACGTCTGACTCAAGATGCAGGTGGCCCAAGAGATCCGCGATTACCAGAAGCGATATCTCCAGAAATGGCACGATGCCGGTCTGGATGCGTTGATCATGCCTGTCCAGCCGTGGGTGGGATTCAAGCCCAAGACATGGGTGAAGTCGAGTCAATGGGTTGGCTACTCTTCCCACTGGAACCTGCTGGATTGGGCCGTACTTGCAGCGCCTATTGGAGTCGCGGAGCCCGAGAAGATCGATGTCAACGCGAAACCAGGCGATGGCAGGGACGCGTGGGCCCAGCATAAGCCGCGGAACGAGAGTGATAGGTTCAATTGGGAGCAGTGTAAGTGGCGAGTTGGTCTGTGGGGGTGCAATCGGCGGCTAACTGGTTCTACAGACGACCCGTCGTTGGTCGCGGGAATGCCCGTTGGGATTCAAATCGTAGGAGGCAAGTTCGGGGAGGAGAATGCCGTAGCTGTTGCGAAGGCGCTGGAGGCAGCCTTGCGCACGTCGGGGGAGTGAAGCTGAGGCAAGCGGAATCCACCACCACCAAGCCATCAGTGTGACTTCGTCGCAGCTCTGACAAAAAACGGTTCAATCGCCCATACATCCTTATCTACATCCCTCTAGCACTAGTCTTACCACGCAGTCTATACACAGCCTCGCAGGATGTACCTCATTGCATGAAGCCACAAGTCGTGGTCAAAGTTTGTGTCAGAATTCGTGATTCCAACTGCACTCCAAAATTTCCATCCAAGACGAGCGCGGATGTGTCCTACACAACGCCGTGCCGCACAATGAACAACGCCATGTTCGCGGTGAAAGGGTGGTCGGTGGACGCAGGGTCGCTGAAGCCTCAAACCGAGGCTTTCAGGGCCTCCAAATATGCAGACGACGGCTCGAAGAAATACAGTCGCAAGCGGAAGCGTGGAAGCCATGCCCGAGATGCGAAGGAAGATGCGCACGATCGTTCGGCTGAGACAGCGCGATCGGCCGAAGAGCAGAATGGAGTTGATGGACGGCTTCAGGGTCAAAAGACGAAGAAGCAGAGGAAGCAGATGAGTACCGAAGCACAGGTGGATAACACTGCGGATGGACAGTCGAACGTCGTGGGCAAGCCGAGGAGCGAGAAGGGAGAGAGTGAGAAGGGAGAGAAGATCGCGTCCGGGTCAAGAGCAGAGACCCTAGGCATACAAAAACCAAAGAAAAAGAAGAACAAGCTGAAGCATCAGCTCGCAGGTGGAGCTGGTGAGAATGATACGACACATGATGGACAGCAAGCACCGGCGAAAGGCAAAGCCAGCGACAGCTCCAACCCTCCTGGTGCTCCAAATGTAGGCTCTGTAAAGCCACCATCAGCCCTCACGCCCATGCAATCCGCTATGCGCCAGAAGCTCATCTCAGCCCGCTTCCGCCATCTCAACGAGACTCTCTACACCGAGCCATCGGCCAAAGCCGAATCTCTCTTCCAGCAAAACCCCGAGATGTTCCAGGACTATCACGCGGGCTTCCGTCAGCAAGTCTCCGTCTGGCCTGAGAACCCGCTGGACAAGTTCATCATCGCCATCCAACAGCGCGGCAAGATCAGGCCAGTACCACAATCCAAGCCCGGCCGGCGCAACGGACCCACACAATTCAAAAAGCCCTCGAAAGATCCGGCAAATGCACTACCGCGAACAGACGGGATTGCGGTGATTGCTGACTTGGGATGCGGTGATGCGCGACTTGCGTCCACGCTCACTGCGTCGGGAGATACGAAGCGCTTGAATCTTAAACTCCATTCCTTTGACCTGCACGGCACGCCACCTTACGTGACGAAAGCAGACATCGCTCACATACCGCTGAAGGATGGATCTGTTGATGTGGCAATCCTCTGCTTGTCTCTCATGGGCACCAACTGGCTTTCTTTCATTGAAGAAGCGCATCGAATCCTGCATTGGAAAGGCGAGCTATGGGTCGCGGAAATCAAGTCACGCTTCGGCAGGGGCAGCAGAGCAGGCAAACCCGTCGAGCACAGTGTTGGAGGAAAACGAAAGCAAGCCGAAGCACGAAAAGTGCAGGAAATCAAGTCAAAGGAGCAAGAAGAAGCGCATGAGCAAGAGGTGCTGCAGGCGCAAGTCGATGGCGTGACTGTTACGAAGGACGAAACGGATGTGTCGGCCTTTGTGCAGGTGCTGAAGCGCAGAGGCTTCATCGTCAAGCCTCCTCCTGAGACTCACATTGATTTGAACAACAAGATGTTCGTCAAGATGGAGTTCGTCAAGGCCTTGACGCCGGTCAAGGGGAAGGGCAAGCCCGAGGGCAACGACAGAGCCGGTGGTCAAGGCAAGACCAAGTTCTTTACGGATGAGGATCTGGAGGCGGATTCGGAGGATGAAGCAAAGGTGCTGAAGCCTTGTCTGTACAAGGTCCGATGAGCAAAGCGTGCATCAGAGTAGGTTAGAACCCTTTATTGTCAGCTTACCGAAATGCAGAGCTCTCGCTGGCGCACACTTGGCCGATGCTACTATGAAGGCACTTCTCAAGCCTTTAACGCACACGCGCAACCAATCGCAAGCTTTCTGCGATCCTCCGCCAGCGATATTATTCCAGAGATGCTCCCGATGGTCGGCTCCATCGCTGTGGATTGTGGATCCTGGCTGTCGCCAGAGCCGGCACTTCTCGACCTTATGCCTCGCCAAGCTCACACCTGTCCACTCCTGAGCAATCATACTCCGGGAAATGTCATCCAGAGATGCTCCCAACGGCCCGCTCTGTCATCCCCACATTCACGTTGTACTGTGGACCCAAGCTCTGCCCGTCTGGAGGCCCCCACAGCCTTTTTACACACGCGTAGAGCACAGCTAGGGGTTTTGAGCAATCCCTCTCGAGGACTGTCCAGGCGGAGATGCTCCCAACGCGGCCGGTTCTGCTCTTTTTACACACGTTACACTGGGGATAGAAGTCCTGCCCGAAGAGACGTTCTCAAGCTTATACAGGCCACCGCAACGCAGCCTTGAGGATGGGTGCACTCCTCCTCGTACGGTGGAAAGCTGGAGATGCGCCCTCTCGTCGCCACCCATCTCAACACTGGTAACCCATGCTTATACTCAGCATGTCCGGCATTGGTCTTTACCTTTGACTTCGCTCGATCTCCTGGTTTTCGCTCCTTGCCATCGCGGTCGAATTCGCTCGCACTCGCTCGCCTGGGAGTATATGAATCGCCGTCCCCTCGCCCCTTTTCCCTTTTTTCATCCCATCTCACATCAAACATTCCATCAGATCTATCAATCAATCAATCAATCAGTCAATCCATTAAATCATACACTCATCCACCACCACCACCACCACCACCATCATCATCATGCCTGGGCAAGTCACCCACAGCTCGCGCCACCAAGGTTCGCTCTCGCGCGCGCTCTTCCCTCCGCCGCCCCCCAAGGTGTCCAGGTACAGGGACTTCTTCCGCCAACTCGCGGCCGGGAACGTCCAGCCCCGGTCGCTGAACCCCCTCGCCGCGCCCTTCCAGCCAGCGGCTCAGCAAGCGCCGGCTGGCACCATCCCCGCGGCTCTCTCGGCCCCCGCGGAGGCAACGGCCAACCCCACGGCCTCAGGGGAAGACGCCGCCGTCGGCGAGAACGGCCAAAACGCGCTCCCCTCCTGCCGCAACTGGTACCACTACGCGTACCTGCCGTGCAAATGCCTCGCCTACATGCATTGGCGCGAGCGCAATCCGGCGGACTTCGCGTGTCGCTTCGTGCCCTACAATCCGGTCATGCGGGTCAACGGCTGGGTCGACGTCGGCTTCGACATCCTCACCGAGGAGCAGGCGTTCGAGGCGTGGAGGGCGGCCGGGTGGGACTGGTTGCCGTACAACGGTGTGGAAGGGATGACTCCGGAGCATGGGGTGTATGCTGGGCCCAAGGTGGTGGACGTCGCGCTCGAGACATGGGAGGAGAATCAACGCTTCCGCCGGTACGTCAACGCGGTGATGGGCAATCGGGGGGTGGTGTGGATCCACGACCACATGGGGCTGTGGTTCTCTCGGAGGGGGGTCGACCCCACGGGATGCTTCCGGTGGTATCCAATGGGGGTTGAATTGCCGTTGCAGCGCACGGGGGAGTTGATGGTGGAGTCGGAGGCCAAGCTGGGGGGCGACGAGGAGGAGGAGGAGTAGGACGAGGAGGATGAGCATTCAGCCTGATATGGCCGCAACGCACGGAACTCTCGACGACGGGCAATCTGCTTTTTGTACGCTCAAGTTTTCTTCGCAGTAGCACGTAGACTCGATACAGCAAGAATGTACAAAACACGCACCATGCATTCTCACGTGAACTCACCTCTTCCTCTCATGCAGCTCACTAGATGTCGAGTGCAACTTGAACATTCAGCTCTAGTGTACGCCATGGGTTGGACATCTAGTGTCCTCAGCGGCCAATGGAATCGCATCCGCAGGCTCAGCCTTGTCAGGCCGACACTTTCAGTCACAATCGCCATGCTAGGAACGGGTGAGGCGACAAGTCTGATTGTCGTAGATACATCCATCGTAGATACATGATCGTAGATCCTCAAGGCACACACCGGGCTTTCTTTCCGCTTCCATTTCTCCGCCCTCACACACAGACCATCCGCCGAATGTCGGTGTTCTCCCTCGTCTCTAACCATGTACACAAACAACCTTGTCGTGCCGTGAAACAAGACCCTCCCAAACACCACGCAAATTTCGAATGTGGTAATTTCCACGAATGAGAAATGGCACAATGCCGCCGAAGGGCGGTGGCCAGGAAGAAAAGCGACAGAGAAACGCAAAACATGGAAACAATCAGTCCTCAAAGCCCGACCGATCGCTGGAAGAAGAGGCATATGCCAAATGCCCATTGGCCCCCTCTTCGTCGCGCGTCACCGTTGGCAACTTGCCATAATGCCAGCTTTGGCTACCAGGCATTCGTATCCGAATACGATGCCATAGCCGCCATAATCGGCCGTTGGAGACAGTGTCCCGGAAGCGGCTGGGCGCGTAGGTCTTTTCGCTGTGGGGATGAGGCAAGCCGCCGCGCCTGCGGCCGTATATCATCCAGAGCACGACTGCGGCGCAGACGGCTGTGAGGCCGCCGAGAACGAGCATGAGTTGGGCGTCGGTAGTGGCGTTGTCAGAGTCATCGTCTTCGTCGCCAGATATACCAGTATTGCTGCCAGCATTGCCGTGCTGCGTCCGGTCCGCCGAACCCATGATGTGGTGCAGCGGCTCGCCCGGCTGAGGCACCCCCCAGATCTCCACCGGATCAACAATATCCACGGGATTGGAGATGGAGAGCTGTGTTCCGCCGTGGTCGACGGCGACGACGCGCACGTATTTCCGCATGCGCGGGCCGTCTTCGAGGGCAAATTCGGTCTCGAAGCCGTTCTTCTTGATCGTCTGGACGGATTCAAAGAGGCCGTCTGCCGCGTCCGAATCCTGGACCATCCAGCCCCGGACCTTGGTGGAGCCGAGCCAGGAGATGTACAACTTGTCCTCCTCGAAGTGAAGGGAGGGGACGGTGAGGGGAATACCGGTCCAGTTGAACTTCAAGTCGCGATAGCTCTGCACATCGCCAGAGCCAAATCGCTTGGTCGGCATCATGGTCGCATCGCACAGCAACTTGCCGTCGGGGGAGAACTCGGAGAAGGCGCCATTGAAGCCGTAGCCCAGGAGGACATTGCCGTTGGGGAGCTGCTGCATGCTGCCCTGTGAGGTGCTCAGAAGGTGCGAGGGATGTCGATAGGATTGAACGAGTTCGGCCGTCATTTCGCCGAGGTCAAGACGAATGCGATGGCCGACTGACTCATCTTCCAGCTTGTTCGTCCAATCGGCGCGATTGTCAAACATGGTGATCTCGCTGCGCTCCTCTACCCAATGTGCATCGTGCTGTCCCAAGAAGGTGGTGGCGTCGCCGTTGGACAGATCCTTGAAACTGTTGCCCTTGCCGCCCAACTGCCAGAGAATGCTTCCATCGTCTTTCGAAATGTACAGCACACATCGCCCGTACCTCGTGGAGACGAAGTAGTTGCCCGCCTTGTCCTTGTCCACCATGTTAATGTGGAAGTAGTCCCACGGGTTGCCGTGAGTGGCAGCGTTGGGATCGCCGTAGGAGTCCTCGAAGGCAAAGTGATCGGAGGAGCGCCACTGGAACAGGACCTCGCCTGTTTCCACGTCCAGCTCCTGAAATATCGACTCCCAGATCCATGAATCCCGTGCTCCGCCCACGCCAGTCAAGTCGGCCTGCATGACTTGATAGCCAGTGAAGACGGCCGTGTCCTCTTTGGTGATGAAAAAGGTATGGAGGTCGCCGCGGATGCCTTGCCCGGCGCTGATCTTCCTGTGCTCTTCGTAGTGCTGATCGAGCTGGCAGCGAAACCACATCAGCAAGGGAGGAGGAAGGAGGGGAGACACGGCGCATGCATACCATAAAGTACTTTCCCTCGCCGTGGCCACCGACGGAGTCGTCACCGGCCCAAAAGAAGAGATATGGCTGGCCTTTGTAGAGCTGCATTTGGAAGTTGTAGACCTCGCCATATCGATGATCGGGACCCCAGATCAAGCCACCTCTGCGCGATAGGGGGTTAGTATGTTGTGTTGGAGGGCAGCAGCAGCAGCGGCAAAACGTACTCGTGATCGAGAATGTAGAAGCTGGACCAAGCAGCAGCGCCGCGCGGGGCGACGAAGATGTAAGAGCCGTCATCGCAGTTGGTAAAAGGCTCCATGAAGTTGAGGCGCGGGGGCTCGATGATGCTCGTGCGGAACTTGTGCTTGGGGTAGTTGCCATATTCGCCGTCGTTGAACTTTGCGTTCTTGAGGAAGGACTTTTCGTCGGCGTGGCAGAGGAGCGCGCGAAGACAGGCGGCGAGGAGGATGCAGAGCCACACGCGATACATCTGAATGGGCCCGCATGGGGCGGGCGGCGGCTGATGGAGGGTGGGCAGGGAGGGGAGGAGGGGAGGGCGAAGAGGGAGAGGGAGGAGGTGTCGGGGGAGAGGCGGTCGGACGGCGGTGGGCGGGTGTGCGCGTGGTGTGGTGAGGGAAGCGGTCGGTGGTGATAAGGTTGCAACGTGCTGAAGTGACCTAACTGGGTCCGCGCGAAAGCCAAAGCGTCTCCGCCGCAGTTGCTGGCCTCCGCACTCGTGCGCTGCCGCCCCCCGCCCCTGAACTGCAACTCTAAAGGCGGGCTTGCCCTGTTCCAGAAGGCCCAAACGCGGGACCCCTGCCATTGGCCGACACCCGCTCGTATCCCTGCCAAACGCTGTCTGAATGCCTCCTGTGCCTCCTGAGCCCTCCCTATAACTTCGTCTCATCTCGTCTAATTTGCGCCCGTCCTTGCCTTCATTCATCTGCTTAATCAATCGCGCTCTTGGCATCGCTCACTCGGCCTTAAACCTCTCCCCCGAAGCCGCTTGCTATACCACGTCCCGCCAGGGAGACAGATCTTGACTGGCTCGCCTAGGTGACAAAGAAGTAGGCTGCCCGCGGGAAGCTTACGTAGCAACAGTGAATCACTTCTTCTGGCACGTAGCCTGCCGTCCGGTCAAGCACGTTGTCGGGGCTGCACAGGCGCACGCGCGCAGCCACCACGGCTTCGCGGCACCACGCTCGTGCCTGCCAAGACGGCCGCTCTGTGCGACAATGTCATGAAGTGGAGGACTGTGTCTCAGGGAACGCTTCATGATATTGTCAGATACTACGCATCGTCTCCGTCATGCCGTCTGACACGGAACAAACATCCACAACTACCGCCAATTCTGGCTAGAGCTCCTCCCCTCCTCCACGCTCATGCTCTCAAACTCCATGTCCCACGCATCAATCTCTGCGAATTTGCGCCTTGCCTCCGCCAGCTCCCTGCTCTGCCCCGCTTCCTCCATACTCACCGATGTATCCGCGCCGTCGCCATCTGCCTCGCCATCGTTGTCGACGGAGGACGCATGGCCCTCTGCATCGTTCTCCTTGTCCGAAGTCGTTGCCGCTGTGCGGCCGTACGTCTTGTTCGCCTTCTTGGTGCTGCGAGGCTGAGCTTTGGTAGCCGGATTGGCGAGAGGACGTAGACTTGTCTTGGTGGAGGCTGTGGCCGGCTTCTTACGTGTCGAGGTCGCAGTATTGTTGGATTTGATCTGTCGCCTGCCTCTCCCCCGGCCCCCATGTCCGTTGGCGCGGACTTCCGCACCGTCCTCTCCATCCTCCGAGTCAGAGTCAACATCGTACTCTGATGGTCCACGTCTAGACGCAAGCGGTTTTCTTAGTTTGGGAAGTAGGGATTGCAGCGTGGCGGTTGTGGTTGGCCTGGTCTTTGCTCGCTGTTTTGCCGCCCCCCGTTCACGAGGTGGTGAGGGCTGGGTCAAGGGATCGGCCATGATGTCCCGTTCCGTGCGTGCTCTTGCGTCGGGAAGAGGAGAACTACTTGCTGGTTCGGCCATTGTAGCGCTCAAAATCTCCTGCTCGTGGTCGCTCGGGCCGTTACGTTGCGCGCGTCGTAACTCCCTCTCAGTGGAGGGAACAACGTCCTCCGGGTTCGACGCTGCAAGGTGCTCGGGCAAAGGCAGATCCGACAGCGATGCAGAAGAAGGCGATGAGTTTATGACCTGTATCTCGGCCGGCAGCGTTGTCGATAGACGCTCTCCATCGCCGGAAGATGGCTTTCCGCCCCTTCTTCTCTGCCGCTTATGACTCGACTCGTCGGCAGTAGTTACAGGCAAGTCAGCCTCCATTGACTTTCGTTTCTTCGCTGCACCGGATGCTAGAGGTGCCTGCTGTCCTTCAGACCCCCCCTCCACCCCAGCACCGGAGATGGTCTTGGCGAGACGGAGATGCAGGGGTGTGCCTTCGGCCTCCGGAGCGAATTCATCGTCGTCGTCCTCGATGCCCTCTACGTCGTAAGCGGCGGTGTCATCTTCCGCAGGAATATGTACAGCAGAAGGCCGCGCGCTCGCTGTTCGTTGCTGAACCATCTGCAGCATGCTAGGCTGTCGAGGTCTTCGCTTGAAGTTTTTCAGCGCGAGAATACTAGTCTCGAATGCAGGTGCAGGGTCCAGTCGAAGAGCGGAGTTAGGTGGAGCGAGGGAAGAGCGCGCACCATGACCTTCATTCCGCTTTGCGGAGGGTAGTGTGGGCGAGGAGAATGCCACAGGTCTAGACGGCTGAGTAGGATGGGGCGATTGTTGGAGGGTAGGGCGCCGTCGCGACAGGGCGTCGGATTCTGATCCAGGCTTCTCGCTTGGCTTGCTCGTAGCGACAGGCTCTCCAGCAGCCGCCATGCGCTTCCTTAAGTCCAGCAGAATTTGGCTGCTCGCTGCAGTCTTCACCACCTTCTTCATCGTTCTCGGCGGCCGCCGGTTGCGCGGGGCGTTGGCAATCGGCGCACTATCGCTTTGCTGCAGCTCATCTCCAGTCGCAGACGCGAGCGCGGCTGTCGTGCGCGCAGGTTCTGCATCTGCCAGACCAAGCCCTCCAGTCATAACAAAGTCATCTTTCAGCTCCGGCGCATTATTCCTCTTCGCCTGTCCCCGACGTGGGCGCACATCCTTGACCAGCTCTTCGATGTTTTCGTCAAAATCATAGGTGGTGCCTCTTGAGCGCGTGGTATTCGTCTTCTCCTTCAATGCTTGTCTTGTCTCAGGCTGTTGTTGTGTTGACGAGGCTGCGTCGCGCTGCATCGAAGGCACAGCACGCTGGCGAGCCATTGTAACAGGCTGTGGCTTGCCTCAGCGCATATTATCCGCGCACAAAGAGCGTGTGCAGCTGGAGTCGGACTTGTTAGATGGTGGATTGCAGCAGAGGATGTCGATGTCAGGCGCGTGCACTCCACCGGCACGCGTTGAAGATAGACTTTCCGCCAGGCAGGCATCATCATGGCCCGTGCGCGATCTCGCGGGAACTTCACGTCGGCTTAAGAGGACAGGAAAAGCGAGCTAAGCCGATGATTTCACACCAGGCTCTCGAGACTCCAAGCACCTTTCACAGTGACAGTGTTTGGGTGAATGAAATCTTTCTCTACCGCCCGCTCTCTCCTCCAGTGTTTTCGTTCGACCTGCGCCAAACGACTTGGCAGCTCCTCCATCGGCAGCCAAACATCAGGGATCGTCCACATGGCCATTCGCCCCATTTCAGACGCTGCGGCCGAAAAGGCGGCGGCATCCATTCATCAGCCCAGAGACCCCAATACCTTGTCTAATTACAATGCCTGGAAAACCAAACACACCACCGCCAACTTCGAAATTGACTTTGAGGCGAAGAAACTAAAGGGCAGCGTGGAGCTGACGCTCAAGAAGCTTGCTGATCACGAGCCCAAGATTGTGCTCGATACAAGCTTCCTCAACATCTCCAGCGTCCATGTCGATGGGCACAAGGCCGAGTTCTCGGTCAACGGATCCCGCATAGAGCCGTATGGCAGCCCGCTGACCATCCGGGTTGACGATGCGGCCACCAAACACGAGGTGAAAGTCAAGATCCATGTCGAAACCACCAAAGATTGCACAGCTCTGCAATGGTTGACCCCAGCTCAAACCTCGAACAAAAAGCATCCCTACATGTTCTCTCAATGCCAAGCCATTCACGCCCGCTCGCTGTTCCCGTGCCAGGACACGCCGGACGTCAAATCCACGTACACGTTCAACCTGCGCTCCGCTCTGCCCGTCTTGGCTTCGGGCCTTTCCACAGGCTCCAGAGACTTCGAGCCTGGCACGAAGGGGAAGTCGGGTACTTTGCTGTACACCTTCCATCAGGAAATCCCCATGCCTTCTTACCTCTTCGCCGTGTCTTCCGGCGACCTCGCAGCCGCGTCGGTGGGTCCCCGATCTACCGTTTGGACTGGGCCGGAAGAACTCACGGCCTGTCAATGGGAGTTCGAGGACGATGTGGAGACCTTCATCCAAGCCGCCGAGAAGATTGTATATCCTTATGCCTGGACTACCTACAACGTCCTGGTGCTTCCTCCCAGCTTCCCCTACGGTGGAATGGAAAACCCAGTGTACACGTTTGCAACCCCAACTCTGATTTCTGGCGACCGCCAAAATGTGGACGTGATTGCACATGAGCTGGCGCACTCATGGTCCGGGAATCTGGTGTCGAATGCTTCGTGGGAGCACTTTTGGCTCAATGAGGGCTGGACGGTCTACCTTGAACGCCGTATTCAGGCTTCCGTACTGGGCGGCGACCAACACCGTGACTTTAGCGCAATCATTGGATGGAAAGCGCTGAGCGACAGCATTGCCCAGTTTGGAGAGGACCACGAATTCACCAAGATGATTCCGAATCTCAAAGGTCAAGATCCGGATGACGCCTTCTCCTCCGTGCCCTATGAGAAGGGCTTTGTTTTCCTCTACCACCTGGAGAAGCTCGTCGGCCTGGACAAATGGGACAAATTCATCCCGCATTACTTCAACGAATACAAGAAACGGAGCGTGGACAGCTACGAATTCAAAGCGACACTGCTGTCGTTCTTCGAACCTGACGCCGAGGCTTCGAAGCAGCTGGCCACGGTGGACTGGGACAAATGGTTCTACACCCCTGGCTTTCCGCCGAGGCCGGACTTCGACACCACGCTCGCAGACGAATGCTACGACCTTGCGAACAAATGGGAGGCGCTGAATGGCGGTGCAAAGGAGTTCAAGCCTAGTGCGGCCGACATCAAGTCCTTCAGCGCCAACCAGTCCGTTGTCTTCCTCGAGCGCGTCCAATCCTTCTCTCATCCCCTCTCTCCTGACCTCGTTGACCTGATGGGGAGCACATACGCCTACTCCAGCTCGCACAATGTAGAGCTCGTGTCCCGATTTTACGTTGTCGGTCTGCAGGCGGGAGCGAAGAGTGTGTACCAGCCGACCGCAGAGCTGCTGGGCACGGTGGGCAGAATGAAGTTCGTTCGGCCGTTGTACAAGGAGTTGCTGAAGCGGGATGCTGAGCTAGCGAGGCGGACTCTGGAGAAGAATCGGGACTTTTACCACCCAATTTGCCGCGGGATGGTGGAGAAGATGTTTGAGAGGCAAGCGGGAAAGTAGTTCCGGTGGGCAGGTACTTGTCTACGTCGATATCGCGGAAGTGACATCTCATTTGCTGCCTTTCTCTTGCATTGTCACATGGCGATGACACTAAAGCATTTCCCAGGTTGATGTTGCATGCTTGGTGCTGAGTCTTCGCCTCGGATTCCCCCCATAGACCGGGCATGCTTTAGCGTGATAGCTAACAAAGAGAGGCGGTCCATCGTTCCATACGATGAGCTTGGGAGCTCGGATGGTCTGTAAAAGTGGTGTGGTTAGTGCCACCCGACAGCCGGCGTTGATACCCAAAGCACAGCCTTGCCTTAGCATTCGACGATGCAATTGACATGTGAACGGTAATTCCATATTCCATAAAAAGAATGTCCGTTCATTCGTCACGAAGGAACGGACTCTGCCTCATTCCTGACATGGCGCTCACGGCCTGCAGAAAATGGTCGCCTGTTTGCATGCAGCGGTGGAGAAGGGCGTGGTGGATGGTCAGCCTCAGCTCGACGGACAGCCCGATGACAAGGGTGGGGAGATCTCGTATTACCTTACAAGTAGCAAGCTGAACCTCGTCGGTGCAGGGGATTCACTTCATTTTTACGACTCGTATCACGAACGCCACCGTCTGACCCTTTGGGCACGGTCTTTGACGACCTCAGGCTACACCGCTCTCTCTTCCCCTCCCCGCTTCTCCAGGCGCGGGACCCCGCCCCAGCATTGACTGCGCTGGCTGTCTCTGACCACCTCATGCCGCAGCTTGTCCATCAATGTTCCCCAATCTCAACGACACAACTCGACTTATGAATAGCAACAGTCATCCGGAGCACTGCAGCTCGGAGCATCATTTGCGACCGGTAGCCAGTCACTGCATCTGGCTGGCGGGACCGCATGACCCTCCACCGGAGACATTCCATGTCTGGATGTGACGCAAGCAGCCGCCTTGTGCGACAACGTCGATAGCACGAGGCTGGGCGAGGAATCAGGTATATACCTGTTCCATCCAAGGCATAGCTGCTCACACATCTCTCTCGACAGTACCCGCAAGTTCGGGGGAATGCGACATCACCCACCATCCTCGCCATGCCGCAACAGTCTCTCAGTCAAGAAAGCGAGGAACCTCTGGCACCAGAGCAACCTGACGAGCCTTCCACACAAAAACCATCGAGGAAGGGATCCCTGCTCAGGAGTCTTGGTGCACGGTGGAGGAAGCCTCGAGGCTTGCAGGAGGCCGACGCGGAGTTATCCACCTCGTCAATTGACCCTCAGCCATTAGAGGACCACCTTCAGCAACCACGAGCAAGTCAACCAGACAACAATGGCCCATTCTCGCAGGCCATTGCATCCCTTCCTCGACCACAGGATTTATCAAGACAGGAATCTGAGCAACGAGAGAAACTGCTCAAGGTCCCTCCCAGCATGAACGAAAGACGCACTGCAAGTCTCAATCGAAAACGCGGTCTCAGTGCAAGTGCCGCTCGGAGAGCACTATCTCCTAAATCGCCCCTTGTTTTATCGCCATTTGCGTCCAGAACTGGGTATCCAGGCGGGGTCCACAGCGATAGAGACCACGGCAACGGTGCAGACGGCAACAATCCTGATCCTCCACCACTTTCACCATTACCAATCCCAGATCGGTCGCGTGAGGAGGTCGAGTCCATCAACGACGACGAAGACGACGACGCCAAAAAAGCCCATCTCCTCCTGCTGCACGAACATACTGAACGATGGGTCCTCAATCTCAGCATGCACTTCCGCGACAACTCCAAGCGCGAGAAGTTCTTTGTCACCTACGCCGAGACTGCGACCAAGTGGAGAAGACTGGCCATCTCCCTGGACTATCGAAACGCCCCAGAAGGCTCGCTGGAAGAGGATGTATCTTGTCTGAAATTCCAGCGCGACAAAAGCTTCCGCATCTACGAGGCTATTCGAGACGTTGGACGACATTCATTTCTACAACACCGTCACCAATCTCAGATTGGTGACTACCCCGGAGGATGGACAGCTGCACGTCCATGTTCGCGAGGACGTCAATGAGATTGTCGAATACCCTTCCCTCTCGCTACTCCAGCACGTCCGTGTCCCACTCTATCGTGAGAGCGATGTCGAATTCGTCTCTCATCTCTCTGGTTTCGTGTACGAGGTGAACGTCGACGGCGACCATTTAATCAAGAAAGAGATTCCGGGACCCGATACTATCGACGAGTTTCTGTACGAAGTCAATGCTCTTGATGCACTGTTCGACTCCGAAAACGTCATCAAGCTTAGAGGATTGGTCACCGACGAGATAGGGACGGTCGTCAAAGGTCTCCTGATCTCATATGCGACTCATGGCGCGCTTGTAGATGTGATCTTCGCCGATCAGGGCACTCCGGCACTCCCATGGCACAGGCGGGAGAAATGGGCGAAGCAGATTGTCCAAGGCCTCTCTGACATCCACGAAGCCGGGTTCGTGCAGGGCGATTTCACCCTGTCTAATGTTGTGATTGATGGGGACGACAACGCGCAGATCATCGACATCAATCGCAGAGGATGTCCAGTCGGTTGGGAGCCACCCGAGCTGCATCGCCTCATTCGAAGTGGGCAGCGGATTAGCATGTGCATCGGTGTGAAAACGGATCTGTTCCAGCTTGGAATGGTGCTCTGGGCCCTGGCGCAGCAGATTGACGATCCCGACCTCCAAGAACGCCCTCTGGCCCGACTTCCCAATTTTGTTCCCCCGTACTTCCGAGACATTGTGGAGACATGCCTCAGCGAGCGGCCTCAAGATCGATGGAGTGCCAGAATACTCCTTGATGAGTTCCCGACGTCTCCCAGTCGGCCCTCGGTGGGCTTCATCGATAACCCCGTGCGACATTCGGATCACAGCACAACCACCTGTCGCTCTGACCGGGAATACATCGATCCCGCGATGGCAGTCACTCTCGAAGACGTCAATGGTCGTCGGCGAGGACGAGCAGGGCCGCATCTATCTCCCATGAGTTCCGGACAGGTCCAATATGTTATATCGACCCACAAGATCCCGACTCTAATGCTGCGTCATCGAACTACCACTTCGGCAGCTCCGGGTCTTGGGTACTTGCGCATCGCGATCGCTCGCTGATTTCGAGCCATCGGGGGAGGAACTCGCCCTTTGCTCGGACGGCGTCGATGTCGTCCGGCAGCGCTACTTCGTTATCCCGCTCCCCGCCTAGCAGAGGACGTAGAAGGCGTGGGAGCGAGTGCTCTTTTGATAATCGAGGACTGGAGAGGAAGACGTCGGCAAATGGGAATGCGTTGGGCATTGATCTCGGCAGGAGAGCTACTGCGGGAGAACGCGAGAAGCGGGACGAGGGAGACGCTCCGCTACCAAATGGGGTCGCGCGGTTGGCTGGGGAGGATGGTGTTCATTCGGGCCTGATGCATACTGATTCGGGGTTTGACGAGCACATGGATCGTGAGTTCAACGCAGAGCCTTGGACGTCTGTCAGCCGAGACGACACAGCTGCGAGTTGGGGACAGACATGAGGTTACGATACATGTATTGAATGAGATTCCGATTGACGATATGGGACGTGTCGGTGCATGAGTATGCGTTCGGGCTGCCGCACTACTGTCCATCGACCCTGCGCACCTTGAGTCGTCCAAGACAGGCACCGAGATCGGTGGGGTTGGGACCGGCCGGCTCTGGTTTAAAGGGTGCTCACCGAAATGCATTACATGCTTTCGAAACCCGCCCTACGAAGAAGAGAAGTGGTTTTCTACCTCGTTGCTATCCTACCCATAGCGCGATCATTCGTCTGCTCCTCGTGTCGAATCTCGAAGGTTTAGGGTTTATTTCTTTCCTAACCCTAAGTACATCGCCCCACGACAGCAGCAACATCCGGTCACTATCCGGCACGAGTGCTGAGCCGCATATGCGAGGAAGAATAGGCTGACAGGCCTTCGGCTCGGAAAGACACGCAGTGAATAAAGCAGTGAAAGCATGACGACCTTTGCGTACATCCCACCCCAACTTCTCCCGACGGCCTTGGACTGATCACAAATCTGCAGCAAATCCACCTTCTCCGCGGCCTCATATGCCGCATTTCGCCCAACGTATCCGCCCGCTCTCTACAACACGGTACTAGCCTACCATCGTGGACCGAAGCGGCTATGCCTCGATCTGGGAAGCGGCACGGGGATGGTCGCGCGAGGTATGGCCACGCGGTTCGAGCGAGTGATTGGCACCGATCCCTCTCCCGGCATGATCAAGCAGGCTCGCGAGCAGAGTCGAGAGAGCAATGTTGAGTTCCGGGAGGGGTCGGCGGAGAACTCATCATTCTTGAGTGATGGGGAGGTGGATTGTGTTGTCGCTGGGCAGGCAGCGCATTGGTAAGAATTTTCTTACCGAGCAGTGACCGAGGCGCGGATGGCATGGCTAACGCTGCACTCGTGATGGTGGCAGGTTCAAATACGCAGAACTCTGGCCGGAGCTGAAGCGTCTACTAAGGAAAGGCGGGACGGTGGCCTTCTGGGGCTACAAAGACCCCGTTCTCGTCGACTTCCCTCGCGCCACCAAGGTGTTGGACAAAACTACGTACGGGGATGATCCGGAGACCCTTGGGCCCTACTGGAGCATGCCGGGACGACGGTACGTGCAGGAGAAATTGCGCGTTATCGAGCCGCCCGCTGCGGACTTCGAGGACGTGCAGAGGGTAGAGTACGAGCCTGCTTGTCAAGGGAGGAAGAGTGGAGAAGGCACGCTGTTTGTGGAGAAGAGTTTGACGATTGCGGAGATGAAGGAGTACTACCGCACATTCTCGTCCTTTCATGGATGGAAGGAGGCGCATCCGGGGCAGATCGCGCGGTCGAAAGGGGGGGAGGGGGATTTAATTGATCGCATGGTGGACGAGATGAAGGGGCAGGATGCGTTTTTCGCCGAGGAGGGCAATGTGGTGAACATGGAATGGGGGTCGGGACTGGTGATGTTTCGCAAGCGGTGACGAGATGCATGTCTATCTATTTATTACATAGACCATTAGATGTAAAGTGTGTATGGGTGTCGAGTGCAGCATGGTCACATGACTGGAAACACACCCCTGTTGTATATCGACGGAGTACGCGCCGGATGGCCTGGCAACGTGCGGACGGGCGTTTCTGCCGGACAAATTCCTGCCCAACCAGCGCTGCATTTAGGAGAATTAAACATCCCCTGCTTTCACCTACCGACATACAATTGCTTTGTGCGACGCAAAGAAGAAGCAGAAGAAGTGCAACAGTGCAATTGCTGAATTGAGCAAGAAGTGGCAAACAAACAATGGTTCGTACCTTCCCCCTTCCCTTCTGTTTACTTTCCCGCTCTTGCCGCGTGGTGCGTTCAGGAGGCCTCGTTGGAGCACGACAGCCGCAGTCAACAACAAAGGCCTCGCACCAGCTTCGAGCACGTCAAACCGCGCGCACGCTGTCCCCTTCCTCCCCCCTCCTCTGCCCTTCATCTTTGCACACGCTCTGCGATCCATACTCGCGCGTCTTCCTTTCCCAATTTCCGCGAATTACACTCCACACGCGCACCGCTCCCGCCACAACACACAACACAGCTGACGCATCATGGCCGACCAGGCGCAAAGCACCAACTTCAAGGAGGCCTTCTCCCTCTTCGACAAGCGCGGCACCGGTCGCGTGCCTCTCGACTCCCTCGGCGATCTCCTGCGCGCCTGCGGCCAGAACCCGACGTTGGCGGAGATTCGCGACTTGGAGGGACAAGTGGGCGGAGACTGTAAGTCGCGCTTCCTGTCATCATGAACGTCTCACCAGGCCCGTCTTCTGACACGACAACTCACCTAGTTGACTTTGACTCCTTCACCCGCGTCCTCAACCGTCCAGGCGGCTTCCGCGACCCCGGCGAACCGGAGGAATACTGTCGCGGTTTCCAAGTCTTCGATAAGGACCTCACGGGCTTCATCGGTGTGGGCCAGTTCCGGTACATCCTCACGAACCTGGGGGAGAAGATGAGTGACGAGGAGGTGGATGAGCTACTGAAGGCGGTAGACACCAGCAGTGGCGAGTTGAACTATATGGGTAAGGATGGAAGGGTGCCTTGATGGGACAGCAATGAGACGCTAATACGTTGTTCGCATAGACATGGTCAAGACGATTCTGGCCAACTGAGCAGAGGCGACGGATGCAGACTTGGGCTCATGATGACGAGAGGAGAAGTACATGCTTGCTATTTGGCGCGAAGGGAGTTTACTGCGATCATGGGGAAATTCCATGGATGGGAACTTGGCTGCGCTCGAATCGTCCAGCTCTGATGGTCGAATAGACCTGCATGCTTTCGGATGCCACGCTCGAATATCACGCTCGAAGAAGAGGAAACATGAAACTCATTCCCTTTCTGACCGTCACAACTTCCCCCCTTCCACCTCATCCTTCGCCATCTCTGCCCTCAACCAGTCCGCTTCCTTCTTCATGTCCTCGTCACTCCTCGGCTTCCTGTCCTCGTCCTTTGGCCAGTCCTCCCTCTTGCTTCCACTGCTCCCCTGCGCCTCCTTCAAATGGCCTCCCACATTCCCCTCCTCCCCCTCGAGCCACTCGTACACCTTGTCATCACTACCCGGATCTCCCATCCGCCGCGGAATGACGTGGCAATGCACATGCGGCACCGTCTGCCCCGCCGCCTCGCCATCTTGCATGGCGACATTGAAGGCTTCCGCGCGATATACTCGCTTCAACGTCCGCTGCACGCGGGTGACGGTTTGGAAGAGGTCGGAGATCTCCTCTTTTGTGAGATCTGCTAGCCGCGGCTGGATGCGGTGTGGGCAGACGAGGATGTGGCCTGGGAGGAGGGGTTTGAGGTTCACGATGGCGAAGGAGAGGGGGGTTGTGTGGAAGACCTGGGTATGCGAGACTGTGATCAGAGGACGGAGGGATGACGGAGATACTTGCGGCTGTCCTTGCTTACATGCTGGGTGATATTAAAGGAGCCAAAGTGGAAGACTCGAGGAGGCATCTCTGCCTCTTGAGGACCTGGGCTCATCTGCGCCACTAAGGGGAGATTGAGGAACGGCGAGTAAGGCTCCTGATGTAATAATGCGTTTGTGAGCGCTCGAAGGCCATCACTCATTAAGCTGCGCCGTCAGCAAACCAATCACAGCGCGCTACACACCCGGGCCCGGGCCGGCCCTCGCGTGTTTGCCTTGCCCCAAATCTTCAGCCTTCCTCCTCCTTCTCTTCTTCCTCTGTCTCGCAGTCGTTCTTTCGTCTACGTGTACCCGCTTCTACCGCGCGAGCAGCAGCGACTGCCTCTTTGTCCAGAGTGTTTCTTTGCAGCAACCTTCTCCACGCTACATGCTACCTGCGGGCGTGTGAGGAGAGCCGAGAGACACTTGGGGAAGCTGAATGAATCGGTGGGAATGTGATCGACGCCCACAGCGGGAGCGAGAATTCCAAAGAGTTACAGGGAGCGAAAGCGTCAGGTGGTATAGAGGTCAAGTATTGGAGGTCATGGTATCTTCGATAGAAAACAACAAACACGAAAAGTATCGCTTTCACAACCAGCAGCGCAGATGTATTGCCTCGCCAATTTGATTCGACTCCACGCCTGTTATCCACCCTTTGAACATGTCACCTCTTCTTCCTCTACTCGGACTTGATGATGTCCTCATGTCCAGTGCGGACCAATGACTCACGTCGGATATCTTGCCACTCGACGTTGCCCATCTGGGAGATGTCGAAGTTGTTCTCGAGAAGGTAGGCCCGGAATCGCGCATCCTCCTTTGTAATGGTGTCTTGGTCGATGTGGGGAAGCAGCCAAACGATGCAGGCGCTGAAGAGGCAGAGGGCGCTGGCGGTGAAGAAGGGGTACTGGCCGCCCTTGGTGGCGTAGTACCCGCCGCCGTCGGCTTCGATGATGGGGAAGACGTAGGTGCCAACGAAGGCGCCGATCTTGCCCGTGGCGGCGGCGATGGCGTAGTACTTGCCACGGATACCGGTGCTGGAGGACTTGGCTGCAATCAGACCAATGTTGTCGCCCGGGCCCATCTCGCCAAGCATGAGGAAGATGCCGTAGACGACGACGAAGCCGCCGACATTCTGGGGCATTCGGAGCCATTGGTAGGTGCCGCTCATGATGAAGCCAACGATGCCTTGGGCAGCAACGAAGATGCTGAGGGCGAGACGAGGGCCGAGCTTGTCGCTGAGAATGCTTCCGAGCTGTGGTCAATTAGTACAGTTGTTCGAGACTGCTTCACGGTAGAGGGCGGAGCGGCTTACCAGAGCGCCGGGCACGTAGAACAAATTGATCAAGGTAGACCAGCCGAACGTCTGCCAGAGCTTGGGGTTGGGGGTGATGTCTGCAATCCACACGGTGGAGAAGATGCCGAATGGGTAGGTCAGGAAATCGTAGATGAACCAGATGGTCATGACGACGAGCAGACGTGGGGCGTAGAACTTGAGCGCGAGCCAGTAGGGTGTCTTGCCACGCTTGAAGTTCTCGCGCGAGTACGACTCAGGCTCCTTCAGCTTGAATCGAAGGTAGAGGAGGAGGAAGGGTGGGACGACCGCAAGACCGAGAGTCGTACGCCAGACGACGGTCAAGTTGCTGGTGCCGGCGGAGATGATCATGGCGATGAGGGGACCACCGACGAAGCCGATATCAATGGCGACGTTGGTGAACATGATGAACCAGCGGTTACGAGTGCCGGACTTCAACTCTCCGGTAGCCTCGGCGCAAGCAACGGAGCCAGCAGGGTATTCACCACCGATACCAATACCGAGCAGGAAACGGTACGCAGTCAGGGCTGCGAGCAGGCCGTTGACGGTGCCGTTGGCGCCCCAAGCACCAGCGCCAAGGGCGGCGAAGACGATGAGGATGATGGTGGAGGCGAGCAAGCTGTTCTTGCGGCTGTATCTGTCGGAGGTGTAACCAAAGAAGAGCTGCCCAACCACGGTACCGGCGAAGGCAATGGCGGTGATGTTCTGGTGGTAGGTGCTATGCTCGTACTGCTTGGGATACAGCAAGCCCAAGCAGTGGTTGACTGGGCCAATAGACGCTTGCAGGTAACCGTCGGAGAACAGACCGGAACCGCAAGCGAATGCAGGCCAGAACTTTTGCCATCTCGTCTTGCCAGTGTTCTCGAGGTCGTCCTGGCCGGTGAGGACGTCGAGACCACTGTTGTCCGGAGAGTCCGAGTGGGTGATGGGGATTTGCTTGTCGTCCATATTTACGCACGTCGCGAAGCGTGAGTAACAAGATGGAAGAGACGAGGGAGGGTGTGAGGGCGAATGGTTGATGATCGACCGAAGTAAGCTCTTACGGCAAAAGGTTGGCGCAAGGCTTAATATATGTAGATGTTTCTCAGCCACTGGGCCCTGGGAAAAAAATTGCCACGTCTAGACCCTCGGCGGCGACAATGAGCTGTGAGTGGGGGAAGACAGCTCGGCCAAGGAGAAATGAACAGAGAAGCACGTTGCCTGCGGGGCGCGCGACGGCAAGGTAGCAGACGCCCTGCAGGAAACCCGGGCCAGGCTAACTCAAACGAGCAGTTTGTTCGCTAATCCCGACGCATGGTGCGCCTAATCGCCGGGGTCTGGGCTTGAAAGGCTTGAAGGCGACGGAGGGCGTGGGGGGTTGGCAATCGCCTGCCGCTGAGCCGTCGTGCAGACCATGCGCCATTGTGCCGCATTTCCGACATCGCGTGGGAAGGAAAAGGGTGTTGCAATCTTTTTGCACTGCCTGATTACAATCGTGGACGGGGAGACTTGTCCTCATCGACGCCGCCGCGAGTGCAGAGGGCGGGCGAAAAGCATCAGTCGCCTGACCAAGACTCCTGCGCTCACGGCGTGGCCGACGCTCCCAATGCAGTAGGTCGTGCCACGGGTGGCGTTCGGGAGGGCACGCACCCTCGTATGGTGCATTTCACAGAAGGATGGCTTCCGGCGACTCATAGATGTCGGCTCGGAGCACGTGTTGCAGCGACGACAAACTCGAGTCAAGTCGAGTAAAGTCGATCGCATCTGGACCGTCTGTCAGGCGTGAATTTAGTTAACTATCGGCATAGATCTGTGGTCTTGCTGGGTCTAATCTCAGATCGTCCGGGCCCTTGATCTGCGCTCTTGCGTGCCATTGTCTTATTGCGCTGCCGATACATGAGTCGTGAACGAGGCTGAAATGCGCTCCTCGATACATCCGCAACGGTCGCTGGACGATCTCGCTGCTCTTGGCACGCATGCTTCCGAAGCCCAGCTCTATGTGGTTCTGTTTCGCGACGATAAGACGGGAGATGGACATCTTGCGCTGATGGCAACACTTTGCCTGCAAATCGTGCGATTCAGACCTACAACCTTTCTGTGGGCCTGTCTGTGGTCGCTCTGATCGACCAAGGCTTCGAAGATAAGTGACGACGATCGGTATGAGGTGAGGTTCTGCCCTCCTGAGCCCTCGAACGCGTTGGGAGCATTCTCACCCTGATAAGAGGCGGCGAGACATCTTCACTCAAGGTGCAGCGCGGCGGGTCGTCGTAATTACTGCATGGAGATCAAGTGATGCGCGATTTTGTTCGGTTCGAGAGCTCTTACGAATTTTCCGAACACCTCCTACGGCTGGGCAGAGTTTGTCGTAGATCAGAAACGTGCTCATTCCTCGTCCATGCCAGTACGGAAGCAGCACAAGCACGAGTGAATGCGGCAGGGGAGGCATCATTGATGAACGGCGATTGACGGGATTCACTCGAAGACTGGGTGAGGACAGTACACGGCGGAGCCCAATGATTTTGACTGCACCTTACCTATCCATACCGGTTTCCGGTCATGTCAAGTACCGCTGCTTTGCGCTCAGTCATCGACTTCCATCCCGAACGGGAGGGCAGCAATTGGCTTTGAGCTTGGCAGCCTCCTGCATGCCGCATGCAGGTGGATCGGACCTCGGAGCTCTGGTGAGTACGCGCTTTGGGCAGAACGCAATAATGAAAGCATCATTCAGTACATGTTCCATGAGAACGTACTATTTTCTGCTCAAACTCACGTCACTTAAATCCCGGTTGTTGCATGGAGTTTGCGATAGATCGAGCGACATAAGCAGTCACCGCACACTGAGTGCCTATGGCGTATGCGCGCCATAGAGCCCCCTACCGCGTTCTCCCTCGCTTACACGGTCGAAGGAACAATTTGTGAGTTCAGACGCCAGGGGGATCCGGAGCGGGTCGTCAGAGCCATGCCACGGGTGCTGTTGTCAATCCGAAACAGCCCAGAGTCCTCGTCAGTATACAAAGCGCGCTCGCAGTATTTTGTAGATGAAAGAAGACGCCCGACTCTCTGGGCCACAAGCCAGAGGTAGCTACGAAGAAGCCAGTGTCGTGTGTATATGAAGGCGGCCCGGATGCGCGGGTGGGAAGATAAGACGGCGGAAGGCTGGCCAATGAACACCGGCCGGCATCACTTGCTGGTCCGACGCGAATCAGAGATGGTGTTGACGAGGCGGCGTAGTGTAGAGCCAGGGAGGGCCTCTCAGCGCAGCTGTTTCGTCCGCCCCAAGTAAAATTGCCAGGTGCAAGCGCTGCAAGAGTCTAAATCGAAAATTCCCCACTCTCGCTAGCCTGGCCAATGAGATCGCCAGCCGTGATGGAAGCACGGGAGTCTAATTTCCAATAGCGCGAATGAGTGGAAGCCGGGTGCATGCGTGCCTTCCTACTGTGGCACGGGCTTGGAGCAGGGAAGGAAGTCGTCGCACGCTGGGCCATCACGCTCTGCACGCCTTGACATCCTACCTCACCCTCCACCCTCACCGCGACCGACACCCTCCGACCTCACCTCAGTGCTGCCGGCACAGAGCGTGGATCGTATCTCCCTCACCGCCATTGCCGTCCCTTACCTCTCCGCCGCCCACACGCCGCCGTCGGACCCCTTTCTTCCCGCAGCACGCCTTCACCTCCACCCCTTGGGTTCGCGTGAACGAACCACGACGCTCTCTTGCCCTCGATCACGGCCTTCAATCGTTACCGCATTGCAACATCTCGCCGTCCAACCCACCCCGACATTCCATCCTACCCACAGCGAGCAGCCCCAGCTGTCGCTCATGCCCGTTGGGAAGACAAAGCTGGCTTGTCCGACCGCCAAGCCACACGGTCAATAACAATTGCAACAAGAGCAGCGCTCCTTTTACCACCACAAAGTCCGCCTTCGCCTTTGGACCCAACAGCGAGAACAAAGGAGCGTCTTTGTTTCCTGTAGGCCGACGAGTCTTCTTTGACCGCGCGCTCGGGTGGAAGCGTGGTGCAAATTAGACCACCCTGATCCATCACTTCAACCCCCATTCTCGCCTGCAGGTGCCGGCGCCTGGCTCTTCCCGCCTTTCGGACCCGCCTGTTCCAACTACACACGTTCCTTTTGAGGGATTCGTTGCGAGGATGCCGTAGGCCTCTCTGCACACCTACACCTTCCCTCTCGCCGAATCTTGGGAAGTTCTTCAACAAGCATCCGTAGGACGTTGTCCGTCCTGTTCACTCGTTTGATACCCCACTTCGTTCGTGAGTGTCATTTGTTCTTCCGCCAGCCGTTCGCTGTCGCTGACCGTAGACACAGGTTCTGCTTTCTTCTTTTATCACTACACGCCGTCCTCCCGGCGATATCTCACATCATGCGCACCTCAGCAGCAGCGTGGATGGCCGCGCTCGCGGTCATATCCATGAATGGACCATTCACAACGGCACAGGCTGCGCCCGCCCGACCACTAGACGCGGATGCACCACGGCCAGTCTACCATCGATTACAAGACGGACAGGGGTTCAATGACACCGATCCGACAGAAGATACCCTCCACCATGACCTCTTGAGGCCAAGACAACCCGAGCCCGGCTTGATTTCATTATTGACTGGCGCTCTTACATTACCGACCGCTACCACGTCCCCACGAAGGAAAGCCAAACACCACCATGAGCCTGTGAGCCCTACTCTACTGCACTCAGGAATCGATATCGGTGCCTCCTCCTTCCCTTTGGCCAGCTCGTCGAGCTTCCCTACCTCTGCGGCCCCCAACATCATCGTTGGCCTCACCACCATCCTCCACCCAAGCGCGCCCACAAGCACACCAGACAGTAGCGATAGCGGAAGCCAATCAAGTTCAGGAACTTCCGATTCGGGCTTGTTGAGCATTATAGGAGGAGGCTTGAGCGGTGTCCTTCCGTCCGCCACCCAGGCCGTAGGGTCTGAGCTTTCGCGTCTCACTGGAACGGGCGGCGCCCTGCATCACCTCACCAAATCTGCCTTGTCGGACGTGGCGGGCTCGGGAGGCATTCTCCCACACGTCAAGTCGGACATCACGCATATGGTGCCCACTGGTACGGCGAATCCCATCGGCTCTTTTCTGTCCCAGGTCACGGCTACTGGCGCTGTGCCCAGCTTGCTTTCCCCTGTCCAATCCCAACTGTCTGGCATCACTGCATCGGGCATCTCTGGCGTGGGAACAGGCTTCCCGTTCACTGGCATCTTTCCTACGCTCACCAGTGATGCCGGCTCAATCCTGTCCCCTGTGCAGTCGGCCGTGTCATCCCTCGCGAATGTCACAACGGGACTGCCGGCGCTGCAATCTTCGCTTTCGAGCTTCCTGAGCGGCGTTGGATCGGGAGTTAGCAATGCAACTTCCCTCATCGGCACACTGACAACTCCATTGTCAATCCCACCGGGCGTGATACCATCAGGCGTGATCCCCTCAGGTGTGATCCCCACAGGTGTGATTCCGACCGGCGTTACTATCACTGCAGGTGACAGCACTGTCACAATTCCCCTCCCTGGGACTGGGATCCCGACAGGCCTGACGAGCACCCTCTTACCCCCTGTGCTCACCTTACCAACCGTCACGACTGGCGTTACCTCTCCATCGGATACAACTGGAGTCACTTCTCCAACGGACACGACTGGAGTCACTTCTCCAACGGACACGACTGGTGTCACCTCCGCCACGTCCAACACGTCCACATCCCAGGATCCCACAATCACGCCAACCGGCACGATACCTATTACAAATGCGACCACTCCAGTTTCCATCGTCACAGACACCACTGCAGTGCCCAGTACTTCGGCAAGCACCACTTTGATGAGCTCCATTACCACACCAACGACAATATCCACCGGCACCAGGAACGGACCGTTGGTTTCCATTTCTCCTACCGGTACCGACACCCAGTCCTCGCTGTCTTTGCCGACTGTATGGACTTTTGCCCCAAGCTCGACAACGACTAGTTCGGCCGGCATCCAAACCGCCACCTCCACTACTCTTTCCTCATCCACCGGTCTCGCGACGAGCCTCCCTCAATTAGTACAGCCTGCGGGCGGCAGCCCAAACCCGGGATCGAACTTCACTCTCATCCAAGTCGGCTTCGAATTCGCTCTCAACTACCCTTTCGTGGTGAGTCGGCCAGAGTCCGCCAGCCAGATCTTCGCATACCTGCCGCAAGGCATCGCCCATGGGCTCGGGATCAATGAATCGAGTGTCATGATGAATGCTCTCCAGCCATACAACACTGCCGCGAAACTGGGCTTTGTCACCACCTTGGCCCAGGCTTACATCCCATCGGGTCTGGTGGACCAGTTGCAGCTGGACATTCGCACAGCGACGTCGCAACTCTATTATAACGACCACGTGCCCGTCCAACAACTGATGCGGGTCATCAACCCCGCCATCCCCATTCTCCCCGGCAGTACTTTGGACGGCGTGCCAGAGGTCCCGACGTTCAACGCCGAAGCGGCAGCAGGCGCAGGGAAGAATACAGGCGCCGGTGCCCCCATCGGCGGCGACTCTGGCGTTTCCAAATCCGTCAGAGGCACGTCCGTGGGCATTGGTGCGGGTGCGGTGGCAGGCGCCGCTGTATACGCCGCAGCCATGATCTACGTCGCGCGCCGCTACCGACAGAAGCGGAAAAACCATCGGCGCGCTAGTTCCATCCCCGCAGCCGTGCACCCAGGCGAAATGACACAGAGGTCGAGTGCCGGTGGCATGGGCTCGCTCTTCATGTCCGGCGCCATCCACAACGCGCGGGGCACGACTGCTCGCACGTCGCTAAACTCTGCGGGCCGCAACAGCCGGACGAGCAACACCAGTAGCAACGGGCGCAGCGTGCGGGAACAGGGCATCAGTGCTCCTCTGATGTCGGAGAACAGCCTGGGGTGGAATTGATGCCCGCGGCCCTGGTGTCCTTGTGTTATCTCTTTTCATGTCCATGTGTGCTTGAAGCTTTTAGTTTTTTGAGCGAAAAGATTTTCTGTTTTCTACCCACCATCATAGCACTTCATTCAATCTGACCACCTATCTACGTGTATTTGCAATCTCACGTGCGTCGAAAGCATCGAAGCACGGCGATGCCTCCAGAACCACGGTGATCCTCACACCACGAGTTAGATTTGCCGTGCGCTCCATTCCCCCCTGAAGTGCGCCTATGCCAGCTGAAAATGCTTGGTGGGTAGTAAGGCCGGTTCAAAGGTACGTACCAATAACGAGGTATGCAAGGTAGGCTTGTAGGTTACAACAGCTCCCTAGTCCGTCCCAGGGTCTCGTTTCGTGACGGCAGATCCACTCAATCCACTTGGCAGGGCGAGCAAGCACCCCTGATGATCCTCGCGCGTCTGCACATGCATCTTGTCCCAATTTTCGTTCCTTGGTCGTTCAAATCTCGCGAACGGGGTGGGTGGAATTTCACATGCTACGCGCTGGTTGGTTTTGGAGGGTGTGGTTCAAGGCTTTCATTGCCGGCAGTGTTGACTGGCGGATTGAAGGAGGTCGAGGCTGTGTAGAGTACAACATTTTGACTATCTATTCCATGGCTAACTTGTTCATGAAACCATGGCTGCATGCTAGATGGTTTTGGGAGGGAGACCATGTTTTTCCCCTTTTCGCTGTTCATTTATGCGTTACAAGTCGTAGTATTCACACAGAGGATCTTCCCAGATCTCTCTTGGTTGGGCGAGACGCCGTCCCGGTGGTAATGACGGGGACGGCGGCACGGATGGGTGCACCGCTCCAAGTCGCCCACGCGTGGAGCACGATGCTCTGATCTTTGCATCGCCGGGGTTCCCTTCATTCCCTCGCCCTTGGCGGGGATGGTGAGTTTTCGTCATAACATTCGTGTCGAGTTTCGATATCCCGTCATTTCATTACATATCATGTCAAGTCGTACATCTCTGGCATGCACGCATGCTCACACTGCACCAAAGAAGCCGGCAGCCTGTGATACGCGTTAGCCAAATGGCCTTGTTCGCTCAAAGCAAACAGGGGAAGAAACTCACGGCACAGTTCTCACATGCATCTCCATGGCCACCACCCATGACGTGACCGTTGCAGTTCCTTGCGGCGAAGTAGTAGCAAGGGGTGCAGTACAGATGGCCCGCACCGGAGCTCTTGAGAGGTGAAGAGCCGGTGGACCTTCCGCCTCGGGGAGGTGAGGGAAGGAAGGTGGGGAATTTGGAGACGGGAAGGGTGAAGGAGGATGACGAAGAGGAGGCGGAGGCGGAGACGGACGAGGAGGCTTTGTATGCCGCCCAGTCTATTGTTTCTTGGACTTCGAGGGTTGGCTGGCGGCGGAAGAGGCGGCGGAGGGAGAGGTGCGAGCGGCGGGTGAAGTGGTGGCGGATGGAGCGGGTGGAGGTGATGATGGAGGCCTTGTCGGTGGTGTCGGGTTCGGAGTCTAAGCTTGAGGCGGTATGGTTGGAGCGAAGGCTGAGGGTTGATGGGGTGGAGGACTTGGCAGTGAGGGAGGAGGAGGTGGAGTCGATGGAGGAGATGCTGTTGCTGGCGGATCGGAGGCCCTTGCTGAGGGATGCTGACGAGGTCGATGAGGATGGTGATGATGGGGCGGGGGTTGAGTCCAGCTCGACGGGGAGACAGGAGGAGGCCTCGAAGGAGAAGCGTTTGAGCCAGGGCAGAGGCTTGTCGACGTAACGGGTCGAGGGAAGCATGGCCATTGCTTGGGTGACAGGTCTTGTGTGTTTGGGGCGGGCAAGAAACCGCGAGATGGCGGAGGGGAGCAAGGTGGAGTGAGGAGGGAGTGAAGATCCAGGCGCGGTCGCTAGGAGATTATGATGATATGAACGGAGGAAAAGGCGAGAAGATCCCTACGGTGATCGGGGCAGGAGAAGCAAGCCATCTAATATGTATCCGTGGCTTGAGCAGCCGGCATGTGGGAGGAGAGGACCCCTTCGACCCAGACCAGACCGGGAGGATGCGAGCGGCCAATGGGCCCGTCTGCACTGCATCGGGGCAAGGGCGTGCTGCACCTCTGCGCGCCGGCGCCCTCGTGCAGATGGGAAAAAGCCCCGCCTCGCCGCCTCGGACGCGAGTGTTTGCAGGAGGAGCGTGCCTGGGCGGGCGAGACAGACAGGGCAGGAGCAGTCGAGGGCAGGCGCGGCGATGAAGCTCCGACGTGCGCCGCTAGCGCCAAACCCAATCCCGGCCCTTTGCACCAAGCCGCCTGCTCTCTGACGCCGGGACACTCACCAACAAAGGGGTCTGACAGGGTGCAACGGGCAGGGGCGGAGTGTTGTCTTGTTCTTTCGTGCCCACAATGCCATCATCGTGCAACGGGCAGCATTGTTCATGCCGTTGTGTGCCCAGACGCGGCATCGGGAAGGTGCGATAAGCCCGCGCAAGCCATCGCATTCGGCAATGCAGCTGGGCCTGCAGCTTGCGGCGTGTCGCGTGGAAGATGAAGCCGCAAGGCGCCTCTCGCCCTCCACCACCACCGCCGCCTGTCAACACTAATGTCGGAGGCAAAGCTTTGATGGCCTTCTCGACCAGCTGGCCGGGTAGCGAGGCCGCGTTCCTCCCCCATTGCCCCCCCGGCCCAATCTGCATCTGGACATGTTGCAGGGCCGGCTGTCTGACTAGGTCCCTGATTCATCGACCGTACCCAGTGAAGGCGTTGCTTGCCCGTGAATCACGGATCAGAGCACAACAGTTGGCTGCATGGCAGACGACTGCCTGCCTCCGAGCTGCTTACCGGCCCTGCGGACCATTGTCTTGCGACGCCATTTCATCTCACAAGTACCGCAACTCCGCCATTCCGACGACCTGCACCGTATAGAGGCCATGGGCGTAGCACACTGCGCTGTCCTGAGTCGCGCCCGCCACGTCCAGCAGCAGTACGAAGGATTAATCGACCTGGGCCGAGAACATCTGCAAGTGACAGCCAGCAATCAACACGTCCCTGGCGTGGTTCGCGTTCCTCCGGAAGCGATCAAGTGTGAGAGATTTGCTTCACTAAACACACTCGCATTCCACCCCTTTGCCACGCCATCCTCCCGGGCACTACGCCCACCGCGTCTGATGTCTGGGCATGGACGCCTCCAGAGCCAACACGCGCACCCACGACTCCGCAAAGCCACTCTTCCCTCACCCTCGATTCCGACCCGATCTCATCTCCGGAGATCGTGTAACAGGGCACCGAGGCGAAGAGATATCGCGGGCCCCATCTGCTGCATGCAATGTAAATCACCATGGTGTAACGAATCTCTCGCACCTACCCAATCCGGCAGATTGTAGATCTTCAACGAAGTATAACGAGACCCTTCCTCTCGCCGCGTCTTGCTTGGCCCCGACGGGGACAGGGAAAAGAAGGGTCTCGCGTCAGGGTGGTGTTGTGCTGTCCCCTTCCAGCCCATCCTTCGCCAACAACTCACGGCCCTGCATGCACGCGACATGTGGTAGCGGGGAGATGACTTGCATAAAGAGAAGATCCATCGCAGCATGATCGAGTCGCTGGCTCCCCGCCCCGGCCACACGGCCCATGCCGCCGCCGCCCCGCAGCGCGCCCAGACTTGCACCACCTGCAGTCAAGCGAAGGCCTGCGCAGCGCAAGGCCCTCACTAATTCCTCCCCGCAGCCAGTAATTCAACGCGCCCAGCAGCCTCGGTCGGTGGTGAAGCTCTTTCACCCCACTTCCCTCCACCCCACTTCTGCCTTCCCCAAGCGAACTGCACCCAACACACGCTGGCCAAGTGTACCTCAAGCATTTCACGACTCACGACGGTGGTGCGGGCTGAGGGAAGATGGGTGGCGGCAAGCCATGTCCACGCAAGTCCATAAGCATTTAGATTTCTGATCTGGCTCATTATTCAAGGCAGGATTTGCCGGCAGCAGTCGGGGTATCACTAAAGCCGCCCATATGCAACAAATTCACACCACTGCCAACTTCACGCGTGCGCCGCTTCACCTTTTCGCCTTCCCCGCCGGATCATGCCGCGCAACCGTCCGGCCCTCCCTCTGTCTACATGTACCTCACGACCCACCGACGGAAGATCGCCGAGGCAAGAGCAGATCAATGCACGAGCTCAACGTCTCGGCTGCTTCATGCATGAGTTCCCACCGCGGCTCCTCGAACGTCTCGCGCAGCAGCAGCAGCAAGCCCAGGCACGAGTTGCGATTTCGGAGCCGCTCCAGCTCGTCCGGGCTCGCCACGCCGCCCATGCGGATCAGATAGCGCTGCATGTCGTGCACCTGCAGCTCGCGGCTCGTCAGCGTGTAGTTGGACGGCACAATGGGCCCGTCGAGCGCGTAGCCGTAGCACCACACAATCAGCGTCGCAAAGTACAGCACCCACGGCCGGTTGAGCAGGTAATCGTTCCGCGCGCTGTATCGGAAGGTGGGCGCTTTCGGCCGCGGCGGCGGCTGCTGCTGCTGCTGCTGCTTCCATCCCAGCTCCTCCTCGGGAATCAGCACTTCGCAAAGGAAGCGAAGGGCGTAGAAGACGGCGTCGCGGGCGCGCGCACTTGGCGCCCACTGCTCACGCATTCGCTGCTGCACTGCTGCTCGATCTCCGTCCGTCACCATGCGCCCAATCGCCCGTTCCGCTCCCGCGAAGAGCTGGCAATCGATCATGTCGACGTGCATCGCCATGTGGGCCAGACTGTGCAAGCAGGTGCGAGACTCGAAGACAATCTCGCGGTGATCGAGCGGGCCGGCATCGCTGTTCCGCATTGAACTGCCCGCTGACGACCAGTGCTCGTTCTTTGCCATGCTCTCGTCAAAGTCTCGTCGCCAAAAGTCAAAGGCGCGGGTCAGCGGCGACCGCCATTTGATCTGACTGCCCAGCGTCCCCGGCGCCCGCAGGGAAGATACTTGTAGATCTCGCTGGTTCATGTGCCAGCTGACGTTGAGCAGGCCGGCCATGAGGATGACGCGGCCGAACGTATTCGTGCGGACCTTCTGTCCGTTCAGCACTCGTCGCAGGCCTTCGAGAAATGTGATGACCTTGGATCCGTTCGACGTTGAACCCGCCTCTCCCCGCTGTACCTCCGCACTGCTCGTCGCCGCCCAGAGCGCCTCATCGCACGGAAGTGGCAGCTTTAATTCGTGGGGCGACGTGATGGCCGAATGCCCAAACATCGTGGCGTGGGTAGAGTCGATGATGAACGCGGCAAAGGCGGCTCGCCGCGTTGCCTCGGCGGTGATCCATCGATTCCAAAATGCATCCCCCGTGTTCTGCCCGCTGGCATTGATCGTCCCTTCCGGCCCGGGCGGAGTTCTTGTAGGATCTTGAGATCGCCCGGGTGTCTCGATTGCACATCGGCCCACCAGCGACGACCCTCGTCTCATCACCGTCAAAGTGGTTGCGTGATGCACATGGCCTCGTTCATGCAGTTCGCGCGTGCTGAACATCTTCTCAAACAGCTCCAGTAGTAACATCGACTGGAATGTCCACAATTTGGCCGTCGGGCGAAACTCGGCATCCTTGAACACTTCCCAGCGGATGTGGTACGCAATGAAGAATGCAAACTCCGCGGACGCGGACGTCATTTCCAGCGTGTGCGCACGCTCGAGACACGTCGCGCCCAGACACATCATCGAGAGCAGTAGAGGCGCCGGACACGTGTCGGGATTGAACGTCGGCCGATGCAGTATGGGCATTTGCTGATGTATGTGCAGCCAGAAGCTCGCGAGGTAGGTTCTCAGCATTTGCAGGCTCATGACGTGAGGGGCATACTGGGCATTGCCGGCAAGGATGTCCGCCTTCGATCTTCGACCAGGATTGTCCTTGATCTCGGAAAAGCTGTGCACAAGATCGAGGAGTCGTTGCTGTGTCTCCACACTCAAAGCGCTCTGAGGTGCATTGGTGTCGAAGGCGGAGCTTGGGGAGTAGAGGTAGGCATCGTTCGACGTGCCGCCTCGCTCCATCTTGGGCAAGAAGCCATTCACATCGGGCGTCATCTGCATCGCCTCGAACTCGGGCTCGGACGAAGTGGCATCGTTCACGTCGATGCCGTTCGAGCTGAAGAGCATGTTGAGGAAATTCTCGTCCATTGCGGGAGGCGGAGACCGCGCGAGCGGAGTGCCACTCCCGAACACCGGCATGGCGTAGCCCGTGCCCATGGAGTCGAACGCAGTAAAGTCGAAGATGCTATTCGATCTACTGGTGGGCAGCTGCTGATCGACTGTGCCAAACGTGGGTGGCGACAGCATATTCTCCGACCGCGTACCGCTTGGGCCTCCGTAGCTCGTAGTGGGATAGCCGTAAGACGGCAACGCAGAGATGTTTGAGTAGTCGGTCGGAGATCGGAAGGCTGGATTGGACGACGAAGGCGACGGGCCAGTCAGCAGCGTGTAGACGCCGCCATTCTGCTGCGCTGGACTGATGGAGCTCTGCATGGGATTGGTGAACGGGTTCAAGGTATGACTGGAATCTGGGGCGCTCGAGCGGGTGGGATAAACGCCGACGTAGTTGTAGCTCCGATCATCGACCGGGGTCGAGTGCGGGATGGATGGCACGATCATGCTGCCATTATACGCATTGTAAGCATCGAGATGTGAATCCTGGTGCATGCTATGTGAAGACTTGGTAGTCGTCAATTCCGACATGGAGTCATACCCGTCCGTGGACAATGGTCTGTCCTGACGAATGGACGTTGGGTGGGTGAAAGGGTCGGAGGTAGTCTGGAAGAACTGGCTTGTGTGAGGGCCAGGCACGGGACTGGCAATGCTTGCATCTGTGGGCGTATCGGGCCGAGAGCCATTGGAGCTGGAGTGTTGGCCGTGCATGAACGCATCCTTTCGGTGTAGATGCGAGCCTTTGGAGGTATGGCGCTCCTTGTGTCGCGCACAGAGGTCCGCCCGGACAAAGTGACGGTCACATCCGGGGAAATCGCAGTGATAGATTTGTTTGGGGGTGTCTAAAAGCGGAGGGTCAGTGTGTGTGTGTAGAAGTGTCGCATGCAGCACGACATACGGTTGAGTTGGTGCCGATACAGGTGCTCGGCGCGCGAATATGCCTTTCCACAGTCCGGATGAGGACAGCCGTACTTCTTGTCTCCCGACTTGATCAGCTTTCTCTTCTTTTTCGGCTTCGAGCCCGAGGCATCGTCATCGGCATCCACGTCGAAGTCCTCCGCGTGGAGATCGTCGGTGTCCAGCTCATGGTCGCTGGACGGGAGGGCGGAGGCGCCCAGAGTGGCGAGCATGGTGGTTCTTGACCCAGGGGGTGTGACTGACCCACCGCGGGCCGTCAGATGAATGTCGATATGCGCTGGACTCGGCGATGTAGGGTCTGAGCATTCTAGACCGGGGTGTTTCGGGGGATGGGCGGGCGGCGAGGTGCGCAGCGTGCCTTGTAGATTGCGTCCTCATTCACGGGCAGATGTAGAAGGGGGTTGAAGGGCGACGGGGTGGTTGACAGGGTGGTGGTGGGCTGAGCGAGAGCAGGGCGGCGGATGGACGAGCCAACGTCGGCCCACCAGCAGCAGGCGAGCACGAGAGCGCAGGGTGGAGCAGACTCCACTTCCCCGTGGGAAAGCTTAAATGCGACGTGGCGCATAGGGCAGGTGGGAACGACTTGTGCCACACCATCGCGAAAAAGCTGGAGATTTTGATGCAACCAGGCAAGGCCGACAGGGATCGTGCTCTCCGAGCCAGTCAGGTATCAGCAACGCACCCTTTCTGACGTGATGAACCTGTACTGCATCCATCTGACAGGCACTGCCGTGCCGCCCGGGCAAGTCCGCCAGCCGCCTCGGCACGGCATCGTTCAAGCTTCTTCCAGAATCCTTCCATGGAAGGTTGATTTCTTGATGCCTTGCTCCGGCTCTACAAGTACTGTAGCTGGGAAGCATCATGCAGCGCAGGATGCATTCATCACGCCTTTGCCTGCCACTCAGAGCCTGCTGGGAGCGGTGCATGCCGCCACGGAGGGATGCCCGGTTGTGATGTGCAGGGCAAATGCAACCCTCGCGGCAGGGCGGCATGGTGCTGCTACCTCTTTGGTGTAGTCCGAGCCGAGGAGCAGGTACCTACCACATGCAGCATGCAAGCGTCGGCAACTTGAACTCGAATAGCCCATCACATAAGCCAAATGTTTAGACCACTTGTAGAGTTGAAACGCACCTGAGCCGTGACCGGACCAACAAAACTGCCTTACCTAATCCACCCCGGCTGCATGTGCCTTCCAACCTCGCCGAAACACCAGCTCTCCCACAGGCCTTCGACACTCGCCCAACATGTCGCAAACCAGCGAATTGGACAAGCTAAACAGCATCGATGACGTCCTCTCCCAGCAACGCGCCGAATACGAAGATTGCACGCCCTGCAGGCTTCTAGGTATGCCGCCTGCCCTCGCTCCGCAGCCCATCCCGCCTAACCTAACCCTTCCTCTCCAATCCGCAGGCTCCGCCGCCTTCACCGGTCTGGGCATCTACACCTACCACTCCGGGCGCCAACAGCTGATCGCGCGGGAGAAGGAGATTCTACGCAGCGGCACCAAGTATGGGCTTGCGGCGCGCAGGATGAGCTTGCTGGGCTTGAGCGCCATGTTGGTGGGCGCGGGGGTGTACCGGCTGGTGAATTGAACACACATGTTGGCAGGGATGGCATGGGGAAGGGAATAGCTGAGGATTGCTGAGACGACAATCACCGCCTGCCGCCATCACACCAGGTTTGTGATCCCTCAGGCAGGACGTGGTGCAAGAGCACACGGCGCGCGAGTCGCACGGACGGTCCAGAGCAGAAGAGGGGTCGTTGGCTGGACGAGCCATTGCCCACCGTGTACCACAAGGACACCCAGCTTGCGTTTGGAAGTGGCCAAATGCACGCTTCGTCGAAGAGAGGGTTTGCAACGAGGTCACGCAGGCGTGTCAAGTAGGCAAGGTGGTGTATGCCACAACATCGTGCACATCAGCTCCGGCACAAGAACAAGAAGCAATGCGGATATGAACAATCTCAGTCGTCATGTCAATCGCTGCAAACATTACATCGTCTATGAAGTAGCAAGGCAAGGAAAGCGCTACATTCATTCCTTCATGCAAGGCCTCATCTCGGCTTACTGCCCATCTCCCTCGGGCCCAGAATCTGCCGTCGTCCACCAAAGTTGATCCCGCTTCCAGCGCTGCTTCCCCGATTCATGCTGTCGCCGCCAATATAGCCATATTGATTGACGTCCCAACTCTGGCCCTCTCCCACGCCCTGATTTGGATCTCGTGACCGGTCTTTCAGTTCCGCTTGACTGGCTTCCCATTCGCGTTGCCGCTCGCGCTCGCGCTCCATCTCCCGCTCAAGCAAGGACTTCGATGCCCAGTTGCCTGCTTTGGTCTTCTGCTGCGATGCGAGACGCGAGTCGCGGTCACGGGACTGCTCCAGGGATGCATCGCCCGCTTCTTGCGAGGAGGAGATTCGCGGCCCCTGCGCTGCCGGGGCAGGGTTGGTGGAGAGGAAGGCGTCCGTGCGATTCAGGGTCTGCGGGGAATCTGGGAGGTAAGATTGATGTTCTTTGTTGGGTGTTGGGACGGGCCGATTATGACTGCCGAGGGGCGAGGATGTGGGCGCCGAACCTGCCTGAATCGAGGGCAGGGAATTCAATGAGTCAGACGGCTGCATGGCTTGAGGGATGGAGGGCTGTAGTTGTTGAGGCAGATCAGGCGCTCCATCCGTCTGGAATTGCGATCGAGAGAATGAGGGGGCATCGTTGTCAGATAGGGGCGCGAGTCTCGACGCGCTGGTCCCCGCCGATACACCGTTTGCGGTGTGTTCGCGGTCGTCGGCCGTCCAAGATTGCTCGCTTTCGCGCGTCTCCGGTCGCGAGGAGGTTGGGGTAGCGGATCCACGTGATCGGTCACCACCACTTCGTAATCGCTCTTCTCGCTCGGCTTGATACTGCTTCTCCCGCTCTCGTGCTTCTTCCAGCTGCTTCTCCAACTCCCGAACTCGCTTCTGCTCAGGGGTTTCGATCGCCGCAGCGGCATTGCCTCCCTGCGCCGCTTGTTCCCGCTGGTATTGCGACAAAGTCTGTCCCCTTAGGATGCTACTGCTCGACACCCTCGGCTTCTCCGGCGGCTTCTTTTGCAGGCGTTGCGTCTCGGCGTCTTCTCGTCGCCGGGCCTCTTCTTCTTCCTTCCATCGCCGCTCCTGCTCGGCCCACTGCATCTTCTGCTCCTCGATATGTCTCCTCTCCTCCTCCCGTAGCCGTTGGGTCTCACTCTCCCATTTTGCCTCTTCGTCCAGCTTCGCTCGCTCCTCTGCCGCCTCCAGTTCTCTCTGTCGCCGCAATTGCGCCTCTTCCTCTTCTCTGCGCCGTCTCTCTTCCTCCGCAGCTTTCTCGTTCCGGAGTCTTGTCTTCTCGGCCAAGCTCGGCACGGCAGGCCCCTGACTCGTAATCTGTCGCCTCGCGCCAAAGCTGATACCTTGATTGCCTTGGCTCGCGCCTCCCATATAACCATATTGGTGGATGTTCCACGCGGGAGCAGTAACGCCTTCGTCTGAGCGATTGCTCCAGCTGCTCACTGGCCCGGAAGATCCGCCTGTCAGACTAGGACTCATAGCTCGCGTCGAGTCTGATGTGGCACTCGAGAATTTGACCGGGCTTGGAGGGCGAGCGAACGTCGCGCCTGAATTCCAGCTTCCGGATCCATTTGTAGCGGCGCCTCCCACCGTCGCGGGCGATGCAATACCGCTAGCTTTCTTGGGTCCAATCGTGCTTCGAATGGCCGTTGGTCTGGCGGCGTGCGCCTGGCGGGAAAAGGCACTGAGGCACTGCAAGACTTGCGCCGGGTCTTTCCCTTCGTACAGATCGACGGTGAGGAAGCGGTCATGCGCGGGCATACTGAGGGGTGGCATTTCGCATGCCCTGAGAAAGTGGCTGATGTTCTCCATCTGGATGAAGGGCATGGGACTGCTCTTGTATTTCACGCCGGGAGACATGACCAAGTTGACGAGCTTGCACAATGCCACGCCGTCCTTGAGTGCTTCTAGCAGATCGCCGGATGGGAGAGATTCGCCGAGCGTCTCTTCGATCCATGTCCGTACCTCCTTCGCGGCCTGCGGCGTGTAGCGGGACATGCGGAGGTTGCGCATGTCCTGATCGAGCGAGGACACAGATGCCATGTTTGCAAGCAAAGGGATGGTGCGAGGGAGGGGTGTAGCATGCGAGGGAGAAGGGTTGTCAGATTTCAAAGTTCGGGATGCCTTGGAAGGGGAAGCGTCGTCAGCGTTGCCATGCGTGTCTCGCGAGCCTCCTCTTGCCGATGGCCGTGTCTGGTCGAAGGAATGGATGGAATGTTTTGGGGCCCGCCGGCCGTGACGTGACGTACCACGAACTAGAACCAGGCGCGCACCGACGCGGCAGGCGCTGAGCCAGGCTTGGCGTGAGATCAGGCGGGCACGGGCGATGACTTATCCCCAAAGCTTGTTTCTTTATCATTTATCAACAGTTTGTAAACCCGCCTTCCCCGCCGTCATCCACATCACAACAAAGGATCCCACGCCCTTCGCCCTCCTCTCCCTCTGCACTCACACCTTTGCGGCGTCGCTCGAGCCAAGATGGACTCGATGCGGCATCTTTCCACATCTCTACCGAGCACGAGAAGGCGACAGGACCAGCCCGAGCTTCTCGGCGATTTTCGAGCCGCCGCGCTTTCTGTAACTAATCTTTACAAGAGCGCCGCCGCCTCCCAGGACAGAGCGAGAGCGGCGGGATATCAAGATGCCCTGGATGATCTTTTGGCCTTTTTGGACCGGGGGAATCTGGGCTTGATGGATGGCGAGGGATGGCGAGTTCGACAATGGGCGACTGAGAGACTCGATGACGGCGCGCAGAAGCCGGCCGCGAGCGATGACGAGGAGGAACCCGTGCAAGAGGAGCAGAAGAAGGCCGCAGCAGTGCCGGCACCTTCCAGCGAACCCACCGATGCCGCCGTGCCCCCACGACGCATCGCTGTATCCGAACCTCCACAAGCACCTCTCCAAGCTCAAACACCTCCGCCTCCGCCCCACGCAAACCCATACGCATCAGTGCCATCGATAGACGACTTTACCTTCCGCTCATCCCACGCATATCCCACCAACCACGACAGAGGGCAGATCCAGCAGCAGAGTATGGACCTCGACGCTACCACGCCCACCACTAGCACCCCACCCAGTACCGAGAGCGTGCGCATAATATCGCGACCCGCTAGAGGCAGACACTCCAATCACCAGAGACAACGCTTAAACGGAGCCTCGGCTGTTAGTCTTAACCTTGCCGGCGCGGCAGGCAGCAAGCGCAAATGGCCTTACCAGGACTTCTTCGACATCTCCGGCTTGAATGGATTGGATGGGAAAGACGGCAAGGAAGGTGGAGGTGGGGGAGGAAGGGGTGGGAAGCGAGGACGACACGTTTGACCAACGACACCTATTGAATTCATCAGTCATCCTTCGTCCTTCATGAGCGAGCGACCGAACCCGCAATCACAGCAGCTGTCTTTTGATACCCCGCCTTCATCTGTCTAGGCGCACCTCACGTGCCCTTCTCGGCACGACATTTGCATACATACAAATCGTATACACCGATTATACGTACAAGCTTACATTCCTCGTTCCCTTCTCATCGTTGTTTTCTTATTTCCATCGTTGTTCGTAGGGACCTGACTCCGCATTATACCTAGGTAGACAAGAAGTTTCAGAGACGATGTGCCACCTTCCAAATCGGGAAAAGTACGACTTGTCATATGAGTCGACATATGTCATGCACAGATCCACATTTGACATATGATTCTTGGGATTAGCACACTCGAACTACATCCGAGCTGCACAGTAACCCCAAGGCATTCAGACGTGTCGAGTGTAGCCAACTGGAAGAAGTCAACGCCCCCGGGATCATTTACTCTTCAAGCCCCGGCCTCAAGGCTTTGAATTCCCCGTCGAAATACAATCCCAAGAGTAATGGCCCAACCAACGCTAAAACTCCGCGATCAAGATCTCCACGGCAAGGTCGCTCTGGTCACCGGTGCCTCACGAGGTATCGGGCGCGCCACCGCCTTGAATCTCGCCAGTCGCGGCTGCTCCATCCTCGGCACCTGCTCCAACGCTCAATCTCTACATCTCATCGACACGCTGTCCCACCACATCTCTGAGCTCTACAGCGGAAGCATAGGCCTTACATCACCCGTGGTCTTAGGCATCGAAGCTAACATCCTCGAATCCACGACTACGCCGGCAAAGATCGTTGATGCCCTGGACCGCCATTTCAACGGCCACTTGGATATCTTCATCAATAATGCTGCTGCAGCGGACGCCCAGAAAATCGGCGAGTTGACGGACGGCCATATACGGGATAGTTTGACTGGCAACATTGAGTTCCCCGTCAGGATGGTGGAGGAGCTGGTGAAGAGGAAGTCTTTCCGGCCAAACTCACGCATCATCTACATCTCATCGGTCAGAGCGAGGAAGGCGTGGGCAGATCAGTGAGTGTCAACACCCCTTGTCTACAGTACTGCCTCGGATCAACGACTAACATGATCACAGGTCGATGTACATGGCCACAAAAGCAGCAGGCGAAGCTCTCTGCCGCTCGTGGGCCGATGCGTTCGGCGGAAAACACCCACAATACGCTTTCATGGCCGGCACAACGGCCAATGCCCTCATGGTGGGCTTGACGAAAACCAATGCAGTCTACGACATGCCGGCAGAGGTGGTGAAGGTGTTTGAAGACGAGTTCCTGCCGGGCCAGAGCATACCACGCGTAGGCCTGCCGGAGGATGTGGCGGACGTGGTGGGCTTGCTTTGCAGGGAAGAGGCACGGTGGATCTCGGGCAGCGTGGTCGCTGCTGATGGTGGTGGGATTAAGATCTTGTAGTTTCTCCTGTGGTGGAGTACGACTAAGGCATCCACGCCCTGCACCAGAAGCATATGGGGTATCATTCGGTACTAAGCATGCCTGGGAATGACTCCATTTCCCCCTCCCTGTAGTCGTTGAATCCTTCACCCTCTCCAAGTCGGGGCCCTGGCCATTTGGAAAGCCGGTTCGTTCTGCGCCTCACGCGCCTCACGCGCCGCTTGCCTCTTCAACTCCGCCTGCTTCTTCATCTGCACGAGATTGCCCTTCAATCCACGCAAGTAGCGCCGGGCTTCAGCGACAAGATGCTGCGGCTCGTTTGAATACTTGAGTGCTTCAAGCATTTGCCGCACCTACATGTCATCAGTTAACAGACGTCCTCTCGTGTCCTCTGCTGTCGATACACACCTGCGTCTCCGACTGAATGTGCGGGCACACCCTCGCAGAGCCGTAATGAGCCATGCCACACAAGTTGCAGTGCTCCACTCCGGCAATCTTAAGAGGGCATTTGCCCGGCGGATGATACGTGCGGCATGCCACACACATGAGACCGGTGGTGATTGAAATCATATCGCTGGGCTGATGAGCTTGGAATTTGGCATGTTGATCTGGTGGATTTGGGGCACCCGCGGGGACGTATTTGGTGACAGGAATGATGGAGCGTCGGAAGCCCAGGGAATCTGCTGTAGCGATGTTCGTAAGCACTTATTTCAGGTCGTGGGTTGTGATGGTCTCTGTTATGTCGTCTGAGATGGACGGGGGAGTTCCATAGTCCGTATTGTCGTCATCAAGCACAATGGGTTCTTCATTGGTGCCTTTGCCGAGCACTTCAGCCTCGTCGAGCTGCTGGACGGCTGGAGTCTTTGTAGCAGTAGGCTCAATGGGAGCAGACGCCACATCACCAGTCTTTGCCATCTTGCTCTTGACGCCAGCTGCTTTGGGTGTGCGAGCAGAAGACGGCTTGCTCGCAACGCTCCTCTTCAGTTTGGAAGCAGAGGCCGTGTGCGGAGCAGCTTTCGGGCTACTGATGCAAAGCTTGATGCCCTTGCCGCGAGCACCACCAGGTTTCTTCAACTGCTTCGAAAGGCTGGCAGTGCTGCTGGGCTTGCGTTTTCTCGGAGTGGCCGCGGGGGTCGGCGGCACAACGGTAGAAGAGAGTGAATGCTTACCAGATTTCTTGCGGCCTGCGTCATGTTTAGCATCATCCTCGCCACCATGCCTGCCACCGAGCTCATCGCCGTCATCCTCAACTTCGCTCGGTTCGTCGTCGGCCTCGCTCGCTTCGGCCTGAAAGTCAGTATCACTCTCCTCACTGTTCTTGACCTTGAGCCCTTTGACTGGTGTGATGTCCATCGCGTCAACGCCTTCGGGAGCTCGGTCGTTGTTGTAGTCGACATTCATTCGAGCTCTGCGACCCCGGCCGTACCCATCTGCTTTGGCGGCCGCCTCTTCAGCTGCAACGCGCTCGCGCTCTTTGAGGATGTTCGCCCAAACACCAGGATCTGGCGCTTGCTCCACGGGCTCATCCGCCATCTCATCTTGGAGAGATCCTTGATCGTTGGCCCAGACCCTCGCAAAAGAGAACTGGGTCTCCGCGCTCTTGTCTGCACCAGACTGCGTATCTTCCATGTGACTGCGGTCCAATAGACGGTCAACGCTTGGCCCATCATACACGATGTCCTGTTCGCCGGTGTCTTCGAACAGCTCGCCTGCGCCATGTCTCAGAATGGAAGCCAGGTCGTTCTGCTCGACATCGTCCGTGTCCATTTCCTGGATCAACACGTGGTCAAGAGCCAGCTTCTTGCGACCCATTTGCATGATGCGCTCTTCTGCTGAGGCACGTGTGACGAGTTGAAAGCACAGCACTTTCTTATGCTGTCCAATTCGGTGAGCGCGAGACAAGGCTTGGATGTCTTGATGAGGATTGAAATCAGGATCCAAGATGATCACGGTGTCAGCCGTGGCGAGATTGATGCCTACACCTCCTGCTCTTGTAGAGAGTAAGAAGGCGAACAGGGTTGAGTCTGGCGCATTGAACTCGTCGATGCGCTTCTGCTTCTGCAGCGTGCCAATGGTGCCGTCCAGTCGTTGGTACTGCAGGGCCATACCTTCCAAAAAGTCCTCGACCATGCTTAACATGTCTAAGAACTGGCTGAATATTAAGACCCGGTGGCCACGCTCCTTTAGTTTGGGGAGCAGGACTTCCAGAAGCTTCAGCTTGGAGCTGGCATCGACCAGGTTCCGGTGTGATGTAGAGTATGGGACGTCTTTATCCTCAATGCCTCTACTGTAGACAAAGGAATGGCAAAGACATCTGCGTAGCTGCATGAGGATATTGTTCAAATTCGCTCGTTCCCCCTGCTTCAGCGTAGACTCCGAGCTGAAGATGGCTTTCATCAACTCCGGGTTCTTCGCTAAGATCGTCCGATACACCTTCTTTTGAACGATGGTCATGCTCACGGGAACGATAATCTGTGCCATTGGTGGTAGGAAGGTGAGGACCTGCGCCTTCGTTCGTCGCAAGAAGAACGGCCGGATCAAGTCATGCAGCTTCGTGATCTTGCTAGAGTCCAGATCTGCGTATTCCTCCTCAAGTTGGGCGGCGTCATAGCTCTCGTCCAGGAAGTGAAGCAGATTGAAGAGCTCGCGCTGGTTGTTCTGCAGTGGTGTGCCGGTGAGTAAGATTCTGAAGGGGCACTTGAGCGCGCCAAGCGCGGAGTACAGCATGTTCTTGTCGTTCTTGAGCCGCTGACCTTCGTCGACAATCAGGCCTTGCCATTGCACACTGCGGAAGAATTTGCGGCAATTTTCATCCTGCGCAGCATCGTAACTTGTCACTACGATGTGACAACGGAGCTCTTTCGAAGCTTCTGGGAAGAGCTCATAGCGATGTGCGAGGTCCCTGCTTTCTCTCGAACCATAGTAAGCGACGACCCGTAAGGAGGGCGCCCATCGCTTCACCTCGCGCCGCCAGTTGGGGCAGGTGGAGTTGGGAACGACCACCAGAAAGGGAAAGCAGTTCCAGTCAGCAACGAGTGTAGCGAGGAAGCCGATGATCTGAATCGTTTTCCCAAGGCCCATCTCGTCGGCGAGGATGGCGTTTTGCTGGCGATGCCATTTGTAGTAGAGCCAGTTCACGCCCTCAATTTGGTATTTCATGAGCTCGCCCCCTTCCAAGTTGTCCGGCTGTTTTGTCTTCTCCAATTTGGCAAAATCCTGTGACCGCGCTTTCTCCAGGCGAGATCGGATGGTCGTTGGTTTCGGCAGGCGTACATAGCGCCCAGAAACCCAATCGTTGTATGCCATGACGAAATCCGCCCATCGATCGCCGTCTTCCGGAGAAGGCGGTGCCTCCCACACCGCATCTTCATACCCGAGTCCCTTGTACTTCACCAAAGCCTTGTCGACTTCGCGGATGCGCGCCTTGTCGATTTCTTCGCCCCGAATATCGACTACGCTTGTATATTTGATGTCAAGCACAATGTCCGCGCGCAGGTAGTCTTCTGGGATGGCGTCTTCCGTCCTCATCTTTGGGTGCTGGCTGTCGTCGCGCTTCAGGAAAGCATGACGTGTGCCCACGGCAGCGATACCCCAGACCCAGGCGCCGGGCATCCAACATGCGCGGAAGTAGGACATCTCGGCCCATTTGACCAAGTACGCTTTGTCGTCTTCATCGACGCTCTCAACGGGCACTGCCGGGTCGTAATTGTCTTCCTCGATCGGCTTCCACGCAATCAAGCCGGATACCTTGCCCGGCATAGTGAGGCACTCTTTGCACTTCCAGTCTCGGCTGTATTCACGGAAGCGCTGCTCCGCATCCACGTCGACGTCCATATCAATAATGTCGGAGCGGGAAGGAAGGTGGTCGAAATGGAAGGCGCGGTAGCAAAACAGGCAGCGGAAGAGGACGTTGTCGACGTGATTGATGCGTGAGGCATGGACGGGGTAGATCGGATCTTGGCCATCGTTGTCCTCGCGCTCTTTGTGCTCCTGAGCGGGCGTTTTGCGGGGGCGAAAGGGTAAGCAAGCGGACCCATGCTCGCGACAGTCCACGCACTTTCCCAGGTCTGGTGCAGTGGGGTTCTTCTTGCGGTTGAAGGCGACGCAGCGACGACACTGCAGGACAGAGAAGTCCTCGCTGATTTTCGTCACCAAGTGCTCACGGGTGCTTCGGTTCCCCAGACACGACTTGTGGTAGGCGACTGTGCAGCCTTGACAATAGATCAATGGGGCGAAGTTTGGTCCCTCGGAACAACTATCACACTGCTGGATGTGCCGCATGCGGAATTCGTCGTTGCGCGGCAGGGTCTTAAACTGTTCACGCGCTCCGGTGATTTTCGGCTTGGGCGGCGGCGCCTGAGTGGCCTCGTCGGAATCCGATCGATAGATCTGCATCTCGCCGACCTCCTGCATGCCGCCTTGATGTCTTGTCGAGCGTCCCGACTGACGCTCTCCAACTCGGCCCCCTCTGCGTATCTCATAGCCAATGCCATTCTCGCCAGTCTCGATGGTCCGGGATCCGCGCAGATTAGGCTTACCCCGACGAGGCTTGGTGGTGGTAAGGTCAGAGTTGAGGAAGGGCGCATCGTCACTGTCATCGCCATCGTCGGCCTGCAGCTCATTGGTGTATGTGGGATGCGATCTTCGCCGCAGATTCCGGCCAGGCCCGTCGCTGAAGCGAGTGCGTCTCTTCCGTTGATCTTGCTCCGAATCGGTTCCGTCGCTGTCCGAGCCACCGTCGCTAGTGTACTCAATTTCGGTCTGCTTGCGCTTGCGGCCGCGAGTGCGAGATCGTCCGGCGGAACCATCATCGTCGTTGTCGTCCGAGAGGGGCACCGCATCCACCGTGCTCACATAGCCAGGGCGACGTGTCGACTTCCTTCCAGGTCTTGTGGACGTCATCTTCTTGTTGGCCGACCGTGCTCCAGCCGATGAATCTCGAATGCGACCGTTTTCGAAGTCGTCTAATGCGCTTTGTCCGTTCTTGTGCTTCAAGAGGTCGTCGAATGTGATCTGTCCCCGCAACAATGGTCAGACTTGCCTTGGAATGAACGTTTGGGTAGAAGGATTTGCGGCGCTCGCAAAGGGTACAAGAAAAGCAGTGCGCCAAGGTTTGTCAGGGGTTTGCACATGCCAAACTGGCGAAGTGAAGCTTGCCGAAGGTAGCGAAGCAAGGCTCAAGTGAGGCTTCATCATTCTTCAAAGTGAGTTCTTTTGCATTGCAAGATCGATGATGACGGGCAAGCTTCAACATCGTGCGTGGCGTGCAAAACGCGGCGTGAGGATTGCAAAAGTAGAGCAAGACTTACCTCACGAACGCGAAAGTCTGCATACTCAACCCTGTACCAGGTGCCTCCATGCTTTCCTGCGATCTCCTCAATCACACTGCGCACATCGTCTCCGCCGGTTGTGAAGTCCAGAATGTCGTCGTCCATATCTTCCGGTCGAATGCGAGGGATGATAGGAGCAAGAACTCTACTTTTTTGGGCCTTCGGACGCAGCTCACTCTGAAGCAAGTCTTCCTCGTTGGAAGAAGACGAGGAGGAGACTGTTTGGTTTATGAAAGTGAAGGAAGGAGCAGTCAAGCTTGCTTCTGAAGATTCCGATTTACTAGTGGTAGGCTCCGCTTGTTGCACGTTGCTGGAATGAGGCATATCTGAACCAAGCACCGCACCATCCCCTTGCTCTTCATCAACGTCCCCCTCAGAGGCGCTGCCGTTGGAATGCGACATGGTGGAACGGGGCCGGGCTTTGGGTTGGGAATGAGTCGCTCCGTTCATTGTAGCCACCGGCGCCGAAGCTGACTTTGGTCTGGCAGCGGTCTGCCATGAGGTGATGTCGACCTGCTCATCGTCGGAGGAGTCGGCTTGCGGTTGGAAGTGGTAGGCCATGCTAAATCCGCGGTCTTGTTTGGTGATCGCTGGAAAGGAGACACCGCTGTCCAATACGGGGTCGCCGACGTGCAGAGAGCATTCTCGAACAGGAATTGAGGGAAGGAAGAGGAGGGATGGCGCGGGCGAAGATTAGAACATTCGTGACCTTTCACGCGTTTGGCAGCGCGAGGTCGCAGTGATTCGCAGATCTGTTCCACGACTTAATTTATCCAACACTTCCTACCTAATCGGGGATAGCGGCTTCCCTGACGGCTGACAAGCGCCAGGCGATGTGCAGAGAAGCGATTCACTGCTGCTAAAGGAAGCTCTACTGATGAGATCAGCTTACTTCTTATCCCGTAATGACTGTAGTTGAACGCAGCCACCTCCAGACAGCCAGAAACCCCCTAGTCCTGCCCATTCCCCGCAAGTCCGTCTCAACGAGGTTCGAATTGTCCGCTGCAGTTTCCCTACCATGTCTAAGCCTACCTTCGTCGTTGTGCCTGGCGCATGGCACTCCGCTGAGATATATTCCGCGACCACAAAGACTCTGGAAGCGCATGGGTACCAAACAATTGGACTGGAAATGCCATCAGTGGGCGCAGAGCCAGCTCATCAAGATTGGAACGAGGATGTTCAAGTCATTCGACATTGCTTGCAGAAATTGATCGAGAAAGAAGAGAAATACGTGATTATAGTATGCCACTCGGTCAATGGCTTGGTCACTTCTGAGGCTGCCAAAGGGCTGAGCACTCAAGACCGCAAGGCACAGTCGCTGAAGGGTGGCATTGAGCGCTTGGTGTATATCATGGCTCTCGCGATGCCCGTTGGATTTCAATGCTGGCCTGCAGGGGATCACTCGACCGTCCCCAATTGGATGAAGATGGACAAGATGGTGAGTGGATATTGTTAGGTGTCCACACGCGCAAAAGCTGATTATGCCCAAGAAGGGCGTGGCCACCGTCACAGATGAAGATGCCCGAAACGTCTTCTACAACGATCTGAGCGACGAAGAAGCAATGAAATGGATCTCTGAATTGAAGCACCAAAGCGAGGGTGTCTATGTTACCCCCGTCACTTACGCGGCGTGGCGACATATCCCATCGACCTACGTAATTGGTACTGAAGACAAGTCGAGTATCTCGAGGGAAGTGGTGGACTACATGATCAATCAGGATCAGCCAAATGCCATTGATTGCGTGGAGACGTGTGAAGGCGGTGGCCATTGTCTTATGATCAGTCGGCCTGATTGGCTAGCGAGGGTGCTGAGACGGGCAGCGGGGGAGAAGGATATTGTGAGATGATGCACGTAGGCGCGTACCTTAACTAGAGATGGAGACTGCCCTCGCCTGTGATTGGTTCGCTCCACACCCCGGGGGCATTCTTAGCAGAATAATTTCTTGGAGGACGTCTCTGACGAACGGTTCCAAACTAACCCATAAGGCAATGTCCACCGGCTGCCCAACCTCGCGAGTGTGGATTCAGAGAACAGTGCGGGCCTGGGTTCGGACATCATGCCGGTCTGTATCGACCACATCAGCCATCAACCGTGGACTGCGCGCCACCAAATCCGCCGAGCGAGGGCGGCGAGATGTTGGCGAAAGGTTCTCGAGGATACAGAGGAGTGACCATGCCAGGCCGACTCAACAACGCTCCTCTTTGACACGTGAGCCTCCGCGCTGGCAGCAGAGAGATCGTATAAATCCAGGATATCGGCAACTCGCCAGCAAGGAAGCTGACCGAGCAAATGCATCATCTCCAAGGCAGCGCTTCGTCGAAGGCCAACAAAGGAGCAAGACCGCCAGTCCCGCCCAACAGCGCTCCCCTTTTAATCTTTCACGCTGGCATCAGGCAGGACGCGAGAACGCGAGGAAGTTCGAAGCCGCCGATGCGGAACCAGATCGATCTGAAGCCTCATCCCCAAGGCAGCGTTTCACGATACGCCGAGACCACCAACCAGGGAAAGATAGCGCTACCGATGGATCGAAGGAGACGTCGCCCAAGCCCCGCTTCAATGAAGTCAACGAGCAAGACTCGATCAACGCCATATTTGCCCAACTCAAGCAACCACTGACTACACTGCGATCTGGAAATTCCAATGAACGAAGCTTATCGGAGGTCCGTCGACTGCTGCGGACAGTCAATCAGAAGTTCAAGGCTGGATCATGGCTCAGCAAGCCTATCCATCGCGCCCTGACCGCCGAGTTCCCGTCCGAGCTATGGGGCTGGCGCAAGGAAGCCGGCACAATTCCGAGATTGTGGTTCAACCGACCGGAGAGGAGCGTCCAGTTAATCTTCGAAGATGGCTCATCGGACGAGAAGGTGTTGGTTGATATCATGGATGCCGAGGAGCGGAGCAAGCTCGTGCCAGCCGCAGGAGCCTCTGTTAAGAAAGAACCAGCATCGGAGCATGCAGCAGCATCTGCATCAGCCCGGCAATCGTTGTCTATTACTCGCACGCCTCGCGGTGATCGAATCAGCATAGCTCGCTCGGAGAACGAGGAGGTCGACGACGATAACCCCATCTCCGTCCCGTACAGCAATGCGGCCAGCACCTTTCTATACGGCTTCAACGTGATATTCGCCGCTTTGCAAGGCCGGCGTCGCAAGCTGTACAAGCTCTACCTCCAGCCTCGAGTGACTACTCGTGAAGCACAGGGACGATCCATCGAGCGTCTGGCTCGCGAAACTGGCATATCAATCGACAAAAACGTCAATCCCAGACTTCTTGACCGCATGTCCGAAGAACGAGCGCATAACGGTGTCGTTCTGGAAGCCTCGATCCCTCCTGCTCCACCTGTGTTGGCACTAGGCACTCCAAACCGCAGGTCCGGCGACGTTCCTCTCGTACTGAACTGGCAGAGTGCAGAGGATGCCGCAGTGAACGGCGCACCTCAGTCTCTCCCCACCAAAGCAGACTCCTGGCGCCACCCATTCATCGTCATGCTGGACGGCATCACAGACCCCGGGAACGTCGGATCCATCCTGCGAACGTGCTACTTCTACGGCGTGGATGCGGTCGCATTCGCTACGAACACATGCGCCAAAATCAGCTCTCCGGCCCTCGCCAAGGCGGCTTCAGGGGCTTGCGATGCCGCCCAGCTCCTAGCTTTGCCCAAGCCGAGTGGTTTCGTCTACGAGTCTGCGAAAGCCGGGTGGAAAGTCTACGCCGCGGTCGCCCCTGCATCCTCTAGCACGTCAGAGGATGGTGATCACCCACAGCACTCAAGAACGCCACATATGAGCACCTCTCTGTTGGCTTCCTCCTCGCCCTTGTTGCACCATCCTTGCATTCTCATCTTGGGAGCTGAGGGAGAAGGTCTGCGAGAGAATTTGAAGAGACGAGCCGATGCATTTGTTTCGATCGAAGGTGGACTGTCGGCCGGCGATGGTCTAGATGTTGGTATCGATAGTTTGAATGTGTCCGCGGCTGCGAGTGTCTTGCTTGAGTCATTCCTGCGCAAGCCGAAAGGCGCGCCGCCCAAGCAAGACACTACAGGCGAATTGGGATTCTAGAGGCTTGCTCCTCCTCACGCGCACGTCCTAGACGATGGAACAATGTGATGAGTATCGCAGCTTGCAATTCAAGATCTACGAGTCCAATATTCAATCCCTCTCTTAAAGTCAACCCCCTCCCCACCATTGTGCTATGCTGTAGTAGCCATTCCCACGTCACGCGAAGCAGTTCCCATTCTCACCCCACTGGAACGCAGTGCCACTCTCGACTCGAGCCGGAGCAGAGTGAAGTCTGTCAGATCTCCACGTCAATCCCCAGATCCAAGCCTCCCAGCTCGTCATCGACCTTCTTCTTCCCAAGCATCATGCCTAAGCCCGAGCGGTCCTTCTTCATCGCTCCATGCCCATTCATCGGCGTGCTCGCCCTGCTCCTTCTCATGCCCCCTGGGGTGCTCGTGCCGCTCATCGGCGTGCCGGCGCGAGAGAGATCGCTCCCGAACAACTCCGCCATGTCACCGCCGGGCACACCAAGCAGCTCAGCCTTCTTCCTCTCGGCGTCCGCTGCGGCCTTTGCTTTTGCCATTGCTGCGGCCTTTTCCCGTTCGCGATGCAGCTTCTTGCGCTCCTCAAGCAAAGCCTTCCGCACGTCGTCTGCATTCTTGCCGCGATTCTTCTGGTTGATGAGGGCGAGGCGTTCTTGCGACGACTGCGCTGCTGCCGCGAGTGGTTTGACGGGGCTTGGCTTGGCTTTCGAGGCGCTGTTGCTGATGGCGGTATTATTCTCCAAAGCTGCGAGTTCGGCATCACATCTTGCGATCTCTTCACCGTCTTCAGTCTCTTCTGCCTCGTGTTTGCGTCGCAGGATGTCCTGACGCTTGACGTTCACAATGTTGGCGGGATTCACGCGGTTCTGCATTTCCCTTTGTCGCGTAAATTTGCCTTGCAGAGTCAATTCGTCCCAGTCGATGTTGAGGAAGCGGTGGAGGTCGTCGAGTTTCTGATGGAGCCAGAGGCGCTTTGGGAGGCGGATCCGTTCTTTCTCGAGCGTAGCCTTGTAGTGTTGGAACTCGGCATCGGTGAAGGCGGAGTCAGAGCAGGCAGAGAACGGCCATGGCTTCTCAGCCAGCCCGTGAGAAACGAGAGCGTAGGTATCGGTCTGGTAGGTCTTCCCGTTGGGAAGTTCCAGCGTGTAAGGTTTGCCTGGGGTGAAACCTGTGCATCGAAGAAGTCAGCATGACGGACAGTGAAGTCGGGTAGGGCACGCTGTGACTCGCCTTTGATCTGCGTCATGCGATACATGTTCTGTCCAGTCTCGCGATTCATGCCGATGCTGACGCGAGCGAAGCAGCCCTTCATGGTCTCTTCGAAGTGAGGGTAAAAGTGAATCTTTGCAAAAGCTGAGCGGCCGATGCGGCATCGATCGACGTCTTTGAGCTCGGCTGCTGGCTCGTCTCGGCGAGACTTCGAGGCAGGCTCTGCCCACTCCACCTCGCTCTCACCATCTGCGTCACGGTCTGATGCTGAGGCTGACAGAGAGCGCTTTCCGCTGCGACCGCCAGCATCGAGTCTTGAGGTCCTCTCAGCACCCTTAGCTTCACGAGCCTTCTTGTAGTCATCCAAGGCGCTGCGTCCAGTCTTTTCGGTCTTGGCGCGGCTGCTCTTTCTGACACCATCGTCCAAGTCTGCTGCGGCAGCCTTGCGTTTCTGATTCTTGCTTGCTTGGGCTTGTGAAGTGGCGAAGGCTTTTTGAAGCTGCAGGTCCTGCTGGCGCTTGAGCACTTCAGCAGCACGTTCGGCAAGGATGGACTCTCGTTCGATTTCCGGCAGGCTGAGGATGTTTCGGCGGTCTTCGGCTGAAAGGAACTTTCCGTCATAAGGGTAAAGGGCGGCATCTTCTTGGGGGTCGATGGGTGACGCTGGGGCATCGGCGTCGCTGCCGGGATCCATCATAGCTTCTGAGCCTGGAGATGCAGGAGCGGAGGAAGAGCTGTAGGAAAAGCGAAGATGTCAGTCTGCGGCTTATGTAAGTGAGCGCGGTGTTTGCTCGCTCAAGCACTCACCCGTCGTCCAAATCGTCCAGGTCGTCCAGGATTTCCTGGTCACGTCGACGATCTCGATCGGCCTTCTTTCTCCTCTTCCTCACTTTTTGGGCAACTCCACGCCTTGCACTTGGAGGAGGCTCATCAACTGTTGGTTTCTCCACGCTTGGCTTGACTTCTTCACTTGGGCTGCGCAGCTCGTGATTGACGAGTTGGGTTTGCTCGTCAGGGGCCTCTGACTCGCCGTCGGAGCTATCGTCTCCCGCCATGGCCAAAAGTTCGGCGTCGACATCGAGCTCGTCTGCCGACATGATTGCTGGTTCGAAGAGTGAATGGAAGGTGTGACTGGTGCAGACAGATCTCGAGGGCTGAGGTGCGGCGAGTGGAGTCGGGTTCTCGTGAAGGACAGGAGGGGTTGGGCAGGGGCTAACGAGGGGGTTTGCTCTCTCAGAAGACGCGAAGGATGTCCAAATCAGAGGTCTTGGAGCGCTAGATCTCGATCTATTAAATGAGTGGAGGGTGAAAAGACGAACAATAACCGGCCTGGCTGGTGTGGTATTGTCGTCGCTCTATTGACGTGGAATGGCGGTGCAAAAGTGATGGCGGCGGGAGGAGCCGGGCGCGCTGCGCCGAGCCCGGCGATGCTGCCGATTGGCGCGACTGGTGCAAGGGTGCCGTGAATTTCCATGACGATCTCACTTGAACTTCACTCTTCGACACGTGCGATGCATTACTTTTAACGTGCCTTTGCTTCTCTGCGACACAACTGCTCAGATGATCTAATCCATCGACTTTACGCACCTCTGCGACTTAGACATACATCATGGCCCTTCTTTTCCTACGGGAGACGATGCCTGTTGTCCATCTATCCACTAGATCTCGCCTGACGCCCTTGGCTTTTCAATTAAAAGCCCGAAACTCACCAACTGGATGCCGTCGCAACTTCACATCAACCCCAGTCGGAAGACGTCAAGACCCTCTGGCTCGCACAGGCCTGGATTTGGAGCAGAAAAAATACCTGGAATCCGCCCTGCGCGTCAATCAGGCGGGCGAACTGGCAGCAACCCTCATCTATTCCGCTCAAACTCCGCCCTTGCTCAAATCCCATCCCTCCCTTCGCAACTTAATGAAGCACATGTACGAGCAGGAAGCCGGGCACTTTTCGACGTTCAATCACTTGATGGCGAAACATCGCATTCGCCCCACTGCCATGTACCCCGTCTGGTCCACACTCGCGGCAGGGCTCGGATGGGCGACGGGAGTCATGGGAAGGGAAGCCAGCATGGCGTGCACAGAGGCCGTGGAAACGGAGATTGGCGAGCATTACAACAACCAAGTCAAGGAGCTGTTGACGTGGGTGGAGGCGAGGCAAGCCCGGGGGGAGGCCGTGGGGGAGGAATTGCAGGGCCTACTTGGCGTGATCCGCAAATGTCGAGACGAGGAGTTAGAGCATTTGGATCATGCAGTGGAGAACGATGCGAAAGAGGCCAACCCATACGAACTGTTGACCGGCGTGATCCGGGCGGGGTGTCGCGGCGCAATCTGGGTCAGCGAGAGGGTGTGACATGAGAGCAACCAGGCGACTTGGCATGAAAGCGGATGTGAAACTTGCGACAAATGTCATTGCCATCGTTGATTTTAGTTATGTGGTGGACAATCTACGAGACATGCGATGCGACACTACATGCGCGACGGCGAAGCGGCAACAGGCGATGACGATGACGGCAGCCCCTGAAACATGCCCCGACTTGCTCGACCATCACGATGACCTTCGTCTCCCCGAGATCCCCACGAGTTTTGAATGGATCATGAGAAGACTCTCAGAGTGGACAAGTCCTTCACTCGTTCCTTCACTTGTCGAAATGGTGAAGGCCGCGTGGTTGGAGCGCTGGACGGGCTGCGGATGCGCATGTGTGTAAACCTAGTCGTCCTCCCAGCCACTTCATTTCCTCCCATTGTCACGGTTGTCGTATTGTCACCAAAACTTATTGTTTCAACGACAGTACTAGACACGCCCTTCACCTTGCACTTTCCACGAACATCTCGCTTCCTTCCCATCTTTATCATTCACAGTCTGACCTTGCCGTCTGCACCCCCTGCATTCATCATTCAACTGCATTGCAACTACCTTATCACCACTCCAACACCACTCGAAAACATCTTTAGCCATGGCGCGCAGAAAGAAGTCCAGCAAGTCCAGCAAGTCCCCCAAAACCTCATCTTCCAGCGTGTCTCCGCCTGGAAAAGGAGCTCGCCTCAGTTCCGGCTCTTCCAAATCAACCAACTCGTCCAACAGCCCCTCAGCAAAAGACAAAGGCCTCCCTGCATTCCTGCCATCGGAACGCGTTTCGAAAAATCCTCGCAATGAGACAAAGGGACCGCCCTTCGTCACTCCTCGCCACACGCCAGCCGAGATGAAGAAGGACTTGGATGCCTTTGGCTTCGCCGCGGATGAAGTCACGGAGATGATCAGCCGCAAAGATGCCGACTGGGACCCGGCAATGCCAGGATGTATCTACGACGGTGTTGCGAAAGCCCAGGTTCTTAGGGAGAAGAGGGAGAGAGGGGTGAAGAAGAATGTCTTGAAAGCGGACAAGGAGACGTATAAACCGCTCCGCCTGAACCCTGATCGCCCTAGTACGTTTTCCCTTGCATTCGCTGCATATCCCACGAGACCTCCGCTAACTTGACTATCCAGACTGGGTGCTGTTCGATGCAAACAAAGGCTTCGGGTCAACAGGCAGCGATCCACCAGCCTTTGTCGAAGCCCTGGCGACTTTCAAACCGAACAACAAGCGCGTCTTGGAGTACAACATCGAATCGGACAGTGTGCGTGTGCGCTCTACGCCGCCCATGTTGCAGGGGAAGGAAGTGGAGTATACCGACCTGGGGCCGAAGATCGTCGACAGCATTCTCATCCCGGAGAAGAAGGGAGATGGCAGACCAAGCAAACATCCCCTTTCGAACGTCATTGTGGGAGACGATGAAGTTGTGGAGACCAGCGTCGCCGCAGACCAAGTGGGCAAACACACCGACGCGGAGTTCCCGGCCAAGACGACCACCCCGAAGCTACCGGGCAAGACGAGCACCCCGAAGCTACCGAGCAAGACCAGCGCCGATGAAGCCACGACAAACGAGCAAGTGGAAGATACGATTACGGTGCAACATCCACGTCGTCAATCACGCAAATCCTCTCTCTCTGCAGATGCCGACGTGAAACAGGAAACGGAGGAAGGCGACGTGCTTGCAGACCCGGCGGACACAACCACCGCCGTCGACAAGGCCGATGAATCTGAAGAAGATACCATGGTGAAGAGACTGCGCGGTCGGAAGCGTAAGTCTTCCGAGATTGCGAAGCAGGCGGCTGACGATGCTGCTATGAAGAGAGCCCCAGCTGCGAAGTCTGCAAGGAAAGATAGTGTGATTGGAGCCACGGGAGTGCACGATGATGGTGAGGTGAAGGTCAAGCGGCCGCGAGGTAGGCCTCGCAAACACCCGCGACCTACAAGCGAGATGGCGTCTGGGGTCGCTGCTGAAGAAGGAGTGGCTACGCGCAGGATGAGCAAAGACAGCAGTGCCGGCGGAAAGGTTGTCGAGCAGAACGGAGAGCCGCGAGGAAAGAAAAGAAAGTCTAGCGAGAGTGATGAAGGGACATCGATGAGTGCGAATTCGATTGACGAGGCTAGTGGGGGGATGAACAAGGACGACGATGTTGGAGAACAGGGCGTTGGGCAGGATAGAGAGCCGCAGGAGAAGAAAAGGAAGGTGGTCAAGGCGGAGCCCGAATGAGTGCAAATGCAAGCGACGAGGGTTAGAGATGTGGCCGGGACAGGCGGAGAATGTGTGCTGGGCAGATCTGCGCGAGAGGCTTGCATGTGAAGGAAGAGGACTTCGATACTTTAATTGGAACTACCATCAATGATAGACCGCTTCGTAGCAATATAATGCAGGCGCAGAATAGACACCTCAGCGCTTGCCCTCCGTGTCTTTCCAATTATCATGTGGTCCAGCCTTCCTCTTCCCCGCTCTCACAGATGCGCTATCCGCTCGTGGGGAAAGTGATAGCATTTGCGGATCGATTGAACAGGTATCATTGGCCGTGGTCCATTCTTTGATGACGTCCCACGGCAGCGGCCGCTTGGGTTGAGGAGCCGGGAGTGGCGATTGCAGCGGGTCGTACTGCGCTGGAGATTGTGAGCCAGAAGATGCCGCGCCTGGAGCGGATTGCGCGCGATTGTTGGCCCGGGCAGGAACTCTTTGTAATGGCTGGACGAGTTCCTCCGCAATCGGGTCCGCCGGCAGTTCCGCTGGCACTTCTGCCGGCAGCTCCACAGGCGATTTTATCGACGGTGGTGCTCGCCGGGGCACAAATGGCGGTGGCCCCAAAGGCGGTGCTAGGGGTATCGGATCAATCTCCACCAGCTGCCCGTGCCGCCTACGCTCGAGGCCCTCCACAGCATCTTCCAGATAGCGTAGATCATCCTTGCTGCTCATCTCAAGTCCACAGAGTGGGCACGATAGCCGTGGTCGCGCATCCAGCCAGTCCACGAGACATTGTTCGCAATGCCAATGTAAGCATGGCGTTCGAACCGGTTCCCGCGGACCTGGTTGGTGGCCAACGAGACAACTGACCTGGCCCAGGATGTCAAGCCTGTCCGAGAGTCTCTGGAGCTCTGCAACGCCGTGATCGCAAACGGTGCTTACCCGATGAAGCAAGGATGGGAAAAGACCTTGTGGAGGCGTGTCTCTGATCAAATTCCGAGTATCTAGAAGAGCGCGCTGCACAGACTGGATCAGCTGTTGATTCACTTGCTGTGAAGACTCCTTCGGCGGTATCTGGGGCCCAGACATTGTAATCGAGAGCGCGTATATGTTGCGAGATCTGTTGATATGGCCATATCTGCGTCGATGTGTTTATGTATCATGCTGATTGTGAGTTTGCTATATGTTGTCCGTCATAGAATGAGTACCAGAAATCAGCAAGTAATACTGCTCAAAGAATCGTGTGCAAAGATCGATACGTTGCATGCAAAGACCGGGAAGATGCCGCAATGCTGCCGGCATGGAATGCAAGCCACGGACATCGACGAACTCCTGCGTTGCATGATGTCTAGTCATGGTCACGATCCTTGCAGCAGCCGGAAACTGTATATTTAAGATATTGGTGTTTCGAGTATATGCACAAAGCGCATGATTAATGTGCTGTTGTAAGCAAAACGGACAAGGTCGTGCAGGTTGTAGCAAACACCAAGCACATATGCGACTAACCCAACTCGGAAGGTACGCTGGACCCTGAAAATGATTAGGTAAGCCGGCTCGGAATCTTTCGCGCGCTGGAAAGTTTTGGCCGCGCAGAGACCCACCGGGCTGGATTTGATGGACGAAAATTATAGTCGTCCGGGCAAAATGCAGAATGTCCGGCCCCTTCTACATCCGTGACAGCAAACGCAAGAAGTTCCACCATTCCAAGCGCCCGTACTTCCCCGCTCTCATGTCTGGAGCGTTGCCGCCACCAGTTGAGAAGAGCGCCATGGCAAAGGCGGATGGGAAGAAGCGCAAGCTCGCCGATACCGTTGCCGATACTGCATTGACGAACGGCGCATCGAACGGCGATGACGAGCGCCAGGCGAAAAAGACAAAGAGAGATCGCAAGCGGGAGAAGAAGGAGCGAGCGGCTTTGGAGAAGGCAGAGTCTGCAAAGGCTCGAGAAGCTGAGGTACAGGTTGGAGAGCAAGTGAACGGAGAATTGAAGGCGGCGGTCGAGGAAGGTGACGATACTACAAGTGCGGCCGTTGTGCAAGCACCGAGCGACGTCGCTACACCTGAAGACGACTTTGAAGGATTCGAGTCCGAAGAGGAGGGAGACGCAGCCGCAGGAGCGGCCGAGGGTGCCGCAAATGGTGTCGCTCTGACACACGACGATACCGAGCAAGCTACCCAGCCTACAACCAACGGTCACTTGGAAGAGCTTCCCTCCGATCTGGGTGTCTCGCTCCCCAACTCCAAGGCAGAGCCGACAAAGTTTGCAGAACTTAATCTGTCGGAGCGCACCATGCGGGCGATAAAGGACATGCCGTTCGACACAATGACCGAGATTCAGCGACGAGGAATCCCTCCCTTACTGGCAGGCCGGGATGTACTCGGTGCGGCGAAGACCGGCTCAGGCAAAACGCTCGCCTTCCTCATACCGGCCGTAGAGATGTTGAACTCGCTGCGATTCAAGCCGCGGAACGGGACGGGCGTGATAGTGGTGTCGCCGACTCGCGAACTGGCTCTCCAGATCTTCGGTGTCGCAAGAGAACTTATGGAACACCATTCTCAAACCTTTGGCATCGTCATGGGCGGCGCAAATCGGCGAGCGGAGGCCGAGAAGTTGACCAAGGGTGTCAATCTCCTCATCGCCACCCCTGGTCGCTTGTTGGACCACCTGCAGAACACACAGGGCTTTGTCTTCAAGAACTTGAAGGCCTTGATCATCGACGAGGCCGATCGTATCCTCGAGGTTGGATTCGAAGATGAGATGCGACAAATTGTCAAGATTCTACCCAAGGACGACCGACAGACGATGCTCTTTTCCGCCACCCAGACGACCAAAGTCGAAGATCTTGCCCGCGTGTCTCTGCGTCCACGGCCACTGTACATCAATGTCGAGTCTTCCAAAGAGCACAGCACCGTCGAAGGTCTGGAACAAGGCTATATCATTTGCGACGCCGACATGCGTTTCCGACTGCTCTTCACCTTCCTCAAGAAGTATTCCAAGAAGAAGATCATCGTCTTCTTCAGCAGCTGTAGCTGTGTCAAGTATTACAGTGAGCTGCTCAACTACATCGACCTGCCCGTCCTCGACCTGCACGGCAAGCAAAAACAGCAGAAACGCACAAACACCTTCTTCGAGTTCTGCAACGCCACGCATGGCACCCTCATCTGCACTGATGTTGCCGCCCGAGGCTTGGATATCCCCGCTGTGGACTGGATCATCCAGTTCGACCCCCCGGATGAGCCAAAGAACTACATCCACCGGGTTGGACGGACGGCCAGAGGCGCGAATGGTGTGGGCAAGAGCCTGATGTTCCTCCTGCCGAACGAGGTGGGGTTCTTGAGGCACTTGACAGACGCGAAGGTCCCGTTGGTCGAGTTCGAGATTCAGCCAAAGAAGATTGTGGATGTTCAGAGCCAGCTCGAGCAGCTGATCGGGAAGAACTACTATTTGAATAAGGTATGTTGGCCCTCGAATGAGTAAATGAAGATGGCATGCTGATTATTGTTGCCGTTTAGTCTGCGAAAGATGGTTATCGCTCTTACTTGCAAGCCTACGCCTCGCATACCCTCAAATCCGTATTCAACGTCAACAAGCTCGACTTGACCAAGGTGGCGAAGAGCTTCGGCTTTCCCACGCCGCCAAGGGTGGACATCAATCTGGGCGCGAGCATGAAGAGAGTCGAGGGAAGGAGGTCGTATGGCAGCCAGCCGAAGCAGAGGTTTAAGCAGAACAGGTAGTGGTTGCTATGAGTGCACTTCAGCTATTGTACAGATCGTCCATCTCGATTCACGCAACCATCCAATACAATCAGCCACAAGCAACGCTCATGAATACCGTCGACGTGGACTCTGACAAGACACGCCACAATATCACTCCATGCCTGCCATCATTGGTAGTCCATGAACCGTTTGCGCCCAAGCCAGATCTCAGATCAGCTCACACGTATTGTCGTAGCCAAGCCGCCTACGCATCACCTTCCCGACGACGCCTCACATTTCTCGACACGTCATCCATGCTGCTCCTTCTCTTCCGTCCTTGATGTCCCTGCCTGCCATTGCTGTCCCCGAAGCCCACCTGAGCAGACACACGGAGTGCCTTCCTCAACTCCTCCTGGAGCCGATCGATCTCCCCTCTCAAGCGCCCCTCCCTTCTTTTCACCGATTCAGCCTCCTTCGTGGCCTCTCTGGCCTTTGTCTCTGCTGCTGCGAGCCGGTTTGCCTCCTCCTGGCGTTCAGTCTCAATGCGAGCATTCCACTTTCCTTCCCACTCCGACAATTTCGCATCGACATTTTCGAGGTGCTTTTGAGACAGTTGTTTCAACTCGTCGGCGCGCTCACGGTGCACAGCGTTGATATCTCGTTGGTGCTGTGTATGCTGTTGCTGGATTTGCTCTCGCTGCTGCTCTCTGACCAGCGTTACGATGGCACTGCTTCTTCAACTCCCCGATCGTCGCCAAGTAGCTGCTGCGTTCTTGATGAGGCATGATCAGATTGGAGTTGGCTGGGGGAGCTTGTGCGGGCCGAGGATATAGGGCTGCGGGTGGAGGTGCAGGGATGATGGAAGTCATTAGAGCGGCTGCTCCTGGAGTAGGTTGAATTTGATTGCCGTGGACGCCTAATCCATTCGGGCGTCTGGCACTTGGATTCCTGAAGGCTGATGAGGGCTTGAACTTTTGTTGGTCCATCGCAACTGTTGATGATGGACTGGCTGCTTCTGCGACGTTGCGAGGAAAGAAACAGAGGGTGACTGGTATCAGAGATTGCGGAAGAGTATTGACGAGTCTGTTGAGAGAATATGGGCAGAAACAAGAGAAGAAGACGGACGACCTTATAGGGAAAGAAGAAAGCATCCTGACCTCCGTCTTCACTCCCCGTGGCGTGAGGGAGAGACCAGCCGCAGCCTAAACGTGAACATCTTCCAGGAGTGAATGGGTTCGTTCCAGACGAGACATCTGTCCGGCACCGCAAATAATGCCCGTCCAGGCTCGATGAGAACAATTGGATCCCCGCGTTTGTTGCACGAAACAGACTCCTAAATCATTCACGATGGAAAGACGGCGAGTGAATAGGACTGGCGTACAGCTCGAAACGTTTGCTCGCCGTGTGAGACAGGCACTCCGCAAGCTCGTTGAAGGAATGTTGGGCGGCTGTCTTTGAATTAAGAGACAGAGGATGTTTGATGCCAGCCAAAGGAGTGAAGTCAAAACCCTCGCCCCTTTTCGAATTTCCCCGAGGAAAGTCCGAGGGGAATTTCCACACGCGACAGCTTGTCACAAGCCGCGTACAAGGAATTCGTTCCACCCATGAATGCTTCTCTTCTTCCATCGCGACACCCTTGAATGCGCTCTTTGACGCCCTCTGCGCATCCTTGATTACTGCCCACCATGCTCGCCATCAAACTCCTTCTCGCCTTCCTCCTTCCCCTCGTCGCCGCGCTGAAGTTCGACATCCAAGCACACCCCGGCCACGAGTCCAAGGAAAAGGAGCGATGCATTCGCAACTGGGTGCAACGGGATCAATTGGTCGTCGTCACGGCTAAAGTGAGCGGCTCAAAAGGCGACGGCCAGCAACTGAACGCAAGAGTACGTCTTCACAACCTCGCCAGCTTCAAATATTCGTACATCACGAAAAGGGGGACCAGTCATGAAATCTAACTCCACTGCACCAATAGATCCTCGACCACACAGACAACTACTACGGCCGACCACGCGACATCAACGGCGAGAATCGCTACGCCTTCACCTCTCACGCCGAAGGCCCCTTTGACGTCTGCTTCGAGAACATCCTCGTCGGCTCGCACCTCCGCGACCCCTACCGCAGCATCGAGCTCGACATCGACATTGGCGCCGATGCGAAAGACTGGACCGCCGTTCAGGCCAATGAGAAGCTGAAGCCAATGGAGGCGGAGCTGCGGCGCCTTGCGGAAATTGCGTCCGAGGTGTCGGAGGAGTTGGAGTATCTGCGCACACGAGAGATGAAGCTGCGAGACACGAATGAGAGCACCAACGAGCGGGTCAAGTGGTTTGCCTTGGGCACAATGGGCATGCTCGTTTCGCTTGGAGTGTGGCAGGTGGTGTATCTCCGGGCCTACTTCAGGAGCAAGCATTTGATTTGAGCAAGGCCCGAGGCTGAGCTGGTCTCTGGAGCCTGTGGGAAAAGTGTTTGGGAGATGCGCACAGCATGTTTGGCGTTTACAGCGGAAGCGATGTCAGAGATAGACGAAGACGACGAATGTGGTCACGGATGAAGCATGCTTTGGACAGCACAGCATACATACAGCCAAGCAGCATCGAAGCTCGCTCAAACACTGCGCGTTTCTCTTCAGTGTCGCTCAAGGAGACTTGAACGTGTTATTGAGAGACATCAAGACGATCCGTGGACACATAGGCAAGTAAAGAAGAGGCAATGTTGATTAGGTCATTATGAACGGTAGGTGCGCATCAATAGGGAACTCTTTTCCGCACGTCCGACATGATCAAGCTCCAAAGAATTTGCCAAACGATGAGGCCGATGGCTTGTCGGCAGGCTTATCAGCGGGTTTGTCGGCGGGCTTGTCAGCGGGCTTGTCGGCAGGCTTGTCACCGGGCAGCTTTGGGGCCGCTGGCGGCGCCGGCGCATCTGGCTTGTGCGGAGCGTGCAATCTGTGACCAGTCAGCCCGGCTCGGCAGCGGTATAAAGTACTCACTGGGAACTTACTTGTCCTTGAACCCATCGAAATGCCCCTTCATCCCCTTGAACATGCCCGAGTGCTGCTTTGGATCAGGAGTGGCAGGCTTCGGCTCGGGAGCAGCAGGCTTTGGTGCAGGGGGAGCAGCAGGTTTGGCTGCTGGGGCTGCAGCAGGCTTTGGATCAGGCTTGGGTGCTGGAGGGGCCGGCTTGGCCGCAGGAGCCGCAGGTTTCGGCGGGGCCGATGCAGCCTTTGGGGGCTCCGGCGCTTTGGTGGGCGCGGAAGGCCCTCCTGGAGCGGCAGGCTTGTCATCCGGCTTCGGAGGTGCAGGCTTGGGAGCGGCGGGCTTATCATCTGGCTTGGGAGCGGCAGGCTTGTCATCTGGTTTCGGAGCGGCAGGCTTGTCATCTGGTTTCGGAGCGGCAGGCTTGCTATCTGGTTTGGGGGCCGCAGCCTTGTCGTCTGGCTTGGTGGCGGCAGCATCCGGTTTGGGGGCTGCAGGCTTATCGTCTGGCTTTGGGGCCGCAGGTTTGGGATCGGCAGGCTTGGGATCGGCGGCAGGCTGCATGAAGTCAGAGCTGGTCAAGAATTGCGGCATAGCGAGCCACCCACCTTGTCATCACCAGGTCCATCGAACTGCCAAGGTTCTGTCTTTTCGGCCGGGCAAGCCTGTGTATGCGTGTGGACATGCCAGTGGCAGTCAGACCCACGGCGAGCGTCGTGTTCACCATTGCGATGCAGATTGACGAGCTCGTTGGCGAAATCCACGCTGAGCTCGGCATTCTTGCTCAGCACTTCTCGCATGCTTTCACTGATGAAAGCGTTGCCGCTCGAGGCAGGAGTAGGCTCAGTGACGGCAGGGCTTTTCGAGTGTTCCTCAAGGAGGCGGAAGGCAGCCGTGCTGACGAGGAAAGCACGCATATGATTGGGGCCATGGGTGATGGTGTAGATGTACTCCAAGCGGTAGGGAGCGGCGGTCATATTCTGCTCTCGATAGTAGTCACGGACGAGATCCATCACCTGGTTCTGCAGACTCTCAATCTCGAATTTCTGCGCCAGCATGTACAGGCCCAAGTAGTGTCCAAAGCTGTGGAAGTCATGGGGGCCGGCCAGTTTGCCATCGGTGGTGAGCCAGTGCATGAACAGTGCCATGGTGAAGTCATCGATGTCGCCAAAGGCCATGTGCTCGGCCGAGTGCACCTTGCCGTCGTGACCGGTGTCTTCGGCGAGAAGCTTGGTGAAGTACGGACTCTTTTGCCGGAGCACGGAGCTGGGGATATGGAAGGGCACCTTGTCTTTGCCGATGTACAGGGTAGTCAGGGAAGACTGCGGGTTGCAGGCTTGAAGATGGCTTGAGGCCTGAGCGGCCGCTGCGAGATGGTCTGGCTCTTTCCAGTCGACAGAGGAGACAAGTGCCTCGTTCTCCGCCTTGGATTGGATCTGGCCCTGTGGAAGGGGGGTGACAAGAGGAGCCACTACTGACGACATTGTGCTGTAGTAGAGCGTGTGCTGAAGGAGGGACTGTATTGCAATGGAGATGTGCGAGTGCAAACAAGGCTTGGAAGAGACACTGCAGTGAGAGGGATGCAAAGAGGAGAATGTAGAGTGAAAGAAGCAGATGTTGATTTGGAGAGAGGGAGAAAGGAGACGGGGTTGCCTTGACGAACAAGGACACACACAAGGAGAAGGAGCCTGGGGAACCGGGGCAGGTGCTTTCTCATATCCGGCAGGGCGAAGCAAGAACGGCGCATGCACGCAGGTAACAACGTGGAAAGAAGAGACGTTCGCAGAGCAAGCGCAGGTCGTCCGTATGTGCAATCAGCCACCGGACACATGCGTTGTGCTCCTGCACCTTTGAGGCCCGCCTTGGGAACATGAAGAGACCGCATCTCGACATTGGTGTTTGGAAGGTACATAGGCGAGGTGAGCACGAGGTGAAGTGCTGTCGCATTGGTTGCTGGCCATAAGTCGTGGCGTGGATCCGCCCGATCGTTGACGTCGAAAGCTCGAGTCCATGAGCCTTCGAACCGCCTCCAAACTGCCACTCTCTTTTAATCGCCCTTCACCACCATCCGTCTCCCTCTCTCTTCCCCTCCATCTCCACGAGCTGCAGCCCACTCCACAATGGCATCAGTGCGCTTCGTGCAACGGTCAAGCCGGCTGGCCGCCCGCACATCCTACCGCTCCTTCACCACTACCCCATGCCGCCTCCAAGGCGAGCAGCCGAAGCAAGAAAAAGTAGACTTCTCGGGCATCAATGCCCGAGCAAACGATACCGCGCCCGAGTACCGCAGATTTCAGACCGAGAAGCCGTTGAACCCCCACATGACCAACACCACCTCCACCATCGCCAACGAGATGCCCAACCTCGGCGCCGACAACCCCCCACCCGAGCTCATCACCAACGTCGACCCCAACTACGTCCCGAAAGACTCCGTGCCGGAGAACACGGAGAAGATGACGGGTGGCACGCAGAAGGGCGCCCCTTCCAGCGGGCCCAATGTGGAGCTCAAGGTAGGTGAAATCGAGGGCGGCACGTTCCGTGTCGAGCCTCTACGCCGCACCGGCGAAGATCCAAACACCATGCGCGCTCGTCTCCTATGTAAGCCTGCTACGGTTTGAATGTGGATATGAGCGCTAACGCTGATGGTGGCCTCCAGACCAATCGCGGAAAAGGGGCACGCTAGAGTCCGACCTGCTCCTCTCCACCTTTGCCGATGCGAACCTGGCGGCGATGACGCCGAAGCAGCTGCAGCAATACGACTTGTTTCTCGACGAGAACGACTGGGATATCTACTACTGGGCCACGCAACAGCCGACGCCGACGTCGAGTGAAACGGCGGAAGGAGGGGACCCCAAGTTTGCCGCTTCTCCTACCGCTGGAAAGGCTCCGGACGGCGGGCCTGTTTCTCAGACCGATGGCTGGAGGGTGGGCAAACCGCGGAGCGGCGAATGGGCGCAGACGGTGGGCACGTTCAAGCCTGCCTATCGCCCCGTGCCGCAACGGTGGAAGAATAGTCAAATCTTGTCGTTGTTGAGGAAGCATGTCATTGATCGCAGCGCTGGCAGAGTGCATGTGGCTGGAGACGACAACGCAAAGGTGGATGGAACAGGTCTTGGTCAAGGGGTGCGTGGTGTTGGGGGTGGCGGGTTGGGCTTCATGCCAGAACTGCGGAATTTTGATCGGTAGTGTCCATATGCGCGAGACTTATTCATGAAAACCACATCTTTGCGCATATGTAAGGTCTACATCTACAGACCATGCAGATTCCATGGATCGTCTCGCCGTCCAAAGACTCGGGGGATCTGTACGTGGATCATCGGGATGTCGTGACATCACCCATCCAAGCTTCCTGCCAGATCGGGACATACTCGTAGACATCCTGATATTCTGCGACTTTCACGCTCCTTGACTCCACGACAATCAGACACACGTTTCCTTTGAAGACTATTCAGCACCTCCTCACCTGAAGCTCAACATGGCTTCTGCGGCTATTCTCGTGAGGCCATCAAGCTCTTTTGCCGCATTGAGATGGATCGCTCGAACTTCTCCCCGAACATTGAACCGAGCCTTGTCCACTCTTCCCAGCAACCCTCACATCGTATGTGACTTCACCACCGCATGTCCCTACACTGCTGACTGACACCCGACAGTACATCCACGAACAATCAGAAGGCGGCCAGAAACACTACCTCTACTCCCTCCTCCCCAACACGCCGCCTAACCCTGCCCTTGCCGCCGGCTCGAGCAAAAGCTACCCTCCCACCCTCGAAAGCTTCGAAGAGAACCACGACTTTCTTGACATTGTGCATTTCGTGATCCAAGAGCACGCAGCGCATGATCCAGACGTGCAAGGCCAGGCAGCGACCTACGCCTCGCAAGCCGGCTCCTCTCTCGGCAGCGGCGGCGTCTTCTTCCCCCAACAGCGTCAGCGGCGCAAGAATATCACAGGGGGCGGAGGCGGTGCAGGCGGTGATGGCGCGGGTGGAGCAAGTGCACAGGGTGGAATGGGAGGTGCGGGAAGAGGAGGCTATATCCACGTCAGCGACACGCGTAACCCGCCGGACTTTGGCCGCGTCGCGTGGCCGGAGGACATTTTTGGCAGTCTAGAGTTGGATGGGGACGGGAAGTTCGTCGATGGCACGGGCAGGTATCAGCGGGCTGGAACATACAGGATCATGACGAATGAGGGTACGCTTGGATTGAGCGATTACTTGAGGAAGAAGTTGAAGGAGCGGTTGACGGAGCTGGATGCGCAGGCGAGGAAGAATGGATAAGTTGGACGAGCTCTGCATCAAACCAGGATTCGGGCCCCCAACCAAGTGATGGGATGTACCCGGCCGATCGGAAGTACAACTCGGGACGTAAAGAGTCGCGACAAGATGAGATTCCCCGGAGTCCATCACAGCCACCAAGCACGGCATGTCGGCATGGCAGTGAAGCGTCGCCACTCAATGACCCTCTTTGTGCATCTTGCCAATATTCTCGTGGCCAATCTTTATCACCTTTACCTTGGACCTGTCCATGAACTTGGCTTCATCCGCCCGGATAACCTCCCCAATGCCCTCCGCGTTGCGCGCTCTCATGCTCTCGTGGAAATGCTCTTCGCTCGCATACGTGATGACTGCGATCAAGTCTGCATCGTCGGATGTCGGCGATCCAACGGCGAAGCCCGAGTCTTTGTTGGTGTAGTAGCGAGTATGGCTTAATGGATGCTTGTCGCCCAGCAGCGACTCCACGAGCGGGGCATGGATGTTCTCGATGTAGTCGCGGAATTCGGTTGCGGTGATTGTTGGAAGGCGATAGCAGAAGAGAAGGACGGTGGGAGGAGCCATGGCTGGGGGAAGCGGTCGTTAGTGATGGCTGTTTCGTGATGACGGGTAAGTCGTCGTAGACCATCGTTATCGACGAGAATCTGCTAGAGCACCTATGCTCCAACCAGCCTCTCTTGTTATGATGGAGTCGGGGCGGCGGAGGACGGAGATAAGTGACTGGAGATTACCGTGTGGTCGTGGACATAGGAGCGGACCTTCACCTCCCGATCTCACCAACAGCAAATAGGGCGGAACACAATCCAGGAAACCGCTCTGAACAACCCCCGGTAGACAAGTAAGATGCTGACAAATAATCAGACTTCATCTGACATCAGAATAGGCCAGGACTCATCAGACGTCCACGTTATCAGCTTCGTGTATTCAATGTTCTTTAAGGTAAGGGATTGGTAAGTGAGGTGCTGCGAGGGAAATGTTCAACGCGCAACGTTATTGGTTGATAGCAAGCGGGCGCTAGCGGAAGTCCTCGGGATATCCGCCGTTGGCCATCAGGCAGCTCTCAAAGCCGTGCCCCGGCCAAAATTTGGCAGATGCTGGACCGAAATTTGCGACCGGCGAGAGGCGCCCAGTCGCTCCTGGGCGACGTACTGAAAAATACGCAACAACGGGACAAACTGTACAGCCAATTACTTTCGTATGTCACTCCGTCATCACCTCCTCCGCATCAACGATCATGCTTCCAGCAAATGACCGTTGAGTAACCTCTCCAGTGCGTGGACGATGCCTTTTCTTGACGTGCGCCGGCCGATCATCTTCGTGTACGTCTCACTGCTCATCTCCATGCCCAACAATCATCTTCCACTTCGATTCGTGAGACTAAGCATTCGGATAGATCCGCCATCACCGTAGGCATACTGGCGACCTGGTATCTCCTTGCAGACAACAGTCCAACATCCAATCCAATGGGGAGCATTCCGGCTCGAAAATACAGCTTCGAGAGTGTGAAGGGTTTCTTCCTGCAAGACGACCCAGCTACGAATCAAACGGATTTCCATTACGTATGAGTGATGAACCAGTCGCGGACGTAGATCTTGCCGTGGCTGACACAATCTCACAGGAAGCGGTGAACTTTGGCCTGATAGATCGCGCTTACGATACGGACACGCCAGGCGACGCAGACTTGACTCAATGGCAGCGGTTTGCAGCATATGTTCGCCACCTCATCGAGACAAGCCCAGCGGACACTACCTACAAGCTCATCTACAACGGTCGGCATGGCGAGGGCTATCGTACGTCTCTCCCTCCTCCGACGAATGTTGCTGCTGCTTTCCCGTCTAACGCTTCGCAAGACAATGTCGGCGAAGCCAAATATGGCACTCAAGCCTGGAATGATTATTGGTCGAAGCTCGACGGCGACGGCGAACTGTACTGGTTTGATGCGCATCTGACGGCAAAGGGGACGCAGCAGGCACTGCACAACCATGCCTTTTTGAAGCGCCAATTCGCCCAAGAAAAAATGCCTGCGCCGCAGAAGTATTACTCCAGCCCGTTGTATAGGTGCCTGCAGACGGCAAACCTCACGTACCTGCACCTCGATGTGCCTGTCGACGCGCCTTTCACACCAACCATCAAAGAAATGATGCGTGAGGTCATGGGCGAGCACACTTGCGACAAACGGAGCAGTAAGGCCGTCATTCATAAGGCTGTGCCGAGCTGGAACATCGAAACCGGCTTCACGGAGGAGGATGAGCTCTGGCGGCCCGATCATCGGGAGACATTTGCCGAGCATGATGCTCGCACGCACGCACTGCTCGAGGACATCTTTGAGCATGACTCGCACGCCGTACTATCCTTCACCAGCCACTCTGGAGCGATAGCCAGCTTGTTGCGCGTGATGGGGCATCGAGAATTCGGACTCCCTACGGGTGCGCTGATCCCGCTTTTAGTCAGAGCTACCAGGACACAGTGAGACCGTCATCTCCTGACACACAGATCGCTTCTGATCACCCACTTCTCGCCTTTGGTGACTTCTCGGCCTTCATGGATCAGGCAATCTTTGCCGTGACGATGGAGCAACGCCATTCCGACCTGTAGATCCGCCAGTACAGGAGGTGGCGCCGCCGACTTCTTGCTGGGGGCCTCTGGGTAGAAGACGATTTCGCCGCCTTGGCAGCCTGTCGTCGGCGAAGAGAGATAGAGCAGCAGCGTCCAGGTTGTTTTGGCCGGTATGGGTGATGGCGCGGATGCGGAGGGGAAGAGGATGTTGTTCGATTCGTCGTCTACTCGCGGGTCAGCTGTCATTCGGATTGTGTGAAGACGGACAAATCTTGACGTATAGAATAGTAGAGCTTACAGTGTTGATCGAAGAACTGGCCTTTCGAGTATCGATAGATTCGAATGTTAGAATTCAGGCCCAGTACATCGCCACCCCATAACTTTTGCCGCTCTGCCTCGCTCAAAGCCTGGCCGTCAATGGAGATATGCTCCACGATGGATTTGAGAGAAGTAGTACTCCACAGTAGCTCGGCAAAGTCAGCATCGTCGACCTGAAAGCGATCGTTGACGCGCACCGCCTCGCCTCTTTTAGGTCTGCCGGGGGTGGTTGTGAGCGGGAGAGTGGCGAGGAAAGTCACGTAGGTCTTGCACAGGCTGGCGGTCCAAAGCTGCGGAATGGTGAAGATCTGGTGATCAAGGAGAGTGTGGACGGTAAGATCTTCAGCTGGTAGAAGCGCGCTGCCGAATGAAGGCCAGTTCGGTTTTCCTGGTCTAACAGTCCCATTCTCCACTTTGCTGACATTTGCAGAGCCCTCTCGCGCCTTGGTGGGTTTGGCCTTCGGGGCCATCACTGGATCGTGTAGCTGGCAATTGTCAGATGGTCGGCCACTCAGCGTGAGGGTATTGCAAGTTGTTCGCTCCTTGGCAGCAGCTCCTGGGGCGGTTGATTCTGCTTATTGCTCATGAGCAGGTTGGACAGTCCAAAGGGGCCAAGAGCCGGGAGTGCGGTTGGAATTCGATCGGTGCTGGTTTATAAGTTCGATGTGCCCGGGAATAATCTTTCAGATTCTCGCAGTGTGTGTGTGCGTGTGTGCGTGTGTATGTACTTGTCGGACCTTGGCCTCATCAGCTATGACAACAGCCGGTATGATCGTCGGACGCCGCCGCGCATACGTGCCGCCGCCGGTTCATAAAAGATGGGATGTCAATTATCCTGCTCTAGGTGAGTCCAGGATGAGATTGTCCCCTATCGGCGGGCCGTCGACGTGCGAGAGAAAGTCTGGCGTTCACGTCGTGGAGTGTTGCGAGCATTAAGCGGCGACTTGCACGATCAAGAGCGAGATCATGAGCTCAGCAGCTCGACGATCAGCAATTGAAGCAGCGCCAACAATCTCCTTGGCCGTCACATGTATCTACCCGGGGAGAGGGTGGGTGCGATGGGCGGCCGTTGAATGGAGAGAGGAGGCTACGCGATGCCCGTGCCGCGCTTGCTTCATCAAGTCTCCTCCACGACTTCTGTCTCGCGCTGCGATTGGCTGTCGCTCCTGCTTGCCTCCAGACTTCACCGACTAACTTTTCTGTGACAGCGGCGCATCGAAGAACTGCGCGCTGGCAGGACCAACTCGGAGACAAGTGTCCGCGAACCGGAGACCCTGAATACTCGTGTGTCTGTTGTAACCCTCCCGACCCCTCCTCCTGCCTCCCGCCCTTGCCGGCCGCACCCTCGACAACATCCCCGGCGCAGGGAAACCGCAATGAAGACAGTCCGCTCCAACAGCAAGAGATGGCAAGCAGCAGCAGCGGAGCGGGCGCGACTGTCCACCTCGCGCCGCCATTGCCGCAAAATCCATATACCAACGAGCACTTCGACCAGATGACCACCGATCCCATGGCAATGGCAACGGCAACGGCAACGGCATTGCTTTCCGACCCCTCGGCAGAGCATGATCAACTCTTCACACCCAATCACCACGAGTCAGACGATGCCGCTGCTCGTGTTCTGAACGGTCTCGCTTTCCAGAAACAACAAGACGAATCACCATTTGCCGCCGTCGACGAAGCAGCCATGCCTCTTCCGACTCCGCATGGCAAAGACCTGCTTACGAATGGGGTTGGCCCAATCACATCAACGGACGGCGAAGCATTGACTACTGCCGTCCGGCATGAAGACGAAGAGGTGGATTTAGACAATGCGAAAGCTTATGCCAAGCTGGTCTTCACCGACGGCGACTTTTTCATCACAACCACCGACGTAGTGCTCGGCCGCAACATGGAGCGCTTCGAGCAAATGAGACGGAGGAAGAAGTCTGAGCTTCGGGCTCGCGCGGAGCTGGACACCTACCGAAAAGAACCAAGCCAACCATCACAACCCGGCGATGGCGATCAGCAATTCGACGCGTCGGAATCGAGCCACTCCCTGGAAGGACGCCCAGCGCCGCCTAGTAACTTCAGTGAGCATGGCGGGCCTGTCTGGTATCCTTCCGTCTCCGAGGATGAAGCAGCATCTCACCGGCCGAAAGCCCGCCGGCGAATCTCACATTTCTCCAAGTCCTCTTCCACCAATTCCATCGCTCCCGCAAATCTGCACGCCGGGACCACATCCGACCCGCTCGATCCATCGCGCGAGCCAGCGACTAGAACGGTCGCTTTTATTCCAATCCATACCCAGGTGGCCGAGGACATTGGCAAAATCTCCAAAGAGCATCTCATTTTCCGCTACAACTTCGAACTTCAGACTTGGGAACTGACAGTCGCCGGCAACCGCGCTTTCATCAACGATGTGCTTGTCGAGAAGAATGCAATCGTCCCGCTACACCATGATGATGAGATCATGATCGCAACCATCTCCATGACCTTCAAGTTGCCTGACAATCCTAGCAGGCACTCGCCACTGTCACTGGGCACATTTTCTCAGTACAGCGAAGCAGACTTGAGCGATGGCGATAGCGACGGCGATGAGCTTGCGAGAGTGAGTACGAGCCCGGTTAGACGCCTCTCCAACGCCATGCTCGTCGGTAGCTCGGAAGACGAGGACGATGATGACGCAGAGAAGGACGATGACGCTGTCGTCTCCCGGCGGAAAGCTGGACGCAAACTGCCCAAACTCAAACTTTCAACAAAGACTGGTGGTAAGAAGCCGGCGAAGAGCACCAAAGACAAGCCATCGGACAAATCACCAAAGCCGAAGCAGCAGACAAAGGGCAAGTCAGTTGCGGAACCCTCCCCAGAGGCAACCCGAAAAGTCGAAGCAGAGAAGAAACTCAAGGAGGAAGCAACGACTCCTGCGGAAGACAAGAAGGCTTCTCCTGCCGAAGTGCCTTTCATCAAACCTGGCTCCGTACTCGAAGGTATTCCCATGGAGGAGTTACCGGAGAAGCGAAAAGGTCCAGGTCGCCCGCCCAAGGAAGGAAATGTCTCCAAGCGCGACACTCAATTGGCCAACAAGAAGAGGAAAGAGTACGAGAAGAAGGGCGAAGAGCCACCTCCCTTCAAGGTGTTGGTGGACATTGTCCGACGAGAGTCCAAGTTCAAGGAGATGCAAGCCAAAATGGAGGCGAATGGGCAGCTGGAACCGGGTCAGCAGATTATGGCGAGCATTGAAGTTGATGCTGCAGGCGACGGATCGGCAGCGACCAGCAGACCTCGCACCGAGGAGGGTATGACGGGCGAGAACAAAAAGGCTACATCACCGAGCGCGAAGCCCAAGCGCATGCGCGCCATCTCTCCCGTCAAGCCAGAGGCAGAGTGCACGCCGGAAGAGCTCAAAAAGCCCGACTACACCTACGTCCACATCATCGACCAGATCCTCAACGAACATCCGTCCGGACAAGCCGACCTTCAAGAGATATACGAGCTCATCATGAAGAAGTACCCTTACTACAAGTACAGACAGAGCACGATGGGCTGGCAGAGTAGCGTGAGGCACAACTTACTGCAAAGCCCGCGATTCACAGACGTGGGTAGGAGCGGGAAGGGCAAACTCTGGACGATTGACCATGACATTCCGCTGGACAAGGAAAAGAAGCGGAGAGGGACGCCGCCGCGAGCGGGACCCAGTGGGCAGTTTGCGCATCATGGTGGCGCAGCACCGTACGGCAACGTGTATGGACAGCAGCAACCCAACGGCCAAATGGGCCCCGGATCACAAGCCGGACCAGCTGGCTCCTACTATCCGCCTTATCCGCATCAGCACGGCCAGCATCCTCAGCATTACTACCAGCCAGGGGGGTCGGCATCACAGGTGCACTACGCGAACAGCCAATCTCCTGCGTACGCTCAACAGCATGCGAACGGCAGCCAGCCGGCCCAATCCACGCCAACCCCCTACAACACCTTGGTCCAAGAAATCCTGGATTTCAACAAGCGCCACCTTGCCTCGTTTCCCGGTGCCCATCCGCAGGAGATAGAGCGACAGGGAAAGATCTTGTCTGCCATTACCGAGTACTTATCGGACTGTCACAGCTACGGAGTCGTGGCTCCGGCCAAGCGGACGACGTTGCAGGCGTGCGGGAGAGATGCACTAATTGCCTTTGGTGGCCTGGCGGAGATCTTCCGCAGGCACAAGCCGGACATTCTCATTCCGGATCCATGGAGGCAGACACCGCCGCAACCGGCGCAGGCAGGCGACTCTATGACGGCCCAAGTTGGACCCGCTGGGCCATCCGTGGCCGAGTCAGCTGCACCCCCGCAAGCTACAACTGTCACGGCACAGGCGATGGCGCCGGGACAGTCACAGACTACGTCCGCCATCCCACAGGCTGTGGCGGCGCAGACAACACAATCTGCACTTGCTACGGCGCAAGCTACCCCTGCGACGGCGCAAGCTGCGTTAACTACGCCGTTACAGAACGGCGGGGCAAATGCTGGTGGTATCAAGCGAGCGGCTGCGGATAATGAAGAAGAGGCGCACGAGGCTAAACGGCGCAAGGACAGTGGAGGGTCCCAGTAGCGTGGGTGAGAGTCTCTCACGAATCATGGTTATCAAAATTTGCAGCGTTAAAAGCATGGTGTTGGAAGGTACAGGTATGGACGAGGCCGGGGTCGGATTGCACAGTGTGTATGGATTAAGATGTCGTATCTTGTTGGAATTAACACGTGACCGAAATCATGACGCTCCTCACGTGCTCACTCCCGTCCACAGACATCGGGTCACGTGGCCTTCCCAGATACCGTGCGATTGATGTGCCCGGAAATTGTTGAGAGGAAGAATGCTGTGGAGCGTGTGGTGACCATTGGTGCAACCCCCAGATGTGATGCTCACTCGTTGATGTGTGGTCGCTGTGATTAGCTGCAAGCGACGCCGGGATCGGAAAAGGCTGTTCGCTCAATGAATGGCGTCAGAAGAAGATAGGTCATAAATCCCAACCCAATCAGGTATCGGTGTCATGTATCCTCATTATTTGCAGATGTACAGGGCGTAGGGCATGGAGTATCGTGAGGAGTGGGGTCGAGTGTATGCACGAACGCCAAGACTCGAGTCAGACGTCAGTTGGCAAACGGCGACCTGCCTGCTCCCCGCCGAAGTCGCCCCTCCCTCTCCAACCCACCACGACACGCACTCACACGCACACGACACCCTCTGCACCCCCTGCTCCCACATGCACTATTGAACACAAGTCCACTCGCTCACGACAACGGCCTGCTGACACGATGAGTTGAATTCAGTTCAACTACGTAATTCCGCAAGCACGCGAGGAGCGCACCTCTACCATCAATCCTTCACCCCTCCGTATATCGCGTTTCGGGGAAGTTCGCGACAAGCACTCCGCCGTTCCAAATTGAGCCGGCTTGCCGGCTTCAAGAGCACGCAGTATGAATTCATCCGCGATCGACGATGAAGAGCTGGCACTGTCCATTTCCTCATCCCACGCCCGCCGCGGCTCAAGAGAGGATCGTGGCTCGAATGGCGAGGTCCATGGCTCGCGTCCGCCGCACCCTTCCGCCCCCATCGGTCGTCCACCACGCCAATCAAAAAACATGGAGAGACTGGGCCAGTACAACGTCGTCAAGACCTTGGGTGAAGGCTCCTTCGGCAAGGTGAAGCTCGCCATCCATCAGTCCACCGGGCAAAAGGTCGCGCTCAAGATCATATCCCGCCGCAAGCTCGTCACCAGGGACATGGCCGGCCGGGTCGAGAGAGAAATTCAGTACCTACAGCTCCTGCGCCATCCGCACATCATCAAGCTCTACACGGTCATAACAATGCCGAACGAGATCGTGATGGTGCTCGAGTACGCCGGCGGTGAGCTGTTTGACTACATTGTGCAGCACGGAAAGATGGCCGAGGACAAGGCCCGCAAATTCTTCCAGCAGATCGTCTGCGCCGTGGAGTACTGTCACCGGCACAAGATCGTGCATCGCGACCTCAAGCCGGAGAATCTGCTGCTGGACGAGCAGCTGAATGTCAAGATTGCGGACTTTGGGTTGAGTAACATCATGACGGACGGCAACTTTCTCAAAACCAGCTGTGGCAGTCCGAACTACGCTGCTCCCGAGGTTATCAGTGGGAAGCTATACGCCGGGCCAGAAGTAGACGTGTGGAGTTGCGGCGTCATTCTTTACGTCTTGCTGGTCGGCCGACTCCCCTTCGATGATGACTACATCCCCGCCCTGTTCAAGAAGATCGCGCAGGGCAACTACAACGTCCCGAGCTACCTCTCCTCTGGTGCTGTGCGGCTGATTAGGAAGATGCTGCAAGTCAACCCGATGCAGAGAATCACCATTCAAGAGATACGGCAGGATCCATGGTTCACGAAGGACTTGCCAGAATATCTGACACCGCCGGTGGAAGAGTTCATCGAGACCGGGATCGATCCCAACAAAGCTATTGATCCTCGAGATCTAGCAAAGGGCAAACCGGTAGTAGTGCAGGAGAAGTTGCATCAGAGTGTCGTCGGCAAACTCGGAAAGACGATGGGCTATGCACCGGACGACGTCCAAGAAGCACTGGCGAAAGATGAGCCGAGCGCGATCAAGGATGCCTATCTCATCGTTCGCGAGAACCAGTTGATGAAGACCAATCCATCCCTGGCCGCAGACCAACCGGAGTTCATGGCCCAATCCCCGCCGACGTTCAGCAGCACTCCAATGTCCCCTCAATCCCACTCCCAGCGGCCGCAACCCTCTCCACTGTCTGGCTTCGATCAGCGCCACGGCTCCACCGGCTCTTCCTCAATTCTCGAGGCTCGCTCGCCCACGTCCACCATTGCCGTGCTCCCTTCCTCCATGCCTGACTACCACGTCGCTTACATGAAAGGTCAAATCGGCAGTTCAAAGGGGGAGAGAGCCGAGGAGCCGCCGACAGATGGACGTCCACGCACCAAGGAAGAACAAGACGCTCTTGCGCGACACCTCAGGCCGCACAGTCGGAGCTCCACGAATATGCATCGGCAAAGCGACAAGCCAGAGCCCATGACTGCTCTGCCGGAGAAGGAAGTTAAGAAGAAGTCGAAGCCGCAGAAATGGCAGTTCGGGATCCGGAGCAGGAACACCCCCACGGAGGCTATGCTTGCGTTGTACAAGGCCCTGCAAAAGATGGGCGCTGAGTGGGAGGTTCCTAAACCGCGAGAGCCGGGTGCGGGCAGTGCCGAGGGCAGTCCTGAGAGGCAGCGAGCAGGTAGTCAGAGTCCGGAGTACAGCGATTCCGACCCGGACCCGGGCACCGATCCCGAATACGCCACTCACTCAGACCAAGAGGAGCGACGGAGGCGACGAGCGGAGAGGGAGGGGAATAACGACGGCGACCGCAAACGGGGACGAGAGCGGTACGGCCGCTGGAACGATTACGGCTATGCCCTTCCTGAAGACCCCTGGGTCATCTACGCACGTTTCAAGAAGGATGGCATGTTTCCACCGGGCGTGGCACACCCTTCATCCACCAACAGCTCACGTGTCGACCTGATCGACAGCGCACGAAGAAGCGGGTCGGGTTCTAACAGCCGGACCGGCAGCACGGATAGCGTGGCGGGTGTCGATCTGGGGCCGAATGCGTCGCACTCCACCACCAGCCTGACACGTGCGCAGCAGCACAGCGTGTGGGTCTACGTGACGATTCAGCTCTACAGCATCGAGAAGGACTTTTATCTCGTGGACTTTAAGTGCGCGGGCTACGAACGGCTGGCACGACGTTTTGCGAGGGTGGTGACGGACAGCGAGGATGCGAATGGCACACAGCTTGCCGATGATGCGCCTCCGGGGCACAAGGACGGGGATGGCACAGAGGATGAGGACGGGAATGAGTTGATCGGGCAGGGGCGTGCGGAAGAGGAGAAGGATGTGTCGAGTCCGTATCCTTTCCTGGACGTTGCGTCCAGGCTGATTATTCAGTTGGCTGAGGCGCAGGATTGAGGCGGGGCGTCAACAGGCAGACCAGGGCATGGAATGGGATAGGAGTGCATAGCACGGGCACAGCATAGCTTGGTGATGTTGCTTTCCCATAGGTTTGGTAGCAAGTATCAAAAAAATCCAGTAAAGCAGTGTTCTTGTCAGGCTTGGCACGGACTTTGTTATTATTTGCTCGAGCGGCACTCTAGTGACCAGCGCGAGCAGTACAGTACTGGATGGCGACTTGCACACACGCATGCAGGATATCTAGTCGCCAATCTCTGAGGCCCCGTCGGCGTTGGCCCCGTCTGTCACGCTGCTTTGGGCAATTGAGCGACGAGCGGCGTTTTGGTTGTTTGCACATCACGACGACCGAGACACAAGGATCTTCGAAGATCGCCCACCAGGCAAATGCTTAAATCTCGTGATCTTCGCTGGCTCGTGTTTCTTCTCACCTCACTTCCCTCCGCCACCGCCGCCGCCGCGGTTTCCCAGACAGTACTTGCGATCCCGTCGCCAATTATTGCCCAGCGCACCGATGCGATACGATGGGATTTCGCTCGATGAAAGCGGCGTCGCGCGAACGACGCGGAAGACACACCTTCCGGGTGGAGTATAGTGGCTTGCAGCGACTGCTGTGTGGCGGGCGCCAGACACCCACTTTATTACGCCAACGGCATCAATTAAACTCCCCATACTTTCGGCTAGGGCGTAAGCATACCTCCGTTAGCAGCCGCGCCAGTTGGGAGTGGCTTGCTTTGATTTTTCGGTGCCCCGCCCAGCCGGAAGGCCGGATCAGCGCCGCGGGCAATCTCCAGCAAATCCAGCAGGTGCCCGCACTCCACTCTTTTGCGCAAAAGGCTTTGCGGGCGCCGGGATGTGGGTGGCGGCGCGGCGGCGGAGGGACTTCCTGGTTCGCACAGCACCGGTGCGGTGTAGCGAGGCGGGTCGTCTCTTCACTGAGATGCCACTCGTTGTTCCGAGGCTGTGCTGCCCTTCTCCACTCACCCTGTATGTATCACGGGCGGCAGTCTCTTCGAGCTGCGCCAATTGCCCCGGTGAAGGTCGGTGAAGCTGCCCCGGGTATGTCTTGGCGCACTCATTGCAACCGTTACAGTCGTTGCACCGATGGAGCCCTCACCCGTCTCAGATACCATCACTGTAGGCCTTCATTCGGGCTCAAGCTGCTATGATCGCGTCGCATTTGAGTGCATCAGCTGAACCGCAATCAATTGGACAGTCAGGTCTCAGCGCGCTGGTGGGCTGCATGTATGTGGAAGCACGCAGGAGTGCAGTTCACGTAACCGTTCGCCACTATACTGCCGATGCCAACGGCGCGCTATCGATGCTCAAAGCGAAACATCGACGCGCTCCAAGCCCGTCGGATCGTGATCTGTTTGACCGGGCAATCTAACGCGGGGTGGGCGCCTGCCATTCTCGGTTGCCGAGCTGGAAGACTTTGTTCGTAGAGGGCAAGCGTTCCCTCGGGCAAGGCGCTCGTTCAGGGTCAGAGCCAATCGACGGTGTTGTGCGTGGAGTGATTTCGACATCGTTGATGGGTGGAGCCATACCACATCGTCCGGCTGTGATAGGCTCGTAGGCGAAGGGAAACAACATCCAAGCCGCGCCGGGTGAGACAGACTCCCCCACCGCATTCCCGGACGCCACCGGTGCTCCACCCGCGCCAAATCACGCCCAAATGGCTGAGGGAGCAGAACGGGGTCAGGGTGTTGCCCGACGCCATCTCCTGGATCGGCGACGACTATTCGCCCGGGCGCTGCTCCCCACACACAACCCTGCCGCGGTGAAAGGCGCGCCGGCCACTCATCACCCTCCAATCTCTGCAAGGATGCTGCCCTGCAGCGCGCAACTCGATCGTGGCTTCGGGGGACCACCCTTTTTCCCACTGACGTAGCTCGGCTGTTTCTCCGCCTTCATCATTCGTGACCGCATCTCGGCGTGCAACGCGATTGCGTCCACGAACCAGAGCCATATTAGAAAACGTGCCCCCCCCATCTCCGAGTCGGTGTAGGATCTTCACTCCCTTCTCCACCATTGCACTGATTCTCCTCCATCCACGTTGCTCACCCACGAATTGCTGCGACTGTCACTGCAAATCCATTCCCCATCGGTCCATCGCCACGCTTCTTCTACCACATCCCCACGAGACCCTGCGCCTTTCCAGCACCGCTTCTGCGCCCTCTCCGTCACCGAGGTCACCCAGCCGGCGTGTGAACGATTCAGCACCACGACACGGTACCCGGTTTCCTCCCAGGCTTAGCCGCGATAGGCTCCACCCATTGATCATTGATCGCCCTCGGCCTCTCCTGCGCAATCAGTCGATCGGCATCTGCAGGCTACTGTCACACACGGCTGCTCCCATACTCCACGTCCTGGAGCACTTAAGCACGCTGATCCCGTCAATCCTGAAAATCTCCACGTTTAATCTGGAGCTCATCTCACTCTGAAACGGTGATCATCCTCTCTGAAGCTCTCCCTCAGAAGCTCCTCTCTTCCCACCCTTTGCTACACCATGGCTATGGCCGTCGACTCTCGCCAACAATCGCAATTCAACATGGGCTACGATCCCATGCGATATCAGCCCTCGCCACACTTCACCAACCCGTGGGTGTCGGCGCCCGCTACCACTCAGGGCCACATGTACGCGACCGCGATGCCGGCGACATCGGTCGCTGCAGACTCGCACCGCTATGCCGCGCCGACCTCCAACGTTTCGGCCGCGTACACGGGTGCCCCCCTCCCGGCGCCCTCAATGGCAACAGGTATTGCATCCATGGACGCAGATCTCTACGAGCGCCACGGCTTACAAACGTCGCAAGATCCGTCGCGATCGTACGGCATGGGCTACACCAGTGCACCCGCTCCATCAGCAAGCGCGTATGCGCCCATTGCTGCACCGCAGTACTCTTCGGCTCCCTACGGTTACCAGGCGGATCGTCGCCCATCACACCCGTTAGTCCACCTCTCAGCATGCCCTGCTCGCGTGCCGCCGACGTCCATGCACTAACATTGAACCCACAGGCTCGCCTCCGCATCTGACGCAGAGCGCCAGAACTTCCACGACGCCCTCGATGCCAGCAGAGGGATGGTCGCTATGGCCCACTCCGAGATCACGCCACGAAACATCTACGGCCACTCGAGCTCCAGCCGCAGCTCCATGGACTCTTACGGTTTCCCCTCTGCGCATTCGTCCGGCTCATCAATCTCTTCGGCCAGCACATATCCGTCCTACTACAACAGCTCCATGAGCGAGGCCTCGGCCGGTGACTACAGCTCTGCCAGCGAGTCGATTGACATCCCCAACCCGCGAACACTACCTCGACCCAATGGACTCGTCGGAGCCAACCTCCCGCCCGCGCCACAGTCCATGATGGGCCAGTTCAACTCGAAGGTGTCGTCGAGCTCGCAAAAGAAGCACAAGTGCAAGATTTGTGACAAGCGCTTTACACGGCCCAGTTCGCTGCAGACGCATATGTATAGTCATACTGGAGAAAAGCGTAAGTTCTCTATCACTGAAATGGCTAGTTTCATTGCAAAGACTAACAAGCACAATAGCATTTGCCTGTGAGGTCGAGGGCTGTGGACGCCACTTTTCCGTGGTTTCCAACCTCCGAAGGCATCGCAAAGTGCATAAAGGCGAAGGCGGAGATCACCCGTCTCCCGACGACGACGATGAGTAGATTGCGCGCCAATCTCGAGGCGCGGTCTTCATTTTGTTGAACAACAACACGCAACGACTCTAAGCGACTACGTTGCATGAGATGGAAGGAGATGATCTCCTTGTCAATCGCTTCAGTTGATCTTTGATACCCCCAGCTCGGAAGGAAAAGAGCAGATTTTGGGCGCCCTACCAGAGGCGCAAGGCGTTATCGGACGGGACATTTTACTGAGTGGGCAGGGTGATGGCAAGGCCGAACCGTGGACAGTCGCACCTGGAGCGCCTCTTCTACAATACGCCAGTATGTATGTATCATAACAATACCGTGCAAATGCGGACTTACAATCCTACCTACTGCTCCTCATTCCATCGTCCGGCTCCCCTCTCGTGAGGGATAGGATTTCCCAGCGTCATCCGACCACAATCCCCACCGTCAGCGCCATCATTATCGTCATCACGATTCAGGATTGACCCTGGCACTTCGTGCTACTAACCCGCCGTCATGATGTGTTCCAATACCTTATTACCGCGTGACGTTGATAAAAGAGCTTGACCAACTCTTGCTCACTCCTCCACATCCCTTCCCAAATACGCAAGAGGCGCGCCGATCCAGGGTTGCGGGTCTTGGCGGGGCCAGCATCGAGCCAACGACGTCGCGCCGATGACGGAATGCTGATGTCGGTGGGGGCGGTGTATGTGCGTGCGATTGGACACGGCTGGGCGAAGTTTGGGTCACGCAGGCGTCACATCTTCCCGGCCTGAGGCTTCAAAGTTGCATCGTGTGTTGTGCTTGCCGTGCCGTGCCGTGCCACGATGTGAGGGAGCAGCGTGGTGTAGCTTCCTGTCTCGTCGTTTGCCAGCCTTGTCTGTTGCTGGAAGGAAGAGGCGGGCTCTTTCATGCCTTTGTGAAGTTTACGAAGAGATGACTAGTTGCGTAGGCTGTTCTTGCGCGATTGTAGATCGAGTATGTCGGTGATACATCCAGCGAACCCGTCAATCCCGTCCCAGGATCCCCTCAAACGTACACTCCTCCGGCTTCAACTCGCCCGCCGCCTTCCAAAACCGGCTCAAATGCCTCGAGCCCGGATCGCAGAGGATGGTGACAATCCTCGATCCCGGCTCCATGCGCTTCGCCAGCTCCGCCGCAGCAACGCAATTGACCGCACTGCTCGCGCCTAGGAACAGGCCTTCGTTCTCCACTAGCCACCTCGCCATCTTCATCGCCTGCACATCGCTGACCTTCACCGCGTCGTCGATGAGCTCCATGCCTGCGCTGAAGTTGGCCGTCAAGCGATTGATGCCGATGCCTTCGACGATACTGTCGACTTGATGCCGGCGGCGGGTGCCTTCCGCCTCGGTGGGACTGAATAGTACGCCGTATTTGACCTTGTTGTAGAGGCCTGAGCCTTGCGGATCCGCGAGCACGATCTTGACGTTGGGGAGCTGAGGCTTCAAAGCGAGTGCCACGCCGGAGATGGTGCCGCCTGTGCCTGCGCCGGCAACGAAGGCATCGAGCTGGCCACCAGTCTGCTGATAGATTTCGGGGCCCGTGCTGGTTTGATGTGCGATGTAGTTGGCACTGTTCTCGAACTGATCTGCGAAAAAGCCTTTGCCGGGTTTGTTGGGATTCTCTGTATGTTCGCGAGCGCGCTTTCGCGCCATGTTGACGAATTGGGCTTGATCCACGATCGATGCCGGCTTGACTCGCTCGACTGTTGCACCCAGTCGGAGGAGGAGTTCGGACTTTTCGGACGCTTGGTCATTGGGCATGCAGCTGATGTCGATCAGAACATGCAGGCTGCGGTGAGAGGGTTGTGAATACATACATGTACGCTTGATAGCCTCTGGCGCGACACACGGCGGCGAGGGAAATGCCAGTAGAGCCGACAGTGCCCTCATAGATGGTGTCTCCGCGGTTCGGCTTGATCAAGCCTTCTTCTTCGGCCAGGTTGATCATGGACAGCGCCACTCGGTCTTTGGGCGAGTTGCCGGCGCCATTGAGATACTCTGCCTTGCCGAGGATCTCGCACCCGGTAGCCTCACTCAAAGCTTTGAGCTTGATCAGAGGCGTATTGCCAATCAAGCCCTCGATGCCCTCTGGAATGGCATCCTGCCAACTTCGCCTGGAGTCGAGAGCATCGGGATGCAAAGAAGACGACGTCTGCTTGGTGTGGTCTTCGAGTCGGACGTAATCAGCCTGACCAGGGAGTATCTGAGGGACGCTGAGACCTCGCAGACTGCGTAGACGTTGGCGGAAGGATGCCTCGAGATCGGGATAGAAGTCCTTGAAGCCCAAGGTGACGATGATGCCAATGAGGAAGCCACCCGTTGTCGTCAGCTTGTTCCTGTGGTCCAGAGTGGTGTTCCAGATGCGGTGCCATAGGTCGGTGAAGAAGGCCATCAGCGAGCGACGAGTGACATCTTCTCACCCTCTCACCACTTCCTCGTTAGCATGGAGTCGATGATCGGCGGATGAAGTGAGGTCGTCGTGGTCGTTGATCGCTGTCCAGCTGGCCGAAAAAGGAAGGTGGTCCGTGCACGCCAAAAGTGCTGTGCAGCTCCTCACGCCAGACCACACTGCAGCAACTGCCCTTGCGTGGAGGAGAAGAAGGGAGACGCGCATCGTGGCCGCGGCATTGCATGGACTCTCCTGCCGTCAATCGGCTCTTTCGCCAGTTGGCCTCGCATCACTTCTGTCGCAGCCATGCTGTCAAGCCCCGCCTGCTCACCGCGGTGCGACAATGCCGCCGCAAAACCACGAGAGCGCGACCACACCACCAAGCACCGCCGACGAAGACGACGCTAGAGAGCTCATGGCAGCAGCGTACCTCCTTCTTCCCCGCCGACAAGGCGGAGGAATTCAAGAAATACCCCTTCGTCACCTCCGACAGCCTGCGATCGCGCAGAGAGCGGCCGCGGCGGGTCAAGATGCTCATGCGAGACTTCATCGAGGACAGCCTGTACAATCCCAACTACGGCTACTTCAGCAAGCACGTCACCATCTTCTCCAACGAGCACCCCTTCGACTTTCCCTCCATCAAAGACGAGCCGGACTTCTATCGCCAGCTGAGCCAGCGCTACGCCGAGTTCGAGGACAAGCTCGACGAAGATGCGTACGACGAGGCGCGTCAGTTGTGGCACACACCCACCGAGCTCTTCAAGCCATACTACGGTGAAGCCATTGCACGATACATGGTCGCCAACTACAAGCTGAGCCTCTACCCCTACCACGACCTCGTCATCTACGAGCTCGGCGCGGGCAATGGCACGCTAATGCTCAACATCCTCGACTACATCCGCCACACCGATTCCGAGGTGTACGCGCGAACCAAATACTGCATCATTGAAGTGTCGTCGGCCCTGGCGCAGCTGCAAGCCCGGAACCTCGCCGCCACCGCCGCAAGCAGGGGCCACGCGGGCAAGGTGGAAATCATTAACAAGTCCATCTTCGACTGGAACACCTACGTCTCCACCCCGTGCTTCTTCTTGGCCCTCGAGGTCTTCGACAACTTCGCGCACGACATCATGCGCTACGACCCCGCCACTTCGACCCCCATGCAAGGCTCCGTCCTCATCGACGCCGAAGGGGATTTCTACGAGTTCTACACCCGCTCCGTGGATCCCGTGGCCGCGCGCTTCCTGCGCGTGCGCGACGCGGCCTGCCAAGATCGCAACTATGCCCATCCTCTGCGAAGCTCGAGCAAGCTCTGGCGCTCCCTCCGCCACAGCCTGCCCTTCGCCCCGAACCTGACCCTGCCGGAATACATCCCTACGCGCCTCATGCAGTTCTTCTCCATCCTTGGCACCCGTTTCCCCGCACATCGTCTCGTCACCTCTGACTTCCACACGCTGCCGGATGCCACGCCTGGATTCAACTCTCCAGTGGTACAGACGCGCTTCAATCGCCGCACCATCCCCGTCACCACTCCGCTAGTGCACCAGGGCTTCTTCGACATCTTGTTCCCTACTGACTTTGGCGTGATGGAGGACATGTATCGTGCCATCACTGGGCGGCTGACGAGGGTGATGACGCAGGAGGACTTCTTCCGTCGCTGGGCGTACATGGAGGACACACAGATGCGGAGTGGAGAGAATGCGCTGTTGGATTGGTACAAGAACGCGAGCGTCATGGTGACGGTGTAGGCTGGGCCAGCTTGATAGACTCAATTAGACTTGTACACATCGGTGTCGCATGTGCTGTATGTTCTTTAGAGTATCGTCGCATCTCGATTCCAACCTCAAACTCTGCAACAAGCCCATGCTTTAAAGCTGCCCGTCTTCTTCATGCCAACTCATCTTCAGAATCTCCCACTTCCCTCGCAGGCGTGTATACCACTCGCCTCCGACCATCAAGAGCGACGCTGCTTGCACGAGACCCCATCTTCTCTCCGGCAGGGGCAGGCGTAGCGAAAGGAGCACTTCGACGCTTGTGCACGCGTTTGAGTAACGCACTATTGTCGGAAGCCGGCGTGGTGGTGACATGTCTGTAGACTACGCGCGGTGATTGTCGCTTGGTGAACGCCGGCGAGCTGGAGGCTGATACTTCAGGACTCTGCGCTGTGATGCCATTAGATAGCAGTGGTCGAGTGGGGGCTCCAGTATGATCCTGTAGTGGATCCTTGTCATTCCCCTCCAGCTGTCTTATGGCCCTGGGGTTCGAGTCTGGGCTGCGCTCGGCCTGCTCATTGCCACTGACAGCCTTCTGAATGGTCGGCACCAATGATTGCTCTTGCTCAGCATCTTCCATTGATGTGTCGACGTCTCCCTCTGCGTCGACGTTGGCAGATACCGCTGTTGCGGATGCCGCCTCTTTGCCCGCTGCCTTCTTCGCTACCTTAGCACGAGCCTTGCGCGGCTTACCACGGCGTGGAGGCGGTTCGTCTTGCTGAACATCCACCATCAAAATATCAGCATCTCCTTCAGGCTCGACATTGGCAGACACCGAGGTCGCACTAGCCGCCTCTTCCCCAGTAATCTCTTCTGCCACCCTAACACGAGACTTCGCAGGCCGGCCGCGGCGACGAGGCGCTCCTTCGGGTGGGGAGGTCGTGGTTGTAGCTGCCATCTCTGTGCCAGTAACGTTCTCCGCGATCTTGGCATCCGACTTCGACGCTCGGCCGCGGCGACGAGGCTTCCCCTCAGGTGAGGCCTCTGCAACGATAGGGCCGGAGGGAAGGAGGGGCGGTAGTTCTATCTTCGTCCCAAGAGACGTCCTCTTACCGCGCGATTCGGTCAGAATCCAGCCCTTTCCCTGCTTCTCCGACGCCTTGGCAAATTGCGAGTGGCGACTGAGAGCAGCGCGAATGCCGTGCTTCCACACCGCCGTCTGCTCGAATCCAAACCTGGCTGCAAGGTAGTCGTAGACCTCCGACGTTGTCATTGCCTCCGGGGCTCGGGATTCGAGGGCAATCTTCGCGAGTTCCACCGCGTTGTAGCGCGGCTTCTCTGACGGGCTGGTTGCGAGATTGGCGGTTTCCGGTGGATGTTGACCCCCTTCGATAGGGACTTGCTCGCCAGAGCGATCGATTGGCTCAAGATCCATAGAATCTCGAGGCATCGTGTCATCTTCAGCGGTAGCTTTCGCCGTCGATTTGGGGTCCTGGACAAGCTCAAACACCAAGGTCGCTTCGTACTCCAGCTGTTTGTTTGCAGCCTCACAATCTGGTCCTGACATCTCATCACGGTGAATTGAGCCAGCGCGAGTTTCGTTGTCTTTGTATTCGTCGTGATCCACGAAGTCATACACCGACTCCTCATCGTCCTTTGACAACTCATCGTCATCGTCGTCCGATGTTGAGGCGTAGACTATTGTTGCACCGTCATCGTCCTCACTCGTTTCGTCCACGGTCGTCTCCCTTCGTCGCCTTGATGCCTTGCGAGCTCGCACACTTGCACCTGGCTTGGAGCGCGGTACCTTAGGCTCCCGTGCCCGCAGCTTCGTTTTTGCTGTCGTGGGGGGCTTTGCTGGCCTTTTCCTCGTCGATTTGGAAGCTCTGCCGCTTGGTTTCACCACTTCCTCGTCGACAACTTCATACACGGAGTGCTCACGGGCCGTGGCTGCCTCCTCGGGCTCCTTGGCAGAGCCGCCCACTGATGCAAAGGGTTGAATCGCCACTGGATTGACGAAATATGGATAGCCAGTGGAATTATACCTCGCAGGTGTATCATAGGCCCCAGTGATCGCCGGAGTGGTTGCAGCAGACAGCACAGTGTGTTCCACTCGCATCGGCGTTTCATGCAAATCGGGTAAGAAGGCGAACGAGGCGTCGTTTTGAACATGAAGGCCGGAGTTTTCAGACCCAGCCGTCTCGATGTCAATGTTGCCAGTAGCATCAGCGAGCTGTACAGGGCTTTTTGGTCCGGCATCATCATCTGCGAGACGTCTCGAGCTCTCGCAAGTGAAGATCTCGTCCTTTCCAAATTGTCGAGGAGCATCATATCGTGGCACCGGAGGGTCTGCAAGATCATCCATGTACGGCGCAATAGCTCCGTCAGGCGCAACAGGCGGCAGCAAAGGGGCAAACTTTTGTGAGAGGGTTGCAAGATGGCCAGGACCGAGGGACGGCAGCGCAAGTGAGCCGGCCGTGTGGTGTGGTGGCAGTTGAAGTGGCGTCGCTAGTACGCGAGTATTCTGTATAGCGGTGGCGAGTTGAACTGGCGGTGCCAGAGAAGGCGAGCTGAACGCAACCCCTTCATTTGCAGCTCCGTGTCGAGGATCAGGCTTCGGCAGCAGTAGCTTGTAAGTCCGGCCGCTCTTCGTCGACTGTCCAACCATCTGACCAGGAAGGGAAAGAAGCGGTCCTGTACTGGATGAGGCCGACTGCCCGGGCGTAGGCATCTTACTTGCTGCTTGGGCGGCACTCTTTCCTTTTCCAAACAACGTGACATAATGCACTTCCACTCTCCGGGCTGTGCGACCGGGCAGTTGCGCAGCGATCTCTCGCCACGTTTGTCCACGATCACGCAGCATAACGAGCAGGTCCGTTTCATGCGTGGTCCACTTCTTGTTCTGCGAGACTTCTGGCACCTTTCGTCGCATCCACGCGGTGGCCAGTGGTTCAATGAAACCAACATCTCCAAAACCCTGAATCGCAGCCTGAATCCTTCGGGCTCTTTGAGGTAACAAGTGGTAGTAGTAACGCTCAGTGATCTCTGGGATGGTGTAGTAGACCATCTGCTCTGCGATGAATGGCCACGCGCGGTCCTCTGTCTCCCGAAGCTTGACGATGAGCTCGTCCTCTTCTGCCGTAAAGGACTTTGATGGTGTTGGTTCCTCCAGCCACGCGCTCCGCTCCGGCAACACAGGCATGCTATGCCGCATCGTCGGATCATACGCAGGCATTCGAGTTGGTCGGGAGAGTGAGTCGAATCGCATCGCCTCTGGCTCCGGATTTTCCACACTATGGACAATCGTTCCAGTGCCATCAGCAAAGCCCCAATCTTGGAAGGGCTTCTCTCTGATTAACATCCCATCAATCCCGTTGGTAGCGCCGGGTGGCGCGGAAAACGTGCGTCCATACTTCGATATATTTCCGTACTTCATGCCGTCGACCTCGTGGTTGTATGCTTTCCTCGCAGGCATGATGCTATCGGGATGGCGCCCACACAGCTCACGGATATAACGTTTCTGCAAAGATAAGGAATTCCTTCCCTGCATCACCTTTGCAATCTCTTTCCACTGGAGCTTGTCGGCTTCGCGGTATTTCACAATGAGAGCATCTTCCTCCTCCGTGTAAGTGGGGTTCTTTGGGTTGGGAACTGGGCGAAGAGCAGCTCGCCGGTTTGGCAACTTCGGTGTTGTGGACATGCCGCTGATGATTTGCATTGCAAGCTCGCGGTAACGTCGTTCCAGCATGTATGGAGACCGTCCCTCCATCGAGCGGGCGACTTCCTCCCAAGCCAAGCCTTGCTCATCTCGTAGCTGTAGAAGGAGCTCATCTTCCAGATCATTGAAAGGTGCCGTAGTATACGAGAACACGATGACTCCCGCCGCATCTGGCTTGCCTCGATAGCCTTGGCTGACAAGTAATGCTCTTGCCTCTGGAGCTTGACGTTGCAACTTCTTCGAGTGTCGACATTGGAGTGCGTATGCGGAGCGCCCTTGAAAGTACTGCGCCATCCCCTCCCAGGACAATTGTTCAATCTCTTTGAGGCGGATGAGCAAGGCGTCTTCCTCAAGCTGGAACTTAGTATTGGAGACACCGAGCGGCTTAGGGTCGTCTTTCTTGCTTGTCGAATCATGGTGATCTAGCCAGTCGCGGAGTAAGGGATCCATTTCACCATCGGTCTCATCCGGAGGTCTGCTAGTGTCGTCATCTCCCGTCGCATCGAGTGGTCGCAAAAGACCGTATCGGTATAGATACATGCCGCAGCCATTGCAGAGATGACCATGAGGTCCTTTGCGCCATAGCCGAGTATCAGACGTTGCACAATGCGTGCACTTCCGCTTCTCGCCATCTCCAGTCTGCGCATCGATCTCCAGTACCGGCAGTGGCATAGACGAGTCATCCTCAATGACCGGAGGAGTGTCGATTGGTGTTCCCGCGCACGCCTTCTCCGCTTCATATTCAGCCTTGCGTTTGCGTATCTGCTTCCGTGGATGTCCTCCCAGTGCCCAGATGGACTTTTGCTTTGGCGAGGGATCAGCCAGGTCGGGATACGGACTCAAAGTCTGTCGTTGGCGCTTAGCTGGAGGCTCGTTGGATGCCGCGGGGTAGGTCCAATCGTGCGGTGTTGCTTTGTGGGGTTTGCGTTTCAACTTGGAAGCGCGAGGAATGCCGGTAGAAACGAAGCTTGCGAGTTGTTTTGCAATGCTCATGCCGAGAGCCTGGATGTCATCCTGACTCACTGCACCGCCCGCCTCGTATCTTGACTGCAAAGACAGCATTGACTCCTTGAGGCCTGGCACTTGCTCCAGAATGTCGTTGGGACCGGCTTCTGACATGTCATCGTCTGAAGTCGTGTCGGAATCATCAGGGTGGGGCAGCACGCCCGGAAGTGGGAGCGCAGCTGATATGCTACGGCGTTTCGCAGAAGCGATGCCCAAGTTGTTCTCTGCTTCAGACTCATCCGGCTCGAACAGTGATGTCACCGACTCAGCAGGAGAGTGTGCACTGCTGAAAGCACCACTTTCTGCTTCCTCGAACGAGCTTTCTGCGTCGTCAGAGTCTGCATCGTATTCCCGGCCCGACTCTTCAACAATTGTATGCTGCGCATTCTGCACCGCGTCTTCTGGTTCCCCATTGCCAGCAGGAGCCTGTTCCTCTGCCCCTTGTGCTTCCGATTGGATTCGTTCGCCCACATCAGCCTCATGCCGCATGTTCTTCAGATGGCCATTGTCCACGACGATATCTCCGGTGCTGAGATCAATCTCGTCTGCAACACCGTCAAAGTCTCTGCCATACTTGTCGAAGATGTGCTCAAAGCGGTTCCGAAGCTTGGCCCTATTCCGCCGCCGGTCGTCTCTGAGTTGCTCGTCATAGCCGCTGTTGTTGATCTGCGGGTTGTATCCCAACTCGTCCTCTGGGTCTTTCAGTGCCGGATTGTTGTTGGACCAGTCGAACACGTCTCCTACACCCTCGACTCTGGAGAGTCGCGGGTCCAGTTGCATGTTGTCCAGTTCCATCCTCCATGCCGATCCGAGTTATTCTTTGCGCAAGCACAAGCACTTTAGAGAGGAAGACGCGACTTTGTGAAGTTCTACCCGCGTCGGGCCCCGCGGTCCAAACAAGGCATAGCTCGCCACGGGACGAACCTTGAGCTTATCCTGGATTCCAACCACATGCAGCAATCACAGCCACGGATACGAGTGCTCTCCACAACATGCATTCCTCTTGACTGGATCCGCCACCGGGGAAGATGCGCAAAGCTACACTGCCGCTCACCTAAACACGCGGCTCGCCTGAGATCGAAATGGCCACGCTCTATTGCCAGAAATGCCGCACTCCACTGAAGCTGGACTCATCGCTGGAGGACCTCAATCCTGCTTCTTTCAAGATCCTCGCCGATGCCGCTCCTGTGCTCGAGCCACGGCCGCCAGTGGCTCAAAAGTCTGCTGCTACAGCACAGCGTCGTCAGCAATACGATGTTGCGTCCAGGAGTGAGGGAACGCCTCTTCAAAGTAGGGGAATCTCCGATAGCCATCGTCTCAAGCCCAAGATGAACCCGGACATGTCGTACATCGACGTCACAGAATCCATCCTGGCATCTGACCCGCGCGATAACCCGGCTCCGACTCCAACAAAGCAGAAGACTGCTTCCAAAAGATCGAATTCGCTCAAGACCACCGATTCAGGTGAATCGGCTTCGGAGCAGCTGGCCATGGCCGCTCGTTTGTTTGAAATCCTCTCATCGAGGTCCGACATAGACCATCCCATATGCTCCGAGTGCACCGATCTTCTCCTCGATGGACTGCAGAAACGCCAGGCAAGCGTGCTTAGAGAGCGAGATGCCTACATCGACTTCCTCAAGAAGGTGCAGGGGGATATGCCGACGGATGAGGAGAAGGCTCAGACCAAGCGTGATCTTGAGGATGCCCAAAGGCGTGAGAGAGAGGCTTTGGAGGAACTCGAGGCGCTGGAAGCCGAGAAGGCGAAGATGGAAGACGAGATCGCAGCTCTTGATGTCGAGGCCGAAGAGCTTGATCAAGAAGAAGAGCAATTTTGGCAGCAACGCAATGCTTTCACCGTCGAGTTGGCTGCGTTCCAGGAAGAACGTGATAGCCTGCAAGCGCAGCTCGCTCATGACACCAAAGTCTTGGAGGCCTTACAGCGCACGAACGTATACAATGATACTTTCGTCATAGGGCACGATGGCTTCTTCGGTACAATCAACGGTCTACGACTTGGCAGGTTGCCCGATCGCCCGGTTGAATGGGCCGAGATCAACGCAGCTTGGGGTCAAGTGGTCTTACTGCTGTCTGTAGTGGCCGAGAAACTTGGCTGCAGCTTCAAAGAGTACAAACTGGTGCCGATCGGATCGACGTCGAAGATCGTCAAGTACGATCTCAAGCAGCAATCAGCCGGCGATGCGAGGGCAAAGGGCAGCATCCTCGAACTCTACAGCAGCGGCAATCTCTCATTGGGACTGGGCGGACTGTTCCATGGCAAATTTGACGAAGCCATGATTGCCTTTCTGGACTGCCTTCGCATGGTCGGCGAAAACGTGGAGCGCACGACGTCTGCGACGACTGGAACCACACGCATGAAGTTGCCGTACCGGATCGTCAAGGATAAAATCGGAGACGTCAGCATTCGCCTGGGCAACTTTGGCCAGGATGAGCAGTGGACAAAGGCCTGCAAATTTACGCTGACGTGCTGCAAATTTCTGCTGGCACATGCAAGTCATATAGATGATGCCAGACCGCGTTGAGTGAAGCGAAGCGATTCCGACAAGCTTTACATGAGCCATCCATCTTGGCCCAACTATTCTGGTTGATGAAGAGGATATGAGCGTTCGTAGACCAGGTCCATGGCTCTCTCCGACTCTTGGTCCAGGTACGGCTCTGGTGCCCTCCTCACAAACCCGCCCTTGGGCCCCTGTTCCATACATTCACCCGAAATATCACTGTCCAGGAAGCTCTCGAACGCGTCGATCACACCTTTCATGGGGGTCATGAGGTTTTCGCTTTCAATCCTTTCGTAGAAGGCATCCGACGAGATGTGCGTTTTGACCACATTCGGGCAAACGGCATTGAGCGTGATGTTTTCCTCCGGGAGGTACTTGCCATAGCTGCGGACGAATCCAACCACGCCGCGCTTCGCCGCTGTGTATATCGGGATCGCTGGGGTAGTGTGTGAGTAGCATGCGCACGTGTCTGCGTTGGGAACGTTGGCTTACTTGGAACACAGTAGATTCCGCAGGCCGAAGCAGTGGCAGCGACTTCGATGCGACTAGTCAGCAAATGAAAGCTTTCAGTCATGAATGACAGCACAGCAACTCACTCTTCCCACGAAAGCCCGAGCTATCCTTCTCCTGTCTCCTCATCTGTTGGATCGCGAGGTAAGCGGTATACAACACGCCGATGAGGTCAACGTCGAGCGTTGCAAGATCAGGTTTCTGGAAGCCTGACGTCGATCCGTCTCTCTTGACCGTCTTGCGCTCGCCAATTCCTGCAATGGGAAAAACGTAGTCGATCCGGCCGAATTCCTTGACGGCCGTTTCGAACGCCGCCAACTGCGAGTCCCAGTCTGGCGTGTTGACTTCGACGGCAATGGCGCCCTTGCCCAGTTTCTCGGCGGCTGCTTTGGCGCCTTCGAGGTTGCGGTCGGCGATGCACACCCTTACACTGTAGAGTTGTTTGAGACGAGCGATGCTTTGATGTTTGGAAAGAGTGATGCTCACCCTCTGCCCACCAGCATCTCCGCAACAGCCAGGGCGATTCCGCTGGCGCCGCCTTGCATGCAGTCAGTACATTGTAGCTGTTGGAGTGATTGGAAGCCTAACCAGTAATATAAGCCGTCTTGACCGACATGTTGCCTGTGATCCTGCTATTGCGAGATTGAGCGTGCAAGAATATTACTACAAGAAACCAATTGCAGGGAGGTCAATGGTGGATGTGCGCTGCCGACTACCCCATCTTGCCCTTGGTGAGATGAGGGGCAAGGCGGCTGATCCCCGCGGTCAGGCTCGAGGATGAACGCCGAGGGCGCGTGCAAGGCATTGCCGGCACGCCCTCTTTCGCGGCACCCAGGCTGGGCTCTGTGACTCTGTGCCGTGCTGTACAGCCAGTCAAATGGTCTCTGTCTGCCTTCCGAGCTGTTTTGGACTAATACGCTGAAGCTGCATGCCTACGGTGAAACAAGATCAGGTCCACTCAATCGATCCTCGGGTTCTTGATACAACTTGGCAGCTCGTGTGATGCTATATCCTTGTCTCTCGCCGTTGGCCCTGTTGATCTACATGCAAAAACCAAACCTGAATGTCATAGTCGTATTGCAGACGTTGCCGTTGCAAGTGAATGCATCGACAACTGTGGCGCATGGCAATGCCAAGCCACAGCCACCCTTTCCTCTGTGGCTTCGACCTCCGCAAATTTTAGTTGACTGCGGAACGCGCAGGTTAGAGACACTTCGACACTGTCCAGCTCAACTTGCCGCACCCCATCCATGATCTGAGGCCATTCCATACCAGTCTCCAAGATGCCTCAAGCACAGCCAGAACTCAAAAAGGTATGTCCACGCTGAGCCGCATCCCCGAAACCCTTGCGACAGTAGCGACACGATCTCCAGACTAACTAGAGAACAGTATCTCGACAAGCGGGTCGAAGTGCAACTCAACGGCTCGCGCAAAGTCATGGGCACCCTGCGCGGCTACGATGTAAGCACTCCTCCTCACTCTCCATCTTCCTGCCCCCGCGGCGCCCGAGAAACACAGCGCTGACACCCAGCACAACAGGTCTTCCTCAACATCGTCCTCGACGAAGCGACCGAGAGTAAAGCCAACAACGAGAAGGTGCGACTGGGCATGTGTGTGATTCGGGGTAATGCGGTGGTGATGATGGAGGCGCTGGACCGGATCGACGGCGGGGACAGGGGCGGTGGGAGATGAGAAGGCTGGACCTTTCGGGAGAAATGGACAGACAGGGAAGCATGCGCAGGGGCCGATGCTACGAGCTATATGACGAGCCGGAAGATGGTTGCGAGCACCTCCCGTTTGGCTACGGTCGTCAAAATATCGGTGCGTCAACCCGGGAGTCAACGAGGCGATCCGGAATGGTAAGGCACCCTCGCCGTCATGCGACTGAAAGAATCACACGGTTTACAAGTGTTTCTATCACAGCCGCAATAATCACATAACTGCCGCCACGAATCCTTGAAAAGGCGCGAGCCGCTGTATTAGTTGCGAGAAATCTATTCAAACGATGCCCCGAACGCTTCAATTACGCCGTAGATCAACTCCACCCAGCCGTGCATTTCCCTCTAAAACTCAATGCGTCCCATTCGCCAAAGGTGCGAGGCCAAAAGACTCTCGAATCGCGGCGCCGAATCGCTTGATGGCCTCGTTGATCTGATCGGCCGGCGCAGCGGCATACGTCGCGCGGAAGAACAGGGTGTCCTTGCCGGCCTTCTGCTCCGCCACGAACCACGACCCACACATCAACAACGTCCCGTGCGCAATGTTCTTGAGGAAGATTTCCTCTTCAATCTCCAGCAAAGTCTTGTCCGCGAAGTGAGGATGCTTCTTGTAGTCGATTTCGAGCCAGAGGAACATGCCGGCCGAGGGGGCCACCCATCTCACGAGGTCACGGGGGAGATAGGTCTCGCAGGCCTTGAGGATGGAGTCGCGACGCTCGGTGTACTCCATGCGGATCTTGATAAGCCAGTCGAGGTAGCCGCCGTGGCCCCAGGATTCGTCGAGGAGCTTGAACAACACGAGCTGGGAGATGCCGCTGGGGCCTTGCGTGGCGAGGTCGGAGAGCATGCGGTACTTTTCGCAGATCTGCTCGGAAGCAGTGATCCAGCCTACACGGCTGCCGGGTGCGATGACCTTGGAGAAGGAGTCCATTCGCAGCACGCGGCCGTCGACGTCGAGAGACAAGTAGGAGGGGACCAGGGAGTGGATGAAGTCGGAGTGGGAAGTAGGAGGAGGCACGTCGGGCGCGTTGGCGCCGGTGTAGGGCTGCATTTGGAGGAAGTAGTAGGGCTCGTCTTCGAAGATGTAGAGGTCGTGCTTCTGCGCCACGGCGTAGATTTCCTTGCGGCGCTGCAGGGGTTGCGTGAAGCCGGTGGGATTCTGGCCGGTCGGTACCGTGTACACCACGAAAGGCTTCGGGCCGCCGCGCTCCGCCACGTTCCAGTTCGAGAGGATGTCGTCAAGGGAGGTGGCGAGCATACCATGCTCATCCATGCCGACGGCGGCAATGTTGATGCCCATGCCTTGCGCTGCCACGACCATGGTGGGATAGGTGTACTGCTCCGTCAAGATCCAGTCGCCAGGGTTGCAGAAGAGGCGGAAGGCAAAATCACAAGCCGACGTTGATCCGATGGTCATGGTGCAGCTCCAGTCGCGGTAAGGGGGGTTGTGCACGATTTCGGTGTGCTCGATCATCCATCGCAAGAACTGCGCGGCGCCGTGGCCCTGGCCGTACTGGCAGGCGGTGGCGATGTCGTACAGCGAGACGCCCTCTGCAAGGTCATGCTTCCCGGCCGTGAGGATTTCATTCTTACCGGCCTTGAGGGTGCTCGTGTCGGCATGCCCGTTTGGCTGCGATGGTGACAAGCTGGCCAGGCTGGGCACGGTGATGGACAATTCCTCGAATGGGAAGTACTCGCTCGACGGCAAGCCGCCACCCAGCGAGATCAGACCGGGAGTCTTGAGGTGCTTGGCAGCAGTCTTCAACGAGTTTCCCTGTCTCACTTTGGCCTCATGCGTCAAGCGGTCTGCGAGGGGAGGTTAGCAGGCCAGAGACTCGGTGAAGTGGCAGGAGGAGGAGGGACGACTCACGGTCCCACCGCTTGGCCTTGCCCTTGTGCGAGTGGTGCGTCCGGCCTTTGAACAACTCGACATCCACGGCAGCAGCAACTCCGGCATTGAACGAACCATATGCGGCGCGTCGCTTGGCAACCTGCTCAATCGTCAATCGGTCGGGGATGGTGAAGGTCGTCGTGTCCGTTTCCGCCAGAATCTGGATCTCCGGGGTTCTTGTCGAGGAGGCCATGGCGGAGTCTATGTGTATTGGACACGCTGGAACGGGCAGATGTCAGCCTTGCGGATTACCAAAAGATGGCTCGTGTCTGGTAGCGTGCAGCCTCGTGTAAGAGTCCTTGGGGGAAAGCAGCAAAGACGTGTAGGGGGAGGATAAGAAAGGGACGGATAGGGCTCTCTTGGCCCACTTAGCACGTACTGAGTCGAGGGGATAGCGTTGTCCAGTGAAAGGGCTCATCAAGCGGTGTAGGAATTTTTCTTAAGATGCTGGTTGCATCGGGCAGGCCAGGGGAGGAGATCGACGGAATAGGGCGCGGAATTGGCCCAATTAGTGCCGCTTGTACTCGGCTTATCGACGCGAGGAATGCGAAAGGGCGCGCGAAGAGGCGCGGCACGCGCGGCACTCGCTGTTCACATTACTAACAGACATCCACGTTGATTGTCCACGTGAGGGACGGATGTAACCATCGTGGTAAAAGACATGGGTGGTGTATGGATGGATCCCTCCCGTTCCTCTTCGACATCATCCCTTCCTCCCACGTCTGCTCCACGGCGATGGACAACACAACTAATACTGCTCCTCGGGACAATCGAACGCCAGATGGCCCTCCTTCTCACACAACGCACACCACTTGTCCTCTTCGCTCGTCTGTGGCCCTTCGCCTTCCTCGATCTTCCCCTTCCCACTCCCATTCACCGCTCCCTCATGCTCATTCTCCTTTCCCCGGCCAAACACCTCGCCCTGCGCTGCTCTCGGCGTCTTCTCCGTCGAGCGCAGCTTCGTGCAGTCCAGCGTGTCGTGGTCCGACGCCTCGCACATTTCGCAGTACACGTCGGGGGTGTCGCCTGTCGTTTCCGTGTTGGTATCCGGGATAGACGGCGATGGGATCTTGGCCGCACCGTTCGTGGGCTTGATTGTCTCCCCTCTCGTGCGTCCAGGGAGCGAACGTTCTGGTGCGGTGGCCGTTCGTTCGCTCTCGTTTCGCGTATGGCTGGTCGAGATGTCGCTCGTGCCATTCTTGGCCCCCGCCACTTCTCGGCGTAAGTGTTCAATTTCCTCTTCCAAAGCCTCCTTCTCCTTTCTGTTGGCCTCTAGCTGCTGCTGTACCCCTTTGATACCTTCGTCATTGCCGCCAGTCTCCTCGCCACCACTGCGCGAGCTCAATCCGTGAACAATAGCCTTTAATCCTCGAATCTCGTCATCCTTCTTCTCCATCTCCTTTTCCAGAGCAGCGGAGTTTCGATTACCACCGTTGTCACCACTCCCGCGCTTCGCCGTGGCCGCAGCCTTGTCGCGCTCCCGCTTGAGCTCACTTCTCCCGCGCTCCACCTCACCCCTCAAAAACTCCACCTCCCCTCGGGCCTCCGCCTCGCCCCGTCTGCTCTCCTCCAATCCCTCCTCCAGCTCCGCCACCAAATCCTCCAATCCTTTCAACTGCATCGCAACCCCGTCAAAATCCTCCTTGCTCTGCTGCAAATCCTGCAGCTCGGCCAGTTGCGCCAGCAAATCCCTCTTCTGCTCCTCGTACACCCTCTCGGTTTCGGTACTAGCCATCTCGAGACTATCGAGGGTACTTCGGAAATCCGCTCGGTGCGCGTCGAATTCGGCCGTCAGCAGGCTAATCTTCTCATTCTTCTCCCGTAGCATTTGGCGAAGCTGTGCCACACTTTGTCCTTCACCGTTGGCATCCTGGGCATCGGCAGGAAGAATGGCCGACAGCTCTTGCACACTTTGGTCCATTTCCGCTAGACTAGCAGCCTGCTCGTCCAGTCGCCGATCGCGCTCCGCAAGCTCTTTCTTCAGTCGTTGTATCTCTTGCTCTTGCCCGCCCGCACTGCCCAGGCGGGAAGGAGAGCGCATAGCCTGTGAAAAAGAAGGCACGGACCCATTGCTGGTGTTACGCGTGGATGCGCCGACGGGCGTTCGGTCTTCGTCTATGACGCTGTTGCCCATCCGCGAGCTACTTCTCGAGTAGGGCCTGGGCGTGTGTCCGGCTGGTGGAGGACGTGTGGTGGTGGAGGATTTGAAATTACTGCTCTTAGCCGGCGTTCGACCGCCAATCTGACTCTGTGAGAATGCATTACGCCCGGGTGTGGGCGCCAGGTTGGGAGCTGGCTTCCTAAACGGACTCTCCGGCCGTGGTAGTGATGGTCTCTTAGGCTTGAATGACGGACTGGGAGGTCGCGCCCCCGGTCCAACGGTTTGGGCGAATTTGGAGGTGGGCGTGGGTCGGGTGGTGGTTCGCGTGCCATTGACAGTGCTATATGTCGGGGTATCTGGCGTGCCGGGAAAGGCGTCGAGAGGGAGGGTGGGCGAGGATCGCTTTTCGGCGCGATGAACGGGCAGGAAAATGCCGGCGCCGGGGATGGAGGTGGTGAAGTAGCGCGTGCCCTCCACGTCTCCGTCGTTCTTCCCTTTATTCGCAAACGCGGGATCCAGCTCGACGCCGACGAAAGTGCCATTCTTGCCCTTGACTGCGCCGAGGAACTTGACCACCCCGTACATGTCGCCGGGCACATTGACCTCGTCGCCGACCACGAGGTCGCTGGCATCGCGGTTGCCCGGTGTGCGGGGATCGTGTGTCTGGCCATTCAGTGCTCTCAAGCTCGCATTGCGGTTTGTATTGACGCTGGCGCTGCTCACGCTCGCACTGAAATTCGGCGAGCCTCCAAAGGACGGACGCGGAGTGGGGAGACCGCGTTGTCGCGGGGTGTGAAAGGAAGTAGTCATGCTAGCTGCGTGCTTGACGCTTGTCTAGATGGAGTGGGGGAGGAGGAGGAATGATGGATGAGCGGGGGATGAGCGTTGTCGCAATCACAGGCGCAATGTCAGGAGGAAGACGGGGATGGGGATGATGAGATGGGGTGATTTGGCCGTTGGGTATAATAAACACGGGAGGCGCGTGGTTGGCTGAAACGGGCAGGCCCGTCCGAACACGCGCTTTCATTTCTCCGCGTGCACGTGATTGGGCATGGTTGGGCTATCGACAAACGAGGTTGTTGGGCTACAGTATATGATGGAAAGCAGAGGATGCGCGTGGTCGCACAATGTTGCTTGGATCACAACAACAACAACAACCTGCACTCCACTCCGTCCCTGCTGCATCATCCCGTCCCGAGTTTGGCGTCGGGAGTGCATGCAGATGCAGGTGGGTCGGGCAACCTCTCCGGACGGACAAGCCTCGGCTGTCGGACAACCAGCCATGATCGACATCACTTGCAATTGACCGTGGCCACTTCTCCCAAGCGCCTAATCCGCTACAAGACCGTGCTGGACGAAGCAGACATTCACCATGGCCGGCGAGATACGGCAGAAGTTCGACTTGGACAAGTTTACGCGATATGTCGACGAGAATGCACCCAACATCAAGACTCCATTGGAGGTCAAGCAGGTAAGATGGACCACGACAGCTTCGAATGGACACAATGTATGATCTAACCCTCTGATGTGATAGTTTGGATATGGGCAATCAAACCCCACCTACCTGATCACCGCTGCTGATGGGAACAAATATGTCATGCGCAAGCAGTACGCCCCCCATTTCCATCGTGGCAACATGTCGCGTGAGATGAAGATTGCTAAACAGTGATGGCCTCCAGACCTCCTGGCAAGCTCCTATCCAAGACGGCCCACCGTGTTGACCGAGAGTTCCGTATCATCCACGCCCTGAACCCCACCGACGTCCCCGTCCCGGAAGCCATGTGTCTCTGCACCGACAGCGCCGTCATCGGCACTCCCTTCTACATCATGCAATTCCTCCAGGGCCGCATCTTCGAAGACCCCGCCATCCCGGACGTCTCCCCCAAGGAGCGAAAGGAGATGTGGCGCTCCGCCATCACCACTCTCGCCAAGTTCCACCGCGTCAAGCCCGACAGCGTCGGCCTCCAGGACTTTGGCCGGCACGGCAATTTCTACAACCGCCAGCTGAGGACCTTCAAGAAGCTCTCCGAGGACCAGGCTGCTGTCAAGGACGCAGACAGTGGAGAGGCGGTCGGCAAGATCCCTTACTTTGACGAAATGGTCGGCTTCTTTGGCGACGCTTCTACCCAGCCTCAGGATCGAAGTACGTTTGTGCACGGCGATTACAAGATTGATAATGTCGTCTTCCACCCCACCGAGCCCCGCGTGATTGGTATCCTGGACTGGGAAATGGCAACGATTGGCCATCCCCTCTCTGATCTTACCAACCTGATTATGCCCATCAGCATTGCCCAGCCAGAATACGCTGAGCTGGCCGACGCGGCAGGGAGGAAGAATCTGAGTTTCATGGGGGGTAAGGATGGTGCAGAAGGGCTGCCCACGAAGGAGGAAGCCGTCAGGTGGTACGAAGACGTCGTGGGATGGAAAGTCGATCAGAGGGAGTTGACGTGGGCGGAGGCCTTCAACGCTTACCGGGGAGCGGTCATCATGTATGTGTCGAGTTGTGCTCATTCTTGCAACAATTGCACCTCACTAACCCGTTCGATCTCTAGGCAAGGTATCGCGGCAAGATATGCAGCTCGACAGGCCAGTAGTACGAGGGCGATGGAGTATGGACGGGCAATGGGTCCGCAGGGGAAGATGTCATGGGCGTTTGTGCAGGAGGTGAAGAAGAAGAACGCAGAGGCGGGCAAGAAGGCCAAGTTATGACATTGCCCTCCTTAACAGCAGCCATAGCGTGGAAGTAAATCGCATGCATCAGCAGTAAGCTCTGATACAACCGCCCCGTACCGCTTTTTCCATCTCCCTTCAACAATGGTACATCATTCTGCCTGAGTCCACCCAATCCTCGCTTCCATGAAGTCCTATCTCCTGTTGGCGAATGCCACCCCAAAGTTGTACAGCCCCAGCGCCGCCAACACACTCAACGCGATCGGCAGCGGCTTCTGCGACCGGAGCGCACGCGGGATGCTGCTGCCGGCAAGAACGACACTGGCCAGCAGGGCAAGCTCGATGCCATACGTCTGTCGGTTCTGGATGCGGTAGCCGCCGATGAGGTAGAGGGCGCCGACGGAGCAGCCGGCGGCGAGAGAAGGCACGGAGCCGGCGCGCGCGTAGCCGGTGATGCCTCCGCCTGCGGTGAGGACGCCCAAGATGTATGCGATTTGGCTGGAGGGAGGCGAGCTGGTTAGTGGGGCTGGTAGCAAGGGATGGGAGGTGGGTACGATACTTGAGAGACTACGGGTCGCGATTTGTCAGTCTTATGGATTCACGCTGGTTGCAAGAAGCACAATAGCCACATACCATGGTTTCTGTTGTATTTGAAGAGGTCGCGTTGTTGGATGTAAAGTGGTTAGAGGAAGAGGTGTAGCTGTCCACATGAAGCACGCAAGGCAGGCGGGGCTGCGTTAGGGTTAGGGTTCGGGATTTATTTCAACAACCACACCTGGCTTCATCTGCCTTCGATACCTGACTCCCTCAAAGCGAACGCTCCCGCTCTCGAACCCCGACCTCCTCCCACAATTCCAAGGACTGTCATCAATTGCACCGCTACCATGGCCCCGAAAGCCAAACAACCCACGCCCTCCCCTCAGCCCGCCAAGACCACCTCCTTCTCCTCGACCCCTGCAACCACCACCTCCACCAGCACGTCCACGAAGCCCCGCTCCACACCTTCCTCCTCGGGCTCCATTCGCACCGTGCAAGATGCGCAAGACATCGTCGAGACCATCTGGCAAAACTACGTCGACAAGACGCCGCAGCGAGTGAAGCTGCTCGATACATTCATGGCCTTTTTGATAGTGGTGGGCGTACTGCAGTTTGTGTACTGCGTTATTGGCGGCAACTTTGTACGCTCATACGGTACCCCAACGCCGGTTTGATGTCATTGCTGACGGTGTCACTCCAGCCTTTCAATGCCTTCTTGTCGGGCTTCTCCGCTACAGTGGGCCAATTTGTGCTCACGGCCAGCCTGCGCATGCAAACGAATCCCGAGAACAAGGCCGACTTCCGGAGCATATCACATGAGAGGTATGTCTTGGATCCGTGGAGCTGAGGGACATACGATGCTAACTGACTTGCCTGTATAGAGCCTTTGCGGACTTTGTCTTTGGGAGTTTGATCTTGCATTTCTTTTGCGTGAACTTCATTAACTAGGGCGGATCGTTCCTGCGGCGGTCTTGTATGCATAGCGTCGGATGTAGGATAGAGAGCTTTGACTAGTCCCTCTCCGAATTCCTCTCAAAGCGGCGGAAATGCCTTACTCATTCTATCCCTGTCCTTGTGGAGGGTCGACCATCCGTCGGTCGACCAGCATGATCGAGCCTTGTCGTGCTGCTCGGAGAGCGTCGTGAGCGGTCGGTCTTGCTGATGACGGAGTGCTATGCTCAACTGAGTCCAAGCACCCACCGTGGTGATTGCACCACATTGAGGCCAATGGTACTTGGAGCGTGATTGCTTAGAAAAGCACAATTTCGCCTCGTGCTTCACGCAATCTTCCGCCCGACATTTCCCACCCCTCTCCCAACAACACTCACAACCACCCCATCCTCGTCCCCGTCCTCCTCCTCTCGCATGCCCCAGCCGCTCATCCCAAACATCCTCAAATCCCTGGCAAGCTGAATGACGGGCTCTGAACCGAGGACCTCCTTCCCAACAGTGATGCGCCCCACATCCTCACTTCCCATGGCCATCAGACTCAGCATGGGAAAGGCAGAGACGTGTGAGATGCAGCCTCCTGTCTCAATGGCTTCGAGCAGCTGATAGGCACACTTCTTGCCAAGATCCTCCGGCGTCTCGCCGCCACTCGGTGGGCTGGCAGTGTCGGCGGAGTAGAGAGTGTTGGTTGTGGTCTCGGCCACAAGACTCAGTCCGAAGCCCAGACCGGTCTTCCGCTTCGCCCTGGGGTTGGTCTTGTCTTGGGTTGGCACAAATGGCGCCGAGGAAACATCGGAATAGATATAGACATCCGGGACGAGCTCGTTGAGCACGCCTCTCGCCGCCTCGATCAGTCGGGCGTTGTTGGCGCCGGCCACGCCTGTAGAATAAGCCACGCCGCGAATGCGTTTCACTCGCCCCGCATGTAGAAGGTGAATGGTTTTCGGCAGGCGCACTTGGTGACCAAAAACAAGCTGCACCTCGCCTCCGCCGCCTTTGCCGTCTCGACCGGGATTGGAGCGTTTCAAGATCCGCAGCTCAATGTTGAGTTCGATGCCAAAACTTTTGAACAGCGGGAGGATGGCAGTGCGGACGGTGTCGACACTGACGTCTCCAGTCTCTGTTGCGCTGGTGATGACGCCCGGGCCGGTGAAAAGGACATTCACTTGCGCTTTCGAGAATGGCGCAAGCAGACAAACTGGGATGATGAAGTAGCTCGCGCCTCTCGTGCAATCCGCCGGGAGTTCATGCCTTATCACGCCTCCAGAAGCGCCATGGCCGGCTGCGCTGCCGGTGATCAAGCCAGGCTTGTAAAGCACCGTTGTTCCGGTGTAGGAGAACTCGATTTGCGATCCGTTTGTGAGCGACTCGAGGAGACGCAGGATGGAGACTTCGTGCGGCGCGAGGCCCGGAGAGCGATGTGAGGCGGCTCTGATATGCGAAATGCGCACAGCCTTTCCGGTCAGTGTTGCGAGCACGAGTCGCTGGACGAGAAATTTCGAGCCGGTAAACTTGAGCGGCGCCGTCGCATCCGCCGCCATCGTGTTCGAGTAATGACCAGGTTAGGGCGACATGAAGCAGGAATGATTGTACGTGTCTCGGATTTGCGACATGGCAATTTAGTTGTGGCGACGAGTGTTGCAGGTGCCGCCTTGTTCGCAGGAAATTTTAACGTTAAGCCTTCGCGCCACGATCTGACGCTTCGGTCCCGAAAATCGACCCTCCTGTACCAACCATCTCAACGTACACTCTATAAGGCAACATCAAGGCTGAAACGCGATGGCATACACAAGCAAAGCATGGGCCGTTTTCAACAATCTCGAAAAGCAAGAATTCATGTCACATTTCAGAGAGTTATAATAGTTGGGTATCATGAGCACACTCGTGGCCCTGTTGCTCCGAAGAGAGGTCTCCCCAAAAATCGCACGTCCTTTCTTGTGGTCGCAATTAACATGTCTCAGTCTGTCCCATTTCCTCCACGTCTTGTCCTATCTGACCCTTGGGCCCCGAGTCACGCCTCGAGCTCTTGTGTGTGACCCGCGAGCAGTGGTGCTCTAGTAGCCTTGGCCTCCACCCGGTTGCTGCTGGCCGTAGCCGCCGCCGTTAGGTCCCTGCGAGTAGCCGCCTAGAAGTGGGAGTGAGCAAGGCATCCTCAGGTGGGAGGGGGGTTAGGCAGACGAACCTTGTTGCTGGCCATACCCACCACCCTGGCCACCGCCAAAGCCTCCACCTCCACCACCACCCTGGCGCCAGTTGCCGCCGCCGCCTCCGCCCTGAGAGTATCCGCCCTGTTGGTAGCCTCCTTGGCCGCCGCCTTGACCGCCGCCGTAGCCTCCGCGGTATCCGCCACCGCCGCCGCCGTAGCCGCCACCCTGCTGGTATCCACCGCCGCCGCCACCGTAGCCGCCTATGCCATTCTCAATTAGAACGAGGTCATTCCTATGACTAGCAGGGAAGTGTGATATCTTACCACGTCCACCACCTCCACCGCCCGCGCCGCGCTCGGATGCCTTGTCAACGCGAATGGTACGTCCATCGAACCTGGGTTGGAGTGTTAGTGTGAGCCGCACCTCGAGGGTGTAATGACTGAAACTCACTCGACATTGTTCATCGCGGCGATGGCGGAATCGGCAGCGGAGTCTTCTGCGAAACGCACAAAGCCGAAACCGCGGCTGCGGCCGGTGTCACGATCCTTCACCACGATCTACGGGCCATGGTCAGTTGGGGCTGGGTGAAGTGAAGGGTAGATGATGCGCACGGCTTCGTCAACCTGACCGAACTCCTCGAACTTTTGACGCAAGGTCTGGTCATCTGTGTGCCATGCCAGGCCACTTTGGATGCGTCAGTGAATGCCGCAGAATCTCTCGAGTGTCGAGTGACGCCGTACCCAATGAAAAGTTTAGACATTCTGTTACCGTGTCGTGTCGGTAAGGACAGGAAGAATGTGAGCGGCGCTGATGTAAGACCACGCTGTGCCTCGGGAGTGTCGTTCTTGGGGAGAGGGGGATGTAAGAGGGAAGGTTTGGATTCACAGGCTGCTCAACGTTAAAAGGTGAGGTGGTAGTGTCACATGCGCCGGGTCCACGTGAAAGAGAACTAGAGCAGGAACAGCACGTGGCTACGCCAGACAAACCTCCCAACGGGTGCAGTGAAGGGGAGAGCAACGTGAGGAGAGGAGGCAGAAGCTGAAGAGAACACTGCCGAGCGCGAGGTGAGACGAAGGATAAGGGCAAAAAGTGCGAAATTCAAGGCGTGCGAGCTTGCGTGCTGCCGCACTGCACGAATCCGCCCTCGAGCTGAGAGAGGCGCAAACCCCTCACCGAAAGTGACATGGATACCTACCTACAGTACATGCGAGACCTGTACCTTACCTTGCCTCTCCCTTCCATGCCCTCCCGCCCCTACTCAACGCGCCAAGGCAGACTAGACACACACTACAGCCCTTCTTCGGTGCAGCTAACGACGCGCGGAGTAAGGCGTTGCAGGGAAGATGTGTTAAGGCTCAGCAGATGGGATGCGGATCTGGAGGCGAATCACGAGGTGTGGTGGAGCATGGAAGGTCGGCGGGCGTGTGTGACTGGCCCGAGCGTGGCGGGCATCCTCCTCCAATGACGCGCACTGCCCGCAAGCCCGCGGCGTCGCTTTGCTTCTGCCGGCCCCCGTCTGTGCTGCCAACCAACGACGCACCCACTTGCGCGCCAACAAGGTTCACCCCAGCGGCACCCGACCAAGAAGAGTAAGCGCACTACTGCACACCAGTCCTCGGTAAAGGCAGATGGTTCGCGAAACGCCGACCGCGTAAAGGCCAGCACGGCATTTGCGGTGAGTGACATCTCCCGGACGTCACACAACATCATCACCACATCGTGCCTCCATGCTATGAGTCGAGAAATGGCGAGCTGTTGTGCTCCCGTCAACCAAATCCGTTGAAAACACTTGTGCAGTCAGCCGATGCATGCGGCGTCTAGTGCGCGCCACACCTCCCGAGGTTGAGACGTCGGCCTGCACGTCGCGCGGTATGTATACTGCATCGTTGAGCGGACAGACTGTAGATGTGTCCAAGTGTCGATACAATCGTTGCGAGAGCGAGCACATGTATGCAGATGTGCTAATACAACCATCCGAATCATGCGACGCGGACAAGGTGCAAATGGGAATCGTTCCTGCCCTGCCTTGCCTCGTTCTTGCCGTCAAGCCTACGTGAAATCTGGCCCCACCATGTATCAACACCATCGTTCTTCCCCAAGCTACAATTCATGCACGCGTGACGATCGAAATGACCCCAACTCAAGCCGCTCCTGGAGTGTAATAATAACGCCATGGACATCCGACAGTGGCTTCAGGAGACCACAGATCGAGCACCACCTGCCCATCCCGACACTCCCACCGTTCCGGACTTTCTTGGTCCACAGCCTGAAGGCCAAAATAGACCGAGTCATGTTCGACGAGGGAGGAGAAAGCGCGCGTCAAGCGACAGCTCTGTGATCCGCCCGAGACAAGGCTGGCATGGAAGTGAGGTAGCAGATCATCGACCCGCAGCGTATAGTCAGCAGAGTGCTGCAGCTGCAGGACTTGATGACCGGAGTATCTCCCGAGCAAGCTCACACGTCAACCATCACACCTACGAGCGTCGTCCGCGACACAAGACGAGACCTGATCGCTACGAGCCCAAGCAGAACAAACAACGCAAGGACCGCGAGCTGAAGCACACTGACCGGCGTACTCGGAAGCGTCGCAAATCGCATCGACACGATGATGATTACCACCGTCTTCCAGTCCTGCTCCAAAGTTTGCATTCGAAGAACGGGCCGAAGAACAGTCGGCTTACCGTGGGTCCATGGGTATACGTGCGAGCATGCCAGTAACCACTAACGCTTCTGCATCAGCTCAAACCAGACACTCACACCGGCCTCTTCAAGCATGGGCGTGCTGGTGAACGAGTGGCGGGGCGTGGAACTGGTCGTATGTCTTCTACCCTGCTTCGATGGTTCCGCAAGCTGATCGTGTTGTAGTGCCTGACTTGGTCTTCAATGAATTGAGGTTCTTGCAGAAGCCTACAGAACATCAGGATGAGCCCGCACGGGCTGACAGCCCACCACGAGGGAAAAGACACGAGCGAAAGAGGGTGCAGGACGAGGAGATTTCGGCTTACTTCAACGCAAACAACGGGGCGAAGTCGCAGTCGCAGCTACCCCAAGAGAGAGTGCAACATCGAGAGGAATCCCAGGATCCGAAACGTAATCGAGACCTGGAAGAAGCACAGCCAGTGAGGCGTTCAGCTACGCAAGTCGAATCAGGGGGAAAAGCACCCCTCGAACCTGGAAGGCCCACGGCAGATGCGAGGCGACAACGTGATAGAAGCGAGAGCGCGGAACCCTATCCTTGGTCTGAATCGCCAGTCAACCCACCAACCCAAGCACGGTCGCAGCCGGGACAGACCATCAAGAAGCGGCAGCCTCGTAAAGACCGGAGCAGTCTCTCGCATCACTCTTCTCGCTTTGAACTTGCCCGGGAAATATCCCGCAACCCGCAGACTGCGGTCTTGGGCAGCGTGCTGAACGACAACTTCCGAGCTTCCAAGGGACGCGTGGACCGCTCCACGAGTGGCCAGGAGAAAGGAATTGCACCGCCACGAAACGAACAACGCCTCCATAGGCCAGCCAGCATAACAACGGCGCGTTCGCGGCCGCAGGATACTTCTCAACATCGCGGAACTAAGCAGGACGAGCTCGAACAAGTGGCCGATGGTCTTAATCTACCCAGAGATTTCCAGACGTCAGACATCCTCGAGATTCGGGAGCGACAAGAACACTCAGACAGAACGGAATCGTTTGGACAGGTGGATGCGGTAGTACACGTGGAAAGTGACAAAGAGAATGCCAGCCCGGGATCGTCCGTCGACCAGCTCCTTGATCAGGCAAAACAGGCCATCGTCCGGCGATCGACTGCGCCGCAAGCGCAATTCCGTGGTGCAAGGACGTCCAGGGAAAGCCTGGTCGGGCGGGAGGTAGGTAGTGAGGCAGACGTGAGCGGCGCAATCGAGCATCCACCATTGAGACAGGCGCGGGAGCACTACGAGCGGTCGACCACGAATGCTTCATGCATCGGCCTCCGATCGGTTCCAAATATGTCCATGGGGGCCTTCGAGCGTGGTAAAGCCTTGCACCCAAGAGATCTGGACGATTCAATGCCAGAAGCTGCTACGTTCGAGCTTGCCTTGCCATTCGAGGACGAGATGCTGGACGACGGATTGCTGGTGGATAACATGCCATGTCAAGACGACTACGCGGATCTGCAGAACCTCGGAGCAAATGAAGTTGTGCGCAGGGTGTTTGCTGTGCCAGAAACCAGACTGTTCGAGAAGCAGGCGGAACAGATGTGGCGAGCAGACGAGATGTATTCCGAGGAATGGCCTGCCATGGAGCATGCGCGCCCCAGCGAAGCATCTCTTCAGCCCCAGGATGAGACGATGGAAGCAATGGCGGGGTTTTGGAAGCCGCACAGGTTATATTGACATTACCCGGGCAGAGGAACGGTGAGAGTAGCATACCGTACGTATGTCACGAGAATCGAGTCGCCCAAACGTCTCTGCTCACCAATGATCCTTGCCGCCGCCATTGAACGCGCTCCACCGGTAACGTTAACCGAGTTCCGGCGGGGGGCGGGAGGAAGGGCCAGCCGTTGAACACAGTGCCCTCCCTGTCCCATGTCTAGATGCTTGCTTGGAGCTGCGCTGCGACATCTTCCAAAACTCCAGGTCTCTCCACCACAGCCGAGCATCCCTCCCTCCTGCATGTTGCGCACACGTCTGCTCCGCGTTCCGTGCAACCCATCTGCGCCCCGAGGATTCGCCACGCGAGTGCAGCCGGCGACTGCATTGCCTTCACCCCGTGCCCCCCGAAACCCTGCCCTTGGCTCGAGCTGCCCCACTCAGCTCAACACCAGCAAAATTCCGTCACCAACAAACACCCGCTCGCAGCAGATCTCTGCACACTTCTCCTCCTCCCCCTCCTCTGCATTGAAAGATCAGACCGACAACATGGCTACAACTGGCGCTTCTCTCCCCACTCGTGGTGGCTACGACCCCAAGGCCGCCTCCACCTTCACCGCACGCAAGGTCGGCGCTCCCCACACCCTCGAGCACCGCATCTACGTCGAGAAGGACGGCGTGCCGTTGAGCCCCTTCCACGACATCCCCCTCTATGCCAATGAGCAGCAGACCGTGCTGAACATGATTGTCGAGATCCCGCGATGGACCAATGCCAAGCAAGAGGTGCGTTTGCCACACGTTTCCACAAGCACGCATTGACTGACCATGTACATCGTCTTACCAGATCTCCAAAGACGAGCCGCTCAACCCCATCAAGCAAGATACGAAGAAAGGCAAGCTGCGCTTTGTGCGCAACTGCTTCCCCCACAAGGGCTATCTGTGGAACTACGGCGCCTTCCCTCAGACCTGGGAAGATCCCAACGTCACCCACCCCGAGACGAAGCAAAAGGGCGACAACGATCCCCTCGATGTTTGCGAGATCGGCGAGCTCGTCGCCAAGCCGGGTGAGGTGAAGCAAGTCAAGGTGTTGGGCGTCATGGCTCTGCTCGACGAGGGCGAGACGGACTGGAAGATCATTGTCATCGATGTCAACGACCCCCTTGCGCCGCGCTTGAACGACATTGAGGATGTGGAGAGGCATCTCCCGGGTCTGCTGCGCGCGACCAACGAGTGGTTCCGCATCTACAAGATCCCGGACGGCAAGCCCGAGAACCAGTTTGCCTTCTCCGGCGAGTGCAAGAACAAAAAATACGCCATGGAGATTGTGAGAGAGTGTGCCGAGGCGTGGGAGAAGTTGATCACGGGCAAGACGAACCGTGGCGAGATCTCGCTGTAAGTCTCGTCTTCTATCCTTCATTTTTGTATTTTTGTATGGAGAAATATCATTGCTAACCAGGTCCTGCCACAGCACCAACGTCACCGTCCCGCACAGCGCAGATCGCGTCGACGCCAGCTCGTTGAACATTCCAAAGGGCGAGAACAAGGCGCCGGCTCCCATCGACCCCAGCATTGACAAGTGGTTCTACATCTCTGGAGCGTCCGCATAGATTGCCAGCCCACGTTGAACGGTGCCGATTCATCGCCATTGCAGTGGTGCTATGAAGAAGTGGTGAACAGAGTACTCGGTACCGGAAGCAGCTCCGTATACACTCAGACATCGATAAATACCAAGCGTGCCCTCTGTTTGGCGCTGCTTAAGTCACGATCGTTGCATTCCATTACTTTTAATCAGCCAGCGCAATGAGTACAAAGCGCGGCAGGGCTTCCCTTCCCCTCGCTCGCTACATCCGTTCGTCAACTTGTTTCGGCCATCCCCAGGCTCTCTATCCATCTCTTGTCCTTTGGCGTGTTGTTTCACCTGCGCGCCATGGCAGCATTGTGATTCTCTTCCATATCCGCATACAATCTCCATTTCCGTGGAACAGCTTGTAGCAGTGTCTTCAGACAGTGAAATGGTCTCGATCCCTCACTCATGCCATCAACCCCTGGTTCGCAAATCTTGCATCCTCACTCGTCCCGCCCAGAGGCAATCTTCCATCGCGTAGCCAGACCGCAGCCCAGTATTCAAGAGTTCGCCTCAATCTCCGCCCAAGCCGCCTTGACCCGCGCATTCCGCGCCCTCGCCTCCTCCCGATTCTGCGCCGTCCGCTCCAGCCGCTCCGCGCGAAGGCACTTGTTGACTTCGGTCTTGAGGCCGCTGCACATGCCCATGCATTTCCAGAGGAAGCCGCGGGCGTGGCATTCGTCGAGGGCGGTCATAATTTCTTCGCAGCCTGTTGGCTTGTGAGTTGGGACTCAGTTGGGGAGGTATGGAGTGCGGTGTCACGTACCTGCGTTGTCTTTTGTGTGAAGATGGGGATGCATGGTGGCGAGCCCTGGGTGTTTTTGTCTGGAGGTTGAATGTCCGACATTTACTCACTCGAGGGAGTCGTTGACGTGTTGTGCCAAAAGTCGTCGCATGATGTCCACGACTAAATGAGCTATATTGAGAAGATCACGTGTGCTCCGGCAATATTCCAATATCCTTCTCTAGGCAAGACACGATTCGGGCTCACAGGTCTTCCCACCATGTCGCAACAGCAGATCTCAGCGAAGAAGCAGCAAGGTACGCAGGCACCGTCTGGTACATATTGGATACAACGCTGAACCTCTGCAGATCTTCAGGTCCAGTACTCGAACTACAAGGACACACTACAGTCGCTTGCGCAGAAGATTGGAGATGTTGAGCAGGAGAGCGAGGAACACAAGTGAGTCCTGCCTGTGCATCTTTTTGTAATCTTGGAGGGCCCGTCTCAAGCCTATGGGTCGACTTTCATTGCCATTCATGCGCCTAACCCTGCCGTCACCGGAGGCAAGGCAAAATCCACATCTTGGTGGCTCAGACTCTGCTCTTGCGTTGATGCTTACACCATGGCTTCCCCAGACTCGTACTAGACACCCTGACTCCCCTCTCGGGCGAGCGAAAGTGCTTTCGCATGATCAACGGCGTGCTGGTAGAACGGACGGTGAACGATGTGTTGCCTGCGCTGCAAACGAATGCGGATGGGTTGAAGAAGGTGCTGGAGGATCTGGTGAAGCAATACCGCGGGAAGCAGGATGAGATGGAGAAGTGGAAGGTTTGTGTTTTGTTCATTTGCTCTCGTACGATGCTGACTGCTGGACAGAAGAAGAATAACGTTCAAGTGGTCCAACAGTGATCGGGGTTACGATTCGTACGCAAATGCACCTCACAGAATAATGAAGCGTCCAGCGCACTCGGCAGAGTCTTGCGTAAGAGTCTTGCGTATGTGAGCTTGCCGCTACAGTTTGAGAGGAAGATCGGTCACATGGAGAAGTAAAGACACAGGCAAGCGAGCCTGGGAATGCCTCTTTGCCATCTGATGATGGAAGCATACGGCCACGAACAGCAGACTGCGCAGTGAGAGTGCTGCATAGTACAGCATGGGGATGAACAGTCAGGCAAGCAGCAGGCCCACCGCACACAGAAGCCGAGCGATACAAAGTCGTCTCATCTCACTCGCATGCATCTCTCGCATAACCTTCTGCTGCCCACCGCGGATTGATACGGGTGAACTGATCAGGTGACATGTGTGCCATGTTGTAACACCTCCGCATTTCTCCGATTCGGTCGGGATCGATATGCGTACCTAAGAGCCGGATGAGGCATCGTTCGCCTTACATTCTTATCACTGGCTTGCTAGGCTTGCTAGGGTAGGACTGTATGCGCTGGCCTGCAGTAGCTTCCATGCGAACAGCCCGATGTGTAGGGCCGAGGATGATGATTGGGCTCCGAAAAAGCAGGCCATGACTGGTTCGTGCGACGTCGTCTCGTGAAGGCACAAGGCTGCATGTTAGCAGGGCAGCGATGCCAAGGGATTACAGCGTCTACAGCACGCGAGATACGAAGGATGTCATGAGAACAACAATCAGCACACGCCTACATGGAGCTTCGGCCAGCGCATCGTGCAAGCTATAGAAGTGACGTTCCGGGGAAGTGGTACGCCCGTGCAAGTCCATCCGAAGGGATTGTAGACACGGCAGGAGTTGGGCCGACTTGCTGCATGATGTGAACAAATGCAGTCAACAGTAGATGGGCGAATTCGTCTTCTGATTGGCCAGACGGGCTGGCATTGCGGGCTTCCCTGCCACGGCCGGTCCGTCCCGCTGAGGGCGAGCGCGACGAGTGGCCCGGTTCGCTCCATTTCTCTCTTTTCCCCACCAACCACCTCGTCCCCTTTCTCCTCCACCCCCGGCACCTGCACCCACACACAACTGCCCAACATCTGCACCACATCCTCGCTGCTTGTCCTCGCCTCACGCATCGCACACGTACAGCCTTAGCCCTGCCTGCCACGCGCAACGCACGACATCACCCCCCAATCAACCCCCGGTCGCGTTGCCCATTTCCTCCGTCACTCTCATCCTTGTGCGCGCCTTCCCGCACTTGGCTGGTTTGGGCGTCGATCGCCGGTGGCCCATCGAACGCGACCTTTCATCCACAACACCCGGTCTAATAACTTTCCCCTCGCATCAACTTGCACCACCATCGCGTGTCGACATCATCGCCCGCTGCACAAAGGCATCATCACTGGCGCGCCGTCTGCCATTAGCTTCGGGATTCGCCTCACCGCTGTCGTGTTGCACCTACGCCGGCCTGACTGATCCGGCTGCCGCGAAACCTTGCACAGGGCACCAGTTCACCGCTGTCGCCTGCACCCCGGCCTAGAGCACTCCATCCGCATCGGCATCTCTACCGCTGCAGCACGTCGCACAACTAACGACTAGCCTCCTCATCCGCGACGTGTCTGTGTGACGTGGCCTCCGCCAGCAATTCCATTGACGTATTCCCGTTGCGCAAAGTACAAAAACGCCTTGCACCACCATGTCGTCCCCCGCGCAGAGTCCTCGCGAACCCGACGAGCCCGATCAGGAAGCGCCCACGCCGAGCGGCAATGACAATCAGAACGCCGACGACAGCGAAATGAACAGAGGCGACGATCCCAACGCCGGTTACGACTTTGAGATCAAGGAGCAGGATAGGTGGTTGCCCATTGCCAATGGTAAGTCCAGCCTTGCGTCACCCATCCTCGCTTTTGACTGGCTTCCACCCTCACGGTCCCCCTGCCCATGCCACTCACCTGTGCTACATCTCCCCTTCCTGCCTTTCCTTGCAAGCATCAGCGCTAGCCCGCCGCATATAAATCTGCCGCGCTGCATCTGGCGTTTCGCATCTGCACTCTCGACGAATCAGAGCAAGCACCGGACAACCATCACCTCGCGTCTCTGCAGCTCTCGCGGCTGTTTCGACGAATAACGATCCATCATGCCTGCATTATCCAACCCCCCCTCTTCCCCTCGTCTGCCTCCACAACAGCGTTCCGATGGGGCGAGACTACGATTGGACTCAGACGCTAACATTCGCAACTTTGCTCCAGTCGCTCGTATCATGAAAACAGCCCTGCCCGAGAACGCGAAGATTGCCAAGGAGGCGAAGGAATGCATGCAAGAATGTGTCAGCGAGTTCATCTCCTTCATCACCAGCGAAGGTTTGTCGCACCCCTGATCCGTGTCGTACTCAGCTACTGACATCGATACAGCATCGGAGAAATGCCAACAGGAGAAGCGTAAGACGGTCAATGGAGAGGATATCCTGTTCGCCATGACCTCGCTGGGCTTCGAAAACTACGGCGAAGCACTCAAGATCTATCTCGCCCGGTACCGCGAGGTGAGTACAGCTCAACTTCTCATGCCCACAAGCAATATATTTATCCCCTCCGGGCACTGACCCCAACGAGGCCGCGGTCGCTCGCGGCGAAACGCAGAAACCGGGTGCAGGCGGGAGCGGCACAGGAGCCAACTCCGCCACCTCCCCCTATGAAGGTTCGAATCACAATGTCATCGGCAACGCCATGGACCAAGGCGTCGAAGGCAGCACCGACTTCGCTTACGACAACTCCACGCAGGGCGGTTATTAGGAAGCCGTGCCCTGCAGTGGCGCAGCGGCTGGCTGAAGACCTGCAGTGCTCTTTGTACTTACATCGTGTTGGACTCTCTAGGATCTCCCGCATTGGCGCCACCCCCGCCTGGACCCACAAACCACTGTCGAGGTGTACCGGTGGATGCTCAACGGGGGCGAGGCTCCTTCTGGACATGAAACGAGTGTGAGCGCGGAGAATAATGAAGAGGCGGAGACGGTGTCAGCCTTCAGCGATTGGCCTTCTCGGCACAGCTACTCGGACGACGCGAGAACTGAGACCGACGACGCACCTCAACAAGTCCTCTCGCCACGAGCTGCCTGGGGAGTCCGCTAGCGTCCCTGTTGAGCCTCACCGTCTGTCTCGCTGCATCATACCACGGTTTCGATCAGCGTCACCTGCCTCGTTGTCTCTCTTGCTGCACAGTGAACCAGCATCTTCTCCAGTCAGCGCAACTCCATGAGACTCCTTCAGAGAGTGCAGAGCGGTCAGGGTTGGTCGGGGCGGAGGTTTGATGTGGACGTGAAACGGAGCATGAACAATTTGGTCTGTGTGATACGGAGGGTGGAGACATGGACCTCGCATTGTTAGATTACAGGCCTGCTCGCGCAGATTGATGGATGCTTGTAGTGTATCTTTTGCGGTAGCGACGGCAATGGACATGTCCGGACATTCATCATACTGGCGAGATTAATGAACATCTGCAGCACCCCAGCCTGCCTGCAGCTTACCCAAGCCCAAGTCAAGTGGCTGCGCGTAAATCTCGCGCCAATCGGAAGAAGCCGCGGCGCGTCATTGCGCCTCGACCTCTCCCACATTCACTTCACCTCGTCCATACTCCGCAGCGCATGCAGTCCATGCATGCCAGGACATATTTCGATACTGGAAAACCCCGGGGAATAGCGAAGCCTGGACCATGGCCATCGGTCTAACAAAGGGTGCGCCTCGGCTCCTCCGCACGGTAAAGGGCAGGCCGCATGCCACGAACGACGACCACGCCGAGCAACTCCTCACCCCGCCCGGCACGAACAGCACGCGCTCGTCCATGGCTACCGCGCCGACGGCGAATAGTGGCGAAGAAGAAGACGTCACTCGATCGCCCGAGTCAAGCGGGGATGAAAGCGTTGCAATAACGAGTCAACGGTCCTCGTTCAGGACTCCGCGACAATTGGATGGAGGCGCGGAGGAGCAGACACGCCCCCTGGCGGCTTTCGCGAGACCAAAGACTCTTAGTGGCGCCAGCAGTCCGGGAAGTGCGGGGAGCAAGAGGCATAGCCCCGGTTCGGAGGGGCTCAAGAGCTTCGGCAATCCTGGCGATGATGATGACTCGATGGTCTTTGGGCCGGAACACAGGAAGAGGCAGAAGAGCGCTGCGACATATGTCAATATTCACGCGCCGCGGAGGAAAGAGAAGGGATATGGGAGCAAGCGGAAGCAGCAACAGCAAGAGCGAACCCCTCAGAAGTCTTCTGGTAAGAAGGCGGTTGCGTTTCAACGGCCCTCGAATGTTGGGGAGCTCGAGGAAGAGGAGGTATCCAAACCGAAGCTGCCGCTGTTCAAGAAGGCTGTAGGCGTCGATACCGACATGTTCGAGTTTGGAATGGATCGCTCAGAAACGCAGACCACGCAAGGAAAGGATCCGCTTTCGCCGGAACTCTCGTCCCTCAGCTCCGCATCAAACAGTCCGGACGTGCAGGAAGTCAAGAGGCTGAACATCTCAAACGCACCGCCTTACAGACGCTGCGTCGAATGTCAGATCTGCAACGAGGAGCTCGATCCTGCGCTCCAGGAGGAATTCCAAATACAGTTCACGAACGGCAAGCACATCTTGGACTACAAATGGCAGCAGCGCTTCTGTCGATGGCACCGGCAGCGAGACGCCGAGCGCCAACGTGTCGAGCACGGATATCCGAACGTCGATTGGGAGCAGCTGAACCGGCGAATGCGGAACTTTCATCGGCACTTGAAAGCGGTCATTTCCGGGGCCAAGCCGTCGTTCTACAGGAAGCAATTGAATGAGAAGATTAGGGATGGCTCGAAGACCGCTTTGGGAGCTCTCACTACGGAAGGAAAGAGGAGAGAGGTATCGGTGGGGTATTACGGTCCCCGAGGGGAAAGAGTGATGTATGCCTTTCTTCTTTGTGTATCTAAACCAGTCATACGGCGCTCACGACTCCTCCACTAACCGCGATGAACACTAACAGGACCGAACACATCGTCTCGCATCTCTCTGACGACCTCCGCCGCCAATCGACGAAAGACCGACTGGTAGCCGCAGTCGGGGTCTCCGGCGGTGTCTCCGGGTTTGTGCAATCGGTCCTCGTGCCGGAACTGGCGGAGCAGCTGGTGTGTGAGGACATGCGCGTTCCCGAGGAGCGGGCGCGTGTAGTTTTGAAGGAGAGCGGCGAGTTGGGCGAGCTGTTGCATCCCGATGCGAATGACCGGGTCGAGCATGTGGTGGTGGAGGAGCTGTGTTGATTTGTTGAAGATCGATTATGGCGTGGCATGTACCGCCTCTCTGGAGCGAGAAAGACGCGTATGTCGAAGGACATTGGTGGAGGAATGGCCGCGATAGCTTTGTGGTCCATCCGCTCACTCCGTGAAGCCCTCTTTCCCGTGCAATCAATCGTGTCGTGGTGTCATGGAGTCTCAACAGCCACCAGACCATGCGCCGTCTTCACCCCGCAAGCTCCTCCCCCCTCCTCAACACCCGCGAATGCCGATCCACCTCCGCCTGGATCTCCTTGACCCGCGTCTTCTCCAAATCCACCTGCATCTCCTTGCCGTCCTTGAACTTGAGCGTCAGCGTCGCGGGCGCCTGCTGCTGCGCCCGGTTGAGCAGGTGGATGTCGACGCTCATGGTGCTGCGGGCGTTGGGCGGCAGGAGGGAGAGGAAGAGGCGCGCGGTCGTGCCGGAGCGGGGGTTGAAGGGGGAGAAGGTCGCTGCGACGGAGGTGAGGTAGCGGGTGAGCATTTTTGACGAGGTGGCGGGGTTTGTTGCAGTGGTGAGTGGAGGAGAAGAAGAGAGTGGTGTGGAAAAGTAGCAGGTGTGGATTTGTAGATGGCTGCCGTATGCGGCTTAGCGTGCATGCTCTGAAGCATCGGCCAGCCTTGCAGCAGACATACCGACGGAGTGAATTGAATGGAAAGGGATGGCGCTGATTGACACGTCTAGGTTCGTGAGATTCGTTGCATGTAACTGCCGCTAGCCATCGTCATCGTCTCTACTGCCATTCGCGGTGCTCCCCATACCCCAGTCGTCGAGATCTCCCCTCGACATCCCAAACCCCAACCCACCGCGCACCTCGCCAGCATTCTCCACATCCGTGCTCGCTCCGCTGTCCCAGGGGCCGGAATCTGGAGGGCCTCCCACCAGTCTCGAAGCAACGTTGACAAGATCCACACTCGTCGACGCCTCCGTTCCGTCGACACCATCGCTTCGAGGCTCCGCAATCCCCCTCTCTGCTCGCAGCTGTTGAAACTTTTCTGCCGTTTCCCGCAATGCTCGCTGAATCCGAATCTCTTCTTCCCCCAATCTAATCTTCTCCCGCTGTAGCGCCTCCATTTCCTGCAGACGTTGCATGCGCCCGCTCTGCAGCTCCGCTACTTGCTTTCGCAGCCGCTCAATCACGCCGTCGAGAGTAGGCAGCGGGGAGATGACAGGGGGCGTCTTCGGCCGCACGTCCGCATAAGGGTCGGCAGAAGTGCTCTTCGAGCCGTACGTGCCGTGTCGAGTCTGCGCCGCTTCGAAGGCTTCGTTGCGCGCGCGCTCGCTGGCGTCCGAGTCGGAGTCCGAGGCCGCGCCGCCCTCCGCTGCCGCGATCTGCGCCGCCATGTCTGCTTTCCGCCGCTTCGCCGCCTCGGCCTCTGCTTTGCGCCCCATGACTATCTTACCGTCTGCTTCGGTGAACTCGTCGAAGTTCTCCATCATGTCCTCGTCGTCGTGCGTCAGCCGGCTTTCTGCTTCGTTGTACTTGTCTTTCGGCTTGAGCACTAGACGGCCGTAGTCGTCGCGCATGACATTCGGATCATCCTCGTCCTCGTTGTCAAGATCCGGGTCATCAGGATCGAGCGAGATGTACTCTTCCGCAGCCTGCTCTTTCGCCAGTCGTGCCCTGCGCGCCTTCTTCTCCGCAATCTCGGCGGCCGAAGGAATGGCAGAAGGCTGCTGATATCGCGAGAGCGAAGTCCCGAATTTGGACGTTATGTCGAGCGCTTGCGTCCCGCTTGCCATCTCGTCCACATCGGACATGCTCGCGTCTGTTGTGAGGTCGCGCGGTGTAGACGGCGTGCTCTCCTTCAGCTCTTGCAGCGACGCCGCATTGTACGACGGCCGATCTTCATCTTCGTCCGCCGAGCGCGTGGGGAGATTCGAGGGGAGGAGTGAAGATCGCTGTGATGCATTCCGCTGGATCGCCAGTCGGGACAGATTCGAGCGTTTCGGGGGTCTGATGCCCGCGGGGCCCGTTTGTTCATCATCCGCATCGTCGGGGTTGAAGGACGCTCGCAACGGCGTACCCTTTCGCGCTTTGGTCGAGGGTTTGATCAATGAGGTTCCTGGGAGTCGCACGATTAGCCCACGCCGTTTGCTACCGATCGACGTCAGAGAAGGTCGCGGTGGTTCTGAGGACATGCACGGCCACGTACCTGACGGCTCTTCTCCTCCGTCTGTTGCTCTCGCGGGCTCATCCTCGTCCTCTGAACCGATCTTGCGGGGCACGCGTCGCGCGGAGAACGCCTTTTTCATGTTCGGCGGCTGCTACAAGGGTTACCGTTGCATGTTTGGTGGGGAGAGCGCGAAGGAAAGTGGGTGCAGAGACAGAAGATGCCTTGACGTGAGGTCCTACAAAAATTTAAAGTTTGGCCTGGCGGTGGAATTTGAAGCAAAGCCATGGCAGATGCGATGGGCCGATGAACAACAGTTGAAACGGGGTACTGGTAGTCTCTCTCTATGATGGCCGTCCAAGGATGTAATGCATCAGCTGCCAGCCGGACTCGCTGAACACCTTGCTGGGGGGAAATTTGGCAAAAACAGCAACGCGAGCACATCACAATGGCTTCCCTCCGATGAAATCACTCCACCTCCTCACTTCCGGCGGAATGCCTTCCGGCTTTGGCAGCTTCTCGCTCATGCACTGGGCAAAGAGAACGGCAGTCTGTTGAGTCGGGGTCAGCAACAAGTCGCGCTTGATCAGCAGGGGGCTACAACTCACCCGGGGCTCCATGAAGAGCGGCACGCCAAAGTCCACCGCATTCCTCCTCATCACGTAGTCCTCGTCCACCATCGAGCTCGCCCTCCTCTTGGCCAGGTTGAACACGCCGCGAATGTCGTACTTCTCGAATACCTCGCGCAGTGCTCGCTTGTCTTCCTTGGGGAACTCAATCACCTCCACCTTCACACTCCCCTCCTGACTGCCCTGTTCGAGATGCTTCTTCACCTCATTGTTGGCAGCGTAGAACTTGTAGCCCAAGGGATTTAAATAATCCACAATCTTCGCGAGGTCGGGCGTGGCAGTGTCTCCACCGAACAACAGCCCTTCTCCCGGCAGCGGGAGGCGGAAGTTCATCGTGCTCTGCATCGCCACCCAATACGCCTCGACGAGGTCCTTGCCGAAACACGCCATCTCTCCCGTACTAGCCATCTCCACGCCCAAGTAGGGATCCGCTCCAGCAAGACGAGTCCAGGAGAACTGCGGCACTTTGACGGCGAGGTAGTCTCTCGATTCGGTCATCAGGTCGACGGGCTCGGGGACGTCCTTGTCGAGCAATGCGCGAGTGGCGACATCGATGAAGTTGGTGCCGAGGACTTTGCTCACGAATGGGAACGAGCGAGACGCTCGCAAGTTACACTCAATCACCTTGAGCAAATTCTCGCCTCCATCGGGGTTCTTGGCGCTGATGATTTGCATGTTGAAGGGGCCGGTGATGCTCCAGGCTTTGGCCACCTTCTGAGCAATGTCCTTCACCCGATCCGTGATGTCTTTGCTCAGGCTGACTGGGGGAAGAACCAAAGACGCATCTCCGGAATGCACTCCAGCGTTCTCAATATGCTCGCTGACTGCATGCACCAACAGCTTTCCACCCGAAGCGACGGCATCAACGTCAATCTCCTGTGCGCCTTCGATGAATTTTGTGATGACAACCGGATGGTCAGGGCTGACGTTGCTGGCGGCGGTGAGCTTCTCTTGCAGCTCCTCTTCGCTTCGAATGACGGTCATAGCTGCGCCCGAGAGGACGTAGCTGGGCCTCACAAGGACCGGGTAGTCCACGTCCGACGCAAACTTCTTCGCATCCTCGTAGCTGGTGAGCTCCTTCCACGCCGGCTGGTCCACGCCAATGCTGTCCAAGATCTGAGAGAACTTGTGACGGTCCTCCGCCTTGTCGATGTCCTTTGGATCGGTGCCCAACACTCTCGCTTTGCCTTGCTCTTGGAGCTTGAGCGCGATGTTTTGCGGTAGCTGGCCGCCTACGCTGACAACAACTCCGCTGGAGGATTCCAGTTCGTAGATGTCCATTACTCGCTCATAGCTCAACTCTTCGAAATACAATCGATCGGGCACGTCGAAATCGGTGCTGTAGGTCTCGGGGTTGTACAAAGGGGAAGTCAGCAGGACTCTAGAAAGTATACGAGGATGGTTTTGAGACTTACGTTGATCATGGCCGTCTTCTTTCCGAGCGCCTTCAAACTTAGCGTCGCGTTGACAGCACACCAGTCGAACTCCACAGAGCTGCCAATGCGGTACACTCCTGAACCCAGGACAATAATTCCATGGTCATCGAACTGGACGTCGTGGCTTGAAGCGTTGTAAGTGGTGTACAGATAGTTCGTGTCGGCCGGGAACTCGGCGGCGAGGGTATCGATCTTCTTCACCCACGGATGGATGCCAAAGTTCTTCCTTCGAGCGCGCACCTCGTCTTCGGAGCTGTTGACGGCGTTGGCGATCTGCTTGTCGCTGAACCCGAGTTTCTTCGCCTTCATCATGAGCTCCTTCTTCACGCCGTACAACGAGCCAATGTCTTCAAGCTCGTGAGTGCAGTCCACGATGTTTTGGATTTTGTAGAGGAACCATTTGTCGATTCTGCTGAGTTCGTGGACACGGTCAACGGTGTAGCCCTCGTGGAGCATAGCCTGACCAACGGCAAGCCATCGACGGTCGGTGGGGTTTTGGAGGACGTGGTCGAGGTCGTCGAAATGGTCGCCTTGCAGCCCCACGAATCTGGGATCGACTTGTCGAATGGCCTTTTGGAAGCTCTCCTCGAATGTGCGGCCGATGGCCATGACCTCGCCCACGGACTTCATGCTCGATCCGATGGAGCGGTTGACGTTCTGGAACTTGGCCAAATCCCATCGAGGGATTTTGGTGACAACGTAATCCAGGCTGGGCTCGAAATTGGCCGTGGTGGTGCGAGTGACTGCGTTGGGCAGTTCGGGCAGCGTATGACCGAGACCAATCTTTGCAGCGGTGTAGGCGAGCGGGTACCCGGTGGCTTTGGAGGCGAGGGCAGACGAACGAGACAGGCGAGCGTTGACTTCAATCACCCGGTAGTCGAGTCCATCGGGTTGCAGGGCGTATTGCACGTTGCACTCTCCAACCACGCCCAAGTGACGGACGATTTTGATGGAAGCAGATCGTAGCATGTGGTATTCTTCGTCGCTGAAAGTCTGCGATGGTGAGACGACGATGCTGTCGCCGGTATGGACTCCGAGGGGATCGAAATTCTCCATGTTGCAGACGGTGATGCAGTTGTCGGAGGCATCTCGGACCACCTCGTACTCCGCCTCCTTCCAGCCCTTCAATGACTTCTCCACCAAGATCTGGGGAGACAGGGTCAAAGATCGAGCAGCCAGATTTCGCAGTTCTTCCGCATTGTCCGCAAAACCTGAGCCGAGGCCTCCAAGGGCGTATGCAGCTCGCACAATGATGGGATAACCCACGGTCTCCGCGGCGTCGAGAGCCTCGTCGATCGTAGACACGGCAATGCTCTCCGCGATGGGAATGTCGATCTCTTTCAACGCCTTTGCGAACAGATCGCGATCCTCGCTGGTCTCCAATGTCTTGACGCTCGTGCCCAGCACCTTGACCCCGTATCGCTCGAAGATGCCCATCTTGTCCATGCGCACGCCGAGGTTCAGCGCCGTCTGTCCGCCAAACGACAAGAAGATGCCATCGGGCCTCTCCTTCTCAATGACATACGTGACGTATTCGGGCGTGACGGGCAGGTAGTAGACCTCGTCCGCAAGCACGTGAGCGGTCTGGATGGTTGCAATGTTGGGGTTGATCAAGACCGATTGCACGCCGGCTTCCTTCAGGGCCTTGAGGGCTTGCGAGCCGGAGTAGTCAAACTCGCCGGCCTGGCCGATCGAGAGACCACCGGAGCCTATCACGAGCACCTTCTTCACATCCACCAGATCTTGTGCGCCCGATATGACGCCGGATTCGATGTAGGTTTGCGCCTTGGGGGCGGTGGCGGTCTGGTTTGAGCATCTCGCAGACTTGTGGAAGGAGCGGGCTTGCCTAGGAAGGGCGGTTTTGACAGGTCTGTCATGGCGAGTGGTTCTTGGGGGCTGCGATACGAACGATCGGCGGAGGACTCGAGGAGCGGTGTGCCTGGTGCATTGGAACAGCTCACGGTGCAGCACGCGGACCAAAGGGGCATTGAGAGCCATGGCAGGCAGAGTGACGCTCCCGAGCAGGAGGAGGCGCACGGAAAAGAAGGCCAATGGCTTGCAATTGCGGTATGTGACGCAGCGGTGGAAAAAAACATTTGGAGTCATGGATTCACGGCATTGACGAGTGGCCCAAGCTTCCCTCGTGCTTTCCTTATCGTGCAGCTAATCGCGCCGACATCGCCCGCCAACATATACCCGCGACTAATGATAATCGCGGCCTCCTACACGCCGATGTAAAACACGATGTTTCAGCGAAGACCAGACACGGTCGTATTCACCAATGCTACCTAGGGCTAGGAAGGTCTGCATACAGGTAGGTATCAATCTCAGTCACAGTCAATTGCAGGGCGGGATAATCCTTATCCACTGCCAATCCCCCCAACGCCAGTCCAAAATTCTCAAGAAACCTTTCCCAACCTTGCTTTGCCAAGCAAGCACCGTCCGCTCATGCGGCCCAAAAACTCCATTCCCAGACCCGCAATGCTTCCCGAAAGGAACCCAATACTCAATGCTTGTGGTTATGCCGGTGGTATTTCAGATGCCGCGACGACCGCTTGAAGATGGCCGGCATCTCCAACTCGTACACGTCGTTCTTGCTCGTGTTCCGCACTTGCAGACTCGTGCACGTCTCCCGTGCCGCCTTCTCGCCCACCCCAGGCAGTTGCAAGTACTTTGCTGCGTTCCCTGGGCGCCCTCCGCCGAAGCCACCTCCGCCGAAGCCGCCAGGAGGACCTTGGCCAAACGGTGGTCCTCCGCCCGGAGGGCCTCCAAATCCGCCACTCGGGAAGCCTCCGCCGGGGTTGGAGGGCTGAGGCGGTTGGAATGTCTGCGCGGGTCCGCTTGTGACGGTGAATGTGGGCGTCGGTGAGTTGGCGACAGGCTGTGTGACTGTAGGAGCGGCATTCGATGCGGTCGTTGCTGTTGGTGTTGGCTGCACGGTGGGTGCAATCGTCGTGACTTGTGTGGGAGAATCCGGCGATGTACCGGCCGGAGCTGTGCTGCCGCCAGCCTGGATATTCGTCGTCGATGTGACGGTTAGCGTTGTGAATTCGTTCGTTGTCGCAACAGGTGGAGCCGAGCTACCACCAGCCGCAATATTCGTCGTCGACGTGACGGTCTCCGTGGTGAATCTGCCGGATCTTGTTTTCGTGCCAACAACAGGCGACGTTGGCTCGTTCACGGGTGAGGTTGATGTCAAAGGCGAGGTTGGCTCGTCTACGGATGAGGTTGTCAAAGGTGAGGTTGGCTCGTCAACGGATGAGGTCGTCAAAGGCGAGGTTGGCTCGTCAACGGATGAGGTGGTCGTCAAAGGTGGTGCTGGTCTCCAGCTGAAAGGCAGGGTGGAAGGGCCGGCGGGTGGTGCTTGAGGCGTAGTCGTCGGCTGGCCAATGCTCTGCGTTGGAGCAGCGCTTGTCCCCGGAGTTGTTGCTGGCGGGCTGGATCCGCCCGAACCACCCGTGTTCTCAAACACCTTCAGGCTGTTGATGGACCAGTACGACTCGGAAAAGGCCGACGGGTTCTGTCCCACGTAGTTTTCGCATGAGCTGCCGAATTGCGACGCACAGCTGCTCGTCGGCCACACAGCTCCCGCCCACTGGCCGCAGAAGGTGACGTCAAACACAATCTGTTGATTGGTGAATTTCGACGCAAAGTCACAGTCGCCGGAGAAGTAGGACAATGGTTCGCCCCATGTAGATGGATCGGGAGAGTCGCTGAGAACATTCTCGGGAATTGATGCTCGGGTGAAGAAGTAGACGGCGATCGAGTTTGCGGTCAGCTCCATGGCGTACACTCCGCCACCCGCGTTGTTGAAGCCCGTGCCGTAAGTGTTGCCCGAGGTTGCATCGATTGAGCAACCGGCATTCGACGCTTGATTCGGGGCGTATGTGTAGCAATCGCTGGTGCTCAATGTGCCGCTGAAGCCAGAATTGTTGATTGTGCAACCGTCGCCGGTGTGGAGTGTCATTGCATTCATCGTGTTTTGATTCACGCCTTCGATGATGTCTGTCGTTGTGTCAATACAAATGATCAAGGCGGCCGAGAGGAGAGGACGCACCAATTTCACCCTGGTTGGGCCAATCCGGGCCTACAGTCCAAAACGCGGGCCTGTATCGTTGTCAGATGGTTCTGTTTTCCTTCTCCTTGTTTACTGCAGGACTCACCATGTCCCACAAATGCTCCCAGGCATGTGTGCAAGATCGATAATAAACAGTCCCGACTGGTAGCTCTGAAGGCTGGTCAAGCGGACGCTTTGCCGGCCCGTGGTGGTGGTTGATGTATCATCGACGGATATGGTGACTTGGTTGCCAGAAGACTGGATCAATCCCGCAGCCTGGGCGGTCGCTTGATCGACGTATGTAACGAAGCCGTCCGTCGGATCTGGCGCGGTGAAGAATGAGAATTGCTCGAAGAAATTGCCGCCTTGTAGGTAGTCTTGCTGTAATGTGTATTGAGCCCAACACTTTGCAGCCATCAGAAGGACGCAACACGATAGTGTTGATAACCCCATCTTGCTCGTGTATGGTGGTGGTTGGAGAGGCGGAGGGAGAGGAGGGTCAGGTGTCGACGGAGAGGGGGAAGGCGGCGGAAAGAGGTGAATGACAAAAGGGAAAAATAGAGGGAAATACCGGCGAACAGCCTTATACGAAACTCGCACGAGTGTCAAGGGAAAGTGAAAGGAATGGTGCGTTCCCCCAGCATCTGCCTCGCTAAGTATTCTCCGACGCATGGACGGGCGAAGCGAAGGCGGCCAGCACCACACCCACCGCCATCAACCCACCCACACACGCTGATGAACGTTCACGCTATTGTCCGCTTGAGACACGAGCTGATGTGATTGTCCATTGTTCAACCCAGCCCCTGGCGTCTGACTACGGCGTCTGTCAAGCCGGCCGTTTGAGATGCAGCTCGGACGAGGAACGGCGCGGTCTACAGGAGGGTCAGATGTCCAGATTCCCTCACGCCAAGCTGGCCGGGAGCTTCCCAATCGAGGATGAAGTGTTTGCGGGTGATTGCAGTGTTGTGCATCCGTTTCGCGCACTCGCTGCTCGTCGACAGTCGGAAGCACATGCACATGGCGTTGATTTGTCCTCGATGTTCGCGCCAGGAGTCTGGATGGAGCGGGCGGGACGACGGCACGTTCCGTCCAGCCAATCGGGTCTGACGCTGGCGCCTCCGTCGTGGAAGTGTGGGAACGTCACGTCAGAAGTGTGTTTCACCCGGACAACCAGGGCCCGCCCAAGCCGCCGAGGCTGGCTCGACGTCCACCACCTCATCTCTTCCCAACTGCTGTCCAAGATCGCTTGCAGCCCGTACGAATATTCTCCGCACGCGAACTCATATTGGCCGGCCAACTCAGGAACTCCTGCTCTGCCGGCTGTTGCCAATCCACGTGGCGCTCGTCGACTGGGTGAATGGCGGCGGCCATGCATCTGCCGCGCGGAGGCAGGAGCGGCAATGTGAAGGACGATGAAATGCGACGACCTTGCTGAATGTACTCGACGTCGATGATGGATACATGTCTTCATGTATGATGGGACGGTAATCCCCACGCAGAAGGCAGGTTGGAATAACAAAGCAAACACGACTTTCTCGGGGGGTGTAGATCTACCATGTCATATACGTGCATGTAATCGTCAGAGCAATGCGCGTGCCCAACCTTCGTTGCTCGCGGCCATTCACCGGCCTCGTGGAATCCAAGACACTTCTCACGGCCACCATTGCATCCGCTTGTAGCTCTCAATCACTGCCTCCACCTCCTCCTTGGTAATTCTCTCATGGACAGGTCTAGCACCCAGGACAGTCAGCTCGACGACGCTCCGCATGGCCCCACCCATCAATCAGCAACACTCACCTGAACCCAACTTCCTTCTCGAATCTACTTCCATCCATGCTTAGATCGGTATCCTTGAGCAACTCCTTCTCCATGAACGGACTCAATGGTCCGCCATTCTCCCTCACTCCCGCCGCCTCCTGCAGATCCGCCCAGTCGTCAAGCGTGTCGTCGTTTACATCGTCCACCACATGCTCCAGATTCATCCGTGCAAAAGTGTTCACCAGCGCGTTCTGAAAGCCCGTCTCAATCCCAAAGATGCTCTTGAAAATCGCGGCCATGGTGCCCTGCGACGTCGCCCCGCGATCGACCACGTTGAACACCAGCGACGCTGCATTCGGCGCACTCGAGATGCGGTCATTCTTTGCCCGCCATTCCGCCGCCATCCACAGCGCCCGCGCACTATCCTCGACATGCAGTGTATTGGTTCTCAACTCGCTGCCCCACAGCCATTTCATCGTCTCTTTCGGCTCGCGGCTCTGATATACTCGGGCCAGCGCCAGCTGCGTGCCCAGCCATCGGCCCGTATAGGGGCCATAGACGTTAGGCAAGCGCAAGATGCACAGCCGCAGACCCGGGATCTTCGCCAGCTCCTCCTCCGCCTGCAGTTTCCACTTGGCCTGCTTCGTATGCGGCTTGCTCGTCTTGTCACCCTCCTTTTGCGGCGTCTTGCTCCCACTGTAGACCTGGCCGGTGCTCACTTCGATAAATGCCGTGACGCCCCGCTTTGCCGCCTCTTTGCCGACCGCCAGACTGAGCTGGAAACTGCGGAGTCGGTAGACCTCGTCGTCCTGCGAGAAGCGGGTTTCACCGCCGCAGTTGAAGACAAAGTCGAATTCGCGCTTCGTGCCGTCGGGGCCGGCGGGAAGGTCGAAGATTCTCGCCTGCGATTGTTCTCTGGAAGCGTCTGCTTGGAGGAAGTTGGTCGAGCAAGCTTCCTGGTGTTCGGGTGCGAGGGAGGCAAGTTGGGGCAGCTGCTTGTCGACCAGGCGTAGGGTAGATGCGAGTTGGTTGGAGTGGATGTAATTCGCGAGGAAGCGACCGATGTAACCTGTCAAAGGAAGATCAGTCCTCCCATTATCGCATTCCTGGACATCACCCATGCCCTCGAGGGTGTCAATGGCGGCAGAGAACATACCCAACCCGCCAATGATCAAGACCGCAGGCTTTCCCTGAGCCGATGCTGGAGCGCTCGCAGCCATATCAACAACGTCCACACTCACGAAACAAGGGAAATGAACGGGAGACTACTGTAAAGACCGACTAATGGGGACGAGGAAGAAGAAACAGTCGTTGCGGGAGGAGCAGGGACAAAAGGGAGGAGGGCTGCGATGGAAGCCTCGAGTGTCACATTGTCCCCCTGCATATGCTAAGGATTGCCTGCGCGAGAGATGGTGAACAGAGTTCAAATGCAAGAGGCAGGAGGAGTGCATGAAGTTCGCATTAACGCGCGCGAGGGTGTCAATCGCCCCGCCGGGCTTGCGTCGGTGGGGCGCGGCGCGCATCCGCTTTTGATGGACCTGCCGCTTGAGGCGCGACACCCAGTACGGAGCATGCACTCCTGATATCCATCCTCGAAAGTATGTGATGCGTTTCGTGCGTTGATGGGTGAGTACCCAATGATAGTGCAGTCCCAATAATTGCGCGCCAGCTGTTTCGCCAAGAAAGGATCGTGTTCGGCATCCTAGATCTGGGTAGGCACATCTCCATGGTCGGAAGGCTGGTGGTGATTGCTTCGCCGCTGGACTCGGAGCTTGACCTTGTCGCCCTTCTCGAGGTATCGTGGTCCATGTCAACGCCGCTCCGACGGCTCCTTGCGCGTTCTAGCTGCGCCCTCGTCTTGACTTTCGGACTTGCAGGCCAGGCTCTCAGTCCACCTCCTTGCCACAAAGCAAGCAATTCACCGCGGCCGAGTAATTCTGGCCATCAGGCGTCGTAATGACAATCTCCGACGTCTCCGCGGCCGGCGTTTGCCCTTCGCCATTGGGCAAGCTTTTGATGAGTACCTCTGCGGTGAAGCCTTCGTTTTCCATCTTCGACGAAACGACGGATTTTGCGGTGATGCCTTCATTCTTGGGCCGCGCTTTCCTCGCCACGGACTCGTTCGCATCGTCCGCTGTTGTTGTTGTCAGATTAGACATTGGCGACTCGGTGTCGATGACTTCGCTTACCTGGTGCTGCTGCTGCTTTGTGTACCGCAGTCTCGGCGATGCATTTGACGTGCATCCATTTCCTGCACTCCGGATTACCACACTGCAAGATCATCTCGTCGGGATTCTGAGGCTTGTTATCGATACAGATGTTGCGGATTTTGGAAAACTTCCTCGTCGTGGCGGAATCGTATGTCTGGCGCCAAAAGTATATGTCGTCGTCGATGGGCGCGTCGTCGTCATCCTCCTCATTCCAATGCTCCACTTTCAAGCTCCCATTGACAGTCATGGCATCGATAATGTCCATCTCGTTGGTGGGGATGAGCTCGTTCCTGCCGTGGTAGGGCTGCCGACCACCGTCCAAATCCTCGGGCCGGTTGAGCCATGCCAATCGGATGTAGACGTGTTCGGAGTCGAGCGCGCGCACCTCGAGCACCTTGGCCTTCCACTGCGCCGCCACATCGATTTTCGCGTCGTCGGACTCGTCGTGCTTAACGAGGATGCATTGGCCGGTTGCGATGCTTTCAGAGCCCACTGCACGCGTCCGTCAGTCTCTGCTGGCACCGATGCGCGGCACGGGGCGGGGCGACAGCGTACCGGTGAATTTCTTGTAGCGCCGTAGACACTCCCACTTATCTCTCGGCCGGACTTGGTATTTCAAGTTCAATCTGTCTTCGAACAAGTCTGTCTGCAGCTGCATGTCTGCATCCCTCTTGCGCTTGAGGGATTTGGAAGCAACCTGGATTGTGAAGGGCTTATCGTTGGTGTCCAGCCAACTCTTCAGCGCCAAACGGTCCCTTTCTGACAGCTCGGCGGGTTGGGGGGCGGGCTTGATGGCGCTATTGAGATCGGAGGAGGTAACAGGCACGGCGCTCTTTCGGCCGTTGGCTTGCTTCCGCGCCATCGCGACAAGTCAGAGGAGAGGTGGGTGGGTTCGATTGAGGTGCAGCGCAAAGGAGCAGGGACAACGGCGGAAAGCAGCGCAGTGAAGGGGAAGTGATGCTCGCAGAGCTGTATCGCCAACAGGGACGCGCAAACAAATCAAGAGCAACCAAGGGAAATAGCGAGAAGAGGAGAGGTCGAAGTTGCAAGCGATGGAAGGGTGTGAAATAGAAGCGCGCCGTGCGCGTCACGCTCACGCGACGCCTCTTCTCTCCGCAATTTGCAGAAGGTCTGTGCGGGAGAAAGTGTAGCGAGAGCGAGATCATTTATTTCATCCATCTGCAGGGAAAAGTGACAAAACTTGACAGGTCACCCTGATAATTGCGGTGTGGATTGCTATGCTGTAGGCTGGAGGGAGTGTGGCATAGATTGGATGCCATGTGTGTGTGAGTATGCTGCCGCCCATGTCTCTCGGTCTCGGATTCAGATTGTCCGTGTGCTGGTCGATGCGCGATACTGTATCTGAATAAGAAATGTCTGCAGATGCAAGCTATCGGCAATAGATGCCGAGACGATGGCACTCGTTCCCTGTACTTGGATGTAGTCCAAGATGATCACCCATGATGACAGATGACCGCCGTGGTGGGTGAGGAGGCATGGATGCGTCGTCAGCCCATCGTCGGCCTGCACGCCGCCTTTCTCTGCAGCCCACGCCAGCCACAAGGCTCAGATGACGGCGAGTGGTTGTAACTACCGCGCAGGTACAGGCCGCGCAGGCAGAATGCATGTCAGCGGTGCCAGGCATGTCACATCTCCCAAATGAATGCACAATTGCCTGATGCCACCCGTCTCCGGCCTCCGACCCCCCGATCCATGACACTAGGCCCGTCCTCTTCTCCGCGCTATCCGGACTCGCTGTCGTCAGCGGCAAAGTTCCCAATTGTGCCGTGGCCAGCGTCGATCACAGCCTCACCACTCTCACTCATTACCTTCCTGCCTCGCGCACACCACACACCACACACCACCTTCACCCCCTCCCTCATTCACCACGCATCCCCCCTACTTCCCTACTCTTCCCTACCCGACGCTCGCTTCATCCCCCCTTCGTCCGCCTTTATCCTTCCTTGGCATCTTCGTTGTGGCGCACGACTAGCAGCACCTTGATCGATGTGACTTGCCAAGCGTGACGCGAGTGCAGGAAACATTCTCTGCCATTGATTACCTATTGTCCCCTCTCCCGGACATCCTACTTGGTGCAGCCGTTGGAAGAAGCGCATCGTAGTCCATCCACTCCCTCATCACTCCCCGCAGTTCGCGGCGACGCACGCCAGCATGCCTCGCTCTCGTGGTACGTGCCTGCCTCCCCCAATCCTGAAACCCGTGTCCCTTGCCGCACCACCCTCCTTCGCTCTTGCCTGCCACCCAACCAAATTGACCCTTTGCCTTCCCCAGTCCTGTCGTTCATGTCTCAATGGGGATCCCCCAGTGCGCCGCGCTCCCCCGACCCCAACGCCGGCGCCTTCACCGACACCCCATCCCCATCCTCCGCCTCCGCTCCTTCTTACCTGCGAAAACCTCCACCCCCCGACATCGACATTGCACAAGCGGCCAGCCAGCGTTTGGATGCCGCCATGCGCGAATCCGGCGGCTCCCCCACCACCCACTCGCGCTCGAGAGGCGACCTGAAGCCCAAGAGAACGAGCATGCTACAATCCTACGTCCCTCCACAGGTCGACGTCGCCCGTGACACTCCGCCAGAGCTCCAACCCATCTTCACCTATCTCAACAGCCACAGCAACAAGCTCTATCAGGAAGGCTACTTTCTCAAGCTGCACGATCTTGACTCGCGCGGAAGACCGAGCGCTGGCAGGACGTGGACCGAGTGCTTTGCCCAGCTCATCGGCACCGTGCTCTCCCTGTGGGATGCTGCCGCCCTGGACGCCGCCGGCGAGGATGCTGAAGTCGTGCCCACCTTCATCAACCTGAGCGACGCTTCCATCAAAATGGTGTGTACCTGGCCGCCGCTAACACTACCAGCTGCTCCCCTCCTTATCCAACGCTAACCACACACTCCAGATCGAATCCCTGCCCATGAACGGTGCGCAAGGAGGCAATCTGCAAAATGTCCTTAGCGTATCCACCGCCGCCAACAACCGCTACCTACTCCACTTCAATACCCTCAACTCCCTTACCCAGTGGACCGCCGGCATCCGGCTCGCCATGTTTGAGCACGCCACGCTGCAAGAAGCCTACACGGGCTCGCTGATCGCTGGCAAGGGCCGGTACCTCAACAACATCAAACAGATAATGTTTCGGCTCAAGTACCCTCATGAAGACTGGGTCCGTGTCAGATTCGGGGCCGGCACGCCGTGGCAGAGGTGTTGGTGTGTCATTTCGCCCCCCGAGGAAAAGAGCTGGGAGAAGGCACAGAAGGCGGCCAAGAAGGCCGGGCCCTACGAACGCGTCAAGTATCCAAAGGGCGACATCAAATTCTACGACACGCGAAAAATCAACAAGAAGACCCTCCCAATTGCCACCATCACCGATGCATTCGCCGCCTACGCAGTCTATCCGCAGTCCAAGCCGCTCATCGAGCAGTCCACCCTCTTGAAGATCGAAGGCCTTGTGAATGTCCACGACAGCAAAGATCAAACCACCGAGGGCTTTGTCTTCGTCATGCCCGAAGTGCACCAAGCCGTGACCGGGTTCGAGATGATGCTCCGCTGGCTCTTCCCCGCCTACGACACCTTCTCCCTGTACGGACGGCCGCAGAAGCTGATCGCCGACACCCTCGATCAGCGAGGCCTGATGTTTGCCATGCCAACCAACCGGCGCTACGGCTACCTCGACATTCTCGACGTCTCCACTTTGATCCATACCAAGGGCAGTCAGGGGTGGAGCGAGCGACAGTGGAGACGCGAGCTCAAGAAGCTCACCGCGGAGCGCATGACGCAGCAGTTGGAATCGCACGGCGCCCCGGACCCCAGAAGTCGTGCCAACACCGACACACTTGGCGTTCGATTCGGCGACGGCGAAGTGTCCCGCTCCACCCCGGGCTCGAGATCCGTCTCGCCCGCCGTTCGGCCTGGAGAACACTCCGCCGCCATCCCGCGGACCAACACAGCCCCACCGGATGCTATGGGCAACGGCTTCAGCCCGCACAAGCGAGCCGCGTCTGAAGCTCAGGGTTATAGGAGATACCAGACCGAGACGCCGTCGCGGTTGTCGCAGGACGCCAGGAGGCCTGATTCGTCAGATGGCTTCGAGGCACCACCGCCCCCGCCGCATATGGGTGCTCCGGGCGGATTGGGTCGCTCCTTCACGCCGGGCTCTCTCGAGCGCATCCATTCAGAAAGCACAGTCCCGACGCTGTCGGCGGGCGGGTCCAGCCAAGACCTACTCAACGGCCACCAGCGTCTCTCGCACGTCGAGCCTGTCCTCCCACCACCAGCCTTCACCCATCCGCCGAATAGTCGTCCGGCGAACCAACCGTACGCACCCCCCGAACTTCGTCGGGCCAATTCCACGGTTGATGCCGAGACGTTGGCGGAGATGAAGGACGCTGTGACCCCTCAGCCGTACTATGATGGTGGACTAGAGCCGTGGAGTGGCGAAGTGCAGCACCGACAACAGAATATGGTAGTGTCTCCACCCACCCTTGCCCACAACAACCCCCGAGGAACCACTAATTCCCTTCAAGGACCTGTGAATAATGTACAGGCGCAGCCCAGGAGGGATCCGCGACAGCCACTTAGCACCATTCCGGGCTCCCCATACGTTCGACATGATTCTGCCACGATACCACACCGCGAGGGAGTGGCAGAGAGATCGCCGACACGGCGATATCAGCCTCCGCCGGTCCCTATTAAGAACGAGAGCCAAGCTGCCATAGGAGCTTTGCAATCGACAAGAAGCATCGCGCGCAAGCCTTTACCTGAGGCTCCGTCCCCGTGGATGCTCCAACGATCCCAAACGGACCCCACTCAGCCTCCTCTCATTGCAGGGGGCAATGGTGCTGCTGCACCCTCCGATCCCGTGCCCATCAACGATTATGCGGGACCACGGAGGACACGGCCAAATCCATCGGCCAACTATGCAGAAAGGAGGCGTTCCCGGTCGATGGATGGGCTTATGGGCATGCATTCGGAAGTCGCAAGAAGCGGCCAGGCCAATCTCAGCTCCAGCGAGCTCAGACGGGAAGACTCGTTTGAGCGGACGGGCCCTGCAAGCTCGATCCCCGCGCAGAGATATACGGCATGGAATCCGGCGGCATCTGCCTCCTTCCAGCGAAGCAGGAGCAGTCTGACACCGGAGCAAATGGCGCAAATGGGAGCACAGAGGGCTCACCAAGCGCACCACGCCGCGCGTGAACAGTCGCCGGCGCAAGAGAACGCTGCTCGCAGCCGGTCCACAGGCAGGCGCAGGCTGTTGAAAGAACGGCCGCTCTCTCGCAACCTGTCGAGTCCGGACGGCGAGCGGCGCTATGCATCCAGGACCCCGCCGGCGCAACTGCAGGCGAGAGCCGCCCCGCCCGCCGCGTATGCGCAAAACGCTCCGCCGTATTATTATCAGCAGCAGGCGTATGGATCGAGTTGGCAGCAGCAGCAACAGCAGCAACAGCAACAGCAACAATATGGGAGTTGATGAGCCAAGAAATGGATGTAGCGATATGAGATAAGCACCAAATACAAGTCATAGAAGCAAGCGAGCGTACATGTAGATAAAAGTGGAACGAGGCACGGGAAAAGGGGTTGTGCTCGTTTCTGCTCAGATTGTCCCATATGCCTTTTCACATTGAGGATTCTTAAGTCAAGTCGGATCTAAGGCACTACTTCCCAATCTTGGGAGGAGTCGTTGGCCCTGTGTGAGGAACTGCTGGCGCATCGTCGCCGTAGCCGTCTATCTCGAGCCAGGCAAATGGGTCCGGCATGGATAATATGGTCGTGGAGACGACTGAAGTGGATTGTCTTGCATCCTGCACGTCTTCCCTCTAGCGTGACTTCATCCAATGTCCATGTCCATGGCATCTGGGTCGCCGTCCGGGTAGGAATGATCAGCATACCCAGCGCTGTACCCATGAGCCGTCTCCACGCCCGCGCCGTGAAAGTGGGTAGAGTCGTAATGCCTCTCGACATCCCTCTGCCTTGAGTCCTCCACTGCCTTCTCGCGCGCGCGTTGGCGCGATTCGATGATCGCCTTCCTCACAGAATCTTGTGCTTCATCCTGCACGGTCAGCGAACGGGGTAGATCGTAGAGCACCAGCTCGCGATGTCTGCCATCCTCTGCATCACTGCCTCCTGCTAGGACCTGCTGGGGGATTTTGCTAAAGTGCTTTTCGATGTCGGGGAGAAAGATGAGGCGTTCGTCGGCCGCGCTGGCGGCCTCGGCGTCCTCAAGATCGGCGAGTTCGGCGTCGAGGTCGGAGATGTAGACGCGGTCGCGGGTGTCGTCTATCTGCATCGACGAAGGGGGAGGGGGATGGGAGGGGTGAAGGTGATCTGGCGCATGATCGGGGACGGAGCTCTGGCTGCTGGGCTGTTTGCTCTTCTTCCGCTCCACGCCACCTGTCGCTCGAATGTCAGCATGCTGGAGCAGAGGGAAGATGGAGGCATCACGACAAACTTACGCAGACTCAGCATGCGCAGGCGCTTCTCGAAGCGATCGAGGTCGTTGAGGTCCGTCTCGCTGGCCTCGCGCTTGGTCCCGCGTTTCAAAAAGCCTCCTCCGCTCCCTTCATCCTCTCTCCCTCCTGGCATCACCTCGACGCGCGAATCCATCTGCATCCTGCTGCATATCCACCGTCTGTTGCGCAGCGCAACAGCAAGTCGACAAGCCGAGGGTGTTTGTGAAGAAGCGGACGACGAGAGGCGGAGGTGGTGCGAACGGGTGAATTGGCGGATGCATGCGTGTCCCGCACTCCTTCTTTCGGATTTGGACTCGCGCGCCCACTACACCTCCTCTTCCCCCTCCCTCTATCTCGCCCTTCCACTGCACCAGGAGTCCATTGCACCGCGCATTTGCCAGAATGGCCTCCACCACGGGTCAAGAGCCCAAGTGGGTGAGTTGCTGCCCTCTTCCTTCCCCTCCTTCCAGCATGCGCCAGCTCGGCAATACTGACGAGAATATGCAACAGACGGCCGTCAAAGTGCGCTCCACGTTTATTGAGTGAGTTTCGCCCATCATTTTCTTCTCTATTAGTCTATCTCAAAATGCTCGTCGGGTCCTTCTTCCACTCCTCGCCTTCACCCTCATGCTGCTGCCATCCTCTTCACTCTGCTTTTCGATATGAGTCATGTGATATATTTCACCCACTCTAACCCTTTCACTCAGCTACTTCAAGGAAAAAGGCCACACCTTCGTACCCAGCTCCTCCGTGGTGCCCCTCTCCGACCCCACCCTTCTCTTTACCAATGCCGGAATGAACCAGTTCAAGTCCATCTTCTTGGGCACCGTCGACCCGGCCTCCGACTTGTCCAAGCTCAAGCGTGCTACCAACTCCCAGAAGTGTATCCGCGCCGGCGGCAAGCACAACGACCTCGACGATGTCGGCAAGGACAGCTACCACCACACCTTCTTCGAGATGTTGGGCAACTGGAGCTTTGGCGACTACTTCAAAAAGGAGGCCATTGGCTTCACTTGGGAGCTATTGACCAAGGTCTACGGCCTTCAGCCTGACCGATTATACGTCACCTACTTCGAGGGCAAGCCGGATGCTGGTCTCGAGCCGGATCTGGAAGCCAAGCAGCTCTGGACGGATGTTGGCGTTCCCGAGGACCACATCCTTCCCGGCGACATGAAGGACAACTTCTGGGAAATGGGTGACCAAGGACCTTGCGGCCCGTGTTCCGAAGTACATTACGATCGCATTGGCGGGAGGAACGCCGCCCACCTGGTTAATCAAGACGACCCGAACGTCCTGGAAATCTGGAACAACGTCTTCATTCAATACAACCGAGAGCCTGACAGCTCTCTGAAATTGCTCCCCCACAAGCACGTCGACACGGGCATGGGCTTCGAACGCTTGGTTTCGGTGCTGCAAAACAAGATGTCCAACTACGACACCGATGTTTTCACCCCGCTCTTCAAAGCAATCCAGGATGTGACGGGTGCGAGAGAGTACCGTGGCAAGTTTGGCGACGAAGACCCCGATGGCATTGATACTGCGTATCGCGTCGTCGCCGACCACGTCCGCACCCTCACCTTTTCCATCTCCGACGGTGGCGTGCCCGACGCAAAAGATCGTGGCTACGTCATCCGTCGTGTGCTTCGTCGCGGCGTCCGTTACGCTCGAAAGTACTTCAATGTCGAGATTGGTGACTTTTTCTCCAAGCTCATCCCCACCCTCGTCGCACAAATGAGCGACATGTTCCCGGAGATCAAAGCCAAGCAGTCAGATGTCAAGGAGATCCTCAACGAGGAGGAAGTCAGCTTCGCCAAGACGCTGGATCGCGGCGAAAACATGTTCGAGAAGTATGCGCAAAAGTGCAAGCTTCAGGACTCCAAGGACTTGGCTGGAGCGGATGTCTGGCGATTGTACGACACTTATGGCTTCCCCGTCGATCTCACGCGGCTGATGGCCGAGGAAAGAGGCCTGAGTATCGATGATGCAGAGGTGGAGAAGGCACAGGAGACGGCGCGAGAGGCGTCCAAGGGTCAGAAGAAGGAGGGCGAGTTCCTCGTGAAGCTGAACGTCCACGACATCAACGCGCTCGAGCGAATGCCTGATGTGCCCAAGACCGACGACTCGGCCAAATTCCAAAAAGACAACATCCACGCCACGGTCAAGGCGATATATCAGGGAGGCAAATTCCTCGAGTCGACAAAGGAAGTGCCCGAGGGCGAGCAGCTAGGACTGATCCTGGATCGTACAAACTTCTATGCGGAGCAGGGTGGACAAGAGTTCGACACTGGTCGCATCGTCATCGATGGAGAGTCCGAAATCACAGTGCAAAACGTACAGGTCTATGCTGGGTTTGTTATGCACACCGGCTACATGAACTACGGCAGCTTCAAACTCGGGGACGATGTGCTGTGTGATTACGACGAGCTGCGACGCCAGCCGATTCGAAACAACCACACCGGCACGCATATTCTCAACTTCGCGCTACGGGAGGTGCTGGGCGACGAGATCAACCAAAAGGGCTCCCTCGTCGCGCCTGAGAAGCTACGCTTCGATTTTAGCCACAAGGCTGCATGCTCCGATGCCGAGATCACGCGGATCGAGGAGGAGAGCACGCGGTATATTCGACAAAACTGCGAGGTCTTCTCCACCGATGTTCCCCTTGCCACCGCAAAGAACATCGAAGGCGTGCGTGCGGTCTTCGGCGAGACATATCCCGATCCGGTCCGCGTGGTATCAATTGGTGTGCCCGTGGAAGATCTGCTCGCGGACGTCAAGTGCAAAGACTGGCGCAACGTGTCCGTCGAATTCTGCGGCGGTACGCACGTCAAGAACACGAGCGAAATTAAGGACATGATCATCCTGGAGGAAAACGGCATCGCCAAAGGCATCCGCCGCATCGTCGCCGTCACCGGCTCCCTCGCCCACGAAGTGCAGCGTGTTGCGGAGGAATGGGATGCCAGCGTTACCCAGCTCGAGCGCATGGAGTACAGCGCGAAGAAGGAGACCAAGACGAAAGAATGGCAGCACGAGCTGGGCAAAGTGGAGCTGTCCGCGCTCGCCAAATCGAAGCTGCGCGACCGCTTCGCCAAGATCGTCAAGCAGAACCTCGACCATCAAAAGGGGGCGCAGAAGGCGGAGAACAAGCGCGTGCTGGACGCCATTACGGAGCACTTTGAGAAGCACAAGGGCGATTCCACACTCGTGCTCAGCACCGACGTCTCCGCCGGCTCCAAGGCCATCCAGGAGGCGCTGAAGATGGTCAGCTCGAAGCAGAAGGACAAGACGCTCTACATCCTGGGCAAGGCGGAGGATGGCAAGGTGCCGCACGGCTGCTATGTCTCTGCTGCGGCGCAGGCCAAGGGTGTGGATGCGTCGAAGTGGGCCAATCAGGTTGCGGGGCTGGTGGGCGGGAAGGCTGGCGGGAAAGGAGCGACGAGTTTGGGGCAGGGGACGAATGTGGACAAGGTGGAGGAGGCGGTGGAAGCGGCAAGGAAGTATCTGGAGGACTTGAAGGTTTGATTGGCGATGAGTTACTCGTTGCGAGATAAGCGGCGACGCATGGCTGTCTCCTGACATTAAGACAAGCGGTCATTCAACTGAGTGAGGATCAGATCACTTCACATACTTCTTCAATGCGTCCATGCACACGCCGTCTGTCTGCCTTTGCACTTCTCACACGGCCCGCAATGTCTTCAACCTAGGAAATCTTCCGCGGGAGACAAGAGCGAGACATGAGCTCTGGAGATCCGCCGCATTGACTTCGACTGGAACGGTCCTCGCATCGACCGAAGCCTGCATCCTCGAGACCAAGACTAGAGGGCGAAACTCCTGTACATAATCAACCCATCCCTAGCAGGCCGATCGACCCAGAAAGGACAGCGGAACAGGTAGCTAGCACGCAGAAATTGCTCATGGCAATCGTTCCGCGGGCGTTTCCGTCGACTCAGCCAACAAAGGCTATTGGCCTGGTGGGTATTGGTCGGTTGTCTATCCACCTGGTCGTCATTGACCTAGTCATTAACCTAGTCGACAATTCATCTAGTCAGCGATTGACCTAGTTGACGATTGACCTGGTCATTGACCTGGCCATTAACCTAGTCGTTGACCTATTCAACGGTTAATCCTAGTCGACAATTGACCTAGTCGACGATTGACCTAGTCGACGATTGACCTAGTCGACGATTGACCTAGTCGACGATTGACCTTGTGTCTGATGCCCTAGTGTCTATGAATCTAGCATCAACTGACCGGCGCGTTAATTGACCGGGACGTCGATTGACCGGAGCGTTCACGGAACACGGTGTTGATTGCCATCTGCAATACATCTACTACACTTTTCAGAATGTAGTTGGCCGCCACGAGTCACAAGGCGAGCCGCCCAATAGGGTCTTCTCCTAAACGTCAGCATCAGCGAAAGAATGGAGGCGGCGAGAAGGTAGCTGGAGCATTGGGGACGTTGCACTGAGATGCTCCTATCCGGCCGGGATAAGAGCATGCCCTTCTCAGAAGGACCATTAGGTGAACAATCCCTCGATGAGTTGCTAAGGGGGCCCTTCTGTGAAAGTATCGCTGAGATGTGTCTTCTACGGCGGGCGTCTTAGAATTTGGGCGGTCTTGTGGCCGGTTATGAGATGATGCGCCGTGTGGTGTCTTCTCCCGAACACAAGCAGCACAGGAGGTGCGGAGGTGGCGGCGAAGAAGCTGAGAATGTTTGAAGATTGCTCTGAGATGCTTCTATTCAGTCAGGGATCAGAGCGTGCCCTTCCCCGAAAGTCAATCAGGCGAATAATGTCTCGACGAGTCGTTGAAGGCCGTCTTCTATGAAGTTGTTGCAGAGATGTTTCATTCCATGTCCCCATTAGATGCTTCGTCATCGTATCTTCTTGCCATTCAGAGCAGCACCATTGACCTCGCCTCGTCTCTCCCTCTCCAATGCCCGCCATCGCTCCTCCGGAATCGTAAGACACGGAATGCCGAGATAGTCGCAGATGCCATTGATGACCAGGTACGCCCAGCGGAAGTAAACGATCATGGCGATGAGAAAGTAGGCCCAGAGGTAGTAGTGCTCCAAGGTCGCGGATACCGGGTCGAATCCAAGATAGGGCAGATTGACCAGCGCCGCTCCACCGATGAGTGGAAGTAAGAGGCCCGTCCAGTACGGGAAGGGTTGGCGAGTGAGGTGCGCCAGGATGATCTTCGTCGTCATGCGCCCAAAGACGAAGGAGAGCGTGAGACATAGTAGGCAGAGATGGTTGTCTCGGAGGAGATTCGAGTATGGAGAGCCAAGCCAAGCGGTCAGACCGCCGCAGAATACCAGCATGGGCGTCCATTCGAGCAGGACGGGGAGGAATGGTAGGTTCTTGGCCCTGCGTGCCTGCAGGACGTTGTACATGCAAGCTGGGATGTGGCCTACGGCCAGAAGGAGCAGGAGCACCGGCACCCACACGTCGATGATACTCGTGTCGCCGAGGATGCTTCTGAACCCAAACAGATCCGCCAATGGCCGGCGCCACGTCTCGTTCCCGAAATACCCCGAGGACCACATGAGTAGCGAGGCTCCGATCAAGCCCTCGGTCGGCCCGTTGAAGTAGCCCAAGTAGAGGGTGTGAGTGTGATACGTCTCCCAGGTGGAGAAGAACATGGGGATGGTAGGGACGGCAGCGGTGAAAGCGCCGAGTGGCGTCGAGCCCAGTCCCACCGCCGAGGTTTGCAGGATAGACGCGAGCAGGCAATTCAACGAGTCGATGCCGTGGTCGAAAAGCTCGCCAAGACCAGAAGACATCCCCGTCCGTCGTGCTTGCTTGCCGTCAATGTTGTCGAGGGTGGAGTAAGCCCAGACGCCGAAAGCGTAGCTGTAGTAGACCCAGGTTTCTTTGGGGCCAAGCAGATCGGGGTCTTTGATTTCCATCAAGCCAACGTTGGCGAGGATGAAGAGGAAGCCGAGAAGGGTGACCATGTTGGGATGTAGCCATAGCGGGAGAAACTCGACGCATGCGTTCCACTGGCGAGGTGAAGTCAGTGATCGAGAAATGAAGGCATTAGGGACAGGACGAACATAGTGCCTGAGGATGTAGTACGATATCGGCGACTTGTCGACCGAGGAATATTTATACGTCTTGAAGTGCTGCAATGCATTGTCGGAAAGGCAGTCCGCTGCCGGTTTTTCTATGCGCTGTCAGTCGAACCTCAATGGAACTTGTACATGAAAGCGAGCATACTTTGGGCGGGCATTTTCAACGCCTTGTCTTTTCGATTGGTGAATGGCTAGAGTATCATTTCTAGCGATGAGGATGTGGAGAATGGAGGTGAAGCCATGGACATGAAATTAATTGCACGTGTAAGTGAGGGGTGACATCAGCCATGTGAAAGCGATGCGGCCCGTTCATTGGAGGATCGCACTTCACCTCAATCAACTCACCTCACCTTACGGCATCAATTGAGAAGGAGACTTAGGTATCGATTGCACGACGCGCACGTTGTCAATCACCAACGTCTCGAGCGCCGTTGGAATGCATTCCTAGCTACCCTACACACAAACACGAAAAACACCATGCTGCTTTTTGCTCTGTCCTTTGCCCCACGCATCCAAGTCGCGTAAGGCGAAGAGACACTGACCCGTTGCTTGTCTACTGACGACCGATGTTCGGAAGACAATGCTTAGCGCGTGGCCATGGCCTGTGGAATTGTTAATAGCTGCAGTGCGAATGGACGACATCAACGAAAGCTCACCTTGGTCACCACACGCTTCAACGCCAACTCCTTCTTCTTCAGATCGTCGCTGCCCGCATCCTCGATCTCCAGCTGGGCCATGGCATCGGAGAGCGCGCTCTCGATCTTCTCCTTCTGGCCACGCTTGAGCTTCAAGGACATCGACGGGTCGCTGACAATCTCCTCCACGCGGCTGATGTAGCTCTCCAGCGCCTGGCGGGCCTCGAACTTCTTACTGAACGCATCGTCGCTGGTCTTGAACTTCTCCGCATCCTCCACCATCTTGTCAATCTCCGCGGTGCTGAGCTTGCCGACAGAGTTGGAGATGGTGATGTTGGCACTGCGTCCAGACGACTTCTCCGTGGCAGTGACCTTGAGGATACCGTTGACGTCAACTTCGAACACAACTTCCAAGACGGCCTCTCCAGCACCTAGAAGAGATGGTGTCAGTAAACGCTCTCTCACTTTAAGGGTTTAAAAGGTGCCGTCGAACGCATGGCGGGGATCGGAGCGAGAGTGAACTCTCCCAAGCTCGTGTTGCTGGCACAGTCGACACGCTCGCCCTGGAAGACCGGGAATTGCACTAGACGATCATAAGTCAGTAAAGCTTGAGATTTCAGTAGTTTTAAGAAGTACATACCGGTTTGTTGTCCGTCTTGAACAGTTGTGAAGGTCTATGACTTGGTCAGCACTTGTTCCCAGTTACCCGACAGCTGCTTCTCAACCACTCCTATCGAGAGAAGGATGACTTACCCTCTTCTTCAAGGATGGGACGGTAGTTCCGCGAGGGACCACAGGCGCGAAGATGTTGCCCTCCACTAAAATCACAGCTCAGTCAGTCGCAATTCTTGTCGCCAACTGACAAGAGGGGGATAACTCACTAGCAACACCGAGCGAGAGAGGGACGACATCCAGGAGGAGGAGGTCCTCGACGTCAGCAGATTGAGCCTTGCCAGACAGAACACCGGCTTGCACGGCCGCACCGTACGCCACAGCCTCGTCGGGGTTGATGCTCTTCTCCAACTTCTTGCCGTTGAAGAAATCGCTGAGGAGCTTCTGTATCCGGGGAATACGGGTGCTGCCACCAACCAACACAATCTCGTCGACCTTGCTCTTCTCGATGTTCGCATCCTTCAAGACCTGCTCGACCGGCTGGATCGTGCCGGAGAAGGCCTTGCCGTTGATGTCTTCGAAACGCGCACGGGTGATGGAGGCATTGAAGTCCTCACCGTCGTAGAGGGAATCGATCTCGACCGAGGTCTGAGTGGCGTTGGACAGAGTTCGCTTCGCACGCTCGCAGGCAGTACGCAGACGACGAAGGGCGCGAGGGTCGTTGGAGATGTCTAATGTCCGTCAGCAAGTGATGAGACAGTACTCGTAGCCCTGGAAGTATTCTCACCTTTCTTCGTCTTCCTCTGGAACTCCTTCTTGAAGTGATCGAGAAGATTCGTGTCGAAGTCCTGGCCGCCGAGATGCGTGTCTCCGGCCGTAGCCTTCACGGTGAAGACACCGCCCTGGATGTGCAAGAGAGAGACATCGAAGGTGCCTCCACCAAGATCGTAGATGAGGACGTTGCGCTCCTTGTCAGACTTGCCGGCTCCGAGACCGTACGCAATGGCGGCAGCAGTGGGCTCGTTGATGATACGGAGGACGTTGAGGCCGGCGATTGCGCCAGCATCCTTGGTGGCTTGTCTCTGGTTGTCGTTGAAGTAGGCCGGGACGGTGATGACCGCCTTCTCAACCTTCTTGCCGAGCTTCACTTCCGCAACTTCTTTCATCTGCACGGCGTCAGTAGGGAAGCGCGGAATAACGATGCGCGGGCCGATCTACCTTGCCGAGGACCATGGCCGAGATCTCCTGAGGGGAGAAGGTCTTCTTCTCACCGAGGTACTCGACCTGGACTTTGGGCTGGTTGTCACCCTCCTCCACAACCTTGAACGGCCAGGACTCGATGTCCTTCTTCACGGTGGGGTCATCGAATCTGCGTCCAATGAGACGCCTGTTGATGGGTCAGACCATGTTCCTCTTTGATAGATATGCCGTTCCAAATCTTACTTGACGTCGAAGACGGTGTTGGTGGGGTTCATGGCGGCCTGGTTCTTGGCAGCCTCACCGATCAAGCGCTCTTCGGAAGTAAAGGACACGAAGGAGGGGGTGGTGAAGGATCCCTGCTCGTTTGCGACTGCACATCAGATGGTCAATTTCTGATCCCTCGCACAATGCAGTACGTGTCGCTCACTGATTTCAACGCCGGCGCCTTCATAGTTGGCGACACACGAGTAGGTCGTGCCTTGGCAAAGTCAGTCCGTACGAACGTCAATTGAGGGTGGCGGTGGAAAGAAGAGCATACCAAGATCAATGCCGATGGCACCGTCATAAACTTCTTCCGCCATCTTTGCAGAGTGTGTTGTTGGATTGAAATCGGGGATGGGGGGTAGGGTGAAAGGGTGATGGAGCGGAAGAAGAACTGGATCGCTCGCCTGCCGTCAAAATCTCTGTGCTTCGCCGCCAGAAATTTATTTTAGTGTATCCAAGCGGAAAGTTTAAGTTATCGGCGGGGGTGCGGCACGGGCCGAGTCGCCGCTGCAATTCACTTTATTCCGATAAATCATGTGACTGCAAAGCTCAAGGACCCTTTGATCCAGTACTCCAGCTCAATGTTGTAGCTACAGCCCTCTGACTCTCATCACACGGGCACGGAATACTGAATACTTGATGGCAATCATTGATGTGACCTCCAAAGGCTGACTGATTACATGTAGGTACTTGCTCTACCACGGGGAACCACTTATCAAACTTATTACATCCTCTTTTCGCACTGGGTATCATGACTGCTCACTCATCGATCGCTTCAGATGCTTTGCACTCGGCATGCCTGGAACGTGCAGGCAACTTCTTGTGCATGTAATTCACCTTTCTTCTGGCCTAGGGACACCCCTCTTCACACCCGGCTCTCCGTACCCAGAACTCACGGATGGACCAGCCTTTTCGATGGGCGTGCGACATATCGGGAAGAATTTCTGGTTACGCGTCAGTAAGATCTCAGTCGGCGACAATGTACCTCCAAAGCCGCCGCTCACCGTGATGAAATGGTTCGGTCCATACGCCTCCTCAATCAGGTAGACAGTAACGCGCCACCACGCACACAGTGACGAAAACATCCAGAAGTATGCAGCCGCTTTGATCACTGACCTCACTCCCTCACCGTAAGCAAAGAGGCCGCAAGCGATCGTACAGCCGATGGCCAGACTGAACAGGCATGCGCTGAGAACGAGATCCCGCGCTGTCGCGGCGATTGCGCCAGACCAGGTGAACAGAGTCAACGGCACAAACCAAACCGCCAGCTCGGGGAAGTGCGTGTAGATTGAATGCGGCGGCACGATGCCGGCCGGGACGAAGGCGTAAAGGATACCAATCGCGATCCAGAAGCTTCCCCACATGGTGTTGCTACTCGCATGGTCAGCCGCCAACTCATCCCTCCCGAGGGATGCGCATGAATCTTACATTACAGTCACCAACGTATCTCTGGCTTTAAACCCGAACAGCCCAGCAATGAACTGCGCCACACCACCAAAAATGCCGATAAAGGGAAAGAAGATCGTCGGCGAGTGGGCGTTGCCATACCATGCGCAGATCCAGGCAGAAGTGATGAATGTGGATCCCGCGAACCCAGCGAGGCCCAGCGCCGCAGGAGGCGCGATGGGCTGCAGGAATATCTGGACCGTAGGCCGTGCAGTCGCGACGTCTTCCTTCTCCTTGGGGTGACGCTCGGTGTCCGCGTGCCCATTGGTGTAACCATTCGTGGCTGCATTGAGGGCTTCGTTGGTAGCCATGTCGGAAGAATGAACGGCGATACTGGACAAAAGCTACGCTTCGGACGGATGAGAAGTTGTAAGCACGAAAGAAACAGCCGACGCAACCGGGGTGGAGGAGCTCATCATATATAAACTACATTTGTTGCTCTGGACCATCCTTACGGAATGTTCCGCATCGTTCCCAATGGCCATACGACTTAGTAGATACCCTCGAGCGTGAGATCTCGGAAGTCGGGCGGGTTGGCGAAGATGGGCGTCCATCGCCGATCACTTCCGACGAGTTCCGCGAGCCTCGCCAGTGTATTTTTCATGCATGTGGCAGTCGCGTCGCACCCTCATGACGACAGTCATGTGCTCCGGTCTCACTTTTATCCAGTATTGTCCTTGACCCTCTGCCAAATTGTCAACATCAAACAGCTGTGGTAAGTTCGCATTAGGACGCCCGCTGTTCGTAGGTATTCACCCAGTCAGGGAAGGCCCAGCGAAGTCATACTGTGTATCTTCTCGCTCTAAGCACATCGATGAGATGGATCCCAGGGCGGCGACATCACTTGATCGAGGAATTACATTATTCTATAGGTAGTAAGCGGAGGTGCAGGACGCCAATGCGCACCTCTTGCTGATCACAGCACGGCTGTCACCGGTCTGCTTTGCTCTCCCGATCCTCCATCTGCTCCATCTCCTTCACAAACTGCTCCCAGATGTCGATGTTGCCCTTGAAAAAGTCAATATGTGCATCGGCAAACCCACTCAGTGTATCTCTAAATTCGACCGCCTTGATGCGCTCAAAATCGCGGACCTCCTTCACGACCTCTTCGTCGAAGGCCTCGCTCATTTTCTTGGAGCTTTCCACCTCACTCTGCAAACGCTCAATCTGCACTTCGAGCTTGCGCTGCCGCTCTCGCCGACTCTGCTCGTGGTCGACGCCTCGAACATCCTCAATCTTTTGCCGCAAGAAGCCGGATGCGCCGAGTCCCGACTGGCCGTGCGCGGAAGCGAGGGTGTCACGCTCGTAGGCTGCTTTGTTCAAATATTCTGTCAGGCCTTCAAAGTCCAGCTGCTTCTGCTCCCGAGTCTTGAGCAGAGCTTTAATCGCATTGATGTAGCTTTCCATGTCCTTCAAACTGCCGAGGTAGTCCTGGTCGGTATGCTCCTTCAGGCCCTTCCATCCCTCACTTGTACTCTGCACACTTGTCGCGAATTTGATCAATTCATCTTGTACGCCAGGCTCCAAGGTCGCCAGCTTCTGGAATTGAGCTGCAAGATCTGCGTAGTCGGCCTCAAGATCTGCCTCGCGCTTTGCTACTCGGGCCACCGTTTTAGACACCGTTCCGAGATCATCGTCCAGTTTGGTAGCGCGATCATTGACATCCGCAAAGCGTTTGTCCGTTTTATGGGGTTTGGTGAAAGCGTTCAGGAAGCTATCCGTCCAGGTCTCCAACACCGAGCCACTTCCGCTCTCGCTCCCGCTCATTCCGCGCTGCGGCCGACTCCGCATGGTAGCGTTCCAGTCGGAGCTTTCGAGGAAAAGGGTGAGGATGACAGCCCTTCGGAGCACAGGGTGCAGCGTTAATCGCTTGAGGAAGCGATCTAAGGAGTGTCCTCTCCGCGATGTAAATTCCTGCCCGAAACGGTCGCCTCGCACATATGACATGTTATGTTTGTCGGGCAGAGGCGCGACTGCGCATTGAGGATATTCTCGCTGGAGGGCTTTGGAGAGGAAGACAAAGTCGGTGAAGCGGCGGCGTACGCTTGAGTGGGAAGATTGGAAGGATTTGAAGTCGGTCTGTTGATGAATGCATCAGTATGCGCAGGCAATGACAAAAGGCTCTCCGCGATACTCACGTCGGTGGTGACCAAATAGGAGATGTAGGCATTCTGCGTGCCCTCTGCCTCTTTCTGCGGCTTCTCCACTCTGCATACTAGATAGCCGTGAGCGCCAGGGCCGGCTAGGTCTTGGGCATCTGCATCGTGACCGGCCTGTTGCCAGTCCGAGTCGCCGTAGTCATTGCCGCTGCTGGCGTCCATCTCGCCGCAGCCGAACGAAGCAACTTCGACAGGTAGATCGGATTGGACGTTTGAATGTTTTGTAGGCCCACCGATTCTGATTCCCGCCTCTTTGACTTGCGTACACGACTGCACTGCGGTTCCAGATCGTGAATCGTTGGATCCAGTCTGTGGCTGACGCAAGCTCGCGGGAGGTTGTAGGCAGCCAGAAGGGCCTCGCCCGTACCTTGGATGTGGAGGCACCGAACCAGCACGAGGACGGCGGCGAAGGGCTTGGGTTCAGCAGAGTGCTCTTGTGTATGGCGACGTTGATTGTAGGGTGTTCAAGCAGTGCATACCTGACCAGACAGCATGCACTCCTCCAAGCCAAGGCCAGGGCTGCGCTCGCGTAAGTTGCCTGCCCTGCCACCGTCGTCATAGCTCTCCTTCGCTCTTGCCTCAGGCACACATTCACACACACGTGCGCTCTCCACAACGTGTCAACCGCGTGTATATTGGCATTAACTCTGTCATATGGAGCAACAAACAATATTCCATGCGGCGACTCCGTCTAGACCAGGTCGATTCAGCACAGGTACTATGGCTGCTAGGTGTGAGAGAGCGAGGTTCTCCAGGCTTCACTCTCCACTCGACACTTCCAAGGCTTCCAAGACGGAGCTGAAAAGCGACGTCCTTCGCGGCGATGCGCTGGTCCTACTCCTCCACCTCGTGCTCCTTGTCTTTTCAATGTAGAGCCATGCGATTTGTCGAGTTACATCACTCATTCAAGTGCGGCCATGGAATCTCTCACTCTCTCTCGTATTGCTGTCACGGCGTTTCTGCTCCTTTCGGCGCTGCTTCTTCACTTCCTTCGCAAGCTCTATTTCTACCGCAAGCTCCTCCACAACCTCCCTGGGCCCCCACATAGCTGGATATGGGGCTCCATGGCTTCGTTCTACGAGGTTGCCAAGCAGCACCCCAAACGTGCCGCGGCGCAGACACTCATGCATCCCGTGGCGGAGAAGTACGACCTTGGGGACTACTTCTACCTCGACGTCTGGCCGTTTGGATGGCCCATGCTCATCATCCTCAACACGGACATGATGAACGAGATCGAGGTCAAGACTTCCTTGCCCAAGCACCCCGCCACCGACCAAGTCATCCGGCACACTGGCGGACCCGGGAACTTGGTGAGTGCGGAAGGCCAGACGTGGAAACGATGGAGGAGCGCGTTCAATCCCGGATTCTCCGCCTCGCATCTCATGACCCTAGTTCCTGCCATCGTTGATCAGTGTAGCATTTTCTGCAACACTCTGACAAGACACGCAGAGCGACAAGACCTTTTTCGGATGGACCCAGAAACCACGAAACTGACAATCGACATCATCGGCAAGGTTGCCCTGGACCTCGACTTTCGTTCGCAGAAGGAACCGAACGAGCTCGTAGACACTTTTGTTAATCAATTGCGATGGATGAACATTGGTGTGCAACCGAGTATCCAGAGCTTCCTCGATTTTCGAGCGCCAATCATGCGGAGGTACAACACGTGGAAGATGGATCGTTACATTACCAAGCGACTAACGGAGCGCGTTGCCACTCGCACCAGTCGTGGCAAAGGGAAGGCCGTCATTGATCTGGCTCTTGAGTCGTACCTCAAAGATGTTCAGAACTCTGGCCAAAGCGTGGACGATGTAAAAACTCTCCCCAAGGACTTCACGGAGGCCGCCATCTCGAATCTGAAGGTTTTCATTTTCGCAGGGCATGATACGACCAGTGCGACGATCTGCTACACGTATTATTACTTGAGCAGGAACCCCACGGTGTTGGCCAAAGTCCGGCGGGAGTTGGACGAGGTCTTCGGCACTGACCCTACCGCCGTCGGGGAGCATTTGAAGCGTGACGCGTATCTTTTGAATAAATTGGAGTATCTGCTCCTCGTCATCCGAGAGGTTTTGAGGCTGCAGACGCCAGCGAGCTCTATCAGAACCGGGTATAAAGGGTGAGCAATAAATCCCCATTGCAGACCAGCTCTGTTCATGCACTGACATTCTATGCAGTTTCGTCCTGCGCGATCCTCGAACCGGTGAAGCAATACCTGCCGATGACAACTTTCTCATCTACCCCACCGGCGTAGGCTTTGGGCGCTCGAAGCAATATTGGGGTGATGCCGACGTCTTCCGTCCCGAGCGTTTCCTGGAAACCTATAACAAAGATGCCTGGCTGCCGTTCAGTAGAGGCATACGGAACTGCATCGGACAAGAGCTTGCCATGATAGAGATGAGGATCATTTTGGCCATGACATTACGAAGTTTCGACTTTCACGAGGCGTTCGATGAGCTGGAGAAGCTGAAGGGAGATGGGAGCGGGTATCCGAGTGACACTACCGGTGTGCAGGAGCAATTTGGAGAGCCGGCGTATCAAGTTCAGGTGCTTACAGCGAAGCCGAGAGAAGGCATGCCGTGTCGAGTGTCGTTGAGGAAGCAATAGCATAAGCTCTACGAAGAGATAATGGATGTTTCACGGAACGTCTTCGTCGTCATCACCGCCACCAAAGCCAAATGAAAAGCCACCATCGCCCTCATCCGTTTGAGATCCCTTGGTCAAGGTCTCCCACCTTCCTCTGCTTCCTTGAGCTAACTGCTCGAGATCAGTTAGACCATGTTCCAGCAGCCCGGGGTCCGCAGCTCGCAGTCGATCCACGAAAAGCGTATAAGGGTCTTCGATATCATCGCTGAACCCCGAAATTGACTGCTTCTGGTCTCTCAAGAACTGCAAGACGGCTCCAACCCTGGCCCGGGGCACAAAGTTCTGAGTAAGAGCAATGCTGGGCTCTAAGTTCAGAACAAGGTGATACCAGCCTGAAGGCACGTGTAGCACTTCGCCTTGGTAGCAGATACCCTCTTTGCATCCGCTAGTGGCTCGTGCTTCCGCGTGGTACTCGAGCAGCCATTCTGCGATGCTCAGCGGACTGGTGATTTCGCTTTGATCTTCGGATACGAATACGCCAGGTGGTGGCGGCAGTGACGACGATGATGGGAACATGATCCAGTATTTGCTGCCCCTGATGACGGCGTTCCAGGCGCTCGTGGCGTTGGGGTCTTTGTGAAAGGTGCTCCCGCTTCTCGAAGGGCCGACGATGAGCCAGCGATGATCCGGTCGCTGAGCACCGAGGACGGAAAAGGCATCGTCACCGAAGCAAGCCGGTGGGGAGTAGTCAGAATCAGTCCCGGCCGTGTTCAGTCTCATCTTCTCGGCGAACGCGCGGTCAAAGAGATATAAGGGCGACTCGTCGCGGTTGTTGTTCATGTAATCGGCGTAGGTCTGCAATGGCCAATCAACTGATTCTGCTCGAAACCGAACGTCCGAGTATTTATCCAGGAGATATTCCATAGTCCAAGAATCGTAGAGTGGCCAAGTCTTTACGAGGGAAGTCAGGACGAAAGGCTTGCTGTACCACTTTGCCGTGAAATCCTCAACAGACATTGTCTGCATGCGGGAGATGGCGTTCTGTCCGGGAATGTCTTGCGCAAAATGTGATAGAGGTACATGGGCGCAGTAGAAGGGACGGTGTAGGACGTCGGAGAACAGATTTGAACAGTCGACTTTCGGCTCCCGAACGATCGGCTGGGAGAGATACGTCGACCGCCATGTCCCCTGCCAGGTGAAAGAAAGCGGAGCAGACCTACCATTCACTCAGCACAACAGCTGAGGATCAAGAATAAAGTCAAACTTACTCTACAAACAGCGTTCTCCATAGCTCGTCGTTTCTGGTGAAGGCATGGAGCATTCTACATGCACCTCCGAGTCTAAGGAGGTCAGGAGCTTCGAGGGTCTCGAGGATGTGCATGAGAAGCTCGTCGGGGAGTCTGGCCAACGACCCGGCCGATGCTTTTGAGTTGACATTCGAAGTGAGAGCATTCCCAGATGGTCTGACGCCGAGTGGATGTCTTCGAACGAGCGTGGTCTGTTCTCCGGTGTCTCCATTGCTCAATCGGGGCGTTGTGATCGTCTTCAACCTCTTTGCAGGTCTGAGATTGTTTGTAGCCTCGTCGTCACACCCGTTCTCCATGGTCAACGGGACAGTCATATTCGACGATCCCCGGAATTCCGCGCACCACGGCCCAATGACAGCATGCAAAACGCACCGTTGGATGAGTCACTAAATGCGCGTTTGCAAGGACAGGTGAAGTTCGCGCGTCATGCAAGTGAAGTTGAACTCTCAATCAATTAATTTATTTGCTGCGGCCCGCCGTGGCAAACTCTGAGAGCGCACGGACCAACGCGCTCCCCAAAAGTCTATCCAAAAATTTCTACAACCGCCGCCTCTCGCACACTTTAAAATCAGGTCTGCAACCAACCTTCACCAACTACAACACTTAACTACAACACTCACCAGTCAGAACCTTTGACTCTCCCATCACGAGAGTCTAGCTTCTGCCTTTTCCAACACCTACCTACCCACCAACAGCGGCGGTATCCCACGAGGATCAACCCCCGCCCTCACACCACCCTCTTCACGCTCGCAGCGCAACGCCTGTGAGCCCAGCAACCCATCGCAATCATGGCGGACAAAGGACTTGAGGATATCGATGCCGGTGAGTTGCTCGCCCTCCGTGCACGCGGATCACTTCTACCCGCTCCTCTCACCTGCACACGAGAGCGTGCCTGCATCGCACGAGTACTGACGTCGTGGCAACTTGACAGGCCAGATCGAATCCAACTATGACGAGGTCACCGAGACCTTCGACGACATGAACCTGAAGGCCGAGCTCCTGCGCGGTGTCTACGCCTACGGTTTCGAGCGCCCTTCTGCCATCCAGCAGCGCGCCATCATGCCCGTCATCAAGGGTATGTCCCTGAACATCACGCTCTCCCCCACCCCATCCCTCACTGACATCCCCCCGCAAAGGCAACGATGTCATCGCCCAAGCCCAGTCCGGCACGGGCAAGACTGCCACCTTCTCCGTCTCCGTCCTCCAGAAGATCGACCCCTCCCTCAAGGCTTGCCAGGCTTTGATCCTCGCCCCCACCCGTGAACTCGCCCAGCAGATCCAGAAGGTCGTCGTGGCCATCGGAGATTTCATGAACATCGACTGCCATGCTTGCATCGGTGGAACGAGCGTTCGGGATGACATGAAGGCGTTGCAGGATGGGCCCCAGGTGGTCGTCGGCACCCCCGGCCGTGTGCAGGACATGATCCAGCGCCGCGTCCTCAAGACCGACAGCATGAAGATGTTCGTGCTCGACGAGGCCGACGAGATGCTGTCTCGCGGCTTCACCGAGCAGATCTACGACATCTTCCAGCTCCTCCCCCAGTCCACCCAGGTCGTCCTGCTCTCGGCCACCATGCCCCAGGATGTGCTCGAGGTCACCACCAAATTCATGCGCGACCCCGTCCGCATCCTCGTGAAGAAGGACGAGCTCACCCTCGAAGGTATCAAGCAATTCTACATTGCCGTCGAGAAGGAAGACTGGAAGCTCGAGACGCTCTCCGACCTGTACGAGACCGTCACCATCACCCAAGCCGTCATCTTCTGCAACACGCGTAGAAAGGTGGACTGGCTCACCGACAAGCTCACCGCCCGCGACTTCACCGTCTCGGCCATGCACGGCGACATGGACCAGGGTCAGCGTGACGTGATCATGAAGGAGTTCCGTTCCGGTTCTTCTCGCGTCCTCATCGCCACCGATCTCCTCGCCCGTGGCATCGACGTGCAGCAGGTGTCGCTGGTCATCAACTACGATCTCCCTGCCAACCGCGAGAACTACATCCATCGTATCGGACGTGGCGGCCGATTCGGAAGGAAGGGCGTTGCCATCAACTTCGTCACCGCCGATGATGTGCGCATGATGCGTGAGATTGAGCAGTTCTACAGCACTCAGATTGAGGAGATGCCCATGAACGTGGCCGGTAAGTCTATGCTCCATTTCTGCAGTTCCCGGTACTGGTTGCTAATTCTTGCGCAGATCTCATCTAAGCACCACATCCACATCACCTTCCCCCCGTGTCTCTTGCATCGACCGTACCTCCGAGCCTGCTTGGGCAGTGGGGTGCCGTCCTGCTGAAGCAAGAGACGCATTGCGATCGAACACGAATACCTTATCCAAGCCAGGGAACGTTACTTCCAGCAGCGGGCCATGGCAGAAAGTGGGCATATTCCGAGCGGCGTTTCCTATGGGTCTTTTGGCTGTTGCACCAGGTTGTTTCCGTCGGGGTTTAGAATGGGCAGGGTTGCGCTACTCGCATTCATGCTATTCATGCTGAGACTCCATTCCGACCTTGTGCGTAGAATTCAGGTAGCGCAACAAAAAGCTGTGAAAATCACGTGCCCGGCCCTGTCCGTGTCTTTTGATGCTGAACGCTCTTTCCCCTTTCTTCCCTCCTTCCCTGTCTACGTGCATGCGGCATGCGGCCACCCGCCAAGAATATCTCTCAACCTCACCTCATGCCCTCGCTGAGCCACCACATTGGTTGGCAAACAAGACCGATTACGACGTGAGTTGTTCACACTACTACAGCACCATCATCACTCACACAACGCAGGTCACAACAGAATGGCACCGTCAACAGCTGCTTCTCCCACTTCACTCTTGTGGGCACATCAACTGAAGCGAGAGCACGCGTATCTGTTAAAACGCATGCAAGCTCTTGAGACCCAGAACAGCGCTCAAGAGGCACGGTCGGTGAGCGAGACCGAGCGCAATGCTGTCCGCTTGTATGAGCAGGCGCAGAGCGAGATCCTCAAGATGAAAACGCAGATCGAGAACCTCCTGGTTGAACAGCGCAAGGCTGCTGAGGAACGGAAGCAGGCTCTGGCGGATAACAAGATTCTCACGGAACGAATCTCGGCTGTGCAGGAGAGGCTGGCAGAGTATGGGAAGATGTTGCAGCAAAAGAGCGGGCATCCGAATGCTGCAAGACTTGAGGCGATCGAGCAGCAGTTGGAGGGGCTTGCTCAGCAGGTGCAAAGCCACGGTGAAAAGATGAGCCGTTTGCCGGAGAGGGTGCCTGCGCTCGGAGTGCCTCACGATGAAGTCAGGTCAGCCGCGAAGGCGACACATCACAGCGACGATACGGGGACAGACATCGCAACCACAGCACGAAACCCAGGTGGCAGCTTCTTTCCTTATCGACGACCACAAGGGCAAGCTCTGGAGAGCAGAGGGGGTCTGCAGTCGAAGTCAGGAGCGTTGAAGACCGTACCCTCGCAATCGATGCAACACCTGGAGATAGAGCCGCCTCAGGACTCTTCTCACCACGAAAACGGCGGGACTGATCCAGGCGTCGATGACAGGACATTGCAAGCTCCAGGGACAAAGAGAAGACGCATTGACCAGACTACCGTTCTAGAAGTGCTGGAACCTCCGACTTCAACAGCTATACCCTCGATGGTGGATTCCACATCGGCTTCCTCATCGAAGATCAAGCCTAAGCGGTCCAGCCGCGTGCCGCGAGGTCAACATGCAACGATGTTGCACGGAGTCGTTGCCAAAGACAGTGAGGACCTGTATGCGATTCCGCGACCTCAAAAGATTGCTGTGACTGGGTCCAGGTAAGGGGTACAGTGTTCTGCTTCGATCAATTGCTGACACCGATTAACAGTGCTCCTGTGGCTAAGCCTGCCGTTTCAAGACCAAGAAAGGCACATTGCACTCCCCAATGGACACAGGAGGAGGCGAACGCGCGCGGCCGAGAGACTCGTCGAGTCAAATACCAGCCTGCAAACCCTCCGAGTCCTGTCGAGCAAAGCGGCACGCGTAATGGTGAAGGGGTCAACAAGGCTGCAGATGCAGATATTGTGTATCTCGAAACGGCTCCCCTGGAGCCACGGCGTCGAATTGTGCAGGAAGAAGACGACGAGACCTTCTTCCGGTATCTCCGTGGGTACTGAGTCGACGTGCACTGTACAAGCGAGAAGTAGACGCGCCAATTGGTCGTGCAGAATGCTTTGCAAGAGTTTATCAAATCCAATGGACTCACATGCCCAAATCAAGTCTCACCATACACATACGCACCTCCCTTGTCCTTCACCTCGACCGTCAACTTCGCCTCGTCCAGCTCTTTACCACCCACGCGAATGCCCGCTTCCATGACATCACCCGTCACCACCGGCCCGACTCCCTTGGGCGTACCCGTCAACACGATATCGCCCTTCTCCAGCGTCATTGTGCGGCTGATGTCGCTCAACTGCCTCGGAATGCGGAAGAGCATCAAATCCGTCTTATCCTGCTGCTTCACCTCGCCATTCACCGTCAAGTACAACTCGACATCGTGCGGATCCGGGATGGCGCTCTTCGCCACGGGGCCCGAAATAGGCAGGAACGTATCGAAGCCCTTGGCAATGCTCCAGGGTAGTCCCTTCTTCTTCGCCTCGTCCTGCACGTTGCGGCCCGTCATGTCGATCGTGAGGATGTACTGCTCAATCGCAGACTGCCAGTCGGCATCATTTTCATCGAGGTCGCGCACCGTCTTGCCGATCACGAGGCCGAGCTCGACTTCGAAGTGCAGATTCACGCCCGAGGGGCGCAGGACGGGGCCCTCGCCGGGCAGGAGGATGGAGGAGGGGGGCTTGAGGAAGAAGAAGGGCTGCTTGGGGCGCTGGTTGTTGAGCTCCTTGACGTGGTCGGCGTAGTTGCGGCCGATGCAGATGACCTGGGCGGTGTTAGGAGGGGGAGATGTGGTGGAGGATTTGAGACGGTGGCTCGTACTTTTCGGCAATTGCTTCGAATGGCTGATAGGGAGGCCATGGTGGGCTGTCTATATCTATAGAAATAGGAGTGATGCTATTGTTACAAAAGAGTGCCATTGCGTCGAGGGTGGTGTCGATATAAAAGAGTGGGCTCCGATTGCGGCAGGACGCATCGGTAGCTGCGGAGAGGCTGGATGATTCGCGGAATTTGTGCCATGTGAAAGCTCCATTCAATCAACTACCCAGGACAATTGGTATATACATCCAAAGAATTGCACAAGGCCAAGCGCAATACATTCGACATGCTAATGAATACTCCCCATTCTCCAAGCGCATCGACTAGTACTCCAACGTAACCTCCTGCCCCTTCACCTTTCCAATGACCACATGCGGAGCGTACTTGGGAATGACCTCGTCGTCGTGCAACATCTCAAACTCCTCGGTGGCATCCTTGCCCATTTGCGAGTACAGCGCGGCCGGACCACCCGGGTGCTCGTCGACCCAGTTGGTCAAGTCCATGACAAGGCCCTTCACTGCCACCCACAGGTCCTCCTTCTTGTTATGCTTGGCCACTTCCTCCAACGAAATCTCCTTGTCGGGGATCTCAAACTTCGCCTTCTGCTTCTTTTGCGTCTTCTTTGACTCGTCGGCCGGCTTGGCTGCCTGTTGGCCAGAGGACTGCGAAGACGACGCTTGTGAGCTGGAGCTGGCGCCGACACCCGCGCCCCATTCCACGGAGATCTTGCCGGGCTGGCTGGGGTCGATGTGGAGGCTGATTTGGCCGGCACGCGACACGGCGGAGCCCGAGCCTTCGTTGAGCACCTTTTGGAAGAGGTATTTGCTGGCACCGTCGCCGGCCACACGGCCCCAGACGACGCAGCCGAGGAGGGAGGAGCCACCGAGACGGTTGGCACCGTGCACGCCACCTGCGAGCTCACCGCAGATGTAGAGGCCGGAGAAGGGCTTCTTCTCGTTGTTGAGGACCTGCGCCTTGTCGTTGATTTCGATACCGCCCATGGTGTAGTGCAGCACGGGGTGCATGAGGGCAACGTGGAAGGTGTCGCCGACCTCCATTGGGCCGTTGCTGAAGAACTTCTTGTTGAACTTATCCTTTTCCTTGCCATCGGCCGCCTTGTTGTAATCTTCGAACGTCTTCTTCAGCGCATCCTCGCTGCAGCCAATCTCCTTGGCGAGTTCCTTGCCTGTCAGCTTCTTCATGAGGCCACGGCCGGAGTAATGTCGGATGTGGAAGTCCATGTTGCTGCAAGCCTTGCTGTTCATCACCAGGCGGATAGGCCACGTGCCCTTCTCCTTCTCCTCGAACATTTTGTTGGAGACGTAGTCACGGTGCTCGAGCTCGTCGGTGAAGCGCTGGCCCTTGTTGTTGAGCAGGAGGCCACCCTCGCCACGCATGGCCTCGGCGGCCAAGAATTTGATTTGCGAGTCGGGTTCCTTGGGATCGACGAGACCAGTGGGGTGGACCTGGATCTTGTCCATATCGATGCCGTTAGCGCCAATGGCCATGAGCATCTTCTGTCCATCACCGGTGGCGTGGAGGCCGTTGGTGCTGGGCAGGTCGAAGATCTCCGGCTTGTGCTTCTTGATCAGCGAGGTCTCGGTCCAGTCGGCAGCATAGCCGCCGGTGGCGAGGATGACGGGGCCGTCTGCGGTGAATTCCTCGCCATCCACGGTGTAGGTGACGCCCGTGGCTCGTTGGCCGTCCATGTTGATCTTCTTGACATTGGCCTTGAGGACGAATTCAACGCGCTCGGGCTCGTTTTCGGAAATCTCCTCCCAGCGCTGCATGAGGGCGTAGGTAATGGCCATGCCGGGGAATTTGTTGTCATGACCACGGTGGGTTCGCGGGAAGGAGTGGCCACTGGCGAGGAGAGAAGTTAGCATTTGTGGGGCGGATGGGGGTGGAGAGGGAAGTGTAAAGGGGGTCTGCATACCCTAGTCGGCCCAAGACGGTCAAGTCGAGGTTGAAGACATCCTGCAGCCATTCGACGGCCGAGGCGGACTGGTATGTAAGGACCTTGATGAGGTCCGGCCGGGCCTTGTCTCTTGCGGACTTGATGGTGTCGTCGTAGAATTGCTTGACGCTGTCCTTGATTTCGCCGTCGACCTGGGCGCGGGTCAGGGCGCCGTTGATGCCGGAGGTGGCTTTGGTGGAGTTGCCACCCATGAAGCCTGGGGAGGGGAGAGAGGATTAGCTGGGTGGCGGGTGGGGATGGCGAGGGAGGGGACAACGCACCCATCTTGTCGAGCAGGAGGACATTGCCACCGGCGAGGTAGATGCTATGCGCGGCGCTCAGGCCGGAAACTGGAAGGAGGTGTCAGTGGATGAAGAAGGGCCTGCGTTGTCGGCAGGGCGGGAGGGGCAACTCACGGCCGGCGCCGACGACAATCACTCTCTCAGGCATGGCGGAGTCGATGCTGGAAAGGGAGAGTGGTGGTGAGGGGAGGTAGTGGTGGTTGTCGGTGGTGTTGGAGGGAGAGACGGAGGTGGTGGCGAGCAGGGTGGATCAATGGAGACGTCAAGACTCGAGGAGTGGCGGGAGCAGAAACGGCTATACGCCAAGTGCCTCGGCTCGACGGCGGCGCGCGTTGCTAGGGCGGTGGCGGTGGGGAGGAGGGGCGACGAGGGGAGATGGGAGGACTGGAGGAAGGGGACGAGTAGAGGCGGGGAGCGGGTTAAGTATTTGCAGTCCTCGCACACGAGCAGCCGAGGAGGACGGGGTGGTGGATGCGGCGGATTGGCATGTGAAAGGATGCAATAATGCCTGGCCTTTGCTGCTGGTGTTTCCCTCCGGGGTCACGTGGGACGGGGGTTGTGGGGAAGAGTGGGGAGGAGTCGGAGCACGTGAAGGCCAATCATCGCCCTCTCTTCCGTCAGCCTCGACGGGTGTATTCAGCATGTCCGACGTGGTCTTCATCAACACCTTCAAAGAGTCTAGCACCCTCTCCACCGCTGGGTTGACGTCCCCTCGACTCCACTCGACTAGACCGAGTGTGCAGCTACATAGAACTGTCCACTATAGACACGTATCATGTAATTCTCAATGCCCATCACCAAGCGTGCAACCCTGAGTCATCCTCCATTCTTCGCCCTTCTCTTCACCTCCATCTCCCCTCCTTCTCTCGCAATCGTGCATTCTGCCATTGTCCACCACTGTCAATCCCTCTCCACCCATCCTAGACATGCCTCGATTCCAGGACTTTGCTCTCCCCCATGTACGCCTACGAGACCTTGCAAACCAGCAACAACCCTGCTAACCCTACGCCTTCAGTGGATCGAGAGCCAAAAGGGCATTGAGATCCCCCTGGGAGGAAGCGTTGGACCCGGACTGAGCTTCAAAGAGCTGATCAACCTCTCCACCGACCCCGAGTCCACGACCAAAGCCCTCAATTTCTACGACACCGACCTGACCGTCCGCGTGGGCACGCAGGGCAGCCTGGAATTGAGGAAGCAAGTCGCCAAACTCTACGCCGGAAGCGATGTCACCGTCACGCCCGACGATGTGGTCAGTCGTCACACCCTCCCTCCCCATGAACTATCACTGACCCGGGCAGATCATCGCCAATGCCACCACCGGCGCCAACCTCCTCTCCTTTCAATCCCAGCTCTCCCCCGGCGACCATGTGATTTGCATGTATCCCTGCTACGAGCCTCTCTTCCAAATCCCCAAGCAGCTGGGCGCCTCCATTACTTACTGGCGACTCGACCCATCCAACAACTGGGAAGCCAGTCTCGCCGATCTCAAGGCCCTCATCCGTCCCACCACCAAGATGCTCGTCGTCAACAACCCCCACAACCCCACCGGCACCCTGCTCTCCGCCTCCGCCCAGCAGGCCATCCTGCACCTCGCCGCCCGACACGACATCACCGTCCACTCCGACGAGATCTTCCGGCCCCTCTTTCACGCCACGGACACCCCTGCGCCCCCATCCCTCCTGCAGCACGCATCCTACGACAAAGTCATCGTCACCGGCTCCCTCAGCAAAGCCTTCTGTCTCTCCGCCGTCCGCATCGGCTGGTGCGTCACCCGCAACCCCGAGCTCAAAGCCAGCCTGCTCAGTCTGCGCCAATGGACGCTCGAGTCCACCAGTCTGATCGACGAGCGCATCGCAGCCGAGGCGCTCAGCGACCGCTGCCGCGACCCTATCCTCGCCCGCCTGCACGCCTTTGCACACCGCAATCTCGCCGAGCTGCACGCCTTCCTCGCCAAAAATCCCCACGCCGTCGCCGCTACTGTTCCCACCGGTGGCGCCACGGCGTTTGTCAAATTCATGGATCCCGCCAGCGGACGCCCCGTCGACGATCTCCAGTTCTGCCAGACCCTCATGGAACACACCGGCGTCCTCCTGAGCCCCGCCAGTCTATGCTTCTCCCAGCTCCAGCCGGGAGATTTCAAGGGCTACACTCGACTGCACTTCACTTGTAGAACGGAGATTTTCAAACAAGGGCTGGATAGGATTGGCGAGTTCCTGAGCTCACCCAGCTACACCGCCCTCTGTGCGGGAAGTCAGACGAATGGGACACACTGATGTTGTATACCTTTCAATTTCACGCTCGCAAACAAGACTCGTTGAGGCGAAAATTCATAGACTTTATCATCCAACTGCACCATCGCATTCCAACCACTTCCCCCTCCGTGCCTGCCTTTGCGATCACCAATCGCCATCCTGATCATCAGTGTGCATAGCCTTTGACCGCGCCCGCAACGCCTCCGCCAATCCACCAGCAATGCTCGGCCCGCCGCCAGCCGGTCCAGACGGCGTCGCAGCTCCGCTTCCAGTCGGCGTACCGCCGTTGGAGTACCCACTGTCTCTCGGCGTACCGGGAGCGGCGGCCTTCGCACGGCCTACAGGCCGCTTGGCGGGAGGAAGGGGCGCGCCCGGCTTGGCTTTGACGGCGGGAGCGCCACCATTCGCCGCTGCAGGGGCCGGAGGTGGTGGCGGTCGTGCTGCTACCGGCGGGGGAGGCGGTGCGGCTCGCACTTCTTCCAGATAGGCTGCGGGTGTCCATCCCGAAGCGGACTTGTCGAGTCTACTGCCGAGCCACCATCCTGTTTTATACGTCAGTGATGTCTCTCACAGGTCTGGACGGTGAAATACCAGAACTCACCATTGGTCTCCTTTGTGGTGATGAAGATGATCTCACCCTGTTTCAAGCTCAGCTCGCCGGCGGTCTGGCCAGCGAAGTCGTAAAGTGCCTTGTACTGCGGGTCTTTGGGTGGAGCGGCCGCAGGAGGAGGAGGCGGCGGTGGCGGCACCGCTCGTCCAGCCGAAGCTGCTGGTGCAGCAGCGACGTGCCTGTTCTGGCCCCCGATTCCATTCGGAATGGCGGCGGCGACGGGCTGAGACTGCACAGGCATCGGCATCGGCACGATCCTCTCCGCCGCGGGTGCCCTGGCAGTGGATTGGCCGGGCAGCGGCCGACTCTGAGGAGGTGGTCTCCTGGCCGCCTGAGAGAGCTTGCCCCCCTCACTCTTCTTGAGCAACTTGCCACTCGTAATCGCTTTGCCAGGCACACTTCGGCCTTTCGGCGTAGGTCTGCTAACGCTATTCGCCGGCTCGCCTTGACCGGTGTGAATCTGTCCAGATTTGTAGAGATCGTCCCGACGCACTGTTGAGTCCTTGACCGCTTTCACCATCGACGGCTTGCCCGGTTTCTTGTTGTACTGGATCGAGTCGCCAATCTGCAATTGTGTCGCACCGCGCGTGGCTTGATGGAGTTGCGTGAAGAACTCGGTCTTGAAGACGCAATTCACCAAAGGATCCGGCTCCTGTGGGCTTCCGGCACCAATTGAGAACCAATCGTCCTTCAAACTACTCGTGCTGATGAATCGAATCGCTCCAAGCGGAATCGTTCGCTCGGCAAAAATCTGGAGCTGCTTGTTCACCAGCGCCTGTTTGATGATGTAGACGCTCTTGTTCGTCAGCACGAGAAACCTGGGCTCCGGCTTGCTCGATCGGCCGAGCTTCGAGACCAAGACTTCGCAACGACACGAGAAGAACGTCTTCTCGCCCGATCCGATGCCGGCACTATTTCGCAGCAGCTCGCCAGTGCCACCCCGGTTGTCGATACCAAGGTAGTCGCCCAGGAACCTTCGATAGCCAACAAGAGAGTAGCGTCTCCGTTCCATCCGCCCACCGAGCAGTCGGTGGCCTTCATCACGAAGGACTTGGAACGGCTCGCCGCCAGACTTCTTCCGCCAGAATTTCTGAATGCGGATGGCGCACTCCGTCCGGTATCTGAGATAGTTCCGCCATGCTCGCTGGATACGAATGGCCATGTTGTGCCAATACTTGTCCCGCATCGTCTCGAGCGCGAAGAGCGTCTCCGGAGTTTTGACGAAGACCTTGGTGATGCCCATTTGCCATTCCTCTGGAGGAATACTGGTGTCTTTGAGGATCTGGCGCACTCCAGACTTGGCATCGCCGCTCCAAGTGTACTCTCCGGCGTAGCTACATTTCGGCGAAAGCAAGTAGAAACGCTCCACAAATTTCTCAAAAGTCTGTCGCGATGCAAAGCCAGCCCGACGAATGCGCACGTTCTCTTGCAGACCAAGATACTTGATCTGATGCAGCACATTCGGCACGTTGTACTCGGTGGGACTCTTGTTTTCGTTCGGTTTAATGGTGCGGATATAGCTTGGCGAGCATTTCATGAGCGCACCCACCAAGTCGTTCGCAGAAGACTTGATTTTGTCGCCGGCAGTCGGGGGTCGTCGTCGGTTGTCTTGGTCCACTTCGTGCGGGAAGAGGGTATGGATGAACTGGTTCGAGCTCTCGCCAAACAGATTGAGAATGTCCTTCAGCAGCTGGTCCTTGTTCTTGTCCGTCATGCCATCGACCGCATAGTTCACGTCACCGGCGTAGTGCTTGATGACGAACTGCCCTTGACGGGGGGCAAAGTTTGGGTTTCCAGACAGCGCGTTCAGTCGCTGCACGAAGGTCTGATCTGCAGCCGCCGGATCGGCATGTGCCGTAGCGCAGGCGTCATTGAGCGCCGAGAACACCCCAGGCGGCCTCTTTTCCTCGATCAGCTCGCAGACCACTTTGTTGTCAAAATACTTGATCGGCGTCCACTGGATCTGCTCCCTCTCGTACTCTTCCTGCTCAGCCTTGAGGGTTAATTGAATGAAGATCTGCTGGAGCTTCTCGTTGACGTAGTTGATACACAGCTGCTCGAACGAGTTGCGCTCGAAGATCTCGAAGCCGTAGATGTCCAGAATGCCGATGCTGTGCGCGAGGGTTCCACGAGCTTTGAGCGCGCGGTTTACGCGATCAACAATCCAGTCGAACATGTTGTTGTAGATGGCCTTGGCGACGGCGTCTCGCACCGCCGTTGCCTGGGCAATGTTCATGGGAGAATCGTAGATGGAGCCTCGTCGGCCACCACGGCTGGTCTCGATGATTCGGACGGTCATTGCCTTGTTGACGTGCGACGATTCGACTTCGAGCAGATACGCGACAAAGTCCACGACAGAGTTGTCGGCAATGGCAGCATTGCCTTGCTCGTCCTCGCGGAAAGCAACATTGCCAATCCACAAGATGGCGGCAAGCATGCGAAAGACCTGGTCCTGCTCGGCCTTGCTCATGCCAATCACCTGCATGGCGTTCAGCGTGTCCTTGAAATCCGCCATGTCATCGATGCCCTGCACGTCGTAGCATTTGCTCTTGCTGGTATAGGTGTATGTGGTGGGTTGTTGCACGCCAAAGTTTGTGCGATGCTCTTGGCTGGCGGCCTTGGAGAATTGGTAGAAGATGTGGAAGTTTCGTTCGTCTCGAATCTGGCCCACCACTCTGCTCTTCTCCAGAAGGTAATTGTTGATGTTCGCGCCGACCGGCTCACCCTGCGCGTTGAATTGGATCTCGAGGTATTTGCCGAAGCGCGAAGAGTTGTTGTTGCGCAGCGTCTTTGCGTTGCCGAAAGACTCGAGCAGTGGGTTCGTGGCGAGCACCATATCCTTGATCTCCTGGATGGAGGTATTGCTACCGCCCGACACGTTTGCAATGTACTGCATGAGTCTCTTGGCCGCCTCGGTCTTGCCCGCGCCGGACTCGCCGGAGATGATGACACACTGGTTCTCACGATAGGCCTTCATGTTGTAGTATGAGCTCTCCGCGATTGCGAAAACGTGGGGAGGAACCTCCAGTCTGTTCTTCCCTCGGTAGCTGTCCAGCACCTGATCGGTGTAGATGCCCAGGTCGCGGAAGGGGTTGACCGAGACCAGGACGTGGCCGATGTAGGTGTAGATTTCGGCATTCTCGAATCGCTTCTTGAGGTTGTCGTTGATGGCTTCGTTGGAGATCTTGCTGATCAGCGTCAGGTCGGAGACTCCCACCTCTTTCTTCTTCGTCGTCTCATATGCCGCCTTGCGAATCTGCGGTGCGCCCCCGCCCCCGCCGTGGGAGGGTTGGGGTTGGCCTTGCGCCGCGGCGGTCTTCCGCCCGGCACGCTTGGTCACGGCCTGGGAAGGGGTCAGTAGGATGCGCCGGGCGAATGCTCATTGTGGGGAAGGAAACGCACCATGGTTGCGGCAGCAAGAAGTGTGTGGTCGAGTAGGCGTAGGTTCACATGCGGCCGTCCTCTTCAGAGAGCGTCTCGCCACGCTTTCGGTGCGGGATGGTGACGGGTGCACGGCGATTGCAGAGATGTACGATCGAGATTGAGGAGGGAAGAATGAAGACACAGCAGGACAAGGGGATAATGGGGTGTCCGGCGAAGAAGTGTTCTGACTGACGCCAGCGGCTGTACGTCAAGGCCAAGCCCAGCTTCACCGCGCCGGCGAGTCCCGAATGGGCGGCGTGCCGTTGCTTGCGCCACACCCGGCCACCGCTTCGCCCACCGCCACGCACTGCTTGTCCACGCAAGCCTTTTCCAGGCATCGATATTTCATTCGCCAATCCTTCCGCCTATTGTCCTCGCCATCGGCAATTCATCCAGGTAAATAACACCAAACGCTGGACGAAGTAGTCATGATTACATACGGGCTGACCAAGATCAAGCATGCCACGCCGCATCCTACGTGGAAAGAGGACACCAGTTGACAAACTGGATGAGATCGACTCTTCTACAGATATTTCCCGCTCGACTGATTGCCCTACTTGCTTCCGTCTGCCGTCGCCGCACCATCCTTGTAGTATGGACGAGGCACGTTGTCATAGTATGGCACCACAATCACATTCTTATCCTCCGTCATGCCAACCATGCTCAGCGTCGCAGGGGTCGTTGGTTGCGGGCTCACAATCATGTTGATCAGCCCCGGCTTGCCACTCCTCGACATCCTCTCCGTCGTGGGCTTGATATCCTCAAACTTGTCCACAAACGCCCCGTCGTTGTTGAAGCCCTGTGCCACAACCTCGTACTTGCAACTCTTGGACAGCCGGATTGCCGGTCGAGCCTGGCTCTTCCCTTGGTAGATGAGCTCTTGCCCGTTCAACGACATGCCCCAGACATAATTGTTGGCCACCAGTGTCAAGATATTGAGTCCGAACCGCGCGAACGTATCGAGCTCTTGGATGTGGAAGCCGGCGGAGCCATCACCATGGACGTTGACCACCAGCCTACTTGGATCCGCCACTGCCGCACCGAGACTGTATCCCCATCCATTGCCCAGATGGCCCAGGTAGCCCGTCGACACGATGGCCACCTTCGGCTCCGCAGCCTCCACTGTCATGGCGGCCCATTGCCCGGCCTCACCACCATCGATCATGATGATCGAATCTTTGGGCAGGGCTCGCATGAATGCATTCATGGCCAGGTAAGGGTGAAGCAGGCCGTCCGGCATGACTTCACCACCCTTGATGTAGTTTGACAACGTCGATTTGTGATCTCTGCAATCTCGGATCCACTCGTCGTTTCTCTTGACCGAGATCTTTGACTTCTTCTCCAGAAGCGCTTCCGCGAAGAGCCCCACATCTGAAACAATGCCGATTTCAACGGCATGGCTCTTTCCTATCTCCGACCCGTCGAGATCCACCTGCGCGAGGACGCAGTCTTTATTGGGGATGATGGCGCCGCCACGGCCGCCGAGCAGAAAGCCCGTGCGAGCACCCAGGAGCAGCACAAAATCCGGCTGCGGACCTCCGGCGAACGCAGCCAGTCGGGTTGCCATACCGCCGCGCAGTTCGTGGTTCGCGGGAATCGGGGAGCTGAATTTGTTGGAGTAGAACACCGGCGAGTGGGTTGCCTCTGCGAGCTTGACGAGTGCCGCGTCGGTCCCTCGCGCGCCGGTGCCAGTAATGATGACTGGCCGCTTGGCCTTGTTCCATTGCCCGATCACGTTGTCGACGGCGGCGGGGTCGGGTGCGGCGTTGTACGCCGGAGGAGCAGTGATGGCGCCGAATGCTATGCGATGCATCTGGGGTGGCGTGAACAACACATCGATAGGAAAGTCGATCAAGACCGGCCCTTTGATGCCCGAATTCGCAGACCTCATCCCGTAGGCAACGATCCGTGGAATCTCCTCGACATTGGTGACGCGGTGAGAGAATTTGGTGAGCGGCTTCGACACGACAACTTGGTCGTGGAAGCCTTGCAAGGCGTTGGTTTCCGCATCTTGCAAGGGAGGGCTGCTTGTAACAACAAAGATGGGACTGCGGTCAGCGTAGGCGGTGGCGAGGCCGGCTAGGCCATTGGCGAAACTATCGTTAACGGTCAGGGTTTCTGGGAGCGGCAGGTGTTGTCCGTATTGACGTACCCGCTATTTGCAGTAACAAAACAGACCCCAACCTGACAGAGATCAGCTGAGGTGTGGCCAGGATATCGGATCGGATCATCGACTTACCTTGCCCGACACTTTAGCATAGCCTTCCGCGGCCTGCACAGCCGTCGTCTCATGCCGAGTATCTACGAGTTTGATACCGCACTCCTCCGCGCCGACGAGAAACGCATCGAGATGTCCACCATGCACGCCAAAGGCCACTTCGACACCAAGATGTCGCAAGGCTTGGGCGAGGAGGTCGCCTCCGAGGAACTCGCGCTTGGCAGGGATTTGAGGCTTGAATTCGACCATGGTGGGGAGTGTAGGGAGCGTATGACAAAAGTGAATGGACTCAAATGTGAAGTGGAGAGGTCAGTGCGATGGTCAGCACAAAAAGACAGGATCGTGGTTTATGACATGACGTTTAATGCCAACGATGATCAACGTTCGTTCCCCGAGGTTCTCTTCTTGCCCCACTATGCATGCCAGGGGAGGCAAGGTACATACAGCACAGCAAATCGGAGCTGATCACCCGTCGTTGGTTGACGGGCGGAGGTCAGTCGAGCTCATGCAGAGTGTGAGACACTTGTTTAGACACGCTGATCAAGAACATATACAATGCAAACGTGATGACCAGCACTGGCGGTCATTGAGATGTCGTATCAGCCTCGATCTATAGCCGGGATCTAGCAGGTTCAACCGAGATGACAATTCTGGCGTGCCTGACGAACATTACCATGCATTCCTACATTTGATGGTTCAGGCAACTACTCGGGGACGGAAACTCTCCATCAACCACATCTAAAGACGACGTCAGTCCAGGCCCAGAGCCGTCATCCAGTGCGTCGCTCCATCCTCGGCTTGCATGCTCTTCAGCCTTTCCGCAGAGTATTTGTACGATTGAGGCAAGAGGCCATCGTCTTCCTTGCCCAGAATGCGATCTGCAACGTACTTGCCACTTAGCCAGGCATTCGCCATGCCGTATCCATTGTAGCCCCCGGCAATCCATTCTCCCGAACCCGATCGCAACGTTGCTTCCTGGGCCAATTTGCCTACCATCGGTAGGCCGTCTGTTGTGAACCCCATGACACCCGTCCAGGCAGCCCGAACGTCGACTGTGGCCGTGTCTGACTTGTCCTTGCACCAGACTGCGTTGATGATCCCCGAAAGATGCGCCGTCGCCAGGACACTGTTGACATCATCCCGGACGTTTCCAAGTTCGTCCAGCCCATGAAGATACGCTTGTCCGAGTCCACCGCCCAGGAAGATCTCACCAGATGTGCCGCTCTGGGTCATGTAGTCGAAACCAGTACCATAGTGGATGCTCCAAGATCGATCAGCACCCTGGATACCGAACCGCGCCGAGGGAGACTGAGCTGTCATTTGCCCTCGCACGGGGTATAATTTCCCTCGAATCCCCGGAAGTAGATGTCCGGCGTGACCGTTAGTGGCGTGCACCACTTGTTTCGCATGAAGCGAACCTCTCGGAGTGGTCACTCTATACATTTGCGCTGCGTCTAGATATTCGATGGATTGTACCGGAGTCAGTGCTTCTAATCGAAAGCGGTCTGTGTAGTCCTTGACCATGTCGGCGAAGAGGCCGGTGATGAGACGATATGGCCATCCAGCACCAGCTGGCGCCAAGTAGCCTCCAGCAGCATTATGGACGTCGAATTTCTACAACACCGTTAGATTTGCTTTGCAGCGACGCCATACCGATATCCACGAACCTGCGCTAGTTCGTCTCTAGGGACTATTCGGCCACGTTTGGGATGGCTGCGCTCAAAGTCTTCGAGGAGACTCTCAAATTGCGACACAGCTCCGTCATCGGTGAAGAGATTCAATGACTCGACACGCCGGACCTCACAGTGTTTTTGGAGCTCGGGAGAGAGGGTGTCTTTCACCCGGAGAAGCGCCTCAGGATTGGCGAGGGTGAAGCGAATGACGGCATCGGCCTCTTCTTTGCCCAGTGATGGCACTAGCTCAGCGAAGGAGTACTCAGGAACGGCTTTGACGTGGCCACCATTCCTCCCCGTCGCACCGGAGCAGACTGTCCTTGCCTCGAGAACGGTGACTTTGAGGTTGCTATTTCCATCAAGTAGATGACGAGCAACGCTGCACCCGGTGATACCAGAGCCGATGACCAGGATGTCGGCATTCTCATCAAGCTGTGGAGACTGGAGAGCAGCGACGGATTCGAGCACCGGTTCCTGCCAATACGACGACGTTGGGTTGGGATGCGGAAGTCCAGGGTCGTTGCATAGACGCTCGGTGATTTCTGCATGCATACGCTTGGCTGTTGCTGGTGAGAGATGTGGATGGAGAGAATTGACAGACGACGGTTGACCTACAACGAGCAGACATGATTGCGAGAGCTAGGAAAGATAATCGGACACAAAGAATGAGGATCAGTTGTAAGAAATAGTATGAACGTAAGAAACACGACACGATCAAGGAGAGAAGACAATAGACAGAAACTCGGAGGTGAGATGGAGTAGAAGATGTAGATAGACTCGCTTGTACCTGCTCAGTTGAGTTAGAGCTTCTGGGCTGTTTTCGATTGCTTGAGCATGAGCCACAAGTACCTGTAAACATCCACTCGAAACGTGTGGAGATGGCAGATATATTGGCCAGGTGTTGGAAGTGAGCATCTCATGGAGGCACTCCCAGCAGAGTCCAACACCCCGAGCTTGACCGAACTCTTGACCGAACTCGACGCGCGTGCTCAATTGAGTTTCTGTGGCGGACTGGACAAATGGACCGGGTTAAAATCGGACGTGGTCCAAGGAAGGCTCACATCATGCAGAGACGACCGGTCGTCAGGAAGAAATGCCGTTGCAAGGCTCTGAGGTAGGGAAATCTCTACGAATACTTTATGATGACGGGCGCGAAAGGGCAAACATCGCGCGGAGGGGTTGGAAGAGTGCCGGCTGTACGGCATGCTGATCACCCCCCGGTTTCCCCGCACCCACGCTCGCACAGCTCCTCCGAAGGGTGTTGGAGCACGCGGGCGGGCGGTCTGGCTGCTGGACACAGCTCTACCCCCAAGGTTCCCCCAACAGCTTGCACCTCTCCCATTTCCTTCCTGTTCCTTGTACCTTCGTAGCTACTCTCGAGCTTACCGACCTGCTTTTTGTGGTGGACAGCAACGCCCTCTTCTATCCATGAGACCTCGACCGGCCTCTCCATCCACCTGCGCCTTCCACTCACGAGCCGCCTGAAATTGCGGGGCTTTCCGAAGGTACGTGCGCGCGCTTTCCACCCCGCTCTCGAGGTTGGACCGGGAAAACAGTGGAGTACAGTACAGCAAGAGTGCACGAGGACTCCAAGAGCCAGTCCTCGATGAGTCGAGTCGTCGTTCAAGCTGTCGAAGATGTTTGACCTCTCGAAAGAAACTGACGTGAACATGTCTGCAGGATATCGCGCATCCATAGGCATCAGTGGCGGAGTGATCGCCAGCCGTTGGACCGACGTCACTGAATACCCTGCTGTATTGCTTCTCCTGCTCCCCTCTCCTCGTCCGCCCGCGCCGACCAAGCATTGCCCCCAGCGAGCATTCCGTAATGGACGTCGCGAAGCAAAAGGCCGAAGAGGCCAAGAAGACGGCTCAAGAGGCGGTGGACAAGTCCAAGGAGCTTGCCGCCAAAGCGCAGGACGACCCCAAGGCCGCCACAAAGGACTTCCTCCACACCCCGTTCATGCGAGCCGCCCTACCCTTCATCAATGGAGGAGCCGCTGGGATGTTCGCCACTTGCTGTATCCAGCCCATTGATATGATCAAGGTGCGCTTGCAGCTTGCCGGCGAAGGTTCCAAAGGCGGACCCAAGCCCACACCCATCAGTGTCACCAGAGAGGTCATTGCCTCGGGGAGAGTGCTGGATTTGTATACCGGCTTGAGTGCAGGCATTCTTCGGCAAGCCGTGTATACCACCGCTCGCCTCGGCTTGTTCGATACCTTCATGAAGAGCTTATCTGCTCGCGCAGAGGACGCGGGCCGCAAGGTCAACTTCTACGAACGTGCAGGCTCCGGTCTGACGGCAGGTGGTCTGGCCGCCTTCGTCGCCAACCCCGCCGATCTGGCCTTGATTCGCATGCAGTCGGATGGTCTCAAGCCCAAGGGAGAGCGTGCAAACTATAGCAGTGTTGCCGATGCTCTCCGGAGAATTGCCAAGAGCGAAGGCATTGGCGCATGGTGGTCTGGTTGCTATCCCACCGTCGTCCGCGCAATGGCCCTTAATTTCGGCCAACTCGCCTTCTTCTCCGAGGCCAAGAGCCAGCTAAAGGACACATCCTTGAGCCCGAGAGCGCAGACACTGACCGCCTCCGCCGTTGCCGGCTTCTTCGCTTCCTTCTTCTCGCTCCCCTTCGACTTCGTCAAGACCAGGCTGCAGAAGCAGCAGCGGGGCCCTGATGGAAAATTACCCTACAACGGCATGGTTCATGCGTTCGGAAGGGTGATCAAAGAGGAGGGGCCTCTACGGTTTTACCGTGGGTTCACGACGTACTATGTAAGTTCAGCCGACGATGCACCGGAGCTGCTTGACCGTCGCTGATCGTTTCAATAGGTCCGCATCGCACCACACGCCATGATCACGCTCATTATCGCCGTAAGTTTGCCTGGGGTCTGGGAGGGGGCACGTTGACTAACACAACACAGGACTACCTGAATTTCATTACCAAGTAAGCTCGCATTCTGATCTGGAATGCTATCGAAGATGCCTGGTGAGGCGATGTAAGCACTGTAAAGAGGATTTAACTCCGACCAATGTCGGACGGCATCTACGGCGAAGTCGATCAGTAATGCAGGATACGGCGAGGGAGATTTTGGCCATGGATGGTAGCAGAAATACCGCGCATATTGTGGTCACAGTAGGTGTCATATCTGTGCAACACGAGTTTTCGATTGCGAAACTGTACGCTACCTAAATGGCTGTACGTCGAGACTACCTGTACGTAAGCTACGCCGTACCTGGAAGCGTTTGGCCACATCGGGCTAGCGCAGGCGCGTCTCGCGTGCTTCACTTCCCGCACTTCTGACTTCGTGTTGACTGCGAAACTACCAACGATGCTCAATACACTCCCATCACAGCATGTCAACCCGAGTACGACAATCGACTGCTGCGCCGTCGCAGAGGCGATCAGGCAATGAGCCACCGCCTTACGAGAAACCAACCTTCCCCCTCAACCCTGCTGCACAACGATCGCTCGGACAATTGCTCCAGACACACACTTTGAATAAGCTCGATGGCAATATCGTGGAGGCGCAGAAGGCGCTTTCTGGAGCCGCAGGGGATATCAATGATCGCCTGACGGCCAAAGATCGGGCCGTGCAGAAGCAGAGGCAGGCGCACTCATCCAGCGACGGTCCAAGTGAAGCTGGCGACGACTTGGAGCAACGCCTTGCGGAACTCCGCGACAAGGTGGATCGCATGACGCAGCGGATGGACGAGAGTATGCGCAAAATGATTGATGGTCGGCACAGCCTGCAGTCCGCGCAAGGGGCACTCGAAAAGGCCGCGCAGGATGCCAGACTGCAGGCAAGTACACAAGCCAGCGCCCAGAACATCAGACCCCAAAGACAACGGAGACGCAACCTTGACGATGGCAGCGCAGATGGTGAGGACGACGACGACGAGTATCAAGACTTCGAGCCAACCGACCCCACCGCCGGCACTCAGGGCCTTTCATCAGCGTTGGAGAAGTTCAAGACGCAGCTCGACGACGCCAAGACACGCTACCAATCACACAGTCTCACCGCACGCTATGCCGACAACAACGAGTATCGTGACTTTCGCCGGGTCGTCCACGATGCCAAACATCCTGATGGAGATGTGCAACTGGCCCACCATACAGAGTGGTTTCACGAAGGCGATGCTCCGGCTCCCGGTGTCACAACTCGAGGTCGAGCAAATGCGGAAGATGACGATGACGATGACATCGCCGTGGCTCGCGCTACCATCAGCACCAAGTGCCCGTTGACTTTGCAGGAGTTGAAGTCGCCCTTGACATCCCGCAAGTGCCCGCACAGTTTCGAGGCCGAGGCCATCTTGTCGATGATTACCGGCTCATCGAATCGCGAGCAAGGCCGGCCCAATGGAGAGCGCTATGTTCAGTGCCCGGTGACGGGCTGCTCTCAGACGTTGACACGCGGAGATCTGCATACCGACAGCGTGTTGGTCCGCCGGATCAAACGGCTTCAGCGTGCGAGGGAGCTTCAAGATGACGACGCGGAAGATGAGCACAACGGCGGCGGACCAAGATCTACGGTGATTGAAGACGTGGACGAGGACGCTGCGGACGTGGACGACATTGTGGCGGGTCGCGTGATCCAGCAAACACAGATGAAGTCTGAGCCAAAGGGGACCAGATCGACCGTACCCCCGGCAAGCAGCGCTCGCGTGGTGGATCTTGGGAGTAGCAGCGATGAAGAGGAGGCGGACGAAGATGAGATAATGGAGGAATAGGCGCCGGATGTGATGTGGAGTCTCACATGCACACTGAACACGGGGTTGATTGGAATGTGTCGGTATAGCGAGGAGATGTGATATCCGACTTACCTTACCAGTGTGTTCTACTTCATCCCTCACTCATCGCTGATCCCCGGCGACGGCCGAACGTTACCAGGGCTGCTGAGGGATGGAGAGTCGTCGGAGCCGAAAGCCGGGATCTTCAAGTTGGCAAGAGCGATGTGCATGGAAGGCACGCCCCAGCCACCACAGACGGGTTCAGGTGGCAACACTCTATCGCATGCACAGGTTCTCGCAGTAAGTGCCCCGACACTACCTTCAATGCACTTGGGCAGCGCAATGTCGCGTTCTCCAGAAAATAATCTAACAGTAATCGTAGGTGGCTCAGAGTATTGCACGTGCTGGCATGTGATAGCTTGCTGCCTGGTCCCGAGAAGCCTCATGCCTGACTCTATTTCAACTTCACTCTTTTACTCCTTTCCCAACAATTTCTCCTCGACACCCGAACCCAGCCCTCACTGCCCACCCCACTGTCCCCTTCTTTCATCCCTTTTCCACATCATGTGAGCAAGAGTGTTCGGCCTGAAACCGACCACCTCAGCACCCAGAGCACTCTCGCCTGTCATGGCCGCCCCTGAGATCCTCCATGTCAGCGAAGGCGAGACTTTCGATGAGCCCGTCGATACTTCCGCCGTCGAGGGTCAAGAGGTAGTGGAGACCGACGACTATCGCGAAATCACGAACGTTCGAGCAATCCCTACCAAGATCGACGATGGTCATGAAGTCGACGAGCATGGCACACGCCCGGGCTCTGCGTGTTCTGGACTCAGTATGACCCAAACCGATGCAGATACGCAAGAAGTGATCAAGAAGTGCGCCATTCGTGTCAAAAGCGAGAGTGAGAGCCATGCAGAATATGTCGAGCTTCCAGAAACGACGATCATCACTCGGCCTTCTTCAGGTGGGCTAGAAGTCAACTCCGGGTTCCACTGGGCCCAAGCAAAACAACTCCAAACGATTTGGGCGGGCAATCAACAAAGCTCCCTTCTTCCACAGCAACTTGCAACCCCTACTGCAACTGAAGCACCAGGTAGCCTTCACCATACCTCTTGGCTCCGTTCACTTTGCTAATGAGCTGTTCAGAGACGTCAGTACCAACAACTGAGCCCGAGCCCAAGCCCAAGGACACGGAACCACAGATGCTCCGCAACATTTCTGGTCAACCAGACGTCGGCCAAATGTTCAGCAAATTTGCAAATCAAAAGCGGAAGAAAGGATCGGTTGGGAAGCGTCGTGCTCCACAGATACCACCTTCAGTGGCAACACAACCGCTGGTCTCGAATGAGCAATGCGACGATGTGACACCTGTCCTACCCAGTGCCCCGCCCCTGCCAGAGGATCCCGCCACGGAAGAGCAACCTATTCGAGAGCATGAGACCTCGCTCCATCGCATCTCGAGTCGTCTATCCTCCCCAAGAGTGATGAAGAGCCCTGCGAAGAAGCCCCACCCGAGGACTGCACGTTCCAAGGGTCACGAAGTTGAGAGTCGCGAGGAAAGGGACTTCATCCAGGTGATTTCTGGCTACACGTCAGTAACACTCCACAAGGTCGTACAAGAAATTCGACGGCTACAATCCGAGAAAGCAGAGCTTGAGACGCTACACGAACAGTCAATGGCGTCGAAGCAGGTGATCGGGGAACAGCTTCAGGCTGCGGTGAGAGAAAAGAACGAATGCTTGGCTGCGCTCGAGCAGAAGCAGTCGGAGTCGGTCGAGTGCAAGAAACAGCTCACGAACCTGAAGAACTTCGCCACAGGCCTGGGCAATGATTCTGACGACTTACGAGAACGGCATAGCCGTTTCGAGGACAAATTTGCCCAGAAGACCAAAGAAATGGAATCGACACTCGAGAAACTCAACCTACGCTGCGAGGGCCTGCAGGGAACACTCAACGACAAAAAGCGTCTGCTGACCGAAACAGATAATCGTGTGACACAGCTTGAGCAGGCTCTCGCTTCAGCAGACTCCCGCAATACACAAGCGATTCATGAAGGCCGATCCCGCTGCGAGGACTTGGAGCGGCAGGTGAATGACAAGGACACTTTGCTCATCAAAGAACGGGAACAGAGCACTCGTATGGAGCAAGAGCTCGTTTCCCTTCGCTCCTCCAATATCGAAGCATTGCAGAAAGATTTCACTGATCTTCGTGACGAGGTCCAAGCCATCCACTCTGCATGGAAGTCGGCCCAGGCCAGCGGCAGCTCGTCGAGACCTGTCGAAGATGTGCTTGCAGACGTGAAGGCAGCCATGGGTCGCACGCAAGAGGAAATCGAGCAAGCCGCCACAGATCGTGCAAACGTGGTGGCTCTCCAGGAGAGACTTACACTCAGCGACGGGCACGTCAGAGATGCGGACTCCAGAATTCTCGCTGCGCAGGAGAAGGAGCAAGAGCTCCACACGAAGATCGCAACTCTGCAAGCGAGGCTCGACCTACAGGAAAAATCCAACACTGGCCAGGTTGCTGAAGGGCGACTTGATGAAGCTCGCGCCGAACTCGATGCTACCAAGTCTGCGCTGGAGCAGTCTCAGTCTCAGTTGACGAGCGTCAGGAATGAACTCCAGGAACTTACCATCTCGAGATCTACGCTGCAACAACAAGTGCAGACTCTTCAGCGCGATCTGGGAGAAGCGCAAGGCAAAGTCGTTGAGCTTGGAAACAAGCTAGCCCTCGCCGACAAACAGACTGAGGATTACGTGGCGGAGGTTCGAAAGAAGTTGAACGACGATATCAAGATTTACGAGAGTGAGTTGAAGACAAAGGCAGAGAACGAGGTTCGACAGATCAAGAACGAGCGCAACCGATTCTCCAAAGAGGCGAGGTCTTTGCAGCTGCAGCTCAAGGAGATGCAATCACTACAGCAGCAATTTTCCTCCTGCAAGACTCGTTGTGATGAGTTGTCTCAAGAGCGCGACACTGCCGAGAACTCCGCTGCCGAGCTTCGAGAGGAGAATGAGAATGCAAAGCAACAGATCGCCACCCTCGAGGACGATCTCACGACCGCTCACGCCGAGCTCCGGACAGGGCAAGAGGAACACGAGTCGTTTCTTGTCAGAGTGGAGCAAGCCTGGGAGGCAGAGCAAGAAAGGTTTGCACGCGAGAGTGTTCATAGACGTCGGAATCTTCAGGAGGCGATGGAAACGTCGAGTACCTGGTTCGAGCAGGATCGTGCAGCGCAAGCCGAAACGCCCCTGGAACAACAAGGAGACTTCGCCCCTTCGAACACAACCAAGATCGGGCGGCTAGAGGCGCCGAGCCTGGAAGAGCTCCACTCCTCCGGCGGATTGCGCTCGGCCGGTGCATCGGGCAACACAGAGGGACGAAGCCCTTCTGCTATCGAGTACCGGGTGCGCGTGTCGACCGTAGACGACTCTCAGATCACGCTAGGCTCGTTTTTCGCCGCCGCCGAATCCGCACGAAGGACGAGCTCTCACCATACACGCTCGGACAACGCAGAAATGCTGATTGAGGCTGATGATCTGTCTCAGCCATTGTCAGAGACTCTGAGAGATCTGCCAGCCGGCATCACTCCGCAGAGATCAAGGAATTCCAGTCAAGACATCGCTGGACAGCAGCGCCAGGCCACAGGACAGGTGTCGAGGAGCTTGCACTCCTCTTCCCACAGCAGCTCTCCGGCGTTTGTCCACGCCACAAGCGCACGCAAGATGAGTACGTACCACGGCCAGGGCGACTCGGAGCGCCATCGCTCGTCGACAGCCAACGAAGGCCGGAGCCTCGATCCCCGCATCGCCAATCGCAGCACACCCACGAGATCGAAGCGCAAAGCTGATTTCCATGGCGAGAAGGAGAACAAAAGGATCATGAGTAGTAGCCAGACCCTGGGATTTGAGAGCAACAGGACCAGCGGAAACGGCGTTTCAGATGCTTCTTCTCTCGAAGCCCAGCCGAAGGTGCCAGCCACTTCTGCCAAAAAGCCTGGCTCGCGCACGCAGTCCAGCGGCTCAACCAAGCAGTCGCGCGTGCGCAATCTCGCCGGAGGGAATGTCGGAGGCGGTTCCCGAAGAGTGACTCGACGCGCGTCGAGGGGTAAGTTTTTCTATCGTGATTCAGGCTTGCTTTAGCTAACATAGATCAGAAGCTGAGATGGACGCTCTGTTTGCCCATGAGCTCAAAGACAACCGCGGCCGCTAGGTGGACACTCGTGTGACGACTGTGATGGGAAGCATGTTAATTTCATTGACCGAATGTGAGGCTCTAGCATCCTAGCTCTTCGGTTGCTTCGACGTCCACATCTGGCAGCATCGGCTATTCCGGCCAGACGCTCGGGACGTGATTTGCTGTGTTGTGCTTTGCTTGTTCGCTCTAGCTAGGTAGCTCCGCTCCATCAATCCACTTGGTCACATTTCTTTCGCCTTTCGCATCTGTACCTCCAACTTCCTTCTTCAGGACTGCCGCGGCTGGTTCTGCCTCTCGTAACCCATTTTTGTCCGCGTGCTCGATTGCCTCTCGCGCCTCAAGTCTTTACGCAGGCACTGCCGCTTTCCTTGGCTGTAGCAGCGGGAAGTAGAGTCTTGCGCGTGGGGGTGCTACACGGCGTGATTTGATAGGGCCGACAGCAATTGGTTCGTGATATGACTTCCGTGTCTTCACTTTCCGCGCTTTTGCTCAAGGAACAACACCTTTTTCTTGACTGTCGCCGGTGGTCAGTCCATGGTGCTCGTGTTTTGAGACTCCCGCACGTCTGAAGCTTACCAACAGGGTCGTATTTCAGCATGCTCAGTGGGCGGTGTGTTCGGGGGCGGGTGAAGGTTTTGTAGTAGCCGGTCATGGCCATGGAGATGAGGCGCACGGCGATTGTGCGAGATTTGGCTGGGGGCAAGGTCAGGATGTGGGTTGTGGGCGGGCAGGGTCGTTGGGGGATACAGACGTTTCTTGGCCATTGTGGCTGGTTCGATGCCGTGCAATCGGGGCAGGGTTGAAGGCGCTTGGTGGAGGATGAAGTTGAGTGTGGTTGCGGTCTGGTAAAGTCAATCCTCATTGGGCTTGAGCTTGAGCCGCTTATCACGTGCGCCATCCCTTCCGCGGAAGCTTGGGGCCGAGGCTCATCCGCATGTACTTGACCTACCTGCGTGCCGACTCTCCACTCCTCCTCCCTCCATTGTGTCTACTCTTCGTTGAATCCCCCACTCTCCCGATCATCACGACGAGAGCAACGCGTCATCATGGTTGCCGACGCGGTCATCTACCACCCGGCGGTGAGCCACTACCTCAAGTTTGTCGCGACGACCGTGGGCCGCGACAAGACCCTCCGAACCATCCAATACTTCTCGCGCTTCCTCGCGTGGTACACGTTGAGGACGAACCACGCGCAGTCGACGGTCAACGTGTTTGACAATGTCAAGAAGAACTTTGGCAGCGTGCGCAAGGCGATGAGACTGGGCAAGTTTGTGGAGCACTTCAAGGCCGCGGCGCTGGCGGCCGACTCGAGGGACATGGACCCCGTCCTGCGCTTCCTCGCCGTCGGCCGGCAGCTGGGCTACGCCGTCTACCTGTCGCTCGACGCCATCGCCTACTTCGACCAGAGCGGGATCTGGAAGTTGAAGGAGGGAGCGAGGATACAGCGCGAGGCATACCGGGCGTGGCTTGCGGGCCTGCTCTGCAACATTGTCGCGGGCGTCTACACGCTGTACAACCAGAAGGTGCAGATGAAGCAGCACGAGGAGAGCGCGGACGTGGAGAAGGCGGTGGAATTGAAGAAGCTGGTCAGGTATGCAGACACAACGGGCGAGAGGAGAGGTACGGCGTGGAGACTAATACTCGACAGTGCGCAAAACGCAGCGCGGCTGCAGCTTCTCTCGGACGTGTGTGATGCAACGGTGCCGAGCGCCGCGACGGGCTTGGTCAATTTCGACGAGGGCATCGTTGGGCTGGCGGGCACGGTGAGTTCGCTGATCGGCTTGACCGCCCAGTGGGAGAAGACGGCGTGAGAAGGTGGAGAGGGCATGTGTAGGGTGTTGTCACGCTCTCGACGTTTCCTTGGGAGCAGCCGGGGGTTCGAGTATGGATGGAGATCTTTCACGACGGCGAGTAGATGCAGCAAATGGGAATGGGCAGTTAGTCCAACCTTCTCTACCCGAGTCTCGCAAATATCATCACCATAAGGGCCAAGCATGAACCTTGCACCATTGACGACAGCCGCAATCGATGTCGGACCCGAACAGACCAATGGAGGGAAGAGGATGGAGCCTTCGGTTATAGAGCGAGCCCATGTCGGCCGATAGAAGGTGAGGTTTCGGACGATGGGCGAGCAATGCTGCCCGCTCATTCGTCACGCACGTATATCTCGCGCAATCCAGCCCGATGCGGTCCTTGGTCGCTAGCAGTCGATGCCAGCTGTTCCTTGACGTTGCCCGCAATGCCCAGCCCTGAATCGAAGAGTCATAACTCTATCATCGTCTCATCGTGCAGGCTACCAATGTTCGCGCGGCATGCCGGATGAACTTGAAGCCCGACTCCGAGGGGAGGATTAGGCAGAATCAGCGAGCACATACGCACTTGTCGCCTACCGTACTCTTCCCCGCTCACTTCTCGTGCGCCGGAGGAGCGGGAACGGAGGAGAAGTTGCTCCGCAGGCTCCGCTTGATATCTAAGCCTCGTGTCTCGAACCATCCTCACTGCACGCGTTGCTGACACCTTCTCGCTTTCCATTCCTTCCTTTCTAACCTCTCCCAGCCTTTCTTTTCCCCAATGGATCGCGACACAGCCTCCTCCTCTCCAATGGAGCACAAGTCGTCCATGCGCTCTTGCACCACGTGCGCCAAAGCAAAGGCCAAATGCGTGCGGGAAGCCGGCCAGGAAGCCTGCGGAAGGTAGGACATGCGTCTCTCCATTGTAGCACAAGCCCAATGCTGACCTCCATGGTGCCAGATGTGCGAGGCTCGGCAAAGAATGCTATTCCCGCCAGCCCGTTGTGCGGCGCAAGGGCCTTGCAAAGACGTCGCGAGCTGCGCAACTCGAAAATCTCGAACACAAGATCGAGCACCTCGTCAATGCCCTGGCCAACTCGCAGGCACAGAAGGGCTATGTCGATCCTCGTCCCACATCGCCCCCCACTGTACCCCTCCACGACCGCGAGCGCGATCGCATAGGCCAGAACATCGTCAACAGCCTCTGCATCGAGCCCCAACTCCCCGACCCGCCCAACTCGGGCCCCACGCTATCGCCAAACACATCCACCTGCTTCCCATCCACCGCCAGTGAACTGACAACCCCCGCCGCCCTCGTCTCTCCTCTGTTATCTGCAACGGAGACGGAAATGCTGCTGAACCGCTATCGCACGCTAATGGCCGGCAACATGCCCTTCGTTGTCCTGCCTCCGTCAAACGCCGAGCTCGAAAGCAAGCCAGTCTTGCTGCAAGCCGTTTTAACCGTTGCCGTGAGTCCCCTTTATCTCGACTCTGTAAAGCGCAACTCACTGACCCATCCGTTTCCACAGCACTTTCACGATTACCCCAAACAACACGTCCTGGTCAAGCAGCTCATTCGTGACATCTCCGAACGAACCTTGATCAATGGCGAGAAGTCTCTCGACATCGTCCAGGCCATCCTTGTCCTGGTGGCTTGGTTCTATTCGCACATCTGGTCCACCCCACAAATGTCGAATCTCCTTCATCTGGCCCAAGCCATGATCGGTGATCTCAACCTCGACCGTTCCCCTCAGCCCTGCCCGTCCGGCAAGCACGGCGTTGCGAAACCAGGCCATCCTCCACCCCGACTGCATGCCACGCTGGAAGAGCATCGCACTGTGGCGGGTCTGGTCTTCTTCGTCAACATGCTCTTCTCCAACTTCAAGAAGATTACTCCCGTCCGGCGTTTCAAGTATTTCACCGAGATACTCGATGCCCTGCAGCAAGCCCGCGAGTATCCGTCCGATCTGTTGCTCGTCCAACTCGTTCGTCTGCAATTCCTGGCGGACGACTCCTGCTTAGTTGATACACCGAATGCTCCGGTCGACATCTACATGAAGGCCTTCCAAAACGACTTACAGCAGCTGCGCCTGCAATTCGACCCATGCGTCGACCAGACCGACATCTTCCTGCGACTTCAGTACCTATCGGTGGAAATTTGCATTCTCGAAATGTCGCTCAACGACGTGCTCGAGGGCCGCGCGTCCGTGTCGGCACACCTGGACAATTTGTGGCGTTGCTTCGACGCCTGCAAGAAGTCTTTCACCGACGTCTTCTTTACCATCCCCGCCTCCACTTATCTCGCCTTGCCCTTCCACCACTTTGCCGCATTCGCCCACTCCTTTATCGTCCTCATCAAATTGGCTACTCTCGAGGGCTGGAGCACGCCGGAGAAATTGGGACAGATCAGCTACATCATCGAAGAAACCGCGTCCCGATATGAAAGTAGTGCCGCGTGTGGTCCCGAAGGCGTGCCGCTCAACAACGACTCGCTTTCGAGATGGGCCGCTCGTGTCCGAATGATGCGCCAGGTATATGAGGGTGCAGAGGGCCCGGATGCGACGCCGGCGCTGCAACAACCGACGCCTCCCGACGACATTTTTAGCGGCGAGGAAGCCTTCTTCAATTACGACTTTTGGCAGTCCTTTGGTGGGACGGATGGACTCGACTTGGGCTTGTCGGAAATCGCCATGACCTGAGTGGCCAATGGAATGAGAGTGAGCAGAGTTGTACGATAACAATTGGGCGTGCGAGAGGCAGGCTCTACGACCGCCTCGCCTATTGAGTCATGCTAGATCATCTGCTCTGTGGCAACAGGGGAATGTACACAACGACGGCGACTGCAAGGAAGCCGACGACGACATGATGTATGTATGTAATAGATACCTTATAGAAGAGCGCCCTCGGCGCATCCATCCCCACTCTTGGCGGGGACCGACTGTCTGAGCTGTACTTCTTCCTTCACTCAAAGTAGCCCGGGTACAGCCATTGCAGCTTGCGCTTGGCCTCCTCACCACGTCCAGCGGGTGCAGTGACCGCGCCAGCAAATTTCATCTGGCCCTCTAGATGCTTCGCCAGCACGAGCTCGGCATACTCCTCCTTGCTCAGCTCGTCCAGCACCGCAGCAACGAAGCGTTTCGCATTCTCCGCATTCGCCTTCATGTTGCCCATGACCATCTCCACCGTCACGTCGTTGCCGTCCTGATGCCAGCAATCGTAGTCCGTGGACATGCAAATCATCTGATACGCAACCTCCGCTTCTTTGGCCAGCTTCGCCTCCGGCAGTGCAGACATGTTAATCACGCTGCCGCCCCACGAGCGGTACAGATTCGACTCGGCGCGCGTGCTGAACTGCGGGCCCTCCATGCACACCACCACGCCGCGCTCGTGCAAGCGCACGCCGTCGCCCTCGAGCGACTGCCCGCACTTGCGCACCACCTTGGCCACTTCCTCGTCAAAGGGATCCCCGAAGCCCACGTGGCCCACCATGCCGCCCTCGAAGAAGGTGAAGGGGCGCACGCCTTTGGTGCGATCGATGATTTGGTCGGGCACAACGAAATCCCGCGGCTTGATCTCCTCCTGCAAACTGCCTACGGCGCTGAAGGCGATGATGGTCCGCACGCCGAGGCTGCGCAGTGCGGCGATGTTGGCGCGGTTGGGCACTTCGTGCGGCGCGATTTGATGGTGCGTGCCATGGCGGGAGAGGAAAGCTATGGGCGTTGCTTTGCCGGTGGTGGGCGAAGGGTGATGGAGAACGTTGATGGGCGCCGAGGGAGAGCCCCAGGGCGTCTTGACGTCGATGGTGGCGACATGAGTGAATCCTGCGAGTGAGCCGAGCCCTGTACCGCCAATGACTGCGATCCGGATGGGATCTGTGTTTTCGGGAGTTGGTCAATCGTGCAGTACAGAGGCGGCGGGTCGCGCTGTGATGGGGTTGCTTACCGCTATATTGACTTGCAACAGCCATGTTTCCCAATTGCAGTCTCTGCGTTGTCGACTGTGCGTTGGTTGGGTAAATCTTTGCGTTGGTGAAGTCGATAAGGTTCAGGTTGTGAGCCCGAAAAGGCTGCGCGGGTCGCATGAGCCAATCAAACGCGGCTGAAGTCGCTCGTGTAGAAGCTGCTGAGTAATCAAGCAGGCTGGACGCCGTGACATCTCAAGGGTTGAGACGTCTCTTGACTTCCCACCCGACATTCGGAGAGCAGAGGCGTCTCTCAAATGAAAAGTGGCAATAGATGTTTGTCCTCAATGTCTATCGTGAGCTATCTGTTGTCGTTCAACATACACCTGAACCCAATCCTGCCTCACGCCACCCCGTTCACCGCCTGCTGAACCTTGGCTTCCTGTCGAAGCATCCTCTTAGTCAATGAGATCGTCAGAACAGCCATCACGCTCGCCCAGATGAATGGAAGGCCCCATCCTGCTTAGAGTCAGCACGTATCCGAGCAGAGACACGCACTACGAGCGCTCACCTATGGAATACACAATCTCGCGCTTGACCCGTGTGTCCGACAGACCAAATACAAGTCCCCAGATGATGGCAACAATTGCCAGTCCGCTGATGCCCCACAGAAGATCCATGCGTCGAAGGTGCAAGCGAAAAACAGCGCTAGCTTCGTATCGATCGTTCCAAGCCTGACGAAACGCTTGACCACGCTTGCCATCAACGGCCACGATGTCCTCACATATCACGTACGTCCCCGGTCGGACTGCACTGCCTTTCTGAATGGACGAAAAGCGTATTGGAGCCTGCAAGCCCATGGCCATGATAACCTGCACCAACACCAGCTCGAAACACACATAGAGCATGAGCACCGAGGTCGGCAAGCTCACCACGGTCAGGTTCTGCGTCGATATCCCGGCAGAGATGAGAGCGGTCAGCATGAGGAAGCCGAACACAAAGTTCCATCCGAAGAAATCCATGCCCCATCTGCTGGTCTGTGCGAGAGGGCGACACGTAGAATCCCGTCGGATCAACGCCCACGAGCGCGTCAGGAGCGAGTAAAGTGAGACCACGCCCATGAGAGCCAGCCAGGGCGACAAGATGATCCTGAGCTGTAGATCCTCAGAGCCGTACCGAAGAGCGAAGTAGCCAACGATTGGAAGAATGCACGAGGTGAGGATGATGGGAAGCCAATGGAGAGCAATAGATAGCTTGTGCCGGGTGAGATCCAGGGGGATGCGAGGCAGCCCGGAGGCGTTTGTGTCGTGCTGTTCGATGTTCATAGCCAGGTTGCTCACAAAGCAGTCTCAGCTTCGTGGAGGATGTAGATTGAGTGATTGTTCCATATCGTGCGTACGGCCTTCCATCCCCTTTTATAATCACGGATCGTCTCAGCCTTACAGCCGCAATAGAGGCCCATCTGTAGATCAGTGCAATGTTTGGACAGATCTTGTTATTCGAAGAACAGGCTCTTGGGCAGTGTATTGCACGATCCTATCATCTCATGTCCAAAGCCCGTCTTTCGGACGTAAAGGTGAATTCAGGTTTCAGGATACATGATGATGCATATCGCTCGTCCGCGCTAGGCCGAATGAGGACATGTACTGCGAGAGTAGGTGCAGCCTCGTAGCTAAGCCCTCGGGAGTCTGCGAAGACTGCACCGCAGATGCATTTCCTGCGCAGAAGGGTCACAGCCTGTTAGGTCTTGTAGAAGCAAAACGCCAGGTAGAGTGACGACGCTTCCATCTCCTCCTCGCCCACCAGTAAGCCGCCCCTGCCCTCCGACCGATCACGAGACATCACTCCCATCCTCTCTGCCAGCATACCCAGTTCTCGGTCGCCGCTTTCGTCTTCGAACACTTCTCGGAAGCCCTTCTTGTACATCAACTCCAATCCGTACTCCTCGGCCAACGCTCGGAAGCCCTCCCACGGTACTACAAACTCGGGCACATCCACAGCTTCTTCGAGCTGATAGTGATAACGCCAGCCATACGGTGGCCGGAAGATTCCATCCTTTGGGAGAGGAAGATTATTCGCGAGAGGCTGGTTGCGAGGGAACCGAACTGTATAGATGCGGTTGCCCCATTCCAAGGGTGGTAGATCGGTTTTGGAGGCAGTCCCGGAAGATGTGGTTCCGTTTTGTTGAGGAGATGTATTTGCATCCGTATGCTGAAGTGTTGCTGCAGCTTCTGAAGGTTTCTCGGGATCCCAATCGTCCTCGCCATCATCTGCATCCGGTCCCACTCCGTTCGTGGTACTGGCTGCGGGCTCGCTTGGTTTCTCGGGATCCCAATCATCCTCTCCATCGTCAGAAGGGCGTATGGTAGCATCATTTGGCTCGGCTGGCTTTTCTGGATCCCACTCGTCGTCCTCTTCCACCTCTCCTTCTTCCTGGCCGTCCTTGAGGGGTTTGGCCCTCTCATTCGGTGTCTGCCCCGTGCTCTCCGCCTGCAACAACCTCTTCACGCTTGCTGAAATGATGTCGGAGTTGGGCATCACTCCAAAGAATCTTCCACCTTTCTTCAACGCTCCAGCTACATTCTTCAGCATTCCTCTTGCCAGAGGCTCGCTTTCGTACGAGTAGTGCAGCGCAAACATCATGCTCACCACGTCAAACCCTCCCGTCATCATGCCTCCCTGGATGACTCCAGATCCTGGCCCTGCATGGGGATTGAAGCCCACTTCTCGTACGCGTGGAACGTCGGAGAGCGGCTTCCCAAACGCATCGTGCACGTAGAACTCGGCATGCATGTCCAAAGGTCGTCGATTCCTGCCGCGACTCCGCCGTAATGTCTCCTCCCAACGTTGTTTGGCTTGGTCGACGGAGACCGCGGCAATGTCGCAACCAACGTATAAGGCCGGAACTTGGGGCGCCTTCTCCCACTTCCCCAAATCGCCTCCCTTCCCGCACGCCATGTCCAGCACACAGAGCTGCTGTACGGGTATGTCCGGCCGGCTGAACTTTTGTATCAACGTGCTCTTGATCCAGTTATTCAAGCTACGCAATCCCTTGATTTGGGAGTCTGTTTTTCTCCACTCTCTGCCTCGTTCCGGAACTGCGTTGTAGTGGGAAGCCACCAGTTCAACCCCACCAGTCTGTCGTTCATTCACAGCGCTCCGTTGCTCTTCCTCTCTGCGTTTCCTTGCTGCTTCGGCCGCCGCTCGATCTGCTAATCCAATCCTCGCCCCGGCTCCAGGACGCTTGAGTTTGCGAGGCGGCGAGCGAGATTCTTCGTCTTCGTCATCGGAAATCGGACGTGGCGCGCGCTCCCGTGGTGGGGAACGGCGAGCGTATGCATTAGGAGTGCTATTCCGACTAGAATGGTTCGACACGCGGGCTCTCTTTCGCGCGGGCTGGCGTGCTTCGGTGATGTTGGAAGGTCTCGTGCTTTCCGCTGAGCCCGACATCCTGAAGTCTGCCGGTGGATGAAATTGTTGTTCCACGACGGATACCAGGATTAGTGACCTTCACTTGTGTGAAGTAATGAGGAGAGGACTGAGAAATGTCGATTACTAAATGTTTGAAAGTGAACGCAGCCGTGACTGCACCAAGCGGGTGCACAGGGCATACACACAAAGCCGTATGCGGTTAGCTCCGGAAACACCCGGAGCTAGCATCGCAGGCAGTTCTGTGAGCGCGGCTCTACAATTCATACCTGACATGAACGCCATTTGCTACGAGATCCGTCGTCGTTCCGTTTGCTCTTCCATCTCCGCCCCATCAGCCGTACATCATGGGTGAACCCCAGTACCTGAACTACCCTCCTCTGCCTCTGGCGCAAAGCGTCTTCACCCTCGTCTCCCCCTACGCCTCCGCCGAATCCAAACAAACCTCTCTCACCACTCTTCAAGATGGCATCCGTGAGCACAAGATGGCGCCTCTATACGCCTACCTCGCACACCCCCAGACCGGAAAGCTCAATCCGAGCGGAGAGGGGACGGCGTCGGCGGTGCTGTCTCCCGTCTTGAGCAGACAGAGCACCACCAACGCCCTGGGTACGCGCCCTTCACCGGAGCTCCTGCTGAGGAGAACGAGCAGTATCAATGCTCCTTCGATCGTTGGCGTTCTGGGTGGGAAGACGGATTCGAGCGTGGGGCTTCCGTGGGATGAGAAGCTGTATGAAGAGTTGAAGGCGGACAACGAAAAGGAGCTGGAGGCAATTCAGAAAGAGGAGGATCAGGCGGTGGAGATTGAAGGAGAGACCGAGATTCAGAATGCGCAAGGCAAGCGTGCGGAGCTGTACGCCCGGATCGGCGACAAAGACAAGGCGTTGGAGGAGTTTGAGAAGCTGTTCGACAAGACGAGCATTCTCGGCAGCAAGATCGACATCGTCTTGGCCATCATCCGCATTGCTCTCTTCTTCGACGACAAGCTACTGGTCAAGAAGAATGTGGATCGGGCATCGATGCTGGTGGAGAGTGGCGGCGATTGGGACCGTCGGAACAGACTGAAAGCTTACCAGGGCATTCATCTCCTCACCATCCGCGCCCACAATCTCGCCGCCCCGCTGCTACTCGATTCGCTGTCCACCTTCACCTCCACCGAACTTTGCCCGTACTCCTCTCTCGTTGTCTACGCCACCCTCGCCGGCTCCGTCAGCTTACGACGAGGAGATTTCAAGAGCAAGGTTGTGGACGCTCCCGAAATCCGCGCAGTCTTCGGCTCAGAGGCAGGTTCTGACCGGCTGGCTGCTCTCAGTGGAGGCGCATCGTCCGGCGCAGGCGCAGCCGACGTAAATGATCAGGAGATGGCCGACTCCACCGCCACTCCAAAACCCACGGCCGTCAATCTGACCACTCTCGCGTCTGGCTCTGCAGACGCCGAAGCTCAAGCGAAAGCAGAGCCGCAAATCGACTTCCGTCCGTTGGCCGCCATGATTCAAAGCCTTTACACCGGCACCTACAGCACATTCTTCACCGCCCTCGCCAAAGTGGAAACGGACTTCCTCGCTGCAGACCGCTATCTGTTCGAGCATAAGAACTGGTTTGTGCGGGAAATGCGGCTGCGCGCCTATTCCCAACTCCTCCAATCCTACAAGATCGTCTCGCTCTCGTCCATGGCCGACAGCTTCGGCGTGTCTGTGGACTGGTTGGACAAGGATCTCGCGCCTTTCATCGCGGGCAAGAGATTGGCATGCTCCATCGATCGGGTGCGGGGCGTGATCGAGACGCAGAGAAGTGATGGAAAGGAGAGGCAGTATGCGGATGTGGTGCAGAAGGGTGACCAGCTCATTACGAAGCTGCAGAAGTACGGACAGGTGGTCAGGTTGAGAGGTAGCGAGAGGGGGTGAGGGCGACTGAGAAAGTCGGCCAATTGTGTGCTTCATCAGGCTGTGTCACCGAGCGAGGGGTATGGTGGATATCACGATGCAGAAACGCATAGCGTGGCAGTGCTAGAAACATCAGAGCAACCTGTAAAACTAAGCATCTCCCGCTGTCGGCCTCTGGCACAAGCTGCACATGCTCGATCAGCCGAACATGTCCTCTCACGTGTAGACTCACGACATTCAAGCCTAAAATCAATCGACATCGCTCCACAGGTTGACCGCTACTCGCAAGAGCGGGAGACGCGGACTTCCGAGGCGGCGCATGTGGATGGCTCTGCACTCAAAGTGAATGCCGCTTGAATGCTAAGATGGGTGCTCGAAGCAATTCATTCGGTCGTCAAGAGTTCATTGATCAATAGTCGGCGCTCGGCGGGACCCGCATAAGAAATAAAGGTGCTGTATAGCCGAGCCGCAACAGCCGCCGCCTTCTGGCCGACTTTAACATGACGTCGGGGGATGATTGAGCACGACACCCTATCCTACTCGACAAAGATGAAGCGCTGATTGCGCGCAATAACCCTGTGTTTCTTACTGCTGTAGAGACATGTCCAATTCGGCTTCTCCCTGCAGTGCCTCCGAAAAAGACGAAGCTGCGGAGCAGGCTAGCGGCGTCGAGCAGATCGAATATGGCGAGAAGAAGGGCTGGAACGGGCGAGACGACAAACAGATCCTCGACAATGACTACCTACGACCACTTTCACAGACTCGAAGTCGTTCGTCGGCCCGGTCGCACACGGACGGCTATTCGCACCTGAGGCACAATGACGACGAAGAGAAGCAGCAATCGCCGCGAGAGCGGATTCCCGTCGGGGTTGGCGCAGAGGAGGGCAAGGAGTTCGAAGTGCAATTCGACGGCGACTCGGATCCCTGGAACCCCAAGACGAAGTACTCCACCCTACGCAAGTGGACCATCGTTCTGATAGGATCCGGTTGCTCGCTCTGTGTCACGTGCGCCAGCGCGCTGTACACATCGACGTACCTGCAGCTGGAGAAGGACTTTCACGTCAGTCGAGAGGTGGCCACATTAGGTCTTACAACCTATGTATGTGGGCTAGGTCTTGGGCCTATGTTTCTATCGCCTCTCTCGGAATTCTTTGGACGAAGAGCGATTTATCTGTCCGCCTTTGGGATGTTTTTCATATGGTAAGTTGGTCCATCTCCGGGGAAGTAGTGATGTACGACTCACCCATGCATTTTTTGACAGGCTGATCCCGTGTGCCGTGGCTCAAAACATCCAGACGATGCTCATCGTTCGCTTTTTCGACGGCTTGGCTGGGAGTGCGTTCTTGTCTGTGGCCGGAGGCACAGTTGGCGATGTCTTCCACAAAGAGAAGCTAAGCACACCAATGTAAGCGGTTCCATCCTCATCCAATTGATGGAGGCATCTCTTTTCAACAGTTCTGATCTATTCGGGCATAGGATGGTCTACACGGCATCACCTTTCCTGGGTCCCGAGCTCGCACCGGTGATCGGTGGTTTCATTAATTCGTATACAAATTGGCGATGGTCCTTTTGGGGTGAGTGTTCAGCCGCTCTTGCCCTGCGAGCCCCTGGGAGGTCATACTGACGCGCGATGGATCGGCCCAGTACTTCTCATTTGGGCTGGCGTCTATTGGATCATGATCTTTGCCTTCATTCCAGAGACCTACGCGCCGGTCCTGCTGAGAAGAAAAGCCATTCAGCTACGCAAGGAGACCGGCGATGAGAGATACAGGGCGCCGATTGAGATCATGGATCGCTCAGTCAGCAAGACCGTTCTTTGGAGCTGCATCCGCCCCTTTCAGCTTTTATTCCTGGAGCCCATGTGTCTGAACCTCGTATGTTCGTGACAGCCCAGGGCTAAAGACCTGTTCGCTAACCCGAATATCAGTGTCTGCTATCAGCCATTCTCCTCGGCATCTTGTACCTGTTCTTCGGCGTAAGTAACATGCCTTGAATTGACGTTGCAAAGAGAACACGCTGACGCTCGCCAACTCCAGGCTTTCGCTGTTGTGTAAGTGAATGCGTACAATGGGCGTCTGGAGCTCGGTCCATTGACTTTGAGAGACAGTTTCGAGACGAACCATGACTTCAACGAGTGGCAAGTGGGGCTAACCTTCATTGGCATCATGGTCGGTATGATCTTGGCAGTGCTTTGTGACCCTCTCTGGAGGAAGAGTTGTAAGGCGATGCATTGACCTGGCGGGCGATTCTGGGTGCTGACTACCTCCTAGACGAAAAGCTTGTGGCCAACAACGGGGGTGTCAGCGAGCCCGAGTTCCGATTGCCGCGAACCATTGTGTAGGTCCTGCACCTCCCCTTTATGCGTGCGCAGCGCCGTTCGCGCACACTCAGGACAGCTGACTCATATGGGTAGGGGCGCGATAATTGTCCCCATCGGTCTTTTTGGTAGGTTTAACACGGACACATCGTAGTGGCGATCTTTGCGCTGATGCATGATGCGTTTCAGGCTTTGGGTGGACGACATACCGTTGGATACACTGGATCGGTGAGCAGGCCGGATCAGGGATGGCCGGTGATGGAGGGCTGTCGTGCTGACGGCATTCTAGTCCCAATCGTCTTCAGCGGCTTCTTCGGGTTTGGCATTATTCTCTGCTACGGCGGCATCTTCACATTCCTGGTGGAGTGCTACCCACTTTACGCCGCAAGTGCGCTTGCTGCCAACAGTTTTATGAGGTCCTCATTTGCAGCGGGTTGGCCGTAAGCAAACCCCAGCCGGATCTCAACCCATGCGACCAAGCGTGCTAACTTGGGGAACAGGTTGTTTGGCGTGCAGATGTACGACGGTGAGTGAAGGAGCAATAAAGCCGTTCCGCATGCGCCACTGACGATTGCACTAGACCTCGGATTTCAATGGGCCTCGTCGCTTCTAGCATTTCTCGCGCTGGCCATGACCCCTTTCCGTAAGTCTCGTGTGTGGCGTGCAGGGGGGAGGCGAAGCGTTTGCTGACGATGCTATCCTTAGCGTTCCTGTTCTTCAAATACGGCAAGAGACTGAGGGGCTCGTCTCGCTTTGCGCAGCCATCCTAGCTCGCTGGAGAATGCTAGCTGCGGTGCTACGAGGACGAGTCTGGCTCTGGGTGGTGATACTGCGTGCCAACATTCCCATAGTCGCGTGCTCGTGCAACACTCCCTGTGCGTTGTGATCCAGTGAAGCTCATCATGGCCGATGAGTCAGTTGAGATGGAGCTCTTGCGCCAGCGCACAGCGTGTGGTAGCGTGGTGCGTGTTGGGATCGTCATGTGCTCCCAAGACAGCAACAGGATTGGGGCAAGGAGAGGACGAGGTGCAGGGGGGAGGAAAGGCTGAGGTGAAGCGGCTGGCCGCTCGCTCGCTCGGGCCGTCATCCCGCTTAACTTAGTTAATGCGCCACACCCACCCGCCCGCCCGCTCGGTTTGGGGACGGGAACCACGATTCAATGTCTCTCCGCCAGACCCAGCTTGTCAACGTGGTTGTTCCTCAAATGTGAACCTGCTCTCGTCACCCCCGCGCAACCCGTGTCTCGCGCCCATCGCTCCAGCCAAACCCGCTGCGTCACGTCAGCCTCACCATCACACTCCCCCCGGCCCAGCTTCGTCCCTCGTTGCCTCGCGCCCCGCCCATCCACCCTCCAAGCTCCGCCAACGCGATGCGGTCGAGTGTGTCACAACACTAGTGAATCCGCGCGCGCGGTGAAAGAGCATGAACTCGGCCCCCTGTCCCATCCACTCCCTCGGGCCTGCATTCATCCCAACCGCCAGTTTGGCATTGGTCCCAGCTCGACGGTCGGTGGGGCGTCTCGTGCTGTTGCACTCTCTGCCCACCAACAATCTCCCTCCTCGGCCCCCCCGGGCCTGAAGTGTTGCACTGCTTCGGCGTGCCACAGCCTATCGCATTCCCCTCGGCCCCTGTGATCCAATTTGCGACACGCCCTGTTTGGTAGGCGGTGCTGCTGGAGAACGTGGGGCGGCAGCGTGCTCGGTGTAAGCTGCCTGGGCGTCCTGTGCGCAACCTCGACACACTTAAGATGCCGCCCGACGCTCACTATGCCGCCGATTCTTCGGACTCCGACAGCGACGACGAGTCAGGCACCATGGCCGAGGACAAAGCTGATCGCGCCTCCACCGACGACCAGTCCCCTACCCAAGCCGGCGGAGCTGCCAAACCTCACAAACCCTCCACCAAGGCCAACGCCAAAGATGCCAATCGACCGAAGAGGAAGAAGGCGAGGCGGGCATGCTATGCGTGTCAGCGCGCGCATCTGACTTGTGGTATGCCATGCCCGGACTCGCTCCGGTTTGCGCTAACTGACTTCTGTCCCAGGTGACGAGCGACCGTGCAACAGATGCATCAAACGTGGCCTCCAGGACCAGTGTCAGGACGGCGTACGAAAGAAGGCCAAGTACCTCCACGATGCTCCCGCCGAAGCTCTCATGCCCAACTTTTCCGGGAACTACCGACACAATGGCTCTCAACCGGGCCCGACCGCCTCTCGCACTCGTCAGATCTCTTCGCACGGCGCCCCGGCCACTCAGTCCACGCCGTTTGTCGGCCAAAATTCAACGGACATGTACTCGCAGTACGGCTCAGTGCCGCGCCAGGGTCACATAGCTCGTCCAGGCATCGATAATGTCAACTCCATCGGGGATTACACCAACCACCAGCCCGTGCAGACCGCCTCTCAGATGTTCACCAACGCTTCGCAGCAAGTGTCTCCTGAGCAAGGCATGCCTACCACTGTAGATCCACCATCGACCCTGGCGAACCCCGGGAATGCCATGTTCGAGTCTGGCTTCGTCGACCATCATGACCCTTCGTTGTACGATGTCAACATCTCGGAGCTCAACTACGACAATCGTTATGGTGCACTCGAGTTTAACATGATTGGGCATTTGTTGTCTGGCGCGGCCAATACGCCGGACTTGGAAGGATTGCCCTCAATGGGGCAGGCTGCTCAGGCCAACATGAATTTTGATGGCGCCGGTGGCTTCAACTCCGGCTTCGGCTATCCCTTCCAGCCGTGGCAGAGCATCCCAAACCCCGTGTCGAGGCACGGCAGCTCAACACAGCTTTGGAGTCTCAATAATGAGAACATCGACGCATTCGCAGTGGGCGAGACGACGGGTTCTGTTGCCGGAGCCAGTGAAGCCTCTGGCGGGCAGGACTTCTCGGCGGGCTATTCATCAACCATGGTGTCTCCTGAAGTCACTCTCTCGGTTCCAGAGAAGGCGCAGCCACTGGATACGCTACAGCCGTTGGCTCTGCAAAGTCAAAAGGCGAAGCGCAAGCGTGGGCCCCTACCCAACGAGGTGGTCCAAGCCGGTGCGAACAAACGGCGCCGCAACACCTCAGACGTTTACTCGTCCGTCAAGCACCCATACCCGTATACACAGGGCTTCCACAACTTCATCGCATTTCTCCACGGCCGCTTTCCCCCCTCCCAAGTCTTGCGCATTGCCAAAGCGCTCGCCTCGTTCCGCCCCTCTTTCATTTCCTGCAACAAGAACCTGAACACCGACGACTTGGTCTTCATGGAAAAGTGCTTTCAGCGCACGCTGTACGAGTATGAGGACTTTGTGAACCATTATGGCACCCCGACAATCATCTGTCGACGTACCAGCGAGGTCGCAGCTGTGAGCAAGGAGTTCAGCCTTGTCACCGGATGGCGACGCGATGTCCTGTTGGGGAAGGAGCCGAATCTCAACGTCAATACGGGATCAAGCGGCTCGGGTACGGAGACGGGGGCTAGCACCAAAGGCACGGCGACACCACGAGTGTCGAACATCGAGATCGACCCCGGCCGTCCGCAGCCCGTCTTCCTTGCGGAACTCATGGACCAAGACAGCGTGGTGCAATTCTATGAAGACTTTGCCGAGCTGGCGTTTGGCGCGTCCCGATCTTCCATCATTGGTGCGCGATGCACACTTCTGAAGTACAAGACCAAGGACGATCCGGGCTGGGGGCCGGGAGATCGTAACGGCGGGGCACGCAACGGGAAGAAGGCCAACGAGACGAAGACGCAATCGCTCATGAAGGGCGAAGCCGGCGCCAACACGCTGGGCGACCAAGATGGCAAGGTGGATGCTGTTCTCTGCTGGACGGTCAAGCGAGATGTGTTTGATATACCCATGATGATCGTCATCAACGTAAGTCAGCCCTTCTTTCGTGCAGCGACGTTTAGGGTGTGTTGGCTGATTGATTTAGTTTCTGCCCGTGATTTGATTTCGGGAAACCACATCGGCGTTTTGGGGACGAAAAGGGCATTCTCGATATGGCAAACAGGTTCTATGCGGACGGTGGGCAAAACGTGTATCTAAGTAGTAGTGAGGGCTGGAACATGGGCGTAATACTTGACTCGGCGTGGCTACTTTTGGCGCGCCACTGTAGACTTGATGCTCCCATCTCTCGTTCTCCGTGTTGTGTTTCACGCAGAACCCGAAAAAGGCGGTTGTTATCGATGGATTACCCGTGGATGGGCACGCCATTCGGTGACAAACCTTAAGCAATTCTGGCGCCCGCGGCTCAGCCGCATGCTCCATATCTACATCGCCCTTCTATACGCCTAGCAATCGAATCGTCATTTGAAGCCACCACAGCTGGGCCGGCCATCCTTTCCCATCAGAATGCCGCAAGACGGATCTCGCGACCCCATCGCCGGGCCAGACAGCGGTCCTGCGCCGCCATTCCCGCTGAGACTCAATGGAAAGGTGATTAAAGGCTTCGGACGAGGGAGCAGCGAGGTGAGTGACGGTGCATTGCATCACCTTCAATCTTGTCACTCGGACAGTTGTACAGAGAAGCGTATTGGAAACCTGCTGTCAGCCCACGTGTTCTCGCCGGGTGCACACACAAGACTATGTGTTTGCTTGGGTACATGCAGGGTGACACGATGCAGTGCAACGGACTGGATTGCACCAAACGACTGCGCACTTCTAGTCGCTTGTGTCCCTGCCAGCCATTCGTTACCCGTGCCGACTGTCACCTGTCACGCGTGCTTTTCCCTCTCAGTGTATTGGAAGGACACTGGCTAATCACACCAATCCACCGCACAGCTCGGAATACCCACGGCAAACATCCCGATCGATGGCCTGAGCGTTGGAGGCAACAAAGACCTGGAGTCCGGCATTTACTTTGGCTGGGCTGGCCTGTCCACCTCTGATGCCACCAACGCGCACCCTCCTGGAACGAAAGGGAAATACGAGTTGATGAAGGCCGACATCTACGATGACTTGACGGCCAAGATGCAGCAGCACGCAGCGCCGGACACCTCGTCCAGCCACGGCGCCGTGTATCCCATGGTGATGAGCGTTGGCTTCAACCCCTACTACAACAACACGGTGCGAAGTGTCGAGGTGCACATCATGCACGACTTCCAGGTCAACTTCTACGAAACGCACATGAATCTCATTGTCCTCGGCTTCATCCGCGGAGAGGCCGACTATACCACCAAGGAGGCTCTGATCGATGACATCAAGACGGACATCGACGTCTCCGGAAGGAGCCTAGGGAGGAGAGAGTACCTGAGTTTCGCCAAAGACCCCTACTTGACGGAGTTTAGCGGTAGGAGTGAGATAGCTAGCTGACGGTCTTGATGGAGCTTGGTAGAAGCCACGATACAATCAATACATAGTTTAGAGGTTACAAGTGAGCTGCGTAATGCGTCGTCCAAGAGCGCCAGCAGAGGTAGAGCGCTCAAGCACCACCCTCGCGCTTCGCATATTCCTCCTCAATCCGTTCCTCGTACTCCCGATCGCGACGTGCCTGTTCTTCGTCGACATCCTCGATGCGGCGGCTGGCCGTGGCCCCTTGCGGACCGCCGAGCTGCTCTCGGCCCTGCGAGTCAAAATGCCGCTGCTCTCGAATGACCGGTTCGCCCAGGTTCTGGCTGGCAGTCGACACGGTGGTGCCCGACGGATCGGTGTGGCTGGTCTGGGCGTGGCGAGAGCCGGACACCTGTTCGCCGTTGACGTTGCTGCTCGATGAATACGACACCGAGGAGTACGATGAATAGCTGGACGAGTTTTGGTTCGACATGTTGATGTGTTGCAGGAATTGAGGCGTTTGAATCTGGTGGTCGCAGAGACTGTTGATGGAAAGTCAGAGCCGGGTGGTCAAGAGTGTGATAGCAAGGAAGCGTGTGCCCCACAATTGGCCAAATTGGGAAGGTATGGCGTCAGCGGGGGATCAGCCAGTGGCAGTGCCACCTGTCGATCCCCGAAACATCCATGCCACGCCTGACGAGGCTCGATGCGTGTCCGTCTTGAGGCTGGAGAGGTCGGGGAGTTCACGGAGCTTGTTCGCGGTAGACCTTCGGGCCAGGTTCCCTTCCCATCGATGCTTCGGGCCACCGCGGCCGTTTCCCATTCACATTCACCCCGTCTTCTGGCGGTGGGGGGTGGGGGGAGTCGCTGGTTCTAGGAGTCCTTGCAAGATGATACGAGCTGGCGGCTCCTCCGCTCTGCGGCGCTCGGCTGCGCTCTGCGTCAAGCTCTTCGAGCTCTGCCCTCTTATCGTATTGACGTACGCTTCGCTCTTCGTTCGACGGACTTTGATAGGATGACTCTTCGTTGCGAGGCATGGGGCCGCCCACCCCGATCAGACTGCCGTTGAGCACAATGTCCCCCTTGAGCTGGTTCCGCGATGTATCCACGTGCATAGGAGGGAAGGTGGGGGGTCGCGGAGGGCGCATGGTCTGCTTGACCTGCCCCTTCCATTTGTTGAGCAGCGCCTCGGCATCGTAATTGACGTCCCTGGCACCGCTCTTGAGATCTGTAGTCTTCAAGCCGTCCATAACCCCGGGCGACACCGAGATGGTGTTTGGTGGATGCAGCAAGTAATCCCTTGGAAGCTGACAGCGTGACAAGCGATCGTACTCCGCCTCGAGGTGTGCAATACGCTGGTGTGCCGTGTCCAGCTCCGCCGATAGACGCGTTGTCTTCTCGCCTTCCTTTGCAAAAGCCCGGCATACCTCCAGATTCCAGGCCGCGGCCTGCTCGCTGCTCGGCAAGCCGCGCCAATGCTCCCACGCGCTCTCAAGATGGACGCGCATCTTGAAAGCTTCGGAATCCGGCAGGCTACTTGGGTCTGCTTCGCGGATCGATGCAAGCCTTTTGTGAAGAGCGGACTGCAGAGCGGCCATCTGCCTCTCCCCCGGCGGCGCAACCGCCCAGGTATGTGCGAGGGGAAACGGTGTGCTGCTGAACAGCGTGGGTGGAGGCGGTAACATGGCGAGACATAGCCCCGGGAAGGCGAGAGAATAGAAATCAAAGTCATCGAAGGGGGTATGTGAAGCGATGCGCTTCCTCGCGGCCTCCAAACTTCCCATGACCTCTCTCAACGCCATCTCCGCTGCGCGCCCAACTTCTGCCGCTTCATGAAGCTTTCCAATGTCTTCTGGATCGTACCCAGGCCGATGCGCAGTATCTACATGGTTCTCCATGCTCGCATCCTGAATGCGCCGTATCGAAGGCAGCGGGGCTCGCACGGAGGTCCGCGAGGGCACTCGAGGCGGCAGATTGTTGATCACGCCAGTCGCTTGCCAATTGGTAGCGTGCCAGGATGTGGGTGGGAGCGGGGTTCTGGCATCGGACAGCGCGGGGGAATGGACGCTTCTTGCAGGTTCCGCATGCCTCTTCTCACCACTCGCCGTGCCAGGACTGTCTTGCCGCTCCACCTCCTCTTTCAACGCGGCCGTCTTCGCGCTCGTACGAGGTTGTCTTCGGGTGATGCGCCCTCGGATCCTCCGAATCTCGTCGACATCGTGCACGCCGTCGGGGGGCTTGGGGTTGCGGGGTTTGATGTAGAGATCCAGATGGCGTCCGAGGCTGGAGGATGTAAAGGCCTGGGCGCAGAAGGGGCAGGCGCGGTCCTTGGAGACCTTTGCTCCACTCGCGTCTACAGCATTCGAGTCGGGAGTTGACGAGCGACTTGCGCCCTTGCGATCCTCGTCCTCTGACTCCATTGTGCGAGGGGTGTACTGGCTCGGAGGCGTTGCTCGTTGGCAGTTCGGGTAGACATGCCATTGCTGCGGGCCGTCTCCGCTCGCGTCTAACTTTAACTTGGTTTAAACTTTCGTGCCTCAGGTACATTCGGGTTGCCTGAGGTGCTTTGGGTGCATGTACCTGCCCACCTACCCACAGTCACTGTGCCTACAACAGTACGATCTGCGCATACGACCCGAGCCCGGCCGGCAGAGCGATGGCGGAACAGCAAAACCGAGTGGCGCCTCCTTTCCCGACACCTCCTCCCTTCTACACCCACTTCACCAAGCAGAACATCTCCCAGCTTCAGCAGCTTCGCAAGGAAGCGAGTGACCATGGACCCAAGGCCGCGCTCGACCTCTTATCGCTCCCCCCCGAACTCCGCTACCTTGTCCCTCCTGCCCCTCCGGCCGAAGACCATTATCGAACCTTTGGCGCCGCGATCAACCTCCATGCCCCCGATGCTTCGCTCGGCGATGCCAATATCGAACAGCTCTATCCCGCCGACCCTGCGGCGACATTACATCCGCAGCCCCACCTTATCGCCCTTTCCCGCAGTCTCCTGACCACATTCTTGAGCCTCGTGGGCATCATGAGCCATGATCCGACCGGATTCTACGAAGAGCGGGTGCAGAGCTTGCAAACAATCATGTTCAACATTCACGACCTCATCAATCGATATCGCCCACACCAGGCAAGGGAAAGTCTGGCGTTGATGATGGAGGACAGACTCGTGAGCATGAAAGACGAGATACGTCGGATAGAGGATGCGAAGGCTGGCGTTGAACAGATTATGGCGGGGCTCATCCAGGCTGGGGAATCACAGAATGCAGAACGGCAGGGAGAAGACGGTGGACCAGTTGGTGTTGATGCTGGAGGGCCGCTTCGAAAGGTGAGCGACAAAGGGGCAATGGAGAAGCAAAGGTCTGCCTGGGCGGCGATCGAGAGCGAGACGGCAGGTTCATGGTAGAGTGTCCAGGCTACAATACCATTCTCATAGCTGCCTTTCCTTCCGTTTTGAGCGTATGAATGAGGTCAAGCAAGCGAGCATTCGTCGGGCCTTCTGCATCCCGACATCGCAGGCCACCAAGGTCATCCAATCTAGCCACTTCGCCTCACAGTTCCTCCTGCCCCCTCGAACTTCCCCCCATGCCCAACGCAGCCTTTACCATGCCCAAAGCCGGACCTTGGCCTCATGGTCAGCCTGCGATGACTCCCACCCGGGCTGCTACACAGGCGGCGGACCTTGAGGAGGGTACATGTGGCCGTCCTTTTCGACCTTGGGCTCACAAGAGCAGCGTTGATTCTCAGGAATCGAGTCCATCACGCTTGGCACATGCTGCCCGCATCCCCACCACGTCGACTTGTCTGAGCGGACTGTCAGTCTGTGGCGGGAGTGATTCGGAGTGGAGGATGCGGTCAGGCAACCAACATACTGCAAGTCCCGCATGTTGATTTGCGGCACATTTTCAATCCGTTCTACTGGCTTTGCTGTCTTTGGAGGTGGAAATGCCTTTGGATGGTGTAGTTTCGTGTGTGTTCAATGTACGTTCCCGAGTGGTAGATGGGCCAACTTGCACTCGTTCTCCCATTCTCTGTCGGGTAGCCGAAAGGTTGTGGCTGAGGGTGTGGCGCATCTCCAACCCGGCAGACCTCCTCTCCATCAGCGCGGAAAGGCCGGCGGTAACCGCGGGGCCGCATTGAAAGACATCTCGCACGCCGCCTCGCAATTTTCCACCGTGACACCGTTCATCTTCCTCGAGCGTGTGACACAGCATCGCACGCTGTCCATTTGGCCATGTTTCGGCCAGCATTAACGCGCCATCACGGCGCCTCTCAGGCGCTCCACGCGGTGCGGAGGGGCTACGCATCCCATGGTGCCGCGTCCAAGGCCCGATTGAATGTCCCGACCGACTATGCCAAAACCCCGCTGCTTCACCACTCCTCCAAGTCCGTGCTGGGCATGCAGGGGCTCTCGGACGAGGCGCGCAATGGCACCACCTCCCGCATCAACCTCTACCAGGCCATCAATGCCGCCATGGCCCACGCCCTTCGCACCGACCAGCGAGTCCTGGTCTTCGGCGAGGACGTGGCGTTTGGCGGCGTGTTTCGCGCTTCCATGGGCCTCCAGACCGAGTTTGGCGACGACCGCGTCTTCAACACGCCGCTGAGCGAGCAGGGCCTCGTGGGCTTTGCCATTGGCGCAGCGTTGGAGGGCATGCGGCCCATCGCAGAGGTGCAATTTGCCGATTACGTCTTTCCCGCATACGATCAGATTGTGAACGAAGCGGCCAAGATTCGCTACCGGTACGGTGCCAACGCCGACGTCTACAATGCTGGTGGCCTAGTGCTCCGAATGCCGGCCGGCGGTGTGGGACACGGCGCCCTCTACCATACGCAGTCCCCGGAGTCTCTCTTCACCCACGTGCCTGGCATGCGGGTCATTGTCCCTCGCTCGCCCTCCCAAGCAAAAGGCCTTTTACTCGCTTCCGTGCAAAGCCCCGATCCCGTCATTTTCCTCGAGCCCAAGATTCTCTATCGCGCGGCCGTGGAATACGTCCCCTCCGAGGCTTACACCCTGCCACTGGACAAGGCAGAAGTGTTGAAGGAGGGCAACGACGTCACCATCATCTCCTACGGCACTCCACTCTACACCTGTCAAAATGCTCTGACCGCGGCGGAGAAGGACTTTGGATGCTCCATCGAGCTCATTGATCTCCGTGCAATCTACCCATGGGACAGACCGGCCATCGTAAAGTCGGTCAACAAGACCGGACGCTGCATCATCGTGCACGAGAGCATGATCAATGCTGGGGTGGGTGCGGAGATTGCCGCGACGGTGCAAGACAAGTGTTTCTTACGGCTGGAGGCGCCAGTCACCCGAGTCGCTGGGCTCACCACACATACCGGTCTGGCTTACGAAAGGCATATCATCCCGGATGTGGCGAAGGTATACGATGCGATTAAGAGGACTCTCGACTACTGATGCCAAGCTGCCTCGTGTGCCAGTCTGGTTTCCGATCCTGCGACTTGCGATGCATGGGTAACAAGCCATATCATGGCTTTAGGGCGCTACGGTGTGCTATGTTGGGCGGAGTCGTGTTTCATTCGACACATTGCGAGCAGTCAAGCAAGGTTGGGGCACTGTCGTATTCGAGCGGGGACGTGCTAGAGATGTCCGTCGGCCGAGCGGGATCGGCATCATGGATGTCAGAATCAAGTAGATGGCCTGAATATCAATATCCCTGTCACATGAGAGGTATACCGTTATACAAGCCGCTCAATTTACCGTATTTGGGACCGCTGCGATCTCATGCTTTCCCCTCCGGATGCTTCTCCTCCGACTTCTGCGCCGTCTCCTTCTGTAGCTCATCCATGTGCTTGTCGTGATCCTTCACCTTCTGCTGATCCGCACCCACATTCTCTTCCGACGACGACGCGAGCTCTCGGTTCCACTCGCCCTTCTTCAAACTCTCCTGCTTCTGCCGTTCAATCTCTTCCGGACTGCGGTCCTTGTCTTCCTTGAGCCGCAGCGGTCGAGCAACGGTGAATGCACGACCAGCGCGGTGGGACTGCGAGAGCCGAATTCGAGGTTGCCGGAAAGGTTGGCGGGAGATTTGGGCGAGCAGTAGCCTCATGACTGCTTTCGGCGTGGGTCTGTTGCAGCCATTGGCGATCAGCTTTCGTTCTTGAGGATGGTGCCGTGGGCTACGTTACACATACGCAAAGCTCGGGATAATTCTCAAAAAGTTGATGTTCAATGCGTACACTCTCGAGCTGGTGAGTGAGATGCCGGCAGCATGAGTGTAGACGATGGACACGGGGATGGTATCCGGGGAAATGACGTCTCGATGACACGGCTGAGGTGCCTTCCCAATTTGGTTACTGTACCTGAATCTGTCCGACAGCAAGGCTCGATGTAGTTTGGAATGAGAGTGGAGTGGACGACTCTTGATAACCTTATTTTATTTGCGAGCCATTGTGGACGCGTGTAGTATACAGGGGGAAGGAGACATGCTCCAATAAATCATCCGACCGCCCTCGCCTTCCCAGTTGCCTCCCAAGCGCCGCAGCGCAACATATAATCGTAGACATCGTTGTAGCAGGTGCCACCCAGTACCGTTGCGGAGACCGAATGAAACAGGCCTTTCCCAGCGTCTGCTAAGATTCCGTTTGAACTAGCTGCGTCCGAGCACCTTCGTTCCGCACCAGGCTCCTTCTGCGTGAACTTCGGGCCTGCCGGGGCGCTTGGTCATCCATTGATGACCTGCCGCTGTCTGCTCCACTCCGCCCGTCGGGCCGCTCAGCGTGGAACTCGAATGCTTCGGGATCGGGTCGCACATGCGCACGCGGCGGGGGACGGTGGGGACTAGATGGTCGTGATGTTGCTTCAATGTAACTGGGCAGTCCACTGGCGTGCGGGCTGACACTCCGCGGGGTACGCAATGCATGCCGATAGGACGGGACACGGGAGAGATCGTCCATGTCGTAGTCGTTTCGTCGGATATCAGCCGTATGGTCGTCCCCTGATGTTCGACGAGATGGCGGGCCGCTGTCCGGTCCAGGCGAGCTCGGGGCGGATTGGCTCTGCACTTGTAACCTGACGAGTCGGGATCGCAGGGCATTTGCTGACGGGGCGTGCTGGTCTTGAGGCTGGCTGCGCGAATACAAATCTGCCATTTCCGCAGCGGGTGTGTCCAGATCGTCTGGGGTCTGTGTTCCCAGTCCAGGTGACTCCGAGTGGCTCCTCACCCTCGACATGTAGCCAGCCAAATCGATATCGCCGAAGAGTTCATCCAGCTGATGTAACCCATACTGTGGAGGAGCTGTCACGGCGGTTTCGTTGCTGTTGATTGCTTCATCCGACACATCTTGCAGCGGGCGGCAAACTTCGTTCTCCTCGTTGAGCGGGAGGTTGGGAGAGATGAATATCTTGACCGGTAATCGGCACACGAGCTGGGAGACGTGCCCTTCCGGGTTGTGCAGATTGACCATCAGTTTGAACTTGTGCGTCACGCTGATTTGATGCGAGTCCACGTCCTGCCGGCATGCATTCAGGGACTTGGGCAAGGGGAGGGTCGCTTTGAAGCGATACATTTCATCCCCCATCACGGGGTCGTCGATGGTCTCATCGTCGAAAACCACTCGAGAATGTTCGGGGAATTCCATCTCTGTGTTTGCTACCTCATACTCCTCCGTCTTCGAGCGATCCAGTCGAGCGTCGGGAGTCTCTCGCAACTGCAGTCGTTTGGTCACGTGCTCCGATAGGCGCAGATCGATGTTTCCCAGTCGAAGTCCTTTCTTGATGGGTGACAATTCGACGTCGGCAGTGATTGAAGTGCCGAAGACGAAGGCGTCTGTGGGGATGGAGATGCTGTACGAGATCTTGTTTGCCCACACATCGGCGTTGGTCCGCGAATGAGCCATGTCCAACGAATCCGGACCGAGTGTCCGCACGAGGCGGATGTGTTCAGATGCAGTCAAGCTCCTCGAGTTCCAGCTCGGCCGGGAAACGCTCGCATGAAGGTGGTAGACAACAAAGGTGTTGGCCATCCCTTCGATACTCTCGGGCATTGCCGGGTCCAGGAGAAACTCGAAGGGCCACTCGATGACGCCGGCCTTGACTTTGTGGGAGGTTTCCACGCTGCTTCTGTTAGGGCCTGGGATGAGCACCAATTTGCGGAGGATTGCATGACTTACCCGCCCAGCTTTTGCTCTTCACTCCAGAAAACTCGTTTGTCGGTCACTTCTCCCGCGGCCATGCCTCCGGAGTACCACCATCCGATTTTGCGGCAGCCTTCAAACCGTATGCGAGGCTTGGTGATGGACATGGGGGTGGGAGCGGTAAGTCGAACGACGCCGGATAGCTTGCACGGGGAGGCTTCATGTTCGCCTCCTCGAAAGACGATGAACCGGGTGTCGGGAATAATCTCCAGTGTAGAGCGTGCCCTGGCGCCAATTCCGGCAGAGGAGTTCGAGCGAGCGGTGGAGGGCATGGTGTAGCAAGATTGGCAAGTGGCGAACTCAGCTTAATGTCAACGGCTCAGACCGGAGAGGTTGGGCGGAGAGGTGCTGAGACGGGAGTCCTCTGGAATGGCAAAGCGATAGGCCAAGGACAAGACGCATCGTCGGCCTTAAGGCTGGTAGGGGCCAGGGAGGGTTGGTAAGATGACACCTCGCACCGCAGTATTTGCAATGCACCCGAGCTGCGCGTCCACGGGACGCGGTCGAAGGAGGCAGGCGGGACCGCAGTTGTCCAGAGCACGCGCTGAGTGGTCCGGGATGCCTCGCCTTGCATGCACTCACAGGCGTGGGAGGCGGCGGAAGGCTGCTGACTGATGATCACTGTTCGACACCCGCACGCATCAGGCTTAGTACAAGGAATACGGCAGACACGGGGAGTAGCAGGAGACAGTCAGCCGGAAAGAAGGAGCACGAGGAGAGGGTGTGAGGTGCGGCGGTATATGAATGGGAAAGGTGTGGCAGATGGAGGGCGACATCGGGGAGGACCGTGTAGCACAGAATCACCTCTTATCATGCATTGCTCATGGACCCGTCGGATTGCCCAACGCAGACGAAATGGCGGAACGCGCCGGCCAACCAGTGACGAGACGGCAAATCACTTTCTTGCATTCTTCCCTCCCTCTACATATACGTGAAACCCACCAGACTTGTCAGTGGGGCGGGAACCCGAGTGGCGCAATCGTGCTGTCGTCGCACGTTGCTGGTTGGGAAACACTGTCCAAGATAATTTTTTTGGTTGAAGATCGGAGTCGGTTTGTCCAGATCGAGCAATCCCGCGCAACCTACCGGATTAGGGTGTCCCACGAATAGAACGGGTGCCTTAGTAAGCCACGCTGTATTAAACATATGACCCGACAGCCTCGCACAACACGGCTGCAAGCCCCAATATCCTCCATCCTCCGGTGCGAAGCCTCCTCTGCATATGGATCGTGGCGGTCAGATTGCGCTGTTCGTCCTCGACGCAGGTGGCGCTTCCGCGTCGTCTGGTCGAGCCCAGCTCAAGATATGCCCTGCCAATAACTCGAGTCAGCACACTATACAAACTCCGGCAAGGCGGGCATTATTACCGTCTTTGCACGAGGCCAGAATGCACTTCTCCTCAAATCCGAGCCAGCACAATGGGTGTTCGTCAACGCTCTTCGACATAACGGGTGGGAGAACGGCGACGGTGGCCTTTGAATCCACGGCATGCACCACCTCCCCATCTCCCTTGATCTCCACCCCATCTGCTGGCTCTCGGCTCGAGTTGCTCCGGATCCGGTTGACGGTATTCGCACTTTCCTTGCGATTTGCGGACACGTGGGTAGAGAAGCTCCCACGATTCCGTACGTTTGGCCTTCGAAGCATCCCCACCGAGAAATCCCAGAGCAGGAGCCTGCAGTCCTCCCCAATGCTCCCAAATCTGTAGTTGCGCTCATCACAACGCCAGGGATCGAATTTGACATCTGTCACCCAGGACTCGTGTCCGACGCACCTCGCAACGAGCGCTTGGTCTACCAGGGACCAGATACTGACCAGATCATCTTGGCCCCCGGTCAAGACGTAGCGTCCATCTGGCGACCACGTCACGCAGAGCATGGCCCCGTAGTAAGACCGATAGACGCCGATGACGCGCTCGTTGATGTAGTCAAGGATGGTCAGTGTGCCGTCTTCGCAGACGACAGCCAGCGACTGACCATCGGGGGCGAATGCGATGCCGTTGATCCTCATGTTGGACACGCTCCACGCTGCCACCGGGTTGCTCTTCTGATTCGGCGACTGGACGGACTTTTGTATGCGGAAGGCGGGTTTCTGGCCACCGTCGACATGTGCGTGGTCTGTCGGTAAGCCATCTTCCGGAGTGAACGCAGTATCTTCCTTGTCCTTGTCGTATACGACGAGAGTGCCGTCTGTATGTGCTGCGATGAAGAGATTCTCCTTGTGCGGCAGCCAAGCGATGCATTGTATGGGGGATGCATTGATGGCGCCGTTCTTGTTCAGGCGAGCGTACTTTTGCGACATGGGCTCGTACCAGATGACGTCGCCGGTGTTGAAGCCCATCACAATATCCAGGTGACTGCCCGACTTGGTCCAGGCGTTCACATCGTGACACAGGACATGCGCTTTGGTGAAGAGGACCTTGGTCATATTCTCCGTCTTCGCCTCCGCGGACAGGTCGAGCCAGACAAACGCTCGATTGATGTTTGCAAACGCGTACAGCCCGTCCGGGGAGTGTTCGGCCAGGCGCTTGGGCAAGTTGTCGTGGGGAATGACTCGCGAGACATAGGAAGAGTTGGATTTGATAATGTTGTTCTTCGGCTTCAGCTTTTGGTCCTTCTTGTTGCCTTTGACGGGAGCGGCGACGACCTGTAGTGCCGGATTGCTCTCACCAAAGCCCACGGTGCTCGAATAGTATGTGGCAGACCCAAATAGCCCTCCATTTGCAGGAGGAGCCGCATCACCCCTGGGACTCTGTGCTTCCTCTTGTATACTAGGCGGAATGGGATGCCATGCACCGTGACCTCGAGACTGGCGGTGCGTGGGCCATCGACTGGGCGAGAGGGTAGCGAGAGAGAGCTTGGTGCCGGCGCTCTGCGGCCCTATCGTCGTCGCGAGAGGGTTGTTGTTGGGCTGTGGCGCATCGCTGGGATGCGGAGGCGGCGTTGCCAGGAGCAATTCGTCCGTCAAGGTGTATGTGCCTTCTCCCACCACAAGTTGGAATTCGGGTCCCGTGGGATGCTCAAGGAGGTTGTTGGTCTCTAGGAGGGCGCCCGGCGCGCCAGCGTTGCCGTATTTTGGCGGCGGTGGGAGGACACTGTTGGATGCTTGCCGATCAGTCGCTGGCAGTTGGAAGCGTGCGAGGGAGGCCGGCAGGCGGCGGCGGAGAAGGGCATGGCATCGGTCGTGACTCGGGGTGGACTTACAACATGGCTATCGGGGCTGTCCCGTTCCTGCGAAAGAGCTGGATGCAAAGAGCCCTCGGCCGCCTCGGAGCATCTTGCGCGAATGGACTGGAGGAGGGTGAAGTATTCCCGGTGCTTGTGGATTGCTGGCGGGCGCAGATCGGTGTGGAGCCGCGGGGTCTCAAGGTGTTCCACGCTGCCTGCCTCTTTGGGAACAAGGTTTCAAATGTGCCGCACGTGGCGCTGAACGTCTGCTGTCCCTCTCCAGCCGATCTGCCTTTCGACATCTCGCCTGCTTGCCATCTGGCCTAGACTGCGCAGCGATGGAGGATGGCCACAGGTGAGGAATTCTAGCTTCGAGCCACAGAGAGGACTCTGACATGTCATGGCAGTGCGGATATGCATATGCGGCGACGAATCCGTGGGCAAAAGCTCCCTCCTCACGTCTCTCGTAAGCCGTCACTGCTCCTCCTCGTTCCCTCGCGCTCCACTGTGATAGTCGTGCTGATGCTCGTGATCCCCCGGCGCAGGTCAAGGACACCTTTGTCACGTCTAAAATCCAATCCATCCTGCCCCCCATCACGATCCCGCCTTCCTTGGGAACCCCGGAAAATGTCACGACCACCATTGTTGATACTTCGGCCCTGCCGCAAGAGCGCGACAACCTACGGAAAGAGGTGCGAAAGGCCAATGTGATTCTGCTCGTGTACAGCGACCACTACAGCTATGAACGCGTCGCGCTCTTCTGGATGCCCTTCTTCCGCTCCCTCGGTGTGAACGTCCCCGTTGTGCTGTGCGCCAACAAGAGCGACCTTGGCCCGAATGGGGCCAGCACAGCGCAGATTGTCTCCGACGAGATGCTGCCCGTCATGGCCGAGTTCAAGGAAATCGATTCCTGCATTCGAACAAGCGCGCGGGAACACCACAACATCAACGAGGTCTTCTTCCTCTGTCAAAAGGCCGTTACGCACCCCGTCGCGCCAATATACGACTCGAAAGAGGGTAACTTGAAGCCGGCTGCAATCGCCGCGTTGAGGCGCGTCTTTTACCTCTGCGACAAAGACCAGGACGGCACTCTGAGTGATCGTGAGGTGCACGAATTCCAGCTCAAATGCTTCGACAAGCAGCTCTCGGATGAGGATCTCGCCAGCATCAAACGAACTATCCGAAGATCATCATCCTCAAACACGCTGGAACCTCATAATGGCATCGACATGGACGGTTTCCTGTTTTTGAACAAGCTGTTTGCCGAAAAGGGCCGGCACGAGACCATCTGGATCATCTTGCGCAAATTCCACTACTCTGACAGCCTCTCGCTGAAGGATCACTTCTTGCACCCCAAGCTCGAAATTCCCGCCTTTGCATCTGCCGAACTCAGCCCAGCCGGCTACCGATTCTTCGTGGATCTCTTCTTGTTGCACGACAAGGACAACGATGGTGGTCTGAACGATGCAGAGCTGGCCGCGCTGTTTGCACCAACCCCAGGCCTGCCGACTTCGTGGGTGGATTCCGACTTTCCAAGCTGCACCGTGCGGAATGAGGCTGGGTACATTACTCTGCAGGGCTGGCTGGCTCAATGGAGTATGACGACTTTTGAAGACCCAAAGACCACTCTGGAATACCTTGCCTATCTCGGCTTCGAGTCTCCAGACGGCAAGGGGACGACGTCGGCGTTGAAAATGACAAAGGCGAGGAAGCGCCGGAATCGACCGGGTCGAGTGGAGAGAAACGTCTTCCTGTGCTATGTGCTCGGAGCGGCTGGTAGCGGTAAATCAGCCCTGTTGAACTCGTTCCTTAGCAGGCCTTTCAGCTCGTCCTATCAGCCCACGATCCGGCCTCGTGTAGCGGTCAACAGCGTGGAGTTGCAGGGCGGCAAGCAATGCTATCTGATTGTCGAAGAGTTGGGCGAGCTCGAACCGGCGATCCTGGAGAACCAAAGCAAACTCGATGCTTGTGATCTGGTGTGCTTCGCCTACGACTCCAGCGATCCCGAATCGTTTGCCCATGTGGTCGATCTCCGCCAACGGTATCCGGCCCTGCACGCCCTGCCTTCCGTCTTCACGGCGCTGAAGGCAGACAAAGATCGAGCGGTCCAGCGAAGCGAGGTGCAGCCTGACGTGTATTGCGAGAGCCTGAAGATGGCCAAGCCGTTACACGTCTCTGTCAAGTGGACGTCCATTTCGGAATTCTTCGTGCAGTTGGCCGAGGCGGCTACATTCCCCTCCCAGGCCTTTCCGAAGAGCGAAGAGCCCGTCGACCGTACGGCAGTCTACATTGCACTTGGGGCGACGATCTGTGCCGGCGTTGCATTTGCGTGGGTGTGGAAGAGGAACATGAGTTCTGGGGGATGAAGCGTGCATTGGGCATAACTTGCGACGGCGTATAGCGTTTTACTGCGTGAAGAGAGAAAGAGATACCCCCCTCAGAATGGACGGAGTACTGTGGAAGATTGTAAGGGATGATTTGTGCCCCAAATCCCGCGGCAGTCGTCGATACCGGCAACGGCCGAGCTTCGCCCTGCGCGGCATGATTTGTTCTGTTTATACAAGAGACGCTGCCTCGTTGACTTGACTGCTACGGCTCTGGAGAGTGAGTGGATGCAGGCCGGTAAGAGTTGGGTGCCTCAGGTTTCTAGTCGATCTTGCCAAGCCTTAACGAACCTTACCTAACCCAGTTATCATCAATGTTATTGCCTTCCATTTAAGCCCGTACCCACTAGTTCCGCGGACTGCTCGCACATCCGCAGTGCATGAATCTTTGTGCTATCACCATCATGATGGGAATCTCTCCATGAACTGCTGGTGCTATTTCGGCAGGTCTGATACCGGAGCACACGGGGCTGACGGAGCAACGACGATCTGGTACGCTTGGCCTGCGGCTCTCAAGGCGCAGCATCGGGACGGCAGAGCGCTGGCGAGCGTGGAACGTCGCCTCTCTGCTCGGTGCACAGGTGGGCGGAAGGGAGACGGCGATGCAGGTGCGTGTACCCCCTCGTGTCGACTCACGGCCCCCGTGCCTGGGGAGACGCCCACTTTGGACGGAGTTGATTGCTGACAGACCGCCCCCTTGTCAACAGCCTTCCGCCCGGCAGAAGGAACTCGAGGCGCTCTTCGAGAAGCGGCGCAAAGGACACGTGCCGCAGATCAGCATTACTGACGACGATCACCATGTGACGGAGGCGATCGGCAGCTACTACGACGATGAACCCAACCCCCATCCGCCCTCCGATCCCCGACCCTTGAGCTTCGTGAGCTCGCATGAAGAGCGGGTGGACAGCAGAGAGCAGAAGCGCAACAAGCGCAATGCTTCATATTTCGAATACAAACCAGGCAGTCCCCAGCGCCTTCCGCTGGCCGTCACGGGCATGAACGAGAAAGTGCCCGGCGTGGCCACCGAGGGCCTAAACAGCAGCTCGACGGGGATGAAGAGGGCGAGCAGCTTGGGGTCGGAGAACGCAGGGCCCAGCTCGCCGGGCAGTCCAGCGCGGCTCAGTCGGCAGTCCAGCACGGATACCGCAGTGTCGCAGTTCCCCCTGAACGACATTGATTACGAGTCCAGTCCGGCTGCCGTGGCTCAGGAACTGAGTAACCTGCAGGCCATCCGGCGCATGTCGATGAACGTCGATACGGCCGACCCCGACCTACCTTCTTTCGGAGGCGTGCCCACCACTGCGCCGAAATCGTCTGAGGATGAGAACGATGCCGCTCGACTGTTCTGGGTACCGGCCCGATTACACCCCGAGTTGGCGCCGAAGGAATTCAAGACGTTCCTGGAAGAGAGGGTGGAGAAGATCAAGAGGCGGTCGGGAGACGCAGACATGTTGTCTCTTGAAGGCCTGGAACGATCAGGCTCGGGCGCAAGTCTGGCGAGAAGGAAGAGCATGCTGTCCCGTCAAGTCGAGTCACAAGAAAACTTCGAAGATGGTGCGGATAGGCTGGAGAAGAAGCGGTCAAAAGCCCTAACAGTGGACGGCCACGCACAAGTCGAGCTGGCGGAGCTCGAGACATTGGTCAACGATCCCGTACAGCTGTTACGGCGCATGAGTCTCGACACTGCGCGACGCTCATTGGATTCGGGTGCAGAGGATTCGCTGGGAGACGACATACCAGTGCTTCCTCCCGGCGCCCAATCGCTCAAACGCTCCACACGGACCGCGTACAGACGAGGTAGCCTCCGGAAGGGCGAGCGCGTTCCGTTTTCAAAGCGTGCTCAACAGCGACAGTCTGGAGCGGAGCCAGAGGAAGTGTCCGCTTCATCACCCTCTTCTTCTGTCTTTGAAGAGCCCGTCCTTGGCCTGAGTCGAGTTCAGACCGAGCCGACGCCCGCATCACATCCTTTGAAATCCGCCTACCCATCTCGGGCAGAAGCAAGTCGCAGATGGAATGATGCTCGTGGAGATCCTCATCCAGACGAGCTGGTCCAGGACGAGGCAACGCGTGGAGAAGGGCAGCCAAGTGCAGTAGCCCCACAGGCTCCGCAAGACGACGAGCCGCCACCTCGTCCGCAGCATCGGCAATTTCATTCTAGGATAATATCAGGGCCAGGCCGGACGACAGCGCAGTTGCCAGGCTACGACAATACCGATCCACTCCCTCAAATCATCGAAACGTTGCCAGACGGCTCGAAGGCGCCGAAATCGAACGTACTCCAATACATACCCGAGCGAAAATCGTCACATGAGCTGCCGCGCGCGTTCAACCGCGGCGGCGCACACATGCGACCGGCGCCTGGACGAGAGCAGCGATCGTCGACTCTGGACGACATATCTCAGCGGCCGTCGCCGCTCCCCGGGAGTGGCAATACAAGCACCGATGCGCTTACCATGGTGCCGACGTTTGACGATCGCAGGCCGGAGAAGAAGGATGTTACGAGGAAGAGCAGCTGGAAATGGATCCTGGGCAGCGATGACGATGGAAAGAAGGGCAGGGAGGAGAAGGCATCCGAATCCGGCAGTGGGAAGAGCAATAAACTGAGCAAGGCAGCTGCCGAGAAGACGAGGCTCGACGTCTTACAGGCATCAATCGAGGGCAATTCTCAGGTACGAGGGCGAGAGAGCCTCGTGCTGAACCGCGACCAAGTGCGGCTGGAGGAGGAGCGGAAGCGGGAAAGCAAAAAGTATTCCGAGCCGAAGAAGGAGAAGGAGAGGGAGTCGGGTCTGCTGTCCGCCATCTTCGGGGGCAAGAAGAAGGCGTCGGACGGCGACTTGAAGGAGAAACGGCGGAAGTCTGATCGAAACCTCTCGCCCGAGCCGGTGCCGCGCATGCTGAAGCCCGACATTGATTATAATTGGACACGCTTCAGCATTTTGGAGGAGCGGGCGATCTACCGCATGGCGCACATCAAGCTGGCCAACCCACGACGAGCTCTGTACAGCCAGGTGCTGTTGAGCAATTTCATGTACTCCTACCTCGCAAAGGTGCAAATGATGCATCCGCAGGTGCAGATACCGGCGGCACACCAGAAGTCGCAGCAGCGAAGCCAACAGGAACAGCAGCCGGCGGAGTACAGCCAGTACCAGCGTTGGCAAGAGGTATGTGCATGAATGGCTCGTGTGAACTCGTTCGGCTTGACTGACACCTCTCATAGCAGCAGGAGCGCGAGGCGGCGGCGGCGGAGAGCAGCAACGGCAGTGCGACGAAGAGGACGAGTCTGGAGATCATGTCAGGGGGCGCGGTACAGCAGCGGCTGCATTACGACTACGACGACGACGCTGGGGCAGAGTACGACTCGCGCAGCTCGGAAGATTACGAATACGACCATTCTTATCAGCAAGCGCAGCATCACCGAGCGAACGGAGGGGGAATGATGCGTGGTGGAGGCGGGGGGTACAGCGTGGCTCAATCGCACGACTATCTCGGCCATCCCAAAGCCCAACAGCCCTTGGGCGCGTGGGAGGAGACGGAGAAGAGCGAGGACCTTTGGTGATGTTGTCGTCGTTGTTGTTCTTGTTTTTTGTTATCGGTCTGCGAAGCGTATCTGCATTTACAGGTTCATTCTGCAAACATCTGAGGTCAAGTCGTGCTGGTTTCTTTCCCTGCCTCTCCTTACTAGGGCCGCACATGACGGCCACGTGGGCGCAATAGGCTTCCCGACGCGACCGCTTGCCATCCCACAGAGGCGCCTGGACACCCGCAAGCGCTTGGGTTTAGAGGAGATGCAGGCTGGCGTTGTCGAGTTGGTACTTCTCCTTTCTTATAGGCATGGGTGCTTTTACGGGGGGGCTCTTGCTTATAAGTCCAGAAGAGATAGGGCAGTGTGTGTCCCACTTCTATCCGTATTGCCTCCAGTCCAAGGCCTCTGTTTTGCTAGTCAGGACGGGCGGCAATTGGATGTTGATGGTTCGGCTTCGATGCAATTCAGGCATCGCCGGTCTGGATCATCGAGCATCCTGGCATGTGGGGCGGGAGATTGCGCGTGTCCAATGACGTAGTTATCCAGCACGACACGCGCAGATAAAAGCTGGCACCGTCCGCCCTCCCACCCTACACACCCACTGCCAACCTACCACACACTCACCACCGCTGCCTCTGCCCTCCGCCATGGCCAGCACTGCCCATCACGACACCTCCCTCCCCGTGCGGAGCAGCACCAACACGACCGACGACGCCATCCCAGACGAAGATGCCGGCGAGTCCACCAAGCTGTTCCACGAGCGACTGCAGGCATGGAAGCACGCTTGTGGCTATCTCGAGGACTACGTCAAGGCCACGGAGAAGCTGGAGGCAGACATTAGCAAGGACTACGAAAAGTCAGTCCTCAAATCGGTCAGCAGCCCGCTCAAGGAGGGCCATCACTTTGTGAGTACCTTATTCTTTTTCCCGGCGCCCTCTCGCGTGCGCCGGCACAAGGCTGATACCCTCGACACAGCAACAGCAACCCGGCGGCGTTGCGGGCTTGTTCGAGAACCTCCGAACCACCTCGCAGGCCCTTTCCACCAGCCATGGCGAGACGGCAAAGGCCCTGAAGGGCTCGGTGCTGCCCATTTTCGAGCAACTGCACGCCGAAATCAAGAACAAGACGAAGGACCTCAACAAGGGCGCGGGCAAGGCGTCGAAGGCGGTCGACAAGGCGCGTAGCGACACGCAGAAGCACATCGACCGACTGGGGCAGCAAACAAGCAGCGCTGGTGAGGTCAAGGCTGCCGATGATCCATATGTCCTCCAGCGCCAAGTCTACCACCGCCTCCACAAACAGATCATCGAGGAGAATGGCAACCGAGACGACGTTATTGCCTGGCAAAACGAGTTTGGACGGTTTGAGGCCCACGTTATTCAGACTATGCAACAGGGGCTGCGCCAACTTCACCAAGTCATGGGAAATCAAGCCGATAACACTCGCACCACCTACGGGAATATCATCGCAACCTCCGATCAAATACCACCATCGGCTGAGTGGGATAGCTTCGTTCAAAGAAACAACAACATTCTCATCGATCCAAACGGTCAGAAGCGAAGCATCCAGCATGTTCATTTCCCTCACCAAGATCACCCGTCCACTCGCCCGCTCATCGCTGGATCTCTTGATCGCAAGACTAAATTGCTTAAGAAGTACGACACTGGCTACTATGTCATCACCCCGAGCAAGTATCTGCACGAGTACAAGTCTGAAGATGACTTCTCCGCGGACCCCAGCCCCGAAAATAGCCTGTATCTCCCGGATTGCCTCATCGGGGCTGTGGACGGGACCAAATTCAACATCAAGGGCAAGGACCAGAGCAAGGGCGTGTTGTCCAAGGTTTCGATGAGCCACGAATTCGCTTACCAGGCACGCACGCCCGAGGATGCGCGTAAGTGGCACCAGGTCGCTCTCAGTGTGTCAGGAGGCGCTTCGACTTCGGCACCCAGTAGTCCTACAGTTGCTGGCGGTGCGGCTTCCCCGACTTCTCCAACGGACGCGCAGACCACTGGCACGATCGGGCCGGCGGCTGGCTCGGCGGGGCATCCCACAGAGACTGGCCTTGGTGGTCACCCTGCGGGCACCGGCGTTGCTCATCCTGCAGACAGCGGGCTTGCCCCCTCCGGCAACACCGGCGCTGTCCATCCGGCAGATGGCGGTCTGGCTCACCCTGGGTCAAGCGGCACGGCCCACCCCGTCGACGGTGGTCCTGCTTCCTCGACGGGTCATACTACGAATCCAATTACCCAAACTTCACAGGCGGAGAAGAACGACTATGCACCGCTTTGATCGGTGAAGTTCAGATGAAGGGGCCCATGGACTCCGCGGTAGTTGGCATGGATTTGCGCGCTGTTCGTTCCGTACTGTATGTGGTGTTTAGTTTAATGCTAGGTAGTTTTTCAAGCGAAGCGTGTTTGTTTGCAACCGAGAGAAAATGTCCATTCGGTGAGGTGCCTGACAGCGCGCGCATTCTAAGTTTCGGCCGACAGCCACGAGGCAAGCCACAGCCGGGGGGGAGCCCTTCCACCCTTATCATTAGCCCGGGCTTGCCTGGCTGCTCTCACCACACCTGCTCTTTGAGAAATACATACTTGGAGCATGAGCCACTCCCTCACCCATGGCTCTTGCTGGCGAGAACGTGCGTAGTGGGCGCAGACCCGGGGCGAACATGGCTCAGATGTCGAGCGAGTCCGGCGTGCTCGACTCGGCGCGCCGCTTCTGGGTAAATGCCTCCCCTTCCCCCCAGCAGTGGCTGTTATGGAATGCAGCACCGAGACCCGCCATGCTGGCAGACAATGCTCCTCGATTGTTCTGGACCGCTGCTGACCCTCAGATGTAGCGAAAGAGTTACGCGGGCGACTACGTGGGCCTGGCGGCGCTATTCACGGGGTACATGGTGGTCAAGATGCTGGGAACGCCTTTTCACCAGACCTTTACCCTGAACGACGTGCGCATCCAGCACGAATACGCGCGGGTGCAGCGTGTGGATACTTGTGAGTCTTTTTTCCCATGAAGCAGTACACACTCTAAACCCCTGTCCCAGTTTGGCTATTCTTCTGTTCCGCCGGCATCCCACTCGCTTCCATCTTGCTCTGGACTCTCTTGTGGCGCCGCAGTGTTCACAAAGCCCACGTTGGCATCCTCGGGCTCGCAATTACCATTTTCATGACCCTCTTCCTCACCGACATCCTCAAAGATGCCATAGGCCGCCCCCGGCCCGATCTCATCTCCCGCTGCGAACCCGGACCCACCGCTCCGGCCACTCGGCTCGTCACCATTGACGTATGCACTCAGACCAACACGGCTCTTCTGAACGATGGCTGGCGAAGCTTCCCCAGCGGCCACTCCTCATTTGCATTTGCCGGCCTCGGCTGGTTGGCTCTGTTCTTCGCCAGCCAGACTCGCCTTTTCCGCCCGAGAGCCAGCCTACTCGAGGCTATCCTATCACTCGCACCTTTACTGGGCGCTGCAATGATTGCTATTAGTAGATTGGAAGATTACCGGCATGGTCCATTGGACGTCTTGGGGGGATCCCTGCTGGGAATCTTGGTCGCATGGTTCAATTGGAGAAGATACTTTCCTAGTCTCTCCTCCACCGAGTGTGACGAGCCGTTTGATCCACCCACCAGTCGCGGCTCGAGCCCGTCTGGCAGGTTCTCGAGGGTCAGAGACGAAGAAGCGGCACTCGAGGGAAGGGAAAGCTTTGAAATCGCAGACGACATAGGTGGGAGTCGACCGAGAGGCCCGTAGATGAGCCTGCATTATCTATACAAAGAGCGTGTGCTGCGCTTGACAACGCGTAGACATTCGCACGCTCTGTACTAAACATTACCAGCCGAACCATCGCTATGGTTCAGGCATCTCAGTAATCTTTGCGGTCTCAGCGGCTCCGCTCCAGATTCTTGTGCAAGACCTGTTCCTTGATGAACAGACTTGTAAAGGCAGCCAAGAGAGCGAAGCCCAGAACAACCACCCATACCCCTCTCAAGGCGTCTACGTAAGCCTCAATCGCACCATCGTGCCACCCGGGGGGCAAGTGCATGACCTCGTCTGGATTCTCTCGAATCCGTCGGATTTCGTCCGTTGCACCGGGTCGATCGCCGAATCGATTGAATAGGCCCGTTTTGAGGAGATTCTGGAATACTGCGCTGCCGATGGTGATGCCGATGGTGGATCCCGTCGAGCGGAACGCGTACGAGGCAGACGTGATGATGGCCTGGTACTTGTGGTCGACCGCGGCGATCAGCGAGATGAGCGTGACGGTCAGCATGGAGCCATACGCGAATCCGACCATGAACAGGTAAATGAAGGGAGGTACGTCTTCGACGCTGGCGTTGAACGTCGCGAGGATCAAAGAGCAACCTGAAATCATGATGACCTGCATAAGAAGGTTGAGCCAACGATATTTTCCAGTGGCGCGCATGAAGAGGCCGGAGCCCAGAGATCCAAGAGCGGTGCCGGCGGATTGTGGTATAAACAAGGTGCCCGCCCGCGTAGCCGAAACGCCCATGACGACCTGAAAGTAGATTGGACCGTAGTAGACGAGAGCGAACTGGAGATCTTCAGCATAAGTTCTCCACGAAGCGCTAGTCTCGAACGTACCACAGACATGGTTGAAAACCAGTTCACCAAACATGCCGCACTGACAGTCTGAGAGAGCAGTAAGTGGACGGGAATTATTGGCTCATGAGCAACACGGGCCTCCACGTAGACAAATGCAGCGAGAAACGCCATGCTGAGCGGCAGCGTCACCCACACCAATGGGTGGTTCCACGGGACTATGTTGCCGCCAGAATTCAGACCGAGCAGAAGCAGCACAAGGCTTGTCACCAGCGTAAAGACGCCCAGGAAGTCGACGCGATGGATTTTGTCCTCCTCGGTTTCCTTGACGGGGACGTTGATCATGACGCAGCCGAGCACTCCCCCGATCAGGATGAAGGGAACCTGGAGATAGAAAGCGTATCGCCACCCGAATCGATCATGGATGGCTCCACCAAACACTCCGCCTAGCCCCATCCCGGTGCCGAAGACGATGTTGCCCATGCCCTGCCACACACCGCGTTTCCGTAGAGGAATAAGATCCGACGCGACGAATGTGGAGATCGTATTCAGACATCCGCCACCGGAGCCAGCGACTACGCGCCCAAGAATCATCATCCAACCCGTCTGAGCAAGTCCGCAGATAAGGGTACCGGCGGCGAAGAAGATCGTAGCAAAGACAAGCCCTGCACGACGTCCATAGATATCGGTCAACTTTCCTGATAGTGGTTGAAAAGCGGCATTTGCGATGAGATAGCCAGACGCAACCCAGGAGTACAAGGTGCCGGATTCGAAGGAAGCGGTGATGGGTTTTGCAAGAGTCTGAGATTGTGTGCCAGTCAGCATGAATGCACCGACTTGCGTGCTGCGGCTGATGACATACAGCAACGATCGTGGCGTCGAGAGCCGCAAAAAAAGTGCACACCCAAAGACTCGACATGGTCAACAGCAGCTTGCGTGTATTTGGCTCATCGGCCACAGGCGTGGCGCCCACGTCATGTTCACGCCGTTCTTGCTCCGCTTGAGCTTCGAGTCCCTCGCCATCTCCGCCGGACTCTCCCAGTAAAGGTGTGCGTTCATCGCTGACGGGCTGCGGTGATAACACCTCTAAAGGGCCGTTCTTTTTCGCCATTAGCAATACCCAATGTAATCGAAATATATCCCCCGGCTTGTCGTGTTCACGGGATATGGTACGTCCTGCAGGATGCCGTGACGAGATGTAGTGGAGGCTCTCGCGGGTATTTGGAGCGACCCACTTCCCGCCGCGTCGTCCCGATCCGCCGCCCAGACTGTGACGTCTCGGGTCGAGAGCTCCCACGTGCGCTGTTGTTGCTGCTTGACTGCGGGCAGCATCGTCGCACGGCGCAGGCATGTAAGCCACGCGCAACACCCCCGACCGACTGCGAGGAGGATGAAATTTGCCAAAGAGCTCGATGACCATGCGATTCCGGAATGGAAGGCCTACTACCTCGACTACCGCGCGGCGAAGAAGAAGCTGAAGGCCTTGGGGAAGGCGGTGCGCAATGTCGACCGAGCAGCGCCTGGGACGGGAAAGAGTCCGTTTAGCAAGACAAACAGCGTTCGGGATGCGCCTGTGTTCTCATTCCTCCATCGTGGTCGCGATTTAGATGCCATCAAGGCGCCCGAGGAAGATCAGCAGCGCGCCTTGCGTACGAGTAGTGAGGCGCCCGGCTCAAGAGTGCAAGCGACGGACCCCGATGATGGAGCATCGAACGCTCGTACAATCACTGCACCCAACGAGCGCTCTGCGCTGCGCACTCAGGGCGAGCGCGAGGGTGCCCCACGCTTGGCCCGGTATGGTAGTATCATTGGAAGCCCGCCTTCGAGCGCGAGCCCATTACCCGACCTCACCCCGCAAAGGACACAGGCCTCCTTACTGGAATTGCCTGATCCCGCACTTGCTCCAACCGACAGCAAAGCCGCCTCAGGGACGGTCACAGGCCCACGCGAGGATGACAGCGTCAGTCGACCAGTCAGTCCTGGTTCGCCGGATGAGTCCATGCAGCAGTCCAGGCGCTCCGCTGCGACCAAAAGGCAGCTGGAGAACACTGGAAACGCATATGAAATAGGCCGACCCACCACAGCGTCGCACCCCACCCTCGCCAGGTATGGGGCATACTTCCTGCCGAAACGAACGGCATCGGCCCCCGATGTCAATCGTCCAGCCTTCCTACGAAGAGTCTTCCCGGGCGCGGGGACTCTTCCACCCAAAGCCGGTGCGTCTTCGAGAGCCAGACAGCCTTCTATGCGCTCTGGCAACGACGATGTTGCGCTCGAAGCATACCGCGAGGCCGATTTCCGACAGGCAGAGTTCTTGCATTTCCTTGACAAGCAGCTTGATAAGATTGAGAAGTTCTACCATATCAAGGAGGCGGAGGCTACGGAACGGCTTGGGGTGTTGAGAGAGCAGCTCCACATTCTGCGCAATCGTCGGCTCGAGGAGATTGTCGCGGCTGAACAGAGGCAGAGTCGGCACCATCATTCTAACGGCATCATGTCTTTTGCACCGGAGAATCTCCCGTGGGCAGGCCGTAGCGGCGAGGAGATGGAAGATCCCGACCAAAGCCATGGTGATGAGAATGGAGCGGCCAACGGTGCCGTGAAGGATTCGTCGCGCCCTCCCCATGGCCATCGGTGGGCTTCGGTAACGTCTCAGGTCGACAATGCGTGGGACAAAGTTCGCACAGGGCGCGTCGGCAAAACATCAAAAGCTATGGAGGAACTCGGCACGCCTTCCAGTACACGTCTCGACCCCGGCACGCAAGACTATGTCCGGCGACAGCCCAAGGAAGCGATGCCGCCTTACCGCGTGGCCAAACGCAAGCTCAAGCTTGCCCTCCAGGAGTACTATCGCAGCCTCGAATTGTTAAAGAGCTATACACTACTCAATCGGACAGCCTTCCGCAAAATCAACAAAAAGTTCGACAAGACGGTCAACTCGTCGAGTGGGGCCAAGATGCGGTACATGTCGGACATTGTCAACAAGGCGCATTTCGTCAGCAGCGATGTTATTGACCAACACATTCATGCCATCGAAGACCTCTACGCGCGGTACTTCGAGCGCGGGAATCGAAAGGTCGCGATCGGCAAGCTCCGCGGCAGAGTCTTGCAGGTAGGCGACTACACCGGGAGCTTGTGGCGTACAGGCCTCTTTCTCGGGTCTGGCATCGTGCTCGGCATTCAAGGCCTTGTCTATGGCTCCATTGACCTGTTTGATCCCGATCCGGTCTTCCGAATCCATTCCAGCTACCTGATGCAGATCTATGCCGGCTACTTCCTCTTCCTCTTGCTCGTGGGCCTGTTCTGCATCGATGCGCGCATCTTCGCCCACGGCAAAGTCAATTACCAATTCGTTTTCGAATTCGACTCCCGACACGTCTTGGATTGGCGACAACTGTCCGAAATTCCCTCGGTCTTCTTCTTCCTGCTAGCCTTGACGTTATACCTTAACTTCACCGTCCGAGCGGGAGGAGCGGACATGTACATCTACTGGCCCGTTGTCTTGGTGGGAGTCTCTTGCATTTTGATGCTTCTGCCACCCCCTCTGTTCTTCTGGGAATCGCGAAGATGGTTTTTGCAAAGTCTCTGGCGCTTGTCCTTTGCGGGCATATACCCGGTGGAGTTTAGGGACTTCTTCTTGGGCGACATGTTTTGCTCGGAAACGTACGCGATGGGGAACATCGAGCTCTTCTTCTGCCTCTACGCCACGCACTGGAACGACCCGCCCATGTGCAATTCGAGCCATTCGCGCTTGTTGGGCTTCTTCAGCACCCTCCCCGGGATTTGGAGAGCCTTGCAGTGTATCCGGCGTTACTACGATACTCGAAATTGGTTTCCGCACTTGGCAAATTGTGGAAAGTACACCTTCACCATCCTGACTTACATGTCGCTCTCGCTGTTCCGGATCAACAAGACGAACCAGCTGAAAGCCTTGTTCATTGCCGTGGCTGCCATCAACTCCATCTACACCTCTGTTTGGGACGTCATAATGGACTGGAGTCTCGGTAATGTCGGGGCCAAGAACCCATTGCTACGGGACGTTTTGGCCTTCAAGAGGCACGTGTGGTTCTATTATTTCGCCATGGTCGTCGATCCGATGCTACGATGCAATTGGATCTTGTATGCAATCTTCGCAGATGATGTGCAGCACTCGAGCATCATCTCGTTTGTAGTCGGCCTCTCGGAAGTATGCAGAAGAGGCATGTGGACGATACTGCGGGTGGAGAATGAGCATTGCACCAACGTGCGGAGGAATCGTGTTGTGAGGGATGTGGAACTACCCTATCAACGAACGAGCGACGAGACTTTGGGCGTGGATCATTTCGATGGGACGGGCGAGGGTGTGGAAGACACTCCGCCGCCAACGGGGGATGAGGAGAGCGCTTCAGCATCCGCGACTGCGCAGAGCACAGGCACCCAGCAACTCCCACAACTCAGTATACCATCGCCCGCGTCGCTACTACGACAGAGAAAGACGGCCGCATCCCCAATGGAATCGCCGGTCGCGCAGGCTCTGCGGCGAGTTGGAAGCACGTTGGCGTCTGCGCATAGCCAGGATTACGAAAAGAAGAGACGCCCAGTGCAGGCGATCCAGGAGGAGGAACGGGATAGCGATGATGAGGAAGAGGACGACGAGAACGAGAACGAGGCGGAAACGGCTGCCGCCGAAGAGCTCGAAGATCGGGCGAGATAGTCTTGCACATTGTTCCAGGCTGTCGTCTTGCACTACGTGGGTTCGTGACGTGCACTAGGGGGGATTGACGGAGGTAGTTTCTATACTCTGCCGCTCGGCTTGTCACACATTCAATATATTGCTCGCACTAGACGCCGCCGCTAGCAAAGTGAATCGCGCAACCGCCACCTGCCGCATCGAGCGCATCTCCCCGCGGCGCTGCTCGGGCCGCAAGCCGTGCGACCTGCATGAACCTTCAACCTCCACAAGCCATCCATCATCTGCATGTCAAGTAAGGTACATATCTGATGAGTTCCAAGCAGTTCAGGTGTCGCCAAGTCATGCTTTCTGTTCGGAGGCCTCCCTGGATCTCTGGCCAAGGGGAGTCATTGCTCGCATGAGTCTGCCGAAAAGCACACGTTGAGCGCCCTGCTCACTTCCGCCACACCGCTCAGCCGTCACTCCATTCTCTCACAGTCTGCACGGCATGCATGGCATAGACTTCCTGAAGTCCTGCGACACGAATGTGCGGGTATTGCAAGATGTCACGCAGACTAGTCTCGCCATTTTCGACCTTCAGCAGCCCGGCAATGATGTCGACACGCTTCACACCGCGCTGGCAACCCTTCGAGAGCATCAGATATTATGTTGTGTGATTGATCGACAAATCTGGACTTTTGGCCAACTGGATCACGACGTCGGCCACCTGCTCGATGCTCGATTCCGTCAGAGACCGGCGCCCCCAAGCACAATTTCCCAGCATGATCAGAGCGACGTCGCCACCACGCCGTCCGCCACCGAGGCGTTCCTGGACGCCGTCGAAGGCGCCATCTCTTTCTCTTTAGCCAAGCAGCTAGGAATGATCCGCCTCTGTGCATGGCGCTGGATTCTCCCATCCCTGGACGGAGAAGAAGGCTCGGGCACGGTGTTGCGCATGCACGCAAAGCTCGCCGACCCTGAAACTCTGCATATCTTTTACAATGTGAAGCCATGTCTGCTGCGCCCAGTCTGTGAGTCACAAACCCCCGTGCCGGTGGTGTTGGGTTGTTGCGGACTTCTCGCAAAACTGGCAACGAAGCAGTCGGCGGCCCCGGGGCAGGATGAAATGCAGTCTGATCGGCGGGTTGTCGCTGGACTACTCGCTACCACAGGTGTGGCAGCTGATCCCGATGAACTCTGGCTACCGGTTGAGGTATCGGTGCACGGCGAAGTGATGCTTACATCTTGGCCTGCTCGGTTATGCTTCACTGCTGCTTCGGAACCACCAGCACAACCACCCCTTGAAGACGGCGACAATTGGAAACAATGGTTTCCTTCCCCCGGCAAAGAGGGCACTGCTTACGAGGATCAGCTTTCCATTGCTGAGCAGTGGTTTTTCCGCGCCTCGGCTGGTGATGTAAAGAGCGGCAGTCCAGGCAATCCCACAGACGCTCTTCCTGGAGAGGCAGTCGATACTGTGGCGATGGCCGAGACACCAATGGCAACATCATCGCCATTCAATCAGCGCACTGCAGATCTCCAAGCCGCCATGGCTGGAATATATCCTACACCGCCAGATGGGCTTCTACCTGGCACTACCCCTTCGCAACACATTTCACAGCTCAGTGATGCCATACCAGAGGGCGAGGCGGTCGACTTCTCCGCCAGCATTGATGACCAGCCGGAGAGCAGCGAGGCCTTTGTACAACCAGCGAGGCTAATTCCATACCACTCAACGAATGAGGACCTATTTGGCGAGCTTGGCGAAATGGAAATGGGCGCAAACGAAGTTGGTGATGCTGACTTTGATTATTTCGACGAGCCGGATGACGTGCCAGTCGGAGAAGGTCCATCAAATCGCAATATGATTGTCGAGTCCCCGATTATGAACATCGATGCCCTCGTCGAGCCGACAAACGTAGTGACCATGTCACCAATGGAGACCCAATCTCCCGCTGGACCAGTCACCGGCGGTCATGCACACTCATATAATGAGACGCGTACCAGCGGGGGCCTGGAAAAAGATGACATGTCTGCTTCACTGCAGTCACCGCAACTGCTCCCGGCGACCGGCCCAAAACCTCTCAGCCCGTTTGGAATCCGGGAACGCATTCTACCGCCCCCAATCCCCGCCAGCGCTCAACAGCAGCTCAAGACCGACCTGAGGCGAAGTAGCTCTTTTGGCCCACTGGTCTTCAATGAGGCATTCTCTTGTAATCGCCATGACATCGAGCCTGTCACTGGTGGTGAACAAGGTGTTGCGCACCATGAGCAGTCTGACATTCGATTGCCGCGAAAGAAGCACAAGCGGCTTCGGCTTGCACGCAAGGACTCCGATTCAGGCGTGGATGGGATAGGGGAGATTGACATATCCGACGCGGATTTCAATCAAGACTCGTCAAGTACGAGTGTTGTTGACGATGACGAGAGACGTCCACCGAAGCTTCCATGGGACAACCGGGAGCGCAAGCGGAAGTCCGAGAACGATCACTCCCTCACACGCAGCAGCTCTTCGGCTGACGACGCTATGAGTGGAGGGAACGATGTCGACATGGCTGACATGGGCACCGCCCGTGGACAGCTTCACAATGGTCTTTTATTACTCGCGGCCACAGAGCAGGCGCTCGATTCTCAATCTTTTGATACGTTCCTTGAGACCCATACGCGGCGTGGGCGATCAGTGTCGCGGGCCGAATCATTATCACCAGTCGAGTCCTTTTATTCTCTTACCAACGAGGATATTGTTGCCGTCGCCCAGGTCGTCGCAGAACAGGCGACCGCAGCTTCTGTCACCTTGACAAGCGCAGATCAGTCTTCCACGGCGTCAGATCCCGCTTCTGCTGAGACTATTCGCATCTCCGTCGAGAGCGCTTTGTCTCTTATGCTCCCTGGTGCCGAGGACTGTGACGTTACAAGGATGGCATACGTCTCAGACAATGCTGCAAAGGCCTCCGCCAACAGAGCGCCGAGTACTCCGCACCCCCGCCCCTCTGCACGAGAGGGAACCCTGCAGGCTCCGAGCATCTTCCCACTCCAGACGCCCCACGTCCATGTCCAACGTGGAGCGGACACTTTCGATGTGCTACCTACGGCCCTGCCGTTCTGGAATGCATTGAGCCTGGGGCCTGCAAATGGGCCGAAGAATGCGAAAGTGATCTGCATGGTCCCTGATGTTGAGCCTCTCATAGGACTGGCTGCATCGTTCATAGACGACATGGGGAAGGTCTATGAGGGCCGTAAGTTGGGTGTGATGACCTCCACGGAGCGGAACGGCATACATGGTGCCGAACGAGGGGTCGTCACAGTGAAAACTCTCGATGAAGACTCGCCTGATCTGTCTGGTGTGCTGAAAGCTTACGCTACAGCTTCTGTAAAGTTGGGCAAGGCTCTAGCGAAAGGCAGAGATGCGGAGCTGGACCAGACCATTGTGATTTGCATGTTCAACCCCTTCGAAACCGACGAACGGTTGAAGCCATACCTGTGTGCATGCTACCAGCTTCTGCACAAGGCATACCATTCAGGCTCACATGCACCTCTGGACGCGACGAGCAGAAGCGATCTGTTGCTTCAGATTGTTTCCCTCTCCACGATTGCGTACCTTCAGGATATGGGCATGCCAGCTGGTGAGCATCTCATTCCCATGGCGACGTATATCTACGACAGGTGTCCTGCGTCAGGTAAGGACCTTGACAAGGCTGTCTCCCAATCCATACAATCAAAGACTGGAGCTCCGGCGATTGAGCTTGCAACGATTCCGCCCAAAAGAATTGGTTTCCAGTTGACCCCCGATCCACCTAGCGATATCTTGTTTGACGGATCCATTCTACACATCGCATACGCTTCAAGCAGAAACGGGCGCTGGCTGACGGCTTGCTGGACGGACAATACGTCGCACTACCAGAGAATATACTCGGCATCTCTCCGGGGCAGATCATTCCGGGACGTGGCTGCACATCTTTGGGAGGAGACGTGCGCGATCATCGCTGCGAAAGAGGTGACATGGCGTGTCTACATCGCAACGACTGGAGAGATCGATTCGAGTGTCGCCGCTTGTTGGAGAAAAGTGGTAACGGCCAAACCAAGGAAGCAAATGCTGCATGTGACGCTGGTGTCCGTCACTGATGACGATCTGGTCCAGCTCACTCCCGCAAGCACGCCAGACGTTTCCAAGTCGGGCATCAAAGTTACAACGCCAGGAGACGGATTCTCAACGCCGGCTTCGACACCGCAGACATCTACGTGCATCGCGTCTCCAGACCCGGGTGGTCAGACGAATGCGCCGCCAACTCCTGGGACGCGCGAGCCCACCAGCAACATTAGCGAGAACGATCCGGACGTTCAGTTGGTCGATTTGGCCGACGAGCATTGGGGAATGCTGCTGGCACCTTCGTTCAAGCCATCCCACTCGACGACGGCCTCGGATCCCGCTGTCAGCGGCCTTTTGATCCGCCGCGGCGATGGCGCTGACGTGCCGCTCGAAACGTTGAGTGTCAACTTGCATTGGGACATCAGGCTGCGTCCAAACAGTCTGATTGACGACGGTCCCCCGCGCCAGGTTGAAGCGAATCTTCGCGAGACAGTGAAAGCGTATCGGAGCCTTTCTTTAATGGCGAAGGTACGGGGCAAACCTGGGTTGATGCCTCTTCATATATCATCTACCCTCGCAGCTGCGCAGGATTTGGACCTACTATAGATCTTGAGAAGTGTACAAGAATCAACAATGAAATCTGTCGATAGCAGTCCTGGCCTGCGAGAGCGTGAAGTAGAATAAGTACTGTCCAGTGACTTAATTGTCATGACACCGTCAGGTTGTGGAGCCAATGGCTGTCGATACTCCTCCCTCTCTTGCCGCATTCGCCGCATTCGCTCTGCCTACCAAAGGGCGTTGTCATGGAGAAGCTGGTTCGTAGTGAACTAGATCAACCTGCAGTCGAGCGCGGGTCAGACTTCACAACACCTGTTTCGGGCATGCAATGACGATTGAACTTCCACTGGTCCTCGATCGTGCGCGATGGACAAGCGTGGGCGGTGGACGAACGCGGGCCAGAGCAATCACGTCCACTGACACATTTCTCCAAGCGTCGACCGTCATTGCAATGCCTCGTGCATCAGCTGACTGCACGTGCTCCTGCGACCATGACCACCCAGATACTGACGATTCAGTCATGCGCGCGTGCAAAAGGCATGCAAATACCAGAAACAAGCCAACTGCACAATTACCGGCTCGGATGACTAGATGAACGCGAAGGGCCAGTCCGTCCCGCTGATAGGTCGGACGAAGCTTCGATCAATCTAATCTAATCGTCCCCCACGCCCGCGTACCCAAGTCCCGTGAACTTCGGCTGCCCGCGACTCATGACGTCCCCGACAAATCAGCAGCGCGAGAGTCACGCGTGCCGGAGCAGGGCCCAAAGGCAAATCGCCCTTAGCGCGTGTCACGCAAGAGCAAGTGTTTCTTTAGCTCCCAACAAAAATTCACCCACCCTTACGCTCACACATTTACGGGCACTCGCCCTTTTGCTTGAGGAGCAAACTGCCCCGGAAGATGTCGGCCGTCGGCTGCTCCGTCCACCGTGCAAGTACATATGTAATCTATGACGATCACGTCTTATGTCGGGGAGATCACTCGCTCCGCATGCTTCCTCCGATTACCAGTGATTACCAACTTCCTACCCGAGTGCTTGGCGCCCTTCTTCATATCCATGATGTCTTAGGCTGTGGTTGAATCTGTCATTCTATGAGCCGCTCACTGTATCCCTCTGCTTTCGTCCCGTTCTTCGACCTCTTCTCCGCTGTCGACCACCTGAAATCGCTCTCCCAAATCCATCACTCACTGCATCATGGAGCCTGGTCCTCCCCGGAAACGACAGAAGTTCATCGTAGAGGATGATGAGGCGAGGGAGGAAGATGCTGACGAGCATTTGCCCACTCCTCCAGCATCGGACTGCGATGTGGAAAATGCAGAGTCGCGAATGTTGAAGCGTGCCACCAAGGTCCTTGCCACCGCCTCCGCTGCCCTGGATCATCTCACCCAGCTGTACGACAACGACTCCAGCATCCGTCAGAATTTCACCGCGGCCGTGGATGCCGTTGTTGCTGCCCATCATTCCGGCCGCAAACTTATCGTGTGTGGAGTTGGCAAGAGCGCTTTCATCGGTATGAAGCTCGCCGCGACGTGTCGGAGTCTGGGCATCGGTGCAAGCTTCATGCATGCGTGCGAGGCCGCTCATGGTGACCTGGGCGACGTTCGAGGCGGCGATGTCCTGCTGTTCGTCTCATTCAGCGGCAAGACGCCGGAACTGATCAATCTGTTACCACATCTCCCCCAGTCTACCGCGGTCATTGTTCTTTCGTCACAAACCAAAGCGGCCGACTGCCCATTACTTGCCGGACGAGGAGACAATGGACTACTACTGCCTGCACCCATCCCAGAGTCGGAAGAGGCCACTTTCGGCGTAAGTGCTCCCACGACCTCAACGACGGTGGCTCTCGCCGTGGCCGATATGCTCGCGCTCAGCGTCGCGGAGAAGATCCACCAGGAAAACAAGCAAAGCGTCTTCAAGCGGAATCACCCCGGCGGTGCTATCGGAATGGATCATCGAGAAGTCAAGAAGCTGAAGAAAGATGGGATGAAGGTGTCCATTCTGGAGTTGCCGAGTCCAAGCATATCTGCCGAGGACTCGTGCTGATTTGCCTCGAGCGGCAGCTACACAGTACAACACTGCTGGGTATCTGGCCTTGTCTGCAACTACCACTGCGAGCATCGATCTGCCCGATCGGTAAATCTCTGCCGGCATATACGCCCTCGTCTGTGCTCACAGTCCGAATGCAACGCGCCTCCAACAATTTTCAACATCCTCACACAGCGTGGTAAATGCCGGATTTTCGAGATTCGCAACCATGAAGTCTTCGAGGGCCGCCTGTCGATCATTCACGCGCCGCGTTGTAAACGCCTCCAACGCAATCCGGTCTAGATTTCCACCCGACAACGCGGATATCGCAACCGTGGCGCTGCCCAACGGCTCTGGTGGTCTTGTGGATGTGTCCATGGCGGGCAGCGAGAGGATTTTGTGAGGTGCATTTCTCACGCTGCTCGTTCGAAGGACTCTGTCATTCGAAGAGCGCTCTGCAAGCGGCTCGCGACTCTGGAGGCGGTCATCCATTTGGCCCCCCTGCTTGATTTTATCATGCTCACCCCGAAGCGAGTCTTTGTATGCTGGCAACCTGGAGTCGTCTGGTCGAATCGTCGTTGCACAATCCGGGATCTCGGACTCATCGGGAACAAACGATCTCTTCGAGCGTGCTCTCGTGCTCGGTCGATAATCTGCTGGCCCTGCGCTCGACGAAACGCTAGTCGGTCCTTCGAGACGAAACGGTGTGTCCTTTGTAAAGCTCGGTTTCGGCAACGGTGGCAGATCCAAAGCTGAGGTTGGACGACTTCCAGCCAATTCAGTACCTCTTCGTGCATACTCTCGCTGGGATATGGGCGCCTCAAACCGCAGCGGAGCTGTTACAGGAGTCGAGCTCCTGCCAGCCGTGACGGAGCGTGCGATTTCATGGTCGCGCTCAGCCGAGTCGGACGGCCATGCTCTGCTCTGCAATGTCGAGAGAGCTGGAGTGGGAGAAGTTTGATTGAGCACGCTCGATGGTCGTGTTGCTTCGTGCAGGCTGGATTGTGAGGGGTCGGATGGGTTGAAGTAAGAAGAACGGAAGTCAATCGATCGGGGACGTGTCTTCTCCGCAGCCGTGGTGGACATGCTCGTGGTTGAGAGTGCAGTCCCAGGTCTGGGGTCCTTGAGACTTATGCCGCGAGTCAGGAGAAGCTTGACGATCTGCTGGCATTCGTCATTGCTATGCATGCGAAGCTGCACGCGCGTCACCTGTGCACAGCTCGGTTATTCAGAGTTCTACGAATGACATGATAAATTCTACTCACCTGCCCATTACCTCCAGGATATCTGAGCGCAAGTAGTGAATCCTTCGTGATGGCGAATGCCGGTAGTTGGTCAACTTTCGGTCTTATTCCCGCTTGCTCGAGTGTGTGTCGGGTCTTGTTGGCGTCGTCGATATGAGCGCCAATGTCGATGCTCTCCTGCGTCTGAGTCAGCGACCGTGTGCAGGTTCAAGAGCTGGAAGCAGTCACATGCCAGCACTTGGTTGTTGTTGATAATGCGCATAAGGAGTTGACCGCTCCCAACATCCGGCTCTGAGCCCTTCACCAACACAAACAGGTTGTCTGAAGTTACATGACTCCATGCAATTGTACCGTTAGGCCTCACGCCAAGCGCGTGGGAGAATTTGGTGAATTGCAGACAGATGTCTATCGTGCCTCGCGGAGGCGCCATTCCCACTCGAGCAGTGTCAGTGCTGCACACCTCGTCATCGCATCGAACGCCACTTCACAGCCTGAGCAGGATTCTGGAGTGCAAAGGCAATCGGGCTGTGATAAGAAGTCAAGTCACGACCGACATGGATCAGGCTCAGCCTGAAGTGACGTCTCCATGCAAGTTGAGTGTTTGAAGCAAGGGTCCCGGGTGGTCCCGGAGCCAAGCTTCCACGTGGCGCGGGCCGCCCCTAGCGCGGCCGGGCGGCTTTGTCGAGCGTGTCCTGCAGGTCTGCAACTGCCACGGCCACCCTCGCGCAAAACCACCCTTGTAGCTGCGCATTGTCGCGCAATCTTGACCACCAAGCTCGCGCACGTTACAAGCCCTCGCACGTCGACTACCGAGACTCTGATGCCGTATATGGACCCCAGCACCCGCACGCGCTGAAACGTGGCACTGGGCATTCACTGCAAACAAATATGCCCCCTCGACGCGGTGAATCAATCGAACGCAACGATGAGTACGACTCCTTCATCAAAACCGTCACAAAATACCATGAAGCTCGCGGGTAAGGCTCCACGTTGGCCCTCTTCCACTGTTCGTAAAGGATGCACTGACGCGCGTGTTCCTAGGACGACCTTCGACCCAGAGCCTAAAGTCGGCGTTCGTCACATCGATTTGCTGAATCTCTATCGACGCGTGACCGAAGAGGGTGGATATGATCTGGTGTCAGATAGGGACGCGAAGCCTTTGATGTGGCGGAAGCTGGCGGAAGAATTCGTCGGCAAGAATCAATACACCGCCGCGCAAGCGTTTCAGATCAAGAACGTGTACTACAAGAATCTGTGCGCCTACGAGATCAGCACACATTGGGGCAAGGAACCGCCGCCGAAAGAGATCTTAGAAGAGGTGACTGCAAAGGGCGGCAACGTCATGTCACGAACGCTGGACAATTTCGCGCGGCCCAGCAGCAGGGAGCAAGTGAACCTCGAGAATGGCGATGCAAGCGATAACAGCCCAGAAGAACAAAAAACACCAGAGAAGGAGAAGCCCGAGGAGGATTCAAACGGCGCGGGCGCACGTACACGCGGGCTACGACAGCAGCCACCGCAGCGAGTACTTTTCCAGCCCGACCTTACCTCCGCACGTCAGAATCGCAGCCAGACCACCGCTGCTTACGGCTCTCCTACCCCCACTGGCCCCGGCACGAATGGCATCATGAATACTGCTTCATGGGCTAGTGGTGCTTCGTCCACTCTTGCTTCATACGAGCCTTCGCAGTCATACCCTCTGTCGCTGAAACCCGCCACCACCCCCGCGAACAATCCGGAATTCTACCATTTGGAGCGCAAGCGGAAGCTCGAGGCGAATGCGGGACCACTGGCGAAGAAGTACAAGAACATCATGCTTCCGGGTACGGGGTTTATTGGACCTAGTATCTACACGCGGGCGCAACTCGCGCTCCAATGTGGTCTACCGGAAGAGGAGCAGTATGCACTTCATCACTTGGTCAAGATTAGCCACGAGCGAGGAGACAAGTACCGCTTCGACCAATTCCCCGGCCTTGCAGAAGCGTTGGTGAAGAAGGCACTGCAAGTCAGTAGTCTTTTCTACGATGTTGAGTGGGATGTAACATACGACGAGGATTCGGGGACGATTGATGACGAGGTCTTGAACGGCCTTCATGGAACCTCGGACATCATCCAACGACTACGGTCCAAGATTCCACTGGTATCGAACGACAGTATCCAGGACGCGGACTTCCTGTCCAAGATGAACCGCATCACTGAAGCCGGTCTGATCATCCGGAACATGTGTATGCATGACGACAATGCAAAGTACCTGTCCATGCAGCCGATGGCGCGCGACTACCTCGCCATTGTCCTAAACCTTCCACAACACAGCAGCATCGTCGAGCTTCAACATTACGCGCTGGAGGCTGCCGAGCAGATCTTGAAGCACTGCGATATTGGCCGGCATGACGCTCTTTACCACAGTCTGCTCATGCAACTCGACAGAGAGGACCGCGGAGCTGTCACGCTGGCTTTGCGAGCCATCAGTAGGATCGCGATGCATCTCAAGCTGCCCAAGCGATTGGACGACGTGTCCGACAATACGCTACAAAAAGCACAAGACTGGCTGATGGTAGAAGACGAGGAATTGCGGACCGCCTGCCTCGACTTCCTCATGCAGTACACATCTTTTGCGGACAATGTCGATAATCTCCTGCAAGCTGTCGACGCCGAGCTGCTTGTCAGGCAACTAAGCAGACTGCTATTCTCCGGTGCGAAGGAACACAAGGAGCAGAAGCCTCTTGCTCGGCCGGAGAATGACGACTCCGCCGGCCCAGTGCCCCGGCTCTCGAAAAGCGTTGTCGAGGCTTTGTTGAAGTTGGACGAGCCCGAGCGCTCTTCTGAGTGGTTGCGAATGTGCTTCTTGGCCGATGTCAGCTCTGAAATGACGCAGATATCGCTGTGGCAAGCATATCAGGCCACATTTTCCACTTTCCACGCCACCCACCCACACTTGGTCGCCGGCGATTTCATCAAGAACGTCAGTAACACTTTCATGGGTGCGACGGCGCAAGTTGCGGGCTCGAACAAATACGTCATCAGAGGCATCAAGCCGCGAAAGGTGCCGGTGGACACATCGGTGCTTTCAGGGGTTCGCACGAACGACAAGCCAAAGGAATTGCAGAAATGCTGTTGGAAGGTATCGACAACTGTTGAATCGCCTAGAGATCCTTCGACGGGAATGCAAGGACCCCCCATGACCCGAGAGAATGAGTGCGCCGAATGGTTCAGAGATGGGCGCGATCTGTTGAAACATATCCTCAACGCCCACCTGCGCATCCCGAGCAAGAAGGTGGAAACTGTAAAGCACGAAGAGGGCATGGAACCCGAGTCGAATTCTACGCCGGTCACCTCGGCAGCCTCGCCGAAGCTCGCCAATGGAACGGGTACGGATGCCCCCGGGAGCAGCTTCGATTTCCAGGCCGCAGACAATGCCATCCACCATTGCAGATGGGCCAATTGCACCCGCACTTCCCAGGACTACTTGGCTTCGAAGACACCTCGTACCCTCCTTCTGGCTCGCCATATCCAGACTCATCTGCCCGACACATCGAGCGCGAAGAACGAGCACAATCTCAAGCCTCAAACAGCTCGACAGCTTGCATCTACCGCGCCATCGTTCATGACGAGTCTTCAAGACGAGAAGAACGATGCGGCGGGAGTGCCACTCGGGGCCGCACTGGTCCTTCGCAACATCGCAAAATTTATCCCGCAGAAGACTTCGGCTGTGTCTGCTGCAGAGGGCATGCGTGAAGTCCTGGGCGGCGAGAAGATCGAGGAGAAGGATGAGCAGAAGGATACACCCATCGGGAGTGTGTTCAACGATTCGGTTCAAGACACGCTGTTCTATGCCTTTGCGCATCAGCGAACGGTCAGGGATTATGTTGGCTACATTTTCCGAGCGATACGAGCCAGTGGTGGTTGATTCGTGTTTGCAAGGTGGAGCTGCGGAGCGTAGAGGGTGATGTAGTAGTCTAGCCGTTGGTATGAATGAGAATATGCGCATTCTCCAGCACGCAAACGTCCGCACATATTCAACTACCGCACCTTGTGAGTTCGTACTTCAACCATCCTGCCCTTTATCACTCGCCGCCTGTCACGGAAGCAACAATTCACGTAGCCACAAGTATGATCAAATGCTGAGGAGGCAGCATAATGTCATCAACCAACACCGTCGAGGTCAAGCCGTCTCCGCTTGGCGGCAAGGGAACCTTCACAACCAGAGCCTGTGAGGCTGGAGACGTCGTGTTTTCCCTGGACCGGCCGTTAATCGCGACCCTCGACCGAGCTCGCATCGCAGATACCTGCTCCTGGTGCTTCAGCTGGACGGACCTGCCAGGGCTGTCGGGAGCTGGAATCAATCAGACAGCAAAAGTCAACTGGTGCTCGGGATGCAAGAAAGTCAAGTACTGCAGCAAGCGCTGCCAGTCGCAGTCGTGGAAGGCAATCCATAAGCGAGAATGCAAGGAGCTCGCGTCTCAGGCGGAGCCGCTGCCCAACACCGTCTTCGCGGTGATTCAGATGATGGAGGGCCTGAGCGTGGGGGACCAGCGATACAGTTCCATCCTCGAGCTGGACGCCCATCGAGATGACTTTGAGAAGGCGGGAGGGCAGAGGTGGGATTCAATGCAGCTCATGGCCACCACTGCCATGTCCGTCATGCGTGCGAAAGGTGTCAATGTCGCGGGCGAGTCGGCCACGATGAGCATGTGTGTGCTGATGTGTAATTCATCGCGTTTGGTGACGCCTACCTTTGATCCGCTGGGACTTGTTCTGGACCCTGCCATTGCACGGCTCAACCATTCATGCGATCCCAATGCTGTCATGGTCTTCGACGGGCCTAGACTGGCGGCGCGCGCTCTGGCCCCGATCCGGGAAGGGGATGAGGTCTTGATCAGCTACATCGACAACACGGCACCGTATGGGGTGCGTCAAGGGGAGCTGCAGTCACAGTACTTCTTCGATTGCAAGTGCACGAAATGCCAGCTTGGGAACAAAGCTGCTCAAGATGCATTCCTGGACCCTACTTCTGATTTCGAGGAGCGTATCAAATTGATTGACGATCTTCTCCCGAAGCTGGTGGACGATCCGGCGTGGCCACGACACGTCCTCGGTGAATCGAAGCACGAGCAGCGGCTATCTGCGCTGCAGTTCTACGCCTATTCATATCTAGATTCGCCAGATGCCGCGCGACCAACGCGAGATGCAGCCAGCCTTCGAAAGGCAATTGCCATCATCCGGAACACGGGTGTCTGGCCTTTGTCTAGGCAGCCGCTCCCCGCGCTATACCGGCAGTATGCCATTGCCTGCCTAGAGGGGAAGAGGTACAACGAAGCTTTCATCGCGATGCTGCGCCTACATGCTCTCATCGACCCCGTCGTCTATCCGCAGGCGCATCACCCGGTGAGAGTCGTACATGCATGGTCGCTTGCGACGCTGTCAAAGGCTATCGGAAGTGATCCGACTTCTGAGTTTTGCAGAGCATTGCAATCGCAAGGAGTGGATCTGAGCATGCTGTTCCTTGCGTTGTTGTTTGAAGTCGTCGAGCAAGTGGAAAAGAGTCATGGGTCGAAGTCTCTCTTCGGACAAACGGTGGGAGGGGCGCTCCAGGCCATGATGGAGCCCGGGGGAGAGCTCGATAGTCAGTTCTCGCTGATGGGCGTGAGTAGGGAACAGTGGCCGAAGATTGTCGAAGATCGGATCAAAGAGTTGTGGCCGAAGGTCCTGGCTTTTGCTGAGAACGACGACATTGCCGCACAGATCGACGAGGCCGTGGCGTGATGGCAGGGGAGGTGGTGGATATCTGAATTTGTGCTTGGGAGTGCATCAGTTTGCATCCAAAGTTTACACCAGCCGTGCAACGAGGTTATGTTTCGTAGCGTCTCTAGACCTCGACATGCTTGTCCGAATTGTCGAGTTTCCGTAATCTTGCCCGAGCTCATACCAGCTGAAGGGCAGTCGCTACCTTTGCCGCGATCTCTCGGAAGGAGGCTGCTTGTGGTCCGTGAGGGTCTGCGACAACGGTCGGCTTACCCTCATCGGCGTCCACACAAATGCGTGAGTGGAGTGGAATATCACCGAGCAGCTCTATCCCCATCTCATCACATTTTCGTCTTGCTCCTGTCGGTTGTGTGAGCTCCAATTGAACACTGCATCTGACACTCTGTCGTGAAACGCACCATCCAGGCCAAAGATATCATGCTTATGCCCACACTCTGAGCAGTGAAAGGTGCTCATGTTCTGGACCATGCCGAGGATGGGCACATTAACCTTCTTGAACAGATCTAGGCCACGAACGGCGTCGCGAAGCGCGAGGTTCTGCGGAGTGGACACGATGACGGCACCTTGAAAATAGTCAGCTGCGACGGCCGAAAAGGTAGCTTCCAGACCGCCTCACCAGATAGTTCTATGCTTTGGGCAATGGTAAGCTGCACGTCGCCGGTACCTGGGGGAAGGTCGAGGATAAGCAGGTCCAGTTTGGGCCAGGCCACTTCGAAGAGCAATTGATTCATAGCTTTCTGGACCATTAGTCCCCGCCAGGCAATGGTATTATCCTGGGGCACGAGAAACCCCATGGACATTGCCTTGACCCCATACGCCGAAAGGGGAACCAAACGATTGTTCGGGTCAAGTTCCGGTTCCAGTCCTTCCAACTATTGTGCATCAGCGGTCAAACACGCCACGGCGGCAAGGGTGGCGCATACACACATTGAGTAGAGTTGGGACGCTGGGGCCGTAGATATCAGTATCGAGCAGTCCCGTTGATATACCACTTCGAGCCATGGCGAGAGCCAGATTGACGGCAAGGGTGCTCTTCCCCACGCCTCCCTTTGCACTGCTAACGGCAACAACCCTGCCAACATTGGGGATGGCACGCTTCTCCGGCAGACCTAGGAGGGTGGACGAAGTATCAGTATGCAGCTGTCACCATCTGCAATACGCACGCTCTTACCGCGTTTCATCCGAGCTGCAATGTTGGGAGGGGTGCCGGAGCGCGGCAAGCCCTGACGTCTCGCTGTTAGTGAAGAGACTCTGATGAGATGGGTGGAAGGAGTAGATTTGCACGTACAAGCGGGTTCTCGTGACCGTTTGCCCGGAGACATTGCGATGTCGACAGGTAACGTTGGGGAACAGCGGCGTTGCGAAAGAGAAAAGTACGCAAATGAGCGGGTAATCGGAATAGAGCAGAAGCGGGTTGCTGCATAATGAAGGCCAGACAACGGTCAAGCTGCGGGTCGAGGAGAGATGGGAAAGGGTGAGAGGAGGCATGTAAGGAATCAAGATGTCGGCGAGGTGAAGTTGATGGGGGATCGTTCAGTTTGAAGCACCAATCAACGAGCACCTCAGCCTGAAGGCACTCTGCGAAGCCAGGGCACGATGTGGATTGGACGGAATCCGTAGTGAGATCGGTATCATTCATCAATCACGTACGCTCGACTGGAAACTGTTTTCCATCCCTGCGCCCACGCCCTCCTCTAATAAAATGGAAATCGCTAAGGCAATCGACAGAGTCATCCCTTTGGCCCTCTCAACGCCCAATACGGAAGTTCCTATCCCAAATCCTCCGCCTTATACAGCAAAGACCTACACCACGTCGACGTAATTGCTTGGAAAGATGCCTTCGCGGTCCCCTATCCGCCCCGTCCACCAGTCCGTCTCGTTCTGCGTTTTCTTCACAATCGTAATGATGTCGCCCTTCTTGAAGCCCAGGTCACCCGGCTGGTCGGCATCGAAGGTGAACTTCGCAATGGCCTGCCCGGCGCCCGCACCGCTCTTGCTCGCAAAGACGGGCGGCTTCGGTGCCGTTGGCCGCCCGGGTGCGGGGCCTTTGCGGTCGGAGTAGACGTAGTCGCTTTGGTCGCCGAGCGTAGATGCGCGCGAGCGGTTCTGATTGAGTTGGCCAAAGCCACTTATGCGATTGGAGGCCTGGTCGTATGGATCATCCTGCCACGTGTTGCTCTTCTGCGGCTTGTCGCGGTACGCGTAGTCGTCGGCGGCCCCCATACTGCCCGTCCGATTGCTTCGCACGCCTTCGCCGTACGCCGAGCCCGTCCGGCCCTGCCAAACCACATCCTCCTGCGCATCGTCGTAGACGGGCACGTCGTTGTACATGGCATCATCCTGCCAGCTCCCACCCGTGCCTGCAAACACACGCGAGTTGAGGACGCGGGTGAGGGGTTCGGCCTGGGGAGGCACGGGGACACTTCCCCCCAGCAGCTCGCGTGCAGTGACCTTGCGGTTGTACAGCTTCTCGTTTGCATCTCTTCTCTCGATCAGGACGGAGCCTTCCAGCGACACCCCGGCGAACAGACCCTTGGTCTTGCTGTAGGCGAAGATGCCCGACACACCCTTGAGCGATGCGGCGCCCGCAGCTTCGGCATTGCGGCCGACGGGGCCGGCGGCGATGGAGACGTTGCCGCCGAGGGTGAGCGAGCCGACTTGGGCAAAGGTCTTGACGGCGGAGGCGTCGTTGAGGATGAAGACAAAGTCGGTAAGTTCGAAGCCAATCTGCCCGCCGAAGCCGCCGCCTACGGTGCCGATTGCGCTGGGCGCGGACCTGTGGGGAGGAGTATGTGTCAGAAGATGGATCGGAGGTGCTCGTTTGCGCCTGCTGCTCACCATGAACCATCCGGCAGTCGAGCGACCACCACGCCACTGCCAAACCGGCCAGAGCCCAAGAAGCCCGCCTTGAAGACGGTCAAGATCGCTAGGCCTTTCGCATTGGCGAGGATGTTGGGCGGGATGATCTTGTCGGGGCCGAAGGCTTGTCGCGGATCGACGAAGGAGGCAAGAATGCGGCCGGCCTTCTTGCATTCACCTGGCCCGCGTGTCAGCGATCCCTGGGCGATGCGAGGCATGGAGGGGTAATGGAGGCGGGCGGGGACTTACTTCGCATCGACGAGGGCAGCGGGTTGTTGATGAAGGGCGGCATGGCTGCGGCCGGGGATGCGAAGGGAGATGGCGACTGCTTCTGCGGGGAGGGCGGGGTGTGTCGTGAATGGTGGTTTCAGTTCATATCGTCCTCATAAAGGAAAGGATGGAGGGTTGGAGCAGGTCAGGTGTGTCACGGCGTGTGTCTGTCGCTGCGCCACGACGGCCCTCGCTTGCGACGTCACTGGCCGCTGCTTGCGTGTGCGCGACGCCACACTCGGCACCTCACTCATCCAACCCATCCCCTTCCATCCACCGCCCCAAATCTTCCCCCCTGCATCACTCCAGCCCGTCAGCCCCGGTGCACGAGTGCTTGACGTATGCGACCAAGATGTCGGAAGCTTTCGAGCGGGAAAGGTATGGCAGCAGAGAGCAAACGCGCGCGCCCGCCCGCATACATCCCTCCCACTGACCGATCCCGCGCAGGCAGAACAACGATTCCCTCTCCGCCCTCAGTGCGAAGGTCAGCCAGCTGCGCAGTGTGACGGTCGACATCTACGACAATGCGCGCGACCAGGGAGTCATCGACTCCACCTCCGACACCTTCTCCAACATGACCACCTCGCTCAAAGGCTCCGCGAAGCGCCTGGGCACCATGGCCAGCCAGGGCAACCGCGTGGCCATCCTCAAGCTGGCCGGCATCATCATAGGAGTCTTCGTGCTCTTGTACTGGATCTTCACCTGGATCTTCTGAGCATGAGCATGAGCATGAGCTTGGGCAAGGGTATAGGCATGGGCTTGGGCATGGCCTTGGGCATCTTTTCAGCGCCGGCGTCGGGGGGAAACATGATACTAGTATGTTATGGCCATCTTCTGCCTCCCGCTTCATGGGCAGTGGGTGGCTGGAAGAATCAAGGGCACACGCCCGGTCAAATTCCCTGCTGCTTTGCAATGCATTCCGAAGACCCAATGCTATGCCCCACTACCACATGCCGTTTATCGCACAAATGCCTACATTTCCCTGCGTCATCCCCATACATTCCCAAATAAATCATCACTCCCCCCGCCAAACCCTCCGCTGCTACTCTGCTTGGGCGCTGTGCTGGTGGTGGCAATCGGGCTCGCGTGACCCCACTCGCCGAACTCCTCATCCTGTTGCACACTCACCGGACCTGCCGACTTGGCGGGAGACGCCACCTCACCCCACCCGCTGTCAAATGGTGTCTGCATCGCCGGCGCCGGCGCGGGCGCGGGCGGAGACGTCTGTGCTCCGCTGGGCTGCGCAGCACGAGGTGCCGTGGGCTGCGATGGTGCGTCTGCATTGGCCCATGGATCGCTCGAACCCCAGGCGTCGGCGGTGTTGAAGTTCGAGAAGTTGGAGAGTGCCGGTGCTGCGGGCTTGGGCGCCGCCGCCGCAGGCTGGCTCACCGGCTTGGAGAGATTGAAGGCAGAGTCGGAGGGGTAGTTTGCCTGCTGCGCTTGGACAGGAGCGGGAGGGGACATGGTTGCGGGCTGTGAGGGGATAGGAGGGGAGGACATATCGAAGAGATCGCCCATACTGCTCGTGTTGGCAGGCGGAGACTTGGTCGTAGTGATCGGGGATGCACTCGAGGAGAAGTCACCCCAATCGCCCCCGAAACTCTCCTTCCGTGCGGCCGTGGCTGTAACCGGTGCAGGTGCTTTCGTGTCGAAGAATGACCCGCCACTAAGCGCAGACCGGGAGACGTTGGGGGCGGATGGCACAGTGGGGGATGCAAGGTTGGAGAAGGGGCTCGAGCGTACTTGACTTGGCTGCTGCGAATTGAAGGACAGCGAGCTGAATGCATCGTTCAGCCCCTCGCTTGGCTTCGAGTGCATGCCAGCAAAGGCGTCGAGATTTGACGCATTCTGCGGAGGTGCTTGCGGCTGGGGCGCAGGTGCTGCCGGCTTGGCAGCGTATAGAGAGAGGATGGAGGATTTGAGGTCGGCTCGGCCACGCGATGCCGTGGTGTTTGGGCCGGTGCTGGCTGGTCGAGCAGGGGCAGACGAGGGCGCGCCCAGAAAGTCCAAGCCAAGTAAACTCTCTCCCGGCTTGGTCTGGCGGGGCGGGGCAGCAGAGGCCTTGGGTGGCGCCGTCTTCTGTGCTGGAGGCTCAGTCGAGCTCGCCCTGGCCGGCGAGATGTCTTCTGTGTCGCCGAATAGATCAACACTCGGAGCGGCGCCTCTGGAGGGTGGGGACAGGGCAGTGGAGCGTCCGCCTCCGTTCCGCAAGCTAGCACTCCGCTCGATAGCCTTTTCCCTCACCACATTCAACGGCACATCATCGTCCGCAGCGCCCTCGCCATCGTCCAGCGTGCTCGGGTCGGGCATTGGGCCATCCATCACCCACCTTCTGCTATCGTACTTTGTGCGAATGAAGTTCTCAATCTTGGCCTCGTTGGGGACATGGCCTTCCGCTAGCTTGTGCTCCCAGTACTTGTTCGCTCGCGTATTGCCCCAGCGGACCATGTTTTGCATTTGCTCGTCCGTCCAGGAGTCGAGGTCGACGCTCTTGACGCGCGAGATGTGGGTTCCCATGCCGCGATGGATGCCGGAGCAGCGAATGCAAAGGAAGATGCCGAGATTCCATGACGCCCAGCGCGGGTGCTTGTTGCGCTTGCAGTCGGCACAGCTCTTGTTGGCCTCCAGCTTCACCAGCTGCTTCAGCATCGCTCGGTTTTGCTCGGTGCGATCAGCACCAGCCGGTGGCCGTCGAGACATGGCTGATGCTCCCTTCTGCTACACGTCTCGAGCCCGTACGATGCACGGAAGGCGGAGGCGAGGTCGTGCTCGGTCACGTCGGCCGGGTAACGGTGTTGTCTCCGAAGTGGCGCGTTTGGTGCACAGAGTGAGGAAGTTTGGGGCGAGATAGGAGGATGGAAGACCACGCACGCCGGTGAAGTGCATCAATTGTGGAGATGGCCGCCTTCCGCTTACCAAATCCCCGTGGCGCGGGCCCAATCTTTAGGGTTACGGCGGTAGGGTTAAGGTAAGGCAAGAGCCTGATCTCTCGGGGCGAGTGACGGAGAGCAACACCCCCTCACCCTTGGCGTGTCGAGTTTGCCGCCATCACTTCTGTAGAGTAGCCCAGTCTGAATCACGAATGTGAAGGCGACAAGATGCCGTCATTCACTGCACAGCCAGCCGCGCCCTTCCCCGATGGCCTTCCTTTGGCGGACATCTACACCGTCGACTGCGACAAGCTCCGGGCGGGCGATGAAGTGGACGAGAGGAAAGTGTACGATGCCTCGAGGGGGTATGGCTTCTTCTACCTCACCAACACCCATGTCGACTACGACTTCATGTTTGATGTTGCCGATGAAACATTCAGTCTCCCCCTCGACACCAAGATGCAGTACGAAATGGGCAACACCGGCTCGTATTTCGGGTACAAGATGAGTGGAAGTAATTATGTTGATGCTAAGGGGCGAGTCCACCTACTTGAACCGCACTTCTCTCAACCTGATTAACGTGCGATTGCTAACGAATTGATAGAACGCCAGACAAGGCAGAGGTATCTCCGTTTCCTCGACTCTTGTACTAGCTTCCTGCTGGACATCACCCTAGCTGACCGTCTGCCAACCCGACCTAGTTCTACAAGTGCATCTCCTCGAACCATCCAATCAGTCTCGAACGCTACTAACCCGTCCTCCTTCGTAGTGTCTCCAAGGACGATGTCATGCGGATTGGACGATACATGGATGACCCTCTGCAACATCCCGACACTATCGTTCGCCGACGACCCGAGCTCGAAAGATTCATGGCATCGTGCCACGAGGTCACTCTTGTGATACTGCGGGTATTGGAACGCCAACTCGGGCTTGACGCTGATGCTCTCCTCAACATCCACAAGCTTCACGAGCCCAGCGCCGACCAAGCTCGGGTTACCTTTGCACCCCCAGTCGGGTCCGGTGAAATCTTATTTGGCGAGCATTCCGGTGTGACCGTGCAATATGAAGGATACGCGAGCGCCCGCGACTGACCACTGGCGCAGACTTCGGATCAATCACCGTCTTGTTCAACCAGTTAGGCGGCCTGCAGGTCATCAACCCCGAGTCGTACGAGTGGAAATACGTGAAGCCGAAACCTGGAGGTACATGTCGCGCCTCTCATCCTGTGCCCACCTATCCGGCTGACAATGTGGTCCCCTTACAGCTGCGATTATCAATTTGGGCGATTCGCTTATCAAGCTGCTGGGCGGTAGGTTGTACAGTGCTGTGCACCGCATCATGGGCCCTCCCGGGCCGCAGGCTCAGTATCCCAGGCAAAGCGTGGTCTATTTCTCAAGGCCGAACAGCGGTATTCTACTGCAGAGCTTGTTTCCGGGAGATCCAAAGGAAGAGAACCCCATGACGGCAGACGAGTGGGTGGCTCAGCGAGCAAAGCTGAGGAGAACGGCGAATTATCAGGACGCCGCTTCTTTCAAAGCCAGTCGAGGAACGGAACATCTCAATGGCCGGCTTGAAGCAACTCTAGATGGAATGGCTAAGAGTGATCGTTAAGCCTATACACTATACGATCATAGTGTGATTCCAGACCGTCCAACACCCATATTAGACGATCTCACTCTTTACGGTCGATTTACCGACGAGGCATTCATTCGCGTTCATCGGTACGCACCGGCTGCATTTCCTCACCAAAGCTTCAATTACCCAAGTATATACCGACTAGTAACTCACAAAGTTCAAACCATGCGTCTCACCGTCTCCGCTCGTCCCGGCTTCGTCTTACCACTCTCCACTCGTTCCAGCATCGGAGCTCCGTCAAATTACGACTCATTGCCGAAGGTGTTGGGAAACGGAGGCGCGTCATTCTTGTTGGCGCCGCAGGCTCTCCAGACGACCATGTTGGTAGGGGTCGTGTCCTCGCCCAGGATGGTAGTACCCTTGGAGTTGGCGATGGTGATGTTGAGGGAGAAAGGTCCACCGCCGTTGCCCCAGATGACGCGAATGGGGAGGTATTCGCCCGGGGTCATGTTCACGGTGTAGTCCGCGACGCCGTTGCCGCCATAACTGGTGTAGTACCCGACGGCGACAGCGTTGTCGCGCGTCCAGCCACTCTTTGCGGTGTCGCCGGTCCAGAGAAGGGCAATGTCGTCGATGTCGTTGATCTGGATCTTGTACACCCCGGCTATGTCGGCCTTGATGTAGCCGCGGTGGTTGACGGCAAAGCCGTAGTCGGGGATGGAATTCTTGCTGCCGTAGATGTGGATGCCCTGGCTGGGATCAACCCCGTCGGACGTGAAGAAGCCGGTGCTGGTGGTGCTGTTGTAGAGGACGTTGGCGGTGCCTTGGCCACCGGCCGTCGTCGACTTCATGTACGTCGGGTCGAAGGAGGAGTACTGCTCGTCGGTGCGAGCGAAGGGGTTCTTGAAGGCCGCATACTGTAGGCCACGCGACCTCTTGGCGCATGCCTTGCCGGCCGGACTGTTGGCAAGCGTGGCACCCTGCACCAGGGCCAAGTTGAAGGCGAGGAAGAAGAGTTTGAAGTGCATCTTGATAACGAGCGTTGGTAGCGAAAGTGGGTAGTGGGAAAGATGTGCGTGAAGCTGAAGTGAATGTGAGTGAGGATGAGAGTTCTCTTACCAGGTCAGGAGCGATGGGACAGTCTTTTATACCCTTTCGCTTGGCAGGATATGAGAGCATCCGTGGTGTTCGGATGAGATCTATTAAATTTCTTCGAAACGGTCTGGACGCGATCCGCATGAATCTCGCATCTGGAGGAGCAATATCCGCTGTTTCGCAGCGACGTCCACCACTCGCAGACGTTCGAATGCAGCATTCACTGCACTCGCTTGGGCGATAGGTGATGGGCGAGCGGTGATGTTCATCTCAGCGGGCCGGCGAAGGATGCTTCGAACCCACGGATGCACGGGCCGGCCTGAACAACCTGGCGGATCTTGCGAATCTGGCTACGGGCAACGCTGAGCCAGGATTGTGCCCAACCACGGATCCACAGTCAGTAGGGGCGCGATGGCGCAAGGACAGAAATCCTCATGTACAGTATATCTTGCTTGTACCTGGTCGGGGATTACTCCGACGGCATAAACGACCCCGAACCTGCCGCTAAGTCAACGAAGCTTACATTGCCACTCTGGAAAGGGTGATAGGGGTTGGGATTGTTGTCCCTGATCCTCCGGCGAGGGCTTGACGAGGGTTCCGGCGCCAGTTTGGGGGTCGACGGAGAGCCTGGTCGAATTTGGCGGCGCGCTTCGTGGGGAAACGGGTGTTCGGGAAGTAACTAACAATGCTTGGATTCTGGGCAATCTTGTTGATCCATACAAGAAAGCTTGGGCGCATAGCTAAGCGTGGAAGCTTTTTTGGATGCGCGGCGGCTGGTTGGTTTTCGAGGCCCGTGTTTACGCGGGGCCCCTCAATTTCGTCAACATCCTGTCGCGGCACCTATACCCAGATTGATCACCTCCTTAATCACCACGATGATCGATGCTGCATGTCGCGATGGCCAGAATAGGAAATATTGGTCCGCCTGGGCATTGTCCGGCGCTTGCTCAACAGGCAACTCTGCGAATGTGCCAGATGTTGCTGCCGAAACCCGTGGGTGGCGTGGTAAGCGGGCATCGTGAGCGTTTCAGTATCTAGGTACGTTAGTATAGGTCAGGTGCAATCCTGCCTTCCGGAACAGGACGCATGCCGCACCACACCCCGTACTTTGTTTCGATAGTCTGATTGCCAACCGTACTCCTTGGTACTACTGTACATACTGTGTAGTGTCCGAAGTGCAAGCCGGGGATGAGTTCCGGGACAGACGGAGAGATGAGCTCCGGGATAGACGCCGAGATGAGTTCCGGGATAGATGCTGGCCGGGATTGGAGGTGCAGTCAAGGGGCCAGTCAGCCCTTCAGGTCTTGTCATCATGCTTAAGCGCATATCGCCAGACCCGACTTGGCCCTCTTCACTGCTTATCATTAGCAAAAGTGGTGGCCTACGATACGGCGACTTTGGCGTTGTCGAGGAACACCGCTGGGCAATAGACGTGCTAAAGCGTAGTAAGCCAGACGGTTTGCTCCCGGACAGAGCATTCATCAGTGACTAATTCCTCACGGCTGACAAGGCTCCTACCCGACCTCTCACTAAAAGCTGCGCATGAGCTCTGCGCATCACGCAATGGATGTCGGAAGGAGGATGGCCAGGGACAGAAGAAATGCAGCGCCGTGCAGATTGCACACTTCTGGACAGCGAGGCGCGGGACGGAGCATCTCGCAACGCCCGGCTTGAAGCGACTCTGGAGGGAAGCGATCCCGAGTGCAACACCTCAACGGCCGGCTTGAAGCGACACTTGCGTCGTGCATAGAACAGCTCCTGAGCACCCCAAAGCGCTTCTTGGCCCTGTGCCGTGTGCCGCCCCTGACATTACTGATACGCTGCGACCATGGACAATGTCCACCATACGCGCAAAGGAATGTTGCGATGAGATCCTCGATCCCCCTATCCAACCACTGTCTTGCTGGCGCTTGCTGTTCAGCGCCGCCTCGACTTGTTCCGTGAATCCCGCCCGCCAGATCTCCTTGCCTCGGCCCACCGTGCTCTTCGTCCGAGAGTTGCTCGAAAGACCCAGCTCCACCATCGCCCCATTACCACCAAACAGCGGAGGCCACGAACTTGCTGCCTCGTCCACACTGATCCATTCGACATCAGGGCTCTTGATCGCACCCTCCCGGTACAGCGCCTGAGCAACGCCCTCGGCCATGGGATGGGCTACCATGACTTGGCCACCTGAAGCAGCGGAGAAGGCAGATGGAAAGTTCCAGGCGGAGTGGAGTGGCAAAGGACACAGCACTGTACTGCGTATCTATTTATACTTTTATGCACGGTGCCGTCATGCCCTGCCAAGCCGTGTCATGCGACTGCACATGTTGATCCGCTGACTATGCCTTTCTGTCTTCTTCCACATCTCCGCCCTCTCGGAACCTTGCCTTCGACAACAACAACCCTCCCCCCTCATCGTGTTTGCGCCATACCACTCGAATCCTTTGACACACAGCAGGCCGGTGACATGGCAGCAGCCGAGTACTTCAACCCCAACGGCAGAATGGACTCGCGGTCACACCAGCCGCCGCAACAATTCCAACAGCAACCTCCGCCACGCTCCAGCCAAGCATCGGCCAGCCTCAACCCCCCGTACCCTCTATCCGACCAGCCGCCGCCTTACTCCGAGCAGGGGCCCCGACCGCACTCCCAGCCTCCGCCGGGACAACGATATCCTCAGCAGACCTCCGGCGCCGGCGCCGGCGTCGGCGCCGCCCCATCCGCTCCCTACCCGCCCAACCCCTCCAGCATGAACACCCACCAATACCCGCCCGAGAAGCTGCCACAACACCCTCCCCCTCCACCGTGGGTGCAGCAACCTGGCTACCCCGCTCCAATCGCTCCCGGCCTGAGCCAGGCCTACCCGGCCCAATCCTATCCCGGGCCACCCCCCCAAACTTATCCCAGCCAGGCGTACCCAGGTCAGACATATGCCGGGCAGACTCGACCACAGCAGCCACGGCCCAATTCGTATACTCGCCCCACTCGATCGCGGAGTCAGAGTCGAGAGCGGCGCAAGCACCACCACAAGTCTCAGCCGGAGGGGAAGCCTAAGAAGAACACCGGCATGAACACTTTCCTCGGTGCCGGTGGAGGCGCGATCATTGGCGACCTCATCTTCCCAGGCATGGGCACGCTTGGAGGAGCATTGCTGGGTGGCATCGGAGGCCATGAGTATGGCAAGAAGCGCTCCGCAAGCAACCCCGGCCGAGCATCTCGGCGCTCCTACAGCAACGGCGCTGAATACTACAATGACGATTACCGACGGGGTCGGAAATGATGATCACCTGAACGATGCGACGAGAGAAGCTCGTCCATGATTCCCACGATGATACGCTCGCAACGCTGGCCGTTGTCGACTTGAAGACCTTGACGTAATATGAAGGAAGCGCGCACGGCAGAGTGATTCCAATGAAGAATTTAGCACGATTTGGTTTGCGCCATTGACCCCAGCACTTTAGTCTCCGAATGCATTACTGTATGCTTTCATGCTCACACAAGAGTTTCATATTCCCACCAGTCCTTGCCCGCCCACATCCGCTTTCCTCCTTGAAATGAATGCTCGATCGCCGCTGCACCTCGGCGTCTCATCTCCGTCTCGTAACCTTGCAGCTGCTTCACCCAGCCTTCCTCGTCACCGTCTCGTGCAGAAGCAATGGCAAGGCAAAGATCTCGCGCATCCATGATCGCCGTGAGTCCTCCGATGCCACCCGTGGGTAACATGGCATGAATGGCATCCCCGAGGAAAGTTAGGCACGGCTGAGCTTGCCACTCCGGAATGTTGGGAGTGCACGAATACATGGGAATGAGGGTGAGAGACTCCGGATCCTGTCGTTGGTAGAGCTCTTTCAAGGCCGGGTTCCAGTCCGCCATAACCTCGTTCATCCAGTCCAATTTGTGCTTCAAACTTCCCGCATTGGCCAAAACGTCCTTGTTGGTTTCGGAGTTGAACACACAATTCACGTATTCCGACTGAGCGGACAACTTGCCACCCGACAACTTCGGCAGATCGCCAGGCCACTCGACTGGCGCCCACAGTAAGCTTCGTGCGGGATGGCCATCATCAACCGCCCACGATGCCCAAGTGGAGAGCGCCTCAGGGGGCAGAATCGATCGCATTGCCTTGACGTCCGGCGTTCGCCCCCAAATCACCATCCGCCCCACGTCGACTTGTTTCATGTCGGGCAAGAACTGCCGACGCACGCGCGACCGCACACCGTCGGCAGCGACCAGAAGTCGGCCAGTCGCGGTGGTCTTGTCCTCGAAATGCACTCGCACCCGTTTGCCGCTGCTCCCTCCATCCAGCAGCTCGTACGACTCGAAGGCTTTTCCGAAGACAATGTCCTCCTCGATGCCTAGATAGAGCAGCTCCCGAAACCACGGCCGATCGATCGGGTACGCCTTTGCACCCGCCTTGGTCTCTGGTGACACCCGATTACTCTCACCGATCTTCTCTCCCGTCCGAATGTCCAGACCCACCTACAAATTCTTTGGGTTAGCAAATGCTTTTGTCTCACTCGAGGGGCGTTGGGTAGAGCAAGTTCAATGCTCAGAGATCAGCGACGCGAAGGTGCTAGCGGTGGCAAGTACAAGCACCACCAGCGAAGCTATTGCTGTAACTGATCTCGAGGTAGCCGAGCAAGCTCTCCTTAGAAGTTCGCACCATGACGAAGGGCGTGTGCTTTGCATGCGTCGTCTCGATGAGATCCCAGAGTTCCGGCGCCAGGGTTTGTTGCAAGGCTTCGAGTCCCGGCTGTTCACAGCGGAAGCGGTAGCCTTGTTTTTTGTTGGCGATAGATGCATTACGTTCGAAGAGGCGGAAGGGGATGCCGCGATGCTTTAGCCCTTGGGCAAGCACCAGGCCAGATACCCCCGCCCCGATGATCAGGATGGGGTCGTTATCGGAGAACAACATGTTGACGGGGTGCGGAGGAGAAGCAAGGCTTGCAAAGGAGCTGGGGTGGATGGAGGGCGGCAATGACGGGCGAGGATGGAGCGTAAAGTAGGTCTATCTCCCCACCCCACTGTATGCATGTGGAATCGAGCGGTTCAGTAGAGGGTCCTACCCACCTAGTCTCGTCTACGCTGTAGTCATCACCGTCCTGCTAATAGACACATGCTTCCTTCTGCAACCCGTGGGTTGGGGAAACGTCGTTGCTTATGCCGACAGCGCCAGGCCACAGTCGACATTGTTCCCACTTCCCAAGAGCGACGGAAGCAATTCAGCAGTTTGCTTTATCAATGGATACATGCGAAGGATTCCTGATGGCGCGGGTACGCATGTGCGAGTGGAGCCCAAGCTTACCTCATCCTGAGACGTCTAGGAGAGCGTCGTTGCCTACAGCTGCCCATTCGGGTCTTAGCGTGCATCAAGGTTGGTGAGGCTGAGAATACGGCAGGTACGGGTGCTTGCGATGCCGAACGAGCACCTCACGCAAGGTACTCTGATCTGGATGCAATCTGCTCCTGTGCCCACGCACCCAGGCCTGAATTCAGCCTCCCGCACGTATGATCTCACCGACCGCTATGGTGGAGCCATTGGCTCGAATGATCAGGCGAGTGCCAGCCTCCAGCGCAGCACCTGCGTCCAGCACCAATCTCGCCGTAGCCTTCTGCCCAGCCTTCACCACTCGAGGCTTCTTCCGCTCCACTTCCCCTGCGTCGTCTATTGTCGAGATCAGGGCCGTAATGCTCCCCGCAGCGTGCAGCCGCCCCACATGTACGTCCACGGCTTGCGGCAGTATGCTGTCGAGTGCGGTCAACTGCACCACAAAGTTCTTCGCGGCAGGTGTGGGGTTCTTTGCATCGCAGACACAATCCCCCGCCCGGAGGTGCTGTTGATCGACTTCGGTCAGATGTAGGGTGCAGATCTGTCCCGCAACGGCCCATTCTTGACCATTGCCCCCCACCTCGATTCCCCTCACCATCGCCCGCTCGTTACTCGGCTGGAGGAGCACCGTGTCTCCAGTCTGCACGTGGCCTGAGGTGATGCGTCCGGCAATGGAGAGCGGGTTGGTGACGCTTCCTCGGAACACGTCTGCTATCTGCATGCGTAATGGCGCCCTCACCATCTCTTCCGTGTCGTGGGGAGCGACGCAACTCTCTAGTTCTTCGAGTAGAGTCCTGTAACCCTCCGCCACCCAAGAAGCGTCACCCTTCTTCGACATTGCTTTCACAACGTTCTGGCCGTTGAGGCCCGAACAAGGCACGAAGCGGACGTTCTCCGGCTTATAGCCGCTCGCGGTCAAGAGCGGGGTTATCGACGCGACAACATCTTGCAAGACCGCTTCGCTCCAAGGGGGGTTGGTGGCGTCGAGTTTGTTGACTGCAACGACAATTCTGCTAACACCACACGCCTTTGCGAGGACGATGTGCTCACCGGTCTGCCCCTTGATACCCGACTCGAGATGGTTCGCATCAATGACGAGCACCGCCAGGTCTGCCATGGAGGCGCCGGCAATCATGTTGGGGATAAAATCGCGATGGCCAGGGGCATCGAGGATGGTGAAATCGACATGATCCGTGCTGAAGTGGAATTGGGCAATGTCCACCGTAACTCCGCGCTCACGCTCTTCCGAGCCAGTGTCCATCACCCACGCAAGAGCAAACGATGCTTTTCCTAGCTCTGTAGCTTGCTTCTTGTACCTGGTCCGGTCAGCGAACCGTGGTATTCAAGGGCACACCAGAGACGTACCTATCAATATCTCTTTGAGAGACTGCTCCCGTATCAAGTAAAAGTCGGCCCATCAGAGTGCTCTTGCCGTGGTCTACGTGGCCGATGACCACAAAGGCGGCGGACGGTTTCCGTTTCGGCTTTTCCTCAGTCCAGATTTTCAGAACATCGAGGCCTTTGCTCTTGACGTTTGCTTGGGAAGGTGCATGCTGCTCGAGGCTCAAATCTTTGGTTTTATTTGCCAGTTCATTTGATGTATTCTTTGCCTTGGTGATACCTGTTTGCATTGCATTGGGAGGTCAGCCGTGTCATTTGTTCAAGCTCTTGCTATGCTGCTGGGCACGCAGGACAGCATCGTCGGGCGATGGGTCGGCGAACGGGTCGAGCATCTCGTCCAGAGCAGCGGCGTTGTTGATCCGCACAGCGGCAGGGTTGGTCGAGAGGACGCGACCAAAAGCAGTTGGTGAAGTTCTCAGACTGGGCTGGACCTCTGCAGGAGGAGTCTGCGGAGTGGGCGATGGCTCTCTTGGTGGAGGACTTGATTCTTTTCTTTTTCGTAGCGGGTATTTCTTCGTGTCCGGTCTAGATAGAGGCGCCTCGTTCTCGTTTGCTTCCCTTGGTCGACCCAGACGCTCCAGAGAGGCCAAGGCTTTGTCGGGGGTAGCTTGAGCAGATTGAGCTGCGGCAGCTTTCTTGCGGCGTTCTTCGGCGAGCTTTGCTAGCTTTGACGATCCTCCCAGCATCATTGGCCGGTGCGTGACTGGCTCACAGGGTACAATGAGGCCAAGCTGCGCAGGAGGTAGATCCGACCAGGGAATTCCGCGAAACCAGTCTATAGACGTGCATGTCAGTGAGCCATTCAGGATCAGCCCTATCATACAGCATAAACGCACCTCTCTGGCTGGCACGATGCTGCAGCGAACACGCCTGCCCAAGTCCGTGCGCCGGCATATGAAGTAGAGAAAACTGCCACTCACCTGCCTTCTCAGCGCTCTTCTGGACCGCCTGGTCGAACTTGCTCTTCGGTTGCTCCTTCTTTTCTGTCCGCTGTGCCGGCCTGGGTGTGCGGGTGTTCTTCAGGTATGCGACACTCTTGCTGACGTCCCAATAGTAGTGCCATAATGCCTCTTCGATTTCGCGATCCGACGCGTGCAGTCTGGCTTCCTCCAGCTCCGCGCGCACGACGGGGGTGAGGGTGGCGAAGTTGTCACGGTCCTCCGCTGTGTATTCTGCATCGGCCTCCTCCTCTTCCCCTGAGTAGAGGTCGTCGTCCTCGTACTCGACTTTCTTAACGCGATGCATGCTGGGTAGAGTTGAGTGAGAGTTGTTGGCGCATGAAACGAAGCGGTGGGGAAATGGACCGGCAGAAGGGGAAGATCACTTCAATCCCTTGGATGGCAGCGGGAGAACATACATGTATCAAGTGCGCTGGGGTTGAACTGATGGCGGAAGGAGGAAGTACGGATGTGGTGGTTGACAGGCGCGTGGTGGAGCAAGACGTCATGCAGGAGGTGAAGTGAGGTGAGGCAGGTGCATGCGGCTTACGCCGATGTTTCACAGTCCAGATCCACACTGTCTTCAACACCTGGGGACAACGGACACGAAATGCGGGGAGCGCTATCAAACGGGTACATGTAGGTACAGTTCAAATGCCTACGTAAGGGGGAATATGTACAAAAGCGACGATCTCCTCGACAACAAGTGTCAGGGCCGCGCACGAAGCGAAGGGCGGCGTGCCGGCGCAGGAAGAAAAAAGGGCAAAACAAAGCAGCACACTGTCCTCCCCACCAGCACCAATGCTCGCGTAAATACATCAACTGCATGAAAGTCATGCAGCGTCGTTGGGGAAAGAAGTGCCCCGCACCCTCATCGGCGTAGAGAGTCGGGGCCTGAGGGACGGGCCTAGAGGGCGGCAAGACCCATGATGCCCGCGACGGCGGCGACGGCCAGGCTGTCCATGCCGAGATGCGACGCGGCGCCGGTGGCAGTCGGCAGCGGCGAGACGGTGGATGCGCTCCAGGTCGTCGACGCGGCCGTGGGCAGGGCAGTGGAGCCCCATGCTGACGAACTGCTGTTCTTCGTGGCCCATGCGTGCGAGGTCCACGTCGAGCTCCATGCCGTCGGCGTGACGCGAAGCAGTTCGATGGTGGTGGTGAAGGTCGCCGAGGCGCCGTGCAGAAGGCCCGCGGCCGCGAGGGCCGATGCGCTCCAACTGTTGATGCGCATGGTGAGTTTCAATGTGGAATGTGGTTCGCCCGGCAATCGGTGTGGAGCGCGCCGTCCAGCCGGTTGGTCAGGACTGGAATGCGGGATGGACGACTGTGACGACTGTTTGTTGACACGGCGGATCGATATGCTGCGATCGTTGCAGAAGGGTGTCGCGTGCTGATGAGCTGGCTCGGTCGCAAGAACGGGTTGCGGAAGGATATTAGGTGTCGCGCGTGGCGAGGGCGATTAATAGTAGGCGTTGGTAAGGAGCGTAATGAGCACCAGGAGGGCTCGATGCTGGTAAAGAGCGTGGGGGGCGAACGAGCGACGGTGCGACGGGCAGCAAGGTGGTGGTGGTGGTGGTGGAGGAGGAAGAGGACGCTGGGGGGGAGGACGCAGCAGGCCCGGCCGCGCTCTGTCGGACTATAACAGAGGGCCAGGAAGAGTCTGCCTGCCGCCGATCGCCTTCGCGCCAATTTGCCTGGGAGATGTCATCACAACCACTTACGCCCGGCCTAGACGATGGGCTAATTTCCGCGCTCATCTTGCTTCTTCTTGGCACATGTCTTTCGTTGCCGCGCCCAATCGCGTGCTCGTGCTTGCGACCACTCGCGCACATTCCATTGCCGCCGGTCACCTGTACTCAACAACACCGCCCGGTCCTCCCATTGTGCGCACCGCGGTGCAACTGCGCATATGCGCCTTGTGCCTGTCACTGCACGGTGTTGTGATGAGTGCATCGTTTGACATCCCGCGCCGCAAGCTGATTGGCCGCTGCCTCTCAAGCTTTCCCGTTCCTGCAGTAGCGCGATGCACAGATCATCTGCATCGCAGCGCCATCGCAACGCTATCGATGCGAACAATCTTATTTGCAAATGAGCCCGACGGCACCAACGGCACTACAACGCTGCCATCGTCGTCCGCACGTGGTGGCCGGAGATCGTCGAATGCGGTCAGAGTGCAATATGCAGGCACTTTGCACCTGCCCGGCGCGTTGGAAGTAGGCGATGCGATCCAATCCTTGACATTACACACATACAATATATCTCCTGCCCTGCACGATTCCGCGGCCTCCGCCGGATGCGTGCTCTGATGCAATCACAACAAACTTCCAAACGGCTGTCCGGCTAGCAATGGATGGCAAATATGTACAGTCGCCCAGTAATACGCCGCACTCGTAGCAACTCACGCCGGACCAAGCAGCAGTAACAAGCTCCGCCGTGCCGGTCTCCAAGCCACTTCGATGGGAGGGTCTAGATCATACACCACATTCCTACGCTGTCATCTTCTCCCACAGCTGCCGCGCAATCGCGTCCGCATCCTGCCCTTCCGCCTCGTCGCCCATGTCGCGCATCGTGGGACTGGCCTGAGAGAACGTGACCTTGCTCGGACGACTATCGCTGCGCTTGAGGCTCGTCGCACTCTTTGCGCTGGTCATCGCCGGCTTGTGGGGGCTGGGTGACTCTGGCGGTGACGTTGATGTTGCTAGCCTGCTGGCTTGTCGGGGCAATGTAGTGCTGGACTTGCTCACGCGAAGCTTCGTCGCCTGTTGCTTCGCCGGCGATGCCTTGCTCGTCCGCAGCTTGCCCATATCCCTCTCCTTGCAGAGGAAGAGTCGCGCGACCGACTCGCCGACGGGGTCGCGAAAGCGCTGGACAACTTTGAGCTCCGTGTTGACGGCTTTGAAGCGGCCTTGGAAGATCTCCGGGCCCATGCTCAGGCCGGTGGGGGTCGAGAGCCCGCCTCGACTGTCGCCTCCGAGCGCGGCGAGGTTGAGATACGACTTGAGCGACTCGTTTCGTCGGTCAAAGACATGCGCCGGGATGATCGGTGCCATCTTGCCCGCATCTTCCATCTCCGCGATCGCCTTCTCATTCATCATGCGCTCTTCATTCCGCGATCGCCAGAAGCCCGGCGTTTGTGCGCTGGACGACAGCGATGGCGCCGAGTCGGGTGTGACTGGCCCAATGCCAAAGCTTGGCGAGCCCCTGTCTTTGTGCCGTTCCACCGGCATATTGTCACTGTCAGGCGTGTGGATGCTGCCAGTCTTGGGGGTGGTTGATGTGGTATTTGCACCACTCCCTCCCGACGGGTGCGATCCGCTCGGCACGAAGCGTGATACCAGCTCCTCTTGCTCGGGATCAAGCGGCTCATCGCCAGCTGTGCGAGACGGTGCCGATGCCATGGACTGCGCTGGCGATCCCTGATCGCGACGTGCATTTAGTGCGCTAATGTTGCTCACCAGAGCAGGCGCGGGATTATTATTACTGCGCGCCAAGAGGTGTCGCTCCGCGGGGTTTCGCGGCTCTTTTGTCCCTCCTGAGAAGGAGATTTGTGGCTGCCTTGTAATCAGCGCCGCTTCGGCCGGCTCGATCTTTTGCGCTGCACCATCTTTCATATCCCCCTCCCGGGGTAACGGTGTCGACTGTGGACTGGGCACATCATCCTCGACGACAGCCTCGTCTGCATTATCGTAGCCCTGTGCGGGAGTACCATCGACTTCTGGCGGAGCTTGGCGCCGCTTCGACTGCTGCGCTTGATGTGAGATGTAATCATGTGATTTGGCTGCGTTGGACGTGGCCTTCCTGTCCAGCGGCCTCTCTGCCACCACACTCGCCCTCCGTGAGTTGTTGGCTGTGTTTTGTCGCGTGCTGTACGGGCTTGCGCTCGTACTCTGATCCGTCCATTCATCCTCTTGCAAGCCTTGGCCCTCCATCTGTGGCAGATCTTCTGCGTCGCTACCTCCGTCGGAACTACCGACGGCAAAGTCCACCTTTTTGAAGGCCTGTCTATGGTCTTGATGGTGCTGCGCGAGTTCCACCTCCTGCTGATGGAGGTCCTTCTCCAGACCGGCCATGTCTGCAGACTTTGGGCGTTTATTGCGTATCTTGCCAACAGGAGACGACGGTCTCCTGTTGGCGGTGGAGTTGAGGGCAAGCTTGGTGAGCTGGCCGTGCGAGAGGTTCTTCTTCAGCTTGGTGTGCGAGAGGTTGCGCGGCAGCTGGTGTGCGGTGAGGTTGCGCCTCAAGGGGGGGATGCGTTGATCCTCTAAACTGCGAGGAAGTCGGATTTCCGAATCGCTGTCCTTGGGTAGTCGGGGTCGCGATAACCGGCGCGGCTCTTCGGTGGTGGGGGTATGGAGCGGGGCCTGTTGCGCCAGTTTGGCCAGATTGCGCGCGCTGCCATGCGCTCTAGGGAGGACAATCTTGGTCTTGCGCGCAGGCTTGACATGGTGTCGGGCGGGCTGGCTTTCCCACTCGCCCGTCGAGCTGGGGCTCAGTTGGGCATGCCTGGAGTTGTGGGAGGACTGGCTGCTCTGGCGCTTCATCAACGACGGTCGACGGGTTGCATGGTCAGCGGACGAGGGCTGTTGAAAGGAGAGGTGCGCCGGCAGCGAGGGGCGCGGCGAGACGGGATGCATTCTGTAGCTCGCTGATCGGGGGGAGGGGGGATCATGGAAGCAGACGCATGCGAGCGCGATGATGCTAGGAGGAGTAGAGGTGGGGAGGAAGGGCGATGCGGGTCGGTGGTGGCGATGGTGCGTAGTGCTGGCGTGGCGCACGCTGGCGAGCGTGGAATGTCATGTGCAGCGCGGTGCCGTTGAATGTAAGTGGGTCCCTGCTTTCGGCGCGTCTTCCGCCGGTGCATGGCGGGGTGCTTACCTAATACTCTCCAGAACGCCCAGTGGCGCGTGCAGCACTCCCCAGACCTCGGTCGCCAGGCATTGCCGAATGGGGAAGGTGGAGCTCGGGTTCTCTGACCTCGTGCGGTCATGTAGTATACTGCTTCACATCCATGCCATTCTGTCGCTTCTCCCACCTCAATGTCCGCATAGTCCATCTCTTGTCCCTCCGCCGTCCGCCATGCCTGTCGTCCGAGTAGCTCCAACGCGAGCCCATCAGGCTCTCAACCTGCTCCGCGCCGTCAACTCGGGCACCAGCTCATGCCCGTGCCATTCGAACCCCTCCCACCACCATCACCCCCACCGCCATGTCCCCATCAACCCCTTCGCCGGCCGTCGACGCTCCCTTGCTACGCCGACCGACTCGAGCCAACAGAAGGAGTACGCGTTCGAGATGGCCGCCTCTTCTATCCGCTTCGGGCCCGGTGTGACCAAAGAGGTCGGGATGGACTTCAAGAACATGGGCGCCAAGAAGGTGATGGTGGTGACGGACCAGACGGTGCAGAAGCTGGATGCCATGAAGCAGGTCCAGGAGGGCTTGGACCGTGAAGGCATTCCATACGAGATCTACAGCAAGGCGCGCGTGGAGCCCAAGGACTACTCGTATGTGCCATGCGTACTGTCGTGCGTGTGCCCTGGCTGACCCTGCGCTAGTATCCGTGAAGCAATCGACTTCGCCAAGCCCTACGCCCCGGATGCCTTCCTCGCCGTGGGCGGCGGCAGTGTCATCGACACGGCCAAGCTGATGAATCTCTACACGACCTTCCCCGACGCCGAGTTCCTCGACTTTGTCAATGCTCCACTTGGCAAGGGCAAGGCCATCAACGCCAAGTTGAAGCCTCTGGTCGCCGTGCCCACCACCGCCGGTACTGGATCCGAGACGACGGGCACTGCAATCTTCGATCTGGTCGAGAAGAAGGCCAAGACGGGCATTGCACACCGCAACCTTAAGCCCACCATCGGCATAGTCGATCCTCTCAACACCCGCACCATGCCCTCCGCGGTCCATGCGTCTTCTGGGTTGGATGTGCTCTGCCACAGCCTGGAATCCTGGACTGCCATCCCCTACCATGAGCGCGTCCCCCGGCCTCGCAATCCCCTTGAGCGCCCCGCCTACCAAGGCGCCAATCCCATCTCCGACATCTTCTCCCTCCAGGCGCTGCGAAGCACCGTCAAATATCTGCCCCGCGCCGTCAAGGACCCCGAAGACTGGGAGGCCCAGAGCGAGATGCTGCTCGCCGCCACCCTCGCCGGCGTGGGATTCGGCAATGCTGGCGTGCATTTGTGTCACGGAATGTCCTATCCCATTTCCTCCCAGAACCCGGGCTACCAGCACGCAGGCTACGTCGTCGACTCACCCATCATTCCTCATGGTGTCTCTGTGGCCGTCACCGCCCCTGCCGTCTTCAAATTCACCGGCGCCTCCAACCCGGAACGACATTTGGCAGCCGCCGAGGCCTTTGGAGTGGACATTAGCCAAGTGAAGAAGGAGAGCGCCGGCGAAGTGTTGTCGGAAGCTCTGCAGAAGTTTCTCGTCGGCCTGGGTGACCAACCGCGGGGTCTGAAGGCCCTGGGATTCCAGAAATCGCACATTGCCGATTTGGTCGAAGGCACGATCCCGCAGGCGAGAGTGCTCATGCTTGCGCCGAATCTCGACACGAGTGGCGGAGAGGAGGAAAGGGAGCAGCTCACCGGCCTGTTTGAGGAAGCCATGTCATATTGAGCACAATCACGAGAGACTGCATATTGGATAGCGTGCGTGCAATGTAAGGAGAAGCGGTTCGAAATATGAGAAACCACCAGCAAAGCAAGACTTCTCCAGTTATGATTTGCAATACGCATCACGGATAGGAAGCCCACGATACGATGAAGGTGAATGATGTTTCAAGCTGACCAGGCCAACGATCGTTCTTCATTCTGTCGTCATGGCTAGTTGTGCAGCACTACATTATCGTGTATTCGTACGTCCTTGTTAATGCTCTCCGAATGCTACGCCCACCCGTTCCCCTTGTCCCATGTCCCAAAACCAAAACAACGCCGGAGCTCTCATCTCATTGCGCGCGGTATTGTGGGCGGCGCACATTCCGAAGCAATGCCGAAAATGGACTGCCGTATGCTTCTATGATAAGTGGAAGGCACCCTGACCTTCCTGAATCGCCATGCCAAGCTTCAACTTCATAATGTCGAACGTGCTGTAGTCGGGCATCTTCAGATAGTTGACGCAAGTCATGACGCTTGGCAGGTAGTCGTCCGAGGTGAAGGGTGCCTCGCTTGGTTTGCAGACCACCGTGAACATCGGTGTAAGAGCTTTGAACCCTGCGAATTTGTCAGCTTGATTCGACGGAATGAAGTGAACGGCTTGCGAAGCTCACCTCCAATCGGCAACTTCGGGCTGCCCGTGATGAATTGCAAGAAGTCCCGCTTGGTTTGCGGTGACAGCTCGGACATGAACTGAAGCAGGTTGCGCACGCTCCTACTGTCGAGGTTATACCCATGGTCGGCCTTGATCGAGTCCATCAAAGTTTCCAGCGACCAGTCTTCGTCGACCCGCCCAAACAGCATGACCAATTCGTCTGGCGTGAACGCTCGGAGTGCGGAGTATGGGAACACCTGCGAAAAGCCGGCACGAAAGGCGTCGACCTGGCGTTGCACACCGGTGCCGAGCGTGAAGTCGATGACTGCCTTGATGTAGTCGCCGAGATTGTCGAGGGACACGCTGGTTCCAGAGCCGTTCGGCACCAAGTCAATATGGGGATACCCGGGTAACGTGAAGTCCAGGCTGAGATCCTCGACACGAGCATCGTTGATTCGAATCTCAGCAAGCTTGGCCGACTTCTGCGCATCCGAAAGCCTGCGATCGTCTTCAATGCGCTGTTTGGCGCCCAAGAATTTCTTCAGCATTTTCAACGACTTGGCGAGGTCGGAATCCACGGCAGCCACCGCACCAAGAGAGGGTGTCACGGTGGTTTTGTCGTCACCGATGCGGAAGAAGGTCGGATTGAACGAGATGTCGATGATGCGCGAATCGAGCATAGATCGGGCGACGAACTTGCCGAGCATCTTGAAGAGGTGCAGCACTTTTTGGCCATTCTCATTCTGAGACATCTCCTCGCTCATCGGGGCCGGGAAGAGGCCGCGACGGCCAAAGGCGTAGTCGCCACCATCAAAAGACTCATTCTCGCGCCACAGCTTGGTCTTTCTCTTGGAGAACTCCTTTGAGACAGTCGAGTAGAATTCAAGCGTCGGGCCCAGGCCCGTACCAACCTCCTCGAAATATTCGACCTCAAGAATGCTGGAAGATTGACCGTAGAGCTCCATCACTTTGATTGCGGACTCAAGGATGCGATGGCGCGAGAGCCGAACCTTTTGACGCTGGGCACGGCCGAGGAATGGACGATCGTCGCGGTGACGACGGTTGTCACCGTCAGACTGCCCGCCTTGCCAACGGCTCATGGATCGTGAGTAGCCAAACGATGTAGACTGCAGAAAGAGGTGTCGAGTCTCAAATGGGAAGAGGAACGGGTACAAACGGGAAAGGTCCTCGCTCCACGTCGGCAGGCATTGACTGGCCACGATCAAAGGCTCCTCGAGCTGCCTGTTGAGCTTCGCAGTGAGCTTGGTATTGACGAATTGGGTGAGTGGCTCGGCAGTCAATCTCAGAGTGGTCTTGTGCTCCGCCAAAACGTCATCCAGGTTGGAGTTCAGGTCGTGCAGGATGCTCAAGAGTCGCAGGATGCCTGAAGTCACCGGATGGTTGTCAAGGGAAGGCGGTAGATCGCCATTTTTGCCGGAGCTTTGTTCAGCTGCGACATGCGTTGACGTACGTTCTGGTGGTGGTGGACCTTGCACACGCTTGAACTTGATGGTATGCGTTGAAGACCAAACGCTGCGGTTGACAAACTCCTCGCCTTGCGTATTGTTAAAATGACAAGCGCGGTAGATTGTCGTCTCGCTCGCAATCGGTTGGTCGTTCACACTGAATTCGATATGCCAGTCTTGCGGCGTCTGCTGCAGAGCTGATGCATACGACATCATTCGCGAGGATGTGGGGGTGGAAAGGAATTCGCGAGCAGCTGTCAGTCTGGCAGACGCAGACAATCGATCTCTCGTGGTCGGTGTTGCGACTGGAGTAGTTCCCGAGGGTGTACCAACACGCACGCCATCTTCCGTCCGGGCAGTGACCTTGCCAGTAGTGCCCACTTCGACGTTGACGGCAGTAGGGTCTGCGATGTCCGCGTCGAGGCCACCGCCTTCTTCGAGGTCATCCACAAACGCGTCCAAATCCGCCTCGACATCGTCATCATCATCATCGTCCGGGAAGGGTGCTTCATCGGCGCATTCGATCGCTGCTTGCGAGTCGCTCTGCTCTTGTGCCTCGTGCGTTGGGGCTTCTGCCGACGGCAGAGTCGCGGGAGTCGCCGCTTGAGATGGATGCTCCCTGGATGATCGACGTAATTGAGTGGCTGGCTCCTCCGGCTTGCTTCCCCCGGCCTGCGCAGCATCCTCTGACTTTGAAGATTTGGACTTGGACTGCTTCTTTGCGTCGGTCTTGGCGGGCGAAGGGATGTCCTGATTTGACAGTTGTGGAGGTGGAGGCCCGGACCGATCCCCACGGCTCGCCATGGCGGCTGCGTATGCCGCCATCGCACTCGTAATGCCCTCGCGGCTCCGCATGGCCCCGGAACGCTCAGACATGCTGATGCGGGGTCTCAGGTAGTCGTCAAGAGCCTTGAAGGTGGCAATGGCATGGATTGAGACCATGATATTCCGATAAGGCCGAGGTATGCCAGAAGCTTCATCGGCAACGAGCTTCAAACGAAGCTGCTTGGCAAGCATGGAGGCAGGGCTGCTTCTATTGCTCTCAAACGCGTTCTGATGCACGGTAATGACCTCAAAGTGCTCCGCACGGCTGAGAAGATCCTGAAGCTTGTGGATGAGGACGCTGAAGGCTGTCGCGGGAGCTTGCGATTCGCCGGCCGCCAAACCAGCGTTGTTTGTCGTAGTCATGAAGACTTCCAAAAAGTCGGAGCGCGCTTCGGTCGCGGCCTGGTGGTCTGCATCGGTGAACAGCTCAAGCAATGTCTCCACGATTCCAGAACTCATCAGCTCGTAGCTGGTAATACTCTCCAAGGCGTCGCCGTCGAAGTGTTTTGCCAGGCGATGGAACAGGTCTATGCCTCCTTCGCTCCGCACCCCACTGTAGCACGACTTGAGTTCCGCACCGAGGGTTTGCAGGTCTTCCAGGATAGTCGAGGCTTGCTTGCGCATCTCCACGCTGCCCACATCGCCGTGAGCAGTCATGAAGGCGCGGGCGCGGAGTGTGATGACGTCTTGCATGTCAATTCGGCGCGGTCGTTCAGGTGAGGGCGACTCGGAAACATCCGAGCGATTGTCTCGATCTCCTCTTCCATCGCCGTCGCCATCCTCATCTTCCTCCTCATCATCCTCGTCCTGGGGCTCCAGGTCTTCGTCGTTTTCCTCGCTCTCCTCGTCGTGCTCATCCTCATCATCGTCAGGGTCGTGAGCGGCCATATCGACTTCAATGGTCTCTCCTTCGTCCTCAGCAATCTCGTCGTCGTGTTGTCCGACAAGCTCCAATTCCGCGGCGGACTGAACGCTCTCCTCGAGCTTTGCAGCGGCCTTTGGCGAGGTATCGGGTTGGACAGAGCGCTCGGCGAGCTTGGAGATCTCCGCCATCACGCCTTCGCGGTAGAATTGAGGTCTGTAGATTGACTCCAATCGCAACAAGAGTAGCTCGGCCGCCTGGAGAGCATATGTGACGAGGGATGGATTGTCCTGTTGAGTGAGGATCGAAGCGAGATGTGAAGCGTAAGCAACCCCACGAAGACAGTCCTGCAAGATATCGATGTCGAAGTTGGAGAGCATCTTGAGCTGAGCCGTCAAGACCTTTTGTCGAACGTTCAAGTTGACAGTGCTAGTGTACGCGTGCATGAGCGTTGGAAAGAGGATGACGGCAAATCTCTTGGCCTCGTTAGGATGCTGTTGCAGTAGCTCAATTCGTGTGGCGTTCGATGCGCTCTTGGACCGAGTAGACATCGGCATATGTTCCGGGCCCGTGTATCCAGCATCGTAGAGATTGTCGATAAAGGTCAAGGCTGCATTGGACACGGTGGGCAAAAGCTCGCAGATCACGTTCAACGTCTCGTATACTTGGTCCCTCGGCGTGCGGATGATGGCTTGCATGATGATGTTCTTGTCGATCTTGGTCACTGCGCCTTCGGTCTCAGATGGGGGTGATACGCCGGTGAGGATTTGATACAGCGTGTCGACCACGTTCATCTTCAGCAGCTCAAGGGACAACCCTGGACTGGCCCGAGCAGTGATGGCAAGCACTCGCAGGAATTGGGTGTGGATGCTGGGGCCAATCGTGTTTGTTGAGCCCGGAAGCAGAAGGCGTAAAATCGCGCGCAGGAGATCTGCCTTGACCAGACTTTCCAGTCGGGACTCGTTGTATTTGAAGCTGTCGATGATGCGGGACACACAAAGTGAGGCTTGATCAACCACACGCTGGTCGCTGCTTGAGAGGGTGTTGAGAAGGGTTGGCATGACCTCCTTGACCACGGAGAAGGAGTCTTCCGGGATGTTTCGACAGCAATTGGCAGCGGTTGTCACGGCGGTCCGTTGCGTACTCGTTGCGAAGAAGTCGAGATAGCCCAGACACGCGGTCAGTCCACCTTCGCGCACGATAGAGGAGGGGAATTCAACGGAAATCTTCTCGAGAGTGCTCAAGGCCTGTTCGGCCAGGTCGATGAACTGGATTTCCAGGAGCTTCTGGCACAAAATTGGAACAGCACCGCCATAGACGACGCTTGCTGTAGCTTGGGGCAGGGCTTCCATCATGTTGGCAATGCAACGACAGGCCACCAGCATGATCTCGGGGTTCTCTTCGCCGGTGAGCTCGTTTGGCTGCATCAGCGTCACGAGTTCCTTCACGTATTGATCGGGAGAGAAGTGCCCGGCCAGATTGTCCTCGTTCGACACAAGGAGTAACTCTGAGAGCTCTTGTAGAGCGATGAGCTGGACAGATTGGTCCTCCTTGGTGCGCAGTTGTTCGAGGATGTTGCGTAAACGGCCATGCGTGCCAGACATGATGCCGCTGAGAGCACGCAGGCTGCTCAACGGGCCGCCTGGACCGCCGCCAAAGCGAGCAAAGTAGCCACTGGTGAACGGGTCGTCACTTCTCTCCATGGCGTCCAGTTCGTCTTGAGTGAAGCGCCGTGGCTGGCCGTCACCGCCATCAGCACCAGCACCAGTACCGGCACCAGCGCCAGTGTCGAGCCTGGAAGCTGATTGGGCGGGATCGTCGTAGGACTCTTCTGGCTTCTCATTCGCATCCTTCATCGACGCATCTTGATCTCTCTTGGAGCCCTTTTTCGGCCTTCTCGAGCTGGATGCAGACGCGGACGCCGTCGGCTCTGTATGGCGATCAGCAAGGCTGACATGGCCGGTCTGCTGACCCAACTTCGTACCTTCTTTGCTCTTCTTCCGACTCGTTTTCCGCTTCGAGGAGTCTCGTGGTGCGGACTGAGGTGATGTCTCTGCAGAGTTGCTCGACGATGGCCTATCCATGTCAGCATCTCGACAGTCGGGTGGCGGAGAGTTGACGCACCCCGAACTTGACATAGCCGCTGAAGCCCTCTTCTTGCCTTGCTTCCGCGGCTCTTCTGGTGAAGCGGGGACTGCAACGTCGACGTTGCTGGCCCTGGGTTTCTTGCTTTTCCGGTTGTCACGCGGGGATGGCGGGGATGGCTCGGACGGCGCCTTGCGCTTGCGAGAGGCGGTCGACGGTGTAGCCGCGGGAGGTGAAGGGTCCGGGGGGTGGGATGTGGTGGAGCGGTCTGCTTGGAGCCTCGCTGCAGCGCGAGTCACTCTGTTTGACATGGGTAAGTTGGTGGTTCATCAAGCTGCGTTTGATGTGTAGAAGAGAGGAGGAGGAAGGTGGAAGGTGGAAGGAGGCAGGGCGAGCGGGCTCGGCTCAGTTGGTGAGAAGATGTCGGTGTTGCAGCGAGCGGGTGATTCGAGAAGTGAGGGTAGAGGGTGTGAAGTGAATGATGGGTGAATGGTGGGTGAACGGTGGCGGCAGAAGGTGTCGTACCTGGTTTGGTTGGAGGAAAGAGCAGTGCTAGTCATTTCCTTGCGACTTCCATGCCCGGCATCAGATTTCGGCGAGGCAGGTGCGAGGAGTGACGTCAAACGGGCATGAACACATTCAGAGACCAGCCCGCGGGAGATTGCTGGTCGGGATGGAGGATGGGTGAGATAAAGTGAATGTCCAGTTAGAAGGGCAGTGGATGGGTGAGTGTGACATGGAAGGTTAGCGACACGCCGAGACCGCTACGTCAATTGAGGTTCTGGACAGCCTGAGGCATCCACATCCGCCGCATCTAACTACCTTACCTAAGGTAAGGTAGGCACACATTGCGAACGCCACTTCATGGAAATAATAACAGGGCACACCGATTGTTTGATTGTCTCATGATTAATCCTTCCATTCTGTCTTACCCAGCCTCACAATATCTGCATCATCATTTAGTGTTTGTATCTCTCTCGCTTTGAGATGCGAGACTTACCGGCCTGGCTCAAAACAACGACCTTCTGCTTCTGTCTTCCTTCGAGACAGTCCAACGCCGCTCGTACCGCGGCCTTGCCAATGACCTCCGCATCCTGTGCCCAGAAATCTTTCAATTTGTTACTGACAGACCCTGCGAGCTCGGCCGTCTTCCTCAGCACATATTCTGCCGTTCGGGAATCGTACGATGATCTCTCTCCGACGATCAGTCCCGGACGCAGTACCACGGTATGGTCGAAATCCAAAGCTTTTACTTCGTCTTCCAACTTGCCCTTCATCTTCGGATAGCCAAATAATGAAGAACTGTTGGCGCCAGATGACGAGATCAAGACATACACGCGTGTCCCCGCGTGTTTTGCTGCCGTGGCCAATTCGAGATTCAGGTCGTGATCGATGCGGTATTGAGCGTCAAACCCTCCTGCCGCAGCGCGCGTAGTCCCAAGGCCGGAGATAAAGACGGCGACGCCGGCGGGATACTGTTGGGCCCAAGTGGAAGAATCGGAACGGATGGATTTGATATTGTCGCTCAGCGGGAGATCTCGGCGTGAGAATGCGTAGAGCACGTTCACTTCGGGACGCTTGCACAGCGTTCCGAGGATGTTGTTTCCCTGGAGAGCAGTCTTAGCAGACGATGAGAGGGCAACCGGGATCCAAGAGTGCGTACTACTAGGCCAGTACTCCCAACGAGGCAGAAGGTAGACATGTCGATGATGCCTTGCCGCTGGTATCTTTGCCTCCTGGCTCTGGGATGGTTGAAGATGTAATGAGCTGGACGAGTGGCGGATGGAAATCAGCCAGCCAGCAGATGCGAATCCCATGGTTGTCTTATCGATACTCCACCTCCAATTGTTGAATTTAGCTTACCTGAATTTCGCGGTGGAATTGCTCTGCATTCTTCTCGCCCACGACGACCTTCCCCATCCTCTTCTGTTTTCCTGGTGGAAAGCCGATCGTGCTGCAAGATGGCACCGCCAAACCCAAGACCGAAAGTTCTTGTGCCGGAGAAGGTATCGCAAGATGGGCTCCAAATACTACAAGCTTCCCTGGATGTGGACGAGAAGACTGGCCTAAGTGCGGACGAGCTGCGCTCCATCATTGGCGGCTACGAAGCCCTCATCGTGCGTTCCGAAACCAAAGTCACCGCCGCTTTACTTGAGGCCGGCAAGAAGTTACGAGTCGTGGCGAGGGCCGGCGTTGGAGTGGACAACGTCGATCTAGATGCCGCAACCCGTTTAGGCATCATTGTCGTCAATTCGCCCCAAGGGAACATCAACGCTGCCGCCGAGCACACCATTGCCCTGCTCATGGCCACTGCACGCAATGTCGGCAACGCTTCACTAGGCATCAAGAACGGCAAATGGGAACGCAGTAAGCTGGTCGGCGTGGAAGTGAAAGGCAAGACGTTGTCCATCCTTGGGCTCGGCAAAGGTAAGGCACGACCGTGCAAAGACGAATTGGAGGCTTCACTAATATCTTGCTAGTGGGCCTCACGGTGGCACGCGCTGCCGGCGGGCTGGGGATGAATCTCGTTGCCTACGATCCATACGCCAATCCATCACTTGCTTCGGGAGCTAATGTGGAGATGCTGTCGAGCATGGATGAGCTGCTCGAACAAGCCGACTTCCTCACCATCCACACGCCCATGATCGCATCGACAAAGGGAATCATCGGTGCCAGCGAGCTCTCCAAGATGAAGCCAACCGCCCGAATCCTCAACGTGGCGCGAGGAGGGATCGTAGATGAAGAAGCCCTCTTGGCCGCATTGGAAGGTGGTAGCATCGGCGGTGCAGGCATCGATGTCTTCACCACCGAACCACCCAAAGAAGGCGACTCTGCATGGAAGCTGATCCAGCACCCGAAAGTCACCGCCACGCCACATCTTGGCGCGTCAACCGTCGAAGCGCAAGAAAATGTGTCCGTCGACGTGTGTTCCCAAGTCGTCTCCATCCTTGCTGGCCAACTGCCCCGTTCTGCCGTCAATGCGCCCATCATCCTACCCGAGGAGTACCGCACACTTCAACCTTTCGTGACGTTACTGGAAAAGATGGGCAGCTTGTACACTCAGCACTTCTCGCCGGCGAGCACGGCGCACCGAATGACGACAAGCTTTGAAGTGACGTACGAGGGCAGCCTTGCGTCGACGAGCAACACCAAACCCCTCTTCGCCTCTCTCATCAAAGGCCTCGTTTCCCCAATCACGAGCCCCGACACGATGAACATCAACATTGTGAATGCCGAGCTTGTTGCCAAGGAACGTGGTATTCGCATCAGCGAGTCCAAGAGCCGTGACCCGGTGGAGCAGGAAGGCTATTCAGCCTCCGTCACTCTCCGAGCACGGCTGGATCCTCGCTCTCCTTCCGCATCACGCAAGGCAGATCTCATAGATTCCCGCTCCAAGGCGCGCACGCACAAGCTTGCAGACCAGGTCATTACCGGCTACGTCTCCAACAACCAGCCGTTCATTTCCAGACTCGGGCGGTTCCATACCAACTTCGTGCCCAGCGGCACCCTGCTCGTCTGTCGAAACAATGATCAGCCGGGCAAAATTGGTGTCGTTGGAGGGTTGCTAGGCAGGGCGGGCGTCAACATCAACTTCATGAGCGTGGCACCCATCGAGCACCGGAGCGAAGACGAGGGCGAATCGCAGCAGAATGGGATGGAACACGAAGCCTTGATGATCCTCCGGGTAGACAAGAAGGTGGATGAGGCGGTGAGGAAGAGTTTGATTGGCGAAGAAGGCGTGCTGGAGGCCAGTGTTGTGGTGCTATGATCGTGCATGACCAATCTGACGCCTGGCGCACGCACAAGGGACTTTCAACAAGGCTGGATACACGGCTAGAACTACATTTTAGAGTTGCAAGACATGCCGTCGGAGATTTTGTTTCCATCGTTACATTCACACGGAATTATGTACGAGCCGTCTAGTACTTGCCGGGGGCTGACTTGTACTTTTCGTTTTGAATCACCTCAATCCAGTATCCATCGGGATCTTGTATGCGTGTTAGCAATGGGAAAGGCATCATCATTGGGTAAGACTCACCAAGGATAAAGGCAACATTCTTCATCCTGCCATCTGTCAACCTCTTCTTCCAGTTGACTCCCTTCTCCTCGAATCGCTTGCACGCGGCGTCCAAGTCGTCGACCGACACGCAGATGTGTCCGAAGCCCTGAGGCTCGCTGTTGCCATCGTGGTATACTTTGCCCTCCTTTTCCTCGGTGCCATAGTTCCACGTCAACTCCAGAAGTCCCTCGCGGTCCGCCGATGGGTTCACGCCGTTGGCACTCTCTTGCGGCGAGGCAGGTCCGTAGCCGAGGAAGTACAGAGTGAAGCCGGCATCCTTGTTCTCCGACGTGCGCTTGAGCTTCATGCCGAACACATCCTCGTAATACTTGATGCTGACATCCTTGTCCTTGACTCGCATCATGGTGTGGTTCTGTGGGCGTCAGTGGGTGAGCGGAGACCAAGGGAGGGCAGGGAGTGGTACCATTCGGTAGGTGGAGGGGTCAGTCTCCGTCACATTCTCCGTCTTGTCGACGGGGTTCATCGCAATGATTTCCACCCAGTAGTCATCGGGATCGAGGGCAAAGGCAATGTGATGCATTCGCCCGTCCTCCAGCTTCTTCTGGAAGCGGTAGCCCGCGTCACTCAGCCGTTTGCAGGCGGCCTGGATGTTGTCAACGCTGACACAGACGTGGCCGAAGCCCTGCGGCTCCTTGTTGCCATTGTGCGGCTTGTAGTTGGGGTCGTTCTCGGTGCCGTAGTTGTGGGTGAGCTCGATGATGCCCTCGCGGTCGGTCCAATGGTTGTCCTTGGAAACAGACTTGGGGCTGTCGTAGGCGAGGAAGTAGAGGTCGAACTTGTTGTCGGGGAACTCGAATTTGTTGACGAGGCTCATGCCCAGATGCTTGTAGAACTTGACACTCGCCTGCGGGTCCTTGACCCTGGAGCAAATGCATTAGCCTCTCCGACCTTGATGGCTGCGGGGGAATATGTCACACGCACCGCAGCATGGTGTGGTTGAACTTGTATTTGCTCGTGTCCGTCATGTTGGCTACTGTTGCGTATGCTGCTCTGCTTGCTTTCAAGTGGTTCGTCGTAGATGTAATGCGTGCGATGTTTCGAAGCATTGGATGATGCAAAGGAATGGTTTCAGGCCTGCACTTGCGGATTTGATTTTATACGCCTACCTATGACGTTTCTGGGTGGGGCAGGAGTGCCCGCGTTTGCGAGGTGGCCCTGCAACAGACGGCACTCCTCTGCATGATGACACATTCATCGAGGAATTCGGCGCGCACATACACCACGTAGGCTCCTAGGTACCGTGTTGCCGAGATCTGCCCGGATGTCGACCGCCGCGCTTCGGCCTCTCGAACCCAAACTTACCTGTACTTGACCCTCAATCGTTCTTTCCTGCTGCGAAAACATCTGGCTGAACACGGGCCGAAGCACGTGACCGCCAGCCCCGTCCGCATTATCATTGCTTACAGCAAGCACTCTCGCATCCCGTCCTCTCTTTAGCCCGCCATCACCATACATACAACCACCTTCCACACCCATCCCCTTCTACATCCTGTCTCACCACCGCTGTCTACTCCGCCGAGCCATCAGCCTTTCTTTCCACCCTCTCAGACCACGGCCCCCAACTTCCGTTGCGCCGCCACCGGGGGGGACCAGGATCCTCACACGACACCGAGTCACAATCCGCAATCTCCTTCCTCTCAATCAGCCTCCGTCACCTCCGCCGCGGACAATGGCTACCGATATGTTAACTTTGAGCGGTGTGTAGCACCAGGCTTCCATCGCCCACCAACCTCACTAATTCTCGCGACAGAGTATGAATTCCCCACGGCCCGCCTGCGCCGACGAATCGAAAGCAGCGATCGCACGCCCCTCGTCCTCATTGCATGCGGCTCCTTCAGCCCCATCACCTTCCTCCACCTCCGCATGTTCGAAATGGCCGCCGACTACGCCCGTTTCAACACCTCCTTCGAAGTCGTCGGCGCCTACTTGTCCTGCGTCGGCGATGCCTACAAGAAGACCGGGCTGGTGAAGGCCGAGCATCGGATCAACATGTGCCAGTTGGCCATAGCGCAGAGCTCATGGATCAGTGTCGATCCGTGGGAGGCGCTGCATTCGCAATACCTGGAAACGGCAAAGGTTCTGGACCATTTCTCGGAGGAGATCAATGGCGTGCTGGGAGGCGTAGAGACTCCAGTGGGGAAGAAGCAGTGCCGTATCGCGCTGCTGGCGGGAGCGGACTTGATACAGACGATGAGTACTCCCGGGGTGTGGGCACAGTCGGATATCGACTACATTTTGAGGAATTTCGGGGCCTTTATTGTTGAGGTAAGATGTCCTCCAAACGTCGTACAACTCGTCATCTCTAACCAGCACGGAAACAGCGGACCGGAACCGATATAGACGAAGCCCTGTCGACACTTCTGCCCTGGAAGGACAACATCTGGGTCATCCAGCAACTTGTCCAAAACGACATCTCGTCCACCAAGATCCGTCTGTTCCGTCGTCGAGACATGTCGATCAGGTACCTGGTCCCCGAACCTGTGGTTGGATATATCGAAGAGCACGGGCTGTATGACGAGGATGGGGCGGCGAGTGCCAATAGCACCCCGAGTAATGGAAGCACCAAGGGAAAGGGCAAGGCATAGGAGGGTCTTTGCGATCATGAGTGACGATTATTTGGACAGGGCGCTCACTCCATGTGATGTTTGTGAGTGGCGTCGAGGCGTTTCTAGGAGGCGTTGGGCGGCATGCGTGGACAGCGAGCAACAACTCGGGTTGAGTGATTCTTCAAGAGTCTGATATTGCTTTGCGGGCAGTCGACGCAAAGACGCGTGCGACCGCGCTGCTTCGTTCTTCTTCAACCTCCAGCAGCGTGCAATACACTCTTCGATTGTTCACTCGACCCGGACCCTGACTGCCCGGCAAGCACGCGTACGGGGTTTCCGTCAGTGTTTTAGGAGGCTCGAGAGCTCGTCCGGCACTACGAGTGATTTGGACAGCAGTTTCATTGATACAAAATGAGAGAAGCACGGTGTGAGCACTAGGCTCTCACGACGTGCTGTTCAGTGTCTACAAATGGCCCACATGCCCCCAACGCCTTCGCTAAAAACAATGCCCGTGACAGGCTACCATCTTCGCCCAAAACCGCCACGGAAGCCACCTCCGCCGCCTCTTCCATAGCCGCCGCCTCTCCCGTAACCTCCTCCTCCGTAGCCTCCCCTAGCCCCGTACCCACCATCGTCATATCCACCTCTCTGCGGACCGTCCTGCATCGAGTCATCCCGGGCCGGCGGTGGTCGCCCTTTCAACTCTTTGTTCAAGCGGTCCACCTCCTTCCGCATCTGCGCGTAGCCCAGGTGCATCTTGCCGAAGAAATGGTCCGCCAATCGTCTGTCATTGTCGAGTCGGGACAGGTACGCGCCACAAACATCGCACACCTGCAGCTTTTGATGCCCCGACGGCCCACTTGTGTCTGTCAGAATCTTCAGCTCCCTTTCTTTCTCCTCCTTCTGCACCTTGGCCAATCTGAGTTTGTGAAACTCCTGTAGCGCCAGATTGACCGCGCCCTCCTCCGCAAGCACCTCCACCTCCATTAGGCCGGCTTCGATGGTGCGTTGCAGATCTCCAATTGCTTTCAAGAGCTGATTCGTCTGCTTCACCTCCTCCGCCGTCTTTTCCAACCGTCGCTGGGCCTGGTCGATTCTTCGATCACAATCGGCGACGTATTTGTTGATGTCGTTTCGGTAGTCGAAATCAAACGCCCACTCCCGCTTCTTCTCCTCCCCCGCCGCCTGGTACTCCTCCTTTAAATTGGGCTGGTGAGCTTTGGGGCACGCGCCAAGGTCTTGTTTCGTGTTGGTGAAGAGGTCGTGAGGGCAAGAGCCGCAGAGATATGAGCGGCATACTTTCGCATCGGTGATGGCCAGAGCGGATTGTTTGCTAGAGCCGGGCATGGCCATGAGCTGCTCGCCCATGAGCTGCTCCAGCAGCTTCCGTTGTTCGGCGGCCATTTTGGCCAACGCTGCTCGGTGATGTTGCTGTTGGGTAGGAATCTGTCTGCTTGATGATTGAAAGTTCCAGCTGCACCGGGACGTGAGGTCTTGGCGCTTCCCTACCGGGTTAGGTCGCGGTGGTTGCGACGGGAGTGCCCGACACCAACCGGATCGGGGTTTCTCGAGCATCCAAGGGAAACATGTCCTCTGAACAACGCGTTCACATGTCAACTTGTGGATTGCTATCGACAACCTCAGACTGACCATGAAGTTGGCGGTACTGCTGGGGCTCCCAGCGACGATCCTGAGCGCGGTTTACGCGGCCACGGATCCCCACGAGTACCGGGAGCATCTCCACCTGAAACCCCTACCTGGCGGAAGCCTCTATGCGGGATTCTCTTTCAATGCCACCACCTCGCTCGGTTCCTACGACAAACAACACTACCGCTACTTCCCGCGGTCATTGGCACAGATCCTCCACTATACCCACACCGCCGAATTACACCTGCGCTTCTCGCTGGGCAGATGGGACGAAGAGACATGGGGCAGTCGCCCACGATCAGGTCTCCGCGAGGGCGGAAATGGGGTAGAGCTGTGGGCGTGGCTAGAAAGCGACGCAGAGCGCAAGGCCGAGGAGAGGTGGAGCGATCTTGTCAACAGTCTATCAGGCTTGTTCTGCGCCAGTCTAAACTTCATCGATTCAGGCAAGACAGTACGGCCGTTGTTGAGCTTCGACCCGGAGGGGAGCCTGCGTGAATACCAGGCGATGCAAGAGCGTGTCACCGGAAGAGGCCAAGGAGAACTGCAGCTTCTCCACGGCATGCTCCCCCATGAAGTGGTCTGTACGGAGAACCTGACCCCGTTCTTGAAACTATTACCGTGCAAGGGAAAAGCTGGCATATCGAGCTTGCTCGATGGGCACAAAGTCTTCGATTCAGAGTGGCAGACCATGAGCGTAGATGTGCGGCCGGCGTGTCACGCATCTGGGACGAGCTGGGAATGTCAGTTGGAGATTCAACAGACGGTGGACATGGTGCTGAATACGGAACGCTCGCAACGACCACATGACGACCCCATCCCTCGACCGAAACCAATCGAGGAGATCAAGTGTGATGCGAGCAAATCATACAATGGCGAAGACACCTGCTATCCAGTGGCATTCGAGGGAGAACAGGAGTGGACTCTGAGTAAGATTTTCGGCAGGCCGCTAAGGGCCAGCTGTCTGGCTTCCGGCAGCGATACACATGACGTGTCACTGGCCGTTCCATCGGAACGTACCGTCGAAGTCATCTCCAAGAGCACTGTTTCTCACGAGGGAGATAACAGTACGAGAAGCTACTACCTACCTGATGATACGGATTTCGACCTTCATCTTCCCCAACAGGTCCTTGCTTCGAACCAACAAGAGTCCGAGACAGCCTCGGTCCACGCCAGTCGACAAATTACTGGGTATGGCCAGGAACGTGGAGGCATGCACACCACTCTGCACAATCCACACCCGTGGCCGCAGGATGTCATCTACCTCGAGTCGTTGCCATGGTTCCTGCGCCCCTACGTCCACACCCTCAGCCTTTCTGCCGGAACTATCAAAAAGACATACTACACCCCTCTTCTGGATCGTCAACGAGGAACACAGTTGGAGCTATTGATCGAGCTTCCCGCGGAGAGCACCGTGGAACTGACCTACGACTTCGAAAAGGCAATATTACGGTACTCGGAATACCCGCCTGATGCAAATCGAGGTTTCGACATTCCCGCAGCCGTTATTCGCGTCTTGCCTGGCAACAGCACTCTTGGGGCGCCGACACGAGAGAACTATCTCCGCACGACGTCTCTCCTGCTCCCTCTCCCGACCCCCGACTTTAGTATGCCGTATAATGTCATCATCTTGACATCAACGGTGATTGCGCTTGGGTTTGGGTCGATCTTCAATCTATTGATTCGACGATTCGTCTTGTTGGAGGAGGTCCCCACCTCTCCTTTGGTAGCCAAGGTTAGACAAGGTCTCGCCGGCCTGAAAAAATTGCTGGCTAAGTCGAAAGCTGGCGTGAATGCGGGAGACGAGAGCAACGGGAAAACTATGCAGGAGAGCAGCTCGCCTGTCAAGGAAGAGAATGGGAGACCAAAGGAACACAAGAAATCTCGGTGACATCCATCAGTCGGTTTGTACAATGGCGAGGACGTTGACGAGCGTCGTTCGGGGGAGATCACGAAGTCTAGGGAAATACCTTTTCATCTGGTCCGCACGCGATGTTGCTGATAGTCCAAGCCAGCGGGAACCGATGATCGGCGCCAGCACCCAACTAGCCAAGAGGGAAGACGATAAATCGGTTGGTAAGACGGACACGGGATGGTCTCTCAGTCGTAGTCATTGCACAAAAGGACGCTGTGGCTGCTCATCATTGGCGGCCTCCGACCGTTAGAAATTGCCTGCAACTCTATTTTCACCCCCGGCTTCATCCTCTTCACCATCTAAGCATGCTAATGAGCGGCGGGAAAGGATGCGATCAACTCATTGTCAGCAACCGTTTGTGCTCCGGAGCGATCGCTATTTTCGCAGAGGACATGCAACGAGCATGTGCATATCTACACTTGAGGGCCTGCTCCTGCGCGATGCTTTATCTTGTCCCGTAGCATCACCATTACTGCCTCCAGGTAGGTCGCCATTCACCCTCTTCGCGTTACTGCGCTGAGCTCTGGACTACGGCAGGATGATGTCCGTTCTTCTGATATCCCTCCTCCTCTCTACCTGCGCCACCGCCCTTCTCGGAGATGCGCGGCTGGCGAGTACAATAACCCACAGGACGAATCATGTCGCGGGCAATCGGACCCTACAGTTCCATCTGGGGATGCAGATACTTGCAAGGCAGTCGTGCCCGCAGACCCATAATATTTGTAGTACGCACCGCCTTTGTGATACGGGAGAATTGCGCTGACCAGCGAGACAGGTTCGGGCACTTGCTGTCCCAAGAATTCGACCTGTTGCGCTGCCGGCTGCATGGATTCTCAGGTATGTGCGATCAGCCTCCATTTGTGAAGTATGGCGGACTGATTGTGTGGCTAGAACATATGCTGCGGAAGTGGTGCATGCCCCCCTGGCAATGGTTGTTGCGGACCAGCCTCGTGTCGTCCTCCGGGATGGGACTGTTGCGGCAATGATGGCGACTTGTATCCCACCGACGGCTCAGAGTGTTGCTCGTGAGTCTACATCTGAAAGATCAGTTTCGTGGGGACCTTGCTGCAAGTTTTGACACTTCGTGACAGTGACGGTGGCTATTGTGGCCCGGAGGAGTACTGCGGGCCATGTAGTGATGCAAGCGATCAAGTCTGCTGCTTTCCCAAGGGATCTAACCTGATCTCAAGCTCGACAATGTCCACTTCCCCAGCCGCATCAATATCTACTGGAGGCTTATACACAGTACCAGTGTCTCAGAATGCTTCAGCCTTGGCCTGGTCCACCCGTTCGACGATTTCATCATTGCCTTCATCATCTGTCTCTTCGACGACATCCGATTCGAGCTCTATCCGCCCGCTTGAGGATCCCGTACATTACGGCAACTCTAGCACGCCCATTGCAAGTTCATGTACCGGATGCACAACACCACCTCAAGCGCCAATTGCATCTGGACATTCTACCACACACGCGGGAAGCCTACCAACTATTCACAGCGGTGCAAACCTACGTCCGGTGATCAGCCCTACAGCTGATGAACCTTTGACCTCCACTTCAGAGAGTCGCACATCCTCTCCTACCTACAGCACCGCCTCCGACTACACTAAACACCCCCAACAGCCAACTTTAGTTTCTGAGTCGAGCTATAGTTCTTGGTCAAGCGTCTCGAAACACACAACCTCCTCGAAACAGACAATAGGTGACAACCCAACATACCCGGCGCGTCCAACATCAGACACCACGACAGCACAAGCGCCGCCTCTAGCGAGCTCGGCTTCACATGGCGCCATGATCGTAACTGTCCGTCCGACATTCACCCAGATCGAAAGCGCAGCTGCATTGGCGTCGACAAGCATGACCACGCCAGCGACCCATGCACCGAGTGTGAGCCACCTCAGCACATCTGCGCAACGCGAGGACGCAAAGGGAGTGAGTATAGGCCGCGAGCAAGCGCACTATAGTGCTGTCACCCTCTACAACCCTGATCGGCTCCACGGTCAGACAGCAGAAGCCGCACACGACTTATCTGGCACGACTTCAGTTTCTACACGTGCCACACAGACGCAGCTGGCATCGCTGGATTATGACCACAAGCTGTCGCCGGTGACCATGACCCAATACACTGGCAACGCTGCCGACAGCACCGCCTCGGCTTTCGCCTTTTCGTACGTTGGCGCAGCTTCGAGGGCTGGTGTGATGGAGCGTGGCCACTGGAACATCCGGTGGTGGCTCGCATTAGGCGGGTTGGCGGGCGTGCTCGCTGCGGGCCTCTAAGGCAGTTTTTGATGACGAATTCATATGATTTACGTAGACCATGATATCCCAAAGGCACTGCTTCGTTTTGGGTTTGCATCAATGGGTATTTCAAAACGTCCATGACAGTCACAGTCGCGCAAGGCGACAAGGCCGGCACGGGCTAGTAATAACTTAACCAAATACAGTTGGTGGAACGGGCCGATGGCATCCTTTCCCGTTTAAGCTGCTGTCGGGGCCAGCTACGGCCGGGCATGATACCTCATTGCAACCGCACGACCAATCCGCGGGATACGTCGCATTCAATTAGACGTCGCTGTGTGCCGCCGTCTCTCATCAACCAGACGTGGCGGAGATGCACACTGTCAGCCATTGAGGCAGCTCTCCGCATGTCACCGCCGTCGGGAACCACCATCTAGCCAACCGTTCCACAGGAGGTCATCCTGCATCCCTCCACTCTTATGCCACCATCACCTACGGCGCATGACACATCTCCAAGGTCGACATGTCTCGGCCACCGCCGGGGAGCGCCCCCACCGACTACCGCAACGTGAGCAACGCCTCCGCCTTTTCAACCGGCCCAACCAGCTCCACGCCTTCGACCGGCGCGAATGGCGCGACCGCGCACTCGCAGGCCCGCTTCGCCGCCATGTCGCGCGCAGAGAGGTTCGAGGATGAGAAAAGGAGGATCATCGAGTCGTGCTTCGCCAAAGTCGACCAGAGCGACCAGCTGGTGGAGTCGTACATCACCCACATTCGCGTGCTGGAGGATGGGCTGTATCCCACCACTCCTGCTCCGCCGGACAGCCCGCAGGACAATAAGAAGCCGCGGTTGGTCATCATCGCCGTGCGCTCCACCGGCAGAGTGCGGATGCACAAGGCGCGGGAGAATAACAACGGTAGCTTCAGCATCGGCAAGACGTGGAATCTCGAAGATCTCGCCGCCATCGAGTCCTTCTGCGATTCGTCAACTCCTCCGGCGAGTGACCTGGAGGCCCAATATAGATCGTGGGCTGGCAGCGTGGGCTTCGTGGTGACTATCACAAAGCCCTACTACTGGCAGGCTGGCAGTGCGAAGGAGAAGGATTTCTTCATTGCCAGCACCGTCAAGATCTTCAAGAAATATACCAAGGGGCAGACGCCTGAGCTGATTGGGTTCGACAAGAACCAGAGAGCAGCCATTCTGGGGCCAAGCGCCGGCCCGACCTCGCCTCCACCTCCGCAGCCTCCAATGCACTCATCACAGCGCAATGAAAGCCCCTCATTTGCCCCGGCGCCCCCGCAAGCCCCCTTTGCACGTCAGGCTGGCCGAGATGGCAGTCGCCAACGTGAAAGCCCAGGTTCTGGTAGCTTCGACCGACATCGACGAAATCTCAGTGGCGCAGGAAGCCGAGGCGAATCTCCTGGTCACTTTGCACCCCCGCCAGCAATAGGCGTACCAAAACCTTTTGCTAGCAATGAGAACCTCCGCTCCGGGAGTCCCTCGGGCTCCTTTCCAGAGCTCCGGCCGTCAATGTCTGGTGGTTCGGGTGCGCTTCGGTCACCATTGCCCCCAGCTGTTCAAGGACCACGAGCACCGAGTCAGCAATCTTCATATTCCCAGCTGCGATCCGAGAGTCCCGCCAATCTTTCCATGTCTTCAGGCCGGGATGCACCTTATAATCCTCCAAATGCTCCGTTCGCGAGCTCACATCGCGCGCGAAATGCCAGTGGGCAGTCTATGGACAGTCTTGCACAAGAACGACAGATTTCTACCTCCACTGCCCCGAATGGACCCTCTGGACAAGATGCTCCTCTGACTGCTCCCTCACGGGGACGAGACGTAGCTCCGACCTTACCTCCTATCGCCGCCTTGACCAACTCGACGTCGAGCGACCAGACGAGGCCGCCACCGTTAACAAGCGCGAAGAGCACTGCCTCTTCGTTGAACATTGGCGATCCCGCTGGATTCGCTGCTGCGGTGGGCTTCATGGGCGCGGAACACTCACCATCAGCTGCGGCCGCGACCACTTCATCTGAGCAGCCAGCCGGCCCGCTCGCGCCACCCCGATCCAGGAGACGCCCTACACTCGAGACGACCGTATCGGACTCGACTCTTGAAACCCTGAAGCCGGCGCCATTAAAGACCCAGTCACGAAGTGCCACACCAGACGGACCGAGTGCCTATACAACGCCCAAGGAAGCACTCACGCCCGAGTCAGATCTAGAAAAGCACTCGCTATCACTCGCGAAGCACAGCTCGGATTCGAACTTGCCTCTTCCGGGGGTCGGGAATCGAGGACTGTATGCTTCATCGCCTTTGTCCACTTCCGCTCAGACGCCGGGAGATGAGCGTACAGTGCAGAAAGCTGGGGATGAGCTCGAGGAAGAGTTCCGACCAGGGTTAGGCCCGATGATCAAGAAGAGAGCAGTCGCGGAGCGCATGAAGAAGGCCGCCATGACTGTCAATGCGTTCAAGCCAAGGCCTGGAGGCGCGGCCGAGAAGATCCTCCGGGCCAAAGCGGAACGCGAGGGTAAGAACGAGCCCGACGGGATCACCGGGGTTGTGCCACGGTCTGTGAAGCAAGAGGAGAATGCAACGCCGCAAGCCGATGACCTGGCGGTCAAGCAACCGGCCACTGTATCGCCACAAGTGCAAATCTCGACTGCCACGCCGACGAAGACGAGCTTTGGCGGCATGGATGGAGTGCGAGGCGTGGAGCTCCACGATCAACCACCGGCGCAAGAAGATCCTGGCCGAGAGGCACAGTTAGATGGGGAGGAGAAAGCACGAGCTGAGCAGAGGCAACTTCGACAACCGCAAGTCAAGGTGAAGCGAAGAAGTGCGACTCAAGAACGATATTTAGATGCTCTGGGCATCGATCGGTCATTATTGGCGAACAAGTGCCTGGATTTCGAGATGCTGCTCCACGACTTTGGTTGGGACGATGCATCGCGCTCCCCGAAAGCCCTTGCAGACATGGAGGCGGATCTCCGACGGGAACAGAGTCGATTGGACAGCGCCGGCTGGCTTTCATCCCCGTCGCAAGACACTGCCGCGCGTCAGGAACGCGAGCAACAGGTGATGAGGCTGCTCGACAAGGCCATCCACGAATGCGACGAGATGGATGGCTTATTGACGATCTACAACGTCGAGCTCAGCAGCTTGAATGATGATATTGCCTACATCGAAGCGCAATCGCAAGGTCTGCAAGTGCAGGCTGCGAATCAGAGGAACCTGCACACTGAGTTGTCCAACCTGGTCAACACAATATCCCTGGACCAGAGGAAAATGGAACCCATGCTTCATGCAGACCTGTCGGATCCCCAGGGCATCGATAGTGCAGAGCAGAGTCTCAAGACGATTTATTCCGCAATCATCGCCATAGACCCAAGCCTCCGCTCCACAGCTTCCGGTCGCCCTACCAGCCGCGGTGCATTGCACGACGGGAACGGGTTAAGCTCAATGGCAGCCGTCCGGCAGAAGCAGGAGTACTACTTGCAACAAAGCGACACCTTCAGCACGAGGCTCATTCAGCAACTCGACTACACCTTCACCACGACCTTCAACAGCGCCAAGAGCCAGGCGTTGGTCCCTGCAACGGGCGCAACTGGCGGCATGCGGCTGAATCCAGACGTCTACACGCAAGTGAGGAAGGCCTTCTGGATCTACAGCCCGCTCATCCTGTTCACCAAGGAGTTGAATCCCGTGGCCTGGCAAAGTATCATCAAGACATATCACTTGCGCGCCAAACCGCTGTACACCGATGCCTTTGGCCAAAATGTGGCCGGGTGGAAACGTGTGGTGCGGAAAGCTACGGGCGAGGAAGCGGAGATTCTCTTTACGACCCAGGAGCGGGAAGAGGTTCCGGGCGTCGGCAAGGTGGCGTCGGCGAGAAAGCTGACGGTGAAGCGCTCACAGACCCTCGCCAAAACACTTCGCAAAGCGTCAGACGAACGTTCAGCTTCCGGGGATGCGAGAAACGCGGCGGGCATCCACCACTGCGAGGTGTTTTCCGCTGCGTTGGATGAGATGGCACCCCTTGTGAGCCAAGAGCAGAACTTTGTGGTGGACCTCTTCCACGCCAGTAGCCTCGGGACGGTGGATTTCAACGAATTTGTGAATGCTACGCCGCCGGATCAACGAGTTGGCACGAACTTGATGGAGCGCAAGCCGATGGACCCCGACCGAGAGATGGCCCGTGAAGTGACGAGTGTGATGGACGAAATCTTTGGCTTCTTCACGAATGAGCTGTCCAAACTGCTCGATTGGAGTCTGTCCGTCGATCCCATCCAGGGAGTCGGCGTCATGGCGAGCCTGAGCCGGCACGCATTCTACTTGCAAGACACGAGTCAAGAATTCCTGATCCAGCTCATCGACACCCTCATGTCGCGGCTTCAGAGTCTCTTCTCCAAGTTTGTCGACGAACAAATCCGCGCAATCGAGGAGACCAAGGTGAAGATTAAGAAGCGAAAGGGAGTGATTGGCTTCATGAGGATCTTCCCTCATTTTGCCGTTGCGGTCGAGAATACATTCGCCGCCGTAGGTCGGGGGGACTACGACCAGGAGGCCGAGTGCATGCATGATGTGCGCGCGCGCGTTGACGAGGCGTACACGAGGATTAATCGCGCGATGTTTGATAGCCTCAAAGTCATCGCGAAAGAAAGTCCTCTGTCGGCGCCCGCCGGACCCCGAGCTACCACCGACGATCCGGAGGACAAGGAAAAGCTGAACTACAACGTGCTGATCATCGAAAATATGAACCACTACATCGAGGAGGTGGACGACGGGGGAAGACGCGGCGTGCTAGCGGAATGGAAGGGCAGGGCGGATCGGGAAAGGACGGAAGCGATGGATAGTTATGTCGGGCAGGTCATCCGTCGACCACTCGGCAAGCTTCTTGTAAGTGCCGCTACGCGCCAGCTTTCCGTTCTCAGCCAGACTAACAAGCCGTAGGAATTCCTGGACTCCCTCGACGCGGTCAAGTCGTCGCACGCGGGCAACTCGAGTGCAATCACCAGTCGGCCCTCGTTCTCGCGCAAGAGCGCACGCAGCGTCTTGTCACAATACGACGGCAAGGAGATCCGAAGAGGCATCGATCAGCTCCGCACGCGAATCGAGAAGCACTTTGGCGTGGGCGATGACGAGGCCATTTGTCGCGCGCTGGTGGCACTCATGTGCAAGGAGTGCGAGAAGGCGTACGAAGCGACGATTACGAGGACGGAAGAGGCGCTTCGCGAGTTGTATCCCAACGTGGAAGGGGAGAAGGCGGTGGAGCTGGACTTTGCGAGGGCTGATGTGCAGGCTGGGTTCCGCAAATGAGAGAGAGGCGTGCTTACGTCTGGGCAAATGCCTGGATGAGTTGATGTATGCTAGGCGCCTACGCCACCGTACAATCGTAGACATGCGCGAAGCAAGTTCCGATGCAACGAGGAATGTACTGTAGATGTCAAGACCAAGGCCGAAGATAACCTAGCGCCTGTACGTGAAGGAAAGGTGTGAACAGGGCGCGACGGCATGGGCACGACGCGACTGCTCCGAACAAAGCCACGGCCAAGCCCAGTTAGGCGAGCAATGCGATGCATGGGGGAGGCCAAGGATAATAATCGACCGGAAGGCTTGCAAGACGTCCACGCATGTACCTCGTGTAAGTCAATCGTCGACTGCAGCAACGCGGGCGGGCGTTGCCCACATGACATCCAACGTTCCTCCGACTTGGCGCTTCACGGAGATATGAAGGGCCCGAGGTGGTGTGTGGCTTCGGAGTCACAACAACTGGCGAGATGGCCTGGTCGGGATGCGGCAGTAGCAGGGACTGCGGGGCATGATTACCATTGCATCGGTGGGTAGACGTCCCACCAGCGGCCGAGTCACCGCTGTAGATCCCGAGAGTTGTGGAGATTTAGAGTTGACGACTGCGCCCGGGACCTGTAGGGCAGGCGGTGATGCATTGTCGGGGCAGCTGCAGGTCGGCCAAGGGCAGTGCAGTAAGACGACGAGGGTACGTCAATTGCCCGCATGCAGCTGAAGGGCCGTTGGGTGGGGGCGGCAGGCGGCAGGCGGGACGGCCAGAATGAGCCACCGCGCGGGCCCACAATGGACAATGGCTTTGACGTGGGGGCGGAAAGTGAGTGGGAAGTCAGCACCTTCGCCCCTTCACGCCATCGTCCTGGAAATGCCTCAGCGCCTGCACCGCCCCCAGCACAACATGTGACGTGCAACAACACACACAAGGCATCGGGCGCGTGTGAGCAGGAGGCAGTTGAAGTTGAGGCCAGCACAGCGTGTGCACACATCCGCGGCGTGGACGGCAGGCACCAGCTCTTGGCGTTTCGAGTCACAACGCCGTGCGCTCCAGTCATCCAGACGTGCAGATGAGGGTACAGATCGCGCACGAGCAGTGACGTCTAAGTGTATCGCCCGCCGCTGCTTGGCCCCGGCGAGACCAAGTGTCCCCAATCGCGCGCATTGGCGCCGCCACAGCCCGGTCAGGATGGGCCAGCTGGTGCCTCAGTGATCCCATCCTCCACCCCCGGTGTCTGCCTTCCACCACCCTGCCTCATGCTGCCTGCCTGCGATTGCTTTTATAAACCCTCCCTCATCCGCCCCTTCCCACCCCCTTTCCATTTCCCCTTCTACCCTCTCGCCATTCCACTACCTGGTTGCACCCAACCCAAGCCGCACCACACTGTCGCCGTAGCCTTGGAACAGCAAGCACACCCATCAACGCCTCTGCGCTTAGTCATCCATCCACAGGCAGCTGCATCCGACAGCCTCGCCGACACAATGCCTTCCGCCACGCGCAGCAGAGAGGCGGTGGTCGTCGAGGTCACTCCCTCTCCCATCGCCCCTCAGTCTCCTCCGCCCTCTCCCAAGGCCGTCCGCTTTGCATCCTCCAAGTCCCATGGCATCTCCAGGCAACTGACCTCCACGGAAGCCTGGTCGCTCTACTACTTCGAGCAACACGCCCGTCAATGCCCGAAATGCTACGATCCCCTCAACGTCTACCGCACAGGCCACCGCTTATGCGACTTTGGTCGTGACTTGGCCGAGGATGTCGCCGCCCACGTCTACCACAAAGCAGACGGCCAGGTCTACAGCACCGAGAGGGACAATCACAAACTCGTGCGCGTGGAGATGCCGCGGCATTACGAGCAGGTGCACAGTCTGCTGAAAGGGATGGATCGGCACCTCCGCTCCGCGCCCAGGACCGTCCCAATCATCAGCTACGATGCATCATACCCCGTGTCGCCACGCCGATTACCCGCAGACGAGGCTCGAGCATATCGCCACACCGACACTGCACATCACACCGTCATAGTGGAACCGAATACCGCCGCTCATAGCCACCATGTTTCCAAAGGCCAGCACAAGTCACGGCGGAAGCCTAACGGATACCGTACCACTGTCGTCCAGAGTCCAGAGTCGCTCGAAGCCGAGATGGCGCAGCCCAGAGAGCGACGAGGCTCGCTGTATTACTCCGACCAACAACGCAAAGGTGTACGAGATTACCATGTGGAAGTGCACGAGCCAGAGAAGGAGCGGGGGAAGAAAGAGGAGCGGCGGCGATCGGGCCACTGGGTTTAGCATGTCAAAGGCCGCAGTTCAGTCCGAGAGCGGTCGGGTCTTGGCCAGCGTCTTACTTGAAGCGCCGTCAGCGATTAGCTATTGTTCATAAAGAGGCTTGAATCGAATAATACGTTCGCCTTGGAATACAAGGTCATGACCTCATTCAACTCGTCGATCGTCTTCGAGATGTGTCTTGATGCCATTTCGACCAACATCCATGGCTCGCCGAAGTTCGCGTTCTTCTTCACGCAAGTCCCGCTTCGCCCACCTCTCTTCCTTTTCTGCCCGGCGACGATCTTCTTCCACCTTGTGCTCGCGGTCCGCCAATGCCTTTTCACGCCTCCGTCGCTCTTCCCGCTTCTTGTCTTCTTCCGCACGTCTTGCCTCATCAACAGCCTCACTCCCATCGGGTGCAGGGGGCAGAGTCGAAATGTGTTTTAGAACAAGTTCATCCCGTTCCGAGGCCGGCAGTGAGATGAAATGGAGATGGCTTAGGACCTGCTGCGGCAGAGCAGTAATGTCGACCTCACGATGCAGTGATTGCAGAGGTACCTCTTTGAGCAACGTGATCAAATCTGCTTTCCTTGTGCTCTGAGGGAGCTTGAGCCGGTTAATGTGATCGCGATACAGCTTTTCTCGCTCCTTGTCCCCGAGCTTGCGATCAGTCATCTCGCTTTCCTTCTTGTATTTTCGTTTGAACTCGGGCCAGTATAGCTTCGGCGTCGCCTTTCCCGCCAGGAAAGCCAGATAGGGGATTCGAGGATCGGACTTCTCCATGCGCGCCCGCTCTTCCCTCACTTTTGCGGCAGTGTCTCTGACCCAGCCTTCCCAAGCCTCTTTCCTCGCTCGCATGTTCGGCAGAGCGGTATAGCGATCGTCGAGAATGATGCCCGTGTCGGATTCATCGGCTAGCAGTTTATCCCACGGTGTGAAAGGACTAATGCGATGATCATCAAGCATGTCTCGGAAGAGGTTGATCGCATCCTCTAGCGTCAGCTCTTGGTCGTCGTCACTTTCTCCTGCGCCCTCGTTATCCTCGCCCTCCTCTGCCTCATCCGCAAAGTCCTCTTCCATGGCGGCGAGTTGGTATGCTATGTCATCCTCATCGAATTCGAGAGGACCATCGTCCGGCGGGGCAGCATCATCTGCGTGCCCCCTCTGGTCGTTGCCGTTATTCTCTCCTTCCTCTTCTTCGAATTCTGAATCGGTGACCTCGACCTCTTCATATGAGCTATCGCTGTTGTAACCGGTGGTGGCTTGCTGGGTCAGAGGCTGAAGCGGTTCGACGGCCTTGACCACATCCTTGACATCTTCCTCCTCGGCCCGCTCAGCATCAGCAGCCAACTCGGCCAGCATCGCGGCCTCGTCTTCTCTCTGCAGGCTCTCACTCCTCCGCCGACGATTTGTCGAAGGTGCATTCGCGGCACGGGCTGGCTCGCCAGCACTCCTGGTGTCGCGCATCTCCTTCAACTGCTCCTCCGCCCACTTCGCATTTGCCTCCTTCTCCTTTTGCTGTTGCTCCCATAGCTCGTACTCCTGGACGCCGGGTAAGACTTGGCGGGGGATGTGCCAGAAGCTCTCCTTGGTCTCTACGTTGTGGACGAAGCGGCGGCCGTATTTGGTCTTGACGAGCACCCACGGTTCGTACCCGGGCAGTACATGCTTCGATCGTGGACGATCCTTGGCATGGCGAGGGTCATTTGCCGGACTGCGAATGTGAATGGGGTTTTGTTGCATGGCTTCATTTGGCTGTCCATAGCCATAGCGCTCCGCCTTCTCAGCCTCGTCACCTTCCCCAAGAGCCAGGAAGTCGTCGTTGGGCGGCGACAATCTTGGCCGTTTGTTTGGCAGTGCCATAGTGCCGGTTGTGCAGAGAGCAGCACTGGAAACGTAATTCGTCCAAGTGGTCCATCAACTTCTCGCAAGTCGACCGTTGCAGACGATGATTGGCTGGAGAGGTGGAAGGTCCAAGCTGTTGGGCTTAGTCAGGCAGCGGCGCGTCTCAAGCTGCCTGACGTTTGCGACAGACATGTCCATGCAAGAGAATACCACCACCTCCATTCTCTCTGTCCGTCCTCACTGAACAACAAACACTTCGTCAACTCCTCCAAATCCTTGAGACAAGATGTCGAGACGCTACGATAGGTACTTGATGCATCCCAAATCCCTCCACAACCAAAGAGCTTCATCTAACTCTGCCCTGTCCCCAGCCGAACGACCATCTTCTCCCCCGAAGGCCGTCTCTACCAAGTCGAATATGCACTCGAAGCCATCTCACACGCCGGCACAGCCCTCGGCATCCTCGCCACCGATGGAATTGTGCTGGCGGCAGAGCGAAAGGTGACGAGCAAGCTGCTGGAGCAAGACACCAGCGCCGAGAAGCTGTACATCCTAAATGAGTACGCACGTCCGCAGTATCGCTGCATCAGGGCCACGCACTAACGCCTGATGATAGCAACATGATCTGCGCAGTCGCAGGCATGACGGCGGATGCCAACATCCTCATCAACTACGCCCGTCAAGCCGCCCAACGCTACCTGCTCACCTACAACGCCGACATCCCCTGCGAGCAGCTTGTGCGCCGCCTGTGCGACCTCAAGCAAGGCTACACCCAACACGGTGGTCTGCGGCCCTTTGGTGTCAGCTTCATCTACGCCGGCTGGGACAACCAACGCCAATTCCAACTCTACCAATCCAACCCCTCCGGCAACTACGGCGGGTGGAAGGCGACGAGCGTGGGCGCCAACAATGCCAGCGCCCAGAGCTTGCTGAAGCAAGACTACAACGAAGAGTGTGATTTGAAGCAGGCGTGTGAGTTGGCGGTGAAGGTGTTGAGCAAGACGATGGACTCTACCAAGCTGTCTAGCGAGAAGATTGAGTTTGCAACGGTGGGCAGGACGAAGAAGGGCACCATCTTCCATCACCTGTGGGACGCCGAGGAGATCGACACACTGCTCCGGGAGCACGGCCTGGCCAAGAAGGAGGAGGAAGCGGCCGACACGTGAGGAGGGGAGCAAGGACATTGTAATATACGGTAGAGCGCATTTTTGCATGAGCGTGGCGCATGAAGAACATGGTTACATTCACAGCCGACATACCGGGGAAGCCATTCACCGTCCCCTCGTGAATGTCCGCTGGCACCAGTGAGTCGAGGCGATTTAATGATGGCCTTCAAAGTCCCCAATATCAAAACGAGCTGTCGTTCTTTTCTTCCTCATCAATATATCCTCCAAGCTCCCCACGACTCTCCTAACGATCATGAACGCTCCTTACGACCTCACCACTTCCTACGCCAACGCCAATCTAGACTCGGCCGCTGCCACCCAAACACCAAACTTCATTTTCAGCGAGACCCAGTCGACAACATCTAGGATCACTCTGTTCGCATGCAAGAGTCCGCCGTTGACATGTCTGCTAATCAAGCAATGGCTCCTCGACACCTTCAGCAGCGATGACCTCCGCGCCCCTGGGATTGTGCGTATGGAGACGCTGGAACTGCATCTTCTGCCTCGACAAAGCGACGGGCAACCCAAGCAAGGCTGGCTACTGCTCTGCGAGGACGCGGCTGTCTTGCTCCACGACGAGGCTCAGTTGCCCCTGACAGTGCTCGCGGTCCTGGTCCCGGGCCACATGAAAGTGCACTGATTCTACGCCCTCCCGTCAGTCGCCCCTTTACTCCATCTCTTGGACCACCATCACCAACTCCATCTTCTCACATCGCTCGCTCCGCCCTCGCGCCACAACGCCCGCCTGTACACCTACGTCCGCGAGAATTTCCTCCGCGCAATTGAACTGCCCGACTCCCCCGATTTCCTCACCGCGCAATCCATCACCGACTACTGTCCGAGCATTCTCGATCCGAACACAGCCCTCAAACGGCTCGAAGCGAGCGAAGCCCTGCACTTCGGATACATGAGACCTCCTGACGCGTGGTCTCTGGACCTCAGCGACGATCGCTATCTCCTTCACCTGCACGAGGCAGAGCGCGAGGTGGCGAGCATTGCCGGGCTCAAGTGCGCCGAGTACCTGGTCGTGAAGCGAAACTTCTTCCGCGCCTTTTGGACTGAGATCTACCGGTGTGACAAGAAGCTATTCGCTGATTCGAGTGAAGATGAGCTCGTTGCTGCTGCAAGCACTGCCAGCACGTCAGCGGCGCCGCCATCGACACTCAAACCGCAGCATGTCCGCTCAGATAATGCGCATGCAGTTTGGTTAGAGAAGGCGTACAGCATGCGCAAGTCACGGGCGCACCTGGTGGTGGTGGCGTGGAAGGAGCTGGGTTTCTTGGATGAGCAGCGCTTCAAGGCCTGGGTGAAGGCGGGTGGCATGTTCGAGACCAGCTCAGAGGATGAGGATGAAGGAGGAGACGTGGGAGAGGATCGTTCTCTTGCAAACCTGCCTCCTCCCTTGGCTGCGAGGCGCGGGTTATACTAGGCTGACGGAATGGGGACTAGATGTCATGGACGGAAGAGTGCATTGTGAGGAGAGTGGATGATTCGTGGACCGTCATCTAGTCGATTCTTGTCATGACACCCCAGGCGAATTCGCGAATCAAACGTCGCAGCTCAGATTCCCGCTATGCTCGCTCGTATACTAAACGCCAATCCCGGTATTGCATTCGTGTTTCGTCCTGCTCGATTCGTGCGATCCCTTGGCAGCCCCATCCGTCCCGACTTGGACACGGCATAGTCTGCGCTCGGCACTTCATCGTCGGGTTACTGTCCCCTTTTCGTCTCGCTCGTCATGAGCATATCACCTTGCGCTGCAGTGCGGCCGCAATGCTATAACATGTCGTAGGCACAGCATGCCAGCATGACGAGCGTTCAACCGTCTTTGACCACAACTCTTGCTCCTTCTTTGCCCAACACCCCCCTCTCCCTCGCCTTTGGACTCTTGTCCCGACCTTTCTTCCTTCCCAAGAATGCAAGCATGCCCGACGGCTTCTCACCCCGCTTGAACTGCTCATCTGTGGGGGAGTCCGCCGGTTTCCCCATGCTTCCCTCCGTGCTCTCTCTCGATGTTGATCGCGTGGGGCCCGATGGGCGTTGATAGGAGCTATACGGTGCTGATGTCGGGCCTGCGCTTGCTTGCACATCGTTGTATTTAATCGTGCGGGGTTTGGGCATCGGGGCGAGGTTTGCAGAGGAGGAGCCGGCTGCAGGGGGGAAGTACTCGGTGCCGGACAGTATGGCTGTCGGCAGTGGTGGCGAGCCATCCGGCGAGTTGGTCGGCATGCGTGTTGCGCCTCCGGCCCCCTCGGCTCTAGGTGAAGGGGCCGAACGCATCTTCGCCGGAGGTTGTGGAGGGAGGGGCCGCTGGAGGTCCTCGCCGCGGTTTTGGGCCGTAGATGGGCGGGGAGCGGCTGATTGCTCGATTGGAGCGCGCGCCTCGGGCAGGAGGGTGTAGTTGAACGGCTCAAACAAGGTTTCTATCATTCTGTGCAGCTCGTCCGCCCTGATCTCTTGCTGTGTCGCATCTCCGCGCAGCTCGGCGCGCGGCTTTTGTTTGCGCGACCGTGCCTCCAGTGGCGCCTCTTCCAGCAGCAACTCCTCCAGATCGTATGTTGCATCAAAGTTTGTCTTCTCACTTGACGGACAGAAGATGGGCTCAATCTCCTTCCTCTCCAACGCATCGAAGTCGATTTCGCGGAAGAAGGGATTATCCGTGAAGGTCTGGAACCCGGCGGCTCCTATGCGAAGCGTCCTGTCCTTCTCCAGCAGCGAGCTGATTGCATGCAGGCATACATTGCGGATGGGCGGGGATGTGGTGGGGTATTTCGGGTCGGCCTTGACGATGCTCTGAGCCAGGACATCCGGGTCTTTGGCTTCGAAAGGTCGTTTGTTGTAGATGCATTCGTAGAAGGTTACCCCCAAAGACCACCAATCGACCTCGGATAGATATCCCTTGCCCCGGTACACCTCTGGTGCCAGGTAGACCAGCGTTCCCGATTTGCTCGTCAGTGGCCGGTCGCGTTTGAACTCGGATGCCACGTTGAAGTCTGTAAGGTGGACATGGCCTTCGGCGTCCAACAGGACATTGTCGGGTTTGACATCGCGGTGGATGATGCCTTGTTGGTGGACGTAGCGTAATGCACATGCGAGCTCTGCGATCCAGAACCGCACGGCTTCTTCGGTGAAGGTCTTGCGCGAGATGTGGAACCGCAGGTCTCCGCCAGTCATTAGGTCGACTACCAGGTATCTGTTCACTTGCATCAGTACCATCATGCCTCGATGTGAGCAAACGGGAGAGGGACGCACAAGTACTCCACATCCTGAAAGCTGTAGCGCAAGTTACACACAAAGGGATGGTTGAGATGTTCCAGCATGCGTCTCTCACGGATGATGTTCCGCACGCTCTCCGATCGGACAATCTCATCCTTGCGGATGTATTTCAGAGCAAAGGTCAGACCCGTGTCCTTCCTCTCCACAATTCGCACCTTGCCGAATGCGCCTTTGCCAACCACGCGCAGCAGGCGGAAGTGATTGAGATTGACCTCGTCAGTGAGAAGGACGGGCTTCCCACTGGAGTTGCCCATTGATGTTGAAGGGGGCGGGTGGATGAGGAATGGCAGGAACCAGGCGCACTACCGCTCCCCCAGAGGCATGTCGTAATGACAGAACAATGAGCCTCGTGATCTCACGTAACACCGATAGGACGGGAAAGGCACACGGTCGGTTAGCGGGCAAGGCGAGGGAGGTTCCAGCAAGTCCGGAATGCCTGGCAAAGCGCGTAGTGACCAGCGGGTGTGAGAGAATGAGTTTCTGCGGTGGGTAGAGAGCGGGCGCGGTGATGTTGTTTCCCCGCAGCACTGAAAGACGGACGGACGAGATGAGCGAGATCGAGCAGGAGCGGTAATGGTGACGGTGGCGAGGATGGAGATGTTGATATCGCTGCTGCTATTGATGATTCCGGGAGTGAGAACGCAGAACCGGCTCGGCAAATACCAGCCAAGGGAGAAGATGGAGGGGATTTTGCACAAAATGGACGGACGGTGCAGACGAGGCCAGTACGATCGTTGGGCGAGTCAGCGGCAGAGAGGGTCAAGTGGCGTGGGTTATTAAGAGTAGGGGTGGGGCAGAGGCCCTGCACGGCCACGCCACGTTTTTGTCATTCGCTATAATAAATCATCCATCCAGTTGCTTGAGGCATGCCCGTCTCCCAAACGCGATACGAGGCCTCCCCCACCGGTCACTGGGGGCAATGGAGCCTACCGGGGGATGCAGTCCATCAATCCTCCCATCCCACGACTCCTCCTCGACTCCTTCGCCTCGCGCGCACCTCGCTCGGCCGTCCGCCATCACTCGTCAACAAACGTAAATGAGAAGGGGCCGCGGCATGGATCCGCATGGAAAAAGCGCTGCATCAAGCCACCGATCCAGATTTAAGTGGGCCGCACGTGGCCGCCCAAAACTCTAAACAAGGTGCGCCATCCCTGCACATCGGCCGTGCACGCGTGCTTCATCATCCTGCACGCATCTGCTCCGTCATCCGCTCTAGCGCCGCTCGTTATCGCATGTCTCCTCCTCGAAGGCTGTCTGCAAGGATGTAACCGTCCGAGGGTACGCCCGGAAGCGACCTCCACCCAGCGTCCGTTGCAACACCGCCTCGGACGACAGGCGAGCGGATATAGCCTCCGGCTGCCAATGTGTGTGGCTTGCCGCCTAGACCGGCCGATTTCATTTTGCTTGCATTCTGCCGCCACGCTGGGATTGTCCCGCGAAGAGATCCTAGCATGCCGTGGCTGAAACTATGATTCATCACTACTTTGGCGATATAGGGTATTAGAAGACGAAATACACGGGTTGACGAGAGGAGAGCAGGCGTCGCAATGAATGAGTCTAGACCCAGACTCCCCTTGCCTTCCATCCTCCATCCGACGCTCGCCTTCCAAACATCCAAACATGCATCCAATCGCATGCCATATTATTCCGAGGAAGGTCGACTTGTGCATGGTCGTCGCTCACACATCCTCCAGGGCATTCTACACCTCCTCCATCGTCCCCGCCGGCTCTTCGTCCTCATCCTCATCGTAGCTCCCCACACTGCTCATCTCGTCGCTCTCGTCCGTGTCGTGCCCGGCGTCGTCGACGTGCTCCTTTGTGGCGTACTTTGACACGTATTCTGTCCGACACACATGAGCGCTTGCACCTCTTCCACTGCTCCCTATGCACCATCTTACCTTTGACTTTGGCGTCGTAGCCTTTCGGCTCGCGCATCAGCAGAGCGGCAGCCTCGCCGTTCAGCGGATCTGTCGGGTTCGGATACCGCAACAGCTGTGGGAGAAAGACTTCGAAAATATTGATCATGTCGTACATTGGCGACCAGGTCTGGTTGATGACATCGAGGCAAACGCTGCCGGACCTGTTTCCATTCGCCGTCAACCCGCTGCCCTCTCGATTTCGCGGATCCAGGCGCTGCAGAACTTACAGTTCATCAATGTTGGGATGGAAAATGCGGTTCACGAAGCCTATGCTCGGGCTCTTGTAGGGATACTGATCGGGCAATTCGACGTGGATTTTCCAGAGGCCGCCTTGAAAGGGTGCTGCCGGCCGTTAGAATCACGTGCTTGAATGTAATCTACCCGTTACCTACTCTCTTCAGGGCCTTTGAAGCGGACGTAGAATTCTTGCCTAGGTCGTGTGAGCGCTTGGTGGGTGCACAGAGCCTCGCAGGCCATGCCACATACACTAAGCTGGCAGATTAGCCTACACCCGGCCAGTGGTGCGTGTTGCTCGCGAGTGTGGGGAGGGACTTACTGTTGTCATTGACCAGAGTCACCTCGTAGTCACTCATGAGCCTGAGGGCTGGTTAGTCAACGGAGTGTGCGTTAGTGCGGATGCTGATACGGACATCTTCATCACCTATACCAGTCTCGACGTTAGCACTGCAGCCAGTCGAGTAAAAGTGGCTACAAGAACGACGTACATCGGTCTCGATCCTCCTCTTGGGACTACTCATCCTGCCGCCTCTCCAGCCACGGCTGTTTCGTCAAGAACACGACTCTTGCAATGCTGTTCGTATTGCCCTCACTGCCGGGCTCAACAAGGATGGCGCTGGTGTGTGTGTTGGGCGATAAGGCTATCGCGGAGCGGCCTGGGCTAGGCAGGAGGCGGACGAGTGGAGTACAGTAGTTGATGATGTGGTCGGCGGATAGTACGACGGTTTGTGTGGTAAGCTGAGCGGATTCGCGTGGGCGACGGAGAGGCGCTTGATACGTGAGGTGGGGCTCGTTCGCAGTGGGTGTGGAGCGACACGGCGTTCACGGAAGAGGAAATGGGATCTTAGATGACGAGTTAGAGAGGGTTACGGCAGGTGTGTAAGGTATTGAGTGGGCGGTGGTGATGAGGTGGGGGATGGTTGGAGAGTCGATGCAGGCAAGCAGGCAAGCAGTCGGGGCCAGGTCACGTTCCATCATCACCAGCTCACAGTCATCCACCACCTTAACGTCCAGTCGCCCGATCTCGGCTTAGCGCCGATCACACGCGAGCACATGCTGCTCCGCCGCACTCCCCGTGACTTCCTTCCACACCACTACCAGTACGCCTTCGCCAGCGACAAAGTCTGACCTTGTGCGCATGCTGATATGTCTGACGGCGAATTGCTGCAGACATTGCCATGACACGCTGCACCGCATCCGCTCCTCTTCGCGCGCGCCATCCTGGCCTTCTATATGTTAGGTAAGCGAAGCCCAGCCACTGCCTCGGCGAATTGCGAACAGTGGAATGGAAGCAAGGGCCGAGTTTTCTGGACGTCGATATACGCCTGTAGAGTTGTGTCTGGCCTTGACCAAAACATCTCCCATCCCCCCGAGCGCAAGAATGGGTGAGCTTGCAATTCATCCCACTACGGACGACAGTCCTTGACGCTTCATTGCCCTGCAACCCCCGGCTTCCTCCTGCCACCCATAAGTGCCATCATGTTTCGCTCGGCGAGCAAGGCTGCGTCGAGGAACTCCACCATCATCCATCATCCTCACTGCAGCCGCCAAAATGCGGTGCAGTCTCTCGTTCTCGTCCGACAATCATCTCACTCGCCTCTCGCGACGGGCGAGGCGCCAACCCGGAAAAAAGTAACCCTTCCAGCCCTGATGGCCATGCACCGGCGGCAAGAGCCCATCACCATGCTCACGGCGCATGACTTCCCCAGCGCACATGTTGCCGACAGGACTGGAATGGACATGATCCTCGTCGGGGATAGTCTGGCCATGGTCGCCCTCGGGATGGAGGACACGAGCGAAGTGCAGCTCGACGACATGATCCTGCACTGCCGCAGCGTCGCCCGAGGCTCCAAATCCGCTTTTCTGGTTGGTGACCTTCCCATGGGCTCTTACGAGCTTTCGCCCGAGCAGGGTCTTGCGTCGTCCATCCGCCTTGTGAAAGAAGGCCGCATGCACGCCGTCAAGCTGGAAGGAGGCGCAGAGATGGCACCTACCATTGCCAAGATCACCACCGCTGGCATCTCCGTTCTCGCCCACATCGGCCTCACGCCACAACGACAAAATGCTCTCGGCGGGTTCCGCGTCCAGGGCAAGTCCACGTCCGGCGCCATCAAGCTTCTTCAAGACGCCCAGGCCGTACAGCAAGCCGGAGCCTTTGGAGTCGTCCTCGAAGCTGTGCCTGCGGACGTTGCAACACTAATCACCAAGAAACTGCGGATCCCTACCATCGGCATTGGTGCGGGCAACGGATGCTCAGGGCAAGTGCTCGTCCAGGTCGACATGTTGGGTAACTTCCCCCCCGGCAGATTCTTACCCAAGTTTGTGAGGAAGTATGGAGATGTCTGGAGCGAGACGTCCCGTGCGATTGAGGCCTATCGGAAAGACGTGAAGGAACGGAGCTACCCTGCTCCCGAGCATACATATCCCATGCCTCGGGAGGAGTTCGAGGAATTCGAGCGCCTTGCGCATCGTGACCATCCGTGATCGAATCTTTGGATGTGGATGGCCATAGATTGTAAATATGAACATAGTTGTAGGATAGAATGTAATCGGCCAGTTCTTAATTCATCCATCATCATGAGAGCCGTCATTTGTCATCTTAACGAACCATCCACTGCTTGCCGCTATGAGAACGGCCCTTGTACCGAATGTGCACCGTCCTCATCCAAAAGCCTGCGTAACGCTGTAACTCACCACCAACTCGTCCCCGACCTTGAAGCACTACAAGCCAACCGTCGACATTAGCGTCCTCGCCGGCAGGCGCAATTAATACTCCAATTTGGATGCAAAAGACTCACCCTCCACAAATTCCCTACGCCCTCGTCCAAGCCCGGGGCAAAGACGGAATTGACATAGCAAAAGACGCTCTCGTGGTCCTTGAGCTGCAATCGTTTCCGCAAGAACCGCACCACAAATTCAAACCGCTGCGCCGTCCCGCAGTTGAAGACGGGGGTGCGCAGCGCCTTGGTGTTGGGCAAGGGCGAGAGGCGCACCTTCACTGGCGTGCGAGTCGAGTTAGCCAAGTGCTCGACACAGCTGCAAGCTAGCCGCCAGGGATGGGGCACCTTTGCTCTTCACTTGGCCGTTGGCATCCTTTAGCTCACCCGCCGTCTCGAGTGCCGCGTGGGCGTCCTTGGGTAGATGTTCAAGGATGACGGACGCCGCCATGGTCATGGGCAGATCGGCGCCGTTGTCCTCTTCCTCGGCCATGGCATCGGGCGGCGTCGGCGTAGAAGTGGTTGAAGTCATGCTTTGTAGTCCTCGAGTGCAGCAGTCGGGTCATTGGGTGCTAATGTGGGACCTTACATGTTGCGCGAAGAAGCATAAGAGGATGTGAGTCGGGGGCCCAGGTTGACAAGTAGTAGAGTGAGGTGGTCAAGGGTGAGAATTGACTTCGCTCGCCACTCCGCGGTCCTCCAACCTCTTCACAGCCTTGCCGGGCCCGCCGGAATGCCCATACTCACGCATACCTACGTAGTGAAGGCAAACGGAGCGGAAAGATGGCCTCCAATCGCAACAGTCATTGAACAAATATGTACATGTAAAACTAGCACTTGTGCCTCATACAAAATGCCTTCAACCCACCAATGCCAACCACGACAATCGCACAATGAGCAGCGAAAAAGCACCGCGACGCAATGCTGATGCCAGACCCGATGCCGTGGGGTATCGAAATGCCTCATGTCCCACCCGCCGAGTAAAATGCCAAACGCAAAAGAACCCTTGGTGCCCCTTTTCCGGCCGAGAACGAAGAAACAAAACCACGCTCCTCGCTATGCGTACAAGGCGCATTACTTTTGGAATGAGCAGCAGCAAGATGCAGAAGAAGCAACAAGCAAGGCCACGCCGGCCTGCAGAAATGTAGAATGCGGATTGCCGTGCTCATGAGACGCCCATCAACCATCAAAAATGTTCAGAATTCGCAGACCATGCCAGAGACGTAGGAAATATTATCGCAGTGTCGATGTGGGTGCATCGCCGAGCTATCGGACCGCGGCCCGTTGTATTAGAGCGACTTGTGTGGTCGCTTGAGCTGGACTAGAAGAGCGTCAAGCTCCTTCCAGTTCTCGGGAGCGAGCGCAAACTTCTTGTGTTTGCGGGAAAGGGTGTGCTGTATCGAGGGTTAGCGGCGAGGCACATTGTCGGGATGGAAAGACATCGAGATACTTACATCGTCAAAATCATCAAACTTCTCGCGGCAGTTCTCGCAATACCCCGGCTTCGGCTCCTTCTGAGCCGGCTTGCGTTTCCTGGGGGCCGCCGGCCTTCGATGCGTTGGACCTACAGTCTCTCCATGATCCTCGTCGTCCTCGTGCAGCACCCCAAGCGTCTCCTGGGCGCGTCTCTTCGCCGCGCGTGGGGGAGGGTTGATGTCGTCGTTGATTGCGGCTCGGACGTCGTTCATGTAGGAAGACGGCATGCTGTGGGTGGACGTCACGCTCGCACCACGCTCGGTGAGGACCTTGCGTTTCAGAGCAGACACTTCCTTGCTATCTCCCACGCGTCGGTTCACACCCGCGGCAGTGGACGAGATGGCAGTGGAAGAGATTGCCTGTGAGCGGATGGCCGAGGTGACGTTGGAGGGTTGCAGCCCTGAAGCAACAGGCTCTCCGCCGATCATGCGTGGCAGACCACGCGCATTCTGCTGGAAGCTGCCAAACAGATTGGGCATGGTCCCGGCGGATGATTGACGCTTGGGTGGGATGTTTCTGGGCGGATCCAACGGCTTTGATAGCTCGACCTTGCCCTGTGCAGCCACCTTTCGGGGAGAACGGCGCAGGTTCGAGTCACGCTCCGTCAATGGCGGATACGTGGCGGCAGCACGGGTCTTGCGCTGCGAGGCGAGTTCTTGCTCAGCAGTCGCCGCGGCTTGAGCCTCGCGCTCTTGTTGCTGAAGCTTCTTGGTGTGCGCTGGGTCGTCAACAAATGGGCATCGACCAATAGGGGTCAGTCGAAATTGCGGCCACGTGCCCTGTTCCTTGCTTGCAACCTTGGGGTAGTCGCGAACCAAGACCGGACGGGTCTTCTCATCCATGTCGTGGATGTAAAGGAAGTAGCCCTTCAGCACAGTCATATCCTGAGCGGAGACAGTCATGTCTCGGTCGGCTGGGCCATTGATCTTCTCATGTCGAAGCAGTTGTTCGAGGTCGGCATCGTTGGAAGGCTTGGGGGCGGATCTGGTTGGAGGGACTGCAGCGCGAGGGTCGTGAGGGTCTGGCTGGTCATCTGTCTCGATTTCAAACATGGTCTTCAACACACGTTGCATCTTCTCCAGCGCCCAGATCTTGATGCCGAGCTCGCGAGCACGGGTCAGGATGTCTGCGCGTTGCGCGTGAGATCTGCGCGCGTCGGCATCGTGAAAGACGGGGTTAGACTGAGTCTGAGCTCTACGCTGCAGGTTGGCATCAAGAAGATCGGTCGTCTTTCGCTGATCCTGCGTCAGGGCAGCCGGCTGGACCGTCTGGGCGGCATTGTATTTGGGATCCTCATCCGGGCTGGTGGCGACGAGTTCGGGAGGGATGGATCGAGTGGTGACGACGTGGGTGACGGCATTGGAGAAGAACTTCTCTTCACGCGCCCCTAGCAGTTGTAGTTGACGTGCGGCCTTGAGACGGATATCCTGCGGCACGCTCTCGAAGTAGAAGACAAAGCCGGGGAATTGGCGCTTGTAATGACGTTTCCACTGGCGAATGCTCTCCAGATTGTCGCCCGCCTGCTTCTGCGGCTGGTCATTGCGTTGAGGAGGGGGCGGACGCCTCTCACGGACAGCATTGAGCTTCTTCTCGAAGACGGTGGGCGGAGCGTTGGCAGTGCGCTTAGCAAAAGGCTCCTCCACGCCTTCGAGGGCATGGACGGGGACGCCATTCCTCCTCCGGGGGTCGACATTCTCCGCATCATCGTCGGAAAGGTCGACGATCTGTTTCTTGGCCGGAGGCTGTCCGTCTTCCACCTCTCGCAGCTCTCCCGCCTGGGCTCGCGTGCGCTTGCCATTGCCGGCCGTGACGGGACGGAAGGGCGAGTTGACGGCGTTGGGCACATTGGCCAGCGGGGCTCGTTTGCTGGTCATGTCGAATGGGTGCGGCGGCGGAGGCAGTATGGATAGTGTTGCCATGCGTGGGAGGGCGAGGGCTCACTGCTGCGCGCGTGCATGCACCTGCAGGACGCGCTTACTGCGGGCAGACGGGTGCCATTGACACGCACAGGCAGCAGCAGCAAAGGGAGAAGTGAGCGTGAGGCGAAGGAGAGCGGGTGTCGGAGAGGGATGGAGGGGGGAGGGGAGGGAGTAGAAGAGGTGCGTTGCAGTCGTTGTGAGGAGGCAGGCGGGACTAGAGGGTAGTGAGGCAGAGGTGCAGTTGTGTGGTTGGCCCCGGCTTGTTGCCATACAAAACATGCGAGGCGCGCCGACGGGGCGAGCTTAAATGAAACTAGCGGCAAATGGCTAACCACCCGATTTCCGCACCCGCGCCCGCGCCTTCCTCGCCAGCAAAAGCAGTCGCGGGCAATGAATGGCAGGAGCGAGGGGGGGAAATTAATAACGGACATGTTCATGGCTGGGAGCATCTCCCTTCTCTTCACACACAGTGAATGTATATCTTGCCCCATTCGGCACTCTCCATTGCCCTGCCTTCGATGCTTCATACTGCTCCAGCCTCGTTGGGCAGCTTTAAGCTTTCCGCATAGCAACGCCAAGGCATGCTCCCACCAGAGACATGTCTTTCACTTTCCTGCCCATCTCTTCACTGTCTCTTTTTCCAGCAACGAGGAGTATGTGAGTGCTGTCTATGCTGTCGGTTCATCTCTCCAATCCGCGCATTGCTGCTTGCCACCCTCCAAACTGGCCTGATCACATCCGCTCGGCCTCACTCGACGCGACTCTCACGCCTCCTCACGTGCTTCGACGATCGATGGCGGGGTCCCCGCCAAACTACTGAAATCATTCATCAGGTTTCCACGCCAGTGCCAGCTTGCAGGTAGGTGATTTTTCTTCTCTCTCCAGTCTATTGCACTCCATTTGCTTTACTGTTTCCTTCCCTCACTCGCCTGCCACGCTGCCTCTCGTTTCCTCGCTGCCAAAGTCCTGTGCCGGATTTGGTAGCCTCTCATCATCAAATCCGGCAGCCTCTCATCAGCGCTGAGCAAACCATGGCGCAGCGAGATGATTATGACGGCGGCGACATGTATCGCGACGATCAAGATGATGGTGACCGTGACGATGCCGGTTACGGAGGAGACGCGGTGCCACGCGGCAGCCGGAAGAAGTCGCTCCTCATCGGCATCAACTATGTCGGTTCCAACCACGCCCTCGAGGGCTGCCAGCAGGATGTCGCCAACGTTCGCCATTTCCTCGACACCCAAGGCTATTCCCGCGACTCGCGTTCGCAGGTGGTGATGCGTGACGATCAACAGACCGATCCCAACGGCCCTTTCTGGCCGACTGGGCGAAACATGTTAGCTGCAATGGAGTGGCTGGTCTCTGAGCCTGGCACCACCAATTTCTTGCATTACTCCGGACACGGCGGTCAAGTTCCCGATACAGATGGCGCGCGGAGCTCGGGGTTTGACGACACCATCGTTCCCTATGACTTTGAAGACAACGGCCAAATGTAAGCGTTCCCTCAGTTGAGTTCTTCGCTCGTGCCCATTGACCTCGTTAATGACTTCCCACAGTCCTAGCGGAGTATTGCACCGCATACTCGTCAAGAAGCTTCCCCCACGCAGTACACTGTTCTTGATTTTCGATTGCTGCCACTCAGGTTCGGCCGTCGAACTACCCTACATCTACCGGAGCGACGAAGATGGCAACGTGAACATGATTGACAATGTGAGGGAAGGCATGCGTCTTCTCGGGGCCGCGAATCACCTCATTCAAGGCGGCTTCACCTTCGACAAAATTGGCGAGGCGCGGCAACTCATGGGTGGCGCGTCGTCATTCTTCAAAGGCCTGACGCACAAGGAGGACGAGCAGGGGCTGGGCAGGCAGGACTTCGCTGACGAATACGAGCACGAGGAGAACAAAAACGTCTACATGTTCAGTGGCTGTAGGGACGACCAGACTTCTGCCGATGCGACCATTGGGGGATCCCACGTTGGCGCCATGAGCTACGCCTTTCTGGAAACGATGCAACGGCATGGTCCAGACCAGACGTACGTCCAGGTTCTGCAAAACACGAGACAGGTGCTCAAGGGGCAATACACACAAGTGCCGCAGCTGAGTGTTCAGCACTCCATGGACTTGAACACGCTGATCCATATATGATGGTATGATGAATGGGACGGGAGACGAGATGCATGGAAGGGGATGATCTATATCAAAAGCTAGCATCATCGCCTCAAGGATTCGATTTCTTCGACTTCCTTCACCGCCGTACGGGTGAGCACTTCGGCCTGTTCCTTACCAATCCGCACAGAATCCTCTATGCGGATTCCAATCCCGCGGAAATGCTCCGGCCACCGCTCGTCGTCGGTGGGGACGTAGATGCCGGGTTCGATGGTGATGCATTGGTCCTCCCGCAGCCTCTGCGTGCGAGGGTGACCGGGCGCGTCGTGTACGTCCAGGCCGATGAAGTGGCCCACGTGATGAGGGAACATGACGTCCATCACGTCCGAACGCGACGTGTCGAATCCGAGATCTTTCAGCCCACTCTTCAACCCGCCCTCCGCAATCCGGTGCAGTTTGTCCAGGGTGACATCCGCGTCTTCTCGGCACAGACTCACACATGACTTCTGCACTTGGAGGATCATGTTGTACATGTCTCTCTGCGGCCCTGTAAATTCTCCGGTGACGGGCCATGTCCGCGTAATGTCTGTAATGTAGTTGCCGTATTCTCCCCCGGCATCTACGAGGACGAGATCGCCGTTGCGCAGTCGCGCATCATTCCGCACGTAGTGGATGCTGAGAGCGTTCGTACCACCCCCAATCACGGGAACGTAAGCCTCGCCATCCAAGCCTTGCGTTTTGAAGCCGTATGCCAGGTCCGCCCAAAGCTGCTTCTCGGTTTCGTAACCACGCTTCATGGCGGCCGTGATGACAGCCCCAGAGATGGAGCCCGCTTTGCGCATGCAGTTCAGCTCCGCCTCTGACTTGTCGAGACGCAGCTCATTCATGAAGGGCCGGAGCGGTCTGACGGTGGAGTCGCGCAGCATTTTCGCAAAGCCATCGAGCTTCGCATTCGATCCGCCGAAGAAGCGCGACAGTGCATTCTTGCGCCCAAAGGAGCCGATGTCGGTATACACCTCTTGTGCACCAGATACAATGTCCGCAAGGGAAGTCGAGAGGTGCTCGATGTCGCCCGCCTCATCGGCATTGAAGACGTCTAACGCCGCTTGTGTCCCCGACCGTGCCCCGTCCCATTGTTCGGCTTGCGCGTCTTTGCCTCGCACGAAGAGGTGGAAGGTGTACTCGACTTTGGATTTGCCCTTTTCTGCGAGCAGAGCGATGTTGGCATTAGTGGAAAGGTGGAGGAGGGGTTGGGAGACGACGGACCTACCGATTACAGCGACCGCGTCGGGCTCGTTGAAGCCTGCGCGTTGGAAGGGTCAGCAGGTTGCGTGGAGAGAGGAAGGGCAGTATTGGCAGGAGATACCGGTGAGATAGAAGAAGTTGGGGTCCTGGTGGAAGGGATAGAAGACAGGGCCGGAGCGGTACTTGAGCTCGCTGGCAGCAAGAATGGCAATGCCGCCTCGAGGCAGTTTTTGGGCGAGGGTCGCGCGGCGATGATGGTATTCGAGGGCAGAGATGCCCGGAGTGACTGGAGGGGATCAGTGCATGTCGGGCGGAGGGGCGCGCAGAGCATGCATACGTTCTCCGGCTTGGATGAGATGGGGATGGGTCTCGTGCAGCGGCTGGCCGAATTGGAGATGTGCTGCTGAGACGAGAGTGCGTCGAGGAGCTGAGCGCAAGGCGGGTCTGCTGCGAAAGGTGGGAAGGGGAAGCAAGGCTGCTGCTGCTGCTCGTCGTGGCAGCAAGACCCGTCGACTCATTGCTCGCAACGCGTTGGCAGAGAGGGGGAGATGACATTGATCGGCGCGGAAGAATTGTCTTGTGCATCGCCAGCCTCGGGAACTCGCGCCACACCCTTGCGCCTCATCCTCGCAGCTGTCGTGCCACTCGACTCCACTCTCCACGTCTCACGAGCCATCAAGAGCATTTCAACGTTGTATGTCCCTGCTGGTCTCTGCTGGGCACTGGAGACATGCCTTTAGCGCGTGCGCCTGGTTAGCAACAACACGATCCATCTCATCGGGCAGAATGGCGACGCCGTCCATCGACAAGCACGCCCTCGACTCCTTCCACGCCCACCTGTCCCAGTCCAAACGTGTACTCGCCCTTCTCGGCGCCGGTCTATCAGCATCCAGCGGTCTTCCCACGTTCCGCGGGGCTGGTGGCTTATGGAGATCCCACGACTCCATCTCCCTCGCCACCCCCGAGGCATTCGCCGCCGACCCCAGCCTCGTATGGCACTTCTACAACTACCGCCGCCACATGGCCCTCCAAGCCCAGCCCAATCCAGCGCATTACGCACTGGCCGAACTGGCCAGGAAGTTGCCCGGGTTCCAGTGTCTGTCGCAGAACGTCGACGGCTTGAGTCAACGCGCCGAACATCCGCCTGACCAACTGCAACTTCTGCACGGGACGCTGTTCGAGCTCAAATGTGCCAGCCGGAGATGCGACTATCATGAGACCAACTTCACCGACCCCGTCGTTCCGGCACTTGCCATTCCCACTGGTGGAGTCGATCCGACCTCCAACGAAGCTCGTCGGGAAGCTGCAGCAGCGCAGGACAAAGGTCAAGATCTTGACATCTCCGATGTCAAAGTGCCCATCCCCTCAATCTCAACCAAGGATCTGCCTCAATGTCCGAAATGCAACGCACATCTGCTCCGCCCCGGGGTCGTCTGGTTCGGCGAGAGCTTGCCCGCTAGCGTCCTCAAGAATGTGGACGACTTCATCGACGCCGACGCCGGCATTGATCTGATCATCGTCATTGGCACCAGTGCAAAGGTCTATCCCGCCGCCGGCTATATTGACGAGGCACGAGAAAAGGGCGCGCGGGTCTGCGTGGTCAATATGGACACCAACGATGCCCCCGCCAGCGGCTGGGCAGAGGGCGACTGGCTGTTCCAGGGAGATGCTGCCACCGTGGTCCCGGAGTTGTTGAAGCCAGTCATTGGAGAGATCAAAGCGAAAGTCTGATTGAAGACGCATATGTCTAACGAGCACCGAAATCACATCATCCATCCCTGTACGCCTTTCCCAATGGCGTCAATTTGCCTTCATCGTCCAACATGCGTGCCCATCTTCCCACAGTCCCAGCGTCTCTCATGGCCCCAAACCAAGCATATCGCTCCACCCAATCCAGCGTGTCCAGATATTTCACGCTTTCTCTCGCGAAACTTTCGACGTGTTCGCGAGGCATCGGGCTGTCTTTGTTCCAGTTGCTGCCACCCGCATCAGTACAATGATCATAAGATGTCATCTAATGCCCAACTCACGTGGTTGCAAATTCCGTGATCCAGACAGGCTTGTTGGGTCCTAGCTGATGGTACCTATATCGCCTTCCATCAGCCATCTCACTTACCACCCCCATCACGCCAAACCCCCAGACTCACGTGCTCCAAATGTAGTCGTAAAACTGCCCCAGCGTCTCCCCATACCAATGCAGGCAGTAGAAGTCCACGTCGCTGCCCCCCGCGCGGATCTGGCGCAAGAAGTCCTGCAGCCAGACGACGCCCTGCGGCGCGGAAGAAATGCCTGGACTGCCGCAGCGAATGCCCGCTCGCCGCAGCGGTTCAAAACACCGAATCCATTCCCGTGCGGCGAGTGCGCTCGTCAAGTTCGACTGATCCGGCAACTCGGGCTCGTTGAAGCCCAGCACGGCCGTGGCGTGGCAATTTCTCACCTTTGTGGGCAAGTTGTCAATGTCGACATGATTCCATTGCATGGGGACGAAGTCGAGAGATCTGGCGTCGGGCGTCGGTTGGGGAGACCAGTTGTATAGCCAGGAGATCTTGGAGCCGGGTTTGGTGAAGGTGAAGGCCGCATCGACGTTATCTGTGGGCCAGCAGAGACCTCTTTTCGAGGCAGATGCCATTTCAGGACTCAACACGACCGTAGCTAGGTGGAAGGTGCTAAGTTTGTCGGTTTCGCTCACACATTTTGCTCGTGTCGTGCAGATAGGGTCGAGCAGATGATGGTGACGTTTTCCAGGCGGAAGTTCAGGAAACGTGGTTTGCCTGGCCTGCAGAGCCGAGAGATTTACACAACGAAAGAAACGCAGGAAACACGCGCGAATACATTGCATGCGGTTGGCTCTACAAGTAAAATCGGAGATATGCATGCACGATGGGAAGTAGCATCAAGCGCGAGAGCAGCCGTCTCGGATTTCAAATGTCTATATAAACCAATCCTCCCGCCCCCTCTCGCACAAAGAAAGTACCATAACGAAGCCGCTTGGTTCAGCGAGGGTACGCGGCTGGGAGACAAAGGCATAGCCGGACTGGCGCCTCTGAATGCCACACCATCGATGGCCGAGGACAAAAAGCAGGAATTCGGCACAGGCACAAGAGCGACGACTCGGCGGCGGCGGCTCTATTGCCGCCTACTCTTGTTATTGCGACCAATTGCCAGAGAAATCAGGATTCGCAAAGTCTTGGTCGAGGTCGTACGAGTCCGTATACGTGTCGACGGGCACCGCGATTGTCCCGTCCGCCCATGGCTGATGAGCTGTGAAGCCGACTTCCTCGTCCATAGGCCCGTAGTCGAATTGCGTTGCATTCGCATCGCTCTTCATGCCATTCATCATCGTGTCGGAGGCCATCTGAGGGCTGGCGGCCGCTCCAAACAGCCCGTTGTTCAAGTCGAGGTCCGGGAACAATTGCCTGATAATGTCGTCGTTCGGAGCGCTGGTAGACCCGACGGAGCGCGACTGTGGCCGAGCTGCTTGCGCCATTCCACCAAGAGCACGCTGAGGCATACTCATGAACGGAGGAAAGGTTGGCATCTGGTAGCTGTCGTCGTAGCTTGTCGATAGTACGCTCTGCTGCATCTTCTCTTGTCCAGCTGGCTGGAAGGTGTTGTCCACTGACGCCTCCCACTCATTGTTGAAGACCGTCGTTCCAAACTCGGCATTGCCAAAGAAACCAGGGGGCAGACTACGCCGGTTGGTTTGAGGCGACGATTCGGTGGCGGCATTGACCGTGTCACTGTTGGAGTCCTCTTGAATGCTTGGCATGTGATAGCCGTAGTCGTCCATTGACGGCAATTCGTCCACCTCGGACTGGGTGGTCGAGGACGCGCTGGTCAAGGTAGGTTGCGAGATGCTGGTACTGTCGTGCTGGGTTGGCCAGACGCCAAAGGGGTTGTTATTGGGCATGACGCCAGAGTCCGCAGATGGGAAATTCGACCAGGGATCGAAGGAGGAGTCGTTGGTTCCGGCAATGGTATCCAGGGGCGACGCGAAGGTCTCACTCATGTATGACTGGATGCTCGAATTGGTCTGTATTTGCGTAAGGTCGGTGAAGTCGATTGAGCCGAAACGCGCGTCGCCGGAGCTGGTGCACGGGATAGCGCCGAGCGAGGGATGACTTGGGGAATGCTGGCCAGACCTGGACGCCTGCCGCTCGCCCTGGGCAGGCAGCGGGGTGGAGGTATGGGATGAGCTCTGAGACATGGTTCGCTCGGATGCCTGCCCGTCGACGGACCGGCGCGACGTAGCAGCGACACTGGATTCGGTGACGGAGCGCGGCATGGGCAGCTTGTATGGCATGCCACACTCGTGAGCAGCGAGGTTCTTGCGGTGGACGGGCTTGTGGTGGCCATTGGTGAAGACGGTGATGGCACCTTCGGAGCTGGTCTTTTCCAGTCGCGGCTTGACGGCTGGACCGTGGGGCAGGCTGGTGCTCGCGTCGGGCTCTTTCTTCAGAATGGCGCACGAGCACTTGCCGCCATGATGGCAGCAGCAGCCTTGCTCTTCGGCGACGGCCGCGAGACACGCCAGGTCGAGGTCGGCATGATGATCGTCGTGGTGGCCGGCCTTGGCGCGCTCCTCGGCCTCACGCAAATGGATGCATTTCTCCTTGGGGTGGTGAGGCTTGTCGGCCTCGCCACATTCGCATCGCACATGAGCGGATCTCTTCTTCCGCTCGAGTCTGCAGTGCTGGCACTGCGTGACCGGACGACCCTTTTTTGGTACCAGGATCAACTCACGGTCTAATGTGGGTTAGTAGGCGTATGTGAGCGAGTGGAGTGGAGTGGGAGCAGAAATCCATACCGGTGTGGGTGCAGCCGCTCACGCGATGACCCTTGAGGCACGACTGGCATGCCCATTTGGTGCCGTCCTGATGAAGTGGTGAGCGAAGTGGAAGGGAAGGGGGAGTTTTGCGCGGGTGCGAACCTCCTTGACAACCATTCTTCGTATTGATGCTGCGGGTGAGGGATTTTCGCCTCTGCCCAGCGCGTCGTGCGCGACCAAATTTCCGCCTTTCCGCCGGAAGTATGACACAAAAAGCCTCACAGAGGGGGAAGCGAGAATAAAAGAGCGGCAAAGGCGCCGCTGGGGAATGGAACTGTACACCTGGGGTATCTCGTCGTGGACCGTAACGCGCGGGATTGCGCTCGAGCAAAAGCAAGTGGCGGCTGGAAGGTGGTGGCGGAAAAAAGCGGGCAGCAAGGGCAGAGAAGGGGGAGGGAGGACCTGACACACCGCAGATGGCGGTGGCCGTAAGTGGCCGGGACGAGGTGCTGCTGCGAATCAAAATAAGTCGGATGCACGTCGTGGACGGAGGGGTGGGAGAATGGGAAAGGAGCAGAAGCTGGAGACGGGCGCTCGAGTTTTAACGGGCGCGGCGCGGGTGCAGTAGGGAAGAGGGAAGGAACGCCAGACACGGGCGCCACTCAATTACAGTGGGCCAAACCCTGGCCTGGCGGGCGCGCGGTGGCCACGGCTAATAATCGTCAAACACACCACCCACCCGGCAGCGCACGCACGCACGCACACGCACCCAGCGCGGCTTCGCTCGAATACGGCAGCAAACACTGATGTGTACTGCGACGGCGGCGGCGGCCAAGGAAGGCGCCAAAGATGCGCGTGTGAAGCCACCGGCAGGCCCCCGGATCTCGAAATGCCGTGCGCATCTCTGAATTGCCCCCCACGTCTACAGCCCACCCGGTTCCGAGCGAGACAAGCTCCACTCAGCCACCGTCCGCCCGGTGTGCCAATGTGCTGTGCCTTGTGCCTCCCTCCATCCTCCCGCATGGTGAGAAATCAGGCAGACATCATCGCCGTCACTGCCCCGCGAACGCTCCCGCGCCTTCTTTTCCCTCTCGGCCGCGCTGCAACTTTGTACTCACTCCGCCCATTCGGCTCCTCGTCTGGTACGTACCTAGACACTCTACATTGCCTCCCACTTTCTGTTCTGTCAACTAGCGGAGCGTCGAAAGCTTGCTTACGCGGCCTCGTGGGAGACGAATGTCTGTATCGCATTCCGCAGACTGTCTCCGCCAGCACCTTCCTTCCCTCAGCGAGCAACTCATGCGACGGGTATACCTTGTTCTGGTCGCATTCCCAATGCCTGCCGTGACACCACCCAAAGCACATCACATCAACGGTGATCGGTCTTGGCAAAGCGACTTTATCCGAGACAAGCCTTTTGGCGTCATAACCTTAATTCCCGCCGTTTTCGTATTTCGCCATCGCCTGGACCGAGCTCTCACTCTCCCTCGCTCTACTGTGTAGGTAATCATGTGCTCGCGCGCAGGTGCGTCATTGATTGGTCTCTTTTCATCAGTGTGGGTTTCACCCTCTGCCCTCGAGCTGTCAATGGAAGTGCTGGCCTTCACCCTTCTACAACCATCAAACGTGGGAATCTACTCGCTTCTTCTCCTTCACTCTCATCTGGTCCGTTCGCCGCCTTGAACGTACACATTTCTGAGCAGAAGACGGCGGAATGAGTGTTTGGCGGGCGGTCGTGGGACAGACTCGCCGTTCTGTGTGGCCTAGTCATATCCTACCGTGACGCTTGCAATCTTGCACTCTCGATCATGGGCAGCCATCCAGCAGCCAATCGATCGGGGCAAGGTGGGTTAACAAAGATTACGCCAGATAAACACATGCGCAATCCAATCGCAGCCATGTATATGAATGGCATGTTCATATCACTTGGACCAGCAACATGGTCACGTGCACCACTTAGATGCCCCGACACGTGCAGCGTATGCGAGTCTGCTAGAATGGCGAAGCTGGGAGCGAGGTGAATGAGGGTTAGAGAGATCCTCGGGCGTGCGGGTTTGCGGGTGGGAGCTGATCGATAAGAACGATCAGCAATCATCCAACACGTTCGGGAGGCTCACCGAGGCTACACATCAGCCCCGGCGGATTAGTGTTCCGCAGGACACTTTTGCACCCCTGACTGACTCGGATTCTTGGCGAGTTTGGAAGACACCGTCTCGAGAGGCATCCATGAGCGCAGACATCCTTAGAAACCGAGGATAGTCCGGAGAAGCGTGGCAGCAAATGTGCCACTGATGCCATCTCCGGCGGGTGTCGCGATGTATCTATGTACACAGTACTTGATGGCGGTCACAAGGCCATCTTTGCCAGCCGCGGCGTCTCCGCGGCTCTATTGCGGCTGAAGGAGCAGCCGGCAGTGATTGAACTACGTCACACGCGGCTGCCCACCATTGCGCGCGCTACGCCTTGCCTCATCGACTCCTTCCTCAGGCTGTCCACCACCCGCCACATTGATCTGCGATGGTGCTAGTGCATCTCATCCTGAAGAACCCACTCAGAGTAATAACGTGAATCTCTGGGCGGAAGAAGAACGAACGCCCAGGCGCTGGTAATGCTTCTTCGGCCGACTTCGCAAACAAGCATCGCAACCACACAATCATACCGACGAAATCACCAGATGAAGGTACTCACTGAGCCGTGGTGATGATGAGTGATGCACTGCAAACTCCTCGGCAGCGACGGGATCAATGGTAGTCTTAGGCTTGTCCGGCGGCTTCACGGAATGGACGGTCCGCTGAAGGAGGGTCAGGGTTCAACGCTCGACCAATGACCGGCGCGTTTGGACCCTCACCGTCACTCGTGATGTCCTCTGTCGAGCAAGACGTCGATCTCAATGCGGTAGGGATTATCAATCACTCACCCCAATGTTCTACGGCTGCTTGGGCAGCCCTGATCCTCGCGTGCACGAGGCATGTATGTTATATGAAGCGTGTGCCTCTCGCCACCTCGCATGTAAGAAGACGTCCCTGCTCTCATTTCCTCTATCCCTATGTCCTTTCTATTGCTCAACGCCCCAATGCCTCATTTCAAGCGAAAGCAGAGGGCCGTGGCAGAGATCCACCTGTCCCTCCATGACGAGGACGGGGAAGGCCTCCCCACCCCCACCAACCAGTCCCACTACCTGTCACACGAAACAATTCAAGGATGCGTTCTCCTCCGACTGCCCCCCGGCGTGGAGACTGCGCGGTGTCAGATCACCCTCAAAGGTATGCTCACGGGACGCAGTGCACGTAGGATGCTGGAACCCACGCTGATACTATGACGCGCAGGAGCCATCACCACCGAAACGCCGCAGTATTCCAACGGCGCGTTTGCGAAAGAGTGGAGGACCGAGACGTTGGCGGTAAGGATGCTTTGTCGTTCTTCCCCGCGATATACCCCGGCTAACGCGCCTTGCCACAGTTCCTTGCCGCAGCATACGACCGGAAGGCGCATGCCGACAGGGCGGACGCAGACGGCGCCATTCGATTGTTCTTCCACTTCGACCTGTCCGAATGTGAAAAGCTGTCCCGCCACGAATGCGGTTTGCCGCCATCGGTAGACTCGCGACGCGAAACTCGTCGCCCTTCCGATGTCAAGTACTCGGTGGACTACAGCATCAAGGCTACCGTGACCGCTGACGGGCACGAGCTGGCGTCGACAGTGCAGCGCGTCGACATACTCGCCGTCTCCCTCGATTCCTGGCGGTCCAGCGCCCCGGGAGCGTACTTCTGGGCAGAACCGGTCAGCGAGACCAGACCCAAGATTGGAAAAGCCAGTTCTTTCCCGCATGCGCGACCGAGATTCCGCACGGGCAGCTCCTCGCACTCGTCCCCGGAGCGATCCCCCTCGGCGGCCTTCCGCACAGAACTCGCTGCGCAGGAGACCGACCCGCTGGTCCTGCAAGACGACCATGGAGTGGTGGACGGAGAGACGGAAATCCCCTTTGTCGTCAAAGTATCACATGGCGCGGAGCTGGGAGATGCGCTACCCGCCGAATGCAAAGTCCACGCTCGACTCGTGACGAAAACACATCTCAAGCCCGACGAGATCCAGCGCCTGGAGGCGGGCTTGGAGTTCCCACGGAAGAATCTGCAGCAGATTACGCGATCGCAGAACAGCAACGAGCAAAGCGAAACGGTCTCCATTGCGAAATGGGAACCCTGCGTGTCTTGCAACAGTAAGAGCCGTCCCACCCCAGTGCCCCTTGAGTGCAGTCGCTGACGAAGATGTCACAGACACCGACTCCTTCTCCGTCGCACGCTTCACCCTCCCCTTCCACATCCACGATACGAACCCTCCCATGCCGACCTTCTCCACGCCCTTGCTTTCGCGCGACCATTTCATCGAGCTGACCGCCTCGTTTCCCGACGGGCCCACCGAGGCGTTCAAGGTGTCTGTGCCGGTGGAAATCGTCCACGGCCTGCCCCTGTCCGTGGACTTTGGTTCACGTAAAAGCTCCGCCTCGTCGGGAGGGTGTGAGGCGAGATTGTAGGGTCGATTGGTCACGAGCGAGGTCAGGTTTCTACGAGTTTTTGCCGTTTTATGATACCCCACGCTGTGTGCTCCCTCGTGGACTACATGCGTCGAGCTTTACCGGTCTCGGAAGACTGTTATATACCATCTTATGAAGTTATGAGCGAATGCAATGATAGATGTCTCGTCTCAGGAACGATCCCCTTCATTGTCTTCTAGTAGTCGCTACGTAAAACATTCTAGGCTCTCAAACGCCGCCACTGAGCATGCTTAAGTCGGCCGTCTCCATACCCAAGCGCCAAACATGCAACCATTGGGCAACGCTCAGAACGCACATCAGGAATTGAGAATCTTCGTCTTCATCCATTCGCTCGTGCCCACGCCGAGATTCAGCCCGTTCATGGCCCACCACTTCTTCACCTCCATACCTCTCTGCCCTTCATCGCCGTCTTCCAGCGCCTCTTCCACATCGCACGTCTTGAACTCCACCTTCAGCCCGCTTCGCTTCCACCACTCCAACACATTCACGTATCCGGACTTGGTGGCGCCGACGAGGACTTGGTTGTCGAAGATCATCTTGGACCCTTTCAATCCATGCCACAGCTGCAGGATGTCAACGTGCCCGTGGGTGGAGGCCAGCTTGGCCACCGTATCTTCGTGAGGAAAAGCGATGCCGCATTGCATCCACCATCGTACGACATCGGTGTGGCCGTTCTGCGTGGCGTAGCAGATGCTTTTGCCGGGCTTGAGGCGGATCTTGTTGGCACCGTCGATGCCTGTGCGGATGTCGTCGACCGAGGTGGACAAACTCTTCCACCATTCCAACACATGCAGGTGGCCTTGGCTGCTGGCTTGCTCCAGTGCGGCTTCGGTGAACTTCAGCGGCAGCCCGGATCCGCGCCACCACTCCAGAACATTGACGAAGCCGAGGCGCGAAGCACCGTCCAGCGCCTCGCTGGTGTATTCCTTGGTCAAGAAGGAAGGCGAAGTTCGCCAAAACTCCAATATTTCCGTCCGACCGAAGACTGCAGACGCTTTGTCGGGGAGGAAGGTGTGCCCAAATGTTTCCCAAAATAGGGTTTTGTGATTGGCTTCAAGGTGTGCGAGGAGAGGAACGTTTGCAAAGCGCATGATTAACTTGATGCAGAGCCTGGAAATCCAGCGCGGGACGCTGTGAGTCGCGATGAAACCTTTGACATCTGCCAGATTCCCCTTGAGAATGGTCAATTCGAGATTCTCCATATAGCTCAGCGTGCGCTGAGAGTTGGTGTGGGCCGTCCAGTCGGCAGGCGGTGGCAAGTTGGTGAAGATGTGTAGGGTCTCTGCGAGTTCCCAATCGCCGGTGAAGTCGAAGATCATGGTCCAGAGTTCGGGGGGCAGGATGTCCCCATGCGAACGCCGGCGTGGTCCCAGCGTGCCATAAACGGCGCGCTGAGACGGCGAGACGTGAATGTCTTGCCCGATGTTCATCAGATCCACTTGATTGCGGACGACATCAACGAGATCTTCTGCCGCCTCCCACGACGCCACCTTTCTCTCCTCGCCCACAAAGGTCCACAGGATGGGTTGGATGAGCTGCACCCAATTCCACTTCTTGCGTATCTTCGCCAGCTGCTTCTTGGTCATTGGGTTCTCCCACATCAGCGTCGACATGCCTGGCACGAGCAGGATCTTTTTGCTCACGTCCCAACTCCGCAGAATCTCGAGGACGAGGTTGTCGGTGTGGCCATGCAGCATTTTGGCTAGATTGCCGGCATCGATGGGGGACAGGACGAGGAGGTTCGCCCACTCGCACAGCTCGGCAGCCTCGTTGTGCATGTCGGCGGCGGCAAGGCACATGCCGCGCGTGGCAGTGCCGTGGACGGCATTGGTGATGGTGAGGGCGTGGGAGCTGGCGCGAACCAAGTCGGCGCCGGAGAAGGAGGGGTCGAGAACGGTGCGCAGGGAGACGTCGGGGAGGTTTGCGAGGCGGGGAAGGAGATCGGTGACGATTCTCGACTCGGGACAGCCGAGGGAGGCGAAGAGGACGTTCAGGTCGCGGGTCTGCTGGCCGCCGCGGATGTCGGGAAGGTGGATGGAGTGCATGTCTGCGCGCGACTCGGCCATTTTACCCGTGTCTTGCTCGCACACACTTCTGCTTCGATACGGCCGGACGATGTCATGGGGAAGGGGAGAGAGGATATGGCGTGGCGTGGCAAGGGATGGAAGAGTCGAGTAGGTGTAGTGCATGCAGCAACAGGCTCGGGTGGCGGTTAGGGACGGGACAGAATGGAGACCAAGCCTTTCGGCACGTGCTCCGTGCGCGCCGAGGGCACTCGTCGCGTTCGGAAGGCGCTGCCGAGCTCGCGCTTGTCCCCGCTGGCACGGCTTATTATTACATTCGATGATGCATCTCCGGAAGCAGAACACGTACAGTACAGACTCGGTCAAAGTCACAATACTAACCACCAGGAGAGGGGCGATGAGTGGCATAACATCATACTACGACACAGAATTGCCCATCGATGCAAGACCAGTGATTGAATAGCAGCGCCGCGTCCTTTGCCTCTCCCGGTGTGCCGGTAGGGAGTGCTGCGCGATGAAATCATCACGACCTCCCATCCGCGTCCTTGATGGCCACTAATCAAGGTTAGGTAGCCTTACCCAGGGCCTTGCTCTCTGGGTGAAGCATTGCTCCGCGCGTCCCCATTGAGCCAGATGCCGCGCTGGAGCTTTCCGTTGTGATGCTGAACAATCACTCAAATCTCGAATGCAGTAGAGGCACTGGTAGCCAGGGACGAAAGACAATGCTCTGCGTGTTGACTGCATTCGCATCGTATGCATGATCTCTTGCGAGGTGCTCTTCGGAACCTGCCACTTGTGCCCTGAGGGAGGCCCCCTCCGAGGATGATTGCGGGAACACTCCACCCGCATCGTCGCGTAATGTCCCGCCAGGCCTCGCTACGATCCACAGGCGCATTTGGTGAGCTTCTTCAATGAATGAATGCATAAAGTCTGTCCGGTCCTCGAAGTACCGCGGAGTGGGTTAGAAGCGTACTGTAATGTACTGCACCGCGGCACTGGACGGCACCAAACCTTGTTCTATGGAGCCTGCCAACCTAAGCCAAACCAGTCCTCTGCCGCCACACACTCTTGCACCGCGCCCTGCTGCGCGCACCACCCTCACGTTCGTGGCAACAGAGGCGTGATTGTTTGCATGCATCTCGACTGCCACCGCCGTCGCACACCAGCCCACGCTCCCGCCCACGCCCACGACCTCCGCCGCCGCCAGCTTGCCTGCCTCTCGCTCTGTCCTTGACGCGCATCCTGCTGCCACCTCTACCCTGCTACCCTCCACCGCACGTGAGCCCGCGCGCGCACGCCCGCACATACATCAAACAACCGTTCCACCTCGCCATCTCTGCATTCCTAGTCTTGGTCGGTGCGGCGCCCGTCTTTGTCGCCGCTCTGGTCGCGAGCTCAACGTGAACAACACTGCACTCCACGAAGCTTCTGCTTGGGATCAGCACAAAGAGAACGCACGTCTCCAGTTCACACACCGGCCCCATTGGGATCCCGCCTCAGGAAACGAACCCACTCGACTCTCCCCCATGACCCTCTCAACTACGCTGGTTGACTGCGGGGGATAAGGAGGCATCCCTTCAAGACTGCTTCCTACTCAGGAGGTCATGTCGCCACCCATGGCGTCAGGACGGGAGGACTGGCAGCCACACCAGGCGTCTGACACACAGGAGCCCGGCCACCAGCGCACCGGATCCCGCTCGGCAAGGCCTCAGCTTCCTGCCACCGAGAGCGCCTTTCATTCGCGTTCCCACGTTGTCAATTTCAACGAGCCCCCCCGCTCACCCACCTCCGCCTCCACCGAGGGCCCCTTGAGCCCCTCCATGGCCGACAGAGTCTTTCCGATCCGTTCAGTCGTGTCGGTAGATCCCACACCAACCCCAGCGTCTTCCGCGAGTCGGGGAGACACCAGCTACTTCCCAATAACCCCAGCTGCACGGAGAACCTCCGGTACTGGCACGGAACTAGCTCAAGATCACACGCCGGGCCGGTCCAGACGAGGCAGCGAAGTCCACACATCGCCGCCGAGAGGCTACGCCGCCGCCGAGCGGCAAAGCCGCCAGAGCACATGGGCCACCACTTCAGACCCCCCGCAGAGACGCGCGCAATACAATCTGAACGACGCCATCGCCGAGACGGAAAGCATAGCCAGTGAAAAAGGCGACGTATCTGGCCCACCAAGCGAAAGGCCGCCGTCTGCCCGCGCACCCTCTCTCAAGAGCACCGACGAAGGCCCCACCCTTATGACGGCGCGGTTCAAGCATGTTGTCACCGAATCTGGACATGCTGTCATCACTGGGCGAGACGGAGAGAAGCTACAAAGATGCGAAGACGAGCCAATTCACATCCCCGGCGCCATCCAGGGGTTTGGTCTCCTCGTCGCCCTGGAGGAGCAGGCGGAAGGCAAACTCATCGTCAGAGTCGTTAGCGAGAATTCGAAACAACTCATGGGCTACACGCCAGCACAGCTTTTCGCGCTCGAGTCGTTCACCGACATCCTATCAGAGGAGCAGGCGGATAACCTGCTCGACCACATCGACTTCATCAGAGAAGAAGATGCGGATGTGGTCATCAATGGGCCGGAGGTCTTCACCATGACCATTCGGAACTCGCAGCGCAAGAGTCAAAAGTTTTGGTGTGCAATGCATGTCAACGATTCCCAAAAGGACCTCATAGTATGTGAGTTCGAGTTGGAAGACGACATGACGAACCCTCTTGTGGCACCTGGCGAGGCTACTCCCGACCTACCGGAAGATACACTCAACAGCCAGCCGACCGAGGAAGAGTACCAAGAGAGCACCCAGAATCTGAGCCGGCCGCTTCGGGTGCTGCGCAGTGCGCGGAAACGAAAAGGCGAGGCTGCAGCCATGGAAGTCTTCAACATCATGGCTCAAGTGCAGGAACAGCTGGCCGCTGCTCCGAACCTCGAGAAGTTCTTGAAGGTTCTGGTAGGCGTGGTCAAGGAGCTGACCGGCTTCCATCGCGTCATGATCTATCAATTCGACCAGGCTTGGAATGGCCGTGTGGTCACCGAACTCGTGGATCCCCGTGCGACAACGGACTTCTACAAGGGCCTCAACTTCCCCGCGAGCGATATACCGAAACAAGCGCGCGACCTGTACAAAATCAACAAGGTGCGCATGCTTTACGACCGATCACAAGAAACGGCACGCCTGGTGTGCAGGACGATGGAGGATCTGGAAAGGCCACTCGATCTGACTCACGCCTATCTCCGAGCCATGTCGCCCATACATCTGAAGTACCTGGCAAACATGGCCGTCCGATCCTCCATGTCGATATCAATCAACGCCTTTGACGAGCTGTGGGGTCTCATAGCTTGCCACACGTACGGCCCTCGAGGGATGCGCGTTTCGTTCCCCATTCGTAAGATGTGCAGGCTCGTTGGAGATTCTGCATCACGGAACATCGAACGACTGTCATACGCCTCCAGGTTGCAAGCCAGGAAACTGATCAATACCGTGCCGACGCAAAGCAACCCCTCGGGATACATCATTGCTTCCTCGGAGGATCTACTCAAATTATTCGACGCCGACTTCGGGTTGCTTAGTATCCGAGACGAGACAAAGATCCTTGGAAAACTGGAGCACAGCCAGGAGGCGCTGGCAATGCTCGAATATTTCCGCTTGCGACAAATCTCGAGCGTGATGACCTCCCAGGACATCCGGCTCGACTTTCCCGACTTGCGGTATCCTCCGGGCTTTACGGTGATTGCGGGACTCTTGCTCGTGCCTCTGTCCTCAGGCGGGCAGGACTTTATCGTCTTCTTCCGCAAAGGCCAATTGAGAGAGGTGAAATGGGCGGGCAATCCATATGAGAAGTCCATCCGAGAGGGCACGGAGGCCTTCCTGGAGCCGCGCAAAAGCTTCAGAACATGGACTGAGAATGTGGTGGGAAAGTGTCGTGAGTGGACCGAAGAAGAGATCGAGACGGCCGCTGTTCTTTGTCTCGTGTATGGAAAATTTATCGAAGTGTGGAGGCAGAAGGAAGCCGCTCTGCAGAACAGCCAACTCACGCGGCTGCTGCTCGCCAACTCTGCGCACGAGGTCCGCACTCCGCTGAACGCCATCATAAACTACTTGGAAATCGCGCTCGAAGGGTCGCTCGATCAAGAGACCAGGGACAATCTGGCCAAGTCGCATTCAGCATCGAAATCTCTCATCTACGTGATCAACGATCTTTTAGATCTGACCAAGACGGAGGAAGGCGGTGAGCTCGTCAAGGACGATGTCTTTGATCCCAGAGACACACTCGCAGAGGCGACGGAGATGTTCAGGGGCGATGCCAAGCGGAAGGGCATCACCTACGAGGTGCTCCACCTACCCGGTCTTCCCGCCCACGTCATCGGCGACGCAAGAAGAGTCCGACAGGCAATCAGCAATGTCACGGCAAACGCGATCCAGAATACGTCCGAGGGCTCCGTCCGAGTGGAGATGTCCATGGTGCGAAGGGAGGGTCAGAAGTGCGATATCGAGATTAGTGTGGCGGACACTGGCATCGGGATGAATTCCAAGAAGCTGGATCAGCTGTTCCGGGAGCTGGAGCAGGTGCAAAGCGAGGACGAGGCGCTGTCCACTGACAATATTGTGCCCGATGCGAAGGCTCTGGCCGAGGGCCCCAAGAAGGAGGAAGGCAAGGCGCTGGGGCTCGGGCTCGCGGTAGTGGCGCGCATCATCAAGAACGTCAACGGCCAATTGCGTCTCAAATCGGAGGAAGGCAAGGGGTCTCGCTTCGTCATTCAGTTCCCGTTTGATATTCCCAAGGCGGAATCCCACCAACAAGCGCTGGAAGAGGCCGCCAGCACTGGCTCCGCAACGCCGCAAGCCAAGCCGGCCTTTGGGCCGGAGACGCCGCCACTCGAGGGCGAGGTGACGCTCATCGAGCGTGGGAGCTCACTCAGGACACGGTCCCTCGATGGGAAATCGAATGCACTAATGTCGCGCAAGAATAGCTCCGAAAGCGTGAACAGCAAACGGAGCGTGGGCAGCATGAAATCTGCCCAGAGCAATCTGAGCTACTCCTCGGCGCGAAGTGGGAAGAGTGAAGTGGACAGACTGATTGAGGCGATTCAAGAACCTCATCGCGTGGATGGCTGGCATGGAGACAACCCAAGAAGATCTGCGTCATTCAACAAGGGCATCACTGGCGGGCGTGGCTCGTCCGCAAGTACCCCGGGTGCTTCCCAAATGTCTCTCGACCGAAGCCACATGCACGATGTCAGCAGTACTGCTTCCACCGGAAGTCCAGTCGGTCCATATCGAACCAGGAGCGTCGATGTCGCAGACTTTTCTAGCAACGCGCCCATGTCGCTCACCCAGACGGAGCGAGCATACCCGCATCCGGGCGAGTCCTTTGTGACCGATCAAGGTCAGCCGATCAGGCCTGTGCGAATTATGGGTGACGCAGTCATGTCTCCTGAGGATGAGCCGGCTTCGCTCAGCTTCCCCAGTCCTAGAACATTGCCTAGTAGCGCTGACCCCTTCGTCTCTGCCGCACCGTCAGAGGCCGATTCCGCAGAGAATATGAAGGTCTTGGTGGCGGAAGACGATCCGGTGAACAGCAGGATCATTGAGAAGCGGCTGAGCAAATTGGGACACGACGTCTCTTTGACCGTGAACGGAGAGGATTGCTCTTTTGCGTACTGCGATCGGAGCGACTCGTTTGATATCATTCTCATGGACATGCAGGTAAGTGCTGCGAGAGAGTGATAGACTAACACTGCAGATCACGCAGAGCTGACCGGTACCGTTCTCTTAGATGCCCATTGTGGACGGCCTCACTTCCACCAAGATGATCCGGTCGTATGAGAGGACGCATCCAGCTCACAAGCTATCGCCGCGTGCCGCGAAGAACAAACGGATACCGATCATCGCTGTCTCCGCGTCGCTGGTCGAGAGGGATCGCAAAACATATATGCAGGCCGGCTTCGATGGCTGGATCCTGAAGCCTATCTCGTTCTCTCGACTGAAAGAAATCATGGACGGGCTCGTAGATCGCGGGAAACGGGGCGAAAATCTCTACCAGCCTGGAGGATGGGAGCATGGAGGGTGGTTCGAACGGCCACGCAATGATGCCATTGTGTCTGAGACCCAGCCGAGTCAGCAACCTCCGACGGACGCTCTAGCGAGGTTCGTCCCGTCAAAGGGCGCGCAAGACGCTGCTGCGAGGGAGGACTCGGCACCGAAGGATGCGCACTAGGGATGCATTCATTTCTCGGACCGGATAAAATCCGCTTCGGATGGATGGAGGTTTGCCGGATGGTACAACTGGGTCAGACACGGTGCCACTAGAGCGAGGGAGGCGATATCGATTTTCGGCGCATCGTTGCAAGGCGGCGTTTGTGGCGGCGAGTGAGCATGAGGTCGGAGTCTAGGGAGGCGCATAGACAGTGGCAGCATCGGAGCGTCGAGGCGCCGCACCTCGGGGAAATCTGGATTGCATACCTGTCTGTGTTGGAGCGCATAGACGATTCCAAGCCATTAGTTGTGTAGTTGCATGAATCTCGCGCACGGTGAATATTCCGTGGTGTTGGTCGTGCTCACTTGGTGCCACGCTGTCCACATTCCCACGTGATGCCCCAATCTGCCTTATTAAGCGGGACGAGCAACCTCCAAGACCGGGAAGCTCACGTCGACTTCTTCCCCATCCTCGTCATCGCTTCCCGAGCATGCTGGGTCGCTGCAGCGATCCGATGCCATGGAAGCGGACTGGAATGAGGTATGAAATGAATATCAGCCTCGCGGGCATCCATCTGGCCCTCTTACTGGAGCGCTTGATGGGCATCGTATCGCCGGGAACTATCTGCTGATCATCTCCATTGCAGACTGCACGCATCACACTCCCCGGCCCGACTCCGAATGCGGCGTCCGGCCTCATCACGACCTTTGCGTTCGACACCGTCCAGGACCTGCTTTGGACTGGCAATGAATATGTGCGTCCAGCAATTGCTCGGTTGCTGATGAGCGCCTGCGACCCAGCTGACGCAATTCACAGGGACGCATTACGTCTTTCTACGGCGCCGAGCTGCAACGCCACACCTCCTATCGAGGCCATGACAGCACTGCGGGTCGAGGAGCTCGCGGCAGTGCGGCTGTAAAGCAGCTGTTGTTCTGTCAGAAAGGCATCCTGTCCATCTCCCCTCGCAGTGTGCATCTTTCCAATCGCAGAGGCCTCACGCTATGGCACATCAGCCAGAGCGACATGGTGGATCTTCGGTGCATGAGCTTCACCACTGCCGCCGCTACAGAAGTCGTCGTGGCCGGGTGTCAACGCGACATGTACAGAATCGACGTGGAGAAGGGTACCATTATTGAGACGCTGGCCCACGAACCTCACATCGCCTTCACGTTGATGCGATGGACCAACCAGTACATCTGCGCCGCTTCCCACGACGGCTCCATTCACCTCCTGGATACGAAAACCCTGTCTTTGGCTAACAGCTGGAAGGCCTATGCAGGCACGGTCAACGACATGGATGCTAGAGGCGACTATCTCCTGACCTGCGGCTGGGCGCAACAGCAGTACCAAGGCCTCGCGCTGGAAAGGCTGGTTCGAGTCTTCAACTTGAAAACGCAAAAGTCCGTTGCGCCAGTCACCTTCAGCCAGGGCGCCGCTTTCGTGCGCATGCACCCCAAACTCTCATCAACCTGCATCGTAGTCTCGCAAATGGGCGCCGTGCAATCCATCGACGTGCAGAATCCCGACATCCCGGTCATGCGATTCGTGCAGACCTTCGATGCGCAGCTGACGGGGCTGGAACTCATGCCGTCCGGCAAGGGATTTGCAATGGCGGATAGCCACTGTCAAATCACGCTTTGGGGCTCGCCTGCAAAGCTCCAATTCACAGAGTTTACCCAACCCATTGAAATGCCCGATGCCGCCGCGCCGGTCAAAAACATGGACTGGTCCCCGGACGTTGCCCTGAACCTCATCGGCATGCCATTCTACCGCGAGGCGCTGTTGTCCGGCTGGTCAAATGGCTTGGTCCACGAGGTAGGCGCTCCGCCCTCCAAAATGGATGGATCAATGTTCACTGGAATGCGGAAATTCGAGCACGGTCTGGTTGGGCCAAATCTGCACCACGGCCGACGCTATGAAGTGACCGATACAAGATCGCTTTTGAAGGATCCAAACTCGATCCCGGCCCCGAAGTTCCTGAGCGAGCAGAAAAAAGACGAAGATGGCCATTACGAGATTGAGCGCAGATTCAGCGAGGATATTGGCAAGACCTTGAAAGGCCTTACCCTCCAAGACAGTCCGCCGCTGTACTATCAACGCCAGAAAATGGCATACAGTAGGTTCGGCGTGGATGATTTCGACTTTCGCTATTTCAACCACACGCCCTACTCTGGCCTGGAGATCCACATTGTCAATTCTTACGCAAATCCCCTGCTGCAGGTGTTTCGATTTGCGAACGTCATCCGCAATCTGGCCCTGCAGCATACTGCTATGGATTGCCGGCTCGAACACTGCATGCTGTGCGAGACTGGCTTTGTGGTTGATATGCTGGAGAAGGCGCACGGGTTGATTTGTCAGGCTACCAACTTCTTCAAGGCCTTATCCAAGCAGCCGAATGCGGCCGCATTGGCGTTCTTGGAGGAGCACACACTCGGCACTCCCATGACCGTCATGATACAGAACCTCACCCGCTTCCTCCTCCCTGCTCTGGAGGAGAACTCTCGCCGAGTCAGTGGGCATCCGGGCGAAGTTCAGCTCGCTCTTGGTACTTTCGGCCGTGCATATAGCACATGTACGGCCTGTTTGTACGAAGATGCAAAGCAGGAAGTGTGGTTCAGCCAGGATCTGGTATATCCCAAGGGACCCAAGCACACCCAGCGTGCCGTCCGCCCATACTTTTCGAGACTCCTGAAGGACTCTGTGGAGCGGTATGACCAGCACCGTGGCTGGTGTATGCGATGCCAGAGCTACAAGGCCATTCGATCTCGTCGTGCGCTCATGAGGACCCCTGACGTTCTGATGATAAATGCAGCTATCCATACCAACGACGCAAGGCATTTGTGGGCGACTCCAGGCTTCTTGCCCAAGGAGATTGGCATTATTGTGCACGACGATCAGTTTTACTGCTACGAGGGTCAGGACCTCCAACTACACCTTCAGCGGCAAATCCACGACATTACCGTCTACACGTTGGTTGGCGTCATTGCTGAAGTGACAACAAATGAAGCCCAGCCATCCCACCTCATTTCCATGATCGATGTCGGCGTCTCGAACCCACCCGACAGTACACAAGGAGAGAACTGGCATCTCTTCAATGATTTCATGGTGCGACCGATCTCTGGGCAGGAAGCACTCCACTTTGACCCGCGTTGGAAGTTGCCGTCGGTACTCACATACCAAGCGAAGCAGATGTCTCATTTCATCGACGAAAGCTGGAAGTCGAAGATCAACACCAACATTCTGTTTCGCAGCGTTGCTCAGCCGGCCTTTAGCCCGGCGTATGAGTTCCGCGCACTCTCCTCCACTGACGCCTTCCCGAGTGCGCAGAGCCATTATGCCATTGATGCGGAATTTGTCCGGCTGTTGCGAGAGGAAATCGACATGGACGCAGATGGCCGAAGAGCGATAACTCGTCCGGCGCGCTCCGGCTTGGCCCGTGTCTCGGTCGTGAGAGGCGATGAGCCAGATCAGGCGCTGCCATTCATGGATGACTATATCGCCTTGGATGAGCCTGTCGACGACTACCTCACGCAATACTCCGGCCTGCACGATGGCGATCTCACCTGGGGCGTCAGCAAGTTCACGCTCGTCCGCTTGAAAGAGGTCTACAAGAAACTGTGGGTCCTGCTCAATCTGGGCTGCACCTTTATCGGCCACGGGCTCTCGAGCGATTTCCGCACCATCAACATCCACGTCCCCGAGGCGCAGGTCATTGACACGCAGGACTTGTTTTCGCTGGGCGAGCGCAGTCGGCGCAAACTCTCCCTCCGCTTCCTCGCCTGGCTGATCTTGGGCGAGGACATCCAGCAGAACATCACCGCCGGGCACGACAGTATTGAAGATGCTCGTGCGGCGCTGAAGCTGTGGCGCAAGTATCTCGAGTACGCAGAGGCCGGCATCCTCGAGCAGATCAAGGATGAGGTGTTCGTGAAGGGCAAGGCGACGGACTTCAAGGTGCCGGCGCGCGATGGGAGACTGCTTCAACCAGACACGCCTTTGGCTAGTAGTGCTCCTGGCACGCCGGAGAGGCGAATTGCTGCTGTAGCCCGGGTCACCACGCCCGCGCGTTCCGAGTTCGGAAGTCCCTTTAGGTGATGGAGAAGTCGGCCATGAAAGCATACGTGCATGGGACAGGCTGCTGGCTGTTGGGAGAGATTCTATTTGGTTGATATGCCGTTTAGGTACAAGCTATGATATTGCAGTGGAAGAAGTCAAAGCCGGGCTACCTGTATCGTTGCACCGCTTGTTGTTATCCCTGGCATGGGGAGTAGGTGTGATGGAAAACATTACAGTATCTATGGAAGCACTAGCTATGTCTTGCCACTGCGTGGCCTGCGCCCCCCTTCCTCTCAGCGTAATGGATACGTCGAATAGACCGGAAGACTAGTCAGCTGCCTTCAGCAAACAGAAACATGTAGCTCTCCATGGGAAGTTACGCTGATCGCTCGCACCGCTAGACGTTCCGCACGAAAAGAATCTCAACGATGCCCCTGCCGATTCTATGCTGCAAGTGCCGTGAGACGTCGCCCCCTTTGAAGCATCGCCGTGCTTGCGGAGTCCGGTTGCGGCTGAGGCGAGCATCCTACCATCTGACCTGCTTGCTGACCTCGGAACCTTTTGCATCCTTCCCCAAGCCTTGCGCCGCTTGACTGCCCTGCTTGCTGGCTTCTTCCTTCTAAGAATCGCCACCGCTGGGAGTGGTTGCCGATGGTGTGGCCGGTGCAGTACCCTCCGTCTTCGCAGGGGTAGCGCCGCGTCCACGGCCTCTGCCGCCTCGCTCGCCGCGGAAACCACCGCGACCACCACGTCCGCGGCCACGGTTGGTCTCCGAGTCGCTGCCGGTGCCAGCGCCGCCCGCGGACTGATACCCACCACGTGCGGCATCTGCTGCTCCGCGAGGAGCCCCCGATCCTCGGCTGGAGCCCCAAGTGCTTGTTCCGTAGCCACCACGGCCACCGGTGCGGTATACTGCCATTCTCACGCTCTTGTGCTTCTCTAGCGCCTCTTTCGACGGACTACGCTTGAGCACTTCCTGCATGATCTCGGGCGTCGCGAAGTAGGCAATCCAGGGCCCCTTGGCGCTCTTCTCCACATTCGTAATCTTCTCTGCGTCCTCTGCGGAAAAGAGCTGGGACTTGACTTCTTCGGCAGTGTTGAGATTGTAGGTGTTTGAGATGAAGATGCCCTTCGATGGCTCCTGGGGACCAGGAGATTGCTGAATTCCACCCTGTTTCGGGGTATCCGTTGGCTTTGGCGTCGCAGAGTTGGCTCCCGCGGTGCCGTTCGTGTGTGTGGCCGGAGGCAAGGTGGAGGGCGATGCAGTGACACCGTTTGCCGTCAGAGCAGACGTGTTCGGGCTCGGAGCCGGCTGACCAGCTGGGGTCTGTTTGTTGGTTTGCGGGGCCACTGACTGGTGTACCCTCGACTGCGGGGGTGGGGAGGCGATAGCAGCCGTTTGAGCCGCAGGTGCAGCTTGTGCTGCTCGAGGTACCTGCTGGGGTGGCAGTTGCTGAGCAGGAGTCGGAAGGTTGCCACCTGTCTGTGCGGGAAGGGGAGGCTGCGCTCGCTGTTGCTGCGTCTTGGCCCCACGATGGGAGAAATTGAAGCCTTGTGCCCTCATCTCTGTTCCTATGCGCCCCTGGTCGATGTCGAGAACGAGCCAGCCAAAGGCGGCATCCGCGAGGTTGAAGTTCCACATGTTCTTGAAGGCCGACTCGTCCACCTGTCCGTTCGGGGGCGGGCCACCACCAAAGGGGTTGCCCCCACTCGCAGTGGCCGGCATCTTGGACACGAGATCGAGGGCCTGCTGGAGCAACTTATTCTGCGCATCGTTCTCCGCAACGGCAGGCTCCACTTCCTGCTTCACCGTCTCCCACACATCGTTGAATTGGGCCTTGGAGGCGGAGAGCTTGCCACGGTAGTGATCCAGAGACGGATTGACGGAGAATTCGTTGTAGGAGGAGCCGTATCTGAAATGAAGGCCGGCGGAGATGGAGAAGTCGGCCTTGAGGGTGACGGAGAGCTGATTGAGCACGCCTTCTCGGGCCGGGGAGGCGTGTGTGATGAGGACGCGGGTCTCGGTGGGATCGTAGACACGATTCGCCGTGTCTATGAGCTCGCCAAGTTGTAGCAGGGTTGTCCACATTGTGCCTTGCCCTCCAGCGATGGTAGTGCGGCCTTCGCCGTTGTCGAACATCTTGTGCATGACCACCGCGCCGCCCAGGCCCAGCAGTCTGAGCTTTACCCCTCCCACATCGAGGAGGCGTGAGTGGGATTCGTCGATGACGTGCAGGTTGTCGATCTTGTACTCGCCCGAGCGCAGTCTCTCCAAAACGGCAACGTCTTCACATGCACCCCACACGGTGAAGACGGGGACGTCAAGCTTGAAAGTCTTGTTCAGGAACTGGGGGAGTTCGGAGAGCGGTAGACGCTCTCGCTGAAAGCGCTCTTTCACCGAATGCTGGTTGTGATTGCGGGCAATTTCCGCCTTGACGTGGTCGGGGAGGAGGGGCGAGTACTGAGCGACGTGCTTTAGGGTTCTGGATTGATGGTCAGATACGGTGCTGCGAGGCAGGGAAGGTGGCGGCTTACTTTTCAGCAATACGTTCGAGTGAGTGCTCATCGTAGAAGCCAAAGTCGCCGGTGTGGATGATGTAGTCGGCCTTTGCGAGGCGGGCCAGGTCGTTCAACTGGCGAAGATTGCCTGGTGGAGGGGGTCAGGGGGGGAGAGGTGATGAGTGTGAAGCTCCTCGGGTGACTGACCTCTCACGTCTGCTATGCACAAGACTCTCGCGTGACCTATCTGCTGCACGCGGCCTTGGTTTGGGTCGAGTGGGCGTGCGCCGGGCACGGGGCCTGCAACAGGGGGAGCGCCATTGGGGAGGTAGGGGGCTTGAGAGTGGGCGCGAGGGGCAGAGGGAGGGTGCTGCGTCTATCGTCAGTTTATGGCTTGTGTGCAGTAGCATCTGTGGCCACATACAGCCATGAATGAGGTGCAGCGTGCGGCGTCGGGGGGAAGTCTTCGGGGGTTTAGGTGAAGCGGAGCGGTGGCGCTCTGGTCGTCGGGAGTGAGAGATTTGTGTGGAGGAGGAGACGGCGAGTGGCGATGAGATGTGGGATGATGGGAACGAAGATGAAGAGAGAAGGGGGGGAAGGGGAAGAGGCAGCTGCTGGAACAGTTGGAACGTCGTTTGTCGCGAAAGTCTTAAAAAGAGTTTGTCTAGCGCGAGGGCGGCCGTGGTCAGTGGGGAGCCTGAGGCAGCAATGTAGGTGCATGCATTGCGGAGTGCGGAGGTCCCGGGACTGGCAAACATCACTTGCTCCGTCGCGCGTGCGAGCATCACGGGAACGACATCCATCGTGTCACAGCACGTGCAGCGGCATCCTACCTTTAGGATGATGATACTTTGTATTGACTCTACAGGAAATGCTGTGCGACCGGACGGTGCAGCAGCATTGTGTGCAAGTATAGACAGGCAGCATTGCCCCTGCAAGTAGGCGATTGGAGTCTTTGTGTCACCTTTTCTGTTTCATTCCACCAACAAACACTCTGATGCCGCTCTCATCAACTTCAATCACGAGCTCACTTCCTTCCTTATATTAAATTCGTTGAGACGTGGCGTACGAGATGGCTCACCAACACGTGGTGCTCCTTACCTTCCACCTCACTTCGCTTCTATATATCAACACATTGCTTGTCTTTCTTCCACTCCTCTCCACTATACTTTCACATCTCTCGACTGCTTCTATCCGACTCCGCCCTTCAAGCTTACACCTCTGCGAGCACTCCATACCGCTCACCGTCTACAGCGATCACCCCGCCCACCAAGACTCTAAAGCTACAATCGATTGCAACTCACCACAAGACCCCGTATAATCGCACAGTTCTACATCGTACACACGGGCAACATGGACTCGGCAAGATCCTTCTTCCCACCGGGGTACAACGCTCACGCATCCGACTCTTCCCGACGCAACGCCCATAGGCAGCCCGGCGGCAGCATATCGACGAAGTCCAGTGCCATACGCAGCGCGAACACGCCCACCAGCTCGGGTGTTCACCGAAGTTCAAACACGTCGGCAACTTCCGTTTCCTCCCACAGCACCAGCTACCCTCCCGTGGCATTCCACAGCTACGTGCCGAATCCTGCCTTCCAAGCCCCAAATGCATATCGAGGTCCCCCCAATACGCCAGAAAATTCGAGTGCCACAGCAAGCTCCAGCTATGTGTCACAGATAGGCTCGCAGGGCTTCGTTTATCCTCGCGATGGCCCTGGCCGCAATGCACTCACTCATCACTCTCGTCCGCCCCGAGCCGTCAGACTCGGGTCCAAGACATACACCATCGGGTCTGTCATTCAACCTCCCTCTGGCGGCAACACACTGATGAGCGATGGCGTGCGCATCATCATCGACTCCCACAGCAGAGACTTCGTGGAGAAGAGGCTCAAGATGCATTCCGCGGAGCAACGAGAGCGAGCCAACGCCGAGATGAATGCACTGCAGCAGATCCGAAGAGCCGGGGGATCTCCGCACGTGAATCAAATCGAAGATGCATTCTGGCAGCTTGGTACAGATCATGCAAGCCTTGTCCTTGACTTCTGCAACGCCAACACACTCGAAGCTTACATCGACAGTTGCCGACGCAAGAACGAGAAGATCGACGAACAGTTTTGCTGGCAGGCCATGGCACAGCTCAGTGCGGGGATTGCAATGTGTCACTACGGCGTGCCCGACCCCTTCAGCACAAGCGATTCGCCGGCAGACTGGAATGCCATCTGCCATCTCGACATCAAGCCGGCGAATGTCTTCATGGACACCAGGAAAAGCGTGGGGTACGAGAATCTCCCCTATCCCACTCTCATCCTCGGGGACTTTGGCTGCTGCATCACGAAAGACGACCGCATGCGGGGCAAGATCAAGTCGAACGTGCCACCGTATGGTACCGCAGGCTGGTTTCCTCCCGAGACAACCTACGCCGATCCCGGACCAAAAGGTGCATATGGCAAGCACAGCGACATCTGGCAGCTCGGGGGTGTGATACAGACAATGTGCCGCCTGATTGCCGTGCCCGACACCTACTACCTCGACACCGATCGACCGTGTGGCAGGGGATACACACCTCAGCTGGGCAACGCCGTGCGAATGTGCATGCACAAAGAGGCCTTCACGCGACCGAATGCCATCGATGTTGCGAAGAACGTCAAGCGGCTCAGTGGATTGCCGAATCGGCCTACTTGATCATGGTGTGGCACTGCTGTGTCGTGGTCGTACGATGCGACAAGGGCGAAAGGTTGTGTTTCAAAAGAAGCGAGCGGATAATAGAACAAGACCCCAAAAGTTCAAGTAGTTCTTATTGCTTTGATGGATTGCGATTACTGATGTGAATACCACGGTAGATACATTCGTACTCTTACCCCTTGATTGATGCATCTCATGCGTGAACGACGGGTGATGCTGTCATGTCGTCTATCAGACCAGACGTGTGGCAAGAGTCGACGAACACTTGTCCGCCCCCGTCACGAGGACATCGAAGGGAAATTGTTGTTGTGCTTGTTGTGGTCGTGCGACACATTTCGAGGCCGTCCGAGTGGTCATTGGCAGTTCGAGCTCCCTGCCCCACGCACCCGCGACCAGATGCCCAACTTGATCGTGGAGAATAAAGCCGCGGGCGGTTCGAGGGGTGACGTACCTCTCGTGTCAGGAACGCCTCATCCTTTGCCTAGGCTATTAACTCGAGAGCTTCCTTTTTTCTCTCCTCCTCCATTGCTCCGCACGACCAAGGTCTTATAAGTACTGCAGCGAGCACCGTGTAACACTGTTCCACCCTGCGAAGTGCGACGTCTCGAACCCTGCCCGCCCATCAGATCTCTCTTAAGCCGAACTGCCCCACGATCCCACAGCACCCGGTTCTTTTTCGCCGCCAGCAGTGAGTTGGTTGTCTTGACGTAGCGCACGGGCAATGCTCACGCTAATCGTCCGGAGCACAGAACGCGGGCTTGTTGACAGCCGATCGGTATAAGTACAGAGGTGCGGTCGTGGTCCAGGCCTTGAAGTCACTCCATGCCTGACGGCGCAAAAAGTGATCTCAATCAACGCCCTTCTCCCCTCTTCCGACAAGCCAGCGCTGCTCCTCCCGGTGCCGCCACCGACTTCCTCAAAGAGCAGATCTTCAAGCAAGAGAAGAGCAACTTCCATTCCTCCTCGTTGAACAGCGCCGTTGTCACCGTCGGCATGTCGAAACCCGTGAACAAGACCTCGCTCCACCCGAGTGGTGTGCAGTGAGTGCTGCCATCCGCTCCCATCCTGCACCACGAATGCTGATGACGAATGTACAGGCCGCATCCCGAGCACACGGAGCTCGAGGAGGAGTTGCACGAGAAGGCCCGCATTGACTACGATCGCGTTGCCATTGTACGTCGTTTACTGCATCAATTACCCAGCCCAATGGCCGTGCTAATACTATGCCCGCCAGATTGCCAACCCCGCCGTCTCGTCGCTCTACGAAGATGCTCTCGTCTACGAAACCGGCTCCGCCATGACCTCCACCGGCGCCCTCTCCGCCTACTCTGGAGCCAAGACCGGCAGATCTCCCGCCGACAAGCGGATAGTGAAAGAGGAAAGCTCGGAGAAGGATGTGTGGTGGGGACCGGTGAACAAGGCCATGACTCCTGAGGTAGGTGGAAAAAGACACTCCCGCAGCAACTGCGCACTGCAGCACTTTGCAACACCTCTCCATCACGACCGTCGGTTCGCGGGGCCTGGCCCCGGGAACGTCATCTTTATTGCCGAAACGCCCCCACGTCCCCGCAGTCTCGGAACATGTCGGAAGCCCAAATCACGTGACTGTCACGTGTTGTTGCGCACACATTCACCGGCGAACTTCATCTCACTGCATCTTTAGCATCACTCCCACCATATCGTTCATATTCTCGCCGCTAACTCTCTTTGCTAACCTCTTCCATCTCCACAGGTCTGGCGCATCAACCGAGAGCGTGCGATCGATTATCTCAACACACGCAATCGCATTTACGTTATTGACGGCTACGCTGGCTGGGATGAGAAGTATCGTATCAATGTGCGCGTGGTCTGCGCCCGCGCGTACCACGCCTTGTTCATGCGAAACATGCTTATCCGTCCCTCCCGGAAAGAACTGGAGAGCTTCCACCCCGACTATGTCATCTACAACTCGGGCTCCTTCCCGGCCAACAGGTACACCACCGGCATGACCTCGGCCACCTCGGTCGCCATCAACTTCGCCGAGAAGGAGATGGTCATTCTCGGTACCGAGTACGCCGGTGAGATGAAGAAGGGTGTCTTCACTGTCTTGTTCTACGAAATGCCCGTCAAGCATAACGTTCTGACCCTCCACTCCTCTGCGAACGAGGGCAAGGACGGCGACGTCTCGGTCTTCTTCGGCCTGTCTGGCACCGGCAAGACGACGTTGTCCGCCGACCCGAACCGCGCCTTGATCGGTGACGACGAGCACTGCTGGAGCGACAACGGCGTCTTCAACATCGAGGGCGGTTGCTACGCCAAATGCATCGGCCTGTCTGCAGAGAAGGAGCCGGATATTTTCAACGCCATCAAGTTCGGCGCTATCCTGGAAAATGTGGTCTTCGACCCCGACACCCGTGTTGTCGACTACGAAGATTCCAGCCTGACGGAGAATACCCGCTGCGCGTACCCCATCGAGTTCATCCACAACGCAAAGATCCCTTGCAAGTCCGATAACCACCCATCCAACATCATCCTCCTCACCTGCGACGCTCGCGGTGTGCTCCCGCCCATCTCCAAGCTGGACAAAAACCAGGTCATGTTCCACTTCATTTCCGGCTACACTTCGAAGATGGCCGGCACTGAGGACGGCGTTACCGAGCCACAGGCCACCTTCTCGTCCTGCTTCGCCCAACCCTTCCTGGCGCTGCACCCCATGCGCTACGCCAAGATGCTCGCGGACAAGATCGAACAGCACAGCGTCAACGCTTGGCTTCTCAACACTGGTTGGGTCGGTGCGGGAGTAAGTATCTCAAGGGAGAGCTTGTTGAGCTGCCTCGAGATCATTTGCAGCGAGACGTTCGCGTGGTGTTGCTGCCGCTGAAGCAACTTCGTGCAATTGATCCGAGCACTTGACTGGTTCTACCCATCACCCTTAAATGATATGAAACACTTGCTAATCCTCTAATACACAGGCGTCAACAGGCGGGTCCAGATGCTCGTTGTGCGTTGTTTTAACGTCCCCATTGAAGTGCTGATACTAATTTTCGTCCCAGGAAATATACCAGAGCAATTTTGAACGCGATCCACAGTGGCGACCTCGCCAAGGCTGAATACGAGAACTACGACATCTTCAACCTGCAGGTCCCGAAGACGTGCAAGGATGTGCCCGACGAGATCCTGAACCCCAAGAAGAGCTGGACCGGCAATGCGGACTTCACGGAGGAAGTCACCAAGTTGGCGGAGCTGTTCGTGGAGAACTTCAAGAACTACGAGGAGGAGGCTTCGGACGATGTGAAGAAAGCGGCTCCGCAGTTGTAAGCGGCGCATAAGAAAGTATTGGCGCTGGTGGTGCCGGATCGAAGTCACAAATTGCCGGAGTATCATATAAGTCACGTGCAAGGCTACTTAGTAATCACTTAGTACTCACACAAATTGCCCGATTAGGAAACACGTCTGCACCTGCATGGCATTACTGCTCACACCTTACCCGCGCCCTGATGTGAAGCACGCCCTCGGTGACAATCTTCTACACTGACTTCGCCGCTCGCACGACCGAGTTTCGCTTGTCTCGGATTGGACGGGAATCGCACATCATGGTATCTCGTTTCGATTTCTAGTAGATCTTCAACCGCGACCCGCCGTTCCGCTCATGCGTGCTCCACAACCACCATGGTGTTTGCGGCACGTCAAGAGTAGGCCAAATTCTGAAGGAAGTAGGGGTTTATACGGCTGTGGTTGATATTGTAAATCATCGATATGACGCTCGATACGTTTGAGGTAACAAGGCCACGTTCAGACTATGCTAGAGGAAGCGTAGTGCCAGTCTCTTCAATCATCTGCTCCCCGGCATCCGACATCTCGACGTCTTTCTCCTTCTCCACACCGTCTTTGGCAGCTTTGGCAGCTCTGCGGCATTTGGCCGCCTCAAGGACCCTTTGTGCCTCGTCGAGGTACCAGGAGGGAACTGCTCTGGACTAACGATCTTTCGAGCCTCGACGTCTAGCAGCTGGAGAGCCTGTTCTCCATGTTCGAGCGAAGAATTGCTGTGAATTCTCAAAGCTAGCATCGTGTGGCAGCGGGCGCGGATCAAGATCGGCAGATCGGCATTCTGGAGGCTCCGTAGCTGATTGAGCAAGATGTGATTAGATACGGCACACGTACGATAAGGAGTTGTTCTGCAAGCTTGCAGCATCCCGCGCCGTCTTTTGCGAAGTGCATCTTGATCATGGCATCGTGAAGGGCGAGGTATGTTTGTGACACGAAGTCAAGCTCTTTGCGAGGGTTGTCCTTCTCCATGTCGGTGGAATGTGGAATGAAGTTGGCAGGTTATGTGTTGTATGGCTAATCGTGTAAGTTCAGGCATAACGGTGGATCGCGAGGTATTTTCTTTCACCAACCGGAGTTTTCTCTTCGTGAGTGCTGATGGGATAGTTCACTTTCAACTTCATGTTCACTTGGAAGGACTACGAGGCTGAGAAGGCCTAGACGGATTAAGTAATCGGCGTGCCTGAGGCTCTGCGGCACCGCTGGCCAATCGGCGGGCAAGAGCGTTGCGGCGACGTCAGTCGGCGAGCGAGCCGCCGCTGCCTGATTCTTGCAACGTACGACATCATCCACTCCATCTATCTTACCTTTGCGCATCCACGACTCAACAAGTGCTCCTCACAAAGGGTTTGAGACATCATCCGACCCCCGCACCGCTTTGAAGCTCCCGTACGGGTCCCACACGCCTTCAATCGGCGAACCAACACGTGCGCACCGACGGGGCTCCCTGTATGCCGGAGCGCAGAGGGTGGTCGTGATGAAGACAGCAACGTGGCTACGATGCCTTCCCCTATTCCTCCTTACCCTCCCATCGTCGGCGATTGATAGCAACAACCCGTTGAACCTCACTAAGATCCACGAAGCCGGCCGCTGCGCCGTTCGAGGCAACTGCGGCAGCGAGAGCCTCTTTGGCAAACAGCTTCCCTGCGCAGACAATGGCCTCGCCGGCAATGGTCTGTCGGCATCCGCAAGAGATCAGCTCGTAGAACTGTGTGGAGAGGAATGGACGGACACGAAAGTCTGCTGCGCCGACGAACAGGTGGACGACATCAAGACCAACTTCGACAGAGTCAACTTCCTCATCGCATCCTGTCCGGCGTGCCTAAAGAACTTCCGCAACATGTTCTGCCATTTCACCTGCTCCCCCGACCAGAGTCTGTTCGTCAACGTCACGCAAACGAAGGAGAAGAGCGACAAGATAATGACAACCGAGCTGGACCATCTCATCAGTGACGAGTACGGCTCGGGGCTCTACGACAGCTGCAAAGAGATCCAGTTCGCTGGTGGCAAATCTATGACATACTTTGGCAACGCCAAAAACTACACCCAATTCCTCGCCTTCCTGGGAACGAAGTCCACGTTGGGAAGCCCCTTTCAGATGAACTTTCCACGACCGAATGAGCATCCCTTCAAGGATATGCACCCGGTATTAGACGATGCTATACCTTGCAACACCTCCGACAAGCGATATCAGTGCATGTGCAACGACTGCCCGGCAATCTGCCCCTCCCTCGACCCGTTGGAAGAGCCAAAGGAGTGCAAAGTCGGATTGCTCCCCTGCCTGAGCTTTGCAATAATCCTTGTGTATGCCGTCTTCGTCACACTGCTTGTGCTGGCGGTCTCGGGTCACGCTGCGGCTGCGAAACGCCGACAAAACAGGAATGAGCGGCTTCAACTCCTCCAAGATTCGGCGCCCGATGAGGACGATGACGAAAGAGATGTTGTGCACGGAGCTGGAGGCTTGCTTGACCGCCCAACTCGACAGTACCCCCTCAATACGTACTGCGACCGTGCTTTCAGCAAACTCGCAAGGACATGCGCGAATTTTCCGGCCATCACGATTGTATCGTCAATCATTGTGATTGGCATCTTCAGCTTGGGGTGGATTCGTTTCGACCTGGAAACAGACCCGGTCAACCTTTGGGTAGCTCCGGAGTCCGCTGCTGCACAGGAGAAGGCCTTTTTCGACTCGAATTTTGGGCCCTTCTTCCGCACGGAGCAGGCCTTCTTGGTTAATGATACTCACGCCGATGGCCATGGACCTGTCTTGAGTGCCAACACGCTCAGATGGTGGTTTGATGTCGAGAGGCGGGTGCGCATCCAGAAGAGTCCGAAGCACGGATTGACTTTGAAAGATGTGTGCTACGATCCACTGGGCGGCGCCTGTGTTGTTCAGTCAATCACGCATTATTTTGACAGTCAAGAACTAGATATGGACAACTGGGAGAAGCAACTACAGCATTGCGCCGACGTACCGAGCGACTGTCGTCCAGACTTTCAACAACCCATGCCTATCGAAAGACTGCTGGGAGGATACAACAGAACTTCACAGCCCGTCACTGATGCTGAAGCGCTGATTGTGACGTGGGTTGTGCAGAACTACAATCCAGGCGACCCCCGTTTGGAGAAGGCCGAGGAGTGGGAGGATAGCCTCAAGAGGTTGCTCATGGACGTGGCACAGGAGGCTCAGGAGCGAGGCTTGAGGCTGAGCTTCTCCACGGAGATCTCTCTCGAACAGGAGCTCAACCAAAGCGCGAATACCGACGCTAAGATCGTGGTAATCAGCTATCTCGTCATGTTCTTCTACGCCTCGCTGGCTTTGGGCAGCACCACGCTCACGCTCGGCTCCATCTTGCGCAACCCGGCCACCGCGCTTGTTCAGAGCAAATTCATGCTGGGCATCGTCGGCATTCTCATCGTCCTTATGAGTGTTGCCGCGTCTGTGGGCCTGTTTGCGGCTACGGGACTGAAGGCGACCCTGATCATTGCAGAAGTCATTCCTTTCCTGGTACTGGCTGTTGGCGTGGACAACATCTTTCTCATCGTGCACGAATTCGAACGAGTCAACATCAACCATGCGGACGAGTCTGTTCCAGACCGGCTTGCGCGTGCTCTTGGCCGCATGGGACCCAGCATTCTCCTCTCTGCCTCCACCGAAACCGTAGCATTTGCGCTCGGCGCTGCTGTTGGAATGCCTGCCGTCCGAAACTTCGCGGCATACGCAGCTGGAGCAGTCTTCATCAATGCAGTATTGCAAGTGACCATGTTCATTTCGGTCCTGGCTTTGAACCAGGAGAGAGTGGAAGCTGGACGTGCCGATTGCATTCCGTGCATCAAGGTGCAGGGCGGGTCGTCGTCGAGCATGCCAAATGGGTACGGTGGGGCGCCGTTCAGTGGTACGGAAGAGGAAGGACCGCTGGCGAGATTCATTCGGAGATATTACGCTCCAGCAATCCTTGGAAATAGGACCAGAGTCGCCATTGTGACGGTATTCCTGGGCTTCTTCGCCGCAGGTATCGCACTTCTACCCGACTTGAAGCTTGGACTCGACCAAAGAATTGCTGTGCCGAGCAGCAGCTACCTGGTCAAATACTTTGACGACCTGTACGACTATTTCGGTGCCGGGCCGCCGGTCTACTTCGTTACGAGGAACGTCAACGCCACAGCCAGGACCCATCAACAGGAATTGTGCGCCAAAGAGCTTGGGTGCAACCGCCTCTCTGTGCCAATCCATCTCGGCCTAGAGCGAACCCGGGAGCATTCGTACATTGCAGACACGACTGCAAGCTGGCTAGACGACTTCTGGACATGGCTGAACCCCGAGAATACGGCGTGTTGTGTTGATGAATCAGGCAGCCCGTGCTTCGCGAATCACGACCCGCCATGGGACCAGACGCTACAAGCCATGCCTCAAGGCGAAGAGTTTGTCTACTATGCCCAACGCTGGCTGAAGGCACCGACTACTGAGGACTGTCCTCCGGCCGGCAAGGCGCAGTACGCAGATGCGGTAGTAATCGACAACACGACCATCAATGTGCCCGCCAGCCATTTCCGAACTGCGCACTCCGCACTTACCAGCCAAGAGGACTTAATCAACTCCTACGCCTCCGCGAGACGCATTGCCAAAGAGATCAGTCAGGAGAACGACGGCATCGATGTCTTCCCCTACAGCAAGCACTACATCTTCTTCGACATGTACGCTGGCATTGTCCGTTTATCAACGGCACTAGTGGGTGCAGCGCTGGCTTTCATCTTCTTTACAACCTCCCTCCTGCTGGGATCCATCGCCACGGGCTTGGTCGTTACTGTAACGGTGACGATGATTGTCGTCGACGTTGTTGCCACCATGACTCTGGCGGATGTGTCGCTTAATGCCGTCAGCCTGGTCAACATCATCATCTGCGTGGGCATTGGCGTCGAATTCTGCGCCCACATCGCCCGCGCGTTCACTATTCCATCGGCCTCGATACTCGAGCGCGCGTCGAGCAAGTTCCGTGGCAAGCAAGCTAGAGCCTGGGCCGCCTTGGTCAACGTCGGCGGCAGTGTGTTCAGCGGCATCACGATCACCAAGCTCCTCGGCGTGTTCGTCCTCGCATTCACGCGAAGCAAGATTTTCGAGATCTATTACTTTAGAGTTTGGCTCGCATTGATCATTTGGGCGGCGCTGCATGCGCTGGTCTTTCTGCCGGTTGCATTGAGCCTCTTTGGAGGGGCTGGTGAGTTTCTCCCCATCCCGCTTGTCACGTGCATATACTGATCAACATTTTCGCGCAGGTTACCTTGACCCCGAGAGCGACGGCGGACTAGAGCAAGACCTCGCGAGCCGTCGGTACAGAGCTTTGCTGCCGGATGAGGAGTATGACAGCGACGATTACTAGGCCTCGGTAGCAGCGCGGTAGTTGGAGGCCAGGCCTCATTCAATAGCCATTGATACTCCGATACCAAGCCATTGACATCCGCGTTCCCGTGCGGTGCCCAAACGGCCAAAGGTGATGACTTGCACAGCATAACGGCTCGGGTGTCTCGGCGATCCCTGCCGTCTGGTCCGTGTGTGCAGCGCCGGCATGCCTTCACCACACGCATCCTTGCCAGTCTTGCCAAAGAAAGGCAGCATCCCGAGTGCAACGCTGGAAGCAACGGCAAGCAAGGATCATTTTGCCATCGAGCCCGCCCGTTTTGCGGGAAGAGAATCGAGGCGAGCGATCGACATGGAGCAAAAGACCCCGCTCGCCTAAACACATTGAAAAGCTAGGTCTGTAGCCACTGCGTATTCCCGCCGGACCTCGGACGGAGCATCGTAGTTTTATGCACTCGGCGGCCCACTCGCTCGTTTCGACTGTCCTGATGAAACGCGCTGGGATGCGGTGTTCCCCTTGCTGCTGCGGGGGGCGGTGCCTAGCTCTGCCGTAGCGTCGACTAGACACTTGTCACACCAATTTGGCGGGTGTCGATCACCGGAGAATTATAGGGGATGTCACTATATCTCTGACAGGCGGGAGCATTAGAGCTTGCATTAGTGCCGGCAAGAGTTGGCAGCCGGCGCTGGGGTGTCGTGGCGAGTGCATGGATCCCTTGCAGGGATGAGACGATGTATAGTCGAGCGGCAAGTGCAACGTGAGGATGAGCGGAGACCGGAGAGTTGGTGATGACGATATTCAAAAACATCTATTCAACTACAGACGACAAAACGGGTACCTGCTCATCATTCATATCACACGGAGTCTATGCTGCATGACTCCCTCCATCCATCCATCGGAATCAGCCAGACTTGCGCCAATGTTCGCCGCAGACTCCCCCCAATAACCCTCCCACTTTTCTTCGCTATCCCATCTGTCAACATACCAGTGATCTTCGCGTGTCGAATGAAACGGAGCGTGAACAATCCGGGCTCGCCTAGTTCTTCCGGAAGTGCAACACCAGCCAGCCGAGGAGTCGGTATCCGACAATGATGCCAAGCATGATGCCCACCCACTTGCCCGTCCCTCCAACGGAGTAGCCGTAAGTCTTGAGCACCGCTGTGCCGTCGATGAGGCACTGGTCCGCCAAGTCGGTCGTGTACAGGCACGTACAGCCCGCCGGAGTATCGGCGGGTGCACACGTGTAGTTTCGGTGGCCGAACTCGTTCACCATCATTCCTTGGAAAACGTAGGACTGGTAGTCGATGTAATGGAAGACGTATCGCCAGAAGGGGTTGAGGGTGTGCGGCGGCACGAGGAAGCCACCGGTGCACATCCACAGGCCGTTGGCAAAGGCAGTCGCAGCCAATGCCACCACGAAAATGGGCACAACCGAACTGATGAGCACCACAAGGGATTCGGCGGCGAGCAGGTCGAGGAAGAGCCACATGATCCAGGTGAAAAAGGCTTCGGCAGCGGGTCGGAAGTTGGACAGCCAGTAGGCGACGACGGAGAAGAGGACGGTGATGAGGAAGAGGTAGGGAATGCCGGTCAAGAAGTTGGCGACCAGGAACGACGTAGGCCCGTACAAGCCGTTGGCTCGCTCCTTGATGAAGAGGGCGCGGTCCTCGAGGAAAGCGGGGATGTAGGCGACGGCCATGAACGACATGAAAGCACCACCAAAGAAGATGGCGTTGATGAAGGACTGAATGTTGTTTTGATCGGGTTGCAGACGCAGCCAGACGGTGCCCATCATGATGGCCAGGCCCATGTACATGGCGATGCGAATGCCGTACGCGATGATATCGCGGTAGGATTTGATGAATGACCGATGCACGAGGGCGAGGGGAATGGCGAAGCGGCCGGCCGACTCATCCTTGATCGCGGGGTTGACTTCGTTGTCCATCGAGTTGCGCGCCATCTCGTCGGTCAGCTCGGCCACTGTTGCAGTCGCCAGTCGCGACTTATGCCACGACGAGTGCACCATGTTTAGCTGCTGGTCGACCTCACTGCGGTCACGTGCGAAATCGGTGTTGACGAAGTCGATGATGAACTCGGCGGGGTTCATGTACAGCGGGATGGGAAAGCCACACGCATCGAAGTAGGGTTGCACTTCCGACACAGGCCCGCTGTATGCCGTGCCACCCTGCGAGAGCAACAACAATTTGTCGAACATTGCAAACGTGGAGGTAGACGGTTGATGGATGGAAGCCACGACGATCAACTAAGTGAGCCGTTAGATGGAGACACGCCAGGGAGTATGCCAGGAGATGGGGGATGGAAATCAGCAACTTACGTTGTGCCTTTTGGCAATGTCCTTGACGAATGAGATGACCTCAAACGAGGCGGCCGAGTCGAGACCAGACGTGGGCTCGTCCAAGAAGAGCAGCTTGGGGCTGGTGATGAGCTGGGAAGCGACACTGACACGACGCTTTTGACCGCCAGAGATGCCTTTTCTGATGGGAGTACCAATCAGATTGTTTGCCTGGCCGGAAAGACCAAAGGCGGTCAAGAGGGCCTCGATGCGCTGGATTCTCTCGAGCTTGCTAACGGAGGATGGAAGGGCGAGGCGGGCGGCGAAGTTGAGGGTCTCGCGGACGGTCAGAGCGCCGACAAGGGCGTCCTCCTGCTCGACGTAGGCGGAGACGCGTCGGAAGGTCTTGGGGTTGGCGGGGGAGCCGTTGATGTAGATGGCAGCCTTGACGGAGGCATTGAGGGCAGAAGTGCGGTGGGCGAGGACGTTGAGGAGGGTGGATTTGCCGGAACCGCTGGGAGGGAATTAGCAATGGAACATGGTGGGAGGTGTGAAGAAAGGGCAGGAGGGAGACATACGAAGGACCCATGAGGGCGAGGAGTTCGCCGGCCTTGACGATGCCATTGATGTCATTGAGGATGGTCTTGGGGCGTCGGGTCTGGCGATCCTTGACGGTGACGGTGACGCCCTTCCAGCCAAAGCTGCGGATGTTGGTGTTGGTGAGCTGGGCGTAGTCACCGCCGATCATCTTCTCGATGTCCGACATCTTGCTGTAGCTGCCGCGATCAAACGCGCGGGTCTGATCGTTCGCCACTTTGAGGGGAGTGGTTGGTTCAGGGACGGTGCTGCGGTGGACGAGGGAGGCAGGAGGGAGCGAATGGAGGTAGGCGAGAGTGAATGCCGCCCGAGGGGTGGATGAGGAGGGGGAGGAGGGTGTTGAAGGAGAGTTGGTGGTGGATTGGAAGGAGTGAGAAGGGAGTGAGAAGGAAGGGTAAAGGAAGAACAACGTGGGTGTGGGGTGGAGCGAGATGGTCAGGGCGAGATCCAAAGCAAGAGCTAACGGGAGCGATCGGGGCCGCGTTTGTCGGGCAGATGGGGTGGGTGACTGTGGGATGGGCAGAAGAAAGGGCGGCGGGCAAGAAAGGGCTCTCTCCCATCCAGTCTTGTCCCCTTGCTGCCTCCCGTTCGAGAAGTCACACCGGCCTGTCGTTCCCGCGCGTTGGCGTCGACAGGTGCGACGAAGCCTTGTCCGGGGCGGGCTTTGAGTGGACGACTGGCGCGGCAGTGGCGTGCATTAGCGTGCCATTGACCGCGCAGCGCCAGGAAAACGGCAACCGTGCTCTATTCATCCTTCACGTCTAGCCCGCATGGGCCCGCCTGGAAATTGCCCGGATACGAAGCACGCGCAAGAATTGGAATTCGACTGGGACTTGTTGATTAATCTTGCAACGCCAGCGAGGCGTAGGCCATCGCCCAATCTGGCAAACGCCAGCAGCTGCCGTGGCACACGATTCGCCGGCTGCCTGCAGCTGCCCCATCCCTCCCTCTCGTAACCCTCGCCTGCCTCCAGCTGTCAGTCTAACTGTGACAGATCCATCACCTGGACTGCGTGCCAACTGCTCCTCCGCTGGCAAGTGCCGTCCCAACAACTTGACATGCATTCGTTCCGCGGATACGGCACAAGGCTAGAAGGGGCGAGGTGGAGCCGAAAAGGGGATAGTCAGGGGCACAGAATGCAAGGCTTCCCCGCTCCCTGAGCTTGTCCCTCCCTGCCGCACGCTACTGAACTCTAAACCAACCTTGACGTGTGAAGAAAAAGCTCCGTCTCCGAAACAAGCAGACGTCTACTGCCCCTGTTGAGTAGGCCAGCGCGATCTCGACTTAAGGTACCCTACAAGTGTGCCTCCCCGACACTACTGCGAACCGGGGAGCGAGCACGGCAAGCTCTCCGCGCCCCGCTCGCCCAAGACAGGCCGATGGTGACAGAACGCAGTGCAACAGTATTGTACGGCGGTTGCCGATCGTCGCCCCGTTTCCTCGGCCCCATCTACCTTGCTGGGCTTGCCAAGTTGCGCACCCGCGACGGGGATAGGTTGCGCGACTAAGGTGTCTGGGTAGGTGCATGGGACATGCTGCCCTCCCCTTCCACGTTGTCCCTAGCAGCTCGGGCGGGTGCAGTCCATCCGTGGATGGCGACACGGGGGCCAGCCATTTCATCAGCCATGCTGTTCTGTGCTGGGACTCCGCTACTCTTGTCCGGCGGTGGTGGGATGCTAATTGCAACGCCGTCGATCGCCGCGCCACGGATGGCCGAAAGCGGACGGCAACCGCCACACCACCCCCCTACACGCACTCCCCCAACGAGGCAAAGTGGGTGTCAGGAGGGGTTTGGCGCAACGCCTAGCCTCGAGCCGTGGCAGTCAATTTCGGGGTGGAATTGCTCCACCTCCCCAATCACCTCGCCCCCGTCGCAGCGTGTTATTTCCAGACAGCCCAGCCCTGCCGGACATGCATGGGCAGGGCCGCTTCCGCCACTAACGCGCGCCTCCCCACCAATGGGAGCGCTGGGCGGGTGTGCTGCTTGCTCGATCGTCGTCCACCATCGCCAGCGCCTCCCGCGCCGTCCTCTTTCGTCCAACTCGACTCTACTCGCGACAGGAAACCTCTGTTCGGTGTCGTGTGTCTGCCTTTGCCCTTTGCTTGCCAACTCCCCTCCCACCTTTAACTCCCCTCCCTCCTCTGCATACTTACTACCCCTCCTATCCTATCCCAATCTTGGACGCGAGGCATCATTTACTGCCGCCATCTACGCTACTACTTGGATGCACGACATGAGTCTGGTCTACCTTGTCGCCTTGTCATAAGCAATCCCCGCGCGCCCGTCCACTGCGATGGACCTTCCTGGACACATCTTGGAAGCCGTGCAGACCGCATCGGACGCCATCCATCCTCCTGCTGTCCCGAGAAGAATCCGACCCGCACACCATCCCACTCGAGACGCCTCGCGAAAGCCGAGCTTGCCAACCCTGCGCACCGCCAGCTCATCGGTGGAAGACATCTCTTCCGATCCCGACTCCGACCAGGATCATGGCTACCAAACCGACTTCACCTCGCAACCTTCCGAAGCCTGCCCGGACGAGCTGCATGTGGAAGAGATGGAAGAATGGCGGGCTCGCGAGTATCCGCAGTTGAAGGGAAAGACATATCTAGACCACGGAGGCGCTACAGTCCGTTCTCCTCCCCCCGCACCCTACTCTCGTCCATCTAACTGACCCCTTCCCCTCTGCAGCTGTACGCGCGATCCCTCATCGAGGAGTTCTCCGCCGACCTTATCTCGAACCTGTATGGAAATCCCCACTCGGCCTCGTCCCCATCTGCCGTCTCCGGGCACCGTGTCGACGCAATACGAGAGCGCACCTTACGCTTCTTTGGCGCGAACCCCCACGATTACGATCTCGTCTTTGTCGCCAACGCTACCGCCGCCGTGAAGATGGTGATTGACTGCTTCAAAGACTTTGCCGCCTCCACCAACACTCCCGTGTGGTACGGCTATCACAAAGACGCCCACACCTCCTTGGTCGGCGTGCGGGAACTGGTCAAAATGCACCGCTGCTTCACAAACGACAACGAGGTGGAATGCTGGATCAACAGTGGCGGCTTCGGCGGCCCTCGCTCGCGCCAGCTTGGCTTGTTTGCCTTTCCCGGCCAGTCCAACATGACTGGCCGCCGCTTGCCGCTCAGCTGGTACGCCGCACGCTTCCCACCATGATGCGCCCTTGTGCACTGTAGCACACCGGCCCCTCCCTTTGACGATGCTGACGTTGCACAGGTGTGGCCGAATCCGAAAGTTGTTCCACAAAGCCGCCACTTACACCCTCCTTGACGCTGCCGCGCTCGCAACAACTGCGCCCTTGGATTTGTCCGACCCCGCCACCGCTCCCGATTTCGTTGCTCTTTCCTTTTACAAAATCTTTGGGTTTCCCAATATCGGCGCCCTGATCGTGCGCAAGGACTCTGCGCATGTCTTGGCGCAGCGAAGGTTCTTTGGCGGCGGCACGGTGGACATGATCATCGCGGTACATGACACATGGCACGCCATGAAAGAAACGTCCATCCACGATCGGCTCGAGGACGGGACGCTACCTTTCCATTCCATCTTCGCTTTGGACCACGCCATGAACGTCCATGAACGCTTGTACGGCCCGGATCCAATGAAATTCATCTCTCAACACACCGCACAGCTTGGCAAGCTGTTGTACGACGGCATCAGCTCGTTGATGCATGACAACCGATTGCCGGTTTGCCGCATCTACAAGGACGAGCAAGCAGTCTACGGCGATCCTGCCGTGCAAGGCGCGACGATCGCCTTCAATGTTCTCCGATCGGACGGAAGCCTGGTCGGGTACGAAGAGGTCGAGGAGGCGGCGGACGAGCGAAACATCTTTGTCCGCAGTGGCTCACTATGCAACCCTGGAGGTGTAGCCACGTACCTCAACTGGTCGCCGGCGGAAATGAAGGCGGCCTACGCTGCTGGCCATCGCTGCACAAACCCCACTCAGATCATGTTCGGTCGAGCGACGGGCGTGGTGCGGGTGAGTCTGGGCGCGATGAGCACCGCAGGCGACGTCAGGGCGTTGATTCAATTCCTGGAGGACGTGTACGTTGAGCGCGAAGGACAGCCGCTGGCAGCCGTTGCACAGGCTGCACAGATGGCCCGCACCGTGCAATTGCCCGCGGGTGCAAGACCGCCCTCCCCCGCCACCCCGGTCTCTCCCACAGATGTCATGGCCTCTCCTACCCGCCATGACTTCAGACCGGCCTCAACCGGACAACACTCTCCCCACAAACTCAACGGCATCGACAGCCCTCTGTGGGACGCAACGCCGGACTCGGCAATCGTCATGCCGGAACGACCGCGCTTCATCCCCTCCGAATACACGCAACGCTACAAGCCGTGGGAAGAAGCGATACGAAAGACAAACTACACGCACGTCGCCAACGTCACCCAAGTCCGCGAAGTCGTCGTAGATGGCGGCGGCGGCACAACCCCGCTCTCTCGCAACCCGCCCAGCGTCAAGGCACGCAAGTTCGGCAGAAGCGTGGTGAACCTGTTGCGGAACAAGCCTTCTTATCAAGATCCACTGCCGGTGTCCCGATGACCTTCTGGCTCTCAATTGTGATTCCTTACAGCGGGACCAATCGCATGGGCAGTTGATGTGGACTGGACAAATTGTCCGAACCCAGGGCCTACTACATCACACGACATCTGGTGTCGGAGAAGTGACGACTAGTCTTGGATTATTCAACGCGACACGAATCTGGACCATCATCATCGCAGTCCATCCACTCCGGAGCGGCGACGAAAGACACGGTATTTGGAGGAGTCTACTGCTTATGTGCCAATTCCTTCCATTCGGCAAGCATGGCGTTCGAGAGGCATTGGTTGACTTTTACGGTGTGGGAACAACAGGGAAAAATTCTTGGTTATTTTGCTGATCTTTTCTTGGGGACAAAAACGAAGAACGAGGCGAGGCAAGGGAAGAAAAAGCCCGAGTTGATTCTCTGAGCATGAAGTGCGAAAGGGGAGAGTGGAGCGAAGAACAGATGCAACGGGGATGACGGAGGGCGAATGCCTGGATACTACTGCTAATGGCCCCGGGCCCAGCTGTTTGTACATATCTGAGATACCTGGGCACGATGCAGGCCTGTACAATACATGCATGAAGACCAACAGTGTTCACTATACTCGCAGGCCCTGTATTTTCACGAGATTGTTGCAGTATCGCACTCCCTGCTCGACCGCGTCCTACGGAAGCCCGCAGGATATGCTACGTCGTCAAGGAGCTGCACAGCCATCCTGCAGCTCTCCGCCGCATGTCCACTCACCATCTTCATGCATACGTCGATCGAGTAGCCGCCTGCAGTTTCGCGCCTCAATCCTTGACCCTCCCACCCTCTGTGAGCCGATGTCGAACACCCACGACAATAGAAACAGCCACCGCGTCCCAAAGCAGCAGCCTTGCCCACGTCTCAGCCATGCCGTTGCCATCGCCCAGCCACCGCTCGCCCGCGCAGTCCCGGCTACGAAGAAAGAGGACAAGCAACGCCATGCCTGCATATCGTCGTTACACCGGCTCCACAAACGCTCCTGTCGCGGCCCGGAGAAGCCTGGCCTGGCGAGTGATTGACGCGCCGCTTGTATGCTGTGCGGCCGTTTGGGGCTGGTGGTGTGGAGGGCTCCCTTGCTGTTGTTGTATGCTGTTGCCAGTGGTGATTGCATCGTCTCGCTCATTCGTTGGGGGCTGGGTGCGCGGGAGGGTGCATGTTGACGTGATTCTGGTCTCCCTGTCGCGTACTCAGATGTAGTGTAGCTGTATTTCGCCTTCGATGCTCCTCGGCATGGATTTACCGGGCTGAGTTGTCTTCAAAGATAGGGAAAGGGAATGGGCCGATTTCTTTTCAACACTTGATCGCCGCTGCACGCAAAGCAACGGATCTATTGTAACACCTCGAACTGTAGCCATGATCTCGTTCCACAGCACATGCTGTCAAGATGTCTTACTGCATTGGCGGAGCCCGTTGGCAGCTGTTGGGACGTTGTGATCAGCGACACACACCATGGGTACAATATCGTACGTGTCACATTTGATGTGTACAGCGATGGCTCCATACACCCCCCACAGCCAGATCGTAATTCATGCCGAGATAGTCGGTAAAACGCTGTCCCAATCCCATCGTGTCGAGAAAGCCTTGCGCAAAGGCCGGAACATCACTCGATGCTCATTTTCATAATCCCATCATTCGTATCCACCATCCCCTGCAGCCCCAGCTTCCGGCCTCCATTCGCACCAGAACTCCCAGAGCTCAGAGGCGGCCCTAGTGTGCTGCCGAACGGTAGACTCATACTGTTACCTCCACTGCCATGTCTACTGCGCTGTTGCGACATGTCTGCTTGACTGTTTCGGTTGCCACGATCCGGCGGCTGACCCCAGTTGCCGCCCCCGTCTTTTTGTGCAGGCGATGGAGCGAGGACGGGGGAATTGTTGGCACTCATGCCGGGAGAGACGGCGCGACGCTTGACGGTGCAAATGTCAAAGTCCTCTTCTCGCCGGCGCTTGAAGCGATTGAGATGCATGTCGTCGTTCATGACGCCGTTCGCGGGCTGCGCAGTAGACTGCATGGCTTCCGACGGCGCGTCGGATGCACTGGACCTTGCTCGAGGGCGCGGGCGCCAAACCGGCAGGGTGTCACTGCTGCTGTCCATGTTGGTATCCGAGATCGCGCTACTGCTGTGCCGGGCGAGAGTTGGGGGCGGGGGAGTGCGAAAGGAGGAGTCGTAGCGATTCCAGTAATCTAGGCCACCGCTATTTCGGCTGACGTGGGCGGCGAAATTCATACCCAATCCCTTGGGATTTTCAGCACCGCCGAGATCATGCCCAAAGTCTTTGTAGTCGGTGTCCGAGGTGGTAGGGAACAGATGGGGAGATGGCTGTTCCGCTGCTGTCGAGGAGCGCCTGCTGGGGGTGAGGTCCAGATCGGCGAGGCTGCCGTCTCGTTCCCGCACCTGTCGGATCGTTTCCGCCTCGCGCCGGCTCTCGGTGTCGACAGGCGCAGCCTCTTCCATCAGCGCTGCTCGGATCCGAGCGAACCCTTTGGTTTTGGGCAGGAGGTTGCCTCTGCGCGTCACTGCTCGTCTGACCACCTCTGGCGTTCCGGGAGTGTTGGAAGCTGAAGCCTCGTCGCCGCTGTCGTTTCCGCTGGACAAATGCAGCCCATCTGTGCCCATCGCCAGACTCTCCCGTCTGCTCCTCGCCGCGGTGGGCCAGTTGAAATAGCCACCGTTGGCAGCGGACTCGATGCTCCTCAGGGGAGGCGGCGAGGTGCCTCGAGGAGATGCCATGGAACTGTAGCCGCTGCCGCTCGCACTGCTCGAGTTCTTCCTCGCTCTCTTTCCCGGCTTTTGCAATCTCGTACGTCGGATGGTCTTCATGAGAGAAGCTTGGGCAGGGGAGAAATGGGCGCCTGTGCCCCATGTCCCACCTCCATGAAAAGGGGTGAGGGCATTGGGGTTCTGCAACTTCCTCACCTGCGGAGTGGTGAGAATCGGATCGTCGTTATCGTCACCCGCCATGCTCGCATCCTCTTCACTATCACCGCTCTCGCTTTCACTCGCGAGCATGTTCACACTGCCAACCGAGCTGCTGATTGCACTCCGCTCCGGGGGCAGTGAACCCCAGCCGCTGCCCGCACTCAGCAGATTTGGTGAGTCGAGCATCATGCTACTGATGCTGCCCTTCCTCCCGGGTATCGCAACGCCTTTTTGGGTGATGACCGGACTCGAATCGGGACTGCCTTCGGCGAGAGTGGAGTGGTGTAAGGTGGTGCAAGCTCGTGCAAAGTCGAGACCGCGGGAGTGACGGGGGAGAGAAGTGGCGGGGGATTGCTGCATGTAGATGTTGTTGCGGTCCAGCTGCGGGCTGAGAGGGGCGGAGCGATGGTGGGAGGAGGGAAACTGCGAGGGCGAGGGCATGGAGAAGGAGGGGGGCATCTGCAGGGACAGGCCGCGGGACAGGAAGTCCTGCCGGCGGGAGGAGGCTCGCGGGGTGATGGGGTTGGCATCGTGGTCGTCTTTGCTGGGATGGGCGGCGCGGTCGAGGAATGTGGGCGAGGGGGCGAGAGAGGAGGAGTCGGGGGCGCCGCTCGTGCTCTGCGGGTCGGAGAAGGAGCGGGGCTTGGAAGGGGTCTTGACGATTTCTGCCGGCGGCTGTAAGATGCTTGTGTGTTCCATGGTCGTAATGGATGCAGTGGTTCTTTCTTCTAATAAGCGTGGAGTGGGCGAAGACTGTGCGCGTGTTCAGGTGGGGGTGGTATAGGATGAGAGGTAGGTGGTGGATGCTCCTGCCATGCCATGGGAGGTGTCGCGGTATGGCTGGAGCGAGCAACTGTGGACGGTCTTCATGTCCTCCCAAGTCGCGCGTGCATGTATGGATGGAAGCAGGGTGGCAGAGGTGATGATGCTGCTGGTCACCGCTGGAAGCTCCCCGCCTGGAGGTGTGAGGTGGACGACAGCCAATCAGCGATCGCCAACGGATAGCACGACAAAGGCAAAGAGAGGAGCAATATGTCAAAGTAGGAATCAGTCTCTCATCGCAAGCAAAGATCAGCAAATATCAGAAGGTACTTGTGTAGTTATCCTCCTCAGGCATCCCTGTCGGCCAGATCTCGCGCGTAGATGCCAGCAACATGTTCCACGTCTTCCCAGTTCGCTTCCCACACATTCAGCACCTCCAGCCTCCACTTCCCCCTTTCCGCATCCCTCTTCATCCTCGCAATCACTCTGCACATGATCCCGCCCTGCTTTGGCTCCAGGAAGGCGCTGCTGTCTGCATTCCACAGCTCGCTATCCCGCCACAGCTCGAAAGACCCCTCCACGTGGGGCGGACGATCGTGATAGAGGTCGTTGAACACAAATGACTGCACGCCATCCACCTTGTTCGCTCGATACGAAGACACCACACGTGCGTAGAGCTCCAGAATCACGTCCTGGCCGGCTCGGACTGCCTGCGCCCCGACGTTCAGTGCTTCCCCCACACGGAAACACGTACGCAGTAGCGTGCTGCTCGAGGCACCGTGAATCGCCGGGCGGTCGAGTAATGATGACGGGAACGGCATCCGTACGATGGGCTTCCTGACGCTAGCTTGAGTTGGCTTGTGTGGATCTACTTCTGTCAGCAAATCTGCTACTTCGCCCAAAGGGGAGAATTGTGTAAAGAAAAGCAGCGAACAAGGCTTCGTCTTTTCCATACCGAGCAAGTCCTGTTGGTCCTGGATTCGAGGCACGTCCCCGTCGACATCCGTGGAAGAACCCGTGCTGGCCAGATTACGGGATGGCGACCGGCGCGGCTGCTCTACTTTTGATTCTGCCGCTTGCATGAGTTCGGCAATCTCGCCTTCCGGGACGTCTGGTAGGTCGATCAAGTCTTCGTCTGGTGTCAGCGTGAGTGTCGGCTTTCGTCCAATACCGTCCTTGTCGCCTGTGGTAGCTTCGGTTATGCCTGCAGGATTCAGATGAGATGGGCGAAGGATGGAAGGGAGTTGAGTGCGGAACGCTCTGTGCCTCAACAAGATCGAAAAGAGCGGCCCATGCTTCCTCGTCATCGGACTCTGTATCAAAGTAGTCTTCCTCTAGGGCTGTGGCTATAGCGTCTGGAGAGTCAATCCGTCTATCGCCATGTAAGGGGCCCTTGCCGATGCTCATGGGCACGTAATCAGAGTGGTCGGATTCCAGTGGCTTTACGGAGGTCATATTCGGCTGCTCTCGGGCCCTTCCAGACATCCCAGAGCAATCGTAAAGAGTAGCTCCATAGCCAGAAGCACATCTTATGGCATCCACAGAGGTCTGTGGAGGAGTAGCTTGCGCCGAAGACATGGATGTCGACGAGAATACCGCCGGAAACGAAGATGAAGACCTTGGATGGGCCACGTCTGAGTTTCGTCCTTCACTTTCAATGCCACAATAGGATACTTTCCCCGTTGCTGCAGTACTGGCGGGTGTTTTGTCATCACGGCTTACTTTTCCGATGCGCATACTGTCAGATAATTGACTGATCCTCGGTCGCTTGGCCGGCGGTTCACTGGTGTCGTCGCCTGGCGCCATTGTGCCTTTGTTATTCGTCTTCTTCGCTCCTCGGCCTCGCAATGGGCCGCTGTGCTGCTTGACGGGCGTGTCTGCGACTTTCGTATTCCCACGGCCAAGGTACTGTGATGCGACAGACTTGTGATCCGTGGACGAAGACGTGGCGGCGTCTAGCTCACCGTCCACATCTTGGGCAGTGAGGTGAGCAGAGTAAGGGTTCGCAACTACATCTGTGCGGTTGATGGGAGTGAAAGCTGCCATTGATAACATGCGTACAAGCTGACTGCTCGACAGCGATTTCACGTGGATGCAGACATTAGTCGTGATGTGCGCCTGGAGTCTTGGTCACATGACAAATCGGCATAAGAAGCATTGTGAGTGGTAGGATGCAAAGATGCCCGATGCTGGAAGTCTCGAGTCTAACGGGAAGTGACGTTGGAGAGCACGTGAAAATGCTTGGCGCCGTAGCTCGCAGCTCCGTTCGGCCTGGTGGTGGAATTGACTTCGCTTCCTACCAAGCTGCTCCAATTGTGCTTCTCGTCGTGGTTCTACGTGAGGTAATGGAGACGTGGGTGCCTTGGACTCTACGTGCGATTGCCATCTAGACTCCCGGCTCCCGCGGTCGTCCGCCGTTGCTTCGCGAAATCAAGAGGCTGGCGCGGGCAGACTGACGACGCCCTCTAGGCAGCGGCTTGTACTTCGTCTGGCCCAGGCCCACGAACACTGCAAGAGCCTCTTCGTGTTCTCGAGAAGCCTGTTAGAAGGAGGCAGCTCGGAAGATGTTTCATCAAAGCTCGGTACGTTTTTTCTCTATCAATCATGCTCCCTCGAGGAAAGGCTGCCTCAATTGCCGCTCCAATGGGTGGATTCGACTCTCCTCTTTGTGTAGCGAGAGATCACTATCATGCGATGAGGAGAGTGTGCGGTGTTGAATGCGCTGCTGTCTCATAACTCGGCACTGGCTGACAAACCTCGATGATGAACAGAAAAAGCCGTACACGGCGGTCACGGTGCAGGTTGACCGCTTGACCGGCGACCAGGTGGCGGAAGATGATGATAGTGGCATTCCTGATCTGGTCGAGGTGATTCGGCTTCAGACTTCGGGCCCGACAGAGGCAGCCCGCGCGATTCGAAAGAAGCTGTACGAAACCGCAGCCATCATCTCGTAACCAGAGATCCTCTAATAACTTGCTGCAGGAAATATGGCAGCCCTCATCGTCAAATTCGGGCTCTGGTTATCCTTGATGGCCTGATCCACAATGCAGGCTCTCGGTTTCAACGCACTTTCGCCGACGAACCTCTACTTGAGAGACTCAGGATGATGCCAAGGGATGAGACCGTGGATCCTCAGGTGCGACAGAAATGTCAAGTCCTGTTCAAGCAATGGGCCAATGCCTACAAGACCACGCAAGGTCTCGAAAGGATTGCAAACCTTTACAAGGAGCTGCCAAAGACTGCGAAGCCACAAGCAGCTCGTCAAAAGGTACTGCAGGCGCCTGTCGAACCGGAGAATGTTTTCGAGGAGCCGCCCGTCTCGCGAACGACCACTGTGTCCAGCGTGGCATCCTCCAACCCCGTCACGCTCACGCCGACATCCTCCTCAAGCTTCGCCTCCAAATTGTCCAAGCACAAAAGCAAGTCGCAAGGGAAACCCTTCAATCTGGCACGGGAGAAGGAGAACATGACCAACGCCATCGCGCAGGCATCAATGGCATCTACCAACCTGCTCAATGGCCTTCAACTGGTCAATCGAGAGAAGGAGCGAGTATCTGAGAATGCCGAAGTCCTACGGCGGTTTGAAGCGTGTAAGCTCTTGCGAAGGCGGGTGTTGTACTACATTCAGAACGTCGAATCTGATCAGTGGATCGGGAGCCTGGTCAACGCCAATGACGAGCTCGTCAGAGCCTTGACCGCTTACGAAATCATGGACAAGAGCATCGACGATGACAGCGACAGCGATGCGTGGGAGCACAGCCAGCATCCGGCGCCCAAGAGCGCGGCAGGACCAAGCTTGGACAGTCAGCAGCAGCTGGCAGGGTTGTCACTGGAGGAGAAGCCTCCAGTGAAGCCGCCGAGACCTACCAGCGTGTCAATACCGCAGCCACCAGCTTTCCAACATGCAGCTAGCGGAGCACAGGATGTTGCGGAAGAGGGAGAGGACGACGAGGACGATGATCCGTTTGGAGATTCCAATGCCGCACCGACACCTTTCCAAGAGCGCTCGGGGATGATGTGGAAGGATGTTTGATAGGGTCGTTGCCGGCATTCACATCGTATATCTATTCGTCGAATTCATGCTGTGGCCATTTGCACGATGACGGGCTGCTTCCCTCTCCTCTTCGCGTCACATGATGGTACAAGGGATGCAGCAGAACTCGCAATTGCTTGGAAACGATACATTAGCATGGAGACTTGCGCGCTTTCGGAGTGATGCTCACCAGTCGGGTCCGCAAGGAACGTCAATGCAAGGCTGGCCGGGTTTCTTGACTTTGATCGGCTTCGCGGCCAATGTAACGGTTGGCTCGACGGGGGAACACATGTTGAGAGTTGGTGTGCTTGATAGGCTGCTGGATGTTTTTAACTGTAGTCTAGTGAATCGAGCAAGGATGCCCTTACGTTTGAGAGTTTCGAATTGTGACGAACGAGGTATTGCACAATGCTGCTCCTGCCATCTAGTCAGTCTAGTGTGTCATGCAATACCATTGTGCAGTGAGGCTCACGGTGGAAGATTTGTCGGGCTTGACGAAACGTCTGATGATGATATGAGGGATGAGTTCAATTATCGAAATCAGAGTGAGAAATGAGGAGAGGAAGTCGAGTTCAACGTCGTCTTTGGATGTCGTCGTTGGCAAGCACGTGCCGGCCATCGTCGCTCAAGACTTGGCAGCCGCGAATCCAAGTTCGCGATGCCTTGCCACCTCGGACGCTGCTTCCGCCACCATCATCATTCCCTTGGACACAGTTTGGGCATTGAAGGACACTGCCATCGCAGCCTAGACGCACGAGCATCCATCGGCCACATATCCGCCTCAGCGCGACTCGCCACAATGCCTCCATCCACCTCGGCAGCATCGTCTACCTCGTCCGCGCCGTCGATAGCCAAAGGCCCGATCTCGAAGCCACCGGTCAAGCTCCCCTGCTGGTGTGGAGATGACTGTCAATGCGTGAGTGACCCCTGCTGCCTCAGCACCGCGCGACCGAGGCCATCGACTGACTGTTTGGCAATCCAGTGCATCATTCCCTGCTCGATCATGTGATTCCATTCCTTTGCCTTACGAGACCGACCGACGATGTGCAAGAGATTGGTGTTGACGAAATGAACGCTGGGACTCGAGATATGAAATGCACGAGACGGATAGCTTTGCGTATTGTACACATTTGGACATTTCCTTTCCAGACCTCTATGCACACGGTATACTGCTACCGGGGATATCGTAGCCAATACAGGCTTGTTCCGCGCATGCTCATGCTGCAATCGATCGGCCGTTACCCATATCAAAGACCTACCAGCCACCCCATCATGCCCAACACCCCGCTATCCGCATGCCCCTCATAGCCTCCATACTCCTCAAGACGAAAGTCATACTCATCGCGCCCACCTCTCTAGGATGCAGCCTTCAAAGGCGAGGAATGTTTGCTCCGCCTCGCACTCAGGTCCGAGAGGTGTCGCTGTTGCTCTGTTGCCATGTCATCACTGACTTCGATCAACTGCGCGGCCTGCACTTGTAGACTCGCGAGCATGCCTGTGAGGCTCGGGTGCCCGCTCCAGCCGGCCTTTTTGGGTGTGGCCGGAGCGTGGGCGGTGTGAGGATCAGACTTGGGCAATACGCCGGCTTTCGGCGCGAAAAGGTCTTCGGTAGCTGTGGCAGTGACGTGCACAGGAGACTCGCTGCTCATAGATGGCGAGCCTGTCGCTATCGGGTGTGCTGCTTCGGCCTTGCCTTGCTCGAATGCTGCAAGCTTGGCTTCGGCGGCCTTTAACGCGGTGGACAACATGACATTCTCCTCTTCTAAGGATTTGACTTTCGTGACCAGCGTATCCTCCTTGGAGTCAGGCTTTCGCGGCACTGGAGTCGGCGAAGCGAGCTCATCGTCTTCCGATGCGTATGCCAGAGGTGTTTCGGACAGCCGGTTGCGAACATGCTGACCACTCCCGTGTCGTATCTTTGCGTGGTTGACGAAGACATGCGACAAACCTCTTGGAGATGTCTTCAGGTTCTCGACCAGCGGCGCATCGCTTGTCGGATAACACGAGCCGCCCGTAGCCTTTGCCAGAGCCTCTGCATGCTCGACTTCCAACGCGGCCAGTCTCGCCCCGTGGATCCGATCTCGCGCAACCCCAGCAGCCTCTGCACGTTGAGCGGCTTCCTCTTCGACCTCGGCGATCTGCGCAACGTGTTTCGCCATGATCCCTTGCACTTTATGCTCGTGTTCTGCCGTCAACTGCTCCATCGCTTCGTCGTGGCTCTTCTTGAGCGCGGTGAGAGACTCGTGCAACTCGCGGTACTGCTCTTCGTGTTTCTTCACCTGCGCATCCGCATGCCTCGTCTGGCTCTCCTTCGCTTGCTTCAGCACCTTTTGCAAATCCTGATACGCCGCTTCGTGCTTCTGGGTTTCCTCTTCCAGCTCGCGATTGTGTCGAATCTCCACCTCGCCGAATCGCTTTTCCAGGTCGCGTTTCTCCTGCATAAGACTCTCGAACTTTTCCTGCGACTCTTCAGTCGACGTTGCGTTCTGAGAAGACAGTGATTGCTGCAGGGCGGTAACTGCCTCCGCATGGTCATCTTTGAGATCCTGGACTTGAGTCTCATGGGTCGCAATCAGCTCCTTGCGCACTTTGACCAGCTCGAGCGAATGTCGTCTATCCTTATCCGCCGCATCTTGTTCGATCGACTCGACCACACGCTGCAACCCTCTCATCTCGTCTTGCAAACTCTCAAGCGACTTTTGGGCATTGCTCTTAGCATTCTCCGCGTCGGCAAGTAAGGTCTGCAACTCCTCAATCTTGTCTTCTTTCGACAGCACGTCCACGCGATGAGAGCTCTGCTGTTGCCGCAACATCTCCGTTTCTGCTTGAATTCCCTCCAGTTGTTTGCCGGTCACCTCGTGGCGGTCTTTCAATTCTTGCAAGTCGGCGAGAGCACTCTGCCGCTCGCTCTTCGCGTCATGGATCTGATGTTGCAGGGCTTGCACCTCATCTTGCAAGCCGCACACCACACCGCCCATATGACTCGACTCGACCTCGGCGTTCCTTCTAGCCTCCCCTGCTACCGTGCGTGTTTCATTTAGCTCCTCTTGCAGCTCCAGGATCACGCGATTCAGATCCGCATTCTCCTTCTCCTTCGCGCTGGCGTCTTCCTCGTATCGTTCCTTATGAGCGGCAGTCTCTTCACGAAGCTGTTGAATCGTCTCGCTCAGTCTCGTGACTGTTTCACTCTTTGAAACGCGGGCATCTTCCAACGACTGCTCCAGACGAGCGCTCCTCTCTTGCAGGTCCGTAATCACAGCGTTCAGTGACTCGGCAGCTTTGTCCTTTTGTGCGATTGCGTCTTGATGCGTCTGCTGCTGTCGAGCATTGTCTGTTTGCAGACCCTCAATGACCTCGCGAAGTCCCTGTGTTTCGGCATCGTGAGTCGAGGCAATGTCCTGCTGGGACTGTTGATGTTGCTGCAGTTGGTTCTGCAGATCTTCGATGACCCTAGTTCCGTCGTGGTCGTCTTGTTGTAGCTTGGCAAGTTGCTCCTGCAGATCCTTGACCACACTTCGTAAATCGCCGTTTGCTTCTTCAGATCTTTGGAGCTCAAGGTCTCGTTGCTCCTGCAGCTTCTCCAGCTCGGATCGGAGGTCATTGGCGACACTCTCTTGTTGCTGCGCCTGTTCGCGTGTGCTCTTCAACTCTGACGTGTGAGCGCCATTGACTGTAGTTGTCTGCTCCTGCAGCTTGTCAATCTCGCTTTGAAGCTCTGACTTCTCCTTCTCGATCCCTGCAACAGTCTCCGCATTCCGCCTCCGCTCCTCTGCAAGCTCTTCTCTCAATTGTTCCATTTCCCGCACCGCCTGTTGCTTCTCCTGTGCTTCTTTCGCCACATCAGCATCGAGTTGCTTCTGACATCGGTCAATCTCGACCTTCAAATCGTCAATCACCCGGCCCAACTGTTCGCGATCCTCGTCTTTTGCTTGTATCGTTTGCTGTAGCTCTTGTTCGTTCTTGGAAGCACGTGCCTTGCTATCCCTCAGCGCTTCTTCGACCGCCTTGATCTTAGACTCCACGCCTTCAAGCTTGGTAGATTGCGTGCGGTGCCGCTCAATCTCAGCGTGAATCTTCTCAAGTTCTGCGGAATGTGTAGATTCGAGGGCGGTGATGGCGGTCTGATGAGATGCTTTGAGTTGCTCGACATCCTCCTGAGTCGCCTCCGTACTCTCCTGGCTGCTCATCCGTGATGCCGTGGTGGCTGCTTGGTGAAGCGTGACGTTCTCCGCCGTGAGCCTCTGAACCTCAGCCCGCAAGCGTTCAAGCTCCGCCGTCATGGTATCTCGCACAGCGCTCTCTCGTAGCATATTCTGCATAACCTGCTTCTCTTGCACGCCATGCGATTGGCCGATGAAAGCGGACTGTGCTCGCACATGGCCAGTCTCCAGCCGAGGTTTTCTAATCTCGACTTCTGCATCCGACTCGGCTCGAGGTTTTAGGCGCGGTGTGGAAATGTTGATCGATCGGATTTCGAGTTTGGGAGGGGATTTGGTGGAGTTCGGGGCGTCTGCAGCGTACACGAAGCCAGAGGGAAGGTCAGACTCGGGCTCTTCGGGGATGGCATCGCGAGACAGTGGTCTGCTTGCACCATTGGAGCTTTGCGATTCAACAGCTGGGGATTTGGCTGTACGAGATGTGGAGACTGTGGATGTGCGTGATCTTGAGGAATCGGTGGATGTAGCTGTTCGAGAAGGGGTGGGAAGCGGCCGCCGAGGGGGAGCAGACGCGGTGCTTCCACCGAGGGTCGTGCGCCTCACAGTGGTGCCGTCTTGTCGTGGTGTGCGCGAGGAGAGGGAGGTGGTTATGGGTGTGCGTGTGGGTCTCTTGTTCTCTCCAACATCGCGTACGCTCTCTTCGCTGCTTCTTGATATCGCCTTGCGTGCAGATGTAGCAGTCGGGCGCGTGGGAGGTTTGCTAATGGTACTTCCCGTGGTTCGCGTGGACAACGCGCTTGATCTGGTAGAGTTGGGAGAGGCGGTCGTCGTCCTCGAGCTTCCCGCCAGCCTCGAAGTGGCCGGGCTAGATCTGTTCGTCTCTTCCGTCCTTGCACCAGGCTTCGCGCCTATGGTGCCTCGTCTGTCCATGATGTTGCTTCGTCACACGTGATTGAGCAGTTCGCTAAGGGCAGTGTAAGTCACTGTGCCGTCAACTACACGATCCTCGAGAAGATCGGGATGTTGGAGAAGATCAATGTAACTGGTCACGGTGTGTTTACCATTTCCTGATTCTCCCACTGACGTCTTGCTCGACCCTTGAATTCATCAATCATGCTACGCCCGTTCGGGCAACTGCGCGCCGGCGTCGCGCCTGCTTACATAATGCACTTGCCTTGATCATTGATGTATTGCACCTCCACTCTTCCACGACCTGATTTGTTTTCGTATGAACGAACATCAATATGCTACGCATGTACATCAATAGGGGGTCTCGAAGATAATCCGATAGCACGCTGCCTCCCGGCTGTAACATGGCAGGAAGGACTCTCCAACGTTACGGACTTCCAAGGCCCCTCCAGTGGCGAAAGCCTACATCTGGGAAGGACGACACGTACAAAGCGCCATGGTCGCAAGAGCAGCAGCCGCTGAGCTGCCCGCCAAGAGAAACGAGCTTTACAAGACTCTTCCGAACAACTGCGCCTCGAGTTGGTGGAGGGATCCCGGCCTACGCAGACTAAACTTGGGCATCTTGCTCGTCTTTGCCTCGGCGACCGCCAATGGCTTCGACGGATCACTTCTTAACGGCCTGCTTGCTATCCCTCGATTCCAAGCAGACGTCGTCAATCGGGTTGACACCAGTACACTCGGCCTCATCATCGCTGCCATATCCTTGGGAGGCCTGCCCGCTCTTATCCCTGCAGGCTACGTGGTGAGTCGAGAGCGAGATGTGTCGGACGACTTCGACTAACGGGCGATAGTCTGATAAATACGGCAGGAAGCGCTGCTTGTGGATCGGGACCATCATTATCATCGCGACTGCTATTGTCCAGGCTCTGACCAGTGGTCCGTGGCTGTTCCTCGCATTTCGGCTCTTCATGGGCGTCGGCATCGCATTCGTCCTCATTCCTGCGCCCGCTCTGTCTACCGAAGTTGCTCATCCCCGTAACCGGGCGGCAGTTTCTGCTTGCTTCCAGACTGCTTTCTATTGGGGCAGTATTGTTTCGGCATGTGCGACTCTCGGTGGCTTGTATATTCCTAGCTCATGGGCCTGGCGCATGCCGGTGATGCTACAAGTATTGTTCCCGGCGGCGCAGATCGTGGGTTTGTTCATTATCCCGGAAAGTCCTAGGTACGTCTTTGTCATTAGCAGTCATACGCGTTCTACCATCTGTGCTGACTTCCGGTCAGGTGGATGATTGCAAACGGGCAAAAAGAAAAGGCTTTCTACGTACTGGCGAGATACCATGCCAATGGCGATACGTCCGATCCGTTGGTGAACTTTGAGTACCATGAGATCTGCCAGACCATCAAGAGCGAGGCAATGGCTGCCAACGAGTCTTCTTGGAAAGAGTTCTTCAGGACGAAGGGCAATCGGCACAGGTTCATCATTTGCATCCTCGTCGGAATCATGATTCAATGGGCTGGCAACGGTATCGTTAGGTCAGCCTCCAGCACGATCCCTTCTTGGCAAGAGGGAGCACGATTGCTAACACTCTTTCACAGCTACTATCTCGCGCCAATCCTGAGATCGGTCGGCATTACGGACCCCGTGGCAGAAGCTGGGATTAATCTTGGCCTCCAGGTGTGGAATGCAGGAATGGCCGTCGCCGGAGCGTTCGCTTGCGATCGCTACGGCCGTCGACCTCTTTGGCTGACGAGTGCAATCGGCATGCTCTTCTCCCTATCGGTCGTCACCGCACTGTCAGCAGTATATGCGGAAAGCAGCAACAAGGCTGCCGGTACGGCAGTCATCCCAATGCTCTTTGTCTTCTTCGGCTTCTACGACATTGCTTTCACGCCTCTGAGTTACGCCTACCCGGTGGAGATTCTGCCATTCAAACTTCGCTCTCGTGGCCTGAGTGTGACGCTAACCACGGTCTTTGGCGCCGGTTTCTTCAATCAATACGTCAATCCAATTGCGCTGGCACGACTTCACTACAAGTTCTACTTTGTAAGTGTTGAAAGACGATATAAGGTGGCAGCACAGCTAACGTCGACCTGCAGGTGTACATTGGCTGTCTGATCAGCTTCATCTTCATCATCTGGTTCGTCTTTCCCGAGACCAAGGGCAGGTCCTTGGAGGAAATTGCTGAGGTCTTTGACGGACCGGCCGAGACCGAGATCATTCGCCGGGCTAGCATTGCTGCGAGCGTCACGGGATGCTCGCCAAACATCGTTTACGAAGTGCATGACAGGAGCAAATTTGACAAACCAGGGTAACATTAGCATAGCGATTGTACTCGAGTATGTCTGTTCATTACACTTGTGCTCTCTGTAGTCGAAAAGGGAGATAAAAGTGGGTCCCGGGACGGTGAACATCTCGAAACGCGCGACATTCCCTTCCGACGCGCAACACCCCTTATGCTAAGATGATTTGACGGGAGGGATGATTCGTTGCAGTCGTCATGTCAACAGTACAAGACGACTGAGCCTATTGAGGAGCAATTGCTGGTCGTCACGACGGTACTCATCTCCATCCCCGGCCGAGCGTGTCCAGGTTGCTGTTCAAAGCAATGGCAGCATCACTCTCGAGTCAGTCCCGGCCGCGACGCAACGCTGAATGCAGCTAAGACCATCCGCAGTGTACATCAACCCCAAAACCCCTCTCCGGATCAGAATCGCTCCACGACGGCGCTTCTCTATCTCCCGCGAGGGCCCTTGCAGCACAGCGCAGAGCACGATGCTTCCAACATTGATATCATGCGGTCTGTCTTGCCATGTCCGATTGTGCAGGTCAATTACCGTCTGAGCCGAACCGAACGGTATCCCACTCCAATCCACGATGTCCTCTCTGGCTACGACTGGGTTCGGGAGAATCTGTTGCCGAAGCGATCAATCGGCCGCGCTGGTCGCTCTGAGCACATCGGCAGACTCGCAATTTGCGGTGAGCTCATAGGCGGAGGCCTAGCTAGCATGCTTTCCCTGACCGAATGTCGTGTTGGGGAACCTGGAATTGTCGCGGCAGCGATCAATAACCCATTGGTGGACTGGATCTCCCTGACTATTCCATCCGGCGGGCTTAAATCTACAAAGAGAAACAAGCCCGCCGAAGACGATGCGTTACAACCCGATCTGAAAGCACTATCTACTCTTCGAGCGCAGCTGTTTCATCGACCTTACGACTACTTTGACTCTTTTGCGTCGCCAATTTTATACTTCAGATCGCCTGGGGCCGAAGTGCCTCCAGCGCCAGCATTGCCGCTGGACGAGATGGACCATCTGAGCCTGCTTGAAAGGCAGGAATTGCTCCAGGATGAAGACATGGGTGATATCCCTGAAAGTCCACCTCAGCGGAAAGTATCGAAGAGATTTCCAAGCAAGGCTCTTCGACTGCGACTGCCATCGTTCCACATCTCTGCAGGAACGAGCTCACCAACGCGATGGCAGACGGAAGAGTTCACGACGCTGCTCCGCAAAAGCGTGGCAAGGCAAAGCAAAGAGTGGTCGGAGTCTGCTGATTTCGGAAGAAAAGTGCTGTACGATGAGGACGAAGGGGACTTGAAAGACGGACAGCTGCGAGATGTAGAAGCTGACGTGGACAAGAAGGTTAGAATGGACTTGTGCGCAGGCGGCAGTGAATGGGACGATTCCGATGCTGGGAGGAAGAGAGTCCGGCAGGCGGCCGAATGGCTGAGGCAAGCACTTCATCCGGCCGGATAGAGGTTGGTATGCACGCATGAGCAGGCGCTCGCTCGTCCAAGTGACTGTTAAGAATAAGATCCAGTACCGGTTGAGAAGAAATGATGTCGCTTGCGTAAGGCTGTAGCGGGACCAGGCCGGAGCTGTGTTCGTCAACCTTTTTTCTTGGCACGAGACGTAATCCGGGGAAGGCGACTTCACACCACCTTCATGTCCCTGATCCGCCCCATAGACCGCGCACAATATCCAAGCCGCTCGTGCGTTGATCGCGCCTACAATAAGGCACAGAATAGTATCAACGATTGCACGAAGGGTACAAGTGCGAAATCCGCGCTGAAACGAGGCTCAGGCGCCGTTGCACTCGCTCAACACGACTCCACGACATCCCACGCGCCACCACCCGAACCAACCCACCGCTCCAGTACTGGCCCTCCGCCAATCCGCTCTCTGGAGCAGCCGAAACCCTGCGACATCTGCCCCATCATGATTAGGAAGACCACACACCACCGGCAGTGAAGATGAGCACCGCCGCTTCCGTCCCGCCGCCCTACCCAACAGGCGGTGGGTCAAGCGGAGGAGGCCACAGCAGCAGGCCTTCGAGCAGTGCGGGCGGTTCGGGCTCCGCGCGTCCTTTCCAACACATCCAAGACCTTCAACGCCAAGCCTTGACGGGCTACCATGCCAGCTCCACGGTGCAACAGCTTCTCCAAGCCGCCGAAGTGGCCCTCAATCAGGCCAAATTCCTCATGGACCATAACCGGCCCGACCTGAGCTACGCCGAGTTTGTAAGAGCATCGGAGATTGTGGTCCATGTGATACCGCATAATAAGGGCTGGCCGGACCTGCAGATGGATCAACACGGCGGGGGAATGCAGAAATACCTGCTCCTGCAGAAGCGCATCAACGCTCAGAACGAGTTGTACACGAGCATCAAGGACATGATCGTCGACAACAACAAGCGAAATGGTGTCTCGCCGTCGGGTGGGAGCAATGTCGCCCACGGCCGATCTGACTCGGTGTCCCAAGTCAATGGCGGAGCTGCGGATGGCAGCGCACCCGCGCACAAGATCAGGCCTACGCCGTCCCCAAAACCCGATAACATGCATGGCAGACCCATTACGGCCGCTTCGCCTACGCCGGGAGCGTCAGAGACCCTGAACGACAGGTTTGCAAGACTCAGGATGAATGGGGAGCCCCGCCGGCCCGATTCTCGATCTTCGGATCATTCATCCGTCCATGGGTCTCCCATTTCTCAAAGCGGTGCCCAGGATTATGGCGGTCGTACCTCCTTGGGATCTCCCCCTTCTACGCGCCCAGCGGGACCTCGACCTTTGCCTGCTCCCCCTGCTCCTCCGAAGTTGCCGCTGGATACGAGCATCGTACACGCCTTGCCCAAGCCGCCCAGTCCAACGTACAGCCCGGCCAGGAACATGCAGACAACGGAAAACATGTCGCTCCCTCGCCACACGCCGCGAAGTCTGGCGCCGACTAGTACCCGGCGAACATCCACCGCGCCGTCCTCTGCCGCATCTGCACATGCACCAAATGGCTTGTATCAATCGAACGACTACTTCCCCACAGTACCCAGGGTAGCCAGCAACCACCCGCCTCCTGTAGCCCGGCGTAAGTCCTTGAACGTGCCGAAGGAGACTCGTGTGAGCACAGAAAAACTATACGACTATCTCCAGCGTTTCAATGTCCTCTTGATCGACTTCCGCTCCCGCGAAGAATTCGATCAAGGTCACATCTTCTCGCGTACGGTAATCTGCATTGACCCAATTCAGGTCTTTCAGGGCATGAGTGCGGAGCAGTTACAGGACCGTATGGTCATCAGCCCGGACGCCGAGCAGGAATTGTTCATGAACCGAGATCAATTCGACCTGGTGGTCTACTACAACACGAAAACCCAGTCTGAAAGCTATCTGACACGACCGACGAACGACGCCGAGATGAAGTTGAAATGTCTTCACGAGGCACTCGATGACTTCAACCACGACAAGCCGCTACGACACGCACCAATCTTGCTTATCGGCGGCATCGACGCCTGGAGCGATCTCGTGGGCCCGCAAGCTTTGGCGACTAGCACGACAGCTAGCAAAGTGAAGCAAGCCCGACCGCTGTCTCGGCGGCCTGTGATCACCCACGGACACAGTCAGATCAAAAACTCGAAGAGGCGATTGCGAGATTATAATCCCCTTGACGAGGAAGAAGAGCAAAGCTGGCGGGAGCGCGCGCGTGCTGAGAGTGTGGTGCTTCCAACGTCGCCAGGTGAAGCGGATGAGCATGTCGAGCAATCGCAGGAGCAAGGCGATAATGACGACGACCCGAGCAGCGCCATTAAAGACTTCCTTGAGCGATTCCCGGAGGCTGGGTCGTTGGAGAGACATGCGTTTGCACCCTTCCATCCGTCCAGACACGCGCCTGAGCCGCCTCCGAAAGTTCCGATTCCTACGTATCCAATCGCTCCTCCAGCCAGTGGCTTGCCAACAGCTCCTGCCAGGCCTGCACCAACCGCGCCGAGGACGAGTTACACTGGCGTCTCCGACCGGGTTGTATCGCAGAACGCCCCCGTGGCAAGATCATCCAATCTGGCCCCGTATATCCCAGTCAAATATCTGGCCACGAATCTCAGATTGCCCAAGACTGGACTTTACAACTTCCGCTTCACGTGCTACATGAACGTCACTTTGCAAGCGCTTTCTGCGACGACACCACTCAGCATCTTCTTTCTCGATGATCAATGGCGGAGCCTGCTGCAGCGAGAGAACTGGAAGGGCACGAAGGGCGTGTTGACCGAATTCTACGCCAACGTAGTCCGCAGTCTGTGGAAGGGCGATGTTAATTTCATCCGTCCGACAACCTTCAGGAATTTCTGTGGCCGGTTGAAACGTGAATGGGGACGAGATGACCAGGAGCAGGATTCGAAGGAGTTCTTTGACTTCTTGATTGATGCGCTCCATGAAGATCTGAACATGAGGTGGGCGAAGACGCCGCTGAAGGAACTGACCGCGGCGGATGAAGCGAAGCGCGAGAGCATGCCCAAGTCATACGTCGCAAAGATTGAGTGGGGACGGTTCACTCATCGAGACCAGTCCTTCATCACCAGCTTGTTTGGAGGGCAGTACTCGAGCAAACTGCGATGTCTGACTTGCGGGCACACGAGCACAACATACGACGCCTTCTACAGCCTGAGCGTGGAGATTCCGCGTTTCCGCAACAGAGACCCCACCCTGAGAGACTGCATGGAAAGTTACTGTTCGCAAGAGACGCTGGAGGGCGCAGAACAGGCGCACTGCGACAGGTGCAAGGCCTTCCGCGACTCGACCAAGCAAATCACCCTCACCAGGGCCCCGCAGTTTCTCGTCGTCCATTTCAAGCGCTTCCAGACAAGCGGCAAAGGAGCGCAGAAGATCAACACGCCCATCGACTTCCCTCTCGAGAACTTCGACCTGGAACCCTTCATGCTGCCCCAACCTACCGCCGCAGAAGCCGAGCACATCGCCTCGACTTACGGTGCGGAAGCGGCGAAGGCAGACGCGAGCATGACGCCGCCGTATACCTACGATGCGTATGCGATCATCCGGCATTTGGGCCCGACGTTGGAGGAAGGGCACTACAAGGCGCTGGTCAAAGACCGGGCGCGCAAGGTGTGGAGATGTTTTGACGATCGCATCGCCACCGACTTCACCCCGGGCCAAGGCGCGTACAAGGGCAGTGGCGATTTGAGGAACGGCCAGGCTTATATTGTGTTTTATCAGCGCACTCTGCCGGCCCAAGTCGGCGCGGTGGGTAAGATGTGAGGGGCGACGTTACGCGGGAATGAATGGAGCTGACGGCCCGAGGTGGGAGTTTGCATATCACAGGAGTGGTCTGGATGCTGATGCGAATCTGGCTCTCCTTTCGGATGGATCGTCGTTGTTACTACGTTGCAATACACGAATATTGTTCATCAGTGTCCCTTCTATTGCCTTGCCTCGTTTGGGAGAAGTCTTCCGGGTTTGACGAGCAGCGTGCAGCGCCCAGTGGTTTCATGATCGAGGACCGCCGGCTTTTCTGGACGAATTCGGCTCTTGTCCAAGCAAATATAAGGTAAGCTTGGATGCAGACCGGTGGTGTGGTAATTTCGAACACTGCATGCGGTGCCCAGTCCCGACGCGGCTGGAGGTCAAAGCCTAGCCCGGTCACGCACGAACGATATTCCCAAGGCAAGGACAACTTCACTCTCTCCACACTCTACTTGACGCCACACAATGTACCATCGAGAATGTATCGTTTTGTTGAAGCAGGTACGGTCGTCCCAAGCTTTATGCGTCTGGCTCTAACAGTGGTTGAGCCCCTTCTAGGAGGCACCTCCTCTTGCTTGGATCACGCGCATATTGAAACTTGCCACTGCCGCCACCAGCGTCGAGACGTCCAGCCAGCCCTCGATGCTGTAGTAATCCTCACGGTCAGGTGGCCTGTGGGGAGATCTCAGCCGCCACTGTGTAGCATGTCGAGGTTCCAGTCGGGGGAGCTCGTAAGGTCACTTCCTACCATCTCACAGCACCACCACCACCACCACCACCACATCAGGCTGTCCTACGTGGCCACACCATAAAATCGCTCCGAGTGGCAGCCAAGTCTTTCGCAGTTCATATAAATATCGCGTCCTTGCCCGAGGGGTCCTCTTCAGCACTTCTCTCTTCAACTCTTCAACTCCTCAACTCAGCTCTTCTTTCCAACTTCCAACTCTTCTCTCTTCATACTCCTTCTCACTCTCCACCTTTACATTCGTCCATTACCAACTCACACATCCACACTCATCATGAAGACTTTCGTGCCCCTCCTGACCTTGTCGGCTTTCGCGTGCCTCACCGCCGCCGCACCGATGACAGCCAAAAACACCCCCGCGGACTTCAAAGAGTGGGAGCGCGAGCATTTGTATGAGCCCGATCCTATCGTCGAGCTCTCCGCCACCGCCGATCGCGACGGGGTCGAGATCTTCGGTACTGTGTGCCAGGCGGTCAAGAAGTACGATTTCAGGATCAGTACGTGTCTTGTCCGCACTTCCTGAGGGGGTTTGTAATTGATCTTATTCCAATAGACGAGACCGTCACCAACTTCACCACCTCGTTCGCCCCAAGCGTCAAAGATGTCGGGCTGAACAACACCGTCGGTCTGCTGGGCGGTGTGGCCGATCTGTTCGCCACCGGTACTGAGGTCGGCTACGCGAAAATCAACGACATGGACTACGAAGACACGTTTACGTCGACATTCATGGAGTACGTTACCACAGACCTCGCTCGCGAGCTCGCTGGTACTTTGCATGGCGCACTGCAGGCCATGCATAACGGTAAGTTTGGTTTGCAACCCTTGCGGACCTCGACTGGCTCCCGTGTCACACAACCATACTGATGATGCGGCGGGTGTAGAAGCTGTACGAAACGTCGCGAAGGACGTCATCGGCGGCTACTTCGACTTCATCGGACCCATTGCGGGCGAACTCCATGATGTAGGGCCTGATATGTGGTCTTACTTCGCCAAAGAGCTGAAGGGCGTCGGCTTGGATGACTACTTTGAGCGAATGCTTGAGTTCCAGCATCAAGGTTGATCGAGGCCTCGGAAGTACGCTGCCCTTCGATTCGGGAAGTGGGTGTTCGCTGCGGTGAGGATAAAGGTGTGTGGATTGGTTGGCCATGCGCCTGCAGGATCTCGGCTTGGATGGATACTTTGATCAAACGATCGATCTCAAGGTCAATCAGAGCACGCTGTTCTCCATTTGGAGAATGGATGTTCGCGCCTCTGAAGGTTACGGTGGTATGAATGGATGGACATGCGCCTATCATGGTCTATGTATTGGTATCTTAGCTTCATATCTGGAATTCAGAGTTGTTGGCTTCTTACTTTACGATGCCATGTAGTCCATGTAGACCTTTGTCGGTGAACCAACGGCCACTCCAATTCAGCCAAAGGAACTGGCTTCAAGAGCACTGCGGAGCAGTTCTTCTTTCTTCGCTGATCTGGCCGTGAAGCTGGCAGATCACCACCGAGGAGACGATGAGGAGGGGAGAGGCAACAGGTAAAGCTCGAGAATGTCGGGGAGATTCATGTCGGCACTTGGAGGCGAGTCGTCGCGGCTTGCAACGGGCCCAAGGGCCTCGACTCACGAACTCTAAATATTGCCGAAAGCGGCAGGCACATGCAGAGACTTTCCGATATGCGTCCAGTCACGCCCTTGCCACGACATCCATTCACATTCTCTGCACCTTCGTGTACCATCTTGACTCTGCTCACTGAAAGATTGTGAAGAGTAGCAGGCCGCCATGTCGAGATTTGGAGTTTCTTCCTTTGCTCGATGACCATATTACGACCACAGCGGTTTCCGAGAAATATCGCGTGCTTTGCTATACCAGTCTGCCGATAGTTGACCAACACCTTACGATGGCCGGTCCGAGTCAGGATCTCGAGGCGGTGATGAGCCGGGAGTCCAAACGAGAGGCGGACGTCCAAGTCATCGAGGCCCAATCTCCCATCTTGACTAAGTCCTGGCTCGACAAGACCTTGAAGTTCCTATCCGCCTCTGGCATCGAGCTACGCGGAGTCCAGCCCGTGCCCGAGAATCTGAGGACCGACTCGGCGTTCAACAAAGTCTTCACCATCTGGTGTACGAGTTTGATATGTCCTCTGCCGTAAGTCGGCCTGCACTGTCTACGAACACGCCACATGAGACTGACCACCGATTAGAATCGTCACGGGCATCGCGGGCACGCTGTCCTTTGGCATCAGCTTACAGAACACTGCACTCTTCTGCATCTTCTTCTCTTTACTCCTGTGCATCCCGCCCGCCTACATTTGCACCATTGCGCCGCGGACGGGCTTACGGCAGATGATTCAAGCGCGCTACACCTTTGGCATGTATCCCAACATTCTCATCGCTGCGCTGAACATGACGACCCTCGCTGGTATGTTCCGACATCACTCATCCACCTATTTGTATCCCAAACTGATCATATCCTCGCATTGCTAGGCTACCAGATCATCACACTGGTAGCAGCAGGCCAAATATTGGCCGCGGTGGCCGACAATCACATCAGCCAGACCGTCGGCATCGTCATAATTGCCATCTGCGCCATGATTCCCGCCTTCTGGGGCTTTCAATTCCTCCACCATTACGCTCGATGGGCCTGGATTCCCGCCTTGATCGCCATCGTCATCACCGCGGGTGCGGGTGGTAGCAAATTGAAGCATCAAGCCCCGACACAGCCACTCACTGCTCCAACTGCAATCACCTTTATCAGTCTGATTGCCGGCTACATGCTCTCCTACTCCTCCGTGATAGGAGATGTCGCCGTCTACCTGGGCCCGAAGGCGCCCTCTTGGCGCATCTTCTTCTACGCTTGGCTGGGCATCTGTCTTCCCTCCATCTTCCTCATGGTCCTCGGAGCAGCCATTGGCGGAGCTGTCCCCAGCGTTCCAAGATGGGCAGCGGCAAACGAGCGTGATGCCGTTGGTGGCATCCTCGTCGCCATGCTTGAGCCCCTTGGTGGGTTTGGAAAGTTTGTCGCGGTACTACTGGCGTTCAGCATCGTTGGACAGATTTCACCCGGCTTCTACTTCGTTTCACTCAACTTCCAAATCATCTGGCCGGGGTTCGCCAAGATTCCACGCATTTTGTTCGTTGTCGCCATTACGGCGGTGGATATTGGGATCGGCATCAAAGCGTAAGTCGACCCTATTGACACTATCGTAGCTCGTCTAACTCGACCACAGGGCTCAATCTTTCTTCAACTCCCTCGAAGACTTCCTCGGCATCATTGGCTACTGGAGCGCAGCCTTTGTCGGAATCATGCTGACGGAATGGCTGTATTTCCGACGCGCCAAACCCGAATCATACGACCATGCAATCTGGAACGATGCGAGAGCATTGCCATCCGGACTTCCCGCCATCCTTGCATTTCTTCTACCTTTTGCATTAGTGGTTCCTTCGATGTCGGAGGTGTGGTACACTGGGCCCATTGCCAAGCATACCGGCGACTTGGGCTTTGAATTCGCACTTGTGGTCAGCATTCTGCTTTATTTGCCGTTGAGGATGTTGGAGTTGAGGATGATTCGTCGATGGAAGACGAAGGACGATGCTTGATATTGTAATGCGTAATGTGTTAGAAAATGACCTAGAGTAACGTCGAAATTTACCATACTACGACTCGACTGCCCAATATAACCTCAATTCAATGTCCTGGAGTGTGATATACCTCGTATTAGTGTACGCATAGGCGTCAAGCATCGGGCTATAGTATTCCATCCGGCCTCGCTATCCACCTTCCTCTTTGGGTCACACAAGTAATTCGCATAACAGGCACAGCATCGACTTGCATCGACTTGTACCTTCAATCTCATTCGTGAAAATTAGACATTTGTTATCCTATTCGATCACTAGAAACCATTGACCTCGCTATTGTTGCATCGCTGGAGGAAGAAGCCTGGCATCTGGCCGCCTCACACTGTCTATCAGACCCAACATGTCCCTCGATTTTGGCCTCACGAATGTCCACGTCTTAATCACCGGTGCTGCAGGTGGCATTGGTCTGGAAACGGTGCATACTTTTCGCCAGCTCGGGGCAAGGATTACGGCTCATTACAATTCCAACGCTGGAGAGCTGCAAAACATCCCTGGCATTGTATGCGTGCAGGGGGATGTTCGGGATGAGAGTTCGGTAGACAGACTTTTGACAGAAGCAGCGGAGAAAAATGGAGGCCCGGTAAGCGTACTCGTCGTCAATCATGGAGTCTGGCCCACAAACGACACAGCAATCGCAGATATGGATCTCAAGCAATGGAACAACACAGTGGCCATCGACCTAACAGGCCCCTTCCTACTTTGTCGAGCCTACCTGCGAGCCCTGCGCACAGCCTCGGATGCGGTGAAGGAAACGGCGAGCATCATCTTCATCGGCTCGACGGCGGGCAAGTTCGGCGAAGCGCAGCATGCAGACTACGCCGCGTGCAAATCGGCGCTGATGTACGGGCTGACGCCGTCGCTGAAGAACGAGATTGTGATGATTGCACCGCGGGGGCGCGTCAATTCCGTCAACCCAGGATGGGTCAAGACGCCGATGGCGGAGGAGAAGTTGAAGGACCGGGCATTTGTGGAGAGGGCGCTGGCTACCACGCCGGTGCAAAAGGTTGCTACGCCGGCGGACATTGCGCGGCAGGTGGCGGTGATTGCGAGTCCGGCGTTGAGTGGGCACGTCAACGGGATGAACATTATGGTCGATGGTGGCATGGAGGGCAGGCTGCTATTTCCACCCTCCAATGCGCAATGAGAGGGTCTCCGACGCATATCGTGATTAATGGAGGAGGTTGTGATTACGTCAGCACAGTCACGTGCATCTCTGGCTCGCGCAAAGGTGGCTGGCAAGGCAGAAAGTAAACCCGCGCCGAAACCAGTGGCAGATACGAAGACAGAGCAACTACACTGTCCGCGCGGGTAAATGCAATCCCATCCCTCCCTCAAAGTGCGGCCCATTATGTTGCTGACCATGCACGGAAGATACACGGCGCAGACGTCGCACGCTAGCGTCGCAAGAACGCCATCAAAACCACCGTGATCCTTCTTCCTCCTTCCTCATAAGCACGAGCACGATGACAACCTGCCAACAAGGAAGGGCTAGGAGAGGAGCATAATCGTAAACCACCACAATGGGCCTGATATAGCGCCAATGGCTTCCTTCAACAATCTCGACGGCTACCACTCACCCGCCCAGCCACCTCACGTCCCTGGACTGCCCTTCTACCAGTATTCACAAGAGCAGCAGCATCTACACACCGGGCAGGACAGGGAAGAGGGGCAGCAGGACGATGGAGCGTCAGAGGGGTCTGACGGGAACGCAGACGCGTCGCAACACGCCCAAGACGACCCGGCCCTGCGCGGCCACCTGGCCAGCATGATGGGCAATTTCGCCGGCTTTGCCCCCATGTTGCAGCAGCAGCAGGGCAATGGCTCAATGCTACCCTCGTTCCCCTCTGGCTCCGGGGCATATGCGCATGCTGGCGGTGGTTTCGACGCCGATGGCTCATTGGCAGACCGCAATAAGCAGGGTCGCAGTAAAAACAGCCGGGCGTGTGATGAGTGTCGAAGGAAAAAGATCCGCTGTGATGCGGCAGACGAAAGCGGTGCTATGCCTTGTACGTCGTGCTCTCGCACTGGCGTCAAATGTGCGTTTAGTAGACAACCGATGAAGCGAGGGCCGAGCAAAGGGTACATCAAAGAGCTGGCTGAACGATTAAACACGTTGGAGAGACAGGTGCATCCTGGGCAGACACCGCAGACACCACATGCCGATGATCACCTTCCGCCGAGAGACTCTTCGGCGAATACACCCTTTCAATCTTCAGAGCATCCCGAGCCGCGAACGGGAGACAAGAGGACGTACAGCGAGGCGTTGCAGAACGAATCCCAGCTCCGGCCAGACGCCAGCCCGAGTCCGCCGCGCATCCACCCAGACCTGCAAGCACCGCGACAATCGTTCTCTCCCATCTCCCATACACCGCAACCGCAAAGCTCTCAACATGCGGAAGCCGTGCAACCATTCTGGCGGCGTGGCGGGAACGAAAATCGAATTGAAGCTACCGCTCTACCTTACGATGTCAACACTACTCCCTCGATCAATATATCCGATTGGAACGACGAGGTGATGGATGAATACTATCGAATCATCCACCAGACCTTCCCTCTTCTCCCCAACAACAAGAACCGCCTTCAACAACGCCTTCAAGACTGTCCGGCTTCTCTGCGCGACGGCTTCCTCGCCGCTCTAGACTGCACCCTACGCTCTTTTCCGACCACCAGTCTCAAGCCGAATCCCAACTACGCACAGGCCCTGAAGAAGGCGGTAGAAATGCTTGCCCGATATCCCTTCGACAACCCGAGCACGCACAATGATGCCACGAACCTCACATATCTTCAGACACTGCTGCTCATGGCATTGGAGGCCGACAACCACGGCCCGGCGACCATACGAGGACAAGCAGGCCCGTCACGAGCGGAATGGCTGGGCAGGGCCGCCGGAGTCGCAGGGCAGCTCGAGATTAACGTCATCCGGAAGAGCAACGACTCCATCCTCGGCGGCGATCGAGACTCAGACGCCCGGCTGGCGCGGAGGGTGTGGTGGGTGCTTTTCATCCTCGACCGATGGCACGCGAGTAGCACCGCAGACCTTCTCAAACTCCCCGAAAACAGCGTCGTCCTGCTGCCCGAAGACCAGATCCTCCTGGGCGAAAGCACCTACCACCTCGCCCGCCTCTCCTTCATCATCGGCCACCTGGCCGCCATCCTCACCACCACCAAAACGCCCAGCACAGACGTCATGGCGCCGCTCAATCCCGCCTCGTCGCTCCTCAACCTCACCCTCGCCGGCGAAATCGACCGCTTCCGCGAATCCGTCGAGAGCGTGTGGGGCTCGCTCAACCTCGTCCACCTCTCCTACCACCACTGCCACCTGCTCATCAAACGCCTCAGTCCCACCACCGGCAACGACGAGCTCGTGGGACACGCGGTGAAAGTCGCCACCGTGCTCAACAGCCGCCTCACTCCCGTCACTCCCTTGAATCACCACTTCGCCGCCCTGGCCGCCATGACGCTCTGCGAGCTGTGCGACATCGCCAAGACGCGTGTTGAGGCGCTCAAGGGATTGGAGCACCTTGCCGAAGCGCTCGGCACGGGCAGAGGGCTGGCGGGCAACCAGGAGAGCGAAGGGTGGGATGGCGCGATTCGCGAACTGGTTAAGCGGAAGATTGAGCGGGTGCAGCAGAGTTCATCACTTGATACGCTGGCTGATGCCGCTGGGGGCGGAGAGGCGGATGGGGAGCGGGGGTATGATCCGACGCTGTTGACGAGATATGGGTACTTGACGGCATTGGGACAGGGCGAGTTTCGGATGCGATAATTTCCAGGGAACTTGAAGAGCCAAGTCAAGTGTGCATATGTACAGGATCTGTACAGGCTGTGCTTGTCACTGAGAATCGTTACTACATTATAGGACATATAGCTAAGAGGGGATGCATGCCGAGGTGAATGTAAAGATCCGGCAGCATAGCGATGCAGTCGCTTCAAGTCCATCTCCCGCCGCATTACTTCTCGACCAAAGCTTCCGCCAGCAGGCGCCTTCGTCTTTGTCCCTACTTGTCCTTGTTCGCCTCCTTGCTGACAGCCGGGCGCAGCAGCCTCTGAATGTCCGCCAAACGCCCTGTCTTCGCGTTCTCCCGCTTACCCGCGCGCTCAGAGAAGGCGAGTTGAGCGAGTTTGCGTTTCTCCTGCTGCACCCGGATCGTCTCGTCTTCAATACTCTTGTCCATGACCAAACGAAAGACTCTCGTCTCCTTCTTCTGACCCAGGCGATGCACGCGGTCAACAGCCTGGTCTTCAATTGCAGGAGCCCACCAGGTGTCGGAGAGAATGACTTGATTCGCCGCGGTGAGGTTCAGTCCCACAGCGCAGACGCCGAGCGAGGCCAGCATGACGGTGCATTCCGAATCTTCGGCCAGGGCGCGCAGTGCTTCGTCACGCTTGGCGGCCGGCATGGTCCCATCGATGCGGCAGTAGGTGTAGCCGTCGCGATCCAGTCGAGCTTGCACGATGTCGAGGAAGCGCGTCCACTGCGAGAAGATGATCGTCTTTCCGTTCTCCGACTTTGTAGCTGCGAGGATCTCCATCATCGCCTCCAGCTTGCTGCTCGACTGCGTGAGATCCATCTCATCGTCGGCAATGTCGTCACCGCACTCATTGGCAGGCTGCACCAGACATGTATCATCCTTCAACTCCGCCCTGCACATGGGACAACGCTTCTGGGTCTCGATAACCTTGCTAATGCAGTCTTGACCGAAAGAGTGGCCGCAGGTGGTGATTACTGGACTGTGCAGCGTGTCCAGACAGATCGCGCAGTCTTCTTGGCTTTGAATGCGCAGCTGCAAGATGTCCTGCAACGCCTTCTTGTTCTCCGGCGTCAAGTCTACTGTCTTCTGCTCCTCGAGTTGGGCAAGAAGGTTAGTGATCCGCTCCCCGCATAGCTGCCAGTGATTACAACACTGGCGCATTCGCAGTAGAATCTCCAAGAGATGTTGAAAGGCCTCTCCAGCGCCTTTGCCCTGCTGGCCGGCCTTGTTCTCATAGCGTTGAAGGAGGCCCTGAGCTTCGGCGTTCAGCGCGTCGTATCGTTCTCTCTCTTTCGTTGTGAAGTCGATCCTATGCACGAACTCGTCCAGTTTGGGCAGACGTAGGTCAATAAAAGCCATCTCCTTGCGTCGACGGAGTGTAAAGGCGGTCATGATTGCTTGCAGGAGAAATGTGGCGCTGGGATCGCCTTGTTTGAGAGGGCGAACGAGAACACGATTGAAGATCTCCAGGTTTTCGAGTCCGCCAGTGATTCCGATGAAGCGAAGAAGCGAATACAGGTCCTTCAGACTGTTCACAATCGGCGTGCCTATGATAGTTAGCATCATTGAATCAGTGTGAATAGCAAGTAAGCACTTACCAGTGAGTGCCCATTTCGATCGTGCAAGTAAAGCTGTGACAGCACCGGCGACTTTCGACACGGGATTGCGCACGACATGACCCTCGTCGAGGATGACTCGATTCCAGTGAACGCTGTAGAGCCCGGAAGAACGAAGCTTACGCTCCGGCTGCTTGCTCGCGCTGTTCTTGCCTTTAGGCATGTACTCGGTCGCGAGAGTCTGGTAGGTCGTGACAACAACATCGTACTGTTGGAAATCCGCTGGCGCTGAAGCTACACGGCCGGCACCGTGGTGGATGTAGACGCTCAGCTTACTGTTCTCATGGCAATGTGTCTCGATCTGCGTCTTCCAATTGGAAAGAACAGAGAGTGGCGCAACGATGAGGGTGTGGCACTTTTGACCAGACTTCTCCTTGTCGGCGGCCAGCAGTGCAATCATCTCAATCGTTTTGCCCAAGCCCATGTCGTCGGCGAGAATGCCGCCAGCCGTCAAGACCGGCTCTTTCACTGAGAAAGTCGTCGCCAAATTGGTAAAGAGGCCTTGACGATCGCTTCGCTTCCACAGCTGCACGGCTTGCTTTGAGCCAGGAGGGGGAAGCTGTGGATGTTCTCGGTCAAGTAACCAGCTCAGAGCTTGTAGCTGATAGGGTAGCATTTGCGTCCGAATACCTTTTGGCTGGTCGGCCAGTGGCATGTTTTTGAGTGCTTCCTCCTTGTTGCCATATTGGTCGGTAGCGTGGCCGATCTCACGAGGATTGAAACGCTGAGAGGCTTCCAGGATGTCTGCCATGACCGGCTGTGCGTTTGGTCCGGCTTGAGATGAATTCGACCATCCGTTTTGACTGGGCGGAGCCATCGAACGAGCGCCCAATCCTGTGCCTCCCAAAGCAGCGGCACGACGGGCCTCAGCAATGCGTTGCTGTTCTTCGCGTTGGCGCTTCTTCTCGGCTTCTTTCTTCGCCTTCTCGCGGGCTTGCTCTTCTTTCTCCGCCGCTTTCAGTCCGTTGAGAGGAAGTTTCTCCGCCTTCATCTCCGCGGCAAGCAGAACACCTTCTTCTGATTGAGGATCTGGCCCGTACATACGCACCGAGATAGCACAGTCGAATTGGCCCATCTCGCCGGCGAGCTCCCCTTCGACGTGGAGAAAGCTATTGTCCATGAACTTGGAGAGCTTAGCGGCGATGCGTCGTGGGATGTGCCCCATTTGAGTATTAGCCACGTTATCACACCGGATGGCATTGCGATCGTATGGATTTCCAGGCTCGCGTTTGAACAGAACCTGTTCCCCAGCACTCGCGTATCCACGGTAGTATTGTACACCGACAATCTTCGTCGGCAAGTCGCCGTAATGATGCAGGGACTCCGTGTTCACCGATGCAGCTTGCGTGGATGGAATTGCGGCGAAGTAATCATCGTCATCGTCGTCCTCTTCCACAAGGTCGATCCTCGCACGGTCATTTCGTGGGGCTAGCCACGCCTCTCGCTCCGCTCGGCTGTGTTGTTGACTGCTTGCCTGGGGGTAGACAAAGCTGTTGTTCGACTCTTGAGACCATCGTGGCGCGCTGCTAGCGGGCGGTGTCAGATACGAGGAGGCGTCGTTCTGGCTCGGGTTGGGTCTCCGCTGAGCGTTGTAGTTGGCGGCATGGCGCTGGATCTTGGCCGGTGGCTCATCATCGGTGAGATCGATCACGTCGTAACCGCGTTTCCCACCGCTTCCAGTGCTCATGTTTCGATCTTTCTCTTGCAGCACCATCTTTCCTCGGCTGGGTTGAGGTGTCGTTGGGAGTTGCTTGGGAAAAAGGTTGCTGGGGGAGACGAAGGACGAAAGAGGACGAAGAGGAACGTGTAGAAGGATGTAAGGTAGCTATCGCGACATTCACGATCAGGCAAACCCCGGAGCTCCGCGAGCTTCACCCGTGTTTGCCTTCTCACCCAAAGCAGCTTAGCGCGACACGCTAGTATCTCGCATTCACGTGACAAGGAATGGGAAAGGCTCCTGTCTGTCTTGAATGCAAACAGTGAGATACGGTGCCATCGCACAATGAGATGGTCCGAAATTGATTAGTATTGCGAGGTATGGTCATTCACATCATAGTTCACTTCTTGAACAGCATCCGCAGCCCACCATGCTCCGTCTTGCTCTTCGCATGAACGTCCGACCTGCCTTTGCTAGACCTGCTGGTCTTCTCACTGCCCCTCTCACTGCCGGATGATCGGTGCTTCTTGCTTCGCTTCTTCTGGGCGTCACTGCCAGTCCGCGATTGGAGATCCGACTCATGGAACCTGCCCTCTTCCATGAGTGTCTTGGCCGCGCGCGGTGTGATGATTTCACCTTCGACACTGGTGCCCACGCTCTCCGCGTCATCACCATCAATCCCGCGTCTCCAAGCCTCAACACGGTCCAGCTCCTTCACCGTCTCCAGCTCGCTGTCTGTGCTCTTACGTCTTCGCAGTTCGATCGCTTTGTGGGGCTGCAATTCTTCCTCTTTCCGCGCCTTGATCTTCTTGATGATCTTGTATCCTCCCAACGCGATGATGGTGACGCCCACGCCCACACCGATGGCGATGGCGAATTCGGGGCTGGCCAGAAGGGCGACACCGGCGGGGAAAGCGCCTTTGAGACCAGCCAAAGCACCGGGCGCCATCTTTGACAGGAGGTTGCTAATCTCCGCGAGCGTCACGGCGACCGCGGCCAAAGCATCGGGGTTCTTTTGCAGATTCTCTATGATGGCCGTGACGGAATGTTGGAGACAGTTGCACTCGTCCAGAAGACGCTGTAGGCCGCTCATCTTCGCACGCAGCTCGATTTCCTCGTCGTACTTCCGTTCGGGAAGTGGCGGTGGGAGCTCACCATAGGCAAGATCCATGTCGATGTCGTCGAGGCTAGCTCTGCGGGATCTCGGCGACCGATGACTTCTGAAAGCCACATCATCGGTGTGGCGGCGGGTAAGCTCACCGGCTCGCGGAGAAGTATCGACTTGTTGACGAAGTGGTGATGGGGCCTGGGAGCTGCGGGGTGGGGAGTCTCGCTTGCTCCGCCGGTCGTTGGTGTAGAAACTGTCGGTGACTCCACGTTCTATAGGAGGTCGTGGTCGCCGCGCTCCTCTTTCCGACGCATGTCCCCGGCTCGTAGACCGTCCGGAATCACTCCCTCTTCGAGAGTGGTGTCTGTACGTTGAATCGTCGTCCGCGAGTGTCAAGGCATCGAGACGCCTTCTCGCCGTCCTCTCATCATCCTTTCTGCCTCCTTGTTGGTTCCTCCGAAAAGCTTTCAGCTCCGCCTTTCGCTGATTATACGCACTCTTGGCTTCGTTGAAGATGTTGACGAGGTGTTTGGATGTGCTGACCACTTTCCCAGATTTGTTGACTATCGTGATCGTTTCGCCCATGGCAACCATGATGGGATTGGTGTATATGGATCGGCTTGGCCTGCAAGCTTTTGAGAAGTGGTCTGTGTGGCAAGAAGCGTTGGGGTGTGAGGAGTGCGAGTTCTCGATGTCGTCGGCGGCTGGAGGCTGGTTATGTCTCAAAGACTTCTTTGACCCCCCGGACAAAGAAAAGCCTGGACGAGAGATTGCGTTGCTGTGTTGTTCCAATAGGACAATGCGTTGTTAAATTGTTGGGGCAAGGCAGCCTGTCAGAGACGACGTTGGGCAGCAGGCAGGCGGAGGAGGAGCGGCGCTGCTGTTAGGTCCTGGGGACGGAGGAGAGCTTTGACAACGCGCTCTTGGGGTAGAAGGTGAGACAGCGAGCGCGCATGTCGCATCAGGTATATATGGCCAAGGCGCGAAGACTGGCAGGCCATGCCGGCCGGGCGGTGAGGAATATACCTCACATGCGCATGGTCAATGGAGCTGGAGCACGACGCCACTGGGGTTAGCGTGAGGCGGTGCAGCGCGTGTGTGTGGCTGGTGGAAAGGGCTGGAGCCTGGAGGAAAGACTCGCCGCGTCGCCTTTCCTCTTGCGCCACGCAACATGCGGGACATCGCTCTTCCAGCCGCCTATCGACCGTCTAGATGCGGCCATTCACAGCCCACGATCACTCCAAGATCAACCTAGACACCATACTGTACGGCCGAGGAGAGTGGAAGGTTCTGGCGATAATCAGTCGATGCTTGTGCCTGCCGACAACCTTGTACTACTTCACACGGCCACATCGTGCTTCATGCCGTTGCGATATTCGGGACCGAGCGGCGTTGACATCAAGAGACATGCCGACGATCAAACCCAGAAAAAGGCAAGTTACCCTCTCCGGTTCGACGCCAGATGGGGGTGTTGTTGAAAATCTGCCGCCGGCATTCCGACTCATTTCCCTCCGCTTCGGCCTCATCTCTTCTCTTCGCAAGGCTGTCTCCAAATGAGCTGTTTACAATCTACGCGCTCGAGAATTCAAACCATGCACTCGGCACCTTTCTACCCATCTCTTGTAGTGTCCGCTCAAGATGGCTCTCTCCCACCTTCATCCTCGTCTCTCCTTCCATCTTTCCATTGCTTCCGCGAACGACAGCTCTTTACGTCTTCGCAATGTCTGTCACTACAGCCCTGTCGCTCGCTCTTCTCTACTTCTTCGCTCCTTTCGTATTAGCCGCCCCTTTAGAAGATGGCGCCGCCGCTGCAATGCCGCCAATGGACTCGTGCGAAGAGTGCGAGGTCTGGGAGACTCTGCCTCCGGTCTACGTGACCGAGCCGTGTGAGGAGTGCGAACGCATGCACCCTTCCACCCCCATGGCTCAAGATACCGCCACATGTGACTCTACCGCGCCCAACCTGATCCCATACACCTCTGGCTCGAGCACCTACTACATCTCCAGCTGTCCAGTCACCACCAGAACTCAGCACCACACCGTTACCATCACCGCGCCCCACCGCGTTCACACGCCGGCAGAGGGTCGGCATGGCAAGGGAAAGCCTCCGCACCATTCGACTCACACTCCGGCAAATCGGCATCCCCCGGGGTACGGTGGCGACACGACCCATTCAAAGAAGAAACATCATCCCAAGACGCATCACCACAAGCACCCCAAGAGCAAAGGTGCTCATTCGACACAGGATCAGTGTACGCCTAGTACCGTTTATCAGCCTTCCACCGTCTATATCAATGGTACTGGGCAAGTCATACCTTCGACCGTGACCACGACCAGCACCGAAGCATGCACAGGAAGCGGTGTTCAAACTGTGAGTCAAAATCAAAACCTGTTCTGTTCGGAGGTATTGCAGCAGAGAAACATACTAAAGCTTGTTGCATAGGTTACACTGACGGAGACTAATGCTGTGACGGTGCCGTCCAACCAGACCATCTGTCCGACCGTGAGCCGCGTGATAGTGACCTCCACCGATTTCACGGCGACAACGACCTTGCCGGCTCAGACTGTCACTGTTGGCACCGTAACTGTTACGGCCGTTCCCAAGCGAGTGGCCACTGCGACTGTCACCGATGCGACTGCGACTGTCACCAAAACTCACACCATGCCGGCTCATACTGTCACGGTGGGCACTGCGACTATTACCAAACAGCACACCATGCCGGCTCATACTGTAACTGTGGGCACTGCGACTATTACCAAAGAGCACACCATGCCGGCTCATACTGTAACTGTGGGCACTGCGACTGTCACCAAAGAGCATACCATGCCGGCTCACACTGTGACTGTTACTGGCGTGCCCAAAAGAGTCATCACTGCGACTGTCACCGAAGCCACTGCGACTATCACCAAGACTCACACGGGTAGGTCGGCCGATTGACAGCGGGCGTATATCATCGACTGACTGTAGCATTAGTGACAGCCAAAGTGGGCCATGAGACTCGAACCGTCACCGCCAAGGGGAAGGAAACAAAGACCATTACACGACTTGACAAGACTACAGGTGAGCAATTCCAGATCTAGGCCGTCGATCAACATGCGATGCTGACTTTCTCGACCAGTAACTGTCCATGGAGGAAAAGGAGCCCATACCGTCACGGAAAAGGAACGAGTGACTGGTATGTGATGTCGGCCAGGTCACAGCCCTTGAGAGATCCGAAGCTAATGGCGATGCACAGTCACTGAAAAGCATGGAGCTGCGAGCAAATGCCACCCGACTACAGGTAAGTTGACGTGCCTTGCAGACGAACAGAGCAAGTCTAGGTACTCACACCTAATGAACCAGTCACCCACACCAAAATCGAGACCGTCACGAAGACTGAGATCGTGAAAAGCAAGAAGGCCAAGGGGACCAAAACGCCTGCAGGCTACGGCGGTGGCGGCTCCGGCGACAAGACTGCCACTAAGCATCATAAGACGGTCAAGAAGACAACCAAAGCCAAGACGCCTCCTGCCTACGGCGGTGGCCAGGCCACCAAGCCTGCCACCAAACATCACGAGACCAAGCATGCGACAAAGCACAAGACCAAGGCCGCGACGAAGCACAAGACCAAGGCTGCGACGAAGCACCACGAGACCAAGCACGCCACCAAGCACGCCACTAAGCACGCAACAAAGCATGCGACCAAGCACCATGCGAAGACGAAGGCTACAAGGCCAGCCTCCCCTACTTACTAAATGGCGTATTTTGATCTTCGCGGCGTTGCGGATGGAGTGCATTGGAACGGTTGGCGCAATCATGGACTTCTTCGTTCTTTTATCCAAGTAATTTTTTCACTATGCAGTCGTCAGCCACAGAAGACCCTATTTGATTCAGTGCGGTCTCCTCTTGAGGCTGCGGAAGTTTATGTGATGGACTCCAAATTTCAAGCCTTGCAAATTCTCCACACTTCCAACACCTCACTTCTCGACCGAGGCGTTGAACTCACTCGAGGATTATACACAACCACACTTCCCACTGTCCACATGGGCAAATCGTCCAAAGACAAGCGCGACGCCTACTACCGCCTCGCCAAAGAACAAGGCTGGCGCGCGCGCTCCGCCTTCAAATTGCTGCAGCTCGATGAGGAGTTCAACCTCTTCGAAGGCGTCACGCGCGTGGTAGACCTCTGCGCCGCGCCCGGCAGCTGGTCGCAAGTGCTTTCGCGCGTGCTCATCAAAGGCGAGAGGATCGGGCGAGCGTCGTGGGAGGACAAGCGGTATCGTGAGATCCTGCGATCGAGAGCCGCTGGACGCCAGGATCTACTCCCGGGAATCGAGAATGAGGCCGAAAATGCGCCACCTCCTACCAACGCTCCAAGAGAAGGCGTCAAGATCGTCGCCATCGATCTCCAACCCATGTCGCCGCTAGAAGGCATCACATGTCTAAAAGCAGACATCACCCACCCCTCCACCATCCCGCTGCTCCTCCACGCCCTGGACCCAGAGTACACCGGCTCGAGCACCACCTCCCTTGAAGCCTCCCACCCCGTCGACCTCGTCCTCTCCGACGGCGCCCCAGACGTCACCGGCCTGCACGACCTCGACATCTACATCCAATCCCAGCTGCTGTGGGCGGCGCTCAACCTCGCGCTGTGCGTGCTGAAACCCGGCGGGCGCTTTGTGGCGAAGATCTTCCGCGGCAAGGACGTGGATTTGCTGTATGCGCAGCTCAAGGTGGTATTTGAGCGGGTGACGGTTGCGAAGCCGCGGAGTAGTCGCGCGAGTAGTGTCGAGGCGTTTATTGTTTGTGTGGGGTTTCGGCCGCCGCCCGGGTTCAAGGCGAGTCTGGATCATCCGTTGGGAGCGGGGCGGAAGTTGGATGGCGCTGGTGGGGAGACTTTGTCGTCTGCTGTGGAGACTACGTACAAGCTACGAGACGACGGGACTGTTGAGGTCGAATTTGGAGAGGATGGAAGGGCAGTGGAAGGAGGAGATGTGCGGTGGGTGGCGCCTTTTCTTGCTTGTGGCGACCTCAGTGCCTTCGATGCCGATGCGAGTCACAAATTGCCGGAAGGACATATCAGTCTCGATCCCGTCCAGCCTCCGACTGCGCCGCCGTATCGAAGAGCGCTGGAGGAGCGGAAGAAGCTGGGCGGTGCGTATGGGAAGACTAAGTTGGGGGAGGTGAAGTGAAGGCATGTACTGGCACATGAACAGCAACTCAATGATGGCCATGCGCGCCGCCTATAATAAATGCAGAGAGCAGCAGTCGGAATTGCCAAACGGCAACGCAGAACACTGGCGTGGCGAAAGCTGCAGGAAGACGTCTGTTCACGCCGCGACTAAGCTGTGCACTGCATCCCACGCAATGCGCCAACAGCTAGATCACGATGACAGAGGCAAGCCGAGGAAGACTACCATATAGAAATGCAGAAGATACTCTATCCTCTACCCTCTGCCTTCTACTCTCTACCCCATGCAAGCAATCCTCGCCTGACTCTGCTTGTGATGCGTCCCCGCCTATCTCCGAGGCACAGTCAAGCCCTGCCAATGAAACTCTCCATTCTCCTCCCGACACACATCCCATCGACTGGCGCTCTTGCCGCTCTCCTTCACCACCACGCCCATATCCTTGCACCCATCCTCAATGACTTTTCGCTTTCGTTCGCTGCGAGGCGTGATGACACAAGGGAAAGGCCGAGGCATGGAGATGATGTATGGCGTAGCCTCGGGGGGAGATACCGACTCCGACTTGGCCTTGATGTCGAAAGCCCAGACCAGCGCGCCAATGAGCGAGTAGAGCTCGACCATGGTCAGGTCGACGCCAGGGCAGCCGCGAAGGCCGTAACCGAATGCAGCATCGCCCTGCAGCGTTGGATGGTCAGAGGCCGGCGCCTTGTAGGACGGCCAGGACGGCTCGAGCCAGCGCTCAGGACGGAATTCGTTGGGTTGCGGATACATTGCTGGGTCGCGGCTGATAGCGTAGTGGTTGACTTGGACCACGGTCCCTTTGGCAATGAAGTAGCCGTCGTAGACATCGTCTGCGGTCGTGACGTGAGCGATGCCGAGAGGCAGTGCAGGCTGCCATCGCATGCATTCCTTGATGACGGCGCGGAGCACTGGAAGCTGGGACATTTGATGCAGAGATGGTGGGTGCTCGGGACAAACCCTGTCTACTTCTTGTTGCAGTTGCTTCAACCATTGTGGGTGCTGGCTGATGGCGGCGAAGAAAGTATGGAGCGGGGCAGCGTTTGTGGCCAGCGTCATGAAAGCGGCGGTGCCTACCGCATGCGCCGCTTCGTGCTGGTCGAGTTGACTCTCCTTTGCGCCGCCCACATTCTCAAGCCAGATGCGAGTCCAGGATTCGCTAGCAGCACCGGCAGTGACGCGCTCTATGACTTCTTGCTGGGCCTCGTAGAATGCGTCGCGCATGTCCTTCTTGCGGGTAGCCTCGGCGTTGGAGTATGGCGAGAGCCAGTGGGGAAAAAGCGCCAGGCTGTCCAAGAATTTGATCATGAGGCTGTCAGTAGACGCAGCCTTGACAAGAGGAGGCACGACTTGGAGGAGCTTGGTGGCATGTTTGGGATCACCCCAAGCACATGCGGCGGCCGTGCGGGCGCAGTGAGTAACGAGTTGCTCGGACCAGCGGTCGGGATTGTGGAGCAGGCGCTTCAAGGTGCGTTTGACTTCGTCAATCGGATAACCATAGAAGTGCTGTTGCGCGGAGTGCTTCATGATCGTGTGCATGAATTTTGCATGTCTCGATGCATTGGGACCAAGCGCCATGGCGGGTAAGAAATCCGAGCCGCTGTAAAGACCGGGTGTCGAGAGGAGTTGCTGTCGATCACCATACTTCACCCCGCGCTGGCCCAGGAGTTCCTGGGCGATCTTGTCGCTGGATATCCAGATGGACGTCACACCAAAGACCTTCCATTGGTAGATGGGACCATATCTTTGGTGAAGGGCGCCGAAGAAACGCGCGGCCGCGGCCGGGTTAGTTGGAAGGCCCCAGAAACGACCGAAACCAAGTGGAAGGCCTAGGAGAGGTCAGCGATGCTGCAAACAGGCGTGTCTGTATTTCCGTACCTGTGAGCCCCGGCAATGCTTTGGTACCCGCAGGCGGACCGAATGCTCTCGCCAACAGCACAGCGACCAGGATGGACAGGCCCCAGACGGTCCTGGAGCGAAAGAAGGACAAGTCGCCGGGGCGAAGGGCTTCGGCAAGCAGAGAGCGAGCGAAAGAAGCGTTACGTGCGGCGCTGCCCAATCCCAAGAATCCAGGATGTTGCGTGGAAGGAACCTCGGCCATGATGGCTCAAATGAAGGGGGGGGGATACTGGGATGGGATTCAAGGTGCGCGCCGCGTCAAGAGAGCAGACACAATAGGACAACGAGCGAAAGTCGTGTGTACGGCGCACGGATCAATGCAGGCTGCCGTCTTCAATGCATCCCGGCGCAGCCCTGTCGGTTGAGAAACAGGTGTGTAGTCGAGCAAGTGGACTGGCGCGAGTGTCGAATGGGGTTAGATCGGGGTCCCTCACCGGCCAATGCAACCGTGAAGCCGAAGGGACGTGCGGCGGTCTTCATCTCTGCTGCAACCCAACCCGCTGAAAGATGAGAATCTCGGTAGTTGGACAGCTGCAATGTGAGCACTCGCGCTCACCCACATACTTGTCAAAGGGACTAGCAACCGATTCACGAGCAGCAGGTGTTGGGGCTCGAATGTGTAGAGGAGTTGGCTGACGCTGCGTTCTCCTTCGCCACGATTCATGATCTTCTACTGGAATCTGTCCGCATTACTCGCGCACAAGAGCTGGCTGAGGATGAAGGAGTGACACTGTGACAGACAATTGATTGATTGATGCATAAGTCATGGAAGCCAGGCGGAGACAGAGTGAGAAACGCGTTCGTCCGTTTGGCATACGTCGGAGGTCTGACAGGCGAGGACGTGGCATCGATGGTGATTGGCAGTGTTCCTGCATGGAGCCCTGGCATGGCCATTTGTGCTCACCCGCTTACAGAGGTCTACCGATGCTTACCTACACGCACTATCACCACTCCAGCGCGCAAGATGACTTCCATTTTCGCCAGCGCCAGGTGGGCTTACGGGAACAGCATCGCTCCAGGTGCCCGATTCGCCGTTCCATGACGACGAGAGCCATGATGAACGTTGCCGTATCACGCATGTATTTATAGCGCTCATCGACTTGAAGCTCTCAACTTTGGAGTGAAGCGGGAGACGGGAGCCCTGAATTCCCAAAACGTGCCGGCCCCACTCCATCCGCGTCTCCTATTCTCGTCCAGTCGGGATAAATAAATCTTGGCCCCGATCTGACTGACTACTCCAATTGGCAAGACGGGCGACGTGCATGCCTGCCTCAACTGAGCTTTCTCACGACACGAGCTAAGAAACAAGTCATCTTACTTTATTCTCTCCATCTCCCCAAGCCCCCCTCAGCTCTGCCATCGACATCCATCACACAGTCGGGCGATCTAGCTTGACAACGAGCCTCACCACCATGGCGCCAGCATCCCCCGATGGCTTGGACGTCCTCATCCTCGGAGGTGGCATCTCCGGCCTCACCACCGCCCTCGCCTTGACCAAGTTCGCGCCCCCCGGCAAAGTGCCGCGAATCCGCATCTTCGAGATCCGTCCCGTGCCCGCAACCATTGGCGGCGCTGTCAACCTCACCCCCAATGCCCTCCGCATGCTCGACCATCTCGGCGCCCTGCAAAAGATTCGCGAGAAGGACTATGGCAGGACAATCGATTACCTCGAAGTCTTCGACGTCTACTCCGGCAAACTCGCCGAGTCGGACTTCCGTGGCCCCGAAGGCAAGGGCATCGGCACGCCGCCTTACAAAGCGCTGCGCATCACTCGCGGCGACTCCCTGAAGGGCGTGCTTGCGGCGGTGGAAGAGAACGAAAACATCACCCTGACATGCGGCAAGAAGACGGTGAAGATTGACGAGACCGCGGACAAAGTCACCCTCACCTTTGAAGACGGGGAGAGTGTGTCTGGCGACCTGCTGATGGGCTGCGATGGCATCCACTCCGCCACTCGTCTCAAGCACGTCGAGCCCGAGCGGAAAGCCGTCTACTCCGGCGTCTCCAACGCCTTTGGCTTCGCCCCCGTCGACAAAGACTTCAAGACCCACTTCGAATGCACCGCCATCAACTTTGCCCGCCGCGGAATGCTGCTTACCAGCTACTTCCAACCCGATCCCACCATGGTGTACGTCGGCGGTCTCATGCAGGTCAAAGACATTGGTTCGCGAGACGGCTGGAAGGCAGTGGGAGCCGATGCGGAGAAGACACGCGCCGAGCTGTTGGATCGCTTTGGCGATGCCAAAATTCCCTGCATTGTGCCTTTGATTGAAAAGACCCAGGACTTCTACCTCTGGCCTGTCTTCACTCTGTCCAAGCATGGCAAGTGGGCGACCGACCGTGTCATGCTTTTGGGCGACGCCGCGGTAAGCTTGAATCACGATCACATTGAAAACGCATCCACTGACAGTACTACAGCACGCCATGCCTCCGCAAGGCGAAAGCACCGGCATCGTCTTCGAAGACACCGTCCTCTTCTCCCGCTGCCTCACCCGGTGGGTGGAAAAGGGCAAGCCCAACACCATGAAAGAGGCCTTTGACGCCTACGAGAAACTGCGGCGGAAGCGCATCGAAGTCGCCTTCGAGGAGTCCAAGGACGTCGTGCGCACCGTCTCCGACGCCGGCTGGCTCGGCCACACCATCAAGACCTACGTCGTCCCATGGTTCCTCTGGTGGACGCACAGCTACCGCGAGAAGCATTTCATCGAGGACGTCACCAAGACCGATCTGGGGTATTAGTTTGGGACCTCTTGTGCGTGAATATCATATTGAGCGGAATGGAGGGATTGGTGTTATTGAAGGCTCAGATTGGTTATGACAGATAGAGGTGTGCTTTGTTGATTGATATTCAGGTATGACTCTGCCCCTTTTTGTTCTTCGCCATTTCAGGGTCCGTGCATCCGCATCGGCAGGGAGAGTGAGCCAGGCTGAAGTGAGTGTTGTCCTGCGTCTGTCGCAAAAGGCTCCGTTTGTCGGTGGAGTTACACCATTCCCTTTTCAACACACGCACCTCACAACTCTTTTCTTTTCTTTTCACCTTTCACACAGCTCTTGCTCTTGGTCGTCGTCTTCCTTCACGCAACCACGCAGAGCACGACAGCATGGCGACTACCAACCCCAATCCCCCTACCTCCCAGTGCGCAGTCTGCAAAGTACCAACATCCAAGCACTGCAAGCGTTGCGCTGAAGGGGTCGATGTCGATGGCGCTCTGGCTCAGACCTTCTACTGCTCCATCACCTGCCAGACCGCCGACTTCCCCACGCACAAAGCAGTCTGCCGCAGTGCCAACGATCGCAAACAGCTCTACCGCGGCGGTGAGCTCCTTCAGAAGGTCTTCTACGCTTTTCGTGAGGTTGCGTTCGATCTCGAGATTTGTGATATCAAGAAGACGGGAAATGACATCCACTTTTACGACCCGGCGACGGGACTCAAGAAAGGCCCTCTCTTTCCATTCCCCAACAACGACTCGCTCACCACCGATGACAAGCATGCCATCCTGACGTTCTCAGCCTGCGGCGACGGATTAGCTTATATGCATGAGCTCATCGAAAAGGTCATGGAAGGTAGCGTCCCCTGTCTTCGTGCTGTTTTCAGCCTGCCTGACCGATGCTTTAGGAATTGGGAGCACCACTCAACCCCTGACGGAAATCATTACCAACATGAAAGGCACCAAACGCACAGTGTGGCACCACGGTCTCAACGGCGTGAGCCACAACAATCAAACCATCACCCACCAGTTCCTCCAGGCACAGCTCAAGAACGGAGAGAGGTACGCAATCGACATGAGCGGAGCGCAGTACGGCCTATACAGCGCGGTGGCCCCCATGCAAAAGTACTTGGACCAGCACATCGATCTCCGCCGCTTCTCCATTCGTGCGTTTGGAGAAGCAAAGGAAGACATCAAAAAGTTGGTAGACCCGTCTTTGGCCAAGCCAGGTTTCGATCAGCGGATGTGTGTCATGCACATACTTGCTGCACAGGCCATGAATTCGGCGGTCGAAATGTGGGAATCCACAGGACATTCAGTGGTCGCGTTGTTGAAGGACACGCGGGCGAATTTTGAGATCGGCACAGAAGCCCTCGTGGAGGCTGTCACTATGCGTGTGGATGGGCACATCAAATACCTGCAGACGAGGGAAGCGGACATGTGGGAGGTGGTGAAAGTCCCCAAAGCTCCCGGCAAAGGTACACACAACTCCGACATCCCTGTTCTCGTAGCAGATGCGGCTGAGGCGACCGACGTGGACCCCGCAGCAACAGCCAAGGAGCAGTGGGCGAAGGGCCCGGGGGACATGATCCATTCGCTCGTCAGCCAATTCGAAGGGGCCAACATCACCTGTTACTCGGCGGACGGGCAGGGCGGAGTTGTCAGGTTCGACGTTCATTAGAAGCAGGTGATTGGACATTCAAGATGTGCTTCGCTGGCAGGGTTGGGAGACGGTGTGATATCGCAGACGAATGGCGAGCAGCCCAGATAGCGACAAGCGGATTCAGGGTAGCTCGACATTGCAGATTCGTAGACGTGGTCCGATAGGATGTGCAAAGGGAGAACGTACTTCTCAGCTCGCTGCAAAGTTCCATCCATCGTTTTCATCGTCATCGTCGTCGTCGTCGTCGTCTGATTCTTCCACCTTCTCCACTGATCGGCTATTGACCGCAGGACTGGTAGTCGCTTCATCCGCACCGCCTCCTCCGTCTCCGTCTGTACTCCGTCCCAATCTTAATGCCTCTCTCCTTTCCCTCAACTTCCTTACTCGCTCCTCCAGACCCTCCATTTCTTCGAACTCATCCTCCAGTAATCTCGCAGCATCCTCCTTCTCATCCTCCAACTCTGCATCCCTCTTGCTCCGTTGTGATGACTGCTCTTCCCGTGCTTGCGCCGCCAACTCTTCTGCAGTGACTGGCGCTGCTGATATGGTTGCATCTGCGTTCAGAGCCGACGTCGTTGCGAACGTGCCCATGGAGTTTTCCAAATCTGCGAGCTCACGCTCGAAAGCCGCCAACTCCTCCTCGTCGATGTCTTCTTCTGTTGGTAATGCAGGAGTTGCAGTGCTCTCGATAGTCGGTTGATGTTCCTTCGTAGGCTCATGATCAATCTTGACGATCTTTGCCAGCCTTGTTTCATCCTCCTCTACATCATCCTCGTCGGACCGTGCTCTCTTCCTATCCTCCACATCGTCTTGTGCAGGAGGCGTCTCCGCTTTCCTCTTTTTCGTTCCCGTAGATGCCGGACCAGCTGGCCCCGGATCAGGAGTCTGACTGCGCTGGGTGTGCTGTGTGGAGTGGAGATGGCTCTGCCACTGCGCCTCGCTCTTGACCAATTTGCCGCATAGGTTACACAGCAACTTGTTGTCTTTTGTGTAGGAGGCGTGGGGATGTGTGATGCGACGGTTGGCACGTTCTGCGCGCAGGAGCTCGCGAACATCCGCCATGTTGCGCTCGTTGGGTGATGTCTGTTTCACCCTCTGCCTCGCTCGCGCCTTACTGGGCTCAGGTAGCTTTGATACAACGACTTTTGGCCGAACTCAACGACTTCTGACTGCAGCGCAAAATCAGTCAGCTTTCGCTGTTTCCCCTCCTTTCGCGACGTTCGTGGCAACTTCATTTTCTTGACCTCATCTTCGTTCTCATCGCCATCTTCTTTTCATCCGCTCAACGAGTGGAAGTCGCAAGCGCATCAAAATACCCGTGGCTGCCCTGTTAGCATCACGGCCGCTTGTGAAACATCCTCTCTTGGTCGGTGAGTCTACGTCAACAGCGACTGTGAGTCGCGTGAGCAATTTTCTTTCTGCCCAAGCACTTCGGCGCGTGGCGGGACTTGGAGGGCGTGGAGAGGAGATCATCGTGTTCTGCGCGAATTGACAGGCTTGTTCTGTCACCACGCGCTGCTTTGACTCCTTGTGCATTCCGCAGCACACAGATCAGCAAACCAGAGTGTATACCTCTGCACTACGACCAACCGCAAGACTCTTTGCAACTTCTCGCAGTCCCCGACACCCAAGGGAGAAACGCCGTGGTTGGAGAGCGCGCGCTTCAAGCAACGCTACCTGGACGTTCTTTGCGCCTGCGAGGACACGCGCATCACCCTCTGCCCGCTTCTTGAGCCTTGTCTACGTAAAGCTAGTAGAGCGTGAACCGTCCTTCAAAGCGTGTATTCGTCTACCCATCTTCTGCATCACGTTCTCCCCTGATCGACGAGGTGGCGCGACGACGCCGTGATCGAAACAATGGCCGGTAAGTACAGCATAAGCTTAGACGTGTGCCAGTCTTGCGTGTGTGCTATGCGCGCGAACGAGGCGACACACGTCTACCCCGTCTGCACGGAAACAGAGGCTAACTAGGTGATTACAGACGAACCACGACGCTCCGGGCGAGCGACCAAAGGACAGCATACCAAAACTGCTTCCACATCTCCCCCACCCCAGCCCAAAGAGGCCAAACCCCCAAACAAACCGAAATCGAAGAAGAAGAAGAGTCCCCGTGACCAGCCGGATGCGACAGAGTCCTACGACGACGACGGAGACGAGGAGCAGATTCGCTGCATCTGTGGCGACGACAACCCCAAAGACAAGCGCCCATTCATCGGCTGCGAAGCCTGCTCCGTCTGGCAACACAACATCTGCATGGGTATGCCCGATGATGAGGACGAACTGGGCGACCATTATTGGTGCGAACAGTGTCAGCCCAAGGATCACCGCGAAACCCTGGCTGCCTTGGAGAATGACGAGAAGATCTGGGAGACTCGGAACAAGATCTGGCAGAATGAGAAGAAGGCCGGGTCGAAGAGGAAGTCGAAGAGTGGCGGTCCGGCGGGCTGGTTGAAGAAGGAGCTCGCAGATTCGGATGACGCAGCCGAGATGAAGGAAGAAGAGGAAGAGAAAAAGGAAGATCAAGAGAGTGTAGTGGGCAGTAAGAGGAAAAGAGAGGCGGAGGCCAGCAGCACACCGCAGGACATCAAGGCGGAGCCTGAAGAGAAAGCTGCGCGGGGTTCGAGGCAAGACAAGAGGCGCAAGCCGACCGCGAATGGCGCTGCATCCGCAGATCCGGAGACGGCGCTGGTGGACATCGACAACCTTCCCGAAAGCAGGAAGAAAGCGGCCACAGTCCTCAGCAAAATCATTGCCGACGATGCCCAGACTCGCTCACAAGCTCGATCGTTCCGTATCCCGGACGGTCACACCGCCAAATCCTTGGGCGATCACCACGCTGCACGCATCGAATACGCATTGACGATGAATCACGAAGGGCCCGAAAACCCAGCCTACGGCACTCAGTTCCGCGCGCTCAACGCAAACCTCAAGAAGAATAAGCTGCTCATCGAACGCCTACTCAATGGTAGCCTGACGGCAGATGAACTGAGTACGATGGAAAGCAAGGACATGGCGTCGGAGGAGCTTCAGCGGGAGAATGCGCGGCTTAAGGAGGCAGCAGATCGTCAAGCTGTTGCCGTCCAGGAAGAGGGACCGCGGTACAGACACACTCACAAGGGGGTCGAGCTGATTGAGGATGAGAACGCCATTTCGACAGAGGCCGCGCGATCGATCCAGGCGCAGCCGGTGAGAGAGAGATTGAGCGTGGCAGAAGGAGGAAGTCCACCGGCTGAAGCGGCCGTCGCTGCGCGCCAATCGCAAAGTCAGACGGCCCCTGAACACAGGAGGACTAGCAGTCAGCAATTCGACATGGACAATATCTGGGCCAAGACTGCGCAGTCGCCAACCACTGGTAGTGCGCCTCGACCCATGCAACAACCGCCTCGACGACGCAGCTCCATCAAACCGCAACACAGCGAAGCCGATGCTGTCGGTGGCACGAAAGAGGACGCCGATGTCGATCGCATGTTGCAGGATGATGATGACGAGGATTATAGCCCGGCCGAATACTCCGACGGCATCGTGTGGCGCGGCAAGCTCATCCAGTCCGCCGATGCCATCTCACCCACCGTCAATGCTCGCTTTGTCGCCGGTCGCGATCTGACATCTACGGTCAGCTGGCGCGACCTGCTGCCGGCCCAGCTCAGCATCGACGGTCGTCTGCAGATCCCCAAGGCTGAAGAGTACCTCTGCTCTCTCCAGTGGAGCCAATCGTCTGATGTGTCCGTCCTGGCTTTGACGCCCCACGATGACGCCGATGGTTTCGAGGCTATCTTCAACTACTTCAAATCGCGCGAGCGGTATGCGGTGGTGAACAAGGACAAGCCGCTGATGGTGAAGGACTTGTACATCATTCCCGTCGACAAAGGGCAGGAAGTGCCGAATCACGTGGGCATGCTGGAGTTCAACCGACTCGGATCAACGGTCGAAGAGAAGTGTCTCCTTGCCAGCTTTGTTGTCGGCAGGTCCACGGAGACGGCACCCGTCGCGCCGGGCAATAATCAGCAGCAGCAGCAACAGCAGCCTGCGGACTCAATGGCGGCAAACGGCTCACAGCACGCCCTTCCACAGCACCTACGAGGCGGCGGGCCAGGACCGGCAGGCAGTCCAATCAACATGACCACACCCACCTTCTCTGCGCCCCCGACCGCAAATCCCCTAATCAACGAGATTCTCGGGAATCTGCAGTACACTCCGACCGCGCAACAGGTCATCGCTGCGGATCCGAGCATCCCACGCGAGAAGCTGTTGCACTTGAGGAACATACTGCTGGAGGATCCGAACACGCAGACTGATATTAGCGCGCTGGCGACACGGTTGCAGTGAGAGAGGGATCTAGTTTGGGAAGGGGTGTTCATCAAGCTGCGAAATGAAGGGAGGATTGGAGGAGGATGCGAGCTGGATGGAATGGGATTTTGTTTTGATACCCTTGCTTACGATAGCCGCTGGGGTTTGAATTATGTCTGTCTTTGCATTTCTTCTCGTTCACAGACAGATGCGCTGCTAGCGGTTTACTCTGCTATGGAGGAGCTGCCGCCTTTGCACCGCTGAAGATTTGATTGTTCGTTTGTTCATTGACTACCATGCCGTGCTTCACTACCCTGACCTGACCATTTCCTATCCTGTTCCTTGCTCGCACCACCGTGTGTGAGTAGCTCACTGCCATGCTCGTAGTCCCATGTCCCATCACACCAGCTACTCGTAGTCTCTTGTCCCATCGCACCAGCTACTCGTATTCCATTGTCGCATCACGCCATCGCGGGAGCGTGAAAGCCACTTGCTCCTCGTGCTTTTCACAAGAGGGTAGCTTGCAACTCGGCGAGTTCGTCCGCAGTCGCCTCGATGCGAAACAAGGCAAGGGCGTGGCGCACTTCGAGAAACCGGTTCTGACGTTCGAATTCTCGGAACCTCTGCTGTTCCTCAATCTCCATTCGTGCTCGGTGTTGAATCTGCCTCAGCTTTTCGTTCCACATCGCATGCTTTGCCCAGTAGCTCCTGATGAAGTCCTGTGCGTCCTCCGCCCTTTCCCTGGCCAGCATGAATTTCTTCTCGAGATAGGAATGCAGAACTTTCGGCCTCGAAGACCCTTGTGTCCCTGGAACCTCGAGTCCGGCGTAGAATTGAGCCGAGAGGGCTTTGCGAGTGCCACGAGACGCCCTATCGAACAGCGACGGTGCCAAGCGGAAGACGTGGTCAATGTCGAAGAACTGGTCGCCAAGTCGCATGCGCAGGGAGTCAAAGCTGCGGAACTTTTCGAGGAGTTGTTGGTAGCGCTCGGGGTCCTCGAAGTACCAACCCAGCGCGAGTCGCACGTCCTGATACCACTGGTATCGTTCGGAGGAATGGCGGCGTAAAGTGTGGTTAAATTGATGTAGAGCTTGAGATGGCGCGTCGTGCCGCTGCTGTGGTCTTTGAGCTTTTGAAGAAAGGGCACGACGTGGCTCGTGTCCCAGTCAATGATGCGGATCTCCACTGGTGCGGTGTCGAAGGTGTGCTGGTGAAGGACGGAGGTGAATTCTGCGCGGACCTGGCGGCTCACGCGCGTGAGTGCTGGTGGCACGGCGGCGCCCTCGCGGACCTGGAGAGTCATCGACGAGACATAGAGATCGTAGATCTCGTTCCGAAGCTCGCCGGGGAGGCTGAGAAACGACGCCTTCTTGGCCATCGAGGGTGTGTTGTCCGCTTGAGCGTTGTTTGACCAAGCTGCGAGTGTTGTGGAAGAGCAACGGGGCGTCAGCCCTCACATGTAAAACGTTGGTCACGTGTGGCTGCCTTGTTGCCTGGCGGCCGTGGTTGATTGGGAAGCGAAACCTACGAGGCAAACGAAGGTCGCTGAGGTTGACTGGAAGCCTTGTAGATGGTTCTCTAACTATACAGGGATGAATACACTCGCCCGCGAAAGGGTATCTTACTAAGGAGCAAACACGGGAGGCGCGAGGCTCTATTCAAGTCGGCCTTTGTATGCCTTCTTGCCAGCAGATGTCGTAGCCTCCACTCGAAGTTGACTGGGGTCGATGAGCAGGCCACCGTGCTCGACAGCTTTGGTCGCCGCTGCGTCCCCTCCCACCGCAGCTTGCACGCTTTCTAGCCAGGCATCTTCATCCTCCTCCTCATTTTCGTTTGGTTCGGCCCTCGGCGTCGTGCGGAAAGGGTCCCCTAATCGGGCAAGTGTGTGACGGGTGGTGTAGTGAGCAAAGCGCTGGTGCAGATCGGCGGTTTCGGGATGCAAGACATCGATCATGTTACTGCGTCACAGCGTCAGACAAGCGCAGCGACCAATGGAAGCACGATCGCAACATACTCCGAAGCCTCTGCCGTTATCTGCTCCAACTCCTCTCTTGCCCTCCTGAGCTCCTCCTCATCCGGCTGCGACACTTCCTCCCCACCGACGCCCCCATACTGGGCGTGTTGGTCGTCAAGGAGCGGATCGGTCTCGTTGTTCTAGTGGCATGTGTCAGTCTGCAGCCATCGGTCGGGGGTGTCGGGCGGCACTCACATCCTGCGAGGGGCTCCGCTGCAGTCCGAGACAGGACGCACAGATTCCCATCAAGAATGTGGCTTTAATGCGGCGTCTGTCGCAACTCCATTCTTTGCGCCGTCGAGATTGGCAGTGATGGGGAGGCTGGAAGGCATGTCGTGTGAGACCCACCTTTGCTGCCAAAAGTCGTGGCTGGCTTCATTCCGCTTTGGCCTCAGGCCTCCTATCTTGGAAACCACCATTCAAGAGCATCATCGGCGTGTATATTTTCCTTTACCCGCTTGGTGGACCTCCCACGATCATGTAGGTCAGGTAACGCAGACTTTCGTTTGACTTCTCGCTCACAAGACGTCATCACACCCATTCTTTGCTCTGTCTGACTGTCGGTGTATTGCATTCCTCGAATTTCCCTTGATTGAAACCTGAGAATGGGGGACATGCAAGGCCCCTGGATGCCCAACCAGCTCGTTTCAGCAAGGAGAGCGCGTCTACGTGCCTCCAGACCCTCGGAATGGAGCCAAGACTCAACACTCGACGTCACGTAAAGGCTGGCTCTGGGCGAGGATTCACCGGGAGCTGGGAAGCTTTCTACCCTTCCGCAAGGCCTGCAGTGGATCAACCAGGTTCGTGTCCCTTTCATTCACCTTCATACTCATTCCCGAGCTGTTGGCAAGACGTCCTTCCCATCACCTCCTGCAAGGCAAGCTGCTATCTCGTCATTGAGGTGGAGAGTCCAGAGGGAGACCGATCGGCAAAGTATCCCACAGACTCTGTTGTATAAAGCATATCCAGCATCGCCTTCGCTGCTCGGTCTTCATCCTCCACCGAAACACTATCCTCAGTCACTCCTTTACGGCTACTGCATTCGTTTTACCGAGTCTCCAATTGTCACTCATTCTCTTGGAACTCCGACATGCGCTCCTTCTTCGTTGGGGCCTTGTGCCTGTCCCTCACTCATCCTTCTTTTGCTCGAGTTGCACACTCGTATCGAGACCTCATCTCCAGAGAGCCAGATCAGGACTTGACTTTCCTGGGCGGCGTCAAACAGTGGTTCGCTCGCTCATTACGGCGAAGCATTGAATCCAGGCAAGACGACTTCATCTGCTACGAAGATGACTACTACAACTTCACCGCAACCTCCTACGGCGAAGAATTTTGCCAGGTCTTTTTGGACCTGCCGGACACCACGACCATCGTCGATTACGCTCCAACCAGGTGAGTGGAGGAGCAATATCGAAGATACGATACATGCTGACTCGAGTGCAGTACCTTTACCAATTTTCTCTCAACGGAAATCCGTGGCACCACCACCGATGTAGACTACGTCACGCCTCTCACCACAGTCACTGTCACCTACACCGCCGGCGGATCTCCATCGAAACGAGAGGCCAAGGAAGCCATCATCCCCAAACCACATGCTCGTGAGCGACGGATCAAGGATGCATTCAGGAGATTTGCATCGACAAGCAGTACTTCCGGCAGCGGAGCGAGCTCGTCCATCTCCTCTGCCTTTTCCAGCGCTTGTTATTGCCACGATTATTCTGGACCTACCATCGTAGAGACCTCTACCATGCCCGCAGTCGTAAGTTGGTGTGGCCGGAGTACGTTGACGAGGATACTGATCAGCGCTGTAGACTCGCACGCTTAATGCCTTCGTCGAAGAATATGCTACCGTGAACACAACAATCACCGAGTCCACCAGCACCGTCACCGTGACCGACGGTGCTCCTACACCCAATCCAACCGGCGGTGATACCACGACGACTTCGCCGGCTCCGATGTCTGGGACTGGAGGATCTACGGCAAACCCTACATCCCCAACTACCATGCCATCGTCCGGAGCAGCACCATCTGGAGCCGCTCCATCCGGAGGTGCGCCAACCGGTGCAACTTCAACTGGTGCAGTGCCAACTGGCACAGCGATTGCTTGTCCGCAAGCCAATGGCACCCTCTTCCAGCAGATGGTCCAATCCGAGGACTTTGAGTACACAATCTTGTGTAACACCATCCTCGGCGATGCCGATTTCTACAATGTGCTCAACTACGACACCCTCGGCGAATGTATCGCTGCGTGCTCTTCGGTCAACTACCAATTCGACGGCCCTGTTTGCCAAGGTGTTTCCTACTATGGAGCTGCAGGTTCTCCCGGGGGAGGCAATTGCCACTTGAAGTCGAGCGCCAGCCAGCCCTTTGCTTCTGACGGAATCGACACTGCCATTCTACAAAGCGTCCAACTCGGTGTCACCAATGGTAGTGCCACGTCACCCGCCCCCTTCTCGGGGCCTAGCTCTACTGGAGATCCCCAGCAAATGAGCTCGTCGATGCAGTCGATCATGAGCAACAGCTCTACCTCCATGTCAACCGTCCCCCCGACTCGAGTGAGGAGTGGGTTGCTGGAGAACGCTCCGATTACATCCTACTCCACTTATGTATCGGACGGCAGCACTTACTCCTCGGGCACTGGCTACACCTTTGCCACAACTTATTCCAACGGAAGCTGGATTTCGGAATACTACACCAGCTACACGGAAACATGGGCCCGCGCAACTTCGGTGTACGGAGCCACGGAAACCGGGTTCGTCATCGTCAACAGTACCGATAGTTCGTCCTCCGAGCAGCCAGGCTCCGATGGTGGGTACAGTATCATCACTGTGTCGAACACAACAACGAACACTCCCTCGGGCTACAATGTTACGGAGGTGATCAGCAACCAGACATATAACGCCCAAGGCTCCGAGGTTCACTCGACTGCGACCACTCATTATTATAGCTTCCAGACCGGAGGAGCCAGCAGTGGCGGCGCCAGTGGCAGCCCGCCCCAAACGAGCGCCGGCAATATCACTTCGTCTTACTCCTACCCAAATTCGACCACTCGCAGTGCTCCGACCGGTACCCCTCAAAGCGCCGTGACAAACACCTACGCAACAGCGTTCAGCACGGGAACGACCATCAGAGGTCAAGTAACGTCTGGCTCGTTCTCGCAAGGGGGCGGCAACAGGACTGCCCAGCCTATTTCTTCACCAACCACCTCGAGTCCACCTCCCTTCCCAACCACGGGACAGCAATACTATACGCCCTCTTCGCAGTCCTCTGTGTCTGGGCCGATGAGTGTGTCAAACACCTCGTCGCCGAGCGGAGGCTTCTCGCAGCCAATGGGAAATCGGACTGGAAGTCCATTCCCGCCGCCCACTTCATCTCCAACGTCCGCATCCTCCTCTCCTTCTGGACCGGTCAGCATGACGAACACCTCGTCTTCAAGCGGGACCTTCTCTCAACCCAACGGCAATCGAACCGGAAGTCCATTCCCATCGTCCACTTCAAGTCCGACATCTAGCCCTCCTCCGTTCCCAACCACTAACCACGGATATTACTCATACCACCAGCCATCGTCCCCGACAAGCTCTCCCACCACGAGCTCCTCCACAGTGGGTCCAGTCAGTACGGGAACAGGTTCTCCTTCAACGGCGAGCAACGGGACTTTCTCTCAACCTATGGGGAATCGGACCGCGAGCCCGTTCCCGCCGCCGACCGGTCCTACCACTACGACAAGCCCATCGGGTACCGGTGCATTCTCTCAACCCAACGGCAATCGAACTGGGGGTCCATGGACGACACCGAGCGGGCCGACCACTACGTCGAGTCCCTCGGGCACAGGTTCATTCTCTCAACCTAACGGAAATCGAACCGGGGGACCATGGACCACATCGAGCCCATGGGGTACCGGAACATTCTCCCAGCCCGAGAGTAATCGAACTGGGAGCCCAATCCCGCCGAACCATCATTCCACTTCATCCCCATCCGGCACAGGTTCATTCTCCCAGCCCAACGCAAACCGTACTGGAGGTCCATTCCCGCACAAGCACCATTCTTGCACCACCGCCATCGTGAGCACGGTTACGGTGACGACGACTTCGACGGTGACACAGAACGATTGCTCGCAGTGCGGCTGGGGAGGGTATTATGGTAGACCGCAATCTTTCGGCCCTCCTGTGACAAGCTCGTCATCTCCTTCTAGCTGATTTTTATTGTTGTACGACGGCGCTAGGTGGGAGGGATGGTAGACTTGCTGGCAGTTGTGTATTTAGTGACGATATCTGAGCCTTTCGCTCATCTGATCGTATTGGCGCGTTGGGTATCACATGGACTATGGCAATCATTCAGTCCGAAAAGAACGATAGATTGAATTGCTCTACAGTTTCATCGAATCGCTCGTTCTTGACCTGCCTGATCTTTGCGATGTCGTCGGGTGTCTGGGTGCCTCAGGCAGCAGCCCCACGTCAAACCTGCCCGAATTGACTTGGTCAACTTCATGCCTCCCCAGGCTTCCATCTCCACCGCCATTGACTACACCTCTCACGCTCTTTTCTTGACGAATGCCCGTGAATTTGCATTCTGCAAAATGGCTTCCAAACAAGCGACAGTAGCTTCGTTTGTGGAATCCGCACCCCCCGGAGAGGTTGGTAGAGGATGTTCCCTTCCCCGCTAGAGTGAGGTGCTGACGACAACAGCTCTCCAACGTCGTAGCCGGTACATCTCGCCTTGCAAACACCTTTGACCGCGCATACTGAAGCCAGAATAGACATCAAAGCCCTCGCCGATCCTTCCATCGTCCAATCGCTCGATCCTGCGTTCAAGAAGTACAATGAAGAGCAGTATACGGTGGTGACCCTGCCGGGCGGCAGTGAACCGGTAATGATGCTGTTAGGGAGGAGTAATGATCATGGCTGAGACTGTATAGGTCCTGATAAGCGAGCACAACTCATTGGGAGACGGAAGGTACTTCGACACCGCGAGCCAGACGTCTTTCGAAGTCGATCACGCTTCGCAGGTAGGCGCCCAGTCCCGAGCCCCAAAGAAAAATGCAATCACCTGATGTTCTTTCAGAAAGCCTCGGGTGCGCAACAACACCCATTAGAATCACAGCATGCCGACTTCATCCGGTCTCTGCAAAGATCCTTCACCAATGCCACAGCCGAGCACTTCCCCTCTTCCACAATAGGCATTTTCCCCGTCCAATCCGACTCCGCGATCGCAATCCTCCTCGTCGCGAATAAATACAGCCCACAGAACTTCTGGAACGGAAGATGGCGGTCAACGTATATTGTCAATCCCTCGTCCAGCTCGGCGTCCGGCGAAATCAAAGTGGATGTGCACTACTACGAAGACGGCAATGTTCGCATGAGCACGTCGAAGAAGGTGGAGCTTGGAGGGAGTAATGGGGCCGACGGCATTGCGAGGGAGATTGCAAAGGCGGAAAACCGATTCCAGGAGGAGCTCAATCGTGGCTTTACCTCCCTGTCGGAGGGGAGCTTCAAGGGGTTGAGAAGACAACTGCCCGTCACGAGGCAGAGGGTGGAGTGGGAGAAGATTGGGGGGTATAGAGTATGTTTTCCCTTTTGCTCAGGTTGATTTTGGTCTTGCTAACGTGTAACGCTGCAGCTCGGTCAAGACGTAGCCGGAGGACGACAGCGGTAGATTTTCTGCCTGAACGAGACATTCGTAGGGTACTTGCATATGTTCCAAACTCAATGAGTGTCCCCCAAGCCCGATCGGTCATTCATGTGTGCACTACGATCTGCTGACTGTCAATTTTATGCCTTGTGCCTGGCGTCTCAGGCTTCCCGTCTGCACATGCGCGCTGAATCCTTGCCGGTCCATGCATCGAGCCGAAACTTCGACAAACGGCAAACACGAATGTTCTCCCTGGTGTCATACTTCCGCCCGTCCCCTTTTTGCTCGTCACTCTTTTGTCGTCACGCTTCCGCCTCCATCTTTTCTTTTGCTTTCTGTGCTTTTATCTTCTCCTCGTCTGAGCCTCACACACGTCAACACTAACGCATGCAACCATTCGCATTGCTCCAAAAGCTGCAACGAGCCATGCACGCCATGCGCGGAGGAGGTTTGCGCTTCCCAATGCGAGCATAGCGCTTGCGGGATGCCGTGTGCAGCGCTTTGCGACCCCGTCCCCTGCTCCAAGCGCTGTTCAAAGTCGCTCGCTTGCGGCTGCCGTTGCCCATCTGCGTGCGGGGAGGTTTGCCCGCCCACTAAATTCTGTCAGAATTGCGGCAAAGAGGAGATATTCCACCAGCAGGTGGAATACCTGGAGTGCAAGGAGTACAAGGATGTCGATTTGGACCAGGACCCATTCATCGTTCTCAACTGTGGTCATGTCTTTACCATCAGAACGCTTGACGGTCTCATGGACATGGCAAAGTTTTACAAGATGGATGAGAACGATCTGGCGATTGCTATCCAAGCTCAACGCGCGCCGAACTTGTCCGAGCAGGAGCTGAAATGTTGTCCCAACTGCCGTGGAAGCCTGAGGAATATCGGCCGCTATGGACGCATCGTGAGGCGGGCCCAGCTGAATTAGAGTACCAAGAAATTCATCAGCTGGTCTAATGCACAACACCGACCGATGGCTGAGCTTCTGATGAAGGAGCACGAGAACCTCGTCAATACAGCAGCAGCAGCGCAGCTGGTCAGCCACAAGCTGCACTTGACTGGCGAGAGACAACGTCGGATCCAGGCAATCCGCAGCACGCAAGGATCGAAGAGATACGGCAGCATTTTCTCCGCCCGGCGTCAGATCATGCATTACTTGCACACAGTCAAGCGTGAAGAGCAGCCTTATCAAGAGTCCGAGATATGGTGGAGGCTGTCCGCCGCAGGAAAGCCGGTGAAGAGGTGGAGATCGCGCCATTTGACTTCGATCAGAGCTTGCTGCAAACGAGGGCGTCTTTGCTTGCCACTGCACTAGCCATCCGCTGCGATCTCAACATCTTATCCGTTGTGCTGGCTGTCCGCGACAAAACCCCTGTTCCAGCAGGTCAGACCGAGGACTTGAAGGTGGATTTCAGCCACAATCGGACCGATTGCGAGGGATTGACTCAAGATGCAGAGAAGTCGTTCCAAGTTGCACGAGTGGCCGAAGGGCACGTCTACTGGGCGCGCTTTGCTGCTATGGAGGTGAATGTTCCCTCAAATCGGAGCAGTGCCGAGCACATGGTGCAGCGATTGATAGCAGAAGCCCTCGCTCACCTCGATGCTGCCGAGACGACATGCAAGGAACACCCAAGTCAAACAAGAGCTGTGCTGCCGAGGATCGAGCCGACTCGCAAGATGCTTGATGGCGGCGTGTTCTACACGGCTGTGTCGAACGATGAGATGAGAGCAGTGGTGGCGGCGATGGAGACCGAATTCAGGAGCACTGGGCATTGGTATCGTTGTGCCAACGGACATCCGTTCACGGTGGGAGAGTGCGAACTACCAATGCAACTTGCCCTTTGCCCCCGATGCGGAGCGGCGGTTGGTGGGCAATCGCATCAAGCTGTTGAAGGTGTGACTCGTGCCGACGACATTGAAGGGCAGTTCGCTAGAATGGAACTGTGAGAGGATCATCGTGGTTGTAGTGTAGCAAGATGCGTGTAGGAGATGATGGAAGTCGCAGCTGCGCACCCGAAGTGAAGTCTCTTGTCACGTGTTTCATACGGTACTGTCATTGCCAACGATGGCGTCCCGCGCATCGGTCATTGAGAAAGAGAGGTAATGCCTACGGATATGCCTCGAGACAAGGCCTGGCAAGGCTGAGATGGAGCATGATGGCTGCTGGTCATCAGTAAATACTTGGTCAGTCGTCATTGTGCGGGATTCAATTCGATCCATCTCCACTTGGTGACGAGATGCGAGACAGCCCATTGAACTGAAGACACATGATCGTTCAAGCCTCCGTAGTTGCGATGCAGTGATGAGGTCGAACGGATGCGGTGGGGTGGGACGCGCCTGCCGACATCGCTTCTACTCTGCCCCACCTTCCATTTTCTGTCGAGTCCGTCTCTCACTTCATGCGCGCTTTTATCACGCAGCCCATTGATGATTCATCGTCTCTCGCAATCACCTCACTCCTCCTCTCCTACAGACTACATCCTCTCTGCTCCCACATCACCACCATCATCACCGCCACCACAACTCATGCTGAGCGCCACCTCGAAATCCCGGCTGCCGGCGGCTTAGCGGCGTTCTTTATTGAGTCATTGCCGACACGACATGAGCATTCGCAGCACACGAAGGGCGTTGTACTGCTGTCGCGAATCTTCTTCTCCCTTGCGCCGTGTGACCCGTCAACCTCACCCTTTCCTCTCCACCTACGCAATGTCCGCACACGGGCCTTGGGGCCCACTCCCGCTCCCCGCCTTCCTCCAGCGACGAGCCTTCTCCAAAACCCGCACCAAGGGCCTGCAACTCGACGATGTCAACCCACATGTCCGCAATGCGCAGTATGCCGTGCGCGGCGAATTGGCAATCAAGAGCGAGCAGTACCGTGCCCAGCTGCACCGAGGCGAGGGCAAGCAGCTCCCCTTCGACTCCGTCATTAGCGCCAACATTGGCAATCCGCAGCAGCTCGATCAGCAACCCATCACCTTCTTTCGCCAGGTCGCGAGCTTGTTGGAGAATCCGCTGCTGCTGGAGAAGGAGGACGTGCTGAAGAACAGCCTGGGCTACAAACCGGATGTCATCCAACGCGCCCGAAAACTCCTCGACGATGTCAAGAGTGTGGGTGCCTATTCCCAATCACAGGGCGCCCCGGGCATTCGGCAGAGCGTCGCAGAATTCATTGAGCGTCGCGATGGCTACACCGCCGATCCCGCCAACATCTACCTATGTGCGGGAGCGAGTTCGGGTGTCAATGCATTGATGACGGTCATCTGCGCCACACCGCAGACTGGAATCCTCGTCCCAATCCCGCAATACCCCCTGTATACGGCCACGCTGAGCCTGCTGAACGCCCAGCTCGTGCCGTACTACCTCGACGAAAGCAGGAACTGGGGCACAAGCGTGGAGAGCATCAAGACCGCATTGCAAGAAGCGAAAGGCCGGGGCGTGGATGTGCGTGCTGTCGTCGTCATTAACCCAGGCAATCCCACTGGCGGCTCGTTGATTGCCGAAGACATCACCGCGGTGCTGGAGATGGCGGCGCAGGAGAAGTTGGTCGTGCTGGCCGACGAGGTCTACCAAACGAACGTCTTTGAGGGCAAATTTCTGAGCTTCAAAAAGTGCCTGCGCGACCTGCAGAAGAGCAAGAAAAACTCCGACGGCCGCTTTGACAATGTCGAGCTGGCCAGTCTACACAGCATCAGCAAGGGCATGATTGGTGAATGCGGTCATCGGGGCGGATACTACGAAATGGTCGGCTTTGATCCGGAGGTGAGAACGTCCAGCATCATCTATTATCGAAACAAACTCGGCTAACATACGCTACAGGTGGTCGCACAAATCTACAAGTTCGTCTCTATCATGCTCTGCGCTCCCGTCATCGGGCAATGCTTCGTGGAAATGATGGTGAACCCACCTCGCGAAGGCGAGCCCTCCTACCAGCTCTACAAGAAGGAATACGATACCATCTACCAGAACCTCCACGACCGCGCTCGAGCATTGTACGCTGCCTTCCGCGACATGGAAGGCGTGGAGTGCCAGAATCCTCAGGGCGCCATGTATCTCTTTCCCAAGGTCCGCTTGCCACGGAAAGCGATCGATGCAGCCAAGAAGGCGGGCAAGAGCCCCGACGACTTTTACTGTCTCGAGATGCTCGACGCCACTGGCATCTGCACCGTTCCCGGCTCCGGCTTCGGACAGGAGGAGGGCACGTTCCATTTCCGCACGACTTTCCTCGCCCCGGGCGTGGACTGGGTGGATCGCATTGCCGAGTTTCATAAAAAGTTCATGGACCAGCATCGATGATGATGCATGGCATGGGATATCAGTGGTGTGTAAGTGGAGCGACTTTCGGTGCATTTGAAGCGTCCTTCCCTTCTCGAGATGCTATTCCTGGCGATGGAGAGTGAGTACATGCGAGCACAAGGCAGGTCCATAGAATGACTGCCTGTACATATTGATCCTCGTCATATAACGGATTCCTTCCTCCTTCTTTTGATTGGACCTGCGAAGCGGGCGCTAGCGGGTGTTGATTTTGGCAAACTACTTTAGTTGTCCTCGAAACTACTTTAGTTTCATCATCAAAACTACATGTACTTTAGTTGTCCTCGAAACTACTTTAGTTTATCATCAACCTACTTTAGTTGCACCCGTGGAGAAAAGATAAATGAGGGCTCATCAAGACCATCAACGTCTATTCGTAATCTTTCACTCTATCCATGTCTAGCATCATGCCTGTACGCATCTCACTCAAAAGTACAGCCCCATCCCAATCTATGTCCGTGCCGAATCATTTTCCTCCTCCAACTCCTCCCGCTCTCCCTCCAACCAAAGCTCATGCCCATCCCCATCCTTGACAAACCTGCCCGCAACAGCGCCCACGACCGCCACCCCCGCCATACACCACCATGCCAACCCGACAATTCCCTTTTGCAGTCCAATCGAATAGATCCAGCCTGCCACCGCGGGCCCCAGCGTCCTCATAGCCGCGCTAATGCTCTGCGCAATGCCGTGAAACGTGCCGAGCACCGACGGATGCGGATTGCTATTGTTGACTAGGATGGCATTGGCGGGGAGCGCGAAGGTGCGGCCCATGACTTGCACGCAGAGGATGAGGGTGATGCCGATCCAGACGAGGGCGCCGGACGCGGGGCCCGGCGGAGGACGGGTAGAGGGGATGATGGACAGGTAGGGGACGAGGGCGTAGGAGATGGGGAAGAGGCAGAGGGCGTAGCGGAGGGAGCGGATGGTGCCGAGGCGGAAGCTGAGGCGCGGGTAGAGGAGGAGTTGCAGGGAGAGGCCGATGACGCCGAGGATGGCGAGGGCGGTGCCGATGGAGGGAGGCGGGAGCGCGAGGCCGCCGGTGAATTGGAAGGGGAGGTGCGGGCGGTAGTGGTTGGGTGGGTCGTCTGTTGCTCGGGGGGTCGGGTGGGATGCGCTGGTGCTAGGGTCGTAGCGCGAGGTGGAGAGGAAGACGAACCAGAGGTTGCTGAAGGTGCCGATATGCACGGCTAGGAGGCCATGGGACAGCAGCGCGCAGAGGACATTGGCCGTCCAGATTCGGCGGATGGGGAGCTGGCGGCGGATGGCGGGTTTGGGGGTTTTGGCCGTGCGCTCGATGTCGACTGCTTCGGAGGGGTCGTGCTTGTTGACCGCGAGGTAGTCCTGCTTCGGTTTGATGCGGAAGATGGTGCTTCCCACCCACCGCGAGAGGCGCAGGCCATAGTCCGGCCGGTCTTTCAATGCATAATGCGTCTCCTGCAATCCAAGTACCAGCGCCAACGCGCTTACGAGCAGGAAGCAGGCATTGACCACATTCGGCAGCGCATACGGCCACCTGGTCAGCCAATATACTCCATCCTCCCCGCCGAGAGCACTCCCAGGTCCAAAGAGTCCAGGATAATTGCCAACCGGATCCGCCAGCAACCCACCCATCAACGGGCCAACAATGACGCCCGCATTGAACGTCATGGGCAGCAGCAGGAATGCGCGCGACTGGTACTTCTTCTCCCGGATAATCTCCGAAATCATCGTGCGCATGACGCCAATGTTGCCGTTCAGCAGCCCGCCGACGCACCGCCAAACCACCGCCTGCAAGAACGTCTGGCTGAAGCCAAAGCCCAGACTGCCGATCGCCACGCCGATCAGGCCGACGAGGAGCACGCGCTTCCGTCCCATGCGCTCCCAGTCCGCCATGCGGCCCCAGAACATGGCGGTGGTGAATTGCGCGCCGGTGAAGGCGGCGGCCAGCATGCCGGCCTGCCGCGCGACCGTTTCGTCCGAGGGTGAGGAGCCATCGGGCAGTTTGAAGGATTTGAGCTGGTAGAAGACGTAGCTCTGCAGACTCGTTTGCGCGAGGGGCTCGGAGAGGCGCGCGAGCGTGAGGATGGTGAGTTGGGATTTGCGCGGCAGCTGCGACCACGAGACGGGCTTTTCTTTCACTGCTACCGCGTCTTGCGGCGGCGGCGGGGCTTCATCTTGCTCGTTGGGATGCAGCACGAGCGGGTCGAGTTCTTGCAGGTCGAGATCGTCTTCGCCATCGTCGCTAATGTCATCATAATGTCTTCGTCCATCTGGCCCTGCTTCCCGCCGCGCCTCGTCCAGACTGGGGAATTTGGACGACTCGGCGCTCGCGACGTACGTCGACGCCGCGCTATCTACATCTTCGGATCGCGCGGTGCTTTGCGAGAGCGTGTGTTGGTGCCTGTGGCTCATCCAGTCCGTGGTGGGGTGTAGTGGAGGGGTGCGGTCAAGTCTCGTGCGATATCGGCGCAGCGATGAAAATCACCTTCGAAAGCCGGCGGGGCATGAAATACGGGAGAGTGAAGATGGGAAGCGGGATAGAGAGAAGACGTAGAGTAGAAAGAAATACAGCGATGCCTTGCAACTCTGTTTAGACCCACCGTCCATTTGATTCGGCCTCTCGCCGGTAGATAGCGTGGAAGCGTCTTTAGAAAGCTGCGGTGAGAAGAAGAGGGTCCCGATGCAACATTTTCCCGCCCAGCGTGCCGACATTGCCGACTGCACGCCTTGTGATTCGCCGCGTACCTTTCAACGGTCTTGCCCATTGCAGAGCTCATGGCGTGCTTCATATATCAATATGAGTCGGAGTGGCGCTGGAAGTGGTGGATACTGAACGACCGCCGCAACATTCCGGTGAGGTGTATGCGTACAGCATCTACACATTGAGCCGTGAGTCAAACGTACGTCTATCGTTTTCGCCGGCGCCATCGCTATGCTTCAGTCAATGCCTGGCCTTCCAACATCCTTTCTCTAGAAATCGTTCTCCTCGCTTCCAGCGACAATGACATTGTTCACCTTCAGCACCATCCGACACAGCTGGGTGGCGAGGAGCAGTTGCTGCCTCTTCGATATTAACGGGTCGATGACAAAGTGCTGCTTCATGTCTGCAAGTAATGCGTTAGCAAGCACGACAACATTAACCCACGGACGCGTCGCAATCACTCACCATTCGAGCCAGTTTGCATGCAATCCACGCCCAAGCGTCCCCTGCCCTCGCCCTTCACTTGCTTCGTCTTCAACTCCGACAGCGTCTCGATGGGGCTCAGCCCGCTGTTCTCGGCCAGCGCCATCGGGACAGCATCCAGGGCGTCGGCGAATGCGCGCATGGAGTATTGATCCAGCCCCGTCTCCTCGTACGCCGCATTTTCGACCGCAATGCTGCAAGCAATCTCCGCCGCACCACCTCCATACACAATCCGATTATCTTTGACCAGATTCCGCACCACACACAGAGCATCGTGCAACGACCGTTTCGCCTCGTCGATGATCATCTTGTTGCTCCCTCGGATGAAACATGTGACGGCGCGGGAGTTGGGAATGTCTTCAATCACCAGCATCTTTTCCCGGGTCGTGCCAAACGACATCTCTCGCACCACGCCCGCCTTGCCGAGCTTCGCCGCCGTCAGGTCTTCGAAGCGCGGGACGATGCGTCCATTTGTGGCGATTGCGATGAGTTCAATCTCGGGTCCTCCCACCCATCGCACCGCCGGGAGCTCGTTGGTGAGCAGCAGGTGATTTGCCTCGTCATCGAATCCCCACTGGCATATCACCACGTTCGCGCCGGTGTCCTTGATCTGCTTGATCATCTCCGCAAACTTGGTCTGTTCGTATTTCTGCAGCTCCCGGAACTCCGAAACGGAGGTGATGTCGAGCTTGTGCTTGGTCTTGGGCTTGGGCGGCTCGAAGGCGCAGGTGAGAATGGCCAGCTTGGCGTCCTTCACTTCCGAGGGCATTTGGGGGTGCGAGAAGTCCTTGTCGACAATCACGCCCTTGACGAGCATCGAATCCGCGAGCGCGCCTCCCACCTTGCCGTCCACCTTGATCAATTCGAAGTCGACGTCTTTCCGCTCCAGATCGGCGACGGAGAGCACGGCGTCGACGGCAATGTTGGCAAAGTGATCATGCGCTTTGGACACAATCTTGCTCCCGAGTGACGTCTTGGCCACCTTGAGCAAGTTCTCGGTCGAGTCGCGGGAGAAGGCGATAGTATCTGATATGCGATCCAGTTCTGCCACCGCCACCTCGCACGCCGCATCGTAGCCATCGGCAATTCTGATGGGATGGATGCCCTTGTCGATCAGATCGGCGGCTTGTTCGAGCAATGCGCCAGCCAGCACCACCACACCCGTAGTCCCGTCACCTATCTCGGCGTCCTGGCTCTGACTTAGACTGACGAGCAGTTTGGCAATGTGATTGCTAATCTCCATCTGGCCCAGGATGGTGGCGCCATCGTTGGTGACGGTGATGTCGCCATCGGGGGAGATGAGGATCTTGTCCAAGCCACGGGGGCCGAGGGAGGTCTTGACGATGTTGGAGACGGTGCGGGCGGCCATGATGTGGTTCTTGATCGCTTCGATGCCATGCGTCCGCGTCTTTCTGCCTTGGTCGCGCACGATGATGAAGGGTCTGCCATTCTCATCTTTTGCTATTTGAGCTGTGGAATTTGTCGTTAGTGGTTGCTACAGCAAAGATGGTGGAAGTGAGGGTCATACCATTACTGAGGTCCAGCTCTGTCAAGTGAAATGGAATCGTCAGCACAACTGAGCATCACATGACTTCACCGAGCGAGACTCACGCATATTCCCTGCCATATCTGCAGTCTGTGCCTTCTCTTGTTCTCACCACGGAGTGTCTTCTTTCAAACTCCTCACAGGCTGCCGTTCGTCTGGCTTCAACCTTCCCTTGCACCCTCAGCAACCAGCTCTTTCACTCTCCAATATGCTGCGAAATCACCTCCACTGTTCTGATGGCCAAGGACAAGCTCGTGGATCTGGCAAGACGAGGTACGTTGTGTCGAGCTGAGTTGTGTTGCGATGTGATGTGATGTGATATGATGCTCCGTGTCTCTCACTGCTCCTCCGTTTCTCAATTTTCTTCGCGGGGAGACGCGCGAAATTCTGCGCACGGACTTCTCCACTCCACGCGCTGCAGAGTGACCCTGGAGCTCCTGCAACCACTACTCGCTTCATTGCCTCATGGCGCGCACAGCGCTCTAACACTCCTCCCGCAGTTGGAAGACTGAGACTCGCGCATCGAGATCTGGGTTCTTCGCAACGCCCATCATGCCGCGTGAGTCGTCCAGCCGCATTGCTGCGAATCGTTCGCAATGCAGCACTACTGACACCCGCGTAGCGGCTTTGAGCGATGACGACAACGAGAGCGACGGTCCCGATATGATTCCGGCCAAGGGCGAGATTCCCGTCAATAACGAAGATGCGAACGACGACGAGGAAGAGGAAGAGGAGGCGGCGGATGACGTAGAAGACGACGACGACGACAACGACGATGAATCGGAGGAGGAGTATCACGTCGAGAAGATCGTCAAGCATGGCTTCACCGACAACGACCAGACCATCTACCAGATCAAGTGGCTGGGGTACGACAAGAAATCAGACCTCACGTGGGAGCCGCTGAAAAATCTGTATGCGATGCCTCGCAACCGGCGCATGAGGCTATTGCTAACAATGGGGGACAGGGAGAACGCGCTGGAGATCGTCGAGGCATACCATGCGAGCATAGGCGGTCCTCCGCAGCCTCCGAGCAATAAAAAGAAAGGAGCCATGGGCAAGCGTTCGGCATCTGCTGCGTTCGACTCTCCTAGTGCCAATGCCGGCAGTGCGAAAAAGGGGCGCAAGTCCAATGGCGAGAAGCGATTCACGCCGCCGGACGGATCCTGGGAGAATCACGTTGCGCGTGTGGCCAGTATCGTCGAGGAGGCCTACGACATTACCAAGCCCAAGTCGGGCGTCCCGAGCAAGTCGCTGCTCGTGCTGATGGAGTGGAACGACGGCCACAAGACCACCTTTCCCCTCGAGACCGCGCGGCGCAAATGTCCCCAGCGATTACTCGACTACTACGAACAGCACCTGTAAGTGATGCTTCCTTTTTCTTCGAAACGAGGAGCTTGTTGAGATTCATTTTTGCAGGAGATTCTTCCCCGGAGATGAGGGACCTTGATCGGCTGACGCGCAATGTCCTGCAGTGTCTTTCGCACCGCGACTGCAGATGAAGTTCAGGAGTAGATGATTTGGACGGAGGAGGCGATGAATGAAAGAGAGGGGGTTTTCGGAGTTTCGCCACGCCTGTCTTGGATGAAATCCTACGTTGGTCTGTTAGAAGTCGCGGTGGGAGTGCTTCACCCGGCTTTCACTCACTCCAACGTGCAGTAGGCACAGGACAGGGTAACCCCCATAGGACGGCAAACGTGTGCCTCTCGTCTGCCGCATTGCGGGATTCGAGTCCTCATTAGCGACGATCAAACAGAAGAGTATCGAGCCTCAAGCTTCCATTTCATTGTCGTGTTATCTCCGAATGCCAATAGCATGAACGTTCACCCAGTATTGTCCATCTGCAGTGAGCAACTCCAGCAAGGCTGCTGCAGTGGAGATCCCATTTCGAGCGAAACACGAAACGAGTTGTCCCTCCTGGGATCTCCCCGCACGCCCGAGCCACCGAAAAAGGCCAGACCCATCAAATCAGCAAGGGACAGGCATTGGAATGTCCACGCCCCGGGGAAAGGGGAAGAACAGTCTCGCGGATAACCATCACCCCCGCGCCTACTATCCCCTTAAACCAGGACCAGGTAGGTATCCGGGCCGCGTTCCTTGCTAACGCAGGCCACGACATGTGACTCGGAATGTGGATGACAAAAAGCCACACCTGAGACAGAGTGATGGGAATGGAAGGAAGGGGTTGGATGGATGGGATGAATGGATGCAATGTGTGATTGATAGTCCGCTAGCCGTGGGGAACAGCTTCCACCCGCGCCGGGGCTGGCCGCTAGTGCGTCGGCAGCCGCGCCCCGGCGAGTTACCGATGCATTGGTGCGACGCGTCGAATCAGTCACCGCGAGGAATCCACGGGGTTGATGTTGGATTGGGGAGATCAGGAGGGGGTTGGAATAGAGGAGAGGAATCGAAGATGTAGCACACAGCGAAGTCCAAAACTTCAGCGCGCTCGATTGCATGTGCGACGAGGAGTGCTCGTCGCTCGGTGGTTCATCGGGGGCCTCATCGGTGGTTCTATATGCACGGGTTGCATTTGACATTGACGATGCATCTCATATGCCGAGCCATCTTCGCTTCGGAAGCGATTCATCACTCACGCTCAATGAATGTCAGATCAATCAATCTCGATCGCGATCTCAACTTCAATCTCGCATTCCCGTCGTGCATCGTAAAGTCGCCCAGATGCGTATGCTCGTCGCGTAGGATGATGCTGGATCTGCGCGTTCCAGACCTCGTCACGGCATGCCCAGAACGATCGAAGCACAAGATTGACGTATTCGCTTGGGGCGGCGGAAGCGGTCAACGGGAACACCGCATGTTGTCACTATTGGGAGAGCGGTGAAGGTGAGGTCTTTTGTACCACGCAGCTGCATCGCACAGGACCCCAGGAAGGCGCCTCGTTTGGGACCTTCCCCGGCTTTTCCTGTGCCACTCGGTACATGCATGTATGTAGGTAAATTGGCCAAGCCCCGGGGGCGGTGGTGGCTTGCAGTTGGGCTTGCGACTCGCAACAGTCGGTACGCAGCCGTGGGTGTGGTATACGGCCGTCAGTTCTGCCCGGTCTCGTTGACCATGACGTGTCCCCCGTCCCGTATCGACAAACGACGATCACAGCTGCATCCCATATCCGCCCGGCGAATGCTGTTTCGTGGGGAAACTGTGAAGGGCAGAGTCGTAGGGACTTCGGAAGGCCTGCCTAAAACCCCTTCGGCTCGTCTCTCCACAAGGCTCCGGTGGGTTTGAAGACTGGTGGCGGGGCGATCTTCACGATCAACGGATATTAGCCGGCGACTATGGAGCCGTCGATGACATTGGATCGTCCCTGGATTTTGTGGGAAAGACTGGCAAACAGGGCCGATTGATGTCATTGCGGTTAAAATGCGATTTGCCGCTCTGCGGGGGAAGATGGGGAAGTGGGTTGGACGGGATTGGACAGGCGGCGCTGCCGCGAACAGGGCTGGGATGGCAGATGACCGCTCTCGTGCATAGAAAGGAGTCTTGTGATGACGAGCAACACCACGCAGCTTCAGGAGCTGGCAGGAAAGCAGGTAGTACAGGTGAAGTCATTCAGCGAGTCGGCTGTCGTCAGTGCGAAGTGCCACCAACGATTGACGGATTCGCTCATTTGGTGTTCAATTTTGAAGACTCGCGTCGGCCATTTTTGTGTGGCCAGCTCTTGCGCCACGGCGATTTTTGCGCGTTTGAAACGTGTCTTTGAGTGGTGGGCGATCAATCACCTGGTCTGCGTTAGAGTGTGCATAGGCTTTGCGGCGATGCTGTTCCACGTCGAAACCGCGCGTCGGACCAATTGAAGCTGCAATGGTGATCTCGTGACGTGCGACTGGGCGCGTGGACCTCCGTCGTCCCTTCTATCCACATTCCCACGAGCCAGACACGGGATAGCATGGCAACATGATTACGACGGAGTGTGATGAGTCGAGTGGCAATGAATCGTGTTGACCACGACGAGAGCGTGTCGATAAGACATCCATCCTGCCACCGGCCTGCTCTCTCAGTGAGACGCCTCGTGGAGCCGATGGCCGCCCGCCCGTTTCCACTAATTAAAGTAAGCCGGCCACGTGCGGCCTCCCCAGGCGCGGGGAGTGGCGGCTACGAATATCCGCGCGAACGCCACAAATCCGTCGCTCTCTGGTTCGATGTCACGGTAGGTTGGCAGATGACTCGTCTTGGTTTTCTTGCGTCCGCCTGACGATTTTCGTCACACTTTTGCTCTTGTCCTCCGACTTATTACCTTGCCCAGGGAAAAAGTTGAGTAATCGACAAAAGTATTTGCGTTTGAGGCGTGTCTGGGCACGGGTAGTGGTGGGGAGTAGGACCAGACAAACGAGACTCTCACGTGCGTTGGGGACACCGGCTAAATGCAACGAGGCCGACATGATCGCCATCTCGTTTGCGCCATGGACACACGTTCCGTGTCTGTGGTGGCCTTCGGTGCTCGGTAAGGCAGGCGGCCTTTAGCCAGCGCGGTGGCAAAGATGCGGCAGTTGATGGAGGAGCGCCGAAAATGCGGCAGGAAGACGGGGAACGGGGCGATGGCGCAGCCAGGCTTGGTGAACCATCGCCCGTGTGCGCGGGTTGGAGGTTGGCAATGGGATTTGGCGCGCGGCATGGCCGTGGTGTGCGCACGCCAAGCAGGACATGCAATACGTCTTGGGGAGAAAAAGCAGTGACGCCTCAGGAATAAGCCCATTAAACTCTGGAAGGCATGATCATGATCAGGCGTAGCCAAGCGGAGGCGAAGTCGTGTCCTTCGTTTGGGGGAGGGCGGCAAGGGCTGCAGGGGGAAGTCGGAAGAGAAGGCTAGGGGAAGCGCCGGGAAGGAAGGAGCGACGAGGGAACTGGACCGTTGCATTTTATCCGCCCACCCCCTTCGGCACTCTCCCTCCCTCGCCCTCCCAATCCGGGGCGTGCAGCGCGCAGATGTCACGCTGCGGCGGGCCTTTATGTACTGCCCGCTCGCCCACATTCCCTTTCCTCGCACACGCTCCCCGTTGACCACTGTCGTGTCTGTTGCTGGCGAACGCTGCTGCACCAAAATCCATTCACGGTTGTGGAAGGAACGAAGAGGCGAGACTTTCGGGGCAAAGCAATGACGACGACGCTCCGCCGACCCGAATCTGGACTCGTGACCACCCGACTGGCCTTCCGATCGATCGAATCGGGCAATCCGCTGCAAACGGACGCCCGTCGCGGCAGATCCTCGTCTTGAGATATACCCTGCGCTGCCTCGGCCCTTTGCCTTTGCGCGCCTTACACCTACACTCTTTCTCTCTCTCGCTCTCTCCCTTCCTCCCGCCTCCCTCCCTCATCCTCACCCTCACCCACCATGCCTATACGACATTCGTTGTTGCGGCTCGAGGTGCCGGCGCTGCAGAGCGTCGACACCAGCCGAGTGGAGGACTTGTTCGGAATGGTAAGCGGCCACGGCCACGCGCTCGAATCACCGTGCGTCAGATTGTCAGCCTGCTAACCACCCCTTCTCTCTGCAACAGTGGTCGCTCTTTTCCAAAGCATCCCACGCCGTCGAAGATGGAAAGCGCCTGGAGAACCTCAGCTGGCGGCTGTGGAACCGCGAGACCTTTTGCTGTCAGCGCATCGCGCAGTCTCGACCCAACTCGCCCCCGCCCATTCCCATTCAACAACCGCAAGCGGACAACATTCCCGTCCCCGATCTCTCCTCCTCCCTCGACTCTCTCTCCTCCTCCTCGTCCGACCTCGAACAAGACGCTCCGTGTCGCCCCACCGCCGCCACCTCCCTACCTAATGCCCGACCCGAACTTCGGTGCACCGACACCCTCACGAATCGCGGGAATGAAAAGCACATCACTGCCGTCGACCTGGAGAAAATCGTCATCTCCATCCGACAGACGAAGGATCTTGAGCAGAAGCCGATCGAACTGCCGATCCCAACCTCCACCACTCCTCATCCGCGCATCTCGCCACAAATATCGCCCCCCTCACCCTCGGTCGATGACCCCTCCGGCCTCACCACCACACTAACCACCGCCACCGACGAAGCCTCCGACACCACCTCTCACGCACCCTCGCTATCCGTGCCTGCCTCCAGAACGCTCGAGTCCTCCACATCGACCGTCGACACGGACAAGGGCAAAGAGTCGCAAAGCTTCGACTCGGAAGCGAGCTCCAACACCGAAATGAGCTCTCATAGCATCATACGCGGCTTCAACCCGGGCGGCGTGCCGTCGTCATACCGCTCGCAGACCAACCTCGCCGTGCAACCGACGCCCATCCTGAAGACCGCCCCGCGCAAGTTTGACGCCCGGCCGAAGCGGAAGGGTCCCATGTTCACCATCGGTACTTCTTCCGGCGAGGACGAGAGCTCTCTCGAGAGCCACATGTTCAAGAGCGCGCTCTCGGAGAGCTTGAAGCGGCCCGGCAGCACGCTCAGCAGCTCCAGCGGTCGCAAACAGACGTCCTTCAAGGAGGAAGTCGCGATTGGTCGAGCAGCCGAGCACAGTCCGGTGTTCGAATCAGACGATGAAGACGAAGAGGTGTCGGAGAGTGCAATCGAAGAGGACGACGACGACTCATCGGATTGGGAGGACTCGGAAGACCAGAGCGCACACTCCTCCGTCAACGAAAAGGACATGTTTCAGCGCGTAGACTCCCGGCCAACACTCACCTCGCGACGCTCTCTCCTCACCACCCTCATCCACGAACCCGATCGCGCGCGAGCGCTTGCCAACGCAGCGTCCCGCTCCACCCCGGCCATCCACCGCTCTCGACACACATCACCAAGCGGCCCTTCGCTCGCGAGTACACCCGAGGAAGGCTCACAGCTTCAGCTCTCCGCCATGGCCCCCACCTCGGAAGCGCGTCCCATCATCATGACCACGTCCAACGGTCTCCACTCTCCGCAGGCCATGTCGCCCCGCTCCACGCGGCGCAACATGCTCTCCACCGAACTGACCGAGTCGCTGCGGAAGAATCTGTTGTGGGAGCGGCAGCACAAGAGCACCTCCAATCTTCCATCCTTCAAGCGACGACACACATCGAACGATGTGAAGAACCTCAAGCAACACCCCGAGCCGGTGCCCCTCTTGACTCCGAAGAATGGCACCAGGACATTTACGAACGACTTTTTCCACGCCGGCCTGCAGGAATACCACACGCGAGGGTGGTGAGGCAGCGCAGCGTGCGAAGAGTCTTCTGATTATTGTTACCACACACTTTGATACAGCGTTACAGCGAATGCTTTTACCCCGAACCGCTCAGCAGACCACTGCTGGAACAGCATGCGGTTCATTTACGGTCTACGACTATGGATTATCACGGCGCAACACTGGGGCCCGGCGGCAACAAAACTGATTTTGTTCTTATGATACCAGCATTGGCAAAGATATCACCTTATTGTTTCAACGCGCACTCGACAGCCGAGGGACTCAGTCACCGCCCATCTGTGGCACGGCACTGGGCGCAATGTACTATACCTTCAGAGAGAAGCGAGCGTGCTGCTATTCGCGGTGCTGCTCAGGAGACGAGGGACGGTGGTAATGGAGGACGGCCTCCGGGACAAAGCAGGGGGAAGGGGGAGAGGAGGCTTAGCAGCACACTCACCCCATATGTTGATGTACCTACCATAATTAGCAGCAAAAAATGCTCTTGCAACACACGAGGCGTGCAGACTTTTTCACTCATTGGCATGGTTTCCCCCCGTGCAGGTGCAGCGGAGACTGTATTGCCCTTATTATTACGCCCGCCACCCTTCGCATGTCTCCGGGAAGCATGTGAAAGTGGCCCATCCATATAGCCAGACCGCCCATCTAAAGTTCAGCCGTGCATACACGACTCTTCCCACCCACCGCCGCTTAAGCAGGCCCGACTAACCCTTGCCAAGACGGCGCTCATGCGTTTGTGTGCATCTTGCTGTGCTCCTCGGCCGTCTAGACTCGCGCACGACATCTTTGCTCTGCAGGGCAGCGCGAGCTCCCAGCTCCGTTGAGGAAGTCTGCGAATGGGGTCGGTCGGGTGCGGCGGAACTCTTGCGGCTCCTGGGACTATTGATTGTAGCAGCGAGCGGCCAAGAATATCTTGCCTCTCTTCCCTTTCGGTATTTCCCGGTTGGGGAGACCGCGTTGACGTCTGGTGGGAGCAAGCTGACACGAGCCATACATAGCCCCTCTCACGACCGTGGACCCGGAGAGTCCGTTATTAGCAGCAGGCCAAAAAGCATGTGATCCGGCGTCCATGCCGAGCTTATTCTCAGTAATTCATTAGTCCTGCGTCTTCGGCCTGCAGGCTTGGGGGAGGGCCCGAGTATTCCCAACGGTCCACCTTTCTCCTCCCACGCAAGAACGCGCTTCCCCCCTCCTTGCCATGTATCCTCGGTCCATCGATTACGCGTTCCCTGCGGAGCCTCTAGCGCTTTCGTAGTGCTCTCCGCATCCCGAGTCTTGTTCCAGCGCGGCGCTAGAAAAGCGAGAGAATGCGTGTGCGGTGGCGGCGGGCGGGTCCAAGGCAAGCGCGTCGCGTGGCGCCACTTCCGCCGCGGTCGCCTCCTCCTCCACAAGCCGACTGCCTTCCTTCGCGCCCGCATCTCATCACGTGTTGCGCGAAGTCTGACCATCATTGGAATGAAGGATGGCGGATCCTGGGGAAGACGGTAAGCATACTCGTGTCACAGCGCATACACTGTCCCTCATATGCTCATTCGCACTGGCCAGGCACAGCGACAGTAGCCGATGGGGGCGAGTCAAATGGTGCCGCTGCAACTGGCCATGTCGCCCGACAGAAACCCATATGCCGCTTCTACAACACCCCAAACGGTAGGTCTTGTGTTTGCATCTCTTCCCTGTGTCTATTTACTTCGACCTCGCCTTTCGTCTTCGAGCTTTTTGGCTGGGTGTCGTGGGTTTCATGAACGAGCGTGATTCGTCATGAGTCATTACGGTTCACAGTGTCTCGAAGACTTCAGATGAAGGCTTTGTGCTTGAACTTCGCATCTATGGCATTGTCTATTTCTTCTCGCTCCATGTTCAGCTGTTTCATACCATCCCTCACGCCATATTGATCGTTCCGCCTTGTCCACCTACTAACCTACAACCAGGTTGTCGATCTGGAGACCAGTGTAGATTCATTCACAGCACCCAAACAACGCACACCAACAGCACATCAGACATGGCGCAGAAGAAGATCTCTAAACCAGCTCAGTCATCGAGACCGCCAGCGACCAGGGTGGAAACGGCACCTCGGCAGAACCAGGTTGTCTCCAAACCGACACCCAAAGTAGACCCCCGAACTTTCCAACTCAACCAGATCCAGCGAAGATTCCAACCTGAGCAGACGGAGAGCGAGGGCAGCACCGTCTTCAAATTCCCCATGAAGCCTTCCGACCCGGACTTTCCCTACGACATTGAGGCGCTGGAATGTCAGCTCACCGTGCCTTCGACATACCCCAACTCCGGACGGCCGACGCTTCTGATTAAGAACAAGGACATCCCGCGCGGCTTCCAAATCAACATTGAGCGTGGCTTCGACAGCATTGCTGCGGCGTCTCCAACGACGACCTTGCTTAGCCTCATGAATCAGCTTGATCGACAACTAGAAAGCATACTCGCCGGTCGAATGGCCGATACGATTAAGATAGTGACGAACAAAACACGGTCTCAACAATCGAGTGCGGCGGAGGGAAGCCAAGTCGCGATTCAAGAGAATCCCGTTCCGCTCGTTGAGGAATGCAGTGTTGTGTTCACCACCCAGCAGATCGTGGCGGCGGAGAAGGCACGTCAATCGCATGTTCGACAACTCGAGGCCCGCTTCTCTCGACTGCAGCCATTCGTCAAGTCGTCTGACGGAGGCTCCTATACAATTCCCATCGACTCACCGAAACGATCTGCCTGGCCGAAAGCGCTACAGCCTATCCGCTCAGCTCACTTACTCGTCCCGCAGCGGTATCCTCTTGAACCAGCCGAAGTGCTGTTCGACGTCGAGGCTCCAGAGGCTTCCGCAGTATCGGCTGCGTTTCGAATGCGGGCTGCGCAGACTCCGGAATCGACCCTCACACAGCAAATCAACTATCTTATTCAGCACATGAAGGAGATGTCAGTCCTCCCTGCGGAAAACAAGCAAGAGGCTCCTTCGCAACAGCCTCATGCAAGCACAGATGCTGCGCTTTCGCAATCATCACAACCGCAGACTGCCGCCGTAGACTCGCGCGACTCACATATACGCTACATCCAGCGTCCGGCCGAATGGGACGCTGCGCCAGACTCGGACAGCTCAAGTGACGAAGAAGACGGCTCCGTAGATAGTGCGACCGATGAGGACATTGAGACAGGCGAAGATGCGCCAGCAGATCAGCCTGCCACAAGCGCGCCGGCCGAACGAGGCATCCTACTATCACTCCCTCGTCTGGAACTGCACGGAATTGAACTTCTGGAGCTCGTATCTCTTAACATCACCGTCAAGTGTGAGCGATGCAAGGACATCTTAGACATCGCTCGACTTCGCAGTGCGGGAGAAGATGCCAAGATGCGACTGGAGAGCTGCAAGAAGTGTGCAGCTGGGATAGCGGCAAGATACCGAGCAGACATGATCCACGCCAACTCTGTTCGAGCGGGATACATCGACCTCGAGGGCGCGATCATTGTGGATCTACTCCCGAGCAGCTTCATCGCCACCTGCTCCGGATGCTCCACACCCTCACCCGCTCCCGGCGTAGTCGCAGTGCGAGGCGACTCGGCCATGGCAGTATGCCGCGAATGCCATCAAAAGATGTCCTTCCGCATCGTCGAGGTCAAGTTCCTCCAAGTCAGCGCGTCCGCCATCCGCGCCTCCACGGTGTCCGGCAAGAAGAAAGCAAAAGAGAACCTGGGCATCACCGCCGGCACCGCCCTCCCCAAAGAAGGCAGCTGCTCCCACTACCGCAAAAGCTACCGCTGGTTCCGCTTCTCCTGCTGCGGCAAAGTGTTTGCCTGCGATCGATGCCACGACGCGCAGTCAGATCATCCGAACGAATGGGCGAATCGCATGCTGTGCGGGTACTGCTCGCGCGAGCAGAACTACCGGCCGGAAGATTGTGGGATCTGTCATGCTTCGTTGATCGGGCGGCGCGGGAGGGGGTTTTGGGAGGGCGGAAAGGGGACGCGGGATCCGAGGAAGATGAGTAGGAAGGATCCGAGGAAGTATAAGCGGCGGCCGGGGACGAAGGCGACGACCTAGCCATACGTGTACTTCTTGAAGACTCTATGTGCGCTCCTGACGCTGACTTTGCTATTCCACTTGCCTGAGGCCCGTTTGATATGGCTTCCTGGATAGATAGGCAAATTTGGCAGAATCATACACACACTTTTGTCACTCCACTTTCATGCATCAATAGGCGTTTCAGCCTCCAGCTGACCTGCCTCTCCCGTACAACATCCAATGTCATTGCCAACTACGAAATGTGTCTTTGTGCTTCCGCCCACGTTCGGGTAGTTCAAAGACCTCCATGAGATTTTGAAGGTAGATGTGAGGGCGGGATTGGGCTATGGGCGACCGTCGTCACCTTTAACGAATCATGTACCTCACCCGCTGGCGAAGCGCCTCAACGCAATCAACAGACAGTCTCGAGTTCAGACATGGCCCACTCAAGAGCAACAAGACTGGCATGCGGCTTGCCCAGATCCAACCTGGAACGGGCAACAAGGGCATCGCCATCGACCTCATTGACTCTTTCGTATCAGGCCCAGGACATGTCCCCTATGATGCCCTTTCCTATGCGTGGGGAAACAACGAGCGCACGAAAATGATCAGCTGTAACGGTCGACGACTGGCGATAACGCAGAACCTGCTCGAAGCACTGCACCGCTTCCGGGAACCGGACCGCGTCGTTACCATCTGGATTGATCAAATCTGCGTCTGCCAGGAGCGCATCAAAGAACGCAATCAGCAGGTCCAGCTGATGGGCAAGATCTTCAAGCGTGCGCGCAAGGTCATCGTGTGGCTCGGTGAAGACGACGAGGACAGCAGAGCTGGTATGCAGCTCATTACGCAGCTTTTGAGCATCTCGCACCATCAGTCTGTCAGCGGTCTGACGCCGGCGGACCTCGACATTCACGGCCTTCCGAAGAGGGAGCATCGAAGATGGACGGCGTTGTTCGCGATACTACGACGTAGATGGTTCTGGCGCACGTGGGTGGTGCAAGAGGTTGTGTTGAATCCGAACGTACAATTCGTCCTCGGCTCGCCTTTGAATCCAAGCGTCTCCTGGGATGAGCTCGAGCGAGTCGTGGCACTACTGGAAGGTCCCATTCCGCGAGAGTGGCAGCTCGACCAATCCCTCAACGCCTCTGAGCTTCCCTTTTCGCGGATGAACCGTATTCGCATGCGGCATCAACGGCTCATCACTACGCCGGTCACGCCTACTGCTCCAGAAATCAAGTATGATATCGATACCGACATGAACATGGATTCGGAGAGCGGCTTGATCGATGATCAGGATGACGACCCTCAACTTCTCGATCTCCTTCTCATGTCTCGTAGTCTTGGTGCTACCGATCCCCGTGACAAGATTTTTGCTTTGCTCGGGCTGAGCCAACATAACATCGATCCCGACTACTCACTTTCGCCGGAGACTGTCTTTACCCAATTCGCGCGGCAGACAATCGCAGCTGTTGAAGATGTGAAAAATGGAAGCTCTGATATCTCGGTTCGACATCGAGAGGTGCGACGAGCGATGATTCTGATCTCTTGCGCGGGAAGACATCACCAAAAACTCGAACTACCTTCTTGGACTCCCGACTGGTCTGTCAATTTGAACTCACGCCCTCTCGTCTTTGGTCTCGGACGAAAGTTCAATGCTGGGGGTGACAGACTGGGCCCTTTCCAAGTGAAGGACGACTCTTCACTCCACCTGTGCGGCAAGCTTTTGGATACCATCAGGGACGTTGGGAAGGTCAAGCTCAACTTCGATGCCGGCTTCGGAGACTCGAGACCTCATCGACTCATTGAACAATGGTGGGATGAAGCGCAGCAAATCGCCACTCGACGCATCGTCCAATCGCCCGGAAGCACGATGAATGTGCCAGCATTCGAAGCGCTTCGGAGAGACCTCTCGCTATGCAGACATGGCTACTACGTCGGCGCCGCGGGTACTAGCCAGAACACTAGTATGTTCGACGACGCTGGCATCCCCAGCGAACCGAAACACAGCGCCTCGTGTGCTTCTCGGACGCTCACGCTCGGTCCGACGAGAGGTAGAGTCGTGTTCGCTTCTGCTACCGGGTACATTGGGCTTGCGCCGCATGGTACCATGGAGGGAGACTTGATCTTTGTTGTCATTGGGGCCGATGTGCCTTTTGTTTTGCGGCCTTGTGAGCAGGGGTATGAGTTGATTGGCGAGGCATACGTGCAGGGTGCGATGAGTGGGCAGGTAATGGAGAGAGATGACATTGTTGTGCAAGACATCTTTCTACGCTAACCGACGGCCTTCTGAAGATGAGGAAATGACCAGACCTAACACTCGGATCCATGATATGACGGACTTAACGACCTAACGAAATCCAGAGCCCAGCTTGGCACCAACGCCACATCCTTTCCTTCACCATCGACTACGTGCGTTCCACGTAACCGACTCATTCACCATGTGCCTTTGTCTAAGTGAAAGAAGGCGATGCATTCTGCTTTGTCCATTGTCTTCACTTCTCTTTCAATCTTGACTGGGACACTTCATCACCCTTTCATCTTCGAACAATGGCAATATCTCACACAAAGAAGAGCAAGAATAATATATGGAGGCAAAACCGCCCTCCACCTCCCCTTTCTTTTCTCTCCACCCGTGCAACCATTGTCAACCCACACCGCACGGTGTCAACCCCAACTTTCATCCGGCGTTTGGTACGCTTTTCGTACGCCGGACGTGCCATACAGCGCCAACCCAACTAACATTCCCACCCCTTCCGCTTCCGCCAAACCCCCTTCTCTCCCTCCCTCTCTCTCTCTCTCCAACCCCCCCAGCGTCCTCAACATGCACGCCCCGCCCGAGCATACCCCCGAGCAGCTGCAGGGGCTGAGCGAATTGATCGCGAACGAAGGCTTGGAAGACTTCCCCTTAGACGCTTTGCTTTCTGACATGCTTGCAGAGATTCCACTGGACGCCGGCCAAGCAGCCAACGCCAACAATGGACCTCATGCTGCGGCACAGACCGCACAGGATCAAGGAGATCTCCAAGACAACCGGCTCGTGTATCCCCAATCAGGACAGATGACCATGCCTCAGATTCATGGCTCGCTGATTGTTGAGCAGAACGAGACCACCCGTCAGAACCAAGCCAACTTCAGCGCGAATCAAGCACTGCCCACCGCTCCCGTGCAAGAGGCCGAGACGACCAACGAGGCCGACACCTTCGATCCCAGCCTGTTCATGGACCCCGCTGTCCCAGACGCGCCCCATCTGAACCACCCCTTCTTCTCCGATTTGGGGTCTGATTACTGGAAGCGTTTCGACTTCGACTACATGACCATGCCTGGCGAGGAGGAGTTCCAAGCTCCCGGGCAGAGGTACGACTTCACTCAACAGCCCCTGCTCGTTGACCCCCAAGCGTTCGGCATCGATCTGACTCCTGAGCAGCTCGGCATCCAGGTGGCTCAGCCGCCTGCGCCAGAGTTCGACTTTGAGCAGTTCTGCGATCAGCTGGTGCAGACGCCTGCGCCGCAGCACACCGTCCAGAACGGCCAGTTTTTCCCCGTTGACAACGCGACTGTGCCGGATCAGGGATACTATCCCACCGGCGGGCCCATGCAATCGCAGAATCCTGTTCTGCATCAGCCATTTGCGTTCAATGGTGGGTACATGCCGCAGAATGCGCTCCAGAACCAAGCATTCAACTTCGACATGCCCCTCGTGCCGCAGCCGACGGTTCAGAACCAGCCGTTCACGTTCGGCATGCCTGAGAGCACCGTCGCGAATCAGTCATTCGACAATGCAGCGATGCCCACGCAACAGCTAGGCACGCCTCAGCAGCAGCTTCCGGCCGCTCAGACGCAGCAGCAGACGATCCCCCCTGAGATGCCTGTGGCGCCAGTGCCCCAGGCCGCTCAGAACAGGCCGATGACTTATTGTCTCTGCGCGAGCTCAACCCCGACAGACCCTCTCGATGTTGGCTTCGCCGCATACCGCTGGTGTAGAGCAGCAATCTACGATGCGCAGGCCGGGGCCGGTAACGAGCGCGAGAGTCTGCGCTTGACGAGGCTGTCGTGGATGCGGGAAGATAAGCATGCCACTGAGACGTACGCCGCGTACGGTCAGAGCCAAATTGAAATCTATGCCCGTCAGGGCAAGACGTGTGAGTTTGCTAATCAGCAGCCGTTTGGAACGCCGAAGTGCACGTGTGGTGCGTTTCGGAACAATATGCAGGCTGCGGCGCTGGCAACCGTGGCCGGCCCTTCGTATGCGCCTCATGTATCGTTGCCGTCATCTGGCTCCGTGCCTCAGCCGCCGGCGCTGGGTCAGCAGAACTATCATGTGGGCTACGCCACAGTTCACATTACGGGGCCGCAAGACCCGCAAGGTTTAATCGATGCGGCGTCTTCACGTCCTGTGTCTATTCCGACATACGCAGACTCCAAGCAACAGACTGACGGTTCGATCACAGGTGTCGCTTCGCTCAGCGCTATCAAGGTAGAGCATCCTCAGCAGCACGGCCAAGACGCGGCGTCGCCGGATGCCAACGCCTCCTAAGGTAAAGCAGCCGTGGGATCAGCAGAGTCAACATCAAGCGCGCCTACAGTCGAGGCTTCCTCCCCCTCTTCGAGCGTCATGTACAACGCCCTCTCCGACTTCCTCAAGCGCAAGCGAGACGAAGAGCCAGCAGATGCTCTCCTCGCCATCGCCGGGAACGGTCAGCCCGCCACCAAGCGTCGCGTGACTCCCCCTCGCGCCAGCAAGAAGAAGACGAGCTACGTCGAGCCAGATGAGGACGATATCTACGCTCCCGAGAACGAGGCTGCTGATCCAGACGGTAAGTCCAAGAAGAAGGTGAGGTTCGCTTTGCCCGACGACGACGAGGACGCTGAGGCTACGGCCGGCGCAGAAGTCGATGAGGGCACTATCGTTGTCGCTCAGCGTTGTTCTCGACTCTAGTAAGTCGGCCATCGTAGTCGCTTGAGTGATTGTGAGAGGAAGAAACAGGTAAGTGAGTTTGTTTGTCGCTTTTGTTCGCCTGGTCTTGCCTGCGGGCGAGGTCTTGGGCGATACTACTGCATCAGGTAGTAGGTGAGTCGCTCGCTTTCTTGAGCAAAGGTGCTTGGGAATTGGATAATTGTAGGATAGAGATAAAACCAGAAAATGAAGTACACCTTCGGGTGGAAAAGAAAAGCTACCGTTCCTGTTGACATCTCATACTTAATCGTACGCACAGGGTAATGGTCAACACATTCGTTCGGAGCGATTTGAATTGGACAAACTACATAGGGGTCTCACAGAGCTCCTAGAATAACCACACCATACACCCCCGAACGCCAAGCGCAGCTCGTAGAACCCCATTCCCCATCTCTCTACGCATGTCTCTGATACGTGCCCACCACCATGGCGTGATCTCTCTCGAACGGCTCCAAAGTCAGTTGCTCCTTGGGCTTGATCCTCTCCTCTCGCAGCTTGGTGACCTCACGGGCAAAGACTTGCTCTGGTGCCGCGGTAGAGTCGATACAGTTTGCCTTGATACTGACGACAACGCCGCCACCAACCTTCAGGAATTGATGGGCGTTGATGCCGACAATACGAGCCTGATCCGGCTGTGCGACGTCGGCAAAGATGCAGTCAACCATAGACACGAGCATGCGGTATTTCAGGGGATGACGGGCGTCTTCGATGATGGGAATGACATTGGTGCGGTGAGTTGCCATGTTGATGAGATCACGGCCGGAGCGGTGAGAGAACTCTACTGCGTAGACAGTTCCGGTAGGGCCGACGATGTCAGCGACGTGAGAGACGGAGGTACCAGAGGCAGCGCCCAGGTAGAGCACGCGACTTCCGGGCTTCATGTGGATATCTTCCAGACCGCCCAGGATACCAGCCGCAAGCTTGGAGCGGAAGGGGTTCCAGACGCGGTATTCGGTCTTGGTCGATGCGGGCCCATCGCCATTGGCGCCGGTGCCAGGGGTGGCATCGTTGTCGACGGAGATGCGCTTCTCGCCGTAGACTGCTTCGCCGGGAGTCAAATTCTTGGTGACGAGCAGGTCCTCCTTGCCTCGCGCAATGAAGACGCCGGGATGTCTGTGCGGTTCCTATACCGGGGAAGTCAGATCAGATACAGCGCAGTCATGGAGGGAGATGCAGGTGCAGCGTACGATGATCACTCTTTGTCCACCCTTTGCGCCAAACCCGCCTCCTCTGCCGCCGCCCCTTCCACCTCGCGCTCCACCACGCGAGCCGCCTCTGGGAGCACCTCTGCCACCTCTTGCACCTCCACGACCTCTGTCGCCGAAGCCACCACCAAAGCCACCTGGAATCATGAGCGTCTGTATCATCATCCACAACATTTCATCAAGTGCCTACCTCTGCTTCCACCTCTGCCGCCTCGATCTCCGCCGAACCCGCCTCGTCCTCTGGGCGCACCTCTTCCTCGATCACCGCCTCCGCGACCGCCACGTGGGGTGAAGGCCATGATATGAGAGGGTTGTGTATGTGTGGGTGGTGTTTGGTGTGTGCACGTCGCCGAGCAATTTCATCTTCGAAGCTTGAGGTTGAAAGAAAAGTTTAGCTTCGGCGTCCCAGGGGAAAGTTGGCCGAGCATCTTTCTGCGGCCCACTGCCAAGACCTCGAATTTCGACCACGGCGAAGTTTGAAAGTTCACAGTTGCGCTTGCGAACATCAGCTCCTCCACCCGCAACACCATCTCAGACAACCGACAAGATGGTATGCGCGTCCAGTATTCAATCCATTGGAGGCTGCATCACTGACATGTTTCCCCTCACCAGGTTCGATACGCAGCCACCCACCTCGAGCCCGCCAAATCCGCCCGCGCCCGTGGCTCCTACCTCCGCACCTCCTTCAAGAACACCCGCGAAACCGCCCAAGCAATCAATGGCTGGAAGGTCACCCGTGCCGTCACGTTCCTCGAGAATGTGATGGAGAAGAAGGAGGCGGTGCCGATGAGACGATATGCCGGGAGCACTGGCCGTACTGCCCAAGGTACGTGAAACCACTCCATCATCCACGCATGATGAGTGTGCCTAGTGCGAGGATGCATTGCAAACACATATACTGACGGGGATCGAACGTGAAGGCAAGCAGTTCGGCGTCAGCAAGGCTCGCTGGCCCGTCAAGTCCGCCGAGTTCCTCCTCAGTCTGCTCAAGAACGCCGAGGCCAACGCCGACACCAAGGGCCTGGACACCAGCAACTTGATCGTCAAGCACATCCAAGTCAACCAGGCGCCGAAGCAGCGGAGACGCACATACCGTGCTCACGGCCGAATCAACCCCTACATGTGAGTTTGGCGCCGCTTGTTTTGTCACTCGGCGCAACATCTAATACGATTCCAGGTCCAACCCATGCCACATCGAGCTCATCCTTACCGAGGGCGAGGAGGTTGTGGCAAAGTCCGCCCAGGTTGCAGACCGTGACCAACAAAAGCATCTGACCTCGAGGCAACGGGCGCAGCGCGTGCGTCGCGCCATCACCAATGCATAGAGGATCGACACATTTTCGAAAGGCGTTCATTGAGAGTCTGAGCAAGCAAGGATAGCACGTCGTCTGCGGTGGTGAAAAGACAGGCCATCGCATGGGCATAGCGCGTCTATAGCTGCTTGATCTATGAATGGAATTCGCTTTGAAGAGCTCTCTATCACCACCCAACATGCTAGCCATCATCGGCACTGTACTGTCATAATCTCGCTCCGTTTCGTTTCTGGTTCGCAAGGTCGTTGAACTTGTTGGGATTGTGCAGAAAGCTTTCGTCACCAGAGAATCGCCTGTGGTCATTGAATGTCAGCAAATGCTCCTCAATGATGATGAAATGTAGACGTGGGAGAGCAGGACGGAACGAACCAGCCTCGTTCTTCACCATTCTCCAAAAAGGAACAATCACTGTTGAGCTCGCAGTCCCAACCTCCAGCCACCCCACTGCCATCCCTCCACCCAACATCCGGCACCCGGTCAGAATACTGGGGATCCCAATCTTTGGACTTCTGCGACGACGAGCCAGCCTGCTTTCGTCTCCGGAACTTCGAAACACCAGCAGTGTAGCATTGGAAATCCTCCTCTCCCACCTCCTCCGGCATGCGGCCCGTCAAAGCGCGCCCAATGGAGATGATGGCCGCAGCATGCGAACACAGCAAAATCGCCTTCGGGCCTTTGGGATCCTCGTCTGCCCGCTTGATCAATCGATCCAGACAATACGCCAGCCGATCGTGCAGTTGCGGGATACTTTCGCCGAACTTGTGAGGCGCGATGATAGGCTTCGGCTCGGCGCACAGGTAGTCGAAATGCTTGCGCAACTCGTCGAGGCCGGAGGGACTGGGATGCTCGAATCGCGCGGAGCCGTAGAATTCGCCCAGCCCGGGCTCGAGCCAGACTTTCACGTTAGATGCGCCGTCGCGCTCCGCGAGGTGCTGCGTGTAGGGCGCGATGGTCTGAAGGCAGCGGTAATATGGGGAGCTGTAGAGGGTGTTTGGCGCCGGGTCGAGGGTCATGAGGTGCGTGCCGAGTTGCTCGGCCTGGAGCACGCCGTAAGAGGCGAGGGAGGGGTCTGCTGGGTTGCCGGTGGGAGTGCGCACGTTGCTGCTGTATGTCCCGGTTTGGGGGTCGACGTTCCAGTTTGAGCGATACTGAGGGCTTGGGTTAGCTGGATGGCTGCAGAACTGGAGGCAAGCGATGTATGAAAGAGATGCAGGTCTGATCACTGGCACTCTTGGATGATAAGACGAAGCAATGGAGACTCACCCCATGTCTCACGACATAGATCACCTCTAAAACCATCCTTTCTGCGCGCCGTTGATACTGAAGATGTCTGTTGACAACAATATGCGACTGGTGAGGTTAAAGTAGTTTCTCGATCCGGAAACAGCCGAGGTTGCATGGGAATATGAAGTGAATTCAACGATTATCGATGCAGGCACAACATAGTAGTAGGATGTGGGTTGAAGATCAAGAGAGGACGAGGAGGCGCCGCAAAGAAACACCAGGTCAATAATGATGCAGTGAGCAACGGAACAGATATGGGACGATTGACTTTTCTTCATTGACTGTCATCTACTCTATTCCCGAGAGGACATGAGGCACTCATGTTAATTCTGCGTGATCTAGTAGAAGAAGCCAATGATCTTGCCCGCCACATGCTTTCTCCTCGCCTCCTCATGGTCCATGATGCCCGCCGAGGTGGTGAGAACCAGGTAACCGAATTGACGAGACGGCAAGAGCTGCACAACCCACTTCTCCATATCCTTCAGCTGGACGTTGTAGCGTGGGCTGATGACACCAGTCTTGTTGAGGCTGCAGCACCGTTAGTGATTCGCACACCATGGAGGGTCTTGTGGTTCATGTGTACCGGCCATTGAGCTGGATGACGATCTTGCCGTTGCGGTGGTCGTCGACTTCCTCGAACTCGCCAATGTAGCCTGAACACAAGAAGATCAGCGTGCTGTTGCGAAGAATTAAACATGCATCATCAGAGCGGGTGCAGTCAGAAGACGTGTAAGTTCGTCCGCTTGTGGAGTCTCAATCTTCCGAGTACTTAAAGGGCGTTGGTCGTAGAAGGTTGAGACCATTGCCTAGTTATCAACCCGGTGTGCGCACGTCTTCCACTGGCAACCCACTCCATTGATGCGAATGAACCTGACGTACCATGCTTTTGCATCACCTGCAAGAACTTGATGATGACCTTGGAGCTCGGGCGGATCAGAACTTGGCGCTTGCCGGCCTTTTCGGCGTTGTTGATGGAGTTGAGCGCATCGTTGAGGACGGATGTGCGGACCATGATGGCGGTGGGCGGAGATTCTCAAGGCGCACTTGCGGCAAGAGGTATCTGTGTGGAAATGGGGTTAGCCTTCAAGAGCCATTCGAGCGCAAAGAGTGCCTTCATGGCCGGGAGCGATGAAGGTTCTTCAGCTCGGGTGTAGGAGGCGCGGCGGTGTCATGGTCATGATCGCAGCGCCTTGGCTACATGAAGGACGACTCTGCATGTTCAATACATACCTCAAGGAAGGGGTGAAGGAGGTGGTGGTGGTTTGGTGAAGCTGCGGTGTCGTGGAGTTTTCGTGAATTGAATGGCCGCTCGCACTTTGGATTTTTCCAGGCTTGGCATGCACGTGCGTGGTCCGTGCACGCATTCAGACCCTCGAGCCACTCGCCCCCACCATTCAACTTCCGCTCCAGATTAATTTTTTTACCACCGTCCACCTCCACTCTTTCGCGCTCCCGCCCAGACCGCTCCAACCAACCTACCCATCCCTTCGACACTCCAGCTCCCTTGCTCGGAAGCCATTCAAAATGATCATCTACAAGGTGCGTTAGGCCCAAATTTTTGCCCCTGCTTGGGTGGCATTGGCCCCAATCATCAAGGAGGCGGTACTGACCAGCCCACCTGCAGGACATCATTACCGGCGATGAGCTGATCTCCGACTCCTACAACCTCAAGGAGATCGACGGTGTGGTCTACGAGGCTGACTGCACCAAGATCTCCGTCGGCGGGGAGGCCTTTGACGTCGGCGGGAATCCCTCGGCCGAAGAGGGGGATGAGGGTACCGACGATGCCGCGCAGACTGTCATTGACGTCGTGCACTCCTTCCGATTGACGGCGACCAGCTTTGGCAAGAAGGACTACCTCCAACATCTCAAGGGCTACATGAAGGCCGTCAAGTCGAAGATGCAGGAGCGCGGCGCCAGCGAGGACGAGGTCAAGACCTTTGAGAAGGGCGCTCAGACCGTGGCCAAGAAGATTCAGAGCAATTTCGGCGACTACGAGTTCTTCATCGGCGAGTCCATGGACCCCGACGGAATGTGAGTCTGCTGCCGCTTCGTAAATTATACCCTCTGCAGCGCTAACGGAGATACAGGGTTGTCCTCATGAACTACCGCGAGGATGGCATGACCCCATTCGTTACGATCTGGAAGCACGGTCTCAAGGAGGAGAAGGTGTAGAGGTGGACCGGGGCCCATTGAGCATGATACATGGCGTCCATGAAGCAGCAGCAGCTTTGTTCTGCTTCGTCTCCGAAAAGAGCGGCTCAACAAATTTACTCTGCTTTGTTTACCAAATCCAATTGAGAGATGATTTGATGGCTTTGTGCATCCATGAGACATGACAACTCTGCCCTCATCCGATCGGTTTCTCGCCTCTCATACCGGATGCCTGCAGGCTGTCGCGTCAGTGACACGCTTGTGCGCCTCATGCAAGCACTCTCCACGTCAATGCGCCAATCATCACGTGTGGAAGAGTCTCGACTTCAGGCAACACTCGTGCTGGCGCTGCTCGATGCGGCAAGTGAACGCCCGTGGCGCGGCCCGGCTCACTGCCTTCCCCGTGCCGACCCCAAGCTTTCACTAGCCTCGTCTTGTGCTTCACTCCTGAGGCACACATATATCAAACACCTCCTCCAGAAGTGAAGACTCCCATTCACTTCCCACTCCGTGAAGCCATTGGATAACACCTTTCCATTATAGCTTCGAAAAACGATACATGATCTTTATGTTTGTACACTTGCGCAGTAATGTCGCGGTCTGGAATGGCGCGCCCGCCCGATGGACCGCGGCCATCCTCATCACTCTGGCTGCATCGGGCGGCCAATGCGACGGAAGCCTTGGCCAGCTTTGGAACTGAATCTAAGATCAGCTTCCCAACGGGACTGATGTCCCCAGCGAGGACACATAAATCCACCGAGCAACAGATTCGGGAGAAATTCAGCTCGTTGTTCTACATTGATCGACCAACCCTTGAACTTGAGATCACTGACTTCTTGACTTATCCGGCGAATGTCTGGTCCGATCCGAACGAGAGACTGAAGTACCTGCTCGGAAAGCTGGAGAATGCCGTGAAAGGCACTCCGAGGCGGCTGACTCGCTCGGCTACCATGCTGGCCCGCACTCAGTCTGCCCAAAAGTTCCAGGAAGTGTTGGACGATCCGAACCCCCCGGACTCCACCAGCATGTCCGTCAAACATGGACCAAAGATCAGCGCCGCTGAGTTTGGAAAGATTGAATTACCAATGCCCATGTCCCAGCCGACCGGTCTCGTCTCGGCAAACACATCCTTCAGCTCACACGCATCATTCTGGTCCAATGCCCACAACAGTTCTCAGAGCGCCGGCACACCGGCGTCGTCGATGGGTACTCCAATGGAAATAGACGGCGCATGTGGCAAAAGTACCCCGGATTCTGAGTTCCCCATGTCATCGATGACTGCAGAAGCTTTCAGAGAGGCACTCAACGATGTCCAATCTGGCCGAAATGAAACTGCGGTTGACAGTCCTTCGAGCTACAAAACTCCATTTGAGAGCCCCTCGGATTACAAGTCTCCGCTCGGGAGTGGCTCAAGTTCTGGGAGAAAACGATCGCGAGAGGTCGATGATTCTCCCTTTGCGCCTGGGCGAGCGACCAAGGCTCAAGCAATGGATTTGCCATATCCAGCATTCTCCAATCCTCAGCAACCACCGGAATCTGCTGCAGAGGTACAAACTCCTCCCAGAACTGCTGCGGCCGGCCAAGCACAAGCACCTTTACTGTCTCCTGCCAGAACTCCGGCCGTAAACCACCGAGTTCGGGACATACCAGTCCACGGACTCTCTTCGATCGAACTACCTCCTTCATTTCTGAAACTGCGTTTCGACCTTCGACTGGAGGCCTACCGTGTCTTACAGACTGGGAAGATCTTGCCAGGGGCCCTGGAAATGCAATGGCGAACGCCGCGCACCATGGAAAAGTTGCACGAGTTGACAGATCGCCTCGGTATTCAGTATCAACACGGCTTCAAGACCGACTTTTCCGATGCGACTCTCTGCGCTCGTCTGCGATGGGGGGAAGATCCAAAAGGCCCATTACTACGGCTCGAGTTCCTGCCGCCTCGGAAGGAACGTAGCAGCGAGTTGCAGCGCAAATGGGGATCCACTCGATTTCTGTACGTTGATTCCGTCGATCCTGGAAGGCCGCCGAAAGGCATTTCTGGAAAGGACGTTCGCGAGCGGTTTGTGCAGATGCTTACCAACGAACACTCACTGCTGGGTAACAAGTACAAGCTCTTCTTTGCGCGAGATATCTCGATAACTCCCAGTCAAACAAAGATCCATCGAAGCGTCCTATCGGACGACGACCTCACCACATTCAATGTCAATCGGTTCAAGATGTCGGCGAAACCTTCCGTGCTTTACTCCGGGTTTCTCCCAATTCTGCAGCACGGCGGCGTACCATCTCACGTCATACATGAACACGTCAGGAAGTCTGTCGAGATGCTCGTGGATTCGTTCGAGGAGGCGCTGAAATCTCCTGTGCAGTTCCGCCAATGGCTTTCCGTGCAAAACGAGATCCACCAGACTGCAAACCGGGAGCTCGGCATCGAGACGGTGGCTGGATTCCCGGTTCTTATGTCGGAGAAGATCTATCAGATGCTGGAATCGGGCTTCGAGCCAACGAAATGCCGCTTCCTTGCCGATGAGATTGCCACCCTGATGACGGGCGTGTTCAATTTGAAGATGAAGAATTTCAAGATTCCGTATGCGCGCTCGACGTCGCTCATGGGAACCGTCGATACGAGTGGACTCGTCAAACCCGGCGAAGTGCACATCAGTTTCTCCACCACCTTCGTCGATGCGGTCTCCGGTGAGCGCTCCTCTTCTTGGCATGGCATGGCAGCACTCGTTGCACGCAACCCAGCAAGGCGTCCGTCGGACATTCGAAAGCTTCGTATTGTATCTCATCCGGATCTCAGCCACTTGACGGATGTGGCCGTCTTTTCTTCTCTCGGTCCGCAGCCCGAAGGTAGCAAGATGCAAGGCGGCGATTACGATGGAGATACTTACTGGATCTGTGTGGAGTCTAAGATTGTAGACTCTTTTCAAAACTCTCCAGCTCCGAGGGAATCCGAACTTCCCGACATCTCCGAACTGCTTATCGAAAAGGACGGTGCTCTGGTGCGCGACATCATTTCGATCCCGGAGAGCGACGGTGCAGCATTGGATGAGGACGAGGTTGCGGAATGGATCCGATCGAATCTTGTCCGTCGCTTTCAGCACAATCTGTTGGGAACGGTAACGCTGAAGCTAGAGGCACTGACGTATCAAGAGAACAATATCGCGTCCATCCGGGCCGAGCACCTGAACAACCTCCTGGACTACTTGATCGATGCCCCGAAACGGTGCTTGACATTCGACTACGCAGCATGGCAGAAGTTTCAACAGAAATACGATATACCTCGCGATCTGCCCAAGCCCGCGCATCGCCCATTCACCAGTCTCGACGAGGAAAGTGGGATCACTTTCGCTCAGGACTGGAACCCAAAGAACATCATCGACCAGGTGTACTTTGAGGTGCTACGCCCTGAGGCGAACAAAGCGATGGAAAGAGTTTACCGGATCATGGACGACGCCTCTGTGCACGATGATCAGCTCACGGGTTACTTTAGGCAGAGGCAGAGCGAGCTGGCCGACGGCTCTCCACTACGGAAAGAAGTCGATGGCTTACCCGCCAGGTTCGAGGAGATTGCACATGCTTGGTCGATTGGACAGAGCAAAGCCTTCCTAATGAAAGAGCAGAGCAAACGGATTGAATGCGTGATGGAATGTCGCAAGCTGTACGACGAGATTCAGCCACTCAGCATCTGCGAGGGCAGCGAGCGATGGAGTATACTGACAGGAAACGGTGCAGAGACGCATTGGGACGTGCTCAAAGCGTCGGCGTTCGCGGTCAGGTGCTGCAGGGATAGGAAGTGGAAGAAGATGATGTTTACCGTCGCTGGCGACGAGCTCTGCCGTCTGAAGGCTTCGTCGGGCCCCACTCGGGTGCTTAGGGAGCCTGCATACCTTGCTCTGAAGCCAAGCAAGTACAAGGCCTTCGCGACGTGTCCTGGTGCAGAGGGAGAGACGAGCGAAGGAGAGGAGGAGGATGATTATCCGATGGACGAGGATCTGTTCGATGATGTGGCGGTGGTTGCAGGGTGATGGATAATGCAACGGCGAAAGTCTGAATAGAGGCTTCGACTTAGACTTATCATGCATACATAATGCAACATACAAAGGCTTGGTCTTGATGATATCTCGACATCGAGTCGCGTTATGGTAGCCTCAGGCAGGAATCTGGTCGTCAAATTGGCGCTAACCTGATTGAGACAGCGGAGCGGTTCAGGTCGAGCTTATTAACATCCGTCGCCGTCTCATCATGAAATAATCCATCAACCATCCAGCATCTTCGCCTACCTATCACGGAACACACGGCTTCGAGACCCTTCCACTCCCTCCTTCGATCGCTCCTGTGTCGTATCTGCGCACCGTCGCCTTCCACACTGCCGAATCCCACTGGTGTCAATCATCTCCCTCTGGGCCAGTTAGGCACCCAACGATGAGATCCTCGTTCATCCCCCTCCTCCTCCCCGTCGCCATCTCCGCCCTCACATTCGACTGCGAACAGATACGCGACGATGGGCAATCGTTCAACCTCAAATCACTCGGCGGGCCCAAAACGGTGCACGACCAAGAATGGCTTCCCTCACCCCCCACGATCAAGAATACCACCTTCACCATCGACATCTGCAAACCGCTGAAGGACGATGCGAAGAAGGGCGAGAAGTGTCCGTCGGGGTCCCGAGTGTGCGCGAAAAAGTGGAATTACAGGGGCAGCGATGCGCCTTACTTGGACACCGTTGTTCCCATTGCGGGAGAGTACACGACTTCGCACGGGGCGAATCGAGGGTTGGATCCAAAGTTCACGCGGCTGAAGGGCAGTGCGGGCAACTCAGATGAGAGGGAAGGCATTCTTGTTGAGCTGCACGGCGGGAAGTATCCTGATGACAGCACGGGGGTCACGCAAAAAGCCATCATCGAGTTCCTGTGCGACAAGGATGTCACTGGCAACGAAGGCTTCGAGGATGAGAAGAGCGTCGTGGATGCCACCCAATACCAAGGCATGCAAAAGCGAGCCGACGACGATGATGATGGAAAGCCAGAGCTCCCGGACCTGGACAAAGGCAAGAGCCTCGAATTCCGGAGCTACAAGTTGGAAGACGAGACGCAAGTGCTGCGACTACGCTGGCGGTCGAAATATGCGTGCGAGGGCATGGCAAACAGCGGTGGAGGCAGCAGCGACAAGACCAAGGGCTGGGGCTTCTTCACCTGGTTCATCATCATCGTCTTCCTCCTGGCCGCGGCGTACATCATCTTCGGCTCGTGGCTGAACTACAACCGGTACGGTGCGCGGGGCTGGGACCTTATACCCCACGGAGATACCCTCCGGGACATCCCTTACATTGTCAAGGACTGGACTGCGGGTATCGCGGATAAATTGAAAGGGCAGAACTCGAGAGGGGGATATAGTGCTGTATAGATTTCGTCGTGTTGGAACGCGATTCGTCCGTGAGACACTCGGGCCCTCGTCATTCCGACGTGTATGCTCTCCTTTGACAGGCCTGCTCCTTGCATCTGCATCCCCACGTTCTGCCCTCATTCGTCGCCCTGCGGCGATCTCGCGCGTCAACTGCCGAGTGATGCGTTCATTCCACAAGCGTAATGCCTGCCTGCGCCACACGCAACGCCACAAAGCTAATGTACGTGCCGGGAATTCCTGATTTGGTTGCACGACCACACGCAAAACATTCACCCGGTCATCGTCTCCAAAAAGTTCAAGTTCTTCGGTGCTGCCTCCGCTGCTGTCCACTTCACTTCACTCTTTACTTCAACCCGGTCCTGCCTCCGCGCCTTCCGCTTCCACTCCTTGGCTGTCATATCGAGAGAAAGCAGCAGCAACCATGACGGACAACATTACCAAAATCGCCATGGACGCCCTGCACCACCCCTACTTCCCCGTCAACGCGGAAATCATCGGCTACGCGGCCAACGAATGGAGCGTGCCCGCGCTGCTCGGCGTCTTCTTCTCCGCCTGCGCCGTCCTCTTCGTCACCACCTACTTTGTCGCCAAATCCATCACGCCCGACATGCGCCGCGCCGAGCTGCTGACCATCATGTGGTTCGTGCTGTCGGGCGCCATCCACATGTTCTTCGAGGGCTACTACGCCGCCAACTACGCCACCCTCGGCTCCAAGCAGACCCTCATCGGCCAGATGTGGAAGGAGTACGCCTTCTCCGATTCCCGCTACCTGACGAGCAACTCCTTCGTCCTCTGCATGGAGACCGTCACCGCCGTCTTTTGGGGCCCCGGGTGCATGATTACCGCGGCGCTGATCATGCTGCGCCATCCCATGCGTTACCCCGTGCAGTGCGTTGTTTCCGTCGGCCAGTTCTACGGCGATTGCCTGTACTACGCCACCAGCTTCTTCGACCATCATATCATGGGCGTGACGTACTACCGCCCCGAGCCCTTTTATTTCTGGTTTTATTTCATCATTATGAACTTTTTCTGGATCGTCATTCCTGGCTGTAAGTTTCGCGATATGTACTTTTGGGGGCCAGCCGCTAATTGGGATTCAGACCTCGTCTACAGGAGCGCCGTCGAGACGGCAAAGGCCGTGGCAATCGCACAGAGAGTGCAATCGACGAAGAAAGTCCATTGAGTATAGCGGCGAAGCCCGCGGAGGCAACTTTGGGAGGGAAAGTGCACCAGCAGCAGAGATTTGTCGCATTTAGCGAAGGCGTTGTAGTAGACATTATCCCGATCTCTTCCATCTAGTCTAATAATCATATCATCAAGCCTGTAACGTGGCTGCCATTCTCCCTGCACCCATTCTAGATATTTTCGCTAGGTCATTGGTAGTATACATTCATATAAAGAAGTCAATCCGTCATCGACTACTCCTTCTCTGCTTCCGTTACCGCCTCTTTCTTGACCTTCAAACTCCTGTTATCCAAGATCAATGTAGCGATGGCAATCACCGCACCCACACCAGCAAGAGCAATAGAAAAGGTGAACGCATCCTTCAGGCCGGCCAGATACGCTTTTCGCACACCAAGGAGATGGTTGGGGAACGTGGTCTTCAACTGGGTAGCGCCGGTAGCGACAATCTTCGCCGCGCTGACACCGTCGACATGTTGAGCAGCTTGCACAAGCTTGTTGGCGAACAGAGCCTCTGCCATGGAGATGAAGATCGCGCCGCCAATGACCTGGAAGAAGAGCACAATGGCCGACACGCTCGAGATGTCCAACGGGTCGGATGTGCCCTGCGCCACGATGATGGGCACCTGAATGCTGATCCCGTACCCGATGCCGGCGAGCACCTGGTACCCGATCCACTGACCGCTCGGGCTGCCGATGCCGAGGGTGTAGATGAGGCCGTTGCCGACGACGCTGAGGATGGAGGCGAAGATGATGACGCCTGCGTAGTGGCCGGTTGTCATGATGAAGATGCCCGAGGCGATGCTTAGAAGGGAGATGCTGAGGATTAGTGGGACGTTGCGCACGCCGGACTCGGAGGCTGAGACGCCTTCAATGCTTTGGAAGCTGTTGGGTGGGGAGGTTAGCGGATGATTTCGTATGCAAACAATGACTGGGGTGGCACTTACTAGATGGGGAGGTAGTAGAGGAGGACGAAGAAACCACCGCAATTGAAGAGGACATAAGCCGACATCAGTCGCAAGGTCTTTTGCTTGAGCAGGCGAGGCACCAAGAGAGCGCGCTCGTCCATCCACCATTCGTTGGCAATGAAGAGGATGACGATGAGCCCGAAGCCAACGAGGGTGCCAATGACATCCGCGCTGCCCCATGACTTCGTCGCTCCTCCCCACTGCAGTGCGAGGATCAAGCACACGGCAGCGGCCATGATCAGAAAGGATCCGACCAGATCGAGTTGCAATATCTTCTCTTTCATTGTGGACTGCTGGACGGTCGCGGCCTTTGGGGCGTGGAAGGAGAAGTAGATCATGGCGACGACCAAGCCGCCGATAGGAAGGTTGATGTAGAAGCACCAGCGCCAGGACACATCCGATGTGAAGACACCTCCGAGGAGCGGGCCGACGGCAGAGGCGATGGCATAAGAAGCGCCGAGGAGGCCGGTGTATGCCGGGACGCGGGCTGGTGGGACGGAGAAGGCGAGGATGGTGTAGACACCGGACGCAACGCCTGCTCCACCCGCTCCAGCAATCGCGCGGCCTACGATGAGGGTCGTGCTGTCGGGCGCGACGGCGCAAATGAGACTGCCCAGCTCGAAGATGGCGATGGCGAGCAGGAACGACCATTTCAGCGGAAAGTACTTGTACGCCTTGCCCCACGTGCTCTGAAAGGCGGCGAGGGTGAGGAAGAAGGCCGAGCCGTACCAGCCGATGTCGGTGATGGAATGGAACTGCGAGGTGATGCGAGGCAGGGCGGTGGCGATGATGGTCATGTCCAGAGCGACGAGGAAGATGGAAAGGGTGACGGCGAGGAGGATGGGGATGAGTTTTGCCGGGCCGGGATACATGGCGCTTTCGACGCGTTCCAGAGCAACGCCGTCCGCTCCATGCTCCTGCTTCTCGAGATAGTCGGGGTCGCTGTGCGTGGAATTGGCGGTCGAGTGCTCCCGCGGAGTAGCAACGGCAGTACTGCCTTTTTCAAACTCCTTCTCCTCCTCCTCGTGTATGGTGGAATCTTTTTTGAGGCCGAACATCTTGCTGCTGAATTCAAGGGAAAGAAAAGGAATAGCAGTGAAGATAGAGCGAGGTGATCGAGGCAAACAGCGGACAACAAGGAAATACGAGAGTGCTTATATAGATCTTATCAAGCTCGCAGAAGGAGACATTGTCGAAACGGGAACGGAGAGTAGATCGTCCAAACCCTCCACCCCGGTTATGAATCAGAGCTGGGAAAGAGATGAGCATCCCGAAGAAGTCACCGGTGCACCACTCCCTTGCCAATCCCTGTGGAGACGAGGGCTGCCATGCAAAGCATAGACGTGGTGCATTCGGAGACATTGTTGGCCCGCAGTCGCCAAAGTTCTGCCAGGCGTCAGCTGAACAATCATGCTCGGTAACATTCGTGCTGCAAAAGGACCCGCACGGATCCTTCCGATTCGTCCACGGCGCGTCGTAGCGCCGCGGTGTGCCTAGTGGATTTATAATCTCAGCGTCGCTGCCTTTCATCAAGGCTAGCACCTCATTTGCATAAACTCTCCGCAGCACAAGGCTGATTGTGCGTACACACTCGCCAGGCTGCTCTGGTAGCACCGCACACATTGCGGGCATCTACGAGAAGTTCTGTGTATATCGCGAGCGTAATTCGGCAGCACTCTTTATCGTGCCGTAAGCTGGCCAGACAAACTAATGCGTGTCAGGACGGGTGAGTCAAAGGAAGGCTGGAGGAGCGGCGGCGGAGTTAAAGAGGAACGTTCTCCGCCGCCGCCTTCCTAAATCCTATCCCCAGCATTCCTGCAGCGACTGCCTGAGACATGCAAGAAGATGGTTCATTGGCAATCTGCTCAGCATCCAGACTGGGCGGGTTGGGTTGACTCGGTTATATCGTCTATGGTCAGCGCGTCTGCTGCTCCGCCTTTCCACCCCCTCTGTACTCGTCCGCTTCGTATCGCTTCCCCCGGAAACCCCAGATGCCCCAGTTCCCACAGCTCACATCTCCCGGATCGGCATCGTTGAGGTCCCAGCGCAGGCTCCGAAATCGATTCTCCCCCGCTTTCATCACAATGTCCATCTCCCCTCTCGCCTCCTTCTCCACCCATGCCATGTCCCTGCGCATGTCGTAGTCCGTGTAGCCGGTGCAGATGATAGGCACCTTCGTCTCGAGGAGTTGGGGGAGTGTCTCAGACCACTCGAATGAGCTGGCTGGATGTCCCAGTCCGGGATGGAAGAGAACGAAGCAGTCGAAGTAGGGGTCGTATGGGGCAAACATTTGCGCCTCGTGAAGAGTGTGGAAATAGTCGACATATGTGGAGATCTTCATCACTCCGCCCAACCCCGTCTCAACGATTGCTCCGAATGGGTTCTGGGGTGTGCGGGGTGGAAGGGGGAACTCTGCCTCCCGATTCGCCATGCTTTCCGGTCCGATAAAGATGAGATGAAAGGTCACGCGGGGGAACAGGTGAGCAAGCTGGATCCACACCTCTCGGGGGAGACTGGACTCCGCTCGTGCACCGAGAATGAACAGCCGCACGGGCGGAGGGTTGGGCCGCAGTCCGGCGATTGTGATGCCAGAGCCCGAACGAGGCGGGTGCAACGTGTACCTCAGCGCTACACAAGTCAGCAACATGCGGGGAAGGAGCGGATAGACCACTTACCACTCAAGCTCCTCAGTCCCTCCGCCGTCACACGATCCCGTAGACTGTATGGGCTAAGCTCGTGCAAGACACTAGCGATGCTGAGCGGATATGTCAATAACCGCGTTGCCTGTCTCATACTCCGATCGTCGTTGATTGCAGCGAAGTCTCTCGAGTATAGCAGAGTGTCCCAGTTCATCATGTTTACTTGCGCCTCCTCCGCTACCTGCGGACCAGGGTATTCGAACTCAGGGAACAAACGTCCTGAAAGCAAATCGTGATCGTCTTCGTTGATTTGCCGAAGCGTGTCGCAGATCTCGAGGTGGCTTTCGTAGTCGCTCACGTAGTGTTCCTCGCTGCATGACACGGGGATTCCACAGTCCGGGCATTCGAAGCGGACGTGCGCAGGGGGGAGAGCACCGGTCTTGCGGTGCTCTGTATCGTGTGGAGAGGTGGCGAGACGAGTGGCTTGGTGCGTTGGATGAGGGCAGTAAGCATTCTGGCGCATGAAGGCGGCGCGTCTGCGGATTGCGGGCGAGGGCGAGTGGGTGAAGGAGTTGAAGAGCGCATTGGAAGGAATGATTGGCGGCGGTGGTTGTGACGGAGGGGGTTGTCGTGCTTGTTGGTGGGGCCTTGGGGGAGCCTCGGTCGATGACTGTCGTTGCGTATCAAGATCGGGATGCCGCTGGCGGGCTGAAAGGTGTATTTGCTGCCTCCATATCTGCGGCCTCGGTGCACACGATGGAGCGCCAATGCTCACGAGCGTCGGCCGGCGCAACGCTGGTTTGGCGAGCCCGAGGCATCGGCTGCATACTTTGATGCTCGCCATGCCTGAAGTCGTCAAGAATGAAGCGCTGATGATTTTCCCTGAGCGTCGTGCATGCAGGGCGTCGACGAGTTCATCATGGATTTATCCCGATTGGGAAGCGTCCCGCAAATAAACTTCTTGGCATTAAGCTCGCGCTTACTTAAGCCAAACTTTTTGAGCCTCGAATTGAAGCATCCGCCTCCACCGAAACAAAACTCATCGCATGCTCGCTCTACACATCCTCTCGCCCTCGCGCTCGCCTTCGCGCTTACCCTATTCCTCCTCTCCTACACTCTCTTGTCATCCACCGCGAGCATGGCCAACACGCAAACGACGCAGGCCTTCTACAGCCTCACCCTCCAAGCACCCTCCGCAACCCAATCCGCCGTCACTTGCGCCGTGATCCCCGGCCTCAAGGCATCAGAACAACAGATATTCGAAGCATGCGGGCAGTACATCCGTCTGCGCCGCATCTACGAGAATGAGGATCGCAGCGAAGTCAGAGTAAGTACCATTGTCGAGCAAGATTGCTTTGGCATTGTGAGGGGCGTGGCGGCATTCAGGATTCCGGGCACGGCGACGGATCAGTTGATTTTGAGTTCGGATTCGGGGCGTTTGACGATGTTGAACTACGACCACACGAAGAATGTTTTCACGAGGGTGCATAGCGAGACGTTTGGCAAGTCGGGTGTCAGGCGCACAGTGCCGGGGCAGTACCTGGCGTCGGATCCGCGAGGGCGATGTTGCATGCTTGCGTCGACGGAGAAGAACAAGATTGTGTACATTGTCAATCGGAACTCGGAAGGCGGCATCCTGATTTCCAGCCCACACGAAGCGAACCAGTGGGCGAGTCTGTGTTTCGCCGTGTGCGCTCTCGATACCGGCTGGGAGCACCCCATCTTTGCGGCACTCGAGGTCGACTACGGCGAGATTGAGAGTGATGCAGGAGGCGTTGCTGGGATGTACGAGAGAAGGGAGAAACAGCTGGTGTACTACACCGTCGATCTGGGTCTGAACCACGTGGTCAAGAGCTGGAGTGATACGGTTGATTACACGGCGAATATGATCTTCGGTGTACCCGGCGGCCAGGATGGACCGTCAGGAGTGCTGGTATGTTGCGAAGACCGCATCTTCTACCGCCACGACAAGAACCCGGCGCTCTGTATACCCATTCCCCGACGAAAGGGACCGACTGAGGATCCGCAACGCAAGCGAATCATCGTGTCGGGGTGCTTACATCTCTCGCGTGCTCGCCACGAGTTTTTCTTCCTCCTCCAGACGGAGGATGGGGATGTCTTCAAGCTTACCATGATGATGGCGAAAGATGCACAGGATCGTCCAACGTCAACCCCGGAAACGCTGCATCTGAGATACTACGAGACGTTCCCAGTGGCGAAGCAGATGCTGCTCATCCGGAAAGGTTACATCTACATTGCGGCCGAGAACGGGAACAACAAGCTGTATTACGTGAGTGATCTAGCAGACGACCCTGACGTGGAGCCTTGGAACGACTTCACATCCGAAGAGTACAGCGCAGACCTGGAGGAAACATCCTACGAACCCCTCTACTTCCAACCTCGAGATCTCCAGTTTACATCTCTCGTCTCCGATCTGGCGACGATGAACCCACTGATGCGGACCTTGGTCGATAATCCGCTCAACGAAGATGCCCCGCAGATCTACGCACTACAAGGCACCGGCAACGCCAGCACATTCAAAACCCTCCGTCACGGTCTGGAAGTGCAAGAGATCGTCTCTTCACCGCTGGGAAACATGGACTATAATGGTCTATGGTCGCTCAAACATCGCGCTTCCGACCCGCACCACTCCTACCTCATCCTGAGCACCGCTTACGGTGACAAAACAATCACTCTGAGCATTGGCGATGAAGTTGAAACGATGGAGGATTCTCCCTTCCTTGCGTCCCGAGCGACGATCGAGGCCGCTTTGATGGGCGACGCCACTTTGGTGCAAGTGCATGCGCGCGGCGTGAGGAGCATCTTCGAATCAGGGGTCGTGGACGAGTGGCCGACACCCGCGCACAGGACCATTGTCGCCGCCAGCAGCAATGAGAGACAGCTTCTGGTCGGGCTGAGCTCGAGCGAGCTGTGTTACTTCTTCCTCGGTGACGATGGCGTGCTGCACCAGCTCGACGAGATGCCCGAAATGAGTGGCAAAGTCACTGCTCTTAGCGTTGGAAAGACTCCCCGCGGAAAACAGCAAGCCAAATATGCCGTCGTGGGATGTGACGATTGCACGATCCGTGTCATGAAGATCGACTTGGAGCATCCGCTTGAGCCATGCAGCGTTCAGGCTCTGAGTGCCGTGCCTACCTCGATCGAGGTGGTCGAACAGATTGATCCAGAGAGCGGAACTCCGCTTACATACGCACATATTGGCCTTCAATCTGGGCTGTACTTGCGAGCGGTCATCGATGAGCAGAATGGTGAACTGGGTGAAGTGCGCACCAAGTTCCTCGGTCCTCGGGCGACTAGAATCTTTCCAATCGAGCTCTTCACCGATGACGACGAAGCCGATGCGAGAGGGGGCAACTTTGGCATAGTCGCATGTTCCTCTCGGCCGTGGATGGGATACAACCATCCGCAAACGAATCTGTATACCCTGACTCCACTCGTGACGAAGCGAATCGAAGCCGCGGCCTCTTTCGTTACTGGCGAAATCCGGGGCATCTGCGGTATTCAGGGATCGGAGCTCTTGATTTGCAGCGTGCCGGCGCTGGACAAGGGCGAGATGAGCCAGACGGAGGTCAAGTTGAATTACACGCCAAGAGCGATGGCGCGAAACCCCTGGTTCCCAATCTGGTATGTTGCTCAGAGCGACGGGAATACGATTTCCGCGGCCACGAAGCAGGGTCTTCTTGCGAACGGGACGGTCAACGGGGACAAGATGGAAGAGAATGGCGAGAATGGACACAACACTAGCGAACTGGAGCGCCACCTGGGCTTGTCAAAGGGCACGGGACACTGGGCCAGTGCTATCAGTGCGGTCGATCCATTTGACAGCCAGAGCATCACGTCCAACATCGAATTGACGGAGAATGAAGCGGCTCTTTGTATTGCGGCTGTGCCGTTCTTCTCGAGGGAGTGGGAGGTCTTTGTCGCCGTGGGCACCGGTCAGCATATGCAGCCGGGCAGCGGCCTCGAGAGCAAAGGCTTCCTTCACATTTATCGCCTTTTGGAGGATGGGAAGAAGTTGGAGTTTTACCACAAGGTATGCCGTCTTAGCACTCTTACGAGGATCATCGAGAATGCTGACGTGATTCTAGACCGACTTCGACGTGCCCATCTACGCAATCCACCCCTTCCAAGGGCGCTTGGCCATCGGTCTCGGCAATGAGCTTTTCATCTACGACATTGGCATGAAAGCGCTTCTACGGAAGAGCAGAGGCGTGGTGGTGCCCAACCAGATCGTCAGCATTCAGTCGCAAGGAAATCGAATCATCGTCGGCGACGTCAGCGAGGGAGTGACGTACGTGGTGTTCAAACCCAAGCACAACCGCATGGTTCCTTTCGTGGACGACAGCATCCGCCGCTGGACGACGGCGACGACAATGGTGGATTACGAGACAGTGGCGGGTGGCGACAAGTTCGGCAATCTCTGGCTGGTACGATGCCCCGAGCAAGCCAGCCAGGAAGCGGACGAGGAAGGAATCAACGGGTACATTGCCAACGAGCGGGCGTACCTCAATGGCACGCCGTACCGTCTGGAGCTACGCGCCCACTTCTACGTGCAAGACATCCCGACGAGCATGCAGCGCACCGCGCTCGTGGCAGGCGGGCAAGAAGTGCTGTTCTGGTCTGGCTTGCAAGGGACCATAGGCATACTGGTACCCTTTGTCAGTCGCGAGGACGTGGAGTTCTTCACGCAGCTCGAAGGGTTGATCCGCAACGAGGAGCCGCCGTTGGCGGGGCGTGATCATCTCATGTACCGCGCGTACTACGTGCCAGTCAAGGGCGTGGTGGACGGGGATTTGTGTGAGCGGTTTATGCGTCTGAGCGTAAATTCGAAGAACAAGATTGCGGGGGAGGTGGAGAGGGAGGTGAGGGAGATTGAGAGGAAGGTGCAGGACATGCGGACGAGGGTGGCATTCTGAGGGGGCTGAAGCTGGTCGACACGACTTGCATACGATACGAATGATGCATGATTGGCGTTTGGGCGACAGCACGAAGGCGGGGTTGAGCGAGGAAGGTGGCTTTGTTTATGATACCCAACGGCTGCGCGTTGACATCTGCAATCGATTGTGTACGTGGTATACTTGCTGATAGGAGCCAAATGCTGCATCGATCGCCAGTACATCGATACGGAAGGATCGCTGATTTGCGATGTCTCACCTCTGCCAAGCTGCCAGACGGAGAATATTGATTGCCCGGAGCGTCTTCCTTCTTGGGCGAACAAGTTGCATGATCATCGCTTGGATGAGCATGGGCAGTCTGCACGCGAAGGATGCCTTTGCTCGTATACCCCATCAAGCAGCATACATCTCATGCAGCATGCTCGCTTGCACGGGATAGCGCACGGCGATGCGGACTGCAGATCTCGATGAGCAGCTCCCGGTCGCAGAGGCAGCGCGCAGATCTGCAGCCCGCGCGCCCATCGGAAAACGCCACGGCTTGCACGGCTAGGCTTCCGCGGGGATGGCGCTTTAGGCAAATGCAAGGTACGGCCAATCACCGTCCGCCATCCCCAAAGTCAATCGTCCTTTGGCTCCCGACGATGAGGTCAGTGTGCAGACACCAGCCCCCGGGAAGCCTGCAGTGAGCATCAACACTCGCTGGCGCGGCTCCGCTCCCGATGCAGCGTTGGCGAACGCCTAGGGACAGCCATCTCATCATCGTCGGGTGGGGAACGATGGCGCACAGGGACCACCGCTGGGCGGGTGTAGTTCACCCAGCTATTCCCCGATCGACAACCTCAGGGTGCCTTCTTTTCCTTCTTCCCGTTCTCCTCTCCTCTAATCCCCGCCTCTCTTTCCACTGCCGTCTGGTATCATATTGCCTTGTGTCTATCAGGAGTGGGCGGAGATCTGAGCAACCATGACAATGCACGCCCACTACATGGGCCTCGGCGGCCCAGCGCTGCGCGTCGCCATCGGCCTAACCGCCGGCCTGTGCTTCCTTTCCTTCGGATACGGCCAGGGCGACATTGGCGGCTTGATTGTGCTGAGAGACTTCCGCACCAGGTTCCTCGGGTGGGGCAACGAACAGATTGTCATGGACCACCGCATTGGAGTCTTGGACGGCAGCACCATTGCCAGCTGGAATTTGGGCTGTTTGGCTGGAGCCGTGTTCACCATTTTCCTTGGCGACCGATTGGGTCGTAGGGGAAGCATCATTACCGGCCTTGTCATTGAGATCATTGGCAAGCTCATCCAGGGAACGACGTTCTCGCTGGGACAGTATATTGCTGGACGTGTGATTGCTGGCGTGGGCAATGGGTAAGTTATCATTTGCATGTTGGAAGTACAAAGGTGCCTCACTAATGCCGGGCAGCTTCCTCGCCTCGACAATCCCCGCGTGGCAGGCGGAGTGTCTCAAGACTCATCGCCGTGGCACTCTGCTGTTGGTCTCCTTTGGCTCTTGCATCACCCTCGGTGTTGCCATTGCCTATTGGGTGGTCTACGCATTTGCCTTCACCCAGCCCAGCTCGATTGCCTGGAGATTCCCCATCCTCTTCTCACTCTTCTTCGTCTTGCCTGCCCTCCTCATCGTCATCTGGATGCCCGAGAGCCCGCGATGGCTCTTGTTGCAGGCCCGCGAGAAGGAGGCGATCCGGGTCTTGTCTGCGTTGAACGAGTTGCCGGAAGACCACGAGGACATCCGCCGAGAGATTCTGCAGATCAAGTACGCCGTGAAGCACATGGCCAGCACATCGGCCACCGGCGCCTTCTCCAACGGCGAATATCGCTACCTGCATCGCGTCCTGCTCGCCGTGCTCTTGCAAATTATGCAGCAGTTCACGGGAGTCAATCTGTTCATCCAGTACTTGGGTATCATGTTCTGGCAGCAGTTACACTATCGACCCTTCATCTCCATGGCCCTGGCCGGCGCCTGCTCCACTGTCTTCTTCATCGCTTCCCTGCTGGCTGTCATCTTGATCGACCGCTACTGGGGCCGACGGACGTTGACCATCTTTGGCGCCTCTGGCATGCTTGGCTGCATGATCATCTTGACCATTACGGCTTACATCGGAGATCAGGGCAATGATCGTGGATTCCTGGCCATGACTGCCTTCCTTTTCCTCTATGTCTGCTGTACGTCATCTTCCCCTACCTTTGTCGTAATGCACGGCTAACACGTGTGTCAACAGTCTTCTCCGTTGGTTGGCAAGGCATGAGCTGGATGTGGTCCGTCGAATTGATCCCATTGAGCATCCGCGGACCAGCGAATGCTCTGTCGACTGCCGCCAACTGGCTGGCAAACTTCGTCGTCGTCATCAGCGGCCCCGAGCTCCTCCTCTACTCCAAATGGAGAACATACATCATGTACGCCGTGTTCAACGCCGCCATCATCCCGACCATCTATTTCTTCTACCCCGAAACCGGCGGACGATCGCTGGAAGAAGTCGATCTGGTGTTCAAGCAGGCCAACGACCGAGGCCAGCCTTGGTTCACAGTGGTCAAGGCGGCGCGGGAAGAGCCCAAGTGGTTCGATCGAAACGGCGATCCCACCGACTCGTTCGGCGGCTCGTCCGAGAAGGGCGACTTGGATTTCGACAAGGTGCAGAGCTCGTCCAACGAGATCAGCCCCGACTCCAACTACCGTGCTACTCGCCAGTCGACGTCTCGAGAAGCACGTGACGTGGATGGCGAGCACTCCGCTCCCGCCCCATCAGTCAGGCGAACGCATTCGAGCGAGAGAAGCGCTCGGTCCCGATCGCGTGGATGATTGACGGTGGAAGTTATTGGCTACGATTGGATGGGATATTGTCGACGAATTCGGTGTTGGACGGGCAAGGGACTTTCTCTGACGATGAGTTGGACATGTATGACAATACTCTTTGTTCAAAAGGGGGATGTTGGTGCAAGGGAGTGCATTGGCGAACGCCCCCCCCCCCTCTGGTGGCGTTTCCATTGTGCTACAGCCGCGCGGATCCAAAAGTTTGACCTCACTTTCCTGATTCAGCATCGCTGATGAAATTGACATAGTACCTTGCGGGACGCTTGGAAATTGGCAGGACTTCACCTTGTCCCTCTCTCCTCCTGTACTTGTGTTACCCGTTCGGTCTCGGCGTTTGTCTTGGGAGAACCCATTGTGCTCGGGCATGGGGCCTCGACGGATTGCTCGAGCAAGGCCGCTCGCTTCATTTCCACCGCTCCACTCGTCCTCACGGTTCGACATCTCCCGTTCTGGACATCGTAGCACCCTGCACAGATGCGCACTTCATCCCCAGTCACAAGTATCTATTGGCAGACAAAAGCAAAGGTGAAGTGCATCCGATCGCGGAACACAGACGCCTGTCAGATGCAAGGTAATCCCCTTTGGCAGCCGACAGCCTTGTCTCCTCTCCTTTTCATCTCTTTCGACAAAGTCTGTCACACACCCTCCCTGTCTTGCGTGCAGCAAAGGGATCAAACGGCAAAGGTCTGAAGCCATGCACGCAGAAGCATTTAAATGGCAGAGCTGCCCGTCCCATCAGTCAAACTCCATCGCATCAAGTCTGTCTTTTCCAATCATCCCCAGGGTATTTTCAACAATGCGTTCCACACTCGTTCCCGCTCTTTTGGCTTGGGCCTCCGGCGTTGCCGCTCATGCGGTGCGGCATGCTCCTCCTCCTCCCCCTCCTCCTCCTCCTGCCTATGGCGCGTATGGCCAGCCTTCTAGCTATGCTCAGCCCTCTAGCTATGCTCAACCTTCCGCTTATGGTCAGCCGTCTGGATATGCTCCGCCCTCTGGCTATGCTCCGCCCTCCACGGTGACGGTGACGGTGACCATGGCTGCGAATGGTGAGTGAACGCTTGTTCGAGAATCGAGCTCGAGGCTAACGACACCAACAGCAACAAATGCAACCATCTGTTCCTGCCCGCTAAAGACCATCTTCACCACCACGCTGAACAGATATCTCAACTGCACCACCACGCCTTATCCTCCTCCACCCGGCACCGGTACCGGCTCCGTCACTGGGACATCTCCCGTCGGCCCCATCACTGGCCTGACTACAACCCCCGCGTATCCCACCAACAGCTCTGTACCGCCCGGTACTGGGTCCTACCCATGGCATCCGTACAACACCACCTCGCCATCCGGAATGGGCTCTTCTCCGCCGACTACGACGCCCCTGTATCCCTGGAACGCCACCACGCCGTTTGGAACAGGCACCGCGCCCCCAGGCACAGGCAGTCTGCCAACATCTTACCCGCCTTACGGCAACAGCAGCGCGCCCGTAGGAACTGGCACAGCGCCCACAGGCAACTTCACGCAGCCCACCGTCCCACGAAGCGGAAGCCCTCCACCCACCACCTCTGGCTCCCCAACTACCACACCCTTCTCGCAATCCAGCGCCGCACGCAGCGGCAGCGCACCACCCGGCTACTCCTGGTCCTGGCCCGCAGGCTACGGCTACGGCTCCTCCAGCAGCGCCGCCGCCACCTCGGGTTCAAGCTCAAGCAGCAGCAGCGCCCAACCAACCTGCACCCCCAGCACCCTCCCCTCCCGCTTCTACATCAAAGACATAAGCGGCAACGCCTTCCTCGCAATCAACTACACGACAAAACAACTGTCCGACGCCCCCTCCCTCTCCGCCGCAACAGTCTTCTACCTCCAAAACGCCACCACGCGGGGCGCCCTCAATGGCACCACCACCACCGCACCTCAACTCGCCTTCACAGGCACACACCACGCCTCCGATCGCGCAGAGGTGTACGCCGCCTTCATCAGCGCCGAAGGCGGGGCCGTCAAATTCTTCCCACCTGCTGCCGCACGAGCGCAGAAGCTGGATCTGGTGGCTGCGACGTTTGATTCGGCGACGTGCGAGTTGGTTTTGGCTTCGGCGGAGACGTTGGGGTTGGGGGTGCCGGGGATGTGTAGGGGGGCTTTGTCGTTGAGTTCGGGCGAGCCGAATAATGGGTGTGTGGGTACTACGTTGACGATTGAGCCGGCGTTGCTGTAGGCGGTTGCTTCCATGAGAGGGAGGGTATCTTGACGGATGGCGTTTGCGGATGGACATGGTCTAATGCGAATAGTGAGGTAGTTATGACTGTCTTCTTGGGCGGGATAAACAGGAATTATTCATACAATGTTTTAAGCGGCCATTGCTTTGCAGATTCGCCAAAGGTGGCATTCATTTGCTCTCTTCCCCGTTACAGACCTAGTCGTGTATTCCAACGCCTTTGCACCCGCGCAAGTCAAATCAATGCACGCGGAGCGCTCCAGCTCTTTCACCCCGGACGTTTCTCCTGCCCGGGAGACTCGTCCCTCCCACCCCAGCATCAATTCGCGGACTGTTCTCAGTGTCCGCGCGCCTTATGCAAGAGAGACCGTTAATGCAAGATCTGTACAGCATAGGCTGTGGTGATGCGATTCGGAGAGATGCGGCGTCTGCGCCGTGCGTGAAGCAGCCTGAAGCCAAATCTTGTTGACCCAATCCTGCCTATGCAAATCGTGTCTGCACCACGTCGCTTCCATATCCTCGTCACGGGTGGGTGACGCTTCGCCTCGAGAAGCGTGTCGCTGCGTGAATCAAAAACAAACACTCGCATGGTCGTGCTTTACGGCGTCTCCACTGCAATAAGCCAGTACGTCCCGGCCAGTGTAAACGCCAGGACCAAAAAGGTGACGATACCAGCGCCGGCTCTATCGGCGGTGGTGATGGGCGCCAAGGTGTGAGTGGTGCTCGACGTCCCACCGGCACCCGGATCGGACTTGCTCTTGCCGCCACTCGAGAGAGTCAACGGGGCGGCCAGGGCCTCGACATTGAAGAGGGCCGCGTTGATGACGGCCATGGCACTCATTTGCTGCCCCACGCCTTCCGTGCCATCCCAGACATCGGTGGTCCAGTGATAACCGCAGTACTGTCCGTTGGTCCAACCGTCGCATTGTCCGGCTGCACCGGCTGCGGATGCGGTAATGTAGGGCCAGATCTGGGCGTGCAGCGAGGGCACCAGCTGCGCCGCGACAACAAGCCATCGCACGGTGAAGGACTTGAACGTCAAACCGTTGGTGTTGCAATTGTTGTACGGTTCACAGCCCGCTTCCACGAGGATGTTGTGTTCGGAGAAGGTATGGAACAGGCCGTTGACAATGCCCTGCAGGGGAGCCATGTACTTTTCGTTTTGCGTCTAAATGTCCAAAAGATTAGCACCCGCAACGGCGAAGGGGTGAAATGGCAAGCGACTTACGTGGTTGTAGAGATAGGCAAGTCCGGCAATCAGAATGCCATAGTTGTAGGAATACTGAGCCGGGTTGGGATTGGTGCAGTTCACCGTGTCCTCGGCGCCATCGTTGATTTGGATGAGGTCGGGATTGGAGGCATCGTAGAGGGGAGAGGCAGCAATCCAGTCCCACATCTTGTCGGCGTACTGGACATAGGTCTCGTTGCCGGTGTAGCGCGCCAACCGAGCGGCGACTTGAAAATAGCCACCGTTGGCGGCGATGTTCTTGTAGGTATAGCCGGGGTTCAAGGGATTGAACTGCCATCGCAGTCCTCCACCGCAAGTACTCGGATCCCAGCGCGGGGTTTGGACGTTGAAGACCGCCTGGCCCATTGCGATGTACGAGGGGTAGCCGGCGGGCGGGTCTGGGAAATTGCATTCGGCGGCGGCGAGGGCGGAGAAGGCCCAGAAAGCTTGGTCGTCGTTTCCCTCGTCGCTCGTCTGATTCGAGGGCTGGAATTCGCCGTTCGTGCCGGCCTGCCATGATATTGCTTGGATGACTGCGGCGTTGTTCGAGGCATCGCCGGTGTCTGTGCAGCCGACGTAAGAGTTAGCGAGAGGTCAAGTGTCGGCGCGACGCGGACGAGGAGGGGGAGACTGACAATACCAATAGTCGACAAGGTGCATGAACATGGCGCCCGCTTCCCACCAGTAGTATGGCGGCGGTAGATTGCCGGGATTGTTGCCGGTCTGGTTACCGTAGTACCACGAGGACAGCATGTCATATGCGATGGTAGAGGTGGCCGACTTGATGGAGGAGGCGGAGGTGAAGTCGACATCGATGCCCTCCACCAGGCCGCCGGCGGCTAGGCAGAGGAGGGCGAGGGAGCGCAAGGGGTTGTACATGGCCGTTGGAGATGAGCGGAGGCGGTATAACGACAGACTGACGGACCATGAACGAGGGTGATGCAGCGCGGAGGAAGAGAGAGTGCTGCGTGGTGAGGGAGAGCGTGAGGGCGAAGGTGTCAGGGAGAAGGGCGAAGCCGAAAGGGGAACGCGTAAGAACGGGAATTAAGGTTGGCAGTCTTTTAATTCGTCAAACACAGCCCCAACGGCACCCCTTTATAAATAGGCAGGAACGAGTTGACGGAGTAGGGCGGATGCAGACTGGATTTGCGGGTGAAGGAGTACAATGTTGCGTCCAGCCAAGCTGTCACGGCTGTTCGTGGCGAAGGTGGTGCGCGTACAGGCAGCGAGCGGGTGTTGTGAATCACCCCGGGAACGCCTTGCGTCGGCATCGCATGCATCGCATCGCATCGCATCGGGTACCTGGACGGGCCGCGTCAGGTAACGCCCTCGCTTACTCATCTCGGGATACACGGCAGCGTGCATCCGCGAGGTGGATTTGGATTGCCTTTCACCTGCCTTTTCTACGTTGAGATCTCCGCATCAATATCGACAGCATCACGTGCCCCTGGCTCAGGTGGCGGACTACACTTCTCCATACGGACGAGTCGCCGAATCAACACGACCGCGGTCATTCAACCCGTCAACATCGTCTGCTAACCGCTGTGCATGGAGAGAGGCTCAAAGCCTTGAGAGCCGGATTCCTTCCTGCCATCGTACGCATTGTAATCCGTCGCATCTGCGAATCTCTCAAGCCCGCTCGGCCGAAACTACCGCTTCTTCGCTTCTTTCCCTCATTCTCATCCCGAAATGGACTTATTACTGGACAGAGAGTTCCCCAACAGATCGGACACAAGGCCGGCGATGCCGGGATGTGATGTCGACTGAAGATCCTTGCCCAAATGCTTGAGCGAGCTTGGCCTCACAATGGCCCGCTGCCGAGGATTGGAGGCGAACCGAGGGCGCCAAGGATAGACACTTGGTGATGTTTCAATAATGCATGTGCTGGGCGGCACGTAGCAAGGAGGCAACGCCTGGCCACCCATTCTCATGCCATGCAGCAGTCCCAGCGCCAGCCTCATGCCCAGATGCGGCTCCATCGGTGAGCTCTGACGCCTCGTCTCCCTCCCCCCGCCCTGCCCAGGCGGAAAGCCGAGCAGGCATACGCAGCTCAACGAACCCATGTGGGAAACGGTGGAGTCATGGAGTGCATCAGAGGAGGGGTTTTGCCTCATCCTCTCCACTTCTCCAGCTTCTTCTGGAGACCTCGCGACCAATCGCGGCCCCTGCTGCCATGGACTTCACCACGCTAGGCCCGATGCGGCCACCTCCATCAAACTGCAAGCCCGCCACTGGAATCCAGCTACGTCGATGAGCCAGTATACATGCACTACCTGCACCCTGGGGGCCAAGCACGGCGTATCAATTCGCCGGACTGGGCGAAGACGTGCATGGTGGACCTGGTGATGGCTGCTAGTATGTTTCAGATGCGTTGGGTATAACTGGATTTTTTCCCTCCTCCAACCATCTTCTTTTGCCTCTCACGTCTCTCGCTTTTTCTCTACGCTCAACATCCATCTGCTATCTATCATCTCTGTCGTTATTCATTCATCATCTTTGTGCAATCCCAAGCTCATCAATCAACATGAAGAACGTCTTTGCTTCTTTGGCCGTCTTCGGCTTGGCCGTCGTGAGGTGAGTCGATTGCGATGAATTGTCCACGACGTCACCATCCTAACCCTTCGATAGCCCCGTTGTTGCGCAGTCGTCCGCGTGCACTGAGTACAAGGATGGCCAGCCCCAATGCTCCGCCGTGACCGCCGCCCCGACTCCGACTCCGTCCGCAGCCTGCACCGAGTACAAGGACGGCCAGCCCCAATGCTCCGCCGTGACTGCGGCCCCCCCGGCCCCGGCCTGCACCGAGTACAAGGACGGCCAGCCGCAATGCTCCGCCGTGACTGCTGCCCCAGTCTGCTCCGAGTACAGCGACGGCCAGCCGCAATGCGCCACTGCCACTCCCGCACCCGTCGTGACCTCCGCTCCCGGCCCGGTCTGCTCGGAGTACTCTGACGGCCAGCCGCAATGCTCCACCGCCTCGCCTCCCGTCTCTCCCCCGGCCCCCGTCTGCTCTGAGTACTCCGACGGCCAGCCGCAGTGCGCCACCGCCACCCCATCCGCGCCCGTCTGCACCGAGTACGTCGACGGCCAGCCTCAATGCCCCACCGCCCCGGCCACCGGCACCCTCGCCGTTGCCTCTTCGACCTACACTGGCGCGCCCATCGCCACCGGTGCTGCCGCCGGCATGGCCCCTGCTGCCCCGGCTGCTCTTGCCGCCGCTCTCGGCCTCCTCGCCCTCTTGTAAATGTCGGATGGGACTCGCTTCTTGGACCGGCGGTCTTCCACTCGTGGTGCATCGTCGAGTCGTAATCTGGACAAGTAATCTCAAAGGAAGGAAAAGAAAGGGAAGCAGAGAAGAATGGAATGGGCGCGTGTTGCCGCCGTGCGAGAGGGGTTGGTCATGCTTTCACGCTGCGATGATTTTGAGCTGGGTATGAAACAAAAATAATGTGTACGACGACGCGCTCGAAAATCAGCATACTTAGCTAAATATGATCGAAACATATTGCTGTCTTTTCCTGAGAAGTGTGTGCTACTTTTCATTTCCTCGTCCCGACCTGTAATGCTCAATGCCAAATGAGGGTGGGCGATGGTGGACGGAAAGCCTTGGTGACACGGTGCGAGGCTGCAATGCCGTGACGAGGGCGCCTTGTCGTTGCACGGCGTTGACAGCTCGGCTGACATTGGCCCACACGACCATTGGAAGCTTCCGAGCTCAGAAAGTCCAGGGTTCGGCGGGGTGAAGTGACAAACACAACCGTTCCGATCTTTGGGCAGGGCCGCCGGGGTTTGCTTAACTGAACGGGACGAAGCTTGTTGCCATCCACACCTCTTTCTATATGAAATCGCTTGGACCCTCGTATCCTCTGGGATGCTTGGCATCAGGTGAGCGGGCGCCGGCGATGCGTACGAAGCTGCGTTGCTGGCTGGTCTCGCCCATGCCGCCGGTTGCATGGTGGCGTGGGGTCTAGAAGAACGCCGCGGAGGCCCAGCAAAGCTCGCGTGCGATGACATGAGACGAGTCCGTTGCCTGCCATGTGAAGTGCTCTTGACTACCTCGACCACAGATCCAAACACAAACAGGACCGGAGGGCGTCTTTAATAACACCATCGTGTCTCCCCCCCCCTCAGCTCGTGTTCGCCGTTGATCCAGCCGAATAAGGAAAGCACACGAAATTAAGCTTCGTCTGGCCAGATTTGACAGGCAGAATCCAATCTCCAACCCCAAAACGCCACTCGGCCAGAGTCACCCTGCCGGCGTGCACACGATCTCCCGGCGCATCCGACGAGGCGCTTTCTTGGCAGCCAGTCCGATCGGACACCAGCAACGCGTCTCGAGAGAGCTACCAGGAATGCAAAAAAAGCTACGCGAGTAGACAAGACGCTGCTGACGAGGTCGACGAAGAGCGGGGGAATGCGCACTCCCCTCAAGTGTAGTTACCCCAAGCGGAAAGACGTCCATCGCGGCCTCCACTCTCGACGTGCGTGCTTGGAGATCCGAGTGGGCGAGGGACGGGAGGGTGTCGCGCGGACCGCCCCTCAAGCGAGGCGATCATCTGCTCGCAGCCACTCACGGAGCTCCTTTCGCGATATGCAGGGCCGGCGCCGACGCAGCTGCTTGCTGCTTTCAGCATGCCTGCGGTATGGCCGCCGCGAGGCCCTTTGCCGTCCCCCCATAGCACGACACCGTGCAGACGCCCGCTTCAGCCAGCCTTCGATCGGCCCTCCGGACAGCCGATTAAGCTCCTGCAGAGCTGCTGTGCGTTGCCTACGCGGGTCAAACATAATAAGAGCCACAGACCGGGGTGGGTTGATTATTGAAAAGGTGGTGCTCACGCCTTCGTTTCTTTCTACACCTCACCATTTTCCCCTTTCCTTTCCTTGCAGCAGTTCGCTTCTGTCCCTTGGCCCTCACCGTTTCCGTTGTGCTCGGATTTGAGCGCCGGCTAATTCTGAGTCAACCATCATGGAGTACGTACGAAGATTGCTCCAGGCCCTCAGGGTCACTCCCTCGAACGAGGCACGTGGGCGCAGTGCCTCCCTCTATCCCCCCACGGACGATGAAGCAGGCAGACCTTCGTTTCAATCCCGGCGGCAAAAGGCCATGGCTCCCGAGTTAGAAAAAATGTCCAGCGCCCTGAACACGAGCGACCGTTTGCTTGAGTTCCGAATGCTATTGGGAAGTAGGTGCATCTGAGGCAAATCAACGCGACCGGACACTGACCGAGTGGACTTTTAGTCATCAGTCACGGCTCGTTCGAGGCGCCCGAGGGCTTTGGTACGAAATTGCGTCCTGCGGTGACGAAAGACGGCCGCCCGGCACCGAACGAAGGCATATACCCGTCCATTAGCGCCAAAGAGTGTGTACCAACCCCGGCCAGAGCCTGAGTGTTCGTTATTCGTGCCAACACATCCTGACTGATTCGCGCGTGCAGATGGAAGGCGAAGAGGGCGTACAAGCGATATCAAGTCGCCATCAACTCCGCCCTCGGCGTGCAGCTGGTTCTCTCCGCCGCCATCACCGCTCTCGGTGCCTCACACTCCAGTCACGCAACAATTACGGGATTCGGTGCCATCAACACAGTATGTGCCGGCTTTCTCACGTACTTGAAAGGCTCTGGGGTGCCGCATCGGTTCAAGTACTACGCGAGCGAGTGGAAGGCATTGCGAGAGTATATCGATCAACGAGAGGTATGTCTTCCAAAACCCACGCACGTCAAGCAGTCGCTACAAACGCCCTATTGACTGACGATATTTTGCGTAACAGCGAGACATTGGTGTCTCCACGATAAGAGTCGACATCCACAAAGAGGTCAACATCATCCGTGAAATGTACGCCAAGGTCACCGCAGACGTTGAACAAAACACGCCGGATCGATACGTCAGCGCCACCCCACTCAAGCACCCACCGCTCGGCCTAGCAGCGGACTCGGCGATCCCAAAAGAGGGAGACTATCCACGGAAGGAAATTGATGACCTGAGTGAAGGCAGCGCTCGTGTGGTGAGCAGTATCGGCAACGAAGCGCGTCGAACAATCGTGGTCAGCGAGAAAGAGGCAGCACAGCTCTTTTCCGATCGTGCGAAGCAAATGGGCGATTTGGAGAAAGAGGTGGAGACTTCGGTCGGCGGGCATGCTCGCGACTTTGAGCAGCAGGTGCAGACTTCGGTGGGCGGGCATGCTCGCAACGTGGAGCAGCAGGTGCAGACTTCGGTCGGCGGCCATGCTCGCGACTTGGAGCATGGGGTGGAAGCTCCGATCATTCAGGCTCGCGACTCAGTCAACCATGCCTTCGATTTGGTGGCTCACGCTCGGAATGAGCTCGGGCATGCCCTGGCGAATGACAATACGAAATGATATGACATATATTTGGGGGTTGGTGGGAATTGGAGTTTATCTGCTTTACGCATGCTCGGCCGTCTTACCGCACGCCTCGGTGCGTAACTTCCTGATTTGGACTAGTTGGCTGCCGGGATCTCACCAATGCCGACCTTACTTTCCAACGAATGCTGTTGAGCCCACATTCGTGCAGTCATATTCTTTGGCTGCATCATCATGTTTCCCTCCTTCTACCTCCTGCCTTGTAGATAGCAGGCACGTCACAAGATGGCCTCGCTGAAAGCGCCGCCCGCGCTGCGGAGATGGATCCAGCAAGCCGGACGACAGCATCCCCAAGTGGCGAAACGTCACGCTGCCACCGCTGCCACACCACTTGAGCACCACACGCCCGATCCATATGTAACACCAACCGAAGTGCCAGCGCCCGCGCCCGGTCTGCACCGAGCGGAGCGCCGACAAGCCGTGCAAAACGCCAAACCCTTCTCCGAATTCCTCACCGACACCTTACACCGCCAGCATGATTACCTTCGCATCTCCCTCACCGAGCGCTGCAACCTGCGCTGTTTGTACTGCATGCCAGAGGAGGGCATTCAGCTCTCCCCGAACAAGGATCTCCTTACCAGTGCTGAGATTTACTACCTGAGCGCGCTGTTTGTCAATCAGGGAGTGAACAAGATTCGGCTTACGGGGGGCGAGCCGACGGTGCGGAAGGATATCATCCCGCTCATGCAGCGCATTGGGAGTTTGCGGAGTAATGGGTTGAAGGAGTTGGCGTTGACTACGAACGGCATATCCTTGCACAGGAAATTGGATGCGATGGTGGAGGCTGGTCTGACTGGCGTCAACATTAGTCTGGATACGCTGGACCCCTTTCAATTCCAGCTCCTGACCCGACGACAAGGCTTCGACGCGGTGATGAAGAGTATCAACCGGGTGCAAGAGATGAACAAAGTGGGCGCAGGCATCAAATTGAAGATCAACGCCGTGGTCATGCGCGGCCTGAACGATCACCAGATCCTGCCGTTTGTGGAGAAGACGCGCGAGGAAGACGTCGAGGTGCGCTTCATCGAGTACATGCCGTTTGGCGGCAACAAATGGAGCGAGAAGAAGATGCTGCCGTACGCGGAGATGCTCGACATGATTCGCGAGAAATACCCGGACGTCGCTCGTTTGCAAGACGCTCGCAACGACACGTCCAAGACGTGGCAGGTTCCCGGGTTCACGGGCCGCATTGGCTTCATCACCAGCATGACGCACAACTTCTGCGGGACGTGCAATCGCCTTCGCATCACCTCTGACGGCAACCTCAAGGTGTGTCTGCACGGCGACGCCGAGGTCTCGCTGCGCGACCTCCTGCGGGAGGAGCACGGTGGCGAGCCGATGGACGAGGAGGCTTTCGACGCCGTTCGACAGATCGAGCTGGACCGGCGGAAGGCGGTGTCGTGGGCTTTTGACGCCGAGGAGGGCTGGGTGAGCCAAGAGCGACGCTTGCTGGATGTGATTGGCGCTGCCGTCAAGCGGAAGAAGGCGAAGCATGCTGGCATGGGCGCGCTGGAGAATATGAAGAATCGCCCGATGATCTTGATTGGTGGGTAGGTTTGCTCTTTGTTTCTTTGCAGGCGTGCGGGTGGGAAAAACTGTGGATGACATAGATTCCTCATGAATGAAAGATGTGAGGCAGCTTCACTCACACTTTTTTTTTGTCTGCGATCGCTCAAGATGTACAGAGGGGTATTTTGCTGACGTTTACTAGATAGGGAAGTGGTTCCTCGCAACACAACATGGAGAAGTCACAAACAGCCTCTTCCTGGCGCGCTGACCCGAACCTGGTCTCCACGCGTGCCAGTGCATCTCCTCAGCTCTCGCTCCCCTACCGTGTCACAGATGCGATGGAGTTCCTCAAATTCAGCCCCTACTCGAGAGAGTTTAACCGGCAGCAGAGAGGCTACCACCAGGCCGACGTCAGCATTAACCCATGTCAAGTCATCAGGCGAGGCGCACATGGTCGACGTAGGCGCCAAACCCTCCACTCGACGCGTTGCAATCGCATGCGCGACAGTCTTATTCACCAACGGAGAACCCTTCCGCCTCATCTCCGAGAACAGCAATAAGAAAGGGGATGTGCTCGGCGTGGCGCGAATAGCAGGCATCATGGCCGCCAAGCGCACCTCGGACTTGATCCCGCTCTGTCATCCCATCAACATTTCTAAAGCGGAGGTGGATGTGCAGCTCGCGGCGCCTGGTGATGCTGGTATCGGAGTCTCTGGCGCGGCGAACGCGTACGGCGCTGCTGTTGTACAGGCTCGCGTTGAGTGTGTGGGCCCGACTGGGATTGAAATGGAAGCCATGACGGCGGCGATGGGAGCTGCGTTGACGGTGTATGATATGTGCAAGGCGGTTGATCGGGGGATTATTATTGCTAAGGCTACGTTGTTGTACAAGAGCGGTGGCAAGAGTGGGCTGTATGTCGATGAAGAATGGGCTGGTCGGGTTGGGAGAGAGTTCTTTGTCGAGCACGACCTGGAGATGCCGGAGAGTCTGGCGTGAAAGTGCATCGGAGATAATTACCACGCATGAGCTCGCCAATAAGTACGTCGATTGTACATTGACCATGCCACGCCGTCAGTCGGTAGACGCTGGATGAGGTGAAGTTCCGGCTCCACCTGCCCGAACTCTCTCCACGCCACGTGCGCAGCGCAACCTCACCTTCGCCCCCCACCCGCAATCTCCCTCCACCTTCTCCAGACCTTGCCCTACCTCACACACGCGCTTGTCATGTTGTAGCCACGATTCTTACCAGCGCCCGGCGCGCCCATCCTCACCTAATCATGGCTGCCAAACACATCGGCCCAGCATTCAGCATCCCCCGCGCCCTCTCCACCATCTTCCCCGACTCCCTCGCGTCCAACGCCCTTCGAAGCCCAGCTATTTCCCTCCTCCAACGCCGCCAGTTCCACGAATACTTCGTCACCCACCTGCCCTCGTCCTCCCTCGCACCAGACCGCAACCGCGGCACCGTCAACCACAAGCTCCCCCGCAGCGAATCCCAACCCCACTCCCCCTCCGACTCCTCCTCCCGCTCGGCGGCCAGCATCCCCCAGCATCCCAGCAGAGACACGACCATTGTCCGCATCCCCATCAAAAGCGCCAAACACCACTTCGGCGCGGGCGTCAGTCGCGGCAGCCGGCCGTATAACGAAGACAGGTACCAAGCCGGCACCATCGAGCTGCCTGCCTTTGCCAAGCGTCAGCCTATTTCCATTTCTAAGAGACCGGGGGGCCAGCAGCGCGACAAGGTCAGCCAGGATGAAGCTGATCAGCAGCAAGGGGCTACGAGCGACATTGGCGATCCGCAGGTGTTTTACTTTTCCGTCTTTGATGGGCATGGAGGGAGTGAGTGCTCCGAGTTCCTGAGGGATCGCTTGCATGGTTATATCGAGGAGGCTGCTTTGTTGTTTGGCATGCGGAGTACGTTGCAGAAGGGAGAGGATGGGAAAGGCAAGACACTGGCAGACGAGTCAGAGAATGGTGCTGCGGCCGAGCAGGATGCGGAGGAGCTGCAGCGGAGCGTGGTCAACAGCTGGAAGGAGACGGTCGGCGGGTATTTTAAGCGATTCCGCCCCGAGTACTTCCCTGCGCTCACTCCGTCCAAGTCGGGCGACGAGGGTTTGCAAGACAACAAGGCCGAAGACAAGCTTGCCAGCAACTCCATCGAGACCGTCCTCACCTACGCCTTCCTGAAAGCCGACCTGGACTTTACCACCGCCCAAGCGCAGAAACACACCGCCACAGAGTCCAGCTCTCGTTCGACCGGCACGCAGCACTCCCTCGACGACCCCGTGCTCGCCGACAGACCCATCAACGACAACGACCTCCTCTACCACCCCGACCGCCCGGCCTCGCAAAACCTCCACAAAACCGCGCAACGCACCCTCTCCCACTCCCCCGACCTCACCGCGCCCATAGGCGGCTCCACGCGCTTCAAAGGCGGCTCCACCGCCTCCATCGCCCTCATCTCCACCCCAACCCCCACCCCCTTCTGGCACCCCGCCTCCCCCTCAACCCTCATGACGGCCCACGTAGGCGACACGCGCATCCTCCTCTGCCGCACGAGCGACGGCAAAGCCGTGCCCCTCACCACCAACCACCACCCCTCCGCCCCGATCGAAAGCACGCGCCTCCGCCGCTACTCGGGCGCCTTCGTCACCGACTCCTTTGGCGAAGAGCGCGTGCTCGGGTTAGCAAACACGCGCGCTTTCGGCGACATCAGCTCCAAACGCATCGGCGTCAGCGCCGAGCCGCAACTCACGCGCGTCGAGCTGCCCGCCGCAGGCTACAGCTTCCTCGTGCTCGTGTCGGACGGCGTAAGCGGCCACCTCGAAGACCAGGAGATCGTCGACGTAGTGAAAGAAGCCAAGACGCCCAAGCAAGCGGCCGACGAACTCGTCAAGTTTGCCGTCGAGGTGAGCGAGAGCGGCGACAACGCGACGGCGCTCGTCGTGCGGCTGGGCGGGTGGGAGAGGCGGAGTGAGGGCGGGGTGGGCAGTATGGGCACCAAGGAGCAGCGCGACTACCGGCGCGAGGAGGCGATGGACCCCAGGGGCCGGAGGATGTAGGAGTTTTCTACCATCTTGGGAGTGGTGTTGGACACCTGGGTGGCGTGAGTGAGCGTACATAGCATACATATCAGGCGGGGGTGTCGAGCGTTATACATGTCATTAACCTGATTCCAATATGTGCATGGGCGGCTTTTAAGAAATCTTTGATTGGAAAGTCTAGTCTCCTGCGCGCGCCGACGGAGTAGTCATATACCCCGCCCTGATTTCTATGCGTCCAAGAAACAAAAGAGGGCAAGAGGAAACAAACGTTGCCTCCCACATTTCGCTATGCATGGCGTCTCGGTGAATCGGTGACAGACAGAGAACAAGGGTTTTGGTTTGGTTGATGGGGGTATCGTGCATGGAGTTCTATGGGAGGTTGATGGTGGGGGTGATTGGTGTGTTCAGTGGAGGGCGTGCGTTGGTGACCTGCGTGGTGGGGTGATGGTGTACGTGCTGCTCGTAGGGTGGCTCGGTGGTTGATGCTCGGGTTTGTGACTGCCAGGGTTGCGTGGGGAAGGGGTGGATTCGGATCGGGAAAGGGGGGTTGTTGGCGAAGCGTGAAGTGTGCTGGTTGCTGCTGTCGTTGAAGCGTCGACATTGAGCTGGAGTCATGAACGTGTCCCGCCAGCTCACTTCGATTGGGAGACATTCGGCTGGTGCAGTCCGTTGCCTGTGCCGCTGCCGTGTTCGCGTCGGGCTGGAGTGACTCGGATGCCACCGCCGTGACATCCTGCGTCAAAGCCCACTCCATCCGTGACGTTGGAAATCTAACAGCACCACTTCAGGACATCTGCACATTGCCCGCAGCAGCTGAGCAGACGAGTCAGCAAATACATCTGAATCAACAACAAAACACCACGTTCACTGCAACCTTGGAGCAATCTCCTCAAACAGCCAACTAGTAGATCATGCGTGCACGAAAGTCCGTCGGGAGTGAGGAGTTGCCCGTCCAGTGACGGCGCCGAGGTTGGAGGCCCTTACCGGCTTGACGCTTGATCTGCTCCCGTGCCCACCGAGCAGTCTCTTGCGTGCGCGGTGCGAATTCCTTGTTCGCGCGCGTCTCGCGGCACATGGCTGTCAGCCAGTCTGCGCGGAAGTAATGGCTGTATTCGCCGTTGGGGAAGGCTTCGGAGATGTCGCTGCGCAAGGGTCAGCAGGGTGTGCAGGCAGAGGAATGGGGGTAGGGAGTGCTTACCCGACCACGCCCATTGACGCCCTCAACAAAGCTTCGGTGCGGTTCGGGTCAAGATACACGGTGTTGAGAAGGCTGAAGATGGACTCGACGTAAGGCTGAAGCAGATTTGCTGGAGGCAAGATTAGCATTACACAACGGGGAAGCACATGGCCAGGGCCACTCACTTTTGGATCCAGCCCGCAGCGCCATCACAATACCACCCCATGCGTCCATGATGCCCTCTCGGAGGCTCACGACGTAGTCCAGCATCTCAAAGTTAGCAGAGTTCTCGCTTTGAACCGTGATACCCGCCGCCTGTTGCAAGACCTGAGCAACAACGGACAGATATGTCTCGAACTCGCCGCCGATGGCCTGCGCGACATCTCCGAAACACTGCAAAATCGCAGGCTTGAATTGATTGCCCAGTGTCGTGCTCTGCTCCAGAAAGCCATTGTCAGCTGTACCAGCACTCACAAGTCGCATGTAGTATTCGTATATCGTCATGTTACTCACCCGGAGGTTGTTCAGAAGCGAATTCATAAACTGATCGCAGAAAGGCGCCACACGAGCTTCCAGGGCCCGGGTGATATCGGACACCAGCCCAATGCCCATGGCGCAGACTTGAGGTTCCTCTTGGTTGTTGAGGGCGGAGAGGAGGAATGGGGAGAAGCTCTGCATGTACTTTTCGAAATCCGCCTCGAGAGCGTTGGCCATGGCCCCGATGGACGCGAAGATGGTGTCCGGGACGGAGCTTTTGGCGCCGACGCTGTTGAGCAGATTGAGGAGGAGATCCATGATGCGGTCTGCTTGTGGGGCAATCTCCTTTTCCAGACGCTGAATGATTGCCATGACCACGGAGGTGAGAGAGGTTTGAATCTCTTCGAGCGTGAGACGGTCCTCCACAGACACCACTTGGGCCTGCATGGGAATCGTCTTTTGCAGGCGATCGATAATGACTTCGCTCAAGTTGGCGACAAGGGGCACGGAGTCGTTGGCGGCATTGGTGACAAAGGCGTTCAAGACTTCGTACGCCGCAGTGCGGAGCTGATTGTCTTGCGTTGACTCGGTCGCTTGAAGCAGGTGTTGCACGCTCGCTTGGAAGTGTTGGGACAGGGCGTTCGTGGAGCATCCGGGTTCGCCGGCGAACCTATCCGCCAGGTTCATCAGAGCCCAACAACAAGAGCTCGCCATTCTGGGGTGCGACGCAAGTCCCTCGAACAGCACTTGAATCAGGGATTGAAGGTGCGTTTGAGGGTCGATGGCCTCCGAGACGGCTTCACAGATGCGTCCGAGCGCGTAGGCGGCAGAGTCCTTAACTTGCACCGACGGGTCTTTCATCATCTCGATCAGCACCGGGAGTGCCTGCTTGACCAGCGGATCCAGCACCTTCTCATCCGGACCCTCCATCATCGCTCCAAAAGCAGACACGGCCGCGTCTCGGTAGTGCCAGTCGTTGTCTCGCAGATGGCCTTCGACAAAGGTGAGGACGGGCGGCACGATCTGGCTACCGACTGCCTGTGACCAGAGCTGTACACACTGGTACGCCGCTCGCGAGATGTTGTATTCGTCATCGGCAGCATCTTCATCCTGTCTGGCAAGAAGCTCGAGCAGCACAGGGACGACCTCCTGGGTGGCGACGCGAGCGAAGTTGAAGTACGGTCGCATCTCGGTGGCCTCTGCTTGGGCCTGCGCATTGTCATCTTCGATGCTAATCTCCTCTTCGCAGACCGTACACCAGAATTCCACGGCCAACTTCGCCACGTCTTCCTCGTCACTCTTCATCCCTTGAATGGTCAGGCCGAAGAGCGCCTTTTCCATGTAGAAGCGCATCTTTTCGTAGTAAAGGCCCATGATACGGTTCAGGCAGCCATAAGCACCCTGTTGAATGCGAGTGTCCTCGGCTTGGGTGGCTTCGCAGATGACTTGCATGATGTAGTTGCGCTCGCCCTCATCCTCGAAATTGCTCCTCACGAACTCCAATGAATCGCCGAGGGCAGTGATGGCGGCATTCCGGATGTCGTTGTTTGGCTCCTCCTTTCGTGCACCCTGCACCACGGCAGTCAAAATGGCGTTGGAGTGCTGTGCCAGGCTGTCCCTCAGTTCCTGATCTTCCGTCTCGCAGATGAAACCGATGGACACGAGCGACGCCTGCTTCTTCTGATCGTTCCCACTTCCTACATTCTCCACCAATGTACGCATCAGCTCGGGCCATTGGTTTCGCGGGAGCTCGATGGCGGCGATGGAGGCGATGAACTGTGCGGCAGACTGCCCAGCCCGACTGTCTGAGCTCCCGAGGGTTTGCAGGGCCAGTGCCTTGACTTGTGTCTTGATCTGCGGGTCCACCTGTTGTAGCCATCTCTCCTGAACCTCTCGTAGACGGGCAAAGTCGCGGGCGGAGAAGGAGTTTTTGAGGGCGAGACCGGCTGCTATGCGGACTTGAGACTGTGCTTGTTCGTTTGCGAGTTCGGAGGAGAGGGTGGTAAGGTAGCCAGGCTGGCGGAGAAACAGTGTCAGCGTCACCATGTGACATGACCCGGAGCGCACAAAGGGGTTAGAAGACTGTGAACTTACGAAATCGGCCGCAGCTGCCGACGAAAGCTGTTGTTCCGCGGCGGAGCGTATAGCAGCATCTGTGGGAGAGTTAGAAGACACTTCTCGTGACGTTTGTAGTACGAGGGGTATAAGCCATGGCTGCCACTAACCTGGCGAGAGGGTGCCGGAGAGGACCTGGTTGACGTCCATACTAGGCGAAATCTCCAGCTACGAAGGCAGGAGAAAGGATTGCGCGATCTGCCGTTGGTTTGTCGTGCGGCAGACCAGATAGGCCGAAGGTGTCGTGCAACAGCCTTACCCTCCGACGCAGGGTCTCGCAGTGGTTCGAGGATTGTATCCGCACACGCACCTGCTCGTGTGGGCAGGAGTGTGATGACTGATACGGGGCGAGAAGGGGAACGCCGAGGAATGAGGATTGAGTGGTCGGATGGCGATGAGGGGAGGAGGGAAGGGTGAAGGCGAAATTTCTTCGTGTGGTGTTGCGCTGGGAGACGCGGCGGGAAAATTGAAGCAATGTAAACGTCGAAATGCGGGCTGCAGCTGTCACGTGCTTAGTCGGGTTTTGGGTCCCTGTGTCTCTTATGCACAACATCATGAAGTAAAGTGAATGCCAAAGGCGTAAAATGTGACTAGATGTACAAAAGTATCGCTACGTGTCATTTGTGCCAAAACAGCATCGCTCGCCGTCTCGAATATCGACAAAACTCGCTGGGTATCGTAGATGCAATCAACGCTGAATACAAGACCATCCCACAAGGCTCGCGACACCAAACAGGCCTCCACGCTTTTAGTCCTCGTCTACCTCCATCCCGTCCGGTACCAGGAAAGCCGCCTCATCAAAGTCATCGGCGTCCAACACGCGCACACCCCCACTCGCCCTCGGCTTACGAGAGGCCTGCTGTCGGAGTCTCGCTTTCGGTCTCTCCCCACGTGCGAGAGCGTCGGAATCCATGGCGGTGTCATCGTGAAACCAAGCGTCTAGATCATCCTCCATGTCCTCCTCGTACGTTCTCTTCTTAGAAAGATCGGCGAGTGGAGATGTCGAAAGGGCATCGCCGGACTGGAGCGTACTCTGAGACCGTGTCAAATCGGGCAGTTCGTCGTCACTGTCATCGTCTTGAATGACAGCTGGCGCGGATGATGATGGCATTTGTTGCGCCGCCAGGCCTCCAATTTTATGCAGTCCACAGAACGGCAGCAGTTCCCTCGAACTCACTCTCGTCTCAGTCCTGGTGTTTTGCGTTCTTGATCTCGCCGGCGCGGTGCTGGGAGGTATCGAGTGGCCTTGCAGGCCCATTGTCTTGTGGGTTTTGTAGCCTTCAGGTACCGATTTGCGTACTCGCATGCCCACGCTGAGTAGGGAGGATTGGGTCTCGGGTGGTAGGGGTGGGCTCAGAGTCGATCTCTCTCGGTGGGGGACGCCATCAGAGCTGTTGCTGCGGCCGAAGTAGGAGTCTATCGAGGGTTGGAACTGCCTCTTTGCTGTGTGGCTGGATGACATTGTGGAGGGCGCGGGCCGGGCGTCTGAGCGCCGTGGGTATGAACGCTGTGAGTACTATGCGTCTTGGGGACACAAGATATCAAGACAAAAGAAAAGAGAGGGGAACAAATTGGAAGAGGGAACTGGCGAGCTTCGGTACGCGGGATATAGAGAGGCAGGAGCGTCGTCCCGTTTAGGATTAGACTAGCTGACTCCGACTTTCTGATTGGTCAAAGCCCGCGATACTGTTCAGACGGCGATTCACGCGTCTCCCATCAAAAGGTAATCTTCTTTCCTTGAAATGCAATCGGCACCGCCCGCTTCTCTTTGGCCTTCTTTGCGGCCTCCCAGCTCGGGTGAAGAGGCCCATCATCTTGCTTCTTTGTGTTCTCCTTCTTCGCATGAGGCAAAGACTTGCCGCCGTTCCGTCCAGACTTATAATCAGGGCTGGTTCGTCTCGTGCGCCGGTCGTAGCCCTTGTTCTTGCGGTCATTGGCATCGACCGCGCCGCGCTTCGAATTCCAGCCATCGTCACGGTCGTTCCGAGTCGGCTTTTGCAAATGCTTTGCGCCGGCGCCGTACTTTTGCTCCCAGATCTGCTGGCGCGCTCGCTGCCCTCTCCGGTTCTTCTTGACCGGCGCCCCTGCGTGCTCCTCAACATCCGACTCAGAGCCTGAGATGTAGCCAGCCATGGTGAGTGAGGGTAGAAAGGCTGACTTTTTGATCGGAGCTGCTTTCTGTGGCTCGGGTGATGCGGAGCGATTGTCGAGCTCGGAATCTGATAGCGAGAGATCTGCTTCCACATTGTAGCCGTTCGACTTGGATCCGTTGGCACGTTTGACGCCTTCCGCAGCTAGTTGCCTTTCCAGTGCCGCAACTCCATGGTCCTCATCATCGTCTTCGTCAGAAGTGGAAGCTATCCGATTGTCAAAGTCGAGATGCTCCGCATCTGAGTCGTCCCCAGCATCATTTAGTTGTCTGGTCCTAGGATACGAAGATTGCCGTTCGTCAGGTGCTTCGACATTCCCTCGCCCGTGCAGCGAGGCTTCTTTCGCAGGCTCGAAATCCTTGGCCCTCTTCCTTGACTTTCTAGCAGACTTGGAAGTGTCGATATCGAGCCCCAGACTTTGTTGTATGTCGGTCACTGCAGTCGATAGAACATCCTGGACTTGATTCGAGTTGCACAACCGCGCGTGTACATTCAGCGTTGCAGGCTCCGTCGAAGCAGCTGGAGGATCTCGCACTTCGTCCGGAAGACCCGGACTATCCGAGACGGCTTTGATCTTCAACAGAGATTTGTACAAATGCAGTTGCGCCGAAGCCGTGGTATCAAGCGCCTTGGTGAAAAGGAGTTAGAAACTGGCGCAAGTTGTCAAACGCATGATCCTCCTCACCTTCAACGCAGCAATCTCCGCGTCGATTCGCTCGACATCCTTCTGATTGCTCTCTTCCTCCGCCTTTCTGCGCCGCTTTCCCAATTTCTGCCTCTCGAGGCCCTTGGACACTTTGAAAGCATGACCGAGCTTGGTGAGCGCGACCTTCAATCTCTGCTGCACTCGTCTTTGCCGGGCCGGGTCTCGCGCCTCGTCATCTTCGCGCTTTCGCTTTGGCATGTCGAGTGGTTCGCCCGATGCCGAATTGGCAGGTTTGAAGCGCAAAGCCAGCGCAGATTTCAGATGTGTAGTCTGCGCCACGACTTTTGGCCACCAGATGGAGTCCTTCTGCGCCAACGTCCGCTAGTACTACAGCCGTGTCTGAACAAATCACGGCCTGCCATCAGCCTTCTTCCCATGCTGTGGTCTTCTCCAACTCGCGCGACTTCAACGGAATGTCTCTCTTGACTGACCCACAATTCGTTATGCATTAGACATTTCAACTACTCGAGGAAGCGAAGCACAACGATCGATATCCTGCTCCAATGAACGCCTCATTCAAACCCCTCGTCACTCGATTCGATCCCCTCCGGCTCGTCTTCCTCTCGCAGCTGCTGCAGAAATTCCATCCTCCTCTCGCACTCCTCCCAAGTATGCTTCTCCTCCAGCAGCCTCAGACCTCGTGCATCTCCACTCTCCAACACTGCATCTTCCTGCAGAGACCAGATTCCGGGGATGTCAGACGGTAAACCTCTGCCGGTCTTTGCGTCGAGCAGGACGAGATCTGCTAGCTCCCACCGCATGGACGTCCGCTTGAGGGCTTCGATGATGGCTTGCTCGTCGCTGCCGTAAGTCACCTTCCTGTTCTCGATGTAGTCGTCCATGTCTCCATGCGCAATCTCCTGCGTGTTAGAAAGATCGCGCTGGCTGTTGGCCATGGCCGAGCGCCGAAGGCCCGGCTCCCGCTCGAAACCGTCGTCCGAACGATCTCGCTCTAGACTTGCATCCGATGGAGGACTGTTCGAGGCGCGATTGGCAGTGAATTGCTCGGCCAGCAGCTTGCGACGGTTTCGCACAGCGCTCTGAGATCGTGCAAGGCCGTATGTTCTTATGATCTGTGATGCGTTCATCCCCTCCTCCGTTCCACGCAGAAGCACGTCATCTTCACCGGCGGTCCAGCCTCGTTTGAGAGCTCCCAACATTGCCGCTGCGTCATTCTCCGCTACATCCCCGTCAGAGTCTGGCGGTAGAGGCATGTCAAAGTCTGGCAGCTGTGTCTCGAAGTTCAAGATGTCTTGTGTCTCAAAAACATTCACTCTCAGATGCTGAGTATTGTGAAGATTGCTAGGTTCTTCCGAACTCGAAGAGGCGAACGAGCTTCTTGAAGACTGCGATGCAATCTCATCAGCATCGACATCTTTACCGGCAAGCGCGCCGCCTTTGCGGTCTCCAACGGAAAAGTCGACCGCAAATCCGTCCACTTGGTGATTAGAAAGCCTGCCCAGGGACGCATCGTCCCTGTCAGCCCGAGTTGGCGGTACGGACGAGGTCCGTCCTTCTCCGACTATCACATAGCTGGTAGCCTCAACGTTCTTCCCGGTCTGACTCTGGTGGTGATTCAGTGGATCGGCCGGGACAGCCGTTTGATCTCGGTCCTGCAGTCTTTCGACTTCGCCTTGATGCATCGGCAGCTCGGGATAGGCGATCTGAGTCTCAAAGCCCAGACTCGCATGCTGTGGCCCATCACGCGACGGTGGTTTTGGGGACTCGGGCCAATTGATGGCTGCCTCAAACGCTTCGTCAAGTTCCCGCTGCGACGACATGGTCACATCAATTAGACCAGAATCAGTATAGTCGACACCAAGTGAGGCTCCTGACGGTAGCTCGGGATCCTGCACGGCTGGCTGGTCGTGGGTCTTTGTAACGGCTTGCAGAAATCGAATGTACTCATCCTGAAGCTCGGCATCCCTGCCATCGTCGTCTTCGGGCAAGTCTATTCCGCGCCGAGAGGTGTGTTGCGCCTGTTGACTCGCCAGGTTTTCTTCGGTCAAGAGATGCGCACTCGCGTTGGAAGGCTGGATTGACTCTTCTCTGGCAAGCCGACTAGTCGTTGGAATCTCAACGTGACCGTCAAGCTGCTGCGTACCACCACTTGGGAGCCCTTGGTCTTCTGATCGCTGAAATTGTTGGCCAAAAGACTCTCGTTGAAGCTGTTGATCCGCTGCGCGCATAGCATCCGATGTTGGGAGAAACGACCTGAAGGCCCCGCTACTGCCTTGAGCCTCGTTGAGACCAGGCAGCGCTGTCGCATACCCCTCTGAGACAACAAGGGCCATCCCTTTGTTGGACTCGGCAGCTTGGCGCGTGAGCGTGTTGTCTCGCGCCGCCGCTTCCTCACTGTCGCTTCTTGGAAGCTCGGTCGGGGACACATCGGGAGGGTTCGCCGACGTTGATGGCAGAGTGGGCGCTTCCTGTCGCTGAGTCGAGAGAGTCCGATCTGCCATGGGCGCTTGAGTGGTTCGAGGCCTCTTGTTGGGTTCGACACCAGGACTTTGCGACATCTGAGTGTCACGTTTCCGCTTTGGTGAGGTTGAAGGCTTTATTTTGTTGCGTGATGGGGAGGTTAGAGGTTGCTCATTGGGCTGGGATTCATCAGGATGCGCGACTTCTTCCAAACGCTCTTTGTTTCGTCCTCGCAATAGGATTGGCCGCACAAACTTGCGCCATATCCTATGCCATGCCCGCGCTGTGTGCTGTGGATGTGTTTCGGACCATTTCTCCCATGCTTCTCTCTTCCGATCCGGATCAATTCGTTCAATATCGGACGCCACTTCCAGAAGCATGTCCAGATCAGCTTGGTCGACGCCTTCTGCTCTGCGTACCGGCGTAGCATCTCTTCCAGGCAATATAGATTCTGACTGCCCAGTCTCCTCGCGCGATTGTTTGCGCTCCAAGTCCACGTTATCGCCGATGTCTTGTGTCGGCTGCTCTGCCTCAACAGTCTGGCGGTCTTCATGATGCAGAGGATCGGATGGCTCGGTAATCGCCTCGGGCTGATCTGCGCTCACAGCAGCTTCACTGCCGGCAGATCGCAAAGGAGCGGGTGGGTCGAGGGCCACATCGGCGTCCTCATCTTGGGCGATAGGCGGCGTGGGCGGGGCATTCGCAGAGACTGTAAGTCTCACACCATCAGGTGGCGGTCGGTCCATCAATTTCTTAATGTATCGATCTCGCCAGGCCTGGTACGTGTGTCGAGAATTGACCTTTTCCAGATCCTTATAGATATTATTGCCTTTTATACTGCCCTTCCCGAGACTTGTCTGAACCCACTCCCAAAGAACTCGGTCATCTTCCGCAGTGAAGGCTGTACGCGTGCTCTTGGCAGGTATCCCTGAGCCCGCGGCTCTGATGGTACCCACGGGGGCTCCAGCAGCATGGCCGCTGGGATCGGGAAGACGGCCATCCGCGATTGCAGTGTCGATGAAGGAGTAGGAAAGACTGCCCGGGGGACAGTCTTGGCGAAAGTGATCTGCGATGATATGATCCGCCTGAGTGTCGAGTTTCACCACTCGGCCGCCGTTCGACTCGATCTTCTGAATGAACGCGGAGCGTTGGGGTACACGCTGCACCAGGAAGAATTTGAGGCCGTGGAAGAGGTCGCCTACAGAGGGGGTGTGCTGATTCGCATTCGCGATGGCGACCTTTCCGGCCGCCATTTGGTTGGCGTCGCTTTCGTGGTGGTGAGGAAGCTGTCCAGGGGCGGCGAAGGTGAGGTTGGCGGGAAGACGCGTCGGGGCAGGCGCACGCGACGGATGTCACCCCGCACTTTAGTCGTTTAGCGCGAAGCTCGTGGATGTTTTAATCAATTCCAACCAATTCGCGCTCGTCGATGGCAACGACATGGAAATGGTGGAAGCATGGGTGTCATCCGCAACATCGTCATTGCGGTGTCTGCCATCTCCTTTCTGACCTTTGTCGCCCTATTTGGCCAGCTGCCTGCATTGCGGAAGACGCCAATCGGGTGGTTGCATTGGCTCCTCCGCTACGGCATCCCAAACTTCCTCGCCGGTATTGATCAACACGTCACAGGCGGCAAGATTGCACGGGTTGGAGTCCGATTGGGGAATTATCTGTTCTTCAAGAAGAATCCCGTGGTTCTGGTAAGGCCTGAGCTTAGATGACTGCTTGTGCTTGTGTCTGACTTCCTATCAGATCATCTTTCTAGCCTTGCTCACTGGAAGTGCCGGTTTGCTCCTCTGGCATGGCATCGCACTCCTACCAACCAAGCTTGTCATACCTATCCCGATCCTTCTGGTCCAGCCATACCTCTTCACCTGGCTCTGCGCTTCCCACAAAGGTCACCACATCATCTCCGCTACGCATCGACAGCGCTTACACGACTACCCTTACGATCATGTCCTCTTCAACCCTGGAAACATCTGCATTACCTGTCACCTGTACAAGCCGGCGAGATCGAAGCACTGCAGTCTCTGTGGGGTCTGCATTGCCATGTGCGACCATCACTGCCCATGGGTGAACAACTGCGTGGGTCGCGGCAACTATCGCTATTTTCTCGCCGTCCTACTCAGTCTGGGCCTCGTCGAAGTGTACGGCGCGTATCTCAGCTGGTACATTCTACGACCGCAGGTGCAGATCGACCCCACAAACCCCTTCTTCTCGCGAGCATATGCCAACAATCTCATCGATGCGGCGGTCGTGGCCGTTAATATCGGTGGTCTTTCCATTGCCGGCGTTGGAATGCTTGCTGCTGCAACGGGGGCACTGCCTTTTGGCCTCCTTGCATACCACTGCTACCTCATCTGGGCAGGGCTCACCACGAATGAGTCGTCGAAATGGGCCGACTGGCGGGAGGACATGAGAGACGGACTGGTCTTCAAAGGCAGCCGTCAGGCTTTGCAAATGCATCATCACCCCCACGATAACGAGGAGAATAGGTGGGGATACGCGAATGGCAACAGCGACTTTGCATCAGTCGCCAATACGACTCAACACGAGCCTCACGTTCCGTGGCCGATACACAGTGATCAAGCCATTTTTCTAAGTCGAGATGGTCGGCCTCCTGCTGGCGAAGAAGCCCTCTGGACACAGGTCTGGGATCTCAAGGACGTAGACAATCTCTACGATCTCGGGGGTTGGCGGAATTTCACGGATGTCCTCCAAGGGAAATGACCATGGGTGATGTTGGTTTCAGGCATTGTAGACTACGAACCACGCCTGCTATATACATAATACTATGCGACTCTAGGGTACCCATCTTTTACTACTCACGGGCGGCTGTACGGCTACACGGCTGCGAGCGGCCACGCTACCTTGCTGTACTGTAGCCGCGTGCACGTCTCGGGAACCATCTTCCGGCCTCGCAGATGAGGTGACCGAGCACGTTAGCCGGGTGACGAGCACATCGACTCCCCGTTGTTTTTAATCATTGGCAAGTCGTCTTCTTACATTCTTTTCTATAGAAAATATAGACTTTGAGTTTGTCTGGCATTTCTAGATCTTTACTGTCCATATATCGGTTGGCTTTCAAGATGGCGGACGAGTCTTTCGATGCAATATGCGTGGGTGCCGGCTTCGCGGGCATCCACATGAGTTACAGACTGCGAGAGCTGGGATTGAAGTTTCTGGTCATCGATCAAGCTGGTGATGTGGGGGGGACGTGGTGCGTTGGAGTCAGAATCCGATTCATCGATCGAAGCCGTGATGACTGACCTCTTTCTCCACTCGTCCAGGTTCTGGAACTTGTATCCCGGGGCAATGTCCGATTCTGGTGGGTGTTCCAACATGCAGACGGATCCATCGATGCTGACAAGTGGGCAGAGAGTTTCATCTATCGCTTCTCGTGGGACAGAGATGATTTGATGAACTACCCGTGGAAAGACCACTACGTCAAGCAGGATGAAGTGCTCGCCTACCTCAACCACGTGGTAAAGAAGCACGACCTGAGGAAGTACATGCAATTTAACACGCAACTGGTCTCTGCCAATTGGTCCGAATCCGATCAAAGGTGGGTTTTGAAGATCTCCGGTCCCGAAGGAGAGAAGACGATCTCGACCCGATATGCCATCACGGCTCTAGGGTTGCTATCGAAGACGAATCTGCCGGACATTCCCGGCTTGAAGTCGTTCGAGGGCGAGATGTACCACACTGGAGCGTGGCCTAAGGGTACCGATGTGACGGGGAAGCGGGTTGCTGTGATCGGCTGTGGATCGACGGGTGTCCAGGTCATTACGGAGATTGGAAGCAAGGTCGGACACTTGACCTGCTACCAGCGACATCCTCAATACAGCGTTCCATCCGGCGACAGGGCGGTGACTGCCGAAGAGCGACAGCACTGGAACGAGAATTGGGACAACATCTTCGATTTGGTGAAGAATTCAATCACTGCGATGGGCTTCAAGGAGAGCCAACGGTCGTTCCATGATGCTACGCCCGAAGAACGCGAGAAAATCTTCCAAGAGGCCTGGAACAAAGGCAATGGGTTCAAGTTCATGTTTGGCACCTTCAGCGACATTGCTGTTGATTGGGAGGCCAACGAAGCAGCGGCTGACTTTATTCGCCGGCAAATCGACAAGATTGTGAAGGATCCCGAAAAGGCGAGGAAGTTGAAGCCACACGATGTCTACGCCCGTCGGCCACTGTGCGATGGCAATGCTAGGAGTGGTGAAAGCTACTTTGATCAGTTCAATCGGGACAATGTTGATATCGTCGACCTGAAAGAGACCCCATTCAAGCAGGTCGAGGCCAAAGGGATCCGAACATCGGATGGCAAGTTTACGGAGCTTGATTGCCTGATTTTAGCAACTGGATTCGATGCCGTGGACGGGAATTACCTGAGGTTAGCAATCCACGGCCGCAACGGAGTGTCGTTGAAGGAGTATTGGGACGAAACTGGACCAACCAGCTATCTGGGAGTTGCCGTGCCCGAGTTCCCCAACTGGTTCATGATCTCCGGTCCGAAAGGGCCCTTTACGAATGCGCCGCCGCAGATTGAGCGCCAGGTGGAGTTCATCAGTGCCGCAATCGAAGACAACGAGAAGGCGGGCGCGCGGGTGCCGATCGAGGCCACGCATGAAGCCGAGCGCGCATATTCCGCGTATTGTGAGGAGTTGGCGGCGCATAGTCTCTTCTGGAAGGCTGAGGTGAGTTCTCCTCCCGAGTGTATTGCCTTATGGGTGGCTAACGTGACGATAGGACAACTGGATCTTTGGTAAGTCGACAAGTCACGTGCAACGTCACGAGGTCGGACTAACAAATATTAGGAGCCAACATTCCAGGCAAGCCAAAACAGTTACGCTTCTTTTTCGGAGGCATGCAGGCGTATAGGCAGAAGCTGGTAGAGGTGGTGTCCAAGGGCTACGATGGATTCAAGCCATTCACTTCCAACCCAACTGCACGGGTGTTTTGAGACTGGAGGACGAGGCGAAGGCATGTCGGTGCAAGCATTCGTTCAGTGCTATCTTGTGATAACGCCACGTACTTCGGACGCGGTGAAGATGGAGCAAGTAAGGTAGATATAGAGATTGATGGGATGTATTCGATGGGAAGACACCATCCTTGTCAGCTGTGACTGCCTTTCCAACTCGCACACCCGCTAGTTGACGTTGATTCGCCGCGCTGCTTTGCATTACATTTGCTGCAGGTCAGTAATGCGCTGGTTCTTATCGGAACGACATCCGACCTTGCATGCGGTGAGGAGTGGTGCTGCACGTAAGGCGGCCAGCGACGTCTGCAGTTGAGGCGGCTCGGCGATGCAGCATTGCGTGCTAAACTGCTTTTGGCGAGTTGGGCGATTCGTCATGAGCGGCTCTCCACGCGAGCGACTCAGGTGGTCATCAATGTCGAGTCAGGCACAACAATGGAAGAGTGAACCGGGGCAGCTTCCCACCTCTCCTCTCCTCTCCTCCATTCCCTTGCTTCATCCCTGGCATCACAATCCATAGAGCGGCGCACACTCGCGGCAGAGTGGCGTCTTTGTTTGCTCCCTATCAGGCATTCGCTCTCGGGACGGGGTCATCCTCCCAAGTCCGGCCGCCTCGAACCGCAGCTCGTGACTCCGCGAGTGTACGGCAGATCTCCAGCCAAGAGAAGCGCCGCAAAGCGTACCCGACACCTGCCAGCTCCTTTTCGCCCCTGATAGCATCTCCTACGATCACTCTCACTCCTACGCCGTGTCTGAGTGCTTCATTGCATCTCAGACGTGCCTAGGAAGCTTATCAGCTCCACTCGTCCTGCGTACTTAGCCTCCTTCCCCGACTCGCTGCCTGAGACCTCGACATGGAGCCTGGTGACTAGTGGCGAGTCATCGGCGAACACACCGGACAGCTTTCCCCTCTGCTCGTACAGCTCGATACCAGCAACTGCACTGCCTGTTGAGGCTACCACCAATCATGGAGCGAGCCACAGCCTGCTCCTCAACCGTTACTTTGCCCTCATAACATTCACCACCCCTCGACATCAAGAGCGACATCCGCCATGCATCAACTCCCTCGACCCTCCCCTCGGAGTGCCACGCCTGCCTCCAACCCCACCACCAATCCAGAGCGAACCAACAATTCGAGAGATCGGCCGATGCCTCGTTCCAGATCCAGCGTGGATCTTGCATCGTATACGGAAAGAGCTGGTGCTGCCGAAGCCTCGACTGCGGCTGGCCGCGAAGGCACACATGATAGTGGTCAAGACCGCGAACTCACAAAGTTGAATCAAATCATTCAGGTGGGTCAAGGACAGTAATGGTGAATGATAGTACAACGCTGATGGTTGGTATAGCATTTCCACACCAAGGCCGCACTATTGATCTGCTCATCGCGGGCCAATCTGCCGCGCAGTCAGAACCAGCACGGCGACATACGACAGAATAGATGGGTGGGTTCTTGAGTGAAGCACAACACCCGGATAACATGCTGATAAGCTTGAAAGTTCAACGTGGTGGTTGATGAGACCGACGTCTTGCTCGATCACCTGCAAGAATGGCGAAGACACGATTTATTCGAAGACCGGCCCCGGCCCCTGGTCATAGAGATGTTTCTCGACACCGCCCACCTGACAAGCAATCAGGTGCTCGTCATCAAAGATGATGCTGGGAGGAGACACAATGTCGCAAATGCTCTGAGCCCCTCCACCTCCGGCGCGCAGCCTTCTCGAAGTGGAGCACGGCAATGCGAGGTCGTTCTCGAGCGGTGGACCCTCGAACTGGGCGATGCCAATCGGCATACTCCAGCGGAACTTGACGAGAAGCTGCCCAATGTGTACAAAAAGGGCGTCGTGCTGTTCCGCTCCCTCTACACCTTTCTCCGCATTGTTCCTGCTTTTAAGCTGTACAGAAAACTTTTACGGCAAACCGGTAGCCATCAAGCGCTCAAGCTGAAATTCCGGATCAAGAAGGGGCGCGGCTCGGCGCAGGGCGAGCTAGACTCGCTCCTGACGCCCCTCTGTCCTCATGAGAAGAACGCCAGGGACATTGTCGAACACTACGCCTTTCAGCCTTTGGTGACGCCTGCTGGCCCTCTACATTGCTCGGTTCACTACCGCAAGAATTGCGTCTTCGGTATCGCGGATGCAGAGGCCCTCATCTCGGATCAGTTCCACGGGTTAGACGAGCGAATGCCAGCGCCCCCGGTCGGACGCTCACTTCCAGGAGAGCCGGTGGAAAGGCCGCGAGGCCCGTACAGCAGTACGGCGGCGCCGACATCTGCCATCGCTCGCGAAAGAGCTAGAGCAGCGTTGTCGGGCACCTACGGAAGTCTCGGCACCTTTCATTCATCGGAGAGGCGAGGCTCGCCCCTCTCTACCCTGAGGCAGCGCACACTTGAAGCGGAGGAAGAAGACATGGGCAGATCGGAGCAGGGGAGAACGGGGGAAAGTGTGCCGCATCGCAAGTCTGTCGACTATATTGCGAATCCGCCGTTCAAAGCAGGCTCCCTGACATCCTCTCCTCGCCCGTCCCCATCACCCAGCAGTTCGGTTGGACGCAATGAGGGAAGTCTGGGACGTCTCGGCCATGTGATCCAGACAAGCGCCAGCAAACGCACATCTCTCAATGCTCTGCCACAGCAACAATTACGCACGCCGTCATTAGCAAGCGAGGTCGCAGTTGGCTCGCCCGCCTCATACTCTCCTAAGCCGGCGCCTGCTCGGTACAGCAGCAGTTTCGCAAATCGCCCTCGACGATTCACATCACAAAGCGGCAAGACGGCGGAGAGCAACGCCAGCTCCGGCCGCGGCAGCAGTGACTCTAAAGAGAAATCCGAACACCTCCACGACCCCAACCAGGACATTTCCCGCAGCGCCAAGACAGACGACGACGATATCGCATCGTTTATATCGGATCTTGAGCGATCGAAAGACATTAAATTCCACACGCCACCCTCGTCGCGGGACAACGTCGTGAACCTGGCCAAGTACAGCAACATGCGAGACCCCAGCACTCAACTGGCTGAAGAAATGAGCTCATCCTCGCTCATCCAGACGTCGAGTACACCACCCAGCCGGCGGCTGTCCAACGTGCCCGGCCTGTCCATATCCTCATCACCTTCGCGCGCGCTCACCCACGCACCACATGTGCGCTCCCGACTGTCTGTGGCGGAGCCGCCGTTGGCTTCCTCCGCCGCATCAGCGTCGGGAGAGGGCTCATCCAGCCCCGGGATACGAGAGGTGGAGGAGGAAGATGACGAAGAGCCGTTCATCTTCCCTCACCACCAAGACGACAATCTAGACTGACTACCTGACGATTCATGAATTTTGTAGCGAGGCGTTTGGGACCCGCGGCGGCAGAGGGACCTGCAGGTGGGTGCGCATCGCGATTCACGCAGGATGGGATTGTTTTGTTTTGAGGCCTTTCGGTACATCGCGTTTGTACAGAGTTCTCATGACCTGGCTCGCCTAAGAGCGGGCAGAATGAAAGATCCAATTGTCTCGCACGTGCATCTAATGCCGAGCTCTCCCGCTGCGCATGTGGTGTTTTGGTTGGCCATCGGAGGAGTGGCTTGGGAGCTTGCGTTGCGGCGCGTAATTCCGTAAATTCGCGTTTGTGGGGCCGGCTTGCCCCGCGCCTGCCGTACACAGTACAGTCATCATGATCCATATGCGCCACCTCTGCTCCAAGCATAACATCTTTCACCTACTTCACCTCGTTCCATCGCGATTGAAACCACGCGTGTCGTTCAGTCTTCGTCGCGGACATCCATCCTAGCAATCTGCCCAGACTATATCCCCCCAATCCTCGTAACAAAGACGCCGTGCGACCTTCTTGGACGATACTCACGCCTCTCCACTCGAACACCACCTCATCCACGCGCATACACCTCACGAGCACCTCCACTGGAATAGCGACGACTCCACCGAGTCTCTCCTCCCCCTTTCTCCCCTCCTCGGAGATATTCCGAGCTTCGTCGAAGCACCTTAAACGCCGTGGACCGCAGTGTTCCACAGCCGGTGCCTCATCGAAGCTACGCGAATATCTCTGCCGCGCCTCTCCCTCCTCCTCTCATGAGTAATCTTCTGTGGAAGGCATACTACGAAGATGATTTCGACGCCTTCCAGCGGCTGTTGGAGGGTGCGCCCGCGAATACACGACCGTATGGCGGAAGAGGTGGCGTGGCGGGACCGGTGATTGGCAGTCCTGGACAGGTCGCATCGTCGCCGACAGTACTTCTGAAGGGTCGCAAGTCCTTGGGCCCTCCCACGCCATCTAGTGGTGGTCATGCCGCTGCGCTGACAAAGGGCGATATCAATGCGCGCGACGCTTTTGGCGCGACGTTGCTGCATTACGCTGCTTCGTCGACCGCGGACAACGCGATTGACTTCACCACCGCGCTTGTCGAGCATCCCTTGATCGACCTGTACGTCCAAGACTACGAAAGCGGCTGGACTGCTCTCCATCGGGCCTTCTACTTCGGCAATGTGACTATTGCGCGGCTGATGCTTGAGCGCGATGCCGGAGATGCGGTTGGAGAAGTCACCGGCCACGTCCATTCGACCGTTGGTCTGATCAAGGTTAAAGATCGAGATGGCTATGGACCTCTTGACTTGTACGCGGCGATTATCAAGGATCGCACGTTGAGAACCGACACCACTGGCCGCGCGCGATCTGGTTCTGGTCACAGCGACGATGAGCGCATGGTGGGCGATACTGGCGATGCAGACCACAAGATGCAAATTCCCTTCAACAATGTCGATTGTGATCAACTTTTCACTTTCGGCAGCAACAAGAATGCCACGCTTGGGTTCAGCAATGAAGATGATCGACAATTCCCCGAGCGGATCACTTTGCGCCGTCCAGAGGCCCTTTTACGTCGAATGTACTCGGAGCACTTGGAGCAGCATGACAAGAAATGGTCCCATCATGATCCCAGCCATCGGAGCAAGCACGCGGATATCGATGTGTCCGAAATGTGGGTGGAAGATATTCCATGGGTCATCCGAAGCAAGCCGCTTGTCGTTCAAGACGTGCATATGGCGAAGTTTCATTCCGCCGTGCTGACCGCCGATCCGGAATCGAATCTATACCTGTGCGGACACGGTCCGGGTGGCAGACTTGGTGTTGGCGATGAGCGGACTCGCTACAATTTCGTCTGCGTCAACTCGGGTGCCCTGGCTGGAAAAAGAGTGGTGGCAGTGGCTCTCGGGCTGAACCACACTCTGGCCCTTTCCAGTGAAGGAGAGACCTTCAGCTGGGGCAGCAATGCGCATGGCCAGCTGGGATTGAGTCTGCCCAAGTCTCCGACAGGCGAGGATGATCCTATTAGCACCGTCCCCAAGCAACTGTTCGGGACGCTGAAGCGTGAAACCGTGATTGGGATTGCAGCCTCTCGGCATCATTCTGTTGCGCATACAGGGTCCTCGCTGTTCACTTTTGGCAAGAATGAGGGCCAGCTGGGGATCGTGGACTCCGATGCTCGCTCTTTGGAAGTTCAGACCACGCCTCGCAAAGTTGCTGCCTCGCTGTTCGCCTCAAACATCACCTCCGTCTCGGCCATGGACAAGGCAACAGTCTGCCTCCTCGAAAGTCATGAGGTTTGGATCTTTGCGAATTACGGCTACACGAAAGTCCAGTTTCCTCTCGACGGGTTCAGTAATTACTTCTTGCAGAAGAGCTTCCGAGTCACGACGTACGACAATACGCCCAACCGGATTGTCAAGCTGACTTGTGGAGGGGATACGGTGTGTGCCCTGTCGAGTCGTGGCGAGATTTACACGGTATCTATTAGTGCGCGAATGGAGAACCCTCCAAGCTCCTCCACGACAAACCCAAGCAAGATCCGCAGTGCCATTACACAGCCTCAGCGAGTATGGCAACCAAAAAAGAGCAACATGGCGGCACGGGACGTCGGTGTCGATGCGGACGGATCCATCATTCTCTCCACGGAGGAAGGAAGTGTATGGAAGCGGACCAAACGTGCCAAGATCAAGGATGCCACCGCTTCCGGGGCGAGCGACTACAAACCCAAGGATTACAAGTTCTCCCGCATACCAGGCCTGACTCGCGTCTTGGCTGTGAGAGCGTCTTCCCACGGTGCTTACGCTGCAGCAAGGCGTGACTGTAATGTGCTGAAGACGCAGATTGCCGTGGACGAGCCGAGGCTGCACAAAGACATCTTCTCTCTTCTGTCTCTCAGAGGTCTTGAATACGAGCCTGGAAAACCACTGCGATTCTGGCAAGCTCAGAGCAATTCGAATGAAGTCCAAACTCTCCGGCGACGCATTCTGCAAAGCAAAGACATCGAGGGAGAGCTCCAAGAACTGCAGGAGCAAATGCTCACGAACCCCAACACAACCTATGATGCGTTGATATCTACGACAACCTCAGATGTGACGATCCCCATACATCGCTTTGTCTTGACTGGGCGGAGTCGGACGATGCGGCGCGGGTTCCGAGACCTCTGCGAGACGAGCACCTTCACCGTCCCAGATTTGTGCGTGTCCGAGATTGACAAAGACGGTCGGGCAATGGTCAAGTTCCAAGGCCTTGACATCTTGACTATCATCGATCTGGTCGTATACCTATACACCGACAGTCTCGTGGACTTTTGGCACTTCACCCGCAATGCACCAAGCATGGCTCACCGATACCGTCAAGTTCGAACGGAGCTGATGAAGATTGCCACGAAATTGGACTTGCGACATCTCGAACCCGCCGCTCGACAAATGGTGCAACCGGTCTACTGTCTCGACATGGATTTTGCGGTCGCCTTTCAAGATCCCGCCTTTTTCTACGATGGAGACTTCACCATTCAGTTGGAAGATGAAGACATTCGCGCACACAGCTGGCTCTTGCGGAAGCGCTGCCCTTTCTTCGAGGGCTTGTTTATGGGTCGTGCCGGGGGACGTTGGGTAGATGCTCGCGACAATGATGACGAGGTTCATGTCGACCTGTCGCACATCAACTCGAAGACGTTCCGAATGGTGCTGCAGTGGATGTACGCGGATTGTGGGGAAGAGCTTTTCGACGACCTCGTCAGCGTCAGCTTGGATGACTTCCTGGATGCCGTCATGGATGTCCTCAGTGCCGCGAATGAGCTCCTCCTGGACCGCCTGTCGCAGATCTGCCAGGCTGTCATGGGTCGTTACGTCAACGTTCGTAACGTATGCGGCCTACTCAACGCCATCTCCCCGAGCTCTGTCCACGCCTTCAAAGACGCAGGGCTGGAGTATCTATGTCTCAGTCTGGAAGCGATGCTGCAAGGCCATCATCTCAACGAATTGGAAGAAGACTTGCTGCTGGAGCTGGATGCAGTTGTTAGAAGCAACCAGCTTGCTTGCATGCCTTTCGCAAAGAGTGGATTTGCTGAGGAGTCACTTCACGAGCGGCATCCAGGTCTTGCTGATGCCATGGAGCGCGGTCGCCAGGCGAGATTGGACGCGTTGACGTTGCGTGCGAAATACGCCAATCTCGAACGTCAACCCCTGGGAGGCTTCGATGAAGAGATGACTTCACCGCTCCAGCAAAAGGGGCGTGGAAAGCCTACAGCACGCACTATCCACGATGCATCTCTGCCGTCACTCAAGGGGAAGCAGTCGTCGAAAGACATGATGTTCGCAATGGATGAAGAGGTGGACCTTGCTGTCCACTCTCCAACTCCATCACCGTCGATTCGCGCAATGGCCAAGGGCGCCGAACATGAAGTTATCCCTTCAAGCCTGCCAGAAGAAGTCTGGTACGATTCCCGAGGCAAAGCTCTACCGTCGCCTACGATCCAGCCGCAGACCGTAACGCCAGCTGGTACAACACCCAAATCGCCTGCGCTCCGAGCTGGCAAGACTCCGCCTACGACGGGCCAACCATGGAGCTTGACTCCACTCTCCGCCCACCCCAAAGTCGATATGAAGGCGATTATGGAAAACGCAGCTTCCAATCGGACTTCATCCTTGTCTCAAGGCCTCGCTAGTGCCAATTTCACAGCCCTCGATGCAATGTTGCCGCAGAAGGCTGGCGTGGCTAAGATGTCGCAGAAGGACCGGAAACGACTTCAGCATTCTGCCGTTGACACCGCAACTGCACCAGAGGATGTGAAAGGGCCGGGGACGCCGCCTGTATCAAGTGCAAAGCCGGGATCCGCATGGCAGACCATTCCGACGCAAAAGCCAGTCTCTGTGAAAGACGTGCTCGGCATGGAAAGCCCGGCGTCAAAGAACAGATCGCCGAACCCGCGAACCCCGAGTACCCCGCAACTCACCATGAGACAGACAATCTCCAACCCCAAACCATCGAATGGACTGCAGACACCCATCATCTCCCCTTCAGGTCAAAACTCCCTGCCCCGCCGTGAACTCCCCGATCCCAAATCTCCCGCCCAAGCGAAATCTCCCTCCTGGCAACAACAAAGCCCAGCCCCAAGCAGCCGATCCATCCCCCAATCCATCCGGCACCGCCCCGCAGTTGCAGACCCCAGCGTGCTAGGCTTGTCCATGTCCGAGATTGTCGCGCAGGAGCAGCTTGCCAAGGACTTCATCAAGGAGGCGGCGGCCAAGCGCGATTTGCAGGAGATTCAGGCGGAGCAGGAATTTGAGGAGTGGTGGAGTAAGGAGAGTGCGAGGGTGCAGGAGGCGGAGAGGAGGGATGCTGCTGCTGTTGCTGCCGGGAAGACGTCGCGGGCGAGGAAGGCTAAGAGTCGGGGGGCACAGGGTGGTGGTGCTGGGGGAAAGGCGAAAGGTGAGAAGAGTAGTGTTGTGTAATGGAGGTCGATGTTTGTTTTCGATGTACATACTTTTGCTTACCTACCGCATATGTGCGGCTATAGAGATTTAGATCTTTGCATCTTGTTTATGAGTCGTCCGAATCACATTCTCGATGAGGCTTCCCTACGAGCTTCGAGTGCACAGCTGTTTGATCTCGCAGTTACACAAGACGAGCTCACGCAGTGCATAGGATGATGATAATCAGGAGGATTGCTGTGATTTGTACTGACATTCGATCCTCATCGATACATTCTAATCGTAATACTTCGCCTTCGGCGCCCCGGGCAAAATCTCCTCATTCGTCATCTCACTCCTCACCTTCCCACTATTCGACTTCGCCACCCTCGCCTTGACCCATTCCCCCGCCGTGAAACCCGTCGCACCGCCCTCCTCAGGCTTCAACCCCAACTTCTTCAGCACCGCGCTCTCAACCGGCTTCAGCTCCATGCTGTCCTCCGGCCGCACAAAGTACAGCACGCCGAGACGGTCGATGTTGGCTTGGTCGGGGGGCGGAGCGACGACGCGGTGGATGCTGCTTTTCAAGAAGCCGTTGGTGATGAATTCGAGGCTGTCGGCGAGGTTGACTGTGATGCTGCCTGGGTAGGGCTTGACCCATTTCCATTGCCCGTCGTTGCTGCGGACTTGCAGGGCGGCGACGGGTTGGCGGAAGAGGAGGGTCATGGAGCCAAAGTCCTGGGGTTAATCTTGTTAGCTCGTATGCCATTGAGTTGATCCTTGGGAATGAACTAACCGTATGTCCCTTGACCCACGTCTCGCCCAGAGCGGCATTCTCCTGCGCGGTGCGGGCGTGGTACTTCATATACCGCAAGTGGCAGTCGGATTTCTCGTCGTATCTGTGGTGCTTGAGGAAGTAGTCTTCTGGGAGCTCCAGCACGAGGGCGAACAGCGTGAGCAGTTTCTGGATGACATCGGAGTAGATTGTCTTTGCGAACGTTTCGATCTCGTCCCAATGGGCTTTGACGATGTCCGGCTGCGGCCTTTCGTATGCTGGGATGCACTTAGGAATATTGAAGATTTCGGTATTATCGAAGACACCAGGGCGTAATTCACGCAGGCCAAGTGGTTTGTAGCCGTTGTAGCCTCCATTCTCCAAGTCGGCGCGGTATTTGAGCTTCTCCTCCATCGGGAGCTCAAACACTTCCTTGCCAATGGCAAACTGACGGTCGACTTGCTCCTGAGTCAATCCGAAGCCAACGATGTAGAAGAATCCTGATGGACTGCGTCAGCTGCTTGGCCCGGGATATAGAATGTGATGGACTATTACCGATCTTCTGGATGGCGTTGAAGAGTTGGTCGGCCAGCTTCTGCTTGCCGCCGGGTTGGTCGAAGGTCGATAGATCTAACGTTGCAAGATCGGCCCATTCCACTGTTTCCCATGGTGAGCAGATGTTCTTTCTATCATGGGTTACGCATGCTGCGCCCACCCACAATCATATGTGGTCTCCGGGACTTGATGGTAGGTGGGAAGATCGTGCTTGTCGACTCGCACAGAGCTGACTGCTGCGGCCGCCATGATGTCGGTCGTTATGCAAGATTGATGACTTGATGTAGAAATTGTGTCTAGGTCTCACTTGATGCCTTTCGTGTATACAGTAGAAGTGATCGAACTTTATTGTCCTTGCTTCAGCCGTAACCCACCTCCGACGTCGCAGCCTGAAGTTACGTCCTCTCTTGGCAGAGGCTCGCGTCAAAGTCAGCGCGTATGGCATCATACGGTTAGAACGGAAACTACGCAGATATCCAGTCGAAATGCTGGCAAAGAGGGCGACAGAGTGCGTAGAGAAAGGCACATCGCGTAGGAACCCCTGCACGCTCATCATCAACGAGCGTCCCCATTGGCGCGTAGACGCCAGTTACACTGGATTAGCATGCAACATGGCTTCTTCAACGCTCGACGTGCGTGTCGACGACCCGAGCATCGCGTGGCATAGCTTGCGATACCGCTTCCACGTGCTCGGGTCGTCGTTGATACATGAGGTCGCGGGCCTCGCATCGATGTAACCTGAGTAACCTGAAGATCATTGCCACATCTCAATTTCGTTCCCTCGTTTGTTCATTCATCCCTCCCAAGTCATGGATATCAAGGAAGACTCGAAAAACTCGCTCTCCGTAGAGGAAGGGTTTCAATCGCCCGAGCCCAAGGTCGACGACCATGGCTTGCATCTTGTGCAACGAGGCGGTGAGCTGGGGGAGAGCGAGATCGACGATACTTCCATTCAGGGCTTCGAGTCCGATCGGATGAAAGCCCGCACACTGCTCACGGCTGATGAAGAGAAGAAGCTGCTGCGTCGAATCGACTGGCGGATCATGCCGCTGTGCTCGCTCATGTTTCTGCTCAAGCAGCTCGACGCTCTCAACATTTCCAATGCTAGGATTATGAACGAGGGCACGCCGCGGAATATCATGACACAGCTGGGTTTGTCGTCGAATGCGTACGCTTTGTTGACGGTGTTATACTACGTGAGTCTGGCGAGAACTCCAGTAGCCGATCTTGTTTTGTTGAACTGGCGAGCAGGTCCCATACATTGTCTTTGAGGCACCATCAAACCTTCTCTTGAAGAAGATGAGGCCATCCGTTTGGCAAGCTCGAATCATCGTCAGCTGGGGCCTCTGCGTCGCGTGCCAAGTCGCCTGTACCAGCAAGGCCGGCATCTATACCGCACGGTTCTTCCAAGGACTGTGTGAGGCAGGCATGTTTCCGGGTGTGATTCTGCAAATGTGTTACTGGTATCGTCCGGACGAGATGTCGATCCGTCTCCTGATATTCTGTGAGTGTCGTTCCGTTCCACGGTATGACACGTGCTGACAGTGTCGGAGACATCATGGGTAATCTCGCAGGTGTCTTCAGCGGCCTCTTTGCGTATGCTTTTGACACGGTCTCCGGTGCGCAAGGACTATCCGGATGGCAGTGGTGAGTGTGGCCGTATAGTCATCATCGTTCCATGGCTGAGACAGGTCCATCAGGCTGTTCCTCTTCGAAGGTCTCATAACCATCGTCTTCTCCGGCGTGATCTACTGGTTGCTCCCCGACTTCCCGCCGACTGCTCGCTGGCTCTCCGAAAAGGAAAAGGCGTTTGTGCAAGCTCGACTGCCACCAAACGCTCCACGAGCATCAGAAGCCAACTTCAAGTTTCGGGAAGTTCTGAACGACTTGAAAGATGTGCGGCTTTGGATGTTTACGGCCATTTGGGCCCTGCAAACCGTGGCGACTCAGGTAAGTGAACAGATGCCGATGTATGGTGTTGAACAAGCGCCATCCGATCAAACGCAGGCTAAAGCATCCACGCAGGGCATTACCTTTTATCAATCCACAGTCATTGCGGATCTCGGCTTCACGACCATTGCCCAGGCGCAGCTGCTCAACCTACCCATCTCCATTCTCGGGATCGTGTTGATCGCCGTCTCGGGATATCTGGCAGACTCGGCTCGTCTCCCCCGCCCGGTCTACCCTCTCACCTTTCTCAGCGTCATCCTCGTCTGCTACGGTGTGTTGTTCGCATATCCGAACATCGGGGGTGTGTACGCCGCAACGTTAATCGCCAACGCCATGGCAGCAGCCTGGTTTCCTCTCATGTGGCCCTGGCGCGTGCAGACCACCAAGCAAGCCACAGGATCAGCATTTTCCATCAGTTTCGTAAATTCCTATGGCCAACTAGGTGGCGCGATTGGCCCGCAAATCTTCCGCAGCCAGTATGCGCCCAAGTACCACGTTCCGTTTGGTATCGTCATGGGGCTGGTGGCCGCTTGCATCATGATGACTTCGGCCACTTGGTATGTCACTCGACATACGGAAGCGGAGACCAGACGGCTGAAACTGGCGAGAAAGAAGGCGGATAAGGAGGGGATGGCGGTGCTTGACGACGTTGTGGATAATGATCTGCAGGGAAAGCTGAAAAGGGAGGATTGAGGATGGAGAGTGGTGAAGAATAGACGAGTGTACACAATTTGCTACCCCTCCTCCGGCTGTCCTGGAGAAATGGCGGAGAAATCATGCCACGATGACCTTTATGACATGGGAATTAGTCCAGCAGTAAATAACTATACGGTAAGTCAAGCATCATATGCCGATCAATCAGCCGGGAAATTATTAGCACAAGGTGAATTCTTTTGTCACGTGACGATCGTCACACTTCAGTCGGGAATAACAGGGTCCGCACAGTCTCAACACGTCACTGCATACGCCCAGAAACATCATAGCCGACATGGATCCTCAGACTTGAGCCATTGGACCTACATTTGTAAGCTGCTCATGACGACCGCGGATGGCACAACAAGTAAATTCTCTTTCCGCTCGTGAGCCACTCTACCTGCATTTATAATCGCAACAACTGGCACTTTGCAGTATATAACAAAATATACTTGCCCACTCGACTCGTCCTCCTTATCCATTACCTCATTCACACTTTCAACTGAACATTCCGCAAAGATGGGTTCAATCGCCACTCCCGCAAAGTACCTATTGATTTGTCCAATTCTTCTTCGAATGCGTAGTCTGACGATATCAGGTTTCACAACACCCCGGCCAAAGGAGTCTCATTCTTCACGCCGGCTCAGAATCCTCCGGCTGGCACTGCCTTTGCCAAAGATGGCGAGACCGTTCCGAAGCTCTTCAAGCCACTGAAGATTAGAGGCATGACGATGCAGAATCGCATCATGCTGTCGCCTTTGTGCCAGTATTCTGCGGAAGATGGACAGTAAGGAATTGGGTGTTTTTTACGGTCGAGATCGTCTGCTCACCGCAATCATTGCAGTTACACCCCCTGGCATGCGGCGCATATTGGCGGCATCGCATCAAGAGGCCCGGGACTCACTACCATCGAGGCCACTGGTGTTACGGCAAACGGTCGAATGTTGGTTTTGGACCCCCCAAATGTGATGCCGAAGAGCGACTCGTTAACCTTGACACAGCACGCCGGAAGACACCGGCATCTGGAAGGATTCCCAGATCGAGCCGTTCCGTCAAGTCGTCGAATTCGTCCACAGCCAGAATCAGCATATCATGATTCAGCTGGCCCATGCCGGTCGCAAGGCTTCTACTGTGTAAGTGCAATCAACGGTGCGATCGCACGAGCAACACCAAACTAACTCTGTCTTTATTGCAGTGCGCCGTGGTTGTCCTCTGGTGCCATCGCCGGCAAAGACGTCAACGGCTGGCCCGATGATGTTGTTGCGCCATCGGCGATTCCTTGGAACGAAGATCACCCGCAACCCCGAGAGATGACCATTCAAGAAATTGAACAGTTCAAGGAAGACTTTGCTGCTGCCGTCAAGAGGGCCCTCAAGGCTGGATTTGATGCCATTGAGATTCACAACGCTCATGGTGAGTGCGTCGGCGAAATGTATAAAAGTCTGCCTGCTAACGCAACGGAAGGTTACTTGCTGCATGCATTCATCTCGCCGGTCTCGAACAAGCGAACGGACAAATACGGTGGAAGCTTTGAGAACCGCACCCGGCTAACCCTTGAAGTGGTCAGTAGACCTACAAAGATTTCCGCGTACGCCCGGTACTGACTGTCAGGAAAGGTCGAACTGGTCCGCAAAATTATCCCGGATGACATGCCGCTCTTCCTCCGAATTTCCGGCACAGACTACCTAGAAGAAGTCGACAAGTCGAAGATTCCCGAATCCTGGACCGGCGAGGATACCGCGCGCCTCGCGCCTCTTCTGGCAGCAGCTGGCGTGGATTTGTTGGACGTTAGCGGTGGCGGCAACCACCCAGACCAACATCCTCATGTCGGCCCGGCGTATCAGGCGAAATATGCCATCAAGGCCAAGGAGGCTGTGGGCGATAAGATGCTGGTGGGCTCGGTGGGAACCATCAACAGCGCGACTGTCGCGAATGATCTTATTGAGAATAAAGGGCTGGATATCGTGACTGTTGGGCGTGCTTTCCAGAAGAACCCTGGTCTTGTGAGTCTTTGTCTGAATGCTTGCTGTTGACGAGTTTTGCTGATGAGTGTCTGTTAGGTCTTTGCTTGGGGAGATGAGCTGGGCGTGACGGTCCAAATGCCCAACCAGATTCGCTGGTGAGTTTCATCGCCTTGCCTGTTCAATTGATGTGCACTCTAACATTCGATCAGGGGGTTTGCCGGGCGTGGATCACAGGAGGGGCTGAAGCCGGTGAAAGCTTAGATTTGATGGAAGATGGTTAGATACCGGTTAGACAAAAAGTAGACGGATAAATCAAGGAGGTGCAAAACATCAACGCACCCACTTCCCCCAACCCCTAAGACAACTCCACGGCGATGCGGTTCGTCTGGAACTTCTTCGTATTCGGGATCAACGCCGCGCAGATCATGGCGCAGACCCCAAAAGCGATGCTTGTGTACCTGTCGCCGTGTTAACATCTGTGTCACTTCGAAGGCAGACCCAACTCACCAAACACAGTGCAACGAAAGAGCATAAGCCCACTCACTACCCCTCAGCGCACCCTCAAGAACAACCGGGGTGACACCAGGAAGTTTCTCGGCGGCCGCCACGCCCTCCAAAAGATACGTCTCCACAAACGCCTCCATCTCCAGCACGGTGCCTTTGAGCCCGGCCAAGGCGGCGTATTCGTAGACGAGCACAGGCAATCTGGCCGTGAGCTTGCTCTTGAAGATGTTGAAGTAGATGGAGTAGCCGATGGCGCCTCCGACGGCTCGTACGGAGAGGGAGAGTGCTGCGCAGGTGGTGATGAGGGCGTCGGGGGCGGCGATCATGGCTACTGTTGCTGCGGGGACGATAACGCCGCCGCTGTAGACGTATTAGCGAGCGTCGGTGAAAAGGAAGGTGTGGGGTGCGACTTACAGGCCAAAGGCGGCGAGTGTCCCAAAAGCGATGGTCATGACCATGTTGTCTGGCGACATTACGGACAGTGCACCGCCGAAACAGGTCAACATCGCCGCTGCCAGGAAGAGCACCCATCTGACCTTGCCAGTGAAGACGCTGAGTAGAGCATTCCAGAAGATCGCACCCAAGGCAGTGCCAAAGCCAGCTGAGATGCCTCTCAATCCAATGTCCAAAGGGATAGGAGCCCATACGGTAGAAATGGTCAGAGGCCAGAAATTGAGGAGGGAGAAGAAGTTCATTCCCGCGACGAAAGCCACTGCAAAAGCCAACGCAACGACGCGCTGGCCTTTGAATAGCTCCGACGGTATCATGGGGTATTTGGCGAACTTGGCCTCGTAGATGACCCACGTGAAAATCATGGCGAGGCCAATGAGAAGTGTGCTCAAGACGTATGCTGATTTCCAAGGATGGGTGTATCCGCCTGCTTGGAGGGCGATGAGGAATAGTACAAGGCCTGTGATGGACAAGAAGCCTCCCAAAAAGTCAATCCTCTTGAGCACGGCCGATCGGGATAAGCCATGTGCCCGTACGTGCGCATGGGGGAAGTAGGTGAGTAACAGACCGACGGCTGTGATGGAATTGTAAATGAGAGAGATCCAAGGGCCCCATCGCCATGATGCGTGGCTGGAATACTCCTGCGCGTAGAGGACGTAGGGGCAGAAAGGCAAGACGAAGGCGGTCAAGATTGCCAGGGAGTATCCTCTCGATCTCACAGGGACGGTCTCGGCCAGTCCAGCAAGACCAGTGAGTTCACCGATCCCAGCACCAGCTCCGGCGAAAGCTTGACCCACAAGAGCGTGTCCAAGGGAGTGAGCAGTTCCCATGACGGCACAGCCGATGACCAGGCAGCCCGCTCCGATTATGGCGATGTAGCGCTTTCCAAAGAGGTCTTGCAGATATCCCACGAATGGGCAGACACTGGCAATGGCTAGGGTGTTGGCTACTGGCAGCCACCCAATCGCGGCCTGGCTTCCAATATCATCCGCAATGTAGGTCAAGGTCGCTCCCGTGAAGTAGAGGAGGATTTGAGAACCTGCGGGCTGTTGTTAGCTGGATATCGACGGTCATTGATGGGGAGACATACCAGTATACAGCATTGCGAGGAATGCTGCAGCGACCCACTGGCGAAAGTTCCAGTTGATCCTGCCATCGCTTTCGTCGCCTTTCCAGGCATAAGGGTTGTGGAGGTCGACTCTTTCCAGAGTTTCCACGTTGGCGAGGGGTTTCTCATCACGTGGTTGCTCCGTCGAGACACGTTCCAATTGTTCGGTCTGGCTTGCTTTCTCTAGATCTGCCATGTTGTTTTGAGGATGATGGGGGAGGAGAAATGAACTGGCGAGAGGAGACGACCGACCTACATCATGACATGGTCTCGCCCGCCTTTCGGCAGATGTTAGTCTCGCTTGCACCTGGCCGTCTCAGCTCAAGTACTACAGTACAAGCAAACAGGAGCTGGGGATTGGACGGCTTTGGTCTCGTGTGACATGCAGGTGATAGGTACATGCAGGTTCGCTGGAGTCTCGAAGGTTGTTTGCCTCTCGTGGTTGTTTCCCCCACGCCCAAGGGTCTGCCGCTAGCGTGTTGCGGGGAGAATCGCGGGGTAAAAACGCCATGGACCAAAAGTCCAGGCTCATCGTGGCCACCACACCACATCACAAGCGTGCCTTGCGTAAAGTGGGTAACTCAGGAGACCCACTCAGGAGAATCTGCCAATTACAGAAGCAGTCCTGCATGAGTTGGTGTACTGCAAACGGTAACTTCCGCTGTACATCTCCAATTCTTCGACTGCGAGCGATGCCATCGCGGGATAGTTGGAGATCCGGGGTCAGCCTCGCCGATGTGAAGACGTCTCAGTCGAAAGACACATGGCGTTGGAGTGCAAAGGTCTTGTCCAGCACAGATTTGATATCGTCAAGTGATTCCACGCCGAGTAATACGTCCATAGCATGCAGTCTGGTTGGGGGCCACGCCAGCTTCGCCGCCATCTCTGTCGGCCGCTGCCTCGGCACATGACGAGAGCGGGCCAATGCGCCGATGCATCGGACCCTCCAGATGGTAGTGTATTCGGGACCGTCCACTTCTGGACTGAGTCCAGCTCTCGACGCCAATCACGGAGGTGGTTACATCCGCATCAAAATATCCAGATGTCGCTTGTGTTGCATTACCACACACCGATGCAGTCGTCAGTAAGCCATCGACTAGATCTGACCCGCTTTGGGAGTTGCAATGATCTTGGAATGCACATCCTTCTTTGCTACGAGCTGGTCGAAGCCTTCTTGTACGAGGTCGTCCAATGAAATCCGAGCCGTAATCATCCTTTCCACGCCTTTGTATTTGCCTCAAGCAGCGTCAGTTTGGCCGGCAGTATCTTTGGGACTCGCACTCACCTGCGATGAAATCCTTCACAGTATCTCCAAAGTCTTTATCGTCGTATGCCAGTGTGGAGCGAATCGTGATTTCTTTCGGCATGAGATACTCCATTGGAATGATAAAGTCCACCTCCCAGCCCGCAACATTGACGTAGACTCCCTTTGGCCGCAAAGCATCGAAGCCGTCTTTCATGGCCGGTGGAATCCTTGCACAGTCAAAGACTACATCAACGCCCCTGCCGTCCGTGGACGCACGGCACTCGTCGGGTACATTGTGCTTCGTAGGATCGAGTACTTGGTCGGCGTAAATTTTGACGAGATCTTGTCGGGCTTTTGCCGGCTCTGAAACAAACGCTTTTTGCACACCGATGGCGGCTAGGTTGCAAAGAACGGCAAACCCCACTGGTCCCCCTCCGAGTACTAGCACCGATTTTGACTTGAATTCGTCTAAAGCGAGCCCGGACTTGACCAGTGCATGTCGACCGACGGCCAAGGGTTCGATGAGCACAGCATGCTCGAGTGGCGTGTCTTCTGGTAATGAGTAGCACATCGACGGCAGTACGGCACAAGTTTCCGAGAAGCCACCACCTCCCGCACCATGCAGGCCCAGGAAACCCCACTTGCCACAGAGGTGGGAGTCGCCGCCGTGACAAGCATAGCATGAGCGGCAGTTCAGCCTCGGGTCGACCATGACCGGCTGTCCTGTACGCAATGGTGCTCCCGATGCATCAACAGCAGCCTCCGGGACGTGTGCGACGTATCCGCAGAACTCATGACCGAGAGTGACGGGGAGGTGGTCACCCGTCAACAGATGGGGATTGTCCTTGGTAGGTATGGCTTTTGGACCGATGAGGTATTCGTGAAGATCTGTACCGCAGATTCCAGCCCAGACGACATCGACCAGAACGTGCTCCGCATCGGGTTTGGGGGCGGGAACTTGTTCGATGCGGATATCGTGGTGGTCGTAGAAGCGAGCGGCTTTCATTGGAAGATCTTTCCGCGGATTAGATTGATTTACAAGGTCAAGATAGATTTACCACGTTGTGCTCGTTGTGACTTTGATCTTGATCATCAGGACCTCTTGTTCACTTGATGGAGGCAAGAGTGTATGCGTTTACGAAAGCGGAGACGTCAGTCAGCCCTGCGGAGGGGGATAGTTGGACATAGCCGAGGCGTGGCCACCATCCGTTCAGCATTGCCAACTAGCCACGTCTTTCTTGTGCGCGTCGTCGTTGTCAGATCTTCCACTGATGATGACTGTTGATTCGAAGAGTCTTCACTTTAGCTGATAGCTGTTGAACATCCCCGAACCTCACGAGGTTCCACGCCTACGCTTTGTTCAGCTCGAAGCGATCCCACGGAGATATCCAAGCTGCGTGCCGTATCAATGCAGTGCTCAGTCCATCGTTATCAGGCGGAGAAGAGTTTAGTGTGCGGGAAGATGTAGTCGTGCAGATAGCAATGTGCGAACGCGCCTCTCGGCAAACTTGCCCCCGGCCAATTGAGTCGCGCGCGCAGCTCAAAATTTAAATTGGACTTCATCGTCACAAGAGTCACACTACCAGTCACACCATCGCCTGGCATAAAGCCATTGAGACACCCTGCCTGCTTCAATCGTCTCTCAACAAACCTCACAACAATATGGCAGCCCAACAAGCTGCAGATGCGGTCAAGGACGCCGTCCAAAGCGTTGCCGATGGAGTTCAAAACCTGACCACCGCAAACGGGACCACGCCGAACACTCTGCTCGACGAGGTGACCGGGGAATACGTGTCCAAGACGGAGTTGAAGAAGAGACAGAAGCAGAGGGAGAAGGATGTCAAGAAGGCGGAAAGAGAGGCTACAAGACAGGCCCCGCCTCCCCCAAAGAACCGAGCGGCCAGCGCGGAGGAGGATGAGAGCAAGCTCAACGCGAATGTGAGTCGGGGATGCAGGCTTGCATGGCGGCGGATGTGCTTGATTGAGTGCTGACATGGGTGATTAGCAATACTTTGAGATTCGGTCGCGTGCCGTCAAGCGCATGAAGGACACCCAAAACCCCAACCCCTACCCTCACAAGTTCCATGTCACGTACGTCTTCAATTTCTTCAGCCATCCCTTTTAACACGACTGACAGCTCCCAGATACGACTTGCGCAACTTCGAGTCGCAGTATGGTCATCTCAAGAAGGGTGAAGTGCTCAAGGACAAGGTACTCAGCATCGGATGCCGAATCTACAACATCCGCCGGTCGGGCGAAAACTTGCGCTTCTACGAGGTCAGCGTCGACGGTGCCGATATTCAGATCATGGCGCAAGCGCAAGAAAGCACAGCGGAGCGCCCTTTTGCCGAACAACACGACATTCTCCGACGTGGAGACATCATCGGAGTCACTGGCTATCCCGGCCGCACAAGTCCCAAGGCCGAGGACAACCCTGGCGAGCTGTCCATCTTTGCGCAGAACGTCATCCTACTCTCTCCATGCCTTCACCAAATCCCGTCGGAGCACTACGGCTTCAAGGACCAGGAGGAGAGATATCGCAATCGCCATCTTGACCTCATCATGAACAAGTCCACCGTCCAGACCTTCCGCACCCGCTCGCGCATCATCAAGTACATCCGCAACTACTTCGACAGCAATGGCTTCGAGGAGATGGAGACGCCCATCCTGCTGAAGAACGCGGGCGGAGCGACTGCGCGGCCATTCTTTACGGAACACAACGAGCTCAAGATGACTTTGGCGCTACGCATCGCTACGGAGTTGCCGCTCAAGCAGCTCATCGTCGGAGGCATCCACAAGGTGTACGAGCTCGGGCGTCAATTCCGAAACGAAGGCATCGATCTCACCCACAACCCCGAATTCACGACTTGCGAATACTACGAAGCCTATGCGGATGTGTATGATGTGATGGAGCGTACAGAGGATCTGGTGGAAGGCATGGTCAAGACGTTGACGGGCGGAGTGGAGACCACGTTCAACACTCTAACGGGTGAGACGTACAATGTCAACTGGGCCAAGCCGTGGAAGCGAGTTGAGATGATTCCCGCGTTAGAGGAAGCTTGCGGCGAAGCCTTTCCGCCGGGAGACCAACTCCACACTCAAGAAAGCAACGACTTCCTTCGGCGCATGCTCAAGAAGACCGGCCTGGAGTGCTCACCCCCACTCACCAACGCCCGCATCATCGACAAGCTTGTCGGCGAGTTCATCGAGGAGAAGTGCATCAACCCCACCTTCATCACCGGCCATCCGCAAGTCATGAGCCCCCTCGCCAAGTACCACCGCAGCCTGCCCGGTCTCACGGAGCGCTTCGAGGCCTTTGTCTGCAAGAAGGAAATCGTCAATGCCTACACCGAGTTGAACGATCCGTTCGATCAACGTCTGCGTTTCGAGGAGCAGGCCATGCAAAAGGCGCAGGGTGATGACGAAGCTCAAGTCTTGGACGAGGGCTTCTTGAACGCCCTCGAGTACGGCCTTCCGCCGACCGGAGGCTGGGGCATGGGCATCGACCGGATGGTCATGTTCTTGACAAACCACTACAGCATCAAGGAGGTGTTGACCTTCCCGTTCATGAAGGATGAGCAGGCGGCGCCGAGGCCCAAGGCGGCGGAGGTTGCCGGGGTGCAGCCGCTGCCGGTAGAGGGGATTCGTGAGTTTTGACCCGTGTGTATCTCGGAATATTTGCTAATAAGATCTACAGCTCGTCCGTGAAATGGCGTTGGGTTGGTAGCAACATTTTCGGCGTCTGCATGGAGGAGACTTTGCGTGGACTGGAGATTGGGGTTCAGAGAGGTACTCCAACATTAGCAGCAGTACCATACTTCCAATCAACGAACCCGTACCTTTGAACACCCTTACTTTCCTGCTACTTGGACATCCTCCGCTTTCAGCCATTGGCTTGTAGTAACAAAGAAAATTCCCAAACACCAACTTTGACATGCTCTCTTCAACACGGTATGGGTGGAAGGCTCGCCCTGGTCTCTGCTGTAACAATGTACATGACACCGCCAGCATGAATTAAAGAGGCATCGATTGCATGGTGTCAAGGTGTGTTCCCATGGTATGATCACAGGATGCTGAGGTATTCCAGGGGCCGGGCTGAAATATACGCGGGGCTGGACCTCACCTCCTCAGCCGCCCACAACACGGCAAATTTCGAAAAATCATTGCCGGTCGCCCACACAAGCTATTTCCGCTCGGATTGGTGGATTAGACTCTTTCTATGGCGACGAGACCCCACCCAGCGAAAGCGAGTCGAAATTGCCTTGGCGTGCATCTTTAGCGCCAAGTTTGGGCCGTGGATTTGGTGGGACGCTACGGTGATTTATTTACAATTCTTTTGCCTCTGGCTTCCATCAAGTGAATAAGAGGTCCTGATGATCAAGATCAAAGTCACAACGAGCCGCGTTGGTGGTTTAGTGGTAATTCACACCTTCTATTCGCCCACAATCGATCAAATCGACTAACAATACCTCCCACAGGTAAAATTGGCCGTTGCCATACAGTCTAGGACCTCCTAGAATGCAACATCGGCCAGCCCCGGGTTCGATTCCCGGCCGACGCATTTTTTGGACGTTTCTCCATCGTTCTATATCATTTCTAAGACTGATATTGGTCAAACTACGTCAGGAACACGCTCTAGGCTTTTTTTTTTCGCACCATGGACGTGTTATCAATGTCTCCTGGCTACCCCACGATTCTTCCATGTCCCATTGAGCACGACAATCATCCATTTTTACGTCCAATCGATAATGCTTTGAATTTTACAATGGTTCATCATTTTCGTTGCCGGAGCGTACAAGGACGCTCTCAGTAAGCAATGGCATTGTCCACAGGCTGTGCCGGGCTCCACACCTGCCCGCACCACAAAGGAATCGAGCTGTATTGGAAAGGGAAGGTCTGCAGCAGCCTGACACCAACGACGATTCCGTCCTCGACTCGAGTTACATGCAAGGAATGGGACTTAACAAACTTGACTGCAGGGGATGCATTCGGCCCCGGAATGACACTGTACATGCTGGATATATTACCGATATCCCGTATGGCAAGGGTATCCCAAATGGTGGGCAACATTGCTGGCAATATATCCCAACTCTCGTCTTCGAACGTACAAGGACGCACAAAGGCATTGTCAGGTGAACTTTGCTGCACGGGACAATGAATTGCGTCCTGCAATCGCCATAAAGCACTTCGTAAACGTTGAGACGGAGAACATTTAGACATACGCATGGCTGGGAGGCCGCTTTTAAACAACACTGGGTAGGTGTCGACGTTACATACTGAGCCTGAGGGCCTGGCCGAGACACAGTCGCTCGGGAGAGATTGCTGGGCAGCGATCACCGCATGACAGTTGGGGTCTCAGGACCGCTGCTCCTCGAAAACAATTTTCATCGTTGAACGGGAGCTGGCGTGAGATCCCCGGAAGTCATCACTTGCGCAAAAGTGGCTTTGCGGTGAGGCGCGGCTTCATAGCCTCCGGGTCTACGGCCGAATGCAATCTAGTTACCTCGTTCGGAATCGAAAAAAAGTACAACGCAGCATAATCAGCCGCGACGACGTCGGGGTCGGGTGCTGACCATCACCCCGCGTTGACCCCTATCGCAATCCCGCAGTACGCCTCAACACCAATTGACGCGTACGACGAGAGCATTGGACCGAAGCAGGAAAGTGGGCGAGCTCCGACGATAGACTCTTGCGCAGTGTGTGAGAAAACTGGACCGACTGGCTCGAAACTGATTATATACCTGCGACATCTCTCGCGCCGTCCGTACGAACAAGAGCATCTCACCTCCTATGTCACAATGTGCAAGCACGAGATGCACGCCTTTCTCCGGGCGCTGCCCAAATGCGAACACCACATCCATCTCGAGGGATGTCTCAGCCCGGCCATCTTATTCCATCTCGCCAAGAAGAACAGTATCGCGCTCCCAGATCCCGCGCTACGACCGGAATACACCTCAGTCAAAACGTTGGAGCAGCGATACGAGAAATTCGAGTCGCTGCAAGACTTCCTCGATTGCCACTACCTCGCCATGTCGGTTCTGATGGATGCTGCCGACTTTGAAATGCTGGCCTGGACGTATTATGAAAATGCGCACGCGGACGGAGTTCACCACGCCGAGGCATTCTTTGACCCGCAATCGCACACCACACGCGGGATTCCGCTCGAGACGGTCGTGCAAGGCTACGAAGCCGCGGGACGAAGAGCAGAGGCGGAATTCGGCATGAGCACTTCCCTAATCTTGTGCTTCCTCCGCCATCTGCCAGTGGAATCCGCAAACGAGACTCTACAAGCCGCCGCGAGTAGTGGAGTCTTCAGCAAGGATTCATCCGTCATTGCCGTCGGTCTGGACTCATCGGAGGTGCCATTCCCGCCCCATCTATTTCAAGACCCGTACAAGCAAGCCAAGAACCTGGGAATTCATCGGACAGCCCACGCCGGAGAAGAAGGCGATCCAAGCTACATCCGTCAGGCGCTGGATCTCCTCGACTGCGAACGAATTGACCACGGTCTCCGCTTGGCCGAGGATGCCGATTTGATGCGTGAAGTTGCTTCCAGGAAAATCCTCCTCACCCTGTGTCCTCTGTCAAACGTCTACCTCCGATGTGTGGACAAGATTGCCGATTTACCGATCCGACGCTTCCTCGATGCCGGCGTGCCCTTTTCGCTCAATAGCGACGACCCTGTATATTTTGGTGGATACATCTTGAACAACTACTGCGCGGTGCAAGAAGCGTTCAATCTGAGCGTCGAGGAATGGCGTAGCATAGCACGTGCATCGATTGAGGGAAGTTGGATATCTCAAAAGAGACGGAGCACACTCTTCCAACTGGTAGATGATTGCATCGCGAAGCACACTTGAGCGCATCTAGATTACAACAAGTTCTTTCTCGAGAATGATTCTGTGTGAGCCGAAGCTGAAGGTGTTTGTTGCTGGACGTCCAAACATGCTTTTTGCAATCACATTTGCGATCGAGCGGAGTGCTTTCAAACTTTGAGATGGCGAGATCGCTTCCCTCTATTGATACTTTTTGACATCAACCCCGCGCTCCACCGGCAGCACCGTGCCATTAAACTTGGCCATGGTCAGCCCATAACGATCCAAGACACGGGGTTGCCAATGATCGGCGAAGCGCTCCTCCTCGAGCATGGGTTTGAGATCCTCCACACGTCCGCCGAAAATGGTCAGCATTGTGGATGAGCTGCGAGGGTCATCAGTTCAATCATCAGTCAATCAACACGAGTCGGCCATACTTTGCAGCTCCAAACATGTTGTGGAAGAAGCTTTCCGAGTAGTGCGGGTTCGTCTTCCTCGCATCTGCCCTCCGTTTGGACAACGCCCGTGACAAGTCGGACTTGGTGAGCAGCGTTGCCCCATCCGATGTCTTGCCCGTCGCTTCCTCCAAGAGATCATGCACGAGTTGGAGGTCAGGCTTCCCTTGATCCGGAACCAACGCAGCATCCTGCCGAGTCAGACTGGCATCGTGCTCAATAGCATTCTCGGCGTGCAGACTCAAATCCGCCAAGTCGAAGCGATCCGAGGCGTACGACTTGTTCAAAAACCGCGCCGAAAAGTTGGGCACGAAAAAGCAGAAGCTCGCGGCAAAGTTGAACGTCTGTCGTACTTTGTGGTTCAGCTCGGGAAAGGTGATGTTTTTGCCGTCGCGCGGCAGGATGCCGTGGTTCGCCATGGCGTTCAGCATCGGACACGCGGACCGCGAGTCGCTGGGTTTCGGGGCGATGTATTCCGGCCATGAACCTCTGTGCCCCGGACAGCCTCGGGGGACGACTTGGTTTGGTGCGAGTTTTGCGGTGAAGAGGTTTGCTAGGGCGATGACCATGTCCCAGGTCATGACCGAGAGGTCGACCAGCGTGCCGCCTATCCCCATGTTTCAGGTGGTTGTCTGCAAGTTGAATTGAGATTGGAATGTTCAAAGAGCATCGAAATTCATTTCGTTCACGCGACTACACCATCACCTCGAGGTTCAACCACAAGCTCCAATTGGGATGAGGGGGGGGAATACGCCGTTGTGCCACCGAGCGAGCTACCTCTGCAGCCCGCACGTGGTTTCGATAGTCTCTGCCCTGCAGAAACCCAACACCGATGGGGTGGGGCCTTCGATCGGGTGCATATGCTGGTGGACTCGAAGAGATCGTCGGTGGAACCCACATTAGGCACATGCGCAGTATGCAGGTGCATGCACGACTTTTCGTTACGTCAACCGGAGATAACGACAAGCTACGACAATGACTACGCCACGATATTCCACACCGTATCACTGGCCATGCGCACGGGTGCCCTGTACCCAATGGCCTTGATGCGCTGTTCGACGGTCCAATGCAAGTTGGGAGCCTTCTCGCGCGTCGGACGGTACATGCCCAGATTCACGCTCACCTTTTGCACCCACTCATCCCGATGTAGCACGTGCACCTTGATCGGCCACATCTCCAGAATCCACCACGTCCGCGCGATTTCCAGCTCGTCGTGGATGGGGGAGATGGCGTCAAAGTAGTCCTCGACATGCTCTGGCACCCAGTTGTCGTGCAGCTCGCGCTGGTGCGGATCCTTCCACAGCTCTACATGCTGCCAGCCCCTCGGCTCTTTCTCATCGACGGGTTTGAGCACTGCCGAGCGCCGTGCAATCGGGGGAAATTTCCCCTCTCGCTGCTTCTCTACCATGCTCGGCGGCGGTGCAAGCGGCGGCACCCCCAGCGGCGTGTACGTGGGCCAGAGAGTGTGCACGTCCAGCCCCTCCTCCGCCAGCCGGTGCACCTTGAAGATAATGCCCGTGTCGCACGCGAAGCACTGCCGCAGCATCCAGCGTAGGGGAACCTGAGCGAGCTTGTGCCGCTCCGTGTTGGGCACGGCGCCGCCGCCCACGTCGCAGTGTGCACCCGTAAACCACACTTCCAACACGTCGGTCTCTTTGGCTTTGGCCTCTTCTCGTTTCCGTCTCAAATACGGATCAGCTTCCTCGCTATCCGCCCCGAGATTTGCGCTGAAGGATGGGGCAGCATGACCGCGAGCGGCATCTTCGTGGATCGCTGCCATGGTTTCCCAATGCGCGTCGGGGTCAATGCTGTCTTTGACTTCGAATTGCTTGACCTTGAACTTTGCCCGATGCTCGTCTAGAGCCATGGCGTGGCGGAAGTAGGCGGCCTTGTTGTAGGGCGTGCTGCTCAAGGGAAGGGTGCGTGGGATGAAGCCGACACTCGCGACGCTGTCGAAAACGCCGATAAAGTATATCGATACGTCCATGCAAAAGGTGCGTTTGAACTCGGCGCTCATCTTCCAGCCCTCTTCCGAGTCGTCTTTGTAGTATTGATATGCGAACAGGATCTGCTGCAGGTTGTGCGCTGGGAGTAGACCAACCTTGTGCACCATTCCAGCCAGACATCGTGCTGTATACGCACCTCGCGAGAAGCCAAACAGGCAGATTCGATCATTTTCCTTGTAATTTTGCATGAGAAAGTGGTAGGCGTCCCGGATGTGATCTCCCAGCCCACTCCCCACAGCCATATCCATTGCCGCGTGGAATCCATTCGACAGCCCTCCACCGTCGTAGGTGCCAATCCCAGACTGATAGTATGTGATTTGGTCTGGATCGCTCTTTTTGAGGCAGCTGACGAGATGCACAATGTTGCTGTTGTCTGCATCGAATTTGTCGCCCGTGCCGTCCAGGCAGATGACAATGGTGCGTCCTTTGGGCTTCTCCCCTCTGCCATCCCGCAGAGCACGAATGTTTCGGGGTACTCGCGGGTTGCTGTTGGTGGGTTCACTTGGTTTGGAAGTAGTAGTAGACTCTGCCTTTTCGGAGAGAGTGGAGACTTGGCGATCCGTCACTGATGGCGAGTCGAGCGGAATTCCTTGGAATGAGTAGGGATGGCGGCGGTTGGCCGAGTCTGGCGAAAACCGTGCCGAACTGATGGCACTTCTGTCCGATGTCTCCGAATTTGGTACCGTGGCTGTGCTTGGGGATTGCGGCAAGGTCGGCGACAGAGGCAGTGATTGTAGTGGATAAGACCTAGGCGATTTGGTGCCAGATTTGGCAGAGCTGGGTGCACCTGCACTGAGCTTGGAAGCCTTCGATGCCGCATCGCCCTGATGAGATGCTTGTAGTAGATTGGAACGGGACAGCTTTCGAGCCACATTTGCTCCTTGTGTTGAAGGGCCTCGTTGCAGCGGGTAATGTTTGGACGACGGCACTCGAGATACGTTTCCCGCTTGCTCTGGACGAGGCGCTGGTGCTGCCTCGTGTCGATCAGCGTGATGTTGTTGCAAGCTTTGGCGAGGCAACGTTTGCAAGGGATAGGTGGGTTGAGAAGAGGCAACACTCGCATGGTCCGAGTGACCTCGACTCGACTCTGAGCCGGGTGCTGGTCGTGGCGGTGTTGAAGAAGATACCGACTGTGACTGCTGAGGAGTCTGCAGGCGAGGCAAGCCCTGCAACGGGTATGTCCCCTTACTCGTCATTGTCAATTCGAGAGATGTGCTGGTTTACTCTGAGATCTCGAGCGATTTGGTAGTGACGAGTTCAAAGAAGATGGTGAAGACTCACCGCCTGGTAACAACATAGCATCTACGTCACGCAGCTCGCTATTCCCGTGCCATTGGATCGGAGATTCTCTGCCCATCACCGTAGATTGATCCACCTGTAGACCCATACCTCGTCTATCAGAGCTCTGAAAGCACAGGTTGAGCTCTTGCCACGGATGATCAATGCCAACGCCAACCCCATTTCGTCGCATGCTGCAGACCGGTGGGGTCGTGCATTGGCCGAACGGGGTGAAGTGACGGACGCGTTTCCCTGATCGAGGTGACTGCGGCCCGCACTCGGATCGGACGGACGCGCCGGTCCTTTGAATCGTGCAGGCGCCGATCCACCACACCCCACCTCATCTCTTCCGACTCGCACAGGCGCGCATTGGCTCGTCGCCTAGCGCTACACGCTTCACCCTCCTCATCAACCACCTGCCGGGAAGGGTAAACGTCTTGCATGTCCTCGTATCTGCACCTCGTCATTGCTCGCCTCCGAGCTCCCGTCGATCGATACATCGTGATGCCCAACATGGCGCCAACCTTGCATGTGGAATGGTCGTGTGCCACAAGAGGACTCGTTCCCCCCGCTTTGATCAACAAACGCCTCGCCTGCATGCAGCATGATGTCGAGCTCATTATCCATCCACCTTCACCATGATGTCGTTCGCCATGCTCCTGGCTCTTGCCGCTTTGCTGGTGTCTTTGATTCTCTTACGGGCCATTGTTGAATCTGTTATGCCGGGCCAGATGAAGTCGTTCATGGGAAGTATCAGGCGAAAGCCTGCCACCGCTCCTGATGGCAAGACGGATAGTGAAGCTCTGGGCACCTCGGACGAGAAGAAAACCTCGATCCTCCACGATGTGCTGCGTTCGGGGAGGAATGCCAAGTTTGTGGCCGAAGCGTTGCCCCAGCTGGCTTCCGGTGAGCCTTTGGACGACAAGAAGTTGCTGCTAGAGCATGGAGTGGCCATGTTGCAGGGCATGCCGCTGAATAGCGGACTATCATCCACCGTGTCGGACGGCTTCATCAAAATGTTATACGACGATCTCCCCCACCCCTCCACCACGATCGCGGGGCCGACCACAAGATATCGCAGACATGACGGCGGCAACAACAATATCTGGAATCCAGAAATGGGCAAGGCGGGCTCGCCATACGCACGCAATGTCCCTCCCATGAAGCCCAAAGGCCGAAATCTCCCCGACCCCGAGCTCGTGTGGGAACACCTTCTCAAACGTCCCGAGGGCAAATTTACCGAGCATCCGTCTGGATTGAACCGTCTCTTCTTCTCCTTTGCCACCATTGTCATCCACGAGTGTTTCCAGACCAACCGCAGCAATCAATGGATTAATGAGACGTCGAGTTATGTCGACCTCAGCACTCTATACGGGAACACGGATGTAGAGCAGCCACGAGTGCGGACGTACAATAATGGAACCATATTCCCCGATTCGATCGCTTCAGACCGAATCATGCTAATGCCACCGGGTGTCGTTGCCCTCTTGATCATGTTCTCGAGAAACCACAACATGATCGCCAAGGATCTGTTGTCCGTGAATGAGGATGGCAAATACGGAGACTGGGACAGCCTGTACAAAGAGCAGCAGAAATGGTAAGCGTTCTGAGTTCAGACAATAGGCCACGCTAACACCACGCAGGCAAGACGAAGACATTTTCCAGCTGTCGCGAAACATCAACGTCGGCTTCTTCGCCACCGTCGTCTTGAAAGACTACGTCGCCGCCATTCTCAACACTCCTCGAGCCGATTCAACGTGGTCCCTGGACTTGGGGAAGGAAATCAAAAGTCTTGGACAACGAGTGGAGCGGGGCACAGGCAATGTCGTTTCCACCGAGTTCGCTGTCCTGTATCATTGGCACGCCGCTCTGAGTGCCGCAGACGCCACGTGGATGGAAGAGACGATTCGAAGGAATCTACCTCAACTCAAATCATTGGATGACATGACGCCGGGCATGTTTATGCAGATTGTTGCCAAGGAGGGCAAAACACTCGAGGACACGTTGCCGAAGGACTGGACGTTTGGCGGGCTGAAGCGAGGCCCCGACGGAAAGTTCAGTGACGAGCAGCTTGCGGAGCTCATCAAGGACTGTATCGAGGAGCCGGCCCATGCTTTTGGGCCTCATGGCACTCCAGCAAGCCTGAAGGTTGTCGACATACTGGGTCAATTACAGGCCCGGAACATCTTCAAGGTCTGCACTTTGAATGAGTGAGTGGCCCATGTCTTTGAAGGCTTTGCACCGGACTAATGAAGTGATCAGATTCCGGGCGTACCTCAACCTCAAGGCCTATGAGAGTTTTGAAGAGTGGTGCGAAGATACGGAAACGGCTCGAGCGGCCGAGTTGCTATATGGTCACGTGGATAATATGGAGCTGTACCCCGGCCTGATGGCGGAATGCACCAAGCCTCCAATGCCCGGAAGTGGCGTCTGTCCGGGCCAGACCACTGGACGCGGCATCCTTGACGATGCGGTCGCGCTGGTCCGTGGAGATCGATTCCTCAGCTACGACTTCAACAGCAATACCTTGACCAACTGGGGCGTGTCGAAACTGGGCGACCTTCCCGGCGGTGCGTATGGCGGCATGCTCCCGAGACTGATCTTCAACGGCCTTCCGTTTTCCTTTACTGGAACTTCGCCCTACGTTCTGCTTCCATTCTACACGCCCAAGGCGGTGCAGGGGATCTTGAAGGGCAACAAAGTCATTGATCAGTACGATGTCCACCGGCCGCCGAAAGAGGTCGGTCCGGCGGTGGTGTACACGGCAGAGGGCTGTCGCGCCGTCCTCACCGATCGCGATGACTTCCGCGCGTTATACACCGAGCCTAAGACCGTGGACAGCGTCTTCTACGAAGACCATTTCGAGACTCACGTTGCCGAGTTCTTCAGCGCCCACGTGGTAAAGCAAATTAAAGAGAGCTCACTTCGGTATTACGGCTCCCGGCGCGCCATTGACATTGTCCGCAACGTCACCAACATTACTCCCGTGGCCTGGGTGGCCAGTCGCTTTGCCATCCCGCTCAAAACGTTGAAGACCCCTCGTGGCCTCTTCACCATCCCGGAGCTGTTTGACGCCTTCCACGTGATTGCGGCGTACCAAAATTTCAACGTCATCCCTGCCAACGAGTGGAAGCTGCGAGCAGGTGCTGCAAAGAGTGAGGCAGCCCTGCGGGAAATCCTCGACCTGCACATTCGGATCCAGGGAGGTGGAGGACTGCGCGAGAAAATCGCCGATCACCTTGAAGCAGGCACGGCGTACGAGGTCGGCCCCGAGGCAGATCGCCTCTACCACGCCCTCTTCGCCACGCGCAGACCACATGCCGGTCTCGTCGAGGAGTGCATCAGTCAAGCCGCCCCCATCGCCAGCGTCCTCACCCAGCAAGCCGCCATCCTTATCGACCTCTTCCTCACCCCGGAATACGAACCGTACAAAACCCGCATCATCGAGCTCGCCCACCGTGACGACGAGGCCGCCGTCCGCGAATTGCAAGGCTTCGTCTACGAAGGCATGCGTCATGGTGGTGTCGGTCCGGGCATCACTCGTGTCGCCGCGCGCGAAACAGTCATCCCCGGCGGCGCCCAGGGCTCCGTGACCGTCCGGCCGCACCAAAAAGTCCTGGCCGCCACCGCCGTCGCAGCCATGGACCCGACCGCCTTCCCGAACCCGGAGAAACTTGATCCCTTCCGTCCGCGCGAGAGCTATGCCATTCTGCTCGGCGGCGTGCTGCTGCGTGTCGCCGGGCCTGCCATCGGGGCTATCCTAAAGGAGGTCTTCAAACTTCATAACGTGCATCGTGCGCGAGGCAGTCCGGGGCAGTTTGTGACGGTCGAGAAGGAAGTTATGGGGCTGCGGTTGCGCACGTATCTGGATTCGAATGCGAGGGAGTCGCCGTTCCCGACTAATTTGATGTTGGAGTATGATGAGGAGGATAGGCCGGTGATGAATGGGAGGGCGTATTGATCGTTACTAGGTTTCAAAAGCGCCGTGACAGGTCCGGTTTATGAGTGCTGCGTCAAGCATTGCAGACGCCACTACTGCTCAATGAACAACGGCCCATGCAGGGATTCCACTATTCTTAGCCGTCTTTCTTACTATTCCCTCTGCTGATGGACACTAGAGTGCAAACCATACGGCGTGACTCAAGAGCCTTCATCCTAGGAATGCCAGATCGACAAGCGTATTGCGAGCCGCGATGAATCAGCATGTTTGTAGAGTGGGGCGAGAAGGCTGGAGAGAGAATCCAGTGACAGCCGTGCGGATCCCCATGTCTAAACTCCGCTCGGCACATTGCGGTCATTGGCCACTCACTTCGGGCCGATGTAAACCGCCACCCACTTCGCACCGAAGCACCCGGCCTTGGGCCTCGTGTAAATCCGAAGAGATCCAATGTCATCTGCCCTCGCGACTATTTCAAAGAAGGGGAAGGTGACAAGAGAGGCGTCCAAAGGCCGGGTCTTGACGTAAGCCCAGTCACCCACGTTAACTCCGAGTTACCAATTTCCTCGCCCTTCTACGGCCCTCAATGATCTGCGTAAGATATAAAAGACCTGCAGGTACTCTACTACTGGGGGTCAACATCTAATCATCAACCGCGCTCCCATCCGCCTATTTACCTACAGCAAACATGCCCAACACGCTGCTCAAAGATGGCACCGTCATCTCCTTTGACGAGGCCACGAAATCGATCAAGGTCCTGGAGAAAGCATCCATCTTAATCAAAGGCGACAGGATTGCTCGGATCTCCGAAAACGCCAACGACATAGACCTCCCAGCCGATGTGGAAGTCGTCGATGTCTCGGGCAAAATCATCTCACCCGGATTCACTAACACGCACTCCCACATGTGGCAAACGGCCTACCGCTCCATGGCACCCAACTGTACGCTGACGCAGTACCTCGTCTGGATCAGCCAGATGGCCAGTGCTGCCCGCTCCTTCACCCCAGATGACATCTACATCAGTTGTCTGGAGGGGTATTTGGAGGCGATCAATTCTGGTGTGACGACAGTTGTTGAGCACGCGAATCAACACTGGGATGAGAGTGTGTTTGAGCCGGCGTACAATGCGGCCGTTGATGGAGGTGCTCGAGTCTGGTACTGCTTTGGAGTCAACGACCAGCCGCATTACAGCGAGGCTACGCAGTATGAAGGTCTCGCCCGTCTGCAGCAGCGAAAGGACGATTCGCGCGGGCTGGTATCCCTCGGCATTGCGCTGGACAGCATTTTACAGATGGACAAGGAAAAGGTGGAAAAGACGAAGGCGTTGATCAAGTGGGCATCTCCTCTCCGCTTTGATCTAAATCATTGCTGACCTCACTCTTCAGGCAAATGCACTTACAGGCTATCACATTGCACGTTCTTGGCGGCCCGTGGTTTAGTAAGTTGAGAGCAAGCACGGAATGTTTTGGCAGTGGCTGATGTACAATGTTACAGGGGGCAATGCGAGCAGTTCTCCCACAGCCCTTTCAGACCATGGATTCCAGGACCTTGATATCCCAATCATATTTTCCCACGGACCGTTCGTGACAAGCACCGATCGTGATGCATTGCGCAAGCACAACTGGAACCTAGCCATCACCCCCGAGTCCGAACTTCACTACGGCCACGGGCACAAAACGTCGAAACTCGTCCTCGATCAAGCGTCCCTCGGCGTCGACACGAATTTCACATTTTCCGGAGATATGCTGGCGCAGACTCGACTCTTCCTACAGCATACGCGTGGTGAGCAGTATGCCACGACGCTGGATGCGGCCAAGATCCCACAAAACTGCCCGTTCGATGTAGAAGAGGCCTTCTTACTCGTGACACGGCACGGCGGTCTGGCGGTGCGGACAGAGGACGTGGGCGTGTTGAGGGAGGGGGCCAAGGCCGATATTGTCGTCGTCGATGGCGAATCTCCGAATATGCTTGGATGGACGAATGCGGTGGCGGCGCTGGTGCTACATGCGAATGTTGGAGATATTGAACACGTTCTTGTCGATGGTGAATTTCGCAAGCGCGACCGGAAGCTGGTGTTGAAGAAGGGAGACTGGGGCGACATTAGCAAACGATTTGCATCGACTGCGAGGAGGATTCAAGAGGAGCACAAGGCTGGCCGTCCAAATTTGGAAGGGGAAGTAATGGGGATGGAGCTGGGAGAAGTCGAGAGTATTTCCACGCGTAGATAGATCTTGTATGTTTTTGAATATTTTGAGAATCGATATTGCGCAGAGAATGGGCGCTCTGGCTCGGTCTTCAACAAGCTGGAAAAAAGGCGCTGTTTAGTCGTACTCATCCATCATCTCATCTCGAGACTAAGACTGATAGAAATAAGTTTGATTCAGACAGTGTTGGCTGCTCTGAAGTAGTCGATTGATGCGACGCAGTTTGGTTAGAACATTTTTCCTTGACGCCATGTTCTAGCACGCGTGTCCACGGCGTCCAAACTTTCTCACCGTTGTTGTTGCCAATTTCCTGACTTACGACGGATTGGAAGGAAGAGGGTGTCGCCGGCAGCCCCGACTCCACGTGGCTTGGGTGCATGCAGGGGCGAGGAAAGCTTATGTCTACGACGCTGGCGGCCACGGACATACAATTTGGTCGTAGCTTCATCTTCCTTCGGGTTCTGGAAGCTCAATTTCGGCATCAACGGTTTCGTGTGCCGGATGGTACATTACAAGACGTACGCCACACCGCGCCACCAGAAGCAAGGACACGCTCGTATGCTGTGAAGGCGCACGCCGTGGCGTGATGTCGCTCCAGGCCAATCCAGAGTCACTTCGTCATTTTTTAACGAAGTTAGATGCGAGGTAGGAACGCGGCCTGCTGGTCAAAAGGGGCCCTAATAACCATGACAGTCGCTGCTCAATCAATGCTTTCTTCATCGTCCGCAACCCCGCTCGTTTCATTTAGTTGCCTTGCAATCTTTCACGATGCATTTCTTACTTCCTACGTTGCTCGGCCTTGCATCGCTCGCTCCAGCCGCTGCTGTCAAGCTCCAGACTACATGTCACACTTCGTATGGCAGTGTAAAGACGACGGACTACACTACGTCGACTATTACCACATCCTGCCCTTCTGCCTCCCCTTCTACCGTTACTAAAACCATAACAACAACACAATCTCAACCGGTGAAGATTGTGACCCTTTTACAGACCAACACCATCACTGCGCCAACGACAGCTACCTCTACGACAACTACTGGTATAGTATCCTATACAACGATTACCACCACGTAAGTTGAACCGGGATCTTCACGTCTATCACCTCTAACATCACTTAGGACAACTTCATTAAGTAGTGTTACCGCGTCAACATCGATTACAAGCTACATGAACGTCGGGGTAGCACCGCCAACGAAGAGAGATGTGCGTCGTCACAAAACCAAGCATGGGGATGCTCGCAAAAGCAAGGGTGGGAAGCATTCCAAAGCCACGAGTCTACCAGAAGTGCATTGCACAGTACTGCAACGCCATTGCGCTGCCCCGGTGGCTACTACGACCACAACAACGATCACCCATACTCAAGCTGCCTCGATTGTGAGTACAATGCCTCCCTGATGCCCGTACAAAATGTACGCTAACGATGCCTCGCTTTGTTCTAGGAGACTGTGACATCAACTTTGAGTGTCACGACGGCCCCTATAGCCACATCCATCTCTACTGTACGTCATGTCAAAATTCATGGTTTTGTGATCACCGCATTAACGACCATATCTTGCATAGATCACAACGACCTCTATCTCAACCTCAACCGCCATCAGCACCGTCAGCGGTATTACGACCGTTTCGACGACTACATCGACCGTCATCGCTACGTACTCGTCCTTCTTCATTGCTGCGAGCAACGACAAAGGGGTACCGGATGGCACTACGATCGGGGAACAACTTCACAATCGCGACGCATCCGGCTCGGAACAGTATGCGTATTGCAATTTCAACAACGGCAGCTCCATCTTCGCTCTCGATCCTGCTACAGGTCAGCTCTACGATCCCGCCTGGGGCGGGATTGCGCACGGCACCGGCGAGAATGATACCGGCGCGTCTTACCTTACCTTTGACAGCGCCGCGGCCATTGCCGAGGACAGCTTTCCCGTCTGCGACTGCGCGATCGACGCCTTCACATTGGCTCTGAGCTGCAATTGCGGCGCTGGCGACAACCAACTTTGGAGCGACGAAGTCAATGGGTGGTATATTTCGGATGGACAGAATGATGATCCTTATCTTGGGCCCTTCGGTGTCCCACAAGACACATATTACTCGGTGACGCCGGTGGTCCAGCCTATCTTGAATTGATACACGGTTTGCCGCGATGTTTATGCCAGGGCAAGGCAATGGCACTCGGCGCAGTCAGTCGTTGGAGCATGACCGTCATCAAGACCGGGCGCTTGCCGTTCGTGCCCGGCCGGGCGATTTCCACTGCCAGCCTGAGTGGTGCAAATCGCGCCGTCAAATTGGACAAGCGCTGAAATGAACAAGGGAACGATAGGAGCGGTAAACATGTTGGAATGCCAGATGGAATGGAAGAGTTGCAGCAGCGACGGTTGCCTGTTGCTAGTCGGGCGGTGTCATATATTGCGAGCGAAGATCCGTGGTCTGAGTTCGGGAATAGCAAGGCATTGGTAGCCCGAAAGGTAGACGCTATTGCTAATCACTTGTCAAGGTGCAGTGGTTGACTCCGGGAATGTGACAGCCTTTTCCGAACTCCCGAGGCTCATGTCCTAGAAAGTAAATTGCGTAGCTGAGAAGGATTTTCCGAGCGCGCTTATCAGGTAATTGTAATGTCGATCGTCAGGATGGCATTGTCGTTATTCGCACGAGGCCGGGGTCCCCCAATACATCCTTTACGTGTATGCAGATTCAATTCTCTCCAGCACATGTTCCCCAAGCGCCAGCGAACCAAGCACCTGTGACATGATTCTGACTTGCGAGTCTCGATGCAATCTGCTCTCCCGCCATGCGCAATAATGTAAGCTTCAACAATCCCAAGCGTACACTTCATCCCTCAGCTGTGTCTGGACGTGCCCTCGGAAACTGGCATTTCCGTTAGGCTGGTAACCCCGCGTCGATCACCCGCTAGCGTCGACGCCTGTTTGTGGGGTCTGGGGAAAGATGCGGGCAAATGCCGGCAGCCTTGAGAATCGGCGAGGTCGGGGCGCGTCCATCAATATATATATCCCTCATGGCCCGGCAATTCCACCCTTACGCAGTAGTCTCCAACCGTCTCTCGTCAAAGTCAACAAGCTCTTCACGCAATTACCATGTCTCTCTTCAAGGCTGTCGCCGTGCTTGGTGCCATCTCCGGCGCAATGGCCCAGGCCCAAGGTCAAATCCCCTGCACCGATGCATTTCGTTCCAAAGAATTGAACGGCGTCGCGCCGGCATTCAGCGATCAGACTCCTGGCGCGACTGCGGCCTTTCTCCAGCAGCTTCCGTTGGCGCCGGATGCCACATTGACATTGTACGAGACCTATCACGCATCTGCAAGCAACGTCCACTCGTAGCTAATATTAATCGCTGCCCTCCAGGTACATCAACGGAGCGCCTGGAATAGAGGTCGCTCCGGACGCTGCTCTCGTTCGCGATTTCGCCCTCGGTGTCCGACAGGTCTTCTATTATGTCTACCCAACGTCCGACCCACCGACAACCAACTACGCGAACGGCACGAGCCACACCGAGCTCGAGATTGTGAGTGTCCATGTTGCATGCAGTTTTCTCCAATCAACTTACATTCGTTGCTCCCCTAGGAATTGGGCGCCCTGCACGACATTGCCTTACCCGTCGATATCCATGCCGGGATGAATTTCAACTACGATACGAGCAACTGCCTGATCAACAGCCTGCAAGGCTTCCTCACCATTCCGAGCGAGGTCGACGGCCAGCCAGTGAGTGTCGCCCAGATCACCGACGATCTCTTGGCCGCAGGTTACGCAGGCAGCTTGTCGTGATCCCCGGGTGTGGTCTGATTTGTTAGAAGTCGATTGAGCTTGAATTGATCTATAGTCATTCTGCAGTCCGCAGGTGCTCTTAATAGTACCTAGTGAATCGCCTGAGGACTCGTCACCGTTCAAACACGTCTCCTGTCCACGGCTACAACTTTGCAAAGGTGGGCTTCGTCTTCTTCAATCCGCTCATCATGGCCGATTTGACATCATCTGAGAGCACCATCGCGCCATTCCACGCTGCCGTGTAGAGCAGGCCGTCGGAAACCGGACGGTCTTTGCTAAAGTCCCACAACGCCTTTGAGCTCTGCACTGCTACGGGGCTTTTGGAGGCGATGTCCTTTGCCAGAGTTAAGGCGTCGCTGAGCAAATTATCCTTGGACTCGGCCACCTCGCTCACCAGGCCTACCCTTTGGGCCTCTTCGCCTCCAAATACGCGGGCCGAATAGATGACCGATTTCGCCCACGAGTGCGATACGCCGAGCTTGGGCAGTCTTGATAGAGTTCCCACATCCGGGGCGAGCCCGACGTCAATCTCGCGGACGCAGAAGCGGACGTCGCGAGTGCAATGTCGAATGTCACAGGCAACGGCAAAGTCAATTGCCGCCCCAAATGCGACTCCATGCAGGAGGCATATGACGGGCTTCTCACATCGCTCGATCGCATTGACCGGCTCCTGGTACAATAAAGCGTGTCGTCGCACGGCCCATGCTTGCCGTGCAAAATCTTGTCCAGCGGTAGGAGTGCCCACCGGACCTGATGTCGACTCCGATGCCACATCGAGGCCAGCAGAGAAACCTCTCGGCCCAGCTCCTGAGAATAGGATGACTCGCACGTCCGGATCGTAAGAGAGGAGATTGAACACTTCCGCCATCTCACGGAACATCCTGATGCTTGCAGTTAGCCAGCAGCCGCTTTTCTCGCTCGGAAATGCATTGCTCACACGTTGTTGAACGCATTGATCTTTTCCGGTCGATTGATCTCCACATGTGCCACGAATGGTGCTGCCAACGTTACGCGGAACATTGTAAACCGTTCATAGGCGGCAAGCGGTGTCGTGCTGACGGGCGCCATGATGGGCGTGTACTTGATGTGGACGCTCGTCAAACAACTTCACCGAAACGGATGTCACGATGCGCGGGTGGGACTCGGCAATGCATATCCGTCGTGATGCATCCGCGACTTGCCTCCGCGGCAACCTCCATCAATACCTTACTTGGCAGGGAGTATTGCACAACGGGCAAGACTGCACAAACCGATCCCCGAAAATGGGCATAGTGTCGTCAGAGCGCGATGCATTTGCGTTTGGGTATCGGCATGACCCGTCTCTGCCTCCGCAGCCTCCCTCCTCTATGTCTATCACGCTCCAGAACTATCGGTCCACATTCGTCCAAGTCACCGCTCATGCTTGGCAGCCCAGAGGAGCACGCATAGCTGTAGGACATTAATCTTACGCGCAAGCCATAGTCTGTGACTCTAAGCTTTGTCTTGCTTGTCCTGAGAGCTAGGCATTGACTTGGTTGGCGGAGGTGCTAAAACCTGGCATCAATAGGCTGGCGGAGCGCTGCTAACAAGCTTAGACGTATGGAGGGCAAACGATAACTTGCCCCCAAATCCCTTGGCCGCAGAATCAATCTTTCCAAAAGGCAACTTCAAGATCGTACAAGATTCCATCAGATCTTCGGCCTTTTCAGCGGACGCTAACATGAGTCCGGAAAAAGCTGTCGCATCGCGCATCCTCCAAATTCTGGATTTTTGACGACCTGGAAACTAAAAACCCGCATTTCCACCGCTATATTGCCAATTTTAAGGTAAAAAAGAGTATTATACGTAGTATACATTAGAAACACTTCTAAAGCCTTATAACAATGTATATATCATAAAGTTGGCGGTTTTGTGAATTTCAGGTCTTCAAAATCCAGGATTTGGGGGATAGGCGATGCGACAGCTTTTTCCGGACTCATGTTAGGGTTGTCCACGGCATCTCCGCCAGGCTGGGGATAATATAAGCGACCCGTCCTCCTACCCTTAAGCAAGTATTGTAGCATCACAATTTCGTGGCGTCGAGGTCCAATACGCCATGTAGAAGAATGCAGTATCTAGCCTATCGGCGTCGGATTTCAACACGCTACGCATGGCAGTAAGGAGACCAACTAACGCTCAAGACAGACGTCGTGGCGTGATGTCGCTCTAGCCCAGTCTAGAGGCACTCTCTCCATTGATCTAACGAAATCAATAGGAAGTCAAAAGGAGCCTAGAAAATACTCTCAGCTCAACCTCTGCGTTTTCTACCCATCCCGCCAACCTGGCAGTCCCTTCCTCCCGTTTTGCGTTTGATCTCAAGCTTCAACGATGCGTTTCTTACTCCCTAGCTTCCTCGGCCTTGCTTCGCTAGCATCACTCGCTTCGGCAGCTGACATCGAGTCCCGTACGACGTGTCACACTTCCTGGGGCAGTGTGAAGACTACAGACTGGTGTACTTCTAGGACGACGACGCGCTGTTCTTCTGTTTCCACCTCTACTGTTACTAAGACGGCCACTCGATCTCAGCCGGTCAAGACGGTGACCGTTAGGAAGACCAGGACAACGACTGCGCCAGCGACGGTTGCTACTGAGACGGTGACTGTAGTCACGACATCCCCCACAACTACTACTGCCACGTAAGTTTGATGGAAGTAGTTACACCTACTGTCCACTTCCGCTCCAACTCTCGCGACTGTACAATTCTTGCTAAGTCTTCCGCGACGCAGGACTACCTCTGTAAGCAGTGTTATGGCAACTGTAACGGCACCCGTTACAGTGACAAGCTACTCGAATGTCGGCGCTGCACCGCCGACGAAGAGAGATGTGCATCGTCGTAAAGCCACGCCTCAGCCAGAAGTCCATTGCACAATCTGGCAATGGCATTGCACTCCCTTTGTGACTACTACGACAACAACCTCGACCCATACCCTGGCTACCTCAACTGTGAGTACAATCAGCTCCCAATGTCGGTTCAATGACGCCGCGTGTGCTAACAAAATGCCACCTTGTGCCAGAAAACCGTGACTTCTACCATTACGAAATCCCCGACATCTACTTCCGTTTCTACCGTACGTATATAGAGTGGGCAAAGTCCTCATCTTTTGAACAATCGGTGAGCTAATCGCCATAACGTGTCATAGACTACGACCACCTCTACACTGACCTCGATCGCTACTAGCACTACGATTAGCACGACGACCGTATCGACAATAACAGCGACAGTGACTACTACTTCTACGTACGCATCTTTCTACATTACTGCAAGCGGTGACAGCGCCGTAGCGGATGGCACTACGCTAGCCAATAAACCCGATGGTGTTGCGGGAGAGGGTAGAGGCAGTTTTAACAACGGTAATACTGTCTTCGCTCTCGATTCGTCCACAGGCCATCTTTACGACACTGGAACGACGGAACTTGCGAGCATCGAAACTGGTTACACCCTCGATTTTCTCTACTTCGACACCCAAGAGAACATTAACGGCGGTGCATACACTGTCTGTGATTGCACGATCGACGGATTCACCTTGATTCTTAGTTGCAATTGCAATGGTGCCACTCTTTTCCAGACCGACCAAAATGATAATCTCTTGATCGGGAAGTATCTGGCAGTCGGGGACCCCTCGGTAACGCCAGTGGTCCGGCCCATCTTGAGTTGATATGATTGAACGACTTCGCAGGGTGCAAGAAGAAGGCGAAGGGTCACATGTGTTCATTCGGCGTTTGACTCAGAAACGAGTGCTTCGAGCGATGGAGGGAACGTTGTCACCGAATTCCAACTCATTACGGACAAGCGAACTCAGGCCTAACATGGACTGCAGCCCCATCCGACTGGGAGTTGTGAACACGGAAACAGGGGACCTGGATGTGAGTAGTATCAGGCCTGCATGATTGACCTTAGCGCTCAGCCGACTTCCAATGTCCCAACTCAAACTGATCGAACTCGTCCATATCTAGATCCATTGCTGATATCGACAGTCTTACATCCGAATCCTCTACTCAAACTTTAACAAAGGTCAGGCCGGTGTAGCATCCCGTCGGGCCCTCGTGAATCTTTTCCTTGAGGCCACCGTCTAGACTGCACTTCCACACACGTCCTGCCATGTCTGCAACATATACACAATTCAGCGCCTTGTCCAGCTTCAAGCCAATACCCTCGCCCAGACCTTGAGCGATCTAGAGGCAGTCAGTAAATACGTTATTTCCACCTTCTACACGGCCTGGACTTACAATCTGACGACCTAGCGTCTTTTCAGCAGCAGGAGTTTCGCCAATCAGCTGTTTTCTATTGAGTGTGTTCCCAAGAGGGACCTCGCCACGGTCTGTCCAGTACAACACTCCCGCTTCGTCGTCCATCTCGAGGTCAATGCATTCCGGAAGGTGCTCCTGGACGACTTCGATGTCGGGGCGATTCGACGAAGTGCTTCCGTTGGGGAGCTCCAGTGAAGCCGAAAAGATGCGGCCTTCCGAGCCTTTGGGACTTCCTTTCTGTGTCCAGAAGAATTTGTTGAGCCGTCGCGATATCGTCACTCCGACGCACCTGGCATTGTCAATTCATAAGTTCCTACGCACGTGAATGATACTGACCAATTGCGTTGGTCTTTGACCTTCTCGGGCTCGGTCTTCCAGTCGCCGGTCTGGATGATAACCTCCCGTTCGGAACCATCCAGGTTGCAACGAAACACCCTCAAGCCTTCGCGATCGCAAAAGTACAGCTTCTTGCCCTCCCTGTCGACGTGGCATTGTTTCGGAGTGTGAACCTCGCCGACTGGTACTAGAGTCTTGATATCGCTTCCATCAAGCTTTGCGGATTGTACTGTGCCATCATTCTCGCTCGGAACGCCCATGTTGGTCCAGTAGATCCTTCCATCGAACGTGTCGATTCCGTCCGGGAGGGCTTGGCCGCTGATGAGTGCCGTCGCTCTTCCGCCGGAGTGCTCGGCGATGACACTGAGCACTTCTCCGCCATGCATATACTCGGAGGATGATTTCTGGCCGAGCGGCTCGTTCAGACCGACGTTGAGGAATAAGAGCTTCGTCTGAGTGCCCGGTTTAGGAGGAGGATACAAGCCTCCCTTGTCGGGAGTCTTGAGACCCAGGCGCCCGTTCGCAACAAAGTTTTGCTGCACGTACTCCAACGGAGCGCGAGAGATTTTTCGCTCTTCAACGTAGTGCTGCTCGATATGTTCGACCGTGTCGAGGCCCACTCCATCCATCATCTCACAAGGGCCGACCGCCGAGCCGTATTGCTCTTTCCAGATCGAGTCGATGACTTCGGGAGTGGACACGCCTTCTGCGAGCACGCTTAGGCATTCGCGCTTGATGGCCGCCCAGATGCGATTGAAGATGAAGCCGGAGGACTCTTTGAGCGCAGTGACAGGGTGGAGGCCGGCTTCCCGATGTCGTGCCTCGACGAAGGGGAAGATTTCGGGCGCAGTGTGCCCGCTTGTCATTAGCTCTACCACGATTGCCTGCAAGGATGGTTAGCGAATGGAGTGTGATTGGAATGACCAGGGTGGTAGACCTGAGGCGGCATCATGAAGTGGGTGTTCAACACTCGAGCTTTCGTAGCTTCCTGCACCTTGCCCAGGAGATCGCCCGACTTGAAGGACGAACTATTCGTAGCGAGGATGCAATCAGCTGGTGCGGTTCTTTCCAGCTCCGCAAAAGTCGACTCCTTCAGGGACAAGATCTCCGGGACCGCTTCAAACACGATCCACGCATCTTTGACGGCTGTCGTCAAGTCCTCGACCCCTTCGTATGTTCCCTCTTTGGTGCGGCCATTGGTGAGAGCGAGAAAGGAGGAGATGTTTTCTTTGATGTAGGCAATGGCGGCAGTCCGGGATTGTTCTGAAGGGTCACGGATGCGGACGTGGTAGCCAGCGGCGACGAAGCAGGCTGCGATTCGTCGACCGAGCACGCCTCCTCCGAGGACGACGACTGGTCGGGTTTTGTAGTCGGCAGGCGGTGACCACTTGCTTCCCATGGTTGCGGATCTATCGACGGTAATGTGTGTGAGTCAATGAATATCGTATGGTCAACGACCGCTGCATGGACAAGTATGAGTGATGACAGGACGGGAGCAACTGGGCTCGACATCAATAAATCTACACGGGTAGGCTGGTGGCATCGCAACATACTGTTCCCGACCTCCGAGCCCGCCATCGGAGTTCCCACGTGGGAGACCGACGCGAAAGATGTCTGACGTCGAGAACCCACTCTCTGGTCCATCGTTGTCTGTTGACGACGAAATGATGATTTCACGGCGCATCTTTTTAGCGTCCGGAGCAGGCCGTGCCGAGGCATTAGTTTAAAATAACGACCACGAGTTGAGGCGTTGGCTAATCCCTATCCTCCCCGAAACACGCGCCGCTCGCCGAGGCAGTTGTTTGATCCGTCATACATCCGTGACGAGAAAAGAGTTCATTTGCCATACGATCAAACCTATCGGAATCACTGAGCCTGAGCTTGCCACGACCAGACAGACGACACGGTAGCTGACCTCATGCCGAAGTTCAAGCTAATTGAATAACTCATGGTTTCAACAGTGTTCTACGAAGAAAGCCGAGCCGAGTCTAACAAATGCATTCGTTACGAGCTGTCGAATATACAGAACCAGTCTGCCACTTGGCCTTCTGTCTAAAAGCAAAAGATCTGATCCGTCATCTTGCTGACCGCGCCAGGTGCCTCAAATCCCAGCTCCTCGAGCGACTTCTTCGTCGCATTGACCATGCCCGGGGGCCCACAAAGAAGGACCCTGCTATCTTTCGAAGGCTTTGGCATAACTTCGTCTAGCAAGTCCTTGGTAACGTAGCCACTTCGGCCTTGCCAACCGTCAGACGGGTGATCAAGAATGTAGTGCACCTCAAATTGACCGTTCGACTGCGCGGCAAACGCGTCGAGCCTCTTCCGCATCAAGATGTCTTTTTCCGTCCGGTTGCCGTACACCAGCGTAATCTTGGTCTTGTCGTTCGCGTCTTCACAAATGGCGCGGACCAGCTGGAACAGGGGTGTGATTCCGGTGCCGCCGCCCACCATGCCAATGTGCCGTGCTAGGTCCTTGCGGTATTTCATGGCGCCTTTCGGTCCTCTGATGTCTACCCTATCGCCGACGCTGAGTGATGACAAGTACTTGCCCATCTGCCCGTCAGGATAGATGCGAATGAGCAGTTCCATGCGGCCGAGATCGCGATTGTTGCTGACGGGAGTGTAGCTTCGAGTGATGGTCTTGCCGTCCACTTCTCCGCGGATGGCGATGTGCTGGCCGATTGGCAGTCCAAGGATACTGTATTTGCTAGGCAAGGCAAAGACGAATCGGAAGATGCCATCGGCCAGTTCTTCCTTCTGGACCAGCGCGTATGGCTGATATTCGTTGGGCGTCAGGACCCCCTTTTTGTAGTCTTTAGTTGGGGAGACGGCGGGCTTGCGAGGTTGATACTTTTCGAATCCTTCACCGAATGAGATTGCGCTTGACAGGTATTGCGCTCCGACAATACCGACAATGCCAGAAACGATGGAGGCCGTGAGGAAGCCGTGGGTGAAGCTGCCTCTTGCCGACAGTTTCAGTTGTGGTAGCTGTGCAGAGAGCCGGGGAAGGACGTGGAAGTGATTCAGTGCCCAGACCAGTGAGACGGTTCCCGCAGCAAACAAGCCCAATTCTGTCTTCAGACCTAAGCCTTTTTGAGCTGTGCTGGACTTGGGTCGCATGTCTTCTGGGCCTCGCCGCACGACGACGGTCGTCTCGGGGACCGCTTCGTCGGACTTGGAAGCACCACCTTCCTCTTCGGTGTTGCCTTCGATCACGCCAACGAGAAAAGCGTGCATGATTTCGTCCGCATCATTCGAATGGCCGACGTCTTCATAGTCGCTGGTGGCATCTTTGCCGGCAACTCCTGAGAGCGTGTCTGCTCCGCCCGGGTGATCGCGTACGTAGTCGGAGACATCGTAGACTAAACCTGAGATGAGCAAAGGTCGTCCTGAGAGGTTCGTAAGGCTTTACCGTGTCCGTGAATGACTATCCACGTATCCCCTTTGGTGTTGTGGGTGGCGACATCGTCGAGCTTGTATGTCTTGACTTTGACTTCATTTTTCCACTCGGCTTTGAGCTCTTTGCGTTCTACTGATGGCGCCATGTTGTTTGGGATGTAGATGTCAAGGCAGTGGACGGGAATAGGGTCTCGCCATGTCGGTCGACGGAAAGCACGCTCTTGATATGTCGGTGCACGGGGAGTCGCGCCGACTCACGACCGTGGTGATCATCATAGATCGGAGGCGAGCAAGGCGCCCGGACCGACCGAATGATGACCCGCAATAACAGCGACCATGCCCGCCGGAATGACCATTCATGGAGAAGCGTTGGTGTTGACGCAAGTCGCGAGTACGCAAAGACATGCCTCGGCACGCCCGTCGATCCCAACGGGTGGGCGAAGTAGCCTTGCACGCGCGCCGAGGCATCTATCTCTACGCGATTCTTTACTCGACTTCCGTCACCTCCTCCTATCGAAAATTGCTTCGGACATGGCTCGGCGAGCAGGGCCATACGGACGATTGACGCCTCTCGCGACCGTTTGAGTGATTTACTGTATTCACTACGTCACCAAGTGCATTACCTGACGCTACTCTGCGTAACACATGCAATTTCCGGTTGGACCAGCCTGGCCACCCTGACACCTTGATACTATTACCATCGTCGGCCTATCGGGCCCTTTGACCCCCGACATACGATCGAATAAAGGCTTCCTCTTCCTCGTAACAATGTCTGCTCTGCAGTCAGAAAGCAGCTTCCGACATGGCACCCATCGCTTTCCATCTCTCGGGCGAGTCACCCGCCAAGGGCCTAGAAGTTGATCTCGAGCCTCTGCAGAATATTGAAGACTTGCAAAAGGTGCTTGCTAATGCTTGGTCGGTCGTGAAGCCCGAAGGTTACTATATGCCTATGGAAAAATCTCCTGCCCCATGTTCTGACAGCCATGTCTAGGTCTCGGTTTCAATGTAGACAATGTCAATGTCACGGATCTAGCACAGCTGCGTGATGCGCAAAGCTCTGTCACAGTGACAGTTGATGGACATTCTGTCCGACAAGTCCCCGGCCCATCCGGGCTTCCATTGATTGGCAGCTATCTCGAAGGTGAGCGGAAACGCCGAGTTTACAACGCAGTACGCCACCGCTGATCGAGTCTCCAGTCTACCCGGATCACCTCGGAAACAACCAACGCCTGTTTGACAAGTATGGAGACTTGTTCAAGGCCAACATCATGGGCAAAACGAACTTTTTCGCCCGAGATCCCGAGCTGGCGCAGATCATGTTCCAGGAGTCGGATTGGTTTTCCAAAGAAATCACCACCAACCATCCGCTCTTTCCCCTCAAAAACGACGCCGCCGGAGTGTTTGTCAGTTCGACATCGACCCCGTCGTGGAAAGTGGTGCACAAGTTTATGCCGCCGGCACTTGGGCCAAAGGCAGTCCGGCACTATGCACCAACGATGAATGCCTGCGCTCGAGAATCCTTTCCCATCTTTGACCAGCTTGGAGAGCGGGGAGAAGCATGGAATGGGTACCAATACATGCTCAAGCTCTCCTCTGGTACCATTGGAAAGGTGGTGTTGGGCCAGGATATGCACCATTTCGACAGCATCGATGCGCCTCTGTCACGCTTTGTACTTGGTATGGCCGAGACCTTGGCACTGAACAAGAAGGTGGCGAGTCGAGGGGAATGGTACTCCTGGCTTCCGTTTGGAGACGCCAAACGATTAAAAGACGTGCAAGCCATCGTGGCAGAGGAGATCAACAAGGCCGTGAAAGAGTCAAAGTCTGGCGGGACGGAGGACTTGCCGCTTCAAGACGCGGCGTTGAAATCGACCAATCTCATCGACTACTTTGTCAGGGCTGTCGACGGTCAGGGTAAGCATCTTCCAAAGGAGAACCTGCATGCCGCGGTGGTGGTTGCAGCTGGCGCAGGCTTCACTACGACGTCGTCTCTCCTCGGTTGGTTGCTATACGGTCTCGTCACATATCCCGAAACGCAAGCTCGTCTGCTGCAAGAGTTGGTCGACGTGGGATTCACGGACGACACGGACGTCACCCCTGATATGGTGGAAGAGATGCCCGTCATGGACAAGTACATCAAAGAGATGCAGCGCCGCCACAACCCTTCATACAATCCCGGCCGCACCGCGCAAAAGGATATGATTTTGCCAGGCGGCTATCGCATGCAAAAAGGCGACGTCGTCATCCCCGCGATTCACCACATCCATACCAATCCAAATATTTGGAAGGATCCGGATAGGTTCGATCCGGATCGATGGGACACGGAGGAGGTGAAGAACCGGCACAAGGCGGCATATGTCCCGTGAGTTTCCCGCCTTCCCCTCGCACGTCCTCTGCTAATCGAATGGACAGATTCGCCACAGGCCAAAGAATGTGCATCGGCTTCAACTTTGCGCTGCTCGAAGTCAAGGTTTTCCTTCCGCACCTCGTCTGGAGATATCATTGGGACAAGGAGGGTGAGAGCGAGGCGGAGTATGATCCTTTCTTCCAGTTGATTAGGCCGATCAATCTGTACGTCAAAACCACGAGGAGAGATGTATACCCGAGTAAGAGCTGGGACAGGCAGACATAGATGTGATTAGCTCGAACTCAAGAGTCTTACCATTCACTTCTTTTTCCTGTCTAGATAAGCGAGCCAGTTGGCTGGACTTCGCCATCACTCTCCGCAGGAGTCTTCTACCATGGGAGGGTCTGGAGGAATACACCGCGTTGATGACAAGATAGTAAGACTATACCCTTTACACCATCTCATCGGCTCTCACATTCCGCTGGTTCGTCGGCACCGCCTTTCTCGTAATTCCCTGTCCTTCGTTCTCCCGTCCACTCGACACCCTCCCGCCAGATCCATCCATGGCAGAAGCCTCCTGCGCACCATCAGTCGGCGGACCACCTTGACGTCCTCCCCAACCGGCCTGCCTCGTCCACATTGCATCTGAGAACCCATCGAATCCACCCCCGCCATGCGTAAACGTCACGTGGCGCACCAACGGGATATGATTGAAGCGGAAATCCCACACGCTCGCATACACCATGCGATACGCGCTGAAAGCCATGACAGTCCCAATGACGGCACCAGCAAGAATGTCCCACCAGTTGTGATACTCGTCAATCGATAACGAGCCTCCTATGAGCACCGCAGCGAGGATGGGCATGTAGGTGACGATGAGCTTCCAGTAGGCCGGGTGGTAGTTTGACCAGACTTTGAGTTTGGCGTTGAGATAGAGGGAGAGGAAGACGAAGCCGGCGAATGCTGCGGTTGTGTGGCCGGAGGGGAAGGACTCGAGGCTGTCGTCGATGGTGTCTTTGTCGCCGGTGCAGATGCTGCGGTCGTACATGATGTTGGCGAAGCCGTTGCCGGTTTGTGTGCCGCCGATGGGGAGGTCGGGCTTGCAGACTTCTGCAAATCGAGTTAGTCGGGTGACTGCAGGAGGGTGCAATGGTAACATACCTAAGAAGTGAGGACGCAGGCCGCCAATCAGCCATTTCAAGAAGACCTGGAAGACCGCGGCGGTGATGAGGCTGTATAATAATCCGAGAATGGCATTGTTGATGTCCCAGAAGGAGCGGATGCGGAATTGCATGAGAAGAATAACGACAATGGGAACCAGGCTGGCAAGCATCGCTGCCGCCCAGATGGGCACGATTTCATGGCGGAGGGGGTAGGCGAAGTCGGGGAAGACGACCTGGCCGTCGGGAAAATAGACGGGGAAGGAGCGCGAGGGGGCGGGTGGTGCTTCGTAGATCTGTTCCATGGCGTTAGGCACAGATAATGGTGAAGGGGATGTCATACGCACACCAAGCCCAAGAACGCCCATAACAATCATTGTCAGGATATCGGGCCAGGTCACTTTGATCCATTGGCCGAAACTTGGGCGTTTGTTGAGTACGTCATCGCCATACGAAGCAGAAGACTTGGGCTGTCGTCGCTCTTTGCTGCTCATAATGTTGCTTCGGCCATGGCGGCCGTTGTCAGATGTACCACGACGGCTGAAGAGACCCATTGTGGTGGAAAGCGATTTGAGTGAAAGGATGGATGTGGGGAGAAAAAGAGAGAATGTAGTTCGACCACCTACCCGCGCGTCTATTACAGGACGCAAGCACCGTGTCCTACCTGCATGGTGAAATGGACCTCTGGTCAAACCTGCCGCAGTTGATGCGCGTGACGAGGCTGGAAACTGGGAAGTAGCGGCCTTGGCTCGCCTTGGCCTACGCGCAGGCCGCATGAGGACGTGTGATGAAGGCCCAGAACTTGACGGGAATGCAGATCAGGTCCTCGATCTAGATAGTGACACGGGCTGTGATTTTGTCGAGGAAGAAAAGAAAGCTTCGACGTCGAGCTTGTTTACGACGGACGTCCAGGATCTCGGGTTGGTCTGAGCTCGCGGGTGCTCCGACCTCAGGTCGAGTCCTTGGCCTCCATTTCTCTCCTCTCTACAACCCGCTCTCCTCGAATGGCGACATGGCCACCGCCCCGATAATCCCCGCTCCTCCGCAAGACATCGAAGAGATTCAGCTCCTCGACAACTCCCTCGTCTTTCCCGCCTTCACCGCCCAGACAGCATGGGCTCTCGGATGTCTGCTTCGCACCAAGCTGCAGGCGCTGGATAAACCTGCCATTGTCGACATTTCCCTCGTCCACGGCAATCACTGTCTCTTTCATTGTGCGACTCAGTCTGGCACGAGTCCCGATAATGATTCGTGGGTGGAGAGGAAGCGGAATACCGTGTTGCGATGGGGAACTTCAACGTGGTACATGTCGCGGAAGTTTATGGGCGATTACAAGACGTTTGCAGAGAAGACTGGGCTGGGGATTGACGCTGCAAGATATGCTATACACGGCGGAGGATGGTAGGTTGAATAGGTGGTCAATCACAGACAACATGCTGATTATTGCGCAGGCCGGTCCGAGTCCGCGGCGTGGAAGGCGTTGTCGCAGTTGTCGTGGTTTCCGGTTTGAAGCAGGATCAAGATCACGCTATCATTGTGCAGACTGTCGGCGAGATGCTGGAAGAGTTGAGTGAGGATACTGGGGAGAAGAGGAAGGAAGATTGAGGGGAAGGACATCCTCGACTCGACTCTGAAGGCTTGAAGAACGTGCGTGTGGAGGATGGTATGGCAGAAGCCAAGGATGTAATCAGCGCATCAGTGGCATTAATGCGTCCACGCAGCCTGATGCACGATTTTGCGCTCACATGCTTAGTAGATGAGCTCAAGAAAGACGATCAGCGCCGGTTGCGGGAGCAGACCCGATGGCATAAAGAATGACCTCGATGCCTTCTAAGCCAGCCAACTCCTCCGGTCCGATCGCGATAGCCCCATTAGAGCCTTCGTCCGGCGCCGTGTTCCCATTCACAGCGCAGGTCAAGGGACACGTACCATCCGAGTTGGTCGCAATCGTACACGCAACGGAGGTCGCGCCGGCGGGGTACGAAATTCCACTGTCCCCACCTGCAAACATGATTATCTCGTCGCTGGGAAATTCGCCGCTGGTATACTGGAACGCAAGACTTCCCGCAGGGCTGGGCGCCCCGGGCGTTGAGGTCGAAAACGCAGATCCGGTGTCCAGGATGACAAGCGACCCGTTCGGGTAGAGCATGTACTCCGAGCCGTCGGATTCGACAGCAGGATGTAGTTCCGTAACATAGCTGGCGGGCTCAGACGACTCCGAGGAGTCCATAACGACGAAGTAGACGTTAGGGTTTGTTCCCGGCCTGATTCCGTAAATTTGGAATGTCTGAACTGCGTTGATCGTGGTGGTCGCAGTTCTGGGGAGGGCCGTTAGCGTGAGTTCTGGAGAAGCGGCGAGAGAGGTCAAAGATACGTACACCACAGTACTGACAGAAGTCACTATAGATGTGATTGATGTCTTGGTGATTGTGTTCGTCGTGGTTGAGCGCGCGGGACGAAGACAACTGCAGGCAGAGGAGATGAAGGGTCCAGGAGGGTAATTCGACCAGGCTTGAGGTTTTGGCGTCGAATGGGCGTCACGTTTGGCCGGTGGCGTAGTGGTAGGGACCACGCAAGTTGTGACGAGACTGGTGGCATCGACGGATGTTGTACGGGTGATGGTAGTTCTGGCACAGGCTGTAAGGATTTGAGCAAGTCATGGAACCGTAAGGGAGGCAAACCCAGTGCGAATTGTCTTTGTCGTTGTTTTCGTCAGCGTCGGCGCTGACCAAGAAGGTAGATACGAAGAGCAGAAGGCTGTGGCTTGGGACTGCTGATGCGCGTCGTCGACCAGTTCGATGATTTTGGAACAGCCAGGGAATGAAGGACCGCCTTGAGGGTATTTGTGCGAGGCCGCGGCGGTGCCGAGAATGGCTAAGATGAGGGTGGTGGCACGCATGTTGGTCGAGAATTGAAGTGGCTTCTTCAGAAATGTATGCAGTCACCAAATCACAGTCAAACAGGCGGGGAATGCCCATCTTTAATATGCAGTATTGCACGAGAGACATGCGAGTAACGGCCCGAAGGCGCACGCAGCGACCCCTGCCTTGGGCAACGCTAATGATTTGGAGTCAAAACAGGCGACCCGGACGCCAAACATTTGTTTTCATTCGCGGCTGTCGCATCGTGAGATACACGATCAAAGGTAGGATGCGTGAGCGTACATGGCCTGCGTGATGGAGAGATGCATGGTTCGCTGGAGGAGTGGATGCAGCATACGCCTCTCGGACAGATAACGCACCACCACGATGCGGGACGAGAGGTGTGGTGTAATCTCCACGGAGTACATAGGCAACATGTAGACGTGTGGTCTATTCCCAAAAGGGTTAGTCAGAGTGCGGAGTGCACGCGGATGAGGAGTGTGGGGAAATAAGGGCGAGCTCACGTCTGGCTGGAACCTCGAAGACCAATGAATGTCACGGCCGTCACCACCTGCACTTCGACTTACGGCAGGCGAACTTCTCATCGGTCGAGAAATATGGTTGGGCGGCCGATCGCCTTCGAAGAGCGAATCGCTTGAGTTTACATCCCGCAGCCTGTCAAGTTCCCTAGTCGTCCATCTAATCGTAAATGTTCTCGGATATAGTAGTAAAACTTGCCAGGCCGTTTCGTCGATTCCAATCCCCAAGTCTGTCTGCCGCTACTTGTGAAATTATATCCTCGCCAATGGGCCTCCTGGGGTCTTTCTCATCGACAAGAGGAAGAATAGCGGACCGTTTCGGGATTTTCAGCTTCACGCATTGATTGCTACTGTATCCAAGTCGTCCGTTGCCGATCCGTCGACCCATGCTGTACGATGTGCGACCCGAGTCTTCTTGCAGTGGCCTTTCATTGCCGGCGGAGAGTTTGGCGGAACGCCTCGAAATATCAACCGCGCGCGCTGGCTTTGCTGCTCACGGAGCGTACATACAATATTGGCCGTTATACCACGGCTGCGTAGCCCACCAATCGATCCTTTCGACTCAGTCAATGGTCCGCCAAGCCGGCGGCCAATCATCGCACCTGCCAAAATTGCCCGGCACGGTCACGTGTTTGGTGAAAATTTTGGTCTCACGTCACAATTTTGGCCCCCCTCGACGCCAATAAATCACCAAATTATATATAGGATTCCTCCGGCATCTCCTCCATCCAGTTCCGGGTCGATTAGCTCAGTTTTAGGTCTCCCCGTTAATCCTTCAATCAAATCTCACAAGCTAATATCCACACAGGGTTAGAGCGTGGTGCTAATAGTATCTATGCTATGATACGCCAAGGTCGCGAGTTCGACCCTCGTATTGACCAGACTTCTCTTTTTGCGGTTCTGGGGCTCTTTTTTTTTGTTTTGTCTCGCTTGGTTCTCGCTCTGGCTTCGATCCTGGCTTTTCGCCTAGCTTTTCTCCTGGCCTCTCTTGATCAATCCCTACCTGCTCAGACGTTACTAGAGCATGGTCACCATGCTTATACTCGTGGCTACGAAACGCTAAGGTCGCGAGTTCGACCCAAGTTCAAGCATTTGATACGGATTTTCGACGTTTCCATTACAGCCCAGGCAGCCTCGTGCTGACCACTTCGACTGTCTGTTTCCTTCATTATTTTGAACAACTACATCGGTCTTATTATTTTGTTTTTTCTTTCGTTGACAGGCGCATCGTTCTCCGTTGTTTCTGGGAAGAACGTGGTTGGGAAGCCGTGCCGAGGCTGTCAGCAGTGGAAGACGACTCGGGGAACGTCCTTTTGGATTCCACGAGCTTCGTCAGCAGAAACATCGTTCTTCCTCCTGTTTCCAGAAAAATACGTGGTGTGGATTCCGTGCGGAGGCTGTTAGCAGCGGGAGATGATTCGGGGTGCGTCCTCCTACGGTAATGCCTGCACACGCCGAGCGAATGAGAAACGCTGCAGCAGAATTGAGGAGTGCCTGCACGGCTGCCACTCCTGGCTACCGCGGCGTTCGCAGCAACCGTCATTACATGGAACTGTCTTTGAAAGACGTTGCTCGGATCGGCAGAAAACTGCCTTCATACACACTGGGGCCACGCCACTGGAGAAGCTACATGCCGGTTTCTGCTACTGGTGTGTATAGATGCAAGGGGGGAAGAAGAACTCGAGGGAAAGACCCGTCGCGCAGAAACAACTGCAGGGGCTGGACATCATCACCAACACTGTTGATGCTATCGAGGAGCACCTGGGGATGGAGACTGAGTAAATCGCCGAAGAACACAACGCTGCTTGCTTTTGTTCGTACTGACTAGTCAACTCTCTCTCTCCCGCAATCCCTCTACTTCATTCCCCGCGGAAAAGGCTCGCCGGAGGTGACAAGTTGAGAGGTGTGGCCTCCTGGCTGAAGTAGGCAACACTCCCTGGCAAATACGTAATTTTATCGGCGGGAATTGCAGCCTCGGAGATTGAGAGCGTATACATGCCCTTGAGCACGAGACGTCTTAGTAGGGGCCATTCACTGCCGTCCAAGACCGGAGCGAGAATGTCTCTGCACCTGTCACTTGCTGTGACTCCGTAGCTGCTCGCCTTCGGATCATCCTCTCCATCCTCACATTCGGGGTCGAGAACGCGCCGAGGATTTACCTGCCCATGCCCTCGAGGCCATTTAAACACATGATAGCAATTCTCAAGCGTCAATTCTTCCAAGGTCGCTGAGACATTGCGGAGCAGACCAGCCCATTCACAAAGTACTTGCGTGTCTTGATCAAAGTCAAATTCCCAAGGCAGCTGCACGACTTCTTGGAAATCATCATGTAGCGGAGCGAGTTTCGACAGATGCAGGTGGGTGAGCGAGCGGAACTTGTCTTGAATCGGGTCGAGGAAAAGCACTCCGTCCGGGGCCCAATTTGGCCCAGCAGTCTCGACGAGATTGATCAGAGACAAGGTCTTTATCTGTTCCGGGCGTGAAAGCAGGGCGTGTAGCATTTCGACCGACACCTGACCACCAATTTCCAACTTTTCCAGCTTGCTCAAATTGCGCACCACGAGCTCGCGCGATGCTTCTCCCTCGCAAACCTCCTTCACAAACAGAGTCAACGTCTCCAGATTGACAAAATCGGCAATGATATCGTAAATACCGATATCACTATCCTGGTCGAAGGAGACCCATGTCTCGTAGTCGGTTCCATACGGTAGACCCTCTTTGGGTTGCGGCGAGACCCTCGGGCCTGGAAGTCTCGGAAACCTCAAAAGCTTTGGAAGAGCGGATAGAATCTTCCATCGTTCAGGTTGATCGCGACGAATCGAGGCGCACTTTGCGAAGAACCTTCTCTGCTGTCCAGCCTCCTCGTCACCGCCACCAATGTCGAGCGCAGCGAAATCGATGTGTTCCCAGAGGAGTGGTTGAGGTTTGCGGTAGAGTTCCTTGTTGCAGAGGCATAGACTGAACAAGTCGAAGAGATTGCAGAAATGCAGGATGCGAGCTTGCAGCTCTTGGGGAAGCTGGAGTAAGCTAGGTGCTACGACTGCGGCGGGTTGAAAGTGTGCTAACAATCTTCCTGTAGCCAGACTGCTATACTATGTTGTTCGAGGTCAGGCAGCCGCGGCAATGCAGTCCAAGCGCAAAGAGGGTCTATGCATCAACGACCGGCACGACAGTTGTTCTTTGACTCTCAATCTAGAATTTGCGAGGAGTGCAATCGCAACAGGATGTCGTCCTGGCCTATCCAAATGAAACCAGTCCTGAACACCAATCGCCAATGACCAGATCTCATGGCCCGGCCTTTGACTCCACAGAAACCGACTCGCGAGGGCCGGAAGAATGATTGGTGTTACGATCCGCATTTCTGGGACGAACTATTGAATCTCGGCATGCGCATCATCTGGTCAGGCGGGCCACGACCGGTGCTTTGGTACATTATTACAGCCTCGTACTGACCACATCACGTGTTTGTCTTTTTGAGGCACGTTGATTTGTAAGACGCGGCTACGTCCCGTCCTATCCGATAAATCAACCTTTCCAGCCCTCGGACCGCCTATTATTGATCCATAGCCTACACACACGCTCACCTTGATTAGGTAACTAGAGGCTCGGCAGAGCGGATATCATGTCATCTACTGGTTGCGGTCAATCTTTGGAAGCTCAGGTTCATTGGATTGAAACCTTACCTTCTCAGCTCATCGTCAATGCGAACGCGAATGCGACCGCGACCGCGACATGTTGATAATTGTTCGGTCTCTTTTTACACCATGACTTCTCTTCAGCAGCCTCGTACGCTTCCTACGGCGGCAGCTACAGCAGATGTACGATGCCACGTGCGTACACAACATGCTAGTGGCGGCTAGAACTACTTCGGGCCGCATGTTGACGCGTCTATCCCGTTACGAGCAATGCGAATGCGATGAATAATATCTATTCCGCGGGACTAGCAGTCTCGATACTTTCAGCGAACGAATCAGCGCCCTCCGACGGCACCCTTTCCTGCTAATACCCTTGGTTTCCGCCCTACGGGCCAGAGCGGCACATTGTCCTGGACTCATGGCCGCAACTCGCATTAGCCATCACTCCAATCAGCATCCAATGCCGCTCACCAGACTCCACCAAGACCTTCAATAGCTTTACTAAATGTAGTTAGGTGGTCGTGGTATCACATCTGTCACCCTGCAGATTGCTTCACGATCAGGGTCTTTTCGTTCGCTTCAACATATATAGTGCCCCTCTCATCTCGGGGTCAAGGAGGACGATCGCGGCCCCGAACGACGGCCCCGAACGACGGCCCCGAGCAACGGCTGCGCGACTTTCACTAAGGGGAGCATATTGGGATTCATCAAGTATAAAGTCGGTCTCCTATTCCCTTGACTGATATCTGGCGTTCCTCCCCATCTCCAAGTCTCTCAACTCCCTACCCTCCAACAGAAGTGTTGTACTAGTCTTCCGCAAGACAGTGCGTTACCCCCTCTGCTCACCGCTCATACACGCTCTCACCCAAAGAAGCAGACGACCTGTCCACTTGCAATCAACATGCGCTTCCATACCGTCATTCTCGCTGTAGTCAGCATGGTCGCTGCTGCGTCCGCAGCTCCGCTTGAGCAACGATGCTATGCAGAGTACGTGCTTACCTACTATAGTAGGCATATGAATCCTAAGCTGATGTGGGATACTATAGTGCCTCGCATCCAGACTGCCTCCGAGCTGAGGTGGAGCGACGATGCTACGCAGAGTATGTGCTTACCCATTGTAGTAGTATGATTTCTGAGCTGACGTTCTTGTGTCTACAGTCCCTCGCATCCAGACTGCCTCCGAGCTGAGGTGGAGCGACGATGCTACGCAGAGTATGTGCTTACCCATTGTAGTAGTATGATTTCTGAGCTGACGTTCTTGTGTCTACAGTCCCTCGCATCCAGACTGCCTCCGAGCTGAAGTGGAACGACGATGCTACGCAGAGTATGTACCTACCTACTGCCGTCGGTATATATCTTGAGCTAACGTCTTTGTCTGCAGTGCCTCGCACGCAGAAGTCTGTCTCGATGGAAATTGAACGGGATGCGGTCCGATATGAGCTCGATATTCCAGCAAAGGGAAAAGAAGAAGTCGTAGTCGCCGCTAGAGAGAGTGCAGGCGAAGAGCAGATCTTCGCCCGCCGTATACACAGTCTTTGACCAGCTTTCGTTCATTCTTCCCGCTGTTCTTCGCTGCTTGTTTTGTCGACTGCTTCGTGTCTACAAATCGCCTTGTTTGTCTCTCAGCCTGTTCGATGTCGACTGATATCAACGCGTATGCTGGATAATCGAACTTCGAATTGTCCCGCACTCGAATCAAATGGTACTGACCAGCGTTTCTTTTGCCATTCTGGGGCTCGTATTGTCCCTCTTGGCTTCGCTTCCGGCTTCTCTACCGACCTCTGCCTATCAGACAATGCTAGAGCGTAGTGCTCTATCTGGTGCTACGAAACGTCAATTCGACACAAGTTCGAGTGATCAATCACCAATCTTAGAATTCCGCCAACATCGCATTACAGCCTCGGAGTGATCACAATTTTTTTTCATCCCTCCTTAAATTCTCGTTTTGATCTAATCTGGGATCTTGTTGCAGAAGTATTGCGATGGCGCGAGCTGTTGTTGTTTGTCTCTCGTTTCGTGTTCCTCGAGACGTCAGTGTCTAATTCTCCTCGACACGAGCCAATGCTGCCAAAAGTCCATCATACCGGAGTGTTGTCAGTCCCTGCCGTGCACCCCTACTATCGCCGCGTCTTTTATACACAAACCCGACCACTACTAGAAATGGATAAGAGCAGTATGTTTTCGGTACGGACCGTGGCCTCGATCACGCATATTCCCTGCTGACAAATGCTGAATTCCCTCATGTTAGAAATCGACAGTACTACCTCTCATGTCTTATGTTGTGACACGCGTTCTCCATCGCTGTGCAACGCTCATGTGTTCCACATTCCGGTTAAGAAGTGCCGAGTAGTGACCAACTCGTGGTTTGATTGGTATTTACAATGGTTGCGTGATTCGGATCGCGCTGGGAGCCTCTAACTCTTATAATGAACTCGAGGCTCCTCATCGGTATGTCATACTCAGACTCACCATGTCTACTACCATCCCTCCTACCATTCTCGTTGTCGGTGCGACAGTTAACACCGGTGCAGGACTTGTCAACACTCTTCCTCGCTTGCTACCCTCGAAGCCGGCTTTCAAGAATCACCGACTTCTAGCATTGACACGTTCGGCGAACAGTTCGACTGCTCAGAAAATTGCAAACATCCCTGGAGTCACCATCGAAGAGAAGGACTGGCTTAAAATCACTCCGGAATGGCTCCGCGAACGCAACGTGGTCCGGATGTTCGTCGCATCACACAACGAGCCCACTCAATTCGCAGACGAGGGCCAGCTTCTCACCAACGCCCTTCAAGCGCGCATCAAATATGTCGTCCGCATCTCCACGGGGGCACCTGCCGTCACTCCAAATTTCCCGGCCTACTACCCGCGCACGCACTGGGCCATCGAGACCATGCTCGGTCAACCGGAATTCGCAGCGATGCACTGGACCTCCTTGCGCCCAAATCTCTTTGTCGGACTGGTCGTGTCCCCGGCAGTGGAGTTCATTCGTCATGTTCAAAGTACGGGTCAGCAGGAGACTCTGAGCATAGTGCTCGATGAGAATACGTCGACGGGCGTGATTGACCCCTTCGATGTTGGCGTGTTTGCCGCACAACTGTTGTCTCAGGATGACAGTACGCCCTTCAACCAGCAAGGATATACCTTGAACGGACCCGCCGACATTACGGGACGGCAGCTAAATGAGATGGTGGAGAAGGAGATCGGTGACACGGTCCACAAGGTAACGTACAAGGATGTGTTTTGGGTCGACGGACGAGCTGGCAAGAGTGATCGCAAGAATCTCGTATTATCTAACAAACGTGCCCTGGACCCCATCTGGAACGGCCACGCAAAGGCCGAGACAATCAGTCCTGAGGTGCTGAAGTTGGCTCCTCCAAAGGAAACCGCTGAAGCGACATTGCGAAAAATGCTGGCTGGTTGAGCAGATTGGACGAGATAAAATAGGTCGCATAGATTTAAGCAGGCCGCTGCAGCCTCGTGGCAACCACTTCGAGGCATTCAGCCTTCAGTTACATGATCTTCTGTCTGTCGGATACCGTTAAAGAGCGAGATGTAGGACCATACCCGCCAATGGCAATGTGGACGCGGCGAAAAAGATCGTGCAAAGGTGAGATAGAGGCGTTGATCATTTTCCTAGAGTCATATAGCTCCGATGGGTTTCAAACAAACTTGGCTCTAACTAACGAGCCAGACGGCCTGCGTACAAAATTCCGACTTCCGTAGCCGTCGTTACAAAACGTCGGAATCGGCAATCTGTCCCTGTTTATCCTCCTCCTCGAGACGCACCAGAGCGCGGTGCTCGACTGGTATATCCTACTCCTGCTACAAAGCTTCAACTATGGGCCGCAAAATCTTCTTGTGCGATTCTTCCCTCCGTATTACGACACTTGCGCGTGCGCTAATCCCTCGGCCGCAATAGGACTGGAGCGACGGGATACATCGGTGGCTCCGTCTTCGACACCATCGTCACGCATCATCCCGAGTATGAAGTCACCGTGCTGCTTCGCAATGTACCCCAGGACTTTTCTTCCCGGTACCCAAAGGTCAAGATTATAAAGGGCGACTATGACAGCCACGACATTCTCGCCGCAGCCACATCGAACGCTGACGTCGTTGTCCGTACGTCCCGTCTCCATCGCCGTCTGTGAATCCGACCAGGGCTAAGCTTCCGCCCTAGATAATGGAAACTCCGACCATGAACCATCCCTCAAGGCAATCATTTCAGGCCTGCTGACCCGCCAAACACCGGGCTTCCTCCTCCACCTCTCCGGCAGTGGCATCCTCTCCGACTTTCGCTCCGACACGTACCTAGGCAAGCTGAATCCCAAGATCTGGTCCGACGTTGACGATCGAGATGCGATTTCACGTCTCCCGGATGACGCGCTGCACCGCAACACGGAGATGCTCCTCGGCAAGACCGTGGCCGAGCACGGCGACAAGATCAACATTGCCATCATGTGCCCTCCCGACATCTACGGTAAAGGTAAAGGCCCGGGCAAGACCTGGAGCGCCTTTGTGCCCATGTATGTCGACTCGGTGCCCAAGGTTAATAATCGGATCTTCTATTACCGCGACGGAGCCAACACTAGAAGCTGGGTGCACATTGACGATCTCATGACGCTGTACCTGCACGTCGTCGAGGCTGCCGTGGCTGGTGGAGGCAACGCACAGTGGAACCGAGAGGTGAGATCTCCTCCGTGCCTGCCATATGACTGCGAGTTGCTGACGTCCCAGGGGTATTACTTCGCGGGCACTCAAGAGCACTCGCACATCGATGTCGTCAGCGCGATTGGAAAACACTTGTCCGCGCAGGGTGTGATTGAGAATGGCGCGCCGGTGGCCGTCGATATCAAGGCCATCGATTCAACGGTGAACGTGCCGTGGTTGCCCGGGCTGGCGCGATATCTGTGGGCGTCCAACTCGCGTACCAGAGCTGATCGTGCGAGGAAGCTCTTTGGCTATCAGGGCAAGGCGCCGGGACTGTTGGAGGTGCTTGAGGCAGATGTGGCGCACGCCATTTCGAAAACTTGAGTCGAGGAGGTGCTAGGGCCGTAAGATTTACGCACCTGCACGAGGCATGGTCCCCCACCGGTGCTCAAGCCCTGGAAGGCGGGTGGAGATGGTAGCAACACTTCCCAAAAGCATGCGTTCCACGTTGGTCTTTTCATCAGCTCTGCGACACTCGATGTAGGCAATGCTCAATGGTGTCCGGAACAACATCTACATTCAACTCCTACAAGCGATGTACCCCTGTGCCCACCAATGCAAACATGCTTCAACGAGTTGTATATCCGCCATTAGCGAAGAGAGTCTGCCCGGTGATCCAACCCCCCTCGGTGCAGAGGAAGCGAATGAGAGGAGCGATATCCGTGATTTCAGTCAATCTGCCGCCCATTCCCTGGCTCTTGTGAAACTCCACCGCCTCGGGTGATTCTTGAGGATAGAAGAATGCTGCAACATATCAGTGAGAGCGTCCACTTCAAGTTCACTGCCAAACTCACGCGTGTCCATTGGCCCAGGAGCAACATTGTTGACCGAGATCCTCTTTGCAGACAACTCCTTGGCTACACCGCGAGTGAAGTGCTCAACGGGAGCCTTGCTGCCTGCATACGGAGTGTAGAAGCCGGTAAACGCAGCCAGCAAGGCAGTGGCGAGGGTGATAATCTTTCCGCCCTCCTCGATATGTTTCGCACCCTCTTTCAGCAGGAAGAATGCGGCTTTGGAATTGACACTGTACGTGCTTCGTGTTAGCTCTTTCACCAATTGGCTGAGGAACTACTCACGCAAACATCTTGTCGTACTCCGCCTCGCTAACCTCCGTAATCGGCTTCTTCAAAACCATTCCCACCGTATTCACGAGGATATCAACCTTGCCATGCGTCTTGAGGACTTCGGCGAAGAGATCTTCACACGCTTTGGCACTGGTGAGATCGCCAGCATGAATGGAAACGCGAATGCCGCTTTTGCTGAGGTCGTCGGCGAATTTCTCCGTTTCGCTCTTGCTTTTGGCGGAGTTGTAATGGATTGCAAGAGTCGCTTTTTCTTTGGCGAGCTCGCGGGCCGTTTCTACACCTTGTCAGTGTGGGATTGTTGAATTATAATGTCTAGTAAAGTACGGACGAGCGCCTAGATTCTTGCCGCCGCCTGTGATGAGAGCTACTTTTCCTTGAAGGGACATTGTGAGATTAGTTGGATTGTGGGTAGATATCACTGTGAAGTGTTTGGGAGAAGTCACTTATGCTGGCCTGAACACGGTTTATATATTGGCGCTTGAGTGGACCATATCTATGCCGTGGGCTGTCTCTGCCTGTGTGCCTCCGGTTTCTGCCCGAAATGGAGGTCCATTGTCCCTTTTTGGTGCCAACAACTCACCTGGTTGTTACTCATGCTCCATGTTGCTGAAGCCCGCGCCTCTGATCTTTGCCCGAAGCGGGGGCTCATTGCCTCTTTTTGGAGGCCAAAGACTCACGTGATCCCCGTTCATGTGATTGAAATCTGGATCACTTACCCCGTGCCGTTGGAGAAGGTGATTCTTGCGACACATACAGGTAGGGTATTCCAACTCGGCTATGGTTCTTGGCCGATACGTGATCAATGCATCGAACGTGACGTTGAACGTGAATGGAATGGAATAATAATAGGCCGACCAACGGACTTCTTCATCCCGACTTCCGCTCATTCGGCGCTTGGGCGGCAGAATTAATAGGCCGTGGAATGTCTCTAGCCTGCTTATGGATTCAAAGATTCTGGGGAAACAGGGCTGGCTGAACCACGGCGGGCTGGCGGTATGCAACGCGAGACATGTCGCAAGCGAAAACAACATCTGGTGAGTCTAAGCGGGCATTCCAGCTATATATTCGATTCTGCCACATGGCGTGTCTTACAGCTCTTGCACTCATTCAATAACCCATCCTTTAGACTTCTGCATCACTCTCTCGTTGTTCAGTACCTCTCCGTGTCAAGCTCGAGCGCTTCACACGCCGCTTTGAAAGAGCGAACAAGTCTCAAGCAAATGGCCACCACTCTCGACCTCGCTCGGCGATTTATTGCAAATGCCTGGAACCCCGGCGTAACGGTAACTGATGCGCCAGCCGATATCACCGTCGATTGGGACGTCCCCATCAAGGTCAGAGATGGAACAACACTACGAGTCAACGTGTTCCGACCAAGCTCCGGCAAGCTTGTCCCTGTCGTCATGTCGGCGCATCCATACGCCAAAGACAAGATCCCCCTCAAGACCAAGACCGGCCGCGGCCTGTCGCCGCAGTATCGTTTGCTATCTCAGCCTCGCCCGTTCCATATCTCCCAGTATACGGGCTGGGAAGCGCCGGATCCTGCATTCTGGGTGCCACGGGGCTATGCCGTGGTGAATGCGGACCTCCGGGGCGGCGGAACATCAGAGGGCGTAGCCGATTTGTTCTCCGATGAAGAAGCGCAAGATTATTTCGAGTTGATAGAATGGGCAGGGACGCAAAGTTGGTCGTCTGGAAAAGTTGGCTTGGACGGCGTGTCTTACCTGGCCATCAGCCAGTACAAGGTAGCCGCGCTTCGACCGCCTCACCTTGCCGCCATCTGTCCCTGGGAGGGATTCAGCGACCTCTACCGCGACTTTGCTAGGCCCGGCGGCATCCGTGAAGACGGGTTCTCGATCCTGTGGAGCATGGGCACTAGCCGCGGAGCCCGTGTCGCCAGGCCTTTATTACGCAGCCAAATGATCGATCGCCCACTTCGGGACGAATGGTACCAGTCCATCACGCCAGACTTGGAGCGGATTCAGGTTCCACTCTTGGTGTGCGGTAGCTTCTCCGACCATCTGCTACACAGTCGCGGATCGTTCGAGGTCTTTCGGCGCGCAGGCTCGGCGCAGAAGCGGCTCTACACTCACAGGGATGGCAAGTGGTGCGCTTATTACAGCGAGGAGGCCTGCCAGGAACGGCTTCGATTCTTTGATCACCACTTGAAAGGCGTGGAGAATGGGTGGGCTGAAGAGCTGCCTGTGCGACTTGCAATCATGGATATCGGCGCCAAGCCTGCAGCCGTGACCCGAGAGTCGGCCTGGCCACCTCAAGACCTGACCTGGCGCAAGCTTTGGTTGGACGCTCAATCAAGCACCATGCGAGATGAGCCCTCCCTCGACCACGGATCAGTCAACTTCCGCAGCCAATTCGGCAGCGTCGCGTTCAACTGGACCGTACCGATCGATCTAGACATCATTGGCCCCATGTCCTTAAGCCTGTCCGTTCAGGTCGACGGCGCCACCGACATCAATTTATTTGTGGACGTCGCGAAGGTCCGCAATGGGGTAAAGACGACGTTTGAGGGCTCATATGGCTTTGGAGGCGACATGGTGTCAAAGGGCTGGCAACGGGCCGCTCATCGTGAACTTGACTTGATCCTTTCGACTCCTGAGCAACCGGTGCATCGTCATGAGCGGGACGAGCTCTTGTCCCCAGGCGAGATTGTTCCGGTGATGATAGCTCTTCGGCCGCATGCGACTCGCTTCCGGAAGGGCGATGAGCTTCGCGTTGAAGTTCAAGGCCGATGGCCCTATGCCCGAAATCCTTTTACCGGTCCCTTTCCGGCCGGCTACGAATCGAGTCCCAAAGGCATATGCCATCTCCACACTGGGGCCCAATACGAGTCCCATCTATTGGTTGGCGTCCGGCCCTACGTTTAGGCAAGGCGAGCCGGGCCTACTATTTTATTTCCTAATCCGGTAGTCCTCAGATCACGCTTTCGACGGCGCCAGACAGTATTAATGCGCTACATCAATAACGTGCATGCCCCCCCCCAGCTGTACTCTTGACTCGACTCCATCTCTTGGCCCGTTGAAGTCTGGATGGCGACGGTTACTCTACGCACCTCCAGAGCCTAACCACGGCCCAGACTTCCCTTCTATGCAAAGACAAGGTCGCGTGCGTCGTCGATCGGCCGTCACACCAGCTCACGGTTTACTGATGGCGATACCATCATGTCTCGCCCCGGTGTAGACAATGTTGTCTGGATCAACAAGACACCACAATCGGCATCATTGTCCCACTCCGAAGGCTTGGAGCGCATCAACCTCCTTTCTCAAGCCCAGCGCAATAGTCGCGCTCTCACGCAGTCTATTCACAAGACCAAAAGAGCCAGGAAGGCCCGCAAAACAAACACCGTCGTTGTTCGCTTCATTGAAGCAGACAAAATCACGCGTGGAAAGGACAAAATCGCGCCAGACCCCGTGTCGGACTTCTATCCCCATCTCCAGCTGAGCATCCCTCGGGCTCTAATGGACTCCTTATTCGACATTCAAAGATCCGAATTCATCCACTCGCTACACAAGCTACACCTAGAAGACTCCGTGTACGCCTTCATACCATCCCGCATCGGCACGTCCAGAGTGGTCGAGGACGCGGCACATGCTGTCGTGGCGGCGCAAAATTACCGCCTCACACCGATCCGAGATCGAAACGAGAGACTCCACTTGGCCGCCGCAGCATCGTACATCAGCGCCATCCGCGTACTGAAAGGCTCGGTAGACGGATCAGATGCTTGTCTGATGGCATGTCTGCTGCTGCAATTGTCACACTCCCTATCAGATCACTCAGATGACCGGCGTGAAAACTCAAGTGCCCACATCGATGGAATTGCCGCAGTCCTTGCTGACAAGGCGAGGCAATTCCTTTCGCGGCCGCCCAGTGATTTTGCAAGAATGGCCTTCTACTCTCTCCGATACTGTACGTATTTTCTGCCAATTGCGCAGGGAGTGGCTTCGCCTTTCGACGATGGCCTGACAGCACGGCTGAAATGGACAAGTCCAACAAGGAGCCCGACATCACAGGAGGTGTGTCTTCGACAGATTGCTCACGAGCTGTTTGTGCGACTTCCACGATTGATTGCTGGTACGCGATCGCTTCGGAACGGCGACGGTGCGGATCGCGACAGCGTCTTGAACCTTGCGGCAGACCTCTGCGAGCTCCACGACCCCGATACAGAGACCTGGTTCCTCCGGCACAAGACTACTTACGTCCACACGGTGGAAGTATACCGCGAGCATGTCGGTGACTACTCACTTAGCTTCCCTTCACTGTCCGAGTGGGAGTGTATGGTAGTTTACTGGGAGACACATCTGGTCCTCTTCCGACTCTGCTACGAGCTCTCCAGACTAGCCCCCATGGGCCACCCGACAGTCCGAAAGTTCAAGAATCATGCCTACCAAGATGGCATGGCGCAGGCCATCCTCATGTCGTGGACTTTCGTCCATCAGCGCTGTAATACTGGGCTTGGAACCCGGATCAAAACTGCGTTGATAGCTTGCTACTCCGTTATGCGTCTCAAAGCCACATGGCATGGTTCAGTCGCAACACTACGGCAGTGGATCAACCAGGTGTTGCACAAAGATGGTGCCCTCAATCCTGATGCCGCTGACATTGGCGACGCGCTTGCTGGAGGTGCAATCCAACCATTCCGGGACTGGGCATCCGGCTCACGCAGCATTCTTGGTAATCGAGGGAGCAATAAATGAGCAACCGACCTGCGTCTCCTCCCGAAAAATGTCTATACTTGCGGTGATTGAGCCTTGTCGGCAATCACGGCACATTGTTCGAGGACATCCCAAAACGAATGCGTGTGCAATTTTCGCGGAACCCTGACCCCAGCAGCAGTCCTGTCCGAGAGAGCCTCCATCTTGGTCAGTACCGTCCTTCCCACTTGGCCCCTCACCGAGTCGAGCGCGCTGTGTGCTCCATCCGTCACAACTGCAATACTGTACCTGTCGCCATCCTCTTCATATATCCCCGAATCGTACCCAAAAAGTGCAGCAACAGCGAGAGGGTCGTGCAGGGGAGGGCCTTCATATACCCCGAACCATTCAACATAGCTCTGTGCGAAGAATTGGAGGATCTCATGCAAAAACTCTCGCAGTCGACTCGGCTTGCCAGGACCGAGGAGTCGCGCTCGCACTTCTTTCGTCGCCAAGCACTGGTGCGTGAGATCTAGAGTGACCAACGTGGTTTTCGCGGCTAGTCCCGGGTTCGAGAAGATGGCATGCGCTGCTTCGGGGTCACAGTAGATGTTGAACTCGGCCCATGGAGTCTCGTTGCCAAAGCCTTCACTCTGGCCGAGTGTCTTGCCAAACTCCTTCGACACCTGAGGACAAAAGTCGCCTCCGACAGCTCCGCCCATGATGCTGAGTCTGGGATAGATCAGCACAGGGACAAGGCTGGAGGCCACAAAGCACTCACCCTGCCAGATGGTCGACAACTTCAGGAAAAGTCGCAAACAGCAGTGCCGCATTCGTGCATGGTCCTGTGATTACGAACCATGCCGTGTGCGCCGGTTGCGCCATGATGGCATCACGTGCAGCCACGAGAAAATTGACGTCGCGGACGATATTGGACACCGGCTGAGGAAGCAAGCTTGTCCCCCCAAGTCCCGTACTTCCTGAGAGCCAAATCAGCGAGCATTCTTCGGGCACAACAAAGGCGCCACTCGCCATGTATTTCAGGTGGCTCGATAAATTCCCGGCAGAAAGGCTTCGTTGCGCCAGGATATACCTTGACATCCGCCCTGCCTACAGCCCCGAGTACAGCACTCGTATTGTCAGTAGTATATTTTTGTTCCGCATTTCCATAGCAGGACGTGACGCCGAGAAGCTCCAAATGAGGGTGTCGAGCCGCGAGAAGTATTGCAAATACATCCTAATGCGAGAGTTAGGAATGCCGTAACATTGGGAGCGATGCCATACATCATGGCCTGGGCAGCATCAGTCAAGATCTGTCGGTAAAGGGGTCGAATGGCTCACGAACCCGTATCGACGTCCAACCAAACGGGAATTTTCCCTGCCATGTTTCCGCAAGAGGTACCTATCAAAGAGACAGAGCAAAGCGCAGCATTTTGCATGCGTATCAAGCTGCATAAGCCATCCCCCACGTGAGCGGGCTTGATACGTCCATCAATTCCTACTGGCTCGGCGTATCAGCCTTTTGATAGCTTCATCCAACAAGCTTCGACGGTGGCAAGCAGAATCTTGAGCACGAGGTAACCACGGGTATGCAGCAGGGCTCAATCCTGCTCCATAATAAGGTTCGTCCAGTAGAGCATGCGTTTGGGTCGAGCTTATCGCCCCGTCCGGGGTAAGGCTGGGGTGAGCTCCAGGGCCAGCACCAGCGACAAGAGTGGCGGATAGGCGCGTGATAAGACCCCATGTGCGACGCCGGCATTGCTCATTCTTATATTCGCCCGAGGTAGTCGCTGCTTTGTCCTCTTCAATCCACAGCTGTCGGCAGCATGGCTTTCGTCGACGAAATCTCCCCAGCCTCAGAGGCATCTTCCGCCGATGATGTCGTCAACGAAGATGTCCGCAATCTGGAGAGCTTCGGCTACAAACAAGAACTCAAGAGAGATTTCTCCTTCATTGGAATGCTTGGGTTTGCCTGGTCGGTTCTTACCACATGGACTGCTTTGGGCGGCTCTCTTGTCGTGGCCATCCAGGCCGGAGGGCCCCCAGTCATCATCTACAGCTGGATTGCCGTCAGCTTCTTTTCCCTCTTCGTCGCATATTCCTTTGCGGAGATCTGTAGCGCTTTTCCGGTTGCCGGCGGGCAATATAGTTGGGTCGCCATCTTGACACCCCCCAAATGGGCCAGACTCACATCGTATCTCTGTGGCTGGTTCATTGTCATTGGCTTCTTGTCTGCTGGAGCGGCGAATGGATTCATCGGCGCGAGTTTCGTGCTTGGCCTCGCGCAAATCGCTCACCCCAGTTATGTCATTGAACGATGGCATGTCTGCCTGGTCTGCTACCTGGTACTAATCCTCGCCGCCGCCGTCAACCTTTGGGGCCGACATCTCCTCAACAAATTGAGCAAGACGATGATGGTCTTCAATCTGGCATCCTTCATCGTCGTCATCACCGTCATCTTGTCTCTGGACAACGACAAAGCGAGTGCAGCGTTTGTATTCAAGGACTTTGTCAACAAGACCGGCTTCAACAATTCCTACGCCTCGCTCTTGGGCATCCTTCAAGCAGCGTTTGGGATGACGGGATACGATGCCACCGCGCACATGACGGAGGAAATGCGTAATGCGAGGAAGGATGCACCCCGTGCAATCATCTGGTCGGTTTGGATCGGGGCCTTCTCCGGCTTCGTCTTCCTCGTTGCCGCCTTCTTCTGCATTCGCAACCTCGAGGCAATCGACACCACTGCAACTGGAGTACCGCTCATTGCCATCTTCCAGCAAGCTACGGGTTCCGTGAGCGGCGCCATCGGGCTGACAGTCTTGATCACCGTCATTGCCCTGGTCAGTCTTTGCTTCCTCATGGCACAAAGCTCTCGCGTTGTCTTCTCCTTTGCGCGTGACCACGGCCTCCCTCTCAGCAGTTACATCAGCCGGGTCCACCCTACTCTGCACATTCCGCATTGGAGCATTATAACAGTCCTCCTTGTCAACATGGCTCTGATGGCAATCTACTTTGGCTCGGTGACCGGCTTCAACACGGTGCTCGCGTTCTCCACGGAAGGATTCTACCTCTCCTACATCATGCCACTTCTCGTACGCGTCTGGGGCCGGCTGCAGGGTCGTCACGACATCGACAGCGCCTTTTCCCTCGGCCGCTTCGGCATGGCATTTAACCTGATCGGCATGGCGTACCTCGCGTTTTGCGTGGTCATTTTCAACTTCCCAACCGTGAGTCCCGTTACCAGCGCGGACATGAACTACTCCTCTGCAGCAGTTGGCGTGGCTGCTCTTGTTGCTGCTATTACATGGTTCACCACCGGCCGCAAGCACTTTACCGGCCCACAACGTGGGGTCATCATCGAGGGATCGACGTCTTTCATCGGTGAGGATGGACGTGATGCTTCGTTCACAGAGGTCACTATCGAGAACGAGAAGAGTTGAAATTGAATGCACTGAAACACTGCTCGCCACCTGCGCTGTATGATACACGGCGACGGCTCTTTTTCGGAATGAACTGACGAAACGACATGTTTGCGTTATTGGATTTATGATACCACACCTGCACTTTCCACTCTAGCGACATGGGAAAGGCATGGGCACTTGTCCGGAATGGACTGGGTATGAGTTGAAGGCGTTATGATTGTTATGATTCCTGCTTTCTAGCTAGCCATCCACATTGCTCCGCTCTTTTGGGCCTCCGTGTCTTTACCCGCGACCAGCTTTCCAGCAACAAATACCTTTCGAATGCTTCTATCGTCTCCCATAAAGACCCACTTCTTCAACATTGCCTCCTCATCATGCTCCCACCCCTGCACATTGATATTGTCGTCCAATCCCACATCCACCACCAGCGCATCGAACTCCTTGCCCGTCTCAAAATTGCCCACCCGGTCGCTCAACGAGCACACCTCTGCTCCTCCCATGGTGGCGAGATAGACGAGCTCCTCGAACTTCAACACCCATTTTTCGTCGCCCGTGCTGATCGCCAGATGCCGGCTGACATTACTTGCTTGTCTAATGGCATTCAGAATACTTATCGAATACCCAGCGCTGCAGTCTGTACCCAGCCCGACCTTGACACCACGCTCGAGCAGTCGTCGCACCCGACACCATCCGTCTCGTAGACATGTATTGCTGTTCGCGTTGTGTGCCACGCCGACGCCACGCTCGGCCATGACATCGATATCGCGATCGGTCAGATGGATGCAGTGGGCGAGGATGGTTCGTGGTCCGAAGAGCCCGTGGTGATTGTACATATCGGCGTAGCTCTGGTAGCCAGGATGCAAGGCATGCATATTCGACACTTCAAGCGGCGTCTCACACATATGTGCTTGGATCCGAAGGCCACTCTTCTCATCCGTCGCATTGTGACATAACTTGCCCAAGCCGCTCATGAGCGATTCACTCACGTAGCTGCCCGCACGAGGCTGAATACACGGGAGCACAAGTTCGCCCTTGGGATCCACCTTGTTAAGGATGTGCTCGACAACCTTCTGCTCATCCTTGAGAGATTGTTCCACACTCTTCTCCATGTTACCATGCGTGGCTCCAGTTTCGATGCAAAGCTTGCCGATGATAGCTCGCTGGCCCTTTTCCTTGCAGATCTCCGCAAGCACATTCGTAGCATCGGGGTGAATGCTGCTGTTGTACGCCACGGTCGTGGTGCCGTTGGTCAAGAGGTTGGACACCATTGCAGGATAGACGCGGCCAGCCTTGGAAGTGTCGGAATAGGAAGCCTCGATAGGGTCCGTCCAGCCCTCACACCATTCCTTCAGGTCGCCTTCCATCCCGAGCGAGATGTTTGGATACTGCGGTGCGTGCATGTGCGTGTCAATCAGGCCGGGGAAAAGGAACTGAAGCGGTTTGAGGTGGATGATCGAGGCGTTGCCGAAGCCATGGTGTCTTTTCGCCGCTTCAGCTGGTGAAACGTGTGCTGTCTCGACGAATGCTATCTTGCCGTCTTTGTTGATGCCGAGAGAAGCTTTTGACAATATCGTGACCTCTGTGCGAGAAGTGCTGTGGATGATGCGGCCGTAGAAGATTAGCGGCAGCGCTGTACTCGATCTTTCCGGGGCTAATTTGGGATCACGCATGGTTGGTCAATCGTCAGTGTACACCTGAAGTGTGGTGGTGGAAAGTGGACGTTTCTCTTATCATACGATGTTCTGATGGCCAACGATTTCCCAATCGCCTTGATAGCCGACAGAGCTCAAAGCTGACAACAAGATGAGCGTGACTGGCGAGCAACCGCGGGAATCAAGATGAAGACAGCTAATAAGCTCCTACGTGGCGGCAAGGTTCCCGAAACGGACGATGCAGTCCCAGAAAGGAAGGATGTTGCGATAAGTCATGACTTTCTGATAAATCATGCATCCGTTTGTAACCTCCTCTCCGTCGACATCATGACGGCGACAACGGTGAGTCTGGAAGCGCTTGAAGGCGGCAGCGTGCCATTTTCAATTCTGGAAGAGGCGTTCGGACCATCCTCTCTGGGCATCCTGATCGTGCGAGACCTGCCGACCAGATTCGCCGGATTGCGCAAGAGGCTTTTGTCGTATGCTTCGTATCTGGCGCAGCTGCCCTCGGAGCAGCTCGATGCGCTCACCAACGCGGCCGCGCACTACGAAACGGGCTGGAGTCATGGCGTGGAGAAGTTGAAAGAGGGGCAATACGATACGATGAAGGGCTCGTTCTACGTCGATTGCCAATCGTTCTATCTCGCGAAGCCAACGATTCATCAATCGGGACAATCGCTTACCAGAGGCTCCGGGCAGAATCTGTGGCCTTCAGAAGATGCCATCCCGGGCTTTCGGGAGACGTTCGAGGAGCTGTGTACGCTGCTGATTGATATTGGTGCTCTGGTTGCGAGAGCGATTGATCTTTATGCCATCCAGAAGATCCCGGAGTACGAGATGGGATATCTAGAGAGAGTAGTTCGAAATAGCCATACGCCGAAAGCTCGACTGCTGCACTACTTTCCACCCGCGGGTGGGTCGACTTTGACATCGGACTCGGATGAAGACTCTTGGTGCGCAACTCATCTGGACGATGGCTGCTTGACTGCGCTGACATCAGCCATGTTTGTCGACGAAACCGATGCCCTACCCCCATTACCGGATGATGCATCTCAGCCAGCACTGAAGATTCTCCCACAGTCACCCGATCCCAAGGCAGGCCTGTATATTCGCTCTAGGGGAGGCACGGTTGTTCAAGTGAACATACCCGAGGAATCAATAGCTTTCCAGACAGGCGAGGCCCTTCAAGCAATCACGGGTAGCAGTCTCCAAGCCGTGGCTCATTCTGTGCGAGGTCCGAACTCGACAGGGGCCAAGGTGGCTCGAAACACGTTGGCACTCTTTATGCAGCCTGATCTGGATGAGGTGATTGACAAAGCTGCCGGGCTGACATACGGCGAATTTGTCGACATGATTGTCGAGAAGCATTCATAGTCATTTGGCTTAGACTACGTACTCCTCACAAAGCTACACCCTCGAGCTCCACCCTTGGAAGAAGGCCAGCCTTGCCTCCCCGCGAGCATCGACCTCAATGTCGGCCTTGGCAGAATAGACTACATCGTGCTTCTCCCCGTCTACCGTCTGCATCAGAATGTTTCCCCATACCATCAAATCTTTGCCCTCGGCATCGAGAGCATAGATCTTGCCGACATGATGCTGGAAAGATTTCAGCATGCGGAGAAACTCCCAGGACGTGCCGGATTGGGCAAGCTGGTCATGACCGCGGAACGCGGCATCCGGGGTCTTCCAGGTTCCGTCAGAGGTGAAGATGGACGTGAATTTTTGAGAGTTCGTAGGCTCCGACGGAAGGCTGTCAACGACGCGGAAAAAGTTGTCGAGGAGATGGATGGTTGACGGCGGGACTGTGATGCCAGACGGGAGACGAGTGGACGGGTTGAAGGCGTGGAGCGCAGTGGTGTCTATGTCGATAGTGGACATGTTGTATCGTGCGAAGGCAGTATTCGTCAACGGCTTGGGGGCGAGGTTGGGGGTGTTGGTGGTTAGAATGCTTACGCAAACGCCTGGTCATCGCTTATATGGTCGTGATGATAGTCACGTGCACGGGACCCAAAGTGGCAGTCGCATCAGCCGTAACGTTACATCTAGACATTGGCCTCCAACCACACGCCTTGGCACGTGCACCTGCATGGTCGGACTGTCACAAAACCTACCCGGGAAAAATGCGAGCTTTGCGGGGAGGATCGAATCAAAACCGGCTCCTACGTCACACAACTCTACGAACACTTCGCGGCTTAATGCCCTACCGCAGCACCGCCTGATCAGATACGAGCTCCACTACTGTCACATCGACCTCTACAGACACCCTCGCACAAACATACACCGCCGTCATTGGCTTATTGCGTTGAATGCCAGCAGGTTGGTGGTTGCTCGGGATTCGCGCAATTGGCCGGATCGACGACGTGCTACTATTTCACTACCCAACCCGATCAGTGCTATGCATCGATGAGCATGTTGAAAACTAAGACCGGGTCCCAAAGGCCACGGCTGGGTGATCCCGTCTCGCTATTTTCTTGACAAGACTCGGATACTTGCTTGTCTTAGCAGCGAATGTTCTGCCATAGCCTGATTGAAATGGACTCTCATCTGCGTCTTGCCTGTCGAGTGCGTGACCATGGTAAGCGCTCAAAAGAAGCCCAGCTTGATCTGACGAACATACAGCATGCTCCATTCGCACAAACCTATTCACTCGCAGAAGCTAATGTGTGACGCTTCCTTGTTCCTGCGGGCTGGATCATATCTCGCCTATTTCGTAAGAGCCATGCTTGTGGCCACATTCGACGTCAAATACACAGGTACGCCCTCCAAGCCATCTTTTGAGAACTCTCGTATCCAATCAATCCCTGTTTGCCAATGCAATTGTCTCTCCGGACTCAAAAATCGCTCTTCAAGAATATACCTGTCAATAGTACCCAGAAGCAGATCCAGCATGGGGAACTTGATGAAATCCGGCGTCGGGAATGCACAGAATGCAAACATCGTCCCGCATCGTTGACAAAAGCTTCGTCTGCGGTCGGGAGACGAGGCGAAGAAGGATAGATAGGTGTCTTCGACGGGGCCTTTGGCAAGAAAGACGTCGAGGGCGGAAATCCATGGGCCTCGGGGTACACGAGAAGTATCCAGCCGCCCGTCCTCGAGCTCCGAGGATTTCTGGACGAGAGAGATGGAGATCATGTCTGTCGGGCACAAGAGCCAGAAAGGCAGGAGCGCACCCGTCGCGCGTCTGCAGTCGTTGCAGTGATCGGTGCAGACGAACGGCATTCGCACCGGAGGGTCCACGTGTCCGCCTCCTAGAGGATAGATGGGACGTTCATGTTCCGCCGGAATGTCGACTCTGTAGCGTATGGCTCCGCAGTTGCAACCCCCTTCAATCAAGGTCGGTGTGTCGGGGAGCGGCACAGTGCAAATCCGATGCAGCGCTGTATTTGCGTTCGGCCTTCGAATGTCGATTATAGATTTGAAGAATCTTGAGATGCGGCCCTGTCGCAGATTTCTGGTATTTCTATTCGACTAAATTTTGACCAGTCACGCTTAGTAGCTGTTGTACTCACTCCGTTACCTCGGGCACACGGCGTTCATGTACCGCGGACGCAGTGCAGATCTGCTCGACGCCCAAGTGGTCCACCCCGGCGCGGTCTATCGTTGCGAGCCGATGTTAGCGGCGTCAGAGAAGTCGCAGCCTTGCGACGTTGTGTCGGCACCGGATGGAAATATGATTGGACAATCAGCAAAACTGTCAAGGTCGCGATGGATTATATACTCCAGCAAATAGTATCTTATCAGATTCCCCGCCGGCTGAATTTACCACCCGCTGACACAGTATGGTCACGCAGCTTACCTTACCGTCTTGACTTCGACTTCTGGATGTTAGAATATTGGCTTCAAATGGCTGCAACGTACTCTTCACTCTTGATGAAACACAAACCTATCAGGTTCTCTGAAGATCCAAATATTGAATCTCGGCATCAATTGCTTCCCCGCCATTTTTGGTCAGATGAGGCTGAGAGCTAACGGCCGTTGCCTCGCCCTAGTCACGGATGGGGTATCGTAATCTTATTCGTCTGACCAAAGCGGCATCGATGTGGCTTGACTCCCGCAGAGCAGCCTACATCTACCTATCAGCCATGCGGAGACTAGGGATTGTGTTTCCGCAAGGACAACCCAGCCGACGATGCAAGCAGTACTCCGCGGCCAATCTCACCTCCAGCGATCTAATTTGACAACACCAAACGCCTCCGGGTTCGCCATCTGCACAAGTATGTAAGTAACTCGCTGCTCAGTCAGACGCCTGATTCTCCTTTCAACTCCCTTCCGCCTCGATACCAACTTTCCCGCCTTCGACCGCGTGGCACTCGCATTCCGTTTCTTTCATTCCCAACGATGCGTCTGATCCCTACGTTCTTAGGCCTTGCCTTTGCGGCCACGCTGGCTTCGTCGGCCGACGTCGAGTCCCGATCAACCTGTCACACTTCCTACGGGAGCGTGAGGACTACGGAGTGGCATACCTTCAAGACCACCTCGGCCTGTCATCCCGTCTCGACCTCGACCATCACAGAGACAAGGCACTGGGGGCAACCAGTGGCGACCTCGACGATTCGCAAAACCAAGACCATCACCGAACCTACAAAGACTCGCCGGTAAGTTGGCTTGCTGTGCGGGCATCACCAGTCCACTACGAAGTCATGCCAATTCCGCTATGACACAGCACAACCATCACCACTAGTGTGACTGCAACAAAGACCATCACGAGCTACTCGAATATCGGCGCATCTCCGACAGCGAGCGAAGTACCGTCAGCGAAGAGAGATGTACACCGTCGCAAAGCCGCGCCACTACAACAGCAATCTCAGCCTGAGGTTCATTGCACAGTCTGGCAGTGGCCCTGCAGTCCCTGGGTGTCTACCACGACACATACTTCTTGGGTTGGATCGACCGTGAGTCCGTTGTCACGGCGCCTCTACTTGCAGGGAACTAACGGATTCTTCTTCTCTGATACAGAAAACCGTGACCTCCACAATCACCCCGATAATCACCAGCACAACGACTCGTACTACGACTGTCTCGACGACAACATCAACTGTCACCTCCACGTACGCCTCCTTCTACATCGTAGCGAGTAGCGACACCGCAGTCCCCGACGGCACCACCCTGACGAACCAGCCCGACGGCAACGACGGCGAAGGTAACAGCACCTTCACCGGAGGCAACACCATCTTCGCGCTCGATGCCGCCACAGGCCAGCTCTACGACACCGCGAACGACGAAATCGCAAACGTCAGCCCGGACAAGGGCACCTACAATGTGTTTTTCGACACCATTACCCAGATCAACGATTATGGATACATCGCTTGCGATTGCTCGATTAATGGGTATACTCTAGTCTTGAGCTGCGATTGTGACGGCGATACCGTCTTTCAGACCAGCACGGGCGGCTTCTTGTTCATTGGCCAAGATTTGGATCCAGAGTACTACACTGCCGTAACACCATTGGTCCAGCCCATTTTTGGTTGATATTGTAGAAATTTGGTCAGGCGTCTTCTTTGCTATACCTGCTCTTGAAAATCGATTTTTAACATCTCCCTTCTCCCTTTGTTCCTCGATTTGAACAAGTCCGCTCGCACACAGCCATGAGCCGCTGGATTTGCTGAACATCCGCCTTCGCCAAGGCGGAGCCGCGCGCGTGGCAAAGGAAATTTGATTGGCCAGCCTCGTCCAAGTTTGATGCAACAGCCTGTCCCCCATCCCGATTCCGGAAAAGATGCATCGTATCAACTGGGTCGTGCTGTGAAAACTTCTTGAAGGCCAGCAGTGAATATTGCGGTTGGGCGATAGTCTCGAGTAATTCGATATCTCTCTATTGTCATCGTGCTGATGGATTCTCCATCGCCGCTCTGCCAGAATCGAAAGGTGGCGAGTGGGATGACATGAAATTGTCGACGATTGTGAGCCAGGTTGATGCTTCTTCGGAAGAAGACATTGTACGAGCGTCAGATCGCCGCGCATGTTGATGATGGCGCTCACGAGGCAGGAGTGATGCCGAGTAGGTGCATTCTTGCCTCAACCTCCCATGTATCCCATGGCCTTCGCCCCCTCCTCTGAAACCTCTCGTTTGACTCCATCGACCATCACAAAGTGCCGCGCAGGCAGAGTCTCCTTGACGACAATCGGTTGGACCCGGTGTACGACGTGATGCTCGTGGATATCGCGGTAGATTTGCTCGTGTCGTATCTCGTGCACGTTTCTTTGGACCGTCTCGTGGGTGACTGCGGGCGCCATTTGTGTCTGTACGGCGGTGTCCTCGGTGCGTGGCACGTCAGGAGCATTCACGACCTTTCTTGGCAATATGATGGGGCTCGCGGCCTTTATTGGCGGTATGGCGGGGCTCGCGGCCTTTGTTGACGGGACGGCAGGGCTCACAGTCGTTGCTGACGGTGCGGCAAGGGCTGTTTCTGGACGCCCAACATTGCTCGCCAGTGGTGTGTCAGAATCATGGCCACGGCCGAGAAAGTCTCGTACACGCTTTTTCAAGCGCTTCAGAGCCATCGAGTCCAACCTCGACCGAGTGCAAAAAAGAACAAACGATTGTTTCCGAAGTCAAAGGACGACATAAATCAGAGGACGACATAAATCAGAGGATGACGAAAATTCGAAGGGAAAAAGGCCAATCGGGCCTGATGCAAATCCCTGCATGCACGGCAAAACACGAATTATTAATGCGGGGCGGGTGTGAGCACGAGGCTGAGCGAATGCCCGGGTCTGGACCGTCATCGGCGTAGGTCATTCTGACGACGTGGAATATCTGCACAATGCAGTTCAATGCCTGCTCGGCTACTGTAGACTATTGAAAAACCCAAAATGCCATGTTAAACTGGCAGAGCTGTAGCACAACTGCCCTCGCCACCCTGGGAAGTTGGTATGGCCAGCTTTTAAAGTGGATTTGAGGGCAGCTCGACACCGTACCACCACCATCATCGTCGTCATCCATTCTATCATCATCCATCATCATTATTATGTTGATCATGTTAAACGGGCCAATGTCTTGAACAACTGCTCCCGAGCTATTCTACTACAACAAACTCCCTCCAAATCTCTCCATTCCGCCTCTCCAACTATTACCATCAACCGCTCAACCATCAAAACTACCAACATGGACGCCGTTAAGAAGAACGTCAGCAAGTTTCTGTAAGTGACGAAGCGTATTACTCAAACTTTACATCGTTCCTCAAACTAACAAACCCCAGGTCCTCCTCGGGCAAGCACGACACAAGCGTGCACGAAGAAGTCGCCCCGGCCGTCACGCAAGAGAACGTCACCCGCACCCAGCACGACGAGACCCACAAAGCCGTTGACCGTGAGGTGCACCAAGACCACTACCACACCTCGGTGCAGCCCATCCAGCACCAGGAGACGCTCGCCGAGCAGCACCACCACGTCACGGGCGAGGCTGAGAAGCGCCATTTCGAGCATGACAATGACGCTGGCGTGAAGAGCCGTCTGGCCGAGGAGCGTGCCAAGTTCTCTGACACGCAGCGTCAGACGGAGGGCAAGCACACGAAGAGCGATGCTCCTGTCGTCACGGGCGAGCACAAGCATCACCACGTCTACGAGACTATTCAGCCCGTCGTTCAAAAAGGTTGGTCCACTCCCCACCCGAGCTTGTACGAGGTGTCCTTGTCTAACTCCAAACAATAGAAACCGTCGAGCCCCACGTCGTCCACACCACCGTCCCCGTGCACGAGGTCCACCACCAAGCCTCGCAGCACCACTCCGGCACCGCACTCCCCTCCATGACCATGGCGGAATTCCAGAAGTCCGGCGGCTCGCTGACCGGCCGCGAGGCCCGTCACGATCACTTCGCCGGCGAGCCGCGCCAGACAGACGACTTTGCCGGCGGCAAGGGCCGAATGGATCAGGCACGCCAACCGCAGGCTCAGGACACTGCCACTGGCGGCTCGGCCAATCAGATGGACAGGCCGCGCCAGCCGCAGGATGGACATGGGTATGGCAACTCCAACCTCATGGACAAGTCTCGTCAATCGCAGGAGACAACTGGGAACAGCAAGCCCGGGATGATGGACAAGGTTAACCCCAGCAAGGATGCGGATGGGGATGGCAAGGCGGGCTTCATGTCCTAGGTGGTAGCCTTGGGCAGCTTTCGCATCGATTACTTCACGTGGTATATGTAGCTTAGATATCTCAAAAGTAGTGGCTTACCATTGTTGCGTCGTCGTTGTATGATCATGACCGATAGATCTTGTTCGAGGTGACGGCAAAGAGATTTCCGTAGAAGTCCACCGCAACGCTCGGACCACCTCCATCTCCTCCAACAGCTATTTCCGGATTGGGGGGCCCAGACACGTTTGAACCGCTGTTTCATCCACGACAAACCAACCGACGAAACAATTCCCAGTCGGATGCGGAAAAGCACTGGCTCTCGAGTCATAGCTGGTCGACATCAGGTTTACACCTTGCGCAGATGCGTCTGCCGCGTCTCCAGAAACGTGCACATTTCGGAGCAGGCTACCCCTAATCTTTCTCTTTTAGGCAGGAGCTTGCTGGTTCCATGCGATCTGCGAGACGAGGTCAACAAAGATGTGCACGGACACGGTTCTTCTGGGATCATGAGTAAAAAGCATTGGGCCTAGTCTTGATTCACAGCAGACCGCGCAGCGGCCATGTTTATCGCGGCGTTTCAACCTATTCAACTGGAGGTGACTTCTCGAAGTCGGCATGTCAGGCTCAGGTGTTTTCTGGATCAAACATACGCCGCTCGCCTCGAGTCTGGTCGATTGCCGCTTTACGTGCTTGAATCGCGAAATCAATGGCTGGGGAACGCTGCATGATGCTTGCAGAGATCACACGGCACACGCGTGAACCCAAATTGGTGCTGCGAAACCCCGTGCGCTTTGTTGATTCCAGCTTTGCCGTCATCAGATTCTTTTGAGCATCGTTTAATCCTCAGAAATGGAGACGACGCTCCCAATCAGGAGACGGAGACGGCATGCAGTCGGCGCACTGATCACCCGGGTACTCACCTCCAGCCCTCTCGCAGCATCATGAATCCAGCTCAATGCATGGCGCATGGCCAGCGCATCGAATCACATCTCAGCAGGAGCGCAGATGCATGAACAAAGCGGCTCGGCCTCAATCGCCCGAAAAGTCCATGACCGACGACGATTTGCAACGAATCTCACCACAGGGGTCGCACAGCCAGCCGACTCGAACTACTCTTTCACCTGACACCGACTCCCTGTGCTGCTCCCGGCTGACACATAACCATCACATGACCTGCTTGCTAGTATAATCCGGACGCGTCGTTTCATCCGTTGTTGACATTGACACGGGCGTGGTGGGAAGAATGCTTACTGTCCAAAGGTTGTCGACTTTCGTGCCCTTAATTCACAGGAATGGCGGTGAGTTTTGCCGAGCTGGCATCGCCTTTGCCCGAGCTTCGACCTGAGTTCCGAGGGAAGGGGCCGTAGCTGTGGTGTGGAGGCCTGGCCAAGTGAGTTTCCCACTGTCGACGCGTCTCCCAGCCTCCCCTGGCCGCTCTGCCGTGCATGACGAAAGTCTCATAGGTTGCTGCTGAGACTACCTGCAGCATCCATCACCCCCGCTTCGTCATGGACGGACCGAGCTCGATTATATGCCTGTCAACAGCCGTAAACTTGGTCAATTGCGCTGGCGAGTGTTCCCAATGCGATGTCGTGATGCGGACGCGACTCCTATCCCCGGCATTGTACACATTGATCAGACTCGGATGAACGGCGCATCGACAGAAACAGAAGCAGTCGATATGCCGATCAGAAGCCATCGAACAATTGGCCGGTGAGCTGGGCACACCTGTGGCAATAGCATGGAGCTAGTGCACGCGCAACGCTCCTCTTACTGCCCTTTTCCACTGCTCGACCAAACTTTGGGCGGTGGCGTGCGTGCTGCTGGCCAGTCACTCTCCACCAAAGCCCGTCTGCCACGTCACAGCAGCGGACTCCGGATGCTGGACGGAACTTGGCAATTTCGCCACGCTGAGAATTGACGCGCTCGTGTCCTTCGTGTTTGATAGGACTGCATCGGTTTGACGGGTGCTTTGTTTGAAATGTCCGCCATGGTAGGGAGCGTGCACGCCGCGAATGGCCATTGAATTGGCTGCTGTGGCACCTGAAGCCATCGGAAAAGACCCAGCTCTGAAGACGCACGATGGGAGCGGGGAGACCAGCTGCATGGTGTATGCAGTTGGTCGTCAGGTAGCACCAATGGGCATGCAGAGAGTCGAATCGGCTGTCCTATAGCCGTCTTCACGGCACGTCAGGGTAATGTGATGGTGTGGGCATGTCCCAGAACCTCCGGGTCGGTGTCACGGGCCGGCACGGTCGTACTGACCGGTGAACGCGGGTTTGGTTCGCGACTGATGCGGGCCAGTGTGATTGTGATGGCTGCACGTTGGCAATTACCTACGTCAGTGACTCGCCCGACGATGCGCGTTGTGTTGTCGCTGCACAGATCGCTCCTTCGGATGTCTGGGCCGTTTGAATGGAGCGTATCGAACTGCCGGATGAACCAGGAGAGGGGCTAGTTCCGAGGAATCACTGGATGAGAATGAGCCACGACCATGTTGATCGCGTACGATTGAGCAGGAGAGGCGACCAGACCAACCCACACTGCATGCAGGGACCCGGACACCGTGCATGCATGGCAATATCCACTTGCATCCGGACGAACCGTTGGCCTGGGTTGTGAATGATCGCAGTAGAGCCTGCCCGGATCGAAAGCACTGTCACATTGGTGATAAGCTTCTTGTGATGGTCGCGGCAGCGCGCAGAGGCAAAGCATGGTGAGCTCGAGGGCATATAAGTTGCACGCCCCTGCCTTGTGCTTCCTTTCCTTCTCCACGAACCACCACGCACCAGCATCTCTTACAGCTTCTCTTTATCCACACGTGCACCATCTTATCTTACAAGGTATGTCCACCCCTCTTTCCGTCCAGTCGGAGCTCCAGAGACATCGGAAGGCCGCATGTCATGCACGAACGCATCTGTCGGGGTTGTCAAAGGCCAGAACCACCTGAACAGTCATATACTGATCATGCAATCCTTGAATAGCCGTCAATCCCCACGCCAGCAACATGTGCCACTACGACTGCATCGTCTTCGAATGCGGAGATTGGAAGTGGGGCCCCTTCCGCAAGCACTGCCACAAGGAATACCGCATGGGCGAGACGTGCGGGATGAAGCTGCTAGAGAACAACATCATGCAGCCAGGCAAGTGCACTATCTGCCAAGCCATCGAGCGGAAGGAGCGTCGATACGAGAAGGCGGTGTCGGATTACAAGCGCTTCTCTACCCAATCCAACCGCACGGCTTCGGCGGCGAAGGCGAAGGCGGAGGCCGAGGAGATTTGGGCCGAGATGGAGAAGCTGAAGGCCGATCGTGCGGCTCGCTACATGAATGTCGGCAGCAATCGTCGGGCGAATCCTGCGCCTGGGAGTTCTCGTGGTCGTGGTGCTGGGGGGTCGGTGGCGTCGTCCTCATCGAGTGGAAGAGGTGGGTATGGAGCGGGGGAGAGAGAACCACTGAGTGGCCCGTCGCAGGGTTATGCGGTGAGCGGAGCGCCGCAGGGGTATACCGTCAGTGTAGCTCCTGGATACTCGGTCGGTGGAGCGACGCCGGGATATCCAGTGAGCGGAGCGCCAGGATATCCAGGAAGTGGTGCAACGTCTGGGTATCCGGTCAGTGGGCAGAGTCAAGGATATGGAGCAGTTCCGGAGTACATGTACCCTGGAGAGGATCCAAGTTCGGGGAGCGCAGCTGGGGGAAGTTACTCCTTCAACGACGGAACAGGGGGAAGCTATTACGGGACGAATCACCAACAAGGGCGTTAAGGCAGGAAGGCGCAGACCAACACACAGCGCTTGGAAGGCGGCATGAAACCATCCCCTCGTTCGGCTTGTTTGCATTTGGCATTGTACACAGAAGAAAGGATCAGATACCGTAATGTTAATCACCAGTCAATCATTCGCTTGAAGCTCGTGAAGGATGAATTCTCTGCTCTCGTCGCAATATTCTCCACGATGCTCAATGCAATAACCTCTGGAAGCGCTGTGAAAGGTGGTGCAGAACTTTTAGGCGCCCGTGTGCCACGCATGCACGCGGGATGCCGCAGCGGTGCCATGACATGGGGACTTCGTCGTCCAACCGATTCCACCGATGCTGCATCACAGATGCAAGGCAGCACAGTCGTTGTTGGGAAGGATGAAGAACAATGGAGAGGCGCCAGATGCATCGAGTGACGTTCAACACAAGGCGTGCTGAGAAGTACGCCTCCTGCTGCCTGCAACCTCACTCCTTTCATCAACTTTTTGGCCGTTGACGATTTCTCGCCTTTCTTGCCTGAGAATGAGTGGGTAGTCAAAAGGGGCAGTTCCATGATGAGCGGGAGTGTTTGACGCAATGACGCAGTTCGTCATTCGCTCCGAGTATCTGCGGCTGTGGCTCGAGATCCCGACAGTGGTTGCACGGCATCCAACCTCATGTCCGCCGGATGATGATTGTTCTGGGCCCGCCGTCCCGTCATCGCCGCCCCGTCAATTTGTCAAGATTTTCGTCGCACGATGCACTGCCCACGAGGAATCCACTATCCCACCCTGCGCCGACCGAGCTGGGCTGCCATTGAGGCCCGACAGCTGCTGGATGTGGCAGCGACAGAACGCCCGGTGTTTCACTATTGGTTCCGACCGAATCCGTAGGGTTGCCAATATATCGATGCTCGGGGGACGTGCATCGTAAACGTCGCAGTCGCTCCACGTTGTCGTCGACCGGTCTGACCGGTCACGTGATGACGCTATCCGTCATCACGCAATCTACACATAGTTCACCTTGAGTATGTGTAGCCTGCATCCCCCGCTGGCCACCTTGCAAACCCACAATCCCTTGAGGGCGCGTGATCGAAGTTGCATCGCCTTCCGCTACCACTGCTGCCATTTGCGGTATGGCTACTTCGACGATCGATAGAGGACGGCTTGCTCCAAAACGAGCGCTGGCGGAACTCGCATCTGGCGCCGTCTTTGGAGCAGCACTCCTTGCCTCCGGAGTGTACGCACCAAGCATCATCACAGCGCAAATGACCTTCACCTCCAACACCATGATTGTCGTCATGATGGGAGCGAGTGCTTCGAGCGCGTAAGTCCACTCTTCTTCTACACACAGCCTTGCCAATTCTAAGAGCCAACGCAGCATTATATTCGACCTCGAAGAGCGCTTCAAAATCCCTTCCCACACTCTTCGTCCCCCAAGCAATCTCGGCTTCTTCCGCTACGACGGCAACGCCCTCGGCGGCGCCCTCATAGGACTCGGAATGGGACTCACCGGCTCCTGCCCCGGCACATCCCTCGTCCAAGCGGGCACAGGAATGGCTCACGGAGGCCTAGTGCTAGCCGGCGGCCTCCTCGGCGCTCTAGCCTTCGTCAAAACGCAATCACATCTCCAAACCCACTTCGGCCGAACAGCGCTCTCGAACCGCCCTCCGCGCACCCCCGCCGAGGACCAACACCACCTCCCACCCACCAAACCCTCCAGCCTAGCCGCCACCCTCGGCATCAACCCCCTCAAACTCCTCCTAATCTGGGTTCCGATGTGCCTAGCCGCAATCCACCTCGTCTTCACCCAAGACACCAGCGTCCGGCAAATCCCCGCTGCAGGTCTCGTGCGTCCGATCTACGGCGGTCTCCTCATCGGCGTCGCACAACTCATCACAACCCTCCTTGCCCGCCATCCGCTAGGCGTGTCCACCGCTTACGAAGACGTCGCTCGCTGGCTCACAACTTCAAGAAAAGAAGGACGCAAGTCGATCCTCACGCCCTCCGTCATCTTCTCCCTCGGCATGGCTCTCTCGGCCATGATTCTCTCCTTCGGCCTGCGTGCATACGGGATGCTGAGCGCAGCAGACACTCACAACTCTCCCCTCAACCAGCTAGGATGGAAAGCAGCAGGCCAAGCCATCGCAGGCGGGATAACAATGGTGTTCGGCGCCCGGCTGGCAAAAGGCTGCACATCAGGACACGGCATCAGCGGACTCGCGGCCTTTTCGACAAGCAGTCTGATCACGACAGCGGCGATGTTTGCAGGAGGGATTCTGATGGCGAGAGTGCTGGGGTATTGATAGCGTGTCTCGTTCGAACAGCGGGACATTGATGTGTGAATGGGATGGGAAGGGCGATGAAGGCATCAATATGACGGCGATGAAGCTCGACATTGACGGCTCTCCTGAATAAGCGCTAGATGCTCCATACCAGCGTCCAAAGTCCTTCTTGTTGCCCGAGTGGACGATGCCCACACCCCGCGTGACGCCGAGTATGTGTAGTTCGTGCTTTCCGGCAAAACTCCATCGCGCACCATCCAAATCAAGCTCTGTGGAAAGAGGGTCAACGTTTTGCAATGTACGTAAGCAAAGGAACCCCAATTCACACAGTACAAAACATACACACCCCATAGCTATCCCGTCTTGCACTCTCGACAGTTCGTTCGCACGCCCTTCGCCCAACACCATCGCTTCCAAGAAGTACAACAACAACAATATATGCTCCCGTGAGAAATTGGCCCTTCGTGGATGTCACCCACGGTGCATACCTAGCTCAGGCCTGCACGTGAGTGCAAGGCTGGAACGTCTCCTCGCATTCCAATTCCAAGATTCCACATGATGCCCATGTTTGGGTTTCTTTTTGCCCATGCTTATAATCGCCGCCGCATCACATATCGAGAAACGAGTCATAAGTCAAGGGCGTCGTGGCCGTCGACAAATGCTGCGACGGCTGGCCCATCATCAAAGGCGGATGCTGATGATGCGGCGGATGCAGCTGATGCGAATGCTGCTGTTGCTGCGGATGATGCGGAAGCTGATTCGAATGCTGCTGCTGCTGCAAATGCGCGCCATGCACCACCGAGCTCGCCGGGTTCTGCAGCAAATCGTCCATCCACGAAATGTCAATCTGCGTGAACTCGCCGTTGGCCGCCTCCTCGCCCGCCGGGTCCTCGATGATGGGTTCGTGCACGAGCGAGCCCGCGGCGGTGGTGTCGAGCGGGCGCTGCAGCACCTCTTTGGCGTGGGAGCGGACTTGCGTCAGCCCGCTTTGGGCGAGCGGCCAGATGCGGCCGAGGGATTTGAGCACGCCGATCATGAGCATGACGCGCTCGCGGTGCTGGGTGATGCAGTGCGAGGCATGGAGGGAGCAGATGCTCAGCTGCACTAGGGAGGCGACGATGAGGCCGGAGGCGAGGAAGGGGGTGTGGTCGTGGGCGCAGCGGAGGGCGGCGAGGTCGGAGAGGCCTTGGGAGGCGGCGGTGACTTTCATGAGATGGTTGTGTTGGCTGAAGGTCGGGGCGAGCGGGCGGGACCAGGGACAGCAGGTGGTGTCGGTTGTGAGGGGGTGGATGGAGCGGAGGTTGCTGCGGGGGAGGTGCAGCATGATGGTGGCGTTGTTGATGATGAGGTACGCTTGGAACATGAGCTCGTCGGGCTCGCCGGCGTTTTGGCTGCGTGCAATGTCCGCTTTGCACTGTGGGAGGTGATATCGCCAGCCAGCGAGGGCGTTGTCGACGGCGGTGAATTCGTCCTTTTCCACATCGGGGTCTTCTGCTACCGCGAGGACTCGGGCCAGAATGCGGACGGCCTCTATTCGATAGCAGTAGGAGGAGAATGAAATGTCTTCATCCTCGAAAACCCGGTTATCAAACTGTGCCAGGGTGGGCGCTTTGGGTAAATTCACGCCACTGAGGAAAGTAGGGTCCTCGCAGGGTAGACCAGCGCCGAGCTCGACCGTGTTACAGCGGAATGACGCTTGCTTCTGCAGCGCGGCGAACATGCCCTCAATAATGAACAACTCCCACCAGGTCCGCCTGAAACTCTCCTCCAGCAGCTGATGGCCGGCACTGTGGGCGGCAGCGAATCCATACCGGTTCATGCCGAGCAGACACGCCAGATCCACGGCGTTTTGGAGGTACTTTTGCGCCTCGGCCTGCTCGTTGGTGGAATACAGGGCGATGGCGAAAAGAAGCTGCGCCTGCACGCGGAAGGCCGTCCAGGAGAGATCCTCCTTTAGCGCAGCACAAGCGGCATCCTTGTACGTGTCGACGGCCGGACTGGAAGCCAGGATGCTCGCGATGAAGCGCACGACCGCGCGTAAGCATTCCGGAACGGGAAGGGCCTTGTAAGCGATTTTCGGCGGTAGCACGGGATGGGAATGATGGAAGTTGGTGAAGTACAGCTCTGTCAGGGTAGAGTCGTGGTCGCCGAGCGGCAGATTCTGCTCCAGCAGGCCGTCAGGCGGCAACGGGTGGATGGCAGGCAGCACATCCATCCCCGGCCAAGGCTGATTCGTCCAAGGCTGGGCGGTAGAGGGGGAAATGTCGTCGCCGGCGACCGAAGCAGTCGCGCTGCCGTTGCCATGGGAAGAGCGGCGCTGGACTCGTCGTCGCTGGCCGCGTCGTGATGGCGTGTAATGGCATTCGCAGCCCTCGACGGCACATCGGCGGCACACCGGGCGGCCGCCATCGCACTTGAGATGTCGACTGCGGCACTGCGCACACGCCAGGGCGGCGGGGCGGGGGGCGGTGTCGGCAGCGGGGTGCGGCATGGTGGAGTGGGCGGCGGAGGCAGTCATCGGTCCATCCTCGCCAGGCGTCTGGAGATGGGGTTCCGGGGAAGAGAGCATGGATGGGTGCGGTTAAGTTGAAAGGGCCACAAGACACGAGGGCTGCTTGCGTGCTCACTAGAGGTGGGAGGCGAGAGCCCCACCAGCTTACGCGCTAGTCCGGATTGGGAGCGCGCCTTTGGTATGAGGGACCTGGAACTTCGCCGACCTTGGCCCTCCGCGCAATCGCGTTGCTTCGCCTATGTACCTGTCCCTATCGCGTGGCTGCTATTTATTAGTCGTCCTACTCGCCACTCTCCTTGCCCCTTATCGCTCTCCGCAGAACGAACTGTGTGAAGCCACGTTGACACATGCAATCACCAACAACAGCTGGCTTCACTTCAAAACAAGGCTCCCACTCACAACGCGATGATTACGAATAGAGAAAAGAACACTGATGGGCAAATTCAAGCCTGGCAAAAAAATTGACAGTCATCTGACCGTAGAGTTACGATGCAGTTGTAAGTGCAAACCAGCCGTCACTCATTATCATCGTGATCAATCATCGCCATCTATCTCCGCAAATACTCCACCAGCTGCCTCAGCTTGCCCTTGGTCTCCTCTCCCAGCTGCCCTTCCGGCGGTCCCAGGACGGCCTCAAACACCGGCAACAGACGCGGCGTCAGCCCCTGAATCACGGCATTTTGCTGTTGATACAGCGCAACAATCATCTCGTACACCGGCTTGTTCTCGTCGTAGTCTTCCTTCAACGGCAGCACTTCGACCAGCCGCGGAAGCACATCCTCCAGCGGAACGTGTTGAGGGCTCTTGCGAATCATGCGGGACACGCAGCCGACGGCGTTGTCGAGGAGTCGAGCATGCGCATCGTCGCTGCTGCTCCCTCCGGCGGCGCCAGATTGTTGTGAAGCATCGAGCAGGGGTTCGAGTTTCGCGAGGATGCTGTTGTAATTTGACAACACCTCCTTCACGTTCGTGCTCTTCTCGCACAGCAGACCCGTGCCAAAAGCCGCGTTGCTCTTCGTCTCGGGATCCTCGTCGGACAGGCGTTTGAGGAAGATGCGCATGAGCTTGGAGGTGTACGGCGTGCAACCGGCGGCCATGTGCTCCACGCAGTCCGCGATGGTGCCCACGGAGGAAGAGCGCTCAAAGCGTTCTTGCGAAGAGGTAAACTTGACGATAGGCGTCTCGAAGATCTTCCACAGCTCCGCGAATTGCTCGCCGAGGGCGGCGGACAGCGCGGCAACCACTTCCATTGCCGTCTCAATGACCAGCCAGTCGTACTCGGCGGATTCCTGGTCCGCGAGTTCTGGCTCGTCAAAGTCATCTTCATCCTTTTGGCAGGGATGCTGCTTTTGCAGGATGAGCACAGTGAGGGCAGTGATCTGTTCCAAAGGCGTCGAGGCGGACTCCCCAGCGGGGGCGAGGATCGCAGGACCACACAGTTTGAGAGTCGCCGCAACGTGGCGGTTGATCTCAGTCACGGTGCCTCTGTAAAGCTCGTCAGCATGGGTTCCACATTGCTTGACTGTATGCGAGGCAAAAAAAGGGACACCGAGTCAGAAACAGCCTCTACGCTTTCGCAGCACTTGCCATTTAGGCATCTGAGTGAGCTGGGTATGCGGAGTGTATTCATCACGTATGCAAGGAGGGTTTGAAAAAGAGCGTCAACGTACCTGTCCATCTCCTCACCCCACAGGGCCAGAGTACCCTTCATGACGAGGTCGCCCAGTTTCGCGAGGTCCGCGGTGGGCTTGACCTTCACCGGCAAACCTGGTTGCCACTTTTGCATTCCATTTGCCTCTGCAACATTCCAAAGCATGGCATAGGCTCTCCAGAGTGTGCTGGCGGCGCTCCTCCGTACGCCCTCGAAGCTGTGGTCCAGTAGAGGCATTGTAAGCTCAATCGTCTTCTGCATGTAGGGCAGGTATTTGCCCTTGGTATGCGCAAGGACGTCGCCGATGACCTCCACGGCGATCTCCTTCTCCATCGCAACACCAGTGACAGCGCCCAGGTCGTCCCAGTCGTCATCATCATCATTTTCGTCATCTTCGGCGTCCATGAGGGCTTGCACAATGTCGTCGCTATCGACATCGTCATTGTTGACACCGTTCGCACCCGCAACCTTGATCTTCTTGCCAGCAATCACAACCTCCTGCCCGACGAGATCAGATGCGCCTTCACCCAAGACGACTTCGTCGGATTCTTCCTGCTCCAAGCATTCCCACAGACTCTTGACAACACCTTGGAGGAAGTGGTCAAACTTCTCCTCGTACACTTTTGAAAGCGTGGACCACAACATGAAGCTGGTCTCTTTGAGCCTCTGGTGATCGAGGTGCAAGCCTTCCTCACTGGCGTTCATGAGGGGTTGCACGTAGGGCTGGAATGTCTCCGCGCCGACAGCGGAAGCAATCTTGCCGAGCGAATCGACCACCATGCTCCGAAGCTCCAGTTGATCATTGCTGTCCTTGATGTCGATATATTGACCGAGGCTCTGAACTGTCTTGCCGAAGAATGGCGTGAATGCCTTCTCAGATGAGGATGCGATCGACCCGACCGCGCTGATGGACGCCATTTGAACTTTGTGGTCGTCATTGTCGAAGAGAACGGCGAAGCGAGGGACCAGCTCATTGACATATTTGGCAGCGTCTTCTTGCTCCAGGCCTTCGAAGAGTGAATCGATTGCTATGCAAGAGCCTTTCAGGATGTAGGTGAAGAGTTCAAAGTCTTTCGACGAGGGTTGGGCATTACGCATATTTTGCACCGCGAAGTCGAAGTTCTTGACCAGTGCTGGGATTAGGCGGGCGTGAGCCTTGCCCATTTCTTCGGCGAGGTCGTCAGCCAGACGGGCCACGCCGTTCAATGCTGCACTTCGAACAGCGACAGACTCGTCCTCGAGCAGGTGGTAAACGAGGGGGAGAATCTCGGTGAGCTGGGTAGCGATGAAGTCGGGTGCACCTTCAACGCACATGCCGAGAGCCTGGGGTGCTGTTAGTAACGTGCTTCAGCATGAGACATACACTCCTTCAACATACCAGAATGCCCGCTCTTCGGTAGTCGGGGTTTTCGCTCTGCACAAATGGGCCAATTGCTTTGAGAAGCGGCACGGCGACTTGACTAGGAGGCAAGCTCTCACTCAGAATGTCTAGCAGAGCCAACGCCGATCTTGCGGGTGAGAGATCATCTTCCTCGTCCGGCAAGACATCGAGTTCAGTGGTGACCTGCAGGGCCATCTTCGTCATCGCCTCGCCAATCTTCAAACTCTGAACTTTGAGCTTGCGGTATCGCACGCACTGCATGAGGAAGCTGAATGCCTGACTTCGAATGTCGTCCTCGACTTCGGTCTTGGCAGCGATGTGCATGAAGAAGTGCAAGAGATCGGCGAAATGTTGGTTCAAAAAGGCAGACTCGTAGGACAGCAGCCTGTTGAAGACGTCAAAGGCTTGCATGCTGTGCTCTTCGTCTTCTGCTTCGATGGTAGACTGCAGCGTCTTGACCATGTGGGGGATGGTGCTTTGAAAAGTGCGCAAGCTCTTTGCATCCTCTTCGGTGTCCAGCACCATCGCCAGCTCCGACAGCGCCATCATTGTGTTGATCCTCACTTCTAATGACTCGGGATCTTGGATGGTCTGGCTGAACAGCGTGAGCATGGAGCCCATGTTCTCCTGGAACATGTCCGGCATGGTTTCCAGCAAGGTGTAGATGATGTAGACTCCGACCTCACGATGTCTTGTCGTGCTGCTCGTTGCCGCCTGTTGCAGGATCGCGGGAAGCTCGGCCCATTGCCCATCTTGGAGATCGACTCGGGCGATTGCAGCAATGACTCGGGCTTTGCTGTGTCGAGCCAGGGCCACATCTTCGTCAGTGGTGGCTTTGAGCAGCTCTTCTCGCAGTTGCGTCTTCTGTGCGTCGGCAACTTTTGCCCAGTGCTTGGGGACGAGTTTGCGAGCCTCGACTGCCGCAAGCTGACGGAGCTCAGACTGAGGGTGGGAAATGATGATGTGGATGAGTGCCGGAACGCAGGCGGGGGAGGTGTAGTATTGGTTCTTGAGGGTTTGCGTGGCCGTCTTCACCTTTTCGGTGTCTGGCAGGAGCAAGGCCTGCAACAGGCCAACAAACTCCTGTTCACTCATGATGGGTGCTGAAGGAGGGACGAAAGGGATGAAGGAGTGTGTACAACACACCGCAACAAATTTCAACACAACTTTTTTTCGTTGTAGCGTAGCGTAGCGTGATGTCGGGCGCGCACCGTCCCAAACTCTATCTTATCTCTTATCGCATGGCCAAAGCCTCCGATCTGGCCGAGCAAAGCAAACCCCACTCAGACGTCACTTCTCGCAAGCCACTTTTTGCGCCGGAGCCTCCACGTGCTCGCAACGTATGGTCAGGTTGATCTGCTGCGGCGTTTTCCTTGACATCTGCAGGGCTCGATTTTTCCCTCATTCTCCGGCCTAGTCCGTGCCTGGCCGAGTCAATCGACGCAGCTACCCCAAAGGCACCGCTGCCCTGTCTACTGCGGGCCGACATAAATAGCATGCCCGTCCGGCGATCTTGATCAAATCTGCTTTTACCATCCTAGCTATAGCTACTAAGTAGGTGCTTTAGCTACTCCGACATGTTTTTCCCAATTACTGTGCTGGCATTGGCCGGCTCCGCCCTTGCGGCTCCCTCCAACTCTTCCAATTCCTCTTCCTCTCTCCTCACCAACATCAACCAGATCCAGCAGTACTGGGGTATGTTTGAACTTCTCCTGCCTCCGTGCCCTGTGCCTGACAGACATCATAGGACAAATCAGCCCCTACCACGACAACGCCGACAACCATTTCGGCGTCTCGGACGTCGGTCTGCCCAATGGCTGCCAGATCGAGCAAGTCCACAGCCTCCAGCGACATGCTCAGCGCTTCCCCACCGGTGCATTCGACGACGGCGCAAACGATGCCAACTTCGCCGCAAAGGTCTACAACTTTACCCAGGCGAACCCCAACGCGCAGTTCACCGGTCCCCTCAGCTTCTTGAACTCCTACCAGTACCAGATGACCTCGAACTACCTGACTGGCATCGGCGCCTCCACCGAATTTATGTCTGGCGTCACCTTCTGGAACCGATACGGCCGCACGCTGTACAATGCCACGGTGGGCCAGGTGACATACAACGCCAGCTACACTAATGGCACCGCCCGGCCCAAGCCGGTCCTCCGAACGACCAGCCAGCCGCGTATCTGGGATTCGCAAATCTCCTGGGCTCTGGGCTTCTTCGGTCCGTCCTTTTACGAGGTCCCCGATCCCACATTGTCCGCATTTGGCAATGGATCTTTGTTTGACGTCGTCATTATCCCCGAGGGCGGGACGGAGAACAACACCTTGGCTTCGTACGATTCGTGCTTTGCGGATGACTTCACCGACATTGGATCGATCGGAGGTAAGTTGACGGAATGCGATAATGCAACGAAGGCACAAGACTAACAACACACCTTTAGACCTCGACCTGTTCTTCCAGTACGTGCCCAAGTATATGCAAGCGGCCGTCACCCGGATGAACAAATACGCACCTTCCGGCTTCACATTCAACCACAACGACACCTACGCTATGCAATCCATCTGCGCGTACGAAAACGCCTACATCGGCTCCAGCGAGTTCTGCAGCCTTTTTACCGAAGAGGAGTGGCAAGGCTTCGAGAACACTCTCGACATCGAGTACTTTTACGACTACTCCTACGGTCAGCCTACCGGCCGAGCACAAGGCTTGGGCTATCTGCAGGAATTGCTGGCGCGTCTGACGGACCAGTACATCACGTCGAGCAACAGCTCGGTCAACTACACCGACACGGACAACTCCAAGGACTTCCCTCTCGGCCGGCCATTCTATGCCGACTTTTCGCATGACGATATCCTGGTATCGGTGATGACCGCCATGAGCCTCGATTACTTCCGCGACCCGCCGAGTCTTACCGAGTACCCCCCGAACCCAGACCGCCACTTCATCCTGTCGAACATGACGCCTTTCGGAGCGCGTTTGATTACGGAAGTCATTGGCTGCGGCAGCGCCGACCCAACCGAGCAGAAGAGCTTCAGAACGTGAGTCGATATGCCCTTCCCACCCTCACCACTCGATCCTAACTGATCCATTCCAGTCAATACTACCCAACAGAATACGGCTACAACCCATCCAACGCCACCAACAAATTCATCCGCATGCGTCTGAACAACGGCATCCTGCCCCTCGACACCATCCGCGGCGGCAAATGCAGCGGTCGCAGCGATGGCCTCTGCGGCATGGAGGACTTCCTCGCCTCGCAGTACCAGGCGGAGGAATTGGCGAACTACCAGTTCAGCTGCTTCGCCAACTACACGCTGAAGAATCCCACCAACGGCACCGATTACGACGGCGCGGTGAGCAAGAACTCGTCGACGATCAATCTGTTCCCCGGCGAGCTCACCGCGAGCTACATTGATAGCCAGGGTTTGTAAGGATGACGAGGGACGGCAAGTGTATATATGGGTGGATGGAGAGGACGTAGGACGACGTAATGCAGTGTAAATAGGAAATCACGCTCTCTTCTCGGTCCGGTTGTATCACGGACCGAGCCCTTGCCACCAGGCGATCATCTCGCGCGGAACCCAACCGCGCTCCTTCCCCGGAAGGCAACCCCACTCTGCCCCAGGTTCCACCTTGAGGGGTTTGGAAGTCCAACGTCACACACTTTCTTCTCACATATATCAACTAAATCGCCAGGTCTACTCTGTACCCCGGCATCGCCACATCAATAACGCTGCAATTGGCCGTGGCAACATAACCTCCACATAGCAAAGAGACACAAGCAGTCGTCTCCCATCTTACCACCATCGCCCATCGCCAAACCAAAAGGAAACCACCATGCCCCACGCCGAAACCTACACCGAGTTCCGCCCCTCCGAATACCCCCCCTTCCCCTCCAGCCCCGACTTCCCCACCGTCGAGCTGTCCACCATCTCGCTGCAGAAAATCCTCGCCCACGATGCCGCCGAGGAGGAGCGCGTGCTAGAAGCGTGCATGGGCCGCGGCTTCTTCTACCTCGACCTCGCGGGCCCGGAAGCAGGCGAGACGATTCTGCAGGGCGCGGAGGACGTGGTGCGGGTCGCGGAGCGGTTCATGACGGGCGTGCCGGAGGAGGAGAAGTTGAAGTATGCCATGCGGGATGGGGTGCTCTTTGGGTGGGTTATCCCTCTTTACTCGTTCGTTCGATATGACATACTGATGGAAGGAATGCCAGATATAAATGCCTTGGCTCTACAGTCGTCGACAAAGCAGGCACCCGCGACATGGCCGAGTTCTTCAACGTGGGCAAAAACGACATGATCGCCGAGCCGGGCGCGCCCATGAACCGCGAATGGCCCCCCCTCATCCTCGACAACAAGCCCCTCTTCGCAGCCTACTCGCGCGCCGCCCACGGCATCGGGCTCTCCATCCTCGACGTCCTCGCGCGCAAACTCGGCATCGACGGCGAGGAGATCCGCTCGCGCCACCGAATCACCGAACAAGCCGGCGACCACGTCCGGCTCACGCGCGGCCCGCCACGCAAAACGCTCGAGATGCCTGAGATTCAGACGCCGTCGCATACGGATTTCGGCACCATCACTGTGCTCATGAACTGGCTGGGCGGGTTGCAGGTGTGGTCGGAGTCGTCGCGCAGTCTCGGCTCGCTCGAGCCCGACGTCCCGGGCGAGTGGTTGTGGGTGAAGCCCAAGCCGGGTCACGCGATTATCAATCTCGGCGATGCAATGGTCAAGTTTACGAATGGCGTGCTGTGCTCTGGTAGGCATCGGGTGATTCCCTCGCCAGGCGAGCAGGGCAAGTGGCCGCGGTACAGCGTTGTGTATTTCGTGCGGCCGGAGGATAGCGCGCGGCTGAAGACGTTGAAGGGCAGCGGCGTGCCGCCTGCAAAAGACATGGATGAGGAAGGCGTACTCGCAAAGGAGTGGATTTTCCAACAGGCGAGGGCGCTGGGAAGTAAAGAGCTAGGGGACAAAGACAAGAAATGAACTCAACACTGCTTTACGTATTTACGAACAATCTCATGAATCAAGTTCCATCTACCCCCGCCGATAAAGCGTAGCAGGCACATGCACCTGTTCATACGTCTTGACATCCCCCGTCGTCAACAAATGAATATTCTCCTTGAGCGTGCGCGTCTCGTGCGAAGCAGCGTGCGCCTCGACAGACTCCCACCCCATAACAAGCACATTCGCCCTGCCCCTCACCCCCTCCTTCTCCACAACCTCATGCGTAGTCCCATACGCCCACCCGGAAACATTGACATCCTCGTTCCCAATCAGCCTTGTGATGAGCGTTTCGGCCCCCTCAAAGGCGTTGGCAGGCGGCGCGCCGTCGAAGTAAAAGGTTGCGACTTGCGTCACTTTCGCTGACAGTGCGGCTGCTACACCGCCTTCGGGTAGGAAGTCGACGTGCACGACGTGCGGCGTGCCGGTGTGCAGTTTGGCTAGGTGCGAGCGGAAGGCGGCGTAGGTGTCTGCTGCCGCTTGGAATGTTTCGTGCGCGGCTTTGCTATTCCAGTCTGTTGCGATTAGTTGGAGTTCCTTGGAGAGTTTGAAGGAGAGATACCGACCGATGAACAATTGCAGCATCTCGGGCTTCTCGACTGCTGTCCCGTACCACAATTTCTGGAAGCCCGGTTGGCTGGCCAAAGTGTCGTTGCATTCCTTCAGCACCGCTGCAGCGGCACTGTTGGGGTCGTTGATGTCGGTCCCGGGTGCGAGGGTGAGGGTGCAGATTTCCGTTGTTGCAGGCATGATGGGCGTGGCAAGGCTGACGGTAGGAAGGGAGTGAATTCGTTGGTTGGATAGAAGGCATGTTACACGCCTTCACTTAAATACATCCTCTGCGCCATAATCAATTGGAGCGTTCGCTCATGATTCCACATCAATTGGAAGCCTGCCAAGTCTTTTACCTGCCGCATTATAAATCTATCAAGGTGGATGTACAGGCGCAAGGTGTGGTTGACAATGGCTTGGTCAACTCGCTGCTATATTGCCGCTTTGGGCTTAGCCGTGCATCAGCCGCGGCTGAGATCATCTCAGCTTTCCTATAAGCTCTGCCATCGATTCCCAGTGTTCCCTTTTCCGGACCGCGTCGCTCGCTCTGCGTCTCAAACCAAACTAAAACTCAATCAAACTCTCCTCCTGAGCAGCAACAGCCACAGGCGCATGCTGCGGCGCAGCAGGGAACGCCTCCTGCCCATACCCACCGCCCGCATACGGAGCCTGTGCTTGCGGCCATTGCTGGCCCTGCTGCTGTGCAGGCGGTGCGGTTTGGTAGTAAGCTTGAGGCGGCTGCTGCTGCTGCTGTTGCGGCGGTCGTTGCTGGTACGATGCCTGTCGCTGAATCTGCGGAGGAGGAGCTTGTTGGTTGAGGGACTGTTGACGCTGAGGGTGCTGTTGTTGCTGGGGAAGGTATTGCTGTTGGGCCTGGGGTTGAGGAGTTTGGTGGTACATCTCTGGACTCGGCGTTTGTTGCTGCGTGGACTGGTCGGCAAAGTAGTAGGCTGCGTTTGGGTCCGCTTGAGGCGAGGTCACGGGCGGGTTGGAGGCTTGGGAGGTGTGCGATGGGGCGTATTGTGATGATGCCTGGGAGTAAGGCTGCGAGGATTGTCGGTGGGGGGCTTGCATGTGGGATTGTTCGTAAAGGCCTTGCTGTTGAGGCGGTGGTTGGTTCGTGATATAAGGTGATTGGTTTTGTGGCGCTTGGGCCTGGTTGTAGTATGCGGCATCAGGCGGGGCAGCATACGCACTCACTCGTTGCTGATCGAACGGCGGGTACGCGGCTTGGGGTTGCTGCTGATAGCCTTGCTGAACTCCATACCCATCCATCGGGGCGGCATTTCCGGTGTAGTAACTCTCCATGCCTCCAGCAGCCTGCGGTGCTGGAGCAGAGGGCAGACTCGGGTACATGCCAGATGGCTGAGGCGCGCCATAGCGACTTGAAGTGTAGGCACTGGCCATTCTCTCCTCCAGCATTCGATCGTAGTATCTGACCACAGTTGCCAGCTTACTGTGCAGATCGAGAAGGGTGTCGTGTTTGCTCATCGTCTCTCCGTAAGTTCGTGCCAGTTTCGGTCTCAGGGTGCCGATGCTTTCGTAGAGCTCTTGAATCTGTGGCTCGCGGAGGATAGTCCCTGGTGGTTGATGCTGCAATCGATCTACCAGCGTAGCGAAGAGATTGATGTTCTCGGCCTCCACCGGCGTCAGCTCGAATGCGTTGTTTTGTTTGTATTGGTTTGTCGTGGAGGCGTTGGCGGCAGAGGGTGCCGAAGTTTGCTCCTTCAACTCCTTTGCGTGTCTCTTCTTCTGCTCCTCCATATCTTGCAGGCTTGCCGCGATGGCAGCTTTCAAATCTGCATCCTCCTCTTCTTCGGGCTTCGTTGAGCTCTTGCTTGCACCATTCGTCTGTGGTTGCGGTTGTTGTCGTAGCTGACTCTGTGGTACGTAGCCGGAGCCGGAATGTCCCTTGCTCTCCTCCAGACTCATTTCCAACGCTTTCTTGAGATCGGCATCGAAGCCGTCCTCTACCACTCTTGCTCCTCGGGGTTGCATTCGCTCATTCCCTCTGTTGCTGCTGCTCATCGCCGAGCCCTGCCACAGCGTCTTACTGCTATCTCGCGGGCTATGCGGAACAGCTGCGCCTCGATTGTTCTTTTCCGTGAGCTTGGCATAACAGCCGTCATCCACTCTGACGGCCTGCATGATGCCCAGATGCGGAAGCGGAATGTTCTTCGAACTGCACGTCCCGCAAAAGACATTTCCACAATTCCGACAGTGATGCTTGCGGTTGGTGAAGGTGAACTTTTCCCGACACCGCATGCACACGTCCGAGTCGGCCCATTCGGGGGGAGCGTTGGAGTCGAGCATACTGCTCGCCACGTCTTGTCGGGGAGGGAATTGGAAGCCTTCGTGTTGGAGAGATCGGTAGGTCTCGGTGATGTACATCAGCGTATCTCTTCCAGCTGCGCCGCTCGCCCAGTTTTGAATCAACTCCAAAATCTTTGCCTTGACATCCGCATTGACCGGTTCGGATGGAGGGAGTCCGTAACCGCCACCGCCTGCCTTGGCCAAGCTGACGAGATTGTCCATGAACTCCCGACTCGCAATCTCCTGTATGAAGTGATTGCCTCCATTCTTGACGCAGGTGTCGGTGAGATTGAGCGCGGCGATCTGGACGTTGGGATTCTTGTTGCCTATGCGCCGCTTCAGACTGCGCATGGCCTCCTTGGGCTGGACGGTCTTGCTGCGGATGGTGTCGGAGATTTCGAGGTTGAGGGCGATGTCTTCGAGGGAGGAGGAGGTGGCGCGCTCGATCTGGGCATCGAGGTCGCTGTTGGCGCTGTTGCCAAACCATGAAGCCATGGCGGGCGGTAGGCGGGGGTTGGGATCCGCGCTGTCTGCCTGGAGCGACTGGATTGCAAGACCGCTGTCGAGTGGGAAGAGGACGGGAAAGTAGACAGAGGCGTGTAGAGGGGATGGAAGGGTGATGGGAGTGGCGGGTTTGTAGTGTGGTGGAAGAAGAGGGAATCAACGATGCATGTGGCTTACAATTCCAAAGCTCGTGCCTGGCCGGGCGTCGGTGATTGATGAGAGAGGAATGGCGTAGCCGCGCAGCTTCCCGCACAGACCATCCCCGACCTCCTGCTGCCTCAGGTTGCACCAGTACGAGGGAGAGGTACTTTACCACAACCCCTCCTCCTCCTCCACGGCCACTCCTTCACGTCTGATTACATCGGCAATGGAAGGCCTCTCCAGCTGCCCGTTGATGAAGCTGCCCTATGAAATACGACAATCCATCTACGACCTCTACTACGCTGAAGCCTCCGATCTTGTCTTCGGCGTCACTAACAGTAACCGCCTTCGCGTACATCTCTGGTGCAAAGGCCTTCTCAGTCTACCCCTGGTCTGCAAAGAACTGTATGTCGGCTTCCCTCGCTAATCCCTCCTCCCAGTGCGCTGATCGGAAATATGCGCCCAAAGATACGCCGAAACACTCCCGCTCATCTATAGCCAGCCTTGCCTCACTTTCCACGGATCCTTGGCATTGTCCCTGTTCGCCAAGAGCGTTCCGCGTCAAAACCTCGCATGCATCAGAACCCTCCATCTTATATCTACGCCCTTCAAGGAAAGTCCGCCCGCCAAGGGAAGTCCCCGCAGCCTGGTGAATGTCGAATGGCTGCAAGCGTGCGGAATCCTCGCAGATCTTGCTGGACTTCGACGCCTCGAGATCGCTGTGGATGGAGGTGTCTATTTACTGGACCCAACGGACCGATATGGAAGGCGCAGAAGCATGCCTGAGCCATCTGAGAAGATATTCCGGAGCGCGTTCGATCCACTCGTTGCCATTTCGGCCCCCGTCGACTTTGACGTGTACCTCTATTGGTCGAAGAAGCCCGCCAAAACGCCCTTTTTCGATCATCCTGTCCCATTTCGCCTTTGGCACAACAATAAGCAACTGCAATAGAGGCGGTATACTGCTAACAGCGGCCGTTGAACGGCACTCGAGTCTTTTGAAACCTTGGGTGGAGTAAGATCGGGCATGTCTTAGGTCGTGTGGTCGAAGGCGGTGTGCATTAATGATTAACGAGCTCAATCTCTACATCTACGAATCGCAAGACATTCCCTATCAACATTTCCCCTCTAGCTTTGCTCGGATTAACAACCATGGCGTTATCATTCCGATCACACATGTTCCTTCCCGAACAGGTAAAATGCGTCGGCTTACCTCACCTCAGTCCGAGTGAATGCTCCGTGCAGCTTCCCCACCAACCACCTTTCTCAAGACACCATCTCTTCTTTCAATTGAATATTCTATAACAGCCGCAGCGCTCGCGATTTGCACTCGTGTAATCCTTAATCCCTCCTTCAGCAGTGTGTATAATTGGAAACTTGCCTTGGCCCGAGTCCAGACGAAATGTATCAATCCAAATGGGCACCCAAGCCCGAGGAAGAGGAAAAAGTACGACCTAGCCGCATCTTTCCTCACCTCTGCACCCGAGCTAACAAGCATGCCCACAGTCCTCCTCCCTCTCCGCAGTAGCCGCACCCTTCTCCCCTGCCGCGCCGCCGCCAGACGTCTCCAGCAACGACTATTTCGCCCAAACTGGGCCCTCCGACAATGACCTTTTCGACGAAGCCACACCCGTCGATAATTCGATGCGAGTGCGCTCTGAAGACGACTTATTCAGCGACGAGTTTACGCCTGCTCAAGAACCTGTGGTAGAGCAGCATATCCCGCAAAGAGGGCGAGGCAGAGGAGATGGGCCTCGAGGACGAGGACGGGGGAGAGGAGGCCGAGCAGGCGTGCAGACGCAGCCTCGAGATAACACTACCACACCTTCATCCAATGTACAGCCTACACCTACCGAAGAACAACCTCAAGCACCCCAACCAGACCCCCCCGAAAACGCCCCCAAAGGCCCCCGAAAAGACACACTCCCCACCACCACCACCACCACCACCACAAGCACAACCACCACCCCCTCCGTCCGCGGCAACCGCCAAGCAACAGGCGGCACCCCGAAACCCAAACTAACAGAAGCCGAGCTCGAGGAGAAAATGGCGCGCATCCAAATCAAAAACGCCTCCCTCACAGCCGCACACGCGCGCGCAGAAGCAGACGCCGCGTCGTTCGCGCAGCGCGAAGAGCAAGCCAAGACGGTGAGCGTGCAGCGGCAGCGGGAGGAGCGGAGGGATCGGCAGCAGATGATGGGCGAGCGGGAGAAGAATCGGATGCGCAAGTTGAAGGCTATGGAGGGGAGGGAGTGGGATGCGGAGAAGAATGAGGAGGATTTTGTAAGGGGTGGGCGGTTTGATAAGAAGGGGGGTGGGTTTGCGGGGGAGCAGAGTGGGGAGGGGCATTCGGATGGGAGGGAGTATATGTATCGGGAGCCGAGAGGGGGACGGGGGGGTGGAAGGGGCGGTGGGCAGAGGAGAGAGCAGCCAAAGGCGCCGCCGAGACCGGACGAGTTTCCTGCTCTGCCGAACGCGAAGCCTGCTGTTGTTCCTACGGTGCCGGGAGGCGTGGATCGAGACGCCGTGCGTTCTTGGGCGGATCAGGTGGAATCTTCGACGAGTACGTGACGAACTGGCCTCTCAAGCTTCAATGCAACACCCCATAAGGTTGCACCTACTCTCCTGAATCCTCGCTTCGACCGCCGTACTCCCCGCTGTACTGGTATATCTGCCTGACAACCCCGCGCATCGCCCGCTTGGAACTGAACAAGCTCGCATGATTGAAGTCTTCAAACAACACCGCCTTCAGCAAACCAGTCTCCCTCTCCACAACGGCGTTCCCAAGCCTGTCTTTAGCCGCATCCAACTTCTTGGCCGCAATATCTCCATTGGGGGAAGCATGCGAAGGTTCCGAAATAAGGTACTCCCACACGGCCTTTGTGGGCACAATGATATCTTGTGCACTTAGTGTCACCGTCAGGGGGATGTTAGCGACGTCTTCTCTCCACAGGATGTACTGGGTCCAGAAGAAGCGGCGGGCAAACGTGTGGCTGATCATCATGTCGCGCGAGGAGAAGTAGTGCAGCATGTACTCGCTGGTGGTGGTGGGATCGCGTCTAGTCTAGAGATTTCGCAGCGAGGTGTCAGCTTGCGGTTCACAACGAGGGATAGAGGATGTGAACTCACAAAGTTGTAAGCGACATCAGGCCAATGCAGCAAGAAGCAGATTGGATCCATGAGCACCGAGGCTTTCACTCGCCTCTCAAATTGCGGATCGCGAAGAATGCTCGCGGCAATCGCGGTGCCATACGAATGCCCGACAAGCACAAACTCCTTCCACCCATGCTTGTCGAGGATTCTCCTGACTTCTTCCCGCGTCTCATCGGCAGCGAGAGCAGGAGTCGAGATGCGAGCGCTCACCGGAAGGAGCTCGAGCGCGATGATCCCGACCTCGCCTTCGCCATCGAATGCGGATTGCTGGCGGTTCATTTCCAGCAGGAAGTTGACGTACGCGAACATGCCTATTCCCACGCCGTGGATGACGAGGATGGGCAGGCGGTGTTTGGCGGTGTGCTCGCGATACCAGTAGGAGAATTTGGTGTCTGTCTGCGCGGCTGTTCCGAGGATTGCTAGGGGTCGGATGGGAAAGGTGGACAGCGAGGGGAGAATCATTTGTCGGTTGAATTGGTAGTTGTTGAAGAGGAGTATGCTGTGGCATCCTAGGTCGATGACTCCCACGATCTACGTTGGCGTGCTCGGGTCAGCGTGTGTACTTGCGGTGATAGAAAGGGTAGATTGACTCACAAGATACCACAGCAAAGGCCGATGCTGCATATGAACACCCTGCATCGTCCCCCTCAGACTCTGTGCCTTCCCATAGCCCTCCTCAAACGGGCGATCCAGCCTCTGCTCCAACTGATCGACATACCCATCCAGCTCCCGACTCTCCGCCTCATCGACATCTCGATACTTTTTGTTGAGAAACGACCAAGCGTAAAACTCCTTGAGATTCTCCCGCTTGATATCAGCAATGGAAGCGCCATGAAACCATCCCGAGAGGTAATGCTCCGTATCGGAGACGGTATCCAGACATCGCTGGAACAAAACGCGCCGTTCGGCTCTAGGTGGTGGCGGTGGATGCGCGGCTTCGGATTGTAATGCGCTGCTGAGCGGGAGGTAGACAGAGGTGTAGAAGACGGTTTCTGCAATTGCCCAGATGGAGAAGGGGAGCAGAGGGCTTCGGAAGAACTTGTGCGGGCGGAAGACGGGCACGACGATGCAGTACGCGATGCTGGCGGGCGTGATGAGGCGGGCGACGATGATGGCCGTGCGGATCACGGTGTAGTTGAACCACGAGTCGCGGAGGAGCATGCCGGCTTTGTTGTCGCGCCTCTGATGGCCGACTTCTTCTCCTGTCGTTTATTTGGTCAAAGCAGAACGTTCAGCTTTGATTCCATGGATGGGTGTTCAGTATGTCTGCGGGCGTCTGCCTGGCGTAAGGCGGCAGAATGGTTGAGCCCTCGCAAACTTCCCAACCACGGGCAACGTCACATGCCATTATGTTGGCACATTTGGCACATGCGCAGAAATTTCACCCATTAATGTGAATGATAGATGAGTAATAATGGGCACAAATTTTTCGGTTGAGTATTTCGAGCGGCAAGACCTGATATCAGGCGTATGCCCAAGCTGGTTGCCATCCCTTGGTCCGTGGTATCGCACTCATGGTTACAAACGTCGATGTGTTCGGTTAGACCATGGCAGTGGACTGCAGTGTCCATCGCTCGAGAAGCACATGTCCTCGTGGATGTTCGTCGATCGCTTCCCTCCGTGCATGAACGACCGCAAACTCTCACGCCACGCTTCAACAAAGCCTTGCCCAGCCTTACGACAGCTCAAGACGAGCTCGACTCCTCCGTACTCCCCTCGCTCGAACCCTCCGTCGTACTCTGAACCCCCTTCTCATCTCTCCCAACACCCGCCAACGCACCCATCCCCCCATCCCTCCCCATGGGCCTCAACCTCGTCTTAATTCTCGAAATCCACGCCCGCAACTTCCCCTGTGCGGAGCTGTTCTGTTTCTCTTGCCGAGTGGGCAGAGGAGTGGCCATCGGTCGAGTGGTTCGAGAGATATTTATCGATGTAGAAGTCGCGTTGCGAGTCTGTCATGTCCAGATGCTTCAACTTCCGCACTGGTAACTCCACGAAGTCTGCCATCTTATTGAAGGACACGATGTATAAGGAAGAGTAGCGACGAGTGAGGAAAAAGAAGGCTTTGAGCAGGAAAAGAAGCATGAAATATGAAAGAAAGAACATGTTTGCCGTGACGGTGAGGTCAGAGACACTTGCCGTCACCCTCATGGCCAGGTCTTGAGACTGAATGAGACAGTTCGAGAACCGTCCTGTGGTATTTCCTTCACATCTCAAACGTCTCGAAGCTCGTGTCGACTCAAACGTCTCGAAGCTCGTGTCGATATGCAAGTAAGATCGCAAACAGCCCCCGTCATCTCCCATGCAGAACATTGTAACGCTCATGCATCCCTTAGCCATCTACCTCCCCACAACCTCGCGAAACACCTCCTTAAACACCTCCCGACTCTTATAAAGATTCACAAGCCTCAACCGCTCATTATCCAAATGCGCCGAATCACTCGCCTGCCCACACGGCAAATGCGCGGCGGGGGCCCCAAACTCTTTTTCCAAAAAGCGAATCGCAGGGATGGACCCGCCTTCCCGGATGTACAAAGGCTTTTGCAAAGGTTTGGGAGCTGGAGGAGGCGCAGGGGGGATTTCGGTCACCGAGGCTCCGCGTTTGCCCGTACTGCGGCGCTTCGTGGGAGAGCCGGTGCCCTTTTTGGATGTCTGGGTGTGTGTGAAGTCCTCCAGTTTAGCGTTTACTTGGCTCATTGGGGAGAGAGGGGAGGGGGAGACGGCGCTGCCGTTCGCGAGGTCGGAAGAGGTGGTAGGCGATTTCTTGGCGGCGAAGTAGCCCGTTGCATCCTTTGATGGCGGCACAGTGATGTGAGGCGGAGCGATGGATGAGCGGCGTCGGTGAGATTGATCGATGGGGCCCCAGACGCTCATGACGGCGCGCTCGAGCGTTTGGAAGAGCTCGTTCGTCCAGTCGCCCAGCCAGGGCTCGGCTTGGTGGTCGATGGTGATGGTGAGGGTGTTGTTGGAGTCGAGTTTGAGGAATTCGGATTGCAGGTGCTCGACCAGGGCGGTGGCGACTTTGTCTGCTTCTTGGTTGGGTACGAGGCGCATGGAGAGGGCGGCGCGGGCGGAGCGGGGGATGATGGTGGCGTTTTCGGGGCCGGAGGTGTGGAAGTGGTGGAGGGTGAGGGAGGCTTCTCGCCAGCGACGCATCAGTGATTTCGCGAGGGCCTCGGGATCGCCTAGGTCGGGGTTGCGTTGCACCAATGCTGTCGTGATGTCGGTGTAGAGCTGCTTCTCTTGCTGCGTCAAGGGCAAGATTGGATCGTAGAAGCCGGGGATTTTGACGTCGCCGTGCTTGCCGGTGAGCTTGCTTAGCAACATGACGAGGTCTTTCAGACTCTCGTCCAGCTGCGCACTCCCGTCTACACCAGAGTGCATATCCGGCCGGGCGCTGTCAATCTGCACCTTGGCATGGATCACTCCGCGTAGACCATATGTCAGGCAAGGAATGCGATCGTCAAGCCAGTAGCTGTTCGCCAGGAGGATCCAATCGACGTCGCCAATCTTGTCCTTGTTGGCTCTAATGGCCTGTTCGAAGCCTCTGCTTCCGCTTTCCTCTTCGCCTTCGATCAAGAAGATCACATCAGAGCCGAGTGCTTGCTCGCTTCGAAGTTCGGCACAGGCGAAGATGGCAGCCATGATGGGGCCCTTGTTGTCGCTGGTCCCTCGGCCGTACAGATAGCCGTCAATGCCCTCCATTTGAAAGGGATCGACGATCCATTTGCCGTTCCAATTCTCTGCGGGCACGACGTCGTAGTGGCCATAGAACAGGATCTTTTTACGCTTCCCCTTGCCGTTGTGCGCCGGGTTGCCCATGAATTTGGCGAGGATGATGGGGTTGTAGGAGTGGTTTGGGTCGGCTTGTGTGCTCAGCATCTCTGTTGCTGCACCGAAGTTCTTGAACACCGATCGCAAGTATGATGCGCCTCGACGGCAGTCCACAGCGCAGTGCGGATCGGAAGAGACGGTGCGGAAGCTGATGAACTTTCCCAGCGAGTCGACGAGTTGCTCATTGCTCGTCCGCGATACAGTCATTGGGATTGTGACACAATCGCTCACATCCCAGACGGCCAGCGTATTGTCGTTTCCGCCCGTGACATATATCGGGCGTCTTCGATGGTAGGTAAATGCACTGGTGAGGACTCTTCCATCGTGCGCTTTCAATCGACTCTTGAGATTGTACTGTCGATCAAACTTGCGCACGTAGCCGGTGATTGCAGCACTGAACATGAACCCGCCGCCCACCAGAACAGTCTGCACATCGTCACGATGAGCCTTTAAGTTGCGTATGAGTTGGCGGGTCTCGAGATCCCACACATCGACTTCTCCGCCCGATCGACCGGAGTACAAGAAGGAATCGTTGAGAGAGATGGATAAAATGGAATGTCCCTCTTCCCGTCCATCTTCCAGATCGAAGAGCTCGGAGGGCGCACCAGTCTCGGGATCGAGAGCCCAGACCTTGACCACGCCATCGCCTCCACCAGTCACCAGCACCTCCTGATTGGAAGCAGATCCCGGTAAAGAGCTTGCGAGCAGCATGCAATACACATAGCCGTAGTGAGCGAAATGGATGATGTTCTGCCTGTCAATTTCGATTGTCTCGCCTCCAGTTGCGTGTCTGGGTACATCCTCAGCATCCAGCGGCCGAGGTGTACGCAAGCCAGTAACGCTCCTCGACTCAAAGAAATCATCATCTCTTATAGCGACAACGGCCGGTTTCGTAGGAGCTGCATGCGTCCCCTTCTTATCTTCCCGACACCATTGTATCGACGTATTCTGCGCGCCCATGTACACCGTCTGCAGCACGCTGGAGTGCGCGACGCAAAAGATATCGCCGACATCGTAGGAGGAGTAGAGGCAGCTGTGGCGGGTGTAGTCTCTCGTACGCCAGACGTTGACAATGCGGTCGCCGGCGCTGGAAAACAGCAGGGAGTGGTCTGCATTAAGGCACAGGCCCAGCACGCTCCCCCTGTGGCCTTCGATGACGGCTTTGCGTTCGAACGTGCGCAGGCCGTAGACGAGGATTTCGCCCGCCTGCGTGCCGGCGTAGATGTATTCGTCGCTGAGCACTATGGCGAGAATCGAGCTGGTGTGTCGAAGGCGGTGGGTGAGGATGGGGAGTTGCTCGTCTTGCCTGTCGCCGATGTCTTGGCTGGGCTGGCGGGTGAGGATGTGAGGGGAGGCGGGCAGGATGTCGGTGTCATTGTCGAAGACGGTGTTGTGTGGGCGAGGGGAGGGGCGAGGTGGAGGGTAGTTGCGTGCCAAACCGTCTCGGTGGCCTAGCGAGGACATGTCGGGGCCGTGGTGCACCAGGTGGGCTCATGGCTGGAGTGAGGTGATGGGAGAGAGCGTGAGTTGGGGAGATGTCAATCAGAGCATGGTTGCATGGCCGTTCAGACAGACGGGATGCAAGCGAGGTGGTGGAATGGACAGCACACGAAGCCCCGCGTCGCGGACACGAATTCTGGAAATTGTTTGTCTGTCGTGATCACACCTGTCCGCCCGATTATGACGACTTTGGAGGATTCGGGCGATTGCATTCATTCATGCATGCACGTACCATCCCGCGCAAGCAACAGGAGTGAGATGAGATGAAGACGCATCTGCTGTCCAAGGCACAATCGGGCTTTTGTTGTCCTCGCATACAGACTATCAAAAAAACATCGCTAACTCGTATCCATCGTCGTTGGTATATCCCCGCAATCTAAGCCTTCGACTCCTTCACAGGGTCGCTGTCCTGAAACTTCAAACTGACACTGTTGACACAATGCCTTTCGTCAGTGGGCGTCGGGAAGCCCTCGCCCTTGAACACGTGCCCCAGATGTCCGCCGCAGTTGCTGCACACAATCTCGGTGCGCTCCATGCCGAGAGTGCGGTCGGTGTGGCGGGTGACGGCGCCGGGGATGGTGTCGAAGAAGGCAGGCCAGCCGCAGCCGGACTTGAACTTCTGGTTGGCGGTGTAGAGGGGGGCGGCGCACGCGGCACACGCGTACACGCCCTCGGCCGGGTAGTGCTTATCGTATTTGCCGGAGAAGGCGGGCTCGGTGCCTTTTTGGCGCAGGATTTTGAATTGTTCTGTGGGAGGATGAAATGTTAGTCGCTGTGCTGTGTTCTCGAGGGTGGGTGGAGATGCATACCTGGGTTGAGCTGGGCGCGCCATTCGCTGGAGCTCTTCTCGACGGGGAAAGACATGTTGCGGTTGGGTGCGGTGGAGAAGAGGGAGGACAATAGAGGCATAGACAGGCGTGGAGGAGGCTGTAGTGTTCGGAGGGCGGGGGTGAGTGGCGAAGAGGGGCTTCGGATGGTGGTGTTGCTGAAAGTGTAGAGTGCTCTGATGCAGGTCGGGAGAGAAGGGAAGCGCATGGAGGGAGGGCCTTATATGTTGGCTGGAGTGGAAGCGGATGGAGCAGGGTGGATGAGGTGATGTGGCTGATGTCGAGGTAGCGCTGCACGTCTGGTGGATGTTTTGGAATCGCCTTCCAAATGCCCGCGCGCCCGCGGTCGGCTTCGGAAAGACGTCATCAATATTTGCTGAGTCAAGATCAGGTAATGCTTTGCTCATGCTTCCGCATCCGCGCTGGAAATAGCCAAAAATTGACTACATCGTAATGTGGATAGTGAAGAGGATGGAATGAGAAGGAAAGAAGAAAAGTAAATGGTGTAGTAGAGCGTGCATGACTTCGTGAATCGTTCGAGCTAATCTACACGCGAATTGATGGACCCCGACCAACTCCGAACAACCCGAATGGCACTCTTTCGTAGTCGTCCAACGTATACCTCACACTGATGTTGATCTCGACGTGACAATGATATAGATCAACGTCAAGCCGGTGAGGAAGATCTCCTCTCTGGCCTCCTGACTCTCCGCCTTGGTCCCCAAGAACTCCACCTTGCCGAGATTCGTGAAGATCGATGGACCTCTCGCCGTCCACCGCGCAACTGGCAGACTCTGCTCGTCAAGAAGGACGTAGTAGATGTCGCTCCAACCGCTGTGAAACGTCCAAGTCATCGTGGCGCCGCCAAATGCAGGAGAGGCATAAGTGTAGTCGGAGCTGAACCGTTTCTTCAACTGCAGCTCCAACGCTTGCCCGCGCAGCTCGGCCTTGAGCGTGCTCTTGAACAGGCTGGACTGGCAGTGTCCAATCTCGGCATCGTCGTTTGCCGTTCGCATGAGCACTTTGGAGCGGAAGATGGTGGGCACGTCGAGTTCGTACAGCGTGGTGCCGGTACTGACGTCGTTGACGAGCGCCTTGGTCGATTTCCAATTCTTGTAGGGGATGTCGTAGGTTTGCACGGCGGAGTCGGTGATGTATGAGGGGAGCTTTGTTTCTGTCTCGGGCTGGGCTGTGGATGGGGCGACTTCTTTGGTTTCGGTCGTGGCCTCATTGGTTTCAGCTGCGGTGTCCTTGCTACGCTTTGGTTTGAGCTTGTTGAGCATGTTGATTGTTTTGCACATTGACTGAATGCAGTTGGGGTGTTTGCAGGTAGAGTAGAGGTGATGGTTGAATAAATCCACAATCTATGCTGAAACCAACCCTGTTATATACCTGGTCGTTGTCTTACTTCTTGGGGCCAAGATCAATTGAGGCGGTGGTTGTAAATACGAGTACGAACGTGGAACGACGCAATACGATTGGCTGGCACGTGGGAGTGCGAGCACTGCCTTGAAGATCTTCACCTTCAGCTTTCAACCCCAATGAGGATAGATCGGCAGTGACACAGGCTTTGATCATCATCACCTATCGCGTGTCATGAAACTCTCGTTGCCATTGCACCAGCCTTCCACACGGCAGGGCATATATAGCACGCCCTCACCCTAACCTGTAAGTCGAGTCGTGGGTGAAGGAGGCAGGAACTCTTCCGGCCGCCAAGCGGAAAGACTCCGCATTCTCCCCCACAACCAGCGCTCCAAACCCGCATCGCCCCCTCCAAATTGCGGAGACTCTCGAGCTCGGAGGGGTCCAGCCACGAGGGCCACGCGAACAGATACACGAGCCTTGCTGCATTGGGCAAGCCGAATCCAAGCGGTGCACGCCGCATAAAACCCAAAGACAATCACGCCCTCTTATCGTTGCCTTTCCGCTCCCTTCCCAATCCATTCCCTTCCAACAAGTAAAGCGTCCAGTCGTGCAAACATGTCGTCCAACTGGCAGAACCTCGCCAAGACCAAGGTCGACTCCGTCCTGAACCTCATTCCCAAGGAATGGCGCATCGAAAAGGTGCCGTCGGTGGAGGAGCAGCCCGATGTCACCGGAAAGTACATCCACCAGTTCCTCTCGCACCAGGAAATCGAAATCACCGAGTCCGACGCCGTCAGCATCGTCGCCCACACCAGCTCGGGCAAATGGAAGAGTGTCGATGTGGCAAAGGCCTTTTGCCATCGTGCCGCCCTCGCTCACCAACTCGTCAACTGTCTGCACGAAATCTTCTTTGATCAGGCCATTCAATCCGCCGAGGCATTGGACAAGTACTATGCCCAGCACAAGGCGCCTATCGGACCCCTTCACGGCCTGCCCGTCAGCTTGAAGGATCAATTCCACGTCAAGGATGTTGAGACGCACATGGGCTACATTGGCTGGATCGGCACTTTCCAGGGCCAGAAAGGCACCGGGCGAGAGCGCAAGTTCGAGAGCGAGATGGTGCGCGAGCTGCGCAACCTCGGCGCCGTGCTGTACGTCAAGACCAGCGTCCCGCACACGCTGATGATGGGCGAGACCGTCAACAACATCATCGGCTACACCCAGAACCCCAAGAACCGCCACTTGTCGGCAGGCGGCAGCTCAGGTGGTGAAGGCGCGTTGATCGGGTTGCGTGGAAGCCCTGTGGGATTCGGCACTGACATCGGTGGTTCCATCCGTATCCCATCAGCTTTCAATGGCCTGTTCGGCATTCGACCGTCGACCGGCCGCCTTCCATACCAGGGCATGGCGAACACAATCGAAGGACAAAACACCGTGCTCTCCGTCGTCGGGCCCTTGGCCACCACCCCGGACGCCCTGAAACTCGTCATGCAATCCCTCCTCAGCACCAAGCCCTGGTTCTACGACCCGCTCGTGCACGAGATCCCCTGGCGCGCGCAGGAGGAGAACATCTTCTCGCACCCCTTGTCCTTCGCCGTGGTCCGACACGACGGCAGAGTAGCGCCGACACCGCCCGTAGCGCGCGCGATCGAGAAAGTCGTCAAGATGCTCGAGAAGCGCGGGCACACCGTGATCGAGTGGAAGCCGACGCCCAGCCAAGACGAAATCAACGCCATCTGCTTCAAAGCGTTCATGTTCGACGGCGGCAATGACTGCCGCGATGCCTTGGACTTGGCCGACGAGCCGATGGCAAAATGCTGCTTGATCCCCCCTCGCGGCCCGCAAGCCACTGCGATGGATATCAACGCGGTGAACGTGGAGAAGCGCGAGGCGCAGAAGGCGTACATGGACTACTGGAACTCGACGGCCGCGCTGACGGGCACGGGCAGGCCTGTAGATGCCATTATCTCGCCTCTCGCGCCCTTCCCCGCGGCTCGACCGGATGGATACACGTACTACGGCTACTCCACGTGGGTCAACATGCTCGACTACACCTCGGTCATCGTGCCCGTCACGCACGCCGACAAGCACGTCGACAAAAAGGATGCGAATTTCAAGGCGGTCGACGAGGCCGACCAGCAGACGCAGAATACTTGTAAGTTCCTCAATTTCCCCGCAGCCTTCCCTCCGTTGCTGCTAGTGCTGACGCGGGTTCAATGACAGACGACCCCGAACTTTACGATGGGGCGCGCGTGAGCGTGCAGCTGACGGGCCGCCGCTTGCAAGAGGAAAAGATGCTGGCGCTGGCCAAATACGTCGGCGAGAACCTGCACGGGCGAGCGCATGCCTTGTAGTCAAAAGTTACACAGCCAAGATAGTCTCCTCTATCTACCACGTGAAAAGCTAGGCAGTCCTTACTCCTCAACCTTCACAAACGTGCTCTTCCCGTGAAAATCAAACGCACTCACCGGCACCCCTAACGTGCGCAAAATGCAATACGCCGACGTGACGTGGAAGTAAAAGTTCGGCATCGCATAATCGGCAATATACGTCTGCGGGCTGGCGAACTTGTACGTGCCCATGGTGCGCGTGGCCATGATGACGGGCTTGGCCTCGAGGGCATTCATCGCCTTCTCGTCGATGCTTTCGAGCAGCTGGATGGTGGCTGTGATGCGGGCTTGCAGTTCTTCGAAGGTGCTCTCGTCGTCGGGGAAGTAGGTGTCTTTTTCCACCAGGCCGAGGCGGAAGGGGAGGAATTTGGCAGTGTTGGAGCAGGACTGGACTTGGTAGGCGAGGCTGTGGGTGGGCGGTGCATTAGTAGAGAGGGCTGTAGGAGGGCGGACGTGACTGACCCTCGCATGTCGTGAATGAGGCGGTAGTTGATCATGTACTCGTGCTTCATCTTCTGCTGCTCGGCGTAGGCGAGACCTTTTGTCAGGTAGCCCGAGAGGTTCTTCATGTGCTTGATGAGCACGGGGATGGATTGGGAGTAGAGAGAGGCCGCCATTGTTGCTTGCCGTGAGATTGTAATGCTGAAGGGAAGGATTGCAGAGAGTAGAGTGTGGCAAAGCTGACGGAGCAGGCACTCGTGACACTTGGTTTTAATACCTGTACGCTCCAATTTGAGATTAATAACAAGGTCGGGTTCAGCTGTCTTCGTCTCCGAGGCACAGAGTGTTGATCCACTTTCGAGACATTGCCCCGGGGGAAGAGCTGAAATACGATGACCGTCTCTACCCGACTAAGGCTGACATGGGCACTCAGGGAATTGTCCACGTCTGCATTCTGTCTCAAGCTAGTTGCACAGCAAGGTGGTCATACATGTCCGTTCACGTCATCAGATCGCGTCTGCACCTTCATAAACCCATTGAAGAACCCCTCCGTCATTTCGCAGCCCTGCTCCGATAATGGAAAGACGGCACTGATGTACTGATCCGGGCGAACGACAACAATACACCCCTTCTCCCTGTCCACCCCTCGCTTCTTGTAGATGTCGCCAAAGCCGAAATTGTAGCTCTCCTCATCCGTAAACACCTTTTCGTAGTCCTGCAGGCCGAATTTGCCCTTGTGGGGAAGAAGTACTTCTGGCAGGTCGGTGATGTTGATGGATGTTCGTGATTGTTGCAGCACGGCTCGCACGTCAATCACGCTGTCGATGTCTTGGTCCGTCGGCGTGTACTTGGGTAGCAGCCGAGTGAAGAAGGATGTGCAGACTTCGAACAAGGGCGAGGAGTGATCGGTGGGGTCGTGCATGTTGTCGCCAAAGAGCACCATACGCCATCGGCCATCCGCCTTCATCTCGTGGCCTAAATGGATGGGTTTGGCGTCCGAAAGTCGTAGCACCTTACAGGAATGGAATCGAGTGCCAATTTGGAAGCCCGTGGCCAGATGCTGGTGCGACGTGTCCGCACTCGTGAGCAGACCAGGTCGATACCGCGTCTCAACGCCGGCCATAAAGCGACCCTGCCGAGTGAAGTACTCCTGAAAAACCGCAGGATCGATGCCGTCTTTGTCGTTAGCATCACTTTTGGGCTTCGCGGCGAACATTCGCGAGATTTCCCGGTCGAAGTCGATGAGCACTTTGGCAATGTCGTGTCGTTCTTCCGAGAAGGTGTGGAGGAGTTTGGGATCTGCGAGGCCGCGCAAGACACTTGCAAGTTTCCATCCGAGGTTGTAAGAGTCGTTCATCGACACGTTCATGCCTTGTCCGGCTTTGGCGGAGTGCGTGTGACAAGCGTCGCCTGTGATGAGGACTCGTGGATTCCGCTGATCGCGCTCGGTTTTGGGAACGTCGTCGAAGTGATCGGTCAGGCGCTGGCCAACATCGTAGACGGACCAATAGGCAATGTGTCGCACGTCTAGCGTGTAAGGCTGGAAAATGCGTTGTGCCTTGTCGATGATGTCCTCGGACGTGATCTTGCGGGTCGCGATCCGCTCATCCGGCTGCAGCTTGTCAAGCTCAATGTAGAGGCGTACGAGATACCCGCCTTCTCGCGGTATGATCAAGATGCTGCCTTCGTTGTGAGAATGAATGGCCGTCTTGAGCCGGATGTCGGGGAAATCGGTGACGACGAGCGCATCGAGCACACCCCATGCCTGGTTGGCAAAGTCGCCCTTCATCTCCAGGCCAAGTGCTCGCCGCACACCACTGCGTGCCCCATCGCAACCCACCACGTATCTGGCGCGCACCCTCTCGATCTGGCCTTGATGCTCAGGATCCAACCTCTCAACGCCCACCTCCACGCTCGCACTCTCCTCCTGCGGTATCCGCAAATCCACCATCCGCCGGCTATAGCTGGGCTCCAACCGCGTCGGACTCCACTTCATAGCATCCAGCCACAAATCGTGCAGGCGTGCCTGATTCAAAATGACATGCGGCATCTCCGACAGTCCCTCCTCTGTGTCCCTTATGCGCCCACTCCTCCTCAACCCCTTCCCATCCTCCGTCGGCGACCAAAACGTCGTCTCATTCACCCAATACGCCTCTTTCACCACCCGCTCCGCAAAGCCAAAAGCCTCGAAGATCTCGATGGAGCGGCATTGCAGGCCATCCGCTTGTCCATTCTGCAGGCGCCCCGGCTTGGCCTCGATGATGCGGGTGGTGAGGTCGGGGAATTGGGCGAGCTGTGCTCCGAGGAGTTGGCCTGCGGGGCCGGCGCCTACGATTAGCACGTCTACTTCTTCCGGCAGCGAGGTTTGGAAGTCGGGCTCGGTGGCTCCGTCGAATTGCAGTTTGAGGGGATCGCCGGAGCCCTTGAAGCCGTTGAGGTGGAATTGCATTGTATCTAGAGTGTTGGTGACATTTGGCAGGGAGGGAAGCTGGCGCTTGGGCCCATCTCACTCGTCTTACTGGGACGTTACCTTGCCCTGCTACACGATGTCCTGCGAGCCTGAGGGCCTTTTCAATATGTACTCTTTGTCATCCGTTACCTGCTCGACGCTAGTTGAACTGCCGTCTAACACTAACGCCTCGACTCCTACAGCGCATCTATAAGTCCAGGGCATCGTCCAATTCGCGCCATAGGGGGAGATGTTCATCCATAACACCTCGTCATTGTCGACCATCTGCAACCGTAGCAGAGAGCGATAGACGTCGAGTACAGCTGACAACGAATGGGAGTTCAATACCTCGAAACAATTGCTAGAGCCACCACCCTCCATTGCCTTGCACCCGCAAAAGCGCTGAATAAACTTAAGCATTCTTCCCGTCACAAAGTGGAGATATGCCACCAGCAGAAGAAAGCCTGTCGAAGGCAAAGCAAACGTGGGGAAGGTTTGGCGCGCACCCTATTGCCCACAACCAATCTCAAATCACCTTCGGGTCGGGGGAACGACATGGAAGACTCGTCAGTACTTACGTTACGTCATCCGGTGTCGATCACGTCAATGGGGATTCGTTTAAATAAAAGGCCACGAGCTGCCCCTCGTGTCCAGCATTCACTCTCCATCAATTTCTATCAATCTATCCTCCAATCTTTTCTAAACAACACACACATCATGTCCAAAGCATTCTGCAAGCACTGCGTCGACGTCCAGGAGCTTCCTGGCAAGCCCGCCGGAAAGGAGACCAAGTATGGCGGCGTCAACGCCTACGTCGCTTCCGGCAGCAAAAAGGGCACCGTGGTCGTGGCCACCGACATCTTCGGCCTCGCCATTGACAACCCCATGATCGTGGCCGACCGCTTCGCCAAAGAGACCGGCTACACGGTCGTCGTGCCCGACCTGTTCAACGGCGAGCCCATTTCCCCCAACGACTTCAAGCTGCCCAAGCACAAGGACGAGCCGCAGCCCGAGGGCGCCGACAAGAACTTTGACATTTTCGGCGCGTGGCTGGGCAAGGGCAACAAGCCTGACGAGACTTACCCCAAGTTCAAGAAGGTCATCGACCAGGCCGCCCAGGAGGGCCCTGTCGCTGCGATTGGATACTGCTACGGTGGCAAATTGATGTCGCTTGCTGGACAGGATGGTGCCGTCAAGGGTGTCGTCATCAACCACCCCGCCATGCTCGAGAAGGGCGAGGCGGCCTCCGTCAAGGTGCCGACTCTTATCAATGCATCGGAAGTCGACCCCATCTTCACCGACGACGTCAAGGAGGATTGGTTCGATACGCTCAAGTCAGCCGGCCACCTTGATCCGGCTTCGACGACTTACAAGAATGCCGTTCACGGTCATGCCATTCGTCCCGACTTGAACAAGCCTGATATCAAGAAGGCCTACGAAGACTCTTTTGCAAAATCGGTCGCTTTCTTCCAGAGAGTGCTGGCATAAGCATGGTCACGCGGAATCGCCGCTTGAAATGGCTGGTTGCGTACGATCTGAGGGACCAAAAGCTTTAAGATAAGAGACAGCCATTCAATAAATTCCAATTTCAGCCGACCAGTAATGTCCTCGTTCCTCTCAAACGTCATGTATCGTCATTATAGAATGTTTGCCGTCAATTGGAGAGAAATATGTGACAATATAGTAGCATCACAGGTCGGATCAATCGCGGAGTTGCGAGAGATGTGATTGTGGCCCATGCTCAATGGCATGAGATGCGCCGCAACTGCCGGCCGGAGCACTTCTCGCCCTCCGCACGGCTTCCGTGTCGATTTAGACTCACTCTACAGACCATCGTCACTCAATTCCTCGAATCGGCCCTCGTCCACCGCCTGCTGCACGGGATTCTTCACATCCACCACCCCCGTCGCCTTCAATCTCTCGAACAGAACGAAAAGCTTCTCTGCCTCTCGCTCCTTCTCCTCCTGCGTCATCTCTGCCTCCTCGGGCTTCTCCGCTTCCTCAGCGCTAAGTCTCTGCCCAGTAATCGGATTGACGCTGTCGGAAGAAATACTACTCGCCTCCGTAGCGTTGGCGGGGATTTCGATGTTGTGGCTCATGAGGAAGCCAGAAGCAAAGCCGTAGCCGATGTTTTTGACGAACTTGTTGGCGTCCTGGTCGCTCATTTCGAACAGCAACATGGAGATGTTTTCGCGTAGAGTTGGCAGAGTGGGAGAGCAGGATAATCTTAAAAGCCGTGCTGCCATTGTGTCGCCGACGCCCAGAGGCTTGTCTCGGTCCCGGTCGCTTGGGAGCATGATCCATCGCATCCACTCCTTCATTTGTGGAGCGGCGAGTTCGTAGAAGCGGCGGATGAGGGTGCAGAGGGGTGCGGCGGCTTGATCCAGGTCCTGTTCGGGCATGGTCACGATGGCTTTGTTGAGTATGGAGGTCAAGCGCTCCACGACCTCCTCGGGACACTTGTAGGGGAAGAGCGGGCTCGAGTAGGCATAGGGTCCGACGGGAGTCTTCTTGCTGGCTGCCCCGAGGTCAAGATTGAGCAGTGCGTTTAGGATGTAAGTGATAGGTGATTGCAATGGTGGCGTTGGTAATGGGTGATTTGTTAGAAGGCTGGCCAGCGGTTCAACAGATGGCGTGAACTTCGGAATTTGATCGGGGTAGTAGTGAGTGACATTAAACAGCAACTTGAGCGTCTCCACGAGGGATTGGTCTTCCATAGCAGAGGCTGCTGATTTTCGCCGCGCTAGCTTGGATGAGAATGCCTTTGCGTGACGTGATATGTGCTGGTTGATACTTTCGGCCAGCCCATTATTCGTGATGAGCGCTTCAAAGTCGAGCTTGGTGTTGTACGTAAGAAGAAAGAGAATTCTGGAGATGAGAAATTCGTCGTCGCGGTCATTGATCTTCAGGCGCTCGGCTGCCTTGCTGGCATATCCAATGTCGACAAAGGTTTGTCGAGATGGTTCGTGGAGCAAGAGGGCGTTGGCAAGACATCGTAAGGCTTCGTGAGAGGTGGATGTACTTTTCCCGTTGTTGTAATCGAGGCCATAGTTTGACAAGACTTTGATGCCCTTCTCCGTGAATATCGGGCCTGCTGTGTCGGGATTGCGACCAAAGATTTTAACCTGGCCGAGAATGGCCTCCACTTCTGCGAGAGAGTGAGTGGGCGTTGATGAGGAGTTTGATCGATCTACCACAAACCTTTGAGCGACAACTTGGCGCTTTCCATGTTGCGGTCGAGTTCCAGTAGGAGCTGGTCGATTTGTTGGCCGTCTAGTTCCAACTTAGCAAGCGTTCGAGGCTAGAGTGGGAAAATAGAGCTCACTGCTGATACCGCTGCCAGACATGTCGCCGGACGGGCGCATTGCCAACATCTTGGACAGCAATTGCGGCTTCACCTTTGCTGGAGGAGTCTGCGGGAAGAAGGTCGTTTGCGCAGCGGTGAAACAATTTGCCAGCGCATGCGGTAGGTCGTGTGAGAGGATGGATGCGCGAAGTTGCACCCCACCAAATGCATTCGGGAGCGCATTCCGAAAAAAGCACGCTAGTGCTGCACCCTTTGAACCTTAAATCACGTCGCGTCACCCGCCTCACCTCGCCTCCAACCTCCCTCCCTCCCTGTGTCCATCTCGACATACACCCTGCACCAGCATGGTATTGCTTGTCCTGGATTGTGCATCTTCTGCGGCGTTCGGGCAGAGGTAGCCATGTTGTCTGTTGCGTCTTCTCCTCTTGGTCGATTGCCACAACGACCTCCAACGCCTCCGCGAGAGGTCGCTAAAGCAGTGGACGATGCCATCGCTTTGCTCGATGATAGCAATGAAGTCGAGCGCGCCTTGAATGGGCAGAGCGTGCTGAAACTCCCTCGCGAACAGTCCGACGACTCTCCGCCTTCCTCACACGGCAGCTCCGGCAGCTCCAACACCGCGAAGAAGGTCGGCTTCTCCCTCACCACCGCCACAATCGATCCGGACACTTCACGTCTTTACCCCACTCCAGGTAGTCGAGGCGCGAGGAAGTCACTCTCTTCACGCCATTCCAAGCCCATCAGATCGATTCTCAAACCATCGACACTACCTCCCACCCCCGACACCACCGAATCCAAGCGCGCAGTCTATTCTCCCGACACTCCGGGGAGCTTCTCCACGATGATGCAATCCATCGTCCAACAGCTGGCCGCGCCCGCTCGAAGCGTCAAACTCGATGCGTACCTTGCGCTCAACGGCGTGTTGCAGACTTACGATGGCGTGCCCGACGCCGAAGCAATGACCGAGCACAGTGCCGCCATGATGCAATTCCTTACCCGAGACATGATGTGGAGACATGAAGAAGGCAATCTCGACATCCAAATCATCACCCAATCGATAAAATTGGTCTGTGCCTTGCTCTTCGACCCCAAGCTTCGAGAGACCTTGGACGATGATTTCAGAAACTTCATCACCGATCGCGCCCTCGCCGTCCTCGAGGACCCTGACATGCCCAAAGCCCTGGTGAAAACACACATGTATCTCCTCGCGATGCCGGCGCTCCGCTCACCAAACATGACTCCCGGCAAGATCGAAAAGGTGTTGATCGCTTTGAGGACCATCCACGACACCTGCAGCGGAAACAATGTCATCGCAACCCGACTCGTCATCTATAATCGCATGTTCGACCGAGATCCCCACACGATGCTTGCCCGAACTGATGACTGGCTGGAACATCTGTTGCATGGAATGCTCAGCAGCATCAAAGAAGTGCGCCTCCGAGCGATCGAGACTTGCACTAGAGCGGGCATGGTCTTTGGCCAGCAACCTCACGCGGCAAAGGCGCTGGATGAGCTGTTTGAGTTTGAAACCGTGGTGGAGGATGGGGTGACCTATCTCGATTTCTTCAAGACACAGCTTCTGCAAATGATCTCTGACAAGGAGATTGGGCCGTGTGTACCTCAGATTTGGGCCGCAGTCATCTTGTTCTTCCGCAGCAAACGGCTTCCGTTGGAGAAGTGGACGAAGCTCAAGTCTTGGACCTCCATCATTCAAAAGTGTCTAAATTCCAGCGACATCGCGATCCGATATCAAGCTATCCTGGCCTGGAACAAGATGGTCTTTGTGATCATGCCGAGCGCAGCCACGACGACTCCGATCATGGCCATGCTGAAAGTGCCCATTACCACAGGACTCGAGAAGAAAGGCAGCGACAAGTATTCACGGCAAGTGCGGCATTACGCTTTGGACAGTTATTGCAATCTTCTGCATTACGCCTTCCGACCGGGATTGTCACATGAGGAGATTGACCGAGCTTGGGAGGTGTACGTTGAGGGCGCTCTCTCCTCCATCGACACGTCCACAGCCAGACGGGGCTTCAATCTGTGTCGAGTACTACATGGCTTACTCAACGGGCGTACTGGTGTGTGGAACGTAAATGCGGCGCCTGAGCAGGTGGTCATCCACTCGGCGGATCTACCCAAACTCGACCCTCGATGGGTTCGATCCCGCTTGGACAAGGTGCTTAGAGTGCTTGAGCCAATCATTGCTGCAGACATGTGGTCGGCAGCGGGTGCAAGTGAGGCGCTGGACGTCACCTGGTACTATTTGATGCGCGCCATTGCCGACGCGGGCAATCAAGAGGTCAAGACCTCGATTGAGCTCAAGCAAGCACTCGCGCTTCTCGTCAACCTGTTCCGCAGATTGTGGTATGGGCACGGAAATATACCACAAGGCTGCGAGCGGAGCTTATGGCTGAAGAAATATTTCGCACGACTTGACACCATCATCACTGCAATCGGCCCTGGACCATGTACCGAAGAAATCCTAGCGGCCGCCGACAATGATACCATCGAAGTTGCTCCGACTCCGTCCCACAAGCCGAAACGACAATATGGCCCGACGCAGTCCTTCTTAGGCATACTGTTTGCGCAGTTTTACTCTCCACCAGACGCTATGCGCATAGACGATTACTTTGAGGATGCAGCATGGGCAATCCTAAAGAGATTGACCTCTTCACAGCCTGGCTCAATCACGAAACTCGCATTGCTCGATAACAGCTTGAAATTCGCAAGCTGTGCACCGAAGTCTTACCAAACTCCCCTGGTCAAAGAACGACTTTGGACTGCTGCAGCTCGAGTTGCGATGCAGCTCTTGAGTCCGGAAACACCAATAGCTGGCGCATCAGAATCGCAGAGCGCCGGCCATGGTCTTCGTCATGCTCTCAATGTGCTCACTGCAGGCCTATCTCTACCGAGCACATCCGCGACGACGTATGACCTCTACAGCTCCATCTTTGAAGCTGCACGAGGCTTGGCTGGTGATGCTGGCGTTGTGCTTGCTCTAGTAGAACCGTTTTCCAAAGCTCTGACCAGCAACTCAACGACCATAACCGTGCCCGATAGAGTCGAGTTGGCATGCGAGATGCTCACGACAGCACCATGGCCGCGCAGTCGTCAAGACATGGATTCGGCACACAAGGCTCTGTGGGGGGTAAGCATGGCATCACTCAGATCACCTGTTTTCGATCCGTACAACTCCCTCTACACATTGACGAACAACCTTTCTGCGAGCCTCTACGATGGAGTCGATACCGACAAGCGTCTGTCCGCGATCTCTCAAAGCTTCTTCACTGCCACTGTGGACTTTCTTGACCGAAGCCCCATCTCTCAGCTCGTTCTTGCACTCCGCAGGACTCAAGCATGCCTTACTCCGTGGATCCGAGATGCTTCTCGGAAGACGGACATGAGTGAGGAAATGTCGGGATCTGTCAGTCCTCGTCATCAAAATTGCAATGCGTCCATGCTGATTTCGTCACAGGTCTGTGGGCTCTGGTCTGGTATTATCAAATTGCTCGGCAAGCTGCCTAACACGGACACGACCCTGCTCAAAGCGATTGATCAGCTTCTCGTCGCAGGTTTGACCAGTCCCCATCGAAGTATTGTCAATTCAACAATCATCTTCTGGAACAATACGTTTGGGACTCAGGAGACTCTGGAGTATTCTGTCGAGCTGGAGAAGATTCTTCGAGCCCGCGCCATTGATGCAGAGATCACTCTTCCTTCTTTGTCCGACAGTAACATAGGAGAGGCTGTCGCAGTGCTGCCGGAGTTTTTCGAATCACAGAACGAAGCGCCCGCCACCTCCCTGCCTGTCCCGCAGTCGATGGGCTCGGAGAAGAGTCATTTGCTCGCAAGTCCTTTCAAGCCAACAGCGCGAAACTCGCTTGTCAAATCTCCCCTACAGAAAGCCGTCGGTGCCTCGAGTCCGGCTGGACACAAACCCCGAAGATCCGTCAGTACGACGCCCAAAGCACGCCTGCGACATGACGATTCCCAAATCCAATTCGAACACATTGTCGACTCTTCTCCTCTCCCACAGGAAGACGAATCTCAGCTATTGACGGAGCATCAGAAAGAAGTCAAAGCGCGGCAACACCAGAACGCACAACTGTTCCCCGCCTTCTCGTCAAGCCCACAGGCCCAATCGACTGCGCTGCAGAAGAATGTGCCCAAGCGACTGGACTTCACTGCTCAGCTTCAGGTGTTGCCAGAGGACAGTGATGCGCAAGGGACCCCGACTGCGCTGCCAGAGAATCCTGAGTCGAATGATGACGTTCCGTCCTCACCCACGCCTTCTTCCAAGGGCAATAGTCAGACCGCTATCGAGGTGGACGTTGACGACAATGAGGCCGAGGAGGAGATCGCCGAGGATCCACCATCTTCGCCTCCTCGTGCTGAACATGCAACAGTGCTCGCCTCCACCGAAAGGAAGGAAGAGAATGACAACGATCATGGCCACGATATCGATGGATCGACTACCGAAGTCATGGATTTTGCATTGGCCAATGCTGGTGTGGAACGTGAGCAAGAAATCGGTGTGGCGTCGGTTGTGCCAGGCATTGAACTCCACGACGCTCAACCACTCGAAGCTCTTACGGAGCTACACTCTGACACGGACTTGCCTACGATTCAGCTTCAGCTGGAAGAAGAGGCAGCATCTGGACCGCTCAACGTGGACAGTGGCGCACGAGAGCATTCCACAAACGAAGGACAAGCGGTGTTTGACAACGACGAGCCAAGCCAAGTCGCGATCATGGACGAAGACAACGAAGTGACAAGGGTCGAAAACTCCTTTGTGATAATCGACAGTGCAGAGACACCGGGCGACTCGCAGTCGACGGATGGCAGTCAAAGGTCAACTCGCAAGCGAAAGAGGACGACATCCACGAAATTCACGACGAAGAAGCAACGCAAACGCGAGTCGCCGTTGAAGCGCATCGCCTCCTACATCTGGGGCCAAAGCCAGGAGGAGGTCGACGAAGACGACGAAGACATTGGTGAGGAGATTGTGGTTGCAAGCAGTCAGAGGATGCCGTCGCCATCGCCCGAACCAGCAGAGCCGGCGGTGGAGGCGTTGTCCATTCCGATCACACCGATGCCTCAATTCGAGGTTGAAGCGCCGGATGTGATTGTGAAGGTAGAAGTAGAAGAAGAACAACCGCAGGCTCTTGTAAAGCGAGGGCGTGGACGTCCGAGAAAGCCAGAAACTCCTGTTGTCTCCATCGGCGAGACTGGACCTGAGAAGAGACTCAAGCGAAAAGCATCCACGCTGAGTAGCTCGAGTGCAGCATCGGACGAGCAGACGTCTTCAAGCATCGTCAAAGCTACGCCGGCTCCGAGCAAGGCTAGAAAGGCGCGAAAAGATCAAGATGCGGGAGAGTCACGAAGCCTACGCACTAGGAAAGTGGCGGCGGTGGTGATCAATCGAGACGAAGTGGTGGACAGCCAATTTCTTGCCGAGACAACTAACGTGGAGGAGAACAATGCTGATGAGGGTGTGGAAGACGTTGGGGAGCCTGCATCTGCATCGCAAGCAGAGACTACGAGAGCCATTGCGACGCCGAGAGGCATTTTGAACCGCATGCGGGATGCATTGGCCGATCTTGGGGGACTTATTCTCGGGTCTCAGGAAGAGCGGCAGTTTGATGATCTGCTGTTTGAGTTCCGCCGGGAGGTTCATGAGGCTGGTCGGCGAGGGAGGGGAACTTAGAGTTGTAGGGTGAGAAGATGAGTTGATAGCTTACTCTAAGGACTAGACCATGATCTCGTTGCACCGATTGATTAGGCCGAACGCTGTTGAGGCTGTAGGGACCAAATTAGGCTGAATTGATTGACTTTGACCCCACGTGCACTCACAAGCGTTAAAGAGCTTGAGCTCAACATCGCTTGACGTCGCCGCACTTGCCGATCAGAACTTCATCCATTGAATTTCGAAACACGTTTGTCCACTTTTCTCTTGTGCTACCGGCCAACGAAATTCCTCCCTCCAAAAGGCCAGCAGCACAAACGTCTAGCTGTGTCTCAACTTCCTCTCTTTCACCACCACATCCCAACCCCGCACATCCCCACGAACCATGGACCGCCCAAACAAACCCGCCGCCCTCTCCCCCTCCTCCACCGGGCCCCAACCCACCGTCCGCAGCGACAAGGGCCGCGTGACTGCCACCCTGCCTACGGGCGACTCCGTCGAAGTCCTCACATACGGCGCGACAGTCATAAGTTGGAAGAGCGGCAGCGGGCAGGAGAACTTGTGGGTGAGCGAGGCGGCGAAGCTGGATGGGAGTAAACCCGTGCGCGGCGGAATCCCGGTCGTCTTCCCGGTATGTTTCCAAGGGGTGTATGCGGTGTCGACGGTATGCTGATAAGATGGTCGTAGTGCTTCGGTCCCCCGCCTAAAGACCATGCGACTGGAAAGCTGCCTCAGCACGGCTTTGCGCGGAACTCGCAGTGGGAGTTTCTCGGCAAGTCGTCTTCGGAGTCCGGGGCATCGTCAAGCAAAGCAGATGATTCCGTGACGCTGGATTTCGGCCTGTCCACTGCGCAGCTGAGCGAGGAGGCGAAGAAGGCCTGGCCGTTTGATTTCGGGCTTGTGTACAGCGTTACGCTGGGCAAGGGACGCTTGCAGACGATGCTGAATGTGCGGAACGAGGGCAAGACGAGCTTTGAGTTTCAGATGCTGCTGCACTCCTATTTCCGCGTGGAGGTGAGTTGGGATTCTCAGCTTATGAAGGCCGCCGCTGTACTGACGTGTACACTCTCAGGACATCTCTCGCACGGAGACTCGCGGCCTTGGAAGCGTCACGTACGTCGACAAAGTCCTCAACGCCACCGAGCACCAGCAAACCGACCCCAACGTGCGCATCACGGGCGAAGTGGATCGTGTATACAAATCGATCAAAATCGACACCACGTCGATTGTGGAGGGCGGACAGCCCCGTCTCGACATCACGCGCGACAACCTCGAGGACACGGTGCTGTGGAACCCGTGGATTGAGAAGGCGAAGGGCATGGGAGATTTCGAGCCCAAGGACGGGTATAAGAAGATGCTGTGTGTGGAGGTTGGGGCGGTGGAGGGCTGGCAGAAGTTGGAGCCGGGTGATACGTTTGAGGGCGGGCAGATTGTGAAGAGCCATGTTTAGATGTATTCTTCATCGTGCGGAAACTTCGGGCGAGCATGGATGGGATATGAATTTCGGCGGCCATTGCCATAGTGCAGGCAGGTATTTAGACAGCAGCATAGCATCCTCTCGTTCTCTCGACCATGTATCTCAGCGCCATTCGAAAGTGAATTGAATGATGGCATTGATGGCATGTGAAATGCTGACTCATCGCCCAAAACGGCAATTACGACTTTTTGCACCTTTCACGAACTTTTTCCTGCTCGACAACAAACCCCAGCGACTGATGAGTGCAGCAAAATCAGGCCGTGTTTATCAGTCGTCTCCACAATGGCGGATAACAAGGACAACGCGGCGACAAGCCAAGAACGCGCCGTAGGCATCACAACGCTCGTTGCGCCCAATGTGCCTGGCTTTCGATGCACGATCAAGTCTCGCTACACCGATTTCCTCGTCAATGAGATTTCACCGGAGGGCAAAGTGCTGCATCTCACGGACCTGAAGCCGAAACGCCTGGAGCAGGACAAGGGGAAGAAGCCTGATGGGAATGCTGCGGTGCGATCCAATGGTGTGGAAAGCGCTGGCGATGCGAAAGTTGCAGACGAGACGTCCGCAGGCAAACGGAAGGATCTGTCCGGCGAGGATGATGGAGTTCCTGGCGATTCGACTGCTCCTCGTAAGAAGCAACGACTAGATGAGGCGAATGGTGCCGATGCAAGCGTTGCAACCGCAGACGCCTCCAAACCCGTGTCCAGGCAGGAAGTCATTGCCGCAATCGCAGACGCCGATAAGGAAACCATCAAAGACATCTTCGGCGAGGAAAAGACAAACGCAATCCTGGCCCTCTACGCCAGCGTCCTTCAGCACCCAGATCGCAAACCACGTGACCACCCCTTAGTCAAATCAGATGTCATCCCGGACAAGGCAAAACGCACCGAAGCGCATGTCGCCGTCCGTCGCATCTTCTCTTCCAAACTCGAAACAGCAACAATGCCGGAGACGCCTGGTGTGATTTCCATCAAAGCCGCATCGACCAGAGGACCTAGTGGCGCGCGCGCTCCGATAAATGTGGACGGCAGCGGCGCTTTCCAGAAGGGCAAGATTGGATGGAATGAGCTGGGTGGCGAGTACTTGCATTTCTCGCTGTACAAGGAGAACAAAGATACGATGGAGGTGCTGTATCACATTGCTTCGAGGCTAAAGGTGCCCGTGAAAAATTTCCAGTTTGCGGGGACCAAGGATCGTCGGGCGGTGACGGTGCAGCGTGTGGCGATTTTCCGGGTGCATGCTGAAAGAATTGCGGAGGTGAATAAGACGGCAAGGGGGTGGAGAGTTGGAGACTTCGAGTATAAGAAGCATGGGTTGGAGCTGGGAGAGTTGAAGGGGAATGAGTTTCTGTTGACGCTAAGGGACTGCATCTTCGATGGGGAGGAGGCCTTGGCTCACGAGCAGCGATTGGACCTGGCGCGGAACGTGTTGGAGCAGGCGACGAAGACATTCGCGGAGACGGGCTTCCTGAACTACTACGGCCTTCAGCGATTTGGGTCTTTTGTCACTGGCACGCACGTCACTGGACAGAAGATCTTGAACGGGGATCTCGAAGGGGCCATCAACTCCATCCTACATGTCCCCGAGCATCTGCTTGAGGAGCAATTCACCGCCGAGATGGACGGGAAGAAGATCCCTCAAGACGACCTTGACCGCGCGCAAGCCATCAAGCTGTGGCGAGACGGGAAGGGGAAAGAGGCCATGCAGAAAATCCCGAAGAGGTTCCAGGGTGAAGCCTCCATCATCCAATACTTGAGCAAGAAGGATAAGAAGAACGGGAAGCTGATGCAAGAGAACGACTGGCAAGGCGCGCTGACGCAGATTCCTCGCAACTTGCGCCTCATGTATGTGCATGCGTACCAGAGCTTCATCTGGAACACCGCTGCGGGCAAGAGATGGGAGCTGTTCGGAAAGAAAGTGGTGGAGGGAGATCTAGTCATCGTGGGCGAGAAGGATGACATGGCCGATGCAGCCAAAGACGAAGTCGACGAAGACGGCGAGCCCATCTTCCATCCGGCAGAAGACGACAGCGCGCCCTCAGCGGAGGAAAAGTTCACGCGGGCGCGCCCATTGAGCAAGGAGGAGGCGGAGAGCGGCAAATTCGACCTCTTTGATGTGGTCTTGCCACTTCCGGGCTATGATGTGATGTACCCCGGCAACGAGCTGGGCAAATTCTACGAAGAGTTCATGGCTTCCGAAGCTGGTGGGAACATCAACGCGCATAGCATGCGTCGCTCCTGGAAGGACATCTCCATGTCCGGAGCGTACAGGAAACTGATGGCTCGGCCGGGGAAGGCGCTGTCGTTTGAAGTGAAGAGCTATGTTGAGAACGAAGAGCAGATGGTCGAGACGGATTTGGAGAGGATTCAGAAGCTTGAGGGTGGGGAGGGTGGTTCCAACGGCAAGGCTGAGCCTTCTTCGGAGGGCCCTGCGGCGGGAATGAAGAAGATTGCGGTCGTGTTGAAGTTGCAGTTGGGAAGCAGCCAGTATGCGACGATGGCGTTGAGGGAGCTGACCAAGGGGTACGCGGGGAGTTTTCAGCCAGAGTTCCTGAGCAGGTAGCAATAAGTAGTCGTGAATACCTGCAGCGCTGAAGTACCTCGAAGGATAAGGTAGCCTGTCCCTTCCCAACGCGGCAACGATACGCTCCTGCCCTTTGCGGAATTTGCCCTGCGCCAGTCGCGTGCCCCACCATTACCTCATCCTTTGTGATAAAAAGTGTCTCGCCGGGTTACATCTGAAGTCTCGCATTACTCTGCAATCCTGTTTACCACCCCCAACGGAAGAAGAAACCACATCAGAATACGCAAGCCAACCACACACAAGACCCTCACCATGTCTTCCGCAGCCATCCCCACCTCCACGGCCGTCGTGGAATCGACTGTCATCCGGGCCCCGCTGGCTCACGTTTGGCATTGTACGTTTCCAATTTCTACACACGCCATGAGAAAAGATGTCCCGCTGACATGTGCTACCAGACATCAAGCTCCAGGACTTCTCCAAATTGTAAGCACGAACAACACACCAAAGCCAGCGTTTGTCACACAAGCTTACACCCTCCTCCTTCCCTCCCCAACAGCTGGTCCGCCATCACCAAAAGCGAAACCGTCAAAGGCGCAAGCGAAGAGGCGGACGTCTTCAAATGGAGCTTCAAAGACGGGACAGTGCTGGAGGTTAAGCAGGAGGAGCATAGCGTACACATACGCCCTCCACCAGACACATCAAAGCGAGATCGAATGTACTGATTGAAACACTAGGCCATCCACCACTACATCACCTACAGCATCATCACCGCCCAGCCGGAGCTGACGTACTCGTCTGTTTTGAGCACGATTCGCTGCTACGCCGTGACGAGCGGAGAGGCGGAGGGGAGCACGTTTGTTGAGTGGACGGGGAATTTCTCGAGTGATGCTGATGCTGGTATGTTCTTGTTTGATCGTGAGGATTGATTGTGGAGATGGAGAGGTTTGCTGATGGTCTGCTCTAGGTGTCATCCAAGATGCAAAGTTCAAGCGGCGTGAGGCTCTGGCCGATTTGGCAAAGGCTGCTGCGAAGAAGTAGACGCGAATGAGGTCAATGCCACAAGAGCTGGGAACTTGAAGGAGAGAAGAGACCGTCTCGCCGAAGATAATGTCGTGGAAGATCAGTGAGACGGGAAAAGTTCAAGAGTCAAGAGGCAGATAGAAGGATAACGCAAATCATACTGCATACACCCCCACAAGGGCTGCCAAAGTCTCATGACGTCCAGTTCACTTGATGTGATCTCATGTGTGATATCACAAGTGAGGTTTCATGTCCACAGGTATCTACATATTCACTTGAGGCACTGCTGGCAGCTGACACCTGATTACTTGCCAAACACCACTCCCGCTCACCATGAGCAGTCTTTGGATTGTACAACGACTCCTTGAGCAGCAACCAGCAGTGCCAACGGCACCCCAAGCAATGGAGTCCGCAACTCTCCGGCGTTCCCGACGCTTGCATATCTACGACTCCAATGGCCGCGATTTCCTAGCAGACAGCATGGGCTGGAGTCGCTCAGAGCTCGAACAGTGGCTCACCTCGCCCGACGTTCGACCTCACCTCCAGCTGTGGTATAAGCTTTGCGTTGCTACACCGGCACATTTCAACGAGAGTATCGAATGGATCAATACCGGGGAGAACGGATACTACTACCGCAAAGACGACGGCCTCGAAGACGACTTACTCTTAATGTGCATGGACGAAGGCCTTGGCGACAAAGCAGCAGAGCCCCAGCGCCGCTCACCAGAAAACGCCGGTGGATCCACGTACGCAGACGAGCACGCCGATACCCGCGAATGGATCACGCAGGAGCTGTGGGCGAGGACGGCGTGGAGGATTGTGGCGGCGAATCGGGGCCCGGGCGAGGCGTTCGAGGTGCCTGCGCGGCGACATTCGGCGGCTTGTTTTGGGTTCGCGATTGATTTGCTGTGTGTTGCTTTTCATTCGCTGGCTTTTCGGGGGACGGATTCGGTGTATGAGGGGTTGATCTGTGGGGGTCGTCTCGGGGGCTGGGGTTCAAGGCGTGTTGATTTGCCGAAGGAGAGCAAGGATGAGGTGGTCGACGAACAGGCTGAGAACGGAATAGTGGAGGAGGAGTCGGAAACGGAGACGGAGATGTCGGAGGGCAGCACCGCTGGAGAAGACACGGAGAACGGCATATTGACCTCGCCGGCAACTAGTCTGGATGAGGCGGACATCGGCGAAGAGATTGTCGTGAAGATGCGGCTGCCCTAGTCTGTGGCACGGAGACGCCGATGAAGGAGCGAGTCTGATCATCGGGATCGTAGAGGCTCCTCCCTTGCAACAAGGAATAGCTTCGCCAGTGACAAAGAGGTGTTCATTTTGGGAAATCCCGCGCGGCCTTTCTGCCTATAAGGTCAGCCTCTCAACCAATGACAAGACCGGACGAGATGACTCTAACGAAGCCCTAAAAGCAAAGGCAGGACTAGAGCGGTCTACTCAACGTACCCTCGTCTACTTTTCCCGTGCTCCTCCGTGTCGAAATACGCAAGACCCAATAAGCTACGTGGAAGAGAAGTGGAAAGGGTACTCGGGCGGGCAGCTCGACAGCGATCCGACGCTAATGCGGCCGCGCCACCTACTTCGCCTACTTTTTCAAACGCTAGTGCAATCCTCTAGCGCGTTCGCCGAGAAGCCTTCGACCTCTCCTCCGCCAATCATCGCCGTTGCTGCCTACTTTTCTGACTTTTCAAATAGCGAGTTGCGTTTGGATGTCCGGATTGGGAAATACCACCATCTACTACGCGATGTGACTCTTGAGATGGTATTCGGGTACCGCGTCTGGAGAGCTCCAGTCGCTGACAGCTGCCTGGCCGAAGGCCTATAAAGCGGTGCTCCTCCTCTCCTGTCTCTTGTTTCTTCTTTCTCTCATCATCTCAAATGTCTATGAACAAGAAGCAAGACCAAGCCTCAAGGAAAGAAGATCTTTACACTTCTTACGCAAACTACTTGAAGACGTTCAACAACTCCACCAACAAAAACACAAAGATGTCATCGACACTCGTCAACGACACCGACAATCAACAAGGTCCCTTCTGGGACTTTGTCAATGAGCTCCAGGACCAAGGTCCTACTCATCCCTGGTTCGTCCGTTACCAGCGCCAAAAGGCTCGTGCTGCTGAGGCAAATGCCAGCGGCAACGAAGAAGGCCTTCCCAATGCCTGGAGAGATGCCCGTATCTGGACGATGCCACATCGCGGAAGAAACGGCCGTGCTCACGGGTGGGGTCATGGCGGGGGTCCTGGTCAACGTGGTCAGGAAGTCCCCGTTCAAGACGATGAAGACATGTTGACCCCGACCTCCTCCGACGGCGAGCCTGTACCGCCTACTGCTCCTGATCACCATCGTCATCATGGTGGCCGGCGAGGCGGCGCCCGAGGATTTGGCAAGGGCAGAGGAGGTTTCGGCGGCCGAGGCCGTGGCGGACCTCATGGTCATGGCCCACATGCTCATCATCACCATCATCATCACCACACAGGCGATGAGAATGGACTCTCTGGTGACGAGATGTGTCGTGGTCCACCCGGCATGGGTGGCCGCGGGCGTTTCGGTGGCCGCGGAGGTGGTGGCCATGGAGGTCGTGGTCGCGGTCGGGGCTGTGGCATGGGTCGCGGAGGCGGTGGTGACGGAGCTTCTCGCGACATCGACAACGACAAAGCAGGCGAAGTCGAGGAGACATCTCGCACTGCTTCTGCGGAGCCAATCTGTCGTCGCCCAGCAGGCATGCGTCATCTTGGCCCGCTGCCCGCCAATCCTGAGCACAACGACAAATTCACTCCGGAAACCGACTTCTTCAACCACCCCGAGGCATACATCGTCCATGTCTCGCTTCCCGGAGCAAAGAAGGAAGATATCGAAGTCAACTGGGTGGCGGAGAGATCCATTTTACGCATTACCGGCGAGGTCAAGCGCCCCGCGGATGAGGATGTGCTGAAGAACATGATCACCGACGAACGCAAGGCTGGGAAGTTTGAGAGGAGGATTCGTCTGGGCAACTGGGTCAATCCGGCTTCGGTGGATGTTGATGGAATTACGGCCAAGCTTGAGGATGGAATTTTGAGGGTTGAGGTGCCGAAGCTGGAGGCGGAATTTGTGGAGATCAAGAAGGTGGATATCAATTAGATCGTCAGGGAGAATTGGGGAATTTGACCGTATTCATTGTTACTGATTTGGTTCGGGAGTTGGGGGCTGGAATTTGAGCTTAGAATAGATACAAAATCAACCAAAAAAAGATCGCGGTGGCAGAAGTCGTTCGTTGCCTGCAAGTCTCCATGTGGTAGCGTTGTTGATCGCGTAGAGACGGCGAACATGTGGGGGTTGAGCCTTGTCGTGAACGGCAGGAAAGGCGACCAATCACAATCATTGCCACGCGCGGTACCTGGAATCATGCAGCCCGGCAGCTGTTCATCATCTCTTGGCTGCAGCTGCGGTGGATTCTCCACTCCACTGTTCCAGCCACATGGCAGACATCTCTCCCTCACATCATCAGTTGCGAGCTTTACGACGAGACGACCACCTGCACACCTGACATCTGCCAATGTTAATGCTGGAAGCGAAGGCAGACACGTAACAACCCCCCGCCAAACCCACCGACACGTGAGCGCAGGCTAGCCCGATCGAGGCGGGCGTCGCGGCGCACGGACGTTCGCTTGCAAAGCGTCACTGTTTACACACGACAGTTTACCGAACGACTCTCCAACCTCTCCGCGCGGTCCTGCACCCGTTCACACGGCCCTCCGTTCACACGGGAACGACGGTGGCTGTGTCATACATAAAACGAACACCTCCGCACCCTTCGGACGAACTGTTTTGTGTCTCACATTTCGAGCCATGCGCCGCGCGAACTCCTCCGCGTAGCAACCACCCTCCCCTCCACCCTCACCATTCAGCATCGGGCCGGCGATGCTTGAATCACTGCTACACAACCCCGTCGTGCCTGCCAAAACACGACGCTGCATGTCTTTGAGTCGAGTGTAACTCCCCGGCCTGGTTGCCCTCAATGCCCTCGCCAAAGGATGCGCGCAATCACTCGGCCAAGAAGACCCCGGATCGCTACGATGCAGATCTCGAACACGTCTTGGCTCGGAGCAGGTCGCAAGACTTCAGGTCGAAGATTGATAGCTGGATGCAAGAGGAGGTTGCTGCTGTAGAAAGCAAGCCGAATACTCCGACTCGTGGCAGTGCGAGAAGACAGGATGCGGTGCACGGCAATACATCCACTCCCCACACTCCCACCTCCGCCGAAAAGGCCAGCCCGAAGGAGGCGTCGAGCAAGAAGCCATCGCGAGAAATCGACCCCACTCGGAAGGCATGGATTCGTCGGCGGAGTAAGAGCCATGCGCATCTCACGCCTGATGCGAAGGCCGATGAACCACAGGCTCCTAGGTCGAAGCCGTCGCCGCTCGTCGAGCCCCGACTCACTCCTTCCGCCGATCCAGAGACTACACTCCCAGCGCAACGGACGGTGACCCCCAGAAGCAGAGTTATAAGCGATGACCATTGGCGTCAAGAACGCTCCGCCCGGAAGGCAGAGGCAACAGTTGAGAAAGAGGAAGTGAAGGAAGACCCTACACCCAAGCCAAAGGTGGTGCGCAGAAGTGTCGCCACTGTTGGGTTGAAGGTGCCTCCTTCTGTCCACGATTTCAAGGAAGTCAGAGAACTATCGCCAGCTCGAATACGCCCGCTACGTCGACAGCCCCGATCGCGTTCTACATCTCCGGAAGCTGAAGGTGGAAGACGAGCGACGCCGGATTATGAGTCCAGCGGTGTGAAAGTCTACATCAGGCGACGGCGAAAGTCGAAGCCATCGAATGATATGGATCGGGATTGCAAAGCTTTCAACACCTCCGAGAGCAGCTTGACTGCCCCTTCTTCTGCTGGCAGAATTGATTCGGCAACCGATCTCAGCATCCCAGATGCAACACCGACGAGGCCACCTAAACTTCGCTCCACCACTGAACCCCGAATGCGACCTCTGAAGCTATTCCCGACCATCGACACGACCCCTCCGGGAAATGTCGACAGTAAGCTGCGCGAAGCAGGCATATCGGCGGAACGCGTACGTCAACGAAGGCCTCTCGAGGAAGAAGATCGACGTCGCATCTATCAGCGAGCGACTTCGACCGGAACTGCGACGGACTCCTTCAAAATACCGGCCACCAAGGCCTCGGAGCCCCCTTCAAAGGTCTACGGTAGCCGTATCGAAGGCTGGCTAGCTAGCATGCCCGATGACCCCTTCACCGAGCCTTCCGATGCGTCGCTAGCGCCCGCAGCCCTCAAAGTACCGCAAACTAGGCCTAGGCGTGTCGATAACGCTGAGAGGGATGCTGATCGGCAGCGAAGGGGTGGAGATGTTCACCGTAGGCGCTCTCGATCTATTGGTGCCGAGAGTGACCTGCGCGAGCTTCGAAAGCCTGCTTCGGACAGTCGTATCTCCGTGGACGACTGGCTGGATCAGTCTCCAGCATCTCTTAAGCGGACCTACCCTCACAAACCGTCACGATCATTCTCCAATGATTCTCAGAACGCTCCAGGTCGGCCACATCAGAGCAATCGTCATGTTTCTGACATGACGGCGCAACGTACCGCCAGGCATCGCATATACGGCGAGTTGTCTGATCGACCGATTCCTAGTACCGGCAACCGACTTTCTACCATTGCTTCGGTGTCCTCTTTGCGCGAGCAACGCTTCAACATCCCGGAAGACAGCGTTTTGTCCAGAGCTAGCGACGGCGATGAGCCGACGAGACGCAACACGGTCAGGAGAAGCCGCTCGGTGAAGCACGATGACCTGATTTCAGTCCTCTCGCTACCAAAGGATGAAGGCCCCATTATGAATCGCGGCCGGACCGTACGGCAAAGAGGACTTCGTCCCGACAACGTCACAGTACAAGCGTTGATGAACGAAGTCTCGTCTGACGAACTCAAGTACCAGCGGGAATTGCGCACGCTTGTCGACGGCGTTGTCCCCGTGTTACTTCAATATGTCCTATCGCAAAACGGCAAGTCGAAGAGTCCGATGGCGCGCCCTGGCTTTGACAAGGGTGACGCCAGCCTCACGCAGCCGATTATCGACATGGGAGTGGTCTTGGAACGACTAAAGTCCACACATCGCGCCATCCCAATGCACGACCCGGAAGACCTCCTACGTTGGGCGCAGGTCGCTTGCAAGGTCTATTCCGACTATCTTCGAGTGTGGCGATTAGGCTTTAACGATATCGTGGTAAATCTGGCTCCCGCTGACCAACATCAACGCCCTGAAGCCTCGCACACACGCGATGATGCAGCGCCAAGGAACGCACGAAATGAAATGCTCGATGGTGAGAGTGGCGAGCGTGTCGACGTGGCTTACCTCCTCAAACGGCCACTTGTTCGCATGAAGACGTTCAGCAAAATCTTCAAAGGCATTGGGCAGATTCAACCATCGGCCATGGCCGAAGATGTAGCGAGTGCTTTTGAAGACTTGTTAGGCCGTGCAAAGCAGCGTGCACACGACGAGCACGCGAGGTTGGAAGATGAGGCCGCCGCCGCCATCGACCCCTACCGGGCGAGAAACCCTTGCAACCTTGCCCCTCTGGTCGGCGTCGAGATCCTCCCCACCAGATGCGTGCGAGCACGAGACTTTTTCGATCTGGAGTTCTTCCACTCCTCCGGGCAGCAACTCGACTGCAAGATCGAAGTCATCTTCCGCGACGAGGCCCGCAGCCTAGGCGACGCTGGCGATGTTCTGTTTTGCGAAATCTCTCCTGCCGGTCGATGGCTGCTCTTCCCGCCCATCTCTACCAGCAATGTCTCCGCTCGCAAGGGCGACAAGGATGGCGAGATGATTGTCATGATCCGCGGCCTGACTTTTGATGGTGCGGATTGGTCGGAGATGATGTCGCTGCGGTCGGATGATACTCAGAGTGCCGAGTGGATTGACATGATGGGCTCGAATCCCATGCCTCCACGCCTCAATCGTCGTTCAAGCTTCAACGTCGGGAAGTCGGCGCGAGTACAGTTTGCATCCTTGGCGCCGTCGGAGGCCTCTGACGTGCCTATTGGCGAGCAACCCACGCCTTCTGCGTCCAGATGGGAACCACAAGAGCCCACGCTGCAAGAGCGTACGACAGAGGACCGAAACGATGCGAACACCAGACCCGTGCACGCCAGATCCAAATCCGAATGGCTGCCCAGCGCCGTCCCAGCTTCACAGAATACAGAAAAGGACTATGAGGTGGAAACCGCTACGCCTCCGCGCCGTCCGACGCTGCGGAAACGCACTTCTTCCGTCCCGACGATGCAGATGCCGACCATTAGCAAACTCCGCAGAGCTATTGGGCTTGGTCCTTCTACCAGAAATGTGTCACCTTCGCCTGATGAGCTGGGTCGTGTTGAGATTGTGAAGGAGCCGACGTCTGCTCCTGCCAAGTTGCAGAAGCGGCCTTCTACGCAAGCTAGATCGTGGTCCAGGTCGGAATCCAGGACCGAGGCCCTGCCGGAGGTCCAGCCTGAAGTCCAGCCTAGAGTCCAGCCTGAAGTCCAGCCTGGAGTCCAGCCTAAGGTCCAGCCCGAGGTGAAGACGGAGGTGAAGACCGAGCTCAAGACAGAGGAGAGAGACCAAACCCCCCGCCCACTAGAAATTCCGCAGCCGCCTCCAGGGCGCAGCACCGCACTCAACTCCATTCCCACCTTCACCCCGACATTCATGCAGAAACCTCGTCGCTCCTCCTCGCCGTTGAAGCATGAGTACGAGCCTTCGACCGCCACCGAGTCCTCGGAAAGCGAGTTGTCTGATGGCGACGAGGACGAGTCGGTGACTTCGGAGTCTAGTGCTGAGGATGAGGCTGTTTCGACGTTGGGCGAGTTGCAGGATTTCAGCAAGTATGTGTCGATGCGGACGCAGGCGCAGGTTCAGGCGCAGGTTCAAGCTCAGGTCCAGGCTCAGGCGCAGGCTCAGGCTCAGGCTCAGGCTCAGATCCAAACTCGCCCAGCACCGGAATCAGTCTACTCGCCAGATGCGGATACTCTCGGTCCTTCCGAGTCTGCTTCTCAGGCGCCCTACCGAAGTGTGCCCGCGGCCAACACGAATGCACCTGCCAAGTCGGTTGCTTGTATCTTCGCTTGGTCCGAGTCTGGCGCATGGGAAAACCTGCATCCCGGAGAGTGCCAGATTGTCGTGACTCCTGGCCTCATCGAAGCGTTTGCTTTGGGGCCCGCAAGCGGTGTCAAGGCTCTCATCGCCTTGGAGTTGACTCCCTGGGTGCCTCTCCGTCGCGGTACGGCGGTGGATATCTCCATTAGGTCGCCACCCACGCCGGCATCGATTCTGCAGAAAGGGAACCACATCATGTTCCGATCGCGCAGCCCGGAAGAGTGCGAGAGGCTGTACAACGCCATCAATCGCGCACGTATCGACAATCCCACGTGGATTGCGCTGCAGAATGCACGCGGCCCGGAGCAAACGAGCAACTGGTCGGAGGTGATGGAACGCCGAAACAGTCGATCGGCCAGCAACAGCTCCGCATGGTTCAAAGCGCTGTCTCGCAAAGGCAGCACTTACCGTTCCAAAGGAACGAGATCCGCATCGATCGCCGGCAGTCAGTCGTCAGTGGGAACAACAAACACCACCTTCTCCGCTCTCCGACAGTTCGGAGGCGGCAGCAAAATCTTCAACATCGCCAAGAGCACCATCATGTCGAAGCAGAGCACGCGCAGCTCCTACAGTGATTCACTCTCCTCTGGCGCCGCCACGCCGCTCCCTATTGACCCCAGTATGGGTACGCCGATGGGCATCACCAATGCCAAGATCCGGCTGTACATTCGCGAGTCGACGGCCAAGTGGAGAGATATGGGCAACGCACGGCTGACGATCATGCTTCCGCCTCGTCGCGCCGCGTCGTCTTCTGTCCCTGCTGATCCCCGCATCACCGGGCTGGAGAAGCGTGTGTTGGTCGTCGGGAAGAAGGGAGATGCAGTGCTGGATGTCACGCTGGGTGAGAGCTGTTTTGAGCGCGTTGCGAGAACGGGGATCGCAGTCAGTGTGTGGGAGGAGGGCGTGGGGTCCAATGGCCAAATTGGTCATGCGGCTGCCACGGGAGGTGTGTCGAGCTCGAAGTCGACTGTCTATATGATCCAGATGAAGTCGGTGAGTACTGCCTATACGCCCACCGGGGAATTGATCCGGACTGACATGTTTCCCAGGAACGAGACGCGGCGTACACCTTCAGCATGGTGGGCAAGCTACGATATTGAAATGTCCAGTCCTTTATACACACTGCACGATGAATATGGGGGGAAGAGCGAGGCCTGCATGGCTTGGAGACGACATGGCTTTTTTCATTCTAATGGCATTCAGCGTTCGGCGCATTTTCGTGTGCCTTTTGGCATCGGCTTACATTGTGTGTAGCGCAGCATCTCTGTACAAACGGTCCTTGGCCGTGATCATAACATGGAGAGTCAATACCTCCCCTCAAATGCATCCGCCTTCTCCTCCACCGCCCGCGCGATCGCGTCCGCAATCGGCGTCGAACCGCCCACACAATCAATCGCCATGCCCTTCGTCCCATCCCGCTTCAGACACTCCGCCACCACAGCCGCCACATCCTCGCGCGAAATCTTCTCCGTAGTCCGCACCTTGCCCGCCTCGATCTTGCCCACGCCCGCATCCTCGCTCAGCGTCGTAGGCCGCACAATCGTCCATTCTAACCCCCGTCGCCCGTTCTCCGCCACGAGACTCCGGTCCGCCGCGAGCTTGGCGTCCATGTAGGGCCCGATTGCCTTCCACACGCGGTCGGAGCGCTCCTTGTCCGAGTCGTCGTACCACTCCGGTACAGGCCTGGCTTCCCTGTCGCGGACATCGATCGCGGAGACCATGATATACCGCTTCACGCCCGCCTTGGCCGCGGCATCCATGGAGCGAATGGCGCCATCGCGATCCACCGCGCGCGTGCGATCCGGGTTCCCCGCGCCGGCGCCGGCGCTCCAAATCACGGCTTGAGTGTTGGAGGCTTTCATCAGCTTGGCCATGTCGTCTACGCTGGAGTCCTCGATGCTTTGCACCACCGGTTTGCCGCCTAGGGCCTCGATGGAGGCGCTCTGCTCTGCTTTACGGATGATGGAGTGCACTGTGTAGCCTGCGGAGGCGAGCTGGCGGGTGATGTGGCGGGCGACTTTGCCGGAGCCGCCGAAGAGGAGGATGTTGGATGCGGCCATTTTGTTGTTGTTGTTGTTCGGAGGGGGCTGTTGGGCAGTGGGTGTGTTGGATGGACGTCGTTGATATAAGTCGGAGCGGTTGGGCTCGTGGTAGGTGGAGCGAGTGAGCAGTCGGTCATGCATGGAGTAGTGACGTGAGGCCATCGTAAGAGTCTATTCGGCTACTTCGGTTGTTTTCAAGGCATGATTGCGCGAATATCAAGATCATTTGAAGGACTGTCATTTGGAGAGATCTATATATCATCATCATGCGAACGTCAGCTACATTTATGTACATCAGGCAGGGCGCGATTGATACTCGAGCATCCATGTCATTCTCACTCCGCCTACTCCGCAACGCCGCTTTCAACTCCGCGAAGTGCCAATGGTCTCCCACTTGACTACTAACCAGCCGGTTCAGAGCTTGAGTACAGGAGACCGGACGGGATCAACTATTTCCCTCTGACCTATGAGCCGAACATACCAAACCAGGCGGAATAGGATCGATGATGTACGGTGTGCCTGCGTGTCGCAAGTCGAAAGTCGAGTACCTTTCCAGGCGTCACGGAAGGTCTACCGACCAGGGCGGGTTTCTGTCGTACAGCGATGGAATTGCGTGCTCTGTGCATGGATGGTGAATCACCTTGCCTTGGAATGAACTATTTAAAATGAGTAATGGACGCTGCGCACGAGTTCTCATAGCCAGATCATCATCTCGGTCGTGAAAAGAGACATCCAATATAGTCTCTCCTTTGTTCCTGCCAAATCACATCGTAACCAACTCCTTCGCTCGCATTCTTCGCTCAACGAGCCTCTCACAACTTGATGGCAAACTGCTTCAAGTACTCGTAGGTCTCGACGTTGTCCTCGACCGTCTGCTTGATCGTGTCGGCGGCCTCCTGTCCATACTTCTCCACCCATTCGCTGTACAGCTCCTCGTCCGATTTGGGCTGACGTTTCTACACACGGGAACCGTTAGTAAGAATGCTCATCTTCACAGCTAGGGCACGGGAGCAACTCACATGCTTCCTCGGCTTCAGATCCTTCGAGTAGATCGCGTCGTCGTGGAACCCATCCCACTTCTCAAACTGCTCCTTGGCAAACTCATGCGCCTCCTCCGAATCCCACTCGAGCATCTGCTTGGTGAAGTCGAGCCCGATGCTGTCGCAATACTGCCTCAGAATGCCCTCGGGATCATCGAGCAGATCATCAGCATCAACCACGCAAATCTCCACCTCGCCCGGCGCAGCCTTCGCCGCCCCCTCGCCCTGTCCGCACACCGCAGGGCCCACGAGCCCCGTACCCTTGCAGTAATCAAAGAGCGTGCGTAGTTCGTCATACCCGGCCTCACACGGCATGAAGGGGGAGAAGTGGGTGCGCTCGACGAGGGGCGGAATGCAGCAGCGGTAGTAGCTGGGGATGGCGTAGCGCGGGTGGCGGATGAGGAAGGTGAAGTGGAAGCGCTCGAGGATGTCGCGCGGCACGACGGTCGGGTTGTCTGGTTCCGTTGGCGTCTGGTAGGGGAAGGGGGGGCTTTTGGGCGGGCTGTCGAGATCGACGGCCGAGTCGACCGGGGAGCTCGTGCGGTACCCACCGAGGACTGCGGCGGCGTTGCTGCCTTCGCTGCTGCTGATGTTGCTGTCTGTGCCGACGCCGCGCTTGTGCAGCTGGTGCAGAGACGGGGCGAGATGGGCTTGCTGCTTCTCGGGCGGCACAAGGTAGTAGGTGATGTCTTTGATGAAGACGCGCTTGCCCTGGACGGAGTGTTAGTGGGTGTTGGAGTGGGATAGAGAGTAGAACATACCTGAGCAGCCTCGCCCTCAATACGGTCCAAGACGGAGTTGTACGTGGAATCGGCAAACCCGCTCTCCTCTCGCGATTTCTCGTCGTTCTCAAAGCGAGCGCCCATTCGTTCGGGCCCAAAGTAATAGGCATCGCCGAATGGCTCGTGGATCGTTGCCAAACTTTTGCGGCGAGTCATGAAGACCTGGCGTTTGTATGAGCAACGAACTCCCCTCCAAACTTCCAGAAACACCACTCACTCGCTCGAATGCGGTAGAACATGCCCGCGGATGCGTGGCCATAAAGACCGGTTTGTTCGACATTGTTTCAGTCGGCCGGTCGAGGGGAAAATGAAAAGCCCGTGTTTCAAGGCCTTGGATCTTTCTGCCCTGTAGAATTGGAGATAAAAATTCGTATAAACACAGTCGAGAATTGGAAACGCTGGGAGTGGTGTCTGAGTAAAGACTCAAGTAGTTGACGATGCGTGTGTACCGAGCCCGCGAGGGATATATATAAACTACACTCGGCACGACCAGCAAAGCAAGTGCCGACTCAGGACGTGGCCTCGGAGTTTCCCCAGCAATCTGAAGAGCGACGATGAGGTTGAGCCTGCCGGACCCGGTTTGCCGATGCTTGGGATGCGGCCACCAACAACGCACAGGCGGCGCGGTTGGCATTGCGAGGCAAAAACGCGGCCAAGGAAGGCTCTCGTGCATGGCGGACGGGGACCGTGACGACACTGCCCTCGCATTAGCGGCTTTTGGCTTTTTTGGGCGGGCGGGCTGTGGCTTGCGATGGCGGCGGGCGGATCGCTGGGCCAATTGGTGACGACGGTTCGCCGAGCGCGTGTTCCTGATTCTCCCACCTCGCCGTTCGCCTGGCCCCACCCGCTGCGATCGCCGCGAGACTTCGGCCCGCTTCGGCCTTTGCTTTCGCGACATGCGAGCCTCGTGCTCGTTGTCGTAGAGCGACTATAATCTTTGTACCCAGTACTTTGTCGTGCGTAGTGGTTGTGGAATAGTCAATCGTAAAGACAGTAGGGTTCGTGCCGCATCTCAGCCTGTTCTAGCGAGCCATTAGCCAACAAGAAGCGAGTGAAGTGCAGCTATAGTGAGCACGCCATCATCCTACTGCTGGAGATAGGCATCGACTTGCACGCGAATGATACACGCCGAGGCCAGGGACCAAGATCACTTGCATGGAGGATGTACGCACTCAGAGCTTTCTGTCCGCACCGAGTCGCCGAGATCACGGCGCGCTGTTCATCGTATGCATTTTATGAGACCAGGTTTAGCCCGTTTCACATGATTTCAAGTGCTCGCGCGCGCTGCTCGGGGATGTCTCGACGAGATCAGCCAACCAACCACATCTCCATCGGGCAGCATTGCGTGAGCGGCCTCCAGCTAGCTGACCATCAACCATGTGGCTCTGCAGGCGCTGAACATCACGCAATCTGTTGTGCAACCCCATGGCGCATGGCAAAGCGTAGCTGGTGGTTTTCGGCGTCTTCAATGGACAGTGACGAAGCCTTTCCCCGTTGTCGGAAGCCGGGTAAAGTCTAGAAAAGGCAAATCGCGGCCCCGGTACCGCAACCGGCGGGCGGGGATTCGCGATAACAGCGAGCGCGAGATGCCTGAGGCTCGCCAAAGGTAACTTCGGAGCCAAAAATACACGCAGCCGTGAGCGGGTTAGCGAGTTACGCATGCCCGGCAGTGGAGGGCGGAGACTTGTACTGATAGACGCGAGTTGAGACATGCGCGATATATTCTTGGTGTGGCCAACACGGAGCATGCTCCACCGCAGTGAATTGATTTGCTGCGGTACGATCAAAGGATTCTGAGCGATTTGCTAGCAACGCATCAACATTAGCATGTGAACAACGAGCCTGGCTGATATGCCTCCAACCATCTTCCATACCAGGCTAATCCGTCGTTGATTGGCGATAGGGATGGTTGCGTGAGATGGGTGGGAGCACAGGCGGCCGGAGTGACGCTGTGTTGGGTCTGCAGCCAATCTCGTCCATGTCCAGTGTTTCCAGGGCTCTGCGGACCGTCGAATAATTTCACAACATCGAATATGTCCAATCCGTCGACACCGGTACCCCGCTAGATGCTCTGAGGTCGGCTGCTGGGATCGTAGTGGCCGGGACGGGTAAGCATGGCGCCCATGCTTGTCGGTCTGCACACCCAGCCGTGTTCATCGGCGGTGTATGTTCGGTGTTTCTCCATTCCTCAATCCAAACCAGCGTTGGCTTGTCCGACGTAGAATTCCGCAGCTCCTTCGACCAACTTGCAATTATTCAGCCTCGCGGCTCATCGGGCAGCGTCCAATTATTCACACCCCACCACCATCTCCTAACTCTCGCGCCAACGCTCCGACCGCTGAATCTCGCGGCGCTATTCCAATGCCTCCATCCCGCGACAATCAGCGTCCACGCTACGCCTTGCACCAATGGCATGAAGACCTGTAACGCAACTCATCAATCATGCTGTTCTCACGAAAGTGTACCATTTCTTTAAGCAACTCAACTCACCTGATCCCTCACAGTGATATACGTGACACCCTGCCAACCCTGCGCCTCCTTGATACTGGCCAAATAGCTCTGCTCGAAACGCAGATCCGGCAGCGGCGGCATCTGCGTCTTGCGAGGCTCGGCCTTCAGGAGGGAGATGGGGATTTCGTCGTCGTCAATGTCCGAGGAGACGTCATCGGTGTCGGCGGAGTGGTCGAGGCGGACTTGCTCTTTCGAGTCGGCGGCGGTGGAGGGGGCGAAGTCGTGCTCGGGCGAGGGCTTCTTGTTGATGTGCGCCGTTTGGATGGTCTCTGCCAGTTGGATGGCGGCATCTTGGAGGCCGGGCATCTTGCTTTTGATGCAGGCCTGCTCGATTGCTCGTGTGTCGAGGGGGTGTTGATGGTTGCTGAAGCCCTTCGAGAAGCACGCCGGTGTTCGAAAGTGTAAATTGATTAAGCTTAACGCTTTAGCGCGAGCACAGACGCCCGCACTCCAACTTCCACTGGGGGGCTTCTATTCATGAAAGAGGAAACTGCCAGTCTACACCACTCACCAACTCTCCTCTTAAATTGCGTGGCCAAGATGGGGCAGGCCAACTCACAGATGCTGGACAGCATTGTCCAAGGGAGCAATTGTACGTCTACGACATGCTCACGCATCCCCAACCGATGCCCACTGACCCTTCATCCACATAGTCGACCATGAAGAAGTGGAAAGATTAAAGAAGCGATTCATGAAACTCGACAAGGTACATCGCGTCCCCTCCACTCTCACTCTTGCTCCCACCTAATCCCTCCGTCCCACCCCCAGGACAACTCCGGCACCATCGAACGCGACGAATTCCTCGCCCTCCCCCAAGTCTCCTCCAACCCCCTCGCAACGCGCATGATCGCCATCTTCGACGAAGACGGCGGCGGCGACGTCGACTTCAAAGAGTTCGTCAACGGCCTCAGCGCCTTCTCCTCCAAGGGCAACAAGGAGGACAAGCTGCGCTTTGCGTTCAAGGTCTACGACATCGACCGCGACGGGTACATTAGCAACGGCGAGCTGTTCATTGTGCTCAAGATGATGGTCGGGAGCAATTTGAAGGATCAGCAGTTGCAGCAGATTGTGGATAAGACGATTATGGAGGCGGATTTGGACCACGATGGCAAGATTAGCTTTGAGGAGTTTACGAAGATGGTGGAGAATACGGATGTGAGCATGAGTATGACGCTGGGTATGTGTGGGATATATGTGTCTGTGTTCGACGCTTTTGCTAATGTTGTGATGCAGATCAATTCTGAGCAAGAAGGGGCAGCGATGTGGCGTTTGGCGTATCATTGCATATCCCACGTAGAAGATGGCTACATGAACACTCGACCGCCTTTCCTGCAGTTCCCTACTCAACGTGCACTCAACCCATTTCGACTGTGTTGCAATCACGCCCAAGCACTGTCCATTGACAACTGTAGTTTTCAGGTAACAATATGGGTATCTCCGAACGCAACAGCTACTCAAAACATCCTCCACGCTGCGCAGCGAATCCCAGGCCTCCTAGGACAAGAGGACCGCCACCGAAACCCAAGCCAATCCCACCTTCAGGAGTCTCGCATCGATCAAAAGCCAGCCAACTCTAACCAGAGCATCCCTCGAGCCGCTCGACGAAGACCCCGAATTCGTATCAAGGCCAAGGATATTCGTGCTCCTCCCGCCTGGGCAGAAGATGACCTGAAATCCGCCGCCCTGCGGGACGACAAATGTGCTCGAGGCGTCATCGTAGGCGTAAGAATAGGCGTCTGGGCACATGGACTTTGCTGCTTTGGAGTAGTAGTTTGGCTGGCAGAGGCCTGGGCCGTCGTAGGAGCCTGTGCAGCAGTACTGGTCTGAGTTGTACTTTGCGCAGGCGGAGTAGCACGGGTCGAAAGGCGGGCGCTGCACGTTGCCGTCGGGATAAGGATATACGCCATTACCGGGCGCCTTTGGGGTGTTGACTTGCAAGTCCCAGGGACACCAGTCGGCGACGGCAGAGTAGGAGTTTGCCGTTTCGAACTGCAGGGGATCGCTGGCGCTCGTGCCGAGGAATTGCTGGCCGCCGGTGTACGGGTCGAAATTGCTCTGCGCGGCGAAGTCGCCGACGCTCGCGACGCAGGATGGGTTCGTCTTGTTGCCTGCCAGGCTTTGCAGCTGGCTGTTGCCGTTGGAGAGCAGGACGATGGCGACCGGGATGTTGTAGCCATCGACCAAACTCAGGTCGTAGAAGGTCTGACTGTCGCTGCCCTGCAAGGTGAACTCGCCGAGCGTCGCCGGAGGTTGGCCGGCGATCTGGCACGAGAGTGCACCTGCACAGTCGCCCGTGGAACATGCTGAGCCTCCTCCACCGTTGCCAAAGGTGCAATTTGTACGACCCCAGATGCGGCCCTGCCAGTTGCTACTAACGCTGAGGGACTGATTGCTTCCTGGGGAGAGGTGAAAGCCGCCGGTGCCGGGGCCGTTGCCGCCTTGGGTCAGAATGCCAGGCCAGATGTCGGTGCTGCACCAGTTGGCGATCTGGATGGGAATGCTATTCCCTCCGCCGTTCTGCCGCGTTTTGAGCTCGTGTTGGTCTCCATGGGCGAGAGGGAATGTGCCAAGCACCGTGCTGAGAAAGTACCAGCCTCGCATCTTAGATCACATTCGTTGCCGGTATAAAGTAGAGTTCCACACAGCCTGGCACGTCAGGCAGACGAGGCGTATCCCGACCAAAGACGCCTCTCAGCTTTGCGCCGGGCCCTCTCCCGTTTTCGCTTCCAGACGGAACGGTGGTAGGTATTGTGATGCAAGTAACTGCGCGCTCGCAATCTTCGAGGGCCGCTGCTCACCGTTGACCGGATGCTGGACCTGCAGCGCCGAAGTCGGGTACGAAACTTGCCGTGTATCGATGAGCGGATGGAGATGGTCTCCAGCTTTTGAGGATAAGAGATGTCTTCCAGGTTGGTGGTGTTTAGAGCGAGCGGGCGGAGTGAGGAGCAGGCCAGCTGCGAGGTGTAGAGGTCGTTAAAGAATACCGTCCGGCGGAGTGTTGGTGAGGGGAAGTTGGCCGTTTATGAATGACGTTGGAGGCACTGCCCTGTGCCTGTCTCATTGTCGCGCGTAAAGTTGGCAGGTCTGAGCCGGTTGGCGCGTTGTTTGCCAATTGGAAGGCGCGACGCTGGAGATCTGAAACCCTCCTTCCGCATCAGGCTGGCTTCACTGCGGCAAGGGATCAGCCTGACATGGGTTTACTTCCGCTTGATCCGAGAATGCAGATATATACTCGAGACGTTGGCTCAGGATTGAAGGTGGAGACAATGCTGCGCAAAGGATAGAGAGTCTCCTTTACGGGAAAAAGGGAGTACAAGCATTGCGATACCCAAGAATGGCCGTTGTACGCTCGGCACGAATCAAATCCGCGAATGATTCAAGGAAGAAGGCCAATGGCACAACGGATGTTCTGGATGATTCATGATGCTATAAACCGTATATACCGAAAAGCTGTATGTATTCGCAGGTAGAATTATGATGGAGGAATGGCTCAGAATGCTGCGTAGCCGCACATCCATAGTAGTATTCGAGCCTCAGCCACCCACATGTGCGCTGCCGTTACTGAAGTTCACGATCCATGATAAGACGCAGTAAGCCTTCGGTATTAAATCTCTTGTCTTCGGAAGACAACCTCGGTGATGAATGTTTGAGTGTAGTGGGTGATGTTTCGCAGATCGTTGGGTCTGAGAGTCCGGGTCATATAGAAATGCAGTTGACTTTGAAATATGCGTATGAGCTGTAGAGATGATATCGTAAGTGTGGGGGGTATGTTATTACTGGAGGTAAGGCGTGCTTGGATTCCTCGGGATCATAGTTTGAGATAGGTGTTGATGATTCTGCATCCGGGATGCATCGGGTGACGGACTTTGCAGCTCCTCTCTGTTGACTCGCCTCGATCGGCTACAGAGGAAGGCTGATTCGCTCGATCCAGTAGGCAAATCATGCCCAGTACTCATCCTATCGATTGTTGGTATTCGACACAGTGCTCTTTAACTTGATCATTCTTCTGGCCACTCCCGACGACTCTGACGAAGGGCCTCATTCAAAGCCTCCTCCTCATTCTGAAAGGGGCCCATTTGATGCTCCGGCTCCTGGCTCTGGCGGATGGCCTCATCCAGCGCGGCCTCATCGTCCGAGAAGGCATCTCTCTGCTGTTGCGCAAGCTCGCTTCCAGGATGATCATCGCCGTTGCCATAGTCCTCAAGTGGATCGCGCTGCGTCGCCGGATTGGCACTCGTGCTTCTGCCACGCCGCCTAGGACCGAAGGACGACGCGGACAGCGGTAAGCGCCAGTCTTGCTGGATGGTGGTCGGTGGGGTTCCTTGGATAGTCGGATCGCGTGTGTCCATATCATCTTTGTCCTCCGTTTTGATTGCTGGGTTTCCGACGCCTCCATTCATCGTGAAAGGTTCTCCGAGCCCGCCGCTCATGGTAAATGGCCGGCCGCGCACTTTCCCAAGCCCTCCACTCATGAAGTGGTATGCTTGGCGATGAGCGCCAGGGAAGCTGGTCGTACTTCCAAAGTCCCCAGCCCCAACACCTCCATTCGATCTTGGGCGCTTGTTTGGACGCGCTGGCGGCGGCATATCTTCCATCGACACTCGCGCAGGTCCACCAGTCCTCTCCTCCTGACTTTCGTATGCCGAATCTTCAGACGTATCCGAATCGACACTTGCTGCTATGTTCACCTCTGCAACGCCCTCAGCTCGAGCTGTTTGCTCCCTGCATTGCCTCCTCCGCTGCTTCTGCTTGACATGGCTTTTCCTCCACTTCTTCGCGTCCTCAAACCACATGTTCCACCTAGCGAAGGTAGGGAGGTTCCAGTCTTGCTCCATTTTCTGCACCCCGGCAGGGTCGCGCTCGGTGAGATAGCGGTGTCCGTCTTGGAGGAATCGCTGTTGCATATTCCTTTTGTCACTTGCTTTCTCGGTCTCGCAATTCTTGGGATCGAATTGGGGAAGCCACACGATTTCCCCGTCCACTGGAAGTTCGAGCGAATTGCCTCTGCCAATCGTAAACTTGAAGACAGGCTCTAAGGTTGCGTCGGTTCCTTCATCAGAGGCAGTGTTCGATCTTGACCTGTTTCTGGCATTGGAAACTTTGATCTTTTCGAACCACACAGAGGCCCAGTCTTTCTTCCTGTAGCCTACGTGCAGGCGTCCGCGAATGAAGTGGATTGGCATTGTCGCGGTGACGTGTAGTTCTCGAAACTGTGGTGGATGAAGTGGATGTCTTTTGGAGGATGGCCAGGGTGAGAGGGTCGGTGATGGTCCAGGAAGAGAGGAAGAGCGCCTGTGCCTTCGAGACGAGCAGTGAGCTATAGTGAAGTGGAACCGCTGTGAAAGCGACAGAGGGTAGAGCAGTGTAGGTATTTGAAGTAACGAAGGGGGCTACGAGATAAGGAAGGGCATCGTGATTCTGGAAGAAGTGTAGGTAGTGGTGTGAGAGAAGATCAACTGATGTTGCAGGGTGGAAGTGTAAGATGGAGCGAAGGGAAGACTGCAAAACTTAGATGATGGGAATCAGCATATGATCGGGCGAAGTGAGTGAAATGATGTGGCAGAAGCACTCGAGTGAGGTGAAATGAAGGAAAGCCTTGATGAAGTTGCTCTTGCGAGCCGAGTGAACTCTGGCGTGCTACCCATTCAGAAGACTTTGTACCCGTGCCGTGATTGATGCTCTGTCATGTGTAAGCACGCGTCGTGATGTTGCAGTATGATAACGCTGGCTTGTTGGAGGAGTGATGTATGCTATGTGCTGCACCAAGGGAGCGTCGCCCCAACTTCGACCATGGTGGGCGGCATAGCCCATCGAGTGAGCCTGCATGTGTATGGCGCTGGTGCTTAGTCTGTGACGTGTAGAAGGTGGAATAGCAATGAGAAAAGAAGAGCACTAGGCCCGCCGCGAACAATGCTCTTGTGCAGAAAACAATGCATTGTCCGACCCGGCTGACCTCACATGGCGAACATGGCCTACCAATGTAGTTATGCCGACTTGTAGCGTCAATGATATGAGCTGCCTGCTTGCAATGTCGTCGACAGCGACTCGAAGATGTCCAGGGATAGGCGGTAGATCTCATATGAGCCGCTGTGCTTGGGTGGAACGTCGCCGCCCGGTGGAGGGTGATATCTCAATTTAGACCTTATAGATGACCACATATCAAAAGACACAGCTTCGACCAGCCAAAAAGAAGTGCCTGCACTGAGAATCGAACTCTTTAAGCCCCGTTAGCGAGAGTTCTTGACGCTCAAATGACTTGAGCAGTGCGTGGAAATCACATACCAGATCTTAGGATGTCACAAGCTGTGCTTGCTCAGATCTTCTCGATATGAGACCTATGTTCTGACCGTTAAACTATGCGGGCAATCGGACGGTTGAAACCATCCGCTAGCGAGCGGTGCGAACGATCGGTCGGCGCTATCAAATCTTTTATGTATTCTGTTCATGAAAAGCCGAGCTTTTTCCGACGCATTGTAGCCTCACCTCAGATGAGCTCTGCCTATCACAAACCAGTCATTATAGAACGATGAATCATGCATGAGATTATCACTCTACAGTTCGGCCAGCAAGCCAACTACCTGGGAACACACTACTGGAACGTACAGGTAAGCAGATCGCCGTTTGCATTGACACGGGCGAATTCTCTAATTCATCAGCAGGAATCGTACTTCACCTACGCCGGACAGGAAGAATCGCCGGTAGACCACGACATCTCATTCAGAGCCGGAGTAGGAGCCGATGGATCCGACACGTATGCTCCACGCACCCTCATCTACGACCTGAAAGGTGCTTTCGGCACGCTTCGACGGGAAAATGCCCTGTACGACTTCCAGCAGCAGGAGGAGCACGCCGCGCAGCATGGCGGGCTGTGGAGCGGCAGCACAATGCCCTTGCAGCTCCCTCCCATAGCACCGAGTCCATATCAGCAAGCTCTGGACCAAGGCGTTGAGCCTCCGCAATTGACTACTCAGACTGTCCGATTCTGGTCGGATTACAATCACATTTTCTACCATCCGCGCAGCATCGTGCAGCTAAATGAATACGAAGTCAACAGCTCACTCATGCCGTTTGAGAAATGGAATACCGGGGAAGAACTCTTTACCAATCTGGATCGAGAGCACGACCTCCTCGATCGAGATCTTCGGCCATTTCTGGAGGAGTGCGATCAACTGCAGGCATTGCAGATCTTCTCTAGCATCGACGACGCCTGGGGTGGCTTCACCTCGAAGTATCTGGAGCGTATAGCTGATGAGATGGGCAAGGGCTGCAGATGGGTTTTCGGTCTGAAGGATGGCAACACTCGAGCGCGAGACCGACAATTGCTACAATTGACCAACATGGCCCACTCGTTGTTCCATTGGAACACCTCAGCGAGCTTACAGATCCCGCTCACTTCTCTACCGCCGTCACTCCCGAAATACGTCTCCCTCAGCTCCAGTCCATGGCACACCTCGGCTCTCCAAATCGCAGCGGTGGAAAGCATCACATTACCAGCAAGACTGCGGACTACAGAGGTCGGCCGTACGACTTTCGACCAATTAGAGACGACCCTCAACAATGATGGTAACCGCAAATTGGCCGCGTCTGCAATGTCAGTCGACGATGCCATTCATCTGGAGGAGGGACACGGTGCCAACGGTACTCGCGACACTCGCATGACGAATGGTATCTCCGAGGACTTCGACGAACATGACACGCCGCTTGATATCGGCCTTCTTCCATCCATGCGCAACCCCACAGACATTCAGAGCCATCGCCTAGGTCGGAGACCACAACTATTCAGCAAGATCGAATCGCTCCGCGGCCCCTGGATGTCAGCCCTAGAAATCGAAGCGGCAAACTCGCATTCGCGAGACCCATTCTCACGCGGACCGAGAACGACCGCATACCAATCCTCCCTTCTCTTCCCAACTCTGACCTCGTATCCGCAAATCTTCCGTTACGAGGGGACACCACGCCAGCTAGCGGTGAAGACGGCGCTGTCGACTTCCTCTGTCGTCGCGGATCAAGTTCGTGCGCTGGAGGCGAGCGCGAGGAGACTTGTCGCTTTGGATGAGCGGGAGGCGCTTTGCGATGGACTGGCGAGCATGGCCGAGGAGTACGAGGAAGGGTGGGACGGGAGTGATGGCAGTGACGATAACGACTGAGGGTTCGCTATCCTTGCTACGGCCGCCGGTAGCGATGCTGACCATTGCGTTGGACGGCTTGAGCGTCGCAAATCTCATATTGTGGTTCAACCAGCGCACGACTCAAATTCGCACGTTCGACATCCGTGAGGTGGAGCTCCACGTGCGAGCGAATGTGCGAGCGAACATGACATACACTATTCGCTCGCCGCAGGTATGCATATATCCAGTCGATCAGCACTCTTCTCCTGTCTCCATCCAATCCCATCCCTTCATCCAATCCCAATCTTCAATCATGAGAGAAAGCTACGACATGAAAGACCTCATCGCCAGGCTCAACGCAGAACGAGCCGCCAAAGAAGCCGCCGAACAAGCCGCCGAACAAGAGATCATTCGGCACAATCTCGAGGCACACAACGAGATTGCTCAATGGGTTGAGACCGTCAGGCGCGCCTCCACGGACGCTGCGAGCCAGGAGATGCGTCCAGATGGGCACCAACCAGCAGCACCGCCCAACTTCTCCGCCGACGCCACGCCGATGGCCATCCGGCCTAATCTCGACAACTCTGCCCGGGCCCGTCAAGAGGGCGACGTCTACCAGCTCCCCGCCATCAGAGCTGACAGCCAGGAGATGCTCCGCGGTGGCCAGGAGCTGGTGCCGCACGCTCTCTTCAACGATCCGGCCAGCCAACAGCAGGCTGGCGCCGCCCAGTACCCCTTGATCGAGGCTGGTTGTCTGGAGATGCAGCCCGACGGACAGGCAGCCCTGCGGTACGATCTCGCCATGCGCAATCGTCTCGGATCTGGCCCTGTCGACGCTCAAGGCCTCTCAGGGATGGCCGTCGACCAGGAGATGCGCCCCATCATCCACCACACGACGGCGCCAAACCTATCGACGAGCCTGCTCAACACGCCCGTCAACCTTCAGTGGCCGCCGCAGCGCCATCCGACTCTCCCTTCACTCTGGGACGTGCACTTTGAGATGACAATGGATGCAGTGCGCGGCACTGAGCAGAATGGGTTGGACATGGCTCGTCTTCCGTGCATTGATGGATTGGACAGGTGGGGTCCGAACGCTTGGAATTAGCTAGAGTTTTTGCTTTCATCAACCCATCAGCTGGCCCAGATCATCGGGCGGCCATCTTGTTTGGGCGAAACTAAGACAGCGCTTGATACCCTGTAGCATTTTTCTCGTAACTTCATCGGCCAGAATGTGAGCCTTCTCGTCACTCTTGCCCTTCTCCGTTTCATGTAGTTTTTCGCGTGCGCTACGCTCATGGATACCAACCATCGTCACTCCGATCGGCCACGCCGCCTTGCCGATGCTCAAGCGCAGATAAGCGTCGTTGGCGTCTACGTACCGCTTCGATTGCGCGAGATGAGTGATTTCGAGGATTGGTGCCAGCAGTGTGCGAGGGAGTGTGTTGCTCTCGAGCTTCCGGAAGAGGGGCGTCAGGTTGGAGATGGCGGTCATGTGGTTCTGCAGGGCCTTTTTGCCGCTGAATGACTCCTTGACTTCTGGTGCGCGACGGGCGAGTGCGAGCTGCCATTCGCTGAGCAAAAGGTCGAAATAAGAGGCGATTTGTCGCTGCAGGAGGGTGATGCCTTCTTCGTCTTTGGGGACTGACGTGGGCACTTTCATATCGGCTTCCCGGACAAGTTCGAGACTTGTTGGGATCGGTCCGTTGGTCATCTTCACCACCTTTGCGACAGAGGTGTCCGTCAACTTGCGATAGCGGTGCAGTCGTTGAATGTGCGTCTCGCCGAATAGTCGTCGAGGTTCTCCAAGGTCTTGTAGATGCTGTAATAGCACATCCTCCTCGATGTCCTGCTCGCCTTCCTTCAAATCATCCCCATCCTCCTTCTTCTCCAACGGCGGTAGACCTAATCGCTTCCTCCTTGCACTCTCCTCTGCTTCGGCCTCCTCCTCTGCCCTCTTCCTGCTCTCCTCCGCGAGTCGTCTCTTCTTCTCTTCTCGCGCGAAATTCTTTTCCGCCTCCTCTTCGTCCCTCTTGCGTTTCTTCTCTAATCGCTCCACCCGCGCCTTCTCCAGTTCTTCCTGTTCCCGCAGATAGTCCGCGTGCCGCTGTGCTTCGACTTCCGATCGCTTGAGGTATTTCTTGCCGCCATCGGTAGCACTTTTGGGGCCCGAGGCGGCTATTTGAGACTTCATGAGACTGGCGAAATCCATGACGACGGTTGGATCGTTGTAATGAGGCCTGTCACTTGTAGTGAAAGTGGAGGGATCAGGTATGGGCACGATGGGCAACTCTGCAGCGGTAAATTTAAGTCATGGGAACGATCACGACTTTTGTCACGCGTCGCTGCTCTGCGACAACATCATTGGAACTTTCGCATGCGACTGTATACCGCAGCAAACAGCACTCACACCCGCAGCCTGCGCCGTGTCCTCAGCACCAGATCCACCCTTCCCAATGTTACCACCCTAAAAGCAACGCCACAAGCTCTTTTTCAGCCAAATCGCAAACATGTCCCTCCAACCCTCCGCAGCAACCAAAGTCGACCGAACATCGACCACACCCTTCCTCCTCCGCCTCTTCTGGCGCCAGTCCCGCGCCCTCGAACCCTACGAATTCTCCGTGACGCCTCCAGCAGACACATCCAACATCACCGACTACACCTCGCTCCTCCCGTCCTCGATTCGTCAACAAAGCGTCCAAATCTACACATGGCCGACTTGCACCTTGGCAGAGTTGACGGGCCTCCTCACAAGCGTGCTACCTGAAGGCGTGCTCCCGACACCCGCGGTGGGTACAAGGTTAGTATATCGTCTTGTGTTTCCTGATACAAGGAGTGTGAACGGCGACAGCGGGCGCGGCAGATGGATCGATCGGGTTTTGGGCAGCGTGGTGGTTGGCGGGGCACGAGAGGCGGTGTCTGATGCAGTGATGGACGTGGAAGGGGAGGACGCGGCAGCGAATGGCGATGGAAAGCACAATCTTGAGGGCGATGCGGAGAAGACGCTGGCGGACGCGCGCTTCGTCATTGGCGATTACGTGGTGTGCACGATTTACCCTCCCACGGCGGACGGGCGCGTTGCACCGCTGCCTCCTGCCAGAGGAGCGAGGGAGCCTTATGCGCCTCCTCGGGGAGGACCGCGGGAGAACGGGTTTGGCCCTCCGAGGGGCGGTGGTGGGTATCGTGGTCGAGGTGGAGGCGGGGGGTTTGGCGCGCCGCCGCCTCGAGGCGAGTGGAGAAGAGGCCAACGTTTGCCGGATTACGACGTGGGAGGGGGTTACAGGGGCGGCGGTCGGCCTTACTAGCAGTCTGGCGACCTTTCTGACTCTGGCGCTATCATTGATCGCACGTCTGGGATTCCTACTGCGCCGCGCGCATTTCGTGGGTACTTTGGTGGGAGAGGTCGAGGGCAGTTCTACTAGCAAACGACTTGAGACTTTTAGCGAGGCGTCGAGGAGTGTTTGTGATGGATCGAAGGGTTTGCAGGTATCTGGCGTGAATGAGAAACACGACCAGGCAATGTCTCACAAGGTCTCCCTCGTGTCTACACTGTACCATGGCCCAGCCCCTGCAGATGAGCTCATCGTCTCCTCGCCACCCAAAAAGCAGGCCGGTAGACATTCTGCAACATGCTCGTCGGATCCTGGATATACCCGGTTTCAGGAGCCGGCTTCTGCTCCAACATCTCGAATCCAAACCGCTCAACCAATGCGAGTACTTCGTCATTCGCAAGCTCAAATGAGCCCGGCTCTCCAATCCCCTCGTTCCTACCACGTGCTGAGTGATGGCTGTTTGTGTTCGTGGAGAGTGTAGAGTCTGAATGCCCATGCGGCGATTGTCGATTCTTCTCGCGTTCTGCAGGTGTGGGCGTGGATTCGAAATGCCAGAGCAGCGGGCCAAGGTTGATCCAGACACCGCCAGGTTTTAAGCAATGCTTAATCGTCTCGATGTAGCTGATGATGTTCGGTGCAGTGTCGATGAAGAAGCACGTTACCACGGAATCGAAGGAACCCTCATACTCGGCTTGTCTGTACAGTTGGCAGAAATCCCCTGCTGTCATGGACATTCGTTCGCTGTAATGCACGGACGATTGGGTGTCGGCTGCAGTGGTTTCTAAGGTCGTTGCTGGATGGACATCGGGAATTGCGACTGCTTGCAGCTGGTGTGCGCGGGTCAGGTGGTTGCTAAAGTTCAACGCCCATGGGTAGAGTCTGTGTTGTCCCGCAGTCGACGTGTAGTTGAGGATGTAGTGTGAAGCGAGCAATTGGTGATAGGAGATCTCATTGCCCTCGACCGTGTAGCCTGCTAGACACAAATCTAATACGAGACGACCTAATCCGGCGCCGGGAACCAGGACGCGTTGTCGATGGCGGTCCGCGGGTCTATTTGCTGGAAGGTGAGTCGACAAAGCAGTGAAGATGGGCGAGTAGGCCGCATGGCGCTCCGCAGAGCCCTCATCAGACCAGTCGCGGTAGAATTGGCGTATGGTCGAACGAGCTTTGTCGAGATCGTTTGGCGTGGCCTGTCCTTTCCATGACCCGTCGGCCGGATCTAGACCAAACGCTGGCAGCCCGACTTCGAGGATGGCCTCAGCAATATCGGCGTTGGAATCGATCGCCTCGTCTACAGCGCTCAGGGTACTTGGCAGCGAGAACGGTGGCTCCGATAGAATGTCACTGTGGGCTGAGGGCAGGCTGTAGAAGGACAGGCGGCGGAGATGGGTGATGTTGTAGTGAGCGGCTTGTCGGTATTGTCTGGAAGCCAAGAGGATTGGTGAGATTCATTTCTATACGTCTTGGCTACGAGAGTGCAACGGTGTGCCGACGATGGAAACACTCCAAGAAGTAGGAGAAGGTAGTAGATTGAACAGGACGAAACAGAGCAAGACTTACGTACCGGAAGGAGTCCAGCGCAGCAGACAACACCCGCCGCTCCTCCGGATCTGACAGAGGGTCTGACGCGTCGTATGAACTGCCACTCTCACGACCTCCATCATCCGCCATTGTAAGTGCGCGACGCTGGTTGTTGCGCCGAGTGTCAAAAGGTTCGGGTTCGCGAGCAAAGTGTGGGACTCGCGATGGCGCGATTAATCAGCATCCTCCGACTGCAACCAACATTGGACGGATGAACCTTGGCACGGTAGGTACCTCTTACTCAAAGCTTGTAAGCCGATTTGAAGCCGTTGTTCGAGATCAGGCGTATCTGATACTTGGGAGACGGGCCTTTGCACTCGGAAACTCCCTCTTTCTCTATCCCGCTTTTTGTGGCCTGGTTTGGATCACCCTACCGTGATGACCGCCCCGGGGACTCGGTGACGAGCGATGACGCCGACGTATCCGACGGAGCTAGGCCGTCAAGACCTACAACCTGTCAGCATGGACGGAGCGGCCGGACCTCCGTCCAACGGCGGTCAGCCGCCGTCGAGACTGAAAATCAACACGGGCACTGGTGCTCTGGCCAGTATCGCGTACAATTCTACTGCAGACCATGCGCCGTCGTCCGATGATGAACCCAATACCCCGATGGCAGTCTACACCGACAATTGCCAAACAGCCATGTGTGTTAGCATTAGCCGGGAGCAGACGAGACTGATGTCCCCGGCGACACCTGCTCTCGAGAAGGCAGCGGCGCTCGAGAAGGCTGGCGGCTTTTCCTTTGATGGTTTCGGTGGGAGCGACGATGCTCTGGTGCAGGAAATGGAGGAGGATGATGGTGGAGAGGAGGAGGCTCAGGCGCCAGAGGCGAACGGCCAGGCCGTTCCCTTGCAGCCGGAACCGACTGCTTCATCGTCAGAGCAAGTGTCTGCGTCCTCTACTCTGGACCGCCCGACCTCAACCTCGCAATCTGAGCTTTCCACAGGCCGTTCCAAAGAGCAACTGCACGCCAGACAGAAGCCAAAGTCGGGCATCTTCGAAGGCATATTCACCAACAGGCAGGCCGAAAGTGGAGATACTACTTCGGAGGCCACCTCCTCACATAGATCCATCCTCTCGAACCTAACACACCTCCCCAAACACTTTTCTTTCTCCTCGAGACACGGTTTCGAGACCGACTCGAATTACCAGACCTCGAATTCGAGCTTGCAGCTCGCGTCAAGCAAATCTTCTTCCCAGGACACCCACGTGGATACTTCGATTCCACCAGATGTTGCCAACAATACCTCGAAAAGTCCCGTCGCCTCTGCCCTGTCACCAACATCTCCTCTGCGACGCTCTACTTCAGACTCCAGCCTTGCTGTTCATCGCGCGCTTACCCGTGTTGAGTCCCTTGGAGATGACAGTCGCTTTGAAGATGTCCACGACCAGGTCAACAGCAGGTTCAAGGCCATCAAGGATAGCTGGCAGGACGCCAACTTCAAGCTTCCCGGCGTGCCGGCTGTGAAAGTGTCGAGTCTCACCGCGGATTCCATTCGAGCGCGCGTGGGCTCTCTCACTCCCAAGCAGAATACAAGATCCTTGTCTCACACACCCAGCGAGACGACATCTTCGAGCCACTCGAAGCCCACAGATCCCATGACACGCCATCCATATGCCGACGTTAAAGCCGCCATGACAGATGCGGCCTCGGACAGCATGCATCCTCATCCACATTTCCATCGAGCTTTAGAACAGTTGGAAGGTGACGTTGTGATCCTGGGAGGATACCGAGGATCGATTCTCCGCTCTGCGAAACCACCTCATCGTCAAGTCTGGGTGCCAATCAAGGTCGGCTTGAATCTACGAAGGGTCAACTTGGAAGTGGGTTTCAACGAGGATGACGATGAAAGGGCAACAGAGCGGATCATACCTGATGGCATGCTGACTCACATCGGGCCAGTGGATATCTCGAGACGACTGCTTAAGCGCCTGCGTCTATGCGATAATGCTCAGGCAGGAAAGCTTCGAGTGCACGAATACGGCTACGATTGGCGCCTTACACCCACTCATCTCAGTCAGCAACTCGTGAAATACCTTGAAGGCTTACCGTGTAATCGAAAAGGCACCACGCAAGGGAAGCGAGGTGCAACAGTCATCGCTCACTCGCTAGGTGGCTTGATCACGAGACACGCAGTCAATCAGCGACCCGATTTGTTCGCCGGAGTGCTGTACGCCGGAGTACCGCAGACGTGCGTCAACATTCTCGGTCCACTACGAAATGGCGACGAAGTACTCATCAGCAACCGAGTACTCACCGCACAAGTCAATTTTAGCATCCGGACCAGCTTTGCTCTGCTCCCATTGGACGGGCGATGCTTTTTCGACAAAGACACCAAAGAGCAATATCCGGTCGACTTCTTCGATGTCAACACCTGGGACGAGCTCAGGCTATCTCCCTGCATCAACCGGCCTTTACCGCCACTGCAGCCGCCTCCGAAACCCACCGGTCTCCAGGGCTACGTGAACACCGTGGCGAACATGCTACCAAGCCTACCTCATCATGGCCGGAAAGAGAGCTCGGAAAATGCAAAAGTGACGACAGCAGGCGGGGCAGCGGCTGCCAATCCCGCCTCCTCGCACGCCGTATCATCAAAGGACCAAGACAAGGACTTGAGCGTTCGCACAGCCGTCACCGTCCCGCGAGACGAAGCAATAGCATACCTACGCCGTACGCTCGCGAGCGTCAAAAAGTTCAAAGAAGAACTGGCCTTCCGAAACGACCACGCGACAGCGAACGTCTACCCGCCCGTCGCCGTCATCTACGGCAAATCGACGCCTACCGTCTACGGAGCGCGAGTGGATGGCCGAGAGGGCATCAAGCATGCTGATGCCTACGACGACCTCGCATTCGCCAGCGGGGATGGAGTGGTTCTTGCGCGGGCTGCTATGGTACCTGAGGGGTATAAGGCTTGCGGGATTGTGGCGAGCGATCGGGGGCATGTTACGTTGCTGGGGGATTTGGATGCTGTGGGGAAGTGTTTGAATGCTGTTATTCGGGCGCGGCGGAAGGGATTTGGGACTGGGAAGAGTTGATACATGTCAATATGTCACAGTAAACGTATAGATTATGTGTATAAGGTATGAAGCATTGCTTGAGATCTGAAGGTGTGGTTGATTCCTGCCCCACCACGGCAAGTCCACTTCACCCCCACATCCACATAAATTCATGTCCTTCTCGACTTCACATCGCAACACCAACGCCTATCCCACCCTTGAACCCCGCCGCACATCAACCATGGCCAACCCCAGAATAGAAGAAGTGGAGGACTCCTCCGACGATGACGCGAACCTCAACGTCGACGACCCGGACGAAATGGACCTCGACGCCTTCGACTTCGCCCGCCCGCAAGGCACCCTAGGCCAAACAGCACTCACCCCATCCAACCTCCCCGCCGCCTCCCAAGCAATCCCCTCCACGCCCTCCCAACCGCAACCCCCACCGCAAATGTCCGCCGCCGAGCGCGAGCGCCTAGCCAACGAACACCGCGAGAAGTCCAAGCACTACCAATGCATCTACCCCGTGTACTTTGACGCTTCGCGCTCGCGCGACGCCGGGCGCCGCGTGAAGAAGGAGGAGGCGGTGGCGAATCCGCTGGCACGCGAGATTGTCGAGGCGCTGCATCATATTGGGAATACGCTGGGCGTGCCGTTGCAGATTGTGTTTGAGCCGGCCAAGTGCCATCCTAAAGACTGGGCGAACCCGGGGCGGGTGAAGGTGCTGGTGAAGCAGGATGGGACGGCGGTGAACAAGAAGATTGGGAATAGTATGTGCTTCCGCAGAACGTGGGTGGAATGTGGGTAACTAACGATTCTTCCTGCAGAACACTACCTCCTCAAACTCATCTCCGCCTACCTCCTCTCCCACCCTACAACACCGGAAGCACCGATGAAGCTCCGCATCTCCGGCCTTCCTATGCCGAAAGAAGCGCCGCCGCCCCCCGCCATTCCGCGCGGCTTCAAAATGGGGGAGATCCTACCGCTGCACTCGCCTGCGCTGAGTGGAGGCGGGGTGAGTGAGAATTTCTTCAAGGATATGATGCAGGAGATGGGCGGGCAGATGCCGGAGGGTTTAGAGGGCATGGCGAATATGGCGGGCATGGGAGCTGGGGGTGGTGGAGGGGGGCCGAAGAAGATTAGGGTGAAGCAGAGGCGGTGATAAGTCTTTCTCAGGACCACGTATTCATACAATATAGACGCATCATCAGTCTATTACAGACCACGATCACAGTCCAACAATTCCTACATGTCTAGTCTATATCCAGTCATCATTGGTCGTCAGCTTCCTCGTCGTCATCCTCTTCGACAATCTTCTCCACAATCAAATTCCCGCTCCGTCCAATGCGATCCCGAATGCTCCCTCCTTTCTCCAATCCATATGCTTCACGGGGCATCGGCGATACCAGCTGGAACTTGAAGTCGTGCTCGTAGCCTTCCGGCTCCAGCGCCTGCTTCTCCGACACTTCTGCCTCACCATTCGACAGTAGATCGTAACACTCAACAAAAGCATACAACTCCTCAAGATCGGCGTCCGCCCGGAACTTGCGCACCACGCGCTCCCCATCCGGCATACGAATGCTCATGCGCACCGCATCTTTGACAGCCTCGCCTGGTTCTGATGGTAGACTTTGTGCCCTCCATCGTCTCCACTGATACAGCTTTCTTGCCTGCTCTGCCGCCCTCTCCTCGCGTTCCCGCTCTTCTCGCTCCGCCTTCTCCTTCGCCGCAGCCTCCTCCTTCTTCTTCCGCGCCTTCTCCCGATCTTGCGCCAGTGAGCGCTCGTACGCGCTCTCCTGCTCTTGTCGAATATTGCGACTCGCTTGCTGCTCTTCTCTCTGCCGCTTGACGCGCTCGAGTTCCGCATTGTGCGTCTGCATCGCGCCTTGCAATTTCGCGATCAAGTCACCGGCTGCAACCGGTCCGGCGGAGGTGGCGATTTTCGACATGGCGGATGCTGACACCGACGGTGTGTGGCAGATGAGGGTGGCAAAGGGGAACTTGGTAGCGTTGAGCGCGGTGGCGACTTGGTATGCTTCGGCGTCTTGCACTGTGCCGGCCCAGAGGAGGATGTTGTTCTCCGGCTGCTGGACAAAGTGGACGAATTCGGGGGAGAGGAGCGTTTCGCGGACAAAGGGGGCGGTGTCGTCGTGTTCGGGGGAAAGGAGGACGACGAGGAAATATTTGAGGTCGCGTTTGGCGATGTCGAATACTTGCGCGTACCCTTCTTCATGGAAGGGGAGGGTGGCGTGCGTGACGCCGTATTCTTCTTCAAACTCCCGCATAAAGCGCGCTGCGGTGTCGCGGGGATTGAGTTGCTTGCGGCCGGTGTCTCGAGAGGGGCGCGAGGCTCGGCCAGACCAGATGCGGGCGAGGAGTCGGGGGAGGACGGGGAAGAGGTAGCCGACTGCGCCGAACACACGCTGGAAGATGGCGTAGGTGAGATTGAAGGGGAGGAGGAGAATGGACAAGGGGAACGGCAAGGGTTGTGTGAGCTGGCCTTCCGGTGTTGCTACGACTCTTGGTGCCTCTTCAAGGCCATTCCGACTCCGTGAGCTCGAGGTCGAGTGACGCGGAGACGATAAGCTGTGCATCAAGGTCTCGGATCGTCTCGAGTGCGCGGGCGGGGGAGGAGCGGCGGCAGCCTCGGCGACGGGATCGATGGTTTCCGCATCGCCGTCGAAGAAGCGGGTGATGGCTATCTGTGCGTTCCACTGGCATTTCTGCAGGAGAGGCACGGCGGTGGAGAGGTCTTGGTCGGTGACGGAGGTGAATTGCTGGAGGGCGAGCTGCTGCTCCTCGGTGAGGTGGGAGAGGTCGAGGGTGTCTGCCATGGTGAGATTAAGAGGTGATGGATGGACGGAGCATCGTCGACTGGCTCAAGCGCGTACAGAAGACGATGAAAATGGTGGATGAAGGACACGGAATAAAGTAGGTGAATGTCGAAGATTACCTATTCGAGCGATCCCCCGCCAAAGCAAGCGCGAAAGCTTAAATGGCGACCTCTCCACCCCGGACATCATCCTCACCTCCATCATCCATTCCATTCGGCCACGCGTGGCTTTCCTTCCACTCTTTGCCAGCTGGCCCGCAGGTGGACGAATTGATCGAAAATGACTTGCTGACCCTTCTGCTCCAGTCTTGGCTCACAATGGCGATACGACATACAGCAGGAGTGACCGCGATTGACTTGAGCCCACCGTAGCTTCTACTCGACTCGAGTCTTGCATGAGTTGGCCTTGTCGATTGAATTGAAGGTGCGTACCAACGCCCACCTGCGTGTATTTTTACCCTGCGCACTGTGGCCTTTGACTCTTCCTCGCCACACTCTTCCTCGGCACCATCCATGGCTCCCGATCCACCACGAAATGTTGCTGACCAACGAGAAGCCCACTCGATATCACCCAGGCATTACGAGCCTGTCTCTGGCCGTCACCAGCGATTTCCTTCTACACCAGAAAGGCCTTCATTCACTGCAGCCAACAAGCCCCAGCGATATTCCAACTTTCCCATCGAAAGCTGGCCCCACCCTGTCTTCATCCCTTCAACATACTTTACCACTCCTGGGCATCGACTCCCCCAGCAACCGAGCTCCGCCTCGACTTTTCCATCCACGAGACCCAGGAGATCTCAGCCCACCCAGCTTCACACTTCAGCTTCTACTTCCCACTTTTTCCGCGCTCCAGGACCCCCTACTTTCTCGCCATCCTGTTGCTTGAATCCGGAATTTGTCCCAAAGGGTCATAGAACGCCTCATAGAGCCCCGGGTAAACGAAGGCGAGATCTTCGAACGCGCTCTCACTCGACACAGTTTGGGTCCGTCTCAACTCGGAGCAGTGATTATGATATGGCCGCAGGATTCCAACGCATGTCTGGAGATGCGAGGCGATTCCAATCTTCCTCTGGCCTGAACCGCTCCGAAAACCGCGCTCCAATGAGCAACGTACTGTGCCGTAACGGTCCTCAGTGCCGCAAATTCCAAGAAGGTTATTGCGATCTTCCATCATCCTCCCACGAAGCAAGCTCACCGAATGACAGGGACATGTAATTTCAATCATGACTTCAGCGCTGTCCCTTCAAACGGGCTTGGGCTGTGAGTGTCTCATCTCTTACGCCTATGATGAAGTCTCTGGCTGATGGTGTTTTAGACCGAAGAAGGCGCTCAATATCGATTCGCCCGCCTTTACCCCGACATTCTCTCCTACTATCCCAAGTGTACAGCTGTCGAAGCTTGGCATCTCTCCCAAGGCCGCTTCGGCGGCCGTATTCACCCCTAAAGGCTCCGGTACGATGAATCGCGATCGGCCTTTTGGATCGCCGCTAATATTTCACAGGTGCCGTGACACCTGCAACGAAAAGCCATTCCAAGGAGTCATCTGGCGAGTTCATCCCACAGCAAACATTCCAGCCGACTCCACAGTTCAACGAATTTGTGCCGGGGCAAAGCTTTATTCAACAGCAACAAACACAGGTATGTCTAGTTATTGGACGTGGCAATCAAGCAATCGGCCTTTCGTCTCATGTCATTTCAGCTCGACCCTCAAGTGCTTCAAACCCACTTGGACGCTTACAATGATCCGTTCCTCACACAATCAGGAATGGCCAACCTGGATGGAGCTCAGGCCCAGATGAATCCATATGCCTCGCCCACCGCCGGAGTTGCCGGCCAACAATTCTTCCAAGATCCTTCAAGTTACAAGCATCCCTTAAACTATCATCTCTACGCTTCAGTTGGGCCACGGCGAGAGAACCTGATGGCGTACCAGCGCAACACGGCCGACTTTTTCATCCCGGATACCTTACGCGAGGATTTGCAGCGCAAAGCCGAGGCCACCCTGCAAACGTTCAGCAACAGCACACTGCCACACAGCGTAGAGTATTTCCACTCGCTCGTCGCTCTCGACACGAACAACCAAAAGGGACAGAGTATCTTCGGCTATCAGAGCTGGCTATACAAAGCAATTTCTAGTCGCGATGGCCATACATACGCATTGCGACGAATCGAAGGCTTCCGGTTGACAAGTGAGGCTGCTATCCGGACTGTGCAGAACTGGAAGCGTATCAGCAACAGCAGTCTTGTGCAGGTGCACGATGCATTCACCGGCCGATGGTTCAACGATAGCTCTCTTATCATCGTGACAGACTATCACCCGCTATCGCAGACTCTGGCAGACAAGCATTTTGCGGCTGGCAGACATGTGGGCGGCCGTCCCAATTCGCACATTGTCCCCGAAAATGAGATCTGGGCATACATCGTGCAGATTGCCAGCGCGCTGAAAGCCATCCACGACGGTGGCTCGGCAGCGCAGACTGTGACTGCGTCCAAGGTGCTTCTGACCTCGAAGAACCGTGTACGGGTGAATGGATGCGGAGTTCTGGATATCGTGCAGTATGATCATCGCAAGCCCGTCGACGAGCTCCAGCGCGCCGATCTGCAAGACCTCGGCCGTCTGATCCTATGCATCGCCGCTCGGAACCCCACGGCGTACAATCAGATCCCAAAGGCCCTCGACACCGTCAGCAGATCCTACACCGAGAGACTGCGAGCGTGCATCGCGTGGCTGGTGACGCCTCCACCATCTGCACAGCAAGATCCAGCAGCCTCCCCCGAGCCCCAGCACCAGCTGCTCTCCGACTACAACATCAATATGCTCCTCAACAACATCGCCGATAAAGTCATCACCGCCTTCGACAGCGCGCTGCACCACGAAGACGAGCTCTCGTCGAACCTCATGCGCGAGCTCGAAAACGGCCGGCTCGTCCGCCTCCTCACCAAACTCAACATCATCCTCGAAAGACCCGAACTCGCCCCAGCGACCACATCCCACCACCACAACAACAACAATCACCACCACCAATCAGCCCCCGGCGCCCCCTCGTCTTCCTCAACCCCCACCCCCTCCCTCCTCAACCAGCCCTCAACCGCCTGGTCCGAGACAGGCGAGCGCTACTACCTCAAACTCTTCCGCGACTACGTCTTCCACCAAGTCGACCACAAGGGCCGCCCCGTGCTGGACCTGGGCCACATCCTCGCCTGCCTGAATAAGCTGGATGCCGGCGTGGACGAGAAGTTGCAGCTGATGAGTCGCGACGAGCAGAATATTTTCATCGTGACGTTTCGCGAGGTGAAGAGGGGGTTTGAGGCGGCTTGGGGCGAGATTTCGAAGGCGAGTAATCCTGCTAGGCGGTAGGGGACAAGAAGATTGGAGGGAAAGGGAAGGGGAGGAGGTTGGAGAGGAGGGTGTAGTGGATGTTTGCTTGACTGTCTGTTACATGGATACATACAGTGTGGATAAGGTAGATGGCAGAAGTAGGAAATGAGAAAGATTTGTTTCGGAAAAGCCTTGCCAGTCGTTTTGTAGTACAACTAACTATTCAAAAGTAGGTCGCCTTTAATACCGCTTGAACGCTTCGCTTCGTAAAGTCATCAAAACATCCCCCTTCACAAGCAAATTCCCTTTACTCGTAAAGATCCATCTCGCCCGCATCCCCATTCAATTCCTCCAACGCCTCATCCCCATCGAACATCTGATCATCCTCGCTCATCTCGCTATCGCTCTCGCCATGATTCGGCAGCACAATGATATGTCCATCCTCAAGCTCCACCCTCGCCGTCTCGCCGTCCTTGATGGCACCACGGAGGATCAGCACCGCAAGGCGATTCAGCACCTCTTTCTCGATAAGACGGGCCAGCGGCCTCGCGCCGTAAGCGGGTGAATATCCAGCAGCGCCGAGGTAGTCCTTGACATCGTCGTCGAGCTGGATGCGCACATTGCGGCCGTTGGTGAACAGGCGCTTCTGAATCTCATCCAGCCGCACGTCCACGATCCGGCGGATTTCCTTCTTCGACAGCCGGTTGAAAATGACGATGCTGCTGATGCGGTTCAGGAATTCGGGGAGGAAGTAGTTCCGCAAAGCAGCCATGACGAGCTCCTTTGTCGTCGGATCCACGCGGCCGTCGGGCGCGTTGGGTTTGCTGAGGTACTCCGCGCCGAGGTTGGAGGTCATGACGACGATGCAGTTCTTTGCGTCGACGACGCGGCCTTGGCCGTCGGTGATGCGGCCGTCATCCATGAGCTGCAGCATGACGGTCAGGACTTCTTTGGCCGCTTTCTCGACCTCGTCGAAGAGTAGGATGCTGAAGGGGCGGCGGCGGAGGGCTTCGGTCAGCTGGCCGCCGGCGTCGTGGCCGACGTAGCCGGGTGGTGCGCCGATCATGCGCGAGAGGGAGTGCCGTTCTTGGTACTCGGACATGTCGAAGCGGATCATGGCTTTGGGGTCGTCGAAGAGGAATTCGGCGAGCGCTTTGGTGAGCAGCGTCTTACCGGTGCCTGAAGGTCCGCAAAAGAGGAAGGATGGCGGTTGGCCTGGGTTGGAGAGGCCGGAGCGCTGCAGACGAATGGCGTTGGCAACGGACGTGACGGCTTCTTTCTGTCCGATGACTTGCGCTCCGAGCACCTTTTCCATCTGGAGCAGTTTGTCCTTTTCCGTGGTCTTTAGTCTGGTGACCGGAATGCCAGTCCATCGAGCAACAATCTCGTTGATTTGATCGGGTCCCACGGCATCGGCGACGAGAGGCTCGCCATTGGACATGTGCTGCTCTTCGCGCTCGGCCGCGGCCTTTTGTTGTTCGAGGACTTGAATGCGAGCTTCGACGTCGGGGATGGCGTAGTACTTCAAGTCGGAAGCAGTCTGGAGATCTCGCGTCCGCTCTGCTTCTTGCTGTTTGACTCGGAGTCCATCGAGCTTGATCTTTTGCTCCTGGATCTCGAGAGACCGTTGCTTTTCGCTCTCGTACTTTTCGCGGAGCGGCCGTAGCTCTTCTTCGACATTCGCCTTCTCCGCTCGTGCCTCTTCGAGTCTGGCTTTCGAGGCTTCGTCTTTTTCGCGATCGAGAGCGTGGATCTCAATCTCCAGCTGTCGTAGCTTCCGTTCCATGTCGTCTAGAAGTTCCGGTTGAGACTCCCGGGTCACTCTGACTGCTGCAGCCGCCTCATCAATCAAGTCAACGGCAGAGTCGGGAAGCCTTCTCTGTGTGAGATAGCGAGCTGCGAGAGTCGCGGCAGATACAATGGCACCATCGAGAATGGTGACACCGTGGTGAACTTCGTACTTTTCCTTCAGCCCACGCAGAATGGAGACGGTCTCGCTGATCGAGGGCTCTTTCACCAGCACCTGCTGAAATCGTCGTTCGAAAGCCTGGTCCTTTTCGATGTACTTTCGGTACTCGGCCAAAGTGGTTGCACCGATACAATGAAGCTGACCGCGAGCCAACATGGGCTTCAGCAGATTGGCTGCGTCCATGCCGCCCTCTCCGGAGCTTCCTGCACCCATGAGAAGGTGGATTTCGTCGACGAAGAGCACAATCATCTCCTTGCTCTCCTCAATCTCCTTCAGCACGCCCTTCATTCGCTCTTCAAACTCGCCTCGGTATTTGGAGCCGGCCACGATCGAGCCGACGTCAAGGGACAGAAGTTTGCAAGCCGCAAGCCCAGAGGGCACATCCGCATTGACGATCCGGCTCGCCAGACCTTCAACAACGGTAGTCTTACCGACACCGGGCTCGCCGATCAGGACGGGGTTATTCTTCGTCCGTCTTGACAGGATGCGAATGACTCGTCTGATCTCATCTTCGCGTCCAATGACGGGGTCTATTTTGCCCTCCCTCGCCATGGCCGTCATGTCGATTGTGAATTTCTTCAAATTCTCGTGGTCATCTTCGGCATCGGCGGTCTTGCTGTCGACTCTCCGCGTGCCTCGGATTTGCGTGATTGCTTCGTCGATGATCTTCGCGTTGGGAACGTTGGACTCTTGCAGACACCGCAGAATAGTGGGGTCCTGCACGAGCGCCTGAATTAAATGGTCGACAGCAATGAAGCTGTCCTTTTGCGTCTTGGACAAATCATTCGCGCCTCTCAGCACCTTCGAAAAGGCGGGTGAGACGCCGACTTGCTCTGGCGGAGGATCCTGGCTAGGTAACCGGACCAGCGCCTTTTTCAGAGCTCGATCGAGCAGCTGCACATCGCCGCGTGCTCGCTCGACCACCTGTTTGAAGAGAGATGCCGGTGGAGGTCCATTTTGCTGGTCCTTTGACTGGTCGTGAGGGTCTTCGAGCGCGACTGCAAGATGGATGGGTTGGAGCTGGGAGTGCGCATACTGCTGCGCGAGGTCTTGCGCCTCTGTCAGCGCGGCGGTCGCGCGGTCGGTGAAGTTTTGCAGATTCCCCGAAGTCATGGCTGCGAGAATGTAGTGTTGTAAGCAATTCGAGTCAGGCTGAGACTCGATGCCTGTCGGTGTAGCGTTGGGTTGAGCGCAGCTGAGAGACCGAGCAGTCGAGTATATATGCACACTCGAGTGTCTGGTCCCTAGTTCAGTTGTCGCGAGATGTCAGTATTGAATTGAGTTTGTGGAGAAGAAGAAGAGAAGTTGGTATAACAGTTGTATGAAGTTGCGTGAATGCTGGCAGCGCCTACCTCATTCGGGAAGGTTCTGGTCGGCCCTCGTGTTTTCTAGGCGTTTCTTCGGGACCGGCCCGCTCCGGGAAGTCTAAATTTGACGTATGTCACGAGCAACGAGAACAACATCTCTGTCGAAGGTGAACGTAGAAGCAATCAAGAGTATATGTCAATTCAATATTTTGCACGAATAACATGGTCGTAGGTGGTCAATCTCACTTCAACGATTTTAACGCTGTCATGCTGTACAAACCGCTTCGAGCAGCGATTGTTTCTGCTGTCCATTGATCTCGTCAGAATATAATACCCTTGCTGCCAAACACATCCTCCCAAACATGAAGTGATCCTGAACTAATCGTCTGTCAGCAAGAGACCAAGCAAAAGATAAGCAAGCTTGACAAAAGCGCAAATCCGACGGATTCAGTAGGAACAATTGGTTAATAGAAAAAGCAGTCTCCATCATCAAAACATGATTGCAGAGAGTACGAGAAAGGGTGATCTCATCACATCGTCAAAGACACAAGACAGCAAACGCAAACAAAGACGAAAAACGAGCCACGTACCTGAAAAGATGAACAAAAGCACCCCTCACTCGGCCTTCGGCCTCTCCATCGCAGCCTCGTGCTCCGACCCCGAATTCCCATTCTCCTTCTCCATCTCCACCCCCTCGACGCCCATCTGCTCCTCAATCTCGGCGCGCTGCGCGCCCGTAAGCTGACTCATGTCGATTTCAATCTTGGGGCCCTTGTAGTTCTTTCGCCCGTCCACGAACCATTGGATCACGCTGATCATGAGCACGATGGCGAAGGCGACGATGCAGTAGTTCATATTGGAGCCCGTGACGGGGAGGGCAGGAGGGAAGACGAAGAGGACGGTGGTGAGGATGACGTAGGCGATTCCGAGGAGGTTGGCGGGCCAGGCGAGCCATTCTGGGAGGGCGAAGGCGCGGGCTTCGGGGAGCATGCGTCTGCCGCGGAGCACGTTGATTGCGACGGGGATGCCGTAGGTGAGGCCTAGAGCGACGACGGAGGCGGAGATGATGGCGTTGAAGGCGCTGGTGGAGCCGAGATCGATCAGGCCGAAGATGACGACGACGATGACGGTGAGGGCCAGCGATTCCAGTGGGACATCCAGCGTGGGATGGACACGTGCGAGGAATTTGGAGAATGGGAGGCCGCGATCTCGAGCGAAGGCGTAGGTCATGCGGGAGCTGGTCGTCATGATCGAGATGCCTGCGAACATCAAGCACGCGAGGGGGAAGATTAGCAGGCACACGGTGCCTGCCCTGCTGCCGGTGGCGGTGAGGAGGATCTGACCGAGGGGCCCGTATGTGGAGCTAATGACCTGGTTGATGGGCCCGGCAACAAACAGCAGACACATGAGGAAGATGAAGCCGGTCGACAATCCGATGAGGACGCAGTAAACGAGAATTTTGGGCGCTTCGGTTGCTGCGTTGGGAATTTCTTCGACCATGTGGGCCGTCGCATCGTAGCCTTGCAAGAAGTTAGCGGGAATAAACATGATGTAGGCCATCAGGTATACCTGTCAAGCCTAACCCGCCCTGTAGCAGACCGAGAAGCCAAGCAACGCCGTCTGGCCAGCCCGTGGTGTTGATAAAGTCGGCAAAGACAAGCTCGCCAGAGTTGTAATGAGGCGATGAGCATGCAAGTACCGTGATGGAGATGATGGTGAATCCGGCAATCGACCACGTGATGGCGAACTTGTTGACGTAGGGCAGAATCCTGTTGCCAAAGGCATTCACCATGGCTGCAATGAAAGTGTAGGCGAGGTAGAGTAGGAACTCATGCCAGGTCTTGGCCTTGTAGTTGGGGTGGAAGAGCGGAATGATGCCCACGATCAGGTCGCTGCCGAGCAGGCCAGCGGTGGCTGTCAGTGCCATCCAGCCAAAGACGTTGATCTGGAGAGGGTTAGTATGGTCTTGTAATACTATGTCGTGCAATGCCTACCCATCCGGTGATCCAGCTGAGCAATGGCTTCCATTTCGTCCAGGCCACCACTTGAACCCCTGGAGCGAATCAGCATGGTTTCAGCGACAATGAGTAGAATAGGTTACTCACAATGGTACTGGCCACCTGCTGTCGGGTACGCCGAAAGGAACTCCGCCAACGACGCAGCCAAACACAAGTTACAAATGCCCGCAGTCACCAGACCCCAAAGCACCGAAGTCGAGCCACCCGACGGCAGCGCAAGCGACAGCGAAGCAGAAAGCGCCGTCCAGGAGTTGAGAATGGCAAACGCCAGTCCCAGCATAGAGAGGGGCGAGAAATTGCGCTTCAGCTCCTGCTTGATGCCCAGCGCAGCGAGATGGTCGTGGTCGGCGATGCTGCTGTGCCGGCGGTCCGTGCCCCCGACCGCGCTCAGGCGGCGGGCAAAGTTGCTCTGGCGTCGTTCGGAGGGCATGATTTGCGTCTGCTGGCTCTCCTGGGTGTTGAAGCCCGGTCGGATTGCGCAGAGTTGGGAGGGGAGGAAGAGGGAAGAGGGAGGGGGGAGGTGGTGGTGGTGGTGGGAGAGATTACGGTGCAGCTCTCGCTATCGCGCGTGCGCCGCCGCCGTCGTGGGCTGCTGGTGCCGCCTCAGCCGGGCCGAAAGCAGCAAGTCCATGCACTCGGGGCGGCCGCGTGCGTGTCGCCAGGGTCTGGACTGATCGTGGAATCCGGGGTACATCCGCTTGCTTCCATGGCGATTGTGGAATCACGGGGAGGAGAGTATGACACAGGACGGGAAGATGAGGATTCTGTGCCTGGCCGGAGGAATTCTGTCCTTTCCAGTTTCCCGTGTAGCCTTTTGCCCCAGCATTAGCGAGTCTTGGCTTGAGCTTGTTCCTCGTCAAAATCCGGGGTCGCTCTCAAGTGATATCACGCCCTCACACAAGGTTCGGGCTACGGAACTCAAGATACGAAGGGAAGAGTTTCCATGCCGGGCAACAGCACGCTGAAGCAATACATGTTTACCTCGTGTCTAGATTTCTCTAACCTGACGACCCATTGCATACACTCATCATCACCTTCACAGCTTAGAAGGCGGCGTATCCTGTCGAAGCCTCACAACTCCCTAGAGCGTGACACGTTAGCCGAACAGCAACTCAGCAATCAATCAAAACACAACTCACCTCCTGCACACAACTCGCGACCAACAGGCCCTCCTTCGTATACATCCTCTGCATCACCAAGCCCCTCCCATCCCCACTCCAAGGCGTCTCGCTCTCCGTAAACAACCACTCGTCCGCGCGGAAACTGCGCGGGTTGTGGAAGTAGATGCTATGATCCAGCGACACCATCATGCCAATCTCCGGCCGCTGCTCCTGCGTAAACACCACCTCGTCCTTCTCGTTCACGTCCAGGCCGCGCAGCTGCGTAATCACGTCGTCGTCCACGCCCGTCTCGCGCAGCTTCTCTTCGCCTTTCGCTTTGAGTTCGCGGATCGTTTGCGGCGACATGTTGAACTGCCCGCCGTTGGGGCCTTTCTTGTCTGTCCGGTAGCGCCAGAGCTTGTGTGCGCGTGCTACAGTTCCGATGAAGTACGAGTCGCTCATGTATGCCAACGCGCTGCAGTGCGCCTGGTAGCCGCCTTCGTCGCTAATCCGTCCGCGCGCCCTGATCCATTGCCTGCTACGCTTGGTATGCAGGTCAGGGGAATCGTTATTGAGGATCTGCACCCGCTGGCTGATAAACGGACTATCGCCGCTGCGCGTCGCATCGCCCTCGTCATTCTCCCCCGGCGGCGGCAAGTCCTTCGACATGGGATGCGCATGGCTAATCTCCTTCTTCCCGCCCGCGCCTTCGCGCATGAACGACAGCGTAGTAGTGAAGATGGGCTGCCCGCGCTGCCGCGCCTGCACAGTGCGCGTGCAGAAGCTGCGGCCCTCGCGCACGTGCTCGACGTGGTAGACGATCGGCACTTCCGAGTTGCCGTTCAGCACAAAGTAGCAGTGCATGCTGTGCACCGTGAAGTTCTCGGGGACGGTGCGCTGTGCCGCTGCGAGGCATTGGGCGATTGCCGCTCCGCCGTAGATGCCGCGCGCCCCTGGAGGGTGCCAGAGGGGCCGGGTGTTGGTGAAGAGGTTCGGCTCGATGTCGCTGAGGGAGGTGAGTTCCAGTACATCTTCGATGGCCGATTTGTTCTTGGAGGGCGGAGGGGGCTTGATGAGGGTGGGATGGCCGGGCATGGCGACGAAGGTGCGACGGGGGGTGATGGGAGGAGTGTTGGGGCGGGCGAAGACGAGGTGACTTGGCCGGACAGTGTTGAAGTTCCTCACGGAACATACACGTACGGTCTGGAGCATGAGATTGTAAGGAGCACGATGGTTGATATGGGGGAGCGGGCATGCGTGACGCCAGACCGCGTTCACGTCGAGCCGAGGTTCGGCAACATGCTGCCTCAGGCGAATTTCGATGCTATGAGAGCACGTGAAGCAGCAGCAACAATTCGCAACAGGGTATCATAATCAATCATAATCGTCGCACATCACGCCTTCAACCTCGCCTCCCTGGCGGCAAAATCCCTCGCCATCTGCGCGCGATCCAAAAACTCCTCGCGCGCCAAAAAGCCCCTCTTGCTCTTCCCATACTCGTCCAGCTCCTCGCGCAAGCCTTGCTGGTCCACAAACCCCCGCCAATCCAGCGCACTCTTCTGCACCGTCGTCATCTTCTCCGCCTTCTTGCGCGCCTCCTCCTCCGCGCGCTTCTCCGCCATGAGAACGTCGAGACGCGACGGAGCGCGGGGACGCAGGCGATCGCGCGGCACGCCTTTGATGTTCGCGGTGGGATTGGGCTCGAACATGGATGGCCGCTTGAGGGGGCGTTGGATTCCGCTTTTGTCGGGGGGTCTGTATGACGGGTCGGCCCCGGGGTGTTCGGCGAGGTAGCGCTGTGCCTCTTTGCTGGACTTGGGCACCTGCTCCTGCACCTCCGTCACTTCGCCCGCGTATTCAATCCGACGCACAATCGTAATCATCTCCTCGTCTCCCTCTCGCTGCTGCGGTTGATTCTCCTTATTCTGCTCCTCCCCGCCATCCACCTCCTCCGTCCCAACCCCAGAGCTCGCTAGCGTAGCCCGCCCAACAGGCAACCCGCACAACTCCTCCCACATCTTCTGCACATCAATCGTCACCTCCCCCACCGTGACGCGCTTCCTCTGCTTCCTCTCAATCGTCTCCGCCAACCGCTGCGCGCGCGTTCGCACAAACCCGCCCTCGCCCCCACTATCCCCGGCTTCAACATCCCGCTGCGCAGCGTCTTTCTTCCGCTTCTTCTTCCTCTGTTCCTGGATCGTAGCCTCGTCTCCAGAATCCAGTTCTGCATCGACAGTGTCGGCCGGCGTTTTCCGCTTTTTGCTCTTGGGTGTGCGTTTCGCTGCTGTGCTTGCTGCGGCTGTGGCTGCATCGTCTTCGTCTTCGGAGGAGGAGGAGGCGTCTTCTCCTTCGCGCGTCGCTTCTGGGTTGAAGTCCTCGTCGGCGTTCTCATCATACTCCTCCTCTTCAGACATCTCCACGTCTTCGATTTGGTGCGCCATGTTGGCGGGTGTACTATTGTTGAACACAGACTTGCAAAGCGAAGGACAAAGTCAAGTATCGAAACTCATTCACCTCGAAAGTCCAGCACGTCCGTGCACCCCCAAACTCTAAATTAGGGTGATTGCTCTACACACGGCTGCACATCTAGCAAACCGAATCACGGATCAATCGCTTTAACACCAGAACTGACCAATCTCAGCTCTTCTTCATGTAAAGCACATTACACATCGCCAAACCCCTTTTCCCAACCCCCAATCATGTCCATCATGCCAATCCTCGCACTCTCGCAGCCTTGCCACACCCTCACTTAGCATGCCCATTCGCCTCCCCCTTCTCCGCCGCCTCCTCCAACCTGGCAACAACCTGACTACCCTGCACATCCGCCCCACTAGCCGGCTCATTCTCCGCCAGCACCTGGCGGCGCAAAGGCTCAATGCGACTCGGGCCGGCCTCGGCAGTCGGGACCAGATGCTGATCCGCGGCCGTCGACTTCTTAGGCCGGAAGGGCACGGGGGAAGCAGAGCGGGAATCGAGGAACTACACGCCAAAACGAAGCGATAGGTAAGCAAATGCAATCCAAAACAAGAGTTCAAGGGCAGAAGAGGACGACGCCTCGCACACACGTGATGCGCTGCCGACTTACCGAGCTAGCGGCGCTGAGCAATGCAATGAGCGAAGCCTGCACCACATCCTGATGGATGCCGACGCCCCAGACCTTGAGATTCGAATTCGCCGCCGTGCATTCTATGTACGTCGCGGCCTTCGTCTCGCGGCCGGCGCCGATGGAGTGTTCCTTGTAATCCGCGACGTCCAGGTCGATGCCGAGGCTCTTGAGGGCGTTGGCGAGGGAGGAGAGGGCGCCGTTGCCGATGCCTTCAATCGTGTACTCGTTGCCGTCGATTTCGATGACGCCCTTGAATCTTCGGCGCAGGTTGCGCGAGGAGGCGGTGCGGCCTGCTTCTGCGGCCGGGGCGGGCGAGGTGGTACGGTCGGCGTTGATTTCGTAGTCGACGAGGTGGAAGCGGGGGTTCTTTTCGAGATGGTAGGTGTCGAGGAAGAGGGCTTTGATCTCGGCTGCCTGCAGTTCGCGGCCCAGCATGTCGGTGTGCTTTTGGACAATCTTGGAGAAGACGATTTGAAGGCCGCGCGGGAGGTCGAGTTCGAGAGTGCGCTTGATCATCCAGGCCACACCGCCCTTGCCCGACTGGCTGTTGACTCGGATGATGGCTTCGTAGTTTCTGCCAATATCCCGCGGGTCGAGAGGGAGATATGGCATGATCCATGGATCGGTCTTGCTGAGTCCCGCCGCTTCTCGCGCCGAGAAGCCCTTCTTGATGGCGTCCTGGTGGGAACCAGAGAATGCGCAGCAGACCAGTTCGCCACCGTAGGGAGCTCGCTGGTGTACGGGGATCTTGTTGCTCGTCTCCACAATGTCAATGACGCTGTTGATGTCGCTGAAGTCAATACCGGGATGAATGCCCTGGGTGTAGAGGTTCAAAGCCAGAGTGACGAGATCGACATTCCCCGTCCGCTCTCCGTTCCCAAACAGCGTGCCCTCCACTCGATCCGCACCCGCCATCTGCGCCAACTCCGCCGCCGCGACCGCACATCCACGGTCATTATGCGGATGCAGCGACACGCAAATCTTCTCTCGCTCGGTCATGTTTGTGCAAAAGTACTCAATCTGGTCGGCGTAGACATTCGGCGTGCTCATCTCCACCGTCGCCGGCAGATTGAAGATGATCGGGTTGTCCACACTCGGCTCCCACGCCGCCTTGACGGCCTCGCAAATCTGAATGACAAAGTCCTTGTCGGAATCGCTAAACGTCTCCGGCGAGAACTCGTACGCCCACTGCTCCACGCCGGAATTCGGATCGTCCTTGGTGATGCTGCGCGCGTAGCGAGTGCAGTCGACGGCCAGGGCGATTTGTTGCTCGTTGGTCATGCCGAACACGACCTGCTGAAAGCACGGACTCGTCGCAACGTACAAATGCAGAATCGCCTTCTTCGCACCGCGCAGACTGTCGACCGTCGTCCGGATCAGCTCGCGCCGACAAGGCGAGAGGACCTGCAGCCAGACATCGCTGGGGACCGCGCCGGGGGTGGAGACGAGCTTCTTGGTGAAGTCAAAGTCCGTGGCGCCGGAGGAGGGGTATGAAATCTCAATCTCTTTGTAGCCCAGCTGCACGAGCATTTGGAAGTAGCGCCACTTGCCCTCGCCGTCCATGGGGTCCGGGAGGGACTGATTGCCGTCGCGCAGGTCGGTGGCTAGCCATCGCGGCACTTTGTCGAGGGTCTTGGAGGGCCATTGGCGGTTGGGGAGGTGGAGGGGCTTGAATTTGCGGTATTTTTGCGAGGGATCCTTGAGCCTGTGGGTGTGTTAGGAGGGAGGAGGGATTGTGTGACTCGGACGCAGGCTTACATGGTCATCTTGCCGAAACGTCCCAGTGAGTGACTGGGAGTTGGGAAGAGAAGGCGGTGATGCTGACGCCGCTGTTCGGTGTCGAGGATTCGTATTTATGCAGTAGAGGTCAACCGGGCGAGTACAAGTATCGTCTCACCGTGCAGCAGTAATGAGAATGGTCCAAGGTGGTCAATGTACAGAAGACGGAAGTGTAGTCATACCAACCCACCGACCTATGACACAACTTCAAAATTTTACGCCAATTGGAAGGTGTGGGGAGAGAGAGCTTCGCTGCAGGGACCCCGCGAACCGACCACGACAGCCTGCACGGACGCGCCATGTCACGTTTCCTCGAGAACTCGCAGTACACACTGCCTGTGCGCCTTGTAACCCTCACAGCCGTGATACTCGTCATTATTAGGGGAGTGCAACACTATGAAACACGCCCTCGCTCAATGCCCCATCCCCTCCTGGTGCTAATGCAACGTAACACTGTCCTGCGCGCGTTCAATAAGCAATCACCTTGATCTTCTCGCGCGTCTCCTCGGGGAGCTCTTCCGCCTTCACCAAGCCCAGATGAATCGCGTCGGCCCAGCAAAACATGGCGCGATGCTGCGCGTAACCCAGATAGTCAAACTCTTCTTCCGCCTCCTCCTTCATCTCCGCCCCATCCGCGCCCTTCACGTCTTCTTCTTGTTGAGCAGTGAGATGTCTGTACACCTCCGCCTCCTCACCCAGGTCCTCTCGCGCAGCAGCTTCGGCATCGTCGTCCGCGGCGGGGCCTTTCCCTTCCACTTCGTCGTCGTCAAACTTGGGCATTCCCGGCACAGCGGCTTGCACGATACCCCAAGCAACCCACTGCGCCGTATTCGCCAGTCGCCACATCCGCGTCTCATGAAGCAGCCGCGCAACATCGCGGTCTTCTTTTTCCTTGCACGCCTTCTCCTCATTCTGGAGGTGCAAAGATGAAGAAGATGATGACGTGGCAGCCGGAGCACGCGCGTCCAGCATAAAGTCCGAGATGGATGAGGTCGGCCGTCGACTCAGACCCTCCCCTGGCTGAGCTGGAGTGCTCCTGGGCGAGCTGGGCTGCATCTTAGGCGTAGACACGTTGAACTGCGGTCGGTGTCGCACGTACGCGCGGATGAAACGATCCTGTTCCTCCGGCGTCGGGTACCAATTCGAGTGAAAGGCGTACGGCTTGCGCTCATCGTGATAGTTGTAGCACCACTCGGTGAAATGGTTCGCAAACTCTTGCCCGGGCAGGTTGGCGTTGGAGTATTCAAAGTCGATGACAATGAGGCGCTTGTGCGTGTTGGCCGGCAGCAGGAGGGGTGACTCGCCGGTAGGCATAAGGCGCAGGATATTGCCGTATTGCGTGTCGTTGTGAGCAAACACGAGCTGCTTTCTCAGCGCCTTTGGCCCTCCGTATCTATCTTCCAGCCACGCCCGGTGCTTTTCCACCATGCTGCGGAACTGCTTCCACGGCACGCCCAGAATGTAGCCTCGACGCTTCCATGCTTCTGCGCCAGTGGGCTTAACACCAGGCTTCAGTCGCATGACTTCGCAGTCGAGCCACGACACCACCTTCTCCACCCGACGAACCCACTTGTCCCAATTGCGGAAGACGAACGGGCCGTCATCACGCTCTTGGTCGAGCAGGTCGATACCATCATGCAACTCGCGCATCCGCTTGGCAATCTGCCTGCTCGTGTCCGGATTGCGTAGATCCTCGGGTGTCAGAGGCTTGGCGTTGAGATATTCTTCGAAGCGACCATTGGCGAAAGTGCCCAGCAGGCGAGGACCAATGTTCTTCTTGCAGAGACGGCGGAGAATGGCCAGCTCAGACTGGCGATCGATAAGATGATCCACTTGCGGCCCGTATACACGCAAGAGTAGCTTCGGTGGTGGCTTCTTCCGATCTACCTGCGCGTTACCATTCTGGTCTTCTCCGCGCGGTGTGAGATTCGAAGGCGGCGAGACAACGTAAACGGCATTCGTCAACGCTCCCGACAGTCGCTCCACGCTGATCTTATTACTCATGTTCATGGCAACTCTGCTCCACCCCTTCAATCGGAGGGTGTGCGTAAGGCGGACAATTTCGAATTTGAACTTGGCCCAAGCATCCACATCACGGTACGACGAGGTCCGCTCGAGCTCATCATCGCTGGAGTCGGAGTCGGATGAAGCGCCTCCAGTGTAGGACAGGGTGTTGGAGTTGTCGAGAACGACGTCGCAGGTCGCGACGAGGGTTTCGCCTTCGTAGCTGGTGGACTCGGTGTCGGAAGCGATGGATTGCTTGCGCTGCGCTTTGATGATGGAACTCTTCCGACGCGGGCTCCTGTTGCGATTGTGCCGAGACCGTCGGTCGAGCGAAAGGTTGGACTTGATGATGTCCTAGAAAGCGTTTCCGCCGATTAGCTTCTTCGAGATAAAACACCGAGACATGGAAGATCTGTGCCTACCTCGAGTCTGTCCAGGTCAAAGGAGGGATGATGGCGATGCTTCCCACCTCGAGCACTCTCCTCCTTTCCATCAATTTGGCCATTAGTCTCACTCGGCCCAGTCTCGTGATCGGATCGCTTGCTCCGTTCGTGCTTGATCCATTGCGAGACCTGATCGATGAAAGAATCCAGATGCTGCGAGCTGAAGCGGCGATGCGACGAGCCCTCACTTTCCTCCCCCTCGCCGTAATCGGAATTGATGGAGTTGATCGAGAGACTGCTAGCCTGCTTGAACAGCGGCGTCGGGCAATCTGGAAGGCGGCCGGAGAGGCGTTTGGAAGCTGGGCCGCGGGTAGAGAACTTGCGTGGACTTGGGCGGTCCAAGTCGAAGTCCGAATCTACCTGCTTGTGATCTCCCAGGATCAAGGGAGAGATGACTTCGGGTTCATGGGCGATGGAAACAGCTGAGAGGCACGCGTTCAATTAGCGAGCTGCATCGTAGAGCAGCGAGGGGAAGCCTCACATTTGTTGGAAGGGGTGCGTCGCGGCGACTGATCGTGTCTCATGCCAAGATAAGAGCCAGGGCTGGCGCCGCCATCGAGCGAGGCAGCATCGCCGCCACGTTGGTCCGAGTCAGTTCGAAGAATGCTCTGCGGCCTCACCTTCTGTTCCCCGTGAGGCATCAGAGGGGTGGAGGGCTATCAGTTAGTGCCGGCGGACGCGTGCCGCGAGACAATCCAAGGCAGCAGAGGAGAGGAAGACGAGTGGGTGGGTAGCAGGGTGGAGCTGCGCCGCTATGTTGAATAAGGGTGGGCTCTCTCTGCAGCAGCATGCAAGAAAGGGAGTCGGGGCGCGGTCTACCTTTTCACGTGTGCGTCGTGTGTCTAGACTGCGGTGGGATCTAGGCGGGTAATTAACGGGGTGGAGTGGGTGTACTGTAGCACGGTGTGTGGCGCGGCGGAGACACGTCTTTCCTCCAAGGTTCCCGGCTTTCTTTCAAGTTGCCAATTTCCGAGTCATGTGATTCAGCCGGTCAGCCAATCACACGGCGCTGCGGGAAAGGCTGATCTCTTTATCTACCAGATGCGACCACCTCACCTTATCTTCACCTCCTTCGCTTGCCACCCAGGACTCGGCGAGATATGTCCATGGCACACAGGGAGCTATGATGTATCATCTACATTTAATTTCCTCCGCCTCAGAGATGCTGAGACGGCATAAGTTATACCTCGCGGGGTGAGCTCACAGGAGAGCCACATGCAAGTAAGGACCACAACCACCCACTCGTCCCGTAGCAGTACAAGGCCGCCGCCGCCGCCGCCCAGCTTTTGGTGGACAAAAGCAACAATCAATGCCCCCAATCCGTATGCTCCCCTGGTCTTAACGGTACAAGCAGATCGCCGTCCATCCAACTCCCGCCCCCACCACCCCCAGAGATTCGTAATAGACATTTGACAACCCGAACCCCCAACCCAATCGAATCGTATACAAAGCCGAAACCCCCCAATCACTCCCCTTTCACAATATCCATCATCCGCCGATCGGTACCACCACTCGGCGGCATCCCGCGCTCAATCCACCGCGACAAATTCGTAATCAGCTTCTCGGAATGCGCCTCGTCGAACTTCTCCAAAATGGCCTGGTGCAAAACGTGCCACTCAACGGTGAGGTTGCGCTTCCCCTTGGTCTTCGGCTTCAGATGCGTCTTGAAGTGGTCGCACGCATTGTCCGACCGGCCGATGCCCCACGTGCAATCCGGGAGCGGGCATCTGTACGCGCGGAACAGGCTGTGCGAGCCGACGTGGCGCTTGAGGTGTTCGGCGCGCTGGAAGCGGCTGCTGCATTCTTTCCCGCTGGGCAGGATGTGCTCGCATTTGAACGGCTTCAGCTGGGCCTGAGAGGGGACTTTGATGGGTTTGCTGAGGTCGAATTCGCGCCCCTCGCACTTCACTTGGATCCCGCCCGACTCGTGCTCGTGCCAGGCACGCTTCTCGTTACGAGAGCGCTTGCTGCCCGGGCGTCTTGGTGCAAAGGGGCTTCGCTTGACGGTGCGCGGATGGTATGGCTTGGTGTCGGTGGACGTCTCTTCCGCTTTGACCAGGAGGTACTCGCTCTCCGCATGGTCAAAGTACATGTCCATGGGGCTCGGCGTGCTCATCATCTCGAAAGACCCGAAACTATTCGCCGCCGAGTTTGGGAGACCACCGATGAAGCCTTCGTTGCTCGACTCCGGGCTGGAGTACTCGGCGAATTGCGACTGGTAGTAGACATCTTGCGGAGCGAGCAAGGAAGGGACGACGACTTGCGGATGGTGATAAAGGGCGAGATCTTGGTTGGCAGGCTCGTGCGCCGAACCGAGAATGTTACCGTCGATGCTGCCGCCGCGAAGTGTCGTGATGGACTGTCGGGGGTTGTAGTACTGCGAGTTCGCCGTGCGCTCGGACGGATGACTGTGTGGTGTGTCGAAGAGATCCGACGCCAGGCACGGCATCTGTGCACCGAACATAGACGCCGTCGACTGAGACCATGCGTCAGGCTGCGAGAGGGCGGAGGGGTAGTGAAGAGCGAAAGGGTCGACGATGCCGTGCTTCTCAGAAACGGAGTACGATACAAAGCTGTTGGCTGGCGTCGTGTGGACAGCATCATGGCGAAAACTGCTGTTGCCAAAGGGCGTGTCGATCAACTGGCTGGAGACGGCAGTCCTCAAGGCGTCGACATCGGACCACGAGGGTTCAAGATTGCCATGCCCGTGGTGAGTCCTATTGACAGGTGTAGTTGGTTGGGAGAAGACGGTGCCATAAGACGGACAGGAGCCGTCGAACCATGAGTACTGTGTGGACGGCCGTCGACTCTCGTTGGCCGAGTGCGGTGGGGTGTGCAATCCTGCATACGACAACGCAGTCGTAATCTCCTCCGCCGTCGGCTTGGTGTCGAGAGAGGGAACCATCTGGCTTCTGCCCACACGAGATGGAGTCGTCACTGAAGACATGTTATCAACGTTTTCAATGTCGTCTCGTCGTATCTCATCACAATCGATCAAAGGAGTTGGGAACAATGTGCTTAACAACCCGCAAGGAGCCGGTTGAATGAATGCAACGAAAGGAGGAGTCGTCAAGGCGGGACAGTCGATTGAAATAGAAAGTCCCAAGGGCGAAGGCAGGTGGCTTTTTCAAAGGCCAGCCTTCGAGTAAAAGAGACGTTCGAGGTGCCGACTGTGGAACATGTCCTGGCCGCGAGAACGAGCCGCTCTGGGGGGATCAGGACGGCAACGGCATGCCTATGTCAGGGTTCCGGGAAGATGGTGAGGCAGCGCGAGGAATGAGTGGCCAGGGTGTGGATGCTGCATGCACGGCTGCGACGTACCACTGTCCCGCGAACCATGGAATTGCCGGCAACAACAGGCGATCTGTTTAATTTCCAGACTCGTCTGACAGCAAGGAGGCTGGACACTCTTTACTACGACAGCCCAAAGATCTCAGCGCCTTTCGAGCACAAGAAGCAAGACATTAGGCCTTCCCACGGCAGCCCGACCTTGCGAGGGGAGCCAGAGATGTGAGGCAGGCCGCAGGTGCCTTGCAGATGGCTAGCCATCCATTTCTGGGTTGGATCAGAATTGTAGGTCCACTTCATTTCAAAACAGCAGCCGGCAGAGGAATGTGTTGACACGGCGTACCATTCCAGCGGGTCTCTCTTTTTGCCTTTGTTGATGAATGTCATCTGTCACTCCTAACCCACGTGCGAGTACGAGATCGAGTCAGGCGAGCAAAACGAGACCAGCTCCAGATGTATCCGATCAACGCAATGGAGTATGCCTGCCCAGCCTAATCAAGCATTCAGGGATGCTTCTCCAAGATGGCCCAAGAGCAGACGGCACAGCAACGTAGGGAGTGCATCTAAACTCCCCAATCGAACGGGCCCGGAATTGATTCGCTGCTCCACATCTGCAGCGTTGTGCTACGTATCGAAACCCCTTCCAGACACGGACTTCTAGACGGGGCTGGAATTGCCACCGGCGGATCTTTCCCCGCGATCGAATGGGCACTGTCATCGGCATCGTCGAACCGTGAAGACCAAGTGTGAAAGACAGGTAACGTTGGGGCGCCATCACATGCTCGCGAATATCTGCGTGTATCCGTGGCATATCGCATGAACAGCACCGAGCCACGCCTCGTGTCAAAGTAGGTACCCAGAGGCACGCGAGCGAACTGAACTGAACTGGCCCGTGTGTAATCGTGGGGTTTGACGCCATCGGCCGCCTAAGATTAAACGTGCTTCCCCATGTTATGTCCTGGAATGGATCGGCGCAAGAGGGAGGTTGGCGTTACACGGCGTCAAGCCATACGGCAGACGCACGGGCCGAGAAGGGCGGAGCCGCGCCATGACCCTTTCGAGCATACTGCATGGGTGCGGATGCCATTGAGATTTCAAGAGTGGAATAGAATGCTTGCAATCATGTCAACAAGCAGGTTTGCGACGTTACAAGCTCTTGTTCGTTTGGAATCTTGCCCGGACTGCCGTGGGCTTCAGTCAATGACACAAGTGGCAACACAGGATTGCATTCCGGGCACCCAAAAACACGTCCCTGTTCCTGAAAATCGATCGCAAATCGCAAAAGCTTGTCGCCACAACGTCAGGGAACTGCGCAAACCCCCACACCAAAGCGGCACGGATCGATGACTTGCATGCCGGCTTGGGTCCCTTCTCGATCAACGAAAGTCACACGGCAGTCCACAGCAGGGACCCGATCGGCCACGCAGAATTCCTAATCAAACCTGGTCCAAGTCTGTGCATCTCTGCGTTCTGTTGTGCTTTATCGTTGGCATGCGGACCAGGATGTCGTTTTGAGAGGGGAGAGAGATTTCCAGCATGCTCAGGACTGCGTTGTGGAGTTCTCTTCCCAATGGCATGCCGTAGTGGAGAACAACTGCAAGGCAACCAAATCGATAATGCTGTCGTTCCTGCATTGACAGCCCTCCACGAAACGCAATCAAGCAAGTCAAGCAATTGCAAATCTCCACAGCCAAGCATGCGAGGGAGACTGTTAAGCAGCAGTCTCGTTCACGGCCCGAAAACTCCCGCTCTCTGCTTGAATTCGCGGAGGCGCTCGGACTTCAATCGTATCCTCATCTTCCATGCTCGCTGGTCGCGCCTCGGGGACAGTGCCATTCGTCAGGCGCGCTGGAGCAAAAGCACGATCATCCGTCTTTCCCTCTTTCCGATTCCCGTTGTCATGCTCGACTCTCTCGTCACCAGAGGTAACAACAGCAACATCGTTGTCGGTAGGAGGTTGACTGTCCTCCCAGCCCCGTCGACTAAGGTCTTTCGCCCGTTGCAACCCCTCTTCGTCATCTCTCATAAGCTCCACGGCCGCTTCATGCTCCCGCTCTGCCTTTTCGCCCAGAGCCTCCAGGTCCTCGAGGGGGTTACTATCGTCATCCTCGTCTTCGCTGTCGTCGTGCTCATGATTGCCATGCTCGCCTCCTCCATTCGTATAGCCATTAGCTCGGCCGTTCGTGCTCGAATTATGCTCGCCCGCTTCGTAAGCCGCTTCCATGAGGTGGTCGAGCTCGCCTAGTTCCTCTCGCGAGACTTCCCGCCAATGGCAGCGCGCGTGCTTCCGCGTACAGCCGGCGCAGGAAGTGAGATTCTTGACACAATCCATGCGTAGACGACGGCAGCGATCGCAGGGCGGTATCACACGCTGGCCGCGCGGCAGGCCGTCCATGTGGGCCTGACAGAGCGGACGGAAAGGTTGGCCGGCTTCCGACTCCGGAGGAAGCGGGCGGCTGAAATTGTGCTTGGAGGCACCCTGACCTGCCCCAGTGGCGAGGCTCCCAGTGCTGGAAGACGGTCGGTGGCCAGTGCCTGTGGATTGCCGGCCTATTGTCGGAGTGTCCGTGACATAGTAGCTGAGTGGATCGTTGCCGAATGTGTGATTGGGAACGGGGGAGAGGGAGGAGGCGGTGGAGTCCACCCCACCGTTGCCGCGATGGCCTTCTGCAGGCCTCGTTGCATGACTGCTGCTGCTGTCTGGTATTGTGACGATTGAATGCTGCCTCGGAGGCGCACGATTATGGCCTTGGTTGTGAGGTAGACTCTCAAAATGGCGGACCAAATCATTTCGCACGGTCGTGAGGTTGCCCAACGACGCCTCCACCTCGCTACCCGACCGGGGGCCAACCGAATTGGAGTTGACCGCCGTAAAACCAGCATCGGAAGACACTGGGAACGCAGTGGTGGTCTGTTGTATGCTCGCTTTCGCCGGTGTTCCACTTCCCCCTTCCGCCCGCCGCTCCAGAATGGCCGCTCTCCTGCCTTTCAACCTGTGGCTCAACTGTCTTGTCCTGGCGGCCACCATATCAGCAGCATTCGTGAGCTCCTTGAGCTTCGCCTCGAGCACATCGCATGTGGCCACTTCCTTCTCTTCGTCCTCCCAGATGGGCAGCGGGGGTATCAACTCTTGACAACGCCCGCTGTTGATGAACAGGAAATCCTCCTCGCTGATCTGCACGCGCAGTTGCTTCTGTGGGTAGTAGAACTGGCATACTCGCTTGCCCTCGGAGAAGGAGGTGAGTGTGAATTGGGAGGGATGGGAGCGGGCGAATTCAATGACCTCGAGCCAGGTGATTTGCTGCGTCTCTTCGGTGCCAGTGGAGGCAGCCTTGTGGTGGGAGGCGACGACTTTGGGCGGGGCATCGAAGCAGCGCTCAAAGCGTTTGATCAAGATGGGACCAAGCGGGCGCGCGCCAAGGTTAGAGGCCAGCGACTCATGCCGGTCGAGGACGTTGGTGTAGGAGGCCAACAAGCCGAGTAGATTGGGCAGGGAATCCTCCTTATTGATGAGAGGCAGGTCTTCTTGCGACTGGCGGGCGAGGTAGTTGATTTGCAGGGGAGTGGCGCTGGTTTTGCTGACTTTGGGGGCGGGAGCGGAGGAGGTCTGGGAGGCGGAGGAAGGGCTTCGTTTGCGTTTGCCGGCGGTGGGGTCCGCGCTCGACTCCATTTTCGGGGAATGTCAAGGAAATGGAGACATGGTTTGCGAGGTCATGGGAGGGAGAGGAGAGGAAGGAGGAGGATGAAGGGAGGAGGGATGTGGAGGATGGGAAAATGGCGGAGAGGAGGGAGAGGAGCGCGGGAGTTGGGGGGCGCCGCCCCGCCCGCACGGCGCGAGTGGGTGTGTCGCCCACCCCTACCTCCAGGCACCCAGCTGCCTGCACGCCCGTACCTTGCTCCGCAACGCGCGGCAAGGCCAAGCAATCCCTCTAGCCGAGTCGCTCAATGCCCGGTAGGTACCATTAATCATCACCAGCGCGGCGCTGTGCATGGAAAGAGTGCAATGTGCAATCCCGGAATTCCGTCTGCGCCCAACTCGAGAGACAAGCAGGCAAGCAGCAGCGGGAGGGAGGGGTGGAGCGCACCTGCCCAAGCAATCCAAGCTGCCCTGCGCGCCGAAGTTCCGGGGCGGCGCTCCTGGAATTTTCAGCCAATCACAGTGCACACTCAAAAAGTTCCACCACCTCCAACGCACACCACACCTCCGTCGTCTATTCCTGTAGCCCACATTCCCACGCATTCAACCGTAGACTACTATGTCAGAACGCGGCAATTTCAGAGGCGGTGGCGGCGGTGGGCGAGGAGGACGCGGCGATCGCGGAGGACGAGGGGGCGGTGAGCGAGGAGGGCGTGGCGGAGGGAATCAAGCCGGCGGAGGTGGTGGTGCTGCTCCCGCCGCGGAGCGCAAGAAGGAGAACATCCTCGACTTGACCAAGTACATGGACAAGGAGATTACGGTGAAGTTCAACGGAGGCCGAGAGGGTGCGTCAATTCCCGTCGTTTGACGTGAAAGGGTCCCGCAGAACTGATCTGTGCTTTTGCTACAGTGACCGGCACGCTCAAGGGCTACGACCAATTGATGAATCTGGTTTTGGACAATGTGAAGGAGATTACCAGAGGTGCGTGGCGGAACGCGTCTTTCCTCGTTTCATCACTGCAACCTCAACACAGCTAATACATGTGACAGACGATGAAGGGAACATGAGCACGCGCTCACTCGGCCTGCTCGTAGCACGCGGCACGCTGCTCGTGTTGATCTCGCCAGTCGACGGGAGCGAGGAGATTGCGAATCCCTTTGTGCAAGCGGACGATGATGAGTGATGCTGCGCAATGCCAGGAAGGCAGGGTACCGATGCTTGTCAGACGATAGCCACTGCGCGGTTGAGGGAGTGCTGGCAAGCGAACCTCATGGACGCGCATAGATGGAGTGAATGCCGCTGTGCTCGTGCTGGAGAGCCGTACAGATGCAGCGAGAACTTATGGGGCGAGAAACGACGGACGAAGTAAGGAAGAGAGCAGACATCGGCCGTGGATTTGCCCAATTCATTATCGGCGGCCTCAAGTCCCAAGCTGAAAAAACTAAAGCAATGGTATCAAGCTATGTATTGCAAAGACCAAAGAATCGAAAACGAAAAGCCTCGGTCAGCACGCATGCCTCTTCCCACCCTCCTCTCCCTCTCGCGGAAGAATAATCAACTACAAATCCTGCTTATGCTGAAAGACCTCCGATCCGTCGTGCTTCATGACCAACGCAGGGGCATCCGGCGGCGCTCCCTCGTTGACAATGTGAATCAGCCCATCCTCGCCCACAGGCAACCCCACACCAGCCTCGGTCATGTATTGCCCACTAGACCCGGCCGCCGCTTGCTTCCCCGTCCCGCCCTCCGCAAGAGGATGCCCCGCAGAAGCAGTCTGCGCAGCCGTGACCGCATCTGGACTACTCTGCTGCTGATGCGCATACTCCCTACTCCCCGGGCTGTCCGGCTCGTCGTTCTCCTTGCGGTTCTTATCGCGATGCAGCAATTTCGAAAGGAAGCCGGGCTTCTTCTCCCCGGCCTGCTCCTCGCTCTTCTTGTGCAGATGATGGCGGCCGTCGGGGTCGATAGACACGCGGTTGTCATCGGGCGAGACGGCTGCTTTGCCGTTGTGGTCGTCTTCGTGGTGTCTGGTTGCTTCGTAGCCTGCTGCGCCTCCTGTGGCGGCGGTGGCGGCCGCGAGAGCTCCGTCGCGGCCGTAGTCGTGTTGGGGCTTTTCGGCGTTGATGTTGCGGTCTTCGGCCTCGGGACGGTCGGTCCTGACGTTGGTGTCGTGGGGCTCGACTCTCCCTGCGCCTTGCGGTGGATGATTGAATTTCGCGGGTCCCTGTGGAGCCTTGACGTCCCTGCGAGCCTCGACGGCCGCTACTCCGACGGCGCCAGTGCCTGCAGCGCCGGCTCCGATCAATGCCGCATCACGGCCAGTGTGGCTTTCCGTCGCTGCGAATTGTGGAATGATATGCGATCTTGCTTCGGGTCGGCCAAAGAAGCGCTGACGGTTTGAATGGCCGACTTCGCGCGCTCCCTCTTCACCTAATCCGGAAGACGCGGCTGCTGCGCCACCTGCGCCTGCAGTCACTGCTCCGATCGTCGCAGCACGGATAGGTGCTGCAGTGGGCGCATGACTGGTGTGCGTTATTGGCGTCAGCGTGACTGGTGCCGCTGCCACCGCCACTGGGGCGGCAGTGGAAGCTGGGACGCCAGACGGCGCATGGGGATCCATGCCATCTTCTCTCGGAAACTCGCCAGGGACGTGCAGTCTGCTCACGCTGTCCATCTGCTCTGGGCGCGGGCGCTGCATGATTTCACCGCTGGTGGTTTCGGGCGCCACAATCTCGCGGTCTCTAGTGGCGGCGTATGCGCCGCCGCCAACCACGCCTGCGCCAGCACCTACGAGTGCAGCGTCACGGCCCAAGTGGGAGTCGCTGGGAGTCGTTCCTGGTGCTGCCGTTGGGGCTTCCGAACCGGAAGGTAGTGGGTATGAGCGTTCGGTGTATGTCGATGCGGTTCCTGGAGGCGGGTGCGACGCAGCAGTGACATTGGACGAAGCCGGTTGGTCATGGCCTCTGGTAGCGGCGTATGCACCTCCACCGACTACACCTGCACCGGCGCCGGTAACCGCAGCATCTCGACCAAAATGGGAGTTATCTGCTGTCGTCGTTGCTCCAGGAGGCGGATGCGATGCCGCGGTGACATTAGACGAAGTCGGTTGATCGTGGCCTCTGGTAGCAGCGTATGCACCGCCACCGACTACACCTGCACCAGCTCCCGCGAGCGCGGCATCCCGACCAAAGTGGGAGCTATCTGTCGTCGGCGGCGGCTGCGAAACCGCGGTGACGTTTGACGAGTTGTGTTCGTTCGAGCCCAGATGATGCGCTCGTTCGGTGTACGTGGCTCTCGACACGTCGTCATGCGTATTTACGCGAGGGTTAGGTTCGTGTGCGGCGTCATCGCGAGGATGGGACTCATAGGCGGCTGCGCCGACGCCGGTGGCGCCGAGAGCCCCTGCTCCAGCCACTGTCGCTCCTTGTCCGAGCTCGTTGTCATGTGCTGTCGGTCTGGAAGGTGTTAGTCCTGGTTCGCTCTGACATGGCGGTGGAGGCGTAACGTACTCCGACGCAGATGCTTCGGAATCTTTGTTCTTGGAGGACCTGATAAGTGTTAGCTGATGGCTTACAATGAACTTTCGCTCTCTTTATGAACGTACCTGAACTTGCTGAGCAAGCCGCCCTTCTTCTGCGAATCTTCGCCAGGTTCCTCAGACTTCTTCCTTTGCTCTTCATAGGCTAGGCCGCCAATGCCAGCCGCGCCGGCAGTGCCCGCTGCAGCCACACCTGTCTCTTCGCGATGGTGTTCGGACGATGCTTCGCGAGACTTATCGTCTTTGTCGCTCTTCGAACCCCTACAACGGGTAAGCTGGCCGCTTGTGCACGATATATTTTGTGGAAACCAACCTCAACTTGCTCAACAGACCGCCCTTCTTTTCTGAATCTTCGCCATCATGCCTCGCATCGTCCGACGACTGCTTCCTTCTGGCCTCGAGTGCTGCGGCACCGGCGGCGCCGGGGCTGGCGCCAGTAACGCCGTGCTCTTCGCGCCACTTTTCGTAGGGAATGTCTCGGGGCTGCTCGTCCTTGTCGCTCTTTCCCCTGCAAAAGTCGTCAGCACTCCGCAGATAGACGCTAGTGGGGCGGTTGGAACGCACATCAATTTGCTCAAGAAGCCTCTCTTCTTTGGCTCGTCGCCCGTATCCGTGTCTCTCTCGTCGTCGGCTGCCGTCTCATCTCTCCTTGTGAGACCTTCGGATCGTTGTTGTTCGCCATGGGCGGCACCGCTGATCAGGAAGCATGGTTAGTGTGTTTCTGGTCTGCATCATGCTGAAGAAGTCATGATAGCTTACGGGTTGGATTGCCCGAGAGAGTCGACGTTTTCTTGGTGGAGTCTCTGGCCTTCGCTTCTGCTCACGGGCGAGCCGGAGCCGTAGAGGATCTCGTCATCCCCGGTATCACCAGCGCCGCTGCACGAGATATACTGTTAGGCAGGCAAGGGGAAGCATGGAGAGGGAAAACATACAACGCCTTCTGGACGGGGTTGGTGCTCATTTTGACTGGCACTGCTGGTGCTGTGTTAGGTAGGTAAGGGAGTGGAAGGAGGGAGAGAAGTAGTTTGAGAGCGGTGTAAGTGAAGACAAAGAATGAGCTCTACCTTACACGAGAGCACAAGCGGGGCAAGCTCTCGTGTCTCTCAGGGTCAAGGTCGGGTGCGGTGTAGAAGGACGCGATGATGGCGTTCTTCAACTACGTCATGGTCACCAGCAATCCAAGTTGCGTGGACGGAGCTGCCCCTCATCTCCCGTCAAGCGATAGCAAAGCAGGAAATTGGATGGCGATGGCCAAGCTCCCAAGCTAAACTGTTCGCTTGTGTTTTCCTCGATTGAGGGTGCTGATTGCGATGGCTTGGGTTGAAGTCGACCGCGAGTTAGTGCTTCACGGTCGACGTGGTCATCCATATGGTGCAAAGTTATGCTGTGAAGGAGTACCAGGCGAGGAACACGTGGGTAAGTGTTAGAGAGCGTGATGCGTGGTTGGAATGCAACCACCATCCCACGTCCGCCTGCAAAGCAACCCTCACGTTCATCATTGCTGTTGCAGTCGAGCATCCGCGCAGTGTTGCATCCATTTTTCCCGCGCTCTCGTCAGCCGCATCGGCGAGTGGGACGCATTCGGGCTAAAATGCCGGCTCTACTCTCACCCTCGCCCCCCTGCATCTCTCCACGCTTTCACCCCATCGTTCTCTCCACCTTCCCGCGACGGGGCGAGACTCGCCTTTTCGGGGCGCCAATTTTCCTTTAAAACGCTATTCTTCGCGGCGCCGTGAGAAATCAAATCCAGCATTCGAATCGACCTTTGTCCTTGCACGAGGTCGTTCTTGCCTTCGTTTGCAGGATTACTGATTGCCCACTGCCCGATTTGGCAAGAGCGTGGAACGTGGATCGAAGGAAGGAAAACCCGGCAAAGACCGACCCCACCACACCAGACGGCGTGCACGTTTGCATATGACATAACTGCCTCTCCGTCGTTCCGACTTCCGATTTCTGATCGCGCATTACGAAACCCCCCAACGTCAATCCTTGCCGAGCCGTGAGAAAAGGCGACCTCCACCCACCCACCACCTGTCTCCCTCCTTCTCTGTCTTCCTCTCTCACGCCCTCGCTGGGTCAGCAAGTCCACACGCCGCCCATTCACTAAATCCCTCAACCACACAACCACCCTCACCCTCTCCATCCCGTCGGAAAAACCACACCCCAGTCCAAGACCCACCCCAGGGCACCCAATCACCGCATGGTCAACCCAGCATAATCATCACTCTTCACCCTATCCCTATTCACTCCCACATTTCCCATCGACGCAATTCCACCCACCTCAACCAATCATGCCCTTCCGCACCAAAGCCAAAGCGCTCTTCAAATCCTCCAAAACCCGCTCCACCTCCTCCTCCAACGCCTCCACCTCCGCCTCCTCCTCCGACGGCCCCAACCACGACGTCTACAAACCCGGCGAGCCCATGCCGCCCCCCAAATACCGCCGCCCGCCCGCCCGCGAACACACCGAGAAGCTGGAGAGCTTCTCCTTTGCCGACGCGTGGCGCAAAAAGAGCTTCCAGAGCTCGCATAGCCCCATGGGCACGCGCGCGCACAGTCGGCGGACGAGTTTCTTAAGTGCCGGGCGGAGGAGTACGCCGGCTAGTCGCAGGGGGAGTGCGACGGGGCCCGGGGGGACTTTGGCGACGCCCGGGGAGGAGCACAAGGATGCTCTTGCGCTTGCGGCGCAGCTGACTCCTGAGCCCGAGGCGGAGGGCGACGACGACGTAACGAATGGTGAGTTGCGTGTCTTGACATTGTGGCGTCAGCATCTATGCTAATTCATGGCAGTCGGCCTTTCTCGTGTGCAGTCGAATAAACGCACCGATGGCGCTCTGCAGCCGAATGGGCTGCCGAAAGCACTCAGTACAGCGCACGACCATCAGCCCTTCAGTGAGCACGATCTGGCATCGGCCCTGAAGCGGTCACAAATGCAGGTCGCGGCGCACTAGAGTCAGCTTTCCGGGTCGCGGCGCATTAAGGATGGGGATTGCATTCGGGCGGGTCGGCGTATTGGGGTTTCCATCAGGCTCAGGGATAGATGAAATGGGTCCTCAAGGCGGGAGTGTACAGGGTGGAGTCATCAACGGAAGGCCAAATCTGCTTACAATTATGGGAGTTGATGCAGTCGTTGATTCTGTGTGAATACAATGCTATGTTCTTCACAACACCCCATCATCTCTTTGAAGACCGCCCCTTGGCCTGTCCCTTAGCCTTGCCCTTTCCCTGAGGCTTCCCCTTCGCCGCCCCGGCTCCCTTCCCCTTCTTCCACAATCCCTCCTCCCTCCTCTCATCCTTATCCATCAATCGCTTCTTCTGCTTATTACTCAACTTGCCCTTCGTCTTCTTCCTCCCTGCCGCCCCCTCCTCCAGCGGCCCATTCAGCGCCTCCGCTCCCTTCCCCTTCGCCGCCGCCTTCTCCTTCTCACTCTCAAACCACGTCTTCCGCGGCCGCGCCAGAATCTCCTCCTTGTACTTCACAATATTGTCCGCGCGCGTCAAGTCCCGCTCCGTACTCTGCAGCACGCGCTCCTCTTTCTCCTCCTTCAGGATCGCCTCCACTTCCACCTGCAGACCCTCGACCTTCTCGAACCACGCGTCCGCGTCGTGGGCCTCGATCGTGCGCTGTCGAATTTGCGCGCCCTGCGCTTTGGCACTCTTCACGGCCGCTTTGACGACTTTGCGATCCGGCTCGGCGGCAAGCGTGCACGCCCTTCCACTGCGGCCGGCACGCGCCGTACGGCCGACGCGATGGAGGTAGATTTCCAAGCTCTGGGGCGCTTCGAAATTAATCACCGTCTCGATGCCTTTGATGTCGAGGCCTCTGCTCGCGAGGTCGGTGGCGAGGAGGAAACTCGCTTTGCCGGAGCGGTAGGCTTCGATGGCTTGGATACGCTGCTCTTGCGACATGCTGCCGTGCAGCTCGGCGGCTTTGAGGCCGCAGAGCGCGAAGAGGATGCGGGTGCGGTGTGCGTCTTTCTTTTGGCGGAAGAAGACGATCACGCGGTCGGTGTGCACTTTGGAGCAGAGGTACATGAGGTAGGCGAGGCGTTTAGCTTCACGACCGGGACGCAGGCGCACGAATTCTTGCGTTAGGCCGGCGACGGTTTGGTTTTGGGCGTCGACGAGCAGGCGCACGGGGCGTTGCAGGCCGACGCGGATGAGGTCGTCGACTTTGGAGGTCATGGTGGCGGAGAAGAGCATGGTCTGGCGACTCTTTGGGATTTTGGTGAGGATTTCGTTGAGCTCGTCAGCGAACCCTTCTTCTAGCATTCGATCCGCTTCGTCCAGTACCAGGATCTCGACGGTGTTGACGGCGAAGGCGGAGGAGTTTCGTTCCAGATCTATGAAGCGGCCGGGCGTCGCGATGACGATGTCGGGTCTCTGCTTGAGCTGCTTTTCTTGTTCTTTCAGATTCAGACCGCCAATTGCTTGGCCGAAAGTAATGTCCGTGAAGGCAGCCAGTTTCTTCGCGACGTTGAAACATTGTAGAGCGAGTTCTCGCGTTGGTGTTAAGATGGCTACTCGAGTGGTTGCCGTTCTCTTCGGTCGGAAGAGTAGTCGCTCGAGAATGGGGATGATGAAGGCTCCGGTCTTGCCTGAACCCGTCACGGCACCGCCAACAACATCCTTTCCTGCCAAAGCCACTGGGATCGTCTTTGCTTGAATTGGCGTCGGTGCCGAAAAGCCAATCTCGGCGAGACCCTTCAGAATGGGTCGAGAAAGGGACATGGTGTGGAACGACTGCTGTGATTTTGTCGAAGCGGGCTGCTTGACCTCGGGGGCGAAGAAGGCGTTTCTCTTTTCTGCCTCGTCGGCATCCTCGTCAGCCTCAGACTCTGATTGCGCATCGAGATCTGCGGGATGTAGAGCTGGTGGAAGCGCATCATCTTCTTCATCAGCCTCGCCATCCTCGTCTTCCTCAGAGCCATCCTGCTCGCTCCCAGACCCTGCCTCGTTATCATCCTCTTCTGCCAGGTTCGCCCCACCACCAAACCCGTCAAAAGAGCCCTCGCTCTCCCGATCAACCTCTTCATCCTCTTCATCAGACTCCACCTCTACCTGCGGCCTCCGCCTCGCAGCCGCAGCCTCGACATCAAACGTCTTCTTCCCAGACGGCCGATCGTCGCCCACAAAAGCCGCATAGTCGTCAATGACCGCCGTATCATCCTCGAGCCCAAACTCAAAGTCCGAGTCGACGTCGCTGTCCTCCTCCGCCGCCTCGCCATTCGCAACTTCCACTCTTGCCTTCTTCACGGCTTTTTGCGTCTGCGTTTCTCGCTTGCGTTTGGTGCCGTTTATGGGCGCAGGCGCGCTTTGAGTGAGGATCTCGTCGTCGGAGACTGCGTCATTGTCTGACAACGTGCCGACGAACCCGTCGTCGTCAAGTAAGGGCGCCATTGCTGTGGTGGTGGGAATTAAGAAAGTCGCATGGCTTGGAAAATAATTCCATGTCCGCATGTGAATGGCCCGAAATTTCGGCGGGCGTTTTTCTGCCCCGCAAAGGCGGTGAGCTTGTCAGTGTGAGGCTTTGACTGCACTCCTTCGCCTTCAATTGTTCTGTCCTTCTTTTGAAACTACTGCAATGCACACACGATGTTCCATGGTCTTCTATATCATGCTCATCACGATGGCTCTAAGATTTCAGTCCGTTTAGATCCGCCCACGAAGCAGAACAGACCATCATAATGCGAGACGTCTTACTCTGTACAGTAGAAACGCATTGCATGTCGCGGGCAGAGCGCTAGATGGTCGGTCATGGAATTCCCAGGGCCTATCCACAGCCTACGATCATATCTTTTCCATTGTCTCGAACACCGAAGAGCCATCCAGTGAAATTCTGCGGTTTCCTACTCCTGTCTTGAATCTTCCCCAATCTCTTTATCCATCAAGCAAACCTCCATCTCTTCTTCTCGATACCAAATACTTGATAAGAAAGAAACCATGTCCGACAACTTTCTGCAATGCTCTCCCAACCATGTCCTGCCGCCTCGCAAGACCCGGCTACACATGGCTGCAAAATCTGGGCTTCTACGCAATGAAGAACGACTGGGAGCGAACGGTGCATGTCAAAGATCAGGAGTCCACATCGAAGCGCCGCCCACCTTGCTGCAAATTAAAGGCAACCAACGCGCGAAACATAAAAACTGGTCGGAGAGTGGTGGTGTTCTCTTGGGCTTCGCCTCGAACGGGAAGGGTTTGTGGGGATTGTAACATCTGCCGGAAGTTCGCAGGTAAGCAGAGTGTGCTGATATGAGAAGTTTTGGAAGTCAAGCTAACGCTGTGGCTGACAGGAATGGCTGATCAAGACAACGATGCGGCGTTTGGAATACGCAAGAGTAAAGTCGTCAGACTTCCTGTTACATCACGGTTGGTGCGGACGTTCGTTTCGGAGCTCCCTGAGCGGCTGCTTCTGGGACGGAATACGCGCTCGAGAGCTAGCAAGGCGGCGGTTCATGATGAACAGGTCTTTGAGGAGCAGGTGCGGAAGTTCAGTGTGGCCGACTGAGGAATGTGGAGGACGGTATGAGACTACGTCGTCTTCCTCCTCCGATACAAGCATGGTATTGGGAGCGGAAAGAGGGATGAAGCTAATTGTGTGACGGTGATTGTATCCAGACCTGTGGACACTTCGACGCTGAGTCCTCTGAGCCTCGTCTATAGCTTCGTCAAAATCGTCGTCAATTCGACTCTGCAAAAGCCTCTGGAAAGCTACGCTTTATTGCCGTAATAACCTCATCTGGCCCATTGCTGAACATGATCTTGATTCCCGGCTTGCACGCCCACGCATGGTTCAGAAGCTTCTCAAATAGCTCCGTATGTTCTGCGAAAGCAATCAATATGCATTAAACACCTGCTCAAGCAAGCTAGACAAAGACATTACCCTTATGCCCCCTAACACCATACCCAATATTCACGCCCACGAAATCCCCACTCCGCAACGTAGACAGAAAGCGATCAAGCGATTCCCCCGGCTCGTTTGGGTTGATCCACAATTCAAATCAGCCAAATCAACTCGTATGTTCGCCAATCGAGGGACATACATCAATGGTGACAACGTCAAAGCCGGCGTTTTTGGCCTTCTCGACGCTCGTGGCCAGAAGCTCTCGTGCCCTTTCCCCTGCACCGGGGCCGAAGTGGGCTTGAGCATTTGCGTCTGTGGCGGCGAAGCGACCGAGTCCTGCCGTCAGGATTGAGCCGCGATGTGTTGGCATGGTAGGTGGTTGATTTTTGGTTATCTGTACATATCTCGTCGGATAAGAGGGAGGGAGAGTAGGCGGCCTGGAGGGAGGGTTGAGGTTTGATCTCGCAGAGCGTCCAGCCCCGCGTCCAAGATCATCCAGAACGAGGAGCACGATGCTTCCTTCTACAACCTCACCTGAATACAACTTCATACGGCTTCTAGGCAATAATTCCACTTGAGCTGTCTTCATCGGCATCAAAGGAGTAACGAATGCGATAGCTCGCGGTGGCAAGGGGCATCACGCATGTGAGGGCGGTCCTTCCATCTTCGCCTCGACCGCTCAACATTGCTCTCTCTGTCTTGATTCTATGGGCTCGGACATCCGCCATGGTGTCCACATCAAAGGAACTTCCAATCTGGCCACAGCCAACGCTGACCGAGTTTGGCACGCACACCAGTCCATTGTTGACTGGCAGCGACTTGACCTACAGCGTCACGAACGTTGATGCGCTGCCACGAGAGCCGCAGGCACATAGGGAGGAGTTGTACGACTATTCTACTCTCATCACGGAACTACTTGCAAACGTTCTCTAATACTCCAATGCAGTGGCCGTCGTACGGAACCAGCCCGCCACAATGATGACCCCTACGCGCAAGAGCGTGTCCGCAACATCTTCTCTCGCGGGATCGAATTCATCACGTCCCAGGCCAAGTTCAAACACCGCTCTACCATGCTCCGAGGGTACAATGAGGTCGTCTCTCCTCCTGCCGACTCTCATCCACGGCGCCATCAACACGTCAGCATCGAGCAGCTTACGATCACCCAACCGATCACCGCAACGTTTCTCGAGTGGTACAAGCTCCGCGTCGACGTTGACGGCAACTGTCATATTCAAATAGCATCACTCCTGGCCCTGAATCGAGCCATGGCCACCTTCGTACAACTCTTCTACGGCGCAGCAGACTCGGCCATCTTCTGTCCATACTGTCCCTTGCTCATCGAAGACTCGCCGCAATTCCAGCATCGCGGCCTCAACATCGACTTGAGTCGGAACGTCATGCTCCCTTCAGACATTGGTCGAGTCATCGACGGCTTGTGGCTGAACAAGTTCAACAGATTGCACCTCCATGCTACAGACTCCCAGTCCTGGCCGTTAGAGATCCCTTCCATCCCCGAACTCGCAAAGAAAGGGGCCTACCACGAGAGCCAAATTTGGACCGCATCAGACCTGAGAGAGGTGCAGAAGTACGGCTTTGAGCGCGGGATCGAGGTGTACGTTGAGGTTGACATGCCCGGTCATACCGCATCGATCTATCATTCCCATCCAGAGCTCATCGTTGGCTATAAGATGGAGCCCGTGATGGAGTACGCTCTACAACCGCCTGCAGGAACGCTGAAGCTCAAATCGAATGCTGCTCGGGAGTTCATCCAGCGCCTGCTCGACGATCTCCTCCCACGCGTGCGCGAGTATTCCGACAAGTTCCATCTCGGCGGGGACGAGCTCAATTTGAACTGCTACAAATTCGAAGAAGGGCTGGAGTCCAACTCGAAAGAGGTGCTTCGACCACTGGTGCAATCCTTCTACGACATGTGTCTTTCAAAACTGGAGAAGCACGACGCCCGCCCAATGCTGTGGGAGGAAATGCTGCTAGAATGGGACATCAACTTCCCCTCCTCAACCATCTTCCAAGCCTGGCGGTCGCAGGAGTCATTAGGCAAAATCGTCGAACGCGGGCACTACGCCATCTTCTCCCCCTGCCACAGATGGTACCTCGACACCGGCCTAGGCACCTTCATGGAACCCGATCCAGACAACCCCGACACCCCCGTCAAATACCCCTTCGAAGACTGGTGCCCGCCCTTCAAAAACTGGCGAACAGTATACACCTACGATCCCTTCGAAGGCATCGCGGACAAAGACCGTCATCTTCTGCTAGGCGGCGAAGTGTCGCTGTGGTGCGAGCTGACGGATGGCGTGACGGTCGACACCATGGTGTGGCCTCGCGCGGCTGCAGCGGCAGAAGTCCTCTGGAGCGGATCTGGACAGCTGGACGAGAGCGTCACGCGCCGACTGGCGGGTATGAGGGAGCGGCTTGTGCGTGCTGGCATTCGCGCTGGAATGGTGCAGACTGAGTGGGCGTTGCGGAATCCCGGGTCGAGTTATATGTAGCCCTCCATCTCGCCTGGCCATCTGGTAGGACTACACCTCTCGAAGAGACAGCCTCGCTTGTATCATAATCTATCATTCATTCAAGGTAGAAGTACCGTAGTAAACATAACCCTGCTCCGCCCTGCTCCTGGCATGGGAATATCATCCAAGAGTTCAAAAGCACAAACACCTCATCCCACCCCCTTTTCAGGCGTGACGAGAGGACGTCCATCGCCCAGCTCCCTCAACCTGAAGAAGGAAAGAGACTCCCCTCTCTCTTGTGCTCGTTAAGTATATCCAGATGCACCCCAGACCCATCTTATCATCATCGATCCCATGCGTGAGGAAAAACAACAACAACAACATCAACAAGTCTCATCTCAATGCAACGCGAAAGAGCAAAGACTACCGCGTCTTCTCCCCGCCAGCAGCAGCAGCAGCCAGCGCAACCCCCTCCTCCTCCTTCTGCCTCTTCCGCTCCTCCCGAATCCTCCCCGCCTCAGTCCCATCATCCTCCACCAACTCCGCAAACCAAGGGTGCTTCAGCGCCTCGCGCGCCGTAATGCGCTTCTTCGGATCGTAGACGAAGATTTTGCGCAGCAGGTCGAGGAACTGGCGGTTGAAGGCGTTGGTGGCGGGGATGACTTCCTCGAGGCGCTTCATGCCGCGCACGAACTTTCTAGATTGCCGCGGCGTGTCGGTGAGCGGGTAGGCGAGGTGGCCGTTTTTGAAGAAGCGCGCGGCGCTGTTGCGGTCGTTTTTACGCGAGGTGCGGTTCACTTCGCGGATGAGGGATTTGTCGATTGGGCTGCCGATGACGGCCTGGTTTGGGGAGTGTTTGTTAGCTGTGTGTGTCTTGTGTGGAGGGTATGTTGAGGCTTCGCACCTCCATCATTGCTAGATGCTCGCAGCAATCGTGTGTCTGAAACAAAGCATCGCCCGTCCAGCATTCGACGAGGATACAGCCAAGGGACCACAAGTCGATGGGATGCGACCAGCCTGGACGTCCGTGTTGTTAGCAAACAGCCGCTTTCTGTAGTCTTCCTGAGAGTCACTCACCAATGCCCAGGATAATCTCCGGCGCACGATAATGCCTGGTGCTGACCACCGAACTGTGATATTCATCATCAAACGTCGCACTTCCGAAATCAATCAAGTTGATCTGCGGGCTCAACAACACCCTCCGGAACTTCGCACTCCTCGCATTCAGCGTGCTGCTCGACGGAATGTTTCGATTGTACGTGAACGTCTGATACTGGCTGTTAAGCAGCAGGATGTTCTCCGGTTTCAGATCGGTGTGGATGAGATTGAGGTCGTGAAGGAAGGCGATGGAGCGGAGGAGTTGGCAGGCAAAGGCCTGGATGTGAGAGCTAGGGAAGGGGACGAAGCCGCCGGATTTGAGAAAGTCGAACACCGAGAGGCCGAGCAGGGGGGTGACGATGCAGATGTGGCCGCGCCAGTCGAAACAGTCGCGAATCTGAATGCAGCGGTTGCGGTTATGTTCGTCGGCCGCGCGCAGCGTTTGGAGGACACGCAGCTCGATCCTCGACGCGTCTCGATACTGGATATGCTGTCAGTTGGGCCACACAACTCTTGTCATTGCCAATGGACGGACCTTAGGCACTGCGCGAATGATCTTGACCGCCACCTCCCTACGGGTACGGATATCCAACGCCTTCACCACTTTACCGAAAGTGCCCTGACCGAGCAGGCCGAGGAGACTGTAGCGTTCGCCGAGTCTGCTGTTTTCGTGTATGATGTAATGGCCGTCATCGTCGTCCACCTTGTCAGTTGATTTGACACGCTATCCCATCCGGTCAGTGAATGCCTCGCACAAGCCAATGTCATCATCAATACTTACATCATGGATTGCCGGCACATGCACCTCCTTCTGCTTCTTGATCTGCTTTGGAGGGACGTATTCACCATACTCTGCTAGATAGCCTTTGGGGCCGCGGGTCTCGGTGGCTTTCTTCTTGGCAGACTCTGGCTCGGGTGCCTTGACGGTGCGCTTCCGCTTCTGGCCGGTCTGAGTAGCGTCGAGTCTCCCACTACTGCTGCCCGATGATCCGAGTGAGGTGGGTGCGGTGGTGTTCTGCAGGCTTTCTGTCGATGCGGCATTGGAGAGTGAATATGGGGTATTGGTGGCACTGAAGTGAGCCTCGCCATTGCCGGCATTGGTGCGTCTCTTTTTGTCCACATGGTGTGATGTCGTGGCATCGTTGGCCGGAGGAGGTAGTGTTTGGATTGATGCGGGTGGAGCGGGGCTGTCGTCGTCGTGGATGGTGATGATTTCGTTGGGGAGCTTGCCACCAAAATATGCCACCCAATCGACGGGGGATTGCCGGCCTCTTTTCCGCCCACGGTGTTCGGGTTGTTCCTCGTGAGAGGGGACTGAGCGCTTGGGAGGCATGTCTGCATGTGCGGACTGCTCCGTGGGCGGCAATGCGGGCAGCGTGCGCTGCTGCTGCTGGCTGGAGGTGCTGCTCGGCCGTCTCAAGTCGTCATGTGAGCTCTTTGGTGCGAGACTGGTGGCATCAGGTTGCAGCTCGACTCCGCCTCTTGTCTGGATGTGGGTTTGGCTGGCAGCGTGCGGATGAGGATGGGTGGTGTATGCGGTGTTGCTCATTCCACTCTGTGGTCGTGGTGGGGGTGGCGCGGCGAGGTGTGGATTGGAGAGGGAACTCGATGGGCGAGCGGGGATGTTATTGGGGTGGTGGAAGGCGGCGTTGCCAAAGGGCCCGCTGGTGGGCCTTGGCGGAGGCAGGTAGCGGTCTTGGGGTGAAGGCAGATATCGTTGTCGGTGGTCGAGATGGTGGTGTGGAGGGAGGGCTTGGGTCAGGGTCTGCGGCGTGGACATTGTCGGGTCAACGCCACATGAGCCCTGTGCGGATGGGGGTGTGCAGGTGAGTTGCGTTCAAGCTGACGTTGACACATGAAGTGAGGTGGGCAATTGGTCGGTGCGCAGGCCGTGCCTCACGCGCGGTTTTCGTGCACCCGGGGGGTGAGGTGCGAGAAGCGCCCAGAAATCAACAGCGCTGCCACGAGACGGCGCAGGCGGCGACAGTGAGTGAATGCAAGGGTGGGGAAGGCGGGGGAAAGGCAATCGAGTCGGTCGGCAGTGGAAATGGGGGTGTCGTTGAGACGCGAGGAGTGGGAGGAGGGTGGGAGGGTTGGGGAGTGGAGGTGTTGACGTCTCGGCGTGTATTGATGTCGCCGGGGCAGGGTCTCCGAATTGGGGGGATTGGTGGGGAGGCGGCTCACTGCTTCCCTGACGGCGATAGTGGATGCGCAAAAGATGTGTGCCTCGAGGATAAGGGAAGAGGAGGGAGATGGAGAGGGTGGTAGAGTGGGCGAGGTGAGGCACTCGGTGTGGGTTCACACTCAACCTCTCACGTTATTAATGCGCTGCAATGCACCTTCCACTGCAACGCCCCGACTACGACCAAAGCTTGGCTTCCCGCTCCGCCTATCCTCAAACCGGCGCGGTTGTGCGCCCGAGGGTCGAGTGACGCAGCCCTCACGATCCCTTTTCATTGTTCATCACATCTATCAACCCATTGTGCCCTCGCTCAGGCGTCCTCTTGACCCCGAGTGACGCGCTCCTCTTCTCCTCACCGCTGCACCCGTGCAAGAGTGGTTCGTCCGTGCGGATTTAACCGGCCGGAAGGCAGCCGCCTTTGCCATTCTTCAGCAGCCGAGAGCGGCACACTCCACCCGAGCGAGCACCGTCATGACACCACCCTCGCAGCACATGCCCTCGCTCTCTTTGTTGCCTTCAATTCACTATCCGAATATCACGCGAGTGGGTCATCTCCGCCTTGACCAGGTTTCAATATTCCCTCACGCCTCACACAACTCATCACCGGGTGCAATGCAAAGCACGAGCCATGCTGAGCCATGCTGGAGGGTGGCGAAAGCACCCACTCTCCTCCCGCCTTGACCACACCTCCCATGGGATCAATGTAGGTACATATCTCATCTATTCCTGATGTCGCTCTTGGTCTATGAAGTCTCCTTGTCGACTGTCCTCTCCATTTATCTGGTGAATTTCTTGAAAAACTCCTCAATCACCGCCGCAGTGGTGTCGACAATGTACCGAATCTCCTCCTCCGTCACCTTGTACGATGGGGCAATTTGAATATGATCACCCCGTGTACCGTCCGCCGTCCCGTTCCCGGGGTATAGGCTGATGCTGAAGGGTTCCTGCAAGGCTGGTGGAAGTCAGCACCGCGTTCGTCGGTAAAGGCTGGCATGCAAATCACTCACCAAGTTCCCAAATACCCGATGCCACCGCATCCGAAAGCTCAAATGGCTCTTTCGTCTTCTTGTCCCGCACAAATTCCACCCCCCAAAACAACCCCATGCCTCGCACGTCTCCCACCGCCCAATGCCCCGCCACCTTCTCTTGCAACAGCTTGCCCAGCAGCGCTCCTTGCTTCCGAGCATTGGCCATGAGATTGTCGTCGCGAATAATCCTCTGCACCTCGAGAGCCGCCGCACACGCAACAGGATGTCCCTGGTACGTTTGCCCGTGCTTGAAGGCGCCGGTCCCTTTCTGCAAAGCATCGACGACTCGGTGGTTCAACAGCATTGCCGCAACGGGCATGTACCCCCCACCCAGTCCCTTGCCCATCACCTGGACATCAGGAACGATGTCGATCGAGGGATCCTGCCACGCGTGAATCGGGCTGGGGTACTTCTCCGACGGCTCCGGCGCACTTCTCCCGCAGCCAGACATGATCTCATCCATGATCAGCAGCGCACCATACTTGTCGCAAACTCGCTTCATCGCCTTGAAGTATCCTGGCACCGCCGGGACGGAGCCCAAGGCAGCACCTACAACAGGCTCCGCCAGGAACGCGGCCACTCTGTCCGCACCGACGCGTTGAAACTCCGCGTCCAGCTCCGCCTCCAGTCGTCCAACATAACTCTCATACGTCTCCCCATCCCCCTTCATCCCGCGATATCGATAGCAAGGACTAACATGGCTGGAATTCTGGCTCAAAATCGGCTCAAACGCCGCCCGCCGCGCCACATGCCCTCCCACCGCCAGCGCACCCAGCGTAGTCCCATGATAACTCTGCTGCCTCGCGATGAACTGCGTGCGCTGCGGCTCCGCCGGCTGCTTCTCGAGGTGGTACTGCCGGGCGAATTTGAGCGCCGCCTCGATCGATTCGCTGCCGCTGCTGACGACGAAGACGCGCGCCATGGCGCCGTTGGTGCTCTCGATCAGCGTGTCGGCCAGGCGCTCCGCCGCTTCGGTGCCGTAGAAGACGGAGTGGCAGTAGGAGACTTTTTGCATTTGCGCGAGGACTGCTTTCTCTACTCTATGTGGTTGTCAGTTTTCGTTGTACGCCATTAGATAGTTTGGTGTCACTGACCGCTCATCTCCATGCCCCAAACAAGCCACGGCCGCGCCGCCGCTTGCATCGAAGACCTTCTGTCCATTGTTAAGGTGCAGGTAGTTGCCTTTGGCGGAGACGACACGCAGCGGATCCTGGTGCAACGAGCGATGCAGCACGCCTGAAGTCGCTGCACGCTCGCCGACGGCGTGACCATTGGTTTGTGCTGCCGTCTTCACCGGCCCGACGAGGACATTGCCGTCGTTGAGGATTGCTTGGGTTGCCATTGGTGCGTGTTAGTCGCGGGGTGCTTGTAGTTGGACAGAGGTTGTAAGCTGGGTGGAAAGTTACCGGGATTTCAATCAAAAGATGAATGAGACTCGACTGATGAGCGGGGGTCGTTTGCTGACTGGGGCATGAAGGAATCTAAGACTTCCGACGACTCTTGTATACGGGTTTAAGTATTCGGGCAATGTTATCTGATTAGTATATACTCGTGCCAGGCTCGGCCCGACCAAACGAGCCATTGGACGATATCAGGTCAGTTCATGTTGCCGCGGCGGTGAGTCAACCGCCCCACGTGCGAGTCACGCCGCCACCAGCGTTTCACCTGCCTCGAAGCCTTTAGCGCTGACTTCGAGGCCAGCCTTCTACTGCAGTCATTGCCGATCGCCTGTGAATGCGGAGCACGCCCATGTCGACTCACCTTCCTCGGACCTCACCAACTGCATTGGCCCGGAAAGGACGGCAAAGTGAGGCATAGTGATGAACGGAGACGTTTCACCTCCGCCGCTCAAACGAAGGCGGATCGAGGGTTCAGTAGTGGAAAGGACGTCTACCGGCATCGATGAAGACGAGATCTCAATCTACAGCTGGAACGTCAATGGCATCGCCCCCTTCGTCCAACGCACCATCACCTCCTTCTTTCAAGCCGGCGCCGTTGCGACCGAACAATCGAGCAAGGCCACCAAAGCCTCACTACGAGACTTCCTCCGCCGACATAAATGGCCCACTCTGCTCTTCCTTCAAGAAGTGAAGATCAACCCCGACGACGCGACCACTATTCGTGCGGTCCAACAAGCCGTCAAACGCCAGTCGAATGAACTGCTCGATTCTCCCGACTACGAAGCGCACTTCTGCCTACCCAGCGACAAATACAATGCCCGCGGCTTTGGCAGAAAGATCTACGGCGTCTGTAGCATTGTTCGCAAAGACTTTGCCGAGCAGTTCGTCGAGCGCATCCGTTCTGTGAGCTGGGATCTCGAAGGTCGCGTTCTTGTTGTTGAGACCAAGGCGAGGGGAGGGGTGCCGAAGTTGGCCATCATTAACATCTACGCCGTCAATGGCACCGATCACCCCTACAAAGATCCCGTCACGGGTGAGGCGGTCGGGTCGCGACATGATCGCAAATTGCAGGTCCACGCTTTGCTGCAAAAGGAGTGCCGGGAGCTCGAGGCCGCGGGTGCGTGTGTGATTCTTGCGGGAGATCTCAACATTGCGCGGGCCCCGATCGATGGCTTTCCAAATCTACGCACGTTTCCCAAACAGCATTGTCTGAACCGAGCGGATTTTGAAGCCAGATTCTTGTCCCCGAAGAAGGAACTGCTGAGTGTCAAGAAGGCCACCGCGAAAGAAGCAGGCCAGAAGGACGATGCCGCCAGTCTTGAGATGCTCGATACCTTCCGTCATCTCCATCCCGATCAGAAGTCCTACACATACTATCCCCGAACGCGGACTTTCGGTGAGAGTTGCGACCGCGTGGACCTAATTCTGATCTCCAAGAAGCTGGGTGCCAGTCTTGTGCGAGCCGGAATGCTTGAGACGATATCCGAGCGAGGTCCCAGTGATCATGTGCCGTTGTATGCGTGCTTGGACTTTAGAGATCGAGAGGTCGGTTCGGAATAGAGAATCTGCCATCAAAGGCCTTCCAATGCTGCCGTTTCTTCATCCATTCGTGGTCGTGATGCATCACTGTCCCGGCCTACCAACCTCCTTCCCAACAGCCTCCACCACCGCCCTAAAAGCCTCCATCTCCTCCTCCACACTCCCGCCCTGCGCCGCACCGCTCAAATTGATGCCGCCGCCCACATAGCACACACGTCCAGTCTTGCGCACGAGCACTTTGGCCAAGCGCGTGACAAAGTCCACGGATGACGGCAGCGTGTACAGCGGCGTACTCAGTGGCTGCGTGGGATTATATCGCTGCCGATGACTGTAAGCTACTTGCATTCCTCAAAAGGGTGACCCATCGGACTCACATCCGGCATAGCATAGACCAAGCTCCCCATTGCGGCCGTCGATTGTGCGGAGTCGATGCTGCTGTGTGCTAGGAAGAGCAGAATGGTCGAATCGGAGACGGTGAGTTGGAGATGGATTCTGGTGCCGGGGTTGTGAGGGAGGGCGATGGCGAGCTCGATGGGTTTTGTGACTGTTGGTGGTGCTGCTGTGCCGTTGGCGAGGCTTTTAGATCTTGTGCCTTTCGCCATGTTTGTGGATGATTCAAGTAAAATGGTTACAGTGTGAGTTGAATGTAGGTAAGGAAAGATGCCCAAGCCTTGATGGCCCGAAATCTCGCAGATTGTGACTTGGGGAGGAAAAGTGGGTCGGCGGTTGAAGGCGTGACTTCGAACAGGCAAACAACATCACTTTACTTTGTCCTTGACAAGAATGTAATTCCAAGCCGTATGCCTCCTTTGCGTAGGCTGGATGGAAGAGCCTCCAAGGCGTGTGAGGCGTGCAGGAAACGGAAACAACGATGCTACGAGTCTGGGGCGTCGGAGTCTTGTCTGCGGTGCAACACGCTTGGTTTGTCCTGCTCGTTACGCCAGACCGTCTCTCAGCCTAGCTTGCGCGGTACAGAGCATAGTCTGCTAGTGGAGCAGAGGTAAATGTTCTCAAGCTGATTGTTCTTTCACTGGCCATACAAGCTAAACTGAAGGCAGAATCTCAGATCTTGAGAGAACGGTCAGACGGCTGACTTCTGTCATTGCCGACTCCTCCAACTATTCACAGTCTCAGAGTCTGGTCGACATCGATGCTCCGAGCAATGGCGAGTTTCCAAATGAGAACGCGGGCCATCGGCCTGCTCCTTTGGTGGTGATTCAGGATGCCGTTTCGGAGACCGCGCCTCCAAGTCAGACCGCTCCTCGCGTCCAGGACATCGTTGCCAAGGGACTCCTGTCGAGTGCTGAAGCCGAGAACCTGCTGTCAATCTTTCAGACGCACTATGGTCGATGGATCGGACTTGACGAGGTCGGCTACACGCAATTTCGAGCGGACAGCATAAAATCGCCTCTGCTGCTATGTGTATGTTGCCTTATAGCTGCGCGCCACTCGAGTATCGACACTGTCCGATCCAAGGCGAATCATTTATTCTTGGATGCTCAGTCCCTCGTCCGCGAGACCATTCTACACACGCAGCATTCCATCGAATTCTTCCAAGCTATCCTCCTCCTATCTCTGTGGCCGACAACACTCGGGCAACGACTAATGTCCATCGATAGCTGGCTTATCAGTGGATATGCACTTCAGAATGGATTGATATCCAACAGCTTCAAGTCAAAGCTTGCATCAGATGCCGGCGTCGAGCAGGAAACCTCGTCCCTTCGCAGCGTGCTCGTGCGGAACCATCTCTGCCTCGCACACTTGCATGCAAGCGTCAGTATGCGAAGGCAGTCCATGGTGACGAAAAGCGATGTCGAAGCATCACGGAAAATCTTACAAAGCGACATTGTAACGAACTTCGAGACTCGAATGGTGGCTGAGCTTCACCTCTACTGGACCATCTACGAGCAATGCGTCGCGGTGGATGTCCATTTGCCGCGAGCCAAAGCTGCGTTACAGAGCTGGAAAGAAGAGTGGGCGTTCCTGTTCAATCAGCCACGCCGCCAATTCCTGGAGATCAGCTTCTTTTTCGCCGGGCTACTGATGTACGAACAATCATTGAGTAGCAAGTCTGCGGCAGTCAGAGAATCCTTAGTCTCAGAGATGATACGCCTGTCCTCGAACATCCTCACACTTTCGATGGAGAAGGCCGACGAAAGGACTAAGCACTTGACCGACCATGTCTACCACGTCATCACCTTCGCCGCAGTCACTCTGTGTCGTCTCATTTGGCGGTACAAAAGTCAGCTAGAGCATAAGATCAACCTCACGGAAAAAGATGGGCTCGTCACTAAGACGATCGATTGGCTATGTGCTATCGACGAGGCCCCTCATGTCGGCAAGGTGATGGCCACACTCATTGGCAACGTTCAGAGGAAACTGCAACCGAACCACCAGGAGGCGACTCAGTCTTTACTGGAGATACAGCGAACGGACGCCGATTCGAACGCCATACCTGATTTTCTGGCCATGGAGGACTACTTTGACTTTGACTGGGATGGAATGGCACCAGACTGGCAGTCGCTTGCTTCGGATGACTTCTTCATCGACCCTGGGTCGGTCTGATGATCCCAAAGCACCATGTCACCGCTTCATTGCATCGAACTCACGCCACACGCGAACGATATGGAACCTCAAGATTGCATTGAAAAGTCGTCATCAAACATCTATGTTGTCCTATCTGCAGTATCATTCAGAAGACCATCTCAACTCCAACCATCTCAACAACGGAAACGTGAGCGCCGAAAACGCAAACGAAAGCTCCTGTCCAACGTTTGCGCCGTGGGCTCCGATAAGCCTTGCGATGGGCCCACTGAACCATTCGACATTCATGCCCATCGCGGCACCCAGGAATCCAAAGCAAAACGCGCCAATAGCAGACCAGCCAAAGTTGAATAGCGCTGGCTCGTTCCACGCATCCAAGCTGTACGAAGACCATCGGCATTTCCGGAAGAAAATGTGCTCTTCTGCCACCACTACGATGTGGATCACTGTCCAGTAGCCGATGATGCTGAGGAAGGTCTGGAGCGAGCTGGCGAAGGAAAGAGATGCGAGGGATCCCACGATGATGGCGATGATATAACCCATGGTTACGAAGAGGATTCGAGGGACTCGGACGGCCCAGGGCCCGAAATTCTGCGCGTGCAGAGCGAAGGAGTAGTTGTTTGGGATGTTGTTCTGCGAATGATAGAGTCAGCTGGTTTTTCTAGACACCTCGAAAAACGCGTGTCTACTTACTGGGATCGAGCTGAGACCAGCAAGGACAACCAAAAACTTCCCAAACCCTCCAGCAGGCTCGAGTGCTTTGGCGAGCGGCCCACCCACGCCAAAGGCAGCGAATGCCGCTTTCCAGCTTGGATCAGTCTGCGCACCGCTATAGAGAGCCGCACCAAGCGACTGCACTAACACAGCGGGGACGCAGATGCCGATGTACGTGGCGATGAAGATCTTGTAGCGCGGTGTCTCTGTTGGCATCCGCACGTTGTAGTCTGCGGCGCAGTTGATCCAGGATACGGCGAAGGAGAAGACGACGGCGATGAATGATAGGGCAGATCCTGCGCCCGTCGCGCCGGTGGGCGCTGGGATGGCATCGCCACTAAAATGCTTTGCTCCTGTGCCGGCTGCAACGCACCAGACGATCAACGGAGGAATCCAAATGAAGGCATCGATGCGATGGATCCACGAAATCCCAAACACGCATATCACCCAGACGGTTGTCGTTATGATGATGACTCCCGCCCAGCTGGGTAGGCTACCGCCCGAGACGGCCGCCAGGCATGACGCTCCCGAGATGGCGTTGATTGCGTTCCAGCCGGTGGTGGAGATCATGGAGAACACTACGACGATGAGATTTCCCCAGTATCCGAAGGAGTAGCGACTGTGTTGCAGAATGTGAGCAAGTGGAACCCTCTGAACGAGAATCTGGTCGACTTACGAGAAGGTTGTCATCCGCAGGCCTGTCAGGCCAATCGTCGCCGTCCATGCTGGGATCATGCACGTGAAGATGTTGACGGGCAGGATGATGGCGAAGCTGTCCCAGAAGGTGAGCCCGAAGATGGGCCCCAGAGTTCCGACACTGAGTGTTGCGACGGCCATGTTGGCACTCAGCCTGTTCAATTGTTCAGTCCCTGCGTCTGTCCGCTGGGCGTTGCATCGGCCGACTTACCAAAAGGTACACGCATTCCAAACGTGGGTTGTGTTCCGTTGACGTTGTTCTGGCGTGACTCGTTGGATGCCACCCGTCTCGATCGACCAGGCTTTGACCAGGCTGCGAAAGAAACCATGTCGTCCACTGCCAGCCTCCATCTCTTCGCTCGTTGCCGAGACGTCAGACGTGCAATACGCCTCCTTTTTAGCGTCCATGTTCGCAGGCCCTATCGATGCTTGGGTGTTGGCGACTTGCGTATTGGGAAACGACAGTCGTCCATGATGGTATTTATGTTTCGTCTACTCTCGGTCACGCAATCGCGCGGAGACGACCGATGTCAAGATCTCACCTCCGCGCGGCGACGATAAGGTCTAGCCGGCGATGGGTCTTGCCTTCTCATTGGAGGTTAGCAGTTGCACGCCATCGAGGCTCCGTCGGCTTGCCGTCGGTTTGCCGCCTTGCGAACAGTCTGGAGCGTCGTGCTCATTGGCCATCGGCTTTGCGTCAAAGGCTCCGACGGCTTGCCGACGGTATGCCGGTGTGGCATAGCAGGAGCACAGCCTGGCGCCAAAGGCCATAAAAGACTGACGTCTGTGTCATTGCCGTTTTCTTTGCACTCATTCAGTTTACCTCACGTCCGAATATTCATTGACAGCAATGGAGCAAAGCGCACTTCATCGACGCGGCGTGGGCCTCCGCGGAGTCGACCGGTCAAGTGTCTCACCAGGCTACACCCTCTTCGCCCATCTCACCAGCCCTGGAATTGTACGCATGGTTGATAACAATGGACGCGAAGTTCACCGATGGAAATTCCCGTGCCGGCCAGGTCGCCATGCTCGCATCCTGCCCAACGGGAATCTTGCGTACAACGGCGTTCATCCAGACTCGCCTCGTCTTTTCCCGCTCTGGCAGAAGTATCGGGGTGGTCTGATGCTGCAGGTTGATCCTGATGGTAACGTCGTACAGAAGTGGGAGGGTATGTGATTGATGCTCATCACTTTATCTTGATCCCCAGCTAAATTCATCCTCAGACCCGCTAGCACATCACGACCAAAATCACCTGGATGACGGCACAATACTGTACACCGCCCTGGAGCCTTTGACCGCCGAACAAGCCAAATCCATTCCAGGAGGCATCCCCGGCAGTGAAGCCCCAGACGGCAAAATCTACTCCGACAGCATCAAGCACGTGAACCCCCAGACCGGCGAGCTCCTCTGGCACTGGCGGCTAATCGACAACCTGTCCCCCTCCGACTTTCCCCTCCAACCACATTACACCCGCGACCACTACCCGCTCATCAACTCCGTCGCCCTCCTCCGCGACGGCAACATCCTCGCCTCCCTCCGCAGCGTCTCCGCCGTGATCATCATCTCCCGCTCCACAGGCAAAGTCCTCTGGCACCTCGACTCAACCATCATCGCGCAACAGCACTGCGCGAGCGAACTCGACGACGGCTCCATCCTCATCTTCGACAACGGCACTTACCGCCACCAAGAATCGTTTCCCTACTCCCGCGTCATCCAAGTCGATCGCGCAAAGAAGGAGATCGTCTGGCAGTACAGAGACGTGAATCCCATGACATTCTTCTCGCCTTTCATGGGTGGCGCGCAGCGGCTGCGGAACGGCAACACGCTTGTGACGGAAGCGGCATTTGGACGGATCTTCGAAGTCACGCGGCAAGGGAAGATGGTGTGGGAGTATGTTGTGGAGGACTTTGCTACGTACGATGGACTTGGAGCGGAGGAGTTGGAGGGGATTTTCGATTACCCTGCCAATGCCATCTTTCGCGCGTACAAGTATTTGCCCGAAGAGGTGCCTTGGTTGGAGGAGAAGTTGAGGAAGGCGGATGGGAGTCGAAAGGCGGTACTTTGAGGAGATTCGTAGTATTCGCAATCATAGAATGTGCTTCGCTCATTGCGTTCTCTGCCTCCAGCGACTCACCGACGATCCACGCTCGCTGCCATGCGGCTTCAATAACACACGATACTTTTCCCAACCCCATCGAAATACGAAAGACGGAAAGAGTCAATTGCCCTCACGCTCGACGCAGTAAAGAATCATTCCCACATCCGCGCACTTCACACCTTGCAAACAACCCCCAACACCTCCTCCAACCCCAACAACCTCACCTCCGCCCTCCTCTTCCCATCCGCCGGCGCCCCAGCCCCCATCCCCCACAACCCACTCCTCTCATCCCAATGCCGGAACAACAACTTCAAATCCTCCGGCACGCCACCGCCGAGTAACACCAGACCCTTAGGAACGGCGTCCCTAGTATCACCGCCCGCAGCAATGCCAGTGGACAGCATAGCGTACTCCGCGGCGAAAAGCAGACTCTGCGCCAGCAAGAAATTGCGCGACGCTTCGGACTGCGTAGGGAAGACGGGGCCGACGAGCACATAGAGCGCATGGTACGCGTCCAAAACATAAATGCCCTCAGCTTCGAGGTCAGACTGCGTAAACGGGCTGACTTCCTTCGCGACAAGCGCCCCCGTCTCCGCACCGCCGGTGTTCTCCTTTCGCACGGGCGACACATTGCCCCAGCTCGGCCTGCGCGCAAACATGTTGGAGAAGATGCCAGACTTGCCATTCGCGGCCTCCGCAGTTTGAATGCGGAAGAGGCGGGTAGCGAAAAGATGCGGCGCCGTGGCTTTCAGCCGCCAAATCTCGGCGCACTTGGGAATGCTCGATTTGGTGGTGGCGGGCCCGAAGATTTTGAGGAAGCTGGCGAATTCCGCGCCGTCGTCGACTTCGATGACTTCTTGCGTTTCGCTCAGGTCGGCGGCCGCGAGGCGCGCGGCGCTGATTTCCTCTGCGCTGGCTGCTAGTCCTTTCCAGAGGTAGAGGCGGACGGATTGCAGGGAGGCAGGGTAGGAGATAAGGTAGGCGAAGCCAGAGGAGAGGTTACGAGGGTCGAAGGGGACCTCGTCGAAGGTGATTTGACCGAGGTGTTTGCGGCCTTGCAGCATGTATTGTTTGCTTGCGCCGGCGGGGTGGTGGGCGCCGCGGCGGGTGATGAGGATGCCGCCGAGGACTTGCAGGAAGCCTGGGGGCTCCAGGCCCTGGCTGATGATGTTGACGGGTGCGTTGTTGTTGCCTGCTTCGCGAGCGAGGCGCTTGGCGCTGCTTTCTGCTTGGGCGCGGAGGGGTTTGGGGGAGGATTCGCCTGTCCAGAGGAAGATTTCGGTCTTTTTGGGCCCGTCGGCGATGCTGTAGGCGTGGGTGCAGATGTAGACAGACTCGTCGAAGAAGGTGTATTCTTGCGGTTGCGGCAAGTCTTTCATTGTTCCATCGGGGAGCGCGACTTGGACGGATTTGCGGATGGTCCTGAAGACACGATCCTGGTGGGGACTGCTGGTAAGCACAGCCTGTGTGTTGATCGTCAACGCGTCCTTGGACTGAGGGATCGTTCCGAAGATATCGCGAAGTTGCTGGTCCACTGCGGCTTTTGTAGACTTGGGTTCGTCGAACCATCCGAGTGTGCCTAAGAGAAGTCAGCTTCGGGCACAATCTTGCAGGGTTGTAAGTAATGTCACCTACCTTTAGTCGGCGAAGAAGCCTCCGGCACCTGCCCGCTCACCACCCTCGACGACTTTGCAGGCTTCGGCGGCACAGCAGCAAAAGAAAGCGGCGTCTGCACAGCTCCGCCATCTCCACTACTAGACCCCGGCCGACTGGAAGAAGTAGCCAGCAAACCGGCAGACCGCATAGCAGCCTCTTCGTCCCTCTTACTCGGCAACTTGATTTGCGCAGGCGACTCCACCTTCTTCGCAGAAGGCGATTGACCCCATTGCAGCGCGGCGGATTTGACGGCGGGGGAGCCGGCGTTTTCCTTGTTGTCATCGGGGCGTGTCGCTGAGCGCTTGATCGAGCCGAAGCCTTGGAATTCCGGGATGGCGGTCTTTGCGGGGGTTTGTGCTGCGGCAGGTGCGTTTGCGGTAGATGGCGTGTTGCTTGCGGTGGCTATGGATGTTGGCTTCTGAATGACTGTCGGCGAAGCGCCGTTCATGGGCCGTGGTCCTGAAATACTGCGCGGCTTTGCGGGCGTCGCGGGCTTCTCAGGCGTCGAAGGTGCAGAGGGCTTCTGCAACGAGGCCATCATGAGTGACGCAGCTGATCCAGGCGCGGCTCGGGGTTTTGACATCGTAATCTGCTCGGGCTCCTTCATCTCTGCTCTCGAAAACTGCAAGGATTCACTCGGCAACGGCTTTGAGGTCTCCGGCTCCCGTGGAGGTGGACTTGCTGCAGACTCTCCCAATCCAGCGCCACCTTTCCGCTTCTTCGGACCCTTTGCGCGGCCCTTTCGCATATCATGCAGTTGCCCTCCTTCCGCAGGTGGTTCGCTAGGGGCACCGAAGGATGCCTGCGATGCCGAGGGAGCGGGAGAATCCACTCTCGCAGGCGTACTGGGTCCACTAGGCGGGCCACGAGCAAGGATGCCTGCAAGACCGGGATTGAAGCGCGCAGCCAGCTTGCTTTGTTCGGCAGGTGGGGTTGACGCAGCGAGAGGCGTACTGGTTTGCTTCTTCGGGAGAGTAGGCTGGATCTGGACAGGTGTAGAAACAGGCGCACTCGTCTGCTTTTGCAGTAGCGGCAAGGTGTTGTTCACGTTTGTCTTCTCCGTTAGACTCTTCTGCTTCTGCAGAGCTTCGGGGGTCGCGGTCTTGGGTTTGTCCGGTATCAACGGCGCCTGCTTGCTCTCCGCTCTGCCTAGAACCTCACGTTTGGCCAAGGCTTCGGGTTTCTGCGGCGTGACAGGCAGCAGAGTGACAGGTCGCTCACGCACAATGCCCTCCTCCTTCTCCCGCTTCCACTCGTCCTTCTTCGCCACCAGACTCTCCTTCAACTCGTCTCTCCGCACCGTCTTGACCGGCCCATCCGTCTTGGCGAGCTCGGATTTGCCCCGTAAGATGTTGCTTTTAAGAACATCGGGCGCAACGTAGTTCTGCGTGGTTGCTTTGCGCAAATTCCCGAACTTCGACAGGAACTCAGGCGTCTCCTCTTGCTTAGCTTCCGCCGGTGCACGCGGGCGGAGGGTATTGCGGAGATCTGTTTGTGGTTTGGGAGGGGTCTCTGGTTTGGCTTTGGAGGTGCTCGTGGAAGATGAGGTTGACTGTGCTCGTGTGGGCTGGGTAGATGGTGGGCGCGAGAAGTCGAGTGAAGAATTTGCAGCACCAGCTGTTATGGTCGATCTGCTGGGTGAACTCGGGCGTGGCGCCTCTTGACCAAGTGGAGTTGCAGAAAGAAGTCGCGTAGTTTCCAGACCGCCTGATTCAGAGCGCTCGAGTGAACTGGGACCGTGAAGGTCGCGGGAAGGAGAGCCGGGACGAGGTGCATCTTGACCTAGTGGAGCTGCGGACAGGAGACGGGGTGTGTCCATGCTGCCTGAGTCAGTGTACAAGCCCAGCCCAATCAAGTCTTTAGTAGGAGAGGCGGCACGTGGCGCCTCCTGCCCAAGCGGTGTTGCAGAGAGCAGCCGCGGCGTGCCCAAATCCCTCGACTCTGACCGGTGTAAGGATCCCTGTGCAAGCAGATCTTTACCGGGCGAACTAGGCCTGCTGCCGCCACGTTCGCCACCCGCGCGCTGAGCTTTCGCCTTTGCGATGTCTGTCATCCAGTTCGGCTGACTATTGCGGGCGGGAGACGCAGGTTTCGGTGATTCTGGCCTGGCGATGGCACTTTCGAGCCAGGATGACTTTGTCGGACTCCAGCGTTTCGAGGGGGTGGAGGGCGGGGACATTGGCCGGTCGTCCACCAGTGATGCATGGGATTTGCTCCGGCTGTGTAACGAGCGTGTATTTGTGGTGGGGTTGGTAACGTATCCTGAGCTCGGGGTGTCGTGAGCGGTGGTCGTGGTTGGTTGCGAGACAACATCCTCGGTGCTTGGTGTTGGGTCTAGTCGAGGCATACTGTACGATGCAGTCAGGCCACTACCGGCACCCTTTGGACTCGTCAGAGAATTCTGTCGGCCAAGGTCTGCAGTCGGCTGTGCACTCCACCGCTTGTTCACGCTATCAGAGCGCTTCATCATGGCGCTCTGCACAAAGCCACCCATGCCTTTTGTAGGGGAAGGAGGGCGATCCGGAGTGCCTGCTAGCCGGGGTTGAGGTGAAGAGACTGAGGAAATGCCGGGCACGCTCGAATATGTAGGTATAGTGCGCTCCACCATGGGCGACGCCTTTGCCTGCCCTTCGTCTTCCGCAATGAGGGATTTCAAATCCGGCTTGCTGCTCGATGAGCTTCGGATGGTGGAGAAATTGCTGCTGGGCGCAATACTGCTGAGCACAGAGGTTGAGCGGGAAGGCGTGTCTGTTCGGACGGTCTCGGCCGGTGTTATGCTCCCGGATCGGGGTGTGGTTGTAGACGCCTCTCGCTGCATGCCAGGCAGACCTCTGCGTCCAGATGCAAAGGCATCACCAGTGGCAGCCTCATCCACGTTCTTCCTAAAAGCCGCGTTTCCCACTCCTCTGTCCGCCGTTTGTCTGAACCAAGAGGGATCCCTCGCGCCCAACGAAGCGGCAATCTGCTCTCTACCCAGCTCCGGCTCATCTGCATCCGTGCTCTTGACCAACAAGATGGTGTTGGGGACAATCATGGAGCGCGGACGACTTGACGCGCCTCTTGAAGATGGGCGCTGCTGCCATGATAGGGTGCCGGAGCGTGCAAGGCTGGTGGCGCTGGTGGGCGGTTTGGAGGGGGAGTCGGATGTTTGTGCCATCTGCGGTGTGCGTTGCGCAGACGGGGTGATTGTGGTGGGTGTTTTGGAAGAGCCAAAGCCGCGGAATTCGGGAATGTCAGAGGAAGGGTCGTTGGGGTTGGCGAGAGGGGTCGAGGTGGAGGTGGAGGGAGGATTTATGGAGGGCGGCGGGGTTGCGCTCCTGCTGCTGCTCGCATTTGCGGAAGGTCTGGAGGAGATTGTGGGTCTCTTTTGCGGACTGATTGATCGTGCGCGGTCTGCAGGACAGAAAGGAACAGGTCAATATCCAAGACACACGTGCGTGCAGGGTACGTCGAGACAATACACACCAGCTCGACGAACAGCTCTCTCCTCTCGACTCTTCTCAATCTCCAACTCCAGCGCACGATACCGCTCCGCGTCTTCTCGCTCCCGCTTCTCCGACAGTTCGCGCACCGATTTGAGAAAGGCCTGCGGGTCGAGATCGGATTCGTCGGCGCGCTGCTGCAAAGCGGAAGTCGACGCATCAACATTGAAAGCGGCCATTGGGAGCGAATGGGAATTAAGTCTAGCGTTCCACCGCGCAGCACCACCCGCAACGCCGTGGTAACCAAATGACAGGGATGTTAAGGGCCGGGAAGAGCTCACAAGCCCGCCGGGGGGAGAAACAGGGAAGTACAAAGGGAAGGGGGAATGATAGTGCGGGTGTTGACAGCTTCAATTGTGGATATGGACGACATGCGGTGGAGGACGAGGCCGCTCGGCTACGGCCGCCTGTCCATCTCTCCCGATTTCTCCGATGGGGGGAATGTTCCCTCTTTGCAATTCGCGGTCTCCAATTCTGCGGCCTTCACCATCGCCGCCAGCAGTGCTCAGACGAGTGGCATGGGATCTGATCACGACATCTGAAACGCTTCACATCTCGATTCGGCGGACGAGAAGCAGCTTCCCCTGCAAGTGTCGTCGTACAGAACATGGATTGCCGCTTTGTTTACATCGGCTTTCGGATTCGGGCGCGCTAAAAACAAAAGGCCCGGGCAGCGCGTCAGCAAAGCTGGAGCTTGAGCTTTGGTGGGGTGAATAGGCGGAGTTCAGTAAAGGAATAGGCGGTCTTTGGCATCTTGCACCACCCACCGCAGCCCTTCCTGCAGGTTGAGGCCGGTCATGGCCGAGCAGGACAAGATGTGCCATTTGTGCGTGTGAATATTGTCGAGTTGCAGGCCCTGTGTTGCCGGCCGTCAGCAATGGTCAAAATGAACAGCTCCGGTTGAAAGCGGGGATGATGCGCGCACCTCGCGGATGTCTTGCTCGCTCATGCATCCCGCAATGTCGCTCTTGTTCTTGAACACCAGCAGCGATGCTCCCATCAGGCGCTTCGAGGTTGGTCAGCATCTCAATGGCATGCAGACCATGGCCACGGAATGAGCCGCACCTCTTGAACGAGAAGTCCCATCAACTCCTGTCTGCAATCCTCAATCCGCTCCCGATCGGTAGCGTCGACAACCCAAATCAGCGTGTCCGTCTTCTCGAAATAGTTCTTCCAGTATGTGCGCAGCGTCTTCTGCCCACCGACATCCCCTAGAACTGGCCGTCAGCGTGGTGCTACCGCCGGGGCATGTGCGGGCGGGTTGGGCAGCCAGACAGATGTTCAGTTTGTACCTTCCACCTTCCCCATTAGCGTCGCCTTTCATTCTCGTGCCCTCACGTGCCTTCGCTTACCCTTCGTAGTCAATCGTCTTGATGATAAAACCCAGCGTGGGGCTGACGGTGTTGACGTCCTCGTGCATAATCTGCTTCACTATCGTCGTCTTGCCCGCATTGTCCAAGCCACTTTTCTCGCAGTCTCAGTTGGGCGCTCGAGGTTTCACCACCGGCGGGCAAACGAGGGGAGCTCACAGCATCAGAATCCGCATCTCCTTGTCCTTCAGACGAGCCTTCCTCAGGATCGACAGCATCTTGCCGCCTTCCACTTTTCGCGACGATAATTCACAGAAGAGGCAGGAGCCTTCCGCAAAAGGAAAGCTGGAGAAGCGGCGATCACGTGCCCGCCCCTGAGGGGTGTCGTGGCACGAGACACTCCCACTTCCTCACCCCGTTTTCTTGGATCCGACCTGGGAAGAGTGCTGCCATCTGACATCACCAGCAGTCCTCATTACTGGCAAACCAAAACGCCGAACTCATCCAGTACGCCCTTCACTTTTCATCAGAAACCCGGCCTACCCCTTCCCGGGTCCTCCAGGGATCTCCTGAGAGTGAGAGCACACAATACTGCAATACCTGAGGTATCCGTCTGTGCTCACCAGCACCTCTCATCATCATCTCAACGTCCATCGCCTGGCTGTCGCAGGGACACCAGACACGACGTCACGAGTAAGAGTCACCCAAGCGCAACGTGCGACATCCCACCGACCCACAAATCCTCCTCGCCTTCACTATTCACTCGCTCGCGACAATAAGCAAGTTTGGTATTGTCAGCAAGGCCTGCAGTCAATTCACTCGGAAACGAGTCAAGTCCAACGCCCGGACTCCCCGCTTCTCATCACGACATTACTTTCAAACACCGCGAACACGGACACACCATGGCAGAAAGCGCCCAACCCAAACCCCTTCCGCCTCATCTGCGCAAAAGGCTGGACAAGCCTCCAGTGCCCGTGGCCCCTCCCAATCAGTTCGGCTGGCCGCAAGCAAGCTCCAGTAAAGCTCCCGCAGCGGCGCCTCCCGTTCAAACACCCCTCTCACCCCCTGAGAGCGCGCGCGACGAACATGCGAACGACAGTGGTGTCGCCGTCAGTCCTAAGCAGCACGCTCACTCCACTCCAGTCACCTCTTTCAGTCACGACGCTGCACCCAACCCACCTGCACCAGTCTCGGCCCAACAACACCAGAGTCCATCCCATCAAAGTCAAGACCATGGTACAGGTCGCGGTCGTGGTCGTGGGGGTCGTGGTCGAGGTCGAGGTCGTGGACGTGGCCGGGGCGGACAGAACCCTCCCCCTCGCGAATCACGCTGGCCCAAGAATTCCAAGCTTAGGGGTGATCCGAAGCGATGGAAGCACGGCTGGATCGACACCCACGAGGACCTCGACTCCGGTGATGACGAATGGAAAAAGGGCTGGATCACTACCGACGATGTGCGCAACTCCCAACCCAACTTTCAGTGGCGGGAACAGCAGCAGAACGACGACGACACTCAAGACGACTCCTCCAACGCCGCCAACAACTGGCAAGAGGGCAAGACGAAACGAAAGTACGTCGACGGCGGTACTGATGATAAGCTCCATCCCCTCGCCGACTGGACCGGAGGGTTCGCGCCTGCGCCGCTCGATTGGGACAGTCGGCCAGGCTACCGCGATGGGCAGAGCACCGCCAGGATTGCAAAGTGGCTGGATCGCATCTTCGAGGAGATGTGCGGCAAGACGTGGGGCATCTCAATGTCCAGTGTGTTGATCGATCATCGCACTTACGCCTTCACTTGCGACCTTGACGACCCTACCAGAGTCCTGCAGGGCGACGCGGCGCCTTGGTATTGGAGGCCTATTGTCATCGGCCACCAAGCGCCCATGACCTTCTGGAACGAGTTGAAGAAGTCCACTTCACCCACGCCAGCCGACGCAGACGATCTGAACGATGTCCAGCCATGGTGGCAGACGTACGAGAGAGGCACTCACTTTCTCAAGCCCTACCAACACCCAGACATCCGCGGCATCGACCCCAAAAAGGAGAGCGAAGACGAGCGGCTCGCGCGCGAAAACGACCACGGCAGCACAAACCACGCCGAAAACCGCAAACGCAAAGCGGAAGCGAAGAAAGCAGCGCAGCGCGAGCGGCAACGCAAAGCAGAAGAGAAGTTCTGCGCCATCACGCACCGCGACGTCTCTGAAATGCAGCGCGACCAGATCCGCCCGGGCATCAAAATGTACGTCCGCGCGGCCAAGGCGGAAGACGCGCCGCGCATCCGCGACATCTACAATTACTACGTCGAATCCTCCGTCTGCACGCCGGAAACGCAGCGCTTGACCGATACGCAAGTCCACGACCGCCTCACCACCATCCAAAGCAAAGCCCTCCCCTTCATCGTCGCCTGCGAACGCGGAGCGAAACTCCCCGCCCGCAAAGGCCGCGGCGCCTACGCCGCCAGCGACCCCATCACCCTCCCAGACAAAGTGGTCGGCTTCGCCTTCGCCGACGACTTCCACCGCATCAAAAAGCCCATGTACCGCTACACCGCGGAGCTGGAGGTGTACGTCGACAAGAACTACCACATGAAGGGCATCGCGAAGTGCCTGCTCGACAAGATGCTGGGTGTCGTGGATCCCATGTACCCCGAGAAGCGTGGGTACGATGTTGTGAGTGAGAGTTTCGACGAGCCGGTAAGGAGGCTGAGTACGCTTTTGTTCCACTTTCCGTACGAGAGTCTGCGGCCGGAGCGGCTGGAGTGGATGGCGAGGTGGTTGTGTGATGGGCTTGGGTTTGAGAAGGTGGGGGATTTACGTGAGGTTGGGATGAAGGATGCGAAGATGTGAGTTCTTACTTTATTGCTGTCTCGAGTCGGGTGGTTTCGCTAATGTGTGCGTTGTGCAGGGTCAGCGTTGCCATCTTCCAGCGTAAGACGGGCGAGAGGCTGGATCCCAAGGATCTTCCTATCGCGATTGATTGACGAGGCCGACGGGATGTTGGTGAGACGGGAATGGCGTTTATGGAGCTGGTTCGGATCGTGCAGAGTGCGAGTAGTGTTACATTGTGATTAGGCATACGAAGCTGCGGAGTCCAGGATAGTACAGAGATGCTCTCCGTCTACTCTCCCTCTTATGCCCATTCGATCATTCTCTCGTTGACGCATACTCATCCCGCCAGGGCCAGCCCGGCATGGAAGACTCAAAATCGTACATCCCCCTCATCTCCACCGTCACTTGTCACTAATCCCAGTGTCGCTGAAACGTAAGAATTATCAGCAAACCGCAACCGCTTCCTACTACCAAGCAATCCGCCCATCGAAACTCACATCTGCGTGAAGCACATGAAGCTCTCCACCTTGCCAATCCACGGGTACGCCGCCGGAAGATCGCAGTCCTCGGAACTGTTGTTGAACAAGTCCGCAAAGTCTTCGTCGTCGTTGCATTTGCCCCTATATTGCCGTCAGCTACCCCCTCCAAGCAGGACGAAGAGTAATGTTGTAAGCAAACGCAACTGATACAAATAACACTCCAACCCCTCATCAGGCTGGAAAGAGCCCAAATCTCCCGCGCTGTACACACAGTGATTAGCCAACACCACTCCCTCCCACTATGCAGGAGCGGAAGAGCACGAAAAACATACTACGAATTCAACGCAATGCACTCCGCCAAAGGCAGCACACCATACCAGACGTCGCCCGTGAAGCCCACGCCATCAGACAGCGTAACGCCGCCTGTGGTGCGTTTGGCGAGGTGCGTGGCGATGCCGCTGGCTTTCGTTTGCGCGATGTAGTTGTACGGCGTTGGGGGGGTGGGGTGGTATTTGGTTGTTGGAGCGGCGAGTGTGGAGGTTGCGAGGGCGAGGAGGAGGAGGGGGAGATGCATTGTAGGGTCTTTGGCGGGGGGTTCGTAGGTTGTTGGTGGTGATGTGAGAGGAGGAGGAGGAGGAGGAGGATGGGATGAGGCTGCGAGGCTGTGTGGGGGAAGAGAGAGGGGTTTGTTAGGGGATCGAAACGCTGGAATGTGTAGTCGGAAGCGCAGGAAATTGGGAAGATTGGCTGGTGACACATGTGCGTGCCTGCAACTTGCCGTTTGTTGTTGATGTCATTGCATCGCACGGGGGAGAGGGAAGGTGCGATGTGGTTTGGTTGGAGCTGCTGGGGCCCGTGAAGATGTGACACGGCTGTGAGATGCAATCAGCCAACAGCCGCTGCAAATGAAACGAGAGGGATGCAAGTCGAATGGTTGAAGTCTTCTTTGTAACAGGCGTACAAGAAAGCAATTGTTTCTTCTCCCCTGGGCCCTTGCGGTTGTTGTAGTAAAGCAATGAGGCCTCGCGTATCTGATACACTCCTGCTTCGACCGTCGCCCTAGACCAACCCAAACCACAAACGCCATCGCTTCCGAATACCACAACCAAGCCCTCCCACGCTATGCACCGAAAATGTATAGGTAGCGAGCACGCGTCCAATGAGACCGGCCGCCGCCTTGCTGCTCTCCTCTCCCCTCTCACTTCCCAAGCTTATGCCACGCCTTGACCAGCGCCGCCTTCTCTCTCCCATCCCTCTCCAGCACCAACGCCCAGTCCCGCATCTCAATCCCCTTGCCCGTCTCTCGCCAGTCGCCCCACTCCGGCATCTTGGCCTCGTTCGCATTCGCACTGCCCGTCCTCGCCATAGCCGGCGCGCCACCGCCAGGGGTGGCAGCAGCCGAACTGCTCTCCGCCTTGATCGGCGTGGCCGTGCCACTGGCACCGGCGGAAACGGTAGGTTTCGCAAAGCGGTTGGTCGGCACGGCCGATGCACCCCCCGTCATCCAGTCGTACTTCCGCCCTTTCTTGCCGAGAGCCAGCGCGACGGTCTGGTTGGTGGTGTGGTGTAGCTGCGCTTCGTTGGAGTTCTTTTCCTTTTGCTGCCGGATTTGCTCCTTCTTCGTCACTTTAGGCTGAGACAACACCGCCGCAGCGGCGTTTTCGGGGGCGGCGGAGTCGGTGGGGAGGAAGTCGGCGGAGTCGGTCATTTCCGATGCTTTGCGTTTGCGTGCCTCGCGTTTCTTGATGCGGTCTGCCTCGGCTTCGCGATCGCGTTTCGATAGAGTGCGCAACTGGGCGTTCAGCAGGCCCTGAAAGGATATGGTGGGTTGTGGTTGCGGAGTCGACGATTCGCCGGCCACGTCCGTCATCTCGGTGTCCTGCTCGGGGAGCTTGTCCCACTGCGAACCGGTGATGTTTTCCGGCACCACATTCTCTTCCCTGCGCTTGCCTTCGCCTTCTGCAATGTCCGCAAACTCCGGCGGCACCACTCGTCCATGGTCCCCGTACCTCCTCGCTCTCGCCAGGGTATACGCCTCGTCGAGCAAGCCTCTGATCCGCTCTCCCGCGGCCAACGAGAGCAGGCTTAGGATATGCTCAATTGCAGTGTTCTGGTTCACCACGCTCTCCGGCCTTTTCGTCTCTTCCTGAACCGCAGCTATTCCCTCCTTGCCCGCTCCATTCACCATCACACTCGTCCGAGGTTCCGGATCGGGCTGCCTGACGAACAAACCGGCCAGGTTGAGCGTCACGCCCTGGTTTCTCGCAAGTGTATCCAACCGTTTGCGCACGTTATTACCCTGCAGAAACTGGTTGTTCAGATGATGTTGTCGTCGCTCCGCCTGTGCCCTCGCTGCCGCCTCTCGCTTCCTCCGTTGCTCAAGCTCAATCTCTTCCTCCGTCTTCGTCGCGCCCAATGTACCCGCCGCAGCATCCTGACTCCCGAAAGAAGTGCCCTGCGTGAGCATGTGAAAGCTGTTGCCCGGAGTCATGGTGCTGCTCGCGAAGCTCGAGTTTTGATTTGAACTGAAGCTCTGGCTTGCTTGGTTGTGACGATTGTTGTACATTGCGTGCAGGTAGTTCTCCTCATCTTTCAGATTGATCCCGCTTCCAAACAAACTGTCGCCGATATCGTCCACGCCGACCTTCTCTTCGCGATCGTCTCGATTCGGTGGGGGCGGCGGAGGCATGTCTCTGGACGACTGCGAGGGCGCTTTTGCCTGTCGCGGTTGAGGTGCTGGTGCGGGAGTCGGGGTTTGCCAAGAGGACTGCTGGTACGGATACGGCTGGGGCGTGTTGAAAGAGCTTTGTTGCGGACTCTGCGTGTATGGCGAATTACCAGCATAAGGTGACTGGACAGCCGGATGCGCAGGCGGGTTGGGTGCATAAGGGTTGCCGTATGCGCCGTACGTTGGTAGACCATGTGGCTGCTGCGGCCAGCTTGACGCACCGTTCGGGGGCGAGTGAGGGTCTGGAGACGTTCGCTGCCGCTTCGCTGGTGGAGGGCCGCCGTATGGTGTGGGGCTGGCGGGTGAAGCTGCAGAGGTCTGGTATGGAGAATAAGGCCGCGGCGCCGGCTTCTGCGGCGGGGGAGACATCGAGTACGACATGGTGGCGCGTCGCTTGAAGCGCAGCTGCTGTGGATGTCGATGTCGATGTGAGGGAAGGGAGGGGTGAAGAGGCCGAAGCAGGAGCCTGCGCTCCGGTTGCGCCTCCTCACTCAGTGAATGGTGACTGGTGCGATCATCCCACTACACTGTCGCCTCTGGTTGGTCCGAGTTGGCGATAGATGTTCGTCGAGATGCTGTAGATTGTCAAGATGGTCTTGAGCCGATGCGGATATCGTGGGGTGGTGTGGGAGCCGATCCGCCTCGTGTTTGATGTGAGGAGAAGTCGCAAAGGTCAGGCAGCGCCGCGACTAGTGACGCACGGCTGTTCCCGCGCGCCAAGCCTTTTAGGGAACCGCATCCTCGCTTCGAGCCCATTCACGATCTCTATTGTCTTCATTCACCACCTTCTCACAATACAACATCACTTCGATCGGCCCTCCACGTTCTACACGGCTTCATATTACTCGCCGACACCTAGGCATCCGGCAAATCACGCTGAGTCGGGCAGCACAGGCGTGAGCGCCTGGCGCGCGCACCTTCCACATCATGGCCAACAAACGCCCTCACGCGGCCATGAACGCGCAGCCTGAAGACGAGGACCCTATCGATCCAAGTGACGAACTCATGTTCTTGGCTCTGGGTGGTGGGAATGAGGTTGGGAGATCATGTCACATTATACAATACAAGGGCAAGACGGTCATGCTTGACGCGGGTATACATCCCGCGTACGATGGCCTCGCCGCGCTTCCCTTTTACGACGAGTTCGATTTGAGTACTGTGGACGTACTTCTGGTTACACAGTGAGTACATTATTCCTCTATCGCGAGCATGCTTTTTTGCGGTCGGCTTGGGAGTTGGGACTATACAAGCTATACCTTGCGTTCCGTCTACCCATCATATGTCCCTTGGTCTTCTGCTCTTGAGCTTCACGGAGTATCTCAGAATACATAGCAACGATATATGAGTTTGCTTGCATCTGACCTCTCCCGTGCTTTTCCTTGCTCGCGTTTCCATATTTGCACCCACTAGTCACTCCAGACATGCTCTCTTCACGTCTTAGACCCCAGAGCTAACAGACAATGTCCCCAGTTTCCACATGGATCACGCAGCCTCCCTACCATACGTACTCGCCAAAACCAATTTCCAAGGCCGGGTGTACATGACACACCCTACCAAAGCAATCTACAAATGGCTCATGCAAGACTCCGTTCGCGTTCAAAACACTCACATCGCCACCACCGCCGGCACGTCTGGTACGGATGGCTACGTTTCCCAGCTCTTCAACGAAGCCGACATCATCTCTACCTTACCCATGATCAATACCATCTCTTTCAACACCACGCATACTCACAACGGAATCAAATTCACGCCTTACCCGGCCGGTCACGTTCTTGGCGCCTGCATGTACCTGATAGAGATTGCTGGACTCAATATTCTCTTCACCGGCGATTACAGTCGAGAAAATGATCGACATCTCATCCCAGCCGCAGTACCAAGAGGCGTCAGAGTAGATTGCCTCATCTCGGAGTCCACGTTCGGTATCAGCACGCACGTTCCGCGAACGGAAAGAGAAACGGCACTCATGAAAGCCGTCACCGGCATTCTGAACCGTGGCGGTCGAGCGCTACTCCCCGTTCCGGCAATCGGACAAGGTCAGGAAGTGTTATTGATCTTGGAGGATTACTGGCAAAGACATGAAGAGTACCGCAGGTATCCCATCTACTACGCCTCCAGTCTGGCCAGGAAGTGCATGGTCGTCTATCAGACCTACATCGACGCGATGAACGAAAGTATTCGGGCAAAGTTCCAGGCTAGCCAGGCTGGGACGGGAGACGGTCCGTGGGATTTCAGGTATATCCGGTCGCTAAAGGGCCTGGATCGATTCGACGATGTGGGCGGCTGCGTTATGCTAGCATCACCAGGGATGTTGCAGAACGGCGTGTCCAGATCACTACTGGAGAGATGGGCACCGGATGCAAAGAATGGGCTGGTCATCACCGGGTACAGTGTTGAAGGCACCATGGCGAAGCAGATCGTGCTCGAGCCTGACATCATCCCTGCTGTAATGACCGGAGGCCAAGGGGGAAGAGGGAACCTGCTAAAGCGGCCAGGCATGGGAGGTGGAGAGGAAAAGGCAATGATACCGCGACGTCTAACCGTGCAAGAGTTCTCATTCGCCGCACACGTGGACGGACAAGAGAACAGGGAGTTTATCGAAGAAGTCAATGCTCCTGTGGTAATTCTCGTGCACGGAGAGAAGCACAACATGAACCGGATGAAGAGTCGATTGCTCAGCTTGCAGAAGTTCAAAGTCTACTCGCCTGCGAACTGCGAGGAAGTGCGGATACCTTTCCGACAGGACAAGATCGCGAGGGTGGTGGGCAGACTGGCGAGTGAGGTGCAGCCGCCTTCCGCGTTGCCAATATCTCCGCCCGCATCTGACGAGGAAGGCGAAGATATGAAGCGAAGCAGGATGGAGGAAGTCGTGATGCGAGGCGTACTGGTGCAAAACGACTTCAAGTTGAGCTTGATGGCACCAGAGGATCTGAAAGAGTATGCCGGCCTCGCTACTACAAGTATCATGTGTCGGCAGCGAATCACGCTTGGCGCCGTGGGGGTGGAGCTGATCCGTTGGGCTCTCGAAGGTACCTTTGGCAGCATCACTACTGTTGCGAAGTCGACACCAGCGCAAACGAACGGAGACGTGAAGGACGAGGGAGAAAAAGCCGACGAGGAAATCGAGAGAGAAGAACAAACCATCTTCGACATCATGGGCGGCTGCGTCCGCCTAATTTGCCACTCAGGCGGCGTGATTGAAATGGAATGGGAGGGCAACCGGACGAACGACAGCATCGCCGACGCCGTCATGGCTGTCCTGCTTTCCATCGAGTCTTCACCAGCCGCCATCAAGCAAAGCAGCAAACTGCACTCACACGCCCACGACGGTTTCGGAGGCAGCTCAGAGGAAGAACGAAGTACAAACGGAGTTGAGGCGACCAGAAATCCACTCGCGAATGTCACCGCAGAAGAGAAGCTAAACCGCCTTTTCATGTTCCTCGAAGCGCAATTCGGAGAAGACGCAGTCTCGCCCATCGCAGAGCCGAAGCTGGCGCAGCTGAACGGGGCCGTGGAAGAGATGGACGAGGTGGAACGGGAAAAGGCATCCGCCGCGGAATTGGAGAGGCTGCATGATCTTGGCATTCCTGTGCCGGGAGTGGAGGTTCGCGTGGACAAGATGACTGCCAAGGTGTGGCTGGAGAAGTTGGAGGTGGAGTGTGCGAATAAGAGTTTTGCGGACCGGGTGAGGGCGGTGGTGGAGAGGAGTATGGAGACGATTGCGCCGTTGTGGCAGTGAGGGGTGGTGGGAGTATGTACTGCCGCGATCAATGACTGTCTCTCAAGCGACTTCAATGTTGGATCCGATCTTCAGACCAGTCCTCATTATCTCACACTCGTCATGTCTCAATCACGCCCGAGTAGTCCACTAGCCTCCTCCGATGCTTTATCTCCACACCATCATACACATCAACCCCTCCATTCGCTTCGTGCTCCTCCGCGCCAGCAAAGTCCTGCGTAGGCATGGCAGGCCACGCTTTGCAAATATCAATCTTGTCTCTCGGGTACATGAGCTCCAGGAAGCAGTAAATCAGGTAGTCGACCACCACCACAATCACGAACAACTTCCCCGCCCAAATGCCGCAGCCAAAGTACCGCTTCAGGCGGTCCATCAGTGCAAAGGAATGGGGTTGTGCGGGCTGGCCGTAGTTCACCCACTCTTCATCGTAGTATCCTTCGTTATCCGAAGCAGAGGGAGCACCGGTGATGAGGTCGTAGACGCGCTCCGTGCGTCGCGCGATGTCCGACCAGCTGTACATGTTCTTGACGAAGTCGTGGAATTTGCCGCGGTGCACGGTTTTGCTCGTGAGCTGGCGAATGGCTTCTGTGACGCCGCGGACGACGTCTTCGACTTCGGGGAAGACGAAGACGGTCATGTTGTTGGGGAGGACTTCGGGCACGCCGCCGACGCGCGTTGCAACGACCATCAGGCCGCAGCTTGCTGCTTCTACGAGCACTGTGCCGAAGGCTTCGGTGAGGGAGGTGGAGAGTAGGAGATGGCCGCGCACCATCACGTCGCGGACTTCTTCGTGGCGGATGCTGCCTAAGAGGACCACGCGGCTCTGCCCGGAGGCGGTGTAGAGCAGTTGCTGGGGGAGAGAGTCGAGCATTTGCTCCAGGTCGATGGCTTTGGGGCCCGAGCCTGCGATGATGAAGCGGAGATTCTCATGCCGGCGCAGCATGATTGGGAGTGCGGAGATGAGCAGGTCGGTGCCTTTGTTGTAGAAGAGGCGTGAGATGACGATGCATGTCAGTGGATCTCCGGGTCCGATGGGCTGACTTGGGTCGGGAGGTGGAGGTAGCAGGCCGCTTTTGTCGCCGGGGAGATGGGATGCCTTTGCTTCGTGCGGTTGGAGCGGCTGGAAGCTGCTGGGTACGACGGCGTTGGGGATAACCGAGACTGCGAGTGGGTTCAGTGATGCCCGCAGAGTCGTGTTCTCTTTGCTGTGAATTGTTAGTGCGGTCTCTCTGGGAAGCACGAATGATGTCGTACCAAGTATGCGAGACACAGACAACATGGCCAACATCGCTCAGGCTGAATTTCAGCAGCTTGTTGGCCATGATGCTTCCGGCGTCACTGAATCCGAACAGACTATGGTCGGTGAAGACCGTATGAAGGCCCATGGTCCGGGCATGTAGGAGACCTTCATGGCAGAGATTGCTGAGAGAGGCGTGGCCGTGAACAATCTGAATCTGCTCGCGAATGAAGATCTGCCGCAAGATGGGGAATGATGAGAAGACGGTGGGAAAGGTGGTTGAGCGATACACCACCCAGTGCGGGATGTGGTAGACCTTTAGTCGGTTCGTGAGGTAGCGAATTCCCGTTCGGTTGGGATACGGGGAGCCATAGGCGTGGGTGATGATGACCACTCGGTGTCCTCGGTCAATGAGTTTCTGCACGAGACTCTGTTAGTCTGAGTGATGGCGGAACAGAGGCTATGGAGATGTACAGAAGAAAGTTGATATATATGACTTTCCACACCACCAGGCTGAGGGAAGAAAAAGTCCGAGACCATGCTGTTGTCATATTAGCAATGATGGATCGCCGTGCACCGTGGATGGACCTACGCGATGTTGTACGGCATGGTGCTGGCGGTGTTGCGCCTCACGGGCGCTCATCCGGAGTCGATACGTCCGAGGTGGGAATGGCGTGGCAATGACATTCTCGGGCAAGTCACACAGCAATGCGCGATGCTGCTAACTGTCTGCAACGTCGAGGTGTGGTTTAATTAAGGCGCAAGGGTGCACTTCAGCCACGCGTCTGCCAGACGTCGATCTCTTCCCGATCGGGCACTCCCGGGCGGTGAGAGCAGCTCCGCTTTCCGAAATTATTCTGCCGCTTTCAAAAAGATATCTGAATGATGGAGGTTTGGTGCTGGACTACCAAGCACTGCCAGATGTGCTGATCAAATGGCGACCCTGTACAAGCGATATGTCCCACCGAAGCCATCCTCTACCCCTACTCCCCCAGAAGCGCCTCCGCCCGCCCCCAGGGTAGAGTCTACCTTGTACAAACGATATGTCCCGCCGAAATCACACACGACCACCACCCCCGCAGCCGCACCTCTGCCAGCTCCGAGATTGGAGGCTGCCACCGTCTCGGAAGATGTATCAACGAAACGAAAGCGGGAGCGTCCAGAAGAGGAGGTGGCAGAGCGCAAGGCGAAGAAGCTGAGGAAGAAGAGCATCGACCCGGCCACCGTCAAAGAGCAGGATGATGGGAGCACAGCAGTCGAGAAGGATCCAAGTCCTAAAGCCCATGAGGAGACTATAGATCAGCAGCAAGGTGACTTCTCGCACATCAAGAACATCAAAAAGCGCCACAAGCTTGAGAAAGAAGCGCGCAAGGCTCGCAAAGCTGCGGAGAAGGATGCAATAGATGGACTTGCGGATGGAGAGAAGACGGGGCAAAGCAATGCGGCAGCAGATACGATAATTGCAGAATCACAACCATCGCCGAACACTAGCGATCGAGTGGAGGTCGCGACACTGTCGAGTGACAGAAAGGCGGATAAGAAGGAGAAAAAGAAGCGGAAGCAGAAAATGATCGTTCCGTCAGAGAAGGCGCATATCCCAGAGGATAATCCTGCAGAAGAGAACGAACCCGAACGTAGCGTCTCTCAACCGAAGAAACGACAGCACAAGCTAGAGACGGCACTGCAAGACACTTCGAAAGACGAATTACGAGAGCAGGACGAGCCAGAAGAACACCTACGAAAACACGCAGGAATCATGAGCAAATTCGCACAATCCAAGCACATGTCTGAACTAGAGGTCAGAACTGCACCGCAAGACGAAGGCCGTCCAAACACGCCGCCTGTCATGCTCGACCTCGCTCCGCTTCCACAGCCTGAGGAGGCTCCAGTCCCCGCATTCAAACCCGATCTGTCTACATTGCCAAAGTGGCTTGTGGAACCTACCATTGTCTCGGACCAGAGCAAAATCTCATTCCAGGACCTTCAGCTGGAGGGAGGGGTGGTCCAGCATCTATCCAAACTCGGGTTCAGCGAGGCCATGCCCGTGCAGACGGCATTGATTCCAATGCTACTACCGCCAGGTACGCCAGGAGCTAAATTTCTGCGAGGCTCGGCACCAGTGTTACCGGATATTGCGGTCGGCGCACCCACTGGCAGCGGCAAAACCATTGCGTACTTGTTACCCTTGATCGAGTCAATCAAGCGGACTGCAGGTTCGGGCCGGCTCAAGGCTTTGGTTGTCGTACCAACCCGAGAGCTCGTCCTACAGATTGCAGCAGTGGCCGAGAGTCTGTCTCGCGGGTCGAGTGTCAGGATTGGTGTGGCGACTGGTGTTGGAAGTTTCAAAGACGAGCAGGGCAAGATTATGAAGGCTGGCCAGCGTTATGACCCTGAAGGCTACCGAGCGCTTATGCAGCGAGCCGATCGCATCAATCATCCCCCGGATGCAGACTCGGACGAGTTTGAAGATTATCTGCGAGAGCTCGAAATGGAAGACGCGAGGGATGTGAAACTCATTCAAGATGCGATATCTACTCTGGTGAATCATGTGCCGACATATGAATCGGCCGTGGACTTGTTGGTAGCGACGCCCGGTCGGCTGCTCGAACACCTCGATCATACTCTTGGATTCAGCTTGACGCATCTCGAATGGTTCATCTTGGACGAAGCGGACAAATTAGTTGATGGACAGTACGACGGCTTCCTTGACATTGTCAACAACGAGCTCTCACGCCCTCGTAAAGAAGGCGAACAGGATGCTCGAGAGCGATATCTGCGATTGAAAGGCGTGTGGAACGAGCAGCGAGAGCGACGGGTCAGGAAAGTCGTACTGTCCGCCACGATGACTCGAGATGCGTCGAAGCTCGTGGACTTGAGGCTGAAGAGACCGCAGATGATTCTGGTGAGAGGGCAAGGCGAAAGCGATGTTACGATTAATTCCGAGGCAAATGGCGATGCATTGGTGGAAGATGCTACGAGCACGTTTGAACTGCCGCCCACGCTGGCAGAGTACTGTGTGCCTGTTGGCGATGGAAGCGAGAAGCCGCTGTACCTGCTTGAGGTGCTCGAGAAGCGGATGGTGAATGGGAGCAACAGAATTGCTGCCAATCGACTCGGAGAAGCTGAAGCGATGGATTCCTCCGACAGCGACTCGGATTCGGACTCCTCGGAAAGCTCGACGGCTTCGTCTGAAGATTCGTCGGTATCATCCGACGACGATGATGAGACTACAAAGGCCATCGACCAAGCCCAGGAACGAAATGACATTGACGCGGGGATCCATCCGGATCGACTGGCATTACTGGATCGACCCTTCCCTTCAAAGTCATCCTCTATGGTCCCCACGATTCTGATCTTCGCCTCAAGCACCGAATCCGCGAATCGACTCGCACATCTCCTGCAAACGATGAACCCAGAATGGGCAACATGGATCAAAGCGCTGACCAAGACGGACTCCAAACAGCCCTTCTCCAATACCCCCGCCTCCCAACCTATCATTGTCGTGTCCACCGACCGTGCAGCACGAGGCATTGATACTATCGGCAATCGACCCGTCACACACGTCGTGCAGTATGATGTACCACACTCGGCGACAAGCTACATTCATCGCGTCGGTCGAACGGCGCGTGCGGGCAAGGCTGGCGAAGCTTGGACGCTGTACACGCACTCCGAGGCCCGCTGGTTCCACAAGGGGATTGTCAAGGGAAAGAGTATCAAGCGGAAGGGGCAGGTGGAGAAGACGAAGGTGGATGTTAGTGGGGATGATGCGAAGCGGGAGAGGTTGGAGAAGGCGATTGCTGGGATGAGGGAGGAGGTTCATGGGGGGAGGAAGGCGAGGTAGTGTTTGTTCGATCGATTGCTCCTCGACAAGTGGAATGACAATCCTCGCTGTTTATGACCTGGTGTGACAATGGTGTGGTCGCGTGAGCAGAGGTGATGTCCAGACCCAGCAGAATAATGGATCCATCGAGAGCCAGTCGGTTGACATCCGTTGTTGCTTTTAAATTTGGTCCCGTCACGGACCATATGCCGGATGGGAGTGATGTGGAGCCCCCCCGGCTCCTTGCTGACGCTGCACCATCGGCGCCGAGACTGTCATCTGCACATGGCATATCCCCTTCGAGACCGTGTGATGACCGTGTGCCTGGCCTCACACTCAATCTTACCACGCATATACGATGCCAAACTCGCTATACATCGCATGCACACCGTACAGATTTTAACGACTGCCGTCGGTCCGGGGCAGCGGGAAGAAGTGGGGCGCGCAGGCATGTGTAGGAGTGCTTTAGCCATTTGCAGGGTCTGCGAGATAAACGGACGCACGCTGATTGGGCGCGCGGCTAGAACCTGCCCGAAGGGGCAAGGACCAGCCCAGCACCCTGGGAAAGTTTGTCGCCTCTTTGCCCGACTGCGCTGCGTCACCTTGAGAATTGATGTTGGGTTATTGGCGATGGTGATGATGACGGTGATGGGGAAAATGGGAGATGAGGTTGGGTGTGTAATACACAGGCGTGAGAAGAGGTCTGCCAACTTGCGCGGAAGTTCTGGCAAGACACAAGGTGGAGAGCACGAGACCGCTCACGCGACACTCAGCCTGATCTCGTATGCGACGGTGGCCTGTGCGCGATACCGAGGAAGTGGACGGGAGGCGTTGAGCGCCGCCGCGCCCACCACTTCGCCGACGAGGCCAGACGGTACATATCCACACGGCCGTCCTCTTCCTCCCATTCACTCCTCCTCCTCAGAATTGACCACTCGCCTTTCCTTTGTCTACACCTTCCCTGCTGCCGGATCGGAGAATGGATTCATAAGGCGGTGCGCGCAGTCGTGCCACTCCCTTATCTCTGCTCGCCTACCTCTTCGACGAATCGGACTTGCAGATCTGCTGCCGCTTCCCTGCTCGCCAGCGTGCGTGCCTGCAGTGCTCACCGGTAGTCCAGACCGCCATTACGCCCCTGGCCAGATATCCGTAGACGTCTTGCGCACCCGTGCCCAACTCTTCCGTCCCCTCTTCTCGCCACTCTCCAACTGCGCCGACTAAGCGCATATCGTATGACCCTCTCCTACGGGACCGCCGACACTCTTCGCTCCCTCCCCGGACTATGACAACCTCTACAGTCTACGCCAGCTCCCACACTTCCAAATACTTCCTCAACCCGCAGGCTCACCGGCCCTCTCCGCCCGCAGACTACCTCTACGGCAAAGTCGCATACCCCTCCACCTCCCCGATGACGAACACGCCACCCAACGTCTCGCCCACGAGCCAGCACAACGTGCAAGTGCGCCAGCTGCGCCAGCCGCGCCAGCCCCTCTACGTCCCCGCCGCCCTCCGCCCTACCAACCTCCCCTCCGGCCGCGACATCCCCGGCCGTCCGCGAGCCCCAGATACCCCTCCCACCAGTCAGAGCAACAGCTGGGACAGCGCCAAGTCCAGCTCGCAAGCGCTGCAGACCGTCGTGTCCAATGACAGTGGAAGCGATGCGGCGAGCCGCCTGTACCGCGGGCTGAGCGGGAGCAGCGAAGGGCTGGAAGAGAGCACGGCAGATGTGACGGGCCCTCCTACAACGGCGCACTGGAAGCCCGACGCCTCGTCCGACAACTGCTCCGTCTGCGGCGTGCTCTTCACCTGGTACTTCCGCCGGCACCACTGTCGACGCTGCGGCAGCCTCGTGTGCGAGAACCACATCAAGGCCAAAGTCCCGCTGGATCAGAACGCGCGTCTCAACACCAAAGGCGTGCCGAGCAAGGCGTGCAACCCGTGCTCTGATGAATGGAGGTTCCTCAAGAAGCTGCGCAACTCGCGTGCCTCGAGCGTCGCCGAGTCGCAGAACAGTTCGCAAGGCACGGCGATGCCTGCGCCCGCCATCTCCATCCCACAGTCGGAGCGGCTCCTCGCGCCCGAAAATCAGCGGGTGGGAAGCATGGCGCGCTCCGAGGGCGGCATGATCTGGAGTACTTTCTAATCGCCCACGACCCTATCTTAACGGCCTCGGCACCGCCGACGAATTCCTTTCAACACGGCCATCCACCCACGATTTTACGACTCGATTTCTTTTTCCGAAACACGAGGCGGCTTCCTTTCTTTTCGGACCGCACAACAACACGGGCTTGCGTTTGCGCCTTCTTCGTTTCATATTACCTAGCGTTCAAGCGATCCGTTTCGTGATACCCCCGGTTTCAGCGCTGCAACTCGGCAGTATACGCAACAGTAGATCGCGAATGGATACTTTTACTTATGCGTGTGGGATGCGATGGGACGGGATGGTGTTGGGTTGGAGTGCGAATCTGTATGATTATATGTGATGTTTGCTATGCTGAATTGATCTGTTCCTATAACATCTTTTCATGAGAATCAATGTTGTAGGCTGAAATGCTCCAGATCAATCTTGGAGGAGACGCATTCGATATTCTCCAGCGTCGAGAATCACGTGACCATCTCCCGAGGCAGGTCGCGACTTCCATTCTCGGTGGTTGCTGGCTTCCAGGTTCCAGAAGGAAAGAGCGAGCCCGGGGTCGCTCCTTCCCAAAGAATTGAATAAGTTTAAACTTTCCTAGTTGAGAAGGTACATAGGACCATAAGCCGAAGAGAAAAGAGGATTCCGTCCGCTCTCCTGTACTCAAGCTTCGGACTGGTAGATTAGTACTCAGGTGGGTGACCACTGGGGAATCCCTGCTGTCCTATGTGAATTTTTGCCGATTTTCTGCGATTTTTGGCATTGTTCTCCTCTGCTCTGCGTTTTTGTGCATTTTTTTGAGGAATTTTGAACTATGTCTGGACTACATCACATTTTTGAGGATGGAAGAAGCACATTACGATTACATCGAATGAAAGTTTCTCTCGATTCATGTTACTTGCGATTGGTATCATGCAGGTTACAATTGCTAGGGGAAAGAAAGGTCATAGCCGCTGTCGACAACATCTCGGTAGCGCTTGCACTCTTCAACCAGTCACATCTCCTAGACTTCAGCCCTGTTCCGTGTATGTATATGTACAGCTCTGTAACGAAAGGATACCTCGATCAGCCGCCAGCGTCGTACGGGGGCGTTGTAGATTACAAACATACCGCGGTAGTCCCAGAGACGCTGCAATACCCGCCGAACGTGAAGTCGTCGCCCTGGTACAGTATTCTCCTTAGCACATGGAAGACTGAGGTTTTAGGAAGGGGCAAGGTGGACGTGGCGCCAACAGCGGCTGGTCAGACAACGTACCTCAAAGGAACACGGACACCCGGCTTGCGATACTGCACAGTCTTGATTATTAAAAATGACGCTGGTGCAGGAGGAAGTTGTAGGTGGTGGTGTTATTGTCGATGTGGACGATGTTGTGGTCGTGGTCGTTGTGCTAGTTGTGGTCGTGGTCGTGGTCGTGGTCGTGGTCGTCGTGGTCGTCGTTTTCTCCGGAGGAGGCGCTTTGTGGTGTGGAGGCGGAGGCGGATGATGGTGCGGCGGCCATCGCTCCTCCAATGCAATTACTGCGGACACGAGGGTGAAGAGACACAGAGCCTGGAGCTTCATGTTTGATCAAAGCTGTAAAGCATAGAGCAGATAACGGGAAAGTAATGAACGGAAGACTGGAAGGGCACCTGGGTTGCCTCATATATAACTTAGGCAGCTCTCCCCAGGGATGGCGCTCCGCGGCCAATATTGTCGTGCATTGCAGCAAGACCCCTCTCCCGCGGGCAGATCGCAATCTAGATCCGACTTTTCTGCACTGTATCTCGGATCTCGAAGCTGCTTGGCCGGAGAGTAAGCCTTATGCAGCGCGATCATGGGATTAGAGCGAGGTTACGGCCGTAAGCATGGTTTCGTCCGTGGCTGGCTGCAGCTTCCATGCAGATCATGAGCTCGACACACAAGGCCTGATGACCCATCGTGCATGTCCCGTTGGGCGTGCTCTTTTGAAGATCGTCGTTCGCAAAGGCAAAGATCACGCTCATCCATGTTGCCTAGATGGCTGTTCTCCGAGCTGTCGGCCATACAGTTTGGAGCGCCCTAGAACGACTTTCGCGGACCGACGGAGATGTGCCAGATTGTACCTTTGACCGCCAGCGTCGGGACCCGATCAGCGATGGGTGCGGATTAGGATTTGCTTGCCCAAATGGTTCGTTCTCCCGAGCTTTCGAATGCGATGTGGTGAGTGTCAGATAGGCCTGGAGGCATTTGAGGGAATTGATGCTTGGGAGATGCGCCAATTGGCCTTGAATAGGACACATGCAGTGTAAACGGACCTTCCCTTGATGCATTTGAGATCGCCCTCGTGTCGTCGTGCTCATTTAAGCTGCACTTTGCAATGTGCTGTCTCAGCCGTGTTGCTGTGGGGATCGGCTTTTGTTTACGCCGTGCTCACACCGAGCATGGCCAACATCAACCACTTCCCTGAACGAAAGACCAGCAAAGATTCCGGAGCATGATGCATTGCATAATTTACAAGTAATCATCGAGAGGATAAAATCATCGCAAAGCAGAAATTCTCCGATGAGGCTGCGGGTCTACATTCCACAACATTCCAACACAGCATGGCTCGGCTAAGCAGGAATTCTCCGACTCCACACCGCGAGGCTGTCGGCGACGATGCTGCGCAAGCGAGCACTCCTCAGCGCCTGGTGACAAGCTTGATCGATGAACATGACAGTCTGCCATCATTCAATGCCACGGCACACGATGCCGACGACGAGCGACGAGAGTCCAACATTTCCGCCGTGTCCGTCTCTTCCATGTCCGAGTCGGCATGGTACAGCGACAACGATCTCACTCCAATCATCAACCTCTACAATCCGCAGTACAGGCGAGAGAGCCACAGGCCATCTCTATCGCCGTTCGGGCTGCGGACACCCCGGCGATCGACCAAAGGACTTCACACTCGTTCTCGAACCGGTACGCCGAAGTCACGCTGGTCGCGATCAAGAAGGCGCATTTCGGAAGCGACGGAAGCACCAGCAGAGGAAACCACACAGGAACACTTCCCTCTCGTTTTATTGCACATCACATTGCTTCCCATAGAATTGCCATGGAGCTTCGAAAAACTGCGACAAGTTCTCCCACCCAACATCCTCGATGACTTGCAGAAGCTGCGGGCCAAAATCTCCGAAACAATTCTCACGCGAGGCATTCTCGTCTCTCATCCCCAGGAGCAGTACGAGCTCCTCGAAGACCGAATTCTAGAAGCCCTGGACCTTCAGCTGGAAAGGATCACCAAATGCGGTCATTTCCGCCAGCGCGTCTCCACGGGTTCCATTAGTGACAGCGACTCGGGTGTTGGGTCTAGCATCGAAGATTCGGAAATCGAGCTTTGCGCCATCTGCCATCATCATGTTCGGCCGTATGGAGCTGCAGTGGACAACGGTAGCAAGAAATGGAGTGTCCGGGTCTTCGCGGCAAACGGTTTGATGCCGGCTTCTGCTTGGGCGGTCAGTTGGCAGGATATGGAGAGTGTCGATGTGGAGATTTTGCCGTGGATTGGTGAAGGCGAGAGAAAGAAGTTGGAGGAACTGAGGGCAGTCGAAGATGCAGAGAGGCGACTGCAGAGGGATGTTGAGGATGACAGACTGAGGCTGATTGCCGATGAGCGGATCTCGCTGGCATTGGACGAGTTGGCGAGGCGTCATCGCGAAGTCGGCACTGATCCTGTGCCTGAGACTAAACCAGAAAAGGAGGACAGCCTTGTTGGACGAGGTGTGCCGCACACCCCCCAGACCTCGCAGATTCCGCTCGCCCTGCTATTGAAGAACTATCTCATTCTTCTGTTGCAGGACTGGCGCAATGTGGCCATCTTCCTGGTGGGAATTTCCGTCATCTTCCTCGCCGGTACACAAAGGAAAGGTGTGTTGCAAGCAGCAAACCCGCACCAAGTCAGTGCAACAGACCCCGGGTTCCTGAATCTGCATCCGGGCAATGAATCAATTGAGGCTCCCCTTTGGACGATCGAGCCTCTCGAAATCGGCAAGATGGGCCAAGTCGGCATTGGAGAGAGTGCTTCGCCTTTGCCAAAAGGTGAACGATTCGAAGGAGATGGGCGATATTGGTCTGATGGACATCGAGGGTTCGATATTCGGGCTTGGAAACCGTGTAGAGAAGTGTTTAGCGGACGACAGCACAGGCCATGAGCGTTGACGATCACTGTGAATAAGATCCGGATTCAGGATACCCCTTCGAGCGTTTTGTACATATATCTTTCACACATACTCTAATTCTCAGTCGCCGGGGACCGTTGTGCCAGGCGTCATGTATTCTGACGAAAGTCTTTCACGACTTCAATCACAACACGCAAGGTGGCAGCAACGCTGAAGTCGGGGGATCCGCTTCCAGGCATTTCCACGAGACGCGCTTTCACTTCGTCCGTAGCAAGTGGACTCCAATCACTCATTCTTAGTCGATGCTTCTCCAGCCTGTACAGATACGCTGCAGCATGGGGCCGCGTCGCACTGATGAGAGCCGGGTGATGGAGATCGATCCGGTAAGACTTCGACGGCTCGACGGACCCCGAACCTGCAGTGACATATGCGGAACAGATCTTGTTCAGAGCTTCGGCGCTCACGCATTCCAGCCAACTCAGCGCCATGGCCAAGCCATCAGGTTGCTGTACGTTGAGGAGAATCGAGCAGCGGGAATAGTACATTTCCAGCGTCTCGGATCGAAGGAGCTGGCAAGTGCGACAGATGCCCGGTTGTTGTGGCCATTCTGTGAGGTCTTTCTCGTTGTAGTTACGATTGCCGACTTCGATACGTGCAAGGCGTCCCGATGGCAAGGCGTAGTCGTAGATCATCAATCGCAATTCTTTTGGGAGCTGGAGGAGCAACGATGCTTGTTGAGAACTGTCCATGATGAATGACACTACAAGTTTTCAGGAAGACCTCGAATGAATACCTCATCATAGCTGATCAAGCTGGGGATCAACCAAAACCGAGGTGGGGAGCTATCGAACAGCTGAAGTCGGCCATTTGCACGTGACATACATGACTAAGCCACACGCCAAGCCCGCGCTCCGCACTAGCGAGAAAATCCACAACGACATCTCAAATTGCGCACGCACACGACATCCACCTCATCGTCGACCCATCACATCCTCCATCAACCGCCAGGATGTCGCTCGTTTCCGGCGAGAAGTCGAACTTTCAGTTCATCCTGCGTCTCCTCAACACCAACGTACGTCCCCTCGAATGCCAGCGACTCCGTGCGGTGATGCAGATGCCGTGGGGTTTGGCGACCATCGACCTCAAGACTAACCACCGGCATCACAGGTTGATGGCAGGCACAAAGTCATGTACGCCTTGACCAAGATCAAGGGTGTCGGTCGCCGATACAGCAACTTGGTCTGCAAGAAGGCCGATGTTGATCTTAACAAGCGGTAAGCTTCGCCCGGAAAGAATTTCTCCCTCACCCACCCCGAGCATCATCTAACTTCCCATCCTCCTGCAGCGCCGGCGAACTCACCTCCGAAGAACTCGAGCGCATCGTCACCATCATCCAAAACCCCACGCAATACAAGATCCCCAGCTGGTTCCTCAATCGTCAACGCGACATCGTGGATGGCAAGGACAGCCAAGTGCTGGCCAACGGCGTGGACAGCAAGCTGCGTGAGGACTTGGAGCGGCTGAAGAAGATCCGCGCGCATCGTGGTCTGCGACACTACTGGGGCTTGAGAGTGCGTGGACAGCACAGCAAGACGACGGGCAGGAGAGGACGCACTGTGGGTGTGTCGAAGAAGAAGGGTTAAACGAGTCGATGGTGTGGTGCTGGGCAGGTTATGCTTGTGGTCGCGCATGTGGGAAAGAGTAGACATCACAATGGGCCACAACGTGCACTGTCACATGGGTTCGGAGTACTTCTCGTAGCATCATTGAACGCTGCAAGTCTGAATTTCAATCCCACTTTCCTTCTGTCCTATACTATTGCCACCGTTAAGGGCGCTTGCTGATGATGGGCAATCGAGAGCGGATCCGCACAGGAAACAGTGTCCGTGGCCTTGCGGGGAATGGTGTCGGGGCCTCCTCCTGCACCAACTTCGCCACAGTCTCGTTCTGCATCAATCTCGCGACAGTCCCCTCGCCCTGTCCAATACCCGACATACCCGCATCCAAGTATCTTTTACTCCCAGCAGAAATAGGCCCCATCGACCTCTGGAACTGATAGACCGCAACCTCACTCATCTCCCAACAACTCTCATCAACATACAAAGCATGACAGAACCTCCCAGCAGCAATCCCCTCCACCAACCGATCAATCTCCACCTCCCTCCACGCAAACTGCACAAGCTCAATCTTCCGCCGAATCCACTCCATCCCATCCCCCTTCTTCAACACCTTCGCCACAGCCTCCAGCTCAGCCCTGAAAGACCGCACCTTCTCCTCGCGCTCGTGCTTGATGCGTTCCGTCAGGCAGGCCATGCAGGTGAAGGGCTTGTCGATGCTGCGTGGGTTGATGCAGGGGGAGGTTGAGAGGTGGCAGTTGCTGGCGCAGGGTTCTGGTGCGGCGGTGATGATCTTGTGGTTGCAGGTGAGCTGGTGGTCCAGGCTGCCTAGCGTGCAGGGGTCGCCCATGTGGGTTGTGAGGTAGTGAGGGTGGTGGTTGGACGGTGTCTTCTCCAAGGCTGGCATAGTGTGTGGAGGTGTGAGGAGATTGCTGTCGTGCGTTGATGTTCCTGGCTCGAACCGAGATGGAGGTAAGGAACTGAGTGGACGTTGGGGCAGACCTGCTTTCTGCACCTCGTTGGCGCCAGGGGAAAGGCGAGCAGTTCGGATGCTTAAGATGCGTGGCATCCTGGATGTGGCAGTATATACCGGTGCCGATTGCGTAAGGGCAGGCAGAGAGGCCTCCAGTGAAGGAAGCATGCTGGGTATCGAGATCCGGTTGTCCACTGATACAAACCGCCGGAAAGCGTGACGAGCATGCTTCAATATATGCATCCTGGAGATAGGGGCGTTGTCTCAACGTGCTTGCCGTTCCGAGGAGGGATGCTGTCTTGTTGTGTCTCGGCTAGATACACTCTTTCGTGAATCCATCTCAGCAAAAGTCTCGATGAAGGTACAAGCTCTGTCATCCGCCGTCGATGGTTGTCAGTTGCGCACATGTGCCTCGTTCTCTTCCTCTACTGGATACCAATAATTGCAAATTGTACCATTGGGCTAACACAATCGCTGCATATCGGTGAGCTTGGTAGAGGAACATCAACTTGCCGATGCTGTCCCAAAATGCTCAAATGGTGAAGCGTCCAGATCACAAAGGATGAGGAAAGCCTTTCACTGCCATCCACGCTGAGCCTGTCTTGTTCAAGGAGTTCAGACAAAGACCAAGAACTGCCTTCACCCAAGTTTGCTCGACCTGAATAGTGCATGTAGGCCAGCGGCCTGCTCCATCTTGTCCTTCCTATCCTTCTTCTTTCCACTCAAACCCCACCCTTCTTATATACCCTTTCCAGATTTTCAGTATATATGCCGGCAGCACAGTCAAGCTATGACTAGCAGCATGGAGGATCAGCCGATTTTCCAGTTGGAGGCGAGAGATGTGGTGTCTTCCACGCCGCAATCGACAGGAAAGCCGGGGTGGACGATGTCGCTTGCAAGGCCATTCCAAACGCCGTCCTGGCAGCGCAGCAAGTTGTGGTCCAATCAGCACCACCCTCATCTGGCCTCCGGCCTCGACCGTGAATGGACGGTCGTGAATGAACGATGTGACTGGTGCAGCGTCACGCCGGCGGATGTATTGTCGACGCGGGAGCCTGGGTTGGTGAAGCCTTGGACGGTGAATGTCGAGATGGGTATATACTCGTCCTCCCTTCTCTGCCTCTTCCTTCTTCTTTCCTCACACTGACATCTTGTTGCCCAAAGACACACAAGCCAACTCCGCTCCATCAGCCTTCATTATCTCCAACATCGTCGGAGTGCTTTCACCAGCGACAAAGAAATGCCAGCAAAGCCAACACCCCCACAACCCCATTCATCAACAGCACGCTACCCAGGATGAATCCGTCCATGCCAATGACTTTGGCGTTTCGCCCAAAGCGTACGCACCCTGGCCCGATCGAAGAAGAGGAGCCAACGCTCAAGAAGCAACGATTGGAGGTAAGTGCGAACACAGCGCTGAGTTTGGAAGGGCCATACACTGACAGCGCGACACAGACAGCCCTCCAGACGAGCCAGGCCGCGGATGAAGCCATCGAGAAGCGCAAGCACGAGAGCAACTATGCGGACGCAGCTCGCGCAGTCGACACCAAGCCATCCATGCAAGCCACGCGTGTCCAGCACGACGTCGACGGCGAAAAGATCCAAGCAAACACGCTCTGCTGGACCGTCTTCAAGAACTCTCCGACTCAGCATTTGTTGGCGTGCGGCCATGTCATCGACACCATGATTCCCATCTGCTGTGGCACCCGCTGCATGCTGCCGCCCGGTGTTGTCGTCAAAGCCGAAGGTCCCGCCATCGAGTGCATGACGGAGAAATGCCAGAACGTCATGAAAGGCATCCAACTCCGTGAAGCAAGGCGCAAGAACGTTAGCATCTTCATGCCGAAGAAGAAGCGGACTTCTTTGCAGCGTGCTTGCAAGCCAGAGGCCAACGTCGTTGTCGATCCCACTGATGCAAGCGACATGTTCGTGAAAGCAGCGGAAGAGACCCCGGAGCAGCAACGGAGGAAGGCCAGACTGCAAGCCAATCGTATCATCGATGGCACGGAAAAGCTGAAAGTTGGGCCTTCGCGCAAAGCGGCCGACAGCCCATTCTTCACACTTCCAGACCGGGAGATGCACGCAGACAAAGACAAGGGCGAGAAGATCGACCCTTTCCACGCATCGTTTCCCGAAGCTCCGGTAGACCCCCAGCAACCCGACCTTGAGACTGAAGGTACCCGAACCGCGGCCGGAAGTAAGCTACGGACCGACTCAGATGCGTTTGCCTGCGACGCTTGCCACTTCGCCGTCTACGACTTCGCCCATCACTGCAAAACTTGCACCGACCGCGACTTCTGCAGCAGCTGCTGGCCCGAGAGCAAATGCTATGGTCGGGGCCATGACTTCACCGTCATCATCATCGATGATGTCGCCAAGCAAGCAAAGGCGCTCAAAATTTGCAGGAGCAAGGAATCGATGGAGGGCACGGCCGAAGAGTCTGCGGAGTCCAGGGAAGTGAAGAAGCCCGTCGCATCTCTCGCTGACTTACGCAAACTTACGCGCAAGGTCGCCGAGACCAAGAAGATCTCTCTGGTCATGTACGGCACTCGACAGCAGGTCAAGAAGCGGCTGGAAGAGGCGAGGACGCGAGGCGATCATGAGCGCTTCACTCGCGACTTCCCAACGACAGCTCCACCGTCTGTCAATCCCATCGATCTGGCTAGCAGCAGCAGTCGACTGCCAAAGGCGGGGCTGGGACTTCGCAGGAAAGCTGCCATCGGAGATCTTGCTGGTGCCAGCAAACTGCACGGAAACGAGAAGAAAGTAGGCCTGTCGTTGGAGGGGGGGAAGCGGGGGAATGAAGACACAGAGATGATGGACGCGGAATGAGCGTTGCATTGAATTATGCTGAAAGCAGGAGGGTCATCGGAGAGCGCGAGTCCTTTGTAGTATAATAGTCATGCAGTCTTCTCGCTGGCGAAATTCTCGCTACGAGGCAGGTGTGATATCGAGTCCTTCCACAGTCAATTTGAATGCATCGTTACGCGAATAATGTCCAGCAACGTCCAAGTCCAGTCGTCCACGTTCACAGTCTTCAAAGTCCGCATCGTAGACGAGTAGTCCCCCATCCTCAACTTCCCAGAGCGGCTCAACCAGATCCTGTCCCATGGGGCCAGCGATACAACTGCCACCGCGGCAAGCGAATTCGTCTCCCACGCTGTTCTTCGTAGGTTTGAGAGCTGCTGGTGCACTCGGCGCAGGTGACAGGACTGCTGATTCTTCTTCTGTAGACGGCAAGACGAGGTCATGATTTCCTGCTTGCACGGTGACGGTGCTACGTCGCCTCACATGCCGAGATGCTGGAGCTGGGGAGGAGTCTTTCACACCGTTGATGCCATCCACTTCGCCAACGGCGGTCAAGCTCGGAACCGCACCATCCGCCCAGTACGGTAGGTTCTTCCTCGACACGCAAGAGATGGCGCTGAGCACAAAACAACGCCCTTCACTGCCTATCGTGCGCATCAGAGGCCACCAAGTCGGCCGAGCATCTGCAGTTGGAGCAAGCCAAAGATTGACATTCTGCGAGTAGAGGGAGTAGCGAAGCAGAGGCATCATGTTCTCCCAGCAGATGGCGGCCGCCAGTCTCAATTTCACCCCCTTGATTGTGGTAGTGACGGCTCGAAGGGTGCTTGGCGAGCCCTGGGCCCAGACGAGGCGTTCAGATCCGGTTGGCATGACCTTTCGTCTCTTGCCCAGACATCCCAGCTTGGGGCAGACGTAGACGACAGCGCAGTAAAGACTGCCACCGCTTCTCTCGACCAGTCCAGTAACGACAAAGACTCCCGTCTCCTTCGCTACGCGCTCAAGAAACTCTCTCGTTCCATCGCCCCGACGATCCTGTCCCTTGGCGAGCGGCAGCTTCCTCTCCACCCAGTCGTCTCCGCCTCCCAATGGCGTGTCCCCCATGTCAACCGCACCCTTGAAGTATTGCAAGAATTGTTCTCTCCCATCATCAGTCCTCTGCCCCACCGCGGCACCGAAGGCACATGTTCGCGGATAGCCGCCGAGGAAGGCTTCGGGGAAGAGGATGAGGTCGACGCCTTGCGAGGCTGCTTGGCGGGTGGTGGCTTCGAGGGAGGCGAGGGTTTCTTTCAGCGTGGAGAGAGTTCGGGATTGGGAGACGGCTAGTTTGAGGGTTTGCGGCATGTTTGCGGTTATGAATGGATAGTATGGAGTGATGGAGTGTGGAATGCGGGAAGAGATGAGGTTGGAAGCAAGCCCCGCACCAAGACAGCTCACCCCCACCGCACCTGCTGACTACATGCGGCACTCTCCTCCTGCATCTTTTGTTCGCTGATCACCGAGCATGACTTATAATTACCAAGCAGGCAGGCGATGGTGTGAAACGTATCACATTTTCCTAACTATGCTATTTTCTTCAAACCCACACGCGGAACGCAGGAACGCAAAGCATAAAACAACGAGCATGCACGCAAAAGAGTTGGCCATGGCCGGGTTCCAGCACCACAAAAGCAGAGCGCCATCCACGGTCATTAACGCCATAAACCCCCAGTTCAGTAGTGCGTGGTAATTATGTCGTGAAGAATCAAATCTCAAAGTCAGAGCAGAGAGTAGTAGAGCGCGCCAGTAGACCGAGAATGAAAGCGTTCCCAGACGGAAGCAGGTCGTTTGGCGGGCGTGAAGTAAAGCAGAGCAGACGGTCGTTGAAGAGGATGCGTCACCAGGCGGTCGCCCGGATGAGCTGCAAAGAGTAAAGGCAACAATCCAGCCTAATAGTGGCCGAAGGTGCGAGATGGCTCCAAGCTGGGGCGACTGTTGGGTGAAGGGCCTTGGTTCGGGCGATGGGAGGGAGGGGAAGAAGCCTCCTCCAGCGTGAGCTGCACGCGATATTTGTTCTTCTGATCGCTCACCAGCACCTCGGCGCGGTGAATGACTTCAGGAACTGGCTCCTCGCTAGCGTAGTTGGTGACCTTGACGATCGGACGAGCGGTGCAGCGCACGGCGTACGGCGACTTGTCGTTGCCCAACACCTGGCCAACGAGCTCCGGGTTGCGGTGCGTCATGTAGTTATTGTCCCAGTTGCAGCCGGTACGCGGGAACCAGATCTCGAAGTAGCGAGGGTCTGAAAGCATGCTGATGGCAATGCGAATGGCCTCGGTCACGGGGCGCTTGATGTTCACTTTGAAAGCGAGCAGGTAGAACTGCGGGATGATGATGTGCATCTCCTGGCAGATCTCGTCGACAACGCGGGCGACGTAGTACTCGACGAAGTAGCCGAAGCCGTGCATCTGGGTGATTGTGTAGGCCAGCTCGGCACGCTGCATGGCGAAGAAGTGGCGCATCGAATAGTCGTCGCCGTGCTCGTTTGTCTGAGCTTCGCAGTCCGCGTTGTAGCGCCGGAGGTACTCCTGCTGGTACATGCAGGGAAACTCGGTGATGATGCCGGAGATAAAGACCTTGTCGGAGAGCAAGCGGTTGACGATGCCGGTGACGAGGAGGTACGTCTCTGTAGGCTCCTCCAGAATGACAAAAGCCTCTTTGCCGTTGATGAGGTAGCGCTGCGCCGTCGAAATGAAAGCTTGAGCGCCAGTATCACCGTTCTTTGAGCGGAAGAGAATGTCCGTGATGCCGGGGATGTTGCGCACGGCGAACTCAATCTCCCCAAAGCATGCGCTGAGGTGGTCGGTGTAGTTCACTTGATGAATGCTCCTGGCAAGATACATGTTTGCAATCTGCGGAGGCGGCATGCTGATGTTTGGCGAGGCCGTGAAGATGTCATCGGCGCTATCGGGTTGAATCCACTTGCTCTTGAATGGAGAGTCTTGATGGAGCGGTTGCATGACTCCGGGAGCAGACTGAGTCTGGAGATTGGCGGCGAAGATTGGAGTGGAAGAGTTGGAGGCAGTGTAGCCTTGGCCATGAGCGAATGGAGCCGTGTACGCGCCATGCTGCGGGAACCAGACGGGCGGATTTGAATGAGGTGGCGTGACGTGCTCGTCTGCAGCTTGGGGAAGAGGTTGTTGAGCGGGTTCCGGACTAAGGTCTGTCATGAGCGGCACGTCCTGCTCTGCAGAGTCGTATTTCCCAGACTCTTGCAAGTCAGGCTCAGAATCTCGCGCGGCCATATGCTCCGCAAGCTCGTAGAGCCTGAGCTTCAAATCGTCGGCAGTGAGCCTCTGCTTGGCGGGGTTCTGCATGTTGTTGTACCAATTGGTGATCATGGCCGGGCCCAAGAACGAAGGAAGATGGGTCATGGTGGTTGGCTGCAGCATGTTGAATTGATTGGCGGCAGATCGAAAGGCGATATTGTCCATGCGAGCCTTCAACAGGTAGAAGTCGGACTTGAGCTCACCAGTGCCCATGTGGCGCAGAGTGACCACCTTGTATGGAAGCTTGAAGATCCGCGGCGGCAGCGCTGTTGCACGAGTTGGTGTCGGTATTTGACTCTTCGAGTTCGGAGGCGTGCCCATGGCGTAGTTGGTAGAGACGTTGGGGAGAATGTACGTTGGGAGGGCAGCCAGGTGGATGTGATCCATTGACGAGATGCTGGAAACTCTGGTGGAAGCTGTCCCGATGGATTCTGAAGACTCTGATAACGTCTCCTGGCCAGAGTGGATCGACTGCCGCTCGGGGGAGTCGTTGGGCTGCTGCTCATGAGGGATGTTCGACTGCTGCTCACGCAGGATGTCTTCGACGGGGGTGAGATGTTGGTGTGGGACGATCTGTGTCATCTCCACTTGAGGCGGTGCTGGAATCGCCTGCTGCGCTTGTTGAGCCAGCTGCATTCGCTGGGCTTGCTCGGCGAGCCATCTCTCCCTCGCACCCGCAGGGGGGTAGAAGTACTCGTCGTTCTCCGAGGCGCCACTCCGCCCAGAAGCCACGGAGAGGCGCGACGGAGAGCCGTCGCGCTCCGCGCCAGTCTCGGGCTGGGTGATGGCCAATGTGGCCGGCGGGAGGGCAACGCCCCCATTGGAGGAGTCTTCGGACACCACCGACGGGGTGCCACGGTTCAGGGGGCTGTGCCCCGGGTTGGCGGCGAGAGATTCCGCCTGGGCGGCGATCTCGCGGCTCGACGTGCCATTGGCCGAGCCGTTCTGTGCGCCGGTAGGCACAATCTCCTCCTCCTCTTCCTCCTCATCATCCTCGCTGTCGTACCCTGCAGCGTTCACGCTGAGGATGAAGGCGTCGGGATACAGCAAACTAAACAGCATGCGTTAAACGTTGTGACATGACGCGAAGGCGGCAATACACTTACCCGACTTCCACCAGTTGGGCATACGTAGTGCCGAAGTCTTGGGGCAACAGTATACTGTAGAGTCACAATGTTAGCGGCAGCGATGATGTAGAGGAGTGTCAGTAAACTCACCCAGCCTCCAGCAGGTCACGATCATTGTCCGTAATGTTCGCGAGGGTGAGAGCTGGACGGGCAGCTTCGGTGGGCAAAGGAGGCTGCATTTCAGCTCGGACGGTAGATTGCGACGAGCGACTGCGATCCGATGCTGCGCTCGGTGATGTCGCCATGGCGCGAGGCGACCTGGATGGCTCTCCCGACTCGTTGGAAGGGAAGCGAAAAGGGGGTAGGTTGTCGAGACGCTGCTCGAGACGTTGGTTCGTTAGCTGCTGGTATGCATCGCGTCTCTCATCTTGCGGGCCCGTAGTGATCCCAGTGCCTGGCTGGGCAGGAGCATGCTTGCGATTGCGCTTCGTTGGGGTGCTGCTGGCCCCGGTGGCTTGCTGAAGAAGAGTTTGGTGACGTATAGCAGTCACTGGGGTGCCGTAACGCGCATTTGGGCCGCGGTATCCGCCAGAGAGTTGCTGGTAGGTGTAGAGGCCGCCCAAGTCTTCCGGAACCGGGCGAGGAGGAGTCGCGTACCGGCCATAGAAGTCTGGGCCGGTAGACACTTCCTCCGCCGAGCGAACAGCCGGCTCGACCGAAGCAGTAGCGCGATAAGCGCTGCCATCGCCATTGTCAGTGAAGGGAAGTGACATGAAGGGCAGCCGCAGAAGACTTACGCGTCGTACTCCTCGTCGAAGTTGGGGTCACTGCCCCAGGCACGCCGGAAGGCAGGGTCCGCCCACAGCGACTGCGCGTAGGCATCCCCGGAGGAATGCTCACCGGTAGCCTCAGCGGGCTCGCCACCACCGCCGCCGCCCTGGGCGCCAGCCCCCCAAGGATCCGACCAGCCCAAGCCCGCCATCCTTCACCCCCAGTTCCCACGTGCTGTGCAAAAAGGGGGCTGACAGAAAGAAAAGTAAGCGTACCTGAAGTCACGCAATCAACGTGCGGAGCTCGTGAAAACTTGTCGGTCTGCTGAAGACGGATCAGTGATGGTGAACAGCAGACAGCAGTGGTCACATCACCGCCGTCACCAATCCAGGGGAAAGGGGGGAAACTCACAGCCGGCGCGCTTGACAACGTTGATTGTCAAAGGAAGTTTTCAAAAAGGCAAAGGAGAAGTAAAGCGGAATGGGAGTCAAGTGACCACGCTAGCGTCGTCAATGTACAACGCATGTGGGTCACGATGTCGTTGCAAACGGCGCACTGAAGTTGAGAATGGGCAGGAGCAGCAACATGGAGATGTTTTTCTCGCCGTCCAATGAAGATATTACAACAAAACAAGATCACGGATTTGCGTAGAAGCATGTTCCATCACCTACCTTGTTCTTGGACGATTTTGAGCCAGCGTGGAGGCCAGAGTCCAATTCAGCGCGCTTGGGTATCCCACTCTTCGCTTCATCAGCCCGCAAGATCACTCTGCTTCATCGATTAAGGTTTGAGACCCTGCATGAGGTCAGTATCGCAGGACAACCAGGTTGGCCAACATCACTGCACGGCACTGGAAGTCGGCAGCATGAGTGAGACATGAATTTTTTGGAGCCTCAGACATCGACACGGAGGATGGGGAGTGTGCTGGTGTATGGGACTGGCGGTGCTTTCGGTGGTGTTCATGGTTGGGGTGCTTGTTTGCGTGGTGACGTTGAGCTTCGATGGCGTGAAGTCGGGGATCCACGTGACCGGTCACGTGCTGCCATGCTGGTCGAATTTCCACCTCCAGTTCGTAGCAGCACTGAGGGTCGGGAACGCGTGCCCGCCAGAACACCAGAAGAAGACCTGTAAAGCAAAACAATCATAGTTATGGTCAGTGACAAAGACTAGCAGCTAGCTCGAGGCTTTGCGAAAAGGTCAGAAACGCAAGCAGCGCGAGAATGGCCTCTTTGCATCGCAGTCTCCCATCGAAGAAGTCCCCGTGAGGGAGCGACGGTGAGAGACGCAAGAGCGTGGCTGCTCCCAGGTACAATCCATCCGGGAACCCAGCAAACAAAAAGCAATCATCATCAGTCTTGAAACCATTCCTTCTCATCCCATTCCCCCAGCCCATCCAACGCCCGCCGCCCGATGCCCACTGCCCGCTCGCCCACCCAATCCATGCCCATTTGTGCAAGTGCAGTTGTGTGTGCTGGAGTTTGTGTGACTTACCGTTAGAGGTTGGAGGCTTCGGGGAAGACCATCCTGTAGACAGCATCGACCACGTACTGCGCGGTGATCTGCCTGCCGCCAAAGTAGCGTCCGCTCAGCCCACGGTATGCGTTCTGTCCGCCCTGCACGCGATCGAACTTGATGTAGATTTCTCCATCATCGTTGTCGAGGGCGAGGCCGATGTGGACGACGTGGCCGTACTTGTCTTCGCATTCGGTGCGGACGTCGTCGCGGAGCTCGTCTTGCCAGTTGGGATCGGTCTCTCTGTTGTAGGTGTCAGCATCGGAGGAGATGGGAGGCAAGGGGGGTGGCAACACGCACTCGGCTTGATTGTACATGTGCTTCAGCAACACGCAGCGGCTCGGAGCAACCTCCTCAATCGGGGCCTTGTTCTTGTGCTGCGACTTGGCTGCCGTCTTCTGTTCTGGTGCGTCAACACGTGCGAGTTTGCGCATGAGCGAGTCACGGCTGATGTTATTGAAGTTGACGCCGGCCACATCAGTGTCGTCAAGCGCGCTGGCACCCGTGGCTTTGTCAACATCGCGGCCACTAGCGCGGTCGAAGTTGGAATTGCCTCCGGCGTGAGCACCGCGTCCACCGCTGCCGTACGCGCCGGAGCCCTGGGCTGCAGCTTGGTGAGCTTGGCCGCCGCCGAAACGCTGCTGAAGGGACTGGGAGGAGTCATTCGAGTATCTCTCACTGCCCAAGCCAACGCGCACAGGACGACCGGCAACTTCATACCCATTCATAGCCTCCATGGCGTCTTTGGCGCCCTCGTCGGTAGAGAATCTATCACTTCGGTGAGCAAATCGACGATCGTGTAAAAGGGAATGGACTTACTGCACAAAACCATACCCCTTGGAACGCCCTTGCTCATCTTTCTGCAGTTGAACAAACTCCAACTCTCCAAACGGATCGAAGAGGCCCCTAACGTCATCTTCGGTAAGCGAGAAGTGGATATTGCCAACGTAGAGACGATGGTAAGGGACGCCGTTGGCTTGCGTTGCATTGTTGTCCGTGGTGCGGGCTTGACGGTTCTTCTCTGCCTCTGTGAGCTGAACGATGATGGGGATGGCGAGCAACTTCTGCCCGGTGAGCCCGATGGCTTTCTGGACGGATTCTTCATGCTTGAACTCGACGTAGCCGACCCTGAAAGGTGGTCAGTGAATGAAGGAAGCAAGGAGGAAGGCTGGACTTACCCTTTGGAGCGGTTGCTGACCCTGTCCTTCACGATCTGAGCCTCCACCACCTCACCGACCTGCTGGAAGAAATCCTTAAGTTCTTTCGAGCGCAGACGGGCGGCGAGTTGCTGAACAAAGACGGTACGCCTATCACGCTCATCATCAGTGGGCTCGGGAGTTGCTGCCCTCCTCGGTCCATCGCGTGAGCGACGACGGTAACCGCGGTCGTCACGGCGGCGTGGGCTTCTCTCGCGCTCATCGCGGCGGCGAGGGCTTCTGTCGCGGCGACGGTCTTGAGGGCCACTTCCAGGGCGGTAGCGGTCGTCGTCGTGGCGGCTTGGAGGGCCGCGAGCGGGACCACGGTAGAAGTCTCCGCCACGGTTCTTATTATCGCGAGAGGAATGACGGCTGCGGCGGTCAGAGCCCGAGCTTCCACGTCTGCTGCTTCTGCGCCGAAGGCTTCCATTAGCACTGCCCTTGTCACTGCCATCTTTCATGTCCTCGTCCTCTGCCGAATCGTGAGATCGACGAGTGCGACGCTCATCATTCTCCTCGCGTTCCTCGCTGTACCTGTGGTGCGCTCCGTTGGGCTTGCGGCCGGGGAAGTCATGTTTGTTGTTGTGCGTGCGAGCACCCGCCGTCACGCTTGCTTTGTTGTCGGGGTCGGAAAGGCGACGCTGCTCTTGCTTCTTCGCTTCATCCTTGGCTCTGGCGGTGCGCTCTCCCTGCTCGAGGAGCTCTTCGAGCGAGGCTGGATCCATGATTGTTGGTAAGATGAGAAGTTTGCGGGGAGGTTTGTGACTGCAAAAGCTCACTGGATCACAGTCGCCAAACTTTGTGTCCGCGCTAGCGCGTTTTGCAAATGCAGGCGTGATGTCAACGCTGTGAAACTTGTGAGATTGCCGGCGCGATGTCAAGTCGGAGTGTGAGCTATACTGCGTATTCTACCCTCTCTTGAGACTACGTCATCCGGTACGTCCTCTTTGCGCGTTATGGTGCGGGTGAGGTTAGGTGGTCAAGCTTATGTAGAGACGTTGATGAAGGCAGTGGGTGTGGTAAGAGAACGAACTTCGTTTGAAGTGACGTTGTAAAATTTGAGACTGCAGGAGCGCCTTACTAAGCTTCTTGGCGAAGCACGTGACCAAAGCGGCCTCGACTGCGGCAGCATGCGGGTGGAGCAGGATGTAATGATGACCGCACATCATAGTATGTGAACTGTCCGTGTACTGAATTACGCGAGTAGTGGTATCTGATCTATCCCCGATCCCAACCCCGATGCACGCTCGAATGTCAATGCCACCTCTATACATTATGTTCAACGCTCCTCTATGTCGTCTTTAGAACCTTTGGCATGGGAGGAGGAGGAAGCTCCGTCCCGAATATTCTATCCCAGAACCTGCTGGTGACACCAAAGCCATTCTCGTAGTCCATGAAATGATGCTGCAAGTGGTATTTCTTCAGCTCGCGCCAGTGGAGAGGAAGGCTTGGAAAGTGGTCAGTAAATGGTGCTTGAGAGCAGAGGGGGTGGAGGAGAACTTACTTCTTGTGATGCAGGAAGTAGTGGGTCAGATCGTAGCAAATGTATCCGAAGATGCCGCCGCAGTAGACGGCGGTCGCCGCGTACCAATCATAGAAGAAGACGGCGTGCGCTAGCTTCCACCACGGGGTGGCGAGGGCAATGAAGAGCGTGGGCGGCATTACGAGTCGGAGCCTGTCCATAGGGAGGTAATGGTGGATGCCGTGCAGTAGGAAATGCAGCGTCAGGAAGACGCGATTGTCGGGAAGGTAGTGGTCGACGTGGAAGAGACAACGATGAAGGCCGTATTCCACCAAGGTCCAGATGCCGAGTCCAGTCATCCAGTATGCGAAGAGAAGGGGCGGCGTGAAGTGTTGAGAGGCGAGGAAGGTGCCATATGCGACACACGGGAGCCAGAGAGTCGGGACAATCCACCAGGGCGTCTTTGAGAGCGGCTCCAAGAAGTTGCCGAACAGAGGCGCGCTCTCGCCGCCCTTGTAATGGCGTGGGCGGTGTACTTGTTCAAGGTAGAACTCTTTGCTGAATCCACCGTTCCAGACCTGCATCAACAGCGGTCTGTTGAGATCCAAGAACTTGTGTTTCTTGAAATCCTGGGAGGCGTCGGTCTCGCGGCTCAAATCCTCCTCTGAGCTCATGCCTGTATTCTCGTAGACCTTCTTGTCCGACTGTTCCGCCTCAGAGCCCGCAGCATTGACATTCCATCGCGCTGTTATATCTGCCAGTGCTTGCGAGTCCAGCTCCTTCATTCCCTGCGCGCTGGGCTCCAGAGGCAGTACCTCGAAAGGATCCGAGCTCTGCTTCACACTCTCCAGTACCTTGTCCGTCGCGACAAACCCAATCAAGTGATCGTCCAATACTTCGAAGGCAGCTTCGGAATGTGCGTGAGATACCGCGTCTTCCATTGCCTCCTTGACATCTTTGCCAGCGTATTCGAGGATGAGGTCTCCGCCGCCGGGGTGGTCTTCGAGGAAGGGCGTGATGTCGTATACTTTGGTGCCGATGGTCACGTAGCACGATTTGGCGGTGTTGTGCGAGGCGACCTCTGCCGATGGCAGGGTCGGGAGAGTGCGGCCAGGCATCGCAAAGATGCGCGCGAGTGGCGACGGGAGAGGTCGGTGATGCAGTAAGGGAAATCAGGCGTGCAACACTTGTGTTAACTGCGTATGTTCTGCCAAGTACGTTGGGGTCGGAAAGGGTTGATGTTTGATAGAGTGGTCGGTGAGATTTGTGGAAGATGGAAGTTTCTCCTGATGATGCCGCGGAAGTTCGTGATGATGAGATGGAACTTTTTGAGTTTGGCCCGGAAGACTTCCGGAGACTCCGAGACTCCGCCTCCTTGAACTTCCTGCCCTTTTTGTACTCTTCCTCTTCCACCACCTCATCGGATCGCATCAAATGTCTCATGTCAAACGTACGCGAAGTCTGCTCCCTCAACTTGGGAATGAGAGAGCTGCAATGATACGATGGGTTGAGCGCCTACGTTTTGGTGAAGCACTGCCTATCTGAACATCTCCTTCCAGTGACACTTCTCCAATACGGATCAATGATGAGACCTTTGAATGAACATGCGCATTGTAATTGTGTCTCTATTGACGCATACTGTCGCATAAAATGCATTTCCATGCAGGTAACCGACCTAACACGTACATCTCAGAGACACCTTCCACCTCAGCCTCGCTCCTTCCTTCTCAACTCATCACACCCGCCTGATGTCACCTGCCAATTTGCCGCTCAGGTTTGCTTGTCTGCTTGCAACTTTACATCAGCATTCTCTTCGTGTTCATTGTTGTCGAGCTTGCTATTTGGCTCTTTCTTCGCCTTGCACCCAAAACTCCTGTCGCTTCCTACATCTGTTGGGAAGCAGTGTTGCTCGTGTTCGCCCTGTCCGCGTCTTCTGCCTGACATGGACGACACCGATCGTGAAAATCAGCCGCCCAACGCCGCAACACCTCTCACTTTCCCGCCCTTGGACATCAGAGAAACATCGCCCTTGGAGTTTCCGCCGCTTCAAATCGTCCCGGAGTCTGCCCTCCGCTCAACTGTGAACTCAGGCCCAGCGGCAAATGCCCCAGCTCCAACGCGACATGCTCCAACCCCGACCCAAGTTGCGAAACCTCCTGTCGACCAGTCAATGCCCCCGCCACCCCTTCCAGCACATATCCGACAACGCACCGCTCCGAACGAGTTCCGCCCCGGCCCACCTCCCACCAGGAAACCATACCCGCTCAATGATACAGACTTTGTCGCCAACCCATTTGCCCCTCCCCAACCTCCACCTGCTGCGCCCGTCTATGAAGAAGACGAGGTACACGTTGATACGGATGACGGCCAAGACGGCGTTTACTTCGTGAACGCCGATGCACAAAGCTGGGCCGCATCCCTTCCCGAAGAAGACGACCCTGCGGTCCAAGCCGACATACCCTGGCAAGCGGTGCTCGCAGTCCAACGAAACCAGCACGAACAACAACTCGCCGCTCAAGTTGCCGCTGTTGCTGCGACTTCCGCCAACGACACACTGCAAGGGTCCGCACCCGCGTGGCCGGAGATTCCTGACCATCTCGCTCAGTGGAGGGATGATTTGCTAATTCGGAACGTGGTACGACAGATCAAGAGGCGGCTCCAGCGCGGCGCAGAGTTTACTTTCCAGATCAGATTCCCATGGGGTGCCGCTGATGTGACTTGCGCCCACCCATATTGCAGAGCTGCCAGGCGTATCGTTCCGCTTGGTGGGTACTATGTCGAGCTTGGCCGGGACGGTCAGCCGCCGGACTACTACTGTCTCCTCTGCGTGGAAGGTATGTGGAATGGGGAGGGTATGAAAGAACCCCTGCCTGACCCCCAGGTTAACGTGCAGCAAGCTGGACTGGAGCAGGCGACAGCCGTGTTCAATCTGGATGGTGACCTCCCGAACAAGTCCGACCTGGACGAGCCGGCAAGACCACGTCCGCAAATCCGCATACCACAATCCCTCCTCTCTTCCAAACATGCGCCGTCCTACGAGGAGTTACTTGCAGCAGAACAGGAGGAGGAGGAGCGCCCAAGATCAATCACGCCGCGCTACAGCCCCGAAACGCTGCAACCGATGTCCCCAACGCCTCGCTCCGGATCCATCACACCCGTGTATTCCGCACCTACGCCTGGCTCGGAACATGCATCCCCAGAGGGGACAACCGGTGACAGCGAGGCCGAGCGTCCCCCGACTCAATTCCAGCATCTCGCCAAGTTCATGAAAGCCGGAGAATCCCTCAACGACGACGAAAAGGCCGCCTTTGAATTGTGGAAAGCAGTGAGTGTGGAGCAGATCTTCTGGATCGACTTCCACGCAAAATACGCCGCAACGATGTCGCAGTACAACGTGGCTACTGGAGACAGGATCGATTCGCCGGAGGTAACGACCCGTATTGTCTTCACCGCCCGGGAGAGAGCAGAAGTGGAGGTAGCGCCTGCAACGGATGCGAGTGAAGGCGAGGCTGACACAGAGTCCGATGCGCACATGTCGGGGGAGGACGGGAAGCCGCCGGTCATCGTTGAGAGCGTGACTTCGAGTACAGGGGTTGTATTGTCGCGCCAGCAGTGTGAGGGGAGTGATTTGAGCGAAGTGTTGAAGATGTTCCTGGGCGGTCAGCGTGACTGAGTCCGAAAGCCGCATCGAATGTTCCGTTTTGGCAATGCCGGGGTTTGATCGAAGTGTTGGTGGAGCTCGTCTCTCCATTGCAGCACATTGGCATGATTTTCTCGCTCTTCAGGCCGTTTGGCAAAAGCGCACCGCACGCCCGCAGCGTTGAGTCCAAGGCAATGGCTTAAACGACTCCCCACGATAATGAATTCAATGAAACCCATCACAAAGACCCCGCCTCAGCCCTCACCTCCAACTTCCTCGGCTTCTTCTTCTTCTTCTGCCTCACCTCCAACTTCCTCGGTTTCCGCCGCGTCGGCGAAAGCGTCTCCGACCGCCCGTCCGTATCCTGAGTGTACTCGCTAGTCTGCACCGAGCTCGAAGATGCCACGCTGGGTTTACGGGCGGGCGGAGGAATTTCTATCGTCGCTTTGATGTCCACGTAGAGCTGTGTGGTGGGTTTGGAGGCCGATGGCATCCAGGATCGCGAGGCTCGGGTGACTTGCGGGCGTGGTTGCGCGGTGGTGGTAGCTTGTTGCTGCTGTTGGATTGGGACGTGCGATGTTTCGCCCTTTTCCTGGACATCTTTCTCCGTCGGTAGCGATGCTATAGGCTCCGGTACGTCGACTTGTCCCTTCTCCGTCGGTACTTCCCCCTCAACATTCCGCTCAATAAACCGACCTTCCGCTGCACTCACTCCGTAATCGCCATGACGCGGCCATTGAATTGTTTTGCCTTGCAAGAAAGCGGACACTTCCTGATCGAGCGCTAATCTCAGCAGCGCCTCGCGTTCGTCGAGATCGCTCGTCGCTGCTGCTTGTTTCGTGAGGCTTTCGGCTGTGTTCATGATCATTGGACCAGCGGGGTATCGTGCAGTCTGGGATCAGAAGTTGTTTTGGATTCATGCAGGTCCGATATATTTATAGTCTCTAAATCTGTGCGGCCTGTCTTTCGTTTGGTTTTGCTCGTTCAGCTGGGATAAGAAGCTACTGAGGTGGTGGAGAGGACCAAGTGACGCCGGGCCAAGTTTCGTCCAAGTCCTGCCCAGTTTGTACAGACTTTGGCTTGGGAGGAGGAAATATGGGCACGTTGGACGAGGGTATGCACGTAGAAGCGGGTTGTTCGCAGGCAACACTGTTCTTTTCAAATACATTCATATCTACTTGAGGTGTCTAATCAAGACTTCAAAATCTGGTTAATTACACGGCCGGCGGCGACCAGCTCCTCATCATGGTAGTTGCGAGCTACGATCTGCACGGACGTGGGAGCGCCGTGGACGGCTTTTGCGTCGTCTGGTTTAAGAGTGTTAGAGTGGACTAATTGCGATCTTGCGATCGACAGCGAAGAACTTACACGGTGGAACAATGTCTGGCCTAGCAAGCTCGTCGGTGTCGATGCTGCTATCGGCGAATCCCATTGGAATGACGACTCCAGGGTACTAGAAAGTGTCAGCTATGATTGAGTGGTACAGCAAACATGACAGCCTTACCTCCAGCAAGTTAAAGATAGCCGTGTACGGCGGCACGCCATACTCATCATGCGGAAGGGCGGTATGTCCCGCTCCCGGGCAGAGGATGACATCTAACGCATTCTCGACGAAGATCTTGTTCCAAGCGGACTTGTAAACGGCTTTCGCCACGTTGTGGTCGAAAACGTCGTTCACGGTGTAGCCGTCGGGCTTGGGTAGCAGCGAGCCACCGACTTTGAGGACAGAGGGGACGAGAGGTTCCCCGCCCGCCTGGATGTGTCTTATCGCAGTCTTGGTGTTGTCGAACGAGAAGGTGTCGCTGATGAGCTTGTGAGCCTCCGTGATGGATGGCAAAGTGGTCAATGGGACCACTGTCACGCCCGCAGCGGCGAGCTTCTTCGCTGCTGCCTCTAGCGTCCGCACGACCGGAGGCGACACTTTGAAAGTGGGATATTCAATGAAGTATCCGATTCTCAGGCTTGCGGGAGTAGAGTTTGCGACTTCCGCGCGCCAGGGGACAGGGATGGCACTGGCATCTAGATCCCAGGGTTTGGATGCAATCACGTTCTGCACGAGAAACGACAGGTCTTCGTACGAGTTGGCCAGCGGTCCAGCGACTGATGGGAAGCCAGGCGAGCCGCGCCTACTGCAAGCAGCAAAGCCACCGTAAGGGATGCGATGGGCGCTGGGTTTGAAACCGTAGGTACCGCAGCACAAGGCTGGGATGCGGATGGAGCCTCCTATATCAGTCCCGATGCCTAGGATGGAGCCGCGCAGTGCAACCAAAGCCCCCTCGCCGCCGCTGCTGCCTCCGGCTGTCAAGCTGAGTCTGTGAGGGTTGAGTGTTCTTCCAAAGACGTTGTTGTCAGAGTCGGCAGTCATCATGGTCTGTGGGATGTTCGTCTTGCAGTACAGGATAGCTCCCAGGTGCAGCAAGATGTCCACTAGTGGTGAATTCTGATCTGCCACCGGGTGGTCCAAGAACGAAATGAGGCCTAGAGTGCTCGGCACACCCTTGTAGTTCATCATGTCCTTTATACTGATCGGGACGCCATGCAGAGGTCCTACAGGCCTCTTGTGCTCGGCGAGGAAATCGTCCAGATATCGACCTCGCTTCAGAGCATCTTCGAAAAAGGTTTCAGTCAGGCAGTTGGTGAGCTGCTGGGCAATCGCAGCTCTTTTGCAGAAGGCCAGTGCCACTGCCGAAGCCGTGATTTGGCCGGACTGCACTGCTCTTCCCAAAGCCACTGCAGAATATCGTTCGGTGATTTCGATTTCCGCGGGAGAAAGAATGCCGCATTTGGATGGGATTTCGACGACCGAGACGTCTGATTTCTCGTTGCCCGTCAGATATTCAGGCGCTAGGCGCCATTCTTGGGGAATCTTTGCCGCTTCTGCTGCTCGTTTGATGGCAGCTTTGGCCTTCCAGGGAGCTTCTGCCGTTCCGTTGTCCATTTCGATGCGATTGTCGACCTGGAGCCGGTCAATATCGTCAATGAAATGTGAAAAGAAGTTGCGGACAATCACGTTGATCTATGAAACGATGTAAGCAGTCTTGCACCATCGCTTGGCCAAGACCGACCTCGGTTCAGACATGGACGTCTCATCGTTCGTAACTGAGAGCCATCCAGTGCAACCTGACCCCAGTCCTGCACGTGGACCGACAGGGGTCAGTGCATTAGAGTTTGAGGTGCCGACACAGGCGGCGGTCAATTTGAGTAGGCGGATGCGGCCCGATATTCTGACCTCACACCTTTCTACCACTTCGTGTCCACTTTCCGCCTTGTCCTGCACACTCCCTCGTCTGTCGCTTCGTCCGGACTTGTCCTTTTGTCGTTGCACTTGGTATGGCGGCGCGGTAATTGCCTCCATCGCCCCTAATCACCCGAGAACCACTTTCCCACTCCACCCCACACTCGATTTCCCCATCTTCCCCTCCCTTGGACTGGGCTGGTTCAATACCATACCACGTTAACATGGCTTCTGCATCCTCTGCGAACGGCAGCGCTTCTGCTCCGGATGGATTGTCCGCCGCAGAGAGATTGATGAAACAACATGCGGCCGGGGAAGCAGACTCGCACAATGTCAGTCTGGAAGAGGTGCCTGATGAGGAATTCACCATGCATCCCCCTCCCTCGACTCTCGCCGCCGCTCCTGTCAACCCCGAGTCCGCCGAACTCCCTGCCGAGCCCACCTTCTCCTCGAAAGCGGCTGGAAAGCAGCCTGTGCGCGAACAACCCCAAGCTGCGCCTCCGAAACCCGCCCTCGACACTTCCGAGGATGCCTTCCCTGCCCTCGGCCCGCCCAAGCCGCAGGTCCGCGGCGCCGCACCCTCCCCATGGTCCAAAAAGCCGGCGTCTGTTGGCAAGGCCACCAACGGTGCTACGCATGGCTTGACGAACGGCAGCGCAGCCTCGTCCACCTTCAATTCGCAAACCTCTTCGCCGCCTTCCGGCATCCCAACTCCGAGTACCACCACCGCCTCCACTCGTGGTCCAGCTCCGCAGATGTCTATTCCCGGTCGCTACAGCGAACAGATTCAACTGCATCCGTCGATGATGACGCCGAGGAACCAGTTGAAGAAGCCGGTCACCGACATCCTCCGCGACATCAACAAGCGCTCGAAAGCGAATGTGGAGATGAAGGCCGGCCCGGGAGGCGTGGTAGTCTTTGAAGGCACTGGGCCCGTCGACGCCGTTCGCGTGGCCTTGAAAGAGGTGGCGACACAACTTTGCTCGAAACAAAACTTGTCAGTGCCCGTCCCGGCGTCAGTGCGAGGCAAAATCGTGGGCAAGCAAGGCGCCACAATCCAAGCCATCTCCAAAAAGACGGGAGCACGCATTAACGTGTCAAAGCAAGAAGCGGCAGAGATTTTGGAAGACGACGACATGGACAGTATCATCGATGTCACCATCGAAGGTGATCCTTTCGCCGTCCAAATGGCGAAGCAAGATATCGAGAAGATCGTGGCAGAACACACATCGTCCGTGAACGCCCGCCTGAAGCACATCCCCGCCGAGTACTACCCCTTCCTGGCCGGTCCGAACAATGCGCAAGTGAAAGCCCTTCAACAAAGTCGAGACCTCAAGATGAATATTCCTCACTACCAACACTGGAGAAACGAAGCGCCGCCTCAAACACCCGCCAGCCGTGCACCAGTGCAATTCTCGCCACAAGCAAACCTGCCTATCCATCTCTCGGGTGACCGCAAAGCCGTCGCCGAGGCAAAAGCGGAGATTGATCGTCAGGTTGCGGAATTGGAACGCCAGCTCACCCTCGAGCAAATGGCAATTGAGCGTGGACGTCACCAATTCATCGTCGGCGACCTGGGCACGTCTCTGAATGATTTCATGGCGGAGACTGGTTGTTCTGTGATCCTCCCTCCCGAGGGTGACGACTCGGAAACCCTTACCGTTGTGGGCCCACCGGATCGCATCGAAGAGGGCATGAACAAGATCATGGACCTCGCATCAAGCATGTCAATGGCCAGCGCAGACATTGGGCGACTACATGCGAACGCGCCACGAGGAGCGCAAGCCCATGCGAGTGACATCACCAGATACCTGCAGCAGCGTCAGGCAATTGAGCAACTGGAGCGCATGCACAATGCTAGAATTGTTCCCGACAGCGCTGGCGCATGGCAAATTTACGCTCGCGACGGCAAGAACGCGATGAAGGCACGCTCCGATGTAATGAATCTCATCAGCGGCCATCCTCCCACTCGATTCCAACCCGTCGAAGTCGATCCATTCTATCATCAGCACCTCCGGGAGCGAGCCGCCAGCAGCATCCGTGAACAACACGGAGTTCACGTCATTGTGCCCGATGAAGGGGACGATGCACCAGTGCTCCTCGTATTTGAAGACACCACTCCTGCAGCGGACTATGACTTCCCTCGTCGTCAGCCTTCGGCGCAGGAGGTTCAAGCTTTCGAGCAAGCGCTGCAGCAGGCTCAGCAAGAGATTCTCAACTTGATGATCGGTCGCGAGGATATTGTCTCTCGTGACGTTGAGGCTCCCGTCAAATATCACGACAAGATCCGAAGACACGTCGATCGCCACCATGATGCCCTTGCCGAAGGTTCCATCCCGTTACAAGTCTTGTACGGTGGCCCTCGGGAAGCACAACAGAGAAGGACTCCGGCCCCCAGCGTCAACCTTCGCGGTCCTCAGAGCGATGTCGACCTCCTCATGCAAAGCTTGCTGGCTTTTATCGAACAGGAGAAGGTGGATGAGCTGGAACGAGGCTTCGTGCTCAGTTTCGATTATCCTCAAAAATACGCGAACCACTTGATTGGCAAGAAGGGCGAGAACATCAACCGCCTACGCGAAGAATTCGATGTCGAAATTCAAGTCAACGACGGCAAGTGTGAAATCAAGGGCCCAGAAGCCAAAGCGAATGCCTGCAAGAAGCATATCGTCGACATGCTCAAGAAGCTCGAGGACGAGACTACCCACCACCTCAACATTCCGGCGCAGTACCATCGAGACCTGATTGGGCCTCAGGGCACGCAAGTCAATCGTCTGCAGGAGCGCTACAATGTTCGTGTGAACTTCCCCAGGACCCGGCAGAATGCAGATGACGCCGCTTCGGAGGCTGGCGAGTCTGTCGCGGGCCGCCGCAATGACCAACAGCCCAACGAGGTCGTCATCAAGGGACCGAGCAAAGGTGCCGACGGATGTCGCGAGGAGCTGTTGAGCTTGTTCCAGTATGTGAAGGATAACTCCTTCACCGCTACCGTGTCTGTTGCGCAAAGTCAGCTGCCTTCGTTGATTGGCTCTGGTGGCAAAGAGATGGAGTCCATGCGTCTGGAGACTGGAGCGCAGATTGATGTGCCCGGTGCGAGAGATGCGGGGGCTGCTGATTCTCGCGCGGAGATTCGCATCAAGGGGTCCAAGAAGGCGGTGGAGGAAGCGAAGAAACTCATCGAGGAGAAGGCAAAGGTGTTTGACAATACTGTCACTCGCCAACTTGAGGTTGATCGCCGGCACCATCGATTGATTATTGGTCCTGGAGGTGAGTTGATTCTTGCGTGAGACTTTTATGGTGTACATTCTGACATGTCAATAGGCACGACCCTGCGAAACATCATCAATCAAGCTGGAGGACCTGAAGACGTACGGCTGCACAACCGCATGGTCAGATTCCCTCGAGCAGACGCGGAAGGCAACACGGTGCGGATAGAAGGGCAACGAACCGTCGTCGACCAGATCTGCACCGCCATCGAGGCGCTGGTCGCTCAGCACGAGTCGCAAACCAACGATGTTGTTGAGGTGAAGCCTGAAAAGCATCGCCTCCTGATTGGCCGCGGAGGCGAAATCCGCAGGCAACTCGAGCAGCAGTTCAATGTCTCCATCAACGTCCCGCGCCAGAATGAGAGCGGACCACAGCGCTCACAAGTGCGCATCGCCGGGCAGCCAGGCGATGTGGAGAAGGCCAAAGCACACGTGCTCGAATTGACGAAGGAGGTCGAAGGCGAGACTGTGCAGGTACCGCGTCGCTTCCATCAAAGCATTGCAGACAACGGGCAATTCTTCCGCCGACTACGAAACGACCACAAAGTCACCGTGGACCACGCGGGACAGAAGCCGCCAGGGAAAGCTTCAGCCCCTACGCCGAGTCGAGCTACTGGTGCAGGCACCGCAATGCCGCTAATCACCGACGACCAAACCGCAAATCTCGATCAGCATTCATGGGAAACGCACGACCTCCACGCCTCTACGGAAGAAGGCGACATCCCCTGGGTGCTCGCCGGTCCCAACCCGGAATCCATCTCCGCCGCTCGTGCACGTCTCGAGAAAGCGCTGGAAGAGGCTCGTGCCCACGATACCGTGGGCTTCCTGATCTTGCCTGATCCCCGTACCTACCGTCACGTCATCGGACAGGGCGGCAGCGAGATCAATCGCATTCGCAAGCAGACGGGCACGAAGATCCAGGTGCCGCGGGATCAGAGCAAGGGGGAGGCGATTGAGATTGTTGGGGAGAAGAGTGGGGTTGAGGCTGCGAGGGAGTTGATTTTGGAGGTTGTGGGGAAGAATGCGTAGGTGGCCTTTATGACTACAGGAGGTGGGAAGGGTCGAGTTGTTCACAGATTGGGTTTGTCGTTGTCGTGGAGAGGCAGGCTGTGGTGGTGTGGATTGGGAGATTTCCCTCTTATTTCGAGGAAAGTGTGGTATTTTCGTAGCAGATCAAAAGCATTTTCAACAGCCTCGGACCACCCTCCGCCTGGTCAGCGTCGATGTTCAGCCTCAGCTACCGCGCATGCATTCCGTCGTTGTAAGTGGACCGTGCAGCGAAGGGGGGCCAGGGTCTGCGTGCACGGGCCGTTGCGTTCCCAACCCCGGCTTCACTTTCTGCTTTACATATTGCCGGCCTGCGATTTGCTCCCTCGTTTACTCACTTCACTTCCTCCTCGACCGCATTTGCGTCTGCTCTCTCACTTGCTCTCCACCTACTCTTGGCGAACTACAGCTCCAAAGCGCGGAAGAAGCGGTTAAAACAAGCATAGACGAGCTACGGGCAGGGCCGGTCAATACACACACAATGTCGAAGGAAGTAAGATTCGTGCGGGACCTATGTCGAGGAAGAGAAGCAGACGGCTGACGTACATTGCAACCATACAGCTCTCCTACTCCGATGTTTCGGTATGCAAGCACCGTGCTCCTGGCCGTCGCCACCCCCCTCAGGCCACACGCATGGGCAACAGGCGGAATGACATTGAAGGCTGATTGCGCGGGTGGAATAGGAACACACCAGCAAGAAGGACCTGTACATGGTCATTCATGACAAGATCTACGATGCCTCGAGCTTTGTGGACGAGCATCCGTACGCCCCTCTTCTCCTGCCGCTTCCGCCGTCCCCCTCACCCGACTCTTTTTCAACGCTTCCGCCACCCCACACCCACAGCTCCATACGCATTTGTTCCACACATGCTGATAGCGAGATACACACAGCGGCGGTGAAGAAGTCATGCTCGACGTAGCAGGCCAAGACGCCACCGAAGCCTTCGAAGACGTCGGACACAGCGACGAGGCGCGCGAAATCCTCAACGGCCTGCTAATCGGCACGCTGCAGCGAAAGGTACACGAGCCACTTCCCCCTTCTGCCCCACCACTTCAGCCCACTGACGTCTCATCTTGTGGTGCAGGACGGCGACCCCAAGCCCAACGTCGGCGGCGGCAGCCTCGCCTCCAGCGCACCCAAGCCGGGCGCCGTGCAGTCGCAGGGAATGGGCATGACGCTGTACGCGGTGCTGTTGGTTGGAGGCGCGCTGGCGTTTTTCGCCTACCAGTACTTGAATGCTAAGGCTTAGGGGGCTGCTACTACTGGATTGGATGAGGCGGTTCTGGACGAGGTGTAGGGGTAGAGCAGTAGATGGGCGGGGCAGGGAGGATGTACAGGAGAGGGGCAAAAGTGGAGGAGGGTGTATAGCTCTGTTGACGCATAGCAGGAAGCAGCAAGAAGCAAGAAGCAAGAATGAAGAAAAGAAGCATAGACGAAGCGCTACACAATCCTTCCGCTCCTCCACCATCACGATCGTCGCTCCAACAAACACCCCGCCCGCACCCCCTCCCCACCAAATCAATTCTCGTGTGTTCGGTCTTAGGTCAATTTCACGGGTGAATGCCAGCCTGTAGAACAGCAATCAAAACTATATGGTGGATCGACGAGAAAGGGCGGTATGGATGCCGAGCAGAAAAGTGAATGTCATGCCTCTCGTTCTGTTTGCCTGCCGTGTAACTCATGCTACTCCCAGCCTTCACTCGCCCCCCCTTCATCGATGTGCTCCCATGACAATCATCCATCCAATTCGAACCCACTCGCATCACCCCGGCACTCTGCCCCTTCCCGTCGCAGTCGTCCCACACGCCTCCGTCCGCGGCACATGGCGATAAACGACCACAGAGTACTCCGGATCCAGTCCGTCTCGTCGCCTCACGTCCTCGCGCCGACACATCAGACAAATGGTGTCGTCGCGGAGCTGCCCGACCCACCGCTTGCCGCTGCAACCCGTGGTTTCGCGGTAGGTTTTGCAGTGTCGGAAGAGGTCGGGCGGCCATTCGCGAGAAGGGCAGCCGCAGGCGAGGGTGAAGTGTCTGTAGAGGCACATGGCTGGTTTGGTTTGGTTTTGATTAGGTTTCGAAAGGAATGAGGTGAGGATTGCGTTGCGCGTTGGTGAGGGTAGAGGAGTTGATGGAGGATGAAGGGGTAGCTGGAGGGAGCTGGAATATATAGACTGGCAACCGTCAAGGTAGTAGTGAATGAGGGAGCATGAAGGGCAGCACGGAAACCTGATCTTCTTCGTTCATGCGTAAACGCATTCCATACGAACAGCATCGAAGGTATACGGTGAATGATGCCAAAGGAATGGGCGGCGCAAATCCCTTCGTAAAAGTGAACATCATTCATCTCTGTCTGCCTGTTTGCTACCTTCGCCAGCGTAGCACATCGGCAGTGTAACTCACGCCAAGTCCAGGTTCCACTCGAGTCCACTCATCGATAGAAGCTCCCCGGATCCTCTCCACCGCCTACGGAGCCTCCACTTGGCAGTCTCTGCTGTTGCGGCTGATACGCCTGGTAGCCTGGAGCCATGGCCGCTTGCGGAGGAGGCGGCTGTTGCTGCTGTTGTTGTGCTTCCCAGCCTTGTGGAGGTTGAGTGAGCCCAGGCTGTGAAGCATACATCGGACCCGAAGTCGACTCAAAGCTATGCGTTCGCTGGCGCGAAGGCAATCCCTCGCGATCATCTCGTTGCGAGTACGGAGCCTGCTGCTGTTGCTGCTGCGGCGCGTAGACGTCGTAGTTCTGCAGACTATGCCGATTCTCCACGGGCGATTCGTAGCCGCCCGTTGCCAGCTCCTGTGGATTCCCGCTGTTGAGCGTGTGGATGCTGTTGGGCCGGATTTGGCCTTGGAAGTTTTGCTGTTGAGGGTTGGAGTAGGGGTCGCTGGGTGGGAGGACGGATGAGGAGGACATGGAGGGGGGCGCTTGCGGGCTGGGCTTGCGGCGGATTTCTTGTTGCTGTTGCGGTGGAGGTCCGCTTTGGAGACCACCTGGGATGAAGTGGAAAGGTGCGGGGCCGTTGGGGGGCTGCACTGCTGGTGGACCGTCAGATTGAGGGTATGGGCTTGTGAAGCCCGGTTGAGGACCGGGTGGTTCGGAAGGTGCGGGCGAATAGAAGCGCTGCACGTCTTGCTGGGGTGGGAGGTGTTGGGGTTGCTGTGGGTATTGATGTTGAGGTGGGTAGGCGCTGGCGGATGGCGGGCCTTGTTGATAACCCGCTGGAGGAAGCTGTTGCGGCGCGGCGTAGGGAGGCTGTTGCTGCGGCGGGTACATGGGCTGGCGCATTCGAAGGGGAGATTGCTGGTGGTATTGCGGCTGGGACATGGAGGCTTCCAGGAGCGCTTCGTAGTCTCTGCGGGCTTTGATGAACTTTTCGTTCAGCTGAGTAAAGTCGTCTGCGGTTCAATGTTAGCTTGGTGTGATGAAGAAGATGAGACAAAGCGACACCTACCCTTCTTCTGCGAATACTTTCCAATCAGCTCAATCAGCTTTGGCCGGATGCTCAGCGTTCGTTGGTAGAGTTCGCCAATTTCTTCCTCTTCCCTCTCCCCTCTCCGCGCGCCGCCACGCTCGCCTCCTACGCTCAACAATGCCAGTAGCCGCTCCACATTCTTGATCTCCCCAAACACTTCCCCTTCCATCTGTGCGTCCCGTTCGAGTTCCTCTTTCGTCGGATCTTGCAGCTTCTCCACGTAGTTCAGCGGGAAGATGCCCGACTGCCCACGCAGACTGCCCCTCCACCAATCCTTGTAGACTGACTCGAGCACGGCAATGATATCATTCTTTCGAAACGCCAGCTCTCCCGGCTCCGAAGGCGTAAAGTCATACAGCGCCCGCACGCGACTCACTGTCGCCGCCGTCGTTCCATGCTGACTCTGTGGCGCAGCAGAAGTCGTCTGTGCGGAATCCGAGCCCTCGCTCTTATCCTTGCCCCCATCTTTCTGCTGCCCATCCTTGATACTCAACGCCAGCGCCATCTGCAACTCATCCTCCTCCTTCCGCCTATCATCCGCACTAATCTCCGCCTTGACCGGTTTACTCGGCGGCATCAAACCGGGCTGCTCCCTCCTCAACTTCTGATACGCCTGCTCCATGATGCCAAAATCCGGCTTGCGGCCAAACTCCTCCGTCCACACGCCCATGCGCTCCAGCACCTTCTGCTTCACCTGGGCATGCGTATTGCGCTCGCCGGCCAGGCGCAGCAGGGCGTCGGTGAAGGCTTTGGACGCGAGTTCGCGGTGGATGCTGGCGCCGCAGTTTTGCGAGAGGGCGTTGGCGAGCTCGAGGGTGTAGAGTTGGACGTTGGCGTTGCGGTGGGCGAGGCGCTTGATGATGCTTGCGATGGCGTTGGAGGGGCCGGAGGGCGAGGCGGACACGCGGTCGACGACGTCGAGGATGTACTCCCAATTCTCGCTGGTGAGGTTCTCGTCCGTACTCCGGACTGTGCGCTGTGGTCAGTCGATCCGCGGACACCGCAAGGCTGCAGCATAGGGGATGGAGAGGGAAGGAGGGGTGCAACTCACCAATCGCCTCGTCCATGGGGTTGGACTGTGCTCCTCGGAACATGGTGAAGATGCAGCGGGTCTCGGTGAGAGCCTCTGTGTGATATGTACCTGTTCCTGCGTTCAAAAGAAGTCTAAGGCAGCTTCAAAGAATTCCGGGGTGGTGTGTTGAAGCTCGTTCATCATAGCGCCCGCCACTCCGCGTCATGCTGCGCCACGGGTAAAGTTGCCTTAGGGTTCGACAACAGCCTCAGGCACGTCCGCAACATCCTCAGGCATAAGGTCCCTCCCGTTTGAGCAACGTGATATGCATCAGTTACAGAAAGCGTGAACAAGATCATCAACAACCATCTGGTACATGTACCTGCTACGTCCTAGCAATGACCCCCAGCTCACTCCACATCCCTCCTTCTCCAGGCCGTGCATGCGACAGGTGTATAGTCCAAGAAAGCCCTCCATCGCCATCCATCGCCAGCCTGATACGCCGAAAAAGACTCCTCTGCTCGCGATTCCCCTTTCTCGTTGCTCAACTCCTTCCTTTGTGTGCGTGTGTGTTCGTTACATCGAGTGTATAGTATTCCAAGAACATGTAGACTTTTCCCAAAAGCAAAACGAAAAGGGGTGACGGTGGGTAGTGCGCCAGGGCAAGCGAGCAAGGAAAAAGTGAGCGCGACAATCGTGTGTCATCATCAAAATCAGAATCTAGTGGCCGCCTCAAAACTCCGGCGGCATAAAGTCGTGTGCTCCCTAACTGGCTTTGTTCTTCTTCTCCTCCGCTCGGGCAATGCGCGCCGACTTGACCAGGGGCGCGAGGTGGATGAGGTCGCACGCGAGCTGGATAAAGTCGTGCTGCGAGAGTCAAAGGTTAGCGATGTGTGCCATCCGTGCAATAAGACGAAATGAACATACCCTCAGAAGCTGCTCCCCACTCCCCCTCTTCTCCGGATCCACGACCAAGCACCAATCCAAAAACGAAGCAAACGTCCCGCTCAAATTCTCCTTCTCTTTAATCGTCGGCGTCCCATTCGTCGCAATCAAATACAGCGCCCGCAAAGGCGACTCGGTCAAATACGGCGGCTCGCCCTCGATCATCTCAATAGCCATGATGCCCAGACTCCAGATGTCAATCTTCTGCCCGTACTCCTTGCGCGTCACCACCTCCGGCGCCATCCAGTACGGCGTGCCGACCATGGTGGTGCGCTTCGTGTGGGCCTCGTTGATCTGCGCGCAGAAGCCAAAGTCCGTCAGTTTGATATTGCCCTCGAGGTTGAGGAGGATGTTGTCGGATTTGATGTCGCGATGGATGACGCCCTTGGAGTGCAGGAAGACGAGGCCTTGCAGCGTTTCCCGACACACGGCGGCGATTTGCGGCTCGCTCATCATGTTGAACGTCACCACATCGGTCAGGCTGCCGCCTTCCATGTACTCCATCACCACCCACAGGTCGCCTTTGACGAGGAAGCTGTCCATGAAGTTAACCACGTTGCGATGTCGGCTGTCTTTCATCACGAGGATTTCGTTGATGATGAGATCCTTCTTCGGCTGCTGCTCCAGATTCATCTGCTTGATCGCAACACATCGGTTGGTGCCGACTTCAAACGCAGTGTACACTCCTCCCGAGGCACCCTGGCCAATCTTGACTAGGTTGCGGTACTTCTTCGTGGGGTCGGAAGTATTGCATATCGTCTGCAGCCTGCCGATAATCTCCGCGTTGGTCACGGACTGTCGTGGTCGTTGTCTAAGTCTGGGTTGCGCTGCGACTTTAGGATCAACCGTGTTCGTATGGTGGGCCGCCTTCTCGGAGGAGTTCGGCGCATGTTGGTGAGGCTGGCGGAGGCCTTGCTGCCGGTGGGTTTGTTGCTGTTCGTATGCCTGCTGCTTGAGTGCTTGTTGGGCGACTTTCATCGCTTGCTCCTGCTGGAGTTGGTACTGTTCTTGTGGGTCGATGGGCGGCGCTGGCGACAGAGCGGGGTGACCGGCGTTATTGCCGGTATTGGATCGACTTCGACTCGGGGCAGGCTGGTTATCGTAAGGTACATCTGGCACCAATGTTTGGTTGTATCTACTCGGTTGCAGATCTTCCTCCGGCGCTCGAGGTGGATCTCTTTGAGGACTCGGTACAGGCGGAGGTACTCGTTGAGGGGTCGCGCCCGCCGAAGATGCTTGCGGAGGTTTCGGAGCTGGTCGAAGAGGCATCAAAGTGCCATTTGAAGAAGGACCAGAGGGCGATCTGAGGCCAAGGCCGAGGCCGAGACCTTGAGGCTGACCACCCGGTATTGGTGGAGCGGCTCGTGGATTCTCGAAGCTTTCTCCTTCATTCTTTGGGAACCGCGGACTCGCTGGAGGACTCATAAAGGCATTCCCATATACACTCGATGCAAGGTTCGGTGAAAGTCCGCCGGGTTGTGGTGATGGACTCGGATTGTAGAGGTGGTCATCGGGACGCGCATGATCGAATTTGTGATACGTGGACTCGTTAGTCGGTTGCTCGAGGTTCTCATTGAAAAATGTCACGACTTCGTAGAGGGCTTGCGGGTTCTTTTGCTGTTCTTGTAGAGAGATTCCATTGGCCTGTAGAGTTTGCTGCCACTCCTTCGGTAGCCCCTGGGACGGTCAGTCATCAGCATGGATAACACATATGTACTCTTTCCAACTTACAGTGAATTCCCCCGTCTCTTGGTCATATCCCACATGCGTCACATGCACGGGATTCTCCGGCGCAGAGATGGTCGGCTTGCGCGGGGTGCCCACCAGATTATTCACAAAACTCGAAAAGCCCGACTTCTTCCTCAGCTTACCCTCTTTGGCCTCGTCGCTTAGTCTCTGCCGCGGACTTCGCATGCCCAGGTCGGCGCGGGGTTGAGGGATATCGTCCATTTGCCTGCCCGTGGCCGCGAGGCTTTGAGATAAAGCGATGTTGGGATTGGCGAAGCCGACGCGGCTGTCTGAGTAGGCGTGTTGCAGAGGAGGTGGGGAGCGCGGGTGTTCTACGTCAAATTGCCGTCGGCGAAGGAGTGGAGAGGTAGGAGGGGAATTTGCTGGTATTGAGATCTGGGGTGATCTGGACGGTGTTGAGCTTTGAGGAGGGTCGGATGGTGGGAGCTCTCGAGGAGGGTTGAACGATGGTGAGGTCGGAGGCGGGACCGATGGCGATGAGCTTTGTAGCAGAGGCGGAGATCTGGCCGATGACTCGGGGTGATAAGTGAGGGCGTCAAGGTTGGAGAGAATAGCAGCAGAGTCGAAGCGCTGACCCAGCAGCTCAAAGCTCGGCTCCTTTCGAATCGAATACTGCGGGCTGAGGAAGGCAGAAGACGCAGGCGGGAAATCGGAGGCGTCGAGATTGCGCGAATTGATGTGGTCAATGGAGCCGGCCGCGGGACTGGGCGAGGTGGGGCTGCGGTGATGCGAGAAGGACGGGTGGTGCAACGGCGGCGGCGGCTGCGCGCCGGGGTTGGAGGGGGCGCGGGTGCGTAGGGGCGCGGAGGGGGTGCGGCGCAGCGCGGGATGCTGCAACGGGTGTTTGTGAAGCTTGTTCCTCTGACTGTTGTCGTTCTGGACGGGGCTTTGCATGGCCGGGAATCGAGAGACGCGGTGGGTGGAAGCCGGGCAAGGACCGCCAGACTGCTCGCCCGCGCGTTGCACTCGACGCGAAGACGGAGCAGCTGCCTTGAAACGAGGCCGGGGAAAGGATGGGGAGGGGTAAGATGTTTGGATGATGCGTGGGGAGCGAGTGTGGCCCGGTCGCGATAGGGCGAGGTGCGGTGCAAGTGACGTTTCACACCTCTCGCATCGGGCGTCGACGCGCACGTTCCCCCACGCCCGCCAGCGGCAGGCTCCCGCGCGTGTCTGCCTCAGTCACTAAAACACCCGGCTTGCGTGCTTTGGAGGGCAATCAATGCTGTATCAGTCTTGGTTCCGACACCGTTTGGCGAGGCATTGAATGATGCTTACATCCACAGTTCGGTTCGAGATGGATGTGAGTAAGGACGTCCTACTCGCTCCTGCCCTCAAGTACATCTAGACCAGGACCTTCCTTGCTGGGCATTTGTCGAAACACATCACACCCGACAAACACTTGCATCCCGCATTTATGACAGATCAGACGGAATCCCCGCCTTGCCTTGTGCGCCCGGCGGTATCATCTCCGCCCCTTGTGCAATTCGAAACGTCCTCTGTCATTCGTGATACCATGATTACCTACAATGCCGTGGTGTATCTAACCCAATACAGCCCACCAACGCCCTCGCTGAAACGCAATCAGTCAAATAATGTAAAGACTCATCGCCAGAACGAAGTCTTCTTCTTCAAGAACCCCGTCCGGCCTGGCGCGCCGTTCCCCACGTTTCCATTTCCCCCAGACATCATTACATTACTCGTGCTCGCAGACGGCTGAACATACAGTCCATTCGAGCCGACAGGCGGGCCCGGCGGTCCCATATACTGCGGATGCGAATAGCCATGTCCGTTTGGGTGTGGCCGCTGCGGTGGACCAGATGCATGCTGCGGAATAGGTTGCACGCCGTACAATTTCCGCAGGCGTTCCGTCTCCTTGTCAATCTCGGCCTGCTTCCGCCGCGCCGCCTTTTCCTCTTCCTCCACCATCTTCTGCAGCCGTTTGCGCTCCGCCTCGTCCCGCTTCTCTTGCTCTCGCCGGCGTCTCAGTACCGCTGCTTTCTCCTGTTCTGCTTGCGCCTTGAGTCGTGCAGTCTCCGCATCCAGTTCCCATTGCGCTCGTGCGTCCGGGAAGGGCGGGAGATTGGAAGGATGTGCGTTTGTCGGTGTTGTTTGCAGTCGAGGCAATACGGCGTGCTTCCCTCCGAGTGCAACAGGAGCAGCAGCTACAGAACTGACTGCAACTTGCGGATTGCTGACTTTCCTCCCGCTCCCATTCGCCATAGCAGCTGGAATAGCAGCTTCGGAAATGTTGAACAACTCGCGCGTCTGCTCCTTCGAACTGAAATAAAGGTCTTTGATCACCGCCGCCGTCAGGAGCAGCACAACCTCCAACCCCTTCGGATCTTCCATCTCCACGCGCGTCAAATTTGGCTCATACATCGTGAGCTCCTTCATCCCCCTCCACAGCGCAATCGAAATATCCGGGTCCTTGCGGCTATTCTTCTTCTTCGTATCAGTGCTCTTGCCCGTCATGAAACATGTCAAATCCTTATTCAACCGGCTGTCCTTGCGCCACTCGAAGTTAATGCGCGGCGTGATTTCGAGCGATGCTGGATCCGACCTGCCCTTGTCGAGCGACGAGGCTGACGGCGTGCGAAACACGTCCTGCGGCATGCTGAACTCGTAGTAATCTTGTCCGCCCCATTTGCTGCTCTTCACCTCCACCTTGATCTGCTGGTCGGGGTTGTACAGTTGCACGGTAAACTCGCTGGGTAGCACAGGTTGCGGAGGAGGAGGCACGCCACCGACACTTTCGGCTTGCGTCGCTTTCGTCCATTCGGGGCGGGCGAGCACTTCGCCGAAGAGGATTTCGGGGTTGTAGGCATCGAAGAGGGCGGCGGCGTAGCAGTTTTTGTGCGCTGGCGAGGGCGAGGCGGGATCGGCGCGTTCGAGGTGGTAGGCGGGCTCGGGCTCGGAGCCGTGGTGGGTGAGGTAGTATTCGTTGTGGTGTTTCGTGCCCGTTATGGAGGGTTTGAGGAAGAAGGTGGGGAGGTTCTCGTCCAGCATGGTGAAGACAGAGAGGATAGGAAATCGAGCAGGTACTTGGGAGGTGGCGTTGTCGATCTTTCACATCATTCGTTTGTGAAAGTCTAGCGTGCGGCGGATCTCATGGGACTTCACAAGTCACGAGTGAGAGGTCACGCGGGGTATGAGCTGCAATGTACATTTCGCTAGGGCGAGGGGCGCAACAGCAGGCAGCCGTGATTATAAAGGTTGACAGGAAGAAGGCTTTGCAGGCCGCGTGGGAGGCTGTGTCTGTCATGTTTCATCTTTCCCCGGAACCCGACTAGCCGGACTGGGTGCCTGCCCGATCCGGAAACAAGGCTTCCGGACAATGGAATGCGAATCGCCCGCCCCATCTCGATATTCAGCACCCTAGCTATATTTTGTGACTTAAGATATGCAACACAGCCTTCCAGATCCTACTCTCTCCCGTGGCTGCACGCTCACCACCCCCTATACCGCTTCTCCAATTCCGCCTGCCGAACTCGGAGCATAGCCTCCGCATCATGCAAACTATCCACCGCCCGGCCTCTGTTCCGCGGATCTTCATCCAGCAATGCCTCCACCAACATCCTCAGACTCGGCGCATAATGAGCCGGCAAGGCCCGCGTAATCGTCGCGGTGCCTGAGTATCGCCTCAGCAGCCTGAGACGGTCGTCGGGGCACAGATCCGTGTAGTACTCCGGCAGAGCCCCGTCAATGTCTCCCTGGCACGCTTTTTCGAGAAGGATGTCCCAGATCGAGCGGCCGCTCATCATCTCCACCATCACCGCGCCTATGGACCATAGATCGCTCGCGGGGCCGGGGGTGTTTCCTACGGCGTCGAGATGCTCCCTGCAGGTGCTGTCGCATCCTTTGGGGAAGCATTGGAGCAGAATCTCGGGCGCATCGTAGGCGGTCTGATCGTCGAAGCATTGGATAAGATGGGCGAAGGCTTGGCTGCGGTGCTCCAGCTCGTTTGCATCCATGTCCTCCGGTTCGACGACTCGGGCAAGCATCACCGCCCGACTGTAATTGCCTAGCTTAGCCCCTTCTCCATCTGTGGCGCCTGCCGTCCTCAAACTTGTGTAGAAGATGTTGGAAGGCGTGATGGTGTTGTGGATGATTGGCTGCCAGCCGGGAGGCGGTGTCTCATCCCGCGAGCGACAGCCTGTGTGCAAGAAGTGAACAGCGCGGAGGAGGGAGATGAATGTGTTCCAGACGAATCGCTCGGGTTGGGGTTGCCAGGGTCCGCTCGACAATCGAGTACTGTCTAGGATGTTCTGCAGGGTGGCCAAGTGCTGCTCGCCCCCGGAGCGTACAAGTGGTGCTAGATTCGGATGCTGGAGACGTGCGTTTAGACTCCGTGGAAGCCTCGGCCCTTGCAATCTCTCGCTCGGCGAGTCGCCCATCGTCGTTGACTCGGGAATGTCGTCGATGGTCGATAGAGAATGGGAGAGAGATGGTGCTGGCGAAGGAGGCTCTTGTCTTGCCAATGACGGAGGGGTCGGTGTAGTGATGACACGCAGAACAGGGCGTTCGCCTGTCGGAGTATTTGAGCGTTCAGGCCTGTCAGCAGTCGGCGTTGGTCTATCACCGTCCTGGGGCAGGGAGTCCGATTGCGAGGCTGTCGAGGTACAAGTAATCCAGTCGTCCGAGTTCTCTGACCCGGATGGGAGCGGAGATGCGTTGCCTTGCGCTTCAGTGGCCTGCGGTCCTCCCTCGGGCGTCTCCTGTTGCTCTGTGTCCTCAAAATCCTGCTCAGCGAAGCTGGAAGTACTCGCACTCGGCGAGGAAGACATGGAAGGGACTCGAAAGATAGCCATGATTCGAGTGTTTCACTGAAGTCTGGTTGGACATGTTATCCGAGCGCGAGGTATACAACTGTGGGTATTGGGCAGTAGACAAAGACATTCGGCGCACAAAGAGGTCGCACCGCTTCCGGCGAGCAAGAAACGAGTACATCGTCGAACTGGATGCATGAAAGCTGCACATTGTGCAAGATGTTGTCTTTGAGATCGCATGTTGAGTGAAAAGAGACGCGTTCACTACTTGCCGTGTTCATTGTCACTGCTGGAGGTCGCGGCTCACCCGTCCTATCCCCAACAAATTGGCTCTGAAGAGCAGGGGTGGATCTGCAAGGTTCATCACAGGATCGGGCGAGTGACACCCAATGAGCAACATGTGCAACTCATAGTCAGGATCCATCGGACGCGAAATCTTATGGTGGTGGAGTGGGAGTGGAGTGACAAAAGTGGAAGGAACGCGCTTTGATTCGGCTTCGTCGTCTCGGCCAGATGAACTGCACTGCATCAGATTAAGAAGATGCAAAAGGGCTTGCATAGCTTTGCGAGTATTCTCTGCCAATCAGAGGGACGCATGGATCCGTGCATCTAGGCCTTTGGCGGAGTGCGGCCTTGGACGGCAATCAGAGCCGGTCGAGTGAGTGAAACGCAATTAAAGGCGGAGGGGAGGCGATTCGGAGGGAACTCCGAATTCGCGTATAGCTCCACGTCTCATTCTCCCGGGATCGAGTTAAAACTCAGCGACTCGGTGTCGACTTCTACCTTGACCAATGGGGAATTGATTGCCGTTCCAAACATGTCTCGATTCACTCTTCTGTGTCTCGGCGAACCCACCTAAGGTCCATCCACGCGGTCGGTAAGTCTCGTACGGAAGCAGACCAAGGCCTGGTAAGTTGCTGTGGAATGCGTTGTAGACGATTCGAGGGCCGAGCGGAAGTACTCCAGATCTAGATCAGTGCGCTGCGGACAGAACTGGAGCTCATCTTCACATGATCCGTACAGCATGCTATCGCCCAATCGTCACATCTCCTGCCAAACCCCCAAGTCTCAAAAGTCATTGGCTAAACCGTTGGATGCCGCTGTCTTTAGCGGTGGACCTGGGATGTGGCTAGCAGTCGAATGTGGATGCGAGGGTCGTTTGTCACATCTGCTAGCAACATCGAGTAGGCTGGAAGTCAGTCGAGGAGTTATGTCCGGCGGCGAGTGCCGCGAGGAGGAGGAGATTTGCCGGTTTGACTCGGGGCGGTTGCCTGGCAAATCTGAGGAAGTCCTCCCGAAAGCGCGTATTCACCTCTCCCAGAGAAGTCGATCTAGTCGAACATATCCCCAGCAAAAACTGGCATTGGCATTTCCTCCTGGACTCCCGTTTTCCGTATTTATACTCGCTGTGTCGCCGTTCAAGATGCATTCTTCAAACCGTACAACAGAACAGTCGCTTTTGCCCTCGTCACTCGATCGAGCTCGTCAACGAACTCGCTCATCAAGCTGCGACACCTTGCCTGAATCAACATGCCTACTCTCGAGACACACAACGGCTACGCCCTTTGGCACTACATCCCCTCGATAGCGGCAGCCATCATCTTCGCCATCCTCTTCTTCGCCGTTACTTCGTACAACGTCTTCCGAATGATCAAGAGTCGCGCTTGGTTTTGCATTCCTCTCTGCATTGGCGGTCTTTGTAAGGAGTATCGAGACAAGTCGTTAAGTAGAACGAAGAGCTGACAATGTCCAGTCGAGATCATTGGGTACTGCGGCCGAGCGTCAGCATACGATAGAACCGGCCAACTCCTCCCCTACATCATCCAAAGCATCTTCATCCTCCTCGGACCGATCTTGATGGCTGCGACCGTCTACATGGTGTCGGGCCGCATCATCACCCGCACAAACGGTGAACCGCATTCTTTCGTGCCAGCACGCTGGCTCACGCGAATCTTCGTCGGTTCCGACGTCTTCTCCTTCCTCGTCCAGTCGTCCGGCGCAGGCTTGATGGTGCAATCGAGCAGCACGAACATGGGCCGGATCCTGATTGTCGCCGGATTGGTTCTGCAAGTGGTTGGATTCGGCATCTTTGTGACCACGGGGGCTCTGTTCTATGTCCGTATGCGCAAAGTGCCCACCCGAGCCTCTGTCGAGTACGGCTGTTGGGAGAGGGTCATGAGAGTCAGCGGCGCCATGAGCATTCTTCTGCTCATCCGATTCATCTTTCGCGTGGTGGAGTACGCAATGGGCAATGACGGGTACCCGCTACACCACGAGTGGACGCTTTACGTCTTTGACGCCGTGCTGATCTTTTCGGCGATGGTGCTGTTTGGCGTCTATCATCCTGGGCGAATTCGGAAGACGATCGATGAAACGTCGCAAGAGGAGCTTGTCGTGCGCTATGGTGAAGCCTTTGACAACAAGAGTCAGCGAGGGCGTTTGGAAGGGTAGTTGCCGCTGGGATCTCTATAAGAAGTGGTCAGGTCGAGATTGGGAGCATCATTTCCAGATTTGCAGGCGTTCGATAGACAGGTTTCTTTAGACTTTAAAACATCCCAATACTGTTCGAAGGTTGCCTTGATGGAGCCTCTCCGTAATCACATCTGGCCTGGGAGCACTCCATAGTCCTTTCGATGCTTGCTGCAATGACTGCTGAGCAGACGAGAGGAGCCTGGACCAGCTTGATCTAGTCAGTATGCTGCACCTGCGACATGGGAAAACGCAACGTTTCATCCCATCGCTTTCCCAAGTATCGGCAGATCGATTCGACCAAACGTTTGCCTCCGGAGCCAAACATCCACAGGTTGCGATGCCGATGGATCAAGACGCCGTAGTTTGCAAGAATCACCAATGCTTCTGGTCGCCTCGCGGTCAGATCGTCTACGAAGGTTTGGGTCAACATGGTCGGCCATGCAAACACCGAGTCCGGCAGATCGATGACGTGGCTGGACATGCAGATATCCAGCTTGCGTGCCATCGAGCGGTACTCCTCCTTACTTTCTGCGTCCAGGCGACTTGCATCGATCATGGCGGCCAGAGGAAGCAAATCACCAGACAATTCGTGTCTTTCCGGATCCCCGGCTGCCTTTTGGAAGCGAGTCAAAGTTTCGCGGAAGCTGCTGGATCCTCGAAGGGCGTCGGAGTTGATGAGAACGTCCCATTGCGACCCAATGACGGTTTTCACGCCGAGTTGCATCTTCAAGAATTCCACCAGGCCTTCGACCAGCGTGTCGAAACTGGGGTCTGTTTGGAGGAGGCTCCTGGCAAGGACGTGCTTGCCGATGATGCTGGAGAAGATAAAGGCTGCACGGAGCTTGTCACCTTCGAAGCTGTGCGAGGCATTGAACAGCTGTAATGCGGTGGATTGCAGACCGGTGGCTTGAACGTCCCATACGTGCTTCTCCTCTGCATAGAGGGCACTGAGATGGAGGGCGGAGAAGGCTAAGAGGCCGTGGAGTAGGAATGGGCAAGCGAGAGCGGAGTTGAGGGTCTCGTCCAGGACGTCTCGCAGGAGGATCTCGTTGAAAAGCTTCCCCGAGGCCGCATGGGAGAAGAGACGCATGTGTAGCAGGTTGACTTGGAAATTTTCGTAATCTTGGCTGAACGGAGTGGGAGACACAGCAATTGATAAGTCGGCATTGACACGGGTGGATTTCGTGATGGGCATGCGCTGTACCTCGCCATCAGAGACAGTTGGTGTTGAAGCACTTGTTGGTCCATTTGGTGCAATTGGTCTGCGGCTTGGTACATCTGATTGACTGTGCGATCCCGTGTAGTGACATTCCTGTGAAGCAACTTCACACTGAACACAGCCCGGGCGCCGTTCATCGCACTAAAGCTACCTCAGTTCATTCGACAGTGTTTGGGGATGACTGATGGAGGGACCAACCTTCATGTGACGTCGCTTGCACGGGATGCACCCATTTCTGGACTTTTTGTGCGTTCGTCTATGCATGGCTGGCCTCCGTGCAATAACGAGGTCTTGCGGCCCGCATGGTCCTCTGGCGCCTTCACGGTTCGCTCACTCCGAGCAAGGAGGCCTGATTGACTTGCCTACTTCCGAGCGATGATGTGATGTCTCGTATCCAGGCCGACTTCGTGGCAGTGCGCGATCGAAATAGCGCAATGCTTCTCGCGAACAAGGCTAGCAGAGGCGTGTGCGTGTCCTGACTTGACCGCCAATGGCAGTTGTGACGAGGTGGCGTACCTGGAAAAGCTGCAGCCTACGCGATTAGACGGGATCGATGTAACGGTGAAGCAGGACAGTCATGATCACGCGGCTGCACTAGTAGGCAGTAGAGGGCGGTTGGTTTGGTAACGTGCGGGCGCTGCCTGGTTGGTCATTTGCCGTCCACTTCCGAACCGCGGGCTCGCGCTCCATTGGCCGCGCGCGATGGCAACCTTAACGCTTTACAGCAACCACACCCCACACTAACAGACAACCAGATATCGCTTATTTCGCGCAAGACACCTATTAAAACCCGTGCTGCCTGGCGATCCAACCTGCATCGCTCATCTCTCGACGTTCCAATTGCAAGACCATTGGCATCCGCATTCAAAATGACCTCAGCAGCTGCCATTCACGCCGTTAGCGAAGGCCTTCATAAGTTACATGTCCTGCCAAAGGTCTCAACCGATGCAGAGGACCATGGCGAGGCTATTGGCCATTCTTCCGTCGGTGGAGGCGGCCAGTCCGGCCTCAGATCCGTCAATGCTAAGGGCGTGCTCCGGGTCAGCCGAGCGTTGACTGCCATGCTGGCCACTGAGGGCGTCATTTCCGACCAGGACGCGGAAGGCGATCTTGCCCATCCATCCGCCGCTGTCAAGGCCTTGCTGGAGAAACCGCATATCAAGGTGCCGCCGGAACTGCTGGATAAATCGCATCCGTTGTCCGAATACTTCATCTCCTCAAGCCATAATACCTACTTAATGGGCGAACAGCTCTATGGAACTTCTGGCTCTGAGGGATATGAAGTAGCTCTGCAGACTGGAGCCCGGTGTGTGGAGATTGATGCCTGGGACAACGAGGAGAACAAGGAGGAGCCAAAGGTCACGCATGGCTACACCCTGGCTTCTCACATTCCCTTCCGACTGGTCTGCGAGACTATCCGCAACGTCATGGATCATGAGGCAAAGGCATCTGCTCGCTCGGGATCGCGCCCGGGACCCATCCTGATCTCGCTGGAGAATCATTGTCATGCACAAGGGCAGCAGCGTATCGTCTCGATCTTCAAAGAGGTCCTGGGTGATCGACTGATCAGCAAAGCCGTTCGGGATGAAGGCCACGAGGAGCAAAAGGAAACCGGCACGCAAGTCAGGCTGGAGGAATTGGAAGCTAAAGTGGCGCTCATTGTCGAATTCTACTTCCCAGATGGAAAGGAAATCGCCGCGGAGGAGGCAATGAAGGAAGAGGAGGAGGTCGAGGTGCACGATCCCAACGAAGATGAAGCCGCCAAGCAGGCCCGTCTCAAGTTCGAGGAGACGAAGAAGAATGCGCCAAAGCCAAAGATCATTCCAGAATTGGCCGAGCTGGGCGTGTACGCGCAGTCCGTCAAGCCTCGTGACCGCTCCTGGCTGGAAGGGCAGCTCAAAGGAGGCCCCCACGACCACCTCATCAACGTATCGGAGACGCAGGTCACGGACCTGATGGGTTCGTCCAAGGCTCAACTTGCCCAACATAATTCCAAACACCTCATGCGTGTCTTCCCCAAGGGCACTCGAATCACGTCCAGCAACATGAACCAAGTGCCCTACTGGGGTGTCGGAGCACAAATCTGCGCCCTCAACTGGCAAACCTTTGGCTGCGCTTTGCAACTCAACGAAGCCATGTTCGCAGGAAGCGACGGGTACGTGCTGAAGCCCGCCGCCCTTCGCGCCGGCGGCTCCGGGCAAGTGAGCAGCGGCAAGAAGAAGAAGCTCCAAATGCTCGTTGAGGGCGCAACGGACCTCCACATTCCTCCGGAGTACCAGATCGTCGTCGAGCCTTACGTCACCTGCACGCTGCATCACCCCGACGACCTCAAAAACGTTCGCCCGAAGCAGAAGACCGAGCCGTACAGGTCGCACAAGCTTACCTCGCGCTACAAGCATTTTGCCCCGCCCGCGAGCAATCCCATCTGGGGCAAGACGCTGGAGTGGGAGTACGAGGAGAACGAGCTGGCGTTCTTGCGCATCCTCATCAAGAGCGAAGAGACTTTCCACAAGAATCCTGCGTGGGCGGTTGCGGCGGTGAGGTTGTCGTATGTCCAGCAGGGATGGAGCTTCATTCGCATGCTGGATTTGAGTGGCGGTGAGACGAATTGCACGCTGTTGGTCAGGTTTACTATTACTGATGCCTGAGCTCGGTATCAATTGAGCGACAGTCAATAGACATGCGAGTATCGTAGAGCGACCAACAAAATCTGTGCATTTGTTACTACTGCCCCATTCTAGAATCCAACCAGACCATCCAGCGCAAACATTCCAGACAGCAGAGTATTCCCGATTTGCACTACATTAGGTTGTTCCAACGACGCAGTACTAGAGCTCCATTGCGCTGCGGAAGGTGTCCTTTTCGACTGCTTCGGACATGATTGTGAAGCTTTAGGATGTGTCGATGAAAAGGGATGGATTGAAGTCTGTTGAGTCTGCTACCTGAATCATATCAGTTGCGCAGGCCGCACACCGATGCATTGGATGCGCCGTGCCTAACGAGACGATCTCCCTTGCCCGACCTGTCCACTGGGCGAGGCTGAGGACGAAGAGTGGGGGCTCGTGTCCAAGCTTTGCGGGGAGACTTGACTTCAACGTCAGCGGCTAGGCTGCTACCTCCTTACACACTTCATCGGGCGTATCTTGAGCGGCATCGCTTGAAGGACCCGGCACAAAAGCTCAAATCGACACCTTCTGCAAGTAAGAAGTCAAGCTCAGGCGCACCCAGAGTGACCATGCTTTCACTCCTCTGGTTTGCGACCGGCATTGTGTCCGTTGCCGCTTACTGCTACGACTCCAGCCCTGCATTTCCCGTTCCTACCTGGCCTCATGGAAACAAAGATATCCAATCCACGCTTGCAAGCATTGAGGAGCGCCTAAAAGACTTGGTTGCCAATGAGAAGTACGGTACTACGTCCTTCTCCGTGCAGCTCACGTCCAACACCGAATCACTGTGGACGCAATTCCACACTGCCCGAAAATTCAACGAAAGCCGCCCGGGCGATCGACACGTAGATGGCGACAGTGTGTACCGCATAGCATCCATCTCCAAACTCTTCACTACCCTCGGGCTACTGTATCAACACGACGCAGGCAATGTCAGCTTAGATGATCCCATCAGCAAATACATCCCCAAGCTGAGCGGCGACCTCCCATGGGACGACATCACCCTACGTATTCTTGCTTCGCAACTCTCGGGCATCCCGCGAGAGACGGTCCAGTCAGATATCATCAATCTCGTCGAAGATCCCACCGCCTTCGGTCTACCCCCAGTCTCGAGAGATGGGCTGCCAACCTGCGACGAATACTCGGGCTTCGAGCGCCCGTGCAATTGGACAGACATACTCGATGCGTTGTCTAAATTCCAACCGATCTTCGCGCCGAATCAAAAGTCCACTTACAGCAATGCAGCGTTCGAGCTCATCGGGTTGGTGCTCGAGAAGGTGAGTGGCGAGAAGTACGAAGACTACATCCAGCACGCCATCTTCGATCCCCTGGGCATGAAGTCCTCCACCTTCAAAACACCGTCGGATAAGCATGCCGTCATCCCATCGGGTGAAACCTACTGGGGTATCAATGAAGGAAGCCAAAACCCGACGGGCGGCATCTACTCCACCGCCTCCGACATGACCAAATTCGTTCGCTACATCATGACGCATTTCAACACCCTTGCGACGGGCGTGAACTGGCTGATGCCGGCCAGTCCATCAGGAGGAATCTACAACTTTTACGGCATGCCCTTTGAAATCTTCCGGACCGACAAGCTTCTGGAAGACAGTGCACGGCCAGTGACCTTCGTCACGAAAGGAGGCGGTCTGCCTGCGTACTCATCCAAAGTAATCGTCATGCCTGAATACGGACTCGGCTTGACTGTCCTGGTGGGCGGCGAGGCTGACCTGCTGGATGAGATTATCGAGATTGTGACGGTGGATCTCCTCCGGGCTGTTGAGAAGATCATATGGAAGGAGGTTGAGGAGGTCTACAGCGGGGTGTATACTGCCATCGACCCATCGCTTAACTCGACCCTCGTCCTCTCGGCTTCACCATCGACTGGTCTGATTATCAATTCATGGATCTCAAACAGCACAGTCGTGTACAGTGACTCCGCTACGAAGAAGGATAACCCCATCATGAATATCCTCACCGGCTCGACTGAGAGTGATGAAGATGAAGACCAAGAGCCACCCGTTCGACTGCAGCTCTCTCCAACCTTATTGTACAAGAACGAAAGCGCTCAACAGGGTCAAATCTGGATGTTGACCGCTTCCTACGCCCGCGATGGCAAGCAGCGCAAAGTCTGGGACGACGACTGCACCGCTGACGTCGACTCGGGTGGGGCGTACGCCGGTATCTCCATCACCAAAGGCGTGTTCTGGCTCGAGGATGAAGTGCTAGAGTTGCCAGGCTGGCGGGTGAAGACGAAGCGGACGGGGTCCAAGGGCGGGAAGTCTCCGGCTTTCTTCAAGCAGGATCTTTGATACGTATATCTCTATTTACTGCCAAGAACACTCATCACCGCTTCAATGACATGCGGGTGCACGTCCTTTGGCGCGGCCACCACGCCCTTGTTCACCTCCAACCGCCTCCCCTGGCTGAAGTCCAATCGCTTGTTCTCTGCATCCGTCACTTGGCCTCCCGCCTCCCTCACAATCAGATCACCCGCCGCGTGGTCCCAAATCTTCTCCACGTACGACTTGCTCGTCGGCAGGCGCAGGTATAAATCCCCCGCGCCGCGTGCAATGCTGCCGTACTTCGCCTGGCTGTCCATGCGCACCGAGTTCTTCGTGATGCCTAGTTTCTTGGCAATGGCCGCAGCATCACCCTGCGAGCTGTGGCCGGCTTCGACAGATTCGCAGAACGTGGCGTCGGAGATGTTGGTGATGGGTTTCATTGTGATCTTGCTCGGGTCGGCGAGCGCGCCTTTCTGCAGCGGTCGGCTGGCCGCTCCTTGGCCGAGGATGGCGCTGAAGAGCACGCCTTTGCCTTCTGCGTCGGTGGCGTCGGCGCCAATATCCTCTGTCAAAGGCTCGGAGTCGTTGACAGGCAGGTTGGGGCAGCCCAGCACTCCGACCTTGACATCGCCGTCGACCATGAGGGCCAGGCAGACGGCGTATTGGCCGCCGCGAAGGAAGCCCTTTGTGCCGTCGATGGGGTCAATGGCCCATATTCTACCGCTGCGGCCCCCCTTGCTGTCGCCCTTGTCGATGATGTCGAGCATGGCTTCGGGGGATTGGATGGCGCCCCCGAGCTCCTTCTCCCCCGCTGCATCGCTGAGTTTGGTGTTCTTCACCAGCTCCCAAACTGTAGCTCGCACGCGCTCGTTCTCCCGCAGATCCTTCGCTTCCTCCTCAGCGACGATCTCGTCGTTGGGAAAGTTGTGTTGCAGGGCGGAGATGATGAGGGCTTGGGCGCCGAAATCGCCGATGGTGACGGGCGAGGCGTCGGCTTTATCGAGCGTGCCTTTGGCGTTGTTGTGGAAGACGGTTTTGGTGAGGAGCGTGGCGCGCTGGACGGCGAGGAGCGCTATCCGCAGCTCTTGGGCGTAGTCGGGGGAAGACATGGTATGCTTGCTGGCCCGGAGGATGGAGGGGGTGAGGGAAGAGATGTGGGAGGAGAAGAGGCGGAGACGAGGAAGGAAAGCGGGAAAGAAGCTTGTAGCCAGGACGAGGAGGGAGACTGTGAGGAGGGTTGCGGTCAATGGAACTCTTACCATTGGATGAGGTTGTGGTGTTGTTCATCAAAATTTAGGCGAAGCTGCAGGGTTGGGAGAAAAGCTGCAGACCCCGCCATCGGGACGAGGCTTTCGCTTGGCATTTGTGTTATCAAGGACAGCGGCATCGTGGGGGTTTAGAGGCATTTAAACGGCGAAGAGGAAGGTGTCGCAAGATCTAGATACACGTGCCCTTGCGAGAATTGAGTGCAACATCTAGCATTCGACATGAAGAGAAGAGGAAGGTGCGAGCGCGACGTGGACGGCGGAACTGCAAGAGCACCGGCCCATGCGGCTCTGCGGACGCTACTGCACCCGCCCCGGATGACAAAGACTTCGAGATCCGAGTCTTGTGCTGCTCACAACCTATACACACACCACACCACACTTCAATTCATAACCATGCGGCCGCTCGTCGGTCAGCACCAGCTTCACTGAGCACATCATGGCTCGGGACGAGCAGGATGAAGCCAGGCTGGCGCGCGCACACAGCGTCTTCATCCGCCTCGCCCTCCCTCCCTACACCATCCACTTCAAATCCCCCACCTACCTCCAGCCCAGCACGCTCGATCTGCTCGACAAGAAGGTGTGCAAAGAGACTTTGAAGACTACAGGCCAGATCAAGGCAGTTCGACTAGCAATCGGCGGCGATGGCAAGTTCTGGGCCGAACTCGTCCTCCTATTAAGAGCTGCTGTGCCGAGTCTCGAGCGGAGGAGTTTTAGCGTCTGGGATCCGAGCAGCGTGGACTATGAGAGCACGAGCGGCGCCTTGATCGCTGCCAACTATCCAGGACTATGGCGCGATCTGGATCGACTCAACGACTTCATCAGCATCATGCGCAATCTCATGACGGTCGGTGCAACGGCGCAAGACTTGGCGGCAGAGCACACCGTGGACTACGAGGTCTTCCGACTCATCAACTGCTGTGTCCGAGTTACCGCTCGTGGTTATGATGGGGATTCAGGGACAGGGGAAGAGGAGAAATGGCAGTGGATCGTCAACGCCTACAAGAAGCTGCTCATCACCAGCCTGCAATTCCTGAACAATTTCTCCGTGCGCAACGAGGAGCGCCAGCTCGCGCTGTGGGTATCTTTGTTCGACGGTGGAGTGGATCTATACGGTCTGGACCACCGGTCGCAAGGCCCCGAGCAGTCTCCTCCGACAGAACAAAGCGAGCCAGCAGTTGGGAAAGTGCTCCCCGCAAGGCCTACTCCACCCGTCACTGGACAGGACATCTTGCTAGCTTATGGCACGGATGGCAACTCACGCGTGTCTCCGCTGGAGTGCGAAGCTGCCATTCCCATCTACAAAGAACGAGGCCAAACCTTCAAGCCTTTGCCTCCACAAATCAATGCTTTGGTCAAGAAGAATAGCTTCGTGCCGAACGGCTATGCGTACTTCACCCATCTTCGCCATGCTACTGTCCTCTCGATATATCAGCAAGAACATGCGCGCAGTCCTTCTTTGGGAGAGATTCATCGCGCCATGCCGACTTTATGGGAGGAGGAGAGGGCGAAGGAGAATCGAAGTGAGAAGATGATGTGGGAGTACTGGCAGGCCCAGTTCAATCAAGCATATGTGAACTACACCCGCGCACTGGAAGCTTTTGAAGAGAAGATGCTTGCTCCAAGTCCAGATCCTCCTGCAGAGCAAAATGCTTCGGAACCCTCAACAGGAACTCCTGCGCAACCGACATCTCCAGTTCATGGGGAGACTTTCGAAGATAAGATCAAGACCATCGTGGATCAATTGACGGAGAGGTATAGAGCGGAATGGGAAGCTGCACTGGCGAGCGGCGATACGGACACTTGTAGGACGATTTCCGAAGGCTTGAACTCCCTGCGGCAATTTCGTACGGCAGAAGCGTCCAAGACTCCGGTGGAGATTGAAGATCTCCGCATGAATGTCACTGCCGAGACTGGCGTCAAAGTCCTTGAGAATGGAAAGGCGGAACTGATGAAGAAGCTGGAAGGCTATGCCCGCGAGGATCTTGCTGCGGGCGAGGATTCTTCCAGACACTCCCCATCACCTGAGCAGAATAGAAGACGGAGAAGTGCGCAGAGCCTGTCTGATGCCTTTGCCACCGATAGTCTGGGTAGCGAGGAGGAGGAAGAGGAGGAAGAAGGGAGTGAAGAGGACGATGATGACGATTATCCTGCTTCCAGTGAGGACGGAAGAGGTCTGTTGACCGACGTGCCTCTAATTCTAGGACCGAACGAAATCGAAACCCTGCCGATGCTGGTCATGAGCGCCATTGTCCCCGATCCGAAGGACGATTTGCCGCCGCAGAAGGATTCGGCGGTCGACTACACTCCCAACTCACTGCGCACGCTTCGCACACATCTCCTGCTTTCTCAAACTGCCGGACGAAACCTACTTCGCGAACTTCTTATCTTCGTGGCAGCATGGGACCTTCGAGAAGGCGAGCTGTACTTCAAATTCATGGTCAAAGTGATGGAGTCCATCCTCAAGAATGGACTCATGCCGTACGCCTACCACGCCTTTCGCGACCGCAGTCGCAGCAAGGACATCATCTCTCCTGCGCAGGCTGTCATTATGAAATTGCTTACTTGCATCTTTCGGGAACGCAACTCCGGGACCAAGGAGATGCAGCAAATACCCAACAAGGAAAGCATCACAGTCACTGTACCGCCTCCACCACCCGGCAAAGTCGAACTGCACATTCTCAATTTCGTCTTTACGGAGTTCCGCCAACACATCATTCCCCAAACATGTGCTCTGATCTTTCTACAAGGTCAGATCCATAAAGGGAGAGCAAGCCCCGACGATTTCCCGCTCAACTTGTGGGATATGGAAAGGATGTACGAAGGTGTCTACCAATTCCTCGAGTTCTTTGCTGTTCTGGCCGAGGAGCAGGTCGGCGGGCGCATGCCTGCGGACATGGACAAGGAGCTGGGTGAAAGATTCTCGTGGAAGAAGATTCTTGCCAATTGGGAAATGGCTTCCGAATTGGTAACTCTCTTGCGAGAGCTAGAAGGCGGCATCCCGAAGATGGTCAGCTCCATGGCCCAGGTGTCGAAACGCATGGCGCCTCCGGCTTTGCCGCAGAGAAGCCTCTCCGCAGACGCGGCAACGATGCCGACTGTCTCTGTCGACCGTCCATTCGAGCTAGACGACTCTGCCCTCCCACCCCTACCATCAAGTGCATCCGGTCAGATCTTCGAAGCCGAGACACCCCTCGCATATCCAGAAGATCCAATAGTCCCCACCACCGTCCACGACCAAGACGAGCCCTCCGATTTTGAGTGGCGCAACCTCAAGAAACTCACAGTCCTCGTGCTCAGCTCGTTGATCTGGAAGAACAAGCAAGTCCAAGATCAAGTGCGTCAATGCGGCGGTCTAGAGGCACTCGTAAGTTGCTGCAAACCTGACGAACACAACCCCTACATACGCGAGCATGCCATCATGTGTCTGCGCTTCGCCGTCGAAGGCAACGACCAGAACATCGAAGTCATCCGCAACATGGCGCGCGGCTACGGCACCCAAGCTCGCAGCGCCAGCGCCAGCGCCGGCCTCCTCCAATCCGCCGATGCCATCTCCGTCCCCCGCGAAGTCCTCGACACCAACGGCTACGAAACCTTCATGGACAGCAAAGGCCAAGTGGGCCTCCGACGGAAAGACAAACCCGCCGCACCTCCCCCCTCCACCATCCAACCCCCGCGCCCACAGCTCCCCGCCGCCGCCACCGCCGCCACCGCCAGCCTTGAAAAGTCGCTCGCGGAGTTTAGTAGTGTGTCCGGGTTGACGGCCGAGAAGGCGGCGGAGTTGATGCAGAATGCGCTGCGCGATTTGCCGCTGGGCGAGAAGCTGGTGACGAGTCGGCAGAAGGCGGAGGCGCTGGCGAAGCTGGATAAGGCTTTTGAGAGTAGTGAGAAGGCTTTGGGGAAGGGGAAGAAGGGGTGAGCGGAGGAATGGCCTTTCTCTGGCCGCTTGTTGGAAAAGTCGATCTTTACCTCTCGTTGGACTGTAGCGCTCGATTGGGCTGCAATCATTGGTATTAGATACGGATTGGTTGGTGGCAGTATCTGGTGATGCTGGTGGGTAGCACGTGGGGTGTGAACCCTCTCATGAATTGTTTGCTGATCTCTAGTAGATGGCTTCATCGATCACTACACGGCATCACGATTGGAACGCAGGACCAGCGACTTCGTGGTACTCGCTCCGCTGGATGATGTATGCGCTGGCCCGGTCATACAGATGTAGGTCGTACACTGTGGCGCTGTGACTCTGAATCTTGTGAACTGATTGTTTGCTGCAGATGGCTTCCGCGAATAGATACAGTTATTCCATCCCTCGCTGGACTCCTGGCTTTGTTCCGCAACAGCTGTCAAGTATTCTTCATTCAATATCACCATGGCATCAGTCCACCGCGCTACAACGGAATTCTCTCGCGATGCTGAGGTACGTGGAGCCGGGATGTTTGCTATACGTCCTCCCTGCACAACTCTATACATACGTTTCCAACTTCACATGGTTATAAAGTCTTTATGACCCAACGACCACCCGAAACAGAACCCACGCACTTTCTCCCTGGCAGACAGAAGCTTCGACTCGGATTCTCCAAGCTATCTACGACCAAGATCAAATGGAAGGCGCCGACAACGACATGCCTTTGAGCTGGCGCAAGGTCCAGACTCCGGGAAGTGCGTCAGACGCCAGAACCGGAGTATGGATCGGGGAGAAACCCGTGCATGATAACGACTGTGACCACGATCCAACGGAAGGCTCCGACAAATCCACGCCAACCAAGCGACGGAGCAATCGAACCGAGGGCGTATTGACCAGGCAAGGGTCAAAAATCGATGACGCGACCTTGGCAGTTCTAAGACCTGCGCACCGAAACGCTATACTTCACCAACGGGAGAAACAGGCAGATCCCGGGCGAATTGAGCAGAAGCGTCGGCTCGAGGAACAACGTCGACGGGCGATCGAGGCTGGAGACGAAGTGGAAATTCGGCGGGACGCGGACAGGAGGCGAAAGACGAACGAGATGCAGCGTGCGCGCTATGCGCAGAGACGTGATGCGAAGAAAAGAGAACAGGCGAAGAGTGCGGAGGCTACGCTAGATGGAGATCTAGAACGACAAGGTGGCTCACATGGAAAAAATCCTCTTTCACCAGATGACAGTGTCTCGCGAGAGCATGGTTCTCGCTTGTTCGACGACAGTGATGCGGGATTGGAAGACCTGGAGTTGCTCGATAACAGCGTGGCCAGAAGCATGACACAGCAAGGCGTTGCGCAGGCGTCTTCGAGCAACTCTGCACTTCGGACGCTGGACGATCCTCCCGCCGAAGTTGATGGAGCTGAGCGGGGACAAACAGCCGCTCCAAGTTCGCATGGTCGCCCGCGAAGCTCCAGTGCGTTGGGCTTCCTGGCCCTCGTGCTGAACGATAATGATGAATAAGATTCTTGCGCCGAGTGGTTGAAGCTGTCAGGTATTCCCTATGTAATGCTATCATAGTGTCACTCGGCTCCAGTTTTGCTCGGACAACAGTGCACGTCGCAGTGGATGGATTTGCTACACATGCTAGGCGACGGTGCAGCTGACCACGTTGGCGCCAGTCACTGACGCTCATTCACGGAGCTGGCCTATTTGTTATACTCCTCACTCTCGACGCTGCACAAACACCTTTTCTTACCTTCAGAACAGCAGTTTCTGCCGGCTTGACGATTATCCAAGAGGGAGCCTACACACTTTCACTTCCTCTGGCGAAAGCCTCAGCGGACAATACCCAAGCAAAGCTTTGATGACAATTGGAGAACACGATGGCTTCCTCCTCGCAAGAAACGCGAGAACCAGAGCGCCCCCGGAACAAGGGCGGGAGAAAGTTCGATGATGAGACCTTGGCTACTCTGGAGCCTGCCCACCGGCGCTCTATCCTGCATCAGCGCGCGAACCAGGCGGCAGACTTGGAGCGGCAGCATCGACGCAACGAACGACGTCAGCAGGCAATCGAAGCTGGGGACGAAGAGGAAATCCAGCGTGAGGCGGAGAGGAAGCGAAAGAGGAACGAGAAGCGGCGCGAACCAGAGAAGAAGGTGAAGCGGAATGAGAAGCAGCGTGAACGATATGCGGAGAAGCAAGAAGAAATCTGCGCTGCCGACCGCGTTCGCGAAGCGAAGCGTCGGCAGGCGATCGAGGCGGGCGACGAGCAAGCTATTCAGCGTAACAAGGAGAGGAAGCAGAGGAAGAATGCCTAGCAAAACCCGCGTTATGCGGCGAACCGACCGGAACTCCGTGCTGCTGCGCGCGTGCGCGAAGACAACATAAAGGAAGCACGCGAGCTGATCAGCTCGCCGGAAAAGCATGCGAAGGGCCAAAAAGCAAAGGCGGCGGGCGTTCGCGCCGAAGTCCTGGCCCACCGTGAGCTGACGGAGGACGTCATCATTCAGCGTGAGCGTGAGGAGCTGCAGAAGCGTCGGGACGCAGCAATCGCTAGGGAGCAGAAGAAAGGAGGAGGCAAGACGAAGAGTGCGAAGAGTGCGCTGGAGGGTGAAGGGGAACAGCGATGAGGGTGCGGACGGGCACGGTCGCCTTGTCGAGCCAGTAGAGGACGAGAAGTGAAGTAGAGAAAATGAGTGAGCTACATGGAGCATGCGTACATATCATTCACCCTCCGTTGGAGCGTCGTCCGACTCGATTAACCTGTGCAGAGCGGCCTCGCGCGTACTCGTGTGATCGAATGCCGTGATCTCGTGATGAGTGCCTCAGTTCTTTGCCCGGGGAACACTCCCGTAATCACTGTACACGTAGACACAGGTCTCGATGGAATGGCGTATCAACGATTCGTGATACAGCGCCAGCATGAAGGAGGATGAAGTAAGGCTGTGAGGAAGATGACGGCCAGAGTGCCGTCGGATCCTGACGGAAGAGGTGACACGCATAAGATTCATGCAGGTTGCACAACGGGGCTGGTTAAGCTGCTATCACAAGCACGCATGACGGTCAGTAAATTTCTTGCATCAACCCCAAGAAGTTGGACTCGTCCTCAGCAAAGCTGCGTGAGGTCGGTCAGGCCGCCTGCGCCACATGACGCTCGCCGCCCCAACCAGCAATCACCTGCGCCACTTTCCCCAGCAGCGATAGCTCCAGTCTCAGCAGGGCACAAGAAGGGAAATTGCACCTTCTCCCCGCCTCTCCCTCCCCTCCTCACCTTCCTCCGCCCATCACTCCCTCCTCCCATCTGCCAAATATGTCGGACCAGACGAGCGATGATGGCGCGCGCCGCAAGTGGCGGCAGGAACGCGACGCCGAGCTCCGCGGCGGACCACCCGGACCCTCCTACCCTCCCTCCAGCAGAAACGACTACGACGCTCCCACCTCCAACGGCCGCGGCCCATACCCTCCCGCGCCCTCCGGTGGCCTCCCTCCCCAAGGTATGCCAGACCCCGTCGTCCCTCCACCGCCCCTAGGCGAGCAGAGCCGCCGCCCGAGCGCCTTGAAGAGCGGCTCCGGCCAAGGTCGAGTGCCCTCCCACCTCAAGCCCGAGTTTCCCGACGAGGCTTCGTATCTCGGCTCCACCGCGCCTGATCTCGAGGCGAAGAACAAGCCGCGCCACAGGCAGTTCCGCGACAAGCGCGACGGCTATGAAAGCGAGGAGGGCGAGCAGCTGAAGCGTGCCCGTCCGCCGCCTCCATACGATGCGAATCCCAGCGTCCGCCAGCCGCCGGCACCTTCGCAAAACAGTGCTGACGCCTATCGCGAACCAGATGATCGCAGGAGGTCGAGGAGATACCCCCCATCTGGTGATGGTGCTCGAGGCCCGCCGCCTGGTGATGACCCTCGAGGTGGTCCTGCCCCTCGGCGTGGAGATCCATACGCCGATCGTGGAAGCGGCCGGCCCCCTCGAAGCAGCAGACGCGACCGTGGTGACGATTACTACGATGACGACCCGCCACCCCGCTCGTCGCGAAGGAAAGATCACCCGGACGTGGAGTATGGCTCCGAGCCCGTACCCGCCGTGAGGCGCTCGAACGGCGAGCGTCGCCCCCAACTCCCCAAATCCGGATCCTCGCGGCGAGATCGAGACCGAGACAGATATGACGACAATGACGATGATGACGATCGCAGACGCCCTCCGCCGTCTCGTTCTACTCGCGACAGGAGGGATCGCGATCGAGACCGCCATGATGATGACCGAGATGACGATTACGGCCGCTCCGACAGACGACGTCGAGACGAAAGGGATGACAGGGACAAGGACAGCTATCGGCGCGGAGATAAGGATCGAGCCCGAGATCCTCCTCGCGACCGAGACCGCGACCGTGACGGCGACAAGTACGGAGCAGACCGCAGACGCGATCGATCCCGCCGCCGCTACAGCGACGAAGACAGCGATTACGACGACCGACGCAGCCGCAGGAGTGACAAGTACGACCGAGATGGCAGGCGGAGCGATCGTGACCGCGATCGCAGACGCAACAGCAGTGTGCCAAAGGAGATGAAGATTGGCGGCTTTGATGTTGGGCCTTTGGTTCAGCAGGCGCAGAGGCATTACGGAACGCTGGCGCCCATCTTGACGCCTGTGGTGATGAACATGGCCAAGAAGTATGTGAGCAATAGGTAGTGCGGCCGGGGGGGATGGTAATCAACGATTGACGAGGCGAGTCGGATTTCAAGAATGGAAGCGAGCATTTTCATTGAAACTGAGGCATGGGTGGGAACGCGCGGGAAGAGGCATGTCATGCATGGGTATTCGATTCTACTCCAACATGGTTTAACGAAGGGATGTTGTTTTCGGTTTTTCTGGCGAGCATCTCAACGCGTCGATGTGAGTAGGCCCCCGCCTTCATCAGGAGCAGACAGTTCACCCGCCTTACAACTTTGACGAGAGCTAACTCCTGGCAGCATCCCTTCATGGCCAATGAGTGCCTTCACGTTAGAAGCATCCTCCTCATCATGGACCTTACGAACGACGGCATATGTCTAATAACTTCACTCACGTTTCACGCCTCACCGCGCCGACGATTTCATTGTTTCCGTTTGTGTCACACGCTTCCCCTCGTCTTACAACGGACTTCCATTGCTTTTCCGCAAAGGGGCGAGCCAACCGTAACTTCTCACCTCGGACCGCATATCAACTTTGATGATCTGCAGCAGTTCTTATCTTCCTCATTCATTATTCCATCCGTTCCAGCGGTCACAGCTGGCCGTGGATCAACATGTCAGCCAAGTGGCATGATTCAGTCTCGGAACAAAAGGTGATCAGCACGTCTTACAACGACGCTGAATCATCGCGCCGAGATGAGGCCAGCCAACGGCGGAGATCAGCAGGCGGAAATGAAGGCGTTTCAGCTCGATTCTCGTTGCTGACAGATCTCCCGCGGGAAGCGTTTGGAGGGTCAGCCGGAGCGACGAACGGGAAGCGCGCAGAACGACTTTCGGGCGTCCGATGCATGGGAGACAAAAACTTGGTCGTCGACGGGAGAGTGCATGAGCGTAGGGGGTTGTCCGGGGCATTATATCGGCTTCTACCGGATGGCTTGATGAAAGGAACAATGCGTGTAACATGCGGGTGCTGTACACCTAACGCCACGACTGTATGCATCTGGCCTGATCGGCCGTGCGCCAGGTGGGTTTTTGCGGAAGCCGGGGTGCTCCTTGTACAACGGGCGGGCAGGGTGGTGAAATCGAGATACATACACAGTACAGTGCAAGATCTGCAGGGGGGGTGTGTGTATGGGCGGCCGTTGCAGGCTCACCCCAGCCAATACGAACACCCGAATGCAAATTGCCGTGTTTGTGGGTTGGGCAAAAAAGCGCGACGGGCTTGAAAAGATCCCGTGAACTGGACTAGGGCGTTTGGCGTTCAACGTGCGCTAAAAGCTCGTATCTCAAGGAAATCTGGGGCCGCGGGCGGACGAGGGGGACTTGTGTGTGCGTGTGCGGAGCAGATCGTCGCCGAACGCAGGTACAGCACAGTGCGCATGCTGTGAACGCGTCTTTGTGATTGTCAAAGGAGATTAAGACTTTGCGTGTGTGACAGGTGCTACCTGAGCCTTGTGCCGACATGTCCCCTGCGCGGCGAGGCTGGCCGACAATTTCGCGATGGGGGAGATTGGCTCTTGTCTCGCCGCGGCCCTATCTCTCTTGATGACAACCAGCGACCGCTTGGTGTCGACTCGGCGGTGGCAGGGCTACGGCCGTGATACCGCGATGTGCATTGCAATGTCCGTGGAGCCAAGGGGATAGTGACGACGACAATAGTATTGTTTTTGGCAAATGCGTCCCACTGGCCCAGCGGTGGAGATCTTGGTATCTTGGAACACGCGCGAAGCTTGGCTTGGGCAGAGTCATGAGGCTGGGATCCAAGACGGTGGGATCTGATCATCCGAGATTGAGGATGGAGTTGACTCGTTGATGGGGGGTTTGAAGCATAATGTCAATCTGTCGTGCGTCGAACCGTAGCTCGAGTGCCATCTACCTCGCATGAGCAGGGCGATGGTGGGACAGGAAGCCTCGTGCCTGCCCTGGCTAGACGTCGATCCACCCCGGCTTGGCGCACCCCCCGGCCCCGGCGATTGACAACACTCTCATTTCCACCGCGTGGGTGATGTTCACACTTCCCGAACCTTCAGCACACCCCCCATGTTTCCCGCCACCGAGACCGCAGTGCCGCCCGCGCTCGCTCTCCTCCTCGCTTGGGATCCATCAGCAAGGCACACGTCTGAGAAGGATTATTACTTGGCTGCCTGCTCCTTCGTATATGCCGAGAGGCAAAAGCTGCCTGCTCGAGGGCCCAAAAATAGCAACCGACCAGACGCACCTGCTGCTCGCCCTCGTCCGCATGGCAAGGTGGGTAGTTTGGTTGCATGCAAGGTCCATTTTACGCAGCCCCCGGCACCCGTCCCATGCGCCTACCCGTCCCATGCGCCTACCCGTCCACAATGAACTGTGCCGCGCGCCGCCATTGGCCGCCGGGGCCCAAAATCAATATTTCCACTTTTGGCCCGCTGCCACCCACGCCGCCCTTCCAAGACATCCCGTTTGGCGTCACTCTCTCCCTCCATCCCGATGGGGACAGGTACTGCGCGGTGGCAACGGTTTGATTTTGCCTTTTTTCCTTGGAACTCATTAGGAATTCTCTCGGTCCAAAAGAGGCGTTTCATGCTGGCTTGCCCGCTCTGGCTGGCTTTCTTTCATAAAAGGGCGCTGCCTGTCCGCCTGTGGGTTTCTCGTTCCCTTTCTCATCAACCGTTTTACACTCGCTACATTTAATCCCTTCATTTGCCTTACTTCTCTCCCGCAACGCTCATCCAACCTCTCCACCACCCCACCAACTCTCCAACCATGCGCGGCCTAATCGTCTCCACCCTCTCCCTGCTCGCCCTCGGTGGCGTAGAGGCCCATCCCCAGAGCTACGGCGGCTCGAGCAGCAGCTGCATGCCCTACGACACCGGCGTCGCCCTTGCGACCGCCTTCCGCGATCTCATCGCCCTGCCCTTCAACCAGACCCTTGCCAAACACGCCATGACGCCCACCTTCACCGACTACTCCGACAGCGTCATTGAGCTCATCAACAACGGCTGCCCCAACGGCCCCATTGCGCTCGGCAGCCCGACCTTCAGCGGCCGTACCGCCTTCATCAAGGGCCAGAGCGGCCAGGCGCCCATTCCCTTCACCATCCAGAAGACCTACCCCGCTTGCGACTCCGTTGCCTTCACCTGGGTCTCGCAGCCTGGCCCCGGCGGCCCAGCCAACGGCGGCAAGGGCGTGCAGCCCGAGCAGCAGGTCAGCGGCATCATCATCCTCGAGACCGTGCCCAACACCTGGAACCCCAGCGGCGAGTTCGACTGGAAGATTCAGACCGCCTACTCCGAGTTCAACAGCGGTGCTTGGCTGTACGACCTTGTAAGTTACTCCTACGCCTGATTGTGTAGGATGAGAGCCGTCTGCTAACGATCTGTTGTTTCAGGGCGTCTTCGTGCCGACCAACTGCTCTGCTCCCACGACCAACTCTACATCCTAAGAGTTGACGAGACGTTGCGTGTGTTGTGGCGAGAAACTATCGAGCCGCGTTTTTCCAGCCGTGAAGTAATAGAAATGTAATCACTACAATGGATTCATTCAATTCACTCGCCTCCATCGTACCATCCTACGCGACGATCGTGCATCCACAGTGGCAAACAGGATATTTTCAATGCATGCTGACAGCTGAGCATTCAATAAACCTCCATCCTTCTCAGCCCCATGCATGTAAGGTACGCGACGCCGGGGTTGTGATTAGACTTTCGGACGTGGGGGACCCCGTTACACTAGGCCGGAAGAGGCAGTCAACGTCGGAGGTTAGCGGGATGGGATCTCACGTCGTCGCAAATCGCTCCGAGAAAACGGCCGCAACGGTCTGGACGGGCCTGTTGATGACCAAGACGACGGCAAAAACGACTTCCATCCTACTACTGCCTACTTCTGATGTCCTTAACGACTGTTCAGTCTGATATCCATCTCACCTGCGCAAGAAATCGCCGTGTTTCCTCATGCGGCGGCGACACGGTATTTCATGTCCTGCGGCTCTACGTGTCTGCGGCAAGCAGCCTGTCTGTCCTGCCCCTCCTCGGTCACTCTCCACGATTACCTTGGGTATTTCACCACATGCCCCGCAAAGGCGAGTGAGGCCCAAATTGTTTTCCCGTTGACGTAACCGTCAAGAACGTGTTGCCAAACTATTTCTCTCCTCTCCTACACTCTCTTCATTCTCTCATCCTCAATACCATCTCCATCATCACCATTCACATTCCCTACTATCCTTCATCATGGCTTCTGAATTCCAGCTCTTTATCAATGGCAAATACCGCCCCGGCAGCGGCGGCGAGAAGCTCACCATCTACAACCCCAACGACGACTCGCTCGTGACGGACAGTGTCCACGTCGCCAGTGAAAAGGATGTGGATGATGCCGTTGCCGCAGCAAAGTAGACCCCCCCTCCCACATGGCATGGTCGTAGGACATTGGACTAACCCAAACCCTCCTCCAGGGCCGCCCAACGCGCCTGGGCCGAAACAGCCGGCCACAAGCGCGCAGCCATCATGAACAAATTCGCCGACCTGCTCGAGCGCGACGTCGACCGGCTCGCCAAACTCGAGTCCGCTGCCATGGGCCAGCCCATTTCCACCGCGCGCCTCATGATCAAGGGCCCCGCCGCCCTCTGGCGCTACTACGCCGGCTACGCGGGCAAAGTCTCCGGCGAGACCTTCCCGCCTGACGAGGACGGCACCTACAAGATCGTGCAGTACGAGCCGCTCGGCGTGTGCGCCGGCATTTGCGCGTGGAACGGCACGCACGTCCTCGCGGCGTGGAAGATGGCGCCGGCTATGGCGGCGGGCAATGCGTTTGTGCTCAAGACATCCGAGAAATCGCCGTTGGCTGCTTGCGCGTATGGCGATTTGCTGAACGAGGCCGGCTTCCCTCCGGGCGTCATCAATATCATTACCGGCGCAGGACCCGTGGGCTCCCTGTTGGCGAGCCACATGGATATCGCCAAGATCGCCTTCACCGGCTCTGCGCCCGCTGGCCGCGCAGTCATGGCTGCCGCCGCGAAATCCAACCTCAAAATCGTCTCGCTCGAACTCGGCGGCAAGTCGCCCGCCCTCATCTTCGACGACGCCGAGCTCGACAACGCCGTGCAATTCACCTCCACCGGTTTCCTGCGCAACTCCGGCCAAGTCTGCTTCGCCTCCTCGCGCGTGCTCGTGCAGGAGAACATCGCTTCGCAATACATCGAAAAAGTGAAGAAGGCGTTCGAAGACGCCGCGACAAAGATGGGCGACCCCTCGCTCGACGACACCGCTTTCGGGCCCCTGGCGGACAAGAAGCAGTTTGAGCGCGTCATGGGCTTCCTCAACGGCGCGCGGGAAGAGGGAGTGCAGGTGCTCGTGGGCGGCGAGCGCATCGGCAACAAGGGCGCCTACGTCCAGCCTACCGTGCTGCTCACCCCGGATGTGAAGAGCAAGGTATACACCGACGAGATTTTCGGGCCCGTCATCTCCGTCAAGACGTTCAAGGATGAGGAGGAGGCGATTCGGCTTGCGAATGACACTACGTATGGTTTGGGATGTAAGTTTGGTTCCCATTTCAGCTTTTATCATGTGCTTTGCTGATTTGCTTCGTGATCAGCGACCATCTACACCGGCGACATCGCTCGTGCTCTCCGCGTCGCTGGCAAGATCGAGGCCGGTACGGTTGGCATCAACTCCTCCTTCAACACATCCCCGCAGACGCCCTTCGGCGGCTACAAGCAGAGCGGTATCGGTCGTGAGAGTGGACCCGAGGGTCTCAAGGCTTACTTGCAGCCCAAGACGATTCACATCAATATGAAGGCACCGGCGCTGAAGCGGGCGTAAGGGAGTGGGATTGGAAAAGTCTAGAGTGGAGAAGTCACGCTTGGTCGTGGTCGGGCTTTCCACCATGACATGAAGCAGGGACGATGGATAGACACGTCCAAAATAAAATGCCAACGAATTGCAATTTCCCAGAATTCTGACCGATTTCGTTACCCTCCTGTATCTCGCGAGTTTCCACCAGCCAACCTCACACCTCCCCACAACGTTCTGCTCCTCCAACATCTTACCCGCTCTCCTCAACCACCTGCTACCAACCGACCCACGCGCCATCTCCTCACCAAAAAAACCGCCAGCCAAACCTCTCCGATCCAAACAAAGCAAATCAGCATGCTAGGCAAAACATCCTCCACCATCCTCCGCCTGCTCCAATTCCTCTTCGCCGCCTGCGTCCTCGGGCTCTCCATCAACGCCGTCCGCTGGCAATACTACCACCGCGCGCCCGCGACCAACGGCTACGCCGCGTTCGTCGGCGCCTACGGCTGCCTGACGGCGCTGCTGGGCTTGCATGCGCTGCACTCGACTTCCATTGCGGGATATCTTGTCATTGGGTGGGATTTGATGGCTGCGCTTTTCTTCTTCGTGGATGGGGTGGTGAGTCTTCCCCCCCCCCTGCTTGGGTTGGGAGGAGGAATGGAGCTGAGCGGTATGCTAGGCGATGGCCATTGGTCTTCATGGAGCCGACTGCAGCGACGGAAACGTGTACTCCACCTGGGGCAATTCGCTCATTAGCGGCGGGTGCGTGCTGCGGCAGCAGCTGGACCGTTATCAATGCGGCTTCTTTGCCATTTCGGACGTCGAGCATCGCTGTCGATTGGCCAGGGCGGATATGGTGTTGCTGTGGTTGGGGTGGGTGGCGAGTTTGGTGGCGGCGGGGTTCAGCATGCATCGGGCGAGGAAGGATAAGAAGGATGCCGCTGCGGTCGTGGCGGCGGCGTAGATGGGTGTGCAGACTTCTTTCGCCCTAGCTGGTGCATGCGGTCTCGCCGCTCTCATCGGCCGATCCACGGCTGGAGAAGCCCTACCCAGAAACCTGCGACGCTCCTAGACCTAGATGCCTGGAAGTATGCATCAAGTCATCCTCACAGCTTCAAGGCACGGGTGCTTGTCCATTTCCGAGCGGAGGCGGGAAGTAGAAGTCATTCCGCCCGCCAAACAAGCCAGACGGTGCCCATGATTCGTAACCTGCGGCGTTGACATCGTCGAACCCTGCCATGTCTTGGAAAAGTTGGAAGAAATTCTGGTCGAGCTCCATTTGGTCTGCGGGGTCGAGGAGACTTGTGACCTGGTTTTCCGGGTTGAGGGTGGTGGGTGGCATGTAATGAGTGTTGGCCACGCTCTCCCTCCGGGTTTCATCGTAGGATGGCTCGGACTCTCCTGAGCCTGCATGGGTGCTGGTATTACTGCCCGGGGTCGATTGCGAGGCGCTGTTCGCGGAATTGGTACGTTGCGATTTGCCTCGCATGAGGCTGACCTCGTCATCTTCAACTACCCGGTCACGTATTTCCGGCTCAAGTATGTTTTCCTTCGACTCTTCGATCATCATCGGGTTCAGACACCATTGTCGCAATTTGAACAATAGGGCCAGGAATATACTCGGTATTTTGCAGCCAGTCGTCCCGACTGCTGCCTTGACGTGCCAGATTGTCCGATCCAGGATACTCTGTGCTTGCAAAGCATCGCAATCCAGCACTCTGGCAATCTGGCTTTCGGGATGGCTGGCGGAAAGACACAGCTTTGCGAGCACAAAGGCCGCAAAAGAGATTCTCACGTAGCCGAGGATTGGCAACGCTCGCAGTGCTTCGGCATCCATATCGATGAAGGTAGTGAGGACGTTGTGACAGCAAGTTATGCACTCCGCCACGGCTTCAGCGAGGACTCCGGTGGGCACAGGCTCGCCCTGCCACCGATGGATGGTGCCCATTTGGAAGGGCGCATTGAAATCGTCGGGCGAGTGGTCCACATGCAGCGCAACCTCATGCAAGTACAATCGCATTGACCAGTAGATCATCAGCAGAGTCTGGCTCATGTCGTTTTCCGGGACCTCTCGGTGCCAAGTCTCGAGTCGCTTGCCGAAGTCTTTGAGCATCATCTGCGTCTTCAACTCGCTGATGGATGCGATACCGCCGGGGTCGTCATATGAGAAGGAGATGGCAATCTCGTCGGAGATCATGAGGAGTCGTGCCCATGCTACCAACCTCCGGTCCGCAGGCTCTGCGTCTGGGCATTGCTCGATGTAGTCGACGCACTCTTTCAGGTAGAATGTTTTTCGAAGCATGTTGGGCCTGCGGGTATTGATGGACACGCCAGTACATAAGCAATAGCAAGATACAAAGGTCCGCCGGCTTTCCAGACTGCCGGTATCGATATCGAAATCGCCTGATCGATTCGACATGCTGAGATCGGGGTTCCTGGCATCCTCGAGGTGATGGACATCTCGACCATTACCTGGCCCAAATTGGCTCCGATGTGGTACGGGGCGAGTGCCAATGCCCATGTCCATGGCCATTGTAGCGGCCATGTGAATGTATTCGTAGTACTTCAGCTGCTCGAATTTCTTGGGAGGGTGATACCAAACCGCCGAGAGTAGGAACGATTGCACCAATTGGAGCGACTTTTCACTCTGCACGAGACTTCTCGTGGCGTAGTTTTGTAGGATTTCTTTGTCCAGAGCGGCGGAGAGGTGGGAATGATCTTTCATCGCCGCCGCGGCGACAATAGTCAGAAACAAGGTCGGTCGCGACTGTCGCATCTGTTCCACGGTGACGTATTGCGGAACTGCCACCATAGGGAACAGGGGATACAAATCTCTTCGATATGTTTCAAGCAAGAGTTTTGCCGTGGCGATAGAAATAAGGCCACGATCAATGATGTCACGATCACCGTCTGATTTCTGCCGCTCTACCGTGAACGGTTGGCGTGAAGTCAAGGAGCACGAGGACATTGAGCCAGCAGTGTTCGAAATCGGGGCGCTGACATTGATTCCGTCCGTCGTTCCAGCCTGCGGGATGCGGGATGCCGTTGGTGGAGCTTCGGGAGCTTTATTCTGCTCAGAGGAACGCTCCGAAGCAGAAGCGCCGCCTTTGACCTTCAGCATGGCGCGCATTGAACGCATCTCCCTCTCGAGCTCGGCCACCCGAGTGTCAGTGCGCTTGCGCTGCTTTCTCTTCTGCAGCGCGCTGAAGACACACGACCTTCCAAGACGGACACATCTCTGGCAGGCATCTGGGTTGGATTCATCCGGTATACAGCGGACTTTCTGCGAGTCTTGATGGAGAAGTTAGCGGCGACTTATTATTTTTGGATGCAGGCACGCTTACGACAGTGTGTGCACGCCCGATGCGACTGCACGTCCGGGTTGGAGGAGTCTTGTGGCCCCGACATCGCGATGATGGTTGGAGGAGGATCAAACAGCCGAACTGGAGGAGGAACGAAGTAGGAGGACTGGAACCATCATCACACCGATCTTTCGTCGATAGTAGATGTTTATGCTGTCGTCGTCGGTGCCTGAGGGGAGTTTCTTGATGAAGCTTCGCGCTGTACTTCGTTGCGAAGTCATAGAGTGCAGTCGGAGATTAAGTAAGCATTCCAGTCAGCCCGCGCGTTCGCGTTCGCCACGGACTGCTGACATGCACGTAGGGCACGTTTGATAATTACACGGTTTCGCGGCTCGGAGATCGCATCTCGCAAGATCTACTGCTTCAAGCTACTTCGAACCCTCAACCCGCCAACGGATGCCGCCCAAATTGACTTCGCTCCCCCAGCCGCACCCCCAGCGCTTGTACTTCTCTGGCATACGCTACAACCTGCTCATTGTAACTCTCCCGTTCCATCCCGCCCATCATCCACTCACCCAGCCTCAAGGCATCGAAAGCCGCCTGGCCGGTAGAAGCTGCGGTGTGCGGCCGGAAGCCCGCCAAAGCATCGCCCACCAACAGCACTTTCCCACCCATGAGGCTGTTCGTTGGGGCGATCACGTCCGTGATGGCTTGGATGAAAGGCTGCCGCGTTTTTTGCACCGCCTCTGCCACTTGAGGCGGGAGCACTTTGGCCGCGTACTCTTTCTGCTTCTCCCACACTTGGGGTTGCATTTTCCCTACGGGCAATGTAATGGCATGTCGTCTTCCATCCACGTCGGTCATGACTGCGAAGCGTTAGTGCAGAGTCCTCTGTCTTGACGGGCAGAAACACACGTACGTTCTTCGAGATCAGCAGAGCCATCTGGATAATTGCAGTACCACACCCAGTTGAACAGCCTTTCGCCGGTCCCGAGCTTGCCACCCGGGCCGGGAATGAGATATCCAAGAGTCTGAATACCCTCGGTATGGAAGAAGGTGAACTTCTCCACAAAGACTTTGCTCGCAGCATCGGAGAGTTCTGTTTCCGGCACGGTGCCTCTCCACGCCACGTAGCCTGCCTGCAATGCCAAAGTTAGGAGGATATCAAGTTGAGGGTACGTGACAGGGTACGAACATATTTTCTTTGCACACTTGGCTCCAGCAACCGCCGCACGGTCGAAGAAGCACCATCGGCCGCTATTACCACGTCAGATACGTCCGTCTTTTCTCCCTGGTCTTTCTCTGTCCAGGTGATCTTGACGCCTTTATCGCCGGCGTCTTCGATGTTGGTGATGGTGCAACCATTCTCATATTGCACTTTCGGCCGGTCGTCTGCCTGCAGTCCTTGTACATACTCGCTGTCCAGACCGTCGACTCTCCATCGCAGAAGGTGGTAGATAAGATCCCAGGAGATCACTGAATTTAATGTCAGCATAACGCCAACGAGTGCAGATCGATCATCGAAACACGCACTATACTGCGCCCTCCCTTCAACGCTCTCGGGCAAGATATCTCCCGCACGATCAAGGTAGTGTCGCGATCCGCTTTTGACGACAATCTCCCGCCCAGGTCGAATATATTGATCGAAGAACTGCCGCGCGTCCGGTCCTGCGACGATGCCCGCACCTTGGTTGTGGAGTAGAGAAGTCGGGGCGCGCTCGAGTATGCGTATTTCAGGAGGGGTCGGAAGTGATAAGAAGACCAGAGCGTGCATCAAGCCGGCTAGAGAGCCCCCGACGATTGTAACGGACTCGGGCACTGGAGATGAGGCCATGGTGTGCGGTGCATACAGATTGAGCACTCTGCGACTGTTACGCTGGGCTTCCTCTTATATCCACGTCAATACACTACTTCCACAGCCTTGCTCACTAATGCGGTGCGGGTGAACAGTGAATTAATAATCGATGCCGAACTCGGATGATCAATCAAAGGCATACAGTAGAGTTCAACCGTCTTGACCTTACCAATTCCTGTCGGAGACCCTGGCCATGACTTCATCACTCTCCGACTGCCACGTGCTCGGTCCATTGGCGAAATTCGCCGATCAGCACGAACGACACTTCGCCGTGAGGTAGCATTGAAAGCTTCACAGAGAGAGAATCGGCATGCTATCCGGTGAGAAGGACTTCTTAAGATGGACGGTCCCCGTTTTCCTTGGTCTTCCACGTTGCATCTGCATTTCTAGTCAACCCAGAGCTCAAAGCCTCAGTAAACGAACCATGTGGGGAATCAACGCCGTGGCTGCGCTAGGCGCCGCATTCTTGACTGTCGGTGTAGAGGCGGGGGCATTGAGCCAGGCGCACAGGGGATACGGATATATTAATTACACAACGATTACAGGCAAGTAGCGAAACGTGAACAAATGCAAAGACCGTGAAACTGACATCATAAACCACCAGGCTACTTTCTCCAAGACGAGCCGTCTACCAACTCGACCACCTTTGACTATGTGAGGAAGCCTCGCCTCGCGCGGATGCTCTTCGTCCGTGCTGACCTTCGTAGACGCAATACAATTTCGGGCTCATCAATCGCACGTATCCTGCGACCAGCGGATGGCCCTCGAAGAACGCCACGCAATGGCAACAATTCCAGGCGCAGGTCGATGCGTTGAACCGTGAAGCACCAAAGGACACGGTGTACAAGGTCATGTTCCTCGGCCGGCACGGCGAGGGGTACCACAATGCTGCGCAGACTTTGTAAGTACCAGTCCAGTAGATGTTTCGGTGCCGAGTGCTGATGGTGGCGCAGCTACGGCACTCCCGACTGGAACTGCTACGAAGCCGAATTGAACGGAAACGCGACCGTCAGCTGGTTTGATGCAGATCTCGACCCCAATGGCATTGCCCAAGCTGAAACCGCACACAATTATTGGGCTTCCGAGTTCGTCAACCAGAAGACGCCGTATCCGCAGTCCTATTACACGTCTCCATTGACGCGCTGTCTGCAAACGGCCAACATCACTTTCAATGGCCTCAAGCTGCCCAAGGAGTATCCGTTCGTCCCCAAAGTTAAGGAACTATTGCGTGAAGGGATCAGCATCCACACCTGTGACCGCAGACGAAGCAAGTCGTACATCCACAACCTCTTCCCATCCTGGATCATCGAGAAGCCCTTCACAGAGAATGACGAGCTGTGGGACGGCGTGACCGCTGAGACCACCGATGCCCAGAATGCCCGCTCCAAGAAGTGGCTGGACGAAGTCTTCGCAACAGACAAGAACACTTGGCTCTCCATCACCTCTCACTCCGGCGAGATTGCAAGCACCCTGAGCGTGCTCGGCCACATTCCCTTCCCGCTGAACACCGGTGCCATCATCCCCGTCCTGATTAAAGCACAGTATCTGCCAGCGGCCGATGCACCGACACCGACCACGTGGGCATGGACTGTCAGCACGCATTGTGCGGCGTCGCCGAAGACGAGCATTAGCTCGCTCGCTCAAGGCTGTGTCTGTACCGGGAAGGAGGGGGCGGTGACAACGCCTCTTGTGAAGGTAACCAACACCAGAACTCAGGGTCCGACGAGGTATCCCGGCCCGGGATTCAAGTGAAGGCGCGAGAAATCGTAAAGCTGTAGAGCGATAGCCGAGCAATCCCATGGACTCGATGCAGTGTCCTGGGTTGTGGAAAAAGCTTTGAATTAGTTGTTTTCTGCCCACGCTTCCATGTCTTGCTCAAACGTCCCTCCAAATCTCGCGTGTGCCGGCAATCCATCCTTTATCGAGCCATCCCACCAAGCGGCCTGGCTGGTGAAGATGTGCGTTTTAGGTTCGAGCGCTCTTCGCACTCGATCATCCTTGATCGTCTTATCGTCTACGCTGCCCAACGTCAAATGGAACACGCCTTCCTCGTGTCGATACCGCATCGCGAGGGGAGCATGACAGTCCAGACAGAAAGCCCTCTCGCCCATTTTGGCCAGTCGTAGGATGGAGATGCCGCCGATGGAGTCCTGGGGCAGGCCGATGTAGCGGAGACTTTCCTTGTGGTCGTAGAAGGTGATGGACTTTGACGCGACTTGCAGGTAGCAATGATACGGCCCGCCACTCAGCTTCTGGCAAGTGATACAGTGGCACACGTTGCAGGTGTCGGGAAGCGCGGTGCTCGTATACGTGATGCGACTGCATGCGCAGCTACCGCCGAAGAGCACTTCCGACGTGATGCCGTTGTCACGCCCGGATTTTGCCATAGCTTGTGCAGAGGAAGCATGAGCTGATGTGAGAGTGGTTTAAGGTTGCTCCTTGGTGCATTTGCTATTTGTAGCATGCGCAGATCGTAAAGAGGCAGGAGTCGGCTGCATGTAGGGCTTCGGGGGCGGGACCTCCGCTGCGGCCGCCACCTCACCTTCCTCTCCATCCCTTGATCCTCCGCCGCTTGCTTTCCTTGCCCGGAGAAGCTTTCCATCTGCATTTATCAGCCGGGTGCATTCAGGTGTATGGCAGATCAATCCTCCATCACGCGCACGCTCGGGCGATCTCGCGTGTCATAACCCCAATCAATATTGCGGCAATGCGCCTCCGGGAGCACAACTCGTGGTTTCGGGGGGCATGGGAAAAGGGGGGTTCGGCGCCAAACTGTCCATCTCTGCTTTCCATTGGTGCCCGTCCAGCACCTGCTTCCTCCTCACGGCTGACTGACCGTTGCGACTAGACTCGGAAAGGAAATGGACAGCACAGCACGTCGCATACGGAGTGCTCGCGTGTCTCGTATTACTGCTAATTACAACCTCAAGGGATCTCCAAGACCCTGTCGAGTGGGAGAAATAGATATATGTACGCTGGTCTGCCTCGCTTCGCACCTGATCTTCGTGGCCTCCTTTGTCGTCGGCACTGATCAGGGAGCTGGACTCTATTGTCTCCTAATCTCTCTCGCATCCTTCATCTATTGTCCATTTCTTTCCCTCTCTTTCCCCCCCATTGTCTCTCTGTTCATTGGGATTGGCCGCAGTCATGGCCACCGAATCCGACGCCCTCGACCAAAAGGCTGCGGCCGAGCTGCAGGTCGAGATCATCCCGGGTACTGAGGTGATGACCGATGTTCATGGCGTTCGTTTCGCTCATGCTGGTGGAAAAGAGAGCGGCTCTGTGTATGTGGGAGCTGGCGAGACATGGGAAAGAAATCAACGACTGACTGAGTACCTCATAGCCTTGTCCCACACCCGACCAACGACTTGCATGGTGCGCACCACATCATCGTCATCCAAACGAATATTCCCTGCTAATGCGGTCTTCCAGATCCACTGAACTGGTCTCGGCCCTGGAAATATGCCACTGCCTTCACCCAGCTTCTCTACGTTTGGGTCCTCGTGTGTTCGGCCTTGTCAATCGCTCCCCTGTTCCCTCTTTTGGGCGCATACTTTCACATTGGCGACCAGCAACTGTCTCTCTTGACTGGTGTTAATGTCATTACACTCGGCTTCGCCAACATCCTTATCGTCCCCCTGTCAAACATTTTCGGCCGTCGCCCAATCTCAATCGTGTTCGGCTTTCTCGTGGTTCTAACCAACGCAAGTCTCCCGGCCTACATGTATGCGACCCCCCACGCTGACAATCGACAGATCTGGCAAGCCTTGGCTACCTCTCACACGAGTTTCCTCGCCTTCCGTGCGTGCAATGGCTTGGTCGCGGCGACGAGCGAGACAATCATGGTTCAAGTCATCGCGGACATGTAAGTACACCCTAAAGACATAAACAGGCTGGCGAATACTAACGTGCTAGGTTCTTCTTGCATGAGCGCGGCACCTGGATGGGCCTCTACTTCATCTTCTACTTCTCCGGCGCCTTCCTCGGCCCCATCATGTCCGGCAACATTGCAGCTCGTCACGGCTGGCGCAGCTTCTTCTGGCTGACCGTCGCCCTCGCCGCGTTTGTCACTGTCCTCCTGATATTCTTCTTCCCCGAGACCAAGTGGCGACGCGACACTGCCAACCATGCTGGTGTCAAAGATGAAGAGACGAACACCAAGACTCAAAAAGCTACTGTCGAGTCCGAGGTCAGCAGCCAAGATTTGGCCGGGGGCGCGGTGGTTGGCGGAGGAAAGCCGTCAAGAGCACAATACTCGCTAATTCAGAAGATCGATCCCAACTGGGTTCGCTACATTGTGCGTGACTTGACGACGCCAGTCATTGTCTTCTTCAATCCTATCGTCTTCTGGGCCGCGCTCATGCTCGCTGGACCTGCGGATCTGCTCTTACTATTCAACCTCACGGAATCCCCTCTGTTCTCCTCGCCAGCTTACCGCTTCAACCCAGGGCAAGTGGGCTACACCAACTTCGCCTTCTTCGTGGGCGGCATCGTCGGCGTCGCTACCGCCGGCCCCTTCTCCGACTGGCTCGCTCGCCGCTCCACGATCAGAAACAACGGCATCCGCGAAGCAGAAATGCGCCTTCCAGCTCTGATCCCCTTCGTCTGCTTCTTCATCATCTCGAACATTGTCGGCGCCATCGGCTACCAACGCCTCTGGCCATGGGAAGCGATCGTGGTGTGCGGCTTTGGCTTCTCCGGCTTGGCTGTCACTTCCATTCCTGCGATCTCAATTGCCTACGCTGTCGATTGCTACAAGCCCATCGCGGGCGAGATTATGGTTGTCGCGACGGTGATGAAAAATGTGCTCGGGTTCTGCCTGAGCTACTGGATCTTCAACCTGGCGCAGCGCGAGGGTTTCCTGACGGTTTACATGGTGCAGTTTGCGGTCGATATGCTGCCTGTCGTTCTCACCATCCCGTTGTACCTGTATGGCAAGAAGCTGCGGGCTTGGACGAGGAACTCGCACATTCACCGCCGCGATGCGCTGCTCTAGATGCTTATTATGCTCTGGGTAGCTATGGCCTCGATTTGTCTGCGTAATTTGAATAGCATTTCGGTCAAGTCTACAGTAGTTCTCAATCTCTCGGAGCTTTGATTCAGGTCCTCGGTAAACCACATTCCTTGAAATCCGTGCCCCCAATCTGGCTTAGAGGTGCCCAGAGGTGGGTCGTCACTCGACTCTAATCTCACCTCAGGTCCCCTCCTCTCTCTTCATTCCTCGAACATTGCACAACACCTGTGAGAATATATTGTAAACCGACCAGCCATTAAAATGTCGAATACAGAACAGTCCCTCAACTTCTTCGACCTCCCCCCGGAACTCCGCAACAAAATCTACGAATTCGCCTTCCCCTGCCGCGAGCGCGCAGCTTACAACCCGGTCACGCACTACCGCCGCATCGAACCCTGCCGCTGCTTCGCGCAGCCTTTGATGCGCGTGTCGCGCCAAATGCGCAGCGAAAGCGTCAGCCTGCACTACAGCCTGCACGAGTTCCACTTCTCGCTCTTCCCCCCGACGAAACCCATCTTGCTCTCCTGGCTCGACACGATTGCGCGGGCCTCGATTTCGCACATTCGGCGCTTCGTGGTGAAGCGGTATGTCGAGGGCACGACGCATTACTGGGGCGAGCAGATTCAGGCTGTGACGGTGGATTTGAATGATGAGCGGGGCGAGGTGCAGGTGCGGGTGGCGGGGAAATTGATGGAGACGCCGGGGGAGGTGAAGGGGTTGGTGGGGGAGTTGTTGTATGTGGATGGGAGGCAGGAGTTGAGTAAAGAGGGGCTGTTGGATTTGTTCGAGGCTATCGGGTGGCATTGAGCATCCCGCCTCCACAGCTCAATCGCCCAGGATATCTTCATCACCCTGGTATCTTTGACTCTGGTATACCGCTCCTGATGCCTGCCCGTCTGCCTCTTCCCCGTCCTCTTCCTCGCTCTCATCACCCTCGCTGGCCTCGGTTTGAACATCGTCGTGTTCAAACGGATCGAAGAGACGCCGCGGACTCGGCAGCGCCGCCAGCCAACGCTCCACGCGCCCTCCTTCCTCACGCGCTGCCGGCTTGCTCGGGGGCTCAATCCCCATAATCGCTGCTGGTTGCCCCGTGGGAATCGTCGAACGGCCTCCCTGCGCTCGCAACCAGCTAACGAAGTCGGGATTCAACCGCGCCAGCTGCTCGTCCGCCTGGCGTTTGATTGCCTGCTCGTCGGCGCGACGCTTGGCAGCCTGCTCGTTCTCCGCGTCGTCTTCGTGCTTCCGCTTCTTGTTGTCGTCGGTGTCTTGCTCGGCGACACGCTCTGCGGTGGATGAGAGATTGGGCTCTTCGACCCCTGCCTGGCTTGATTCGGAGCCTGTGTGATGAAAAATCAGCGAGCTCGCTCATGAAGAAGTTTGGGGTGTCTGAATGACTTACAACGCGCCCGCGTGCTCTCTTCGCCGTGATTCGTCATCTTTGGTGATCTTCGGTGATTGATATAAGGTTGCTGATATCAGGTTGGTATAGGTTGATCGAGAGGAGGTAGTGGTGTTGAGTCGTGAGTCGAGCTTCGTTGTTGGTGAAGTGTCGTGGTGTGAGAAGGTTGAATGCAGCACAACATGCACGGTCCAGTTCACATGAAGGCAGGCAGCCTCACATTCACAACGGCCCCCCTTCTCTGAAACCCGCAGAATTCATATCAGGCTCGTGGAATGCGGCCGTTCTCCTCTGTGACGCGTCGAAGGAAGAGCCGTTACAACGCTGCTAGGATTCTCCAAGCAAGTGGATGGAATGAGAAGACACAGCTCGGCCGAGGACGATACCACGGAATTGCTTCAGACGCGATCTTACAGCTCTCCCGAATCCCCTTCATGCGACCAACGCAATCGACAAGCTCTTCAGGACATTTATAACACGGCAATGGCATCTCCAATCCCCCTCACATCTGCTCGTCATGATCTGTCCAATCAATCAGAGGGTCCGCTCCGGCCACGTTCGCCCTCATCTCCTCCAACTCGTTCCTCAACCTCTCGACTTCCAGCCGCAACGGTAACTCTCGCTCGGCGGTGTCATTGGCGTGAAGTTGAGCAACATGATTCTGGATTGCCTCCCACTGGCCAGGTGGGAAAGGCTGGGTACGCAGTTCGTTGAGTTCCTGCTCCAGTTCAAGGACGCGATGATGTTGGTCGTTGAATTGCTGGACCGCCGAAGCTGAGGGATTTTGTTCGATTTGCACTGCCACCCTGGCTTCACCGGTCTCGCGCTCAAGCTGCAGGACACGAGCCTGCTGGTCGTTGAGGTGCTGCTTGATGAGAGCCGACGCATCTTGCTCATTGGACAATCTCGACGTGAGATCCTCGACCTCTTCTTCAACCTCCACAACACGCGCCTGGAGAGCTTGAAGTTGCTGCTCCTGACCTCTGATGATAGCAGCCTTCCTGAACGTGAAATGCTCTGTGAGCTCTTCGATCTTAGCTTCACACGCCGCAGAGTTCAACTTGAGGTGGTGCTCGAAGTTCGCCTTCTGCTGCTTCAAGCGTTCGAGCTGAGACTCTTGCCTGTCCAGTAGTCCGTTGGCTTCTTTGACAAGGCGTTTCTCCTGGGCCAACTTGAGCTTGAGGTCTGCGTTTTCTGCCCTCATCTGCCTCAGTTCTTCCGCGTCGATAAGCACACCTTGACGATAGCCGTAGGGAGTGTTGTAAAACTGCAGGATCGACATGTTTGCGTCGTCAAAGTCGTTGGTTTGGCGAGAAAATGAGGATCAAAGCTGGACAGGTGTGCAAGAAGATGGGGATGGAAGCTGGAGAGGGTTGCAAGATGTTGTGGGGTGTCCCGTTTGCCATTCACGTCCATTAGGCAACAAACTCGACACTCACATCAAACTTGACGTTCACCGAACGGCAGAGCAGTCGTGTCCAATTTGATCCGTGTCAACGTTGGATCGATTACCGCCGAGCCGTCCTTGGAGGGTACTCCTCCATCGTTGATCGTGGAGAAGATGCTCCTGGCCGCGAGTTGCTACGTCGCGGCGTTGATGCAAAAGCGCGGCTCCCGACGTGGGACTGTGTTGACGTCGCGATGGTAGGCCTTCAACCACTCGGCAAAGTCTTCGAGCTGGATATAGCCCCGGCAGTCTCATCAGATCTGGAGCTGGAAGTTCTTGCGCCCAAGGTATCCGCAGATCTTGAACACCATCCCGTTGCTGCACATCTTAGATGTCGAAGAGAGTCGGCTGTGGGAGCTGAGCCCATGCAGGATGCTGTGTCAGCGTGCTGGTATATATAGAGAGGTAGTAGAAAGAAAATAGATATAGAGTAGGATAAGGCAGGAAAGGATGCAAGTTTGAGAAGCCATGGGCACGGGAAACTGCTTTTGTAGACATCTACACTGTTGTTTGCTGCCACGTCGTCTGATTGTGCTGGTCCTTTCTCCAACCTTTTCGATCCTTCACCATGATTTGCCTGATTGCCTCTTTCGTTGTATGATACGATGGACATTTCTTTCACTGCGGCGACGACTGTGTCCATTCGGCGTGTGCTTCACAGGCACAGATGTGTCACCAGGACAAAGGCGCGTGCATTTGGCGACCAACGGATTTCTTCATGCTCCGTAGTACATTGAACATCCAAGCAGTGTAGCAAACCCGAATGTCTTCCCGAGACCTGGGATATCAGCTCTTTGTCAATTGCAATGGAGATTCGCATGGTGATTGGTCAGCGGTCCGAGCCGTCGCGCTAATTCGCCGCTCGACAAGGCTGTGTCACCACCTCGCGTCAACGGCTACCTGAGACAATAACACGGCTCCGTCGCTTGGTATCATCTACAAAGAACACTCTGCTGCGTTACCGTTATGGATACGGTGGCCGCCTCACTGGCTACACAAACTCAAGACATGCTCAAGGAGTACGCACGCATGGAGATGCAGGTGGAAGTGGCACGGGCGAAATCGGAGACTCTAAGAACTCGTGTTACAAATCTTCACAACAAGCTGCAGAGCGAGAGAGACAGGTCACAGGGTCAGAGCGGTCGAGTGAGGGAGCTCATGAAAGAACTCGAGGAAGAGCGCAAACATTCACGGCGGCTCGAAGGGCATATCGCACAGCAAGCGCAACAACTGCAGCAAATCGGCTGGATTGTCAATCATCAACCACAAACTACTGACGGCATTCCCGAGATGTCGAAGGATGTCAGCAAAGAGATGACCATCAGTCACTGCATACTATCCAAGAGTCCGCCCGACGGTGAAGATATGGCGTCAGTCCTCAAAGATACACCAATGGCCGACGAAGACGAGTTTACAGAGCGCCCGCGTCTTATCGTTCGTCTCAGGCACCCGTCGTTCCACTATGCGTCCTGAACTCGGCAGTGATTCCGGGAAAAGTCACGCAGACGAGTTGGAGAAGTATGCATCGGATGATCGTGCGACACGGAAGGGTCGTTGTAGAGGGACGCACAATTTCCTTTGAGATGGGAATTGGACTGAAGCAGTGCAGTTACGAGCGGGTCAAATCGGGCCTGGGCCTGGTCGTTGTTTCGCAACAGTGTGGAAAAAAAGGAGAGCTCAGTCAAAGATAAAAAACCAAACTCCTTTTCAGGAGGAGAGCAAGGCGAGACTCGTAGGACCCCAATCGGTTTGCATTTTTGGACCACCGACTCAAACAGATCGGTTGATGCTGCAAGCCATTGGTTAGAGACTGAGCGAGTATGATTCGATATATACTGGCTGCAAGTGATGACGAGGTTTAGCCGAGCAGTTCACTACATCTCGATGGACGGACGGAGTCAACGGTATCGTTGCCTTGAACACTCCCAAAACACCTGGACCGTCGACCTCATACGGCAAAAGCAAGGTGATGACGATGAAGGTCTTGAAGAAGTTGAGCCTCAAGAGGGAAAGGAGCGAGGTCATCGACCTTACAGACGACCATGACGATGACAAGCGCATCAAGTCAGAGTATTGGAAAGAAGGGGACGACGGGAGGTTCACGACATCGCGCAGAACTCCTGTATCAGGTGGTCGTACAAAGTGGGTTTGTTCACACCGCGCTCTCCTTCTTCAGCGGCTTACCAAAGAACTGTCGTCTGCGGTGAAACAAGCCCTTCTTGCTCTCCAAGTCGTCAGGTTGGTTTAAACACCCTCCCTCAAACCCATTTCAACTCAAGCAGACACACCCCGATCCTTCTCTGGACGATACTCGATTGGTACTTCCTCGCTATCTTCACTATCGGTTATCAACTTGGAATACACTTCCTAGCCATCCTCATTATCGCGATCACACCAAAAGATAAGATGCCAACAAACCCCGACAGGGAACGCGACGCCGAAATCGCCGAGCTGCTGGCCAAACGCAACGAACTGCTGGCCAAAGCCGACGAGATGGCAAAACGCCCCGGCGAGAGAAGTGCCGCCGAACTCGCGGAGATGCAGGCCACAGCCGACGAGATGGGGTCCGTAGCGGCCAAGTTGAGCGCCCACGAAGCCAAATTGAAGAAGCAGATCAACGCCTTGGATGCTGGGGCTCAGCTACTTGAAGATGGGCAGAAGACAGTGAAGCTAGCGGAGGCTGAAAAGGCCGCTCAAGAGGGGGGATGGCACGAGACGAGGGCGAGGTTCAACAGCATGTTCAATCGGGTTCAAGAGATGTTGGCTGAGGGGAGAAGGACTGAGTACACGGATGGAGAGTCGTAGTTGTCGTGTGTTTCAGGGGATGTACAACGCACTGCTGCACTTACCCGAGAACCTAAAACCCAGCGATGCCTACCGCCAATCGTCGCCAACGCGTGATCTTGGAGGGGTGGGGAGGAGATCGAGTATTGGCGTATGCTCAAGAGAGGTAGCATTTTTCCTTTAACACATGTGTTCAACGATCATCATTCATTCCCAGTCGCACCATCATCACCAGCAGGAGGGAAAGAACCTGCGATAAGAAGAGCGTATGGTACTCTGATCCGCCCATAAGCATACCCAACATCCGCCACAGACAATCCCCCGTCATCCCTTCACTTCATCATCATCATCGTCATCCTCCACAAAGCCCAACTTCTCCCCCACCTTCACCCGCATGCCCTTCTCAATACACCACTGCCACCCACCCTTCCTCCCTCCATCTCCCATCCCCGGAGCCGCATGTCCAGGGTCCACCCAGCCTTCGTCGAAACTCGGCCGCACACCTTTAGGCGCCTCGAATAACAAGACGATCGTGCTGCCCAGTTGAAAGCCGCCCATCTCCTCTCCTCTTCTCAATGCGTGTCCGCCGAGCACCGGACTGCTGCCTGCGTACGTAGCCTCTGCGTAGCCAGAGTAGGGTTCGCCTTTTTCTTGCGCAGAAGCGGCGGCGAGATCGGCGAGGGTGTCTGTAAGAAGGGAGTTTGTGCGGAGTTCACGATCGAAGTTGATGATGATGGAGCCGACGTTTGTCGCGCCGACGGGAGTGTAGGAGAAGAAGCCGTACTTCCATCGGCCGAGTAGACATACTCGTTCGTTGAGCGTGAATAAGCCTGGTAGTGTGCGTTGGAGGTAGGGCGATACGGAGTACAGCTCGCCGGCGAAGTGGCGTCGGCTTTCTACTACCCAACTCACCGGGCTGTGGAAGCGGTGGTAGTCGCCTGGGGCTAGGTAGACAACGCAGTAGTACAGTCCGCTCGGCCTCTCTTTCGCAGCGGGGTAATACCACGGCTTGGGAGCGCGAGGCGAGCGGGCGAGATCGGCGGCGACTTCCGCTTCCGAACCCGCTTTGGAGGAGGTAGACTGGTCGGAGGGGGTGCCTTGTGTGGTGTCCTCTCGAGTCGTAACGATGCGGCCGCCCTCGCGATCGCGAACGACTTTGGGGCCGGACTTGACGCCGGAAAAGAGATTCGGCAGGGTGTAGGAAATGCCGTTCACTCGAGCGAATTCCTCGTCCGATCGAATGGTATCGGAATCACCGCCTTCCCTGCGATGTGGGGGATGGCTGGGAGAGATGGCGGGGTTCGTGCTCGTGGGTAGTTGGTGTCCACCTGCGGTGGGTTCGGCGCCGAGGAGCGCGTCCACAGAGTACGTCACGCCCTTCACCTGCTCGACTTCGCCGTGCTCGATGTATCCGAATTGGATGACTCTGCCATCAGCAGGGCTCAGAAGGGCGTTAGGATGAGGATCTAACGGCCGGACACCCGGCTTCAGCGTGCGGTAGAAGAACTGTGCCAGATTGCGGTAGGTGTGCAGGTCGGGTTCGGCGACCTCATCGAAATTGACGCCAAAAATGAACCCGTACAGTTTGAACCCCGGCACTCGGAGGTAGTAAGGTATATCCAGCTCGTTGAACTTACCCCATAGTCTCGAGAGAAATTTAAGGGGCAAAGTGCTCATGATCTGCACGCTCCACGGGCCTGATGGACGTATGCGCTGTCTCTTTTTCCGCTGCCGCAGTACGCCATCTTCATCGTGCTCGATCAGCCACTCCTGTTCCTGCTTTCTACGCTCGCGCTCCTGGACGCGGTAGAATTGGAAGACGCCAAGGAAGGCGATGCCCAGGCCGATGGGGATGGGCTTCCATGTGATGGGTGTGCGGCGCCATGCGCGGCCTAGTCGAGAGGCGAAGGACTCTTTGCGAGATCTTGGGGGATTACGGAGGGTTCTGGTTGTGGAGAATGGTCGTTGTGGTCGTAGGGTGGAGTGGAGATGGGATGGTCGAGGAGGCACGAGGTGTCGCGCTCGGGCGTATATGCGCGGCGACGACATGGCGCAGTAGGTCTATCGTGTAAGTTTCAACGTAGGCTTCGTCATCTTAGGCTGAGTCGTGTCGAGAGACCAAGGCGAAGGGGTGAGTGAGGTTGGTCCAGGCGAAGTGTGTGATCGATTACCTGTAGATGTACTTCAGGCGAGGACTGACGTAGCAGACGGGAAATTTAGACTTTCACGCGCGTGTCCAGTGACGCCTTCCTCTTTTGGGAATCCCAGAAATGACAACTTGCTGCTCCGATGAACTTGATCCCTTCGACATACACACTCTCATTACGATGATTGGAATAACGACATCTTGACGGGCGACAGCACCTCAAGCTCATTCGAACATGCCCCCCACACCAACCCCCACGGAGATCACTCTCCGGATCAAGGTTCCACCTGGATACCTCCCTCCCTCCATCTCGGCCACCTCCACCGATCCAGAACAGTTCAGCCTTGGAACGATACCTACCGCCACCACCCTTGGAGCTCTCCGCTTGCAGATCCAAGCGCTGGTCCCAACACATCCCGCTCCCGAGCGGCAGAGAATCCTGTATGGCGGACGAGCATTGGTAGACGAGGAGCAGACCATCGGTGATGCTTTGAATGTCAAGCGGGATCCCACCCAGGGCGATTATGTTGTGCATCTGCTCGTCAAGGGTGATGGTGTGCCAAGCAGATCTTCTACACCCAGTGGACACAGCAGGACGGCAAGCATGCCGGTGGCAGCGACAAACCCACCAGGCGCAGTACAGCCGCAACCGGGATTGCCCCCTTCCTTCACACAGTCCTCCTTTCTGCAGCAAGCACACATGATGCAGCATCATCAGGCGGTGGCTAGACAGCTGGAAATGCAACAACAAGCCCTTCGGCAGCAACACGGTGTTGCGCCCGGTCCCATACAACAGACCCCAGTCAACGGTTCGAACCAGGCGGCAGGTGGTCAATCACCATTACCCGGCCAGGTCAACGCGCCCTCACCCGCACCAACACAGCCTGTCGGACAACAGCCAAATCCGCAACAACGTGGCGGTCAAGGGTTTCACATTCAAGGGGTTGGACCAGATGGCCAGCGGTTCCAAATCCAGCAGCACACCATCCACGTCCCGCACGGGCAAGTCCCCCACGGCGTTACAGGGCAAATACCTTTCGGTATGATGCCAGGAGTGCAGAATCCGACGAATGGTGTGCTCCCGCCGCCGCTGCCCCAAGGTGCGTTTGCTCAGAGACCTGGCACTGGCCCATCAGCCTTGGACAGAGCAAGGGAAAACATGGCGGAGATGCGGAGGATGCTTGACGAGCTTGCGAGCCAGACGGACGGGAATAACGACGGAAACGCAGTGCAAGAGAGGAGACGGAGGATCGAGGAGATCCAGGGAAGAGTGCGGAGTGTGGAAAACTACATCGACCCTTTCCGTATGAGCACTGCGACCACCAATACTGGCGCCGACACGAGTCGAGACGGAGGGACGAGGTCAACATCTCCAAGGCCTCCCGCTCCTGCGGCCGCAATGCAGAACCCCGCGTGGCCCTGGGACGTGAGGAATATACTCTCTCAAAACCGACCGCCAGCGCTTTTGGGTCTTCCGCCACTGCCACCACAGCAAGCACAACGATCGCTTCGCCCCTCGACGGATGTCACGGCATACCTACTTTCCTCACCTCAAGGCCCGCAAGCCATCCTCTTCTCACCCGAGCATGGCACCTACACTGGCTCAATGCTTACCGCAAACCCGCAGCCGACATCCGCACACGACAATGCCGCACCACAACCGCTCCAGCCCCAACAACAAGTAGTCGCGGCACCCAACAATGTGCCGGCCGATCCAGTGGCACAAGTAGCGCAGCGTCAGCTCCTCGAAGTAGCCAACGCGCAAGCACAAGCAGGGAACGACGCCAACGGCAACCCCCAAGCACAAGGCTTGCAGCCGATTCTCGGCCACTTCTGGCTCTTGTTCCGGATCCTCGTCTTCGCCTACTTCCTCCTTGGGACGAATCTAGGCTGGCAGCGGCCTTTGATCCTCGTGGTCATCGGAGTGGGATTCTACATGGTTCGGGCGGGCTTGCTAGGGGACGGAGGCGTGGTGAGAAGGTGGTGGGAGGGCGTGCTTGGCGCACAGGCTCCGGGCGCTGCTGATGGACAGCAGGCTGCTCCTGCCGCGGCGGCGGCGGGACAGAGAGCGCCAATGCCGACGCCCGAGCAAGTGGCTGCGCGGCTTTTGAACGAGGCGGACGCCAGACGACGCGAGCGCGGAAATTGGCTGCGCGAGCAATTGCGGCCCGTGGAGCGTGCGGTGGCGTTGTTTGTGGCGAGTCTGTGGCCCGGGATTGGGGAGGGTTATGTGCGGGAGCAAAGACGTTTGCGGGAGGAAGCGGAGGCGCAAGCCCGGGCGGAGCAGGTGGTGGAAGGCAGTGGGGATGCGGGGGCGGGAGCGGGAGAGCAGGAGAAAGAGAAAGAGGGCGTGGGTGAGGGAAGTGCTGGATCTGGAGCTGGATCTGGAGTGGGCACGACTGCTGGGGAAGTGAGAGGGGGCTCGACTGAAGAGGGAAGCGGGACCCAAGGCAATTGATGAGATTCGATGGCGGTCATTAGGTGTATCTCTACGGTTCACGAACTACATGTCGCGTGAGGTGAGAAGTATCTCGACCAGATAGACAGAACTCACGTCGAGCATGCACGTTCTTCCCAACCCGAGCATTGTCCGAATTGGGCCGCTTGGGCTTGTCGGGCTTGCATCGCGGCTTCCCCAAAGGGTGAGACACGGCGGGCGCTAGGCTTCTCCCGGCGCCAATTTGGGTCTCTGATCGCAAGGGGAAAATGCACTGGCGTCGCAGGGTTTCCCATCGACTTTTCTAGAGCGCTTGCGACGAGACCACGTTGCGTTACACGCGTCATCTCTGATTGCGCCAGCTGCCCGGGCGGTGAGAGGATGTGCTGTACTGATTGACCACTGCGAACCTGGAGCACGACGGCGCGCACAGATTCTATGGATGCCGAAATCGATCGGTCGCACGCTACGCAGAACTCACGATGGTTGGGTATGAAGAAGACGACGTAGAGCGGGTCCAGGCCGAGAGTTCTGGATCCATCAATGTGCTACAGTACTCCGGGAGGCTAATCGGCATCTTCTCTCATCCAGGGCGAGGCCACTTTAGCTGAACCCTGTTGCCCGCCTTTTATTCAAATCAATTGCGAATGTCGGGCTCCGGGAGAAACAAGCTTCTTAGCTAAGATTGTCTGGCCGGGAGAATGGGGTTCAGATCGATAGTCGCCGAAATCTCCGATCAGGGGGCGTGGGGGGACACCAATCTCACCGATGGCGAATGAAGACTCCTGCCTTTGCCGAGCGTGCATTCGACATGCGACATGCCCCTCACCTTTTCAGCTGGCGGACGGGCGATCGAGGCGTCGGCCAAGCCCGAGACCAGATGTGCAGCATGCATCCTGTGCCTGGATCCCCGAGCTCCGAAGGTGCCACCCTTGCACATCCCGAGAGTCGTTCGGTCGGGGCTAGCTGGGTTCGCCGGATGCCATGCAGAGCTCCACCGCCCCAAGCCCAATGCTCGCTGGCCTGCCTGCACGTTCGGCTCCTTTTTCCAACCACAGCCCGTGCAACGCCCTCTCTCCACCGCCCACCCAGACTCGCCCCGATCGGCGTATCGCAACGCTGCTGCATGCCCGACTAAACTCAACCATCCCGGCCTGTTCCTTATAAGGTAGTTCCACTATCTCGCTCGCACCACCCTCGTTCCCTCCCCTCCCCCTCCCGTGACGCCTCTCTCATTCTCTTCGGGGTGCGATTTCCTCTTTCTCGTAACGGCAGCCACCCCAGGGCTCGTGCGCGACTATTCTCGATCGTGTCTCAGAAACTCGTGGGCGCTGTGCCACCGCTTGCCGCCGCTTGAAATAGGCCACACAACCCCCCTATGATGCCCCATTCCATCCGCCCGTCCGTCGACTCGGACCGCACCTTTGACCTCGACAAGCCCGATGCCCCGCCGGTTCGAGCCGCCGAAACTGCAATGAAGACGCATTCCAAGAAGCCGTCGAGTCTGTACGGCGTCGCTGTCACCTCCCCGCCTCCTGTGGCCGAAAAGCGCACCTCGGTCGTCACTTCGGCGCAGCTGGCGCCGCCGGAGCCGCCGAAAGAGAGGGCGCCACCCGTGAAGAAGATTCGCAGGAGAAGCGCGCCGGGCACTTCGGAGGACTACGCTGCCGTTGGACAGACGGATGATATGGACAGCCTGATTCATGGTCGGCGAGCGGCCGAGGCGGATACTCTACCCACCTCGAATGGCGTCAATGAGCCGGCTTCGAAGTGGAAGGCGATGTCGTATGAAGAGCAGGTTCTTGGCAGGGGTACTGCGCATAAGAAGATCAGCAGTCGCTCGCAGAGATACTCTCCCGTGATTGCAGAGCTGAGGACGAACGTGATTGTCAGTCACTCTGCTATGGATATGGTAACTTCCTGACGCTAATATCCCCCTCCAGATCAAGGACGAATTCACCCTCATCACCGACCTCTCCTCCCAGCTCGCCCAACGCTTCGTCCGCCCCGAATCCTGCATCATGCTCAAGATCGATCACAGCGCATGTCTGGCGCTCGGCGGCCGATTCGACCCCTGCTACGTCTTGACCATCGAAGCAGTCCCCTCGCAATTGGGTTTGGCGGTCAACAGGCGCAATGCCGGCCTCATCCAGGCTTTCATGGCGGACATTCTCAGCGTGCCGCCCGAACGGGGCATCGTAAAATTCGTGGGCATTCCGGAGGAGAATCTAGCTATGAATGGAACCACATTCCCGAGCGAAAATGAGAAGGCGGAGAAGCGGGCTTCGACTCTGCTCAAGAAGTCTGCGGCTGAAGCTGCGGCGGCGAAGGCTGCTGCTGCCGCTAAGAGCCAGTCTGAAGCGGTGGCCAAAACCAAGGGTCACTCTGAAAACGCGTCTATATCGAACCCCACGCCTGTCGTGGTAGCGAGATCCAACAATGAAGAGCTCGCGCCGGGCGTCACAACCGAAAGAGCCCCCAGCCGAAACAGTGCCCTCGCCGCACCCGACAAGCTCGCCAATCGCAACAGCACCAGCGCCATTCCAACGGAGAAGGCCGCCAACCGACACAGCACCGGCGCAAAGCAGCTCGAACGACCCAAGACATCGCACAGCATGAGCGCGCCATCCGTCAACGGCCTCCGCATGAACCCCATCACCGCCGACGAGCTGGGCGTCGACAGCGACTCGCGCCCCTCAAACATCAGCCGGCCACGCAGCATCGGCGAAGTCCCGGAGCGCTCGTCGATGCGATCCACGAACTCTAGCCAGCGCAAAGCAGACGCTACTGCGAACGCCGCGAAACAGGTGACGGTCACTAATGCCAGAGCATCTGTGCCCGCGCGCATCTCCAAAACCGATGGTCAACAGCAAGCAGCTGCGAAACCGAAATCCGCGCTCGCAGCAACATCAGCCCCCCAAGCCGCTCGCCCCGTCCAAGTCAAGCAAACCTCCACCGACGCCACCACAGCCTTCAGCACCCCCAAACCAACCCCAACCCGCACCTCAACAAGCGAAAAGCGCCCGGCGGAAGTTAATCCCTATACCCTCTCCGCGCTCCCGACCCCGGATCCGCGAACAACGCAGTCCCCAACCGCAGAGCTAGAAGCCGCGACCCCGCGCACCATCGCAGCAGAAACAGCCGCCGCAGCAACAGCAGCAGCGACAGCAGCAGGCCGCTCGAAATCCCTCAACACCGCGAGCCCCAAACCGCCCGCGACCGTGAGCGACGAGGCGATGCCTAAGCGGCGCTCGGCGACGCTGACGAGTGCTGTTCCCCGGCCGCCGCCGATTCCTGCTGATCCTGTGGTGAAGGCGGAGACGAGGAGTTTGGGCAGTCGGTTGAGTAAGCGGAAGAGCTTTTTGAAGCTTTTTAAGCGGGATAGTTCGGTGCCGGCTTGGTATAAGCAGTGAGTGATGAGGGAGGGGGTCGGATTTGAGACTGCATGGTCAGCGATGGCGTTTCCGGGAGGAGATGGCTGGAAGATGGGAATGGGATTTAGATGGACGGAGGGACGGGAAAGATGGGAAGTAACAGGGTTCTTCGTGTGCTCTCCCGTCTATGAGTGATCTGGATAGGATACCTAATGCTAGAACGAGCATGACACGCGTGAGTGGACGCGACCCGATTTGAAGGTAGTAGCACTGTTCTTGAAAATCGCGTAAAGCCATTGCAACCGCAACCACGCCTTGACCCTCTACAAACGCCCTGGTAACGAAAGAGTACTATACATCAAGCCCGAAACAGCCACCAATCCCCTCCATCCTTCGACCAATATCGTAGGGGCAGAAGTCACGTCTCAACCCCATAATACCCATTCTCATCCCGCCAGATTCGGCTCCGCCCACTGCCACTCTCCTGCTTCGCTTCGAACGTCAAGTTCCGCGTGCTGCTCACGTCGCGCAGCTGCATGTCATCGCCACTCCCCACTTTCTCCAATGCTCGGTTCTGGCGATGCGAAGATGAGCGCGTGGAGAAGGCGTTGCAGAGCGCGAATGCGAAGAGCAGGATTTGTAAGAGTAGGAGGGGAATGGTGGTGTAGTATGCGAAGCGCTGCGGTGTGTCAGTGATGTGAGGCTTCATGGTTTGAGGCTCCAACGTACGGTTTTCGTGCACAACCCTTGGAATTGGCTGGGTGGACTGCCTTGGAGGGTTTGGCTGCTGCTCCAGCGGCAAGTCCAGGTTTGGAGGGTGTCTTTTCCTGGGGCTCTGTGGTTTATGATGGTTGTGAACGCGAGGGTGAGGGCTGTGATAAGGGTGCTGAGGAGGGTGGTGGCGAGATTGAGGGTGTTGAATGGGAGCTGACTTTCAATTAGTATAGGTAGGAGGCAGGTACAGGTGTTGGGCAAGGCCTCACGGCTGGAACGAGAAGAGCGACTGCAAGGATGGCATTTAGCACAACAACTGCGCATGATGATCCTATCAAAAGTTGCAATTCTTGCGAGTCGAAGTGGCCGGGCCATAGTGGGAGAAGCCAAGGGTTTGAGTGTTGCTGATGATAGTAGACGTGCAGACTTCGACCCGCTGTGCCAATGACTGCCAGGGCGAGGCAAATCGAGAGAGCAGTGACACCGAGCGTAGACGCACGCAGATAGGAAGGCATTTTTGTCTTTTATTTGAACACTTGTGCGGTGGGAAATAGAGATGGAAGAGAATTATAGGTGCTGATGGTGAAGTAGGAACGGCAATGTTCTTACGCTTTAACGAGGCTGCTTCTCCCTTTCTATACATGCACAGGAGCAACCGCTCTCAACACTCCTGCAGCATGTGAAAGCGCCTCCCTTGTGCAGAGATGGGTCTCGACCAGCCACTTGTATGCTCTCCCAGGGTACAAGCGCTGGACTGCGCGGGAACATCTGCATCGCCCAGGCCATGTGCATGCAGCATGGAACAGTGACGCTTGAGCCTGCATGCTTGGCGAGGCCATACACGATGTAGCAGAGAAAATGAGTGGCTTCCGACAAGACGATGAGACGGGTTGCTATCGCCGTTGGCGGTTACTGCGCTGGGGAGGGATGTGGTGATCTTGGATGGGGCGCTGTCAACGCTGATTGGATGGCCTAGGCGCCGTGAGCAACGGAAGGCTCACTGAACTATGGAGCGAGTGTCGATGGTCATGTTGGCAATGGAGACTCCTGGGAGCTTGGGAGAGACAGGAGGAATGCTTCCTTCGCCTGATGTCGATTGCATGAGGTTGATACTCCGGGCCTGAGGCATGCTGATGACAAGATGTAAAGCCGCTCGGGTAGATCCGGTTGCTATGGGGACGACGTCATCAACCTTTCCCACGCGAGACACTTGGCGACACATTCTTCCGACGACACCTCACATGACTTGAGTACATCGATGCACACCAGCGCGAGGGGCGGACATCATCCTGGTCATCTTGAAGACAAGGAGAGATACTCTTGCAAGCCGTCGGGACGTTACCAGAAATTCCGACCGCTAAACACCCTTTCTTCGTCTCAAAAGCCCCGATTCCATTCTGTTCTGGTGGCGAGCCACAAAGACTCATCAGCGACTGCGACGGACCTATTCCTGGAACTCGATCACAGCCTCCAGTGCCCTTCTTTACCGGATGTTGCGGTCGCACAAAAGTCTAGAAAGATGGTGAAGGAGCGCGAACTCAGCCAAACGTCATCCTATCAACATCCCTCATCCCCAAAGCCGGAGCGGAAAGCGCTGGCAAACATCAGCGCCAAAATGCAATCTCCATCACCCAAACAGACTCCAGAGGCTTCCGATGACGGTGTCGTGAAAATAGCGACACAACCGCAGTTTGGCCAGGCCAGTCCGCTGCGGAACCCACTGCAGAGGAAGAAGCCGGAGCCCAGCATCTTCATCCCCAGGCAAAAGAAGCAGTCTTTTCCTCCAAACCCTCTGCCTGCATCGAGACCACCACAGCAACCTTCATCCTCTATGAATCCCCCTCCATCCTCTCAAAAGGCCTTCTACTTGCCCGGACAGCAACCTCAGCCACAGCCTGCGCCAAAGTACTCCTCCGCCCTGGAAGCCGCGCAAGCGTTCACGAGTCAGCCGTCCAAGCGCACCTTTGACCCGGATGTGTTTGAGATACCCATGCCCAAGAACCCGACCTTGCCCACAATCAAACCTCGCCCGCCGCCCACCTTCTCCTCACGAGGTCCAACCACTTTCTACCAGCCACAAGTTCACCACAGGCCCGTCATAGATCTGACAAACAGTCCGGCTCACGACAATGATGCTTTTGATCCCGATGCAGCGATTAGAGAAGAGAGCCGGAAATTTGGCGAGCCTGACCCCTTCATGTACGTCGATTCTTCGCAGGCCAACGAAAACATTAAGAACCTCCTCGAGGGTGCATTCGACGACGATGAGGACAAGTCGACCACTCGCTTGAGACGGCGTGCTAAGAAGACGTCGGCGACTGGCAGTGGCGACAAGAAGGCTAAGAGTCTTGCCAACAAGTTGCAGGCGTTGAGCGTGGAGGACGCCGCTGCCAGCACCGAGACGCCAATCGTCGAAGAGGATCAAGATGAAGAAGATGGCACGGTGGAAGGCCTCAAAGTCAAACTACTCCCCCACCAAGTGGAGGGTGTGGCATGGATGATCGACAAGGAAATCGGCAAGGGCAAGGTCAAAGGCTCTCTCCCGTATGGCGGCATTCTCGCCGACGACATGGGCTTGGGCAAGACGATTCAATCGATGACGCTGATCCTCACCAATCCCCGCCCCGGTCCCGATGCGAAACCAGAGCATAAGCTGCACAAACTCCCCGGGCCGGAAGTCGGTAAAGGTACATTGGTCGTCGCCCCTCTGGCACTCATCAAACAATGGGAGGACGAAATCAAAACCAAGGTCGCCAAATCCCACGCCCTGCGCGTCCTCGTTCACCACGGCCCCTCTCGCACCAAATCCGCCATCGAGTTGAAAAAGTACGACGTCGTCATCACCACCTACCAAACCCTCACCTCCGAGCACGCCGCCTCCAATCCCACATCCTCTACTCATGGCGCCCAGATCGGCTGCTTTGGCGTGCACTGGTACCGCATCATCCTCGATGAAGCCCACAGCATCAAAAACCGCAATGCAAAGTCCACACTCGCGGCCTGTGCGCTGCAATCGTGGTATCGGTGGTGCCTGACGGGCACACCCATGCAAAACAATCTCGACGAGTTGCAGAGTTTGATCAAATTCTTACAGATCAAGCCGTACAATAACTTGGGCAACTGGAAGGAGGCGATCACGCAACCGATGAAGAATGGCAGAGGAGGCTTGGCGATGAAGCGGCTGCAGTATTTTCTCCGCGCGATCATGAAGAGGCGGACGAAGGATATCTTGAAGAAGGATGGTGCGCTGAATTTCGGTGGAAGACCTACGGATGCGGTGGAGGATGGCGAAAACGCGGACTCGACTCCTTCGTCGCCGAAGAAGAACCCGGGGATGAAGATTGTGAAGCGCGAGGTGGCGACGGTCGAATGTGACTTTGACGAAGACGAGTTGGACTTCTACTCTCGTCTAGAAAGCCGCGCCGATCGGAAACTGGAGGAGATCAAAAAGTCGAAGAAGACGGACTACATCGGTGCGTTGGTGCTTCTTCTTCGCCTACGGCAGGCTTGCAACCATCCGCGCTTGGTGGAGATGGCGGTGAACAAGGACAAGGATGCTATGACCACTGGTGTGAATGGAGGGGGCGCGCCGAAGCAGGGACAAGTCGAGGATGGCGAGATGGATGCGCTTGCTGCGATGATGGGCGGTGTCAGTGTCGAGACGAAGCAGTGCGATGTCTGCCAAGTTGGACTTTCACGCGCTGAGGTGGAGGCGAATGTTGTGAGATGTAAAGATTGTGAGGAGGATTTGGAGAGGATGCGGAGGCCGAAGAAGAAGAAGGCCAAGGAGGAGAAAAAATCAGGGAAGGTCAAGAAGGAGGCGAGAAGTGCACGTCGACGAAGAGTTGTTGATGACAGCGATGATGATGAAGAAGAAGAAGGCGAGGGTGAATGGATTGCTGAAGGAGCCGAGCAGCGAATCAAGCTGGGCAAGGCTGGTGGAAGCGATGACGAGGATGCCGAAGGTGGAGGGGAGTCTCTTGGCTCCATCGACTCGGAAAGAAGTGATGATGACGACGAGGATGAAGAGGACTCACCACCAAGAGCCGGCACGAGACGGCGGCCCGTCAAAAAAGAATCTCAAAGCGATGAAGACAATGACTCGGACGAAAGCGATTCGGATGACGACGACGACGATGATCAATCTATCTCCTCCCCCACCTCGATGCTGGCCGGCCTCCGACCCAGCGGGAAGTCGCACACCAAACCCTCCACCAAGATCCGGCGCCTCCTCCGCATCCTGCACGCCGAAACGCCCAAGCACAAAACCATTGTCTTCTCCCAATTCACCAGCATGCTCGACCTCATCGAACCCCATCTGAAGTCGAGCCGCCTTGCTTTCGTCCGCTACGACGGCAGCATGCGCAACGACGCGCGTGAAGCTTCTCTCCATTCCCTGCGCTCTGATCCACGCTGTCGCATTCTACTCTGCTCGCTGAAATGCGGCAGTCTTGGCTTGAACCTCACGGCAGCGTCGCGCGTAGTGATTCTCGAACCCTTTTGGAATCCTTTCGTCGAAGAGCAGGCGATCGACCGCGTACACCGCCTGAATCAAACCGTCGACGTCAAAGTCTACCGCTTGACAGTGCGCGCCACAGTCGAAGCGAAGATTCTGGAGCTGCAGAAGCGCAAGCGCGAATTGGCGCGTGCGGCCATCGAGGGCGGAGCCAAAGCGGGCGTGAACAAATTGTCGATGCAAGACATCTTGTCGCTGTTTGGGCGGGATGCGGAGCATGGCAGTGCCCATCACAAGGAGGACCGCGAGCTGTGGGAGAAGTTTGGGAGTGATCATCGCTTGCTCGATGGGCCTAGTAGTCAAGGGGCGTCGGGAGTAGCCCGGGATCCGACGAGGGCGATGAAGCCGGGGAAGGAGAGGTTGTTCAAGGAGCATGATTTTTTCGGCCGGAGGTGGTAGAGATGGAAGCTGTCGTTCTGGCATCGCTTGTTGGAGTAGTGAGGCGCTTGGATAGCGTGTATCGTCGAGAATCAATCAGGCATGCGTAGCAGCGTCGTCCAGGTATTATATCGCATCCGCACCGCCATCCTCCTCTCGTACTCCGACGCGTACGTCTGCGTTCCGTCCCATTGGTCCCTGGTGAATTCAATCATGTACGCCACCCCTGAATCAGGCATTTCATGTCAGACAAGAAAATACTCGGGAGGGAAAATCACCACTTACCGACTTCATGCCCCGCAAATAAGAACGAATGCTCCGCCACGGGATTCTTCTGCAACTCTAAGAGTAAGTGCGCAAGCGCCTGCGTCTCGAGTTCCAATTGCGGCCGCTCGGCATCGCACACGGTGGACAGAAGCCGTTTCACGATAATCAGGCATTCGATCGAGAGGCCGAAATTTTCGCGGCGCATCGCGAGCTCTGCTGGAGAGGGTGTAGAGAGTGACCACCGCACGCAATGCGCTTTGTAGTCTTCTGTCCAGGCGAGGATTTCGCTGTGGAGCGCGCGACATCGGGCTTCTAGGGCTTGCAGAGCAGCATCGTCGAAGAGAGTGGCGTCGTCGTTGACGGCTGTATCTACATCTCGCCAGAGATCAGGCAGGAAGAAAGTGACGGAGCGAATGGCGATTGTCAACGGACTGCGATCCGTCAGCTCGTCCGTGTCGATGACGAGCGAGCGGTAGAGGTCCATCCACTCGGGCTGCGCGAGGTAGCAGGATATGATGCTTGTAAGGGCTTCGGAGACGACGGGTCCGACGTGGGCGGCGAAGAGGGCTTTTTCAAAGTCTGTTTGGAAGCGGGTGGGTGTGCGGGCTTTTACTAGGCGCGTGGAGCCCCAGAGGTGTTGGTCCCAGGCTGCTGCTCGGGTTGGGTCGAGGAGCTTGGGGATTGTTAGGACGATGGTAGATTAGATGATAGGGTGATGGGGCTCACCTCATGAATACTGAGGAGCTGCGTGGCACACAGGACATCAGAGTCCAAGCAATTCGAGGGGTCGGCGATGGCGTCTTGTAATGTCTGCAGAGCTCGAGAGTAGAGGCGCAGAAGAAGCTGCGAATCCGTGAATTCGTCTGGAGCCAGAATGCTGCGCACTTTCGCTAGTACGCAGTTTGTCGCGGCCGTGATGCATTTACTTGAGCCGTAGCGGCTGGGGACGAATTCCACAAAGGACCTGGTGCGCGGGAAATCGGTGTTAGTTGAAGCCTCACGAGGCGGGTTGAAGGAATGCTTACCACTGCTTTGCGTTGAGGAGATATTTCAGATTCGAAGGATCCGCAGCCAGTGCCGCAAGGGTAGGCCTGCCGATGTAAAAGCTAGTGAGCATGGACAAGTCGGCGACATCGACCTGGAACCTCGAGCGCGCGAATTCATAGTCTGTAAGGAGATTGGTGGAAGAGAGCAAGCTCAGAGGACTAGTAGCCTTAATCGGAAGCCGTCGAGGGACGAGCTCATCGAACGTAGTGTCGTCGGATGATGTTGACGGCGTGCCGTTGCCCGAGCCATCGTCCGACGAGCTGGCTGCAGACTGCATTGGGGCAGTGGTGCAGCCATCCTCGCCCTCGCCGCGCATTTTCCGGCCGCGTTTCCTCCGCGCGTGGCCCACATCCTTCATTGCCTGTTTGCGGATAACAGTCCTGATGCTCGGGTCATTCTGCAGTTTCGGCCCGCTGGACACGATGAAGGGGAAGTCGGTTTGTGGCATGATTGCCGCTGCAGCCTGCTGGGCCTTTTGCGTCGTCAAAGAGGTAATTCGCAGCCGTTGTGGATGTTGGCTTTTTGCTGTGGGCGACGTCGTGACATGCTTGGTCTTGGTAATCTGTCTGCGCCCTACTGCTGGGCTGTCCCCTTGGGCAAGGTGAGGTGCTGCGGCGGAGACTTCCAAGACCGCCGCGACTGGACTGATGCCTCGTTTGGGAAGGTGAATTGTTTCGGATTCGCAAAAGCGGTTGAGTCAGCCGGTGCGGCTGAGCGTCCTTCTATATTGGTATCTTAACACATTGGCCATCCTCCCATCGTCAATGCACAATATTCTGCAGATGGAATCCTCGTACTTTGCTGGACCTGATTATCGTCTAAGCACATAGCTTTCATGTGTTCCTAAAGTCAATCAAGGGCACGAGGCTGAGCGGCCGTTATCGCTTTTCCGTGAAGGCAGGAAGAGTATGAGCAGAACAATGCTTCACAAATCACAGGATAACTATAGAAAAAGTAGCAGGCCCCTTCCGCCGTCTACGCCGCAATTCCCTCCCAAAACCTCCGCAGCCTATTCACCCGATCCCTCTCCGGCTCCCTCATCGCCATTCCACACTGCAGCCTAGTGTCCGCAGCAGCAGAAGCCGAAGCAGCAAGCTTCAGCTTGCGCGAAAACCTCCAAACCATGACGCCGACTCCACCCTCCCCTCGCGGCCGCGAACTGATATCCCTCGCCTTCCGCTCCAACCACACCCTCAACCCCGCCTTCATCTGCTCCCTCTCCACCCGTCTCTTCCTCTCCACCAACTGCCCCGCGACGCCCGTTCCTAGTACAAACTCGCCCGAACGCCGATCATACTTGCAGCACTCGACGGGAATCTTGTTTTCGCTGATGAGCGAGGAGAGTTTCGGGCGGCGCGAGAGTTGGCGTGAGAGGCGGATGCGCACGAGCGACCAGTGCAGCTTGCGCGCGGCGACGTGTGTGCGGGTTAGGTGGATGGTGGAGAGCGGGGGTTGGAGGTAGCGGAGGGGAGGGCGGAGGGGGAGCAGGTGAGCGACGCGGGCGTGTGCGTATTTCAATCGCAGGCGGTGGAGAATGGGGTCAAGAGAGAGCGTGCGGAGAGAGTGGGAGGTCTGCATAGAGCATTGGTGAGCGTCAGCTACTATGACGAAGGTATGATTGGAGGGCTGCCTGGTGCATGCGCCTTACCTTTGCGGTGGCTAGCAAAGCGTCAACGTCAAGGAACCAAAGAATGTAGATGACGATTTCGTCTGGCAGGTCGTAGAAGGACATGGTAGACGGGTGCGCCTTGAGCAGCAGCGGCGAACGTGACATGATTGTCGAGTGATGTGGCATGGATGGCGGGGAGAGTCGAGCTGGTAATGATGTCAAGCGACTCGGCCGCATTGGGTTAGTCTCGAAACTGCACGCGAGGTGATGTTGGACGTCGCGCCTGCGATCTTCGCGATGGTGAAAATAATTGAAAGTGTGTGCCAGATAGTCGAACATGGTGTGACAGATCTCCGACGTGTGAATCGAGCTCGTCTACATCCTGCAGCAGCGCCGTCCGGGTGTTAAATCGTACCGGCGGCTGACGGTCGGAGATGGCACATCTCCGTCCGACCAGTGTCTCAAAAGTCGTCCTACTGCTCACCGGAATCTGCGCTTGACTTCTCGGAGAGCGGCCATCTAGGCAAGCAACTCGGAAGTGCAGAGCAAGTGTAAACTTCAGCAGCGGCTGCCCGTCAATGGCACTATTTGGCAAATCTCCGTTGGGCACCATTTCGGCTTTTGGCCCAGGAGTGGCTACACCTTGCAAGTGACAGCTCGGAGAGCGCACCATCTGGGCAGTAAATCCTCAATGCCGACCACGTGCCAGAGTGTCGTGTTTGCTGCCGGTCAAAGGTACAATTTGGCAAATCTCAGTCCGGCCAATTTCTCGAATTTGACCGCAGAGTCGCCTAGTGTTGAGGACGGAAGTCGAAGAGAGTGGCCATCCAGGCAGCAGTCCTTGAGCGCCGACCGAGTACTGAACTCTTCGGTCAGCCGGCGGTCGAAGGTACAAGTTGGCTCATCTCAGTGCAGCAATCGCCAGAGTCGCTGGTCAGAAGTCGTCCACTTTCGAGAATGAACATGACGGAGAGCGCCATTTAGGCAGCTAACCTTGAGCGTTGACCAAGTGCCGAGCGACTTTCGTCCGCTGCTGGCCAAAGGTACAATTTGGCACATCTCGGTCGGCCGAAGTCCTTGAATTCGACCCAGGTGTCGCCGAATGTTGAGAAGAGAAGTCGCGGAGACGCACCAAATGGCGGTCAAGCTGCCATTTCACGGACAGCCGCTAGCGCCCGCACTTATTGACCAATCATATCAATTCTAGCGTCCGCAGACTGCACCGCGCATCTTCGACGGAGTGCAAGATTTCTCGACCCTGCTATAGCCTTACATGGAACCGCGCAATGGCGGCGAAGACGATGACCGATACGCGGGCGCACCAGGCCCCTCCTGAAGACCTCAAGGCCGTGTACAAAGCCTTCCACAAGCTCGACACCAAAGCTGCTTTCAACCATCCCGACCTCATCGATGCAGCGCAAGGCTTGCCCTTACGGCGAGACTTACTCCGTCCGTCGAATGTTGTCGAGCTTCCATCCGAGCTGCGACAGATCTTTGCCAATTTCCTGTCTCACAAGCAGGAAGTGCTCAATTCTCTCGTCCTGAACCCAACTACCAACCCCCCATTCTATGAGGTCGAATCATTACCTGGTGAGCCATGCAGCTAGCCCTTCCAATATCAACCCACAGTTCTAAACAGAGTAGGTCTCTTCCTCTACCCCTCCCTCCTCCCTCCCGCAATCCAGCTCCATCTCCTCGATACTCTCCTCCACCGTGACCTCTCCAATCCAGAGCACATGACAAACGTCCACTTCCACCACCACCTCCCCTACCCCACCAATAAAGACCAATCCTCCTTCTTCAGCCCCTCTGCTTCAATCCTCTCCTTCACGCCCAAAGACCCAGCTCTCCACAAACCCCTCACCACCCAGCAATTCCTCAACAAAAAGCTCCGCTGGCTTACTCTCGGCGGCCAATACGACTGGACGAATAAAATCTACCCCAACGCTGAACCCCCGCCCTTCCCACCAGACATCAAAACTCTGATCGAGGAGATTTTCCCCATGAAAGCCGAAGCTGCGATTGTCAACCTCTATTCCCCTGGTGATACACTCAGCCTGCATCGTGATGTTAGCGAAGAGTGCAATCGGCCGCTCGTTAGTATTTCCCTTGGCTGCGATGGGCTTTTCCTCGTGGGATTGGATGGAGATGATGAAGGGGGAGAATCGAGGATGGCGGTTATTAGGCTGCGGTCTGGGGATGCTGTGCTTATGAGTGGTGAGAGTAGGTATGCTTGGCATGGTGTGCCCAAGGTCGTGGAAGGGACGTGTCCGACTTGGATGGAGAATTGGCCGGCATTTGAGGGAGTAGAGGGGAAAGAAGGGGTTGACGATGACTTTGCGAAGTGGAAGGGCTGGATGAAAGGCAAAAGGGTCAACTTGAACGTACGGCAGATGTTCGATCGAGGAGACCCCGCAGCCTGACCGCATAAAGAATCACGCAACCTGAACGGGGAGTGTACGAAATGGTGTATCACTGTTCTCACGCGGCTGAAAGACTTGCGATAGAACTGAAGATGTCTACCTCGCTTACTTTCGCTGAGCTCGATAAAATGCTGACGCGAGAATGCCCCCTCTGTTCATTCCGCCGAAATTCCCGCCTTAGATAACCATATACTCGTTCCCCAGCAAATGACGAAAAGCGAAAGCCCGACTTCCTGGCTCCAAGTACTCCGATGTTGCTGCAGCAAAGACCGTGTGCGTAATTGTGTGATGAGCAGCGGAATGCTCAATGCAGGCCCCCTCTTCTAAGCCTCCGACATGGCGTTGCGCTTGTTGTCACCATCGAGCTGGCTGAGCTCAAGGGAGCGACTGTGCATGTAGACGTGGATAGTTGAGCATAGGAACTGAGTACCCATGCAGACGGCAGCGCCAAGAAGCGCACCGATGACGAGGAAAGTGGCGATGAGTTCCCTGCTCGCGTGCAGCTCGTCTTGAAAGACGTCCGTCGGGGATGCTCGGAGGAAGGTGGTAGGGTTGACGTAGAGGCATGCTGTAAATCCGGTGGCTAAACATGAAACAGACGGTCAGCGGTATCTTTTCTTCCGGACGGAGCGACTTACCCAAACCAGTACCCACTGCCGCCGCCCAGTTGCCCTTGCACGAAAGGCCAGCCCAACGCTCCCACAGTCCAAAGCTCAGCAGCGGAATCACCGCCACGCAGACGAGGAAAAGCGCCGCCTTGCCCGCAACGCTGGGCCAGTCGACTTGCAAGAACCAGGTGAGAGACGCCAGGCTCTGCGCTGCGTCGCCAGCCGTTTGATTCATCTTGACCAGGACTTGACTCACTTCCTTTGCGGAAAGCTCTGAAGCTTGAAGCTCGGCGTTGGTTCTGCTGACTTGTATGGCGACGGCTCCGATGTTGCTGGCGAGTTTGTTGATGGCGCTGTTGATCTCGAGAACGATGTCTTGCTGCAAATCGAAGCCTTCGCTGATTTTGCCGAGTTCTGATAGCAGGTGCTGTGCGGCGTATTGGGTGACGTACTCCATCTGCGTCGCAAGGTCTGTGACGCGCATTTCTTGCTGCCCCAGAAAAGCGGATAAGCGGGCGGCGAAGTCGGTGGTGGACTCGTTCACTTTCTGCAGACTCAACTGAGTGGTCATAGAGGCGTTCATAAGCACCTGGAACAGCTGTTCGCCATGCGCCTTCGTGTATTCAGCCGTCGTGTCGGCCATGTCAGTGTGCATGCCGCGCCAGCGAGTCTCAAGGTCGACCAGAAACTGTGCCACAGCCGCCTGAGTTTCAAAAAACTGGTTTTGATACATTTGCGCCATCTGCTCGTGCTGCTCGCCCACGAGACCAAGACTCTGCATGATGTTCTTGTACGTCTTGATGCTTTGCTCCATCTGCAGTTCGCCTTGTAGTGTGTGGCAAATCACCACGGCGTTCTGCTTAGAATTGCTGTAGCTGGTCCAGGACTGCGGTCTCTGCTCCAGGGCGGTGAGGCAGCCACCGAGACGGTTGTTGGTGATCTCGTCGTATTGAGGATAGAGAGTTGACGGTTTACTGTGACTTTCGTCGAAAAGATAACCAGCCATTGCACGCTTCTTGGTGTTCGCTTCGTTTGGCACAAAGGCAGCGCAGTTTGGAGGAATGTCGGCTTGTGCTTCTAGCAATTCGCAGACGGCAAGTCCAGCTCCGTATGCCTTCCATGCGTCAGATAGGACAACATTCATGGCGGAAGGCTCGTCAGAATCCCGAGGAGCGGAGCAGGAGTGCATCAAAGCAGCGGTCGCGACTTTGTGGCAGGATGGCAAGCTAGAGAACGTCTTGATGATCTTGTTGGCGTCTTCAAGACGCTCCGGAAGAGACATGCCGACGTTGATGGGAATGTTCCGATTCATCATTGCTTGAAGCTGTACTTTGGAAGCTGTTGCGTCTACAACAATGTAAGCGGGTATCGACAGTATGGAATCAGGGCTCAATGGTCCTTCTTGACAAACCTGTTGCTCTCCACCCAAAGTGGATAGCAGTGGCCGGTTGGATCAGGTAAAGTAGACCTATCATGAAGAAGGCTGTGATGCGAAAGAGTGCCATGTTAGCGACCGTCTCTACTACGGATCAAATGCGCTGGAAGAAAGGCGGTGCAGGTAATGCGGTGGATGTCGGCGATCAGGGTATGCGAGAGCTGGTATTGTTGAAAGAGCAGCCTGGCAGATCGCGAGGGAGAGGTGTTGGATTATGAGAGATCAAGCGAGGTGTGAGGCCACTTGATATTCGCCCACTTCCAGTAGATCAACGTCGTGCTCAGCCTGAGCCTTGACGCTAGGCACATGCCTCGATTTTGCACGTGCTCGCTGCGACTCTACGAATCTAAAGCCGGGTGGCAGTGAGGAGGAAGTGAAGGGACGAAGTGAGAGACGCGTGAGCGCGGACGCGCCAGAGAGTGAGGTCAAGAATTGGACGCGGCTCTTCCCGCGCCGATCTCCGTCTGCGGACTTCATGCATTTTGCTCCTGATTTCCTACCACACCTGCACTCTCCAAAACAGCACACCGCACCCAATGGCGGCCCCACGATCATGCCAGCGCTCATCAAGCGCTCTACACTCGGTCTTTGCGACGGCAAAAGCGCGAAACGTCACTCTCCCCGCCTTCCTCGTCCCGGCAGCCGCATACCCTTCTCATTCACAACGCCCTCACTTCTCGACTTCATCGCAATGCCGAAGCAAGATCGGCAAAGCGCCTCTTTCACTTCCTCCTGAAGTCACGTTCAACATCATTGAGCCGCCACTACCCAAGCGAGGCAAGGCAGTCAGCCGTGTCGAGCCCACGCGCACCGTGGAGATTCAAGGGCCCTTGGGGAAGATGAGCATGAGCATACCGAACTATGTGCAAATTGCGTCGAATGAAGAGAGCCGCACGCATACTTTGAGCATCTTGAATGCTGAGGACAAGAAGCAGAAGGCGATGTGGGGTAGGTCTCACATATCCATTACTTGTTCTGAGCGCATGAACTGAGCTTTGATTTCTAGGAACCGTGCGCGCGTATCTGCAAAACCACATCATGGGCGTCAGTGAAGGCCACACCGCCATCCTCCGGCTGGTAGGAGTCGGATACAGAGCTACGATCGAAGACAAGGCGGTCACGAAACAACCCGAGTACGAGGGACAGAAGTTCGTTTCTCTCAAGGTCGGCTTTTCGCACCCCATCGAGCTGGCTGTGCCGCGCGGAGTCAAAGCCAGTACGCCGCAGCCCACGCGGATCTTACTCGAAGGGATTGAGAAAGAGGTAGTCAAGCAATTCGCGGCAGAGATCCGGGCATGGAGGAAGCCAGAGCCGTACAAGGGCAAGGGGATCTTCGTGGATTCAGAGACGATCCGGCTCAAGAGCAAGAAGATCAAGTAGGCGATTGTATAATATTGAAAGGCTTCGACACCGAGGATTTGAATTGTCAGTGCATTCGCTCCTGAGAGCATTCGCGAAACACTGCAACACATGCAACGAACAAACGTCCCTGATTGAGCATCGCTGACTGACGCAGTTCTCATTGCGCACATATTATGCGATGATACGCCGTGAAAGATTCATCGACACCTGTATAAGCTCTGATGTTCGATATTAGATTTGGGTTACGCAGCCTTGCACGATCACAGGGAAGGAACGAGCCACCGTGCAAACGCCTCCTGCCCGTCGAAGAGTGCCTTCCTCATGCACGACGGATGCAAATTTCTCACCGTTTCACGTTTGACTCACCGTTTTCAACTCTCAACTTGCTTCTTCTTGTCGTCCCTCTCTACGCTCTCCTCAGTCAACCTCCTTCTCAAACCTCATCGAGATGTCGAGGGCGACATCCAACCACGACTCACAAAGCGAGATGAGCGACGACAAGCACGATGTTGTGCACTGCCAGATCACCCCCTCCGGCTACGTCAAGAACCCAGCAAATGCAGAAATTGTCGGCACTCTGGATCTCCCAAATTCAACCCTCCACCTTTGCGTCGGCGGCCAAGTCTCCGCCAGACGAAGGGTCACGCCACGATAGCGTGGTGAAGGTCTGGGGGCGGGTTGTCGGCTACGTTTACGCATGGCCACGAAGAAGAGGCGAGATCTTCCAGGCCGATCTCGAGGGTGCTGCTCCGGTCGTTGAGTCACAGCTCACCGAAGCTCCTCGTCCGTCATCCACCACGCCGCACTCCACAGACTCCTCGACCTCTTGCCAGCACAGACGCGTTCCAATTCGTGTACAAGCTCAACGCGGACGCATTCAATGCGCGGGTTGTCAACAGTAAGTATCACATCTCCTTCCTTGAGCGGCACACCTTGACGAGTGAATACTAACGCCGTTGACAGGTGGTTCGACCATCTACTCCAGTGCCCCGGGTGTAGCAAGCAGTGGTGCAACATCTGTCACTCAGTCGTGTCCAACAAGCACCACGGCAACCGCAGAAGCAAGCAACGTCAGAAACCTCCACCGGGCGTGCGGAAAGCGATGAAAGCTGCAAGAGAACGGGATGGACACGATGATGGCGCTGCCGGGGCTGGGTCAATGGCTTGTTAAGAGCCGATCATGACCTTCTTCAGGGATGTCCACATCCCTATGTTCACCAAGACGAAAGAGAGCGAGATGGACAAGAGAGAAGCATGGCTTACTTTCAGGGATGCCCACATCCCTATGTGCTTGAAGCCGGTGTACATGTAGCTTGTTTCTCTGCTCAATCGAATCTTTCCAAACCTTCAGATAACCATCGCCGCGTTCCACATCTCACCGATCACATTCTTGCCAGATTCCCTCTATCCCGCTATCAAAGGTGCTCAGATCGTGCAATCTACGTACCGCGGAGATTTAGGCATACCGTCGACCGTGCCGGCTTCTGCGCCTACGCGGATTGCAGGTCGCCGAGGCTGCCTTGGTGCACGCTCACCCTAATCACCGAGGCTGAGTGAGTCACAACATGGCGCGATTGTTACATGCAGCACGCCCTGAATCACGAGAGATGTAAGACGGCTGGTCGGGGCGCCACCACGCGGTACGTCGGAGTGATCTTTCGATCTGATAAAGACTCCCCCCTCCCAATGTCCCATCTGATAACGCTTGTCGATCTAATAACCCTTCAGCCTTGTCACTTTGGCCGTCTCTCCACCGCCATGACTACCGCGAACAAAACCAATTCTACGCCGCTCGGGGTTGAAGAGATTCTTCCTCAGATACCTGATTGCGATGTAGAGCTGGCAGACATTGGACGGGTCACTAAGAAAGACTCGAATGACCCCTACCTCGTCGCCTTTGCCGAGCCTTTCGATGCAGAGTGCCCTCGAACCTGGTCAAACGGCAAGGTATGCTCGAAAGCTGCGATCTTTTGCCGTTTCTCTAACCTTCCATTTAGAAATGGACCGTCACCGACGTCCTGTCAGCTACTGGCTTCAATCGTAAGTCTGCAGAGATCGTCCACCTCATCGTATACATGCTAAAACTCGCATGCCGAACAGGCATTATGCTCTCTACAATCATGGCTCCCGCCCTGCCCGTGATCGCCAAAGAGCTCCACATGAGCAGCACGGAGTCCGTCATGGCGCTGTCCGCCTACATGCTCGCCACAGCCTTCGGTCCCCTGGTGTTCGGGCCTTTGTCAGAGATCTACGGTCGGGCACCGACCCTGCACGTCTCCAACATTTGGTTTCTGATCTGGAACCTCGTGTGCGGTTTTGCCAACACCAAAGGCCTGTTGATCGCTTCGAGATTACTGGCCGGTCTCGGCGCCAGTGCGGTTTATTCGCTTGCTGGAGGCGTCCTAGGCGACATTTGGACACCTGAGCAGCGTGGGAAGACACTCGGTGTGTATCTGCTCATTCCTCTGCTCGGATGTGCGGTGGGACCAATTATTGGCGGCTTCATGGCGGGTACGTCTACATGGCGCTGGATCTTCTGGTCGACATCTGCCTTTCAAGCTGTCATGACTGTTGCGTCGTTTCTCGCTTTCCATGAGACGTACGCGCCTGTGATCTTGCGTCGAAAGGCGGCAAGGATCAGACGCGAGACTGGAGATGAGCGGTATCGTACAGCGGAAGAGAGACTAATAGGCAAGCGGTCCCTCACGCAAGTCCTGTCGAAGGGTCTGTCTCGACCCATCCGGCTGCTTGCATTCAATCACATCATTCAAATCACGGCCCTGGTCTCAGCCGTGGAATATGGCCTGCTGGTAAGCCTTCCCGTCCCAAGCAACCAGAACTTTGCTAATCTGCGTAGTATATCGTCCTCACCACCCTCTCCATCCTCTACCAAGACCTCTACCGCGAGTCCGTCGACATCAGCGGCCTTCACTACCTAGCACCCTGTCTCGGCGAACTAGTCGGATCCCAAATCGGCGGCCCACTCATGAGCACAATCTTCAAACGCCTCAAGCGGCGCGAGAACGGCGCAATGCGTCCCGAATTCCACATCCCCATCCTCCTCCCCGGAGCGATCATCGCGGCCAGTGGTTTCCTGCTCTACGGCTGGGCAGCGCACTTCCGCACCTACTGGCTTGTCGTCGATCTGGGCGTCTTCCTCGCGGCTTTCGGAGGCCAGGTTAGTGGCATGCCGGAGCAGGCGTATGTCATTGATTCGTTTCCGGAGTACACGAGTTCGGCGACGGCGGCGTCGCAGTTTGTAAGGAGTTTGACTGCTTTTGGGTGAGTTTCTTCCTTGGTGGTCAATGGTGGTCAATGGTGGTCTCTCTTGACTGACAAGGATGTACAGCTTCCCACTGTTTGCACCGACGTTTTATGCCGCTCTGGGGTATGGTTGGGGGAATACCTTGCTGGGCTTCCTTGCGTTGGCGATTTTCGTGCCTACGCCTATCGTCATTTGGATGTATGGTCCCAAGCTGCGGGCAAATGCTCGAGGTATATTCTGAAAGAGATGAGAAGTATGCTATAAGAGTGGTGTACAGTCAAGCAATGTACTGAGTCGAGACACACGCCCGTTATCACGCATCAATCTCGTCCAACATCACCCACACTCCGCCCTTCGGCTTCGCAGTCACGCCACCCTTGATATCAAACTCCCCTCTCGCCAGCGGATTCCCCTCCTCGAACTTGGTATCGAATCTCATCAGCCACCCGGCTAAAAGACACTCAAACTCGGCCTGCGCAAATCGCTGCCCAATACAACTCCGCGGCCCATGCAAGAACGTCAAAAAGGCGAAATTGCTCTCCGCGCCGCCTTTATTATTCGCCTTGCCATCGGCATCCAGCCACCGCTCAGGTTTGAACTCCTTCGCGTCCGGGCCCCACAGGGCGGTGGAGGTGTTGATGGCCCAGGGGGAGATGATGATAACGGTGCCCTTGGGGATGAACTGCCCGTTGATACTAGTGTCTTTGTCAGCCTGGCGGAGCGTGAGGCCAACGGGCGCCCAGAGGCGCAGGATCTCATTGGTGCAGGCTTTGAGGTATTGGCAGCGGTCGAAGTCGGCGGCGGTGACGGGCTCGTCGAGGCTAGGGAGCTGGGCGCGGAGTTCGGTGCGGAGTTTCGCTTGGATTTCCGGGTGGCGGCACAGGAGGTACATGGACCAGATCATGGCTGTGGCGGTTGTTTCGTGGCCTGCGACGAGGAAGGTCATCATTTGGTTGACTAGGTCTTCGTCGCTGAAACCGCCTGATTCCAGGGCGACGGAGATGATGTCGACGTCTGTGCGGCTCTTCTCTGCCATGCTAGCGCGTTTCTTCGCAATCAGCTCGCGGCAGACTTGTTTGACGTATGTTGCGGCATCTGAGATTTGCCGGTTGATCTTGAGCGGTAGGCGGGTGATGAACCAGAATGGAAGAACGAGGGCCGCCAGTTGCAAGACTATTCCCCCCTCTCCTTGGTTGAAGATTGTCCGATACGTTTGGTTCAATTTGTTGTTTTCGTCTTGGAGGGAGTTGAAGTCCTGGCCCATTCCTGAGAGGCCGATGATGTCGAGCGTCGCTCGGGACACCCAGCCGCCTACTTCGATGGCGCCGGGTGCGTGCTCTGAGCCCTTGGGAGATTCCTTCTCTGGAAGGAGCGGTTCCTGATTGCCGTTCATTGGCGTGGTTGGTGTGACTTTGCATGCTTCAGCCAGACAGTCGGTCATTTCCTTCGCCTTTGCCCAGAAGGTGGGATAGAGATCCTTGACGTGGCGAAACGCAAACGCAGGCATGAGATTCTTTCTCTGCACCTTGTGCTCGTCTCCCTCGGCGAGGAGAATACCAATGCCGAGCGTGCGCCCAATGCCCCTCCGCACACCGGGGGGCTTGACGAAATCATAGGCCTTGGTCACCAGCACTTCGCTCAGAACCCGCGTATTGCACAAGAGGAGTCGCTCCGTCCCAAACATGGAGTAGCGGATGAAGCCATCATTGGGCACATTATGTACCCACTCGCACTGCAGCTTGCTCGAGGGGGCTTTAATGATTTGTCTGGTGTGGCCGAAGAGAAAGCTGCCGCCGGGGGCCACAGGGATGTGGCGAAGTGGGCTGAAGAAGCGCGGGTACACGTAGACGCTCCATAGTGTGGAGAGAATCTTATACGTGACGTCGAGGATGAGTTTGATGATGGCGATGTAGATGGCGCTGCGAATCCATCCAGTGGCGAAGCGCTCCGGGTCAGACCTTTTGAGGAAGAGAGTGATATTGATGGCGATGACGAGGAGAAGGGCGTCAATGCCGACCAATCGTTTGAGGAATCCGTTCTGCACTTCCCCCATGTTGGATATAGAGATAGATGGGGAGGGTGAGAGAGGAAGGGAAGGTGGCTTGGTGGGTGCTTATGAACGAGGTGTCGTTGATGCCTCGCAGGATTTACATAAGCCGGGAACGAACTGGCCAGTGACACGCCTCTCTGCTCCGGAAACGACACGACTCTCTATTCCGTCCCGGGACACGGCCCCGCCTTGCCTCATGCATAAATAATCCCTCCTCTGCAGCATCGCTGTCAGATTGAAAGAGGCGAAGTAACCAAGGACAGCTGAAGACATCGGACAAGGCTATCTGACAGGAGATGCGCCTCACAATCCAAGACCGCCCAGAATGTAGGTACGTAACGCAAATAACGTGTCTGTCGCGGGCCACTGATAGTTGTTGAATCCTAACCGCCGAGGCCACGTCAAACAAGCGCTAAGCGACGGGGTTGAACGACGGGAGTCGCCAAATCCACAGCATTTGATGACATCACGCGCCAGCGCGTGGCATGGGCGGGGCCAAGCCTTAATTAAACTCCTGTCCTGTCTCTGGATTGATGGATTCAATACATATGCCACCGCGACACTCTCCTCCCGTTGTTCAAACCCACCTAAGACCTGCATCTGCATTCACCATCGTCTCACTCTCATCTCCTTTCCTTTGTCCGCATTTTGAGCGTCTTTGACGCCCCACAGCACGCATGCTTCAACCACGATAAATCACCACGCCCACGATTAACGAATCGCCTCTCCCCTCTATCCCTCCTCCCACCACGACATGTCCGCCAATAACAATGTCCCATCCAACTGCGATGCCTCCAGCTTCCTCGGCGCCCTCAACTGCGGCTCAGGTGTCGCTGCCGACAGCGAAGGCCAAACCGCAAACACCCTCTTAGCCGCCTTGGTCGTTTCCGGGGCCTCCTTCGGCGCGCAACTCCTCCTCTTCGCCCTGCTACGCCTACGCCTCTCCAACATCTACCAGCCCCGAAGCTATCTCGTTCCCCCGAAAGAGCGTGTAACTGCCCCGCCGCCTGGAGTGGTGGCCTGGCTATATCCTCTGTTCACCACTCCAAACCTCGCCTTCGTCCAAAAGTGCGGCCTCGATGCCTACTTCTTCTTACGATACCTGCGCATGCTCTTGAAGATCTTCGTGCCGTTGGCCGTCGTCATTCTCCCCATCCTCCTCCCAATCAACAACTACTCCGGCCACGAAGAGGAAGGCCTTAATCGGCTGTCCTTCTCCAACGTCGCCAACAAATACAAGGCCGACCGGACCTGGGCACATCTTATACTAGCCCTTTGCGTCATCCTCTGGGTCTGCTATGTCATATTCGACGAGCTGAAGGGCTATATCAGAGTCCGCCAGGCCTTCTTGACCAGCCCGCAGCATCGGATAAAAGCCTCTGCCACCACAGTCCTGGTCACCGCCATCCCGCACAAATGGCTCACGTTGGAGGCGCTCAGCGGTCTTTACGATGTTTTCCCCGGTGGTATTAGGAACATCTGGATCAATCGCAATTACGATGAGCTCGCCGACAAGGTGTCCACCCGAAACTCGGTGGCTATGAAGCTTGAAGATGCGGAGACAACGTTGGTTAGGTTGTGCTGGAAGAAGCACCAGGAGGCTGAAGAGAAGGAGCGGGAAAAGCACGGTGAGAAGAGGAGAAGCAAAGTGGAGAGACACAGGGATGAGAAAGAAGAAGACGCGGAGGCGCAAGTCATGGCGCAAGGCGATGGTGTCAGTGACGGACATCAATATGGCCACGCGCAAGGTCTCCAAGGCGCTTTAGAGGATGCTGAAGAGGCCGATGAGAAGAGGTCGAGTCAGGAGCGTCGTCGGCGGAAACGCTTTGGAGTCCTTGGGGATGGCTTCGGCGCGTTAGGGCAAGGATTGAATACTGTCGGCCATGGTGTAGGTCACCTTGGACAAGGCCTCGCTGGAAACTTGGATACCGGCTTGAAGAAGGCTGCCGGCGATGTGGATCAGCGCATTGCCGGCAAGGGCTTCATCATGGATGACGAGCTGTATGCGGACAATCTGGATGGTGGCTCTGACGACCCGCCCTCTCCTCCGCCAATGACACCTCGAGAAGAGCGCGAACAGCGTCTCCAAAACAACGCGACTCCAGCCGCACACATTCGCCATGTGCAGTATGCGGAGCAAGGCTCGCCAGATTCAAGCGAGGGATCCGACCTGACGCCAGCAAAGGAGAATTTCCAAAAGCCAGTCCACCGCCCGACAAATCGCTCCATCGAAACGACGGGAATGTCGCCCTTTCAGCTCGAGATTCCCATGGAAAAGGAAAAGACTCACCCTTTCTGGATGTTTTGGAAGAATCACGATGATTCCCTTGACCTGCCATCTCCTCAGCCACATTACGCTGACGAGGAGGAGTTTCCACTCCATGCTGAGAAAGGCCGGTCCCATGAGCCTGCTGGAGCTGAAACTAGCGACGGCGGATTGTTGGAGAAGCTTGCTTTCTGGAAGTCGGAAGACAAGGACGAAGAAACGACGGTTTATCCCGCGGCATTTGAGAAAGAATTTGACGAGGATCAAGACGGTGATGCAGTCTGGCGTCGGTATATCGAACCCAAGGAGCGCGAGACCATGCGTCTTCCCCTTTTTTCACCCAGCTGGTTCCCCAGTTTGCCGTTAGTTGGGAAGCAGGTTGACCGGATATACTGGCTTCGTCGAGAGCTCGCCCGGCTCAATGTTGAGATTGAAATGGACCAGAGCGAGCCGGAGAAGTACCCCTTGATGAACTCGGCATTCATCCAGTTCAACCATCAAGTCGCAGCTCATATGGCGTGTCAGTCCGTCTCGCACCACCTCCCACAGCAAATGGCTCCACGCCTGGTCGAAGTCAGCCCGGACGATGTGCTGTGGACAAACATGTCCATCACCTGGTGGGAGACTTATGCGCGCACATTCGTCGTCCTCGTCATTGCAGCGGCCCTCATCATCCTCTACGCCATCCCCGTCACATTTGCCAGCTTCCTATCCAAGCTTTCCACGTTTGCACGACTCAAACCTTTTGCTTGGATTGCGCAGATCCCCACGGCCATCCTGTCCGCCATTCAAGGTGTGCTGGGCCCAGCAGTCCTCGGTTTCATCCTCACCCTCGTTCCCATCATCTTTGGAGTTCTGGTTACGCATCAGGGTGTACCCACCGGAACGAGCAGGGAACTTGGCATTCAGCAGTGGTACTTTGCCTTCTTGTTCATTCAGGTCTTCTTGGTGGTCAGCATCACTGGAGGAATTGTGGCTTTCATCACCTCCTTCGCATCGAATCCGACGGGGATCGTGAGCTCCTTGGCCAACGATCTGCCCAAGGCCAGCAATTATTTCTTCTACTACCTGCTGGTCCAGGCGTTGTCCACTTCGGCCTCCAGCTTGCTCCAAGTGGGATCGCTCATCGGCTGGTTCATTCTTGCGCCACTAATGGACAGCACAGCGAGGGCCAAATGGGCTCGACAGACGACACTCCAGGACTTCACTTGGGGCTCTTTCTTCCCGCCCTTCACCAACTTCGCGGTCATCGGCCTGGTATACTCGGTCATCGCCCCGCTCATCCTCGTCTTCATGCTCATCATCGTCGGCCTGTTCTGGATAGTGTTCCGCTACAACGTGCTCTACGTCTACCAATTCCGCAACGACACCGGCGGCCTGCTGTTCCCCAAAGCCGTCAACCAGATCTTCGTCGGCGTGTACACGATGGAGCTGTGCCTGATTGGCCTCTTCTTCATTGCGCGCGACGCCAACGACAAGGCGGCGTGCATTCCGCAGGCGGTGATTATGATTGTTGCGCTCATCTTTACGATTGCGTATCAGGTGCTTATGAATAGTGCTTTTGATCCGCTGTTTCGCTATCTCCCTATCACTTTGGAGGATGATGCGGTGGTTAGGGATGAGGAGTTTCAGCGGGCGCAGGCCGGCAAGTTTGCTCAGAACGACGACCGCCGAGACTCTCGAGACGTGATGCCAGGACGGGAGCAAAGGGATTCAGAAGATGAGAGCAATGTTCCCCAGCAAGAAAGGGAGAGGATGGAGCAGCGCAGACGCAATACTCGGCAAAGCAGCACCCCCATCGCCGACCAAATGGCAAGCCGAAGAAGCAACATCCTCCCCCACGGCCGAAGCAAAGACCATCTAAACCCCTCCCACCCATCCTGGCATTCCGACCGCTGGCGACAAAGCTCCACAGCCTCAAGACTCTCGGCCACAGAAATGATCCAGCTCCGCAACATCAACCGCCCCCGCAACAGCGGAATGCGTCCCCCAGGCGCCACAGCAGCAGGAGCAGCACTCAACAACGACTCCCCACCCAACACGGAAAAAGACACCGAAGCGCAACAAGACGACACCGTCGGCGACGTCCTCTTCTCCGGCTTCGCCGACGAACTCGAAGACCTCACGCCCGCCGAGCGCGACCTGCTCGTGCGCTACGCTTTCCAGCACTCTGCGCTGCGCGCTAAACGACCTATCGTGTGGATCCCGAGGGATAAGCTGGGCGTTGGTGATGATGAGATTCGGCGGGCGAAGAAGATGAGCACGGTGGATGTTTACGACGACGAGGAGGCGGGGAAGACGACGGCCAAGACGAATATTTGGATGAGCAATGAGGGGACTGCGTTGGATGGGAAGGGCAGGGTGGTTTTTCGGCGCAGTCCGCCGGATTTTAGCAATGTGGATTTGATTGCGCTTTGATTTTTGAGAGCGTTGGGGAGCGAGCGGCATAGTCATGATACCCGGTTTCTGGCGCTGCCCTGTGATTTTACAGGATGACAGGTAGCAATTGCACAAGTCATGAACGTTTCACTTTCATCCGGCCCCTAAAAGACGTTGAGTTGACATTGGTGTCCGGTCCAAGCTCACCTTTTGGTGTCGTCATCATGTACGCTCGCTCACCCGCGTCGGCCAGCAGAAGTCGGGTCGCGTTTCGAGAATTTCACAAGATGCGAGCAGTACTTTGTCTTTCTCTTCTTTCCCTCTGAATTCATTCTCGTAGAGACAATCACAACAAAATGTCTTCCAACGGGACAACAGAACACACGCCCCTGCTGCCCCAGCAGAACGGTAACGCCTCGCAACGCAACCACGAAACCATCCAATTCAAAGACGACAACGACAAAGGCAACCCACGCTCCTGGCCCCTCCGCAAAAAATACTTCCAAACGCTGCAAATCTTCGTGCTCGCGCTCGTGTGCCCCATGGCGAGCTCCATGCTCGCGCCCGCCGTCGGCGACATCGCCAAAGAGTTCCGCGCGTCCGACAAGGCTGCGCTCGCCGGCCAGACGAGCTTTGTGTGCATGCTGGGCATCGGGCCGCTGTTTCTCGCGCCCATGTCGGAAACGTTTGGAAGGCGGAAGGTGTTTGTGGTGAATTCGGCGATGTTTGTGAGTTGAGAGAATATGTGCATCCTCGCCGTTGTGCGTTGTATCTTTTGCGAAGATGGGATGGGCGAACAACTGCTGATTCGTGCCATGCGTCTCTAGACGCTCTTGCAGATCCCCACTGCTCTGTCGCCCAACATCGCCTCTTTCATCGCCTTTCGCGCCCTCTCGGGCTTTTTCGGCAGCGTGGGAGTCGCCAATGGAGGCGGCTCCATCTTCGACATGTTTGATGTGCACGAGCGCGCTCCTGTGCTGGGCTTCTACCTTACTGCCCCGCTTGTTGCGCCCAGTATCGGCCCTCTGCTCGGCTCTGTGATTGTCAGGAGCTTGGATTGGCGCTGGATCTTCTGGTGCATGTGCATGCTTGCTGCATTTGTTACTACGTTTATCTATTTCTTTTTGTATGAGACGAACCCTGTGGCTATTCTCCAAGCGCGCAAGAGCGAGTTGCAGAAGAAGCATCCTGATGTGGAGTACGAGGTCGAGGGCGCGAGTGACGAGAGCATTCCCAAGAAGATTATGAATGCAAGTGATTTGACCTGCAGCCCGGAAGTGCAATGACTGACGAACATACAGAACGGCACCCGAGCAGTGAAGATCCTCACCACCCAACCAATCGTCTTAATCCTCTCCAGCTACCAAGCCCTCATCTTCGCCTCCATGTACTCGCTCTTCGCCACCTACACAGACATCTGGTCCCAACCGCCCTACAACTTCACCACCATCCAAACGGGGCTCGCATTCCTCGGCCCCGTCGTCGGCTTCGTCACCATGTCGACGCTCGTCATCCTCTACATCGACTCCATCTACAACTACGTAGCCCGGAAGAACGACGACGACGGCCTGCCAGAATACCGACTGGTGTTTGCCAACATTGGCGCCGTGTTGCTGCCCATTTCCTTGTTCATGTTCGGTTGGACCGTGGAGATGGGGCTAGCTTGGCCGGTGCCGCTCGTTGCGACGGTGCTGTTTGGCGCGAGCCAGGTGTCGATCTTCAATCCTGTGCAGACGTATTATATCGATGCGTATGCGAAGCATGCGGCGTCTGCTTTGGCTGCAGGGGCGTTCTTGCGATCGATGATTGGAGGGGTTGTGCCTTTGTTCGTTGGACAGATGTGCGTCTTTCCCTCCACCTCAACGAGACGTTTTTGAGATTCTTGTTGCTGACACGAAGGACAGGTTCGATGCAATCGGCTACGGATGGGGCATGAGCGTCTTTGGCTTCATCAGCGTCGCTCTGATGCCTGCACCTCTTCTCTTCCAGCGCTACGGCAAAGCCCTGCGCGAGAAGTACCCCTTCAAGGGCTAGTCATGGAAATATCACCATACCATAGAATCTACCGATCCACCCGTGCAAACTCCAGCTCTGCAGACCCCATCTCAACAACCCCCACCCCACCCCTCTCCAACGCCTCCCGTGTAGCCCTCAACCCCTCCACATCCAGCCGTGAAGCCGTCACATCGCGAATGACAAACGTCGTGTACCCCAACTCCGCCGCGTCGAGCGCGGAGTGCAGCACACACACATTGTACGACAGGCCGACGCAAAAGACGTGCGTGATGCCCGCATCCTGCAGCATTGCGTGCAAGCGTGTGGCGCGCACGCGCGGATTTCTGAATGGGGGCCCGAAGGCAGAGTAGGATTCTAAATTAGCGTCGGTGCCTTTGTTGATGATTGCGTCGAGTCTGGCGGTGTGGATTTCGGGAATGATCTCGCAGCCGGGTGTGCCTTGGACGCAGTGGTCGTGGTAGACTTTGCTATTGTTTCCATTCAGATACGAGTGGAGAGATGGGGCAAAGCAGACTCACGACGTGATGCTCTCCGCCGCATTCTCGGGATTCGTAATCGTCGTTTCGGAAGTAAAGGCCACCGCTCCTTCGTGCTGCGATGCGAAGGAGACATGATTGCGGGGATGGAAGTCTCGCGCTGCCAGCTTCAATTTGAAACCTGGCGATGCGAGTAGTTTGTTGATGGGCGTGGCTAATTCCCGGCCGCCGGGCAGGGCAAGGCTGCCGTTTGGCCTGCAGAAGTCTTCTTGTACGTCGACGATGAGGAGCGCTGCTGAGGGGGGATTTGGGGATGCCATTGGGGTGTTCTGGGCTACTTTTATGATTCAAAAGATGGCAGAATGTTTAGGTCTGAGTTTATAGGAAAGGCAGAGGTAGTGGTGTAATATTTGAACTATGCGTAAGCACATTTCCGCCGGCTCCACCTGCGAGCTTTGGAGCTCATCTGCATCCATGCTGCATTGAAGATCGCCAGCCTCACTATGGACAACAGAGATAGAGCGCAATCGTCAACTCCCATATACTCCTAGCGAGAAGAATGATGAAACCATGAATCGCATCCATTCAATCATTATCAAAGATGTTCCCCAAGTCATGACCATTTCTAGGTAGGAGGCTGGTCACTTGATTTCGGATTGTTGTAACCCCACTGAGATAGTGTTAGCAGTTTCCACGATAAGCGTAAGGGTATTGAGGTGATTTCTATACTTACGAAAGGCTGAGGAGCATTGGCCCGCGCCTCTTCAGTATGATCTGACTGAAAGGAGATGTACGCCTCCATTGAATGGATCTGGGACCCAGCGAGGGCATTCCTGTAGCAGTCACAGCACATCAGCATCCATCACCTTCGGCATCACAAGAATCGGGAACGCTCTTACCCATGCGACTGACAAACCCTCAGAACCGACACCACCGCCATAAGAGCCCACCGAGCGCCCAACTCCCCCGTAGCACCACTTCCCAAAAATTCAAACGTCGCCAGCCTGCCCTGCCGATTCGGCACAGAGCCCTCCCTCCACAACGCGACCGTCTCGACCTCGCTGCCTGCGAATCGCACCAGTCGTCGAATCTTGGGCTTGAGCTGCTTGTCCTCTCGCCACTCGAACGTTTCGGCTCGCCGATCAATCATCGCGCTAAATGAATGAGTATTGTTGCGAAGGTTATACTTCAGGCGCTCGTCAAACGTATGGCCTTGACCTTCGGCGAGCGGAGGCAGAGTAAGGAGCCCATTGCCACTAACGCGCTTCTCATTCGCCGCGATGGCCAGCACCGGCGGCTTGAACTCCAGCGTCGAGTAGAGGGTCATTTGGCGGAACCCGTACGCTTCATGGTAGGTGAGGGCGTAGAGCTTCTCGGCCGGTTGGTCGAGGGTGCCCAGGTAGAAGCGCAGGGATTTGTAGTCCTGGCCGTCGCCGAGGTAGTAGAGGCCTAGGGAGGAGGGGAAGTTGCCGTAGAAGCCGGGGGGAATGGAGGCGGCTTTGGCGGCGTCGCGCTCTTCGTGCGCGCTGACGGCGTATTTGACTAGACGGTAGACTGCGGACATGGTGGCGTTGCTTGACGGGTGCGGAGTGTGCTCATCTAGAGATGGATTTAGGTTGCGAGTGGATGCGCTCCTTGTCGCATGGTTGTCTAGTCGGACGTCGAGCAGGCGTTATTGACTTCAGCAAATGTACTCTTTCGATAGAATCATAATGTATTTGTTACGTTGCGTTGAGATGTAGCAGGCCGTATCGTCTCAGGATCCGCCGTTACACCCGGGTTGTGCTTGGCAGCTTGGAGCCTCTGCAGATCTTCGCGTGGCTGTGGAACTCGGCTTTGCTTCGACGCCTTCACGTAGACAAGGCTTCCAAGCCTTCCTTAGCATCGCCATGGTCGACCCATCACAACCAAGATATCGACCAGACCAACCGATTGAACAAATAAACGATGGCAACGTGCATTGTGGTTGCTCCGTAGTCGATCGTCGGACTTAGGCGTACCCACGGAATTAAGCTGGACATTATCGTATCACCGCAACCTGCGAACCCATCATAAGTGAACGGAAAGCATATCACCTGCTTTGAAAGGCGCCAATGTCACTGGGAAGCCTCAATCAATTTTAGGTGCTGCCTCTGAGAACGTAATCGTTGAAGAGTACGCATTGATCCCAGCGACGGAGCTCATGAAAGCACAATGGCCGAGGATAAAGCGATTGTTTTGATCACAGGCGGTGAGTTGCCATCACCCGAGCCTGTCACATGCATATGCTCTAACAAACTCTAGCGAACGGGGGCATAGGATTCGCACTCGCGGCGCTGTTGATGGCAGATCCACACAAGCATGTTCTTGTTGGAAGTCGATCAGCCGAAAAAGGACAGCGTGCTCTGGCAGACCTTCAGCAGCAAGGTCTTCCTGGATCTGTCGAGCTTGTCGTGTTGGATGTCGCAAGCGATGAGTCGATTCTTGCAGCAGCGAAGCAGGTGGAAGCAGGTCATGGCAGGTATGTCTCGCCAGACAATATTCTGCCTAGCCTTGGGGATCGCTGACAGAACGTTCCCAGGCTGGACGCTCTCGTCAACAATGCTGCTATTGGCTCGCCAGAGGGCTCACGCGCAGAAGGCATGGCGAGATGCTTCCAAACAAACGGTGAGCCGCATCAGTGCATAGCAAAGGTATGCGGCAGATACTAACGCAGACCCAGCAACCGGACCCTACCTGATGGTCGAAGCGTTCGCGCCTCTACTCAAAAAGTCCACTCGCACCCCGCGCATCATCAACGTCACCTCTGGCGCCGGATCAGTCGCTCGGAGGATGGATCCCAACGGCCCAAGTTACAATCTGGGGATGTGGGGGATCCAATACGGCGCGTCCAAAGCCGCGATGAATCTCATTACCGCCTATCAAGCGGTCGTGTATGGTGAGCAGGGGATCAAGGTGTTTGCTTTCTCGCCTGGCTTTGTTGCGAGTAATCTTGGGGCACACAATACCGTTGAAAATGGAGCGCAGGAGACTAGTGTTGGTGCGGCGCCGATGGTAGGAATTATCGATGGCGAGAGGGATGCGGAGCTGCCTCGGAATGGTTTCTTGAGGGCTAGTGGTCAGTCGCCGTGGTGAGGGACTGAAGCTGGTCTACGCAGCATGGCTTTCTTGTCGTTTTCGCCTTGCCTGTAGAAGCTGGGGAGCGTCATTAGAAAGTAGTCTGCGATGAAATGCACCGGTCGTTGTTGATTGAGCGAAGCGCGAGCAATCATTTGATGCTCAAATCGGCATAATATTACACGACTCCCCGAATAATCGAGCAATCCAGTTCGATGTGAATGTCGAGGAGTTGGGGGATGAATTGACGGGTTGACGTCGAAAAAGACTCGGCGTGGCCCACTTTTCAAGCATCGCCCTGACGAGACGACACCGTCTCCGCCAATATGCCGTGCTTCCATCGCATACACTTTGGCCGCAAACCGTCCTCATACATGATAAGGCATGCGCAGGGTCATATCAAAAATGTCCACCGACGCTCACTTGCCCAAAGGGTCCTTCGACACCATCATCATCGGAGCTGGAATTGCCGGCCTGGCTTGCGCATCGAGACTACGGACGAGCAATGCTCAATCAAAGCTCTGCGTCCTGGAAGCGCGAGATCGTATAGGTGGCCGGATTGGCTCTGTCTGGGTCAACGGCAGTCGATTAGATGTCGGGGCGAATTGGATCCACGGCACTGGAACCGAGGAAGAACCCAATCCGCTGATGGACATCTTACCTCACAAACGGTACAGGGAGCTCTCGCGAACCGTAGCTTTCCGGCCAGCAGCTTTGGACAAGGCGCAAAAGCAGGTCCCGAGTCCTGGTACAGATGAGAACGACGAGTGGGAGGATCTCGGTCCCGCTCTTGCCACCACTGTCTCCGAAGACTTGGTCATCCCCGCAAGCTCCGCGGCAGCCTTAACGGGGACGCTGTATGGAACTATCGGAGCATTGCATGAGTTTGCTGCAGACACCTCATCTTCCGAGGCTAGTCGAACAAGTATGCTGTCTGCTCTTACGCAATCTGAAGCCTTCCGTCGCGGTTTCGATGCGGTGGAGCCCGATCTTCATCCAGTGCTGAGCGGGATGCCTCAATTCATTGAGAATATGGAGGCGGCGCCCCTCGCTGCACAATCCGCGGAACACACCGAAGGCACCCCGGGTATGAGTCTTGCGGAGTTTGCAATCGACGATTTCGACGGTGGCCAGGTCTTTCTTCAGGACGGATACCTGGCAATCGTTCAAGAAATTGCCAAACCCCTCATTGACGCCGGATCGATCCATACGGGCGTCGAAGTCCAGCAGATAGACTGGACAGCCAACCCTATTTCTGTCGTTACCTCTAAAGGTGTATATCATGCTAAAAACGTGGTGTGCACAATACCTCTGGGCGTGCTCAAGCATCGAATTCGGGAATCAACATCTTCATTGCCGCTATTCAACCCTAGCCTACCAAAGGAGAAGACCCAAGCAATTTCGTCTCTTGGCTTTGGAACTCTCGACAAAGTGTTTCTAGTATATTCGGAGCCGTGGTGGACCATGGACCCTTTCAAGTCGATTGTGAAGAAGGGAGTGTACCGACGGCCATTCACCTCAGGCAAAGATGAAGACTCAGACTCTGGAAACGGTTCCCAAGAACCAGATTCATTCATGGGCTTCACCCACGAGCTAGCCGGCTTCTCCATTTCTCAAAGCGGAGAAGTGACCATCGGCCCGCGACTCCTGTCCATCGTCAATCTCCACTCTCTGTGCGGCTTCCCTGCCCTCTGCGCATTCTTGTCGTGCTCGAACGCCGCACAAATGGAAGCACTGTCCGATGAGAAAGTAGCCGCCATCGTCCAGCGATCCTTGACGGCATGGTTCGGCAGGTCGCTTCCTAAACCAGACGCAGTTCATCTAACTCGGTGGGCGAGCGATCCATACGCTCTTGGTAGCTACACCCACATGATCACCGGGTCGTCCAAGACGGAGCATCGGGAGGAGTTTCAGAAACCTCTAGGGAACGAGCACGGTGGACAGCTAAGCTTTGCGGGAGAGGTGAGTCTGAACAGAAGCCGACGAATGTGGAATACATGCTGACTAGATCACAGCATACGAGCAAGAACCACTTTGCCACTGTCCACGGAGCTCTGCTAAGCGGCTGGAGAGAAGCCGACAACATTATTAGCTCCGCGGGGCTTAGTTGATCAATGTGTGTCTAAACAACCTGGTACTCCGCTCTGGATGGAGACTCTGGATATAAGAACAACGACCCACACAGACATTCACTTTCCGCCGCTAACCAGCGCCGGCCTCTGACTCCTCCCCGCCAACCTCGAGCTTCATTATCCGCTCGCTCAGCTTGTCGATGTCCTCCTTGGCTTCACCGACCAAGATTGTAGGATACGCCCACGCGTTCTTGGTCCCTAGCCGCGTGCAGCCGAGCAGGATTATCCTGCCTTCCTGGAATTCTTGATGGAACTGCTTCTCGAAGTCGTCCCGCGAGACCTTCAAGATGACGCACTCATATATTATGCCGACGCCAAAGCCACGCTTCTTGCAATGCCCCTTGATCAACCCGAGGGTGTAACTTGTTGGCGTTCTGACGTTCAGATCAATCACATACTGAGTTCCATCGTCGGGATCTTCCATGATATCCGCGCCGACCTGGCCGAAATAGCCCTCTTTCCTCAGGGCTTTACCAATTTCGCAGAGGGTGTCATAATACTTCTTCTCCATCTCTTCCTGTTCGTCGAAGATGATGCCCGTGGACTGCCTTCCGGAGTCCGACGTACGGGTGGTCAATTGCTGACACGCGCAAACAAAAATCGGACTGCCATCCTTTTTGACGAAAAAGTTGAGCGCCATCGTGTCGCCTTTGATGAATTCCGAAACAACGAGCGCCGTCGGCCAGATATGCGCGTTTCCCTCGGAGATGCGAGGCAGGTAGGCGGGGAGATTGTCGGTGCTCATGTACTCCATGACCTTCTTCCGATCCTCCTCATTCTGCACGATGTGTGTGCCTACGGAGCCCAGCGACTGCGTCAGTTTCAACACATACGGCACCGGCGTCTCTTCGAGGACTCTGAGTACGCGCGCGATCTCGCCCGACACGGTCTCTTTGCATGCGGTGCAGTCGCCCGCGCCATAGTACCATTTGCCCGCTTTGGTTGTATGGTGGTCGCAAACGCATTCGCAGTCGATTATTTTGTCATTCGCGCTTCGGAGATCGCACTCGGCCAGCCAGCGCTTACTATTGATCTCAAACACCTTCTCCGGCGGCAGGAGAGCCGGCAACCTCTCCGCGAAATCGACGGAGAAGCCCCAGCGGATGGGAGAGCCGTCGTGGTTCGCCACGAAATCCTCCTGATTGGCGTGTGTTCTGGGCAGTCGATCAGCCGCACGGCATCAAAGATCAGATACTAAGACCAGACAACCCACGTAATAACCGGCCTCTGATTCTCCGGCAGAATCATAAACCCCCGCTTCGCCGCAGCATCCACACTCTCGCGACTCAACGACGGATCGTCACTAATCCCCTCCGAAGCCACGTACGCCACCTTCCCCCGCCCAACGGGGAACATGAGCAGATTACTCACATTCTCCAACTGCAGGTGCGCCAGGTCGCTGCCGGAGGCTACGTTGCTCGACGTGATGAGGAACTTGTTGTTCAGCGGGATTTCCTTGTAGCGCCGGTCGGCGTTGGGTTTGAAGTGGCAGAGCGTTTCGGGCACTTCGCCGTTGTGGTCTGGATACTCCGCGGCGTATAAGTCGTGGAGCGTGGTGTCGAGCACGACGTGCGGGAAGCCTCCTTCCTGGTGGCTTGGGGCGGCGGTGCCGTTGGGTAGGTCGCCTGTCATCTTGGGCGACAGGCTCGGATATCACCTGGACGGTAGGATGTAGGTCCTACGCCAGTCAAATGTCGTGAGGTGATGGTGATACGTAGGTAGCCCGAGACGTCCACCTTCGCATTCCCGCAGTATCAAGCCAAGTGATGTGGTGGCAGCGAAGGAGGAAAAAGACCACGAAGAAACGTCCACCTCTTTGCAACACGCAGAGGGAAAAGCTCGCCCAACGCTCCCAACACCGGCGCAGCCCCCTTTAAACCATTCGCAAAAGAACATTGTCCCTCGCGCGCCAAAAAAGGGTGGTAAACATCGTCATCGTACAGCGCAGCCTCGATCGACAAACCCGCACGGCTACATCGACCCCCCCACTTCCCCATCTTCTGCCCCGCAAAGCTTAATGCCGCTGCCTTTTGGCACCGCGACTCGTTCGTGCAGCCCGGACGGTTTCTTCGATCTCGATTGCGCGGGTTGATCGAGCGAAGGGTAGGTGATGTACCTGCTACCTTACTGCCCTCGGTTGCGAGTACACCCTTTTTACATAGGCTATGTGGGCGATCGAGGGTTGTTTGGCCTGCTCGTGATTACTGACGAAGCGGGGGATGCAATCAATGGTTGTATGGAGGTGAGGAAGCAAGGCTCAAAGGTCTCCCAAACGGGACTCGATCGATATCAGCTGGCTGGATGGGTATCAAACGAGTGTGTAATAGTGCAAATAAGAAATATATACAAGGTCATCCGCACTCACGGCCGTCTTAGAATCGTCCCTGACCCCAACCAGACGGAGCAGGAGAATACTGCCTCGAAGGCGGCGGTGCGGCGCGAGCATTCTCTCCTCTCGCACCATAGGCGTCCGTCTCGTGCGGCGTAGTGTAATCATCGAGGAGCGAGCCATAGCTCGACATTGCTCTCGCGTCCACTGGTGCTGGCGCTGTGAAGCTCCGTTGAGCAGTTTGCGTCTGATAGACACCAGGTGTGCTGGATCCGGCGACTGTGATATTGCGCCTAGCACCATCCTGCGCGGCTGGTGTCGTGGCGGTTGACGCGGAGTGCAAGTTGGGGTTGAAGGGTTGGTAGATCTTGGTGGTTGCGACTGGCGGTGGTGATTGAGATGTCATTTCGTAGCTGTTTGGAGGCGGAGTGGGTAGACTCGGGGCATAGGTGGGTGTGAAGGGGCGGTTTACGGGCAGTGGTGCGGGGGTTGGGCCGCGGAAGGGCGGGTTGACGCTGTCGACTGTTGGGCGTCGGGGGATCGTTGCTGGTGGAGGAGTTGGAGCTGCCACCGGTCGGCTGAAGTAAGAGACATCGCTGTCTTGTCTTCTAGGCCTCGGTTGAAACCCGTCTGCCGTGTTGATGCGAGGTGGTGGTGGACCCATTGGAGTGCGAGCTCGCGTGAAGTCGTTTGGTGAGATCTCGCTGCCAGCGGATTGCGGCTCTTCAAAGCTGTAACCCGTATTTGAGCGTACTGGGAAGCGTTGACCGGGTGGCGGTCTTGCAGTCGTCGCTGATGCCGGGGTAAAGGGCCGCTGTGACGTGCTTGTGTTCTGTGTGTCCATGCGCATAGGCATGGGAGGAATGGACGAAGTCACGGACGGCTTGCGAGAGTAGTATGTCGGGGCAGGCGACGAAGTCCAGCCATCACCGCCAGCGAATCCGGCATTTGGCAAGAGAGGAGCGTCTGCTTCCAAGCTTGCACTACTCCACCCAGATGCTTGGGTCCCGCTCCTGCTTGGCATCCCTGGCCGGTCGAAAGCGAGGTCGGGCAGCGACGGTTGCCTATCGAGCCCATCTGGTCGAGCAGAGTATGGAGGCAGGGTTGACACGGTCGACTTAGTATCTTGTCGATTGAGTGGCGACGCAGCATCATGCTTCTTCCACGCACCGTCGTCTCCCAAATCCGGCAAGGTAGGTGCTCTGTTGAGCCCCATTGGACGAGGCGGAGGCAGCTCACCAGTTTTCTGCCTCTTGAGCTCCGCCTTTCTTTCCGCCTTTTCCCTCTTCTTCGCCTCGTCTTCCATCGCCGCTTCGATTGTGTGGGCAACGATCTTGTCCAGCCTACGGTCAATCTTGCGTCGGCAGTAGATCCGGAGGCGGCCGTCCTGTTGCGGGATGTAGTGCCACAGGAAGACCAAGTACAAGAGGCCTGCACAGATCAAGCACAGAGCGCTGAATACCCAAATGACGAGGGTGAACAACATAGAAGCGTAAATGGCAGCTTGCTCGTAGTTCTTGTCGGCAATAGCGCCAAGGTTGATGAAGAACTGCTGGATATGCGAGTGGCCGTCAGTTGTTGCGCCGCCGTTGATAAGATCAGCCTGCATGACGGCGTAGAGGGTCATGGCATTGACGGCCTGTCGAGGTCCTTCGGCCAGGACTACTCGAACGGCGCTTTGAAAAGCAAAGTACACGAAGAACGCGACGTAGTCGGTGCCCTTTTTGCTCTTCGTGAGCTGGGTGTAGACGAGGAATCGCTTGAAGCCGCGGGAGCGCATGCTTTGGAGAGAGTTGGCAATGGGGTCCATATAGCTGGCGGCAACGCCGTCTCTCTTGATGACTCGGATGGCGCGGACCCATTCGTAAAAACAGAGGGCGTAGGAGATGAAGATGCAGATGGCGAAGATCCACTTGCTGTATTTGAAGGGGATCACGGGCTGGACCTGCGAGCTCCATCGGTTGAAGATGAGGAGGTTGACGGCGGTGAAGGTGTCGACAGCGTAGACGGCGACGCCGACCGCACCCATGAACCAAAGCCAGCCATAAGCGATGAAGTTCCAGCACGATGTGGATCGAAAGTCGCTCAACTCGATAAACTCCCACCGCTGCTTCTTCTCCGGCGGGCCCTTTTCTCGATCTCCGCAACAACTCATGGTGAAGGTGGGGGTGAGTGAGGAGCGCGAGGTCGTTGGTAATGGAAATCAGACCGGCTGAGTAGGTGTTATAGTGACTGCAATCGGCGCTGCATAGGCCCAAGTCGCGTGTTACTAGGCTAGGCAAACGGCAGTGTCTTTCTGTCCAGCAGAATTGTCCTCTCTTAGCCAACGGACTCGTCTGAGCGATGAAGAGGGACGCCTGGTCAGAGGAGGGAAGGGAGGAAGTGAGCGGTCTAGTCGGAGGTTGGGAGGCAGGAAGGAATGCTTCCTCGCATGGTGTGGGGGTGCCGAGCGCGTCTTTGTTTGTAAACCTCGACAATGCCCTTTTTCGCGATGGACAAAGGTGGCGTGGATGAGCGAGTGGGTGAAGGGACGACAAAGAAGGAGCGGAGGGGCGTTCGGAGGTGTCGTCGCTGACGCAGAGTCGGAGTGTCGGAGGAAGGAGAGGCTGGTGGTGCTGAGGAGCGTGGTAGTGGTCAATAAGCAGGAAGAAGAGTCAAGTGAATGTGGGCATGCGCGACAATGCAGCAGGGAAAAGAGGGTGGTGCGGAAACTCTCGGCGCATCTGCCTCCACCTCCTCACGGCATCTGGCGTTGCATGATGCGATGGGAGGAAACACCGGCGGCGCCGTGGAGTTCTTGGTGGAGGGAGAGACAAGGAGTTTCAGATGTTTGATCGCCGCCGGGCGGTTGGCGCCAGCTTCGCTTCTCCTCCAATCACAGCCCTGTGCCTGATGACCAACGCCGGGTCCGCGTGGCGCTAGTCCATTTTCTTAATTACCCGGCCCGCGCCAGGCTCACCTCCGTAACAGCTCATTATCTCCCGTCACCTCACCCTGTCCACTTCTACTGTTGCTGCTTTGCAATCTGCCGATGGTGTGCACATCACTGCCATTCGAGTGACACTACATTGTTGCTTCCACAACGCGGCAAGGTGTTGAGCACATTCCACGCTCTTTGCTCCGTCTTAGCGATCTCCTCGCCTGACCAGCCACCGGCTTCTTCACTCTTCATTCTTCACATCGTCGCTCCATACGGTACCGATATCTATATTTGATCTCCCCAGCCTCGCTCGGTTCTCCCCAGATGTTTGTCATAATGCCATGCCCGCGAGGTCAACCTTCGTCATCATGAGTAAACTCCCGCGACAGCGGACTACTCGCTTTGGGCTCGCTCTGCGCCCTCAATACCATGTGCCTGCCTTTTGTCGTGCTGGGAGGCGTGGCAAGCAACGAAGCCTGTGACATCGTCTTCGCCAGGCCGTTCATCTCCGGTTCAACACTCTCGCTCATTCGACCAGATGGCTTAAGATATGGCGGCGTGCCCATCTTCACCGGCGTCTCCGCGTGCTTCACTGACCGTGGCGAAGGCGACCCACAGTTCTCGCACGCCTCCTCAATCGATTCGCGCACCTCAGGCTCGAGCAGATCTCCCTCTGCCCTCGCGCGTGCAGAAGCAATGTACACCTCCCCTCTGCGCTTCACAGGACTCTCGTCGTAAGGATCGAAGCCCACGCGCTTCACTGCCTCATTCCTGACCTTTCGCCTGACGTCCTTGTCCCTTCCTGCTCCCGCAGTGGCGCTATCTTCCAGGAAGAAATTGAGCAATTCGTCTTCAATGGCCAGATGGCTCTCTTGCCGGAATTGCTGCAAGGCGGTGAGTTTGATGAGCATCTCAAGAAGTGATAGTGAGGTTTTGATGCGCGGGTGTTGTGGTTGTGGAGAGTCGACGTGGACGATGGGTTGGGGAGACGGCGACTTGAGCTTCATGTTCGAGAAGACGTGGGTGAAGGCTGTTCCGGGCGAGTCTGCGTGCTGGTGTGATGGATGCAGAAAGGCTGGGGGCTCATCGACTTCGCTGTCGGAGTCCGACTGCTCGGTGTACACCTCGAAAGCCATCCACTCCGGATCCAGATTGGCTGGTAGCTTCCAGGTCTTGCTCTCGTCCATTGTGCCTTGCTGATCGTTTGCAGCAATGCTCGGCGTCGATTCACGCAGGATCTGTATATTGATCTCGTCCTGCTCGTCCGCTTGCGCACCCATCTCCGCATCGTCGAGGAAGCGTGGCTCCGACATCTGCGACCGATGGAGCATCCGTCTGGGCGGCTCAGCATTGATGTCTCGTTTGATGAGCAAGACCGGCCGATTCGTGTCGTCGTCATCCTCCCCGATGTTGAGAATCTTGCCCGTGTCGGCGTAGAAGATTTTGGAGATCTCGTGGATTGGTACAACATCCCGGATACCCGCATTCGCAACATCCTCGAACGAGCTCGGAAGACTGCCGTCCTCTTCCATTGTATGCACTCGATCATCGTCCAGATCTTCGATGATGGCGAGCTGGTAAGCAAAATCGCTTCCCGTCTCTCCCGCAAACACTCCATTTCCACTCAATTCGTACTGCATATCCCCCGGCAAATTACCCAGTGCTCCCAAAGGAACTCTGAAAAGCTTCATCCTCGCTTTATGCACCACTTCCTTCCACGTTGTTGCTCTCACACCGTTGTCGTCGAGAGTTCTGTTCACATGTCCGGCAAACAGCATGTACAAGCTCAACGTCCACGTGGGTCCGACTTGCTGCCTTGCTTGCGCTGATGAAGTAAATTCAGTGTCCGCGGCAGTCAGAAACGTCGATGCTTGCAACAGTCGACTCGGACTGATGGTGCCGGATAGCTTGGTCGACAGGTTGACACCCGAAGTCGTGATGGCAAGGTTGATGAGCGGGATAGCGTCTTCGATCTTGAGCAGCAACAACTTGATCGAGTTGATGATGGCCACCACCTCCGACTGCGCATGTCCATTCTTCTTTCCAACCGCGCCAGCGATCCTTCTTCCCAACTGCTGAATCTCATACCGGATCCCCTTGGTCAGACTCACGGCATACTCAAGTGTCGTATTTCCTCGAGCGGAGATCAATTCAATCAGATCGATGGCAGGACTGATGATGCGGATCTTGCTCTCCAGCCGGATTTGCAGAGTGAGCAATTCTTGGCGGTGTTGGTTGTTGCGCGGCGTTTGTTTGAGGAGGCGCGTGCACTGGTTGAGGGCATAGGTGGTAGTGATGGTGATTCCGGAGCGGATGGCGTAGTTCATCGCTTGGGAGGTTAGGTTGCTCAAGAGGCTGTCCATGTTGTGCTGTCATCGATGGTGGAAGGATTTGGCAAGGCTGTGGTGGTGATGGCGAAGTTGTACGCATACCGGGTCAGCGGGGTGAATGCGAGCCCGGAAGAATGGGTGTGTCGCCTGGTATCGACTGTTTGCTCTTCTGTGGAGTGCAAGATATCGTCTCTACAGTGTGTTGTCGTGCCTGCCGTTCAGCAGTGCTGTTGGTGTCGTTTGGTGCAGTCAATTAGACTTTCAGGCCACAGCGGGCAAGCCACAATTCGACGCCACACCCGCCGAGCGCCACACGGACACCAGAACCAGAGATTGAAATGTCATGACAGACATTTCGTCGTCGTTCAACTTTGTCCTTCCCCCACCGACTCAACCCCGCAACGCTCCCTCTTACCAATTTCGAGTTTTCCTTCCTCACGACTGAGTGGACCTCTTCCCTTCTCTCGACCCCTCGTGCACATAAGAGCCGACAGGCGTAGCTGGAAAGGATGGCCAACGGACAGCCAGATTCGTGGGAGGACGAGATGCGAGACGATGATCTCGCGCAACAGACACAGCAGCAGCTGAACTTCCAGAACAATCAAGCCGCCTACAACACCTTCCAGCCCGGTGCCTCCAGCTTCCAGCCCGGCGCACAAACTTTTAATCCCGCCACAGCTCAGCAGTATGGTGGCGGATATGGCCAGCAATACAACGGCTATTCGCAATACGGCCAGCAAGGGTATGGCCAGCAAGGTGGATACCAGCAATATGGGTATGGACAACAGGGTGGTTACCAACAATATGGCCAGCAAGGCTACGCTCAGCAAAATTACGGGCAATACCAGCAGCCTCAACAACCTCAGCAGCAGCAGCAACAGCAGAAGCCGCAGGCATACGTGCCTCCGCAACAACGACAGACTCCCATGATTGCAAAGAGAGGAGAGGCGTTAGTCCCCGCCAGCCAGCCTCCGGCCGCCAAACCCGCCGCCGCTCCTGTCAAGACCTTGAACACCGCCGCACCTGCCAAGACCCTCTCCTTGAGTGCATCAGATACCGGTGCGGCAGCGCCAAAGGTGGAAAAGGCGGCGGGTGGAGCCAAAGTGCTTTCGCTCGGCGCCACGAGCACCCCGCCTCCCGCAGCGAAGAAGGAAGAGCCAGAAGTGGATGCTGGCAAGAAAGTCACGGCTGCCAAAGCGATAGAGAAGACCGGCGAGACCACCACACCCGCATCGAAAGGCACCACCTCTCCATCCGCCTCGGGTCGATCCTCTCCCGCCCCCGATGCCGCCGCCGCCGCGAAGGCTGAAGCGAGACGTGCGGACGCCGTCATCGAAGAGCAAGCCGAAATTGTCGATAATGAAGCGCTGCAAGACATGTACGGCAAAGAGCACGTCAATGTCATTTTCTTGGGCCACGTCGATGCGGGTAAGAGCACGTTGGGCGGCAGCATTCTTTACGCCACCGGAATGGTGGATGAGCGAACGATGGACAAATACAAGCGGGAAGCCAAAGATCTCGGCCGTGAGTCGTGGTACCTCTCCTGGGCGCTTGACCAAACCAAGGAGGAGCGATCAAAGGGTATCACCGTCGAGGTGGGTCGAGGTTTCTTCGAGACGGACAAGCGGCGATACTCCATCCTTGATGCACCCGGACACAAGAACTACGTGCCAAACATGGTGCAGGGTGCGTCGCAGGCCGACGTTGGCATTCTCGTCATCTCCGCTCGCAAAGGTGAATACGAAGCCGGATTCGACAAGGGCGGACAGACGCGGGAGCACGCAGTCCTCGCGAAGACCCAAGGCGTCAACAAGCTTGTCGTCGTCGTGAACAAAATGGACGACCCCACAGTCGAATGGAGCGAGGATCGTTACAAGGAGTGCACCACCAAACTCACCGCCTTCCTCAAGGGCCTCGGGTACAACCCCAAGACCGACCTGACCTTCATGCCCATCGCCGCCCAACAAACAACAGGCATCAAAGAGCGCGTTCCTAAGAGCGTGGCCAAATGGGTCGACTCGCCCTCGCTCCTCGAATTCCTCGACTCGATGCAAACGCTCGAGCGCAAAATCAACGCGCCCTTCATGATGCCCATCGCGGCCAAGTACCGCGACCTCGGCACCATGGTCGAAGGCAAGGTCGAGGCGGGCGTGATCCGCAAAGAAAACAAGTACCTGATGATGCCCAACAAAGCCGAAATCCAAATCTCCGCCCTGTTCGGCGAGACGGAGGACGAAATCCCGCACGCCACCTGTGGCGAGCAGGTGCGCATCCGCATCAAGGGCGTCGAGGAGGAGGACATCTACCCCGGCTTCGTGCTGTGCTCCCCGAAACGCCCCGTGCACTGCGTTTCCGCGTTCGAGGCGCAGATCCGCCTGCTGGAACTCAAGTCCATCCTCTCCGCCGGCTTCAACTGCGTGCTGCACGTCCACTCCGCGACCGAGGAGGTCACGTTCGCCGCGCTGCTGCACAAGCTGGAGCCCAAGACGAACCGCAAGAGCAAGAAGCCGCCGGGCTTCGCGAAGCAGGGCATGAACATTATCGCGCGCTTGGAAATTACTGGTGGCGCGGGCTCGGTGTGCGTGGAGCGGTTTGAGGATTACCCGCAACTGGGCCGCTTTACGCTGCGCGACCAGGGACAGACGATTGCCATTGGGAAAATCACCAAGTTGATTACGGATCCGGTTGGACCTACTGCTGCTTCGGCTTCTGCGACTGCTGCCGCGGCTGCCAGCGCCGCGGCGGCTTAAAGTGGAGATGCATTGTGTGCATCTGGCAGGGCGGGGATTTTGTAAGGATGTGTGGATTCAGCATATCGCTGTCTTGTTTTTCGACAGTAGGAGTAGAACATCATCACGATTCCATGTTTTGAAACAGTCATCGATTCATTACCATCCAGACTTGCTAACGCACAAGTGCTGTCCTCGTCGTATCGTTGTCATCCACTCTGCTGATCCCTGTCCGCCTCACATCGAGTCCCACATCTCACGCCCAACTCCGATTAGAACTAGACAGTGGCGGCGGAGGCGGCAAACTGAAATCCACCAAACTCTCCAGCTCAAAGCGCCTCACAGCTGCGGGTGCCTGCGTTGGAATCTCGTCGCAGTCCTCGTCATCCTGCACCTTTTGCGCCGAGCTTGTAAGCGCAGGCGGCAAGAGGAAGGGGGAACTCTGCGGGCTGCATCGTAGCGCTGACGATGCTGGAGGTGAGGTGGGAGGGAACGTGGACTCCTTTGCTGGTGGGGATGAGATGAGATCGTGTTTGCGTTTGGGGCGTGGTTGGATGGGCGTGAATTGCGAGGGGACTACGGTGCTCACTTGGGAGGGGCGGAGGGCTGGTGGGGAGGAGGGGAGGTGGGGTTCGGACCTTCTCGCCAGTGGTTGGGAATCGATTGCAGCGCTGGCATCTGCGGTAGTGTGAGGCATAGGCGCCGGTGCTTCCTTCGGTCTTGGTGTATCGTTGGATTGCGAGGCGGACGCATCCTCCGCATTCGTCGAATCTCCTGCTTGAGGCCGTGTTTCCCGAGGCACGTATATGGCGTCGAGGTCGTCGTCCTCTGTCTCGCTGTCCTCGATGCCGTCTTTGAAACGGTCAGAGAGGAGCTGAGTTGCTTGTGTCTGCCCGAATCTCGCCGCATCACGGTCCAGCGCAGAGTATGCCGGGTCATAAGTCGCCGGGCCTAGATCGTCCGACGCGGTATGCGCGTCTTCGTAAGAGTTCCATTTGTGAGTGAGGTGGGCTTCGTTGATATCGTCGAGGTCATCGAGGTCCAAGTCTTCGGCCTGCGAGTCTTGAACAGTCACTGTGCGTGTCATCTTTGGAGTTGGTTTGCTTGTGTGGTGACTGTACGTTACTTCCAGGCTACTGTCCTCGTCCAGCTGGGAGTCCTGTATTGTCGTGACACGATGCAATGTCCTGGCTGGGCGTAGCGGGGACGGGGAGCAAGACGCTTCCACACGCTCCTGAGATGAGGGCACTCTCTGCGGCGAAGGCTTTGTGACTATTCCACCCGTCACCGGGCCATTGCGTGATCTGAATCTAATCCGTTCGAGAATCTTCATAGTCGTGTTCTGCGACTCTGGACTGACACTCTTGGTCACGCGAGCTGCAATGTTCGCGCTGCGCTCTTTCAGTGGCGATGTCTGCCAAACTCGGCGAGGAGTAGACATTGGGGCGGACGATTTGGCGCTGGGAGGGGTCTGAGAAGACGGCACCTCCCTCGTGAAGCGTACTTTGCGTGGCGTGTGCAGCTCGGTTGGCGCTCCAGATGGCCGCCTCTCAGGCCCCAATTCGTCCCATTGCGATGACTCGATGCGTGTTGGAGACGTCTCAAGTATCTCTGATGCCAGCTGATCGGCGTGGTCCGTCTCTTCGTTGGCTCCATCAAGGAAGGCAGTAGTCTGTTGTGGGCCACGGTCAACTTCGCTTCCCCACCATGCAAAGTCATCGTCTTCCCACACTTCCATCTTGCCACTACCGACTCCAGCCGACCTCGATCTTCTCAGCAATTGTGGCAGGAGTCCGCGATCGAACTGGGTCATGGTAGATTGATCCGCCTCTCTCTTTCCAAACTTGGCTCTCGTCTTGGCCCGCTTCTTGGGTCTCGAACTCTCGAGCTCGTCATCGCTGGGGATATCAGAGTCCTCTCTGCTGTTGCTGCTCGGCACCCCAAAGTCGCATTGGGTCAGAGTGGTCTGGATATCGGTGGAAGAGGGAAATAGCGTGGGGGCCTTGCGTCGAATGTAACGCCTCTTAATCGGGAGGTTCTGCTGTGTCTTGCGGGCCGTCTTTGCGGTGTATGAAATGACCTTGCCGGATGAAGAGGCCGACGGCATTCTTGACAGCTCTCCAGTCGTTGAGGTGGCGGATTGTCAAGGCGAAGGTGTGATGCTCGGGGACGCGTGCTTGGGAGACGCGCCGAAAGTCGTGGCTGAGTCAGCGGGACTTTGGCGTGCACGTCAGTCGCCCTTCGATCGACTTCACTTCTTCTGTCAGATGGACTGGTGACACCTTCAGGCCCGTTTCGTGTTCAATAACCCTGCAACTCCTGCGTATCTCACTTCAGCATAACTGCCCCACCGCACAAGTACAGGCAGCATGCGATCTTTCTGGATAAGGTAGGATAGCAGCATGACAAACCATTGCTCATCTCATCCTGCGAGTCGACTCTCGTTCCGATCTTTTTCATGCACAGATGGAAAGTCCATGCTATCCGAACACTCCTGTTCCCTGTCCTCACTTCTCCCCCACCCATCTCCCGTCTCTTCATCTTGTCAATGACAGTCCCGTCAAAGCCAGACTCAATCATGTCAGCCAAGCCCAAAAGTTCTCACGAACCAGCACCCGCAGGGCTCGCGGGCTTCTACTCGCAGACTTCCGACTACTGGACCGCCTACCTCAAAGGCCGCGCCCCTCTCCCTAACTCCATCTTCCAACGCATTTTCGACTATCACACCTGTCATGGCGGGCAATTCCACACGGTGCACGAAGCAGGCGCCGCCGCCGCGATCCATTCGCTCCGCATCGGCGCCCCCTTCACCAAAGTCATCGTCTCCGATTCCTCGGAGGATAACATCGCCGCCGCCCGCGCCCGGCTGAGCGGTGCCAAAGAGGCCAAATACGAGCTGCACGTTACGAAGCTCGAAGACAGCGGCGCCGTCTTGCCCCCCGCGTCCGTAGACATGGTCTTTTGCGCGACAATGCTGCATTTCACCGACCTACCGCGCTCATTCGAGGCGATTGCCCACCAGCTCAAGCCCGGCGGGACATTCGCCGCCCTCTTCACGGGGTTCATGGAAATGGAGGACGCCCGCTTGCACGCTGCGTTCATTCGGAGGCTGCAACTGTGGGCGCCCCTGATGCTCGAGAAGATGGGCGGCGAGGAGGCCGTCATGCCGCAGTTCGTCACGATTGCTTGCATGTATGAGAATGTGGAGCTGCCGGCTACGATTTTCGAGGCGCAGTCGGAACGCATCTTCATCAATGGGACGGATACGGGAGCGCCGGGCGGTACGATGTACGCGGATACCATGCCACCCGATTATAGAGAGCGGTGGCCGGCAGTGTCGGGCATTGGTGCCGAGGAGATCGTGATCCGGGTGGACGACGCGGAGCTGTACTTTGAGAAGGACCTATCTGCATTGCCGTATCATCTCAACACGTTTCCACCAGCCAAGGTGGAGGGGTGGGTGGAGGAATCCATGCGGGAGCTTGGGGAGATAGTGGGCGATGGCAAGATTCGAGGGCGCTGGCCCGTGAATTTAATTCTAGCTACACGAAAGTAGATTATGTTTGGTGTGAGCGGACGTGCTTCACCGTGTCACACAATTACCACGATTCACGTCTTCTAGGTCCACCGTCTGCGGAGTGGCTCACGACTCGATCCACTCGCCGCTCAACCATCTGTTCAACATGTCGAGGCTGGCAACCGGTTGATCGTAGGGCACCATGTGGCCTCCGGCATGAATCCTCACAAACGTGAAGTTGCCGGCGGATTTGACGGATCCAATCTGATGTCTCGAATTAGCACGATATGCAGAAGACGTGTGAGGATACGGAGAAGTACGCACCTTGGAATCGTCGGCGGCCAACTTCAAGTCCTCCATTGGGGCCTTGGCGTAGTTCTTCTGGCCAGGCCACTCCAACTGCGTCGTCCATGCCAAGTTTCCAAGCCAGTTACAGATGAAATCAGCATCACCGGCATAGATCAACACAGGAATCTCCTTCAAGATGCCCGGGACAAGACGATGGAATGGCTGCATCCAGTCGCCAGCGAAGAGGAAGTTGCGGTTGATGTCGAAATTGCAGCTGTCGTAGCTGTCCACTTCCGCGCCCAAGGCCTCCATGACGTCCTTCTTGTTGAGGTAGCCCTGGATCCAATCGAGCTCGTCGTAGCAGAGGTTGCTTCCCTTACACTTCTTGCGCACGTCGTATGGGTTCTGACCAGAGCGCTGGTAGGGGCCAATGATTGCGTTATTGCAGTAGATGGAAGCGGGCACGCAAGACCATACGCTCTCACTGTTGTAGCAGGATTCGATCAGGCTCTTGCAGCGAGGGAGCGCATTGTCCATGCCTGCACACTCTTGGGCGCCAAGAACAGCAGGCCAGCCACCATCACCGCAGGCCATAGGTCGGTAGTAATCGTATTGGGTGAGACCGTCAGTCAGACCGTTGCCGATGAGAACGGATTGCAGGTTGATGTTGCGCTTCTTGTGAGACAGGATTTCCGAGGCAAAGACGGGAATGTAGTGGCCAGCGTAGGACTCGCCAGAGATATGGAAGGGCTGCTTGGCGTATTCGGGGAATTGCTTGAAGAAGAGAGTCAAGAGGGCGTAGACGTCCTTGCCAGCAGCGACGGTGTTGGAGACGCCGCTGCCAGAGTAGGAGTATCCAACGTTGACGGGCTGATCAAGGAAGATGACGGAGGCGTTGGCGTTCCAGCTGCTGGGGTTGAACTTGGTCTCGCCCTTCTCGGTGATGGAGGAGGGACCAAGCTCCATGAACAAACCGGTCAACGAAGAGCAGCCGGGTCCACCGTTCAACCAGAGCAGGACGGGATCATTTTTGGGGTCGTTGCGAGACTCGAAGAACCAGTAGAACAGATGCTTGTCGTTCTCATTGTCGTCGAGGTAGCCGGAGTATTGCTTCACCTTGTCCACGCCGAGCTTCCTCGGATCGACCTTCTTCGTGCGAAGGGTGAAGGCCCTGAGATCGCCATCGAGCTCACGCTCTTGCTCTCCATCCTTGTTCATCACCCACACATCCTGGATGGCCTTTCCGCTGGTATGGAAGTCCCAGTGGCTGTCCGGCTTGCGGACATGCGGCTTCGGCAGACTGAAGAAGGACGCGGAGCTCATGCTCTCGGGGAACATGAGAGCGACCTCATCCCACACTGCGCGAGCCTCACCGGTGAGGTGCTTCATCTCATTCTCGAGCCAATCCCAGGACTTGGTCCATGACGTCGCCTTGTCGATGGGAGCCGTGAGGGCGTCTTGGAAGCTGCCGGGGAGGAGCGGTTGCTGCCATTGCGGGACGGCAGCGCTGGCTGCTCCAGCGAGCAAAGTGGGTACGAGGACCTTCATGCCGTGTCTGCGCAATACGGCTATCGGACGATGTCCGGATAGGTGTGGGTTGGAGTGGAAGAGGGAAGGCGATTTGAAGATGAAATCCAAGAACGGAGAGGTAGAATGGAGGGAGAGGAAGATAAGACGAAGACGAGACGAGGCGCCGGCGGCACCTGGATGGAAACGTCACAGGCTGCAGAGCTCGTGACCTGGCAACTCCCGCCACACTGCTCCACAGCCAAACTCTAATTTATCTTATCAATTATGTAATGCCCGTCAAGCCACTCGGACGTCACATGGGGCGTGTTGGCGTGCTGGAAGAAGTGAGGCCAATTCCTAAGAAGTACATTGATTTTAGTAGAGCTCACGTAATGAACTGTCACTGCGTATCATACTTCTGGCAGCTAGCCGGACGTCTTACATCTTGTTCAACATGACAAGCCCATATCCACGACGGAAGCAAGCTGTACAAGCCATCAGAGAAGGGAAAGCCACGCTTCCAAAGCCATTTTTGTAGGTCGGCGACGATGGGGAATCCGGAAGGAAGTTACAATGTCGGTATCGTCGGAGCAGGTAACCGGGCTATCCTCCCAGCTGCAGCAAAGTAGAGCGCTGATTCCCTTGTCCTTCAGGAATTGCTGGCTTAGCCGCCGCTATTGCTTTGGGCCGGCTGGACTACAAGGTCACGGTATACGAGAAGTCGAAATTCAGCAATGAAACCGGGGCCGCTATACTCATGGCGCCTCAAGCAAGCCGCATACTGCGCGCCTGGGGATTGAAACTGCCCGACGGGGCCGTCGGTCTAGGCATGAGCGCAGACGCCGGAGGCACATTGGTGGAATGGTTGCGCGCATGGAATCCTCGCTCTGTCAACGGCGTTCCGTCAGCGATGGACTCGTTCGCGGATTCAGCAACGCGATATGGGGCTCCATATGTCTCATACCATCGAGCCGATTTACATGCAGAGCTTCGAAGGTTAGCTACGGCAGCTGGTGCCGAGATCATCTTGGGAGTGGAAGTGGTCGATCTCGACTGCCAAGGTGGCCGCATCACGATCCACGCAACTGAGACCAGCCAAGTAGAGACTGTCGAAAAGGATCTGATCGTAGTGGCCAACGGTGTGAAATCGGCATTCGCTTCCATCATCGCTGGCCGACACCTGCCGCTGATCGAAGGCTCGCACTGCATGTATCGCACGCTCATCCCCATTGAACGCATTCGGAACGATGGAGATGCTTCGAAATTGTTTCCCGACGGTCGAACTAATGGACAGACTCTCGCGATCGACAACAGAACAGCTGCTATAGCTTACCCTTGTCGAAAGTATCCAGCTTATCCCTCTCCTCTCCGCCTTTCATTCGATTCTAATATCCTTGCAGTGGACAAATAATGAACGTTGCGGTCCAAGGCTCAAGAGCTGTTGAAGTATTCGGAGATGGTATATCCTCCACGTTCTGATAGGAGAGCACGTGGTCTGACGAGTCAGTGTAGATTGGCAAACTCCAGCATCAATCGACGAAGTCATTGGCATGTTAGAAGGCTTCGACGAGTCATGGCTGGCCCTACTCCGATTATCGGATGACATCAAAATCTACCGACATGCCATCCGGGAGCCTGTTACTTCTTATGTGAACGGTAAAGCGCTCATGATCGGGGACGCTGCGCACCCAATGACCCCTGGTGAGCTCGACCCAGTGTGCCTCTGTGTTTCTAACGTAGACGTTTACTCGGACGCAGCTCTTGCCGCCGGAGGCGCCACCTCGCTCGAAGACGCAGCTGCACTGGAAATCCTTCTTGCTGGTATTCCTGGGCAGCAGGGCGATGATTCTCTGGTCGAACGCATGCGCCTCTGGGAACTCTTGCGCCTGCCTCGAGACAACACCATCCAGATCTTGAGCAACTCCCAGTTCACACCGAGACCGGCGAGTGCCCTTTCACCGGACATCCGGCCCTTTCTCAAAACGCAATTGCCTGATCAGGTATTACTCGGCCTAGTCCGGAATACTCGTGAGTTCTTGAGTTACTACGACGTCTTCACTGCCGCAAAGCGCGCATTACGGTGGTGGGAGGAGAAGCGAACAATGGGCAGTAGCTTGAAGACATTGCCGATTTATGCTCTAGAAGAAGATAAGGTGGTAGTCCACTTTGGACCCTACTGAAGACGCACAGGACAATACTCGCCGGGATGGGCAGGAGAGCAAGACGACGCAAGGGTACTGTATGTAACTTATGCATCGTACGCACGGGCCACTAGCGCTGCGCACATTCCACCAGACGCGGGTGCGTCCGTTGCTTGATGCGGAACACCCGTCAGGCAACAAAATATACCCTTCCCTTGATGAATTAATACCTTGACTCATCCTTCCACATCCTCGACTGCGAAAGAGGCAACACACATCTACCAGCCGTCACCAGACGGCCCACCATCCTCAAAATGCCGTCTCAACAAATCAACCAACCCTCCAATCAAATCAAACTCACAAACGTCTCCCTCGTGCGGCTAAAGAAGGGCAAGAAACGCTTCGAAGTGCCCGCCTACAAAAACACCGTCCAAGCCTACCGCGCCGGCAACGAAGACGACCTGGACAACGTGCTGCAAATCAACAACGTCTTCATCAACGTCTCAAAGGGGCAAGTAGCGCCGAACGAGGACCTCAAAAAGTCCTTCCCCGGCCTGACGCGCGAGCAAATCGTGCTGGAGATTCTGCGCAAAGGCGAGGTGCAGGTGGGCGAGAAGGAGCGCGCGCAGGAGCTGGATAGAGTGCATAAAGAGGTCATCGATATTGTTGCGGGCAGGCTGGTTGATCCGAAGTCGAAGAGGGTGTATACCACCGGCATGATTGAGAAGGCGCTCGATCAGCTTTCGAGTCAGGGTGGACATGCAGGGCGGCAAGCGGGGAAAACCGCACATGGAGATCATACTGGCAGCGATCGCAGCAAGAGTCGCGATCAAAGTACAGCGACTGCAGACGGTGCGCAGCCCAACGGCGACGCCGCCGAACCTGCAGCACGAGAAGCCACCAAACCCATCTGGAAGGGCGTGAGCACCACCCGCTCCGCCAAGTCCCAAGCACTAGAAGCCATGAAAGCGCTAATAGCACACCAACCCATCCCCGTCGCGCGAGCAAGAATGCGCCTCCGCATCACCTGCCCCAACAGCATCCTCAAGCAAAGCGTCAAAGCCGCCCCGAAAGCGAGCAACGATGACGACGACGAGCAACAACAACAAGCACCAGGCACCGTCAAAGACAAAATCCTCTCGTTCGTCGAGCAGGTGGAGCACCAGGACACCACGAGTGGCGAGGAGTGGGAGGTGGTGGGCTTCGTGGAGCCCGGCGGGTTCAAGACGCTGTCGGAGTTTGTGAGTACGCAGACGAAGGGCCGGGCGCGGGTGGAGGTGCTGGAGATGGCTGTGACGCATGAGGATTGAGGCCTTGTGCGTTTTGTGGGCATTGCGTTCTAGCGACTGTGCGAGCAGGCGAGAGTGGTTTTATTTGAGGGGCCAACAAAACACATCGAGCGATGAAGTTAGATGATCTAAATGATACCCAGTCTCAAACGTTCCAAGAAGTTGCTCTCTTTCGCGTCCACAGCGTGACGCAGTGTTTGCTATGTTGCATAAGGTAAGGCACTTTCTCTCACGCGCTATGCTCTGCTAACATTCTCTTCCATCCCTCACACACATCATCCGTCGTATCATGAGTATGCTTCACACACAGTCAAATGCTCCAAGTCGCGCTAAAAACAAAGGAGTCGAACGCTTCTCGGTACCCTCGGTATTTCTTGTTCCCATGAAATGCACTCTTCACATGATATCCTTGATGCTGATCCGACTGCTCGCTGCCGCCCCGTTGCTTCCCACCGGCGAAAGCGAGGTTTGAGGCTGCAATGATGCCGGCGGCGGAGGCGGGTGAGAAGCTCCTTGTTGCGGAGGATTGGGATACTGCGTTGGCGGCGTGTTGGTGCTTGGCTGTTGGGGGAGGGGGTACTGTGAAGGCGTGGGAGGGTAGGAGGAATGCTGTTGCTGCTGTTGTTGTTGAGAGTGCTGCTGCGGCTGCATCGGAGGCGTAGGCGCCGGGGCAGAAGACGGCGTGCGCTGTTGATGCTCATTAAAGAGCTGCGTCAGCACGCGCTGCACATTCTCCCAGCCGCCCCATTCGTGGAGTTCGCGTTCGCTGAGGGAGCTCGGGGTCGGGGCTTCCGCGGTGGCGCGGTCGGGAGTTGCGCCGTTGCTGTTGGGGTTGTTGGCGTGGGCGATGCCCGCGCCGCTCCACACCCACGATTCGTCGGCGCAGGCTTGCAGGTCGCCGCTGGCGTACGCGAGCATTTCCTCGTCGTTCTCGAGCTTCTGTTGATTCGCGCCGGAGCGCAGACGGCCAACGAGTTTCTCGAGGAAGAAGGCGAGGTTGCGACCGCAGGAGATGTTGTTTTTGCGCAGATCGCCAATGCTCGTGGACGCCTGCACGATGGTGAGGGCGGGCGCGAACTGCAGGCGTAGGCACAGGACGAGCGCGCAGCGCCACAAATGGGAGCACAGGAAGGCCGGGGCCATGGTGCGCAGCCGGGCGCCCCAGTTGGCCATGTGCACGGGGGAGTAGAAACCGGAGTTGTGGGAGGGGCTGGGCTGCTGCATCGATCGTTCGATGTAGTGAGCCGTATCTGTGGCGGCTTGTACGCAGCGGTCGAGCGCGTGGATTCTGTCCTCTCGCCGGCACGCGGGAGACAGGTTATGTCGATAGAGAAAGATGCGGGCGGACTGTAAGGTGCACGCCGCAGAGAGGAGTCGAGGGTCGAGATGGGCTTGAGAGAAGATTGGAAAGGGGTCGGGATATGATGCCATGATGCTTTTGAAGTGGTCGTCGTACGTGGAGAGGGTGGCAGGGGTTATGGTGCGCGCTTTGGTGGTCTTTTTGAGCTGTGCAAAGATTCGCACGACGGGAATGACGACAATCAGTCCATTTGGCGGAGTAGTGCCTTGCGGAGGTTGAATGATGCCGTGCGGTTGAATGCAGTCGTCGTTGACTGGAGTCGGTTCGCCTGCGTCGCAATCATCATCATCGATCATCGTGGGACGGCCGAGTTCGAGCGAGACCAGACTAGAATGATGAGTTAGTCGCGCAATGCAAGCCAAGTCGCCAAATAGCAGACTCACCGATCCCAATTGTACACGCTCCACCACACGCGTCGCCGCATTTCCGTTTCCATGGGCGAATACTGTCCCCGCTCAGTGTAGAGTCCAATATCTTGCGCCGCTCGCACACACGAGCCAAGCCAGACCCATCCCGCTGAAAGTAGGCTGGTTTCGACAAAGTAGACGCTGATCAAGAGCGAGGAGCGCACCTGATCCAGCGTCAAATCGTCCGACCAGGTATTCATATTGCGCATACACAAATCGAGATATTGCGCGCCGTCTCCATCTTGCGGCTGTCCGCTAGACTGGTTGTCCATGAGTGTTCCACACGCGAGCACCCCAAAGAAGAGTGAGACCCAGGAAGTGGGAGACTGCTGGAACGAGCCTGTTCGGTATGCATTATCGTACTCCTGCAGAAACGACGGCCAGTGCAGATGTGGCATGTTCACGTGCACAAAGGTATGGTAATGGGACAATAACCGGTCCGCAACCGTCTTTGTTGGCAGGGCGGGTGTAGCATGAGGCCAGGTGGGGTGTGAGCCAAAGGTTCTGTATGGTGGCGGCGGTTTGAAGATTCCCCTCGCATAGTTTCTGATGTCCTTGCGCGCTTCGTCGAACCCTTCAAACGGAGGAATTGGAGTATGACGATCTCGCGACGCGTCGGGAACGTGTAGCGTCGGCTGACTCGTGCCCGCAGCATCCAGGTCAGCCACCGAGCCACCCTCCTTCAACATCTTCTCCAGCTGCCGAATCTGCTGCCTGGCACCGTGGAGATGCTTCTCGAGGTCCTGCACCTGCTTGATGGACGACATGCGCCGATTGGTCTCTTTTGTAAACTGGCATTTGACGCCGCGACTGCTGCACTCGGAGCAGCTGGAGGTTTCGGTAGCGTCGCATTTGACCTTTCGCTCTCGACACGCGTCGCAGCTGGGGTCCTTGCGACGCTGCCGATATGCGCGCTTCTGGGCGCTGAGCACCGAGGCGGAAGTTGATGTGGATGGGTGGCCGGGGCTGTTCATCCCGCCGGCATCATGATGGAGATATGGGTCCGCCAGCATGTTTTGTTGAGTGGGCGTGGAGATTGGCGCATTGGGGTAGGGGAGGGTGGCAGGCAGGCCATTCGGGAGCGCGTGCAATGAGCCCGCCGGAGTCGCGGGATTGGGCGAGCCCGGGTACGTTTGCTGCGCGCCGAGCTTGGGCAGGGAAGTCGAATGTTGCGCCATAGGCGAGAGGGGGGTCATGTGAGCAGTCGGAGGGCGATTGCTGTACAAGCCTGGGGTTTGCAGGCCGGGGGATCGCGCGCTCCCCAGCTCCCGCGAATCCATGGTCGCGCGGAGAGGGGTGGAGAGTGGATGCGTAGGAGTGAGAGCTCACGGCGGGAGCGACGGATTGTGAAGGTCGCGTGGTGGAGAGAAGTGGGTATGGCGGAGCCAGACCATGTGTGCCGGGGAAAGGAGGAAGCGTGGTACATTCACTTGCTCAATGAGATGGCAAATAGTCAGAGCGCCGCAACTCGAAGGCCCGCCCGTGGAGCAATGGCGGAGGTGGGTGTTAACGAATGTCGGACGGAGGGTTCACGTGCGGCGGGGAGCGAGGGCATGTTCGAGCGGATGGCAGCAAGTAGGAAGCAGCAAGGGAGACGACGAGGAAGAAGAGAGGGGAGAGGGAGGGATGTGGAGGAGAGGGAGTGGAGGGGGTAGAGGAGCAGGGAAGGCGGACGAGCACGACTCGCGGACGGCGAGGAGCAGGCAGGTGCAGCAGCAGTCGCAGCAGCCGCAACACGCAGCAGTATTCGGCATTTGAGAAAAAGAGCGGACGAAGTTGAGTTAACCTTCTCAGAAGAGAAAGGATGGGCGGCATAGAGTTTCGGAGCGGCCAAAGCCACGCTTCCAATTGCTGGGCCTGCTCGGCTACGCCCCATGCAACCTGACCGGAATGCGCGCGCGCGCTCGTGCCCGCCTGGTCTGCCTGGGCGGGGCGGGGCGGGGACTGGACGGCGATGGCGCGACGTGACTGGCCAGGCGGCGACGCGATATGACCACGTAAGGCAAGGCAGCGATGACAAGCAGCCAGCAAACTGCACGCGGCCGCAGGGATGTTAGCTGGCGATTCGACAAGGCATTGAGAGTGCGGTGGGACGTGCAGACTCCATATCGTTGTCGACTCTGTCATGCGCCGCTACGTGCACCTAGCCGCACGACTCATTCATCATCATCAAGCATCCAATGCCCAGCCGCCATGACGTCCTAGATGTGTGTGATCTCATTTGGGAAGGGGCGCGCAGTCGACGGCGCCAGACCACCGATGCACCTCGCCGTCCTCCAGCATGGTGGGAGACGCTGTGCGCCCAACCATCATTGCAATTCACGGCACTGCCTTCCCATCCGACTCGGCAGTGCTCCCGGTGGTCTCGGGCGTACCATCCGCAACGATGCGGTGCGTGGGATGGTGGGTGGGTGGGTGGGTGGGTGGGTGGGATTTGCGACGGCGAGACACGTTTCGGCAACTTTTGCCATGTGCAAGCGCAGGGCAGAGGGTCTTGCTGCTTGCGGCAACCCGACATGCCGATCGCCATCGCCGTGTTTCCAAACAGGCCCTCTTCCCAGCACACCCGCGGCCGCTAGCCTTGCCAATCCCTTCGGCGGCCCCCACCGCACGCGTTTCGCCTTGTCCCCTCCCCCGCCAACTCCCGCGCAACTCTGCCAGGATTTCCTTGCCCTGCCGGAGAAGCTTTCTAGAAATCTTGCCGGATCTCTTGCCCAATCGGATGCCTTAGCGGCCGATCTCTCGCACACCACTGTCGCACGGCGAGCGTCTCCGGCCCACCGAGCGCACGCTTGACCACACGCCGCGCAACCGCGGCACTTCCCGACGCTCTCCTCGCACGCACAGCAATGGGATCGACAGCGCGCCCTCCTTCGCAGCTGCAACTCCACCCGTGCGACAAACCAATGCGGACGAGCCGCCCGCTGAATTTGGAATGCTCGCCGCTGCGGCTGCCGCAGCTGGGAGATGGAAGCAGGAGGAGGCCTGTCGATCGTGCGGCGCGAGACCCTGGCTGTTATGAGTCTGGAGGCCGACTTGTGCGGGTATTGCGGGAGCAGCTCTCCCTTCCCCCCGCATTGATGAACATACCTAGGCTCTCTGCAGTCTCACCACCCCAGGTCTTTAACAAATCCACTCGCCCAATCCCATCATTCCCACGCCGTGTTGCGCCCATGTCCATACCGCCGCTACAATGCCCTTCAATCCCAGGGTCTGGCGTCAAGCTTCTCGATAAAAGTCAATGGTCGACGGCCTACGCCGCGAAATGATGATTAACCACCACCGTCCAGCATGAAGATCAACGGAAGCTTCCCAGCTCTGCGGGGCCCAGGCTGCGGGTGAGACGAGTGACGAAAACGGGCAGAATGAAAAAGAATCTCAAATCCCTTCCCCCAAGTCATCATCCAAAACGACCGACGAAAACGCAAGCTTACTGTGTAAGCGCCCCAAGGCTCGGAGCAGGATTAAGGGTAAGGTTTTCCGGGGCGGGAATTGCGTTTCCCTAGCCGGCATCCGTGTATACGAGGCTGCCTGTCTGGCACCGAGCGTCCCGATTGGGCGCTGTCCGCGTCTCGCAATATAACGCCACTCCGCAGGATGCAGGCAAGGCGTGGTGTGATTCGTATCGCAACGCCCAATACGCACGGCTAGTCAGGACACGTACAAATACGAACCTGTTGTCAAGGCGAACGCCGAACACAAGATGCAATGTCAAGAGGAAGAAAACAGACCCCTGCATTTGCCTACTTAGGCAGGTGTGAGAGAGAAAATCAACATCCTAACATCCCCTCTCGCCCATTTCCCGCTCGCAGCACGTGTGCTTGCAATTTGCGAAAGCGCGCTCCTAGATCCTTCATGTTGGGTCGTCCAGATCAAGCCAGGCTTGCGTGTCTACCTCTCTAGACTTTATAGGGAAGCGTGCCCTGGCAACGGAAAAGGAACAAGGCCACCCTCGTCCGCCTCTTGCAAGGGCTGAGAATTGCCCCTCGTTGTCCTGAGTCCAGCTCGACCGTCCCTTCGTTTCATCCATAAGTCCAACATTGGGAAAGTAGTATGAGAAAAGAATGAAAGGCTCCCGCGCGTGACAACTCCACGCGTCCCATCACCGGGTCTATTTTCCCCCTAGTCATCGTCGCCCTTGTCGTCATCGTCATCTTCGTGGTCGTCGTCGTCGTCACGCGGCGTCCTGGAAAGAGAGCAGAATATCTTAGCCGCTGAACGGGTGGGTTTTCCCTGAAAAATTGGAAGGAGAATAATTCAGGTCCACACGGATGCTGGTACGAACCCGCCGCCTGCGCCTCGGCCTAGCGCCGCATATCCGTACATCTGCCCTTCTTGCATTTCCAGTGCTGACGGTGGGAGGCCCGGCGACGGCATGCCCCAGCTTTGCGTGCCCTGTGCGAAGCCCGCGTACTGCTGTGCGCCGATTGGGACGCCGAGCCAGGAGACGTGGGGCTGCTGTTGTTGTTGTTGCTGTTGTTGCGCGGCGGCGGCAGGGTGTTGAGACGGAGTGGAGGGATGGAAAGCGGGACTCAGATTGCCGGGGGTGGGATAGGCCCAGGTATTGGTGCTGCTGCTACTTCCACTGCCGCTGCGCTCGGCGGCTATGAAGTTCAGGGGCAGCGTTTGGCGCGCGGCAGGCTGGTTCATCTGCACGCCTGCTTGGTTCCTGTAGGCAAAGGCGTTTTCGCGCGGGAATTGCATGAGGCTTGCGGTCTCGATGGACGCGGCGTCCATGGCGCGTGACGACTGCATCATGTCGATTACGTGGATGATCTTTTCGAGCGGCGCGAGGGCTATGGCGCTGCAGAACGAGGAGCCCAGATCGGGATACAGCGGCTCCAGGACCAAGGCTGTCGCATAAAAGTGCGCGAGCGTAAGCATGGCTGGGCCCTGCCCTCCACTCTGGCCTCGGAGCAGAGTGATGGGAACCCAGAAAAGCCATTTGCGCAAATAATAGAGCTGGTCGAACTGCGCGTCCGGTGAATACGCAGGCTCTGAGGTCTGCAGGCTCTGAACGTAGAGGAGCAACTGCTCGATCCAGTATAGTTCGACATCGCACCCGGCGAGGCCCATTCGTAGTCTTTGCAGCGCCTCCACGATTCGTTGAAATGTGTTGCTACGCTCGACGGGGTTCAGGGAGGGTTGTCGCCGATGGACGCGTAGCGCATTTGCCAAATAGTCTCCTTCGGTAATCACTTCTGCGAACAGGGACGGTCGATTCCACGTCTGCATTGCCGTGAGCACCTTTATCCTTGTTAGCGGTTGATTATCACGTTGAAGCGCGTTGCATACCGATTGGACACCGGCGCGCAACGAAGACCAGCTTCGCCTGCAGATTGTCAGCACTCGTTGCGTACGTCGAGAGCGAAACCCCATGATTCACACACCAATCTGTGCTTTGCCACAACATCAGCAACGATGCAGCCAGGACAGCATCCGCATTGGCCTGCGAAAAACTGCTAATGGCTTCATGCAGACCACGCAGCGCCAAGCCGCCGTGGTGAATGTGTATACTCCGCGTCTCGTTGGAGCCGTTCGCCCATGCCATGTGGTTCGCTGAGAATGACAGCAATGCGTGCATCACGTAGGGGTATGATGATGCGATGCTCAGTAGTCTGATAGGAGAGTTGACGTGTCAGTGAAAGAAGCGATCGGGAGAAGAGACTCGACGCGTACCTGGGGAGTTTCTGCGCCCAGATGGTCAAGCTTGCGTTGCCGTTCGCATGCAAGTCGCTAGAGATTGAAGAGAGGTGCTGAATGAGACGCAGCTCGTTCCTCGATAGCTCTTGTACAGGCGGCTGAGGGTATACGTTGAGCTCCGGGAAGGGGAAGCCGCCTGTGTATTGCCATGCCTCTACGCGTTGCTCTGAGTTCGGACTGAGCAGGACGGAAGCTTGTTCGGGACTGGGGACGCTGTCGCTATCGGACACGCTCTCCATGTAGTCGCATCGTACCTGATGTTTCGTGCAGTTGCGGCTAAAGGCTTGAGTCAGCGACAAGTGGGACTAGATCCGACTCGCGGACCATGGAACGGACCATTGTGGATAGTTCTCGTCGCATCGAATATGCCTTCGTTTGCACGTCTTGCAACCTTTACGGCTCTTCGTATGAGATCGTCGAGAAGGGCCGGCGCCCTGACTTGGCATGGCGCCCGTGGCGTGGTGTTGATCCCTTACGGCCGTAGGGGCGCGCGCGTTGGGGTCCAATGTGGCAGCAAGTGCCGAGCTGCAGAGATTTGATTTGAGATGTCGGTAGGAAGAGGGGGGATCGTAGTTGGCGACGAGGGGAGGAGGGGGTGTTTGACTGCGTTTGCTTGTCGTTGTCCAGAACTACTCCCCGGGTAGGCGATGCTGTGGAGGGGTGAATTCGCGGAAGTCGGGGGAATAAGAAGGCTGTGGCAGGAAATACGAGACCCGAACAATGCGAGCGGCAACAAACGGTAATGAACGATGACGAACGTCGTCGAATGATCAAAAGTCGAAGATGCAGGGTGAGGGGCCCGACTTGGCCGATGGCGGTGTGGTGGTGATATGTATCTGCACCTGGACCGCTCGTGCGCAAAAGAGAGCGCATTGCCTGATGGGGCCTAGTCCGTTCGCGAGGGAGGGAAGGGTGAGAGAGGGAGGGAGGTGCACGTATGACGGCGGCTTAGAATAGACATGATCAGTCCCGGCGTGAACTCAGACCACAAAACTGCTATGCTCGGGCGATCACTGTCAGTGCAGTCTCATCTCAGGCCAAGAGTCCCCGCGGCCGAGGGTTGCGGTCAAGCTTTGGTCGCGAGGGCGATGTGCCGGGAGTGGTCCGGCTCAAGTTGTTGGCTTGCATGCTACTGCCTGAAAAGAGCTAAGGCCGATGCGATGGGTTGCAGCGCGCGCCGCGGCCATTCCTGCGGTACTGGTAAGACTTTGGTCGGATTGCTCGCGCGCCAAACACCGCCTCTCGGCGCTCGTTGATTGCATTGCGCTAGGCATAGGGCGAAGCGCAATCTTGCTGGCCTCAAGACAGGCCGACTAGCGGCGCACGCGAGACGTGACCTGATGTGACCGCCTGTGACATTGCGGAGCCTAGTTGGGCATGCGGTGTACCCGTGCGGCGGCCGTGGGCGGCGGAGTTCCGTCGCAGCAGGCTTGGAACAGGCTATGTATAGCTCTCAGCCGACCCATTGGAACCGGTCCAATCACTGGGCTCACTGCGGGTAAACCCCATCACTTCAACGACATTCACTGCTGGAGCAGCGCAGTCGCGGTGATGCAATGCACGCTCGTGGTGCGCAGGACCAAACGCATGTTGCAGGGTGTTGTCGGCGAAGTCAGTCCACCTGTGCGTCATCCGGCCAGCGGACAACCTGGCAAATCTGTCAGTCCGTGGATGGACACACCCACTTTCACGAATCGGCGGGTGCGAGGCGTCTTCCGCGGGCGCAAAAAAAACCCACCGAACCAAAGGCCAAGCTCAGGGGGGAGGCTTGGCCTTCCTGCATCCGCACCGGTCGTACAGGTGGGAATGCACGCTTTGTGGAAGACGTCATGAGACCGCGGTCATTTTTTCACGTGGACCGGTCAATGATGCAAGGTACGCATGCTGGAGGGATGCCTGGGATGGGCATGTGGCGCAAGGGTTGCAGGTGGGAAGATCGGCGTCGCCGGCCGCTAATCTCCATCCTACCACGCCCGGCCAGCGGGCCGAGTGGGCGCTCGCATGCACCTCCCTACTCCTCGCTCTATACTGCACAGTACATCTGTCGTTTGTACTGTATCTCTCCAACTGTTTGCAGCGCCTTCCCCGCCGTCCCGATGCTGTGGTGCACCCGCACCCAAGCTTCTCTTCGGCCCGCTGATGACATGAACGGCCGACACGTGCATTGGACGACGAACGCATCACTCAACGTGTCTGCCACGCGATCTCACAGCCACATTCAACCTGCGGACCTACTTTCCGTGCGCTGCCGGATCAACAAGCATTGCTTGCACGCTCCCCCGCCGATCAGTGGGAATGAAGACGTGAGCCAAGATCCCTCCCCGCATCACTCTTCGTACTATTCTTGCTTCCACCGCCCACCGTCAACCTACCTCGCCAAGGCGATCGCGGCTAATGTTGCACCGGCAAAATACCAAGAACCAACACGATGAATTCTTGTACATCCGTAGAAACCGATCGTATTTGAAGCAATGCCCATCCTGCGAAACTCTTGGCCGTCGAGCATCACTGCGATACACCGCAATGACGCTTCCGCTGTGCCGCATACCCTGTACTCGATTCTCTATAGATGCAATCACCACTCCAAGCCCGACGCCGTGATTGAACAATTATGCCTGGATCAAGTTAATGCATCCCGAATCCACGTACGCATGCTCGATAGGCAGAATGAAATGACGGGAATGCGCCAAGGTCGTCAAGAGCCTTCGTCAAGCCCTCCCAGCCCATGCGGTCCGTCGATGAAGGCGTACGCCACTCACGACACTCGGCACGATGAACCTTGAAGACCGACAGCAAGAGGCTGCGCTAAAGTTATTCGACGTGGCAATTCTAGAAGCATCTTCGCGCGAGACCTCGTTCAAGCCACAAAACGTGCATGATACAGCCCGGCGATATTTGTCAATAGCCCTCACTACACCGGCGCATCGTTCGACCTTTCTGCAGCGGGTCGATTTTTTCACTCCCGCTTGCAGTAGTTGTGATGCTGCCATGAGGACGTGGCAAGCCCTGGCGATCGGTCCGTTTCTCGTTGTCGACATGAATATAAATTGGGTGGCGTGACCGTCGGAGTCGCATGCGGAAGCTCCGACTTCGCCGAGCATACTCCGCTCGGGCTCTCAAGTTCTGCGGGCATGCTTGCAATGACATAGCTCACGCAACAATATGAAAAGCGTCGCGGCCTGATCCTTGCAGCAATAATGGCAGATACGTGGCGCTCGATCGCCAGCCGCAAGCAGGAGGAACGCGCATCTCGCATCCCGCACGCTTGGCTGCTCCCCTCCTCCATCGACCCCAATCGGCATGACGTCCTCGACGTGCCTCGTGAGAGCGGCATCTTGTCCCCCGCCGAGCTGCGCCTAACGGGAGAATACGATGCCACCGCCCTGCTGGCCGGCCTGGGCAGCGGCCTACTCAAAAGTGTGGACGTCGTTACCGCTTTCTGCAAACGCGCGGCGATTGCGCAGCAAGTGAGCAACTGCCTGACCGAGATCTTCTTCCACGACGCCATTGCGCGCGCGCGCGAGCTGGACGCGTATTTCGCCAAGACGAGGAAGCCGATCGGCCCACTGCATGGACTGCCCATCTCCATCAAGGACTCCTTCCAGGTGAGGGGCTACGATGCGTCGCTGGGAGTCGCCGCGCTGTGCTTTCGCCCGTCCACGAGCAATTCGGCGCTCGTGGAGCTTCTCCTCTCGCTCGGAGCGGTGCTGTACTGTAAGACGAATGTTCCGTTGACAATGATGGCGTTGGACAGCCATAACAACGTCTTTGGCCGGACGTTGAACCCTGCCGATCGCCGCTTGACTGCCGGCGGATCTTCGGGAGGTGAAGGCGCTCTGGTGGCCATGCGAGGCTCGATCTTGGGGATCGGCACTGATGTCGGCGGCAGTATACGTGTGCCGGCTTATTGCAATGGCATCTATGGGGTCAAGCCCTCGCACGGCCGCGTACCATATGCTGGCCAAGCGATTGGGGGGCCGGCTGGCTCGAGTAAGCTGGCAATCGAATCAACGGCTGGCCCAATCGGTGTCAGTGTTCGTGATTGCGAACTGCTCCTCCGCGTGATCAGTGATAGCGATGCTGCGTCACGGGACCCGGATGTGGTTTCCCAAACATGGCAAGAACAGCGGGCATTGTCTATCTCGCGATCGCTTTTTGTAAAGAGCCAACCTTTGCGAGTGGGCATTGTCCGGACAGATGGGCACGTGACGCCTTTGCCGCCAATCCAGCATTTCATCGACGAGGTGGCACACACTCTATCCTCGCATGGGTCGAGAATTGAGGTGGTTGATCTCGACATTGGCACGCTCGGAGCACAGTGCCTCAAAGCATTTAATGGAATCGTCTCCATCGAAGGCGCGAACAACTGGTTCGACCTATTAGAGAAAACCGGCGAGCCAATCTCACCCTGGCTCTCCACCCGACTGCGTCGCCGGCCCCAAAAGAGCGTCAATGAAGTGCGCAGCCTACAAGCGCAAAGAACAAGCCTGCTGACCCAATGCCTCGACATCTGGCATGAAAAGGGCGGGTACTGGAATACATCTGACAGCCGGGCAAGAAGAGGTGAGCGGAGCGTGGACGTGATCATCTGTCCGGCTGCCCCTCATCCTGTCCCTCCAATCGACAGGTGGAACTCGGCAAACTATACGTCGATGTTCAATCTCCTCGACTGGCCGGCGGCGGTCTTGCCGGTGCGGAAGTTTCAGGAGAGAGATCTGCGGGGGGAGGTTGGGGGTGCGGAGGCGTTGAATGGATGGGATAAGGTCAATAGGGAGCTGTGGACGAAGGTGGATCGTGCGGTGTATGTGGGAAGCCCGTTGTCTGTGCAAGTGGTGGCGCCGAGATTGATGGTAAGTTGATTGACGTCGATGGATCGACCATCAATGAACGCTATGCTAATGAATTGCAGGAGAGGAAGCTGGTGGAGAGTCTGGCGGTGCTGGAGAAGGCTTTGGAACCGTTACGGGAAAAGGATTTGAACAGCAAAAGCAGGCTGTAGGAGAGCAGACAAATGGCGTGTAAATACAGTTATATGTATCGCACAGCGTACTATTTCACAGCTGGTTGTCAATCCCGCGCGGTCATTGGCTGGCGGGACGCGTGGAGGCCGAACAAGCTCGCCCCAATGAAGCTTTTCTGCACGGCGGGCCGGTTGCTTAGCCGGGCAGCATTGGCCAGTGACCTGTGTGGCGCAGGCGCAACGTGGGCTGCAACTGCCCCATCAAACACCAACACCTTGCTGTTCCTGGCTTGTGCCGATCGAGCTCGAGCAACAGCTATTCCACCCGATTTTCTCTCCCTCACCCCCTTCTTCTCCAAGCACGCATCATCTCTCTCACACTTCGTTGATCGTCTTCATCCCTCCCAGCTTGCACTTTACATCCGTGACATCCGTCAAGCCCCCTCCTCAATCCATCCCACTTCAGCAGCTGCAGCAAACCTCCCACCGCCCAAGCAAACGCAGTCGTCAAGATGGTGCATCTCGGACAGGTTGCCACCGACAAGGAGATCGAAGACAAGAGCAACGTCAACGTCGGCGTGCAAGAGCTCGGCATTGACGACTCCGCCAGCGGCCAGTTCTCCACCAGCGTCTACGGCAGCCGCTATGCCGCCTTCGATCTGCCCAGGCATGAGATGCCAGAGGATGAGATGCCCAAGGAGATTGCCTACCGTATGATCAAGGATGATCTGACCCTTGATGGTACCCCTACTCTGAAGTAAGTCCCTTGCCATCCCGCCTCGCCATTTACGTGCTTGCCCAGCTAACCCACTTCCTTCCCCAGTCTCGCATCCTTCGTCACCACCTACATGGAAGAGGAGGCGGAGAAGCTGATGGTCGAGGCCTTCAACAAGAACTTCATCGACTACGAAGAGTACCCGCAATCCGCCGACATCCAGAACCGCTGCGTCTCCATGATTGCCCGCCTGTTCAACATCCCCGCCCACGACGCCAACACCAATGCCATGGGCACCAGCACCATCGGCTCCTCCGAAGCCATCATGCTCGCCATGTTGGCCATGAAGAAGCGCTGGCAGAACAAGCGCAAGGCGGAGGGCAAGGACATCAGCAAGCCCAATATCATCATGAACTCCGCCGTCCAGGTGTGCTGGGAGAAGGCCGCCAGGTACTTTGAGGTCGAGGAGCGCTACGTCTACTGCACCAAGGACCGATTCGTCATTGACCCCGAGGAGGCGGTGAACCTCATCGACGAGAACACCGTCGGCATCTGCTCCATTCTCGGCACCACCTACACCGGCCAGTACGAGGACACCAAGGCCATCAATGACCTGCTCGTGGCCAAGAAGATTGACGTCCCCATTCACGTCGATGCTGCTTCCGGTGGCTTCGTCGCTCCCTTCGTCTGCCCTCAACTCGTCTGGGATTTCCGTTTGGAGAAGGTGGTGTCCATCAACGTCTCCGGGCACAAGTATGGTCTTGTCTACCCAGGTGTTGGCTGGGTTGTCTGGCGTGACCCCGAGTTCCTTCCCAAGGGTGAGTCCTACCTTTTACACACGACCGGGAAATGGCAGCTAACCCCCCTGCAGAGCTCATCTTCAACATCAACTACCTCGGCGCCGACCAAGCCTCCTTCACCCTCAACTTCTCCCGCGGCGCCTCGCAAGTCATCGGCCAGTACTACCAACTCATCCGCCTCGGCAAAAAGGGCTACCGCAGCATCATGCTCAACTTGACACGCACCGCGGATTACTTGGCCGCCTCCGTGCAAAAGATGGGCTTCCTGCTGCTCTCCGAGACGCGCGGCCGCGGCCTGCCCCTCGTCGCCTTCCGCCTCAACCCCGCGCTCGGCCACAAGTTTGACGAATTCGCCGTCGCCCACCACCTGCGCGAGCGCGGCTGGGTTGTGCCGGCCTACACCATGGCCCCGCACAGCGAGGGCATGAAGATGATGCGCGTCGTCGTGCGCGAGGACTTTTCGCGCTCGCGCTGCGACGCCCTCATCTCCGACATCCAGATGGCGGTCGACGAGCTGAGCAAGATGGACGAGAAGAAGCTGGAGCTGCAGAAGGAGCACATGAAGCAGCGTGCCCGTAGGGGGGGCAAGGGCGGCGGCAAGGGCACCAACTCGCACTACGCCGATGAGTCGCACAGCTTGAAGGGCAAGCACAAGAAGACTCATGCTGTTTGCTAAGCGGCTTGACTTGGTGCGGGCAATGGGGTTTGGAGAATATACCTACGATGAAGTGCGAGAGCAGAGACACGATCCCTAAGATAGAAGTATCCTGAGATAGGAAATGCAGTGGTCAGTCTTGCATTCATGGACACGACACGGTTCATCCTCTTGGCCACATCACGTTGAGAGTCGTGGGAGAAGGAAGCTTTCGGTAGCATCTACCTGCCTTTTTCTACGCGGAGTGCACGCATATCTCTATCGCTCCTCGTCTTCGTCCAGTGAACGTGAACATGAACTTTTTCCCATCCCCATCATTCCTCCACATTCCACGGGAGTCAATTCAAGGCGCCGCATCTACTTGAACTGCTTGCCATCGGCCCACTCGTAGGTCTTGCCACCCACGACAACAGCCTTGTCCCACGACCACATGTCGTCGACAAACTCGCGGTCCTCCTTGCTCGTGGGGTCGAGCTTCTTGAACTCGTAGCTCTCGTAGTCGGGCGCGACGTCGAAAGCGGGCAGGGCCTCCTGGCCGCGGACGAGGAAGGCGCCCTTGACGACGGAGTCGTTGGTGACGCCGAAGACGCTCGCGCAGCCGAAGAGGTACTTGCGGCTGGCCTCGAGGCGGTTGAAGAAGCCGCCGATCAGGTTGGACGTCATGAAGGTCATGGTCAGCTCGTCGTTGTACTTGTAGTCCACGCTCCACAGGCTGTACTCGTCGAATTTGCAGTTCTCCCAGAACCAGGGCAGGGCGACGGTGCGCGTCTCCTCGTTGGAGTATTTGCGCTTCCTGTGTGGGGCGTTAGCTTGTGGTCTTGAACAAGATGGGGGAGGTAGATTGAGGGACGTACCAGTCGTCAAGAATGAACGTCGGCTTGGGAAGAGCCTCGAGCGGGTGCTTGGGCTTCGGCGCGGGCTTGTCTTCTTCCTCATCGTCATCCTCGGGATCCTTGGCCTTCTTCTCCTGCTTCTTGGGCTGCTCGGCCTTCTTTGGCTGCTCGGCCTTCTTGGGAGGAGCGATGGGGAGGGCCTTGTCAATGTAGGCCAACGGCGGGGCCACGCTGCTGTAGATGGGCTGGTTGTACACCGTCTCGTACCACCGAATGGTGCTGGGGTTGCTCTGCGCCCACTCCTTGTCGAGGACATTCTGGAAGCCACGGATGAGGAGGGAGGTGGCAAAGATGTCGGCAAGGGTGAGGCGCTCGCCGACAAGGTAGGTGTGGGCCTGCAGGTGGTTCTCGAGGATCTTGAGCTTCGCCAACGACGTCGCCTTGGCATCTTCGACGTTCTTCTTGTTGAAGGGGTCGAAGCCCAGGAGGGGGCGGAACCAGGGTCCCATGCTGGTCAGAACCTCGTGGTTCATGAAGGACATCCAGCGCAGGATGGAGGCGTAGTCTTGCTTGGTCTTGCCGAGGAGGGTGGTCTTCTCATTCTGCGAGGTGACTGGAGAGGACGGTCAGTCAGTGGGTTTTTGAAAGATGGACTGATGTGTAGAGCAATGGAGCGAGGTGGTGGTAGATCAGAGTGTGAATACAGGTCTCAACACAAGTGTTTGATTCAGACAGGGATAACTGAATGATGTGTATTGCTTCATCATATGACTCCTGCAAGAGATGGCGAGGAGGATGCGGAGGGACAGAGGGAGGTGGGAAGACTTACGGTAGATGGCAATGGCAATGACCTCGTTGAGGACGTAGCCATCGCTGCCCTGGAAGGTCGGGATCTTTGCGAGAGGGTTGAGTTTCTTGTAGTCGTCGCTCAAGCCACCCTTGAGCGGGTTGGTGTCGACCAACTCGATGTTGAGGTTGTTCGCTTTGGCGACGGCTTGGAGGACGGTGGTGCGAGGGTTACCCTGCCGTCAAGAACACAGTGTCAGTCATGGTGTGCCCATCGAAGCTCGCCACCAGCGCTGCCCCCATGGGGATTGCCCAACATACCTCGAACCCGTAGAGCTTGCCGAACGACATGTTGGAGGATCTGCACTTGTCTTTGGGGGAGTTGCGTAGGATCACTGGCGGTTTGTTGCGATGCGCGGGGGTGTGAGTCGCTGTCAAACACCCTCAACCCCAGCTGTTCTCAAAAAAATATTTCGGAGCGCTCAAAGCTTGGACCACCAAAGGCTTGGCGCTCCGAGCAACACCTCCACGGTCTTCGACTTCATCCCAGTTTGAACTCAATCCTCCATTCATCCACACTTCCCAATGGAGCCGCATCTGCTCTGTACGGGCTTCCGAAGAGCGGTAGTGTGCAACTACAACCCAGCAAAGCGACGCATACTTTTCCACTCTCGACGAGGGTACGCTACACCGACCGAGACATCCTCAGGCTCTCAGGATCCTGTTCGCGCTGCAGCTCCCATTCGTTTCAGCTCCAACGCAAACCAATTCGCCGTCAACCGCGCCGAGTTCGTCGACGATGCCGAGAACAGTGTAGGCTCCCGACCCGGTCAAAGCAGTCGCATTCCCCTCCTCGAACGCATTCGAATCCTTCCCGCTTCGCCATCCTACTTTACTGGAACCCCTCGCTTCACCGACGACTTTCTCGCGCTCCGAGCTCTCGAACGAAAGTACCAACTCCTCCCCACCCTCCCGCTCGCCGAAGCTCCGAGAGTAGCTTGGAAGACACTGGAGCAGTACAGGACAGAGCTCGGCGAGCCCGTTCGGCTGAAACGGTATAGCTCGCTCCTCACACTGTTGAAAAAGCTGAACTCCATCCATCCTTCTCTGTTTCCCGTCGAAGTCGAGCGCGCTCTAGCTCGCTACAAGAGAGTGGTCCAACCTCATCTCAACCAACCCAAGCCCGTTGTCGTGGATGAGCTGGGCCGCGCACGAGCCGTGGGGCGGCGCAAGGCATGTCACGCCGAGGTGTATCTTGTCGAGGGCGAGGGGCAGTGTCTGATCAATGGGAAGACGTTGACGGAATACTTTGGACGACTGCACGATCGGGAGTCGGCCATGTGGCCGCTCAAAGCCACGGCTAGACTGGACAAGTACAATGTTTGGAGTACTGTGCGCGGTGGTGGCACAACTGGACAGGCGGAAGCAATCACGCTGGGATTGGCAAAGGCATTGTTGGTGCATGAGCCGGCTTTGAAGCCCGCATTAAGAAAAGGTGCGTGTCGCCCATTGCTCATTTGTCTCGTTGAACATGTATGCTAATTTTCATGACAGCTGGCTGTGTCACCCGCGATATCCGTGAGAAGGAGAGGAAGAAGCCTGGAAGAATAAAGGCGAGGAAGATGCCGACTTGGGTCAAGCGGTAGTGTCTTTCCCTGTTCAAATTCTATCCCGCCTTGTACAATACCACCTCAAACTGTCCCGGCTTGCAGAAGAAATCGGTGATCAGTAGCTGTGTTTCGCCTGGAGAAAGTCAGTCCTGTGCCATCGTATGCGAGGTGAGTGAGCTCTTACCGTCATCCACATCCTCGTTCTGCCGGCTCAAACACGCCAATCCTTCGAAAATCTCCTTCATCTCCTCCTCAGCCGTGTACGCAAGGAAAGAGGCCCGGCCGTCCACTGGTAGGTTCCCAATAAAGTCTTCAATCAGCAACTGCCTGGCGCCACACATACCCGCAGCCCTGGCACACGACTGCAGCAAGGAGATGCGCAGCTCCAGCGCCGCGGTCCACTTTTCCAGAAACCTCGCAAAGGGCGAATGCTCGGCGAGAGGCGTGTTCTCCTCGAGCAGCAAGAAGAACAGCGCGCTGAGGGTCTTTTGACCCGCGGTGGTGAGGTCGGCGAGGAGGACGGAGAGCTGCCGCTCCGCCAGCGTCAGCCTCCTCTCGAACACCTTCATTCTTTCTTCCGCGCGGCCGACAACGCGGGAAAACACCGAATTCCCCATCTCCAGGCCGTGGACGCGGTCCTGGACGGCGAAGACGTCTCTCGGCGATATCGCCGTCGCCTTGGGGATCTTCAGGCGTTGGAGAACGGCCTGGCGGTCGTTGTAGGAGAGGAGACGCGTCTCCAGGCGGCGGGCGCGCTCGAGGGGGGAGGTGGAGGGGAGCGGCGTGGTGTGGTCGATTGGGGCTGCTCTCAGCACCCGGTTGGCGAGGTGTGCCCTCCATTCTTCTTCTCGGGCGGTGATCTTCTGGTTGAGCTGGCGGAGATTCTCCAGCTGGGCTTTGAGGGCGAGGAAGGCCATGCTGGTTTGCTAGACGGGGATCAGCGTCTGAACACCACTTTTGCGGTGGTGCGGTGTGGGTATGGTGATTGAGAGGAGAAGGGAGAGAAGAGTTTGATATTTTGTGTGTGCTCTGTGACGTGGACACTGCAGGTTTGATTACTTCAACGTCATCTTCACTTCACTTCAGTGAGGAAGGGTGCGGTTCTCACTCATCATCAGCCAGGTTGGGATGTGCAGCCCGACGGGTGATTCCCTTCAACCATTTCACTCTTCCTCGTTACTCATTCCTCCGTCCGAGTCCGATGATTCCCTCGATTCCTCGTCCACGTCCGTGCCATCATCTGAAGAATCGCCACTCGTGTCCGAGTCCTCCTCACTGGCTTTGAAGTACTCCGTAATGAGACTCTGGCGTCTCAAGTTAAAGCCATACAGCATTTCGAGCGTAGCCGTGTGATTTCCGACCCTCTTCCCTACTTCACGCATCATCCATTCCATGCATGGAGCTAGGTCTCGCATGTTGAGGAGCGCAGTCTCCACGTCGAAGTCGAGGCGCTTGTTATGGGCCCCCGCGTCGACGGCAGCATCTCGTAACCATTCCAGAGCAGCAATGTCGCCAAGCTCAACATGGTTTCCACCTTGGGAACGAGTGAAAATGTCCTCTTCGGCGGCGGCAAGCTTTTCAGCCCACTCGTATCCTCGTCTTGCATGGTTCCATGCCCAGGCGTGGAGGGACGTGAGACTCGTCAGCTCTTCATGCAAAGTCTTGAATGCCAGATCAATGCCTTGCTCCATTTTGATCACCATCAATTCCACACATCCGACTTCTCTGGCGATCAGTTCGGTGGCGTGGGCGATCTGGCCATAGATTGTCTCGCAGCCTCGAGGCTCTTGGACGGCCCTGCCAATCATATCCGGAATGGAGCGCTGTGGGAGACGTCGAACCAATCGCGTTGGGGCGCCGTCTGCTAGCTGGGCTTCCACACGCGCACACATCTCTTCGTAACGGGCCTGAAGGGCGGCGATGAGGTCATCGTAGGTAGTGAACGGGACCAGGGGTGGCATTTCGTCTGGGCTTTCGTGCGTTTGAGCGATCGATGCATGCTTGCGCCACGCCTTTTCTTTACGACAGATAAAGCGTCTAATCCGTTCAATCTCCCGAGAGATAGGACTTTCCATCCTGCGGACGCGTTGCCTTGTTCAGCGCAGTGTGATCTGATGGCCGAGGTGGTGCGTCCTGGTGGACAAGCAGTCGTGTTTTGCTGAGCAAAAAGAGATGCAAAGGTTGAGAGATGACGTTGGGGATTGCATGGGCATCCGCGTCATATCGACGAGGAAAGAGCTGCGGCCGCGGTGGAAGGTGCCGCCCACGACAAGGTCGTTTGGTCAAATTGGAACTCGTAGTCTCAGAACAGTGAGATGGACCGAAGATGCTTATCGTGCCGTTTTTGTCGATCGCACGGGGTTGACACGCTTGGTCTGGAGCATCAGCTCTTCGCAAAGCCAGTGCGCCCCTTACGCGTGCCAAACGTTACACTTCTGGGAACCATCTTCAACGCAGACATGGACGATGTCAGCTCATCCAACCCGGACTCTTCCTTTCCAGCATCGCCCACTCCATCACCCTCCGTCGCCACCTTTCCCATGCTCGATCCTGCGTTCGGTTCACTCATGGACGTAATGTCTGTCGTCTGCGCAGCGGCCGACACTGAAGAGTCACTCCGACCGCGTTCACGACTGCTCCGTCGGTGCCCCTGCGCATCAACTCCAGGCCGCAACATACTACTCCTCCCATCCACGCCATGATCTACCACCATGAAATCATAGTTCTTCGGATAGCCATGCTTGTCCACAAGATGACTTCTTCGCTTCTTCCAATCCGCGCAGATCTTCTCGCATCCCTCTACGAAACACCCATACGTTCTCGCTCCGCCATCCCGCTTCGACGCGACGATTGGATCGTGATGCTCCGCGATGTGCAGTTCCAGAAACTGGCTGGTTGGGAAGTTGCTTTTGCATTCCGTACATCGATTCGTGTGCGCCTGATGGTAATGCGACTCGTATTCCGCGTACGTTTCAAAGTTTAGCGGTTTGTGAGGTGGAAGCAGGCAGTCCATTGTTGACGCCGCATTTGTTTCTGGCTCCAGCGAGGCATATTTCGGCGTGTGAGATGTGTCTTCGCCGCTCTCGGCAAGACGCCTATCATCCACACAGTCTGACCCATCTGCAGCATCTGAGGCTCCGCGGGGCCGTTTGGCCATTGCATGTGGTGTGCATGCGAGTGAGCTGCGATGCCTTAGACGCTAGTCGACGCTGTACCTTCCTTCTTGGTAATTTGTGGATCGGGACAGTGACTGTTCCGTGAATGACGGAGGTCAGGATTGCCTTCCTCGCATCATTAAAGGCATTGATCTCGGCCTCGCCACGACATGCCTACGCTCACCACTCTTTCGTGTTTCGTTGATGTTAATGTTGATGCTTGAATGCTGATGTCGTCTCGAGCTCCCAGATCATTGGTTGGCGCGGCTTACCTTTAGTCAACGCAGGACCCACTCATACCACGCGACCTCGCTCCAGTGAATCTGACCAACGCCTTCACTCACACTTGCTGCACACCTCACTCCCCTCACTCACCAGAGAAACCGACGCTGAAGCAGAAACTTACAGTGACTCCACAAGCTGGTGACGCTGCCACTGTCCACGCCCTTTCCCTCACTCCAAGCCCAGCGCCATCCTCCATGGATCGCCTCGGAACGCTCACCTGGACCAAGAACTCATACGCCTAACCTCTACTTCCCGTGGCCTAGTCTAGGGCCCAATATCCAGCACCAGCGTCTATGTGGTGCATTGAGATCCCCACAAAAGCATGGAGTTGCTCGCGCGCGAGCGAGCGGCGGAACAGAATGTGCAATACTATCTGAAGAACACCGAAGAGCCGGTGGTGAAGCTCCTCCAGGCCTTTGAGGAATACCGTCATGCATGCCAAAACGTCATCTTCTCAAACTTTGAGGAAGAGGCCGACCGCAAAGGTCGAGTGCTGTGGCACACGCACACGCAGGGGAAGAAGTTCTTCCACGACGCCCTCAGCGGGCTGCGAAAGCAGCCTGGTGACAAGAGCGTCGCGCTGCGCCAGCTCGTCAAGTTTTACCTACAGTTCATAAAGGACAGTCAACGCTTCTATCGCGACTTCATCCACCACCTGAGTGTCACCTTCGGCGGCATCTCGGCGCTGGAAGCCGTGGCGCATCAGGTGAAGAGTGCAGCCTTGGGTGAAAGCTCACAGGCGGTCGCATCACCGGCACTGCAGGTCAAAGTTCTTCAATCCTGCCACCAGTCCCTCATTTGTCTCGGCGATCTCTCCCGCTACCGGGCATCGGAGCAGCTCGACAAGAATCCCGACTTTGGTCCGGCGGTCGGCTACTATGGCTTGGCGTGTACATTACTGCCATCTTCTGGCATGGGCCATCATCAACTGGCTGTCGTTGCGTTGGAGCAACGGAATCACATGCGCGCAATCTACCATCTGTACCGCGCAATGGTCGTCGAGGATCCACACCCTAATGCTGCCACGAATCTCAAGCGCGAGTTTGTTAAGACGAACTCGGCTTGGGACCGCGGTGAGCTCATCCCCAAAGGCTCTCCCAACCAGTCGGATGCCTCGAAGCGCACACTCGTTGGCTGGTTTGTGCGCCTACACAGCATCTCCTTCAACGGCGAGCACTTTCGTGGATATAACGAACTTGAGAATGAAGTTCTCGGCCAGCTCGCTGCTGAGACAAAGCAACGCCCTCTCGACAGTACGCTCGTGAGGATGCTCATGGTGAATCTTGCTGCTCAATACAACGCCGGCGAGATTTTTCAACGTGAGTGACTGCTTAACGTCCGCCACGCCAAGCACATACTAATACAGTCTGCAGAGACCCCGATTGAACAGAATCAACATGCGTTTCTGCAATTCTTCCGCATCAATACCAAGACCTTCGCGACTCTGCTGCGTGTATTCTACGAAGACCTCGGGACCATTGACCTCAGCACAGTCGAGGATGATGATGCCGGCCTTGCTGCGAGAATTAGCGTAACAGCCCGCGGCATTCTGCCTGCCCTCCGGCTTTATAGCTCCTGGCTTCTCACGGTGATCAACCTCCTTGGGGGGTTATCAAACGACAATACGCTGAAAGAGCCAATCGACCAATTCTGGCACATGTATGCCCGCACGATTGACCTGGTTTCTGTCGCGTTTCCCATCTGGGATCTTGACGCGATTACGGAGTTGCCTTATCTTCTCGAAGAAGACGCTGATACGATCGGCTTCAAACCTCTTGTGCACGAACGTACGGACAAGGTGTGGCGCAGCAAAGTGAGCGGTCTCACGAAACCACGCTTCTCGGAGCAGGGTGTCGTGCAGCTTTCCGCAGATGAAGAGATGCTGGTGCGTGTCAAGGAATTCTTGGTTGATGGGCTGTTCTTGGCGAATGATGAGGACGACGCTCCCATCAAGCTACGTGGTACCCGAATTCTGCATCGTGACGCGCAGGATCCCGATGTGCTTCCGGTGACTGTTCCGAAACAAGCCGTGAGCAAACCCGAGAACAAGCCACCTGCCAAGCCATTGAGCTATGCAGCAGCTGCTGCCAATCGTATACCTCAGGCTCGCGTGCTCCCTCCTGCGGAAGCAAATGGAACCCGCCAGCCACCAAGCTCCTCGCATCAGGCTAACGGCGTACCCGCCCCAGCTCCAGGCCTCTCACGGCACGATCAACTCAGCCGGATGGTAGATGACCTGGTAGACGAAGACGACAGCAACGACCCCATGACCCCTCCCCAACCCCACACCGCCCACCCCGCCGTGGTCAGCAAAAGCGACGTGTCGTACTCCACCCGCTCCATTGGCCAGCCAGACCGCACGTCAACGCCAAAGTACGCATATCCGAACAAGCAGGCGCCTATTGGTACCCCGGGTGCCGTCTCGCCGCCCCCTGTGCGTACTCCGCAAACCACGACTGCACCGGGCACGCCTTTGAACCGCTTACAGTCGCTTTCTGGCATTTGGAACGAGGCTCAACAACAGCAGCAACAGCCGCTATCTAGCTTCCCCCCTGGCCTGCCGACTGGCACTCTAGCCTCTCCGGCCCAACTGCACGACCACAGACACTCGCGCGTCAACTCAGCAGGCAGCAATCGCAGCCAGGGATCCCACGGCGTGAATGCGAGTGTCCTGCAATCATCCTGGTCTCCTTCACAATCCATACTGCAATCTACGGCCCCGCCAGGCTTGGCTCCAGGCTTCACAGGCGGGTTGGGAAGTTTGGAGCCGCCGGTGAATGCTAGTCCGCTGCTGTTTGGTGCTGGTGGGAGTGTGTGGAGTCGGCAGCCTGTGGTTGGAGGGAGGAATGCTACGCCTCCGCGTGGGCAGGGTGGGTGATTGTAAGGAAATGGGGATAGGCAGAGTACGTCTTCGATCATTGAACATTTCAATGGAGGTAATGCTGATTACATGGACAGGACAGATTCTATGCAGCTTGAAAGCTATCGATGCTCCTCGGGGAAGGTTTAACGTATCGAAGAGGGATGAGAAGGCCCGCTTTGACCCTCTGATGGCAGTCCACTTGGAATTGCCGTAGGAGGTGTCAATCGACATGCCAGCCCCTTGTTTCTCAGCTACGAAAAAGGCTCACGGTCCTTGGGGTTGGAAGAGGGGTTGGAGATGGTGAGAAGTGATTGAGATTAATCGAGGAGTGCTTTTGTTTGCCAGTCGCTCGTTTCGATGCACTCAAATTGGTAGTAGGTGTAGCATGAGCACGTGCATTCGTTTTGCGATTGAACCGCCTTCACAGACCCCTGCCCGGCGACGTGATTGTTCCAGAACAGGGACGGCGGGGCCGATTCCGGGGTCGGCCGAATACGAGATGCACGGGGATGCCGGAAGGGCGCCGCAATCTTTAATCTGCAACGACTTCATTTAGTTAAACGCGGTGTAGCTTGTGCTGGCGATGCAAGTCGCTGTACCTTGTCATGCACGGATGAAGGCATCATGCCATCCGCGGCGTGCCTTCCGTGCCAAAGTTGGGCGTCGCGTGGCAGCGCCACATGGAGTCGAGACTTCACTCCGAGACCGAACCAGACTTCAGCCCCCCGCGCAAGGCAGTCACGCCCGCTCCTCAGCTGCGACACGCCACGAAATCGTCGAGCTGTCGCTTTGACGTTACTTCCTCTACTTACTCCCATGCTGCCTGCGGCCTAGCATTCTTCACAGACGAGCCTATCTCTTCTCTTCTCTTCTCCTCATTGCGGCGTGCTTTATTGGCGCCAACCTTGCACCACACGCGCGCGACCAGGGAAGCTGGGTTTCATCTGCCTCCCTCCATTAACGGACCGAATCCTGCATCCTCTCCGCTTCCACTCCGTTGCTTCTTGCTGCGAGCTCTCTACCTACTTGGCCATCCCGTTGTCGGGATCTCTTCATTGTCCACGTTGCGGAAACGCGCAGAAAGAGACGGGAACTGGACGGACAGCTGCATCGGCGGCGGGAACAAAGAGCACGTGGCTCACAAGACAACCTCCCTCTTTGTGTGTGGCGGCGTTGAGCGACAATTGGTACAACGTCTCATTCCTCTCGGGCTGAAGACTTCCTCAAGAGAACCACGCGCAGTTCACATCCGCACCGCACCCACTGCCTGAGTCTCGCTGAGCCAACCATACGGCCACATGCGTCCCAATGCCCGACGACAAGGATGAACCCACAGAATCAGACATAGGTTTACACGAGCACAAGCCCGCGCTGCAAGTCATCTGTCTCGGGTCCGGCGGTGGACCGAGCGAAGAGAATGTCACGGGCTTGCTCGTACGCTCCGTCGCCAGCGACTGGGCAAAGGGGAGCTTGCTGGCCGTTGACGCCGGCTCCCATCTAGCGCCCATAGTCAAGATCCTCGAGCGTGACTTTCCCAATGTCAGCGCAAACTACAATGCTAGAGACTCTCGGGATCCGTCGTCAATCAGTAGAAACTCCATTCGAGCTTCGCTGTCACCGACCCCTTCAGAGGAGATTGTCAAGCCTGAGCCCACCGTTTTGACAGCAGGGCCCTTCGCTGGTCTAACCTTTCCCAACACCTCGGCCCGCGCAAACGCCTTGCACGTTCTGCGGAATTACATTAGCACGTATCTCATCACGCACCCCCATCTCGACCACTTGTCCGGCTTCGCGATCAACACTGCCGCCTTCCATGCTACGTCCAGACCGAAGACCGTCGCAGCCCTGCCCAGCACCGTGGACGCCATCAAGCAACACATTTTCAACGATGTCATCTGGCCCAATCTCACCGACGAGGATGGAGGCGTGGGCTTCGTCACATTCCAACGGCTCAAGGAAGGTGGCGACCTGATGATAGGTGAGGGTGAAGGGAGAGGATACATAGAAGTGTCCGACGGACTCGGCGTGAAACCGTTCAAAGTGTCTCACGGTGTTTGCACAAAAAGTCCACCCAGTCATCGCCATCGAGGCAGTGTGCCCAACATCTACGATTCTCAACCCCCGTACAACGGCTCCGGACACGGCGAGCCGGCTGCGAATCCGGCTCGCCAGACTTCGCTCACCGGCGGCACCGGCCAATACTCCACTCCGGGTACGCCAGCACGCCAAACCTTCTACAACAGCACCATTTCCTCTCCACACATGTCCGGTCTGGATCACAAGCCCTGCGTCGTCGACAGCACAGCATACTTCGTTCGGGACTCCGCCTCCAACCGCGAGGTGCTTATCTTCGGCGATGTGGAGCCCGACTCCATCTCGATGAGTCCCCGTACGCACTACGTGTGGCAAGAAGCGGCGCGCAAGATCGCGCACGGCTTACTGACCGGCATTTTCATCGAATGCTCCTACGACGACAGCCAAGCGGACGCAGTGCTCTTCGGACACCTCAATCCGCGCCATCTCATTGAGGAATTGCAGACGCTCGCTGCGCTAGTCGTCGATGCCAAAGCGGCGCGCCATTTCGAACGTGCGGTCAAGAAACGTAAGCGCTCCGGGCCGAACGGGCTTGAGGGTACGAAGATGGCAGGCGATCGGAAGCGAAGCCGCAGCCTCGCCGGCCGATCAGGGCTGTCGAGGGAGCCGCGCAGAAGCAGTGTGCCCGATCCTCAAATCAGCGATGTCCTGGCACAGGTGCACTCTTCCGCGCCAGCAGGACACACCTCACAGCAGCCCCAACAACAACATGACAAAAATCTGCACGAACCCCCCGTGTCCCCGAAAGCTATCAGGACAAGCCCATCGACCGCACCGCCTGCCCACTCGTCTGAACCGCCTTTGCACGGCGTCAAGGTGGTTGTGATTCACATCAAGGACACGATGAAGGACGGCCCGCACGTAAGGGACAGCATTCTCGCGCAGCTGGAGCAGTACGAGCAGTTGCTGCAGGCCGAGGGCCGCGGCTTGGGCTGCGAGTTTGAGATTTCGGCGGATGGGGCGAGTTATTGGTTTTGAGGGGACTCTGGCGTCTCGCTGCTTGGGTAGTTTGGATATTGGGGATTCTTTTGCGTTGCGCGTACGAGCGTTTGTTGGGGGTTTTGTTCATGATGGTTTGGAGGGATTTGAATGGAACGTGGAAACACGTGACTGGCCTTCAGCATGTCCCGCGGAAGCCATTGACCGCATACTGCCTATGCAACGCCACTTGCACTACCCTGAGGTAGCCTACATCCGCCATAGTTTGCACAAACTGCCCAACCTGAGTTTGCAAGTGGGGCAATTACATACGTCGTCGTCCATCAAGCGAGCGAGGATGGAAATCTCTGTATGACATATGCAGCAGGGCGTTGATGATCATTACGGTGACGACACAGGGGAGAGGGGAGGCGACACTCCACTCCTGCCTATAATTATAATTGCACGTTCGGCCGAGATTGAACGGTTTGTTGTGTGTGGGCGCGCTGCGCATAGCCCCCATCGTGCACCGGTAGTTTCACGCCAAACTCTAAAGGGCGATTTTCCGGGGGGCAAATGGGGGGCTCTAACCAGAACGTTCGTGGGGTTGCGTGACACTCGTTGCTCTGCTCGAGGACTCAACTTAGCACGGGAGTTGGGAGCAAGGGCGGTACTGTAGATGGGCGTGTCTGTGAAGCGTGGAACGTCCACAATTTCCTGCTCCTCTCAGCAGCGTGTTGTTTTTCGCCGCGTGACCTCGCGTCTTGGGGACGTTGGAATGCCGCGCGAGGCGAAACGAAACGAAACGGCTGTCAGAAGAGGGAAAGCTAAAATCCACCTGGCCATGGACGTGCTGCGGGGGCGAATCTGTACACGGTACGCCGTGTTTGACAGCTAGCCAGGGCGTTTGGGCATACGCAATACGGCTTGGCGGAGTGCCAGAAGGGACTGCTGCTTCCCGTCTTCGAAGGCGTTGACGAGCTGGATAAATGCAAGATGTGTTTACCGGAGCGTGTCCTGAGGGAAGCCGTAAACGCGAGAGAGCAGCAGCGCTAGTGCCGAAACGGGCAAGGCGTCATTTGGCACAACCTCCTCTCCCGGCCCTCAATCACTCCCGCCAATTCCACGCTCCCTCGCCCGCTCCTCTTCGTCCCCCATCATCATCACCGCCATCATCATCATTCCCCTCGCCCCCGATCTCGCCCTCTCCCTTTCCCCTTCCACGGAGTTTTCCCCTTCTTCCACTCTCCTTGGATTCAGGGCATGCAATCGCCCTCGTAGCTGGGTTTTTTTGGAGCGGCAGACCCGCCCGTACTAATCTCCTCTTCGCGTGTGCATTCCGACAAACATCGCCCCTACCGCCTCCCACTCCACACGCCGTCTGGCTTGCACATCGCCCTTCACGACTGCCCACGACTCTTCGACGGTTCATTGGAAAGAACGGGCCGCGTCTCAGCACCTTCTGGATGTCCATGGGCGGCTCCAATTGACCTCTTGGCCCCCTCCGCTTCGGCGGCTTGTTCCTTCTCAAGCATTGAATTGCTTGCGGCTTGAATACAAGGTACGTTGCTCTTCATCACGCTTCCCGCCTGCCTTCTCACCTGCCCTCCACCCTGGAACCATTCACTGCTGCCCGCTACCACCCTCCAACGTATGCACCCGTCGATGACCCTCCACTTTCTTCACCACCTTCACCATGGCAGCGGCCATTAACCCCTCTTCCATCCGCTCCGTGCACTCCATACACTCCCGTCCACTACACCACCCTTGATTGCTCGCTGTTTGCTTGCTGCATGCACATGTCTGCTCATTCTGCGCTCCATTGCTTGGAGTTTGCCATAACTGACTGTTGCCCCACTCAGATTAATATCACTACACCTTAATCTCTCCTTGCCCGACCGAGCCCTCCTTCGCCTTCCATTCCCCACCACCGGCGTCATCTTCGCCAAAACTTCACACCAACCTCACCACGGCAGATCCGATGGCGGAGGTATTGCCAATGCAGTCTTCCACTACCATTACATTACTTCACTCCCGTCCTTCCTCCGCCGACGCCTTCACCACAGTTCAATCATATCACCAGCCTCAACGGCTGACCAACCAATCAAGGAGCATGTACAATGGGCAGAATGGTGGCTTCCGGGCTGCCCCCTCGGTCTCCTCGTCATATACTGCGCCGAACGTCAGACAAGAGAGTCGAACAGCATCCGCGCCCCCGCCCTCGTCCTCTGGTGGGCCATTCAGCAACCACAAGCCCACGGAGTCGACATCCACGACGTCTTCGGACAGTTCTGCACCGGCGCTGACGAATGATGAGACCCCAAAGTCTTCGCCCCGGCCAGAGTCCCTGATCAACATCTCGCAGACCATGCCTGATCTCTCCTTCACCTCTTTTGATTTACCATCCAACCCGGCCCCGGAAAAATTACGAAGGCCAACCGGGAAACGCACAGAGTCAATGACGTCTGACAGGGGAGTTCGCATTCCATCGCCAGCACCCGCACCCGCCGCTGTGAACCACCAACGCAGCGCCAGTGCATCCCACGTGCATGTCTTGCAGCGGCAAAATAGCTACGAAGACCTCACGACGCAGCGTTCCGGCCAGTTAGACACGGGCAAGAGGGATCGAAGGCGGAGCTTGAATCAGTTGAACACCCGTGTGCCAAGTGATGAGACATCCTCTCAGACCTCGGCCAGTGCTGCTCCGAGACCTGGCACGGCGCCAGGTCATTACGTGACTTCAACACCGACAACGATCAAACCGGTCTCTCTGCCAGCTGGAGATGCTGAGACTGCAAACGGCCCACGCCAGCCGCACTCCATTAAAAGCGTCCAAAAGACTGAGCAGACTACTCAGTCAATCTCAACAACGACCACCACTACTTCCCAATACACTGTGCCACCGAGAGCATCTCCCGACACCGCCAAACGCCTCGCTGCACCGTCACCTCTCTCCCGACAACCCGTCGACATGGACAGCCCACCAACCTCACCAACGCCAATACAGAGCAGAGCAAAGGCGGCTCCCACCCTTTCGCCAGCAGCGCAACAGCTCGCTGCAGTATCCGACAGGGACCTCAACAAAGGCATGAAGTCGCGCCTGCGAAGAGCCTTCTCGTTCGGAAGCGCGCAAGAACTACGGCGTGCCGGTGTGGACACTACCCAACCCGATGCGCAGCTTACCAGACAACAACATCAACAACAAATCGACGATGAGCTGGATGCAGAGCAGATGGAGATTGCACGAAGGCAAGAGGCTGCCGGTATTGGTGCCGGCATTTACTCCGGTCAAGGCGGGTTTGCAGGCTCCACCGACAACCTTTCCATTTCCTCTACTGCATCCTCCGCCTCAATGATGCTGAGGAAGATGGGACGCGGGGCGAAGAAGAGTGCTAAGAGCATCAAGGGTCTCTTCCGGCCGAAATCTGTCGTGGGAGTTCCTGCAGCCGATGGTCCCATCGCATCTGTCGAGCCCACTGTCGGGCAGGTATCAATGGTTACGGTCGAAGCAGAGCGGCGCCTTGTGAACGTCAATGCACATGCAGACGAGCACACAGATGGGGGCACCAGCTTCCCCAAACTCGAGAGGAACTCGCTGGAGTCCGCAGTCGCCGGCGTGCTGGCTGAGCAGGGCTCCCCGAAACGGTCCGAGGCCGAGTTGAGGCGCAGTGTAATCGGAAATGACAAGGACCGCGCCGAGGTGCTCGCAGCCGTCCGAAAAGGCATCCTCAAGCGCTCCGGCACCGCATCGCCCACTGCATCGCCCGTCGTCATGCCCAGTGACGCCGCCGGTGGGTTACCGTCCGTCCCGCAGCTCACCGACAGTCCTCCCGCGAGCAGCGTCCCCAGCAAGCCGAGAGAAGCCTACCAGAATCGGAGCTCGTCTGCCCCGGCGGTGAACGGAGATTACTTCAACACCCGCATGGGCGTGGCGAAGAGCATGCCGAGCACGCCTAATGGGAGCGTGCGATCCATCAGCTTCAGCCCGCGCATTCAATTCCACGATGCGTGGTCGAGCACGGAGTACGATCGGCGAGGCGAGATTGCGACGTGCAATCGCCTCACGCCGTTGTTGGCTCAGCAGATTAAGGAGGAATTGAATACCTTCAAGATGGTGAGCTCCCTCCTGCGTCGTCCTGTCGATGTTTTACTAACGTATGCGTCCCAATAGGAAATGGAAGTGCACGAGCTCAGCAAACCGCACACGCACTTCTTCTAGTGAATGCTGTCATACCTACACACAACTACACACGACACGACACCGACCGAGCCGCGCGCGCGAGAAAAACTTACATAGAGCCGCACCATACGCGGTAACGCGCACAATGAGAGAGAGAGATAGACATCACATGAATGGCATATGCGTTTTCGCAACACGACACTCCTCACCCTCGCCCTACCGCTGCGAATGGTGCTTCGCTGGGACGAGGCCAGGACTACCGACCCATCACCATCTGATTCTGTTTTTGATACGCTTCTTTTGAAGCCGGTGCAAGGCGCTGGGGCGTTTAATTTGGGCATGCTTGTGGGAGCGGGGCGGCATTGCGGCATGTATGCTAGGAGGAGCGATGCATGGATGGGTCGAGCAGAGCAGCGTATTCCATTCTCGCCCTTTTTGTTGCCCACATCGCTATCCTTCTCCTCTCAGCCGCATCATCATGTCCGGTCCGACTTTTGGAGTAGCGGCAAAGCTACTTTCCCCGCTAAAGAGATACCTCAGCTGATGTATATGCACAGTCGCGCCTAGACTGGCGGCAAGTTCCAGCCCAAAAGTAGTCCCAAAAGGTTAATTCAGGCGCAATCCTTCTAACCTCCATCGAGTCGGGTACTACAGTAAGGTAACGCCCGTCATCAGCTGCCACTTCTCCCCCGTCCTCCCTCTTCTGTCCTCATCTTACCCCTCCTCTCACGCTCTCGACTCCCCCCCACCCACTGACCGCCTCGCACGTTTCTCGCGTCCGCGCGACTAAACGCAAGCAAGGCAAGCAATGGCCACCATTCTCATCGCATACCTCATCAAGAAGCGCAAGAAGCGCAAGCAGGCGCAGAAGGAGAATGCAGAGGCGCGCTACGCGGAACTGCAGCGCGAGACGAGCGAGCGCATTTCGCGCACGAATACGGGCGAACTGCTCAATGGAGATGCGGATGCGGATGCGGATGCGGATGAGGGGGAGGATGGGGAGAAGGTGCTGCTTGATGCGCGCCCGGGTGCGGGGCAGCAGCAGAGTGGGGGGTTGTCGTCGGGTGAGGGACTTGGGGCTGGCGAGGTTGTGTCTGCTGGGCTTTATGGGGGCGTAGTGCAGGGCGGTGGGAGCCGTGGGAGGACGGCGGTGGTGGCTTGAGGGGGATTGCGTTGCGGCGTTGGCTGTTTGGCTGCGATGGAGAGGGGATGGCGACGGCGCTTGGTGATGGTCGTGATGTCGAAAGGACGATGCCGTTTGTGCGCGCTGCATTATGTGGCCTGCGGACTCGGAATTCGAGCAAACTTGCGACTGGCGTACGTCGTTGTATGGCTTCGTCGCAGCCGGTGTGGCCGACGTTTCACGCCTTCAGCATGGCAGCTACGAGACCGCAAGTTTCGCGACAGTTGATGCATTGCAATCTTTTGGCTCGCTCGTTTTGCAGCTCTTGGGCTGCTGGCGACAGTACTGGTTTGGCGTCGCATCTCTGGGCCGGCTGTTCTTTGACAACCCCAAGGCCAGCTGCTTTCAATCCGTTTGGTGTTTCGAACTCCGCGGCTGCGGACGAGGATGACTCTCGCATGCTTTCATCCTGCTACCTCAGCAACACCGAGCGCATCCAGACATCGCAGCAGAACTCGACATAAGTCGTCAGCCTTACATTCACCCCAGGACAAGAGGAAGGACTGCAACAGACCACACTCACGATCCATGATATCCTCCTCTTCGACGCCCATCTGATAATCCACCAGCCCGAAGCGCTCAATGCCGTCGCAGAGCCGGACGAGTTCGCTAGACAGCCTCTCGAGCGCCTGCACGCTCATGATCGACTGGCTCTCCAGCAGCGGATGGTCTTGAATGCTGAGGTCGAGCTGCTTCTGCAGGGTCACGAGCCAGGAGTAGTTGAACTCGCCCCACAGGCGGAGGCGGTCGTTATTCAGCTCCTGCTCGTCGCGCGTCAGACCTGGAAGGCGTTTAGTATAAGCTCGTAGTCTCGTGTCTATGCTGATTATCAAACACGCCTTACCGAGTGCCTCGACGTTGTCCAGAAGATAGTGGGATGCGACTAGTAGGTTTCCGCCAATGTCTCGCAGGCTGCCGTGGTGCGCGAGGGTGAAGATGGTGCGGATCTGGTGGTGATACGCTTCGAAGAATTGCGCGTGCGAAGGCGCAGATTGCGTTGTGGCCGGCGGTTCTTCCTGCTGCGCGGGCTCGTACTCACTGTACATTGACTGTTGCGACTGGTCCATTGAGAAGGCAAACGCGTCTGCGATGCTTCCAGGGTAGCCTTCAGAGACCGGCAACAGTGGCGGGAGAGACTCGAGCGAGGCAACCTGCTGCTCCATCGACAGTGCCGGGCCGCCGGAGATGTACAGCTGCTCTACCCCCGTCAAATCGAACGTATCCATTTGATACGCCATACCGGGCGCCGGGGCCAGCGAGTGTGATGGCGGGTGCGCATGTCGTGCTTGCAGCTCGCGGAGAAATGCCAACGGAGGCGGCGAGACTCCGGTGCTGTACCTTTCGTCCAGTGCGTTGGCGTAGAACTGTTGGACTTCGTCGGAGGTCAACATTACCCTGTCCTGGGCGGAGAGTTGAGTGCTGCCTCCCTCCGACTCGTCTCGCCGCCCTGTGGACTGCGTGGAGTCCATGCTGGCTAGTCTGGGGCGAGGTGCAGCCTTGGGCTGAGGCCAGTTGGGCGCGGGTGGGAGAGATGCGAGAGTGCGGTGTCCCATGGATCCGTGGGCATTAGAAATGTCGCTGATGCCAGGTGTGGGCTATGGATGAGGTCGAGCCGCTTCAGACAACGGGCGGTACGGAAGCTGGGTAGTGTGCAATCACTTGGGCCGCTTTCAGAGACGGGCGAGAGGGAGAGAGAGATATAGTCGGAGAATGCAGTTGGAGTGAGGTGCAGATAAGACAAACAGCTGTGTCATCGATGTATGCCCAACGTGAAAAGGGCCCGGAGAGGCTAGATCGGTTGAGATGGACATAAGATCGCTAGTCATTTGGAAGAGCCACGCGAAAGGGACATCGAGAAAGACCAATGAGCGCATGAAGGAGGGCAAAGTAGCGCACGAAGGGCCAAGATGATGTGGCAATTCCATGGTGATCGTGCAGGAGAAGTGGAAGAGCGGCAGTGCAGGAGGGTGGAGGATGCGGAGTCGGATTGCGATGACAAGGTGGAGGCTCTACGTCGGTTGGATCTCCCGGGCAGCAGGAGCTCTCCGGTGTCAGGGTCTGCAGGCGCGACAATGATCTCCAAGTACAGGACACCAGAGGAGGCATGGGGCCGTATTGGACGGGGCGATAGCGGCGGACAGGGCGAGTTAGCGGCGACGATGCAAGGCAGCCTCACCCCTCTCGACTAGCGGACAGGGCACGTTTGGGCGGGCGTTGCCCTTTGCCCTCTTGCGTCGCTTGGGTCGCCACTGCGTACGTTCCACCATGTAGCTGGATTGCCGTGGGAATGCGGTGCAGCAGAAAGACGATGGACCACCAGGCCGGCCGATCAGCCTGACGGCGCTAAGGTTCAGCTAGCGCGGAGCGTGCTCCCCAAATGTGGGGCCGGCCGGAGCCTGGTCCTGATGGTTGGCTCAAATCCGCATGCCTTTGCCGCTTGACAACGCTTCCAAGCTCTTGCTTTGCAAGTGACCAGAGCACCCGTCATAGCGAGATTGCATGCCACATTAACCGGCCGGATCCCGAGGGCCGGCAGCACGAGAAAGGCTGAGGGACGAAAGGCGCGCGGTTCGGCATGGGATCCACATGTGCATTTCCGGAGCAATCTCCGAAGCTACTACTGCAGCCGCGTCAGATCTTCTTCTATCTTCCCTCGCTTTCTCTCCATGTCGAAACCATCGTGAAGGATGGCTTGGGTATCACGCTGGGATATCACGCTCCAGCTGGTTGTTGAAACAAGTCGCCCCAACGCCACGCCATGCCGTCAGACATCTAAGACTTGGTGTACGTCTTCTTCGGGGAGGGGTAGCTAAGAGAGGTCAGCAAGCATCACCGCGTTCAGAAGCGACATCAACGCACGAAGGTCCCAGCTCCCTCAAGCCCTGAGCAGCCAACCACTGCCCCATATCCACGCTCGACTCCAGACTCTCTCCCTTCACCACGCCGGCCAGGAAACCGCCGAGGAATGCATCACCAGCGCCGTTGGTGTCGTAGATCTCCTCGGCGCTGATCTTGTGCACAGGGAACGTCTTGACCTCCTTCTCCCCCTGCACCGCAATGATGGTGGGGTCGGTGCCTTGCGTGATGATCGCTATCCTCTTGCGCTTCTCGTTCTTCTTCGGCAGGTTCGCGAGGTGCTTGGCGATGGTGGGGATGTCGTGGGTGTTGAGATCGTGCGAGTCGGCATACGACATGGCCTCGGTCTCGTTGCCGACAATGTAGTCCCAGTACGGAGCGGTCTCGTCCAGGGGGTCCTTGAAGAACTGAGGAATGAAGGGTGCCGACAGACCCAGAGCAAAGATCTTTGACACATCAGCGTCTCAGCCTGCACATCATCACCACTCATCTCACCTTGTTCTCCTTCGCCGCCTCCTCCGCCAACGCCAAAACGGCCGGCACGCAGACCGTCAAATGGTAGCCTCCCACATAGTAGATCTGGCTGTTCTGCACCGTCTTCCAGTTCTCTTTCAAATGCTCAATCTTGTAGTGGTTCGCCGCCGCCAAGTCCGTGCACATGCTGCGGTCCTTGCCGGTGATGATGACACCACACCGGCCAGTCGGCTGCTCCTCATCGTAGCGGTACATGGTCGACAAGCCGGCCTTCTTGTTCGCCTCTTCCAACGTCTGTGCGTACTTGTCCTTGCCCACGCAGCCGAAGTAGACGACGGAGTTTTCGGGGAGCATGTACTGCATGGGGGGTTTCTCGTCAGCCATGTCGACTCGTTCGCATAGATGGTGCACCAAACTCACTTGCGCTCCTCTTGCAGTGTTCTGCGCCGCACCACCCGGAATCAACTTGGCTTTGCGGTTCTGGATCAGCTCTTCGTAGAGCGTCAGATGCTTCTCTTCCGCCAAGATGGCGTCGTTGGCCTTCAGCCCGTACTGCTGGAGCAAGGCATCGTCGCTGGCAAGCAGTCAGCATTGACTCCATCTACGCCTCCTCGAGGCGCCATTGGAATCGGCTAGACTCACCCCTCGGCCTGGATGTCCAGGAGGGGGTTCTCGAGGCACAAGAGTCCGTAATTGTGAGCCATGATTGCGATGTTAATGAGTGATGGATGTGTTGGAGATGGGAATCGTGGACTTCTCAGCTGTAAGCGTAAGGTAGCATCACAATGGATTTCTTCGAAACTTTTCAGGCACACCCGAAAAGTTGCCCCACCCCACGTCATCCCACCTGCCGCATTGGGATGGGAGCCGACAGTGGGCAGCACGGAGGGACATACAGACTCGTTATTAAATGCAATGCCATGAATCTCTCGATAGGCGCTGATCGCTGCCTACAATTGCAGTCTATCCATATCATTGTACATCCTCCGTTCACGAGACAATCGACGAAAGCACGATTTAATAGCCACGAGTCTCAATTCCTCACAATCATGTGCCCTTGGCCCTTCAAACTCTCCGTGGTATCATGATCAATCTCAGCGGGTAGCCCTGCCCCATGGGCATGATGAACATTCCTGCGCTACCTCCGGCGGAACATACGAGACCCCGGAAGTCATTGTGCTTCGCAAGACCACGTACCTCGAGGATCGTGCAGTTGGGTAGTCGTGAAGGCTGGTTCGCGTCTTCAAGACGACATCGCACCTCGTGCATGTAGCCATGTCGTTTGCGTCTTGAGCTGTCCAGTTCCTAAGTGTGCAGCCGTGGATGGACGCATCGCCTAGCAGCTGGTACCGGTTCACTCGAGCCTCAATCGAGTCGCAGAGAAAGCGTCTCGAGGTCTCGACACATTCACATTCCAGCGAGTTCAGGCAGCAGCAGCGATGCGAAACGTCGGGATCGAGTCGAAAGTGCCATGTCGACGATGATAGGCGTGCTCGTACTTGTGAGCAAAGGGAGGCAGTTCAGTCGCTAAGCGGGTGGCGTTAGTATGCATGTGATGAAAAGCAGACGTGATACACAGTGCGCACTCACCTGATACATATGCAGTGGTCTTTGCCAGGGGCCAATCCGCTTCCTGAGCTTCGTACTCAGCAAGAGCATCGTCCTCCTCCTGCGTCGGCACGGACGATTCGGCTAGCCAACCCGCATCGAGTTCGTACATATCAGGAGTGTCATCCTGAGACGGGGCGGGCGTGCTGAGTGCTTCTTCCTCTTCGGGCAACGCATATCGCTGAGGGGGCGAGGGATGAGCAGCAGAGGCAACCGGGCTGGTAGTGGAGCCGCTCCATTGGCTAAGAGCCGAGTGGGAGTCACGGAAGCCAGATGTCATCGGGGACCTGGGTGGGCCCCGCCTGCGCTGCTTCTCCACGGTACGGAGAGCTTGGTAGCTCTCGGAGAAAAGGTGAGACATGGCCGCCTTCCTTCTGGCACGGCCCAGGATCATCTGTCGTTTGGACCCCTCCGAGGGAACGTAGATGTGACGGAGGTCCTTGATGCGTTGCATGGGGCGGATGACGTCCCAGCTGCCTTCGGGCCCGCTGGCGTGCCAGTGCTTGGAGATGAGTTTGAGAAGCATTTCATCGTAGTCCTGGACGGTGCGGGTGACACATGCGGAGTGCTGCGTGGGGTCGCGGCTACAGCTCTGGGCGCAGAAGCGCTCCACGAGATCAAAGAACAGGTCGATGGTCTGATCTAGGCGAGAATACACCGACGCGAGCAGCTGGATGGCCTGCATGGCGTTCTTGTGCCCTTGGACAGGGTACTCATCCGCGTCGCCGCAGGTTGAGATAAGTACCTCTGCCATGGCCGAAGCGATGTCGAGTGCTGCAGGCTCATGTGCGTTTTGCTTGACTGGGAGGAGACCGACGGGTTAGTTGCCGGAAATAGAATAGCCCTGCAGATGGGTTGTTTTCTGGTACTAACCGATGTCTGCTATGCTGGCTACGAGTGTCATCCGAACAATACGCGATCGCATGAGCAAGCTACTCCGCTCTTCGATCGGGCAGTTGTCGAGATCGGTGCAAAGGCCCGCGAGATCGAGGTCGGGATCGTACTCCTGCAGGCGTCGGAAGGCGGCATCCATCCTGCAAAGCGTGATCATCGTGTGTGACGAGCGGGCAGAAGGAAGGCCCGAGAGCCTGGTAACGAAGAGCTTTGGAGACATGGTGGGGGAGGCGAGGTGCATTAACAGTTTAAAAGGACGCGCGAAAGACTTACGGATGTACTGCAGCGCTGCCCAGCCGTGCCGAGAGCTCTCGACATCGGCAGTTCTGGACAAGTCTACCACATTTTTGTTGGTGCATGGCTAAACTTACTTGATAAATGGTGTAAGGTTGTGGCTGACCGCTAGGGGCGTCATAGACCCAGGAGACGCAGTCATTGGACTGTCGGGAGGGCCGTCAACACGTGAGACGTGGCTGTTTAATTAAATAAAATTCGGCCGCGTGTCTGGATCACGCGAGTGTAGAGTTTCGTGGTGTATTGTACAAAAGTGGTTTCATCGCGCTGATTTCGGCCAGAGCATGGGCGACCCCTGCCCTTCGGCGGGAGCTATGTGCGTAGCCTGTGGAGAACGGGGCGGCAGGGCCTAGATCCCCAAACGTCCACAAGCCGCGTGGGAGGCCGGCTTGTTGCGAGCGAGGACGAAAAAGAAAGCTGCTGCTTCTGCCTCTGCTTCTGCCTGTGGATGAGCCAACCAGGTGGTGCAGGATTCCAACCAGGTCAATGCCGGGCTGCAAGCGATGCGTCACTGGGGAGCGAGAAAGACGCATATACTGTACATCAGGCGGGGGCGTAGCTGCAGGCTGCTGCAGACACAGGCCCACACGGTCTTTTGAGCGTGCCGAGAACCCCATCTCTAAGCGAGCCGAACGGGACAGCGGGCTAAAACCAGTGTGGACAGTGCATGGCGGGTGGGAAGAGAAAAGGAGGTTGCCGTGTGCAGTGCAAGTGCATGCACGCAGAAAGGGAAAGTCTCCGCGCTTGGCGCACGGGCCGCTTCCACCAACCAGACAGCAGCCCTGGCACGTGTTTTCGGGCTCGGGAGATTTTGCAGCCAATGAGACGCGCTCCGCGGCGGCATTGCACGCACTACTGCTCGCGCTGCTGCACGCCCTCTTCTCCCATCCTGCCGTCTCACATATATGCACCTCCAAAGTCTCTAAGCGAAGCCGCCCTGGCCTCCAACCACACCCTCCTGTTCACGCACCCCACGCCTAAACCGACCCTGCCTTTCCTGCTCCATGCGCCTCCCATGTACGAGGCGGCATGGGCATGGACATGCTCTCTGGGCCGGAAACGACGGAATCGGCCTCATTGGCGCGACTGACGTCTCAATCGCGTCGCCATCATCTGCCTGCCACATTCGGATGGGCCTAATGCAGCTCAGGCGCCGCTCGCGGCCTAGTGTCTAGGTCCCAGAGCCTGCCCGGACGTCGCTCTGATCGACCACCTGCGTCTGCCCGTTGCATGTCTGCGCCTGACCGCTCCATTTACCGAGCTCTAGACACCGCTCCCTGTGATGACCTGCGCAAGGGTGCGCCTGGTGGTGCCATGAGCCGGCACGCTGACGAATCGCACTCGTCGCCGACGCCTCTGACGCCTAACCCGCGGCCTAGGCGAGTGCATCATGTACTGCTGTCGTGTAGCCTTCCCTTCCCAGTCCATCGGTGGCTTTTGCCTCAATGCGCGGGGCTTGTCGAACAAAGAACTCAAGGTGTGTCGACGCGACCTCCCTCGCTCTCCCCACCCCTCGTATAACTAGTCCTTTCGGCGCCGAATGGAAGCCTTCCCCCATCACTTCACCCCCGTCCCCATGAATTGGTCACTTCGACTCGAGTCAATGTTGAAGATGGGCTTCATCCCCCACTCCACCTTCCACCCCGCTGAGGGCCTTGCCAAAGTCATGGAGGAAGATTGCAGAGCAATGGTCCAGATCCTCCACGCACACGGCCTTCTCTTAGGTACGACATCCCTACCAGTCCTCGGTGTGACCCCGACTAACATTCGTTGCAGACCTCCCAGAACCCACCCTCGACCGCTGCATCGGCACACTGGATCGAGTGGAACTCTACGCCGATCAGATCCGCCGACGCAGCATGGCAGCACATCACACCGAATCCCTCATGACATCAATAAAACAAGTAAAGCGCATGGCCACTCTTCCAGACGGCGCGGCGATCGCAATGGAATGCCTCGCCGAAGCAGCAGAGGCCTACCTGTTCAGCCTCGCGGAAGAGGGCTACGCATTCGACAACATCGAAGACGAAGTCGCGGAGGACGTTGTAAGACACATGCACGACATCACCGCCCTGATGGACGAGCTCATTCGAAAACACTACGCTGCCTGCACTCGGCGGCGACAAGTCTGGGATCCGACGGAGATACGCGAGCAGCTCGAAGCGGTGCTGCGGAACTACCTCCCCGTAGGATCACCCGACTCCGGCTTTCATGATCCCCACCACGACTGCCCGCTGTTCAGAAGCTCGATAACACTCCTTCACACTGTCGTCGGTCGACGCGCTGCCGAAGTGACAGTGGAGAAGAGTGTGGCGCACGTCCTTCCCATCGAGGTCGTGGCAATGATCAAGAATGTCGTTTGCAGTGACGAGAGGCTCAGGCTTGGCGGACAGTCATGTACGGCAGCGAGATGAGAGAAACTAGGCATGCCGCGGGAGGCAAGAAGGGCTCCCGCCGGACGGTGACGCACATTCACCTCCCGACGCGCCAGACGACTAATCATTGCCCACGCGTCCAAATGTATTAAAGATACCCCCCTTGGCAGACAGCAACTTTTCATATAGTAAATTTAACTAAACTCACACCGCCCCGTGATCCCCCCAAATCCCCCGCGCGGCATCCCGCACGAGCACCAGCTTCTCCCACATCCCCTCCATCGTCATCCCCTTCCCGCCCGCCAGCGAACTACTCGAAAACCCACACTGCGGCGACAACGCCAAACACCCCGCCGCCACGCTCGGCTCCACCCCCTGCGCCGCCGCAATCACTTCCGCCGCCTCCCGCACAGCCGCGCGCAACTCCTCCATCTTCTCCAGCTCGGGTCGCTTCGTAGACACAATGCCCAGCACCACATTCTTTCCCCGCGGCAGGAAGCGCAGAGGAGCGAAGTCGCCTTGTCGAGCTGCGTCGTCGAATTCCAAGTAGTAGGTGGGGTAGAGCGTGTGGTGGAACAGTTTCTGCGCTATGTGCTCGTAGCTCCCCGTCACCCAGTGCACGGAGCCGGCCATGTTGCCGCGGCAGAGGTGGACGCCGATGTGCAGGTCGGGAGGCACGGTTTTGAGGAACACGTTGTGCGCTGCCAGGTAGGAATCGAGCAGCGCTTCCGCATCTGTGCCGTCTTTCTCGCACCCGGTGAGGAATTGCGAGGAGCAAAAGTAGGTGAGGTTTGGATCGTCGATTTGGATGTTGCGCACGCCTTCGTCGTACAGCGCTTGAATCTCGGCGGCGTAGGCGTGCCCTAGATCTTGGAAGTACTGCTTGTCATTCGTGTAGCCGGAGTCTTTCGTGAAGGCTGTCCCGGGTGCTAACTGGATGTGCTGATACGATGGCGAGGGGATCGTGATCTTCGCCTGCGCCCATTCCTCCCGGGACAAGTTCGATCGTAGCGTCTTCCACTCGTCCATATACGCACTCGCCTTCCAACGAATAGGTCCCGTGCAAACGACCGCAGCGCGCGTCTTCGCACCCATCTCCGCCAACTTGGTGGTGGTGGGGAAGTCGGTGCGGAAAGCCGCGAGGATCGGCAACTCCGGCATGGTCGTCATGCCCTCGAGCTTCTCGAAGAAGCCGCCGTAGAAGATGTGGCGGTTGTATTCGCCGGAGCAGTAAGGGCGGATGGAGAGCTCGCGTTGCTTTTGCACCGCCCAGGCGATGGCTTTCTCTTCGGCTGCTTTGATGCGGGGATCGTCGTCGGTTATGGCGTAGATGTTTTTTGCGGATGCCAGGTTGGATCTTGCGTCGAGGAGTTCTTGCGGTCTGAGGAAGGATCCTACTTGGTCTGCTCGGAATGGAGGGGCCATGATGAGGTGGGAGCTGAGCGTTCAAACCTGGGGGAAACGAGGTTCTTAGAATCACCACGACGTGTGAAAATGGTCACCTACCTGGACCGACGTTGTATAAGAAGAAGTCGGATGCATTCGCGGCGCTCCTCTCTGATGCGTCGGCGGTGAATGTAAGAAACTGCCCCACCGCAAGGCTGTGGGGATCATGGCGGGGATGAGGCCTCGGGCTTTCGGGCGTTGCGTAGAAGTCCTAGCTTTCCCTCAGCACTTCACTGCGTAAGACAACAATGCAGTCTGAAGATCGCGGGATCCCTGACCGCCTTTGCTACCGCTTCAAAAGTTTTACCACGTCGATGCTCGCGGCGGAAGCCGATGCTGCAACGCCGGCCCAGATTCGAATCCTCTCAACTCCGGTGCAAGGGTACCCGTTGTCAACTCCGTGACCACCTCTTCGCAACTCCGGCATCGGTAGACTTTATAGAACTGTTTCCCCAAGTTAACAGCTTGCCCCGCGATGCTTCGCTTCTGTACTTTCTGCATCTCTAGGAGATTCAATCCTAGACGACCAGTATTCCAAACCCTGACCAGAATGGTGAACATGGCGACCTCTACGCGCTCTACCGAGAGCAACAACGGCAAAGTCTGGGCGGCCGACGACTTCAACAAGCGAGATATCCGCGACACCAAGCTATGGGGCGACCTACACAAGCACTTCCACGACCTGATGAGTCCAGCGTTCGGTAAAGTCAGCGACGCCGCAGACCCCGAGCTGTCTCCCGACGGGAAGACGGTCAGCTTCACCGGCAGCATCTGGACGAAACTTGAGGGGTCGGCGGAGAAGCGCGTGTGCACTGTCGATGTTGCGACGTGCAAGATGGAGGTCATTGCTCAAGGCCCGAATAATGATCAGCAGGCCAAGTGGTCTCCCAACGGTCGGAGTCTTGCTTTTCTCTCGGATCGGAGTGAGAAGGGGACGTTTCATTTATATGTTCTCGATCTTGATCGGTTGCGAGAGGCAAAGCCCGTGCGGCTGCCGAAGGGAGAAACGGCGGAATATGCCCTGTGGTCGCCGAAGGGAGACTACATTCTCATAGGTGCGGCCGGTCAGGGCGCAGACAAGGCTGGCGGTAATGGGTCGGGCAACCTTAACAATAGTCAAGGTGACGGTGGAAGTCCTGCCTGGATGCCGACTGTCGAGCCTGATTCGCAAAAGAAGCTCGGGCGGTCACTTTGGCTCTATGACCTGGAGAAAGACGACTTCCACCAGCTATCTCGCCCCGAACTCACCGTTTGGGAAAGCGCATGGTGTGGTCCGGCGCACATCGTGGCCATCGCCTCAGATGATCCTTCAGAGTCATCGTGGTATGAGTCCTCAGTCATGCTCATCGACGCCTCCTCGGGCTCCGATCGTACAGTCTACACCACGGACGTTCAGCTCGGACTGCCAGCTGCATCGCCATCGGGGCGTCACGTAGCATTCGTCGAGGGCCCGCTCAGCGACCGAGGGGTGGTAGCAGGAACTGCCAAGCTCGTCAAAGTTGGGACCAAGGCATCCATTACTCTGGATACGGCCAACGTCGATGTTAGCCAGCTGTCTTGGGCCGACGAAGATCGTTTGTTCTTCATAGGTCTCCGGGGCTTACATGTGGTCGCTGGGGAGGTCAATGTCAAGACTGAAAAGGTGCGGGAAACCTGGACAACTGCGGATGGTGTGGGAGGCCGTTATCCCGAGGCAAGTGGGATTGTAGACGGGCGCTTTGCCGTGGTCCGCAGTAGCTGGACGACCTATCCCGAAGTGGCCGTCGTACAGCACGGAAAGAGTCGGACAATCGCATCTCTGGATCATGAAGGCGCCGCATACCTCCGCTCTGCGTGTGGGCCGATGGAAGAAATCAGCTGGACTGCCTCGGACGGCACCGAGATTCAAGGCTATCTTTCCCTGCCCAAGTCCGGAAAGAAACCCCATCCCCTCGTACTTCACGTACACGGCGGTCCAATCGCGGCATTTTCGAATGGGTGGCAGCTCAAGTATCCATTTGTTCCAGTCTTCGCTGCGAATGGATATGCTGTGCTTAGTCCCAATCCCCGAGGGTCGAAGGGGCGAGGAGACGCGTTCGTTTCCCAACTCCAAGGGGACATGGGCGGCATTGACGCGGGCGATTTGCTGTCCGGGATCGATGTATTAGTCGAAAAGGGCATTGTGGATCCAAAACGAGTGGGTGTGATGGGTGGCAGCTACGGGGGCTTCATGGCAGCGTGGCTGCCTACCCAGAGCAAACGTTTCGCTGCCGCCATCCCCTTGGCGCCCGTCACGGACTGGTTCTCGGAGCACACCACCTCAAACATTGGAAACTTCGATCGCATGATGATGAGCCCAGACGATCCATATGCACCAGCAGGACGCTACTACGACCAAAGCCCTCTACGCTTTGTACAACACTGTTCTACGCCAGTCCTGCAGCTCGTGGGTGCAGACGATCGATGTGTTCCGGCGTCACAGTCACTCCAATTCCATAATGCGCTTGTGGAACACGGCACCGAGTCCTCTCTCGTCACGTATCCGGGAGAGGGACATGGAGTCCGCAAGTTCCCCGCTGTGATTGACCTCTGCGTGAGAATGCTGGCCTGGCTGAACCGACACATGCCGGCTTGATCGCCGCTCTAGCATGCCATCGGCATAAGAGCATGGTAGGGTTTCGTGAGGGGTTCGCACTCCAGGCTGTGATGGGTGGACAGTCAGGAGTGGGTTGAGGGTGTGCAGACCTTTGAACCCTGCTGACGGACGATCGGCCGACGGCCGAGACGGAGCAGCAGATGTCCGTCAATCAGGAGCGCGGCGATGTCACACCGGGGGGAGGAGCTTCCGGTAGCCTGGTCTTTCGCTTGCAGGCTCGATGCCTTGCATGAACAGAGCTGTACTGTCTGAAGTTGGGGTTACGTCTGTCGTCATATGAGGTATTAGACGCCAGGCTGACGGATCTCGGCCAGCCTAATTGCACCCATGATTTGGATCATTGTCGCCGTGCAGGACGTGTCTCTACACCTTTACACTCAGGTGAAGAAGTATGATGAAGTTGTCGGATCAATGTTTCGAGAGTGACCGCTGCACGACTCCACATCGGAGCTCGGATTCGCTTAACTCTCCGAACCCTAAAATTCATCGAGAGTAACATGACTCGAACAGCTGCATCCTCACGTCACCGACACCCACCAATTTTTCTTTGTCCCAAAGATAAAGGTTCCCGTAGCTCCGCCGCACATCCGTCCTGCGTATCATCAAAGTACCTGACGAGCTGACCCATCCCCGTCTGCACATCATCTGGTCTGGAATTGCGGCGCGTCGATCACGTTGCTCAGCCATCACCACTTCTCCCACCCATCACACCATCCTCCGCCAATATCATGCAAGGCTACAATATGTCTCATCGCATTTTTCACATTGCCTTTGGCGGTTGATCTGTACAACTTGATCTAACTCGGAGTTAAACACTCGGCCACTATCACGGGGAAGAGTGCTGTGCTGTCGTTGCAAGATATCGCCACCCGGCGTAACTTGAGGAGAGCACAACGGGTGTGGTGGGTGAGACATCGAGAAGGTACGTGGACCCTAATGGTTGATTACATATACATCAAAAGTCCGAGTCATTCGCACTACAACCTTGCACTCCATCCTCCCAAGAGCCTGCCCAGCTAACGCCGCCTTCCGCCAGCTGCTAGTCCTCGAGTCCCATCGCAATGGCACACCCGGCGAGGAGCGAGTTCGTCGATCTCATCCTCCCGCTTCACGACCGCCTCAAGCTTTACGATCGCACCAAACCACCGTACGATCAGCCCACGAACGATGCGACCGATCCCGCTCGAGCTGTTCCAGAAAGCTTCATCGACGCTATGCGCGTGCGTCATTCAGTATACGTTGAAGAGCAAGGAGTGCCAATAGAGCGCGAGCTCGACGACAGCGATCCCCGCAGTTTTCACTGGGTGGCATATGCCTCCGTCTACAAAAAGAGGGCATCCACCGACGGCGATGCAGAAGAGGAGAAACTGGACCACAATAAGCGCCGCAAATCGAGCAGCACCAAGATGCCCATTGGCACCATCCGCATCGTGCCGCCGCCTCATCCACCCCATCCCAACGGCAAAGAGGACACTGCCGTCCAATCGAGCAACGAGAGCTTCATTGAGCTCGGCGAGCTGGCGGTTATCCCCGAATATCGCAAGGTCGGCATCTCCAAGCTTCTCATCGAGACTGCATTGGCGTTTGTGCGCGATCACCTGGACGACATCTTGCCTCGCTACGATCCGAAGGTGACGGAGTCGATGAGGTATCATGGCACCATGGCGAAGGAGTTCAAGGGGCTGGTGTTGGTGCATGCGCAGATTGGGGTGCAGAAAGTGTGGAGGAGGTTTGGCTTTGAGACGGATGAGAGCATGGGCACGTGGGACGAGGAGGGCAGGGAGCACGTTGGCATGTGGAAGCGAGTGGATGTCAAGAAGGGGAGACGAGAGAGTAAGATTGTGCTGGATGGAACGTTGTAGGGGAGGGTGTTCGGATGGTATTGTTAGAAGAGGTGAGCATCAAGTTGGGCGTATAGCATTCTTGTAGCGTCTCGTCACGAATCGATGACGGCGTTGGTATTCCTTTCGTCGCCTAAGAATCCTTGCTGGGAGCCTTGTCTGTTCGTCCCCCCCGATTCGTCCCACGACTTCTACATTTCAAGATGCACTCAACCGCGTGCCTCACCTGCTGCATATGCCGTGTAAACAACATCTCAAGATTGAATCAGAATTCGAAAATGGACGAATAACTGAGTGCTCACCTACCGTAAAACTCTGGCCAATGTCCACGACACCGAAAGACCATGCCCACCTCGACTCGGCGTCAGGCTCATGCGCGCCCCGATGATGAAGACATGGAGGGAGTGGATGTGACCAACACATCCGAAGTCACCGACACTGGCACGAGCCAAACCGACGCCGAGATCGCAGCCGCACTAGTCGCCAGTCAGAAGCGAAGTCCCGGCGAAGCAGACGAAGAAATCTCAGAAGAAGGTACGTAACTCCCCTCCAGTACGACGCCTCCAACACGACCGACAGCCAACCCCGGCCAGCAGAAGACTTCGACCTCGAGCCCTTCCCACCCCCAGGCCTAAAAGAAATCTCCTCCTTGGCCTCCTGGACCGTCAGCTCCGCGAAACCAGGCAACGGCGTGCGCGCCCTGCGCTCCGCCGACACATCCCAATTCTGGCAATCCGACGGCCCGCAACCGCACCTGCTGAGCATCCACTTCTTCAAACTCGTCGCCATCGTGCACATGCGCATCTACCTCGACTTCCACGCCGACGAGTCGTACACGCCGACGAAAATCCAGTTCCTCGCGGGCATGGGCGTGCACGATATCCAGGAGTTTGCGGAGATGACGTTCGACCAGCCGGTTGGGTGGATTGATGTGGATTTTAGTCGGGTGGGGAGTGTAGAGGGGGAGGATGAGGAGGAGGAGGGATTGCTGGGCAGGGAGGTGGATTGGAGTCTGCGGCCGGTGCTGCGGGCTTTTCTGGTGCAGGTGCGCATTTTGGAGAATCATCAGAATGGGAAGGATACGCATTTGCGCGCTGTGCAGCTGTTTGCAAGGGATGAGTCGCAGGATGTGAGGCGGGCGCTGCCTTCGAGTCCGGTGAAGAGGACTTTGAATTCCTTACCTATGAGGGGTGCCGGGGGAGTGCGAACGAAGGGCAAGGAGGCGGTCAACATCAAGATGGCCGCGTGGATGCAGGATCCGGATTTACGATGAGGTGGTATGGCGTGGACGGCGTGCCGTTGAAAACACATCCGGCTGTCCATGCGAACGGACTGTTGGCTTACGACTACAAATGCCACCAGATCATCACTACACAGCATTCCCGCAAAGAAGATGGCCAGATACAGGGCCGAGCGATATGTCACAGTCATTCGGAAGCTGTGACCAAACGTCATGAAGAGGATCGACTGCGTGGCGAGCTTGCGTACATGAGCGGAGAGATGGCGCGTTGCCATGCGTGCCAAGGCTGCATGTGGAGGGCGCTGATGATCAACATCTCATCTGGAGTTCAGAGGCATGTAGGTAGGTATGACATCGCTAATTCACTGCTCGTCCAGCTTGTGCGGATCCATGCGGGCCTTGTATTATGCGCGTTAATTTTGCGAATGTCAGAACCGGAAAGGCAACTTCATCCTACGCCAGAAGCTTTCTGAACGAGATGACCAACATGAATGTAAGCAAGCAGTCAGATTATAAAAGACCGCAAGCATCGCACACATCATAAGGGACCCTCCTCTCTCCAACAACAGACAGACAATATGGGCGCCAGCGCAACCGAAGTCCACAATTTCAACCCCGACGACCATCCACCTGCATTTCCCGTCTACTCCCACATCAGCACGGTGAACATCTCGCCGACGGCCAAGCTGGTCTCCATCGCCGGCCAGGCAGGCAAAGACAACACGCCCTTCGGCAACCAGGTGCGCGATGCGCTCGCCAAAGTCGATCTCTGTTTGTCTGCCGCCGGCGCGGACAAGAGCTGCATCGTTTCGGTGCGGCAGTATATAGTCAAGATGCTGTCGCGCGACCCTGACGATTTGCCTACGAGGAACAGAGTGTATATGGATTGGTGGAAGAGTACGGAGGGGACGAGGGCGCCGCCGCCTAGTACGTTGGTTGGAGTTGATAGTCTGGGGCGGAAGGGGATTGAGTATGAGATTGATGTCACTTGTGTGGTTGGCATTTAAACGATCGTCGTAGCTGATCCACTGCGCAATGAGTCATGGCGGACAGCAACTACATCAAGCACGTCTACTTCCCGTCTACAAATGTCTACATTAATTCACGTCTGACAAACCGTTACGATGGATCGAAGCGCAGACGTCAACATGCTCAACCCAGCGGACCACCCGCTCCAGATCCCGACCTTCTCTCAGATCAGCACGGTGAATATCTCGCCAAGCGCCAAGCTGGTGTCCATCGCAGGCCAGATAGGCGCGTCCCTGTCTCCCAACGCCGCCGCCACTCCCTTCGTCGAGCAAGTGCGCAACGCCCTCGCCCGAGTGGACCTCTGCTTATCCGCGGCCGGGGCGAGCAAGAGCAGCATCATCGCGGTGCGCCAGTATGTGGTCGAATCTAGCGTCGCGAGATGCGGGCGATGCGCGAGCACGGGGGGAGGTGTATTTGGATTGGTGGAGGCGGACCGAGGAGGACAGGCTGCCTCCGCCAAGCACGTTGGTTGGGGTGGAGAGCCTGGCGGGGAAGGATACGGCGTATGAGATTGAAGTCACTTGCGTAGTCCATGTCTGAGATGATTGATGAAACGTGATTCTGTCATCCATCGCTTTCGCATGTGCGGTTTTAGACTTTTGTGGTGGCGCAGCCGTGCAACGTCAACCGCCGAGGCGGGACTGCACATCACTCTGTGGGGGCGCAGGGTCTCGTCTCCCCGCGCGCTTTTATATGTCGCTGCCTCAAGCTGCTGGCTGCTCGCAACCCACCACTCCTCCCATTCCTCGCCACCGGGAGCAGCCCTCGAAGCTGATTGCAGCTCCCGCGGTCATGGCGAGCAAGATGAGCAAAAGGCTCACGGGCTTCCTGCACAGATCCAAAAGTACTACAGCCCCGGCTGGAGCTCCCCACCAACAAACAAACTTAGCACTGACAGCAACGGCAGGCTCAAACTCCCAAGCAGAATCCAGTCACTCCATAGACGACATCGACGTCGATCATGCCCCCACCGACTCCCCCGAAGCTCGCGTCACTCGAGCCATTCGCCTCTTCTGCGAGTCGGGAAGCACCTCAAACGGCGGTGAGGAGGTGCTGCAGCTCCCGGAGATCGTGGAGGCCGCCGAATCCTCTCCCCACGCCGCCAAAGCTGCTTCGCAACAAATCCGACGGTTCATGGGACGCGAGTGGGCCGTCAAGCCTTATGTGCAGTACAACTCGGTCATGCTCATCCGCATCCTGACCGACAACCCCGGCCCGAGCTTCTCGCGCAACTTTGACAAGACGTTCGTCGAGACGATCAAGGAGGTGTTGCGGAATTGCAAGGATGGGAGCACACAGCAGATATTACGAGAGACTTTGGATTCGTTGGAGGCGAACAAATCCTATCAAGAGGGGATGGAGGGACTGATTCAGATGTGGAGGAAAGAGAAGGGACATGGGGCCAGTTTGTCACAACAGGGCGGGAGGGGCTTGCAGCTACACCCGCAGCCACAGGCACCTCCAAATGGTTGGCAGTATGGCCAGCAGCAACGGGCGCCGAGACAAGAGCCCCGCCCCCGACAATTGCCTTCCCAGGTTGAGCTCGCGAGTAGGATAGAGGAGGCCAAGAACACCGCCAAGATCCTGCTGCAGCTGGTCCAGTCAACACCTCCGGAGAACTTGCTGAACAACGATCTGGTCCGCGAGTTCTCGGATCGCTGCGTGAACGCGCAACGCTCGATGCAGGGCTACATTTCCGCCGACAACCCGCCGCCAGAGGACGAGGTCATGCTCACGCTGATTGAAACGAACGAACAACTCAGCCTTGCTACCAGCCGCTACCAGAGATCCCTTCTCAATGCAAGGAAAGCAATGGGCGTCAGTCCGAGCCCGAATGCGGACGCGGTGCAAAACAATCCTGGAGGCGTTGCCGAGCCTCCGCCGCGCAAACCGGTCTCCGATCAGACTGGGTTCGCTGCACCTCCTCGCTCTCCCCCACAAGCACGACCGGACGACAGTGCATTTGGATACGCTGGTGGAGCGTTCCAGGCACCAACTGCATCACCAACACACCGATCTTCCGGCCCGGGCGCATTCTCCAACGCCGGCGCGACCACGAACGGAGCGTACGTTCCAGCTCCACCAAGCCCTCCCACAGCAATGCTCGCGCGTCTCAATTCGCGCGACGGACAGACATCGCCCAAGCCGTACGAGCCCGAAGGCGCCAGTAACCCCTTTGCCGACCCTGTGGAGCACGAAGCCAACCCAGCACCAGCGATGTACGCCTCAAATCCGAACAACACCTACCCTCCTTCCCTCCCACGCCAAAACCAACAATCCTCGCAACCCTTCACCGTCGATTTCGGCGCTGCAAATGGTGCCAAAGGACACGCGCAGCATCCCAGCCTCGACGACTCGAATTTTTACTCGGCCACCCCGGTCCGTACCCGCTTTCCTCCTAGTTCTAACTCCACCACGAACGTCAGTCCGCCCTCCAGTCCAAGCAGCCCCCAACAACTACGACCTTATCAAAGCGGCCCTCCGACCGTCTCGTATCTGGGTCGACAGGCGTCAGCTGTAGACCATTTGACCATGCATGGGGGTAACGTGTCAGAGATTGATGGGCATTCGGAGGTCGGGAGGGTCCCTGTCGCTGCTGAGGAGCCGCAGGAGCCGGCGTTTGGGGGTTTGCGGCGGAGAGAGACGGATGGGAGTGAGGGGGGCAGTGCGTATAATGTTACACCTACGCGGACGAGAGCGTGAGGTCATATCACAGATGTGTGAAGCGAGATAGATGAGAGCTTTGGGTTACGTGATTGAGAGCGGGCGATGGAGATACCACTTTTTGCTTTGTTTTGCGTGAGGCGGCATGCTATTAGGGTTGACAATCTACGGATTTCTGCACAATGCAATGCCAAGTTCTTGCTCGACGATCTGCCTGACAATGCCGGAGGAGGTGGAGAGGAGGTATTGGCCTGACGTTGCATTTCACCAGATTGCCAACCTTCATCACATCCAAGTAACAAACCCCACATATACCTTTCTTCCACTGTCACCCACGCTCCTCACAAACACACACACAACAAACCCAAACCCCCCAGTAAAACCAAACAAGCCAAAATGTCTGCCCGCCTCTTCTACGACACCGACTGCTCCCTCGCCCCGCTCGCCGACAAAATCGTCCTCTTCATCGGCTACGGCAACTAAGGGCGCGCCCAGGCGCTCAACCTCCGCGACACGCTGCAGGCGGAGAAACTCTCTTCTACCCAAATTCTCGTCGCCAATCAGAAGGACGACTACGCTTCTACGGCTGCGCAGGATGGCTTCGACGTCACGGCTGATTGGGCCGAGGCGGCGGGCAGGGCGGATGTGGTCTTTTTACTGGTGCCGGATCAGGTGTGTCTTATGCTTTTCCCCCATCCAAATTATATGGCTGATTGTTGGGTGGTGTTTGTGGTAGGTGCAACCACAGTTGTTCAATGAGCGCGTTGCGCCGACGTTGAAGAAGACGGCTTGCGTGGTGGTTGCGTCGGGGTATAATGTCTTCTACAAGCATTTGAATTTCGCGGGGAGTAATGATGTGGTGATGGTTGCGCCTAGGATGGTGAGTTGCCATGTCGATGCAGAGTCGGAATATTGAAGATCATCCGCTAACCCACGAAACGCAGGTTGGAGCATCCGTTCGCTCGCTCTACAAATCGGGTCAAGGATACCCCTGTTTCGTGTCCGTCGAGCAAGACGGCACGGGCAAAGCGTGGGAGGTGGCATTGGCGATTTGTCGCGGCGTCGGGGCTACGAAGGGCGGGGCGATTGAGTCGAGCTGCCGCGAGGAGACGTTGACGGATCTGTTTGCGGAGCAGGCGATTTGGCCGACGATTATTGCCGTGTTTCGCGAGAGTTACAAGCAGTTGAAGGCGCTGGGGTGTTCGGATGAGGCGCTGTGTCATGAGATGTGGTTGAGTAAGGAGCCGGCGGAGGTGTTTGAGATGATGGTATGTATTGTCTTTGATTTGATTGTTGGGAGGAGCTTGATGTTGATGATTCTGTTCAGGCGGACAAGGGTTTCATCTCGCAGCTTGTTGGCCATTCTACTGTTAGGTGAGTGTCGCCCCAGCTCCTCTTCCGACTGGCCCTCTAAAGTGATACCTCAGCCAATACGGGCAATTAAAGACGAGCCAGGAAATCGACACGAGCTGGATGAAGAAGCACTTTCAACACGTCGCCGAAGACCGCATCTTGAGCGGAGCATTCGCGGAGGAATTCACCAAAGCAGAACAAGGGCCAGGTGGCATCAACGGCGCATTGAAGAAGCTGTACGCAGAAGCCGAGAAGTCGGAGCTGGCGATGGGAGAGAAGAGGGTGAGGGAAAGGCTGGGATGTGATAAGAAGTAGATTGAGTGTTGTTTGTGCGATGTTTGTTCGAACAACTGCAACCGATATGTGACCATATGCAAACTCGGCTGAACCTCGTCACCATTCATATTGTCTATATATTGAATCATCCACGCTTGCACTCTAACCAATGACTGGCAGCATCAAATGGTGTATCGGTCGGCGGTTCCAAAAATGCAAACCTGTTGGGGTCCTACGAGTCTCGCCTTGCTTTCTCTCCTTCCTGAAAAAGGGCTGAAAAGGAGTTTGTTTTTTTGTGCTTTTTGGACAGGTCGCGAGTTCGAACGAGAGTCGCTGCTTCCTTTTTTGCCTATATATGGTAGCTTGGATAATGCTAATGCATATATGTTCTACGTCTTATATTTAGGATAGCAATCTAGCAAAACACGACCTCCCTCCGTACAAGCTAGCAGCTCGGCTGAACCTCGTCACCACTCTCTGTGTCTATATATTGATTTCTCTAGGCCTGACCTTTAACCAATGACGCAGCATCAATTGATCTGCAGTCGAAAATTGGGGTTTCAAAAAGTCACAACCTGTTGGGGTCCTACGAATCTCGCCTTGCTTTCTCTCCTTCCTGCAAAGGGCTGAAAAGGAGTTTCGTTTTTTGACATTTTTGCCGGCCCCGGGTTCGAGTCTGGGTCGCTGCTCGCTTTCATCTCGCTCAGCTTTTTTGATTGTGCTACGTCTACTTTTTGTGCCCGGTTCGAGCGTGGTTTTGCCGTTTTTGTGGTTGGCTGGTGTCGTTGTGAGACGTTACGCTGCAGCGGGTTATCGTGCTGCATTGTTCGAGCAGGACGAATAGTGGATGTTCCCAACCAGCTGAAGACATCGTCTGTCCCAAGGTCTGATCATCTCTACAAGGCAGCATAGTCCGTGGATCACATCTGTTCGTGAATGAAAGGCGTCAATTGGCGCAGGCTGTGGCGCATCCCAGCCTTACCCGTCCGGGGCTTGGCAGCGGGGCGGTCTGTGCATGCACGCGCTGCACCTTCCCCCACATTCTTCCTCAGGCCGCTCCGTCCAACATCTTTTCCCGACTGCCTCTCCCGCTGCTCTCCCTCCCCTCTCTACACGCTGCGTTGAGGTGAAGTGACTCAACCTGCCGCTGGTGGGGTCATCACCACCGCACTTGGACTCACCTCAACCCCTCACTTTGGCGTCGAAAGCGCTGCGTGTGCGCCGTTTGTCACATGAAAATCTCAGCTGTTGGCGGCCTCTCTCGCAGCGCCTAAGCAAACACCACTCCCATTCACAACTTCACATCACTTGGCTTAACACGACATATTCGCCCGTCCAAACACGGCATAGCCGTCACTCGTTCAAATGGAAGACTCTTCTGGCGGCGCGGGAAAGGCCGCTACTTCTTCCTGGCTGCTCTCACCTTCACGCCGCCCTTCACAATCTTCTGCCGTCGCAGGACCAGCGTCCAGCTCCACCGAACCCACCAACACTCAAAGATCTAGGAGACGAAGAGTCCTTGGTCGGCTCGTACGATCCGGCTCGGATCCTCGCAACACCAACGTCCCCTCACCTTTCAACGCCGAAGCGCCCGACTTCATCCCGCAAAGCCTGCCCAAGACCCCATCGAAGCGAAAGGCCTCGTCCTTCTCCAAGTCTGGCAGAGCTTCGCAATCAGACAGCGACATGGCCTTCATCACCCCTTCTCCCACAGATCCGCCCCTCATTCGCGCCGCGGAGATCATGTTCCCCGGTCAAGCAGGCCTGCGCTTCACCTCTCCCTCTCCCATCCCCGAGCTGGCGATGAGCTCATCCGAGGAGTCAGATGATACCGAATTTCCCAACTTTCAGCTTGTTGCACCGGCTCGCCGCGAGTCGAATCGCACTGCACGCCCTGGGTACCTCAACTTCACCAGCCGGCTCCGAGCGGCGGAGATGAGGAAACGACAAGATCCTGCTCACATGACTTCGGCCATCTTGCTATACCCGGAAGACACCCTGACTGATGTCGCAACGCCTATGAGTGGTGCTAGCCGTGTGCGCTATCTTCCACTCTGTCCAGCTTCCATGTCCGTGAACGGAGCTGCCGCATACGGCACCGACGGCGCCAGCTCAAGCCTCTTGACGGTCCTGCCGAGCCACTGCGACTTCGTTCAACGCTCCGAGCGCGCTGATGCCTACACTCAAGTAGTATGGCCCTCAGGCGAGCTGCCCGTCGAGCTCTTCGACCTCATCACCACGCATCTCGCCCGCGATGATGTCAAGACAATGCGCCTGGTCAATCGGGAGTTTGAACAGAAAGTCGCCCACACCCTCTTCCATACGTCTGTTGTCCCCTTCAACACCGAGATCTACGACATGATCGACGAAGACCGGAAGAGTGTCAACCGTGGCCCTCAATTCCATGGCAAAGGAAAGGCCAAGATGGGCTCCATGCCACGAAGCATGGACGAGGCTGGACTTGGCCAGGAGTTGGGGGGCCTGCAGTGGCAGAATGCGAAAGAAGACAAGGAGGGCAAAGTGTATAAGGGACATGGCCTACGAGTCTTCCGCGGGTTTGGTCCACACATCAAGCGCTTCGGCATGACCTTTGAGATCTCCGAGCAGCAACTCGCCTGGCCTCCGACGAAGAAGAACCTCGACCACATTCAAGCCTATTACGGGTCGTACGACTGGCCTTCTCTCGATTACACTCGCTTTGCTACGCTGGCGGGATTGGAGAATACTGCGGATGAGACATCGCGCATGAAGGCGGCCTTCTCCAACCTGGAAATCGTGCAGGAGCTCGCGCTGTCCATCGACAGTGGTCTCGGCTGGCTCAATGGACCCGACAAGTCTTTGCGCACTTTGCTACTCGACCAGCCAACACCCGTCTTCGGCAGCTCCTTCAGCATGCCTGACCGCAGCGCACAAAATGCACAGGCCTTCTGGACCGCGTTGCACCAATCTCAAGCAAGCTTTGATCCCATTATGAATATCAAAGAGATGACGCTCGACCATCGCCCCTGTCTGGTTCAGCCGACCGAGATTGAGGGCCTCCGCGACAACATCTACTCCAACACTCAACTGTGGTCGTCGATCAGCTCGAACAAAATCTCCTCGGTGTTGCCAAACTCCCCAACTGGCTTCGGAGTACTTTACGCCACTGCCAACCAGACGGGTTCAGACGGTAGCCCCAAGCAGTCTTTGGCGCCTGGGTGTCTGAGCAAAGAACAAAGAGAGTGGCTATTGGAAACCCAATGGGCCCAGCAGGCCTTTCTGGAATCCTACATGCTCGCTGTCATCGACAATCCGCTGACCTTTCAGAACATCACTACGCTCAATTTCGCAAGAGTATCGAGTCGGTTCCTACAAATGCTGTCACGCGACTCCTTCTGGAAAGGACTGCCTCATCTTGCGGAGGTGATTCTGAGGATCAGCCCAGACTGGCGGACAGTCGAGAAAGATGATGCGGGATTCGCCACGACCACGCAGAACAGCCCGTCCGATGCAGTGCGCTGCCTGCACAAAGAGATTCTGCAGGGTTGCGTAGCGCCTCGGCAATCCATCAAGAAGCTTACAGTCGGCTGGGCAGGCGGAGGAGAGCATGCTCCAGGCATGTTCGCGCGTAACAACAACGTCCTTCCGGCGCCAATCACCCGTGTGGAGCACTGCACTGCCAATAGTAGTATTTTTGGCCTGCTCTTCCCTCACGTGGAGCATCTCACCTTGACGAATTGCTGGCTCTCCCCGCCGGTGCTCGAAGGCTTGATCAAGGCGCACTCGCAAAAAGCGTTGAAGAAACTTACCCTTGATTCAGTGTCGTTGACTACGCATCCCAAGTTCCCCAACTTTGGTGGAGCTCACCTTCTGAATCCACAGGCACCTCCTCCTCTCGCTCTCGCCGGTGCTCCACAACAACAACTCACGGCCCAGCAAATCAATGCCATGGTGCAGCAGCAGATTGCGCAGACGCAACAGCAGCTCATCGCCCACGCGCAGGCAAACCCGCAAGCAGCGCCTGCCATTGCGCAGTTTCTAGCGGGGCCACCAAATCCACATACCGCGCCTGCAGCCAACTCGCACTGGACCGCGGGATATCGCGACGGCTCTTGGCCCCAAATCATTGACCTCATCTCCCCCGGCACCACGTTCCAAGACTACCGCCCAGCCCCTGCTCCATGGGAGGAGCAAATCCCCGCCCGCCCGCAGACCAGTCTCCGTACCATCGAGTTCAAGTCCTGCGGCTACGTCAAACTTCCGAACCACACCGGCTTCGACCAGCTGGCCCTCGAAGCCCCCGCCCCACTACGCGCCACACACTCGGCCTGGTTCCGCGCGCGTCACAGTCGGCTTAAGCCTTCGATGATGACGAGCGGCGACCGCAATCTGGGCCAGATTGTGCAATCCATGCCGCCGCGTGAGATGAATGCGCTGCTGTTTGCTTGGGGGTTTACGGAGGGGTGGCAGGATGCTGCGAAGGCGGAGGAGGCGGAGTTTGATGGCTTCTTGCCAGGTGGGACAGGGAGGTTTTCGGGTGTGGTGGAGAGGGGGATGGCGCTTGTTGGACCATCTCATCCGGGCACGCCTAGAATATGAGTGTGAAGCATTGGGCTTGTTACTTTGACGACTCTGGTGGGATGCGAAGAGTGTGTGTTACTGGTGAGAATCGGAGGGGGTAATGATGTATTTTAGTCGACGCTGCTCAATTGGCAAGGCTTGATGAAAGAATTGGAACATTTGAAACTGCTTTTTGATTTATTAACATCCACCGACCAAGTGGCCTACCTCACGCATGTGTGGTGGCATGAGGCTGGCGTGCACAAGTCCTGCATAAAAATTTAAGCTTTCACCCTCCGCAAATCCCCCAAACTTTTTTTCAACCTCGACCGCAATCCAGAAATCTTTCTCGACACAAAACCCTCCACCTTCAACCACCAAACCTCCCCTCCCCTCCGCTGCCCAAGATGAAACGCAAACGCAGCGCCCTCGAAAAAGTCGACGCCGACCTGCCCAACCTGCAACACAAAATCCGCTCCGACCCGCCCTCCTACGAAAACGAATTCCTCAACCAACACGCGCAGTACGCCTCGCTGCTCGAGCTCTTCCTCCAATCCCCCACCACCACCGACGACACGGGCATCGTGCGCCTGCGCGACCTCATCGACTTCGTGAGCCATGTGGCAGACTGCTACCGCGCCACCACGGCCGGGTTCGCGGGCGATTTGACGGCGTTGTTGCAGCGGCATCACGAGACGCTGGAGGCCGAGCTGCGCGACAAGATTGTGGGGAGTTTAGTGCTGTTGCGCCGGAAGGAGATTATCGATTCACATGCTTTGCTTCAGACGCTGTGGCCATTGCTCGTGTCGACGCATTCGAAGGCGCTGCGCGAGTTGCTTTTCACGAAGATTTTGTCGGATTTGCGGACGGCGAACGCCAAGACGACGAATCATAAGTTGAACCGCGAGATGCAGACTACGTGCTTTAATCTTGTTTCGGGGGATCCGGCGTCGTCGAAGGGCTTGTGGGCGGTCAAGTTGACGAGGGAGCTGTGGAAGAGGCAGGTCTGGACGGATGCCAAGGCTGTGAGTGTTATGGAGGCTGCGGCACTGAGTCAGGATGCGAAGGTTGTGACGGGTGGTGTTCGCTTTTTCCTTGGTGGGGACCAAGAGCGGGAGGAAGCGGCGGATGAGGACAGTGATGAGGAGGATGGGCTGGACATGCGCCAGCTCCGCCATCAGGCTGGAATCAACAAGAAGACGGCCAAGCGGGATCGTGAGCTGAAGGCCGCAGCGGCAAAAGTCAAGAGGAAAGAGAAGAAGAAAAAGGCGCCGCATCCGCTCAACTTCTCCGCGCTCCATCTCCTGCACGACCCGCAGACATTCGCGGAGAAGCTGTTCCAGCTGCACCTGCAACCCGCGCAACCAAAAGTCAAACTCAACCTCGAGCAGAAGCTGCTCGTCTTGCAGCTGGTCAGCAGACTCGTGGGTCTGCATAAGCTCACACTACTCCCGCTGTACAGCTACTTTATCAAATTCCTGAGCCCTCGACAGCCCAGCGTGACCTCCTTTCTGGCCTCGCTGGCGCAAGGCACACACAACTTGGTTCCTCCTGATGTACTGGAGCCGCTGGTGCAGAAGATTGCGAATGAGTTTGTCAGCGAGGCAGCGGCAGCTGAGGTGGCGAGCGCGGGCTTGAACGCCATCCGAGAAATGTGCGCTCGGCAGCCGCTGGCTATGAGCGAGACTTTGCTCCAGGACCTCGTGCAGTATCGCAAGTCGAAAGATAAGGGTGTGCAGATGGCGGCGCGCGGTCTACTGTCTCTGTATCGTGAGGTTGGAGCGGGCATGCTGAGGAAACGAGATCGCGGTCGGGATTCTACGCTGAAGCTCCGCTCGGGGGATATGGAGGCGCATAGGCGCTTTGGCTTTGTGGAGGATGGTGGAATTGAAGGGTTGGAATTGTTGGAGAAGTGGAAGGAGGAGCAGGGTGTCGAGGATGAAGAGGAGGATGAGGCCAAGGGATGGGAGAATTGGGACGCGCAGAGCGATAGTAGTGAGTCCAGTGGCGGATGGGTCAACGTCGAGAGTGATGGCGAGGATATCGATGTCTCGGATTCGGAAGAGGAGAGGGAGAAAGCAGCCGCGGCGAAGAAGCAAAAAGCGAAGACGGAAGAGGTCAAAGACTCCGACAAAGAGAACGTCGCCGCCACAGCACCCCAAGACGACAACACCGACGCCAAAACCCCCGACCCATCGCGCAACACCGCCTCCCTCGAACCCGAAGCAGCCCTGAAACGCGAAGAAGCGCGCATCTCCAAGCTCGCCACCACCCGCATCCTCACCCCCGCCGACCTCGCTAAACTGCACGAACTCCGCACAGCAGCAGCAGTAACCTCCGCCCTCCCCGCCACCAAACGCCGCAAACTCCAACAAGCGGCGCAGCAAGCCGCCCGCCACGGCGACGACGCCCTCACCTCCGCCGACATCGAGGGCCTCGCTTCCCTCTCGCACAAAGCGAGCAAGGAGGAGAAGATCCGCATGGCGCGCGGCGAGAGGGTCGATGGCGTGCAGACGGAGAAGAATGATCATCGCTCTACTACTGCAAGGAGGAAGGAGAAGAAGGCTTCGGAGGGGAAGAGTACTACTAATCGCGAAAAGGCGAGGAAGAAGAATTTTTTGATGACGTTGGGGAAGGCGAAGCGCAAGGGGAAGAGAAGTTTGGTGGAGCATCGGAAGGTGCTGAAGGCGCATGTTGAGCGGGGGAAGAAGGGTGGGAGGAGGGGGAATAAGTAATCCATAAATCGTAGCTGAAGCTAACGACTTGCTCGTCCCTAATTCTGCTGATCGGTACATCGTCACATTTGGTATGGATTGTCCCGGTTGCGATGGAGAGGGCTTTCGCCGCGAGGACTTGATGTACTTGCTCTTGGGAAGGAAGAAGTTGCGATCGCGTAGAGCCAATCTAGTCACGTGTTACAGAAACTTTAAATCACGTGTTACAGAAACGCTCGTCTGCCATACCTCCCTTCAAGTCCAACAAAATAGGCCAGCATTGCGGCCTTGACCGAAACAACACACGAGACAAGTGAGAGGGCTGCGTATATTCCTCGCCGTGGGACATGAAGCCTCGAACTCCCACCCAGCTCCACCGCCCCCTGACGACGCCAGGAAGAAGGGGAAAAAAAAGTCAAAAAACGAACCGACCCCCAGGCCTCCCCTAGAAGAGGGAGGGGGCAAGTAGCTAAACTCGGCCTACATCTAGCATCCGCCGCCATTGGTGGGACATCAGCTAGGAAAGGCTTGGTTTTGACTTTAGTGGTCGGAGGGGGGGGAGACGGGCATCAACTCCCACGCTTTGCGCATTTACGGAGGATCGGCAGCCAACCACAGGTGTTATGTGCTGTAGTGGTTGGTTAAAGTGGTGGCACGCTCGAGGAGTATATATGTGCAGCAAAAGTGGTGGCGAGGTTTAGCCGGGTGTCACGTGCTGGAGGGAGGATTTGCTTTTTCCTCTACAGTGTGCGGTTCAGGGGCGTGGAACTCACTTCTTCGATACCTGCTTTGTCTCTAGCTAGTTGCCTTTCGCATGCGTCTCGCTGCTTGGTCACCTCTCCGTCAACCCCTGAATACGCCTTCAATAGCCCCTCTCTCCCTAGAAGCATTCCCACGTCACCCAGTTCGAACCCGTCCCTTTAAGAACATGATAGATGACGGCATGGGTTAACTTCGCCACGAAATCTCGCGCGTGCAACATAGAACCATCAAATTCCCCAGGACCCAGACACGGCATGCGTACACTCAACGTGAGCGACCCCTTTTCCGAACGCGCCGCTCTAACCACCTCAACTTTCAGCTGCAGCTGATTCTTTGGTCCAGAAAGCGAGCCTGGAAGCGTGACGACGACTGCCACTGGAACTGGAAATGGAGCCCCCTCACAGATATGAGCGGTGAAGAATCGAAACGATGCCCCAGGCTTGAGCAAGTCGTGATTGATGCGATCAGCTTCGTAGAAGATGGTGGATGGAAACACCAGGCTGCCCCACAACTGGCGCGGTCGAGTTGTTTTGCGAATGGTGAAGTTCCAGTGCGCGCAGGGTTTGTGCTTGAAGGTTTTGATCAGGTTGATGGTTTCGTTGTGGATTTGCTTGGAGACGAGGGCGAGCTGGCGACGTGGACCGGTGCAGAGGGAGAAGATGTCAAGCCTGTCGTTTGTCGTGTCGATTGCGAGTCTGTAGATGCGGTTGCGAAGCTCGGGTGGGACACGCCCGAGCTCGCCCAGTGATGGGTTGAAGATTGCTGCCATGCTGGGGGGCGGAGCGTGTGGTTTGTTGAAGACAGAAGGAAGAAGTTGCAGGTGCGAAAGCGGGAAAAGTTGACGCGACGTTGCTGCCTGGTGGTGAATGTAAGAGAGTGAAATATTTGGAAGAGAGACTTGCTTGTTGTGGAGCGACGCGACTAGAACTAGAGTGCATGAAAACCTACACATCTCACTCTCCCAACGGCCTTCGATGTCACGGTGAGTCTACGTGGACGCGCACACTGGATGGAGTTGCTTGGAGACTATCTCGCTATCTCTGAAGGTGTCTTCTGCCTGCCTCGTGGACCGCTTGTCCCTCATCACCCTTCACTTGGTCTTGCGCTGCTCGCCTTGGAAACATTCTCATTGCTGGTCGGCCTTCTGCTCGTCTGTAGACAGGCCCTTCCCTTTCTGTCGCCAGCCCCGTTCAAGAGGGAGAACTTGCATCCGCCCGTTCGATGATGTAATTGTGCACCGCGTACACTACCTTTGCAAATACGAGTCTCACGTTTGCTGCATCCGGACTGCCAATCTTCCTCACTTTCACAAGTAGTCCGGACGTGAACCTATCGCGCATGTTGGGTTGAAGCCCGTCGAATGCTCCTGGGACTTGGACATCTGGCTGAACTCGCTCGTTTCGCTCCAGAAGCGTGACAACCACTGCATCTGGTGCTCTGGGCCGCAAATGAGCGGTGAGAAAACAGTAGGCCACTCCAGGCCTGATCCAGCGATGGCCCTTCCGTGGGATGGCCTTTCCCATATTTGCAAAGAGTGGCATGATGAGCATGTCGGCGCCAACTGATGGCGGGAGGACGGGAAGGACCGCTGGCATGCGCATGGTAAAGGCCCAGTGAGTGCAGTGTTGGCGATGGAGTGCCTTAATCAAATGTATGCTTTCGTGGCGGATCTGTTTGGAAACGAATGCCAGCTGGAAGTATGGGCGACATGGGGAGTGAATGTGGCATTCTTGATCGCTGTTATCGATAGCAAGCTCGTAAATAAGGTCTCGAAGCTCACGGGGAAGGCGCGAGAGCTCGCCAAGCGATGGATTGGTGGCTTTGACTATATCGAGGTTCGACTTGTCGTTATTGCGGATGAGCGCTGATGCTGCTGGAGGGTTTCTGGACGCTGCGAGCGTGTTGGCGGGTACTGTCCGTGTGTTTGTGGATCCCACCGCTGTGTCCGTGGATCCTGTGCTTGCGCTTGTCGGTCTTCCCAGTGATGCTGTCCATACTGCCAATGGATGGGCAGCAAAGATACCTAGAAATGAGTGACGGCGAATGAAGCAAGTGAAAAGCCTTGACTGGCGCACGGGCCAAAGCGGCCATGCACGTAAACGCGTTCCTTCCCAAAACGGCATTTCGACGTCACACAAGGTGGGTCTGTGACTTGGCGCGCGCATCCGCTGCAAACAATCACCTCCAACTTTCACCTCCTGAGTTTCTAATACATTTCCCACCTTCTGCGGCTAGCACAACACCCTCAACACACACCAGCTCAACCGGCCGCCAACATGGCTCTAAGCCTGTTGAGCATCCCCGCCGAGCTTCAGGTCACGATCATCGGCAACCTCGACGCCAAAAGCATCCAACGCGCCCGCAGCGTCTCCTGCAAAGTGAGAGATCTCATCGATACACACAAAGCCTCCCTCGTCAAGACCGTCCTGTGGGCTGAGAACGCCCGACTCCAAGCCTTCCTCGATCATCACGACTACAGCGACCTGTCGATCGTTCAAGCCTTCAGCCGATGGATGAAGCACCGAGCAGTCGAGATCGAGACTTTCACTGGGCCATTTGCGCCTTGCGTCTTTATGATTCAGTTCATGAGATCCCGAGCACCGACATGCCTCCTTGCGCAGGCTGAAAAACACGAGGTTACAAGAATTGCGTGGATGTTCGTTTGGGAACACGCCTTAAAGAAGTTATACCATGACATGGATGGCGAAACCGACTGGACTCCGGGAAAATTTGTCAGAGATCTAGTGGGAGACGAAGACCAGTTCAAAGCATACCACGCCGACAGATTCTCCTCCATCAACAGAGATCACCTCTACGCGATCTTGAAAGAAGCCGCTGCCCACCCGGATCTTTTCGAGCGAGAGACGCTGGCCGGAACGCTGCACGGGCATGACTATGTATCTATCTGCAGTCCGTACCATTACTGCCCAGCCCGCCGCTTGACAAAGATCGCCATTAGCGGCCCAGTTCCTGGACTCGGGTTTCCGGGCGAGATCATCAGCGCTACACACCGTGGTGGGGATGAAATACCAGAAGTCCTGCATGCGCCATCTCTTCCACAGGGTCGTGTGTTCGCATACTTCGCATCGGACGAGTGGGCGTTTGGGAAGATTGTGCAAGCGCTAGGGGGCGCACCCATGGACCCACTGCTCAAAGCTGCTCTTCTCGAAAAGCTCTTCATCTTCTGACGACAGTTTGGGTGCGGACGAACGCAAGCAGGTGAATGGAGGCTTGGGCTGAACGATACATCGACAGACGGCACGGGTGATGCAGCTTGAATGAGGAGATCGGAGCGCATTGGAGACTGACAGACGCGCATTCCTCTCATCAGAGTGATGAGAAGTCAAGGCATGGAACGGGGAGCAAAAGACAGTCGAGAGGGATTGGTCTAGCTCTATATCATGAAGGAAATGACGGTCCAATATTAAAATGCTGTCCCGTTCACGTTGCAATTATCTTCGGTGCGGAATGCTATCCGTTCACTCGTGTCCAACATCGCGAAGTCCTTTTCGCCCTCCCATGCATGATTATTACCCACAAGCCAACCAGCCAGCATTACAACACACTGCTCCTCCGCCGACTGAGCGTCGGTCTCTTCGGCCCCATACTAGGCCTCTGCTGCATAGGCGGACGGGTCGCAGCATCAGCAGGAGCAGTATCCGCAGGCTTCGCAGGCTTCGCAGCTTCCTGCTTCCTTTCCTCCTCCGCCTCAACCTTCAAATGATCGATAAAAGCATGCTCCAGCTGTGCATGGCTGTTCTTCAAAAATCCCTTGATGATGCTGACAAATGTCCGCGGACACCGAGCATCGCTAACAATCTCCACGTACCACCCGGCCCCACTGCTCTCCGTGTCTGCGTGTAGGAGATCCTTCGTTCCGAGGCGCTCGAACGCCACGTGCAACTGGTCTTCGGAGAGGGTGGGGAGATGGTCTGTATCATCGACGTGATCTCGAATCGCTGCACCAGTGGGAGCGACTTCCCGCAGCAGCCGCCAGTGGTTGGTGCTTGTGAAGCCGCCGGGTGCGTGAACGGTGATGTCGCAGCCTTCGGGCGTAGGCAAGAAATCTGCCGTGTATCTTACGCCACCGCTCCACAGTCTTTTCGGCATGAAGGGTAGGTCGTCTTCGACTTCGAAGTAGGTCATTTGTTGAGCATTGGGACCGGTGGTGTTGGGCGTGGGTTTGTTGACTTTCGGCGGCGGGATGGGTTTGGTGCTGTGGCAGTCGGGGCTGAGTTTCATGACGAATTCGAAGTCGTGCAGCAATTGGACGGCTTTGGCGATATTGAGGTTCGGAGGGAGGGGGGTCGCGGTGGAGTAGTTGAAGTTTGTCTCGAACATGACTGCGGCGGAGGTGTGCGGGTGGAGGCGGAATGGGCAGTAAGGAGGAGAAGAGTGTGTTAGAGAGAAAAGAAGAACTTAGTGAAAGATGTCAATGGCATGCAGAAGAGTTGGTATCAGTTGGTTTGACCAATATGCCGCACGGATGGCCTGAAGAGGGCGTGGGGCACGTCGATGATGTGTCGTTCACATCAGCATGGTGAAGATTATTAGTCAGTGAGGTAATGATTATCTAAGCGATCTGCGGCAGTCGGCAAGCCGGCGGCGCTAGGACTCTCCCGGCGCTTGTTCTTTCCCGAACAAGCTTCACCACCAGCTTCAAAGCTACCGCTCTACAACATGGCCCAGTCCATCAGCCACATGCACCGCGAGGGGCTTCTACGGCATGCTTTCACGCCGACGCTCTTGGCCGCTTGGAATGAGGATGTAGCGTGTCGATTTGGAGGTAAGAAGAGCCGGTCCAGGCTTGTTACGCCCGTAAGGCTTTCTTTGCCTCCGCCTGCCAACAGTCTGGACCACTTCGAACGTCTCCTTAACTACCCCGTGTTGCACGTTGATCTCTCGTCGCCATGATTTCACGGTTTCTTCTCATTGTTGTGAAAGATACCGCTCTCCTGTACCTCACGCCAAGATGAAGCTACCCGCGCTTTCAGTCCTCCTTGCTCTTGCCGTCACGGTATCGTGTGCTCGCAAACCATCGTCCCGCACCACCTCTACCACCACCACTACAGGCACCGCGATTCCGACAAGCACCCAGCTCACCGGATTGGGAGCTGCTGCTGGTGCTGTGCTCGCGCCGTTCTCAGGCGCATTAGCTGCAGAAGTAGTACCCAGCAATGGCTCTTCATATGGCAACGTAACGGTCTCTGGGGCGGGCGACTCTGGAAACTACACTGGACCAGGCAAGATCGGGTCAGGCATCGGGCTGGGCAGTGGTTCTCCACATGGTACTTATGCCGTTGCGCTCACAGCGGCGGCGGTCACGAGGGCAAATGCTACGAATATCAAGGTCACCTCTTCGTCTTTTGGCAATTCGAGCACGTTCAGGACTGCCAAGGGCATGGTCACGCTTTCCTACGTAAGTCATCGGACCAACCTCTTCCCTACACCTTGAGCGCACACCCGTGCCTTTGCTAACCTCAGCGTGATACAGGCCGAATCGCGCAGTATTGCTCAATCTTCGCAGGGCGACTACGCTGTATACTGGGCTTGGGCAGCAAGCGTGTCGGGGCCAGACGGACATTACATCCACGGCGACCACGGCGGGTGGCACAAAGGCCAAGCGACCGGCAACGCCGGATACAGCAACTCCTCCCTCCAAATTCTCGCCAGCGGTGTTGGCGTAGAAGTCCGAGTCGGCGACACAGGCCCGGCGATTCCACCTCCAACCTTCAACCCGTTCCCCCCGGCCGCTTCCATCCAATTCAGCTGCACAAGTCCGTATTCAAATGGACTTCCCGGGGCTGGAGGTGCACTCGGTGTGTCTGCCAGTGCGCCAGGTGATTTCGGCACATATGCCACCGCCTATAGCACTGGCAGTCCTTACATGCAGCCCTTTAGCTCTGCTTATGCTTACGGGAACGGCGATGCTAGTAGTGCGCAGACGGGATACGATGGGCCCTAGCTAGTAGGGAGTTGACAGTGTGGTTGGCTTTGATACTGAATATGCCTGAAGAGGGCATCGGGTTGGAGTGCACTGGGATCGAGCTCAGGCATGCTGCCATACGGCTGCTCCTGGAAGTTGGAAGTAGTCAGTGGCTTGATCGAATGAAAAGATCACGTTGCATAAAGAAGCTTCAATAGGTTCTCATCAGCTCTACTCCGCACTGCCCAGTCGCGTCTTGAATCCGAAGAAGGAGACCACCGGCCTTCCCAGGACAAGCAAAGGGCCAGCCACCGCCCAGCTGCCACGATACTCAAGGCGATGAGGAAGAGGTCGCCGGCAGTCGACCTTCCCAGGCCCTTTGGGAGAGGACATCGTGAAAGGATCCTTTAGCGATGAGTGCTAGGCTTAATGAAGAAAGGGAAGGAAGTATTGAAGATCTCAAGCAGAGCGCACCTTGATCAGGGAGTGAAAGCAAAGAGGTCTTCGTCCGCGACGAAGGAGATGCTTCTTGGTGACAAACGAGAGCACAAACCGTGCACCCTTCCGTGCATCCTAAAAAGGTGCAGGACATGCAGGCTCCCGAGCCAAGGCGGAGAAGTGGGAAATGGAACATTATGCCACATCATGGCGACCTCCATGCTATCGCAGTGCGGCTCGAAGGTTGGTCAGAGCTGCTGAAAGAGATTCTCAGGTCAGCAGCGAGGCGAAGTGTGGTGTTAACGCGCCTGAGCAGTCATGATATAGAGGATGGATGTCTTCCTAAAGGAGAAGTAGATGATCCCGTCTCCACTTCCAGTCAATCGGAAGCGAGTTGAGTCTGAAAGGGGGAAGTGATCCAGCGCTCTGCCGTCTGGTGGTACACCCACGTGACCAAGGCATCAAGACAAAGGAAGGAGTGATGGAAGGAGCCTGATGCGGCTTTGATTACACAACGGTGATGAGACGAGATGAAGACGGTCGCTTGTAGATGTATAAGGGCAGGGGACAAGGAAAGAGTACGACGAGGAGAAGTCGATTGGGCGGTTCCCAATTCAGGCGGCCGAAGCGGGCGAGTGGAGTCGAGGCGCAGAATTAAGGTTTGGGAGAAGTTCGCGCTTCCACACGCGGCCTCGTAACCGCATCCATCCCTGGCGGCAGCATTCGCACACCATTTCAGGCACCACACGACACCTCGACCACGCCACCCAAGAACTCCCTCTACTCTCCCATTACGCGCACTATTTCCTTCTGAAATCGCCCGCGCAATACATCACCACCAAATGCGATCCCGAGTATGGTGATACGGCAATAGCGCCCCCGCCAAACGGACACCTAGCCTCTCGCGCATTCTCCTCCTCTCCTTCCCCCGACTTCCTCCACGATGGAAGACAAGTACATCGGCCTCATCCTCGCCATCCTCTCCACCCTCGGCATCGGAGTCTCCTTCGTCATCACCAAGAAGGGCCTCAATGTCGCCGCGCAGCAACACGGCTTCGAAGGCGATGGCTTCGCCTACCTGCACAATCCCATTTGGTGGGGCGGCATGATCACGATGGTGGTGGGCGAGGTGTGCAATTTCTCTGCCTACGCCTTCGCGCCGGCCATTCTCGTCACCCCGCTGGGCGCGCTGAGTGTGCTCATTGGCGCCGTGCTGGGCAGTTATTTCTTAGAAGAGCGATTGGGTATATTAGGGCGGGTGGGATGCGCCATTTGCTTGATTGGGAGTGTGGTGATTGTCTTGCATGCGCCGCCTGATAGAGAGGTGCGGGATGTTGGAGAGCTGTTGCATTTTGCTTTGATGCCGGGTATGCCCTTCCTCGCCACCCTCGACCCCTTTCATCTGCTAATCCAAGCGCAGGCTTCATGTTCTACTGCTTCATCGTCACCGTCTTTGCCGTCGTCATGATCTACCGCATCGCGCCATTGTACGGCAAAAAGAACCCCATGATCTACATCTCCATCTGCAGCACCGTCGGCTCAGTGTCCATTATGGCCATCAAGGGCTTCGGCATCGCCCTCAAACTCACCCTCGGCGGCAACAACCAATTCGGCAACCCGAGCACCTACGTCTTCGCCATTGTCGTCATCGTCTGCATCCTCACCCAGATGAACTACTTCAACAAAGCGCTGAGCCAGTTCAGCACAAACATGTACGTCCCCACACACCCTCCCCAACATCACCCCCACTGACAGCAACAAGCGTCAATCCCCTCTACTACGTAACCTTCACCACCTGCACCCTCGTCGCCTCCTTCATCCTCTTCCGCGGCTTCAACACCACCGACGCAATCAACACAATCTCCCTCCTCTGCGGCTTCCTCACCATCTTCACCGGCGTCTACCTCCTCAACCTCTCGCGCGAAGACCCAGACGGCAACAACCTCGGCATCGCCGAAGGCGGCCCCGCCGCGCGCGGCAAATACGCCGCCGTAGACGGCATCCCCGTCGACGGCATCGCGGGCGCCATCACGCGCATGAGCATGCAGTCGCGCCGCAGCGGCGAGGAGCACCGACGCAGCAATAGTTGGAGTTTGCGCTCGCCTATCTCGGGGCGGAATGGATCCATTGGCGAGCAGAATTTGATGCACTCGTATGATGTTGAGGCGCATGGGTTGGCGGAGTTGGCGGAGGATAGCGAGGAGGAGAGCGATGGGACGGGTTCCGGGCAGAAGCGGACGTCTTTTGAGGAAGGAGGTGGGCGGTCGGGACGGCAGAGTCGGAGAGGACCGCCGTCCGGGGGTGTGGGGAAGGGAGGCACGCGAATTTCGACTGAGCAGGCCTTGAAGTTATGATTTGGTTTGGGTTTTGTCTGGGCGGCGTTCTTGGAGCTTGTGTTTTTGAATGGCGGGTTCTCTTGTTTCTACGCGAAAGGGAGTCCAGGCTCGGGAAGAAAAGAGGAACACGATGCATGGATGGATGGATGAAATGGAGAAGAGCGGCTGGGAGAATCAACGCATTTACGAAGGCGCTTTTTGCACATAGCATGCCTCCTTGCTGCTGCTGCTGCTGATAAAAGGGAAGGCAGTAGGCGATGAGCGCGAGGACTTCTTATTCGCTTGGTTGAACACACTGATCGAATTGCCGATTACAATTGTCCTTCTATGCTCTATGTAGGTATGCTCCAAAATTCGCTGCTGGGGTATCTCGCTAGCTCAACATCTGAGCGGTCAAAACAAAATCGTTGCTGCTGTTGCTCTGGGTCGGCGCTGGAATGCACGACCGCCAAGCGCAAAAAGAAAAGGAAAGATCATGCAAGTGCGTTTGTCAGCCAATGCTCGAGCCCAAATAACCCAGCTCGGAGAAAATCGAGTCCGCAAAGGAGGAGAAGCGATGCAGCCGCTTCTTTTCTTCATCCGCATCCTGCTCGCCCTCCACCGCAGGCGGCATAAGGAGACCACCCCTCGCTTTCGCACCATGATGCTCCGACATGCCCAGCCCGACCGGAACTTCCTGCTCCGGCAGCGAATACGCAGCGAACAAGCGCGGGCGCTGCTCGTCTTCGTGGCGCCGCAGAGCGGAAGGCGAGGGAAGACTCGGGCTGGGGCTGGAGTCGAGGGCTGGCGTCGTGAAGGTGAAGTTGAGGTTGAGGGAGCGCAGACGCTCCGCTACGCTTTCGAGGGAGGTGTCTTCTTCGCCGGACGTGAAGATGCGTAGTGGGCCTGCGCTGAGGCGGTAGGGCGTGTTGACGCCGCCGCCGCGGGAGCTGAGGGTGGGTGCGGAGAAGGTGGGGGAGAGCATTTCTTCGTAGGGGTCTTCTTCGATTGCTGATTCGTTGGGTGCGGCTTGGTCTTCTTCGGTTGCTTCCTCTCGGATGTAGTCGTCTTCTGGCACGGAGGCGTGGATGTTGGAGTCGAATGTGGGGAAGTTCTCGACTGATGTTGATTGGAAATTGCTGTGCTGGGCCAACGCGGCGCGGAAGTTTGTAACTGCTGAGCTGGAGCCGTGGCGTGAGCAGGGGCGATCGTCTCCATCGCTGGACGAGGAGAAGGTAGTTGGTCGTAAGGTGGTGCTTCGTTGCGTGGTTTCTTCCATGTCACCGTGGCCTTCGAACATGGATGCTGCTGATTCGCTCGTAATGTAAGGCAGAGAAGGAGCGGGACGAGTGGGCATTGGCGGTGTTTCAAACATTGAGACTGCAGAAACAAGATCCGCAGGACATGGTGGCGCTGAACGAGACGGCATTGGCGGCGTATCCAGGACCGGGGAGTACGAGGTCGGCGCTCCGAAATTGTTCTCAAAGTGGCATTCATAGGCGTCGAGGACGGAGGAGTGCGCAAGGCTGGACGCCGCCGAGCTCCAAGACTCTCGCGAATACACCGAGTATTCGTCATCCTCCAGAGCGACGTCTGTGTAGTAGCGGGGTTTGGGCGCTTGCACAGATGGAGCTTGAGTGGATGTTACAAATGCACCTGGCGAGGTAGGCGAGGCTTGGGCTGCCTCCTCATTGTCGACCAGTGTGGTACTCAGAGCCAGCTCCGAGACACACCTCTGATGGACTCTTGATACCGGCGGGGGCTCGAGAGGGGAGAATTTGTCCCCGGGCTCCAGAGTATGAGTGCTCGATTCGCTGGCGAGGGCGAGGAACGCATCCAAACTGGCACTCCGGGAGCGGACAGGCGAATCGGCAAGCTCCAAGGGGATGTCGATGACGTTGACTGTTTGGCCGGGTAGTAAAGGACAGTGAGTGGATAGATCTTTCGTCTCGTCCGGCGTCTCGAAGTCGTTGTCCAGGCGGTAGTAGTACCAGTACGTGCCGCCCTGCTTCAGCCCGCCGGTGCGAGGACGAGACCAATTCGGCTTGTCACCGTCAAAGATGACATTCTGATACTTGAAGCAGCCAGACCAACAGCAAGGCCCTCGTTTCCGGTCGCGATGCATAAGGTAGGGTTGGGTGAAGTTGTCCCATGACCCGAGCAGTTCCACGAGTCGGACCTCCGGAGGCGCCTTGAACAGAAAGGTGATTAAAGTGGTGGGATCCATTGCTATAGCTGCCGACCTCTGCAGGTGGAGAGGTGCAGTCGCAGCATGAAGGGGAAATTCGATGTGATATCACCGTCGGTGTGCCAAAGTCGCCATGATCTAGACAGGTTGCCAAAGGGAAAAAGGGCTGTGTGCAACGGGAATCAGTCTCGCAAATTACCATACCATGAGATGGGGCGGGTGCGGTGATCGTGGCAGGGGAGAGAGATTAAGGTTTCTAGCGTACCACGATGCGCTCGACGGGCGACCAGCCTTGCGAGATGGAGACGGCGCGGCGGAGATGGAGGAGGAGCGGAAGTTCAGAAGAAGTGGTGGAGGTGAGGGAAAAGGTGATGTGGTGCAAGTATGATGCCGACACGGCCGATAAGGTGGGCGCGGCGCCACGCTGATCTGGCCGGGCGATTGGGGATCCCTGTCAATAGCGCAGGAAGAAGTTGCAGTAGCGGTGCAGGAAGCTGCGCGACGTTGGAAATGCAGGAACTCGTGTCGCCCGCTGGGACCTGCTTTTGTGCGCCCCTCGGGAATTCCAAGGCACTGGTCCAGAAGGGGGACGTCGGAAGTGGATGCAGTAATGTAGCTGACGATTAGATTCTTCGCAATTAATTGGTGATGGGGTTCGTGATCGTGACGATTAGCGGCGGGTGTGGGAAATGAAGCGAGCGCCGTGGCGTTCGACGCCTCCAGCCCAGCCCCCTCCACGGCTGAAGGCTGGCGGCTGGGCTGGGCTGAACGAGGAGGAACACAAGACACCCTGCATGGCTCATATTGCATGGGATTCGAGATGCGTTGTCCCCTTGCCCACTCCAGTCGCTTGCCGTTGCCAGCACAGCACGCGTCCCCCCCTTCGCGACCAAGCATTTTGCGGAGGATTGGCCAGGATGATCCCGGGTTTTGGAATCCGGGGTGCAGTAGTGGGCGATTTAAGGTAATTGCCAATTCCCCTAATCTCCGTCTCTGCCGCCGCCGCACCCTCACACGTGTAGCAAGTGTTGGTTGGTTCGCACCGGTCAACAATCTCGTTGTCGCGGATGTGCTGACGCATATAATACGAGTGCAGGGCCTCGATGTGGTGGGCAAAGGGGTCGAGATGGACACCTCGCGTCTTTGACTTCCTTTCTTGGCAAATCACGTGAGGGCTTACCATCTCCCGACGTCATATCCTTCACATTCCTCATCCGGATATGGTCATGCCCTTCCTCTGCTCTTAACAGGTATTGAGCACGCGGTCACGGCCTTGTGGAGTCTCGTTCTGATACCATCACTCAGTAATCATCTAGCAACTTCATACACCCTCTATCACGCTATGTATCCCCCGAACCCAGCGCCAATGCTAACTCAGTAACCCCTGACCCCCAATGCTCGCCAGCAAACATCGGGTATAGTAGCCATCCCAAACCGCCCATCAAGTTCAACCCAAAAAACCCCGCGCCGCATTCCGCGCCCTCTCATTCGTAAAAGCGTCAATCTTCACCGCCCCCAACACAACCTCCAGCCCCGAAATACTGCTAGGCGCGACCTGCACGCGAAGCCTCCACTGCGCTTTCCGCACAATCCACTCTTCACCTTCACTTTCGTCGTCGTCGTTGCTGTCATCGTTGTCGTCGAGTTTCCGCTTCTTGCCTCGAGCTACTGATGAGGATGCTTGACCCGTAGTGTCGTCGACGTCCATGGGGCTTTCTTCCTCCGCTTCTGCATCTTCGCCTTGGGCGACGTTAATTCGCCACGCCCGCCCGTTCAGCGTCACGTCCGCATCGGCTCCAATCCGCACCTTCACGTCCTCCTCACTGAGCCCTGTACTGCCCGGGCCAGCCGGTGGACTCGGCGCCTCTACCGACGGCGATGCCGACGTCGCGGCTCCGCGATCCAGCATTCTGAGTCCTAGTGGCTGCGTGACGGGAAGACTCATCTTATTGGCTATGACGGTCAGGAGACTCGTGATGCGCGCGAGCGTCTGTCGGTGGAATGTAATCTGGCCTGTCGTCGCCGCAGCGGGGGAGGAAGAAGCTCGGCGCGGGGAGAGCGTGAGTACCGCCGTCTCTTCGTCATCGATTTCGATGATCAGACTGCTCGCTTCGGAGTCCACGTATGGTCGCTGGTAGTACACCCAACCTGGGCCCGGATTGGTCGTGCTCGAGCTACTGGCGGGAGAGGCGGGGTTGGGCGAATCCGCCGAATCCGAGTCTGCGACAAACGAGACGCCCGATTGCCGTAGGTCTTGCAGGCGAATGACGATCTCGGCCGTCTCTCTGGCCAGGTTGTAAGAGACGTGGTGCGGGATGAGGCGCTGCTCCAGGCCTTTGAGATGATAGTATCGAGCGTCGCGGAGCAGCTCGTTACGATGTTGCTCGTTGCGGATCTCGACGGGATAGCCTTTCAGCACGTGCAATAGATCGGCGAAGGTTTTGGAGGAGCGGCCCGGGACTGTTGGGGGGAGAATGGAGGGTGGACGAAGAGGGGATTGCGGGGACGAGCCTGGGAGCGGATCTCTTGGGGTTGCGAAGAAGACGGAGTAGCCTAGCGAGAAGTAATTCGGCGAGTCGCCGGGGCTATTGAAGAGATCGCGAGGGATTTGGAACTCTTCGTCGCCAATGCGGATGTAGATTGTGGAGGAGAAGAGGCGGGCTTTTAATCGGGGTACTTGTGGCCTGTCAGTGATTAATCTCGGGTATGGAGGGGTGTGCAACTTACATGAAAAGGACTGTGCATCTGTAAACAACTTGACAAAATGTGGTCCGTCTCGCGGCTCGATATGGTAGCCTTGAAGATGCAGTGCAATGTCTGCAAATGTCGCCGGGTCGCGGTCGATGTAGAGGGTGCGGACCTCCGCCGCGTCTTTGTTGTGTCGAAGCTGCTCTACAAAGTACTGCGAAATATACGAAGGCGCTGGACGAATGTTAGTTTCGTCCAATAGACATGCTTAACCCAAGATTAGCTTACCGTCAGATGAAATTGAGGCGCCCGACAAGCTAAATAATTTATCGCCAACTTGAATGGGGAAGACCTTCTGAGGAGGGAGAAGTAGGCTTTGCGTCACATCGGCCAGTCTCGATCGCGGCATCGTTGCCGTCCGTTGTGATTGTGGGGTTTCATGATCGGTATTCGACGTGGTGGAAGAAGTGGCCGTCGTATTGTCTTCGCCAGATCCTCCAGTGGACGATCGTTGCACAGGAGGCCTCGCAGGTGGTGCAGCCATACTCCCCGGGAGCGAGGCCGGCTTCTCGAGCGGCTCTGCAGTGCTGCGCGATGGCCTTTTAGAACTCTCTGGTTTACTTGCGCCTGTGATTCCCGAGCTGCCGGACACAGATTTACGCTTGCTTCCAGTGGTGGATGCCGATCCGTTTGATGGCTGCAGGAGCTGCGTGGGGCTCGTGGTGCCTCCCGCACCGACGGTGACTCCAGGCGACAACCACTGAGGACCAATGCTCACCCCAGCGTATGGCATAGAAAACTCCGCCGCAGCTTCGCCTTGCTGTTGCGGCCGACGGAGCAATTCGCCTTGGAGCTCATACGCGTACGATCCGAGTGGGTTGACCGCGCTGTCGAGCGTGACGTTCAAGTTGGAAACGGGATTGATTCCTGATAGCTCCTCCGATTGCATTGGTGCAGATGCGTTTTGCTTGCTTTGTCGTTCGGTTCCCGAAGAGGAGCTGAGTGACGATGTTGAATGCGTCCGGGACTTTTCGTCGCGGGCAGACATGATGGCGAAATATCTCTCCGAAGGCCAGGCATTCGTGCCTGCAGATCTCGCTCTTGACATGATGCGAGAGAGTGGATGCGCAGTCTATCAAATACGTTTCGTTCGTCGGACGTAGCGACAGTCGTCCAGAGTGGTCCCGGAATCGTGTGTTGTAAGCAGCCTTGCACTCGACACACGTTAGTGAAGTACGGGCCGGCCAATGACGGCATGCAAAGGTAGCGGGCTGTGCAAAATTCGGTCGTATTCAGACTTTCGGCCGACAGCGAATGCGAATCCGGCCTCTATTCGTCCGGCCGTGCGGTCCTACAATGATGTATTTCCACCCCAAAGCGCACCTATCTCACCTTTTGCCTAGAATCTCGTCGAGCTTTCTGCCTCGCTGATCGACGTGACGTTTCAGTCTCGGCCGCTTCCCTCCTTGTCGCGGTCCAGAGGTTGTGGTTTCGGAATCAAGTGTGAAAAGCCGTGCCGAGTCTTCGGGAGCAGGGCGCTGTTGATGGAACAATTGTAGAAGGGCGATGCGAGAAGCCCGTCCAGCCATTATATGAGGACGACTCGATTTCTCAGCGCGGAATATGGCCCTGACGAGTACCTAGATAGGACATCAAGTACGAAGAGCGTACCTTAGTTGGCCGCCTCTCCACCTACCCGCCGTTAGGGCCACTTGTTCAGCTGGTGGTAACCACAGTTTATTAGGCTTTCGGACCCGAGCACGCGAACGATTCGAGGTTTCGGGCCCTGGGCGGGTGGTCCATCGCCTATCAACCAGCAGTTTGATGCGCAGAATGATCCTCGCTCATTCCGATGGCCCCTGGTGCGTCGAACCCGCGGGAGCTTCGGAGCTCGCAGGCCGCGTCGCCAATTCCGAAACGAGAGCTGTGGCAGAGAATGAGGCTGAGAGCGCGCGCGCGGTCACTACCCAGGAAAGACTACCCCATGATAATGTCGGAGTGCTGTGGAGATGTGAGCCTGCTAGGGCACACTCTGCGAACACCAGACGGTGAGGTGGGAAGGAGATGGAAGGGCATTTTATGTCCGATTCAAGCAGTTGCTGCAGCAGTGCCCGCGCATTCCGGGAATTCGTGGGGCACGGCATGGATGGAGTAGCGAGCTTCTGGACGGTGGCAGCTGCTTATGCAACCCATTCGCTTATATCCCCGCGTCTCCTCCCGCCGATCAAATTGTTACATCAGCCACATGGTTGCACGTTCAATATAGCCAGACCTGCCCTTCTTTGAAGATGAGTGTCGTAGGATGCCGAATGAAATGCACATTCACTGCAGCCCTACTCCAGACTGCAGGTCAGCCGAAGCCACCCCTGGCCCTACTCCGGGGTACAGGTCGCGGGTGGAACGGCTGGGCAAAACTCCACCAATCTAAAGCCTCGACTTGACGGGCTCTCCGCTGACTTCCTCCGCCTTCTTGACACCCCTCAGGTAGCCCTCGTTCGTCTCCAGCGTATTGATGTACTCGATCAGCTTCGGGTAGGCGGTCTTGTTGATCTTGTCTCGCCCCACAAAGAGCGGAAAGCTGATCAGAATGTCCGCGGCGGTCAGCTCCTTGCCGCACAGATACTTGCCGCCATCGGGCGACGACGCCAGCTGCGACTCCAAGTAGCCGAAGTGCGTCTTGAAGTTGTCGTTCAAGAACATGCTTTCCACACGGTTCGGGATGGCTCGGACAATGGGTTTGATGAAGAACGGAACGGGTGCGTTTCGGATTTCTGCGACAGTCCTTGATGAGCGATGCATATCCTCTCTCGCATGGCATTTCCCAGATACTCACGATCCATGAAGATTGCAATGAGCACCAGCGACATCAAAGATCCCTCGGCATAGTGCATGTAATGCCTATACCGCAGCCACTGCTCCGTCTCCCCGCCAATCTGACCCTCCTTGCCTTCCAGATACCGCTTCGGGATGAGATGAGGCGCAAAGTAGTCGCAGATGTATTCGGTGATGGTGCCAGACTCTGCCATAATGAGAGGCTCCGGCCTGGAGGGCGCCTCGATTTTCACGAGCGGTGATTTGCCCAGCGGATGAATCTCTTTGAGGCTCTTGGGCGCGAGGAAGTCTTTGCCTCGTTTGTAGACTTCGATCTGGTAATCCAGTCCTTTGCACTCTTCCAGCAGCCAAACGAAGCTCTGTGCTCGAGACATGTTGAGCCTGTCATGTTGCTTATCAGTATGTCAAGCTCGATATCACCCCTGGTTGAACCCCTACGTACCAGTACAGCGTGACCTTGGCCTTGTCGGCGCCTGTGTCTGCCATGATGAAATTGCACCTTCGTTGCAAGTCTTGAAACAAGTACACCGCGAGTTCGAGAGAAGTGTTCGCTCCGATTTGCTCGCACGACACAACGAAATCTCGTCGTGCGGCATGGCAACCAGATATATCGATGGCGCGCGCCGGAAACGCGAACAGCCGAGGCGCGCATAGACCTCTCGACGCCAAGCCTCGGGCAGTCCCGCTCCGGGCTCGAACGTCAACCCGAGCGTGACGCTTGTACCTCCACCTCCGTACCTCAAGAGACAACACCACCGCCTCCGATAAAGCCCCCATCACGTCGCCATCATGCGGCCGTCACTTCTCCGGATGGCACATGCCAACAGTATGTCTTCACGAGGCCCATGGGAAGCTGCCGACACAGCTCACTGACCACTTCGTCGCAATAGCCCTCCACATGGACCCGGCGCTCGTGCGCTATGCCAGTACGTTTCTCGTCCATCGAACCCTCCAGCTCCCGAGCACCACCATGGCCGTCTCGAACGCGCCCGACAATCAGCGCGACAGCCAATGAACGAGGAGAAGGGAGAAGAAGAGTAACAACAAGCTAACCAATGCCCATCAAACCACAGACATGAACGTCAAGCGCCACGAGTACTTCCGCTGGACCCCGCGCACCGCCTGGCTGACCTTCACCTACGTTGTCGCCATCCCGAGCTCGCTGCTCTACCTGGCCTACCGGACAGATGTAAGTTCTACCGAAGCGCACACGCCGAGGCGGCTGAATCGAGGGAAGCGAATTGCTGACGGCTGCGGCTTTGGCGTACAGGGCAAATACGATCTTCGAGGAAAGTGGAGAGGGGATACCGTTGCGGAGTTTTAGAGCGGAGTTGGGCATTGGATGGGTTGGGGGGATGAAGAAGCGGATGAGCGAGGCGGGCGTGGGCCGCTGCTTACGCTGCGATGATGAGGCCAGCTTCTGTTCAGAAGACGCGTGAAGTCGTGGCAAACAAGGCGACATGAACATCGAAATCAAATGTGCACCAAGAGCTCTCACGTTTCACGCATTCGATGACGTTTCCATACGACGCTACTCATACTCCGTATTCGACGGAGACATTGTGCCTCCGGCCTAAGACCGCCCTTGGGTATCTACCTGCAACGCCATAGCTAAAAGCTGCAAAACAAAGCCCCCCTGCTCGCTAATACTTGAACAAATAGCATGAGTGCTGCTTGCGCCGTCCGCCCACATTGCTTCCCTCGGAGAATGCCTGTGATAAAAGTGGGTGCATAGAGGAACATTTGCAAGCAGGGTCGGTGCACGAGTACTGGGGAGGGTGGAGGTTAGTAAAGTCGAAAACTCACCGTTACGCTTGATCGCCTGGTGTCCGCCATGAGATAGCCTGCCGGGTAAGTCGATTCTGTCATGTCAGTAAGTTCTCCAGTTTGTCGATTGTCGCCGGAAAGGTGGAGCCAGTAGTTTTCCGATTTGTTGTTGGGGTTAGATGCTGTCGTGTGGTTGGCAGGGGGGAGTTCAGCCGGCTCTGGCCTTCTTGAGCTCTCTTTCGTTGTCTCCAAAGTCCTCGGCGTCGGCCTGCTCATCAAACGAGCGCTTTCCGCGTAAGGAGCCCGGAGTCGCAGACGGGGCGGTGGCATCGTCTTCATGCTGGTCTGTGGTGTCTTCGCCGAAGTCGAGTTCCTCGTCGTCGAAATCTACCAGTGCGTCTTCGGCGGGAGCGTCGTCAACGGTGTGATGCACGACAGTATCGACAGAGTCATCGATTCCCTCGTCGTCTTCCAGGCCATGCTCCAGCCCGTGTTCGTAGCCATCGCCGTTTTGGTAATTCTGCGAGTCGTCGTATTGCTCGTCCTCTTCGCCAAACTGGAAGTCGAGCTCATGCGATGCGTCATGGTGCTGTTCGTCATGTGTGTCAGCCTGGTCATAGTCTTGTCCTTCTTCTTCGCCGGCAAGGTCGTCGCCTGGATCTTGCTCATCGAAGTCGACGTCGTGCTCCGCGGATTCATGTCCCTCGTAGTTTTGCTCTCCGAACTCATCGAGGTCAGTGCCCAATTGAGTATGAGCTGCTTCATCAGAGACCAAGCCAACGCTGATGGACGCTTCCACGTTGGAATTGTCGTGGTCTACGTTGACCTCCTTGACAGCTTGGTCATCCTCGTCAAACTCGGTGAGGAAGGTAGAGAAATCATCCTGGCCGTCCGCGGAGGGATCTGAGAGGTCGGTCGTCAGAGAATCGTCGTCCCAGTCAATCAAGTCGTACTCACCAGTGTTGTCAAGGCCAGTCTCTGCTTGGAGTGTTGATGAACCGGCCTCCTTGGATGCGGGTTGAACGGTTTCCAGAGGTCCAGCAGAGGCGACAGCAGTACTCGCGGTTGGTCCGGCATCTTCGTTACTTGCTCCTGGGTCCTGGGGCGCGTTGTAGGCCTCATGTGGGGATGGTGCTGCTTCGCCTTGTAGAAGCTGCTCGAATCCGGGTGGCGGTTGCTCTCCGTTCTGGTCATCGTATGTCTCACCTTCGCCATCTTCGTGGTAGTAATCTGCTTCTTCGTGGGCTTCTTGCTCGTCTTGGCCATTTGCGTCACCAGTGTTTTGGAGGTGATCATCTTCTGTTTCGCCATGCGCAACCGCGGTCTCATCAAACTCTTCCTCATTCGGGTCTTCCTCTTCTCCATGAAGCTCAGCAGCGCCTTCGTCATGGTATTCGCCATATACGACGTCTTCCTCCCCCGCCGGCTGCAGAAAGCTGAAATGAGACATGCCTTGTCCACCTGCCGCAGCCTCCTTGAACATTGTCAAACTACTTGCAAACTTGAGTTGAAGGGACAGGGTGAGTGAGAGAGGAGGGGCTTCGTCGACGCCATCGTTGCGGTACAGTTGCAGATAGACCTCGAGAACATCGTTGAGGCTGCTCTCAAACGCGGCGCGTGTATCCTGAATAACGGTCAGCCATGTACCGAGTTGTCGTTGGCGTTGTGAAAGTTGACTCACCTCAACGAGCATCAGACCAAAATGATCAAAGCTCAGAACAAGCTCTTGATCTTCCCCAATGTCATCACCTATCTTCGTCGCCAGTCTCTCTCTACAATTTTGGATTAGCTCGGCCAAACTGAGGTTGGCGAGATTGTCGTCCTTCAACAGCCCCGCTGGCTGGCGCTTCGATTTGAACAGTGGCATGACCATGTCACCATAGCGGCATGTCATCGGGTGGAGACCGGTGTCGGTGGGTGTACCAGGGGTATTGTCTTCGGTGGTCAGGGTAGTATCGACTACCAAGGCCGAACGGGCTGGATCGTCATCATGGTGAGTTTCATCGAACTCGTAGACACTCTCCGTGGCGGCAACATCGTGCTCTTCAGCCGTCGGCTCGAGAGAGACTGCACCGTCGGCATTCGCGGCGGAAGTTAGCGGTGCTTCTTCTAGCGTAACGCCGGCGTGTCCTTCATCGATCACAGCAGTTGCAGCAGTCTCTTCACCAGCGACTTCCAGTGATCGGGAGATTCCCCCGTCTACTTCTACCATGCTGGAAATCGTGGCGGGCGCAGCCTCTTCCACTGGCAGAGATGTGAAGGTCTCCTCAGTAGCTTCATCGTGAAAGTCATCCTCCCCATAATCAATCAACTCCTCATCTTCTTCTACCGGCGGGGGTATAGCGTCGTCGCGCATCACCTCTTCCGCCACGCTCGCTTGATCGGCAGTGAAGGGGTCGTCTTCCATCATGTCATCAGTGTTCATTCCGTGACGCGTGTCGGCATCTTCGAGCATATGGTCATCATCGCCAGTAGGAACGCCGCCGGCGTAGTCATCGAAATCGATGTCGATGTCCTCTTCGTCGAGGAGACCGTTGGCTGGAGACGACATCTCCATGTGTTCGTCAGGTGGCGGCACAGAAAGGGTGGAAAACGCGGTCGCCGTGGCCATGACGCCCGTGGCGGGAGGAAGACCAACGCGTGAAGACGTGCGCGGTTTTTGACGTAGCCGCGCAAGAAGGGAGTGATCAGTTGCTAGAGTCTCATGAACGGTGTGTGGGGTCTGAGGGAGCAAAATTGAAGGGAGTAGGTGAAGAGTGATGTGAGGATCGTATGAGACAGAACAAAGTGCGTGCAGGTGAAGGGAACAAGCGAGTGAAGGAGGTGGAGCGAGTGAACGCGCACGGACCGCCAAGAGAAATGTTCAGGGCAGCGGAGGTGCGACTGACAACTTGCACTTTTGGCGAGGCATACTCCAACCACACCAACTCCTCTCCCTGTCTTCTCGCCCCATTCAATTCACACTCCCTTCTCCTCCACCGCTACTCACATCACCCGCGACATAAATTCACAATGGTAAGCGTCAATGCTGCTCTTTCCAGCCCAACATGCTCACCTCCCCTTTCCAGGTCATCCTCTCCGCGGCCATTACCACCCGCTCAGGGAAGCCGATTCTGGCGCGCCAGTTTCGGTCAATGCAAAGATCCCGAGTGGAAGCACTCCTCTCCTCCTTTCCCAAACTCGCAGACAACTCCTCCCAACACACGACCGTCGAACAAGACAATGTCCGATTCGTCTACCAGCCCCTCGATGAGCTCTACATGGTTTTGATCACCAACCGGCAAAGCAACATCCTTCAAGACATCAACACTCTGCATCTCTTTGCTCAAGTCGTCGGCTCAATATGTAAGAGCCTGGACGAGCGAGAGATTACGCGGAATGCCTACGAACTCCTCTCCGCTTTTGATGAAGTGGTAACCCTGGGCTACCGGGAGAATCTCACCATGACCCAGATCCGCACATTTCTGGACATGGAGAGTCATGAGGAGCGGATCCAGGAGATCATTGCGCGAAACAAGGAGCTCGAGGCTTCGGAGGAGCGCAAGCGAAAGGCAAAGCAGTTGGAAATGCAGCGCAAAGAGATGAGCCGAGCCGCACGAGCGAACAGCAGCCTTGGAGGAGGCATGCCACGACAAAGCAATTTCCCAACCTACACTCAACCAGTGACTACGCCGACCATGCCAGACACCTACGACTCTTACGCAGCAGCCAAGAATGAGAAAGTCGGCAAGCAGATGCCCGTGCGTGGCAAGGGTATGCAACTGGGCAAGAAGAACAAGACTGGCTCCATGTTTGAGGCTGTGCGTGGCGACCTGGGTGCGGAAGCTGAGCCAAGTGCTCCCCTCGCCGGTGTGCCGACTCCCACAGCGGCTCCAGTACAAACTTCTCTCCCCGCGGCGCGACCAAGTCTCGACAAGGACGGCATCCACATCACCGTCGCAGAGACCATCAGTGCCAAACTCAGCCGTGAGGGCGCAGTCGAGGCTTTTGACGTCAAGGGCGATCTCCAGCTGCGGATCACAGATCCCAGTCTGACGCAGATCAAGCTCGACCTAGCCGTTGGCGACATCAAAGGCGCCCAGCTCAACGCCCACCCTAAGGTTGACCGGGCGCAGTTCAAGAACAACAACGTCATTCAGCTCAGTGATTCAGCCCGAGGCTTCCCCGCCAATAATAGCATCCAAGTGATGCGATGGCGCGTGACTGCCAAACCAGACGAAGTACAAGACCCACCGATCAAGTTCACCGTCTGGGCCTCGGAGCTCTCCCCGAACAACCACAGCATTACGGTTGAATACGAGCTCACCGGCTCCGACAGCCTGAAAGACGTTACCGTCACCATCCCCTACTCGACCTCCGAGCCGTCCGTCTCGTCTTTCGACGCCGTCTACGAAGTCAGCGGCGACAGCATTGATTGGAAGATTGGTGACATTGATGACACAAACGCCACGGGTAGTTTCGAGTTTGAAGGGCAAGCAGATTCTGAGGGCGATTTCTTCCCGATGCAAGTGCGCTTCTCGAAGACGCGGCCGTGGGTGGACATTGATGTCGGAGCGGTGCAGTTGTTGAATATGAAGGAGGATTTGAGCTTTGGCAAGGACGTGAGGAGTGTTGCCGAGAGTTACTTGATTGTTTAGATTCTGCAATGGTCTTATGTGATGGATACGAGCTCAGTGCAAAGCTGCATGACGCGAGTCGTGAAACCTACTGGGAAAAGAGTTGAATATGGCGTGGATGATGTATCTCATGATCGCTGATAGAATGGCTGCCGTCTGCACGTGATGTCGCGAGAGCTGCAACGCGCGCTAAAGAAAGTCTATTTGATGCGTCTCACGTCTCACATTGAAATTCCGTCGTTCGTAAAGGCAGGCAAGACAACGTGCCTTGGACAACCACTCTGCTCAGCATGTAAGACGCTCAATTCGACAAAATGGAGATGGACGTCTCCTCACCAACGTCGCTTCCTCTGCTCTACTCAAACCTCACACCGGACCCCATCGATTCCGGCCTGGCTGCTTTTTGTGATATACACGACCTACTCGCCCTGGTGAACGCACGGTCGCAGAACGTGGTCGTCTTCCGAATCAATGGCCAGCAAGCCTTCTCGATCAATCGAAAGGACTCCGACTGCCGGGTGTCTGTGTTGAAGTGGAAGCCAGATGGTAGCTTTCTGGGCATTGGGTGGAGTGATGGCAGCGTGGGCGTCTACTCTGGCGAGGACGGGAAGCTGATGAGTATGAGCTCTACGAGGAGTCGGGGGCGGAGTGATGGATGGAGGCTTGATTTGCTGCCGGAGATGGATGAGGGTGACGATGAGGAGGGTGAATGCGAGGCTGCGTGCTTGGGCTGGACTACGTACGCCGCGAGCGAGGGCGAGGGTGTCCTGAGGCCAGACCACTTCACACATGAGCTGACGACTGACGACTGGTACGATGGAGATGGTGATGCTGGCGATGACGAGAAACCAACACTCTCACGATTAGCGAAGGCTATCGCGACTCTCGATGCTACGGCGGTGTTGCCGCGACTGAGTGCACTACCCATTCATGCTCTCCGATTTGGTCCGAGTGAGCAGAAGTTTACGACACAGGCAGGTCTTGGTAAGCCCGCTCACACCAGCTCTCTTGGAATGTTGTTGATTTATGCCCCGCAGATACGCTTCTTAACTCCGATCGAACCGCCTCAGAAAGCGTGACGACTTTGATCACAGCTGGCACTTCTGGCATGAACAACCTCTTTCTCGACGACACTGTGGAGCTCGGGAGCTTCAGTATCGGCAACTCCATTTCCCAGACTGTCCACGCTTCTCACTCTCATTGTGCAACGCAAGTGATCCTGTCTCGGACAAAGGATGTTCAGAGCTTGAATTTGCACTACATCGATCTTCCCCTACAAGACTTCGGTGGGCCCTTGCTCCACGTCGTAACCACGAATACGAAGCGGATCCAGAGCCTGCTCTCCTACATCACGCAGACCATCCGATGCATGCAGTCAGATCTAACGTCCAACCTCTCATTACCATCGAGGATCATTGGCAACATCAGCGAAGAGCTCACATCTAGCGGCGAAGACGATCTTGTTACGAGTCTGTACCAGCTAGCCATGACCGGCAACTTTACCCCAACAATGCTGGAGTGGCTAACGGAAACCATCCGCGAGAACCAGCAGAAACGCTGGGACAAGAGCATCAACGACATGTACAGCCACATTCAAACGCACATATTCGTCCATCTCATCCCCGCTCTGGATCGACTTGCCATCGCCGTGAATGCCGTCCGAGGCCACGCCCAGGTGCATCAAGGAACGGCCAACTTCGTCCCACCGGAGCCCTTCACCATTCTCATGGACGATCTAGACTCTGTTCGTCTCGTTGCGCAAAACCTCCAACTCCTCGTCACGACCGAGCATCGGCGCTTTCGGGCTTTCAGCAGATGGCTAAAGGTCATGGTCGATATCGGCGTTGCCGGCCCAAATAGCAAAGGCGCTGTGGAGACCGAAGAGCGCGAGACGCCGAATCTCGATTACAACCTCGTTTTGACGTACATCAGTGAGACGCTGATGCAAAGCGGCTGCACCTCGTATCTTGAACAGAAGCCGGGGATGAAGGGAAGCTGCTTGGAAGCGGAATTCTGGTCATTTCCGGGCATCGTCAACTCACAGCGGGACGAAATTGTACGTGCAATGCGAGGGTTGGATGCAGTGAATGGCATTGGAAAGCAAGAGCAAGAAAGAGATTTGCTCAACCTACCGACGCTCGCTATACGCCTCGCCGGCTCTGCACGCCGGGCGGTCGAATCTATCAGGAAATGGCAGAGTGGGATGCTCCCAACTCCGGCGAAGGTCTCGCTTCCTATCGTTGACCATGGCTTACTGGATAACATCCTGGATATCCGGCTTCAGCCTTCAAGGAGCACAGACGGAAGTGGTGGTGAGAGTGTCACGCGCATCTTATTCAAGCCGGAAGGAGGTCAACTGGCTCTGCTAAAAGTCACACGCCTGCAATCGAAGGAATGCACTTTCGAAGAGAAGCAGTACAACCTGCACCTTGCGGGCGACTTACTCCATGCGCAAATGGTGAAGCAAGATCGATGTCTCGTTCTCTGGAGAGAAGAAGCGAGTGGAGGAAGAGTGCTGCTTTTGACCGGCAATTTATCACGATATGATGAGCGGGATTCGAGATGGACTCGAGTAATTCACGTCTTTGAGGGCAAGGAGGGCTTCGAACCGGATCATTTTGTCGTCGGTGGACGACCTGGGAAGACGGTTTGTGTGGTTTTAGCGAGCGAAGTCAGGCTTGGAGGGTGTTTGATTTGGAGAAGGGGGCTTTGAGATGAGCCCGGTAATAAATGCGTCGCAGTGGCAATGATGAATGAAGTCTTTCCACCGTAAGTGCTCCTTCTGCGGAGATGGAATATAGGGAATAGACAGATGTTGTACGGGTGCAAATTTTGAGAGGAATATATTGAATTTCAAATGTTGCCCGATTTAGAGTTCGGGTGGTGCGTATCACACTTCCCCTCATCAAATCTTTGCAACGTCCTGTTCTAACTTTGATCTTCAAGGTTGGCGCAATGGTAGCGCGTTGGTTTTCGGTTTCCGAAATGCACCAAAGGTTGAGGGTTCGAGGTTTGTGGATGCCCTAATTAATTGGTGGGTTTGAGCATTAGCTAACAATGTTACAGCCCCTTGCTGCTCGCTCATGCATATCCTTTTGCCCTGGGGGTGTTCAATCTTTTTGCACCACTTCAGCCAGCTTACACGAGACACTAAAAGATTGTCGGCTAGTGGACTAGCTGCCTTTTCTTCATCACTCTATAATCAAGGCGACGGATATCAAGAGAGCTGCTAATAAGGGCTTCTTGAGCAACACAGTAGGAACTACTCGCGAAATGACAAAATCCTTTTACTTGTAACGGCTAGAATGCCCGTTGCTGCAAGTATACACGTGCGGCAGGCTCTCGCCTTCTCCGTCTGACAAGTCGTTCGACAGCGAGTCGACATGTTCCTGTCTGAACATCAGACTCTCGACGACATCATACCCAATAGCATCTATGCCCTGGTTCGCGACCGCAGCGTATCAATAGACGATATCGACAACACGGGTACCGAGCCCCCCGTCGAAGACTTCCAATCAGGCTTCATAGGTGCTACAGACGATGAGTTGTGGCGCGCCTTAGGGCATTACAGCAACGAAGAATCGAAGAGGAAAAGGGGATATTTCGTGGATAAGAATGCACTCGTGGTCCTAGACCAGATCTCGGCGACGAATGACACGATTAAAATGCTCTACGATCCACAGCATGGTGGTAAACACGCCGGCAAGCAAGCGTGGCGAGTCGATTTCTTGTATATGTGGGGAGTAACACCGTACCTCCCTGAGGAGGAGGAGATTTACATGAATCCTAATATGAGGGACAACGACGGAGTCCTGGACATGCAGAAGGTCTGGGATGCAAAGGGAGTAAGACTGCCTCCGACTTGGCGTAAGCGATAGCCGTCTACTTCGACCCGCTCTCACGAGACACCAGGCTAGCCTGGCTGAGGTTGTCATATGGACCTTTGATCTGCCCGTTGCTTCCAGTTCTCAAGGCAGGATGTTGACTCGCTGCCACACGTTTCTGGATTTCGCGTTGCGTCTGCCATGAGCTCGGGTTGTAGTACCGGTTTGGAATCGTTACCGGCTGCAACGTTTCTTGGACTCCCGCTCGATAGCGAGGATGCTGGGCTGGTAAGTGGACTTGGTTTCGCTGAACTGATAGCCCACTTGGCGTGGACTCGGGAGGACTCGTCAGTGGCGTAGATCCATCGTCTTCGCATTCAGCAGCGTTATGGGCACGCAGCGACGATGGAGTGCTGGGTGCCGAGCCTTCGCCAGGAGCCTCTCCGTCCATCGATTGCGTGTCCGCCTCCGTGATGCAACCTCTTGGGCTCCTCTCGTCATCAGCCATAGCAGCTCTCACGAACGCCACATGATCCCCCTGTCCCGGCATCCTCAAAGGTCTTCCGTCCCCGACTCGCTCCACAAATCGCATCTCCCGCACAAGTTCCTCCACATGCCCTCTCTCAACCCCCTTTTCGATCCTCGCCCCCTTCCTCGAACGCCTAAGTTCGGTACCCAAAGCCCACATCTCTCCAACCACATCCCTCCCCTCGCATTCCCGATCACCGAAAGCGAGAGCTCGAATCCACTCTTCAATCCACAAAACCCTCCGGCTCTCTTTCCATTTCTTCGTCCTGATTCTTCCAACCATACATCCTCCCAACGCGATCAGAGCATCCAGATTCTCTCCGATGGCCATGAGTCCGCAGACCGCGCATCGACTTCGCTTCTTCCCGCGGAGAAATCTCCGCATAGTGACGGCAGCAGCACCAGCAGGCGGAAGCCGACCATACCGCCCCTCAAACCCCCCCCGTCTCAACCACACTGCGCTCAAATCCTGCAGTAGACGCACCATACCCCTCCGCTCCAGCCCACGGCGCGCATCGTACTCACGGATAACGTGATCCATACGAGGTACATCGTTTTCGACGATGGACTTGAGGGCCGAGAGGATGCTGCGGAGAGGCAGGGGATTGAGTTTGTTGTGCTTCGAGCAGGAGGTTGTGAGAAGAGGGATTGACGCGCGGAGATGAGGAGGGAGATGGCTGGTTTGGAGGGGTTGGTGATTTCGAGAGGGAAGGAGGAGATTGGTTAGCGCGTGGATGTCGGGGTGTGTTAGGTGTTCGTAGGTTTGGACGTCGAGGGCTCGGCGGGGCTGTTCGGTGCTGGATTGGTGTGGCATGGTGTCGGATGGGATGTGTAGTTGTTGGGACGAGGGTGATGAGGCGGCAGTATGTGGTCGAAGAACAGTCTGCTTTACCATACCTTGAATGCAGGCAAACAACGAAGACGTGAATGACGACGAAAAACACAAGACGTGCATGTCGGAACACACAACACACACCGCGGCCCGCATGATGTGAATGAAAAGGAAGGAAAAGAGGAACGCCGTTCGGAAGATGCATCAGATGAGATGCATTGTTATTTCAAAGGGGGAAAACGTGAACGCTCGCAACAAATGGGCCGATCTCTCCATCGAAAAGAAGCGCCTTGCTTGCAGCAATCACTCATGTAATAGGTAGAAAAGGAATTTCCCATGGGGTATCATCGTGTTTTCCCAAAATCGAAGAATCGAAGCCACCCGAATATTCATTCCTCCATCGCCCTTCGAAGTCAGGTAGGTGAAGTCCCAGCGAATAATAGTTGAAAACGATATGTTCATTAGACAGAGCGCGCAAACGATGCGAGCGTTAAAGCAAGGGTAGTGCGTGCGTATGTATGTCGTAGCATGGCCATTAAGTAAACAAGTCTGTGGCTGTTTCATCGTACAGAAGCATTATTAGCGGACCGGGGGTGGTGGCGCGGCGGCGGTTTGGTGCACAGGAAGCAGGTAAAGTGCGGCGGTGGCGCGTCCTGCGGACCTATGCCCACGCACGGCTCGTGCAGCCATTGCGTGCAGGAGGTGCATTGGATTAGGCGGAAGCCGGTGTCGCCTAGGCCGCAGACGCAGCGGATTTGGAGGGCGGGTTGTTGGTGGTGTGGGTAGATACCGCTTTCGCCGGTGAAGGGTGGGGGGTAGTATTGTTGTTGGTGTTGCGGAGGGTGTTGTTGGTGATGCTGGTATTGGGGTTGTTGAGGCGAGAGCGCGGGGAGTGCTTGCGGTTGTGCTTGTGGGTGTTGTTCGAAAGACATTACGCTCCAGCGCCGGTTGTACATGTTGAGGGTGCTTTCTGCGCTTGAAGGAGGAGGCCCGCCGAATGCGGTGCCGTCATGACTTGCTTGCGGGCTGTGGTCTTGCACTGGCAGGGAGGTAGTCGCCTCAGCCTGAGACGTCGTCTCAATCAACGAGGACGCCGAGCTCGCGGCCGGGTTTCTCCTCATGCTCCGTCCATGCGTCGCCCGCTTCATGCTCCCATGGCGACGTAGCTGCGCGGTAGCGGCAATCACAGCACGCGGGAGGGGTATGCCCTTCTTCAAAGAGGCGGATGAGTTTGAGCGCGGAAGACTGAGCCCCTCGAGGTTCTCGACCGGTGGATCCAACTTGGCCGCTTTAGATCTACGTTCATCACGTTTGTCAAAGATGAAAGACGACGGTCGACTAGGGAGTCGCTCGCTCGTGTCCGTCTCAGCATCGCTTGAATCGCTGTCGAAGAGGGCGGGATACCGCTCTCGTATTGATCGCGCAGGACTGCTGTCGATCCGCTTCGTCTCGGTGCGTGCGGTGCCGTTCTCATCAACAGTGAGCACAACTGACGTTCGCTGTCTCGGTCGTGCTTCAGCTATGGAGCCTAACGAAGGTCTACCGAGCCGTTTCGCCGGCGAAGCGGTTCGGTTGATAGCACTTCCAGCACTGCTACGAGCATCGCTCATGGACAACAGGGCACTCTTCGCCCGGGACATGCCGGTTGTGTTGCTTCGTTGGAGAGGCGCGGTGGAACGATTTGGCGGAGCGTCGGCAGCTTCCAACCGGTTCTGTGCATCTAGTGGACCACTCTTCTTCTGAGGAGCGGACGAGACTCTCGCTTTGTTTGGCTTGGCATTTGACCGCACGACGGGTGGAATGGGAGAGCTGTACACCAAGGAGGGATTGACGCCCGCCGCGGGGGGACTCTGGTGAGAAGTGTGGAAGCTTGCTGACACGGGTCTCGCTGCAGCACGGCGTTGAGGAATGCCTTGCACAGCAAACCCGTTCATCGCCGGCGTGTCGAAAATCGCACTTGGTGAAGTACCCTGTGGAAGTGCCGGGCTTCCCCAAGTCATACCAGTCGAAGGGACGGGAGCGAATGGATCATCAAGCGGCGGCGGTGGCATAGGGTGTACAGGGCTCGTCATTGGGTCCCACAGGATTCTCGAGTGCGGTAGGACAGGTGCTGAAGCCGGGCCGAAATGGGCGAATTGATACACATCAGGCGAGAATTGCAGCTGCGGGAATTGCACGGGCGTTTGGTGGCCATGCATCTCCTGGCTCGAAGGCACGGTCGGGACCTGAGGAGTCAAGAATCTCCGCGAGGCAATGGTCGACGGTGTGCCAAATGCAATTTGTTGCGCTTGTTGTAACCTCTTTGCAGACGTGCCACGGGTCGGGGGTGGTGTCTGCATTTGTGTGGGATCGAATCCTTGACTCATGTGCTGTGGCATGGCAGCAGGGTATACACCCGCATACGCTGGACTGATAGCAGCCATGCCACCGTCCGACTGTGAAGATGGATGGACAGCTTGTGCATAATGTTGGCCCCCTCCTCCCGTAATCTGTGCGTAGTAATTCGACCGCAAGGTGTCTGAGGAGGTGTGCGGTCTTTGGATCGGAGTCATCGAAGGATTCTGCGTGGGCTGAGGCGTAGCGTAGCTGGGGAACTGAGGGGTGGAAAATGCGTCTTGGAAATGGGAGGGAAAGGTCGAGGTCTTGGGCGTCTGCATAGCATTGCTTCCGAAGGACTGGTGCGTTGGGGTTGCATTAGGACTCGGGAAGTTCCAGTCGACGGGGCCTCTGCTAGGCGAGTTTTGTTTGTCAGGAGGGGAGGGAAGACAGCAGGAGCATGAGCGACGGGGACGGGGCGTACTCATTATACGATGGATCGAAGTCCATTGCCCGTGGGGTGTCGAGTACGACGAGACGACGCTCATCAAGACATGACGGAGTGACGACGACGACGATGGTAGGGAGTGAGGTCAATGGGCCGGCAGAGTCGGGCGTATATGTCTCGTGCTCATGCAGCAACGGGTGGAAATTAGCACGACTCGGCTATTCGTGTGGACAGATGAGGTGCGCCGGCGGAGCATCAGGCGAGAGTGGATGCGATGGCCGCGAGTGACACTAGAGTCGGACATGTGCTTCGTGGGGCGGCGGGACAGGGGAGGCGACGCTTGCAGCCATCCGCGGGCGCCGAGGGACATGCAAGAGGACATGGACGCAGACGATTGGGATGATGAAGGCAGAACGGCGGCGCCGTAGGGCCAGGGAAGGGCGGCGTAGAAGTGGAGCTAGAAGGAAGCACAGGCGCAACGGGCGTGGCGTGCAAGGTACAAAACGAGGCATGGCGAGGGAAAAGAAGGTTGGCGTACCTCTCAGGCGGCCCAAGGGTAATTACCGCTTTGGTGCATCCATGCCCGCGGTCCGCGTTGCCAATGCTGCTGACGAGCGAGGAGATTGTGATTATTGATGATGAGGGGCCCGGCCACGGCATCTGGCCTGTCCTGTCCGGGTAGTGGTCGTCAAATCGCGGCCGGGATGGCCAGCAACCAGGTCCGGTCAGCCTCCTTTCGACATCCCAGAATAATGCCTGGAGATATCGATGGACAGCGGCAGCATCTGGGCCCCCTAATGCCCGTCTTCCCGCCGCCCGCCCGCCCATTCCTACCCACCGCCCTGGGCTCTCGTCAGCCTGTCGTTCGGAAAGGACATGTGGAAGCATTTGCCGACTCCGCCAATCGCAATGCGGGGCCGCGAGGGTGGATGTCGATGGCCTGCAGAAGCGAAATGTGCATGGGTCGGGTAGACAGGTACATGTATACAGTAGTGTCTGTGGTTAGGCAGTGATTAGTCTTTGACCTTCCGGAATGGAGTGGAGGAATTCTTCGTCGAAACCACCAGCGCCGCAAGAACTCTTCCGCGTGTCAATAATCAACATCATCATCATCATCATCATTCGCCAATAGGTAGACGGTATTATTAGAGATCCGCCTCGGCCCCGCCAAGTACGACGGGGCTGAAAGGTTGGTGAGCAGATTGCGTGCTGCAAGGTACAGAGCGGCATCCATGCTCGGCGCTGCTGCACGTTAAAATGACGCCGGACAGTCGGCGAGCCGGGTGCCAGGGTTGACATGGGCGGAGGGCAATTTCGCATCTGTAGCCGCAGATTATAAAGCCTTGACGTCGGGCCTTTGGGCACACTCAGCACAGCCTCAAATGCTCCTTTTCACGGTTGGCTTGCTTTTGCGTCATGCTGATCCTGCATTCAGCCGGGCAATCGTAGATCTACATACAGTATCCACCCGGCGCGGATCAATATCGATCGTTAAGGAATTTTTTGGCTACGTATCGTTCGTTCATCTCCTACGCGGCCTTCTCCGCCGCTCCCTTTTCCGCTTCCGCGAGCCGGTCACTCGCTCTCCGCTGCCTCTCCCACCGCTGCTGCTGTCTCGCTTCATCCTGCGCCTTCTTCCGCTTCAGCTCCTTGCAGAACCGACTGTTCTCCCGCATCTTCTCCCCGTACTTGATGAAGATGAACGGCACGAGGCACATGAGTGCGCTCAGCAGAGCCAGCAGCGTGCACGCCCATGCCACGCCCAGGCTGCTGTACATGGGCCTCGCGGCGAAAGGGAGTACCACTCCGAATATGCTTCGCGAAGCCGACGCGGCGCCCAGCGCACTCGCGGCGAAGACTTCGTATGCGTCGACAATGTAGTTGATCAGTGACATGAAGATGATGAGAAAGCCGATGCCAAAGGGCAGTGCTCCCAGCACGGGCACGATCCAGGGCACTTCTGGTCGTGCAGCCCAGCCGAGCCATAATAGGCCGATGACCTAATGGGGCAGGTTAGCTATCTGGATCAAGGGAGTCGAGATGAATGCACTCACAATCAGCGGCCCTCCAAAACAAGCAAGCGGCAGCCGCACATACTCCTCCTTTTGAGACCACGCGGGCGGATGCGGGCTGTTCTGCGCGCGTCGCAGATACCAGTCCCAGCAAAGATAGCAACCGGTCGCGATCATGGCACCAACGCCAATGGGTAGACTGTGACACTGTGTCAGTGGCGGGGTTATGCGTAACCAGCGAAAAGGTCTTACAAGGCTAACCCCACTTCACCCGGATTGAAACCGTAGATGCCGTTGAAGATGGGTCCATAGGCTTGGAAGAAGACTGCGATTCTAGTCAGCGCTTTGCCCCTGATTAAGTCTGCAAGTAAATGCCACGCACTGTAGAAAATGCCATATTCCAATGAGAGGTAAAGGCAGATGAAAAGCACAATCGCTTCGAACAGGAACATGCGAAAGGGTCGCGTGAGGACGACAGTGACAATCGACCAGAAGTCCAGCTTGTCCACTTCTGACGGCGCAACGAATCTTGGGTTGCTCGTTTCCTTCCGCATCTTCTTCGCTTTTCGCTCCAGCAACACCGGTCCGTACGTTTCGGGAATGAAGATGAAGATGGGCCAGGTCACGCCGGCGATGATGAGCTCGATCCAGTACGCCCACCGCCATCCCTCTGCCACGGAAATGAAGCCCGCAATGATGGGCCCCCCCAATGGACCCCACGTCGTGCCCGCCATGAAGGCCGTGATGGCCAGTCCTCGCGCTCGCTGATCCTTGTAAATGTCCGCGTAGATTCCTCCAATCACCGACACGGGTGTGCTGGCGCCAATGCCGGCAAGCAAGCGGAAGACGACCAGGCTGGCGAAGTTGGGCGCCAGAGCGGAAGCCATGACGAAAATGGTAAACATGATGAAAGTGCAAGTCATGACGATCTTACGACCATATGACTCGCTCAACGGCGCGAAAACCATAGGACCGAGGATGTATCCGATCAGGTAGATGGACACGGGCAGCACGAGGAACTCCTCATTCTCGATATGGAAGTACTTTTTGGTGGCATCGGTGGCGCCAGCGGGGAGCGCGCTGCCCATCGTGCTGTTGATGACCAGCAGCATGCCCGCGAAGACAATGTAGAGTTTCCGGCCGCGGGAGAAGTTGTACGGGTCGTCCTTGTCGCCCTCGTCAAAGGCGACAATGATCTTTTCATTGGGATCCTCATCGTCGCTGTGGTATGGCGAGGCCGAGCCCGACGGATCCGGCGAGTTTTCGACTTTCTCGTCTTCGAGGATTTTCTCGCCGCCTTTCAAACTGTCCGCCCTGCGCGTCATGAGCGAGTCCACGAGTTCTGGAGGGGTCACGTCAGTGGAATGGTTGGAGGGTTGTTGGACCGTATTCACCTGTTCGCCCCTCGACGTTTGCCGCGGATGTAGATCCTTCCATTGGCCAGGCTGTACGGTCATGCTATCCACGCGGCCGTCCAATAGGGCATGGAAAGGAAGATTTCCAGAGTCTGGCCGGGGCGGTAGAGGGTGGGTGGATGGACGAAGAGAAGAGAAGGCAGCATTCCTGCCGCTCGTACCTTCCTCAACGTCGTGTCATTGCTGCCGCGATGTCGCGCTGATCCCCGGGTATCGGCAACTGTTCGTAAGAAGTTAGTTGTCCCAAGTACTTGGTACTTTGCGCCGCGCATCGCTTTGCCCCGGCTCACTTTCCTCCGCGCGTCTGCGGGGGCACGCGTGGGGTAGTTGCAGTCGCGTAGCATTCTCATTCATGTCTGCACGTTTGACGAAAAGTCGAGTTACTGGACTTGCAAAGTATACGAGCGTTGTAGTCTCAGGAGTGCGTTGGAAGGAGAAAGTCGGGACCCAGCATTGCCTCATCAGCCATTGCTGCGATGTTTCGCACGTTCCTCTGTCTATGCAAGGTGGCCTACCACCTCACTCGTCTGCAGTCATTGCTGGCCACCAATCGAGTGGACCAAGCTCATATTTGAGAGCAATCTGACATCCTGGCCATGCCCGTATGCTAGCCGGGCTGACTCCAACACCTGTCCTCGGTCGTTCAGGAAGCGTGAAGCATCGGTCCTTAAATCTGAACTTCCTCCACCCTCAAGTCTCCAGATTGATACTGCGTCCAAACCGGCCATACAACGCCGCCTTGAGCTCGGACATCTCGTCATTCAACCCGCTCATCTTCTCCTCGAGCGCCGTCACTTGCTCATCGATCTTCTCCACCGAACTAGACAGAAGCTCTTGGACTTCTGGCACGGGGAGCGAGAAGAAGGAGTCTCCGATTTTGTACCTGCACTTGAGTTAGATGTGTGTCGTTCAATGAAGAAAAGAACTTGATTTCGTACGGCACTTTGTCATCATCGTCGGCCAGTTCGAGCTCGGTGGAGATTTCTTCGAGGTCTTCCTTGTTTTTCTGCGTAAGTCGTCAGTATGAGGACGGCCAAGTTAAGGATATGGAAAATGGCATTACCTGCTTTGCCTTCAACTCCCCCTCAAGCAGTTTATGCCGCGAGTGAATGCGACTGAAGCGGTTGATCTTGTCTTGATCTTCCTTTCGCACTTCCTTTTCCTCCCCAATCTCTTCCTCCTCCTCTCGAGACAACTGAGAGGCGTCAGCGGTGCTCAGCTATCGAGAGCCAAGACTAGCTTACCATTCGTCTTGATAACATCTTTGAAACCACTGCAAGCTTTACCTCTTGTAGCCACACCAGACACTGTTCAAGGGATTCGGGCCATGCACTCGCGTGGCGGATGATGGGTCTGGGGTGTGCCGGCGGCCCGGGACGGGGAGGCGATTAAGCTTTCAACTACTGCACTGCACCACACTCCTGGCTCCTCGCTCCCACTCTCCATTGCTTCTGCGCATGTACGATGATCGAATTCTACCGCGCAAATGTCTGATCAATACCGGCCAAAATGACACTGACAATCCAGACAAGCGCAACGCACTCATCCTGCATGTCGAATGCGAATAGGCTGGCAACAAAATGAGTGGTCACCGTCCACCTCGTCTAGGCATATCCCGATAGAACATGATCTAGACGCCACCGCCGACCTGTCCCTGCCTCACCAGGCGCTTGCGTGGGCTGATACTTACCGGTATCTGAGTGCGCACGCTTCTAGCCCTTTAGCTCTGCCAACACGTGCTGCAGCTCAACATGCAGCATACTTGCAGTAGTGGACCGGCAAGTATGGGCGGTCTGCCGATTTCTTCAAGAACCTGTTTCCATCTTCTCCACTCAATCTCTTAGCCTTCTCATCAGGTGTTGCTGAACTTGTCATTCTCGTGGTTTAGAAGATTGCTGAGCAAAATGTCGGGCGACAGCTCTCCAACCGAGAAGGAGCGTAAGTCTTCACACACGGCGAGTCTTGCTGGTGAGTAGATTGCGATCAGAAACTTTATCGCTCGGATTTGCTCATGAGACCCTCGTCGTTGCAGAAGGTCTCGCCAATAACGACGATGCGGCGATGCTGGGTATGTGGAACACCGGATGTTTTCACCCCCAAGAACATATACTAACGAAATCGCCCAGCCAAGTTGGGCTACAAGCAAGAACTGCGGCGCAATTTCACCATGTTTGAGATTTTCGGCATTGCGGTGAGCTTCGCGCACAGCTGAAGAAAGATGCTCCACTGACGAGTGTCTCAGTTCTCCATCATCGGACTTTTGCCATCCATAGCTGCCACCCTCACCTATTCCATTCCGGCCGGGCCTGCTGGAATGGTGTGGTCGTGGTTCTTGGCCTGCATGTTTATCTTCATCGTCGGTCTTGCCATGGCAGACTTGGGCTCTGCAATGCCGACCTCGGGAGGGTTGTATGTCGACTTCATCCCTACTTGGTTCCGGCATACATGCTGATGATCTTCGAGGTACTGGTGGACGCATTTCTTCGCCGCGCCGAAATATCGTAACGCCCTCTCCTTTCTCGTCGGCTACAGCAATACCCTAGGATTGGTAGGCGGCCTCTGCTCAGTGGACTACGGCTTCTCCCTAATGTTTATTGCTGTCATCGTCATTGCGCGTGACGGCAATTGGACCCCATCCAACGGCGACGTCTACGCAGTCTTCCTCTGTACAGTGCTCTGCCACGGCATCCTAGCTAGCACCCTGAGCAAAGTCATGGGAAAGCTGCAAACCGTCTTCGTAGTGATGAACTTCGTCCTCATCTTCGCGACAATTATCGCCCTGCCAATTGGACGTGCGCACCACCGCAACGACGCCGCGTTCATCTTTGCTAAACTCGAGAACCTCACAACCTGGCCCAAAGGCTGGACGTTCATGCTCGCCTGGCTGAGCCCAATCTGGTCCGTCGGAGGTAAGCAGAATCAATCCCCTTCACTCCAAACAACACATACCAACCACCCTCCCAGCCTTCGACTCCTGCGTCCACATGTCCGAAGAAGCGACCAACGCCGCCCGCGCCGTCCCCTACGGCATCCTAATGGCCATCGGCAGCGCGTGGTTCTTCGGCTTCATCATCGTGATCGTCATAGCAGCCACGATGAGCCCCAACGCCGCCAGCCTGCTCGGGAGCAAATTCGGGCAACCCATGGCGCAAATCTACTACGACGCGATCGGCAAATCCGGCGCACTGGCGCTCATGACCCTCCTCTTCTGCGTGCAGTTCATGACCGGCCTGTCCATCCTCGTCGCCGTGTCGCGCCAAAGCTGGGCGTTCAGTCGCGATGGTGCACTGCCGTTGAGTCGGTATATTCGCGTCGTGAGTACCAGGCTGGGATACATTCCGTTCCGCGCGATTTGGTTCTGCGTCACGATCGCCATTCTTCTCGGCTTGCTTTGCCTCATCGCTCCCGCGGCGGCACTCGCGCTCTTCTCCCTCGCTGTGGCTGGCAACAATCTCGCTTTTGGAATGCCGATTTTCTGCCGTGTGGTTTGGGGGCAGAAGAAGTTTAGACCGGGTCCGTTTCACACGGGGCGATTTAGTGTGCCTCTTGCGTGGACGGCGGTCGTCTTCCTGGTTTTCGGAACAACCCTAGCTATGTTTCCCGCCGGGGGTCCGAATCCGAGCCCAGCGAACATGAATTACACCGTTGTGATTAACGGAGCAGTATGGGGCGGGGCATTGGCTTATTACTTTATCGATGCGAGGAAATGGTGAGTCCCGTGGACGTTGTGAGGGGATCGAAATGGAGGCGTAAGCTGACGGCTGCATAGGTTTACGGGGCCGAAGATTACGCTGAACCTAGACGATCTGAGCGAGGAGCAGGAACAGGCTATCAAGGAGGAAGGATTGGAGATTGAGCGTGAGGGTGGGGAGAAGTCCGGGACGCAGAATGCGCCGCTTGCGAAGGAAGTCGAGGGCGAGGCTTGAGGTGGGAGTGTCTGAGCGAAAGTGGGGGCACTTGATGAGCCTGTTCCCTGTGTAGGTCATGAGAGAATTCGAAATGCACTGCTTTCTCATTGTATGTAAATCATCTCGCTAATATGATGGCTGTAAGTTTCTGGAGGTGTGTCTTCGATCCAAAGCTAATGTAGATGTGGGTGAGATGATGTGCACCGCTTTCCCTGCATCATGCCATCACGGGCCGTATGAAGTCGTTAGGACATCCCACCCCTATACTGCCTGGACGGTCTTGCAAGCCAGAATGTGCACAAACAGCCTTATAGCGCGCGGTATTGGATGGACCGGGCTGCACCGTTTGCACTTTGACGACTCTCCGCGTGATAGTCGAGCATGATGGCTGGACGAGCGTATTGGCAGATTGTTTGCCTCGTCCTCGAAGCATCCCTGAGCCTCGGATTTGCACTCGGCAGGATCGCCGTAGCGGAATCGACCATTGTCCCGGGTAACTTGAGGCGAGTTTCGTTTCCCTCAGCCTACAAACCTCCTCTTCCCTACCTCCATGGCGGTCTTGCCTTTGCGTGCCTTCTGTTTGGCTTGCATCGGATGTTCCTTCTCCCATCTCTCGTCATCTCGGTAGGCTTCAACGGCAGCATCCAGATCCCACTCGGCCTGCTGCAAATACAAAAGGGCGACGTCATATTCCACAACTTTACAAGCCACCATCCACCGCCTAACCTTCTGCTTCTTCGCCTCCTCTTCCTCTCCTTCGATCGGCCGGGGCGACAGTGAAACGCCTCCTTTGTAGAATTCCCCCGGTATCAAGACCGTTCTGCGCCCTTGAAGTAGATTATCGGCGTGGAGATTGTTGGTATTTCGTAGCGCAGACATAGGAACGCGGTAGGCTAGGGACAGAGAATGGATGCTATCATCGGGAGTGAGGAAGTGCAGGACGTCGGGTGCGGAGTCATCGTGTTTGATTTGCCGCGATGTTGACACGGACGAGTGGGCGGAGTATGCGGGTGGTTCATCGTCGGAGAGATCTTTGAGGGATACTGGCCGTCGAGGCTTCTCGTCGAGCGCGGAGTAGGCTGGAGGGTCTTTGAGGCCTTGTGGGAGTAATGAGGGCTCGGTGGTGATCTGACAGTAAGGACAGTAGGTTTCATATCTCTTGTTCTGGTTCAGACATCTCGAACAGATCGATCTGCCGCAACAGTCTAGATGGCGGCCGGGGAGGAGTGGCTTGTCCTGAAGGGGATCGGATGCGGTGCCGTACACTTTGGCACACGTCGCGCACGCGGTGTCCATGTCGTGGTGTGTAATGTATGCAACGGGGAGAACGCCAAATTACTGCGGAAAGAGAAGCATAATCGCTAACAACGCGGGCATGGAAGTCGACGTGTGGCGTCTGACTCGTGGTTGGAGATTGAACGCATCGGCCGTCCATGACGCTTATCGATAAGTCGTGCCCAAGATTGCGGCGGCGCACAGACCTTGCCACCCGGAAGCGGGCGCGTGCTCCTTCCTTCCGCCGCGAGCCTGCGCCTTGGCCTGTCGTTTTCATCTCATCCGCCGTCTCCCATTCATCACACTCCTTCCACCCGCCTCTCTCTCTCTCTACCTCCCATTTCCTCCTCGCACCATTCGACACCACTGCTCACCACTCGATTGACCGTATTCGCTCCTTCCGATCCTCGCCTTCAGCCTTATAGTAATTCCGGCCTTAATCCACCTCTTCTCCTCCAGTCGCGCCAACTCCAATCCCATACGCCGACTTCGAGCGATCGCCACTGCGACTTCCTGCGCGACTGATCGCCTTCTACCTCGGCGCCTTGGGCGCTTCCACTTACAGCATCTTTAATCCGACCACTCCCGCCCTTCGCAGACGATGAACAACTCCTCCGCCACCCATGACCTCCCGCCTCTCCCCTCCTACACCCTCCAACCGCTCCATCCTTTCATCCCTGGCATTCCCGACCAATATTTGGCTCTTGCGCTACCCATAATCGCCTACTGGGTGGTATCACTCTTCTTCCACGTCCTGGACGAATGGGACCTCTTTCCGCAGTACCGACTACACACACCCGCCGAAGTGCTGAAGCGAAACCACGTCAGCAGATGGGATGTGTTCCGAGATGTCATAATACAGCAGGTTGTGCAGACGGTGGTGGGAATGGTACTGACGGTGGTGGATGAACCGCCCACGTTTGGAAAGGAGGAATACGACATTGCGGTCTGGGCGAGGAGACTGCGGATAGCCCAACGTGCCCTGCCTTCTCTTCTCGGCGTCTTGGGCGTCGATGCAGCTGGTCTGTCGAAGAGCTGGGCCGGGACTCATGCCACGTTGGCCGGCGCATTAGCTGGCGGCGTATATCCTTCCGCCACCCAGACTGTCCTGCTGCACGGCCAACCGACCGCCGTTCCTGCTTTCACTTCCTGGGAACTGATCGCCGCATACGCCATCTACTACTACCTCATGCCCGCCTTGCAATTCATCACGGCCATCTGCATTGTCGACACATGGCAGTACTTTCTGCATCGTGCCATGCACATGAACAAGTACCTCTACACCACCTTCCATTCCCGACATCATCGACTGTACGTCCCCTACGCGTACGGCGCCCTTTACAACCACCCCTTTGAAGGCTTTCTCCTCGACACTCTAGGCGCTGGCATCGCATACCTTGCGACCGGTATGACATGCCGGCAGAGCATGTGGTTTTTCACCTGTTCCACGATCAAGACGGTCGATGATCACTGCGGATACGCCTTCCCCTGGGACCCGCTGCAGCATTTGACGAGTAACAACGCCGGATACCATGACGTGCACCATCAAAGCTGGGGCATCAAGACCAACTTCTCCCAACCTTTCTTCACCTTCTGGGACCGCGTGCTGGGCACGAAGTGGACAGGAGGTGACGTGAGTGCGCGGTACGCGCGGGCGAAAGCTGCGGCGCAGAAGAAACTAGATGCAGACCAAAGCGGTAGCGTCACAGGCTCTACCCCTTCCGACAGCGTACAGACCACGTCGCCCTCGCCCTACTCACCGGGCAACATGTCCTCAACCGCACGCACCGCCCATGTGGTTGCAGAACCACGAATCCCCCGCGGCAAAGCCACACAGCAAGCCATCAGCAGTCGCCAAGCAGTTCTCGACGACCCAAATGGCGGCACAACCGTATTGGCAGAGGAGGCGACGGAAGAGATGCAAGCGCAACAGAAGCTTGCGAAGCGCAGCAGTCCGAGGAAACGGACGACGAGCAGTGGGTTGAAGGGTTTCGCGGATCGCGTGAGTGAAAGTCTGCAGGGCAAGGCTACTGGTGTCTTGGGGGTGGAGAATGGAAGGCGGTAGTAATTGCTGTGTCTTGATGGCGCGGAGCGTCCATTGTACGCATGGGATGTGTATGAGTCTTTTGGGGAATGAGCGATTGTGTGGATAATTCTTCGATTCAACTGTACAGACTTACTGGATTTACCTTGTTTGACGGCCGTGCATTTCATTCACTCTCTTTCGTCTTCCCCACAGTTCTTACCGTTGCGTGCATGCCCAGAGTCTAGATGCGCCGCGGTGGCTTGCCGCCATGACGGTCATGTAGAGCCGAGGCCCCAATCCAACCACTTCACTCCTCCCTCCTTCAATGGAACTGCTGTACAGATCTTGACGCCATTACTATATCTATTGCGATCGCTCCATCTATACGTCGAATGCTGGGCCTCGACTGATCCTCTACTCTCCCTCCATCAAGTCGTCCGGTCGCTCGTCTGCCCGCGCGCTGGTCTCGGCGGCAGTAAGGTACTCTTGCACCACTACGCTGGCTTGCGACTTGCAATTGGGCCCAAAGACTCTCCTCATCCTCGTCGCATCATACCCTATCTAGATAGCCCGCCAGAATGCCCACCAAATCCTCCTTTCCCGATGTCGAGATCCCCAATCTGGACCTCTGGGCCTTCATGTTCAACCAGAAGAAAGACTTCCCCGATGACCAAGGTGCGCAGCTCCAACCTCCAAACCGGTCTGAGACTCACTAACATCACCATTCAGTAATCTACCGCTCCCTCGACTCCCAAAGGCATTACACGTGGAAGGGCGTGCGCGACGCCGCGACCGCTTTCGGCGAAGGCCTCGTCAACCTCTGGGATTGGGAAAAGGGCGACATCCTCGCCATCTACGCCCCCAACGACATCGATTTCGGCCCGCTCGTCTACGGCGTCTTCTTTGCCGGGGGAATCGTCTCCCCTGCTAACCCAGGCTACTCTCCCGATGAACTCTCCTTCCAGCTCAAGAATGCCGGTGCCAAAGCCCTGGCCACCACCAAGGCCTTCCTCCCGGCCGCCAAGAAGGCAGCAGAGCAGAGCGGCATCCCTATCGATCGCATCATTTTGATTGGCGAGGAGCGAGACGACTCGAGTAACACGAAGCACTGGTCCAACATCCGCAACGTGTCCCGAGCCTCGCGCTACCGGCGGCGGAAACTGGATGCCGAGAAGGACCTTGCGTTCCTCGTGTACAGCTCTGGTACCACCGGGTTGCCCAAGGGCGTCATGCTTTCCCATCGCAATGTAGTGGCGGATCTATGCTTGATTCGCGGCTCCGTGGGACATTACTACGACGGCAAGAAGGACAAGATTCTCGGCGTGCTGCCGTTCTTCCACATCTACGGCTTGACTGGATTGGTGCATCAATCGCTGCATCGCGGCCTCGAAATGGTCGTCATGCCGGCTTTTGATATGAAGACGTTCCTGGAAAGCGTGCAGCGCCACAAGATCACGTTCATCTACGTCGCACCTCCCGTTATTGTGCGCTTAGCTCGGGACAAGATGGTTGACGGATACGACTTGTCAACGGTGCGGATGATAACCTGTGGCGCGGCGCCACTCACCCAAGAGCTCGTGGACTCCGTGCACAGCCGGTTGAACATCAAGATCAACCAGGCCTACGGATTGAGCGAGACGAGTCCGATGACGCACACGCAGCCGTGGGACGAGTGGTATAGCAGCGTGGGCAGCGTGGGCAAGATGTTCCCCAACATGACGGCGAAGTACGTGGACGCGGAAGGCAATGAGTTGCCTTCGAATCAGCCTGGAGAGCTGTGGTTGGCCGGACCGAATGTGTTTGGTGTAAGTGATGCTCACACCCAGAATCTGTCACACCTACGCTGACCACGCATCTGTGCAGGGCTATTGGAAGAACCAAAAAGCCACCGACGAGTCCATCGTCCACGCCGACGGCCTCCGCTACTTCAAAACCGGCGACGTCGGCTACCAAGACGCCGAGCACAACTTCTTCATCACCGACCGCGTCAAGGAACTCATCAAGTACAAAGGCTTCCAAGTCGCCCCGGGTACGTCCCTACATACACCCCATCACAATCCTCGAAAGCTAACGTATCCATTAATTCCCCCCAGCCGAACTCGAAGGCAAACTAATGGACCACCCCGCCATCAACGACGTCTGCGTCATCTCCGTTTACGATAAGAACCAGGAAACCGAGGTCCCCCGCGCTTACGTCGTCGCGGCCGACAAGGGAAAAGCGGGTGATGACCTCGCAAAGGAGATTGTCGATTGGATGAATGGCAAGGTGGCGAATCACAAACGGCTCCGCGGCGGGGTCAAGTTTCTTGAGGAGATTCCCAAGAGCGCTTCGGGCAAGATTTTGAGGCGCGTGTTGAAGGATAAGGTTAAGCAGGAGGAGGGTGGGGAGGGGAAGGCGAAGTTGTAGTGGGTGGTATTGGCTGGCTGGTGGTTGATTTGTTCTCGAGGGGTGGGAGTGGTATGTGGAGCTTGGCGGTGGTATCGGTGTGGGCGTCTTGTATGTATCTACTGGCGAGACCATGCATGCTGGGCAATCAGATCCCTTCTCAAGTGAGGAAGACGAAGGGCAGTAGCGTTGGCCAATTGGCCAATCTCTACACTCGTCTTTTCACTCATATCCCTCTTTGATGGCATCAATATATGCCTCTTACCTGTCTTCAAGGGCGAGATGCTCTACATCTGGCCGTGACGTCCATTCTCGCGTGATGTAGACGAGACCCGAGAGCATCAGCCATTAGCCTGTTCTCTACGACGTTGTGCGATTCATAGAACTCAGCGAAAGCATTGATCATCGGCGTCTTGTCTATTTCTGCCAGCGAGATGATACCAATTGAGCAGCGATGCCAGTTCTTGCGCAAGGCGATAAAGGGAGTAGGAGTGTCGGCTGGCCAGCCGATTCTCTGAGATCGTTCTGATTCGTAGAGTTGGGCGATATCAGTGGGGTATGGGCCGTTGTCTATATGTCGCCGCGAGATTATTTCAATTGGGCAGTGACATGCGGCCATGGCGGGGAAAGTGGAACTCGGATTTCTTTCAAAGCGTTTTGTTCAATTGTTCATCTCTCTACCTCAATCAACACGCTCTCATCATCTCATTCTCAACTCGGAAAGAAATCAAAAGCATTGAGTCGGGAAAGCAAAAGCAAAAGCAGCCATTCCCTGCGCCCATGCCTTTCCCAGCTTCATTCATTCATCGCTCATTTCATCATCATTTCACCCCTTGCCATGCTCACTTGCGCGCTGCGCAGGCCATGTTCAGTCGGAGTGTTCATTTCGTTCGTTTCATATCTCCTGCCATGCTCCTCCTGGGCAATTTTTTGGTGCTCAGCCATGGTCTGTGGAGTCATTCATGTCGTGTTCATTCGTGTCTCATTCACTCGTCATTCACTCCTTCATCGCTTCACTTCTTTCCCCCCATCATCGCTCTCGCCCTCTGTGCATCAGTCTCGTCGTCCGAAAATTCCTCAAATATAGGTTTCTTCTTAATCCCGGTATGGTTCAAGATATTGGTGATGCTGTCAACGTTGGCCTCCTTCTTCTTCGTGATAGGAACGTCGACCACGAACACGCCGGGAACGCCGTTGCTGGGATTGGCAGCTTGCATCGCAGCCAGCTTGGCATTCGAATCGGCAAGGGCGGCTCTCGCAGCAGTCGACTGGGCTATCGCTGCAGAGAGTTCCCTCTCTGCCTCCGGTCCATAGAGCCTGCGCTTGGGCTTGGGCCGTCCGTTATTGTTGTTGTTGTTGTTGTTGAGGGGATGAACGGGTGCTTTGCCGCGGGCTCCTTGGTGCTTGGAGATTCCGTGGTCGCGATGGTCGCTGTACGTTCCGGGTCGATATGAGTCCGTGGTGCCGTGGTAGCGGTTGGAATTGCGGTTCGGCTGCTGCTGCTGCGCGCCGATATGCTTTCTCTGGGGGCCACGCCCTCCACGCGGATGACGGATGGGTGCTTCGGGACTCGGACAGGATTCCCTCTCACCCCGAAACTTGGGAACGCTGTTCTCGGCGCCTCTGTTCGCTCGTCTGGCGGGATCCCAGTTGATTGCTCGCGCGGATCTCGGGCCTGTGGGAGCACCGGCGGGAGGGGCAGAGGCAGGAGCGGCGGAAAGACGAGCCTGACGACCAGAGAACTTGGATGGCTCAGCCATGATCTGGTCAAGGCCTCGGTCCAGGGTGGCGGGACTAAACCTCGACAACGCCCCCGCGGGCTCCATCTCGACATCGTCGTCAAGCTCGCGCTGCTTGCCGGCGCGGCGGCTTCCCGGCATGGCATATTTGTCGAGAAACGGGCTAGAGAACGTGGTGGAATCCACGGCGCCGAAGGATGCTGCTTGGGATGCGACAGGCTGGTCGACGTCCATTCCAACAACCTGGGAGTGGTTGAAGGAGCTGTAATCGGCCTCCATGTCCATCCCGGAGGGAGCAGCATCGACAGGGGCAGGGGCGGGAGCAGGGAAGAAGGAGGTCGGCGGCGGAGGTGGTGGCTGTGGGATTGGGCCAGATGGGCCGCTGGCACCAAATCCCTCAGCGACAAATCCACCAACGGCAGGGGCGGCGGCTCCAAAAAGACTCTGGCGAGGCTGGGCGAAATGAGCGTTCCCCATGGAGAAGCTCACGGGAGAGGCGGCGGGAACGGGCGGGGCGGTGGGTGGCGGTGGGGGTGGCGGCAGCGAAACCACGCCATATGAGCCGCTGGCTCCGGAATCGTCGACTCCAAATGCACCAGCTGGCGGACCGCTATGTCCGAACAAGGGCTTCTCGACGTAGGCAAAGGGGAGGTTCCCCATGGGGTTGGCGGCGGCGGCAATGGTCGTCGTCGCGGAAGGGGCGGGCGCGGTGGTGATGGCGGCGTCCGGGACGCTGGCTTCCGGCTGGGGGAAGAAGGAAGTCGGAGCCTGGAAGGAGGCCACCGAGCTACCGAGTGCGGAGTCATCGACAGTGTCGAGATCCGCAGCAGGGTGCCCGGCGGCCGCATCTCCCTGCTTCTCGTCATCCTCCTCGACATCCCCTTCACCGTTGTCGGCGGCATCGTCGTCGTCGTCTTCCTCGACATCCTCCTCGTTGGCGGTGTCGTCTTCCTCGTCCTGCTGCGTCTTCTCGACGCCAGCCTTGGCCAGCTGCTCGTGGACGAAAGCCACTGCCGTGGCCCTCGGCACCATCTCGGTGATCTTCTGCTTCAGCGCAGCGATCTCTGCCTCCTTCTCCGCCAGAACTTCCTTGCCGAGCTCCCTCTCAGCCGCCGCGGCCTTGCCCGCCTGGTTGTCGGCATAATCGCGTGCCTCCTGGCGAATGGCTTCGTTCTCAGCGACCAGACGGGCGTTCTCGGCGGTGAGGGCTGCAAAATGGTCTTCGGCGGCAGCGATGGTGATGGTGGGTGCTGCCTTCTCGGCCAGCAGGCGTTCGTTCTCAGCGGCCAGAGCCGCAATCTTCTTCTCGGCAACCGCGAGCTTCTCCTCAGCAGCAGCAACAGCGGCGGCGGCGTCAGCTTTCCCCTTGTTGAGGTGCTGCTCCCATATGTTCTCCGAGCGGGCACGCTCTGCACGAGCCTCGTGCCGCTCTTGGGCCCACTTGCTCGCCTGGGCAGCGTCGTGCTTGGACTGTCGCTTGAAACGGTCGCGCTCGGCGGCCAGGTTCTTCTCGCGAGCCAGGGAAGCTGAAAGCTTGCGTTCCAGCGTGCCGGTTGTGGCCTTCAGTTCATCGTTCAGGAGGCGGGAGGCACGCAGCTCGTGTGCGAGGTGCTCGGTAATGACAATGAGGGTTGGCTTGGCGTATGTGTCGCCGGTGGGGGTCTCGTGTTTGCTCCACTTGAGAGCGTGCATGTCTGGCTCGGCACTGCCGTGGGCCTTGCGCTTGAGTGATGTGGCCATGTTGAGGCGAGACAGGGAGCGTGTGAGAGAGGCAGAGAGGATGAGAGCGTGGGTGATAGGGTGTGCTATCACGGAAGAAGGAGTGGAGGATGAGAGGTGTTAAAGGAAGTCAGGGGAAGTTGTGAAAATTTGTTGTGTGCGCGTTGGAAAGTCGGTGGCTGGGAAGTCTGCACGCTAACCCCGAGATGGGAGTCACTGACACTAAGCAGCGCGGACGTCCGAGCGCTCGACCTGCTCCTCCAGTCGAATGGTGGCACAAGTTCACCACGGCGCGGCTTAGGCGAGGAAATGACACCTCAGGCACCTTCTACGCGTTTGGGTGCGACATTTGGCGCTCGAGCATCGTTCTGCACGAGATTTGGGCAAGCTACGTGTACGAAGATGCTCGAGGACACAGTTGGGGAACATTGCGTTCCTCCGTGACTTCCATGACTCTGAGCGTGACCCTTCTCCGGCGAGTTGATCGTCGAGGGCGAGCGAGGGCAGACCCAGACAAGCAATTGCCACTGCGTGCTTGCATACTCAGCAGTCGCACTGGCTGTCAACGGATGCTGTCCATCTACATCTGTCCTTTTGCTCTTCTCAAGCTGCAGAACTGTGAGACAAACACTTCACGTGGCTTTGCAGCAAGGTTGCTCAGCGAGCAAACGGAACCCTCACGATTTGAAAGAACTGGCTTTGTATTGATCAGACTTTGCATGAACAACCACACAGTATTCAATCCGTACGAATTGGCGTTCTTCGACATCAGAAACTCCTGGCTTGTCAGCAATGTTGTTCTCACCGCGCGGCAGCCTGATGAAGTGACGTTGAAGCCCGGCTTGAGCGCGCCGCCTCAAGCTCCGGAAACTCAAAAAATTCCCAACTCACCAACACCGGACTTTAGCACGCATCTCCAGAGCACGGCGATCCCAGCTCGCATGGTAGTATTTAAAAGTGCTAAGCGACACGAATTGATTCTTCCCCCTCGTGTGTATCCTTCAGCATTTTTTGGATGATTTCTGGCATTGAACAGAGCTCCCAGTCTTGGAGTCGACAAAGTCTTCAGCCTCGCTGACGCATCACGACGCCTCATACGCAACACCGGATCCCCGGCGTGCACGAGCTGCTTTTGCTCTCGATCTGCTCATTGCATCTGACGAAACTTTCGGAGAAAAAGAACAAGTAGCACCATGTCCGCCGCGCTTCCACCGCTGATCGCACTGGAGGAGCATTTCGATGCCGGCATCCTCCACGGCGGTGATGAACTCCACACCAGTAAGAAGCATCCCTCGCCCAGCATACCGCAAGCTAACTCTCCATCTTCAGACCTACCGCCACACCTCTCAGACCGTCTACAAAACCTCGGCGAAGGCCGGATCAAGGATCTCGACGACGGCAAGACAAGCCTCCAAGTCATCTCCCACATCGGCGCCCCCATGCCCGTAGACGGCTGTCGTCAAGTCAACGACAAACTCGCCGCTGCCTGCGCAAAGCATCCCACGCGGCTCGCGGGCTTCGCGTACCTCCCCATGTCGCATCCTCAGGCAGCAGCGGACGAGCTCGAAAGGACTGTTTCCCAGCTGGGATTCGTGGGCGCGCTAATCAACAACACCACCGAAACGGGCGAGTTCTACGATGACAAGAAGTTCTGGCCAGTCTTCGAGCGGGCGGAGAAACTCAATGTCCCCATCTACATCCACCCCGTGTATCCCGCGCCGGCTCTCGCGCCCCGCTACAAGGGCAACTTCTCCGACATGGCGAGCATCATGATGGCCGCCTCCGGCTGGGGATGTAAGTCAAAACGCACTCCCGATCCCTCAAATCCCCACCACACCTGACAAGTCAAGCAGGGCACTCGGAAACAGGCCTGCACATCCTCCGCCTCTGGGCGAGCGGGCTCTTCGACGCGCACCCCAAGCTCAAACTCATCGTCGGCCACATGGGCGAAATGATCCCCTACACGCTCGACCGCATCATCCACACCACGCGCCACTGGGGCGCCTTCGCCCGCGACCTGCGCACCGTCTGGCGCGAGAGCATCTGGGTGACGACGTCGGGCATGTTCACGCTGCCGCCTTTGCAGTGCTTGCTGCAGATGTCGCCGCCGGAGAGGGTAATGTATTCGGTTGACTACCCCTTTTCGTCGCCGCGCGAGAATGGGTTGAAGTTTGTGGAGGAGGTGAGGCGGTCAGGGTTGATGAGTGAGGAGGAGTTTGCTGGCTTTTGCCATGGGAATGCGGAGAGGTTGTTGGGGGTTAAGGCGGTGCCGCTTTGATCCGTTTCGCGGTGAGCAAGATAAACTTGATTCTTGTTTTAATTGAGATAGATGGACGAAAACTCCCCTCGCAATGCAAACCGCACACACCCTGTACATGCCTCTAATCCCGATCTAGCAGAACTACATACCCACCTACAACTCATCGGGCGTATGAGCAGTGCTACTCTTCGCCGCCTCCTCCTCCTTCACCATCTCCAAAAACTCCTCCTGCATACCCGGCGACGCCGCCTCAGAAGCAGCAGAAGTGGTACTACTACTACCCGTCGTCTTGGCCTTCTTCGTCTTACTCGTCTTACTCTTGCTCGTCTTCGACTTCGGCGGCGCCTTCATCTTCTTGTACAACAGATCCTTCATCACCACGCCCAACTCGTCCGCCTTCTTCTCAATCTCACTCACAAGCAGCACGGGGTCGTCATAAGGTTTGAGCAGCGCTTGCGCCGCCTCCTTCTCCTCCAGCCACGCGCGCACGGAAGCTTGCACGTCGCGCAAATCGCTGAGGTCGAGGTCAGTGTAGGCCGTGAAATCCGCGGCGCTGGAGTATTTGGGGAGCGGGGGCTCGTTGGCTTTGGGCGCGACGTCGGGCTCTTCCAGGTCGTCGAGGCTGTCTTTTGGAGTTGGCGCAGCAGTCTCTTCGGCTGTGTTGGTAGCAGAAGCCGCTTGGCTGGCGTCGAATTCTTCCGCGCGCTTCTTCGCGTCCGCCGCTTGTTCCAGCTGGGCCTTGATCATGTCGACGAGTTTCTGCGTCGAGTCGAGACTGGTCCTCAAGGTAGATAATTTCTCCGATCGTTGCTGACCCTCCCGCCGACGTGCTTGGATGGGTTGGACGAGCTTCTTCAAGGCGGCGTGTTTCTCCGTGAGCACTTCTTTCGTCGCGTCTTTGGTGTTCTCCATGAATTCGCGGGTGCTGGCGAGGAGCTTGCTGATGGCATCGAGTTGAGAAGGAGTGCTCACTGAGCGGTAATCATCGTTGTCGAGGAAGTCGCGGACGTAGTAGGTGTAGCTCTCCAACACGTTCAGCGCTTCCTCGCGAGCCAATCGCGCATGATCGGATTTGTCAAAGGCGGACAGGCGATCTCGCATCCGTTTCATCTCCTCCGGTGCGGGCTGCGGGGTGCCCTGGGTGGTGATGGCGAAGGAGATGGGGATGCTCTCCGTCCTCTTCTTGGGCTTCTCCGGCACTTTCGAGCTGCTTGACGATGCGGTAGAGGTGACGGACTCCGTAAGCGAGGAAGAGGTGGCGGCCTCCACGCTCTCGGTAGGCCCGGCTTCTTCGCCTTCACCGTCCTTGAGCGCCTCTTGATCCTTCTTCTTGCCGAATCCGAGCCAGTCTTTGACCGAGTCACCTAAGCTCTCGGCCTTGCCGTCGCCCTCGACCTCGCAGCTCACCGTGCCACCGACGACTTCCGGGATGCCATCAATGGGACTGAGTCGGATTGAAAACCTGGTGCTCACCTCCTCCTTCTCGCACCCGAACGAGGTCTTCAACGCCGCGACGCCGGCAGTCAAGTTGAGCGTCTCGATGCCCACTATGGACTGTGGGCCCCGCTCCTTCGCCGTCACGACCGCTTGGTAAAGGCTGAAGGAGAAGTCGGCTTTTTGCTTGAAACTGACCTGCTTAGTCGTCGCCCCGTTACCGACGGTGCTGTTGGTGTTGAACAATGTGCGCTTCCAATCCTTCTCCCTATCAACCCACGTCATGCCGACGGTATATCCCGCAATGTCGCTGTCTCGAATTTCCTTGACCTTGAAATTCGGGCTCAGGCCCGCGGCTTTGAAGGCTGCGCCAAAGACGGCAGATTCATCGGCGTTGACGTTGGAGCGGAGTTTGGAACTGCCTCCAGCAATCTTTTCCAATTGTTTCTGAACGAATGGGGTTCGCACGGCACCACCGTGGAGGATGATGGATTCGATGTCGCTCATCTGCAATTCGGCGAGCTCGAGGGCGTCTTTGATCGGCTTTCCCACCCGATCTGCGAGAGTTGACGCCAGCTCTTCGAATTCAGCCCGGGTGAATTTGACCTTGAAATCGGTGTCGGGGAGCAGTTCCTCGAAGCTGGAACTGGTCTCGGTGTTGGCGGACAACACCTGCCGTGCCTTCTCTGCGTCCTTCCATAGTCGAGCCATGGCGCGTCCGTTCGACTTGATGTCATCGGCCGACACGCCACGGCTCTTCACGTCGGGTTTGGCGAGGAACTTCTGGATGTAGTCGTTCAATACGAGGTCCGTAAGGCTGTCGCCGCCCAATCGTCGATCCCAGCCAGCGCCGAGTACCGCGACTTCCTGGACCGTCTTGTTGAAGCGACCCACGTCTTTCACACTTTTGCTCTGGAAGCGCAGGACAGTAGCGGCGGTCGAGCCCGCACCCATGTCGAACACAATGTGATGTTCTGGCTTCTCGCCCTTGGTCACGTCCGGGAAAGTCCTGCTCTTCGCGTAATCGATGCCGACGGCCAAGCCGTCCGAGATGAGGGCGTTGACTTCGAGGCCAGCCAGCGTCGCCGCTCGCTCAATCGCCCTCCTCTCGTCTACGGTGTAGAAAGCAGGAATAGTGATCACCACATCTTGCACGGTGTTGCCTTTGCCCGCCATCGCCTCCGCGTTTCGTCGGATATTCGCCAATTCCATCGCCAACAACTCCTCCACACTCCACGGCATTTCTCCCTCGGCGAAGCCCCCGCTCTTGACCAAAGTCGTGCCCAATTCCTTCACCTGTGCAACCTGCACGGCAGGATACCGCCCCTGGTAGTCCGCCACAGCCTGCGCCCCCGCCTCGTTCGAAATCAACCCCAAAAGCGGTTTCAGATTAGGTAACACCTCGCCCGGAAACCTTCCCTGTAGCGCCAGGGCATCGCCGCCGTACATCCTCTCGGGGAAGGCTCCCGGCTGAGGCGCAGCATCTCGAGAAGGCTTGAACGCCACAGCAGCAACTTCTTTCCGTTTCGAGTCCTTCGTCAGGACGATTTCGAGGGGAATGCCGGGCTTGACGAGGGCGGCTTTCAAGTTGAGAGTGCCGAAGTCGATGCCTAGGACTGAGGCCGCGGCATTGGCGGAGGAGGCGAAGAGGACGAATAAGAGGCCGAGGAGGAGGGGCCGTGATGGGGAGGCGCCGGTGCGCCGTCGACCTGGCGGTAGCATGATGTGAGTTTATGAGTAGGGTGTTGGATAATTGGCCAGCTCCAGCACGAGAAATCGTCAAGGCATCGAGTGGAAAGAAGGAGTGGACGGGATCAAAAGACACGATATTCTGCGCAAGCTGCGAGAGTCAATGGGAGGGGCAGATTTGCAAGTTGTTCGGTTAAAGAGTCGAGAGGGTGTGCGTTTCCCGCTACTTTTCATCTGACACCTGGTCTCTTTCCCAATCCATCCCCGACGCTCCGCAAACCCCTGTCTCCTCCGCCAAACTCTATTTCGCGGGCTTACCCGTCTTCTATCTTTGCGTAGAGTCAGCCTCATCACAGCATATGCTCAGTCCTCATCGTCTCCCCCAAATAACCACTCAGATCCGGCTGATCCGACGACAAATCCAGCTCCGTCAGCCCACACCCATAAAACTTGAACGGATTCCGACTCCTGTACCGAATCTCGAAGTCCTCCGGTCGAATGTCGGCCAGCATGGACTTGAAATGCATCATGCTCCCCGGGTAGATGGCCGTGATCCCCGTGCGATACTCATCCTTGCGCCCCTTCTTGTACCAACTCTCGCACTCGCGATTCCACGCCGTGCGGCGCAGGATCTGCTGGATGTAGATGTTGTACGCTTCCACGACGTCGTCTTTGACGCACACGCTGTGGATGTCTTCTTTGGCGATCTTGGCGAGCCATTGCAGGATGTACTCCGAAATGAACCCGTACGCAGACAGCAGGGGCCCATTGGCAATAGTGAAGTTCGGCCCGCAGCCGATGGAGAAGTAGTTGGGCATTGACGGCGCGGCGACGGAGAGGTAGCCGTCGGCGTCTTCTTTGAAGCGCTCGGCGAGCGTGATGCCGTCCCTGCCGATCATCTTCCAGGGTGGTACCCTGGTGTTGACGTAGCCGGTGGCGGCGATGATCATGTCGTAGTCGCTCTCGTGTCCTGAAGTGGTACGGATGCCGATGGGCGTGATCTCTTCGATCGGGTCGTCTACGAGGCGGGCATTGGGTTCTTGCAGGGCTTCGAGGTATCCGTCTCCGGGTGTAAGTCGGCGACACCACGGTTGATAGCTGGGCATGAGTTTGTCGACCATCTCTGGATTTTCTTTGAGTCGCTCTCTCATCACTTTTTCCATGTTTGCACGGCTGGAGGATAACATCAGCGCGGAAACCCGGAACGGCCAGTGGACTGTCGTTGACTCACAAGGCTTTTTTGACCTCCGGCGCCGTCTCATCAAACACCAAATTCTTGAAGATGCCGTTGCTCGTCGACTCCATCGTTCGTCGGTATTCAAACAGGTTCTGCGGGTCTCGGAAAGCAGCTTTCTCGTCATCGGTATCTGATCACGGGTCAGCGTATGTTCTGGCCCTCGGAATAAGCGGCAGGGCAGCCTCACATGCAAAGTTCCTCCCGTCTGCATTTCGCGTAAACTGGCTCATGTAATTGAGACTAATCCACGTGGCGGAACGAATATAATGCGTGATCTGCTTTGCTTGCTTCTGCAGCGCGCCAAAGACCTGGATTCCAGAGGAGCCGTTGCCGATCACTGCTATGCGTTTGTCTTTGCAGTCGGTTGCTTCGTCCCAGTGGCCTGTGTGCAGTACTTCTCCTTGGAAACTCTCCAGACCCCGTATGGCTGATTTCAATGGTGTGCTGTCTTGCTGTGAGACGAGGCCTGGACGGATGATGGGATGAAGATGACTTACTTCTGCGTCCCCGCGGCCCCGACCAGGACATCGCATTCATCGGCAAAGACGTCGCCGTTCCGCTCCACTGGCACAAAGAGTCAGCACGAATACGACACGATCAGTGCTGGAGATCGCACAACTTACATCTCAGCTTCCACTTCCCCGCCTCTTCATCCCACTCCGCTTGCTCCAGCACCGTGTGGAATTGGATCCAGGCGTCAAGCCCAAACTTCTGCTTCACATCCTTGCAATACTGGCTAATCTCCTGCCCACTGGCCATGAACTTCGTCCAGTCATGTTTCGGCGCCCAGGGCAGGGTGTAGATGTGAATCGGAACATCACAGGTCAATCCAGGATACCTGCACGGAATGGTGAGCGGATGGAGTGCTTTGAACGGTGCATGTCGAGCTTACTTGTTCACGAGCCATGTGCCGCCCACATCGTCATGTCGCTCATAGACTTGAAAATCGATGACATCGCCTAATTTTTGCTCGATGAGGATCTTGTAGGCCAGGGTGAGGCCGGCGAAACCGGCGCCGATGCAGACGACTCGCAGTTTCCTTCGCTTGTGCAAAGGCTCCGGGTTGAATGGGATCTCGAAGGGTGAGTAGAGCTTCTGCTCGTCCGCGGTCTTGCGACGTTTCCTTTCTGCCATCGAGTTTCTATTTGGTATGTCGAAGGTCGTGGGAGGGATGACGATGAGGGCTGATGTTCGAACTTATTATACTCCTCCTCCCGCCAGCCTGGCCGGATGTCGGCACACGCGATGTAGCATCAGCCGCTTGCGGGGTCGTGTTTCAAGCCGCCTTTGATGCGAGCAGCGCCGTTCCTCATTGTGGGACTTGGAGTGCTCGTCTGTGTCATGGAGTAGAATGGCATGCCCAGGCTTTGGATGGTGGTGATGCCGATGTTGGTAGCTCCGGGTCCTCCAGCGTCCTCCAACATGCCACCTTGCACTGCCCTGAGGCAGCTACATTCACCGCGTGGCGGCGTCGACTGCGTTCACTTTACATCATGAAGCATCTTTATCCAGAAAGAAGACGCCATCAGATCGGTAACACACGAAACCCCAACCCGTCGAGATGCACCTCTTCGACCTGCCGTACGACATCCGTCATCAAATCTACCAACACCTCTTCCCCTCCACCGACTCCATCTACATCCAAGCCTTTCCCAACGGCATGAAAATCATCCAGGACTCTCACGACCGTACAATGCCCTTCAACTTCCTGCTCACGTGTCGAGCACTGCACGCCGAGGCCAGCGCACACCTGTACAACAACTACCTCTACAACATCGTCGGGCGCAAACGAAATTGCCTGAACGTGTACGAGGACTTCCTCAACACGGCGAAGAAGTACGCCCGAGACGAAGTGCACGTCTCGGCTTTCAGCAATGGTCCGCACTCCGATACCATGGGCATTTCCATCCACGTTGGGGAGGCGAAGACGGCGATGCTGAGGAAACGGGCCAGGGGCGAGCCGAAGGAGTTGTGCGAACTGCAGCAGGAAGTTGCGATGGCGGATGCGAAGACGAGGGCTGTCTTTCGACGACGTGTGGCTTTGAGGGCGCTTGAGGTCGGTCTTGCTGTTGTTGCTATTCTACTTGCCTGGGCGATTTCCTTTCAGTCTCGGACCCGAGGGATGGGTTTGCTTTAGTGTGGTATTGGCCCTCGCCGGATTCAGCTCGATTAATCGCTTTGGCTAAGCTATTGGGATGACCAGACTCTTGCTCGCTTGGGAGAGTCGAGGCAGAGGTCAAAGGACAAAGACTTCCTTTTGTCATGAAGTCGCACTCTCAAGCCAACAATATCAAGCGTTGCTGTGAACAATATCAAGCAAGTCGCTCGCAGCACACAAAGGACAGCCCGACCGTGCATCACAGTAGCAAACGACAGTATATCTTGATCCACACTCGCACATCCCCCATCATCTCTTTCCACCTGCTCATCCTAGAACACACAGAAGCCCACCTTCCGCCCCTTACCCAAACCAACCAAAACTTCCCCAACATGTTCTACTCCAAACTCATCCTCACCGGCCTGCTGGCCATGGCTCTCGGCACAGCCGCCATGCCCGAAGACCTCCCCCTCACCACCTTCAAAGGAGGCGAACCGGGGCGCGTGAGCGAGCGCAAGGGCCACAAAGAGCACAAGCACCACGAAATGAAGGAGCACAAGCACCACGCCGACCGCCCGGACTTCGAGGAGCCCAACCCGTACGACGAGTACGGCGAGTTCGACGACGAGTACGATGGCGAGGAGGGCGAGGGCGCAGGCATGTTTGTCAAGCGCGATCCGCATTTCGACTGGAAGGCTGTCGGGCTCCCGCGTCCCCATCGCCACCATCATCATCACCATCGTTTCGATCGCCATGGCATTTTCCGCACTTCGACTTTCAATTATCACCCGCCGCCTCCGCCTCCTGCGACGAAGCACCATTACCCCGCGACCCAGACCGTTGCTACTATCTACCTTTAGAGGGGGATGGGTGGCGAGGTGTGTTGAGCGCGGTGGGTGTGCCAGGTGCGGGCGAGGGGTCTTCGTTTCGCCGTTGACGGTGTGAATATATTGATTTCGGTTTTGTTGTTCGCTGTTGTCCTTGTTTATATCGCGAGGCTTTGACGGCCGTACATAGTAATTCTTTTACATTTTGCTTTCTCGTCTTGTTATTGAGATGTTGTCCAGGATTGAGCGAGGGAGCCGCATGCTCTCGGTCCATTCAAGCATCTTCGCAAGCTTCCATCAGCTTCTCATGGCATTTCGTAGCTCGATCCGTCCAACCGTCTAAGTCATGCACATCCTGTCTGCCCGTGCCATCCGGACCCGCATCAAAAACCTCGTATGAAAACCAGCCGCGGAATCCGGTCTTCAATACCGCCTTGGCAAAGTCGACGACAGGCAAGTAGCCTTCAAAGGGCAGCGGTCTGAACGCATTACTCCACCTCGCTCGCGACCTCTTGCCATCGATTTCCTTCTTCTCCAGTGGTTGTCCAATCCGATAGGCATCGGAGATCTGTAGTAGGAAGATCTTCCGCGGATCAACAACCTCCGCTAATCGCGCACACGAAGCCTCCCAATCTTGCTGCACTTTCTCCGCACTCCTTCCATCATCGACCAGACCAGAAGAAGAAGTCGGATCCGCCCACTCGCCCCCAGCAGATTGAAACGTATCCAAACAAAGCCCGAAATTCTCGCGATCAACCGCTTTGCAGATCACCCACACATCCTCCCAATCCGGCGCATGCGTACTCCAGCACCAATTCTCATACGCGACCTTCATCCCCTTCTCCGCCAGGAAATCCGCCAGCAGCCGCAAATCTCGCACAAAGCGCTCGCGGTCCCGCCCGATGCGCTCTTCGGGGGAGTCCGTCGAGCCTACTTGCAGCATGTCGCAGCCGCAAGCGTCCATCACGCGTCTCCAGCCTCGTGCCCGCGTCCAGACTTCTTCGCGCTCCGGGCTGTCGTCTGCCCAGCCTTCGAAATTGGCGAAAGGCTGCAGCATCATGATTTGCAGCTTCAGCTGGGCGCAAATCGCCTTGACTTCGAATGCAGCGGTGCACAGGTCATCGTAGTCGGTGGCTGTGATTTCATGACTGGGTGCGAGAAGTTGGTTTGCAAAGGCGACGAGGTCGGGGAAGCCGAGTTCGATGGCGGTGAAGCCTGCGCGTGAGATGGCGTGGAGTTTGTCGGGGAGGGTGTCGGTACCTACTTGGCCTAGGGAGACGCTGGCGTAGGACAAAGGAATGTTGGCGAGGGAGGTCTTTGTTAGTGGCGCTGTGGAGTTTGCAGAACCGGACATTGTGCTTGGTGAACGGATTTCTGGTTGTTGAGATGGCTGGTAATACGGAAGAAGAGATGTATTGAATTCAACAAGGACAAAGAGATGAACGAACGATGACGTCGAAAGGCTGCCAGATGCGAGGATGGATGAACGCCTTGCGATGACTGTATCAAGGATTCGAGAGTTCTCCTTTAACGTTATTTGACTGTCATTCCAGCCGGGAAAGCTGTCCCTTTGAACACATTGAATGGAGCGGGATTGAAGTGAGGTGCTTCCTTTGCACGTGAAAGTCCAGACGGTTGAAGGGAAGGCACGACCGATGTGGCGCTTCGCTCCTCGGAACGCTTCCGCCGATCTTCACCGCCGACTCTGGAAATTTTCTGGAGAGCACGACTCACACCAACCACCAACCACAACCTCCACCCACACTCACGCCTCCCATTGCAGTCGACCAACATGTCCGAGGTATGTTGTTGCCTGTACTACAACGGCACTTCGCCACTAACACCATTCGCCCCAGTTCTTCCTCCCCAACTCCAACGTTGGCGACCGCACCAATGCCGAGGACTTTCGCATTCGCGGCATGACGCCCCTCACTCCCCCCGACCTCCTCCAACACGAAATCCGACAAACCACAAAGTCAAAAGAGACGGTGTTGCGAGGGCGCAATGAATCCGTCGACGTCGTGCAAGGCGTCGACCCTAACCGCAGACTTCTTGTCGTCGTCGGCCCCTGCTCTATTCACGACCCGGAGATGGCGCTGGAGTACTGCGACAGACTAATGGAGCTGAAGAAGAAGTACGAGGAGGATCTGCTGATTGTGATGCGGAGTTACTTGGAGAAGCCGCGGACAACGGTGGGATGGAAGGGGTTGGTCAACGATCCGGACATCGACAACACCTTCAACATCAACAAGGGCCTCCGCACCGCGCGCAAGCTGTTCCTCGACCTGACGGAGAAGGGCATGCCCCTCGCATCCGAAATGCTCGACACCATCTCCCCCCAGTTCATCGCCGACATGCTCTCCGTTGGGGCCATTGGCGCCCGCACCACTGAAAGCCAAATCCACCGCGAACTCGCCTCCGGTCTCTCCTTCCCCGTCGGCTTCAAGAACGGCACAGACGGCAGCTTGGAGATTGCCCTTGACGCTATTGGCGCCGTGCAGCATCCCCATCACTTCCTTTCCGTCACCAAACCCGGCAACGTCGCCATCGTCGGCACCGTGGGCAACGAAGACTGTTTCGTCATCCTCCGCGGCGGCAAGAAAGCCACAAATTACGACAGCAAGTCCATCGCGACGGCAAAATCCGCGCTCGAAGCCAAAGCCCTCCGCCCGCGGCTGATGGTCGACTGCTCGCACGGCAACAGCGAGAAGAACCACAAAAACCAGCCCCTCGTCGCCGCTTCGCTTGCAGAGCAAATCCGCAAGGGTGAGGAGGGCATCATGGGCTGCATGATTGAAAGCAACATCAACGAAGGCAACCAGAAGGTGCCGAAGGAGGGCAAGGCGGGGCTGAAGTACGGTGTTAGCATCACGGATGCTTGCATCAACTGGGAGGATACGGAGGTCGTGCTGCAGCAGCTTGCCGACGCGGTGGCGGAGCGGAGACGCTTGTTGGGCCCGATTAAGAGTAAGGAGATGTTCCGCGAGGCGAATGGGACCGCAAACGGGCATGCCTAAGGATGTTGAGGAGTGCTTTTCTTTGTGGATTCCAGGGATCTGAGCGGCTTCTTTGTCATTGGCGCTGTTGACGTTCAAAAGCTGATGGATGCATGTCACGATTCTAGTGGTGACTTGTAATATACGACCGGCTTCACTTCACATGGCTGATACCTCCGTAGATGGACGAACAGTACTAGGAATTGAGACGGTTCATCTGGCACAATCTCATGCAAGCCTCAATAGCCAGACTATCCCTCTTCTCGCCTCGTGCGCGGTGCTCTGTATAGACGGCAAAACCTAGGCATATCCAATCGCAGTCCCGCTCCTTAACTCGCCCTCCCGATACCAACGCGGTCAGAACTTCCCCATTCAACAAACACACCTCCATACCGCACCTCTATCACCTCCCCTCCTCCCCTCAGCAGAACATCAAACATAAGCAACCCCCAACACCCTCCCAAGCACCACACTCCCATCCACACCCGCCTTCACCCTCTCCGCAACCCCCTCGTCCGCAAACCGCACATACACATCCGTCACGCTCTCCCCGCCCTGCACCAGCTCCTCCGCTGCCATGTCTTCAATCACCCCGTGCTGGCGGATGAGTTGCTTCGCCGCTTCGACGAAGGGACCTAGACGCCAGGTTGGGACGCGCGCGAGACCGAGCACGGGAGTGAGGGTTGGTTCTTTGCTTTTGCCGTTTGTGTTTGTGGTGAAGGGCTTTTCGCCGCCGGCGGGGCGCCAGTGGAGGGGGGTGGAATCGGTTGGGTGGGGGCGCGGGTGGTGTTGGTTTTGGTGGTCGGGGGGTGTGGTTGTTTCTTTGGTGGTGGGTTTCTGCTTGGGCTTGGACTTTGTTTTTGGCTTGGGTTGTGTCTTTCTCACGCTGAAAGTCTGCATTCGTCGTGTTAGCGGTGTGTTGCACCTCGGACAACGGTCATGAAAGAAGGGGAGAAGGCTTGATCACTTACGCCGATCGTCGTCTTCTTTCTCGCAGGTTTGGGCGCCGCGACGTTGCTCTGCCGCTCTTCGTGCACTTCCTCCTCGCCGTCTTCGTAGTAGTCGCCATGGTGGGAGTCATCACGGCGATAACCTTCGGCCCAACGCTGGGACGAGGGCGCGTGAGTGAACTCTTGGTTTGCGCGGCTAAGGCGGCTGTAGGCTGAGTCGACGTCGGCCACCTGCTCGGCTTTGCGTCAGCATGAGCTCGGAATTGCTTGCTTGGAGCGAGGAATTTGGTCTTTGGTGTTAGGCGGGTGGAACTCACTGCGCTGAGACGTTGACGTGCTGCTGTCTGGCGGCGGATGGCGTCTAGGGGGCGCGCTTTCCCCATGGTGTCGGTCTGCTTCAGATGGTGGGGAATGGATTGACGAGAGTAGAGGTAGGAGAGTTTGGACCAGCTTCAAAGGACGGTTTGCTTGCTCGCTGAAAGAAGATCGAAGCAGTGGGAAGATGAACGCAAGCTAAGTGGTGAAGAAACGCTTTGGCTTTTCTCGTCGCCACGTGAACGCCCCACCTTTCACGTGCTGGCGTGTCTTGAGGTGGGTTGATTGGTTGTTAGTTCTGCATGTGCGTGTCTTGTGTTACACGAGTAGAACTAGGAATGTATGAGTCAAGCAGTGATCGTTGGGGAGAGGCGACAGTGCTCCCGTGTAGTGATACTTCTCCAAGGCTCCTCAACTCCATCATCGCTCGTCTCGTCTTGCAATGAATGCTCGTGACACATCGTGAGGTCCTGTGCTTGCTCCGTTTGCAGCCACAAAACGATGCATAAATAAACAATCAACAGGACAGCTTCTTGTCCTCTTCCTCCTTCTCTTTCTTGTAAGCCGCAAAGTCGAAGCCAACATCTTCCAATGTCCGCTTTGTGTGCCGCTCCTCTCCCAATCCCTGATACGCTTTTTTGATAAACACAAAGTTCTCCCGCGTCCAACATTCCTTCTCCCCCCAATACGGCGGCGTCTTCCCCACAGTAGCCTTGTCGGACGCTTGCGCGCTACCATTCGTGGCGTGCTCAATATGCTGCTGGTCTGCAGTAGCAGCCCAATCGTGCATAAAGTTGATGTAGTTCGCGTCCTTTGGGTACAACAAGACATGAAACCACGCTCCACCTCCACTTTCCTCCTCCGTTCGCTTCTCCCAAGTTTCCATCTCCGCCTCACCAGGAAGCTGGACTCGGCCAGACCATACGCGCGCAACCACCGCGCTCTGCGCCTCTGCAAAAGGGAACGGAACGATGGCCTGATTCAGCACAAGGAAGGCGAGGCTAGGTTGAGGGCGGTAAAAGACGTGCTGGTATGTGTTCTGCACGTATCTGCCTGTGCCGATCACGGGAGGGTCCAGGGACTTCAGGAATGGGTAGGAGTAGAAGTAACCGGTGCAGTATACGATGGCGTCGATCTCGCTTTCGCATGTGCCGTCGGTGAAGCGGACAGTACGGTCTACTGCGTCGAACTCCTCGATCGCAGGCTTCTCTACCATGCCAGAGGATTCATCGGGCGGTCCGTATGGAGACTTCGCTATCGTCGACACTAGAAGCGGTTGCGCGCAGACTTTCGCAATTTGAGCGGCGATGTCGGTGCCACTGGCCGAGTTGCCGACCACGATCACCTTTTTGCCCGCGTAGTCTTCCGGACGCCGATACAGTTTGGAGTGGAGGATCGATCCGGGGAAGGCGTCGTGCCATGCTTCGATACCTGGTACAGAGGGGATGAAAGGCACGTTGAAATGGCCGTTGGCGATGAGAACGGCGTCGAAGGTGTGCTCGGTGATTTCGCCGTTGCTGGAAGAGAGTAATTGCGTCTTGACTTGCCACTTGTGGTCTTCGTCGAGCCGTACATCGAGCACTTGTGTGGAAGATTCGATCAAGTGCTCGACATCCTGGCCGTACCGGCGGATGTACTCGAGCGCTTGCTCATGCCGAGGGTATAGCGGGCACTCCTCCGGCCACTCCAGATCGGAGTATCTCATGAGGTTCCGTGGGATATTTGCCTCCAGTCTGTCATACATTGGACTGATGAAAGACTGCGGGCTGCCGTCCGTGCCTCCCTGCGTTCGCTGGTCCAGCCCAGCATCTGGACTTGTTTGAGGGACAGGCAAACTCTCCTCATCCTTGGGGCCGAGAGGAACATGGTTCCATAGGCCGCCTACTTTGGAGCGCTGCTCGAAAATGACGATCCGGGAGAATGCTCGTTCTGCCAGCAGGTATCTGATACACTTCTTAGCGCTCCGTCGGAGAAGATGGCTTGAGATGGATGGGTTGGCCTTACTTTGCAGCTGCGAGACCAGATGAACCTGCGCCGATTATTGCCACGCTTTCGATGTTGAGCTGGCGCCCATTTGGCAGCGAACCCATTCTCTCGAATTCGGCACAATACTGAGGATGCAGGATCGTTGGTCATGGGCGGGTAGTTTCGTCAAAAGCAATGTGATATTCAGAAGTTGTTGTTTGTGGGCAAGATTATTCTTGAAGCCAGTCCGATCATCTCAATTGGTCATGCTCGGGTACATTGATTAGTGAGAATGCGTAAAACGCGGATGGTGAGGTTGAAGTGAGGTTGCCCGCCGGGAATTCCCCGCAGTCAACCACACCTCATGCGTTCATGCGTTCATGCCTTCCCTATTGCAAGACATAAAGTTTCCCTTATGGAACACATCCACGGTGTATAGGATTCAGTCATTCATTACCGACGTCTCATTCGAGACGCGAATTGCAGTGATGCCCATACGAATGTTTCAGACTGAAGCATGGCCTTCTTATAATTCCGCAAGATGACGAACGATAACATGTCAATTAAGCAGGAAGTTCATACAGGGTGCTATCTTGCTGTCATGATCTAGAGAATTGAGGATTCCGAAAGAAGAATGGGAGTAAGATCTGGAGCTTCGCGGTCTTCACCACAGCCATAATCCTAGCGACGGACCGCAGTCCGTTGATCGAAGCAAGCCTGAATCCTCAAATTCCCCTGGCCGCAGTCGAAGTCGTCCAGTCGCCGTCGCTCTGCCGCCGCAATTGTGGCAGAGTTGTATTCCACCAGAATGGCAGAGCAGCTTTGGCCTTGACAAGATAACATGGACAGACGAGGCTCGCCATCCTTTGGGCAAAGCTTCAGCCATTCGTAGAGCTTATCCGGCATAGAGGTTGAAATGTTCCGCAAGAACAACCCACAGGTCCCTGGGGAGTTGAGCACATTGTCAGGATGGACGGGGTGCTCTTTAGCACGGACGGAGGGCAAAGCTGGATGCTGTAAGCCTGGGCCGTGCTGGAACCCGGACACGCGGAAGCGGCCGCCATCCAGCAGCAGATCGTCAAACATGAAAAGGGCCCTGCGGGCGTCCCTTGCTGATGCGTAAATGGCTGTCACATTCATTGTTCCATCATGGGTGTTTGAAAAGCAATAGAACTCGGTATGTAGGTACTGGCCTGCGTGTGACAACAGTGCTCGGATATCGGACGTGTCAATGCTGCCGGGCCAGCCGAATAACGACACAGCGAACGTTTGCTGAGCGTTTCGGATAAGAGGAGAAGATGGCCGCCAGTCGAGGACCACGTGGATTGTCTTTCCAGCCCAGAAGTTTGCGTTTATGCGACGGATAGCTTCTCTTGCGGCTTCCACAGACGTCAAACTCACCCGTGCTTGCTCCATTGCTCCAGAATCACCTCGAAACACTTCCATTTCTTCAATGGCGAATCGATGCTGCTCCATGAAAAAGCTCCACACCTCAGACGGACCTACTTTCGGAGGGAGATCTGTAATAAGAATACTCCTTGTCTCCTGTTGTGCCACGGGGACTCCGGTCTCCTTGCTACCCGGCCCACATGTTTCATTGAGCGTCAAACGTCTTGCTTTGGCCGGAATCTGCATCCTGTCAGGGGCAGCAATGCTATGGAGCATGAAGTCTTTTGCCATGATGGTGGGATCCTGCGCGTATTCCACACGAAGGTAACGACACGCAACTCGTATACTGCACAGCCATACCATTGCCTCCGTCGCCATGTCCATGCTTCGGTACTCGACTTGCACTGTGAAAGCTGCATTCGATCTTGGCAATAGCCAATTTGAAGGATAACCCGGGCCTCCAGTGGTTGAGTGAAGCGATTGCAAGAAGATCTTGGCATCCTCAATGACAAACAAATTGTGGCCGGAGCATAAATGGAGAATCTCGTCCTTGCTCAGATGGTGGTCCAGGTCAAAGACACAAAACCCTCGAGTTCGGGGCATTGGTGTCGCATAAGGCTCCTTGCTCTACGTTCTGGACAAAAGTCGCTAGTGGTGGCAGTGGTGTTGTAATTGGACGCTTTGAGTGTGACGAAATGTTGTTCGATCCATGCTGCAAGTTGCGTGCCAGGGGCGAAGGAGAGCGCGAACGTGACTGGGCCGGGTAAGTGGACGCAAAGTGACGGAAGTCCGCTGGCGGCCCCTGGTATGAAGTTGGTCGGGTAGTGAATCGCGAGCGTGGCGGGGATGTCGAGATCAAGTGTTGGGGATTGGGCAGAATGGGGAGAGGCGCGGCTGTCGTGCTGTACGACCGTAATCGGGATTGATCGGACGGGAATGTATGTCGTGGATCGGGCTCCACCGGGGAAGGGGAGGTCAGTCCGCGGGGTGACGATCCATGCTGGATTTCCCGCTCCGAGGCAAGAGAGGAGGTTGGACAAGCTCGTTGGTCCATCGCTGCAGGTGATTTGTGCGATTAAATCTCGTCTTCAAGGATCAGTGTCGGCGACAATTGCACCTAGCTATATGCTCGACAAAGGGAGGAGAGGAGAAGTATGCCCTCTCATGAACCAGCATTCAAATGTTTGCCGCATGAGCCAGCCGTCATATTGCCCGTGTGCATCCGGCATTGAATGATGCTCTTACCTCGGGCGATGTTCCAATAGCGGCTTGCGTCCGCAGTCAGCCCAGTGAATGAAGACCGTCATGCGGAGATAAACACAGAAACACCGTTAGACGCAAATTGTAGCACGAGAGCAATTTGAAATCTGAAGTCGATAGTCCTCAACTTGCAAACTTTGAATTGAAACCGGAATTGATCAGGTGGTTAAAAAAGCGCATTGAGAGTGAAGAACAGGACAGTGCTTCAACCTCTAGACCGGTCGAGGCTGCGACGATATCGTAGGAGCGTGGTTCATGACGAAGGCCGAGGTGTTAGAACAATGCAGATGCAATACGTTTTCAACGAGAGAATTTGCATGAGGGATGATGAGTGAGACTGGGTTTGGTGTGCAGTCATTCCCAGCACCAAGTAAAGCGACTGCAGTAGATGATGGATGAAGTGAAGTGTCTCGAGGGTTTGCCAAGGCGTGTCAAGTCGCCGCAACTTACTAAGCAAAATTATTTCCGCGGAGCCGCATCGCGCTGGCCGAACTTTTTTTACTCACCGCCTTCAACGTTCTTCACTTCCTACGAGTTTCTTTGATCTTCAACACCCTTCGACGAACTCGGCGCGCTTCAACCATGGCAAAAGGTGTCGCTATCAAGAGTGGCACAGTGCCTGCACACCTGTGCGAAGCAATGAAGCAGCCGCCCAAAACGAAAGACGTCCTCAGTCAGATTGGTGACTTTCTGAAAGAATTGGGTTACACAGAGAGTCTCAAGGCACTCAAAAGTGAGGCGAAGAAGAACGGGAATGCCATCGACATCCAAGCCTGGTCTCAACTTCAGACACAAGATAAGAAGAATGGAGCTTCTGGTTTCCGGCTGCTGGACTTCTGGACTATTGTCTCCAAACGATCGCGCATACCTTCTCTCGACGATCCCAAAGATGATGATGATAGCGAAGAGTCGGAGAGTGAGAACGAAGAGGAGGAAGGCGGAGCGGTGGTGGACGTTGAGGCGGAAGTGACAAGTGACGACTCGTCAGATGAAGAGAGTGATGCTACCAGCGAGTCGTCGACAAAGCCGGGACAGAAGCGAAAGAGGCAGCTCACACCTGATTCGTCCAGTGGAAGTTCGTCGGAGGAAGGGTCAAGTTCGGAAGGAGAAACCCTGGAGCCCGACGAAGCTGCTAGCAGCGACTCGGACAGCGACAGCGATTCATCCTCGTCTGAGGAGGACGAGCGTCCCTTGAAGCGCGCCAAGACTCCAAACGACAGTGTGAAGAAGGGTGAAGCGCGCAAAGCCAGTGAAAGCAGTTCAGATTCATCGTCCGACTCGGACAGCTCGAGTGCTTCCTCGAGTTCGAGCAGCGAGAGTGATGCCGAGGATTCGAGCGACAGCGACAGCAGCTCTTCCGACTCGTCAGCACCTCCTCCGAAAAAGATCAAGAAAGCCGCAAAAGGCAAGCCACCGGTACTGAGCACTCTCAACTCGACGGACGCAACAGCCACTCGTAACGGCTCGGCCAGTTCATCATCCGCAACCCTTGCAGCCGAGTCCCCCGTGACAACAACATCCAAAGAGACGGACACCTTACTCGTCGACCAAGGCAATAATCAGACGAAGGAGGTACCGGCGACAAAAGCGAACATCAAGAAGTTGAAGAAGGACAACACCCCCTTCTCTCGCATTCCCGCCGATCAGCAAGTCGACGCGAGATTCGCCAGCAATGCCTACGTTTCGTACGACTACGCCGACCGTGCACACCGCGATCTGATCGTTACCAAGGGCAAAGGCTTCACGAAAGAGAAGAACAAGAAGAAGCGAGGTGAGTCGTCAAAGTAGCAATTCTGAGATTTGATTGGTTGAATGCTAATATATTCTCGACTGCAGGCTCGTATCGTGGCGGTGCAATTGACACCACGCCAAAGGCGATCAAGTTCGACGACTAGAGATCGATGAGAAAGATCTCGCGAAAGTCGCGTCCAAGCTGGCCACGAGGCTGAAGTGGTGGCATGCCTTCGAGGCGTCACACCACGATCAAGTGACGATCCTACAACGGAAGATGGCCACGGTTGTATCTCGAAGATTTCAAATCGGAAGCAGGAGCGCATCGATCATTCCTGGAGTCCAAAACATCACGAGCATTTTAGGCACTTGGATGAAGCTGCGAAAACTGAGGCTGCTGTGTGAAATCAGGAATGAGCTAATGTGCTTCACCAACCTATCTTGCCAAGCTAATGCTCTAAGTATGAAAAAGCCCTCTCCAAATTGCGTCCTGCTCCTCATCGCCTCCCCATCCCTCGGCCCTTCCTTGCTGCCTTGGGACACCCGGTGTTTCCTCCTCCTTCTCCTCCTCCTTTATCTCTACCTGCGTCTCCTCTTCCTCCTCATCCTCCATCTGACTCTCTGTAGAAGACGAAGGTACATCCTCGCCATCTATCGCCATGATCTCCCTCCTAAATACCTCCGCATTATGACCCAAAGCCTGCGCCGGGTGCTCCGCTGCACCCCGGAATCTGTAGCCTTGCTCAGCAACGGGATCCATCACGTCTTCTCCTTCCTCCTCCGGCTCGTACTCCTCCTCTTCCTCCTCCGGCTCCTCGGCCTCCAGATCCTCATCGCCCCTTGCTACAAGTTCCCGGAGCACCTGATAGACTTGCTCTACTCTCGCCTCTACTCTTTGGATCCTGTCGTCCTCCTCATCAATGGGATCTTGCGTTTCTTCTTCCTCAATGGGTGCGTACCCAGGTCCTGGAGAGGCGGGTGGGCTATATCCCGGAGAGAAGGGTGGTCCATATGGAGAGACGGGTTCTCTGTATCCTGGAGCCCGGGGGTCTCTGTAGTATGGCGAGGTGGGGTCGTTGTATCTTGGAGCGACGGGTTCTCTGTAGTATGGCGAGGTAGGGTCGTTGTATCTGGCTGCGGCGGGGTCTCTGTATCCTGGAGCGGCGGGGTCTCCAAATGCTGGAAAGGCGGGTGCATACCCAAATGCAGCGGCGCCACCGTATGGTTCATATGGAGAGCCGGGTGCGTACTGTGGAGAGCCGGGTGCGTACTGTGGAGAGCCAGGTGCGTACAGTGGAGAGCCGGGTGCATACAAGGGCGAACCTAGCGGGTCATATGCGGCATCCTGCGCCTCATCCGCGAGACGAGGCCCTTCGTACGCCGGTGGTGGTGATCTCTCTTCGTACGCGGGCGGCGCGGGAGCGGCATCAATAGGCGTTGGCGCAGCATCGACTGGCGCATGAGGGACAGCAGGCGGCGCACCATCGTCATCCTCGTTTGCTGGCACCGGATCGATGCGATACAGCAGTTGGCCGCTCGGCGGGGACGATGTGTCGTCTGCGTTCTCTCTATGGAATGCGCCTGGGTGGTTTCCATTTGGGTAGAAAGGGCCGCGTAGTGGTTCGACGCCTGCTGTGCGGTTGCGGTAGTACTGGTCGCGGAGTGCTTCGACTCCCTGTCGAGTATAGTCGATACGGGCGGGGTCTTGTAGCAGTTGCTGCACGAAGGGAGATGGAGTCCTTCTCACGAGCGTTCCCGTTTCGACGGATAGCTGTCTTTCGCGAGTTGGTTGGTAGCTGGGCGGGTTGATAAGACCCGTTCCGGAGGCCTGCACGGGAGAAATGGGTTCCTGCTTGATCTCGGGGCTGCGTAGTTTCATGTCCTTCAACTTTTGTCGCTTCGCGTCGCCAGTATCGCCATCCACGCTTTTGCGCTTGCGCTTGGGCGTTGAAGTCGACTCTCCGGACGGCTGGAAAGCACTTTCGTCATTCGCCCCTTCCTCAGCAGGCTCGTCTTTGATTTCTCCCTCCTCCAAAGACTCGGCGTCGTCAACTATCGTCGCGTCTTCGTTACCGGCAGGAGGCTGCTCAGAGCGCGCCGCTCCATTGTCGTTCGGCCCATTGCCAGTCGGAGACAGCTGCGGTCGAAGTCCTCCAGTTTCACGATGTGCTCTTGAGACTCTTCTCCCGCGACCCCGACGTCGTCTCAACTCGCCTTCGATGTCGTCGTAGACGGGGACCAGGGGAGCAGCTTCATTTCCGCGAGTGGATCGTCGCGTTGCGGCGGCGGGCTTTCGTGCTTGTTTTCGCGCCATTGTGTTGGTGAAGAAGAGTTAGAAATACGGTCGTTATTCGTCTGAGTGTGACGTGTAGTTCTTGCGGGTATGAAATAGGAAAATAACTGAAGACAGCGACAGAGACAGATACCTCCATTTTGATCAATCATTTCCGCCATCGATGCTGCTTGCAGAGATGGGTGATGTTCTTTGTCAGTCACGTCGCCGAATCCGGTCGGGACACGAGAAAGAAGTCATGGAAGACTACTCTCGTCTTTTGTCTGTCGGAAACAGAATGTACATTGTCCTGAGCCTGGTGTCAATTTCCGGATGCGGAGGACAGTGGAATGTACGAGGCTGGCATGGGAATTCGACCTCTGCCAGCCTCGTGCACGAGACTCTCCCCGGGATTGGATGCAAAAAGCTCGGCCATCTCCACTCGTCGGGAAGTCGACGAAGTGCTACGAAGCGGGAAAGTCCAATGTGCTGGAACATGCGAAGGAGTTCTTTTGCGGAAGGCTGAACGTCTGAAGTCGCAAACTCCCTTACGTAATCAAAATAGCAGCGAGCGGAACAGAAGAGCCGAGGTCCAAGTAACCGAGCGCATTGATCACAGAAAAGGAAGCATCCGCGAACGAATCGCCGCCCTCGCAATCATCATCACCACCCTCCACCATCCAGTGCACCCAAACATCCTACCACCCCCTCCTACACACGCCCATCATGTCCAAGCAATTCTCCGCCAACGACGTCAAAGAGCACGCCACCGTGGACAAGGGGCTGTACATCATCATCGACAGCGCCGTGTACGAGATGGGCGGCTTCGTCGACGAGCACCCGGGCGGCGCGAAGATTCTCAAGCGCGTGGGCGGCAAGGATGCGAGTAAGCAGTTTTGGAAGGTGAGTTGGGCTGCCGCCATATACCCCCCGTGCTTTGAGGGGGCGAGGCTGACGTGTGCTGTGATGTGATAGTACCATAACGAGAGTGTGTTGAAGAAGTACGGCGATCGGCTGAAGGTTGGTACGCTGAAGGAGGGGGCGAAGTTATAAAGCGCACGACTGGTGTTGTTTCGTGGGGAAGAGGACGAAGGGAGACTCGCATGGAAGAGGTGGTGATTCCGCTTTCCCATCATCTAGAGGAGCTGTAGGAGCCATGAGACACCTTTTGCATGTTCCGATGCTGCTGTGAATAGTTGAGAGTTGGTAGATACACACATCCCCTTAGACAGTCCACACAACCACCCTTCCATCCACACCGCCGGTGCTCACCTTGCGCACCCCTGCGCCGCTTTCCTCGTAGCTGCGAAGCGTGTTGATGGTGTTTTGGTGCACAGTGCGCAGCTTGGTGTCGTCGGCACCAGTTCCAGACCGACCCTTCAAGTCCAGAGAGCGGAAGTGGTTCAGCGCGCTCTCCTCCCTCTGCACACCCGCTGCTCCCGCCTTGCCCGCCGCTTCCAATGATCCCGTCAATTGCCAGCCACTGGCCTGGCCCGAGAAGCGGTAGACTTCGCAATCGTACCCCGCACACAGAATCTCGGACTCGCTGATCCACAGGAGATCGGCAAAGGGAAGGAGCTGCGTGGCGACGCTGATGACGGCCTGAGGCGGCTGCTCCGGCCCAGAGGGATAGACGACGGTGATAGTGCTGTCGTGGCTGCAGAACGCCAGTGCGTTTCCAGATGGTGAAAAGCCGACGCCATGCACCCAGCCGGCGGTGGGATTGAGGTACTCCCCGCAGACGGTATTGAACGGCAATCGCTCTCCCCACACACTGGGCTCCGGCCTGTCATCCACGCCCTTGATGAACGAACTAAACACTCTTGCATGTCCGTCCGCACTGCCAGCCGCAAGCAGCACACTATTCGGATGCCACGCAACGCAGTTCACAGTGCTTCTCAACGGCTTGCGCAAATGCTTCGAAATCCACCAATCGTTCTCCTCTTCGAAATAGCAGATAGCAATAATCCGTGCGCCGCTACCCACCGCAAACTTCGTCTCCGAGGGACTCCAGCGCACGCACGTCGCCGCGCGATTGATGCGGAGCAGCACGAGCGTAGGCTTCCATTGGCCCGTGCTGCTGGGCTCCCAGACGTAGGCGTTGCGGTCTTGGCTGCAGGTTACGATGCGGCCGGAGCGCGGCGCGATGTCGACGCCTGTGATGGTTTTGTCGTGTCCGCGGAGTTCGTCTTGGAGACGGAAGGCGTTGCCGTTGCGCTTGTAGAGCTCGAGGGTGTTGGAATGGGTGACGGCAAGGGTGTTGCGGTCGGCGGAGAAGGAGTGGTCGGCGATTGGGGCGTGAAAGAGGTGGTGGACTTCTGGGGCGGCCATGTTGTCCGGATGTGGCGGATGAAGCTTGCACTGGTTGTGGAGGGTAAATGGAGTGACGACAGGAGTGGTGTGCTCTCTACTGCCGTCTTCAATGTGCGCGGTGATAAAAGTCGTGGCCTAGGAAGTGGGGAGGAGAGGAAGGCTGAGGTGGCATGGACGGGCTTCGTCAGTTGTTGCTTGGCACTTTTGGCTTTGCTCCACCAAACTCAATGTCCGCCAATATCAAAAAGTTCCATGCCAGTCGATCTCTCCACACGCACCATCTCACAAGACCAGTCACACCCTCACCCTGTCAACACGTGCCTCACCATGGCAGCAGCCACTCCATCGGTGCCCCCGAACCCCTCTCTCTACATCAAAAACCTCCCCGAGAAATGGCAAAAAGAAGACCTGCGCCGCCAGCTCTACATGCTCTTCTCCACCTACGGCCCCGTGCTGGACGTCACCACCCTCAAAACCTCCAAGATGCGCGGGCAAGCGCACGTGCTGTTCCGCGACGTGCAGACCGCCACGCAGGCGATGCGCGCGTGCCAGAATTCCGATCTGGGCGGGCGCGAGATGCAGATTGTGTATTCGAAGAATCGCAGTGGGACGCTGGCGAAGCTTACGGGGACGGTGGGCCAGAATCTCGCTCCTGCTGCGGGAAGGCCTGCGGGGTTTCCGGCTCCGCCTCCGGCTGGGTTTCCGGCTCCGCCTGGTTCTTTGCCTGCGCCGCCTAGTGGGTTGCCGCCTCCGCCTGGGATGTTGCCGGCTAAGGTAAATGGGGCTGGGTTGAAGGCACCAGGAACAGGAGCGGAGAGTGTGGCTAGTCCGGTTGGGCAGAAGAGGTCGAGAGAAGACAGTGATGATGAGGGGGACGCACCTATGGAGGAAGAAGAGGAGGATGAGGGAGGGGAGATGGAGATGAGCGACGAGGATTAAAGGAAGGCTTACGAGACGGTTGATGAATACCCAAATACCCAACGGCAGTACCGAAAGGAGATGAGAACACAGCAGCTTATGATGGAGGAAACGCCACGTACAGCTCGTGGAAGTCAAAAATGGAAGGAGTGAAGAGTGAGTACGTCAAGAGGTGCAAGGTTTCCATACTGATCTAACATTCTCGAGGCACAGAATGGCAAGCTAGCCCTTCCCATGCAACTTGTCTGAATTGGAGGACAAGAGACGGCAATTCCTCTGCCTCGGCGACGCTCATCGCCCTCTGCTGCCAGGACCTGCTGCTGCTCGCGTCGAGAAACGGCGAAGCTGATGGACCCCGCAGCTTTGATTGAATGTTCGATCGTCCGGTGGAGATTCTTAGAGAAGAGGTTGATAACAAGAATGGTGTTGAGTGGAGTCAGTCGTTGTTGTCAGCCATGAGCACCCATTCCCTCTCCTCTTTCATTCACTCCTGGATCACTCCAGGAACTCGGTCGTCGACGTAGGTAATATATCCAGACCAGAAAGCATTTAATCCTCCTCATCCACCCGCCGGCTTCATGTACTGCGCATCGTTGTCCTTGTTGTCCATCCTAGCCTCGTCGACCATCTGATCGATCCCTCGCTCCTTGAGCGCCTTGCTCAAACACGCCTTGTAGGCGTTGAACAGCGGCGCGCATTCATCTTGCGTTGCGTTCCCGCGCAGGTATTTCTCGCTGTACCACTTGAGGAAGCAGCTGTCGTAGCGTTCTTTGAGTACATTGCATTCCGGTGCTAGGGAGGCGGACATGGTGGCATCGGTCGGGAGGTAGGCTGTGGAGGTGTTTGAGCGGCGGGAGTAGTTGTCGTGCGAGTGTTCGCAGTGAGAGAGCAAGGTGTTGTAACATGAACTCTTGAATGTCGTACTCGAGATGATGGTCGTTCCGTACTCTACAGCTGTGCTGCTCTGAACGCATACATCCCGCCCGTCTTGGCGAGTGCAGCTTCCATCCAATCGGAAGCGAGAATTTCTCAGCAGCGGGAAGTCGAGGAGCTCATAGATTTGCTTGCCACGAACAACACCTCCTCTCTCCCCAGCACTCCCTTCCCGCGCACCATACCTCCAGATCCATTGCGAGTGCCGATACCATCCATCGAGGCTTGCATTGGTAGCCCACCATGCTGGCCCGATCGAGTCTGCGCTCCTCCCGCGCCTTTGCGGCCGCGAAGAGCCCAGCCGTCCGGACAGCGACGGTATGTTGCACCCTCGTTCACCCGCCACCACCACTCGCTCGAGGCTTGCATTGCTCAACAGTGGTGTCAATTCGTGTGGAAATGACAGTTGTGAGAGGTTTGAGAGCTAACGAGATGCCAATCACAGCGCAATGCCTCTTCGCAATCCTCCCAGTCCGCCGCGGCTTCGTGGAAAAACACCGCCCTCCTCTCCTCTACCACCCTGCTCGCTGCCGGCTCCGTGTCATGGTATTACTACCAGTTCGGCCGACCTACGCAGGCCATGACGCTGGCGGAAGAAGGGTAAGTTCACCACGCAGCACCGTACCCCATCGTACCCCTCATCTGACCACGCCCCTACAGCCTCCATCCGCCCAAATTCCCATGGGAGCACACCAAACTCACCCGCACCTTCGACCACCAGGCCCTCCGCCGCGGCTTCCACGTCTACCGAGAGGTGTGCGCCGCCTGCCACAGCATCAGCCGTATCCCCTACCGCAAGTTCGTCGGCTCCCTCATGACCGTCGACGAAGCCAAGGCCATGGCGGAAGAGCAAGAGTATGACACGGACCCCAACGACGAAGGCGAGATCGAGAAGCGACCGGGAAAACTGAGCGACTACATGCTGCCTCCCTACCAGAACGACGAGGCCGCCCGAGCCGCGAACAACGGTGCCCTGCCGCCCGATCTCAGCTTGATCGTCAAGGCGAGACACGGCGGCTGCGACTACGTGTTTGCCCTGCTCACCGGCTACCCCGAGGAGCCACCGGCTGGTGCAGTGGTGCAGAGCGGACTCAACTTCAACCCTTACTTCCCTGGTACCGGCATCGGCATGCCGAAGCAATTGTTCGACGGCCTGGTCGACTACGAAGACGGCACCCCCGCGACGGCAAGTCAAATGGCGAAGGATGTTGTGGAATTCTTGAACTGGACCGCCGAGCCCGAAGCCGACGAGCGCAAGAAGATGGGCTGGAAGGTCATGGCCATTACCACGGTTCTGTTTGGCTTGTCTGTTTGGGTGAAGAGGTCAGTACCCTGCTGAATAATATTTCTGGGCGACAATTACTAACTTATAGTGCACAGGTACAAATGGGCCACGATCAAGACGCGCAAACTCTCGTACACGCCGCCACACGCGCCTGCGAAGCAGCCGGGATCCTCTTTCCGTCGCTTCCAACAGCACGGATACGAGCAGAAGCCATAGAGTCGTGGGTTGATTGGACGGGCCAAGGATGAGGAGTAGTCCAGCGAAGAAAGGGCATGTATATAAGGTACAACAGTTCCGCGTGTGCTTTGCTTAAACTACTAGCGTGTTCTACCAGCCTGTGTCAGCAGATGTACACTGTTCTCGGGTTACGTCGTCTCATTCATGCTATCTCGACTGCATGCACATCCAGTCTACTCACTCCCTCGGCCCCGCCCAATCCCCCGGCTTCAGAAACATGCCCACCAGCGTCAACGTCTTCTCGTACAACTCCGCCGAGTCCAAATGCGGCATATGGCTCGCCTTGCCAATCGTCACGAAGCGGCACTTGGCGATCCCCTCGAACAGCGGGATCATCGGGTCCAATTCCGTCGTCTCCGTCTCGCCCTTGTACAGCAGCGTGGGCACGTTGATGCGGTGCAGGATGGGGATGAAGTCGTAGTCGCGCATCGTCCCTTCGCGGATCCAAAGGGAGCGGCCTTGCCTGTATACAGAAAGTTAGCATCGAGACGGGGGAGTGGGGAAGGGAAGGGGAGGGAAGGGGAGTGGGAAGACCAACACCGTCGTGCGAACCGTGTCGTCGTCCGGCTGTGTATCGGGATCAGGGACCATGAGTGGCGGTGGATACGGCCTGGCATGGCAGACGAACGTCTCGCGAAACTCGGCGTTCGCGGCGAGGTACGCCGGGCGCGAGAAATCCAGCTTCTCGACCGCGTCGTGGATGCTCGCTTGGGCTTTCGGCGAGAGCTGCTCGGTGAGCTTCCAGAGCTCCTTGTTGAACAGCGCCTTGCTCGCCGACGCGCTGGCGATGATCAACCTCTGCAGTCCTGGCGGTTGCTTAGCAGCGAACGCCGTGACGAGCTGCCCGCCAAAACTGTGGCCTAGTAAATGATAGCCTGATCCATCGGGGGCGTCGAGCTTGAAGTGTCGGATCAAATTCTCCAGTTCCTCATGGAAGATGTCGATTTTCCAGAATTCCTGATCGCCCTTGAGGTGCCGGAGGTGCACCGAGCGCCCGCACCCAATCTGGTCGTAGAAGATGACGGGCAGGCCGTACCGCTTCCACAACGCTTTGAAGGGCGTCATGTACTTGTGTTGCGCGCCTGGGCCGCCATGAAGAACGATGACGGGCGGCGGGCCGGCGATGAGGTTGCCGTAGATTTTGTAGTAGGTGAAGCAGGGCGTGTCGGTGCGCTTGGTGGGGAAGGGGATGGTGCCGTCTTCGTATTGGTCTTCTTCCGTCATGGTGATGAGACGGTTGTTGGGAGAGTGATGGAGGAGGGGGATCGAGGTAATTTTGAATCAATGTGCGTGCTGTCGTGCGTGACATTCTCACGTCATCTTGTCAGCTTCTCCGCTCTGCACTTCAGCAATCATAAGGTTCTGTTCCTTGCCGGTCATCGGCTTCGAGGTCGCTCAGCCTTCGTCAGCCTGACCTTGGCCGGAAGCGGAAGGTGTGGAGCCGGTGGCAGTGAGTTCACGATCCTGCGGGAATTGCCACCGACTTGCCATCAAACAGCCTCATTATAGACCCGAGTATCCCAATTCACAATACTTGCAGACCGCCTGGATGTCTGCCGAAGACAAGCCTGTCTAATTCGCCCGCTATATGCCCATATCGGAGCACGACTTCACTCAAGCATGCCATGAGTTGCATTCACGCTGGGCACAGCTGAGAGGCCCAAATGATTGGGAAGATGTAAAGGTCTTACAAGACGTACTGTCAACCCACACTCGCAGAATGTCCACCCATCAGAGAACTGACAAGTCGACGCAGCACGGCAAAACCTACCTCCGCATCACCAAGCGGCTCGCATCGCCATCACCCAATTCCCAACCGGCGTCCATCACAGAAACCGAAGACGAAATTCTCGAAGATGATAACGAGTCCCTCCAATGCCCACCAATTCCCAAACCAGAAATCACCCTCCACCACGACATCCTGCTCTCCCCATCCTATCAGGTCCCAGTCCTCTACGTAACACCCAGCACTCCCCTCCCACCTCAAACCTCCATTCCCTCCCTCCTGGTTCCCAGGCCTTATCGCGCCCAGATTCAGGATGTAGGAGTCATGGGCGCCCTCAGCATGACCGAGCACCCCGTCTCCGGCGCCCCTGCTTATTTTCTGCACCCTTGTCGAACGGAGGAGGCGATGGGAGCTGTTTCTTCCGCTGTGGGAGGGGGGAGTGTCGAGCCTTTGGAGTATATTTGTTTGTGGTTGGGAGTTATGGGTGGGAGTGTGGGGTTGTATTTGCCTCTTGAGCTTGCGGAGGAGTATAGAGGGAGGGAAGCGATGGGGAGCTTGATGGAGGGTCAAGGACGGGATTGATGCCTGGATTGCGGGAGGTACGCTACAGTCTCTAATTGAAAGATCCAATCGTTTACGGTCAATTGAGTCGCCAAGTGAACAGGCTACGCCACTTCACCGAGCCGGAAAGACACAGCCAACACCTCTCAGTCGTCATCGTCACTACTGCCCGCATCTTCATCATCATCGTCATCCTGATAAGGCATGACAACAGGCTGCAAACCACCACTGTTCTGCTGCTTCGGCGCGGGCGGAATATGCGCGTGCTTCCTGAACCAGCCCCAATTCAGAAGACCGCCACTCTTCCTCGTTCCATCGCTCCCAGCAGTAGATTGCGGCGCCTCGTCTTCCGGCTTGAGCGAGCCATTCGGCGCGCTACGAGGGAGGGTGGCGTCTTTCTTGCTCGGGCTGTTGGCTGGCGTCAAAGTGCGCGCATCAATCGAGTCGTGCACCTCTTGCGTATCAGCACCAGGTAGCTGCGAAGACGCCGACTGGTCATGAGACATGACGGAAGAAGATTGCTGATCTTCCGGCGTCGCGGAAATCATGACATGATCCCCTCCCACTTGAGCCGGTGGGAAGACATCAGCGAGACTTTGGCGTTTGCCTTCGGACTTTTTGCGTCGTCGGGAGCCGCGGCGCGACACTTGGCTGCCGTCCGCGCTGATGCCGTGGCTTGTGCTGCTGGGTTCGGAGGTCAGGATGCTGCTGCTGATACTATCTTGTCTTTGCAAGGTCAAGTCTGGCTCGCGCTGTGGGATGGAAGGAGGTGGTGGCATGGCGGTGCGGTCGTCTTGCTTTCCCGCGTCTGGAGCGGTTGAAGAGGGGTGCTCTGTTGCGTCTTTCTTGCTGTGCCTTCTTTTCGGCTTCTTTGACTTTGCGGCTTTGTGGACTTCGCCGTTCTCAACTCCATTCTCAACTTGCCGTGATGGTGTAGACTTCTGCTCGGTACCTGCCTTTTTCGATTGCATCTTATCAGGTCGCGCAGAAGGACGAACGGAGCTCGACGGGGTGGGGAGATTCGGTCGTGCGTTCGATCGTTTCATATGAGGCTGGCGGCGTTGGAACACAAAGGACTCGTTGCCATCGTACACGACGCCTTCCTCGTCACTGTGGTCCAATTGTTGTAGTTCTGCATCCGTTGGCGCTGTGACCTCTTCAAGCGGCGCGTTCGGTGGGACGGTCGGCAGTTCGGTGTCGGATTCGGTCTCAGCGTCTTCTCCGTTCGCCTGCTTTGTTGTCGCGTCGATGTTATTGTCACTGTCGCCATCCTGAACCTCCTCAATAGCCCGATTGTTGTCCACATCGTCAACTTGCAAACCGTCGTCCATCTCAACATCAGAGTCCGCCTTCTCGCGAAACTGCTCTTTCAACATCCCCTGATAATCTGCGCGATCATCCTCCTCCTCCTCCGGCTCATACTCAGAATCATGCTCATCCTCCCCATCCACCTGTGCAGTCCCAAGCAACTTCCTTCCCCGCCGAAGACTCCACAGAGGCAGCAAGCCCATCTTCTTACGACGGATCTTCCTCTCATGCAGCATCTTCCTCCGCAGCCTGTCCACATCCTGGGAGTCGCCAGCAGACACGCGCATGAGAATCAGATTGTTGTCGCGGATGTAGCGGTACATGTCTTCCGACCACTCGGGCTTGGCTAGTCGGCGCGCTTCTCGCCACAGCTCGTCTTCAGACTGCACCCAGGGGTGGTTGGATTTCATGTAGAAGGGGTGATGGCGACGACCGACGTTGATTTCGCCTTTGGCGTTTTGGGGGCGGTCTTCGAATGGGATCCAGGGCTCTACTTCGCCTATGGACTCGGGTTTTGTGAGACTCTGGTATTGGCTTCCCGAAGTTGCATGCTGGCCTGGCTTCGTGGGAGAAGGTCGAGAATGAGTCGGAGAATCTCTTCCTTGCCGAAATTCTCGCATCTTGTTGGCCACGCGTTGCGTATATCGTGTTGCAGCACCATTGACAGAACGGAGTCTGCCGCTACTGCCCGATTTCGAAGAAGAAGCAGATTTGCTGGTGACTGGAGAATCCAATGCCGCGCCTTGCGGGTTCACATCCATGGGAATCTCGTCTGGGTGCTCGGGCTCAACAGCCTCAGCCTCGGTCTCGACCTGAGACTGGAGCTGTCGTTCCAGCTTTTCGAGGTCTGGTTCCGACTCATCGTCTTCGCTGCTCGTCGCTTCGTCCTCGCTACGCTCGTCATTCTGCTCCGAGTCCGCGACTTGGTCTTGCTGAACTGGCTGGTCATCGCCGTCTTCCTCATCTTCTTCATCTTCCTCATCGCTGTCATCTGACCCCTCCTCAGAGCTAGCTGTACTTGCTTCTTCAGTCTGCTTCAGGTCCTGGGACGAACTTGGAACGCGCGGGGTTGACTCGGCTGCAGAAGAGGGAGCGAGCCCAGCGCGATCTTTTCCTTTCCTCTTGTTCGTAGCGGCGTTGGCCTGAGCTCGCAAAGCAGACTGTTGCTTAGAATATGTCACGACAACTCGCGGGCTCGGGCCAAGGGGAAGCTCTTCGTCTTCGGAGGATGCGCTGCTCTCTTCTGCTTCTGCTTCGGCCTCACTATCCTGTACGCTCTTCTCTCGGCTCTCTGCACTCCGCGAGGGTCGTTCACGTCCTGCGCTCGGGCTAAGCTGGCTGGAGACGTTTGTTGAGAGTCTCTTGTGCCCCGACTTTGCCATTTGCTTCTCGTAGGCGTCCATCTTTTTCTTCACAACTTCCACGGAAAAAGAGGCAAAGTATTGTTTTCGTGCCTGTTGCGCCGTCATCCCTCCTTCATTGAAGACCCTTCGTAGCCTCAGATCATGCTCGGTGTTCCAGCCAGGCAATCGGATCTTGTCTTTCGGGAATGTATCCTTCCCCTCTTCTCCTCTGAACACGTAATCCCTGACTGCGGCCGCTTTCTTCCGCACAGACTCCTCAGAGCGGTCCGGAAAATGCATTTGCTGAATCTCCGAAGTCAGTAGCCCCTGAGCCATGGCAGACTTGACAGTGGAGACGTCCTGGGCGGTCCAAGCACTCGCGGTGGATACACTTCGGGAGTCGCGCGAGGCATTACTGTCTTTTCGCGGTGTTTCGCCTTCGTAGTATTCGTCTGTTGGCGGAATGATTCCTCCCGGATACTTCTCCATCAGCTTTTGTCGTCGATGTTTGATGCCATCCGAGGTGCGATACAACCCACGCATCTGTGTAAGCTGCTTCCCACTGTAACCCCGACGTACGCCACGAAGGAGGATTTTGTCTTCCTCGGCCGTCCATAGTCCTTTACGCGTTGGCGGAGGTGAGTCACTGGGCGACCGGAGCAGCGCAGATTCGTCGTTGGGCTGCAGATTGCTAGTGGATGCAGCATCGGACGATACGGCGGCGTTCGAAGTGCTGGGTCGAGGCTTGGAGCCAGGTTGGGGCGTAATCGCGGTGGTGGTTCGAGGTTTGGCCGCTTCCTCGTCTTCCTCCTCGTCTTCCTCTTCGTCATCCTCGTCTTCGATTGGATCTTCCACAGATATACTCTTTGCAGACTCGAAAGGTAAGGTATTTTGGCGCAGAGCAGAACGAGAAGGCGGGGCTGCGACGACTTGCCGGCGTGCAGCTGACTTGGTGGCGCCATCTTTGACTGTATGGTCTTCACTCAAGCCTGGTGTAGGGATTGCCTTGGATTTTGCGACCACATCGGATGATCTTGCCGGGGAGCCATCATGAGACCCATTAGGATCGCGAGGTGATTCGATATCAGTGCGCGATGCTGCCTGTTTCGCCAACTTAGTCGCAGCAGCGTCGGCGGCCGTACGTTCGCGCAAGGCAGCTAGTGCGGGTGATGGGTTCGTTGGAGCTTTTTGTCGCTGCGATGGCGGTGCTTGACGTTTCTGGATCTTTGCAGGTATCTTGAAACCATCCTTGTCCACCTGTTGTCCAGTCCCGTTCGCTTGCCCCTCGACTGCTCCACCAACCACCTCTTCCTCGCGTGAAATTACCGGAGTATCAGCATCCAGAGTATCAAGAGGTTGTCCATATCGGCTTTCTTCAAGTTTTCTTCGCTTCACCGCTTGCTGCGTCGCCGGTGTCAAATCCGCAAAAGACCGCTTCTTGTATCCCAGCGGCTGAAGCGCGCTACCCGGCGCGATGGAGCTTTGATGATCCACCGCCACCAGCTGCATATACAAAGTTCTCTCCTGCAGCGTCTGTGAAGGTTGAAAGAGCGCCCCGACAGTCCACGACAGAATGATATCAACTCCGATAGGAGACTGCAAGCGGGCGAATGACGTCCGCGCTCGCTCGTCGGCCGGATATGCGCCATCGTAGCTCTTTTGGATGTCCTTCCACACTTTGCTGAAGGTATCGCTGGCGTCGAAGGCCATGAGGAGCGCGCGCTCCGGCGCATCGGGAGTGAGGAGTGAGGGTCGAGTCGGCGCAGGCGCAGGCGGCATGAACTTGACGATGAAAGGGATTGCGGTCGCCGCCATGATTGCGACAAGGGTTTTGTGTCGTCAAGCTAGGATAGGAGGTGTGGAATTTCCATTACGAGGACATACATTCACGTCCAAGTGAGATTGAGCACCGAACACGCGCAATGAGTCGCGTCGTGATAAAGTCTGAACGGTCGGAAGTGGTCGCAGCTTTTTCTGGGGAAGCTGTCCGAATTCAGCTTAGTGCGAAGCCTAACGCCGAGCTTAAATGCGCGTCGTTTGTTTGACGTGAATGTCTGGTCTGCCACTTCGACCGTGCATCACACATCTACCATAAAGAACCCATCCGATGCCATCGAGGCTGATCGCCATCCATCAATCGATCATTCGGAACCATCCGGACTCAGCTTCATCACTTCCACTCTGCCCAATGTCGGTTGGCTGCCCAGAGCAATCCTCAACCTCTCCCAGTCTTGCGTCAGATCGTCCTGCTTCTGCCGAAACTCGAAGACGTTCGCAGCAGCCGCTCGAAGCTTTTCCTCGCAGCTCTGACATATCCCTTCCACAAAGTATGTCGCGCCGCTCGGCGTGAAACAGCTGGCCAACCCGGTCTCTTCTGCGACTTTGCATCTTGTGCGGACCAAGAACGGGCTGCAACCACAGTTGATGTGATGCTCGAATTTGCCTTTGCACATTTTGGCGTGCCTCGGAGTGGGAGTATCTCTTTGCCTTTGTGAAGTTGACGTGGAACGCGATAGGTCTATAAAGGACATGAGCAGTCCTTATCGTCACTCAGGACCAGCAACCTACATTCCGCTTTGACCGATGTGAATACTTGACACCGGTCGCAGTCCCGCCGTTGCGGCATAAATCCGCGCGCACGCACGAACACTCGAATCGTGTGGCATTCACTACGACATTAGCATGGAATGACACGAGAATTCGGTGAGATGCGCACTTACACACCCTGACTTTCGACCACGAAGGACCACATCAGAACAACCATGGCCGCCCTTCCCTCGATCGTATCACTACCCGGCTTCCCACCTCAATCTCATATCACGCCCTCTTCAGCCCCTGCTCAACCTTGTTCGGATTCGCCTTCTCATAGCCCGCCTGGATCTGGACGTAGCACTTGCTGCACAAGTCCATCACGTATTCGGTCCTCTTCTTGTCGACCTCGAACTCTTTGCAATGCATTTCGTCGAAAGCGGGCGACGCAGAGCATTGATGGACGACGTTCTTCACTTGACACCCACAGTAGGTGTAGTGCCAGAGCCAGCCGTAGCACATCTTGGGATGTTGGGATGCTTTGAAGTCTTCTCGAGGTGAGGTAGGTCGCTGTCCGTCTTCAAGTGATTTGCTTTGCTCAAGGTGGTTGTATATTCAACTGACTGTGGCTACGCTGTAAGCTTTTGGTGGACGGCTGTGAGGCTTGAGGCTTCACTGACAATCGAGATATACCGAGTGTATGGAATGAGGAGCACGACGAGCAACCTGTTAGGTTTGGTCTGATCACGTGGAAATTGCACCCATCAGCAGCAGCATCAGCGGCGCGTCAAGTTTCGTTATTTCAGCGAAGCATACGAAAGTGATGGTCGCCGCGGGTGGTGTCTCGCGATCCATGTGGTGCTGCATATGTTTGCGGCGCACAGCAGCGCAATATGTTCCGCGGCCAAGTGCTACTTGAGACCAGCCTACCATTCCATGCTGATCACGGCAGGTGACAGCCAAGAATGAATACATGTACCATGCGCAGCTGCATGATCACGTGCAGCGCCATCCAATCGTGCGCAGGCGTCAATGACCTGGGACTGTCGCTCCCAACGACTACATGTAGGCATGAGCAAGAACATAAGCCACAGTCATTGGGAAAGAGCTTTATTCTAAGCGGAAGGAAGCCGTTGTTCATCCACTAGATCAACGATGTTTCGCCACTCGAAAGCCTTCGAAACATGCGTCCCAGCCTGCCCGGTGGCTTTTGCGATAACAGCAGTGGCGACGCCTCGTCCGCCTCTTCCAACGCAACCTCCACATCCCCACCGCCAACACTCCGGCATTGCATAGCCGCATAGACGACAGTGGGATAGTAAAGAATCCTACCACCGAACCAGCATGTCAGCAAAGAATCCATGACTCTCTCTCAACCTCGCCAGCGAACATACAGCAACAAAATCGACGCAAACCCCGTCGCCTGCAGTCTCAACCCCCGATCGAAAAACCGATAGTTATTCAACGGATTAAACCCCACATCCAACATCATCCAAACCCACAACCCCGTCGCCAACACCGCTTTCGCGCTCTCAAACTTCAGCGTCAGGTGCTTTGACGCCGCTGCTGAACCGCGGAGTTGGCGTTGCACCAGGACCACGAAGATGATGCCTGCGGCCATGAGGGAGGTTAGGAGGCTCATGACGAAGTCGTAGATTGCTTCGATGGAGCTCAGGAAGTGGGTGAAGGCTTCTGTGCCGAGGAAGAGGAGGACGGGCGCTGCGGAGAGGGCTTGGAAGAGCCAGGCTGTGCGGAGGCAGGTTTGACCTAGTGACATTTTGGGCGGTGGGGATGGTGGGTGCTGGGTTTGTGAATGTCTTCTATTGATCAAGGATTGTACACAATGCAGTCGCTACAAAAGACACAGGATGGATCCGTGTGACGGCGTGCTCGCTTTTGATTTTGAGCAGAATCGCTGCCTAGACACCAACGTGCGTTCCAAACAAGACATGCACCTATCCGCCCGTGTCAGCGTCTCCGTCGTTTCGGTCTACCATTGTTGCAAATTGGCCAGCCAATGGCATTGGGCTTGATTAAGTCTGACGCGCGGGATGCGAGGAAAATACGAGAAAAGCGGCAGCCTGATATTATGCGGGGCGGAGGGTTGGATTTTCGTGGGGGTGTTTCAAGCCGTGGCTTCCGAATAACTCCGCCTCAGTCGCCGCACTCGCACTGGTCGAGAATATTTTTGAGTATCAAATTGACAGTAGTAATTGGGAAAGATTGAAGCTAGACAAACACTCCCCGCTGTAGCCTGCCAACATCAAATGGCATCCATGCTAGCCCTCGTGGTCAAGACCTCATTCTTGTTGCCCAGCCGACTAATCTGCAAAAACGCATCGCACCCATATCCCTCCAGACTATGCAACTCCAGACTGCCCGCCCAGTACTCGGCGTAGATCTTCGCCATCGGCAATCCCATTCCCAAGCGAAGGTTCGGAGGCCTACTCACAAACGACGACAGCGAGCTCCCGTGCTTCTCGGCGTGATGTTGCTGTTGATCAGACAGCGCAGGCGACATTTGCAGCTCGTGCATGGTGGCGGCGAGTTTGGGCACCTGGCCTAAATTCTGGAGTCGGCGGTCGCGACGCGGGCCTTTGGTGAAGGACCAGAGGTAGGGCAGGATGTCTTGACTCACGCCTCCGCCTTGGTCGGATACGCGGATGATGACGTGCTGTGCTGCTTCGCAGATTAGGACTTCGATTGGTGGGGGGTTGGGGCCGCCGCGTTGCTCGACGACGGCTTGGATGCTGTTTCGCAGCAGCTCGCCGATGATGTACTCGATGTGGGAGAGGATGTAGGGGAAGGTGGTGTCCAGATGGCCTTGCACGACGACTTTGGGGATGGAGACGTCCGGGCCGTAGGCCTTCTCCACGAGCTGTTTGGAGCTCTCTGCACATCGCTCGATGATGTCCTTTGCGTTGCACTTGAGGAGTATGTGTCCCACGTAATCATCATCGGTCGTGGAGCTCGAAGCCTTGGTCGGCTGGCGCGGCGCATTAAATCTCTCCGTCAGTGCTAGGTGTTGCTGCGCAATCAGTCTGCGACTAATGCGCGAACGCAGAAGCATAGTCATGAACCGATCACACTCGTCAGCCCCGACGACGTCTTTGATTTCGAGCACGCCCATGGCCAATCGCGGGATGACGGGTAGATGCTCGTTTAAGATGTGGTCGAGAACCGAGCAGAAGCGTTCGTTGCTCTCCAAGTCGCGGATCTCGGGTACTTTGCGCACACGCTCGAAAGCGGAGTAGTACAGCTCGTAGACATAGCCAATGTGCTCGTTTGTCAAGGCAGAGTACGGGAGGGTTTGAAAGTCGCGGAGCCGATGCGCAATTCTCGTGGGCAGTTCCAGGCGCACGTAGTTGGCTGCGCTGATAAGGCGCTCGTCCGTCAGCGTCCTACCGAAGAATCCAAGCTGTCGTAGGCTGATTGGTCGGGCATCGCGCATTACCCATTCGTCCAGAACGTGAGATGGTCTCCATGGAGGGGGAAACGTGGTGGTATCGTGATTTCGAGTGGTGGCTACGCTGCTGTACGCCAGGACCCTCGCAGACGGCGGAAGACGGAGTATGTGCTTGTACAGTGACCGTGTAGACCTTGCAGGTCGCGCGAGTTGCGTCGTCGCCATTATATCGTGGGCTGTCGTGGAGTTGTTAGTCGAATGAGGCCGAGTCATCCTCCCCGAAAGTTCAAGTTGGCGAGGGCCAAAAGCACGGACCGCCTGGGGATGAGACGACAGCATGTTCACCACACCAACTTCGTTGCATGAATGGAACTTAGAGGAACGTGGAAAGTCGATGATATCTTACCGCCTAGAAAGTTGAACAAGTATATACATGTACCATCTAGACACTGCCTCGTGCTTTGATTACCCTGCTTTACATGAGACAGCTACCGGGAGTCAAGGAAGAAAGATGCGGAAAGACGGCTGTGCTTTGATTGTCTATCTCAGAATATAACGGTTCTTCGAATGCTCTCACGGCACCCACCTCGGTCTATACGCTGGAACTCAAGGTTTATGATCAGACAGCGAAGCGGCTTTCACTTCTTCTCCTTTCCTTTGCTTCCCTTCTTCTCAACCCTCCCTCCCTCCCTTAGCCTTGTCTTTGCCTTCCATCCCCTCCCGAATGCGATGCGACCGTCGCTTCCCCTTTCCTCCTTGATCAACTTGGCCCTCAGCTCCACTTTCAGCATCTTCCTCGCCATCTCCCTCCGCCGGATCCGGGATCCAGTCGAGGATACCGCAGCGCCAGCACTTCCCCTCGAAGACCGTAAGCTCGTCGCCCTCCACTTCGCCTGCGCAGTGTGGAGCCCATCTGCACCCCACGATCTCGTAGCGCTCGGCGTACGGGAGCACGCACACGACGCAACGCATCACGACTGGGTGCTTTTGGCACATCTTGATGGTTTTGTTGTGAGTTATTGGCAGCCGGGTTGCTGAGGTTGCTTGGTCCGCTTGTTGAGTCTGCAGTGTGGAGTCGAATTGATGAAGGCCTTGCGGATTCGTAGGGCTCTTGGATGAGTGTGTCGAGATGAGGGGAGAAGTTGAGAATATAGAAGTGTAGAAAGTGCGTATATATCCCTCTGCAACGGCGAGGGTACTTAGACGTCAATGTAAGCAACGTGAAGCACAATCCGCAGAGGCAGTGACGTTACTTATTCACTCCCCGACGGTGAATGGACGTACCTTACGTTCCAACCTTCCATGTCCTGATGCTGAATGAGCATCTTCCATACTGAGCTCATGGAAAGATTTCGAGTGAGCCAGTCGCAGCGTGGCGAAAGCTGTTCGTCGGAAGCACATCGGTTCGTTGCCGCTGCATGCTTGTTCTTCAGATACGTTGTGGGGACACAGGCGTACATTGCTGCTGAGATCACTCTTCCAAACAGATTCAGTCTGAAATAATAAGATCTTTGCCGGCCCCATGTCTTCGTCGCTGTCCTCAACACGATCCTTGAATGCGTCGCTGCGATTGGTGTCTTCGTTTAGCGTCTCTGCTCCTTGTATAGTACTCTGTGCCAAGCTTGCATCACATAGGACATCGTTGGGCCAGAGCCTGGTGCAAGAGAAAGCCTTCAACTTCTTCGCCTGTCGCTGGGAGAGGTTTCTCGGGTGTGTATCTCAAGAAAGGGCCGACAATCGGAAGCCGTCACCACATTGAAGCCACGCTCCCAAGAGGATGTTGTCGAAAGCCAGTATGGCTATACAATGCTGTTGTTGTTCTATAATGCCGCTGTTATTGTTCGCACAAAGTAGGCGGCGAAGAGATGCACCCCAAGAGATGTCGGCGGCGCTCGTGCGAAGCAGGTGGTTGCTGGTAGCGTGTCATCACTGGGGTCTTCGCAAGTCTGGTCAACAGCCCGTGCAGTGCAGCGCCGAGCAGATTTCGAAAGGTGCTGCAATTCGTCGGTCAGCGCATTGTGGGGTGCGCATGCCAGTCGAGGTTGTTATCCAGGATGGTGATATAGTCCGTAGAAGAGCGTGTATATAGTGCTGTTGCTGCGAAGCGGGGCCACGGCCTCTACGCTGGGCTGTGGAGTCGTCGAGGCGAGAGGCTTGTTGATGATTTCGGTCAAAGCGTTGGCCTTATTGACATTCACGTCATGCCCCTGAATGATTGTCAGCAACGGATTGTGTGTTCGGCATAGAATGCAGTGATGAAAAGTACCCTCGTTACGGAATGACTGGGTCTTTGGACGTTAAGTCTTCTGCCTGCTCGACTCTACCACCCATCCATGAGACTCAAGGACGTCGTGGTCAAGCGCAGACTCCAGCTTGTGGTGCGTTGATATCACCCTTCTCATCCGCCAACAAGAACAGCTTCTTCTGAGCGCTGTTCGAACCCAGGATGATTGCAAGAAATTCTTTCGACGCTTGAGATGTACGGAGGACGTCCAATGCCCTCAGCAGATCCACGACGAGATTGCAGAGCTCCCAAGCCCGAGGACCGTGATAGATGATGTCTGCGGGTGAGAAGTGCAAAGAGAGTCCAGAAGCGGTGCTGGTACGATGTCAGAGCGGTGCGCAAGGCCGGCTTGATCGTCGGGCTCTTGGGTACGGGCACTGGTATATAGAGGGAGTCTTGAAAGAGTGGATATATCATTGACTGAGAAAGCGATGAGCATTCCGATGAGAGAAAAGTTCGTCGTATTTATGTTAGTGGACACTGTGAGAACGGGTGTTTGCAGGTGAGACAAGCAGCGAGTTTGCGGGTCGGTGGCATCATCTCGAACCGGCTTGCCTCACAAACAAGATCGTGGCAAAGCCAGCACAATCATCCGTGAAAGAATGGGAACAACCGAAATATGTTTGGGTCGTCTCCGAAACTGCGCGGATTGCCATGCCTTGTGATTGCCAAACAAACTCAGGCAAACAGACTCATCTCCAGATTCAGAAGTTGATCAATCACCAGACACGGCGCTCTTGACAGCCTCCAAGTTAAGCTGTCCTTTGCGACCCCATCCAGACTGGCCAGGTGGGACTGTTGGGCGAAATTGTTCATACATTCCAAACGCCTGGGAATTGAGGTCGTCTTCTCGGCTCTTCCAAGCTTTCAGTGCGTCTTTGAACGTCTCTTTTACAGAGTCATACTGCTCGCCATACTTCTTTGCTAACGTCTCTTCGTTGGGCTTCTTCGGCTTGCCGCCCACCATGGCATGACCTTCGTTGTCCAGGCTGAGCTTGAAAGACATGGGCTCGATCTCGTCTAGCTCCTCTTTCTCTGCTTTGTCTTGTCGTGCTTGCTTTCTCTTTTCCGCTTCTTCCGGGTCGGGTTTATCGATCTTGCCTATTGACCGGCCCTTTGCAATGGCTGTGATGGTGGAGATTGCTCCTCCCGCGCTGAGACATGTAGACCACGAAAGAGATGGGTAGAGGAATTGAGTGACGCAGCTTGCCCAGAGCTCGAGCACGGGCGCTCGGTTGATGGTGACTGAGTCGCTTGCGTTGTCTTCGTGCTTTGTCACATCTTTGCGAGGCTTCTTTGCATGGGTACTATTGTTGGCACCTTCGCTTGCTTTACGTTTGTTCGAAGAGGCTTTGTTTGAAGAAGGGTTGGCGTTTTCGGTGCGACCTGCCCCGACGTCCTCGAGGCTGACCTGCTTCTTGGAGCTTCTGGTGCTGGCGGGCATTATGTAATGCCGATCACGAATAACGAGGAGGCAATGCAAAGGGACGTGGGGTTGAGCGGGGAGGCGGGTGAGGTCCGAAGCTGGACGGCACGGCGGGGCCCACAAATTCGCAGCATTGACCATACCAACCTTAAGCCCCACCACCGCGGAGCTCCAGGGTTGTCACTTCCGGCTTCCTTTCAATAATACCTCACTCACCCCAGCTGACGCGGTCATCACCCGATCGAGATATCCACCCTCGATGCCGCTCTCACGCCAGGAGCCCGTGTCGTGCGAATCGTGCCGGCGGAAGAAGCTGAAGTGCAGCCGCGAGCACCCTTGCTCCAACTGCACCGACCGCGGCGTCGCATGCGTCTTCTCCGGCCGCCCGCCGATAGCTCGCCCATCGCCGCCAGCAGTCGACAGTCTTGCCGACCTCATTCGGGAGAATGCCGTCATTCGATCCCGCTTAAGTCGACTCGAGGAACTGCTTGTCAACCAAAGCCCGGATGGACGCGCGGAGCGGCCGACCAAGGTGAGGCGGCTAGACTCGCACGATGAGACTGTCCTTACCCCGTCAACCACGCCTTCAGCGGCGCCGCCCGATTCGGGGCCACCGCCTGATACAGAATTCACGCGGAGCTACAGAAGTGATGTGCAGTGGCTTGGCGCCGTAGGTACGTTGAAATCACGTTGCCGCCTTCCATTCCATCTGCTCCAATTGTGATTGTCGCATACTGATAACTGGGCCGTTCAGGCACACAAGAAAACACCAGGCTACCACATATTTCTGCGGAATTCGAGATCCGCGTGGAGTCGATGGATCAGGTTGTACAGGCGGCCACATCCAGCTATCCGGATAGATGCATCATGCTTCCATCCGAGGCCGAAGCGTTCCGTCTGTTCTCTGCCTATGTCGACGAAATTGATCCAATGCAACATGTTATCCATGTTCCGACCGTGCGCGACTCAATTCGGAAGCTGTATAGTAGGATCAACCGACAGGAACAAGTCGAAGCCAACGAGACTGTACTGCTCCTCAGCATTCTTGGAAGCATGGCATCGTACTGGAGCCCTATCGTGGACCGTCATGCTACCTTCGACAGCACACAAAGCTCAACCGCCGTTTCCGTGCTTTGGCTGAGGCAGACGCTTGATATCATGGAACACGTACGACGTTCATCTTCCGCCAATCTGGCGACCGTGCAGGCATATTTGATTACCGTCTTCCTGTAAGTGTCGAGAGCGCATACGGCTTCTTCAGAGCCATGCTAATCCCGACACAGCGTCTATCACATCGAGGGCTTCTCCCCCAAAGTTCGCGGAATCTTTGCAGCAGCCATCTCGGCCGCCAAAGACCTTGGACTGCACAAAACGGATGCGCAGCCCCGAAAGGATGATTCGCCGGCGGAGCGGCTCGACACAGAAATCCGCCGAAGAGTATGGTGGCACGCAGCTTGTACCGACTGGTAAGTCAATCGTGAGCATTCGCGAGCAGACTCTGACCATACGCCAGGACATTCGCCATGGCCGGTGGACCTCACGAAGGCACTTACCTCGTCAATCCCAGACATATGGCAGTGAATCGACCACGCAACGTCACGGACGAAGAATTATCCTCTGCTCCCTCCTATTTCACGAGACCGCTTTCCGAGCCGACCATCATGGGTTACTATCTGCAGCGCATTCGCATGTCGGAGCTGAGTCGAGAGATGACCGATTTGACATACGGCTTAGAGGGTGACTGCATCCCCGCGAATCTCGCCGACGACCTCGATGCCAAGTTCCGAATGTTCCTCTCCGAGCTGCCTGCATTTCTTCGAGTGGGGAAGCACGTCGAGGGTGTGACTTATGTGAACGGAACACCTCGTGCAGCTGGTATGTGCCATGGAATGGCCTCATTGCGGCATTGGCTAACGAGTGTGTCTCTCAAACGTAGTTCTACAGAGGTACATGGTCAACTTGGCCCTGCACGCCAAACGCGCCAAATTCCACCTGCCCCTGCTATTGCGCAAGGAGCCCAAATACGCCTTTTGCAGAAACGCATGTCTGGAATCCGCTCGCGCGGTCATCCGGCTCAAACTGGAATTGGCCCAGGACAACTTCTCCCTATGGATCTCCAATTCCAAGCTTGGAGGATTCTTACATCTGTATGTTCGGCATCTGCCCAAAGACAGCGCTTGAGCTGACTAGACCACCCAGATTCTTCTACGCGACCGTCGTCCTACTGATGGACTTTTGCGTCAATCGCGACGTCGTGGACGAGGTAGAGCGAGGCAAGGAATTGCAGCAAGCGCTCAACACCCTGGAGCAGGCGAAGAGGCAGTCCATCACCGCGGCCCTCTTCCTGGACACCCTCATGTCCGCCTTGCAGAAACACAACATCCGCCTCCAGACCCAGCGGCCCGTGGAAGGCATCGCGCGGGCTGTGTCTATCGATGCGTCGGCCGAAAGAATGCACTCGAATGGAGGGTATGTCGGCGGGAGCTTCGATAATCTCGACCTCGACGAGCTGTGGCAGAGCTACGTGAATTCGGAGATGAGTAATGACTGGACGCCGTTGCTGAGCGATTTGCAGACTGCTGCTTGGGACTAATTAATCGTACACGCTTTAGCGAGTTTTTGAGAGACGCAATCGATTCCATCTCAGACTGTCGAAGCTTTGTCACATGGTGCTGTGCGCTCGCCGAGTGTCGTGAAGAGGAAGGTAAAGGCACCGAATGGTCAGCCGGCAGTTCCCCACATTCCCCACATCCCCGCCCTCCGAGGCTACCAACCCCAACTTCACCTTCCATGCGGCAGTAATCATCCGTCATGTCCTTGCGACCAACTACGTGACTGCGATAATAACTGGCTTAAAGCGAACAAATAACACAGCCCTCCAAAATGGCCGGTGAGAAGTCCCCGTCGCCCTCCCTTCCCATCCATCCTAACACCCGTTAACAGCAATCGCCACCGCCGTCGCCGGCACCGCAGCAGCGGCAGCCTACCTCAACGCAAAATTCCACATCCAGCACGACCTAACCGCCGGCTCACTAGTCAACACCGCCGCCGCCGCCCAAACCTTCATAGCCGAGAAGCAAGCCCAAGGCAAACTGCTCCTCTACCACAAGCTAGAGGACCACGCGCGGGAGCGCCCCGATCGCCCGTTCTTGGAGTACGAGGATCGGGCGTGGACGTACGGCGAGTTTTTCGCGTGTCTGCAGCGCGTGGGCAATTGGTTGATGAATGATTTGGGGGTGCGGGAGGGGGAGATTGTGGCGCTTGATGGGCCGAATAGTGCGGAGTATTTGATGCTTTGGTTTGCGCTTGAGGGGATTGGGGCGGGGGTTGCGTATGTCAACTCCCATTTGACGGGGGCGTCGTTGGTGTCGTCTGTTAAGGTTTGTTGTGGTTGTATCTTGAAGTGTGGGATATTTGGCTAAGACGGTGACAGCTTTGCGAGGCGAGGTATCTTATTGCCGAGCGAGGGATTGAAGACCTCGTCGCTCCGCATGTGGATGAGCTTCGCGGTGCTGGGGTCACGACTTTCTGGTATGATGCTGCTTTTATCGACTCGTTGACTGATACTACGCCAATACCGCCGGAGAGAGGCGCGAGGACTCAGGCTACTGATGTTCGAAAGGTGAGCTTTGTGTCTTCACTATGTCCTCAAGCACTTAAAGCGTTGCCTGCTGACTTGAGATGCAGTAAGAAATATTGTGACATTGGAACGATAATTTGTATTAACGCTGCCGACAGACTCATCTATACATCGGGCACCACTGGTCTGCCAAAAGGCGTGATGCAAATGGTCGGAAGGACCTTGAACACTGCCAGAAATATTGCAGAGTACTTGAAATTGACGCCCGACGACAAGTTTTATACTTGCCTGCCTCTCTATGTGAGTGCATTCGCAGATCGGAGAGTGAATGAAACTGATGATTTCGCAGCACGGAGCGGGCCAGGGGTTGTGTACGTACAATCTACTTCAAGCTTTCCCCCAAGGAGTCCATGGGCAACAGCAGCTAACCCAAAGTCAGGCACAACCCCCGTCATCTACGTCGGCGCCTCCATGCGCCTCGGCCGCCGCTTCTCCCACAAAACCTTCTGGCCCGAAGTGCACGCCAGCAAAGCCAACAGACTCCAATACGTCGGCGAGCTGTGCCGCTACCTCGTCAACGCGCCGCCGCACCCGCTCGAGCGCAGGCACCACCTCGCCGAAGCCTGGGGCAACGGCATGCGGCCGGACGTCTGGGAGCGCTTTCGCCAGCGCTTCAACATCCCCGTCATTCACGAGTTGTATGCTGCGACGGACGGCATGGGGGCGACGTTTAATTACAATCGCGGCGAGTTCACGCGGAACGCGATTGCGTTGCGGGGACTTATTTGGCATGCTAGGAATGGGGGGACGGAAGTACGAGCGAAAATTGATCCTGATACGGAGGACATTGTGCGCGGAAAGGACGGCTGGGTCCTCAAAGCCGGCATCAACGAAGCGGGCGAAGTGCTGCACAAAATCGACCCGAGCGTCAAGACAACAGCGTTCAGAGGCTACTTCAAAAACCCAGCAGCGTCGGAGAAGCGGTGGATGCAAGGCGTCTTCGAACCCGGAGATCTCTGGTTCCGCTCGGGGGACGTGATGCGCCTCGACGCCGACGGCCGCGTCTTCTTCGTCGATCGCGCGGGCGATACGTTCCGCTGGAAGTCGGAGAACGTGAGTACAAACGAAGTGGCGGATGTGGTGGGCTCGTTTGCGCAGATTGCGGAGACGAACGTGTACGGCGTCGCTGTGCCGCACGCTGATGGCCGATGTGGGTGTGCGATGCTGGTGCTGCAGCCCTCCACTTCGCCCGAGAGTCTGGACTTGCGGGGTTTGGCGCGGCATGTGTTGGAGAGGCTGCCGCGGTATGCGGTGCCTATCTTCCTCCGAGTCACGCCGCAGATTGCCGTGACGGGAACGTACAAGATGCAAAAGGGGCCGGCGAAAAGGGAGGGCGTGGACTTGGATGTCTTGGAGAAGGCTGGGAGTCAGGATCGGATGTTTTGGCTACCGAATGATGGGAATAGCTATGTGCCGTTTCGCCGGCAGGATTGGGAGGCGTTGAAGGCGGGTAGAATCAAGATATAGAAGATGCAATGGTCATGTGAGTATTGCCCTATTCTTCTGCAGTGGTGGGAGGTGCCGCTTCCTCTTTCACCTCCTCGCTATGCTCCACAGGGATTGCCGACGCTTCATGGCTGTCAGTCCCAGCAGCTGGCTCTTCAACGACGACCCTCTCTGAGTCTGCGACCGGAGCGGCTTCCACCACGCTACCTTCGACGTTCGTGATCTCATGATCGCTGGCATCACTCACCACCCGCTCCTTCTCCTCTTCCTCCAGCTCAGCAGCCTCCCAGTCATCAACCACCACCTCCTTCTTGACCTTCACTTTCTCCGGCTTCTTCTTCGAGAAGGTGACTTTGTTGCCACCCAGGGCGGAGAAGGCATTGCTTCCAACAGAAGCTTTCGGAGCCACAGTGACTCTCGATGCAGCCTTCTTGGCCGCAACCTTCGACCAGCCATCAGCAGCCGCATGATCCGTCGACTCCCGTCTAACGACCTGCATGGACGGATCAATGCATCCCAATTCCGCCGTCCCGAAATTTTTCGCTTTGATGACGCGGGCAAACTCCGGCTTGATATCTTGCAGCAGCTTTTGGAGATCGGTGCCGTGCATAGTGCTTATTGCTTTGAGTATCACCTCTTCACCGGGCATGAATTGAATGTCGAACGTCAATGGCATGTCTTTGTGCAAAAGACCGCCAATCTCCACCTGAAGCTCATCGACCATGAGGCCGAAACGTGGATTGGTGATGACGAAGCAATTATACGGCGCAGTAGAGGCAGCAGTGCGTTTTGCCGTGGATGCTGAAGCTTCGGTGTCCGAGACATTGACGACGCGCTGTGCCTTTCTGATCCGCACAGCCTCCGCAACAGTCTTGCTAGGCGCAGCGACAAATCGCGGCGTCTTCCAAATCATGACGTGCCGATGTGGTTCGGGATCCATGCTTTCGGAGTCAAAGCCGTAGTCTTCGGCAAGCGCGTGGATAAAAGCCCGCTGAGATGACTGCATGGGTTTGAAACGCAGGCGTTTCTCGTCCGCTGACGCTGCAAAGACGCGGAATTCCCTTTCTTGCGTCTGCGCCCATTTGACGTCTTCCGTGAAGAGGTTGAGCGTTTCCGTGGAGTACGGGATGTGATCTCCTCCTTCTACGTGTGCCGACTGGTCGATGTTCAAGGCCAGAGCGAGCTTGCGATTGCGTTCAAGCCGGGCACATTCGTCGGTGCAAGGAAGCGTTTTACCAGCATTGCCTGGATTGCTCCTCGAAGCACTGCAGCGAGCTTCTTGTTTCTGTAGTTGACACTCGCAGGTGATGTAGATCTTGCTCTGGCAAGGCTTGTCCTCTTTGCAAGCGAATGGTGCGTGGCATGTATTCTCCATGTCTGGATGGCCGCACACTTTCTTGAGCTTCCCGCAGGGCTGTTGACAAGGCTGGTTATTTGCGTCTTCGCATTCGCCGACCCGATGGCATGTCTTTCGGCAGTGATGAGCGCCGCACTTCAGCATCTTTCCGCAAATCTCACCGCACCTGACGTCCTGCAGCCAGCAAGGCTGGTTTCGTACGGTCTTCTTCCCACACATACAAGGCTTCTCGAGGAGATACGGGCACTTCGGACACGCTTCGTCATCCTGGTGGCAGTTGTGGGCGACAGAAGGGTGGCCGCAAAGCTTTGGCCTGGTGCAAGGGTATCGACAAGGAGGCGCCTTGGTTCCACACGGAAGCGGAGGCTGCAAGACACTGCGGCCGCAATGACAGCTGATCTCCTCGAAGACTGCCTCGCGACAAGTGCCGCATGGTCCCCGATGGCAAAGCTCGGTGCAATGATGTGTTCCACACTTGAGCAGTCTACCGCATTGAAGAGTGCAGATGTGCTCTGCTTCAAAATCCTCGATCGACGGGTGGGAAAGGGCGGCCAGAGATCGCTGTTTCCGTCTCGAATTCTGCCGCTCCGCTGCCATGCGCTCTCCGGGACAGCAGACTTCATCGCACTGGTGTCGGGAGCAGTTGAGCAGGGCTTTACAAACTCTCCCGCATTGAGGTGTCTCTTGTTGGCCTTCGTGGCAGATCACACTGAACGAAGTCCTTCCGCATCTGCACCGAATGTCGACTTTCTTGGTACAAGGCGAGCAGGCACCGGGATGGCAAACTTGCTCGTCTTGATGACCGCAAGAAAGGATTCTGCCGCAAGGTTGCTTGCATTGCGGAATAAGATCGGAGCAATGTTGTCGAGTTTCGTCAGTCAGAGTCTGCAAGGGTGTCTTCCCGCATGGACAATGAGTGACGAGCTCAGGTGAGCGAGGGCAGTGCGGTGATGCCGTGTCCTGCGGATGGCATCTTTGCTCGCATTTGTGTAGTCCGCAGTCGAATTCACGGCCACACACATTGCCACAATCGAACGAGCCCGTCCAGCTTTCGACTACGGGATCGACATCACCGGTGACATGGCTGACTTGACTCTCCCGCCCCTCGCCTCTGTCATCACAAAGTATGTCCTTCTCCATCTGTCCACAATAGCACCGGGCGTACATCCGAACCTCGCAAGCCCCGCAGAGACCCTCGTGGCAAGGCCTACTGCAAAGGTGCTCGCCACACGGCATGGTCTCGCCGCATAGCTCACCACAACTCCAGCCGGAGTCGTAGTCGGTTTCGGAACATCGTTTCGTGACTTCGTGCTTGCCGCAAAAGCAGATCTGTGTCGGTCCCATGTGTGAACACGGAGGACAGGGTCCGGCATGGCATGGCAATTCGCAAGGATGAGGACAGCGTTTGGCCCGTTCCTTGCCGCATGTATTGCCACATGAGTGGGGTGGCAGACCAGCTAATGGTTTCGGGTCGATTTCCTTCCCACACCAGCAAGCGTACAACTTCGGCATATCAGTCTTGGGTAGATTGCATCCCGGGCATCTCCACATGCGTGGCGGAGGATCGTTGCCATCTTGAGCAGTTGGCTGAGCAGCGGCGGCACCTTCGTTCGTCGACCATTTCTTGATACACGCGAGATGGAAGACGGTCCAGCAAGTGTGGCATGCCCAGACTTTCGAGTTGCGACGCACTTCGCTAGTGCATATTGGACACTCGTACAGGCCACGATCTATGTCCTCATGCGTTCGAGTGGCAATATCTGAGGCCTGGGATTTCGACAGTCGGCGTTTGGGTGGCTGCTGTTTCCGTTTTGGCGGTTGACTCTGTGATGTTGTGGAGTCCTGCTGCTGGCCAGGCACAAAATTTGCGGCCGTCGGCTGCAAGGCAATTACGGAAGTGCTATCGGTGGAAAGGTTGGTATCCTGTCGGGTCAACTGGCCACCAAAGGTTCGCCCGTTGACTGTACGAGGCTGTGCTGGTTTGCCACGTCCGCGCCCTCGGCCTCGCTGTGATGTGGGGGCGTTGTCCGCGACGGATCGAACGGGTGCAGATGAGGGCTCGACACTGGCAGGCCTGAATGATAGAGCCGAATTGGAGTTGTCGTTTCCGCGACCTCTGCGTGGCCGTCGCTGCCGATGACCTCGGGTTGGACCGTCTGTGGGTTGAGGGGCTTGTGAAGCGGTAGCTGCTGCCTCCATACTACGGGTCTTTGCGCCTGGCGGCGTTGGGTATCTGTCGTGTTTGAAGTCGCTCGTCTGCTCGGTGTAATCTGTCGTGATTGCAAAAGACGCAGGCTATGCGGAATTAGAAGTCGTCACAGCAGTTCAAAGATTAACGAGAGAAAGGAAGTGAGTCGAGAGAACGCGAGTGCAGCAAGTTGATATGTCACGGGCAGTGGCGAGGTTAGTGAAGACTCACAATGATTGCTCTAGTCGATTCTAAGCTTTTAGGCTTTGCGGCCCGCATCCCATGTCCCTGCATTCCGAGTCGGGTTAGGTCGGCTTTGGCGGTACAATGGAATGGGAAAGCACATCCCACGTCCTCCTCTGCCTCGCGACTTCATGATCGCTCTACGCTCCTGCCTCACTTTCCGCATTTTCCCCGAATCCCGCTTCATCGCCTCATCTCCTACCATCTACACCTCATTGCGCTTTCGCCACTCCCGCACGATGGCTTCGAAAGCTTCGCTGAAGAGAGCAGAGGATTTCGTGGATTTTCTCAATGCCTCGCCCAGTGGTGAGTCACTAGACCTGCACGACATGGGAGAGTGGTCTGGTCTGATTCTCCTCTAGCCTTCCACGCCGTCCACTCGGCCAAGCTACGTCTGGAGAAAGCTGGCTTTACCCAGATCAAGGTACGGTTGCCACGCGACTCTAGAGAACTCGATCTAACATCCATGCGTAGGAACGAGATGCCTGGTCCTCCACCCTCCAGCCCGGCGGCAAGTACTACCTCACCCGTAATGCCAGCACCATCATCGCTTTCGCCATTGGCGCCGCATGGAAGCCCGGCAACCCCATTGCGATGGTCGGCGCACACACCGACTCCCCGTGCCTGCGGGTGAAGCCCATTTCGAAACACACCGGCGATGGATATATGCAAGTCGGCGTGGAGTGCTATGGCGGTGGCATGTGGCATACCTGGTTCGACCGCGATTTGTCGCTTGCGGGAAGAGTCATGGTGAAGGGAGCGGATGGCGCGATGGAGCATCGATTGGTCCGTGTGAACAAGCCCATCCTGCGCATTCCCAACCTGGCGGTGCATTTCGGAAGCAGTGTGCCATTCGAGTTCAACAAAGAGACTCAGCTCTACCCTATCGCTGGCTTGGTATCCGCTGAGCTGAACCGCACCGGCAAGACTGCAGAGGAGACGAAGAAGGCAGAAGGCGAGGCGGAGAAAGACGCCGACTTTGCGCCGTTGAAGGCGACGAGCCAGAGACATCATCCCTACCTCATCTCCCTCATCTCCAAGGAAGCCGGGTGCAAGCCTGAGGAAGTGCTTGACTTCGAGCTGCTCCTTTACGATACCCAACCATCACGTATCGGCGGGCTGAACGATGAGTTCGTATACTCTGCCCGTCTTGACAATCTCGGCATGACCTACTGCACCGTCGAGGGTCTTATCCAATCCCTGCGCGCCCCAGTTGGAGGAGACGACAGCATAATTCGACTCATCGCCTGCTTCGACCACGAAGAAATCGGCTCGACATCCGCGCAAGGCGCCGACAGCAACATCCTCCCTGCCGTCATCCGTCGCCTCTCTTGCCTGCCAGCTGCATCATCTTCGTCAGCGTCGGAAAGCAGCGAAGGCAGCTACGAGAAAGTCCACGGGCACAGCGGGGCAGATGATCTCAGCACAGCCTTTGAGCAAACCCTGGCCACCAGCTTCCTCATCTCCGCCGACATGGCGCACGCCGTGAACCCCAACTACTCCGCCAAACACGAGCCGCAACACCGCCCGGAGATGAACGCCGGCACCGTCATCAAAGTCAACGCCAACGTCCGCTACGCCACGAGCTCTCCAGGCATCGTGCTCCTCCAGGAGTGTGCGCGGCGCGCCAAAGCCGCCTCCTTCCAGCCCCCAGGCGCCAAAACTTCGGCCGGCGGCGTGCCCCTGCAACTGCTCGTGATGCGCAACGACTCCCCATGCGGCAGCACCATCGGACCCATGATGTCGGCCAAGCTGGGTGTGCGGACCATTGATGTCGGCAATCCGCAGTTGGCGATGCATTCTATTCGCGAGACGTGTGGGACGCACGATGTCGAGCATGGGGTGAATTTGTTTGAGAGCTTTTTCGAGCATTATGGTGAGTTGGAGAAGAAGGTCCTGGTGGATTAGATAGGTGCTATCAATCAAGTGCTTCGTTTTGAATGCTCGGGAATTACTGCAGCTAGCTGAACGACACACCGCTCTACTGGAGCTGTGGATTGAAGAGTGGCAGCCTGACGTGAAGCACCGTTAGAGTTTGAGCGATGCGGGGGCTAGCGTCAAGCAGTTGTTTACCAAAATTAGCACTCCAGTCGCGACGGGCACGCGACACGACCGCGACTCATCTTCACCTCATCGCATCGCGGGAGAGAGAGAGAGGAGAACAGGCGGGCAGCGAGCATCGACGCAGTGCCAATCACGCACTCGCAATGTCTCTTCTCCCCTCCTCTCCACCGCTTGTACCCTCCTCTCCCCCGCTTCTTCCCCAGCTCGAAGATGACTTGCCGCTGGACGAAGATACCGCCGCAGCGGACGAGCTCCCCCTTCCCATCCGCCCGAGCAGCAGCAACAAAGATGCTGCGCGCAAGCTGCACCTCAAACGCCAATTCTCCGACTACGGCAGTCAAATCAGCAGCGATCCGCTGTTCTCCGAAGGTCCATCAGATGTCGAAGAGGAGGGCAGTGATCGACGGCGGAGGAAGAAGCACTTTGTTGGCCCTTGGTATAATTTGCGGCGCACGTCGACGCAGAGTTTGCTGAAGAGTATGGCGCGGAGAGAGCAGTTGAGGAATGCGGATAGTGGGGTTTTCATGGGGAGTGATGAGACGGAGTCGACGTTTGATGACTTGCCTTCGAGTCCGCGGAATGAGATTGGGGAGTTTGTTGAGCGAGATCCGTTCCCGACTCAGATTCGCCCTCGAGCCTTGCCTACACCTTCCTCTGAACATCGCGCGGCTAGGGTCATTCAAGAGTGCTTGGACGTAGGGAGAGAAACGATCGATTTGCATGGTCTCGGCTTGGCCGAAATCACTAACCAAGCCCTTCGTCCGCTTCATCAACTCATCAAACATTCACATGTCGACCTTACACGACCCCCTAGCGAAGACACGTTTCGCCCACTGACCCCATCCATCCAACTTTTCCTCTCCGGCAACAAACTCACCTCACTCCCCTCCGAACTCTTTCGCTTGATCAACATCACCGTCCTCAGCCTGCGCAACAACCACTTTTCCGAGATTCCTGCGAGTATCGCCAAACTCCCACATCTTGTCGAAATGAACATTGCGCAGAACAATGTCCGTTGGCTGCCCTGGGTGTTCTTGGATCTAATGCACTCCCGTGGCGGCACTCCAAGACGCAACATTACTCTCCGCCCGAATCCCCTCATCATGCCCCTCTCAAACTTCACGGGACCTTCGCCGCTTCCTCGCCCCTCCTTCACTCCAGGTGAATTCAAAGAGCACCTCAGTCGGTGGGGCGAGACAAACGGTGCCTTCTTCCAGCAGATGAAGCAATGGTATCGCGAGGATGACGTGCCCTGGACGATGCGCCATGAGCTGGAACTACGCCTCAAACTCAGTCGTCTCCGCTTGAATCGTTGGCTGACAGAAGCCTCGCGAGCAGGCGTCGAACTGCAGCAGCGAGATGAACAGCTGCTATACGTCGCGAGCTCCGCCGTGCGCTTCTTCGACGTCGACGGTTCGCTCCACCGCACAGCAAACCACGCGCAGGTAGAGACACACGACGCAGACGAACTCTTTGCCGCAACTGTGGATCCCCTCGAAAATGCACCACCGAAACCCTCATCGGCCCTTCCATCTCTCTACGAACTCGCTCTCCGCTCCCTCCAATCAACCTTTACAACGCAAGACTTCACCAACCTCTACGCCCAACTTCCCGCCAACATGACCTCCACCCTCCGCAAAGCCTTCGAAGCAACCCCGAGCAGTGGTGGCGGAGGCAACGAGGCATGCGCCGTGTGCGGTTCGCGGTATATTGTTCCTCGCGCGGAATGGATTGAGTACTGGTTCCATGGCTACCCGGCGCAGGAATATTTGACGCCCGAGACGGTTTTGCCTTTTCTGAGGAGAGTTTGTAGTTGGCGGTGTGCTGTGCCTAGTGAGCTGGGTGCGTTTAAGAATTGAATGGTATTTCATCGGGCCTCTTCATTGAGTGAGGTGTTTCAGCCGTATGTGTTCAGCAGCAAGGCTGCATTTCTTTATTAGTAAGCATGGCAATTCTTCCCGATTGGGTCGTCGACAACCACCTGCACCTGCACGGCCGTTTAAGCGAGATCCACGGACATCAAGTGAAGATCGCTTAAGTTGACGCCTCTGCCGCGCCCGTATTAAACTCTATTGACGGATCATTCTTGGATCAACGACAGAAATCGCCCCCCTAACCCCCCACCCTGGAATGTGGCGTCGGCGTGTGCGCGACGTGGTGCATTCCTGTGTGCAACTTGCCCTCCCTCCCCATTTGATTTCTCCTATTGAGCGCGACGCCATGAGGGACGCAACATTCACCGCGACGAGAAGGAGGCCCAAGGCGACGGGATGAAGGTCAGGCTCAAAGCCTCGAGGTCGCTGAGGCTGGGCGCCGCGGGCACATGCGCTCTTCTTTTCCTCTTTTGGAGTCTGTGGACGTCTGTGGATTATCTTGCTGAACAGGAGGGCAAGATTCAGACGCTGCTGAGCCAGAATGAGCGCCTTCGTGAGCATTTGTCCACGGAGCATGCGGAGAAGGTCCGGTTGGAGAATGCCACAATACACCCGCACTTCTCGACTCCGCCGGCAGATGTTCTTGCTCCGCCGCCGCCGCCGCCGATGATCGTGGAAAACAGCCAGGCCCTGGAGGATAACGCGGGCTTCGCGTACGTCTTCTACGCCACCGACCCAACCTATGCCTGCTCCGTGCTGGTGAACATCGACAGACTGCAAAACGTCCTCCACGCCCGCGTGCCCATTCACGTCCTCGTCACCTCCGACATCAGCGAGAGCTACATCCGCACCATGGAAGCCATGAACGCCACCGTCCATTTGCGCGAAGCGCCGCCGCTCGCCCAGGACAGCGCATACTACTACCGCGGCAGTCTGCTCAAGCTGCTCGCGTTCGAAATGCACATCATATCGCCCGGGTTGAAGCGCGTGCTTGTCTTCGATTCCGACCAACTCATAATGAAGAATCTCGATTCCCTCTTTACTGGTCTTCCGCCTAACGACCTCGCGGCTCCTCGGGCGTACTGGCTTTCGAAGGATTTCCTGGCCAGCACGTTTATGATGATTGACCTGTCGGATCGGCTGTGGCAGAGTGTGCGGCATGCCCTCGATACGCTGGCGAAGGATAAGTTTGACATGGATATTGTGAACGAGTTGTTGGGCGACACTGTTTTGATGTTGGGTGGGGAGTACGTCACGTTGAACTCACATTGGGAAACTTGGAACTTGCCCAAGTGGTTCCATACGGAGCTGAACGTTACTGTCCAACCGACGGAGGCTGCCAGTCCGCCATCGGTGGAGGCGGTCAGTCCCCAGCCGGCGGAGGGAGACGGTTCACAGCCAGCGGAGACAGCACAGCCGGGAGAGGGAGATGGCTCACAGTTGGCAGAAACAGCACAGCCAGAAGAAGGAGGACCACAGCCAACCGAGGGCGGCGATCCACAGCCAGTGGAAGGAGACAGACCACAGCCAGTGGAAGGAGACAGTTCACAGCCAGTGGAAGGAGACAGTCCACAGCCAGTGGAAGGAGACAGTCCATCATCGGTGGAGGGAGACAATCAAGAACCGGCAGTGACAGCACAACCAGCGAACGGAGCCAGTGAAGAAGCATTGCAGGCAGCCAATAAACCGCCAGCCACAGAACCGAGCGAGCCCCCAAGAGACGATGAGCTTAGCAACGGCGGAGAAAGTGGGACGGCAGCGGTCTTGGACTCGATCTCGCCATCTGTGGATGCCAGTCCGCAACTACCGGAAGCGGCAGGTGATCAGTCGTCGCAGAACGAGGCCGTCGCTGGCGGACAAGGCGAGACAGTAGCGACGGCAGAGTCCAGCTTGTCGTCGGCAGATGGCAATCCACAGGCAGCGGGTGAAGAGAGCGACGCCCAGCCCTGGAAGTATGAGCTGGGCGCAAGGGGAGCAGGCGGGGCAACAGCAGCTCCAGAATCGAGCGACGCTTCCCGGATCCGAATGACTCGAGCAGAGGGCGACCAGGACAGCTCCTCCGAGCTCGTCGGCAAAAACGACATGAGCAATGACGGCAATACTACCACCACGACCTCCAAAGCTTCCCCTGCGCCGGAATCGATCACGACTTCAGACCCCGCAACAGAACCCGCCACTCCACCATCAAACACAACCACACCCCCAACCCGAACAACCCCCTCCGCCCCAGACTTCGCCTCCACCTACCCCTCTTCCCCTCCATCCTCCTCCTCAGCACCTCCCACCCCCTCCGCCACAGAAGTCTACCCACCCCCCGTCCCCAAATACCCCTCCACCCACCCTCTCTACATCGAACTCGCGCGCCTCCAAGAAGCCGCAAGCGTGATCCACTTCACCGCGCTCGGGAAGCCGTGGACGTGGGCGGGGTACGAGGTGCAGCAGGAGCGGCCGAGCGCGCATCCGTTGATGGCGGAGCAGTTTGAGATTTGGCGCGCGGCGGCGGCGCGCGTGTGTCCTAGTGGGTTGCCTAGGCCGTCTTATTAAGGAGTGAGAGATTTGGATAAAAGCGATGAATGCCACATTATTTCAATAGACTCCCTCCTCCTTTACGATCTCCTCGAGCAATTCCTGTTCACCAAATACCTCCTCCATGAACCCCTCGATAACCGGATTCACACTCATAAACTGCGGCCGGGGAAGACTCTGCACAATCAAGCCAAACAGACTTCTGGCCCGCGAGAGCGCCACGTACGCCTGCCCGAGCTCGAAAACGCTCGCCAGGTCCAAGATCACGCGGTCAAGCGTCAATCCCTGGCTTTTGTGAATCGTCATTGCCCAGCCTGCGATAAGTGGAATCTGCGTGCGCGACAGCAGACTGTACGGCTTATCTTTGCCCAGCTCGCGCACTTCGCACGACGCAATGATGACCCGTGTTTGTCCGTTTTTGAAGCGCACTACCGGCCACTTCTGATCCTGCGGTTCGGGGATCTGATTCCGAAAAGCCCAGATTTGGTCGTTTTGATATTGCGCACGCTCGCCGAGGGCACGCCCGCCGAACTTGCCTTTGCTGTCGGGATCCCTGTCAAAGGGCATGTGGTTCCCCATTGGTACGAAGCCGACGACGTGCCCTAGACTGCCGTTTACTAGTTTCTGATCGGGGTCGAGGTTCGTGAGGAGCAGGACTAGCATGCCATGCTTGAGCTCGAGGCGGTCGGCGAATCGGTGCTTGTCTTCGTGGCATCGGAGAAGTTCCGGGTGGCCTTCGACTTGCTCTCCGAAAGGTGCTAGCTCGGGATGTTTCTCGCGGTTCCATGCGAAATGGTCCAAAGCGGAGAAGGATCGGGACTGTGCGCTGAGCTGGCTCATGTGGAAATCGTTGACGCGGGCCACCTCGTTCCTCGTGGGAAGCAGCTTGGTCGCTTCGCTGCGGTCTGTGATGTTGTGTTTGTGATTCAGTACGATTTCGTTTTGTTTGTCGCTCCACCGCTGTCCTTTTCTCGCTGCGTGCAAGATGGTCCGGAATAAGGGGTCTTCGCTCTGTCGATGGACATTCTCCAGTTGCACAGAGTGGAAATTGCATGCCTTCCAGACTGGACTGCAGAATGCAAACTGCTCATCTTCGTCAAACTTCCCATGCGTTTCGCAGACAAAAGGGGGTTTCTTCGGCTCCCAGCCGGCAGTCTCCGCTCCGCAGTATAGACAGCAGTGGAAAGGCCGTACAGGGGGAAGTTGATAAAAGTCGCCGCACACAACCACTTGAACACTCCCAAACGGCGTCTGTGAGTGATTTGGGCCTCTGCTGTCGTCGTTGAAGGCAGCAGCTTGCATCATTTGCGACAGTCGCGTGAAGTAGTTGCTCTCGACCATGCTGATTTCGTCAATGATCAAGACATCCGTGTCATGGAAACGCTTCCAGATCTTCTTCAGGTGTGCTCTCTCGCACAGCTCCTTGAGCGATTCACGGCTGGTGTTTGCATTCCATCCAGCGTAGGTATGTAGCGTGGTGCCGGAGATGGACAAGGCGGCGATGGCCGTGGGCGCTATGGTTGCCACGCCTAGACGCAGGCCGCGTAAGTAGTCCTGGATCGCGTGGACCACTCGAGACTTGCCCGTCCCAGCTGCTCCAGTGAAGAAGACGTTTCTCCCTTCAGACACTGCGCGCACAACATCTGCTTGCTCTTCGATCAGGTTATGCTTTCTGGCGACGTGGTCCAGCCAAGCTGTTGGGTGTATAAAACATGCGAGACAGAGCGGCTGCTCCAGCTTGACAAGAGTGCCGCAACATTCGCACGCCGGTGGTTCGTCTTCGCTCTCGGCATCAGACACATCCGGATCTGCCATCTCTGGTCGACATGCGCACGCCCCATACCTGCAGTCATTCGGAAGATGGTTCATAAAGTGCTCCACTGCGCTGGCGTCTGGGAAAGATGCGTATACAGCGCCGCTGAAGCCTTCGACCGAAGGCCTTGCGCTGACCCATGAATAGTAGATCCCGGGCCATCGGCCCACTCGCACACCGTAGTACTTGGGCTTCTTGCCTCCTTGTAACAGAGCGGGATTGGCTTTCCATTGTGTAGGAGCACCGACAGCCCCAGGAGCAGGCTTTTCAGTCAGCTCTGGACGTGCCGTCATGGTTCGTCCAGGCTGTTTGCCTCTACCTACAGCTCGTTGAAGCGGAGTCATCTGAATTGTCTGACGCAATGGGAATGGGAGCCGCTCCCTTGGACCTGTGGCTTCTGGAGGTGTGCTCGGCGGCGAGGCCTCCAGAGGTGTTGGCAGAGGTGTTGGAAGCTTTGGCCAGGAGATCGGTTCCCACTCATTTGGAGGTGTAGGCTGGCGAGGAGGCCGCTCCACAACATTAGCATTATAAGAGTCAGCGTTTGCGCGAGAAGATCGATCAACGGCCTTTGCTTTGGGCTTCTCGTCATGGCCGCCTTCGCTCATAGTCTCGAATCCGTCAGAGGAATTGATTGAGACCACACTCGGTTTGCGCACCATCGGCTTGACTCGTGAAACGGAGCCTGATTCGTCATCGGAAGAATGAATTGAGATGACACTCGGTCTGCGGACTGGTAGTTCGATCCGAGGGGCATAGGTGGGTTCTGCCTCTTGTTTGATGCCATTGGTGCCTTGATTGTTGCTGTCAAGCTTCGGGTACAGATCAACACGTCGTACCTTCCTTTGCGGGGAATGGAAGGTGCGTCCAGCGAGCTTGCCAACGTCTTCATTGGAGCGTTTCTGGGGTTCCATCACTCCGGTGGTCCTCTTTTACTACGAAGACGGAGCGCGTCCATAGATGCCGGATTTGAGAGAGGGCATGCTGAACATTCAGAAACATCATACAGTGTAGCGAGCGAGCGAAAGAGAGCAGTATGCACAATGTTCAAGATGAGGTGAGGTTCAATGGAAGTCCACTTAGGCTTCCGCTAGCCGCCGTGCTGCCTGATCATGGCCTGTGCGCGACAACGTCGATCGAGGAGTCTTTTCATTAAAGTACTCAACAGCATGTACCTTTTGAAGTGCATGGGTTTTGAGAAACAAGTCTTGTTCCCTCGACTAAGATGAGCAACACGGCGGATCCCTCGTTCCGCGAGGTCAAACCACGGCATGGAGGCCCCGAACGCAGCACGGCGAGTTTATTCCGGCTCGACGATCGAACTATTGTCAGTAAGACGACCACAACTCCTGCGACTTGATCACCCACGTAGAAGAATTGAAGGGCTAACTGGGATATTTCTAGTCAGCGGCGGCGCCGGATACCTGGGAATGGAAGTAGCTGGAGCAGTGCTTGAATGCGGAGGTGACGTTGTCCTGATGGACGTGGTGGACGCGCCACCGAAACATGCATGGGGTCAGTCGTGGATTGGAGTTACGGGATTCTACGATCATCCCATAAGTTGCTGACGTTGGTAACGAGGCAGATCAATTACAGCTGCTCGCAGATAAAGTGCGGCGACTGGCGGTATACCTCAAGGCCGATGTCACCAGCAGCGAAAACGTCCGGCACGTCCTCGACGTACTCGTCAAATCGTACATCCCCCACCCTATCAGCGGTCTGGTGACTTGCGCTGGCGTCTCGGACAACGATCCCGCGACCGAGTTCTCCACCGAGCGCTTCCGCAGACTAATGGACATCAATGTCACTGGCACATTCGTTGTAGCACAGGCTGTGGCCGAGTTGATGCGCAAAGAGGATGTCAGCGGGAGCATGGTCTTCGTCGCGAGTATGAGCGGCACAGTAGCGAACAAAGGCGTCGACACGGCAGCCTACAACGCCTCCAAATCCGCTGTGCTACAACTCGCCCGCTCGCTTGCGGCAGAATGGGGTTCGCGAAAGGGCATGCCGCTGATTCGAGTGAATACGCTTTCCCCTGGCTACATCATGACTCCTGCGACGGAGGGGGCGTTACAGAAGCCGGGGATGAAGCAGCAGTGGGAGGGGGACAATATGCTCTATCGCCTTAGCCAGCCGGATGAGTTTCGAGCGCCGGTTATTTTCCTGCTTGCGGATGGGAGTAGTTTCATGACGGGGGCGGATTTGAGGGTTGATGGAGGACATTGTGCGTGGTAGACTTTCAACACCTAGCGAACGACTACCCACGCTTCAAAGCATTATGCAACGCCTCCGCCGTCTCCTCGGGATGACTGACAAAAGGCACATGATCCGCTTTCAACTCTACAATCCGCATTCCATTCTCCTGCGCCTCAAGTCGTTGGACCTCTTCAGGCGGAATGGCTCGATCATTCAAGCACAAGAGATAAGTACCTTGCACCGACTTATACGCATCGCCATATTCCGGCGGCCACGCAGCAACATTAGCCTCCAGCGCATCGATGTACGGCTGCGCGTCGGCAATCGACATATCGTTGTAGAAGGTTGCGTGCGGGTCTTTGACTTCGATCCACGCTCCGTCTTCCGTCGTTGATGCCCACGTTAGATAAGGTGCTATGCGATGGCCATTGAGGAAGCAAGCGATCCAGACATAATGAACGAAAAGCGCTTTATGCTGTGGCGTAGCGGTTGCGAGGAATTCGTTGGCGGCGAGGGTGGTCGACAGGCCTGCGACGGAGTGGCCGAGGAGGACAAAGGGGTTGCCTGCGTTGGCTTCGCGTTGCATGGCTTGGAGGATGTCGGCGGCGTTGTCTTGTAGAGTTGGAGCTGGGGTGGATTTGATGCTCGTCCTGAGTGTGATTGGGAGGACACGGTAGCCGTACTTCTCCAGGTCGGGTTTGATTAGACGGAGGTGGAAGTCGGTATGCCATGCTCCTACGACGAAGATGATGGTGGGTGGTTTGCTTGCCATTGCTTCTTGTTGTCGTCAGATGGTAGAGAGTGTCTGAGCTCGGGCAGGTGTTGACGAGTCGCACAAATATCGGAGCGCGGAATGGGAGCGGCCTTTTATAGCTGATGCAGTCTGGGCGAAATCCCAATGTTCGCTGTACTGTCAGCATAAGCGCCGCCGTGCACTCTGCTTAGGCAATGCACATGGGGGCTGAGATTTTCCGTGAGGCTGAGAGGTCAGCTCGCTCCTTCCTCACGAGCAGCGGGAGAACAGACGACTGGAGGTATAGCAGAATCTCGCGTCCGTCCGAGACAGGATATCGTCCTTGCTGCCGTCACCTCTAGCAGCTGTTGTGCGACGTATCACTCGGACCCATTACTACAGGGAGTACCCCAGCCTTGGAGGTCCAGATGAAGTCAATCGTGCAGGAGTACCAACGCCACCTTTTCCGCAGACTCGCTCCATCTCAAGCCCACGCCACACATACTCTTTCTAGGCTTCGCCGTATTGATCTCGACAGGACGCCTTATGCAGTTCGATATGAGCGAAATGGAAAGAGAACAGTATCGCCACGACTCGAGACGCTGCCACGGCTTTCATGTGATCCGCGCCTCGGTTCAATGACGCGCATTTGCCTTTCATCGATGTCTCCCTCTCTACACCACTGATCGCCTCCCGAGTCGACCAGCGCATCATGTATAACTACAAGGACCGATAACACGCATTTCCATTCCATCAAGCTACGTCCATGGCTTGGCCTAATCCCTTTTACAAGCGCACGCCCAATACAAAGACGTGAGTCAACATTGTATACCCCTCCACCGCCACTTTACTAACCACTGTCGCAGATGCTGGGGCTATACCTTTGAACTCACCCCCGACCACCTCACACCCGAGGAATGCGAGCCTTTACGACAATCGTATGACCTCCTCGGCGAACAAGTCCTTGATCGCATCAACGAAATCTCCCCGCCGCCACGCAAAGACCTCCCGAGACACACGAGCCAGTTCAACGCGGACGTACAGAAAGATGGGACAATACCAAATGCAGATGGGGGCCAGACTGCTCCCAAGAACCCCCCAAGAGACCTGTATGAGATATTGCGAGATCACAAAGATACGGACGACCTACTCCAACGCTTCTGGGGCGAGGTGACGACTATTCCTTCGTGGGTTGATTGGGATCAGATAAGCCGGGGGCAAGACGTCTTCTACCGCTACGGGGGAGCATGCTTCACCGGTCTGGCATACCAGAGCTTGCTAGGTGGGATGGGTGCCGCAAGGGTGGTAGAGACACTGGCGCGCACAGGTGGCTTCTCCACCAAAGTGGCGCGCAGTCGCATGTTTGAAACAACGCAGCACATCTTGCAATGCACCAAATCGCTGGAAAGCATCCAGCCCGGCGGCGACGGCTTTGCATCCACAATCCGCGTGCGCCTCCTGCATGCAGCCGTGCGGCAGCGAATCCTGAACCTGACGAAGAGCAAGCCGGAGTACTACGATGTAGAGGCCTGGGGCGTGCCGATCAACGACCTCGATTCCATGGCCACCATCGGCACCTTCTCCGCCACCCTCATCTGGCTCAGTCTCCCGCGTCAAGGCATCTACCTGCGCCAGCAGGAAATCATCGATTACATCGCGCTGTGGCGGTACATCGGCTACCTCGTCGGCTGTCCGACAGAGCACTTTGAGACGCCGGAAAAGGCCAAACGCCTCACCGAATCACTCCTCCTTTACGAGATTCGGCCGACGGCGACGTCCAAAATCCTAGCAAATAACATTATCAAATCTTTAGAAGGCCAGCCGCCGGGCTATGCCTCCGCCGACTTCCTCACCGCCTCCGCGCGCTGGCTAAACGGCAACGACCTCTGCGACGAACTCGGCCTCTCCCGCCCGAGCGCCTACTACTGGGCCCTAATGGCAGGCCAATGCCTCTTCTTCAGCTTCTTCTGCTACACCTACCGCTCCGTGCCGTCCTGGGATCGCAAAAAGATCGAAATGCTAAAGGGCTTGTTCTACCAAATCATCGTGCATTCGAAGTACGGGTTGAAGGGCGAGGAGACGCGCTTCGATTTCAAGTATGTGCCCGAGTACTCGACGATTACCGAGTTGGGGGAGTGCGAGGAGGAGAAGGCGAGTCATTCGTATGTGGAGAGGAGGAATCGGAATGCTGTGCTGATTGCTGTGGGGGTCATGGGTGTGGGTGGTTGGGTTGCTTGGAGGGTTGTTGGGGGGTTTGTGAGAGCGATTTGGTGAGCGTGTATACATGCATTTTAGATGAGCACTGGATCACGAGTGCATTATTGAACGATTGATTTGCTTGGTCTTGTTGAGTCCTGGGCATTGCCAGCGCTCTCTCCGCAGTTCGTCGATCTCCGCTGACGTCAAGCTGGTGCTGTTCGTACCTTCCTCGTTAACCACCCATCGGTCCGCCACCACATCCCCCCCAACAATCGTCATTGAAACGGAAGACATCTGATCAATCACAATCTCCCATCGATCATCTGCAACCATGACTTGGACATTGGTACATCTCAATCCCCGACCATTCCTCCAACCGTCGCCACTAACTCACCCCAGATCTCCGCCTCGCCGTCTCCCTACGCTCGCAAGGTCCGCATCGCCCTGCAAGAGAAGAACCTCCCCTTCACTCTGCAGACCGAAGTGCCCTGGGACACCACCACGAAAACGCCACAGTACAACCCGCTTGAGAAGCTCCCGGTGCTCATCCTCGACGATGGCAAGACGGCAATTTATGAGTCCCACTACATTATGGAGTGGCTGGAGGCCAAGTACCCGGCAACCTCGCTGATGCCGGACGATGTGGACGGGAAGCTGTTTGCTAAGCAGGTTGAAGTCATCACGGATGGGATCTGCGATGCGCTGGTGTTGGCTTTCTTTGAGAATAAGAGGGAGGAGGGGAAGCAGAGTGGGCCTTGGAAGGAGAGGTGCGTTTCTGTCACCCTTCTACTATCTTTCATCAGGCTGTCGTTGCTAATCATCCCCTCGCCAGACAAATGCGCAAAGCCGATGGCGGCCTGCAAGCCCTCGCCACCTTTGTCGATCAAGCCGGCGGAGGCGAGTTCTTGATTGGGAACAAATTGACGCTCGCGGATATTGCGATTGCGAGCGTGCTTGGCTGGCTCAGTCTGCGCTGGCCTGATCATGAGTGGCAGAGAAAACACCCTCAGTTGAAGAAGTACTTTGATAGGCTGGATCAGAGGGAGAGTTTTGCGAACACGAGGCCGGCTCCGCAGAATATTTCCGATCCGGTGGTTTAGCCTAAGAGCCAAGATGGAATGAGGAAGCCTTGGAGAATGGGTGGCAGGTTGGGACATGAAAGTATCGAGTTGATAACAACGTCCCCCATCTCTGCGAGCATTGCAATCGGCCAGACCCACTTTTCTCAACAAGGCAAGAGCGCTTCGAATCGTCAACGACATACTTCCATCCCTCCTTTCCCAAACCACCTCCCCTCCCCTCCCCTTGTCCAACAATCATCCCAATATACCCCACGCAACAAGCGTGGTCAAATGCAATCGCTCCTAAAACCCATCCTCCGCCCCATCCCCCTCCTCAGCCTCTCAGCAACAGGCCTCCTCCTCAGCGCCGCAGCCTTAACCACCCAATCAACGTCACGCACAATGTCAACAACAACAACAGCAGCAGCAGCAGCAACCTCCTGGCCCATCACCGCGTATAAACCCCGCCATACAACCTGGCCCTACACACCCGCAGACTTCACGCGCTCCGATCCCTCGACGGACGATAGATTCTACAGCGTCCCGCGCTTCGTGACGCATATCGATGACGCTGCGATTGCTTCTCTACGGAACTACTACGATGCTATTCTGCCGCGTTCGGGCCGCGTACTGGATTTCTGCTCGAGTTGGGTGTCGCATTATCCTGAGCGGGTAGAGAGTGCGGTGAAAGCGGGAGAGTTGAGGGTTGTAGGGTTGGGGATGAATCGGGCGGAACTGGAGGCTAATGATGTTTTAAATGGGGGCCGAGGAGTTGTGGATTTGAATTTGAAGCCGGATGTTGGTGCTGCGTTGAGGGAGATGGAGGCTAAGGATGGGGTTGATGGAGGGGGTTTGCTGGATGCGGCGACGAATGTCGTTAGTACGGATTACCTCACGCAACCTGTTGAGGTGCTGAGGAGTTTGAGAGATGTGATGCAGGAGGGAGGGAGGGTGCATTTGGTTATTAGCAATCGGTGTTTTCCTACCAAGGCGATTGATCGGTGGTTGAAGGTTAGTGAGGAGGAGCGGCTGAACATGGTGGGGGATTTTCTGCATTTTGCTGGGTGGAAGGAGATTGAGATTGTGGAGCTGAGTAGTGGGAAGGTGGATGGGGACGAGGGCAATGGGGGTGCTGGTGGTGCGCAGCGGAGTCTACAGAATTTTATGAGCTGGATGGGGATGGCGAGTCGGGATCCGCTTTGGGTGGTGAGGGCGGTGAAGCGTGGTGATTGAAGAGGATGCATTAGATTGCCTGCGGGTCTGAATGGTAGATCTTGACGACTCATTCTGTCCAGGTCAACACCCCCCGCTCGTACAACCCCACAGCCATTCCCAGCTTCCTCCCCGAATCTCTCACGGCCGTGCAGGAAGTCCCATACTCATCCCCGACATAGAGTGTCTTTAATCCATCGGAAGGATTCCATTTGGAAACCCAACTGGATCCCTTCCAAGACTTCTCGTCAGTCTTGTCCCCATCACCGGCACGAGCAGCCGCATCCTTCATCACTTCCTCAAACGTAGGCCCATGTGGATGCCCAGCGATCAGCAGATTCCCAGCTCCATCCACACTCAAATTGTCAGGATGGAAGGACAGGGGAATGGTGGCGGTGCGTGTGAGTCTGGGAGGCCCGTCATGCCGGCTGAGAAGATAAAGATAGACGGCGTTGGTACTCGTACTTGCCACGGCGAAGGTGGTAGTGTTCAACTGCGCGATGCCGTTCGCAAAGGGCACTCGTGTTACGAGGTTGATCTTCGCTTCGTCGGCCCCCAGGTCTACATGCACGACACTGCCTCCTGGGATGCCAGTGTACGTTTCAACCTGAGCAAGGATAGGTTGGTTTTTTCGAAGGAAGTAGTGATCGCAGGTGACCAGGAGCTCCGACTCGCTCAGGGCAGTGATGGAGTTGGGAGCTGCCAGGAGGTCGTGCTTGATCGTCTTGATATGTGTTGCGGCTTGCTCGGCAGGGAAGAGTCGGAACACTTCGACGCGAGACCCGGAGGCTGCATGATTGACGATGTACAAGGTGTTGGAGGCAGAGTGCAAATGGATCCCGAGCGGATGAAAATCGGACGGGCTTGCGGGGTAGTCGAGGAGTTTCAGCTTTTGCGGATGCGATGTGGCATCTGCGTCGGCGTATTTCCAGATGTACACGCCGGTCTCTGGCGGCGAGTTCGCGTCAATGAACGTTCCCATTACAGTGTTCCACGTGTCTCGGCCGGGATCACAGCTGAGAAGGGCGAACGCGGCACTGGGTTCCAGCACCATATGCTCGCAATTGCGGACCACATTCTGAAACTTGATGTCCAGATGAGGGAGGTTGTTGACTTTGATGAGCCTTGTCGGTGCATTGGCGTAGAATATGTAGAGGATGCCGGCACGACTGTAGAGAAATATTGAGAGCAGAGCAAATAGTCCGACCGTCTGTATGGGGTGAGCGGCGAGGCCTTCATATCAGGAGAATAGAAGGGAAGCTCACCACGGCCTGCCCAAGCTTGATAGAGCGCGGGCCTAGAAATTCGAATTGAACCATGACTAGGCAAAGATGAATGGGAAGTGGTATCTGGCCTGGCCTAGCTGCTGATAATAGATCTCACGCTTTCGATGTGCTTACGACGGCGTCATGTTTGGTCCACCAGAGGCTGGAGTGCAGATTGGCGTAGGGAGATGAACTGGTCAGTCTCGCACGTATTCACACTGCTTGCATAGGTCCTGTCGCCACTCTGTGGTATTCTAGCTGCACAGCCTTCTCCCGAATGTGCATGTCCGTGATGAGGTGAGATGACTTGGCATGAGAGGAAGCATAGAAAGCGATGTCGTTCCGGCGACCTTCATTACCTAAGCGGGACCCCGACGGACAGGATCGAGGTTGGATGTGGTCCGTGTTGCTGACTGATGACAACAAGACGATGCTCCCCCGCCATCCAACTTCCTCTCCCTCCTACCACCCTCATGCACCACACTTCACGGTCACTGTCCGTCTAACATCCACCCAACATGTACGGCACCGTCGGCCAGACGCTACCGGCGATCCAAAGCTTACAGGATTGCGGTAAATGTCCCCGTGAAAGAGCGTGCTCAGCTGCCTCGACACCCGTTCCCCCCAACACCCTGAAATCGAGATCAAGCACTTGCTGACCCTACATCTTTTAGCTGACTTCTCGAAGACGGTGCTCCCGCATCTTCGCCACTTTTGGGAAAGCACGCTCTCTCGCACCTCCGTCCAAGACCTCACCAACATTGAGGTATACAAGCAATTCTACTTCTCCACCAACCCCCTCGTGACCGCCCTCGTCTTCTCCGTCGCCTTGTTCCCCATCTTCTTGCTCGTCAGCGAGGTCAATCGCAACTACAGCCAGGTGGACCGCGTGTGGAGCATCCTGCCCACCGTCTACAACATCCACTATGCCGTCTGGGCACGCCTACATCACCTCCCCACCAAACGTCTCGACAACGTACTAGCGTTCAGCGTGCTGTGGTCGCTCCGCTTGACCTTCAACTACTGGCGAAGAGGCGGCTATCAAATCGGCAGCGAGGATTACCGCTGGATGATCATCAAGAAGCGCATCGGAGGTCCCGCCTTCACCCTGTTGAACATCCTCTTCATCTCCACCACGCAGATCCTAGTCCTCTTCGCCGTCACCACGCCCACCTACATCATCCTCCTCACCTCCCTCATCAACCCCGACCTCACCTGGGCCGACGCCGCCATCTCCCGCACCCTGATAGGCCTCGTCGTCATCGAGTACTTTGCCGACCAGCAACAATGGAACTACCAGCAAGCCAAAAAGTCCTACCAGGCCACCGCCAAAGTGCCCCCCAACTGGACGCACGGCCAAATGGAGCGCGGCTTCGTCACCGCCGGCCTCTGGTCCTGGAGTCGCCATCCCAACTTCGCCGCCGAGCAGACCATCTGGTTCTTGCTGTACGTTTGGGGGTGTGCGCGCAGCGAGACATACATCAATTGGACGCTGCCGGGGGCCCTTGTATACCTTGCCATCTTTCAAGGAAGTACGCCGCTCACCGAAGGGGTGTCGAGGGGCAAGTACCCGGAGTACAAGTTTTACCAAGAACGCGTGGGGCGGTTTTATCCCAATATCTTTGGCCCGGGCTGGGATGATGGAGAGATGGAGACGCTGGCTAAGAAGTTGCTGGAGAAGGAGAAGAGACTGCAGGGGAAGGCCACGTAGAACACTGAGAGCGTGAGAAGGGCGAAAAGTTACGGCCATGTGTGATGGGAGGTGAAATGGATCTTGGGAGACAATCGAGAATGCACTTTCTCCACCACACCTGGAACAAAAATACACTTAAATCTAAGTGTCGAATCGCAACTACATAACCCACGCTTCCCCTCCCCTCCCCTCCCCTCTCATCAACTCCCCCCCGCCCCCGTCCTGCCCTCCCCCAACGTAATCTCCATCACCTCCATCACATCCCGGATATGCGAATAACTCAACTCCTCCCGCTCACTCTTGGCCAACAACCGCGCCATTTTGACCACATTTTTAATCTCGCGTCCGTTGATTTCGATCGCTGCTAGCGCGTCGAAGTTTACTTGCTCTTTAGCGGCGGAGGTGGGGAGCAGGTTGCTGAGGAAGTTGTGCCAGATTTGTTTCCTGTTTCACTTGGTTAGGGAAGGGAGGGGAGGGGATGGAGGGAGGGGAGGGAGAAGACGCACCGGGTTTCGGCGTCGAGTTCCCTGAAGAAGAGGCGGAGGTGGATGCGCGAGGCGAAGGCATCATCCTGGTTTCTTGCGTGTTAGTGAGTCGATTCGATGAGGTGGATGAAGGGCCACGTACAAAGGCCATTTGCGATCGATTGGTAGTCAACAACAACGTCCCTATATCACACAGTCAGCGTTCTCACCTCTTCTCAACAACCGCTGTGAAAAGAGTGTTACACACCTTTATAATACTCCAATAGCCGCAAAAACGCCGCAACGCGCTTACTCCTCTCCCTCGCCTCCGGGCTCATCTCATCCGTCCGCTTCTCCAGAAAGGCATCCGCCTCGTCAATCAGCACGACGGAATGCCAGCGGTGCGCGAGCGAGAAGACTTTCGTCAGCGACTTTTCGATGTCTTCGATCCGGTCGCCCAGCTCGGAGGCCGTTACGTAGTACAGGGGCAGGCGGAGGGCATCGGCGATGGATTCGCCTGTTAGGGTTTTGCCTGTGCCGGGGGGCCCGGAGAGGCTTGACGGAGTGGTTAGTTAGAGGGGGAGTTTTTAGAGAGGGTGGCGTACAGCATTATGAGGCCTTGGCCTTTGCCTTGGATTATGTCGTCGAAGCTTTGCTTTTGGCCTGGGATGCTTTGTTCGCGGATCTGAGGGGGTTGGATATTAGCTGGAGACTTTTGCTTGGAGGTCGGGAGAGTGATTTGTTTACCAATGCCCTGATTAGTCTCTTTCTTGCTTGCGGCATGACGAGTTTTGAGAATGCTAGATGAAGGTCAGCCGGAGGGATGTGAAGTACAGGAGGGCGAACAAACCATCTTCGTTCCAGACAATGTTCGTAATGTCGTCGACTTGGAACTCCGCTAGATGCCATGTCGCGTCAGCACTCACCCTTCATCGAAGAAGACAACGGTCTCGAACGCACCCCATTTCTTCTGCGTCAGACTGAACCCCCTCACCACCGAGCGCGTCATACACTTCTGCTCGTCCGTCAACTCGGGCTCCTTGACAACATCCATGGAAAGCGTATTCGTAATCGTGTCGTCGCCAGCATCCGCCTCTGCATTCCCGCCTTGAGACGCAGCTGGCACATTACTATTCGCACTCTGCGGCGGCGGCTGCTGCTCTGCATCCTGCAAGGCCCGACAAGGCGTGCAATGGTACGGATTCTGCTTCACGAAGCCGGCGCAATCGATTACAATCCTGCCATCTTCCCAGCTGGGTTCGAAATGGTTGGCCTGGTACATTAGCCCGTTGTATTGATGGTAGCCGCCTTTGGCTAGATTCAAGTAGCGATCGCCTCGGGCGGAGAGGCGTTTCATTAGCCCGGTTCTGTCGGGGTGGTATTCGAGGGGGTGGGTGATGAGGGAGGAGATGCGTTGTTCGCCGATGTACTCCATGATGGAGATTGTCTCTTCGCATCTGCCGAATTTCACGCCGTCAAAGTCGATGCTGGTGGAGCGGGTTAGTATGCTCTCGCCCATGATCATGAGACAGACTCACCAGTCCAACATAATGTCCAACAAAAGCGGCCCGCCCATAGGCATCTGCCTCTTCTTCGTCCGCTTCGCAACAAACACATGATCCGCGCCGCGCAGGCGGCCAAAAATCAGACTCCCAGGGCAATACAGCGTCCACAACAGGTTGAACGTAATATACCCCTCGTGCCTCGTCAGACTCGCCACCTGGCTGCGGATGGGCTGCAGCTCGGCGTCGATGATGGAATGCAGCAGCTGCACGTCTCTGCTGCTGTGCGCGCTGTTGACGTACGCTTCGAACCTGTCCCAGCGGTGGTAGAAGGGCTGGAAGGGCGGTTCGAAGGTGGGTTCGTCGGTGTGGATGCCGTATTGGTCTGCGCCGGGATAGTCGGCGAGGATGTCGCGGAGCATGTCTTTTCTGCCCAAAGCCGTTAACCTACACAATCTTGCAATACGGGATGGAGGAACTCACAAAGCCTCACTCTGCACAACCAGCGAATGCAGCCGAAACACCTTATCCCCGCTCTCGTCCACGGACTTCACGTACCGCAGCACGACGGGATGTGCTTTGCGCTGCGTCTTGCGCGCCGCAATCTCCTGCATCTCCGCCGGCGGCTCCTCCTCCCAGCGCTGGTAGCCTTCTTCATCGCGCTTGCCTTCGTAGAGCCGCTTCACGGTCGAGAAGTCGTCGGCCGCTGCATTCGTGCGGGTTTGTTCGCCATTCACTTCTGCTGCCGGAGGTTTCGTCTTTTCTCGGGCGGGGGCCATGCTTGCTTTTGCACGGATGGGTATGCTACGAGGTTGGATATGCTAAAGATATGGGACTAAAGGCGTGAGGTACCGGTTACAAGTACTCGGTGTAGTCAAAGATCGATGCATGCGAGATGAGATTCAACACCGTGCATTTCGTCATCGGACATGAGGTCTAGGCACGCGGCCATTGGGGTTAAGGTTGTGTCCGGGTATATGATGAGGTCCGACGATCCCCGCGGCTGGAGGGGAAGTGCGGAGGCAGTGGGGAAGCCGGCGGAGAAAGGCTGCGGGATCGGGTGAAAAAGCGACTCGGACATCAACGCAGACTGCTTTCATTCATACTGTTCATGTTGCACTCAATAGATAGTGATACCTAAAAACTCTGCACACTCCTCCCCGCCTCCACCTCTTTCTTCCACATCAACCGCTCCACCGTGGAATTCACTCCCGGCCCCGCGTACATACTCCCATATTCATTGCCCGTCGCCCACTCCTTCCCCTCTCCCTCCTTCGTCACCTTCGTAGCCCTACGTCGATACCAGCGTCCATACACAAGCAAGTAGTACAACCGGAACGCCAAAAAGGCAAACTTGTCCCGCTCCAGATCGGCCGGGTACTCCGCGCCGAGATCCACTGCCGCACTAATGCCCGACATGACCGCCACCTCGTGCGCGTTGATCATCGTCCACGACGCGGCGTATCGCGTGTGGCGCTTACCTTGCAGCAGCCACATCCAGGGGACGACGAAGGCGTAGTGCGTCCAGCTGTGACAGAGCTGATGCCACCAGTCCTTCCGAATGATTTTGTCTTCTTCAATCTCGTCGAGCGTCCAGAGGTGCGAGTCGCGCTCGTTGTTGAGGAAGATGGTTTGGAAGACGTGTTTGTCAAAGGGCACATCCGGCGGGAACTGCGCCTGGTAGTTGGTGCAGTCGAAGCACATCTCCAGCTTGCTGACGTCTTTGGGGTACATGCGGATGAGGTACATGGCTTTGAAGTTGTCTTTTGCGTAGGCGCAGCGCGCGGATTGGTCGACGCCGTTGATGCTGCTGACGGCGAGATCCGGGTTGTAGAAGTTTTCGTAGTGCCGCTTCATGTAGTTTGTGTCTTGGTGGGTGACGGTGATGTCGTTGGCGAATTTGGCGGAGCTGAGGACGCGCGATTCGAGGGTGGTGATGGTTGGTTGGAGGAGTTGCTTGGCGGCGTCAGTGAGGGTGCAGAGGACGAGTTCGTCGTATTCTTCTAGAGCTTCGGGGGAGTCGCTTTGGCTGGTGGTGCTGCCGTTTTGGGTGTCTTTGGCGAGGCTTCTGATGTTGACAGCTACTCCGTTCTTATCACGTCGTATTACGCGGGTGACTTCGGTGGCGAGACGGATGTTGACGCCGCGTTCGATCAGATTCTTCCGCCAGGTGTCGTAGAATTCGGTGAAGTTGGGAAAGACGACCATGGGCGGGATGTTGGAGGCCACACTGGCCTTGTCGGGGGGATACCACATGCCGTAAGTCGGACTTGTTGATAAGCGTTCCAGAATCATCGACGGCACTTCGGGGGTATAGTTGCCCGTGCCCAGAAACAAGGCAATCATGGGGAGCGCGATCGTATTGGCAAACTCCTCACTGAACCAGAAAAGGCGTACCAGATACTTGATGGGCAGCAAGGCGAAGAAGAGCTCGAACATGCGCACAATCTTGAGCATGTAGTAGAAGCGGCGCACTTCCCCTTCGTGCTTCTTCAGCAGCTGCGTGGGAAAGACGTTGCTCCAGAAATTCTCGCCTTTGCCAAAGGACACCTGCAGCTTCACGGGGTCGGCCCAGAAGCCGTTGCGCGCGAACATGGTGAGGGTGTGGTGGAAGATGTAGGAGCCGCCTTGGACGCCTTGGTTGAGCCATGACGCGCCGGTCTTCTCCTTGTCGATGGGGATGCTGAAGGCTTGGCCGCCGCAATAGGTGTTGGTGTCGACGAGGGTGACGTCGAATTTGTCGGGGTGGTTGGAGAGATGATGCGCGCATGACATTCCTGGGGGAAGGTTAGGGGGTTCAGTAGCGATGATGGGGATTGGACTGACCAGCAGCCCCGGCTCCGACTACGAGCACCTTTTTCCGACGCTGACCTTCCATCTTCTTGCTCATGTCGAATCGAGTCTGCGAGCCTTGGGATGGGATGAGGGGCCTCGTGTCGGGCATTGCAATCCTGCGATGTGGTTGGAGAAGATTTCACAGAGCCATGCGTAGGAGATGTGAGGGGCGTGCTTGCTCAGGAATGTCAAATATTGTAGCTACAATCCTCACCATCAACGCATCATCTGGAACGGAGTAATGGTAAAAGTATAGAATAGTGTCGTCATGATTTGCAGCCCGACGCCCAGCCAAGCCGATCGCGTGGACCCGATCTCCGGTTCACAGATTAGCTTTCAACCATGCCTTGACCTGGTGGCGTTTGGCTACTCGAGCGGTGATGACCTAACCCTGAGCAGACCGCTTCAGTAGTCGGGCTCAGGCTGTGCAGCACAGACGACGAGGTATATGGCAAACTTTCTGGACTTTGGTGATGTCTGACGGCAAGAAATTGGATGGAGAAGGTGGCACAATCGCCGCCCCAGTCGGAAGCAGCTCGCGTCCCTGCATAAGCGTCTACATGGCTCGTGGGATGTTGGCTTGTAGGATGCTACGGCTGTCAGCATCCTAGATGGTGTAGAGTCGAGTGAGATCGACACGAGAGTAGAGTAAAGTGCTCTGATAAGCTGCGTAATCACACATTGCGGGCTAGGCCAGGCTGGTGCAGTGGCCTTCATGGCGCCGACTGGCGAATAAACACCAACATGTCAACACGTGGAGGTCGGCAGACCGCCATTTGAGTGGCAGGGATGCGATGGAACACGACTCGACTCGACTCGACACCGCTTGTGTGTGAGTTGTCCACTCATCGCACCTTCCCCGCGCCGGCCTCTGCACCTGCCGCATGTGTGCCTGGTTGTGGCTTCGGCCCGACCATCCGACAGCACAGTCAGCCCAAGCTTCACTTTTTTCCCCAGCTTGGTGCAACGTGCGCGGTGTCACTCAACACTGCCCAATTCCACATTCCCGTTCGCTCAACACTTCTATATTTACTCTTCCCCTTCCTCTCCTTTCATCATGTCTTCCTCTAATCTACCCTCCACCGCTCCCTCCCACGGCCATCCCGCCAAAGATCTCCAGCAACCTCTCACCAACTCCTCCACCAACCCACCCTCCACCTCCTCCCACCGACCACGCTCAAACCCCGATCCAACCACCAGCAATGCCTCCCAAACCCCCCAGGGAAGCCTCACCGCCACCCCTCCCACCCGTCCCCCCGAACTCGCCCGTCTTGAAGTAACCCTGCGCTCCGCCCTGCGCCAATACCCCGACTTCCCCTCTCCCGGCATCCTCTTCGAGGACATCATGCCTCTCTTCGTCTCCCCCGCCCTGCACGAGGACCTTATCCACGCCCTACACTTGCTCGTCACGCACTACGTCACCTCACAAAAAATCGATGTCGTTGTCGGGCTCGAAAGTCGTGGCTTCCTTTTTGGACCCTCGCTTGCGCTGCGTCTTGGAGCGGCGTTCGTCCCGGTGCGCAAGAAGGGCAAGTTGCCTGGTCCTTGTGAGACGGAGGGTTTCCAGAAGGAGTATGGGGCGGATGAGTTTCAGATGCAAAGTGATGCCATCAAGCCTGGGCAGCGGGTGGTTATCGTGGATGATATTATTGCTACTGGTGAGTTGTGCAAAGCCTACGCGGTGGATGTCTTGCTGATAAGAGTGTACTGTAGGTGGAAGTGCGGCTGCAGCTGGCAAGCTCGTGCGAAAACTCGGCGGTGATCTACTGGCCTTTGCTTTTCTCATGGAGCTCGATTTTCTCAAGGGAAGGGACAAGCTGGATGCGCCGGTGCACACGCTGTTTGCTGGCCAAGAGGAGGCTTTGTCGAGTACGCGATGAGCTGGCCGGAAAAGATTAGAACGGAGAACAACAGCACAGGCACAGCCATCAGGTGCTCGGCGAAAGATGCAGTTGATCGGGTTCAACACCAACTGCGTCGCTAACAAGGCAACAAGGAGACTACAAGGCCAAAAGGCCGCTCCCAGCCACGCAATAAGGCTGCACTACGACACAGCCTTACTCCTCAAAATGGCAATGTCCTCCACTCCATAGCCCACCTCCTTCAACACCTCCTCCGTATGCTCTCCCAACCTCGGCGGCTGCCGTCGAATGGACGCCTTTGTCTCACTGAATTTAACCGCCGGCCCAATGGCCTTCCAATCCCCTCCCGTTTGCGCATCCCACTCCTGCGGCTTCACCATTTCTCGCGCCTGAATCTGCGGATGCTCAAAAGCCCGCTGAATCGTATTCACCGGCCCATGCGCCAACCCCGACCCATCAAACACCTCCAACCACTCATCCAACGTCTTGCTCGAAATGACGTCCGCGACAACCTTGTCCATGGCTTTGCGATTCTCCACCCGCACCGCATTCGTTTTGAACCTCTCATCCTCGATCAATTCAGGGCGTTGCATCCGCTCGCACAGCACGCGGTACTGATGCTCGCTGTTCGCCGCAATCACAATCCACATCCCGTCCTTGCACTGCCACGCATTGTACGGCACAGCACTGGGATGCGCCGCGCCATATTTCTGCCCCTCCACCCCTCGATTCAACCAATTGACTCCGACCCCAATCAACATTGAGATCTGCGTCTCGAATAGGCTCGCGCTGATATACTGGCCCCGCCCCGTCTTCTCCCGACTATACAGCGCCCCCATAATCGCGCCGTGCACGTACAGTCCCGTCGACATATCCGTCATCCCCAGTCCGGCGCGAATAGGAGGTGTATCCGGATGTCCAGTAACCTGCATAAATCCCGCCTCCGCCGCCGCAATCGCATCGTACCCAGCGCGCCTCCCATACGGTCCCGAAGGCCCATAGCCTGACAACGAAGCATAAATCAACCGCGGATTCAACTTCGCCAACGCCTCATACCCAATCCCCAACCTATCCGCCGCGCCCGGGATGAAATTCTCCACCACAACATCCACCCCTCCCTCCTTCACCAATCTGTGCACCGCCTCCCGCCCCTCCTCCGCTTTCAAATCCAACGTCACACTGCGCTTATTCCGATTTATCGCCGCGAAGAAGAAGGAGATGGGTCCGGAGTCGGGTTTCCAGTGCGCTGCTTCGCCCTTGCCTTTCCACGCGCGCGTCTCGTCGCCTTTCGCCGGTTGCTCGATTTTGATCACGTCGGCGCCGTAGTCGGCGAGAATTTGGGTGCAGAAGGGGCCGGCGAGGATGCGGGTGAAGTCTAGGATGCGGATGCCGTGCAGGGGGCCTGTGCAGTTTGAGGATGGGGTTGAGTAGGGTCTTTGCTGGGGTTTGGAGACTGGGATAGTCCTGGGTTGTGGGCGGCGGAGTTGAGTTGAGGGAATTGTTCTTATTGCTGTGCTTTGCTGTGTTGCTCGTGAGAGAATGCTTCGTGTACATTTGCACGTGGTTTGCATGATTGTTGACATGGTGGCGGACAATGGGAGCTCCCTCAGGATATTCCAAAACACCCTCGAAGAACACTCAAATTGCAGGAAAGGTGAAATTGTCCAACTCATATGTTGTGGAGCCGTCACCGCCGACGTCGCAGCCCCCGCGGCCACAGCCCCACGTTGCGCGTGCACGGATGGGGAAGCTCCGGCTATCGACTGCCAGCGATGCCCGAGTACACCGAGGTCGGGCTGGGGTTGGCAACGATTGATCATGATTTCATATATGCAGCTGACGTCCCGCGGTGAAGGCGAGAGAGACTGGCCCTTTTCATATTCTCGCGTGGTGCATTCAAGATGGCATTGTCACGAAGCTTCTCCAGGTGCTTGAGGGCCAACACGCTCCATACTCGATCATCTCTTCTACGCCCTTCCCTCAACCGACTCCAGCACCGCACCTTCGTAGCAAAAGCAACCGAATACCTCCCCGCCTACCCCGACCTCACGGAATCAGAGCAGTCCGTCCGCGACGGCATCGCCAAAATCACCTCCTCCTTCCTGGAAGACTACTGGCTCCAAATCGACAAAGCGCAGCGCTGGCCCTCGGAATTCCAACGCGCCATCGCCGACGCAGGATGGCTGGGCATTATGATGCCGACCGAGTACGGCGGGAGCGAGCTAGGCTTGAGCGAGGCGACGGTCATGATGCAGACCATTTCCGAGAGCGGGGCCGGCATGACGGGCTCGAGCAGTGTGCATATGAATATTTTCGGACTCGCGCCGGTTGTCAAGTATGGGAATGAGGAGCAGAAGGCGCGCTTTCTGAAGCCGCTGATTGAGGGGCGGGAGAGGGCTTGTTTTGGGGTGACGGAGCCGAATACTGGCCTCGATACGCTGAAGTTGCAGTCTCTCGCGACGAAGCAGGGGGATGGGAGTTATGTGGCCAAGGGGAGCAAGATCTGGACTTCGACGGCGCAGGTGGCGGAGAAGATTTTGTTGCTGGTGAGGACGACGCCGTTGGCGGAGGTGAAGAAGAGCACGCATGGCTTGACGCTGTTCTACACGGATCTGGACCGCAGTGCGGTGAGTGTGACGGAGATTGATAAGATGGGGCGCATGGGGGTTGATACGAACATTCTGGGGTTCGAGGGGTGGAAAATTCCCGAGAAGGATCGGATTGGCGAGGAGGGGGATGGGTTTAAGTTGATTATGCATGGGATGAATGCGGAGCGGATTCTGGTTGCGGGCGAGGCGTTGGGGTTGGGATATGCTGCATTGCGACACGCGAGTCGATATGCGAAAGAGCGGGTCGTGTTTGGGCGTCCAATCGGGCAGAACCAGGGGATTCAGCATCCGCTGGCCAAGTCGTGGGTTGGGCTGGAAAGCGCGCGGTTAATGGTCATGCAGGCGGCGCGCATGTGGGACGAAGGCTACGCGGCGGGCGAGTATGCGAATGCATGCAAGTACTGGGCGGCGGAGATGGCTTTTACGGCTTGCGAGACGGCCGTGTGCTCCATGGGAGGCATGGGTTATGCCAAAGAGTGCGTTGCTCTTAATCTCAATCAAGTGGGACATTGGACACTGACCATTCCGCAGATACCACGTCGAACGCTTCCTCCGCGAAGTCATCATCCCCCGCCTGGCGCCCATCAGCCGCGAAATGATCCTCAACTACATCGGCGAAAAAGTGCTCGAGCTCCCGCGCTCCTACTAATCCCCAAGAAACATCACATCCCCCCAAATCAATACAACGCAGGCTGCGGCTCCCCGGGCTTAGCATCATACGCAATCCTCCCACTCGGCAGGAAGAAGAACGCGATCCCCCGCCCGCCCCGCGCGCGCGGGTAGTGATGCGTGCCCGGCCCGGGACTCGTCCAGCCTGCGCCGCGCCAGTTCTCGCCCGCGGGCAGGCCTTCGAGTTCGAACGTGGCGTCTATGGGGATGACGCAGTTGATTTCGCCGTAGGGGTGTTTGTGGTATTGGCCGGCGTATTCGCGTTGGGAGTCGAAGTAGACGGCTGTGAGGGACATGTAGAGGTTTGAGGCGAGGGGGAGTTGGATCTGGGGTTGTGTGTTAGATGGACGGATATGGGGGGAGGGAGGATGGAACGGTTGGCGATGTACCTTCCCCCGACGATAGATTCCCGAGTCGATATCGTGCGTCGCTACCCACCCTTCTTCGAACCCTTGCTTTACGAGCGTGCAAAAGTCCTCGTAGTACGCGTTGCCTGGGCCGTAGTCGCGGTTCAGTCGGATTTCGAGCTCGTGACCAGGCGTGCTGTCGTTTAACACCTCATATTAGTCGAACCGAGTCAAGTGAGACAGGAATTTTGATGCACGCACAAGTTCTCGATTTCCCGTAAGAATTCCAGCGATCGCGCGGCGAGTTTCTGTGCTGTAGGGTGGCTGGCTACGTCGATGCCGTCGGGGGAGCCGTCGTGCTCTGCTCGTCGGATTAGCGTGTGAGGCGCGAGCGTCGATTGACGTCGATGAGCAACAATGGGGAGTGTTTGGTTTGTTCCTTGGACTCCACCAAACCGTTCGATCTTGTGGAATAGAGAGAGATGAGCAGCACATGACTTACCTTGCCCGCACTTTGTGCATTTGACGACGAGTCCGTTCCGGGAGTCAGCCATGGTGTTGTAGACGAGTCGCTGTGCACCTAGCTATGACAGGAGAATGGACTGGGGATTACAGGGAGAAGGGAGACGAGGTCGTCACGCAGTTTATAGAGGGAGGGAGGTGAAGTCGCATCGTCTCAGCCCTGGACGGCAAGATGGCGGCTCGTAAATGCCGGTGGCTTGATCTAGCACTTGCTACTACCTCGCGCCTGGGGATCTGGAGCTGCACGTTGCGATTGGCGGTTGATGTTGACTGTACGCTCTACGTTGCCGTTTACGTCTGGCGAGATTTACGTGATTGTTGGGTTGTTTGATTGAATGGATGATAACAGTGTGCCATTACAGTCCATTCGAATGTCCGCTTTGGGAAGGAATGACCAGACGGAAATAACCCGCTTACATCCGCTGCGAGTGAATTGAATGGCCGAGGTCCACCACTCCACCTCGACCCCAGATGAAGTTCGGCTGCATGTTTCCGCCAACACCACACCTCACCATACCACCATCACCTCTCCATATGTAGACCAACCTCCTCTCTCCCAAACAATCACACACCATGTCCTCCGAAGACCCGCCCCACCTCCCCCTCCCCGCCTCCTACTCCACCCTCCCCTGGCAAGAGATCCGCGTCACCCACGTCCCAGAATCGTCGAAAGACGTCACGCCCGTGGTGGTGGTGACGCTCTACCGCCCCAAAAACTACAATGCCTTTACCAACGTCATCATGCGGGAGCTGGAGACGGCTTTCCAGCTCTTCGACCTCGACGATCGCGTCAAGTGTATTGTCCTGACGGGACATGGCAAGATGTTCTGCGCCGGTGCTGATTTGGTAAGGAGTTCGGTTTTTAGTCCTGCTGTGAGACCTTTCTTCTTCTGTCTTTCTTGTTCGGTTGAAAGACATTCACACAGACTTCTATGAACTTTCAGTACTGATCTTGTCTCCGTGATGCATAGGACATCGGCTTCACACACCACAAAGAACCCCTTCGAGAACATCGGGATGGCGGCGGCCGGGTATCTCTCGCAATCCATCGCTGTCGGAAACCGACGATTGGTGCTATTCAAGGCAGTGCAGTCGGAGTGGGGATTACAATGACCCTACCATTGACCATCCGCATCGCGTACGAAAGGGCAAAAATCGGCTTCGTCTTTGCGCGAAGGGGAATCATCATGGAGGGATGCAGTAGTTATTTCCTGCCAAAACTGCTTGGGTAAGCACGCATTGACCGTGTGCTGAATGAACATCTACTCACCACACCCCCACAGAATGGGCAAAGCCCTGCACCTCGTCACCACCGGCAGCGTCTACCCCGCCGACCACCCTCTCCTCAACGGCCTCTTCTCCGAACTCCTCCCCAGCCCGGAACAAGTACTCCCGCGCGCCCTCGAGCTCGCCGCCGAAATCGCCCACAACACCTCCACCGTCTCCACCAACCTCATGCGCGAACTCATGTACCGCAACCCCGGCACGGCAGAGGGCACGCACCTGCTCGACAGCCACGTCATCTACGGCTTGTTTGGCAGCAAGGATAATAACGAGGGCGTTGCTTCTTTCATGGAGAAGCGCGCGGCCAAGTTCGAGGCTTCGATGTTGAATGATGCGCCGACTGCTTATCCATGGTGGGAGGCGGTCGATGTTTCCGCGAGGGCTAAGGCGGAGGGGCAGATTGGGAAGCCGAAGTTATGATGTGATGTTGTTGTTGTTTGCAAGGCGCTCTTGCTCATTTATACACTGGGTATCTTGTTCAGGATGTGGAATGCCTCCTCTCCCCACCTCCTGACCGTGGTCATCACCTGATGAACCACACATAAATCATAGCCCCCATAAACAACAACAACGCCGCCCAAATGCCCCAATTCTCCAGCATCCTTTCCCAATTAATCCGCACCGCCGCCCGCTTGTACTTGGCACTATCCTCCCTCAACCGACTGCTCATATCCCCCATCTTCTCCAGACTGTCCCCCCGATACAGCAAATCCTCGATATTCTTCGTCATCACCTGCGCCACGTCCTTCAGCTCGTCGTTCAGCCTGCCCAGGTTGTCGGTTGCGCGCGTGTCCTGGTAGGTTTTGCGGCTGCGCTCGATGTACCGGTCGAACTCGGCGTAGGTGTAGGGCCGCAGGTGGGGGTCGAGGTAGGCGGTGCGCGGGTAGGAGGTCTCGAATTCGCGGCAGATGTCGGCGAGGTAGGTTTGCGCGAGCTTTTTGGGGTAGGCGCGTTCGGTTATTGCGATGAAGCAGAGTTGGTCGTTGAGGAGGTAGCTGCGGACACTCTGTTGTTAAATGGGGCTAGGGTTGTGGTAAAGGGAGAGGGGTGGGCACGTACTGCATTGTGTGTTTCTTGCCTTCAAGGCTGGCGCGTGGCTCGGAGGTGCGTGTGAGTTTCTTCAGGATCTGGCGTGCTTGTTGCTTCATCTCTTGCACGTCGGCCTGGTTCTGGTCGTCCATGGAGGCCACGAGGAAGAGGCCTGAGATGTGGTGTCAGCCAGGATAGCTCGGCAGGAATCGTGGTGAACTTCTCACCGTCCAAACGGACGATTTCCGTGGCGTAAATCATCCTGTCGGTCTGGGAATGCGAGACGATGGTGGAAGTCGAGTACTACTCGAAAGGTCACGTAGCAGGAGGTGGTGTACGTGATGTACGAAAGCATATTTCCCAAACCGGATGCGCGCCAAAAGGGGCTTAGCGCGGGTGAAATACGCGGCGTGCCTTTGCGCGACATTTCAACTTCGAGATATTCACCTTACGCTGCTAGTCGTCCAAGCCTTGCCACTCCATCTCCACTCCGTCCAGAGCCTTGTCAGATTGGCAGTCCGCTTCAAAACGAAGGAGCCATCCCCAAACCATCAGGTAGTGCAGGCACTCGGGACGACAAAATGCCCCGCCCAACAGACCACTACACGCACTCCCAATTCGAGCCCATCGCCTCCGACTTCCAGGGCGAAACGGTGGTCTGCGTGCACTGCAAGCACTGGACCGGCAGCGTCAAGACGCTCAACCGCAAAAAGGAGCATCTGCTCAAATGCCCCGCCTACGCCGCCTGGCGCGCTGCCGGCAACGGCCAGGATCTGCCGCCGCCGAATAAGTATTCCAAGCGGGACAGTTTTGCGCTGAATGAGCCGGTGGAATACGCGCCAGCGCCGACGGCGGTGATGGGGGCGTTTGGGGAGTATGCGGGTGCGCCTGCTTCTTCTGGGGCAAGGAATCGGGCGCTTGGTATGTTTTGTCGTTTGCTGTTGTGTGCTGCTCCCAGCTGACGGTAGAGTTAGATGTCATTAAATTATTCGACGAGTTCTGGGACGATTCCTCGACGCAAAAGGTAGGTGCTTTCCTTCACTCGAGCCGAGCGTTGACTGATGACATTCAACAGTGTATGCGAACTCGCTGCAAGTATTGTGGTTTCGTGCGAGCAAAGAACTCCACTCGCCAGTACGAACATCTCCAAAGCTGCAACGAATACCTCGCCTCTTCCGAAGGCCAACAAGCCCTGGCGGATGGCCTCCTCACAGCCCCAATCGACGCGTCGCGAAGCACCAATGCGAATACCGGCGACATCTTCAACGGCGCCGCCCCGAACCCCAATCTCACCTTTCCAGAGCAAATCCGTGGAGGCAAGAGGGTTCGCCTCAGCAATCCTGCCCAATCCACTTCCACTCCAACGAGGCCACCACCCCCTCGGAAGCCCTCGCCATCTCTTGTCAATCATTTGCTCACGCAGAATCGTAGCTCCGTGGAGCAGTCTATTCAACTCCCCTTCCTCTCCCACGCAGGCTGCGGCACTCTCTCCCGCGCCGCGTTGCAGCAGTGGCTCACCCAGCAAAGTCATCTGTCGCGCTCATTATGTACCTTCATCGGCACGCTGATTGGCAAAATCCGGCTGAACGATGCCCCGAACCCCAGCCTCGACACCTCCTGGCGAGCACTCGATCTTCTCGTCTCCGCGTTGAACAACGCCAAACGCGAACTGGACTTTCTGCGCTCCACGCATATGAAGTACGGCTTGCAGCAGGATACGGACGCGCCACGTCCAGCGACTAGAGGCATGCTCGATCTCTTTGCCGCAGCTTCTGCCCCGGCTGCAAGTCTCTTAGAAGGCCTGGTGATACTCTGGGCAATCGAGCATGTAAGCCTGCTCCCTTCCCCTTCACACAACCAACCCCTAACATATCTCCTTCCCCAGCTCTACAGCCTCTCCTGGCACTACGCCTCAACCTTCATCCAACCCGTAGCCCCCTCCTCAACCTCCTACACAGTCCCCTCCTACCTCCAACCCCCGCCAAACCCCTACCTCCCCTACAACAGCACCAACAACAGCACCCAGCAACACCCCGCCCAAGCCTCCAACCCAGACACATCGCACACCAGCGCGCTACACGAAGCCCTCATCCCCAACTGGACGTCTCTCGGATTCGCAAACTTCGTCGACGCGTGCAAAGCTATTGTCGACGAGTTGGCCAATGGGCAGACGGCGGGGAATGGAGCCGAGCAGTTGAGGGCTTGCGATGGGGCGTTTATGCAGGTGGTTTGGTTGTGGAGGCAGGTCTGGCCGGAAGTTACGGGGATGGGGGAGGAGGAGGTGCTTGCTACTGCTGATGATGCTGTGGGCGGTGAGCGGCTGAATGGTGATGAGGCGGGGCGGCCGATTGAGGTTGGGGATGACGAGGATGATGGTGTTGAGGTTGATGCTGAGGGAGATGTGGAGGAGGGGGAGGAGGAGGGGGACGAGGTTGAGGCTTCTTATGCGGATTTGCGGGCTGTCGTTGCGGCGAATCGGGCTGGCTAGGGTGGGAGGTCCAACGGTGTGTTGATGGTGGAGGTCAAGTGACTCGTAGCAGCATTTTCTGGTTGCATTAATATATCAGATGTCTAGGTAGCGAGGGCGTTCTCGTGTGAAAAGGAGATTTGTTGGAGTCATTTGGTGGTGCTCATTCATGTCCTCTCGACGTTAAGCTGCCAGGATGGTCAGAAAGACGTGGAGCTATTCATAAGCCGTGAGTCGAAATAGCACGGCCTGAAACTTCTCGGCGATAGTGTTGGAGTGCTCCATCCGGGTGCGAAAAGCAGCTCATCGTTTCGTGTTCGATTGGTCGGTCAAGCTCATGGACCATCCCCTCTCTGTCAGCGATGCGGCGCAGGAATCCATCGTCACACATCCTCCCGATGTTCAACCCACAGCAAACGCCCGATCCTTCTCCATAGTCCCCTCAATAAACCGCCTCAACGCCGCCCACTTCTCTCCCTGCCCCGCAGCCAACCCACTAGAACCGTCCTTCTCCTCCACGTCCGCCATCCCATTTGACCGCTGCCCCTCCGCACCAACCATCTGCGCCAAATTCCGTCCAAACCGCTCCATCTCCCCCCTCTCCATATTTCGCTTCCTCTTCATAGCCCCAGCGCGATGCGGCAAACTCTTCATCACCATTTTCCCCGCTGCCGTCGACGAAGTCTGCTTCCTCCGCCTCCTCCTCTTTCCTCCTGGTAAAGCGGAGCCTTCGCCTTCGTCAATCCCCTCCCATTCATCAGAGTACTCTCCGCCCGCATCGTCTTCGATTTCCGCGAGGACATCTCGTAGCCCGGAGACAACGTCGGCTTTTAGTTTCTTCCCTGGTCGTCTTGTTTTCTTTACGCCGGATGCTGTGCTTCTACTGACGGCACTGGGTTTCCGAATCCCGCCGTCCTGGATTCTGTCGAGCAGGATGCCGTGTTTCAGCGTGCGCTTGTCTTTCTTCGTTCGGGGAGGTGTCCAGGCGGGGAGAGGGAGTTGTGGTGTCGTTGCTGTTGCGTTGGAGGGTTGCGGGCGAGACGTTCGGGGGTTGTGGAGGGCGCGGGTGGCGCGTTTGCGAATGGAAGGCATTGCTGGATGGTCCGCGGAAGAAGGAAGATCTGGCGTAGTTTTGTAGATGTCGAGGTTTGGTTGTTGAAGAAAGTCGATGGCTTATGTCAGCGGGGTTTTTTGCCATGGCACGTGCTGTGGCTGCATTGGTTTTGACTGTTCGCCCGGACGATTCAGACGGAGCACAATGGGCGGAGGACGACGGTCACACGTCGAGATACTCGGCAGCATGCGGAGCGCAGATACGATCCGATGTGAAATTGGCAAGGTGCAGCAGCGAATGAGGATTAAACTAGAGAACATGATATTTGCATGTATATTGGAGATACAACAACAGGCACCGTCCCAAGGCCTAACAGCCCGTCGACGAAGGCCCAAGCCAGCTAGACAAGAAAGCGAAAGCCACGCCACCACCGACTATTCCGCCTTCGTAGAAGCCACTGTGATGCCTGCAACCCAGCTTCTGAACGAGTTCGATTTCGCGAGCTCGACGTCCACGGGCGCTGCAGGCGAAGAGAAGACAAGAGGCTGATGTCTTGGGTCGGGCGGCGGCAGCAAGCAGTGCGGTCGTTTCCGGCCATGGCTTAGACTCCGCTGCCGTAGTTGGTGGGGTAGCTGGGGCCCTTGCAGGCCCACGGCTTCGCAATACCCGCCGCGAAAGAGCTCTGCGCCTGCTTGACGCCAGCGTAGACACCGAGAACAGAGTTGACGACGGCGGCGACGAACATGAGGATCTGCAGAACAAGCGTTAGTGTGATATTCGAGAGCAAGGTAGACGAGCACGACACTTACCAAGAACGCCTTGGCATACCAGAACTTGGAGAAGCCGCGAGACCAGCGGGACTTGTCCTTCCAGGTGTCGACGCGGTTGGAGCCCGGCACCATGCCGGGTTCCCACGGGCGATCGCCCTTGAGGGCATCGATTTGCATCCAGAAACCGACACAGAGGAGAGGGGGGAAGGTGTAGGTGAATTGCAGGATGAAGAGGGCGCCGACGATGGTGACCAAAGCACTCAGGAAGGGAATGGTGACGGCGATGACGTATGCGACGGCCCAGTAGACAATGACGGTCAGGGCGAAGTAGAGTCTTCCCCTGCCGGCAAGGAAGGACGGGAACTTGAAGTAGGCGCGGAGGACGTTCTCGTAGAAAACCTTGACGCCGATGTTGCCGTAAAGAACGGCGGCGATCATGATGGTGAAGAGGCCGATGACGTTGTTGGCGTAGATGATGGCGCGGTTGGAGAAGTCGAGACCGGGAAGGATGGAAGCGTACTGGCCTTGGTAAGAGTAGACGAGCAGACCGAAGAGCATGTACGTGAAGAAGCAGAAGAACTGCGCGCAAGCGGCGGCCTTCCAGAAGTCGTGGGGCTTGCGCATCTCGGCCATGAATTCGGGGAAGATCATGGCACCACCGTAGGCGAAGACGGCAAGCTGCACGCCCTCCACCTGGTTGAACCAGCCGTGTGCGTAGGCGGGGATCCAGGTGGAGACATCGATCGGCCCAAGAGTGGTGTGGTAGGAGTATTGGGGCACGGGCGCCGAGGTGGCAATGCCGTAGAGGGTCAAGATCATGGTGACGATATTGAGCCAGATGTTGCAGTTGGCGAACCAGGCAAAGTTCTTCAGCGACTGAATCTGGCCAATGAAGGCGCCGATGAAGTAGAAGACGAGGCACATGATCAGAAAGCAGGTGCCGGCGCGGAAGTCAGCCAAGTCGGCAAGAACCTGGGCGTTTCCATTGATGAGGAGGGCGACGTTGAAGAGGAGCTGGCCGGATTGGAAGATGTTGAAGACGTGTCGGACCCAGCGGCCAAAGACACGCTCACCAAGATCGGCATAGCAGATGACGGGATATTTAACGCTGTCCAAGCTCAAGTAGAGCTTCCAGATCACCTGACCGGCGAAGATGGCGAGGAGGTAGAAGAAGAAGTAGACGAGGACACCGGCGATGTAGCCCATCTCCTGGAAGGTCTTGGACGCGGCAGTAAAGCCGAGAATGTCGGTAGTGATGAGGTAGAAGACGGCCTGCCACGAGGCAACACGCAGGGCACGGTAGAGGCGTTCGCGCTCAGCAGTGCTGACCTGCGATGGTTCGCCATGGGAGTCCAAGCCGCCGACAGTCGCGCCAGTACCCTTCTCGGTGTCGGTGCCTTCAACGCCAGGGGCAGGGCCTTTGGCGTTGACCTCATCGTCGACCACGACCGGGTTGGGCTCGTCACCCCAGACGATCTTGTGCTTCTGGCCGGTCAACGTCTTGTACGCGACGGTCCACGAGGCATCGGGCACGGGGCGGGGGTCTTCTGCCTCGCGCTGGCGCTCAATGGCGGCGTAGTGCATGTAAACCTCCAGATGCTGCGAATTGGCATGGCCTGTTGGTGAAAGTCAGTGGGTGGCTGGTGCAAACAGGCGACAGCCACACTCACGGTCGTAGAAATCCTGGTTGATCTGGAAGGCCTCCTGATCGTGGATAGACAGCCTCTGGCCGAATTCCGTGCCAGTCAGCTCGCCGCCACTAATGGCACCGAGGGGAGCTGAGATCGACATGTTGCCGGTGGGCGCCCGTAGGTCTTGCTAATCACAAGGGACGGGAGAGGGTAAAGAAGGGAGGGGAAGAACGAAGGGATGCTGAGGAGGGAGAGGGCCACCGTGGGCGAACGAGGAACGCACGATTGATATAACCCGCGGGGGGGGGCCAGGCTGGGCGAGAGCAACACACGGGACACCCACCCACTGTCTTAATTGCATTCAACCGAGCCACCAATCAATGGCCAACACGACCATTCCAGAAATGGTTGGTGCGAGCCGGTAGCGCGGAAGAGCAGCAGGGTCTGGAGGGCGACTAGAAGTCGGCGAAGGCGGATGGAAGGGCTCCAAGCACGCGACCATGCCAAAAGTGGAGAAGCGACCATGCAAGGTTCTACCAATGTCACCCCAGATGTCCACAGACTCGACTATGCATGCCGCGTGATATCTCCGGGGAGGTGGAATCCGAGAGCTGATCAATGGCCGCGATCCGGGCAGACCGATTCTAGCCGGGCAGCACACCCCATCTTTCGCGTGGCCCATCCTGCGCACTCATCATTACCACCAATGCCTGCTGTGCACGACCTCCCCCACCACCCGCCTAAACGTGAGCGGTGGAGTGGGTGGGGCGCGTTATCTTTCCCATGGGGGCCATGCGTGATTTGGATGCCGTCCATCCTTTTGCCTTATCGTGGCCGGATGCCAATAATCTCTGATAAGAGCAAGCTCACTCAAGCAAATCCGACCAAGCTTTCCAAGCATTGGCCGTGATGGTCGCGGGATGTGCATGTAGCCATGCGTCGCGGCTTGTTTCGATGCGCACTATCGCTCTGCCAAATGAACCGCCAAGCTGTGGTCTGGAACATCTTTTCACCCGCAAATGAGTGCGCGAGATCGCAGCGCGGTGCACTAGCCGGATGGAGGGAAGATCCGCTCCACACTCCGCACTAGCGTGGGGTGCGGCAGCAGAGCCAGGCATGGATAGCGAAGGCGAGCCACGAGTTTGGCTGCAACGTGGATGAGTCCTGATGCATGCGGGTCGCTGCGTGCTGTTCCTGCCTGATTAGCACCGGTGGCGATCGTTTCGGCGCCGCCGCCGTCGAGATCTTCTCCGGTGCATGCAGGTGGCGACCGCGGCACGGCGGAGGGTGGTGCCAACTTCGGGCGCACACTTCTCGTGTAGACAGGGCGAAATCCGGCGGTCAGAACGCCCCGAGTCAGTGCACAAAGTCCCCAGGTTCCAGTGGGCAGCCATGAGTCGCGACCCACAAAGCCGAAGAGGCTCAAGCGAGTGCGCCAGTTTCTCATCCATTGCCCCGCACTCAAAAAGCAAGGCGAATAGAGCAGAATACGGGGTATCCCAGGGTCGGGGGTATGCCACCTGCGCTGTAACCAAAGCTCCGATCTGCGCTTGGCTCTCGGTTTTGCCAGCTTCCGCCCTGAACCGAAAGTGTAATGGCCTGTTGGCTTTCCAGTAGTGTCGGCTGGGGAAATTGTAATTCCAATCCACCGCGGCAGACTCCAGGGCTTTGTTTCGCCGCCACAAAGGTTGGCCACTTCGAGGGGAGGCTAGGCGATTCCACACGTGGGAAAAATGGCACCGGCTTCGATGCCTCGATCGTCAGGGCATATTGGTCGCTGCCGCCAGCCGTGGCCGCGGGAGAGTCAGCAACATGACCAAGGCCGAACACTTGGCATCGCGCCCGGCAACAGCTTGGCGATGTCGGGCTTGTATCGACTCCATCTCGAGTGGTATCGCGAGCCACGAATCGTTCTGCGGCGCATGTGGTGAGGCGAGGTGAGGTGAGCGTGGTTGTTGAGGGGTGCGCGGCCTCTTTAAGTAACAAGAGTCATCTCACCCCTTGCGCGGACATCGGAGTTCATTCATGAGCTTACGCCGACATGGATGCTCGCAGCCCTTCGCAGACGAGTCATCGGCAAAAACGGCATGACTTTACGCGAATGCACGTCTGATTGAGCGCCACTGCCCGAGGGCAGATTGAGGACTACTGTAAGAGGTATGGTCTTGATACCCAACGCGTAGAACATTAGGATATGAGATGAACCCGGCCTTGCGTCCGGTCAAGGACACCACGGAACTCTATCTTGTGAGACGTATGCGTTGCTGCAGTGCACGTCACTGCAGTACACGTCTAGTAGTCATGATGAGGCACACTGGGCAGACTGTTCATGCCCGATCCTCTGCGGAAACGAAGGCACTGCCTGGCTTCATGCACGGGGTTGAAGTGCGTCTGGACTTGCGACTGTCACCCGCACCAGTGGCAGGAATTGAGAGGCTTCCAAGTCAAGTAGCTTCATTGGGATCCTAAAGCTTGTTGAAGCGTCGAGCCGTTGGACTTTGCCTACAGATCGAAGGCATGCCGTGGGTGGACGAAACCAGAAATAATCGAGGACAAGGTGCGGGCGTTTGTTGCTGAGTTGCAGCCAGGAGAGGCAGCAGGCCCAGTATCACGACTTCTGTCATTTGCGCCATTGGATGCTACGACTTATGTCACGATACTCAATTTGGCAGCAACACCTTCGCCAGCCTGACCAGCCTCTGTAACATCTCTTTTTCCATCGCGTTAAAGACACAATCTCGCTCGTTTGCAGGGGCTCGGCTCCATAATGGCTATAATCACAGGACTCTCCCATCTAGCTAATCCATTGGCCACCGCCGTCCAGCTCGAAACCTCCTCCAGTCACCTCGATGGCATCCCCAAGGACCTCGAAGACTGGGTACGATTCGAGAGCTCCAAACTCCTCCAAGCAGCAGGGATCCTCTTGCGCCTTCCGCAAGAACTCATTGCTCAATCTATCATCATTCTTTGCCGTTACTGGATCGGCGCTGATGGTGGGAGTATGCTGGACCATGACCCCAAAGATGCCGCAGCCGCGGCGCTGTATATGACGGCCAAGCCTTCGCCTCATCCCGTCAGTGTGAGGCAGGTTTTTGTCGTCTTTTCTTACCTCACCTCCCGTTCCGGCTTCGACTACAAGATGGCCAATGAGGGAGATGTCACCAACTGGCACATCTCCGGGGTCGACTACGAAGCCGCCCGATCACGACTTTATGCAATCGAAGCGCATATTCTGCAGGTTCTCGGACTTGCAACACACGTCGCGCTCCCCTTTACCCTGTGCATCAACTACCTGCAAACCCTCGACGTCTTCAAAGCCTCGCGGCGAGAAGGCGAGGCCGTTGCGAAGCTCGCGTTTCAACACCTCAACACCGCTCTCCTGAGCCCGCAACTGCTATATCTCACTCACCAACCGACTGCACTCGCCACGGCCGCGATTTATCTCGCTGCGCGTGAGGTCAAGGTCAAACTGCCCGAGACGAGCTGGTGGGAAGTGTTCGACGTGGACCGCGAGGAACTCGGGTTCTTGGCGGTGGCGATGAGGAGTGTGGAGGGGTTTGCGAGGGAGGAGCGCCTGAAGTGGGAGGGAAGAAGAGTGCCAATGACGATTGAAGGCCTGCGGGAGGAGATTGAGCGGAGGCGAACCCGGGAGGTCGGCGGTGCGAGATGACCGAGTCACGTGATAAGTACAACGGTGGCCGGCTTCTACCGTCCACTGTGGAGCAAGTGATGATCATGCGCGAAGCAGAAAGGGCAGCATTATATGTCATAAACGGTGCATGAATTCTGCTACCTAGCTATGCAGATGATAAGATCGACCAGCAATCTAGAAACATCCCACAAACGCAACCCGTCCCAACCATTTTATCCCCGCGTACAAAGCATCTAGCTACTGTCCACCTTGAAGAAAGTGTCAATCGTCTTGAGCATATCCTGCGCAATCATCTGGTGCATCGTCGTCTCCGGCTGGTCATTCGTGAACCAGAAGAAGGGGCGCGCATGCGTCCACTTGGGCGGCACGGCGCACTCTTTGAAGTGGTCCACCGGGTTGGACTGGTTGCCGGAGTCGCACAGGAAGTACAGCGGCTCCGTGTACCCGTACTGGTTCTTGTTGTTCATGATGTCGATCATGAAGCTGTACACGTCGTAGTAGATGATCTTGTCGGCGTACTGCGAGTTGGCGAGCGCGTTTTGCGTGAAATTGTTCGCCGCCTCGATCACCGTGCCCCAGTTGTCGGCGCACACGGTGTTGTTGTGGCACAGAAAGCCGGCGGTGATGGGCGCCGTTTGGATGGGGAACAGGTTGACGTACATGACGGCCGGGGCGCCGGTTTCGATGAGGTGCTCGATCTGCTGGAGCAGGAGGGTGGTGAAGTTGTTGTAGAAGGCGACGTTGGGCTTCGCGTCGGGCGTGATGAGCGTCGGCGGCTTCACGTACCAGTTGGTGTGCTTCTTCAGGTCGTTCTGCCCGATCCACATGAACTGCAGCGCGTTCTCGATGTTCGCCGGCTTGCCTTTGGCGGTGTAGTTGCTGAAGATTTGGTCGTAGGTCGACGGCACGGGCTTGCCCTTGTACAAGTCCTTGGCGGGAGTGTAGCTGTTGTCGATGGTCGAGCCAGCAAGACCGCCACCGTACGAACCACCCCAGGCGTAGTCCTGGAGGGGAACGTTGAGCAGTTCGGCGAGGTAGGTGGGTGCTACCGGGCCGTCGGTCCACGTGTAATATCCGTAGATGTTGTTGGGGTCCAGGCCGTGAGCGTAGGAGCCGTTGCCATTGTCGCTGAGCTGATCGCCGAAGACGACGAGCTCGTTGAAGGGGTATTTCGATGTGCTGGGCTTCTTCTTGGTCGTGCGGGCCGCGGCCGAAGAGAAGTAGAGTGCCTGCACGGCTAGAAGGGAGGCGAAGCCAGTGCTACTGAGAGTCCACATGTTGGCAGCGTTACAATGAACGGTGTGAGTGATGGGGAGGTAGTTTGGGAGTCCAGAGTGCGAAAACCCGGCGAGTAGAAAGGTCTTTTATATGACGAGAGCATGACACAACGTGCGGTAGCGAAGATGGGTTCGAAAAGGGAGAGATCATGGCTCGCTTACGGTTGAAGAAGAGTTTAGGGGTTCTCGGGATCGATGGTCAGATCGGAAGTATTTTGGCAGAAACGTGGGAAGAGAAGGGACAAGACGTCAGAAGCTTGATGTGTCTTGGAATCGGGTATTTCTGCTGGAAGATCGACAATGCCATCGACATCAGACGTAAATCGAATTGCGCTGGGCTGCGATGCACTCGTTGTATGAATTCCGGGCGGCTGAAGGTGCAGATGGGAGGCGTACATGACCAACCGGTAAAAGTTGTCCGCAACCGGCATGTCAGTTCAAGGGGCGTTTGTTGGCGCACGCCCATGTGGACTGATGACATCTGTGGAGCTGTCGCGTCCATGGGCATCTAGGCCGGCAAGCATTAGGCCGGGCGAAGGCTAGCCCTGCAGGCATGCGGCGTTCCCTTTGTGGAGGACTGTAGGCTGAAGGCGGGTGGCAAATGGCTCACCTTATTCGATTACCATTGCTGCAGGACGTCATCCCGGCTTGTCGTTGCCATTCAGGGTGAGAATACACCCTGGTGCACCTTCAGCATTTGCGTCATCTCGCCCCTGGAAAAGTGGGAGGGCAGAGGGCATCGAGCAGGCATTCGATGCGCGAGCCTACGCAGACGAATGCGGTGTCGTTGCGCGTTGCGGAGAAATTAGAGTTTTCGGTCGCTACCGAACAACGGCCCACCCTGTCGAGCCTCTCGCAACAGCCCGGCAGGAATAAGGTTGTGGATGTACGAGCAAGCGAGCGCCAAACGATGCCCGCCTTGCTGCATCTGGTTGAGCGTTGACTGTCACCGCCGTGTGGCTGGACCATTGCCCGGGCGCGAGGACGGCATAGTCGGGATACGGGTCAATCGCCGCTCACCGGCCTCACCTGCGCGTACAGATGCCTCCAGCCACAGTGGATGCCGGCCTAGACGAAGGCGCCTTTTTACCGCGGGATTGCCAGCCTTGCCGCTTCGCATGGGTGAATATCTTAGGTACATGCGCACACCCAAGGTCAAGCTACCGCCACAGTGGGCTTGTGCCTAGGCGAAGGCTTAAGCAATGCTTGCCACCAGCCTTGCCCAGCCGCAAGCATGCAGGCATCAGCGTCGCCTGAGAGGACCTGATCAGCGTGCAGTATTCCTCGCTATCTTCCCTGCAGCCGAAGAGGGCCTCTGCATTTCGCGGTTCGCCCGACCCATGTTGCAGATCTTGTCCGCGTACAGCCACAACCAGGTCTATATTGCGGACTACATCATCGATGTCATACGTTCCTCACTCAGCCGGATTCCCGCCCATCCGCGCCGTCTCACATGAGCCTTGTATGAGCCAAGTCATTGCGGCCGGAACGTCCCCCCGTCGCCGATAAGTCGAGCCTCACTTCATCGCTCTGCCGTTTGACCCCGATCCAGCCAATCAAAAATCTCCCACGTGACTCTCTCGGGCTGGTCAATCATTATTAAATGGCCCGCCTCAGGGATGACGACAAAGTCGCGGAGGCAATGGTTCAGCAATTGAGCCAATCGATCCATCTTCTCCCTCGGAATCCAATCGTCATTCGACCCCCAGACAATCTTAACAGGACACTTCACGTTCGCGTAGAGATTCCTATCCAGCATTTCGTCATTCGCCTGGGCAATCTGTCGGACGAAGCTGCGTTGCTTTGTCTCTAACGCGGCCTCCGACGCATCGCCATCCAGGCCCGCAGTCCACGGGATCGCCAATGCTTCTTCCCAGCCGGAGGCTAGGGTGCGCGGATTGAAGCATGCGCTGCGGATCACGCTCCGGACGATCGCCTCGAAGGTCTTCGAGGGTAGTTGGAGAAAGACGTGCGGTTCGGCACGCACCATCTTGTAGAAGCCATCGCCCCATGGCAGCACGGCGTTGGTGTCCATCAGGAGCAGAGAAGCAAAGTCGCATCCATGCAAGAGGTGAGTGCGCAGGGCGATGGCTCCAGCAATGTCGTGTGCGATGACGGCCGGCGCCAATGACCCGGTGAGATGCAGGTGGCTGAGCAGAGCGGCGAGTGCGGCTGCTTGGAAGCGCACCGACGTGTCGCCATCAAACATTGCGTTTTCTGTCTTTGGATGAGAGGCCTGGAATGCCTGAGACTGGCCATAGCCCGGCAAGTCGTAGAGAAGGACGCTATACCGCCCACTGGCGATCATAGCCTTTGCCACGGGCTGGAAGACCACTGATGACCACGGCGTACCGTGAACAAAGGCGACTGTGCTACCTGGAGATTGCTGATTACCCGCTGACTTGGAGAATGTGTATTTTATGCTCCATCCTTCGAAAGCGAAGGTGGAATCCAAGCCCATGTCGAGCTACAACGCGGACAGACTCGTGCTCTGCTCTGGATCACTTGGCGGTCGAGGACAATGAGGGGCATGAGCGTGTTTGAAACAAAAGGGATGGTGATATGATTCAAATCTCACCATCATAGCGTATTCGGTCAGCCCGTGTAGTGACGCACATCCGGTTACCAAGCAATCCATCGGCCTGGTTAGGGCTGATTGTGCAGTCGGACCCTTACTCTGGGGCACTCGAGACTGATAGACCAGAGTCTGCGAGCATGAGTATCTCACATGCTCGATGTAAAGGCACAGCATCTTGCGTGTGCCCTGCGACCAATACGTGACACTTATGTAAGGCAGTCGTCTCAAAGGGCAGTCCTGCATTCCCGCGCGGATGCAACATCGTCCGGAACACGCGGCACAATGTGAGCTGGCACTGCAACCATGCCTTTGCTCCCCGCATCCCAGACGACGCCTGCGCATTCTCCTCGACCTGCTCATCTCTCTGCATCCGCTATTCTAGCCCATTGCTTTGAACATCAGCGTTCTGCAGAAACAAAGGCCGCGCTCGCAAATCTCTCCGCATCCGCCGCCGCCGTTCCCCGCTGTCTCATCAGTGCCGCCACCACCACCACCACCCGCACGCCACTTCAGCCATCTCTCGGCAGGCAACACCTTACCACACGTCCACAACCCCTCATCTAGCAAACCTCAATACCAACCCCAAAAATGGTCGCCACCTGGGCCATCCCCGTCGGCGCCCTCTGCGGCCTCTCCGCGCTCGCAATGTTCTTCTTCTGGTGGTGGTTCCCGCGCGTGTGGCGCAAAGGCAACAACCAAGAAGGTGAAATGATGGTGATGGAGAATGCGGCGCGCCAACGGCATCGGGCCATTATCGCTGCTGCGCAGGAAAGGGAGGCGTTGGAGAAGGAGGGCGGGGGGAGGGTGGCGCTTCGCGAGGTGGCGGGGCCGGTGGGCGAGGAGCTGCCTGCGCCGCCGCCAGCCTACTATTCGGCGCCGGTTTATTCGACTTATTGAGCAGTGGAGGGAGGAGGGACTGGAATGGGACGGACGATTGACGACGAAGGCATGGTGTTTTCGCGAGCGCTGAGATTAATGGATGAAAGATATCATGATTTGCCAGACGCTTTTAGGATACACAGCGTATTCGCTTCATTACAGTAGGCGCCCTCATACTCATCCCAACCCCACCCTCTAGTTCTTCGACAACTTCTCGACCTCCTGCATGCGCTTGTCCAAGACCTGCTTGATATCTGAAATGGTGCCCTTGGCGATGTCCTGTGCTTGCGAGCCCTCTTTCTGGGTAATGTCCCACAGTTTCTGCAGCTGCGGCATGATCTCGCCGCCGTTGGGGATGTTCTGTAGCCAGCCTTGTAGTCCGTGGTCCGAGGCGTACTTTTGTGCGCCATCTTTGACCCTGTTGAGGTGTTAGTCGAGATATGTGCAAGAACGTGACAGTGATTCTCACTTCTGGGCGTAGTCCTTCAACTCCTGCGTGTTGCCTGACGACACAGCGTTGCGCACTTTGTCGATCACCTCCTTGGTGTTGCCCTGCTTCAGCGCGTCCATGTTCTGCTCCACAAACTGCTTCACTTCGGGATTCTTCTCGAGCATGGGCTTGACCTGCTCCCAGCCCTGGTTGAAGGCCTCTTCCGACATCTTGCGCAGCTTCTCCACCTTGTCCTGCACAAGGGTTCTCGCGCGGTTGAGGTTCTCCGGCTGCAGGCCGCCCTGTACGATGGTTTGCACTTCCTTCCACGTCTCATCAATCTCCTTCTTCGCCTCCGGGCCGATGCGATGTCCAAGTTGCTTGAGCTGTTCCGCCGAGCCGCCGAGCTTCTCCTTCAATTGCGGATGGTTGTTGAGAATTTCCTCTGCAGCATCCTCGGCGAGGGAGAAGAGTTTCTGTAGGTGTTTCGAGAGGACGTTGTAGGAGTCGCTCGCCGTCTCCAAGCTCAAGCCCTTCTTGGAAGCATCACGCAGCTCGCCGTACGCCTCCTTCACAATGGCGTCGACTTCGTCGCCATGCTTCTGTCGAACGGTGTCGAGGTCCTTGAACGCACTGTCCACGTACTGACGGCCACCGGGAATGAAGGCAGCGTACTTCTGCGCACTCTGCTTGATCGTCTCGAGCGCTTGGTTGGCGTCGTCGGGCGTGTTCTCCTCAAACTTGACCTTGAGTGACTCGGTGGCTTTGTCATAGTACCCTTTGGCCGACTTGGCCGTTTGGACTGCGGTTTTGGCGCCGGAGAAGTGGTACCAGGAGTATGTCACTGCGAGTGCTGCAGCCGCTCCAACGAGTCCACCAGTAGCAGCACCTGAAACACCACCGGCAGTCTGCGGGTTGGCTTCACTCGAGGCGAAGCGAGGGCGAGGAACATTGCGTTTGGTCAGGGGGGCGGCTGTGCGGGCAGCTCTTGCGCAGCGAACGGCGGCACGGGTGGAATACATGGTGGGAAGAGTGTGATGGTATGAGGGGGAGAATGGAAGTGAAAGATAGAGAGAACGATGAAGGGAGGCAAAGATTTGGTGAGCTACTCTTTCACATGGAAACTACTTCGGTACGCGTCGCGAAAAATCGTGGCAGGAACGGTTTGGCATGTGGAACGGTGACGCACCGCGCCATCATCACCTCATGATGATGCCCTCGAGACTTGTGGGGTAAAGCTGGATTTGGAGCAGCTCGCGAGCTCTCTGGGCCTAGCCCCGCGTGCTGCCACTGACACTAACCGGATGGGGATCCTGCCGCCAGCTCCCACAGTCCGTGCGAGCATCTCCACGACCATGACATACACTCGGCCTCTTCCGATCGGAAACGAACGACGCCATGTCCTTGATCCGCTCGACATCATGTCCACGAGGCATGAGTCGCGCAATCACGTCCTCCTCCAGACCTTTGAATGGTACACGGAGCCTCCCGAGAACACATCCCACTACGCCTCGTTAACCCAACTCCTGCCATGGTTCTGCGACATTGGAATTACAAGCCTCTGGCTTCCTCCCGGCTGCAAGGCGAACAATCCGCGGGGCAATGGCTATGACATCTACGATTTGTGGGATCTCGGCGAATTTGAGCAAAAGGGCAGCAAGAGCACGAAATGGGGCGGTCGGGATGACTTAAATGCGCTCATACGCAAGGCGAAAGAGCTTGGCGTCGGTGTAATATGGGATGCCGTGTTGAACCACAAGCAAGGTGGAGACAGCACAGAAAGTGGTATTTGGGCAGTTGAAGTGGATCCAAAAGGTACGGCTTGCAAACTATTCGATGACAACAGTGGCTGAGAGGCACGTGCGAAGCAAGATAGGAGGTATGAAATCCGCCCACCCAAGCAGATTGAAGCTTGGCTGCGATATGACTTTCCTGGACGAGAGGCGGAAGGGATGAAGTACAGTGGAATGAAATGGCGGGCTCATCACTTCAACGGCACCGATTGGGATCAGAGGGCGCAGAAGAATGCCATTTACAAGCTGATCGACGATCCCTCCACACATCCACCGTTTGAACAGCCTCGTGTTCCTGGCTCAGATGGCCACGCTGCACCCCGCGGTCGGCTTTCCATGCTGCGACGTCGATTCAGCAGTCAGTCCGGGAAGCAGAAATATCCTGCTCCTCCTCGACGGCCAGGAAAAGGTTGGGCCGACGATGTCGACGGGGAGCACGGCAATAACGACTATCTCCTCTTCTCCAACATCGACCACTCCCATCCGGAAGTCCGACAAGATCTTTTTGACTGGGGGTGCTGGATGGTCGATGACGTGGGTGTGCAAGGCTTTCGTCTCGACGCCGTGCAGCACTTTTCATACAGCTTCACTAAACAGTGGATCCATCACGTGCGCAAAGCCTGTCAGCAGATAGGGGACAGCGAGTCGTTCGTGGTGGGCGAGATCTGGACGGGTGAAGTATCCCGCATCACGAAATGGCTGGATGCTGTGCAAGAGCGGCAGGCACCGCAAGTACACGCCTACGACTCCCCACTGCTGTATAACTTCTCACGCATATCCGAAGACGTGAGAACGAAGTCGAAGAATGCAGACCTGCGGACGATTCTTCGAGGCTCACTACTGGAGCAAAGAGCAGACGCCGCCGTAACGATTGTAACGAATCACGACACACAGCCCGGACAGACCTGCTTCACTCCAATGATGGCTATACTCAAGCCTCTCTTCTACGCCTTCATCCTCCTCCGTAACGAAGGCTATCCCTGTGTATTTTGGGGTGATATCTTTGGGACGAACGGACCGCATGCAGAGGGCCCACCATGCTTGGTACTCGATGAGCAAGGCAGAAAGCGCAACGTGCTGCTGGACCTCATCTACTGCAGAAAGTTGTTCGCCTACGGCGCGCAGCGCGACTATTGGTTTAGCAACAGCTGCATCGGATGGACGAGGGCTGGCGACGAAGATGATTCGGGCTGTGCTGTTTTGCTGAACATCGGACCCAAGGCCGCGGTGCAGAGGATGCAGATTGGGAAGAGTGGAGAGTTGTGGCAGGATGCCTTGCGCCGAGGCCATCGGGATGTCAAGATCGACGCCAGAGGCTGGGGAGCATTTGAAAGCCGGTCGTATGCCGTCGCGGTGTACATTCGGAAGGATGCACTGGAGAAGTCGAAATTTCCGGTACAATAATCTTGCAACTCATCATGCGGATGTACCTGGACGATATACTTGTAGACCAGCACGGGGGGGGAGACGATCGAATATCTGGACGATGAGGTGGCTTCGCCAAGTAGGAATGACCTATCCCAAGCGCAGCGCACTCGGCACTCGGGCGCAGCGCTTGGCGACACCTAGGCAATCCACGGATGCATGCCTTTTCACCACCTACAAAGACACGCTACCACCCACTCTCGACTGCTCTAATAATAAATCAGCTGTCGTTGTTGCGGGCCGCACGACACAAGCATATCGCCACTCGTCACCGGACCTGCTTCCGGCGGCATGGCCGGCCAAATCCAGCTTGCCGCGCCAGCGACTTACCTTGTGCACGCTTGCTATTGAAGATTGGCGGCATCTCGCTAGCAAAGTGCCCACCTGGAACTCCACTGCAGTGTTGACGTGGCTCACAGAAAGGCGTGTACCCGTCTTCACGCCCAGAGATCTCGAATCGCATTTCGCTCGGTAGGCTGGCGCCCATATGACCTATTTATCTCTCTCATCTGCTCTCCACTCCTTTCGTTTACTTTGCTACTTTTCCAACGCTGTTTCCTTCACGATGATGACCTGCATACTGACGGCGCTTGTTTTCACTACCTCTGCTATTCTTGCCGCACCACTCTCTTCACGCACAGGCAACATCGTCACCCAAGCCTCCGGCTCGTACGACTTCGTCATCGTCGGCGGAGGCTTGGCAGGCCTGGTCCTCGGCGCTCGCATCTCCGAAAACCCCAACCTCAGCGTGCTTGTCCTCGAGGCTGGCAGCGATGGAGAGGCATACAAGACGCAAATTGACACGCCGGGTCTTGCATACTATGGTGATTTGTGGTCCGGGCCGCTCAACTGGAAGTACTACACTACTCCCCAGTCGGAGCTGAATGGACGGAGCATGATCTGGCCGCGAGGCAAGGTATTAGGAGGCAGCTCCGCCATTAACGGAATGTACATTACGCGCCCGAGTGCAGTGGAAATCGATGCCTGGGCCGCGATGCTGGGCGGTATGGACGGCGCCGAGAATTGGACGTGGGACTCGCTGTACAATGCAATGAAGTCTAGCGAGGCTCTCACGCCGCCTTCTGCCGCCGTAGCAAGCCAGGCGAATATCTCATACAACCCGGCGAGTCATGGGTACGGCGGGCCTATTGACACCACCTGGCCGGGCTACACTTTTCCCATCAACGGGGCTTGGTCCGATGCTTGCGAGAACGCTGGAGTGCCAAAGACCGACGATGCGTATGGCGGCAGCAACTCGGGTGCTTATATTGCTGCTTCGTCGATTGATCCCTCCAGCTGGACGCGCGCTTCTAGCAAGACGGGATATTTGGACAATCTGCCATACCGTTCGAACTACCATGTCCTTCCGAACGCTTTCGTCACTCGGATCCTCTTCGACAACTCTGCGAGGGGTGAAGTGACAGCCACGGGAGTTGAGTATACAACTGATAATGGCGCGACGCGGTCCACTGTGACCGTCAACAACGAAGTGATCCTGGCAGGAGGCACCATCGGCAGTCCCACAGTCCTGATGCACAGCGGAGTCGGCCCGAGCGACGTTCTCCGCGCCGCTGGCGTCAACGTGGTAGTCGATCTTCCCGGCGTCGGTGAACACCTCATGGACCACCTAAGTCTCCAAACCACCTGGGCCAGTATCGAACAAACCGCCGGCGCTCTCTACCAATCCGGCACGCAAACCAACAACCCCGCCTTCATGTCCTACATCAACGACGCCGTTGCCTTCGTCGACGGCCCCACCCTCCTTGGCCCCAATCTCCCGACCTTCCAATCGAACGTCCTCTTCAACCAAGCCTTCTACGCCCCCAACACCAGAGACTCCGTAATGGAAGCCAACACCGCCATCACCGAAACAACAGCCAAAACAATCCTCCCAAGCAACAGCGGCATCATCGAAATCCTGCTCCAAAACACCGCCGCGAACGGTACGGTGTTCATCCAAGTCACGCTCCAGCATCCCTACAGCCAAGGCAGGCTATGGATCACGTCCAACGATCCAATGCAATACCCCTCCATCGACCCTCGCTACCTCACCAACCCCGCAGACCAACAAATCACCATCGAAGGCCTCAAGCTCGCGCGCCGAATCGCCCAATCGCAGCCACTGGCTTCCATCCTGAAAGAAGTCACGCCCGGCGAAAGCGTGCAGAGCGATGAGGAGTGGCTGCAATGGGTGCGTGCGAACTTGTTCACGGAGTTTCATCCTTCGTCTACGTGTGCTATGCTGCCGCGCGAGCAGGGGGGTGTGGTCGATGCGCGGCTGCGGGTGTATGGGACGCGCAATGTGCGGGTGGCGGACGCGAGTGTGCCGCCTATTGCGTTTTCGGCGCATTTGCAGGCTTCGACGTATGGGATTGCGGAGAAGGCGGGGGAGATAATCAGGGGGGAGTATAGCTGAGGGTGTGAGCGTTGATGATTCTTGATACTAGGTTTAATGTCTAGTCTTATCCTGTTTTCCCGACGTGAACGCTTCACGACTGCTTTTTGAACTCCACCTTCCTCCCGAGAAAGCAACCGATCGTCACGCCCGTCACGGCACCGCCACTCCGATGGAACACGAGCGTCCAGTCTCCCGGCGGAGAGGCATCCATTCCACGCGGACAGCTCAGAATCCACACATCCTCGCCAATATACCGCATCAACCACACCGGCCCCTTGCCCAGAAAGCCATCAAAAGCCCCGTAAAGCGTGCCCTTTTCGCCCGTGCAGAGGAATGTAGACTCCGACTCTTCGCACCGGTAGACGCCTGCGTAGTCTGCGCCTTTGACGTTCGTGACTGCTTCTTCGCTCGCTTTGGCGAGGCGGTGGGCGCGCGCGATGCGGTTGTCGTCGGTGCGCTTGAGGGTTAGGACGTCGCCTTCGATTGTCGCTTCGCCTTGTTTGCACTCTGCTTGGCTGGCGGAGGTGAGGTCGAACGTTTCTTCCGCCCGGTTATAATCGATCAGGACTTTGCCGGGTTTGTCGGCGACCGTGCGGACGCTGGTATGCAGTTGCGTGCCCTCGTCGAGATAGCTGCCCGCCCATTCTGCGGCCGCAGTGATGTGCGTCGCGGGCTCTGGGTCGGTGTGTCCCAGCACCGCTTTGAAAATGTCCTCTACGATGCTCCCTTTGGCATTTTCGAAGTTCAGCATGATGATGACGGAGAGTTGCTCCGACGGCATGTGGACGCGCTGCAGGCGGAAACCGCGAAGCGCGCCGCCGTGCCCGATGACTTCCTTGCCCGCGAGTTTCACGCGTCCCAGGCCGAAACCGTAGCTCGCGGGCATTCCGTCGTTGAACTTCTGCTGTTGCGAGTTGTGGTGGTATAGGCTTGAGGCATCGGAGTAGCTGGCTTGCAGGTACCTTTCGTAGGCTATCATGTCTGCGAGAGAGGCGCCGATGCCTGCGTCGCCGGCCCATTCGATGCGGTTGACGGCGGGGAAGTAGCCGAGTTCTTCGGTGCCTTCGTAGCCTACGATCGGGAGGGGGATGCCTTGGGTGTTGATGTAGAGGGAGGCGGTCGTCATGCCGGCGGGGACAAAGACACGTTCAGACAGAAGCTGGGAGAGGGATTGGCCAGAGACATTCTCTAGGATACGGCCGAGGACGAAGAAGTTGACGTTGGAGTAGGAGAATTCGCTGCCCGGTTTGAAGTGGAAGGACTTTGTTAGATCGAGGGTCTTGGGGGCATCGGAGGAGATTGAGAAGGCCTGGTCGGGAAACGCGCCGTATAGAGTAGTCCTGCAAAACATAGCATGTCAGTGTTGATATTGATGTAGGACAGAGATAGGCAGGCTCTTACATAACCCAATAATCGCGAATCCCCGATTGCATATTAAACAAATGCTCCAAGCGGAGCTCCCCACCCGGATGTCCATCAAGATGCGGCAAAAGTCTCTTCATCTCCGCCGTCATCAGCTCCCACGGACTCTGGTCCTTCATGAGCATCGCGGGGGTAGGATTGCGGCATAGCGAAGTCATAGCCAAGCAAACCATCTGCTTCGAAATGGAACATATGGGCAGTACCGTGGTGGCGCTCATGGGCACCCGTTGTTCCAGATTCGCATAGCCCCATGACAGTTGGGAGACGACCTCGCCATCTTTGATCACCGCTGCTGAACCGCCGGGGCCTCGTGCTTTGTGCGGGATGGCGGACAGGATGCTGTCGATTTCGGCACGTGATTTCGTTGATGACATGGTGGGTGATTGGACGGACGGACAACCAATGCTTTCTTGATTCGTAAGGATGACTGACGTGCAATGGGAGTCGAGTACATGCAGGTGAGGTAAGACGAGGGAAGTTTTGCGTGTGGGGCCCCGAGGTTTGGTTTGTGGAGATGCGGAGGCCTGCTCCGTCCTTTCCATGCGGCTGCACGCGGCCCAAGCCTTGCCTCGACGCCATCATTCACTCTACGATCGTGCTATCAGCCAAAGCGATCCCGGCCGGACTTGACAAATACATTTCCTGTAACGATACAGCGCGTCAGGGCATCGTCTTACCGCCGTGCGCCTGTTGTTCCACCAAGCACCCGAACCGGACGGAATTGATCGGAGGATGTGGTACGGCGTGTTTGACACGTGTCTGTGGTCAGGCACAATTTCAAGCCCGCCGACCATAATGACGTCGAGGAGGATGAATTCAACAAAAATAGGCTGTTCCAGTAATAGCGGGTACTGGTTGACGAGAAGCAGTGTGTGCACAGCCTGCGGTGGAGGAGCAAAGAATGCTCGCTTCGCCCGTCGATCTTGAAACAGTCAGTACCTCTGATTGACGCCGCGACACCAATGTGATTCAATAGTCAATGAAGTAGTACCCAAGGCCACCATGTCTCAAACACCCCGAGCAGCCGTCTTTCAGAGTCGAAGATCATGTGCTAATTCAGCCATCGATTCCCGTAACAGCGTCACCACCGCCCCTCCATCCAGCCATCCCTGCCTTGCCACGAGAACGTGAACACTCCGTAATTGGCTTAACTGCATTCCGGTCAACAAATCGCTGGACTGAAACGAAGTCCAGGGGGAGTGTCTCGTCCACGCAATACTCCCCTGCTTCCGATGTAAATGCAGGCGTCCGTTCGATCCCGACGACATGCCAGCGCGGCCGAGGAAAGTCGCAACTCCGACGCCTGAACACGAGTCTGACGTACTCCTTCGATATCTCAAGGTGTACTCGGAGCGCTGAAGTCCCAATCTGGTGATGAATGGGAACGCAAACCCCTGTGCGGCGGCACCCATTCGGACGAAGATCTGCATTCTGCGTGTTACAGGCCGTCAGCAGCAATGCTGCGCTGCACATTCTCCGCCTCGTTGACGGGTGGACACGAGAAAGCAGTGCATTGGAGCGTCGATCGCAATTTGTAGCGCACGCAAAGAGGCGAGGGTGAGGGCGCGCGTGTGGTGGCACAAGACGTTTATCCCTTGTGTGTTGTGCTTCCCTTACGTCGGGACTTTCTGGCAGCGGTGCCACGCCTTGGCAGGGCGAAAACACTTGCAGCATTCCTTGCACCTGCTCGGGGATTGTCGATGACGCAGCACGGCGAGGTCGATGTCGAGGATCGGGTTATAAAAGTCGTGTTGATTCCGTTTCGTTTCGTTTCTTTCCTATCATCATCGTCCAGATATCGCAACAAGTCCAGCACTCGTTCAAACACACACTTTCAACACTTCCATCACCCAATCAATCAATCACTCAACATGCACGCCTTCTCCCTCCTCGCTCTTGCCGCCTCGGCCATGCTGGTCTCTGCCGCCCCCTGGGAGCAGCCCAGCCAGCCTCAGCCGTGGCAGCCATCCCCGCCCCAGCAACAGCAACCCCCTCAGGGAGGCAGCTCGGGGAATCAGCAGCAGTGCGGCCAGAACCAGCAGCAAGGTGAGTTGCACAACCAGCTACTCTTTCGACTTCTTCCGCTAACATGAACTCTCTTGTCGTAGCTTGCTGTGATTCCGAGGACAATGCCCCGGCTCTCGGATCTTCCTGCTCGCTTTCGCTGTTGAGCGATATCCGTACGTATCTCCGTTGTTCTCGCGTTTGACGGTATGCTGACAGACATTCTCAGTGGGTGGTGGTACTTGCAGCGGCAGTGTTCAATGCTGCCAGCTCAACGAGGACGTAAGCGGCTCTGTCTTTGACATGACCAGATCTTAAACTGACACGTTCCACAGGACTCCATCAGCCTCGTCGACCTCTGCGTTCCCATCCAGTTGTGAGGGATGATGGATATTGATCCAGCCTTCGTCAAGGGAGGGTGAAGCCTCGTCCAGCACGGGCAAAGTCGGTCCTTACAACAACAGCAACAAAAGCAGCACGCAGAATTTCGTAGCCAGAGCAGCATTCCCAACGTAATCAAATCTTACTCTTGCTCTCCACGAACGAAACCACCATCCTCTTCTCTGCCGTTCCCTTGTTCATCTCGTCCCACATCTGCGGCATTTCGTCGAGGTTGCGGAAGACCACATCGGGGATGATTCTGTGCTTTGCCGTGAAGTCGACCGCTTTTTGCGCTTCGGCTACCGTGCCGTTGCTCGCTCCCTTGACTCGAAACATGCCAAACGAGATCTGGTAAGCGCGGAATTGAAGCGGCGTCTCGGGCAGTCCAACGATCATGAGCACCCCATCGAACGCCAGGGCCTTTTGAGCAGTGGCGTACGCGGCGTGGGAGTTGCTAAACACCGCAGCAGCGTGAACCCCCCGTTTGCCCGTCAACTTCGGCAGTTGCCTGTTGAATTTCGGGTCCGACTTTGGATTGAACGTTGCGTCTGCACCCGTCTCCTTGACGATGTCCAGCATGCGGTCGTTCACATCCAATCCGATGACTTTGAGACCCATGGCTTTGGCGTAGCGTGTAGCCAGCTGTCCTAGTCCACCGCAACCGATAATCGCAATCCATTGACCAGGTTCGAGCTCGCATTTATCCACGGCGTGGAAAGCAGTGATGCCGGCGCAGAATAGCGGACTCATCCTCTCAATCGGCAAGGCATCGTCAAGGCGAAGCGCATTCTGCCAGTCAATGACTGCATACTCGGCGAAAAAGCCATCCGCGCCCAACCCCTGAATCTTCGCCCCGCCGTTCCTCGGCTTGGTGCAAAAGGTGCCGTGCGCGATGCACCCATCGCAGTCAAAGCAGCAGTCGATGACGTAGAACATGCCGATGCGATCGCCGATTTTGAAACCTTTCCCTTCCGCTGAAGGATGGATTTTAGAGATGGTGCCGACGCCTTCGTGCCCGATTGTGAGGGGCCGGGTGATGCTGTCGGGTCGCACGCTCATCATGAGATCGGAGTGGCAGAGAGAGGCGGCGGCGACTTTGACTTGGTACTGGCCGTCTCCGGGCTCGGGAATGGGAATGCGGTTAATGAGGACTTTGTCGTTTGGCTGCAGACATGGTGTTAGTCGTGGTATGTGTTATGTATGATCGTGCGTCCTCACCTTATCGTACTGCGCGGCTCTCATTGTTGCTGCCATGATGCCTGTTTATTCGGTGTATATGACACGAAAACTGTGTTAACTGGGCTGCCAGGGAAATATCACAAGTCTAGTAGCGCGTCGTTTCTTGGAAAACAAATGAGTCGAGCGGAACAATGTCTTGGTTAAGGTGAGGTTGATGGACGGTAGGAAAGTCGCAACTTCCCCGCACTGTCACCCGGCCGCTTCGGCATTCGGAGGTAGGTCGGCTGTATTGCACAGCAGGATTGGTGGTGGTTGGATGGAACTAGACATCACCTCCACGAAATCTGATGAGGCGATATTGCGGTCAGTGCTGTTGCTGGGACGATTGATACATCGATGGAAGCAGAGGGCTCTCGGCCTCGCCTAATCCGAGTACAGCCTCGCCATATCAATATATACCTTGATGTCATTGCACGTAGGCCACACGCATCACCGCCTCTTCCCCAAGAAACGCTTCATATACTCCTTCGCCTCCTTCCCACCGTCCTCATACGACTCAGCTAGCGCCTCAACCCCCGCCTCAATCCCCTCCTGCAACGTCCCATGCTCCCACCTCCTCATCAACCGCTTTTGATTGCGAATACTCTGCGGTCCCATCCCAACAATCGTATCCACCCATTCCTCCACCGCCCGATCCAGCTCACCCTCATCCTCAACTATCCGCTCCACCAGCCCCCACTTCTCCGCCGTGTCCGCCGGGATGTTCTCCGCGAGGTACACGAGTCGTCTCGTTCGGCCGATGCCAATGTAGCTAGGGAAGAGCGCCGCTTCGACGACAGAGGGGAGTCCGATCTTCGCTTCGGGCATCCCGAATCTGCTCGCTTTCGTGACGATGCGTAAGTCGCATGATATCATCAACTCCAGCCCCGCGCCTAGTGCATACCCGTTTACGCGCGCGATGACGGGCACAGGCACATTCTGCAGCGCAACGCACGCCTCGTGAACGGGGGCGATGTACTTCCGCGCATCATCTGCGGAAGCCAGACGACTCAATTCCTGAATATCTGCGCCTCCAATCCAAGACGCTGCCTTTCCTGGTGAAGTGGGAGGCGCGCCGCTAAGAACAACGACTCGGAGGGCCGGGTCTTTGCCTAGCTCGCTGCAGATGGCGATGAGTTTTTTGAGGAGCCGGCCACTGGCGACGTTGAGTTTCGTCGGGTTGGAGAAGATGATGTGCGCTACGTTGTGGCCTGGTGAGTGCTCGTGGACGGTGCAGAGGATGTCGCCGGATTCGCTTTTGGTGCTGGGTTGGATGTGCTCGCCGAGTTGTTGCAGGCGTTTCTTCGCTGCGAACATCCTCGCCGTGGGCTATTCTTGAGGTTCGAAGGAAGATGTGGGAGAGCGCCTGGGGTTATTCTCCTTTTGTCTCGTAGTCACGAACGGTAATCGTTCTTGGCTACCCACGTTGTCCGTCAATGCACAACCGCGGTTGTCGGAAATCCATCTTCCCCAGACCAGGGTTACCGACTGCGGAGGAGGGGCTCCCGCAACTTCCTCTTTCGTCACCTGTATCCCAAGGCAGTGTCGTCTATGTCCCACACTATGAAAGAAATATGACCACGACCACGAGGTGTTACTGACGGGCTTCCTGCTGAAAAACAAATCCAACAACACACTCGACCAATAATCGTAATGTAAACCCCAAGCCATCAACAAGATGCGAACATACAAGTCTCACCACGAGGATATCGACATCCCAGATCTAGACATTCTCACCCTCCTCTTCGAGTCAGAATGGTGTGCCGCCAAGGAAGAAACAGTCATCCACGCCGAAGCCGCCAATCCCTCCAACAGCATCACCAAATCACAGGCTCGGGAAACGGTCAAGCGAATCGCCCACGTCCTGCGCAACAAGTTTGAGATCGGTAAGGGCAACGGTGCAGGGAAGGATGTCGTCTTGTCGGTTGTGTCCGGCAGCCCTTTCATTCCAGTACTGTTCTACTCTATTGTTGCCGCAGCAGGAGTGTACAGCGGCGCTTCAGGCGCTTTCACGGTGACCGAGTTAGCAAGGCAGATGCAAGATGCAAATGCCAAACTACTCCTTTGCTCGCCCGAGTACGAGGACCTCACCGTCACCGCAGCGAAGAAGAGCAACATCCCCCTCTCCCGCATCCTCATCATCGACGCCAAAACACCGGGCGACTGGAAACTGCTTCCCGTAACCGGTGACCGCACAAGAAACGTCCTCGACTTACAACACGGCCCACAACTAGAATGGAAGCGAATCACCACTCAACACGAACTAGAACAAACCACCACCTGCCTAATGTACTCCTCCGGCACAACTGGCCTCCCGAAAGGCGTGCTCATCTCCCACCGCAACCTAGTAGCCTGCAACGTGTGCGGCATGCACATAACGAAATCCTTCCTCGCCCAGCGCGAACGCGAAGGCCGCCCCTTCGAATTCCGCACAATAGCGCACCTCCCAATGGCGCACATAGGCGGCATCAGCTGGTCGTCGCTCAACCCCTTCTATCTAGGCGGCACGGCGTATTGGGTCGACAAGTACGATTTCGAGTCATTCATTGAGTATCATCGGCGCTACAAGCTTACGACGCAGTGGACTGTGCCGCCTATCTGGTTGGCGATTGCGAAGAGTGCGGCGGTGACGGACCACTTTGATACGCTGCAGATTGCTTGCACGGGGGCGGCGCCCATGGGGCCGGAGTTGACGAAGGAGGCTACGCGGAAATTGGGCACGGGGAAGATTCCGATTATTGCGCAGCTTTGGGGTGAGTTTTATTGTGTCTTGAGAAGCGAATGGTCAGTTTTATTGATGATGGATAGGTGCAACGGAGACCACCGGCAGTATTTCCGGAGTCGACTGGGGCTACAACGACGAGACGTGCAGTTCCGGCGCGCCCTTTCCCAATCTCAGACTACGCTTTGTCGACGACAATGACCAAGACGTCGAGCCCGGCCAGCCAGGCGAGATTCTTGTCGCCGGACCATTCGTATGCCAAGGTGTGTCTTGAACAGGCCTCGGTCCTGTTTGGCGTCCACTCACCTTTCACAGGATACCATAATCGCCCCGAAGCGAATGCATCCTCTTTCCTCGACGACTTCTACCGCACCGGCGATATCGGCATCTGGCGCGACGGATTGATCTACGTCGTCGACCGGAAGAAGGAACTGATCAAGTACAAGGGGCTGCAAGTTGCTCCGGGTAAGTCGAGCCAACCCTTAGATTCCAATCTCCAGAATTCCACACAATGCTGACATCCTCTTAGCCGAACTCGAAGCCCTTCTAACCTCTCACCCCAAAATCGTCGACGCGGCAGTCATAGGCGTGCAAGACGAAAGTCGAGCAACTGAAGTGCCGCGTGCGTTCATCGTTGTGAAACCTGGGGTGAGCGTGGAGGCGGCGGAGGTGGTGGAGTTTGTGGCGGCGAACTTGGCGAACCACAAGCGGTTGAGAGGTGGCGTTGAATTTCTCCAGGAAATCCCCAAGAGTGCTTCCGGGAAGATACTGCGGAAGGAGTTGAGGCAGCGGGTGCTGGAGGAGGAGAAGCGGAGGGGAGCGAAGCTTTGAGCGTGTGCCCTGTGAAGCTTCTGTGCGAATTGGCTGTTGGCGACGCATAGCCCTTCGCCAATTTCAACGACGTTTCGCTCTCCCGTCAGGACTCGCCGTCAGATGCACGTTAGATCAAACGAGTCAAAACTTTCACCCTTCACCCCTTCAACATCTCCGCCTCCATCTGCGCCATGGTTTCTGCCAACGTCCGTTCTTCTTGCTTCGGTGCTGGTGCCTCCTTCCCTTCAGTCTCACCCTCAGCATCTCGACCCTCAACCACCCTCGCCTCCTCCTCCATCGTCCTCGCAAACCGCCGACTGGGATCAAAATTACTCAGCTCCTTGACCAACGCATTCAACTCCTCCCCCTCCCTCATTAACCGCGCGCCCATCGCCAGCTCCTCGTTCTTCAGACTTTTATACCGCTCCGTCCGCTCCCCTTCGCTCATCTCCTCGACCTCAGCCTTGAACGCCTCCAACCGCGCTTCCGGCGCCTGGGGATCGCGATAAGATTCCGACTGTAAATCCGTAAGATTGAGAAGAAGCGTCTCCAACGCCTCGTCGAATCTCGCCGCCTGCTTTGTAGGCAGTACATGCGCCATTTCACGCAAGGGGCCAAGTTGGTAGTGGCCATCGATTCCGTCCGAGTGGATTTCATCCGGTATCGCTCCTGCCGCCGCCACGGCTTTGTCGAAGCTGGCTTTCCATCGTATGAGCTGGCGCTTGCTGTTTGCTAGCGCTTCTTGGTCTGCTCGTCGGAGCATGACGTGGGTGTCGGCGTCACTGATGATTGGATGGATGGAAGTAGAGGTGTCGTCGCTGAGGGCTGCGGGGGTTGCCGTGGAATCTGTGGATGCATCGGAGAATGGGCGGGAGGAGTTGAAGAATTGGGAGGGTGGTGATCGGAGGGAGAAGCGGGCGCATGAGCGCCGGAAGAGTCTTGTTACATGCCGCTGCATGCCCGCTGCATACGTGTCGACCTGTGGAAATTGACAGGCGAGGGAGGTAGAATACACGATCGAGATGACGGAAGCTGCAGTGGGGGAGAGCGCTAGTCGAAAGAAGTTTAGCGTCCGCTGTCAATGCCCCACGAATTCGAGCCGGAGCCTTATCCCGACATGACTTGCTGATACACGCCTCGCACAACAGTTCCTGGAGCCGAGGCTCGAAGTAACAGGTGCAACCATCGCAAAGATAGTCGGATCATACTCGCGGACCGTGAGACGCTTTGAACTCGGTAGATCGAGCGTGTACGAGGACTACCTAGGCAAGGCAAATTAGTAGCGAAAGTGGGGAACGGGGTCACCAGCACGTACAGTACCTTCCTATCTTGGCATAGCTACTGACCACGTATGATATGGACGTTATAGCACGAACCTACAATCACGAGATCTTGGCCAATGAAAGACCTTAATACGAATGAATCGATGTGTCTCACAGCGAGCTTTTTGCTCGGAGACGTGGAGCTGAAGAAGGGCACTGGATTTCGAGCCAGCGCTGACATCGCGTGAGGAGTTCTCACATCAGCCTGATATTCTCATGGCCCTCGGGAACGGAAGCGAAGCAATGTCGATCTGGTCCTGATCTACACTCTTGTGACCCGACAGCCTTTCATCGCGCACCGGCAGAGAGAGTTACCGGCGGGCCGTCTCTATGGGTTATGGACCATTTGCACAAATCACACAAGTATACCCGGCACTTGTCCACATGAAGAGTGCGTGTCTATGGATCCGCTCGTCTGTCACTCGGCGATGCGAAACTAGGCCGGCAGAATGGATGCAAGCGAACGGTAAAATGCCAGCCTTGGATGCAAGGGGCTTCCGGTGGGTTCAATCGCTGTACGGGACTTCTGCGAACATAAAAGGCCCCCGAAGAGGCCGGTTCAGCATCGCTTTCGACGTCCAACAAGCTCTCCTCGGTTGCATTCCACCAAAACCCTCCAAAAATGTCCTCCGCCACGTCGGCCATGAAGTTGGCCCTTGCCTCCCTATTCGTAGCGCACGCCCAGGCCAACTCCTTCGGGAATTCGTGGAGCCTTCCGGCCCCCTCGTCACCCAACTACATCCGCGTGGCCAATTCAACCCTCATCGTGCCAGATGCTCCGAATCCCATCGTCAACGAATTGGCGCTTTGGACGGGCATGGGCATGAGCAATGGAGACTTGGTCCAGTCGGTCACCATCAACCAACCAGGGTAAGACGAATGCACCTTTCATCATGGCAACCCCACTCACACATGTCACAGGGATGCCGAGGGTGGATGCGGTAACGTTGGGAGCGACTACTGCGTCGTTGCTAGTACCCTGGACGATGGTGGGTTACGAGTCGAATTCTTGCGACCTTGACTCGCTCGACTAATGTCGGCTTAGGCGCCAGTGGTCAATCGATAGGCAACGGCCACGGAACTGCATCTCCTGGAGACAGCGTCATGTTTTCCTGTAAGTACTCTTAGTCTGCAGATTGCCGTCGACATGCTTGCATCGCCCATGAAACTCACCTTTCGCTCCCGCAGACATCTACAACGAGCAAACGAGCAACACCGATCAATACGCTTACATCAATGGAAATCTGGTGTCCACATACTCGAGCTGTAGGTATCGAGATGCGAAAAGGTGTCGATACAGCTGGCTAATGACAAATGGCAGCTAATGGGGCGCATGCGAACGGGTTTGGAACGGCCGAGGAGTGTCAGGATGGAACACCATGTGGCGTCGTGCCTCAACATCGTAAGCCCGACAAGGAACGTTGACGTGACACGTACAATGCTGACGTGCGGCTCCAGAATGGACGGATATCACTTTTGTGCTGAATGAGCCGGACGAATCCTTCGCCGACAACGCAGGTGGCAACGGTTACTCTGGCGGTTACATGTCCACTCCAGATGGGGGTACAACCTGGTATGTCAGTACCGTCACTATCGATGAGTACGACTTCAGCTAGACGCGAAATGGTGCGCTGGAAGACATGGCTGCGTGAAAGTTGGACCTCGCCGCGCATTCATTATGATTGTGGTTAGATGTCACAGGATGTGCTATTGCCGATGACAACACATTCCCCGACTCTTCGATCTGATAAGTTGAGGCGCTCACGTGGCCAAGCCAGAATGTCGTGCCACCGTTGCTCCACCTTCGTGATCTTGTGCAACGCCGCGGTTCGTGGCCACCCCTCAAGATACCACTGCTGCAGGGAGTTGTTCAAGTAAGCACACCAGTAGACGAACGCGATGATCGCGGCAGGCTGCTCCTCTCGCAGTTCATCGATGTACTCGTCGGAGACCATGGCGGGCCAGAAGATGACGTGAAGCCAGCCCTTGGGCGCCGCGGGAAACAGTGTGAACATTTTGCGTAGCACCAGGAATGCGCGCCCTGTAGCGGGCGTAGAGTAGCCTGCCGTGTGAATGCACAGGACCGCGTTTTCGAGGGCGTCGAGGGCCGCCTGCTTCTGCGGGCCCAAAGGCGTCGAAGCGCGAGTCACATCACTCCCAAATCGGCCCAGCGCTCCAGATAGGCTTTCGTGATGAATCGTCATCTCGCGACACGAGCCAAGCAACAGAGCTCCACTGCGGAATGCCAGGAGAGGGCTGAGGATGTCCATGCTTCGCTGCCCGTCGGCCGCATACTCCACCAGGGACGAGGCAGCGTGAAACATGGCAGTCATGACACAGAACGCCAGGACCGCGGGGCCGTTTTCATGGCTCACCGCCGAAACACCGCGACGGAAGAGGGCGGACGCTCTGTTCTGGTAGTCCTGTGCTTTGCGGTAAAGGAATGGCGCATCGCTTTGAAGCGGCCGGAGATGGATTACATGCAGAGCGGCCAGGGCGAGGCTGCTCTGCCGCACATACGACTGGCCTTCGGCCCGTCGGACCAGGTCTTTGCGCCAAATCGATGGCGTCTGCGGCAGATCGAAGGTGGACGACGTCAGCGCGTCGAAATGGAGGGCAAGCTCAAAAGTGATGGGAGGCCGAAAGTCGGACACCTCTTCCTGGACGTCGTGCCGAGCGAGGAATAACTCGTGGCTGCTACAGGTCAGTCAACCCTTTCACACGGGAGGAGCGCTTCCAACCTGGACTGGGTGAGAGGGCTCGCATGTGCGGCGGTATAGTCGCACACGTCTCCTCGACGCTCGCAGTTGGAGCAAACTGGCGGGCGCAGGTCGCACTATGGCCGATATCGCGAGTCAACGTGGTGCTGAGGAGGGGCGCGGTGAGTGAAACCGGCGGCACGAGGTTCATTGCATACCCGTACTTTCCGCTGCTTGCATCGCCCACATCCATGTCTCGTCTTCGTGTGGGGTCTCATGAAACCCGTCATCGCTGCGCCGCCCGAGAGGAGTTTGGTGTACGAAGGAGCAAGCGCACATCTCGCATGGTGCCTGCGTGCATTGCAAAGGCTCGCAGTCCCGTCGATCTCAACTGCATGGAGGTGGCCTTGCAGAAGACGTTCAGCCGCACGCGTTGAACGGTGTTAGGCCGGAGAATAGAATCCGATTTCGGACAATCGTGGTCTCGACGTCATACGTGTCTGGTTGACTCGTCGCCCTTTCGCAAGCTTCAGACAGCCTTCTAGGGCTAATGATTTGATGCTACTCTCAGGGCTGACTCTCGGAAGTGCAGCAAAGTTAGAGCACCACGAAGATGTTCCACGGAACTATCACGGTAAGGCCGGGCGACGCGCCACCCGTGCCTCTCTGCAGCAGCTCGTCTGAGCGTGCTCGACGGAGGATCAGGTGGTTTCTAACATTCTTCTTCGATTGTACGTACGACACAGCCAACTACAATATTTTAATCGTACACTATCACGCAGGATGAATCACCCAAATACACGCCTCGTTACCACATCCTTTGATAAGCTGAACCCCTGTCAATGACTCGAACAGAGCCCGGGGGGTCTTTTATTGCCGATCCTTCCCTGTCACGGCATCTTCCTCATCGACACCCTTTCCCGATCGTCGGAATGTCCAGTCAGCTGCAGCCCATTGCCCACGGAACGCCACGCCAGGATGCAAGACCGTAAGACAAAGAGCCGCAAGACCAATCATGGCTCCATCGAGGACCATGAAGTCGACTTGATTGTTCCACAAGCTCCCCGTGAAGCCACCCGACAGCTCCGCTGCCCGGAAGATGGAGCGGATGAGGATGCAGACGGTGGCGAGGAGCAGACCGGCGAGGAAAGCCTTCATCGTCCAGCGCTGGCGGATCTGCACCTTCTCTGCGCACATGTCGAGATTGTCGCGGCGGCGACAGCGCCAGGCGAAGTCTGCGCAAACGAGCAGGAAGCAGGAGAGACTGACGACCTGAAATACCAGGCCTACGATCATGACGTCGATGCCGACTTGACTCGTTGAGGTGCCGCCAGTCGAAGCGCCTTTGTTGCTGGCAGCGGCGCCGGCGCCGATGGCTTGCAGCACGAGCGAGACAAAGTCCGACGTCATAAAGCCCATCGCGATCCATTTCGGGTGGATACGAGAGTGATGTTGGCCGTAGACGACGATGGTGCGCGTAAGGCAGAGGTAGATGGCGGCGGCGAGGAAGACGGGAGCGATGGTGTTGGTAACAAGGTATCTGGGTGGGAATGTGAGCATTCGACGCAAGCAGCAAAGGGACGAACATGCACCGCTTACATGACGAAGCCGTTGTTGTTAAATGGGTTGTAGCGGATCATGAGTCTCCCGACGTAGCCTACAACTTCGAGAGCGAGGCCAACGACCATGCTCACCATATAGCCCCATGTCCGGTAATAAGCGCAGAGGCCCAGCTGGGGAAGAACGAGGACGGCAAAGTAGATTGCCAAGGCGAGATTGCCAGCTGCGCTGGGGAGGTAGTCGAAAGGGAGGCCTTGGGCGAGACAGCATGTCTCTGCCGTGCATTGATCGCGCGGGATGGAGTAGTTGCATCCTGCGTAGATGTTGGTCGACATGATTGACGCGAGTGTAGTACAGCCGTGTGGGGAGAGAGGCAGAGTGTTGGGAGTTACGACTAGAATGTCGCTGAATGAAAGATTCTTCGAGATGGATGGCGGAATATATCTGTATTCACGTCTCGCCAACCCAGTTGTAGTACGTCGCACGTCTTTTCGAGACGTTGATGGCGCAGTATCATCAGAACAGCTTCGCACCGACACCGGCCAGGTCTGCGCCCGCCAGTTTTGGCCATAATCTTATAAGATCTTCACAAACACAATACTTGCCAAGCTAGGATTCCCAGCAAGTGTCAAGACATGCCCTCTCAACAGGCGGGCAGTGCTCGTACTTTTGTCCGTTTTCGCGCAAGGCTACCCAAATGGTGCCTCAGGACACAGCCTTGGATGACGTGAGCACAGGGCCTCGGAGGCAAACGCCAACACCTTTCGCACACTTTACCGCTTTGGGATTACATTGGGTACAGACAAGGGATAACCGCACTGCGGCGGTGCGAGGCTATGACATGCTCGGGGTTGCCCAAGCTATCTCGCACCGTGCCTCACAGCTTGCAGTCCATGGTATTTAAGACCACAGTACCAACATGACTAGCCCATCAACCAACTTTCCTGATCACTACATCTCATCAAACACAATCCGTTCTCGATATCCCTCTTATAAGAGTCCACCCCGAGGGCCTACAGAGACACAATGCATCGATACGTTAGTGCTGCAAGTCTTTTCCTATATGCGCTGCCATCAAGCGCGTGTCCAGGACACTATCGTCGTGGGGAAAATGGGACGGCGATTCCCCAGACATATCAAGTACAGACACGCATCAAACCAGCCACCCCGACCGCGACCGTGGCAATCACAAACGTGCGTGTTTGGGACGGCTACAAGGTCAACGAACCGAGCACGGTGTACATTGCCGGCGACAGTATTAGCGGGGTGCAATCAACAGTCGACCAAAGCATCGACGGTCGGAATGGCATTCTCTTGCCAGGTCTCATTGACGCCCATGCGCACCCGGGCTCCGTCCAGGACCTGGAGACGCTGAGTAGTTACGGCGTCACCACCGTCCTCAACCAGAATTGCCAAAATTACGAATACTGTTCGTCGATGCGCGGCCAGACTGGGTTGACCTCGTTCTTCACCGCCGGCTTCTCCGCCAAAGGTCCTGGGAGTAGCCACGCGAACAATTCGGACACGCCGCTCGACAAGTTGATCTGGGAGCCATCGCAAGCTCCAGCCTACGTCCAATACGTCTTTGGCAATGGTTCCGACTGGCTGAAGGTCGTGTCGGAGCAGAACGGGCCGGATCAGGCAACGCAGAACGCGTTGGTTGAGAATGCGCATGCGCTGGGTAAGAAGGTCAATACCCATTGCTCCCTCGTGGAATTTTACAACATGGCCATCCTGTCCAAATCCGATGGGCCTCAGCATATCCCCATGGATGGTGTCCTCAACGACACGATGCTCGACTTGATGTATTCCCAGAAGCAGTACGCCACGCCGACCATGAACGTCTTCTACGACCAGCTGCACGATCCCGCGGCCGTGGCGGCGCTCGGTCAGCCCGCAATCCCTTTTGAGGAGGCCTGGTCGGTCATCAAGCAAAACGTGGCGGCGGTGTATGCGAAGGGAATCCCCGTCCTCGCCGGTACCGATTCCACTACGCCATATGCCGGCCTGTCCGTTTCATTTGGAAACTCACTGCACTACGAGCTGTGGCATCTGTATCAGGCAGGTCTCCCTACGGAAGACATCCTGCGCGCCGCCACCATCCTGCCTGCCCTCCACCACGGTCTCCCACATCGCGGCGCCATTGAGGAGGGAATGCTGGCGGACCTGGTGCTTCTGGAGCCCGACGCGGATCCGATCCAGGCAATCAACGATACCATGAAGATATCTCGCGTCTGGATTGGAGGATTGGAGTACATGAATGTTGCTAAGTAAAATGTGGTGGGGCCAGCTGCGACGCCAGCTTACTTAAGAAAAAGTGGGGCGCGGAGCGCGTTGTTTTCGCGAATAAACAGCGGCCAGGTAGCAAGACGACATGAAAGAGGAGGATGCTAGCACACATGTATGCTGTACACAACGACCCTAGTATGGTGAACCGCAATACCAACTGCGCGTGCGCAGAATAGCATCAGCTACGATCAACACGTTGAAGCTTTTCAGGCTGATGCGATGTTGCGACAGGCAGCTCTGCCAGACTCGTTGCCTTGAAATCATTCATTACGCGTGTAGGGATATCTTGCCATTACCGGCCTAGAACATCATGCCTTCGCCACCACCCCGTAGCCCCGTATGATATCCATCCCGCTCTCCTTCTCCAACAAACTCCTCGCGCCTTCTCCACGCGCTGTTCTCTCCCTCTCAACCCGACTAGAACTTGCGGCTGCCTCTCTGCCAGAAGAAGCCGAGGGCAATGAGCACGAGAGTGGTGAGCAAGCCCAAGAACAGGAAGGCAGTGTCGGCCTTGAGCTCGGTGCAATGCGTGCCCCTGCAGGGGTAGTCGCTGATCCACACGGCCAAGCGCTAGGGAGTCACAGTCAGCCAAATACGTCCACTCGCGCAAAGCCACCGTAGCCTGAAAGGAAGTACATACCACACCGCCCGCAAAGTAGAAGATGCAGGCCAGGCCATCAATCACCGCGACAGCGACCCATGGGATGGCGGTGATGAAGGCGGAGATCAGACCGAGCAGCGCGGCTATGAGGCCCCACGCGCCCGCGAATGCGGTGAACTCGACTGCCGCAACGAGGCCGTGCAGGTTGCAGTTGGACGAGTTTTCGACGACTTTGCAGAATTCTTGAATGTCGCGGCTGGTGGTGTAGTTGGCGAGATCGACAGAGGTGCCGAGGACGACCTGTGGAGGTGGTGTTAGTGGGGGCAGGAACGATGCGCGTGCGCGTGGAGGGGAGAGATGGGAGATGGGCAAGACTTACGCAGGCGCAAAGGATGAGCCAGACGCGTAGGATGATGAGGGCGAGTCTGCTGCCTTCCATGGTGACGGCGAGTGTGAGAGTAGCGCGACGGTGTGGATATGGGTAGGTGCAAGGGAGGTGAGTGGTTTGCGACGGTGTTGGTGGTAGAGAAGAAGAGGTGGAGGGGAGAAGGCGAAAAAGTGATGAGGAGCAGAATGGGACGTTAAAGCTACGTAGGGTGCGCCGGTTGCACAGCCTTGGCCCTACCAACCATTAGGTTTGCGGCCTTTCACGATGGAATCTCCTTTCAATCGACGCGAATACCCATCAAGCTACGCGTGTGTTATCCTTCAGACGACGCGATCAGGATCCCACTCAGAATAATCAATTGCGACCTTCACACGACAAGTCCGTCGCTGCAAAGCAAGCAGCAAGCTCTGGTTGCCAGGAGCACGATTCATCTACGTCATCCGCCCTGCCAATAAAAGTTGCAGGCAGCAGTCATCGACAAACAATTCGAGTTAAGCTCGGCGGTTAGTAAGATTGGACCGGATCCCTGCCGCCGGATTAGGTAAGAATTGGTGGAGTCGCGCATTGGCGAGCTCGGAGCTTCCCAATGGCCGTGAGCCTCAGGCCGAGGAGCACTCCACCCCGATTTCACACGGCGGGCAGATACTGCACATATCTCTGCTTCACTCGGCGTTGACTCCTCTTCTCCTCTGTACACGATCTCCTCCACCCCTCACAACATGGCAGAGCCCATCCCCCTCACCTGGAACGAGGCTTTGAGCGGCGTAACTGGCAGCATCTCCCTCGCCGCCTGGATCTTCCTGCTCGTGCCGCAGCTCTTGGAAAACTATAAGCAGGGCAGCGCCGACGGCATTTCGCTCACCTTCCTCTTCATCTGGTTCATAGGCGACGCCACCAACCTCGCAGGCGCCGCCTGGGCCGGGCTGGTCCCCACCGTCATCGCCCTCGCCGTCTATTTCTGCTTTGCGGATTTCGCCCTTATCGGGCAGTGCCTGTACTACAACGCGCTGAACAAGCGGCAAAAGGAAAGAGAGGATGCGGTGCTGGAAGCGGGGAATGAGCAGACGCCGCTGCTGAATAATGGTGGTGTTAACTCCGCTACTGCGGCGCCGCGGGCACCTCGACGATCTCTGACCGATGTCACGGATGAGAATCTCGGTCTGCCGGGCAGCAGGAGGCGGAGCAGCGCGAGTCGCAGGCGAACAACTAGCGATGCGCCGTCGACTACCCTCGAGCGCATCCTGGAAGAGCCTACCAAGACCTCGGCGTGGATCAAGAACACCATCTCCATCATCCTTATCTGCCTCGCTGGTACTGCCGGCTGGGCCGTTGCGTGGAAGTCGGGCGCCTGGAGACCGACGCCGATTGAGAAGGAACTTGCCTCTGATGAGCCCATTGGCGCGGAGATTCTGGGCTACATCAGCGCTGTGTGCTATCTTGGCGCTCGTATTCCGCAGATTGTGAAGAACCAGCGGGAGAAGTCGTGTGAGGGGTTGAGCTTGCTGTTCTTTCTGCTGAGTCTGCTGGGGAATGCGTCGTATGGTGCTGGGGTGAGTTTTTGCTATGCGTCCGGGGTGGCATTCTGCTAACGCGCTGTCTTACAGATCCTGTTTCACTCCGTTGAAAAGCAGTACTTCCTTACCAATCTGCCCTGGCTGATAGGATCACTGGGGACGATGGCCGAAGATGCCATCATTTTCGCGCAGTTCTCGTGGTTCGGCGATAAGAAAGCAAGCGCTGTAGAATGAGGGAATCGAAGTTATTGTGCAACTTTCGGATTTGGTTTTAGATTGGACTCGACGAGCCGACGACTCTATCTGCTCGACGTACTGAGCAAATGCCATGACTCCGACTGCTCACACCTCCACCGCCTTCTTCGCCATCTCCAACGCTCCCTCAAACGTCACATTGCCCCCAATAAACCCCGAGGCATGCACAAACACGCACCCCGGAATGCCCGCCACGCCCGCCAGCTCCTCATCGCGCACACCCCGCCACGCCTCCGGCAGCGACTTGCGGTTCTCAAAACTCTCCGGCCCCACGCTGACCGCTCGAATCCTCCACTTGCTGTCGGGCTCGCCGTTCTCCGCGAACAACACGTACAGCACTTGTCCTTCGCATCCGTTCTCCTTCTCTAGAGTGTAGAGGTGGTCTGCCCAGGGTGCGCCGCCGTCGGGCGTTTGCGGAACCACGAGAATGCGGCCTTTAGCGTCGTATTTCTGGCGAGAGGTGAAGGCTTGTTTGACGAGGGCGCGCGCTGGGAGCCAGGAGGTGAATCGATCGTTGAGCTCGAGCGAGAATTGTTCGCCGACAAAGGCAGAGGCGCGCAAGAAGCGGGCGTCCTCTTCTTTCGCCGCATTGCCATTCTCCGTCGCACCATTCACGACGGGCGCGTGGTTGAACCTGTTAACCACACTCGCAATCGAAAACCCCTTATCCGCGAACCGCTTCTCAATGCCCGCGGCCTTCAGCGCCTTAGAATCGTACGCCGAAATGCCATTGTCATTAGCATCGAACGCCTCAATGAAGTCATCGTAAAGCTTGCGCCAAAGCATTTCACAATCCGCACTCCCCACCTCCAACCCCGTGACAGAAGAAACAATCCCCCGCCCATGATGCAACCACACGAGCCCCGCAGAACTCAACTTCGTCGCACTCCCCGGAAACACGGCGGCAAACTCCCGCTGGTGGTGATCGTACCGCGACTGCTCGTGCGAGTGCACGCCCCCGACGTCCACTACGACGTCGCAGGTTGCGAGTTGCGCCGGGTCGCGCGTGCGGATGAGCGCTGTTTGGGCGTATTGAGGGAGCAGGCGGAGGAGGTAGACGGCGAGCGCTTCGTCGGCGTGGAAGTGCCCGTTGTGCGTGCCTATTGTTAGGGTGGACATTTTGGGGCGTTTGGCTTCTGGTTGGGTGGTCATTGGTCGGAGAAAGGAGTTTGTGGTTTGAATGCGAGGGTGGAGTTGTTTGAAGAGGAAGTGTGGTGTTGTGCAATGACGAGGTTGGTGGAGTGTGGTGGTTGTGGTGAGAGAGCGAGAGATGTTGTGTGGACGAAATGATCGGGAGACGATGGACACCATATACTCTTTCGTTCTTTAGAATCTTGTCGTGAAAGAGCAGGATGGAAGTTGAAAAGTGTAGTTCCTTAGCCTCAGGCATGAACGGGAAAATAGAGTTTTAGAGTTTCAACGGGGAAGGACAGGCTGGCCCTTCAAAAGTGGAAACGTGACGTGATGGCATGTGCCGCATTCCACCTACCAAGTCCAGTATCGCGACATCGACTTCCTTCCCTTCTTGTACCTGCTGCATCGCATTGGCCCTCTCACGAAATGTCAGGTAAGACAATCAATTCCTTGTAGCGATTCGAACCAAGACTGACAATACGAATGACAGCCCCGCCAGTAGACTACTGTACGTTCGCAACCATCAACCGCCACAACAATCAATCCCACTAATCCACGCCCCCAGACACCGCGCTCGAAGTCGACTCCAAAGCAACCCAACAACAAATCCGCGACGCCTACAAAAAGTCCATTCAACACTCCCCCAAACCCCCGCCATCCACCCACTAACGACAACCACAGACAAGCCCTGCGCCACCACCCCGACCGCGTCCCCGAAGGCTCCCCCGAACGCAGCACGCGCACCAAAAAGTTCCAGCAAATCAACGACGCCTACTACACCCTCTCCGACCCCACGCGGCGCAAAGACTACGACGCCAGCCGCAACCACTTCCACGGCTTCGCCTCCTCCTCCGCGCAAAATGACGCCGACAACGAAGACGTCCCGCCTCCGCAGGCGGGCGGCTCCTCTTTCCCTTGGTCGGCGTTTGGGTTCGGGGGCAAGGCTTCCTCCGAGCAGGATAGGAACACTTTCAGCAATGAGCAATTCGGCGGCGTGTTTGAGGAGATGATGCATGACGAGGGTTTGGCGGAGGAGGATAAGACGCCTAATCGCCGCTTTTGGAGCGTGGTGGGGGCTGTGAGTGGTGGTGCGATGGGCTTTATTGTGGCCAATATGCCGGGTGCGATTGCCGGGGCTGTGGGTGGGAACCGACTGGGTGCGATTAGGGATAAGAGGGGGAAGAGTGTGTATTCTGTTTTTCAGGAGCTGGATCAGCCGGAGAAGATGCGCCTGTTGTCGGAGTTGGCTAGTAAGGTTTTTGCGCATGCGATCAGCTGAGTGCGGATGGGATGTGGCTGCACTGGCTTCGAAGGGAAGATTGCAAGGGCGGATCAGGATAAGGGCGGAAAGCTCATGCACACTGTGGCCTCGTGTGAGCGGAACGATAGATGGACGAGATGGGAAGCCGGCGACAGGGGCATTGCAGGGCCATTTGATACGTGATAGTACACCAAACGCCAAAACTCGACATCGAATGAGCGAGTCGAGCAGATCCCGCCGTCCAACTCCTCCCCATATCCACCGTCAATGCCAAATGTAAGGCATGTAGTACTCGTAAGAACTGCCCCCACTTCGTCCCCAAACTCCGTCCAACACAGTCACCCCATCCATTCCACCCGTTCGTCGGCCATCACCAAGGCTGACTCTTCTCCCTCACAAACACCCCCTTCAGCTTACCCTTTGCCGACCCAAACCTCCCGCCCTGCTCAATCTCCGGCGAGTCCCCCCTCTCACCCCGCGAATACCCATACCCATACGGCATGAAAGCGTCCCGCGTCCGCGCAGGCGAGTCCGTGGCGCCCGCTCGGGTGTTGGAAGGAGGGGCAAGCTTGTCGTTGTCGAAGCCGTTGTTGGCGCCACGGGAGGTGATGCCCGAGTTGAAGCCTTCGCGGATCTGATCGCGTTTGCGGTCGTGGCGTTTCTTTGCCCAGCGACCTACAAAGCCGAGGGTGAGGAGGGCGATGGCAAGGACGATGACCATAATGATCCATTGCTGTGTGCATCATATTAGTGAGTGGAGTGATGAAACGATGCGAGGATGCAACTCACGTAGTGACAGTGAAACCAAGACCCGCTGCATCCCCCACCTCCATTAGCACCATCATTCGTCGTGGAAGAAGAGGAACCCCCGGCTCCAGTCCCCGTAGCCGTCGAACCAGCCGAAGACGTCGTCCCAGAGCCCGAACCAGAGTGCTCCGAAGCCCCATTATCGCTCCCGCACTGCTGCGCAAACCACGTCCCCACACTCGCGTCATCGGTCGCATCGCAGGACGTCGGGCAGATGGCCGCAGTGTTCTTGGCCGCGTTGTTGTACACCGCCTGGCAGAAGCAGGACCACGTGCTGACGGAGTTGGAGTTGGAGCCGCCGCATTGCGAGTTGGCGTTTTGCAGGATGGCGCAGTTGGAGGCGCAGGAGGGGAGGCTGCCGGTGCTGAGCACTTGGGCTGTGGCGAGGGTGGAGATGAGGAGGAGGAGGAGGCCGGTGGGGAGGAGGGAGGCCTTCATCGTTGATGTCGTGTGTGCGTGTGTGTGTGTGTGTGTGTGTGTGTGTGTACGTGAGCTGCGTGCGTGCGTGCGTGCGCGTTTTTGGGGAGGGGAAGGCACTCGCCGCCTCGATGGAAGCCAGGCAGAGAGGTGCAAAGCCGTAGCAATGAAGTCGTCGAAATGATTGGAATGGATGGAAACGAGCGACGGGCGGCGACGTGGATGGGAAGCCGTCAAGACGCGCGGGCTGGCATTGGGATGGGCGGTGGCGGCGGAAATGGCTCGCCGTTGCGTTCTTCAACGTCTCGCCTGGCGAAAGCGCGGCAAGCAAGGGTGCGCCCGGTAGCCGACGCTTTTGCGGAGCCGGCACGCCAGGGTCTTGCCTAATGCGGAGCTAAGGTTTGAGCTTCCTGTCCCGTTTCAGCCGGTGACATGGCAAGTCTTCACTTTATCGTTGCAAGAAAGAGAGGTGAGCAATAGTGTAGACATCAATTCATGTAAGTGTCTATGTCAGAATCGCTAAAACGGGCAAGTAACACATGTCCACTAGCCTGCACTCCAAGTGATGCTTGTCCGGCAATACAACGCTACTCCGTCCCGCCACTGCTCTTCGACCCCTCCTTTCCCTCCTCCTCATCGCCATCAGACAGTCCTCCTTCATCATCCTCGAGTTCAAAAGCATCAAGCTCTTCACTGCGAGTGCTCCTACCGCCTGCCAGCTGGGCGTACCGCGGAGACCGCTGCTTCCACCACGCGCGAGGCTTCGACCTCCAGGGCGCACATCTCCAGAACCCGATCCAGAAGCCGAAAGCGAGCAGGAAGGCCGCCGGGGTGCACACGAGGCCGGCAAGGAAGCTGAGGAGGGGCTTCGAGGTGATGCTGGTGTAGAGATGGTGCTTTGTGGGAGGTTGATCGTCTTCGGGGGATTGATCTTCTTCGAGGGGTCCGTCTTTGTCAACGGGCTGCTCCTCTTCGAATGATAGATCTCCTTCGAATAATAGATCTCCTTCGAGTGCTTGGTCGTCTTCAAGTGCCTGGTCGTCTTCAAGTGCCTGGTCGTCTTCAACAGGCTCCTCCTCAGGAAGCTCTTCCTCAGGGGGGGCGATGGCAAGGTGTTTCTCAATCCACTCCACCTGATCCGGACTCGTATGCTCCGTAACCGAAGGCGGCGCAATCGACTGAAAAGCCTTCGACTCCCCCAGCACTTTCCCCCTGCCATCAACAGCCACCGCAACAACGCGCGCAACAAGCCCATCATGCTCGTAAACCGTCTCAAAGCCCTTCCGCGGCGTCGAAGCGACTAGCATTCGTCGCTGATGGTCGTCCACGCTGTAGAATTTCCACGTCTTCACCTCCGTCGCGCCGTTCCAGCTGACGTACAGATTGGTACGGTACGTGTTATCGTTCTCCTTGGCAAAGACGATGGATCGCACAACGGGCGGTTCGGAGGGATGGCCTACCCAGTCGAACTTGTAGTTACGGTACGATTTCAAATCCGGGCGTAAAGTAGCGTCGAGCACGATTGGCCCTTCCATCTCGCCATCCTTTACGGGTCCATATTCGGTGAAGGCGGCTTGCTTCGTCCAGCCGACGAGGGTATTTCCATCCGGCAGGACCTGGTAACTCCCTCGTCCGTCGGCCAGTAAGGAGTGCGGTTGCTCGTAGCGCTCCACGGTATGTGCCGTCATGTTGATGGTCTCGAGCATGACGAGCATGCCACGCGAACGGTCGCTGGTTGTCGTCATTCCGCCCGCGTTCGGCCGGTTTGCGTTGTCGAGGAAAGAGACGATGGTGTGGGTGTCGTTGGTGAAACGAATGCGTGCGTCGTGTTGGCCGGTGAAGCGGCCGTGCCAGAAGAAGTCGTTGTAGTTGCCACCGAAGCGCCAGACGATAGAGCCATCCCTGCCGGAGATGCGGTAGAGGGTGTCCGTATGCCGGGCACTGATGAGGTAGTCGCCATTGGGGAATTTATCGATCGAGTTTAGATGGCTGTGAGGCTGTCAGTGTCCACACGTAGGCGTGAATCGGATTAGTCAAACATACATGTAATCCCAGTTATTGCACAGCGGGCCTGGTTCATCATTATTGTACCTCGTCTCATTCAAAGACACCAGGCCCTCGGACATCCACGAGAAGACAGGCTCCATGGTGTCCAGAGAGAGCTCTTCAAACCCGTAATGTCTTAATTCACATTGCTCGAGTTCCTCAAAGCCCTCGAGTTCCGCCTCGTGCATCATTTCAACCGTCTGATTGTGATCGTACTTCTTTGAAATGGTCTTCAGCAGCAGCGCGCTCGTCCCGTGGTCAATGATGTTGAAGTCGTGCATGTTCATCTCATACCCCGTCTCATTGACATACAGCTTCTTGACGATCTCATAGCGGTTGTTGAGAATCGTGGCATTCTCATGGCGATACACCAGCGTCAACACGTCCTCTCCCATATACTGCTGCACGCGGAAGTCGAAGACGCCGAAGCCGGTGAAGAGAGGCACACCGCTCCACACCAGCTCGCCATGGTGGTCGAAGATCTGCGGGCCAACCCATTCGCCCCCTCTTGTCCTCTGGATGACTTCGGTGTATGGGGCAACGAACCAGTAGCCTGGGGCTACCGCGTCTTCATCGTAAACGGTGAAGTCCCAGCGCGGGGCCTGGATGTCGGGGCGGGTGACGAAACGCTGGAAGTTGTAGTCGTGGTCGGAGGCTTGCGGGTCGATCCAGACAACGTCGGTGTCGTAGCCGTTGTTCTGCCGGCGTGCAGGTGTCGTGTGTGCGAGGACGGTGGTGGAGAGGAGGGAGATGGAGAGGATGAGGCTGCAGGAGAGGCGTGTGCGGGGAGACCAGTACATGGCCGATGGTCGTAAACGCGTGCCGCTTTGGGCGATGATACCATCCCTGCCGCCCAACCAGGGCCGCCGTGCTTACCCACTAAGGTTTAGCACTGACGTCTCCGCGTCGTGGCGTGTTTTCTTGCTTGTGTCAGAGCAGGGCGGGCAGAGTATACGAGGAAATGTTCAGGCGGTGGTTTTGTCGGAGGACCATGACTCTCGCCGCACGTCGCATGCTCACCCTTTTCAATCGGAGGAGTCGGGCTTGTCTGGTAACGCCAAGCGTTACACGGCCTGTCATGCCATGTCCGGCTTGGCTTCCTCGCTTGGGGAGTCGACGGCACGACCGTCTCGCTTGACTAATCCCGATCCGATCGCCAGCGCGTCTCTTGTCCTACGTCGCGCAGCTGCATCACGTACGCCAGGCACCGCTTAAGCATCCCCCCTTGCAAGCATGTGCGACGACATGTCTCCCAACTCCACCCCTTTGACCATCATCGTCGCCGCCTGCCTCAAGAATGGCATCGGCAAGGACGGCGCCCTGCCTTGGCCGATGCTCAAGAAGGAAATGGCATATTTCGCACGCGTCACCAAACGCGTTCCTCACCAGTCCAACACCACCACCGCCGCCCCCCGCAATGTAGTCATCATGGGCCGCAAGACATGGGACAGCATCCCGCCCAAATTCCGGCCTCTCAAGGACCGCACCAACATCGTCATCTCCACCAAATCCCGCGCGGAGATCGGGCCTCTCCCCGAGGACGTGGTGGTCACGACGGACATCGCGAGTGGTCTGACGACGCTGCAGGCACTGGTGCAGGAACGAAACCTCCCGCCCATTGGACGCGCATTTATCATTGGTGGCTCGAGCATATACGAGCAGGCGCTGCGCCTTCCGCAGACCACGGCCATTCTTCTCACCCGCATCAACAAGGACTACGATTGTGATACCGTCTTTCCCGTAGAGCTGCCCGGTCAGGACAAGGCGCAGTCTGATGGCACGTGGCAGAGGAGCAGCCTGCAGACTTTGAGGGATTTCACTGGCGAGGATATTCCCGATGGCTCAATCTCCGAGCAAGCCAGTGATGGGCCGGTCGAATTCGAGTATCAGCTGTACGAGCGTCGGTGAGAGCTTGGCATCATCCTGCCTTCAGCCAGTGTACTGCACATGCGAGTCTCGCCTCCTGCGGTAGGACCTCTGGGACGCTGCAGCCTGTTTCTATGGCGAAGCATAAGAAGACGGAGCAGCGACAAACGCCGTTTGCCTACGCATGTCTCATGCGGGATGCGGGATTCTTGCCTAGCTCAATGCATCGTCATGCACCACTAGACTCGCTGTTGCTTGGAGTTTCAGCAGCGAGAAGGCTGTCTGTTGCGCGCAAGGCTCTGTTAAGGTGAGGCTGCCGTATGCAACACGGAAGATGTGAAGGACGGCGACAACCTTGTGATTGAGGAAGACCCTCTCGATCTCGCCTGTAGGCAATGGATGAGAGACCTCCACACGGCCACTGTATTAATATAGCATATTCCTCGCTCCATAATCGAGATATACATCGGAAAATTTGTCTGAACAGCCACTCCAACAAACGACGTGAACATCGATCGCGCAAAGCCAATGGCCGAGTTCGAATTCAGCGGGGCCGAGCCTTGCCGAGTAACAAGCTCGACATCATATTGCCGACCCCGGATTTGCCTGTCCCATATTGCCGTCTCTCCTTACGCAACTACATCATACCTCGAACTCCTAAATATACTGCACAAAAACCCTCGATATTCTCGTCGCCAAGGAGCTTCAATTGGCAAGCAAGCAGTCTCGGCACGCGCCTTCTCGTCGCCCGCAAATTGGTCACTATGGGGGACGCTTCAAAGTACCAGTACAAGCACTTCAAAGTCGACTTCCCGGCGGAATATGTGGCGCATGTGCAGCTAGATAGGTGAGTTCCGTCTCTGGCTCATGGCTGCAGAAAAACACTTCAGGGCGGCCGATAGCCTCGTTGCGATGCCATATCAACTAACACTCGAGATCGCAGGCCGGAGAAGATGAATTCGCTCAACCCGGCGTAAGTCTACAGCCACCAACCGCGGGAATGCCTCCCCGTGACAGAGATCAATACTAAGATGTGATTGTGCAGCATGTGGGAGAACCTCCCCCTCCTTTTTAACCAGCTCTCGCGCGACGAAAACGTGCGCGCCGTCATGCTCTCCGGCGCCGGCGACCGCGCCTTTTGCGCCGGCCTCGATGTCACGTCCGATGCAGCGGCCTCTGGCTGGCCGGATTTCCCCGACCATGCGCGCAAAATCTGGGCCATGAGGCGGCATATTGCGGAGTGTCAGGCGTCTATTCGATCGATCGAGAAGTGTGAGAAACGTAGGTCTTTCTTTTCCACGGTAGTTGATGTGTGTACTGGGGCTAATGGTTGGGGTTGTAGCTGTTATTGCGCTCGTGAGACTTCCTGAAGAATGCATGTCGACGTGCGTGGAGCTAATGTGTTGAAAGCTGCATGGTGTAGTATACGGTGGCGGTCTGGAAATCCCGCTTGCTTGCGACATTCGATACTGCACGACAAACGCCAGATTCTGCATCAAGGAGACAGACGTGGGCCTTGCAAGTAAGACCTGCTCCAACTCCCAGCCCTTAGCTAACTCCTGTCCGTAGGCCCCAGATGTCGGCGGCCTCACCTGGCTCCCCAAAATCGGCGTCAGCTACTCCTGGGCCAAAGAAATGACCTACACGGCGAGAGTGTGGCAGGGCGAGGAGGCGCTGCGAGTCGGCTTTGTGAGCAAAGTCTTCGAAACCAAGGACGAGCTGTTGCAGAATGGACTGGAGCTTGCGAAGGAGATTGCGAGCAAGAGTCCGCTTGCGGTACAAGGGAGCAAGGCTATCATGGACTTTTCTCGCGATCGGCCGGTGGATGATGGCCTGCATTTCACTGCTACTTGGACGTCGGCGTTTGCGGTATGCAATGCTTCCTTGGCTCTTGCCCGAAGACTTCGCTAACAATGTAATTGTACAGGATGCCGAAGACGTCAAGACAGCCATGACCAGCGGGCTGAAAAGGACGAAGCCGAAATTCGCAAAGCTGTAATCCCCCTCATTCCCCCGACGATGCAGCTCTCCTGGCAAGATACCGTTTATACCCCTCGCAACTCCTCCTCACCCCCTCCGCCAATCCCACCTTGACTTCATACCCCAACACCCGCTTCGCCTTCTCATTGTCCGCGAAATGCGCGCGCACCGCATCCCTCACACTCCCTCTCGTCAACGTCGCTTCCGCCCCAGTGACCCAAGTAATGCACTCCAATATCCACGCAACAGCCCAAGCCAGCCACATCGGAATTTGTACACGGTAGCGCGGCACATGGCCGAACTGCACCCAGACGTATGCCAGGAAGTCCCAAAAGTACACCGGCTCGTCGTTGCTGATGAAGAACACTTCGCCCGCTGCTGTCCCCTTTCCGCCCGGGAGAAGGTTCTCCGCTGCCAGAACGTGCGCGGAAGCGATGTTGTCAATGTACACGAAATCATACACGTTATCCCCGTCCCCTACGATGAAACTCGTCTCCCCTTTCGCAATCAGGTCGTGCATGACGGGAATCACAGCCCTGTCTTCCGGCCCGATGATCGTGGAAGGTCTTAGCGCGCAGATCAACGGGCCTTCCTTTCCCTCCCCCGCTCGACTCATCACATACGTCTCCGCCAGCCCTTTTGAGCGTCCGTAGTGCAGCGTCGCGTACCCTGTCGACGTCTCCTCGTCCATCCGGAAGTAGTCGTGCGCCATGTCGTCGATCACGACCGTGCAGCTGGAGGTGTAGACGAAGCGCGCGCAGCCCGATGCCAGCGTGGCGTCGAGAACGTTCACTGTGCCTTCGTAGTTGATCTCGCGCACGCGCAACCAGGCTGCGTGAGAGGTGGAGTACCGCGCTTGTCGGGCGGGGATGATGCCTGCTGTGTGCAGCACTAGATCTGGGACGTAGGATTTGAATGCGTTGAAGACGGAGGCGCGGTTTGTGATGTCGACGCGGAAGAAGTGCTGGATTGGGGCAAGCTGGGATGGGGATGGAGCGTGCTGGTCGAGAATTGAGATTCGCCACGTTGGATGTTGGGTGTGCAGGGCGGTTACTATTGCGCTGCCTAGGAAGCCGCTGCCGCCGGTGACGAGGATGTCGAATGGAGTTTCGGAAGACATGGTAGACGACTGCGGAGTGGTAGATGTGGATGGCCTTCTTCCCGGCCGAGTCCGGACTTGAGGGCGATAGTATCACGCTATCATATCGAGAGCTGTTGCAGTGACTTGACAATCGAAGCCATCCTGAATGTCCATCGTAATTGGCTCAGTATCGAGGTTGTGTTCACCACCAAGGTGTATGGAGGTGGAGTGAAGTGGCGAGTTCCGAGTCAGGCTTCCGCTTTGTTGCAGCCTCTCCGCGAAGCTTGTTGCGGTGAAGCAGATTCGCATAACGCTTGAGAATTGAGTGAGGAAGTAAGGTAGCTTCTCTTTTGACACGTTGCGGGCGGTATCTAAACCATCTTGTGCATCATTATATCGGAAATTTATAGTCTGCTTATTGCGCCAACTGGGCGGCGAGGAAGTGCTTTCTATCGGCCGTTCTGATGTCGTCTCTCCAACTCAACCTCTCTTCCACAACTACCTCAACGCAGCCTCATCATAGCCTCGATTGAGTAAAGTGATGACCCAGCCCCGTGCATACTATCGTCTTCCACGGAGGAAGTGATTGAGTTTTAGACTGCTTCCTCACGATCTTGTCATCCACGCCTTATGTGGGTAGACGCCATGCCAGGTCAATATCCAGACAAGCCTCAACCCTGCTCTCAAAACCCATCATCAATCCCCCTCGCCGTCTCGTCCTTCGTCCGCTTTCGCTGTGCAGTCCACCACCACTCATTACTCCCATCACGCCCAGGCTTCTTCATATCCTCCTCCGTCTCATCCCACGGCTTCGGCGACAAAATATAATGCACGTTCTTCACCCTCGCATCCCGCCAAATCTCCGCATGCACCCCCTCCCACCGCAGCGTCTTCAGCGCATTGTAGACATACGGCAGCGCCACCCAGCGCCCGTGAAAGACATCTCCCAGCAGACTCTGGTCGGAAAAGTCGTACGCGGACGTCTTCTCCTCTTCCAACGCAGCGAGGATAAGCTCGTACGTCGCTGCGCAGGGGATGACGACCTGCAGCCCGCCGTTGGGCATCGTGATGCCGAAGTCCGCCGGCATGCCCTCTGTCTGCGCGCGCTCGGGGGTGTCGTGTTGGTGGGTGAAGGCGCAGTTTTGCGGGATCCAGTCGCGGGGATAGTGCGGTTTGCTGAGCGGGTTGCAGAGACATGCGTGGCTGGCGGCGAAGACGCGCTCGCCTTTGCCCGCTGCGGAAGCGGCGTCGAGCGGTATGTCCATCAGCTCGTCCATGTTCTGCAGCACGAGCATGTCGCTGTCGAGCTGCACGACGCGCTCATATTCTACCAAACTAAACGGCGTAAGCTTCGACCAGCAGTCGTAGAAGCGCGGATCATTGGTGAAGTCTTTGTGCGCTTTCGGCAGCAGGTAGGGAATGTGTTTGTGCGGGATGTTGCGGCTCTTCAGCGCCGCCAGGCCCTCGGCGGGAAAGCTGTCGGTGTACAGGGCGACGAGGGGGTATTTGGAGCCGACGAGTTTGAGGGAGTAGTCGAGGGTGAGCAGGCCGGAGAGGTAGGCGGTGTTGGTGATGAGTGTTGTCCACACTTTGGCGCTGTCGACGGCGCGTTCGCGATGCGGGTTGGCCGAGTCGATGGCTCCGTTCGTTTGCGCCATGTTGGTTGAGGGAGGTGCTTCGGGAGTAGAGGATGGGGTTATAGGTATTCCATGGCGAGCAGGAAGGTGAGGAGGAAGTATGCGCGCCAACAACTTTTTGCTGGGAGAAGTCGAGCCAAAGTTCGAATGTCGTGGCGTCATTGTCGGCTCGACTTCACCTCGACATTTTCTTAGTCACCGCGAGATTAGGTAGAGGCCGTCATCCACAGATTACCCTCACTCCTCTGCTCGGTTTGGCTGCACTCGTCAATTCTGCTTGACAATGCGCAGCGCTCCAACCGCAAAGCAACCGACACCTCCATGTCGGCGACGGTAAAGGATGACACGTCGCTGCCGCTCGCGGCGGATCACAAGAGCGATGCCCTCTCCGCCGCGCCCAGGGGAGGGAACTGGAAGGGCTTCGTCGCGGGCGTCTTTTCAGGAATTGCGAAGCTGAGTGTTGGGTGCTTCAAACCATGGCAGTCCATAAGCGCCACCCGACTAATGCCTCCAGACATCCCTTCGACACCATCAAGGTCCGCATGCAGACCACCTCCATGGACCAATTCAATGGCCCACTTCAATGCCTCCTGCAAACCGTCCGCAAGGAAGGCGTCAACGGCCTCTACAAAGGCGCCACGCCCCCTCTCATAGGCTGGATGTGCATGGACTCCCTCATGCTCGGCTCCCTCACTCTCTACCGGCGCCTCCTAAACGAGCACGTCTTCCAACCTCTCCGCGCCCGCCCGAACAGCACCGCAATCTGGCTGCCTGACGCAGAGCGAAAGAAGCTCCCTTCCGTCGGGCACGGCATCGCGGGTATGCTGGCCGGCTGGACAGTCTCCTTCATCGCCGCGCCGGTCGAGCACGTCAAAGCGCGCCTACAGGTGCAGTACCAAGTCGACAAGTCGCAGCGCCCGTACTCCGGTCCGATCGACTGCACTCGCAAGATTTTTCGCACTCATGGCATCCCCGGGCTATGGCATGGATTGTCTGCCACCCTGCTCTTCCGCTCCTTCTTCTTCTGCTGGTGGAGTACGTACGACATCTTCACCCGGCAACTCGAGAAGAATACGCGTCTCAGCACTCCCGCTATCAACTTCTGGGCTGGCGGGTTGAGCGCTCAAGTCTTTTGGATCACGTCTTACCCCTCTGACGTTGTGAAGCAAAGAATCATGACGGACACCCTCGGCGAGGGGCGGAGATATCCCCGCTGGAGGGATGCGGCAAAGGCTGTGTATCGCGACTCAGGATGGAGGGGATATTGGCGGGGTTTTGTGCCGTGTTTTTTGCGTGCGTTTCCGGCGAATGCCATGGCGTTGGTGGCTTTTGAGGGCGTCATGCGGACGCTGAAGTAGCCTAGAGTTGAAAGCATTGTTCTAGATCTTAGACGATAGATGGATGGGGGATTGTGTATCTCTATTGGCGACCGCTCTTCTCTTAGCTACCGCATCAGACTGAATCAATGCGATTCCGAGTTCCATCCTGGAAAAGTGCTGTCATTCAGTGCTCATCCCTATGAACCGCCAGCCAGCCTGATGCTCCAGATGAGACTTGCAAAAACCGTGCGTTACGGGGATAGATAGTACCTCTGTCATTGCACGAAGCTTTCGCCGCCTGCCTTCCCCCAACTCGGAGTCCATAGCCTGGGTCCAGCACAGGCCGCTGCCAGCGTAAGTAGAGGTATTGGTGTCGACATGTCGACCGTGTCCGCAATCACACCGCCGCACCATTGACCCTCGCCTTCGTCGTCTCATCGCCCAACAGCTTCTCCATCTCCGCCACAGCCTTCGCCTGCTGCCCCTCAATATCTTCATTCCACAACCACACAAACCGCTGATTCGCATCCCTCTCAAACGTGTTCACATCCGCTTCGGTCAAATCCGGCCGAGAAACATCGGCCCAGAAATCCAGCGCTTCAACACTGGTGCGCGTCACCTCTTCGAACCGCGCTTTTCGCACCGTCTCGAAACCCCGGAACGCAGCTTCGATTTCTTGCTGCGGTGGAGAGCTTCCTTTGCTTCGGGAGTAGATTTGGCGCAGCACAGCGGCCATTACACATGCATCTTCCATTGATTGCGCCGCCCCTTGGCCCTGGTGTGGAGGCATGGAGTGTGCCGCGTCGCCGATGAAGGCAGCGCGGCCTTGAAAGTAGTGCTCCGGATTCACAGCATGGTGAAAATTGCCCCACAGATGTGTCGTGTCGGGCTCCATGTGCGACATGATGCGCTGCACCTGCGGACCCCACGAGCGAAAGTCGTGCAGCATTTGCTCCTTCTGGTGCTCGACCACCCATCGCTCGGAGTTCCAGCTTTCCTTCTTGATCCACAGGCCGATGTTGACGGCCGTGCCGCCGTTGATGGGGTAGTGGATCACGTAGCCATCGGGGCCGCACCAGACATGGCTCATGTGTGCATTATCGCGGCCAACGACTTGCTCGTGGAAGTCCATGGGGAAGACGGCGCGGTAGCCCGCCATGCGGCTGAACTGTGCTCGAGTGGCGGGGTGTTCCTTTCCTAGTACGAGTCCGCGAACGGAGGAGTGTGCGCCGTCGCAGCCGATGACCAGTGCTGCTTCATCTTCCGTGCCGTCTTCGAAGCGCAGCGTGACTCCGTCGGTGGATTGCGTTAGGCCGACGAGTTTCTTATTGAATCTCGCTCTCGCCGGATCAATCGATCCCGCCAGCATCTGAAGCAACTCGTTCCGTCCCACAGTCATGTTCCCCGTCGGAGGCGCCTGCAGCGCCGTAACTAAATGCCCATCCTCGAAATTGTCCGTTGGCCTGCCCAGTCGAAGCGTCATCCACGTCTCCTCGTTCGGGGGTTCGTTGCGCGTTGCCAGAGCGGAGATGTCCTTGTACAGGCCTGCATCGATGGCGTTGAAGGCGTGGAAGGTGTTGGGGCCTAGATTGATCCCGGACCCGATTTCTCGGAAGGAGGAGCGGGCTTCGTACACTTTGTAGGGGATCTGTCGTTTTTCCAGGGCGATTGCTAGCGCGAGGCCGCAGAGGCCGCCGCCGATGATGGCCACGTCGGGGGATGGCATGGTTGTTGAGGTGGAAAGGGTGGGAGTGCTCGTCGAGTCGGGCGGGATGCGCCTTTATCTTTATCCCGAGGGCGGCCTCATTGGAGGAGTCGATCGACTAGGGCTCAGCCGCACGAAGGATGTCGAACTATCGTTTCGTTGTCGTGACGTCGTCCTTGCTGGATCGTAGCGGCGGACCGTCAGCACTTACGATCTGGCGGCGATATACACACGGCTAATAGGCTGACAGTCAACATTGCATCGGGTTTGCATCTTCTGCCCGCCCTCCAGCGGCAAATATCATGTAGTAAGAAGGTTGAGTCTCGGCCCGACGTCTGCAGACGGGGCGGACATCGGATCTACCCGCCGGATCTAAAGTGCCACGCGAGAGCCTGGCGCGCGGCGCGTTGGTTTCGTGATTTTGCCGAATTCACGGAGTCTCCCTCTTTCTCCTTCATCACTCCTTTGATTCCGCCTGTCTTACCATTTAGTACAACACCATGGGCGCCATCAACCTTGCCGAATGGCAAAAGCTGCCTGTCAGTCTGGCCGAACTATGCATCAACACCACCCTGCGCTGCGGCCAGTCCTTCCGGTAGGCATCCCCACCACCTCCCTACGTCGCCACATTGCTGATGATCTTGTAGATGGCGCAAAGACGACGCCGGCGTGTGGTCCATTGCCCTCCATTCCCGCATCCTCTCCCTCCATCAAGACCCCGACTACCTGTACTACCGCTCCATTCGACCCTCCACCTTACAAGCACCACCCACGCCACCCGCCTCGCAGCCCCCTTCAATCCCCGATGATGCAGACGACGACACCCACCAATTACTCCAGCACTACTTCAACCTCTCCCCCAATCTCACCGAGCTCTACCGCCAATGGTCGTCAGCCGACGCCAACTTCGCCAAAAAGGCGCCCAAATTCACCGGCGTGCGCATCCTCAAGCAAGACGCGTGGGAGGCGCTCGTCGGCTTCATCTGCAGCAGCAACAACAACATTGCCCGCATCTCGCAAATGGTGCACAAGCTGTGCATCCACTACGGTCCGCTGCTGGGTTACTTGAACGGCGAGCCGTACCACGATTTCCCCGTCCCCCTGGCGCTGGCGAAAGATGGGGTGGAGGCGCATTTGCGTGCGCTGGGGTTCGGGTATCGCGCGAGGTATATTCACCAGACGGCTATGATTGTCGCGGCCAAGCCGGAGGGTTGGCTAGACTCGCTGCGTAATCCGGAGTCTCCTATCCTCGGACAGAAAGCTACATCCGCAGGCGAATGGAAAGCAGAAGGTCGAGACGGGTACCGCGCCGCTCATGAAGAACTCCTCACATTGCAAGGCGTTGGTCCCAAGGTGGCGGACTGCGTGTGCCTGATGGGTCTTGGCTGGGGAGAAGCGGTCCCGGTCGACACGCATGTTTGGCAGATTGCCCAGCGCGACTACAAGTTTGGCAAAGGGAAGCATGCTAGCTTGACGAAGGCGACGTATGATGCTGTTGCGAGCAAGTTTCGTGGCTTGTGGGGGAAAGAGGCTGGGTGGGCGCATTCGGTGCTTTTCACCGCGGATTTGAGGGCGTTCTCTGAGAGGCTAGTGGGGAAGGTGGAGGAGGTGAAGGATGAGGTGGAAGTGAAAGTGGAGGAAGAGAGCGGAGACACGATCGTCGAGGATGTGGAGAGAAGTGTCAAAGTATTGGACAAGCGGGTGAAGCGCGAACGAGAAGACGGCGAGCAACAGCTGCTAGAAGTGGAAGAGAAGAAGACAGTGAAGCGTAGAAGACGACTAAGATAGTCAAATACACACAACATCCTCCTCACGCCTTCTTCCTCGCAACAGCCCTCAACCGACAATACCCCATCCACCGCGACCCATCCTCGCCCCTCGTAACGACAGGCTCAAGCACGGTACAAATCTCCCTCGCCACCGCATCTCTCTTCCCATCCTCCACCGCATCCAGAAACTGCGCACACATCAACCGCACCCACCCCTCCAATCCAGCCCCGGAACCTCCACTCTCCGCCGTCAGCTTCGTAGGCCGATACTCCAGCTCGCACACCTCGACTTCAAACCCGGCTTTCTCCAGCGCGCCGCGCATCCAGTCCGGACTAGGGAAGAACCAGGGTGATGCCTCGTAGGCTTCCGCCACGGGCACGCCGGCGTGGATCAAAGCGGAGATTGCGGCGGCGTGCGCTTCGGCCACATTGCCTGCGCCGCCTTGCTCGAAGACGAATTTGCCGCCGGGTTTGAGGGCTTTGTGGACATCGGCGAAGAAAGGGTGGCGGATGGAGGGGTCGCGCAGGATCCAATGCATTGCTGCATTACTGAAGACCTTGTCCCATGAGCCGTCGATTGCGTCCGGACAACTGCTCAACTTCGAGCAGTCGACGTGCCGGTACGTGCTGTTCGGGGTGGTGTGCTTTTCCTGCGCGGTGGAGATGAAGGAGGCCGAGTTGTCGAGTCCCAATACGCGGCCTTGCGGGGCTGCGGCGGCGAGCTGGTAGGTTAGGGTGCCGTCGCCGCAGCCGAGGTCGAGGATGTGGTCGGTGGGTTGGACGTCGAGGTAGGCGACGACTTTGGACGTGAGTTGCGGGACGAAGTTGGCGGCGGAGTTGTACGCTGCTGAGGACCAGTGATCTTTGGCCATGGTGGGTGGTGTTGATTGGGCGTGCGTGTCTGGTCTACTTGGTGGGCGAAGGCAAGGGAAGTGATTGAATGGGATGGGGTGATGTCTCGCATTGGGGAATTTATATTGCTTGCACATATCATGTGAAGTCCGACATCGGCAGAGTCAGGGTCTCGCTGGACCCACTGCATTGCCTCACAGCCTTGTCTACGCACTCCCACACATGGATGTACATAGACAAGTCAAGGTCTCCGATGCCAGTCTTCCTAGATCGGTCCACCCAAATACTCCCACGCAGCAAGAGTATGGATCTTAATGATGTCCAGGAACTCCTGCGCTTTCACCCGCTCATCCACCGCCGCCATCGTCGTGGGCGACGGACCATAGCAATACGCCGGAACGCCATTGTACCGGAAATGCTGCCCAACTTCGTCAGCTCAGGACGCAAGTCGAACTGCGAAGACCAACTCACCTTGCAATCCGTGCCCCCCAGCGAACAGATCGACACCGGCGCCTCCCCACGCACCAGCTTCGCGTTCCTCTGCAACAACTCCACCATCTCATGCTCCACCGAACTCGCCGCCGGCGGATTGGTCGCTGCTTCTTGAACGGTATACGAAGCCTCAGGGAACGAAGACCGCAGCACTTCATCGATGCGCGCCAGCACAGTCTCCTTGACCAGGCCGATTGGGAGCCGAATGTCCGCTTCAAACACGCAATACGACGGGATCATGTTCACCTTCACGCCCCCGCGGATGGTGCCGATGTTCACGCTGGGCTTCAGCATGTACGCCGCCGCTCCGGGACCCATAATACCATCGGCCGTGTTCCTGACGTCCTCGCGTTGCAGGTATTTCCGAAGCTCCGGATCCATGCCTTCGGGAGGTAAGTTCTCCAGTTCTGCCAGGCGCGCAATCAACCGCGAGGCAATTCGTATCGCCCCTTCGCTCAGGTGCATAAACGCTCCATGCGCGCCCTCGCATCTGACTTCAAACGTCATCCGCAGCGATCCCCTCTCCCCGAACCGAATACTTTCCACGCCCCCCGGCTCGGCGTTCAACACACAATCGCCTTTCCACGTCTCCTTCCGCCCATCCCGCTCGAGTAGGTACCGCGTCCCATACCGCCCGCCCGTCTCCTCGTCACTCACCACCTCTAACGTGCATCGCCCTGACAGCTGCGAGCGAAAACGATGCAAGTAGCTGAACGCAATAATATCCGCCGCCGTGCCGGCTTTCATATCCACCGCTCCCCGACCATGCACGAAGTCGCCATCGACGTCGCCTGAATATGGATCACGCTGCCACTTCTCGTCCGCGTTAACGGGGAAGATGTCGATGTGTCCGTTGAAGACCAGGTTCCGTGGGTGCTCGGAGGGGCCTTCTGCATGGAATGTGCTGACGAGGTTGGGAGCGTCGGGTTTGGGCGCGATGATTTCGCTGGAGATGCCGTGCTTTTGCAGGTGTTGCTCGACAAAGGCTATGGCATCGCGCGTGTCTCCTGGGGGATTCGGAGTGGGGATGCGGATGAGAGAGGAGAGAAAGGCGAGGTGGGCGTCTTTGTCTTTGGCGAGGAGGTTGAGCAGGTCTTGCTTGGATTTCACGGGAGTCGACATGGTGGCTTGAGATGAGCGGGATTGGGTATTTTTGACCATGGTCTGTGTTGATGAGCGGAGCAACGAATTGTATGCTGTGGTTGCGAACCCAAGGAACGAGCGGCAATCAAGCGAGTTTGGAACGAATGGTAGAGATTGGGTGACATGCAATAGTAGAAGTGTAGGCGCAAGGCTATGTTCGTAGCATATTGGATGTGAGTCAATCTCAATGCTGATGATCTGCGCCCCCCCGCTTTCCGAATTCGACGACATCGGAAGCTCGCAGCCCAAGGTACGCTCTCAAACACAACACTGCAGGCCTTGAACACCGGGCCAATGGATGATCTTGTCAATAACAGGATCGAATTTGCTGTTCATTCTCGATTTGGGTTCGTAGCCTTCGGAGATACGGACTGAGCGCCCGGGCTTTCTAGAGCCAACTCCGAATCACCCTCGCTGAGCACATGATTGCAGGCATCCATTCCTGCGTGATCATCCAGCATTAGATCTTCGCTTTCTTATCCAGGTGCTCTGTTAGCATTTGGATGCTTTGCTTTATGATCCCAAGACCCTCGATCTTTGCAATCATCCGTACACACCTTAAAGCTGCGTTCTTGGGGTGAATGCAGAAAGGGCCGGAGCAGCATGTCTCTTTTCCGATGGAGTCATGAGGGGTGGGAGTTCCGTACTGGGTAGCAAGTTCGCTCATCGAAGGAAGAGGAGCCGCCAAGTCTGCTGTCAAACCCATGGAAGCGGCCGGATCGGTGGGAGTTTGTCTTGATGACGAGAGCGGCATTCTTGCAGTATCGAATCCCACTGCGAAAGACACCGTATGCGAGCCACGTATCGTCTCAGCTCCGCTCTCGGTGTCAACGTCCAGTCGCTTACACCAGTTCCTCCGAACAACCATCCACCTCATAACTTCGTCATAGACTGTGTGCGAGCCCGGCGCTCCCCAAAGACATACCCCGTCGCCGCGGGACTGAAAGAGTGGTTGGCAGGCATGGGGAAAGGCGGCCGGCGCCAGGCATCGGAGAAGAACACGGGGTGCATGATTGCGGCGTTGTAGACGGGTGGGAGATCGGCGGTAGCTGGGAGTGTTTTGTGAGGAGGCATTGCTTGGATTTGGTTGATTGGTTGTTGTTGTGTGCTTTGGGTGTAGCGGATCTGCTCTTGACAGAGGGGGTTCAGGGATTGGGGTGCTGGGGCCTGGGTACTTGTCAGTGCTGGCAACTGAAGCTGGGGGAGCTCACGTGCACTCACTCGTGGACGCGATGGTTGGAGTGAGGGGAACATGCTGCTGTGATGTACAAGGACGGCCCTTTCGGATAAGCTGCTTTTAGATTGCAAGTAGTCTGGGATGACAAAGAAGGAAGTTCATTAGAGAAGACGAAGGTGACAGTAGAATGACGCCGAGCTCGACGCCCCGCCCGCCACTCTTCGGTCACGACTTTTGACACGAAGCGTCCCGCTGACTGACATCGCGCTTCAAGATTTGCCGTCGCTATCAACACGACACATCCTCCATCTCATTACGCAAAGATGTCGGACGCCAATCTCAACGTGCTCATCACCACCTTCGCTGGCCTCGGCCTCCCGCGTACGCTATCTCTACCCTCCCACAACACTACCCGCATCTGCGACGTGGTTGACACCCTCTACACTCGACTCCCAACTCTCAACCACCGCCTCTGCCTCACGACCACCACAAACCGCTCACTTCACGCCGACGACAACACCCCGCTCTCCAGCCTACTCTCCAATGATGATGATACCCTCCTCTCCCTGCGCCTAAGCGCACCCATCCTCGGCGGCAAAGGCGGTTTCGGCTCCCAGCTACGCGCCGCTGGCGGGCGCATGAGCAGCCGCAAAAAGCGCAACCAAGCCGACGAAAGACAAAACAGCTCGAACCGCAACCTCGACGGCCGCAGGCTACGAACCATCGATGCGGCGAAAAAACTGGCAGAGCACCTGGCCAAGAAACCCGGGATGGACGCAAAGGAGAAGGAAGACCGACGGAAGAAGTGGGAGACGGTGGTGGAGGTGGCAAACAAACGAGAAGAGGAGATTAAGAGTGGGAAGTTGGGGGCGGGCGGTGGGCGCTTGGACGCGGAGTATGTGGAGGGGAAGGAGCAGGCGGAGGATAAGACGAGGGAGGCGGTGATGAAGGCTATGAGAGAGGGGATGCTGCAGAGTGAGAGGACGGGGTCGGAGAGCTCGGTGGAGGATGTGGAGGAGGAGAGTGAGGGGGAATCGTCGGAGGATGATGACGATGACGAGGATGAATGGCGGTAGCGTTTGTTGTACGACCCTTTCACGATTGAGCGATGAAGTTTGACTGTATGCAACGCTCGCGCAGCCCTTGGCCCTGTCAACGCATCAGAGCACGGGATCCGCGCAATGACATTCCCGAGAGCGTTTCGTCTTCGAAACCCGTGGACATCGACATCATGGGCCACGTGAACGGACCAAGGCACGCCGTGTCCGAGCTCCACTCCGATCCTGATATCCTGCCACTTTGTTCGACTACGAGCTAATGCAGACTCCGGTTCTCCATGAACGCCCATTGCATACTTCACAACGCTGGCGGAGTTGCCGGACAACAAAGCAGCATGGAGCTCATGGAGTGACGGACAGCGCCTACCATCTGGAAAATAGCCGGCAAGACAGTTCCCGCCATGTCGATATTACAAAAATCTGCGAGGGAATGATTTTATTGTTTGCGTCCCTTCTTTTCCCTTGACCTTCACTCTACTCATCGTGCACAGCAGGACGAAGCCTTGTGTGCCCTGGACGATGGAAAATCTCCCCGTTCGGTAATATGCCGATATTTTCTACGTCCTGCCAGCGTCTTGTGGGATTCCACTTTACTGCAAGCGCTATCGCTATGAGGAGGCATCGTCTACACCTCCTTCTACATCCTGGTGACAACACTGCATGGAATACTAGAGCACGTCTACGGCTTCTCCCCCGGGCTCAGCGGCGCGTCTTTTGGCTCTCTCGGCATCGGTTCGACTGTTGGCATCGTACTGTCCAACATTGCGCTGGACCGCATTCATACGAGGCTACGCGAGACAACCGACGCATACCCAGAAAGTCGACTGATACCGGCGGTCATTGCCGCTATTATGATCCCCCTCTCGTTGACCCTCTACGGCTTCGCAGCAGAGCTCAAATGGCCAGTGGCACTGCTGCTTTCCGCCGCAGCGAGCCTGGGCTGCTTCTTTTCCCTCACCCTCGCGTCCCTCACCACCTACACGACCGATTCGTTCGGCCTGTACTCCGCATCAGCCATGACTAGCATCCTCACCACGCGTTGTGTCTTGGGCACTTTTCTCCCTTTGCCCATCGCTCCCCTCATACGACGGTATGGGTATGGACGTGGCTTGATGATGCCCGCAGCTTTCATCTTGGGATTGGCGGTCATTCCGATGACTATCGTACTTTATGGTCCGATCTGGCGGCAGCGTTCAAGGTATACCGATTCTCAACAAGGCTAGACACCTCTGTTGCTCTCTTGATGACAGCCTGGAGTCTCTTTCTCCGCGATGGTACCTCGATCCGCACGGGGTACCTCGGGGCTTCGGCTGGCGCAGCATTTTCCGGACGCCACCCACGCAGTACAGTACGAAGCGACGGAAGTAAGATCGACGTAGCCGTCGCTAGCCACGCCGTGCATAAGGTATGCTGCGCTGGTGTCTGCGCCATGCACTTGCATCTCTAGATACGTACTCCGTAGAGCGGCAGTGAATGGCTTTCTGCCCATGAGGTCAGGCCTCTGATTGTCAATCATTCATCCCTATCGAATGTCTGAAGATTCCCAATTGCCAACGGACGATTGCTTACCCGAGTCCGTGTGCTGATCAAGCGTGTGGCGGCGCGCTATGTAGGAAGCTTAAAGTATGTCGCGGGGAAATTGCGGGGAGGATCCTGGACTTCTTCCTCATACGAAGACTTCATCAATGACTCTCTCCTGGTTGAACGCGATGTTGTGCGGGACTGGCTCCGCGAGTCTCTCTTCCAGTGCCCCGAGCAACGTCATCTCAATTTGACTCGAGCCATGCGCTGCCTGCACGCCCCGAGTGGCTCACAATGTCTTCGGCAAACTCCATCGTGGGTTACAGAGATCGCCCGTCCAGCTCCCGCTTCTGGCGATAGTCTCGACCTTAATGCAACTGTAACGCTTGCTAAAAACCAAGTAGTCAGGGCGCAAAGGATCTGCAGAGCGCACGGTATACGAAAGCCTCGGGCGCGGAGCGGATCTATATATCCGTCGCAACTATATGAGTGTCGTGCCCTGCCCGTCGGGAGCCTGCCTACCTGCATCACTTCACTCGATCTCTTCCACAAACCCAACCTGTCTGTCTCAATAGTAGCGAATTCACCATGCTCTTCTCCACCACTTCTCTCCTCGCCCTCGCGGCCACCGCTCTCGCTTCGCCCGCCAGAAGAGCCGAGACGGTCTGCCCCGCCGCCACGACGCTGGAATACGCACAGCGGGTCGTGTACGCCTACGCGCAGACAGCCCCGGGCGCCACGTACGCCGCCTTTGAGTCCATCCCATTCGGCGTGGGCGGGAAGAGCGGGGCTTGCACGACTGTCATGTAAGTCGTCTGTGTCCTCTATCCTTTCCACTGATGCTGATGTGATTGGCAACAGTATCCCCGACGGCACCGGCTGCCAGATCCCCGTCGGCACCACTGGTAATGGCGTCGTTCAGTTCGGCACGGAGACCCGACAAGCCTTCTCCCAAGTCACGGGACAGTACGAGACGTTCCCCAACGGCACGTCGCTGATCAGGACTAATGTCGTACGTGGCCAATCATCTTCATCCCTCAGTGAGGGACGTTGCTAACGTGCGGTAAAAAGACTCTCGGCGTGCGCAACCTCGTCCCCGTCCCGTTCACTTTCACCGGGGAGGTCTACTTAGATTTCAACTCGGACTGCGACATCTACGCTGTGCGCGCGTACGCTCAGGTCCCGACCAAGGTGCTTGAGCAGGAGTTCCAGCTGGCCGGCATCCCGATTGCGGCTTGCACTGACCTTCCCGTCTGATTCTCTGCTGGGACTTGGTGTGACAGGAATGAGCTCAATTGCAAAAGTAGTTCATACAAATCATAACCCTTTTACCCTTCCAAGTCGAGCACCACTCACCAAGGCTCCCTAATTCTTCCGCATGCGATTGTAGCCCTCGTAGATATGCCCCATGCCCGCCGCCTTCACCCGTGCCATCTCCGCGTCCCGCTCCTCCTGCTGTGTACCCCTCTTGTTAGGATTTCGCGGCCTGCTGTCGTCGAACTTCTTCCTCTCGCCTGTAATGTGCCAGCCCTTGCAGTTCTCGCGGCCGAGAGCGTGGAGCGTCGCGCGCTCAATGAGGCTGTATTGGGAGGGGTCGTCGCGGGCGAGCTGGAAGGGTTCTTTGATGGGGAAGCGGTTATTGGTGACGATGCGGACGTCGCGGTGTTTGTTGTTGACGCGCGAGTGCAGCATGAAGGGGTGTAGACTGACAGATGTGTTAGCTAGGTTTGGGAGGAGTAAGTGTGGGGGATGGGGTCTAAATCACATGTACACATCGCCTGGCTCCCCGGTCACCTCCACCCATGTGCTGGGCGGCATTTTCCGCCCTGTCCTTCGTTGGAATTGATGATGTGGTCCGTGGGGCTCTTCGCCCACTGGCCTGTACCCCGGCATCAGGCCTTCGGGGTGGTCGTAGAGATGCTGGGCCATGATGGGCAGGGCAGCGGGACAGATCATAGTCCCTCCCCCACCAGGCCGGATATCGGAGAAGATGGGCATGATGAGCAAACCCTGCTCGCCGGAGTCGAGGAAGTTCACCCGCTGCTGACCATCAACGTGCCACCGGTCAGGAGGGATATCTTGGCCCTCGCCCTCCGGCGTGCCCAGGTTGACAATAAAGCCATCGCCCCAGTTCTTGTTCTGCACGAGGCGCTCGTCGCCCACTATATCAAGCAGCGCACCCCAGGCCTTGGGCGCAAAGTCTCTGATGGGCCAGCGATTGACGGTGGGCATGTGGTTGTCTTCCACCCAGGTGGACTTGTCGGTCGGCGACATGCCGAGCCGGATCCAGACGTCTTTGGTCACGTCGGCGGCCTGCTGGCGCGTGAAGCATTTCTCGAGCTTGATCCAGCCGTGCTTGACGAAGTGGTCTGCTTGCTCTTGCGTGAGTTGGCGGAGGGGTTGGCGGGCCATGACTGCGGTTGTGCGGTGTTTGTAGGAGGCGTAGGATGGAGGTGGTTGTTTCGTTCCGCTTTATGTCGCGCAGAGTACGTGGCGGAGCATGGCGTGGCCCACTTTTACGAGGGGAAAGTCTGGGTCGGGATGACAGGCGAGCCACTGACGTCGTGCGGGATTCCACAATCTTCCTTGGACGGCCATCGTCACTCTGGATACCTCACTGCACTGGTGCTGGGAAGTAGTGGCCTAGGGAATCCAGTCCAGCAAAACACAGCCTGGGAAGGTGCGATGGAGTGCACGCCTTCATGCAGGAACGTTGATGGAGATCGATAGAGTGCATGCAGGGATGCCGCGCATTAGCGCCGTCTCCGCAAAACCTTCAACAACCTCCGCTCTCAGCCGTTCCAGGCCCAACCTTGCTCCCTCCGTGTCACTTTCCTGCATGTAAGCGACTATTTGGACGGTTTGGGTGGCCCGCTTCGCCTCTCCTCCGCAGCCTGACAGGATGGAACAAGTGGAGGAGCGCGTTCAAGCTGCCTTTGCCAGTTTGGCGCAACGCATGAAAACCCGGTGGGGACGGGCAATCACCACCATCGCCGTCGTGCTCTTCATCATCTACGTCTACACTCCGCCATCCTCGCCTCGCACTTCATCTCACCGACCACCAAATAATGTCGCCAACACTGTCTCCTCCTCTCCATCAACTAAACACTGGCCAGGCTGGCACGGTGTCAATCACCTGATCGCATTCGGCGACTCCTACACCACCACCGGCTTCCGAGTCAACGGAGAGCAACCTCGCCCGGCCAACCCCTTCGGCAACCCGCAGTACCCCGGTCTCACCACCTCCAATGGTCCCAACTGGATCGATTTTCTCACCACCACCTACAACGACACCTTCGTCAAGACCGTCAACTTCGCCTTTGGAGGCGCCACCGTCGATCAAGCCATCATTCCCCAATTCCTCCCCGCCATCAAGTCGTTCAAGGACCAGCTATTCGACTTCTACCTTCCACACTATAGTGCTGCGCCCGTCTCGTTTCCCTGGAAGGCATCCGACACTCTCTTCACATTCTTCTTCGGCATCAATGATGTCCACACAGCGATCCTCAAACCGACTCCCGGCGCCAGCACAGCGCAGATCCTGACGACGGCTGTGGCGAGATATGCCGCCTTCATCGACGTTGTCTACCACAGTGGAGCCCGCAATTTCCTCTTCATCAACGTTCCACCCGTCGAGCGAGCTCCAACGGTGACGATTAAGGGCGCGGCTGAAGTGCACGCACACGCTGAAGCCATCGTCCAGTGGAACCGCGATGTCTCTGCGCTCACAACCAATCTTACGACCACCTACCCCGACGTCACCACCTTTCTCTTCGACGCAAACAGCCTCTTTAACCAAGTCATGGATGAGCCTTGCAGTTATGAGGAGACGTGCGCTTTGGAGGACACATCGGCGTCTTGTGAGCAGTACATTCGGAACAATCCCGCGACTTGGTACTCCAAGGACCCCGCTTGCCGGTATGCGGTCGACCACTACTTCTGGCTGAACATGCTGCACCCGACGTTTCGCATCCACAACGTCACGGCGAAGTTGATTGCGCAGCAGCTGCGCTGACCATGTACTCCAACATCCTCGGATACGACGTACCAAACTTGATCTATACTCAGCTAATTCCCCTCGACCGCCTCCACTCCCCCTCCAAAATCCCCATCACCACCGAATCCACATACTCGCCCTCGCGAAACGTCGTCTCCCGCCTCCGGCCCTCATGCACGAACCCCAACCGCTCATAAAGGCGAATGGCGCCCAAATTACTCCCAAACGTCTGCAGCTCCACGCGGTGCAAATTCATATACCGGAAGCCGAAATCCAGCACCCAGTTGATCACTTCCGATCCGTAACCCTGCCCTTGGTACTGGTCCTCGATCGTGATGCCCAGGAAGCCGGCGCGGTTGTTTGCTCGCATGGCGTCGCGGCTGCCCAGGATTACCGTGCCTATCGGCGTAGGTTTGGCGAGTGCAGTAGTCCCGTCCGCCTCGGGCTTGGTTGATGCCGGCAAGCACACGACGGCGTTCAGCAGCGCTTTGGACATTTCTTCGTACATTGACTTTGCTTGCGCCGTGCCGGGTGGGGTCGGGAGGGAGTTCCAGGAGTTGAGGTAGGAGTCGGCGTCTTGCGCGAGGGTGAAGAGGTAGTCTTCGTCTTCCTTTTCCATTGCGCGGTAGATGAGGCGCGAGGAGCGCCAGGGGGAGGGTTTGGGCATCGCGATGCCTTGAGTGGAGTCTGTTTTGGTTGAGATGTGTATGGGGGGTGTGGGAGTAATTAAGTATATGTATGGTCGGAGTTGAGCACTTCGTGTGTCTTTGTCAGCTCGAGTCGCCTTATGTAAAGCCGGTAGGTGAAGTGTGTTGTTAGGCTGCGGTGTCAAAATTGAACTCCGATCGGAGTGGGGTGGCTTTGCGGAGGCCGACCATCTGGCTCCGGCTTTACTACTAATGCTGTTTGCGTCAAGACGAGGCAGGGAGATGTATAGACCACGGTGCACGACTACTAGCTTCTTCGGACAGTCTTCTTCAACAATCTCCAATGCATATGTGCAATGGAGGTTTCGGAATGGAATGTCGAAAGTAGGTGCTCTTTCACGATTGCCCTATACATATTTGCGCAGGTCTCAAGTCGGAAGTAGGGTGTCAAGACGGCATGGATTACATTCTTCGAGTCCTGCAAAAGGTAAAGATACAAACGTACATACATGAAGTCTCATCTCCGTCAACAATCTCGTAACCAATGACACTGCCCTTCTGCCGTGCCCGACGATGCGTAGGTAAGGAAAATGGGTATCACATCGCCATGTCCGCGGTAATTACACCGTGTAATGCTTCCAGTTCCCGGCCTCTGTTGACTCGATTGATCGTATTACTCGGCTTACAACAGGAGGGCAGCCATCAACGTGCCAGCGGCAAAGACCGCCGACCCGGCGAGACCATAGCTAGTGACGAAAGCAGGCGCCGCGCCGGACGAAGAGCCACTGCTGGAGCCCGTCTTTTGTGCGAGCTGCACGCCGTAGCCGGTGGTGGTGACGGTCGCCACGGTGCCGGAGGTGCTCACGGTGGTGGTGTAGGTGCTCGTCGCGGTGGTCGAGGCTGTGCAGCCTGCCCAGGTCGTCCAGTCGCTTGCCCAGCTGCCGGTCGTCCAGCCTGTGAGTACACGTTAGTATCGAGTTGCATATCTCGTATGAGGGGGTGCCAAATCTTACCGCTCCATGTGGATGCCGGACAGTCTCCGTTGTTCCACCAGCTCGTCCACGGCCCGCTTGTCCAGCTGCCACTCGAACCCCACGGTCCCCATCCGTTGCCGCCAAACGGCGCGCCATCGCTCGGGTTCCAGCCGCCACCAGCACCCCACGGCCCACCGCCCTGAGACCACGTGCCCGTCGACCACGCCGAGGGCCACGCGTTGCCACCCGAAGTCGCTGACCACGTCGCCTCGGGCGAGGCAGTCAAGGTGGTGCCGACGTTGGCGCACAGCTGCGCAATCGCCTGGTATACCTGATCTTTATCGTCGCTGCTGCACGACGAGCTGGCGAGGCCGGAGTTCAGCGTGGAGACGGTGTTCTCGCCACATAGGCAGCTGTAGGAGAAGGAGGAGCAGGTGTTGCGCGCGTTGCTGAGGGCGTCGCTGGCGCACGAGGGGAAGTTCGCAAAGCCGCCTGGGGCGCCGCCTGGTCCGCCCCAGCCTCCGCCGGAACCGCCCCAGCCTTGAGCTGCGGCGAGGGTGGTGCCTGCGAGAAGCGTTGCGGCGGTGGTGGACTTCATGTTGATGGTTGAAGTGGTGGTAGGGAAGGGGAGACTCGAGGGTGAAAGAGAGGGAGATGAGATTCGGCAGGAACGGACCTGAGGAATTCAATATTATATGTACTGTGTACAGACGTGAGAGGCTGAGTAGAAGGATGGGGCGGGTGCGCAAAGGTGGAATACGAGGGTCAAAAGGCAACGCGTCACCGCCGCCTATTCGCCGAACACGAGGGATTAGTGGGGATCGCAGGTGTCATTTGGCTCCCTTTCGCCGCCGGGACAACGAAAACGGCCAGGCTGACGGGCGGGCGAGAGATGAGATCCAGAAAAGAGGCTCCGCGGCCGGGCTATTTTTGGCGCTCGCCGCCTCCCAGCCATTCGGGAAAGGTGGGGTGGGGCCAGGGGCCTTCCTGTCCGGAAATGGCAGGCGCTTTTGGGGAGCCGGAACCTCATCTTGCCTTTTGCATCACGCGCTCACCGTTCCTGTGGTCATGCTGGGTGGAAGTCTGCAGAACAGCTCCACCCCGTACATCATACCGCCATGGCACACGCAATCCCGTGCTCCTCTTCCGAGCATCCTTCTCAGCCATCGGGATTTCATCGATGACAGATCTTCGAGGCCGTGTCTTGGCTGACGAGAACGACTCTTCCTCTGTTGGCCCCCGACTCGACGTCCGCCTGAACCCTGAACGATGCCGTTGCTAAGGCTTCCAATGCAGCGGCGGCTGGCAATATGCACGGCGTTTCACCCTGCTTTGCTAACTTTAGAGTGCTCAGCCTTGCAGCATGGTGGATCGGCAGGATGAATCGCTGCCTGCCGCTTTCGTCCGCCTCTATTCCGCACGTCAGCTCTGTGACTCGGCTTCAGCATTGCGGACAATGGAGTTGCGACAGGATCTCCGTCAGCGCTGAGCTGTGATACGCGCGGATTTACCTTGCCCAACCCAACCCGCCGGATACGCACATCGTGTTCCTGCGAGTAGCCATCGCGCCTCCGCCAGCTCACGCGATCCTGCATTCCCGCCATCCTTTAAACACAGCCCCTGAAACCGGGTGCTGTCGTTGTCGTCGTCAGCTCTCTCCGCCTTTCCGCCGACAGTTCTGTTCTCTTTGCTGCCATCCGAGATTCAGGCCTCCATCATTTACCTGAACAGTGGGTCACGCGGTGCTGAACACTCGTCCCTACCGCTGAAGCGTGATGGTCTCGTCATCCAGGCTGGAAATGGCATCCCGTCTGCAAATGCTCGCCGGCTCTCCGTTCCGACATGCTCTGCCATGCAATCAACCGTCCGGCCGCCAGAAGTGCCGTCCAGTAGTAGCCAACGGCCTGGCCAGCTGGGCACTTGCTCGTCACCGCTAAACTGGTTGTCCCGCAAGAGGAGAGAGCGTCTGGACACTCGCAGCTTGTGTTCAGTACCTTTCCTGCCTTTCTCCTCATTTCTTCGGTACTGTGTCGTCCCGCTTCCTCTTCTCTTCAATACTTCTTCGGCCTTCCTGCTGTCTCTTCAACGACATGTCATCCTGTACAAGAGCTCTCTCTTTTCTGTGCAATGAAGAAGGACAGCGCTCGTCTTGCTGGCAGACACTGGCACGTACGAGGCAAACATGGCAAGCTCCCAAGCGATTGCAGAGCCGGTATTCTTCTGCAGTATGCATGTTACGGCCTTTGTTCTCGCATGCTCTCCAAACAACACCACCCCGGGGAGGCATGCATCTGCCAGACGTGGAACCGTTTCGAAACCTGGCCTAGCCTCTCGCATCGAAGGCGCCACGATGCATGACTGCTATGATCTCTTGATGTGTGGCCATGAGATAGCCGCCTGGGTGCTGGGCTTGCGATGGTCCCGGTGCGCCAGATCGCGAGATGGTGAACGCGACGTTGCTGGCTCTCGTTAAGTCAGAAGAACCACTTCTTCTTGGATACGAGTATTCTATCGATGGCTCTTGCCGGATGCTCTAGCATTCGTTCGACCTCAACACAGTCAGCACCCTCCCACGGCGATCTCAAACCTTGCACCGTCACCACGCCGGACTCACGCTCGATCATTGCACTGCTCCGTCAAACAGGCCATGGAATTGCACCTTCACCTGTCCTGGAAAGGACCTCGAACGCGAAACGAGCACAATGCATTCACGCAGCTCGACTAGCCTTCCCGCGCCGTCGCGTCCTCGAATCAGAGACTGTCCTGCATGTGAATCCATCCTGAGACTTAAATTAAGTCTCGGGTAGCCTCCGAGTCTTGTTTTTTCTTTCCCACCACCGTCGAAATTCCGCCAACAACGTCCCACGACACCACCGAGACATACACTCCCACAACAAGACACATACAATCAAGAATACCATCATTCAGACACCATGCATTCTCCGACCAAGACAGTCATGGCCCGCGGGGGCTACGACACCACCGGAGGCTTCCAGGGGGTCAGTCGCTGTCTCACCCATCCCGAGACACATTAAGACCGCTCCGTCCGTGGACCCACGTACTGACCTCCAATAAAGGGCGCTCCTCCTGGCCAGCCTAAGCCGCAGCCCGCGGGTCCGAAGCCTCCGAAGAAATAGCAGGCGGCTCGCACCACACTCTCTCGAAGTGAGTCTGGCGCGCTTTCAAGACAACCACACCCCTAACACACAAACCTTCTCAGCACTCTCACTCTCTTCCTCTCGCAAGCACAACGATGAGACAAACACACACGGCTGGCGGGCTGCCACGTCGTGCATAGCGCGTTGGGCAGGCGCTGGGAGGGAGGATTTGCTTTCGCTAGGGTTGGAATCTCGCTTTGCTACAATTTGGGAGGTGTTTCTGGTGGGAAGATACCCCTTTCCTTCTTGTTTCTGGTCTACATAGTTGCGGGAAACAGTGTTCCGCTCCTTCTTTCTCCTTACTCAATTTGTCTCACACCATTTCTTGGCGCGGTTGCGCTTGCGGCGTTTCTTCGCGCGGCGGCTGTGGGCTGGTTTGCGTGGTCTTGGGGATGAATAAAGCAACGACGGCTACCACGCAACGCAGTGATGTGTTTCATTGATGGCAATATGAGGTGGAGATGTTTTGCCTGGCCAATAAACGCCGTTCTACCACCGCAGTGCTGTCATACAACGCGCTGAGCAGCTTGCGCGATCTCGGGGAAGGAGAAATGCTAGGAGCGTACGACACTGCACCGCAGTATGTCTCATCGTTGGCGATCCGAGGCAGAGATGGTTGAGATGGCCAGGAAACCTTGCTTGACGCACGTGGTGGTGAGATGGCAGGCGGCTGCTGGCTTGCATGGTCTCAAATAAGGCAAACATGCTTGCGGTAGTGAGCGCGCTCCCGCTGTCTCGGAGCTGGTGTTGTGATGACGGGGATGGTTTGCTCGGCCAGCAAAGCTCATTCTACGAAATCCCTGCTGACATGGGAGGCGACAGACGACTCATCCGCTCTTAGAAAGACACTACATAATGGCGGCAATAAAGGCGATTGCAAGCCCTCTCACTCCTCATATTGCAACGACACCATTGTATCAGCGCGGAGTATAATCGCATTCAAGCCGAAGCATGGCCACAAAAGGAAAGATTTGTAAGTTCTGCCCTCCACCACAGCACTGATGTGCAGTTTCGGAAGAGCAGGACAACGCGTTCGATCTTGGTGCCGGGTCAAGTCCCTCGAGACGGTGGATTTGAACTAAACGGAGCTCGCCGCTGAGAGATCAATTACGACACCATGGAGATTGGCCGTTCTTGCAGTATGTAAAGAAAAGGGAAAAGGAGAAGCCGAGTTGATGGATGTGCTGGTGGCGTGTTCTCCCTAGACGCATCATTTCGCGAAGCCGTTGTTGATGCTTTGAGAGAGAGCGTGGTGGGCGGCGTAATAAGGTGAGTCGGCAGAGGCTCATTCGCGGCAATCTCAGCTACTGACGAGGCAAGATGCATGTAGGCATGACCGTTAAAGCAGGCAGATCAACAATTACAGCGAGGAATGGCTTCAAGAGCGTTGTCATTGAGGGATCGATCGATCTACAAGGAAGCACCAACATTCATGCAGGAGAAAGAAAACGAATCGGCCTCACAGCGCAAACCTCACCCCAGCAACCCAACGCACCTCTCAGCTCGGACCACCCTCACGTGCCACCACCGCCAGAGCCCTTACATCATAGCGCACTTTCGTCAAACTTATTCTCCTTCTTCAGTTCTCTCACGTTGAAAACTATCCGAGTGCACAGGCGGCAAGCCAGATGGAGCCCACCGGGCCCATCATAGTGCGAGTACGCGCTGCCTTTCGCGACTACGCACGGCTGGGTGAGTGGCCTGGGGAGATCGGCTGCGCCGTGCTCCCCCTCACCTGAATTGTGAGAACCAGATCCCGGTGAGCGGCTGAGCGCGTTCTCCATCGCTCAGTCTGCCGTCGTGGACTCACATAGATTGAATGCAACTGTTGGGTAGTACACGGAGGGCAGTTGACGCTCGGGAGTGAAGGACCGTTCATACCCATTCTTGACGTGTTCCGGAGCTTTGAGCGAACATTTCTTTGTTGGTAGGTTGCTGTGTAGTGAGGTGTTATCGATACCTGACTGTTCACGACGGTAATGTGATCCAGCCGATGGCGAGTGCGACTGTTATTCATAAGCTGCATCACGAGCATAGAGCGAAGGAACACCGCAGAGGCACAGGCTTGAACCGCGACGGTGCAGACACAAAGCCTACACGCGCAGGTCAGGAGTTTGTATAACTTCCACCCATTCATTCCTGTGTCTTCCTCTTTCCCTTACTCACGAAGGCTCATCCCACACGTCCACGAGCCAGTTCACATCGACAGCACTCATCATCTTCCGCACTCCCTTCCACCCGTACTTCATCTCCTTCCACTTCACGCCCATCTCTTTCGCGCTTTGGACCATCTTGAAGACTCCCAAGACAGCTTCGGCCTTTGCACTTCGGTCGTGGAAGGTGGGAGCGGTGACTTTGCCTTCGTGGAAGAGCTTCAGCCAGTCGAGGAGGTTGGGCCTGCGAGGTGGAGGCGGTTGGTTAGCATTTGTCTCTTGATGGCGCGCCAACGGCAGTATGCCGACTTACCAGTCCGCAATAAGCTCCACATCGTAATCGATGACTCCGACGAATGGCTTGTCTTCGCGGGGTGCATCGGCGAGATACTTGATCGTGAACGCCACCATTTCCTTCTGCAAGGCGCTCATGCCGGGCACGCGGAAGCGGTCGACGCCGTTGACCAACGTTTCGAAGACTTTGGCAGGGATGAAGTGCAAAGCGCGAGAATCATAGGCGATGCGGGCATGCACCGAGTCGAACAGCGTGCCTTCTTGTGCACCGCCATCTGTACCCATCCAGCTTGAAGGAATCGCGTTGTCCTGCTCCACCTCTTCTTCCACTTCCTGCAACCGGACGCGCTCTTGCTTCTTCAACCATGGCAGCACAGCTTTGATGTCGAATTCGCGCACTTGCACGGTGAAGTCGTTTTGGTTGTAGAAGATTGGACGCGCTTCTTGGCGAATTGCATGGCAGACTTGCAGCAAGCTGGGCTCTTGGCTGAGTTCGGTATCTTGTGCGCAGACGAGGATTGGTTTGGAAGCAACGATAGCCAGACGGAAGATCTCTTTGCGGACGTTCGATGGAAGGTTCAGGAGGTTGGGAGAGGAAGATTGTTGGAGGCCGAGGTTGTGGACACGCTGGATGGAGGAGTCAGTAGATCTCCGTGGGTAGGTGGATGGAGGAAAGTGATGATACGTACGGACAATCCGGGGCGCTGCTTGCTGGAGTTCTCGGCTTGACGGAGGGTGAGGATTGTCCAGTCGTCGACTGGGATGGGAGTTGCCGTTGTCGTGGAGCAATTTGATGCCTCCCGCTTGAGCCGAAACCACTCCATCGTTGCTGAGGTTCACGCGCTCTGCCAAACGTCGTACTGCTACCAAACGATGAGGGTGCAAGGGATGTCTGGGTGTATTGGAAGCATAGCGACTTCACCCAAAGCCATCCTTCCAAAGGTGTTGTTCGCCCATATGTGAATGCGCGGCTTCACGAAATCCCATGTCTTCGATCTCGAATGGAAGCTCGACTCCAACGCGTTATACTCGAGGCTGTGAATGCGGATTTTGTCACTCACGCATCGCAGGGCATATTGTCGAGCGTTTAGAGAGGGAAGAGATGAGGTTGGAGCAAGGTTGAGGATAGCTCCATTCCCGCCCAATCAAGGTGGAGAATTCGGCTTGGCCGGAGTGGAGTAATCTTGCTGGGAAGCTGCAAATTCCCATCTCGGTCCATTCGATCTTCTGTCTCTTGTATCAGCGCACACAATAAAAGCGCAGACCCTTCTGCCTCGACTCGATGAGGTTTGTGGCACCGAAGATGGTTCGTCTGGACAGCAAACGCTGCTGTCGCCTGCGTGGCAGAGTCGCGGACGATGCTGGTCCTCACTTCGTCCCTTCCTCCCGACCGCCGTGATTTGCTGGCCATTCGCGCCCTTGTGCCTCTTGTCGAGTCCAGGAAGTGTCCGAGATAGCGTTCCGATCCTTCGGCACGATGACGGCCTGGGTCAATTCCAAATCCTTCGTTCCTCCGCTGGACCGGCATGCGTAGCTTGCCATCCCTTGCGGCGCGTGCGTCTTGTTCGCGTATTGCACATTCCTCCCGCCGTCCGAGTCAACCACTTTGCCCTTGGTGTTCTTGCCATGTCCTGCACGGACGCCTCGAGATCTTTGGTGACCTGCGTATAGAAGCGCCTGGCCGAAGAGCTCTCGAGTCGTGACCGCCTTCCCATCGAAGCACCGCCGTGTCGACGTGGTCGAAGTTCCTCGCCTTATTGATCACCACCTGCGCTGGGCTCATGAACTCCAGCGGTTGAACGCGCCGAATCTCCGGTTGACGAGGCCGAGTCGGCAACGATTGGGGGATGCGTGTCGCCTGGAGTCTGGTTCTGGTAATGCGACACGAAGGATTCGCCCTCAATCTCCGATCTGCTTTTTGCTCTGGATGTGCTTCGAGGATGAACACTTCTTCGCTCAGACCGCGTCGTCGCTCCACCCAATACTTGTCAGTCGTGCAGCTGAGTGGAAGCGTTCTGCCCGCATCTCCGGCGTGTCGTTGCGGTGAAGGTGTGCATGCTTCAAAGCGCGTTGTCGACTGTGGAGGAATCAATCTCGGTCGCGATCGAAGATCATGGACGGCGAGACGCGTCAAGCTGCTCTGAACTCGAAGTGAAGAGTCATCGCCGCGGCTGTTGGATGTCACCGACTTGGAGGGAGCCACGCAGGCCTTGAAGGTGGTTCGAGAGGCGTTGATGGCGCTGTTGTGAGACTTCGCGACTCGCTGGAGTGGATGAGTGCGCGTTCTTCAGCGGATTGCGACCGGCAAACCTGGTGCTATCAGATGTCGTGGCAAGGAGGAGGATGCGGAGCTCGTCAACGCGTACCTTGACATGAAAATTAGAAGGGGACACGGGCTCGCCTTCGCCCACGCTGCGCGTAGGACACGTTGGGAGTGAAAGTCGAGGATGCGTGCGAGAAGGACTGCAAGTCGCAACGCCAAACACGAAGCCAAGCGTTGAAGCCGCGCCCGCTGCCAATCCAACGCCCAGCGGAGACAGTTCGAACACGACCAAAAATGTCTGCTGCCATCCACCCGAGGCGGCAAAAATCGTTCAATCGGAGAAATGGATTGATGTGTAGGAGCAAGAGATTGTCAGGAGGCTTTTGGGCAATAATTGATCCGGCACGAATTGATATCGTCGATCGAACGTTCCAAGCGCTTCCCTCACCTCCTCCTGGCTGACGACGATGGTCATTAAATCCCTTCACCTCCACCCAACGCCGCCCTCAACGATGCAAAACGCGAGGGGATCCTCGAGCTAGGACTCCAAGCCCGCAGGACGAGCCATCAAAGAGCGAAAAAAAGAGGGCCCGAAGGCATTTTGCTCGGTCTCCCTGGGGCTGACCGCTAAGGGCATGGCACAAACCAGTGTCGATCTGAGACTCAGCGGCGGGGCTCGAACCCGCAACTTACCATCACCACCCGCACCACCACACGCTTAAGAAAGTTTGTACATACCTCGTTGCTCAACACCTTTATCGGACCACCACAACTGTGCATCCGGAACTTGCTGAACAACACGCGCGGGAAATTCAATATGTGTCCCCTTTTACCACCGGCTGCCGCTCATTATTTGCCGCGCCATTCGCACCATTTGGTCGCCCGCGCGGTGCACAATTGCCGCGCCGCGGATGTTCATTCGCACTCGCGATATGGAGGCGGAACATTCAACTACAACAACCACGCGAGGGTAACTTGGTCAATTGAGGAAGTGAATCGATATCTATCTTGACGATCTGCACTCTCTTCCGTGCAATTCAGTCACCTGGTGCGAAATGGTCACGTTCTTCCCGCCTTGTGTTGATTGCACGCGCGTAGCGGTGCGGAAGTTCATTCTCCTCCGCCCCTTCATTGCAGCTGCAAGGCCTCTGCTTCACTCGCCGAGACCACCTGCCCGAGTGAAGGAGTTCCATCCACTTGACTGCCTGAGCCATCCTCATTGCGTCCCTCGGTTGGAAGTTGATTGCACGAGCGAGACGGCGCCGGAAGTTCACTTCGGCACAGCAACTTCGCAAAGTCAGGGGTAATGGACTCTTCACGACGAATGGTGATTACTTGCACGACTGAACGAGATTTCTTGAAGCTCCCTGCTCTCATCATTCCCACCGCGTTGCCTGCTTGAACGATGACTGCACGAGCGAGGCGGCGCGGAAGTTCAGGGCGCAAGACAGCGGCTGGAGCCTCCAAAGGTCATGCGTTCCAGAGCGTTCGATGACCATTCGTACTGATCTGATCCATGCACGACTGCCTGGAGAAACACTGCTCCCTTCACACCCCGAAGCATCTCCGCCGCGTCTCTTGTGTGGGTACCGCTTGCACGAGCAACGCAGCGCGAAAGTCGATTTGGCGACGCGATTTCGTCCCTGGAGCTTCACAGTGTCACCCGTTCCAACACTGCAGAATCAACCATGGTGTTGTCCTTCTTGATCGGTGCCTCCTGCCCCATTTCCTCCATCGCCTGAACCATCTTCGCCGTGCTCTTCGCGTGGGCGTTGATCGAATGAGCGGAGGAGGGCTTCGGAAGTTGCTTTGGCGCGTTGCGATTTTACGACCGAGCTTCCATAAGTCAGGGACGGCAAGCCAGATGTGGTGGTGAATCAACTCACTTGAAGGAGCGTGACTGTATCATTCTTGGGTCGGACGTTGATATGCGCGAGGGACGAGAAGCGACGAGCTACGGAAGTCCGTCTGGCGCGCCGCAACTTTGCGACCGAGCTTCACCAATTCAGAGGCTTCAAGCAAGTTGCTTCTGGCGCGGCGATGACTGTCTACGTGCCTTGAACGATATGTCCTGCTCTTCCCTGCTTCGAAGACCCCCGTCGCGTCCATCGATCGATGCTGGCCATGCGGATGGCGCGCCACGGGATATCATTCGGATGTTGTGCATGCTGCTCCAGAGCGGCGCTTGCGGGCGACTTGCTTGCCGTGGACTCCAAGGCTGCAATCACTTGTTCAGTCTCGCGTTGCTGCATGGTCGTATCAAGTGCAAGGTTGAATGAACTTACTGGTCGCGTCGTCCTTCGCTCCCGTGTCCCTTGAACAACATGTCTGCGAATGAATGAGTTGGTGATGGTGGTGTTGGCAGAGGGGACTTGGCGCAAAAAGGGGGAAAGCGGGCCGTCAGCTTCAACGCCGGCCACGACTTTGCGCGCCCTTCACGTCAGGACTCCGGTTCGAATGGAGAAGCTGGTCAATGCGATCGATACATCCCCTCACCATGCAATGCCTTTCACCATGGCAAAAAGGTTACCGCCATCGAGGGCAAAAAAAAGGCCCGAAGGCATTTGCCCGGTGCCATCCAGCGACTTCCACTACCGGCATAGTACGCTGTTGGCGATTTGAAATGGCACACAGGCGTGACTCGAACGAGCCACCTTTGTGAAAGTGCAGGTGCAGGTGCAGGGGGTGTGTTACGAAAGAGAATTCAAACATACCTTGTGTTCACTTTGGTTCTGGCTGGCGACTGGACCGCAACTTATCAAATATAACACTACCATTCTCGCTTGCCGAAGTTCACGCGGACTCAATGAGGATCATAGCAGCGGCAAAAAACAAGAGCGCGACGGCATTGGCCAGCTACCATCAACGACGGACTCAATGATCAAAGCAGCGCAAGAAAAAAGAGGCCCGAAGGCATTTGCCAGCTGCTATCAGCGACTACCGCAAAGGGCATGGTACATTGTTGTCGAGCGGTATGGCAGACAAGCGTGACTCGAACGAGCCACCAATGTGCAGGGGCAAGGGGAAGTGTGTGTTACGAAAGAGAAGTTAAACATACCTCGTCGTCGCTCTTCATTTGGCTGACAGCTGGCCCCCAAAAAATCCCATATAACACCACCCTTTGCGCTTGCCGGAGTTCACGCGGATGACTGGCTTGAGCATCGCTTGGTGTTGAGATTGCGGCGCTTCACATCATGTTTCACCGAAGATTCATTGATGCACGCTCGCTAAATGAGGTCTGATGGCTGTGAGAGTGTTCATTTGACAATTGGGACGAGCAACGACTACTGGTTCATTCACATTCACCTTACTCTGCACGTGTTGGAGGCCGAGGAGGCTGCTCTCAATTGCTGTTGCGCTGACTTCACCGCCTTTCCCGAACTCTGAAAATTCTGGTTGAGACTCAAGGGCCCTTGCCACGATTCACAGCCACTTTACGATCGTTGGAAGCAGTTACACCACTTTGCAACGCGTCGACGAACCCTCCATCGTCGCCGAACACTTCACCCGTCACATTTGAAAGAGCTACAGTCGCTGAAGGAAAGCCTCACTGCGCAAGAGATGACTACAGAAGACGTCTAGCAAGAAGAAGATGGCGACGAGAGCATAACTTCAACGAAGAGGGTAGATACTGGAGGCACAATGAAGAGGGCCGAAGAAAGAGTAAGGGACGATAAGTAGTCGAACACATTGATATTCTTGACAACAGCCTGACTCAGCTGGTATACATTACATTGATCGTAATCTATTTATCCCAATCCCCCATCTCAACCCATTCTTGAATCGGGGAGAAGAAACGCCGCCCAACGCCACCCAACCAATCTATCCCTCCCAAAATCCACCCTCCCGAATCATCAACCCGAGCCCGGCCCTCCAAGGATAACAGTCATACTCGACGGGTCCGCCGCGGCCACAAAGCCCGCCACATCATCGCCTTCGCTGGGCGTGACGTCGTCGTAGGGGAAGGCGTAGCCCTTGCCGTCAATCTCCACTTCGTGCACCATCGCGCTGTACTCGTTGTTGGGCTGCACGGTGTAGTATGAGGAGGGAGGGAGGTTGGGTTGGTAGTTGCCTCCGGGGAGGAGGAAGGTGGCGCGGTTGAAGGCCTGCGTTGTCGCTGCTGTTAGCACGGGCGTTGGAGGGAAGAGGGGAATGGGCGGGTGAGCAACTTACGGCGCATAGTCTCGGCACGACTGCGAGATGGATATCGTTGTCGCCACTTAGAATCTCGAACGGCCCGGAGGCGCAACTAAAAATGTCAGCAGCAGTCGGTTGTGCATACCCTCTATTGTCTCCTTCGCAAGTCAGCTCGCCGCCTTGCACGGTGCAAGAGACGTTGCCGTTGGAGTTTTGCGTGTTAAAGTACAGCGTGTTGGTGCTGTAGTAGCTCCAGACAGAATTGGAGTAGGCGGTGAACAGATCCTCGAATGCGTCGGGGTTGGAAGGGAGCAAGCTGCCGGGCGAGTTAACGCGGATTAGATTCCCGCTGGAGTCGTTGATGCACAACTGATCCCACGGTTGTCCGTCGCTGGCGGCCTGCGCTTGGAGCTTGCTGCACACTTCCTGCACGCCATTGGCTGGGAGGCCTGGAGCGGACTGCACTGGCCCTGAAACGGGCGTCATGGAGAGTCCGAGCGGCAAGCCCACGAAGTCAACATAGGAAATGTCTGCCCAGAGGCCGTCGGAGGTGTACGTCAGTTCCACGAAGCCCCAGTTCACATCGTGGCTTGGATCGGTCGGGTTGACAGATGTGGGAGCGACGAGGCCCGCGCCGTCGGCGGTGGCGACGACGGAGAAGTTGAGGTAGCCTACTGCAAACCAGATGCGGCAGCTGGAAATGTAGCCTGGGATTGTTAGCTCGCTCGGTAATGGAATGGCAAAGTCGGCGTTGGAAAGGGTTTGGGGGGAAGAGGAGGACGTGGTTAGAACTTCAAGTTGCAACGCGGTGTTCATCATAATTACCTGACCGGCATCGTCGAGGCCGGTGATGTACACGTGTACATCGTCGCTGTTGAGGTTGTTGGTGAATTTAACGGGGAGAGTTCCAGCTGAGGGAGGCACGGCGGTTTGGGTTGGCGCTGCAGGTCCAGAGGTGGTGAAGATGGAGGTCACGATGGTGGTGGTGAGGATGGTGGACACGCTTCCGGATGCAGAGCTCACCGGGGTGTTGGGCACCGAGGCAGAGCTGATGGGGATGGTAGGCACTCTGCTGCCCCAGGTATTTGACTCTGTGGGGATATCGGTGGTCGAGGTTGGTGGGTCCGAGGAGGCTGCGCTGTCCATCGACGTGGAGGCATCCGAGGTCGTTGCGCTGGCCGTGGCCGTAGACAGCACGCTGGTCACGAAGGTCGTGCGGGTGACAGGGACCGACGTGTTGTGGAAGGGTGGAAGCGTGCTGTAGGTCGACGTCGCGGCAATATTGGAGGAAGTTGCGCCAACGGCGACAGAGCTGGAATCACCATGTTTCCGGGTGGAGAGCGTCTGGGCTGAGTGAGTTCGGGAGGACTTGGACTTGTGCGAATGAGTGTGTGTCGCTGCGGGCTGAGATGATCCGGATCCAGTTGGTACAACCACAGTGATGACGGTCTTGAGAGTAGCAGTCGTCACCCAGGTTCTCTGCGGGCCCCATTTGCCAGTGATGGTGGGATACAGGGTGTATGGGCCAGGGAAGTTGTGTTGCTGTACGAAGAGTCCTCGGCCGGGGAATTGCCGCTTCTCAACGGCCTTTTGGAAAGCGAAGGGATGGCTCGAGGCCGTCCCGAAGAGCAGGCATGCTGCGAGGAGAGTGAAACGAAGTATGAATGATGTTGAAGCCATGATTCTGGACGATAGGTGACGGAGGATTGTGAAGTGGGCGTTCACCTTTCTATTTTATACGGATGAGTCGCCGCGGCGGTTGTGATAACAGTCGTCGGGCAACCGTCGGAGAATATCCAGAGAATGGAGTGAACATCTACGCAAGCGAGCCAGCCGTTGGCAGGGTGGGAGGAAGTCTGGGCATGGCGAGCGAGATCTGCTCTGCTCAGCAGGAATGGTGTCAAGACAACGAAGGAGCACATGTTAGTGGGACTTTACGATGAGATCGATGAATTCAATTGATGAAGCATTGAGCAAGAAAGTAGAGAAGAGGTGTTGTTGTCGCCCTCGCTTGAGAATGTTCGCTTATGTGATGCGCGGGCGGGCCGCACGCCGCTTTCCCTTTTCGGCCATGGCTGCCGCCACAGCCTTACGCACGCGAAATCCTTCCGATGCGTCGCTCCTCAGGCGTTGCCGTGTTGACATTCGAACCATCCATGCCGCTTTTCTCTCTCGTACTGCCGGCATCGTTTATGACAGCACAAGAAACGCTCTGGTTGGCGCCGAGATACGAGTGATAACGCGAGAGCGCTGCCATGTCGCCAATCTCTCGGCGCACGGCTAGAACATGACTTTGGACTTGGAGTGGTGGATTGGACACAGGAATGTAAACATGAGCGCCCAAGAAGCACCGAGATGTCATAGCGAAGGTACTCAGTCCGTATTTCGCGCCCCTGATTACCCAATTCCAAATCATCCCAAAAGCGTCCACGACTTCCAAACTCCTTCTTATCCAATGATCAAAACGAGCTGTGCGACCGCCGCCAGCATGAGGCACATGGGAATGCCCACACTGGACCCAGCACCAGTCATTCCAGTGCCACCGGTCCTGCCACTGCCACTGCCACTGCCACTTCCACTGCCACTGCCGGAGCCAGAGCCAGAGCCCGAGGTGGAACCTGTAGCAGCGGGGTTAGCCGCTCCACTACTAGCCAAGGCAGTGCCACTGGACGGGCAGGGACTCGTCCAAGTGACAGTAGAATTGGCCCCACTGGCAGTCGCAGTTGCGGAGGCGCCTGAAGTGCCCATTGGCATTCCCATTCCTGTCGAGCTGGCTCCTGCGCCGCTCGTTGCGCTGACGACCTTGGGCTCCACGAATGCTTCGTAGGTACTGCAGTTGGATGGCGAGGCCTCGGGACAATCGGGCTGTAGGAGGAAGAAATATGTCAGCGGGTTCGCTCAAGTCATTAAGTCAAAGGTCGAGTACTCACGTCCGTGCAAATTGCCTGCAACTGCGCCGGCGCTCCCGGCAAGATGTCCACGGCCGGCGCACACCTCATGCCAAACAAGCTCTGCAGCGTCTTGCCGACATACTGCACGTCCGCAGCAGCCACGCCGAAACTCGCGGCCGACAGGCCGACTTGCTCAATGAAGTAGCCCACCTCGTCGGCGTTGAGAGCCATGAACTTGTGCACTTCGTACATGGAGGTGACGCCGCCGTACGAGGGGAAGCCCTTGGTGCCGACGGCGGAGCAGCCCAGCAAGTCGCCGAAGAATTCGTAGAGGTGGGTGAGGAGGCCGCTGGACACGGTTAGAGGGGCTTGGACGAGGAGGCAGGAGTGGGTACGTACTACTGGTTGGAGGTAACGTTATTGGCAGGCATGTTCATCTTCAACGGGGCGGCGCCGCCTCCGTCGAGGAAATTGGTGGAGCCGGGGGTGGCATCTCCGTTGTTGGTGGAGTACAGGGAGCCGTCGAAGAACTGGAGCAGGTTGACCTTTGCGTTGTTGAAGGTGGCATCTGCGGCGAGGATGCCGGGCACGTAGCTCTTGCTGGCGCTGCTGTAGTTGCCGATGACGGCCGTGTTGACGACCAGGGTCATGAGGGTGTGCTGCGTGGTAGCATTGCTGGCGCCGAGAAGCAGAGTGCTGTAGTGCTCGCAAAGGGTGGCGTTGGCGGCGCGTTTGGCCGCAGACGCAAAACCCGAGGCGAGCAGGGTTAGAAGGATTGGTTGGAGCATGGTTGCTGGAAAGAAGCTGTTGGAGGGATTGTGAGGAGAGGGAAAGGATGAGGATGAGCGCTGTCCCGGGAGTTGTCAAGGGATGGACATGTATATGTATGGGGCGGCTGGACACATTCCTCTACACATCGCGTTGATGTGGCGAATTTCGCCAGCATTCTGCAGGCACCCAACAATCCCAGCAAGGGAAACAAATCATCGGATCAGCTCCTGGGAGAGCGTCCACTTGGTTGAAAGAAGAGTGCCGGAAATATACAATCTGTACATCTGTCTACCGTCAGCAAGATTGTACCAAAGATCTGGCATTCAATTGCCGTCCCCAGAAGTGTCTAAACCACATCTTCGATCTTCTTCCCCGCCTCTTCGGGGTTCATCTTGAAGACAATCTTCTGCACTTTTCTCGCCTCAAAGTCCTTGTATGCTTGAGGCGCATCCTCCAACGACATGGTCTTGCCGCAAAGGAAGGCAACCTTCTTTTGCTCCTGCACGAGCAGCTTGAGCGCATCCTCGAAGATGGAGCGAACGGGGCAGCGGCCAAAGGCCATGCTGACGTTCTTTCCGTAGAGGAGAAGCCCATTGACCTCCCATTTCTCGGTGCTGGACAGCGCTTGTTAGCTTGTGGAGGAAGAGGATGGGGATTAGCACGACGTACTGCACTCCAATACTGCTGATAGCGCCCCATGGGCGGATCATGTCAAAGGCCAGATTCCACGCGTCCGCATGGCCGACACACTCGATGATCACGTCGGCACCGCGGCCTCCAGACGCCTCCTTGACCTTGGGGACGGGGTCGTCGTTAAGGTTGATCGTCTTGGCACCCAATCTCTTCGCCTCTTCCAAACGATCCGGCACGGAGTCGATGGCGATGACGTGATCGACCATGGTCAAGGCACAGGTGATGGCGCAAAGACCTACGGGTCCACAGCCAATGACGGCGACGGTGTACTCCTTCCGGTCGCGGTCATTGAGGTTCTTCAGGTAGCGAGAGGCGGCGAAGTAGCCGGTGGGGAAGATGTCGGCCATGAGGACCAACATCTCCTCGGGAATGTCCTTGGGGGCGATGACAAAGGTGGTGTCGGCCAATGGGCACCGCACGTACTCGGCCTGGCCACCGTCAATGGTGTTGGCGGGGGCGCTGTTGCCGAACAGCTCGCCCTTGCTGCAGCGACTGGCCTGTCCGCGCACGCAGAAGAAGCAGTCTCCGCAGGCGGTATAAAAGGGCACGACGACCTTGTCGCCGAGGTTGAACTTCTTCACATCATCGCCCTTGGCCACAATCTCACCGACGAACTCGTGGCCGCAGATGAAGTTGGGCGGGCACTTGAGATGGCCGCGGTAGAAGTGCAGGTCGGAGCCGCAGAGGGCGGTGGAGGTGACGCGGAGGATGGCATCGGTGGGCTTCTGGATCTTGGGCACGGGGCGGTCCTCGACAGCAACCTAGAAGAGGGGATTGAGTGGGAGCATGGCTGCGAATGGCGGGGCAGCACGAACTTGGTATTCACCCTTGAACACAACGGCTCGCATCTTCTCCGGGAGGTTGGGGGCCATGGCGAATGGGATGGTAGATATGCTGGAACGGAAGGTAGACCTTGATGGATAGAGAGAGATGGGAGCTGCAGAGATGCATCCAAAATTCCTTGACTTACCGGCACCGAGAGCTAACGACAAGGTCGCCGGACTCGGCTGCTTGCTTGGATGCGGGGTCGTGTGTCCCGCATGATGATGAGCGTGAGAGCAGTAAAAGGTGGATCCGACGAGTCGTCAAGCCTCGGCGAAGTCGGCGGCTTCCATCCGGATACGGAATCAAACCGCGCAGCGACATCACCTCTCCGTCGTAGCTACATCATGGCTGTCTGCTGCCTGCATCTTCTGGTCTTGGTCAGCCCGAGTTTATTCGGACTTCATCCCTCCCGAGTCGAGGAAGATGTGCTCGTCAGTTATCCATTCGAAGGGGCAGAGGAATGCTAGCCACGCCATTCCTCATCCACCCCTTTCCAATCTGCCGTTCTCCACGTAGATCCCACCTCACCCTCACCTCTCTACACGACAAAAACAGGCGCGGTGTCACGGGTGGAAAAGTACGGAGGAGCGATGGACTGAGTATGCTTCGCTGAGTACGCTTCGTCTACGTGCTGTAATGCGCACCGCGTTTCTTCTCTCCATCCTCAGCTGGTCTTGCTCATGCGCTCACCGTGTTCTCAGGCGCTGCACCCCCCTGATCATCCATGGATGTCTTCGCTCGCTGCCCGTTCTGTACCATCTGCCGCTCCCACTCCGATACACGCTGCACTCGGGCTGTTGACGTGCCCATGCTGCCCCCGGCTTCCTCGTCACGCTCCTAGTGCTGTCGCATGCCCTCTTCGTGGTAAGGCTCGGCCTGCTCAACCTCTCGATTGCGCTGCTCCGCATCCCGCTTGCGCTTCTCCGCCTCCTCCTCGTAGCGCCTCTCCGCCTCCTCCTGCATCAACTCGCACTTCTTGGCCCGCTGCTCACTCGCGTGACAGCGCGTGCAAAACGTCCATCCGGCTCGGGGCTCGTCTTTGACCTCGTAAAACAGGCACTCCGAGCACGCAGGACGAACAGGCATGTGGTCGGTGAGGGCCTCGAAAGACGGGCACATGACGCCATCATCTAACCATGTGGCTTTACTGTTCATGGCCAGGTTGGAGCATCCGGTGTTGACGACATTGGCGCACGGCTTGATGGAGCGGCGCCGTGTGCACATTCTCGCTGTTGATGCGCCTGTGGTCCGCACGTTAGCAAGACGCGACGCTCACTACATTGCGCTGTCACTAACCGGCACGCCAAGGTGATGAAAGATGTTGAGAGGATGTTGTGGGTGTCCGGAGAGGCTGCTTGGTTGAAGATGATGGATGAAAATGGTCGGCGGCTGAAGAGGTCTCGCACGTCTGAAGAGAGTACACGTCTGGAGAAGACGTGTGTTGAAGAGCCTGCGTGTTGAGAAGGCCGCGTGGTTGAAAAGAGCAGGTTGTTGGGGACGTTGTGTTTCGATGAAGTGAAGAGGACGGAAGGAGTGAGGATCAAGAGACGTGAATGGCCGAATCTACGAACCTCCGTCTAGCGCCGAAGGTCAATGCTCCAGCATACCCTCAGGCCGCATTGACTGCCGTGAATGCAGTGCTCCCGCCCACGACCTTCTCGCCCACGATCGCACCCTGTCCAGGCCCCTCACGATCACCGCCCTTCCGCTCTCGACCGTCACACGTCACCCTCGCCTTCCGCAACACCTTGTAGCACGGCGCACACTTCGTGTTCCCTACCCTCTCGGTATAGTAGACTCTATACGATGGGCATTGTTCGCAGGGACGACGCATGGGTTGGTCGAAGGCGGTGTAGATGCCCCACCAAATGCATCGGTCTGGCCCGTCGACGTTTTCCACCAGTGTGCCCGCCGAGATGCGGCCGCAGCGCTTGTTGCCGTCGATGACGTTCTGGCAGCGCATCACCGATCGGATCTGATAACACATTGTCGCCGTTTGCACGCCTGTGGTGGTTAGCAACGTGCCTCGCGGTTGCATGCTGTTGCCACTTACCGTAGCGTCAGGTTTGGTGGTGTCGTTGATGTTTGACGATGTTGGGGGGGTTTGACCGAACCCCGGGTGTTGATCTGGGATCAAGTGAGGAGCGTTGAAAGAGAGACTGTTTTGCGACGTGTGGAGAAGTCTACGAGGCTGCTACTAGCGTGGATCTTGGATGTTCCAGCATGCACAACACTCAAGCTGCAGCGGCTGCGGTGCTTGTGCCCTCGCCCGCACTCATTCCCGACCCTGAACCATCACCCTCCTCACGATCCTTGCTCTCCTTCTTCCGCACTCCCGCCTTTCCCTTCTTCTTGGCCGCTTGGAACACGTGCATAACACTCAAGCTGCACCAGCGCTGCTCGAGCCCTGATCACCGTAACCTGCGTCCGATAGAGCTTGGCTGAGCCTCTTATTTTTCTTGCGCTCGATCTCCTCCTTCTTCGCCTTCCAGACGCAGCTATTGCATCTGGTATGCCAACCACTCCTCTCAACTTCGCGGACCTCATAGTCCGGGCAGCCCGTTTCTGAGAGAACAGTTCCGAGAACATCAAGGTTCCACTTCCTCTTGCTCACCCAGGCGGGGCACATTTGCAACTCCTCGAGCTGGCGCCTAGGCTGACTTGCCTTGTTTGTGCATCGTCTGCCGTCCTCGAGGATTTCTTGGCAGAACAGAAATGACTCGTTCTGAACGCACATCGTTGCTGTCTACGGGTAGGCATGGTCAGAATTGTGGTGTCTTGACGCGCTGCTGCCACTCACTGATATGTCCGGTTGCTACTTTTGGATGGTGTTGTTGGTTGGAGATGATGGAGTGTCGGAGTTGCGCCTAGGGCCGGCGTGTTGGCAACACGAGACACGGCTTCCCTGGACAATGCTTGCACTCACCGACGCGCTCGGCTTGACGAAAGCCTGTGCAGTTGATGCTGTCGTTGATGGAGGTGGTGAGAGCTGATGTGGGTGATCTTGGTTGATCAAGTGGAGAGGATTGAAGTTGTAGAGAGGGCGGGATCTTGATTGCTCAAGAAAAGAGGACCAGAGGTGACAAGGAGACGCCGCGCATGGACAAATCTACGAGACTCTACCCACTAGCGTGCAAAGCGAGTGATCCAGGCGGTGAATTTTGGTGGTGAATGCATCTGCGTCGTCGCCACGGCAGTTGCGTCTGTGCAGGATGGTGTAACGGGTCAAACGGAAACCAATGCGGCTTCGATGCGATCGGCACGCTACTTGGACATCTGGCCGGCGAGGGCAAGGCTGCACAACGTGTGTAGCAGCATATCCATTGCCCAACTCAGCTGGCATTCGAATCTTGAGACTTTCTGGCAGAGCTCTCCGGATCGGTCGAGGCATGACAAAAAGGCCAACGCGAGATTTCTCCCCAGATTGAGCTAAGATCACTTCCGGCCAATGTGCGTGCCTGTTCACGGCCATTGCAAGCATCCGAGGGAACACCTTTGTCCTGAGGACAATATCAAGTCTGGCAGAGTTGGCACTTTCTTTGTTTCTCAAGTCTTCTCCCAGACTCTCCTCGCTTCCTACTTCTTTGTTCACCTTGAGCCTTTGTATTCCACGGGACCCATATCTGGACTCGGCCACCTGCAGCGCACTCGAATTGTCTAGCAACCCCAGATCTTACCAGCGAAATCTCACATTCACCAACGTCTTACACTCCTAGTAGCTTCTACCCACGCGTTCTCCCCATCAAAATGAAGCCCTTCACCACCATCCTCCTCCTCACCCTCGGGGCAGCCACCAGCACCACAGCCAACCCGGCCTCCCGCTGCGCCGCGAAGAACGGCGCAATCCAAGACGCCATCGATCTATTTTGCACCAATACACACATCATGGTGCCGTCGCAATGGGCGCACGACGGCCTGCAGTTCGGCAACGCGCACGTCTCCATTCGCGGGCACTGCAGCCCGGCGCAGTGGGTGCCGCAGCAGTACTGCGTTTCGCAGTTTCAGCACCTTTGCGCGGGCACGTATGGGGGGTTTGGGTTCGCGCATTATGGCGAGGGCGGGTGTCAGGAGTTCCGCATTGTCGAAGCGTGATGTGGAGGATGGTATTGTTCCTCTTGATCAATGAGGGGACCCTGTACGTTTTGATAGACTGAGTCTTATTCATCTTCTTCGCTACCGCTGCAAATCACTCTCAAGATGTAGAATGATGGGCACTTATTGCGCTGTATATCCTCCATCAACCACCACTCCATGTCCCGTCACCCATCTTGCGTCCTCGCTGGCGAGAAAGACTGCAACCGGCGCAATGTCGCTGGGCGACCCAAGTCCACGGAGAGGATGCAAGCTCGTGGCGTGAGCCTTGAGGTTTTCATCCTGGAGGATGCCAGCCGTGAAAGCGGATTCGACCCCTGCAATGCAAGTCAGTAGGTCGTATGGCAGAGGTTCGAGGCCTTCCTTGAGATTGGCTAAACTCACAGCCGGGGCAAATGGCGTTCACGTGGACTCCGTACGGTGCGCAATCCAGTGCTGCGGTCTTTGTCATGCCCATGACGCAGTGTTTGGAAGCGACGTACGAAACTGAATCTGTCAGCCGAGGCTCTTCATGGCAATGAGACTGGGGAACGGCGACCTACATGCAGTAGGGAATGCCACCTTTCCGAAAATCGAAGCCAAGTTTACCACCCAGCCCCGATCGCCATTGGGATACGGATCTTGCTTGACCATCTGCGCAGTAGCCGTTCTGATGCCGTAGAAGACGCCGGTGGTGTTGACGGCCATTGTCTTCTCCCACTGGTCCATCGTTACGCCCCACACCGGCTGTGGATTGCCGTCGTCGTGGACGATGCCTGCGTTGTTGACGTATCTAAAAGGCCATCAGCATCCACATTACTCGATCCAAAGCAAGCAGAAAGGGATCGAGAGTGAGCTGTACATGTCGAGTCGTCCAAACTTGGCCACCGTGTCTCGCACAACCTGCTCCACATTCTCGAGTTTCGTCACGTCGAGTTTCATAAACTCCGCTTCACCGCCTTGCTTGCGGATCAGCTCATGCGTTGGAGCGTCCGCTTCATCGGGTGCTCGAGAGCTGTCGCGGATGTCTGCGACGACTACTTTGGCGCCTTCTTTGGCGTATGCAAGGCTGATGGCTCGGCCGATGGAGCTGGAGCCACCGGTGACTATGGCGACTTTGCCGCGTAATCGACCTGAGCCGGTGGGAGGAGTGGGAGCGGACATTGTGTCGGCAAGGGAGGAAGTGATATGAGTATTGGGAATGGGTAAAGACTGGATACCTTATAGACAGTGGATGACTGGAGTCTTGGGTAAGCACGGAAGAACGTTGGATTGGAGGAGGGAGGAGCGCAGCGACCTCGGCCCCGCAGATCTCGAATTCAGCCTGATGTTCGATTCCAACTACACGTCTTGCTGCTGGAGGATTTCTACCACTGTCACAGCGTAGCACCTCTGCCGTTCTCTCCCCCCAAAACACTTGTAACCTTCTGGCGTTCCCTGCTATGCTTCACCTCCCGACTCATCCTTGGCTTTGATGCCTGCGCCGCTGGACCGCTTCCGCTGCTTGAGATCCCAGCCACCATCGTCCTTGGGAGGTTTCCAGCCAGCAGGAATGAACACCACGCAGGCGCCGTTTCTACCGATGAACATGCGTCCCTCGCTAGCCAGAACCCCATCCTCCTTGTTTTCGTCGTCACCGGCATCACCCTGAGGCCCATCGTGGAGCTGGCGAACGTCATTCGTGGAAGCGAAGCGCACAGTCTTGTCGGCGGCGGCTTGCTTCTTCCCTTTCTTCTTGATGGAGCCTGGAGACTCCGCTTCCTCCTCAACTTCATTCCCCTCGGTATCGATCATGACTGGGGGAGTCGGCGATCTCGGCCGCTCCACCATCACGAACGACTCGTTCCACGGCGCCCTCGGGTTGCGCGTGCTCTGCCACTGCTGTCAGCGAGGGTGCTCCTTTGTAGCGACTGAAGATCGGGTGTGACGCACCTTCAGCATCTTGCCAGATGGACGCTCAGTGGGGAACGTCGCCTCCTCCTTGTAGTCGGTGAAGGACGTGGATGCTGCGGTGGGGTTGAAGGACTTGCTGTGCGCATCGGTGGTTTCAGGCTTGTTTTGCGCCATTTTGCGCTGATGTTGATGATGTTTTCGTGATGGTGGGTGGAAGGAGAAGTTTTGGCGAGGGCGAAAGTGTTGTCGTTGGCGTGCCTTCCTTCAATAGCAGAAGCGGTTGGTCCCGTGAGTTGACTGCAGCGTTTGTTCTGACGCGTTGCACAGACGCGCATATTGAGCCCTTCAAACCTTCTTCAACTTTCCACGCTCTCTAGACAACTCTCCTCGCTTGCACGCAGCGCTTTCAGCAACTGTCATCGTTCAGACTTACCACCACAACAGCTTCAACTACTCCACAGCAGCTAGGCCTCTCCAGCCTCTCTTCAGCAGCAGCAACACGCGGTCTTAGCCCCAATGGCATCCACCATCATCGTCGCGCGCCAACCGCAGGTTCAGGCGCTCTCAGTATTCAGGATCGGGGAGCTCTGCGACCTCGTCGTGGATCAGCTGAGGGCATTGGATGTTCTTCGCGTGTCCCGAGTGTCAAAAGAACTTGCTGTGATCATCCAGGGGTCGAAGAGCGCCCAGAAGAAGCTGTTCTTGTTGGCAGATCACAAGGGCGATATCAACGCACCGACAGTCAACACCAAGCTCTTCCACGCCATCCGCGGAAAGTTCATCACGCGCATCCCTGGCGTATCACCTCTGCATGAGCCTCGTCAGCGCACGCTCGGGATTGGAGACAAGGAGAAGCTCTGCGCGTTTCCATACTCGAGCATGACGTGCTTGAGCTTCCGCCTCACCAGCCCCGTCGACAAGAGCAGCTCGTGCAGCGACATGTTCCTGACCCAACCGCCTGTGACCACAGCAACACTGAGCATTTGCACGGCGCGCCGCGACGAGCCTGGCAGCGGGAGATGGGGGGAGAAAATTCTGAAGGACGTCGGTGGCATCAAGTTCAAGCACGTGGCCGCCGCCATTGCTGAACACCGAGCCACGCTGAAAGATGAGGAGTACTTGGACCCGGTGATGACCCATGTGGAGCTCTATCACCTTCCTTACGACCCGGACTGCTTCAAGTATCTGGGACTGAGCTCAGCTAGGGCCGTGAAGAGGATGATGGGACGAAGACGTGAGGCGTGAGAGCATGGGAACGTCATGATGGGGGAAAGAATCAGGGGTTCCTGGTGGAGCATGAAGATCGAGAGCGTCAACGTGATATGGAAGTGTGATATGCGGAGAGATCAGGAGATTCGGGGATTGTGTTGACTGGAATGGAATGCGGAGAGGAGAAGGAAAGTCAAGCAAGGCATGAGAGACGAGAGCAGCTTACAGTACCAGGAGATCAGAGCCCTCACCCAGTCTTCTCTCACACTCTTCCCCGATCTTTACGGCAGGACGTTCATTCTCTTCTCTCCCCTGCTCTCCCCTCCCCGTGGAGGATGAAGCAGGCCAGGTGCATCACGCAATCACGCAATACGAGGACCTTTCACCCCGAGTCCTCCATATGCACATCACCCCTCCCGCCCTCGGTCAGTCCGACGAGGCGGATGGTGTGAGCGGTATGCATCCGCCTCGAAGTGGCAAGGAAGGTGGCAATCCGACCAGATCTAGGCCTTGGCGCTGCATGAGCTGAGTAGAAGGATTCGGTTTAGCGTGGCGACGGACAAGGCGAATGGCCGACTCCACTCCGCTGTCCATCCACCAATCAGCGTTGTGCCATATCACGCTGGCGCTGCAACTCCAGCGTGCAACTCTGCAGCGAAGGCAACGAAGGCAACGCCTTGGCCCGCCTGCTCGTCCCGTCTTTGCCTGGTTTGCCGCGCCCGCACGTGCGTCTGGCACAGGTGATCTGCGTCTCCGAGCTACGCTTAAGGTAAGGCCACTCCCCACACCCACTTACTGCCTGCTTTCTTCCGCTCGTCTCGTCTTTCTTCCGTGTTTTTCTTTCGCTCGCGGTGCACTGAAAATATATCTCTGCCGCTCTCTGCTCCCTTCTCATTCCCCCCACTCCTCAAGTACCATTCATCTCTTGCCCTTCCCCCGAACACCCACCAGCAACCCGGCGCCAACATGGCCGATATGGAGAAGACTGCGGCACACGACGAGCTGAAGGGCCATGTCAGCCCTGGTCTCGAGACCAGCTCTGATGACAATGTTTCCATCGGCAAGGGCGATTTGCTTAGCCAGGAGCACGTCGACCCCGTCCTCGATGCCAAAATGCACCTCATCAATAACGCCATCGACGAGATTGGCTACACCCGCTACCAGCTCAAGCTCTTCTTCCTCAACGGCTTCGGCTATGCCGTCGACTCGCTCATCCTGCTGCTCCAGTCCATCGTCGCGCCGTACGCCTACCCCGAACTCAACCCCGGCGGCTGGGCCTACGGCATGACCGTCGCCGTCTACGTTGGCATGTTGATCGGCGCTCTCTTCTGGGGCCTTTCGGCGGACATAATCGGCCGCAAGTACGCCTTTAACTTCTCCCTCCTCATCTCCTCTGTCTTCTGTATCGTTGCCGGCGCCAGCCCCAACTGGGCCGTCCTCGGCACCTTCATCGCTCTGGCTGCCTTTGGCAGTGGCGGCAACCTGGTCCTCGACACCACCGTCTACCTCGAGTACCTGCCCTCGCGCTACAGCTGGACCCTCACTCTCATGGCATCCTGGTGGGGCGCTGGCCAGTTCGTCGCCGGCCTGTTCGCCTGGGCCTTCATCCCCAACTACTCCTGCCAGATTCCCGGCCACTCGAACATCTGCAATTGGCACACCAACCCCGGCTGGCGCTACGTGCTCTTCGCCAGCGGCGCCCTCGTCCTCATCATGAGCCTGCTTCGTGTCACCGTCATCAAACTACGCGAGACACCCAAGTTCTTGGTTGGCGAGGGTCGTGATGCCGAGGCTGTCGATACCCTACAGTACATTGCTACCAGGTACAACCGCCCTTGCAGTCTGACCCTGGAGCGGATGCAGGCATGCGGCGCCGTCAATGGTGGCGTGCCGTCCGACAGACGTGGCTCGGTCACCGCGCACGCTCGAAAGCGCGCCTCGTTTGCCGAAGTCGGGCTTCACTTGAAGGGCCTTTTCACCACCAGGAAGCTCGGTCTCAGCACATCCCTCATCTGGTTTTCGTGGACTCTCATCGGTCTTGTAGGTGCTCCCTGGTGTTATGGTGCTCTTTCGCCAGCCTGCTAACCTTTGAACTCATAGGCTTACCCGCTATACAACGTCTTCCTCCCCATCTACCTCAGGACTCGAGGCGCCGCACTTGGTGGACTGAGCCAGAGCGAGCAATGGACGTACTACGCCGCCGCCAACCTCTGCTCGATCCCGTCGCCAATTCTCGCGGGTTACATGTGCAAGAGCCGCTGGTTCTGGGGCCGCCGTGGTACCATGATTATTGGAGCCCTCATCACCATGGTCTTCTTCTTCGCCTACACGCAAGTTCGTACGAATGCGGAGAACAACGGCTTCACCTGTGCCATCAGCTTTTGTCTGGTAAGCTCTGACCTCGTCATCCTCTCTTCCCACCATCATTAACATTTTGTTTTCTCTCAGAATATTTACTACGGCACATTGTACGCCTACACTCCCGAGGTGCTGCCCACCGCTCACCGAGCAACGGGCAACGGAATTGCCATCGGCTGCAACAGAATCATGGGCATCATTAGCGCCCTCGTGGCCACGTAAGTGTTTCCTCTACTCTCGAGTATCAGCCGGAGGTATGTCGCTCACCATCAAGCAGTTACGCCAACACCGCCACCCCCGTGCCCATCTACGTCTGTGCTGCGCTGTACATCGTCATGTCTTTGACAGCCGCAGCCTTCCCCTTCGAGCCTCTGGGCGCGAGAAGTTCGTAGACGCGCGATGAGTTGGAACGAGAAGGCGGAAAAGCTGCAATTTTGACTGGTTTTCTTGCGCAACTGCGGATGAACACGAGCGTTTGGACGGCCGATTGTTGATCTGTTGTCAGATCCGTACATATCTTCGCGTGATTTCTGCTCGCGCGCTTCCTTTTTACAAGAGATACCCTGAGTTCGAAAACGAGTTGGAGGAGTGCCTCTGTTGCTCTTTCCCGCAACCTCGTGCGAAACATTCTGCAAGCTGCCGAACCGTTACGCGTGTGAAGCGTACTCTAGAACACTCTCGCGAATGCCTCGATTTACTTGTCTACTCGGATGTTGCGCGGTGCTCTACACCGTCACCGCCATCCCGACAGACCCGCAAAGTTCGACGACGCCTCCGGGACTCGGGGGGAGCCGAATGCCGCCTTCATTGTCGAGGTGGAGCGAGTCATGCTGCGACATAGTTGAGAGAACAATCAGAGATGTAAACAAACCAGTGCCGCAGTCAGACCCGGTGCGTTCTTCACACCACTCTACAGAGCAAAGGCTTGACTAAAGCCGAGTCTTGCCATTGATTGCCCGTCGTCGTCTGACTCATGCCTGGCAGAAATTCCAATGTCCGCGGCCGCCCGCCATATCTCTACCTAGGGCTGAGATTGAGCCATTGGCGCGCGCCGCTTCCACCACTAACCCCGGCTGAACACCGGATTTCACGCATCTGAATGGTAGAAGTATTTGGCTAGTCCGCGACTTGAGCCGCGCATTTGCAGATGACGCGAGGTGACTCATCCCCAGCAATACAAATACGCCGCCCAGCCTTAGATCGTCTCCTCCAAGACATCACCCGTCCACCATGGCCGAAACCCTCTGGAGCTCGGAACGCTTATACTTCCGCGGCGTCAACGACTCCGACGCCAAATTCCTCGTCGCCTCCCTCTCCGACCCCCAAACGCACGTCCAACTCGACCCCTTCCTCCACACCCCGCCCGCCACCAAAAAAGGCGCGGAGTCCGTCAAATGGATGTCAGAGCAGCTCCTCGCCGCAATCATCTGCCTCAAGGAGCCCCCGCCGTCCACCCCCGCAACAACCACCGCAACTAATGGCGACGCCGGCGTGGCAGCGGCAGCCACGCCCGCCGCCGAAGATGACTTGCACTCCGCCGACCTGAAACTCACGCGCATCGGGCACATCGTCCTCATGAGCGGGCCTCCAGGCCAGGCGCACCACCGCAATGCCCAGATCGGGCTGGGGCTGCTGAAACCCTATCACGGCAAAGGCTACGGCACCGAGGCACTGGAGTGGGTGCTGCGCTGGGGCTTCCGCATGGCCAACCTGCACAGAATCACGATTGCGGGCTTTGGGCTCAATCCGGGGGCTAAGCGGCTTTACGAGCGCGTGGGGTTTGTGCAGGAGGGCGTGCAGCGCGAGGAGATGTGGTATGATGGGCGGTATTGGGATTCTTGGTCGTTGTCTATGTTGGATCGCGAGTGGTATGCGCGGTATGGGGAGAAGGAGACGCGGGTTCTTGCTGGGGCGGAGAGTGTACAGCCGTGAGGGGGTTCTTGTTTGCAACAAAAGCTCGCTTGGGTAATTTGTTTTGGGTTCTTACAGCGGTCCACTCGAATCGTCGAGGGCATGGGCCGGGTGTTTCTGACTGTTCGTTGAATTATTTGAGGGATTCCCCCGGGTTATCTTACATCCGATGGATCTCCATCCAAGCATTGACACTCCTCCAAATCCCTCTTCTCCCAGAATATCGCCTGCCGAAGCAACCCAGCAACCAGGCTCGGACAAGATTGGGCAATCTGCGGCTCGGAGCACTGGAAAACAGCCGGCCACATTCGCTCCATGGTATAGCCGAATAGCGGGTTGCTCATCGAGTCCGTCTTTCCTGGAAGCCATGGCGGACTCGCGTACTCCTCGCTGTGCGCGTGGCTCTGTGAATCGTTCAGCTCGCGCAATAGGTCTGCAAAGTACGCTCGCCCGGAAGCCTTCATGCGTGCGGAGGAGGCGATGAACTGCCCGCGGTATGTCAACAGTAGGCCGTCGCTTGCCCGTGTGCCTCCCGCTGCGCCCAAAAGGTGGTCTAGCATTTGCGGCGTCTCGGACCAGGTCGAGTGGTCGGTGCAGTGCTCGTAGTCCTTGCATGTTATGGAGTCCGACAGGGACAGAAAGCCCGTCTCGGCGACAAAGTACTCATCGAGTCGGGTTTTCGCCAGAAACAGCTCGTGCATTTCGGCTTGCATGAAGAGGGTGTGGTGGGCGAGGGAGTCCCAATGGGAATCGATATGGTAGAGGTAGGCCTCGGCATCTCGACCTACATTTGGTCTTGCTTCGACAATGATTTCTTGCGGTGATCGCTGGAGTTTGCTGCTCAACTCGGTCTGGAGATCCGTCGCTGTAGTGGTGTTGCCCTTGTCGTAGACGAGCACTCGGATGTTCAAGCCTTGTGTCGCGGGGAGTTCCATCAGCTGGTTCAGCTGCGTGACGATCGAAGTCGTTGGTTCGTGATATCGGCACACCACGAGATCCAGGGATCGGTTGACGTTGATGGGAGGGGTAGGGAGGACCTGTCCAAGAGGATGGCGGGGGAGCGTGGTGTTGAGAAGACTGCAATTTGTGGCGAGGAATAAGGCGAGCATAAGGAACGCTCGAAGGAGAGTCGAGGCATAGGTCATCCACGCATAGGATCGTCGGCTCTCGTTGACGAAATTGCCCCCGGGACCATGCGTTCCGATGCTTGCTTTCCAGCCGCTGCTTGGAGGGAGGTCTCCGTTATTTTCGGTATCCCCGTTGGAGAGTGGGAGAACAGTGGTGGTTGACACTCGCTCGTAGCCGCCCCGTGGCTCTCGACTGCACTGTTGAATCATGACGGCGGCTTCCATCATCGAGAAGCAGGCCACGTACTGCCAAGCACTCATGGAGGAAGCGATGCGGAGGAGCGGGCCGGCAACGGCCGTGATGATGAGGACGCTCCACAACGAGAACATTGATTGCGTCGAATCCCGTATGGTAGGGTCTGTGGCATGTTGTTCGGGAGGAGTGTAGAACGACAGGGCTGCGGTTCTCAACACCAGAGTGGTGGACACGAGGTTCCCGATCAGGAGCGCCAGCCATCTAGTTTCGTTCCAATTCACAGACGTCCACATCCAGTTTTCGAATTTCCAGCAGCCCCAATTTGCGAGGATGAACATGATCATCACCGCCGCGAATCCCAGCCATAGCCGAGGAATCTCATCGAGGTCAAAGTCGAGCGTCTCTTGTTTTGTTAGGCTCCAGCGCCTTTGGATTTGCACCGCTGCAGCGCACAGGCCGATGACCGCCACGCCCCCGAGGATTTTGAAGTCGATGTGAGTGTCCAGCAAGTAAGTTGCAAACAGACTGCAGACGAAGAGCAGAATTGTGGCGCAGCGTCGGATGTCAAAGGGGGAAGACTGGTCGTTGGTCTGGCCAAGATGGTACAGACACAGCAGAGTGACGGCCAGGGCGGAGAGGGTGGGCAGGTGCTGCAGGGTCTCGTAGCCTGCAACGAGGGCGATGGCCGCAGAGATGCAGAATGTCGCATACGTGATGCCTGCTTGGCGGAGGTATTTGACTATGCTCCGCCACGCTGGCTGCTCGGGGGTGTCGTGGGTAGGAGATAGCGCATTCCGCAAGATTCGCGCAAGGAGTTCAAAGAGGTGGATGGCAATGGCGGTGAAGGTCTGGATTCGTAAAAGGTGCATAGGATAGTGGTATCCATTGACCAGGAGGTATCTTGTCGTAAGAATGCTGTACGCTAGAATGCAGGAGTGAAGGAGGGTGTGGAAGAAAGAAGACCAGGGGCGTGGAGTTTGGGGCGGCGGCGAACCATCCGGAAGGTCATCGTCGTCCATTGTGACGGTGTTTGTCCATGCCCGAAAGGAGTGGACGAAGCAGAAGAGGAAGCGTTAGCTGGGAACAAGTCGAAGGAGGGTGATGCAGAGGGGCGAGGGATGTGGCAAGCTGGAGCCTTGCCGCGGTGACATTGTAGGGGGAAGGTGCGATCCTCAGCCCAAGAAATTGTAGCGATGAAGTCTCTGATGATTGAAAAGGGATGCCTGATAGCGATGTACACGACGCACGCGCCTCGTTTGCAAAGCAGGGCGAGAATTGAGTCGCGTGAGGGTCGATGTCACCGACTAATGATTAATACGTACGCAACGTGGCTATTGATTGGCTCGACACGCGGGAACAACGTTCAAACGTGGGGGCCTAGGCCGTGTAGGGTCAAGCAAGGAGTCCGAGAGCGAGGAGCGACGGGTGAATTGTTTGAAGGCGGCAGAATTCTGAATTGCAGAAAACAAGTGCAGTGGCACGTGAATCTTTTCATGTGCATTCGCTCAGTACTCTACACTTCTCTGCCATTGTACTGTACCCGTAGCACAGCTGTTTGCGCGTCTCATTTGCGCGTCTCATTTCGCATTGGATTCCCAATCGAAGAACCTCGAATGTTGCAGCCTGAATGGAGCCGCCAAGCTTTGCCGAGATCTTTTAGTTAATGCTTGGCCAATGATGGAGACCTCAGGCAAGATTACCCCAGATTACCCCACCACTGCCCCTCCAGCCGAGCTGCGTGCATTACGCCTACACTCTTCACCTGCCTTCTGCTCTGCTGCTTCTCATCCTCCACCCCTTCGCTTCATCTGTTGTATTGCTGTAACCATGTCCTTTGCTACTCTTCCATCTGCCCTGCGAGCCACAGTGTCCTCCCAGGCCGCGGCGGTCGGGCATCGCGCATTCCACCCCGCCCCGTCATCGTGTGCGAGCGTGCTCTTCATGTTGAGCGCCTTGAGCAACAGCCGCGAGACCCAACATTTGAATAAAATCACCAAACTCCCCCGACTGGAGCATTCGCCCCCGCTCAAACTCATCAAAAGCAGCGAAATCGACCCGTTTCCCTGCCCCGTCCGTCCAAGCCCCGCGCCGCCCTCCTTCATCCGCAGTATCGATGGCTCTAGATCAGAACGAAGACTCTGGGATCAAAAGGCGTTGCAGATTGGTCGCGTACATCTCACAGATCAAGCAAGACGCACCCATCGCTTGACCCAAGCTTTGGCTCGGGCAAAGCGGCGCGAGCTGAAGCACAATGCTTTGTCTCGACGGGAGAGAACTGCTTGGCAGGCAGAGAGACAAAGAATGCAGACCGACATGCGCGCGGCTGGAATGTGGATCGTCTTGTCCATCAGCACTGCGACTGCATTGGCCACGTGGAGATTCTGGCCGCAGAGGGATATCACCGCACAAACCTCCGACATGGGCCGCCGGATTGCTGCCAAAGCTGCCGGTGCCATGACCCTCCCTGCGGCTGTATCAATCGAGCCGACTATGACTGCCCCCGTTGCAGTGCCTCGACCGCCAGTGAAGCCAGTGGAAAGTGTGGTCTCGGCACCCTCCCCAAGTTCAGCTCCTCGACAGAGCTGGTGGAAAGGCCTTTTCTGGGCGCCTCAGCCTTCCTAATTCTGACGGTACTTGTCATGGCATGTTTCCGTTTCAGTTTACATTGCTTACCGGGTACGCGATCTCTCAGCGTCTTTTTCGGTTTGCTTTCACGATCATGATACCCAGTCGAGTACACGCTTTGTGGAATGGCATTGGCGTTTGACAGCTCTGGCCCCTTCTGCAGTCTATCTATCCACGAATCTCAGTCCCAAATTTACCTGCAACAAAGAGATGGCAAGTCTTCGCTTTGTCTACTTCACGACTCTCATTGTTCATTTCGCACCAATGCATTGTTTTGCCCTGGTCTCTTTATCAATGATGATGCCTTTGTCCGCCGAGTGCATTCTGCTCGAGGTCAAATCGGGTCGCTCGCCCGTACAAGTCCCTTCATTTTCTCTAGCAAAACCCGCACGCCTTTCGATTTCCCCCAATATCGCCTCCACCATGCCGCTGGACAAGCTTACCTTTGGCGTCGAGCTCGAGTTCATCTGCATCCGACCCGATGGCCTCTTCAACCACGACGTGTACAGTGATGACCCTGATGTTGGTAACGAGGCCCCCACCGCAGGTCCGTTCATCTGGCATTGCCTGAACCAAAACGGGATTCCCGCAGTCGGTTGGGAGGATCCTGACACCGAAGATGAGGTACAATGGCCCTCGCACAGCCGGTGGAGAGTAGAAAGCGACTGCCTCAAGCTCTCCGAAGAGGAATACGCGCAGCTTGATTGGGACTGGTCGGTCGAAGAAATCGAGCTGAGTTCCCGCAAATTCGACTTTCATCGAGACGACTGGCGTGGCGAGATTCAAGCCGTGCTGGACGTCCTCCGCGCCATCGAAGCGCGCGGCTGTCGCTTCGTCACTAACAATTCCACAGGCATGCACGTGCACGTTGGCAACGACAAGTACCCCATCCCTTTGCCATGTGCGAAGAATGTCTTTCAATTCGCCACCGCCTTTGAATCCCTCCTCGACCAGCTCCATCCCATCACCCGCACCGACATTCCTGCCGACCTCTCCGAGGGCCGCAACACTTTGCCTCCCTGCTACTTCCACATGCTCTCCTCCAACATCTTCGATGCCCACATCCCGGGTGAGTCCCCAGCACTCTTCCACAGACTCGCTAACATCGAAACGGCGGTGACCTACAAGGATCTAGGCAGCTTCTTCGCCGTCGACCGAAGTCAATGGAACAGCCCAATCCCGACCACGGGCCACAACAGCGCCTACAACTTCGACAATCTCTTCCCCGACCACAGCGCAGGGCGGTACGCTGAGACCCTCACCGGCACCATCGAGTTCCGCCAGCACGCCGGCTCGCTCGACTTTCTCGAAATCACCGCATGGATCTGCCTCGTCTGCCGCATTGTCGACTTTTGCAGCACCGTCGACAGCGAGGACATGATCAAGCTGTGTCTGCACGCCGTCGAGCCCGACTACGCCCTCGACGACCTGCTGAACGACATCTTCTGCCCCATCGACCTCATCGAGCACTTCACCGAGGAGTCGCACCTCATCGGTTTCCTGCCTCGACGCGGCATGCCTGCCCTTCCAGAAATCGAAGAAGCCTTGGCAGTGATGGAGCAGAACGAATTCGAGCAGGAGCAGCGTCACGGCGCGCAGTCCGTGAAGGCCTTGATCGACTACAAGTCCTTCTCCGGCTTCTACGGCCTCGATCCCGCCGTCCATGAGAAATTCCTTGCCTCGATCAGGAAAACAACCGTCCGCGCCGAACTGGATCGAGCAGAGGAAACGCTGGAGGCGTGTGTCAATGGACTTGATGTGAGTAGCGAGTACGGGCAGTCGAGGGTGAGGCACCACGTGTATAAGCGGCTTGCACGCTTGTACGGCTTGGACAATACGAATCACCGCTTGCCCAAAGGATTCGGTGCGCCGCACAGTTGACTAGAGGTAGACGGTAAGGTAGGTGGATGGATTTGGGCCGTCCAGGTTGGTTGTTTCGTAGCCCTCTTCGTTCTAAAGTTTGTGAATGTACTCTGATGCTTTGTGTGAGTGGTACGCCATGTTTCTTGTACAGGATATCCAAAGTACATAGTGAATCCAGTCTCTGAGGGCGACACGCCCTGTTTACGTATTCGATTGATGATTTACAGCATCAAAGCAGCGCCCAAAACAGTACCGAGCGCAACAGCAGCCACGGCACCCATGCCGCTCCACCCGGTCTGAGACATCTTCAGAGCTTCCGCACCGGAGTGGTGGCTGCTGGACGAAGGGCTGGAGCCGCCGGCGGCGCCGCTGCTGCCCCCTTCGCCACTGACACGAGCAGCGGTGGGTACGGCAGCAATGCCCGTCGCGGTTCCAATAGTGGACTTGGCCGTCGACACAGAGAAGGTGGTGGATGTGGCGTCGGGAGCAACGCTGTAGCTTTGCGTCGGCACGGAGTTGCTGTTTCCGCCGATGGCTTTGGCAACTCCGCCGGGGCCGGCGGGCACTTCTTTGATGTTGGAGGAGGTGCTGTTGAGGTTCGCTTGCGCGATGGACATTTGGCCTTGGTCGAGATCGTAGACGACGTACATTGCGCGGATCATGGCGTCGCCCATGGTGTCGAAGCCTTCACCCGTACCGCCGGAGGGGATAATCTCGAAGTTGCAGGCCTGCTCTCCATTGTTGTATGTCACTGGTGTGCTGGTTCCGGGTTGGTAGATGGGGAGGAAGAAGTTGCTGATGTCCACGTCGATATCAATTTGGCCGTTGATGGTGATGGTGACGGAGTCGCCGGAGTAAGCGTAACTACAAGGCGCAATACCGGTGTTGGCGTCAATGTAGGTGAATTCGCTGACGACCGCCTTGTACACTGAGTTGGGAACACTCCAGGCGCTGCTGCCAGAGTCGAGGAGGACGGGAAGGGAGGTGGGGGATTTAAAGGCCGCCGCACCGGCCGCGCCTCCGGAAAAGATGGTCGACTTTTGGCCGCCGACATTGGTGGAGAGGGCAGTGATGGCGGTGATGAACTGGTCGACATAACCGGTGACGGGGTCGGGGAGGGTGTCGATAGTTGTCAATTTGCCGGTGTACTTGTCCGTATCGATACCACCGAAAAGGATGGAGCCGGTGACGGCATCATAGTCGTTGAGGTATAGGGAGTAGAGGCGGGAGTTGATGATGCCCGCGTCGACCAGCACCTCTGGGATGTTGGGATAGTAGGAGCGAGTGGCTTCAATGTCCGTCGCGCCTACACCCATCAGGCCGATTGCGGGGCCGACGGTGCTGTTGACCTCTGTAGCCAAACCAAATTGTACATTGTCGATGCACAAGTCGTTGATGCACACCACGTCGCTCCCGTACGGACCAATGGCGTAGGAGCCGTCGCCGTAGGAGGCGTTGAAGGCGGGAGAGGGCTCGATTTGCTGGTAGGTGCTGCTGCTGCTGGGGTCGAAGGTGCTAGCTTCGCATCGGTGGGGGCCGTTCGAGGAGCAGGCGGGAGCGGAGCTAGCATCGAGGTAGAGGTCGGAGGAGCCGGTGTCGAGGAGGACGGTCTGTTGTTGGGGAGGAGTGCCGACGGAGACTGGGGGTGGGTGTTAGGTGCGCGCGCGGTACTCGAGATGTGCTTGGGACTCACTGTTGAGGTAGTATGAGCCACCACTGACATAGCCCACGCCGGAGAAGATGGTCGTTTCCAATGTGCCCGGATCCGCTCGGGGGAACAAGCCTCGAGCTACATCGCGAGTCTTGCCATCGGTGTGCTTGTCTCTCTTGGCCACCGGCAATTCCAATACGGCGCAAGCGCTGCCCGCGAATAAGAGTCCTGCTGCCAAGGAATACTTCATCGTGATGAAGGAGATGATGGAGGGGGGTGGTGGCGAGGGAGGTGGTGGATGCGGTGTTAAGTGTAAGGTAATGGCGAAACCAAAGGATTGATGGATGAAGGGAGGCCAAGAATATGTACAAAAGGCAGGGTTACACTGAGAAGGCGCGGGCCAAGAGCTGGCCAAGATGGTGTCGGGGAGAAGCTGAAGGGAAGGAACGCCTGACGAGCTGGAAGTTGACGGAAGTCGGTCGCTGCATCATTCAAAACAGGCGACCGTTTGGCGCACAGCCACGCCTCGAACAGGTCCAATTCGGGCTGGCCGGGGGTGCCTGCGTCGGCCCGTGCCTGTTTAGCCTTTTGCATTTGACGGCCACGTCACCCTCCATCGCTTGCACGATCCGCGAGAGTTACAACATGCAACGGCCGAAGCTTTGAGAGCGTAGAGAAGGGTATGGCGTGTATGGAATGTGTCTGACAAGTCTTGCTCTCTATTCACACCGACATTTCCACTCCATCGCATATCATTTCCCACCAACTCTCAGCCAAAGCAAAACACGGCGGACCATACAAGCACAAAGGCCAGCAAGGAGATCCATGTCACCCCCGGAACTACCACACCACCACTCTCCGGCCCACGACCAGTCGCATTGAAGCCCAAATACCACGCGCCGATGTCCGTCAAGTGGCCACCATTGTCCAGCATGCTGCCATTCGGTCCCACCCACGAGGATGCATCGTTGGCGGGAAAGCTGCCAAAGTAGGCATACCGGGCAAGGTAATCGAGTGCATCGAGGAATGCGACACTCTGGTTGTAGAACTGCTGCGCGCCGAGGACAGTGACGTTGGGCTCTGCGAACTCCGTCAACCACAGCGGCAGCTGGGGATATGTTGCATGTACGGCGCCGAGGTAGGCTGCAAGCCCGACGAAATCGCCATAGTAGTGCAGAGGGAGGAAGTCGACGGTGCATTTCCCGGCGCACGCCTTGAAAAAGTCTTGCAGCCACCACGCTCCGCCCTGCGTCACGGCAGGCGCGCCGAGTTGAAGCCCATGCTGCTGTTTGAGCGGTTCAATCTCGGCTTGCCAGATTTGAGCGGCGTGCTGCGCGCCCACGCACGATCCCCCTTCGCTGGCAGGGCCGCACAGATCGGGTTCGTTGAAGGCGAGGACATAGTCGATGTTGCTTCCCGAGCCGAGCAGGCCTTTGACGGTGGAGTAGAAGCTGTTGTATTGAGGGCCAGCACCCCACAGCATGGGGACGTAGCTCAGCCGACTGTTGAACGAGTTCACGGGTGTGGAGGCATAGTTGTAGTACCACGTCAGGTCCGACTCCGCCTGATCCCAGAGGCCGTCGCTGTAGCCATCGGACCAGGTGTAGACCAGGCCGCGTTTTGACGAAGTCAAGTTGCCAGCGAGAGCAATGGGGAGGCCGTAAAGCAAAGTACAGAGCAGCATTCGTGGCTGGACATGGCACGCTGCAAGGCTAGACTATCGCAGCATTATATGGCGGAGGCGACTGCGGCGAATGGGGAGAAGATAAGTGTATGTTGCAGGGACCAGGCCAGCGATGACGTGGGCCTGTAGATCTCACGATGTGCCGTCAACTGTGCCATTGCTAACGAGTAGCCGCAGGTAGGAGACAGTGAGATTTGTGATGGAGTGAGACGGTGGTGATTCGTATCTTCTGATGAGTGCATACCTCCAGTTCCTGCGACCAGACAATACCCCTCGTACACCATTGTGCTGATGAACAGGTCAACAGCTTCACTCGCCACAATCGCGAGAGGTGGCTGAGCTTTATTTCCGGAAACGCCGGGGGTGAGACTTGTCTAAACCGCATTCGGCAAGACATCCACATCCGTTCACACACGAACGAGCACACCTTCACCATCACCACACCCCGCACAGTGAAACTCACAGTCCCGCGCGATAGCAACTGACATTCTCTTGCCAGTGCTTGTCCGACCATCTCTCGCTTCCATCGTCGCCGCGCAGACACCCACCGTCCATCACGATCAACGCAAGCCACAACTGCCAGGCACCAAAAGCTTATTGCATGAAACCCGCATTGTCACAATAGCGGGGGGGATTGCTGGAGTGTTTGTCGCTTTGCTGCCTCAACTCTTCTTTCGCATTCCCACTTCCCTTCAGCTCCCCATCACCCCTCGCACCGCTTTATCTTCACCCCTCGACACCATGGTCGCCACGCGCCGCAGCCTGTCCACCATGGACGGCCAGGTGGACCAGCAGCCTCCCTCCGACGAAGACAACATCCAGTTCAAGAAAGCAATGAAGAAGCTGCAGATCGATGCTCTACCCGCACTCAGAGGTGAAACGATCAAGAAAGAGGAGAATGCGGCGGTATACCACTGGCGGGGCTCGACGTACGCCGTGGCGCAGGATACCCCGCAAGAATGGCTGGACAAGGAGCCGACGCGGTACAAGAAGCGCAAGAGCACCGCACCGCCAGAGAGCGACGAAGTACAGCCGGCGCAGACGAGGAAGCGTGCGCGCAGTCCGGCGGCAGAAGTTGAGGCAGTGGAGGAAGAGCCGGCCGCGAAGCGTCCCCGCAGGCATACACAAAACTACACCATCGACTACAAGCGACCTCGCACCCTCTCCGACTTTTCACCCCGGAAGCAGCGCTCGCTGCAACCTACAGGCTCGCCGACGCCTGAGAAGACGGCGCGCCGAACACGACCTCGGCCGACACGAGAACAGATGCGCAGAGAAGTGCCGGAGGTGGAGACGGCCATTGCGCAGGCACGAAAGCAGGCAAAGAGACTGGGCTTTCAAGTTGCTCCCCTGCCACAACATGCGCTCGCTGCACGTCAACAGGCGAGAGCAAAGTCGACAGTCGAGTTGACGGTCTGGCTGGCACGAATGAATAGCAAGGTGGAGAAGGCAAGCCAGGCATACCAGCAAGCGAAGCACGAGGTGGAACGCACTCTACAACTTGTGCAGCCAGCAATCAACACTCCAGCGATTTCTTCTCATGACAACGAAGCGTCACGGCCAGACGAGAGTCTTAACCAGCTCACCCCTGCTTCGTCCACCCCCAAAGACATCAACAGCAGCAGCACCCTCGATACCCCTCTGCTCGAATCAACTCTTTCCCGCCGCGACTCACTCACCGATATATACCACCCAGACTCCCCACCAACATCCGACCTCCCATTGCAAAACAAAGCCGGTCAAACACTGCGCTGGAGTCTTCCTGCGAAAGCAACTGCAGATGGTCGTGCTGAGGAAGCAATCAACAAGCATCGCATGCCTAATGAAAGCCACGGGGCACGCAGGAGACGGGTGAAGCGGGAAATGCAGCTGGTGCGGAGCTGGAAGGAGGTGGATGTCGATGATGATGCGAGTGAGGATGTTGGAGGTACTGTGCATTAGAGCGGCGCAATACGGGCCCTTTGCGAATTGGCGACGATCGATGAGCGAACCTGTATATATGATGGCGAGGAACACAGGATACTAGCCGGCTGCATGGCAGCGTCTCTGGCCTGGATCAAGGAGGTTGGTCAAATCATCACATTTCGGGTCCTTCGCAGAGGGCTTGGCGAGCTGCTCGAGACTACAGCAAGAAAGCAAGTCAAAACTCCGGCGTGATACCACGAATCGAATGAAGTCAAATCCAACCTGTCGCGTTCAAGACTTTCCATTCATTTCGCTATGCTCTGAACGTAGATGTGACAAGATCATTCCCGGGTCATAAATCGCTGACCGCACTGTTCCTCCTCCCAAACATCGGCCGACTCCCTATTTCACTCACGGGACTCGGCGGATCATCGAACGGATTTCGATGAGAGCCTAGCAAGCCATCCGAAACCGGGATCTCATCGGCGTACAGCTCATCATCCTCCTCGTCCAGCTGCACATCCTCAAAGGGGGATCGTACGCTACCCGTCCGCGGTAATGTGGAGATATCTTGCTCGACGCTGTATGGATTCGGCGGTTGGCCTTCTGCCGCGGAAACGCCATACGGCGGCGGCGGCTCCGCAAACGTGCCGTCTAGACTCCTCCGCGCCGGCGCATACGCGCTCTCCTCCTCGCTGCGTCTCGAGTGCTGTGAACATGAGTCCAGACCGGTCAGGTAGGCGTTGTTGCCTTCTGCGACGATCACCGGCGCTTCCCGGTGAGGCGGGCGAAGGTCCATGGTTGGCGGGGCGTAGTATGCTCGTGTGTTGGTGTTGGTGTTGTTGTTGCTGCTGCTCGTCATTTCGGTCGAGTGGGGTTTGGGTTGGTGCTGGCTCTGTTGATTTTGCCTGCGTTTGCGGTAGCGGAGGAAGATGATGAGAGCGAGGATGAGGAGGACGACGGCGAATGGGACGATGATGAAGACGGCGTGGGGGATGTGGTGAGAGGGAGGGGGTGGAGGCGAGTGCTCGGATTGCGAGACCCCGGAGGATGTGCTGGTTGCATGTGAGGTAGTTGCTTTGGTCACGCCCGTGGTTGGGCTGGAGTAGGCCGGCGGCGCAAACGAGCTGAAGGGGCTGAATTGGCCTCCGTTGTTGTGGTAATGCTGCTGCTGCCCGCCGGTCGGCGGGATGGAATGGGGGAAGTCGCCCATGTGGGCTCGAGGGCGTGGTGAGAGACGCCTGTGCCCTGCGGATGGCGGCGAATGGGTGATGAGGTGAAGTGGTGAAGACAGCAAAGACAGAGGGAAGTTTCGGGGTTGGGAAGGGTGGGCAGAATCGACATCATCCTCCCGTCCCATTCCATGCCTCCCCGCAGTGCACCGCCCCCCACGCCCCGGTCTTATTTTTAGCTTTTGCGAGGATTTTCCCGTTGTGCAGGAGGCAGGCAATGAAACGAGCTCATAAGCCGGGGTCCGATGCCTTGCTTTGCCTGCAATGCGAAATGCTGGAGACCAGACGACGAAGAGAATGATAGCGCCTCGAGGAAGACAACGCCCTTGCCAGACATCGCCCGAGCACTGGCAACGATCAGTACCGCCATGTACCGCCCAGCCTGTGTCAATGCCATTCACAGACCCGACGGATTGTTTACCCATTCTCAGGATGACTCCTTCGTCAATGGTGTAACGGCTGGTACTGGCGTATGCTGACAGATTTCAGACCTCCCGCAGCATCCCCTCGTTCGGAGAGAGAATCACCCCTTTACCATTTCCAAAATCTCCATCACCTGAGCCTTGTCCGTCAAAGGACGAGGATTCGTTCCGATCCAACGATCCGTCATGGAGTTTTCGGCAAGCAGCTCGAGCTGGTCCTCTCCAACGCCCACATCCTTCAGCGTCCTCGGCATCCCCAACGCTCGGAAGATGGCATCGAGCATGTCGCCCAGATCCGAGTCGTGACCCAGCCCGGCATCCTTCAAAACCCTCTGCACCTCAACTTCCTCCCATAGTACCTCCTGCACGGCATCTTGCTTCGCGCCGTTCACGCTGCGGTTGTACTTGCATACCGCCGGCAACAGAATGCAGCTTGTCTCGCCGTGTCCTACATTCAGCGGCCCAAGCTGATGGCCGATGGCGTGCGACGCTCCCATGGGCACCCCGCTGAGATTGGGTGCTTTGACGGACTCAATCACCCCCATTTGACACTGTAATCGAGCCTCTAGATCTCCCGCATTCTTCTTGCATCGCAACAGGCCAGGGATGAGGAGTTTCAGGCCGCGGATGGAGTCTGAATCACTCTGCGCAGTGCCTTGCAGGGAACATATGACTTCGACGCAGTGATCCACCGCTCGGACCCCAGTGGACAGCCACCACCGATCGGGGGTGGTTGTCGTAAGCTCGGGATCCAAGATGACCAGCGCTGGCGCTTTGATGGGGCCGGCGAAGCTGTACTTTCGATGATTGTGATCGTTGGTGCCGCCTCCGCGCGCATTGTACTCTCCACCTGAGAGGGAGGTTGGTATGCAGATGACCGGCACTGTGGGTGTCTTCACGTCTTGCCCGCTCTCTGTTCTTGAATGCAGCGTGTCCAGGTCTTCGAAGGATTCGCATCTATTCGCCATTGCCTATAAATGGTCAGTGACTGATCTCTGCTTGCATGGAAGAGAAGTAGTCGACGGACCAGCGCAATGATCTTTGCTCCATCTGTCAGACTTCCCGCACCCAATGTCACAAGTAGATCTGCTCTCAGCTCGGTCGCTTCCTTGACCACCTCCAATATCTCCGACCACAGAGTATGCGGTCGCATGCCGTATCGAGTGCCTACCACCTTGTCTCCAAGCGCATGCTGCAGAACCTTCACACGGTTGGTGTCTCGAGACAGTGATCCCGATGCGATGATGTACACTCGCTTGGCTTGGAAGTTGTCAGCGATATGCTTGGAACATGCTTCTTCGTAGGATGAGCCATAAGAAATCCAAGTCTTGCAGCCATCCCAGGCAGGACGGTGCGTTTCTTGATGAGCCATCTTTATTACCGATCTATCTTCGTACAGTTTCCGTTGAAGTGATGCATACTGGATCCAGGATATGTAGAGTAAGCGTTGTCTAGCCTTGAGCATGCATCGACGGCTTAGGGTTGATGTCCCCTTAGGGTTGGACCGACAACAACACCTCCATCTCGACTCTCCATCCTGCAACAACCTCCTGTTCTTGGAGTCAGCCACCTCTCCAATGGCCGAAGATCAAGAGGGAGAGTCCCTCTTCCGCCCAACGCACAAGCGTCGCAAAGTTCTCAGAAAGCGACTCGATTCCGACGATGAAGACACTGTCCCCACTCCCCTACCCACACATGCCATCGTCGAGACCCTTGAAACCGATTCAAACGAACCTGCGCATCGCGGAGCGACGATCGTGCAAGCACGGAAGAAAGGAGCAGTGGGCCGAGGCATCACCTTCTCCGCCGCGGATGCGCAACGAAGAGCAGCACAGGAACCTGAGGAGCAGGCGTTGGCATTGGCGAGTGAACACCAGGAGGCAGATGCTCCACAGATTGAGCGATTTGTGAAGCCAACAGGTAAAGCGGAGGTGAAGGAGGACAAGCATATGTACGTCTGTCATGTTGGGCGTGGTAGCTTGCCGAACAGTGCTGATGAGACAGGATGGCATACGTAGATTCCAAGCTGGCTGATCTTCGTCAGCCTGCGCGCACGGAGTCGCCAGATGGTGAAAGCCGGAAGGAGACCAGAGCGCATGGAGATGCATACGACACAAGCACTGGACCGAGGAACGGCGATGCTCAAACCTTGCTCAATTCAGCACCCCATCCGCCGGGCAACCTGCCGACGTTCCAGCCACGGCACCCGCGCAGGACAATGTCATCCCCAAAGCCTAAGAAGCGAAGAAAGTACCCACCAGCCCGGACGGAAACCGATGTCGCGCGCGACTCGATGATTGAGCAAATCATGGGCCCGACACATGTCCCGCATTACCAGGCCGCCGCAGAACAGGTGCGACGAACGGAGGAGCAGGAAGGCGTGGATCGCGATGCTGCTGCGGAGGATGCATTCAAGGCACAGCTCCTCGCAGATCTAGATAGTCACCGCCGACGGCCTCACGCCCCGAAGAATCCAGCGGCTGCTGCCAGTGGGCCGAAGTTGGGAGGCAGTCGGGCTCAGCGGGAGAAAATGAGGGCGCTGGAGGAGGCGAAAGCGGGTACGAGCAAGAAGTAGGGTCTGCATATGCCTGCTATTGAACAGAGCGAAAATGCAAAAGTGTTCGAAGCAAGGATCCCACACGATGTATCTCTGTAAGTGTGAGGCCTTGTCATACAACCGCCCCAAACGCCATATTCACAACCCTGTCGATGCCGGGCAGTGCCTTCGGCAGAACAGCATCAATTTTGTGCGATATCATGATAACCGTCAGCCCATTCTCCGTGAAATGGCGGTGGATCAGTTGATGGACGAGTTGTTCGGTCCCGGCATCCAGGGAAGCTGTCGCCTCGTCCAGAAGAACGATTGGTTTCGTGTCGGTTCGAGAAAGCTCTTGAAGTTTAAGGATGCTGCGAGCAACAGATAAAAGTTGACACTGTCCAGGCGTGAGTGGAGGCAATGCTCCCAACGGAGTGGCAAGAATGCCGCGTTCAGAGGTATTGGACCGACAAAGCACTCGCCATAGCTGGGCATCACGCAGTACAGCCATGACCTGTTCATCCGTACAATTTTCAGACAAATCGACGTTAGATCGAAGGCTACTTTCCGGAATGATAAACGGATCTTGGGGGATGGTGATGAAGCAGTGTTCCCGAATGTAGGAGCGAGGAACTCGGGACAAGTCGATACCATCGACGAGTATGGACCCTCTATCGAGCTCGAGCAGGCGAAGGAGTGCAAGGAGGAGAGTAGACTTTCCGCTGTCAACGAGGTGTGAGCGCTGTGCATGCTTTGGTTGTTATTCCAAAATGGCAACTCACCTGCCCGTGCGACCACGGAGCACAACTCTCTGGCCGGCGTTGATGGTCATGTTGAGATTACGGAGGGCCGTACTCTCGGTGCTTGGTAATGAAAGTCAGTGAAGCAGAGGCCAACGTAAGTCGGCCGTAGCTTACTTGTACGACACTTGTACGTCCTTCAACACAACTTTCCCAGCACTCGGCCATTCCCGCGGAGGAATGAAATCCTCACCAGCTCTGTCCTCCTTCGGCATGCTGTCCACCGCAGCTTTGAGTCGTGTCACAGCTCCAAGCGAGATCTCTAGCGTTGTCCAGTTCTCCACGGCACGCAGCAGCGTGGTGTTCGCCACGATTACCATGTTCAGCGCAATGCCTGCTTGACCCTCGTCTTGAATGAAACTCCAATAGACTACACTGACAACGACGCCCACGCCCACGAACGCCATCAATAGATCGAGAACCACATTGAGCCACCGTTGAAGACACATCGAGATGTACCACGGGCGTTGCGATTGATCTAGGCGAGAAGCGTTTATGTTGGCATACTCCTTTTCCCATCGGAAGGCGCGGATGGTGGACAGGCCTTCCACCTGTTAAGCCGGCACACAATCAGCCATCGTCTTAGTCTGGAGCAGCAAGCAGCGTACCGTATTGATGAACGATGAGGCCAGTGCCGAACGGGCCTCGGACTCGATCTGTTGAAGTTGGCGGGAGGCGTGTAGATAGCGTCTCTGGATGACCCAAACAACAATCACACAGAATGGGATAGTCATTGCCAGGGTCTGGTTGGCGGAGAAGAGCAGATACGATTGTACCGTGAGTTTGAAGATCTCTTACTGGCTCGTCAGTCTCCGCTCATGCGATGTGCTTTGCTTGTGCTTGGACTCACGAACTGCGAGTGCGGAGAGATAGCTAGGTACACCCCGATCGATGAGTTGCATGTCTTGACCAAAGCTAAGGGATATCAGTGGACTCTATCCTGATATGTGCCCGATGGTACTCACCGCTCGAGCAAGGCACCCGGATCCTTGCTGAAGAAGTGCGATAGATGGGCTCTACGGGGACTGTGAGCGGCTGATTTTCTTGCGGAAGCATGATACCCACCCCAGAGTGGTGTCGAGAAGCAGAGAATGCAACGCAAATCCCGAAGATGGAGCCATCCGTATGACTGTAGTCCTAGAATCGTTTCCTCAGCTTTGAACCCAGTGACAACAGGGGAACGTATCTCACCACATGCCGCCATTGGTGGCAAGCCACGCCAGCATCGACAAAGTCATGTACCCCGTGGTGTAGTAGAGCGTGTGCCCGACTGACTCCGTCCACCACTTCAGCCAGTACTGCGGAAATGTTACGCAGAAGCTGTACGTGGCGGTGAAACCGACCAGCATACACAGATTCGTCCTGCCAGCTGCATCAATGTAGTATCCTGTGGGCGTTGTGTGAGCTCAACGTTCAATTTGAGCTGACTGAGCGTATCTTACTGCAGGCCTCGAAGCCTCCTGGCTGTCCGTTTCTGCTTCGAGGTGACGTCGATCGGACTTGTAGAGCACTCGGCGAGCTGATCTCACTGATTGCTGTCGCATGAGTAGACTGGGGATGTGTATCATGGAGAACAGTGAGGTCTGCGCCGTACTCGCTCTGCATCTTGGGCCAACTACCCTGCTTTTTGACTTCACCATGTTCAAGCAAAACGACATGATCTGCCCATGTGCAATGTCGTACTGGCGGAGAGAGAGTTCATCAACGTGGGGTCATCCATCAACTTGGGCCGTCATTACCTTTGTTAGATGTCATGATGATCGTCAAGTCTTTTACTTGTCGACAAAAGCCATTCCTACCGAACAGATTCTGCAGAATGGTGGTTTCGGTTTTGGCGTCCAAAGCACTGAATGGGTCATCGAGGAGAAGTAAGTGAGGACGGGCATAGAGGGCTCTTGCTAGGGCCTGGCAGCCGAGATCAGCATCGTCTTTGGATGAGGCGTACAATCTCGACTCACCACTCGTTGACGCTGCCCACCAGAAAGATTGATACCCCGACTGCCAATATCAGTCTGGTCCCTATGAGGTAACTCTTGCAGATCGGAAACGAGAGAACAGGCACCGAGTACAGCCTGATACCATTCGTGATCAATATCCTCGCCAGCTTTCGTAGGTCCGAGGATGGCGTCCTTGACTGAGCCTTGAGGAAGCCAAGGCATCTGGCTGCAGAGTCCGATGCGATCGTACGACAGCCATACGTCGCCCGTGGCACACTTGAGCTCACCCTGTGATGCCTTTAACAGGCTCGTCTTGCCCGAGCCAACGGGGCCGAGACAGACAACGATCGTGTTGCGTTGAACGACCAAGTCCACGCCGTTCAAGACCGGTGTATTTTCCGAACCCGCACAGAAGGACGCATTAATAATTTGCACCAATGTGTCCCCTCCCGAGCGGTGTTTGTCGTGATCTCGGTCGGGCTCGTTGAGGTAGGCTTCGAGCCGCTCTACGTTGGTCATCATGCCAATTGCTTTCGGTACAACGGTCATGACCATGTTGGCCGGGTGCGTCACCATGGCGAGGATAGCAATGGTAGTATAGGCGGTGCTGGCATCAAAGACAAACGTATGGCGACTCGAAGCCAGGAGCGCAAAAGTCATAAAGACGAGAGCAGGGGCAAAGATGCCAAGCGCATTGGCTAGTCGTGTGTCAGCTGGACGTGTCGGATGGCCTTGAAAGAGACAACGGACCGCTTGCGTTGTAAAAGACTTGGACCCAACGGAGAGCTGCTGCTTCCGAGAGCTCATGTTGACGGAGTTGGACTATATTTCGGCGTAACAGACTTGTTGCCCCTGCCATTTTAACGCTTCTCAGTGCGCTCAGTGCCGAGCTTGTGGCGGCAAGACGTTGCTGAGTAGCCTGATTCCATCGCTTTTGGCGTGGGTGAAGGTGTCGGGCAACGTATCGGCTCACTCGAGAGCAAGCTGGAAAAGAGTCAACGAAGGATAGAGCAGAGGATGGGCGAGAAGCTTCAGTACCGAAGATTCCGACGAGCAGCATGACGCTCACCCAGCCTATCCGCTGTGAAAGCAGAACCATGCCGACTACGACTTCGAGCAAGTATGCCCAGGTGTCGTGGGCGATCTCTGCGATCGGAATAAGGGCTTCCACGTCGTTGCTGAGAAGCGCCATGACTCTGCCATCGTCAGGCTTGGTGACGGCATAATGGATGTGCAGTGTCTTGTGGTGGAGCAGGCCGATCAAGCAGCCTCGAGTCAGAACTGCCAATCGATCGATTTGGTGTCGGTAGGTCGAATTGAATACCGCTAGTCCAGTGTAGATGAATAGTGCTGCGAGAGTGATCACGGCGGGGGAATGATCTGCATTCTGAGAGCGAGGGTGATGGAGGAAGTCGACGGTGACGGCCATGAGGGGAGGCTGCGCGTATCGAAACGCGATCAGACCCAGACGAAGGGGAACGGCGGCAAGAAAGGGGGAGCAGAGGACGCGGAAGAGCGATTGAAGCAAAGCATATTTCTCCCTAGCTGATGGGAATTGTTAGTTGTCCGATCCGAAAGCCTTTTGGATGACACACTTGTACGAGACCAGTCTTGTATCGCTTGTGCTGCCAGGATGTTCGATGAGAAGGCTTCATCGATGGGGGGAACGACGAATGGGCTGGTAGTGGAGAGGATCGGCTTGATCCAGTCAAAAAATGCTCGATCGACTAGCCCAGCAAGAGTCTCGGGGGAGAAATGGCGATACTGTGATCGCACAATGCTGCTTTTGCTCTGACATTCGAGCATGAACAGGCATGCTGACAGCACAGCTTTGGAACAGCGCAAACCGGTAGCACCGGCTGTAAGGAGCGAATATGCATCGTCCAAGATCAAGACCAGGATGTAGAGGGTGAGCGGTGTCGATGGTCGTAGAGACTTCTGATGTTCAAGGATTGAGAGCCAACAGATTCCCACCGCAGCTGTCCAGTCGAGCATCCAGCCGCTCGCGAGCACCATACATACTGCAACTGCTGCGCTGAGAACCTACCATCTTCGTCAAACGATCGATACGTGTGCCGTGGCTGACGAGGCAGCACTCACCGCCTTTAGAACGACGCGGTGGTTGGCAATGACTTTGATTTCCGTGGAGCGAAGCTCTTGCAGCCGGTATACGGTGAAAGTTACGAACAGCAAGGAGAGAAGTGTACGCCATGATTGGCAATCGTTTGGGAGACCAAACAACATGGATATTTCCTTGGAGAGGCATTGGCAAGGCGGGAGTGATTGACGTTGACGGTAAGTTGATCCGAACCCTGAGGCCTAAAGCCCAAGCTTTCGCGTCGGCCCGGTTCGCCACGTTATTGGAACGTTAAGGTGCTGAAGGAATACTTTGACTCCATTCCTTGTTCATCAACAGTGAAGTGCCAAATGACACAGGGCAGAGGCGTCAGACGAAGAGAGCATCATTTTGCAAGGTCACATCGCGACGTTTCACCCACCGAGGTCCGTGATGATAGAGCTATGTAGCGCCGCACCGCCGGGAAGCTCGCCGCACCAAGCATTTTGTGATTCCAGATTACGCCGAGGTCCCACGCTTGACCTGAAGAAGCAAGTATCCGATTGTGGCGGCCAAGCACTTGTGCGCCGGACACTTGCGTGGTCGAGCGCCTAAGCTTTATCTGCCGGGAGCAAGCAAAGCCCAGGAGTCGGCGCCCAGCAAGTGGCGGACCACAAGCATACCTGGTATCTCCGTTCGACTCACACGCAGAACATGGCGCTGATCCCTGCCCTTGGCCGCGGCATGCTCGAGATGGTGGCAAGATGAGGTGGCGTGAGTACTTGATAGAAGCAATCAAAAGATTGTGGACCCCCACGGCGCCCCGCATAGCCATTGGCCGGTTCCCCGCAATCGGCAGCATCGTGCGCGCCGTCGTGTGGCCCTTATCTTGGATGATGCGCTTCAGCACGTCGCCCCGCGCGATTCGCGACGACCAGACGGCTACTAGCGGCGTTCGAGAAGGACCTTGGCCGTGAAAGTAACCGCCACATCGAATTCCCGGGATAGTGATTGGCCTGGTTCCAAAGGTCAATAATGCAGTAGCATCTTGGCATCATTGTGCGTCTGCTTCCACTGCCCGGGTCGTGGATAATTGGCCCGGCTCAAAGGGGGGGTAGCATTCGCTTGCAGGATACAAAAGGCCAGCCATGTCCCGGTCGTGCTGCTCGCCTGCCCTCGCTTCATAGCATCGTTCTTTTCGTGCATCTGCTCATTCGCGCACCATGGCGAGCAGCAGCAAGAACCCCTTGAAGCGCATGGGTTTCAAGCGCACCAACACCTCAGAGGCTGGTGTCGTCGAAACCACCCGAGAAGTGACCGAACTCGACGAACTGGGCGAGGAGCCGGCAGTCGTAAGCAAGATTGCCGACGAGTTTGGGGGAAACGTACACAAAGGCAGCCATGCGACCGCCGTGAAGGACATTTCCGAGGCGGAGGCGAACCGCAGGCTGAGCGCCTTCCGCGCCGAGCATTCCTTGGACCCCAATCTGCCCGCCACTGCGCTCGAGGCCATCGAAGATGCCACTCGCGCCCATGACCAAAAAGGCGAGGCTGTTCTCGTCGACGAGCTTGTGGAAGACTCTCCGTATCCCGAAGTAAGTTGGCAGCCGTTGAGTCGGGCGTGCTCGAGCTGATCGCCCATCCCAGGTTCGTGCCGTCGTGCGCAACTACGATGAAGACGTCCCCGCCGGCACCATTCGCGCCTGGACGATTGGCTTGTTCTTGACCACCATCGTGTCTGCCGTCAACGGGCTGTTCTTCCTGCGCTACCCCATTGTCAACATCCCGGTTTACGTCGTGCAGTTGATTGCGTACCCCCTGGGCGTTGGTTGGGCCCGGGTCATGCCCAATCACGAGATGAGTCTTATGGGCCTCAAGTTCAATCTCAACCCTGGGCCGTTCAATGTGAAGGAACATACCATCATTGTTGTCATGGCAAATGCCGCCTTCGGCGGTGGAACGGGATACTTTGTGGATACCGTCGTTTCGATCCAAGAGTTTTATCGGATCCCGGGCTTTGGCTGGTATGCATCCACTCCTTCTTGTTCTTCCCGAGCTCTCCCACTGACTCATTCGCAGGGGCTTCAACATCTTGTTTGCATTGTGAGTATGCTTTGGGCATGACACGTCTGACCGCTTCCTCGATCCTACCAGCAGCAGACGCCCGCACATCTTCCCATCTCCTTCTCTGTACTGACTTGCTTAGATCGACACAATGTCTCGGCTTCGGAATTGCGGGCATGGTCCGTCGATGGATTGTGGAGCCGGCGGCGATGATCTGGCCCGGTGCACTGGTCAACGTCGCTTTCATGTACGCCCTGCACGACCAAAAGCCGAGTGACCCGAAACAAACCAATGGCTGGGCCATCTCCCGTTACAAGTGGTTCCTGATCATCCTCGGTGCCATGTTCTGTTGGTCGTGGCTGCCTGACCTCATGGTTCCGGCCTTCAGCTACTTTGCGTGGTATGTTGATCTGCTGCCGGTGTCGGCGAGAAACATTAGCTAATGGCGCTCATCACCGCAGGACCACATGGATTGCACCTAGTAGACCTCTCTCCTGCTTACCCCGTTGAAACGCCCATCTGCTGACTCGGAGACTTTAGACAATGTCCTTCTGAACCAGCTCACAGGCCAGACGACGGGCATTTCCCTTGGATTTCCTCTTACCGGTTTCACCCTTGACTGGGCTCAGATCAACTCTTTTTTCGGCAGTCCTCTGATCTCACCCTGGTACGCCACGGCCAACATCCTTGGAGGAATCATCATTATTGTCTGGATCATCACGCCCGCCGTCCATTACAGCGGCGTGTGGTACTCGCAGTATTTGCCAATTAGCCAGAACGCCATCTTCGACAACCAGGGCTTGCCGTACAATGTGACGCGCATCCTCTTGCCCGACAACACCGTGGATCCGGCTGCGTACGAGGCCTACTCGCCGCTCTTCCTGCCCACCACGTTCGCTCTGACGTACGGCATCTCCTTTGCCTCGATCGCGGCCCTCGTCAGCTATACCTTCCTCTATCACGGGCCGGAGCTCAAGCGGAGGTGGAAGGCGTCTAGGGGCGAGCTCGACGACATCCATATGAAGATCATGCGCAAGTACAGTCTGGTTCCCGTTTGGTGGTATGGGATTCTGTTCGCCGTCATGTGTGGATTCGCGTTTGCCGCTGCGTGTGCCTTCCCCACTGGAATGAAAGCCTCTTCTGTCGTGCTGGCGTTGGTCATCGCTTGCGCCTGGACCGTTCCAATCGGCATCATCCAGGCCATGACAAATATCCAGCTGGGATTGAATGTGTTTACCGAGTTCATCATCAGTTATCTGCAGCCCGGTACGCCGTGTTCTCCCAAGTTTCCCAGTTTTCTCGCTGACGTATCCAGGAACACCTGTTGCGATGATGATGTTCAAGGTAAGTCGACGCCGGTCCTCTTCGAGATGCCCGAGCAGAGTCGCTGATTGATGCAGACCTTTGGGTACATCACCTCGAGCCAGGCCCTGTATTTTGCGCAAGACTTGAAGCTCGGCCATTACATGCACGTGCCGCAGCGATCTCTTTTCACGGCGCAGCTTGTGGCGACGATGTGGTCATGCCTGTGCCAGCTTGGCACCATCGAATGGGCGCTGGGTCAGATTAAGAATGTCTGCACCTCCGCAGCCTCCAATGACTTCACCTGCCTGTACATCGCCACCTTCTACAACGCCTCCGTCATCTGGGGCGCGATTGGTGCCAAACGCCTGTTCTCCAGTGGCGCCGTGTACCAAGGGCTGCAGTACTTCTGGCTCGTCGGTTTCATCCTGCCCATCATCACGTACGGTCTCGTGCGAGCTTTCCCCAGGCACTCGTGGCTCAAGGCTGTCAACATTCCCGTCGCCCTTTCCTGCATGGGTTACATCCCGCCGTACTCGGCCATGAACATTGTAAGTCGCTCGGATGCTTGATCGAGATCGGAACTGATTGCCCAATAGCTTGCGTACTGTACCGTTGGTTTCATCTTTATGAAATGGATTCGCAATCGTTACCGCGGCTGGTGGTATGTATCGTCTTCGCGGAGCAAGGGTCTAATCGATGCATTGGCCTTGTGTCTTCTGCAGCCCCATTTGAGACACTCAATTTGCTGACACTTGTTGTAGGATGACCTACGTAAGTCTATATCGTGTTTCGACCGTTCTGTGTCCCAGTTGGGTGGTTCCGATGCGGAGAACCGCTGCTTGGCCTTTTCTTAGCCTTGGGCAACTCTTCCAAAGATGATGTACTGACCCTCTATGCAGAACTACGTGACCTCTGCGGCCATGGACACGGGCTTGGCTTTGGCGGCAATCTTCATCTTCTTCCTCGTCCAACTCCCAGTCGGATCATTCCCAAGCTGGTGGGGAACGAATGTCATCATGACGAGCGACTATCTTGGGTCGGCCGTTACCCAGACCGTCAACGTTACCGCAGGCGAGATATTCGGTCCGGCACGCGGGACTTGGAAGTGGTAGTGAATCTGGTGAAGAAGCTGGGGTGGGGGAGGGAGTCGCAGTCGCGAGTACCTTATATACGATTCGCTCAGCCGTAATCGGGGTAAGCCACTTGCTGCGGAGTTCGAAGGGGCAGGGGTTTTGGCAGAGAATGTGCTTGTCAAAGGGCGTGGGGAAGCAGCGTTGTTGGCACAGAAAGTACATACGAGAGCAGGTATCGGAGTTCACTTCCATTATTGATAAGCTGTTGATCTGATGAGTAACGTGCTCATTAATGCTCGACGATGTTCGAGGACATCATGGCGCGGCTGACGAATTCTGCTGCCTGCGGCGGCAACTCCGAATACTGTACGTATTTGACGGGGATGTCAAAAGGCGTGGGTGACGTTGACATGGCAGGCATGCGAGGATTCGGCTACGAGCACATCGTGACGGGTGCAAGCTGTTGTTACGGCGGAAGAGCTTGGGCAACTGTGTGGATGTGCAGCAAACGGAGAGGCCACGAGGAGTAATAATGGGCATCACGATCTTCAACGATTCTCGATAGCTGCCCGTCGTTGCTCGACCAGGATCATACCGTTCCCGCTCAGAAAGCCGGATTGCCTCTTCATATTCTCTCATCTCCGCTTCAAGACGCCGAATCTCTTCCTTCCATTCTGTAGTCTGCTCTTTGCTAGCGTGGTTCGATGTCGCATTCGCTCGAAGTGCGTCTTGTGCCTGTTTGATCCCGTCTCGACAGTCTTGGATGTATATGCGGTGTTCGCGGATGAATTCGTCACATTGCTCAATCTCCTCGGGTAGCATCTCGTCAATGTACATTGCCAGCCCGAAGTCGAGGTCCGCCTGCGTAGGTGCCATTGCGTTGGTGATGTGGGTGTTGCGATTTCGTGGAATAGCCGTGGAATCCGGATGAAGCTGGGTGCGGGGATGTGGTGATGCGGGGTGAGAGCAAGACGTCTCACAGCGGCTCTTCCCAGGTCACATCATCTTCATGGGCACTCCACTTCTCAATGACAACGACTAGCTGGAGCAGATGTGCGAGCCAGCTAATAGGCCAATTGGTGACGAGGGTTGGGCTTCGCAGCATTTCGGGCAGCCCGGTGTTGATGGGAACACAGCAGGGAGGGAGAAATGACCCCAGCGTGATTGAACAGAACACCTGGATCAAGAAACAGCGGTACAAAATGCAACGAAGGCCATCCTACAAAGGCCCTTACGCCGACAACGCCTTCGTTCTCACGCTGCATACTGATAACGCGCATCACAAGCGCGTGACGAGTCTGCGAAAGCACTATTCCCCAGTGCTTTCCTTAAGGGGGTGCCTCATCTGACCCTCTTTCACGGCCTTCCCGCATCGAAGATGGAAGATGTCATCGTCCCGACCATCCAAGACGTTGCATCTTGTACTTCAGCCTTCTCCATCTACACCGCGCCGCCCATCCGACTTGAGAATGGCGTAGGAGTCGGCATCGCTCCGGACTCGGGCGGCGTAAAGGCGCACAGGATATACGATGAGCTGCAGTAAATATGGCGGGCGCAGGGCGTTCTGAGTAAAGCCAACCTCGGCCTAGGGGAGATACGCTACACCGTTGTGGACAGGGTCACGGAGGAGGGTGCCATTGACCGAGCCTTTCAAGGGGTGCAGAATGACTTTCAAGGCGATCGAGCAACGGTCAACGGGCTGAGTCTCTGGAGATATCAAAATGATGGGTGGTTAGCATTTCAGCGAAGAGTTGATTTTCGCCCAGGGCTCTGACCTTGAATGTGTTCGTCAGCGGCAATCGTATTGCTTCTCGGGTGATACGTACTGGACATGTGGAATGCAACCGCTCGCTGTTCTGGAATGCATGGCGGCACTCTCTGCCGGCGCGACACCAACTTCAACACTCTTTGCGCCCACTGGAAGCGCACTGTCAGATCTCGTGCTACGAACTCGCCATCGATTCCCTTCTGCTGATGGGAACACGGAACGAGTGAGGATGAGCGCCGCGAAGTATTCCGCCGAGGAGTTTCGTGAAGCAGTGGAAGAGGGCGAGCACGTTCCCAAACGCTGTGGCTGGCTCAATCCCCATGCTGAACGTCAGCGTCCCCATCCCTGAATCGGAAGCGGAACACGTTGTGCCAGTATGGAGAATGGCATCGAAGTCTCCTCGATGGAGATCGAGCTCCTCCCACAGACTCTGCATCACCTCTGGATGTGGAAGTCCAGTCCGACACTTGCATGGCGGTTCCCGAGCAAATGCAGCTGATTCTGCTGGAGACCGCAGTCTCTGTCATGTGTTAGACGCATTCTGCACATGCTTCGTTCCGAGAGTGAATGCAGGGGAAAACAAAGCCAAGCTTCCCAATATATTCACTCACGTGCGAGCTTCACACCTTCCACGTTCGGAGAAGGCTGCCTGAAACCCAACACACCTTCGCAGGCGGGCTCCAACACCTTTGCTTGCGACAAGCTTACAACGATCGTCTCAAGATGGTGTCAATCAGTACGGCGTTCGTGCTCTTTCAACACGACCACTACCGCAAGCTCCAAAAGCAGATCAGGGCAGAGCGGCGAGCAAGGGAGCGGCAGCAAGAGGAGGCACGGCAGGCGGAGAAGCGACTCAAAGCCACCCGGATGTGGAACTATGCATACGATCGAGGCTACGCTGATGCGATGCAAAAATCTGGGAACAAAGGTGAGCTCACTCCCGATTTCTCCTCGCGCGATGCCAACGCGGTTCTGACATCCTGCAAGCAACACTCACCGATCGTTTCGAGCAGCTGGGGGTGTGGGAGGGTCAAGCATGGTCAACCACCTACGGCCACCCGCATGGCAGTGATGGAAGTGGTGGATCCGGATCACAGTCGCATCGCAAACATCATCACTCTGGCGGACATCACTCATCAGACCGGAAAGATCATCACACCGGAGCGACAAAGCCAGCGACACCAGGCCAAAATCACTCAAAAGGCAAGGACAAGGTCAACAAAAGTGATTATTTGATGAGCGGCGCATTGCCACAAGAGACGCCTCCTGCACAGACTACAGATGGCGGGAAAGAGGGCACAGCTGTCAAAGACTACGGCTACCGAGCAGCCAAGAAGGGAGTCCAGGCTGCCGAGGTGAAGAGCCAACCAGTGAAGTCGGCAATGAAGGCCACCGCTCCGCAAACACCTCATGTGTCTCATCAGAAACCTGGTGAGTGCAGTAGAACTTGCCAACCTCGAGAAAGTGCTGACCGTGAGAGCAGCCAACCCCACAAAAGACTCGGGTCACTCCGGGCAGAAGAAGTCGTCTAGCTCCGAGAAAGGGAAGAATCCTCAGCGTTGAAAGGAGTAAATCAGAGGCATGGGAAGGAAGTCCTGTATCAACTCGAATACGAAGAGCGTGCAACATGCGGAGGTGTGGGAACAAAGAGACGTTTGGGTGTTCTCGAGGCTCGTCGGTAGCACTCAAGAATGGAATATGACTTGAAATTGGCATGATTCTCCAACCACAACTTTCTCTGATCGTGAAGGTGCTTAGTTGGACATATCCCCGTTGCGTGCGGGTCGATTCCTGGGCAGCGAATGTTCACCTTGCATGGCTTACCAGAACGCCATACATCGGACTTCAATACTTTGTCTAACATCTCCATATGCAGCATCTCCGAGGTCAGGACTAGCATGGAAACTCCCGACTTCCTCCGCCGCACCATTGCCCAGGCCGGCGGTGTCGAACAGCTTCGCAAACAGCACTTCGTCGGGCTGCATGTCGGAGATGTAGTACCATTCGAGTTGATTTGCATCGGAACTGCCGTTGCCAATCCGCTCAACTGCGTCTGGTCTGACTTCCACCGTGGCGTACTCTTTGATCCAGGCCATTTTGTTCTTGAGAAATCGATTGTCATAGTATTCTGTTTTCAGGTCTCCCACCTGCTGCACCGATGACCACGGCAGCAACGCCAGCGGATCTCTCGTGACAGGCTTGAGAGGCTTCCAGATGGAGAAAGCAGCATATCTCGGGCCCAGCTTGCCATTTGCGTGGCCATTGTAGTCCTTCTCCAGAGCCTTCTTTCCTGCTCTTTCGTCCACGGGGACACCGGCAGCACCACAGATGGCGTCTTCACGAGCAATAATCCCGGCGGCCTCTGCTGCAGCTCTCAGCCCAGGAACTTCGCTCCTCACCGCCTGTCGACCACCGAGCGCAGCGTAATCACTGTGAGGGGCGCGTAGAGGCGGCGACATCATTGGCCAGTGCCGCGCCTCCTCGATTTGTTGAGCTGAATCGGCGATGACCACTTTGGGTTCGTGAGGAGATATCTCCCCGCGGCAGTTACTGTTGATCACAACCACAGTCTTGCATCCAGTGACTTGCTTTACGAGTTCCACGACTTCGGGGTGGTAGATGCTCTGTACGGTGGGCGGGTCGTGAAACACATTTGAGTCCGTGATGGCTGAGACGTGTTTCACGGCTGTAAAGCCATGCGTCTTCATGAACGCGGCTTCCGCCTTGTAGTCGCCATGCGAGCTGCTCTGGAAGACTTGATCGCGGAAGTCTACCAAGGGACACTTGACATTGATCTTGGACTCGGGTTCATCCTTGGTCAAATCAGCAGACGCATCTCCATCCGAAATGGGATAAGTGAAGACGCCGTAGAGTCGTGGTGGCTTTAAGGACCCCATTTGGGCGAAAGCTGGGGAGAGGCAAGTAGTAGAAAGATATCTGGTGGGGCGTCATCGGTCTTTGTACCATTTCGACTGCACAGTCAGCCGGGCGTAAGACGGCGAGCGGATGGTCTATCTGCCTATCGGTGGAGCGAGCTGACCAAAACACTACAAGGCAAGAGATGGTTCGTCAGACTCGCGCATCGTTTGCAATAGACCATACGACATGGCCGATTCATGATATTCCTCCCACCACATCTCCTTCTCCCACAAGGCTATGTGGGAATGCGGTCCAAGCTCGTCCCGGCTCGCATTCAACCTCGACAATCCTCCGGCATGCAATGGTGTCTGCATCTTGTACAAGCCCCACGCGACCAAGACTGGACGCATGACGAGAGACGGCGATGGAAGGCCTCCGTAGGAGACGAGGGACACGAATGAATGGATGCTTCATTCTCAAACCTGATCCTCAAACAGCCGCTGAGAGAGTCCATCTCAACCTGGACTCTCTCCTCCTCGACCGTCTTCTACAATACCCGCTTTACGAAACACTGCAACTTTGTGTTTTCTCATTCGGCTGTGCTCGAGGCATGTTCATGTTTCATGTTCCATGGACAAATCTCATCTTACTCACGTTTTGTCATACAACATGAATAATAGAGCAAGACACCTTGCATCCTTCGATTGTACAGTCCAGGCGCAACTCTACTTTACCGATTGACCATGGCCACAGAAAGCATCACCGAGCTCGCGAGCATCATCGCTACAAGCACCGCCCAGGTCTCCGCCTACCTCGATCAAAATGGCCTGCCGCAGCCTTCGTTCGCGGTGACCGGACCCTCGACATCTCAGATCCCGCCATCCGAGGTCGAGATTGAGAGCGCCCGTTTGACTGCCATTGATGCTACTCAGCGACTACGAAACCTCCTGCTTGGCCCACACGATTTTCTCACAAGCATAACGGTAGTCGCCTGCACCCCTCCATCCCACACAGCGCTTCCTGACAGACCTCTCAGCCCAGTGAATGGATCAGCTTCCAAGCTGTCGCTCGCTTTGGGCTTGCGTCCTGCGTTCCAATTGATGGCAGCGCGAGTTGTGCCACCCTCGCGGCCGCATGTGGCCTCCCGGAGTCCACGACTCGACGACTGCTGCGCCATGCCGTCGTCAAGAACGTCTTTTGCGAGGCCGGCCCGGACGGAGTTGCCCACAATGCTGTATCCCGTCTACTCGCCGAGAAGCCGACTTTGAACGCATGGCTACGCTTCAATACTGGGGATAGCTGGAGTGCGGCCAGTCAGACGGTCGAGGCGCTGGCCAGGTGGCATGGCAGTGAGGAGCCAAACGAGACGGTATGGATCTGCACAGTGTTCCTGGGCAGTGCTAACGGTGAAAAGGGCTTCACCCTCGCAAGTGGCACAGGACTGGGCATGTACGACACTTATGCAGTGCAGCCAGAGCGCGGCGAGAGATTTGCCAACTCCATGAAGAATCTCACGGAAAGCCCCGGATTTGATGCTGGGCACTTGGTCGCCGGGTATGACTGGGCATCGCTCAAATCTGCCGTGGTGGTAGATGTAAGTTGCCGTACGCATACCTGAAGCGTCAAGGCTAACAACACAGCTCGGCGGTTCCCACGGCGCCGTCGCACGAAGGCTGGTGGAGTCTTTTCCGACCCTCAGTGTGGTCGTACAGGACCTGGCCGAGGTGATTGCACAAGCACCACCATCGCAGACTCACATCTCGTTCATGTCGCACGACTTCTTCACGCCTCAGCCGGTGGTGGCAGACGTCTACCTCTTTCGCTGGATCCTGCACAACTGGTCGGACAAGTACTGCGCGTATCTTGCGGGCGCTGGTACCCGCGCTGAAGCCCGGCGCTCGTATCGTGATCAACGAGCACGTCATGCCACGCAACATTAGTGGTGGGTCACGATGGAAGGAGGAGAGATTGCGGTACGGTCTGTGACATCCCTCTGTCGCTTCTACTAACGGACGCAGTGCCGCCGATTTGATCATGCTCCAGCTCTTCAATTCCAAGGAAAGAGACATGGAGGACTGGGCTGCCTTGTTCGAGACGGCAGATTCGCGGTTTCGCTTCCAGGGTGGGCGGCTACCTACGGGAAGTAGGCTCTCTGTCTTGGAAGCGGTGTGGGAAGGGTAGTGTGTCGAACACTCCGCATCTTTGTGTATGTCGACTCGCTGAGCGGTAGCGATGGTAGCACCAGATCGACACGTAGGTGCTGCGCTGGCTTGTTGCACCAAGTTTCGGGACGCCACACCTGGCCTCCTCTGAGATGTTTGGATAGATGCCCATATTACTGTCTTTCTTGACAAAAGTCCACCTCCAGAAACCCCGCCGAATTGGACTCGTAAACCGCGTGCACCTATTCCGACGCCCCTCTCGGTGGTCGATACCAAACCACCAGCCCATCGAAAGTCACCTCTGCACACCGCTTACTCCACACGACGTACCGCCGACCAGCCAACGAATATGTCCACACCATCAGTGCAGCCAGCTTCCGGAACGAAGGTCAGCGGTGTAAGAATCAACTGCATAGGTGACCGGAAGGTGGGGAGGGCCAAATACGAGGAAGTCGAGATATCTCAAGAGGACTATGATTTTTGCGCGGGCGAGACTTCCGACATTGCGGAACGTATTGGCTTTCCCATCTTCATGCGGGAGTATCTGGCAGACTCAGGATGGAGCAAGGAGCGAGCGGACAGCGTCGACTTTACAAACCCTGATGCTCTGTGGCTCTCTCTTCGTGCTGTGACCCTCGGATTCAGATTGGGGAGCGACGCCCTGGCACTGGGACAGGACGGGGAGCGTTCTGGTGGTGCGTCGGGATAAGAAGAAATTGCATGCGGCGCATGTCGAAGCACTTTGCACATACTGTTCTGATCTACAGCCGTTCTTTGGTCATGCACCGGGAACTTTCACCCCTGGAGGGCCGATGAGCAAGGACGCGTTCTGGCCTTGATCCATCGTCCCGCCGTTGCGGTCCACTGGTGCAAGATGGAGACCGAGAGCAGGCAGGCGAGATTCTCAGGTGTTCCGGGCCCTTATGAGATGTGATGCAGTGAGAGTATGATATGGAGTGTGCGGCGTAGATGAGCTGTCGCAGATCAGTTTGGGGGATAATGTGAGAAAGAGCATCTCCAGATATTGCTTGATCCAATTGATCCAAGGGTGGCGGGGACGTCGCAGCCTTGCGATGAGCATGCTCAGGCATCGCGATCTTTCCTTGCAACGCGGAGAGAAATGCTTCCTGGAAATGGATCAGTCGACTTGACACGTTTAGTGATGTAGTAGCATTCAGACGTTCATCATTCTCTGTGCCCCTTTCATCATCATTATCATCATCATCGAGCGGCGTGAATGTAAAGGTGAGGTATGAAGCAAGCCTTGTGCCAAGACTTTCGCGGAGGCGGCAACGCTCAAACGACGCCTTGAGCTGCGACATCATCAAGCTCCACCACTTTATCCTACATCACCCTCGCTCATTTCCGTTGCGCTTGCAGTCTCTTGACCCTCTCTCTGTCACTCATTCCTCCATCTGAACACTCTTTCCTCACTCGCCAGCCGTGGGTGGGGAGCACGATGGCGTACCACGGTGAGCTCTCGGCCGCAATGGTCCTCATCGAAGACCATCAGCTAATCCTTCCCAGCCAATCTTCCCGCCCCTACCTTTGATCTTGAGACATGGGCAAGCAACTACGAAGGTAAGCTGAGCCTTGACTCCACCGTCATTTGGTGCCAAATTGACTCCCACTCCCGCCAGGCCCTCTTCTGCCCCTCCGACTCGCTCATGTCGCCACACACTGCCCTCCCCTCTCACAGCAAAGCCTCGATCTCGCCATCACTGCCGCAAAAAGAGGGAAAGATGTCCTGCTGTACAACCGTCTCTATGAGATTGCCGAGAAGCTGGGCGTGAGCGGGTTGGAGCAGAAGGATGAGGAATGGATGCAGAGGCAGGAAGAAGGCAACAAGCGCGAGTTGGCGAGACTGGAAGGAGAGCTGCGTGGGTACAAGAATAACCTCATCCGCGAGAGCATTCGCATGGGACAGGAGGATCTTGCTATGCATCTCCTCCTCACCGGCGGACCCCTTCCGGATCCCCAAAACCCCCAGTCCGCCACTGGCGCCGGCTACAACGCTGCGTATCAGGCGTTTGGCAAGATGCGCGACTACTGCACCACGCCTTCCCACGTTGCCAGCATGACCTTACGACTCATCCACACCGCCCTCCTCCAAGCAGTTGCCACACAACAGACCGGTGGTGCTCCACATCTGCATCTCAACGCTGCCCTCGCCAATGCCAATCGTCTCCGCAGCGTCGGCATCAAAGAGGAAGAGATGGTCCGAATCACACCCATCATGCACGTGTCGGGCGGACTTGCGCACCTCGGCGCCGGCTCCTACCCTGAGGCTGCCGTCGCATTCCTCTCCACGCCCTTTGAGTACGCTTCACAGGGCGTTGTTCAAGGCACTAACGCGACTCGTGCCATTGCGAGCGGGAACGATGTTGCCATCTACGGCGGACTATGCGCTCTCGCCACCATGACTCGCGACACGCTCAACGACACTGTCCTCGCCGGGCCCTTTCGCGCCTTCCTCGAGCTCGAACCTCACCTACGCAAGGCGATCAGTCTGTATACGACTGCGAAATACCAAGCATGCCTCGACACACTCCGTCGATACTACAGTGATTGGAGTCTTGATGTCTTCCTCGGTGCTCAGGCCTCTCCCACCGCGAAGGAATCGCATCTCGATCGCCTAATTCTCCGCATTCGCGAGAAGAGCATCACCGCATACCTCTCCTCTTTTGCACAGGTGTCTCTCGCCTCACTCGCCTCCACCTTCCCTCCCCTCTCCTCCGATCCGCAAGCCATGGAAGACGAGATTCTGTCCATGATCGAGGCCGGCATGCTCGATGCAAGATTAGACGTGGTGAAGGGGCTGGTGATTGCGCCGCAGAAAGAGGCCCGCAAGTCAGCACATGCTGCGGCGGCTGCGGCTGCAGAAGAGGTGGAGCGAACGCTGTTGCTGCGACTACATCGAGTGAATGTCACCCTGGCTGGACTGGAGATTCCCAAGGCGAAAACGGGCAACTGGTCTGGAACAGGTGGAGAGGGGATGAGACTGGGCAATGGAGGATTTCCGTGATGTGATGAGCATGAAGATGGATGAATGAGATATGAGAGAGATGCCTGACGCATGATGAGGCCCCGACATGCAGAAGGACCTTGCTACCGATGTGTGGCACTCGAGACCTGCAGCAGACATGCCTTGCTGGATCTACGCAGCTATGGCATGCAGTCTGGTCGATGATGGCCACTGCGGAAGTGTCTGACGAATGGTCAGAAAAATAGCCTGACCAAACCACAATACAGTATGATACCAGTCCCTGTTATTCGTCAACCGGTCTTCAATATGCCCGCCCAGGCATTGGAGGCAGTGTTCGCCATTGCAGCAGAGTCTGAAGCAGAGACATCAGATTCATGACGAATCTGGGCAGTCGTTGATTCTCGTTCACGCGGCGACTACGAAAAGCCAACTTCAGTCATTGAGGGGTTTATCTACGCAAAAGCCTGGCCAATGATGAAGCTGACATCGTCACTGTAGTAATTCGTCGCATCAAAGAACTCCGGCCCGCCTTGGCCGGCGATGTAGCCAACGTCGCCATAGTGGCGGAAGTAGCGTGCTGGATAGCTCCAAGAGCGGATCGAACTGCCCTGGCCGTTCAACGGGGCTTGAATGCAGAAGGTAGCGGACTCGCCGAATGCGAGAGTCCCATCCAAGCTGCCCAGCATCAGGTGGAAGTCGGATTCATAAATGTAGCTTCCGGGGGTGTCGACAGACTCGAATGAGAAGCAATTGCTGTTGCCCAGGCCCTTTTCCACAACCCAGCTCGCTGTTTGCTGCTGAGCGGTGGGCGAGGATGAGCTGACCACCTGGGTATTGACGGTCGTGCCGTTGTGGGCGATGTAGCTGGTGGTGAAGCCGGGTGTTGTGACGTGGAATGAGATGCTGGAGCCGACGGTGAGTTCCTGACCGTTGTTGTACTGCCCTACAGCATAGTCGGCGGCGACAATGTTCTCCTGGACCGCATTTTCCGTGTCGTCGGAGGGATAGCCCGTGGTCATGACGCCTTCGTAGAAGGTGCCTTGAGCGCCGTTGCTATTATCCCCGGCAATCCCAAGGATGATGTCCCCTTCTTTCCTCATGGGATTGTAGCCACCCGATGGGCGCACGCCACTCCAGTACGTGGACAATGCACCAGACTCGCTGTTGCCGCCACGAATGGCCCACAGGTTGTGCGTGCATTTTACCATTGCCGTCACAAACCGATCCGTCTGGGTTGGATCGGAGGGATTGTTGGATCCGTCGCCGCTGGAGAACAGCCCAACTTCCATGTCAGCCATGATCCACGGCCCGGGGCCGGCGCCGGTGTCCCAGATGCTGCAGTTGCCACAGTAGATGGCTTCCATGTTCCCCAGGCCAGCGGCTCCCGTCTTGTTCTCCGCATTGCCGTAGTCGAAGCAACAGTTGTCATTGTAATGCGTTCCGTCGAGCACGGCATAGATGCCCTCGGGCTCGTCTCCAGTCGCCGTACCCTGGCACTCGTTGTTGCGGTAGCCAGTTCCTAGCGAAATGAAGACTCCGTATGCCTTTTGACCGTTCAGCGTGACTGAAGCTCCCACGGGGTTGGCTAGATTGTCATAGCCATCGGACTGGGGGCCGTTGAAGTTGTTGGGTGGAGCACGAGTGAGGTCGTTGCCGTGACCGGATTGGTCATAGATGACGGCGATTGAGCAAGTCGAGTTGAGACAGAATTGATCCTGAGGGCTGACGTTGGCGACGCCACCGGAGAGTGGATAGACGTCGAGTGTAGATCCGTCAGAGTTGCGGAGGATCTGGTAGAGTGCGCCAGTGAAGGAGTTGTAGAGGGAGCGCGTGGGGCTGTGCGCTGCCACACATGGAGTCCCTCCTGATGCGTAGAGGTCGCATGGAGCTGCGGCGACGGTGGGCCAGAGATGGCGGCAAGGCCCAAAGCTAAGGAGTATCCTGATGAGCCCAGCATCTTTTTTTCGCTTTGTGAGGATATGAGGAGCCATGGACACCAGAATACATCTTTATACTGTCGCGTGCCTCGCTTTAGCCTGAATCTCTCTCTTTCTTAGCAAAGGCATCTCGACGATCTTCTTTCCTCGCCAACAACTTTTTAACGAGGCCTGCAGAGGAGATGGAGATTGACAGTCTTCGGGAGCCATTGCTGAAGAGTACAGTACAGGCAAAAAGCATTGGACGTGGGGAAGCTTTACGCTTCGACATTTAGCCGCCCCCGGATTTCTCCACACTCCGCAAGGCTGTGGTACATTGCCGCAGGTACCTGGTAAAGCAGGTTCCAGAGACATTTGGTTTCTTGCATATGGCCGACGTCATTGACAGTCCGAGGTGTCGAAGGACGGCACTTTGAACGTCGATTGCTCCATCACCATGGGCATCCCCTACTCGAAACAGATCAATGCGGCCTTTGATCAAGTAACGCCTCTCGTTGCAGCAGCGTACGAGGTGCTCGAGACGACCAAGAACATTGCCATCTTCATCCCCGCCATACAAATCGGAATCATCACGCTGCTCTTCATCAACCTGCTGGCTCTTCTCGCCCTGCTGTTCATATTGCACCCGGACTTGGAGGATGTGCGCGACAAGCTCGTCACGCCTGCGCTTCGATGGACGGCAGATTGGATCGTGTATCCATTGGAGAAGAGGTATATCATAATTGGTGTATCACTTGGACTCTCGGCGGTGGTATTAGCGGCAGGCGCCTTGTACGTCTTCTGGGTAACCAACGTGGCCGATGGAATGAGCCGTGAAGACCCGCCCGAAGCGGAGAAAGGTGTGGACAGCGGTGTCGAGAGTGGAAGACTGAGCCGTGCATGTCCAAATCTATCCTCTATTCCATGTCCACCTTGTACTTCTCCCCCATCTCGCCCACATCCAGGGCAACCAAGAATCGACTGACGCAGTTGTACGCGGATATCGTCGTTACGATCTCGACAATCTCTCGCTCGCTGAAGAATTGTTTCAGCTTGTCGAACTTGGGCTGAGGCACAATCACACCCAGAGTCATGGCATCCGTGACTTCCAGCACTGCACGATGCTTGTCGTCCAAGCCCTCGCCCGCCCGCTCGCGGTCTTTCAATTTCTCGATGGCCTCCTCGCTGACACCGCCCGCCTTTTGCAATAGAGGAGCGTGATGTTCCCACTCATACCATGCGTGATTGAGGGCGGCCACTCGTGAAATGGCCAGCTCTTTCACACTCTCCGACAGAGAGCTCTGAGTTCGTACTGCTTTGAGGAAGGAGTTCCAGCCATCGGCGATTGGAGGGGCGTGCAGAAGCGCTTTGTCGAGTTCGAGGAGTTTGCCGCCTCGTCGTTCCTTGACTCTTGTGACAATGTCCTGGTCTTCTTTGGTGGGCATCTTCGGGTCATCGTTGATGTATGGGAGCCGCATGGTGGCGTGAGTGGAGGAGGTGAGGTGGCGGGGGTGTGACGTGAGGAGAAGGAAGGGACGGGCGAGTGGCACTCGAGGAAGATGAGAGACGAGAGGCATGGGTGGAAGTTGATGAATTGATCGGGCAAGTTGTAGCCCTTCGCACCCCACCTTGAGCGGAGCGATATCGGCGGCAGCAATGGCAAGTCTGCCGATTGTGCTTCGTCGCTGCGGCCTCAAGAAATTACTGCCAGGCGTTGACCTGGATAGATGGCGACCCGCGGCAGGAAGCCACACAAGGGAAACCGAGAGCCAACTCTTGACCGAAGGCCTTTGATCGAGGAATCCACAGTCGACTTCAGCCTTCAGCAAAAATGCCTCGACATCTTCCGTGATGCACTCCAGCCCAGTCAAGATGATGCCCAAGCTGTCCAAGAGGTGAAAGGCCATCTCTACGATCGCAACTTCTCCGCGGCATTCGGCAGAGACGAGTACCTACGAGTGTATGCTTCAAGATGGAGTCCGAGTCGAGCGCTGGCGTACGCAGAAATCTTCAGTCACGTCACACCAAATCTGTCCACACGGCTGTCCCGCAGCGGAGAGGATGGTGCTTGCTCCTTCAATGTGGTGTGTATTGGAGGCGGAGCAGGAGGAGAGTTGGTCGGCCTGGCCGGTTGGTTTCATGCCTGGCTGGATCAGTCCGTGTCTGCCGCCTCGCATCAACATCTTCACGTCCGCCTAATTGACGTTGCGGATTGGGCGTCCATCACGCAGATTTTGCACAACGCCATCACCACCCCTCCCAAGCTTTCCGAGTATGCATCTCAGGCAAAGAAGGAAGCGAATGTGGCCTTGCTGCAAAGTACAAGCATATCAACTGGATTCCACCGCACCGATGTGCTGGAACCGCAAACAGAAGCATTGGTGGATTGCCTACGCTCGGCAGATCTGGTAACGTGCATGTTCACCCTGAACGAGCTGTACTCTGCCTCCATGCCGAAAACGCAGCAGCTTCTTCACACCATCACGGATACTGTCAAGAGCGGAGCCCATTTTCTAGTTGTCGACAGTCCCGGCTCATACTCGACTGTCTCGGTGAATGGGTCGGAGAAGAAGTATCCGATGCAGTGGCTGCTGGATTATACTTTGCGCCAGCCTGGACAGCAGAAACAAGACGACAAATGGCAACGACTGGCTTCGGAAGAGTCTAGATGGTTCCGCCACCCTCTAGCCTTGCAGTATCCAATCGACCTGGAGAACATGCGATATCAGATTCATCTGTACCGGCGCGCCGATACCGGAGGGTGAAATGACCACCATGGTGTCTGTCATACACATTCTTCAGCCAACGGCGCTCACACAGCATCGGGCAAGGCTGCAGGTCCGCGGACCAAACAACAGTCATTCAATAACGGTGGAGGTGAGATTGATCAAGCCGCGGCATGATGGTTGCCGCATCTCAACACGCCGAGCCTCGGCCGGACATGACATCACTTTCGTCATTTTGGATAGAGCATCTTCAACTTCTTTTCCCATACACGGGATGAGTCCTCAAATTACATCAAACCGAGCGTTGCAACGAAGCGAATTACTCTCATCCCAAATGTCTGAATCTGAAGCGTATATCCCGCCTTCTGGCGTTGCCGAAGATGGCTGGACCAAGGTAATTCTTCCACTCGCTGCTCGATGGCTCAAAATTGACATTGTTGAAGGATGGCAGAGCAACAGCGACTTGCTATTGCGGCGAGGTGCAGCTCTCGTTCGTACGTATATCATGCAGTGGGTCAGCTGTGGCATCACTGACACTCCACAGCCCGTGGATGGCGATGACCTGGTCGACACCTTCATCTGCCACTGTTACGACTGTCGAAAGATTACGGCCTCGATGTACGCCTCCAATTTCATCGTCAAAGACGGCGCCATCAAATGGATCCGCGGCGAGGACAAGCTCAGCGAATGGGGCCAGAGCAAGACGATTGCCACGGGCAACAAGATGACCAACCGATTCTGCTCCGTCTGTGGCACCCTCATGGCCAGAGTCAGCAGTGGCTTCCCCGGGATGAGCATTCTGCGCATTGGGACGGTGGACGACTTTAGACTGCACGAGACCAAATTGAAGCCGAGGATTGAGCAGTTTGCAAAGGATCGTGTGGCGTGGTGTGCGGCTGGGGATGGTGTGACGCAGAAGGAAGGGAATTACTACACGGGTTGATCATGCGTCTTGTTGTTCATCCAATAATGCCCATGTCAATCGGCCACTTCATCCCTCCCGAGCCTTCTTGAATCCCGGCTTACCATACAAGCCAATATCATCCGATGGTCCCGCCCTCTTCGTGCCCGGCAAGCTGCTCGTGCCAATCTCCTGCGCCTCCGTGGTCACCTTTCGAGCGGGATACTTTGTTTCCAACCCTTCGAAGCAGTTCCAACTCACTTTGTCGTTACCATCCGCGCCGACAAAGTACGGATGCTCGAGCGCTTGTTCAGCCGTCAGCCTCTTCAGCGGATCGTACTCGAGCAGCTTCTGCAGCAGATCTAAAGCGTCGTCTGACGGCGGAGGAGAATTGGAGGCAGCGTAGTTGTTGTTGCCCATGGTCGTGCGATACCATCGCTCCAGGCCAACTGGCCGATTCACCGCTTGATTGTACACCCCGACAGTACCGAGATGTTGATACTCCGGCATGGCGGTCAGCAGCGGCCAGTCCTGCTTTTTCGGCAAGCCGAGAATCTCCGCAATCTTGCCCATCTGGTTGCGCTGAAACGGCACCGCTTTCTTCGAATCCTGCTTTGCCTCCTCCCCCTTGAAAATTGGCCGAAGCGACATGAGCTCGGCGAAGATGCATCCAACGGCCCAGAGGTCGATGGCGGGAGTGTAGTGCCGGCTTCCGAGGAGGAGCTCCGGAGCCCGATACCATATCGTCACAACGACCTTATCGCCGGAGAACAGGGCATGCAAGGGCTTGTAGAACATCCGCGCGAGGCCGAGGTCTCCGATTTTGATGGCGCCGCTGGAGGTGACCATGATGTTGGCGGGTTTGAGATCGCGATGAATGACCCAGTTTCGATGCAGGTAGAGTAGGCCGGAGATGAGCTGGAAGAGGCAGGAGCGTAGGGTGGAAGCGGGGATGGGCGTGCGATTCAGCAAGCTGTGGTGGTGGATGATTTGTAGGAGATCGTGCTCGGCGTATTCGAAGACCATGAAGATGCATTTAGCTTCCAGGATGATCTCGACGAGGTGGATGAGAGCGGGGTGGCTGAGTTCGGTGCACAAGGCCATTTCACGAATGGCGGATTGCGAGATGCCGGTGTATTGTAACTCGCCTTCCTTGTCCGGCTTGAATTTCTTAATAGCAAAGGCTTCGATCGGTCGACCGGTGGTAGGATGTTTGTGCGCTTGCGCGGGAGCTGTGCGCTTAGAGACGGCCTTGTAGACACGGCCATAGGTTCCACTGCTGATGAAGCCCACGATATCGTACAGGTCGTTGACATGTTGCTGCGGGGTGTAGGGTGTCAAGTTCATGGTGAGTTGTGAGACTCCCGTCAAAGGGAGGAGGAGGGTATGGCTCTGCCGCGCATGGTCATTGCAGTCCTGGTTTTCACCAGCTCGTTGGCTTGATGGAATGTTTGATAGACCATAAAACCCGCAGCCTCAACACATCGGATCGTTTGTTTGAGATTGAATGCGGGCTGTCGTAGTCTGATACTAGTAGAGTTCGGACCACGTAACTCTTGGCACAGCTTCAAGTCCGACAACTCGACAAAAAGTACACTCCACCTCTATCGCAATCGGAAAATGAAGGCGACACTGCTGGAGAAGACGCAGTAGATGCCATGTGGCTTATCTACGCTTGTTTCCCACGCCATGTGAAAGGCTTATTAATGTGGACGCTGATGGAGCGGGCACCGGGGATATCTGGGCCCGAATCTGTGACAACCTCTGCTAGAGATACCGGCGTTTGCTGAATCCGATGGCTTAGAGACATGGATTCTCACGCTAATCGCTCGTGGTCCTGACAGGCGACTTTAAAACAGCGCCCTCGGCCACCGCTACTTTTCGTTTCTCTGCGCTCATTCCGACTTGCACCATGTCAGACGCTGCTTCAAAGCTCAGTGAGGTAGAGCGGACGAGCCGAGGCCGGGCGAAGCCATGGATGCTCCGTACCACGATGAGGAAAAGGGCACGCACTCAGCATCAAGCCTCGTTGACTGGAATGGGCCCGACGATCCGGAGAATCCCACTAACATGGCCTTCTCTCGCAAATGGGCAATCTAACTGTATCTACATTGGAGTTTTTAAAAAACTCCATAGAAAATCTACTAAAACCTCCAAGTTTTTTTAAAAAGTAAAATATAAATGGAGTTTTTAAAAATATTAGTTTATAAAGATAGGATTTATAAAGTAAAGAGATTAAAAGAATAGATTTTATAAAAACTCCTTTAGTATTATAAGAATTTAGATCTATTTATTTATTTTAGTTTAAAGAAATCTAATAGACTTAAAAAGTTAGAAGCTAGTTAAAGTACATTCGAAAACCCTTTTAGCTTAAACTTTAAATAAATTTAACTATAATAGTTTCTTTTAATATTATTTTAGTTTTATTTAATTAATAAAAGAAAACAGAAAGAAAAGAAGAATAAGTACTTATTTAAAAGATTAGGATAAGAAAAGTTAAAAAAAAACTTTAATAAAACTAAAATAGTTATTTTAAGTAATTAAAGTGTTTTAAGTTTATATTAGAGTTTAACTAAGAGAAAAAGAATATATAAGAAAGCTCTTTTTATTTTATCTTTGTCTTTTCTTTTATATCTACTTTAAACTACTTTAATTATAACTAACTATTTAAAAATGGATTTAATTACTTTAAATCAATTACTTATAAATAATAAAGATTATATTAAAGGAGATTCTTATAATAATTCTACTATTATAGAAAGTACTTATACTAATAATATAGAGAATACTATTCTAAATTATAATATAGAAATTAAAGTTTTATTTTGTACTATTTGTAAAACTAATCTAGATAGAAATAACTATTTAAAACATTTAAAAGATAAACATTTTACTATTTATAAAAGTTATAAAGAATCTTCTAAATTAGAAGTACTTAAAACTAATATAGAAGAACTAGAATTTAATGACTTAGCTAAATTAGAAGATATTTTAAAGCCTAATCTATTTTACTTTAAAGAGTTAGATTTAAATTTAAAAGGATATAAATGTATAGAATGTAATTATATTAATATTAATTATAAAGAAGTTAGAATTCACTTTAATACTAATCACTTTAATAGTAATAAAAGTAGTAAATCTAAAGTAAACTATATTATAAATCAGGTTCCTTTACAATATATTAAAGGTAATAATAAAAATACTAAACTATACTTTATACCTAAAATACCTAATATAAGTAAAAAGAATACTAGTACTAACTTATATATTAACTCTAATAGTTCTAATTCTAGTATAGAATCTATTACTTCTAAAAAGTCTAATAGTTCTAAAGAACTAGATTTAAAAGAAGATATTATAAAAGATTATCTTAAAGAGAATTTAGAAGAGAATAAACTAAATAATAATATAAATATTAATAATAATAGACTTTTAAACTCTTATATTAAGAAATCTAATATTTATATCTTTTTAAAAGATAAAGATAGAGAGTCTTTAGTAAATCTAGTATATAATATTAAAGAAGAAGATAAAGATCTAAGTGTTTTTAATAGAATAGACTATAATAAATTAGAAGATATTATTATAGATTGTTTACTTTATATACATTCTAAAATCACTAATATAAGCTTAGGATTAAGACAAAAGCTAAATCAAAATAATAGTAGTAATACTAGAGTATTTAAAGACTTTATACCTTTAGAGAATAAGTCTACTACTAAGACTTACTTTACTTATTATGCTAAACTACTTAGCTTTATTATTAAAGTACGTTATATTAAAGGGAAATATAAGAATACAATAGGTAAAGAAAGAACTTACTTTGATTTAGTAAAGAACTTTACTATTAACTTAGAAGCTAAAGAAGCTTTAAAGAATATTATTCCGTTTAACTTAGATTTAATAGATTTAGAAGATAAAGAACTAACTAAAGAGAAAGAAGAGTTTTATACTTATATTATAGAGTTTTACATTAGTTTACTTAAAGATAATACTACTTTAACTTTAGATAATAATACTAGTTTAAATAATATAGTTCTAAGCTACTTCTTTATAACTAATCTAGATATTAATACTAAAGAGATTAAAAATATAGATCTAATAGGAAAGCTTACTAGTTATATTCTTTATAATAGTAAACTACTTACTATAGAATATTTCTACTTTAAAGAGTTAAATAATATAAAGTATACTTATAATGATTTTAATGATTTTCTTTCTACTTATTTAACTAATAGTTCTAATAATTACTTTGAATTCATTAGTATTCTAAGGCCTTATCTCTTAGCTTTAAATAAAGAAAGAGAATCTACTAATTATATTATAAAAGAAACTAGTTTAAATATTATAGAATATAATACTATAGAGTATTCTATTACTAAGATTAAAGAGCTCTTTAAGAATGTTTATATTAATTTAGAAGATATTTTACTAAAGAAGCTTTTAAAGATAACTTCTATAGATTCTTTAGATATAGACTTTAATACTATAAATGATAATACCTTTATAAGTAATATAGATTATTATATAATAGATACTTTAGAATTAAAATATCTTAAAACTAATAGGCCTTACTTTTTAACTCAATTATTAACTAAAGGAACCTATTATAATAAAACACTATTAAAAGATATAAAGAAAGATACTAAGACTTTAAGATTTAAAGATACTAATATAGAAATATTTAATACTAATATTAATAGGTTTTTAGAATACTTAACTCTCGCTATTTATTTATATAGCGGAGGTCCTTTAAGAGGAACCGAATTAACTACTATACTTTATAAGAATATAGAAACTAAAACTAGAAGTCTAATATATAATAAAGAAGATAATACCTTTATAATTTCTACTAATTATAGTAAGACTAATAATATTACTAGGAAGAATAGAACAAATATACGCTATTTACCGCCTTATTTAAGTAAACTATTAATTATATACTTAGTATTAATAATACCTTTTAAAGATTACTTATATAAAAACTACTATAACTTTAAAGACTATTCTAGTCCTTATCTATTAACTAAAGATAATAAAGTAATAGAAAGTAATACTATTAGTAGGATCTTAAAGAGAGAATCTAGTTTATTATTTAAAGAAGGTTTAACTATTAAATCTTATAGAAAGATTATTAATTATATAATTAAAACTAAATTTAATAATTATGATTATAGTAGTAATAGTAGTAATAATAATAGCGAAGAAGAAGATTTAATCGAAGATAGACAAGCTAATAGATCTACTAGAACTAGTTTAAATCATTACCTTAATATTGAAAATCCTTTTAATACTTTAAAAAGTAAAGATTTAACTAATAAAGTTAAAGAATTTAGTATAAAATATTGGTCTTTCTTTAATCTATTAGATAAACGCGATTATAAAGAGAATAGTACTTTAGAATTAAGTGTAAATAAACTAGAATCTACTACTAAGACTAAGGAATTAAGTATAAGTAGTAGTATATCTTTAGATTTATTAGAGTTAAACATTAAAGAGTTATATAAAGATTCTAAAGTAACTTTTAAGAATAATGAACAAAAAGAAGCATTAATAGCTTTAACTAATAATACTACTTATTTAACTTTTATTAATAAAACTAGTAGCGGAAAAAGCCTATTATATTTATTATTAGCTTATACCTTTAAAGAGAAGATATATATTATTATAAGTCCTAGAATTACTTTAACTAAAGATTTATATAAAAAAGCAAAAGATCTTAATTTAAATCCTAGTACTTTAGAAGATTTTAGTAGTAAAAATAGTAATCTAATATTTATAGATATAGAAGATCTTAATAGTAAAGAACTTACTAATCTAATTAA